TGTTCAATCGTCACTTGACTCTCCAAAGAAGCACGATCAACCTTGATCACGTGAGACTACCTAGTAGGATCATAACAGATCTCTTCTATACGGCAATACGACAAATTCTATCGCTTTAAATCTATAAATACTACCCTCCTATACTTGGAATTACCTACCCTATCTAAATGGGATAATATAAATAGGGTAAGCCCCTTAGACTATAAAATCCGTAGGGCGTACTATATTCTATATAACGCTCTAAATAGGACAAGGGCTTACCCTATTAGGGTATCTAGGTTAGGGCTTACCCTATTGGGGTATCTAGGTTAGATAGTTTAAAGAGAAACTAGAGGTCTATTAATCTTAGATAAAACTAAGAAGTAACCGTTTAAAACTATTCTAGCCTATACTAAAACCTTATATCTTTTTAACCTCTTCTCCTCTTCTATTTCTATCGAGGTTATTCTAGTAGCGTCTTTTAAAGGAAAGAATCTTAAGGTATTAGTAGTTTATATAGAACGAGAGTTAAGGGAAGAGTAGTATTAATAAGAGAATAAATAGTAGAACGTTAGTTCCTTAGCCGCTAAAACTAAATATAATACCCTCTCTACTACTAGTACTAGTTTAAGTTTTTAAATTTCTACGAAGTTTATTCTAGAGTACGCTTAGTTTTAGAAGAGAGTATAGACCTTCTAGTATTAGGATTAACTATATAGTATACTCTAGAAACTATTTTAGCTTATAGAATAACCTAATATATATTTTGCCTCCTTCTACCTCCTAATTCTATTAAGGTTATTCTAGCGAGGCCTTTCGAAAGGAAGAGATTTCGGAGTATTAGTAGTTTATATAGAATAAGGGTTAAAGGAGGAGTAGTGTTTATAAGAGAAAGAAGTAGATAGCGTTAAGCGTTTAGCCGGTAAAACCAATAGATCTCCTATTTCTTTTACTAGTTATAGGAGAACGTAGAGAGTTTTAATTACTTTACTTTTAGTATTTATAGTTTCTCTATATATATATCTTTAATAATCAACTAATAGACGAGCGGTCTAAACTCGAGTTAAGAGTAAACAACTCGCCGTAGTTTTTCTACCGTAGTTTCTCGGTTTTCCCGGCGCGACGGGAGGTCCCCCTAGGATCCTATTAGTTAATAGCGGGCCTCGCGGCCCGCGCGGTTCCTCCGGAACTAAAATAGAGGTCCTCCGGACCCCGTAGCAACCGGTAAAACCAAAACTAGTTTTCTACTAGAAAAACCTACTTTTCCGATATGTGTTAAACGTACCGGAATAACCTCCTACTAGAAAAACCTACTTTTCCGATATGTGTTGAAAGTGTAGACTTACCGGCGGTAATGGAGAAGATTGGATCCGATTAGATCGACGAGAGAGTGGAGCGCGTGGGCTGCGATTTCTTCGCTGAAAACCCGGTCAAGGGTGAGTGAAAATATCGCATACCGGCGATGGCTCTTGGAGGAGCGATGGACTGATGCTGCTGCAGGTGCCCGTGCGTACTATATGCACTCGGTACTGCATGACTGGGGCGATGCTGAATGCGTGCTTCTCCTACACCGTCTCAAGGAGGCCATGCAGAATGAATACAGCAGGCTGTTGATCTTTGAAAACGTCATCCCGGACACTGGAGCACACTGGGAGGCCACGGCTCTCGACATGATGATGCTCGGCTTGGTCTCGGCCAAGGAGAGGACAGAGAGACAATGGCGACAGCTGATCGAGGAGAAGGCAGGGTTGAGTGTGGTAAAGGTGTGGAGTGTCGGGAACGGCGTCGAAAGCCTAATCGAGTGTGAGTTGCGATGATAGACGTCATTTTGTGTATGATAGTGTTCCATGAATTGCTGTAGAAAGATAGTTCTTCAACGCCGCGCTGCAGAACCAGGAAGTTGTGCAGAGTAAGGACGAGTGTCGCAGCAACGCCACGTGAACGCAGATGAAGGCTAAAGTGGTGACGCGAGTGAGATGTCTGTTCGAAACCTGGAAGCTATCAACCTCTCCAGGCACAACCCAACGTGGAAGCATCCTCCGACACGCATCTGCCTCTTCCTCCTGTCAGGACTTACGATCCACCCATGCCACCCTCCAAGACCAGCCACAGCAAGCCGTGCACCCTGTGTTCGACACCAAGGGACGTACTTGTCCGCTGCCAGATCGATGAGAGCGGCCAATGGCACTTCGTCTGTCCGGGCTCCTGCTGGAAGCGTGTCTCTGGCGGTGTCATCGATGGTGACAACAGCGAGGAGCGTCAGTGGTACCGATATGGAGGCATGTGGAAGAATAAACATGACGCCGTCAGCGCAAAGAAGCCCAGGAGCAAGAGGAACGTTGAGAAGACAGAAATGAACACTGCCATCAACAACACTACCGTGGACAGGCATTCTCTGCCCCGTATGGATGGTGTGATGGACGAGCAACAGCAGCATGCGATCAGCTCAGCAATCCCACCATGGCGCGAAGATGGCAGGAAATATACCAAGAACGACCGAGTGGCGTACAACGGCGAGGTCTGGCTTGCTCGCAAGAGCCATTTGAGTGTAGAAGGTGGCCGAACTCCTGACCAGGCACATGCGCTGTGGAAGCAGGACACGGCCTTTGCAAACTCGCCAGGATGACCATTCCCGATGTTGAGGCCTCTGGCATCATCATCATTTGCACTGTCGAAGGCCACCAATGCCACTGGAAACACTACAGACGAAGGCGAATCATGTTGGATTGCGCAGCAATGCTCTCCACCATGTTCGTTGATGGCGGCCAATTGAGCGCTTGTCGAGCACTGCGCCGTGAACTTAGAAGCTCTACATCTGGCTGCTTCGTGTCACTCTAAGAAGCTGCGACGGCATCTGTCGCTGATCCAACGGGGCATGGAGCACTGAGCATGCGAGGCGCGGCCGGGATCACGTATGATCTTCAGGATACCGCGCTGCCGAAGCAGGCAATGCAGTGACAGGACAAGGTTCAGGGTGTAAGCAATGACGCTCCAACAACATCCCTTGGTACTGCAAATCTATCTCACCAGCTCCGCCTCTCTCCACCTACGAGCACCCTTCGCATCTTCACCGGCCAGCTCTATACCACCTCCATCGTCGACCCCACGATGTCCACTCTCTTTCATCGCGCGATCCCATCTCTCAAGTACGCCGTCGTCGTATCTACATTCGGCATATGGCAACATCATCCGGTGGCATGGTCGAGTGGATGGATGGGCTGTCACTGTGGAGCCGGCCTTCACTCATGGAGCCTAGGCTGTCCCGTCGTGTGCATGTTCTTTCGCCTGCGCTGGATGATGCGGATCTTCATGGCCATTGATAGTGTGGTTGAGTTATAGGATATCGCGGCGCCGGTACGTATATCGGAGCCTCCATCTCGACAAAGCTGGTATAGGTGTACTTCTGATCCACCATCTGGACCCAACTCTCTGACGAAGGCCTGCTGTGCCAGTTGTCCGGGTTCGACCATTGCGACGTTGCCGTCTCCGTTGCTAGCGAACCAACATGCGGCAGCACCTCCGACGTCGCAACACCGGTGAAGTACATCGCAGCTTGGGTAGCACCAGCCTTCGCAAACTCCTGCGCGGCGAACTCAGCGCCAGGCACGAAACTCATGCCAACAACCGTGCCTGCACCGACCGCCATCATAGCAAAAGCGGCGTCAAACCAATCTTCTGCGTGTTTCTGGAGGCCGCGCCTACCCAGCTCCTCGTGGATCATGGTGAGTCGTCGCTTTGCGACCACCCTGTTGCGAGCCGCGATACCTGTGCCGACCAGGCTGATGCCGAGAGTGAGAGGTGCTTGTACCGTGCCGACCCATGCGCCGAGTTTGCCTCCCTTTCGTTTCCGGACGTTGTGTTTGTCGTCAAACATGAGCTCGGCATCGCTTGCATTGCGAAGAGCTTCGGCGAATTTGGCGTCGTCGAGCCAAAAAAAGTCGGCCAAGACCATCGTGTATATCGAGTGATGCTTGATGAGTAGCTGGGAGTTGGGAGGGGTTGGTTAGTATGGGTGGTAGGTGGTAATGTTGTTGCTGTTACTGAATGCTTTGCGTGGGTATGAGTGCTGCATCACCTACTTGGTGCAAGGTATATGTACTGCCCTCGCCATGTCTGCATACCGTCTACTTTGGAACAACTGTGCTAAGAAGGGCAACGGCCGCAGACAAGGGTGAAGTGTTGGTCGACGCACAGTACATACTACAAGTCCTTCTCAACCTACTGTGGAAGCTGAGGTGAAAACAGCGTGCAGCACAGGATCAGAAGGTCTGAGCACCAGAGAGAAGGCTATTGTTGGCGCAAGTATTTGAAAAGGCACGAGTTTGGTTTCGTCGCCTACCCGGGGGGTTTGCATGAAGGAGTAGAATATTCGCGGCCGTAGTCTCCAGCTATACCAGCAGCATGTCTAGGCGCAGAAAACCTCCAGTCAAGGTCAAGCCATCATGGCTGAATACGCCTTTGAAGTTGGTTTCGTATAATCGGCCGAAAGCCACCAACAATGCCAGCTATTTCTGGTACCTTCGCCGCGTCCCGCCCCGCTTGCTGTTTACGAGGCTCTTCGAATCTGTCATTCAACAACCACGGCACAAGTGGTTGGACAGCTGTTGCATGACCTGTCGTGGAGCCGGGGCGTTGAGACTTCGCTGAGCGCAAGAGATGTGGCATATGCTCCCTTGAACATCCAGCAGCACGGATCTTAGCCATCTCCAGGCACGTCCAGACATGGCGGACATGGGAACGATCCAACCTCTGCCCTTCTACGCCGAGTGGTCAGGCCACCCCATCGCCGACCTCTCGCTCGCACACCAGCGCATTCGCACTGCCAGCGACAAACCTGTGGTCTTTCTGGCAGGCGACTCGAGCCTGGACAACAAAGCATGGGTTCCGTCCGACGGTGCAGGCGGACAAATGTTGCCAGGGCGGATACCAGAGATCTACAACAGCTTTCTGAGTAGTCCAAACCCCAAGCCGGATGTTGCATACTTCCTCAATCAAGCTCTCGAAGGTAAGGCCTCCGTCATCAACGCAGCAGTCGAGGCATCTCTTCTCCGGCAGCGAGACGATGCGCTGCTGCCCCATGACGAACTCATCCGCGACAGCATTCGTCCTGAAGACGTACTCGTGGTCTCCGTAGGCGCAAACGACATCGCGCTATCTCCCACAACAGCCACCGCCCGCCACATGCTCCAGCTTGCCTGGTTCACGCCAAAGAGCTCGATCGAAAATGGTACTGCCTCGTCTTTGCGCTACTTCAGGAACATGTTCGGGGCCCAATTACAAGCCTACATCGCCCGGCTCGTCGCGAAGCACAAGCCTCGAGCAGTCATAGTTTGCATGATCTACTACCCGCTCGAGGCCCAGGCGAGTTCGCAAAGCAGCTGGGCAGACGCGCAATTGAAGATGCTGGGGTATGGCTGGTTCCCTGGTCAGCTACAAGCGGCTATCAAGCAGATATACGAGTCTGCCACGATGAGAATTGAGGTGGAGGGCACCAACATCATACCGTGCGATCTGTATAAGGCGCTGGATGGCAAGACTGAGGCAGACTATGTTGCACGAGTAGAACCGAGCGTTGAGGGTGGGCGGAAGATGGCTGTGTTGTTGAAGCGAGAGCTTGATGGCACATTTGGGTGATACAGGCATATGCACTGCTCGAGTCGAGCCAGACACGAGCTCCCATGCAGCAGCTGCTGATCGTTGGCTATGATCAAGTGTAATCAGACTTCAGTGTCCGTGATTCACAGGCTGGCATGCTTGCTTGCTAGGTCACAGTGCCAGTCCGCCCCTGCTTCTCGCCTTCAGACCAACCCTTTGTGTAGCGACGGGCTGCTTCAACAACTCGATGGACAATGTCCTGGGGTGGAGAGGCGCGAGAGCACGAATTTGCGCAATGGCTATCGCCCGACGGCGCAAACAACATTTCGACACACTAAATGGAGAATTGCGGGCTGCTGCTTGCCCATTGAATCTGCTGCCTAGCGACTACGTAGTGATGTTGGACTCTCCACCATTGGAATGAATTCTGAGTGCTGCAAAGGCTTCTCGGGATTTTCATAAGCATCCGAAATCCCGGGATCGAGTGGATGATTAGAAACACAATTCGCAACTTCTGTGAAGCATTGCTTTGCGAGACGTTGCCAATGAATCGACGAGACGTCCAAATCTGGAATGTGTGCAGCGAAATCTCCCGTCCACCGGACAGTTTCGATCCCGCCGGCGACAAAACTCATGCGTTGACTTTCGTGGGCAGCTTCTACTAAAGCATCATCGCATGGCAGGAAAAACATATAACTATCCCTTCAGTCGGGCATCAAGACTACACTTGCAGTCCAGGCTTTCGATACCTCGCAAACCAGCACCTTTCCGAACGTCGATCGCAACAAGCAGCAATGGCAACGCAAAGAGCCCTTCTGGTCGAGGAAATCTGCAAACCTCTTGTGCTTGTCCACGACCGCTCGATTCCAACACCACGATCTGGTCAAGTGCAGATCAAGGTAACTGTCGCCGGTATGTTGTGCCTGCGGATCTCCGCGTCTTTGTCGATCGTCGATTTGCTGACTCCTCCCGTAGGCCTCAATCCACATGATCAAAGGAGCAGGGATACAGGCCTCCTCATCGGCGACAAGCTGCCCGCTATCCTCAGCAAGGACGTGGTGGGAACGGTTAGTCGGATTGGCGAAGATGTCACCGGCTTCCGGGTTGGAGATCGTATCATGAGCCTTGGTTCCGGAGCCGTGATGGACTCCTCTCAGTCTGGACTACAGGAATATGCTCTGGCCGATGTCGTGAACTGCACGAAAGTCCCAGACAACATTTCCGATGACGAGGCGGCGACGCTACCTACCAACGTGTCAGCGGCATTTGTGGCTCTCTTCGACGTCCTGCAGATCCCTGTGCCATGGGAGGATAGCGGAACGACTCCAAGTGCAATACTCATTGTCGGCGGCGGCTCGAACTGCGGAAAACTTGCTGTGCAGCTGGCGAAACTCCGTAACATCCAGCAGATCGTAGTCGTGGGCGGAGATGAGATGCGACTAAAGAAACTGGGCGCAACGCACGTTATCGACCGTCACCTTGGTGAAGGTGCCGTGGTCAAGCGGATTCGAGATGCGGCGGGAGATGATTTGATATACGCCCTCGATGCAGTCAACATGCCGCAAGGGCTTGGAGTTGCTTTCAAAGCCCTTTCGACCCACAAGCAAGGAAAGGTGGCGCGCTTGTTGCCAGTGGGAGACGTTGAGGATAGACGAGGACATGACCTGCTTGATGTTCTTGGGCTCTTCTTGTACCACAACCCGCCATGTCTCGGCATGTGGGAGCGCCTGACAGGGTATGTTGAAGACGGTGCGATCTCGCCGACCTCGTTCTCGACCAGGCAAGGGCTTGAAGCTGGTGTCGTGAATGCTGCTCTGGATGAGTATCGAAATGGCAAGAACAAGGCCAAGCCGCAGATAAGGATCGGATGAAGGAGTATAAGAGAGATATGGTCTTGCCCGACAGCTGTGTGTATCCGAATACCCAAGATCGAATATGAAGCTAGAGTGCTTGAATGGCCTTCTCGTCAAATCACAGCATTTAAAAGGTCATGTAGGTAGTTGTTCCAAGCTTTGAGCGACTTTGCTGGCGGGGCTGCTAGTGGTTGTTGAGCGAGTGAGTGGGAGCTCCAAACCTCCTCTCCAGACGCTTGATGGCCTCGTACACTCATACATCTATTACATGACTACTTGTCGGCAACAACGACATCACAATGGGCTCTGAAGGGCCGACGCCGCTGGAGACTGCGAAGAGTTTGATCGACGGCTACAATACATGGGAGCTCGATGCGATCATGAAGCCTCGCCATACCAGCTGCACCCAGAAGGTCCTCCCGGCTCGTCTCAACCGCCCAGCCATGAGCAACGACGAGTATCGTCAGTACTTTCAGGGCGTGATGGGTCAGTTCAGGGACTACCACCTCGAGATATCTGATGCTACCGAAGACACGAAACGCCACAAAGTTGCCTTCCTACTGCAAGGGACGGCGAAGACCGCCATTGGCGATTATGCGAATGAGTTCACTGTCATCATACACCTCACCGAGGATGACAGCCAGATATTGGAGGTCAAGGAGGTGAGGATCGTTGTTGTCAGGTTTCGAAAATTGTGGCTAACGTTTGTGCTGTTCCAGTTTGTGTACGTGCCATGTGCCTTGATCAGAGCGTGATATGCATGCTGAGAAGTTGTGCTTCTTATTGATACATCTGCTAACAACATCTCGACCTTCAGCGATAGCGGATATAGTATGGACTTCTTCCAGCGACTGCGGGCTCACATGGCGGGGCAGAGTTGAGAGGGCAGATTTGCTCGATGGGAGAACGGTGGGGTAGGCAGGCAAGCGAGCGGCAGCCTTCGCTCGGGGGTTGAAGTGCTTATTGCTGACCCATATAATGATGGAAGACCTCAATTCGATATCGTTCTTGCTGTTTGTGATGAGAAAGCCAAGCGAGGGACAGTGAAAGAGGCCAACCGGGACAGAGCGAGCTATCTGATGAATCTTCTCGCAGACAAGAAGAGCCCGCCCAAGGGAGTGATGTAGTCTTTTCGGGCTGTCTGGTTTTGGGAGAAGGCTGCCAGACATGTCCGCTGGGCCGCTTTCACTGTCTGAGGCTTGAAAGCATCTTGGAAGAGTTCGGACATGACTGCCCCGAATACCGCTTATCGGGGCCTCGGTGTCGCAGTGTTATCGCCAGCCACCTCAATGTGAGGTAGCTGCCTGTTTGGGAAGTGTAGCTGTGTTCCATCTCGTCTTCATCATGTGCAAGTCCACCAAGCCAACCACGGTAAACACCCCACAAGGCTGTCGACGACAACATTGACAAGATGGGCAGCGCACAGTCAACACCACAGCCCACTCCGGCACCGAGAGTGCTCCCACAGCGAACCCGACGAGCTCAGCACGACGAGCCCTCCACCACCCTCGACGAGAAGTTCGACGCTGTTCGCATCGACCATGGCGGCAGTAGCTCGAAGTCACCGCGAGGCAACATCTACTCTTCAGACTCATCTCACGTCTCCGAAGCCAAGACACAAGAGTACATCAAAGAGCTGCTGAAGGACCCGACGAACAGACTTGCCTACTCTACCATCAGCAAGGCGAACCTCAACACAGTTCTGGAAAAGCAATCTACAATACAAAAGGACATCCAACTCTTCAATGTGAAGATCGTGCACGAGGGTGCGCCAATCACCAACCAACGAAGCTCTGGCCGGTGTTGGATATTCGCAGCTCTGAATACGGTCAGTCAACAGCCCCTACCTTCAGATCAGGTACTGATTGAAGATCCAGTTTCGTATCGCCATCCAGCAGAAGTACGGCATCAAGAGCTTTGAGCTTAGCCAGTCGTATCTCTTCTTCTACGACAAGCTGGAGAAGGCCAACTACTTCTTGACAAGCATTGCAAACACCGCCGACGACGCTGTGGACAGCAGACTCATTACCGCCCTCATGGCCAGTCCAGTCGGCGATGGCGGACAGTGGGACATGATCGTCAATCTTGTCAGCAAATACGGCATTGTACCGCAAGAACTCTACCCGGACAGCTTCAACGCGATGAACTCCAGACCCATGGACGGACTGCTGACGACGAAGCTTCGCGAACATGCCCTTACTCTTCGTAAGGCCGTCGCCATGGGCAAGTCAAAAGATGACCTCTCCGCGCAGAAGGAAGCTATGATGCAGGATGTTATCCGGATTCTGACCATCTGTCTTGGTCCACCTCCTCGAGTCGACGAGAAATTCTCGTGGAACTTCTACGATTCCAGCAACAAGCTCAAGAGCGTCTCCATGACACCGATCGAGTTTGCAGAGTCGACTCACGTCAAGAAGTTCATCTCTCTCGTCAACGACCCTCGAAACGAGTACAACCGCCTGCTTACAGTTGATCATCTGGGCAACGTCTGGGACGGCAGACCCATCACCTACGTCAATGTCGACAACACTATACTCAAGAACGCCTGCGTTGCACAAATCAAGAAGAACCTCCCAGTCTTCTTCGGCAGCGATGTCGGCGCAATGGGTACGGACAGCGCGAGAGGCATCATGGACACCGACTTGGTCTCGTACGAGCTCGGATTCAATGTCACACTCAACATGACGAAAGCCGAACGTCTTTTGACTGGCGAGTCGCAGATGACCCATGCCATGGTCTTAACCGCGGTTCATCTGGATGAGAACGACAAGCCTGTGCGATGGCGAGTGGAGAACTCATGGTCCACTGCCGCCGGCGTGGATGGATACTTCGTGATGTCCGATGCATGGTTTGATCAGTTCGTGTACCAGGCCGTCATTGACCCGAACATGGTACACAAGGATGTCAGAGATGTGCTCAAGCAGGAGCCGAAAGTGCTGCCGCTCTGGGATCCGATGGGTGCATTGGCATGAGCCTTCGCATTCTGAGTTTGCTTGCTTCATCCTTCACACGGCCAATCCGTGTCTTCTACTCGAAATACGAGCTTCACACCTCTGATTTCTCCATTCCTCATTTTCTTCATACCATCTTCCAGCCCTGCCAGCCCTCCCTTTTCGATACGGTGAGGATGAGCCTTCCAGTTTCTCTCCATCCACAACTTCTCCGCGATGCCATACCACTTCTTTGCAAACTCGAAGTCTTCTGGCGCAGCAGAGAACGCTGAGCCCTCAAAGGTGTAAGCTTCACCCGAGCTGGAGTACACAAGGAAGAAGATGCCTTTGACATCAGGTCTTTCGACCTCAGGACCGAGCAGATTGCAGTAGAGCTTTTCACCAACATCTGATCGAGTGCTTAAAGCTTGCGCGCACATATCTGCGATCGAAGGAGTCGTGACGCAGTCGAGGAGACGGGCCAGAGCGTTGCCGGTGGCCGTATTGATCTGCTGGCCGATGTCCTGCACGCGCTGCGGCAACAGTCAGCAATGGAGAACTGAGAGGCGCAAGCATGCTCTGGGCCGGGTACGTAATCGAGCACGATATCAGCGCCCAAACTTCGGAGCAGGTCGAAGTGCTGCGGAGAGGATGTCGTTATGACTTTCCAGCCTGAACTTAACATTGCATAAGTGACTGATATTTCGTATGATAGGGCCGCGACATACAGCTTTGCCAATTGTATGGCTGGTGTACCGGTCGCCGTGCTTCCACCATAGATCAGGATCGTCTTCTCGGGCCCCGCTGGAGAAACTGGCGGCAATGGCAGTCCAAGCACCTTATACAGAGCGTAGCCTGCGGTTCCGACACCGATACCTACGGTTGCGGCTTCTTCAAAACTGACAGCATCGGGAATGTGCATCTGGATGTCGCCATTGACCGCAATGTATCTTGCCAAGGCGCCATTCTCCGGGTTAGCATCGTTGCCTACAATTTTCGTCAGCACTGCGAAAATTCGCCGGAGACTGGAAGACTATTCACCTCCATGAGCGAAGCCAGCGATCCTGTCACCCTTCTTGAATGGTTTCATGACGGCGCTGCCGACCTCTTCAACCACGCTAGCATAGACACACCCAACAATCGTGCCGTTGTCGCCAGGCGCATCCAAGGTAGTGTGGTCTGTCGGGTTCAATGCGACTGCCACCACTCGGACGGAGATGTAATCGTCTCGAAGGTTTGGGATGTTGGCTCTTTGAATTCCAGCCACGCCGACAGCTTCGCGTAAGAGAGCGTAGTCTTCCATCGTTTGTCACAATCGTACGTTCCAGAAAGTCGCTTCGACGGCATGTTCTCGTCTTGCTATATGTATTTGCGCCAAGCACTCCAAGGATGGGATGGCTGACAGATATCGTTCTTTCCGGCGTTGTGTCAGCAATGCAACATGAACGCCGGCCGGGGTGGTATGCGGAGTTCAGCTCAGCGAACCGAGCTGCCTCTTTCTCTTGCTTGAGGGCTGCAGCCAAGTGCCATGGTGGCATTGTCATCCTCATTCTCGGACACGGCGTGAGGGCACCGTGCTAACGATCAGGTGATCTGGACTGCTTGCCTGATGGGAAGTGGGGTTCTTGAGCACGCGAAGCGACGCGCCAGATGAATGCGATTGTCCTCATCCACTGCTCTTTGTTAGCATAGTACCGGGACTTCTCAAAACCATACGGATTACATTGCACTCGCCGACTCAGCTCTGATCAGATCCAGGGCGTCCTTCTCCATCCTTAAAACTAGACCGAAGCTCCCCACCAGCTCCTCCTCTGGTGCTATGAGGATGCAGTCGGCCCGGAGAGTCAGAACGACCGTTCGTCGAGTCGAATGACGCCGGCATTTTTGGGAATGAGACCACAGTTTCCCAAATACCCTGATCATATGAATGCCGACTGCATATCGCTCTGGCTACGGCCGCCGACGACAGACGTAATGGCCCAATAATGAATGGTAGGTACATGTATGGCCGTTTTCAATGGAGTTAAGGATCTCCAACTCCTACCTCTGCTCAATTGTCCCAAGATTTGCATACTCCTTGGTCTCAACTGGGCTCTCAAGACTGCCGCCGGGTGTGCGATCTCCATCCATCTCCGGAGCGCTCTGCGGCTGCCTCTGCAACTCCTTCATGAACGCCACAGCCTCTGCCGAATATCTGCAACGCTCGCGAATCGATGGTCCATACCTCGCCAACAGGAAAGGAAATGGAGCGAAGGCAAGACTGAGGAACGCAGGTACACTGGCCGACCAGTGTATGCCTAGGCGCCCACACATCTGCGCTGTGAAGAGTGGGAATGCTGCGGCCATGACGCTACGGAGGACCGCCGTCCCTGCCAAGACTGATGCGGCAAAGATGGTGTAAGAGTCGACTAGATAGTTATTGATGCCTTGGAAAATAAGCACCAACGCCAATCCAAACGGCGCACCGGCTGCAATCGAGACCAGCGGATGAATTTCGGGGCCATTCGTCCAGGCAAACTGCTGGCCAGTCAGCAGCTTCAAAATTCCAGCGGACGGCTTGAACATACCCAGAAAAGACCAATTGGGGCAGTGATAGCTCCGACCATGCACAGTGGTAGCCTCGTCTCCGGCGGAGCAAACCCATGATGCTGGTCGCTCAGCTTCGCATACCGGTTGTTCGTCCAAATGTTGTACGGGATGGTGGCAATCATGCCGACGGTGACTCCAAGGAATGCCAGACCCCCCTCACCTGGAGACCAGCCTCGCCCTTCTTGATAGACGATCGGAAATGCCGCAAAGCACATGTATAGAGTCGCATAAACAATGGCCTGATATACGCTGAGGACGGTGACGATCGGCTCCACGAATAGGAGGACCCACGGTCGGGAGAGCGAGATCTTCATTGTTCTGGCGAAGGACTTGCGACCCTGCTTGACGTCGATCACGGAGCGATACTCGTTGCCTGTCAGCTCAGAGAGCCGCTTCGCTCGTCGTTGTAGGATGACTGGTGCGTATGTTTCAGGTACGGTGAGGAAGTAGACGATGCTAAGTCCACCAGTGAACACAGCAAGAAGGCCTTCTATCCAGCGCCATCCAAGTGTTTCGCCAACGAGTCCGCCCATGATTGGGCCGAGCGTTGGCCCAAGGAACGGCGTTACAGCATAGTAGGCCAGTGCCAGGCCCCGTTCCCGGGCCGGGAAGAGGTCGGCAACCACTGCTCGGCACTGATCAAGGAATTTGAGCCGACTGCCCCAGCGAGGAAGCGCAGGATGAGCAGTGCAGGCATGTTCTGTGACCCAGCAGCCCCAGCATTGAATGCTGTCAGCGAAACGTATGTAGGAATGAAGACTGTACGGCGGCCAAAAAGCTCGGCAAGAGGTGCCCATCTACACCTCCGCTGTCAGCTTGACTGGTAGTCGGTGCGCTGATTGACTCACACAATCGGACCAACTGCAAATCCCAGCACGAACAAGGAGATCCCAAGCGTATACACTTCCTCGCTACAGTCGAACTCTTCCATGATCTCCTTCGCGCTGCCAGAGTAAGCGCTTGAGGCCAGCGATGTCATGAGAGCTGCCAGGGCGACAATCATTATCAATGTCCACCGCTTCGCGAAAGAATAGTCCATGGGGTTACGGGGGTCGTCGTCCAGCCAGGTAACCACGTACGGATCGTCACGCGTGCCAGAACCGCCGTAGTTCCATGCCTTCACTCTGGGAGTGATGCAGTCGCTGCCGAAAACTTGTCGCCAATGCGGGATGGTTGCAGGACTCGCCATGATTGCGCATCTCCTTGGATATAGCTGTTGAGATGCCAGTGAAGCTCTGATGGATCGGGTTGGCCATTTGCAACAAGGTCGAGAATACGTTTTGGCTGTTCCGAGGTTGTCGAGTTTTGTGCCTAGGCATTCAGATGTTGTGGTTGTTGGATGAGTGAGATGCGGAGGAGCTCGGAATCCGGCACGTCTGTGGCGCAAGCTCTTGACGTCGTCGTTGTCTTCATGTTCAGGAACAGTGACGGAGTCAGAAATTGACGGTCATCAGGTCTGGACTGATGGATTTTAGTACACGTGAACACTCCTGCATACGAGCCGACACATCAAACAATGGTGATCTCCCGGACCCACCGGGATTTGTCCGCCTTAGTAAAAAACTTCTCGAATCCATACATCGCATGAGACGCTCCCACTCTGATCCACGTTCCCTCGTGATGCTCAAGACCGAACCGGAGATCTTCATCAGCATCCTCCTCAGGCACAACGAGAATCGCGGACTTCAGTCCGACCATCAACGCCCAGCACGGAAAGACGGGCTTGATATCCAAGAACACGTTTTCAATCTCGGAACCGCCAAAGTGGTATTCGGGAATATCCACGCATACTTTGGAACCAAAGAAGAAGGTCTTTGTGCCGGCTGGTGGCTTTGTGAGTGGAAGGAGCATGCCCTACAGACGCGTCAGCTGCGAGGGCGCGAACGTATCATGCTTGAAGTGTATGCATCAGGAGCTTACCCTGATAGTCAGCGAGCCGCTTTTGACATGACCGTACTTGTTCGGGCCGGGAAGTTCAGTCTGAATGTTGATGCAATTGGCGACAACATCAAGCCCAGCGTCTTCGTGGTATGTGTATTTCACCGGAGCATCGACGGATGCGAAAGACCAGCTGGGCGCTACATATGCCGTCGGTCGCTTAAGGGTGAAGCCTGTCTTGCTAATCTCGCCCATGTCGTCGTTGTGTCTAATAGTCCCAACCTCAGTGTCATGTGGGAGTGGCGGGCAACCGGGTGTGACAACCCAGCGCCACTTCTCCAAAACTTCGAGCCATGGATTTGTTCGGTCGCTGCCTGGTGTACTGTTGTTGTCCGGATATCTCTGTAGATAAGCTTCAAAGTCTTCGACCGACGAGAAGCCAAATGGCGTAGCTTCCGGCTCAGTATGAGCATGCCAAAGCAGATCCTGCCACAAGTGCGAGCTCCAGACTTCTGCGTAATACTGTGCTGAGGTTCCCTCACCAATAGTCGAAGCAAGACCTGCAAGAGCTGGAAACTTGTCACTGAGGTAGGTCAGTCGTCCTTCGCTGTATGCGGTCACAAGTTTCGGCCAGCCGCTCTTCCGGCGCGCTCGCCCAGTCTGATTCCGTTCTCTGTCCACAATCTGTTCAATCAAAGCAGTACTTGGCTTTCCACGCGAATCGTCTTCTGAATAGAGGCTGCGCTCACACTCCCAGTACCTGCACTCATCAGTAACAATCTCATGGCATTTCATTTCGATGACGGCTAGCATACATCTGATCGCGGCCGTACATCAGCTTTCGAGGTGAAAGGATCCTTTCCTGAACAACCCATCCCCGCAGGTTCAGCGGGTCGGATGTCACAGGATCCAGTGGGTTACCAAGCGTCCCAAGGCCACCGTCAGTGATTCGTTGCGGGAAGAATGTCAGCCGCGATGTCTGGCCAGAGGACAAGCTGACGGTTGCGGCAGCCATTGCTGAAAATCGCGTGTCCCGAACACCGGTATCATTATCCAATGGTTGATATACAGTAGAACGAGGAATGAAGACTCCGTCTTCGTCGGATATGGAACCACTCGCACAGATGGTGATGTTGGCGTCTGCATAGATAGATGCCATTCTCATAGATTGCACTGCCCAGTCTTCTGGCGAGTCTTGGATGATGCACAACCTGTCTACCCAGAGGTATCGCAGTCCAAGTGTATGAGTAATAACCACGGCGTCCGAGAAGGTCTTGGGTAGGCTGTCAAGCGGTATGTTTGTTTTCAACTCATTGATGTTTTGGGTCGTCGTGATCAAGGGTCGGCCTTTGCCCCAGCAATGGCTGAGGGCCGTGTAGCTGCTGATCTGGCTCTCTGTCTCGAAGAGACGCACTGTCATCGTACCTCCATCGCCAGAGATTTCAAGCACTCTCGCGGGCAGGGAAGCGTTCCTTGATTCACAGTCGTGCTGATCTCGACAGATCTTCATCCATCGTTTCGCAAGATCGAAGTTTGCAGCGTGGCGTGCATCAGCAGACCGTACATGCCCGGGCACAATGTTGCCAATGGCATCTCCAAAGCCGGCACATATTCTGACAGATGCATTCGGAATGAATGTGGTTTTTTCCATGGCACCATCCGCATCTCTCGGTCGGAGACGTTCGACATCTTTCGCTGCCATCATGCATCCGAGTCCGAAGAGGCAGTGCGGAGGCATGCTTGGGCCTGCTGCCTTCCAAGCCCCAAACAGCCATATCCGCGTGTCTTGGGAGATCTCGGGCACAGGGCCAGTTATCCACTGCGAGCCCCAGAGGTATGGCTTGTCGCCGCTTCCAACATCCGAGAGAATCCTCTCCCGCTGCCATTGAACAGCGTAGACGATGACCCGGCAGACCTGACAGGTACTAGAAGAAGCGATGATATCGCCATACTCGCGGTGAGGCACTGCGCCCTCAGCGGTCACGCTGGGCAGCTGGTCCCACTTGATCTGCGCGCAGGCATCGCAGACATCGACTTGCGAGATAGCAGTGGCAGAGGGGTGCAGTCCGAGCCAAGGGTGCTTTTGCAGGAGCTGCGCTCGGGAGACGGTAGGCTGGGTGGGGCTAGAACTGGCTGGGAGGAAGGGGGATGCAGAGGTGGACTGGTAGATCATGCCCCCAGACATGGTGTCGGGAGAGCGTAGGAAGGATGGAAGTAGCAAGGAGAGGAAGACCTACCTACCTACCTAGTGCACACCATACCTTTGCCTCGTGCAACAGTTGGCAGCATCAGCTGAGCGCCAAGCAGGATGCTCGTCCATCTCTTCCGCCCGTCGAAACTGCGCATCGATGTGTATGGACCTCCTTGAGAAGTAATAGAAACCCCGTGTTCGTCATAGCCAGGGTGGTTACTGGCTGTTTATCTTGCGAAGTCGGAAGTGAAGTCGACGGTGAGGGTGAAGGCGGAATAACAACCATCAGCTAGCGCCGGCCCTTGCCGATTGGACCGCACCTCGAGCTCTCTTCACTGACGCAATTTTCAAGATTTGTGAACGGAGTCTGCAGACATATTCAGCACACAACCAGCACAATGGGCCGTGGAAAGCATCACGGTCGGGGTCGCGGTGGCGGTGGAAGAGGAAGAGGCGGTGGTGGTAGAGGAAGAGGTGGCGGCAGAGGAGGAGGCAGCCGGCAGTATCAAGACGATCGAGTGTCCTTTCAAGATGTGAAGAAATCCAACGAGAAGCTCGAGCAGTACTACAACGCCCTCAACATCGTCCCTTCGGACGAGAAAGAGGCATTCTGGGCCGCTCTCCGTCGCGAGCTGCCCAATTCATGGCGCTTCACGGGAAGCAAAGGCCACGCCATCAACGTGCGATTGGGCTTCGAAGAGCGATTCTTCCCGCGCCTCAAGGAGATCATGCACAATGGCGAGCCCGTCGACCTCCCCAAATCGATGCCTTGGTATCCAGAGGGCTTGGCATACAGCATGACTACGCCAAAGAACGTCGTGCGCAAGTATGAGCCGTTCAGAGAGTTCCAGAAGTTCCTAGTCAGCGAGACTGGTGTGGGCAACATCTCCCGTCAAGAGCAAGTGAGCATGATCCCGCCTCTCTTGCTGGACGTGCGCCCAGAGCATTCGGTGCTGGATCTTTGCGCGGCACCAGGAAGCAAGAGTGCGCAGTTGGTGGAGGCAATCCATGCTGGGGAGGAGGAGCGTGTTGGACGTGCCATTGGTGCTGCTAAGGGCGACACCTTGAATGGTGTCAGCGTTCAAGGAGGAGCTATCCAAGATAACGGACGAGCCACTGGTTTGCTCGTAGCCAACGACGTCAACTATTCGCGAGCGCAGATGCTGGTGCATCAGGTAAAGCGTCTCAACTCGCCGAATCTTCTCGTCACGAACCACGATGCCACCATGTTCCCGTCGATCGAGCTCCCTACTCCTTCACCGCAACCAGGGCAGCAGAAGAAGGGAAAATACCTCAAATTCGACCGTATTCTGGCAGACGTTCCGTGCAGCGGTGTGTTGTGTCCCTCCTTTGCCCCTACTTGAGCTCTTGCTGATTTAATTTCTTTACAGGCGATGGAACGCCCAGAAAGAATCCTGGCATCTGGAAAGACTGGTCACCACAAAACGCACTCGGTCTCTACATTACTCAGACCCGCATCCTCACTCGCTCACTACAAATGCTCAAGACTGGAGGTCGAGTCGTGTACAGCACGTGCTCCATGAATCCCATCGAGAACGAAGCTGTCGTCTCCTCCGCAATCGAGCGATGCGGTGGCGTTGCAAAGGTGAAGCTCTTGGACTGCAGCGACCAACTTCCACGCCTCTCGCGCAAACCCGGGCTCGAAGACTGGCTTGTTATGAGCCGCGATGGAAACATGTATGAATCTTTTGCCGAAGCCATGGGTCGTGAATCCGAGGGCAGCAAGATCGTTCCAGGCATGTTTGCTCCGGAGCCGGAAGAGGAGATTCCACTCAAGCACTGTATGCGAGTTTATCCGCATCAGCAGGATACCGGTGCATTCTTCATCGCCGTGCTAGAAAAGCTCAGCGAAATCCGGGCCAAGCCAGAAAGCGAAAGCAAGAGCATGAAGAAGGACTGGGCGTTCACAAAGCCTGCATCGGAGGAGTCAAAGCCTGTGGAAGAGCCGAAGACCATGGTTGGAGGACTCATCGATGAGATTGAACACCCACAGCCACCCGCGCAGACTGCAGGCGATGGATCATCTGCAGCTGCAAGGCAGAACAAGATGGAAGGCGACGTCGATACTGGTGCTGGAACTAAGAGAAAGGCGCCGGATGGGCATGAGGAGAGCTCCCCCAAGCGAGCAAGAGTTGATGGAGATCTGGGTGAGGAAGACGTGCAGATGGAAGATACCAACGTCCGGCAGCCACCGCCTGCTGTAGAGATGGCAGTGGAAGCAGCCGAAGCAGACTCGGAAATGGCAGCGAATGGTACCGCCTTGAACGGCAGCGGTTCATCAGCTCCACAATCGGCACCTACTGTGGACAAGGACGTCCAGCCACCGCCTCGAAAGCGCCGAAGAGACGACCAGCCTTCCAACGAGGAAGCTTTCAAATACCTCGACCCCAACCACCCAGAGCTACAGTCGATCTACGCTTTTTACGAACTCGACGAATCATTTCCGCGAGATCGCTTCCTGGTCCGCAACCCAGCCGGCGACCCAGTCAAAGGCATCTATTATTCTTCCCAGCTGGTCAAGGACATCTTGGTAGCGAACGAAGGCCGGGGCATGAAATTTGTGCATGGTGGTGTCAAGATGTTTATGAAGCAGGATGTGCAAGGCCAGCCGGGAGTATGCCGCTGGCGGATACAGACAGAAGGACTGCCCATCATCGAAGGGTGGCTTGGTGAACGGAGGACCGTCCGGCTGTATAAGCGGACCACGCTGAGAAAGTTGTTGGTGGAGATGTTCCCAAAGATTGGGCATGAAGACTCCGCTGATGGCACCGGCTGGAAGGCGCTGGGGGAAATTGGCGAGCAATGCCTGAAGATGGGCATGGGTTGCTGTGTGCTCCGTGTGGAAGCCAGCGAGGACGAAGATGGCTTCCAGGAGTCCATCGTCCTTCCGCTGTGGAGAAGTTTGCACTCGTTGAATCTGATGCTGCCGAAGGAAGACCGAAAGGCCATGCTGTTGCGACTCTTCAATGAAGACGTCGAGCTGGTCAACCACAGTGCACAAGCAACGAGAGCAGGTCAGGGTGGCGCACCTCAAGCAGGCAGCCTTCCGGCTGAAGATGACGCCAAGGAGCTGCAGCGCAAGATACGAGACGCTCCGGATGATGGTGGTATCGTGATTGGAGCAGACGCTGGGGAAGATGCTGCGGCAGAGGGTCCATCTTCACGCGATGAGCAGCTCGCTGACATGGCCGCCGATGAGGACGATGTCTTGGCCGATGACGATGCTCGCAAGCTGGACATGGAGGCGGTCGAGGATGAAGATACCAAGATTGCTGCTGCTATGCCAGAACGGGTGGGAGAGGGTGATCGCGTCAACACCACCGTATAGCACGCGTTGCGGTTTTTACCATGGGTCACATCAGCTCACTGATCGTCTGGCGGCATGTAGCAGGTTGACTCAATACAATGTGTTGCCACTTTCCGACAAATTTCACTCGCTCTCTGAGCGACATCATAAGGTACGATACCGGGTCGTCTTTGACGCCAGTTGGAGTACAGCTGCTTGCCACGCCGGGTTCACGTTACATCCGAGAAGGCCTTCGAGACAGAAGGGGCCACGTTCGGAGTGGTCGTTCACGCGGTCTTTCTGTTCAAACGCTGGCATGTGCCGTGCAAATGCCCTTAGCTTTCACCTCTCCTGCTCCGCTGTTCACCTTGATGCCACGACTAACAGGCGACAGTCATCTCGCAGGTGGCAGTCATTGGCACGGCAAAGAGTGCGCACGCAACTAGCTCAGCAGAGCCTTGAAGCCGACTGCTGGCCTCGGGAAGCAGTTTTTGTCTTCGTCGCTCTTTGGGATGATAGACGAGACATCAGGAAAATGTGAAGGCTCACGCGGCTCTTGGACGAACATGACGATAGCTGTACAAGCGGTAGTCATACACATATACGTACAGCGCCTTCACAGCGAGATCTCGCCCTTCCATGTACCCTCCGTCAAGCCCAGCGCCTCCACCACATTTCTGAATCTCTCGCCGCCTCTCTCCTTCCTCTCCAGGTACCGCAGCAGCTTCTGCCGTCGGTGGACCAGTAATCTCAAGTTCCGCTTGTTGACCTTGTCGCCTCTGCCTCGTGTCTCCAGAAACTCTGCCAAAGTTCTGATTTTGGCGGTCAGGATGGCAATCTGCACTTCACTGCTGCCAGTGTCTGGTCCGACGCGAGGGGTCTTGGGCAGCTGATTCCCTGGCGTCGGTTCAATGGACTGAGGTCGGGGGGACAGCTGTTCATCTGTGTTGTGCCGTCCAAAGTCCTGAACGCACCTCGCTTTGTTTACACGAAGGCGGTCTTTGCTGCTTCCCAACGATAGCGAGGCTATCCGCTTGAGCGCCTCGCTCGCTGTATGCGCTTCATCCTCTCGAGCACTTAAGAGCTGCGAGGGCGAGATTTCATTCGTGCGTGTAGAGGTCGCTTCAGCGGCCGTCTGCTCGGGTGATGGGCCGGTTTGGTTGGGGGTGGAGAGCCATTGGCTGTGTGTAAGGCCCGAGTCGAGCTCGTTCTTGGAGAGGTAGAAGTTGAGGTGTTCGTCTCTGTCAGTCTGCGGACCGGGCGCATCTGTATCCGGTGACTCTCGTATGCGGGTACGTGTTGCAGTGCTGGTGGGTTCGGGGTCGATGCCGCTGTCGAAAGATTGGACGTAGGGTGTTGTCGCGCCGCGGATGGGATCGCCTAGTGAAGCCGCCCTCTCTTTCTTCAAGACCTCCTGTCGGCTCAAGTTGGCGGCCTTGCGCGCCTTGGATTGAGCAATGGCATAGGGGTCGCGATGCCGCCGTCGCTGTGCTACCGTCGATGCTTGAGAAGGGGTCGAGGAGGTGAAGGAGCGGGAGGCGGAGGCCGGCACTGGTGGGTGTCAGCAATTTTCTCATCACGACTTGGTTATTGCCCTACCACTCTGTGCCCTCAGACGCTGCAATAGAGGTAATCGGGGCGGCATCTCGCATGATGCACTTCAACGCTGATCCATCCCTCGACGCATGTCCTCAAGTGAGTTCAGATGCACTGCCAAGACATGGATGCATGACTCGCGCGCACGGCAAAAGTTCGACCTCGAAATTGGGCTTCACACCACTTGAGCTTCTTCGAATGGCCAGGTCTCTCACACACATCGCGCTATAGATCTTTCTCGCCCTCCTCACCACCGAGATCTCGCTACAAACACCTTCACAACAACAACAACACCGCCAACATGGCTCCTTCCAACCTCCCTCCAGTCTTCAACGCGACCGCGCAGGACATTGAGATGCTCCTGTCCGCCCAGTGCCATATCGGCAGCAAGAACATGCAGGTGCACATGGAGCCCTACCTGTGGAAGACTCGCCCCGACGGCGTCAACGTGATCAACATCGGCAAGACCTGGTATGGCTACAACTACAACGCTTCCACACGAACCAATACTAACACCATTCCAGGGAGAAGATCGTCCTCGCAGCGCGCATGCTCGTCACCATCGACAACCCGGCCGACATTGCAGTCATCTCCGCTCGTCCCTATGGCCAGCGCGCCGTCCTCAAGTTCGCCGCCCACACCGGTGCCTCGCCCATCGCAGGTCGCTTCACCCCTGGTAACTTCACCAACTACATCACCCGCTCCTTCAAGGAACCCCGCGTAATCGTCGTCACCGACCCGCGCACCGATGCTCAAGCTATCAAGGAGGCCTCTTACGTCAACATTCCCGTCATCGCTCTCTGCGACGCCGACTCGCCAACCGAATACGTCGACGTCGCCATCCCGACGAACAACAAGGGCCGTCACGCTATCGGTCTGATTTGGTGGATGCTGGCCCGTGAGGTCCTCCGTCTCCGTGGCACTCTTGCGTCGCGCGAGGCTGAGTGGGATGTCATGACCGATCTGTACTTCTACCGCGACCCAGAGGCCGAGGAGAACAAGGACTCCGCCGGTCAGGACGAGGCCAAGGTTCCAGGTGCCGACGACGCTGGCGCTGCTGCTGTGGAGAGCGGCTTCACGAACGAGTGGGAGGTCAGCGGTGGTACGGTCGGTGCGTTTGCGGCTGCCAGCGGCACTGCTGGTGCACCGGCTGCGAGCTCGTGGGATGCGGAGGGCGCTGACTGGGCTGCCTCTTCTGCGCCTGTCGAGACTGGCAACCAGGGCTGGAGCGCGGAGACTGGCGGCGAGACTCAGACTGGGGCTGGCAACACCAACTGGTAGATGCTTGCGAAGCTCTCCAACATCACACCACTGCGTTCGAAGAGATGTAGCTGTCGGAGGTCAAGGCTCGAGTCAACATGGCACTCACGAGGGAAAGATACCTCACGTCTGTAAAAGGGTGGGAGGGGAAAGCCCTGTGCTGGATGGCTCACATGGGTGATGTAACAGTCGCCCAGGTCCTACTCTGTCCATAGCTTCACAATCAAAAATTTGCCATGCAACCATAGCTTCTTCTAAAAGTCATGTCGTTGCATCAAGCTACCAAGCAACACATTCGTACTGGTGTATCCCAAGTTTGGAGAGTTTGCAATACTCCAAGTCATGGGCGACTTATCTGCTTTGATACAACTGAACCTCAGAACATACATCCAGTACCTTAGTCTGGTCGTTCTCGACATCCCACGCAAACCTCGTGCTGCTACAATCCTGCAACCCCGTCAGACATCAGCAGCTGCACATCGAGAAGGCCACGGACCGCCAGGCTGCTCCGCCAGCAACCCCTGACCTTGCCAGCTCCCGGGCCGCGCTGTCTGGCCAGGAGAGCCTCTTCTCCGACTTCGTGACGAAAGACGGGGCCACGAAACAACATTTGGAAAACTGAACATCCACTAGCGCCGCTGATTCACCAGCCAATCAGAGCCACTCTACAGAGCCAAAGAACTACTCGAAGTTCGTGAGCAAACAGATGCTGCTGCAGCCAGTGTGAGCACCACGTTGCTCAATCTCGGTCTTGGAGAACGATACCACGGCTCACCCCTCTTTCGCCGGCTGTCGATAGCTCCAGTGGCCGCGGCCTCGCTCCTCGAGCCCCTTCTCGAACTTCGAGACAAGATAATCTGGCCACGTCCTCCTCGACAGCAGCTTTTTGGAGAAGAGAATTGAACATGCGCTAGCGCCAACGGATCTGCAGCCAATCAGCTTCCGGCTGCCAGAAGCACATGATTGAGTCGCTTCAAAGTTCACAGCTTCCTATTCAAGCAGTCGCCGATTCATGCTTGCATCGAGGCATGGAGCTCCGGCTTGGCCCTGCAACCACCCCGCAGACATTCGAGAGGAACCAAAGACAACGTCACATTGTCAATAACATTGCTATGTCGATCTTTCTACCGAGCCTGGCTACCGCGGCGACTGCTCTGTCGGTTGCTGCGACTTCAGACTCGTGAGGTGGGAGTTGCGGGGCAATGTGGAGGATGTGCGTGAGGTGGGTTGATGAGAGGGGAGGATAAGTACGGACGATCTCCTCTACAAGCCTTGTGGCTGGCCTTGTTGTTCCTCTGCTCTCCCGTCCAAGAGCCCAGCAGAAAGTGGCCAACGATGCCGTCTTTCAGTCTTTCTCTCCTTCTCCCACTCCTGGTTGCCTCACCCACCCTCTCCTCCGTTTTTCCACGCCAATATAACACCACCTCACAGACACCTCCAACAGCTCAAACCAAGAACGGCACCTACGTAGGCCGCTACGCCTCAAGATGGAACACCGACTACTTCCTCGGCATGCCCTACGCCCAACCGCCTGTTGGTGACCTACGCTTCCACACGCCCATGCCGTTGGAGACGTACTGGAATGGATCGAGGAACGCAACGGAGTACGGACCTGAGTGCTTCGGGTATGGGCGTGACACATGGAGCCAAGGAAACTATGTCAGTGAAGACTGTTTGACGTTGAATGTAGTGCGCAGTCGAGGGAGTGGAGACAGGTTGCCGGTGCTGGTGAGTCTTGCACACCAGGACTTACGATGAGCGTGAGATATTGACGTACTGCAGGTCTGGATCCACGGCGGAGGTCTGGTCATGGGCGGCAGCGCAGACCATCGATACAACCAGACGTTCATGGTGCAGCAATCTGCCGAAGCGGGTATGCCGATTGTGGCTGTGAGCATCAACTACCGCCTGTCGTCCTGGGGCTTCTTATACGGCAAAGAGATCCAGGACTCCGGCAATACCATGAATGGCCTCCGTGATCAGCGGCTTGCTCTGCAGTGGGTACAGGACAACATCGCAGCATTCGGCGGTGATCCGGGTCGTGTCACCATTCAAGGCGAGAGCTCTGGAGGAACGTCGGTCGGCGCACAACTGCTTGCGTACGACGGTAGAGACGACGGGCTCTTCAGTGGCGCAATTGCTGAGAGTGGCAATCCAGTGGGACTCAACCCATATCCGACTGTCGAAGACTGGGCACCGGTGATTGCAAACATCTCCCGCGAGACGGGGTGCTCCAACGCCACCAATCTTCTGACGTGCCTTCGCGCTGTTCCAACGGAGAAGATGAACGACGTAATCAACTCAACAGCCACCTCCGGCGCAGCATATGGTCCTGTCATCGACGGCGATTTCATAGTCGATGATGCAGCAACTCAACTCCAACAGGGCAGATTCGTTTCCGTACCATATCTCCTCGGCTGCAATAGCGACGAAGGCACGGGCTTCGGGCCGCAGCAGATCAACTCAACGCAAGAAGTGCTGGATGTTCTCCAAGAAGAAGAGGGTTTCGACATGGCCACGGCACAAGACCTGGCGATTCTTTACCCGGACATTCCTGAGATTGGCGTTCCTGCCAGCTACCCAGGACGACCGAATGGCACCTTTGGCTCGCGGTACAAGAGGACCAGCGCAATGTTCGGCGACTTCAGCATGCATGGGCCGAGGAGGTGGACGGCGATGCAGTGGGTGAAGAATGGTGCCCAGGCTTACACCTATCGTTTCAACGTCGTGGTAAGTAGGCTCTGACTGCCATCGTGACCTGTCCTGCTCTTGCTGATCGCTGTGCAGGTGAACGGCGTCCCATGGACATCTGGTGCGGTGCATTTCCAGGAAGTGGCTTTTGTCTTCTACAACACCATGGGACTGGGCTACCCACAGAACGGCAATCCGAACCCTCTCGGAGGTCCCCAGCGGGAGAAGTACTTGGAAGTCTCCAAGCTGATGTCGAGGATGTGGATCAGCTTCGTGAACTTCGGGAACCCAAACAAGCAGCTCGGAGGTGAGTCGTCTCCAGTGTCCACTTCTGTTGTCAACGTTTCTGTCATCTACCTAAACCGATGGGAAGAAGGGCTTGTAGATGTCTCGACAGCCGGAACAACCCTAAAAGGTCTTAGAGCGGCTCGCAGTCCTTGAATATAGATTGTGTCTCGGAAAACCCTTCCACCGATCGGTTTGGAGCAGACGTAGCTGACAGAAGACAGTCGAGGCAGAGACATGGCCAGCATACTCACAACAACAGCCGCAGAACTTCGTGTTCGAGCAGAACATCACGTCCCACGCGGAACCGGACTACTATCGAGCCGAAGGCATCCACTACATCGGCGAGTTGATCGCCGCACGACATGGGAGGAACTGTTCTGGGCTTGAGGCGTGCGGATATAACAACACTGATTGAGCCTCGGGTTTTATGCGAGGGTTGTTTGAAGATTGCCAAAAAGTGACCGGACTTCAAACGAATACGACAGCCAATCAGATGGCGCTTTGTATGTCTCAGAATCTGCCTCGTGCTTGCCGGAAGCTTAATAATGGAGACACCATGGGCGACTCATGGCCCTAGCCCTGTTGTCCACTTCGGGAGAATCTGGTCGTGTGGCGTCTCCCTTCCCCGTGAAAGTCGAGCGAAGTTCTACCGGGACCGAACTGCCTTGGGCACAGCAGTGTCGAGTGCACATGAACCTCTTCTTGAATCGAAACTTGCCCGCATTCTCTCCTTCATGCCAGTGATTCTCTGCGTGTTCCAATCCCTCTTTTGCGCTCATCTCCACGAGACTCCGCTGTGAGGGACCACCGACAATCGAATACTTGACCTCAACATCGAGCCGCACCATCCTCGAGACGTCCTCTCCCGACCATGTCGATTGCAGACAACGCATCCGTGATTGTACTCTGCAGTATCGGAGGAGCAGGAGTGTTCGTCCTGGTCGTTCGTATCAATCCTCAGCCGGCATACCGGCATCTCGACTGACAAGGTCGGCCAGGGTTACGCCATGTTCTCTCGCTTCTACACTCCCGAGAAGCGGGAACCCATCGATACCGGTTTCAGCCAGCCGCAATATATGAGAGAAGTCCGGTTGCGGTATGCAGAGCAGCTGGCAAATGCGAATGGATATGGTCGGCGATGGTGAGTTGGCCGGCCATTGGTTTCGAGCGGATGTGGCTGACGGAGGAATCTTAGGCGCGACATGACTGCTCCTAGTCCTGCATTTTCATGACATGGTCCTGGTGGAAGAAAGCACTATTGCATGTGAGGCAAGACCGGTCTCGTCCGGTGGGAAGGGCTCGGGACGCAAACTCCGGTGATAGACTTTCCTAGTCACAAGGTGATGATGGGTTTGGGGTGGCTCTCATGCACCGATACCTGTTGGAACTCTTGTTGGACGCTTGCTGATGCGAAAGAAGATATCACTGTCGGGAGAGAAAGCCGGAGCCGCATAGCACTTATGGAGGGGCGATAACCGAAAATCGTGCACTGGGGGGCAAAGCGTCAATCCAGGCAGATAATTCTTACATCAAATCATAGGCAGTGTCGATGCGGAAGAAGCCATTTTCCTCTGAGTACCTTTCGACCTTGACCTCGAACTGTCCAGTCGTCAAGTTCTTCAGTAATTCAGGACCGCGGATCCTGTTGCATTCCAGTGGCACCACCGCATCGTCCAAAGATACCAGGCCCTCCTCCTCGATCTCCATCAAGCGGCGGGCGAACTCGGAAGTGCTCACTGAGCTGTGCATACATTCCTTTTTGGGCGCCTTGCGCATCAAGTCCAGCGCACGCCGGCGGATCGAAGGCACTCGACACTTTGCTGCTGCCAAGAACAAGGGAGGTGTCGCGCCGATCTCGAAGGTGAACACAGGCAGCTCTCTCGCTTTGGCGTCTAGGTATACCGCGGCATGGTCGACCAGCCGACGGAAGTGAGGTGTGAAGTCGTCGAACACGCTTTCGGCAAGATGCAGTCGTGTCGAGAGCCAGATCAGGGTCGAGTAATAGTACATCATGAGGTAGCTCGCGGTCTCTGGTAAGGTAGGTGTTCGCTTGAGTGTCACTGCGGCAAATCATGTTAGCCGCACCTCTCCGAAAAGTCGCAGTCGTTGCATTCTTCACATACAATCGAAGCGCTGGAGCCACTCATCGAGGCGCTCGAGTAGATCAAGTTGTTGTCGTAACAGATTCTTCAGCTCACCATGGCCGTGGGCGCTACCAAGTGGCGACGCCAGCCTGCACTTCGTTCGACTGAGTTCAAGCCGATTCGCAGCATCGCTTTTCGCACCGTTGCTCTCATAAGGATCAGAGTAGAAAGGTGGGTGGATTTCTGGGAGCGGTGAGACAGGAGGTCCTGTCTTCAACACATTATTTGGTGTCTATGGTCCAGACTATCAGCAAAGAATGGTCCGTAGGATCTGCTGAGAGCCGCTTACCTTGGTCACCATCCGAAACACCACACCGTACATTGTTCCCAAGTTGCCGCCTAGTCCTTCATCGCTTGATGGTGGGTCATCTGGTGTGCCCTTGATAAGCGACTCTTTCCATGCATGCGCATCCTCAATGAAAGGATCATTGTCGCCCATGATCGTAAAGAGAGCATCTCGCGCGTCCGCCATGTTTGCAAAGTCTTCTCGGTCTTGCGTCTTGGACGTCCCGGTGTCAATGCTGATCAGCCGCCGTTGAACAAATGCTGGCGCCAGTGTGCCTATGCGACGAAACATGTGTTTGATCATGGTCAGCAGACCACTGCCTTTCTCACCCCGAAGGTCCTCTTCGTACTGCTGAAGCATGTCTGCGCCTCTGGTGTGCAGCTCGAGCGCAGCAAAGACGTTGTCCCGGATCATTTCCGTGCAGAGAAACAGTAGACAGCTTAGCAAGGCCAGAGAGGGTGTCACCTTGCCCTCTGCTAGCCGCACCTTGAACGTCCGAATGGCTTTGTTGTAATGTACCAGAGCGTCAACGTGGAAGACATCCAGTTCTTCTCCTCCGTTCGAAACATGCGTCCGCATAGTACCGCTGGGGTTGCTGTAGAAGCTGGAAAGAAATTGAGGGTGCTCGTACAGTGTTGAGATGGCCAGTATGCAATCGGTGACGATGGGCTCAGTTTGGGCCAACTGCAGGACGTAGCCACACCAGAAGTCCCTGTCGAATGTCCCAGCCAGTCGGGGCGCCGCAAACGACAGGAAGAAGTCGAAGTTCCGTCTGTCTTTGTCTTTGATACGGAGAGACTGAGGTTGCTTGACGTTGATCGAGGACTCATTCTGACGCTTTGCTGGGCTGGCGGATGAGGAGTAACCATCGCATTTTCGTCCAGTCTTTTGACAGCGCTGACATTCCGGCTTCGTCTCATCGCACTTGATGCGTCGTGCTTTGCAGGTCGAACATCCTGTCCGCGACTTGCAGGCTCCGAGTCGACCGTTTCTCTTGCGGGCTTCCAGTAGGTGTGCTGAGGCGGCAGCATGCCATGATAACTCTTCCTGCACCATGGCCCGTCATCCCAAGGCCACTTCACCTATACAGTGTGTGTTCTTCTGCTGTCGGGGAATGCAGATGGGCTGAAGGTTGGGAGGCAAGAAGGGGCGACTGTACTGATGGGCAGTTCATTGGCTCGGCACTCTCCGCCGCTAGCTCATGTTCGACTGTTTGAAACCGCCAATTTCTCGCGCTTCGTCCAACTCTTGCCTCCGTACACCACATGTCTCCTCTGAGGGTATCTTTCCCTGCCTTCTGGCAGTTTGCACATGATGTGAAGCCATAGATATGTTCCACTGTGAGTTGGCGGACCTTAACCCTGAATGCTCGCCCAGCAGTTGGGAGCGGGCAACACTAGATTGATCACAGATTTATATGTGTCCACAGCCACTGCTGGGTACTCCTTCGCAATGTACGTATGTTCCGGTCGTCTGTGAGCTTCTCAATCCATATCGCAATAGCCAACGAGCAGCAAGCCAATCTTGCGTGCTGACACTCCCACGAGCATGGCTATAGAGTGGAGACCGTGGCGCTTGTCCCAAGGGTGTGCACCTCAACAGCAGCTCCGAATTGTCACATGTCAACCACAATCGCTTGCTTCACGATTGGCTTATCAGCAGAATCCTTCTCATATCTACTTCCAGGTAAGCATAGTTGGTCGCCAAATCTCCTCCTTGATCTTTCCCTGCCTCTTTTCTGTCTTTCAAACACAGGCGACACAATCGCTCCTTGACTCTACTTCACCGATAACATCCCCTCACATCGTATTTGGGCATCCCTGACCACTTGAGAAACAGCATAGATGGAGAATACATCCTTGGTTTACAGCATGTTGCCTCAATTCGTACGCAGCAAAATAAGACCAATACCGTCATTTCGAAGAGTTGCTGGTCACTACTTCGAAAATGGCCTGCCAAAACCCAGCCGTTCTATGATTGAATTGGAAGCTCACAAAAGTTCATTGCTGCAACACGAAGAAGTGCTCTCGCCTTCAACACCTCCGTCTCGACCTACCTCAAGTTGCGGCAGCAGCACCGTCTTTGCCGTCAGCGACGCGAGTACATTCCCGTGCGAAGAGATAACGCAGTCGATCCCGGACGAGTCTATGAGCGGTGTCAGTTGGAAGTTCGCATACGAAGGCTGCACCTTACTCAACCGCTCGGTCAACGAGGCCTCATCACAGATTCAGTTACCTTATCTCACGAGGAGGCTTTATCTGGACGGCGTGGCCTACTTCCTCCGAGCACTTCCACCGGATTTGAGCGAAGATGAGGTTTTGCAACTCCAGCAAGCCACTTCGTTTGACGTACACCGGATGAGAGAACGAACGACGACGGTGGCGGCGGCGAAAGATGGTCCCGTTGTCAGCGAACAAAATATCTGGAGCCTTGCGGGCCGGAGAAGCTCTATCACATATGATGTTTCAGCGAGGGCCACTGTTGTCATGATGTTTTTGCTCAATCTCCTTCTTCCTTATGTCCAAATGTTGCTCGCGCAGGTGTACAGGTGCGAGCGCGAGTTCAGGATCACCGAGCGGGTGATGAGTGGTGGTTTCACAGTTGGCGGTATGTATCCGACCTCGTACTCTTTCGCTGGGGGTTGTCCTGTCTTGAGGCGCAGTGCTGATGGTATTCGCAGGCTCACTGTGGAAACACAGCATTGCGATGATGCAAGAAGCAAGCGAAGGCATTCATGACGGTCTCGTGCAAGGAGAGAAGGCGAAGCAAGAAGACAGAACGTTCTTGAGAAACGTACATGCCTCAGTGCGATAGCATGCACGGTGACCAGCTGGCAGTCCGTCGTCTTTAAGCTCGATGCATTCGCCTCGACAAGCGGGCGTAATCCAGGCGTCTATCTGCTTTTTGAGAGCAGGAGTTGTGGTGAGACTTGTGCATGTCTACATGCATCTCTCACCATCTATATCTTGTCGTTATAAATCTAACAATGAGATCAAAGTTATTCTGGTGCAACGCTGGATAATTGGTAGGATCTGCGGCGGACGAGCTTTCATGTGATCGTCAAGGTACCCCTCATGCAGGGCCGTATTCGGTTCCCATTGTTGCGTGGAACCCCTCAGGCTGGAGTAGACTGCTTAATATCATCTGAACAATTTCTTGAAAACTCCCTCCGTCCATAAAGCCAAGATACACACCAGAAAGAATCTCGAACCATGGCGTCAGCAAACGAAGCACACGTTGAGGTTGAGGGCATCAACTACTACACCGAGTTCAGCCTCCCGGATTCTCAGGATAAGAACGCACCATGCATACTTCTAGTCCATGCCTTGATGTCTAACTTGCACATGTGGGATGCAACAGTGAAGTATCTGCACTCCGCCGGTTACAGCACGCTCCGATTTGATCATGTCGGCCACCACAACACTCCCCCACCACCACAGAGTAAGACCACCGAGCGGAGAATGTCTGTGAGTGGACAGCTGGCGTACCACATGGACGACATCACCCGCCACATGCATCAGCTGGTCAAGGAACGGACAGGTCAGACCCAAGTCGCGGCTGTAATCGGATGCTCTATTGGTGGCGTGCTGGCCCTGCGGTATGGGATGATGTTCCCCAGGAACGTCGATCAAATCATATCCGTTGCTGCTCCAGGGATCAAAGCACCGGAAGACAAGAAACCGCTGTGGTCCCAACGAATCAAGCAGTTCGAGGAGGACCAGAAGAACGGCACTGACACGCTCTGCCAAGCTACGGTCGATCGCTGGTTCCCAGGCGGGCCTGAAGACGACGGCGTGCGAGCAGAGGCGCTGAAGCATGTCAAGACTTGCTCGTTGGAAGGCTACAAGCTGCTTGCTGACACCATTCGCAACTATGACTACACGGATGCAATGCACACGTACCCGATTGAGGGCTGTCTGATCGTCGGTGGGACAGAGGATACAGCGATTTCGTTCGAAGCGCTGGAGTTCATCACGGGCTACATCCAGGGCTCGAAGCTGGTGAAGATGGAGGGGGCTGGGCATCTGCCGCCGATGCAGAAGCCTGAGGAGTTTAACAAGCTGATCATGGGTTTCTTAGAGAGGTAGTGGTCGCTGTGGAAGAAGGACTTCTCGCAAGTCAAAATGTTGCTTGGGATTGCAGAAGGAGCTTCTTTCGTTCAACGACCAAGATCCGCCCTGACTGTCATTTCATAGAGCAGTTAACAAACCATGTCCGTGAGAACGTCTTGTTCGCCGGCTGAGACTACAACCTCGAGTCATTTCAGCGTCAACGCGTGCTCTCAAATCAGCGAAAACAGATTCAAGGCCCATCCCCATCGAGGACCAAGTGTCTCCTAGATGAGTCGCAATTGACGCCTTTCAGCATTGGCAAATATCCTGTCAACCTTTTCTGCATCATCGAACCCCATCCCGATGCGCTTGAACGTCGAGTACTCCATACGCAGGCGGCTTGTGGTCTCCGCCGTTCCCACCTTCTCGAGAAGTAGGTAGCTTACGAACGCCTTTGGTCCTGGTATAGTGGATGCCTGCAACCACTTGGTGATCCGCAGACAGTAACAGCTTTTGGCGACAGGCTCGTCAGAATAATCGAGGGAACAATTCAGCATGCCACGTTTGAGCAGAGAGCCCGAAGGCTTGAAGACAACCCAGCTGGGACTGTTGGGCGCTGCCGTGGAGATCTTGCAGGAGCCGCGCTTCATGAACCCTTTGAGGCCAATGTGTTGTGCGGTACCCTCAATGGGATATCCATGGGACGGCTTCTCGCTGAACTCTGCATCTGCACTTGTCACTTGTTGCTTGCAAGACATCCGCCGGTTGAGCGGCCACTCCACGGCATCGTTGACACTTGCCCAGCTCCAGGATGAACAAGGCGCTCCTTCAGAGGTCTCTGCACTAGGTGATGAATGGCTCGAGACATATCCACCCGAAGATGCTGTCGTATGTGCGAGCTTCCCACGACGTCGCCACAACAGCTGCTCGTGGAAACCGTTGGACCACAGACCCTGGATGTACATAACATCGTCCTCAGAGCCTCCAATCCTGTCAACAACCCCTGCAATCGCCGGAAGCCTGTCAGATGGCTTGGTGATGGCGCGGTTGCTGTACTCTTTGATAAGATCGAGCCAATCGATTGTAGCATAATTGCGCACTCTTTTAGATTGCAATGATATTCTCAATGGCTCGAATGGTGTCAAGATCTTTGTCTGCAGATCTGGAAATGATTCAGAGAAGTGGCCACTACGACACTCCCAGTGCATTTGGTCAGGGGCAACATGGAGGATGGCTGTTGGCAGAAGTCGTTCCTGGAAGCACCAAGCACGAGTCTCGAGCCTTGCGCTGCGTAATGCAAGAGGCAGCGTATCGGCTCGCGTTCGGACGCCAATCTGTGCCTCTCCTATCAGTAACTCGATGGAGGGCGGCGACCGGTGGTGGAGCATGCCCGAGTGGCTGTCCACGGCCGTCAGAGCTGAGATGGAGAACAAGGCGTTCTCGAAAACTGCGCCCATGGAAGCCGATTCTCTGCGCCAATCGTCTTGGTCGTCCTGAATGATACACAGAGCGTCGAGCCACAGATAGCGTATTCCAAGTGCCCTTGTCAACCGGATGGCATCTTGGAAGGTCCTAGGGAGCTGGCCATATGATATGGCTCGCTGGAGATTATGAATGCGACCCTTCGTGAGAGTGAGTCTATCCCCGGTTCCCCAGCAATGGCTGAGTGTCACGTAGCGACTCTTCTGTCCTCCAGCGACATGGAGTCGCGGAATAGAATCATCAGAAGGCCCCACGTCAATCACACGCGTAGGTAAGCGTGCGTCATCCGGCCGTTGGCAGTGAGTGTGAGCAGTCGAGCAACCATCGATCCATTCCTTTGCTATGCTTGTGGCCTTCACGGATGTTGGATCATTCTCTACAGCGAGCGCAAAGTCGCCCTCGTCGGAACCGTTCGGATGAAACAATTCAAAGGCAATCCACGACATGTCTGGGGCCAGCGTCAAGAGCTGAAAAGCGTACTTGCCCGTAATATGCTCGTCCACCTGCTTTCTGATTGCAGGCTTCCTGACTGTAGGGGGCGAGTAAGGGGCACAGTCGTACTTCACGTCTATTGAGGCCGACTGAACGTGCCACTTCTCACTCAGACCGAGATAGTTCGGTATCCTGTCCTCACGAACGCGGTTGAGAAGACCACATATTTTGCAGCCAGCCTCAGCGGCAGCAGCGACAGTAGCATAATTGCCATGCTTGAATGTGAACCAGCCCTCTTCGACACGTCGCCAGGTTTGAAAGTCCTGGTGGAGGATGTTGGTCAAGAACGTCTCACAGAGGTGGCAGAGCATCATGTGCCGGTCTTCATCACCACTGCCTCACTCATGCGGCCAGATGGCAAGGTGATCTTATGCTCGCAGATCGATGACCTGGCAGTGTGTACGTAGACCCATAGACGTCACATGTGCTCGTTCCTAATTAGAGATGGCCTTCCGTTCGTACTAGGTGCCCTAGCAGACTCGGCTAGATGTCCAGTATGCTGTTCCGTGATTCCGACGACGGGATGATCTTGAGGGTGGAGGTCAAAGGAGGAGGACGGCTGGGGTGGGGTGATGTGCTCCCCTTTTCAGCGGACTTCCCGCGATTCATGTTCTGGCCCGTCAAGCCCGTCCCAGTTCCTGGGCTTCTTACGACGCCTCTCGCTTGCATGGCTCAACTGCGACCCGCTCGAGCTCCAACATGCCGTCTTTATCTGTCGCTTCCTGAACACGCCGACTTGACCACCCTCCTGCGCTCCACCACCTCTCCCTTCCGCTGCCTGTGCGCATAGCTTGACCCATCCCGTACAACCTAGGAACCCGCCCGACACTTTCTCACTGACCCCGCGCCGACGCAGGGCATGATAGTAGCGACAGGTCGAACCTTAAGTTGCATGTGCCTCCGCCGTGCGCATCTGCTGGACGAAGACGATCCGTACAGATGAAGGCGGCACTGCTGCTCTTCTGGCAACTTGCAGCATGCCTCGCAACGAGAGCAGCAGACCGCTTACCACCACCCGAATACGACGAAGCCATCGACAATGGGACGTACGGATACTACCCGACTCGACGGTACGTGACTGCGCCGGACGTCAAAGCACCAGAGACGAACTTCCTGCAGTGGAGTCCGCAGTGCGATGATGGGCTACTGTACTTCATCACGCCGAGAGGGTACAGCTTGCCTAGGCCGGGACCAATGATATTGGATAGAAGGGGAGAGCTGGTGTGGGCACATCATTTTGAGAATAAGTTCGGAGGGCAGGCGTACGACTTGATGGTGCAGCGGTACAAGGGCGAAGATTACTTGACGTTTTGGCTGGGAGATGATCGAGTTCGAGGACATGGCGCGGGGTCATACTACTTACTGAACTCGTCCTACGAGATCGCGTACAAGGTGGCAGGTGCCAATGGCATGTCTGCTGATTTGCACGAGTTCTTAATCCTGCCCGAGGGTACGGCACTCATGACCATATACGAGGTGGTTCCCGGCGATGTGTCGATGTTCCGCAGCTTTGATTCTGAGAAGCCAGAAGACAAGGACCCGAATTATGTCTGGGACTGCCTGTTCCAGGAAGTCAACATTGAAACCGGAGAGCTTGTATTTCAGTGGCGCGCATCGGAGCACTACAACGTCACTGAGACCTATCGACCAATCTATCAGGGCGGTACGAAGAACGATCCCTGGGATTGGTACCACATTAACAGCATGGTCAAGGACGAGCTTGGCAACTATCTCATCTCTGCTCGATATACGCACAGCATCACTTATATTGATGGCAAGACTCAGGAGATCATCTGGCAGTTGGGAGGCATGAGGAATTCATTCATGGATCTGAGTGGCGGTGATGCGACGAACTTTGCGTGGCAGCACGATGCTCGATTTGTGTCGCCTGAGAGGTTCCCAGAAACATACACGCCTCCAGAGCTACGACAGGGCTACACCTCCAAGCTGATCAGTCTGTTTGACAATGCCGCTGAGGACCAGCACTACAACTTTGGACTGAAATACTCGCGTGGGCTGCTGGTAGAAGTCACCTACCCAACACCGGGAACAGAAAAGTCCAGCACAGTGCCCTTTTGGACTGGCGACAAGCACACCCCAAGGAAAGATGACGAGCCGACAGAGGACGAGAAGAAGATCATAGCAATCAATGGGACAGATCCAGCCTACACCGTACGAGTGATCAAATCCTACGAAAACCCAAACCTCATCCGCTCCTCCTCGCAAGGCTCGATGCAGATCCTGCCGCAAGGCGAAGGGATGGATTCAAAGGTATTCGTCGGCTATGGCCTTAACGCTGCCTGGACCGAATTTGATTCCAACGGCACTGCGCTCTGCGACGTCCATTTCGGCGCAAGCACGTCCTTCGAGCGAGGTGACGTGCAAAGCTACCGTGCGTACAAATTCCGATGGCATGGCCGACCCAAGAAGCCACCGAGCGTAAGCGTCTCGGACGAGGACTCGCAGATCCTTGTCTCCTGGAATGGAGCGACAGACGTCGCCGAGTGGATTCTGCAGAGCTCAAACAGCAATAGCGAGACCGCCGAGTGGAAAGAGGTCGAACGAGTCCCCAAACACAAGTTCGAGACCGCCATCACTGTCCCTCCCGTCGATACCGGATCACGCTACCTGCGTGTCGTCGCTCTGTCAGAGAGCGATGATGACTTCACCCACGGCATCAGCAAGGTCATCGATCGCGGCATCATGGCGTCGTACTTTCCTGCAATCAACAAGAAGATACCCACGGATGTCGGGATTGCGCCTCATTTCAAGATTATGGTCATCGTGGCGGCCAACATCAGCTTACTCCTTGTGCTCTATGAGGCATATCGGAGGTACCTGATCTGGCGGCATGGCAGGGCGAGTGGACCGCTCATGTTCCGGAAGGGACCGATGTATCGGTTGTTGGGCGATGGATGACTAGCCGTTCGGGAGAGGATATTGGGTATACAGCATCCGGACTGAAGAGTGGAGTGCGCCCGCTCTGTGATCAAGGGAGAGGCACTTGTATGATATGTGATTAGCGTTGGCGCTGCGGAGTGAATATGTGGTCAAAGGACATAGGGATGTACGGGTGGGATCAAGGGTGCATTTGCTGGCGGACATTGGCATGAGGTTGGTCTCATGGAGGGCCTCACAGCTAGGCCAAACATATTGTATAGTCCCGTCTACTGGGAACCGACATCGATTGCACTTGTTCTGCTGTATTCTGTCGTCGTTTGGTCTGACTCCCATGGCCCGAGCTCAAAGTGAGACACCAAGGGTCCAGCTTCCTTCTCCCACCCAACCAACGTCTCCTTGCTGCCTCACGATCAACTTCAGATTACCCTCCAACTGCAGATTGCACGTGAAGAAACAACACTTCTAGGAATACCACCACCAAACCGAGATTGTGGCTTACCAAGCGGAAGCAGAGGCCTACTCCTCGTCGAACCCCAGCAACACGGTCAACGTCAACACCGGCGCCGCCATGGACAAGTTCAAAGCCTTCACCAACACGGTCGGCAGCAGCATCACCCCCTTCGCCGCCCGCAGCCAGCAATGGATCAAGGAGCAGACCGGCAACGCGGGCGAGAAGACGGACCTGCCGCACGACTACGTCGAGCTCGAGACACGCATTGAGGCCTTGAAGAACACGCACCAGAAGCTGTTGGCAGCGACGGCTCAGTATGCAAGCGAATCTTATGATTACCCGGCGAACCTCCGTGAGAGCTTCCAGGACTTGGGCAAGAGCATTGGCGAGAAGGTAAGCCATCTTGCCGTATACAACTGTATCACATGCCAAAGCTGACAACCGCGCGATAAGGTCAATCTCCTCTCTAAAGCCGGCAGCGCGGCAGAGGCTCAGGCAGCCATCACCGCACCACCGTCGGCGAAGCCGCAGCCCAAGACCTTCAACCATGCCATCGCTCGCGCCTCGCTTTCTGGCTCCCAGACCATTGCCATGGCGACTCCGCAGGGTTCCACCGAGCCCGACCCGCTCTCGCAAGGTCTCGAGAAGATCGCTATCGCCGAAGAGAAGGTGGGCGAAGCAAGACTGGAGCAGGACGAGAAGATACAGGGCAAGTTCCTGGCCGGCTGGAGCGCGACGCTGAACCAGAACATCAAGTCTGCCGATAAGGCTCGGACTGCGGTGCAGAACGCTCGTCTGTCGCTGGATGCTGCGAAGGGCAAGGCGGCTGCCGGTGGACGCCACGAGGAGTCGTACACCGAAGACCAGCGCAAGTCGATTGAGGCCGCGGAGGATGCGTTCGTGGAGAAGGTCGACGAGGCGACGAGCATCATGCGCAACGTCCTCGACACGCCGGAGCCGCTTCGCAACTTGGTGGAGCTGCTCAGAGCGCAGCAGGAGTTTCACCAGCGGGCTGCTGATATCTTGGAGGAGGTGGGCAGCAATGTCATGGAGCTCCAGCAGCAGCAGGAGGCGGAGTACAGGAAGGCTCGTGATCAGTAGACGGTCAGAGATGGAGGCTGTCACGATCATCTCCGCTTATGTTGGACGAGATGGCGCGGATGTCAGGTCAAGACGGAGCTTTGGAGTCATCCTCACGGCCGGTACGTTTATGCTATTGTCTCTCATACGAATGACCACAAGATAGCGCCGATACCCATGATACCAACATTTCCATGTCCACCTTTCTCATCGCCCATTCTCTCCTCAAACATCGTCAGTGTTCATCCTCTGTTCCACCCCAACATCATCACTCCGATCCATATGCTCTCCCTTCGACTTCTGCTCTGCCTTCCAACCTTCAATCGCCTTGCCAGCAACTCTGAACCCTTCGATGCCAGCCGGCATTCCACAATACGCCGTCGCCTGCAGGATGACCTCCCGGATCTCCTCTTCTGTGGCGCCATTATTCAGTGCCCCGCGCACGTGCGTCGCCAGCTCGGTCGAGCGGTTCTGGCAGCAGAGCATGACGATGTTGAGGAAGGACCGCGTCTTCAGCTCCAGGCCCGGGCGAGACCAGACCCAGCCCCAGCAGGCTTCTGCTACGAACTGCCCGCCTATTAGCACTGCATGGACGGGACATGTTTTGTGTGAGAAGAGACTCACTTCCTGCATTGGCTTGGAGAAGGGGTCTTTGGCGGCATTGAGCGACTTTTCGACATACTCTTTCCCAGCGACTTGGATGCGCATGCGGAGGCCTTCATTGTATAGGACCGCGTGGGCTTTCTCGATCTCTTCGGGGGAGTAGTCTACTACGTAGGTTGAGGAGGAAGACATGGTTGCGTTGGTAAGTTGAGCTGAGTTGTTTGGTCTCTTTTATGAGGGATAAATATGTTGGACGGAGCAAAAAGAACGGACTGACAGAAGCAAAGGAGGAATTGCTTATGCTTGCGATGATTTGGAAGTGTCAGTCAGTATATCGGCTGCTTGTCATGCGAGCTCGGAGCTCTCGAGTCGAGACTACAGCGCGCTTGTCATCATACTGCCGCTTTGGAACGATCTAAAGTATGTTGCGGGGTTAGAGTTGGTGGAGCTTGCGACTTGGAGCTGTTTGGAGATGGATGTTGTGCATTGCCGAAGTGTACGAGGGGCCAAAGGAAGTTAAAGGAACCGGCAGACTTTCGAATATGATCGTTTGAAGGTTTGACATTAAGGTTGTGGGATATCAAATTGACTACTTCTAATATGGCCAGCAACAAGACACTCCAACTTCCACCCGCAACAGCGGACCAGAAATATGTCGAAGTGTCGCCTATACCAGGAGGCTTCATTACGCTCGACGAGCACTTTTTTGTCAAGCCTTTCACCGAAGGAGCAAGACGCACGGTACCTTCGCTGACATTCTTGGTCAAACATCCTGGGTCGAACAAATTTGGCGGCGACCCATCGAAGCCCTTCCACCTCATGTTCGATCTCGGCCTGCGGAAAGCAGCAGAACGATATCCAGAAGTACTACAGAAACATCTCGAAGGCAGAGCGCCGTATGACCTCGCTCCAGGCGTGGCAGCTCAGCTCAGAGAAGGGGGCCTGGACCCAAGCGATGTGAACTTGGTCATGCTGTCACACGTCCACTACGACCACCACGGCGACCCGGAGGACTTCCCCAACGCCCAATTTACGATCGGCCATGGCGCAATGCACGTCCTCAAAAACGGCCTCGGCGGCTACGCTTCCCATCAACACTTCGTCCCCGACACCCTTCCCGACGACCGATCCAGCGAGCTTCCCGACCCCTCTGGCGGACAATGGAAACCCCTAGGTCCCTTCCCAGCAACCCTTGACCTCTTCGACGATGGGTCCGTCTACGTGATCGATACTCCCGGCCACCTACCCGGTCACGTGAACCTCCTCTGCCGGACAAAAGAGAAATGGATCTGTCTCTGCGGCGACGCGTTCCATGACCGACGGTTGCTGACGGGGGAGAAGGAGATAGGGGAGTTCAAGAGTCCGCATGGGGTGATGGTGTGTATTCATCTCGACAAGGAGGCGGCGGCGGAGTCGATCAGCCGGTTGAGGGAGTTGCATGAAGGGGTGGGCGAGGGGGTGGAGATCATTGCGGCGCATGAGGACGAGTGGTGGGAGAGGAATAAGGGGAAGAGGTTTCCGGGGAAGTTGTAGCAGCATTTGGTAGTGACGAGGCTGTTGCTGATGAACGCTGCATTCGTTTACATTGACACCGTCTCGCTATCATACATGTACAAAACTCGTCGCTCAGTTGTACAGACTAGTGATTTTGCTCCCTCCATTCGGCAACTTGCACCTCAGTATCGCTCCCGGATGCTCTCGTGTATCAACACCAAAATTCCAATCAGGCTGGAAGAACAGCTGATTGATGTTGAGGTAGATGTATCCATCAGCGCCAATGCTGGCACCATCAGGCCAGATGATTCTAGGATCACGAACAAAGCCATGCGTCAATCCATCGTTCGGATCAAAATAGTAGACCGCATTGTGCTCTGGCATCAGTTGGTAGATCAGCCCGTTCGAGTCTCCTTCGAAGCCATTGGCGTTGCCGCCTCGTTGGCCGTGCGAAGAAACATTCGCGTGAGCCTGTACTTCGGCCAGTCGGTTGCTGTCCCTCGCACGGAGATTCTGCGTCGGGACTGAGTACAGATAGTTCGTCGACAGCGGACTATAGTACATCCTCTCCCCATCCGGACTTAGTTGGATGCCGTCAAGTCCCTCCACCTGCCACTGGATCGGCATGCCACTCTGCCTGAGATAGAACGGCTGCCCTTGGTAGCTCGGCACATCATTGAAGCCTCTCAGCACGGAATAGTCCTGCGTCAATCGTCGCCAGGACTCGCCCGTGCCGAGATCGACCATGATGAAGCCCGGTCGGCCTTCATTGGAGCTGTCGACCAGGTAGGCAATTCCTTTGCCTGAGGTGCCGGAGAGGTTGGAATGAAAGTCGAAGCGCAGGTCGTTGAGGTAACTGTCGGGATAGTGGACATCGGACGGGAAGGTGTAGGTTTGATAGATGGTGTTGTTTGAGAGGGAGATGGCGACCAGCTTGGGGCCTCCGGGTTGAGCGTACGGCATAGATGGGTCGCCTTGGCCGTTGTAGACGGTCGGGCGGCCTGTGTCGAGAACCCAGAGCGTCTCTGGGCGGGAAGAAGTTTGGGTGGTGATGTAAAGTGCCTGGACCGAGATGAAGCCTGATGAGTTGGCGGAGCCGAAGGGTATGCCATTGTAACTCGTGTTGAGCTGGTCAAGCGGCAGGTTGAGGTCCAATGATGGGTACGGTCGTTCAGCGGTCTTGTTGACCACTGTGCCTAGGGTGTAGCGGTACGTCCCTCGAGTGTAGCTCGTGAAGATTCGCCCATCTGAGGCTACTGCAATTCCGATGGGCCATTGATCGTAGTCTGATAAGAAGGTCAGTCAAAAAGCTCTCTGATGCTCGAGCACGAATGCTACTCACAGTAGTGCACTTCCTCAATGTCAGGCCCGTAGGTCCCATTGTCCACCCGTAGTCTTGTCGTGGAGGAGTTCTGGAAGGTGACTTGAGCTGTGACGCTGCCGAGGAGTAACAGCAGCAAAGCAGAGTAGAATGGCAACATTGTCGAGGAGTATTGACGACGGGCATATGAATTGACCAGGAAGAAACGGAACAAGACAGACCTTCTGTATACTTGCTAATATACTTCCAATGGCCCGGACGACGCAGGACTGACGTATTGCATTGCGTTCCACCGCTGTGGACCACGGACGGTAGATGCGAACTCAAGACCTACTGTAGATACGACGTACCGTCTCAGCTTCTCCTCCAGAATAACTTTCCAACTACAACGATGAAAGTGAGATGGCGTTGTTGGCCTTTTAAGGTGGATGACGAGAGAAGAAGAATTCTCTTGACAGCGCCCGACTTCAGCCTTCCAAGTTCCCAACATTTTGCCTTGCACCGCATTGCCGGCCACATCCATACTTTACAGATGCAGTCGCACGCGTGCACAAGGTAAATAACTGCTATCTGTTCCTCTTCCTCCATCTTCCTCCTTTATTTAACCTAAGCACTCCCTCCCAGTCCATTGCCCTCACAAATGTCTCGTACTTCCATCGTTATAGTAGGCACCGGATGGGCCGGCTACACCATCTCACAGAAACTCGACGACAAGAAGTTCGATATCACAGTCATCTCGCCAGAAGAAACGTCGCCTTATACTCCGCTTTTGGTGAGGAACATTGGAACGATACTCTAGACTAGCAGAAATGTTGACAGAATCTCGCAGGCAAGCGCGGCATGCGGTCTCTTCGACTTCTCCCTCGCAGAGGAGCCTATCCGCCACAAGAGCAAGAACATCTCCTACTATAAAGCACGTGTACAGAGTGTCGATTTTGACTCCAAGACATGCAAGTGCCGCGCCGCCTGCGATGTGGACGGCGGAAGCACAAGAGAATTCGACGTCTCTTACGACAGACTCATCCTGGCCCCTGGGTATGCCACAGCCAGGTCCCGTGCATGTCTAAAGCTAATCAATCGCAGCTGCGTCACAAACACCTTCCGGACTCCGGGAGCAGATGAGCATGCGTTCTTCGTACGCAATGTCGCCGACGCGAAGAGAGTCCAGCATCGCTTGATGCAACTGCTGGAGCTGGCGTCCATCCCCGGCTTGACAGACCAAGAACAGCGAGACCTCCTTCACATCGTGATCGTAGGCGGTGGACCTACTGTTGTGGAGATCGCGGCTGAGATGAGCGACCTGTTCAACGACGACTTCTCCAAGCTGTATCCTGACCTTAACGGCAAAATGTCCGTCACGATACACGACGCTGCCCAGTTTATTTTAGGAGCCTTCGAAGAATCACTGAGACAGCACGCCATTAGTAGCTTCTCCAAGAGACACGTACAGGTTGTGACCGGCTCCAAAATCAAGGAGGTCACGACCAACAGCATCACCACAGAAGCGGAGGGACGCTTGGGATGCGGGATGGTGATCTGGACCGCCGGCAACAAGCAGTGCGCGCTCGTCGACGGACTCGACGTGGCAAAGACCGATAAGCTTCCGAGAATCATGACAGACGATTACCTGCATGCCCTGTCGCCGGACAAGACATCAATGCGAGACGTCTTTGCGATAGGGGACGCAGCAGACATCAAGAAGCAGTTCCTGCCCACCACGGCAGAAGTGGCGGTTCAGAAGGCAGAATATCTCGCAAAGATGCTCAACGCGGACGACACATCGACGCCTTTCGAGTACAAGCAAAAAGCGCTGGTTGCCTACATCGGCGGCCATGATGGCGTAGTTCATGGTAGGCCTGACTGGAGTGGTGAGCGGGCCTGGGCGGCTTGGAGATCGAAGAACTTGCTCTGGACGAGAAGCTATCGAAGGAAATTCATGATTGTGTTGTATTGGTTCTTGGACTGGGCGGGTGGGAAGGAGATTGCGCGGATATGAGTTGATGTTTGGTGGAGGTGTTGGGAACGCTCTCCTCTCAATCTACTGTATGTGAGCAGTGTGATCGATATGAAAAAACGTGGCCTCGAGGCCTTACGACGAAGGCACTGTTGGGATAATAAGGCGACTAATGTGCTCCCCGCCAACGTGAATGCTATGCCGCCCTTTGTTGGCGTTCTGCATCGCACCGCGCAGAGGAGGGAACTCGGCCAGCGTCATTGGGTGGCCGGACACCTTCAAGACGAGCTGTTCGCCTGCCTCGAACCTGATTCCAGTCTGCCACAACCCTATCTCGAGCTGGACAATCTGTCCTCGCTCCAGCATCTCGCGCTGAGAGAAGTTGTGCTCGGGCCAACGTTCCGTAGAAAGGTTCTGGTCGATCTGGCGATAGCTTGCGCGAAGGGCACCAATGGGGCCAAGATAGACCATGGGGTTGACGAGCTCGACCTTGGTCATGCCGACAGCATCGCGGTCTTCCTTTGGTATGTTGATATACTGAAGGACTTTCCCGCTAGCGTCTGTTTTGTGGATCTGAATGTGCACGTCCATGTCGTCGTGATCTGGGGTCGACATGAACAGAACGGCGCGGGCAGAGCCGAGCAGCGTGCAAGCGTGCTCGAACTTGTGCGTGAAGCTCAACTCCTCGGTGTCCTGGTCCATCTGTTGTGCGGGAACGTCTGCTTGGTACGAGAGAGCCGCCTTGTCTGTGCAGGGCTGCGCAGCTAATGCTCCATTTGGCTGGAGGTACAAGGTCTTGAGCTTGGTCTCGGCCCGGAGGCCATGTAGAGAAGGGTTTATTCACTTGCGTTTCCTACGGTTGGGCAGATCATTAGATGCTCCCGACGGACTATTCGAAAGGTCATACCTCGTTGTTTCCGAGAAGCGAGACTCTGACCTTTGGTGTCTTCTCCCATCCATTTTCGATGCCCTTGAGATATCGGTCCAGGAAACCTTGCAGCTCGTCGTTGGTGGACTGCTTATACAGGTCGTGCCATTCCTGTGTAGCGTGAACTCGAAGCTTATTCTGAGAAGTCATCACTAGTCGATGGTGGTTGAAGGCAAGCAGACACTCACCATTGGTTCTCGTTCTGAATGGCACTGAACCCTCTGAACGAGCCAAAGGTATGCAGACCGGTAGAGTAGCTGGCCAAGACATAGGCTGGGACGTTGATCCTCTCGACCTTCGCTCGCTTGTCTTCCCAGTATTCATTGAAGTGAGGGTACTTTTGAAGCATGCCAACGACATCTTCTTGCTTCTGACGGCCTGCGCGAAGATGTTGGTCGATGAAAGATGGGGACGAAAGTTGTCTTACCATATAACTTCGACGCCAGAAAATGCCAGAAGGCAGTCTGAGGGATTCCCCCCTCGGCACAATATGTCGCGGTACAGGTCAGCAGCTCCCTCGAATGGAGCTATGCATTTCAAGTGAGGTGGTCGTTCTACAGCTATGAACCACTGGGCAATGCCTAACCAGGAGTTGCCGACAAAGGCGATGTTGCCGTTGCACCATGGCAAACGCGCCAGTTCCTCGACCAAGTCGTAGCCGTCCTGACCCTCTTTAGTTCCGAAGGCGCTGAGTCATGGTTAGTCTTGTTCTGCTACTCGTCTACCAAGAAACGGAACGGCGTACAGAATGCTACCTTCGGAGTCAAATGCTCCTCTGGCATCCGGGTTGATGATGGCGTAACCTCTAGCAGTCCATTCGGCCGGGTCTGGGGCCTCAAACTTTTCGAACCCAGAAAGACGGTCCGTCGGTATCCCTACGCGGCCAGGCGCCATGTCGACGCGGAAGAAACCTGTGGAGTAAATTTGTCAGTCGGTCTGGCTGCAGTGTAGAGATGGTTGCACGTTGCCCCGTCCGGATTTGCCATACGGGCTCCAGGCAATCAACGCAGGTACTGACTGGTGATCCGAGTCAGCCGGTCTGAAGATGTCAACGCGGATCTTAATGCCATCGCGCATGGCAACCTCAACATCCTTCTCCCAGATTGTGTCAGCCTGGAAGGATGCAAGCTCTGGGCTCTTTCGCCAACCGGATTTGATATGCTCTGTGCGAGCATCCGGTCCGTCGTAGAAGTCTGCATCTTCCGGACGACTTGTGTCACGCCAAAGAACAGTGGTGCCGGCCATAGTGGACTGAGACTGCAACGGGATGGTCCGGATACCGAGGACGTCTAGGGGATACTGACCTACCTTATATACATCGATGCCTTACCACTTTGTTGCGCAGTCGCCCTTGAATGCCTCTGCGAAGATCCGAGAGCCGCCTCGCATTCTGGATGTTATAAATCCGGAGTAATATAGCATAGTATGATGTTAGAAATCTGAAGTAATTAGGAGCGAGGAGAGCTTTCTATGATTCCCCAGGTTCTAGCGCGGCAAGGTATTTCTTACATGACTGTAGCACTCACGTCGCGAGGATATGAGTGGGTAGTGGTGGTGGCGGTGGTATCGTGAATGCTCCCCTCCTGATCTAACCTGCTCGTTGCGAGCTTTGTATATGAACATCTCTCAATATCGATGTTCTCGATTGCTCTCCACTCTTCACCACAGATGCCATTTCTTTGTAATGCTTAAATACATGTACATGTAGATGCTCGTCTCATCTCAGGCCACCCAGTTGCCAAGCCGACGTCATTTCATAGGTCTCACCTCGCGACTGCTTCAGTCGGACCAAGGACTTACCATGACCAAGCTCTGCACCGCCTCCCTGACTTTTCGAACCCACGAGGAGCCGCGGAAGCCATGAAGTCGACAAAAGACCGCTAATCCCCCTCTTCCCCACTACCTCCCACATCCCCATGGCCTCCATCCTCCGCCAAATCGTCGCCGGCCCGCGCGCCCAACACGCCGAATCCAACCTCGACCTCTGCTACGTGACCCCCTACCTGATCGCCACCAGCGGCCCGGGCGCCACCTACCCGCAAGTCGCCTACCGCAACCCTCTGAAAGATCTCGTCAAATTCCTCGACTCCAAACACCGCTCGCAATGGGCCATCTGGGAGTTCCGCGCCGAGGGCACCGGATACCCGGACTCCGAGGTGTATAACCGCGTCTGGCATTATCCGTGGCCGGACCACCACCCGCCGCCTTTTGCGCTGATACCGTTGATTATGGGGAGCATGCGGCAGTGGCTGAAGGATGAGCAGGAGGAGGGACGGGTAGTGGTGGTGCATTGTAAGGCCGGGAAGGGGCGGAGCGGGACGGTGTGTTGTAGTTATTTGATCAGTGAGGAAGGGTGGACGGGCGAGGAGGCGATGCAGCGGTTTACGGAGACGAGGATGCGGCCGGGGTTTGGGGTGGGAATAAGTATCCCCAGTCAGAGAAGGTACATTGGGTACGTGGAACGATGGACGAAAGGCGGGAAGATGTATGTGGAGCGGGCGGTGGAGGTGGTGGAGGTGCATGTTTGGGGATTGCGGGACGGGGTCAAGATTGCGGTCGAGGGGTATGTGGAGGAAGGGAAGAAGATCAAGAAGTTTCATACGTTTCATTCGCATGAGAGGGAAATCGTACGGGGTTCGGCAGCGAAAGAGACCGGGTTGGCGGATGTGGCGTTTGAAGTGCTGGGGAGGAAGAAGAGTGTCAAGCACAAGCAGAGCTCAGCGGCGACTGTGGAGCAAGATCCAGAGATCAAGAAAGCACTCAATGGCGCAGATGAGAAGGTGAATGAGAAGAGAGACGAAGAGCAGCCTATTGGGGCTGATGTCATCTTCCGGCCTTCGTCTCGTGTCGTTCTGCCTTCGAGCGACATCAACATCGACCTCGAGCGTCGTAACAAGGCGAGTCTCGGCGGCTTCACGATGGTTACCTCTGTTGCGCATGTCTGGTTCAATACGTTTTTCGAAGGCAACGGTCCCGAGCAAGGTGGATCACCTGACGACTCCGGCGTCTTCGAGATCGACTTCGACGCCATGGATGGCCTCAAGGGCAGCAGCCGGAAGGGCACTCGGGCCTTCGATAAAATGGCGGTCGTCTGGAAAGCTGTCGATGTGGGTCGAAAGCCTGAAGTTGTCATCACTGAGCCCGCAGAGGGTGAAGAGGTTAAGCAAGCCGAACCAGCAGACTGGAGAGGCGAGAAACCGACACTGTTGAAGAAGAAGTTAGGTCTGCGACCAGCAGAGACGGACAGTGGATCCGTCAGCCGAGCTAGCAGTGTTCGATCGCAGCAGAGTGAAACGGCGTACGACTCTGGCGATGAGCTGAACGGTGTACGCTCTGATGTGAATGGCGTCGATGCGGCCGAGTCCAGCCCCCTGAGGGAGAGCAGTCCTCCGGGAAATGAAGACACAGGCACTCAGGTCCCTACGCCAAACCCACCAGAGAAGTCGCATACAGATCCACTGCCCATATCACAGGCAGATGGTGCTGCAGACCTTCAGTCAGGGACAAAGCACGTTTCGACTTCCGACCTACCTGAGGGCTTGCCAGCAGATGAGATGAAGGACGCCAAAGAGCACAGAATTGGGGAGATGGTCCGGAAGCAAACGAAGTGACCTTACGAAGAACTGGAGGACTATATTGCAGGCTTAGCGAGGAGTTCCAGGCGCTTGATCGGATTGATACCCAGCCAGCATAGAATGTACAGATACAGTAGATTACCAAAGGTCACACGACCCAGACTGTTACAGTTCTATCTCCCACTACGCCCTCGTGCTCTCAGACACCATCTCATTATGCTCCACAACCCTCCCCGCCAACCCTCTCTCCCTATACCCCTTCAACACCGCATTCACACCCACTTCTCCCTTCTCATCCACCGTCCACGCCACCCCCTCACCACCCACAAACCCCTCCTGCGTAGCAAGCCACCACATCCGCTCCCCAACATCCTCCGGCTTAGCAATAAACAGCCCCAGAACGGGCTGGACAACCCACCGCATCAGCACGCCCAACGCGCCCTCCGCGCTGCGGCCGAGAAGGCCCGTGGACGCGAGCCCAGGGAAGACGTGCACGAAGCCTACACCGGGATGCTGCGCGGCCAAGCTGTCGTAGGAGAGGGAGAGGAGGGAGGCGAAATGCCCAGCCGCGTTGGCGAGGCCGTAGTTCTGCTTCAAGTCCAGATCATCTTCGAAGATCTTTCCCTCCTGGGTTCCAGCCAGGACTGTGATGGCTCTACCCCCCTTGGGGTTCATGTGCGGAAGCAGAAGTTGCGTAAAGCGCACACGGCCGTAGTACCGTAGCGCTACGCTCAAGTCTAGACCTTCCACTGTATCGTGCCGGCCGGAGAAGGAGAGGGAGCCTTGGGATGTGAAGAGGAGGTCGATCTTTCCGCCATTGAGGTATTTGGTGATGGCGGAGCAGACGGCGTCGATGTTGCGCATGAGCGATACGTCGGCTTCGAAGTAGGTGTAGTTGCCCTCGGGGTTGATTTTGCGTAGATTCTCGAGTTCCGGTTCGAAGGTAGAGCGGCTGCGGCCAATGATGATGGCGTGAGGTTTGGCGACGTGCGTGGAGAAGGCGCGGAGGGTGGCGAGGCCGATTCCTGAAGTTGCTCCAACGAAGACGGCGGTCATGGGGGGTTGGGAGAGTTTAGAGTTGGTGGCGCGGACTTCGGAGAGGGTGACCATGATTGCGGATTGGTTCTGGATTGGTGAGTGGAGTGTATTTTCGAGTCGACGTTTGAAAGCTGCAGTGCCTGCTGTTGTTGTAAAGTATGTCGCAATCCTGAGAGAAGTCTGTACGATGAGAGTTGTTGTGGCTACAAGCTGTTTTGGGGTGCTCTTGTGCTGTTGTGTTGTTGCTGTGTTTGGGATTGCTGGATGATGTTGTTTATGATGAGATGAAAAGGCGAGAAAGAAACCAACTTGGCCGTACTTATACCTTTTTCTCTCTCCAACAACACTGCTCATACTATCGCATTATCTCCAGAAAGCATTATCGAGCGCGACGGATGTATGGCATTCCTGACATAATGGTCGAATCCTACAGACGCCGGATGTAAGGGCTGGGCTGGAAGTGTGGCTTGCTGGATGACAACGCCGGATTTCAGGCCTCTTCGCAACGGACTTTCGGCCCCGAGCCATTGACAGAACACTGATTCTCTTCTTCTGCGTATGTTACAAAGACAACAATGACATGCAAAGAGGTATCTACAAAGCCTTAATGACGGCGTCAGCGTACTCGTGCGTCTTCGCCTTGCCGCCCAGGTCGCCGGTTATTGTCTGCAGGACACTCAGTCAGCCATTGCGCCATCCCAATCTTTGGTATAGTCTAGAACTCACCTTGCCCTCGGCCAACACCTTGAAGATGGCACTTTGAATCTTGTCCGCGTGCTCGTAAAGTCCCATGTGTTGCAGCATCATGATACTGCTCAGCAGTAACGCCGTCGGGTTCGCAAGGGCTTTGCCAGCGATGTCAGGCGCAGAACCGTGGACAGCCTCGAAAATCGCGACATCCTTCGAGATGTTGCCAGACGGCGTCAGACCCAGACCTCCGATCAGACCTGCGCACATGTCTGACAAGATGTCGCCATAGAGATTGGGCATGACGAGCACCTTGTCGTTGTAGGGCGTCGGATCCGAGACGATCTTCAGACACGCGTTGTCCAGCAGCTCGGCATCAAACTCCACGTTCGGAAAGTCCTTCGCGACCTCTCGCGCAATGCTGAGGAACAAGCCATCGCTCATCTTCATGATCGTCGCCTTGTGCACCACGCGCACCTTCGGCTTGCCCACGTCCTGCGCATATTGGAAAGCGAATCGCAACACCCGCTCACTCGCCTCGCGCGTAATGAGCTTGATGCTCTGCACCACGCCATCGACCACCACGTGCTCAATGCCAGAGTACTCGCCCTCGGTGTTCTCTCGGATCAGCACGGTATCCACATTATCGTACGGAGTCTTGTAACCCGCGATGCTCTTGCAAGGCCGTACGTTGGCGAAGAGGCCGAACGTCCTGCGGAGGGTCAGGTTGAGGGAGACGTGGCCACTGCCGACAGGCGTTGCCAGCGGGCCTTTGAGGGCGATGGAGTTGCGAGTAACGGAGTCGATGGCTTCGTCAGGGATGACAGTCTTCCCGTCCTTGAGGGTGGGAGTGACGTCGACGGATTCCCATTTTATGGGGGCGTTGGCGGCGGAGAAGATGTCTTTGACTGATTGGGAGATCTCGGGGCTGTATGCGCGTTAGACCTGAAGTCGCCGGTAGATGAGATGGGGTGGCGTACCCAATGCCGTCGCCTTCTATCAGTGTGACGAGGTATTTGCCCTGTCGAGTGTTCAGTATGGAGTCTTCCCTGCTGATCCGCTGGTCCTTCTTACATCGCTGTGCTTGGTGCCCTTGAACGTCGCGACCTTCTCCTTCTCAGGCGTTGCTGAATACAATCTTATCGCGGTCTGTAGGGTTTCTGTCAGTCTTTGTGTACCTCCAATGGCCTTCCAGAGCTTATCTGACTTGTGCAAAGGCTGGTCGAAGGTACTGCTGGCGCGGGAGGCTTCTGAAGGCATGCCGGGCGGGCGCCGCGAGACACCGGCTTGCCATGTTGCCGGTATACTCTCAATCGAAGGGGATTGGATTCGATTGAGGAAGGATAGTAGTATAGCGGAAGGAGTTGACATTCGTTCACATGCAAAAGCAAAACGAGAGCTTGATTCGGCTTCTTCACGACTCGAGCTATCCTTGTTCGCCATGTGGCTCGAGCTTGGCCATATCGCCAACCGCCAAAGTAACACAACGTTGACATATGAATGTCGAAGATCAAGGATAGCGATTGCGGACTGGCAGAGCGACTGGCGCATTGGAGGTGCGAGGGATTGCCTCTTGGACGACGACAATGCCCGTCTCGGCGCAGACAGAACAGCGCCTCCTCCAACACTACGGTCTGACGCGAGTTGGCACCTTATATCCCGATGCCTGGCCGCACCAGGACGACGACTCGTCCGGCGACGAAGAGGACGATATAGAAGCACAGCAGAACAATAAAGCCATCAACCGACAAACGTCCAAGCTGTCAGGCAACTCGCGCTCGAGCTACTCCAAATACCGCAACATCGACCGACATGCCTCCATCCGCTCCGGCACCACCACCTCCGAGAGTTTGGTCCAGCAGGATGAGGCAGACCCCCTCGGCAAGGCATCGAGCGTGGCCTCTGAGCTCAAGCAACGGGGTCTGCCGGTAGAGGAGAACCTCAAGTTGCGAAATCGGTTCATGCTCAGCTCCACCACCTTCTCCCCGGCCCTTTTCCTGTCGCAGGTCCACCAGGATGCCAGTACTCAGGACCTGCTGCGTGGGCTAGATACTCTCAGCCAGAGCATCGAGCAGAAGTCCGCCTCCCTCAAAGTCCTGGTCGAGTCCAACTTTGAGAAGTTCGTGCGCGCAAAGGCTACGATCGATAATGTCTACAAGGAGATGCGCGACCAGGGAGCAGATGTAGAGGGTCAGCAAGCGGGACGGCGACCGCACTCACGGCATGCGAGTCGGCAGTCTGTGTCTCACTTTCGTAATACGAGTGGGCCGTTCAGTCCGACAAACAAACCTCTACCCAGTGACAAGAAGAAGAATGCTCTCACAAAGGAGTCCGAATATGGTGTGCAAGGGATTAAAGCCCCTCTGGTCGAAGTGGCGATCAAAGCGGAAGAAGTATGGGGTCCAGCGATTGGAGGGAGGGAGAAGGAGGAGACACTGAAGGCGGTAGTGTCCAACATCGAGAGTCACAAGGACATTTTCCGGCTGAGTGGGAACCTACACGAGAGTATACGAAAGAGCGACTATGACGGAATTGCGGAGGCGTGGAAACAGGCGAAGAAGTATGCGGACCAGGCGAGGAATATTGCGGAGATCGCGGAAGGAGCTGGCGGAGAGTTGAAGGACTCGCAAGCACAATTCATCATTGTCACGGCGAAGACGTGGCATCACGTCACGCAGCAGATTGAGGACTTCAAGCGTGATGTATGGCGGAAATTGAAGTCTTCACACGGAAGGAAACCGGCAGCAGTGTCCGACGAGACGGACAAAGAGGAGCACATGGAGCTGATCGGCGTGCTGCTTCAGCTCGGAGTCGACGAGAATCCAATCTGGGAATGGCTGCATAGCCGGTACGTCTATCTGAAGGACAAGATCGCTCGGTCATTCGAGCGGTCCAGAATCGAGATTGAGATCCTGCGGCGGAAGATAGCCAACGGAGATCAGACGGACGTCAAACTGTTGGCAAGACACTTGCGTTCGGTATCGGATTCGAAGTCGTTGCGCGCTGGCAAAGACGTGCACAAGGATATGGACACACCAGCCGTCCTCGCTTTCTGGGAGAAGGTACAAACATCCGTCACCGGTCTTCTCTCTTCTCAACACGGTGTGCTCGGCGAAGTACTGGAGTACTGGGAAATCGCCCAATCCTTCATCGACAACAAAGCGCAAAGAAACTTCCCAACCCCTGTCTTCGCCGCCGGTATTGAACAGCTGGAGCTCGAGCCCGACGACGTCCAAAATCTCCGCGCCGGCGCTGTCGAGCTCATAAATCTCCTTCGCGAAAACATCTTCGCCTTCTTCTCCGATGATCCAGTCGAAGACCTCAGCGACCTCTACTCACCCATTCCTCCCACGCCCATCACACCTGCCCCAGACTCCTCGTCACCCGCCTCCTTTCTAACCCCAACCGCCAAACGAGCGTTTACCTTCGACCCCGCCACAATTCCACCACCCTCACCCCGCCGCGGCGACGCTTGGGAGAAGTTCGCCTTCTGGCCACCTGCCGCCAACTCCCTCTCCGGCTCCTACCACCTCGCTCGCCTCCTCGTCCTGGTTGGCACAGCAGCCTCGGAAATGGCCTCCCTTCCTCTGACCCGCCAAGCCCGGCTCACAGACTCCCTCCGCTCTCTTGTCGCCGCCGTCCGCGAGCGAAGCCTCCAAGCTGTCGTGGCCGCTTGGTCCACCGATGCCGACCGCGTCAAGTGGATGGAGAACTGGCAGCGGAGTCCGCAGCGCAACGATCTGACCTTACTACCAGAAGGCCTGAAGGGTTGGGAAGAGTGGGTTGTAGAGGGCGTGCAGAAGATTGCGTATGTGAGTGAGGCGAATGCTGGCCGGGAAGAAGAGGGCGTTGTGGGTGCGCCGAGTGCGAAGTTGTTGACACTGGTGAGGCAAGCGTTTGTGGGAAGTTTGTATAAGGCACTAAGCGGGATGGTGGAGTGTGCGGAGAAGGATGTCAATAAGAATGGAGAAGATGGGGAAGAGGGTGGAGTCGTGGTGAATGGCTCTTCGAATGGCTCCGGTGAAGGCAACGGAGCTGGGATAGGAAGTCCTTTGAACCAGGTAAGATCTCCTCTCACCCCGATCTGCCTGCGCAGACGTACTGATGTGGTCTACCAGAACACCCGCAAACTCCTCACTCTCTCCAACCTAACCCACCTCCGCATCGAAACCCTCCCACACCTGCTCTCACACTTCGAAGCCGCCTTCTCCCTCAAACTCACCGACGAGTCCGCCAAACTCCGCGACGTCCTCTCACAGATCGAATCTCGCCTCTTCGACTCCTACATCTCGCCCACCACCGCCCGCATCGACCACCTGGTCTCATCAGCCATCAGCTCGCCGAACTGGGCCCCCGCCCCCACCCGCCCATCAGACCCCGCACGACCCACAGACGCGAAACCCTACATCTACGACGTCCTCCTCACCCTCGTCCTCGCACACTCCGAAATCTCCACCACCGCCCCTGCCCTCCTGCACCCCCTCATCTCACACGCCCTCGAAAAGGCCTCGGAGTCCCTCCTCGCTGCCTTCCAAGCCCGTACCGGCCGCTATTCCCTCTCCGCCCTCATGCAAGCGACGTTGGATGTGGAATTCCTGGCGCAGACGCTCAACCATTTCACCTCGGACAAAGCGGGTGAAGTGCAGAGTCGCATATACTTGGCGCTGGATGAGCGGACGGATAACGAGGCGCGGGCGAAGTTGCAGGCGGAGTTGCCGGAGATGCGGGGGGCGCTGAAGAAGCTGCGGGAGGGGAGTAAGGGGGTTTATGGGTGTTTTCGGCGGGAGAGGGGGCAGGGGGGGAGGGGGAGGGGTGGGAGTAGTCGGGGGTAGCCTAAAGAAGAATAGTTGGTATTACATGTCCTTGACCTCGAGTTCAGGTCTCAGCTGCCAGTGTCATTGTCACACGAGTCCTAAAGAATGTGAAGAGTATTTCTCCGACTTCACCGCAGATGAATATGTTTAGCGCTGAGTTGAACCCCCGCCCTCCCGCTCTCTTACCTTAGCAAAAACCAAGCGACGCCGCGGCAGAAAGAGACCATCAGTTCTTACTGATCTGTGAATGCTGTGTTCGCGGCTCGGGACTGAGAAGGTAGTATTGGAGGAGAATCAAACAGGATGAGTCATTCCGCTTGCTTGCAATTTCGGGTCTTTGTCTGCTCGGTTCATCCTTTGCATCTGCAGGGGTAGGCGAAGGGCATGCCTATTCTCTTTCTCGCCTGCGTCCGCGATCGTATTGGCCTCAAGCAGGTATTGTATTCGCATGACTTCGCGACTCGTCATGTGCACGTCCAACATGCACGCGCCTACTTTCTCCATCGAAAAGCGCAGTCCTTCCATCCTCGCGGCGTTCGTGATGCAGTATTCCAGGACTCGCCAGATCATGGACGGCTCAACCCCTCCCACCTCTTCCTCTCCCTCTGTCCCCTCGCCCTCTTCCCCGATCTCCCCGTCCACCCCTCCCATAGTCGCCTCTCCCACCTCTCCCACCCCTCTGTCCCTGCTGATTCTGCTGCTGACTCTGCTGCTCCTTCACCACATCCACAATCTCATCCGGCACCCTCAGGTACTTGATATTGTTCCCCCGCACATAGCATTCCGGCAGTCGGAAGAACTTGTCGCCCTCGGGCGAGGTCTGCACGACTTCTTTGAGGGTCAGGTTCATGTAGTTGTCGCAGGCGACGAGGTGGCCATTGAGCGTTTCGCCGTTTTTGAGCTCGACGAGCATGGGGTGGCCTTGGGCGGCGGTTAGGAGGCCGAGGGGGAGCTGCCAGTCGGATTAGTAACTAGAAGAATGTGGAGAGGAGATACATGACATACCATTGTGAAGATGTGGTGCTATCGGATCATGCTGTGGTGGTGTATGTGGTTGGATCAATGCTGTAATGTTTGCGCGAGTCAAGATTGTGAAAGCTTAATCGTGTTTAGATCTCGGCCGCACGTGCTCCTGCCTCAGGTGTCGAAGGATCTTAGGGAAGGCGCAGTCGGGCGGAGTGGAAAGAGAGCCAGAAAGCTGTCGCCTGACGAGCTGCACGTCGACGTCCCTCGAGCTGAACTCCCTCTTGCTCCTCGCGCGAGCTGCTTGCTGTTTTCACAATGCTTTTTTCCTTCGCTTCAATCGCGGTCGTTTGCTGAGCGGGCAGTATGCGCTGCTTCCTTGCGATTGCGACTGGACTGTGGGTTGGGCTTGCCGCGGCGGGGACGACGAACTACTTATATCGAGACGCGAGTGAGGCTAGAGAGATCGAGGTGTTGCACTATAGTGTGTTGAAACCTAATCAACAGAACGGCCATTGAACGAGTAAAGACTAACCAATGCTTCAGGCGCCAGCGAGGGACACACCACTCTCTCCGTACCTTGCTCAGGCTGCTTACCGGGAGAAGCTGACGAGTCTCTGGTGAGTCCACGTAACTGCCAAGGCATATTGCAGGCAGAACACTCTCAAGGAACATTGTATTGGACCTTATACTAACTGTGTTTATGCCTCAGGTCTTTGACATTCAGGTCAACCCTACACCCGACCCCACCAGCTCAGAGGTGATCGTAGGTGGGAAGACATTGCACTTGACCTGGAACGAGGGACACGCGATCGAGTCATCGACAACTCTTAACCTGCCAGATTCTTCTTCTACCCTTCGTCAGGTCGACGTCTCCTGGGAAGGTGTGGTTGATTCGCCGCCCATTTCACTTTTTGGAGACGGAAGGCCAACCCAGAACGTCAACTTTGTCGCGAAGTTCTCCGATCTTGAACCATCAACGTTGTTCAGCTTTATCCTCATTATGCGGCCTTCTTCCGAGGACCGTCTTGTCGCCGCGGTACCACACATACAGGGCGCCCCAATGGTCACCTTTGGAGCTTACAGAGACTTTTCCTCCTCCGAAAGTTTCAGCTACGCCTCCGAGGTGGACGAGAAAGCAGAAAGCTCCCGCAGCGACGAGTACGATGAGAAACCGCAGGACCGCCATAGCGATGACTTTGATCTGGAAGGAGAGGTAGAGACACTCCGCCTTCTCGAACACCAAGCGCATCAGCTCGACGTCCAAATCTCGGCAAGACGGAAAGCAATCGCTTATACACTCAAGCAGGATCGCGACAAGCTATGTATTAAACACCTCGTTAAGGAGTGCGACGGCGTCACCTGTGCCGCTCGAGCTGTTCTGCAGCGGATATGTGACAAGGTCGGCGTACGGACTGATCCTACATATGGCTTCCCCCGAGTGAAGAATTCAGGGACGCAGAAGTCCATTGCATTTCATCCGGACCAGAGGCTGGGTTCGCATAACTGCACAGGCGAGAAGAGTCACCTGGCGGAAAGCGCCAATATACCTTTGATCCAGACGAAGGGCGACAACTATGACTTCCATGCTGCCTATTACAACCAGTCGTTCGACCTCATCAATCCATCTAATCAATTCCTCCGAGCGGTTCAGATAGTGGCCGGCCTTCTCGGCATCACGGCTATCATCGCATTCATCAAGCGGAGATGCATGTCCGTAAGGAGACGACGAGAGCGTGCTGCAGATCTCGAGGAGAGGCGGAACGCGCGAGCATACAAGCGGGCAGCCCGTCGGGCATTGATGCGGAAACGGTGGAACAACTTCCTCAACACCATCAACTGCTTTGGCAGCAGGCATGATCCCATTCCAGGTGACTACGAAGAGAAGCGAGCTCTCATTCTCCAAGACTCCTTCCTCGAGCAGGATTTGGACCAAGCAGAGAAGGGTGAGGTCATGGAGGCAGAGCTCCGCGAGCTGAGATATGCCCACGAGATCGTTTCGAGTCTGGTCCGAGTGGATGACCATCGGTACGCCGTCGCTACGAACGTACACGACCCTCCGCCTTCGATGGTGCCGCTTCCACCACCACGATACGCCTCTCGACCTCAAAGCACTCGCTCCAGAGCCGCGAGCACCTACACACTCCCTTCATATTTTTCAGAAAGTCTTCCTGACTACACCTCCCGACCTGGATACGACACAGACAGCTCAAGCAGCGTTGCGAACGGGTACACGCCGTCAACTTCAGAGAGTCAAGGCCGACAGTCGCCGGTCACACCACCTTCAGACTGCTCGAGGCGGACTCGGTACACTCCTACAAGCAGTGTGCTGGAGATGTCACCGCGGGCGAGCGAGGAGACTTTGCGAACTCGGCCTTCTGGGGACAGGCAGTGTCGGGGGCAGAGCCTGGATTCTGTTTTGAGGATGTAGGACTTCGTCTTGATTTGTTGATGTTACGATATAATGGATTGTTCGATAATGAGGTAGCGGTGTTTGGGAAGCCAGTGTGGCAGGGACTCGCGCCAGGTCAATGGTTGCGTAAAGGCGTCTTGGACCTGTTCTATACCATTTTGACAATATGATGAAGGCTGCATGCTTCAGCTCTGATACTACTCAAAGGATAACACATTCTCAATACAATATTCAACGGTGACTGTTCGGTGTGCACTTTCGAAGGGCGTGGCCGCCCCCACAAGTCGACCTTTCGATGCGCTTTCTATTCACGCCATTCACTTTCATGTGTCAAATTTTGATGGCACTTCCGCTCTTTCATTCATAAAGCTACATCGTTTCTCTCACTTTCCCGCTGCACATGATTGTCGCTACTGCAAGATTGAAATTGACGGAGAACACCATCTCTCGCGCACTACAGTATCGGCGGTTCTTCTCATCAACGACAATAATGGTAACGTACTCACAACCCTACGATCTTCCCATCGAATCTAATGGGTGTACAAGCAGGCTCAGTCACAGTCACTACAAAACCTTACACGGACGCGGCTGCTGTTCCACTATGACGGCTCTTTACGGACAAACAATACCAGCATTCTATCCCTCCAGGCATACAACAGCCTACCGGAAGCAGACCAAGGCCTCATCAAACCCGGCAGCATCAACCCCAGTCCCACTCACGCCCTTATCACCGAGTCTACGATTTTCCACCCGCAGGGCGGCGGCCAGCCCTCAGACGCCGGCAAGATCACCACTTCGGAAGAGGATGACGCCAGCACCTTCGAAGTGAACATGGTTCGCCACGCCTTTACCGCCCCATCCGTAGTCCTGCACTTCGGCCACTTCCCTTCCGGCCATTCGCCGCAGCGAGAGGAACTCACAGAAGGTTCCTCTGTAACTCAACACATCGACGCGGAAAAGCGCCTTCTGTGTTCCCGCCTCCACACCGCCGGCCACGTCCTCGGTGCCGCAGTCCGACATCTACTGGAAAACAAGATTGAAGGCTTCGATGAACTCAAAGCCTCCCACTTCCCCGACTCCGCTGCCTGCGAGTTCTCTGGCTCAATCCCGGGGGACCAGAAACAACCGATCCAGGAGCGCGTCAACGAGTACGTGGACAAGCATATGCCGGTCGAAGTACAGTTCTGGAGCAAAGACGACTTTAAATCTCACGATCTCGAACGGCTGATACCAGGGGATGAGGAGTGGGATGCTATCGCGGAGACGGAGCTACCGAGGAAAGATAAGATCAGGGTGGTGAATATTGTGGGTGCGGAGGTGTATCCGTGTGGTGGTACGCATGTTGGTGAGACAGGGGAGTGTGGGAAGGTGACGGTGAGGAAGATTGGGAGGAGTAAGGGGACGAGTAGGGTGGGGTATAATGTAGATTAGATGCATACACTGGTGGAGGAGGTTAAATGTATACTTAGGCCCTAGTAAATGACTAGAAATACATCTACTCTAGCTCTGAAAATGTGTCTTTTTGCAGGAGGATACATCTTATGGAGCACTTTGGCCATTTTGCCTTAGTCATCCTCCAACCCCGACCTCACCTATTAGCTCGCAAAGCTTCCATCGCAACTTCCGCGACACAACACGTCAATGCTATGAACGCGAGTCGACTGGCAATCGATCCGCTCTGGCAATGCATCTGTCCCTCATGGACCACCAGCACGTCGCGAGCGGCTGCGCGCCTTGTCACCCGCCCACGACGTCCGACTTTCCAATGCCTTCAAGCCCCCCGTTCTGCGCGGCGGAAGACCGATGCCGAAATACAGCGCTACCAGAACATAGGAGCGTCCACTCCCGACCGATATGTGCCTGTACTAAACCCTATCGCTACTTCGGCTCCTGAGCGACTTACGGAAGAGCATCATCCAAGGAAGCAGAAATCGAAGACGAGGAAAGCCGAGGAGCAGCTGTCAGAAACGAGCATAGACTGGCGCAACGAGTCCACCCTGGCTATCTACGACCACATGCGTGGCATAGCTATTGATGGCAACGTCAAGCTATGTCGATACCTGGCAACGATATTGGTGAGAGAACGAAGGGAGCCGCCGAATATACAGCTGTACAACATGTTGATACTGAGCAACGTCGGGCACGAGGATGGCATGGGCTTCAGGGTTGGAGAGTTGATAGCAGACATGGAGAAGGATGGCATACAGCCGGATAGTGGGACGTGCCATGCTGGGTTGAAAGTGCTGGCGGTGCATCCGGATCATATCACCAGGGCAGATATACTGGAGTATATGACGAAGAACTGGATCCAATTGTCGGAGGATGGGGCGCATGATGTCGCGGCGGGGCTGTTTAGGGAAGGATTGTTCGAGCAGGCGTTGTTGAGGCTGGACATGATGCGAGCGGATGAGATGCTGATCTCGCCCTGGTTGCTGGACATGGCTGTCTACATTCTCTGCGAGGCGAACGAGGTCCAGGAGGCTTATCGCATCATGCGACAGCGGGTAGATTCTTCCGAAATCAACATCAGTCGGAGCCTGTGGATGTTCTTTCTGGATAAGGCGAGCGAGAACCGCCACCATCCCGGTACCGCTCTAGCTTGGAAGGCGCAGGTCGAACAGCACTTTATCAACCCAGCATCAGGCATTTGTCTCAACGTCCTTGCTACGTCAGCCCAAGCAGCGGACGCAGAGATGGCCACAGATGTCTTCACGCATCTCAGCAAACGCAGCGCCACTTTTCAGCCCATCCACTACGAGCTACTCATCAGCACATACCTCGCTACCGACCCGCCTGACCTTCCTCGCGCTCTGACTATCCTCACAATCATGGCTCTTGAGAAGGTCGAGCCCACCCCATCCGAGACCCGAGCACTCTTCCTATACATGCGCGACAAACCTCACACTCCCCCGGAAGCCATCACCGTCTTCCGCGAGCTTCACCGGCAAGGTCGCAAAATCCCTATCGCAGCCCTCAACGTCATCATTGAAAGCTACGTGGAGCAGGGCAATCTCGCCGACGCCATGAAACTCTACAAACAGATCCACACCTTCGCTCCCTTGTCAGGAGGCGCACAAAAGTCCTTCGCGAACATCGAGACCTTCAATCTGCTTCTCAAAGGCTGCAGGAACGCCGAGCCGCCGGACGAACAACAAGCCTCCTTCCTCGTGTCCGAGCTGCTTGCCCTGCGAGTCCCGCCCACAGCTCTAACCTACGACCGCCTCATCCTCCTCTTCATGCGCGCCGGCCTGCACCACCTCCGAACCGCCGCCGAAACAGAACCCCCCGACCGCTCGTCCAAACTCCGCGCCCGCGGCCTCGAACTCCTAGAATGGTCCTACCGCCATTTCACAGAAATGCGTCCGTTGGGCTGGCTACCGCGTTTCGGCACGCTGGAAAATTTGTCCGTGGCCCTGGCGGGCGTGGGGGATTGGCGGTGCTGGGATGTGCTGCAGGTTGCGGAGGATGAGGGGGAGAAGATTAATGGGTGGGAGGAAAAGGGCGGGGCGGTGAGGAGGAATGTTGAGGGGGCTTGGGCGGAGGCGCAGGGGAAGGGGGAGAGTGGGGATAAGAGTGAGGAAGTTGAGGAGGGAGTGTACGGGGTAGGGAGGCTGGGTGAAAGGGCGGCTGCTGCTGCGTGAGAAGGGAAGAGTATATGGCATCTAAGATGAATGAAAAGATCTTGCGCCAACTGCCACCCTTGTCGTACCGATCATCCAATACTTCTGGCTAACAGCTGGAGGTCCTCTTCAGCATGCTCGAGTCTCCCAAAGCTGCCAACTGACAAGACGCTCCCATAACTCGAGTCCGCAATAGCCTGACCGTCCGGGTGGGAACAAATGCGACCACGCCTCCGACTTTGCTGCAATGAACGCCTGACTACCAGCAGCCAGCGTTCTCCGCCACATCGACATAACTGTCGTTACTCCGACCGCCATCGCCGTAGGCGCGCGGCGAAGGTCTATGAATGACCTGGTCTCTTCACCCTGCAAGTGTAGTACCACCAGCCGCTGCCGGACGTCACGCTCGATAGCGACGTCGAGCACGTTCCCCTTCCAACAACGAGGCTGGCCAGTGCACGTAGCAATGTGACACCAGTTATCTAAGGTCACCAAGCCGCCTTGTCCCGCATACCATTTGTCAGAGGACCCATTGATTGATGAGATAGCACTGACGGTGTGCAGACGACATCGATCGCTACGCGCACGGCGCCGGTGGCTGGGCACAGATCAAGTGGGCCTTCCACAAGCGCGTGTGATGGCGGAAGGAATTCACACACTCCTCCATGCAGTAAGAGGTCGACGGCCATTGCGTTGAAAATACGGGAACGTTCACCGCCGTGAATCCCTCGACATAGGCTCAATGGCTGTCAGCATGACCAATGACAGTGGCTACATCATGTTATGCGGTTGTTGATCATATGTGCACATCTTATTGGCTCTCGTGGGTTTTAGCTGTAATCGATGGTCTCTGCTGTCGAGTTCCGAGTCAAGCCTGATCGTCAATTACACTCAATAAGACAAGTTAGGAACGGCGAATGAAAAGTGTCAAGCACAAGCCGCTGTATCATTCATACGTATCCTAGGGGTATCACAGTCGCTATCAACAAGTCGTCACGCTCCAGTCAAATCCAAAACCTCAACACCGCTCTTCCTCCAGCCCTGCAGCTTCGCTTTACCGCCGCTGTTCTTCCATCCGCTGCCATCACCCGTCATGTCAATCGCCTCCGCATCCACCGTTTTCCATGAGCCCTCCAAGCTTTCTCGGAGGTGGATGCGCTTCTTCAGAACATGCTGTCGCGGTGACTTGCGGATGGGCTGGGTGGCTGAAGCCTGTGCACGAGGCGAGCGTCGGGCGCTGGGTGCTGAGTGAGACGGCATAGATGTGGTCGGTTTCGCCGTAATCTCCCTCGCCGGAAGCTCCAATATGGGCGGCAGCTCTTCCTCATCATCGTCTAGATCTGGAAGCGGCGGAGGATGACTTTGACTCGCACGTTCTTCCACCTCTGGTTGCGCAGCAGGAACTAGATCCGCACTGTGTCGATGCACCGGCCTCGGAGTCAGATCGCCATCTTCATCAGGCAGAAGGAAGCCGCCGCCCACATCCGTCGAGCCGCGATGCGGACGAAGGAAAGCAGATGGACTGGCGAGGTCACCATCGTCGGAGGCCGGACTATCGATCTCGATTGGACGACCGAATCCACCGGCAAGTCCGGACGGAGTGCTCGGCCTGGCTGGGGAAACAAACAGACCGTCTCCGTCGTCGGTAGGTCCAATCGCCGGCTCAGTCTGCCAACGCTTGAGAGCACCCTTCTTCCGCCTTTTAGTCACGGTATCCGGGAGCTTACCAGGCGAGTAGTCGAGCTCTGGATCTGCGATGGTGGTTGCAGTGCGAACAAACTGTGACCTGATATTTGGTGGTGTCGGGGTGAGTGGCCGGCTTCCTGCACTGCCGAAATCGCTGGGAGCCTTGTGAAGGGGACTGCGATTGATTGTGGGCGATGAAAGCAAGTCCACTATGTCCGGCTCCTGCCGAGCGACAACTTCCTTCGGCTTGCGAGGCGAAGGCGGGTAGTAGGAGAATATAGTTCTTTGGCTCAATGCTGGCGAGGAGAAATCAGGCGGGGGTCTCTTCTTATTGGTCCTTTTCAGCGTCTTCTCCATCTCGATATCGCGACCTTGAGACGGCGCATTGCGACTTGCATTAGCATTTCTTGGTGCAAGGGCAGCTGCGGAGGACGAGTGCGCTGAGCTGGTATCCTGGTGAGCCTTCGGACGAACTGCGGCCGGACTAGACATGGCCAGATCCAGCACTTCAACGGTTTCCGAGGCGCCCGCCCGATTGCTTGCAGGCAGATATAAATCTGCTGGGATCTGTGTGGATGGCAGCTTGAATGTCGCAACAGCGGCGAACTCTTTCTCGCTTAAGCCTTCGCTGCCACTCGCCCCGTTGAGCGACGAAGGCATCGGATCCTGGCTCTTGTCTTTCGGCTGACGTCCACTGCCAGGCTTTGTGACCCTCGCGTAGTTCATGATGGCATTTGCCGGCATATCGTTTGCTTTAGCCTTCGACTTCTTCGCTCTCGGCTTTGCTGAGTGCATGTTCAGACTGCCCTTGCCGACGGCGCGAGCTTGCCGTCTCTGCTTCAAGAACTCCTTCGGATCTTTGCTCGTCGATTCGAAGTCCTCGACCAGCAGCGGGCAGCCGATTTGCAAGAATGTTCGCTGGATCCACAGCTTCTCTGGCTGAGATGGATCGTATGGCTTGAAGTTGCGTTTCTTTGGTGATTTGGGTGCCTCCTCACCGTTCTCGTCCTGCGTGCTGGAGGGCAGCTGCATGAAGTCAGACTCGGCATCACTTGTGTCATCTTCTGGCCCGCCAGCTGGAACGATCTCGTCGTCTTCATCTTCAATGCTCAAGTCGATAGGCACGAACTTCTCAGGGACGAACGATATCCGGTACTCCAGCTCACCATCGAGGGTTTTGTGATTTCGCTGGCCATGGATTGCCAAGATCATCTCATGCTCCCTCTCTTCTTGTGCCCCCAATTCTAGCTGCTCGACTGCAGCGCCACGCAATCGAAACTCACGGATAAGCAGAGCTGGAGCAAGATTCTTGATAAACTTCTTCGCACCGCCAATGCATCTCCAGTCGAATGCATCCCCAGCAAAACTTCTCAGAGCTGCGAAATCCATCGGCTGATCCCACTTCAGTTCCTGTCTCAAGCGGGCCAGCTTCTCGGCAGTCGAAACGCAGGGATGGGTGTAAAAGCCAAGGACTTCGCGGTTGGGAAAGTCGTCTGGGATGACAAGACTTGCGTTACGTCGTTTGAACAGCTTTGACTCATTCGTTTTGACTTCGTGGCGTAGCCTGTCCCTCCATCCGTCAAGTCCTGCAGCATCTTTCCTTCCCAAAGCACAGAGATCATTGCCGAAGCCAGCCCTCGCAGCATCACAAGCCAGCTTAGGTCCACATCCAGGAATGCCTTCCGGCAGGTAGTCGCCTCCGCTCATTAAAGCAACCAGAATCATGCCATTGGGGTCGAGTCCGCTTTTTGACTTCGTTTCGTCAGCTCGGTGCACGTCAACGTGGGTAGGCGTTTTCGTTGTGTTCTCGGCAGTCCAGTTTCGTAATGTGACACCAGATCCAAACATCAACGTATCGACGTCCTCACTCAGAACAGCATCCACAATGCCCTCGCGCTGTAGCAGCGCACATTCTGCTTCCGCCTCCCCGGGTGCCACGTGCCATGGATAGCCGAATTGCTTCAGAAGCTGCTTTGCCAGGAACTCCGGGACGCTCGCGACTCGAACGCCGGGTCCGCCGACCTTCTTGTTCCGCTTGAAGAGGGGCTTGTTTGGACCATCAAAAACAAACAGTGGGTGGATGTTCAAGCTGAGTAGTCGGAGAAGCCGATAGTAGAAAGTCCGTAAGGCTGGGTTGGAGCCGCCTTTCCCAGACTGTATCTGAAAGAGCCATATGCTGATGTCGATCGCAAGGCGGAAGGGCCGGTTGTTCGTTGTGTAGTACTGCGCGGACAGCTTGGCCAAGGAAATCCGCTGTCCATGTCCAATCTGAGCGAACAAGCCGTGGATTCCCATGGTAATTATATGTTATCGAGCCATGTGAGCCAGTTCATTTGATGGTATATCCAAGGCTGCTGTGAGCAAGTGAGGTGGCGGCTGTTGAAGAACGTTGCCCCCTCGGCCACCCGTAGCAACCACGCTAGGCCAGATTCGACACTTTCACGTGTCACCGTGTAAAGCACCGCACTGAGATCTCAAACCCGGACTACTATCATTTGTATACTGTTCGTTCTTCTTTTCGAAGCCAACGGCGCTGACCGGATCTGCTTCAGTATGCCAACGGCATAGCAGTCTCTGCTTCAACAATACTCCCTGAACGAATGAAGCGAACGAGGACAACGATAAACAGCCCGCCTTGAATCGATACACAACACGATCCCAATTCACCAGGCGGATAGACAGAAGAGTACAGTCGCATCCACAACCGCAAAGCCGAGATGTCGTACAGCGAACGCTCTACATCGCCGGATCCTCTCATACAACCTTCTCCGCCTCCAGCAACACGAACACGGAATCAAGTCGGAAGGAGATCGCGAACCCTCGTACCACGGTCAAACAACGTCGAGTCGCCGTCGAAATCGTTCATCATGGACGCAGGCAAGCCTGGCGACGGTGGTAGTCCTTGGCGCATCAAGGTCACAGTCGAGGCTGAACCGCAGGACGGAGGAAGCCCGGCGAAGCGGAGGACGAGGACAACGAGAGTGCCTTTGAAGGGCGGCATGAGTAGCAGTCCGGTGAAGCGGAGCAGTGGGAAGTCAAAAGCGATCGCAGACGATGAGAGCGAGTTAGAGGTCAAGCGGCCACAGAGGAAGAGGAAGGGCACGCCTATTCGCAGGACGGTGCGGGCATCGCAGGAGACGGACAGTGATGGATGGATTGCTGGAGGAAGACATGGCACACCAGCCGGACAGATTCAGATGTCTCAGAAGTTGCAGGAGGAGATGTCGTCGCCTAACAAGCGTCGCTCGCCAGGTACCGACCATGAGCACAGAGCTTCTTCTGCAACACGAAGCATTCAGAAATCGCGGCAACCGAACGGCGGGCCAGTCATTTCGAAGCAGCTCACCCTCAGCGAGGAGTCTGAAGACGAAGATGAGCAGTCCGTGGACCCTCGCAATCTACAGAGCGACATGACAGTAGCCAACGAAGACTTCACCATGATCTCCGTGGACGAGCTTGAAAGCTTGAAGCAGAACACATCGCTCATCGACAACTCTGGAATCGAAAAGAGTGTTGCGAGCGTCAGCTACATGCCTTCATCGCCACCCGTTGCTCATGTTAACCGGTCTTCTCGCCAGCAGCTTCCGGTGGAGTATCCAAACATTGCTCACCAGGCCGAAGAAGCCAAAATCCAATCTAGTGCGATGAAGCAGGCGCAGTACAATTCGGACTTCCAGAGAAGCTCGAACTTCGCTGCAAGGCAGTCCCATCCTACGCCAGTTTCGAACGATCCCATCGGTAGTGAGTCGTTCGAGCGGACGCAACCTCAAGCTTCGGGGGTTGAGGAGGCAGCTGCGAGTCGAAGCACCGTGGTCAACGAAGATGCGGATCTCGGAGCAGATGACGATCGCGAGGACGGGGACATACACGGGGAGGACGATGGTGGTACTGGCGGTGAACTGGACATCTGGGCCGAAGAGGCGTCCCGGTCACTCGACGAAGACCAAGAACAGAGTCACCGAATGCCGGCCATGCGACCTGAATCGCGTCCGCCACAACTCGAAGACCTATTCTCTGATCAGCCATTAAAACCTCCAAGGCCTGAGATCCCTCGTACATGGCGGAGGACGTCTGGCGCGGACTTTTCATATGTCGACTCCCCAGCTCACGACCTTGTGGCGGACCGCAAGGTCTCCGCTGCGTCCACGGACGGCGAAGCTGCTGGGAGCAGGAGTAGTGCTGGTGTACTCACGCCACCTGAGAGCAGCGACGACGGTTCCGAACAAATCTCTGGGGACCAGGATGGAGATATGGAGGAATACGACATCTCTTTGACCCAGCCGGATGCTGCAGACACGCAGCTTCACAACGACGTCCTGGAGACAGACAGTAGACCGACCTTGCCAACACGCGGTGAAGCGACTAGTGGTCTCTCAGACTCCGAGTCTGGCGTTACGAGTCCTGATGGGGAAGATACAGGCGTGTTCTGGCAACGAAATCTTCCCAACATCTACCAAAGGCCCAGGAGGCCGAGAGTGGGACAGAAGCAGAAGGCTATGGACTTGAGCGATCTGCTAAACCTCGAGGGGTCACACAAAAACACCTCACTAGCCCAGACCAAAGATGCCGCTGGACCGAACGATCGCATCTCTACGCAGGCTCCAAGGGCACCGTCACGACCAGCTCTTGCTGGGCAAAAAGAGAAGCTCATCAGCAGTCCGCTTAGAAAGAGCCTGTTCAAGAGCAGTAGGCTTGGTGAAAGTGCTTCGACAAGCTCGGATGTACAGCCTGTTCGGAGAGCAATTGTCGGTAGGACGTACGTATCACGGCGGAGTCGAATGACTACCAGAGGGCAAGAGGGCGCCGATGAACCGTCAAAGACAGAAGACTCGCTCGATAGCTTCAGCAGCAAGGACAGTGACCAACGCCAGATCTTGAGCGAGATGAGTCAGGCGACGCATCAGAAGAGCACCAGCAACCTACGCAATGAGTGGCAGGGCGCTGCTTCTCACAGCCCGCATTCCAGTGAAAGCAGTCAGTCTCATGTCTCCGAGATTGCAGATGATGCCTACGAAGGCTCATCGGTGCATCCCGAGACTGAGACTGAGGAGATTGAGCAAGAAGACGACGAGGAGGAGGAGTTGGAGGAGGAGGAGTTGGAGGAGGAGGAGGAAGGAGAGCAGCCGAGCCGCAGCTATGAGGAGCACCTCAATCTTGAGTCACCTCAGAAGATTAGCGTCAAGTTCAACGACTCTGCTGGCACTTCTGACTTGCTGGCACCAAAGAAGGCGTATCCACCACTATTCGCCAACCATGCCGTTTCATCTCAAGCGGCGCAGGCGAAGTCTCCTCCTTCGGTAACACTCGTTGGCAAGAAGCGTACCACAACAGAAGACCAGGCGCAAGGCGGCATCTTCTCACGTCTCAGCACTAACTTCTGGTCCGCTGTCGTCAGACCGTCGGGACCCACACTCGTCGAGCAGCCTCCCGAACCAGAGTACCCTCGCTCTCTGCGCGCTCACATCCGAAGTCGGTACGGCGTCCTCAGCGATCAGCATCCCTGGACTATGGCGCACATGCGGACACTGCACCGCTTATTGAACTCCTGCACGAGCGGCAAATCCGATTCAATCGTGCCCAAGACGGGGCCGTTGCCGTACGCGCTGGAGAATCTCATCGGCAAGGAGCTTCAATGCGTGACCCAATTTCGATGGAAGTTCACCGAGCAGCACGCCCACGTCGTCGACGCCTTCATGCAGGTCCTTGTGCCAGCCCACTACATCGAATCCATGAAAAGTGGCGAGGTGGACTTTATTGGCGACTCGGAAGCGAAGAAGTATCGAGGCTTGATCAGTGGTCGACATGGAGATGATCTGGTGTTCAGCGACTGGTTAGGGCTTAGGTCACCTCGGGGCAAGATCGAGAGGGACTTTGTGGTGAAGGCGCTGGGGAACTGTGTAAGCGCCAACATTTTGACTGCGGAGAAGGAGGCTGCGGAGGTGGAGAGGAGGAGGAAGATGGCGGCTGAGAGGGTGGTTTGGGAGAGGAGGCGCAGGTCTGGGTGGGAGGAGAGCTGGGAGGAGAGTGAGGGCTAACGAGGCTGTAGTAAGCTTCGTTGCGCCATGATGTGTTGGAGACTGCTTTGTTGTCCAGGAAGGACCGGAGTCAAGCAAGATACCCAAGTGAGCATTTTCTAGAGCTCGTCCCTATACTGTAGACTCAGACCTAAACCTTGTTGTACATTGTCATTGATGCCGGGCCTGGTTGTGCTTGATTCAGCATCGTTCGAATTTTCATCGTCCCACTCATGCTTCGAGCATGATTCGTAAGGCGCGTTGACCCGCGCGGCCCCTCGATGGCTGATATGGGGCGTGAACCGGTCGGTATGAGTGAGAACGGAATGTCTGGCGATTTACCAAGCGGTCAATGACGGCAGAACCCAGAGACGGGACACTTCTCATCACTCGGTGCGTGGTGGTTGTGCGCCCACTGAGCGAGGCAAGCCTAGCTGACCGATGATCCTCCGCTCCGCCTCAAGACACTCGCGGCAGGCGTCACCGCGCTTTCGCTCCCTCTCCCTGATTCTGTCGCCCCAGACCTTGATGTAGAGTTGAGTCTCCTTCGTATCACCCGTGAGACGAGCCGACAGTCGTCCAAACTCAGGAGCTCCATGAGGTAGGCAGTTCAGTCGTGACCTCAACGACTTTGGACCCCAACCGTGCTGGCACTGCAGTATGATAAGGTTCATGTACCCAAACCTGCCTCCGTCCAATTCTCTAACACATCCGTGTAGGATAGCGATGAAGAGTTTGCTGCGCGAATATCCGCCTGGGGGCAGACCGATATCGAGCTCTCTTCCCGAGAGCCTGATGTGAAGACCAAGATTGGACATGGCGAAGGGAACTCTATCGAGCACCGAAGGCTTGTAGATTACGTCGCCGCAGTGCTGGAAGCATTTGACGTCTGGAGCTAGGACGCCGGTGCTCTCTGCATCGGGATTGTCGTATCGCCAGGGGAAGATGGAGCGGTCGTAAGAGCTCTTGATGATTTCTTCCTGGAGACGGAGCAGTGCCTTTGGGCCTTCCCCGTACAGCAGAGGCATGTTGACATCGAATAGACCCATCAGGCTGTACGCTCTATCCTCAAGTCTGGTGGTCTGACGGTGAGCGGCCCAGCTCATGCGACGTGCGATGGTTGCCGATGCCACAGACAAGTCATGGGAAAGGTACTCGAGCTGGATGCCGGTGATCCTGGAGATGCGTTCGTTTAGCGGGAAACCAAGAATACCGGACCCTGGAACCCGTTCAACGTATTCTTCGGAGTCAGCGGCCGTCCCTAGATGGCCAAAAACCTCCCACGTCCGGTCACAAAATACCACCGTCGAGGGAGCAAGCAGCTCCTGCAGCGTCCAGCCTCTGTTGAACCATTCGCTGGAGTCGAAAGCATTCCAGAAGAGATAAGGTGGCGTGGATGCGTTGGGCGCAACGTCGTTCATGTAGACGTAGCATTCTTTCGCTTCTTGATACCTTACAGACGCCCAAAGAAGGACCCGTTAGCTCATGCCAAATGCGTTTGTCGCGGACGTCTTGAATAGAGTGCAAAGGTCTACAGGTCGTCAACTCACCAAGTGAACATGGAGTTAATAGCCTCGGACAGCTCCTGACTACTTTGTTTATTGATACACATCGTGTCCACCCAGATCCACTCAAGTGACTCCTCAGCAATGGGATTGACAGGAGTCCCGCCTTGGCCGTCGCCATCCTCGACATCGTCTGGACGCTCCTGTGATGGTGACGCAAGATCAAAGATCTTTCGTTTCTTGACGAAGGCACAGAAGTCCAGGACCTTCTTGTACCCTGCTGCTTCCTTCCTTCGGCCCTTGCGGAAGTCCTTGAAAGTGATCTCGTCATCGCTCCATCGGTGTGAAAGTATACCGTAGGGCGGGACCTGGTGGTCGAAGAACTCCTTGAATTGCAGCGTGTGCACGTTGAGAAGCCGCATTGCTTCGACAGAACAACAGACTTGACATGGCTTCTTCGAACGCTCAAAATCAGCAAATACCACACAAAAAGAGAGAAAGGTGTAGATGGTGGCGTGAGTCCTGCACGCCAGAGCTCTAAGCAAGCCGGTGAGTAGAGCTGTCCAATGCGCATCAACTACAGGGCTGGAGAGATCGCACGAGAAGCGGACCGTGGCCCTGTGTTGCCAACCAGGTATTGCCATTCCATTCCATTTCACCTCGCACCCACTATCAATACATCCCCATCCACCAAGTCCCTCACTCTGTATTCCATACTCTCCCGCCCACCCTCCACCCAAAAATGCAAACATCCACCACAACCACTCAACCACTCAAACCCCCACCGCAAGACCAAATAATGCCGCGCTCATGATCGGAAGAATTGCAAAAAAGAACACCAGCACCCGCTGCGTTAGGCTGTATTTCCAGAATGTCGTCAAAGTCGTTATGCAAAAGACCGTCGCGAAGGCTGTATAATCCCCATTGCCCAACCGAAAACGCCATCTCCCTCGGACAAAGATAAGCCACTGGACATGTTTCTAGAAGACAGCAGCAAGCCCACTCTTACTATGCCGCTTGCTAAACCGCTTCCTCCCCTTCAGACTCTCTCCTCCATCACCGCCATCAGTATGGCTCTTGCGCAGCGTATGCCGCATCATATGATGCCTCTCCGCGCTGGGACCCGACATCGGCATCGCGGCGTCCGCACCCATCGAGTCCGCAGGGCTGGAGACGGAGGAGTACGTGCTCTTACCCCCTGCGTAGGAGGCGCTGCCGGCCGTGGAGGTGGCGATGGCGATTTCCTTCGCGTTGTCCAGCGCGTCGAGCCATTCTTGCGTGCTGTATTTGCTTCCCGCCGGGTCGGCGGTGGTGGCGCGGGGGTCTTCGAAGGTGATGTGGCGTTCGCGCTGGGGTTTGTCAGTCGCTGTAAGTACAAGGGGTAGGGTGGGATGCTTACCGTGTCGATCTGGAACGCAGTCAGGCCTCGGGCGTCTGTGAAAGGGGTCCAGAGCGCGCCGGTGTTGAGGCAGTTGACGTCCATCTTGGCCTTCTTGTCGTTGCCGCCTGCGGCTGCAATGATGACACGTGCACTGCTAGTGATGAGCACCAGTCGCTCGCGCTTCTTGCCGGCGGTATTGCCGCCGAACAACCGAAACCTGGGCTTCTCTGATGGAGTTGGTGGATCGCCATTCTTGCCCGTTGGACTCTTTTCCTGATGTGTTGAGCAAATGACGAGGTTGCCAAGCTTGAGAATGCGCTCATTATTGTGTGTGAGAACAGGCGACCAGTCAATGTCAAGCTGACTGGGTGGAGGTAGATCGGTCACACCTCGCAACTGCGGTCGTGGCTGGGGTACCTGCACTTGTGATTGAGATGCTTGCTGTTGCGCGGCGTTTGCCAGTGCTGCGCCCGCAGCTCCCGCGGCGTCGCCGGCACCATTCAGCTTGATCGGTGTAGACGTCGAGGTCGGTGCGATGTATGGCTTCAGGTGAGGAGGAGGGTTTCGCCATAGATTCTTGCCCCACTGTATACCGTCAAAGAACTCGTGATTCTTGATATGTTCGATCGGTAATCGATGCGCGGGATCCAGCACGAGAAGTCTTTCCACGAGATCCCGTGCTGCCGGTGGAAAGCCGTCCGGAAAGGTGTATTGAAGGCTTAGGATCTTCTGGAAGGTGAGGTACTCATTGGCAGCCTTGAACGGTGGTCGTCCTGCAATGAGCTGGTAGATGATGCATCCGAATGCCCACAGGTCCGAAGCCTTGCAAGCATTCGATCGATTGAGCAGCTCTGGGCTGACATACTCTGCCGTGCCAACGAAAGAGTTTGCTCGGTCGTTGTCCGCTCCGTCGGTTGGACTTCCAGGCACGACGTCCAGCCCACTGCCGCTCGCCGCCGGGTCTGGTAGAATTTTTGCAGTGCCAAAATCAGTAATCTTGGTGTGCATGTTCCTATCCAGTAGCACATTCTCCGGCTTCAGATCTCGGTGAATGACTCCCCTCGAGTGCATGTATGCTACACTGTCCAGTATCTGAGCACCATAGAACTGTGTACATTCAATGTCAAATGATCCCAGCTTCTTCAGCACTCCTAAAAGCTCACCACCCGATGCCAAGTCGAGCACAAAGTACAGCGACCGCTCATCTTGGAAGGTGTAGTACAGTCGAACGATCCCAGGGTGCTCCGTCAGTCTGTTCAGAGTGTCTCTTTCGATGTTCACGTACTTCACCTTCTTCTCCTTGATGATGTGCCGCTTGTCCAGGACCTTTATCGCGTACTCTTTTTGATTCTGCCTGTCCGTAGCAGCCAAGACTGTAGAGTATGATCCCTCGCCGAGTGTCCGGCCGAAGTTGAAGTCCTTCACGCCCTTCTTTACGACGCGCGTCTGAACTTGTCCATTGCTGTCCGTCTCTTGTCTCGCCCCAACCGCAGCTCCTCTATCCCGCCATTCTTCGGCATTTGAAGGTAGCGGCGCCGACCCTGCATACGCATTGGCAGCGTCATATCCAGCCGCCGAGCCATTCGTAGGCGCCCGTATCCGCCTGGAATTTCTCCGTGGCGGTAGCGGACCATTCCCACCGTTCTGTTCCTGCCGGTACGATCTGCTACTTTGCCTCTGAGGCACCTGTCCACCCAGCATGTTTCTTGCAGAAGTCGAGCCGTGCCTCTCCAACCCGCTCATTCCACTGTGCGAAGAACCCAATTCATCCCGATATCGGTATGAGCTTTGTGAGCTCGAGGAGGTGTTTGGAAGCTGATACATGCCGCTTGTCGGACGAGTGAATGAGGTTTGCAGCGGACCTGGGTTCCGCATCTGCTGGTTGTAATTCGAAGAGTGCACGGGGTACTGCATCTGCTGCTGGGCTTGATAGTTCAGGGGTAGACTCTGCCGGTGGGCTAATCGACGTGTCTGCGAGCCATCGTCGGGGATGGGGCTGTTCGGAGGGCGGTATTGTTGTGATGATATCGGCGGTCGGACATCTTCCTGTATTGCGTAGGTGTTGGGGTTGAATCCTAGGGAGCCATTCTCCTCCTCCGGGCTGGCGTGTGACAGACCTGGCAGCAGAGCGGGCTGTTGCAGTTGCGTGATCGTATCAGAAGAGTGTGAGGACGGAGGGGGCGGTTGTGTACTCGAGGGATGTGCCGGGGTGGATGTGGATGTTATGGGTGATAGCACAGCTTCTTCCTGCTCTTCGTCCGGGTTGGCGATACGCAGACCGCCCAGCGCGCCGCTCAATGACAAGTCCCCGCTCATGCCTGGCTCTGATATCTCCTCCAGCCAGCAATGGGACTACAAGGTGTGCACAGCCGGGAGCGAGCGACGGGCGGCATCTGCCTTAGCGAGCGTAGGCGGAGCGGGAAAGCGCAGCGGAGTCGGGGTGCGACAGGCTCGTCAGTAGGAGGGTTATATAAGGTATTGAGGTGTAGGTATTGTGCTGCCTTGCCATGCATGCACGCCTTCCACACGTGTACAGTGGTACAACGGCTTACGCGGGCTTCTCATACTCGAGCTCGATATAGAAGTTCCAGGTACACCTCGTGACTGGCTCGTGCCGAGGATCCGCCGTCAGCCATCTACGTATTCTCCTACTTCCTCCCGCAGGCGACTGCAACATGTCTTCCCAAGTCTCGCCTTCGTCACTCCGGGCAACGATGAACGCATGTCGGGCAGGTCGAGGACTTATCTGACCGTTGGTAATTCGTATCTCCAAAGTCCCAGCTTGCGGACAAGACAGTCCCAAGATACTGCATGGCCGTTGAGACAGCGTGCATGCCTGCAAGGCACGACAACGTGGATGACAAGGGAAGTACATGTACATGGTATGCAGCTGTGAACTGTGATTCAGCCCCAGGAGGTCTGCTACGTGCAGCTTGTTGACTCTCAGTATGCCACATCGCCTTGTGTCTTCCAGCAGTTCCCATGCCTATGATTCAGAAAAGGAACTCCATATCTTACGATCCTTGACGGAACCTCCCCCTGGACGTCCAGAGGTGCAACTCATGTGCCATGTTCGACAGCCACGTGACGGCCGCCACACTTCACAACGCCACCAAACGCTTCCATTACGACTTCTTCCCAAGCACCAGGCTGTCACTTTTCCACCGCCCGCACCAACTCAACAGGTCGACGGCATGGCCGGAACGGCGCAGTCACAGCCTTCAAACCAGGTGCCCGACACCTGCAAATTCACCTCCCAAGGTATCACTGCCGAAGCGTCGAACGAGCATGCTGCCACCGAGTTCCACAGCATCAGTGCCATGCCAGCCTACAGGAATTTCTCCTTCGAAGAACTGAGGCTGCACGACTACTCGAACGGTGGTCGTGGGGTCTACCGACACAACTCTTCCAGGACGAACTTCAGTTTCGAGGCAGCAGAGGCCCTAGCGTGGGCCACAGTTCCTCGCTACGACTCGAAAGACCTCGCCTTCGCCGCTTCTCGCAGGACATCTTCGCATACCATGGTGGCCTTCCGCCCTCCCACGGTCACATTGCGGGCGGGGAAAGTCGAGCAGCAAGACTTTGCGTTCCATGCAAGCCTCCTCGCCGCCAATTCTGAATTCATACGAGTCGCTCTTAGCAAAGACTAGAAGGAGGCACGTGAGCGGGCCATCACACTACCCGACGATCTTCCAGAGACGGTCGAGCTGTACCAGCACTTCGTCTACAGGGGAGATATTGCACCCAACAGCTTCGGTGACGGCCCCAAGGACTCCAGCGAGTATCAACTTCTCGCCCGCGCGTACATCCTGGGTGAGCGCTTCTTTGACGCGCCGTTCAAAGACGCGATCATCGATTCCATCATACACAAACTGCGCACTTCTGGCGTTTTCGATACCCGGCTGACGAATCTTATCTACGCCAATGTCCCAGTTGGATCACAACTGAAAAGGCTGTTGGTCGACATCTACACATTTGCCGGCAGTCGAGAATGGCTCAATGAAGAGGCAGTAGGGGAGGAGATCAACTCTGAGTTTGTGCTGGAGCTGAGCAAACGTCAAATGGACATCGCCAAGCTGCTCGGACCAAAAGTTCCAATGTACGTCTCCAACACGTGCGGGTATCACGAGTATCCAAGGGGGGTCGTGCTATAGGCATCATGCTGCTGGTGATGCTTGGGACAATCGTTCGAATTGAACTGCAGCTCGCTGAAACATTAGGACTGCATGGATCATTGGTGCAGCCTCTACCTCTTCTACCAACATGCTGCTGTCGATACAGGAGGAGTTCATATTCGAGCATTGCGAGTCTGTACATCTCAACCAATACCCGTCCCAACAACGTGACCATCTATTCCCTCTTCCGCTTCCCCGCCCCTGGCCCAACCCTCACAGGCAACTTCACCACCCCCCTCCTCTCCCCCTTCCCCTTCTTCACCAACTTGGTAACCCCCACCCCCAACCACCTCAACGTCCCCTTCCGCCTAACCTCCCGCTCAATCTCCCACTCCAACCACTCGACATCACTCCCCTGCCACCCCTTCGGCATCAGCGTCTGCAGCATCGGGATCAGGTCGATGGCGTTGTTGGTGTGCAGGAGGCGGTAGAGGGACATGTAGAACTCGACTTCGTTGGTGGTGCCGTTGTTGAATGAGGCGCAGGAGGCGTCGAAGAGGGTGCGGGTGGGAGTGGTGGGGGGGGAAGCGGGCGTAGATGGCGCGGACGAGGGTGGTGGCTTTGTGCTCGTTTAAGGGGTGGGGGTCGGGTGTGGATGGCCTGGAGGGTGGAGGGATGACGGCCGGGGACGGGCTGTTGTGTGGTGCTGTTTGAGTCGGATGAGCAGCAACGTCGGTAGACGCTGCTTGAGGTGGACGGGGGGCGATGTTCCTTGGCGATGCTCGGGTCGAGGGAGGAGCGAGCAGCGATACGTTTCCCTGTGGTGGTGGGTGGCCATGGCCTGGTAGCGGTGCTTGTGGCGTCGACATCGACTGGAGTTGGGCGTAGCGCGCGTTGTACTCTTCGAAAGTCGATCTGACGAGTTTCCCGTTCCTGCGCTACAACGTCAGCCAGTGTTCGTCCGTGTGGAAATTGAAGGATGCTCACAGGTCAAGATACTGGATGGTATCCATCCTGTTAACCCAAGGGGGATATGACCACTCTCCGTATAGTCTGCTTGCTGCAGTCTAACCCGACTTTGTTAACAGAGCCAGAGTTTGTTCGCGCTGCGGCAAGCGAATCTGTTCCGCCAGTAGCTTTTCTGATCACGACGTCACCTCATTTCCGCAGCACCAGATTCAACCCAATCAGGAAGTTGGTCGGCCGTTGAGGAACCCAGTCCGGCCGCGCATGTGATCGTACAGATACACCGCTTCCGAGATGCTCCTCCGTGTCCGCCAGTCTTCCTTCTCGGAGCCGAAGAGCAGGAGGTTCGCTTCGTCACCAGTCTTCAATTCGAGACTCCCGCCAGTGGTACCAGCGCTGGAAGACGTCGCGAGACCGATCGCTTGCCTGGCTCTGCTGCTCACGCACTCATACAACAGCTCGGCGTCTTCTTTTGTACCGGCTTGGTAGATGCCGACGCCATTGCAGGCAAGGGTCAGCGGATCACAGCTTCCATATGGAGTGAAAGCATTGCCGATGTTGTTGATGCCCGTTGAGGCATTCAAGCCATGCTCTTTGATCAGGTGAGGGATATTCAGCGTTGGACGATTCTTCTGCTCAGACCTCATCATGAACAGGTCGCTGGTGGGCAGGCCGACGAAGGAGATGGGTAAGTCAAGAACATCTTCTTTCATACTCTTGAGCTCATCTTCCTCGAAGAGTGTCAATCGGGTGCAATGCCCCAGCACCACCGTCTTCTCCTTTGCCTTTTCCTTCCAGCTCGACTCTTTCAAAGTTCGAAGAACGTACGGCACCATTGGCTCACCCTCTGGATCAAGATGATAGTCCAGGTGGAAGTCGAGATGTTTTCCGTTTTCGCCAGTCAGGTCAACCATCCACCGAACGTTCTGCTCCATCTTCTGTCTATCAGCCTCGACGTACGGCGTACTCCCCAGAACATCGACATCAGGGTTTCTCGCGGCTTCTTGCATGAGCCCTCGAATCTTCTCGCCTCCATCCCTTTCCGTAGAGGTAAACAGCGGCAACTGCGCAAAAGCACACAGTTGGACCATACACCTCCCTTCAGCCTTCGTCTCCCGCTTCAGCTTGATGCCAGCGTCGAGACACTTCATCCCGACTACGGCGTCGAGCTCAACGAAAGCTCGCATGTGCGTTACCCCGGCTTCCACGCTCTCGTCGATTAGTCTTTGACCACGCTCGAGCAGGTCCAATTCTTCGAAGTCTTTCTTCGCCTCTCCGGTCAATGCCATCGCCTCCTGGAAGTCGCCCTTTTCGATCTGGAGATGTGCATACTTTGGATGAGAGAGCAAGAACGCTTTGTCGATGTGCACATGCGGGTGGCACAGGCTGGGTGCAAGGAGCGCTCCTTTGCCATCCGCATACGAGGGATGTGATGATACCTCTGCACTATGCTGGGAAATCTGGCCGATTTGTCCACCCTCAATGGTCACGGCCCACCGAGTGTCGGCCGCTGTGTTCGGGAGACAGACGTTGCGAAAGCCAGAGAAAACTTTCCCTTCCTGAGGGACAGAGGCGCCGGTACCTTGTGGGGAAGCGGCTTCACTCTGAATACGAGCCATCTCAGCGTCCAGATCAATGCCATGAGAGCCGAGAAACTCGGCGGCCATCTCGTTCAAGCTGCTTTTGTAGAAGCTTGCGGTTCTGTGCTCTCAACACTTGATAGACTGTTGGATGGAAAGACGGGGAGACGAAGTAAGTGGAAGGAAGCGAGATGCGTTTGATACTGCTGAAAGCATTGCCATGATGCAACTAAGCTCCCAAACTTTGCTCTCATGTGTAATGCCGCACTACCAGCGAGTGTTGTACAACAACAAGAATACCTAGTCTGAACAAACCTTCCCTGAGAACATGCCATATCCGTATTCCCCTTGATGCAAGCGTAGTAAATAATTAAACAACGAGGTGAAGTTGCAAGGTGAGGTGTGGTCGCTGCCCCTCCATCAATCTCGCTTACCCCTTTCGTGTCCCTCCTGCACGACCTTGATGCGCGACACGTGAACTGGATATGCGCGTCCGAGCTTTCTTGAACATCAACCTCATCTCCATCTCCAATCCATCGTCTCTCTCATCGAAGGAGTGTGGTTGCATCCACGACGACCGTCTTCGGCTCTAGCCTCTCTTCGCTAGCTTGGCGGCCACCAGCGATCAGCATTTTGCCGAGATGTATCCAGGCCGGCAGCAGCAGCAGCAGCAACAGCAACAGGCCTACAGGCGACCTGGTGGGTTATACACCTTCTACACTCACCCTGTTCCGTAGTCGCTGCTTTGTTCTCTTGCTTTTGCGCGACCGACATGGACGCTGCGCGTGGACATAAACGCAAGATTTCCTTTGCTGACCTCGAGGCGACCTTTCGCCGACCAGGGCCACCGCTCCAACATGCGCCGCAGCCGCAACAACAGCAGCAGATGACCCCGCAGCAGGCGGAGCAGTACCGACAGGATCACATGCGCCGGGTAGAGGGGGCGCGACGGCAGGCAAGGAAACCGACAGATCGCGAGATACCGGAGGAGCTGTCGGATGTTGTGGTTGGGGATGGGGTTGAGCAGTACAGGAAGCTGAGGGACGTGGAGAGGAGGCTGGACGCGACGATGATGCGCAAGAGGCTAGATCTGACCGACAATATGCAGCGGCAGTACACTCGGCGTGAAGGGGTGCTACGGGTATGGATCAGCAATACTGCGGATGGGCAGCCCTGGCAAGCTGCGGAGGAGGGCAGTGTAGGGTTTGGTGAGGACGGGACATTCGACTTCGGCGAGAACAGCCAGGCGACGTTTCGGGTCAAGGTCGAGGGACGGTTATTGCCCGACGCGACATTCGAGAAGGACGGCACGGATGAGGAGAAGAAGGAGGACAAGTCAAGAAGACCACGACTGAGTCATTTCTTCAAGTCCATCGTCACGAGATTCGACCGCAATCCTGCACTGCAACCGGACGGCTACAGTGCGATCGAGTGGCAAAAGCCGACACACACCACGCCAAACTACGATCCGAACAGCAGCGAGGTCAGCTTTGACACACTCGAGTTCGAGCGGAAGAGTGACGAGAACATCAATGTTACTGTGGAGCTCACGCGCGACGTCAAGACGGAGAGGTTTAAGCTGAGTCCGCTGCTCGCGGAGATCCTGGATACTGAGGAGGAAGACCTCCCTGGGGTTGTGTCAGGCATCTGGGAGTACTGCCGTGTCATGGGACTTCAAGAGGACGACGATAGGCGGAGCATCGTATGCGATGAACCGTTAAGAAGAGTAAGTAATTCGGATCAGAGATCTTGTGGCCTTACTAACACACCACAGCTCTTCCAAAAAGACACCATCTACTTTCCCTACGTGCCAGACGCGGTGAAGCCGCATCTCCACCATCTCGACCCGATCAAACTCCCCTACACCATCCGCGTCGACAAATCATACATCAACGGCACCCCAGCAACCGACACCGAACCCGCCATCGCCCCCTCCGCACCCACAGTCTACGACATCCGCGTACCACTCCCGAACCCCGTCTATGCCGAACTAGCCAAATTCAATCACACCAAAGAATCGCACACAAAGGACCTCCAAACCATCGTCCGCACCGACGACGACCTCGCCCTCCTCGTCCAAAAAATCCACAACACCAACGCCAAGCGCAAGTTCTACGAGAACCTCGGCAAAGACCCAGCGTCCTTTGTGAAGCGCTGGTTCTCGTCGCAGCAGAGAGACCAGGAGGTCATTCTCGCGGAGAACATGCGCGGTGGGGGGGATGATGGACCCGGCGAGTTTCATAGCCGGGGCGGGACGGAGGGGTTGTGGGGGACCAAGCAGGCGCATGAGAGTGTGGGGTTGTGGTTGGCGAGGAATACGAAGGCGCATTAGTAATGCCGGCGGGGTTGTTGGGGAGGTACAGTGAATGTCTTTTTGACTGTGCTTGTGGGAGTGAATGGGTGGTTACGGCGACGGGTTACTGTGGTTGCAAAGCGTGGAGTCTTGAGATGTTATGGATGCTTATCCGGCCGATGGACAGGATCAACAGGTGATTTCTGGCACCAATCTGCCAGGGCACGCACAGCGACTATGTCAGCAGTGGATCAATGCAGAAATTCTGACTGCTGTCTGCATTCACCATTTATCATCCGTGCTTCTCAGGACAGTCGTTTGATGTAACCTTCTCTCCAAAGCCCTCCATAGCCTTGTCCACCCCTACCAACCTTCTGACAATTCGCTGCGCCCCTACCGGCAGCACATGCAGCCACTCGATCCACCTCGCGTAGAACGGCGTGCTAATCTCCCCACTCTCGCCCGCATCAACCATCCTTACAATCTCCCTCGCCAACTCTACAGGCTCAACGACCGGTCCGAAGAACGAGCTCGGCGTCTCCACGCCCGCGAAGAGACTCGTGCTCAGCTGTCCCGGCGTTACCAGGATCGTTCGGATGCCTTTCGAGCCTTCCGGAGCAGTCGACGAGCTGAGCTCCGCGCGGAGGGAAGAGTGCATAGCGATCAAGCCTGCTTTCGCGGCCGTGTAGTCGGACAAGTGGCTGGCACCCAGCTTTCCCAAGACGGAGGCTACGGTCACGATGGTACCGCCGGTTTCAGAGGCGAGCATGTCGGGGAGGAAAGTGCGGATGGTGTGGAAGTGGGAGAGCAGGTTGATGTTGAAGTTACGGCTCACTTCGGCGCTGGTGAGGTCAAACAGTGGTTTGCCATTCACAATCCCGGCGTTGTTGATCAAAATGGTCGGAGTACCAAGCTGGAAACTTACCATCAGCATTGGACATTGTAGTATGAAAAACGATACAAGGCTACATACATCCTTCACCACCTCCCTCCTCACCCTCTCCACCGCCCCCGCATCCCCAACATCACAACGGTACCACTTCACCCCCGCTAACCCCTCACTCTCCCTCCCGGGCTCCACGACATCCAACACCGCAACACTCGCCCCGCGCATCCCATACATCTCCGCCAAAATCTTCCCCAACCCCTGCGCACCACCCGTGATCACCACGACCTCCTCCTCCCAATCCACTTCGCGCGGTAAGCCATACGCGATGCGCTTGTTCACGACCCCGAGGATCGCCGTGAGAGTGATGAAGGAAGCCCAGACGCAGGCGGAGATGAATTCGGGCGCGTGGTAAGGGGTTGTGATGGCGCGGAGGCAGAGGGGAATGAGCCAGGCGATGTAGGGGTGGAGGAGGGAGCGGTTGAGGACGTGGATGAGGAGGTCGAGGGTTAGGTGGGCGTGCCACGGTTTCTCGCGAGGGGGAGGAGCCATTGTGGTGGGAGGAGATGTTGGGGTGTGGTTTGGAGGAGGTGAGGTGAGGTTGGAGTGGTGCGGTCCGTGCGAGCCTTCTTCAAGTCTTTGGGCGAGACCTTCACGTTGTCTCCGACATGTCCTTCAATCATCTCACTTCTTGCTCGACTTGCGACTGCATCGCACCGAATGAGTCGCTCGACTCTAGTACTCACCAGAGTGAACAGCAGTAACCCATCGACCCTCAGTTAAGTCTCAGCGCAGACATCGGATCAAGACTCGTCTCATCGTGAGCGACATAGCTTCGTCGAGCGCTTCGCCCTTCTCCTGTCTTGCTCGTCCGGGTCAGACCATTCTCAGTCTCAGTTTCGAGAGACTGGTGCCACGGCACTCGACGACACTCTGGGCTTGAAGTAGATAAGTACGGGTCTTTTGCTCTTGCTTCTATTGCTCATTACACCTTCAACACATTCACTTCATCCTATTCGTACGGCAGGCCGTCCATTCCTACTCATTCGCTCGCTATTCATACCACAATCCGTCCCTTATTTCGTTGCACGCCCGGCCATCCATTCCTCAACACTACACAACCTCACGAAGACCCGGGCAACCATCACCATGAACGCCAACTTCACGGTACAGAATCTGCCTGGCAAACGCAAGGCGCTGGTCGCCGCAAGGCCGATCACTCTTGGAGAAGAAATCGTTTCCGAATCACCTCTGGGCACCGTCGGTCCGATGCTCAAATCTACTTTCAACGAGGACGCCTTCTTCGATCTCAAGCACGAGTACTCTGGCGTCGAGGTCATCAGTGCGGTATACCGGAGAATGTCGCCATCTCAACAGACTCAGTTCGTCCAGCTCCACACAACTGGTCACATTGTCGACACGTTCGTGCTGAACGCCTTCAGCGACTACTCATACCTCGCAGGTCTAGAGTATGTCACACTTCGTGTATACAACAACATCTGTCGTGCAAACAATTCGTGCCGGCCGAATGCCATGTACTCGTACAACCCAAACACTCAGCGAGGGGCACTGCGAGCCATTCGCAGAATCGATTATGGAGAAGAGGTCACAGTGGAGTACCAAATGATTGAGGACATGAGTCTACAAAGGTTGACCAGTCGCAACAACTTCTTCCAAAAGAATTGCGGCTTCTCCTACGACTGTCCAGCCTGTCGTGGCCCTGACCGCGGGCGTGACAGCGAGCAGCGAGCACGCGCCGGTCGGCTGCTGGAGACAATCATCAACGACCGGCACAGCATTCCGGCGAGCGGTGACTCGGAAGCGCGGAGGACGCAGCGACTTGAGCGTCTGGACAGGTACATTGACATCCTTAGAGGCCTGCAAATTTCCGACGGCAAGATGGCAGACGCTCTAAAGCATCGGGCTGAAGTTCACCGTCAAGGGTACCAGCTTGCGCAAAGGGATGGTAACGACCATTTCCCTTCGTGCCGCAGAGACGGTACCCCGTTGCACCACCTCGCGTCGGCAAAATCAGATCTCCTCGACGCGCACATGCTCAAGACGATCTGCTACGGACCAGCTCATCCCGAATGCGATCAGGTAAGAAGCATGATTGCAGAAATCATGCGACTTACAGTCATCTTGCAAGGATGAAATAGCTATTCACAGGCATCGACGTCGCTCTGGGATACTAGGTATGGACCAAGGAGTTGTGTCGATCGCTCATGGCTTCGTGGCCATTACGACTGCCGCACATGTGTGCGGAGCGACTTCCTCCTGCTCACACATCGTGCTTTACACAAAGCGACTATATCGAGGTCGTGAGTTCCTTGAGTCAGCATGTGTACACTGCGAGGAAGAGGCACGATGGCGATGCACCTACTGTCGTTGTGAATGCGAGCACCACTCGGCGGGCTGAGCCTTGCTCTTCACTCTACACCTTCAACTCTCCTGCAACCCTGTCCAGTCTTTCGTCTACTTCCCACCGCTTCCCGTTCTCCGTCGATACCATCTCGCTTGTCATCACAATGCTTCGCTGCCCTCCCTCCCGCATCAACCTCACTGCTTCTGACATAGCAGGCTTCGAGCAGCGATTCATCGCTCGGCATTCTGCTCACCTCGTACCGGCCAACCCCAGCAATGTCCGCCTTAGCCCTGGCCCAGGCCGCTCGACAAGCCTGTCTTTCGTCCCGGCCGAACAGAATGCTGCCCGAAAGCGAGCCGCTTCATCGTCCTCGGGGCACGCTGCACACGATGACCACACCGCAGAACGAGCAGGAACATACCATGCCGCCAATTGCACAGAACCCAGGGAAGGAACTCTCGCATGGACAGATCAGCAAGGCGATAGGCCACACACCGCTGGCATCATCGGGCCTACCGAAATGCAACAGCCTCCTCAGCCTTCGCTTCCTAACATCGATGGTGCTGCAGATCTAAGGGCTCCCCACTCGCCACCTGTAGTAAGATGCGGTCTTCTACTTGCGAGCTCTTCATCACCACATGCAGCAGTGGATGGGCCTAATAACCCCGTTGACCAAACACCAATACATCGTGAGATCAAGCCACACCTTCTCTCCAGCGCAAGGGCAAGACGCCGCAATGGCCGCACACAGACCGACCAGATACCAATCGACTCTCCCGTTGAGGAGGAAGAGGCCGCGCATCCCAGCCAGATTGTCGCATCAGCCCTGGCGATACCCGATCTAGTACTCCATTCCGGCATCGAGTCGTCGCCGACGAACCCAGCTCTTGACCGTGGGGCACCCGTGTTCGTGCCGCAGACCCGGTTCGCAAGGGCGACGAGGCCTCGTGCAGAGGTCTCTGGTGGACTGCGGCTCGAGCCACGCTGGAGCAGCGTTGACAGCACGCACAGCTCGCTGGAACTTCGCATTCGCTCTTCCTCGGAGAGGAACAGTGACCTGCCGCCTGGATCTCGCCATGTCGCTCGTGTGCCGTCGGAGTCTTCTTTGGACAACACGCTTCTGTCCAACGATGTCGAGAACTTCTCACGCAGACAACGTCGAAGGAGCCGCACAACCGAGCACAATGGCAATGCTATGATACAACCGGCCAACCTCGAGAGGTACCCACTGCTTCGTCCTCCTGTGGCACATCGTCAGTCGAGCAGAATCACCACCCGCAACATCACGCCTCATGTTCGCTTGGTGTCGCCTTCGATGACGCAGCTGCGAGTCGTGACAGGGACGTCTTTGGGTGAGCAGTCTTCTAGGGTCAGGGATGGCCCTCCGGACGCAGATGCATCATCGTGGGAAGGACGAACGCTGCTGCGGCCTCTGTCTCCAGCAACACTGTCGAACAGTCAGTCGACACCGCACTTCTCACAGCAATCTATCCATCCCGGACGCATCTACAGCCGTGGCAGCTCGTTGTCATGGAGCCGGTCGGCGTCTCGCGAAGGACGCGTCGACCAAGTTCCTAGCACCGCGGGTGCAGCAGCAAGTAGCTTCAGTGGCGAACGTAAGACTTCCCGGCAGTCCTCGAAAGAAGGCTTGGATGCCGCAGCAGAGTTCCTGAGGATGCGCAATTCACCGCTCGATGATCTGACCGAGCGGCTGAGTCGGCTTTCTTCGAGTCGGCCACGCTCTGTGGGCCGATCGTGGGTCGAGGCACCGAGAGGACGTCCCCGTGTGTCTCTACTCACGGGCGATCCGTTTCGACCGGAGCCGATTCCTCGTCCTGCAACCACTGACCCGCGGGTGTCTCAGCGCCCAGAACCCAATGCTGTGTCGCCTTCAAACAGAACAGAAGCTCCGAGCGAGACAAATACCATGGTGGAAGATCTTGTGGCTCTGTCTCTCGCCCTGCCACCTTCGTCATCGCTCCCTTCCACGCCAGCAGTACCGAGTTCACCACCATGCCCGAGTGCAACACAACGAAGCATCCATCCAACATCATCTCCCGACCCCGGTAGGCAGGGCTATAGCTCGCCACCAAGCTGCATCAAACGGAAGCCCGTCCCAAGTGGTCCGAAGACGCCCAAAGTCACTGTATACGATGACTCCAAGCCACCCAACACGCAGCCACAGACACCGGCAGATGTTGGACGCTCCACGAGAAGGGTGAAAGCTCGTTCAGAGACGGCCGTTCAGCAGTCGCCAATCGTTGTGCGCCATGTGAAAATCAGCACACCGCCGGTCATTCCAGAGCGTTATCCGCATCGGTATACTTACCCCCCTGGCGCTGCTCAGGGCTATGCAGGACCAGCTGGAAACGCAGCAGGGCCCTCCGCTCATCGTAGCAATGAGCATGTCGAGAACGACCTCGAAGGGCATCTGCCGGGACTGGAGCAGGATCGACGTACGTGGATGAGTCGCCAGGAGGGAGTGAATCTGGATGTTACGCCGCCGAGGGAGGGGAGGTTCGAGAGGTATCTTTCGTAAGGCTTGAACCCCAGTAGTGGAGCAAGGGGTAGGGACTGTTCGCATATTTCGTTCTGCAAGACTCTGGCCAGCAAGAAGTCGACGAGTTGGGGCTGAAGAGGGAGACCAGCTAGAATGTACACTAGAGCCAACAGCTTCATGTAATATCAGTATGTAACATACACGCCAATACCTACTCAAATTTCATCGTGTTCACCAGCCTCCCAATCCCCTCAATCTCCACCACCACCTCATCCCCATCCTTCAAATACTTCGGCGGCTTCATCCCAATCCCCACACCTCCGGGGGTACCCGTCATAATACACGTACCGGCCTGCAACGTCTGCCCGGTGCTGAAAAAACTCACCAACTTCCGCACCCCAAAGCACAAATCCGACGTATCGGTATTCTGCCTCTCCTCTCCGTTCACAAACGTCCTCATGCGCAGCCCACTACCATCGCCAAGCAACTTCGTGGAAACGATACACGGGCCGAGCGGGGCGTACTTGTCGAAGGACTTAGAGAAGGACCACTGCGGCATGCCGCCCGCTTTGTCCTTTTCCATCTGCCAGTCGCGGCAGGAGACGTCGTTGCCCGTGACGTAGCCGGCGACGTAATCCAGAGCGTCGGCTTCCGAGACGTTTTTGCAGTCTTTGCCGATGACGACGGTGAGTTCGCCTTCGTAGTCGCATTGGGGTTGGCCGAGTTTGGGGATCGGGACTGGGGAGCGGGTGTCGTGGATGGCTGGGCTGGGCTTGATCTGGAAATCGAGAATAATCAGCATGTTGTGGATAGAGTAGGTATTTTAGTTATCTGACTTACGAAGAGCGTCGGGTTTACGGGGAGGGTCATGCCAGTCTCAAGAACTAATTGCCACACGTCAGCATCAACATCCTTACCAAGGTAGACGATCGAAAGATAGAACGTACTGTGCGTCTTATAATTCAAACCCGTACACCTAATAATCGGCACATCCCCCGGCGTCAACGGTCCCAAAAGCTGCTTCACACTATCCTTCTGCCCATTCGCCTTCGCCACAAGCGGACTCGCTCCTTCGAGCACATTCACTTCCAACTTCCCGTCCTGAGCCAGCTGATCGATATCCGGCTTTGAATCTGAAACAATGGGCTCGCCGTAGTGGATTTGGCCGTCTTTGGCGGAGATGTAGCGGACCAGGCGGTCCCAGGAGGTCGTTCCGGACATTGTGGTGATGAAGCGGGGGCTTTGGATATGACTCTGAAGTTGGGCTGCTCTTTGGATGGAACGAGGAGGAAAGAGTCTTGAAATGGAGTACATTCGAAGACACGATTGAACAGGTGAGGTCGGGACTAAGTAATACAGTCGAGCTCACGGCGGATGTCGAGCGGATGGAGTGCGGGCAGAGTGCCGTGAGTGGGGAGGATGAAGAAGTGGGTTGCCGACCCGATGGATTCGGCAGTTCGTTGGAGTGATGTTTCTCAAGACTCTTATGTCTGTCGACAGTTGTTTGTTATGAAGGAGTATACGATGTTGATATATCGCTGCGGTACTAGCAATACCTTCACCAACCAGGAGCAAGGTCGAAACTCACTCCCACCGTGAAGCCTCCACAACAGCTCCAAACAACACCACCGTCCTCTCTCGCAACAACCACTCCAACACTCATCCTCACCAGATACCATTTCCTGGTAGTTCACTTGCTGCTCGAAACATGCGGCAGTCCCAAAATCCCAGCAGCAGCATCTAGAACCTTGCTCCCCTTCTTCTCCTTGGAAGGCTTTTCATCCCTCTCCTCGTTGATGGTGGATTGTTGCGTCTGGTTGATTTTTTTGACTATTGAGCAGGTAAGAAATAATCAAAGACGGTGGCAAAACGGGACAACGGTAAGGCGGTCGTACCGTTCGTGGTTGGTTGTTTATCCTTGTCTTGCGGACTACCTTGAGTAGAAGCCATGTTGCTCGCCCAGACAAGGTTCAGTAAGAGCGAATATGAGCTTAGAACGAGACCAAGCAAAAAAGACTTCAGCACCAGAGCGGACTCTATCTAAGGATGTGAAGATGGGAGAGCAAGATACTTAATCCAGTACCTACGTGGCTGTGTCGCTCAGGTCAATGTAACGCTACGTTGATCGGGATGCTGTGCTGTGCCGCACAGCTGCATCTCGCTTGGTCATGCGATGCTCGTGGATGCGCCGCCGATGGAAAACCGGGCTGAAACATTGGTCGAATCTTGCTGTTATTGAACCGTCATTCCGTATCGAACAGAGCAAGTAGGGTATCTATCAACTCAACTTCCATCAGTTTCACAGCCGGGAACATCGCCCCAATTGTACCTCCTGTCGCCTGTATGATTAGGCCGTAATAGTATCGCTCAATCGCTTGCTTCCAGGCTGATCCTCCTCATTCGTGCTCATCCAGTCCACAAGCACATAGTGCATCCATTGCTCAACGTCTCAACATTAAGCCCATACTGTCAAGCCTCCCCCATTCGCCGTACCTATCACCGGCTGATTTACCATGCCCAATCCTTCCACATCTTTCAACCACCCATCAAACCTCCGGCAACCCCCCCTCCCCCGCCTTCCGCCTCACCCCCTCCCTCACCCTCTCAAAAACCCCCATACCCTCCCTATACCTCTCCCACCCGACATTCCAATGCATCCTCGCCCGCTCAAGCACCTTCGCATCCGCCATGTAACTCCCAAAACCCACCTGCTCCCCGGCCATCCCACTCGTATCTCCCACTTGCTCCAACCACCCACTCCCACCCTCAAACCGCTTGCCGGCGCGCTGCTCGGCGCCGGCAAAGTACTGCAGCATCGCGCAGTCGAAGGCGTGGAAGGCCTTGCAGTACTCGCCGAAGAAGCGGGCGTAGTTCTGCCAATTCGTCTTGGACGCGCGCACGGGCTCGGCGGGGTAGGTGGGGACTTTGGGGAGGTCGAGTTGTTGGAGTGAGGGGGTGGATTGAGGGCGCGCGGCTTCGGATTTGAAGGGGAGGGTGGAGCTCAGGTCGGTGAAGTCGTTGAGGCCGGTTCCTGTACCGCTGGGGGCGGAGCGGGCGATGGGCTCGACGTTGCGCAGGTCGTCGAGGGTGGTGTTGAGTTTGGTTCCGTCGTTGGTGGAGGCGCGCTCGGTGCGGCGGGTGGCGCTGGAGGTGTTGCGGTGGATGGGGGTGTTGTTGAGCTTGTGTTCTTGCTGCTGTCGCCATGTAGAGGGTGGGACAGAGTACAGCCGCGCGCCTTTGTCAGTTGCGGGCATCGGCGCTTCCTGTGCCTGTTCTGTCGGTTGGTTCGCAGGCGGCGTGTCAATGTCCATGGCATCGGCGTCGTAAGCTGCAAAGTCCTCCTTCGCTCCGTCTGTGCCCGCTGGTGTCCCTCCTTCATCCACATCCACGACGTGTGGCGCCGGCGGCTGCTTGGTCGCGGACTTCATCGCCGGCCGGCTCGCCTTCCTACTCTGACTCGGCTTCCTCGCCCCAGGCGTAGCTCCTTTCCCAGGACTGCCTTGCCTCGGAGGCGGCGGAGGCACAGTCCAAGAAGGATCCGAGAACGCACTAGTCCACTGCTCCGGGTCGAAACCAGAGGCGGTGTAAGTCGGCATCTCCTTCGGCGTACCATCAGAGCCCCACGGCCTGGTTGGGACTTCGCCGTTCGGTGTAGCTCCTCGCGAATCGTCCATCGTAGCACTGCGCGCTTGTGCTCCTGGCGTTCGTGAAGCCCGGCCACCCAAAGGAGTCGGCTTCCTAGACGCAGTTGCTCCAGGAGGGAAGTACTCGGAGTTGAACTCCACGCTTGAGCCTGCTGGCGAGAAGTCGATGTCGATGTCCTCTGTGCTCTTGCTCTTGCCGTTCGCTGACGACGAAAATCCGCTCGCGTTCGGAAAGTTGAAGCTGTTGGCAGAAGATGCATGGTTAGCAGGTCTGTTCTGAGCTGTACCCACAAGTGAAAAGTCTTGAAGCAGCCGTTGTAGTAAGCTGTCAAGCTTGGGCTGGCCACACGGGATGCCTTTGCGTGCTGTTGAAGCAAGCGACAAGAACACCTGCATGTCCAGATTGTTCGGCAGCTGCTCGAATGTTGCTCGCAAGTCGGACTGGAAGCGCACATATGCATTCTGCTCGTCTAGTCTGGCCGCCATATACAACGGGTCGGCGCCAGTGACAAACGAAACTTGCTGAGGCCTCCGATGTGACTTGGCGATTTTTTCGCTTGCTTTTCCTGACAAAGGATTGACGGACGACGGGAGTGCCCATCTTCCAACATTTGACCATGTGCGTCTAGCTCTCCATGTTGAGTGGAGGCGAGATTCTTGGCCATTCGGACGCTGTGTAGGATAAAGGGAAGAAAGGGGGTGGTCGTACATGTTGTTAGAGTTGGACTTTTGCTGCATGTCAGGTTGCTCGCTCTCGGACTGGGTACCGCTTGCTGTCGCTGGTCGTGAAGATGAGACGCGAGAACGACTCGGGCCTTTCGGAACTCTCTTCGGTCGGTTGTCTGGTGCGCCTGCGTCTGGTGCAGATTCTGGTCGCTGTTGATCTGTCGGTTTGGATGATCCGTTCATACCGTCGGGTGTTCGCACATCATCACTGTCTTCGGTGTCGCTGTATACCATGAAGGGACCTTGCTTGTTCTGGCCGTTGACCTGGCTGCTGCCATTGGCATCCGTTCTGCTGAGCGGACTGGTACTGCGCGCTCTCCCTCTGTTCGCGGCAGCCTCTGGACCAAGCTTAGTCGTGTCTCGAACACTGTGCGACCTTCTAAGGTTGTCGCCAAGATCGGTCCTCTCCTTAAATACCGACGAGTACGGTGTGCGATTGCGGTTGCCCTCGGAGTACGGTACTTGATCGTTTGGCGCTCGGGAATGGAATGGTCTTGTAGGATCAGCAAAAGGGCGACGACTGTTCGGCGAGATGGGTGATCCTGGTGTGGTCGGAGTAGCAGCAGGCGGAGGACCTTGCGGTGGTGGCGGCACTCTGACACTTGGGTGTGGCCGCCCAAAGTCGGCCGATTTGTTGCGGTGTGGATAGTGTGATGCAGAAGGCTTTTCATCGGAGCCAGCGACATTGGGATTGAAGCCTTGCTTGTTCGGTGTTCTCATAGAATCGGTCCGCGATACGCCAGGCTTCGGCGTGTTGGGTCCTTGCTTGTTGAAGGCTTGCCATGCTGACTGGTTCTTCTCAGCGGTTGCTCCATCAAACCGAGGATTGGCGCGATAGTTCATTCCGGCGCGAATCTGCTCCTCGGTTGGCATCTTAGTCTCCTGGCGTGGCGGCGGAGCAGGCCTTTGACCCGGTTGCTGAGGTGGAGGTTGCGGCCGCGGTTGGGGTTGGGGCTGTGGCCGGGACGAGGCTGGCGTAAAGCCTTGCTGACGGTCCTGCGTGTTATTCAGATTCTGCCAAGCTTTGAACACATTCGCTCTGTCGTTGACCGGATCTTTCCGAGCTGTAGGCGCAGCACGTGGGAAGTTGGTGAAACGATCGGCGCCGCTTGGTGGCGGTCCCGGAGCTGCGCCTGGAGTAGGAGGCGGGGGTCTCTGATAACCTCCTGGCTGTGTGCGACGTGGAGGTGGTGGATATGCTGAGCTCGCCGCGTATGGATTGCCAGGGGCTCCCTGACGGGGGTTGAACGTCGGCCCTGTGGGAAACAACCCAGCTTTGCGCCGATCAGTGTCGTATTTCTGCTTCAGCGTGGGATCGCCGAGAATCTCATTGGCCGCCTGTATCGCCTGGAACTTGGGTACGCATTCTCCTTCTTTGCCAGCATTGCGATCTGGATGGTAGAGCAGCGCCAGCTTCCTGTATGCTTTGCGGACATCTTCGATTGAAGCGGAGGTGGGAATTTCAAGGTCGGCATAGTAGTCTGTGAAGTGAAGAAGTGAATGATCAGTACCTTTCTGCTGCGCTGTGCTGGTTGATCTTCACAGGATACATACTGTGCTTTACATCTGCCTTGACCATCTTGGCGCCCTATGCCGGCCGTCGAGGCTGGCGAAGAGGGGACGCGGAGGTGACGATGGTCGCATATGTGGAGGTGTGTCGAAGTGTCACGACAGCAAGTGCATGTGCCAGCGCTCAGGCTTCTGCGGTGCCTCCTAGCTCGGACCCTGCGTGATCGCGTGGATTGCGCGGATGTCTCCTTCTTCACTGAGACCTCTTCTTCTCCACTGCAGCAATTAAGTGTTCTATCGAGGCGTTTGATCGCATGGAACGCTGTGCTGCAGGTTGTTCGAGGTTTCCCAAAGATATCCCCAAACGGGCAGCCTCAACGTCATCCAAACAGATCGCTAGCGGCCAGACTCGCGCATTGCTGGTGCCCGGAGGTGTGAGGACAACGAGTGGCGCGTCGAATGCGGTCGTGAGGTGGGGTAGTACGTAGAGTGGTATGCCAATCGCGGGTGGTATGCAAGTGAACAAGCAACGATGATGTGGATGTTCTTCGTTGCTCCAGAAGCAAGAAGGGTCCCACTTCGCCAGAGGATCGACAAGTAGCGCACGTGACGGGCCGAAGCAAGCGAGCGATCCCGGGCCGAGGGGCTTGAGTCCAGACACGACTTCAATCTCCAACATTCGACCACTCCTACAACATTCTCCTGAACAGCACTTCGATGCTACATGTAACCTGGACTGACTCGCTTTCATCGCGGAGAACCAGAGTGCGAGACCACCCAGCGTATCATGGCCGGAGGCTAAGACGAGGAACCACCGAACACGCCCGATGCCTTGCCCGCCTCGCCTATATACTGCAGATGGTCGGTAACATGTCAAGCTATACTTTCAATATCTCATGACTGCACGCTTTCATAAAGCTGGAATGACAACCGCCCCACAGCACGGATACAACGTTACTATCAACGGCCGACGATCGCTACTCCTCAGTACTGGAACCCCACAGTAGCAACGACAAGTAACATTGTACCGGGCGGTGGCAAACAATATATGTACGTCCAAGGTAATTACCAGAGTTCTGAGCCTGACAATGCATTGTTCGTTCCGTTTTCGAAATGGCGGCGACGTGCTCGTTCGTACTGTCATCTCTTCTGTGTCTTCTCTCTACAGCATGTGCTGATCTGCTCGGGATCCCCACCGTTCCATTTACACAAACCCATGGCTGTTTTTTCAATCTGTCGAATGTTGAACATGTTATTGTCGACAGCCAATCTTCCTCGGCACGAGACGAGGATGGCTGGACCCTCATCCCGCCTACGTTAGCGGGGTTCGCAGACACGTTTTCGGATGACCTCAGTACAGTAGCCCACTGCGAGCCAACGATCAAGCATGGCCCCAATTGTGGCGAGGATGCCATCTTCTTAACCATCGACAAGAGCTCCGACTTCCAAGATGCTGCTGGGAGGTTCACCTCCGAAGGCTACAGGCTTGACATCTCCGAGAGCAACATCACAATCACCGGAGCTAGTCCTCTAGGCGTCTGGTGGGGTACCAGGACGGTGTTACAGCAGGCAGTGCTGAATCATGGCAAAGTATCATGCGGGTCCGGCGTAGATGCTCCTGGCTGGAGCACTCGAGGCGTTATGCTCGACGGCGGCCGCCACTACTATCCACCATCCTTCATCAAGGAGATGTGCAGCTGGATGTCCTTTTGGAAGCAGAATGCCTTCCACCTTCACCTCTCGGACAATCTGTACAACAATGTCGACATTTACGACCGCGAACAACAACTCGATCTTTATGCACGGTTCCGCCCGTACTCGGAGGACCCAGCCGTAGCCGGCCTCAACACACATGCCAACGAGTCCTACACCCAAGCAGACTTCGATAACATGCAACGTAGCTGCGCAGCCAGAGGCGTGACCATCATCCCAGAGATCGAAGCACCCGGCCATGCTCTCGTCATATCTCAGTGGAAGCCGGAGCTCGGACTAGACGGACAGCTCGACCTACTCAACATCACCTACCCCGACACGATTTCTACCATGGAAACAATTTGGCGCACGTTCCTGCCATGGTTCCGTACCAAAGTGATCCACATCGGAGCGGACGAGTACGTCGACCCAGATCTCAGCGACTACGAACTAGCAGAATCCTACAACCACTTCGTCAACGCCATGTCCTCCTTCATCAGCAGCGAGGCAGACAAAAGCATGCGGATCTGGGGCACGTATCCACCACAATCCAACTACACCTCGCAGATCCACAAGAACGTCTCGATCCAACACTGGGAGTTCTTCGAAGACAACCCGCTCTACGACTACATCACCAACGGCTACGACGTGCTCAACTCCGACGACTCCTGCTACATTGTGCAGAAATACTCGACCAGCTACCCGAACCACCTCAACCGCACGCTCATCTTCCACGGCGACCCCGCTGGAGGACCATTTGCACCATACGTCTTCGACAGCAACAACGCGACCAATAACCCAGACGCGAGCAACCCGCACGTCCTAGGCCACATCGCAGCGCAATGGAACGATTACGGCCCCAACACCTCAACCTACCTCGAAGCCTACTACTCCTGGCGCGACCTCCTGCCCGCACTGGCGGACAAACAATGGGGCGGCAATCTCCTCGACTCCGACTACGACGACCTCTTCAATACCCTGCAACCCGCAGCACCAGGCCAGAACCTCGACCGCACGATCCCGTCCCAATCTCCCACGATCTTCGCCTACGACTTCACTCCCTCGCCGCAACCAGCCATCGCCGCCAACCAACCGACTGTCATCAAAGACTTATCAGGTAACGGCTATTACGCGCACACGAACTGCTCCATCCTCCCAAGCGGCCTCCGCCTCACAGACAACTGCAGCCTCCTCACCCCCCTGCACTCCAAAGGCGCCAACTACACCCTCACATTCACCCTCCGCCAAACCTCCCGCACCCCAGGCCCGCTCTTCAGCGGTCCCGACTCCGCTCTCTGGTCCGGCAACGGCACTTCTACCTCGCTCATGCTTGTGAGCGGTAGTAATGCGTTCCCGTTAAATTACTCTCTACCGCTTGACCAATGGGTTGATGCCAGCTTGGTGGGCAGGGGGAACAGGACGTTCTTTCAGGTGGACGGGGGGCGGGAGATGGAGTTTAAAACTCATATCGGGGTTAACGGGGAGGAAATGGTTTGGGCGGAGATGGGGATCGTGGCGCCGGTGAGAGAGATTGGGGGCGGGGGATGGGAGGGGTGGGTGAGGGGGGTGGAGTTGGTTGGGCATGCTTGAGAGGTCATGGGAGGGTTTTATGGTTCTATGACTTTTATGGGTTTATGAGTCTATGAGTCTCTGCGTTTATGGAGATTGCCATCTGACTTTCCTCGTCATCCTTGATCGTCGCCGTCCTGACTATACTGCGACCTCTGCCGCCATCGGCTTCCATACCTCATCACAAGCGGCTACGCTACACATTAGCAGACCACTCCCACACTCATCCTTGGACGAAAAGAAACACTCACGGGTATAGGCGCCAACCCCCCACAGACCCCCGCCAACACTGTAAACCCCCACCCCCACCCCAGCTTCCCCACCAACGGCGCCGTCCCCAACGGCAAAAACGTCCCCGCCAAACATCGCGTAACCAGCACCGCCGTGAGCGCACTGGCAGAAACCAGCCCAAAAGCGTCCGTCACGTACGTTAGCATGGGCACGATGCACATCATGCACGCGAAACCCTGCAGCACGACGGAGAGTAAGAGGACCCAGACGGGCCAGGACGCGGAAGCGGACCAGCCGTAAAGCGCGACGGTGAATGGGAGGATGAGCGCTCCGGTTATGGTGAGGGGGAGTCGGGCTTCTGGGTACGGCGTACGGGAGTCGTGAGGTTGGAGGCGGGTGTACAGTCTGTCGACGAGAAGGTTGCAGGCGAGGATGCCGAAGACGGATCCAGCGCTGAAGGAGAGGAAGGCTAGCCCCCGCATCGCAGCGTCGAAGTGGTAGACGTCTTCCAGCATGTCCGGGAGCGTGGTGGACATGATGTAGAAGAAGGAAAACACCATTGCGCCCCAGAGGGAGAGGATCTGCAGGACTACGGAGCTAGAGAAGACCCAGAGCGGGCGGAGCATGGAGGTTGTGAGGGAGCGGAGGGAGGCGGTGCCTTCGAGGTCGTATTTCGATCTGTAGCTGTCGTCGCCGGTTTCTTTTCGTAGACGAGCTGCGCGGCGTTGCAGGATGGGGACTTGGTACGTTTCGTTCAGGAGAAAGAGGTAAGCGAGTTCGGCGGCAATGGCGAGGCAGGTGGATAGCCACATTATCTCGCGCCAGCCTGTTGCTTCGGCCAGAGCGCCGGCGGTTGATGGGCCAATGGCGCCGCCGAGTAAAGGGGCGAGCATGACGGCTGACATTGCGCTTCCGCGGTGAGCGGAGGGGAAGATATCGCCTACGATAGCCGGGTTAAGGACATTACTCGCCACGGCGCAGCCGGTCAGGAAGCGGGAGAAGATGAGCAGGCCGACGTCCTGGCTTAGCGCGGTGATGACGGTGCTGAGGATGAAGAGGGTGTTGCAGACGTTGTAGACGGGGTAGCGGCCGTAGACTTCGGAGAGGGGGGCGATGAAGAGCGGGCCGGCGGCTTCGCCGAGCTCCCAGATGGTGACGAAGAGGACGCTGGCGGATTTGTCGGTGTGGCCTTCGAGGTCGAGGACGACGTCGCGCGCGGAGGGGACGATGCCGATGCAGGTGAATGTTCTGGCTTCGGTCAGACTGGCGGATTCGTATTGGGTGTCATTGAGAGTACTTACACTGTGAATGCCATAAATGCTAGCAGAAGTACAATACACCATCTGTACCATGCCGGCCACTCCATTGGGTTCTCCGGGTCGCCATTGGGATCAAAGTCGACGATCTTGTGTTTGCCATCGTCCTGGAAGTAGTGCTTTGGCTGTGATTGGTTTGACAGCAACGGCTCGGTCTCGTCCATCTATCCTCTGATCAAGCAGAAACGATATGGGGAAAAGACCAGACAAGATTTTCCTACTGGTTCAGGTGCGGCGAAGAGCTGAAAGCGGACTCGACATCAGAAGATCTAGTAGAGAGGACGCAGCAGTCTAGATAGTTTGCAGCGATAGAAAAAGATGCTCGGCTCTGCAGGTGATTCCAGTCCAGGCCCTGCAGCATCCGAAGTGGAGTCATGCGATTAGTATTCTTGGCAATGATAGCAAAGCATCAACTGCCGCAACGGCCTCGGTGTTGAACCTGGCGAGCGAATCGGACAGCCTCCACAAAGAAAGATCGTTACGAGCCATGGTGTCTATTCCAGCTTGTCTCGAGTGCTTCCATCGATGCTGGAACACGCCTGGATGAATGAGACGCAGCGGCTTACTGATGGGACGACGGAGCCCGAATCAGCCTTACCTCCAAGCCGACGAGAGGCCAAAAGATAATTGCCTCGTGGAGTTGGTATCTCCAGACTTCCAAGACTCGCAAAGGCTGGTGATATGGCCGGAGGATGAAGTTAGAAGTGTGGTCGCCGGTGCGGCTCTTGCTGTAAGCAAAGCCCTAATCGTTCTCGGATCTATCGTTGCCGAAGAGCTTAATCCTTAGCGCGTGAGCTAGATTGGGCTCGCAGGAAAATGTTCGATAGGAGAGGCGAGACTTGACGCACGATATCACCATCTCATCCATTCCACACACTCTTTCTCTCCACTTCACACCTTGTACAATACAGCGGCGATACACATCAATCGCCTTGTATCAGCGGAGTCCCGGATATCTACATACCTTTAGCGCAATGCGCAGAGCCTTCCAGAGATGTACGGCGTCTCTCCCTCGAAGCCTTTCCACCACCTCATTCAGCGCAACTTCTTGCGGTCGGTTATTACAGGAGACCGGCGCAGGACGGACAGTTACCAAGTCTGGCGCACATCCTCGTCTTCTCCACCAGTCGACTCGCATAAGACAAGAAGCCGCCGCACGAGCTGAGCCTCAGCAAGACGGCACTGGCGAGATCACAAGGTTTGCGGACTTGGGAACGAAAGGCATTATCCACAAGAATGTCGTTGATACACTCACCCGCGGTATGGGCCTGGAAACGATGACGGAGGTGCAAAGGAGAACCATCAACGAGGCGCTGAAAGGCGACGACATCATCGCACAGGCAAAGACAGGTACTGGCAAGACGCTCGCCTTCCTTCTACCCATCCTGCAGAATATTATCTCCAAGGACCCAGACCTTGTGCGACCGTCACCGGGTCGACGAGGACCCCGAACGACCGCAGACGACATCCGCGCCCTCATCGTTTCCCCGACCCGAGAACTGGCTGAGCAGATCGCGGAGGAAGCCAAGAAGATCACGCGTGGTACTGGATTGATTACACAGACTGCGGTGGGTGGAACACAAAAGGCAATGGGCTTGCGCGCTATCCAAAGAGAAGGTTGCCATATCCTGGTTGGTACGCCTGGCCGTTTGAATGACATCTTCAGCGATCCCTACAGCGGCGTGAAGGCGCCGGATCTTAGCGCGCTCGTTTTCGACGAGGCGGACAGATTACTGGAGGTTGGCTTCTGGCCCGTCATCCAGGACATTATGCGCCAGCTTCCCACTCCGCAAGAGAAGGACAGGCAGACGTTCATGTTCTCTGCTACCGTCCCACAAGAAGTCGTGGGCATTGTTAGGGAGACCCTCAAGCCTGGCTTCTTGTTTGTCAAATGTGTAGGCGAGAACGAAGACCCTACTCACCCGCACGTCAAGCAGAGCATTGTCAGACTGAACGGCATGGAGAACTCCTTGCCAGCGCTAGTGGAGATTTGCGCCAAGTCCATTGAAGCATCAAAGCAGCCAGACAGCCGGCCATTCAAAGCGATCGTCTACTTCAACAGCACCGCCGAAGTCAGACTCGCAGCCTCAGCGCTCGGCGGGCTTCAGAAGCCTAACCAACCAGACCGCGACTCATTCGGCGCGCTACGCCGGCAACATCCATGGGATCCCGCGCAGATTCTCGAAATCCACGGCAAGCTCAGTCAAAGCGAGCGTACACGCGCAGCGGATCGATTCAGGAGATGCGAGACCGGCATCCTGCTGAGCTCCGACGTCACCGCCCGAGGCATGGACTTCCCCAATGTAACCCACGTTATCCAGATGGGCCTGCCCACCAGCCGGGACCAGTACATCCACCGCGTCGGCCGCACCGCGCGTGCCGGCCGAGAAGGCGAAGGCTGGCTCATCCTCAACCCGCTCGAAGCCGACGAAGCGCGCTCCCGCCTCCGAAACCTCCCCATCCAGCGCGACGACAGCCTGGAAATCGCAAAGCTCGACATGACGAAAGAAGCGCAAGTCGGCCGCGCCGCCGGCGAACTGCTCGCCATGTACCAGAACTCGCTGCGCAAAGTGCCCGTGGTGGAGAAAGCGGACGTCTACCGTGCGCAGCTGGGTATCCATCAGTGGTACAACCGGAAGGGCGTGTTGGTGGAGTTTATGAACAAGCTCGCGCGGTTTGGGTGGGGGATGTCGGATCCGCCGATGTTGAGCCCGGGGTTGGCGCAGAGGTTGGGGATTGCGAAGTTGCCGGGAGTCAATATTGGGAATGATGCTGTGATTGATCGGGCGAGGATGGCGTCGAGTGGGGGTGGGAGGCAGTTTGGTGGGGGTAGCAGTGGGTTTGGGGGAAGAGAGAGGAATGATGCGTTTGGTGGGCGAGGCGGTGGGTTTGGGGGGAGAGACAGGAACGATGCGTTTGGTGGGCGAGGCGGTGGGGGAGACCGAGGAGGCTACGGTGGTGGCAGAACAGGTGGAGGAGGGAGGTATGGAGGCGGTGGTGGTGGGTATGGAGGAGGGAGAGACAGGGGCAGCGATCCATTCGGGTCTCGATAAGATCGCGTTGGTTGACCGACTGGCTGCTGGTGGGCATTTGCCGTACTGATGGCCCTTCTCGCATTGTGTTAAATGTTCGGGTTACTTATGCATAGCGTTGTGGGAAGCGTGGACATTATGTGCTTCGTGTAGATATAGCTGTAGATTACACCTCTCCAATCACCAAATGAACCGACCGCCTGACGAGCTGTTCAATTTCTGAAAACCGCCAAACAATTAGCCCTTCGCTGCGTAAGGTAGGTCTGTCGTGCTGCTGGAGCCCTGCTCTGCTGCTATGCTACGACCGAGGACTCTCCGAGGATGCCCGAGTACGGCCGAGGATGCCAAGTTGGACGTGAGCTAGTGTGAGCGAAGATTAGGCCAATCACAGTGGTAGCTCAGCCCTTGATCCAACGACACTTGTACCTGGCCAGACCGTCAGCTATTCTCCGAAACCAACCAGGCCATACCATGCAACCCAATTAAACAAACCTATCTTTTCGCTGGGGTTGAATACGTCAAAGCCGTTACCCACTGATCAACCAATAACCATGGCCAACATGTTCGGCGCCCTCAACCGCTTCATCTCCCGCCTCGACTCCGACCCCAACGCCATCCCCACCACCAAAGGCTCCCCCTCCACCCAACTCCCCAGCACCTACGGCTTCCAAGTCCTCCGTAACCCTGACCAAAATATACCATTAGACCCCTGGTTCGACTTCCTCATCGGCATCAACGGCCGCACAATCGACAACCCAGACCCCAACCTCCTAGCCCAGGAAATCCGCAACTGCGCCGGCTCGACCATCAGTCTCGGCGTGTACGGGACGAAAGGCAGCTCGATCCGGGAAATCTACGCCACGGTCCCGCCGGACGGCGCAGGGCTGGGACTGAGTCTGCAGTGGGCCCCTCTCGCTTTAGGGGAGGACGTCTGGCACATTTTAGACGTGATGCCGAATTCCCCCGCCGACGTCGCCGGGTTGCTGCCGTACGGAGACTACGTGATCGGCAGCCCTGAGGGCGTTCTCCGCGGTGAAGGGGCGCTCGGGGAGCTGGTGGAGCGGTGGTTGGAGCGGGGGTTAAGGCTGTTTGTGTATAATCATGAGTACGACGTTACGCGCTTGGTCACGATTACGCCGTCACGGGCTTGGGGCGGCGATGGCGCGTTGGGGTGTGTGTTGGGGTATGGGGCGTTGCATCGGGTTCCCGCGCCGCTGACGGAGCCGGCGCAGGGCCCGGGGGAGACGTTGTTTGAGAGTGGGAATGAGTATTCGCTGCCGCAGCCGGGTGGGGAGGAAGCTGTGAGTGAGGGGCAGGGGGGGCAGGAGTTTTTGGTGCCGGCGAATATGCAGGTGCCGTCTACGTCTCCGCCGCCGCCGACGAGTGGCGGTGGTCCGCCGCCTGCTGGCAAAGCGAGGAAGCAACGGGCGCATCACTCTGCTGTGCCGGCTGCTGGACTGGACGACTATTTCGCGGAAGGCGAGCAAAAGTCGCGAGAGCTGGAGGGAGACAAGTCACCGAAGCCGACTGGGAATTTACCACCGCCGCCACCAAAGGGTGGACCTCCGAAGGTTGCATCGCCTGCCCCGTCTACAGAGTGAGGGGAGCCAGCGGAAGAAGTTTACACTTTCGCGAATTGAAACTTGAGCCCCGTGATAAGACACTCGGCGATGCAGGTAAAGCATGCTATATCGCAGTAGATGAGGATGGGACGAGAGCCAGCAGGCAAGGCGACGTGGAGAGCTAGTATCAGAGGTGGCCACTGCATCAGCACTCCGCAAAGATAGATACAGAATATCTTGGAGTTCGACGAACCACCAGCGGAACGAGTTGAACATGGACAAGAGGATTGAAATTAGAGGGCATATATTCCACATCTACCACGCTATCCCACCGTTTCCAAAGCCCGAAAGGTGTCAGAGGCCCAAAATTCCATCATGCATACCCCAAACCCGCCTCAACGCATCACAGTCGTGCCCAAAAGAAAAGCACCATATCAGTCCAGCCCCACGCCCACCCAAAGCCCTTATCATTCCCGCCGAATGTCTGCACTCACGAACCAGGAGCATACCTCCATCCCCCCTCCCTCGCCACCCTCTCCCTCACCTCCATATCCCTCCTCTTCTCCGCACTCGTAATCGCATCCCCGGTCTGCACCCACATGGCACTACTACTCCGATCCCTAAACTTCTTCAGCCGCTCCGCATTCTTGCCATTCCGGAACACCTCTTCCATCTTCAGCTCCGCGATAGGGCCAAACACCGTCTCCGGGTCGACAAGCTGTTGCTGCGTGAGCAGCTCGCGCAGAGCGGGCGAAGCCACCCAAGACGGCGCGCGGAAGCCGGTGTTGTCGTCGTCGGAGTCTTCTTCTTCCGAGTCCGTTTCGATGTCCGGGAGTTCGATGTTGTCGCCGTTCGGGTAGAGGGGGGACGATTTGGCGGATTTGGGCATTTGGGCCGGGCGTGCTGGAGTCTTGAATTTGTTCTGCTGGGCGGTGCCTGGTTGGAGGTTCTCGTGGCCGGCGTACTGCTTTGCTTGAGGGTGGTGAGACGCTTGACCGGGCGGGTTGACGTTTTCGCCAAAGGGGATGCGAGTATTCGAGATCTGTGCCATTTGGCTAGGATGAGAAGGCATGCTGGGCTTGTTGGGGTGTTGTAGCTGGTGCTGAGCCGTTACGGTAGCCTTGAACATGCTCGGGTGGTGGTTAACCGGCGGTGGGGCGTGAGTGTAGCCGTGCGGGAACTTGTTAAGAGTAGATTCCTGGTCAAGATCAGCCTCTCTTCGTAATAGCGTTTTCACCGTTCTGCTCACCTTCCGCATGTTAGATGGCCTTTTCGGAGGCGCCATGACCGAGTTCCCCTCTTCCGGCTTCTCTTCCTCATTCGTCCTGCGCCTCTTTGCGTCGTTTTGCGACTGCTGGAAGCTCGCTGGCCCTCTCTGCACACCCGGACGCTGAGGCTGGTACGTCTGTGGCTTCGAAGGGTCATCTTCCTCCGGCACCCAGACCCGCTTGGCAGGCTTCGCAGGGTTGGGATGCAGTGGCGGCCTCGTCGCAGGTTGCTCTGGCACGGTGTTCTTCGCCAGCTGGCGGAGCGTGCCACCAACATCGTTGCGCGGCTGGGCTGCCTGTTGTTGAGCGCGCTCACGCTTGATAGCCTCAGCAAGGTCATGAGCAGCTCTAGCCTTTTGCGCCTCCTCCTGCTGGCGCTGCTGCTCGAGACGCTGCTCCTCACGACGTCTTGCATCAGCCGCCTGCTTCTCAGCCTGTCGCTGCGCTGCTGCTTTAGCTTCCTGCTGCCGTTGCTGCTCGGCGGCCTTCCGCTCCTCCTCTGCACGACGCTCCTCTTCAACCTTGGCCGCTCGCTTACGCTCCAGCTCACGCTTCTGTTCGGCTTTCTTCTGTGCAGCCTTCTCGTCGGCTTCCTTCTTCCTCGCAGCAGATTCCAACGCCTTCAGTCGGGAGTTTTGAGGGGCAGTCGAGCTTCGCATATTCCCTTGGGCAGATGCTACGCGACCGGCAGGCTGCTTTGGCGGCACGGGAGGCCCGGAGTTCTCGTGCTGTGACTTTGACAGCGAAGATGTCGCAGGATGGTGAAGCCTCTGGGAGCCAACTCTGATTAAGACAGGAGCTGGCTTCGAGGCAGATTGGCCCGGCTTAGCGATGCGGCCTGGCGCTCGTAGCTTTCCTGGTGGTAGCATCGTCTTGGGTGGTGGTGGAGGTGGCATCTCCGAGTCTCTCGCACCATCGCTACCTGCAGTTGTGGGTCGCTCGGGAAGCGCTTTCTGGGCTTGCTTCTGCTTCTTCGCCGCTTCAGCCTGTTCAGCCTTCTGCTTCTCCTCCTGCTGCTTTGCAGCCTTCTGTCTCTCCTTCTCTCTAGCCTTCTCGAGGTCATCGGCCGCCTTCTGCTGAGCCTTGAGCTCTTTCTCGCGTTTCTTGTCACTCTCGTTTGAGCTTCTCGTCTTCCTACTAGGGCTGGTGGAGACAAGAGAGATGACAGACTTGGTCCTGGAAGGAGACGGCGGAAGCTGCCTCTCAGAGTAGAGTGCGCCGGGCATGTTAAAGACTGCAGCGGTCTTCGACTCGTCTGAGACATCACGTCTTGGAGATCGTGATGGAGAGTTATTATGCGCCTCAAGCTTCGCCGCTGCGCTGGCACTTGCGGAGGACGCGAAGATGTTCTTTGCAGATTTGAGGACAGAATAGAGCTTGCTTTTGGAAGCGCTCAATGGGCCGTCGTGACTCTTCTTGGCCACTGGCGATCCAGCTGGCGTGGTCGACTGTATCTCAGCCGTAGCATAAGCGAAATTGGGGATCGATACAGAAGTGGCTTTGGCATGGCGGGCCTCTGTTGCCATCTCTGGTCGGGCTGGAGAGGGAATCTGTGTTGTCGATATAGACTTCTGGTGCATCGCTGGGCGTATTAGGGAAGGTTCTTTCTGGGGCACCTGCTCTTCCGTTGACTTGTCGTGTACAGGCTTCGAGGGCGCAATCCAGTCATCGTCAGAATCATCAGCTGGCGTGGTAGATTTCGCTGGTTCACGTGGAAGCTGAGGGTATGCAGTTTGTCCTCCAAGGATAGTCTGGTGCAAGCTCTTCGACGTTCGTGGCTCCTTCGTCTTGCCCAGCATATTGATCCTTTCCTGCAGCAGCTGTGTGGAAGTCTTGTTGTGCGCCTTGGTTTCTTCCGATGTGCTCTCGGCGTAGTCATCCTCATTATTGCTTGCACCAAAACTTTTGGCGCCAAAAGATCGCCCCAAGGTGCTGTTGCGTGCTTCAATCTGGCTGTTACGCGCTCCCATGCTCTTCGTTGCTGTGAGCGGCTCACGCGCTGGTAGCGCCGTGAAAGTGAAGCTGCTCTTCCTCTGCAGTGGCTTCTCGGGGCTTGACGCGTCGGACTGTGATCGTGACTCCACATCGTCCATATCCTGGTCCGGCTCTGACCCAAAAACTTCAACATTCTCGCCATGTACGTCGGCTTCAGCATTCTCCGCGGTCTCCGCGTCCACCTCCATCTGTCCCTCCTCAGCAACTTCCTCATCACCAGTCTCATGCACAAGCTGAGCCTTCGACGCGTGGCGGCTCGTCAAGTCCTCTCTGGCCGACAAAAAGGAGTCATCACTACTGACGCCAGCCGATCCAGCATTCTGTCGCTGCCGTGGGGGCTGATTCTCACGCAGCGGCACTTTCTGCACCTCGCTCTGCTGGCTCGATTGCGTCGCTGTTTCCGTCTTACTGTCAACATCCATCTCGTCTTCGGTCATGCCGTGGTAACCAGAGTCTGTGTTGATGTTCTTACCGATGCGCTGCGGGCTCTTGCCGCGACTGCTCGGTCGATGTGCTGGCGGTTGGTTCTCCGCGTCTTCTGCGATGCGGAAATGCGCGACCTTGTCGAAGAATGCCGTCTTCTGCGCGGATTGTGGTGCTGGTACGTTGGGGGCGAAGATGTCGGTCAATGGCTGTCGCGGTCCGGCTATGTTCTGCTTTCGCGCGGTTCGCGGTGTTTTGCCGCGTAGCTTGCCGGGCGTCTTGAACACGTCTGCGAAGTTGCTGTGGACAGGTCAGCTTCCATTGCGCGTCTCCGCGAGCGTGACAGAAGTCAACTCACACATTGTTGGTTGCAAAGACTTCGCCAACGTGCGCTTGCAGCCATTCCAGCTCGTTACGCACACTGTATGAAAAGTCCTCGTTTTCCTGTCCCACAAACTGTTCTATCTGTTGTCTTTCGCTCTGGATCCATCCCGCCGATCCATATGCCTGCGTCTTCCCTCGTGCTCCCGCCATCGCTGCTGTAGTGGTGTCGCTTGAAGTTCGCCGCTCGGTCAAAGTTGCAGCGCCGAAGATGCGAGAAATGTTGTTGTCGCTATTAGTACATGGTCCAATTGGTGCTCGCGGAATCCAAAAGGCGATGCTGTCGTCCAAAGTCGCTGCGGGATGTCGATATATCGCGTGTTGTTCTGTTGTTTTGGCTTGAGCTGGAGTCGGCCCACTAGCGGCGGAGACTCCCGAGCCGCGCCCTGACCACGTAGACACGTGACTCGACTCCTCGGCTTTAAGAACTACAACTTCATCCCCACTTGGATTGGAGAAGTTATTCCCGTGAGATGGGCGGGACGGGGTTGGTACATATAATGCGATGTCGGTAGGTCTGTGGTGAATATAAGGATCATTTACGTAACCTTCCGTCTTCAATCGCACACTCACCCTCTTCTTCTCCTCCATTTCACAAAGTAATCATGGCAAAGCACTTCGTCTCATCCCTTCGTCCCCTCTCCCGTCTCGCCACGCAAAGAACACGACCACAGCTGCTAACACAACAACCCTCGCGAGCATTCTCAGCAACATGTCAACGCAAGCTCATGGAGACCTCCGGCTTTACGGACGAACAATTGACAGTCCGCGATGCCATCTTCAAAGTCTGCGAGCAGTTTCCCGACGACTACTGGATGGAGCGGGATATTAGTGGCGAGTATCCTCACGAACTGCATGCTGCGTTAGCGAAGGACGGCTGGATTGGCATTGCTCTTCCAGAAGATCTTGGAGGTGGTGGACTTGGTATCAGCGAGGCGACCATGATGATGCAAACCATCGCAGAGAGCGGAGCAGGGATGCAGGGTGCTCAATCCATCCATGCCAACGTCTACGCCACACAACCAGTGATGAAGTTCGCCAGCTCAGAGCAGCGACCGCGATTCTTATCGAAGATCGTGAGTGGCGAATGGAGAACCTGCTTTGGTGTTACGGAACCAACCACAGGATTGGATACCCTCAAGCTCAAGACCAAAGCTACCCGCAACTCGGACGGTGGCTACAGCATCTCTGGTCAAAAGATCTGGATCACCAACGCTCAAATAGCCCAAAAGATGGTTCTGCTCGCCCGGACAACGCCCTTAGAAGAAGTCAAGAAGCCCTCTGAAGGCCTCAGCATGTTCTTCGTCGACATCGACCACAGCAAACCCGGCTTCGAGGCGCGCAAGATCCGGAAGATGGGCGGTCGCGCCGTCGACGCCAACGAAGTCTTCTTCGACAACTATCAGATCCCCTCCGATGCACTGATTGGCAAAGAAGGTCAGGGTTTCAAAATCATCCTCCACGGCATGAACGCCGAGCGCTCTCTCCTCGCCGGCGAGGCTCTCGGACTCGGCTATGCTGCGCTCAAGAAGGCGGTCGCTTACGCCAAAGACCGCGTCGTATTCGGCCGACCCATCGGCCAGAACCAAGGAATCCAGCACCCGCTCGCCTCGGCATTCATGAACCTCGAAGCGGCCAAGTTGGCAACATACCACGCAGCACGATTATATGACCGCTCGAACCCAGATCATCCCGACTACGACGAGGCGATCACGCAGCACCAGGTCGGCGTGGCGTGCAATAGCGCCAAGTACGTGGCGGCGGAGGCGGCGTTCGCTGCTTGCGAAAAGGCGGTGATGAGTATGGGTGGGATGGGATATGCTTCGGAGTATCATGTGGAGCGGTATATGCGGGAGTGCTTTGTGCCTAGGTTGGCGCCTGTGAGTCGGGTGAGTATCGCTTCGACACTGGGACTTTTCGGAGATTGAGCTTAGGATTGTCAGCTAACATTGTCGCTTGTAGGAAATGATTATGAACTTCATCGGCGAAAGGGCGCTGGGGCTGCCCAAGAGCTACTAGATGGTCGACCGGGTGATTTTGGATGCATAGCGTGCGTTTGCTTCTTTCCAGCATCATTCCCTGTTCATCCGTCCGCGACGAAAAGTGGTTCGTTTTCTACGCTGGCGGTTGGAGAAAGGCTGATAGCGACATACAATGCCAAGAAGTTTGTCTTCTTTCCGGAAACTCTGACCGCAAGCTCGCAGTCTTTTCACGCTTTCTACCTTTGCTTTCGAGAACAGGGAGCAAAATTGCGGGGCTGCCTTGCTGATATACATACGCCCGGGGATGTCCTCTTTCTTAGATCTACTCTTCAGCGCGAGCTAAGGTGGTCCATCCCCACAAGCGAAAGCGAGTGCGTGCAAGAGAGAACGAGAACGATTCAAACGGCACTTTACAAACTTCGCCGGAGAACTCGATCCCGCCAGACGTCTTGATGCTACTACAGCTGCAAGAAACTCATGGGCGTGCCCGAATACTGTTGGTCGAGCGAGGCGATTTTGTTTGTCAGCCGGGCCATGCGCCCTCATTTGGCCCATCGAAGGATTTTAGTTTCCTTCAGCTCAACACTGGCGCGGAAAGAGTCTTTGCTATTGCCACGATAATGTCCGACATGAAGGATCCTTGACGAGGTAGGTATAGTGTGCGCCTTCCATATGTTATATACACCCTGTCCCTTCGTTCTTGTTGTTGTTCTCACTACAAACCTCTTTCAAAGCGAACTACCCGAGCGAAGATAAAGAAGATGACTTCTAAACAGCTTGACGATCTACGCTCCATCCTCGACCCCTCAGAAATCATTGAACGCGATGCACCCGGCTACACCGAAGCAGCAGCACCATGGAGTCCAATGGCGGACCAACGACCGCCGCTCGTCGTTCAACCGAGCTCCCTAGAATCGATGACCAAAGTCGTCAAGTTCCTCTACGACTCTGACCTGGACTTCGGCATTCGCAACACAGGTACCGGCTCCGTCTCAGCGAGAGATGTTATCGTAAGCACGCATGGCTTCAAGGACTTCGATTTCAACGAGGAAGCGGAGACGTTGACGCTCGGAAGCGGGTATGACTGGGGTACCATCGACCAACTGATGGAGAAGCGGGCACCGGGCTGGCAGGTGGTCGGCGCTCGCTGTACTTGGGTTGGTGTCGCTGGGTCTGCTCTTTGCGGAGGCTTGAGCTGGTTGTCGCATGAGTTCGGTGCGTGTCGATCGTAACTTGTCAACATGAGGCACCCGACACCGGCTGGCGGATTCTGCGTATTGACATTGAGGTACTAGGCATGATCTCCGACCCTCAAAATCTGCTGGACATGCAAGTCGTCCTCCGAGACGGACGAGTGCTCTGGGCGACCGAGGAGCCTGATCTCATGTGGGCGTTGCGAGGAGGCGGCGGTAACTTTGGGGGTCAGTACTGCCTCAAGGAGCCGAATTTCCTGCCAGCATAGCTGAAGCTGATGAACATGCAGTTGTTACGAACATCAGATATCGAGCCCGGAAGTACCCGCTAAAGGTGTACGCCGGAGTTCTAATGTTCCCATACTCTGCTCTCTCTGACGTCTCGAAGCTCGTCTCGAAGATGGCAGCGGAAACAACGGACCCAGCTATCGCCATGCACGTCTGTAACAGAGGGACTGCGTTTGGAGAGGAGCCGCAGGGTGCTAAGCCAGGCATAGCAATCATGATGTACATCTCCTGAAACCCTCACCAACAGATTAAGCACTGATATCCCTCCAGGTACGATGCCAAAGGAGAGTCCCACGCACGCTCCGCCGCCGGATTTGGCTGGTTCTTCCAACACCCCGACGGCGTCGAGTTCGCTGGCCGCGCGATGAGCGTCGCCGACGTCAACGCCCTGGGCGACAGCTTCAAGCACTGGCAAGGCAGCAATAAGTTCTGGCTGTGTGCGCCTTTGTTGAGCGAAATGGACGACGAGACGGTCGTGCGAGCGTGGAAGTGGTGGGAGGACAGCATTAATTTGCACGATGACTTCCAGACTGGGTCGGTCGTTTTGATGGAATTTATGCAAGGGGTGAGTGCCTTCGATCTATTCGTTTGGCAAAGCTGACATACCACAGCCAGCCATGAGCTCCTCCGGCGGAAGGTCGAAGACAGCGTGGCCGCATTACGAACGCCGCCATGTGATGCAGCTGGGCTTGGGTCGCAAGACCGAGGGCTCGCCTGAGAATCTGCGTGAGATGGCCATGAAGCAGTTCACAAAGGCCGGGCAACTGATCGCTGGACCGGAGAAGGACACGAAAGAGTACCACGCCGGCTTCCTGCACGAATGGAACAATCTCCGCGAGGTGTATGGCGAGAACTTTGACAAGCTGAAGGAGATCAAGAAGCAATATGATCCGAAGAATCGGTTCAACAAGGGCGTGTCGCTGGCAGATGAGAAGGTGACTCCGGGGGCATTTGTTTGATATGTCGAGTTACCATTAATATATGCTGGCCAATGCCTAATCTATGCCGTTTATGAACTCCTCGCTAAGCCATCAAATCTATATGTTCCATATCATAGCCACCCTATGCTTCTTCACCCTCACCCTTCTTGCCCTTCCCCTTGAACGGCTTCTTAACCGCATCCACCACCTTCCCAAGCGCCCCAAACAGATACCCGAAACCGAAGCTCCATCCTTTGATGCGGACGGTGTAGATGAAGAAGTACACCAAGAACCAATTACTAAACACAAAGACCAAGAAGATCCCGAAATCCCGCCACTTCTGGCTCGCGTCAATGTTCAGCGTCTCGAGGTACTGGTTGCCGACGCTGTACTGGCAGTACTGGCAATCGCTGCTGGCTTGCGGTTCGAGCAGGTAGCCGCCGGCCGATCGTGCGAAGTCGCCTGCGTACTGCTGGCACGTCTGGCCGGGAGGTGGGTTGAAGTGGGCGGTCTCGGAGGGGTCGCACTGCACGGGGATGCCGTCAAGTGTTGCAGCGAGCACGCCGCCGATCCACCACGTCGAGGGGTTGACCCAGTACATCCAGTATCTCCAGAATACCGGGAGTTGATTGTAAGGACGCACAACTCCGTTAAACAGTGAGAACATGACAAAGAAGAACGGCAGCACGTTCGAAATAACCGTGAACGTCGGAGCGAAAGCGCAGATCCATTGGCCCCAAGATGCCTGGAAGAGGAAGAACAGCATCGTCATCAGGAAGACGTAGCCAGAAACCGAGCTCTCTGTCGGAAGTCCAGTCGCAAAGTACCAGAGCACGAAGTACAGTACCGCCGAGACGATCGCTGGCGGGATCTCGGCGACCACTTGAGCGGTCGTGAAGGCGAACCAGTTGTAGATCCGAGAGGGGTGTTCGCGTGCTTGCCACAGAGCCATGTTGGTGAAGAACTTCGGGAGGACGGCGTTGACCACAGTCGGCGGAATCGTGAGGATGATGAAGCTCGTGAACATACGATTTTGCATGTCCTGGATACTGTAGCCGAGTTGCCAGAAGGTGAAGCCTGATAGGAAAAAAAGGGTCAGCGATGTCTCAAGCTGTGGTAGGGGGGTGCTCCAGGACAAAGGGCTTACCGTTGAAGATGCCGACAATAACAGCAACAAACAGCTTCCCATAGAGATAGCTCGGGTCCTGCACGAAAAGACGTCAGCAAAAATCTCGAGCATCCATCTGGGCTGAAAGCATCTCCAAGCACCACTTCCTAGTCGATGCCGTCTCGGAGAAGCCGCCAGCCTTCACAAGTCTCGACTTACCCGCCAGTACTGCTTAAAAGTCCTCTTCGTCAGCTCCATCGTCTGCAGCCACGTGCTCGCCGCAAACTGCCTCTCCTGCTCCTGCTTCTGCTCTTCCGTCTGCGTTTTGCTCCTCGTGAGCTTCAGACCCTCAATCTCCTCAACAACATCCTGCGCCTCTTGCGAGTTCTTCCACTCGTCGTTCCAGTTGATACGACTACCATCTTCCCGCTTACCGGGGCGCGCAGCAGTTTCGAGGATAAACTCAGCGACGTTCTTGTTCGGTGGACACTGCGTGCCGCGAGCAGCGAAGTAGTCGATGACAGCTTGTCCGTTCTCGCCGACAGGGCCGAAGTAGAAGCAGTTACCGCCGGGGTTGAGGGCGAGAATGAGGTCGAATTGCTGGATGAGGACGCTGGAGGGCTGGTGGATGGTGCAGACGATGGCTTGGCCGGCGTGGGCGAGCTTCTTGAGGAAGCGGACGATTGAGTAGGCGGATTGGCTGTCCAGGCCGGATGTTGGCTCGTCCAAGAAGAGGAGGAGAGAGGGCTTGGCCGCGAGTTCGACGCCGATGGTGACGCGCTTGCGCTGCTCGACGCCGAGGGACATGATGAGAGCGTCTTGCATACTGTTGAGTTCGAGGAGGTCGACAATCTTGTCCACATAGGCCAGCTTCTCGGAGCGAGGCACGCTCGCGTCCTGTCGCAGGATTGCTGAGAACTCCAGAGCTTCGCGGATAGTGGCCGTGCCATCGTGAAGATCTCCTTGCAAGCAGAAGCCAGTGTTACGCTGGAACGCAGGACCAAGAGGTCGACCGTCGACGAACATCTCGCCGGACACGACGCCCATGCTTTGGCGCTGAGAGAGGGTGTTGAGGAGGGTAGTCTTGCCAGCGCCCGACGCTCCCATGAGGGCAACCATCTTGCCTGGCTTGGCGTATCCATTGACATTGTTCAGCAACTGCCTCTCACCACCAAGGTAAGGAACAGTGTAGTTGACGTCCCGCCACGTGAAGATGGAGTCGGATTTGGTGATCTGCTCCAGAGCTTCCTCTTCTGCGCCATCCTCAGCCGGCGAGTCACCAAGACCATCCTCCTTCTTCGCATTGCCCGAGCTGCTGCTTTCGGAACCGCTGGCGATGGCTTTCTCCTCATCAGCCGCGGGAGAAGGCTCCTTGACCTGTTGCTTGGCTTTCCGAGTCTTCTTGAAGATGAGCGCTCCGCCCCCTCCGCCGGAGAACGACATCGTCTCGGTTGCAACCATTGTCACAAGAATGTAAAGTACAATGAAGGCCAAGACGACGCCGAAGTTCCGCCATAGGTGTGAGCGGCTGTAATTGTACTGGGTGCTGAGGTAGTTAGACCCAGTCACAGATGTGGCACCAACATCGGCTCCTGCAATGGCGCAGCCCTGGTATCCAGGCTGGGCACCAGGACCTTGCGGCACGAGCTGTTCCGGAGCGCACTGCATGGTGCGTCCAGCAAACTCGTTCGTCAAGACGGCTTCGAAAGCATAGCCAACCGGGTTGATGTAGTAGATCCAGCCGAACCAGATGTACTCCGAGAGCAGCTGAGTTTTGGGGATCACGTAGCCGGTGTAGATGACCAGCAGATTCAGTGCGATCCCGGAGAAGCGCACTGCGGTGTCAATCTCGGGTGACAAAGAGGCAAACATCCGGTAGAGTGCAGTCAGCAAGATCGTCGTTACGTAGACGAACAACATGTAGATGAAGAACTTGCTGGCGGTAATGTCGAGATTCGTCATGAAGTACATCAGTACTCCGAAGAGGATGGTCTGGACAAAGATCACCGGCAGGTCTGTAATGACCCGCGCAATGACCACAGCGGATGGACGGTAGAAGGCGTAGTCTCGATGCCTAGCAACCACAGCTCTGCCACTGACAGCCTTCATAAGCTCAGTCAACTGCAGCCAACCCAGGAAGAGAATACTGAAGAAGAGCGCGCCGCCACGAGTAAATGCACCGGCCGTGTTCATAGGTTCGCCGTAGAACAGAGAGCCGACGATGAGACCGTTGGAGATGATGATGAAGAGCTTGGTCCAAAGGGTGGTAGTATCGCCAAGGAGCAACCAGAACTCGCGCTTGGTGCAAGCCATCACCTGTTGCGGGAAAGACACGGTGTAAGGGCTCTTCTTCGAGACGTGCTTGGATTTGCCCTCCTGCACCGCGTTCTCGAACTGCTTGGCGTCCTCGTAGTTCGTTTCCTTGAGGTGGTTTTCGTAACCATTGATGTCCTCGAGAACTTTCTGGTAGTTGGGCGACGATCGGAAGGCCTTCTCAAGCTCTTCAGGTGTCTTTGGGGTGCTGTTCTCACAACCCGGACGGAACTTTCGCTCAACTCTGTCGGTCACGGCAGTCAGGAAGTCTGCTGTAGTCTGGCGCTCTGGAGCTTCGAATCCGAGATCAATAAAGTACTGTCTTGCTTCCTTGGCTGGACCCATGAAGATCTGGCGGCCGTCGTCGATAACCAGCACTTTGTCCATGAGCTCGTAGATGCCTTCGCCTGCCTGGTAGAGAGTCGTCAAGGTCGTACGATTGCTGATGTCGGTCATGATTCGCAGCGAGCGGGCGTAGTCGAGAGCTGTAGACGCATCGAGACCGCGAGTCGAATTGTCCCAGGCAATGACAGTTGCCTTGCTGGCCAACGTCTCCGCAATACTGACTCGCTTGCGTTCGCCACCTGAGACACCTCTAGTATACTCGTCGCCCACGAGAGTGTACTTCGTGTGACCAATTCCAAACATCTTAAGGAGCGTATTTGCGATGATATCGATCTCCTCTCTCGCCTTCTTCTTGGTCTTCGTCATTAGGGCAAAGGTAAAAGTCTGCCAGACGTTGAGGGAGGCGAAGTGAACATCGTCCTCCATGTTGTAGTTGACCTCGCCGCGATAAAGCTTCTTCTGCTTATCCGCCGGGATGCCACCATACGAGACGTCACCAGAGACCTCAGCATACGCTGCGCGGTCGTTTGCCAAAACCTTGAGTAGCGAGGAGCATCCGGCGCCGGGACGACCGAGGACCAACATCATCTCTCCGTCACGGACACATCCGGTAAAACCATTGATAATCGTTCTCAGCTCGCCGTTCTTCCTTGCCAGCCCGGGTATAAAGCCTGAAAGGATACGATAGAGATCCGGTCCAAAGGTGCCAAGAATAGCATCCGGCAGTGTCCTCACGAAAGACGCCGTAGATCCAACGCCCTTGACCGTCAGATCCTTGAATATCACGCCCACTTTCTTCGTAGACTTCCCTTCCTCCCGCTTCTCAAAATGGCCTTCCTTCAAGAACTCGCCAAGCTGGAGCTCGTCCTCGTCATCCTCTTCCTCCTTCTTCTCGCCAGCCTCAACGTCCCAATCAGATCGCTCGACCTCTTCAGTAGGATGGCTCTCCGCAACCGAAGCCGTTCTGGCGGTAGTCGGCCGCTCCTGATTAGACTGCCGAGTCGCTTGCCGCGTGAGAGTACTCCGCCTGCTACCGGTCCTTCGCAGCGAAGGCTGGGTGTCCTTTGTACGGGTCCTGCTCATGCCAGTGAGGGTCTTCCTAAGAGCCTCGAGCTGCTCAGCAGCCTCCCGCGTGTTGAACTCGCCCACATCGCGCTCGCCCCAAGTGCCAGATCGTTCAGCGTCGTTGCCTTCATCGTCTTCGTTGTTGTAGACTGTGTGGAGGCGTCCGGCGTCGGGGTGAGGATCGCCACGGTGCCATTGGTTTTGCTGTTGGGTGCCCACACGCTGTAGGCGGTCCTGGTCGAGATGCGAAGCCCACATGGCGGATGTGCAGCTTCTCGCTGCTGTGCTCTTCTCGGGGTCTCAATGCCAGTCCAGCGGTGGTGATGGTGAAACGGGTTGACGGAGAGGAGAAGAGGTTCAAGGAGGCACAAACCTTGTGGGTGAGAGGAGAAGAGAGTGAGAGGAGAAAAGGAAGCACTTGCGGTGTCGTGATGGCGTGACGGGGTGGGTTCTGGATCGGACATATGATTTCCTAACTCCCCTGCCAATGCACGAGGCTGAATAATTGCGATGAAAACTGCTGATGTTGACCGTTAGGCGCTCCACCGTCGTTGCGGTCCGAAACGTCATCCAAGTCCACTCACGCGTTATCAATCGTCTTTTAAACTTTTTTTGTTGTTGAGATTGGCGTCGATTGCCGTGAATCTGCCGCGCAACACCGCGTACAACAAGTCGTGGCGGTATCAACCCAGTCCTTCCTTCATGTGGAAGAATAGGTGGTTCTCGAGAAGAGGAAGTTCTGCAGATACTGCTGGATGGCTACTCAACATCAGATCAACCGATCGAGAGGGGTAGACGGGTCTACCATTGATTGTTCCAACTTGTTTGTTTCGTCTATCTATCGAGATGCTGCCAATTCTTTTGCCCAAACGGCCCAGTGCGGAGCCAACAGCGCACAGGAACGAGGAGCGATTAGCTTAACCACGGCTCCCTCCTTATCCCTCGAACACTCCTCTCCGCTACGCCAACATTACTGATCAAGGGCCCCCTGGAAGGAATCGGCTTCCTTCGGACATCGGGGTTGCGGTCTGACAGCCAAGGCAGACACAAGACTTGGTGTCATAGTTGGCTGTTATCAATCTCTCCTTCGGAATCATAGGGTTGCCCCACTCGTTCCGAAATGAAGGCAGGACAGGGTGTCGTTGAGACACTGATAGAGTAAGCTCGCAATGCGTCTGGTGGACCGCCTTACTCGAGCTGCAAAACCTCCGCGGAGCAGGTGTCGGCACGAGGGCATCGGAGTAAGGCAAACGGTGAGCCTTTGCTTACACTACCAGGACTACCAAGCATGTGGCAGATGGCGCGTTCGCATAAGAAGCTTACATTGACACCATCTCGTCAGCAAAGTGCAGACCGAACCTCTTGACTGTCTTGTGGTTTGTGTGTCTGCCTTGTCCTTCGAGAACATGAAATACATGTAGCTTACCCTTACCCTGACGTCGGGTCGGCATCATTCCACACCAAACACCATCAATGGGTGGCGACATCCGCTCAGTGCCTGCCTTTTGCTGATTGGCGGAATGGAAAACACATCGACGTTCGCAAAACTCTTCTGTGCCACCGCACAAATGGCTCAACGGCAGGGTCAAGTTCTCTCATGATAGATAAGCTCGAGATACGTCTAGAGGAATTTCACAATCTTTGCTGCTCGTCGACGGTATCATTGACCATACAACAACTCACAAGGACTAGAAGTGAAATAGCGACTTGAACACCATGGTCGACATGCACGCTGACTACAGCCCACCGCTGGCGCTCACTGTCATCAGCGCAGTGTTTTTGATACTCGGAGCGATATGCTTCTTGATCATCGTCGGCGACATAGTATGGAGGCGCGGTTGGAACAGTATGATGTGGATCATGATAGTGAGTTCACTTCAATAACAACAACAACACAACAACAGAGCCCACATGCTGACTGATGACGCAGCCCGTCTACCCCATCAATGCGGCATACATGCTACCACTTGAGCTCTACGTCTACTTCAAGTTCGGCAGACCGACTAAACCGGAGCCTCCGCCACCAACCGACGATGTCGCGACCGAGAAAGCCCATCAAAGCCACGACACCTCACCCAACAGGACAGAAGACGAGCCAGCAGTTCCAACAGCCCAGCACGAGAATATCCCTTCTCAGACCAACCCAGCCAACGAGAATGGCTCCAACGACCCTAACCTCGAAAAAGGCCCCTCGGAATCAGGAGAAGCGTCCCACTGCCACCACCACTCCTCCGCCCGCCCAATGTGGGCCACCGTCCTCATCGGCGTCTCCCACTGCGGCGCCGGCTGCGTCCTCGGCGACATCGTCGGCGAATGGCTCGTCTACGGCACCAACGCCACGCTCGGAGGCGCGATGATCTGGGTCGAGCTGCTGGTCGACTACGCTTTCGCTTTACTGTTTGGTGTGGCGTTCCAATATTTCTCGATTGCGCCGATGAGTGGTGATTATGGGCCGAAGAGTGTATGGAGAGCGTTGAAGGCGGATTTCCTGAGCTTGACGAGTTTCGAGGTGGGCGCTTTTGGGTGGATGGTAAGTAGTTGCCTGTGGAGCATGTCGCTGCTATGTCTTATAGCAGCCGAAACTGCCCTTCCCTTTCCATATGTAGGAAGAAAAGAATGCTGACGCTTCTCATCTAGGTGATTTACCAGGTCGGTATCTTTGGGTATCGGCTCGAGATGACTACATATACGTACTGGTGGTAAGTCGCGAGAACCTTGAGCTGCTATATATGGCAAGGTGTGCTGACAGCCGGTATAGGATGATGCAGATTGGAATGGCGATGGGATTCGCGACAGCATTCCCAGTAAACTGGCTGTTGATCACCAAAGGGATCAAAGAGCCCTGTGCCTGATTGACTGCGTTTGTACATTCGGCGATTTCAATCACGCTATAGCGGCCGTCATCTATGCGTCTATGGTGTATTCTATCGGCAAGATCCATGGTCTTCGCAGTTCTTTTCCTGACTTCGCTCACTCGGCATCCTCTTTCATCTCAACCTCCTTCTCCGCCTTGCCGCCAATCGCATACGCCTCCATATCCTCCGGCGTGACGTCGAAGTTCTTCCGCAGTCCTGCGAGACTTCGGTCGACGAAGAGGTAGTCGACCTGCTCTAGCGTTTTGCCACCAGCTACGAACATGTCAGCTCCAGCTTCGCAGAGTATTGATATGCTTTCGGTCAGCTTACTCTCAGGAATAAGTAAGTAGACGAAGATGATGGCAATGACGTTGCCGCTGATCACCCAGAGCCAGAAATACCACCCGATGCGGTTGAAGCCGATGGCTGCTGGATGTTAGCAACCTGTTCCATGTTTCCTAACAAATTTCACGTTACTCACGTCCCGCGAACACCGTTATAAACGTCATTAGCCTTCTCCAGAGAACCGAAAGATCAGCGGATATCTCAGACATTGTCAGGCGATGCCGTCTCACCATTCACCAAAAGCCGTCGCTCCAGCACCAATGTGCCGATACTCCAACGGTGCGATCTCGGCACACACAAGCCACACGCTCCCCTGCCACGCATAACCGAATGTCGCAAGGAAGAGGAAGATGATCGCAATCGAAGCCCACTGAATATCCGGGTGTCCTGATCCGACGGCCACCAGAGCGGTGAACACTGTAATAAGGACGGTCATAGCCATTGCGCCGTACAGCAGGACGGAGCGGCGACCGACTCGCTCGACGGTGAAGATGAGGGGGATACAGCCGAGGGCGAAGAAGATGTTGAGGACGCCGGAGAGGAGGGAGACGAGGCTGGGTTTGGCGACGGTGGAGAGGATGACGCTGCCTTTGAGGAGTCAATTCATGGATGTTCTCGGGATTGGAGATCAGAGATGGACTTACTGTAATATGCGATCAGGCTGGAACCCATCCACTCGCCTGGAGATGGCATCAAATCAGTAACAACCCACGACCTCCATTGATAAACAACTCACGGATCATCGGCAACCAAAAGCAGATACAAATCCTCCGCACGATCTTCATCCGGGTCTTATCGACAATGCCCATACTCAGGAAGTCCGTCCAGCGGAGACTCGCATTGGCTTCCAATTCAGCTTCGATGTTGGCCAGGATTTCTCGCCGAGTGTTCTGCACTTTGTCATCGTTGACGTCGGTGTCGTTGAGTTGGGCGAGGATGGCGTCGCCTTCTTCGAAACGGTTGCGGGCGTAGTACCAGCGTGGCGTGTCTGGTAGAAAGTACATCATCCCGCCGGAAACGATGGCGAAGATGCACTGGAAGGCGATAGGGATCCGCCTGGGGAGTGTCAGAGGATGAGCGTGGCCAATCTGGATTGATTCGTACTTACCAGGACCACTGAGCATCGCTCTTCGTGAAGCCGTAATCGATCCTACCGCACATTAGCACTCTTCCCGTGAGCACACATCATGCTACCAGACTCACCAATACGCCAACGGCACGCCCGAAATCAACAATGCAGCATTGAAAGCATTCGCGGGCCCACGATCCCCAATCTCAATCCCCGTCTCGTTCAAATACGTCGGCACAGCGCTGGAAATACACCCAATGGCAAAACCAGTAAAAAGCCGTCCGACAATCAACTGCGCAACACTATACGAAGTCGCCTGAATAATAGAACCAACAATAGCACCGATATTTCCCAAAATAACCGTCCCTCGACGCCCAATGTTAAAAGCGAAAAAGGCAACCCCAACAGCCGTCACGCACGCGGCGAGGTCATATGAGGCGGTGATCATGGGGATCACGTAGTCGCCCGTCGGGTTGCCGATGGCGTCGAGGAAAGGCGGGTGCAGGAGGACGCCTCCTAGCACTCCGGCGTCGTAGCCATACCTGGGATCTTGGGTTAGATCGTGGCAATCCTTGGGAGAGAGAGCTTGGAGAGGCTTGGGTACATCATGAAGCTTGTTCCGCATATTATTTTCATCAATAGGTATAATCGCTGGCCTACAAGGTAAAAGGATTAGCGAGTGTTTGAGACGTGGTTAGGGTTTGGTACCTTTTAGTGTTATGAGCCCCATATTGACTTGTGTTGGCGTGGTTAGTATGGTATGGAATCCAAAAACTTGAGCACATAAATTTCAAGTTTTCCACGAGTCTTGCTTCGTTCAGATAAGAAATGACATGGCTACGGCGCACTACCTCGGGTGCCATGACTTGTCAGTGTGTTTCATGTTCGGTAAACGTTCACCGGGAATAACATTTACCCTCCACAACGTGAAGGTGATCGATGTGGAGACCTCCATTCTTTCACTGCACGTCAAGACATCGACGTCTGGCAGGCGACACCAGTCCTGCGTGCAATCATTGCAAGACGGCGGCCATCAGCGACGTCTTGAGGCGTGCTGGTGAAGAATGAGATGATGTAGAATGCTCTGTGTTGACATGTAAGCTAAAGCAAGTACGAGCAAACACTGAAGCCTGACTGTCCACTCCGCCGACACTCCTTCCATTAACATTCGCCTGCGAGCAACAGAAACATACCACATGGCCGATGTCCGCCATCTGTTGTATCACCTCTATTCCCAGCAGACAGCAGACGCTGCAGCTTAGCCAGCACTCACTCCCGAGAACATCTCCGCAATTTGCGGATGCACACGTCAAAGCATCTCTCGTCACTCATGCCGTGTCGTGGCTGGCTGATGTCTGGACCTTTGTCGACGGTAAAGCTCACCATCCGAAGCCGAATCTGTAGTAGCGGTCCTCGTCGTAGATTTCCTCCGGCACAGTGACATTCTCAGTCTTCGGATCCTTGATCTTCAACTGATCGGCGAGCAGCTTGCGGATCCTCTTCTGCGTGACCCTGCACTGCTTCGCGTTCTTTTCGCAATCGGCATGGCACACTCCTGGCGCAGGCTTCTCAATTTCGTTGCCGTCCGCATCCACTGGAGCGGGAGCCTCGGCAACGGACTTGTTGTTGATGCAGGTGTAGCATGGCCCGTCGAAGATCTTGATGATGTTGAGCACGCTCGAAGCACCCTTCCGCTCTGGTGTGCGAAGGGTCTCCATGAGGTCTCCGACCCTGCGCACAAGGCTATGCATCGAAACGCTGCCGTTGCGGAACGATGCAGCACTCTGGGGGATGTTTGTCCGGTGGAGAGCAAATGAGCGAAGGTCGACAGAGTCTTTGAGGCAGCGGAAGACAGCAGTGGCTTTGTTAGACTAGAAGCCTCGAGATCCGATGCGGATGTTGCGCAGAAAGCGACGCATGCTGCCGAGGCTTTCGAGGAAGACTTGGAGGTTGGAGAAGTTTTGGAACTCGAACTCGTTGGCGTAGACCATGGGTGCAGTCTCTGAGTGTATTTGCTTGTTCGCACGAAGCAGCGCAAGCGCACTCGGGGGCTTGTTGTCCCAGGCGCGGGTCGTAGTGTTCCACTTGAGGCCTTTGTTGCGTCCATTGCGAGCGTTCCAGTCGGAACGTACAGCGCGGCGGGCCTCGTTGGTACGCCTTGCGGTAGACATCTGAATTGGAGCATCCTCTTCGAGCAGGTAAGAGAATATCATGTTGCGTATCTCTGGAGGAAAGTCGAGGAAGCTGACACCCTTCTCGGGCTCGAGCATGAGCACATGACGTCCCCGGTATGGGCCTTGGGTGATGACCAGCTGCAGAAGTCAGTACGGGTGGCGTGGCCGCGAGATATTTGCACGATGACTTACCGGCACGAGCGAAAACATCTCTGGGTAGTTGACATCGACAACGCGAGAGTAGTTGACCATGGAGTCGTTGACCTATGCATTGTCAGCTTTCTGAGGCCAAGGGGTTTAAGCAGCCCAGTGGTGCCTACCTTGGTGACGGTCAACGTCTCACCCTTCTTCTCCAACAGCTTAACGTCAGACTCTCATAGACGAAAGCCAGGCGCCACGGCAACTTCTTCCTGGACCATCAGCTCTTGGGGCTTCATCTTGCTGATGTCCGGTCCGACGCCTTTGGCGGTGGCGAAGTCTTCTTCCTCGGAGTACTCTGCTTCAGCATCTGCGATCTCCTTGAGCTTGAGCGTCGACGCCTCAGCAGACTTGCGCTTCTTCCTAGCAGGCTCCTCTGTATCCCCTGCAGGGGGCTTTGTGCGTTTCCTCACGCCGCTTGGACGCCGCACCGACGGGTCTTCGTCCTCGCTGTCCGCCCCCTTGCCCTTCGCGCCCGCCTTCTTGCCTCTCGCTCTCGTGCTCGCCATCTCCGTGTCTTGATCAGTGCTGACGTGGGTATCCGGGATCACTTTGCGTGGGAGAATGGGGAAGTTGTCAAGGTGGGGGATCAACTCGCGGTGGAGAAGGGTGCAGATGTCAAGTCGTAAGTTTAGGATGTGAAGTCCAAAGCCAGAGGATGCAGTGTCCCCTGCCAAGGCAAGGTAAGGCACCCATTCACTCGCAAACGGAAGGAGCGCACGACACGCGCTTTACGTGTCTGCACGTGGCGCGCCCGTCCTGTGATTTTCATAAGCACGAACACATGCAATTCACTGCAGAAAGAGGGGATTGAAGGTGGAAGAAAGTAGAGTTAGACGGAATCTTTTGATACAAACCTCACACGACCCAAAAGCAGTTACACACGGTTAGAACAAAGGCATACCCATTCCCTTCACTCCCCGCTCGCCCAAGAGATAAATACCGACCAGAAGCTACCCACGGCATCCGGCGGTCGATGCATGGAAAGAAGCTGTACACATACGCTCGCTCCTCTCTTCTTTCGTTCATCCCCTCATCTCATCCCCATACCTCGCCCAGAGATCCATCTCACAGCATCAACCCCAGGGGATTCTCGATCACGTTCTTCAGCTCCCGCATGAAGTCGCCTCCGACCGCGCCGTCCACGACCTTATGGTCAAAGCTGCCCGTCAACACGATCTGCTCATCCCACTCAACACTCTCCTCCTCGCCCTCCTTGGGTATCGCAACCTTCTTTACCGCGCCAACGGCCACGATCGTCGCTTGCGGAGGGTTGATGACCGCAGTAAATCGCTCCACTGCGTCGTTCATGCCCATGTTCGAGATCGTGATGGTGCCGCCCTGGTATTCCTCAGGTTTGAGCTTGCCGTCTCTTGCCCGCTTGCCCAAGTCCTTGATGCTGGCGGAGATGGTCTCGAGACCCGAGCCGATTGCGTTCTTGACAATAGGCGTCATCAGACCAACAGGTGTGGCCACGGCGACGCTGACGTCCACAGTGTTGTGTTGTCGGATCACGACGTTGCCGCCGCTACCCTCCTCCCGCCAGCTGGAGTTGGCCGCAGGCACTTTGCGTGCGGCGACGGCGACAGCTTTGATGAGGAAGTCGTTGACGCTAAGCTTGTACTTGCCGTCGGCAGATGAGTTAAGAGCGGCGCGGAGTTTGAGGAGTTTCGAGACGGAGACCGAGGAAGAGACGAAGTAGTGTGGGTTCTGGTTGAAGGATTGCGTGAGGCGGGCGGCGATGGTCTTGCGCATGGAAGAGGCGGGGGTGTCTTCGTAGATCGGTGCTCCGCCGGCTGGAGCTGCTGCGGCGGCTGCTGGTGCGGCGGGCTTGAATTTCTCAACGTCTTGCTTGGTGACACGCCCGCCAGGGCCGGTGCCCTTCAGCTGTGCAATTGGTACGCCCTTCTCCAGCGCGAGCTTCTTCGCCGAAGGGCTGATGCTAGGCTCACGTTCGAGAGAGGTTTGTAACCGCTCGCCTGAGCTCTCCGACTCCTGCGCGGCAGGTGCTGCCTCCTCTTTCGGCGGTGGTGCAGTTTTTGAGCCTGATTCCGGGGGCTCACTGCTCTCTGCCGCTTCACCTCCAGCGTCTTTCTTCCCTTCCTCCTTCTTCTCCGCGCCCTTGTCTCCACCAGCGTCCTCCACGGTGAACTCCTCGAATGCCGCAACGTCACCAGCCTCCTCCACCATAACGGCGATAGGGTTCCCGACCGGTACATCCTTCTCCCCGCTGTCCTTCAAAATCTTTGCGAGCACGCCCTCCTCTTGGAATTCGAAGTCCATCTGCGCCTTATCGGTCTCAATTTCGACCAGCACATCTCCAGGGTTTAGACTGTCGCCGGGGTTCTTCTGCCATGTGCCAATGTTACCGCTCGTCATTGTGGGACTAAGGGCAGGCATGGAGATGACGGTGTGCGAGGGAAAAGCTGCAGCATAACAAGTCAGTCTGGCGAGTCGAATTGTGAGTTCTGTAGTCGAGTATACATTTTGAGGCATAGTATCGCGCAAGGGCTGAAAGGGCAGGTGCTCTTCTGCGCGTTCTGTTAGCTCGCCATCCTCTTGGAGCTTGTCTCTGTACGATGACCCCTCTGACGAACGTACGCGACAACATCTCGTGATCTGAAAGAGCTCAATGCGCCTGCGTGACATGCTCCCCTTGACGCTCTTGCGAGCACCGCCGCGGCTGACATTGTGCTCGGCCTCCTAGGACTTGGTTGGGGTGTAAGGGAAGTCTATGGTTTAGCTGTGGAGGAGGTGGTGAATGCTGACGGAGCGGCCGAGAGTGAGGTGGTCGAGTAGAGGTGGTGGTGGTTGCGAGGGAAATGTCGGAAGCCGCCAACTATTCTCGTGAGCGTTGAGTGTCAATGCTCCTTCCTCAGCTGGCCTTTGAGATGCGGCCCGCGTCGGCTCGCTAGCTGCGGTTGCTGCCGATCGGAACTCGTGGCAGCTCCAGGCCGCGGAGGAGAGTGGAATAAGTGAGACGGATCGCAAGGGTCTACAGGACAACATTTACTTTCGCTAATACAACGTCGATTGATGGAAAGGGTGCGAACCGAAGCCGAAGGAGACCAGATTCATATGCAGTACCAGTCCGACACATGGTATAGGGATTGCCAGGAGCTGGCATGGCCGAGTCGGAGGAGCAGGCATCGGTTCAGCCGGAGCAGGAGGTCCAACATGAAGACATCAAGAGCCCGGAAGAGCCTATAGAGGAGACGAAGGATAGCTATGAGCAGATCGCTACCGATGCGCAGAACGGCGAGCATCAAGATGTAGACGATGGAGTTCCGGAAGAAGCAGCAAGTCCGGAGGAAGCACCACCTCCCCCAGCGAAGGACAGCGAGGATGGCAGACATATAGAAGAGCCTGTGAGCTCTCTGCCAGCCTCGACGATTCCGCAGACCCCACCACAAGAGACCCCGCCCCCTGTACCCGCGCCGGATACGCCAAGGACCCTCCCCAGCCGGCCTCGGACAGACTCGCAGTCAACGACGGCCACGAATGCTACACGAAACACCGCCCGAAGCACACGGTCGAGTATGGTCTTCGTCGTCCAAGCGCTCGAATCGATAGCTGCGTCTAAGGATGCAAGGAAGCGAAAAGCGCTTGCAGACAGCACACAGAGAGCCCTGTCCGCTATACGCAGCGCACAAGGAGACGCATCGCAGATCAACCCGGAGGTCCTATTCGAGCCTCTCAACCTTGCTACGGAAGCTTCGACGGTCACGGTGGTGATTACTGCGCTGGACTGTATAGGCAAGCTGATCAGCTACTCCTACTTCTCCGCTCCTCCTCCAGCAGCAGAACCTCCACGGCAATCAGCAGATGGCGCACTTCCCCCGCCTCAGCAGCGGCAGCAAGCGCCTCTCATCGAGCGAGCCATCGACACAATATGCGACTGCTTTCAAGGAGAAGCGACGCCTTCGGAGGTGCAGATGCAGATCATCAAGAGCTTGTTGGCGGCCATCCTGAACGACAAGATTATTGTGCATGGTGCCGGACTACTTAAGAGTGTGCGGCAAACGTACAATATCTTCTTGTTGTCGAAGAGTTCTGCGAACCAGCAGATTGCGCAAGGGACATTGACGCAGATGGTCGGGACGGTGTTCGAACGGGTCAAGACACGGTTAGGTGCACAGACCGTGAGGATGAACAGTTCGAAGTCGAGTCTAGAAGCAGCTGCATCAACGAATGGAGACCATGATGCCGGTGTCAATGGGACCTCAACGCCAGCTGAAGGGGACGAAACACCCACTGTCGCCGACGGCGAATCAGAAACTGCGGCAGAGAACGACGGCGATTCGAAGCAGAAAATGACGCTGCAGACTTTCGAGACTCGGAAATCATTCGATGACACCAAGCTCACCGACACCGCGCCGACCACAGTCACCAGAACAGGACGACCATCGAGAAGCGCACAGCAAGGCTCCCGTAACACCTCTGGCCACGACATCCCGGCGATCACCGTTCAGAACGGCGAGATACCTGATAGCGTCATCTCGGAAGACGACGAAGAGGACGAAATCTATGTCAAAGATGCCTTCCTTGTCTTCCGTGCGATGTGCAAGCTGTCGACCAAGCCTCTGAGGAAGGAAGATGCTGTCGACATCAAAAGTCAGGGCATGCGTAGCAAGCTGCTGAGCTTACACATCATCCACACTGTTCTCTTCAACCACTCCATCGTATTCACGAGCCCGCACGCCACGATCAAGAGTTCTGGATCTGGCGAACCCACCGGATTCACGCAAGCTATCAAACAATATCTCTGCCTCAGCTTGAGCCGGAATGGCGCCAGTTCGGTGCAGCGAGTCTTCGAAGTTGCAGCTGAGATCTTCTCGCTCATGCTCCGCCATCTCCGCGCCCAGCTCAAACGAGAGCTCGAGGTGTTCTTGAAGGAGATATACCTCGCCATCCTGGACAAGCGAGCTGCACCGAACTGGCAAAAGCAGTACATCGTCTCACACATCTTCGCCTATCTGGGCTCGGATCCGAAAGTACTGGTTGAGATATACTTGAATTACGATTGCGATCGGAATGCACTGGACAACATGTATCAACGCATCATTGAGCATGTGAGTAGGGTTGCTGGACAGCCGGCTCAGGTCAATGGGTTGCAGCAACAAGCGTATCAGGATCATGTTGCTTCGAAAAAAGATCAGACAGCTTCTGGTGGCTCAGACTGGAGAGAAAGAGGCACACTTCCACCAAGCCTCGCGACGGCGAATATGGGTGGCAGTAGCGCGACGCAGGCCATGTTCCAGGACGAGGGCTTTCCATTGGAGTATGCGATGAAGATGCAGGCTCTTGAATGCCTGGTCGAAGTCTTGCGCAGTCTGGTAAGATGGGGCCAGCAAGGCATGGCTTCCGCTGCAGCGGCAGAGAGCTCGCTCGCTGCTGGTGATATGGAAGGCAGAGGAAGCTCAGAAGAGCTGCGCGAGTCGATAGATACGCGTGGCGGCGAGATGGTCGGCACACCAACGACCACTGATGGCTCAACTCTAGCCTCAGGCAACTCCTACTTCACCGGGACGGTCCCGGATACGCCAGTCGTCGAAGATGATCCAGCGGAGCTCGAGAAAGTGAAGGCGCGGAAAACAGCCCTGAACAACGCCATCCGCCAGTTCAACTTCAAGCCTAAACGAGGCATCAAACTGCTCATTAGCGACGGCTTCATCCCGTCTTCAGATCCGCGAGATATCGGCCGTTTCCTCATCTCCAACGACCGCCTGAATAAGAAAGCTCTTGGCGAGTTTCTCGGCGAAGGTGATGACGAGAACATCAAGATCATGCACGCTTTCGTGGACAGCATGGAATTTGCGCGTACTCGCTTTGTAGATGCTCTGCGAAAGTTTCTGCAGTCTTTCCGTTTACCAGGCGAAGCGCAGAAGATTGATCGTCTCATGCTCAAGTTCGCCGAGCGGTACACGAGCGGCAATCCTAATGCGTTCGCCAACGCCGATACTGCGTACGTGCTGAGCTACAGCGTCATCATGCTCAACACCGACCAGCATTCTGCGCAGGTGAAGAATCGCATGACCGTGGAGGACTTCATCAAGAACAACCGCGGCATCAACGATAACGCCAACTTGCCTGATGAGTACTTGCAGGGCATCTACAACGAAATCCGCGAGCACGAGATTGTGCTCGACACGGAGCGCGAGACGGAAGCCAACCTTCGTGGCGCTGTGCCTGCGAACGATCGACAGGGTGGGCTAGCAAGTGTTGTCGGAAATCTTGGGCGTGACCTGCAACGGGAAGCGTACGCCGCTGCGAGCGAGGAGATGAGCAATCGTACCGAACAGCTTTTTCGCAGCTTACTGCGGGCGCAGAAGCGAGGTGGCATCGTTACCGGCCTCGGTGGTCCTGCTGTTGGCAAAGCATCGTTCCTAACTGCTTCGTCGTTCAGGCACATTGGTCCGATGTTCGAGGTCACTTGGATGGGCTTCTTGACTGCGCTATCCGGTTCAGCGCAGGAGACGCAGAACCTGGAGACGATCAGGCTGTGCATGGAAGGGCAGAAGTTGGCGATCCGGATCGCTTGCTTGTTCGACTTGCAAGACCCACGGCAGGCTTTTGTGGGCAGTTTGGCAAGAAGCACGAATCTTTACAATCTTGTCGAGATGAAAGCAAAGAACGTCGAGGCGCTGAAGGCTCTACTGGAGGTTGCACAGACAGAGGGCAACCTGCTCAAAGAGAGCTGGAGAGACGTGCTAACCTGCGTGAGTCAACTAGATCGGTTCCAGCTGATCAGTAGTGGTGTCGAAGAAGGCGCCGTCCCAGATGTCATGCGCAGCCAGACCATGGGTCATGGCGGACAAACACCATCACGGAAGAGCATGCAAGTGCCACGCCGCCCTACGAGTCGAGCACCTGGCTCTTCAGCCTCTGGCAATTACCAACTCGACATTGCTGAAGAGTCACGCAGCGCGGACATGATACGAGGCGTTGATCGCATCTTCACCAATACGGCGAATTTGTCAGGCGAAGCGATCGTGCATTTTGTCCGCGCACTTACGCAAGTCAGCTGGCAGGAGATCCAGAGTTCTGGCCAAAGCGATTCGCCTCGCACATACTCCCTGCAGAAGCTGGTCGAAATTTCTGGGTACAACATGCTGCGTGTCCGCTTCGAGTGGACGAATATCTGGCAGGTTCTCGGCCAGCACTTCATCGACGTGGGATGTCACAACAATACGCATGTGGTCTACTTTGCGCTCAACAGCCTGCGACAGCTAAGTATGCGGTTCATGGAGATTGAAGAACTGCCTGGATTCAAGTTCCAGAAGGACTTCTTGAAGCCCTTCGAGCTGATTCTGGGCACAGCGACTCAAGTCGCAGTCAAGGATATGGTGCTGCGGTGTCTAATCCAGATGATACAGGCGCGAGGTGACATGATCCGCAGCGGATGGCGGACAATGTTCGGCGTCTTCACTGTGGCAGCCAAGGAGCCGTACGAGAGCATCGTCAACCTGGCTTTCGACAACGTGACGCAAGTCTACAACGACCGCTTCGGAGTAGTGATCAGCCAAGGCGCGTTTGCGGATCTGGTGGTATGTCTGACGGAGTTCAGCAAGAACATGAAGTTTCAGAAGAAGAGCCTGCAGGCCATCGAGACCCTGCGGAGCAGTGTGCCGAAGATGCTGAGGACGCCCGAGTGCCCACTGTCGCAGCGCGCCGCTGGTGAGAAAGAGAAGCCTCAAGCGGAAGGCATGCCCAAGCAGCCAAGTCGGCAGACGCAAGAGGAGCAGTTCTGGTTCCCGGTGCTGTTCGCTTTCCACGACGTGCTGATGACGGGCGAGGACCTGGAAGTGCGGTCGCGAGCACTGAACTACCTCTTTGACACGCTGACGAAGTATGGCGGCGACTTCCCGCGGGACTTTTGGGACACGCTTTGGCGCCAGCTCCTGTACCCGATCTTCATGGTGCTCAAAGACCGCAAGGCTCTCAACCAGGACGCCATCAACCATGAGGAACTTTCCGTCTGGCTGAGCACGACGCTGATCCAGGCGTTGCGGAACATGATCTCGCTGTTCACACACTTCTTCGAGAGCCTGGAGTACATGCTCGATCGCTTCTTGGATCTGCTGGCGTTGTGTATATGCCAGGAGAACGATACGTTGGCGAGGATTGGCAGTAACTGTCTACAGCAGCTGATCCTGCAAAATGTGAAGAAGTTCAGCCCAGAGCACTGGGAGAAGATTGTGGGTGCTTTTGTGGATCTGTTCGCCAGGACAGAAGCAAGGGAGTTATTCTCGGCGGCGACTAATAGTGCGTATGAGAGGCGAGGCAGCTCGTACGGCAACGGAAATGGGAATGGGGCAGCAGAAACGCCAAAGACTGCTTCGGTGATGACTGGGCATGATGCGCCCTCGGCGAGCAATGCGCTGAGGATTAACGGCTTGCCTCAAGAGAGCTCGGCGGAAGTCTCGACCGTCAATGGCGACAGCAGACCACCCACTCTTCGAACCGAAGACTCCAACTCACTCAGCATGTCCGACGAAACCAGCCCTTCCCGCGCCCCGCCCACCACCAACACCAAACCCTCCGATCTCGAAGACTTCGCCTCCGCCCCTGCCTCTCAACACCAAGCCCCCATCATCGTCACCGCCGCCCGCCGCCGCTACTTCAACCAGATCATCACCAAATGCGTCCTCCAACTCCTGATGATCGAGACTGTCTCCGAACTCTTCAACAACGACGCCGTCTACGCCTCTATCCCCTCGCCCTTGCTGCTCCGTCTCATGGCTCTGCTGAAGAAGAGCTACCACTTCGCCAAACGCTTCAACGACGACCGCGACCTGCGCACTCGACTGTTCAGGGAGGGGTTCATGAAACAACCCCCGAATCTCTTGAAGCAGGAATCCGGCTCTGCGTCTGTCTATGTCCTCATCTTGTTGAGGATGTACGCCGATACGTCCTCCGATCGCGCCGCCTCGCGTCCCGAAACCGAAGCAGCGCTCATCCCCCTCTGCACCGACATCCTCACCTCCTTCGTCAGTCTGGACGAAGAAACCCAACAGCGCAACATCGCCACTTGGCGCCCCGTGGTCGTCGACGTGCTCGAAGGCTATACCTCCGGCTTCCCAGCTGAAGACTTCGCACGGCACGTGGAGACTTTCGCTCCGTTGGCCGTCGGGTTGATGGGGCGGGAGATGGGAGGGGAATTGCAGAAGGCGGTGCAGGGGTTTTGGGGGAGGGTGTGTGAGGTCAATTTGGGGTTGGGGAAGATGGAGATTGGGGGGCCCACGCCTGTGAGTCCGAGGGCCAGCAGTGGTGTATTTGGTGGAAGGAGGGGGAGTAGAGCCGCCAGATGAGGGGCATGCGTTGGTACAGGAGTTGGAGAGGGGATTGTGCAGCGTTCACGCAGGGGTTTGGGGTGTAAATGCTGTAGGGCACGTTACCTTATAGAGATGTAGGAATAGAGCATCTGATAGCATCTCGTGTAATGAGCCGCTGGCATGTGATCTCGATATCATTGGTCAATGGCGTGTCGTGTGCCCTCGAAAGTGCCGAGTTTTGGCGCTAGTGGGAGCCGATGTAGGAATTTGAAGGTTCGCTTTGAAGCTTTTCTTTGCCTGCACTCTTTCACCATGTAGCACGAGTTCACCCAACCTCGATTGAGCCTCACTTTCGAAAGATGCCTCATCTGAGGTCGTCGACCTATCTCTATCCCACTAATTGCGGCCGGTGACTGCAGCATCGTCTTCACCCGAGAGGCTTCCTTGAAGTTCACCTCGACTCATATCCTCCACCTCGAAGTCCGGCAAGATGAGGAGTTCTTGCGTCTTCTCCGGTCTTTCGCACCCGCAGTTGGTGGAAGCGATATGCGAACGGCTTGGACAGAAGCCGTCGCAGGTCGTGTCGAAGAAGTTTAGCAATGGCGAGACTTCCGTCGAGATCAGTACGTTCACGTGCCTGGCTCCTGGTATGGAAGAAGGAGGCTGACGTTGAGGGCAGAGACGTCGGTGCGCGATCAGGAGATCTTCATTGTGCAGAGTGGCAGCAGCGAGTATGTTCACCTGGACCGAGAATCGGGGAAGAGTGGCTGATCTGAGCACGACAGGATCAACGACAATGTCCTCGAGCTTCTGATCATGATCTCCGCCTGCAAGAGCGGGTCGTCGAGAAAGATCACTGGTATGAACACTCGAGACTGCGACTCGGCTGCAAGAGCTAAACAGTGCTTACAGCGGTCATGCCCTACTTCCCCTACTCCCGCCAATCGAAGAAGAAGACACACCGCGGCGCCATCACCGCCCGCATGATTGCCAACCTTATGAAGGTCGCCGGCGTCGACCACGTCATCACCATCGACCTCCACGCCTCGCAGATGCAGGGCTTCTTCAAGTGCCCGGTCGACAACCTCCGAGCAGAGCCGTTGATCGCGAAGTGGGTTCGCATGAACATACCGGACTGGCAGGAAGCGGTGGTAGTGAGCAAGAATCCTGGTGGGACAAAACGGGTCACATCATTGGCGGATGCGCTGCAGTTGAGCTTCGGCATTGTGACGACAGAGAGGAGAAGGACACATATGCCGGGCAGCATGTTCAACAGTGGGGTCTTTGAGCCGATGGGGACGGATGGAACTAATGACCGAGATGCGCTGCATCGCGAGGCGTACGAGGAGGCGGAGGTGGCAGATTCTTTCTCATCGGGGAGAACAACAACACGCGAAGACCATGCATATCAGAGCCAACAGGCGCGGACTAACGGCTTTGGACACAACAGAAGAAACGGAGCGCCGAGGGCTGCGAATACGATGCCTGCTGGTCGTTGGTCTCGGCTGATGAACGGTGACTCGCCTTCCAGCCCCCTTTCCAACTCGCACAGGGCTGGCTCGGTTGATACGGAAGATGGGAGGAGCTCGCCCACTCCAGGGATTCAGAGGCATTCCACAGCACTGGGGGTCTCACGGCACCACGACGAAGACGGTTACGAAGAGTATGGGGATGGTGAGGACGATGAGGTCAGTACACTATCCAGACCATGTGGATCTCTGCTAATGGTCTTCTCAGAGTGCTCGGGATGTGATTACCGGCCGTCTCATCCACGGCCACATCGTCGACGATGACGCGCCTTCGCCTGGCATGTCGACTCGCTCCGCATCCATCACAAACGGCAACGGGGCACGCTCCGCCAGCGACGAGAACGAACTACCCGAGCCTATGACCCAATCTTTCATCTCAGTCACCTCCGAACGTCCCATGGGCGCACCACAGCATGGCCTTGGCGGTACCGGCGACGCAACCGCCTCAGACGAGGAAGAAGAAGAGGACCTCCGCAACCCGGACGTGGAAACCACCGTCACACTCGTCGGCAACGTACGCGACAAGCCGGTGCTCATCGTAGACGACATGATCGACAAAGCTGGCTCCTGGATCGCGGCAGCCGAGACCGTCGTCAAGCGCGGCGGCGCGACAAAAGTCTACTGCATGGCTACGCACGGACTCTTCGGCGGCGACAGTCTCCAGGAGCTCGACGCGTGCGAGGAGATCGAGGCGGTGGTCGTGACGGATGCTTTCCCGATCCCTGAGGAGAAGAGGCGAGGAGTGAAGAAGTTGCGTATTCTGGACGTGAGTGGGCTGCTGGCGGAGGCGATTCGCAGGAACTATCACGGCGAGAGCATTACGCAGCTTTATGCGCACTTTGACTGAGGTGAGCAAGCGGCGGTCAGGTGAGATGGTGGGTATGTTTTGACGGGTGAGATACCCGGGCGTTCTGGGTAAGAGGAGTTGTGGGCGGCATACATCTGCAATCATACGGCCAGAGCTCAATCGGCGTGGATCTGTCTTGTTTGGCTGCCGGACAGCTGATCCTTATACCCAAACAACAGCACGAATAACAACGAACACTGACAAACATCACCAAAACCCCACCCTTTCTCCTTTTCACTTTTCCTTTCCATTCTCTACATCAGAAACATGAATTACACCCCAGCGCAGCGTCTCCTCCATCGAGGTGACGCAAAAGCTTTCCCTACCACTATGGGACTGCTTTCGTTCTATGCGCTGGGGAGAGAAAGCCTCTTTTGGGGGGCTTGGGAACAGAAGGTACGCCCGCCTGGCCGAGAGGCTGCTGCTCTTTGTTGGGCGGTGTGGAGGGTGTACAAGAGAACGTCTCAGACATCTATACTATGTTCAAAGTCCTGTGGTGAAGCGAAGGGGAGTATGAGACGAGGGTGTGAGGGTGAGAAGGGGCCTTTCATGGTGTGAGTGCTAAGCTATGTGGTGCGGTGAGTGGCCGTTGTGGCACGCGGAAGCTAGAATGGCCGTTGACTAGTGGATCTCGTGGGTCGTGGGAGCAAGGAAGGCCATCGGTCGCTGAATCTGCTCGTCAGTGTTATTTGGCAAATGCTAGGTAAGAAATGACGTGCCGCTTCTCTTCTCCGCTACAATGCATTTTCGTCCATTCTCTCTGCTTTGCTTTGCGACCCGCGTTGTGGTTTCTTTCGCCGAGAAGCGTCACCATCGGTCCTAGCAGCAAGAAGCAAACATGCGGTACACTTGTTGTGCACATAACGGTCCTGCGACAAGATGGAGGTCATGCGGTCTCTCTGCCGACCCACTCCCCACCAGGATGTATGCAAGTTTCCATAATCCGATTCTTGAAGAACTTTGTCGCCATGAAGGTCCAGTCGAAGGACAAAGCACCAGCGTCCTCTGCCTCGTGAGGTTGCATTTTCAGCCAGGCAAGTCGCATCTTTACATGGAGTCCTGTCCACAATAATCCTATCTTCGCGATCTTATCGCCCTCGACTACTGGTGGACGGTGGGTCTCATTCCAACGCTTCAACAAGGGCCTTCGGGTGTGTCCAGACTCGTTGCCGGGGAAGATGAACTTTGCTCTGCATGGATCTGCCGGATTTTGAATGCTGCTTGGATGCCCAGTGATGCGCCATACTGGCCATGGGCTGCCGCTTGGCAGGAAGTCAACGTCCGACACCATCCCTTGGATCATGACGGTGCAGTGTGGAGGCACTTCCGTGCGAAAACTCTCCTCCGCGCACGCTTTGAGTTGGCGGTTGACTTTTCGCAGGGATTGCCAGAGGTTGGCGGGCTCGCAGTAGGACGCTATCTCCAGCCAGATTTCGTTGGGCAGGTAGTTCGTAGAGGGAGTCGGTAGCAGCCTGAGGTAGTCGCGCAGCGATGTCCACACCAGGGGGTGGTCGAGCTTCATGGTGTGGCGTTTTCTGGGCGCGTCCGTATGGAGGCGGTCTCTCCGTGTCATTGTAAAGCGTCGTGTGAGTTTGGCAGTTGCTGTCGCGTCACCTCCATCCGGTCTGACACAGGAGAGAAGTTGGTCGATGTGATGTTTGAAAGACAGAAGGATTTTCTTCGTGAGACTTCACTTCACCGTTCACATGTCAAGTGGCTCCACTTTGGCCAGACTCGGAAGGAGCCACCGTCGTGCTTTCCATTCTTCTGTCGTCAAGTATGACATCTTCTCCTACGCTCAAATTTATATCTCTTGAGATGTCACATCAGTGAGTACCTCCCAACAGCGCTTTGCGACTGAGAACGATCTATCAATCTGCATGCTGCAGAGCATAAGTCCACCCGTACTCACTCCAGACGGTGGTGAATGGCTGCGGTCGTAAGGTCTCTTGCGCTCCTCTTATCCACAGAGCCCGGTCATTGTGGCCTTCCAGTCGAACGAGAATCGGACTACGCCATCATCACCATCGTCAGCACAGCCTTCAAGCAGCGACCCCTTCAAGCCAACACGACTACTCCATTCTCCAAGCACGAGTTTCGACTCCGGTCGATCCACAGTGACCAGGCTGTCAGCGTCGAAATCGCAGGAAAAGGTGTCAACCATCTCAAGTCCTGGCCAACAAGCCTTTGCCCCTTGCGTTTGCTGCCATCGCTTCCACGTTTCCATCAGGTCTCTGTTGGAAGAGCGCCATGCTCCATCTCTCAAGGAGAAGGCTGCCCTTCGAGCAGTATCCGATGTGGTGGAACCTCTCCGGTTCGCAAGAGTAGAAGCTTTGTGATCGTAAGTCCCAATGAGCATATGTGGCCACATGGGCAATGTGAGAACGGCGTGACCGAGGGAACGTCTTCGAAGACTTGCTCGGCACATAGACGGGGTTGGCGATTGGCCTTTCGAACGTTTCGCCAGAGGTCGCACGGCTCGCAGGAGGAGAGTATCTCGGACCAGATTTCGTTCGGCAGGTACACCATCGTCAGGAGGTATATGCAACTTGACTGCCTTGATCTGATGACGCGCTCCAAGCACGACTGATTAAGAGAACTCCAGTTTACTTGTGGCACTTTCCGAATGGCTTGTACTTTGATGAAAACTCCTGGCGTTGTACACGTAGTCAAGCTGCGCCGCGTTCGAGCTCCATAGAGCTGATGAGCTCAATTCAGCGGCTCGGAACTCCTTCTCACTGTAAGGTATGGACTCAGACCCCGGCCACCAATGGACACATCGCTCATCTGGTCCAAAGACGAGACTTGCTCCTGTGCGACAGCCGCCTAGGCCGGCCACCTTGCTGTTTTTATCGATCACCGGTCATCAACACCGTTATGGACGCATTTCCGCCGGTCGGGGGGCTCTCGAGACTAGTATAGTTCTATGGCGTCCGGGACATGCAAGGCAACACGTCTTACAGATCTCCCGTTGGAAGAGTCCTGACACAGCGGCCTTCCAGTCGAAAGAGAACCGACATTCCACAGGGTCGTCGTCGCAGCCTTCGATAAACATTGCCTTCGGATGAACCGCACTGGTGATCCATCCAGCGACTGAGAGACGCCACCATTGTTCACCAAGTGTGGTGCCCCCTCCAGCGACGTTGAGGAGCCACCATTGTTCAACCTTATCTATATTCGAGGGAATAATATTAAGTGCTGTGCACCCAAGCTCTGTCCCATGGTGATCCAGTTGTCGTTCAGGTGGACTGCCACGCTCAAGTGACTGCAGCCTGATCCATTCCCTCCACGTTGCGAAGAACCGCTCGCGAGTAGGAAAGGACACCTTCTTGTTCAAAGAGAAAATCGGTCTGCCAGAATCCAGTGTGCTCGTGAGATCGAAGTTGAACCAGGGGCATGTGCGTTCTATACTCGAAAAGCCGTTGGTGCCCATGACTGGGATCGTGAGCAACTCGAGGGTGGCGCCAGGAAGATAAATCTCCTCGAAGAATTGCTCGGCGCATTGCTGGAGCTGGCGGTTGGTCTTCCGCATCTGCCAGAGGTCTTCCGTTTGGCAGTAGGAGGCGATCTCAAGCCATATCTCGTTTGGCAGATGCTTCATGGTCGCAAGGTCGTCTTTGGACAGTCCAAAAGCGTCGAGGTATTGCACACAGCGAGAGAGGTTCCCCCGTCTCCCAGGGACAGTCGTGTGAGGGTGCTGAGCGATGTGTGAAGCTGTCGTGTGCCGGTGGAGGGCTGGAGAAGGTCAACGTAGCTGAGTATGTCACAGTGCCGACAACACATCTCGCACGTCGAAGCCAACAAGAAGTTGCTTATAACGATAGATAAGTGGAAAGGAACTGGAGCGGGCTGTCACATCTCACAGCTCTTTCGGCAACAGCCGATGATGCCACCTTGCCACATTAGGAAGGCACGAACTTCCCCAAACTCTCGAACATCCGTCTTCTTCACCCTAAGAAAGCATGGTGAGTCTGTCTCCTGTTGAAAGAGTGTGAGCTGGACGTTAACCATATGTAGAGTGCAGTATACAACTCAGCCCTCCGGCAAAGCAAAGCCATCCGCGCCGACCTTGATGCCTTCTCCTCCTCCCTGTCCTCGACAGCAGCCTTACAGGGCCAGCTCACCACTTCGATAACTTCATTCTCGCGAACGCTAGACGACTACCAGCGCTCAGTCGACAATGAGCTCGTCCCAGAAAAGGCAGAAAAGGGCAAGGAGCGCATCGCGAACTTCCGCACCGAACTCCTCGACTTCCGTTCACGATTCGCAGAGCTGAAGCACGAACGAGAACAAGCACAACTATCAAACAACAGGACAGAGCTGCTAGGACGAAGACCGCACACCAGCCAAACACCCGAGAACCCCTACTCCGATGCTGCCATTACCAGCGGCGCCGGGCGAGGCGAGAACGTGAACCCCCTCTTCCGCACCTCAAACCCCAACTTCCAGCCTGGCAGCGCAGGACCAAACGCATACAGTGCGTATCAGTCATCCTACGGACTCGGAGCGGACGAGGCGAGGGAGAACCATGCGCTGCGGGAGAACTCGTTCTTCACCTCCGCCAACTCGACACTAGACGAGTACATCTCGCGCGGACAGGCTGTGCTGGGAGATCTTGGAGATCAGAGGGAGATGCTGAAGAACACGCAGAGGAAGCTGTATAACATTGGCACGACTCTGGGGATTAGCGGGGACACTATTCGCATGGTAGAGAGGAGGGCGAAGCAAGATAAATGGATTTTCTGGGGAGGGGTGGTGGTGTTTGTTGTTTTTGTGTATTTGGTGTTGCACTACCTGAGGTCATGAGGAGGATGGCCTGAGTGGAGTTTGGGTGAGAGTGATGACCTTAGCATGGCGTTGGTTGGTATGGATTTGCTTACTCGCAAGGTAAAAGAGCAAGATGTAAAATTCACGCTTTCATCCTGCGACATGGTACGCCTGCACACTCATCAGGCTCTCACATCCAACGAAAGACGAAAATTAGTAGCCATGGCCTCCCAGGCACCATGCCTCAGTACGTGCCTCTGCCTTGCACTTTGCAAAGACCGCTCGCTTACTTTCAACAGTTGCTCACATTATCACCGAGCTCGCCATGACGGCTCTGTCCCTTTGGCTCTCATGGCTGCGGTCTCCGCGCGAGGCCGGGGCAGAAAGAGACATTGAAAACATGTTGGCGGACGTCCGCCTGGAGACTCAGACGAAACGTGAGAAGCTGCGAGACATTTCTGCAGACCTGCCGGTTGCGAGACGCCGTGGAGGTGGACTGTGAGACGGTGGATGAGTGAGTATCTTAAAGTCAGCGCAAAGCGAAGTCTGCCCTCTCCGCTGCAACAATCTTTCCCTGTCGAGTAATGATAGTACCGCTGCTTCGAAGCCTTCTTAATTGTCGAGCGTGAACCCCAAGATCACTCGCCATACCGTATCCGTAGAATGTTTCGCAAGGCGAACAGGAATCAGGTCGTTCTTGCGTTTGTGCAATTCAAGACGTCCAACGTTGATTTCAATCAACACAACCTGAATATTTCAATGTGCTCGGCCTTGCTGGTTGATCTCGTGCCGAACATCCGGTGTTCAGCCTTGCTGCGGGGCACAAACACATGTGAATGGCCGGGATGATGTCGTTAGAGTTCTTGATTTTGCTGCACTAGTAGACATGGGTACGCAATGCCCGATAGCGCCTTCCCACCAAATGCCGGCCGGGACCACTTTCTCGATCATACCGTGGTCTGACTTTACTCGTTCTTGTTCACTCGGCTCCCGGTCTTCATCATTCGGTCCGTCAACATAGCACATAGAGGCCATGGTGGGGAAAACTCATCACGTCAAGGCCGAAGACCAACAAGCCTCTAGTTCGGAGCATAGGAGCGCGACCGACAGAGCCAGACACCCCTTCACTGGTCTCCGGGAGAGACTGAAGGAGACTCACTTGTACGATGTGAAGGTCGGCGCAATCCATCTCAAGCACCGCCTGGGCAAATTCGAGAACTTGGTCAACACCAACCACCGCCACGACGAGGAACACGAGCAGAAGACCGACAAGAAGCGCACGCTTATCGCCGAGGGCCATCGTTTCCAATCATTCGCGCCAGAGCGGGACGGCAACCGGATCAAGTGGTATGTCGACGGACGGGATTACTTCCATGCTGTGTCGGTAGCACTCGAACGAGCGCAAGAAACGCTGTATATTGCCGACTGGTGGATCAGCCCGGAATTGTTCCTAAGAAGACCGCCTCATCTCAACCAGCAATGGCGGCTCGATTACACGTTGAAACGCGCTGCGGAGCGTGGCGTGAAGATCTATGTCATCGTCTACAAAGAAGTGAAGCAGGCACTAACGTGCAACTCTCAACATACGAAGCATGCTCTGGAAGCCCTCTGTCCGGAAGGAAGCCCTGGGTTCGGCAACATCACGGTCATGCGGCATCCTGACCACAACTTCCTCGAGAACGCCGGTGACATGACGTTCTACTGGGCCCATCACGAGAAGTTCATTGTAGCCGACTACAATTTAGCATTCATTGGTGGTCTCGATCTCTGCTTCGGTCGTTGGGATAGCAAATGTCATCCGCTGGCTGATGCGCATCCTGGTGGCGTGCAAAACGAGGTCTTCCCGGGACAAGACTTCAACAACAACCGTATCATGGACTTTCAAACGGTCGAAGACTGGAAGACCAACGAGCTGTCGAAGACCGAATACGGTCGTATGCCGTGGCATGACGTCTCTATGGGCGTGATCGGACCTTGTATTTATGACATTGCAGAGCACTTCGTGCTTCGCTGGAACTTCTGCAAGCGCGACAAGTACAAGCGGGATGAGCAGTACGACTGGCTTACGATGACTGGAAGGACAGGCGAGCAAGAAGACATCATCGGTGTTCAGCGCCCGAAACATCCTGTTGGAGATTACATCAATCACCCGTTGTCATCTCTGGAACACAAGCGTGGAAACCCGTTTCAAGCACGTCTGTATCACCAAGAAGGCCAGGCAGATGCTGGAGCGGAGGATGACGAGTTCCACGATGCTCCAGAGGAGCTGGACGAGCACGGGTACACCGAAGACCAACATCGGCAGCCGGCTGCATGGTTCGAAGATCACCTGCATCGACCAAAGCCCAAGACGGATAAAACTCTGCCGCAATTGCCTGAAGAAGCCAAAAAGCGGGATCCAGAACACAGTGAGCCGCAGAAGCAAGAGAATCCTCACATGACTGGCAACGATCCTGCCAATGAGGGGACCGTGACTGCATCCGGCGGTGTGCACGAGAAGTCCAAAGCCCATTACTCTACTGTGGCAGGTTTCGGCGTCTCTGGTGGTCACGGTACCGTTCGTGGCCAAGTGGTTCGCAGTTCGGCAGATTGGTCCAGCGGTATCCTCACGGAGTCAAGCATACAGAATGCCTACTGTGAGGTCATCCGCGGAGCACAGCATTACGTCTACATCGAAAACCAGTTCTTCATCACAGCAACGGGAGACAAGCAATCGCCGATCCACAATCTCATCGGCAAGGCAATCGTCGACGCATGTGTCAATGCCGACACACAAGGCCGTAAGTTCCGGGTGATCATCGTCATCCCGAGCATACCAGGTTTCGCAGGCGATCTACGAAGCGACGCTGCCGCAGGCACGCGCGCGATCATGGACTACCAGTACAAGTCGATCTGCCGTGGAGAGCATTCAATTTTCGGCAGAATCAAAGCCGCTGGTGTAGACCCGGCCAAGTATGTCTTCATCTTCAACTTGAGATCGTACGACCGGATCAACAACACCCCTGCGCTGAAGAAGCAGGCGGAGCAGTCCGGGGTCTCGTACCAGGAGTTACAGCGAGCGCAGGCGGAGGAGATCATGGGTGAGAACATTCACGGTGCGCCTGGGGAGAAACCGAAAAAGTCGAAGCAGAAGGGCGAGGGCAGGAAATCAGCCCGCAAAGGGCAGCCAACCACCCCGAAGTCGCTCATGAAGCGCACCGCTGAGAAAGAAGCATATGAAAGCTCAGAGTCCGAGTCAGATCTGGACGACGAGCCGACGGCAGACCAAGGCGTAAGAAATGCTGCGGAGCGGAAACGACGGTTCGAAGAACGTGCGCGGGACGTTGGACTTGCGAATGAGGGCAAGGATGATCATGTCAAGAGCGTAGACACTATTGCGAAGGATGCTCTTCTGTCAGGCACCAAGCCATCGGAAGAGAACTATGCTGGTCGCGCTCCTGGCGTAGGCGAGGGCGATGAAGAAGAGCTGAGGGAGCAGGAGAAGGAGAACTTCATCCAGGAAGAGCTGTATATTCACGCCAAGGTACGGCTGATTGTCCCGAGTCTGTCCGCCGCCGTCACTGACTATGTTGCTTTAGCTTTTAATCGTCGACGACCGCACGGTCATCTGCGGCTCCAGCAACATCAACGACCGCTCCCAACTCGGCTTCCACGACTCCGAACTCTCCATCGTCATGGAAGACGCGCACAGCCTCCCCACCAAAATGGACGGCAAAGACTACCTCGCCGGCCACCACGCCGCCTCCCTCCGCCGCATTCTCTGGCGCGAACACCTCGGTCTCATCCCCCCGCAAGAGATCGACGCCGAGCACGACGTCAACGCCCAACCGCCCGACGACGGCGACAACGACTTCTTCGCCAACGACGAGCACGACGCCTTTGTGGCGGATCCCATGAACGACGAGCTGTGGAAAATGTGGACCGAGCGCGCCACCACCAATACCGGTGTCTTTCGCCATCTGTTCCACGCGGATCCGGACGACAACATCAAGACGTATGAAGACTACGACCACTTCATGCCGCAGAAGAGCCACAAGGCCGGGCATCTGTTCGATCCGTACCAGCCGGTGGATAATGTGCGGAAGGAGCTGGATCGGATCAAGGGGCATTTGGTGTGGATGCCGTTGAAGTTTCTGCAGGATGCGGAGATGGCGGAGCGGGGGTTCCAGGTGAATAGTTGGACGGAGAGTGTTTATACCTGAAGAGTGGTGTGGGTTTCCGCTGCGTGTGGTGTTTTCCTTGTGGTTTGGTTGTGGTGGATGATACCATGGGACTGATTGGGTATGTTTATATCGATGTCGAGACGAATGATAATGATTTCAACATAGTCACGCCAGAAGAAACGATTCGAGTCATCAGGAGGGACGAGATCCAGCTGTCCGCAGTCTCACAGGAGTCCGAGGCGTCGGTACAGTAAGTGGTTCTGGTCGCGTGTTTCGTCCATCCTTGAAATCGATTGAAGAAGAGGTCATCGTCTTGCCTCACGGACCTGGAGTGCTTGCTTTGCCGGCTCCCACGCTCCCAGGCTCGTGCTCGCCGTCCAGCGTCAGGATATGTGCCAGCAGGCTTGGTTGCTCGTTCAGAGAGCGTACCACCAGTCCGAACGCAGCTTCTCTGGGGAACGAATGACGGCCTGCTAGTTCGACGTCCGGGAGGAGATACTTCGTTGTTGTACTTATTGGCATGCTCAGTGCTGAGACGCCGTAGAAGGCAGCTAGGATGAATAGGTAGATCCACATTGTCGATGTTATCTGGCCTGTCTGGAATGATGGCGTCGGAATATTGGAGTAACGAGAAGGGATGAAGAGGTGGGACATATGCTTACCTATATGTGCTTTCTGGACAACTCCCTTGCTGGAGTGGGAGTGTGGTCGAGGCTGAATAAGCTTGGACGTACGATAATAGGGTCGTCCGTTTGCGGAAGGCTGGGCTCATGTAGTACACACGGACTTGGAAGTCCGTCATGATGCTGTAGGAGGTGAAGAAGCTGCGAGGACGTTTGATGCCTCGTTGCTCGCTGTGATATGCAGGCTTGCTGAGACCAGGATTTCTTGCCACGCTACGATGCCGATGCTATGGTGAGCCACTGTGAGATCTATCCCAGAAATGTGGGTGTTGTGCTCGCCAGGATCCGCAGGTGGTATGGTGGCTTTTCAGGGGTTCGTATTTCACCCGTCGGTGCATTCTCGTGAGCAGTTTCGGACGGGATCGGGTCAAGCTGGAGCGCCATTGGCTCTGCTATACCCATATGAGCAGACTCTCTGAACTGTCTCAGCCGAGTGACTTCGGTGGCCTGATATGCAGACATTATATACGTCTGGAGATAATTCAGCAACGTCTTTCAGCCCTCATCAGGGAATAACAACCCCAGATTTGCTTGACTCATGCCGAGATCGGGCCTCGATCAACACCAAAGGCCAGACCACAACCTCCAACAACCACAACAACACTCCCAAACAAGCGCCTATGTAGACCGCAACCATGGGCGTCTTCTACGAAACCATCCCAGAGTCGATGATCGAATGGATCCGGAAGCAGCACGTCTTCTGGGTCGCAACTGCTCCGCTCTCTGCATCAGGCCATGTCAATGTATCGCCGAAAGGTGGGCAGTACTTTGGTGTGCTTGACGAGAAGACTTTCTGGTATCATGACTTGAGCGGAAGTGGCAATGAGACGATCTCGCACATCTACGAGAACGGGAGGATAACGATCCAGCTTTGCGCTTTCGAGGGTGGACCGAAGATTGTGCGGCTTTGGGGTAAAGGTATGTCATGAACCCAGCCCTACTGTGGTATTGGGAGGGTAGCTCACTGACTGTTGCGGTCAGGACAGGTGCTTGAGAATGGCACGAAGGACTTCTCCGACTTCGTCTCAAAGAACTCTGTTGAGCTTCTACCAGGAACAAGAAGCATCATCATCGTCGACATCCACCAAGTCGGCAGCTCTTGTGGCTTCTCGGTTCCGTTCTACGACTTCAAAGCGTACAGACCGGTACTCAACGACCACTTTGCCAAGAAGGAGAAGAGGTTCAAGGAGGGGAAGGCGGACGAAAGTATGGACCAGTAAGTCGCCGTTCTTCTTCCTGTTTGCGAGCCATTCCGGCGACTGACGCGGTATGCAGCTACTGGGCATACAAAAGCTCATGGAGCATGGACGGTCTTCCCGGCATGAAGCGTGGTCTCAGCGCGGGGAAGAAGCACAAGGTGGAGCCTCTCAAGAAGATGGTCGGGCCGTTGGCGCCTACACGCTATCATGCTGGTCTAGGCTTCAGCCTGTTGCAGACGTTGTTGATTGCCTTGTTGGCGTTCATGGTCGGTCTGGCGGTGGCGTGGTATGGCGGACCCATGATCGAGGACGTCCTCAGCGGCGTCAAGTCGAGCCCGTTGGACCTGCACGTGCCGAATTGGACGCAAGCGGCGTCTCGAGATCGATTGAGTGGGCTGTGGGCAACGCATTGATTTGGAAAAGCCAGTAATGCAGGTACAAGGGTAATGATTCGACATTGAGTGCAGACTTGTCCCACTTCTACGTACAACTTGACTGACACCAACACATCTCGCTACTGCTCAATAAACTCATCCGTAGCCAACGGAGCCGAAATCTTCAAATTCGCCATATCCTTCAAGCAATGGAACGCAGCCTCATACGAATCCACAGACCCATGGAATCCCATCTTCCTAGCCTTCCGCATACTCAACGACAACGGCCAGCACGAAATAACCGCCGAATCCGTCAGACCAAAAATCTGCACCCGGTCCTTGACGGGATCAACCTTCAAGCCGTGTTTCTCCTTGACCTCATTCCACGCCTTCTCCACCTCCGGCCGCTCCATCCACTCCATCAGACTGAAACTCGACCTTACAACACCCTGCGGCCCATAACCCCTCGGCGTCTCCGTCGCCCGCGAAATCGTCTCCCGATACTTGCTCTGGTCCGTCTCCGGCGGCGTCCACTCCACCCCATACCAACTCGCCAGATGCGCCCAGAACCTGCCCCAAGTAAACGGCAGTCCATCCTGTGCATTGAACGCCTCGTTCTCCGCGTCTGGGGTCAGCACCGCCCATTCTTCAAGATACGCATTCACCATCGCCGTGGACTGGCACATCTCCCTATCCCACGCCGAGTAATCGCCCGGAAACGCTAACGGTTGCTTCAGATGCGCCTGCACCGACGCATAGATCGCGAACCCAACCATATGGTTGAGTAAATTATCCCGCACGGCGCCGATGATGTAGCTCGGCCGCACGACGTTCCAGCCGACGCCGTTTTCGGCACAGTACTTGGAGAGGATGTCCTCTTGGGGGTAGTAGAAGTTGTTCTCCAGTAGGACTCGCGGGTCCGTTTCGAAGGAGGGACAGGTGGCGGGGCCGATGTGGAAGCCGTAGTGCTTTGCGCCGGTTTGGAGGAGGAAGCGTTTGGGGGTGAGGTTGGCGAGTTGGAGGCCGCGGGTGAAGTTGGAGATGAGGTCGGCTGGGGAGGTCGTTAGTGGAGTGCTAGGAGTGGGAGTGAATAGGAGGAACGTACAGTTCACTTTGGCCAGGGCGTCTGCGTCGGACCACATGCCCAGCAGTCCGCCTTTCTGCTGCGGTTGCGTGTACGAGAAGAAGAAGACGTGGTCGCTGTCCCATCGATCAGCATCAACATCACAACCGCCAGGTCCGCCTTGAGAAAAGGAAGAGATGAAAGACTCACACCTTCCCAATCTTCCCCTTCATCATCTCAGCCAACTGCTCCGGCGACCCCAGAAAGTCCGCCTCAACATGCTCAACGCGCTTCGCCCCGTCTCCCAGCCCATCGAAGAAGTAGTCTGGTGGCGGTCGGCGGGAGAGACAGTAGATTTTGCTCCAGCGTTGCGGCGCGGCGGCTAGGACTTTGACCATGTGGTAGCCGGAGATTCCTGATCGATTGTTAGGTTGTGCGGGTGATATAGATATGGAAAGGATCTGTTCGTTGGCTTACCGTTGGCGCCAGTGACGACAGCAGTGAGGTTCTTGAATTGTTCTTCGTCGGGGTATGTGGGCATGCCATGGTATATGCCTTCGTTCTTGACGACTTGGGATGGTGGAGGCATTGTAGTTCTATATTTGCAACGATCAACCGCTGTCGTCGATCAGAATATAGAGGTGAAGTCGACAGACGGACGGTGCATGCAGCAGAACTGTAAGGTATGCATATGGAGACCCCGCAGACAAGGCGAGGAGTACCCAAGGTGAGGGGACGGATGGAGTAGCTCGACGAACAGATGGGAATAAGAGCTCGTTTGTCGGTACGGACATTATTTCCCGAGGTCCTCGCTGCAGTAGGGAAACCAGGAGACGAAAATGCTGATCGAGAAGTAATGGTATGCAAATACATGTAGTCACTGGGACAGCTTCTTAAGCCAGATCGAAACTATCATACCCCCTCGCGGCAACATCACGACACCGCTGTCGAAACTCCACCGCGCTCCCGTTATACCTCGCCACAATCCTCTTCTGTCTGCCCGCAACGTTCTTATTCACGCCCGTCATCCAGGAGTCCTGCCGCACACACCGTCAATATCCACATTCCCAGAGTTCATCAGGGCAGGATGGAAGGACTTACGATCTCATTACTCAAGAACCCCTCGGAAATCTGATGCACATGCTCCGTCCACTGCTTCACCCCCTCCTCTCTCGCTTCGATGCGCGTGAGGCCATTTTTGTGCAGGTGCTCGATGCAGTTGGAGACCCAGTCGACGGCGAATTCGATGCTGCGCGGGATGTTGCCGTAGGCTTGGTGGGGGCCCATGATCTGATACAACCAGATATTAGCAGTAAGCCCCAGCGAATTGTCGGCTGTTGTGGAGGGGAGATGGCTCACCATGAACATATTCGGCATAGCCTTCAACGTCATGCCCAAATACGTCTTCGGCCCTTCCTCCCACTTCTCCTTCAATTTCTTCCCATCCGTCCCGATGAAATCAATCGCGTCGAATGCTCCAGTCACGGCATCGAAGCCAGTCGCATAGATCAACATATCAAAGTCGTATTCCTCTCCTTCTACCCCTTCTTTCACGCTCTTAGTCCTTAGTCCCTTCTCAGTAATCCGCTCGATGGGCGTGCTATGCAAATCCACCAGTCTGACATTCGGTCGATTATACGCCTCGTAGTAAGATGTCTCCATCGGCACTCTCCTAGTCCCGAAACCATGGTTTTTGGGGATCAGGAGCTCCGCTGTCTCGGGATCTTTGACTCGCTGCCGGATCTTCTTGGCGACAAACTCGCTGACCAGGTCATTCGCCTTGTGGTCGACAAGGATCTCTTTGTAATTGCTCAACCACATTCCAAACCCCGGCTGCGCATACAAGTGCTCCCACAGCTCTTCTCGCTGCTCTGGGCTAGCTTCCCAGATACTGTCCGGATTTGAGTCATGGATGAAACACATCCGCGTCTTCTGCAGCTTCTCGAACATTTCCGGGTAGCCGGCGCGGATATCTGCCATTTCCTCTGGTGAAATTTTCGCGTTGTGGAGAGGGATGGCCCAGTTAGGTGTTCGTTGGAAGACGGTCAGGTGGCCGACGTTTTTTGCGATTTCGGGGATGGCTTGGATGGCGGTGGCGCCTGTACCGATGATGCCGACACGCTTGCCTTCGAAGCTGACGTGGTCTTTGGGCCAACGAGCGGTGTGGAAGGCTTCGCCTTTGTAGTGGGAGACCCCTGGTACGTTGGGGAGGGTAGGGTTGCTTAGCACACCCATGGCTGTTATGAGGAAGCGGGAGGTGTAGACATTGCCCGATGTATCAGTGACCTCCCACATGCGGCGCTCATCATCAAGGAACTTTGCGGACTGTATGCGGGTGTTGAATTGTATGTCTTCGCGGAGATTGAACTTGTCGCAGATGAAGTTGAGGTACTTTTCCGTCTCGTATTGAGGGGCGAAGTGCTCCGTCCAGTTCCATTCCGCGAGGACTTCGGGTGACCAGGAGAAGCCGTATGAGTAGGACTCTGAATCGAATCTCGCGCCAGGATATCTGTTCCAGTACCACGTCCCTCCGACTGCAGTTCCGGCTTCAATGCATTTGGATTTGAGACCTAACTCTCGCATGCGGTAAAGAGAATAGCAGCCAGAAAGACCAGCGCCGATAACGAGGACATCGTGCTCGGGTTGCTGTGAGTTGCCGATCGAGCCCATGGCGGTGGTATGTCCTCGATGTTCCTGAGACTGATGATGTACAGTGGCAAATTGGCCCTCAGATCCTCAGGCGAGCAGCTGCTGGGGTTCAAAAAGGGTATGCAAGGAAGTACACCCAAGAACAATAAGCCTAGAGGAGTCCTCTTGATGACCGAGATGATAGAAGGAAGAGACGTATGAACTGTACCTACATCATGTATATCCCGATTGCGGAGAAGTTGTGGTGTCAGCCGAGGGGAGCTGCAGAGCTAGGAGGCATGAGTGCTGTTGTGCTGGTATGGCTACTCGCTCATATAACCGTGATCGATGGCCATGCCTTTGCTGGTTGACGGTAGCTTGGCCGTCAGAGTACGTGGCTGTTCGGTATGACTTCGGATGTTTTGGCACGTACATTGCCGTCAATCACATGTTACCGCGGCCTCGTTCACCGGCGATGGTGTGAATCTGCACGGAGTGGGATGGCGTCCCCATGAGTATACCGTACAGACCAAGAAAGACGCTTGTGTGTCCAGGCTGCATGTGCTCATGAGCGGACAACCGTCCCAGAAGTCGTCATTCGAAGGTTGCAGCCACCAAGTGGAGTGGGTGTTGTTAGTTTTGTCCTCGCGTGTCCTGATTCTGTTTGGTGTGGCCCAAGCGCGCGTGACGTCGGCGCACCGCACCTTTCGTTTTCTGCTTCTGTCCTTCCTGCCACCTTGCCCTTCAGCTGAACCACCCTTCCGCCGCCTACTCGTTGCTTCAGACGGAGGACTCCCTATACACCCATACCAGCAGACCTTCTACACACACTCACCTTGATCTGACAACATGGCGCCCACCCAGCCCACCGCCAATGCCCCTCTCGGCGAGCGGTTGATGCACTTGGCCCAGACGTTCGTACACACCCCCTTGTGAGCACGCGACAGCGACACTGACAACCGCAGACTCCAATTCGCATGGTTCGTCGGACATGTGACTCTCCTGTTGACCACCATGCGCTACGGCCTCAGCTATATCACCATGAACTCCGCCAGCCGCTGGGCCCGCTTCAGCTACCGCACCGCCTTTGTCGCGGCTGCTGTGACTTACGGTATCGTGGTATTCAAGGGCTTCCGCGCGCGTCAGAAGGCTGGAAAGGCGCAGGGTAGCCCGTTGGCTATTGCTGGGGACGAGAATGTGCAGTACTTGGGTACGTGTGCACACATTTCCTTCAGAGGTACGCGAGTGCTAATACGAACGCCCAGCCATGGCCCTCGTCTGGCTCATCTCCCGCCAATACCCCCTCGCCCTCCTCCCTTTCACCGTCTACAGCATCTTCCACATCCTCACCTACACCCGTGGCATTCTCCTCCCCACCATCCAGCCACCCCCACCAACCCCCGCCGGCCAGAAGCCCAAAGCCTCCGCCCTCAGCGACACCCTCGGCCGCTTCGTCAAAGACTACTACGACGCCAGCATGAGCATCGTCGCCGGCCTCGAAATCGCCCTCTGGTTCCGCATCCTCGTCTCCGCCATCATGTTCGCCAAGGGCAGCTGGATCCTGCTCGTCATCTACACCGTCTTCCTGCGTGCGCGCATGTCCCAGAGCACGTTTGTGCAGGGAATGCTGAAGCAGATGGGTGCGCGCGGTGATGCGGTTGCGAACCGTCAGGATGTCCCACCTGCGGCGAGGAATGTGTGGGAGCAGGTTAAAGGTGCCGCGGTGATGGCGCATGAGAAGACGGACGTCAATAAGTACGTGCAGGGGCAGCAGGCGGCGCCGCAGAAGAAGGCGTCGTAAGCGTGGTCCAAAAAGCTCTTTCAGGTCAAGAGTCACAGCCGAAGAAGCGACGGACCTCGAGCAATGAGCACACGCACGAGAAGAGGAGATATGAGATCGCGAGACAGACAACGAGAACACAACATATGTTGCGAGCGAAGCGAAGGCGCACTGGCGCGAGACAGGCGGCGAGGGGAGGCTACAGTGTTGATACGTGATTATTCGACCGCAGCGATCGCTGCTGAGGAGCATTTTATGGGAAGTCATGATAGGGTTTTACCTGGAGCATCAAGCGGTTTGTACCTGTGCTTTTGAGACGACGGAAATGGAAATCATTCAATAGACTTTATCACCCTCCCCTTCCTTCTCACTTTTCATGCAGCGTCCTGCTCGTCCAGCCTGGACGCCATGCGGCCAAGAGTCTTGAACCCCGTCAAAGACCATCACTGCCCGCTCACACTTACACCCGTCCGATGTCGGCAGAGTGGGCTGCCTTCGCGGGGCAGCCATTGGGTTGACGTCGGGTCAAACCATTGACCTCGAGACGACTATTCTCAATAGCCGACGTGTAGGTATAAGGTACGTGGTTCCTGCTGCATGGTTCGGTTGATGTTTTCCTATAATTCCACTTCTCCTCCATCCCGTATACAAGCTTAAATCCTATCTCCTTCCCCCATACTCGAGCAGCCCAGACACCCCCTCCCAGCAGATCTTCAAAAAGCATCCAACATGCCAACCAACCCCGACGGCACCGTTCCAGCCAAAGGCGGCCGCCTCCTCATCCTTCCCGGCGACCACATCGGCCCCGAAGTCGTGCACGAAGCCCTAAAAATCCTCGACATCATCGAGCACTCCACGGGAGCGAAATTCACGCGCGACTTCGACCTCTGCGGCGGGTGTTCGCTGGACAAGCACAAGACGTCCGTCACCGAGGAGGTGCTGAAGAAGTGTGAGGAGGTGGATGCGGTGTTTTTTGGCAGCGCGGGGGGCCCGGAGTGGGGGACTGTGCAGCCGAATCCTGAGAGTGGGTTGTTGAGGATTAGGGAGAGGATGCAGGTGAGTTCTTCATCTTTTTCTCCTTGCGGACCTCCTGAAGGGGGTGGTGGAGGGGTGTTAGCTGATGGAGTCGCGGTGCTAGATCTTCGCGAACCTGCGGCCGTGCATGTTCGCTTCCAAAGCCTTGATCTCATACGCTCCCATCCGGCCTGAGATTGTTCAGGGAGTGAACTTCATGTTCGTGCGCGAGAACTGCGGCGGCGCGTACTACGGCAACAAGATCGAAGAGGAGGACTACGGCTGCGATCCATGGCAGTACAGTCGGCACGAAATCGAGCGCGTGGCGCGTGTCGCCGGCGCGTTGGCCATGCAGCATGATCCCCCGCTGCCCGTGTGGAGCGTCGACAAGGCGAACGTTCTGGCGAACTCGAGGGTGTGGCGGAGGATTGTGAAGGAGGTGTTTGATCGGGAGTTTCCGACGGTGAAGCTGCAGAATCAGTTGGCGGATAGTTTGGCTATGTTGTTGATTACGAAGCCGACGGCATTTAATGGGGTGTTGGTGGGGGATAATACTTTTGGCGATATCCTGTCGGATGAGGCGGGCGGTTTGACGGGGTCGTTGGGACTGTTGCCTTCTGCATCTCTGGCTGGACCTCCAGGTCCTGCAGAAGCTGGGGGAACACTTGGACGAAACAGCGTCGGCGGGGTGACTGGTCTCTACGAGCCAGTGCATGGGTCTGCGCCGGACATCAGCGGAAAAGGCCTGGCAAATCCCGTCGGTCAGGTGTTGAGTTTGGCAATGATGTTGAGATATAGCTTCAACATGCACCGGGAAGCAGATATCGTTGAAAAGGCCATCGAGAAAGTGCTGGATTCGAAGGCTGATGGAGGTCTCGAAATCCGAACTGGCGATCTGGGCGGTAAAGCCGGGACGAAGGAGATGAGCGAGGCCATTCAGAATACCGTGCGGGAGATGCTGAAGAGTTAGTAGTTTATACATCATTCTTGTCCGAAGTGCGGACCGGTTCGCATCTCCGCCATCTGAGTGAGCTAGGGGTTCTTGTTCGCTTGCTCCGTGGTTGCATCATTCCGTTTCCATTCGTAGGATCACGATACTGGTTGCCAGACCTTCTAGTCCGTTCGCGCTGACGAGCGTGCATGATTGATTGGATTCGGCCAGTTTCCAGGCGACATTTCCCCAAGGCTGGCTTCCAGTGCCTTTACAGGCAAAAGGTAGCCCTATCTCGACCCGCTGCTGATTGTTCTCGCGTTCCAGATTGGCGATCCCAACCATCATTTCATCCCCATGCATCCAGTACGATACATCCAGTTTCTCATTACCGTCGGTTTTGACCGACTTTGGATTATCATTCAGCAAAAACGTCGATACAGGCGGGAGGGTTGCGACCTTCGCAAAGGCAGCGTGTGCTTCGCTAAGAGCGTCGCTGTTTGGGAACTGCCAGGACATGACCGCCTTCGCTCCATGGCTGAAAGATAGCATGACCATAGCCCAAGTTTCAATCGCGGTAGGATTTCTGCTCCAGTACGGTCCATGGAATGCTTGCAGTACCGACCACAACGGCTTCTGCCATCGCCCAAGCCATTGCTGGTAGTCGCGGTATGAGTCCAGTCTGTTGCTCACGTCCTCGAGCTCGCCTATACAGTTGTCGCAGCCGCAGTCGCCGTAGGTCGTATTGCAAGTTGTGTTCCATGGTCGAGAATACGCAGGGTCAATGCCGACAGGATATGCGTCCTCCATCAGATAGTCTGCACCAGTCGAGTACTCCTTGAAATGATAATTGTCACAATTGAGGACCAAACCAGTAGGATGATAAGGATCCTGCTCCTTCAAGGACTCATAAGTAAGCCGTGTAGAATTCAAGGGGTACTGCCATCCATCCGGCTCGTCGGCGGTGTACCAGCTTAAGAAGGCACTCCTATCCTTGATCAGAGGTATCTGTTCAGCAACAGAGCTGAGATTCAGGTAAGATCCTCGCATGTCGTATTGGTACCATACGTTCGTCTCGTCCAGCCAGTCGAATAAGTAGTCCAGATTACCGTCTGTGAAAGCACATACAGGATTGATCGCGTTGAAGCCAAGGTCCTTATAGGCTGCCACGTTGGAGAGACTGTAGTTGAGATATCCAGAGCAGGACGTATAGAAGCCGAATGGTAGTAGCGGCTTGAAGGCGTAGTCTGTGGCGTCGTTGGCAACCAGCATGCCGCCATAGAGATTGTCGACTTTAACTGTGCTGCCGCTATTCTTCGCCGGCAAGTAGTATAAGTCGGTCGTGGCCGTGAAGTTCTGGTCGCCTCCATGAGGAGACAGGGTGGCCTCCAAAACTGCTTCGTAGGCTTTCAAGCGTGGCGGAAGACTGGCAAAATCGAAGTCGAACAGCTGGGGACCAGCAGAGGTGTTGATGTTGGCGGATATCAATGCATGGTCGTCCACCGTGATCTCGAAAGCCAGATTTACGTCTGTGCTGTCACTCCTTCCGACAATCTCCTCTAGCGGTTCTCCATGCGTGTGAGAAGTGGAAGCCTCTACGATGAATTGGCCCTGCGGCTCGCTGGAGTCGTAGATAGAGTGCCTGGTCTCAAACTGGAGGAACAGCATCGGATGTGCAGATGGCACAGGAGGACTCAGCATACCACCAGGAGGGAAATCTGGAGAGCCTGGCATGTACGGCTTCCCACACCATCTTGGGATGTCTGTATGAGATCCTGGGAGGGCTATGGTAGAGCTTTGGGATGCCGCTGAAGTTGCGGTAGCTAGAGTGAACGGCACTTGTTGCCACATGGCTACATTCCTGGGTGTATGGTCTGTCAATCAGTAACGTACCAACATGGTAAAAGCTTGGGCAGGACAAGAAGATGGCTGGGTTGTTGCTGCCATCTCAATCGACACCTGCTTCTTTGGGCAACGATCGACGTGGTATAGCAGTCGCATGTCGTGCTTCCTCTGCAAGAACATCGTAGAAGCCTCGCATTGGTTTTCTGTTACTCTCTTTCCGTTGGCCTTTCACGCCGGGATTGTGACCTGCTTTGATCTTGGAGTGGAAGATGGTCATGAATATTCGAAGGGCGTCAGTCAACCAGATGGTCCGGGCGTAGCTGAAGATCGACTTCAATTCGAATATTAACGAGCCCACGAATCACCTCCGACTTCCATCTCATCTCCTCCTGTTATGACACTACAACGACCAACAAAGGCCTTCTCACCGCGTATGAACAACTCGATCCAGGGTGTTACTCAAGAAGACCGTCTCCTGTCTTCCCATGGCAGAGTGTTGATCTTCAAGCATGGCCCAAGCCTCCACTGCCGACGATCATGTAATTAAAGGATCGAGCTTTAAATAGTGTTGCTCGCATTCGCAGAAGCTCAAGTAGCACGCGCGCGCATCATTGTTCACTTCTTTCATGGACAGCAGGACAACAGCATAGCAATCAGGATGTCTTCTGCGATGGCCCTCGAGTCGGGCCTGACCCGGATCGTGGCCGACCAGGTCGCCTTGGCTCGGGCAACGACCAACACACAGAAGATGAAGGCCGCCATGAAGAATCAGTGGGACATCCGAAAGAAGCTGAAAGCCTCCAACGAGAATGACCTCGCATTCGAAATGGTTATTCGAGCCCAGATCGATGAAGTCTTCCTGGTTCTTGCCCATCTCGGCGAAGCTATCCTGCCATTAGGCGTGTTCAACAAGGATTACTACCTGCAAACACTGGGAGACGTCCAGGCGGCGATCGCCAACTGCGGACACGAGCTTCTTCCTGTGGCATGGGGTGAACTTGACGCCGAACTCCAGTATGTCTGCACCGCAGGACTGGCGATATGCGCTTGCTACGCCCCCATGCCTCTGTACCGCGGATTCGGTGCTTGTGTTCTCTCTGACTATGACTGGGCATGTCCGGATATTGCGCATCTCGAGGAAAAGGCCAAAAAGAAGGCACTCTGGACCGTCTACGGCATCAAGCAGAGAGTTGATCCTCAGGCGACGCGATCCGTGTTCCTCGCATTCGATCAAGCAATCCAGATGTTGCAAGTCAAGCCCATGGCGTTTCTCACGAAACGACCAGCGATATCCAGCATCGCTGAACACCAACCGCACTTTGGAGCAAAGCCAAAGAAAGAAGTCAGAGAAAAGCTCGACCTGCTGGAAGATTGGGTCAAGCAGCTGGAGCGTCGTGGACATCCCGCCCCCAAAGCGAGCCGACTGACTTCCTGGGGCATTCCTTTTGCGACCTGGACGTCTCCTTACAGTTGTCACATCATGAAGGCAGCCAAGGACTGCGAGACTCTTGCGTACCATCAAATGGACCCCGGCAGACTATTGCACGCCTTCGTCTGTCGAGCAAGCGCAAGTTTGGACGAAGGTCAAGTTCTCGTGCTTCTCCCGGGCAGCCCTGCCGAGTCACTGCTTTCCTGGCTAGAGGGGCTACCAGGCATGTCCCACAAGATAGTCAGATGGGAGGATCTCGACACAATGTACTTCGAGAGCAAGATACCGAAATCCCTGCGGAAGCGCATCGGACAGTATCCACTTCCTACGCAGTATGCGGTTCGCAACACTCAAGCTTCCACGAGACTGTCTCTACCAATGTCATCTTCGCGCTCGCCGCTCGAGCACCCGAACACGGTATCTCCGCCCCCATACTCTATGCAAGTTCGACCTCAAAGATCTCAGATACAGCTCCCAGTCGCGGAACTCGGGCTTGCCGATCCGAGCGAACTGCCCACGAGCCCGGAAGGACCTGCTCCAAGTCTGCCACCACGCCCTGACTCTACACGGAGCGCACCGCCGGCTACTACCGCTGCCCCTAACGGTCTGGGAGTGTCTGCTGGGACCAAGTCAATACATACGCTCCGGCGAAAGCCTCCCGCGAGTGCGACAGCACCAACTCCAGTCGTGGCCACGGCAGCAGTTGCGGTAGGTACGCCTGCTGTCAAAAATGCACCAGCACAGGAGCTCGACTCTGTGCCCAAGCCCGCAGAAATGCCGGTAGACGCTGCTACCGCTCCGTCGGTCGAGATGCCGGCACTTACAGCCGTAGAGCTTCCAACAGACTACCACATTGATGCACCGGCGCCACTGAGGCCGAGCAAGAGCTATCAAAGCATGCGGAACTCATCCGTCCCGTCTGTAAACATCGTCGCTCCAACAGTAACCGAGGAGCCAAAAAGTGTTGCCAATACTCTGCAGCCGCCGCAATCACCCTATGTAAACCCGCAACCGCAACCCGCTGGCACCAAGAACGACAGTCATGGTTCACCTCTCAGCCCTGAAGCGAGTTCACAAGATACCGGCAGCTCTGACCACTACCTTGCTCTTCTGACCAAGGTCGCGAGTGGCGAGATCAGCCCACAGGCGCTGAGCGAGATGCTATCGAAGGGCAATGGCGCTGCTGGTCAAAGTAAGGCGCAAGCAACAAACGAATATACAGCGCAGCCTCCGACTTCTACGACAACACCCGAGCGCAGCCTGCCATATCCGCTCAAGGAAGAAGAGCGCTCACTGCCGTACCCATTGAGCCCTACAGATGGTCCCGCGTTCCGGAACGAGGATGAAACCCGAGCCGAAGCAGAGATTCCAGCAGCACTACGCCCCGGAAATTCTTGAACAACGAGCATGCCGTCCGCTACCCTAAATCTCGGTGAACATCTTCGCACTGGGCAAGCTATACCCAGTCACCGCAGGAAACTCGCTCCAATCCGCCTCGAACAAAATCGCGCTCTGGCAAGCACTCCCCAACCCTGTGTTGTTCAACCATGCCGGCTCCCAGTAATTGATGCCCTGTCCCAACCCATTCGGAACCCTCTTCAACACCTTCGCAATGTCCTTCACCCACTCGATCTGCCCCTTCGCAGAAACAGGAACACTCGGCTCGCTCAACTCAGGCGCATCAAGTCCAGAACACTTATTTGGCCAATCCGTCTCGACGACGTGGATCGGCTTGTTGTACTTTTTCGCCACCGCGTTCAAGGAGTTCTGCAGATTCTCCAGCGTAGCGTTCGTGCCGTAGAACGGATACATGCTGAAGCCGAAAATGTCCCACTCGCTTTCCGACACGCCCGCGGCCGTCAGCGCGCCGAACCAATTCTCCTGCAGCTCGAGGTCCCAACCGTTGTCAATATGGATCATCACTTGTGGTTTCTGGACGCCAACAGCGACAGCGTCGTCGACGCCTTTCCGAGCGGCAGTGTAGAGGATGGCGAAGTTGCTGAAGTTGGCTACGCGCTGGTCTTCGTTCTCGATGAAGGGGTAGACGCGACCCAGAGGCCAGAGCATGCCGTCGCGCAACTCGTTGCCGAGGGAGACGAGCGAGAGCTCGACGCCTGCGTCGGAGAAAGACTGCAGTGTGCGGGAGACGTAGTTGCGGAGGGTGTGCGCGAGCGGCTTCAAGGTCGTGGGCCAGGCTGCGGGTTGGTATTGCTTTTGGGGGTCGGCCCAGTCTGATGATGGTGTTAGCATGGAAGTGTCAGAGGGAGAAAGGGATTGGACGTACAGTCGCTGAAATGGTAGTCCAAGTAGATATGATACCCCTGCTTGTAGAAACGCTTTGCCAATGCTTTGACGTATTTGAGGTTGTACGTTTCGTAGTCTGCCATCGATCAGTCAGTCGCTTCCTCGTCTTGCAAGAACGTTTGTACTCACATCCGCCATCGTACGGAACAGTCGGATGCACCCACAACCGAAGACGAACAGTGTTCATCCCCTCCAAGATGGCTTCGACGGGTCTGGTGGCATTGTTCTGCGAAGTGTCCTTGTAGATCGCACCGCCATCTTCCAGGATCTTGAGCGAAGACAGATCGAAGCCTTTGTAAAATTCTACATCGCCTGGGTATGATGGCGGTCCTTTTGCAAGGACTGTGGCGAGGAAGGAGGACCAGAGGGCGAGTTTCATGGTGCTGAACATGGTTGCTGTCTGTCAATGGATGCGGCACCAAACGATGTACTTGGGAAGACTGCTATTTCATCTCGCCACCACAAGACACAATATATAACATTCATCACTCCTCGACAAGCCTTCGGCTCATTTACAAACGGAGTTGATGGCCATGAGACTGAAAGCTCGGTTCCACCAATTAAACAATGTTGTTGCAGATATAGCCGGTGAAGAGGAGATGTATTGACTCCTCCACATGCCGGTGCCTTCAACGACGTCTTGAATTGTCATGTTTGGAGTCCAGGCATTTGTATGCCTATACACTCCCGGTCACGATGTCGAGGACATCAAGGCGGCGGTTGAAAGCATAGAATATGATCAGCTCTGAGTGAATTTGCTCGACCCTCGTCGCGCGCATGTCGACCTCATTAATCCTCAGTCCAGGCATTATAGACCAAGACACCCTCATACCTTGACCTACCCAAACCCTGGTTCAATGTCTGATCTGCTGGACGTGAATCGGCTCAACGTGAGAGGCAACACTCGAAAAGGCGGCAAGAGGGCCGCATGGTCGGAACAGTACGTCTTCTCTTACACTAACAAATTCTCGTAGGGCCTCGAAAGAGCCCGTGGGATCGGATACGAGACATTCATCGGTGCAGAGCCTCGCAGCCGTTGACCTGCTGTACACTGTCTTGGATGAATGTCCTGCCTTGACTTCTTTCAAGCCATTCACCAAGTAACAGGCGCAAGGGCGCAAGGAATCCAGAGTAGATTTCGAAGAATGGGAGCGGGTACCGTGTTTTCTGTTCAAACGTTGAGTGCCCATTCGACAGCTCCTTCTGCGTGCAGAGCGGTAGTATCGAAAACCGGGACATCACAGTCTTCTGGACCAACCAGCATAGTGATTTCCGTGCATCCAAGAATGATACACTCGGCTCCTGCATCAACCAACGCCCGAATGATCCTGACATACTGCTCTCGACTGCGCTTCTCCACCCTACCGCGGACGAGCTCAGAGTATATGACATCGTGCACGGTGTTCCGATCCTGCTTGTTGGGTACAAGTACGTCGAGTCCAAACCTGGCCTTGAGCCGGTCTTTGTAAAAGTCCTCTTCCATCGTATATCGAGTGGCAAGTAGTCCGACTTTTGAGAAACCTCGTTCCACAATCTTCCTGCCGGTACAGTCCGCAATATGGATCACTGGGATCCCAGCTTGAGTTTCGACTTGGTCGGCCACTTTGTGCATTGTATTCGTGCACAGCACCAGCCCCTCCGCTCCAGCTTGTTGCAAACCAGTCGCCGCTTTCGCCAACAGCTCTGCCAACTTCGTCCATTTACCAGCGGCCTGAAGGTCCTCGATCTCCGCAAAGTCGAATGAGTACATGACGGACTTGCTGCTGTGCGTGCCGCCGAGCCGCTCTCGCACTGCACGGTTCATTTGCGTGTAGTAGAGCGAAGATGATTCCCAGGACATGCCTCCAAGGAGACCTAAGGTCTTCATGGCGAGACAGCGATTTGGTGCTACGGGATAGCCGAACCACTGGAGTAAAGGCAGCTTGTGCTTCTGAGAAGCCGTGAGGGTTCTTTTGACTCATCGCATCAGTTTCTTCACGCCGTTTCACCTAAATGTAGTTCGAACATCGCTTATAGGCACGCCCTTCCGTAGACAACTGCATTAAACGAAACCGACAAAGTCACCAATCAAACTCCCAATTCAACGCGGCAGACAACGTCGAAAACAACGGCCGATGAGGAGCCCCGTATTGACAAAGGCAGAAACGTGGAGCAACCCAACATCCCGTCTCCACATGCCGATGCGTTAAATTGAAAGTGTCCCCTGTACCTCCAGTAACCCCAGTGTGCGGGAAGAGAGTCAAGATCGCACCTCTATGGTTAACTCTGATCATCACGCTTCACCCTCGCCTCACGCACTTCCACCTCACTGATTGTCCGCTTTGGTCCTGCAAACCAATACCTCCCACCCAGCTGGAAAGGGAAGAACCAGCCGCCCAGTGCTATGATAGCAATACTTCCAATGACCACAGGGCAGTAGTTCAGCGTTTCCTGTCCTTCGTCAGCGACGCTCACCCATGCTTCAAGCAAGCGGGACGACTCACCGCAGTGACAGGGTAAATTTGCGGAAGCATCAGCACGACAAAAAGGAACATGATGTATCCGGCCGCAACACAGCTGACAGGGAGCGACCAGCGTCCTAGATGCCACTTTGCAGGTTTGAAATTCTTCTTGCCGACTGTTTGTCGTGCTACAATCGGTATCAGGTAGGACAAGTTGGTGCCCACTGTCGCTGCCGCCGTCAACGCCGAGAATGCAACGTACGAGCCAATAACTGCAGCATTGATCGCAATGGACAGCACTGCTACAAGTACACCGGCGTTGACAGGGAGATGATGGCGGTCGGTGACTCTGCTCAAGAAGCGACTGCACGGCAGGATACCGTCTCTAGCAATCGCGAAAGTGATCCGTTGCGCGCTGAGGACACAAACCGCCGTGCAGAGGATCCCGTCGAACCAGATCAAGAACAAGAATGCACATGCGCCGTTTCGACCCAGCAGTTGCACACAGTACTCTGCGAAGTTATTTGGGTAGCCGCCGTTGACGACCCCTTGGAAGTCTTGCATGCAGAGGATGGTCAGGGCGAGGATGGGGATGGAGAGGACCCAGGTTGCCAGTGTGCCGCTCCACATGCCTTTGGCGACGACGGAGCTTGCTTCGTGGGTTTCCTCTGCGAGATGGACGGATGCATCCTGCAGAGAGTCAGTGAGAAGCAAGTGACCGTCTGGTGACGACTGACATAGCCATAAAACTCCCAGGCACCAAACAGGACACCAACCACCCAGCAATAGCTATCGCTCGCTTCTTTCACCGTATTGCCCTCCTCGTCAACCCCATAGTTGATGCCATTATAAAACGTCGTGAAGATCTCAACAGACTGGAACCCCTTCCGCCGCGACGCCGCAACCGGGAACCAGATCAAGTACATCGCAATCAGCATGAACGTGCTGTACGCGCACAAGCGAAGCAGAAATCGGACAGTCCTTGGGCTCACGCAGTTGGGGACGACAGCGAGGATCGTGATCGACGCGGACATGCACCAGCTGAACCAGCCTTTCTGCACGGCCGCCGAGTCCGGGTACAGGATGATGAGCATGGAGGTGAGGAAATTTGTGGTGCCTTGGGCGCATCCGGGGACGATTGTGATCCAGCCCGCCCAGTTGAACCATGCTATCAAAATTGTCAGTCACGCTGGGTAGGATTCATTCGTTTTCGGGCTGCTTCACCAGTGAGCCAGCTCAACAGCGGACCGTGCTCTTCGCCTCCCAGTCGATACGCCCTGACAACACGTTCACCTGTCAGTCATGTACCTAAAATTGGGAATAGAAGAACACACCAAAAGTATATCCCGCCCGCAGTCGGCAACGCGGCAGCAATCTCTGCCATGGACAGCGATACAAGCAGACTCAGACCTCCCACCATGATCCAGTTTGAGAATGCCGCCTGTGGGCCACCAGTGTACATGGCGAAGCCGAAGAGTACGGGCATGCCGCTGACGAAGTTCATGGTTGTCTGTATGGATCTAAATTAGCCTGCGATTCTGCGATGCAGACTGCTGGTGGTAGTGGACTTACATAGGTCGCTGCCCAGTTCTCGAATCTGAAGACTGGTATTCAGCAGTCGTCTGAGAGCTTGATTCAAGCGCTCGACTTACAAACCCAAGCTTCGCACGAAGACCTGACGATACCCCAACGAGGCGAGAGTATGTTCGTCTTTACTCATCTCCTTCACCTCAACCTCTGTAGAGGCGGCTTCTTTGGACCCCATCACTTCCACACCCACTTCCTTGCTGGGTTCGTAGCTTTTGGAGTCCATTATTGGAGTCGTCTTTCGCCTTAGACCTGCTCACGATATGTCCTTCGAGGAAGGAAGTTATGATGAAAGAGGTGAAAGGAAGCAGAGCACACCGACAGGTCCCACCTGTGTAGTACCTCACGAGATACGGCTGCAACTTCGGCACCTGCGCACGCCGCCGGAAGCATGGAGCAACAGCAGCAGCAAAGAAAGCCCATGTCCTACATGGATGTCCCACGCCTGAGGGGTCATAGGTGTCGCAAAGAAACGCCCTGCAGCTCAAACGATAAGCTCGCGTCGAAGGAAGTCAACCTGGTTGGTCCTAGTTATTAGACTGCAGTGAAGCTTGCACGGAGCTCGTTCCAGAACTAGTGTTGTTTGATGCATAGGCCTGTTTAGTCTCTGCATACTCAAGACTTTCTCGCACGAAGTCGAGCTTCCACCGAAGAGGAGGAGAAAGTGGCTGGGATGCAGGCTGGGGTTGTTGTTCTTGGGCGACAGGGCTGCGCTGCAGGGTCTGTAAGCGAGGTGTCTTTGTGCCCGACATCAGACCAGTATCTCGATCAGCGCGAAGAAGCTGGTTCAATACAGTCAACTACACACTGTACGATCCGTTACCTTGGAAAGACTGCTTCAACAATCCCGGCTTGCGGTTATCGAGATCCAGAATCATCTGGCCAAAAAGCCCGTTGGCCCACGAGAACCCTGCACACAAGTCAGCTATTTGCTTGTTCAACGCAAGAGCATGGGAAGACGAACATTGTCTTGTCCAGTCACTGCTATTAAACGAGTTAATACTCTCATGAATCAACCCCAACCCATCCGTACTCCCCACAATCTCCCCCAACTGCCTTACAATCTCCCCATCATCCGTACTCGTCAAAATCTGCACAATACTCGCCATCGGCCACGCATAACCCGGTCCGTTATGCGGTCCTCCGATCGCACTAATCACCGGCCCGCGCATGAAGTACGGGTTATCGGCGCTCAATATCAGTTTGCGCGTGTTCTGGTACGTCTCGTCGTTGACGTCTAGGTAGCCGTAGAAGGGTGCCGCGAGGAGGGAGGGGATGTTGGCATCGTCCATGACGTTTTGGCCCATGTAGCCGTCGACTTCGTATGGGTAGAAGGAGCCGTATTTCTTGGAGTGCGAGACGGCGTGCGCTTCGATGGATTGGCGGAGACTGGTGACGAGCTGGCGCATGCGGTTTGCTAGGTGGGAACAGCCATCGATTTGTGCCATGATGTCCGCGCAGGGCTCGAGGAAGGTGGCAAACATCATGTTGCTTGGGACCAGGAATTGGAATATTGTTGCGTCGTCGGAGGGACGGAAGAACGAGCGAATAAGGCCGGTACCGCTGTCGACGGGGTTTCCTAGACCGTCGTTTTCTGTTGTTTCGGAGGCACGATCAGTGAAGCGGGTGAAGGTGTAGTCGAGGACGCTGACGTTGCCGTTGGGCTGATAGGTGGGGATCATTTGTCCTTCTGCCACGTCCATGATGCTGGAGATTGCCGAGACCCAGTTGTACTTCTTGAAGAACGAGATGTCTTGGGTGGCGTTGTAGTAGTTGCGGGAGACTTCTAGGAATGCTGCAAGACTGTCGAGCTCGTATTTGCTGCGGGCACAAGATCGTCAGCAACCTGGTATTTTGATTGAGAGAATGCAACGTACCATTCGAAGACGCTCTGGTTGTTATACTTCGGCGTGACCGTGTCCTCGCTAGCAGCATCGTTGTCGGAAGGCGGGATGCCAGATTCCACCGGCGGCTGGAAGGCATTGCAGTATGGGTCGGTAAGGATGTACCGCGCCTGCAGATTGATCACACCTCTGTACAGAGAAGCTAAAGAGTGCGCTGAATCCGATGCCTCAAGCAGAGGCAGATATGACTGCACTTGGTTGGCAGAGTCTCGGAGCCACATGGCGTTGCTGTGAGGCTGGTCAGCACATGCGCTTGTTGGAGCGAGAGTCAGGTGATACGATACATGTCTCCGGTGATCAAGAATGTAAGCTCCTCGTCCGAGCTATTGTTGGCATAGCCTTTCCACTTAACTGCAGTGTCCAATGTGTTTGGGTAAGCATTGACGAACAGCCGCTTTAGATCCGGATCAGAGATGTCGCTTGCAACACGGTCGACAGTATCCTCTACGACGGAGAGGTTGAAGGTCCGACATCTTGAGACGGGTCGTTGCCATGAAAGGTTGTATACGCCTCCGGAGTACGGCGGGTGGTGCTCGGTTGAGTAGACATAATAGTCAGGACATGTCAAGTTGACTGCTGCTGCTGTTCCAAGTACTGATAGCAGCAGTGCTGCTTGATTGAAAAAGACCATTCTTTCTGAACTGCCACGAATGGAGATTACGAGACAATGAAAGAGTAACGCAATGTTTATAGATGCTTAGCTCTGACTGATCGACATCAACAGTCAGGGCCTAGGTGGAGACGAAGGATGTCCCACTGTGGTGTGGTCATCGCATGAACGAAACAGCCGTGCGATGTGGAAAGTGCATTTGATGTCTCTCATGGTCGACCGAACAGTTCGACTAACCTACTTATGCGTAGTCACGACCAATTGACTTACCTTCAACGAGCCGGTTCAGGAAAGACCATACAGTAGAACAGAAACTCATCATCTTCATCTTCAACATGACGCACCGCCGCACGCCGCACGGGTGTGCCTGAACCCCACGCGGGCGGGGTAGGTCGCACGCTCACGTTGCTTCAATCGGCTCGTGCAAAGTGTGGGGATGGGGATGTGGAGAGATGCTTCCGAAGCTGCTTTCGCATGAAGATGGAGTTGGATGGCTGCAGCACTGCCGTCTCGTGGTCGCTCGCAGTCAGTCGGAGATGTAAGCGTGTCCATATGAAGCAGCTGAATTGGTCTGGGGTCTTGGGTGATTGTGTCGAGCAGCGGAGTCAGGCAAAGCATCTGGCCCCTCTCGAGGCCAAGGAATCAGGATGCTGTGTCCAGTCCCCATGATGAAACCGTACCGCACGACGGCTGACCTCCTGTGTCGTGTGCCCATCCTCGTCAGACGACAAGTGTCGATAGGTAAGGACACGGGGATGATGGATTTGCAGAACGTGAAGTCCACATGGCCGCTCCTGCCACATGAAGCAATCCCAATGCAGCTAGACCCGCCGATAAGATAAGATGTCATGAGCTTCACATGAAATCGAGAATTCCCCCTCTCATGACCTCGACACACACACCCCAGCCTCTCACCTTCACCACCTCGTCGCAACACCCTGTTCTCGCCAGTCCCGCGCTACCACCCCGACTGCCACCGCGATCACCACACCTCAACCTCCACCACTAACCCGCATCCTCGAACACCACCAGGCCGCCGCCATGGCCACCGACGTTCCCACCTTCAGCTACCCCCACCGTACCTCCTACTCCGCCTACCGCGTCCCAACACCTCCACGCATCATCGTCCCCCCACCCGCCCTCAACCAAGACCACCTCCCAGACATCACCCTCAACACCCTCGACTCCGCCTTCACCACCTCCGTCGACCAGAAAAACCTCATTACGCAAAACGTCTTGCAAGAATGGACCTACGAGCGCCGGCGCGAAGCCCAGCTCATCCTGCCCTACCTCTTCCTCGGCCCCATGACATCCGCCAAGGACGAAACGTGGTTACGGAAGGAAGGGATCACATGCGTGCTCGGCGTGCGGCAGAAGGGGGCGTTCGAGAGCAAGCTCATGAACGGCGCGTTGCGGAAAGCCGCGGAGATGGGGATCGAGCACTACACGGTGGATTTAGGCGGACATCAGGACCTGATCCAGGCGTTCCCGAGCACGTCGGCGCATGTCCAGAATCACGTCAAGCACATGCTCGAGTCGACGGGGCAGATGGGGAAGGTGCTGGTGTTCTGCGAGAGCGGGAATGAGCGCAGTGCGGGGGTTGTGGCGGCGTATTTGATGGAGGCGCATGAGGGGGTGGATTATATCAAGGCGATGCAATTCACGCAGGCGCAGAGATTTTGCGTCAACTTTGATGATGGCGTGAAGAGGTTGTTGCAGGGGTATTGGGATATCTTGTGCGCGAGGCGGCAGGTGGCGGCGCAGTCGACGGATAGCCAGGCTGTGAACGGATCTGCCAACACTGCTGTTCAAAGCACACCCAAGAGGAGCCTGCAGCGCGACGAGGACGAGGACATCGATGGCATGGGCGGAGACGACGTGGAGAGGTTCGGCGGGCGTACGTTTGTGCCGTTCGTCGACGTCGAGGAGCCGCTCTAGTGGAGATGTCACGATGATGATCACTTTATTACGAAGCGAGGCGTTGCTCTGGGAGCAGGGAGGAACTTCAATCCATTAGAGATACCCACTAAGCGAATAGATTTCTCCAGCACGGCGATCATATCGCTGTTATTCATGGAGGCTGGCACCTTGACTGTGCTCCACGACAAGAGCTGTGCGATAGTCGCTTGAGATAGCCAGAGCAAACATTTCAAGCTGTTCCAGTCCAATCAGCATCCATATTACCATATTGAGTCCAACAGATCTCAGCCAAGCTGGAGCGCCAGCAAGGCTGAGCGAGACGCCCAGCAGTTTGGGTTCTTGCTGTTCCCCATTCACGCCTTGAGCTGACGTACTTCAGCGACTGGACAAATAACTCGGACACGTCCAACGGACACATATCGATGCGAGCTCCTCACTTATTCCTTTGCCGTTGGCGAGGTTACGGCCAGCTGCTGGTGTCCTGCGCAGGTCGAATGGTATAAACAATCAACCAATCCAGGTACCTCTAATTGCTACATGTAAGGTACCTTGTGACGTGGCCTGCTGTCTGCTGTCTTCTTCTCCGCTCATTTAGATGAGACTGCATCAAACGAGTGAGAACATCCCAACGCTGGGCTCAGGTGTGGTGCCGTCCCAAGACCACCTACGTCCGTCGAGGCCGAGGAGCGATACAAGACGATGAAGATGATGACAATCACATTCTCTCTCAAGCCGACCACACCGACTTGGCCTAACAAACACAAAACGGCAAGCCACAGCACAGACTGCCATTGGGCGTCGACACCGTGGAGTCCCCACAGGCGCGTGACTGTAGCATGGCGCGCCATACCTGGCAGGGAAGGGATCTGTCGACTGGTGGGTGGATGTCCGATTGCCGATAGAGGAGATGGTTCGGAGTCTGTCACGAGCTTTGGGGGAGAGAGGAGATTTCGTTTCTTCCTCTGACTTGGTTCCGCGACGTAACCTTGAGGATTGCGCGCGCACAGCTTCTGGACGAACTTGGAGAGCTGGAAAGCGTGAGGAGACGGCGAGACAGCTCAAGGTACGTTTCTGATCAAGACGTCACAAGCCCGCCCGGCGACCTCGGCGATTGCTTTAAAAAGGCTTGAGGTCTTGAGCTGCTTGGTGCCAACGCGACGAAGACATCTCAAGCTCTCTCCAAGGCGATCGCTTGGCCTGGCTCGCCTGGGCAGTGAGCGATCGTCAAGATCAAGACTGACAAACCACAACAGACACAATGTCCTACAACGGCAAAGAAGAGGGTTCGGCCTCCTACGTCGAACCCACCACCACCAACCACACCAACCATGGCCGCCACACGCGCGACCACCCGGACGACCACCTCAGCGTCGGCCAGTACCTCGCCACGCGCCTCCCCACCCTCAAACCCCCCATGGACAAGCTCGAGAACCCCTTCACCCTGCTCGCCATGCTGAACTTCAAGCAATGGATGTTCTTCCTCGTGGCCTTCTTGGGTTGGACCTGGGACGCCTTCGACTTCTTCACCGTCTCATTGACGGTGTCTGATCTCGCCGAGACGTTCGGGAAGGATACGAAGGCTATCACCTGGGGCATCACGTTAGTGCTGATGCTGCGGTCAGTGGGCGCGATTATATTCGGGATCGCGAGTGATCGGTACGGCAGGAAATGGCCTTTTATCGCCAACTTGGTCCTGTTCATCGTGCTGGAGCTGGGGACAGGGTTCTGCGATACCTACGAGCAGTTCCTCGGCGTGCGAGCGCTCTACGGGATCGCGATGGGTGGGCTGTACGGCAACGCGGCGGCTACGGCGCTCGAAGACTGCCCGGAGAGGGCGAGGGGGATTATTTCGGGGATGCTGCAGCAGGGCTATGCGTTCGGGTATCTCCTCGCGACGGCTTTTGCGCGCGGGCTCGTGGATACGACACCGCATGGCTGGCGTCCGCTGTACTGGTTCGGCGCTGCTGTGCCGGTGTTGATTATAGCCTTCCGTCTCTGCCTCGGCGAGACGGATGCGTATATCGAACGCCAGCGTCTCCGCTCCAGCGACGACGGGGTGGGCAAGACGTTCGTCGCGGAAGGCAAAGTGGCGCTAAAGCGGCATTGGATGCTGCTGATCTACATGGTCCTCCTGATGGCCGGGTTCAACTTCATGAGCCACGGCTCCCAGGACCTCTACCCCACTATGCTGGAGAACCAGTACCGCTTCTCCGCCGACGCCGTCACCGTGACCCAAGTCGTCGCCAACCTCGGCGCCATGTGCGGCGGCACGATCGTGGGATATCTGTCCCAGATGCTCGGGCGGCGCTTCAGCATCATCTTCATCTCCGTCGTCGGCGGTGTGCTCTTGTATCCCTACTCTTTCACCGGATCCGAGAAGGTGGCTGCTGCGGCCTTCTTCGAGCAGTTCTGTGTGCAAGGCGCTTGGGGCGTGATTCCGATCCATCTGCTCGAGTTGGCTCCGGGGGGGTACCGCACGTTCGTTGTTGGGACGTCGTATCAGCTGGGTAATCTTGTCAGCAGCGCGAGTTCGACCATCGAGGCGACGATCGGAGAGAGGTTCCCACTTCCCTCCATCACAGAGGGTGGAGACACCGTGCAGCGATATGCTTATGGCAAGGTCATGTGAGTCTTTTCACCCACTCGTTCTGGTTGCGCCTTTCACTGACTATTCTTCACAGCTGCATCTTCATGGCGTGCGTCTACGTCTACGTCATCATCCTCACGTTTCTCGGGCCTGAGTACAAAGGCCGCAAGATGGACGCTGAATCCGATCAGGACCTGCAGGAAGCGCGAGGTGTGAGGCACGCGCCGAACGACTTGGAGCATAACAGCGAGCACTCTGATGAAGAGAAGACGGAGAAGATGTGAGATGAGATGGGAGATGTGATTTTGCATAGTAATGTTGAGATGGAAGAAGCAGATGTATGTTCGTCGCGAAACGCCATGAAGTACCGCGCAGAAGACCTGGGCGCCTAGGTCTTGATGTCTTGAAATACTCCGCATAAGCTATCTTTCACAAACTCAGAGTGGTTGGCCGGCGGTTGGCAACAGTTGACAAGAGATTCCGTGCTTCTTTCAACTTCATGTGGTGTCGTCTCGTCTTCTCTGCGGTCGGTCGTCGAGAAGAGGCCTCGTGTTGGGTGGACTCGATCACTAATACCCGTGCGACCCCATCAAAGCACGGTCACGGTCGGCCGGTCATCTTTAAGCGTGCGCCCTGCGGTTGTAGAGTCGCGCACGATGCTCTCATAAATAACCGTGTTGGGGACGAATCTGCCTCAAAAACTCCCATGCCGACCTCACTTCTTCATCTCATTACCAGGTTCTCGCTTTTCGACGCGATCTTATGGACTTATTACTAATAAATTTCATCTCGGCCTTCGCACTTTGCACCATCTTCGGGAATCCTTCAGGTCTGGATTCGATGGCGCGCCGAGTCTCTTGGGTCGCATCCGGGGAGATACGTACCTACCTGGCGCGATTCGGGAAGGCCGGTCTTTCTTTTTCTCTGCACAGAACGGCGGGAGCGAGATCTTCGCTTACTTGGCGCATGGAATCGCATCGCATCGCGACATCGATGACGAGTGGCGAGGGGCATGATAATGCGATTGTTTGTCGCAGATCGGGGATGCGCGCGCAGTAAGAAAAGAACAATCTCTCTGATTGTGTGACAAGGTTGCTTGCCAAAGGGCCCTATTAGCAAATCCATTGGGTGGTTGCAGCCCAGCGATCCAATCCAGCGCCTCGGTTCTGGCTGGCGTTATTATCAAGGTTGCCCTGCCGTTACATCGGAACGGACGCTCGTGCCTCCAGCTCTCCAGCGACTCTCCACTCGCGTCGCTTCGCGCTTCGTCTCGCTCGGCCTTGTCGGCGACCCCAGGGTGGCGGATATCGTCAATTTCGACTCTCATGTCGAGCATGCAGCGTGGGTGCCTGCATGGAAGGTTTTTAAGCCGTGGCCGGGTGGGACAGAGATGGCGTCTCTCAGGTAGGGAGATCAGCCTCACGAGAATCGCAGCCAGATGTTTCGGTCGCACGAGAAGTGTGCTTGTGGTGGATGGTGGGCATGTTTCCAAAGCACATCCTCGCCGGCGCAAACACCCCATGTGAATCCACGGGCGGATTCGAGATGCTGACGGTGCCTATTGTGGTGCCTTGGGTGCCCACAGTGCCTTGAGGGTTGAGACACGAACGATCAGCTATCGCCAACACCTCCACTTGCCTCGTTCTAGAAGGTGTATGGAAGGGGGCTAGAGATGCAGGGCCAATGGTGGCACTGGAGAGCTTATCATGCGCGCAGCTTATCGTCGGTCCAACGAGACAGCACGCGAGGCATGCGCGGCATGTGTGCTTAGCACGGCCTGGGCGTTCGTTCCCCACTGTCCTGTGCTCTGTGTGTCCTCTTTGGCTCACAACACTCCCACATCCTTCGCGTTCATCTTCGCGACGGGCCACCCCCCTCCACTCGGCCACTCGGCTTACCTACAAGCAGCCTCAGCACGCTTCGCTATCGCCTCTTAGCGCGCCTTCACACGCTTGTCCCGTGCTTAGCGGCCGGCGCGACCCTGCCCTCTTGCCCCCCCAGCTCGCTATATAATCCCGTGCCCGCTCGCACGTCTCCCGCGCTGACGGCTCCGAGCTCATTCACACATCCATCAACACAGTATACACCTACCCCCAGGATGAGTCTAAACCCCGCCGCGCCCCCAGCGGTCTACGACCCCAATGGCGTCGGCTCCGTCTACCCCGACGAGAAGGGCTACATCTCGGAGAAGAGGGGCTCGCTCGTGGAGCCACACCCGGAGTACGATGTCATTGAGGCATCCGGCGGCCACGAGCTGAAGCGCGACCTCAAGTCTCGTCACATGCAGATGATTGCCATTGGTATGAAACAACACTTTTAACTTCCTTGGCTACGAGGGCGAAGCTAATACCAAGCACCAACAGGCGGCGCAATTGGCGCAGGTCTCTTCGTCGGTATCGGTGGCGCCTTTCAGAGTGGTGGGCCCGCCTCGGTGCTTATCGGTTTCATCATCATCGGTGCCGCAATGTACTTTGTCATGCAGGCGCTCGCCGAGCTGGGTGTCATGTACCCCGTGAACGGTGCCTTCTTCACCTACGCCCATCGAGTACGTTGGTACCTGTACGCCAAGTATTGGACTTGATAAAAGCAGAAACTAACATGCCAACCTCCAGTTCATCAGCCCTGCGTGGGGTTTCGCAACCGGCTGGGATTACGCTATCCAATGGCTTACCGTCCTGCCCTTCGAGATCACCGCCGCTACCCTGACCCTCGAGTACTGGAAGGCGTCCCGAGAGCTCGACAAGGCCGTGTGGGTCACCGTCTTCCTCGCCGTCCTCTTCATCATCCAGATTTTCGGCGTCAAGGGCTACGGCGAGACGGAGTTCTTCCTCTCCATCATCAAGATTATTGCTTGCTCGGGCTTCATTATCCTCGGCATCATCATCAACGTTGGTGGTGTGCCGACCGACGACCGTGGGTACCTTGGTGGCCAGTTCTGGCATGAGCCGAAAGGTCAGGCGTTCAAGGGCGGATTCCTTGGGTTCTGCGGTGTCTTTGTCACCGCCGCGTTCTCCTTCGCCGGAACCGAGCTGACGGGTCTCGCCGCTGCTGAGGCGGCCAACCCGATCAAGAGCATTCCCATGGCTACTAAGCAGGTGCTGTGGCGTATTTGCTTCTTCTACATCCTGTGTTTGCTCATCGTCGGTCTCGACGTGTCCTCCGATGACAGTGAGTCCCTTGCTCTACTCCCCAACACCGGAACCATTGCTAACTCAGATCCCAGAGCGTCTGCTCAACTCTTCCAACGACAACACCAAGTTCTCCCCGTTCGTCATAGCCATTGCAGATGCCAACATCCCGTACCTGCCCGGCATCTTCAACGGAGTCATCACCCTTTCCGTCATCTCCGTCGCCAACAGTTGCACGTTCGGCAGCACGCGTACGCTCCAGGCTCTGGCCGCCCGCAAAATGGCGCCCAAGTTCTTTGCCTACGTCGACAAGTCCGGCCGCCCGATCTGGTGCATCGTCCTCCAATTCTGCTTCGGTCTGCTCGCCTACGTTATCGACGCCGGTGGCGACGCGCCCGGCCAGTTCTTCAACTGGCTGCTCGCCCTGTCCGGTATCGGCAATCTCTTCATCTGGGCCTCCATCTGCATCTCGCACATTCGCTTCCGCAAGGCGTGGAAGCTCCACGGCCACTCGCTCGACGAGCTGCCCTTCAAGGCCTCCTTCGGCATGACCGGCTCCTACATCGGCGTCTTCCTCTTCGTCATCGTGCTGATGGCCACCTTCTACACGGCCGTTGCCAGCTTGGACGCTGAGTCCTTCTTCACTTCTTTCCTGGCAGGCCCGCTCATTCTGTTCCTCTACTTGCTCTGGAAGGTCGTGACCAAGGAATGGTACCTCCTCACGCCCCTAGAGAGCATCGACGTCTCGTACGGCGTGCGCACGAACTTGGAGGACCTGCAGGCCGCGGCCGAGCAGCAGAGGAAGGAGCGCGCGATGCGGAATTTCCCCATGCGCGTTGTGCATACGCTGTTCTAGACGCCTCTGCTACAAGCGACGTGGGAAACATGGCGGGTTCGTGTGTATCGGCTGAGCAATGCGTGCCCGCTGAAGCGTGCTTTCGACACTCTTGCCATACATTGCTGCACTAGCACAACCTTTCGTGTAGATGAGTTTTGTAACGGAAGACATGAAGTTGAAATAAACTTACTTTGACTTACTTCCTACGTCTGACGTCTTCTCCACTTGTTTCACCTACCCCCCAAGCACGTCGTCATGAGTGTGTGCTCTGGCCAGCATCCGATTTGCTATGAGGTGTTGGGCGTCCTTCGCCTCAGCCAGCCACATCCAGCCGGCCGAGCGTGTAGAATGCGATGCCATGCGTGCGAAACAGTGTTCTGGCATGACCTCCGGTGTCAGAACAAGTGTATGCGCAGACAACCACCACTCCTACAAAACACCATCAAAAACACACAAGGAAATTGCACATACACACCTACCCTAACCCCCCTTCATCTCCCTCCCTCCTTCCCCTGCACCGACCTCACGACCAAATCGCCTCTACCCCCTTCTTCATCCACCCCTTCTCCTTCCCCACCGCATACTCCACCTCCTGCGCCTTATAAAATCTCCTCCCCTCATCCAAATCCACCGTCCCCACATCCACCCACTTCCTGCCGCGATAATAAATCTTCGCCCCGACGTAGCACAGCACGATGGCGACGACGGAGACGTAGACGGAGAAGAAGTGCTCGGCGCTTTGGGGGGAGCCGAGGGGCCAGACGGCGAGGTAGAATTCGGCGATGATGAGGATGATGCACCAGGAGAGGCCCCACCAGGCGCCCCAGGGCCAGGTCCAGGTTGTCCAGGGGAGGTCGGCGGGGTCGCGGCCTGGTAACATACAAATAAAGAGGTTAGCGAGTGCCACAGACAATGGTGTAAGTCAGTTTGATGTTGGATGCCTACCTTGCAGCGACCACGCCTTCCGCATGCGAATGTGCGAGAGGCAGATCATGCCCCAGCCGAAGAGGGTGAAGAGGGAGGTGAGGTTGGAGAGCCAGGAGAAGACCTCGGAGCCGGTGTAGGAGACGTTGATGTAGGAGAGGCCGCCGCCGATGAGGAGGGTGGGGATCAGGGCCCACCACGGGCGGCCTTTGGAGTCGGCTTTTTGCATTTGCTGGGACGGCAGTGTTAGTGCGTGCGATATGGTGGGGTTGGGGGAGGAGGCGGGGGGAAGACGTACGCGAGGTGCCATGCCGATCTGGGAGAGACCGTAGAGGGTTCGCGAGCCGCCGAAGCCGGAGATACTGCCCGTCGACACCACGGAGATGAAAATGACAGCGTTCATCATATGCGCCAGCGCCGGCACGCCACCCTCACGGAACGCAATAACGAACGGCGAAGCATTCGTGCCATCCCCACCAAAGATATCCGGGTTGTTCGGCGACACGCAAATCGTAATGATCAAGCTGCCCATGATGTAGAACAAGCTCAGACGGAGCCAGATGGAGCCGACGGCCTTGGGGACGGAACGTCGGGGGTTGGCGGTTTCGGCGGCGACGAGGCCGGCGTTCTCAGACCCGGCCATGGCGAAGATGCAGGTCGGCATGACGGAGAGGAAGCCCTTGAAGCCGTTGGCGAAGGCGTTTTGGTTCCAGTAGCGGAAGCCGATGGGGCCATGGCCGGGGGCGCCGCCGGCCGAGATGCTGTGGAGGGGGATGTAGGGTTAGTGGGGTGGAAAGGGATGGAGGGTGGGTGTGGTAGACAGCACTTACATGATGCCGGCGATGATGACGACGAAGATCCAGCCGAACTTGATCATGGAGCAGATGACTTCGATCTCAGCGAACCAGTTGACCGCGCCGACATTCACGAGCACAATGACAAGCCAGAAGATGGTCATCCAAGCGGCGACAGGCACAGCGTCCGTCCAGAAACTCAGCACGGTGTTGACAGCCTGCAACTCATTGGCGATAGTGATCCAGTAGCTCATCCAGTACGCCCATCCCAGAGCAAACCCAGCGGCCGGATCGACGAACTTGTTGCTCCACTGCACGAAAGCGGACGGCAGAGGGTACATGACAGCCATCTCGCCGATGGAGTGACTGACGGCCCAGATCATGGTGCCGGAGAGGACGTAGCCGATGAAGATACCTGCCGGGCCGCCGGAGGCTAGACTGCTGCCGGACCCGAGCCAGAGGCCCATGCCGATGGAGGAACCAAGGGCAATCATGGTGATGTGGCGGGTGCTGAGGCGGCGTTGGAGGTTGGAGTCGGCGCCGTGGTCGTCGACGAAGCCGACCTGGCCGTGGCCATGGTCGAAGGCCTTCTCGTCCGGGTACTCTGTCTTCTTCTCCACGTCTGAGTCCGACATGTTGGGCGTATGTCTCTTGTAAGAAACCTCCAAGAGTGAGGGTACAAGGAGAAGGAGAAACACGGCAGGAGAGGGGACGAGGAGACCCTACCTTTATCTTTACCACCTACCTCGCACCCCGCGAACCCAACCGCTCCCATGTCTTCACACGGCCTGGGTACAGGTACTTTGACGGCCCAGATCTGCCATCCAGATAGCTGCTGCAACATCCCACCTCCGTTATCAGCACCAACGTTACCATGCCCAGCTCGCCAAGCAGATAACGGCTGAACGTGAATGGCTTCTTGCGTCGACTTATCGACGCTGTCGCTGCAACCGACGGCTTGGGGAACAGGGAGTCGCAGTCGTTGCATCGTTCTCCAAGGCCACCCCTAGAATCCCCACGCCCGGTGTGCCAATGCATGGCGGTCGCGTGCTTCTCGTGCCTTGTCTGTCTTGGAAGGGTTCGAGAAGGCTGTGCCGCGGCCGCCGGGGGAGATGGTGTTGGTGGCCGGTTTGGAGCTGGATGGCACGGAGGGGTAGATGCGGGCTTGAAGGGTGTTGGATGCCAAGTTGTTGCGACCTTATCGTCTTCGATATCCGGTTCGTACCTACAGCCTGGCTCCTCGTTCTCGTCGACAGAAGAGGAAGGTGGTTTGGAAGGCCGAGAGAGCGTGGCGTCCGTAGCTTGGACGAGCTTGTGGAGGGCTTCATCTGGCTTTCCATCTTGTCTTTATTGAAGAGGGAGGAGTGTTGTTTTATTCTTGCCGAGCGAAGTTCTCACCCAGGTATTCCAGAGTCCAAGATTGATGCCATTTCCATATCTCCATAGCACGGCAGTCGTTCAATGGCAAAGTCTCCCTTCTGGACTTCCAGTGATTCTCGAATCCTTCGATCGGTTTGGCCAGTAGCCGAGCTCTCATCACAGCACTTAGCTGCATCTCATGCCTGCACATGACATGGTCCAGTCCATATCGGCCAAGAGGAGTCCTCGCAGTGATGAGGTAAAGTCAGAAGCGTCCAGGATGGAGAGAAGTGAAGTTTGAGATGGAAAAGACTTAAATATCACCGGCCCACGTGCAATCCACAGGGCGCGAGGCTAGTCGTTGACTTTTTACCTAATGATTCCTTCCGCGTACGCAGTTCAAGAGACGGGGGCTGAACGAACGACACGGTCCACCGTTTACGGTCACCAGGATAAGACGGCGCACGAGAGAGCCTCCCGACAGTGGAATAATAACCAGTTTGCCATTGCTACAATTTTTAGCAAAACGCGACTCTCGATGCCGCAAGGTTCGCCCTTTCTAGCAATCTATACCAGTGTAAAAACCACATCTACCGTAAAGTATCAAGAACCGTAGCCCACATCCATGCCATGCTTGTCAACCATTCCCCCTCCCCTGCTCATCCCCCCCATCCACGCTCCGCCTCACCGGACGCCCCGGCGAGCGAATCCCATCACCGCTCTCCCCCTCCGCCTCCACGTCCCCTTCGTAGGAACCAAAGTTCAACGTACTTTCTCGCTCCTACGCAAAAGCAAAATCAGCACCACCTCCTTCCCACACCCCAAACCCACGAGAACAAGTACAGGTAAGAGGAGAAGGGAAAACGTACCGTCGCCCTCAACGCCTCATCCACACTCCGCAAAAACCGTCCCTCGCCGCCGCAACACTCCACAATCCCACTCACGCCCATCAACCGCCACACCTCCGTCCTTCTCCCGGGGACCCGGCAGAAAAACACGCTCGTGCCCCTCTCCACATACGCCTGCACAATCTCCAACAGCACCTGCGCCGCTGCGGGATCCATGGACGTAACGCCGTGGACGTCGAAGATGACGTTCTTGTTGTGCTCCTTCCGCCGAACTTTGGGTAAGGCGGGATGCGCGGCGCCTGTGCCGTGGTCCTCGAGTCGGCGGAGGCGGTCCTTCAAACTCCCCGTGTTGGCGAAGGTAAGCGGTTCAGGGACTTTGATGATCAGACAATGCGGCACCATCTCCACGCCATCATGCTCCGCATTTTCAAACTCCTGCGTCCCCGGCACACGCCCCAGAATCTGGATCCGCGGGCGCGTGGAGTGGCGTAAGAGGCGGAGGAGGGACAGGCCGATGCCGACGGCGATGCCGATTTTGAGGTTCCAGAGGAAAGTGGTGGTGAAGATGAGCAGCATCAGTAAGAGTTCGGAGTAGCCGGAGATCTGCCAGAAGAAGTGGATGTCGTGGGGCGCTTCTTCGATGAGGGAGTAGGCTACGATGGTGATCATGGCGGAGAGGGTGCCTTTCTGTCATTCACCCATTAATACATTAGCAAGGTTTGAAAGGGGGAAGTGAAGTGAAAGAAAGGGGGGGAAAGCACGAACCGGGATATAATAAAAGTACTCCATCAAAAACTCAATGCACACAATCGTAATCAGCGACAAGAAGACCGAACTCATCGGCGTCCGGCCCCCCGTGCTCGCATTCACCTTGCTCCGCCCATACCCCCCGAACCCAGGCAGCGCCATGAACAAGCCGCCGAACAAATTCGCCACTCCCAGCGCCACGAGCTCGCGGTTCGCGGAGAGGGGCATGTCCTTCAACCCATCGGCTTCCTCGACTTCGTTGCCATCTTTATCTTTCACTGTTCTGGTAGTTTTACCACCGCTGCTGGCACCGAGACTCTTGGCCGCGACGCTGCTTTCGAAGAAGCCGAGTAGCGCGATGATAAAGGCCGTGCTGAACGCGTCGTCGACGTGTTTGAAGTTGTCCTCGACAAACGGCGAGTGGACTTCGAAAGGCCTCCCTTTGGAGCGGATATCGCCCATCAACGCCAACCCCTTGCTCTCCCAGTCGAACTTCCACGCAAAGACCGCGGAAAGGACGACAACGGCGAAGCGGTCGGGGATATACGCCACCCAAGGCGTGCGCGGCTGGAGTCGGCGCTTGAGCTCACGCATGACCATGACGATGGCGATGGTGGTGAAGGACACAATGCAGGTCAGCTTATGCGCTTCATGGCCGTGGCGGAACAAGAACAAAATCTTGTCAAGGCTACTACCGTGCGAAGCGGCTTGGGAACCTTTGGCGACGGTGTTGAGGCCCATTTCGGGGATGAGCTGGTCGACTAGAATGACGATTCCGATGGCCGAGATGAAGCCTCGCAGAAACGGGCGGGAGAGGACGCCGTCCAGGAAGCCCAACCGGCAGAGCCCGGCGAGCAGGATAATGCCCCCCGCCAGCCCCGTGACCATGCCGGCGACTTGGGCGTGTTTCTGGTCTTCGTGTTCGTAGTGCGTGCCGCGCTTGATGGCTTCTTTGACGACGGAGCCGGTGAGCAGGGAGCCGGCGGCTTCGGGGCCGACGACCATTTGCGGGCAGGTCCCCAGCAAAGCGTAGATCAGCGGATTGAACACGAACGTGTACAGGCCGTTGATCGGCGGCACATGACCCAGATTGCTGGCATAAGACAACGACATGGGGATGTAGAACGACGCCATCGTCAGCGCCGCAGTCAGATCCCCCGTCAGGTAGGAAGCACGATACTGCCGCATCCAATTGATCCCCGGCACGTAGTAGAGAAAGTACATCCACCGCTCATGCCGCACCCCATGCCGCCTCGCGAGCCAATGCGTCGTACTTCTCTTCCCGGGCTTGCCCAGCAACCCATCCGTCACCGCGTTCCCGACGCTGCCTTCAATGTATGAGCGGTCATCCATATCCGCGGGCTCAGCAGGCAGCGTCCCGCCATACCCATCTTGACTTCTGTCGTCTTGCCCCATCGCCGAGCCGTCGAAAGAACTCGCTATACTCCCATACCCCCTCCCATACCTCGGCCGCGGCGAGAACGCGCCATGATTACAATTGTAGTGCCCGCACTTATGCGGGACGTGATACTTCTGCCCATCCCCCAGCAGCTTCGTCTGCGCGGTGGGTGGATCTGGGGAGTCTTCGATCTCGCCTTGCACTTTCGTGTCGGAGGGGTCGGAGGAGATGCTGGCCCAGTCTTGCGCGAAGGGGTGGATACCGGTTTCAGACACTTCGGGAAGGGTATCGTGGTCGGGGCGGGGGAAGTGGAAGGGCTCGTCGGGGGAGGAGGGGGGCTGGTGCGCTTGGCTTAGGCGGGAGGGGACGGAGGGGCGGTGTTGGTGGGCGACGTTCTGGCTCGAGACGGAGGCTCCTCTTGATCGTGCGGGGCCTGCTGCCGTCGGGTCGATGGTGGAGGAGGTGGGTTGGGCGTTGGTGCCGCTGTTGGACGCCATCGTCTCTTCCTTTGACTTCCTCCGCTGGGGTGGGAGGGATGCTCGTCGTGTCTAGCGCGGAAAGAGAGGTTGGTTGTTATAAGACATCGGCCGACATGCTTGAAGACAACATGACCACTCCAAGTAATTATTATGAAAGTGCGCAGGTCGCATGATAGGGTACATGGGTACTTGCAAAAGAAAAAGTCGCCCGCAACAGAGGGGTGACGTGCCTGCAGCTGATCGACTTCAAGCTTTCACAAGTAAAATCCTCCGACATCAGCTGGACGTTCTGGACTCTTTTCATTTAAAACAATTCGACTTGACTGCGATGGTATGCCTTCGCTCTATAGCACTACGAGGTACCCCATGAAGCCACTGCATCCCGCCAGTTACGCTTGCATTTCCATCCCATCAACTCCACATTCCCAGACGCCATTCCATGCTTCTCTCAATCATACTGAAACAACACACTAATACTCTCCCCATGATGCACCCGCCTAATCGCCTCCGCAAACACATTCCCCACCTCCAGCACCTCCAACTTCCCACACCGTGCCAAATGCTCACTTTGCGGCACCGAGTTCGTCACGACCACTTTGTCCAAACAGCTCGCGTTGATGCGATCGACAGCATCCCCTGAAAAGACGCCGTGCGTGACCAAAGCGCAGACGTAGCTCGCACCACTCCGTTTGAGCAGTTTGGCGGCGCGCGTGATGGTGTTGGAGGTATCGGCCAGGTCGTCGATGAGGATGGCGGTGCGGTTGGCAACGCTGCCGACGAGGAGGAGGGTGGCGTTTTGTCGGTCGTGGGTTAGGGTTGGTCGGCGTTCCTGTGATAATGCATTAGCTAGACGATTGGGAAAGGAGTATGGTGTGCTTACCTTGTGGATGAGCGCAAAGTCCATGCCCAACGCATCCGCGATATTCGTCGCTCTCTTCGCCCCTCCCGCATCTGGACTGACAATCACACACCCGTCCGTCCCGCCGTGTTTGGGTATGATCTGGTGCTGGATGTACTTCCGCAGCAAGTGGCGGCCGTAGAGGTTGTCCACGGGAATGTCGAAGAAGCCCTGGTACTGCGGGTCGTGCAGATCCATCGTGATGATATGGTCCGCACCCGCGCAGGTCAAGAGATCCGCCACCAGCGTCCCAGCCTGCGCCACCCACTGCCGATACCCCCTCTGCGGCTTAAACTCCGGCGGCGCCTGCGCACTATTCGACGAAGTCGTCGGATACGTCATCGCAGACACCGGCTCCGACGTGGGCTGCTGCTGCTGCTGCTGCTGGCCCTCCCCCTCCGCCTCCCGCTCAAAGTACGACCCCGCAGAGCCCTCACTCTGCACACTATCCAGCGTATCCTTCCGCTTCCCCTTCCCACCCTCATAGAGATCCAACCCGTTCATCTTCCTGTGCACCCCGCCCTCCCCCTCCGGCAAAGGCGTGCTCGGCCGCGAATCAAACGTATACTTCTCTCCGCCACTCCCGACCTTCGCCGGCATCCTCGCCAGCGGCGCCCCGACCTTGTTATACGGCAAATCGCTCTGTCTCGAGTACGGGAAAAGCGGCAGCACCGCCGTGACCTTCTTCGCGGAAGCGGTCTTGCAGGCTTGGATGGTGATGAGGAGCTCCATGAGGTGGTCGTTGACTTTCCCTCCGCCGGACTGCACGATGAAGACGTCCTTTTCGCGCACCGAGTCGCCGATTTCCACGCGCGTCTCGCCTACGCTGAATTTGGAGAGGTGGATGCGTGAGGGGGGGATGCCGAGGTGGGTGCAGATGGTTTCGGTGAGCTGGGGGTGGGAGGAGCCCGAGAAGACAACGAGGTTGCGGACCATGTTGAAGGATTGCTGGGTGGTTGTGTCGGTGGATGAGGTGTTATTGTATTAGGTGCAAGGCTCGCCGGCCAAGGAGGTGTTGCTGGCTGCTGTAGTACGACGGTGACGAGGCTATCGCGGGAGCAGGCACTCCTTCCTGTGCCGCTTCGCAGGCTTGTTCACGTGGTCTGTTGTCGAATCATTGTCATACGAGCCGGGACACAGGATGTTGGGTGTCGCGTTCATGGTCACATTCTAGAGGAAGAGAGCATGAGTCGATCCTGAACTTTTCCTCAATGGCGGGCAAGCTTCACCGGGGTTCTGCCGAATGTGGGGACACTTTGGCATCCACTTGCTTTTCTCTCAATCTGGAAGGAAGTCTTGCTGTCACATGTTGTCCTCGATCTTGAAAACGCACATGCATTCGAGCCTAAGACCGTAATATCTCACGATGGCCGACCCATTCCAAGACGCGCCCGAGATCCCCGTCCTCCTCCTTGGCGATCCTGGGGTTGGTAAGTCAACCTTCTTATCGTAGGTCTCTCTCTCTCTCTCTCTCTTTCTGTTCCGTATCTCCTTACTAGTATCAAGATCACATCACTCATGTCTCCTCCAGCCGCCTCACCCTAGGCCTCCACCCCAACACTCCCACCCGCACCCCCCTCCCCACCCTCCGCGACCTCGACCAACCCTTCCCCTTCCACATCCGCCTCTACAACCGCCCCTACCGCTTCGAGTTCTCCGACACCGCGTCCCCTACCAACTACACCCTTCTCCGTCCCGCGCTGATAATCCTCTGCTACTCCATCGCTATCCCCTCCTCCTTAGCCAATATCCAGAAGTACTGGAAGGAGGTGGTGGAGCGGCATTTCAACTACGATGAGAGTCTGCCTGTTATTCTGCTCGGGTTAGGCAGGGATGTGCGGCAGAAGGAGGATTACGGCGGGAGAGTGAAGAGGTTGGCGGATGAAGGGGAGGGGGAGGAGACGGGGTTGGTGGGGCGGGGGTTCGTGTATCCGCAGGAGGGGCTGCGGGTGGCGCAGGAGATGCGGTGTGATGTTTATTGCGAGTGTAGTGCGTTGACTGGGGAAGTGAGTTGACGAGATTGCATGGACGATCGGATCAGGCATAGCTGATGTGGGTGTACAGCTCTGTTCGGAGGTGTTTGAGGATATTGCGAAGAGGGCGGCGAGGACGACGACGGCGAAGGGCGGGAAGACCGAGGGGACGGATTGTGTGGTGATGTGATGCGCCATATCCTTCCAAGGAGGCGAGCGACACTCAGCTCGACGGCCACTGTTCCAGGAACGTGTCGACTTGGCACAGAGGACCCTGAGGTGTACCAGTGGATCACGGTACCACGCGGAGTCTGAAGACGCTAACTACTGTTTCGCCAACTTCTTGAACCGGAGCGACGGAGGATGAACACAAGAAGGGGATGGGGGTCCTCCGTTTACATGATTACACCCTCCGTCCAGACTAAGACCACGAAGGACACAAGACAGACGAGTGTTGCCTCTGCTTGCTTTATCCAAGACCACTTACGGAGAAGACTTCTGGACGATGGAATGTCTTTCAAACATTGATTTGGCGGTTAGTGGCCAATTCAGACCGGGTCGGGGACAATCGTTCAGCGGACAGTCGACAGAGAACCATCCGGATACTGCTCAAGCCCACCCTTTTGAAGCAGAAATATGCATCGGGAATATCGGAACCACTGCTTCTCTCCACAACCCGAGCACTACAACCACGCGGAGCATATGCGGGGACAGAGCGCAGATCATGCCTTGAGGGAAAACAACGACAGCACGATGTCACCTTGCTCCGGTTTCGCGTGTCGAAACTACATGACACCTGCCATAACTGTGCAATTCAACGACTGACGTCTGCCCGACATCAGCTTCGTAAGTTCGAGTGCCATGCGGTAAGGTTTCTTCGCGACTCTTCTCATCTCCTTGCTCTCCTTCACACCTCACTCCAGAATGGCGAACACGTTGAAGCTCTCCCTAACCGCTCTCCTCTCCGCACCCTTCACCCTAAGCTACACCCTCCCCGACGGCACCGGCAGACTTCCAGCCTTGGGTTGGAACAGCTGGGTCCGCCCTCCCCGACCCTCTCCTCCCTCTTCCCACTAACCCCCTAACCCAGAACGCCTACGCCTGCGACGTCAACGCCGACAAGATCCTCTCCGCCGCCCACGCCCTAGTCGACAAAGGCTTCCTCGCCGCTGGCTACGACTACGTCATCCAAGACGACTGCTGGTCCGTCGAACGCGGTCGTTCTAATGCGACTTACCAGCTCCTGCCTAATACGACCAAGTTTCCGGATGGGATTAAAGGCATCGCTGATCACGTGCATGCTTTAGGGTTGAAGTATGGGGTTTATAGCAGTGCCGGTTTGGAGACTTGCGGGGGGTATCCGGCGAGTTTGGGGTACGAGGGGGTGGATGCGGCGACGTTTGCGGAGTGGGGGGTGGATTATCTCAAGTATGACAATTGCGGCGTGCCGGACTACTGGTGAGTACCTCGTGACGACAACCCAGTGCCTGATGTACGCCATCTTGTCACTTCGAGAACGGAACAGCCTTATACTGCCTTCCTGCTTCGTTTGTCCGGGATATTAGCTGACGAGCTCTTCCCACGCGCGAACAGGTACCCCAATTGCACCGCCTGCAACCCGGACCCCTCCTACGGCGGTCCCGTCGGCGCCAACGGCACCTGCGTCCCCGGCTCCGAGCAGTTCTCCTACGGCCCGTTGTGCGACTACCAATGGCCCGTGGACGGCCGCAACTACAGCCGCTCCCTCACCGCCCTCCGCTTCCGCACCATGCAGCACGCCCTGGCGCGCCAGAACCGCAGCATCCTTTTCAGCCTCTGCGAATGGGGCACCGACGAAGTCTGGACCTGGGCGAACACCACCGGGCAGAGCTGGCGGATGAGTAATGACATCTTCAACGACTGGGAGAGCGTGGCGAGGATTTTGAACATGAATAGTTTTTTGAGTAACTATGCGGGGTTCGGCGGGCATAATGATGTGGATATGCTGGAGGTGGGGAACGGGGTGTTGACGGACCAGGAGGACAGGACGCATTTTGCGATGTGGGCGTTGATGAAGAGTCCGTTATTGATTGGGGCGGAGTTGGGGAATTTGACGGAGAGGCAGGTCGGGGTGTTGCAGAATCGGTACCTACTGTCTTTTAACCAGGATGAGGTTTATGGAAAGCCTGCTGTATGTTCTTCTCGTGCAGAGTTGACCCCCATTGACTCTTTCAAGGTTGAGCTGATGGTGATGACAGGCGCCCTACAAATGGGGCTGCAATCCCGATTGGACGTACGACGCAAAGCATCCTGCTGAGTTCTGGTCTGGTGCTTCGAGTCGAGGGACGATGGTGGCGATGGTGAATACGCTGAACCATACCCGCACAATGACGGCGGAGTTCAGCGAGGTTCCGGAGTTGGGTGCTGGGTCATATCATGTGGTAGATGTGTGGACAGGGAAGCAGATGGGCTGTATGAAGAAGAGAGTGGAGATGACGCTGGAGGCGCACGATACCGCTGTGCTGTTGGTTGGGATGAAGTGTTCGTGAGACAAGAGTGAGCATAAGGCGTTCTCAGTTCACCGACTCTACTATTCTGATTCACTGCACCCTCTCCACCTCAATCACACTATCATTCGCGCCCTCAATCACCCACACCTTCCTCACCTTCAACCCTTCCACCCCTTCAACCCTTCCACCCCTTCAACTAACTCCCTCCACTCCCTCTCCTTCCGCTCCCTCGAAGCATGCACAACCATCATCAACACATCCAAACTCGTCTCGAACCACCCGGCCCCTTGATCCGGCACCACGATCTCATTGAGCAATATCCGACTGTACCCCGGCGTCGTGGCATCCCTCAGATTAGCGAGAGCCTGCTGACACTGCTCCCTCGGCCAATCGTGGAGGACCATCTTCAGGAAATACGCTTTCGCCCCATTCAGTGGTTGGGGCGCGAACATATCATACGCCATCGCCTCCACCCCTTGCGCGGCCAATTTCCGCTTATCGAGACTCTCGATCGTGTGCGGGAGATCCTGCAGCACCAGCCGCCCCGTCATGTCCGGCTTCGCGTTACGGAGATTGAAAATGTCAAACCCATCGCTCCCTCCGACATCCACAAGCAACACAACCTCCTCCCCCAAACTTTCCGCTCCAAAAATCTCCCGCATCAACTCCCCTTTCTCAAACCACTTCCGCCCCATAGTTTTGAACCGCATATGTCCCTTGCAATGCTCGAGCTCCCGCTCATTCCCCAGCTGCGAGATCCACTCGAAGTAATGCTTCCCGTATCTCGCACAGAAAGCGCTTTGGTCATTGCCAGCTGGATCGGTGTAGGCGCGGTCTTTGAAGTACTGCGGCAGCCCGGCGCCGAGTTCGAATAGGAGATATGCGTTTAGCAACACGCCTTCGCCTTCCGGAAAAGCGAGCATGTGGGTGGTGGGGTTGGGGACGTAGGTGTCGGGAGCGGTTTCGGTGATGTGGTTTTCTACGGCGACGAATTTGAGCAGGCGTTCTAGGAGCGCTGGGTCGGTGGACGTGTCTTTGGCTAGTTCAGATGCTGTCCGGGATTCTGCAGAGGCGGCCAGAGTGCGATATGCTTTGGTGTCGATTAGAAGGCGGGCGGTGGAGTAGATGAGGAGGTGGTGGTAGAGGCGTGCTACGTGCTCCGACGGGGACTCTAACGTAGCGATCAGGGTGCGAGCAGAGTCGAGCAGACGTTGGCGGGCCACTTCATTGTTGGGGTCATAGTTGTTTGCTTGGGACTGGATGTCGTTTGTGAGTTGGGAAAGGGTCTTGTTGTCCATGTTGGCAGTTTTTGCAGGATAGTCCATCCAGATACCCGGCAACTGAGTGGTGGTCGTCAACTCCACTGAATAGCAATGTGGCAAGGCAGTATTTATATCATACTCCTAATGCCGCAGCTCGCCATACTCAGCTCATAGACCGACCAAAAGTGATAGACGGTGACCAGCCAGCAATACCTTGTTCCATCCCCCGTTGGTCTCGAGCTCCATGCCATTGTGACGGTATGTCAGAGAGCAATAGACTGATAAGGCATTTGCGCGGCATGGGTTGAACGAGAGCGCAATGGCGCCAAAAGCGTGGTGTGGCTTGAACGGCAATCACATCCAGCGCTGCGCACCTTCAGCTGCATACAACTGTCAGGGTCGATGTCAGCTTGATCGTGTAAAGAGCCCTCAGGGTCGCGTGACGCAAGGGGGCGTTGGGGGAAAATGTAACGGCCATCCTATCAGCTGCAATTAAGCCTTCGCCGCAAAAACAACACTATCTCCACTCCCAGCATCATACTCCCTCGCCTCCCTGACCCTCAACCCCGCCTCCCCAAGCAAAACCCCCCACTGCTCCTCCGTCCGCTCCATCGACGCAAGCACCGCCATCATACAGATATCGTAGTTGACCTGCTTATGACTGCTCGCGCCTTTCCGCACCACCATCTCGTCAATCACCACCACCGAGTCATCGCTCATCGCCTGTCGCAGATGCCTCAAGATGACCAGGCATTCCGCGTCCGGCCAGTCGTGTAATATGTTGCGCATGTAGTACACTTTGGCTCCTTCGACGGCTTGTGGTTGGGTAAAGTCGGCCGTTTGAACCTCGATCTCGTGATCCTTCAGGCGTTGTGCTTGCGCTGAGTCGAGACTGGAGACGACCCATGGCAGGTCTTGCACGAGTACTTTGCCGCCCAGTTGTGGGCGTGCGGTGCGCAAGGCGAGGGATTGCTGGCCGCCGCCACCGCCTACGTCGACCATCAGGACTCTTCCAGCTTCCATGTCCGACTGCGAGAGCGTAAAGTCTGCTGGATTGAAGATGGTAGGTTCCGCGAACCAGTTCGCTTGTCCCGATCGCTGGGCGGGCATCGTTCCGATCATGGCCTTCAAGTTCGCGGGGTGGTGTTGCAGCCATGTAAAGACGGGTTCACAAGTGTTGAAGGCTACGTTGAAAGGTATGTGCGTGTTGTTGGTGGGGTTGCGGTACTTCGTCTCACGGAGAAAGGTGGGAAGCGCTTGGTGGCAAGGGCCCAGTGTCATTTGGCTGTAGTGAGGTAAGCTACGTGCGGGAAGAAGGCGCTAGGAAGACATACTTCTGGTCGATGCCATCCTTGATCATTTCGGTGGCGAATACCTCAGTTGCCGCGTTGGCGTACCAGGAACCATCGGACGTCTCGCCAATGAGGCCGTGCGCAGCGAGACCACGCAGAATCCGTACTTGAATCCATTAGCGCCTTGTCACTCTTGTAACTATGCGAGAGATCGTACGCAGTAAGATTCCGTCAGCACTGGTAGCCTGGGCAAGCTTCTCCGTCGTATGCTGCTCTCCCGGTTGGGAGCTCAACACCCTGAAGACGTCAATGTCTGCCGCTACTTTTGAGACAGTGAGTGGGATTTGCTGTGCACGAAAGCAATCAGTGGTGCACCGCTAGCTAGAGGGCACTGCGATGAATGTCCTGAACGCTCTTACCGAGAACAGAACTCGATGCATCAGCTCGTGGTGACCCTCAGCCGCAAACATGAGTTTCCGTGCAGCATCGTGCAACTGCTTCCTCGACTCGGCATCTTTGGGAGGGTCATGGGCCGCCTGGTTAAGGATGGAGATCAAGTCCGACATGTCCATTGCTGCGAGGAAAGACGAGGCGCTCGGCAATAGCTCTCATGTTGGCACTGGAGCACTTATATACGCACGATTCTCGCGGCAATATTGGCGCGTAGGTTCCTCGTACGTGCCAACTTGCGTGAGTACAAACGACAACCGCCTCCAACAGCGCATGGTCGGAATTAGCTCTGCGTAAGGAGCGTGCAGGCGCTCACGAAACCCGAGTCGGCATCTCGCTCATGTCATGGCAATGGCCTAGCTGATTCCCTTGATAGATTTTGTAGGACATCTTGTGGGACGCAAACCGGCCCGGCCGCGTTGCAATAAGACGCTACTGGTGAGTTGCCAGTCTGCATGCCAAGCATGAGGTGCGGTAGGAAATAGTGGAATGGCGGTTGATCCTTGGGTCCTGGGCGGATCGTGTTCGCGGCGGTATCCCATAGAAGGCAGCAAGTCTGAGACGATGTCGTCCGACCCACGTTGCCAGATCTAAGCGATGTCGTTGACGATGTAGACCTGCAGAAGGAGGTACGAGCGGTGGAGGAGCGTGTAGTTACTGGCAGCGGAGGACATGTCGTCGGTTTCCATGGCCTTGGCAGAAGCTCTGACCGCGTTCAGAGACGACAGCTGCTCGATCATGACAACTCTCCAACATCACATGATTGTCACATGCTAAACACTCTTCCCGGTCTCTCAATACACGTCTGCTCGTGAAGGTCTGCTATCGAACGATCGCTTCACAGGCTCACAACTCCTCCGCGACGCCCCGGTGGCCATCTACCGAACCACTCTTGACCAGTACCGTCCACCGCCATGTCGCGAGAAATAACCCGCCACGAGGTCGAACGCTTCTGGGAAATCTTCGCCTCCCTCTCCAACGGCGGCACTCATCTCTCCGGCGACCAAGCCGCCTCCGTCCTAAAGAACAGCCAGCTTCGCGACGACCAGCTGGAGCGGATATGGGACCTCGCAGACGTCGACAACGATGGCCGGCTGGACTTTGAGGAGTTCTGCGTTGCGATGCGCCTTATCTACGATGTCATGAACGGCGAGCTGTCGGATGTGCCACGGACACTGCCGGATTGGTTGGTGCCGGAGAGCAAAGCGCATTTGATCCAGGCGACGAGGGCGCTGAGTGGGAGCGAGCGATTCGAACGGCCTGATCTGGACGATGATGGAGATGAAGGGGGCGGGCTGAGGGACGGGTTTGATTGGTACATGAGCCCTGCGGACAAGAGGAAGTACGAGGAAATCTACACAGCGAACCGTAACCCGCGCGACGGCATGGTCGCGTTCTCAGCGCTGGAGGATTTGTACGAGAGTTTAGACGTGCCGGACACTGATATACGGAGTGCATGGAATCTGGTCAATCCGAAAAGCATGGAGGGGATCAACAAAGATGCTTGTCTGGCATTCCTGCACATTTTGAATAACCGGCATGAAGGATACAGGATCCCGCGATCTGTACCTCCTAGTTTGCGAGCAACGTTCGAGCAGGGCAGGATTGAGTATGATCTAGGCGACAACAGGAACAATATCCAGAGTGCGGCGGATCGATGGGGGACGAAGAGGGATGACAATACCCTCTCTGGCAGGAAAGCAAAGTTTGGAGACACCTATCTCTCACGATTAGGTGTTGGGGAGCGAAAACCGAAGGGTACGGATTTCTCAACCACACCACGAGACGGAGAATGGGAGGAGGTGCGGTTGAAAAAGCAGCTGAAAGAATTGGAAGAGAAGATGGCGAAGGTGGAAGAGGCGGCGCAGAGCCGGCGGGACAGGGGTGGTCGGAGAGAAGACTCAAGACCGGCGTTGGTGAAGAGGGAATTGGAGCAGCTGCTTGATTACAAGAGGAGGGAACTGAGGGATCTGGAGAGAGGGGAGGGGAAGGCGAAGGAAGGGCAGAGTCTGAAGGGTGTGGCGGATGAGATTGCTATGGTCAAGGAGCAGGTTGATGGTTTGCAAGAGCATCTGAGGAAGAGGGAGGAGGTGCTGCAGGGTTTGTGGGATCAGATTGAGGCGGAGAAGGGGAGTCGGTAATGGGAGAGGTACGCAACAGTGGTGCCGAACACTCGCACTGCATGCGTGCTGAGAACCAGTGCGGATGGACTGTGCTTGTACATACCAGAAATGTACAGCGATCACTCCTTTGGCAGCATCGAGCGCCCTCAGTGCTCAGTTGAACAACTCAACATGATCGGAGCTTTCTCATGGCGTTCTGCTGGTGACTCAGAACTCCCGAACTCTCAAGAGTCCATACACGCAGGGTGAGAAGGAGAGCAAAGGCATCAACGATTCATGCATTCTCTACCTACTCTGATCAGCAACCTGCAATATCGCACCACATCAACGACCGAGACGACTGCTTCAGAACACACTGGCCGTTTCTGCCACCGACAAGCTAGCCGTCAACCATCACATCACATCACATCAAGCAAAGCACAACGACAACCATGCAACCATGCCACCCAATGCATACAAGCCCGATCCCACACCATCACATCAAGCAACACAAAGTAAAACCCACCATGCTAGTCTTCCAACACTCAAACAACTTCATCGTCATCATCATCATCAGACACCTCTCGCTTGGCCTTCTGAGTCGTCCGCTTCGGCGTGATAGAAGCGTCTGCCCGCCGCTTCTCACGCTCTGAGGCAGGAGGTGCTTCGTCATCTGCCTTGCCATCATTCTCCAACAACTCATCCTGCTCATCCTGCTCATCCTGTTCTGGAGCTACACTGCTCGCTGCACCATCTTCATCAACGGAGCCCGACTCAACATCCGATTGAGATGTCTCTTCAACTTGATCGCCATTGTTTTCGGTCTTCGCCTTCCCAGAAATGACCACTTCGATGTACAATACTCTGGGATTGTATGGCCTTCTCTCCAGAGCACTGTCAAGCCAGCTGTTCGCCTGCCGCTTAGGGCGCGTATCCCAGCACCAGAGTTTCTCGCTACCCTCGACTTGCGGCAGGATCCAGACGCTGTAGATGAACTCGGGCTCCAGCTTCTTGTGGAGGTAGCTGTCCAGAGTCATTTCGCCATCCGCCCTCTCCTCGTCTCGCACCATCACCTGGTCACGCAGGTGTTCCCTCAGTGCCGGGAGTGTATGGTTGTCCTTGAGAGTGATCTCTTGAACACCAGGAACATTCACCAGCACCCTTGGTTCTGTGGTATCACAGAAGAACAGAAGACCCGCAATTGTGGCTTTTGATGTCGAGCCTTTGGATTTCCACACCGCTGCTGCTTTCGACCGTTTCGACGGCACTGGCAGAGCTCTTGGTCGAATGAGATGGGTTTGAAACAGCGCCCCTTCGTGTGAAGCACTTTGCGAGAGCTCCTGCACCACACCATTCAGATCGCCTTTTGAGGTACAGCCGGCACGCACGAAGTCCTTGTCGAGCCGGTATTTACCACCAGGAGCAAAGTTTTCGATTGGCACCCCGGCATCGCAACTTCCAATGGACAGGCCGTTGAAGAAGAAAGTATCCACTGAAAGATACGACACATCGGTGTCTGGCGAAGAGACCTCAGCTACAATCACAGAGTGCACTTTGTTATCCGAAATCTCAGGGGCGTCCTCGCTCAAGCCATCATCATCGTCAGCACAGAGTCCCACACGGAAGAAGACCCTCTTCCGAGCCTTGGACTTCTTTCGTTTCCCTGCCGAAGCAATGCCGAGCGTACCATCAGCGTCGCCCCAACTGGGATCACCTCCTTCATCACGTACGCCTTTTGACCCTCCCCTCGTGACAGGAAGGCTCTTGTACTTTTCATCTGGCTTCGTCTCAAGAGCTGCATCTGCTTGCAACGATCCTGTGTTTTGGAATGGCGCAGCGTGAGGTTTTGGTTGAGCTGACAGCTGCGGTGCCGGACCTGCTGCGGCAGCTGCTGTTGATAGAGCGGTCTGCTCCTCTTTGGAACTGGTGCCATCGGAGACGGTGTGAACGACGAGCACCGGAAGACGTCGGCCATCTATCTGACAAGCACACAGTTGTTGATCTGGAGGTAACAGTGCTGCCGCTCGCCGTTCGCCTTCGGAGTGGCCGCGCTGGAAGAGGTACCTGAGGCCGTTCAGGTCAGTGTTGATGGTCTCGTCTTCACTTGTCTTGAGAACGACCTTGTTGCTGCTGTCATCGACTCCTAGGTGGCGCTGCAAGAGCTGTGGCAGGTGCTGTTCACAGTCAGCAGGTGGCAGCTTCGGTGCAAGGGCTAGAGCTTCTTACATCGATCGATTGGAGATCAGCTAGAGCGTACGTTGGGCCATTGATTTTCACACCGCCATCCATTTTGATGACGATCGCGATGCCGGTCAGGTCTATCGATGGTTGCTGCGACATCTTACACGTGTTGGATGGGAAACCCAAAGCTTGCTGGTCTGCAATGGTGGAACGATCATGAGGCACTGTGGGTGTTGCGGTATCTTGCAAAGGAATAGGTACAGAATCTCTGCATACTTACTTTATCAACGACAGGTCGCCTCTGTTTGCTCTCTGGGTGTTCTGGATCAGCTATAAAAACATCAAGAATTTCTTGGAGATAATGGAAACAATCAATGCGTAAAAGAAGCCAAAAATGCTGCCTGGCAGAGCATTCGATCATGATGGAATCGGCAAGGATGTCAGATGCTTTGTGCCGTCCATTTCGGTTTCTGTTGGCACAATGGGTTGCAAGTTTGCTACCACCCAGCTTCTGTGGCCTTTGTGTAAAGCTTTGGTTTGCAAAGAGCAGCTGCAGCAGGTCAATGACGCAAGTGCAGAGTAGGCCACTTCTCTGCTGTTGGTTCGGAGCGGAAAGCTTAGAGGGAGAAGAAATTGGATGTTAGAGATGACTGGGCACAGAGGTAGAAGTAAACAGATGCAGAAGCAGAGGAAGAGGTGCAATGAAATTAAATAATCGTAGAAGACAAAAGATGACGAGAGAGCAATTGGGTCAGACGGAAGTAATGTGGTGCATCGAGAATCGTACCAAGCAGTACATACCATTAGTCACCTCTCCATCACATCAAGGACCATACATGCTCAACGAGACCAACCTACTCTTCATCCTTCGACTTCCTGCGTTTGGCCGGCGTGCTCTTGATAGCTTTGCCAGACGTCTCCTCCTCAGCCTTCCGTGCTGCCACCGCCTCTTCACGCTCTGCATCGTAAGTCTGTCTGACAATCTCGTTGTCGCTGTCGCGGCGGATGCTGCACAGAGTCTTCCCGGGAGCTTGGCGCTCCGGAGAAGAACTTGCTGTTGCTTGAGACGGCTGGGTTGATGCAGCTGGCTTGCGGACACCAGCCTTCTGCTTGCAACCACCAAAAGTCTTGCCTCCCTTGCTTTCCTTGGGCGCCTCTTCCTTAGGCGCCTCTTCCTGCACTTGCCTGGTGGTGTACTTGGATCGGGTTGTGTTGACCGCCATGCCCTTCTTCTTCTTCATTGGCGGGCTACGTCTCTTTCTCTCCTTGCCCTTGCCCTTGCTCTTGCCATTCCCTCCTTCCTCACTGCTACTCTCCACCTCATCCTCTTCCAGGATTGCTGGGGCTTGAACGAATTTCCCGTCGTCTTGAGATTTTCTGACGATGACTGCATCGAAGTAAAGCTTTCGACCCATCCAAGCAACCCAATTGGCGTCCAGCCATGATCCAACAATCTTCTGTGGAGTGTTGTCCCATCGATAGAGAGTTCTGGACTCAGGTGTTTGCGGTAAAAACCAGATGTTGAAGGTCCAGTCATCACCAAGCTTGCGATCAAGAAGATGTCCGATGTCTTCGTTGGGTTCGACTGCGGGACAATCGGGCAACCACTTCTTGAAGTGATTGCAGTCCTCGAACCATTTTAGAGCGCCTTGAACGTTCAGCGGCAAGCGAAAACTTCCGGGGTTTTCGCTGGCTTCATCAATGAGATTCACAACGCAGTGTAACTCGTCCTTAGATATCGGGTCGTTCAGATGTGGCAGCGGCCCTGTCACGCGTTCCGGTTCGGTTGGTAGTGAAAGCGGCACGACGAGAACAGAGCCTTGACTTGGATCATGATGTGCAAATGAGCAACCTCCTTGGTCTGCTTGCGGCGCACTGGCGAGGTCAAGGAGCGTTGCCTGAGATTCTTGGTCGTTGTGTCGGCGTCCGCAAAGAGCGGATCAAACACAAATGGGGATTTCAGGGAGAATGGTGCACTGTGATGAACGCTGCCGATCCAGAGATCGTTGAACCTCCATGTAGGCACTTCGAGATACTCGACTTTGCCGCCATGCACCTTACCGACCACCAACGCCCTGACTGGACAGTCCTGATATTCCTCCGGATCCTCCTCGTTGCGGTACCAGTTTGACATGCCGAAGCGAATAAATCTTGGACCTTCGTCTGCTGAAGAAGGAGCTGTGGGCTTCGTCTGCTCTTGATCTGCGACTGACGAGCTGTCGTCATCGTCTCCGATTGGGGATGATGATTGTTTTCGCGGTCGTTTGAGGCCCTGTGATGAAGGTCCGCCTGATGCCTTCTTCGCTGCTTTCGCAACACTACCGCCCTTCTCGTCCTTTGAGGAAGTTGCAGGCTGGGTGTTTTGTGTCGGCTTCAGAACTCTGTGGTACAAAGCAATAGCTCTGTTGCGATCCATATGCGGATAGTCACGATGCATGAGCGTATCCAAGTCGACAGCAGTACCACAAGAGCCAGGCTGGTGGATCTCAAACACAAACTTGCCTTTGGGGTCAAGCTTGTTAGGAAGGCGGCGAATGATGTCCTGCGATCAAGTTAGCTCAACTTGCAGGCACAGAGTAGACGATACGTACATCAGTCGAGTGCAAGCCGTCGAGCTTATACGATACCTCGTCTGGTGTGTCTGCAGGGACACGGCCTTCATGCTTGAATTCTTCACATGGGTAGAAGTCGACGATGTCTGCTGGGTCATGGAGACCTAATCGTTTGGGCCGAGCCATCGTGGAGGTGTGCGTTTGAACGCTTGAGGATGTAGAGGTGTTTTGGAGATTTTGCGACAGGTATGGATGGGATTAAGTAGTACCTCTGGCCAAGCTTCTGCCTCATCAGGTGGCACTTACTGCATGTTTCTACATCGCTCACGTCTCTTCTGTCACTTCTCTCGTGATCCCTGTCCCATTGTTCGGATGTGTTCAAAGGACCGTCAAGGACGGCGGAACGATCTGGAAGCTGCCCCATTGACCCGGAAACAGTGTCGTGCACAGAAGGCAAGGATGGTTGAGCGACACCTGGACAGAGCGTCGCGAGTTGATGCGGTGGGTTCACCGACCTGAGGCTGATTGCGGCGATGTGTCGATGCTACGGTGTGTAGAACAAGGGAAGCATTACGACGGTTCTGGTCGCAGTCAGGGGCATGGAGTACAGGTAAGTGCTTTCCATAGTGCAATTCAACTTGGTGCGGGTTCGTCCATACTTCGCTGAATCTGAGCAGGCGGCTGCTTCAATTCCGGCTCACCAGCAGGAGTCGCCATCTGCCTGATGTACCGCTGCATGCTTTCGCAAAGTCGATCAAGCACAAACTCCGGTTCGCTCTTCCTCGCCATCATAGGACTGTCCTCACCAATCCAATCCCAATCAATAAGCTCGTCGTCCTCATCTTCATTCTCAGTGCCGTCCTTAGAAGCAGTGAACTTGATGAGCTGAGTAAACTCCACCCACTCTTCGTAAGTGTACCGCTTGTGACGGCCATCTTTCAGATCATTGGCAGTCTGGCGGATGTATTTCGCTAGCCTGCGAGCGAGTTCGTCGTTGGAAGGCTCGTCTTTGGCCAGCTGTTCGATGGTAGGCGCAGAAGGCCCTGTATCTGGCTCCGGTCCCGTCCTGAAATCTTCTTCAAGCCGGCGTTTGGCTTGCTTCTTCTCCTTCCGTTGCTGCAACCAATCCAACATCCACGGATGCTTGTCCAGGATGGCTCTCCAAACGCCTTTCTGAGGCAGAACTGTGAAATCGGCAAGCGCAAAAGTACCGTGCTTGAACTTATTAATCACAGTTTCGCCCAAGTCCGAGACCAGGATAGTCATCGTCGGGATAGCGATCAAACTCCAGAAGACGAAGAATGGGCGACCTGGGTTACTCTGGGGAGCAAGGTCGCCATAGCCAATTGTCAAGAGAGAGACATAACAGAAGTAGAGCGCTTGGAAATAGCTCAGCCCCTGCCCAGCATGTTCTGCGCGCCAGAAAACAACAGCACCGCCGCACCAAAGGATTGCAAATGCCGTGACTGATAAGAACAGAGCGTACCAGCGCTTGAACTTGCTGGTATCGTGCTGGATTTTCCGCATAGCATCAAAGCGGTCCTTCTCTTCTCGTAGCAGGATGAGCTTCGGCTTGCGCTGTCGTGATGACCTGGAAACAAGGCTTGCGACCCGCTTCAGAGTCTTGGCTCGTCGAGGGATATCATCTGGCCCTTCGTCATTCTCAGCAATCCGTATCGTTCGCGATCTGGCTTGATCGGCTGGACTTATCGGCGCTGATATCGTAGGCCTGCCGTCGTCTGTAACCGTCTGTCTTCGTTCCATCTCCAGCGACGTGGTTACAGTCCGCCCGATTGTCCTGACTCTGCTGTGTTCGACATGCCGCTGAACAATGTTCTCTGAGCCGATCTCCGTAGCGAATTTCGATATGCTGGACACCATAAGACCAAGCATGATGATTCCGCCAACGGAGTATGGGAAGAGAAGCCCACGAGCAATATCGGACGTGGCGTAAAGATCGCCGAAGCCCACTGTGAGGATAGTAACATCACAGAAGTACAGAGCGTTGACGTAGGACCAGTTGAAAGTTCCGTCCCCATATGTCGTTTCCACGTATGAAAATATGGCTCCGCCACCTGCCAGCCAAAGGAAGAAGAGCATGGTCTGCAGGATCAACGTCCGTTGTGAGTCACTCAGTTGAAAATGCTGCGGATAATGACCCAGGAAGTATCCGAGCATGTTGACCATGAGCAGCATCGAGCATACCAAGTACATACAGGCGGCGATGACAGCATACCAGAAGCCTTGCGAGTAGGTCTGCTGCGGCCGGACTGGTGATACGTGAAGTTCCATCGATGCAGTAATACCAATGAGGATGCCGGTGGCGATGTACCAACTAGCGATGGTGACCGGCAGCGCGATGATGTAGCGGATGCGCTGGGTGAAGTTGCATAGCAGAAAGATGTTGCCGACGAAGCCCACTACAAGCGAGGCGACGTTCAGATAGTAACACCAGCGTGGATCTGAGTAATAGACGCCATTCAAGTCCGGGTTCAACGGCCGGTCAGGACCTCTGAAGACGCATTGTTCGGCTTCGGCATGGCTCCCAACGCCAGGCACAAGACACATCCTCCATGGAGTCACCAGAGCAGCTATCGACAGGACGTTGGCCAAAGGTCCGATCGTCGCCGCGAGGAGGGGGATTGCAGTACTGGCGAACCACCAGCTCTGCTCTGCGTCGTCTTCCCATGGACGGAGTCCGAACTTCCACCATCGACGTCCAGGAGTCTGCGTGCGACGAAGCACCAAAGGTGATCTGGGCCGAGAAGATTTGCCAGATGGACGTCGCTCGAACCAGTCATGAGCGTGTGTGCCATTCCATTCATGTCCAGACTCCTGGTTTGGACCTGTTGAGTCGATTGGTGATAAAGCGGCGGTGGTACGCTCGGCCGAAGATTCCTGGCTTCGGCTCTCCTCCACCATAGTGCTACCTCCTAGCCGTGCTTGTTGTAACGATATCTTGAGTGACACATCCCAGCCAGTACGCGATGCCGTAAGACGCCAGTAAATGCCAAGGGGGATATATAAAGGTCCATCATGTTGGGTCACGATGTCTGGTAGCTCTAGACCGAGTAAAAGCAAGGAGGTACCGACCACGAGGTTGGAAGCTGCAGCCACTCAGATAAGGTCCGTACTGTCCGCGGACTTGCAAAGATCTCGACCAGACGCCACCGGCTCTCATACTTCACATCCATGTCGTGCCACTGGCATTGAACAGCTGCTCGAGAAGTGTTCGACCTTGTTCACCCCGGCGGCGACATCGTGAGTCCAAGACTTCGAAAGCGAGGCTGCGGCCAATCGCACCACGGCGCTGCGAGTGTAGTCATGCTTTGTCATGCGTGATGCAGTGGAATGTAAGACTCTCCTCTCGCACGAGGAAGCGCCTCGATGGACAAGAACGCGGTCGTATGTAGTAGTGGAGGTGAAGAAGACGAGCTGAAGTTGAACAGCGCCTTCGCCGTTATCTTGGCGGGAGGCCTGATGACCGTGAAGCCATCCATATCACGGTATGGACTATTCGTGAGAGAAGAACGAGGGAATTCGCATGCTTGAAACATCAATGATAAAATTGCTCATCGCTCATGCCCTAAGCTGAACAACATTTGTCAATACACTTCGTCTACTGTACAAGACACACATCTAGCGATTATACACTATCTACATACAACACCACCTCCCACCTACCGTCCACCCGATCCCAAATACCTCGCCTGCGTATCATCAGGTACCGCAGGCATACTCTGCACAGCATATACCGTCCGCGCCGCCCTGGCCCTAATCTCCCTCGTCGAGCCCACAAACCTCCTCAACTCCCTCGGCAGCTCATCATCCCCACGCTTCCGATTCGCAGACTCCATCCTCCTCAGATCCAGCATCGCCGCGCCCAGTCGAACAAAAGTCTGGTACTCGGGCATGATCTGCTGACGATTGACATACCGCGCCTGCATGCGCTCCAGCCGCTGGAAGCGACTCTGCGGTTGAGGGGGCCGGGTGGTGTTGCGGGCCCAGCCGCCGAAGTGCGGGATCATGTAGCGCTCGGTGAGGACGAAGGCGAGGAGGGCGAGGGGCGGGCGGGTGTCGAGGAGGCTGCAGATGAAGAGGTTCCAGGTGCGTTTGCCGAGGGTATAGCCTTGTGAGAGGAGCTGGGAGACGAGTTTGATGGTATCGCCGATGCGGGCTTGGGAGGACAGGGTGCGGATGTACCATTGAAGAGGTCGGTCGAGGATGTGTCGCCGGGCTAGAGAGAGCTGAGGTCGAGAAGGCTTTTTGTTGGTGTCGAGAATCTGCTTGGGCGCTGCGGTCGATTGTGCTGGGTCTTGTCTCGCACCCTCGGCGGGTTGCATGGAGGTGTCAGGCTCATCTTGCTCCGGCTGATCCGCTGGCTCCAGCTGGAGAGGATCGGGCTCATTCTCAGACTCGTCCGGAGGTGGAACGAACTGGGGAATCTTGACAACACGCGCGAGTTCGTCTGCCTGCTGCCTGGCAAGCTTCCAGTATTCCTCCACCTGGTCATGCTCATTGGCGTGATATTGTGCCGACATGAGCGCGCTCAGCATGCGTATCGAAACGGTCTCACCACGCTTGCCCTTGCCAGACATGTCGTGATACTGCTCGGACAGCGTCTTAGCCGCTTCGAAACATCTCCGCTCGCCGTGAATGTAGATCAAGAAGTCAAAGTACGGCGCGAGCGGGTCGTCGAGATCCAGCTTGTCGGAAACCTTGATTGGCTCACCAGATGCAATATCCTTTGCGTTGTCCTGTGACGCCAGATGCTGAAGCTCCTTGAGCGTGTCTTCTAGAGGTACTGAATTTTCTAGTTCCTCGGTAGATTTGCCGTCCGCGGCGCGCATCTCAAGCCCAGCTTTGGCCTTCAGGTAGTTGATGCGGGTACCAAGAGTCGGCTTGATGCCCACGTTCTGCATCTTTTGATACACATCAAGTGCCTGCTGGTACGAGTGCTGTTTTGTCAAGCCTGCCATCAAGAGCGCATAATGATATGCTGTGGGTTGGATGTGATGCTCAGGCATGATGTCGTTCAAGATCTTGAACGCCGAATCAGACCGCCGGTAATGGAGCAGTGCTTGCATCAAGGAGCCAAAAGTCTCGCCGTCGAGTGGGACCTTCTCACTCCGCATCCAGCGATAGACGCGCATTGTGGCATCGATATCTCGGCGTGTCGCATAGAATCCCATCAGAGCATTGAAACAGGCAGTGAGTTCACCCACGACCTCTCCTTCAGCCCTGTCCGAAATCACTTGATGGAGGACCTTCTCAGCTCCTTCAGCGTTGTCATCATTTCGAAAGTGCGCATGCATCAACGAGAGCATCATGTCAGTCGTCCGCCTTTCTCCCGCGAGCCGATCATACTGTTCGTACAAATCTTCCAACCCGTCAACATCCCCGCGCTGCGCGACCATGAAGAACAAGGGCGAGAAGGTGTAAGAGTCTGGTTGTAGCTTTGTGTGAGTGACAATGTTGTAAAAGTTCGTCATTGCGCCTTCGAGGTCATCGACCCGCATGTGAGCATGCAGGAGTACATTCCAGCATTGGAGTGTAGGCTTTTCATCGTGCTCCGCATTGATTCGCTGGACTTCTGAGAAGGCTTGCTGGGCTCCGTCAAGATCAGCTCGGCGGGCGTGAAGGTAAATCAGGGTCCATAGCGAATCGCGTTGGTCTTCGTACACTGGGTAAACAGAGCGCTGGTATTCTAACAGAGATTCGAATCTCTCTGTTTCACCAAATCTTGCGTATTGCGAGAGGAGAAGATTGATGGCTTTGGTGCCCAGCTTGCCGTAGTATTGTTTCCAGTCACTTATGAGAGTGTCAACGTCGACGCTGTTGTGGCTGTGGTACTCTGCTGGTTTGGATTGCCAATACCTGCCAACTTGTCCCAGGAAGGTATACAGAAGCTCCCCAGACGGCCTCACGCCAGGTGTTGCGCAATATTGTCGGTAGATGTAGGAGAAAACCTGGTGATACCTGCTGTAATGGAGGGACGAAGACCGGCGAAGAGCTGAAATCAAGAAGTCCTCAGCGAATTTTGCGGGAGCTGGATCCATATCCATGATATGCTGGAAGATCGTTCGGATGTGTCGACGTGGAGGCGGGCGGGCCGTTTTCATGCTTGGATATGCTGCAGAATCATTCTCAACCTGCAAAAACTCCTGAGATACTGCCTCCTTGAAAAAGCGAAAGCAGAAGTTCCTATACTCCGGTGAAGCTGACCGCAAGCCATCGATATCGCCGAGGTGGGCAGTGAGTTGGGCGGCCTTCTCCAGTAGCTTTGGCGTCTCAGAAACATGCAGCCAGAACACTTTCACCTGGCTAAGCTGACCTATGTCCGTGTAAGTGGAGTTGTGTTGGACTGCAGTGTCCATAGCGAGTTGCCACATGCTCTCAGTGATGGCATGCTCAAATAGCATTCGGGAGATTAAGTAGCCGTTCTCCAGGTTTTCAAGGGCATCTTGGTGCAGATCCAGTGCGCGGCTGAGGTCACCGTGTTTGGCAAAGAAGGCAAGTCCGGCCTTGTAGACTTCGAAAGATCTGCTGGACTTGGGAATGGAGTGGTACAGCTCCGCGCAATGGCTGACTGCAGTCTCGCTTGGCTGCGTCGACAGCCAGACCAACAGCTCTTGCTTCAGCCGGACGTCAAGTTGCGCTTCTTGGTCCAAGGACTTGTAGATTGCCCATGCCTTGTCGGTTCGCAAACGGCTCTCCACAGGACTAGGACGGGTCGCTTCATCGTAGCTCGATGCGATAATGTTGCGCAACACCTGCATTGGGTCGGCTCTCATCTCGGCAAGGTCGGCAGGAGAGTCGCCGAAAATATGCTCAGGGGTGTAATCCGAGGAATGGTCAGTCTTTGCCTCATCGAGACCATATCCAATCTTCGCATTTCGCGGCGACTCCGTATTCTCCCTCGGAAGCTCCGCGGACGGGTCCTGCGAGATGTGTTCAGACGGAGATTCGGTGGACTGACGGGCATTCTCAAAGTCAAGCCCAAACCCTCTTGTGGTAGAGAACCGCACATCGTTGTCGTCCTTCTCAGCAGCTGCGGGCAAGTCCGATGGCCGAACTTGCGTATCAACGCTATTTCCATACGATGCCATGTTTTCGCGTTGTAGTTCCTCTTCAGCAAGCTCTCCCGGAAGATCCGAGAACCCAGTTTCTGCACCTCGCTTGGACTCAAACGCCGGCCGAGTCACTGATCCTCCCTTTCGACGTGTCTTCTTCTGTCGTTTTTTTGCATTCCAGCTGTCAAAGTCTGATACATATTCAGGGGTGTCATCATGCGCTTGAAGCCATCTATCATGGGGCGTTCGCCTTCCCATATCTGTTCGAGTACGCTCTGTCGCGACAGGCTGAAACGGCGTGTACGCTATAGGCACTTCGAAGCCCGCTGCTTTCTCAAAAACTCTGTCATGGGCATACTGCGCCGACCTAGGCTCCAAGCTCTTGCTGTTCTTCGGAGTGCTACCCGCCTTTGGGGTTTCCTCTGCAAGCGGACGGTAGGTATCAGATGCGTACCTCTTGGAGGCGAGAACATATCCACGGGGTAGCCTAGACATGTTCCGCCTCTCCCATCGCTGCAATGGCTGTGTCTGTTTCCGCCGTAGCCAGGCGAGTGCTTGCGGCGGCCACAGGAAGTCAAGGAATACCCCCTTCGTAGCCGATGGCTCCGTTTGAACAGCATCAAGCTGAGCCTTGCCACTACTTCCTCCCCTGTCACCGCCCTTCAAACCCATATCGGTCAACATTGCCCCCATCGCCATCAACCAGGGTGGAAGGTCGAGGTCGCAAGCGCCATGATTCCAGAAGGTTGAGTGGAGCATGCGCTTACTCCTCCGCGCACCTCGAGCGCATCTGAGAGGCTCTCGTAAGGCTCCAGATTTGAGGCATGCCGTTGCGCGCTCTAGCATGCCACTCGCCGTGGCAATGCTAATGCTCCTGCTATCGTGGGTTGAGTGCAAGTCGCCGAGTCATGCCCGTCGTTGTTTTGTCTCAGTATCTTACTCTAGTCTTTCCTCCTCCACAAGTAGGATCTGAGATGGCGTTGGAGCGTTGTGCATGGACAGACATTATCGAATAAAGGACGAGATGTATGACGGTCTCAGAAACGGTATGGCCCGTGCGCATCCCCGAGTTCGCCGCAATGGCAGTCTGGACTTCACCTTAACCTCACTTCATTCATTCCACTCCACCGAAGATACCCTTACTCTGATGTTCATTCAATCGACGCTGCTGAATGCCGCACTACATGGGGGTACCTACCATGACATTTCTTCAGATCCCACGCTTCGACCTGTTTTCAATGGGACAAGGCATTGGAAGTCTGTCTTCCCCACCGCCGATAGGCATGTGCAAAAGCTCTCACCCTGTGATGAGATAATTTATCGCCTGAGAGAGAGCGGCTCTGCACCATAGCGAAGTCGACTATCAAGTTACACATCTTACTGTTGAGGTGTAGCACGGTTGGTACTCCACTCCTTCGCAGTGTTGTCCTTATGAGCGCTCTTCATGTCGGTATAGCCTGGAGCGACTCTTACTACAGACCTGAGTTTCTGGGATGCCCTCAACTTTGCAGGTAGGAGTCCCAAGACAAGGCTATATCACCATGTGATTTCTGAGCAAGAGCAAATGTCTCCGCACGAGACATTGCACTTCGTCAGCTTCACCTCCCACCAACGCTCCAAGACATGTTTGCTTCTGTTCGCACTTCAGTCCTGCCAATCTCAACAATGCCATCTTCAACGCATGAATTCAGAGCTCGCTTTCGCCACAGCCTCCAATTGTACGCAGCACGTCATACCTCAGGCAAGCTTGCCGTCCTTCTCGAGCGGTCGAACGCACCAGCGATCCTCAGGTGCGCGTGCGACTAGGGTCTCACATCATTGCGACATGGGAAACCCTCCATCTGCAACCATACATCTGAACTTCTTGGTATTTGATGAAAGCGTTCTGCCGCTGGACGCCGACGTCTGGGAAGAGGAGACTTTCGACCTGGCCAAGACAACCACTATCTGCGAATTAGAGCAAAGCATCAAGCTGCGCGTCATCCAGAACTTGCAACAAGACCGGACGCTAGTCTCGATCCTAAAGCTTCAGGACCTACTCCTCGTCTTCTCCATCAAGCAGGTGGCATCAAACTCCGATCCACCGGACACGAATCTGACCAAAGACCGCGTTCGCCTCCGGACGATATCAGACTTCTTTGACGATTCGCATGCGCCCGATCAAGCTCTCTATATTCCTTGCGAGATTGATGTGGCTTACCGGCCGCAACCAGCGGAGCGACAACCGGATCGAAGGATAAGCGATGTCTCCGTCAAGTTGGACTGCGACAACCGTGTAGTCCACTTGCGAGAGCTGCACCAGGATTACGACGATCTTGAATACGTCTTCGCGCGCTTCGGATCTGTGCAGGCCCAGGAGAGTTCGGAAGATGAGGTAGCTACGTCAAGCCCTACGAAGGCCGTCGACGTCCCGGCGAACAGCACGCTGGTTCCACGCGTGCAGGCGCTGATCGGGTACTATTACAAAGGCACAGAGGACTCTTCGCTGGACCTGACACTGGCAACGGTACCCTGTTGGAACTTTAGCGACTACTGCATCGGCGACTGCATATATGAGGACGTACAGCACGAGTTCTCCACGGAAGACAACTACCTACTACCATATCGCAACGTTCAGTACCGCAGCGAGCTGTACAACCGTCTGCGCAGGCGGCGGAGCAAGGCCCAGGGAGATCCAGATTCAGGCGTACCGTTCATGCCGCAGCACACTCACAATCGCTACGATCCTACGACCTTCGGTCTTGGCGTCGACGAAGCGCATGCCGACGTCGTGATCATGTTCTCCAACAAGCTACCACCTCAGAATTCCGGAACACCACCACTGCATCTCCCCCACAGCGCACAATACCGCTTCGACCACGAAGAAACCGCCGCCGACATCCGCGAGCGCTTGCTGGAGGACTTACAGCAGAAGGACATCTGGTGGCCCGAGATCAATGCGCACACAGTGCTGTACAGCCCACCACTTCGAGATACCTGGGAGCTGCAGCTTTGGGTGCTGCCGCAGCCGAAGTAGATGCGGACGATGTATAAGTTTCCTTCTGGACGCGTGGGGAGTACGGAGCGTCTGGATGAGTTTCTGGATGCTGGGAAGGTTGGGGCGGGTGATCATCATTTGTATTTGGAGGCGCACGTTGTATTGAAGGCTGGAGTGGGCAAGGCTTGAGGAGAGGTGTGAGGTGAAAAATGTTGGGACGCATTGAATGGTGGATGATCTTGGGGTGTACGAGGTCGGGTAGGTGAGTTGTACAGGTGCAGTATTTGCCCCAACACGAAGTCTTTCCGCTTGCCAGCATTCATGACTGACTTTCTCCGCTTGTACGCCCAACGCTCGTGCTTGCCCATCCTCGTTCTATATCAAGATCTTTTCTCCCCCATATCGGCCTCTCCTCGACTAAGCTCCGCTCCTCCTTGTCCAACGGCGAATCCTGGCACCGCGGCTTCCGCCACCACTACGCAACACACCAGACGCTGTTCGAGGAGCACCCACACCGAGACCGAGCGCTGAAGCTGAACGCCGAACAGACAGCTTGCGTGAGGGAGCACTTCGCAACAGCTATGCGGCGTCGATCTGTTGGGGCTCGGACTTCTGAACGGTACACGAAAGTGAAGGGCGAAGAGAGTCAGATCAGGTCCCGGCGGGAGCCCTCACCGTATCTCTACCGTTCGCAGAGTTCAGAGCAAGAGCTGGGCAAGCAAGGGAGTACCAACGATCACAATGGGGAGTGGACGTTTCGGGAGAAGTGCAGCAACGTGATACGGGCAGTGCTAGAGAGCCTGACGGACAGACTGGTTTCGTTCAGCGTACCCAAGCCTGACTACTCTCGACGCAGGTAATAGTATGAACAACTTCTTTGAAAGCAATGGACGGTCGGCCCCGGGTTTCGAACCGAGCGCATGTACGTAGCAATCAGGAGACCCACCGCTGAACTCACATCCACATTCCTCCTGAACCACCCCTACCCCCGCCTCGGGAACAACTTCTCCACCAACCCCCTCCCAAACATCTTCCTCAAATCCCCCACCAGCAACTCCGGCTTTTCCACGGCCGCGAAATGCCCTCCCTCGAAATGCTCCGCCTGAAACACAATCGGCCCCAGCGTCAGATCCCACAACTTCGGCATATGCAAGATCTCTTTATCGAACCGTGACACCCCCACCGGCACATCGATATACTCCACCGCCTGCTCGAAAGCCGTCAACGGCCGGCGATGGTGGTTGGAGTAGTACGTGTTGAACGACGCCGCCGGCCCAGCGGTGCTGAAGTAGTAGATACTGACCCATGTCAATATCTCATCGGACGTCCATTTGTAGTCGTCGGTCCAGACGTGCAGCTTATCGTAGATCCACGCCAGGAGTCCGACGGGGCTGTCCGTCATACTGTACGCCGACGCCATTGGTCGAGTGCTGTGGATGGCGAAGTAGGCGCTGCCTTCTTTGAGGAAGTTCTGCGTGTTGGAGAGTTGCAGCTTCTCGCTGTCGGAGAGGCCTTCGAAGCCCCCAGCGGTGACCCATTTTTGGTAGATGTCGGGGTGGTTGGTGCGGGAGGGTTCGTTGGGGACGGACATGTTGATGTGGTGGGCGAGGCAGTGGGTGGGGTAGTGGCGGGCCAGGAGGCGGCAGATGAGGTAGCCTGTGTCGCCGCCTTGGGCGACTGATAAGGAAGTGGTTAATGTTCAGGTCATCGTAGCCTGGTGGTGTGAAGCCTACCATAGTGGTCGTAGCCCAGCTTCAGCATGAGCTTATGCACAAGTTCGGTGTGTTGATCGATGTGGAAGTCTGCCTGCACGACAAACGTCAGCTCTCGCCCCTGTTCGTCTTCGAGAACACAAAACGTACTGTCCGACTGCCACCAGAGAAGCCATGGTCGATCAAAGATGGCGCAACCACATGGAATGAAGGCTCCCCGTTCACACCGTCAGTCAATGGCTTCAGAATTTTCGCCGCCTCGTAGAAGCTCCCTGGCCACCCGTGCAGGAAGAGAACCGGTATCGCGTCCACATTCTGACTCTTTTGATGAACAAAGTGTACATCGTAATCGCCATGGTCATCGACAGAGATGGATGTCATGTACTGCGGCAAGCTGTCGTTGAGCTTGGCTTCCGCCTTTCGCCAGTCGAAGTCGTGGATCCAGTATTGGGCCAGTTCATGGATAGCTGCTGCTGGTGGCCCTCGCGACCATTCGGATGCAGTGTCGGATTGCAGTTCAGTCGGCAGGTCGGTGAGCTTCAGCTTCCGGTGTAGGCGCTGTAGACGATCTTCGTCCACTGCGATGCTGTAAGGCTGGATATCGGATTCTTCTGGGCCTCGTTCGCCCATGGTGTGCTAACAGGGGCCTGACTAGGCCACTGAGTGATGTAGCGTGTAGTTTTCGTACCTTAGGCCACTGGTCGGTCCGTTTACCGTATTGCGCATGGTGCTGGAGAGTAGTAGTGAGGTAGAGCATCTCGGTGACGATATACTTGGCTCGAGGACAAACTCGTTCCGACACCGTCGGAGTCGAGTCCGTTGGTCCGCTGTACCAAGCGAAGATGTCAACATGATGCTGGTTCGCTTCTTCCGCTTGGCTGCCTTCGCAGGGTACATGTAGATGGAGGAAGTCTACACATGTATCACCCCGACCATGTGGATTACAAGTAATGCCGGCTGCAACCACTTCATCCCTTCCGTCACTCCCCAAACTTCAACAACGATCCCTCCTTCTCCCACTTCTCACGCCAGCTCTGCTCATACACCCTCGCCATCAGCAGATCAAACCTCGCCTTCCTCAGCCTCTCATGTACCTCACTCCTATACCGCTGATTATTCTGTCCATACACCGCCGCACTAATCATCAAACTCCTCGAATCATTCAACTCCACAAGCCCTTTCCGCTTGATGCGTGACTCCAACCGCCTATCACGCCACGGCAGACGATTCGGACGGTGCTCTTCATACTGCGGCAGGCTTGGGAAGTCGCCTTGCGCATGTGCTTCTATCACCACGTCTGACTCTGGATCTCGAGGTGGGTCTTCCGACACGCCGACACGAGGCGAACGTCGCAGCGTGGGCACATGAGCACGTGGATATTTTGGGAAGTGTAGTCGCCAGGTCAGAGTGACGATGTGGTAGTCGAGCTTTTCTTTGCCGTCGTAGGGGGTGAAATTCTCGTTGTCGATGTTGGCAGGTCCGCTCCATTTCTGGACCTCCGGGTCGCGGTGAAGGACAAACTTCGTTGGGGTGGGTTTGCCGTCGACGAAATGGGTTTCGAACTCCTCGCTCTCCAGCTGACTGAGGCGTTCGACGATTGGCATGAGCTGCTTGACCTTGTATGCCAGCGTTTCTAGGTCAAGCTTTATAATGTGCGTGCTTCGTAGTTCGTCGGTGTCAAGAAGAGTCTTGAACCAGGAGTCCTTGAAGCGAAGCGGCTCGTCTGACTCCCAGTACCACCAATCCGTATGTCGTACCGTCACGTGCAACATGCGAGGCTGGAATTCTCCAAGCCGGACTCTCCACTCCGGGAAATGCGATCTCAAAGGCCTGGTCCTGCGATCCGCGAGCCCTTCAATGGTGAACATCTGCGGGAAGATGTGCAGATGCCCGAGATTACGGCGGTTCATAGCAGTCAGGCTACCCATCCAATCCGGATCGCGACGATCGGGAGCTTCGCGGTAGTACCAGTAGCATTGCTCAGCTTGAAGCATCGGGTACGCGTTGGCCTCGAGCCACGCTCTGCGGCATGTGAGTAGTAGCCCGAAATCGGTGTTCAGAGGTGCCGTGTGGCCAGGCCGGCAGTAGTATTCGTTCTCTTCGTAGCGTTTCTGCTCAACCTCGTATGGCGCTGTGGCAAACTTCCAGACCAGTTCCCGAATCTCCCGCGGTAATGCTGTGAAGAGCAGTGATTGTTCTTGGGAGTGGCAGAGAGCTAGAGCATCGTCCGTGTCGAACGTCTCAATGTTGACTGGCTTCATGGCTTCTTTCTCGATGCTGTCCACAAGCCTGGGCCTTGGGATGCGTCGCCATGAGTCCCCAAAGTCCACGTTGTCGAAGGGGTTGACGATGGCCTTGAACCATTCACACGTGCCATCGTCCAGGGAGAAATTTGTGTGTGCAGTGCCCACCTCCATGTCCTCAGCCTCAAAAGACATGCCAGTGGAATCAGTCGTCTCGCCATGCGTGTCGTCGTCCATCAAAGAGTCTGTATCCGTTTCACCCAGCTCTATACCATCGCCTTCGTCCATGGGGATGTCGGCGTTTTCCATCGCGGTCAAGCTAGATTGCAGTCGAGACTGAACAGACCGTACCTGTAGACAGGGGCGCAGACGTCTTTATAACAATCCTCGTTGTCGAGCTATCGCTGCAAGACGACGGCTATGCCTATACCGCCCAGGCAGCACCGCCCTTGGCGGCATGAATCACCGCTCGTCTCACGCGAGATCCAACGTGACCAGCAGATGGTGCTTGGAGTGGTGATTTGTAGCAGGACTCACTGATTACTGATAGAACGAGAATAGACTGTTGGATAGGCAGCAAAGCAGGATATGCTTGCGCTGGCAACGCTGCACCCCACAACAACGCCACAGCGGAGAGAACACAGGGACAGATGAGTCGCGGCTGTCATTCACGCTTCAAACGGTATGTCTAGAGATACGATCGACGGTTGATGAAGGTGTTGTTGCATCGTGTTTCAATCCTACGTCCTACCACCTTCGTTACAGACCTCCTCCAACCACCCCGAAATCACCGAATACAGCTCATCCACCGCCGCCAGCCTCGCCTTCTCCATCTCCGGCTCTTTGGCAGCAAACACCTCAAACGCATGCGGCTGACCCATGATCTTATGCCATTGCACTCCAGGGGCCTTCCAACCGGCCTTCGTCTCGACCTTGGCCCCATTACCTGCAGCCGCCAGCTTCTCAGCCATAGACTCATCCTCGTAGCAGAACATGTCGTGTTGCGCCCCAATCATCAGTACCTGGGGCGGTAGACTTTCGCGGTCTTTGAAGTATATAGGACTGACCGTGGGATCTGTCAAGGAAGGCTTCTCAACCGGATCAAAGATGAGGGGGAAAAGGCCAGAGTAGGTGTCGCTACCAAGGAAGTCCGGGACCGAAGCGTCTGGACGTGTAGCCATCTTTGCATGTCCTTCGGGTACTAGATCGACCAGCGGATATATCGCCGCAACACCCATAACTTTCGAACGTAGTCGCGGGTCCTGTGCAGTGGCGAGTACTAGGTTCCCGCCAGCAGAGTTGCCGCTGAGCACGACTTTGCTGCGATCGACGGGGAGTTCGGGGTCCTCCATCACGGCGAGCGACAACGCAATGACATCCTCATATGCGGCAGACAATTTGTTGTGCGGCGCTTTGCCGTAGTCGATGCTTACGACGATGCAGTTGGCATTGTCGGCCAGGTAGCGGGCCAGTGGATCATCTGCTGGGGGAGCGTTGACGACGAAGCCGCCTCCGTGGACGCGGATGACGAGTGGTAATCGCTGCTGTCCGTCATGTTCTCGAGGTAAGAAGATGCGGCACGCGTACAGGTTCGGACGGCATTCGTGTGTCTTCTCGCGGTCAGGCTGCGTCGCTGGAGAGAACCAGGACGATCGGCGAATGTAGAGCGAGGTGTTTGCGATGGCGCGGATGCTGGCCCATTTCATGTGCTGGACGTCCCACATACTGGGTTCTCCAAGTCTCCAAATGCTTCTTGGTCGTGCGATGGTCGGGACTGGTGGCACTGTAAGGACTGATGGGAGTGATAGACCCGACCTACCTTGACCTTCGTGCAGCGGAATCGCGACGAGCCTTCAAGCCTTTCAGACGTTCGCGGGCGTTACTCCATGCAAACCTCGCCGGTACAGGTACATTCACATCTCAAAGCAGGCCGTAACAATAGTCGTCGACCTACCGTCCGGCGCAGGGCAAAACGGGAGAGCCACCATCACCGCCCTGCAGAGCAGAAAACGCCCACTTGTGGCCCCTGCTTCACCCGCATTCACTTGTTCCGAGGGGTTGGTTCATGCGGAGATTCTGTCTCAACGATGGCAAGAACCATGGAATTTAAATGACTATGTGAAAGTCAATTTCACAACTGGTTAACGACATGTCGTTGTTAACATCTTGCAAGATACTCGAAAGCTATCGCCGACCATCCCGTCTCATCTTTCGAGATCTTGGCTCGTCCTTATCAATTCCATTTAGCCAGGGTGGATCCGAGTGGAGGTCCGAATCGAGACTGTGAGAACCCGCGGGCTAAGCACTCGTTATCGTGGACATGCGGCTGTCTGTCTGGGCACCAGCAATGCCTTCTGCATTCACTCCTCCATCTCGTCCGGCTCCTCGTGGACGTCGTTCAATCAGCAGCAATACGTCGAGCATCCATAGGGCGAGCATCTCCGACGATGCCAGCCACCGAGGCCATAGCTCTACCACACCCACGACATCGAGTCTCGATACGGCATCTTCTCGTACTCAGATAGCATTTCGACATCGCGACCACTGCGCATTGCGGACGACCGGTAGCTTACGCTCGCCCTTCGCGGGCTGAGCTATACTACGCACCCTTGAAATGGCCTCTACATTAATGTCTACTCTCCACGCACTCGACCCACGCGACCTCCCTCTCTGGGGCCAAGGGCCTCCCGAGCCTCGAACACGAGCGTCGAACAACCCGACACTGCTCTTCTCATGGTGGTGTACCATCTTCTCCGCCGTCATCATCATCACTCGACTATGCGGGCGAAAGACTCGGAGCAATGTGCTGTTCAGGGAAGATTGGATCATGATGCTTGCATTGATCCCTCTGATGGTCAGAATGGGCTTCATTCATGTCGTCCTGATCTACGGCACGAACAATGTACGAACAGACGGAGTGCACTATACACAGAGCGAGCTGGAACACCGAAGTGTTGGTGCAAGGCTGGTTCTTGCCGCGAGGATATTCTACGCCATGTTCATCTGGCTGAGTAAGCTTACGATATCTGAGTTCTTGAAGAGGATTACGATCCGGATCTGGAGGCGGTCGTATGAGCTTACTCTGCGCGGAGTGAGAATCTTCCTAGTAATCACGTTCTTCATTGTGGTCATCTTGACGCTCTGCGAGTGCCAGCCGTTCGACCACTACTGGCAGGTTGTGCCTGATCCGGGACCACATTGTCGACAAGGTTTTGGCAACCTGATTGCCATGGGCACCTGCGATGTCATCACCGACATCTTGCTGATTGCTTTTCCAATCCCGATCATCATGAAGTCCGGTCAAACTTGGAAACGAAAGTTCCAGCTGGTGTCGCTCTTCAGTCTCTCGATCATTTTGATCGTCGTGACACTGCTACGAGTACCCAAAGTCATTGAACGAGGCGGCAGACAGCAGTATCGGACTGTTTGGGCATCTTGTGAGATTCTGGCATCCGCGGCTGTCTCGAACACTGTCATCATCGGATCGTTTCTCCGCGACAAGGGCACAAAGAAGAACAAGTACCGATCATCAAGTGTTACCGACAGCATTGACCGTACGTCCGCACGGCGGCCAACTCTGGCAACAATTCACTCCACCGACAGCGATGAAGATCTTTTCCGCTTCCTCGGGATGCGTGTCCCGGAGCATCTCAGAGACACATCTGAACGAGGTCCTCGTCCTGCGCCGGCTGCGGAACCTGCGTCACCCCATAGACCAAGCGGGCAGGTCGGAAGGCTTCCCAACAAGAGCTCACAAGACCGTGGCGACACCAACAGCAGTGATTCGGATGACTCCCTGCGGAAGTCCGTCGCGGCGGAACCGAAGTCTCGATCTCCACCACCCCAGAGCACCACCCGCTTATCCTTCTTCGATGTCGGCGGTCTTCTCGAAAATGGACAAAAGCGATCTTCCTCCGGCTCACGAGCCCGCTCCCCTGCATCACAAGACCATTCCGCCAATGGCGTCCTAACCCACGACTTTGCGCCCTCCACTCCCACCTTCAGCCGCCGCGGCTCACAAGCCCACGACTTCGCCTACCCGACCCCAGAGTCCCGGCGCAACTCCCGCGCCGCCGCCCTAGCGCATCTCCAAGACATCGGCGGGCTCTTGACACCGAGCACCAGCCACGCAAGCAGCGGTATGGACCGCTACCACGGTCGGAGACAATCTGACTCCCATATCCACCCACCGCCGCGACATACTCGACCCGCGCCGACGGGGATTTTGGGGCCAATGCTTGAGCGGCATGAGACGCAGCATAGTCTGCAGGATGTTGGGGGGTTGCTTGGAAGTGTTGCTGAAGGCGGGAGGGGTGGGAGACTGGCGAGGATACAGTCGGATTCGGCTGCTGAGGGTGTGCAGACCAGGGCTACGAGTTCGACCATGCGGCCTTCAGCAACTGCAGAGGACGACATCGAGCTTACGGACTTGGGTGGTTTGATGGCTGCAGATCACGAGCCGGATGCGAGTGCAGCTTCTCTTCAACGCGCCACAGGAAGTACCGCGCAGAATCGACCATTGCCTCGAGCTGTGCCTTCGCCTCTGCAACAGGACGCTGGTTGGGAGAGTTTGGATATTGAAGATCCGGGCGGTCTCTTGAGCAAGCCTTGACGATAGCGTTGGCGTTCAGGGAAGAGAATGGGTTTGAGCGATTTCGTGTTGATAAGATACCCTATAGCTGTGCGCTCCTTTCGACGCGCTAATGTTGCAGTATTTTCCTCATCGAGACTCTTGCCCCAATTGCACACTTCAAAGCTCATGTGAGAACGATCCAACCGACTGACTCCCTTACTGGTCGATTTCAAGGAACACGAAAGGTCGGGAAATATACTGCAGCGACAGCGAACGCCTACGATTGCTGTCTCAGAGCAGATCCGGCTCCACCACCCCCGTCTGCTTCCCAATCAACCCATAAGTCTCAATCCTCCTATGCCGCGCATAATCAAACGTCTTCTCCTTCCCCTGTCGACACTCCGCCAAATCAATCTCCGCCACCACCAACTCATCCTCATCGGTCTCGGCTTCAGCAACGACATGGCCTTCAGGCGAGCAAATGGCGCTGCCGCCGATCAAGTCGTACTTCCCGTCGTCCAGCCCACAGCGAGCCGCGGAGATGGAGAAGCAGGCGTTCATGTAGCTGTTCGCTGTTTGTACTAGCTTCGAATGGAACAATGCTTCTGCCCGCGCCTGCTCGGGTGACATGGGTTTCGAGCCCCAGAGGTGCGACATGTTGCCGCCGGTGTTGTAGCCGAACATCAACCTGCTTTCGATCAGCTCCGCGATGTACAAATGGTGGAACGTACTTACAGCTCAGCGCCCTGCAACGAATACGTCCTCCAGGCCTCCGGCCATCTTCTATCATTGCAAATGAGCATACCGAATATCGGATCACCTCTGCCAACCGTGCTCTCGCCTTCCTTCGCAGTCGCCTTCTTCACCGCATCATCCACCAAACCCGACGCCCGAAAAGCCGGGAACCCAAGATCTCCAGGCGTGAAATATCGCTTCTCCAACTGATTCGTCGCCTCCGGGTCCTCGAATGGTTCCACTCTGCCAGGGAGATGCACTTTACGGTACTTGCCTATGACCTCGCCGGCAGCTGCAGAGAAGTAAACGGAAGTGTTGTATCCAGTCCCTTCCGGCGTTCGTTCAGCGTAGCCAAGTACGATGTCGATCGTAAGACGCTTCGCTTCGTCGAAGAGTGGTTTGACGTCGGATGATTGCGCGATGTCGGCGCCGTGCTCGAAGTACTTGTCCAGTTCTTCTTGAGTTTCAAAGAGGTGGCGCGGGAAGAATGTTGTTAAGGTGCATTCGGGGAAGACGACGAGTTGGACTTTCTTTTCTGCTGCTGAGCTGAGGAGGTTGATGAGTCGGTGGACTGTGTCTTGTTTGATTGCGTTGCGGTGGACGGCACCGACTTGGGCGGCTGCGACCTTAATCTTTCTGGTCATTGTTGGTATGAGGGTGATAATAATGGTTGATTTTGAACAGGAAGAATGGTCCAGAGCTTGATGTTTTGATCGCCGGAGCAAGGCACGGTGCTCTTTGCTATTATAGCTGGCCGTCCATTCTCTTTGAATAGTTGGCCGAATAGATTGCGAGGTGTCTGTTGATGGTATGCGGGCAGCAGAGCTTCGCCGACGCCTATCTTGCCCGCAGCTGCGTCCCCGTCGGCGAAGCACTCGCCTGTCTCGCGATACTGTCAACAATATTTTGTGAATTCCAATAGATTGTGGAACAGTTGTTTCTTGCGAGACCGGGAGATCGAAGAAGAACAGAGGATAGATGCCTGGATTCGTTAGAGTGCAGAGCCTTTGAAAGAACAGTAAGCATCGGCGGTCATGGAGTTTGATCTCATCGTCCGAAACGGCATAATTGTAGAGAGTCCGATATTCATAGAGGAAACGAAAGCTTACTGGTGTTCAGGTGACCGCAAGTGAAATACTGCAACCCGGCCTCGACATCGGCATCACGGATGGGAAAATCGCCTGTATCGGTGTCTCATTGCCAGCTTCTGCCAAAACGCACATCATCGACGCCGAAGGCGCATATGTAACGCCAGGAGGCGTCGACAGTCATGTCCATCTCGCTCAACGCAACGCACCAACCGGCGACGGATGGGAAACTGGCTCTCGCAGCGCGATAGCCGGAGGCACAACCACGATCATCGCCTTCGCCTCCCAGCAGAAGAGCGACATCTCGCTGTACCCAGTGCTGGAAGACTACGACAAGAAGGCGAAAGACCAGAGTTATGCGGACTATGGCTTCCACTTTATCCTCACCAATCCGACACGGGAGATCCTTCGTGATGAGCTGCCGGTCATGGCTTCGGAGCACGGCATCACGAGCGTAAAGCTGTACATGACATATGAAGCCATGAAGCTCAACGATAGGGAAGTGTTGAACATCCTCTTTGCTTGCAAGAACCTGGGTATGACGACCATGATCCATGCAGAGAGCCACGACATGATCAGCATGATCATTGAGGGTCTGGAACGAAACAAGAACACTGAACCTTACTTTCACGCCGTTGCACGACCAAGGATTGCTGAGGACGAAGCGTCTTACCGAGCAATCTCTCTTGCTGAGCTGGCTGATGCCCCGATGCTGATTGTTCATATGTCGTCGGAGGTAGCTGTCAGCCATGTCCGGGAAGCGCAGACACGGCTACTACCCATTCATGCCGAGACATGTCCGCACTACCTGTTTCTGCTGTCAGAGGAGATCAAGGGAAAGCCGCACGACCACTTCTCCGGTGCTAAGCATGTGTGCTCGCCGCCACTTCGACACTCACCGGCGGATTTGGAAAGCTTATGGCAAAGCGTCGCTAACGGCACCTTTACCACGTTCTCATCAGACCACGCTCCAAGCAAGTACGACCATCCGGGCGGCAAACAGCTGGGCATGGTCGACGGCATACCTCGCTTCACCAAGATTCCGAATGGCTTGCCAGGCGTGGAGACGAGAGTGCCGTTGTTGTTCAGCAGGACTCCAGCTTGTCTACCAGCTGAGAAAGCCAAGTTGAGCCTGCCGCGGTTCGTCCAGCTTACTGCTTCGAACCCGGCCAAGCTCTATGGTCTTGGAGGTCGGAAAGGCAGCATTGCTCCGGGATTTGATGCTGATCTCGTCATTTGGCATCCTGGAAACACCGGTGCCGTGACCATCAGCCAGGGTTTGATGCACCATGATATCGACTACACTCCGTTTGAGGGCATCGAGGTTGGAAATTGGCCAAGATACACCATACTTCGTGGACAGGTTGTGTGGGACGAGTCGAAGGGTGTCGTAGGTAGTATGGGGTATGGCCAGTATCTGAAGCGAGGCAAAGGCGAGGTCTTGACGGGGAAAACGGGTCATCTGCCTAGGGGGATGATTGAGGATGAAAGGAAGTATTGGCTGTAGACAGGGCTTCTGTAACACAGCATAATGACACACTGTGTTGTCTATCTCAAGTCATCTGAATATCGCACTTAGTTCTTTGTTGGAAGAGAGTAGCGATGGAAGGATGAGGACGCGACTGGACGCGAAGTGTATACCAGAAAGCACAGGCCACCATCTAGCGTGAATATCGACGACCTCACCCCTCAAATCGCCTTCCATCTTACATACAAACCTTGAAAACATGCCCAAGAAATGCTCAATATCAAACGCCCAACTTCGACGACAGTGCTATACACATTCTCAACGCGCGCTCCGCAGGAGACCTTCACCGCACTGATCGCCAACTACTCCTTCCTCCTTGCCCGCATAGCGGCAGGCTTCTTGGTAGCAATACTCTGCCTGATCGTCTATCGCACTTCATGGCCCGTCTCAGACGACACAATTCCAGTACCCTGGCTTGAAGAATTCATCCTCAGCTCGCCTTTAGGCCAATTCGCTACACTCCTCATCATCTCTCTACCCCAAATCTGCCGCTTCCTGCTCTGCGCCGCAACCACCTGGCTCATCTTCCGGAAAGGCTACACCGAGGAATCTCTACTCGTCATACGCGGACTCGGCGTCCAGACATCGACATCGTCGCCCTCCTACCTCTGGACTTCAAGTACAAGGTTTATTCCGACAAGCAGTATTCAGGACATTTTCATTCATGAGGCATTCAAAGGGTTTGAAGTGCGGTACTATCTGACGATTGTGGTGGATGGTGAGAACGATGTTGTTGTGGTGTTTCCCGTGAGTACGATATATTCTTTGGGATGAGACAGTGCTGATGGAACGATGTAGAACATCCTGCCACGTCGCGAGATACTCGAGAATGTGTGGCGAGGCGCTCGGTCCTGCTTGTATGGACTAAAGTCTTGAGCACTACCTAATTCGTGCGGAGAGCAACGCACAGACTACTCATCGGGGTCTTGGTCAAAATCGGCAGCGTCACCGCTACGGTTCGCCTTCGGCTGCAGACCTTTGCGAGCAGCATACCGCGCATTCACAGTATCCGGCGGGTCTAGCCGTTCACGCTGCATGATGGGCACGTAGCGACCTACCGTCCGTGGCTCACCACTGCCATCGAACACCCTGGCCGTTTGGTCTGGGAAGAACTTGTTGGATGCCGAGGCCTTACCTTGCCGAGCGACGACGTCCATTAGTGAACCGGCCAGCAGCTCGTCAATCTTGTGAGTCTGCCACAGGGCCCACAAGTCTCCCATGACACTTAAGCGACCATACTTCCTGTCTTCTACACCTCGAGATGATCGGACCAAACGAGTCGCATCGTCCGCTTGGTCTCCAACATGGACCCAGTCAAGCGTGTCGACGTAGTTTGGATTGACAATTGCCGAATGGTCGTTTCGAGCCACTGCAGCAGCATCTGGAAAGATGCAGTCCCACAGGACCAAAGGTGTGTCGTCCGCCATTTCGTACACTGGCTTGGCCGGCGTCTTCTGGATATCAAGAAGGTCTTCGACGACGCTCGGCTGTTCGTGGCCCTGCCCGACAAGGAATAAGATGGCGACCATGTGTCGGACTTGATGCCATAGGAAAGCCGAGCCGTGGACCTCGAAGTAGTACAGCTCGGGCAACGAAGATGCGGTGCTCGAACCGTTTGGAAAAGAGGTACCCTCCGTGAAGGGCGCTCGATCTAAGAAAGCGCCAGCTCCTTGCTCGGGTGTCACGAGCTGGATACTCGAGTGGAAGATCCTCCTTCTGAAGTCCGAGATCTGCTTGCTGGGATCCACCTTGCAGAAGTTCCTGAAATCGTGGAGTCCCTCAAGCTTCTTCGCGGCTTGTTGCATAGCGTCGATATCGAGCCACGCGCCGCCTTGATTTCCCTTCTGAGTCTCACCAGGCACCGGAGAGAATGCCGGATTCGTGAAGAAGTAGCGATACCTCCTCTCCTTGCAATTGAAGCGTGCGGAGAACTCTGCTGGCGGATGAGGGCACCATGCTAGGATGCGGATGTCGGGAGGAAGGACACGGTTCAAAAGCTGGATGTACGGTAGCTCGTCTGAGATCGGATCCCAAGTGTCTTCTACCTTCGCATCCGACATCGCGCTGTCTCCGCCGGCATCAACGTCTTCCCCGTCCGCAGGCTCCAGTGGCCCCTTGACCTTTTCCTTCGGCCGATTACTTCTTACCCTCAACCCGATCACCTGTCCAAAGGCGCTCACACCCCGATCCGTCCGCCCACACTTGCTGTACTCGCATCCAGCCCAGCACACCTCATCCTCGTTCCCGCCATTGAAGTCTGGAAAAATCAATCTCGTCTTCATCAACGCTTTCCACAGCTTCTCCTCCACCGTCGGCAAAGGCGTCTTGTTATTGCTGTGATGTTCGAAGCCATTGTATCGTTTGCCTAGGTAGGCGAACTTGAGCGCTATGAGGCGGGTGTTGTATTTTGAGGGATCGAAGCGGTTGGGCTTCTTGACTTTCTTCTTTGATAGCGGGGTTGGTGAGGGGGTTCGCGAGTGAGCGAGGTTTTGAGTGCGTAGTTGTGCTTCGAGATCTGTGACTCGTTGGATGAGGTCGGTGTTGCTCCAGTTCGTGTAGTCGGGTGTTGGGTCCATAGTCGCCGGAGGTGCTCTGGCGGTGCGGAGCCGGGCGACAGAGTTGCGTGATGTACGATGTATACTTCTGACGGAACTCTCAAGCGCTTTGAGAGGCAGCCGCTTCATCGCTTCATGTTGTGTTCCTATTCCAACCTATGTTAGTAGTCACTGTTGGAAAATCGGCATTGCTTCCCCTTCGGAGGTTAACATGACTCGTGTAAGCTCACTTCAGGTCTTCCAGAGTCAATTACAGCATCGCCAACACCATCAGCGCCAGCAACTACACTGCCAGCTACGTGATGTTCGTCTCAGAAGAAACTCCATCAGTTACTCAGCGATGTTCGCGGAAGTCGAAAATGGATCGAAGGACTGCCTGACCTATTCGAGCCAACGGCACTATCAGAGCACAAACACCGCCATTGTTCGCCCATTCTGGTCATCTCAGGCGCAGTAGCACCAGCATGGTCCTCGCCGACTTGGAACGGATACACAAGCATCGATGAGGCGAGGTCTCACTCGCATAGAGCGAGAGCCGCCCCTTCAGTTGGCATGCGGCCCTGTTGCACGTACCAAAGTTAGAGAGCTATGCACCGTTGCAGCTTCCAGGTGCTTGACCAAGCTCTGCGACACAGCAGGCCGCCCCATGAAAGGTGTTGTGGCACATCGCTATGCCAGTGCCAGGAACCGCAAACTGGAGACTGCTGATCATGGACCAAACGTCGAATTCTTTCCCACCACTTACAGTGTTTATGCTCCATGACAGGGTTCACCATCTGAATACCTGGGGTGTGTGAACGGAAATGCCAGCTTTATGCAGTATCGGCGGACTCCGCGTTAGCCTTGCCAGGCTCATGTCGACAGGATTGACGTCAAAGTGCCATGGGGACAGGCGAGCTACTTCAAGTGCCTAATACTCTCCGATATTGCGATCTACATGTTGGACATTGGAAACGCTCTGAAGACGGACCTGGTGGACTGCTGGACACGACGACCTTTTCAAGACCGAAAGAGCAGAAGGCAGAAAGCATAAGTATCGAACGATTGACATTTTTACCAAGAGAATTTTTCTGTCATATGCTCCTACCTGCCGTACTCGCTCTATGTTCCACGGTCGCCTGCTCACATATACATAATCTCTAGACCAGACACAATCTGACAACCGACAAAGCAAAGTGAGCACAAAAGTAGACCATGTTTCCCACACGGAGAATGCTCACATGCTTGACCCATCAGCACGACTCCAGACAATACCGACGCTGGTCAGCCGACTCAACAGCAAACTCCAGCCCCATCATCTACTCCCGCCCAAGTTCATAAATTGACCAGCCCGAACCTGGCGGTGTTGAACATTCCCCAACAGCCGTGGCTCAGTATGCAGCGGTGGCTGCACGACGAAAAAGACCAGCTGCAGTATCGACTTAGCTATGGCGGTGGACGAGAAGGCTAGCTGGTCAAGTCGCACACATACCCATCTGACTGTCGCGCCATCAACGGCGACGATCACCGGCAACTGGCACCGCAGCATCGACGCGAGTGCGAGCGCGGCTCACTACGGCGAAAATTGAGGCATAGAGCAACACTTATTTTGATGCAGCTACAGACCAAGGCCGCCAAAAGTGTCAACCGCATCAGACTTTTCAAGGCCGCGGACGAGACGCCTTTCGCAGGGCCGCAGTCGCACACCCTCACTCAGATGCACGGGACGAGTCTGGGAAACGGGTAGAGATGGTCTGCGCATGGTGTGAGATCCACGATGGTAGTAGCAGAGGGTTGGGCGATGTCGTCAACATCCAGCTCTGGCTGCCGACACGGTTGGAAGTACAATTCCTGCTGGCATCTGGTTCTCGGAATTGCGTGCCGAGCAGCCCGTGTTGCCGCCCAGATCTCTGCTGCCTCTAATTTGCGACGACGGCGTCTTGGGCATGCCATTGCGATACGTGGTTGGATTTAGGACTCCGAGAGTAAGTTCACGACATCCAGCAATTGTTTCAGAACTTCTGACGATGACGTTGATTGGTCCAGAAAGTTTGCTAGCAGCAATCGGCACTATAAAGTGCCATATCCTCACCAAGCTGGACGGGTACGAAGTGGTCCGAATACCTCAACCTCGGCAGGCTGGAGAGGTGGCAAAAAAGAAGGACCTGCTTTGGAGAACCCTCGTTGCTCGCTACTGAGGGAACGGTTCGGCGTCAGAAAACTACCATTGCCACCACTTAGGTCGGCCACGAGTAGCAGTTGACTGTTCCAGTCTTCGCAGCGGCCGCTCCAGCAATACCTGGAGAGAGGAACGCTCTAAGTAGAAATCAGGCTGATAGCTTCCGGTACAGAACAGACCTCAAATCAGCAGATGATTGACGACATAGAGGCACCGAAGAAGGTGCGCTCATGAATGCATAGTAGGCCTCAAGCAGACATTCCAGCCTCGGAAGGGTAAGAGGGAGGGCGTCAAGCAGAGTGCTTGCTCAACACGGTTGATCAGAGATGATGCGTTACGCTGAGCTGGGTCACGAGGCTCAGCAAACCCTACTCATCCGCCGACAGAATGGTCCATCTTTCCACCACACCGTCTGTACGTCCTCTAATATCTTACTGCGCACCACCATTGCTGCTGCTGGTGTCGGCATCATCGGTGTTGGCGTCGCTAGTATTGCGTGTTGGCGTTATCGGCGGGGTCACTATTGTTGCTATCGTTACCACCGTTACGGTTGCGGTCGACGCGGCTGGACCGATATCATTTGATGCTCCTCCGCAGACGCCGAGGGTGGCTATCATTGGAGCAGACCCTAATGCTCAGCAGCGATTTTGTATAGCGGAGGTCGGCACGATCGTTTGTCATTCACGAAAGCAAACAATCGACTCACGGGAGCATTCAAGCATGTTCCACTCGCTCAGTGACCACATAATTGCCGGTATTAAAGCGGAGTTCTAGTAGCCCCAATAAGCTGGCCAAGTTGTGTCAGGAGCTTCATGTTCTGGACGGCCTCGAGATGAACAGAACAACGGGTCAAAGCACGGAAGAATCCACCTCAAATCGGAATCTTCGCCGCGACGACTGGGAAGAAGACTCACGACAAGCCCAAATCGAACGCGAACGTAGCGCGGCTTCAGAACGTCGTCAATCAGCCCGCGAGGACGCCACCGCTCCCTGAACAGGTCCACAAAGGTCTCTCTACAGCCGGTTTATGTACTAGAGGGTGCCGGGTGGATCGTCATTCACGTAAGCAAACGTTCGACTCACGGCAGCAATCAATGATGGGTCATCCAGATCAAACACATGATTCCGGTGTTCAAGCTGCTTATAACCGTTGGCCTGCTTCGTCAACCCATTTCTTCTGCAGACTATGGCCTCTTCCTGTCGCCTGTGGCAGTAGTTCCGGACTCCGTAGGGTTCCTGTCCGCCCCCTGCGAATGCCACTCCCGCGGCCCTACCATGCTGGGGAGCGGCGGAGCTACAGGTATGTCGAAATAGGGATGGTTAGCTTATGGGTACCCAAGATTAGTGGACGACGCTGTCTCGCGTCAAAGCTGCGGCAATGCATGTCGGCTACTGAGCAGGAACGCTTTGGTCAGAGGATCCGCAGATCGCAACAATTGGAAAGGTTGCTCAACACCGTTCAAAGAGCTCAGTAGTGTATACCACTACACCTCGGAGGAAGCGGTCACACAGACAGTGCGAGGAAGAATCGACAGTCAACAGCAAGCAATGATTATCATTTGATCGTCCGTGATCGCTGTCACGCCCAACAAAGATCTCCAAGGTGTCAATCATTGGTCCGTCTGTCTGTTTTCAGGGCGAGCAGAGTTCTGCTCTACAGCGTCCTTGGAAGCACCCGACTGCTTCTAAGGCGGATTGTGTCTCTCCATCGTCTGGTGCGGCATGTTTCTCGGGATCGGTGCCGGATGCCTTTCCAGAGGGTTTCGTGTGGCTCGCTGAGCTATTTTGAATGCCACAGATTGTTGGTCTGATCGTGAGTCACTGGAGCAAACATTCGACCAGGTCATTTCGTAGTAGCCCGTCGTTGTCGGATGCGTACTTTCTAGCATTGTTGCACGAGGTTACGAAGCCTGCTTGACGAACCCAGACGACGCTTTCAGGGGCCGCTTTATAAAAGTTAAGTGTTGAAGGTGCTGTGGCCTCTAATCAGGTGTGGAGCAAAACTTTGTGACGCCGACGTCTTTCTCTTCGCTATCTTCTATCGAGCGCTCAGCACCGCTTCCTCCTCCATCTAAGTTACTTCAGACCTAACGCTCCTTGTGCCAACTCCGCTGTAAGCCAGCTTACAAGTATTGACTTTCATGGAACTGAATTGCCAGAACCTAATTTGCGCTCTCTTCCTCCTCCACAGTGTCGTTGTAGCATGCTTGGGAACCGGTGAATATCGCTGATGGAGCTCCATAAGGAAAGACCGACGGCTAGGAAGCAGGAGCATGGACGAAGCCAGGCATTGCAGCATGAAAGGCTAGGGTTGGTGTGGCATCGTCGCAGGTTTCAACGGGGCTCAGTGGTGTCGACGGCGTAGCAGGAGGTGAGCTCGAGATAGATCTCAACGAGGACTCCAGGACTGGGGCTACCGCAGAGCTGGGGGTTACTACAGGCCATTCAGATCCCAGAGTCGAGGAGCTTGATTCTCGAGTATAGATACTGGATGTCGAGTTCGTGCCATTGTCGTCGCAGTAAGTGGCCGAGCCCGGCGCGGCGAAGGTGGAGGCTGAACCTGGTGCGGTGGCAGAGATCTGGTAAGAAGACGACATATGTGCTGCTCCCGAAAGCGATGGACCGGGCCATGCTGACACTGATGCCGATGAAGGCGCAGGAGTTTGCAACGCCAGCACACTCGATATCAGGTGGCCGATAAAGCTCGATGGGATCATGGTAGGACGTGAGGAGGATGGAGGAGTCTGCAAAGCCAATACACTCGAGATCAGGTGGTTGATAAAGTTCGAAGGCAGGGCGTCCGGGATTGTAGCGGTCGCCGAGGCCTCCATGGCAAGCGCACTCGAGATCAGATGGCCGATGAAGCTCGATGGCACAACATCAGAGCTTGTTGCTGTGGCCGTTGAGGCGATGCTCATGCTCGTAGAGCCTTTGGGTCCTTTCTCGCAGCCAGGGTCATCCTCAACGCTGTGGTGGAACGGGAAGGCCCAGGAAACAGCGACGAAGGGGAAAAAGAGAAGACGAATGCACGATCGCATTTTGAGCGTCGTGTGAAGGAATATTCGTTAACGACCGTCGTCAGAGGCCAGCTCTGGTGTTGATGACGAAGAATAGGATTTTGACAGCGAAAGCGTCGAAGATGGTTGAAAGTATTGAAAACACACAGCCCAACCCTCATGCCAGATGACTTGCTGCAATGCTGCTCCAATGGCATACCTCATATATCTCTTACCTGCAATACTGTGCCGCAGTATACCTTGCGGACCCCCGGTACTTGATATAAGGGATGAGCTGCTCCCGATCTGCCGTTCTCCCGTTCAACCAGGTTGTTCGACGACCTCGTACTAGAGTGTCCCGAAGACGGCAGAATGCAATATATGGGGTAGAGACGCGACATAATTTGGGCTGAAGTAGTTTGTCTTGAATATAGCCAAACGGGAAGGAGTGTTTCATGAGATGAGGTCGGAATCGAAGGCCTGTTCTGATTGGCTGCACGACACGATCACGTGCACGACTACATCTCTTGACGAACGATGCTTTTGAGCATGCAACCGTTGCATGTCGACATTCGCAGGCTCGAGGCTGCTTTCCAGCACCCTAACACCTTTCCTGTACCCATGCCTCGATAGCACATCGGCTTCCAGCCGCCAGGCAGCGCGCCGCATCCGCCTACGAGGAGGTACTCCATCATGCACGAGATGGCAGTCGACAGCGACGACTACGCAAGAAGATGAGCGGCCAGCAGTCGACGTCAGCCAATACGACCATCTGAACCCCCAGCCAGTCGACGTCAGCCAATACGACCATCTGAACCCCCAGCCAGTCGACTACACCACGAATCCATTCACCGACTCGTGCACCCTGACACTACAAGCGGGATCTGGTGGCCACGGATGTATATCATTCCTGCGGGAGAAATACATCGAGAATGGTCCGCCCAATGGCGGCGATGGAGGAACAGGAGGAAACATATACATCCAAGCCGTGAGAGGCGAGACTAGTCTGCACAAGCTTGCCAGACGAGGTATCTTGAAGGCCGAGAGGGGCAGAAACGGGGAGGGAGGTGGCAGAGGCGGGAGGCGAGGTGAGGATGTTCTCATCCAAGTGCCTGTTGGGACAATTGTAAGGGAGGTTAGCAGGTACGATCCTTTGGAGGAGGAAACGCTGGATATGCGTAAGAATAAAGGCTACGGACGGGATCTGAAGGATGACGACCCTGATGCTGGACCTGATCAAAGCCGCAAGTGGAGGCGCGACAAATGGCTACTTTATCCAGGCGCATTGCCACGAAACTTCTCAGCGGCAGACTTCCCTGCTCTGCCGCGACCGCGAAGGTCCAATCTGACCGCACTTCAGCCTGAAGCACCTCTTCGTCTGGACCTGGACAAGCCTATGAGCACGCCTATGCTGCTCGCAGCCGGTGCGATGGGCGGACTAGGTAACCCACATTTCGTCACGAAGTCTATATGGCGGCCAAAGTACGCTACGAAAGGAGACGAGGGACTGCAACTCCAACTCCAGCTTGAGCTCAAGCTCCTTGCAGACGTTGGCCTGGTCGGCTTGCCCAACGCCGGCAAAAGTACGCTTCTTCGCGCTCTCACCAATTCAAGAACTCGAATAGGCGATTGGGCTTTCACCACACTCTCACCCAATATTGGCACTGTCGTGCTCGACACGTTCGCCGGCCGTCCTACACTTAGTAGCGCTTCTGGTGAGCGAAGGACGAACTTCACAATCGCCGATATTCCCGGTCTCATCGAAGACGCACACCTGGACCGTGGCCTGGGTCTCGGCTTCCTTCGACACATTGAGCGCGCAGCTGTCCTTGCCTTCGTCGTCGACCTGTCCGCAGGCGATGCCGTGCAAGCTCTCAAAGCGCTCTGGACGGAAGTCGGCGAGTACGAGAAGCTCCGGGAAGCTGAACAGAACTCCGAAAGCGAACGAACCGCGGACTCGGAAGAAGGCATGATGGCGTATCGACCCAACGCGCCTTTCAAGTCTTCTATTTACCCCGGCGCTGAGCCTGAACCCGTGTCCACTCATGAAGAGAACCAGCAGCGGCTCCAAGATACTGTGCTGGATGCACAGGCTGGACGCACTCTGCCTGCGCTGAGCCTGCCGGCTATCTCGACGAAACCGTGGTTCGTTGTTGCTACGAAGGCGGATCTGCCGGAGACGCAGCAGAACTTCGAGCAGTTGAGGGTCTATCTGGAAAAGGTGCAGAAGGGTGAGGAGGAGCATCCGAGCGGGAAGAGGAATGCGTGGCGGAAGCGGTTACATGCCGTGCCCGTATCTGCGATGCGGAAGGAGGGGGTGGAGAGTATACCTGGGCTTGTCGTGGGACTGTTGGATAGCTGATGCAGTACTAGATGTAAGCAACCATGCCGCGACATCCACACCTCAGAAGTCCGTGTCAGCAAGATGGAATCACAGGCCCGCTTCAAGTAAGATCAGTCAACGATGTACATCATGCAGAGTTCTCTTCTCTTCCAACCTCAAGCTGTTTCTTCGAGCTCATCATTCTCATATACTTCATAATACATCAATAAGATACAACATCTCCCGCAGCCACGCCTCGCCTTTACTGCAGATAGTCGCCATTCGTCTCCTTGTGAATCACGTCAAACATCGGCTTCGCGCTGAACCATCCCGCCCGGTGCGAGCCAACAGTGCGAGACGTGTAGGTCGCCTCTTCATCGCCAATGATGATCGGGTGCTCACCACGCGAGGACGCTGCGGCCTCGGCCATGAGCTGGCTGTGGCAGCACTTCTCGAGCGAGACGAACCAGAAGATAGTCTGCAAATATGTCAGCATGCCCTCCGTATCACAGCAACACACCAAGTGTCATGACTTACCTCCTCAACAGTATGCCCAACAGTCAACAACCCATGATTCTGCAACAACGCCGCCTTCTTATCCCCCAAGCACGCCGCGATATCCTTCCCTTCCTTCTCCGCCAACACTACGCCATTGAAGCTATCGTACACCACATGATCGTTGTGGAAAGCACAGGCATCCTGCGTCAACGTATCGATCTTACGGCCTAGCGAGCACCAGGTCCGGCCATAGATGCTGTGCGAGTGTGCGGCGCAGATGACGTCTGGACGGGCGTGGTGGATGGCGCTGTGGATCATGTAGGCGGCTTGGTTGAGGAGGCGGACGGGGCCGCCGTCGATGACTTCGCCGGAGTGGTTGACGAGCTGGTCGATATTCGTCAGCTCAATGGCCTGCTACCTCCGCAACCCCTACTCCTGGAGGGAAGAGGGAAACTCACGATCAAATCACTCTTATTAATCATCGAAAACGCCACGCCAAACGGATTCACCCAAAAGCAATCCGGCTGCACCGGGTCCCGCAGCGTGATATGGCCAGCCACACCCTCATCAAAACCATACTTGCCGAAGATACGGAAAGCCGCTGCCAGACGTCCCTTCAAGAAATCTCGCTCCGCGTACTTGTCTTCGAAAGTCGGCGGGCGGGGGAAGTTGAGGGCACCTTGCGCGGCGAGGTTCTTCTTGACGCCGGGCTCGTGAGGACGCTCGCCAGCGTTGACGGGTTGGCTGTCACCGTTGGAGTCGGTTGCGTGGGGTGCCATTTTGGTGAGTTATTCTTTTACTTGCTTTTGGTGGTGGGATTTTTCAAAGACCAGACGAAAGAAGTGAAGTGAAATAGAGAGAAGAGAAGAGTGGCGAACTGATAACCCGGCCTAAAACTTACCACGCTGGCGTAGTCGGCGGACTGTTCGTTGGTCGTTCGGGTTTACGTGCCCCGCAGTTCGGATGATGTTTGTGTGGAGTCGGCACAGAGCGAAGTGTCGTTAGAATTCAGCCCGGCAGTTTGGTGTCAGGGTCTAATGGCCCGATTTGCCTGATTGGGCAGTTGCAGAGCTACAACACGTGATCATTATCAGGAGAGGCACGGCAGTGCCAGGTCCCCTATACGCAAACGAGCAGCGAGCACGAGCTGGACGTTATCGTTCTATTCGCTGCTCGTAGAGGACAACACGTCACTCAAACTCGATGTTGACCTTCAGCGCTTTGGTCTCCGCAGCACGACCGAAGATATCATACGCTTTCTCGATCTCGCTGAACTTGAAGTCTGTAAGACAGTCAGCATGGTCTCTTCACGCAAGTGGTCGCACCAGTCGGATCGTACGCACCATGCGTGATCAAAGCACTCGTATCCAACTTCCCAGCAGACATCAATTCCAGTAGCAACGGAATCGTGTGGCTGCTCACAAGCGCCATCGAGATTGCTACACTTTGCGTCAGCGGTGCTTTTGTGTCACCCGAGACGGGACGCATACTCGTCGACCGCGACCACAGTTTATCAATCTTGAGATTGACGCTGGTCCCATGGACTCCAACATTCGCAATATTGCCACCCACACCCACAAGCTCCTGGCACATATCAAACGTTTCCGGAATGCCGACAGCCTCCACCACAACATCGAAACCATCCTTGTCTCCAAACCACCCCTTACTGACCTCTCGCGCCTCCGCCGCCGAGTTCACCTTGTAGCACTCGGTCGCCCCAACTTCTCTTGCTTTGTCCAAGCGGAATTGATCACGATCAAAACACACGATCGCTTTCGGAGAGTAGAGCTGCGCACAGATAGCACTCGCTAGCCCAACAGGGCCAGCTCCGACAATAGCGACGGTGCAGCCTGGCTTGACCATTCCGCGAAGCACGGCGACTTCGAGACCGGTGGGCAGGATGTCAGAGTATACGAGCAGGCTACGCTCATCCGCCCCGGGCGGGATGGGGTAGAGGCAGGAGTCCGCGAAGGGGATGCGAAGGTATTCGGCTTGGGTGCCGTCGAGAAGGTGACCGAGTTGCCAGCCGCCGGACTTGCAGGCATCGAACAAGCTGGAATGTTTCAGCGGATGTGGTAAGCGAGACGATTAACCTACCTCTCCTTGCACCATCTACATGTCGCGCAGCTGGTTATGCAAGCAATCAACACTCGATCACCTTTCTGGTAATTCTTGACTTCTGCTCCAACTTCCTCGACGACACCAATACCCTCGTGCCCAAGAGTACGACCCTGCTCGACGGTCGGTACGTCGCCTTTGAGGATATGCAAGTCACTGCCACATATGGTCGTTCGAACAAGCTTGATGATGGCCTGGTTGGGCTGTTCGATCTTGGGCTTCTCTTTGTCGACTAGCTTGATCTTGCCGACGCCATCAAAGGTTAGGGCTTTCATGTTAAAGGACGCACTCTTTTCCTGTGACTGAAGATTGTCCGTGGTTCAGTAGATCCGGGAGTCTGGCTGATAAGTCCAGATGGGTACACAGGACTATATGGCCCTTCTCCATCGCTCCAACGGAAGGTCTCAAGAGCTCGGGTATGGTTCTTTGGATGCTATTGTGTAGGAGAGCTGCCCCGCAAAGGTACATGGTGACCCCTTGAGCTGGATATGGGAGTGTTCTGCAGTAGTCATAGAGTGTTTGCGGGGGAACACTGAGGGAATAGGCGCATTATCGTGCTATCTCACATCCACTCGGCCCATGTGGTAAACTCGTGTGGCAAGCTGAGCACTCAGGGGCTGATGGTGGTTCATGTTCCTGACGAAGCAAGAGTTTTGATAAGAGCTCAAACCCACTCAACTTCGTCCTCTATAAGCATTGTATGCAGCGTAAAGACGAAACGTAAGACAGAGAAGAGCGTGTACACTTGCTCGCCTACCTGAATCAACGCTGTGCCTCCTATATCCTTCGATGGTTTGAAACATTGAATGGGCTTCGTGCTCGTGTGGGGCATGGGCGATGCGACTCGATTCGCATATCGATGAACTGACAATCGGCATATCGATGGACTGACATGTGTGCATGAAAGTGGAAGAGATTGTTTGATGTGGTCTCTGGCAATGCTTGATGTGCCACGACTTCTGGCAATGCCATGAATTCCGACTAAGACGCGAAACTTCAACAACGCGGAACATTTTTTGGACGAAGAGCTCAAGTCCAAACATACAACGCTTTAACGAACTGCAAACTGCAATTGCGAACCACAGCAGACGACTAAAAATACCGCGCTAGGAGAACAGCTTTACCTCATACCTCGAAAGGCGCAGGAAGCGCAGCAAAACATTCAAGATGCAGGCTCCGGTGGTGGTGATGAGTATGCTGCACTACCTATACCGACAGTAATGCATGGCTAATGAATATGCGCAGACACGCAGAATGGCGACAGACAAACAGGAAGACAAGCGCAACTATCCAACATCACAGCCGCAAAGACGGTAGCAGACATCATCAGGTCATGTCTTGGACCAAAGGCCATGCTAAAGATGCTGCTGGATCCGATGGGAGGGATCGTGCTCACAAACGACGGCCACGCCATATTACGAGAGATTGAGGTGGCACATCCGGCGGCAAAGAGCATGATCGAACTGGCGAGAACACAGGACGAGGAAGTGGGAGACGGCACAACCACGGTCATTATTCTTGCTGGCGAGATTCTGGCTCTCAGTCTACCGCAGCTGGACAGGCACATTCACCCGGTCGTCATAATATCAGCCTTCAAGCGAGCACTGAGCGATGCGCTGGAAATCATCCAGGACGTCAGCATCCCGGTCAACATCAACAACGACGAAGTTATGAAGAACCTCATCTCCACCTCAATCGGCACAAAGTTCACCTCCAGGTATAGCGACCTGATGTGCGAGCTCGCGTTGACGGCGGTACGGACAGTCAGCCATGATGCGGGTGGTGGCAAGAAAGAAGTCGACATCAAGCGGTATGCGCGTGTGGAGAAGGTGCCAGGCGGCGAGATCGAAGACAGCTCGGTACTGGACGGCGTCATGTTGAACAAGGACATCACACATCCCAAGATGCGACGACGGATAGAGAACCCACGCATTGTCCTCCTCGACTGCACCCTCGAGTACAAGAAGGGCGAATCGGCGACCAACATCGAAATCAGCAAAGAAGAAGACTGGAATCGCATCCTCCAAATCGAAGAAGAGCAAGTCCGTGCCATGTGCGACGCCATTATCGCGGTCAAACCAGACCTCGTCATTACGGAAAAGGGCGTCAGCGACCTCGCCCAGCACTTCCTTCTGAAAGCCAACATTACCGCCCTTCGCCGTGTGCGAAAGACCGACAACAACCGCGTCGCCCGTGCCACCGGCGCCACCATTGTCAATTCCGTCTACGACCTCACCGAGCGCGATGTTGGCACCCAATGCGGTCTCTTCGAGATCAGCAAGATTGGCGACGAGTACTTCACCTTCCTCACCAAATGCCGTACGCCCAAAGCCTGCACCATTCTATTGCGAGGCCCTTCGAAAGACATTCTAAACGAGATCGACCGCAACCTTCTGGACGCCATGAGCGTCGCGCGAAACGTCATCTTCCACCCCTACCTCTCTCCCGGCGGCGGAGCGACCGAGATGGCCGTCTCCGTCCGCCTCGCCCAGAAAGCGAAGAGCATCGAAGGCGTACAGCAGTGGCCCTACCGCGCCATCGCCGAAGCCATGGAAGTCATCCCTCGCACTCTCATCCAGAACGCCGGCAACTCACCGATCCGCGAGCTCACCAACCTCCGCGCCAAGCACGCCGAGGACGCATCTGCTGGCAAAGGTGGCAAGGAGGGAGGTGCGACGTGGGGTATCGATGGGGATGCTGGAAAGGTGGTGGATATGAAGTCGTTTGGGATCTGGGAGCCGCAGGCGATTAAGCTGCAGAGTGTGAAGACGGCGGTGGAGAGCGCGTGTTTGCTGTTAAGGGTGGATGATATTGTGGGGGCGAAGAGTGCGAAGCAGGGTGGTGGTGGAGGTGGAGGCGATGAGGATTAGAGGATTGAGTGCTCCAATGCAGGTACGCTGATATGTAGACGTAACGATGACGCCTATACTGTTGACGCGAACCATAGTGAGCGTTATGGATGATTTGCCAATGTGTCTTACCCTAGAAGCGTTCAGCTAGGTGGTTCCGGCGTTGCAAAGCATACCTTAGCATGGGATGCGGTAAGTCAAGTCTGCAGATGATATACATCGTTGCGAGGCTGATGCTCGTCGCCTACGGGGCTATCAGCGAGCTGCAAATAGCCCAATCAATGAGACTGGTGAGGTGGTTCGCCTGAGGGCATCCGCGCTTGGGCACTTATCCAGTACGAGGTCTTGACCTTATCCCTCACCCTCACCACTCATGGCCACCAATTCCAGCGTTGGGTCGCCTGGTAAATCTTGATTTCAGTCTTTGCCCTTCATGGCTACCAAGTCCAGCGTTGGGTCGCCCACTACGAAACACTCAATGCTGAAAGGAAAGAGATACGCTTACTGGTCATCCACCCAGCTCGACGGAGCTCAGACACCATCGAAGGCTCTTTGCTTCATGTATCACGACTGGAGATGCCAATGCCAGCTTACGAGACAGTATCATACTGCTGGGGCGACAGTACTGTTTGCTCGGTCATCTGCCTTGATGGAGCGTTGGTCGATTGTCCAGCAAGCGCTGCGCCGGCATTGACTGCTCTCCGTTTTCCGGACAGCAATCGTACCCTCTGGATTGATGCCATCTGCATCAATCGATCGAATCCAGAAGAGAAGAGCCAGCAAGTTGTGCTGATGAGCGAGGTCTATCGCGGCACGCGGCAGAACCTCGTATACCTTGGCGAAGGCGACGACAGCATCGGGCCTGCTCGAGAAGCAATCGAATTGGTCCTGCGGGACATAAGGCGAGAGACTCGTGATCTTGAGACCATGCTGGACCATCTGTACGACGAGAACGAGGTGTTCTGGTACTCGTCCACTGGCCTGGATGTGACGTTTGACACCCAAGCTCTACTTCCATTCTACTCGGGACCCTAGTTTCGGAGGGTATTGGTGGTTCAAGAAGCTGCTCTGTCGAAAGCAAGCGTCTGACATTGCGGCGGATATCAACTACCGCTGACAGACATTCTCAAAGTCGCCGTTTGGCTGGTGCACAAGGAGGGCCATTTATCATCCCAGGTAGTCTACCATCCCGGAATTCTGGCAGCAGCGGAGATGTTCGACTATGCTGCTCATGACATCCTAACGCCGTCCGAACAGCCTCCAACTCTGTTACCGCTCCTCGTCCAGCACCAAGATCTGGGCGCGCACGACCCCAGAGACCATGTTTATGGTATGCTTGGTTTGTATCAAGGTGCTCTGGAGCCGCGGGTGTTGCCACCGTTGCTTCGGCCGGATTACACAAAGTCTATTGCAGAGGTCTGCCGTGATGCCACCAGATTTGCTCTCGAAGAGCAGGGCGATCTGCAGGTACTGCTACATTTGTTCCACCGGCGACTTGAAACGCCAGAGGAGCGGGAACTGCCTTCCTGGGTGCCTCGATGGCACCGAGCATGGAACCGCGAGCTTGATGCGCGGCGTCTGAGTTACTTCTTCCGGGCGGACGGTGGCATGGCGATGGAGTTGCTGCCTTCCAATGGACCAAATGAGCTGGTGCTGAAAGGCAGAGTGGTTAGTACTGTTATGGAAGCCACCAACAAGCTCAGCTACGAAGCTTGGAGAAGTGTCGCGGCAATGCAAGCCTTCCTTTCCTCGGTAGAGCAGTCGACGTCTCGCGCACAACACAGTATCAAGGGTAGTCAGGACACATCTGCAGTCGCCCTGGCTTTGATAGCCGACCGAAACAGCGAAGGCAAACCTGCTCAGGCTGCGGACGCCGCCGGCTACTCGTCCTTTGCTCGCTACATTCAGGCCGGGCGCATGCCGCCCACGCTGCAAGACCTTAGAGCAGCAGTAAAGAATGCTGCCGCGGACCTCGATGCAGACAACGCTGCACACTTCCACCAAGCCATGCTCCGAGCATGCACCAACAGAAAATTCTTCCTATCAACAGCCGGGGCAATTGGCTTGGGACCGCAAGACATGCGAGCCGGTGACCTGATCTGCGTGCTGTACGGGTGCTTGTGGCCGGTTGTGTTACGAACGTTGGGAGACAATTATGAGGTCGTGGGGGTTTGCTATATGCATGGCAACATGTATGGCGAAGCTGTGCGTGAGCAGAGACAGCCGGGTGGAGTCGAGACTACCTTCACGCTTATCTAAAACGTCTATTGAGCAGTTGTATCGAGTTGCCTTCTCGGATATGGAGGCAGCTGTGCCATCGCAACTTTTTGACTGAGGTGTGGTTGTGATGTGAGTTCTCCCAAACTTAACTTAACCAATCGGATATGACTACTGGCGCCCTCAGACTGTGCCGCTTTCGCGCAGCGAGATGCTGCAAGCGCTGCTGAACTCCAACTTGGACATCTCAACTCTTCGTCGGATTGAAGTCCCCACTGCCCGGAGAGCCAGTTCGTCCGAACCACCGTTCATACGATTGATAGACATCCACTTTTGATCTGAGTCACTTCAACGATCCGGTACCAGTAAGCAATGGACGTACGACAACTCACAATTCTACTGCTATTCAGCATCTCCGTCATCGCCTCCATTACGCAGACCATCGGACACCAAAACGACTATAGCAACGTCCGACTTACGTGCGGTCTCACTGCCAGCACGGTCGCCGTGACAATTTGCTGCCTGTCGTATCCGAATCGAGCGGCCGCGGATGGGTGTGCGCTGCTTGTTGTGCTGTTGAATTTCCCGTTGATGTGGACAGGAAGGATGGTTGGAGTAGATGCTGCTCTGTACGTGCTACGGTTGGTGGAACCATGAAAAGCCATACGTGAGGCACATGGGACGATGGTCTTCCGTTAAGCTGGATTGTTGAAGGATAGGCGAGATTGATCGTGTGAGCATGTATTGTCGTCGTACCAACCCTATTAAGTTTACTGCACAGCTCGAAGGCAAGTATTCAATTGTTTAGTACCCTTGTCTTTCCTTCATCCACATGCTCGAGGTCTACTTTCTTCATGCGCCAAAATTATGTGCACGGGCCATATGAACCAAAAGCCGGTGCGGAGCCTAGACTCCACGCCTTCTTGCCTTCTTCTAGATACCCTCTAGATACCCTCTAGAACCATATCACCGCAAGACATTCTCCACAACTAAAGCAACATTGAAAGCAGGACACGCAAAGTATTAGTAGCCTTAGACAATGTGAGATTGCCGAGAGCTGTTAAACCCGCAGACAAACAACAACGAGATGTGCATGCAACACTACATCACCTACACATGTGGCTGCAGGCACAAGGGCGATTTCAAGCAGTGTGATTAGAACTACGAAGCCGGAATGACTTTGCAGTGTGCAGTGACGGAAGCAAGCAACAAGGTCACGCGCTCGTATTGTTCGCAGCACTTGCCAAGGGAGGACAAGGCCACGATGATATACACTCACCCTCGACCTACTAGCTAATTAGTGGAAATATCTTTAGCGTAAGCGACAACGTTGTTGTTGGTGTTTTCTGGAGTAAGAGACGATGGGCGTGTGCAAGGCCGAGAACAGTGAGAGTGAGAGTGCCGAGCGTGCACAACGACTAAAGCAAAATCATACTATTGCTCCGACATTTGACTCAGCCTCTCGTCCAGGTTCGGAACTAGTTCCCTCACACCTCGGCAATGCGCCACATGAGCGAGTAGACCGGCCTACGACCATTCAGTGTTTCTCATCCATATAATGTTGTGCATCTGTTGCATCCACGCCTGGTCGACAAACCGTGAGAGCTGATCCCTCTCGCGACACACTTTGTCACCGCCTCGGCACCGCAGCCCTTCACGACTGCGGCCTCCAGTCAACAGTGATGGAAATGGAATGGATGCCATACTGTCAAAGTCGTTGGCGGCAATGTAAGGCAGGAGGCCTTGACTTGCAGCAGGGTTCGGACGTGGTGTTGTTAAAGGTGCTGCCAGTGTAAGACGCAGAACGTCTGAGAATCTGTATGGAGAAAATGGATCTACCGAAGTATCTTCCGCAGCGATCCTGTCCTCAAGTTCCTGGGCCAAGGTTGCCTCTGTTTTGTGCTTTAGAGCAAGTTATTTAGCTGCCTGTACGCCAACAAGCTGTTGTGTCCGCCTGGAAATATTGTGGCGTCCCGTCGAGCTGCGGCTAGGAACGCTGGTCATTGTCGGAAGTGATCCTACCGCAGCCGCCGAGAGGCCGAAACAGCATTGTGCTCGTGCGACAGGCATCTGTCATAGGCTGCGTTGTATCGATAGACAAGAGTGACAGCATCGTTCGCGTGTGGGCAGAAACAAGAACGCGCCGTATTCGCCGCAAGAGAAGCATGCTTGCGAGAGTAGAGCTGCGTGAATGACGTGCGCTGGGTGGTGGCGTATTAGTTTCGTCGATGCAAGTGCCATCATTGCTCGCGGTGCATGTCGAACCAAGTCGCGGTATTCAGGTAGCGATGCCATGATCTCCCTCCCACGGAGGTTGGTTTGTGTAATGCTGAGTAGGGTTTGGACATCCAGCATCGAGAAGATGAAGTGCACGAGCTCTGGAGGAAGAACATCCAGATTGCCCAGCGGGTCGGATGGGGTCCGGAAGGGCTTGATCTTGGGGACGCTGGTTGTGGTTACGGGAATCATCTCCTCCAAGATATGGTCTGGTTGATGAGCGAGCAGGGACAGAAGCTCCTCACGTACTGATTGTCCGTGGGACATGCTGAGTCGGCGGCTGCTTATCGGTGGACTGAGAGCTATTGCTCACAGGTGCCGCTTCGGTGAATAGTCTGGTCCAATGTGAAGTGGAGTGGTACAGAACTCCAAGGGATGTCGTGCAATATAAAGCACGTTCAAGCGCCTTCTTTTGACGCCACAACGGCTCAGCAACCGCCGATTCCATGCTGTGCCGCTCTCCTCGTGCTCCAGCTGCATGTTCACGCCGTCTATCTTTCGAATGGCTCGTATGAAGCAGTAATGGTCACACAAGCAGTCACCGATTTCCACGAGGACAAGCGGAATCCAGTGACTTTTGCCATAGCCAGTGATCAGCGTTCATGAGAATCCAGAAACCACCAATACGTCAGACGTCCCTTAGCCTGATCTATGGCAATCCCTTCTGCGCACTCTGAGCACTCCAACACCCTTCGATGTCGATTTCACGACCCAAGTCGCACAGCGCCCCCGACTGGCGGACAGAGCTACCCAACCGAATGTCCAAGCGACTGTCCGCTCCGGCCACCATATGCAGGTCATGATATTGGCTTGCTCCCAGCGCCGAGTGCAACCACAATAGAACGTGATATCCCTCCCGAGGGTCTTTACAAGCCAATACAAGAATGGCAAACCAGGCTGTTAATTCTCGAGTCCGGTTCCTTGGGAGAGGACCTAAAAGCCGCACTCATACATGTCGAGATCGTTCATCGGCGTGGCGTTGTGCGGGCTGATCTGAACGAGCGTATCGCGTATCAGGCGCTCTCGTACACCTGGGGCAAAGACGTGTTTCCTTGTCGGATATACATCAACGGTCATCCCCGCCACATAACAGAGAATCTCTACAGGTTCTTGCAGAAGTATCGCAAACACGGACAGCAATCCGTGCTCTGGATCGACTTTCTCTGCATCGACCAGTCGAATGTCCACGAAAGGAATGTCCAAGTGAGCAACATGCTGCAGATATATCAGAAAGCCGCCCAGGTCATCGTTTGGCTTGGTGATCAGCAGCAGTACAACAGGACTGCAGTCCGATACCTGGACTGGCTGGCAAACCGCTACCCTCGATCGTGGCTGCAGCCTTCTTACGTTGACTTTCATTCTGCTTATTGCCACTTGGGAATGTTGTCGGTCTGTAGTGGGCTCACGGACCTCTGCAACAGAGACTGGATAAGACGCATCTGGATCAAGCAAGAAGTATGGGCGAATCGGAACGTAGTCGTCATGTGTGGCGATACTCAGTTCACGTGGCAAGCGTTCCAGTACTGCTCGGACGTAAAATTGTTGTTAGGAATCATCTTGGAGGCAAATGAAGAAGGGTATGTATTGCGCTGGCAGACGAGTGGACCACATGGTGCCAGCATTTCAGAAAGCCAGCTGCGTGCTCTTCGGGGGCTCCAGATCGCCAACGGGGAGGGCATACAAGCTCACACCTGGGACAAATCAGACGCCCCACACGAGATTGTCGACCTTCTCAACTCGTCTAGCGAAAGCAAGAGCCTGGAAGAGAGCGACAGGATCTATGCAGTCCTTGGGATGGCCAACATTCCCACAGAGGCGGCCGCAACACCTGGCCAAAACCAAAACCCTGCTTTTGTGCCGATTGGTTACAATCGAGGTTATCACCAGGTCTGCCAGGATCTGTCCAGGTACCTGATGTATCATCTGGGCGTGTACGCTGTCTTAAATACTGAGGGTGCTTTCGGAAGTCGGGATGGTATCAATCTGCCATCATGGTGTCCGGACTTCAGACAGCCCATCGACCCTATGGTCTCTGGTAGGTCAGAGCCAGGCGACGCCGTCTGGGAATACTCACATCCCTCCCGCTTGCAGAAACATCGAGAGCTGGGTATCAACTACGACTCCAACACTCTCGCCGTCCGGGGTTATGTTATCGCTACCTTGAGTGTAGACCTACAGTCGACCGTGGAGGAGCTTCATCCCATCCCATCTGGCTTCTCTGACTTCGAGGAGAGTCTAAAGTTGATGGATTGCGACATCCTGTCTCATATGGCACGGTCATGGCATCAAGTCAGGAACCCACATACTCCAGACCCGGTCTTTCGGGATTTAATGGGTGGACTAAGGCATTACGTACAGGCTCAGGGTGGGTTTGCCGTGCCCGAGGAAGCTCGCAGGGGCGATTTGATCGTGATGGTGTTTTCTTCCAGGCTACCGCTCGTGATGCGAAGGTCGACTGCCAATGACATGTATTCATTCGTGGGCTGTGCATGGCTGAATCCCTCGGCAGAGCACCATATACAGGCTTGGGTCAACTTGGACCGATTGCTTGATGATGATACCTCAATTGATCGCTGGCCTGCCGACGTCTTGCATCTTGAGTGATGGCCTTCGATGATGCTATCTCGCCCAACGCAGTCCGGAGTGAGGGCGCTACGGTCCAGTTGCATGTTTGGATTCACATGCAGCGAACAGGAGGTACATCAACTCTCTAAAGTCTGCAAAAAGTCCAATGACCTGTCATCAAGCCACGAGAATCCGTAGGGATCAAGCGGATCAGCCGTCAGGAGAGATGGATCCATTGGCAGGTGCAGCCAGTCAACTTCCCATCCGCCGTTGTTGCTATTGCTCGGCATGTCTATATGTAGATCAACCCTCGCAGCCTTTCGGCTCGCTCCTGGTCATGTTCTGCCGTCCATCTCGATAGTGTCGACTGCTCAACTGCCGACTGATTGAAGACTCCCATGTCGCAAGCCAAAGTCATTGCGTTTCCAAGCAACATCCAAGACATTTGGTCAAATCTTCTTGCTGGCCGAACGACATCCTCGGCCCATCGATCTCGCACCTGTTCCGCAGACGTCGTTGGCAAGCGACCGCCATCCTGCTCGGAATGGTGCAGCAACGCCGAGTCCCAGCCGTCCATTGGGGGCGGGAATGCGAGCCCTCTCGGGTGCCACTCTGTAAGCAATAGGAGTGCTTCTAGGCTGCCGAGCGTGCGTAGTTTGCCCTTGGACAACTTTTCTTGGCCCAGTACGAGGCGGAGAAGGAGATGCTGAATGTGCGCCCAAAGCCGATCGTGGATATATCTGCTCCGAGTTGCACCACCGGCGCCTGGTAGTGTCATGAACTGGCACGAAATGGTAAGGATGGTACAGCAGAGGAACGGCTCGTTGGTTACGAGGTAGTAATGATTGTTGTGCGGATAAAATATGTCAGTAAGGATGGGTGACAGAGGCGAAATGGTTTCAAAGAAACTGTGAAGCACTTAGCTTCAATTCAGTCTCATCATGCATGTTTGGAACGTACAAATCCACCAGAGAGATAGCCTCTGAAGCAGACAGCCAGCCTTGCATGACCCAGCGGCAGGCATTCCATACCTCAACAGCAGGCACGACATAAGGCGACTCCTCCGCAGTGCACGCCAATGATGGCGCTGAGAGATTTGGACGAACGCCATGTGCCGATAGATGCGTTTCGCGATCCTCTCGGACGGCCGAGAACAAGAGATCGCGAGCATCGTTGCCACTCAAAACAACAGTTCGCATGACAGACTCAGCGAGACCGTCAGCAGATGGGCATGGATTTCCCGGGCCTGCTGTAGCGTGCTCCGTCAGGTTGTTGTTTCCATGCATTATAGAAGCGCTGTGATTACTGGTCTCGCGGCTCTGCCGTGCACGGCGAGGCTTCTGTTTGTAACGGTGCTCTGGGAAGACGCAGGCTCGACCTTCACGCAGGCATCTCTGGCATTTCGTGGCGCCGGAGCCAACGGTGCAACGAGACTTGCGTTTTCGGCAAACATCGCATGCCTTGTATGCCCGCTGGGATGCGATACCGCCGTGAATCTCTGGAGAGGACGGAGCGGCGACGTCGGTCGACATGCCAGGCGCTGTACTCTGATGAGATGGAAGCTATGATATCCGACAGACGAAGTCGGTTGTAGGAAGTCAACGGCGTCGGCATCCATCGGATATTGCTCGTGCGGGGTCCCCGCCCCAGGAACCCCGCCCCCGGACATTGTCAAGGAGAAGGCGCGGAGAGTACGACCACGGGATAGGGTGGCACCGTTTGTAAGATGTATTCGTCCCCTCCAGCCCTCCTCGATCCTCCCACAACATACAATGTCAGAGGTCACCATCAGCGCGCGCACTCTCCGGCGGATGCTCTTTCTAGTGAGAGTATGTGTTCGGTGAGAGGCTGACGTTCTTCCATTCAGATCTCCAATTTCTGTCTACCAAGAGCATCACTGTCTGAGAGCTAATGTGCAATAACCCAATCCAAACACATTCCTAGGTCATGAATCGGAAGTTGCGCATATTCTGTCCGTCGACAGTGACATCAACCGTTGCATTCCTCGCGACCGGACCATCTTCACGATCTCTCTTGCGATTCTCGTGGGCCAGCTTGAAATGAAGGCTGAGAGAGACAATGACAATGAAGCCGGTCAGGCCGCAGCCGACTGCTGAGCCAGTGACATAGCGTGGCCTGCCGCAGGATGTTAGCAGATCTATGTCGCGAGTGGACAGCAGTAGGGCCACTTACGCCTCGGTGTCGGGATACAGCGAGCTACTGATGAATGAAGACAGCTGGCCGACGGTCGTGAAGACGGCCCAAGCGGCGCCCTTCTTGGAGTCGCCAGCGGAGTTGCTGAAAAGCCAAGTTACGTTCAAGGCCAATGCAGAGAAGATCCCCATCGAGGCGAGCCAGACGCCCACGTAGCGAGACGCCGTGCCGTACGTTGTCGCCAGTAAAACGTATCCCACGGCGCCCATTGCTGCGAAGCCGGCGACAAAAAATCCTCGTGTTCCCACGCGATCCGAAGTGTAGGCGGCACCGACGGAGACTAGGAACGAGGCAAGATACACCGGAGCGGTGACGCCTTGGGCCTCTTGGTCAGTAAAGCCCATGTTCGCCACCACGGTGGGCAAGAAGTTCGACAAGCCCGCAAAGGAATAATTGCAACAGAAGTGCATTGTCGCATGGCACCAGCTCTTGTAATCAGCGAGACCGGAGAAGTATTGTTTGCCGGACACTTTCGATTTGGCGGTCCGGTCGCGCATTTGCAGGCGCTCAACAGCCTCAGTCTTCTCCGTCTCAGTCAAGAATCCAGCAGTTGATGGTGAGTCTGGTAAGCAGAAATAAACGATAGGAAGCAGGAAGATGGCTGGAGATCCCTCTGTTGCGGGCCGTCAGTCTGCTTGTTTTCTGGAGACTGGTGGCGGACTCACCGATTATGAACAGTAGCCGCCATGGCGCGATGGAGTTCTTGACCTCCATGATGCCGTACGCCAGGGCCGAAGCGAATGTGTTTGCCAAAGGGGATGTACCAAGGACGAGGCTTAGGCGTACTCCCAATTCTCTGCGGTTGTAGAAAAGCGTCAAAAAGTAGACTGCGCCGGCACCAAAAGCTGCTTCAAAGAGGCCAAGCAAAGTACGGCAGGCAACGAGCCCACCGTAACTTGTCACGGCACCGGACCACATCGCAGCGGCACTCCAGCTGGAGAGTATTCAGTCTGAGTACTGCCCGATGTCTGAGAGTATACTCACCCAAGACAGACAAAGGCACACCAGATATGTGCAGGCAAGATCTTCCAAAAGATGATGGACCATTCAAAGCAGGTGTACACGATGTAAAAAGCGTACAGCACCCACTGCCACTGATGGTCGCTCAGGGCGAGGTCATCTTGGACGCCGGCGACTTTGGCATTGCCGATGTTTCCTCTGTCGAGATATGAGACAAGATACAATGCCATAATGATGGGTAGCAGTCTTCGGTCAAGCTATACTGATACGTCAGCTGCCGTTGCGCACTACTCCTGCGTTGGTGTTGTCAAACCTTCTTCCGGATATGAGCATATCGATCATTACCATCGCTCTGCAGTTCTGCGTCGAGAGATTCGACATGCGTGCAATCATTTTTGTGTGACTTCTCCTCGTCGCTGGACATTTTGAGGGAGGGCAGAGGGTTGGCAGGCGAGATGCTCCTGGGGGGGCAACGTTGCTGTCTGTTGAAGTACAAAAGTCTCTCGAAATTCGGCATCCACCTCGTGAGTTGAGAGTCATAAAGAGAAGAAGTGTTGACAGAGACCGGCGGTCTGGTGCTACTTGAGCAAATGGCCGTTGACTCCAGGCCCAGACCTTGGCTTCCGACTGAAGTCACCGGAGTTGCCTTTGATATCCGACAACCTTCCGTGTGCCCCGACATAACACAACATGTCTGTACCGATGTCGCTGAGGGAGATCAAGGTTAAATACCTCTGTGACTTACTTGCTTTTGGTACTATCAACACCGTAGTTGACATCTTTCGAAACACATCCCTATCCGAGACCCAAGCCCGCAATCATGACTTCCGAGAGCGTCAACAGAGTGCCCTATCCTTTCAAGTTTGAGCAAGGATGGAGCTCACAGGCAGGCAAAGATGGTCAAGTCAACATGACCTTGAGCAATTCCAAAGGCCGGACCCCATCGCTTCAAGCATCCAGACTGCGCAGCATGGTCCTCGAAGCACAAGCACACCCAGCGAAGACCGTTGCAACTTGTATCTCTTACGATGGACTCTCCTCGCGCTTGACGGAGGAGGCCGGCTTCCCGATCATCTTTCTTGCCGGATACGCAATGGCCAGCACGCTTGGTATACCGGACACCGGATACATCGCCATGCAGGTAAGTTATTGTCAACACACTTACAACCATCGTTACCTTTTCTGACACGATGCAGGACGTCTGTAATAAAATTCAAGAGACGGCACGCCAAGTATCAGTGCCCATCATCGCTGACGGCGACACTGGATATGGCAGTCCTATGAACGTCAAGCGGACTGTGCAGTGTTTTGCAGAAGCCGGTGCGGCAGGTGTCATGATCGAGGACCAGACATGGCCCAAACGTAAGCGATGGTTGTGAGATTCGTCCCTGTGGTGCTTTCGTTAATGAAGCTACAGGCTGCGGACATACCAAAGGCAAGGCAGTGGTTCCTCGTGCTGAAGCTTTCGCCCGAATCCAAGCGGCCTGCGACGCACGCGATGAAGGGAAAGACATCTGGATTCTAGCCCGGACAGACGCCCTCATCCTTGGTTGGGAGGAAACGATGGCTCGCGTGACGGAATTCCAACGCATTGGCGTCGACGCTGTGTTCATTGAAGCCATCCCGGACAAGGCTGCCATGCAACGATGCGTCCAAGAGGTCCAGGTACCGCAGATGGTCAATAGTGAGTGCTTTCTCCCATACCATTATCAACGACCGAGGATTTAGCTAAGAGACCGTTCCAGTCATCGAAGGCGGCCTGACAGAGAACCTCTCCGCGAAGGAGCTTGCTAAGATGGGTTTTGCTCTCACGGCTTGGCCATGGACGCTAGTGGCAGCTCATTTGAACGCGATTCGTGAGACTCTAGAGAACTTGAAGGAAAGCATGACAGTCGGTGCTCCACCGACCATCTTGTCGTACAGCGAGGTGTGCAAGGGTGCAGGCTTCAACCGGTACTGGGTCAGTAACAACACATTCCTTCCGTGGCGAAAGAACCATATGCTGACCTCCGCGAAGGATGAAGAGGAGCGATACAAATTTGAAAAGTTCGAAAAACCATCCGCAGTGAATGGTGTGAATGGGACGCATTGACTAAAGCCGAGAGGGTACTCGTTCTGCATCGCTGGACACACCATGTTTGTACCGGCGAAGAGAAAATGGATGGCCACTGGTTGAGAATAAAGTGTCTTGTTCTCTGTCAGTCAGAATCTCATGTGTTAGATAAGTGAAGCTCTGTATCTGTCGACAAGAAGTCGTCAGGAAGAGGTTCGCTCATGTACCAGATCATCTCGCCATAAATCAAATCATCTCACCACTCAAGCCCACGCCCTTTGCTTTCCGGTTCGAATGGATTGGTCTCGAGCCCGTGCGGCCTTGTCTCCCGGCTGACGTTCGGCGACGTCAGGGCATCGAACAAACCCCGTCCATGAAGTTCGTACATGGGTACGATACCGCCCGCATCAAGCAGCGCCTCTTCAACTGCCGAGTGCTCATAAGTAAAAGGCTTGGGGCAACCTTCCAGCGTGATCATTTTGGCAGCTCGGTCAATGGTGATAGTGCGTCCCTCTTGAGCATGCGTGTAGAAATCATCGGCCACCACGATTGCGCTAAACAGGCCCACGTTGAGCTGATTCCGCTCGTCTATCCTGTCTGTCAGTATCTGACGTCTGTATGCTGAGCCGCGGTTGTCGACTCACAGATAAAGGCGAAGCTCTTCGCGATTACAGCTTGAACGCCAGCACCGAGCAGCGCCCGAACTGCGTCCTCACGCGATGAGCCACTTCCAAACCCGGGACCGGCGACACTGGAAGTAGAGATCATCAGTTCGAAGCTACTACTCAGTAGCACAGAGCTCAAGACTCAAATGACGGTCGAACCAGTGTTCGCTCTTTCTCTGAAGTCGGGTCGGTAGTACTGGAAGCAGTGGCTGCCAAGATCAGCGTTATCAACGCCTGCCATGAACTCGGCTGGAATGATGGCATCGCTATTAGCCAGAGTCAGCAACATGATCCTGTTTCCATGAAGCCAATTGAACATACGTGTCAACGTTGTCTTCAAGCCGCTGGATCTTCCCGACGATTGGACTTTGATCTCGTGCTATTCGAACTGAGTCGCCATTACCGTCTCCGAGCTTGGAGAGATGTGGTGAGCTGGCCAGCCGCGGCTCTGGTTCGCTGATCGTTACCGTGCCAGGAATATCGGTGTTGTAGGTTCGAATGAGCGACGTATAGTCGGCCTCATTTATTAAACCCAGAAGCGGCCTTGGGTCTGTAACACGCATGGTGAAGCTTGAGGCTGCCACAGCCGCTGCTGAGGTGACGTTCCCAATGCTTCCTTTGCCCATTCTATTCCTAAAGTTTCGATTCTGCGAGGACAGCCATACTTCTCCTTCTTGAGCGACGTCTACGTCGTTGATACCAACGCAGTATGAGCAGCCGGGAGCACCTATCTCAAACCCGGCTTTGCGGTATGCGTCCAGCAGGCCAAGTTCGTCAAGCCTGTTTATGATGACCAGACTCCCACGTGTGACCCTTCGTTTGCCCTTTGCCGTTGGAACTTGTCCGGAACGGAGCCCAGCATCCAGAACCAGGGCCGCCAGTATAAGCTCTTCTTCCGTCGTGGTGCAAGCACCAATGAAACACCCGTCTAGGAGAGTTCCAGCTGTTGTGTCGATAGGCACCACATTGTCTGGATTTGGGTGAATGGCTACCGTAAAAGCAACCATCGAAAGGTCAATCGACCTGACTTCTGCGTACTGTGCATCAGCATCCGGCCGGAAGAAGCTCCCACCTTTCCGATCTTGTCGCAATCTTCGTTTTGATATCCACCTCGAAAATTTCGTCAGCCTCAAAACAAGCTCCCATGCCACCAAATTCGGTAGTCATGTTAGCGATGGCGAACCGTGCATCCATGGAGAGCTCACACAGACTGGGGCCACCGTACTCTACAGGACGCTGAAACGCGATAGTGTTTCGCTTGAAGAGGCCAAGGACATGAAGAATGACATCCTTTCCCGTTATTCCATAGGCAGGCTTGCCGACAAAGTTGATTCGACAGACCTCAGGCACGCGAAACCATGTCTGGCCAGTAACAAGAGGCATGACCACGTCAGCAGCACCGAATCCAACGGCAAGAGACCCCATACTTCCGGCAGAGCAAGTGTGCGAGTCGCTGCCTACGACAATGGTGCTTGGCTGGGCCTTCTCTCGGGTGAAGTCGGTGTGCATGATGCTCGTGTTTGTTGGAAGATAATTGATAATCTTGGCCTCGTCTCGGAACCGTTCTGATCTCTCAATAAGCCCTTTTTGCCGTGGAAGATCCTTGGTACGAGGGTCTACAGTATGATCGACGGCCAGCCAGATTCGATCATTCCTGTACGGCCGAGGCCGCTTCAACTGATTATATGTCTTCTCCATACCACCCCAAAGTAGCTCCGAGGTGAGGATCCAGTCGACCTGCACGCTAACGAACTGACCTGTCGAGACTTCAGGGGGTTTCAGCCCAGTCGCAGCGTGGGTGATGATCTTTTCGATTAGGTTCATAGGTTTCGGTGGAGGAGGCACCGGCTTGGTATCTTGAGCCAGCTAGTTGGATTCCCTCGTGGCTTCCTGGGAGTTGACAGCCTCGAGGAAGAAGGGCAAGTGTGCTATCACTGCATCAACAAAGACGTAGTCTGGGGTAGATCCTCCCAAGCTGCAGGGTAACACATTCGAGCCGATATATGCCACTGGTTCGAGTGTCCGCCGCAGCGCATCGGCGACTGCGCAAGCCTCTGCTGAAAGGCCAAGCACGTGCAGAAGATCCCGTACAGCCAGTATAGCACCGATTGTGTTATGAGATTGGTGCAAGCTTGGGTCTGACTGCTCAACGTGGAAGACCGTTTGCACCGCTGGCAGTGGAGAAACAATGCCTTCAGTCGAGTGCACGCCATCAAGGGAGCGCGCCAAATTGATGAGAGCTGACCCAGTCACTTTGTCGGTAACAATTGCTCATTTAGTGAGGCTGGATCTTGGACAAAGCCCTGGAGAGCTTGATGGCTAGACATGTGGCGGATGGGTTCCACAGGAAGCCCGCTCGACCGTTGCAGTAGTTCGTAACAATGGGTCGTAAAGGGTTCAATCATGTCGCCGTCTCGGATTATGGTGAACCAATCGGCTGGTTCACTTCGTTGCACAGCGGCAGTGCTGGCCAACACCAGATGCTTGACGTCATCCTTGGAAGCTTTCAAGGCACTCTCATCAGAAAGACCGTGGAGATCGTCTAGGAAGAATACAGTCATGTCGAGGTCTGCCAGTCCATCACAGGATGTTTTTCCTTTGGGAATCAGTTGAGGACTAGGGACATCGAAGCGGTACATCCGAACGTTAGGGCGACTCCCCTTGATTTGGTCCTGAAACTTTAAAGAGCCATAGGAGATGGCGCCCTGTACGGCATCGCCTTGACGGCCAAGCATCGAGACCGCATCCTCGGACGTCTGCGTGCCGGCCCCAGTGACAGTAATGCATGAGATGTCGAAAGAAGCGTCTTCGCGAGCCTGCTGGATGGTCTCTAGCATCTTTCGTATGCAAGTCTCCACTGCGCCGGAGCCGGGGCTGCTGTCTTCGCAAGCCAATAGCACTCTGAAGAATATGTCAGCCATGGTAGTTGCTTCTAGCATAGGTGACAAGTCGAGGTTCTCACGACAGAATATCTCCTACCTCCCCCTGGCCTACGACTCAAAAGCCCTACCTTACCGGTGGAGGTCTGTTCGAGCCGTAGGTTACCGAAGACCCGACGAAGGGAGACCAGGTAACCCAGGACCTCCCATCTGCCTAGACCTCATGGTCGAGTTGAGAAGCGTGTAGCCGCCGCGGACGATACAATCTTATAGCGCCACTGCTGTGTTGCGATCCCGAAGTGTGAGACGGAAGTAGGTCGACTAGGTCTATCTGATGAGAAGCTCGAAAGTCTGGCTATGGCAAACTGCTGCATTGACCACCGGGTCACATGATCGTCCCAGAAAGGCCACAGAAGGCACATCACTCCTTATTGTGAACGATTCTTCGATGCATTCGTATCTGGAACAGTGCCGGCTACTTAGTCGACCGCTTTTGCTCGTCAGAGCGCTATATTGCCATTCAACTACCCATCCATTCTTAGAAGCATCGATCCAGCAGCCCAACTCTCCGCATGCCGGCCAGCGATCAAGATGTAGGTCGAATCGGACATTGATTCCATTCCTCGTACATATTCAACCACATCTGTCAACCCATCACATTCGGCCACAGGTCGCTGAAAAAAGACGATCCCGTCCGATCTCGTGTACTTCAAGCAGCGGGACGGGTGGTTAGTACTATGGTGGGAGACCTCATGGGAATACTGCCTGCTGAATGTTTTGCTTTTTTGCTTCATGCGCCATTACATTTTTGAGCAAAACTTAAGAAGCAAAGAGTGCGGGAAGAAGTGCTGAACTCATGAGTGCTGAACTCATGATGGCCAAAGACGCTATCAACGTGGGCATCATCGGCTGCGGCGAGGTGGCTCGGATCATTCATATCCCTACACTCAACCACATGAGCGACTACTTCCGGATCACGTACCTCTGCGACGTCTCACACCAGGCACTCGAGCACTGCAGAGGCAAGGTCAGCCATTTTTCACCCGACCCGAAGACCACGACATCGGCAGCCGAACTCTGCAACTCTCCAGACGTTGAAGTGGTCTTCGTCCTCAGCAGCAACGAGTTTCACGTCTCGCAGGCCATCCTGGCTCTCAGGGCGGACAAACATGTTTTTATCGAGAAGCCGATGGCGATGAATGAACGGGATCTGGCTTTATTGCGGGAAGCTGAACAAGCGAGCAAAGGCACGGTGATGGTAGGCTATATGCGCCGCTTCGCTCCCGCTTACATCAATGCTGTCATGGAGATCGGCGGCATGGACAAGATCTGCTATGCTGTGGTACGAGATATCATCGGAAGTAACGCGCTGTTCACGCCACAGAGCGGGACGTTTGCGAAGTACTTCTCTGATTATGGTGATGAGGCGAGCAAAGAAAGGGAGAAGGCGCTGGCAGAGATGTACCATCAAGGACTGGAAGTGGATCTAGGAGTGCCAGCGACGGACGGTAGCAAGCAAGCCTGGGCTCTACTCGGAGGCCTAGGCTCGCACGACCTCTCTGCCATGCGTGAAGCTCTGGGTATGCCGGATGGCGTAGTAGGATGCTCGATCAACATGCGGACGAACTTCTGGAATGCCATGTTCAAGTATCCGACCTTCACCGTACACTATGAGTCTGGGATCCATGATGTGCCGATCTTCGATGCCTTCATTGAGGTGTTTGGGAACTCGAAACAGGTCAAGATCAAGTGGGATACTCCGTATATCAAGGGCCTGCCGGTGACCATGACGGTTAGGGAGGATGCAGACGGGACGGGAGCGTTGAGGGAGATCGCTGTTAGGAAGACGTACGAGGACCCGTATACGGCCGAGATGAGGGAGTTGTATGGGTTGATAAGGGAAGGGAAGAAGGTAAAGACGACAGTAGAGGATGCGGCGAACGATCTGAAGCTGTTTCAGATGATTATGAAGGCGGGAGCGGCGCAGGTGAGTGGAGGATAGGTCATGACAGTCGTTCGCCGGTTCATGTCTCGAGTATCGTAGGACCCAGGTGTTGGCCGCGAGAAGTCTCAAGTCTCAGACTCGTGTCCTTGATTCAACGCCACTAGCTCTCGATGTTGCATGTTCGCATGGCAATCGAGCAATACTGCACGAGCAGACTCGATCGAGAGCACTCTTATCATTCATCAGAAGGCAGCAGAAGTTTGGCAGCATGTCGTCGTCAACATCATTCAACACATGGGTATCGCTTAAGCTACATCATGCCCGTCCAAACGCTCATTTCCTCCAAACGCCAGCAACACCCGACCCCCTCAGGCGTCCCAAGGCAAATCCGTCCCCTCAACCCTCGTACACGTAAGATACCCAAGCCCACCAGGCCCAAACGAACTTAAATCCAGCTCCAAAAAATTCCTCATCAGCGGCTTCACCGCATCTCTCGCCAAATGCTTCAATTCATCAACCCTCCTCTCAAACCTCCGCAAATTATCTCTGGTGTAGAGATCCGGATTGAGCTTGAGGAACCGCTTCGTCTCGTCGTGCCCAAGGTACGTGGAAGGCGATGCGGAGCCGAGGAGAAGGAACACGCGGCCGACGCTGAAGGGGGCTGCTGGGGAAGCGGGGGTGGGCGCGGGCGCTGGCAGGCGTTGGGAGGCGATGTGGTTGCTGCTTCTGCTGGCTTGACGGGTGGGTTGTTGTGTGGAGTTTGAAGACGGTCGGGAGGAGGGTTTCAGGATCCCCGAGATGCCGGGGGTGGTGTTCTCGGCGAACCATTGGCGGAAGAGGCTCATGGCTAGCCAGCTGAGGAAGTCGTTACTAGGCGTGACGCGCTCGCCGCGGCTGGTAGTGAGGGTGAGACGCCAGAGTTTGGATTCCACGCGTGCTTGCAGATCAGCGAGTTCTTCGGCTTTGTCTTCGATGAGGTCCATGACTGCGGCCTCGACTTGGTTGCGGAGCTGAGGGGCAGCGGCCGGCCATTGCCCGACAACGTGTATGAGAGCCTCGCTGAAGATCTTCTGCGAGCGGGCCAAGTAGCCGAGCTTGAGGTAGGAAGGCGGATAGCGGGCGATTTGCTTGAAGAGTTTGGCGCCGAAGCAGAGGAGGTGGTGGTCTACCCTATCGCCAACGACGTCTAAGGCGTCGTACATGTCTGCGAGGTGGAGGAGGGCTTTGCATTCGGTGTAGGCGGTGGCGATGTTGACTCCGTCCAGGATGGGCCGGCGCTGGTACATGGTTCGGAAGAGGTTGTCGTAGTCCTTGAGTACTTCTTCGCCTGGCTCCACGAGGGAGCCACCGGCTTGGGAGCGGGTGTCGTCGCTGCTGACGAGCGCGCGCATGTTCCTGAAGAAGCCTTCGCTCGCTGCCGGTGGACGTGTATGCGCTGATGCAGATCTGCTATCACCACCACCGCCGAAAAGTGATTCTGCTGCATGCTCTCTCTGCACCAGCAAAGGTGGATCATCATCATTCACATTCTTCCAATCCAGCACATACCGCCACCTCTTCCCACTCTGCTGCTGAAACGACGGCCTCCGTTCCTGACTGCTCGCTCTCGAGCTACCTCCAACAGCGCTGTCCACCTCATTGATCCTCGCCAGCCCTCCCCCACCTCCACCATCCCCCTGCCGTCCACTCCATTCTACTCTCGTGCTTGCATCAAAGAAGCCAGAGCACTGACACAGCGTCTGCCGATGCAGCACATACCGGTTCTCCTTCCGCCCATCCTGCGTCGCGATCACGATCTCCACATCCCCGGACTGCGAGAACATGGGGAAGTCATTCTGCGACAGATGCGAACTTGACCCGCCATGATGAGATCGCGCATGTCTATGCCGTCTGGTATGCGATCTCCCGGAGACCACCGACGATGCGCGCGGGCCTGTCGTCGCTGGCGGAGCGGAGGGCGTGAGAGACGGGAGGTGGTAGTCGGAGGAGTAGGCGGGGTGGTGGGGAGGCGGCGGGCGCTGATACTGCGAGACCATCTACGCTTTTTCTTCCTGCTGTGTCTTCCTGCTGTGTCTATAGACAGTCTTGTATCTTACGCCTCTAGCGTTTTCGTCGGTGTCGTTTCTGCAGCGTCCACGATCGCGCGCACATTCTCTTGTTATGCAGCCCAAGTGTCGCGCGAGCAGTTGTGTTGCCTTCTTCTTTCGTCCGGCCTTTTGCGCGCCTCACTTACGACACACGGCAGCCTCTTGGTACAAAGGTGGTTCGCGACAGACTTCACGGTCCAGCGTGGTCTTTCGCAACGAGGAGTTGTCTCATGGGTCTATGTTTTTCGAAGAAGATGGGCCGTCTGAACAGCGGCCTCTTCACAGCCACTCGAGGCCAGGCCTGCAGCAGGTTCGCGACTGACCATCTCCTTTAGCGGCCGAGGTGCATGACATCGCGCGGTATCGACCGCCAATGACCGGCATCCCGCACTCTCCGGTGGTGGCGTTGCGGGATGGGGTGGCGGCGCCGACGACATTCAGGTTTGATCCGAGACCCTCTATCTTTGACAACACTTCGTCGACACAGGGATCTATCCTACCTGATGCTGATGAGAATGCTGCATTCGTACAAGAGGGTGCTGTCTAATACCACGGCGGAGTCTCCACGCCCTCGTGGATAGAATCATCCACTCCCGAATCACTGATGAAGGTACCCTACCGCACCAGCACTGAACGGCCACCGGGGCCATGGCGGAGCATATGACCAGCAGAGAGCAAACCCAGGCGCTGTGGGCTTTGGATGACCCGCCATAAGTACAGGTTCTACTTCGAGAATACTCCATCGAGGCAGAAAATACCAGTATGGATCGAACACATCATACGTCCTACCATAGACCACGATGGCCACCCACAGTTAGGCATCCCGGGATCTTTCTCCTGGATGGAAGAAGGCCAGCATCTTGCAGCCGTTTCTCTCATCAAGATGGCAGGCTTGATAAGGTCATTAAGGAAACACCCTTCGTTATTGGTTGATATGGGGTAGGTGGAGTGGTGTTCTGAACAGATGTGCATCCAAAGATGGGAACATCGATGCCCATATAGTCTCCGCCTCGTAGTTGTGGGCGTATGGGGTTCCATAGAGAGGTAAGCAGAACCAAGTGCCCTCTGCACATAAACTTTCCTTTGCCCCCCGTCTCCTTGACATGTTCTGCCGCAACAACCTGAAGGCCGAGTTGCTTCTTACTTCACACTGCCAACTTCTTCAATCTAGTCAAGATGGGTACGCAAAGCACATTCTCCACCATACATGTACTCTTACTCGAACATCGTAGCTAACAGGCACACAGTACGTCTTCAATTTGCTCCGAGACGCCACAGAAACTATGGCCAGAATGACTTACAGCAGTGTAGGGCCTTGTCCTCAGTTCCTCGTCCATGGCAGCGAGTGCCATGTTCGCGTGCGAGCTCATGGACGCGGCTATATTCGCGGTGCATAATTGGGGAATCATGCAGTTGGCAGCGTTGATGAATGATTCCAAAGGAATTGGAACTGCAATCCCGCCCCACCTCGAAGCCCTACCAAGCTCGGACTGGATGGGACCACCCCAAAACGACGCGGAATCGAAGCCCTTTGGCGATGAATGGGTTGCGGTCGAGACCGACATTGCCGGCGAGAAGTTCATCTGGCGTCCCAGCGACAGCTCCACCAACATCAGCTCATACAACGGCCATATCGACATCAAGGCGTGGGACACTGATACGCACATCGCGCAGGGCTGCTGGCACGGTGCGCCTGACAAATGTGGGACAATGTACGACTTCCACCCGGAGTGCCAGTTAGTAGGCGAATACATTAGCCAGGAAGATTATGATGACATGACCAATTGGGCCATGAGACTTCTGGACGATCTTCCTGAACACCTCCCTGAAGACTACGGATGGGTCTGGGGCCCTTCTAACTGGCCGCATGGGTATGCGAACGCTGTCTCTCCACAGGGTGAACCTATGTCGAATGCGTGAGTACTTGTATCAAGCTCGCGGAGTATCTCTGCTGACTTAACACGCAGTCAGTAGCTTATGCAAGTCGACGAAGACTTCATTATGAAATGCGAACAGGAGTTACCGGAATATTACCAGCCGACGAAGATGTGGGATTTTATGTACTGGCCCGGTGTGCCAACGCACGGCTCACCTATGCCGGATGTCCACAACATAAACATCCAAAAGCGTTCGGAGCGCACCGAGCGCAAGGCGCACCGGGAGCTTGAGATGTTCTTCGCCACGCTCCCGGATAGCGACAGCCTAGACGCCACAGCCAACAAGGGTGCTGCGCTCGTACACAAGCACATGAGCATACCCATAGCCCTATCGGTCCAAGCGCGCACGCTTCACCACGCCTTCCAGAGCATTCTGAACAGGTCCAACCACCGTGCACGGCGGGGCAAGAAATCCGTACCCAAAGATGTTCTCGTTAAAGCACTCTACCAAAGCCTGGTGAAGACCGCTCCCGAGAAGAAGCAAAAGGGCATGGATATCTTGGTCGGCGGCGCTATCATGAAAGCGGTGCGTGAGCGCGCCACAGCTGGAAAACATGGTGCGGAGGATATCAAATTGATCCATCACTTGTTCGACAAGGTCCATGGGCCTAGGAAGGGGCAACACGTCGAAGGTAAGCGTTGTGGTGACACAAGACTACCCACCTCAGTACTGATCAATCATAGACGTATTCGCCAAGGTGGAGAAGATCCTGGCAAAGGACAACGTACCTCTCGATGGTGCAGGTGTGTCAGCAGCGGAAAAGAAGAGGTTGATAAAGCTGCTGAGGGAAGAGCTTCAGGGAGACAACCCAACGCAAGACTGAAGCTTCCATACCGAGCTATTGGAAACAACTCATTGGACGAACCCCGGCAAAACCACCTCTTGGATCCCTTCGTTCGCTTACGCGACACCTCCCACCCTCACATCTTCCCCGCCTCTTTAACCGGCCGATCCGCCCTCTTCCACTCCTTCTCCATTGCACTATTTGCCTCCGGCGGCGTAATCCCATTCAACTTCCACATATCCATCGGACTCTCATCAATCGTATACTCCCAATCACACCCCTTCGCCTCCATAACCGGATTCAGCACCTCATCCACTTTCCTCAGAAAACCCTGCCTCTGCTCAGTGCCGTGCAGTTGCCGCGCGAGATGCCAGATTTGCAGGTGCACGAAGTTGGACTCGGGCTTGCCGCCGGTGAAGTAGGAGTCGGCGGGGAGTTCGGTGAAGCGGACGCGGACGTAGAAGGTGGGGAGCATGGAGTAGATTTTGGTTATGGATTGGGCGAGGGAGTGTTTTTCGGTGGGGGAGAAGAAGTCCACCGGGGTGTGGATGTCCCAGAGGGGCATGGTGGGTGGTCGAACGACTGCAAAGGTGGGTGGTTTGGTCGATTGGTTGACAGACGGACGAGAATGAGATGAGAGGTCGTTGTGGCTTGCTGAGTAGTATGTGGACGGTGAGAGGAGCTATATAGAGCGTTGGAGGAGGAATAGTAATCACTGCAAACCTACCTTTCTACCTTTCTACCAAAATCTGCTGTCGAACTTTGGGCTGGCAGCAATGACGATTCAGAACCGCTGTTGTCCTGTCACCGTTCCTTGCCGGACTACTAAATAGCAGGTCGCAATGCCCACGGGGTGTGATCGGCCGCTGAATGGAGAAGAGGGAAGGCTATGATTCCACAAGAGCCATGGTTGACATGATGAACGATTAGTGATGGTGCAATTTCACTTTGTGATGCGGCCGTAAGCTTGCTGACCTCACCTAAGCTTCACTCGATAGGTCGATCAGGACAATGCAACACAGCAGGTTGATGGACATCACACCATTGTTTCGTCGTTGATAGAACACTGCCATACGAAATTCGGATTCTTCCAGTTCACAAGCTAAGCAATCCGGCAACACCTCCACCCCATCGCGCACCCAAAATCCATACGCCATATCCCATACTAATCATCCCAATAGCCAGACCATGAACCATCCAAACCCCATCACCCAGCCGCTTCACTCCATGCATCAGACCCCTCAATCACTCCCATCACTAAACCCACTTCCATCGCCCTCCGTCGCACTACTCTCCTCATCCTCATCAAACGTGTACTTCGCCTTCGCCTTCCCCGCCGCAGCCCTCCTGGCCGGCCTCGCAGCAGTCTTCACCGGCGCACCGCCGCCGTCGTCCTCATCATCATCGCTCAAAATCTCGTTCGCGATTGCATCAACCTCGTCGTCGTCGGAGTCGTACGCCTTCTTCTTCGCCGCAGGCTTCGGCTTCGCGGCGCCGACCTTCGCCCGACCGCGCTTGGCGGCGTAGGCCTTTGCAGCGGGACTGAGGGTGGGCTTCGGCGGTGGGGCGGGTGCTGGAGCTGGAGCTTTCTTCGGCTTGAGCGCTGTGGTCTTCGAAGCAGCGGCCGGCTTCGCTTTCGCAGCAGGCTTAGGCGCAGGCTCTTCCTCATCAACAGAGGTGTCGCTATCGCCAGGCAGCGTAGTGCGTCCCTGCACCTTCTGCGGCGAGTTCTGGATCAGGCCCTCCCAGTTCGTCTCATCGTCTGAGATCTCCGGTTCAAGTGCGAGGCGTGAAGGCTTAGATTTGGTTTTAACGCCGTGGCTGCTCGAGGGGCGTGAAGCGGATGGAGGGTGGTAGAGGCGGGTGGGCCCTTCGTTGGAAGCGGCGTTGCTGCCGATGCCTTTGACCATCGCGCTGACGTCGCCGAGCATGTCGTTGTCGGAGCTGGAGTCGGAGTCGAGGTCGGCGGTGTAGGTCTTTGGCTTCTGTGCTGCGGCTCTGCCGGTGCGTGCGGTCGGCCTAGGGGCTTCTTTGGGTGGGCTGAGGAGGTCGGCGTCCATGTCTTCCTCATCTGACAAGACAGCCTTCTTCTTTGGCTTAGGAGCTGCCTTCGCTGGGGCAACCTTAGGCTTGCTGACTTCTTCCGGCGGAGTGGCGAAGTCGTCGACATCGTTGAAGTCCTCGTCATCAGACAACTCAACCATCTTCTTGGGCTTCGCCGCAGCCCTCGCCGGCGCGGCTTTAGCCTTGACCTCCGGCGCCAGCGCCTCCTGGATCTCCTCGTCATCGTCGGACAAAGCCCCCTTCTTCGGCCTCGCCGCAGCCCTCGCCGGCGCAGCCTTCGCCTTAACCTCCGGCGCCGAAACCTCCTCCATCTCCTCATCCTCATCATCAGAAAGCACAACCTTCTTCTTCGCCTTCGGCGCCGCCTTCGGCGCCCCAGCCTTCTTCACCGGCTGTACCTTAGCAAACGCCCCATCCAACGTCAACTGCTCGGGCTTAACAACCGGCTTCTGCTCGACCCCGTTGACCATCGGATACACCCCCGCCGGCTTACTCTCCACTTTCCCCAACAACCCCTCCTTCAACCGTGCCGTCGCCGTCTTCGGCTTCTTGACCGCAAAGTCGGAGTCGGCCTCATCATCGCTATCGCCAGCCGCCTTGCGCTTCTTGCCCTTGCCGCCGATGCCGAGCTTCGCAGAGGCACGACGGCCTTTGCTCTTGACCTTCTTCTCGCGCTTCGCTTCCTCATCGAGCTGGACCTGCCATTCCTCCTGCAGACCCATGAGGTCTTCGCGCCAGAGGTCTTTCTCAGACTTCTTGATCAGAAGGTCGATTTCCTCTTCCTTGTCGCCGATCTGGCGCATGAGCTTCTCCACGCGCTCGGACGTGAGGGACCAGATGGCCATGCCGAGGAGGTAGTCGTAGTCGCTCGCGCCGGCGGCGGTCTCTTCATCATCATCCGCGTGATGGTCTTCTTCCACCACGGCCTCGAACTCGCCTTCCTTCTTCGCATCGACGACCTTCGGGAAGCGCGTGAAACCGAGCTTCTGCAGCTCGGCCACCAGCACACCCTTCTTCTTCTTCGACACGGTCAGTTTGCCATCTATGATCATCTTGACGAAGCGGGACTGGTTCGAGAGCTTCTCCAGCTCCCTCCGCATCTCGCTGAGCATGTGCATCTTCCGCTTTTGGTAGAACTTCAATCGGACTTGGTAGAACTCCTCCATGATGTCCAGCGGGCTCGCGTACTTGTGGATCCTGCCATACGCATCGAAGGCCACCAGATTCGTCGTCGCCATTGTCGAGGACATCTTGAACAGCTCCTCAAGCTTGTTCCTATGCTCCTGCATCTTCTTCTCCTCCATCTTGATGATGAAGTGGATCTTGGACGGCGTGTTGTACTCCGTGTAGTCCTTGATGAAAGAAGGCATCTTCTCGGCTTTGATGATGTCCTCCAGTCGGTCCTTGAAGGTCTGAGTCCAGCAGCGGATCGGTAGTTCGGTGACTTCGACCTCGTTGTCGCCGGTCTCATTGATGATGCCGCTGAACTTGAAGCGATCCTCGCCTACCGGCTGGGTCTCACCAGCCCATCCGCGAAACCAGGGCGTCATGGGCTGCATGGCGTCCTTCGAGTCGCCATCCATGCGGCGGATCAGGTTGGCAATAACGTCTTCTGGCCTGTAGTTGGGGATGGAAGTGCTCCAGCCCGTACCAATACCGTCTGCACCGTTGATGAGAATCATCGGCACAATCGGAACGTACATTTCAGGCTCAATCGTCCTTCCATCGTCGGTGTTGTACGTCAGAAGAGCTTCATCGGTCTGGTGGAAGATGCGGTGGGCGAACGGAGACAGCCTCGTGTAGATGTAACGAGGGCTGGCAGAGTCCTGCCCACCCTGCAGACGAGAACCGAAATTGCCACTCGGCTCGAGGGTGTTGATATTGTTGGAGCCGACGAAGTTCTGGGCCAGACCGACAATCGTCTGTTGGAGGGACGTGTCGCCGTATGCGTAGGCGGTAAGACCCATGACCGAACCTGCCAACTCCACCACCTTGACGTCTTTCTTCAGGTTGCGGCGGAAGCAGGTGTAGAGCACCTTCCGCTGCCCAGGCTTGAAGCCATCGATGACCGAAGGAATGGAGCGCAGATTGTCGGCCATGGAGAACAGGATAAGCTCCTTGTTAATGAAGTCGTCGTACGTGATCTGCTCAGTACCAGACATGTCCAGATAAGTGCCTGGCACAAAGTTGCCCAGCCACGTCTTGCGGGCATCCGCCTTCTTCTTCGAGAACGCCAGGTCGATCAGCTCCGGCTCGCCGTCTCGCATCTTGTGGAACTGCTTCAAATGCCTGTCGAGGTCGGCAAAGTAGATCTCGGCATCAGTGGTGTCTGAAGTACCCAGACCCTTGAAGTACTTGTGCTCCCATCCCTTCTGATGACCGGGCTCCACGCGCCACGCTTCGTACTCTGGCATCGTGAAGAAGTCGCGCTTGGCCTTAGGGTTCTTTGGGTCACCCTTCCATACTTTGACGATGGGAGTGATAAACTCCATGAGGAAGCCTTCGAGCTTGAGCAAGCTGGGATACTGCACTTGCAGGAAGTTGATGAGCAAGCCTTTGATATGCGATCCATCGTGATCCTGATCAGTCATTATCATGAGATGGCCGTATCGCAGACCCTTCGTGTCTGTGTACTCCTTCTTGTGCTGCAGACCCAGGAACTTCTTGATGTTCTGAATCTCAGTGTTCTTCGAGATCTGGTCGATCGAGGCATCTCGAACATTGAGGATCTTACCGCGGAGTGGGAAGACACCGAACAGATCAGGGTTGACAACCGCACGTCCAGCAAGCGCCAGCAGAGAGGCCGAGTCACCTTCTGTGAGGATGAGAGTGCAGCGATGGCCGTCCTTGGTACCAGCCTTGTTTGCATCGGTGAGCTTGGAGTTGTTCATGCGCTGCCGCCTGTTGCCATCGGACTTCGCCAGCACTTTATCCGCCTTCTGAGCAGCAAAGTGAAGGATGTTGTTGACAGCCTCCGTCTTCGCGATGTCCTTCAGGAACTTCTCGCTGACTTGCGGCTTGCTCCCGAACGCGCTCGGCTTGGTAGTAAGCTGCTCCTTGGTCTGCGATGTGAAGGCAGGGTTGACGATTTGAGCATTGACGAAGAGGAAGATGTGGTTCTTGATCTGCGCCTTCTTGAGTTTGACGCCGCCCTTATTCTTCTTGTTGACGATCTCTTCCAGCTTATCGCAAATCTGGTCAGCCACGAAATTGACATGCGAGCCGCCCGACGTCGTTGCGATCGAATTGACGAACGAGACTTGCTGGAAAGACCCGTCCGATACTGCGAAGCCGATCTCCCAGCGCTCGTGTGGGTTGTCGGTGAGGATGACCTGCTCGGGTGCTTTGCCGTCGTTAAGCAGGTTCTCTGTCTTGATAGCCTTCGTGTACATCTCCATGTACTCCTTGAACTTCTTGATCTTGATGCGCTCATTGTTGAGATACACCTTGATTCCACTGCAAGTCCCGGCCATGTCGTAGACTCTCCGCTTGACCAACGCCTCGAAATCTGCGTCCATCTTGTCCATGCCAAACCTCTTGAAGTCCGGCTTGAAGGTGATCTTCGTGTAGTCATCGTCCTTGCAGGTGTCAATCTTGGCCTTCTCCATGACGCTCATGTTGTTGCGCCATGTCTGCTTGTAGCGCTTTTTCTGCTTGGAATCCACGGTCTCCAGGTCGAACTGGGTACTGTAGATGTTCGTGAGCTTTGCCCCGTAACCGTTGCGACCACCGGTGACCTTTGCCTGGTCATCATCGTAGTTCGAGGACGTGAGAAGGTGGCCGAAGATCATCTCTGGAATGTAGATTTCTTCTTGCTCGTGTATCTCAATCGGAATACCCCGGCCGTTGTTGCGCACAGCAATCACACCCTTCTCCGCATCCACCCATATCCGCATCTCGTTCATGTTCTTGTCGCGCTGTTTGTTGTCCGCAGCGTTGACCAGGATTTCGTCGAAGATCTTGTAAAGACCGGGCACGAAGCTGACTTTCCGATTCTCCATCGTCTCTGTTTCTGAGTTGTACACCCACATCTGCTCCGTCGTGGTCTCCACAGAGCCAATGTAGGTGTCTGGGCGTACGAGGATGTGCTCCCTCGGCGAAAGCTTCTGGTACTGGTCTGTCGCGCCGCCCTTCTTGCCCTTCTTCGCTGATGGAGGCTTGTCCGCCGCCCCATCGAAGTTGAAGCTCTCGTTCTCCATCTCGACCAAAGGCTTCGCGCTCGACTTCGCTGGACGTGCTGCTGGCGCCTTCTTCGCCTTCTTTGCCTGGGGTGGGGTGTTGTCGTTTGAGAGCAACGAGTTGTCGTTCATAGAGTCCATGTCCACGTCCGAATTCTCCTCGTCCGACTCTGGCTTCGCGCGCTTCTTCGGCTTTGGCGCGCTCTTGGTGACTTTGAGGGTCGTCTGCTTGGCGGCTGCCTTTGCCTTCGGTGCTGCGGCCTTCTTTGCTGGTGCTTTGGCGGGTGCTTTTGCTTTCTGGGAAGTGTAAGTGATGTTGAGCGACGTGTGAGAGTGCGCCGTTACTTACCGCTTTGGGCGCGGGTTCGAAGTCACTTGAGGCGTCGACCTCGAAAGCCGAAACATCCATAGAGTCGTCCATGTTCGTGTAGTGAGTGAAGGAATGCGCGCGGTTGGGGCGCTTCGTCGCGCTGAATGAGAGTGATGTCTATCCGGTCATGAGTTGGTGCGTTAGGGATGTCAGTGAGCGAGCGGCGAGGTCGTGGGTCGTAAAGAGTGGCCGTAGTCGTGAATCTACGAAGTGGTGTTGTTGATTGAATGTTTACAGTCGCGGTTGGAGTTCCGCGTTTAGCTCAGGGTCTAAACCTTATTTGGCATCAAGTCTTGGCAATATGTCCCATTGCTCAGATGCATGTGATTTCAGGGAAGTTGGAAAGAGATGCAGGAGATACCAGTCATCTGAATAACATAGCGGTGACATTCTCTCCATTTAGTACTACATACGAATTATCGCGACCAGGAATGGCCTCTCCTCTACTCGTCCCACGGGAGCATCTGCTCATTGTGCTTCCCGACCTTCCCAAGTCCAATGTAGACCAAAAGATTCTTTCGTAATAGAGCAATTCGCTCTCAAGCAAAGCCGAGAAATTCCGGAGCCCAGATAGTTGTATGCGCCAAACTCCTCGCTAAACCCTTGAGAAGAGACCACGATCACAATGACCTGCAGTCAACAATCTTCAACCCACCCTCCTTACCCTAGCAAATCACCCCATCGTTCTCCACCTGCACCTCCTGCACCCCAACCCCATCCTTCGTCTTCCGCCTCTTCTCATTCCGCTTCCTCCTCTTCTCCTCCCTCTCCCTTTCCTCCACCTCCCGCGCAACCTCAATCCGACTCCCCAAATCCACCACCTCCCTCGCCTTCTCATCCTGCCTCTTTCGCTTCAACCATTCAAATCTTTCTTCCACCTCCTCCAGCGTCGACCGGCGTACCTCGCCCGTCTCCCCCGTATTCACCAAGTGTTGTTTACTGTTCAAATGCTCCACGAACTGCAGATTATCCTTATACGTCAAATCGCACGCATCGCAGTAGAACCCCGCGCCTTTGCCTCGTTTGCCTTGTGTTGCGCCGGCGGGCACGAGCTGGGTTTTGCCGACTTGGTCTGCGACGTTGAGGCGCGCTTTGCGGGCTTCCGTCTCCCGGGCATCGGGGGGCGTTGAGGCGCGGCGGATGTATTTCTTGCCGGCGAGTTTGGCTTCATGGCGGGCTTTGCCCTCTTCTTGCAGTTTTTTGTCGCGCGAGGCGGCTTTGGCGGCGTACTCGTCGCGGTCCCAGGTTTTGCGGAAGGAGGTGTCGTTTCCACTTGAAGCGCCATAGGCGCCGGCGCGGTTGCTCATGGTGGCGGTGTTGCGTGACAGGTGGAGGGGGAGCATTGAAGTCTTGAAGACTGACGGATGTTGAAGCAGGTGGCGTTAAGCCTAGCGCGTGAACTTAACCCCGAAGTCCTTCTCGCGAGCTTCGTCTAACCTCACCTGCCCTTTACGCCTTCATCAACACCGTTCGGAGCTGGCAACACAGCCTTTGAAGAGGATGCGAGATGTTCAACACGTCCGTGTCAATGAGTCTGAGAGTGATCCCGACAATAGCACCCACTCAGCCAAATGATGGGCTCTCGCACCGACGATTGCCTCACCTGTCGCTGGAAGAAGCGTGTAATGTGTGGGCACGACATGGTTCCACGGCCGCGGCCACCATGAGCTGCTAGACACACGCTGAAAATGCCTCGTGGGACAGCGACGCTTCTGGCCAGATGCTGCATGAACAGCAGCGATAAGAAGACTCGACCACACGTTGAGTAAAACTACAGCATGACGCCGAGCGACGTCCCCCCAATACGTATTCTACCCTGGACGGCAACACTAATTCCGACTATTGTGAAGCGGCTCACAAACAGTGTCGAGTGTTGCCGTCGTGTGCTGGCAGTTCATGTAGCATCGGCGCTACGCTGCTGTGTTAACATATGCCAACCTTCTATTGGACCCTTGGCCATTTGACCGATGAGTCGTTCTATTGAATAGCAGCGGATGGCTCATACTCCACTGCTCCCTCGGCCTCAGTGAACGCTCTCCGGAATTGAAGACGCTATAAGCTGCTCTTTACCTCGACAATGTCCGCCAATTTATCAATCACCGAGCTCGCTCTTCTACAGGAATTTCGACACTCCATTCCACCATCTTCACATCAAACAGCAGCCCTCCCCACCCCACCAATAATGGAAGGACCACAGGGCCTCTTCACGCTCGACGAGCGCAGGCAGCTGGAGGATTGCATAACCAAAGTAGACGAGTTTCGGCGGAGATACCAACAATTCAAACCCGCGAAGTTCGCCAACCTGCTCTTCCACGAGGAGCGCTTCAAGTATTGCTTCGTCCGCATCGCGAGCAACGACTGGAGGCTGTCCCTGGACGATGCCTCTGCTCCTCTCTACAAGGCTCTCACCATTGTCCGCCGACAAGATCCTGGACTGCGTGAGGAGGCGTATTTGTATGCTCGTTTGGACGCTGCTGTGAAGATGGCTCAGCAGTGCGGGAGTATGGGGCATTCGATGCAGATGACTGTGAATGCTTGGGAGGCTAGCCTGCCGGACCGGCAGAGGGAGGAACTCAAAGATGCGCTCAAGGATGCTAGGGAGCAGTTGTGTGACTGGGCGCCATCGACTTGATAGGCAGCTGATTCTATCGGTGCAGGTGCATCTTTACCCAAAGCAGTCCAAACGTCGTTTGCTTTTACAGGTGTGCGCTCGGCCTGAGCAGTTACGGCAAGCGCTGTATGCATCATTCGCCAGTGGATACAGGAGTCATTGAATGCCCAAAGCTGGGCTTGAGTGAATGGTGGGTAGGTGAGAGGTATATGACCTGCCCTTGATCTCGAGAGGTAACCCAAGAACCAATCCATCTCAACGCTCCTTTCCGGAGATCTTTAAATCGACACTGACCGCAAGACCAACACTAGAGAATACTTTCACATACCATTCGATCCCACGCTTGGTCGACATAGCTTCATTCGCACTCCTACCACCCAATGGCCCAACGACAAGGACTATTTACCAACGAAGAGCGTGAAGAACTGCGACGGAATGCATCAACCATCTACCACTATCGCCGAGAGTACGACAAATTCGATCCCGCCGATTTCCCTACCTTGTCAACCAAGCAAAAAGTGATCAAATACATCTCCGCGATCCTCGCGAACCGAATGACGAGGTTGAAACTCGACGACGCCGCCGCGCCGTTGTACCGCGCACTCACCAAGATCCGCCGCGAGGACAGCCAGCGTCAGGAGAACGACTTCTACTACGAGCTCGAGCTTGCGACTAAGGCCTTTGAGCAGTCTGGTCGTTTGATGGGTGCTATGATTGGGGTGTGCAATGCGTGGTATGGCTCGCTGAACCCAGAGCAGCAGCAGGCTGTTAGGCGGAACCTTGAACAAGCGGCGGAAGTGCATGGAATTGACTAACGAGACATACTTCGCCACTCTGTGAGGTTGGTGCAGTTGAACTTCTCCTGACTTCCTCGCACTCTCTCATCCTCATCTCGCTCCGTGCCAGCAACGCCGAGCAGCAGATTCTGATGTGGCATTACCGAAAGTAGGGAAAGCACCGCAGGAACCAGGTAGGAATCGTCCGAGTATATTGTAGGGCAGATGGACAGTCGGTGAGTAGGTAAGGTAGGTAGCTTGTTGCATTTGTGCGAGTGCACCTTGCGAAAAGCTTAGCATCCCTTCCCACGCGATGGATGCCTTGGTCAATGCAGGCCTTGATCATTAGATGTGTGGGCTGACGGTGTGAGCAGTCCCAAGGACCTCCTACAGCATTCACGAAGCGTAGGTGTTTGCTGTAGCATTCTCTAGTGGATATGGAACTTATTTAATGCTCACGTCTGAGATCCAGTGAATGACCGCTGTAGCAGAGAGGTAGGTATATAACCTGCTGCTAACCTCGACAGAACCCAGCAACCTGTTCACACGACAACTTCCTCTTCCGCGAGACCTTTACCAAGTTGACATCGGTCCAGAAACCAACACGCGACGCCATCTCTTCACACCATGTTGATCGATCGATCGATCGCCACAGGCCAGTGCAACGTATGTGGGTCATACCATGGACCGAGACTTTTCACTGAGGAGGAGCTTCGATCTCTCCAGCGAAACATCAGTAATATCGGCATCCAGCGGTCGTACGGGTCCGTCGGGCTCCGAGCGGAATTTACCAGCATGGACTATCTGGGTAAATGCAAGTTTTATGCCGAGTGGGTCTATGCTGGGAGCTGGCCGGAAGACAGACTCGAGGAGTGGGTTGTGCCTTTGTACGGAGCCATGGCCAAGATTCGGCAGGAGGACCCGCAGCTGGACGAGGAATTGTACAAGGGCCTCGAAGCTGCCATCAAGACGGCTCAGGATTGTAGTCGGGTGGCGGTCTCCCAGGTGCGGATAGCTGAGGAGTGGGAGGCTTCGCTGACGCCTGAGGAGCAGGAGGATGTGAGGAAGTGTCTCGAGAAGGAACGCGAGTTCGGGGACAGGGTAAAGTAACGGTTGCATGTCCGGGTCACGCCTGCGTTCCCGAGAAAGCGGTTATAGCGACTGGAAGACTGGAGTGTGCTCCTGAGCTTCTGGCGATGGTTGACACCCTGTCTCAATCAATAAGCGGCAACAACTGACTGTTGGAGGCGAGATCAATCTTTTAGCTTGCACATGTAGATAGTCTAGTCCACGACCAAGTGGTCCTACCTAGTATGTAGTTAATATCGGTGCAGGTGCACTCCATACAGGCTCCGGGAGATCTGGATATATCTTGGCTTTTGTGCTGTTTCCTGCTCGCAGAAAAGTCGTGACTCGATCTTTCGCTTCGCTGGACTTCACGTGCTACCCACGCCAACATCCAGCAGAGAAGTACAACAGCGTGGAAGGGGCTACGAATTCTGCTACCCGTGACCAAATCCATGAAGCAACAGGCTGGCGAGAAGATACCGCTGTAGCAATTCACCTCCAGGGCAGCGGCCGCTCAAAACGCACTGTGCCGCCCTACCAGCCCTCGTCAGAAGTACCCTGTCCGTACCGCAGCGAGCAGTGTCTTTGTTCGTCAAAGCATCGACAAGGAGACAACAAGACGACGTGCAGTCAACGAAGAAAAGCAGCCCCAAGGCCAGGATTCTCCGCCTGGCTCAACGGCCCAAAATAGCAGGAACGGTTCGCGCTGATTGGCCCCAAGGAGAAGGCAGATCGTAAACACCGCCTCGCATTCGTCAACCAGCCCTGTCTGATTGCATCTGTGCATTTGGGGGACAGCATGTCTGTGCCTTCTTGAAGGAAGATTGGGTTCATATACATTGCTAGTCCTCGCAATTTCAATCAGAGGTCTGCTTTTCGTTTTTCGTGGGTTTCATTCTGTCTATTTCTTGTTTCCTACAGTCGCTCGCTAGCAAGATCCAAGATGGCATTCGATCGACAACTTCTATTCCTTGCATTCATGTTCGGAGCAAGACAGGTCGCAGGTCTGCCTTTATCCGGTATGTTGAACGTGCCTGTCACGTGGCCATCGTTGGCAACGTTTCACACAGACCCACACGCTAACGGCTATACCTTGATTTTCAGCCGCGAAGGAACTTGCTCCTGGCATCCCCGCCGTCGTCTCGTCCGCACCGTCTGATCTCGACGGACTCATTCAGTTTACGCAACCCCGGTCGTCGTATGATGGAGAGACGGCGTGGTGGTCAGCAGAAGATCACGCCAACAGCATCAAGCACCCGGTGGAGCCAGATAAAAATGGCGATTCAGCCTCCAGCACAGCCTTGCCAAGGTCTGAGAAACCGGACCCCAAGGGCCCATCATCCTCACCAACTTCGGTAAAGCAGCATGGCGCGGTGCGAGCCAGATCCTTGTCCCACGCCACGCGGTCGTTGTCCAACTCGACTTCTTCGCGACTTCATTCTTCGTCAGATGGCAAGATCAATTCCTCTTCATCGCTATACGCCAGTAGCAGCAGTAGCGCGATGGCGAGCAGCCTCTCAGCATCCTCAGCATTGGCGAGCTCGTCTGCAGACTTTCTAGGTCTGGCCAGCTCGTCGAGCTCACAGTTCGTGGACTCCTCGTCTTTCAGCAGCGGGTTCCTCTCCACATCTGTCTCCGTGAGCGCGTCAGCATCGCCCGCGACGACGACTGGAGATGCGCTGGACGTGCTCGAGTCTGCTCTCCAGACTGCCGTACCAAGCAGTCTACGAGCTCCGCTGGAATCAATCTTTGGACCAGGACTTTTCCCCGACTCCTCTTCAGAAACACCCACAACAACAACACGGCAGACTAGAACAGACAGAACGTCACAAACTACCGACGCAACATCACGAACAACAGACCACCGCCGACCTACAGATCGTCCACGCCCAACAGACGAACCGACGAGAAGACCACACAACAGACCTCCCCCTCCACCCACAACCCGCTCAACATCCAGCCCAACAACCACCCCGACCTCCCTCCCAACAACCCTCTCCACGTCCACCACCCCCTCCACGACCTCAACGCCTAATGTGAGCCCAGCCTTCGACCCTACCGACCCCACCGATCCCCGAAACCCCGCCAACCTCGGCGCCAATCCCATCGAATCCGCCTCCGTAATCGGCATTGCGACCGGCCTCAGCGCCTCCGCCGTCCTCGTCGGTCTGGGAGGCATCTTCCTTTGGCGCCGCAAGTCGCAAGGCAAGCCCATGTTCCGACGCAGCATGTCTCAAAACCCCGCCGGAGGCCCATACCCACAAGTCGCGTGGCTCTACGACCCCGTCGTCTCGCGTCCAGGGTCTCCAGAGCAAGGACAAGGAGGGCATATGCGAGGCGAGAGCGGAGCAAATCTCGTGCCAGCTGCCGCGGCGCCAGCGGGAAGGGAGAGGAGCGGGAGCGAGGTGGCTGAACAGAGTCCGAGTTTGAGGCCCGTGAGGCCTAGTAGTCCACTTTTGATGCCGGAGATTCGGATTGAGGACGACGGGGGCGTGTATAGAGGACGGGGAGAGAGTGGGAGTTATGATAATTGGCGGGCGGCGAGTAGGGGGATGAGGGATGATGATCAGGGGGCTTGAGAGAGGGAAAGTCTTCGTGAGAGCGTTTTTTGAGCGTTGGCGTTGGAGGTATACCATTTGCACGTGTACAATCTATGGGTTGTCGTCTACGTACTGAAGCAATATTATCACTGGTCTGTAATGTCCATTCTGAATCCACGTTTCCTTTCTTCGTTGGCGATGAACACTGCTCATGCTGACTTGAGCGACTGCCGTGGTCGGAGGACAAGAGGTGGGTTGATCGTCTGAGCTCTAGAATGTTGCACATTGATATCGTGATGACTTTCTGCCGTTCAACTTTCACGACTACCCTCGATCAGGTCGGCCAACGTCGATGAAAGAAGCCGGCGTTCCCTCTCTCACCACTTTCATGCCTTCGACGTTGCGTGTTTCGGCAACCAACCTGTCCTTCCTGGAGGCCGGAAGACCTTCACATGGTCATATGTCTGCTTTGGCGTCCACGTCCTGGCGGACTCGAGACTCACTACCATCTCCACCCTCTCAGCAGAGTCTGGCGTAGCTCTCATCGGTACCTCCTTGAGATGTCAGTACTGCCGCATTTGTTGCAGCAGAGCTCGCCTCGTTGACCCTCTCCCCTGGTAGTAGACGGTGTGGCAGCATTGCCAGACTGCGCCTCTGCAGCCCTGTCTGCAGTGGCCCCCTTGCCTGACCGAGACGCCTGCGCTTCCTGCCGCACCACCGGACGACGCACATCAGCTGTCGGTTCCTCCGCCGCCCCTACCACCGCCGTACCATCCCCACTCAGCCGTACAACCCCGGGCTCGTCCTTAATCATCGCATCAACCCCATAATACTCATGCGCCTCCCTCCAGTAACGACACGCATCCGGATCACCTGCCAACACCGCAAGCCGATACTCCAGACCGTAGCCGGAGTGGAGCTCGGTCCTCGTCTTCTTACCCGGCGGAGAGTGCTTGATGGAGGCCTGGCGGTATGCTTCTGCTGGGCCGAATTTTCCAAAGAGGCCGTAGCAGGATGTGAGGCGTTGTCCGGTTTGTACTTCTTGAGGTCTGTCGCGGTAGGTGGTGGAGGGACCAGGGCCAGAGGCGTTGTTGTTGTTGTTGTTGTTGTTACGGGTTGGGGAGCGGCTTCTGGATCGTTGCATGGTTGGACGGAGGCCAGTGGTACCACGGCTATTGCATCAATCTGTAGGCTATGGCGACCAGTCAAAGTTCGCTCTTGATGGAATACCTTTGGAATCCAAACGTCGTTATAATGCGTGTTAGACCTTTGGTTCTACGAGGCGTGATCTTGTGGCGGCGCCATGGCTCGAGATCTTCCGGCCTGTGTGACTTCAAGGATGACGATAACATCTCCCAAGTCCTACAACATGGGGTTTTAGACCATGTTGAGCTTGCAAGATGAGGATGGCGTGGGATGCAGCTAACACCCGATAGGGAGAGACATGAATGGAAGAACGGCTCAGCCTTGTACGGCACAGCTCCAATGTTGGAAATGGGGGACGGCAACGAGCAAACATCGCGCGAGGCATGTAGGTTGATTTTGTTCATCTTCTCTTAAATCTCCACAAGATAATGAGAATCTTCAACCTGCTCAAACGTCTCCTGACCGGACCACTGGCCGTGATATGGATGACTATAGCGACGCAAACAATATGTTACATCCACTCCGCGCCCGCACCAGAAAGGCTCACAGCACTCTCCGCTGGCGTCCCAGCTCTCTACGTTTCGTACTTGGGATTTCCAACAGAAGAGATCGCTGCGGCTGGTGCTGGGGGGCTGTCTGCAATCGTCCTGGCTGCCACTCTTGCGCGGACAGCTCTGAAGACAATGGGATGCGAAACACATCACACCACCCGAGACGGTCCCGGGGATGGTGACATCACGCACGACATCTGGACAGCCGGGAAATGGTGTCGAGCGGAAAGGAAGCAGATGCTTGCAATCGTTGAGGAGATCGAGCCGTTGATGATGAGGATCAAGGAGGAGAGGTGTTATCGGATGTGTTTGGTGGCTCCGGCTAGGGGAGGCAGACGGACGCTCAGGGATCCGGCGTTGTGGCACGGTTTTGTTACTGTTGCTGCTGAGGGGAGGCTGCCGGGGAGGGAGTATTGCGGGCAGGGAGTGGCTGGGAAATGTCCCGGAGGTGAGCAGGAAATCGGGTTCGAGACCGACGGTGGTCAGTAGAGGCTTTGCGTGACGATGAGATAACAGGAGAACACGGGTCGTCTATCAAAGCATCCGCTCATACTCACGAGACCCACAGTCGAAACGTAGCTTGAACAATTTCAGGCACATATTGCTCTGGTCAGGAAACGCACGGCAGGTCTGGATATACGTAACTCAAGGCACTCATCTCTTGAGTGTGGTATTGTCTACTTTGAAAGACACTGTTCAAACTCAGTGGCCTTGCTCTTCTACCAGAGCAGAGCCAGGCTGCCTGCTGTGTGGCCTCTTCGGACATCCTGAACACCACGCTAATACCAATCAGACAGGACGACACCATGGATATCGTTCCTCAAGAACACCATGAACACCGCGCTCGAAACCAACAAACATGGACCCAACGCAGTGCAAGAAAAGACACCACAAAACAATCTTGCTGGTCAACAACTTCCCACAACATCTCAAACCGCAAGCCCACTGGACTTCCCTCACCGCTGCCTTCTTCCTCTTCTTCTTCTGCTTCCGCTTCTCAGCCGCCACCTTCCTCGTCTATGCCTCCATCCGCCTCATCGCCGCAATCTTCACCCGATGCGTCCACGGATCGCACATCTGACAGAGATACGGCTCTTTCCTCCAATTCCCCGACAGCACATCCTGCACACACGCAACGTGCTGCCAGACGCCACATCCTCTTCCTTTCGTCTTGATGAGATCTTCGTCGCCCTCGGCATCACAACCAATGTCGGGCTGGCCTTTCAGGTCCTTGGCGCCGCAGATACACCGCACTTTTGAGTACTCGTCGTCTGGCTTGAAGCGAGCGGCGTCGAAGAATTCGCACGGGTGGTCCTTTGAGCGCGTGTGGTAGGAGCCTGAGGCTTGGAGACGGACGAGGCGCTCGGATTGGGCTTGCTTGGCTTCCGCTTCGTTGATGGGGAGCGCGGTGCCGGCGATCACTGCCTCGAGATGGGATTCTGCTGTCGCTGCGGGCGTGGTGGTCTGGAGGGTCGGTGCTGGTGCTGGAAACTGGGCTTGGATGGGAGCTGGTGGTGGTGGCATGGTGCCTTGTGGACGGGGGGCGTGGCGTTTGAGTTTGAGACCCTTGGCCGGACGTGCTTGCTCTGCCTCCTGCTTCGACTCCATGTCTTGATCTTCGTCGACCGCGTCGAAGGTTTGGTCTATGCCCACAGCGTCAGTCGCGTCTTGCTCTGCTGGTCCACGAAGACGGTACTCCACGCCAGAGCTCGTCATGACTTTGACGGGTGCATCCTTCATGCCCACGTGGGGCATGGAAGATACGCGAGGGTGGACGTAGGCGGGCGGATTACGATGAGGTCCAGGGTCGCTCGAAGGGGCCTGGACTGCTGGTGGTGCTGTAGCGCAGGAGAAAGGTTGCGCAAATCCCGTCGATTTAAGAGAAGCCTGCGCAGCCCAGAAGTCAGCGATGTTGCAAGAGTGCGTCGGCTCCGGTCCAAGCCCATCGATGATCCAGTGCACGAGAGCATGGTGTTGCGCATCCGTGAGATCACCTACCTTGGTGGGTGGGAATGTCGACGCGTCGTCCATGACTTCCGTCAGAGGAGATGTGGCAGGCGTAGAGAGTGGTTCGGTCAAGTACGACGAACCAAACGAAGGTCGACCTGGGTACGGAGAGGAGTAGGCAGATCCCCATCGCGAAGATGTTTGCTGCTCCAGACCAGACGGCTTTGTGCGCGTCGCGAACAGCGTGTTGAAGGATGGTGGTGTCAATTGCATACCGCTTGGCGTGATTCCGTCGCGACGCTGGGGTGACGTTGAAGAAGGACGATGGACCAGCTTAAGATGATCTGGGGTCAATGTGATATTGCTTGAACGCGCGATCAAGTCCGATGCGATTTCGAAGGGAGTCTTGGTTGCTGGTTGGACTCCAGTCCACTCAGTCCTTGGGTAGCTGGCGAAGTTGTCGATGGTGTTCGTGTTCTCCGTGGTCGGAAGTGGGAGTAACGGAGTGATGTTGCGCTGAACCTCTCGACGTCTGACTTCCTCGACGGAGAGCTGCATGTCGGGCGATTCGAAGACCTCCTCAGCATCGATGCGCGCGAAGGTGAACGGGTTAGTCTTGACTGTCTTGTAGCTATGATTCATTGCAAGACGAGTGGCCCGGCGCTGGAAGTACTGCTCGAAGCTGTAATGATCGTGGAGAACGTTTCCGCCTTCGTGCTGGAGGACTTCACCTAGAGCTCGGATGATGTCGTCCGACAAGCTGGTCAAGCTGATGTTGGATAGGAACGTTTGGCTGACGCGGTACTTTGTGCCGGGCCACTTGGGGTAGGCCATGCTGGTGTGCGAGCTGTGGTTAAGTGTAGTTGTGGTTGTGGTTGCGGGGAAGGTTAGTTGAGGTGATATTGGAGGAAAGGAAGACGCTTGAACTCGGTGCCGGCTTAAATAGTCTTGGTTTAGCGTCGTGCAACGTGGGATGAGTGAATAGAGGGAGTAGAGTGCGACAATAGGATGTAAACATCACTTGGTGTAGGCTCACTTAGACCTCACTTGCTACAGTATTGGGCTTCTAGCAATGAATTGCATCGGTGATGCACTCTCAGAACAATGTATTGCTACGTTGCACCGTAGTCACAGTCATCTGCAGCTGCGACTAAGGCGGCAAGGCGTTCGTAGCCGGCAATGGTGCAGTAAATGTCCTCAAGCCGCCGGGTGAGGCCCTAAAAGACCACACTATGCAGGACGCCTTGAAGGATGTGAGAAGCCTAGACGACGATGGAGCGATTGAGCTTGCCCGGGAGCTGACACAACAGGTGACTGGACGTACTGTCATCAGTGCCTCCACTGCCTCTCAGGCCTGCTGCATAGATACCTCGTGCTGCTCAGCACCTGGCTTCTTGCTACCTTCCCGTTCCTCGACATATCGATGTTCCTCCTGCAATAGGATCAAATGTTTGAACGACAGCAAAAGATGCATTGGGCCAGAACTCGACGTTGGCTCTGCCGCCTCACCATTGCGGCCTCGAGGACCTTGGCTGGCCGGGCAGCAGGATTCCTATCCTCAACGATTGCGCCTGGTCACGGCATGACACAGTGATGCCCTCGAGAGCTGAGGAGGATGCTCGATGGGCCGTTCAGCGGCGCAGCAGTCTCTACCGTGTATGAAGTTTTGCTTGACGGAAATGCTGGCTTTGGAGGCATCCTTGGAGTAATCACCCGATGGAGGACGTCACGGCCGGCGCGCATGGCGGATGGATATAAGATCTGGATGGAACTCTTGGATGGAAGAGGCGGGCTTCTTCTGTTCACCTCATCGTTGTCGATGTTTGCCCGGAAGATGAGATGGAACGTTTTTTGGGTTGTCGCTTCCCTCGGGGGAAAGCTTGGCCGTCAGACCTCACCAGCCTGCAGGACCGTTCGGCCTCGTACAACAACGTCTCGTGTCAGCTGTTGCTCTTCTCAGCCCCCTCGATCACGATGGGAACTCATCAACAGAAGACCACTCCGCCAATCTGGACTTTGATATGCTCAAGCTCTTGGGTGGCTTGAGTGGCTAGGATGGCTACTCTCCTGCAAGCCAATCGAGGCTCCTACGAACTGCCGACGGGAGGATTCACGCCATGGCCTTCTGACTGCCACTTTCACTATCCGGACCAATGTCCTCCATCTGCCGTTCCCGCAACCGATCACGCCTTGATTCCCCGCAAGTCTACCCGCACACCCCGGGCTATCGGTATGGAACGGCTTCGTGGTTTGCAAAGGCTGGACAGCCAGATTCATGGAGATGAACTGGCGCAGAAAGAACGAAAGAGGCTTGCGGAGAGTGAGGTCTAATTCATCCGCGACATTGCACGCACCTCAACCAGCCACCGATGGCCTCACCGCGCCAGATGCTGGACGATCGAATCATCAGACATCGACAGGGGTATATCCACCATCCCCCATGCGGAGCTCGCCCAAGCCCCTACTGTGCCTAGGCACGCGGGGATCATCAAGCACGTTTTGGCGCGTGGTAGACTACCGAAGCAACAGCCACGCGCTGGTTGGTTTAAAGAGAACTCTGTTTCGCTGTTCGAGATCTCCCGTGAGAACAAACGCTCTGCTGTGCTTTCGTTGTACGACGTTTATCAACCAGAAGTCCGGGTTGCACAGCATCTGTCGCGTGTCTTCGTTGACAGCTCCGCGGCAGATCTATCCGCTTTATCCGTGGGGGCCGTTTGCGAAAGAGTACTCACGGTTCAGCTCCGCGCGACGGTGACGTACAGGCGAGGGAGGGCTGTTCATAAGACATCCGGCTGGTTCAGCAACCTCTGCAATCGCGCTCGTCGACCAAGACAACAATACCGCCAAGATGGAGATGAACTATGATGAAAAGGTTCGACCGCGGACAGAACGCATTCAAGTACAAGGCTAATGGCACGACAGGAGCTCCATGCCATCGAGCAGGAGCTCGGCGTCGAGATCCTGCCGGGCACAGAAGTCATGGCAGACGTTGGAAGCCATCACTTCGTGAAGGGCGCAAGCCACGTCCTCGTGCCGCAGCCGTCAACGGACAAGCATGATCCTCTCGTAGGTCATTCCAGTCGATGAAGCGGAAGAAGTACTGACGATGGATCAGAACTGGTCCCCAATGTGGAAAGCCTTCGCCATTGCAGCATCCACGTCCGTCTCCTTCACCCAAGGCTTTGGGCCGTTGGCTCTGGCACCCATGTTTCCAGACCTAGAGGAGGCGTTCGATGCTGAGTTGGCCGACGTCGTACGCTTTACGGGTATTGCTATCTTGGTCTTGGGGTTTTCAAACTTCATCTGGTATAGTGAATGCAGTACAATTATGTTGTCCGTTGGAGGCTAACCGACGAAACAGGGTTCCCATTAGCACCTCCTTCGGCCGACGACCCGCGTACATCGCCTCCCAGCTCGTATGTATCGGAAGCTCGATCTGGCGCGCCCGAGCGCAGACGTACTCGAGCTTCATGGGTGCGTCCGTGTTGAACGGTATCGGAGCCGGTCCAGCTGAGACCATCCAACCCGCGGTCATCGCCGACATCTTCTTCCTGCACGACCGAGGATTCTGGAACACGCTATACTGGGTCTTCTACATGGGCTCACTGATGGTTGGACCCATCATATCCGGCTCAATGTCATTGCACGTTGGCTGGCGAAACTTCTGGTGGTTCAATACCGCCTTGCTCCTTGCCTCCTTCCTCATGGTCGTCTTCATGTTCCCCGAAACGAAATGGCATCGCCTCCATCCGGATGAAGTTCTGAAGAATCTCGCCGAGGGCAAGAGCGTCTCTCCAGCAGGCTCGCAGGAGAAGGTCCCACCACCCGCGTCTGACGCCAAACCGACAGACATGGGCGGCGAAATCGAACAATCCCGAACCCAGACCACCCTCAACCAACTCTCCCACCAAGCGACCGCCGAACGCGACCCATGGCTCGGCAAAGGTACACCGAGCAAACAGCAATGGAAGCTCTACCAGGCCAACGCCCACCCTTTCAAGACCATCCTCTACGACCTCTGGATCCCCTGGAAGCTCTTCGCCTTCCCCATCGTCGAGTTCTCCGCCTTCGTCGTCTCCTGGTCCTGCAGCTCCTTCCTCACCATCAACCTCACGCAATCGCAGAACTTCGCCGCACCACCGTATCTCCTCGACAGCGAAAAGATTGGCTTCATGAACTTCGCCATCCTCATCGGCGCGGCCATTGGTCTTGCCACAGCTGGTCCCTTATCCGACTGGGTCGCCGCTCGTGCTACAAGGAAGAATCGCGGGATAAGGGAGCCTGAGATGCGTCTCCCGGCGATGATCCCATACGTCCTCCTCATGATCCTAGGAAACTTCGTCGTGGCGTTTGGATACGAGCAGAAATGGCCTTGGGAAGCCATTGTCATCATCGGATACACGTGCGCCGGGATTCAAGTCGCTGCGATCCCGGCTATGGTCACAACTTATGCAGTGGATAGCTACAAGCCGGTGGCGGGGAGTTTGATGGTTGCCATCACCGTGAACAAAAATGTGTGGGGATACGGGTTTTCGGAATTCATCATCGAGTGGGTGATTGAGGATGGGTTTGTGCCGCCGATTAGTGAGTACCAGTTTCAAACCGTTCACCGAGTCTCTACTAACGATAAGCTAGTGACTAACATGTGTCTGATCACGCTGTGGTGCTCGTTTGGCATTCTCTTCTATTACTTCGGGAAGACATTCCGGCGTTGGTCGAAGAACAGCTCGGTGCACCGGTTGTAGGGATGGCTGCAGTGAAGGATCGCTTGGCGGAGAGTCGTACGCGTATACCAAACTATTCAACGCAGCTAAGGAGGTCGAACGCAGACGCTATGATAGTTCAAACCTTTTTCCCATTGCAGCCATATGTGTACACTGAGCAACCGAGATGCAAAAACAACGCTCTCAAGCAACACAGGTCAACCTCTCTCGCTTCTGTGATCATCCACCCGTCCTCTCCGCCCCTTTCTGCGCCATATTAGCCTGGCCATCAGTAGCATGGATGATGGTCTGCGCAAGCCAGTGCGGCCAACCCCTGATGCCCGCTAAGAAGCTGGTTTCAGCGCCCATAATCAACTGGGCGCCTTTGCCGCTGAGAACTTGCTTGACGACGGCATTGGCGACGTCGGTGGGGTCCAGCATCTGGATTTAGTCAGCGGCATGGCTCTTGTATGATCTTTGCATAAGCGTGCAGACAGCTTGGGGACATGGCTAGCTGTGTTTCTCGATCTCGAGCTCAATAATCAATGAGCTGCCCGGGTTTTGCAGGCAGGAGTATGACTGTGTGATGTTCAATGCGGAGAGGAGAAAGGTAAAACATACCGTCGCTTTCGCATCAGCCAACTCCTTTCTCCACGAAGCAGTCATCGCAGTCGCCGCGTACGTGGGGTGCACGCTCGTAAACTTGATCTCCGGACACTTGTACGCCACCCTCGTCTCCTGCTGCAGGCCGTCGTGGAGGGACAGCACAGCAGCCTTGGTGTTGCAGTACGGAATCAGTCCCGGAGGGCTTAGGAACGAGGCCATCGATGCCAGGGAGACCACGTGGCCTTTCCTGTTCTTGATCATATCTGGCAGGAAGGCTTGCAGAGTCCAGTAGTGCGAGATAATGTTCACGTCGAAGAGACGATGGATCGCTTTCTCGGAAACGTCGAGCGTGTGGTGGTTGTACGCCACCCCGGCGTTGTTGATCAAGATGCTGGCTTCGCCGTGCTCTCGCTTGATCTGCTCTCCAACTGAAAGAACAGTCTCTCGGTTCGTGACGTCGCACTGGTAGTAGTGGAGTTTCGCGTTGCCTTTCATGTCGTCCGGCATTTCCTCTGCAAGGTCGAGACACATGACGTTGATCCCTTTGTCGGCGAGACCTTTCGAGATCAAGGCGCCGAAGCCTGAAGAGGAGCCCGTCACCACAGCGATTTCGTTCGGCCAGTCATAGTTGCGGCGTTCACTGCGGAAGCGGAAGTTGTTCTGCGCCAGGTTGGAGAGGAAAACGTGGACGTTGCGTGTGAGACCGAGAGCGAAGAGCCATTTTAAGGCCGTTATTGTGCGGGTGATGTTTTTGGGAGAGAGGTATTTGCCCAAGTGTTGGAGGGCATGTTGCTTGACCTGGTCTGGTGCTTTGGTTAGGGAATAAAGTAAGGCACCTGTGAAAGCAGGGCTCAACGGTGCGCTCTTAATGATGTCCATTCTCGTGGTCCTTGATGGTATGCAGACAAGAGATGGAAGTGTGGCTGGTGCGAGAAGGTGTTGTCGTGGTCAAGGCACATGTATCTCCGTACTACTGGGACGTGCTTGCGGGGAAGCTGGCGTGTGGTCGATCCTGTGGTCTGGATGCCTCGGTACATGGCCGGTGTGTTGCCGGCAGGGCTGAGGTCTGGACGTTGGGCATCTGGAGCATTGCTGCTGTGGGCAGTGGAACGCCGTGGGTGTCGAGGACGCTCTCACGGCTGGATCGGGGCGGATGTTGCGTTCATGGGCACTGCTCAAAGACCGCCAGCCCTCCATGAGCGGCATTCAAAAAGAAGATGATGGATGCGGGTCGTAGAGCCTTCTCAGCGCACTGGACCCTCCTCATCGAACCACAAGGGCTTGCAGGCCGATTTGGTGCCCTTGTAGACGTTCGAGATTCCACAGCGGCATCGTGTTCAGTCGTCCCGTCTCGTCTCCCCACGCTTTGTTCATTCGAACACGGTGAGGTCTGACAAGCAGCATTCGCCACATCCTTCGACGCCGAGGTCATGCCGGGGTCTGTGGTCCATTGGTGAAGCACCAGGCGGTCGGAGGTCGCTTGGAAGGGTTGATGTGGCATCCGTCAGTCACATGTCCAGAAAACACGACAGACGCGAGCACCGGATCTCGCCCTACCGACATGCGGCTCCCGCACCGGGTAAAGTATGGCAGAGCTACTGCTGCGCTTCACTGGGCATTTGTTCAAGCTGATCCTCTTTTCTTCGCACGAATTACTCCACTCCTTGCAATAGCGGACCGCTACTCCGTTTGATGCTTCACAATCACCATAACTTTGATCCATCTTGCTTCGTGCACAACGAGTCAGTCGCGGCAGGCTCACGAGCCGATGGGCCTCATGCCGCTCGTCTCGGAGTTAGAGGCAGCATTTATAGGCTGAGTCTGGAACCGTAAGTTGCAGCTATAGGACGTTTCAAGGCTGCCGTGTTTCCCTTTGAATGTCGGGCCTGCTTCCTGTCTTATCTGCCGTACGCTCTTCCTTGTACCCTTCCAACAAGATGGCGGATATAGATGTGGAAGAAGTATTGGGAAAGCTGGATCTCGAGCAGAAGATTTCGTTGTTGGCTGGTATTGACTTTTGGTGAATATCTCCTTCATCCAAACGAACGGATGGCAAGATCTGACAGAAACCAGGCATACGAAAGCAATCCACGAACATGGCATCCCAACCCTACGAACTTCAGACGGCCCAAATGGCGTTCGAGGTACCCGGTTCTTCAACGGCATACCAGCAGCTTGCTTTCCATGTGGGTATGTTATGCCAATAAAAACACCACCCTCAATATCGTTTCTCCAAGCTCAATTTTCCACAGCACCGCCCTAGGCTCGACCTTCGACCAAGACCTCCTCCTCCGCGCCGGCAAACTCATGGGCGACGAAGCCAAAGCCAAGGGCGCCCACATCCTCCTCGGCCCCTGCATCAACATGCAACGCTCGCCCCTCGGCGGTCGTGGCTTCGAATCGCTCTCCGAAGACCCGGTTGTCGCGGGTCTCGGCGCCGCTGCGCTGGTCAAAGGCATCCAATCTACTGGCGTTGTATCGACGATTAAGCACTTCGTTACTAACGACCAGGAACACGAGCGCATGGCTGTGAATGCGATTGTCTCGGAGCGAGCGTTGAGGGAGATCTATCTCATGCCGTTCCAGATTGCCGTGAGGGATGCCCATCCGAATGCGTTTATGACGGCTTATAACAAGCTGAACGGGGTGCATCTGTCGGAGAACAAGAGGATTATGGACGACGTGCTGAGGAAGGAGTGGGGATGGGAGGGGGCGATCATGAGTGATTGGTTTGGGACTTACAGCACGTCGGATGCTGTGAACGCTGGACTGGACCTGGAGATGCCTGGCCCGTCGAGGTGGCGAGGGGGCCTGTTGGAGCACGTCGTATCGTGTCGGAAGGTTCCCGCCCACGTACTTGACGAGAGAGTCCGCAACATGCTCAACCTCGTCAAGCAATGCCGCGCGAGCGGCGTCAAAGAATGGGCCAAAGAAGGCACCAACGACACGCCCGAGACCGCCAAACTCCTCCGCAAACTCGCAGCCGAAAGCTGCGTCCTCCTCAAAAACGACAAGGACGTCCTGCCCCTCAAGAAAGACAAATCCGTGCTCCTTATCGGCCCCAACGCCCGCACCAGCGTCTTCTGCGGCGGCGGCTCTTCGAGCATGCAACCTTACTACGCAATCTCGCCCTTCGAAGGCGTGCAGGCGAAGCTGAAAAACCAGAGTAAGATCCAGCATACCATCGGCTGCTACAGCCACAAGGAGCTGCCGTTGGCTAGTAACCAGTTCACGGTGGAAGCGGACCAGAGCTCGAAGAAAGGGTTGATCTTCAAAGCGTACAACGAACCACCGCAGACAGAAGGCCGCACCGCCGTCGACGAGATTTTGCTGACGAACACTTACTGCATGCTCATGGACTACAAGCACCCGCTGCTCGAAGACGACCTTTGGTACGCGGACGTAGAAGGCTACTTCCAAGCCGAGCGCACCGGGGAGTATGAACTCGGGCTCTGCATCTACGGCACCGGGAACTTGTACGTCGATGGGAAATTGGTCATCGATAACACCAGCAAGCAAACCCAGGGTACCGTCTTCTTCGGCTGCGGTACTGTGGAGGAGAAAGGCACCATCCACATGGAAGAAGGCAAAACGTACCACGTCAAGCTCGAGTTCGCCTCTGCCGTGACGTCGAAGCTGGACGGAGGCGGCGTGCCCCAGTTCGGCGGCGGCGGCTTCAGGATCGGAGGCGCGTGGGTGCTGGATATGAACGACACGATCGCGGAAGCTGCCAAACTCGCCAAAGAAGCGGAACAAGTCGTCATCTGCGCAGGCTTGAACCAGGACTGGGAAGGCGAAGGCGCGGATCGGGTGGACATGAAACTCCCCGGCAAAATGGACGAGCTCATCACCCGCGTTGCGGAAGCCAACCCGGAGACTATCGTGATCAACCAGACTGGCACCCCGGTCGAGATGCCTTGGGTGCACAAGGTAGCTGGGTTAGTGCAAGCGTGGTACGGTGGCAACGAGACCGGGAACGGGATCGCGGACGTGTTGTTCGGGGACGTCAATCCGGCGGGGCGGTTATCGCTGTCGTGGCCGAAGAGGGTGGAGGATAATCCGGCTTTCTACAATTACCGGTCTGAAGGCGGGCGGACGCTGTATGGAGAAGACGTTTACATTGGATACCGGCATTACGAGACTGTCAAGCGGGACGTGAATTTCATGTTCGGGCAGGGGATATCGTATACGACTTTCGATCTGTCGGGGCTGAAAGTCAGCAAGACCGGCGCTGATGACCTCTCAGCCAAGGTGGTGGTGAGCCTCACGGTCCGCAACACAGGCAAGCTGGACGGGCAAGACGTTGTGCAGGTCTACGTCCGCCCTACGAAGCCTGGCATCCGACGTCCTCCGCGGGAGTTGAAGGGTTTCACCAAAGTGCCCGTCAAAGCTGGATCGAAGGCGACGGCGAAGGTGGAGATTCCGTTGAAGTATGCTGCGTCGTACTGGGATGAGATTCGGGAGGCGTGGGTGATGGAGCAGGGGAGTTATGAGTTTGAAGTTGTGGACGGGACGGGGGCGCAGGAAGGGCTGGTGGGGAGTGTCGAGGTTGGGAAGACGGGGTGGTGGAATGGGCTGTAGTGGTGGAACGGTCGTAAATGAGTAGTTCTGATGAAGCGAATGATGTAAAAACTGCCAAGTGCTCCCTTGAAGGTCATGCATCTCTAGATCTCTCATGCCTGTCCTTCCGGTAGCGTTCACTCAAAACCATGAGCACATGCCGTGGCCTAGGGATGTCCCACCGTGCAACGCGGCCAGTGTGAGCGCACCAGGACAAGGTTTATTCGCCCCGACTATCGCGACGCCAAAGTACCTCGCGAGCAGGAGGCATCGGAACGTCTGTAGGCCATTAGCTCAAGGCTAGCACTTTGCACTCGCCTCCATGAACGTACCCGGCGAAGGCGGCATCTGCTGTACCCCCTGCACAGCATCGAGAGCCTCAGCATGACCACTCCCTGCAAGCTCAGGCGGCCCGATGGCGAACTCCTCGTGTTCGTCAACCGGCAGACTCTCGTCTATCTCGACAGTTTCGCCCCAGACAAACGGCCCTGGGAACAGTGCCTGGAATCTGATCCTCGACAGTTGGTCCCGTATCCACGGCCTTCCCAAAAACAACATGGCAGCCTTCGTCACCACGTCGACATCGACTTTGGCGGCTTCTTGCCAATGTTGGCTGTCCAAAATGGCTCTCAGGGCGAAGCCACGCACCTCGTTGTCCGACACGACCCATTCGTCCATATCTGGGTACGCTTCCGCAAGAATGTCGAATGCATCATCGATTTGGTCCATCCGCACCCTCGCAGACTGAAGCTCAAACTTTAAGGCGTTGTGCTCTGGCGCTGAGATCATTTTATGGGCTCTGACATTCGCCACATGCTGTTCAATGCAGGGGATGAACTTTTCGAGCAGATCGGTCCTGGTGATACCTTTCAGGTATATGAGCATGGCTTGCAGGTGTCTGTACGGTCGGTACAAACGGTAAGACCACATGATCTGGCTCGAAGCAGCGAGCTCGTAGTATTTGCCATCCTCGACGTTGCCCCAGAGCTCCCAAAGTCTTCTGACGCTCTCAATTTCGAACGTGCGTTCTATGGCTTGAGGAAGAATTCGCCGCTCTGGAAGATGCTGAAATTGAGCGCGCATGCTGGCCAACGAGCCTTCGGGAGTGAATGGGGCTTGGGTGGCGATAGTTGTTGTCTCAAATGGCCCAATCGTAGCCCGCGGGACCGATGGGGCAGCCATTTCTCGCTCGTGTAGGTATGGCAAAAGGGACACCCGGGAGCCTCAGCACAAACGTCTGGTGCTCGGCCGCAGATCGAGTTTCAGGTGAGCTGGAACGTCCAGGAGGACGTTTTCAAGCTGAGATGGCCGAATGATTGTCGGTACCCCAGCAAAGAATGCTTGAGCCTTGGTGATGCTGAAGTGAGATATCAAGTGGCCAGTGAAGGTGATGGTGTCGAGAAGAAGGTGTTGTCGAAAGTCCAGCGGAGTTGATGCAGCGACTGAGAACTGCCTTGAAGCACCTCCCTGTTGCCGTTGCTTCCCGCAGAGCTACCTCCGTAGCACAAGCAGGAGCAGAGTGGCACGCCATTCAGGAGGCGAGGAAGCCACGACTCGACACCACCACGACAAGAATGCGCACGCATCATCAAAAACACTTGAACCTCAAATTCAAGGCTTACTCCCAACCCGACTCCTCTTCGCGTCTAGTTCAACCTTGGAGTACCAAATCGCCCCCGCAATCGTCACCACCGTCCCCAGCGCATTCAACCAGCCCACCTTAACATTAAACAGCACAATTCCCAACCCGATCGTCAACACCTGCTTCACGTTCCCACAAACCGTCATCGTCAGCGCGCCGGCCACCTTGTTCGTCTGGAAACTCGTCACGTTCAGGGCAAACGCAATGACCGCGTTCGCCAACAGCGCCGTGCCGAAGGAGTTGGAGAACTCGCCGGAAGCGTAGGCGGAGCGGAAGCGGTCGACTTCGCCGGTGAGGAAGGCGTAGAGGACGCATTGGATGGTAGCGAGCGGGGACATGCGGAGCAGGACTTCCATGGCCGACAGTGCGAGGGAACCGGTCATGAGGCGGTTGGTGGCGACGGTTTTGATTGCGGAGAGCAGGACGCCGAGGACGGTGAGGGTGAAACCGGAGAGGGTGCAGTAGTAGTCGCCGGCGGTGGCGAGGGCGACGCCGAGGATGAGCGGGATCATTGAGAGGTAGGTGGCGTTGCTGTAGGTCCGGGCGTAGACGACGCGGTAGATGAAGATGGTGGCGATGGGGCAGGTGGAGCGCATGATCTGGTGGAAGGGGACGGAGACGGCGGCGAGGGAGACGTTGGAGATGGCGATGTTGATGGTGAAGAGGAAGGAGAAGGCGACGAGGGTGAGGTTCTCGCGCGAGGTGAGGTGGGTGAGCTTGAGCGAGCCGAAGCCGAAGAGGACGAAGCAGCCGATCGAGGTGGCGCCGGTGTGGAGGGTGGTGAGGAGCCAGGGGAAGCGGGCCTGGGGGTATGAGCATGGCAGATGGGAGACTGGGTGGGGCAGGCGTACCTTGCCGAGAACGGCCTTGTTTGATAATGTCAAGGCCAGGTTGAGGATGAAGTAGGCGCCGAGGAAGAGCAGCTTCGATTTGAAGGAGACTTGGTGCTCGACTGGCGGCGCGGGTGGTGCGGGCTGCTTCTGCGCTTCGAGGTCTCCATAGTCCTTTCGCAGGCTGTCTGTGGATTCTGTCGAAGTCGTCTCCCCGCTGTCGCGTGGCTTGTAGTCCTTTTCATCTATGAAGGATGCTGTCGGAGACGCGTTGTCGTCCAATAACTTCGTGGTAGCCATGTCCGCTAGGAATGCCTGCTGTCGCTGTTCGTGATGTTATAGGACAACAAGGAGGAAGTGAAGTGAGAATAAAACCCAGCCGGCAGACGCACCCAAACCTACCGTGGCGCCACCACCAATATGAGACGAAACACTCGGACTTGTACGGCAAGCGCAGCCCGTGGAAAACGCCAACGCATCTGCATCCGCGCCGCTCCTCTGACGACCGTGGTGCCTGCCAAGAGCGCGCGCCGAAGAAAAGCAGGGAACCTTGTCGGGCGCATCGGCAAGGGGGGTCCAGCAGTGCCAAGCATAGAGCAATTCACTTCGAGAGGAAGAGATGAGCTTGAGATGAGGTGAGAATCCCAAGACGGTGATTGGTGAAGCGGGCTATCGCTTCCGCGGGATGCCGTGAAGTACCGAGGAGCAGGATTCGTGGCAGGTGTGGCTGTTGACGGAGACGTACAGGAACACGAAAGGACGATTGCGTGGGAGTTGGGGCGTGGATGGTGGAACGCAGATGGCTGTGTTGCATACATGCACCTTACGCAGGAACAACTGCAGTAGGAGACGTCAACAAGGCGTCTCTGCTCTGCTGTGTTCTTCAATAAAGTTCAAGTACATCGGCTAGCGTTTGGCCGTGATAAACCAATCAACGTCAATCAGCAGGAAAGCACGTGAGCTGTTCTTCGAAGGCGACAACGATGAATATGGACGTGATGGTTGAGCCATTTTCATAAGCAGAAGCTGGGTATCATTCATGTACTATCTTGCAAGTCTCCCCAGAACCATCGTGACCGTCGCTACGCCTGAACAAGCGCCTCGCTCGAATGAATGCATCTCGTCATCATGTCCGTAACACACGTATCCAAGCACTCGTCCTCAGTCCCATAGCAGGGAGCTGACACGACCACCACCATCCATACCCATATCTTCCGACACCACACCCTCCACCCCCCACCACGACCCCCATCAATCCTCCCAACTCTTCTCCACCGTCTCCCTAACCTTCTTCCGATAATCCTTCCAACTATCCTTATACAAATTACTCGCCTCCACATTCGCCGGACTGCTCGTATTCGGATCATTCAGCAAGCTCTGAATGCTCGTCAGAATCGCCGCCACATCGTACGTCGGGCTCCAGCGGTTCTGCAGGATGTCCAGACACAGCTCTCCGGAGGCGTAGACGTTGGGGTGGAACATGGTGGAGATGAATTTCACGCCGGGCGGCTTGTTGGGGTATTGTTCTTCAAAGTGCATGACGAGGCGGAAGGTGCCGTCTTCGAAGGGCGTGTCCGAGGGGCCGATGATTACTGCGTTCCTGTGGAGGTGTTAGTTGGCGAGATTCGTCCTTGCTGCTGCGAGGGTCGTATGTAGGGGGAGGGATTCTTACCAAGTCATCACATTATCCGAAATCGGACTCGCGCTCACGCCGGCAGGAGGGTCGGTCTGCATGCGCTTGAAGTCGCGCATCAGTCTCCTCCGCGCCGCTGTCGACATCTTGCCCGTCTACTCTTCCTCGTATTGCTCACAATATGCCTCTCGCGTGGGCTGGCGGGGTAGTTGGACGTTGGATGGCTGTCTGGTGCTCTTTCTTGTTGATGGAGGGAGAAGGGAATGCGAACGTGGTGGATTTGTAGGCAGTCGGCGGCGTAGGTTGATTGTGGTGCTGGATGGTGGTGGTCTGGTCGAGATAACTTGGTTGGATGACTGGAAGCTTATGGAAACAGCTCGGACTCGAAAGAGGAAAGAGCGGGCGATTTAAGCTTCGGCTTGGTTACGTAGTGCACGTGATTGTTCGCTCACATTCAATACACGGTTTGTTGGCAAATCATGCTCGCATGACCCCTTTCAGGATGCGTCGAACAAGCGCTTGAGTGACTCAGGAAACTCCATGCAGAGGCGAGAAATATGCTGTACAGCCGTCGCTAGCTAGCCCCCTACACTCCCACAAGCCCACAGGAACCCGGACAACCCAATGCCGCAGAATATAGGTATCGTCAAGTTGTCATCCAGCCCCCAAAGGTCAATCGCCTCGCTCACACTCACCACCAAACCCGTGACCACACTCAACGCCGCAAGCGCCGCCGGCCCTTCAATCGTCGCATCCCGCCAACTCCAGCCCAACTGCTCCCTTACCGCCGCCGGCAGCGTCAACATCCCCTGAAACGCAAAATCGCCCTCCAACCCAAACGTCCTCGGCGCCACCACGCCCCAGAATAACGCCGCCGTTCCCAACCCAACGGTAAAACACGCCAGACTCCCCGCCAAGCTCTTGCCCCTCCTGACCCGTGGTGTGTACTTCCCCCACAGCCGCCCAAACGTGCTCGCAGCCGTATCGCACCAACTCAACAGCAGCACGCTCATGAGCGCGATGTCCTTGTTGCAGAACCGCATCGTCAACCATAAACCGGCGAGGTAGCTGATGACGCCGTTGAACTGGTCGTGCGCTTCGCTCTCCCGCATTAACGGGCCCATGAGCCAGATGTAGAGTCGGTTCAGCGCGTTCCATCGGAATCGTAGGATGTCGACTGTGAAGATCGGGAGGAGAGCGTAGAGGAGGTACGGGTGGATGCTGTCAGGTTGTAGTCCTTTCCAGTACAACCCCAACCCTAAGAAGCCGATGCTGACGTGCAGGGCTTTGCGCGGGACTTCGTGCTTGTGGATGAACCTGCGCCATTCTTCGTGGATGGGTATGAGGCCGAGCGGGGACGGGGAGCGCGAGAGGTTGCGCCAGTAGGAGGAGCCGAAGCCTTGCGGGTATGCGCTGTCGGGGGAGAGGAAGCCGTTGGCTTGTGTGCCGTCAGCGGGTGGTTTGAGGTCGTCTGGTTTTCGTCTTCGGGGTGGCATGGCGGTTTTGGCTGCGGTGGAGCCGCTGGTGACTGTGCCGTCTTTCATGCCTGCTGTTTTTTGGTGCGGCCGCCGTTGTTGGGAGTTGCGACTGCGGGCTCTTGCGCGGGCTAGCTCGGGGTCTTCTTCTTCGAGGTTCTCGTCATCCTCGTGTTCTGGGATACGGTCGATGGAGGCTACACTGCTCATGCGTGTTGCTTTTGCGCGGGTTGTGGGTGGGAAGTAGCCATCTTTGCTGCCGGGCTCAGAGGGTGTCGGAGAGGGAGATATCACGCGAGGCGTCGGCGGTACAGGATACGAACTCATAGTTCTGGCGGATGTGTGCGGGTGTAGTGGGGCTGGAGGAGTTGCGCTGGTGCCTGCGGCTGTTGTTAAAGTTGCTAGATCATGCAGAAGGAAGGTCGTGAATTCGCTGGCAATAAGAATGTCGTATGCGCGTTGCAGAAGTTGTGTTGGCGGCGAATCAGGTGGTCAAGCAGGTTTGGAGATGGAAAGCTGGTCTCAATGACATAGCGCGTCCCGCTCGCGTGTCCATGCACGTGTCGTGCTCCAATGCTTTACAAGATGCGGATGTGGATATGGGACGACACAGACGACGGGACGTGGTGGTGTTGTCGTTGGTGATGTCGAGATGCAGATGCCTTTCACGAGAGTTCATTACCGAGAAGTGAATTGAGCGGAGCGACCACCTGGAAATCACATGTCAAAAAGCAATTTCACGTGGGAGCCGGCCAACCGGACCTCCGTCAAGCCGATCACATTCACTTCGTCTGCTTCCTTCACTCTCTTTCCATCTCACTGACCTTGGGCTTGAATATGGCCTTCTGGAACGGAACAAGTCCAAGTTGTAACAGCTTGCCACAGAGAAAGCTTCTGTCCGTCCAATGTGGGCGGTAGCTGAGAGACTGGTCATGCCAGCCACTGCAGATTGGTGGGTAGTACGAGAGCGTGGCCTGATCAGTCCATAAGGTACATAGGAACATGGAGATGATCCGGCCGAGCAATCCTGTCTATCTCACCCGATGTCATGGACACGACCCTCTGCGAGATATGTACCGGCTTCGACATTCATAAGGTAATCGAGCTATGGCCTTACCCAGCCGTCCACCAGACCCGTAACATTGGAACATGGCGAGACCTCAGGACTCGCAGTCAGACCTGCAACTTCTGTGCATGCCTTTCAGCGGCGCTCAAAAACAGCGGAGGCTTCGTTGCTGGCCTCTTGCACGATGATCTGGCACTGTATACGAAATGGCAGCCATGTGGCCATCTCTACTGTAAGCCAAAAGCAGACGGAAGTCCGACGATAGCTTTTCGATTGCAGGTTGGCACGAAAAAACCGCAAAAACCAAAAGTGATTGGCCATGTGGCGTTTGATGGTCGAGATGCCCATCTCATGGGTCAGACGCCGTTGTTTCATGGACGATGTGTGAAGACCGACCAGATTGACCTTGGTCTTGTGGCTGGCTGGATTGAAGAGTGCTACAGCACGCATGGAAAGTGCAAGAGCGCCCGAGAGACCGTCGAGGGAGACACGCTGGGTATCAAGCTGCCGCCAGAATCTTTACTCCTTGATGCTGAGGAGCAGTGTTTGGTCCAAGCTAAGCCTGGACAGAGATATGCTGCACTGAGCTACGTCTGGGGGGCGGCGGAGCAGTACCTCCTTACGACGGACAAGCTTGACTCACTGCGTCAGGCTGGATCTCTGGCTGGCTTGAAATTGCCACTTACCATTCAAGACTCTTTAGACTTGGTCAAGGTCGTTGGTCTTCGATACTTGTGGGTGGATGCTCTTTGTATTATACAAGATGACATGGCTTTGAAGTCGCAGCTGATCGCTTCCATGCACTTAGTGTACGGCGCAGCTGAAGTGACAATTGTAGCCGTGGATGGACTACATGCGAATGCTGGCTTACGGGGTGTGCGACCAGGAACTCGCCACATCGACCAGACCTCCTTCTCCACAGGCGCAGGTTCCCCTCGCATACTCCCAGGACTCCCCAGGGTGGACGGGGTAGTGGGCAGCTCGAGATACAACGAGAGAGGATGGACCTTCCAAGAACTGCACCTCTCGCGAAACATACTTTACATCAGTGCAACTGCAGGCGCGTGGTTCCGCTGCAGACAAGGCATTCGCTGCGAGGAGGGAATACTGGAAGACGCGGCGTGCGGACATGCCGGATGCCAGGATGAACAGCACGCTCGACTTGTCTCAGAACCAGACGGCAATCCGGCGTTGATGAGCTGCGAAGCGGAACTTCAATGGCATCCCGGGGGTTGCACTTGTGGCCAAAGACAAAGGGAGAGATTCGAGACACAGGAAGTCGTGAACCCAGTGACAGGACCGACTTCTGGCGAGCCCGTAGAAGATGTCTTCGGTCCGCTCAACGGTGGATCCTGCACAGACTGCGACCACTTCGAACACAGCTTCCACAACTACAGCTCGCTAGTCCGCCAATATACCTCGCGAAGTTTGACAAACCACTCTGACCGCCCAGCCGCTTTCGCCGGTCTTGCAGCATTGCTTCAGAAAACCCATCAGACGAGCCTGCTGTACAGCATACCGGAGCAGTACATCGACCAAGGCCTGCTCTGGCGGCCTCTGAACAATTCTGCATTGCCTCATCGCAGGGTTGAAGGCATGCCGAGCTGGAGCTGGGCGGCGTGGGAATGTCCAGTGCGGTATATTACATATCGATGGATGACCACAGAAGTCGACTGGTATATCTACGGTGAACAGACAGGGTCACGGCCAGTGCGCAGTGTGAAGCGCTACGGGACTTCGATCCCATTGCGAGAGGACTTCCGGAGACCAGTCACCATGGACCAACTAGCCGCCCACAACCTCCTCGAACCTTCCTCACCCGGTCCGGAACTCGTAGCCTGGTGCCCCCTCTCCACCGGCTTCTTCTACACCCGCGGCCACAAGCTCATCTCCCTCCACCCCGCCCACATGGGCCTCCCCGGCCACGACGTCCTCTTCAACGACGCCACCCCGCGGGCAGACGATCCAGAGATGCGGCCTGTGGAGCTTCTGTTCTTGGCACAGGCGGGCGGGAGGGTGTTCTGGGAGGACATGAAGCCGAAGGCGTCAGGGATGCCGGGTTATTGGGATGAGCTGGAGATGGCTGGGTATGCGTTGGTGGTTGAGAGAGATGGGGGTGTGGCGAGAAGGGTGGGATTTGTGAGGATTGGGGAGTGGAGGCTGTGGAGGGATGCGCCGAGGGAGTGGGTGCTGCTTAAGTTAGTGTGAGATTTAGCTCTACAGTTCAGCAGAAGAACATGTATGAGTTGCTAGATCCAATGGACAAGCAAGTAGAACAACTCGCTCATACATGTATCGAATGTCGCTTTTTCTTGCGGAACATTCTATCACAGCGTGCTGTTGTTTACGCGAGAGAGTCATTCGTGCCCATTGCCTCCTCGAACTTTTTAGATAGTGACTCTTGCATTTTCAACGACCAACAAAATGCCATTCGACATAAGCAAATGCGCAAGGCCGAATATCCTAGCGCTAGAGCCATATAGATGTGCGAGGGAGTATGTATGCTTTCCCGAACCGTTAAGGTCAGACCAATGCTAACGCTTTCGCAGCGACTACAAGGATGACGGGACGAACGTTCTTCTGGACGCCAACGAAAATGCCTACGGTCCTGGACTGGCGTTGAGCGAAGATGGCAAGCTCGCAAACGGCGATGCGTCCAATATCGAAGTCGACCTGCTTGGCCTGAATCGCTACCCTGATCCGTACGTTCAACATCCCTTGCCACGATTACATCCCAACTAACAAGTTGTCCAGCCACCAGCACGACCTCAAGCAACTCCTCATCAACCTCCGCAACACCCACGTCCACACCCAAAAGTCCCTCACCCCGGCCAACCTCTTCGTCGGCGTCGGCAGCGACGAAGCCATCGACGCCCTCCTCCGCGCCTTCTGCACCCCTGGCAAGGACAAAATCCTTACCTGCCCACCAACCTACGGCATGTACACCGTCTCCGCCAGCGTCAACGACGTCGGCATCGTCAAAGTTCCCCTCAACCCCTCCGACAACTTCAACGCCCAGCCCGACCTCATCAACAAGACCCTCTCGGAGGACCCATCAATCAAACTAGTCTACCTCTGCTCCCCCGGCAACCCGACCGCCAACCTCATCCGCAAATCCGACGTCCAAGCTATCCTGGAGCACCCAACCTGGAACGGCGTCGTAGTGCTCGACGAAGCCTACATTGACTTCTCGCCCGATGGCTCCTCGCTCGCCGAATGGGTCGCCGAGTGGCCGAACCTTGTGGTCATGCAGACGCTCTCCAAAGCCTTCGGGCTAGCAGGAATACGGCTGGGTGCGGCTTTTACTTCTCCGGAGATTGCAAGGTTGTTGAATAGTCTGAAGGCGCCGTATAATGTTAGTAATCCGACGAGTCAGATTGCGATGCACGCGCTGCGGGAAAAGAATCTTAATGTGATGCGAGCAAATCGGCAGCGCATCATTGAGCAGAGGGATAGGATGCTCAAGCAGATGCCAGGGATCCCCGGGGTTGGGCGGTTTTTAGGTGGACGGGAGAGTAATTTCTTGTTGGTGGAGATGTTGGGTCTGGACGGCAAAGCGAGCAACGAGGTGGCGTTGCAGGTCTACGAGCGGCTGGCAGAGAATCGGGGCGTGGTGGTGCGGTTCAGGGGAAAGGAGGTGGGGTGTCTCGGGTGTTTGAGGGTTACAGTGGGGACGGAGGAGGAGGTTACGAGATTCTTGAAGGAGCTGAGGGAGGTGTTGGCGGAGATCTATGAGGGAAGGGAGAGTAGGCCGAGTAAGAGGGTGGAGGAGAAGAGGGAGAAGGAGGCTAATGGGGTTGTTGCTTGATATGGTATTGCGGCACTGGAATTATTGGGCTATGGCATAGACTCTAGACGTAGACTTGATGGTCAAATTTGCGGATTATCAAACTGCGTCATATGTTCTCCATAATGAGGCCCTGCTCGATATATCTTTGGCTTTAGCCCTGCATGACGATGGCCCCACCTCGCGATTGAAGATTCAGGTTGTTTGCTCTTCGATCTCCAACCTCATTTCTTCATGAAACATGGCGCTGCTGGACACGAAGAGAGTCGGCAGTCACCCATGAGACCAAAATAGTATGCAACCGTAAGAGGAAGCAACAGATTCGAATCATGGCGCAACAGCAGCCAGCAGTGGTCATCATTGCGAGGTAGGCATATGCTCGACCACCAACGGATCTCCTTGTCCACGACGCTGACAATGCTGCAGACACGGCCTCCGCCTCGACGCAGCAGATCCTTCGTGGCACCATTCGACACCCGCACCTTACGATCCTCCATTGACATACGGCGGCTGGACACAGTGTCGAGCGCTGGGCAAGCGCATTGCCGGCTTACTAGATGCACGAGAACAAGAAGCGGCCGATGGCAAAGAGAAGTCTGCGAGACCACATGGCGCAGAGTACAAGGACGGCATCGACGGCGAGGAGCGGCCGCAGAAGAAGCGCAAGCTGAAGCATAAGGTGGTGATCCACTCCTCGCCTTTCCTACGATGTCTACAGACCAGCGTGGCCATTGCAGCTGGCATGGCACAGTACAAGCCCAGCATTGAAACCTCCGGCCGACCCAGGACAACCAGCAGAACCCACTCCGGCTCGCCACGTCTGAGACCGGTGGACAGACCTTCTTCTCCTCGGCTACCCGCGATCGCAGAGCCTGACCTCGCGCATGCTCTGGCGAAGAGATCGCTGCAGCTACCGAAGCACCACCGGAAGTCGATGCTGCGTGTTGATGCGTTTCTGGGAGAATGGCTGAACCCGGAGTACTACGATCAAATCATGCCGCCACCACCGAGCCCGATGATGATGACTACTGCGAAAGCGGAACTGATGGAGAACGAGAATGTGGAGATCTTTTCGCCCACAGTCTCGCTGAAGACTGCGAACGGGACACTATGGAGTGGCACCAATGCCAATGCCACAACAAACGGGAGCAGAGAAAGCACTCTGGATGACTGGAGTCTGGTTGAGGACGCGGTACCGGCTTCGCCGTTATCACCCGGATCAAGACGTAGGGCTAGTCAGAGCAGTGTGGGGAGTATCGACAGGCCGAAGTCACCTTTCAGGCCAGGCTCAGCTTTGCAGCCTCTGACTTCAACTCTACCGAAGCAGGAGGCTGCTATCTATCACCCGCCGCAACCACAATATGCAGTATCTACCTCAGATCGCATACCACGAGGCTACGTCGCGCATGCAAAGAACGCCTGCACAAACGTGGATTACCAGTGGGACAGCAGCCGGGCACCTCAAAACTGGGGCGATGGCGGTCAGTTCGGCGAAGAGTGGTCGTCGATGCACAAGCGCTTCCGCCGTGGTCTGAACCATCTCATCAGCTGGTACAGCAAGCAAGATGCAGATGCCAGAGGAGAAGATGCGCTTGGTGTGGACCAGGCAGATCACCGGCCAAAGTCGCGATCCACTGATGACGAGGAGCAGGAAGACACAGTCGTCATCATGGTCACACATGGCGCTGGCTGTAACGCTCTCATAGGCGCCTTGACCGGTCAGCCGGTCTTGCTTGACGTGGGCATGGCATCTCTGACAATGGCCGTGAGGAAGGAAGACGCGCCACCAATAACCACTTTCGCCTCATCAACAGCACCAAGTCCCCGCGGTTCTCCTACGCCTGAACAGATGGCCCTCAACAACGCCACCCGCCGCACAAGCCTAGACCTCGGTCTCAGCTCCATCTACGACCTCAAACTGGTTGCATCCACCGAGCACCTTCGCCCTTCCGGTGCGTCACCTTCAATGCGCCCGGTCGACGCCAACAAGCAAGCTTTCATCGACAATTACCGCCAGCGTCTAGGCGCACCAAACCCTTCGCGGAGCAACACTTCCTCCATGCTCGGCAGTATCCGTCGGCCGTCGGCTGTCAACAACATCCCGCTTGCTGCTGGGTCGCGGGATCGTAGTGCGAGCCTGACGCCTGCTGCAAAGGTCGATTCACCGCCTTTGAGCACAGGACTGTGGACGCCGCCGGGTGCCCGGACCCCTACTGCACAGGCTCAAACTATCAGGCCCGGACTCGGGACTGCAAATAGCGACACCGCCGCCATCAGGAACGGGAGTCTGAGCGAGGAGTTGAGACGGGATACGCCAAACCCACCGAACGAGCTAGATGTGCAGACAGGTGGAGTCAATGAGTCGGCGCAGAGCTCGCGACCTGGAAGCAGACACGACGACGTCCTACCCGAGCTCCCACAGATTCCGAGCCCTGCTGACAGCGTGCCGACGAGTCTGGCGCGGGGTTTGAGTCAGAGGGGGCTGTGGGGTGCGCAGCCGAGGGGTGCGAGGGTGGAGCGGGTTGGGAGGGAGGCGCCTAAGAGGCGCTGGACTGTTGATCAGGAGTGAGGCTTTAAAAGGGACCTCAGATGGGGGCTTGGATGTACGAGGGTGATGATGTCGCTGTGGCGCGAAGAGAGTGGTGCTGGGCGCGCACGCGAAAGTGATAGAAGCGGGACGCCCTCGATCGAAGAACCCATTCCATCCTATCTGATTCTCTAATCATATCTAATTCCCAGACGTCTACTCGGGCGAAGGGGAAGGCCAAACTCTCTCGAGGTATAGTGTTTCTAGCCCTCCCTCCTTTCTAACTATTCTCAATTTCCAACATCTCCTATCATCTCGTACTCCTTTCTCCCAGTTCGCGAACGTATCTCCTTCTATGCCATTCCTGTATCACTTCCTCACACCACCAAATAGGCGGCGACCCAATTATCCTTGACGCCCTCGAAAAAAGAAACCCCTAGCAACGATTCCTGATCCCAATCTCCCCTTCGACCACTTCACATCCGACTCCGAACAGCATTTTCCATATGGAAGCGCCAAGAAGGAAGTAAAAGAGACAGACAAAAACATTCAGCAGGCGGTATTCCCACGAGGTCTCCCACCGTAGTACTAATCACCCGATTGGTGGCTTCAGGACAGGAGAGCGGACGGGATCCTCTTTATTTCACCATCTGTGGCCGAATGTGAAGGCCCAGACATTGCTGCTGTGTATATCCAGTTGCACATACTCTCGCCTTGGCATGGAGGATCGTGCAAGATTCCGTCGAAGAAGGCATGGGCTTGTGGTCGAACGATGAGGGAGGTCTTTTGGCGTGATGCAATGGCCTGCTATGGGCTTCTTCAGCACACTTTGCTTGCTGTTTCGATTTCGAAAATGAGCATGAGCTACGCTGCAGCATTCAAAATCGTAATTCGCCCTTCCAGCTTCGGCGCTATCCCCCTAGCCCAATGCACACCGAACTCCTCCCCGACTACAGATGTCATGTTTGGATGGCCTGGCAAGGCTGCCAGTCGCCACCACTTGCGCATTACTTTCCGCATAATCAGCAACTCCCGCTCGTGCTCGCTGAGGTCTGTAGGGACTGGAGGAACGTCCGTAGCGTCGTCTTCGCTGTCAGAATCGTGCTCGTTCTCCCCCTCCTTATGCTTACGAGAGTGACCATGATGCCGCTGCGCCTTCCCGACTAACGACACAATCTCTTTCGCGCCTTTTGACTCCGGCTGCCGCGCGACAGCCTTCTCATCGTGCGCTTCACCAGGTTTGACAGGCTCGCGGACCGGGTGCACGTCGTGCAGATTTTCGTGCACGCCACCCCAATGCCTGCCCATATTATGGCCCCAGTTCTTCCATCTGCCGAGGACTTTGAGGGACATGAAGTATTGTCGCAGAATCATCGAGATAAGCAGTCCGCTCTCCTCGCTCACGACTGACTTCGCAGGCCCACCGTTTTCTTCTAGCATGAGTGAGGTGAAGCCGTCTTTGCCGCGGACCATGTACTCTCGGGTAACGAGTGTGTACTCGCGCTCGGGATCTACTGGAGAGCCTGCGATGAAGACGTCGGAGCATCGAGAACCCTCTGGCCCTTTCGCGTCGAAGGTGAATTTGATTCCGCTGACTTGCGAGAAACGGCCTTCCTGCGCTGGATATGTTGATACGGCATTTTCCAGTGCCTCGACGACATGCTTGCCTTTCAAGCTGATGACAACACAAGGATCTTCGAACGGAAAGCAGTTCATCAGATCCTTCACCCGCAGTACGCCAGGCGGGTATATTTGATCTCCACGTATCGTACCCGAAGCCATGATGGTGCAGTCGGCGTGGTAGTGAAAACGCATCAGGTCGCAGACGAAATTGCCCATATTGCTCTCCTTCAATCTGACAGTAGTGAAACGAGCATCGAGCGGCGCGGCGGTGTATCCGATGGGCTTGTCCAGCTTCGCTTTGAGCGTGGAAGTCAGCTTCTCAGCCATGGCAGCAGCATCGGCGTCTTCCGGAATGCTGGAGACGACGTCTCGACGGATTATGTTAAAGTCCCAGCCTCTGCTATCGCCTCCTTTCCGGCGTGCTTCGATGTAGGAGAGCTGCTTGAAGTCGGTACCAGAACGCAAGACATGGGTGTCGTTGATGATGGAGTGGCCGTAGAAATGGTCGTGGCCTCCTAATACCATATCGACTGTCCCCGGCGCCAGCTTCTCCGCTAGCTTGTTGTCGTTCGGTTCTCGTTGATGAGACAGCACTACGACCATCTCAGCTCCCTCAGTACGAAGCTTGGGCGCAAGGTCAGCTGCTGTAGCGGAGGCGGAGAGGTACTTGAGGTTCGGAGGAAGCGTGTTGATAGTGTCCAGCCATTCTCGCTCAACAAGCCCAATGAAGCCGACTTTGATCCCATTGGAGGATGTGAGCATGAGCGTGCGCTTGCAATTCCCGAGCGGTACATCCTCGCCCAGCGCCGGATCCAGTACATTCGCACATAACCAGGGAAACTCACACAGCGAAGCCAGATATTGGAACTGCTCGACTCCGAAATCGAGGTCATGGTTGCCCAAGCAAGCCACAGTGGTTTCTAGAGCGTTCAATGCCGGGACCATATGCTTGCCCTTAGTCACAGAGCTTTCCAGGCTGGGGTTGAAGGCGTCTCCGCTGAACAGTGTCATCACATCCGGTAGGCCTTTGAAGGGGGCGCCGTGCTGGTAGTACTGGCATATCGTCCTGAAACGAGGGATGCCACCAACTGGATTCTGGGAGCCAGCTTCGACGTGATAGACATCGTTGTAGTGAATGAAGCGGAGGTCTGGTGCGCCATTGTTGTTTCTGGAGTCATGTGTCGTCGTCTCTGCTCAGACAACATCAATGGAGGCCACTGGATCGTGGAAGGGATGCATACTTACCGCCTTCTGTCGTCAGCTCGTCAACTGCCATCGCCACAAGTCCTGCTTCCTCCCGAGTTCAAGAGTAGGTCGAGTGCAACGCCGAGATGCTCCCAGAACACCTCAAACACCTCCACAAGATGCAAAGCACGAGAGAATGGGGATGTAAGCTGCACGCCGCGCTTACGCGGATGATTAAGTCGAGAGGTGCAGTTGGTTTCACAAGGTCATTTGCCGCCAAGAGGTCTGGAACGCTTTGGTGAGGCAGTGCAGAAACAACCAGGTGGCAAGCATGAGGTTTGGTGGGGTTGCATCGGATAGAATATATAATGTTCAGAGTGTGTGCGAGTATTATATGATCTATGCGTATCATCTCCGTTCATTAGAAGCCGTCAGACGTGTCCTTCAAACGAAGTCGCTTCTCGATTGAAACCAGCTCCAAGCTTTTGAACCTAACGCCATTCCCACAACCCCTCTCCCCTCTCAAGACCCTCCCATAGGCCCAAACGTGTCGTCCATAGGCATATCGAACACCCCATCAAAGTCCATATCCATATCAAAGTTGAAGTCAGGCATGGCAGTCGTATCAGGCCCCGTCATGGCCGGAAACTCCATCCCCGTCATCGCCGGCTGCTGTTGACCCCCCGAGGTCTCAGCTATCAGGCGGTCGATATCCCGATTAATCGCCGCTTCCTCCGCTTCCGTCGTCGGCATCGCCCAGTCGAAGTCATTGTTGATCGGGATAAGCGCAGTTTCGGGATCAGCACTGAACGGCAAATGCTGCCCGATCTCACCGCCCAAGAACTCCATCATAGCACCCGTCGAGGTGGTGTTGGGCGTATTGGCCAGCTCGGCAGTCGAGATGGTCGGTGGCATGAGACCACTGTGCTCCCACGGCCCTGTGGTGGTGGCGAAGCGCTGCGCGCGCTCTTTAGGCAGTTCGTAGCGGTGGCGCGGGTGGTAGTCGTCACGTTGCGAATCTGTTACTGCTGGCGGACACTCGCCCTCTGCGCAGACATGAGATAGGGCATTCAGGCCACGAGCGAGGTTCTTCGCACGTTGCTGCGAGACGTCGTCGTCGACCCTCGAAGGCCAAACCAGTGCGGCAACCTTGCGTGCTTCTGATGGTGGGAGCTGGTATGTGCACCAACGCCATGTATTCTTGTTCGCGCCGTCGCAGGGAGCAGTGTGGGAATCGAAGATGTTGTCTTCGCACTCAATGTGTGTGCACTTTCCAGTCTTGGGGTCGTGGAGCACACCCTCCTTGGAGAGGATGGCCCAGACATCCCGCTCCCTCTTCGTCTCTTCCCGATGTCGAGCGGCGGCGGCGTTGTATGTCTTCAACTGCACTTGGAAAGGAATGCGTAGACCAAGATCCTGGTACGTCTCCAGATCTTCAGGGACGTTCTGCCCTGGCGCCCCCACTTTGCCAGGGATGAAGTCCAGTCCATGCGCTTTCTTGAACAAGTCAAGCCACTCAGGATTGTCGGCCGCTGTCTGATTCCAGGTATCGTTGGATTCGTAGAGGATGTACCTCGCCCGGACTTGTAGCATCTCATCTGTGAGGACGATGCCCTTCTCTGCCATCTCGTTTGCGTACTGACCGAGCCGCACAGTCAAGATCTCCCAGCAAGTACTCTTCGCAGGTAGACCGGTGATCTTCTCCTGTTTCTGAGACGGTCCAATTTCTTCATAATAGAGATTACCAAAGTCCAGTGCATACTGACCGTCCTCAAGGCGTGGCAGATCTTCTCTCCACGTGCCACGATCCGTGGCGCTGAAGGGGTTGGGGGAGGTAGATTCTACGCCAATCAGATATGGCGGCATCGCATTCGTGACTTGTGCCGCCACAGCAGGATCGAGCCCTCTGCAGCCCTTCCATTCACCCATGCGTGCGCCAGCTTTAAAATGTGCCGTCAGATGGTCCACTCGCTCATTCCAGTTCGTGAATCTCTTGCCGCAGAAACCACAGCGGCTGTTGATGTTGACTGCTGTTGACTTCCAGTTATCCATGCATGGTATCATCGCACAGCTGTGCATGAGTCGAAGATGTTGTCGCAGGTGGTCTTTCCGGTAGAAAGTCCGGGCATCAAGACCTTTCTCTTCGCATTGGCGGTGGTTGTGGGTCTCGACGTGTTCGTCGCTCGGATCTTGTTCTTCGCAGTAAACGCAGGTCTTCACTCCAGTAGTGGGATCGGCAATAACTGGTCTGTGGGCACCGTCAATACAAGGCAAGTCGCTGGACAACAACAGAACTTACCCAAGCGGCGCACATATCCACTTCTCCAACGAAAGGTGCAAAGACTTCTCGTGGCGGGTCCAGTCGTACTTCGACTTGAACGTGTCCGTACAGAAGGTGCATTGGAAGATGCGCTTCTTCTCTTCTGCTGGGTTCCGCAAAGTACTCTGTGCTGGTCGCCGCCGCCTACGACGGTCTTTCTTGCCAGCAAGCCCTGAGCTGAAGGAACCAAAGGACCCACGTGATTGTGAAGACTGTTGCGACCATGCTGCACTCGTTGAGGCAGACTTTGAAGATGTCTGACCGGTCTCGAAAGAAGTTGTGGAGGGTGCACGACTGTTCGAGAAGCCAGAGCCAGCGCTCGAACGCTTATGGCGTCTTCCTGCGCTAGATGGCGATGTTGACACCTGGTCGACTGGAAGGTCACCTGTTGAGCGGTCAGAAACGAGATCAGTTGTTCACGGGACTAAGCAGCTTACTGTTCGCCACGGCATTGGCAATATCTGTGATGGAAGCAGGGTCATGCTCAGGTGGGCTGTTCTTCCATCTTTCGAGCGGATTGAGCTCATCCCATGGCTTGTCTTGAGCTGGTATGTCAATAGCTGGCGTGGTAGGCTTCAGGCTCGGAGACGACATCGGCTTGCGAGCTTTCTCTGTCACTTTCCGCCTCCGCCGGGCATTCGCAAGCCAGTTGGCAATTTGCGAAGAACTCAGCTCAGTCCTTTTCTCAAGCTCGGCCTTCTCCTTCTCTGTAGGATAAGGATTGTCCTGATGTGCGTCCAGCCAGTCCCGCAAGACCTTCACAGCGTGGCGCGGAAAGCGGATACCGTTCCTTTTGGAGCTGCCAGGAGCATCGTCGGAACGTACTGATGGCAGTGAGGTGAAGCCAGTCTTAGATTTGAGTGGCTTGATGCCAGTCAGGGTGCCTTGCTCCTTTGCAATGTCCTCGTCGACAACATGTAAGGTGTCAAGAAGGTGGCCAGTGGCAGCGTTCATGCCCTCCAGAGTCCTGGTATTGGTGAGGCTGCATTCGCGAAACAAAGAGTGACATGGGGTACAGCATGTCTCGCCACGGGTGATGTAACAGTTGAGGCGTCTCGGTCCGCAGTAATCACATGGCTTCGTTGGTCGAATGAACTGGGGGATCCACTGCCGTAGGAGTCAGTAGCCGCCAGTGACGCTGTTCCTGAAAAGCAGACTTACGTTCTCGAACTTGGCATAATCGGGCTCTTCGAGGCTGACATACTGGTCATTGGCAGGTCCAGGAAGGTTCCAGTTGCCGAGCTGGTCGTCAGGAGAATAGCTGGGATCAGGATCAACATCTGCGCCTATGGCTCGCTCAAGGATCGCGTACTCAACACTGCTGGGCTCTGCCGTCGACGAGAGTCCGCTTAGAAGATCACCAGAAGCAGTGAAAGCATTGTCAGGAAGCTCAAGCAGCTCGCTGAAGTCGGCTAGGGGCGGGATGAAGGCCTCGTACTCCTCGTTGATGGTAGGCATGGCTTAGGGCGTCGTGGAGTCACCCCACCGTCGCTGCCACTTGTAGATGGGCGTGAAGATGAGACGAAGAAGAAGTGGAAGGGCGTGAGAGTGGGATGTAGAGGACGAGATTGCTCTAGCACTTACATTCTCCTGGACGAGGTTGAGGCCTGGATGGAGTCACCTCAGCTGTTCTCACCGTGCGAGTACTAGCGTCTCACGCCCTACAAATGTACATGCTTCCGTAATCGGACCAATGTCAGCGAGCAGAGTCGGCTCGTCCTCGGGATCGTGGGGCATCTGATGAATGGCATGGTATTTGGAAGAGAACTTGCTGAGACTCATATGAATATTGCTGATCACGCACAGTAGTGCAGCTTGTAGGAAGTTGAGTGTTGTTGTGTCGTGGTCAGAGAAGTTGCGACTTCGGACGGATTCTCCAAGTCACGTGTCAACATTCACTCATGCTAACGCCTTTTGACCTTTCGAGGAAAGAGCAAGCGAGCAAACACCTTCGACGCCGCTCCGCTCCTCATCGCGACACAGTCTTGGCCTTCTTCTCTACACCGTGGACGAAGACACCCACCGAATGATTTCAAGACGTTTCAGGGCTCCTGACCGGGCCAGTCAATAGCATGGGCTTCGTTAACCCGCCAGGCAGCGTCATGAACGACCCTCGGTCTCACCACCATCTCTGTCTGCACGAGGTTTCACTCCCCGTCTTGCAGGAACACGGCTCTACGAAGCAGCGTCGAAGGCTTTGACAGGTCGGTCGTACCCGCGGAGAGTGCCACCGCCCTAGGATATGTCACTACTACAACGTGCTACATCAACCTCACCTCTCCAACACCACCCATGACGAAGCACCCGAGATTCCCTCGAACACAAGTTGTATCCAGCAGAGGCGGTCTGATGTACCCGCAGCGCTGCAGCACTCGGTCGAGATTGCGGTCTGCAGGCCTCCCAGGTCCAGCGCTCGAGGCAAGACTAGTTCTAGCGCCCAGGATTCTCTTTGTTCTTCGAAATGAAAGCAACGAACTTGTGAGGAACGCATATGGGCGGTGACAACCACCCGTGCGACCCCTGTACGGTTATGCATTCAACATCTGTATTGGATGTTCGAAACATCAATGGCTGCACTGCCATCAGTCAAGCTGGCTGTAACCAGAGCGACTTTGCCGCAGTTTCGTCGAGTCCTCTCGCGGTGACAGCCGGACATTTCAAATCTTTACCCGTGGGAGCCATACGCTGTAACTAGAGTTCGGCTCACGGGAGGCTGCAAGTCATGGCTCGGTTATCGGGAGGCCGCATTGAACGCTGCGAACATCCGATGAACGTCCTCGGCGTGGCTTAGGAAGCGAAGAACCTGGCAAACTCGTGAGCTTGAGCAGTCTTGTCTGGCACGATACCAACTCTGAGATATTCTCGTGCTCTGACAGCGACAGCAACGGTGCTATTTTTGCCAACAGGCCAAATTCCAAATACGGGTCAAATCACTGCCACAGTCCTCGGTTTGCTTAACTTCGTCTTCAAACCTGGAGTAGCGTGGGACAGAAAGTGTATGTGGCTTTGGTTATCCGACAGCCTGGTTCGCAACCCGGCCACGTTACTCACCCCATCTTGGATCAAATCGTGCCGCATCGAACGTCAGGAACCACTTTGGGCGAATGGTTTTGCAGGAGAAATTTTGCACGTCTTCTCACTGGACCGCTGAGCGCCATTCCAAAATGCAACGGATCCATGCATACCATCGGACGACCTGCCTTCTAAGTGCCCACCGTTTACCTTTCCATCATCATTCGGATGCTGTTTGATCAGAGGTCGGACCACGCTCCCGAGTTGCCGTGCAGACAACGAACTTCATCTCTCATTGTCCTGTGTCCTGCTTGCTGTAGCATATGGGAGATCCCAACCACCGTGCCTGGGCCACGAACAAACGACACAGCCTAGTCGCTACAGTGATGCGAGGCGCGCTCCCGCATCAGTACTTTGTCTTACACCGCGAACTTCTCACCCACATCCCCGGAACAGCGCTTGAGCAAAGCGGTTCATGGACAGCCAAACCAGTTCCTCCGCGTCCCGACGTTCAGGTAAGTAGCGTGCTTCTTGTCTGCTCCAGCCTCGCATTCATGTTCGTTGATGCGTTAGCGAGACATTGCAGGCTGCGTCTTTGTCACCGCTGTGCCTGCATCGGCTTTGCGCTGCTTGTCGAAGGAAAGCACATCCAATGTCTCGTTGAGCTACAGGCTTGGTGCATGACGGCAGCCCTGGCTGCAGTATAAGGCCCCGGTCTCGTCTTGGACTTGTGTTCACCGCTCGTCGATTCGATCAAGCCTTTGCTGTCAGCCAGCTCCTCCCCTTTCGCAGTCTCTGTTGCAATGTCTTCTCATTGTCGACACTCATCGGAGCCTTCTTTCTCCCTACGAGCAGACAGCGTCACGCCTTCGGAGTACAAGCCAGCGACGTCTTCCAGCATGATGAAGATACAGTCGTTGCTCAACCCAACAGCGATGGCCCATACCTCCACCAACGACGCCAGTCCCAGTCCACCCCTCACTCCTGCCTACACCACGACAGAGTCGAAAGCATTCCCCACGCCTCAATCAGTCACCACAGCAGCATCCTCCGCTGCCAAGGCACAGGAACATGCCACTACCAGCACATTGCCCATCAGCAACACCGGCACAGCCTCGGTCAACTACCCGGCTTTCGAGATCCACGAACGACCAATCTGCCTCTCCCGAGCCGACCAAGACGAGCTCTACCGCAAGCACAAGCTGTTCAAAATGAAGACCGCTACCAAGGACGGATCTGGCTGTATCAGCGATGTGACCAAGCACATTCCATACTCGAGCGACAAGAAGGGCTTTGGGGAGAAGACGGGGAGAGATGGGTTCAATGGTAAGCTGCTTCGCATTTCCTTCTTGTACAGTGCTGACAGTGGAGGCAGTATTCGAATACAGCTTCCAACTTCCTGACGAAGGTGATGGCAAGCCGTACACTGTCATGTGGGATTACGAGAACGGACTTGTACGCATCACGCCGTTTTTCAAAGCGTGCAAGTACTCCAAGGTAAGCCAGCACTCAAGTCAAACTTCTTCTCCTTCATCAGCGTTGCCTGACTGACTTCCCTTCCTCAGACCACTCCAGCCAAAGCCCTCTCCACCAACGCCGGCGTCAAAGAGCTCTCCCACTCCATCACCGGCGGCGCCCTCACAGCCCAAGGCTACTGGCTCCCCTACCAATGCGCCCGCGCCATCTGCCTCACCTTCTGCTGGCACATCCGCTGGCCACTCGTGCACATCTTCGGCCCCAGCTTCATCCGCGAGTGTCTACCCCCAAGCGACCCCAACTTCGGCAAATTCAAAATCTCCCAGGAAATCGTCCGCTGCGCTACGCTGGAGGTCGAAGCCTGGAAACCATCTCCCACCTCAACTCGCAACAACACCGCCACAGCAGCCCCACGCAGCACACCCGCTCCCAAAGCCCTCCGCCCCCGCTCCCTCAAACCGCCTTTCAAACCCGGCTCTCCCTTCGACTCTTCCTCCTCACAAACCTCCTCCTACCGTCTCACCACCCCCCTCGCCGACTCCCCCGGCATCTCGCCCAAGTCCGCCTTCCGTGAGCACGCCATCACCAGCTCCGGCTGGACGAGCGTGAATCGCCCGTACGCCTCCTCTTCCCTGCCTGAGCCGCCGCATAATACGCCCGTGGCATCGTTGGCGGATGCGCTGTTGGCACAGCCGCGGTATGCTTCGTGGAGGCCTGCTGAGGGCGTTGCGGGTGCAGCATACAACGCCGCGCACAATACGCAGCACTCCAACAAGCGACGCCGCTCGCACTCGACCCACAGAAGTAAAGGCAAAGGCAAAGCCGACACGCACACAACGTACCCGTCGGACGACCACACGACTTCCGATGCCGACATCTCCCAAAGCGAAAGCGAGAGCGACGACATAGATATATCCCCTCCTCCGCCCTCCAAGAAACGCGCACGGTACCAGCTCGGCCGTTCAGAAACTGAGGCTTCGTCTGCGCCGCCGGAGATGGGAAGGGCGCCGCCTGAGATGGAGAGGAAGAAGGGGGGCAAGTCGAAGCGATTCACAGCGGAGGACGCGAGGGCGGCGCAGTGGTTGCTGAATCTGCATTATCAGGATGCTGGGTTGGCGAGGGGGCCGGATGGGGTAGTGAGGACGAATGAGGGGGTGGTAGAGAAGGGAGGGAGGTGTGAATGATTGGGCATGCATGGTGGGGGGCGATGGTATTACTGGTCGGTGGAGTTGGTGGTGATGCGTCTTGTTCAGGCTTTGGGAGAGAAGGATGAATGGGTGGTGCGGGAGTTGGGGTTGGCTTCGTAGAGTGCATATGCAGCCTCCGTAACATCCAGATCATGAGTCCGAGTCTTCTCATCTCCTCTTGCTCGTCTCTAACTACTCCGTCCCCTCCCACTCATCAGCACTGGCTCACTTCATCGTAACGATACTCCCCCCATACTTCTTCGCAAAAGCCTGCTTAAACTTCTCTCCCTCCCAAATCCCCATCACACTCTCCTTCCCCATTACCGCCTGACTCCACTTCCCAAAATTCGGCAACCCATCCAACTTCTCCCCCAACGACTTCGGAATATACACATCATCAGCAAACGCATACATCCTCACCAAAAAGGGCGCCACGATCGCTTCTGCCAAGGTTAACTCCTTGCTCCCGCCAAAAAACGGACCAGCATCAGCGAGTAAGGGCTCGATTTCTTTTTCGATAGCCGCGACCCAGTCGTCCACAACCCCCTGCTTCTCAGAAGCCGGCGCTTTCATCGCGCTCATCTGGAAGCTCGAGAGTTTAGCGTTCCAGGTGTCGGTGAAGAAACCTATCCGCGCCCTCCTCAACGGCGCCAGGGGGTCTTCGTGGGAAGACGGCAGGAGAGGCGAGGGAAAAGCGTCGGCGAGGAATTGCGCGACGATGGCGGATTCGGTGATGATGGCGGGGGAGTCCATGAGGCCTGGGATTTGGTATTTGATGCTTGGGACTAGACCTTGAAGAGCACGCTTTACGGTTAGCTTTGTTTTCAATGAGATGAAAGGGATGGATGGGGGACTTGCCTCGTGGATTGATGTCGAGGTACCATTGTGGGCGGGGGGTGTCGAGGTCGATGATCACTTCTTCGAACGGGAGATCCAGCTCCGCCAGAACGATGTGGGCACGATGTGCGAACGGGCAGCGGTGGTTGGTGTACAGCGTGATTTTCGGGGGGACGGTGCCGTTGGAGGTGCCGGTGGCGTGGGTGGAGGTGAGGGTGCCGTTTGTGGTGGCGGCGCGGGCGGTGGTGGCCATGATGGTTGGATGTTCGATGTTGTTGCGCTCGGGGTTTGGATGATCGGTTGACTGGGCTTGGGCTTGTTCTTTATGGTTGGTGTTGCGTTGAAGTCGTGAGATGGAGCATTGATAATTCGAAACGCAATGACCTCACGCAGCTTGTGGAGCTCTGTCAAGCCTTCCTTCCGCATCGGGGAGCTGTGGTTCGCTCTTTCCACTGTCTTGTCATGTGTTCGGAGCTTGAGTCTGTCCGATGGACGGTTTCATCGCTCACACTGGATATCGATCAGATGGTCAGTATGGAGGATGATTCTTGGTTATTGGTTTCGACTATCGTTCACAGCTCTATGTAAATGTACATTATCCAAGCCATGATCATGGTAACGTCCCCTTGCATTTCTCATGCCTTCCATTCTTCGGGTCTCAGGCCATCACACTCTATCGCGACCTCATCTCTCGATCTCAAACCTCATCTCATGTGATACTTGAGCATCATTTCGGTCTTCGCCATCGAGAACGAGGTCGTGGCATCCTGCATGCTCGTCTCTCTCGAAGATCATTGCGAACGGCGCCGAGACTTCTCCATCGCCCATGAGGAGCCATTGATGCCCTCTCGGCTGTTTCCTGGAGTGCACCAGTGTGCTCAGACAACCAAACTCTGCCTTCTTCGCAGTCCCTCAGCTCGCAAGCCAGGTATCAGTGGTCTCAACCACCATCTCTCACTTCCTATCCCATCATCCACTCTACCATATTCCTCACTCATCCCCGGGACAAGTACTCTTAGCATTCGTCCACCCCGTCAACCGATTCGCAATATCGCTCACATAACACGCCGTCGCCCCGGCCGCCTCGCTCAAATCACCACTCTTAGGAATATATCCGCTATTGTACCCGCGCGCCGCTTTATACGGCGAACTGTAGAGATCCAGATTCTGCACCAGCCCATCACCATGCTCGGTTCCCTGCGTGCCGTCTTGCACCATTTGCAAAATAGACAAGCGAGGACTGGAAGAGTCGAAATTCTGGCCTTTGTGCGACTGCATTATCCCGGGGTTTGTGACGCCGCCAGAGGACGTGGTGTGCCCGACGCGCACGCAGCCGGCGGACTCTTGCATGATGGTTGCCAGGATGAAGCGGTGGTCGACGAGCGAGGCGTTGGCGCGGGACTGGATGGCTTCGTAGATGTATTGGTTGTCTTCGTCGGTGTTGTCGGAGCCGATGTCGAGGGCGGAGCAGGAGGTCTGCATGTTGGGGAGGTTGGCGGTCCACATGTCCTCGAAGCTCACCCATTTGCTGGCGTCGGGGAAGTTTGATTCGTCGCCTTGGTAGTAGGTGTATGTGTCCGCGCCGGGGCCGACGCCGTCTTGGGTGTTGTTGACGCTGTTGCGGGTGGCGCCGCCGAGGTTGAAGGCTTCGGCGTTGGTGACTTGGTCGTAGCGGGGGGTGTATTTGAAGTCGGAGCCTGAGGTCAAAGCAACGGCAACGGCGATGATGATGATGAGGAGGATCAAGCCGCCGGCAGCAGAGCCGAAGATTATCCACTTGCGCTTGCGGCTCCAGTTTGTCCAGGGCCAAGTGCGGGCGGGTTTCGCTGGGCGTGCCGAGCGTGTTTTGAGGGCTTCGAAGTCTTCATATTCAGGTTGGTAGGATGTTGGTCGGCCGCGCTCGTATTCGGGTTGGTATGAGGTTGCGCGGCTGTGGGAGAAGGTGGGTCTTGTGGGCGCTGGACCTCTTGTCGGGCTGTTCTCGTGCGATGATGGTAGTTGCTCGCTGTATCGATTCAGGGGGTTGTTGTAGTCGGCTTGGTAGTGCGGGTAAGGTTCGAGCGGCATGGCGTCGGGGTGGTCTCGCGAAGAGTCTGTAGGATCGTATGGCTCTGGGACGGCGTCGGCGTCGATGTTGGAGGACCAGGTGGAGGGGTCGTCGTCGAGCTTGGAGTACTGCTGGCTGTAATATCTGCCCCGTCCCGACATTTTGGCGGAAGGCGGGAGTGGTGGCGGGATCGAAGGCGGGGAAGGGCGTGGCGTGGCGAGGCAAGCAGGTGGCTGGATGTCTATCCTCTTTGATTTTGGGGGTTGTTTCTGATGTAGCGACTGAATGTGAAGAAATAGATAGGTGAAGAAGAAACAGGAGCAGGAGATGATGACTTAGGTATTCACCTGCATGCAGCTCCTCGGCGTTTGGGAGTGTTGAACGATCTGTGTCCCACCAAGCCCTGCCCTGCCTGTGCCTGCCGCCCTGCCGCCCTGCCGCGCCAAACGGCCAGGACGTTAGCGTGAGTCGTCATCCACCAACCACATGGACCTTTTCTGCCGCCCCGACTGCCTGTTCTCGCTCTGTTCTAGACATAACCTGCTGCTAAATGCAGTACTGGCATCGACAAACTTGATCATGTGCATGTACGAGATATTCGATAGATCACAACGCAGGGCAAAATGCACCCCTGGCGCTTCCAGAAGTCGCTAAGATCTGGCAAGGCGAATCTCGGCGGCGAATATCTAAAAATAGTCTTCCATCTTCACGAAAGCACACGACGCCTTCCCAACGTCTCGACCACACCATCTCGAATACTGACCAGGCGTCGCCACCTCGATGAGTGTGAAGTATCATAGCACTGTGCTCCAGATGGCAATAAGGCGGAAGCGGCGACGATAGCCACCTGGGAAAGATGATGTTCTCGCTGTAACCGCCGCTACGGCAAGACTGCCCGCCATCTCCGCCAACCCCCAGCACGACATTGGGAGCTTGAACAAGTGTGAAACCCCCATACCCCAGAAGTCTTGACAGCCTCACTGCGATTCTGTCTCACCTTTGGGAGTCCGGCACCCCAGCCACCCCCTCCTCTCCGGTCACGCCTGCGCAGAGGTGACGGCCCCAAAGTGATCTCCGCCCACCACCTCCACTTCCAGCCTCAACTTCATAGTCAGCCATTCTGTGCACCAGGTCTGAATGCCGATCAAGTGTCTCGATGGCAACGAGGTAGGTACCGAAGCTGTGGCCTACCACTACTCTTGCGTCCGAAGGCGAGGCGTGCCCGAGCAGTGCGGCTACGTCGTCGGCGTTTGTCTCTACGCCGTGGGCGTAGTCTTGGACACCAGCGAGGTGGGAGCGGGCGAGGCACTGAGCTGTTTGGAAGTTCGGGCCAGAGGTAGGTAGGTACGTTGGGGAGCGAGAGCAGTATGGCCTACATCCGTGCATGGCGGGATTCTAGGCGCCTGGACGACGGTGTGCGGACATCAACGCTCTCGCTTGCGCCTGGGATCTAGAGCAAGATGGGACCAGCGCTGATGATGTCGTGGTAGAGGCTGGCGCCTGAGATTTCGAGGTAAGGCGTTTTTGGTTCGCTTTTGCTGGTCTCTCGATTTCTCCTGAGACCGAGAAGAGTAGCCGGGTGAGAACGAATTTGCTGAAACCCTGCGAGCCGATGCGAAGCTCATGTGTTGTTTGTTCTTCGAAGCTTGTCCCATCGCCTTACGCTTTCTCCAGCAACGTGCGGTAGCATGCCTGCTTAACACCGGGACCCCCGTTGGTCGCCGCGAGATGCATTAACGGAGACAGCCTCATCAACCCTCTTCTCTGCGAACTCCCTCATCCACCGCCCAGAACTGCCGATACAGTCCCACCACCGGCCCCTGCAAAGGCTCCCCTGCATAAACCCCCGACATCATATCCAACCTCTCCATGTCCGTCTCCCCCACAATCCCGCGGTACAGGTTATTCACCCTCTCCAGAAGCCGCTGCCGCACATCAATCGTCTCACAGACCTTGACGCCGAAATCCGATATACTCCCCCACACCGGCACCGCAGCGTGCAGCAGGCGAATGCGGTGGAAGAGCGAGCAGCCCGCTTGCCAGGACATGAGGATGTTGGTCGCGGCGCGCCGGCCTTCGGCGAGCATGGACGCCCTCGCAGAGGGGATGTCGAGCAGCCAGCACGCGCGAAGGACGAGGATGCGAGCGTGCCAGTAGTTGAAGCCGGCGTCGAAGTCGACGAGGGTGGGGAAGACGAAGGAAAAGGGCGTCAGGCCGGTGGCGTCGGCGTTGCTCGGGCGGACGGAGACGCGGTGGAGCAGTGTGGTTTCCGAGGCGTCGTCTTTGAGGGAGAGGAGGGACTGGGCTCGTTGGTGGAGTCGTTGGAGCTCCGTGTCTGACATGAGGCCGGCTTTGGCTGCGCGGACGTCGGCGATGAGGCGGGGGGTGTGTAGCATGAGCTCGAACGCTAGGCGACGGAGGCGTGTTGCGGCGGAGACGTTGGCTTCTTTTGCTATGGTTCGTGGGTCGGGATTTGCCAGGCGCTCGAACGCGGAGGGTTTGCCGGTGGCTATGGGTGCTTCGAGCAGGAGCATGTAGTGGCCAGACACGAGCCTGTAATCCAGCTCGTGAGTCTTGAAAGAGTTCAGACGGGACAGCAGCATCTTCTGCATCGCGGACAAGTGCATGAGCGTCTGCTGCATCGTCTGCGTCCGCGCACCGGGTCCGGATCTCTGCCCCATGGTGCGCTCAAAGTGGCCGAGCAGAGCGCAGGATAAGAGCGCCTCGTCTGAGAGCCGGCCGGTTGGGCTTGAGGTGAGGTTTCGCTGGCTCTCGATCGCGCGGACGTAGTCGCGCAGGCATACGGCTAGAGAGGCGTCGCGGCTGTTCAGCAAGAAGCGGTTAGCGCTGATGAAGGCGCGCGTGGCGGCATCCAGAGTGGGCGAGTGTCCGATGTGGGATGGTAGGGTCGAGAACCAGGACTCGGTTAGGCTGAGACTCTCCAAGTGGTCAATTGCTGCCGCGCAGAGCAGGTCTTGCGAGGATACTGGCGGGTGGTAGAGGACGGGAGGATGTGGTGTTGGCGCAGCATGTTGTCTGGCTCGAAGGGGAGAACGAATCTTTCGGGAAGGCCTTCGAGGTCGCTTGGTATGTCTCATGGTGCGAGGTGGATTGCAAGCATTGTCCGCTGGAGTAAGTCGAAAGTCGGTGGCATGGCTGTCAGATTTCCAAGTGCAAGATTGCTTTCAGCTCAGAGGTGTTGCTGTAAGCGAGAAGACGTCTGCATCTTTTATCGCAGGCATCACACCGCATAGTACCTCCCACTTGCCTAAATTGAGCTCGGCATAGGAAGTATAGTAATATTCGAGCGTCGAGGCAAGAAGAGATGAAGCTGGCGGTGGAGATTCCGCGCTTGCAGCTTCTGGCGCGGATGAGGTGAGATCAGGTTGTTGAGTCAGCCCAGAGCTGCGTACAAAATATGGACCACTCCCGCTCGCTCCCTTTCGCTAACTGATCTCCAGCCGTGGACAGTAGTCTCGTGCGAAACGATAGCGAGGTAAGAAAGGTAAGTCTCGCTTTCACGAGGTAAATTGGGTACTTAAGGTCGCTTGCTGCTCTCCTCCCTACGAACGTATCTCTTCCCCAATTCGCAATCAACCATTCGCAAAAGCAATCGAAGAGATGGCATCTCAGCGTACGTGCCAGCCCCGTGTGAATACTGTGATCGCGTGTCGACAGACTCACCTCCCCCCAGCATCCACCACCCACCCCTGCGAGACCTGGGCATCCGCCTGGTCCCAAACCTCCCCCTCCGTCTGGACAAGCATCTACACCCCAACAGCAACCTACACCGACTACGCCTTCGGCTTCATCCGTCGCGGCCACGGCGGGCTAAAGCAGCACTTCGACCTCTGGCGAACCGCACACCCGGACTTCCAGATCATCGTCCTAGAAACATGGCCGGCCATTGATCTCGGCAACGGAAGAACGAAGCATAGTATTAGGACCAAAAACGTTGGGACTTTCACGAACGATCTCCCGTCCATGAAGGCTTCGGGGAGGAAGTTTGAGTTTTACGCTGCGGTTGATCTTGTGATGAGGGAGGAGGATGGGCTGATTGAGGAGGTGGAGGAGTGGTATCATCGCCAATTTGACTCGGAGGCGTTGGTGGAGCGGGATCTGGATGGCAGTAGGTAGTTCCTGTAGGCTCGTCTGAAACCATGAGTCTCAACCCGTGTCTTTTGCATATTGGTGACTTTGACGAGCGTTCTGTCTCAGGCCACTCTGGAATCGCCTTCTTACCGCATGTAGACATCCACGATCGCTCAGGCTCAACGCGTGTGTTGCGTTATAAAATGGTATTAAAACCAGATGGAGCTTCGGCTGGAGACTTGCGAAACAAGCTTTGGGCGCCACTGTCACATGAAAGGAACTTTGCCCGCACACTGTCACATGGGAATGTAGCCACATGGGAAGACATGAAGTTGGAAACGTTTGGATGGTGCACCAAGAAGAAACATAGGCGACGCGTTACAGATAGAGAGGTCTTAATTCAAACACAGTGAATGTAGAACATGTGAAAATGCGGCTTGGACCAGCGTGACGTAGCGGCAAAACAAGGATTTTGTTCCTTGTTTCGCCAACAAACTTGCACCACCTTCTTCTCTCCCCTTATCACCACATTTTGGGAAATCTCGCACACGACCAACATCTTCACCGCACTGTCGACCCTACACAGAGACCCATAAGTCCCTATCACCACCGCCGCAATGGACGAGCCAAACGTCACGCCCGCCCAATCCCAATATCCCAACCTCAACCCCTATGAGGGCAGCAACGGCAACACAAACACCAGCACCAACGGCTCCGCCATGGGCTCGATGGAGAACGCGAAGAACAGCGCGATGAACAGTAAGGTACGTCTACACCTCTTTGGCGGTTGCTACGTGGACGGGCGCCGCAGGGGAGCGACAGCTGGCAGAGACATGCAATCACCTGCTCCTGCTACGTGTGAAGACCTGAATGCAGATGCCTAACACACCTCCCTCTCTTCTACTTCTTGCTCTTTGCTCCCCACTGCCACGTGCTGACATTCTCTTCCGCAGTCATACCCATCATCCTCACCTCCACCAAGCCATCCTAACATCCACCCCTCCACAGCGGCACAGCAAGGCATGGACAGCGTCAAGAACTCCCAGACCTACCAGTCCCTCTCCTCCGGCCCGATGGCCGACAAAGCCCGCACCGAAGCCGACAAGACCAGCAACGAGTTCTCCAACCTCGCCTCGGCCCGCCAGACGCCCAACACCCAGACAGTGACGGGCCAGAACTTGACACACTACCACTCCCTCTTCTACAACCTGCTCTCGTGGGAGAATCCGCGTGCCACCGGCATCTCCTACGCCGCCATCGTCCTCTTCATCTTTGCTACCCGCTACGTCCCGCTCGTCCGCTATGGATTGAAGCTCTCCTACATGATTCTTGGCGTGATGGCGGCGGCGGAGTTGGCTGGCAAGATGATCTTTAGTGAAGGCTTCGCTACCAAGATGCGGCCGAGACGGTACTACACGGTTCCACGCGAGACGCTGGAAAGCGTGATGGAGGATCTCGTCGAGCTGGCCAACTTCTTCGTTATCGAGTTCCAGAGGATTGTCTTTGCCGAGAACGTCTACGTGACCATTGGCGTATGTTTTGATATACATCTGAACCTTTTTCGGCCATGCTAACATTTCCCAGGCCTTCACAACCGCGCTCATCACCTACTTCCTGGTCAAGATCACCCCAGCCTGGGGCCTCGCCCTCCTCTTCACCACCCTCGCCTACTTCGTCCCGCTCGCCTACCTCCAGAACCAGGAGCTGATCGACCACCACGTCTCCAACGCCCAGACCATCGTCAGCAAGCAGACCGAGCAGCTCCGCGAAATCGCTTCCCAGCAGACCAACAAGGCGGTTGAGGCCAGCTCCAGCGCTTTCAAGACTTATGGTGCTCGCGCGTCTGAGATGGTTGGCCAGGCGAAGCAGAGCGCTGTCGACAAGGGATACGTGAACCAAGAGACCGCGGACAAGGCACCTGGCAGCACTGAGGTCAAGAAGGAGGACTTCCCGAGCGCGCCGACTTCTGTCCCGCAGACTGACGGGCCGACCGAGCAGCCCGTGAGCTCTGATGTCAACAAGGAAGAGCAGGAGCCGTTGTTGGCATAGATTTCGGTGGAGAAGCGGTACGACGAGTAAGCTGAGTGAGCATTGCAGAATTTTGCATATGTTTGGCCCAGCTTCGATACCCTGGAACATTGCACACCTGATGTGCGCTTAACGTGGTATGGACAGAATGATGCGAACGAGAACCGAGAAGGGAAGAGACTTCATGTACTACCAATCCTTGCCTGGGACGAGCGAGGGGACCTTTTCATGCTGCAGGCAGGAATCTTTTGGGGATAGCGAAAGAAGCGATGCATTCTCCTACCTTACTGTTACCTAGCATGAGCGAACCACCTTTTCATCTCCTACCCCTGATCCACCCTTTTCTCCTTCTTCCCCCACCGCTCGATCAAGAACGATTTCCCCTCTATCCTTTCCCAGTCCACCGTCCCGTCCCCACTCACCGGCAAACCCTCCGGATCTTGAACGATGAGCTCAGCAACATCATCGCTATCCGTCCACCGCACCTCCCAAGCCTCTGGCCCGCGCTCCGCGAGCACGGGGTTGAAGCCCGCGCAGTTGGTTGTGCTCTCGAGGGTTTTGAAGATGGAGGTTATTGCTACGCCGTGCGTGCCGACTAATACAACCCTCCCTTCAGAACCACCTTGGGAAGCGAGCTGCGCTTCCCGCCCAATGATCCGCCCGAAACACCGCTTCAGCCTCGCAACAAAATCATCAAATCTCTCTACCCCCGGCTCTGGGTCCGCGGAGCGCGGGTTCGACATATCGACTTGATCATAACTCCCTCCCTCTAACTCCCCCAGCCCTTGGCCTCGTAAATCCAGATCCGGCGTCACGGTCTCAACACCCGGGTGCGTTTCCAGTATCGGAGCGATCGTTTGCGTTATCCTTATTAATGGGGAGTGGTAGACAGAGTTGATGTGGCGGGATGTGAGTTTGGAGGATAAGAAAGAGGCTTCGCGGTGGCCGGCGGCGGTGAGGGAGGTGTCGCGCCAGCCTTGGAGGGTTAGGGTGGTGTTGTCTTGGGTTTGGCCGTGGCGGATTAGTAGGAGGTGGAGGGGGGGCATTGTGGGTGTCTTGGGGGAAGGGAGTCTCGCTGCGGGATGGGAGTTGGGCTTGTTGGTTCGTTCCTGTCCGTTGTCAAGTGCGTATTTAGGGACCACGAGATGTTGGCTTTTTGGGGTATCCTAGTCCTGAGTCCGAGGAGTTGTCGCGCATGTTGAAAGCTATTCTCCGCATTGCAGCTGATCGACGTTGAACTGAGTTAGAGTTTGGGAGTTGCCGAGGAAGGAAGGAGGGAGGTTTGGTGGACGTGGAAGTAGACACCACATTAAACATGAATCAGGCAAACGACCCGACCTTGTGGGCAAAGGATTATCAAGACATACGGCATCTACAACGCTTGGAGGTAGGAATGTCCCGCGCACGACGCCTGGATGACAGACCGAGTACGGCCGAGCAAGGGAGACGGAGCGGCTGGGCTGAGCTCGGCGACAACTTCAGCTCGCTACTGTTTTGATTATCGACTCATCTGCTTCTCGTGGCGATGACTCCGTCCTTCAGAATCAGAAAGTGGCCATCATGGACAGGGAGGATCATAGACAGTCTTCAAGCCGAAGAGCTGTGATGGACTGAACACAATGTTGTTTGCACGAGCTTTCCAACGCTCGCTTTGCTCACCAGCTCGAGTTCCGTTCCGATATCCACACCACAGAGCGTTTCTAAGAAGGCCAACACCACAGAGCGTTTCTAAGAAGGCCAACACCACCGTCCTTGTCGGACGACCGCTGGAGCCGACGCCGGATCTGCACACGGCAGAGTACGGGTGGCAGGCTATCGTGCTCTCGACCTACCATCTTGGACACGCTCAGCCATGCCAGATGGCAGCAGCGTCGCGGATATCGTCCGGTCAATCACCGCCAACTCCTGGCTTCGTGGAACACGGCCCGGATGTGGTTCAAAGACCCACTGTTCTACTTCCACATCGCAGGCGTCGCTGGGCTGTTCGGGCTGTACTATCTCTACAACCTCGAGAGAGTGCCTGTCACATACCGATGGCGCTTTAACACGGTATCGGAATTTCATGAGAACCAATTTGCGGAACGCGTACATCTCGAGACTGTGGAAGCCAGGGGGGACTCCATTTTGCCGAGAACCTCAAAGGAGCATGTTGCTGTTCAGAGAATCTTTGACCACTTGCTTCCTGCCGCTGGACTGTCTGACACAGAGTGGGAGCTGCATGTGATCGACGACCCCGACACAACGAACGCTTTTGCTCTGCCTGGAGGTAAAGTGTTCGTCTACACCGGCCTACTTGACTTTTGCACCTCGGACGACGAGCTGGCCTCCATCCTGGGCCATGAAATAGCGCACACCATCTGCCGACATGGGATGGAAAGTCTCTCCCGCTTCCTCCTATGGTTGCCACTGTACGTTATCAGCTGCGTCGCCAGCGGTCTGGATCCAGATCTGGTGGCGCTAGCAGTGAACGTGGCCTTTCGATATCCCAACTCACGCACGCAGGAGGCAGAAGCGGATTACATTGGTATGCTCCTTATGGCCGAGGCTGGCTACGACCCTTCCGCTGCGCTGGACTGCTGGCGGAGGATGGAGGAGCAGGAAGCAGGGACTGGTGTGAGTTATAAGAGTACGCATCCTGGCCATCATAATTGATTGGAGCAGTTTCATGTGTGGTTGTCGGAGGCGAGGAGGAAGAGAGTCGATGCTGGGATTTCCGGTGAGACGGTCCGAGCCCAAGCAGTCCATGCCAGTAGCTGACGTTGAGTTTAGATGAAGACTTCTGGTCGTATTATTACTTGCAGCGAGGGCGTTGCGGTCTGAATGAGAAGAGTTACGCATGATTGTGCATCCTGGAGGTCATAGACCGGGCCAGTATGCTGGCCTGAACCCGGTGCCCAGCATTGCCGCCCATTGGAAACGCTTTCCTGTGCACACTCATGGTCTGGATGGGTTTTATACCACGCCATCATTCCTTCAATTCGGTCCTGGAGCTCTGTACGACCCGATCTCCATCCACAGTCGGACTTAACGGATTTCATGTGGAGACCAGCTTGGCGGCTGTGCATTATTAAACAGCTGGATGAAACCAACACCAGGACTTCACGTTTGATAAGGTCCGTCCATTGGAGTTTATCGAGACATTGAAGGATAGCTGCTTAACCGACCACCCTCGACATGGCATCAGAGAAGGCAACCACAATGCGGACCGCCGCCGAAGCCCTCGTGATGTCTTTTAACGGCGACTGGTCGGAGAAGACGCTCGAAGCAGCAATGGCGGCCAGAGCACCAGAATGCATGCACGCTATGCTACCGAAATCATTGAACCTACCACCTAAATCCAACGATGACTGGACGGCCCACTTCAAGCATATGGTGGGTAAGATTGGGGACGCAACGGTAGGCCAACCTTTCCCCTTCATACTCGATCACTTTTAGGACTGACGACTTGACTCAAAGATGACCATCCACGACGTCGTCGTTGCTCCAGAGGAGAAACGAGTCGTGATCTACTCCATCATGGATGCGATATCCGTCGTAGGACCCTTTCACAACGAGTACACCTGGTTCTTCACCTTCGATGATCATGGCACGAAGATTGTACGCATTGACGAGATGTTGGATAGTGCGGCGACGAAGGACATGATGGCGAGGTTGGCGAAGGCGAGGGAGCAGGAAGGGAAGGCGTGAGCGGCGATCTGTTCTACCAGATGTTGCGGTATGTAAGATATGCTTAGCTTGATACTCCATCTCATGCGATTCCGCTCAACAACTCAATATACAACATCGATCTTTCTGACGCTCAACGCAGCACGGGTCCGCATTCGTCCGAGCATTGAAACCCCGCTTTGAAGTCTACCAAGGTCTAAGGTACCTCGTCTGCCTTTTGACCTGTAGTAGTACTGACAGGGAACCGGCAGCGCCTTACGATACCGACCCTCGGGACAGAAGGTATATAGACAAAACACACGACGCTCAAGCCATCAAAGTTCCAAGTCCAACCATTCCATCACGATGTCTCAAACCAGCAGTGAGATCATCCTCTTCAACTACCCAGAGTCGGTATTCGGACGGCGAACGGTTCGATATCTGAACCTCCGTGGACTCTCATTCTCGCAGATCAGAGTGCCGCCCAACATGCCTCGTCCCATTCTCCAGGAACGACTGGGCATCAACTACCGCCGCATTCCCATCATGGCCATCGGACGGGACGTCTACATCGACACGCGGCTTATGCTACGGAAACTGGAGACTTTGTATCCCGAAGGTAAGCTAGGTTCAAATGATACTTTCGAGCAGGGGTTGGAAGACATACTAGAGGAGTTCGTGATCGATGCTGGACCATTTGTTCGGACGGCTGGGTGCATCCCGATGTCCGCTCCGTTGGTGAATGATAAGGTCTGGATGAAAGACCGCTCCGATGGATCAGGCGGGATGTTTTCGAGAGACGCGTTGATTGAGAACCGTAGCTGGAGTCTCAGCCAGCTGCGGTTGTATTTTGGTATGATGGAGAAGATTCTGGGTGATGGACGGGAGTGGATCTTCAATGGATCGAGACCAGGGTTAGCGGAGGTGCATGTGGCGTGGGTGTACGATTGGGCGGTGAATATGGCTGGGGATATGGGGGGTGAATCTGATGATTCGACGGCGGATCTGAAGCGGATGCTGAACAAAGACGAGTTCCCGAGGATCCATGAGTGGGTGCAGCGGTTCCGAAAGGCCTGTGAAAGGGCGGAGAGCCTCAACTCCGGCGCGGGTGCGATAGATGAAGGGCAAGAGAAGGAAGACGATGTCGTGAAGAGGATCCTAGGCGGTGGACTCGAGGAGCCTGATGTCCTCGCTTTCGACGACGACGACGTGCTTGGGCTATCGAAGGGACAAGAGGTCAGCGTCTCTCCCGTAGACTTCGGCTTCACTCACCAAGACGTTGGTACATTGATCGGCTTGACGAAGGATGAAGTGGTCATTGAGACGGGAGTGCCAGGAAAGTCAAATGGGAAGCTGAGACTCCACTATCCGAGGATGAATTTTAAGATCAAAGCGGTTGATTGAGGATACAGGTACCAGTCTTCCGACTTTGTGACTGAACGACCGCAGTGCAGCTTTCTCTTCGCCCACGGAGAGGCAACTGTTGAACGGCACGAGTTGTTTCGCAGATGCCGCAATTCTTGACAATGCTTTCCCTCTTGAAGCGTTGTGAACGCGCTTCTCCTCCTGCCTCATGGCAGCTCCTTGGAAGAGGATTACGAGGACCTTGTCTGCGTCTTATGTTACCGGCAAGAAGAGACGTAAATGAATCGCTACTCTCGTGCTAACAAATTCCTTGAAACCTACCTGCCGAAGGGGCTGTATCTCCACAGCAAAATGATGGACATGTTGACGCCTTCTGCAATATTTCAAGTCCAATGCATCCGGCGGCACCTTCACGGTCAACTCAGCACCGTCCCCTGCTTCGTAGATATACTAAGCAAAGGCTCGTCAGTAGTGAAGACAGGTTGGGTGTATTTGAGCGAAAGTAGCAGATGTGGATGTCTCGAATGCTCTCCCAGGCAACGCCTGGCAATTATCAGTACAGTGTCAGGACACAAGTCAGCCCAAAGATGGTTAAAAGGCACCTTCACGGAGTAGTCCGAATTCCTTTGCAACTACGGTGCAACCAATTTGTTGAACGCCGACTCCGCGACGAAAGACACTCCGTACAACAGGTTGGCTGGCTGGGATCTTGAGCAGGACCTCCTTGCATAACCCACTGCGGCTGAGTAAGGAGCTGTAATACTTAAACACTCGATCGAGTACGTGGCGCTTTCGTTTCCATCACTACTGTCTTCGCAGCTTCGAGATCCAAAACGGCGTTGCTTGCGTTCGATCAAAGGTCATTCAATACAGCAAGATGCGCGCTGTCCGCTACTACGGAAAGCAGGACATCCGTCTGGACACTGTTCCTGAGCCACAGTGCCGCTCCCACGAAGCAATTGTCGCCCTGGCTTTCTGCGGAATCTGAGGGACTGATCTTCACCAACATGTTCATGGCCCTCATGAGTACCCGGACAAACCACACCCATTGACTGGCGAATGTGTACCTCTCACGCATGGTCACGAGTTCAGCGGCGTCGTTGTTGAAGCGGGATCCGCAGTCGATCGTGTGATAATCGGGGACAGAGTGGTCATCCATGGCACCATCTCATGCGGCAAATGCGAGCCCTTCCGGAGTGGCAACCAGCAAATGTGCGTCACGCCAGCTAACGTGGGCCAGCATGGTTGAGGCGGCGCACTGGCCGAACGAATCGTGTGCGAGGAGAAGTGATTATACAAGATCCCTGACCGCATCGGTTTGGACGTCGCTGCCTTGTGTGAGCCGTTCGCCGTGAGCGAACATGCGATCAATCAGCACATTTCACCTCCCTCAGCCGATCAGACAGCTGCAGTATTGGGATGCGGTGCCATCGGCCTTGCAGTCATCCAACTTCTCAGAGCGCGTGGCGTTGAGAGCATATATGCCAGCGACATCAGCGAGACCAGAAGGCGCAAAGCGCTGGAGTTCGGCGCCTCATGTGCCTTCGATCCAAGGGAGAAGGATGTCTTGGGTGAAGTGCGCAAGCTTACGAATGGGGCCGGCTCGTCCATCGTGTTCGAATGCGCAGGAGTACCAGCTTCCATGCAGACGGCCATCGACCTCCTTAAGATCCACGGCTCGATCATCGGCGTGGCACTGTAGCCGCCATCCCTTTCAGTGGACTACAATCCGATAGTCCATAAGGAAGTAGCATTGCGAGGGTCTCTCTCGCATAACCGGTCTGATTGGTAGAATGTGATCCGTCTGCTTGGTCAGGGCAAGGTCGAAACACAAGCAATGATCACAAACATCACTCCGCTGGAAAGGATTGTCGAGGATGGGATCATAGCACTGGCTCGCGCGGATGAGGGTTTAGTGAAGATCCTCGTAGAGGTGCAGGAATGATGTCGCATCGTAAGAGCGTCGCATTTGTAGCCCAGGCCTGTTGCCCGCAGCACTCTGGCGGGTTCAAGCCTGGCAGACACAGATCCTCCGCGACCGGGTAAGTGTAGGTCAGCGAGTTGGATCCAAAGAATTGGCACTTCTCCTGCGTGTCGGAGTTTGAGGGAATAAATGCGAATTGTGACATCTGCGGTATGGCAGCAACATAGATTGACGGAGGTACGCCGTAGTCAAGATGCTCAGATTGGAGCACAGTCTTGCTGCTGTTCGAAGATTGCCGTATGAACGGGTTTGAACTGCCAGGCGTTGGCGTCCAGGCTAGATAGCCGTAGGAATAATGGCAGTCCGAGACGTTTCCCCACTGGTCAAGGATGTTGGTCCAGACATCGACTTTCTCATTGCCACGCAAGTCATGGCACTGCAACGATGGTGCACGGAAGTCAAGTGTCCAGCTGGCGTTGGCCTCTGGCGGCGAGATGGGCAGAATCTGGCCTTGAGCCGCGACCGCCGCCGCAACCCGTTGTACTGGCTGGCTTGGACCGTCGAAGCAGAAGCCTGCTGGCCCTTCGGGGATGGGAGCTAGGAAGTCGAGACTGGCAAAGTCAAATTTTGGGACTTTGACGTCCTTCTGTGGCGGTGGGACAATGGCAGCACTTTGTACGGAAAGTGTCGCTGGCGTGATGATGGAGGCAATTGGTACATACCTTCATCGCTAGCGTTAGCCTTTCCTGATGGTGCTGCATCTTCTGGAACGTATCACGCAATCAGTGCCACCAGGATCGGAACCGGGAAACTGCGTCATAACCTTGGTTTCAGAAAGCCGCGTAAATCGTAGAGCATGGCGTACGAGCTGTCAAGGTTTGACAGTGTAGCACCATCGGGGGAGATTCGTACGGCTCTCCAAAAGGCCTGGAAGAACGCGACGGAGATGCCAACTACCAGACAGGACCTGACCAGGAATCCAAATGCGGTGCCAACAGCGGTGCTGAGCTGTTGTTGCGACACATCCGTGCCGGCGATGGTGTAGCTTCCGGTCGGTGCGCTACTGCCAGCGAGAGATGCGTAGAATAGATGGTGACCCAGTGCGAAAAGCAGGCTTCCGAGGAGGCTAAGGATCATGCCCACCGGTGCTACCCAGTGGACGCGCGAGAGTCCCGCCATGCGCGAGCGAACGATGCCCCGAAACTGGCAGACGAGGAGCAGACATGCTTTGTCGAGATCGACGTGGTGCCATTGGGTTTATTTGGGCGCAGAGTACTGGCATCGTCACTGCGGCCTGCCCGATCATTAGGAGTGGGTTTGTGTTCCACGATCAGGAACTAGTGATATCAGCTCATGGAGTCAACTGTTTTCGTCTCGAGCTTCGATCATTCCTGCAACACTTGTGGCCGAAGATCCCTGCACTGCTGAAAGGCGAGCCTCAGCCTCAGCCGTTAGTTATCTCCTTTTCCATCGCCCGATGAAAATGCATGACAAGTTTATCGTTTTGATGGAGCAGATGGCAATAAATAACACCATCTTCTCGTTACCGAAGTCTGAGTCACCAAGCACAACATGACGGATCTACAAGGCCTGCTACGCCTGCTCATGGCGGTGGCCCTGGTCGCCGGCAAAACCAGCCTAGCAACAAGAACTGAAAGTCAGTGCATGAGTATCGAGGATGCACAACAAGTAGCTAGCAATTGGCAGAACCTCCAATGTGAGTACCCTCATGCCAGTCAAAGGTGGCTTGTGACTTATCGATTCTCGAAGCCACCTACAACGAGTTCTCCCTCTCCCTTGCAGAAGAATCGATCGCGGTCGGCTTCTCATCCTATGCCAGCTCTACCAATACTCTAGTCAACGGTGGATGCAGCAGACCAATACCAGTAGGCCTGCACGCATGCGTTCGTTTTCGCAATCGGACTGACTTCTGGTGCAGTTGAATGACCCTACGATGACAAGCCGGAAATCGTTCTTCGAAGGTCAAGGCGCTCAGCGGATGATTTCGATGAGACTACTCAACATGTGGCATACTTGTTCGACAGTCGTTGTCCGATGGCGTGCGGATCCGGGCCCGGATCCTGTTGTCGGCATAACGATCCTTGAGGCGACACCTGCTGCTGGAGGCCATGCTTTTCCTTGGCTCATCGAAACCGCGGACAGCGAATTTAGTAGTGCAGCCTGGTTGACGAATCTGGGTATCTTCACTCCCGAGTGCTCAAGGAACTCATCTCGGCTCGCGAGGTGAGCTGAACTTCGTCGTGGTCCTGCCGATGCTCCTGGGCCAGAAGATTGAGAGGGAAGGGCTGGTGCTGCCCCCAAAACACCTGTTACGCGGCCCGCCATATTTACTGAGGGTCTCGACATCTGACTCCATCAGCCAAAATGTACATTCATGCTTCCGAAGACCCCCGAGTGGCTTTCGCTATTGCCAGGACGGTCCTTTGGAGTTCATCTGGAATTCCGATATCCTGCGATAATGGTCGTATCGATACCCGAGCCCGCTCTCCACAAGCTGTAGGATTTCCATCCTGGTCCAGTTGGAATTTAACGAGTCTTCAGCCATGCGTACCTCCGAGACGGTATACCGTATGAGCCGCTGCCGGACGTTCGATTGAGCAGAATCGTTGCGCACGAGAGAATCCACCATTAGAAATAAGGGCAATCCAGCCCACGCATCGCATGGTGCAATACCCACACCCATCTTCCACCTCTGAACATCCAGATCATCTCACATGCCGCCCCCAGCTTTACGCCATTTCGTCCAGTCATCGAACTTCGCATCATTACCTGGGCTGTTCTTTGATCCTTATTAATATAGCAATCGACTTCGATCAGGTCGAAATACACATCAGGGAAGTCTTCAGTCATTTCTCGCCAGACTTCTGTCTGCTCCGCGAAGTTGATCGTGTACGATTTTGTATCGAGTCTTCCTTCCCATTGCGGTGCGATGTGTTGATCGACCAGTTTGCGGGCTTCTGGGCTTTGGTAATCGAAGTCTCGCTCGTTGATAACTTTCGCGACGACGTGGCAGAGACGTGTAAGCTCAACTGACATGGTGATGATGGTGGTGTTTGGTTGAGACTCAGTTCGAGTTGTCAAACCATCAATGGTAGAGCTGAGCTAATTGCGATCTCGGACGCGGAGGTGGCCTTGCTGAAATCCGCGGATTTGATCTTAGAAATCACCTGGCCAATACACAATCAATGTACTCCTCTCGACGGGCGACAGCATTGACGAGTGCCCGGAGATAGCGATCGTGTGCTGTCTGATTGTCTCAAGTCCTGAATAAGCACTGTCGAAGCCCTACACGACGCTAAATTAGCGCGATATGCAAACAGGCTGCAGGTCGAGCCTCACTGCGGGAGTCAAAACATACAGTATATATTGACGTAGGATGTCCTTTACAGCCATGGGAGTCAAACTTTCCGGAAAAGTCCAGTCAATACTGATTTCGCAACCTTCCGTTCACCCTTCGACGCCAGATCATCAACTTCGCCGATCGTTCTCGAGCACGCAGAATGCCTTCCATCAATCGTGCGGCATGGCTTCATGTGAAAGGAGAGAAGTTGCAAGTAGGAGATGCAGCGATGCCTGAGCCAGGCGAAGGCGAGGTCGTGATCCGCAACAAAGCGATCGCAATCAACCCAGTCTCAAGTACGTCCCAAGACTTCCTTCTCCGCTGAACGTTCGTTCAACCGGGATGTGAGCCTGACACCCAGCAACAGACAAGATCCAGGACATCGGCATCATAGTCCAACAGTGGCCAACCATCCTGGACTACGACGTTTCAGGCGAAGTCCACGCTGTTGGGCCCGGCGTCGAGAACGTCCAGCAAGGCGACCGGGTGGTAGCGTAGGTCTCCCAGCCGCAAACTCGATGAGTACGGCCCAAATTGACATGACCACAGTTTCGTATTTGGACCATACGGTGGCGATCCCAGATTCGGGGCTTACCAACTGTACTCCGTCGCTCGTGCCGAAAAGACCAAGAAGCTACCAGACGACGTGACTTTGACCGACGCCAGCGTGCTTCCAGTGGGATTCAATACGGCCATTGTCGGCCTCTGTGGTCCTCCAGGGCAAGGGCTAGGTTTGCCACTCCCATCGCTGAGCCCAGAGCCTTCCGGAAAAACCCTCGTCATCTGGGGAGCAAGCTCTGCCGTTGGGCTGCAATCTCTGCAAGTTGCCAGAGCCGCTGGCGTGACGACCATCGCTATCGCCAGTCCGCACAACTTCGATCTCTGTCGGTCTTGCGGAGCGGCGGAACTTTTCGACTACCATCAAGCTTCCGTGGTTGACGATGTTGTCAAAGCAGTCAAAGCGTCGAATGGAGAATTCGCCGGTGTGCTTGACTGCATCTCGCTGCCGGAAGACTCGTACAAGTTCTGCATCCCGATCCTGGAGGCACTGGGTGGAGGCTTGTTAGGAGTGCTTGACCCTCAGGCGAGACTCGAGGTCTCTGAAAACATCAAAGTGGTCAAAATCATGGGCATGAATGAGATGACGGATGCGGTTTGGGATGAGTATCTCATACCTGCGCTTCGGGAGGGTAAACATAGATGCCTGCCAGAGCCGCTGCTCGCCGGCGAAGGGTTGGAGTCATTGCAGAAAGGCATGGATATCTTGAAAAAGGGCGTCAGTGCGAAGAAGATGGTGGTAACGCTTTGAGCTCACTGTATGGTTTGTGCAGACTAGCCATGACATGGACCAAATTGAGTAAAGCAGTGACAAGGCGGAGAGTAATGGGGTGTACGTACACTGAGTTACAGTATCTATCCTTCGTTCTGTTCAACCATTTCATAGCGGCCTTTTTCCTGGCCGTTATCTCTGCTGCGGAACCGCTTTTCGAGGTATCGATACCCAGCAAGGGCACCGGCACCAACAATTGCTCCGGCCGCGATCGCAACAGTGATCCAAAATGGCGATATGTATTCGCCGTCCGGATCCATCGTCTTGTAAGCCACATTCCCAGCGCCTTTGGATGTACTCAAAATCCTGCCATGTTGATCGACGGCTTCAACGTACACATCCGTCACAAAGCCTTCGTACTCCAACTGCGTTTCAAAGCCGTTCCGTGGTACACCATCTGCGACACGCACCTCTTTCCCATCCAGGCCATACCCTCTGACATTCCACTTTTGGACCTCCGTCGCGCCGTTCCAACTCAAAGAGATGACCGTCGCCACCTGTCCTCGTACCTTATACACCATCTCGGAGTGAACATCCGGCGGCGAAGCCGGTCTGCCGACCCATGGCGACTTGAAGGCCCGGTATGTGTCTACCCCTGCCTTGAGTCTCGCCTCCATCACCACTGTTCCATTGGGTAGATGCTCCGTGATCTTGCTTGAGACGGCCCAGTTGACAAAAGCGTTGCCATTAGGAAGCATTTGGAAGCTACCTCGACCGTCCGTCAACATGTTCTTTTGAAGTTCGTACTGAGCCTTAACTTCTGCAGTCTTCTTTTGCAAGTCCAACGACAAGACCAAGCCACGAGAAGTGCGGCGAGATGGCTTTTGATAGTGCTCGCCGACTGCGTTGTCGAAGAGCGAGACAGTGATGTATTTCTCATTCTGTTCAAGGCACCGAGCGTGGTGCTGTCTTGTGAATTTCGCATCATCACCAAATTCGAAGTCAGACATGACTCCGCCCAGCCGCCACACAATATCACCAGTCTCGTGCGAAATCTTATACAGCGCATCGGTGTGCCGTGCTGACATCAGGTAATCACCATCCGGGCACTTGTCTACTGCGTTGACATGAAGCAGATCCCAGCCGCGCTTGCACATGGTCTCGGCAGTTGGGCCGTAGCTGAAGTACGTCGACTCATTGAGGCCGATCTTGCGACCATCAAACTCGAAGATCGTCTCGGTGCCTGGATCAGAGGACAAGTCAACCTCTCTAAATCCTTGATAATGGGCCTCGCAAGTATGGTTGTAGCCGACACTTTCAAAGGTAATATCTGGTGGCACGTTCCATCGCCGGACAATCTGAACCAAGGCATGGGCGCCATCATCAACGACGTGAAAGCCATGCATATTCTGGAAGGTGTCCTCTTCCGACAGCGAGGATGCTGTTCTCTTCAAGCGGTAGGAGTCATCGAGCACGACGCCTCTCTGATTATGCCAGTCGAGGCCACTCAGGTGGAGAGCGCCATCTACCTCACTCGTGGAAAAGTCGAAGACATTCCAGTATCCGAAGGTGGGCGTGCCGCTCCAGACTAGTTGGCCATCTTCGTCGTAGATGTGGGGACCTACCCAAGGCTCCCCGGCGACCTCTTGGGTCTTGACCTGCAGATTGCTATATTAGCTTCTAGTGAAAACCATATCTCTTCAGCGAGTCATACTCACCTCATATGGAGCAACGAGCCAGTGTCCAGGCGCTAACGCAGTCTCATTGTAGCGTTTGATCTCCCAAACGGGAGCCTTGATATCGGGTCGACTGGCAAAGACGAACCATTTGCCATCGTCCGAGTACTTCTGCGCCTGCGGCTTCCACTGCTCTCGCTTACTGCTCTTAGTGGCCAAGACCGTTCCTAGGAGCGACAGCGTGATGAAGCATCTCGCGAGCCATCGCAGCCGCATTGCACTCATCTAAAAAATCAGTGGACGGTCCTTATCATCGTCGAAAGTAGATGAGAGGAAGAAGGAGGCTCTGGCGACGCGCCTCGCGGCCGATTACTACCACTCGGGTACAGCCACATCCGCCGTGCCGCTTCTAGACTCGGGCTGAAACGAGGGAAATTTTGGATCAGCATCTTCGTTCACTCCTTCGCATCACCTTTGACAAAAGTCCCGCTGGGGACCATCAGTCGAGTAGCAACAGGAGACGTCTCATGCCCTAACTGAGGTCGACGTACAAGCTCCATCTTGTGCAACGTGGAACATCGGAGGCTAGGAGTGGAAACGACAAGCATTTGCGTCAAAAGCTTAGCAAACCTTGGGTTGCACCAAAAATAGGTTCCTCGAAGGAGATTCTGACCAGTACGCAGTATATTTAGACAGACGACGACGATATGGGAGTGAGAGTGGTTTACAAAAAACTCTATGGCATCTCAAGAAACTTTGAATCGCTCCAAATCAACACCATCAACCCACCTTCTCTTCCGGCCAGGGGTAACTTGGCATCTCCAATTTATCCTCCTGGATGCCCAGCCAATGCGATACTATGATCATGAGCCTGTCGAGTTTCAAGCCCGCCACGGCCCACAGCAACGTATCCCGGATCTTGATGCCCCATGCTGTCTGTGGATTTAAGACCAACCACTCGGGGGTGTCGCCTTGCTGCTTCTTGACAAACGGCTGCATGAGACTCTCGTAGGCGGCCAGCGCTCCTTGGACATCGCTAGGCCGGTTCATCAGTTCTCCGGCAAGCACGTAGCCACCCATGATGGCCAGACTAGTGCCAAATCCGGGTGTTGCGTAGCCAGCATCACCGAGGAGCACGACGTTGCCAGAACTCTGCAGCTGGGGCGACCGCACTTGTGCGAAAAGGCTGCAGTAGAAATCGTCGCTTTCCCTCATGGCCTTGAGGACAGGTTTCGCCAGCCAGCCGGCGTCAGAAAAGAGTTCCTCCATCAGGTCCATGTAAGCTTCGTTGCCTTCTTTCAGCGCGTTGTTGAGCCTTCGCTTCATGTCGACGTCGTTCTTCGGGGTCGCGTTGATGAAGTGTCCTCGTGAACGGCCAGCAGGGTCAGGGTCAGGCCGCAGCAGGACCACCCGTCCTTTCGTATCGTTGTGCCACTTGGCAAGCCGGCTTTGTAGGAGGTCCTCTTTGATTGTAAAGTAAGCAGCGTGAACACCCTGGTCCTGTCGGATCTGTTAGCATCTGCGAGCCTGGGAAGGAGAAAAGAAGTATGAGCTTACGTGGATCTGCTCTCTCGGCTTCGTGTTCAGCATCTGGCCACGAATCCTCGACGACAAGCCATCAGCCGCAACCAGGAGATCGTAGGTCTTCGTGTCTTTGCTCTTCGTAAATGTCACATCCACCTTGCCGTCGTCGCACTGCGTGTAGTGATCCACAGTCTCGGCAAAGATCATCTTGATCTTGTCTTCAGAGGGCGTTAGGAAGATCTTCGCCAGCGTCCCACGGTGAATCTCGTACTCAGAAGTCATGCTTTGGTAATCTGTGCGGCCAGTAGATCTGAAGGTGGCGAAAGGCTTGCCGTTCGTATCTACCCATGCCATCCCTTCCTCGCCGGTCGAATTCGCACGAATCTCTGGTTCCATGCCCATCCATTTGATTATGTCTACCGCGGAACTGCGAATGTCGACGCTGGCTCCAGTGAGGCGAGGAGACGGGGCACGCTCGACTATGGTGACGTTCGCCTTGGGTTGTGCTTTCAGGAGCCAGAAGGCAAAGACGCTGCCAGCGATTCCAGAGCCTGACACGAGGACGTTGAGCGGTTCGGCGGCCATTGTGCCAGAGGATGAGTCCGTCCTGAGATTAGACGGGAGTTTGTCGTGAGTTGTTCCTGGCTCGAAGCGAATACCGTTGGCAGAGGAGATGTCGAATGGCTTGTGGAAGCATCCTGGAGACCGTAGATACTCTTATACCTCGCCTCTCCATGCAGGCGCCCGAGTGTCCGGAGAGTCAACGCCCGACGGAAGATAGCTTGACGACGGTCCCCGGTCAGCCTGTAGGACTTCCGCTAAATATTCCATCGTATAGCTGTTTCCTAGAAGCGCGAATCACCTGCTGCTAGTAGAAACGAAAGTACGGGCGGAAGCAGGAGTAGGAGCAGGAGTAGGAATTGGCCGCAGGAGCAGGAGCAGGGTGCAGGGCCCGGCGAGCTCCTCGGATGCCAGATCACGTGTCGGCTTATTTTTGGCTAACTATTAGATTCTCCCCAGCTGTCCATCACGAGCGCCAAAGATCATTTAGCGGTTGCCTGTATAAACAGTTGGCTTCACTCTATCGTGGATGTCTACGAACAAAAACCGCAACACGAGCACTGAACTTCCGTGAAGCCAAGCTAAATTCCGTTCGTCTCGGACCCGAGGTGCCCGAGCTGAGATGAAGCCTCATACACACGACACGCCATCATCGATCTTAACCGTTGTAATGGCCGTTCCTGCAGTGTTCGGCCATTCAACAGCGACGGTGTGGCATTCAAGCCTCCGGGACAAGAGGTATCATGATGCCTGTTTGCCAAAAGAACCAGCAAGCGACTACTTGACCGGAGACAAGCTTAGGCGGTGTTTCTCTCAAAGCTATTAGCTATGCTCGGTCAAGCCCCGTTGCTGGTCACAAACTGCGCCCAAACCCGTAAAGCCAGGCCTCTCATCATATGGTCTGGTTGGCAAATCTGGTCGATCCCGAGAGGCGACTGCTGACCGATGGACAAGTTTGAGAGGGAAGGAGAGACTATGCTGCTATTAGGCTTCGCAGGTGTGGATGGTATGTTGCCAACGATTGAACGAAGACTATTGGGACGTATCAGTATTGCCAAAAGAAAGACAATTGAATGAATTGCTGCTGCTGCTAAAAGATCCCATGGCAAACCTGCTTCCAACCCACACTGGAGACCATGTTCACTGTTGCATACGATCCGCATACCTACCCACCGGCCCGTTCTCTATAGCCGCAAATCCAGCTTCGATCAACTCCTTCGCCCCAGCATCCATGAGCGTCAATCGCTCACCTCGCGCAAGCTTGTTGTTCTGCTTAGCGAGCCATTCTTTGGTCTTTGGGCTCAGCAATCCATCATGCCTCTCTCGCCCACTAGAGTTCTGCCCGGGCGTCGGAAAGTTGCTGGTGTCGATGGCTCCTGCGTTGGCCATCGTCGATGATGGATAGATGTCTTGCTGTCCTTACTCGGAAGATAAGTTGGAGCCGCAGAAGTAGCAGCAGCCAGGCTGTAATGGCCAGCTATAACTGTTCGGCGGAGCGGCGTTTGGCTCCGTTCGGCATACTGGGCATGCTGTTCCAGGTTGGATATGAGGTTGACCTTGCGTATGGCTGTTTGTCGGATAAGATAGATTGTTCGGTTGTCTGGTAGCGATGCTCTGCTGGACACTCCGGCCTGCGTTGGCGACCTGTGCTGAAGTTACTCCCGCGGCCAGCAAGTCCTCGATGGCGACATTCTGTCCGAATTTGTCCTCTGGCCCCCCTGTCTCCTCTTCTGAGGAAGCTATCCCACGACTGTCGGTCCCTGGGGAGTAGTGCATTGTGGGCTAGTGTCCATATCCCTCAAAAGACTGTTCGTGCTTTGATGCATCTTATTCTGGAGCCCTGGGCGTACCTGTTTGCTGCCCAGCCGGTGCTCCCTCCACGGTGACACCTCGGTGTGCAACGCCTTGCAACGCACCCGGTATGCCGCGCTCGACTTGTGCGGCACCGCTGCAGAGCTGATGCGCGGGTGACTGGTGGTACTGAGGCTGTGCTGCACCGGGTCCGTCATCCCTAGGCGACTGTAAAATCACTGGGGTGGAAAGTGGGCCCGCTGGAGAACGAAAATGATGGTCCATGCATGATGAAGCACTGGCAAGGAGGGAGAATGAGCAATCATCCTCATATGCATTCTTCTGGCCAATTCGGCGGTACGTTCGCATTCACCGGAGGGATGTTTGTTGGGCTGTGTTGGGCATGGACAGGCGTGAAAGGAAGAGCTCTGCAGCTGCAGCTCCTTGAAGACTTAAGAAAGGCAAGACACAGTGGACTTCCTATCTCTACTCGCTTACCAACTCTTGCGGTACGCTTCTCCGTCAGATCACCGACAGCGCTCAATCCTACGACATTTCCCGAAGGTTGCGTGTCCCTACCCAGATCGGAACTGATGCTGGGCTCGAGGTGGTCATCGTCAGGTGTTATTTCGTAGTCCGTTGCTCGAGAATACCTCTGCATCACCATTTCCTGGCATTGATCAGTGTTCGCACGTTATACGCTGTCATGGCTAACAAAGGTTACACTTCCCTACCATTGGCGAGAAGCTCCTCGTCTCCGCTCCTATTTGTTCAAGGCGGAATGCATAGGGACGTCTCTCAAGAGCGCATCTGCTTCTGCAACTTTGCAGGGTCTACAGTCCCTTCACCAGGCTTAGCTTCTGCGCCCTCCGGCGTCTGTTGACCATCCTGCGAAGATTCAAGGGTGTTAGGCTGAAGTCGGGAGTTCCGGACCAACTGTTGGTCTGCTTGTGCGGAGCGATACCTGAGCAGATCCTGGCTACCGTCAGTGGACGATCATCCACGTGTGTTTTATGATATCAACATGCAGCCATACCTCATACGCCTGCTTCGCCACTCCATGCCGAAGGCCGGGCTTCTGCCCGACATAGCGCTCGCATCGCCATCTAAGTGGTTGGCAACGATTCTTGCCATCATTGCTGCACGAGATTAGCCTCCATGCTATTGCATATTCCACGACGGATCGTTCCTACCGGCAGAATGCGCACGGCGCTCCAGTGGTGCGTGACATGATCCCCATTAACAAATCAAGGTACTTTGCGTGGTCTTCGCAAGTCGACTGTGTAGAGTCGCAAAGTTCTCTTCCCTGCTGAGCACATCCTGCGCACATGGGGCTCTCTGGACCTGACATGATACCTATCGTTTGCAAGCGTCTGATCGAGAGGTCGTTGTTTGTGTTTATCGTATTGCTGGGTTGGTTGTCCGGGACCTGATTGAGATGTCGTTGTTCAAGTAGGTCGTATAAGGTGACTTGGTCGGTCGTCCAGGGAGCGTTGGTGATTAAGTTTCCGAGTCCAGAAATGTAAACAGTCGCAGTTATACAGTACCACAAGCACGTCTGCCCACGTGGCAATCAGTCTTCCATGAGTCTGTCGAAGCAAAGCATAGCCAAACATGTATGTTTGCTTGTTATTCATTACCGTATAGGTCGAGGACGGGAAATACGCCATTCATAACCGCATTCCTGCAAGAGAATAGGGCAGGCCATGGCGGCTACAGACAATAGCGAGAATTCAGTGAGTAGAGAAGAATAGACAATATATCGATTTATAGAGAACTGTTGGAAGAATGTTAAAAAAGCCGAAAAAAGAGACTGCTCAGAGCACGGGAGAAACAGATCTAAAGAAACCAACCAACCTACGCTCTGTACGCTCGGACTACCTCCAACATACCATGCAGAAACAGCAAATAGTCACAGGATGCTGTGTGCCAATGCCACAGATCGAGTCTGACGAACATGAGGAAAAACAGACCCACAGTTCTCAACGGCCACCCGACTAGGTGCCACCCTGTACCTGCTTGCTTCCCGTACAGCTAGGCGGGGCGCAGGACTCTTCTCTCACCTTAATAAGAGCCACAGGCAGGATACTGAGCTGCTGTAGTGGTCTCTGTGTCGGAAGGTCACTGAGATCCTGACCGCGGCTTCGGAGTTGGTTCCAGAGAGCGTGAGTCACCACTCTTCCGCTGCCTGAGCTGAGGACTCGGAGATTGTGCTCGAGAATCTTCAGGTCGTTGGTCAAGACCTTGAGCACCGGGGTTGGGTTCTCTGCTATGCGAGTAAGGAGGCTGTTGTAGGGAGGCGGCCGGAGAACATGCGGACTCTCCTCTTCCTGGTGTATCCAGGTTCTCTGGCATTGAGCGTGTGCTTCCCGGGTCGCCGGTCTGGTCAGCGTCATCATGGCCACTTGTCTGCGACTGCTCATGCGTTGAGCGCTTCGGCGTCCGCTCGCCTTCCGGTGGTGAGGGCTTGTCGTGCGGCAACTGGCTTTTCAAAAGCTGCGGCGAGTGTACACCAGAGTCAACCGCCGACTGAAGCTCCGACTCTACCCGCTGGGCTGCGCGAGCGGCGACTTGCGGGGTCACGATCTCCAGCTGATCGCGCCCTTCGATTGGTATATACATCCCACCGAAGCGGCTGTCCGGAGAGGGGACTGGAGGTGGTGGTGGCAGATGGGCGCTGCTATAGAATCGATTCATATTGGACGCTGAGCTGCTCGCGGGAGGAGGTAGTAGATGGGCGAAGCGTACCCGCCAATCGCTATGGTTTGCGCATCGTTGGTCGGCATCGAAGCACTGCGGAAAGCCATTCTCTCTACTTTTCGTTAGCTACGTCCGCGAGATCCAGTTCTGGTTACTTGCCTGCAGGAGTCACAGAGAAGCATGGCGAAGTTGTCGGTGTGGAATGATCTGGCTAGCTTTATTGGGTTGAATTATCAGTGGTATAAGGATGAGAAACTCGTTGAATGTATGGTTGAATGGGGAGTATGTTGGAAGTAGGCTTTGGCTGGAAAGATGTTGGATGAACCTTTGAAGAAGAAAATCAAGAGCAACGGGCGTGTTATATCTTGCTGTTGGCTTGCTACATTTGTGTCAGAACCGCAATGTAAAGACAATGAGTAACACAAGCCGGAGTGTGCGCATGATACTCACACAGCGACACGGATAGTCCTAACAGTGAATGAGCGTTGCCATCGTGATGGTAGATTGGGAAAGGTCATGGAGGATCAATGGAGCCACATGGTGGAACCGCAAAGAGCACCAGATCACAGGAAGCAGCATTCAATCATTCTTCTTCGCTTTCCTCGTCACTCTCCGCTTGCGGCGGCGGCCCACCGCCCTCGTCATCCTCTGCCATAGCAAGCGCCAGTTGTTTGTCCAAATCGTCCTCGTCGTCGGCAGTAGCACTGTTCGTGCTTTTCTGATGAGTTTGAGCAGGTGACGGTAGTTCCAGGTTCTCGACGTCGGCATCAGCGTCTGCAGTTGAGCCTTCGTCATCCTCATCGCCGCTGCCAAAGTAGTCGTCCTTCTGCTGTTGCTTCGAGTCGACCTTGGTAACAGCTTCAGGACTGCTTTCATTGTCACCAAACTCAAATTCTTCTCCATCGTCAATGCCTTCCGGCCGCGCAGACATTGGCGAGGGAGCCATACTTGCTGGACTATTAGCCGCAGATCGCAAGGAGATCGGGCCCTGAGATAGCTGACCACCCAGAGCAAGCGCCATTGCTCCAGTTCTCCTCGGCGGCTTCTCGGTGACGGGTGTTTCGTTCTCGAGGATGAGCTCGCCAGAGTCATCAACCGAAGGTCGTCTCGTCGACGCTTTTCTGTCAATGCGGACACGTGGGACATCCGGTGCTGATGGTCGCGGCGGCTCGGTGCCCGCCTTGACACGTTTGGCATCGGCTTTCTGTAGACCTGGAGCCTTGCGTTTCTTCTGAGCAAGTAGTGGCCCTGATGATTGCTTAGAAGGTCGTGACACTGGCATCGAGCTTGCAGCGCGCTGTTGCGACATGCTGCTGCTTGATACCGGTGCCTTGGCTGCACCGTCAAGACGCCTGGAGCCAGTGGAGGTCTGTTTCAGGTAGTTGCGGTAGTCCCAGGGGTTGCTCGCGTCTACGGGTCCTGCGTCGTCATCGTCTTCACCGAACAAGCCCTCTTCGGCCTCCGTTGCCAACGGCGGGTATGTGGCCGCCAGCACGCCCGCGTCACTCTCCGTTGGCGTCTGTACCAAATTGAACTCATGACAATCTCTCAATCTCTCCAACACGAGCTCTGCGTCTTTGCCACTCCCTCTGCTTACCAATGCATACAACTCTTGACTAGCAGTAGACCTTCCACCGTACTTGTACCCATCCTTGCCGTCACGCAGGTCTAGCCGTGCTTCACAAATGTCCGACGACGGCTCGAGCTTGTATCGGGCATCTTTTGCTGCCTTTAAAGGAGGCTTATGGTTATACTGGATGCTCGTGAACTTCTTCGCCTCCGAAGGTTTCACCACGCTCTGTCCCAGTCGGATGGGGAAGGTGGCCTGCGAGTTGAAGTCGATTGCAGGTGTAGATCGTGCTGTCGCTGCCGTCATGGTGCAAGCTGTGGTGAGGGTAGACCTTCAAGATCCTATACCAAGAAGAAGAGGAGCAAGAGCAAGAGCCTCTTTTGAAACCACAGGTGCCACAGGCAAAGGATGAGGAGCTTCCCTTTGTTCGCGAACTGCGTGATGTTGGATCGACGCCTGACGTAAGCGGAGATAAGGCTGCGGAAGCTGCGGAGATAGCCGAACCCTGAATCTGTTTTCGACTTCTGGCATATCGAAGGACTCCTCCTCCTTCACCATGCTTCTGCCGCTACGACCGCAATACATGCATAGTGCGCATGGCCGCAGCGTAAAGTTTATGTAGCAATGAACATGGTCCAGTCGCTAAGGATGTCGGAAACGGTTGTTGAAAGCCTACCCATGCGATGAAGATCAGATGGATGTCTCGAATGATGTCTGATATTGGACGTATAGGTCCGCACAAGCGGCCAAGGAGCTACGAAGTAGGCAATCCGAAGTCGACTTGACAACAAGAAGTGCTGATCGTTGGCAGAATTCTCTCGAGTTGATCGATGGCCGACGGCGACGGGCCAGGCCAACGCCTACGTCGTCAAGGCCAGATGGTGCCAAGGGGCCGTCGACTACAAGCCGGACGCCGGATCTAAGGGGAACGCCGAGCATTGAAGGCATGTCGCAATGGCTACAGATGCTCGGCCATGCGACTGAACGTATCAATGCCTTGAACATCGTCCATATTGCCGGAACCAAAGGCAAGGGCAGCACCTGTGCCTTCACGGAGTCATTCCTAAGAGCCCACGGCAGAAGAACTGGCTTCCCTAGTAGAACAGGTCTCTACACATCTCCTCATCTTATTGAGCCTGAGGAGAGAATCCGGGTCAATGCTCAGCCTCTGGACCGTGACCTCTTCGCGAAGTACTTCTTTGAGGTGTACGACAGGCTGCCTCAACTATCAGACGCGACGTCCGACGAGAAGACAACAGTGGTCGAGCGAGGTCCACGGTTCCTCCAGCTCTACGCACTTCTTGCCTTTCACGTCTTCATCAGTGAGAACGTCGACGTGGCGGTTGTGGAAACACACAGCGGTGGCGAGTACGACGCAACGAACGTGATCGAACAACCTATCGTCACAGCCATCACGATTTTAGGATTGGACCACGTCGATATGCTCGGCCCGACTATCGAGAACATCGCATGGCACAAAGCTGGCATTTTTAAACCTGGTGCTGTGGCACTGTCGACTATGCAGGACGTTGCGCCTGCAAAGGTGCTTGAGCGGCGATCCGCAGACAAGGGAGAGCACGTTCAGTTCATTGGCGAAGACTCTCGACTTCCGAAAGGCGCCTTGCCGTTGAAACCCAGTGTTCAGAAGGAAAATGCTTCCCTCGCTGTTGCTGCCACTGAAGCATGGCTGGCTGCAAGGAGTCCGGTAGAGAGGCAGACGTTGACTCAGGAAGATATAGACCTTGGAGTGCAGCAATGGTGCTGGCCTGGCCGCTTCCAGATCGTCCAAGCAGAGAATGTGGCCTGGTTCCTGGACGCTGCTCACAACGAAATGAGCGTCCAGATAGCTGCGCAGTGGTTCGTCGAAGCCGGCAAAGAGCTCGATGCCAGCACTTCAGCAGATCAGGTCCTGGTCTTCAGCCACATCTCTGAATCCAGAGATGCGGTGGGCCTACTTCAGGCACTGGCAATTGCGCTGGAAGGCAATGGAGCGCAGATCTCACACGTCGTCTTCACGACGTACGACGAATCGGAGCAGAAGAAAGGTTACAAGCCTCCGAATGATTGTGGTGCCTTCCACGAGGTCTGGAGGCAGGTGTTTCCCGAGACAATTATCTGGGACCGGCCTACAGTCCAAGGGGCACGTGACCTGGTGGAAAGTCTTGCAGCAGAACAGCAGAGTGCCCTCAGAGGTCTGCAGACGCTTGTGACAGGAAGCCAGCACCTTGTGGGGCCAATGTTGAAGTGTCTTCAGAATAGAGGACCGACGTCCAAAACAGTGTAGACTTTTGATATAACAGTATACATATTTCGCTCGAACGCAGTCAAATCTCTTCCCACTTGTCTGTCCTACGTTCAGTCCTGCTCGCACCCACCTCTCCTCCACCCGCCACCATCTAATCTACTTCCCCATCACAGCCCCCCTCGACACCCCAAACAAAGGCACCACATCCGTCCAAAGCCTAAACTGATGAATCCCCTGCCCGACCAACGCCTCCAACCCAGCCACACTCCTCCACCCACTCTCCCCCGCCAAATCCATCAGAGCCGTGACGGCGGGCTTATACGCCATCTCCAGCAACACCTTCCCTACGTTCCCAGCTTTCACGCCTGCGGTGTTCGGAGCCGTCACGCCGACTTCGAAGATTGTGCCGAGGATTTCACGCATTTGAGGGTCGATGGGCGAGTCGCCGGGGATGGTGCCGATAGCTACCGTCGGCTGCTGGCCTTCTGGTATCCGCTGAGTGTCGTCGACGCTGCTGAGGAGGCGGATATTGTAGTCTTCCGAAAAGCTCTGCGTGAGATCAGAAAGCTTCGCCTTGTTGCGTCCGACGAGGTAGATAGGGCTATATCCCATATTCTTCAGCGCGTAAATCGCCGCTCTCGCTGTCCCGCCGCCGCCGATCACCATGCCGGCTTCGGTGAGGACGCCGGCGGAGCCGTTGGCGCCGGCGTTGCGGAGCGCGAGTACCATGCCTTGCCAGTCGGTGTTGTAGCCGGTGAGGGTCTGCTGGCCTCCAATGTCTTGTTGCGGGACGATGGTGTTGACGGCGCCGATGACCTTGGCTGCGGGATCGATGGCGTCGAGGAGGGGCATGACGTCCAGTTTCAACGGGATGGTTACACTGCCGCCGCCAAAGTCTGGGCTGCGGATGGTTTCCTCAATGTCGATGGCTTTGTCGGTCTCGAATAGCCCGTACTGATGCGGTAGCCCGGTCAACGGGAACAGCGTGTTGTGCAGCGCAGGGCTCCTGCTCTGACTGATTGGTTTGCCGAAGAGGAAGAACTTCTTCGCTGCGATCTCACCAACTATCCCCAGCACTGTCCTGATCTCCGCAGCCGACACTTGCCCTGGCGCGGCTTTGGAGGGCAGCGCTGGATGCGAGACTGGTGTCATGAAGCCATTGTTGACCCTGCTCATCTTGCCAATCTCACCCATGTTCATAGCGATGAAAGGCACCTCCGGATGCTCGGCTGCCGACCACCTCTTGAACGCCTTCAGATCATCATTGTCCTCGGACGATCTTGCAACACCAACGAGTTTGACGATGTCCCCAAACTCTCTCGCCCCTTCATAGAACGGCCGCCAGTCCTCCGCATCGTTCGCCCACGAGAAAGCGCCATTCGGATCATGATGCGAAGCAATAATCGTGCACATCTTGCGATGCGACAGCACAAACTCCTTCAACTTCGGCGCAGCAGTGAGCTCGACATCCACAAAATCGAAGCCCATGCGCAATCCGATCCTGTACAGCGCCAAAGCACGCTTTGTATCGTCATCTGGAAAGCTTCCGCCCTGCGATACCGTCCGCAGCGTAAAGATAAGCGGCAACGTGCTCGAAGCTCTCAACAGCGCCACCTGCTCGACCAAGAAGTCCGGAGTCGGCAGTCCGTCCTCAGCATCAGGATCGACCAGGAGATCCACCCTCAATTCAATAGCGTCCGAGCCCATCGTCACTTCAGGCAAGATGGGCTTTACCTTATCCACCTGCGGCAACGTCAAAGCGATGAAAAACGAATGCTGCTTCCTCGTTATCTTCGCCAGCGCCTCGCTGCGCCCAGTCATCGTGAACAAGAACCTGGTGAAGTCGTCCAATGGACTTGTCCAGCCGGCAATCGTCGCGCTCTCATCGACGGTCTGTGAATGGTAATGCAGATTGCTGCACTCCTCGAACCAAGGCTTTCGACGGAGGTAGACGCCCATCATATCCTCTACATACGCTGGGCGCGTCTTGTCGATCTGGAGGAAGTCCATCACGAGCTGGATATCCCTAGTGACGAGCAAGACCATACCATCTTTCTGCCAGTCCTTCAGAAGTTGCCGAGCTTCCGGCGTCTCCACAATGCCACCGCCTGTAGCGAAGACGTGTCCGTTTGGCTTCTCTTTCATGACAGTCTTCAACACATCCAGTTCTTTGCGTCGGAAGCCCGCCCAGTCATTGCCCTTCAGCATCTGAGGAATGGTCATGCCTTCCACTCTCTCGAGCTCTGTGTCGAGATCGAGAAGCGGCCAACCCAAGATCCGTGACGCCCAGCCGCCAGCCGTGGTTTTACCCGCTCCTCGCATGCCAATGATGAAGATGCTCTTCTTCACCTCGCCGACGTTGTAGACGCCGTTTACTCCGTTCGACGCTGACACCCCGTTGCTCTGGCTGTGCTTCGGCTCCACGCCCGCCAACTCAACCTTGAACAGCTGATGCAGCTGGTCCCACCAGCCAGGCCACGTCTTACCCACGCACTCACGCTCCAGAATCAGCGTCTCAATAGGCGTGACGAGGCCAAGTACGCTGAAGCTCATAGCAACGCGATGGTCGTCGTAGCAGTGGACGCCGCCTCTTGGCTCACTCACGTCGAGCCCTCGCCCCTCGATCTCGATGCCATCCTCAAGCTCCCGCGACACCACCCGAAACTTGCCAAGTTCATCATGCATAGCCTTGATGCGGTTGCACTCCTTCTGCCGCTGATTCGCAATCCCAGTAATTCTGGTAGTAGCACCATGCTTCCCAGGCTTCGCCACAGCGGCAAGGACAGACGCTGTCAAGAACGCATCAGTCATCGGCTCCATGTCTACCTGCGGCAGTGGGTTCAGCTCGCCCATGGGCGGACCCGTGACCGTCGTGCTTGTTTCGGTCTGATTGACCTTACAGCCCATCGGCTCCAGCACGTCTATAGCGAACCTCGCATCGCCTTGTAGCGAGGCAGAGCCAATGTTGGGCACGGTGCATGTCGTGCCAGTGATCGCAGCAACAGCCAGCGGGTACGTAGCGCTGCTTGCATCGCTCTCGACCTCATATTCGGCGGGATTGGCGTACTTCTGCTTCGGCACGTGGTACACGTTCTTCTCAGTCTTACTTCGCGTGACGTGCACACCGAAGGAAGCCATCATGGCAATCGTCATGTCAATGTACGGCTGACTGATGACTTTGTCGCCGACCAGACGCAGCGTGACGGGCTTCTTCGCATAAGGTGCACACATGAGAATGGATGAGACGTACTGCGAAGACACCTTCGCCGTCAACTCGATGTCGCCGCCTTCGAAGCCGCCAGCAGCGCCAATGCGAAGCGGGAGGCTCTGGCTGCCTTCTTTCATGTAGTCAATGCTGACGCCGTTCGATCGCAGCGCATCGACGAGAGGACCTTGTGGGCGCTCCTGCATGCGTGCATTGCCGGTCAAGACGGTGTGTGAAGCCTTCGATGTCGCCTGGGCAAGCGAAACCGCAGTGGTAAGGAACCTCGATGCGGTTCCAGCATTTCCGATGTAGATCTCGTCGGAGCTGGCCTTGAGCGCGCCGCCATTACCATTGAGTACGAGCGTCTCGCCTTCGTCTTCCCAACTGTACGTGGCTCCTCCAAGCTTAGCAATGGCCGAAAGCATGAATTGAGTGTCGTCCGAGTGCAATAGATTGCTGATCCTACACTTGCCTTGCCCCAGAGCGGCCATCAACAAGACACGATTCGAAATACTCTTGCTGCCGGGCGGCTTGCAGGAAACATTCAGCCCCTTTTGTACACCCGGCTTGATCGCAATGCTGGGCGTGAGGACAATTCGGATGTCCTTGTCTGCAACCTTGGTGGCTTGTGGCTCGTAGCACTTCCCGATGGCCGAAAGAAGCACAACTTTTTTCTGCGAGCCGGAGTTCTTCTTGTCGACAGCCATGCGTCGCAGTAGCTCGTCAGCTTCACACTTCTTGGTAGTTCGGTTGGTGATCAGCTTCGACTGCAGTGATGTCGGTAGGCCGTAGCTCGAGATGCATTTTGACAGCCTCGCAACTGCGCCAGGTGGCAGCACACCCAGATACCTCGCAAGCTCGGCCTCTGCGACCATCCCTACAGCCACACTTTCGCCATGCAATATCTCCGGCGTCAGAATCGCCTCATATGCATGTCCGATAGAATGCCCAAAATTTAACAGATTCCTCAACCCTCCCTCTTTCTCGTCCGCCGAAACAACCTCCGCCTTCACCTTCGCACTACCCAGCACGATCCTCTTAAAAGACTCTTCCACCCCCTCAAACCGCCCAGGCCCCGCCGGCCTATCTAACGCAGCCATAATCGCATCCGCGTTCTCCTCCAACCGCTGAAACTCATCCTCGTCCCAAATCGCCGCCGTCTTCACGACCTCCGCCATCCCATTGCACACCTGCCGCTTATCCAGCGTCTCCAGAAATGCGAGGTCAATGTATATCCTCTCGGGCTGGTGGAAAGCACCGATAAGATTCTTTCCTAGTGGTGTGTCGATCGCCGTCTTGCCGCCGATGCTGCTATCCACCATCGCAAGCAGGGATGTAGGAATCTGGCAGAACCGCACACCACGCATGTACGTCGCGGCGACGAAACCGATCAGATCTCCCATGACACCACCTCCCAGTGCCAGAATGACAGTATCCCTCGTGCATCCCTGCTGCAGCAACCAATCCTCAATCTGCGCCTTCGTCTTCCTGCTCTTCGACGTCTCGCCGGGCTTGACTTGGTCATAGATCAATAGTCTCACCTCATCCTCGCTCTTCCCCAAGCTCTCCCGCTCCGCTTCAAAGCGCGTCTTGAACAGCGGCACATAGTCCAGCTTCGCCAGGTTCGAGTCGCAGATCAGGACATAGGTGGAGCTGGGGACGTTGCGGAGGATGTCGGCGACGACGTATTGGCGCCAGAGGCCGTAGTCGACTATGATGCTGTCTTTGCCCAGTATAGGCACGACAACTGCTGAGGTCTCGCCGTTGGTGGCCATGGTGTAGTATATCTCCTCTTGAGTTGTTCGTCCTAGCTCACCAGTTGCTCATACACGAACAACGGCGCTGCGTCTCCGAGAGGGAGCTGGATGGAGTGTAGGTCGAGGAAGTCCCAAAGGCGCTGCTTCTGCATTCGAGGTCAATTCCTACGCATTCTCGCAATGACCATGATTCTTTATTTGACTTGTGGATCGAGTCATCTACAGACCGCTTCAAGATCAAAAACTTTTGGAGGCTCGTATGCAGGCACCGGCCTTAGCGCGAGCCACAAGCGGAGTTATGGTAAGCAGGGTATGAGTTCATCCAGACTCTCTAATAAGACCTTCACAAGTTCACCACAGCTACTGTCCCCAGATGTGGATTATGAATCAGGCGCTACATAGCATTTGTCCATGCATATGAACAGTCTAGACCAATGTAATCTCCTTCACGTTCGAATCCTTCCTCACCACCTTCCCACACTCCACCCCATAAACATCAGCTTCTCCAACCAGCCAGTAAGCCCCATCACCTCTCGGCCTCAAGACCAGCGGCACCTCACTCCCCACCCTGCCTCGACCGCCTCGGCCCAATTCCAAGAAGCCCATCCTCCGTCACGAACGGCACGCGATTCCGCACCATAAGGGAAACACGTTTAGCAGAATGATCCGCCGCTAGACTCCAATCGCCAGACGCAATCCCTCTCGCCTCGCCCAGCAGCTAGTTGAAAGCCCACTGCCAGTCTGCGACATGATTGAGCTGGGCGTGCGGGAGTGTAGGCGTACGATTGCAGATCGGCAGCCTCCAGCCACCGCCCGCGACAGCACCAGGTTGAATCTCGAGGGTAGCGGCGAGGAAGTGGGCGTAGGATCTGAGCCAAGCGAGGGCATAGTCTCCTGCGCTCTCTTTGTTGTGGGCTGGTATGGATGGAAAATTTGGAGAGCCGAGTAAGGTGTCTACCTTCTTTGCTTGGAGAAGAAGGTGATTGTTGTGGAATTCGTACAGGAAAGGAGACTGCAGGCCGAGGCTGCCTAAGAATCGACTTTTGGCTGGCGGCTCTGTTGAGATGGGAAATCTCAAAGTCTCCACGGAGACGTCCGGGACCCATGTGGGCAAGGATGATGGGGGCTGAGCGTCGACGCCGTTGCAGAGACCGAGAGTGTAGGTTCCAAAGGCGTCTAGCAGGTACTTCGCCACATTAAAGCGAAGCTGACGTTGCACGCCCTCGGGGTCTGCGTTGGAGTAGTCGGATTTGTCGAGCAGGTACTTTCGTGTATTGAGAAGGGTCTGCCAGCGCCGCCTGGAGTTCTCTGAGGCGGAGAAGTCGGTTTTCCACTCCATGTCCGATGATATGCTGACAATTGCGTATACGTGGTCGACCGGCAGTGAAGCCTCCAGTCGGTGGTCTGGACTACAAGCCTTGATAGAGAGTCGGTGAGCCATTGTGAGATTCTCGACCTTGTCCTTGCCCGTGGCAGGTGCGTAACCGTTGATGCATGTCTGTCGCATGCGTGACCAACACCAGTCGAGCTCTTCGATGACATTCTGCGGCCGGGTAGGCCTTGGCTGGCCAGCAGCGATGTTGACTTCTCGCGCATATTTCAGAGTTGAGAGAATGGCATCATTGGCCAGAACAACCTTGACCCACCTCAAATGGAGGATACCGCATCTCAAAAAAATATGGCGAGGTTTGGGCAGGCCAACTTCCTGCTGTACCCACAGCCGCCTCCACCAGCGACGTTTGAGCAACGCTCTCAGGGGACCCAGAGTCTCGTCATAATGGTTGCGAATACAGGTCAGTCTCCGGTCCACGCTGAGCCCGACCCTGATTTGTAGTATTCCTGAGCGTTGCGGGTCAACACTGGCTTGTCCTTTGGCCAAATACCCCAGAAAGTCGAATGCGTGATGGGTGTCCTCATCGGCGGGACCAAGGTATATTTGGACGGTGCTCGCTATCATATAGATGTCGCCCATCATTGCTACTTGGTGCTTCTTCTCCTCTTGGTCGCTTTGATCAGTCGGAAGCGCATCTATCCAATAGCTTTTGGAGGTGGCATGGGCATCGTGAAGATCGAGGATGGCCTGCTGCAGGAAGTCGTAGAGATTTTTCGTGACAAGCTTTCGCTTGCCATCCAGAACGATAGGCTTCTGGTCACCTTCGTCGCCCAATGAGTAAGATAGTGCGGTGTATTTCGGCTTCTGTTTGATAGCGACAGCTTTCAGGACGCATTGCGGTGCTTCGCGAAGCTCTTCAAGGGTCGTACGCTGGGCTGCGACCTCGACAATCCTGATGTGCGTGGCAGCATCTTCGAGCGGTTCATACGTGTAAGGGGATTCAGGGAAGGAATGGTGTTGCATGGCTGCGAGAAAGCAAATTGGAAAGACAGCAAGATAGCAAGAGAGAGAGGTAGGAAAGGACTGGGCGACCGCACAGCCTCGCGTCTTTACCTGTCTCAGGTCGTGTTCTTGTATGCAAGCACTACTGTGCTGATGAGGGCTGGCAATGCCGGCCGTATCATGTCTGCCGCCGCCTCCGCAATATTGATCTGCGCGCGCCGGTGAGTGTGTCGTGCATGGTCATAAACGTGGATAGTGTGCTATAAATGAATTGCGATATTCGAGTAAGGTCAATAAGTTGGAGAAAGAAAGAAGGGCGGGATATCACGCGTTCGGCGCGAGGCAGGAACAACCGCAGCGGGAGATTTTAAGGTTTAGCTTAAATCTTAGGATGTTTAGAGATGCCGGGGAGTGACAACACAAGAGATGCTCACTGAGACACAGCATCATTCACTGCACGTTGACATACGACAAGAGCAACTCCACCAAGTACCGATCGCTAAAACCTGCATGTGTCTTATCAACACATACAGCTGTGGGCGGGGATAGGGCGCTCGCTGAGGCACCACAATCACTCCTGAGGAACAGTGATAAACATCACAGCATCTCCGACCAGCACCTACCTCCTACTGGACAAGCACCATACAACCAGCGCCTTGTGCGCCCAACACCTCCAAACATGACATCCGCCAACACGATCAAAGTCGTCGCCCGCTTCCGACCGCAGAACAAGATCGAGCAAGCAGCAGGAAGCGACCCTTGTGTAGAGTTCACGGGCGAAGACACATGTACCCTCACTTCCAACGAAGCCCCCAGCGGTGCCTTTACATTCGATCGAGTCTTCAACACGACTACCAGACAGCAGGATGTCTTCGACTATTCCATCCGCAACACGGTTGACGATGTGCTGGCCGGCTACAACGGCACGGTCTTCGCGTACGGTCAGACTGGGTCAGGAAAGACATACACCATGATGGGCGCGGACATTGAAGACGGCGAGCAGAAGGGTATCATTCCGCGCATCGTGGAGCAGATCTTTGACCGCATCATGCGGAGCGATGGCACGATAGAGTTTATGGTTAAGGTTAGCTACATGGAGATTTACATGGAGCAGATTCGAGATCTGCTGGTACCAACGAACAGCAATCTACCCATCCACGAAGACAAGGCGAGAGGGGTGTATGTCAAGGGTCTGAATGAGTTCTACGTGGCTAACGTGGGCGAGGTCTACACGATTATTGAGAAAGGTGGGCAGGCAAGGGCAGTCGCGGCGACCAACATGAACCAGGAGTCTTCGCGATCACACTCCATTTTCGTGATCGAGGTGATGCAGAAGAATCTTGAATCTGGGTCTGCGCGATCTGGTCGGCTGTTCTTGGTTGATTTGGCTGGTTCAGAGAAGGTGGGCAAGACTGGCGCCTCTGGACAGACGCTTGAGGAGGCGAAGAAGATCAACAAGTCATTGTCCTCTCTCGGCAATGTCATCAACGCGCTCACGGACGGCAAGAGCAGCCATATCCCGTACAGAGACAGCAAGCTCACGCGTATCTTACAAGAGTCGTTGGGAGGCAACTCCAGGACCACGCTCATCGTCAACTGCTCACCATCTAGCTACAACGATGCCGAGACACTATCGACACTACGGTTCGGCGAACGAGCAAAGACCATCAAACAGAAGGCCAAGATCAACGAGGAGCTCTCGCCCGCCCAGCTCAAAGCACAGCTCAAGAAGGCGCAATCACAAGTCTCCACATTCGAAGAATACATCAAGTCACTGGAAGGCGAAGTCAGCGTATGGCGGAAAGGCGAGCAAGTGCCGAAAGAGCAATGGACACCCGGTATCAAAGAAGGGGGAGGCAGCACATCACAGGCGCCGCCACGGTCTGCAACGCCTAGTAGGCTCAGATCAGGTGCGGAGACGCCGGGTACGCCTCGTCCGGATAGCAGGATGGATATTGACAGGGCGGGCACGCCGAGCATACCCATGGAGAAGGATGAGAAGGAGGAGTTCTTGAAGCGGGAGAATGAGCTGCAGGATCAGTTGGCGGAGAAGGAGTCTGCGCTGGCTGCTGCGGACCGGGCTTTGAAGACGGCGCAGGACGAGCTGAAGGAGCTTCGCGAATCGCACGTCAACGTGTCACGAGATAACGAGAAGCAGAGAGGCGATATCGAGGGCATGCGGATGCAGTTTGAGAAGCTCGAGTTCGAGACGAAGGAGGCGGCTATCACGATGGACTCGCTTAAGGAGGCAAATGGAGAGCTCACCAATGAACTCGACGATGTCAAGGCTCAGCTGCTGGACGCGAAGATGTCTGCGGCGGAGTCATCGCAAGCACTGGACGAGAAGGAGAAGGTCAAGAAGGAGCGTATGGCTCAGATGATGGCCAGCTTCGATCTCGGTGACGGCATGATGTCGCAGAACGAGATGCAGATTCGCGAGATGATCCAGCAGGTTGAGAGTCTGCTCGGCATTGCGGACAGTGGCGAGGCTGTTGCGCCAGATGAGCTTCTGGCGCTGAAAGATCGTTTGATGGAAGTCCAAGGAGTGGTCCGACAAGCAGACATCGGCGCCAACGGCCATGCCGACAGTGCACGAAATGCTGTTCTCGAGCAGAAGTTCGTGCAGCTGCAGCAAGATTACCAGAACATCCTCGAGCGCAATCTTTCGGAAGGGGATGTCGAGGACATCAAGCGACAACTCTACGACAGCCTCTCAGACCAGCAGAACGGCACCTCCCACTCTCCCGACCTCCAAGATGCCCTCGACCGACAACAAGCAGAAAGCGACCGTCTACGAAGCGAACTGGACGCTTTACGAAAACAAGCCGTGAACGGCGCCAATGGAGCAACCCTCAACAAGCAACTCGCCGACTTCGACACGATCAAGAAGTCCCTCATGCGCGACCTGCAAAACCGCTGCGAGCGTGTCGTGGAGCTGGAGATCTCTCTTGACAGCACGCGCGAGCAATACAACAGCATCCTGCGCAGCTCAAACAGCAAACAGCAGCAGAAGAAACTCGCCTTCTTGGAACGTAACCTCGAACAACTGACGCTCGTCCAGCGCCAATTGGTGGAGCAGAACGCGCAATTGAAAAAGGAAGTCGCCATCGCCGAGCGCAAACTCGTTGCCCGTGGCGAGCGGATACGCGGGTTAGAGGCGTTGGTGGCGGAGAGTCAGGATAAGTTGATGTCTGCTAATCACAAGTACGTCCCCTCTCCCTTCCAACCACCTCCTTCTCCCACTAACTGTTGTGGCGACAGATTCGAATCCCAACTCCTAGCAGTAAAAGAACGCCTCGAAGCCGCTAAGCAGGGCTCCACCCGCGGCCTCGTCGGTGGCCAACCCTCTCCCGCCGGCGTTGCCTCGAATTTTGCGAACAATCCTTTCGGCCGCATCGCGAAGCCTTTGCGTGGAGGTGGCGGAGGAGGACCACAGGATTCTGGTGGCAGTCAGCCCGTGGTGCCGACGTTTGCGGGTTTGCAGGCGCAGGGGCAGCAGGAGGGTGGTGCTACTGGGGGGAAGAGGGGGAGTTGGTTCTTTAATCAGAGGACTTGAGTTAAGAGGAGGGGGGATAGGGTTATGAGAGATGGGGTTATGCGGTTTAGGATGAACATGAGGCTGGATTGTGGAAGGGGTTGAGGTTTTGGTACTTTTTGGTGATACCCTTCATTGCAACTTGGGCTGAGCAGGGGCTGCTTGGGAGTACATCTAGATAAGGTAGTGAGCGGTAGATATACAGCCTCCTGGGGATTGTTGATGCCAAGCTTCCTCGCTCGGTGACTTCTCCGCGATCGTGGTGATGTTGGTGCTCAGAGCTTGCTTGACCACACTTCCACCACTCACCTCAACACCTGAGATCACAAGCCCGACACCACGGTTCCCATCGCGTGGCCACAACATGACGCTCACATGGCTCTCCACCAAATCGCGTGCAAGCGTCCCACATATCTCTCGACAATACCAACAAAGCCCCACTCATTCCGCTCAAATCCTTTGTCTTGTCCGCGCTAAGGCGGACATCAATGTCCTCTCGAAAACTTAGTGCCTGCCTCTCTCACCCGCGCGAGGAAGAAGCAACGCCGTCGTGTGCTACCGTGATGGAAGGGCACGGGCGCTGGGTATTAATTGCGTCGACAGAGTTTGCAGGAACACCACACAGACGCACCTAGATCGCTGCATCTCCTACTCCTACAGTACCTCGTTAAAAACGCCGACACTCGTTTGAAACGACATCCTAGCAGCGACTATGGCAGACAACTACGGCATCAGCGACCCGACCAGCGTGGATCTCACCAACGTCGACGATGCGATGATGCGAGCCATCACGTGCTACCTCAATGCCGGCGAGAACGAGTATGACGGCCGACTTGGGGCGCGGGTGTCGGCTTTGTTCGTGATACTGGTCACGTCGACGGCGTGCACGTTCTTCCCCGTGTTGGCCACGCGGACGAGCAAGTTCAAGGTGCCGTTGTACGTGTACCTCTTCGCGAGATACTTTGGTGCTGGGGTCATTATTGCGACGGCGTTCATTCAGTGAGTACATTACCTCACTCCCGGGTTTCTTGGTGGTGAAGGGCATGTGCTGATGCGGTGATAGCCTTCTGCAACCAGGCTACGATGCCATCGGCCCGGCGACATGTGTCGGCATGACCGCCGGCTGGAACCAATACGCCTGGCCGCCCGCGCTCGCGCTCACGTCCGCCATGTTCACGTTCCTGCTGGGCTTCGCTGCTGAACGGTACGTGGAGAAGAAGTACGGCATGCCGCATAACAGCGGCGAGAGCCCGCTCGAGATCGAGAACGGTCATCACCACCACCACGGCTCCGTCGACGCCGCCGCCATGAAGTACAACACCTCGCGTCGTCGCTCGACCCACCAAGGTCTCCACTCCGCCGACCAAGACAGGCAGATGATGGCTCCACTCCCTACGGGAGAGCACAAGAACGCCTCGCCCGACGAGAGCTACGACGACAACAGCATCGACTCCGCCAAAGACAAGATTGCGCACGTGGCGTTCCGCCAGCAGATCGCGGCTTTCCTCATACTCGAGTTCGGCGTCATCTTCCACAGCGTCATCATCGGGCTGACGCTTGGGACGGCGGGTGAAGAGTTCCCGTCGCTCTACCCCGTCATCGTCTTCCACCAGGCGTTCGAAGGTCTGGGAATCGGCGCACGGCTGTCTGCCATCCCGTTTCCTAGGAAGTTGCGATGGATGCCGTGGACGTTGTGTGCGGCTTATGGGTTGACGACGCCGATTGCTATCGCCATTGCGCTCGGCGTGCGGACAACGTATAACGCTGGGAGCTTTACTGCGAGTGTTGTGTCGGGAGTGCTGGATTCGACGTCGGCGGGCATCCTGATCTATACCGGGTTCGTGGAGTTGATCGCGAGAGACTTCTTGTTCAATCCGGACCGAACGGATGATGACAAGCAGCTGGCTTTCATGATCGTGTCGGTGCTGTTGGGGGCGGCTATCATGGCGTTACTCGGCAAGTGGGCGTAATTCCTCTCCCTGCGTCTCCAGGTCCGTAGTCCTTTGCTTGCACCTTCATAGCCGTGAAGAGATCGGTCTACACATCTCCTTGCAGCGTCGGAGGAATGATATCGCGAGTGGGTATGATACACTTTCGCTTGGCTGCATGGGGCTGTGCTTGGTGAGCTATAGGCCTGGGATCAGCAATTATAGTGGCTGAAGTGCATGAAGGGGCTCTGCGGCACGACGGTCAAACGGGCGTGGGCTGGACGTTGTGCGTTGAACTCTGTGTACTATACTCTGTACCTCTATACCTAGCAATAGATTCCAGTCGTTGCCGTAGCCGGGAGGCCGGTCATGGGGCTGCTTGATAGAGTTCGAATACCGTAATAGAAGGATTGCAAACCCCGCGTACGTTTCGTCGGAGTTGTTCAGGCATTCGTCGTTCAAGGTCGTTCCTTGGTGCTGCCCAATACGAAAAACCTTGATTGCGACGTCGGACAAAGGCTCCGTTACCCCGGGGTGATCGACAACAACAGATCGACGGCATATCGAATCAGTCTTGACATGTGATAAGCACATTCGAAGAAGTCAACGTGCTGAACACTGAACAGCAACACTTCCCATAATAAAACGTGTCCTTGCAGAGCGGGGGTCGGTGCAGGGTTACCTTGGATTTTGCGCGCACATGCAAAGACCCACAGACCACTCTCGTTCCATCTGGTTCCAGGCCTTGTCACGATTGATCTCCGACCAAGCCGCCGTCGCGGAAGCGCAGCACACACTGCGCCCAACTCTCGCGTTTGACAAACCACACACACTTCTCGCTCTACTGCCCGCTGAACCACTCGACTCGGAGAACGTGACCATTCTCGACTCTCACTTACGACTGGCTTCTGTATTGCTTTCCATGTGCTTCTCGTTGTAGCCGACTTGGAAACAGCCCCCGCCTTCATCTCGACCTTGGCCCTTACCTCACACCAAAACCACCACGCGACTGACCGCAGGCTGGCCCAGCTGCGGCTTCCCTTGCGCATGGGTGATGCGGATGGGAGAAGGAACGCACCGGATCTCCCAGACGCAACAACGAATGCAAGCGCACATGCACGCCGCCGCCAGTTCGCGGCCGCTTTTGCTGCCTTTCCCTCGCCTGCCAGTGTCAGCAGTAGTGCTGTGAATACGCCGGTTCTCGAGCGGCTGCCTATTAAGTCTACCACCAACACCAACTTCTTCTCCTCTCGCCCTCGGGCCCCTACTGTGACTACTACACCTAGAAATGAGCTGTGGGAGTCTGCTGTCTCGGCCGAACCTGACACCATCTGCCAGGAAGCCGTCCTCACACCACCTGCGAACGACATCTTGGAGCCTGGATTGAATATGATTGTCGGCGGCGCTCTGGCTCCTACGCATGAGGCGAGACCTACCCTGCCCTCGCGGAGAAGTCGACTGGATCTCCAGCTGCCGTCGTTCGATATGCTGGGTATTGCCGCGCCGCATCCGGATCGCTACGGACTCGTGCCGCTGGAGAGTCTGCCGGCTGGAGACCTCACGCCTGGCTCGCTGGAACTCCCAGAGGGTACGGCGGATCTCACCAGCACTCTGGGCGGGATGAAGCTGGAGTCGCCGCTGCCTGCTCCCGCAGTTCGAAACCCGCTGAGCGAGAAGTTGCCGGGGACGGGTGTCAGGTCGCCGGCGCAGTATATTGGCGATCCGCTCACGCCGCCGGAGGAGGTGCCTGATATTGATTGGAATCATGCCGCGCTTGTTGATCGGCCGGTGGCGTTCGCGGATGAGCAGCCGTTGGGGAGGCCTTCGGCTTCAGAGCAGAGTCGGGCCGGGGCACAGAATGCCCAGTCGGGGTCCGGACGGCCTCTGTCGGGACCTTTAGGGTCTGGTCAGTCTCCGCTGTGGTTTGACAGTGCTCTTCACACCATTGGTGAGTCCGCTTTCAGCGTTTCTTATTGTCCTTCGCTGACGCACATCAGTCGACGACCTGCGATCTGCACCTATACCGAACAGCGGTCTCCGAATCCTGTCGCATGCATTGCCCAGTCCATCGCCTAACGGGCACGTCTTCACCAGCGTCATCACCGCTATCCAGCAAGAAACGACTGCTGTGGAGTCATGGATCAATGTCTTTCACGCGATTCCAGGCCGCTTCAACCTCGCTGATCTCCCCAGATCACCACCTTCCACACCAGGTCCGGCTGTTGGGGGCACTGACTACTTCACCGAGAAGATCTTCGACTCAGCAGTGTCGATTGCAGACTACCAAGAAGACCTTTCGCAGCTGCCTAGGTCGCCTCGCACAGTCGTCCCGCCGTCGTCAGTCGACATCAGCATTGTTGAGCGATACATACCACCAACATCATCAAACGAGTTCAAAGAGATGTTCCGCCTCGAAGGCCAGTCCATCCTCGTCGACCGACTACGAGAACTCTCTACAAACAACGGCAGCCTCCTCTTCATCTACCCCACCAAAACCGGCGGCCAGACCTTTATGAGAGAATACCTCAGCCCCGTCCTCGACCCCACCCTCCGCACCATGGGCGTCGTCCACGGCCTCTCCTCCTCCATGGCCACCACCCTCGGCGGCATGGCCGCCGTCGAACGCCTCCCCGACCACGCCGCCTTCCAACACCAGCTCGAAACCCTCCTCGCCCGCATCTCCCACGGCGGCCCCGCGATCGAACGCCTCTTCGAACAACACCATACCCCGCACCTCACACTCGCCTACGCGGCGCGGCAGACGGTGATGCTGGACCGCGCGACGTGGGCGTCGTGCTGGTGGACGAAGCAGGAGAAGCCGCGGATAAGAGAGGCGGTGACGCGGTACGCACGGGAGGCGCAGACGCGGAGCAGCAACGCGCATGTGGAGCGGCCGCGGACGTCGACGGAGCTGCTGCAGGAGTTGCTGAAGGGAGTGGCGGAGAAGCCGTATCCCGCTGGGCAGGGGCCGAGGCATGGGATTGAGGTTGGTGTGTTTGTGGTGAAGAGGTCGGCGTAGGGTTTGTGATGAGATGAGCATATGACGGGACAGGATGGGATGGGATGGGATACATGGGACGGCAATGAAAGTATGAGGGCCATGGGGAAGCATTTCTGAGCGTTTTGTTGCTTGTTGCTGTTGATGCTAGATACCACGTCGTCTCCTGGGAACGCTACCTGCTACTAGAGTAATGAGTAATACTTCTTGTCCAGCGGGCTTCCTCGCCTTCAACAGCCGTGAGGTCCAGTCCGAGCGAACTTGAATACCGGAAGGTACAACCAGACGGGACGCACGGAGAAGCACGTGAGGTGATTACAGCTCAATTCAGCCTTCGCCACCCGAGCACGCAACGACCCAAGACTGGAGCCATTGGTGGCGTTGTTATCCCCGCAACTTTCGAGAACAACCGAACTCGGCAATACGGCATGACGACAGTCTTGATGCCGTCAGCAATGGTTTGAAATACACATTGAGTTGCATATATATGTCCTTGACATCTTCGGTAGGATTCATCTTTCGCACTGCTTTTATCACGTCCTTCTGCAAAACAATATCTAGACATTCTCCATCTCCTCTGCAGCCTCCAGACTCATTGAGACAAACCCCACCTGGTTGACTACACCGAACGACCTTCTCTCAGACATGGCAACCACAACAGCGACCCGAACCCAATCCCATTCTCTCGACGTCTCGAACGACATCGAAGTTCCTCGCGGCGAAACCCACTCCACCCTAACCTTCTACGCACCACCCGCCGACGGCTCATCACCATGGAACTACGTCGAACAAGCCCCCGAAGGCTCTCCACAACGCAACTACGGCGAGGACGGCCATGAAGTGACCATCAACGACATCCGCGGCCGCGAGCACGAGTTCCAGATGAACGTCAACGGCTTCGGCACACTCTCAGGCATCGAATCGAAGGAGAAGGACTTCACCGACGACGAGGCTATCAAGACCAACTACTACCCCGAAGTTGAGAAGTTGCTATTGGACAACGTAGAAGGCGCAAAGCGCGTCTTCATCTTCGACCACACCGTCCGCCGCAGCAACCCGGACGCCAGACGCCAGCCCGTCAACCGCGCGCACATCGACCAAACCACACAGTCAGCGATCCAGCGCGTCGACTACCACATGGGCTCCGAATCCCCCGAACTCCTCAAAGGCCGCTACCGTCTGATCAACGTCTGGCGCCCGCTCAACGGTCCCGTCGTCTCCAAACCCCTCGCCTACGCTGACTCCCGCTCCGTGCCGGATGAGGATATCGTGCCGGTAGAGCATCGGTATCCGCACCGAACGGGCGAGACGGCGGGGGTGAAGTTCACGGAGAAAGGGAGGTGGTATTATTGGAGCGGGATGAAGAATGATGAAAGAATTCTGCTGCAGTGCTATGATAGTCAGGATCATGCCAGGACGCCGCATACGGCTTTCGATGACCCGAGGACGCAGGAGCATTTTCCAGGGCGGGAGAGTATTGAGGTTAGGACTTTGGTGTTTGGTTGAACGGGGAGATGGCTTTGTGTCTGATGGGTTTATGAATGTATGAGATTCTACGTTGATGAGCTTTTGTTCTTGAAGCTGTTCTACTATACACAAGGCTCTTTGGTCCTTCCTTTTTTCAGTCTGTTCCTTCTCCGTCAACGTCCTGATCCATTGACAACACTCATAGGCAACAGAGCTCACTGATAACAAACCGATTGAAAGGTCTTTGCCGTCACGAGTGAATGAACAGACTACCTGCTAGCCCTTCGAGACAAGACCTCACACAAGACAGGCAACATTGACAACAGTGCCGCCCACACCTCCAAAGAGACCACCTCCCCCTTCTTAACCACCCCCCCTTAGCCCACGCCTTCATCGCCCCTAGCACATGTTCGTTGCACCATGTGCAGCTCAACCCACCACGAATGCCCCGCCTGCACCATCAACCAAACAACCCTTCACCCCTGCTCCGCCGCCAGACTCACCGGAATCCGCTGCCCAACGCCTCTCCCAACAACACTTAAACCAGGTGACGTCCTGCCGCCGTGCTGGCACTGCGGATTCCAACCTCCAAGACCGCTGGAGACGGTCCGACGCCTTCCTGGGACCTACAGCTCGGGCCAGTATGGTGGGCAGTACAGCGGGTTTCACCAGAGCGGGAGCGACGAAAATCGTGGGATGAAGCCGCCGACACAGCCGCTGAGAATGCAGGTGTTGAGGGATCCGAAGTTGAGGTTGCCGGATAATGAGAAGGTGATGGGAAGGTATGTGAGGGAGAGGGATAGGGTGTTTGAGGAGGCTGAGGCGAGGAAGCAGCAAGCAAGCGATGGTGGCGATGGAGGGGAGGCCGGTGCGGAGCAGAGGCAGGGCCAGGGTGGGGTATTGGATGAGGCTTGGCGGGTGTTGAGGGAGAAGTTGAAGGGGCGGTGACGCTGCCGCAGAGCTAAGAGATGAGGAGGAAGTCGTGGGTACGAGAGATGAGTGTTCAAATGGCGAAAAGGAAGATGTCGTTCGTAAAGCTCACACTGTTTTGTAACGTCAACTCGTTGCGAATAAAGTCGGACGACAGAATACAAACACGTGAACCAACACACTGACCCAACAAATCCACACTCGTTCACCAACCACACCAGCATCTTACATCTTGTTAAAGTCCCTCGGATGCGCCCTCTCAATCTCCTCCACATCCCTCTTCCCACTGCCACTCAGGGTAAAATCAATGCACGACTCATAAGTCTGATCGATACTCTCCGCATTCCAGAACATTTGAATTGCACAGTGCCCGGGCTTGGAGCATTGCGAGCCCAGCGACGCCGGCATCTTGACGCTGAACTTTTCCTCGCTCTCCTTGATCGGGACAGTGTTGAGGGCGTACTGGGACCACTTCTTGAGTGGTGCGATGACGTGACCGTCGCCTTGGAGGGAGATGATGGAGACGTTGGCGTAGCCGTTGTGGGGAGCGACGATTTCGAATTCGAGAGGAACGGTTTGGCCGGGCTTGTAGTGTTGGACGTTGGCTTTGTTGTCGGCGTATTTCAGGCCCTTGCACTGGGTGGGTGTTAGTGTGGTGAGATTGTATTTCTCGGGGCCGTGTTAGAAGCATACCTTCCACAGCTTGCAAGTCTTGGGATTGTAGTCGTCCTGGCCAGCAACGACCTGGTAGAGACCCTGTATGTTACCGTTGATGGACCCCCTCATGTTGTAGTAGGCTTGCATGCCGCAGGATTTTTGGTAGGCCTCGCCTGGCTGGCGAGCACCAGGGCTCGTGAAGTAGCCGTGGGCATTGGTCAGGGCGGCCATGCTGGCGGCGGTGAGGAAGGCGAGTGTGAACTTCATCTTGACGATTGAGTTGGTTGGTATTGGTTGGTATGGGTTGGTATGTGTTGGGTTGTTGGTAGACAGATGAGCACCAGTGCTCAGTAACGATTGACTTGAAAGGTAATGAATGGACTGCTCACAGAGCAAATGGCAACGAGAACCGTTTGACGTACGAAAAAGCACAGCGTGAAGTTCTTGAGAAGGGAATGCGAAGAAGGGAAGATCTCTGTATATATCCTCACCTCACCCTCGGCTCCGCGCCAGGAGACCGATGCTCGTTTGAAGTAGATACCATCGTGGTACAGATCTCGCAAGCTGCCGTCGCTATCTTCCAGACGATTCAGAAAGCCGCTTTATCGATAGCGCTTCGTGGTATGGCGTCCAATCCACGGGCCTGGAGTTCGGGCGGGTCTTGTGCTCCTACAAATCTGTCATCAACTTGAGATTGGTGATGCCGCAGGGTCGGGTTTCAGATATGTTGAAGCTGTCTCGACCTTGGCAAGCGAGCACTTGGAACAATAGATTCCGTCTAGGCGCTGGAGAATAGCTTCGTTGCCACGTGCTGTAGTCGGGAGATGTGTGTCCGAGGCCTTGGGAATAGCTGGTCGAAGGAGATGAAGAGAGTTGGGTGGAGGAAGAAGGGGCGAGGGGGTGGAAGGGGGCGGTGGTCTCGCCATGACTCGCGTCTTCCCCTCGCGACTGAACGGCGGTACAACAACTTGCAACTTCATCTTCCGTCTCATCACTTCTTCCGATATCTCTCTGCTCCGGACAAGGCGCTGGGTGATTGGAATCATCCTGGGGCCTCTGAGGGTCTCTCGCCGTCACGACATGCTCTAGAGCAGATCTGAGCTGCGCAAGCACGCACAACGGTGATGGATGTTGGTTTTGCTAATGCTGCATTGCACGCGGAAAGCTAGACACCCGTCGCATCTTTGAAAGGGTTCATCTAGAGCAACTATTTCTCAAGGGCCTTGGAGCGGGACTATGAGGCGTCCAAGCTGTCATTTGTCTGTGTCATCGAGAGACTTATCCTTCCGCACCTCCATCCACGCTTGAGTCTGCGTAACGGGATCATCGCTCTCTTCCTCAGGCTTACTCTTCGGTTTATCAAACCCGAACTTGATGGACATTCCCCAGACGACACCCGTGGCTTGCCGGTACTCCTCCCATATGCTGATCATCTCATCGTACTTCTTTGGCATCCCTTCGGACAAGTCTTCGATCTCGCCAGGATCCTGCTCAATATCATAGAGCTGCCATTTTCCGTCCTCACGACCTTTAGCAGGAGGTCCGACATGCACGAGCTTCCATCGGCCTTGTCGTACAGCTGCCCTGCCAAAGAGCTCCCATCCCATGGAGGTCGTCCCGTCGTGGATGGCATCCAGTGCTGTCTGGCTTGCTTCTGAACCAGTCATGAACGGAACCCAAGACTTGCCTCGCATTGACACCACCTCACGACCTCTGAACACGCCCTTGCTACCCTGCGGTGCAGGATGCTGAACACCCGCCAGTTCCAGGATCGTCGGACAGAGGTCCATGACAGTGGCAAACGACCGGATCAACTCTCCACCCTGCTTCTGCTTGTCGAAACCGGGATAGTGGACGACCAGCGGCACCTTAATACCACCCTCGGTGCTCCACATCTTATACATCCTCGACGGAGCTGTCGACGCCGCAGCCCACCTCGGTCCGTACCAGACGAAGGAATTCGGTTGTCCAATGTTCTCCACCGAATTGTCGTAATAGGCGTCGATGATACTCATCAAATTGGGTCCCATGACGGGGAACGCCTCGTAGGCAGCGCCCTCTGCGCCGTTGTCGGACATGAATATGATGAACGTATCGTCGAACTTGTCAATGCTCTTGAGGTAATCAAACACTTTACCGAGGTTGACATCGATATTGTCGACCATGCCGGCATAAGCTTCCATAGCCGCAGCGGACTGCTTCCTCTGATACTCCGTCATATCCTTCCACTCCGGAATAGCAGGAGGAGCGACAACCTCATGAGGCACTACATCCTCCTTCACGATCCCCATCCTCTTCAAAGCCTCCAACCTCTTAAGTCGCAACGCATCCGGTCCTTCGTCATACACCCCCCGATACTTCTCCCGACTCTCTTTCGGACACTGCAACGGCCAATGCGGCGCCGAGAAAGGCAGGAACGCAAAGAATGGCTTCTCCTTCTCATCTTCGGTTCGTTGATCAAGATATCCGATCAACTTATCCGTATACGAATCCGAGCTGAAGAAACCATCCGGATTCGCCTCCAAGTTGGCCTCCGGCACAGATTCCACCCCATCCTCGGTATACAGCAGCGTCGTTCCGCCACCGAAGAATTTCCAGTCTTCCTTTGGATCGAGCTGCGGCTCCCACCCATAATGGTTTGACCCACCTGGAAGGAGCGCGTACGAGCGGTCGAAACCGCGGACGTGCGGGTTATGTTCGGGTTTGAGACCTAGATGCCATTTGCCGCTCATGAGGGTGTGGTAGCCGCCATCTTGTAGGAGTTCCGAGAGGGCGGCGACGGAGTGGCTGTCACAGGGAAAAGAAAATCAGCGCTTGGCTGCAGTGGTAGGGGAGGAGAAAGAGTGACTTTAGGTAGCCTTCGTGCCCAGGTACGTCCCACCGTTCGGGATCCATGCCTTTCTGCTCGTTCATGATGCCCAGGCCAGCGATGTGGTTGTCGGTGCCGGAGAGGAGCATGGCGCGGGTTGGGCTGCAGGCGGCGGCCGTGTAGTCTGTTCGCTGTCAATCGAAGCGCACGGTATGAGTGGTGCATTGGGCAACGAACAGTTGGTGAAGCGCGCGCCATTCTGTGCGAGCTTGTCAAGATTCGGGGTGTTGATTTCGGAACCAAAGCAACCTATGTCGCTGTAGCCGAGATCTAGAGATGGAATGGTTCAGTTAATATACTGTGACGGAAAAGGTGGGAGTTGATGTCTTACCGTCGGCGACGATGATGAGGAAGTTGGGTCTTTTCTCCTTCGCCATTGTTGCATGCAAGTCAATATCCCAAAGCCATCGAAGTGTGCTCCAAGTTAGTAGGCGACGAACCAGTACATTTATGTTTTCGATCAGGATTGAGATACATCCCATGAATCCTTCGAAGGATGCAGGTCTCGGGTGTCGACATCAGGCCCACGCGCTGATCCTGCCCTCGCTGCATCCTACTGCTCCAGAAGCTTATCGGTTTAGCTGCTGAGGGCGATCGACATTTTTCCAGGTACAGGAAGATATGAAGAGGTATTTGAAGCCGTGAACAACCTCAAGTTGGTGTGAAACATGATAGAAGATGATCCCCGGAGAAACTAGCCCGTCCAGCTCTCGCTCTGTATGCCACCCCATTCCTCGTGATTCAGCAGAACTCCTTCGTCCCTCGTTCACACCAATCCCAAAACTTCTCGGCATTCCCACCCTGCTTCCCGACTTCGATCCTGACATCCTGCCTATACGATCCAAACCTGCCCCATGGAATCACATAGGCTCCGTGCCTTTCTTCCATTCCCGCTTCCTCGGCCCATCCAGCAAACAACTCCGTGTAGGCTCCGAAAACTGCTGGGAACAGCATCAGACGGCTGACAATCCGTGACGCGAAATCCGTGTTATGTCGCTGCAGTTCCGTGTGAAGGTTGCCGGGGTTCCAAGAGTTGCTGATGACGCCGCTCTGCTCGAAGGGGTTGCGCCGCGCAAACTCAACGGCAAGGAAGACATTACCGGCTTTACTAGCGCCGTAGTTCTCATGTTGGTTCTGCTTTACGCTCGGAACGTAGGCGCCGTGGGCATCCAGAGTGACACCGCCTCTGGGGCTGAAGGTGTCGACACCCAGAGATCCGGCCCAGGTCACGCGGACGCTCCCGGGGTGTCTTGAGGAGTCCTTTGCCGTAGCTGTAAGAAGGGGTGTAAGGAGCCTCGTCAAGAGATAAGGACCCAAGCAATTCGTAGCGATTTGAACTTCATGTTTCTGTGCTGAAAGGCTGCCTTTGGGCGGGAACATGACGCCGGCGTTGTTGACGAGCACATCCAGGCGGTCTTCTTTGGCGAGGAAGGCATCCACGGCGGGTTTGATGGTCCGCAGGTCCGAGAGATCGAGGAGCATTGGTTCAAGGCGGCCTTGGCTTTTTGGGAATGCTGTCTTGATGTCGTCGATGGCAGCTTCCGCTTTGGCGCTGCTACGGCCGGCGATATAGATGGTGCCATTGCGTTGGAAGAGTATTTTGGCGAGTTCTTTGCCGCAGCCGGCATAGCCGCCGGTGATGATTACGACGCGCCCCTTCTGGTCGGGGAGGTTGGTCTCGGTGAGGGTGGGTTTGGGTATGAAGAAAGATTGATTCCAGAAGTGCTTCAAGACTTCCATGGTGGGACGAGGGGTTTGTGAATGACGTTAGATAGAGGAGACTGCGGTGGAGTGTAGGGTATGGGAGAGAAAGCAAGTAGAGAGCTTGAAGGGGATGGATGTATGAGGATGGAAGACCTACTGAACTCTTATATCGCAAAGTCAGTCGCTGGCAGTCTCACCTCCCTGCCGCTTGAGTAGAAGACCGCCCAAGCTATGACGGATTGGCCGTAGATATCGTTCCAGAGTGAGCGATGGCGCTGTCGTACGCTATACATGCTCCCTTTCAGCGCGGCGGAGGAAGTATTGGGCCGGATGCTGGCATTGAGATGAGCTGACGAGCTGCATACGACTATGGTGAGAAGACTTGCCCTCCGTAGACGACGGCGAGGCGGCCGCCATGTCAGCATTCTTGGAGGACAGGATGAAGTTGGTGGTGCCAAGAGCGGCCGCTTCCAGCAGCCAATCAACGGGCCGCAAAATCTCAGGCAAAGCGACAAATCTATTCCACGACTTCATCTTCAAATCCTCGACAATACATGCATCCTTCCAGCATACGAACACGGCGGAATTGCGATCACGATGGCGACAGACACAGAGTCAGTGAAGAAGCAACCCAAGTCATTCGAGGCGCTTACGCCAGAGCTGTCATCATGGATCCTAGACTTCACTCAAGGGATGAACTTCTCACGGACAACGCCTGTACAAGGCATGGCGATACCCTTGTTGATGGGCAATAAGGATCTGGTTGTTGAGGTATGCGTCCGAATCATCGCCCGCCGTGACACTTCCGAGCTCGACTCTTTAGTGTGTTCACTAACAGCTTGACAGGCTGTGACCGGCAGTGGCAAGACGCTCAGTTTCCTGATACCGATCGTCGAGCGGTTGCTGAAGGCCGAGGATCCAAATCGAAAAGGCCATGTCCGCAGCATTGTTGTCGCACCCACGAAGGAACTAGCTAGTCAGATCTACGACGTCCTGAAAGGCCTCCTTCAGTATCACACACCTTCGGCAGCGAAGCTAAATCCACCTCCGGAGCCGGATAGTGATGATGAGGACACACCCATGTCAGAGATGCCCCCTGGACCGTACATTATACCTCAGCTACTTATCGGCGGCCGAACAAAGCTTCCCGAGGACATTGCCACTTTCGCCGAACTGAATCCCAATGTCTTGATTGGAACGCCGAAGCGGCTCTCGGAAGTTCTGCAGTCGTCAAAAGTCGTGTTGAAGAGGCATTGGTTTGATCTCTTGGTTCTAGACGAGGCAGACAGACTGCTTGATCCCAACTTCCAGCCCGACCTTCAGAAGATCCTCGAACTCGTGCCCAAGGACCGCCGAACTGGTTTGTTCAGCGCCAGCGTGTCACAGGCGGTCAACGAGCTGGTGAGAGTGGGCATGCGGTATCCATTCAAGATCAGCGCACGAGTACGGTCGCAGCAGACTGGAGCACTGGACAAGCGAACCCCGGAAAGTCTGAAGCTGTGCTATATCGTTCCAAAGCCGACTAAGAAGATCCCAACGTTGAAGAGGGTGCTACAAGAACGAGCGGCAGAAAAGTCGATAGTCTATGTTTCGACACGAGCTGGAGTGGACTACTGGTCGCATGTTCTGCCCTCGATACTGGCAGTGTCTGTCTTTCCGCTACACGGCGACCACAAGGCAGAGATTCGTGCGAAGAATTTGATACGATTTCGCGATTGTCAGACACCCGCCATTCTGCTCACAACGGATGTCCTTGCGCGAGGGATCGACATCCCCGACATCGATCTGGTCATTCAGCTGGATCCTCCATCACAGCCCAAGGACTTCATACATCGCTGTGGTCGTTCTGGAAGAGCGGGAAAGCGCGGCATGGCTATCACCTTTCTGAGCGAGGGGACGGAAGAGGACTACATTAAGTACCTGGAGATTCAGGGCACGAAAGTCGAGCCACTTCCCAATCCTCCTGAGGTAGCCGACGAGGAGGCGGACGACGTTGTGCGCCAGATCCGGAGTGTCCTAACGCAGAAGCGAGAGCTTCACGACCGCTCACAAAAGGCATTTGTCAGTTGGGTTCAGGCGTACAACAAGACATTACCAGGCGACGTATTCGATATCCGTCGACTTGCATGGCGGGAAATCGGGCGAGCTTGGGGCCTGCTTAGATGGCCGAAGATGCCAGAGTTGAGACGCTACCTTCCACAAGCCTTCGAAGATCGGAAGTTTGGCCTGGAGGTACCCGACAACATCAAGATCGACGACCTTAAGTACGCAGATAAGGTCAGAGAAGGCAGACGGCAAGAAATGCTCGCAGCTCGAGCTCGCGGAGAGAAGCCTCAACTTCCTTCTCGGCTGGGTGGCGCCGCTGCTGACCAGAGACGCAAGAAAGAGAATGCATGGAGTGTGCAGAAGGACGCCAAGGCCTTGCGAGAGACGAGGAGAGAGCGGAAGGAGGTCCGACGGAAAGCTGAGAAGGTCAGCAAAATGTCTGAAGCTGAGATGAAGGAGGCGATGCAATTGGAGGATCTGGTTGCGAAAGTGAGGGAGCAGCATGCGAGGGAGGAGGAGTCGTTTGAGGGGTTTGGTGATTGAGCGAATAGCATGTTAATATGAATACATGTAATCATCTGTTCATCGACTTTCATGTGACAGCGCGCGTCGAACGTGTGGTGGCCTGTGCGCCCAAATTTGTCCATCTCGACCTTGAACATCTGAATCGACTACGACGTCAACATCTTTCAATGAAACCACCATACATTTGCCGCAGCTGCCTTTCAGCCTTCAAGCAGACCCGCAGTCACAATGCCCCCATCAACCGCCCCTACACCCGCCCCTCGTTCGCCTCAAAGCCAATCCTAAACCTCAAGCACATGCGCCAAAACCCGGGCCTCTACGAACAAAACTGCCTCGACCGCAACTATCCCGCCGTCTCCCGCAACGCATGGAAGATCCTCGATATCCACAATGCTCTCGTTGTAAAGCAGAAAGAAACTCTAGACTTGAGGAGAAAGAACAATGAGCTCGGGAAGAGTATACAGCGACAGGCGGGGATGGGGGATGATGCGCAGGGAGGCGGGGCTGGCGGGACGAGCGCGCTGATTGAGGAGGCGAAGAGGATGAAGGAGGATTTGAGGCAGTTTGAGGTGTGGGAGGGGGAGGCGGTGGAGGAGATGCTGGCGCTGGGGCTGGAGGTGCCAAATTTGAGTGAGGGGAGTACGCCCGTGGGGAAGGATGCGGTGGTGCTGGCACATATTAATGAGCCGCCCAACTCAGACGAACGAACTATTGGGAGAAGCCATGTGGATATCGGCAAGGAGCTGGGCATCCTTGACTTCGAGTCCAGTGCGACGACGAGCGGTTGGGGGTGGTACTTTTTACAAAACGAAGGAGCGCTGTTGGAGCAGGCTTTGGTGCAGTATGCGCTGGAGGTGGCTATGAAGCGAGGATGGAAGATCATGACGCCGCCGAGCTTGGTGTATGAGCACATAGCTTCTGCTTGTGGATTCATGCCTCGAGACCAGAACGGTGAGACCCAGCGATATGAGATCGCCAGTGATCAGACAGGACCTTCGTCGGACAAGCCGAGCCTGGTGCTTGCTGGAACGGCAGAAATACCTTTCGCAGGCTCACAGGCTAACAAGACTATGACGGCAAGTGAGCTGCCGCTCAAGGTCATCGGCCCTTCGCGCTGCTATCGTGCAGAGGCCGGTGCTCGAGGTGTAGACACGAAAGGTTTGTACAGGGTGCACGAGTTCACGAAAGTGGAAATGTTCGCCTGGACTGCTCCTGCTACGCCTCAAGAAGGCCGGTTCGGCTCTGGTGACGAAGAGCCCAGCCAGTCCGATATAGTGTTCGAGGAGATGCTCGCTATTCAGCAGGAGATCATCAGTGGTTTGGGCCTGCATGCACAGATAGTGGAGATGCCTTCTACAGATCTTGGTGCAGCTGCGGCGAGGAAGGTGGACATCGAGGCTTCCTTCCCCTCACGGAAGAGCATTAATGGTGGCTATGGCGAGTTGACTTCAGCAAGCATATGCACTGATTATCAGACACGAAGACTTGGTACGAGATTGAAGTTCCCAGCTGGAGGAGCGCTGGGCTTCCCGCACACGCTCAATGGAACAGCTCTGGCGGTGCCACGAGTGATTGCTTGTATACTGGAGAATGGCTGGAATGAGAACGATAGGACTGTGACGATTCCTGAGTGCCTGCGGAAGTGGGTGCCAGGTCAAGCTGCGACGATCAGTGGCAAAGGTCGCAAGGGCTGAGAATTGTCGGGGTACAGAGACAAGACTAAAGCTTGCTCTTGTCCTTGCCTTTGGGCTTGTTCGCAAACGCCGCCATCATCGCCTTGGTCTCGGGACTGTTCAATCGAACCTTCAGATCGGCACCTTCCCTCATACCTGCCTCTCGCTGTTCTGCCAGCGTAACTGGTCGATTCGCTAGAGCCTTACACATTCGCAGGCTCTCGCCACTGAAGCCACCGATCCGCTTCCCGATCTCCGCGACCTTGGACAGGAACGTCTCTCTCGAGTCTGCACTCTCCCCGATGACCTGCGTCACGAGCCCACTCGTATACATCTCCGGCGCACTCACCCGCTCCGCTCCCAGCAGCAGCCGGTTGGCATGCTGCTTCCCCATCACCTTCGGGAACGTGTACGAGCTCTGGCCTTCTGGCACGAAGCCAAGCGACATAAATGGCGTCTGAAAGAAAGCATTCGGATGCGCGTACACAAGGTCGAAGTTAAAAAGCTGCGTGCAGCCCCAGCCGATCGCTGCGCCGTGGATTGCTGCGATCAAGACTTTGGGATAGCCTTGCAAGACTTCACCCAGTTTGCCGCCGGCTTCGATTTCCTGTTCGATGGTCGGGCCACCTTCATCTGGGGATTGGAGGACTTTGCCGGCGCAGTAGTGCTTGCCTTTGCCGCATCTGAGGACAAAGGTGTCAGCGCTGGAGCGAGATGACGTGCTCTCGATACGTGGCTTACTGGACCACTACATTTATCTTTGGCTCGGTCAGAGCCCACAGCAATGCTTCTCGTAAGTCGTGGTATTGCTGTAGCGTGAAGGCATTCGAGATTTTGGGCTGGTTGTAGCTAAATTGGACTGCACTATCCGAGAGGTACTCGACCTCTACGGTTGAGAAGTTGGGTGGCTTTGACATGTTGTCGATCAAATGTCACAACGTCACATTCTCTCAAAACTTCAATGGAGCTGAGTTCAAGTACCTAGTTGGGTTGCCTTGCGAAGTCCTGGGTGTTGGTGGTATGCACGGCCCGAGGCAAGCGTCCGAGGTGCGGTTATGCTCTCCACCTCTGCATTCGAGGTCGACCAGCGTAAGGTAAACCAGGGTCGATGCATATATTTATGTTAAACAGCCACACAATGACCCAACAGCTAGGCTGGAGCCCCGTCGACTTCAGAAAGTGCTTCTGTAGCAGACTTCATTTATTCAGGCGTTACTGCCATTGAAGACGAACAGCATCTATCGACCTGCCAACCGTCAAGATGCCTTGGCTCAGCGACTGGTCACATCCTCTACCAGAGGAGGACCTCATATCATACACCTTCGATCATTGCGACTATGACAAAGATGCTCCAGTATGTCTCTAGTCATTCACACAACTTACGACCTGGCTGACTCTCCATAGATCTTCGTCGACGTCGAGGACACGTCCCGCAGCCTCTCATACAACCAGTCTCTCTCAACTGTCCGAAAGCTCGTGGCTGGATTCCGTGCAGCAGGTCTTCAGCCGGGCGACTGTGTCAGCATCGCGAGCTTCAACGACATCATGTATCCGATGCTCTTCCTCGGTCTCGTGGGCGCTGGTGGAATCTTCTCTGGTAGCAACCCTGCGTACACTTCTTTCGAGGTCGAGCATCATGTCCGGACTGCTCAGGTAAAGTACATCATTGCTGAGCCTGAGCTGCTAGAGCCCATCCTTCAAGGCTCGAAAGGAGTGGTCGACAGGAGCAACATCTTCATCTTGAATGTCCGGGGCCAAGCTGTGCCTGAAGGGTTTCGATCCTGGGAGTGGCTTCTGCAGCATGGCGAACAGGACTGGATTCGATTCAAAGGTGCTGAGAAGTGCAGGAAGACCAGCGTCGCAAGGCTTACAACTTCAGGGACAACGGGTCCTCCAAAGATGGCAGTACAAAGTCACATGAATAGTACTTCTTGGTTCTCCATGGTCCACGAGATCAGACGACCGGACTGGGAAGCACGACACCTCTACTCCCTGCCAATGTTCCACGTCGCTACCGTTCCTCTGGTCCACGCTGGCCCCCTTCGAGCAGGAAGCACTGCCTACATCATGCGCCGTTTCGAGCTTGATGCCTTCCTCGCTGCCATCGAACGACACAAGATCACCATGCTTGGTATGGTGCCGCCTCTGGTCATTGCCATCATCATGTCTCCTCTCCGGCACAAGTACTCTTTGAAGTCGGTCCGGAGAATCGGTTGTGGCGCTGCTCCGCTGGATAAAGATTCTGGGGAACGGATGAAGGCGCTGTGTGCGGATGACTGTACGTTTACGCAGGTCCAAGGAATGACGGAGACGACGGGGGCGATTAGCCTGTTCTATTATCCTGATGAGGATGATACTGGTAGTGTTGGGAATACTTTCATGCCGAACACTGATGTGAAGTAAGCGCTCGTGACTATCGATAGTGATGTTCAACTGACAGTATGAAGGCTGATCGACGACAATGGCAAAGACATCTCAGCTTTCGATGTTCGCGGCGAGCTTTGCGTCCGAGGGCCGTCAGTCATTGATGAGTACTTCGCGAACGCAAAGGCCAACGCAGATTCCTGGGACAGCGAGGGCTACTTCAAGACTGGCGACATCATGTACTGCGACAGCAAGACTAAGAAATGGTACATTGTCGACCGAAAGAAGGTAGGTCATGCGCACGAAGGCTCATCATCAATACATCTAACGTGGTTTCTAGGAGTTGATTAAAGTCCGGGGCTTCCAAGTCGCACCTCCAGAATTAGAGGCTGTCCTTCTGGGTCATCCATCAATCGTTGATTGCGCGGTCATCGGCTTGAAGGCGCCGCCCAACTCTGATGCAGAACGACCGCGAGCCTACGTTATGAGAAGGCAAGGGGAAACGATCACCGAAGCTGAAGTCCACACTCTGATCGGAGAACGACTCGCCAAGTACAAGCAGCTGACAGGAGGCGTGAAGTTCTTGGATGAGATTCCCAAGTCGCCGAGCGGGAAGATTCTCAAAAGACTACTCCGTGAGCAGGCAGAAGAAGAGGAAAAGAACGGGAAGCAGATCAGTGCGAAACTGTAGTTCGAGGACGTATGTACAAGGTCTACCCACATCCGCACTCTTCGAACATCACCCTCTCTCGCCAGATTTCGCTCAACCAAACTCAGGCTTCTGGTCCGCCCCCTCCACAGCCTTCGCATACCCCAACCTATCCTTGGTGTAAAACTCCACAGCCACCGGGTGGTTCGCCGCACCACCATCCAACGACCCGCTCTTGACACACGTCACATCCGGCATGATCTCGAGCTCGGTATAGAGGGAAGAGCCGCAGGTGCCGCAGAACCAGTGCTTGTTAATTTTACCAGAATCACCCTTGACATCGTAGTCCTTGGGCGAGCCTTTGGTGACTTTGAAGTTCGTGCGTGGGACGACGACGTTTGAGGTGTATGCAGCTCCGCTCCTGAGAGGAAGAGTGGTCAGCCATATGGAAGTCTGACTGTCGTGTCGTGTTATCTCAACGATCACGCTCGATGCTCGTTATTACCATTTTTGACAGTCAGTGCAATGGCATAATGCCGTTGTTGCTGGTTCGCCCTGATCGTCCTTCAGTAAGCGTCTTTACCATTGATCAATCGGTCAGATGTAACTTACGCTGTACTCGTAGCCAACGGCACCGCACATACAGCTTCCTTTCGCCATGTTGTTCTGCTGTCTCAGAAGCTGGATTATATAAGTTCAACCTTTCTGAGGTTTTCCGATCAAGGATCAATAAATTAATGAAGAGAAACAACCCGGAACTTCATGATTTATAGCTCCCAGAAGATACGACATTTGGAATACTCGACCTTGACCTTGCCCGCTACCCCTCATGTGCGAGGACGGCGTCAGCAAAGTGGTGGACCTATCGATCAGCTGGCTCGAAGTCTCGATGCGATGCAACCCAAGCTGTCCATTTGTCCGAGGAAGACTAGATCTTGAGGGCACGGGCACGAGGAGAGATGGTATTCAGCACCACGGAACACTAAATGGTTCCAGGTTGGCAGGAAAGACGATGAAGAAGAACAGAGTAGAAGGCGAAGAAGAACAGTGTTCAAATGCCATCACGGTATTTCGTCATTCATCAGTTAGTTCGCCGACACGAGACAAGTCCGAGAGAACCATCCGCTACCTGCTATTGACCGTAGCCAGTTCAACGCTCACATCAATTCAACCTCTCCCTCCTCCTCATCCGAACCTTCATGTCACCCCCCGGAGCCAACGCAGCAGTCCCAGGATACACCAACGCCGGCTGCACAAACTCCTCTGTCCCCTTCCCGTCCTTGTCCACAAACCCCAGCACCTCAAAGTCGAAACGCAGCAGTATCATCGCAAGAGCCCCGAGAGCTTCTTGCTTCGCAAAAACCCTTCCCGGACAGATCGTTCTGCCGCCACCGAAGGGGTAGAACTTGCCAACAGCAGTCATGCTAAAGACCATCTTCTCCGGATTCTGCGGGTCTGGCTGCAGGAAGCGATCAGCATAAAACGTCTCAGTCGGCGCTCGATCGTCCGCCCAAGCTTCGGGATCACGGTGGCCGATCCAGGATGGCGCGAAGACGTTATCGCCTTTCTTGAGCTGGATGAAAGTTTTCCCGTCTTCGTCCATGGGGAGTACGGTGTCTTGGGTAGCGTTTCGCGTGATCAGTACGTCGGCGTAGAGGCGGAGCGTTTCGGTCCAGATGCTTTGGATCAGAGGCTGGTTGATCAGGACGGGGACGTCGATGGAGCCGTCGGACTTCTCTGCTTCCTTGAGCTCTGCGAGGACGCGGCCGAGGAGGTTGGGGTCGCCTTTTGGGTTGAGGATGTTCATGAGCATCCAGCCAGTTGCGGGGATGACGTTGCTCGAGAGGCCGAACGTGATGCCCAGATCTAGTGCGGAAGACGATCTGGCATTGAGTTTCCTCTCCTTGTAGTTGATCTGTCTGGCCCGATTGAGGCGACTGCCAAACAGAGGCTCCCACGCCGGACCTTCGGGATCAACGGGAGTGCCGCCGCTCTTCTCATGCATCGCCTTGCTCCAGGCTTGGAGCTTCTCAAAAGTTTGCTCCCGGCGTCGGCTGGCCTCACGCATGGGAAAGCCAAAGAAGAACGACATGAACTGCATGTCAAAGTAGAAGAAGTCTTCGCAGTAGTTGGGGTAGTATTTGAAGAACTCCTCTCCAAAGAGCGCGGTGGTCGAGGCGGTGAACATGCGGTCCCGAAGCCAATTGTACAACCCTATGCCGTCTTTGGTCACGATTTCTTCAGCGTCCTTGTCCAGAACTTCCTCGAGCACGCGAGTGAAGTGGACAGTAAGTTCGTTGACTCGCTCGGGTCTGGTCATATATGCGGCGTTCATCTCGTGCTCGGAGTGCTTGCCACTAATGGCGTAATTGAGCTGATCCTCTGGCATTACAAACACTTTCTGATAAAGCTCCTCCTCGAAGACGTCCCGCTTGAGCGTCTTGTCCTTGAACATTGCTGAGATGACAGTAGGCGTGTATAGAATGTGGGTGCGTCTGCCGCCCAACAGGAGAGTACACGCTCCAGATGATCGTGGATGCCATTTGAAGAGGTCTACCCAGAACCTGCCGGGTGTTGTGTCGAGGAAACCAAGGGCATTTCCGAGAAATGGGATAGTGTAAGGGATCTGAGGTGGTTGTATCGTCATCTTGCCAGCTTTTCCATTCCTGGTGGCCACGTCCTCGATATACTTGATAGTCCGGTAGTAGTTCCAGGTGGTGTAGACTCGTATGAGCGACAAGAGTGCCGCGACCAGGGCGAAGGGCAGCGCGACATACCACGCACTCCGTGGTACAGTGGCGAGCACGTCCATAGCTCGAGGCTCTCCGATGGTCGTGTTTCCTAGATGTCAGAATGAGCGTGTCGCGGGGTCTTTTAGGTTGTGAGTATTCAGAACAATGCAAGCGGTTCCTTCCAGCCCAGCTCGTTTATCAATGCGAATGCGGTCGGTGGAATCATGTGCTTACATACGCCCAAACAGCCAGGTCAGTGGCACGAGCCCATCTTGCGAACGTCCATGTCTTTCGAACAGTGGTGTCTCATTCAATGCGCAAATCGTTTGATTCATCCGCATAATTATAAAGGTTGTTGGCTGACCGAGTCGAATGCAGATGAGTAAGTTCACGTGACGTTCACCCGAAATAGACAAGCACGTGAATTCGGAAGCGCGGGCAGCTTGTTTCCCGTTTTGCCGCCTGGTTCAGCTCAGCCACGCCGAACGTCACCTTTGTGTGCCTCCTGCGTTTCCAACACCTCTCCACGTTTCCTCTTTGTCAACCTCGTTCCCTCTCTTTCCTTTCTCTATCTTCGATTCTTGACTTCGAAAAGCAGCCGGTCACCAACACTACTATCATGGTGGCCCACCTCGTCCACCACGCCGTCCGCCGCGGCGTGGAGCACGTCCACCAGCACCTCACCAAAGAGCAGTTCATCAGCAAGCTCGAGCAGGATGCTCAGGCCTACGAGAACGCGGGTCCTCGGATGGAGGTGAACCCGCGAGAGCTCCTCCCCGTCGCCATCACAGGCCTTATCGCCTTCTTCATTGTGTGGTCGATTTCCTACACGATTGGAGAGGTCGCGGTCTCCCTGGCTTCGATCGAATCAACCTCCCGCACAACTGTCGTCGAGTCGAAGCCTCCGGCATACACCGAAGAGCCGCTTGAGAAAGAGCCGCTCATGGCTGCGGAGCCTGACGCAGAGACAGATGTCGAGATCACAGTCATTGAGCACAAGCCGATCACATCTAAGATCCGGACTACGATCGCCCGCCTTCACGAGGTGGGAGGCTTCCGCGCGCGCTGGAGGGGTGTCGGACTCAGCATGCTCTACCACTTCCTTCACGCCATGGTGGCCAACTTCCTGGCCGCTTTCTTCGGCGTTGGACTCTTCGGAGAGTCGCTCATCTACATCTTCGTCTCTGTCGGTCTCGCGCGCCTCCACATGGCCTGGACGCACAAGATGATCGCACACCCATCGTCGAAGCCGTGGTTCCGCAGCGTCCCAGCACGCAAGGACTGCAAGGCTATCCTGCTGCCAGCCTTTGTGTACGCCGCTGCTCAGCAGGCAACCATTATTCTCCCAGTTGGCGTCGCTTTCGCGCTTGGTCTCATGCAGCCACCGGCTGGCCACTCCAATGGTGAGATGTCCCACCACGACTGCAGGAAGATGGCGCTCTTCGGTCTCCGCTTCCTCGCCGTGCCGATCACCTATATCATGGTCGGCCTCGCCATCCTTCTCCCGGCTTCCGTCACTCTTACCCGCATCGAAGCCTCTCTCCTCCCAGAGGACCAGGAGACTATCGTGCCCTTCGACAAGGCTGCCATGGTCGGTGACATTGATGTGAGTGCCCGCGGTGGCTGCCGCGCACTTTTCGTGCAAGCCTGGAGGTCCTTCGACCGCTCCGCCAGGCTGAGGCTCATCAAGCTCTACGCCAAGATGATCATGGCTCAGGTCGCCGTGCTGTTTGTTGCTGCACACCTGATGGTCGCTGAGCTCTACCTGATCGGCGGCGAGAGGATCGGTGTGTTCATGAAGAGCGCGGCGGCGCAGATGAAGCTTACGGCTATCGAGGCGCATGAGGCGCATGCTAAGGGCAACTAGGTTAGAGAAGAGTATGGAGGGTGTACTGTGGTTCGAGGGACATGGGAAGTTTCGGTGTTAGATTGGATTGAATCGATGGACGGACCGCTGTGTATCATATCACACCTCACGGCTACAGCTTGATTTCCTAGTAGCAAGATAGCATTGTAAATTGGTTACCACAAATTTGAAGAGTCTTTGTTCCTCAGCATCATCGCCAGCCGCATAGGTATTGGGAACTCTCCCATTCACTCGGTGATGAAGCCAAGCAATAAACGCGTAGACGTCATATACCAGCGCGCGTCTGATGCCTCTTTCGCTCCTCATTATTATATCCACCACTACAACATCCACACATGCTATCACGTTGTCTGTGACCATGAACGAATACGAGTTGCGACGCCAGGAGAAGATCAGAAAGAACCAAGCACTGCTTGCGGGCCTTGACATCAAGCCCATCGAAGCACCGCGAAAGCGTAGAGCAGATGGTCAGCCTGCGGCGAAGAAGAGGAAGCTTTTAGAGCCTACGGCACCTTCACGCACTTCAGCGCGCATCGCATCTGCTCCCGAGAAGCCAAGTTACAATGACAATGTCGACACGAAACCAATCCCATTACCTAGATCAGCGCCGAAGAAGAAGAGCAAGAGCAGGGTAAACGATGTCCAAGACCTAGGCTCAAGAGTGGAAGAGGAGCCAGAACCGCTGGTCCCAAAGAAGAACGTGGAAGAGATACAAGCAGGCTGGACAGCATGGGAGCCCGTAGCAAATCCACCGATACGAGACGACGACCGTACATTCCGGTTCGACGACCACCCCGACTTCACGCCCAACAAGTCGCCAGAAGAGATGCTGAAGCAAGGCTGTTTCGGCGGCTCCTACTACCGTCCCCTCCGCTCCCGCAAGCTCGGCATCATCGTTGAAGACGACTGGAAAGAACTCCCAAAAGAATGGACCGAAGGCCTCGACATCGACCGCTACCTCACCAGTCCCGAGTACGACCCCGACGTGAACAAATTCAAAGTCAGCTGCGGCCAGAGCATCGAAGAATGGGAAGCCGCCGGCTGGATCAGCCACGAACACGACGTGCGAGGGTGGTTTCAGTGGTACACGCGCTTCTTCCGCGGTCGACGTTGCGATGACGATGAAAGGCAGATCAGTCGGTGGAAGAAGTGTGTCGGGCAGACGGGGAGATGGAGGCGGATGTTGTTGAAGAAGTACATGAAGTTGGGGGTGCGGGATGTTTTTGACGATGGGGCGGATGAGGATGCGCCTGAGGTTAGTCCCGTGATGCATCAGACGTGTCATCATTGGGCGTATGAGGTACGGCAGGAGGATTTGGATCATTATTGGGCGACTGGAGGGCGATAACAGCGAGAAAGAGTGGCATCAAAGGTGTGCTTGGGGGCTAGGAGCTGCTATGTGATGGCTTATTAAGGCCAGCGCATGCAGCTCATAGCTCTTTTCGGGTTCGGCACACTTCAGGCGTACTTCCACGCCCAGGACCAGCATCTATCTGACGACATCAAAAGTGACGGTCAACGAGAGCCCATGCCTACAATGGTAAACGTTTGGTAAGTCAGGTCGTTGTCAGCAACAGCTCGCCGTGCCTGTCGATCATCTTCGCCGGAACTAAAGCCAGTAAGTCAATACAAGACAGCTTCGTTGCACTTGCCTGCCATTGCATTCTCAGTTGTTTGTCTGTCTCCTCGGTTGCTCGACCTACTCTCAAAAATGACTGTGGCACTGAAGGTGCACTTCTTCCTATCTCTACTCTTTGCTGCCCTATCCACCGCCCTCCCTTTCTCGAACAACGATGCAGTTGCCACCATCTGGACCTTCCCGAACGAAACATGGGTCGAGAACCTGGCTGTCCGTCAGAACGGAGCAGTACTCTGTACATCCATCAGCCGCGCTGCAATCTACCAGGTTGATCCATTCTCTCACGTAGCAGCCACGGTCCACCAATTCGACATATTGGATGGCGTGCTAGGCATTGCAGAGATCGAGAACGACATCTTTGTCGCAGTAACGGCCACGATCGATCTAGCAACAAACATGGCCAAGAATGGGAGTGCGAAGATCTGGCGGGTGGATATGTGTGCTTGGTCCTTGGTACTCCATTCACCCTATCCCCTCCCTCCATATTCCCATCTTACTAACACACGCAGGGCGCTCCAAACCCAATATCCCTCATCTCAAACCTCCCAGAAGTCGGCCTCCCAGACGGCGTGACCCCCCTCCCCACCGACCCCGGCGTCGTCCTCGTCGCCGACGCAGACAAAGGCCTCATCTGGCGCGTCTCCACAACAACCGGCGCCCACACAATCGCAATCTCCGACCCAGCCTTCAAGTACACGAGCCCGCTGGTTCCCATCGGCGTCAACGGTTTAAAAATCCTGGATGATGAATTGTATTTTACCAACCTCGCCGCGAACCTCATAGCCAGGATCCCCATCACCGCCAACGGAAGCGCGAGCGGTTCTGTGCAGAAAGTGTCGACGGAGACGTTGTTGCCGGACGATTTCGCGTTGGCGGGGGATGGGACGATTTACGCGGCGGGGTATAATACGCTGTGGCGAGTGATGCCGGATGGGACGACGGATGCTTTGGTTGGTGGGCCGAATAGTACGGCCGTGCAGGGGATTACGTCTGCGCAGTTTGGGAGGACGAGGGAGGATGGGGGGGTGTTGTATATAAGTACGACTGGGGGGTTGCTGCTTGCGCCGGCGGGGGCGAGGGTGCATGGGGGGCAGTTGTTGGCGGTGAATGTTGGGTTGTTTGGTTGAAGGTTAGATGCACGTGGGTGGATGACGATGTTACATACTGCTACTGAATACAGACCATGACGCTTGGTACTATAGTGGCCCATCGATGCCGAACACTGGTTTCCCTCAAGCCTCACCAGTTCAATATGGCCACGTCCAGTCAGTCAAGTCTTGTGGGTCCAGGCCAACCTCGTACCTGTTCATCGAGCATTGTCAGCATGTGGCCTTCCAAGGTTTGGATAGGAAGGTACGCACGCGTGATTCCTAGCCTTGATCCTCTCGCCGATGAGCTTCTCACGCACATCGCCGCCCTTGTTGCCAAGTCTCTCTTTCAGCCCATCGATCGCCAGGATGGCTAGGGAGAACCTGTCTGCCTCATTGCGGATGGCCAGCTCGAGAGGCGTGTTGATGTTGCCTTTCTCCTTGTAGCCACGAACTACCCCAACGAGTCAGCCAACTTCAACGTAGGAGGGACGAGTGTTGGAACTTACCGTGCAAACGCTCCTGCCCGGGCCTGTTGTAAGTAAGACGATGCACCAACCACGGGTATGAATGGAAGTTGAACACCACAGGCTTGTTGTCGGTGAACAGGGCTGAATACTCAGCATCCTTCAGCCCATGCGGATGATACCCATTTGGAATCAGCTTGAACAAATCCACCACATTCACGAACCGGATTTTGAGCTCCGGCAAATGATGTCTCAGCAGCGCAGTAGCAGCGAGTGCTTCCTGCGTCACGACATCACCGCAGCTGGCCATGACAAGATCTGGCTCTTTGCCGGCATCGTTCGAAGCCCAGTTCCAGACGCCCACGCCTTTGGTGCAGTGAGTGATGGCGTCGTCCATGTTGAGATATTGCAGGTGGTTCTGCTTGTCGGCTACGATGACGTTGACGTAGTTGGTGGACTTGAAGCAGTGGTTCATGGTGGAGAGCAGGCAGTTGCCGTCTGGTGGGAGGTAGATCCGGACGACTTCTGGTGACTTGTTGATGATGACGTCTAGGAAGCCGGGGTCTTGGTGGGTGAAGCCGTTGTGATCTGTACGCTGGTCAGCCGTTGTGTCTCTACAAGATCGCTGGCTGACTTACCTTGTCGCCATACGGTGCTAGTAAGCAAGATGTTGAGCGAGGACACAGCTTGTCTCCAGGACACCTCCAAGCACTTCTCGATCCACTTGGCGTGCTGGTTCACCATGCTGTCAATGATGTGGATGAACGGCTCATATGAGTTGAGCAAGCCATGGCGGCCGCTGAGGATGTAGCCTTCGAGCCAGCCTTCGACGGTATGCTACTTGACGTTAGTAAAACTATCGACTCACTGCTGCGGCTCTGGCTTACCTCCGACAGCATCTCCATGACCCTACCCTTGGGGTTCAAGTTGCCGCCATCCTCATCTTCGGGCAAGTAGCCGTTCACCCAGACTTTCTTTCCAGCGCTGTAGATGGCAGACAGCTTGTTCGATTCGGTTTCGTCTGGACCCATCACTCGGAACGTGGTTTGGTTGTCCCGGACGATGTCCCTCAAGAACTCAGCAAAGTGGTTCATGCTTGGTCCGCTGGTCACGCCAGGCTTGTCCACCTTGAGTCCATATTCCTCAAATCTCTGGATTTTAAGCGGTCTGCGCAGGATACCACCGTTGGTGATGGGGTTGGCGGACATTCGTTTGTTGCCTGCTGGCGCCAGCTCCTTGAGCTCGGTGATGAGCTTGCCTTCCTTGGTGAAGAGCTGGTCCGGCTTGTAGCCACGCATCCATGACTCCAGCTGCTTCATCTGCTCTGGATCAGTGAGCACTTTCGTAAGTGGGATCTGGTGCGCCCTCCAGAAGCCTTCCAAATAGTGACCCTCCACTTCTCTTGGAGCAGTCCAGCCTTTGGGTGAACGAAGTACGATCATAGGCCATCTTGGTCGGACCGCCTTTCCGGACTCGCGGGCTTCTTTCTGGTACTTCAGGATCTCCTGCACGCAGACCTCGAGTGTTGATGCCATGGCCTGGTGCATACTTTCGAGATCGGAGCCTTCAACGAAGTACGGCTTCCACCCATAGCCGATCATCAACGACCTCAACTCCTCCTCTGAGATGCGGGCGAGGACAGTTGGGTTGTTGATCTTGTAGCCGTTGAGATGCAGGACGGGAAGTACAGCTCCATCAGTGATCGGGTTCAAGAACTTGTTGCTGTGCCAGCTTGTCGCCAACGGACCAGTCTCGGACTCTCCATCACCAACGATCGTTAGTGCGATGGTTTGAGGATGGTCAAAGACCGCGCCAAAGGCATGGCTGAGGGAGTATCCAAGTTCGCCACCCTCGTGGATGCTGCCAGGCGTCTCTGGAGTCATGTGCGAGCCGATGCCGCCAGGGAACGAGAACTGCTTGAAGAAGCGTTGCATGCCTTCAGCATCTTCGCTCTTGTTGGGATAAACCTCACTGTAGACTCCTTCAAGGTAAAAGTTGGAGATAAGTCCGGGTGCGCCATGGCCTGGACCAGAGATGACGAAAGCGTCGAGGTCATACTTCTTGATTAAGCGATTGAAGTGGATGTATCTACACCAATTAGTTCAAGTTCTGGTATGGCTCTGCATCTCATACTCACGTGAACGATTGGCCGGCATCAGATCCCCAGTGACCGAGCAGTCGTGGCTTGATGTGCTCTTTCTTCAAGGGCTCCTGTAGCAGCGGATTCTCTTTCAAGTACAGCATACCCAAGCAAAGGTACATCGATGCATGGAAGTATCTGGTGTACTTGTCGAGCTCATCTTTGCTCAATGGCTGCTCCTGCACCGTGGATCGCGTTTTCGTATAGACCGACCAAGTATCCTGCTCCCCCGTCAAGGTTTGAACGTCTGCTAGAGGTGCCATCGTCGAGAGGGTGAGGTTAGTGCAGTCGTAGAGAGAGAAGCCAAGAGAGCCCGTTAACGTGCTGTTGAGGCAGTTCACCACAAACCTGCAGAGCAGATATGCTCTGACTAAGAACGACGTCCTTGTGGAGCGCTTTCCGCAATCGCTGGGTGCATTCGGAGACTGGCGGATGAAGCCTTAAGGTTTGCGAAGTTGCAGCTTCAAGGACAGGTTGTTGAACGTGTGACGTCAATCGACATCATTGCTTCAACCCGTCGATGTCAGCATTGAATGCAGCGGAGTTCTGTATCACCACCGATACTATGAAGGAAAATGATTCAATGCTAACGTAGCGTTATAATTGGGCCAATGGCGCAAGACATCAACATTCTAGAGTCCCAAACCGAGGGCTAGTTGGGACGTTGTAGGTCGATGTTGGTTGGACGAGGTGTATTCAATAGAATTGGGAGATTAGGTCAATCAAGGGGCATTCAATCGTCTGTCGCATGTTTGTAATGCCAAACAGCGCCGCAGAACAGACTGCATCTCACGCCGACCCCATATGCCTTGCGAAACAACGGCCCTGTCACCATTGCTTCCCATCACCCCAAATGTCAATGCTAGCAGCCCGAACTCGATTCTGCCAGCCACTGCCATGTGCCTGCGCCCTCAGCACGATCTTATCCCCAGGCTCAAGACTGCGAACCCAGTCCCTCTCCTTCGGATGCTTGCTCTCGCGGTTCCATGAGATAGTGTACGGTCTTGCCTCGCCATCCGCATGCAAATTTTTCTGCACCGGACGAACAGACTCCAACTTCCCCCTGCCTTGCTTCCGAATGCCTGTTTCGAACAGCGAGCAAGCAAAGGAGTAGGTCCCGCCGTATTCTCTTTGCTTCCAACTGTGTCCTTCAATGCAGGGTTAGCGGAACAGTCGATAGGCGTAAGTGTTGCGGGAATTGCCTACCTTGGTCGCGCCCCTCCATGTAGAACGTCACCTCACGTACGTTGCCTAAGTGGTCTGGCACGACCAGACGTAAAATACACTTGTCCTTCGGCTTATCGCTGTCACGGACCATCACCGGATCCTCCAAGGCAACTCGCGTGTGTGGCAGATCGACCAGAGAAGAAGTCCGCTCATTGCGCTTCGCAATCAGATCAGCAAGCTTCTGGAACCACGGCTCATTGCCCAACTGCTGGACCTGTGGCGTATCCACAGTCCAGTGTGGTGCCTCGATACTACAGCTCCCTTGCAATATCCTGCCAATCATCTTCGGGGTAGCAGCAGTGATGGCTGCGTCCAGTATTGAGTTGCCTCTGTGGTCGATAATGTCCGTTTCAGCCCCTTCGGTCAGGAGTCGTTGAGCGATTTGTTCGCCGTGGAGATGCATGGCCTTGAATAAGGGCGTCTGCCCGGCCCGATTCCGGATGTTCACGTCCACACCTTCAATATAGAGCAGTTTCTCAACGGGTCGCAAGTTCTTGCCTCCAGCTGTTAGGTGTAGCGACGTGTCGCCTTCGGAGTTGGGTACCAGCACGGTGAATTGTCGGCCTTCTCGTTTTGCGAGACGTTGCTCGGCCGCATAAAGCACATCGTAAGAACGCGAGTCTGGCGAATGGATAGCAAGGTTCTGGAAAGTTGTGATGCCGGCACGTTCGGTATGAAGATTACAACCAGCCTCGATCAGTTTCTGGATCGCTCTGGAGTACTCTTGAGCTTCCCAAAGCGCAGTGCCTCCATTTCGGGCCTTGATCTCCAAATCCACGTCGTAGTCCAGCAGCGATTCGAACATTTCTTCCATGACATCCTCTGCGAGATGGTGGTCCGGCCAGTGCCCACCCCAAGCAGCTCTGAGTAGTGCATGCTCGTTCCGGTTGTCCACAAGGTTGAGATCTGCTCCGGCCCGCAGAAGTCTGTCGAGAAGTTTGGGCGTCCCGCTGTCGACGGCAAGGTGCAATGGCGTGTCTCCGTCACTGTCAGTAGCATTCACGTTACACCCGTGCTGACACAAGAGATCAACAACATGTGTATGACCGCGCTCAGAGGCGATGTGTGAAGGCGAACGACATTTTGGGCCGTATGTACCATGTGCGTCTCCTATGCCCAGCTCCAAGAATACTTTGACGCAGTTGTAGAAGCCGCGTTCTGCAAAGTTGAACAAGATGTCCTCGCGAAATCCGTGGTCTTTGGGCAATAGAAGTCGAACAGTCTCTTCGTCCACATCACACTGCAGCATCTCTAGGGCGACCTGCCCGTGAACAGCTACCACTTCTGGGTCCGCACCCAGACTGAGAAGATGTACAATCGTTTCTGGGACAGCCCATGCAGCAGCGGCCATCAGTGGTGTACGACGCCTTGAATCCGTAACATTGACATTCACACCTTCGTCTACCAGTCGTGATATCGTAGGAAGGTGGCCCAGCCAAGTGGCCACATCCAAAGGCGTGTGACCATGGGGATACTTGTTTCGGCCCCGTGTGAGCGACCGTAGCATCCCAGCTGCAGGCCGCTTCGAGAGGAAGTTCCAGAGTGCTTCAACGACAAAATCGGGCCTCTTGTCTGTTGATACGAAATGCTCCAAAGCGAAGGTGCCCGCGTAAATGGTGAATTCTGTTGTTCCATCTGCCCAAGCATGAAAGAATCCAGGGACCATCTCCATCTGGTCTGTAACATCGTCGGGTGCATCATTAGGAAGAAGAGGGGAGGTTGGAGTCTTGCTACCCATGCCCTTTGCAACATTGTCTATGCCGCTGGTCTCCGCTTCGAGATCCAAATCCGACTCCGCGAGTTGCGCAAGGACATCGTCGGTGCCAGCTCTGTTGATTCCAACAGTGACGGGCCTCGAACAATCCTCGTCATGTCTGCTTGTTCGCCGTTCCAGCGCCAGTGCTGTGAAACAAGTCGCACAAATCACAGGCTCAAGCTGAGCTATCGTGTCCAACTGTCTCAGGTAGTCCTTTACAGTCTGGTGGGCCAAGCGGATAGTATCAGACTCCGTGTCGTGCACCACCAGACCTCGACATAGTCGTGCAACCTGCTTTACGTCAATGATGTTTTGTGCGTTGAACTCCGCATCGCCAGGAGTTATTGCAAGTGCTTCGGTTAATAGGCCGGCCGTGAATGTCTGTCGAGCGTATGCAAGCCAACATAGGGCTTTGATGGCATCCTCAGAGAATTGTTCGTCGAGCTCTACATGCTTGAGCATCTCGTCATAAACAGCATCCAGTGCGAAAGGTTTGGTAGCAGCCTCCTTCATTTTTGGGACAGTTGTCTGATTGCCAACATGGTGGGTATGGTGCTTGACAAGAAGGAACCTAAATCGCATCATCAGTAGTCACTTCCGCCAAATCGCCAGTCGCTACGCGTGTGTATGGCTTACATCCCATCTCCACGGCTCGCTATCTCGTGAGCTTATATCCACGAAACGTCCGTTAGCAAACAGTCTATGTGTCGGAGCAGCGGTGAACCCGAGCCGCTGGTGTACACACTTACCAAGCCACTTTCTCGTATCTGTTTTGTTCTCTAGAACCGACGCTGCAAGCTCGATCCGCCCTAACTCGGCATACACAAACATCACCAGATCTTTCGAGTCGGCCTGTATATTGAATTCGGTGGTCCAGGCAGCAGTCGTGGTGACGGTCAGGTCTTTCCGCGAAGTAATAATGACACGGAAGTAGCGTGGATTCAGAGCATTGATGCATCTGACAAGGGCGATTCGTGTATCAGTTTCTGCTTCGTCGAGGCCATCAATTAGAATCAGAAATCGAGCTTGCGTCTTCTCGTCGTCATCATCGTCCGAGTGGCGACCATGAGCAGTGAGAACGGATTGTAGATCCATCGCTGATGGCGCTATGTGCGTCTCTCGGGATGTGTTGCATAGTTTCAGCAACGCAGCTGTAAGGCTGGCAGAAGCTGAACACAATTTCGAGAGAATGTTAGCCAGCACGGCGGTTGGTGTCTGTTGATGCTGCTTGTCCCATTGCAGATAGGTAAAGGCATAAGCGTCAAAGTTGTAATCCTCGAGCGAGTGACCGATGGCGTCTACGGCTTCTGACCTGTAGTCGTAGCTGCAGTCAGCGTGGTCTGGAGCTTCTCAAGCAAATACAAGTCTACCCACATCAACATCGACTTGCCGACTCCAGCTATCATCGGTCAGCATAGCCCCTTGCAACAAGAATAACAACATACGATCGCCACGGCCCCAATACACCATGTCTTTGTCCTCATTCAACCAGTCTTTGACCTGCTTGACGAACCATGTACCTGACTTCCCTAACATCTTCGGAGGCAGTTGATTCCGGAGAACCATGTGAAGGCTGTCCATGTCTGAGGGATACATGGCACTGAGCCACCCTTCTAACTTCGCTCGTTCATCCAAAGCTTCTTGGCGAGCCTTCTGGTCTTCGGAGTTTTGTATAAGATGGTCCAGCTTATTGCCATGGCTGAGGAGTTCCTGGCTGATCAGAGCTTGAGTCTCTGTTTCCAATACCTGGATGAATGGTGAGCGATCCGGCTAGATCAGCGGTTTGGGTGTATTACCTTTCGATGAGATTCGCACTCCTGCTCGGTCGCCTTGACATCGGCTAGTTTCTGCTTCCAGTTGTCTTTTCGAAACACGTTTCTCATCACTTGCTTTGCCTTGCCGTGAGAAAATTGCTTTACGAGCGCGAATTGATACACCAGCGTTTGCAGGTACAACTCGACAACGTGGGCACGTAATCTCACTCGCTGTTGGATGGAGTCTTGAGAGGTCCCAGGATTGAGAATCTTGTTCTCCATCAACACTCTTTGGACGACCCTATACCTGGATAGCATATCTTGGACGTAGTCGAGTCCTTCAATTGCATCGTCATCGCTCGTGGATGCGTTGAGAATCAGCTAGAGTAAATGTCAACTGCCATGCTCAGCCAGGCGTAGCGATCCAAACACTCACGGGCAGCAAACAAGACACACCAGCCCAAGCCAACGCTGCATGGGGCTCATTGCTGGCTGCCGTAGCGATGAATCCTTTCGCCGCATCGATAGCCTTTACCGTTTTCCGGACGCAGTCACGGACCTTCAAGTCCCTCTTGCCTACCTTCTCGTTGGTCAGTCACGGTAGAGATCGGCTGCCACTTGTTCAAAGTACATGTATAATCAATTGCCGCTCTTCGATGTATTCAAACTGAATTGTCAATACAAGTTGAAGCTGTTGCTGCCGTCTGGCAGGCGTAGACCTTGCTCCCAGAGGTTCAAGTTGCTTCGTCCGCGAATCTCGACATTTTGCGCGAGTCTCCTCGAGGATACCTTCTTCGTACGCTGTCAGTAGCTCCGGCTGTTCGGTCTCCAAGCGCTTGTAAGCATCCTCCCACACAGTCTCGAAAGACGGGCTCCCAGAAGACATGCTGACAATTTTCCATGGAGGCGGATCGGTGAACTGATTCTACAGCATTTCTTCTAGAAGGCGGGCGCCACTCAGAAGGACCAGGTTGTGCACATTGGATGCCCTGGCCCCCAAACTTCAGCTTCATCCTAGTTCTACAGCGCGTTGGTGGGATGACGACAGGTTGCATATCGTCCTGCAAATAGCAGCGCCAGCCACCTAGTGGACGGCGCTAACAGTTGCCGGTGCAAGGCCAATATGCCATAATGGAAGTGCGATGAAGAAGGGATGATGGTCGAGAATAGGTCGAAGGAAACACGAAATAAGCACGCCAAGGTGGTGCCAATTTTGCTTGCAGTTGGGCCAGGACGACGGTCACCAAGCATACAAGGTGTTCAATGTGACTAAAGCGATGGGAGGTAGGATATGTTTGGGCAAGTCAATGGCCATTTTTCGTACGACGCTGATCATAACATCTTCTACAGAGCTAGTTCGACTGTGGTGCGGTATCGCTATACTTTAGCTTTCCACTTCCACTCCGCCCTCGTCATCCTCGACAAGCTGTAGAACACAGAACAAAGCAGCGTCGAGGCGGCAGCCCACGATTGTGCTCCAATGTAATCGCCACCCTGTGCTCCCTGGATAGCACCTCCAATAGGCGGCCCAGTAAGCGCAGCAAACCCCATCACAGCAAAGCTCATCCCCAGGCGTGTTCCAACCACCCGCAGATCTGAGGTCAAAGCGGCAACGGTGGGCGGGAAGAGACATTGCAGTGCTGCCGCCATGAGCCCGTAGAAGCAGATCCAGACGTACAGACCAGCGATGCTCTCCACGGCCAGCCAGCTCCAGGCAACGAGGGTGAGGCACCAGGAGATTGGGACGAGTAGGTTTAGCTGGCCCACTCTGTCGGCAACGTAGCCGGGAACGACTCTCGCGGGAACACCGATGCCGTTGATGATGATGAGCAGGACCGTGGCTTTCTCGAAAGGAAGGCCAAGGGCTTCGACGCCGAAGGAAGAGATATAGTATAGCGTAAAGTATACGTCCCAAACCATAAAGTACAGCCCGATGACGAAGAAGGTAAAAGGTACCTCCCGGAAAGCAGACCAGTCGATTAACGCGTCGGATTTTCGTGGTGGTAATCTTGAACGCATGAAGGCGAGCACCAGTCCCAGTAGCGCGAGATTCATGAAGCCCAGCACGCGGACAGTCCAGGCAAACCCGACTTTCGGTAAGAGCTCTCGAACTATGACGGGGTAGATCATCCCGCCGATAGCGTTTCCTGTTGATGCGCAGCCCATGGCGAACGACCGCTTCTTAGAGAACCAGGTTGCCATCACGCCCATGCCTGAGGGGAGAAAAGGTTAGCTATGATCTTGCCGCTGGTCGATGGGCTCGTGACCCAAGTCTGCTTACAAGGCGTGAAGTACAGCCCCCCTCCAATCCCGCACAGTAGTCCCTGCGTGAGCATGAGTTGCCAGTACTGTGTAGAGAGGCTCATCATGAAAATTCCGAGCACTTGCAGGCACGCGCCGACAGCGACAGTGGGAAGGAAGAAGCCGGCACTGAGCAGATCTTGTCAGCGAATGTCCAATCGACGCATCAGAGGTTCGAATGCTCTCTCACTCCAGTAGTCTTCCGGAAGCGGCACCAATTGTGAATGATAAGCAGTTCTGTACTGTCCCAATCCATGAGATGCTTGAAGGGGACGCATCGAGGTTAAGTGTGTAGTACGTCTGGAACACGCCTGTCGAAATCTGGCGTTAGCATACACTAGAGAACCACACATTCAGATTGCCATACCAAAACAGTTGATCCAGCCCCAGCACGTAAAGATGGCCAGCCAGCCACAAGCAATCTGCGTCCATGCCTTGAGACCTCCATCAGGAGGCGGTCCTGGGTCCGGAAGAGACCTTGTCGTCAATCGGGATGACACTCGACTCAAGGCATTACTTGTAGTCCGCGCTAGCTCTCTAGAGGGTCGCTGAGATGCTCGCTGCGTTGCCTTCTCGTGGTGGACTTCATCTTCGTATTCTTCCTTGCGGTCCGGGCATGCCACGTTCTCAATGGCTCCACAATCAGATTGAGTAGAATCGCTAGACTTGCGGTCGCCAGGATGTGGCTTCGGCTTGTTTTCTATGGGATCCGAATGATCACGAGGGTCTGCTGTGTTCGAGAGTGTTCGAAACATGATCTTGTTGTCTTGAAACTCGGCCGTGGGGTGTCGCCATAAAAGTACCAATACCACCACGCGAAGGTCGGTCAAGCGCACAGGATGCAATTGACATGACCTTCTCGTTAACCGAAAGGGCGCATCAGTAGTGTCACTCCGCACTCGGAGGTTGGTAGCTGCCCATCGGGAATACGTCGTTCAGCCGTTGACGGCGCCATGCAAAGATGCAAAGACGGGACTGTGTGCCGAAGAGGCGGCTTGATTTTGGAAGAGTCGCTGTCCTGTCTTCAATCCTCAACCCATCACCAGTGCTGAGTGTTGACGACGCCCAAACGCTGCTGGACAACTGCAGCGAGATGCCATTATGTCGGAGGCGAGATGGGAGAAGCTGGAATGTTGGAGATGATTATGCTGGAGATGATGTTCTGGCGTGGCCGGTCAGGAGACGCTCGGCGAGACTGCGACATTTGCACTTTCTTTTGGAATGGGTGTCACGTCGTGGGCTCGTTGGTCGTTCTGCTTCACAATACCCCAAGACAGTCTCACATACACGTCATTCCATTCACTCGCAAACAAAAATGCTAAGGGGAGGAGTCGTGGTAGGTTCTAGTTTGGCGTTCATTCACACCGCCCATGCTTTTTAAATCCTATATCAGCAACGTGCTCCTTTCCAACTCCCTCAAACTTCCTTCTCCTCCTACAACGAAACACCACCTGCATCTCCAAAACAATCCTCACATCGAGCCCGTCACAGCCTTTCCAACGAAGTACGAAGCATCCTTCGCCATGAGCTCTCAGAATTCCGGAAGCTCCGCTGCTGCCAGTAGCAGTGGGGGCTACACCACGACATCGAGCGGCACCAACTCCCAGGTGACTATTCCCACGGGCATTCCGAATGTAGCATATGGACTGATCATCCGTGAAGGGCAACCACTACTGCTCCCGTGACTACGGCTCCTCTGCCCAGAACGGCAACAGCTACCACTACTCCAACTTCAATGGAAGGTGAGATTGCTGTTGCAGAGAACTTTTTACCATTCTTTGCTGACCATCATCAGCTACTACTACAGCAACCCGAACGGCTCCACGTACTACAACGATGGTAGGTTCTGCCTCCTTCCCAGCGTGCTATGCTGCTCAGCGTCTGGTGAACTCGCGAAGCAAAGCGCTCAATCATCTCCAGAGACCAAACAAGTGTGGACGCTAACTGTTGGAACAGGGAACGGTGGCTCCAACTACACACCATCAGGCGGCAAATAGGCGGAGGGAAGATGCGCAAGACCTCAAGGGAGCGGATGTCCTGTGTCTGAGCGGAGCGTCTCCACGGCCCATTGAGTTGTAGTTGGAAACAGGTAGCAGAGCAGGCCGCCTTGAGTAGTTTCCTTGCAGCCTCACTGGTAGAAGCTGGCCATAAACCATTCTTGTTCCAAAACTCTTCACATCGCTGGTAGAAGACCGACAGGGGCGCAGTAATCTGTCCTTGGGTGTGATATCAACCTGCAATCAGGATCGTCATGTTTTCACAAGGCTCGATGTTGCTGGTAAGTTGTAGTAGAGTGTTGCTCCGCTCATGGGTTCGCGATTCGTCCATGCTCATGCCAAAGGGCCGGCATTGTGGTATAGCAAAGGCAGCGATAGAGAATGTCCGGAACCTGGAAACCCGGCGTTCGCTCAACGGCGGCTTCAACCTTCCGCCCACTGCACATATCCATCTTCTCTGCCCCTGCCACCCTTAATACCGCGTTCTTCCCGACCTCTCGCAGCCGGACTCATAACACCCTCCGCCCTCCACCTCGCCGGCGGCTTCGCACCTTGCTGAGACATTTCCTCCCACTTCTTGACGCCTCGCTTCTCCCACCGTTGCCTTCGCTTCTCTACTTCATCTTCATTGGGTCGCCATTTGCTCTTCAAGATCCTGCGGATGGCCTCAGGAGTGATCTTGAACTGCTCTGAGAGCTTCGCAGTGCTGTAGGCAGCCGTATCTGACTTGTGCAGCGCACGAATGCCTTCAAGAGTGTCCGGTGAGAGGCGCTTGCGAGGCTTCCAACCAGTCTCGCCGAACTTGTTGACCAGAGCCTCTTTTTGTACCTTCCAAGGGTCCCTTTTGGTCTTGTCGTAGGCCGACGTTGTGGATCCCGTCGCTGCCTTGGCCTTCTCATCGCTCTTCCTCCTTTCCTTAACTTCCTTCGTTTTTGTGTTTTTCGACCTGATCTTCGCTATGTCCTTAGGCTTCTTTTTAGGTAAGGCTGGCCCAGCCATTGCTTCGATCTTCCCAAGCACGTTTTGTGTGCTTGCATCCGACTCATCGCCCATAGTTGCTTGTGCAGAAGGCTTCCATTTGCCCGCTTCTTGCCTCCGTTGCTTTCTTCTGAGTCGTGACTCCGCCTTGGAAGGCGTCTGCATTGGCGTTGGATCTGGAGGAAAAATAGGAATCGATTGTGGCTCGACTTCGGACGAAGGTTGAACGAGCTGTTGTGTTGAAACATAGTCTACCCGAGCTACAGCTGGGCTACCTATGTCGTTAGTCGCCGTCGTTTGTGCATCTGGCGAGAGTATCTCGAGCTCCGCGTGCCATTCGTCGTCAACTTCAGGAGACTCGGTCGATGCCTTCGCATTGACCTTCTCGACAGCTCCAGTGGCCGGGATAGTAGATCCGCTATTGACGGCGTCAAATGGCAAGAAGCCGTCATCGAGGTCCTGGTCGACCAGCCGCACAGTCTCAAGCCGTTGGAAAGGAGTTCTCGTGCTGAAAGTGTATGCTTTCTGTTGCCGCAGAGAGCTTGGAAGTCGTTGCTGCCGTATCGCGAAACCAGTGATATCGTTAACAAAGATTCGAAGTGCCCTGGTGGAGCACAAGCAGGTCGCCATGATTGTCGGAGCTGTTTGTAGGCGGATTAAAGGACATCCAGAGATTCATGTGATAGTTGCGGCGAGCTCGGGATTAGTCAGCGTCGCAACTGCCCGTTTTGGACGTCTGTCTGAAAGTGAGGACTCCCTTCGTCTCTTGTCCGTCCATAAGACCTGTGCCATTGATCCGTCTTCCAATCATGGTGTCCCTTTCACAACGAATGCGTAAGCTGCAGCACAAACTGATCGCGATACGACTGGGACCTGGAGCGCTGGTATTACCGAAAGATGTCAAGCGGATACACATGCGGTTTGGCGAGAAGATCAATGGCGGGCATATGGGGCCTAGGTATGGAATAGCACTCTTGTTATGCATGTGGAGCTCTCATCTGATGATGTCCGACACGTAGGAAGTTCTGGCGACACGAACTCATTCGGCTGAAATACCACAATCCCGCCGTTCCCATGACAGTCGACCGGATACGAGAAGAGGCACAAACACCAGAGTCAGAAGCGATCATGTCAGTACACTTCGCGTCCGCCGATGCCAGACAGACCTCGTCGTCTGCTACATCATCACCCGCCTCCACCGACTCGACAACAACCGCTACAACCCCTTCCGATGCCGATCCAACAGAGAGGGTCGAGACGATAAATATGAAGAACAAGACGAATTCGGAGATATTACAGCAGCTCACACAACTCACCAAGGCATATCCTATAGAGCCGACGGAGGGAGATAAGGAGGAATTAAGGTTACTGGAAGAGCAGCGAGTGAGGAGTGAACGGGATAGTAAGATGTACGCAGAGCACAGGGCAAGGATGAAGAGGGAGCGGGAGATATTCGAGCAGGGCCGCAACGATTTGGCGGCGCAGACTGCATGAAGGGGGAATCTCTTGATGCCTTGATCCGCCAGATGATATGAAAGAGGAAGGGTGCTCGCGCCCTCCCGAGCCTGGGTCCCCTCGCGGTACGCTTGATGAGGGTGTCATCTGCGCTCGTTCAGATACGCTATTCAGAGATGGCCGGATGACGTTGGGGCCGAAAGGCACACTCCACCAACTGTCAACGCATGCGAAATGTGCCTGGTTTCCAAAAGCGTTCTTCGAGTTTCACCACCCAACCTGGCAAAATGCCGTTTCAACTTCAGTGCCACGATTGAGGATTGGAGTACTCTGACGATGGACCTGGTGACGGATCGTGCCTCGTGGGCGGGTGTGCATTGGGAGGAAGCTGACTGGTGTTGCTGTTCAAACCTTAAGTCTGACCCAACACCACTCGTGTATATTACTTACTAAGGCTACGTAAATCTTCAATACCGATCTTCACGAGGCGCATCTCTCCACTGCCTCCGCTATCTTGCCAACACCCGTCATTACGATCTTCAACTCGAAACATGCAACTGATCGACTTTGCCTCAGACTTCAGCACCATACCCAACGGTATCATCTGCGCGATCTGGAGTCTCCTGGGTGTATGGCTCGTCTATGGTGACTCACCATTCACGCTCGCCTGGCTCTTCCTTCAAGCGCATTCCACCCGGGACCGTATAATCATTACCGTCAGCGTGTGTGGTTTCTTCTTTTGCCTCTGCACACTCCCATTCGCCTGGAACTTCACTGTCTCGTGCGCGCTGTTTGGCTACAATTTCCCACCCAGAGGACTGCCATGGCTCATGTTCATCGCAAGCTGGACCATCTTTGGGTCCTGGATGGCCTCCCTAGCCTGGGCATGGCTGCCCAGCTGGATCTTTATGATCCCTCCAGGCTTGGTCGCCTGGGATTATGGTCGACGGTTGTCGTTCCTATCACTCATGGACGCATGCGTAACTGTGAGCTGGATTTCATGCGGACTCTGGATGTGCTTTGGAGGTTGGATGTTTTACGGACTCATGGTGTCTTCTCTTGTCTGGGTTCTTACGCTCTGGCTGCCCCTTGTTCCGATGCTGAAGGCCGGCTTCGAGCTCAGTGTCGCGCATTACCTCCATCGCCAGCGGCGCGCTGATCGGAAGGCAGTATGGCTTCAGAAATGGCTGCGCAGGACTGTGGAAGAGACTTGGGGATTCCTCAAGATGGAGGAGAGAAAGAGTATGAGAGGACCCTGCCGGGAATGTCAAACGACGGGCTCCCCAGATCTGGGCCGAAGATGTAGGCACTCGCGTTCTAATCCAACTGGAGAAGCATACTCGCTTACTGACGAGTCCTTTTCTAGTTGCCGCTGGCTCGAGCGACGACACGACCTGCAGATTACAAACCCTCCCAGTCGAGCTACGCCTCCTCATCTACAGCCATATGCACTATGACTCCGCTCTGGCATTGGAGAGGGCAAGCCGCCATTTTTACAACGACATACCGCACCAAGCGATTGATGTGGAGACGAAGACAGTGGGCGTACTGTTGGCGGAGGCCTCTCAACATAACAAGGATCGGCTGGCTTGTTATTACTGCCTGCGCGTGCTCCCGATGGAAGCGTTTGGTAGTAGGGACTGGTCGAAAGGTCTACTGTAATGGATCCTTCACTTGCAGCGCGAATTTACCTCCATCACCACCAGCCACCATTATCACGTATTCTGCAACATACGCTAGCGCGGTCAACTATGCAGCCAATCACGAGGCCCGGCATCTCTGGCGACGGCAAACACCAAATACGCCGCTACGCTCAGCACGCTGCAGGAAAATGGGCCTTCTACAATCAAGAAGCGTCCTTCCGGTGGCCAGCCAGCGTTTCACTTCCACGATCACGGATTCTGCAACCTGCGCTAGCGCTTCCGAATAATCGACCAATGGGAAATCGAGACAGCCGAGACGAGATGAAAGCGAAAAGATGAGATTCATGGCGAACAAAATCAAGAGAAGATGAAGTGAAGTCGAACAGCACGCCGCTCCTGCCACGATCATTAGAGTTCTCATGTTATGCAACATGAACTAGCGTGCCTCCTGTGCAGCCAATGGGAAGTCATCAGGATTTCGTTGCGATCGTTCTTCCATCAACTCATTCATTAAAGTTCACGTTTTCTGCAACATGAGCTAGCGTTCCACTCAAGATGGCCAATGACACTGTCCGCTCATAGATCAAGATGGTAAAGGGGGAGTAGAACCCGTGGGAACGGGCGAGAAGCAGTGAAGTTGAACCATAATCCGGGCGCAGTCGTTGGTCTTTCTGATCGTCGAAATGCAACAAGAGGGTGAGGAGCTAGCGTACCATGCTATCACAGGCCAATGGTGTTGCAGTTATACCTCACAGTTGCCGACACCAATCCCTCCCATGCCCGACCTGCCAACTGCACAGCGCACTCTCCATCCCCACGCCCAGGAACCCGGCCAGACAAATCCCTGCCGAGTCACTCACAGCCACCGCCCCAAGACTGAACTCCCGATCCTCTTCCGCCACCTCTTCCCGCACAGCAGCGTACGTAGACACGTACACCAGTCCTCCTAACAGCCCTTCCCAAAGCACAATGGCGAAAACGAAATAAACGTTTGGCATGAACGGCCACAGCGCCTGGATCGTAAGCACCACCAGATTCGCCACCTGCAGGAAGGAGGGAACGTAAAGGCTCCGCACGCGGAAGAGCGCGAGCGAGGAGCGGGAAATGAAAACGCCCAGTTGGTAGAGAGCGGAGTAGGTCGGATAGAAGGCGCGGTAGTGTTTCAATGGCGTGGAGGCCAGGGGAAAGAGGAGGGTCGGGGCGACGCCTTGGTTGATGGTGTATTCGGCGAAGTAGACGAGGAAGAGGGGGAACATGTAGGGGATGATGAGGGTGCGGGCGCGGAGGAGTTTGAGTTTGAGTTCTTGGAGGGTTGTTTGGAGCCAGCTTTGGGGTTGGGTGCTGAATGCTGATGAGTTCGACAGCCGGTCTGGCTGGTCGAGCAGGCCAGCGGTTTCTCCGCCATCGTCTTCGGCGGGGTCTTCATCTGGTTCGATGTGATGGTAGGCTTGTTCATGCTTCCTTGCGGCACGCAACGGTCCTCTTGGAAGCAGTGCGAAGAAGCTGACAAGCATGATCAACGGCAACAGCGCACTCGTCAGCAACGTCGCATGCACCGAGATGCCGAGCTCAGTCGTCGCCAGAGCATATGCGCCAGCTCCAATCAGTCCCGCACCACCAGTACCGCTCCCCCATGCCGCCAGACTGAAGGTGCCGTAGAATTGCGTCAGACTTAGGAAGTTGACTTCTCCCGCACCAGAGCTGATGTTGGCGAGGACGATGCCGGCTACCTTTGCGGTGATGCTGGAGGCGCTTGTTGTAGATGGGGATAGCGCGACCGTGAGCATGCCACATGTTGATAGAGTGGCGAAGGCGATGATGCGGAGGGAGTAGGGTATGAGGTCTGGGAAACACAGTCAGCTACCAGCAAGGCTTAGGGACATATGCATAGGCGTACGGATGAAGTATGGCACGACGACTTTGGTTGCGAGACCTGGTATGATTGACGCAAGGAGGACCTGGAGGACGGCATCTGTCAGCATACGCTCAACACGAACTTTTCCTCGTGCCTTCCTGCTTCACCGTCGGTGGAAGCTTCTTCTGACTGCGCTCTTGAAGAACATGTAGATTTGACCTACCGTAGCTTTTGGGATAGAAGGGCCAACAAGATCTAATGCTGCCGACAGAATGATGACATATAGGATGTTGTTGACGAGGCCTATATGGTATCAGCGTCTGTTTCAATTCGTTGTAGTACAACGATACATACCAAACAGCCAAAAGGCGATGCAGACCCTCAGATCCGCGCCTTCAAACTTCCCCTTCACCCTCGCCCAGAAGAGTCGCCATGAAGACGAGGGCGCCCCCGGCATTGGGAGCATCGCAGAGGCTCATGGACAGCTGCTGAACGACATGCTCCCCGTCGGCACACGCGAGACGTTGTGTGAGCGCACGTGCGTCGAGTCTAGACGTGCGATAAAGTGGATGGAGTCTCACGAACGATGCGCCCCTCGCCGCTCTCGGTGGATGACACAGCAGACGGCGGCGCCTTTGACGTGATTCCCGACCCGCACAGATACACCAGGCCCGCAGTAGCTTCGACGCACCCCTGTTCCTCGCGCTGTACTACGCCGCTAGAGCGCCATCCAGGGCGCCGATCAATTCGCAACGGTCTCCGTCGTCCTCTTCTCTCTCTGTCCTCAGGAATGGACACCGGTGCTCTTGGTTCTGCCAGCTCTGTTCATGGAATGATGGTTTGGCACACTTCTGGACGACCGTCTCTCCCACTACACGCTTGACTATTCGATCTCGGTGAACGACGACGGCGTCATCTCGAGCATCATGCGACCGCCGTAGCCGAGACACTTCACGCGAACAACGTGCGCTTTACTATACTGCGAACAAAAGGTGGTCCATTGTCTTACTGACAGACTACAGGATGGACCGGACACCGCTGTTTCGACAGTCTGACCGTCCCCCGGGTCATGCGCCATACCAGCAGTATCCTCCACCACCACCGACCGCCCAACCACCGCTCCAGATCCCACACTCCGACCCATTCCAAACAAACCGAGACCCGTTTCTGCCAGGAGGAGGACATGTCCGACGAGGCAGCTTTGGTCCGACAGCAAGAGCATGGCCGCCAGCACAAGGTATGTGGTAGACACTGTTTCTTGGAGCGGCTTTTGAGTGAAAGAGCGGCGATCCGGAGACCTTCCGAGCAGAGCAGTAGAGCAGAGCACGTCAACGCGCCCGCGAAAGCCGGCAGCTGATGAGCACGTGCAAAAGCTCGATGCTCACGCGCATGGATGCGGGCGCCGTTCGGCTCTGCTCTGCATGATGCTGCATCCACACAAGGTTCAGGTACCGACCAAGGTACATCCGAGCATGCAGGCGTCATGCCATGTCATCACCCTGCGTGAAGAGGACTGTGATGCGGTGAGATCCATGGCCGCGGAGCATGGCAGCTCACACCGTCGCGTTGTGCTGAATTGCACGGCGCGACACGATCGTTGCGGTCTGTGCCAGCGATCTGGAAGGTTTCACAGTTTTGCCATCCCCGCACTTGCAGATGCGCTAACCACTTTCGCGATTGCCGATTTGGAGCTTCCCAGATCTCTCGAGGAAAGTGCTAACCGTCGTCTTTCTTCCACACAGGCAATGGCCCGCCGAACGGTCATCACCCTCAGTCCACACCGCCGCCACCTCACTCACACCCCCTACCTCCACCACCCCAACATGCGCCCAACGGCTTAGCACCAATGCCCCTCCCCTACGACCCCTCACGACGCGGTTCTATTGGCGGCGGCCCTGCTGGCAGCCCACCCCAGCCCAACCAACAAGGTCTGCATGCTCTCGCCGCCATGTCGCAGATGGCCACTGACACCTCCAAAGGGTCTCATGAGCTCCCGCCGCCCCCGCCACACTTCCACTCTCGCCAAATGCCCCCTCCCTCTCCGCCGAACCTCCCATCCAGCGCGTCATCGCTGTCGGCTTCTGCGCCGCGCGGGCCACCGAATGCATCGCCATTCCCGAGCGTGCGCGACCTTTCATCTTTCCAATCACATCGACCGGGCGGTGGGATGTCGATATCATCGATCCTTGGTGGCGGCGATGAGCGGAACCCACCCGGCTCGCCAAACGCGGCGAACAATGCTGCGCCAACGCCGAAGTCCATGCCGCCGCCATCTCCAGCAAGAGCAAGGTCCTCAAGCATGCGAGAGCCTGGCGCGAGGGGCTTCAGGGAGGCGAGTCCTCCTAGGAATATTGGTCCTGACCACCGACTTGGGACAGGTCCAGATCGCGCCATGAACGAGCCGCGCAGAGATGGTATGTTCGGTGCACCTCAATATCAACACGGCTTTCGAGCCTTCCAGCCGATGCAAATGGAGCAGAGGCCCGGCATGAATGGACAGGGTGCGCCAGGTCGTCCAAGCAGCCAACCCATCGACAACCATCCACCGCGCAATACAGACAACATCGCCCGGCGCGAACCCCCATACGAAGGCCGCTTTGCAACGTTTCGGCACTTTGGAGAGCCACAGGCGCCGCAAGGACGAGGTGACATGGGTGCACGACATGACGTTGCACCCTTCCACAACGGTGAGGGCCCGACGTCGCAACCAGGTCCACGCAAGATGTATCACAGTCCTCAAATGGAGCGCCAGCGTAGCCAAACGGGTCCAAACTTTCGGCCTGGCATGTATGGGACGCCGATGCGCGAAGACCAGGCCGGTCTCTTCAGACCATCATATCAGCAAGGCTTGGAAGGCCTTCGAGAACCAATGGCATCACCACGATTTCAGGATTTGCGTCGGGGTGAGATGCCTCGATCGTCGCCCCCTTTATCGGACCTTGCAGCCGCCGAAAGGATAAGACTGAGTTTGCTGGAACGGCCGCCAGCTGACAGGCCAATGACATTTGAAGAGCATCAGCGCATGGAGTTGATGCATCGCGAACAGCAGCAGAACAGGAAAGAGAGTGATGGCTCTGCTCATCGTGCGTTGTTGAACATATCGCCAGAGTTGAATCGCAAGGGTCGCAACTCTCCGCTGCCACAAGCAGTGCAGGGCGCACAGCCCAGATACGTTGGTCCTGGCGGGGACAATCCGGGCATCAAGATGGAGTTCGGCCGGATGTTCCCTGGTCTGGGCAGTGGTGTTGGAACAGCTACTCCAACGGCTGGCCAGTCGGCTAATGGAACCACAACTCCATCACGGATGAGTCCAGCACGACACGTTGAGGGTGGGGACCTCGTCCGTACTGCTGTAGCAGAAATTGAGAATGGAAGAGGCGGGACCAAATCTGGCGGAAGAGGTGGAAGGAAGAATGCACGGCACAGGGTGGAGGAAGACGGACGAATGAACGGCAACGGTACTGACACGCCTGACAATCAGCGCAGCACCAAACGATCGAAAACGAACCATGCTGCACATCACCACCATCATGTCCACCCGCGTCATCATCACCATCATCACCACCACGATCCGATCGACAATGGCTCAAGTCCATTCAACACGCTCCGTTTCCCATCAGCCACTCCAGCCGCTCCGCATCCCCACCATCATCACACATCTCATGCCCATCCAGGCCACCACCATCATCATGCGCCTCGGGCGTCAATCACACGCAAGCCCACGACAACCGTTATGAGCAGAAGGCTTGTCGAGGAGGCGGCAAAGAAGCCACGGAAGCACCTAGGATCGCAGGTCTACACTTCCGAGCTGTCGATGGCGCCCGCAGGAGAGACACCACTGGATGCGAAGATTAAATTCAGCAGCAAGATGAGACCGATACCTCGCTTCGATGGCAAGGAAAACTGCACGTACACAGTTCGCGTGCCTCGCTTGTACTTGGGTGGTATTAGTGCCGGTGGTGAGAAGTCGGACAACGAATACTTCCAGGAGATCTGCAAGCATCGCAACGTATGGGGCACAGACGTCTACACCGACGATTCCGACGTCATCGCAGCCGCTGTGCACGCCGGCTGGATCAAAGGCGACTTTGGCGACTACAACGACGACATACGCGAAATCTGCGGCAATGAATCCGAGCAGGACGAGCCGGAAGACAACAACCTCACCACGCTCGCCATCAAGCCTCGACGACCGGTCAAAGTACCACCTGGCTGCGACGCGCAGTTCACGCTTCTCATCCTGCCACCCCTAGAATCTTATGCGAGTACGAATCAACACCACATCTGGTCCCGCGAGTGGAAGGGCTCGCACGACGGGATGTCGTATATAATCCACCGGATCGACTTCGTGGAGGAGAGCAGTACGAACCGTCTTGTCGAGCGCTCTGCTATGGGCCGGAAGCAGCGACTGGCGATGGAGGAGGCGAAGAGGAGGGAGGCGGCTGCTGGGCTGCTGATGTTCGCTGGGGGAGGGGGAGGGGATGTGAGAGTTGGTGCTTGAGGCGCTACAGCTACTGAGGACGCGCGGATTGATTATCTTTAGCGAGCATTTATACCCCCCTTCACTGAGCGGGATGGGGCAGGAAGAGCAACGGCTTCGCCTTGGTCGGGAATATACACTACACTTTGGACGCCGCTACGGCTTCGTTGCATATAAATATGATCTATCTAGCGCGATATCCTGTACGAATGAGCTCACGGTTTTGACGACTGTACATTGTACCTTCTCTACCTCCCTTCTCCCTCCTCTCTCATGTTGGCCATTGGCTTTACTGATCAGCCGTGGTCTGACCCGACGAACTCTCAAACCACCCCCGGTTCATCTCACCGTCCTCCTCGCCATTGGTGTGGTAGAGTGGTACGCTAGCTCCTGTTGCATTTTGACCACAATCGCCACAAGCAACAGCAACAAGATTCCTTCAGGGTGTCGTCTTTCGATAGTCCGTAAGATGGGTACGCTACACCCTACATGTATCTTAGCTTCTACCGCATCCGCCTTGCTTATGACTTCCAGCAGCAGCATTCAGCATCCAGCAATATCGCCTTACGCCGGCCGTCATTGGCTGAAAGAAGGGCGGCGCTAGCGTATGTTGCATATCTGTGACTTTGATGTGACCGTGGGCGTTGACTGTGACTATAGTTGTGACTTTCAGCTCGTCTGTCCTCCTCCCAAAACCATCATACATGTATTTCCCGGTAGTGCCTTCGTCAGGACTTTTGCACTTCGTCCGATCTTCTACACCGGCATCCCATTGGCTGCGTAAAAGGGCACGCTAGCTCATGTTGCATGACATGTGAACTTTAATGAATGTGCGGCAGGTGCGTCGTCCTGTTCAACTTCACTTCACCAGGTATGTCTCTTCTCGTTTGGACCATCTCTTCTCTTTCGTCTCGTCTCGTCTCGTCTGGTCCAGGATCGCCTCGGTCTCTCGTTGGCTGGACTGGAAGGGACGCCAACGTACGTTGCATAATCCGTGATCGAGGAGGTCAATATTGGCTAGACGCGATGACTGCCATCTCTGCCGTTCGCTTCTTCTAGGTTGTACGAACGCTTACCTATGACTCTCCCGCAAAATAAACCGAAGTGGCCATTGGCCACATAAACCGGCGCCCTAGTCTATGCCGCAGAATCCAAGATGGAAGAGACCAACCACATGCTCCCTTGGACTTCATACTTCAACGTTCACGAGTTACCATCTCTACGATACCATTTCTCTGGGCCGCGCCAACGCTTGTCTACGACTCTTTCATGGACCCCTCGTCGACGATCGAGCAAGCAAGACGCCATTGGCTAGAAAATTGGGAGCGCTAGCTTATGTTGCAGAATCGTGGATGGTGGGGACTGAGGACCTCTATGCCACCACCACCAACAAACTGCCTTGTTACGATTGGCTGCACGTGAAGGTACGCTAGCTCACGTTGTATAAGACCGCGCTGTTACCAGCCTGGTTTTACAACCGGCATGGCGTCCCTTCGATGGTAGAGCCTGGTCAGCCTTTGTTTTGCGGACCACCCTAGTGTCGATGTGATATCGCGCGCCAGGCTGGTTTAGAATAGAAACAATCGGCTTCCCTCGTACAGCCAGCGTGATGTTGGCAACGTCTCATAGACTGGGCTGGGGAGATTGCAACGAACACGGATTGAATGGGTGCTGGAGAGGAAGAGCCATGGATGGGTATGGCCTTCGTGAGAAGCTGTTTCGAAGTTGGGCCCTGGTGGCAACGAGCCGGGTTGGCTTGATCGGAATACTTGCAATGCCGCCGTCACACATTCGAAGCGCCTGTTGAGCAGCGACTCTATACTGTTTCATCTAGCATCGCATCTATCGCTATGCTTCGCTTCTAATGCATCAAAATCCCCTAAACTCCTCGCTCGAAAACCGCAAAGCAAGCAAAGCCACCGCACCTCCTACATCCCCAGCGCAGCTAACCTCTTCTTCCTCTTCTGAACATCCCTCATCTCCTCCCCCATGACCCTGTTGAAGTCATCCGCGCCATCGAGATACACATGATGTCCCGCATTCTTTATCACAACCGTCTTTGCGCTCCCATCCTCCCTCTCCTTCTCCTCTGCAGTGGCGGACGAAAGCGCCTTCTTGCGCTCAGCAGCAATCTTCGCCTCGCTGTCCCAACCGCCTTGCTTGTCCATCCAATCTTTATCCCCATAGAGGAAGACGATCGGTATACCCGTCTCCCTTGGCTTATGTTCTGTGGAAGCAACGTCCACCTCAGGACTCCCATGCAGACCAAGGTACTGCCTCCCCACCCCCTGAATCCTTCTAATCAACGGACTCCGCGCAAACGCTCCAGGCGCGAGAATGTAGGCGAGCGCATACTCGCCACTCCCCCGCTGCCGGAACAGTGAGTAAGAATAATCATGCAGCGCCTGCGCCTCTTCAGGCGGGAGGTGCGAGAAGCGGCGGGAAGTCCAGCCAGATACCAATCGCGGTCCTAAAGGTCCGGATAATCGCACGATGGAGAAGGGCGAGATGTTCGCGTCCCAGAGCGTGGTGAGCCATTTGGGCATTTGGCGTCGCGGGGGCTTTGCGGAGCTGGGAGGTGCTTTGCCGGCGGTTTCGTCCTGCGGTTGCGTGAATTCGGATTGCATGGTACTGTCGCCTGGTTCGGGCATTTCTTCGTTGACTGCGTATGGGTCCTCGGGGATGCCGACGGGGGAGGCGAGGATGAGTTTGTTCAAATGGCCGGGGTACTTCAGCGCGTAGCACACGGCCATGTAGCCTCCTAAGCTGTGTCCAAGCAAGGTCATCTTCTCAATCCCGCGCTCTACCCTCCACTCCTCCAGCGCATCCACGAACCAATTCTCTGCCTCCCGCACCTTGGCCTCCTTGTCCTTCGCACCTATCCGGAAAGGCGGCCGCGAAGACCTCCCCATCCCCAGCAAATCCAGCGCGTATAATTTCCAATTCGGCATTCTCGAAAGGGACTCGAAATTCTTGTAAAAGAACCCAAGCCCCGCCCCATAGCCGTGTAGCATTACGAGATTATTCTCCGTCTCCTCTCCCAACCTCTCAACACTGAACTCGTTCAGAAATCGATTCTTCCCCGCCAGCTGCACCAATTTACTCCGCCATTGCCTTGGACCATACGGATCGCTGATACTATTCGTCCTCACCGGCTCCGCCTGCTTCAACTCGCTCTGGTCCACGCTCATGGTGCTATTATTCGTGCTCGCCGGCGCAGAACCAGTCTGCGTGTGCGTGGGCGGTTTTTGGAGGTACGGGATGAAAGACAACACGCGGTGTTCGGTCTGCGCGGGCGAGAGGCCGGACCACCATTGGTTCCAGCCGTCCTTGTAGCCGAGCGGGAAGTAGGAGGATTTGGGCGGTTGGGTGGAGACTTCGGGGTCTTCGCGGGCGCGGTGGCGGGCGAGCATGGGTTTGCCTCCGCCGCCGCCTTCGCGCTGTTCGGGACCAGATTCCGTGGAGGCCATGGTGGAGTAGGTGGACTGTTGGGAGGATAGTGAGGTGTGGTGTAGAAGTGGCGTGGCGGTATGGACTGGGTAGAGGGCGGCCGCGAGGAGGAGTGTTGAGCGCAGTGTTGCGGGCAGAGCAAAGAGGGTCGCCCTCGTGGAGCGGATTGCTATGGTCGCCAAGGTAGGCAGTCTGTCGTAGAAGTCGTTATAATGGATATATACAGATGAAGGCGGGAAGGGCTGTCAATAAAAGGCGGCTACAATGACGAGCGTCCGGACTTTGCCTGAATTTGCCTCCGAGTTCCGCTCCGGCGCGTTTAATCAAGCCGCAGTTGATTGACTGCTGCTTCTGGTTGACAGACCATTCTGTGGACAATCACAAGCGATTGTGCGTATCTTTGAGATGGGGACAACGTTCAGCATCGATCCCGCGGTAGTGCATGTAGAGCATACAGGTATGGTCGAATCGGAACGGCATTGGGGGCGTCTGACGTCCCCTGAGGATGCCAGCACGGTAAATATAGGACTCCCGGGGCTGACACTCTCCCTTCTCTTTCATTCCTTCTATCATCTGCATCTCAATCCTAGACCGTCAAGAAGGACAAACGCCATCAACAGCAACGAACATGGACCCCATCCGCACAGCAACCTTCCTCTCCTTTCCTCCCGCCCTCATCCTAACGGGCTACACCCTCTCCTTCTCCCACAGCACAGTCCCCGCTCTCTACGTACGTCTTCCCCCTCTCGTCCCTACCTACCATTCATCCCGACTCACCACTGATCCCAGGACCACAAACCCCAACAAACAACCCCAATCTTCCGTCTCCTCTCCACCCACTCCTCCGCCCTCATCCCCACCCTCACCCTCCTCTCCACCTCCGCCTCCGCCTACCTCGCTTACGTCCTCCCCGAGCAACGCCGCGAATGGACCACCGCAGCCGCAGCAATGTTCCTCACGGTTCCCTGGCGAGCGCTGATGATGGGGAAGGGCGAGAAGAGGTTGGTGGAGATTAGTAAGGAGGAAAGGGTGCGTGCGAAGAGCGAGATGACGCTGGAGCATCGGCAGTTGATGATTAGGTGGGTGAAGATGAATTGGGTTAACGTGGTGCTGGGGGCTGTGAGTGGGGTGACGGGGTTGATGGCGGTGGTGGGGCGGAAGTGAGATGTTATGAGAAGACAGTGGGTTCGTCGGGGCAGAGGAGCGAGGCGGAGAGCGTTGTAAGAGTACTGCGTGAAGACGGGATGGTGGGATGGCAGGGTTCGTGAGAGTATGGTTGAAGTATGGCCATGGAATCGCTGAGGGATAGACAAGATATGAGGGTAATGTGTATCATTGTACAACGACACAAGTGGCGAGTCTGGGTGAGCTACCTTCAACACTACACGTCAAATCGATGGACCATCAATCGTCCTTTTCGTCAAAACATGTCAAAAAGCAATGCTAACAACACAACAACCCGCTTACCGTCCCTCTGAGCTACGCAGAACGTCGACACGAACGATCTTCAACCATTTGGGGCCTCTTTGGAGTCATTGCCATTTACATACGAGAGTAAACGATCATGCAAAATAAGCTAGCGCCTTCCGAAATGAGCCAATGGCAGCCAGCAAGGCGACCAGGCATGGACGCCAGGCTAGTATGCCAGGATGCCTTTTGGTCAAGGCAACACACTTCTCGGCCCCCGCGCCTTATGCTCATGCTCCTCGCAAGCCGCAGGTTCGGAACCATAGGGAATGCAACAGAAGCTGGGTCCTCTCATTCTACAACCAATCGCTCATCAGCGGCCTCGACCACGATATTAACATCTTGGCCGTCCGGTGAAGTGAACTCACACCCCCCAAACCACACCTCTAGAGCCTTGTAGTATGCATGCGGACCTTCGCCAGCGTCCCCCTCTCACCCGACCAGATCACCCGCAGACCTACTCTCCGAGCATCGCACGTGGCAGACATGGCCGCCTGCCGCAGGGATCAGGTGAAGTGAGTGTCGCGCCGACTTGCCAACTCCCTCCCTCATGCCTTTCCGAGGCGCTATACCGATATGCGGACACGGACTAGCGCCCTCCCCGAGTCAACCACAACACTCTGTCGCCCCCCCCCTGACCCCCCCGGCACTGCCACGCGAGACCACGCAGGTGAAGTCCCCAAATCCCGCCCATTAGAGTTCTTCACTCATGCAACAACACGCACAAGCATCGATGATGTTCTGACCAATAGCATCTTCTTGTATGGATGAGTTTGGGAAAGGGGAATGGAGATGTGAGGGGCAGTGGTGAATGTGTAGTTTCGTTCGAGGAGAAGTAGAGATAGAGCATAGAATAGAAATAGTACAGCGTAAGTTGGGTATCTTCAAACCAATCCCACCCCATTCATGCCCATGCCCATAACTCTTCACACGCGCTATGCAGTATCATACAAAATAGTACAAATAATTACCCCCCCTCCCCGACCCCTCTCACCTCACCACCTCCCTTAGTAGTTGGGAAAAAAAAATGCGGTCATTCCTCATCATCCTCCCACCAATTCGCCCCCTCCCCAAACCAATGCCCCGCCCGATCCCTCTCCCTCCTCACCTTCCGGATCAAATTGTCCTTCCGGTAATGGTTATGCGTCGAGTGATCGACGACTTTCTTCTTCTGCGGCTTTGGGCGGGGCGAAGAGGCGACTTTGCGAATCGAGGGTTGCAGGGGCGAGGGCAGGAGGGAGGGGATCGAGGGCGCGGGGTCGGAGGCGCTTGGTGGGGCATCGGCGGAGGGAGGGGCGAGGACGTCGTCGTCCTGGGGGCTGGAGCGGGTGTCGGTGGCGAGCGGGGGTTGGGTGGAGGGAGGGCTGGTGGTCGAGGGACCGCTCTATTGCCCTGCGGGCACCACGGGGCCGGGGAGGGCTGGGAGTTCGCCGTCGACGACTTTGCCCTGTCGCTCTTTCCAGTCTTTGAGCTTCTGCTCCTGTTTTGCCCGCTTGACGGTCTCGCCCAGCGCCTTCGCTTCGCCGTACAGATGCTGGCCGGCCGGAGAGTGCTCGTGCCTCAGATGTTCGTGTCGTTCCCAATGCAGCGGCTGTCCCTCGACTTCACCCCACACCCTGCCGCCATCCAAACCACCATGTCCGTGCTGCGGCGCGTGTGCCAACTGCGCCGGCTGCCGTCCTGAACGCCCCTGGTGTCGTCCCTCACCCCACATACTCAACCGCTGCACCTTCCGCAACCGGCGGAACGCGATGATACAGCACCACACCGTCACACCACAGCACAGCCCACTCACCCCGGCGAACCCGAACGTGTCTTCTTCTATGAAGTTCTTCAAGTTCATCCCGTACAGCGCAGCGATGAACATACCAGCGCTTATGCCCAGCGTGCCGATGCTGAACTTCAGATCCAACAGCATGAGGGAGTTGCGATTCGCGTCCAGGATGGCGCGCACTATCTCCTCCGTGTTGCGGATCGCAGACACCAGATTGCTGCTCACCTGCACGATTTCGTCGGCGACTTTGTGGTAGGATTCGAGGAGGAGCTCGATCTCGTCGTGGTTCTGCTCGTCCCTAACTTTGCCGCCAGCCTTGTCGGTAAGGTACATGCTCGCCAGGTCGTCGTCGGCTTCGAGCAGGTCCTCGATCGCGTCGCGCACGAGGCGGGCTTTTTGCTCAAAGGTGCCGAGCTTCTTGCTATAGATGAGGAGGTGGCGGAGCTTGTCGCGGTCGATGTCTTCTTCCAGCTCGCGTAATACTCGCACGACGGGCTCGCGCACCCCTTCGAACTCGGACTCCAACCCGCTGGTAACGCTGATGAGGACGGCTTCGAGCGCGCGGAACTCGTAGGGGAGGTTGTTGGCGGCGATGGTGGCGGAGGTTTGTTTCTGGCGCAGTTTGCCTTCCAGGTCGTACATGAAGAGGCTTTGCGCATAGGAGTCGGTGGAGCCGTAGACGTCGAAGACGAGGACGCGGTTGTGTTTTATCAGGCATCGTAGGTGCAGGAGGTTTATCAGGATTGCGGACTCGCGGACGAGGATGTGAGGGAGGACGGAGGAGTCGATCTTGCGCAAGTCGCGAGGCAGGAGGGAGTATTTGGCAATGAGCTCGGATTTTCTAAATTCGCCGTTGACGAGGGTGACGTTGCCGTGTTCGTCGAACTCGGTGCAGCGCAATTTGAGCTCGTTGCTGGGTTTGATGATTCTACCGCCCAGCCCGGAGTTGGAGTCGTCGAGGAAGCCGGACAGAGGGGGAAGATCGGAGGAGTGATGTCGCGGACTCTTAGTCTGCTTCTGAGGGCGGAGGCGGCGCCAGAAAGGCTCTTGAAGAGATGACGAGGTGGAGAGGGGGCGTGCGCTATCGGTCCGTCTGGCGGTGGTGAGGTTGCGGACACACTGCCTGCTGAAAGGTTGAGGGCGGCATCTTCTCAGAGACGAAGGAGACGCGTAGGGGCACTGGGTGGATAGCTGAGCTCGTAGGAATCGTAACAATGTGGATGATGGCGCGGTGAGCCCAGGCGCCGTGGGCATCGCTTGTCGAGACGTATAGGGGGTGTAGGATGTTGTAGGAATGCGATTGTCACATGCGCGGGTGTGTATATCGAAGTGAATGTAGAAAGACCAGACGTCACCCAGAAAAGCCTCCTCGGCTCCTTCCGCCAGGCTAAAAGCAGCAAGAGATCAGCGGCTCGTGCACGTGGACCCTGGCCGGGCGTTGGAGGGCGCAGAGGCAGAGCGAACTTTTTCGCTTTTGGTTGAACGCACTTGGATTGGCTCCGTCAGCGGAATTTTTCATATATATCCCCCCCTCTCCCCTCTTTCCCCTTCTATACACCTGCTCTATGCAAGCCACCGACCATAGAGCAGCCATGCCCCACCACGAGTCTCCCCCTACCGCCCCGGCTATCATGGTCACCAGCAAGTCCGCCGCCCCCTCCGCCGACGATATTTCGGGGGTGACAAAGACCATCTACGGCTCCAAGACGTCCCAGGAGTCGCTGGACGCTGCCTATACTCTCACAGACCTGCTGCTTAACAGTGTCGGCTTTCGAGGACTGTCAAACTACGGTATCGTCGCTGAGATCCTGAAAGCGGCGTCAGACAAGAAGAATGCCGCCAGACGAGAGGGCGCCATGTTCGCGCTTGGTGCCATCTTTGAGCGCTTCCCACCGAAGCAGCGGATCAGCGAGGTGGTCTTCTTGCTCCAGGAGCAGAGCATGGTGTCATGTGCACTCGATGCGCTGGCGGATAGGCAGTCTGCGGTAAGAGAAGGAGCAAAGTATGCGCTGGATATCCTCTTCTCGCATCTGGGACCGGAGGCCAAGGTATTCGGTCTGCTGCCGCTTTTGATCAAGTACTTGGGCAAGAGCACGGGCAAGTGGCAGGGCACCGTGGGTGCTTTCGAGCTGATTGGGCGCATGGCGGACAAAGCGAAGATGGGAATGGAGTCGCGGGAGGTGGAGCAAGAGAAGGACGTCCTGCGAGACGCTATGGGAAAGAGACTGGAAGCCCTCATCCCTGTTGTGGAAGCGGGCATGCACGATCTCAAGGCTGAGGTGCAAAAGCAGGCTGTCAAGACGATGAACAGCCTCACCACACTGCTACAGAACGACGATGTGGCACCGAGGATACCACTGCTGGTGAAAAGTATGGAAGATCCCAGCACAGAGGCGCAGAAGGCTGCGATCCATGCGTTGTCGCAGACTACATTTGTGACCGAGGTCACATCGCCAGTGTTGGCGCTCCTCACACCTCTGCTGGAGCGCGCACTGAACACGCCAACCACAGCGCAGGAAGTGCTCCGGCAGACTGTGGTCGTCGTCGAGAACCTGACGAAGCTGGTGCACGATCCTATCGAGGCGAGAGCTTTCCTTCCAAAACTTAAACCTGGTGTGCAAGCTGTCAAGGACAGAGCGTCGCTACCCGAAGTGCGCGAGATTGGCAAAAGAGCGCTGGACGTCATGAAGAAGGCTATGGGAGAGGACAAGAAAGCAGACGCCGGCGCAATCGCGGTCATCGAGCGAACAAAAGCGGAGGATGTGCAGGCACGCTTGGAGCAGGAGGTGCAGAAGAACGGTGGCTTGCTGAACTACCCGGGCGACTCAGATGTCTGGTCCCACGGCAAGGTCTTCATCTCAGAGATTGTGGCAGAGGATGTCAACCAGCGGGCACTGGACCGGGTTGTGCAAAACACGACTTCCTACCTTCAGCCGCTCATGGACTCTGCGGCTGCTGTTGGCGATGCTCTCCATACCCTCTACGTCGAAGAGGACAACCGAAAGTTCGGCGCGCCAATCAAGGAAGACGATGGTGAGGTCGAGATCGTGAACGCCAACTTCTCTCTTGGCTACGGCGGCATGCTGCTTCTCTCTCATACCAATTTGCGATTGTTGAAGGGCCACCGATACGGCTTGTGTGGCCGCAACGGAGCTGGAAAGTCCACTCTCATGCGCTCCATCGCGAACGGCAAGCTTGAAGGCTTTCCACCTCAAGATGAGGTCAGGACATGCTTTGTCGAGCATAACCAGGGCGAGGATGCCGATCTGACGATTCTTCAATACTGCTTAAAGGATCCGGAGCTGCAGGGCGAGGGCGAGGAGCGCATCTCGTCCGTCCTAGCGGAGGTTGGCTTCACAGCCGGACCAGAAGGTCGGCAACACGAGAAGGTTGGTTCTTTGTCCGGTGGCTGGAAGATGAAGCTCGCCTTGGCTCGGGCCATGTTGATGCGTGCGGATGTCTTTCTGCTTGACGAGCCTACGAACCATTTGGATGTCGGCAACGTAAAGTGGTTGGAGGAGTATCTCAAATCCCACACCGAGATCACCAGCTTGATTGTCTCCCACGACTCCGCCTTCTTGGACGAGGTGTGTACGGACATCTACAATTACGAAACCAAGAAGCTCGTCTGCTACAAGGGCAACCTCTCCGACTTCGTCAAGGTGAAACCAGAGGCGAAGAGCTACTACACTCTCTCCGCCTCACAAGTGCAGTTCAAGTTCCCACCACCCGGCATCCTCACCGGCGTCAAGAGTATGACTCGCAGCATCCTCCGCATGACCAACGCCTCTTTCACATACCCTGGCTCCGCAAAAGCGAGCTTGATGGACGTCAGCTGCGCCCTCTCCCTCAGCAGCCGCGTCGCCATCATCGGACCCAACGGTGCCGGCAAGTCGACCTTGATTAAAGTCCTAACCGGCGAAGTCATCCCCCAGCAGGGCAAAGTCGAAAAGCACCCCAACCTGCGAATCGGCTACATCAAGCAACACGCCCTCGAGCACGTCGAAATGCACATGGAGAAGACACCAAACCAATACCTCCAATGGCGCTACGCCAACGGTGACGACCGCGAAGTCCTGCTCAAACAGACCCGCGTCCTGACTCCCGAAGACCAAGCCCAGATGGACACACCCATCGACCTCGGCGACGGCAAGGGCCCGCGACGACTCGAGGCGCTGATCGGACGGCAGAAGTACAAGAAGAGTTTCCAGTATGAGGTGAAATGGCTCAATATGCTGCCGAAGTTCAACGTGATGATTTCGCGGGAGACGCTGCTAGAGCGCGGGTTTCAGAAGCTTGTGCAGGAGTTTGACGACCATGAGGCCAGTCGTGAGGGTCTGGGGTTCAGGCAGTTGGAGCCCAAGGTCATTAGCAAGCACTTCGAAGACGTGGGCTTGGATCCGGAGATTGCGGACCACAACGAGATCTCTGGCTTGTCCGGTGGACAGAAAGTCAAGGTCGTATTGGCCGGTGCCATGTGGTACGTACCCCCCTCTACCTCTCCTCGACAGCTCGCTAACAGTACAATTGCAGGAACAACCCCCACCTCCTCATCCTCGACGAACCCACCAACTTCCTCGACCGCGACTCCCTCGGCGGCCTCGCCGTCGCCATCCGCGACTACCGCGGCGGCGTGGTGATGATCTCGCACAACGAGGAGTTCGTCTCCGCCCTCTGCCCGGAACAATGGCACGTCGACGCCGGACGTCTCACCCAAAAAGGCCACCTCGCCGTGAACCTCGACCGCTTCGAATCCCCCCGCCCTGGCTCGAGTCTAGCTAGTTCAGCGGTCGCAAGCAGTAACGTGAGCTCGGCCGTGAGTTCCGCGCAAGGTACCCCGACAGGCAGTGGTGCGCAGAGTGAGGCCGAGGGTGCGGACGGGGAGATGAAGTTCCGCGCGCGCAAGAAGAAGAAGCTCACGCGGGCGCAGCAGAAGGAGAGGGAAGTGCGGAGGAGGCTGAGGCATATTGAATGGTTGAATAGTCCGAAGGGGACGCCGCATCCGGTGGATACTGATGATGAGGCTTGAGACTTCACGTGAAGATGGTTGGTGCAAGGGTGGGTGAGGGCGTTTGGGATGATGATGGTGCATAGCGGGCTGGTGTTCGAGGACGAGTTCTGATTCTGTTTGCATTTGCATGGGTCGGGGACTTTGAGACGCTGGTGCATTAGCGAGGATGGCGTTTGCTTTCGACGGATGGCATTTCTTTTGGTGTATGAGGATGGCGTAGATGACTAGAACTATAGAGGGTTGCAATTGGATCAGTTCCGCAATTTGGAGTTGACTTCAATACCACGGTTGTTCAGATTTATCTCTTGTTCGGGGGCGTTGCGTTGGGCAGCGGGTCCTCCCCAGATGAATGCTGACCTCATGTCTCATGTACACCCCACCTCACCTCACCTATTCTTGCCCTTTCAGCATCGGCAGCACTCAACACTCTGACGCTCTGAAGTACCTTCAGCGTCCTCTCGTAGTCCCCAAGAGGACCCCCACGATAACCGTCGCAGTCATCAAAGACACGGCAATCCTCAAGTACTCCCCCTTCGCACAATCAATAGCACTACCGGGACTTCAGCGTGGGCCTGTCTCATTGCAATCTCCCCTGTTTCTCTTCCTACTTTCTCCCATCGTCGAAATCGCTGTCGAGCATAGAACACCGTCTCGCCACCTCCGTCATCCGTCGTGTATGTGGGGGCAGAGCGGCAGAGCGTACCAGTGATGCGGCGTAACCCATCTCCCCCCCCCCCCCGCCCCCCAGATCAGGTCTCAGGATCCACTATACAGTTGTGTTTGAACCTCGCGAATGGACGCTTGGGGGAATGACTGAGTGGCTTGGACAATAGATAAAATGGAGCTGGCCACGAAGGGCTCGGTAGTGCGTGGTGTTTGTGTCGGCGAGGCGTGGCTGCAGCTTTGTCTGCTATTGCCGGTACTGACGTCGTATGATCCGGTCCGGATCAGTAGCGAGCGGTGGGTGCTCTGGCCTGGCGGTCTCCAGTGACTGACTCTGGTTGCGTTGGGTCTCTGAGGCTGAGACGTGCCGATGCTACGCCGGCGGGAGGCGAGTAGGGGGTGGCCGATTTCTGCAACGTTCGGGCCGGAAGAGGGTGGTGATGGAGCTGGTGTCTCAGCTGAGAGGCAGCCAAATGCGGATTAAGAGGACCAGGGGAGGGTAGCTCACAGGAAGGCCGCGTTGGCGATGCTGGCGGGAGAGGGGCCCGCGTCAGAGTAGAAGCCACCACGTCCAGACTCCATGTCAGTAGTGGAGACAGACTCTAAGCGCGAGAGACGTCTGAGGCCGGACTCCTGTATGGGAACGTGAAGTGGCGCGAGGTCCACAACGGGCGGAACATCCTCCTGGAGACTAAAGAACCGGAGTGCCTGAAGATGAGATTCGGCACGTTTCCCGACCCGGCGAGACAGGAGAGGCGAAACGCTGTCTTGAATCTCGACAGGCGGAGTAGTCAGTTGCTGTGTGGCCTTTATGATAAAGAAAAGGAGCGCCGCTCGTCTCTCGGTGGCCGTCCGACCTCGTCAGCGCTGGACCAAAAGATCAAGAGTCCCGTCTCTGGAGCGAGGTATCCCGTCATCATGTCCACCACCGTCGAGCAACAGCCAGAGGTCCACCTTGTGCCGGGAGAGATGCGGTACAAGCCCAGATCCCGGACGAACGCCCACGGCTCAACCCCAAGCCCGCCTTCAGGGCCGGGAGAATTGTATCCGACATACTTCCACTCCCGCCGCATCAAGAAGGGGTCGGTGGAGAAGCCATGGTTGGAGAACAAGGATCCGCAGGATAAATGGGACACGATCATTCCCGCCTGCGGGCTTGTCATTGGGTTGATGATTATGGCGACCCTGATTTATTTGGGGTACACCAAGGTGACGCACCATGAGTATTGTCCGGTGTTGATGGATGATTTCTCGAAGGGGCTGGATGGTGATGTGTGGGCGAAGGAGGTCGAGGTTGGTGGATATGGGTATGCTGTGTTCTGCTCGTCGAGTTCGTGATCCCATGCTGACGGTTAAGATAGCAACGGCCAGTTCGAAATGACGACCAACACCGACGAGAACGTCTTCGTCGAAAATGGCATGCTAGTCATCAAACCCACCCTCCAAGACCCCGAGCTTATGACCACGAACAACGTGATCAACCTCACCCGCTCCGGCCTCTGCACCACGACCGGCTGGTCCAACTGCATCACCTCCACCAACACCACCAACGGCACCGTCGTCAACCCCGTCAAATCCGGCCGCATCAACACCAAGAAATCCGCCTCGATCCAGTACGGCAAAGTCGAAGTCGTCGCCAAACTCCCCATCGGCGACTGGATCTGGCCCGCCATCTGGATGCTGCCGGTGAAAGACACCTACGGCCCTTGGCCTACTTCGGGAGAAATCGACATTATGGAGTCCCGCGGCAACAACTACTCCTACCCGGAAGGCGGCAACAACATCGTCTCCTCCACGCTCCACTGGGGGCCAGATAGCGACAATGACGCCTGGTGGCGCAACAACAACAAGAAGAAAGCCCTGCACGCCGCGTGGGGCGACGCCTTCCACACGTACGGCCTGGAGTGGAGCGAGAAGTACCTCTTCACCTACATCGACTCCACGCTTATGCAGGTCATGTACTCAGACTTCAACCAGCCGTTCTGGCAAAAAGGGCATTTCCCCGAGGCCAACGACAACGGGACGACGTTTGTGGATCCCTGGAGCCAGACGGCGAGGGATAGCACGCCGTTCGATCAGGACTTTTACCTGGTGTTGAATGTGGCGGTCGGGGGCACGAACGGGTGGTTCCAGGACGCCGAGGCCGGGAAGCCGTGGGTGGATGCTAGTCCGAGTGCGAAGAGGGATTTTTGGCTGGCGAGGGAGCAGTGGTTGCCGACGTGGAAGGAGGGCGGGGGGAGGATGGAGGTGAGGAGTGTGAAGATGTGGCAGCAGAAGGGGTGGAATGGGTGCTGAGGTTGGGGTGAAGGGGCCGCTGGATTTAGGGAGATACGGTAGATTGTCGGTGGCCTGACGTCGTTGGCTGTGGCAAGACGATCGCTGTTCAGGATTGGTTCTCCTGGCATATCTGCTGGGGTACTGTTAGCAGTAGCAGGTTACTATAAGTGCCAAAGTTTCACATTGGTATGCACCGGGATCGAAAGCCAGACTCATCTTGCCTCATCTGCCGCCTTCCCATTTCACGATTCCCTCCTTCCAACGTGTCCGTACCGTAATGCATAAACCCCCAGCAGAGGGAAATTTCGCACGACTTCACTTCATCCCCCGTTTCTCCAATGTCCCTCGCCACGAGAGGCGCACGTAGATCGATGCTTCCCTCGAAGGTGCCAGAGCGCCATTGGTCGAAAGGAGAGGGGCGCTAGCTGGTGTCCGCATATTGGTATAGGTGAGCGAAGCGGGTGTTGAGAGAGAAGTTAGGAAATTGGCGTGACTTCACATCACTTCCTCTCCAGTGGTCCGGTCTGCGATTGGCTGTCAGTTGAGGACGTTAGCTCATGTCCGCATGCATGCCGCAGGATCCTGAAGGTGTAGTAGTCATCCATTTGTGAACTCACTTCACCCGACCTTTAGTGTTGTCAGGTGTCGCCTTGACATGTTTGAAGTGCCATCGGATGCGGAGGAGGGAGACGCTAGTCCTTGTTGCAGTCCCTATGGTAACGATGGTAGCAGAGAGAGCCCCCATAAAGTAAAGCGCAGGCAGAGGAAGCATGTCGCCTTCGCCGTAAGGCATCTCGGCCGCCTCGATGCCTGGTCGCCTTGTTGGTCGCTAATTGGCTGATATCGGACGGCGCTAGCTCGTGTTGCATGATTGTTTACGCGAAGAGATAAATTGTAAGTGACAATGGGGGCGGAAATGCTTGCCTCGAAGGTTCGTCAACGACTGTTGTGCATTCCGTGGATGCTCGTGTGATGATGCTGATCAGAAACAATGCTTGCAAATCGACGATCACGATCGTTCGTCTCTATTGCAAGGGCTTCCTCGCCTCCTCGCGAGATTTTCCGAGTGAATCAAGTCAGGCACCAGGTTGTGTTGCAACGCAGACGACACCTTGGAACGTCTAAGTCAATCCCGGTGTGTCCGACATGCGGCGAGTGAATGGCTGACAAAGCTGCAACTTAGATAGCTGGTGAATGTTGGAACTCACATCATGTGAAGTCATTGCGACACCTTCGATCGACTTGCCTTTCAAGAAACCTCACCTGGATGCACGCAACATCTCCTCTTTCCCTCCACACTCACCGACCTCGGGCATCGGCGGTCATGCGAGACAACGCGAACATGCGCCCAGTCATCATCACCTTCAACGTGGGCTTCTCTTTGTCTTATGGCAAACATCACCCTTCTCAAGCGCAGAAGGCGACAACATCTGCGACGGCGCCCGCACCAGCTCCTCCGCTAGTCGCACCAAACGATCCAAACGATCCAAACGATCCAAACGAAGCCATGCTTTCTCCCACTACGCTCGACCTGCAACGACGCATCCGCCAGCATGTGCGTGAAGGCCTGGCGCAGCTCAACCAGGATCCGGGCAGACCAGCCGAAGACCAGCGCGACGGCAGTAACGACCAGGAGCCCGAGCACGAGCGCCAGGCCGACTCGGAGTCCCTGGAACATCTCGAAGCAGCGAAAGCAGCCGATGCCGCGCTCTCGAAAGCGATGGATGTCGAGAGCCTGGAAGCGCTGTGGCGCAGCACAGAAGACAAGGACGCCTTCCGACCTACCTCGTTCGTCACACCAGAGAACAAGACGTTCTGGCCGCCGAAGGCTCAGCGTGCGAAAGTGAGAGAGCCGTCGGTGGTTACGGATGCTGCGCCGTTCACTACTCCATCGAGCGTTGAGAGGGAGATTGCGGCGAAGGCTGGGAGTGAAGGTGCCATAAGTCAGATGTCAGGGTCAGAGATGCTATCGTTCTTATTGAACTCTCCAAGCACCGACAAGGATTTCAAGCAACCGGAGCCCGAGAACGAGTTCGAAGTATTCCTCCAGCGATCCACGGCAAGCAGTCGTAAGGGCAACACGCCAGTCAGCATGAAGAAGAGCAACAGCTTCAGCGCCTTATTGAGATCATCTCAGGCGCTTGACGTCGTCGAAGGACCAGGACAGCCGATGGAGAGCAGTTACATTCAGCAACAAGCAGAGTCTGTCTTCCAGGCGTTCGCCGAGGCGGAGCGGGCGCAACCAGATAACGATCAGACTGAGAACACCTCGCCAGCTATCTTGGATGAGGTGTCGAAGCCGAATACAGATTCATGCAGCGAGACTCTCCCGGACATCGTCGTTACTGCACCAGTTCAGGAGAAAGCTGTTGGGATGGAAATTGGAATTGAAGCAGCCAAGAGTGAGACGGAGTCAGCCCAAGACGCTGATGGAGATAAGATGGATGTTGAGCGCGAGGACGAAGAGGTGTACGTGCTTGCACCGTCAACTGCACAACATGCTGAAGACGATGGGGATGGGGAATGGGAGATGGTTGATGAAGAGGTGGAAATGAAGTGAAGTCTGGAATGGAGACCCCGGCATTTCGACGCTGCCACGTGCCGAAACCCCAGACGATCTCCAGTGCATGGACCCCGAAGTTCCGCCCTTGTCTGCCGGAGCATCTCACTCAGCGACGCGGATGGTGTAGGATCGCGAGGAAATAATCTACGTCCGTAGTGACAATTACCATGGCCTTCAGATACATCTCCTCACTACGGTAGGCCTCTATTGTTTCCTACGTCTTCCCAACCGATCCTCGTTCGTTGGGTTGTCTCCTTGAAACCTCTGATAGTGGTTGGAACAATGGCTCTAGGTACGTGCTCAGGAATCGCAGGGCCAAGACCATACTGATCGCAGACAGCTACTGGAGCAGCGGTCGCCGGCGTCTCAGCAGCAGCCGCATACCTCGACGCGAAGTACCACATCCGAAAAGACCTAGCCAACATACGAGAAGGCAGACAGATCGCGAAGCTCGGCCAGAGACTAGGTAGGTCGATCCAGTCCTGTCACCGAAGGAGAAGCAGAAGCTAACATGTCTGCTTAACAGCTAAACAAAACCGCCGCTCCCTCTGGTACCAGTTCGAAGAACAAGCCCTCCGCCTGCAAGACGAAGGATGCATCTGGTACCGCTCCCAGCCCTCCGAGCCCGCGACAGAATACACATGGACACAAGCCTACGAGCAGAGCTGCCGCTACGCTCAATTCCTTCTCCAAAACGATGTCCAACCTGGCGAACTCATATCGCTCTACCTCGTCAATAGTCCCGAGTTCATGTTCAGCTTAGCAGGCAGCTGGGCGATTGGTAGCGCACCTGCGTTCATAAACTACAACTTGGGCGGGGACGGGTTGGTACACTGTTTGAAGGTCGCTCAGAGCAAAGTCGTGCTGGTGGATGGAGACTCCGCCTGTCGGGAGCGGATAGAAGAACAACGCGACCGCATCGAGAACGAACTCGGCATGAAGATAATAATCCTCGACCCCTCCACCAAATCCCTCATATCCTCCCTCCCCGCCACCCGACCCTCCAACACCTATCGCGACGGCGTGACCGGCGAATTCCCCATATTCATCTTCTACACCTCCGGCACAACCGGCCACCCCAAAGCCTGCCCCTTCGAAACCCAGCGCTCCTACGGCATGCCCATCAGCCGCAAACGCACCACCGGCCTCCGCGGCGGGCCGGGCGCGGATACCTGGTACAACTGCATGCCACTCTACCACGGCACAGGAGGGACGACAGCCATCTCCTGCTTCATGGGCGGGATCCGCTTAGCCATCGGCCGCAAATTCTCCGTGCGGAATTTCTGGCGCGATGTGCATGATTCGGAAGCCAACTGCTTCGTCTACGTCGGCGAGACGGCGCGGTATCTCCTCGCTGCCCCGCCTTCACCGTATGACAAAGACCACAAACTCAAAGCGATGTACGGCAACGGCATGCGTCCGGACGTCTGGCCGAAATTCAGAGAACGCTTCGCTATCCCCCGCGTGAACGAGTTCTTCAATAGCACCGAGGGCATGTTGTCTTTACTAAACGTCTGCGTCGGCCCCTTCCACGACGCGCACGTAGGACATCATGGCGCCATCTCGCGCTGGCAGCTGAGAGATACCATTGTACCCGTTGAGATCGACCACGAGAACAGCGAGAAGTTGTGGCGAGACCCGAAGACCGGGTTCGCGAGGCGGAAGAGCTATGAAGAAGGTGGGGAGATTATTGTAAGGTGTCGGACGGGGAAGGAGTTTGTGGGGTATTGGAATAACGACGAGGCGACCGGTAAGAGGTTCGAGAGGGATGTTTTGGAGAGGGGGGATTTGTGGTATAAGACCGGGGATGCGCTAAGGCGGGATGCGGATGGGAGGTGGTTTTTCTTGGATCGGTTGGGGGATACTTACAGGTGGTGCGATTACACCCTTCCCTTGTAAGGTGCCGGCCGTGCTAATATGTGAGGGTACAGGAAATCCGAAAACGTCAGCACAGCCGAAGTAGCAGAAGTCCTTGGCCGCTTTCCACAAATCGCTGAATCGAACGTCTACGGCGTCGAAGTCCCCTCTCACGACGGCCGGGCGGGTTGCGCGGCAATCTACATCGCCCCCGAACACCGCGCGGCTTTCGACTGGAAGGGTCTGCTCGAGCATAGTCGGAAGGGGTTGCCACGATATGCTGTTCCGGTGTTCGTCAGGGTGTTGCAGGAGCAGGCGCCTATGCATAATAATAAGCAGAACAAAGTGCCGTTGCGGAAGGAAGGGGTGGATCCGAAGAAGGTGGCGGAGGGCGAGGCGGGGAGTGGGGATGTGTTGATGTGGGTGCGCCCAGGAGGGGATGTGTACGAGCCTTTCACAGCGAGCGATTGGGAGGGCCTTGTTGGCGGCAAGGCAAGGCTGTGAGAAGATAATGGCTATAGGATAGATCTCGACACCAACCTTCTCAATCCTCACCATCCCAACCCCCAAACCCCTCCCACAAGACGTGAACGTGATCAATGACTCCCACTGACCAAACTCAAATACACCCCCCAAAACAACCCCACGACACTACCGACCACCACCCGATACTGCACCGGCACCAAGGTAAAATTCATCAAACTCACCGCCGGCCACAACTTTAGCCCCGCCGCGACCAGAGGCCAGAATTGGGTCTGGCAGTCGGAGGTGATGGTGGAGAGGGAGCGGCCGCGGAGGGCGTCGAGGCCGGCGATGAAGAGGAGGGTGTTGATTGTTGCGCCGAGGGTTTGGTCGAGGGCGAATTTGGCGAGGGTGTTGGGGAGGTTGAGGGACTTTTCTTGGGTGGTCTGGTTTGATGTCAGTGTGGTGGGGTCGCTTAGACTAGGTTTGGGTGATTTACGGGCTTCTCGTCAGTCTTCTTGGACGGTGGCGTGGTTGAGGTATAAGCTGGGAATTTCTGCTCGAGCCATGATTGCCAGATGAAGTTTGGTGGGCAGGAGAGGCAGGCGAAGAGGACGAAGTGGAAGAGGTCGGTTGTGTTTAGGGAGAAGGGTCTCTGGCATAGCGTTAGCTATCAGATCTCATTCTCATCCTTGCCAATGTTGTTGAATCTTACATTGTTCTGGTAACACTTGATGCTCTGGCCTATGATATTCGACAGCCCACTCAAGGCTGCGGCTTGCCACGTCGCTGTAAATATAGGTGAGTCCATCGTACCTGGCTCTGATGCAGTTGTTAGGGAACCTTGACTGAGGTTATTAAAGTGATGTTGCTATCTTGAAGTTCCGAAAGTGGAAGGAGTGGAAGAGCACGTGGCATGACGCTTCGTCAGCCCTATAGGAAAGCTCGGCATTTCTTGTTGTTGCTTGACTGCCATTAGCAATTTTCCGAGGTGAGTGTCCTCCGACTGTCGCGGAGATATACACCCATACGTCTCAAGAATACTCGCAGTCTGCCAGCGCTTCCGAGACGCCCTCTGGCCGGCAAATGCCCCGAGCGACTTGCGTAAGTATCTCGCGGTGCCATGCTGAGCTTTCTCCACGGGAGTCAACGGGTCCAGGCAAGGTACCTGTAGGAATTGAGTTTTGGTTACATGGAGCTGACGTAGGTATCCAACTCAATATTCTCTCTGCTTTCAGGTCCACGCGGCGGAAGCGCTAGGAGGTACAGTAAGTTAGGTATTCTGCATGTGATTGAAAGTTCACAACATCTCCTCTTCAAAAACATTCTCCTTCGACCACAACCTAGCTCACTTCGCGAAAGAAATTCGCCACTATGGTCCACCAACACGGTGATCACCACGATATCCCCAAGGAGCATCATGTCTCACGCGCAGGCAGCTGGCTACCAGCCGACCACCGTATCCAACATGGCTGGCTCGGAAAACAGATTGATGATGCGAAAAAGAATCCAAAGGGAGAACTTGTGCCATGTCTGAAGGACTTTAAGGCCTTCATTGAAGGGAACCCAAGAATTTACATGTACTTCAATGCTATGTATGTCTCCGTTGCTCAGCGTTCGAATGGCGGCATAGCTAAATCACAACCAGGTTCGACGAAGTCCCCGTCAAGAAACCCTACAACACCGACCCGACCGGCCGCAAGCAAATTCGAGACTACCACCACATGCTCGAGATCCTGAACCACACATTCACCACCGCCCCCACCTGGACAGATGCTGCTGCTAATGTGGGAATGGTCGGAGTTCCAATGTGCGCCATCTTCGACTACCCCATGGGCACCCCCTCGGGCTACGCCGCCTTCGTCGACCCGGAAGTAAACGCCCACCTCAAGAATATCCTCAACGAATGGGGCAAGTTCCTGCGGACGCCCAAATCCGCCGAAGTCCTAGGCGAGCACAAGCAGGGCTGGTTCGGCCCCGTAGGCAAACAGGATTTGATGATGGTCGCCAACGCCCCCTACACCACCTCCCACGCCTTCGAGGACTTCTATATCTGCGATCCAAGCGCTAAACACTACGGCTACAAATCCTGGGACGACTTCTTCACCCGCCAATTCAAGCCCTCAGTCCGCCCCGTCGCTTCCCCCGACAACGACAACGTCATCGCCAACGCCTGCGAGAGCAAAGTCTTCAACGTCGCGCACGACATCAAGCTCCGCGACAAGTTCTGGATCAAAGGCCAACCCTACTCCGTCCTCGACATGCTCGCCCACGACAGCCTCTCCGAAAACTTCGCCGGCGGAACAGTCTACCAAGCCTTCCTCTCCGCCCTCTCCTACCACCGCTGGCACGCGCCCGTCAGCGGCACGATCAAGAAAGCCTACGTCCAAGACGGCACATACTTCTCCGAACCCCTGTTCGAAGGGCTCGGCGACCCTTTCATCACCGAAATCGACGCGGGCGGTATCTCCGTCGGACAAGGCTACCTCACCGCCTTGGCCACTCGGGCGATAATTTTCATCGAAGCGGATAACCCTGCCATCGGGCTTATGGCGTTTATTGGCATCGGGATGGACGAGGTGAGTACGTGCGATATCACGGTCAAGGAGGGGCAGCATGTGAAGAAGGGGGATCAGACGGGGATGTTCCATTTTGGGGGGAGTTCGCATTGTTTGTTGTTCAGGAAGCATGTGAAGGTTGAGGGGTTCCCGCAGCCGGGACGGCAGGAGAATGTGCCGGTCAGGGGGCATTTGGCGGATGTGAAGGCGTAGGTGGATGGAAAATGGTGTGCGCATGACTTGGTTCGCAGGGGAGGCCTGGGGAAAGGAGAAAAGTTCTATGGCCAAGCAGGTGTATGTAACAAGTATTTGGACCCCAGGACACCGCACCAGGATTCAAAGCATTATTGCAAACAGATTCGTTCATCTAGACATACTCATGTATCTATTCATCCCCAACACTCCCATCCACTCGCTCTCGCGAGACTCATGACATGCCTAAGCTTTCGACACCTTCCCAAAATTGATGAGTCGTTTAACTCCAACCTGTCGTGCCGAATTAGTAATTCATCGACACTCAAGTAGTGATTCAGTACTCACCATCCAATTCGTCCCCTCCGTCGCCGACTTCGCCGCCTGCATCTCATTAAACAACCCCAACGCCCTATCCCAATCCCTCGCGGAAACAGCCTGCGCTATCCCAATCATCTCCTGCACCGTGCTTTCACTAAGCAGGTCCTCGTTGTTGAGGTGGTCGAAGAGGATGTTGAGCCGCTTCTCCATATCGTCGACTTGTGGCTTATACTGCTGAGGTGCTGAGGATTTGATGCGTGCGATCTCGGGGGAGAGGAGGTCGACGATTGGTTGGGCGGAGGGAGGGATGTGCGAGCGGTCGCCGCGTGGGTATTTGGGCTTCGCTGCTGTTGGTGGTGGTGAAGCTACCGGTTGGTCTGCTGCGGTTTGGGGGAGCTGGGACTGTTGTGAGGTGGGCGAGGCGACGGCATTACGAGGTGGCCCTGAGGGTGGCGGGCCTGTGGGTGGCTGTGATCTCGGAGGTCCTTGTGGCGGAGGACCGGTAGACTTCGATGGGGGAGGTGGCGGTCCGCCTTGACTGGGTTGACCGAACTGAGGCGCTTGCTGCGGCGCATAGGGTGATTGGGAAGGTGGCTGTTGCGCTGCGTAAGGGTTGGGCGCAACCTGCCGCTGTGGCGGTGGTGCTCCTGGAGCCATCGAGGGCTGACTGCCAGGCACTGGCGCATATCGGTTTGATGGAGCGGCTGACGAGGTCGAAGGTGGTGGCTGGTAAGGGGACGCGCCACGCTGAATCGGCGGAGGGCCAGGTGTAGGCAGGGTGGAGCCAGTAGGCGGTTGTGACTGGTAGTTTTGTGGCGGCGCGTATGCGTTGGCCGCTGAGGATGATGGCCGCTGTTGCTGCTGCTGCGGGAAGCCAGTAGCTGGAGGAGATGTGACCCGTGGAGCTTCACCGGCTCTTGGCGGAGGCGGCAATGGCGATGCACTTCGCTGTTGCTGGCCATACATAGGCGGTCCAGGTGGCGGAGGCGATCCGATCTGACCTGTCGCATTTGGGAAGGGCGAGGAGACGGGCTGTGGACCTGGTGTGCCACGTCGTGAAGTTGCCTTTTCTTTGAAGAAGTTATCAGGCATATCATTCCAGTTTGTCATACTCTTCGCGGCTGCGGCAGGAGGCACAGATGGCGACGATGTGCTGCCTCGAGGTGGCGGAGGGAGCGGTGTCTGTTGCGGGGGCTGGTATCCACCGTACATGCCAGGCTGCTGTCCGTAAGGGTTAGAGGGTTGGGGAGGCTGATAGCCAGCAGGGGCATAAGTGTTGCTGGCAGGAGCGTAGGGCCCTGGCGCGGGTGGTTGTGAAGGCTGGCCATAAGGTGCTTGAGCGTTAGGAGCATTTGGTGGAGCATAAGGGCCTGGCGTAGAGTTTCTTGCCTGATTGACCAAAGGCTGCTGTGCTGGGGCAGAAGGCTGCATGACCGGCTGAACCCGAGCACCGGGCTTCTGCGCACTTGGTGCTTGTCGTGATTGAACTGCAGCTGGTGCAGCCTTCCGAGTAGCCTGCCTGACTCTTGTCTGCGCGGCTTCCGCACCCTCATACTTGCTTGGGAGGAGGCTCAGATAAGACTCTGCGACCGCCAACTGTCCTGAAGACGCAAGTATGTCTGCGTATTCGCCATACAGACGATAAAGCTCTGACAGCCTCCAACTCTCCGATGCTTGCATGTCCGGGTCCTTGAAGTTCGTGACCTTGCGGAAGACGGACACTTTCTCCACAAAGCCCTGCAGGCATTTGGCGTGCACCGAAAAGTCACTCTCTTCCTGATCAGCGGCCAGCGCAGATTGTTCCTCTTCTCGCAGCTCTTGGATCCAGTTGCCGATAACCTTCTCCAATTTGGAGCCCGCAAGGTAACAGAAGGTAGCGTCCCGTCTTCGAACCTTCTCGCCCTCGCCGTCTTGATATGCCTCCTCCAATCTGTCACCCAGCGCCTCGCACAGGTCAGAGAACTCGGTCTCGTCTGCGTATGTACATAGCGTGGCCATGACTTCCTTCCAGTTCTGCAGATCTGCATTGTGTACGACATCCCACAGGTTCTTGCCCACAATGCTTGCCAGCAATCGTAGATAGCTCGGCCCCTTGGCCTGCTTTCTGAGATACGCACTCTGTGCTTTGTCGATACACTTCTGTCCGCCACATACCGCAATCATGAAGGCGTCGGAGATACGATCCTCTCGAAGACACACGTCGAGCGCACTCTCGAACTGACCGAGCATAAGAGCCTGCGTGATGTCTTTGTCCGCCTCGGACTCCGATCCGGTATAGAGGCTGAATGGGTTGTTCGTCTTTGCGCCTTTCGTAGCCGCAAGGTTCACAAGGAAGTTGTCGCCATCCTCGCCGTTACCGAAGAAGTCGTCATCACTGCCTTCCGGCTTCGCGCCTTTGTCGCCATTGATGTCCAGCTTCTCTGTATCCTTGGAAAGACTGTCGTCCTCGAACCCAAGGTACTGTCTCAGCTTCTGCCTCGACTTGCCAGCATTCAACGTCTCAATGACCTGCCAATCCGCCCTTTCTTCGTCTGTCTTGGCGTCATCAATCTTGCTGGCGCATACGCTCTCCATGTCGCCTCCCTTCAGCTTGTCCTCGAACTTCTCAGCAGCGTCGCCTATCGATGTATCCACAGCGAATGACTCGATCGCAACCTTGCTTCGCTTCGACGAAGGGTCCAGACCAACTCGAACGAGCTTGCCACCGAACCCGAAAGAGACGCTGGCCGGTTTTGCGGTCCATTTTGGAGCCTTGGACAAAGAGAATGTGATACCTTGAGGCTGAGTTTGTGCTTTTGCAAAGAAGTCCTCGCCATCCAGGGCCTGGTTCGCCTGCGATTGATCCTCCTTCTTCGGGTTTGTGCTTTGGGATGAGGTAACGAGGATCTTGCCGTCGAAGGAAGCGCTTGCAATCAAGCTTGGATTGTGTGGATTCCACCTCGTCTGGAACGCCCAATTCGAGCCTGCTGCGAAGTCTCCCAACTTCTCGCTCGTCTTCGCATTCCAGCAAATCGTCCTGTTATCCTTTCCACACGACAGCAGCAGGTCTGAATCCTGCTGACACCACGATAAGCCAAGAACGCCTAGCTCATGGCCCCTCAGCGTCCGCTCTGGCGCGCTGCTGTTCCTTAAACTCCAGATCAGAATCAACGGCTCTTGATCGTTCGATGTCGCAGTTGCCAGAGTCGTGCTTTGCTCAGGGTCCCATGCCACCGCGCTGACCGCCTTCCTCCCTTGGTTGCTCAGGGTCAAGACGTCCTTCTTTTGCTTCACATCCCACACTGTGACAGAGCCCCCACTACTTCCAGTAGCTAGAATGTGCGCAGTCTTTTCCGACTTGTTCCAATCCAGACAATCAATGTCGTCCGCTCTTGCAGCTGTTGCTCCCAGCCTGAAAGGATTGGCCATGTTGTTCAAGTCGTAGATGAAGATCTCGCCCTTGGATCCCACGGATGCGAGAAGGTTGTGCCGGTATGGGTTCCATTGCAGCGCTTTCGCAGGACCAGAGTGCTTCGTTGTTCGTGAGATGAAGGCATCTTTGCTGCCGCTGCGCGCCCTCTCTGCGTCCCACAGGTCTACCGAACCATTCTCAAGAGCCCCAGCGAGGACTCCAAGCGGATGGTCGTCATCCGGCTCGCTCCAGGCGAGATCATTGAAACCAGAGTCCACAGTGATTGCGCACAGCTTCTTCGGTTCTGCATCCCGCTCTTGCTTCTGCAGTTCCAAGTCCCACAACTCCAGAAGGACTTCGCTAGAGAAGTCGTCGTTGACTGCTCCCACTTTCGTACCAGTAGCCAGTAGAGGCGTCCCGCTCCCCTTCGACCATGCGAAGACAGCGGTTCGCTCGAGTGTCCGTAATCCCACCATCGTGAGGAGTTCGAGAAGAGAGCGTCGGTGGTCGAGCTTTTACGCCAACATGCAGGGGGAGAAGGAGAGTGTTGGACAAAGGAGAGACCGGTATAGCCGTGTGATCCAGTCTTCAGGAGAGTCGTTGGAAAGGCATATGTGGCAGATCCAATTTCCTCGAACGCTCTCACTCCAGAGAGTTTCGAGATCGATCAGGGTCCAGCTTGGCATTAACACGTGATCGTGCAACAACTTCTTCACATTCAACACCAACCACTCAAAGAACCAATAACCATGTCAGACCAATCTCGCCAAAAGGCAACAGTTTTCGTCGGTGGCCTCTCAAACGAAGTCACACCTCAAACCCTCCACGAGGCTTTCATACCGTTCGGCGAAATCGTCGACGTCTCCTTGCCCAAACCAGAACTGTATGCCATCGATCACACCTTAGATGTCAAGCAGAGACTAAGTACACTGGCAGACCATCGAACCATGACCCACATCGAGGCTTCGGCTACGTCGAGTTCTCTTTAGCCGAAGACGCTCGCGAAGCCATCGACAACATGGACCAGGCCGAGCTGTACGGGAGGGTCATTAAGTGCAACCAAGCGAAGCCGCAGAAGGATGCTAGTGAAGGACTAGGCAGTCGGACGGCTGTGTGGGAGCAGGTAGGCTTTTGGGCGTCCTCGCGATGCTTCTTGCATCTTCGCTCATGCTGACTCTTGTCCAGGAAGGATATGCTGCCAAATACAACATGGCAGAGGAGGATGGCGCTGCGGCAGACGTTGATGGTGACAAGCCGATGGACCCGATGCAAGGCTTGGAAGGACTGGACGTGGCGGGGCCACGGATGCAGTCGACGTGAGATAGACAGGGGCGAGATGATGTTGCTTTTCAGCGTGGCGTTGGGGCAAGGCGAGAGATCCCTTTTTGATGGCGTGGGTACAAGTGAGACATCGAAGACTTCTATAGGAACCAACGTTCAGGATACTACCACACATATATTCCCCGACACTCCTCCCGGCAACTTACGAGGCATATCACGCAGCCTCGTGCAAACCAAACACAGGCCCATCCTCCCCCCTGAGCCACAAGTGATGTGACGTCCTCCGGTGTCCCCCGTCTTCGCATGCACATAACAGCCGGCCCAATCTCGGTGCGTCAGTCCCAAACAAACCGCATATTCTCAAACAGTCCCACAACTATAACCAAGCGCAGCCACTCGAGTGGCTTCAGGTCAATGGTTATACCCTCCCTCCTCAAGCCGCCACCAACGCCAAACACACCAAACTCGAGCGTTCGACTCCCGACAAGATTTGAAAGAGCAAGGAGATGTATACCATACCTGGAGAGGTAGTCGTTGTACCGTGATATGTTGTAGGCCGTCGCCCATTCGTGATCATGTTGTAGTCCAATCAAGAGCAAACCACGAGGTTTCTCTTCTCCCTCCGGGGTTTTCTCTTTTGTCCCTTTCTCTTTTCGGAATCTTTTGGTATGATAATGTCCTCGAAACGCTGCCTTGAACCGATAGGGGTGGCTCGCGCTCTCCGCTCGTTCAACAAGACATAGGTATTTTCCAATTGCTCGAGAAGTTTTTGACAAGCATGGAGGACCAACTTCAATCGTCAACGCCTTTGCCGTCTGGCGGCGATTGATTTGAAGCCGAGGGAAGGTAATGGAGAAGTTGACCGCATTTTTTGGCGTATATTAACGCTCAATAGGATTCAAACAAGATATGCGTACACACAGCTTTGGTATATTGGTATCTCACATTCCCCCATTCCTCCTCAAATTGGTATTAGATGCGGTCTGACACGATCATGACCCTGCCGCTGGTGCAGCTGCAGGCTGGGCGCCACCTGCTGGAGCACCGCCTTGCATTCTCCGGCTCCTGCGAACAGTCAGCACTCGTCACTCTTATGAACACTCATGGGTCATGCACTCACATCATACTCCTGCTAATGAAGCTCACGCCAATCATGAAAGCCCACGAAGGAATCAACGAGAACCCCCAAATCGCATACCCAACCGGAATAGCCAAGCCCGCCTTCGCCAACGGCCCATCGAACGGATGGAAGATCCCTTCATAAGGCTCCTTCTGCGTGTACTTCTCCTCCAGATGAATCGACGCAATCTCCGGCGCAGTAACAGTCGTGCGATTCAGCCCGAACGAACGGACCGTCGTCGCCGGAGTCGACTGATCAGCCAGCGGCTGAGGGATCAGGAAATGGAAGATCGTCGGCGGTCCCACAGCCCAGGCATTGCAGAGCACCGGCTCCGCTTCACAATCCAGCAGTCCAAGGTTCGGCGGACTCCTCGACGCGCTGAGGAGAGCAGTTGACTCATTCCACGCCGTCTCCGCACGCTCGCACCGGCCGAAGCACGTCTTGTTGCCGCCCGTGACGAAGATCATCCATTCTTCGATGCCCGGACTCGCGGTCGCCGCGCCGGGTTTCAGGACGTCTTGGTAGTTGTCTTTTGTCAAAGGCTGGACTTTTGCGTCTGCGATCACCTTCGCGCCGGACGCAACGGGGTTCGGGACGGAGGGAGGAGAGGGTGCGGAGGGGATGGCGGAGGAGATGCTGTTGCTGGCTTGCGCGAACCAGCCCTTGACTTGGTCGAGGAAGGGGAATTGTTGCTGCGCCGTTGAGAGCGCTGGGAGCGCGAGGAGGAGGGGTGAGGGGCGCATTGCGGTGTCTGTTCTGTTCTAAGGTGTCGAAGGTGTAGATTCAACTCGCTCTGCTGATTGACTTGAGGGTGGTCGTTGGGTATTAAGGATCTACGAGCAGATTATTAGCAAGGCCCAAGCATGAGATATCCATTGAACTTACAGTATGCAGGGTATTATATGAACAAATTATCTTAAGAACGGCACAAGATGGCAATGAATAAAGTTGAGTCCAGAGCTGTGCTGCTGTGGAGGGAGGGGAAAGATGAAAGCTGGCCCTGGGTGACGAGATGGAAGAGGAGCTGCACGTGTTGGCGCAGTCGATCCTCCCCAGCAACCGTCAAGGCGCCACCAATTTTAATCAATTGTCCGGAAGAACAGACGCAACACAGACGCGAAGATCCGGTGCCCATACGAAGGTTGGACGCGATTTAGAATGGCTGATGAGTCGCCCGGATCTCGTCGTCCAGAGGTGCTTCGTGGTCGATCCGTACAGTAAAGGGAAACAGCCGCTTGGAAGGGACTTGAACGACACTGACGACTGATATCGACGGTCCGGCGGTTGAAGGGTGGTAATACTTTGATCGAGTACTTCCACTCCTCGAGATCATCCCACTCCCGGTGGAGGACGTTCATTCTCAATTCATCTGATCGTGAACGCCATTCATTCGTCGAAACTATGGCACGCTAGCTCATGTTCAGATTTTGACGGCCACCGGGTTCTGCCTGTTCTGCCTTGTTCGGGAATGAGGCCCGGTCCTGAGAGTAGCTCGCCTTTCCTCCACCTCCGCATTGTCTTTCGACAAACTCGTTCGATCGAGATCAACGATGTGCTTGTCTCTCTCAAGCTTTCGCCGTACCGTTGAGGGCGACTCCATTCCAGAGAGGATACAATGCAATCTACTTTTCGTGCGTACGATCCGACAACGATCTATTCCAAGTCGAATGCGACCGCTTGCGAGCAGTGCTATTCCAGGTATGCATTTCATACGGACTTGATGCATGCTGCGTGTACTAAAATAAGTGACAGGAAGGTGAAATGCGAGCTGCGGGATGACAAGTCGACGTGTCGGCAGTGCGCCGACCATGGTGTAGTCGTATGTTGATGAAGGCATACATATGTCTGGAGTCTGTTTGACCTTTGCTAACAAAGGCTGCCGAGCGTGCAGTGCAAACCAAGGACCCGAAAACGTAAGGCATCATCTCTGGACGAGCAACACACCACGCCATTCAATCCGCCGTCCAACTCGAATCCGGAACCATCAGATGCCTCGAGCACCACTTCTAAACGCCGCTCGAGCGTCGCGAAACCAGGCAATGGACCGAAAAGACCGGCTCAAAGGTCCAACAGCGTCTCGGTTCCCGAGCTATTCGTCAATCGCGATTCTGGTCGAGCAGGCTATTCACCCCAAAGTTCTGAGCTGACAGAGTCCCCGTCGCAAGATCGCTTCCGCAACGCGTCCTTCATATCCCGATCAGCAATCCTGGGTGATGACTTTCAGGACATCGACCATGCGCATCCCGAGCGAGCTGTACCGGATGAGAAGCTGTCTTCCGTAGACATGAAGACGTTGAAGCTGCACGGCGCATTCGAGCTTCCGGACTTACCACTGCGCCAAAGCCTTGTTGAGGCCTATGTCGAGCGGTGCTACACATGGATGCCGGTCATAGATCTTGCGACATTTACTGGAGCGACACAGGCTGCAGACAGCTCTCTATTGCTCTTACAAGCTGTGATTCTGGTTGGTGCATTGATGCGGCCGGATGTATGCAGCAAGGCATTCAGTGACAGGCAATATCAGGTCTGTCAATCAACTTCAGGAGACCGAGAAGTTACAAGCTGACAATCAGAAGCGCACGAAAGCTTTAATACTATCAGGGTACGAGAGGCATCCTCTGAACGTACTTGCCGCGTTGTGTCTCGTGCAATGGTACACGCCAACTGCGCCAAAGGATGTATCCACGGATGTCCCAAGATTCTGGAACACGTATGCTGTAGGGCTCGCACAGCAAATGGGTCTTCAGCGTCAACCGGCCTCGCAAGTAGTCAATCTGGGACTACGTAATCGCATATGGTGGACCATGGTCGCTCGAGACAATCTGACTGCATCAGCACATGGACGACCTCGAATCATACAGCCAGAGGATTGCACGGGGCCTCTGCCCTCGGTCATGGATTTTCCTTCTCCACCTGATCTTCGAGCCGAGATCTTCGTCAACTATATCGGTGTCACCCGGATACTCGGCGACCTGTGCCAATGCATCACACGCAAGGGCGAAGCTAGCTTGACTGACAAGCAGGACATTGCGCTACGGCTCAGCCTCTATCTGCAGAACCTTCCGGAGCATCTCCGACTATACGGTCCCAGTGGACTCGCTCAGTCGTACAGCCTTGACATCGCACAGCTTCACATCCCGATCTTGATGACCATCACCATACTTTTCAGGCCACGAACCGTGTATCAACTCACCGCGGCCAATGCCGGCTCTGCAACTGCCGCTTTCCTCAGCTACCGCATCTTCCAGGCGATACAATTTCGAGAACAGACGCGGTATCTGAGCTCTGCCTTCGCATGGCATCTCCTTGTCACTGCAATACCTCTTCTCTCGTGCACCAAAGTCCCGACCCTCGGCAACGAAGCGAACGAAGCACTTGACGCTGTGGAGAGCGTCCTGGAAACACTAGGCAGAGTACGACCTGCTGCTGCGAACAACTTGAGAAGCGTCAAAGCCATCCGCAAAGCAATGACGGCCAAACCGACCAGCGCCACAAATCCGAGCAACGCCGGCAACAGCGATCCGGACGCTACTTTGCTACAACTAGGCTACCAGCTTCTCCAAACCTACGGCCTGGAGTCCGTCCAGCAGTACGAGCAGATCACCGATATTCTTCGTGAGCACCATCAAGGCCAGGCTGAACGCAGCGCTCAAGCGGCTGCTCATACGTTAAGTCGACTGAGTGGGCGGCCTGATGCCAACTTCACTGTCAACGGGCGTTTGACACCGGAGCCAGAGACTTACCAACCGCCTGCGGTGGCGGAACAGGATATGCAGAATGCTTTCACGGCGATCTTCGAGGACGACACGTTGAGCACTTCGTGGATGATGAGGGATTGGTTGGATGAGCTGCAACTGTGAGACTACAGCACTCTACTCTAGTTGTCGCCGTTTTGCCTCCTCGACAACGCGCCCCCAACTTCTCCATCTCAATATCACACCTTCTGTGATCGCTATTAGTGCCACTGCACTCGCCATGGACAACCAAAGGCCGCGAACGCCCATTCGAGGTGGACCGAGCTCTAGAACAAGAGCAAGCGGCACGGCATACAGATAGTTGAAGATTCCCGTCACCCACCCACCAATATGGTGCCATCCCAGGCCACGAATTGTCCCGTGCATGCACGTTGCCATGCAGTCGCAGAAGGTGAAGACGATTGCGAAGGGTATGGCTCCTCGCAACGCTGCTTCAACAAGCTTGTTGGATGTGAGATGGCTGAGCACAACTTCGATGAGGACGACGAAAAGAGCAACGTCAAATACTGCCATGCCGATGAAGATGCAGAAGTAAAACCAGGACACTTCTCGCGCGGTCTCAAGCTGTCCCGATCCTATCAAGCGGCCAAGGCGAGTGCTCGTTACCACGGATCCGGAGAAATGGACATGCCATACCACAACACTGATCGTGGCAAGATAAGTTTGCGCTGCGAGTTGCTCGACTCCGGCATAGCTGGTCACAAATGTCAACGCCTCGAATGCCAACCACTCTGATAGGGTCATGGCGGCACCGGGAACGGCTAGTCTGACCATGGGACCCCAGTTTGCGAATACCAGTACCCAAGACAGATGAGATGGCCAACACTTGAGCGTCTGCCGATGTATAAACACAACATCCCCAGCTAGCAGAACCGGCCGTATCAAGTTCGTCAGCGCAGCAGCCAACGCAGCTCCAACAATCCTCAGCTCAAGGCGGAACACCAACAACCAGTTCAAGAAGATATTCACCGGCACGCAAACAACCAACACGCCCAGTCCCGAAGTAAAATTCCCCTGGGCCTGCACAAACCGCTTGCCAGCCTCAAACATCGCATACCCCGGGATGCCTACCGCATACCACTGCAAAAACGTGCTCGCGCCCTCCGCCAGCTCCGCGTCCGGCGTCAGATACGGCATGATCCACGGCGAAGTTATCCAAAACCCGCCGATCGGGACGGCCACCAAATGCACCAAGATCGTAAAACGCAGCACATGGACTCCAACCATTTCCGGGTTACCGCCGCCGTAGGCCTGCGCGCAGAGGGTGTCGAGGGCGGTGGCCATGCCTTCCCAGACTGCCAGGCCGATGATGTTGGAGGTTGTGAGGCCGAGGGATGCGGCGGCTAGTTCGGTGGTCGAGAGGCGGGAGCAGACGATGATGGCGGTGAGGCTGAAGATGTATTGGAGGAGGTAGGTGGCTATCAGAGGGGTGGTTTGGCGGAGTATGAGGAGGGTTTCTGTGCGCCATGTCACTTTTTCGATATCTTTTGCTGGGCCGTGGCTTGAGTGGTGGTTGCTAGCGAGAAGTGGCTCTGTTTCTGGGTCCATTGTCATGGCTATGGTCTCGAAGGCCTGCTCATGAGTGTGAGGTCTATCCCGTATTTGGAGTGTACATCGTTCTGGCTTGAGCACTTGGTATTGTACTCAAAGTGTGAGAACGATGCAGGCTGGTGGAGCTCGAGTAAGACTGCTGATGGCGCAAGCTCTAGTCTTGCTGCGTCCAAGGGCATCTACCCGAATGTACAGGGAGTACCTTCTATCAGTACGGCAGTCCTCTTGTACGTGCAAGTCACGGCCCTTATTAGAATGTGGTCAAAAATGACGTGTGTTTTTCGGGATGGTGGCAACGCTTCAAGTCAAGGCGATGTCGGAATGTTCAGACCACATCTCTCACTCTCTCTCTTTCCTACAACCTCCACCTTTTTAACTACTATACGTCTTGATACCCAACACTCACATCGACCTGATTATAGCATGCCCATGGTTAGCAGCATGGTACCAGCCCTTCAGTCACGACTCGCCCACTGGCCACACGAAGCTCCATCTCGGACAACGCATGCTGCATAAGCCCACCGAAGCCAGCCAATGTCAGCTTGCAGCTTTTCGCCGTTGAGTCTACCCGCAGCTCCCCTCGATGGGGAGAGCGAACCTGATGGAGACACGCAGTAAAAACGGCTTAGGTATGCATTAGAGAGACCGCAAACCGCCGAGTGCGTGGTGGCGTGCTGTGGCCGTTCATGTGAGCAGGTACTGTGTGTAAGTACGTGGGTACCGTAGGTGCTTTCTTCACTTCATCGCATTCATCTTCCTATCTTCGAGCATGCTTTCGATTGTCTGGGCGGGTCTGATGAGCTTCTGGACTTCCTCCTGAGAGCTTGCGATCCATTTTGCAGCAACCACGGCGGATGTCGCTCGAGATGGCGGCAGCACTGCAGGATGTCGAGGCGTCTTGTGCCATCTGCGGTGCCTCTTCACAATACGGAGAATGCCCGCACGAGAGCAACAGCCTAGAAAAGGCAATGGAGCAGGCTATGAAGCGGTGGGCCGGGTTTGCGATCATCCGGTATGCTCAGAGCAGCAGCCAGCGCCAGCAACCACTAATCCACCTCTAATCTCCAGAGACTGGGTATTAACGCACGCACGAGACCAAATCATGGAGACCTTCCAAAGCCTCAAATCCGTGCGATACCAAGCACACATGCGCTACCTCCAAACCCTCCCCTGCTACACACTCTTCCAGAAATACGGCGATCCCCCGCTTACGGTCCAGCAACTGAACCACCTGCGGAGTCAAATGAGCCAGGCACAAAACATCTACCAACAAGGCGTGGACGAAGACTGGAGGAGGTGCTGTATGAAGTATCCCGAAGTGCTTGACTACTATCTGAGCTTAGTCGACATCGACCTCCCGGACGATACAGACACGGCGGTTCGGGATCCCAGGTTTGGCGGAGGACCTGTCAATGAGACGAAGAGAATCAAACCGAGGCGGGGAAGTACGGATCTGGGAAAGGGACATCGGAAGAGGTCGAGGCGGCGTAGTAGGGGAAGGACACCGCCGGCTGCTCCAATGCCTGGTGGACACAGACGATAATTGAGGGCAAGTGTTGGTTGCTGTACAGTCCTGTACAAACCCTTTTAGAGAAGAAGATCCGAGGCTCTAATATCAACAATGATGCTTGCAACCCAAAGGAACCACTGATGCTATCCTGTACAGCCTTCGCATTGGACGACACTGTACATATCAACAAGCCCATCAGACCATTCGGCCGCCAAGGAGCGACTTATACAAACGAGAAATCCAACTACCCAACATGCCCAATCATTCAATCACTTCCTCATGCACAATCTTCAGACGTCCTCTCCGATCGGTGTTCTTCTCGACATTCCCCGACTTGTGTTGCGAAAGCCAGCGACTGAGCGCAGCACTGGTACTAAAGTTCAAGCCCACACGTTAGCTCCAATCCGCTAGTAACGGTCGCCACGCCACCTTCCAAGCACCTCCATCTGGCCGATTCTTCAAGACATAGAGAACGGAAATAGAGAACTCACCTCGGATCAGGCAAAGCAGTCTCAACAACCGCCTCAAGCGGACTCGATTCAGCCGCTTCGCGTGGCGATACAGCAGCATACGGAGGTGGAATCTACACAACCAAAAATCAACACTGTTCATCATCGCTTCATGTCCCAAAGTGCGTTCTGCTTTTCATGGCTCCGCATCGTAATAAAACTCCACAAACGCGTCAAGGGTATTACGCTTCTTGGTGTTTCGTACCTGAACCATGGGACTCGCCTTCGCATAGTGCACTTCGTGCCCACTGTACGACGAGCCGATGTCTTCTTTATCCTCTTCCTCTTCGAAGACGGTTTCGCAGGCGCCGGGGACGGGTTCGCGGGGCTGTGAGTCCGGGCGTGAGGTCGGCTGGTCGTAGTCGGCGTTTTGGTAGTAGGCGGCGACTTGTTGCTGGTATTGCATTTCGCGCGTGGCTTTGTCTGCCGCTTCGAGCTCGGAGACATCGGGTGGTGGAGGGGAAGAGGCGCCGAGGGTGAGGGAGGACATGTCGTCGGTTGCAGATTGCATTGGTGAGGTCTGGTTCGTGAGGGTTTCCTGGGATGGCGAGCCGAGTTCTGATGGCATTCCTGAAGAGCCGTGAGCGGCCTTGTTGCTTGCTGCGTATTTTGCCAGTTCGTCTGCTGAGTACATCTCTGGGTGGAGTGCCATGTGGTTGTTGCCGATGTAGGTCCAGAATCGGTTCGTCCTGTTCTTGATGCTACTGCCCGTCTGCTGATGCTGCGAGATCAGATCTGCCAACGACATCTTCGGCTGGCCGGTTGGTTGACCAGTTTTTGAGTAGAATGGAGAAACCCGGGACTGGGTTTCATGCCATGACTCTTCGCTGTGGGCACCTCTAGTCGAGCCATTGAGCGACAGCGAGTCCGAATCAGTCTTCATATGCCTCGCGCTCACATTGCGTACATGCTGTTCCGAGCTCGCTCGAACACCCTGAGGACGACGAGGCGGTTTTGCAGTCGCAGCCTCTCCCAACAGCACTCGTGGGAAGCCACTGATTGGGAATCCATCTGGCTCCAAGCCGTCGTGCGCAGACAAGAACAGCGAAATCGAAGTCGTCTTCGTCTCGTCCTTGAGCGGTATGTGAACGTTCGGCAGACCAAACACGGCATTATCCGTCATGCCACGAATGACGTCCATCGTAATCGTGATCCGGCTCGTGTGCTCGCCGTTCTCCATGTTTGGCTTGATGAAGAAGTATGGCTCGAACCCTTCGCTTCTCCTGTCCTCGAGAATCTTCCCAAGAGAGCGCATATCATCACTGCCGTCTTCAAAACGACACAGAATGACCCCGGAGATCATCTGGTCCCCCTTCTCAACCGTAGCTTTCGACTGCATGTCCAGGTAGAAAGACGAAGACACCAGTCTCTGCGCTACGTTCTTCAGAGCAGCGAGTCTGTGAGGCGTCTGCAGCCGCTTCCGCACAACGACCTGCAAATTCTCCAGATCGCTTTTGCTGTCCCCAGCAGGTGGCTCCTTGTCAAGATCCGGATTGAATCTGATGAATCGTCTGCCCTTCGCCTCAGAGCGTTCTTTCACTGCATAGGACCTAAAGTCCTGCCATGCGACTTCAGCGTCCAGAATCTCATTTACCTTTCTTTGCCAGGTCTTTGCCGCTTTCCGAGCCTCTTCTCCCGTCTGCCCTACTCGTGGAATCATCGTCGACGGCAGATTGTCTTTCGGCCGGCTCGACAGCTTCTCAAGCACACTGATACGGTTCTGTCCCGTACCCAGGGAAAGAAAGAGGTCTGGATCACCGACATCTGGCCAGATCAAGCGTCGCTCCCTATCCGCGATGAAGGCTGGATTGACGCAACGTAGACCACCATCAAGATATGTCTTGCCATGATGCGTAAAGGGTCGAAAGTAGACTGGATTAGCCAAGGCGGCGGCTACACTCTCCCACACCTTCAGCTCCATGTCGGGTTCATGTGGACGCTCGAAAGTGTACGTGGGTACTGAGTCCTCAGCTCTGCGATAGCTGGCGAGAAGCATCGACTCCCGACCTGTTGCGCTGGAGGCCGTGATGGCGACTCTAGCGCCAGTCCGTAGTCGATCAGAAGCACCGAAGAGGTCCAGATCGTCGCTAAAGGCAGTTTTCAGCGCAGCGTGGAGAGGCTTCGTTTTGTACTTCCGTCCGTTACCGAACGCTTGCACAAGGTGGTTGATCACTGGCACGCCCTTGAGACGTGGTGTGAACGCATGATCGCACATCGCAGTGAACATGTCGATGCAGCCGTCAACTGTGCGATCCTTCTGCGATAGAGCGACTGCAAGCATGCCGCCCGTGCCAGATCCAACCATCAGGTCGAAGAACGCTTGGACAGGCAGATGGCCGCCGAGACATTGCTCGATGGCGTGCAGCACTTCCAGTTGGACTATGCCGCGAATGCCTCCTCCGTCGAGAGCGAGCACACGTACACCAGCTCCTTGCGGCTTGAATTTGATCGGTGCCGGTCGCGCCCAGGAAGTCGACTCGCGATGTAACGGACAGCACGACATCAGCACAGTAGACTTCTGCTGCTTGCCATACGCCTTGATGCATGCTGTGCACAACACATGACCGCAAGGCAGAGGATGCTCGGGTACATCCATCAAGCAGCAGAAGCATGTCGAGTGACTGCATATCGATCCCGCGGGTCCCACCGCCTCGAAGAAGTGGTTGAGGTATTCAATGTGAAGATCCAATGCGATGCGCTCTTCCGGTATGGCATTCGTGTCCTCGTGTGAAGCCTGCTCCAGCTCATACGAGAAGTCACGGTGCAGACTCTCGACAGCCGAGCGAAGCTGTCCCTTCCATCGAGGCAGAAAGCTCGAATCGAACGCAGCTTGATAGTCACCAGCAGCAATGATACCCTGATCATCTTGGTGCCCCTTCGGCTGATGGCGGGCCTTGACCAACTGACACTGTCTCCCATCCGAGCTGACGTACGAACACCGGTAATGCAATTCCAAATACTCGCCCATAGCATAGTCGAAGAACTTTTCGTAGTTGGTGAATAGCTCATCCACCCGGCCTTTCCGAAAACGGGCGCAATCAAGAAGCACGCAGGAGGCGAGCATTACACTCATCTTCTCAAACATCCATGACACCCGGCCGGGTTGATGGTTCGGCTGCTGAGAGCTGATCGTGGTGCACAGCTGGAGTATATGCCCGCCAAAGTCGTTTGGGATCGGGTTTCGGAGTAGCGAGACTTGCATAAAGTTGAAGGGGATGTGGAGGTGAGTCGTGAAGTGGTCAAAGCCGCTTTGCAGGTAGGTGTTGAGTTCGTCGGCGTTGGTGAGCATACGAGCACGGCGTTTTGATCGGAAGGAGTCGTCGCAGTTTTGCTTGATGACGCCATGGAGTTTGCCGATTTGTTCGTCGATTTTGGTGTAGAGTGGTCGGCTTGGTATCCGGACGACCTTGAAGGAGCTATAGTAGCGTAGTATGAGGTCCTCGACGGTGTAGATGTGCTTGCCCAGTAGCCGCCAGTGTTCGGCCAGCTCCCGGAACCGCGGTACACCCTCAACATAATCCAAGGCGCCCTTGACGGTAGATAGGAGACTCTGCGTGGCATAATTGATATCCCACTCCTTGTCGTCCACGCCTGGATCGGTGCCGTTCAGCGCAACGACGCAGTGTGGCAGAGCAGGCTGGTTGATAGACTTCTCCAAAGCAGAAACACCCCAGTCCAGGAGTTTGGTCAAGACTGCGGACTGGAAGGTCTTGGGGTTGCGCAGCACAAACACCACGCAGTCTGAGAAGGTGTAGAGCAGTCGCGGATACAGTGCTGTCACGGCATACTCTCGCTGTCGAGACTCCTCGGTGTTGGCCCACTGGATAGGCCGCGCATGCACATGAGCCAATTTAGACGGTTCATCCCTTGAAGGGTCAGATTTCGCACGTCTCCGTGAGCGAGCACCGAGCGGAGTCCTCTCGCCACCCTCAAAACCCTCACAATCTGCATACAGGATTGGAAGCTGCTCGGAATGAGTCGCCGGGTCGGCATAAAGATGTACATCTCCAGAAGTCGGCAGTGCATCGTTAACGACGGATCCCACAACAGGCGATGGAAACATTGAGCGGCTATCAGGATCAGCACCAGCCAGGTCGTGGTTGACCAGCATTTTGATCAAAGTCGACTTGCCCGCATTTGTGACTCCAATGAAGGATACAAGCTGCGGATAGCGGTTGCCCTGGCTCTCAATGGGTGAGATCGATGACATGAGGGAAGCATATCGACCATAGTCCTCAAGATTCGGCCGTCCGGTGAGATCGCGAGCGACGCCAAACCACTTTGTCGATTCGTCTTCCTCGTGAAGTCGCTGGATCTCCTCTGGTTTCTTTGTGGGGTGGAGGATGACTTTCAATTTCCGGACAACGAATGGGTTAGTTTTCTCGTGTGGCACTCCATCTCTGCCGCGCTTCTTCGGTTTGTGGGGTCCTTGGAGAGGCCAGCACTCGCTGTGAACACAAGATGAGACACCCACCCGCATACGGAGATTTCTAGGCTCACTCACCTGCAATACGAACTGTCGCAGTCAACACAATGCCATATCGGCGGCGTAGGTCCCCGGCAGCGGTCATCTTCGCATTGGTCCGAGGGCTCACTCTCGCTCACTGATCCCTCGTCCTGAGACTCTTCTTCTTCGTCGCTGCGAGTCCTGTCCGGGCTCATATTGTCTGAGTCGCGGTCGCGATTGAAAGACAGTCGCCAGGAGGCGGCCTTGCGCCGCGATCGTTTCTCCAGCTTATCGCATTTGCCAAAGTATACCGAGTGAGAGCAAGTAGTTATGTCGTCCAAGATGCGCCGTATGGATGCGCAATGGCAAAGAATGCGTTATGGAGGACACTTTCTAGGGATAGGAGTCAGGAAATAGAGGATGTAGCCTACGGTACGGCACGTCTGCTCAATCCCTGAAGTGGGCGTGTTTTAGAGCGACACAAGAGGGTTTCAGCCCGTGCTTGGTTGGAATTTGGTGGGGTGGAGGGCTAGACGAGAGACACCGTTATATTAGGCCCGGTGGCGAATGCTATTGATATTCCATGTTGGCAATTTTCTGGGAGTTGCTGGGCTGTTGGCATTGTCCCGAAGCTGCTTATGCGCCTCGATCTGACTGCAGTAGATCTCATTTGTTTGCGCGAGCGCGGCCGTGATTGCAAGGCGTCGACCAAGTATTCTCACGTACATGTAGGTGGAAATAATCTCAAGCCGGACGCAAGACCAACCAACTTTGTCGGACCCCAAGCGAGAACCGAGAAAGGCAACTGATTCTAGGTCAGGCGCTTGGCATATTGATGGAATAGCCCCTTGCTGTGAGACCAGCCATCGTTTGCCGGGCCGGCAAATTGTTTCGTTGTTGTTTCTCCCTGTCCAATATTCGGGAGGTTAAGGCGTGCCCCTGCACGTGGCAGTGGGACTCCCCGCGGGCGGTCTCAATGCGGCAGCCTTTGTTTGGCCTTGCCTGCTTTCCGACTGACCGTTTGATCAGGGCACAGACCATGGTTCCGTGTTCGCGTTGTAGGGCTGTCATCTTACCGTGTCGGGGACATCGTACAGTCACGCATGGACGGACGAGACTCAGGCCGCTCGAGCGGATGGCATGCGTGGCGTGGGGAAAAATCCTCCCCGCGGAGTAGTAGTCCGCAATGTCTCAGTAAAGCATCCTGGAGCCCGGTCCCAATGGAATCCATGGGAAAGAAGGCTCAAAAGCCTACCTCCGTACAGAAAATGGATAGGGAGGCGAGGTCGAGACGAGAGATGGACGAGATGAAGTGCTTTTAACGTTGGCATGCTGTGTCACTCGAGTGGGATCTTCCTTGCATTGCAGGCAGTGTGTTGGTTCTTCCACCACGCGGCGACGGCAGAACGAAGAGCAGTCAACGCGAAATAGCTGCGTATGAGCTCAGCTAAGTCCTTAATTCATCCTCACCTACACTTGAACATGACAAGATGGGAACCAGAAGTAGAAAGAGTGAGCTAGCGAGAATACCTACTATCCTGGTCTCTTCTCGTTGCAAAATGCATACGGTACATGGAAGCCAATGCACTCTCGATCGCACCTTTTAAGATACATCACCTGGACGCATCATCCTTCCTGGAGTTTCATGGTGTCACCATACTAGCAACAACCAGCAATCCGACCGCTCATTGCCAGACAGCCTAGCATATCCATCCAACAGTCAAGTTCCAGTTCGAGAACTCAGGCATCCACGGCGACACCATTCTCTCAAACACCACCGCCTGGTACAAAAACCAGCCCGCTGCACAAACATTGCCCACTGCATGCCAGAAGAGCATCATCGCTTCGTACTCCTCATCACCCTGCGCTTGCTCCAGATCCCTCCACCACTCTGCCCCGTTCCGACGGCGGCTCAGCCATAGAACGCCAATGTACAAGGACATCGCAGTCGTTCCACACGAGCTGGCGATAATGTGGAAACGTTTCAACGGCCCGAAGAGGATACTCATAGGGGACAGGACTTCCGTGACGAGTAGCAAAGACAGCTTGAACTTTGTGAGTACTTCCAGATTGCGGTTCTCGAAGCGGAAGGGGAAGAGGCGGCGGGTACATTGTGGGCCTGTGCAAAGGTCTGTCAGCCACTGACTTCTCTGCAACCGAAAGCTTGCCGTCTTTGCAACCACTTACTTCACATTGCGCCTCCCGATCCACACTCTCCAGCAAGAAGAACAGAATACATGCCCGCACCTCACGATCTGCACCGGCTTACTCGGCGTGTCGCGACAGATGATGCAGATTTCATCAACATCAAGCTGGACGTCGGCTCGAATCTCCCCGCTCATGGCCCAGTCCGCGTAAGCATTAATGAACCTCGCAGTTGTATGCCTGGCACGCCCGGCGGGAGTGTTGAGGGGTGCTGAGTTGGGTGTCAGGTATGTGTAGACGGCGGAGACGCAGAAGCAGAGAAGAAGGACGGTTGGGTGGTAGAGGATAGCGTAGGTGGCTGTTGCGCTGAGGATGAGTGCGCGCCAGCGCATTTTGGTTGCTTCAAGATTGCACTGGTGGATGGGCTGTTGGCTTCAAAGAGGCTGATACGAGTTGGCAGACGGAAAATGTGAGTGCCTGCGGTTCCTTGAGGCAATACCAATATCGCAGGATGAGAGGGAGTGTGGTTTGAATGAAAGTAGTCCAACTGGGCCTCCATGATGAGAACATATACTAAAGATATCATTCAACAGAGACAACATGAGATGGTCCTATCTGGGCGAAAGACAGGTTCTGTCTTGAAGACGAGAAGGAGACAAGATGCCACGAGGACTCAAGACACTCCGAAGCCATGTGAACACGGCACGTATCATTCAAACCAGGCATGGATCATACTACCAAGACTCCGACCGCAGAATAGCTGTACAACGAGGGCGTATCTCTTCCGGACGACGTTATGCCTCTCATGCTGACTCTGCTTAGGGTCGTCCGTGATTGAATCCTCCGGCCATCCCCTTCGCTCATGAAAAAACCTCCGGCAGACAGACCCCAGCTCTCCGAGTCTTCCGACGTATGACACAACGTCAGCTGCAAGCCAAACCACTCCCTTCCACAACATATCCGGATCGACCCACTCTTCCAACATTCGCTCGAACACAACAGCCTGATACACCAACCATGTCGCCGCCACGAACAGGTCGAGAGCTTGTATACCATCACCTATGCCTTCATCCTCCACCCAACTATCCAGCCCTTCCAACCACTTCCACCACTCTGTCTCGAAGTGCTTGCGCATCTCGGTCGCGTATGCCAAGCTGCCGTAGTGCCAAACCCATCCGCCAAGGCACACAAGGCCGTAAGCTGGATGGTTTTTCACGTTGCACATGCCGATAGTCTCCAGGGGTAAGGCGACGAGCATCAACAAGACGGTCAGTTTGACGATGTATTCCTGGACGGGCTTGCCGCTGTAGGAGGCGTGATGGAAGAGGCGCTGTCTGCAGAGTGGACAACTAGATAACGCAGCTGTCAGCGACTGATCCTTGAACCTCAGGGCCAGAACAAAGACGTACCTCGAATTTCCGCGCTTGAACCACTCAAAACAGCAATCGGAACAGAAAACGTGCTTGCATTTCGACGTCTGTACCGGATCATTCGGGACATCGCGACAGATGATGCAGATGTCGTATTCGGATATGCTGGGAATAAGTAGCCCGCCGTTCTGGAGCCAGTCTTCGTAGGTCGGAGAAGATGAGCTGTCGAAGAGGTGTTCGTACATGAGAATTCCGGAGGTCACGAGGACGGTGAGGCCGAGTAGAAAGACGACAGGGTGGCAGGCGAAGGCGTACACAACCGTGAGGACGCAGCGGGAAGTATGACGAGCGCCCAGTCGTGGACGAGAGCATACCACAAGGCCATGGCCCTCGTGATGAAGTTCTCGAGGGAACTCATCTTGGCCTGTTCGGCATTGGTTGTTGGCGGAAGGTCTGGGACAGGTTCGAGAGTAGTAAAGAACGTCGCGAGCAGTGCTGAGAAGCAACGTCTGGATTTTGATGACCGGCTGCCGCTGTTGATGGGTTTGGCTGCGAGGATGAGAGTTGTCTGTGTATGTGTTTACGACAGGACTTCGTGTTTACGCGCTGGTGCAAGAAGCAGAACATACTTGACGTGTATGTTGTTCAACGCGTTGGGCCTCCGTTTGCACGAAGTCGCCTTGACGACGAAATTCACTTGCTTCGAAAAGTGAAGTCATATACCACTCGCGCTAATATACTCATTTTGGATGACTATACCAATCTTTTACAGTCCACCTGAACGTCCATATTCGTCCTCGTTGAAGGGAAGGAAAGTCGAGAAATTCAGAGGTCGGTTAAGGGTGAAGACATTGGCTTTGTTACTCAACTGCAGTTTACCAAAGACATCATCTTGATTTGCATAAGTGGTTCTCTTTGTTCCTTCCACTGGCGAATACACCGTACACCATCGCTCATGTATCCAACATTTCTTCCTCAAGTCAGCAAGCACGTCGAAGCATCCGTTACGTCCCACCAACAACGATCCCCTGCAGACTCCCCAAAGCCCTTACGCCCTCCCTCTCAAACACCCCAACCATTTCCTCACACTTCCTCCTCAGATCCTCGTCCGCCTTCTCCGCTTGCCGCATGATCCAGCCCTCCACCGTCAGCCCCTTCTCCGGAGACGTCAGCGTTCCGGCGGCACCGGCTAAACGATTGGCCAGTGTGCCTGGCGTAGGCTGTGGCGACACGAGAAGGACGTTGTCGAGATCGATGGGCTTCCAGGGCTGGGTTGAGGTGAGTTGGCGGACCTGTTTGGTGAGTGAGAGACGCTTCGATGGTGATAGTAGCGCACGGTTGGGCGTGCCTGGCGCGAGCGGGATGCGAGTGGTCTTTGTTGGAGACAGCATAGGTGCTTGCGCTGGAGGCTGCTTCTTCGTAGAGGGTGCGGCGGCAGAAGAGGGCTGGTTCTCCTTGTCGCTACCAGCAGGACTTGGCGTAGCTGTCTTACCAGAGAAATCCATCAGTGGGAGTTGCGGCGGTGAAGATAGTTTGGCTTTCGTGCTCTGCCGTCGGCTGCCAGCTTGTGAGCTGACGGCGCTGCGAACCTGCTCAGTATGCTGCTGCGATGGCGACACTTCAAACTCCGCGGTATTCTCTTGCTCTACTTGCAATGCCGCCTGCTCAGCAGCAATGCGTTCAAGCTCCGCCTCGATCTCGCGCTCGTCTCGCTCCAAGTCTTCTTGCGTCTCCGTCTGCTCTGGCTCTGTCGCAACAACAGTGGCCTTCGAAGACCGAGACGAGCGTGTCGACGAAGCTTTCCGACCGCCTCGCTTGCCTTTGGCTGGCGCTTTCTTCGTCTCCGTTTGCTTGCTCGCTGCGGGCTCGAGTTCTGACATGAGAGTGTCCTCCTGGGTCGACTGTTGTTCGTCCGCCTGCGTATCTTGATCTTCTGGGACTGCAGGCGCAATCTGCTTGCTCGCCTGCCTCCCTTTCTTGCCCTTGGGTCCAGTAGCAGCCTTCGGCGGCACAGGGAACTCCACGACGACGGCACTAACGGTCCTCAGCTGGGATTCTCGTTTGGCCAGCCCCTCCGAAGTACGCTTGACACCTCGCTTTGATCTGGACAGCTCTTCAGGCTGTGGGGCGGTGTCTTCTGGCTGCGCGTCGAAGTCCATTGACCGCTCGAGCTCCTCTTGCAGTTGCGCAGAGACATCGCTATTGTCGCTGGCATCCGCGACCGGAGGCTCTGGTTCAGGTTGTGTCTTGGGCTTGCGACCACGCGTAGTCTTCTTCGCTGGAGCTGAAACCTCCATTGAGCTGATCTCGAGTATTGAAGACTCGACCTGCGGTTGCTTGGACTGCCTGGTGCCTTTCCGTCCCTTCTTCTCCGGAGCGGGTGCTGGCTCCTCGACTGGTAGAGGTGGCGACGAGACGCGTATCTCTTCATCGTACACATCCTGCGACTGGCTCGCTGCACCCAAGTCTGGGTACAGTGGCTCATGCTCAACCTGTGAGTCCACCGTTCCCGCTCGCTTCCTGCCCTTGCCGCCCTTTGGCGCCCCTTTCGGCCTCCCAGCTTTCTTCGTCCCCTTGCCTGTGGCGGTTGCCGTCGAAGCTGTTGACATGATACTATCATCCACCGTAGCTCCGTCGACATTGGATTCCAAACCCGCCCCAATATCCGCGAGACTCGGCTCCTGAGAGAATGTGCTCAATGCCGACTGCGTGCTCAGCCTGCTGCTCGCTTTGCTGGCTGTACTCGCTCGCGATGCACCCTTCTTGCCTCTTCCTTTGGCCGCCTTCTTGCTTGTGCCGCTACCGAACTTCTCTACCAGCGCGAAGAAAGCGCATTCTGGGCTCCGCTTCTGGTGCTCTGCCATTGGGTCGTCCTTTGGCTCCCATCCATCCAGACTGATATCGCAGTAGAAGCACGTAACACCATCAGCCTCCTCTTCCTCGCCAACGCCTTCGGCTCCAGCAGGTGCAGGGTCATAGCACCATCCTGCCTCCACCATCTTGCCAATCTTACACTTCCAGCCCTTCTTGTCTTCGTGCGGCCACCCTAATCCTACATTGAACGTTCCTTTGCGCGCAGCCACCAGGTCTTCAGACATTGGGTCTGCCGCTGCATCGTAATCTCGCTGCGCAGAAGATCCGGCGTAAATGCTACGCGCCCAGACACAGCTACCGGAGTGCGCCAGATGCTCTTCGATCGGGTTGTCGGAGGGTTCCCAGCCGTCGAGTTTGACGGAGCAGAGGAAACATTGTACGTTGTCCGGGCTGTCTATGGCGGGGCGAAAGAAGAAGCCGGCGCGTGCGAGCTGTTATGACACGTTCGTTAGTGCTCATGCGGTCAATGCAATAGTCTATGATATACATACATCTTCTCCAGTAGGCTGCTCGTGCGTCCATTCGACTACGTTGGCGCCAGCTGCCTTCTTCTTGCCGTTGGTCTGTGATGCGCGTCGCTTGCTAAGTTGATGCGCGATGGTGAAGGTATTATGGCGCGCGGCGAACGTGTGCATGTTCGCTGTCAACGTGGTATTCGGCGCCATCGTTGCGAAGAGTGTATGTACAGTGCGCGCTGTTGGCAGTTGGTGGTGGTGTTGTGAGCTTTGTCGAAGCCGAAGTAAACAAGAACGGGAGCTGCCGCAATCTCCAAATCGATGCGTCAGCACGTGATAATTCTTGGCGCTCCAACAGCACTTCCAAACAAGACGAGCCTCATAGATGAGTATGATGCTTGGGACTATGTGCTGTTGAACCGATGGATTATATATACATGACGCCGAAGTGACTCGCTCATCTCGTTGCTCCCTCGCCCTCCCATCCGTAACCCTATGCAATCACAGTCCTTCACTAACCTCTCTACACCCCAACAAACTCAGAAACCGCAGCATACCAATCCAAAGCCACACAAACATCCCCATGAAAATCTCCCTTCTTTGCCTTCAACTCCGGATCCTGCAAATCCAACGACAGCATCATCAACCCCTCCTGCGAACTCTGCAGTGCCGTGATCGCCTGCTTCTTCGTGCTCGGACGGCCGGGAACGAAAGGCGCGCATGGCAACGGACCTTGAAGCTCGTTCGCGAGGTCGTTGAATTGAAGGATGCCGGCGCTGTAGTCGGATTGGAGGGTGGAGCTGGATTGGACGATGTCGTTGACTATGTTAAGGATCTGAATCTCGAGGGTTTGGATCTTGCTTTGCAGGACTGGGCGGGAGGTGGGCGCAGCGAGGGTGGAGCTGGCGAGAGAAAGCGCGGCGGCTAGGATTGCGGTGGGCTTCATTGTAGCAGTTGTCTCGTATTGGTCCGTTATTCGATGTCGATTGGTGTAGTAAAGATGAAGATGCGGCTTTTAGAGGCTTTGGGTTGTGCGGGATGTTGCTGAAGGGATGAGATGATGGGAAAAATGGGAGTATACCTTCTGGAAGTTATATAGAACGTCAACTATTTGAGTTTCGTGATCAATTCGTACTTGCGCTTCCAGTAATAGCATCAGCATGGTGAGACAAGGTCACGCAACCGTATCTTTCAGCGGCTGGCAGTCTGTGTGAGCCACCCATAGCCTTCCTCAGCATCAGCACGTTATGGTCCGCAGTCGACACCACACCTCGAGTGGGCAATGTATGGGTTGCACTTCCATCCGGTGGCGCCGATCAGGAGACCTTCGTGAACAGCTGCGCCTCAGCTCAAGTAGAAGTCCATTGTAGTTTCGAGTCGAGACACATTTTGTTACATCCGACCCGGCCATGGTGTCTGCAGGCCCATCGATGGTCCGAGGTTACGATGGAAGTAGCTGGAGAAGAGCAAAGACTCAGAGAGCGATGATTTCGAATTCTCGGTAGCTTCCCAATTCGGTCTCTGCAACCGACTCAGCTAAATTTGCATAGCCAAGAGGTCGTACCCAGCTCGTGTCAGGAGATCTCTGTGTTCCCGCACGTCTCTAAAGCATTAGCAGAAGACGCGACCAACGATTCGAGGGGCCGTATGCTGGAGAGCAGAGATGTCTCAGCATCTTATGTCGTTCGCTTCGAATCAGCTATGTCGTGGCCAGCATGAAAGATTTCTGCATTAGCACGTATACTTTCATTTGGCCTTGCCAGGCGGCGTATGTACACCCAATACCGATCTATGCAACGCCATGCTAAATTCCACCGCGTCCGGGTATCCAAGAACCATGCTTAGTATTGACATTTTGAGCCGCTTATACCTCGTCATACCCATGCACTCTCCGATAGACCTTTTTATGCTGTTCCAAGAACATGAACGTCGCAATTGTGTGTGGTCCTAATCTCGAAAAGCTAGGCACCCAGCCCTTGAACATCCACATCCAGCCTTCTTGAGCTGTGATTCTCTTCACCAGGGGCAGTATACCCTCCTGAGTCTTCGCGCTCATAACTCTCGTTTTGATCACATCCACCGGACTGCAGATCGTGGTGGCTACGAAGCCTGCCATGAACGAGGCCGTAAAGTGCGTGGCGAGGTTGTCCTTCATCTTCGCCCGTTCGAGCAACTCCTTCTTGAAAACGTCGTAGGAGGCCAGTTGAGAGGCGGTCATGAGCACAGCACGGGTGCTGTTCGGCCAAACTCCACGGAACAGGCTGCCAAATCCTTCTTCCCTGACCATTCGAAAGAGACCATCGATCGCGTGCTTGTAGTTGCGGCGCTCTGCAGCGGGTAGCGCTGCATCGTTCTGCATGCGGACGTTTAGAATGTCTGCCGGGTTGCCCACGATTCCTCCCAGAAAGCCAGAGGTCGAGGACATGGCTATGAGTGCCGGGAAGGAGGGCTGAGCGGTGCCATGTCTAAACACCTCTTTTAGCTCCTCGTACACGCCGAAGCGCGTCGTGCTGTAGGTGATCTGGCGGAGGAGGGAGGCGGAGAGCTACGGCAAGCCATCGGTGTTAGTCGTGTCCAGCACCTGAGCAGTAACTCCCACATACCCCTCGATAGAAGCCCATGAAGCCATCAGATTTGAAGATATGCCCAATCATCTGCGTGAGACCCCGCCGGGAGGCATCGTGTGGTTGTGTCTGTAGTCTGACCTGGAGAAGTTGAGCGTTGATGTCTTTGGCAGGATTGTGGTCGCAGTACCTTCACTGTACACTGTCAGCTCCCGCACCTAAGCTCATCCTGCGGCCAACACTCACATAGATCAAGAGGATGTGTCACGCATGCCGCGAAGCAACTGGCGCTGCCCCCGAACCATAGTGGGTAGTGGATATGGGCTTTCTCGCCCAGGGTTGAAGGCTTGGACATGGCCCGCTCGGCATTGCTTCGACAGTCGAGCTGTCTGAAGTGCAATGGCTTTTTGTATGTGGTCGAAGGAGTGGATAGGGTGAGTTGGAGAAGAGAGTGTCGATGGGAAAAAGATGAGCTCTCCCGGGTGCTTCGGCAATTTGATGCGATAGGGCTGAGCACGTGTGAAAGCTTGACGCGTGCAGAAGTGAACCAACCTCGATATCAACCTCATCTCGTCCTGGTCACATGTCAATCAAAGGCGTCGCCGTTTGGGAGCTGTGAAGCATCGAAGATGATATACCATAATGCATGCTCACGATCGCACCTTCTTGCTTTACCTACGAGCGTTCGGGCGCTTCTGCGGCAGCAAGCCGCTTCTCGACAGTACTCTTCGGGTAAGCGACAACACCTCATATTAATTCCTTTGACTCGATAGAAGAGCGATGCATATGTAATACGTTCAGTCTTGAAGTATGCTCCCCGCAACACAATGCGGATTTGCAGTATACCCTCGAGAACAACTGTCTGCACATTGTCCCCCTTTCCACTATTCATAAGCATATCCTGGCCATCATTAGCCACTGACTTAGTCTAGGACCCTCGCATTATTCCCTAAGCATTGGAGGCAATACATACCCGTCTGACTCCTGGACCAATGCTCCACAGTCAATCATCGCCCAGTATGACCGACGACTCCACGCGCAACCCAATCACCCGCTCTCCATCACCAGGAAGCTGATCGAGTCGTGCTTCCCTGGCTTCCAAAACCACAACGAGCTACCCGGCGTGGTCACTGTGAATCAGAACTTCGACTCATTAGGCTTTGCTCCAGACCACCCTGGACGAAACAGGAGCGACACCTACTACATCAACAAGGACACACTCTTACGAACCCACACTTCCGCCCACGAAGTCGACGTATTCCGTGCCAACACCAGTGATGGCTACACAATCGCCGCAGACGTCTACCGACGGGATGCAGTAGACCGCACGCACTACCCCATCTTCCACCAAATGGAGGGCGCATTAACCTGGGACAAAAGCAAATTCAACTCTCAAGACGACTTCCTCCATCAACTCCAAACAGACCTGAACAACTTCAACCCTCCCAACGTCGAAGTCGAAGATCCGAACCCGCCGTTCCAGAGTTCGAACCCACTGCAAGAAAAGTACCACTCCGCCATTGAAGCTGAACTCATCGGAGCGCATCTCAAACGCAATCTCGAGAAAATGGCCGTCACCATCTTCACCGAAGCTGACAAAGCGCTCAAAGCGTCTGGGCAGGAAGCCGCGCCGGAAGATAAAGATCCGCTGAAGTTGCGGTGGGTGGAAGCTTTCTTCCCACATACTTCACCTTCCTGGGAACTGGAAGTGTGGTGGCGAGGAGACTGGCTGGAGGTACTGGGGTCTGGAGTAATCGATCAACCACTTCTGATCCGTGCAGGCGTGCCAACGCGGGTAGGCTGGGCGTTTGGGTTGGGGTTAGAGAGGTTGGCGATGCTGTTGTTTGGGATCCCGGACATTCGGTTGTTCTGGAGCAAAGACTCTCGCTTCCTGAATCAGTTTGATGAGAAGAAGCCTATCCAGCGATTCCAACCGTTCAGCAAATATCCTGCTGCGCCACGAGATGTCGCTTTCTGGCTGCCGAAGTCAGGTCCTGTCGTGGCGGAGACGCCAGCCGCGAGCTCGTCAACACCATCACCAGCGGGAGGCAAAGAGACCGAGCCGACGCTGAGCGAGAGTCCAGCTTTCCACGAGAATGACCTGATGGAGGTTGTGCGCGGTACTGCGGGCGACAGCGTGGAAGACGTGACGTGCATCGACAACTTCACTCATCCAAAGACTGGACGGCAGAGCTTGTGCTATAGGGTGACATACCGAAGCCTGGAGAAGACGTTGACGAACGAGGAGGCGAACGCGTTGCACGAGGAGATCAGGAAGGAGCTCGTATCTCGCTTTGGGGTGGAGTTGCGATAAATTGCTGTTGATTGTCGCAGCTTGTGTAGATATAGATTGCTGTACAAGTATAACAGGTGTACACTATGCTCAATGCATTCATCAATCATACGCTTCGTACAGAATGCCTTGCAGTCATCGCCTGCCTCAGTTCCTAACGACATAGCTCTGCCCATGAAAGAAGTCACATCTTGCATTCGCATCAAAGTCCGGCGTCACGCCCATCATCGTGTAGTTGATATCCATGATCGGGAAGTCCATGGTACCCTCGGACTGATACTGCGGCCAGAAAGGCTTCTGTGTGCCAGAGTTCGAGACGCTGTTCGGATCTAGATTTTGCACGAAACCGAGATACCAGTCTTTGAGGATGTTGGAGATGGTGAAGTTGTTGATGGCTGTTGTCGCATGCGTCAGCTGAGTAGTTCCTTGTAGTCTGGAATGATTTTGGGTATACTCACACTCTGGTGGACCCCACAAGAAAGGACCATCAGCCCCGTGAAGCTGCGAGCCGGCGTTGAAGAGGAACTTCCAGGTCGGCATGCCCCAGTCTGACATTGCCGTAGCCATGTAGTATGTTGCTAGGCAGAAGTCAGCCTTGACCTTCCCCAAGCTCGTCATCCGGTATTGGTATGCACTCACGACAATCAATGATGTAGTCACCGTAGATCTGCGCCCGGCGCCAGAAGGTGCCGTTAAACTCGTTGGCAGGATACAGCTGGTACAGGCGCTTGAAGAAAGATGGCTTTGCGTACGGGAATATCGTGTTGAGCTCCCTCGTCAAGTTGGACTGCGTGCTTATGTTCATTGGGCTGTAGTTGTAGCCCTCGTAAGCCTGCACACAATCAGTATTTTGACTGATGATTCATAGAGGAAAGACGTACGTCTCTGTTAACAATAAGCGGCACCTTCGAGAAGTGTCCTCTCTTGAACTCGTTCGATGGAAGATCACGAATCACCTCTCCATCGATGGCAGGTCCATAGTAAAAGTCCCCCCATCCATAGTAACTCTCCCATCCGGTGCTGACGAGCGACGTCTGCATAGCATCGATCAAGCTTTGCGTAGATTGACTACGGAGGCATGCCAAGTTGTCACATTTCGTCGCAGACAGCATCTGGCGATACTGAGCTTCAAGGATCGTATTATTCTTGTAGCTCTGCCACCACGGGTATTCGGCGATGGCGGCTCTGAAGGGTGGATTTGGAACGCCTCCATAGAGGATAAGCTGATCCATCACACTCCCGCCACCAGCTGAGCCGCCGATGATGGTCACTTTCGATGGATCGCCACCGAATGCTCGGATGTTGCGTTGAACCCAGCCGAGTGCTGCTCGTTGATCTAGCAATCCAGCATTGGCAGCTCCGTTCTCTCTCACCTCAGCGCTGCTCATGAAGCCGAAGACAGCCAAACGATACTGGATGGAGACGTAGATGAGGTTGTCGTTCGATTGATTGACCATCATGTAGCCAGGGTTGCTTTGGCTGTTGCCTTGGTCGTAGCCTCCGCCGTGGATCTGGACAAGAACAGGGACATAATCGCTGGCTGGCTTCTTTGGGACGAGGACGTCTAGAAGTAAGCAGTCCTCGCTTCCACTGGGGGTGGTGGTCTGTCTCCAGTATGGGATGCCTTGGACGCAGGTTGGGCCGCGGGTTGTGGCGTCCTGGACGCGGGTGGGAGTGAGATTGCTGTGGCTTTCGATGTCCATTGGCGGTTGCCATCTGAGGTCGCCGACGGGAGGGGCGGCATAGCGGATGCCGTAGTAGTTGACGATGCTGCATCAACTTTTAGTCTGTTTTGAGAGCAAGTAGTGTCCCGGGGCATACTTCGTGTATGTATCGTTCAACGAGCCTCTATACTTAGCATATCCCAAGTCTACGATGTAGTTCGAGGAGGCATTCTGACAAGCAACGAGCGCAGAAAAAGCAGCTAGAAGGCCGAGAGATGAGAACCGCATTGTGCTTGATGTTTTGCTGTACAGAAGAGACGACAATGTAGAACCCGTAGAATGACCTACCGTTGGCTGGCAACTCTGCGATATCGGCATGAGATCTGCCGGAATGCCTATGCTACAGTGTATGAGGGGTATAGCGGTGTATTGTCGAAGATGTGGTTAAAGAGGAAGGTGTTGGAGTGGTGATGCGAGCCGGGCGCACGGACATGCGCTACCCCAAGAACAGACGTCGTTCACCAGACCTCAGCTCGTCGACAAACGGATGAATACGCACAATGTTGCACGGAACGACTGGTATACTGGCCTGTGGTGTTCATCTGGATAATTGGATCATTGGGAAACAAGAAAAACAAACGCTGGGCTTGAAGGACTTGAAAGAAAAACTAGAGCGGTGCTACTTCCTAGTTCGGACCGGACTGCAGCTAATGTTCTTGGATCGTGGCCCCCACCCACCTCTGGATACCTTAGGATCTGAGGGTACTCGGAGGAAGCTCGTCTCTGGTAAAGTGTGCTTTGGTAATCTGTGCCCTTCCAACGGAGCCAGCAAAGAGCTCTGGGGCTCGTGGGGGTGGGCTTTACGGATCCGGATGGTCAGCAAATTTTTACGGGCCCTCTGGCCCCGCAAGATCCTCTGGCTGTCTCTGCCGTTGCAAGGAGGCCTCTTTGCATTCTACTGCATCTACATTGGAGTCCTCGCCGGCTGGAATACACTCTGACAAAGGCAAAAATCGTTATCCTCGTTGGACGGTTTTTGTTCGACCCAGGGGGTAAGACCACGGCAAAAAGATGTTGTTGCAGATGCCTGTGACATCTGGGAGATCTCCCCATCAGGGAATCGAACCCTGGTCTCCCGCGCAAGCATGTGATAGGCATGACACTGGTTGCGAGTCAATATGATGATCCAGAATGTCCATTGAACGATTAACCGTACAGCGGAAATCATCTTCTCATGAGTTAGCAGGGCTCTCTATTGATTAGGGAGTGCTACTTGCAGCCACTAGACCAATGAGGAAGCCATCGAAGCTCTGTGCTATTGATGGAAGCGAGAATATTACAAATTGTATATGAAAACTATTTTTTGGGTCCGAGGGAGCCCTACAGCGGCACCTCAACGCATCAGGCAACCCACTGCGACAGAGAGGAACGCATTGAACCCAGCGGACATGGCTGTACTCCATCTCAAAGGTTCTATAACGCCATTCTCGAATCTAGCATTGTCACATGAAAGTCACTACTTCCGCTTTCGGACGCGACCATTCGTCCTCCGCTCGGCTACACACATCGACTACAGCACTATCGCCCTGCAGACCTTTTACACTAAGGCTCATAGTGCCTGCCGAACGGTTTTCTATCTACTTCGTGTTGTGTATGGAACAAAGTATACTTGAACGACCCAACGACGGAGGACTCGACGGCAGCACACTACAGCAACTAGCAATCCAGCACGGAACAATACAAGGCCTATTGATCGTTTGAATGGCTTTTGTTCAGACTTATGGACTTGTAGGTCTGTCGCCCATCGACGTTCGAGCATCTTCACATGGGAGCCGATCTTGCCGTTTTCGACGAGGACACTCTTCTCCCAGATCGGGAAGCACTTCACTACACCACTTCACTCTCACCACCAAATCACTACAACGAACAATTTCGAGACATTCAAGCATGATGTATCCTCTTCTTATTCCTCTCCGGGGGTATCACTATACTATAAACACACCCACAAGATTATCAAAACACCACCAGCGCCTTGCTAATGTCAATTGCAATCAAATCACTCCTCCTTCACTGACCTCATCAACCACCCCTCCCAGAAATTCCGCAATCCCAATACCGTCTCCTTCCCGTCATCCCGCTTATCCTGCCCGGCGGGATCACCCACCATCCCCGACGCCAGCCAGTAGAACCCCAGCACCCACGCGGCGAACATAATAACGAAGCTCATAAAGGGCGACAATATATGAACCATGAACAGCGTTGCATCATGGTATGAGCCGTCTTCGTTGGCGTGAGGAGGCAAGGGCGTGTAGATGCTGCGCAGTTGGAGGTTGAGTGTCGGTCCCAGCAGCCCAGCCAGTTGCTGTCCAAATGAAGGCCGTCGCGCGCATATTCGAATCGATTGTGAGAGGGCTGTGATGACGAGCGCTATCACTGCCCACACTGTATTGATGGCGGAGAGAATGACTGCCGGCCCTGAGAGGAACAGCAATATCTTGACCGCATGCTGCTCCTGCATCGCCCTCCCTTCATCAACCTCCTCATCCTCCTCCTCCATCGCAATCGTCTTATCAACTCGATTCGACTGATGCGAGCCATGCCGACTGCTATGCCGCGTCCCCTTCTCAGGATCTCGATTCCCTCCACTTCTTCTGGACTCCCGACTTGACTGTCTAGGACCCTCCTCTTCTGGCACCGCCCCCTTCTCCATGTTGACTGACGATGGCGTCATGATGGAACTCGCCATCGTCGACGACATCGAACCACTCTTGCACTCAGGATCCGCCGGGTAGTATTGTGAAGTGTAGGTCGATGAATCGTAGCTCGCCTTGTCCAGATTCCCAATCACAACAGCCGCTTGCGGCATGCGGTAATCGTGCGACCTTTGAGCACATGGCGGAGGCGCCGGCAGAGTGTGTGTCGATATAAACGGACTGGCGAAGGGGTTTTCACTGCAAGAGCTGTGTTTGCTTGTCCCTCTTGGTGCCAAGTTAGGCGCGCTCATGATGATGTGAATGGAGTATCCTTCTCACACTTCGCTGCGGCGGCACAAGGTCATGGGGAGGTGCATCAAACCAGCCAGGTACCCGCCGGAGCGGAGAGGGGCGGCGACGAACATAAGTAGACGTGCCTCGTCGTCGCCATGCTCTTGGTCCTCTCGGTCCTCCTCCGCCCTTGTCCTTGGCCCGGTTCTTTCGTCTTGGCCGACCCTTGGCGATCCAATCAATACGCAGGTCAGCAGCCGTAAAGACTCGTCCATTGCTGATGCACCCTCTGCGGTGACCAGGCGCCGAGACGTCTGTGACACACCTGCGCTGCCATGCCCTCCGCAGGCTCCTGGCGGTGGTGTTGGCGGGTGCGCGTGGGAGCAGACCCCAAGCGCGAAGCCGGCAAGCGGAGATGAAGTCCGACGTCTTTGCCCTTTCTGGCTGTCGGACGAGCTGCCCTGGGTTGGCGAAAAGTGTATCGTGCCTCATCTTCCGACTGCGCAGGCTGGGCAGTACGTACGAATACCACCATATTTGGATCTACGCCCGAGGAGCGCTGGCAGACTCATTTGGAGAGGTCATACTCCGCACAGCGTGCTGTTGTGCGTACTGGCCGCCTTGAGTCCCGTCTTGGAAACGTCCTTGGTATTGCAGTCTAGTCGCTCAGGATGCTCCTCCGTCGCGCAACCCCCAAGGATGGCCTCATTCGGAGGAGGACGAGGTCGTGGCATCTGTACGGCGACCTATTGAGTCTCTTGGGAGTGGCAGATGCGTCAGTCGAGCCCTTGGAAGCGTTTCACAGAGTATTCAGGCTCAGAGAAATACAGTAGGCAAGACTAGGATGGTGAAAGCAGCCCAGTGTACGCAGATATGATAGACGGGCGGCAGATGGCGAGAAGGGCTGTTCTCCTATACAACGAGTGCACTTCGTCTGTGAATCATCTTCTGCTGGTAATAGATTGTCGCGATCGTTGAGAAGACTGGGTGCTTTGACTGTCAGTCACCTACAGAGATAGTATCCCGTCGTCCGGCATCTGGAACTGGTTGTACCTAGTAATGCGTTAATGTGTATCTCAAAGTTCTTGTGTGTGAGATGCATCTGCGTGTAGAGGTGAGGTCAAACTACATAGAAGGCAAGAGTCAACGTCCATATCTGAGCTCTTCGCGTGGTTTCCTTACAGCCATTCATGCTACGGTTAGAAATGATTGAATCGATCCAGAAGCATCTATATGAGCGAACATGAAGGGACATGTGAAATGAGAACGTCGAGATACGTTAGAATGCTTGCGCATATCTACCTACTAGCAAAGCAACCTCACCGCCAGCAATCGAAGACGGGCCTGCACTCCCATCAACGATACCAAACGGCGGCCCTCATCTCATGTATCAACACATCGAATCAAAAGCAACGCCCTTCCACCCATCTTCCATTGCCATGCATCCCGTAAAACACAATCCATGCTCGAATGCTCGCTCGCTCGCTCGCTCCCAAAAACACCTTCCCGCGCTATGTTCATATCCCCTTTAAGCAAAACCGAAATACTCGCTCCCCGCCGTAATCGCAGTATAAAGCTGCTGCCTCAAATGCTCGTAGCTCTCATACTCCGGCAAATCGAGCTGGTTGAAGCATGTGTGACTGGACGGTAGCTTCTCCTTGCTGCTGTAGTCACGATGGATGTTGAACTTGGCGAACCCGTTCATGCCTTCGAGCTCCTTGAACCCGTTGAGCGGCACTTTGCTTGTGCCGGTGACGAACTGCAGCAGCTTCGCCTTCTCTTCCTTGTCGAAGCTGCGTACCGCACGCCAGAACCACTGGATCTGTGGTGATGTCGCCTGATAGTTGTGGTATTCTGTGTTGGCCTTCCAGTCGTCGATTTCGATTTCAGGCAGACCTGAGATGAGAAGCTCCAGCTCCTGCTCGTTGAAGATGGAGATCAGCTCGGCTGGGATGATCTCGTGGAAACCAGCCAGGAAGTTCTCCAGCTGGTCCTCAACCGACTTGACAAGGCGATGCTCGACCACCAGGCGGACATAGTCTTGCTTGTTCTCTTCTGTGACCGGGATGTTCTGGCCATTTGGAATGAGATCGACTGTCTCAACAGCACCAAAGCGATCCACATCGACAGAAAAGGTCTCAAACGTGATGTCGGTGATGTCGTTCTCCAGAATCCACACGAGCGACTTGTAATATTCCAGATCCAGACTTTCCATGTCCTTCAGCGACACGGACTTGCCAAGGATCCTGCGGTACACCGCTCGACTGAAATGGCAATCGAGAACGCGCCCTTCGTAAAGCGCCTTGGCGATAATCCGACCGATGAACTTGAAGAAGGTCAAGTGGTCTGGATTGACCTCGCTGACCGGGTTCGGATGGAAGGTCGTCCGGTCGGAGGCCACAGGGTTGAACAACGCATAGTCCGGATTGAACATTTGGCGGGCCATGGCAGCGAACCATTCTCGCGAAACACCGCCTGCGTCGATGCCCTCCTCGTTGTGGAAGCGGATGTTGAGCTTGCCATACTTGACCTCGTCGCCACTCTTGTAGTACAGCGACTTGAACGAGTCCAGGAATACTTGATCTCGGCGAACATTGAGCTGCAGAGCAGGGTGCGACAATCGCTGATTACCCTGGGTCGGCCGAGTATGCACTTTGCGGGTAAAGAAGGCGCGCTTGTTGTCGAACTCCAAGACCTTGGAGTTCTTGGCGAGGACCGCAAACTTGCCATTCATCAGCTTCGGGTTCGTGCGAATAAGCTCGTTCAGGATCTTGCGGTGCTCTTCCGTGAACTTGAAGAAGAGGCTCTCGAGGTGCGCGGCAGGTGGCGGCGTGCTGACAGTAAGTGGTGACGAAGTTTCGACCGCTGGCTCCTTCAGCGAAGTGTTGCGACAGACCACCATCAGCGACTCAATGAGAGGAAGCAAGATCGCAGCCACGTTGATCATGTTGCCCTTCTTGCGGATTGCAGTAAGACACTGGCTCAGATTGTCCCAAAGCTTGTCGAAGGTCGGACTCTCGTAGAGCGTGGCCAGGATCTCTTCGCGGAGCTTGGGCTGAGACGCTGCTGGAGATGAGGCTGGCAGAGATGGCATTTGCTCAGGGTCGAAGAGGTGGTCGAGCGCTGTCACCGTACGCAGTAGCTTCTGTTGTTGCGAAGTGGCAGAAGAGAAGTTGGCCAGGGCCACTCCCTGCATGCTTGTGCCTGACTCCGCAGCATCGATCTGCTTTGCGAGCTCCTGCAAATCTCCGAGAACCGCTTCGCTCAGCTGTTGTGCCTGGCGAACGAGCTCCCTGGCAAAGACTTCCCGAGCACCAGGAATGTAGGACAAATAGCGAATGACATCCAGCGTCTCTGACATGGTCTTGCTTGGGCATTCCCGTGCGGTGAAGATGTTGACGACCAGGCGGATGTTCTCCTCTGGAACGTCTGGCGCAACGAGGTCGCGATGCTTCTTCTTCTCTTCAGGCTTCTTGTCGCTGGCCTCTGCATCTTCGGGCTTAGGCTCTTGCGCCTCGGTGGATGACTCTGCTGTGGCACTGTCGCCAGCATTGTCCGTGGTCGACGGGCCTGCAGCCTCGCCCATTTGAACGTCACCAGTTGGCGCTTCAACGTATTCCTTTGCCTCCTTTGCCTGCTCGTCCTTGGACTCCTGCCGCTTGTAAAGGTGCTGCAGTGGGCGAGCAACTCGGCTAAGCAGAGAAGCAAGAGTTTCCATAACGCCAGGGTTCTCCGTGATGAGCTTGCGATCCAGCAGAGTGAGCAAAGCATTGAGCGGGAATTTGGCTGCCCTGCTCTCGTGTCCTTTGCCCTTCTTCGCGCTCTTCGTCTTCTGGCTGATGACAGTCTCGTGCTCGGTCAAGAAGAATGAAGGCACTCTGCTATTGTCGGTCGAAAGTGCGTTCAATGTGGCCAAGCACTGCTGCACGATGTTGAGTGGCGACAGCTCAGCTCCAGGTGCAGCCATAGTCCCGGTCACTGTCCGCTTCAGAGGCTGCGGTGTCTTTGGTGCAGATGTTTGCTTCGCTCGCAACGACAACGCAGCAAAGCTGCGCTCGACAGCATTGACATCCAGAGTACCGTCCTGCAGAATGGAGAGGAGGATGCTGATCACCTCAGCGCGGTTGTGGGTGTTCTTGCAGACGTCCGATAGAATGCTGTGGAGGTTGTTCTTAGCCTTGTGGTGCAGCGAGACGAACATCAGCCGCAGTAGCGTTGCAATGCCAGCCTTGTCCAGCATCTGAACCACCGGACGACGCTGACGCTCGGCTTCACGCTGATAGTGCTCGGCGCGATTGAGGTACGCGCGATCCAAGCGGCCGGATGCGTCACCATATCGGCCTGCTCCTCCGAGCTGGTCTGCACGAGGCAAGCGACGACCGCCTAGTGCACGAGCTTCGGCCTGGAGGTGTTCGGGCAAGGTCGCCAGGGTGGCTTCGTCTGCTTCTAAGAGGACCGACTGCCTCAAGGTAGGGTCCAAGGTCGCTATGAAGTTGCTGTTGTCCATATCCTCCGCCTGTGCGGCTGGAGCATTGCCTGCCTGGGCGGCTTGACGGCGGGCCTCTTCCTGCTCGCGACGGCGACGGTCCATCGCCTCCGAGCGAAGCAGCTCCCGCTGGATCTCTGGTGGCAAGGCTTCCAAGAACTCAGGGCTGATCTCATTGGGCTGCCCACCAGATTGAGCAGCTTGTGAGCGCTGCTCAGCAAACTGGCCCATGATGACCTCTTGCCGCATCTCTTCTGGCAGCGCTTCGAGATAGCCAGGGTCGATTCCGAGACTGGTGATATCAACCTCGCGACCTCCGATGGTAGTGGTGATGCGCTCGGTAGCCGGCTCCGCAGGCTGCGCTTCGGACGGCACACTCGTGGGCGGATCCGATGCCGCTTGAGAAGATTCCACGCCCTCCATCGTCGTGCTCTCTTCACTTTGGCCAGCCTCAGCGGCAGCCCTCTCCGCCTCTTCACGCGCGCGAGCCTCTTCTGCTTCCCTCGCTTCTTTCTCCTGCCGCTCCAGGCGCTCCTTCTCCTCACGTGCTTCACGCGCAGCCTTCTCGGCCTCTTCTCTCTTCTTCGCATCCTCCCTCATCCTCTCCTCTGCAGCCTTCCTCTCAGCTTCCGCCTTGTTCTTGGCTTCCATCGCGGCAGGCACAAGCAGGCGAAGCAGCGTGCTGATGATACGTGTGGCCTTCTCGAGATGCTTGCCGCTGAAGAGCATCCTAGCCTCTTCCTGCCAGCGGCTCACCGTTAAGACAGGGCGGAACTCAACAGCCTGAGCCTCATCGGAGCTTGGTGTGCGAGCTCCATGGGCTCTGTGAGATGGCGTCAAGTCTGCAAAGCGAGGCAGGCCGATCTGCTCTCGCCATGGCCGGCTTGGATCAATGTCGACCAGAGCGTGTCCGTGCCTGTCACCGATGGCGAACATGGGTGGCATCTGAGGAATGCCTCCACCAAACCGTGGCTCAATGTTAACATTGATGGCGTGGTTACCGGCACCTCCAATTGAGTTGACAAGGTCCTGAATAATAGCATCACCGTTGCGAGGAAGACCCATGCGTCGGGCTGCACCCGGTGGGAATCCTGCTGGTCGATCACGGTCGCCGCCGCTACCCTCACGTTGCAGTAGCGGGTTGGTGCCATCGTCTTCGCCGCCGGCACGACCGCCTGTTGTGGTCCGATGCGTCCTCATTCCCGGAACTGGGTCGATGTCAGCACCGTAATCTCTGAAGCCATCTCGCACTAACATACCTCTGAAGCCTTCACCGTTAGCGGCCATGCGGAACATACTGTCGAAGTTGATGCCGTGGTGATGGTGATGGCCGCCGTCGAACATGCGTCCTGGAGGTGGCGGAGCGTCCCATCCACCCCAGCGCCCGTCATCCTCGTCGTCTTCATCTGCAGGATTGTCAAACCTCTGTAGCTCGTTCAATAGCTCACGCATTCTCGTCCACAAACCTTCGACTTCCGGCTCATACACCAACTCGTTCTCATAGTCTGGCTCCTCATCGTCTATGATGCTGTTAGCAAAATCCGCAAAGGAAGTACATGGGGTGAACGTACCATCCTCGTCGGGCGGCATCTCGTCTTCGAAGTAGTCAGGCCCATCTTCGTCATTGACATCGATGCGGACCACATCGTCTGCCTCATCATACTCCTCATCCGGAGGTCCACCGATAACTCGCGCGAGCTGATCAAGCGGGCCACCATGAGGCGATCCACCATCGGCCATCATCGCTTGCTCAAGATCATCATCCTCCCACTGATCTCCATGGTCGTGGTCAGGCATGCTCGCATTCTCGTCGTCGCCAGTGATCTCGTCCATCTGGTCGTCGAAATCATCTCCGTCCTCGTCATCTTCGTCATCTCCGTCTTCATCACTGCTCCCATCCTCATCATCCATGTCATCCTCGTCGCCTTCCACCACAATATCTACATCCATGTCAACGTCGCCGTGAAGGCCTTCGATTGGACCCATCTCGCCGTTGTCTTCAATGTCTTCATCTTCGTCGCTGATGACGTCGCCATGGTCTCCGTCCTGCATCGGATCGCCTTCGTAGTCCATCTCTTCGTCATAGCCATCATACATATCCTGGTCGTCCTCATCTCCATCGCTCTCGGACGAGGACTCTTCGCCGCGGTTCGCGCTGGACTCAAACATGCCCAGGGTAGAGTTGCGGTAGAGATCAGGCGTCTGCTCGCGCTCCTCGTCTTCGTCCGAAAGCGAAGTTGCCGAAGAGATCTCTTCCTCGTCGGTAGTGCCACCCGTGCTCGAAGACGAGATGTCAGTGTTCTGACTGAGCCACACTCCGAGATCTGTGAGCTGCTTGAGCGGCCCAAGGATGTACTTCACTGCCCGCTTGGCGTTAGGGAAGTTGAGGTCAAGCTCAGCGATCGCAGAGGTCAGAGCGGGAATGAAGTTACGCTCATACATCAGCTTGCCGATCTGCTGCGACGACACTGCGCTCGTGCCGGCTCTAGTGGTTGAGGTGATTTCGGTCTTGGAGCTGAGCACCCTGTTGAAAAGCTCGCCGAGCGCAAGCAGGCGGGAGTAGCGCACATCCAGCTGCTCAGTCGACGTGGTAGCTTCCTTGAAAGCTCGGAGAGCATGTTCAAGAACGAACTTCCGGACATAGGTGAGATCGCTCTCATCATCGCTTGAGTCGTCGAGGGTGATTTCGCGCGGTGTCTGGAACTCAGTCGTCTTCGAACACAAGGACACGATGACCGAGGTAGCCCAGTGGGATGTCGACAGCTTCTTGCGAAGGGCGATGTCGTCGCGGTGCTCAAGTGTGCCTACAGGGATCAAGGCATTGAGCAGATAGTTGAGCGTGCCGGCGCGAGGCTTTGAAGGAGTCGCAGGCTGCGTCTCCGGCTTCCGAGAGAAGTTGATAAATTCCACCTTGGTGCGGTTGTAAGATGAAAGCAGCTCGGCCAGACACTGCATGATGAAGCAGCGGTAGATGTAGATGGTGTGCTCCTCTGGCTTGAACGCCTGCTTCTCCGTCTTGCTACTGGATTCGGTCGAAGGAGTGGTCGTGCTAGGTGCAGCATCGGACATCTCGACATCGCCAGAGGAGGTGCCGTTCGTTGGAGCACTAGCATTCTCCTTGGTGGAATTAGACTGCTTGTCTTCAACATCCCGGTAGTTCGACAGCTCACGAAGCAGGAACTGCACGACTCCGTCGGTGACTTCGACAGTAGGCGGCTTTGCTTCAGTGGGCTTGGCTGCTCCTTCGGCGCTGGTCTCCTCGATGCTCTTCTGCGCACCACTGTCACCTTCCGCTGGCTGCTCAGGCTGCTCAGGCTTCGGTGGAGCTGCTTCGGCCGGCTTGTCCTTCTTCAGCGTCAAAGACTGCGCTCTATGCGGGCTGCCATCATATCGTGCCACCTCCACAAGCTCCTGGGTAACCTTGGCAAAAAGACCCGGATCGCGCAGCACAAGGTGATACAGATTCCTGGTGTAGGTCGTGGAATCCATGGGCCGTGACGAGCGGTGATTCTCAAACGCCGCCTTGATCTCAGTGCGCATGATCTGGCGCAGCATCGCCTCATCTTCAACCATGTGCCTGAGGATGATCATGAAGCAGCCCTGCAGCTTCTCGTCGACAGAACCAGCCAGCTGCCTGATCATGAGGAAGAGCCGTGACATCGAAGGCTTCTCGCTTAGGCGCAGCGCAAAGTCGCGTCGCCGCGTGAGAGCGACCAGGACGCGGGATACCGACAGAGCCAAAGAAGCATTCTTGCCAACCTTCGGCAGAAGTTCAACCAAGCGGTCGAACAAGTGTGTCCGGGAGTCGTGCGACACCCACGGTTCCGGCACCTCTGGCTCCGGCATCTCTTTCAGTGGATCCTCAGCAGGTGGAGGCTTCCAGCTGATCTCCGCTGGCTCTTCATCCTCCGCAAGAACCCGCTCAATGATAGCCAAGACCGCCTCAATCCATGGTGCGTCTTCGGAAGTCTTCTCGGAGTCAATGTAGACCCACGTCGCAATGGCGTCAAAGTACTCTCTCAGCTCATCCAGCGTCGAATCGAAGAAGTCGCGATCCTGTAAGATGAGGGCCACAAGATGGGCGTAAGCAGAGATCTTAGCCCCAGACTCATCCTCAGAGCCTTGAAGGGACATGAGCGATGAGACGAGAGTAGATCCGATCTCTGCTCGCGGGTTCGCGCCTTCGCCACTCTTCGCCACGGCCGCCTGGATGAGGTCTGCTAGCTCGAACGTGACGCCAGACTGAGCGCTGAGCACTTCCAAGCATCGGTCGATGAGATCCTCACGTACCGCCGTACGCTTCTCGTCGAGGTCTTCGATGGTCGTGAATGGTTGATGTGTATCCTTTGATGGCTCGTTGGTGGTTGCAGCTGGCAAATTGCTCGATGATGGGCCTCCGTTGCCGCTCAGCAGGCCTTCTATTCTCGTCATGCGCTCGCCGCCAGCCATTGCGAGAAGGTCGGACACAATCATTTCATTGGGAAGCCTTCCTGTGCTCGTGCGGCCCTCTTCTGACATGTCGTCCCCATCCTCTGGCTCCTCATCCTCGTCGTCAGCGGATCGTTGCTGTTCTGTTGCGGCATCTGTCATTTCTACAGAATCGCCACGCTGCAACGAGGGTCCATCGGAAGGCGCGGGATCACTGCTTGGGAGGTCTGAAGATGCTTCCAACTGGTCTGCTGGTGGCTCGCCTTCAGGGACCGGGAAGGACGGCGCATTGACACTGAGCTTCCGGAGGCTGCAGTACTCTAGCGCATGCGCTTCATTACCACCGCAACGGTACAGAGCCTCACGCGCCAGTGGAACATCGTAGCCGCTGGACTTGAGCGTGCGCACACCGTCGGCATTCTTGAGCTTGAACTCTACCTTCGCTCCTCGCACACGACGGCTCGCTTTATCGCCACGCTTGACCGCCTTATCCTCACCATCGGCCTTGAGAACCGATCGCAGGACTTCGATGACAGTCTTCGCTTGGTGGTCGCCCAAGCGCTCAAGTGCTGCGGAATGCCAAAGCCGGTCAACTGCTGGAAGGACTGCATTGCGGATCTCAACCACAAACTGGCCGGGAACAAAGTAGCTCGCCTCCTCGCGATTGGAGTTGTTGAAGACCTGCGCCTGACCGGGCTCAGCGGCGCACTTAGCCTTGACCACCTGGCTGTAGAAACCAAGTATGGTACCGAGGAGCTCGCGAACGGACGAGGTCACTGCTTCGTCGACAGAGTCACCAACCAGCTTATCCGCAAAGTGTTGAAGGCTGCCGTTCAGCTTCTCGAATCCACTAGCAAGGTAGAATTTGTTGAGCAAGAGCAGCAGAGCCTCTTTGGTGCCCCACGGTCCCTCCATGTTGTGGCTGTTTCGCAGGAGAATTCTACTGCACGCGGTGGCCACCTGGGTGACATATTTGCAGTCGGTGAGCTCGTCTGTCGTCCCGAACTTCTTGAACTCAAGCTCCCATACGAGCGCTTGAGCCATGTGCTCGGCGACAATTGCACCGTGCTCCTTGACGTTGCGGTCGCTCGGCCGGCGAGGGGTGAGAGCTTGTCCAAGCGAGTGGAAGAACGCTTCAATGCCCATCGGAGCCTGGCTAAGGAGATACCGCAGGGCTTTGGCGTTCTTGACCGCGAACTTGTCATCGCGATCTTCCGAGGCAGACTTGTCCCCAGATCCGTTCTCAGCAGTCCCGTTGGTCTGGTTCCCAGATCGGATCTCTGCAGCATAATCAACATCGCCGTTCGCGTCCACACGCCTCATCATAAAAGGCTTGGGGTCTGTCTGCTTCTTGCGCTCATCTGAGAAGCTCTTCTGCAGAGCAAGGTTCTCCCAGATGCAGGTAGCATGTAGCTGGCACAGGCTGTCGACCAGCTCAATGTACACGTCGGTGAAGTTGAGTGTAGCAAAGAGTGGGTTAGGAACGTGACCGTGACGTGCAGACGCATGCGAGGGAGGTGCCAGAGCTCGTCCAAGGATGTGCGTCAGCATGTGCAGGACCGCTAGCGACTTGACGACAGTAGTGCCAGGTGCCTCGCTGGGCAGAGATGAGATCTGCGGTTTCGAAAGGTCGGTGTACGTGGCAAAGACGCCCTGTGGGTTCTGGACTCCGACCAGTGGCTTGAGGTTCGCAATCGCGGTCTGGGTCCTGTTGATGAGACTTGGGAGCACTAGATGTGGCTTCGCTTCACACATCGCCTTGAGAACGTGCGCTATCTTGCTGAACACTGGGAAGGCGACGAGGTCGTGGGGATTACTGGTGGAAGTCGCAAGGTCGAGTAGGTACACAGCACCGCCCTGCTCGCAGAAGTACGAGCACATGCCTTGGTTGTTGAAGAAGCCGTCCAAGAACTTGAAGCAGGCGCTGATGAATGGCACACCACTAACACGGTCCTTGTCTTCTTCCTCAATGTCCTCTGGCTTGACTGGTTCGGTTGACGTGGAGTCGAGGCCAGGGGCGAGAGCCTGACGACCACCAGCCACCGCGATACCAGAGGTCGTCCTCTCCCATAGCTTAGCGCCGACACCCTTGTGCTGAGACAGGTAGCGGCAGACCTCACCGACTCGCCTCACCATGATGACAACAGTCTTCATGATCTGCTCCTTGAGCTGCGGGTGATGGCGAGATAGCTCGTCGAAGGCTTGACCGATGGCTGCGGCGGTCTGCCCTTCGTCTTCCAGTGCACGGATGTGCGGGGGCGAAACGAAGATGTCCATGAATTTGAGCAATGCCTTGGACTGCTGGAACTGCTTCATGCCGTTTTCGTTGAGGCATATCGCGCCGAAAGCAGTCGGAATGTCACACATCGTCTCACCAACAGGTAGGATGCCCATGGGCGTGGGATATTGCAGCTCTCCGTCCTTGTACTCAAGCGATACGGGAATATCGTCGATGCTCTCGCTGGTCTCATCGTCATCCTTGAGCTCCCAAGGTACCACGGTCTGCAGTAAGCTCTTCACAAGGCCAGCTTCGCCAACAACTTGAAAGCTGGTGGGCTCATTGTGGATGAAGGTGCTCATGATGTTGACGGCGCCGCTCCAGACATTCGATCCGAAAATGGGCGCATTCTCAATCACGTTGCGTAGAGCACCGAGAATTTGTGGCGTATCGATCAAGTTCCTGAGCAAGCGATCGTGCGTGCCGGCATTATGCTCAAACATGTGCGCGATGAACTTGAAGAGCTGTCGGAGCGTCGTCTGCTGATAGAACGGGATCTCATAATCCACGACCTTCGACTTCAGCTCGGCAGGCAGTCCTTTGCCTTCCTTGACAGCCTCCAGCGATTTGGTGACTTGGAAGCTGGTCAGGTCGGCGATAATGTCGAAGCCCTTGATATTAGCCAAGGTCTGGAACGCCGACTGTACGCCATGGATGAAGCTGTCGAAGAACGCCAAGACCTTATCGTAAAAGCGTTCAGCGCGAGATGTCCGGAGACTAAGGGCTTCAACCAAGATCGACATGATGCCCGCCGAGACCATGCGCTCTGCCGGTCTAGCTTGAGTGTTGGACTGTAGCAGGGTGTGAACCACGTCGAATGTCGCTTCACGCCACTTCGTCTCCTCAAGCTCGACGTTCTTGTCCTGGTGCTCTTCGACATTGAGCGTCGCGATGACTTTGCGTAGCTCGTAGTAAAGAACACCGTGGTTTTGGGCTGTCTGCAGGCAATCAGAAACTTCATGGGCCTTGTGTCGAAGCCTTGAGAGCGCTTCGATGGTCAGCAACACTGCTGTCTCTGTTTGAAGCGAAAGTGTGACCTGCACGCTCGTCGGTGGTTGCAGGAGATCACACAGCTGTTGCGCAAGATGAAAGCGCTTGGGCTCCTCGTGATCGGCCTGCCCAATCCTCTCCTGAAACTTTGACTCATTGCAAGCGTAAGCAAGATTGGAAACCGCAAGCAGTCGGACTTCGACCAAAAGCTGAGCCTTCTCTTTGGCCTCGGCAAAAGCTTTCGCAATCCGCACACGGTTGAGAAGGTCGTACGATGAATCAGCAGGTAGGTCTTGGAGCCCTTCCTTGACCAATTCCCAACTGGGTGTGTTCGCGACCTTTGTGGACGGGACATGGAATGTCTTTGGAGCCGACGAAGAGGCTCCTTCGGTCTCCTTGGATTTGGCCGGAGTTGGGCCTCCTTCACCAGTGTCGCTTCGCTCACCCATCGATGGGCGATCGCGCGAAGGGCCAAGCGCTGATGGCCTGCGAGCGGGTGTTGGCGTCACAGGAGCAGCTTCCGTGGGCTGGTGCGAGGTGCCGGGACGAGAAGCGGGGGATGGCTGGTCGTAGTAGGTGATGTGAATGCCGGCGAGGTCAGTCTTAGCTACAGTGCCTTTGGGCTCCTTGGCTATCGCGACCAGGTCACCTGGGTTGAAGGTTGGTCCCTGCCCGCTCTTCTCCTTGCCCTTGCCGGGCGTCGTCCCTGTCCCAGGCGCTGCTTGTGGCGGCCTTGGGAACGGCTGTGCGATCTTCTGTAGTCGGTCGAAGTTGAGGTCGTAGTGGCTCTTGAGCAGGACAGCTTGTGCGTGCGGGTGGTTGTTCTTATACCGAGCCACCTGATACCGCTGAGCCAGCCGCAGGCCGAGTCTCAAACATAGCCGGAGCAGACTAAGCGAAGTCGTGTTGAGCAGGTCGTTGAGATGACTACTGCTCGCATACAGACTACGGTTGCCACATGACTCCAGCAACGCCCGCGTGAAGCTCAGTATGGATGCCACCAGCTCTTGATCTCCATCTTCGGGAAAACGTAGTCTGTCCAGCTCTTCCTGTTGTGCACCCGTTGACGGATAGGGCATGTCCTCCTGCGCATCACCCTTCTTCAACAGCCGACACTGAAAAGGCTCTTGCTGCGGTCCTTTCGTGAGGCCATACTCCTTGTTGAAGAGCTCGAGCACATGGTCAAAACGGTCGAGAAGCGGGATCCAGTGGTACATATCACCCCTAGGATACGGCCATTGCTGTGGAAAGCCATCAAGCTTTGCTGGAAGCTCGTGCAGAGGCGCTGATGTAGCGTCCTTGACGAACTCCGATATGAATGGCGATGCTGTCGCCGTGTGCCGCTCCGAGGCCACCTTCTTGATCCTCCCCATCGCGCCGACTGACGCAGAAGCTGCGCTCACTCACTGCTGCCAGTTGGGGGCTTGTGGTGAAGATGTGTCAAGGTGAGGTGGTTCTGATGTGCAGGATCGTTTGCCGACTAGTCGCCCGTGATGATTCTGTGAGAACTTCGTTGGCCGAGGTGCGAGTTTGGTAGAAGGTCTTCGAAGGACCTTAGATCATGTGATGCCGTCTAAGGTGGAGGATCGCGGTCGTGGCGGACTCATATAACGGCTTCGCAGAAGCTGTATGAGTGCACGAGCGTGGAGAGTTTGCGTAGGTGTAACGCGCTGAGATGAGCGGTGCAGGCGCTTTCTCGAGGCGTTGGCTGGTGAAGGGTTCGTTGATGGTGGAGAGTATCACGACCGCGCGCAATATCGAGTTGTGTCGAAGAGGTTGATGGGTGAAAAGTGTTGTCGAAAGAGATGTTCTTGCCTTGTGAACTGCTTGCTTGACTGCACGATGACCTCCGGCCGAGCTTCCGATTCGCTGCCAAGGCACTAGTCCAAAAGGGTAATGAGGCGACAAGTCAGAAACGACACGAAGGTGATGCTTCAATATTGGATTACTTTAGATATATTTAACATCCTTCTTCTTGTCCACCAGCTCCATGCTGAGCTTGTTGACCTCTGCGCGCCCACAGTCATATGCCCGACGAATCTATGCCTCAACACCTCGTGTTGGCGGACCGGACAACCACACTCAATCAGACTCCTCCTCCTGAGTGCGCAACTCATCCCACAACCGCATTCTCTTCTCAGACAGTGGTACGGGCGGCTTCTCGCTGTTCGAAAGCCTTGTCGGGGTCGCGAGTGGCGGGGCGCTCCTACCATTCGTCAACACCAGCACCAAATCTGCGAATGCTCGAGCTATCAGGGAATGTTAACTTACGGTGTCAAACCTTTAAGGCCCGTCCCCTCAATTGGCAGACGACTGCGCTCCCACTCGACAGGTCCGAACGTTGGAGTGGCTGGATTGTTGCGTTCTGGAGTGTCATCCTTTCGGGCACGTTTTGGCTTGCTGGAGCTCTTCTTCGGGCTGGTCGCCTTCCTCTTCTTGCCTGTTTCGGGTGCTTGCTGAGGTGGAGACCTGTTTGATGTCAATTAGTAGGAAGCATTTACACACGATATCGATGCTGTGACTAACGTAGGTTCCGGAGGGATTGTGCCTTGCGAAGAGATCGTTGCAGCCATAGACTGAGCTCTCGACTCCCTGGTTGCCTCTGTGGATGACGAGGTATGATGGCTTCCTCCGTTTGGCAGCACGCTGACATCTGCGTCGGGGATGGCGACCGCTTCGTTTGCCCTCATTTTCATCAGGATCGAGGCGGCTTCTTTCATTTCCTTAGTGATGAGAAACCTTGGCGTGTCGGCACTGTTGCTGGGTCTTCCTACCACATGGCGTTGGCGTCTCTCACGGCCAATGGGGCCTGCGTCCAACTCTGGGATTCTTGGAAGGTTGAGACCTGTCCTCTGTGGAGATAACGAAGGCGCTGTGCTCGAAGATGCTACACTCGCTCCGCCGAGGAGTGCCTGGCTTCTAGGGAGAGGGTAATGCGGATGCTCCGGTACAGTCGATATTTGATGCGCCATCTTGTCCGTGATGTAGGTGTTTCTCTTGCAAGGTATAGTACAGATCAGTGAGCATTTCTTACAGCGCACACTCGAGCTACTTATATATTCCAAGATGAAGCAGTAATCAACAATTCGTATGGCTTCGAAAGTCTCTCCTCTTACATCTATCAATAAAGTTCACAATGGCCCTTATTCTGGTCAGCAAAATCCCATAGAAAACAAAACCGCGAACTCAATTGCAGAAACATCGCCGCCGATCCACTGTATTCGACAGATTTCACGGTAACAAGCAATCACATCGATCGCCATTTGCTGACAGCAGCGACATTGCAGAGCATGTGAGTTCAGCAGATTATCACGTGACATCGAGTGAAGGACAATAAGAGTGATTGCCAACCTCACATTCCAACGAACAATCTCTTTGTTACAATAGCTTCCGCTTGCGCACGTGCGTATACAAGCCCTTTACCTCCGAAACCTCATCCTCGACTCATCGCCATTGCAATCGCTACAGTTGCACCACCTTGGATCTTGCACACGAAAAGCTCACTGCCCCCTCGACATGACGGCCAAAGTTCTCACACCCGCAAAGCCAGCCGTCGCCACTAGAGCGACTGAGACGGCCACCAAAGTCCCCTCCCCGGCGGAGAAGACCACCCAACCACCGACCAAAAAACGCAAACTCGCCGCCGCCTCTCCCAAACCCTCGCCAACCATCAAAGTTATCTCCCGCAAAGCAGAAGCACCAAAAGCGCCCCGGGCGCCGAGAACCCGCAAATCCAAGGCCGCTCCATCGACGCCCCCTGCACCAGCGCCGGTGAAGCTGAGTCTACCTCTCCTAAACAAAATCCGCCAAGTCCATGCCTTTCTCGCCCGCCGCGCTGGGGTGACGCTCGAGTGCGACTCGGAGAACAAGAACCTCATCTCTGTGCCGCAGCTCGATCTTGTGGGAGCGATCGAGCGGATGTGGTGGCATTGGGAGACTTTCGATGAGGAGTTCTCCGGGATCGAGACTGTCCGGGAGGCCATAGTCGACGATACGATTCAACGGATGGTTGGTGATGGAGTGGAGAAGTTTGGATGGGTGACGATCGATATTGATGTCCATTCGGCGTTCGAGAGGCGGATCAAGGAGAAGATTCCGGGGTGGTATGGATTGGAGGCGATTAATCTGGTTGCTGTGGAGCTTCGGTTGATGTGAGTTTCTCCCTTGCAGCGACAAACCCCACAGCTGCCTCCTTGTGGTGCTGTTGCGCGCTCGGGGAACAAGGACATTTGCTAACAGAAGCGGCGTCTCAGGAAAGAGCAGATGATGAAGGAGGCACTGGGCAGTGACCTGAAGTTCTTGGGGAACGAGCACGAGAAGGAGAATGTGCCAACCAGCCTGGCCAACACGTACGCACACAGCGATGTTGGAACAGCGCAGGACGAAAGCAAGGAGGAGAATCTTTCACGGAAGCGAAGGGCAGTCAGCATCTGATCAAGCGTTAAAATGAGATGATGAAAGCAAGCAAATATGGAAAGGCACCAGCATGACCTTAGCCATCGAGCCATGAAGGATATGGTGACAGCTACGATAGTATGTTGAATCAACAACGACAGAGCCGGAGGGGAGATAATGAGCAACGAAAAGCCATCCAACCCTGCCTTCGTACAGTGCTCCTTCAATGCTTCATCGTGGGTCCTACGGGCTCTGGTGCCGTAGAAACAAGCCGTATATTGCCCTCCACCTCACCGTGACTTCCTTCCGGGTCCAGAGACATGAGGACCGCCCTGAACAGTACCAAGAGGAGGATCCGAAGAGACCTCGTATCACTTCCTGACCGCCTGCCGTCCCTCGACTCGCTGCCAAGTAGAAGTATTCCGAGGAGCTGAAGTCCCGTCGGTCCATCCGGGTAAACCTCTCAAACCCAAATGCGACAAACACGAGAGAAGGATCGTCGGCCATGACACCAAGCGTGCGGCCTCAACCGTCGCAAAAGCTTCGTCGACGGCCTGGCGCCCCTGTCTCTCGTCGATCTTGTCTTTAGGCTTTGGAGGGTGGGAAAGAAGAAGCGAAGAAGCAAGCGAGGTTGAAGAAGTCCGCCGCTACATACCAAGGCTCCCCACTCAGCCGCGAGGCTGTTCCGTTGGAGAGAAGTGGCATTGAATTGAAGACGAGCGGTGTGTTGCCTTTGTCGACGGGCTTTCGATGCGCTACCTTATGCAAGGGTGAGTAGTGACGAGCAGCAGCCTCGTCTCCATCACCGCAGCGATCCTCATCTACAACCCCCCATGTCCGCCGTCCCTACAACAGAAACATCGCGGAGTTGGCGTACCGCCGTCAGCACGCGGACCCCAGCACGCTCAAAGCGGCACGCTGCAAATCCAATTCAGGAACCATGCACGCCGCCCATGACGCCCCGGACACGCTAATTCAACCGGACAATGGCCCAAACTATCGATCGTTCAGGCTCAGGTACGGGCGGGCGCGTTTGAACGCAAACAGCCATTGCTGCAGCGGTGTAGGAGGGGGGAGATCTGCGAGTCGTGGGTTCTTCGTTTAAAGGTTTCTTGTCGTCCGCCCTCGCGCATGCATGTGTGTTGATTGTGGTGTTCCTCTTCACTCTCCGCAAAGTCGTCTCCACAGGTTGGCTGGGCTGGGTTCATGGTTGTTTCGTTGAAAGGTCGCGGAGAATTTGGAGACCAATGGCTGCTGGAGGTGTGCTGCGGGTCACTGTAAGCCGGGATTGCCTTCGTGTGACTGTGTTGTTTAATCTGACGACTGTAGAATGGAGCAGATGGGCCATCGGTTCAAACGGAGCCGTTCGATATAGACGATCTATGTGCGAGGCTCGAGGTTGCGAAGCGCGAGCGGGAAGAGAGAGATGCAGCGAGGGAGTTGAGGAAGCAGGTGCGCGAAGCAGTGAAGAGGGATGGCACTGATGGACGACCGACAACTGCGAGAAGGAGGCCGAAACCGACACCATTAATCGATGCGAACGTCAGTAATGACTGGAGTCAGGTTCAAATACCAGGACTGTCGCCATTGCGAAGTGACCATTTGCGATTGAACCTCATCGACAGCATACCGGAGCACTCAACACCACCCTTTCGAAGCCCGTCAACCACCAGAAGCATACCAACGTCTCCTCTAGCACCAGGCGACAATGGCGACCGCAGCCACGACACACCCACCAAACCAAAACGCCTCAACTTCTTCAAATCCCTCACCAGCGACGACTCCGACTCCCGCCTCCGCAAGCCCTGGACAAAACAACGACCAGACGACGTAGCCAAACGACGCTCCCAGACCTCTCCCCTCCTGCACACCAAATTCCGCAACGACTCCACCATCGACCACCAAATCTACTCCCATCCGCACGCGGAGCACTCGATGAGTTTCGTAAACGAGTACTGCGTTAGTTTCGACACTGGCGACCACGACCGCCACGATCAGATAGTCGAGTCCCCCCAATCGCTTAAACCCCTCCCCATCGACCGGCCGGAATGGGCGTACCACCACAGCGAGCGCAGCCTGCTCAATCTCCCTCTAATGCTGAAGCGGGATAAGAAAGACCGGACGCGCGCGAGCGTGGACGAGGTACCTGGGCCTCCTCAGCAGCAGAGAGATCTCTCCGGCAACGCACAGCGGTCACGACCGCATACGAGGAGTCAAACGGCGCCAGATGGGCTGATTTGCGAAGCCGTGCGGCGCATCGAGCAGGGTCAGAGTGGCAAGAAGCGGCGGTCGATGGGGGCGTTCTTGCAGACGATGTTGTTGCCGGGACCTGGCGTGAATGCTGGTGGTGGGGGTGGGAGTAGCCATTGCGTGGCGATCTAGCAAAAGTAGATGTAATGTTTAATGCATAATGTCATTCGTACATACCAAACATCAGTCGCCACCGTGAGTGGGACTGAGAAGGTGAAAGGCTTGAAAGTTGTAGCACGTGAAAGCGTTTATGGCATGGGGTATCCGAAATCTATATGTACAGCCAACGCAGGACTATGGAGCATGATCATGTCCATTCGTGGTAGCGACTCCGTTCTCGTGCGGAGGCAGCTCTCGCGACAAAGGCGGGCGGAAGGATATCACGGCGATCTGCGTCAAAGATGTTAGCCCCGAGCGGTAGGTGAAGACGCCAGTCAGTGGAGAGCAGACATACCTGTTTGTCGACCGCAAAAGCCAACCGCTCCCCATCCGCGCTCCAACTCAGACTCGGCTCACTGAGCGGCTTGTCTTCCTCGTGCTCGCCGTTCCTAAGCTTCGCAGTCGCAACATCAAGGCGCCACGTGACAAGCGGCGCATGTGAAGACTCTTTCGCTTCAGCCCAGTAGGACATAGGCCGTCCAACGAGCTCAACTAACGAGTCAATGTCCCAAATCTCGACCAGCTCGTGTCCGCCGATAGCGACGTACTGACCATCATGCGACCAGGCGAGCGCGAGCGCCGGGCCCTCGCTGAGGTGGAAGCTGAGCTTGCGATGCGAAACTCCGTTGGCAGGGTCCTCGTGGCTGTAGAGGTGGCAGGCGCCGTTGTCCACGGTCACGAGCAGTAACGCCGGCTTAGGCGCATCCACCAAAGGGCGGAATGCGAACGCGGTGATTTGGCCTGAGACATCGATGCCTTCTGCTCTCCAGTAGCTGTTCTGAGAGTGGAGATTCGGGATCTTAAGTGTCGAGCGGTCGTCTCCGATGGAAGCAAAGGCGTACGTCCTCTTGTTGTCGTGGGTCATTTTGTCCCACCTCAGAAGAGATTGAGGATCGCTTGAATGGGAGTCTAATCTTGTCAAGCGGTTTGCAGGCATGTCCTCATCGGTGACACCATTCATGACGGGGGTTGGCGCGCTGTCGCGCAGTGCCCAGCGTTCTATGAGGTCGTGCTCGCCACATAACACGAACGACTTCAGCTCGTCATCATCCCAGAAGGCGTCGAAGATTCGATCTTCGGAGATCCGCCATGCGACTGGTTCTTGGCTGCGAGAGTTCGGTGAAGTGTCGTATATAAGGACCATACCTCTTCGCGGGTTCATTCGTATCACCAACAGGTAGTTGCCGGCGGAACTGTAGCGCATAGCGAGCATTAGTCCAGGCGGGTCCAGTAATGGCGGAAGTAAGAAGCTGGCTGAGGTGCCACCATGGCGACTATGGCTCAGAATTTGCTGATCAGACCGTGACCGGCCGTCTGAGAAATTCCGTATCGTGTCCACCGCGCACACTGCGGTGTGGCCCTCAGGATGCCAAGTAGACGCTGTTATCACGGAATTTGGAGGCAGCGATGGCTGATCAATCCTGGCGATCTGCTTCACCTCATCCGGCGATTCGGGCACCTGATAGAACCGACATAGATTCTCGCCGACAGTCATCAGAGTCCTCCCGTTCTCCGCACTGGAATCTGGATTGAACATGCTGTGGTAGATTGTCGCTCCAGGCCGGTCAACCTTCCAAGACATGGTGCTCGTCTTTGGACCAGCCTTAAAATCAGTCTGCACGGCCACATCCATGGAATCATAACGTGGTTGTGGCACGTCCAATTCCTCCCCGTCCTCCCCCATAGCCGGCGACACGGGCTCTCCATCCTCCTCGGCCTCACCGTCTCCAGACGCGGCGTCCACATCCATCGCGTCACCATTCAAATGCACGCCCTCGCTCCCCTCACTCCGCCTCTGCCGCTTCGGCGCCGGCGTCGGGAACTCGTCTGGCGGTCTCATTGCAGGCGGCCGCCCCTTCCTCTTCCCTCCGCCACTGGTCGAGGGCCTCGATGTGTCTTCATCCATCCAAGAACGACCAGGCGCCTCCCATTCCCGGGCGCGCTCCGTCGCGTTGGCGCCCGTGAATAAGAATTTGCGCTCATTGTTCTTGACGCGCGAGAGCAGCTCGTCATGGTACAGCCCATCTTGGATGACGCTGATCAATTCTCCTCGTCGCACTGCCGGCGCGAAGGGGTAACTTTCTGGGTCGCGGTGCTCAGGTCCGCGATGCCAGTCGGTGTAGAAGGCGGTTGCAGCCTTTTCATGGCCGGCTTCTTGGAGGTAGCGGAGGATGAGGTAGTTGACGTGGTCGGAGTGGAGGGTGCCGCCGCTGGGGGGCATGGTGGTGGATATGGTGTTATTGCGTGGTGTGGTGCATCGGCTTCAACTGTTGTCCTTGGCTCCTGGTAATGTTGTTGTCAGTTCTAGCTTTGCGTCGCGCTGTCAGGTGGGTTGGTATTGAGCGGCTGGCATATGGGACATCTCGTTGTAGGACATGTATCGAGGTGTGGTGGTAATGGAGAAGGGTGGATCCCCATGCAGCGGGAGATGCGCGATGATCTCCGCAAAGCCAAAAGGCAAACATCCTTGCTCGAGCATCGAGACCCTTGCAGGCCGATATGACCAACCTCGAGGAACAATACCACCTCATGCTCTACCCTTGATACAGACAATGAGACGACAAGACAGATAATACCAGGATCGCATACCACCCTTGACGACATGCCATCTCGCCTCAACCTCCCCCCTCTCACCCGCGCCCTCTTCCTTGTCCTCCTCGCTCTCTCCGCCCTGAACGTCTCCCTTCGATTCCGCAAATGGACGACAGAAGACCCATCTCGAGCACAACACATAATCGACTACGTTCGCGCGCCGCAGCTAGCGATACCCTATCTTGTCCTCATCCCAACCAAGAGCATCAGATTCCCATGGACGACATTAACCGCAGCGTTAGTAGAGAACAACGGCGTTTCGCTCGCCATCAGCGGACTGGTGATATGGTTCGGAGGCCGATACCTTGAGAGAGCATGGGGTAGCACGGAGTTTGCAAAGTTCCTGCTGTTCACGACGATGATACCGAATATTGTTACGTTTTTGGTGTATGCGCTTTGGCATGCCGTTACTTCTACACCGGATCAGTACGTTCAGTCCCTTGCCCAACCGTGTGGCCGATATGACCTCTAACGCTCCACCAGCCCCACTCCAATACAAGGTCTGCTAGCCGTCGAAGCTGGCTTCCTTGTCGCTCTCAAACAGCTCGTCCCCGAGCACACAGTGTCTCTCTTCCGCGGCGCTCTGCGCTGCCGCGTCAAGCACTTCCCGGCCATCTTCGTGCTGGCGAATATGCTCTCCGGGCCTCTGCTGGGCACCGATACGGCTTTCTGGCTATCTTTGTTCGGCTTTTTAGTGTCCTGGGTGTACCTGCGCTTCTTCAGGATCAGCGAGATCTCGACTTCAGCAACGAGCGGCGAAGGCGTGACGATGAAAGGGGACGCGAGCGATACGTTCGCTTTCGTGGCGTTCTTCCCGGACGTGATGCATCCCGTGCTGGCGCCGGTGTCCGATGGGATCTATCAGGTAATGGTGCAGCTGCGGCTGTGTACGCCTTTCTCTGACGAGGCTGTTGAGGCGGGCAATGAAGGTGTTGCGGCAAGGAGCGAGACTCTACCGGGAATCATGGAGAGTGGGAGAGGTGGAGGAGGCAGAAGGGCTGAAGCAGAGAGGAGGAGAGCTTTGGCGCTGAAGGCGCTGGATCAGAGACTGAATGCGGCCGCTGCGAGTCGGAGTGCTAATGTTTCGACGGCGAGCGCTGCGCCCAGTGCTGCTGGGGATTCCGTGGAGACAGCCGCGGGGGCGGGAGCGGAGGACGGGGGTGGAGTGAAGGAAGCTCAGGCTTGAGGCAGGCTGTACGTGTCCTACTGTCTGATCTAGCGTGGTGTTGGACTATGGTATGGTATGAGTCGGGTGTGCTGTGTGCGGAAAAGATACCCGGCAGTTGCCTTGCTACCTTGGTATGATATTCATTTCATGACTCGTTCCAGAAGACATGCTCTTCTAAGTATGCCGGTCTCACATACCGACAAACATGGCTTCGAGACTTGGGGTATCCACCTGGGACGTTCCACGAACATGAGCACGTGCTTGTTGCATGTGATCGTTGTTGTACTGGCTATGATCGTCAGCCCCCAACATTCAGACTTGAGACGAGATGCATGTCCGTAGGGCTGGTGTCTGTGAGAGTCCGGCCGATCAACTCAATCCCAAACTCGACACCATCATGATCACGAATGAACAATAGCCATAGATGTGTCGAACATGAAGGCAAGTCATGCAAGGTAGGGCACGGCAATTGCAACCCCCTCTTCTCCCGAAACTCCACAGCGCAACACTCCGCCTGTCCCCCACATCCACGTTGTCGCCAACCTGGAACCGTCTATCGGCAAAACACCTCCTCGCATTGGACGCCTTCGCACACTCGCGGCTGCATTGCGGCTCCTGCACGTAGAGCGACTCCACTGCCGTGGGCACATGGCCAGCCAGATCCAGGTACACTCTGGTGGGGCTGCGTGATGATGGGTCCATATCGAGGTGATCGGCTCACTGGTCGTTTGTCGCTCATGTCTTGGAATAAGTATCCTACTCTTCTGAATCTACTCTGCTGTCGCATACCTTCCTTTCGCTGTCAAGATGTCTGCTATTCCCAATCTCTACGAGGGCGTTGACAACACCAGTAACCCGGACGCTATTCAACAACAACTGCAGAATAACAAAGACGCTGTACAACACTTCGAATATTCCCAGAGCAATGGTACAGCACCGGCGACGAACGGTGTGAAGACTGAAGAGCCATGGGCATTACACGATACACCTGTTGAGAACCAACGGCCACTGAAAGTGATTGTCATTGGAGCTGGATACTCGGGCATATATCTGGGCATCAGGATCCCGGAGAGACTGCGGAATGTCGACTTGGTGATCTATGAGAAGAATGCTGGTGTTGGTGGGACCTGGTACGTTATGCTAACACCAGAGGATACGGCGTATGCAATGGCTAACAATCACAAGGTACGAGAACCAATATCCCGGCGCTGCCTGCGACATCCCCTCCCACTCCTACCAATTCTCCTTCAACCCCAAACACGACTGGTCCGCCCTCTACGCCCCATCCTGGGAGATCCGCGACTACCTCACCACCACCGCAAAGAAATACGGCGCCAACCGCTTCATCAAGCTCGAACACAAAGTCGCCGGCGCAACCTGGCACCAGGACGAAGGCAAATGGCACGTCCGCGTCGAGCAGCCCGACGGCTCAATGATGGAAGACACCGCCGACGTCGTCATCTCCGCGCGCGGCAACCTGAACAACAAAATGTGGCCCGACATCCCCGGCCTCTGGGACAAGTTCAAAGGAGAAGTAATGCACTCCGCCGCCTGGAACCAAAACTACGACTTTGGGAACAAACGCGTCGGCGTGATCGGATCCGGCAGCAGCGCCATTCAAATCATCCCCAAACTCCAGGCCAAGAAAGGCGCGCATCTGAACTGCTTCATCCGCAATCGAACATGGATCTCCCCACCTCTAGGCCAAGCGATGCAGGATAAATACGGTATTCAAGAGTTCGAGTTCTCCCCTGATCAGATCAAGAAGTTTGAAGAGGACCCGGAGAGCTGGATGCATTTCCGCATGGATATCGAAGCCGATGCGAATAATATCCATGCCGTGACGATCAAGAACAGCGAGATGCAGAAGGGGGCGAAGAAGGCTTTCGCGGCGGGTATGAAAGAGCGTTTGGCGAAGAAGCCGGAGTATTATGATTATTTGAAGCCGGGTTTTAGTCCTGGGTGTCGGCGGTTGACGCCTGGACCGGGATTCTTGGAGGCATTGGTGGAGGATAATGTGAGTTTTGTGAGGGATAGGATTGAGCGTTTGGAGGAGAAGGGGGTCGTGACGGAGGATGGAGCGCTGCATGAGATTGATGTGTTGGTGTGCGCGACGGGGTTCTACGCCAGTACGGCACCGCCTTTCCCTGTCAAGGGCCTTGGTGGCGAGACTCTAGACAACCATTGGTCTGAGCGAGCGACGAACTATCTTTCTCTGGCGACCGATGGGTTCCCGAATTACATGATGATGCTGGGTCCAAACGGGGCAATCGGCGAGGGCAGCCTGACGATGATGATCGAAAGCACCGGCGACTACATCACCAAAGCAGTGCGGAAGATCCAGAAAGAAAACATCCGATCAATGGTGGTCAAGCCCGACCGCGTGAAAGACTTCCTGCAATACTGCGACACCTACTTCCAAGGCACAGTCTACTCGGAAGAATGCCGATCATGGTACCTGCTCCCTCCCCTCACCCACCCTTCCACCCTACTAACAGCTATCGCAGGTACAAGAAGAACGGCCGCGGCGTCTCCGCCGGCATCGTCACCGGCCTCTGGCCCGGCAGCACGCTCCACTGCATTGAGGCCCTGCGCTCCCCGCGCTGGGAGGACTACGAGTACGCCTACCGCGCGGAACCCAACGGCGCGCCGGTGAACCAGATGGCGTGGTTGGGCAATGGGTGGGGCGCGAAGCAGACGGTGGAGAAGCCGGATATGGAGGCGCTGTCGTTTTATATTACGCCCATGTTTCAGGAGAGGGAGATTGGGGTGCCGGTCGAGGGGAGGCCGGAGGAGAATAAGCAGTACCAGATTAGACCGTGGAGTTATTAGAGCAGTATTGATCAAATGTGTTTACGATCCCAGAGGCTTTTAGTTGAATCAGCGTTGAGCAATGTGAATGCTTGAGAAAGGAGACATGATGGCTCTGCGTTTCTGCTCGTTCGCATGTGAGCTCGATGTAGGCATCATGGCATTCATACCTCGTTACGTTACATCTAATTCAGTCGTGATCCCGATCTCCATCTATCTTATATCACTCTATGAGCCTCTTCGTCTCCTCTATCATCATCTCATTTATCCTCTTATGGCCCGTCTATCCCGCGCATGCCTCGTCATGCCTCGCATCCCACTAAATTTTGCCATTCGCCGCATGCCCGTTCATCCCACCAGCACTCCCCAACCGCTCCTCAACCTCCATCTCCGTACTCGTAGCCCCATAACCCCCTGTCGCCTCCACGACCTCCTCCAGCCTCAAAAAACACTCCCCCTCACCTCCCTTCTCCTCGTCCTCAAACCGATGAACCCTCATCTCCGCATTCCGCCACATATACACCCCCGGCCCCGCCTCCGCCGTCGCCGTAATCTGCCTCAGAATATCCCCATGCGCTACCAGCACGATCTCCTTCTCCGGCCTCTCGTAAAGAAACTGCCGCACCTTCCTCGCGCGCGCGGCGATGCTCCCCGGGTCTGGGGCGTAAAAGCCCTGTTTACCCGTCCAATCGTCCGTCAACTTCTCAAAATTAAATCCCTTGAACTCAGGTATCTGCTCGAGTTCAGAGCGCGGACGTCCGGTGTCGCAGGGGAAATCGTTGCATTCCTGCGCTTCGGGCAGACACACCACGGCGCCACGGCCGCCGAGACGAGAGATGACGGGTTCGTAGCCGAGCAGCGTGGTCTGGAGGGTTCGCGAGAGGGGCGAGGAGACGAGGAGGTCGATGCGGGATTGGATTGACGGGGGTAGCAGGCGGGAGAGGGAGGAGGCTTGTTTTCTGCCTAGGGGTGTGAGGGGGGCGTCGAGGACTAGAATTACGGGTCAGTACAATGCGCTTCCCAGTCGTGTTGAGGCTTTGGTGAGGAAGCGTACTGCTATAGTCCAAGTCCACATTGTGCTCGGCCTGCGCGTGGCGGGTGAGGTAGATTCTGCTGCCTGGAGCCATGGTTTTGGACGAAGAGGAGATGGAGCGGGAGAGAGGTTTAGGAAATGTGGTTTTACTACTTATCCTCGAGAATTGTCTCTGCATGTTAGATCTCACGCTAAACGCACGTGTTTTCACGATTGCATTCACGCTAAGGAGGAAAAATGCTTTTAGGCGTGACGTCGGCTTGTGACAAGCCAAGAGGTGGACTCGATGTGATGGGGCTGGGAATATCGAGACATGTACAAAAGCTGTTGTGGTAGAGCCTAAGATAGAGGAAGAGGTTCCTCGTCGATTAAGGTTATGTCTTCCCAGCCATCCCGACAGAACTATCCACAAAGCAATCTATAGGGTATCATGCAATCACAGGTCATCGCCATCGCTAAAACGCACTCGTAACAATCACTCGCTGTACCCATCCCTCACTCACCCAGCCTTAGCAGCATCCCTTTCCCCCTCCGCCTTCTCAACCGCCGCCTTCGCCTCCTCAAGCTTGGAATTGAGATCCGCTTCCGTAGCATCAGCGGCCTCCTTCGCGGCCTCGAGTTCCTTGACTTTGTCCTCGAGGTCGGATTTCTCCTGGTGTGTATGTTAGCATCGACCAAACACCTCTTTCTACAACAACGTTAGCGCGACGACAAACATACCTTATTCGCAGCCTCGATGGCCTCATCACTCGCCGTAGCCTTCTCCGCCGCCTCATCGACCCTCTTCTGCAGCTCCTCCTTCTCAGCCTCCAGCGCCGTAACCTTCTCCTGCAGATTCGCCGCCTCCTGCTTCGCGGCGTCCAGAGCAGCGGCTTGATCGGTCTCGAACTTTGAGATAGTCTCTTGCGCAGCGGCGATCTCTGCCTGCATCTTCGTGGTCTCCTCGGTATGCTTGGAGGTCTCGGCTGCGCTGGACTCGTTGAGGACGCGGATCTGCTCTTCGGAGTCGGTGACGCTCTTCTGCGCGGCGGCGAGGTCGGAAGTGAGTTTGTCGTGGGAGGTCTTGAGTTCTTCGTGGGATGCTGTGAGCAAGGTCGACTTCTCAGTAGAGTCCTTGGTGGACGCGTCGTGCTCCGCCTGCAGCGCGGCGAGCTTCGCCTGCGCATCCTCAAGATTCTTCTGAGCGGCTTGCGCTTTCGTCTCGGAGTCCTTGGTAAACTGATCGTGCAGAAGCTGCAGCGCCTCATACTTCGTCACAGAATCCTGAAGCGACTTCGCGGTTGCCTCACTACTGCTCTTGCCCTCCGTGACGACCTTCTCATGCTCGCCCTGCAACGCCGCAAGTTTCTCCTGCGCAGCCTGAAGATCCAGCTGAGAAGCGGCGAGCTTCACCTCCATCTCCTTCTTCATATTGACCAACTGCTCCTCCAGCTGACTGTTAGTCGTCTGCAACTCGCCCTCTTTACCCTCCGTCTCCGCAAGCTGCTTCTTGACCTGCGCCAACTGCTCGGCCAACCCAGCCTCCATAGCAGCCTTCAGCGCCTTCACCTCAGACAACTCCTTCTCAACCGCCATCTTCTTCTCGACCAAATCCTTCTGCTGCGCATCCGCCGCCTCGCCGTTGCGTCTCATAGACGCCTGCAAGCCTCCTATGCTCTCGTCGCGCTCCTTCTGCACATCGGCGAGCTTGGTCTCGAGGAGGTCGACCTTCTGCTGGAGGAGCGAGGCTTCTTCTTTGGCTTCGCCATGGGTTTCCTTGGTGGCTTCGAGCTCGCTTTCCTTGGCTGTGGTGGATTCTTGCTGGAGTTGCAGCTGCTGCTTCAGCTTGTCGAGTTGCTCGGGCGTGATATGGGCGTGGCGGTGGAGCAGCTTGGACATGTGGTGGCCCATCTTGGAGTCGTCGTTGGGTGTTGCTATGCCTCCCTTGGGCCTGAGGGATTGGGTGGTGAGCTGCCAGTGAGTGGGTGGTGATGTGAGGTACAAAGGAAAGAATGCGAGTGAGTGAAGGTGAGACTGCAGACGCTAGAATGTGCGAGACTAGTGCTGCGAGGCTAGTCAGTGCAGTAATAGGGTGAAGTGATGGGGTGGGAGGATGTGAGACAGCGGAGGCAAACGAGAGGTTTGCTCCCAGGTCAAATACCGTCAGAGTCGGTCTATGCAGCAGGAGCGTGTCGCTTGGACGCTATCTTGTTCGAGCGGGCAACTACGATTTGTGCGGTGCGTTGTCATGTTGAAGCACAGAGGAAGGTGTAGATGCCCAACTTTTTCGAGCGGTGAGCTGTCGTCGCTTGTGTCGTTGCCGCTTGCCATTGGCTGCTCAGTTTGAGGCGAGAGCAAGGCAAACCATCATCCCAGTCGCTGTAAGTGCTCCAACGAGAGCTTGGAGATAGATGAAAGCTGCGAGGATAGATAAGTTCCATGAATCCTTTCGACCGTCTAGAACAGCGGACTATGCTAGAAACGCCAGCAGCGAGCAGTCTATTCTACCCAAGCCTCTTCCACAAGGCCAATGAGCTAATGATACACTCCCAATGCAATGCAACCCCTCCCGCTCACATGGAAACCTACAAGCTCGCCATGCCAAAGGCAAAGCTAAGTGCGACAACCGTACCCATCACCGCAAGCGGCAGGACGTTCATCGGAGGTACCACAACACCGACAGCAGCTCCACTGCTCGATGCGCTTCCCGAAGACGATGAGCCAGAGCCAGATCCACTACCGCTGCCGTAAGTCTGCGTGGGCTGTCCAGCATTGGCAGAAGCAGTCTGCGAGCTGCCGCCAGGCGCGTTCTGCGAGCCATCACCACTAAGACCAGGGCCCTTGCCGGCGCCGTTCTTGAAGTACTTCTCCGCACCGGAGGGGATCGCAGGGAGGGCAGAGCCGGTGAAGGGCTTGGTGTCCCAGTTCTCGCTCTGGCCTGGGCACTCCTGCTGCGGGTTGTTGGAGCTGTAGCCGCCGTTGCCGCTTGGGGCGGAGGTGGAGGACATTTCGGACTTGAAGTCAGAGAATTGGTCGCCGACGAAGGAGACTTTGTTGCCGTTGATGTTGACGATGCCGTAGCCGTTGCCTTCGTTGGAGTATCTGGAGGATACGTTAGTCTGTGCCAACGATAATAATTTGATGCAGCGACATACTCGTAGATCAGACCGCCAGAAAATACGCCAGTCATGTCAGGCTGCAGAAGGCCCTTAACCTCCGCAAACGTGCGTGGACCGGGATCGATGCAGCCATACTCGGAGAAGAAAAGCGGAATGCTGTAGTTCTGGTATTGGTCCACAAGCGCGCTCCACCCAGACTCCTCGAAGCTCGACGGATCGCACCATTCGTAGTTGTTGATGGCGTAGAAGTCGCTGCGCTCGGGAGTAGAGCCGCAGTCCATGTACTGTGCCATAATGTACTGGTTCTCCGACACATCTGCTGCTGAGTAACCGACTGGGATGGACCTGTATCCGCGCTCGGCAATGTACTGCTTCATATCCCGCGTCACCGCCTTGACATACGGTGCCGTGTTCGTCGTGTTAGGCGCGTTGAGGACCTCGTTGCCGCTGAAGAAAGCGAGTGTGTTGGAATACGAAGCGAAGGCATCGATGGTCGAGAAAATACTCTGGAGGTATGTTGGGTTGTACGAGGTGCCGGGGTCGTCGCGGTTGAGCGAGTAGTCGGGCGTGTTGACATCGAGAACGAGGTAGATGCCCGCCTGCGCCAGTGCGTTCATGCACTCATCGTGATTCTTGCTGTTGTCCACCGTGTAGACCCGGATGGTGTTCAGTCCTAGCTGTTTGAAGTATGGAATGTCGCGGTTGCAGATTGAAGGGTCAGCGAGGGGGTCTTCTGCTTCGCTCGATCCGCCCGGTTGGTAGTCGACGCCGCGGAGATAGAATCGGTCGTTGCCATTGAAGAAGGCTGGCAGTGGTCAGCGCGTGCTCTTGATGCCGTGTCCGCTCGGAAATGGGAAGACATACCATTGCCCTTCGTTGTGATGGATGGTAGCTTGCTAGCCCTCTCCTCTATCTTCGCTGGCGTCGTTTCAGCAGATACCGCCGTCGCGGCCAAGGCAGTCGCCAAGGCACCGATGGTCTTCATGGTGCTTGAGCGAACTTGGCTGGTGTGGTCTGTGTCGATGGCGTAGGTCTTCTTGGAGTGCTCGCGAAAAACGGTGATGGATGAAGTGTATTTAATGCCCAGAGAGAACAACGAACGAGGAAGGAATGAGCGTCGTGAATACAGTGGTCAATGGCGGAAAGAGCAACGGAAGAGTTATTGATGAGAAGAAGGCGCTCCCAAGGCCAGTCTGTCTTGCGAAAACACAAAAGAAGAGGCGAGATGATGATAAACTTCAGGAGAAAGCAATGGCGCGTCGTCTGTACGCGTCACCTTGCATTGCGTGGCGAGTTTCCACAGCAATGCTCACCTTTATCTGCTCGCGAACCATATGGATCTGCTCGCTGGCCTCGGACCTGGTTGTTTCTCATGGTTATATTAACACCAAGATTAACGGACAAGGCTTGGTGATAACAAGAGCCCGTTAATGTCGTAGATTGAGTCGATCCTGGATGCTTGGGTGCGGGTGGCGCTGAAGACCCTGGGGAGCGGAGTGGTCTGCGCTCAACGCGATTGAAAAAGTTGGGCTCTTCGACCATCAGACCTGTTGTTAAGATACCATATAGGACCTTCGATTTTCTATCGTCGAGGTGGGCCGAGCAGTAACACAATAAGCGTCTCAGCCATTCGTATTGCAGCTATCACAAGGAACAAACGGCAAGTACAAGCCTCATCTCATGTGTGTCGTACGCCTGTCCGACCACGAAGAGCATGCAAGAGCAATATTACCACCAGCAAGCTTGGAAAACCCCTCGTATACGCCGCCATGAACTCGTGTACCGTCCACGTAACCTGGTTATCACACACCAGCCGCCCACCTAATTGACCCCCTCCTCGCCGTGGCCAAATCCATCGGCGACGCAGGCCTCGAGCTACTCGCCTGACTCCCACCACCCTCGCTCTCCGGCGTGGTCGGCGAGCTAATGACCGTCACATTCACATCAGCGTTCTTCTTCTCCTCGACCGCGGTTTGAGCAGCCCCCATCAACGTCGACAGGTCGTTCATCGCGATCTTCACCTCGCCGTGGCGGGAGAAGTAATCGCCTTCTTCTCCTGCCTCGGCAAGAGACTGCTTCACTTCGTCGCGCGCACTGGTGACGTTGGTGATGCGGCCGGAGACGGTGCGGATGAGCTCGTGGGCTTCGTCGTCGGATTCGTCGGACCAGGCTTCGTCGTCGGAGTCTGTGTCGCTCAAGTCGCTGCTGTCGTCGTCGGACACGTCAAGCTCTTCAGCTTCATCCTTGGATCTGGACTTCGTCCAAGTCATGTCTGGAGACGGGATGGCATCTTCTTCGTCCTCCAGGCCAAGGTTGTCGGCGAGCACATCCAGGAAATTCGCATGCCCTAGATGCCGTCAGACCAATGCATCGAAATACATTGTCGTTAACAGTGTAAGTTCAACTCACCAACCAACCTCCTCAGATCATGACTCCCCCTCCTCGCCTCCCTCCCAAGCTTCCTCTCAGCCGCCGGCGCAATGCCCAAGTACTTAATCCTACGACTAATCGTCGGACGGATCCTCGGACGAATCATCCTGTCTTAATCGATCGCCAATTACCAGGCCTTGATTGTAGGACGACCAAAGCGATCGCAGTTCCACAGGGGCAATCACAGCATAGCGATCCCCGCGACGGTTTTGAGGATCGAAGCTATCGCTGTGGGAGTGGAGGGGGCCGGAAGCTGAGCTTGCTTGTCTCATGTATCGGTCAGCAGGAACTCGTGTCTTGCTAATATCTCGCGTATGGTATTTTGCGGGGCACGCGAGTTTGGGTCTGCTATACAGTCTTTGACTAACGTAGAATCTCTGTGCTCGGACGGGAACGATTGCGACAATACGAGAAAACAGCCTGTTGACCAGGACGTATCGGCATTAAGCCGTGGTGAGTAGACCCTCGCCTTCGGGTCTGCTTCGATTAGGAGACAATGCGTTTCAACACGCAGCGTGACGTTCGAATACGACTAGCAGTCAATGGGATGCTCTGACATTTGCATCCATCGACTTACTATGTCACCACTCAACAGGCTACTTTCATTTCCGCCTCGTTCTGATCGACGATCTTCACAGGATTCTGGACCGGCAAAGACTGCTCTGACTTCATGCTTTCACAACTCTTCGGTCACCTCCCAGAGCAGCCAGGCGAAAGTTGCGGCTACGGCGGCGTGGCAACAAACCCCCTTCCACCTCCTTGTTGTTCGTCGGCGTGATCGCCCTCGGCTTGATCTTGTTCAGTGAAGTCGACCACCACTCTGGTTCTTTGCCGGTCGACGAAAGCCACGAAAGGTGTCTCGTTGATCAGCATTTACCAACCATATCCTTCTTCAGCGTGTCCCTCGCCACACCCTGCTCGCACTCTTCCAATGACGTCCTTGCCACAGAATACTCCACCCGCCCAGAATCGAGCACAACCCCGTGAACACGATCAGAGCCCCATACCTCGTGCCATACGCCCACTGCCTCGAACTCTCCACCGCCCCGACCTTCAACAGCTCGACTCCGGAAAGACCGCCGACGACATAGCCTATCCCGCGCGCACCGTTGAGTAAACCGTAAACCATGCCGGTATTGATAGCCTCATTGTGTTTGACGGCTTCGCGCTCCATTTCTTTGATCCAGCCGCCCCACGTGGAGGAGTAGGGACCGGAGAAGAAACCGTAGCCAATGGAGAAGAGGATGAGCAGAGCTGGAATCTCGTGGGACTTCAGGCCCCAGAGGAGGAAGACGCATACACCCGAGCCCACTGTCGAGATTTGTGTGTTGGTGGATGCTGATAAGGACGTCTTGTCGCAGATCAGACCCATCAGCGTGCACGAGATGATTCCGGGCGCATTGAACATCACGATCATGAGCGCGCTGAGGATGCCGGAGAGATGCAAGACGTTACTCGCATACTGCGAGAGGTAAGTTTGCGGTAAGCCGTAGCCGCTGCTGAAGACTATGTTGCCGATGGCGTAGACGGCGAAGGTCTTGTGCTTGAGGAAGCTCCATGGAATCTTCTTAGGCCGGGTGGTTGACTTCTTTGGAATGATGAGGATGCCTGCGATGCCGGTGACGAATACGATGCCGGCCCAGATCCTGAGCGCGGTGCGGAAGCCTAGTCGGTCTAGCAGGAAGTACATCAGGAACGGGCATGCTGTGCCCACTATGTTCTTGCTGGAGAGCGTGACGCTGTATGCCGTCGCTCGGTTGCCGTCTCGAAACCATTCGTCCACGAATAGCGTGGTTGGGCTGAACAGCATGGCGCCTCCAAAGGCGGCGCAGATTCCTTGTGATACGATCAGGTGCCATACCGCTGTGCTCCATGACGACACCAAGAATGACAGGCTCGAGATGACCACACCTGCAATGGCGACAGGTCGTCTCCACCTCGCCCAGCGACCGCTATCGAGCAATGTGGACAGCAACGGCATCGACAGGTACATGACACCGTTCAGAGTCGTGCCTATCACGCCCGTTGCACTTTTCGATCCACTGAGTGTGGTCTGGTCGTTGTAAGCATCTTGGAAGATACCAAAGCTCATCGGTAAGCCTGTGCGGAATCGTTCGGTCAGCTGCTGTGATCAAGCTTAGACGGCATTGTCAGAGTAGGTCTTCGCATACCCCAAGTAGGAAGCTGCAGTATCGAGCAGCCGATCAGGATCAGAATGGTCTGTCTCCGTCGTGAAGCAGGTGGTGGCTCTGGCTGCTCGGAGCGTGTTCGTTCTAGGTCCTCCAAGTCCATGATTGCGTGTGCGTTCCGGTATGTTTTCCATCGCGCGCGAGCTGGCGACACGGTTTATAAAAGGAAAGTGCTCGCGTGACGCTGTGGTCGAAGATCGGTCGGCCTTCTCACCGAGAAGTTTGCCAGCTTCGCCGAGCTCGGACAACCCCACGATGGCTGTGATCTGAAGAGGGATTCCTCGATGAGCCAGCCTCAGTTGCGAGCGCTGGCCAAAACACCTGGCGAGATGGTGTGTGCGAACAAATTGCCTTACTCCACCGCAGAGGCGGACTCACGCTGGTCAAGATCCGTTCGTGCATTTGCTTTGGATTTGTGGTAGCAGGAGCTGTCAGCAGCCTCAACCACCAGCACTCGGCTTCTGTCTCACGGCCATGTTGACCTTAACAGTCGGGACCTTTGCTTCAGGCGGCCCTCGTAGAGACTTGATGGTCTCGTCCTTGAACGGCCGCAGGTTTGGATTCCGAGCGACCACATCTTGCGTAGCTTTGCTGGCAAACGTAGAAAGCTTCATCAGCTGCCCTAGCACGATCGAGCGCATTTCTGCCGAATTGGCGCCTTTCATGCCAGCTTTGGCCAGCTCTGCGTACGTTTCTGCGACGACCTTGTCGACTTCTCGACCACGCTGCTTGCGTACCATGTCGATTTCGCGGAAGATGCGTTCAACAAAAGGCGCGCCTTCCGGGATAGTCGATGCATAAGCGAGCGTAGTACGCCGCAGCATATCCAAAGCCTCGTCACCGCTGTAGGTCCCAGACTTCAGAGAAGTAATGATCTCCTCGGATAGGTTGTCGACGCATAATTTAGCCGCTCTGGCCGCGAGGATTGCTGACTCTGCGCCGGAGAAGTCGTACCAGATGCCCACACCGAGTAAGATGGCTGCTCCAGCTGCGCAGCCGAAGAGACCGCCTGTCACCAATGCCGGCGATGTGAGAGCCAGGGACTTGGTTTTGCTTCCAGATTCAGGTGCGGTCCTTGTCCGGGTCAGACTGGGCTTCTGGGACGCTGTCGTGGGCTCCGGGCGGGGCTGGGGCGGGGCTGGGGCAGTAGGAGGTGTCGTCTTGGTCCTGGTCAACTGCTTTGGGGCGGAGGAACTGTCCCCCGTAGAGTTTGATCTCGCCGCTGGGCTTGTGGTGGCCAATCCTTCTGTAATTGATGCTAGCTGTGGTGTTTGTGTTTCTGATTTGACTTTGGACGCTTTCCGTCGTGCTGGGTTCGGCCTTGTCTTCTTCTTCCCAGCAGCATCGCCCGGATTGACTGGAGCCGGAGACGCCATAAGCAGGTCCTGATGTTAAATGTCCTATACAGCCCCAAGAACAAGTCGGTGAGTCCGTCTCCGATGTACTGTGGCTATTCTTCTTATTTGCCCGGGTGGCAGGTCAATGTCTCCATCCCAATCACGACCGACAACATGTACTTGGGCTCGCAAGCCTGTCGTCGGGAAGTTGGCAGATATGCCCTATCATACCATTGGCTGGCGAGGGGGAGACGCTAGCTCATGTTCAAGTGCAGACGCGTTCCATGTCGACTTAGTCTTGGCTCTCCCGAACCCCGAAGTTCGCCGCATACCACCCTGAGCTTCAACGACACCTCCATTGAGAAGTCATCAGCATCACCTTGCGGATCACAAATACACACCATGTCCGTCTTGATACAGCGCCCCCTTGCGCTCCGCCCTGCCGCCTGTCGCGGTTTCAGCACCACTGTCCAACGTTGCACATCACTCCAGATCGAAAAGAACGACCCGGAAGCTCTCGCGGACATTGTCCCTCCATACCCCTATGGCCCGGCACAATGGTACAAACAGTCCAATCGCGGTCTCTACGGTGGTCAGAGGATACAGTTCGGCAACAACGTTGGTCCAAAATTTGAGACCAAGACTCGACGTACATGGCATCCGAACGTCTTCCGCAAACGCCTGTACTCACGCGCTCTGGATCGATACGTCCAGATCAAGGTGACTACAAGAGTGATGCGGACGATCGACAAGCTGGGCGGTCTGGATGAGTACCTGCTTGGGGAGAAAGAAGCAAGGATTAAAGAGCTAGGTGTCAGCGGGTGGTGGTTGCGCTGGGCCATCATGCAGACTCGAGATGTTCGGGAGCGGTTCTTGCAGGAGAGGCAGCTGCTCGGACTGCCAAAAGAAGGAATCGAAGCGATGATCGAGGAGCCAGAAGCCACTGTCGAAGGAGAAGCACAAGTCGCAGCTAAAGGGCAGGACTCCATCGGCGAGAGGGTGGATGTAGCAGCATCCCAACAAAAACGCCTAAAGTTCCGTGTTGGGCCACGATCCCATCTCTACTACACACCCACTGGCTGGCAAAGAGCGAGGCCAAACGAGGAGCTGGCCTTCAAAAGGCACGTCCGCCTAAGAAGTCATCAGTACAAGACTTTCTATCAGGACCAGACTGTGTTGGCCTTTGCGACCTTTGACGAGATTACAAAAGGCCAGGTACTCTCACAGCAGGAGAAGGCTTCATTACGGCAGAAGTTGCAGAATGAGGTTCTGAAGAAGGCGGAGAAGATTGTAGAGTCGCTTTGGCAGGCGCGCTGTTTAAAATTCGCGGCCAAGCAAAGGCGTCGAATGAATCGTTTGCGGGCGAAGTCCAAGGCCAAGGCACGTGGAGGGACGAGAGCAGAGCTGAGGGCCATGCGGAGGAGCCAGAGGAAGCAGGGAGAGGCGGAGGGCTTGGTGAAAGAGGCGATTGGGGCGTAAGTCATGCGTGTCAAGAAGAAGGGTTGACTGCTTCACGAAATTCCAATTCCGATGTGTACGGTACCTTGCTCATCGTGGATCGAGTCGCACATCCACCTACGAGACTTCGCAAGCTCGAGCTCCAACATCTCCCACAGGCTTGGTGGCTCCCAGTAGCTGCGGCCGACGCCCTGCAATGAACAACAAATCAAGCTTCGAGACTGGCCTGAGTGCAGCTTCATGGGGTCGCGCAGGATCTCATTCACGGATGTCAGTATGCTTGCCGCCGCACACGCACAGTATACTAAGCAAGCTGTACTGCACGAATCACTGGAAGCTATTCATTACCGCACGCTATGAGCCTTGAGCTCACTTGTGTCACCCTCTCCACCACAAACAGGTTTCCGAGGGCCTGCCGCGAGTACACTCCTTGTTATAACCTCTTACTCTCCGAGATATACGTTTGTCTTACTTCTCCCTCACAACCTCGCTGCTTAGGATCCTCACTGAGCGACCAGCCCGCGTTCTCTGCGACATACCATTGTCTCCTCCGCCCCACCAACTACGGCGTACCCACATCACTGTCCATAATGGAAGAACTTGGCGACGCTCTCGCTAACGTTACAGTCACAGCTGTCGCTGCAGCTAATAAAGACACTCATGTCCTTCCGATTCATTCGCCGACCTTCATAGGCCTCCCTGCCGAGCTTCGATTGGAGATCTACAATATTGTTGAGGCATTGCAGCCCCGAGGCCACAGAGGCTGGCGCGTGGCGGATTGCGTTGCGGTGTTTCGCGATCGCAGTGCCATCAACACCCCTGACCTCGCCGCACTAGCTCGAACGTGTAGGCTTGTCAACGGAGAAGTGCACGATATGCTATATGACCAGGCGTTTCAGATCGAGTTCGCCACCACCTTTAGCCAGAAGACAACCATACCAATGGAGCTCCCGACACACACTGGGCTTGACTTCCTTCGCTATGCCACAGGTGTCCACCTCCAGATGGACCTTACATACCGTCCCGGCGGAGCCTTTGCTTCGGAGTTCCCGCGACCTGGGTGTACTGTTCTCGAGTTCCGGACATTGAAGAACATCATCGACGCTCTGGACAACAGTCCGGCGCTACGCTCCTTCTCTTTCGATCCCCTGGCAACTGGGCGCGGCTCCAGCGATCCAGCATACGGGTATGAAGGGTTCAAGGACACACTGGAAAGTCTACATTCAGGAAACACCAAGAGCGGGGCTCGCGACGGCAAGAGCCATAAGGAACGAGAGCTTGATTATTCTCAGGTGGTGCTTTTGGTGTGCAAGCTCTTGCTTGGTTCTCGGTGTGGCGGGGATGATGATGAGTTCTTCAAATTGATCGCTGGGAGCACGACGACGTTTTTCCCGTTGGCAGGGCTTGTGGAGGGGTATCAAGAATCGTAGGAAGGGACAAGTTGTTCAGGAGCTGATGCTCAATGTGTCGGATTCGACTTCTTGGAGGAGAAGCAGCCAGCCCTGGGATGGGAAGGGGTGCTCGTCAGCTGACGTGCTCAAAAGGAGGAGGCTTGGCTGTCATGTGAAGTTTGAGGGAGCTAGTGAGTATTTCAACGCAGTAAATGTAAAACATCACATCAGTCCCCCACCTCCGTTGCTCCTGGAGACTATTCGCTCGACTAAAGACACTCAAGAAGCGCGCAACCAACATGACAGCCTAACAGCAACGACCAAGCCAGACATTCCGCCGTCGCTTCTCGTGGCCACGAATATAATGGCTTCCAGCTCCACAGCCACGGACAATGGCGCAGCGGACGCAAACAACAAAACTTCACAAACCGACGACCCGCCGCTCCTCAAAATTCCTCCGGAGGTGAGGCTGAACACCCACGAACAAGTCGAGGCTCTCCAACAGTTGACGAGGCCCAATAACCGCAGCGGGTTTCAGGCCATCAATGACTACGTTGTGATGAACCGCTTCTGCTGCCGTCGCTCTGCATTCGACGCTCTCCTTGCACTCAGTCTGACATGTCACTCTACCAATACGGAGATACATGGTTTATTATACGGCCGGACATTCCAACTGCGCGTCACCGACAGGAAATTTGACCACCTCACCATGCCGAGCGGACTGCCACCGAATGCTGGGCTGAAGTTCCTCCACCACGTCAAGTACCTCCACGTGGACTTCGAGATCTCCACTCGACAAAGCCCTCGTTCCGTGGCACATCACCTCCACTGCTTGGAGAGCGTCATCATCGCCCTCAGAACCAGCACGGCGCTTCGCACTATCTCCTTCGGCGTCCTAGCTGGCACTATCGATCAACGAGCTACGTTCGCATTTAAGCATATTCTCCTGGATCTTCGGCGAACGATCATGCGCAATGGGGTGAAAGGAACAACAATGAAGGAGAGGCAGCTCGATTATGCTCAGTCTGTGGCGGATACTATCAAGCGCATGCTCTTTCAGCACAAAGGGGATGAGGAACGCTTCTTCGATTATCTTGCCAAATTGGAGGAGGACGTGCAGTGATCAGGGATGCTGGATGTTTTTGGGCTCTTTGACGTTGCTGGAGCAAGACTGTCAAGGCTTCAAGGGAGAATGGAAAGCTCGTTCGGCGGACTTTGCCCAAACTTGATGTGAATGTTGCAGGAGATGAGACATCTTCGTCAGCTTGTCTGTCGGCTAAATGTGCTTCGAGTCTCATGGAGTTGGTCGCGCATGGTGTAAGTGACATTTGTTGAGCGCTAGCGTTCTTCACACAACAACTTCACATGACTGCCTGATTCTTCTTTCTTTTCTTCAACCTCACCTCATTCGATTCACCTCTCACCGCAACGATGGCGTCCAGCCAACCTCTCGACACGACGCGCCACACACGAATCATGCACAGTCCGTCGGCATCATCAACCCACCAGAGCTCAATGGAAGCCCTCACCATAGCCACGGCTGCGCTGGCAGTCGCAGCACCGACGGAGGCCACCGATCAACCAGCTCAGTCGCCGACCTTCCTTAGTCTCCCGGCTGAGATACGTCTGTTGATCTACGAATATGTGGACGCCACGCAAAGAACCTATCAGAGAGCCAAGCACTGGCAAATCGACAAGCGAGCATCGGTCAGCTGCTCCAGTACTGGTCTCGCTGCCGTGCATCAATTATGTCGACTGGCTCATGCGGAAGCACTGCCCCTAATTTACCATAACGACAATACTTTCAAAGTGAGGGTTGCGCCCGTGGACGAAAACAACACACTTCTTCCCGTCTACTCTTCTCTGACATTCCTGCGCCACGTCCGCCGCCTCCAAGTTGAGCTGCATCTCAGTATGACAGGGCGTCGCACAAGTGCCGCTCTCGAAATTCGCCGTCCGGGAGAAGTGCTCAGCCTCCTGCGAGAGAACAGGGTTCTTCGCACGTTCTTCTTCCACCCTGTGCGAAAGAACGTCGATGGAGATGGATTCACTAAATTCAGAGACACGCTCTATGAGCTTCGTCGGAGGAGCGTAAGAGAAGGAACTGAAGCTGGAAAGAACCTGAGGCAGCGAGAGCTTGATTCGCTGAGCATGTTGTCGCCTATCTCAACGATGTGCTCTATACGCAAAATGGAGGAGACGAAATGAAGTTTTACGTCTCCTTCTGTTCCCCGCCGCCGCCGCAGAATTTGCACGAGGATGACGACGACATCGTGGAACTGCTCGATGAACGGAAGCTGTGGAAAGGAAAGGGGCGTTCATTGCTGGAGTGAAGGACGTGGGCGGTCGGGGTGTTAGGACGACCAGGACGGTCAGGCTTGGAGCGATGCAGCGATGAAGACGAAGGTTGCATGGAGGGTAACAAAGACGACATCTCCGGCGGCACGATGTTGGTGAGGGCCAAATATCACTGCAGATGTACTTGCTAGGCTGGTAGGCTTCATGAGATCGAGGGTGGGATAATAAGTCGCTACACATATGGTGCTCGTTCTTTCATGCCTTGCTAGCTAAATCAAGAACCCAATCAACAGTCTCTTTCTCCGCCGAAAGCATAGGACAGTGGTCCGACGTGATGCTCGTCACATCGACCTTCCTGCCGCTCACGCGCTCGATCATATCTATGCCAGCTCGTTGGACGCCAGGTGGAACGCACAGATCGTCCTCGCAAAACAAGTACGACACTGGAATGTCTTTGTAGCCCTCATGAGTCAACTCAGTCCCGAATGATGCACCCGAGTGCTTTGCAAATGCCCTGACCACTGCCTCGCCTTGATCTGGTGGCAAGTTCTGTGCGACGAATCGAGCAGTCTTCGCCGGATCTTCTTGTAAGACCCATCCGTTTGCCTTTAATGGAAGTCAGCAAGCATGGTAGCATCTCGGCGAAGCGGGTCAACAGCTTACATCAACGCTCATGGGCATATCGCCCTCTTTTCGAGTCCCCTCCAGCACATTTTGAGAAGACTGACCAATTCCTGGCACGACAGCAGTCATATACCCCAATCTCACAACACCCCCAGCCTTCCCCTGCGCCTTCCTCTCCTCCTTACTCAACCCCTTGGTAGACTGTGATACGGGACCTCCACCGTACGAGTGTCCGATGATAATCACGTCTTTGCCTTGATCGGCAAGCTTCTCGACCTCTGCAGCGATGACAGCCGCATCGTCGTACATGTTCGGACCGGGTCCATCTCTGCCTTCTCGACTGGCTGGTCCGATGGATGGTGGATGGATGCCTTTGATCACGTAGCCGGCTCCGGAGACGGCGTCGAAGATTGGTTGATAGACGGAAATATGGACGAAAGAGCCGGGAAGGAAGAGAATGATAGGTTTGGCCATGATAGCGGATTCTTTCTTGCTTGGAGGAGGAAATGTTGGAAATTGCTCTTCAGAGCACGATGCTGGTGGATATGAGGAGCCGCCTCTTATACCTACGCTTTACACAGCATTCCAGGCGTTATCTTGCGCTCTAGCTTGATTATCAATCTACCTACGGCGCGTGATGGAGTTGAATGGGGAGAGTTGCATTGAACGCGAAGTTGCATGACGGCAAGGGCATATCGAGCAGAGACATGAATGGTGGAGACGTTGATCCACCATTGGACAGCTTACAAATTTCAGCAGCACGTGCCTTTCACGTGCGTGGAATATCCTACCACTCCTGCAGTTGTTTGATTGTCTAGAATATAAGTAGCATGGTGACCACAGTTTTACGTTGACAGACTGTTCTGACGCAACGGTAGGAAAGAGCATTAATTTTCTAGTAACATCCTTCGATCCCATCCTGCTGGTCGTTCGACAACGGCGGTATCAGAAGCTTCTCTGTGCATGCAAATGGTGCGTCTTCGAGAACCAACGTTCAATCTTTGCCAGATCTTGCCAGAAGCTCCCTTCTGCCTGGGCTCAAGCCCATATAGACCGCTTCTCCGCCGTCGATATGTCCAGCTCAGCAGCGCCTCCACGACACTGCAAGCATGTCGATCGACACCAGCAGTGAAGACTTTCTGCTCCAGATCCCACCCGAACTCCGCTTGATCATCTACGACTGCGCCGCCGACGACCACGGACCAGGAATGTGGCCGACCTGTCTCATGCTTGGTAACATCAGACTCAGGTAGGTATCAATCTGTCTTCACTGGAAGACTTTCGAATAAAAAGGCTGGCATTTTTGTCCTTCGACATATTAGCCATATCGGGAGCATCAATCCACTCGCGGCAACCCTCAGCCGTGTCTGCACACAGCTCTGGAGTGAATTCATGAAGCAGCTGTATTGGAAGACGTTCACCATCTTCGCCTGAAGTCAAAGTTTCGTCACTCACCATCCAAAGATCCGCCGTACCAGCATGGACTGCTGCAGCAAGTCAGGACTGTCGACTTCAACTTCATCGTGCACGCAGAGAAGAAGCATGCCCACCTCGTCGGAGACATCGAAGACGTTCTTGTTCAATTAGGCCGTTGTCCAAACCTGGAGAAGTTGACGTTTTCGGTCAGCTTGATTAAGTTTGCGGAGCAGAAACGGGCAGCCATCAAGAGGATCCTGGACCCGCAGAGGGTCGAGCGACACAAGCAGCAGACGCGATGAACCGTGATCCGGTAGAGCGCGAGCTTGATCATGCGAGGGGGGTCGTTGGCGTGCTGAGGACTGTTGAGTATCCGGATTGGTACACGAGGCCGCTGGAGTAGCAGTGATTTTTGCCATGCATTCTTCAACAGAGGTGCGGTAAGGTAGAATTAGCACACTTGTGCGCCGTCATTGCTGGGTGCAAAGATAGAAGAGATCAGTCGGGAAGCGCGAAAGTAGAATTGACGATAGCTTAGCCTTATGCAATTGGCATACCCTGCCACCACACCAAGATCCCAAAGACGAACACAATCACCATCGCATCTGCCATGATCGTCTGCAGTATACCAACATACCTCCCCACAGTTCTTACGTACCCTGCCCACGGCTCAGGCACAAAGCCGCTGTTCGCGACCTTTGCCAATATCCCGTTCCCCTGCAGCTGCCCTTTTTCCACGAAGTACCTCGAACCCTGCAGGACCACCTCCGACGTGCAAAAGATCATGAACAGTCGCGGGCCGAGCCCGTAGCTAGCCCCGAACCCCGCCTCCTCGTGGTAGACGGACTGGTTGCGTCCAAGCTTCGTGCCGTTGAATGTCGACGTGAATGCAATGTAGCTGGCCAGGACGAAGGCGAAGATAGCGTGCACAATCCTCCACATGTACGCAGACCCTGTCGCCGGTGGTGCTTGCTCCTTGGTCGCCTGCCCTCCACCTCCCATCATCATCTTCAGCGGTAGCGGAAGATCCGGCGGCTGCGCGTTTGGATCTTGCGGGTTGCCGCCCATGAGTCCTACCATCTGCTGCATCATCTTCACCATGGGATCATCTTCTGCATTGCCTTGTGCACCTTGTTGCCCTCGGTTTCTCGCTTCTTGCTGTTGCATCTGCAGCATGGCAGCCGCGAGCGGGTTCTCGGTTGCATCGACCTGCGGCTTGCTTGGTGTCCCATAACCGGAAGCGTGCTGGCTGATGTCGACCTCTTCTGGGTCGTCGGCGACGGTGGCTGCTTGTGGCTTCGCAGGTCCACCCAGCATTTCCTCTGGTGGTGCGATACCGCCGTTCAGTGCTTTGATCCGCGCCAATCTGTCCTCGCCTTGCTCTTCCATCTTCTTCTGGCGCTTCTCGCGGCGCAGGCGAGCTTGTCGCTGGTTTGGAGTTTCTCCGTCTGGCGCACTGCCGGAAGAGGTCGCGACGTCTGCCATGATTTTACTGTGGAGGTTGTGCTGGTGGGGTTGGTCGATCACGCTCTTCTCGGGCGAACTGGCGTTCACGATGACGCTCTTCAGCTTGCCGTTGGCGTTCTTCGTTGTCGAAGAACTTGTAGGTGATGTAGACGGCAACGCCCGCAATGAGAGTTGTGGCCCAGGCAGGAGTGGTAGGTGCTGTAAAAGTAGTGATAGTGTAAGTAGTGGCAGAAGAAACGGCGTCTATCAGAAGTGAATTGTAATAATGCTGATTGCCTGCCATACCGCATGTTTGATAGAGTAGAAGAGAGCGAGAGTGAATGCTTACCAGGTGAAGGTGAACACACACCCGTCATAGTCCTTTCCGTTGTTAGGTGAGTAGAATGCGGAAGCTGCGATGAGAAGATGTCAATGAGAAGATGTCAAGGTCGAAGGTGTGCGACTTTCATATGAATCCAGAAAATGACGTCGGAAGTGCCAAGCCAGCTTGACCTCACGTGGAACCAGCGATTGCCTTTGCAATAATAAGATGACTTGACTCGCCTGATGACCTTTGGATGCTCTGGAGATGTGTCACTCGCCTCAACAGCTCCCAGTCAGCTTGGAGAACATATCAGACCATGGGTAGACCTAGAGGACCAAGGAAGCCTCCAGCGCAGAAGAAGCCACCCTTGACCCATTTCCTATGTCTGCCGCTGGTCACTAAAGAGTCTCGACCGCAACTGGAAGCCGCTATTGCCAAGTTCAAGAACGATGTGTGCCCTCAGGACTCCTCTACGGAAGCAAAGGCAGAAGAAGCAGCAGAACATGACCGTGAGACTGTACTTCCAACGATCCATCCGAAGGCTGTGAGGCCGGTTGGAGCATTGCACTGCACCCTGGGTGTCATGAGTCTTGACAGGGACAAGCTCACGGAAGCCGTTGAGTATCTTGAGGGTATCGATATCGCGGGCATGCTACGAGATGTTGCAAGCAAGTCCGCCACGACAGACGAGCCAGCGTCTGATGCGGGTGCCTCTGAACGATCGACATTAGACCGGCCTATATCTCTTCCCAGTCTTGATAGACCAAAGCCGTTCGTGGTCGATCTGAAGGGGCTCACATCCATGCACTCGCCAGAGAAGACTTCAATCCTTTACAGTGCTCCGAATGACGCTAGCGAGAGGCTGCGACCTTTCTGCCTGCGCATTCAGCAGACGTTCAAGGACAAAGGCTTCCTCGTTGAGGACAATCGGGACCTCAAGCTGCACGCTACTGTCGTGAATACCATCTACTCGAAGGGGAAGAGGCGGCCAGGTAGGCGTCCTCCTTCAAGCCAGACTGCTGGTACATCTGGAGGACAAGGCGACCAGCCTCAAGGCCACGGTCCAAATGCCAACGCGCCTCTGAAGATCGATGCTACTGCTATACTGGAAAAGTATAAGGACTTTGTGTGGGCGGAGCAGGTGATGCTGGATCGAGTGGCGATCTGCGAGATGGGAGCGAAGAAAATGACTGACGACAGTGGTAACATCGTTGATGAGGTCTACACAGAGATAGCAAGCGTAGCACTACCGACGTGACTACTTTCTTCCGTTTCAATGAACGCCTCGTTGATCCGCTGACAGCTACCGCGTACTCATTCTGTGCCTTCATAGATTTCTCCACGCTTCTTGCTTGGTGATAACGCTTCGTCAAGCTCCCTCGTGCATTTGAAGGCATCGCAATTGATCCACCTCAGAGCATTCAAGCACATCCCCACCCCCAGAGACCTCTTGACGCCCGCCTAACATACTCCTCAGCTTCCTCGCGCTGTGAACGATGTCCTCTCTCGCTGGTATGCCATCAACATCCTTACATTTGCACGGCAAATCGGCTGATGTGCGGGCGGAGAGGCACCTTCGACACATGATGCTTTGGCAGTAATAGCATTCGGTCCTCGTTCGACGGCAAGGGGCGTGAGAGATTTCTATGCAGCCATGGCACAGAATTGATATAACCCCTACTGACGCTTCGAATAGATCGTAATGTTCGTCGAAGCTGTCCCTCCACAGCCGTTCCCTGCAGATCTCGCATGCATCTGGAGGACCGCTCGTGGAATAGTTGCAGGCTTCCTTGCAAACAGGGCAGATGACAAGGGATTCCAGAACGCACTTCTCTCGTTCGGCCTTGTCCGCGTGTGTGTCCAAAAAAGCCCATACTTTATACCTCACAGAGGTGATGAATGTACCCAGCTTATACTTGCCAGATTTTACGCCACAGTCGACGCAGAATCGTCGATGGCCCACGTGTTTGTGTCGATGTGTGTAGTACTTCGCGCGCCGCCGTTGCGTTTGAGTGCGTGAGAACGCTGATTGCTCCTTGACGCTGAAGCATGAAAAGCAAGCGAAGCTGTCCGTAAACGTCATGATATCCAGTCCCCTGCTTTCAGAATAACGCGGCAAAGTAACGGCTCGTGGCCCGTTGCACCGCCAGTATTGAGCCTTGTAGACGAAAGCGGTTTTCTTGTCTACTGGCCAGGACTGCGGGTCGACGACTGCCTGGAAGTGTCTGTTCACCTGGGAGAGCGAGATGGCTGTCGGGAAGTCGAGGAGGTCGAATACAGCCAGCTGCAGCTCAGCGGGTAAGCGCTGGATGATGTTGTTGTCATCGCTTTGAGCAGCTGCAGCCTTATCGGTACGTGGGCCGGTATAGAGGATCAGTTCTCGACATTGAGATGGCATAGGGGCGGCTGCTGGTAGCTCAGTGCTGTCTTGTGGGCTGTTCGTGGTTGTGAGATCTTCCGAGTGTGAGTTGAGGCCGGCTGGAAGCTGGTGTGAAGTCGCATCAAGCACGACGCAGGTAGGGCGTGGTGGTGCAAGTGGCCGTGCTGATGTACCTTGAATGGATGCCATGCTCACATGTAGAGTGTCTTAGGCAGCATTTCAGGTCGCTAGAATCGCAACTCACGGTGGCTGTAAGTATCAAGAGCTGCCATCGAGAAGGTTGAGTCACCCAGAAACGCCCAGAAGCAATGACGCGAGCCTCACCAACTTAGGGAGGAGGTCGCAATGAGCTGAACACTTGTGTACGAAGCAGAGTGTTGATACACTCACCGAGACTAGACGACATAGACCAAACGTCTCCCTGCGTATTCATACAGATGAGGCTGCCGCACACGGCTTCTAACTGCCCACTCCGACTCCCTCCCGGTGTTTCTACTCCACCAACCCCCAAAGCCCAACCGCTCCCGCCGCAACCATAACCACACTCCTCACCTTATTCAACGTATTCCACCTCCCCAAGAACTCCACCGTGTTCATCCTTTCCATCTCCCGATCCGGCGGCGCATCGTCAAACGGCTCCACCTTCTCCTCATCCCCTCCTAGCCTAGCAATCTTATGATCAATCGGCACCATCATGCCGCCCGTCAGCGGGAAAATCGTCGCTACCAGCGCAGCAACCGCTGCCCACTTGTACCCGGCATTCGACAGCCTGCTCGAGTAGGAATGATATGCCAGGTACCCGCTCACAGCGATCGTGAGGAGCTCAGCAGGGACCTGCGATGTGAACGCCGTCTTCGACATGAGAACGAACTGCTGCGCGGCTGCGCGATAGCCGTCGAAGGAGAAGACTGCGGCGCGGGTGTTCGCATCGATGCCGAGTTGTTTCGACACGTCGGGTTGAGGAGTGAGGCGGCCGCTGCCTTCGTTCTGGTTGCGAGAGGGGACCTTTTGCGCTGCCGAGATCAAGGCTGGGATGAACTGGGTGGATGTTGAGGCCATGCCGCCGGCGATGAAGAGCGTGGTGCCGACGACGCCGAGTTTGGCGCCTAGGATGTAGGGGCTGTCGCGGAGTGGGTTGGCCATGATGGTATTTGTTGTTGTGATCGTTGTGATTGTTGCTCGTTGTCTGTAGACGAGTTCGTGGTGTTGAAGTCAGGTCAAGTCAGGGGTCTACAGTCAGCAGTGACGATCACGCCTCGGTCGATTGAAGGTGTCGATCGAGGACGATCTGTTTACCACTCCATAAAACTATTGAAGGCGGAAATACGATGGAACTTCTTGCTATCAAAGCAAGTTGAAAGTAAAAGAGCTGTGCGGGTTGAGAAGTGGAGGTAATTCTCATGCAAGCTGTCGACCAGCGTCGCATTCAGCTGTATCATTTACATTTATGTATACGACCCTTCTGACCGTCAGGCGAAGAGTCCCAGAACAAATCATTCCTCATCCAACGCTCATAGGGTATCATCAACATCAGAGGACCAACAACGCCGTTGCAAACATCTTAGCCCGGCAGCCCTACCGGCCAGACTCAGAAAGACGCCTTAAGCTGCTGCACCATCATCCCCAGCCGTGCCGACATCTTCTTCCTGCTTCTGCTTCACAGGTGATGCGGGAGATACAGGCTCCAACGTCCACCTCCACCGACGATGCTTCTTCTGTCGTCCCGCTACAGGTGTCGCAGGACACGTATCGCTGTCATCCTCAGACGAATCGCGCTTGTGTCCCGTCCGCGGCATGGTAGTTCGTTCTTTCAACGCTGCGCCCTCCTCTTCGTGGTTCTGCTTCGGCTCTTCGTCTCTTTCTTTGGCCGTCTCGACGGGTAGTATCGCCTCAATGTCAGAGTGCTTCAACGTGTACTTCGTGGTCTCGATCTCTTCCGTCAGCTCAGCGCGGAACAGCACCTTCTTCGCCGTTGGGAACATCGGTCGGGTCTGAGAGAAAGATGTTCGTCGGCCAGTTGTGCGTGGTATTGGTCCGTTTGTCAGTATCGAAGTCGTGTTGAAAGGTAGTTTGTATGGCGCCTCTTGAGGTGTTGTTTCGACTGTCGATGCTGAAGACGTCGATTCGGACGATGCGGGTGTTGGTTCATCCTTGCTCTCTTCCTCAACACTTGCCGCCTGCTCGTTCATGGGCGAAGGTTCCGACAGTTGTACACTGGTCGACAGCGGCGTCAGTCTCGGTTTGATCTGATTGCTTCCAGCCCTCCGTTGCGATTCGTGCGTATTGCGAAATGTGTTGCGACTGGTTGGAGACGTCGCTGACATTGTCTCTAATCTCAGACTTGTCGCATTCTTCCCGAATATAGGCGCAACGCTGGAGGTGTTCAACGAGAGCTTGGGTCGTTTCGAAGCTGGAGGTCCCGGTGGTAGTAATGTTGGTACGTTCGATGGGTCGTAAGTTACTGGCGAGGAAGGAAGCAGCGCGAGCGACATGGTTGATGTCGAGGGCGCATAGAAGTTCGATATGCCAGGTGACTGTGGCATGAGGGCCAACATGTTCGAGGGTCTGGTTGTGCGACCAGTCACCGTTGATATGGATCAAACAGATAGACAGTTGACCGGGATAGTGGAGCCTCGTGGCCGCCTGACGGAATCGGTTTATGATCCGTTAAGCTCGTGAGATCTGGTGCGAACCGTTGATCGTATTTGGAGTGTCTCGAAGGAGTAATCAGCCTGTCCGTTCTAGGGAGAGTTGCAGCAATGGTGGATCAGCAGGCCAGTGGAACGTGAGATTATATTTCCACAAAGCTGACACGAGTCCGGAGTACTGTCCAGGCTGTCGCCCTCACGCGTGGAAGAGGACCTTGTGGCCAACGGCGGCGCAGGCGTGCGTAATATGACAGGCGTCGTAAGAAGACGGCTCAGCGGGACAATGCAGGCAAAAGCTTCCTGCACCCATAATTACCCAGTTGAAGGAGACCCTCGTCCTCCCGAGGCCGGCGAGGCCCTACAGGCGCACTGAATTAGACGGCGGGAAGGATGTTGGACCTGGGTTGTCATGCGGGCGAAGATCGAAGCGCCCACCCCCGCGAGAGAGAGAGAGAGAGAGAGAGAGCTATTTTAATCCTCTAGCACCAGACGATCTGAGGCCAGGAAGGTGAAGCCGGGCGCCTGCACAATTTGCCCCGATTTTTCGGATCCAGTCGAGAGCATCCTCCGGGGATCTTCATTAGTTGGCCTAGATTGGCATTTCTTGTGCGACACAATCTGCTGCTTTCGTCCTTCTAGAACACTGCTCCATCCCATGCAAGGGGAACCGCTAGCATTCTCTGTTCGTGCCCGCGGTCAACAGCCTTGTGCATTGCTCAACAGCACGTTATCCTCCGCGGAGAGGGTTCGGACAGGGACTAGAAGTCGGGTGAATCGATAGTGGCCACGGGCTGGCTGCGCACCCTTTGTGACGACGTCGCAGATGCTATCGAACGAGGGTCCTGCCACCGTTCTACACCCGCAGGTGGCTGCAGCGGATGATGGTCGGGAGCGGAGATTTGCTACTGCCGTGCACTGTCGTGCTTAAGCGCAATGCCTGAGTTCGTTCGGTATTCGCATCGGAAGAATGCTTTGCAGTCCAGCAGCTGCGCGATGATGAGGCAATGTCGCGAACGGCTGCTCCGAGAAGACTTCGGCGGCCAACGTTAAAAGCGAGTGCGAAGCCGCAGTCGTCAGCGGCGACAAAGATCACTGATGAAGAGCTGCCATCGCCGAGGCTGCATTGCCTGCATATTATTACTGCGAGGGCTGCTATCGCCACCGGAGTTGACGCCGAGCAATGGAGGACTTCGAGATGCCGTACGTACTGCCATTAGCCAAGGAGATGAATGGACTTCGCAAGCATGGTGTATAAGCCCCAATTGACGTCGGCGAACGCGTGATTGAAGCCTTTGCCATTTTGCCACGGACAGTCTTGTCGGCATCAGCTCGCGTTCGCGAGCACGAGGTTGTTAGCTATACTATACTTCTTGGCTCGAGGCGCAATGTCAAGAGGCGTGGTTTCGTCTGGACAAGCAAGCACAGGCATGGTTGAGATCTCCCTACAACGGCACCATTAGCACAGTATGTGTAGTTGGGCAATATCCCACGTTCGTAGCAGTCGTGTCGTTGAGGTGTAGTAAGTTGCGTGTACTTGATGAGAGGCACGTAAAATGTGCAAGCGTGAGGCAGCGCCAAGCCAAAACCGAAAGAGGAAGTCACGGAAGATCACGTCAACCTCACTTCTGCTCGTGCCTTCAACATCGCGCGCCGTCTGATACTCGACCGGATATATGTTATCTCGTACGCAGTCATAGCTCTGCTTGATCGTCTTGTCTAGCGCACCATTTCTCCAACATGAGGCCAAGATGGAGAAACGCAAGGTACCCGTCAGAAAGGACGGGAGGGTAATAGTCCACTTTGTACGTCTCGAGTCTATCTTCAAGGCCGCTGTCCCCTAACACACGATTGTAGGACTACGACTGCTTCTACGCCGCAGTCTTCGAAGCCAAAACACCCTCCCTCAAGAGTCTACCCTTCGCCGTACAGCAGAAGCACATCATTGTGACCTGCAACTATGAAGCCCGCCGACGCGGATTGCACAAGCTGCAGCTCATTAAAGATGCCAGGCGTATATGTCCGGATGTGATTATTGAGCTGGGAGAGGATATCAGCCAGTTCCGGGATGCTAGCAAAGAGTTGTACAACTTCATCAAGGACTACTCGTGGAATGGCAAGGTCGAGAGGCTTGGGTTTGATGAGGTAATATTGAGCTGGGTCGAGTTGAGAGAGGTTGCTGAGTCTTTGCTAGGTGTGGATGGATGTCAGTGACATGATCGATTACAACATCGGCACAATCAACCGGAACGACCTGGAGCGTTCATTCTTCCAGATGGTCAAGGATGATCCTACCGTTGGGTTCGAGTTCGACGCTACTTCCATCGCCGGCCATGCATATCCAAAGGACTTTGCTGCGGGCTCAGACAGAAGCATTGGAGATGATGAGCTCTTACTACGACTATGCCTAGGCAGTCATTTAGCACTCTACATGCGGCACCAGCTGGAACAACACAAAGGCTATACGTCAACAGTCGGCATTGCCACCAACAAGGTGCTGTCGAAGCTCGTCGGCAACATGAACAAGCCGAAAGGTCAGACGACTCTGATGCCAGGAGGTGGTTCTAATGGCTTGGAGAGCAACGCCATGTCCTTCATGGACGGCCATGAGGTCGGCAAAGTTCCTCGTATAGGCTGCAGAATCGCACAACGACTCCGTGATTTCGTCCTGGAACCACAGACCAGAAGTGAAACTGCCGACTTTGCCGTTAAGGAAGCCGTGACCGTTGCGCAAGTTCGTCAACACCCGGGCATAGACTACGAGAAGTTGGAAAAGCTTCTTGCTGGACCAGGCTCTCACCGTGGCATTGGGTTCACGATATGGTGTCTTCTTCATGGTGTCGACGACTCGGAGGTCAGCCAAGCTCGCGCAGTGCCTCGACAGATCAGTATTGAGGACAGCTACGTCCGTCTGGACACCATGCCGGAGCTGGTGAAGGAGATGACCGCCCTGGGACGGAGTCTGATCACACGAATGCGCATCGATCTGTTATCGCACGACGACGAGCCTGACGAACCTTCGGATGAGCCAAGCGATGACAAAGTCCGTTCAAATTCTTCGCTTGCCGGCATGAAGTGGCTGGCTCACCCCAAGACACTCCGCCTCACCACCCGGCCCAGGCTGCCACTGCTCGCAGACGGGACGAGGCAGCGTACCATGAAGCGCATCTCGCACTCCTGCCCCTTGCCAAATTTCGTCTTCCTGCTGAGCGAAGGCGTGGACGTGCTTGCCGAGAAGCTTGTCAAAGAGTGCCTCGTTAGCATGTTCCGCAAGCTTCATCCAGAGAAGACATGGTGGAGCCTGAGCTTGGTCAACCTCGCCGTGACGAACATGGCGGAGACTGCGAGCGACAGCAAATCTGCCAGTGGCCGAGACATAGGTAATATGTTCAAGCGGCAGGAAGATGTGCTGAAGGATTTTCGGGTTACTGAGGTCTCCCAAGATGACGCGGATGGTGCTGGCGCCGTGGGTAATGGTGGCGAAGAAGTCGTTGACACAGGGGACGATCAGGAGCTGGGTTTGAATATGCCAAAGGATGAAAACGAAGAAGAAGAGGAAGACGGATGGGTTGATGAAGATGGCATGGACGCTGCTATGGACTTTTGTGACATCTGCAGCTCTGCCATACCCTCCTTTGCCATGGTAGCTCACCGCCGCTTCCATGAGCCGGCAATGTCATAGCACTCTTCTTCCATACGTACAGACTTTCGTGCGCGCACAGGCCCCTCCAACTACTCGTCGCCGTTGCTCGCGTCCAGAGCCCCGTCAATGCAGCAAACATCCGGCCTCTTCTTACGCTGGCGTCCGAAGGAGGAGATTGGACTCTCTGCCTTCTTCTGGTGAGGCCAGCCCCTGGGCAGCTTGCCAGCCTCAATCGCCCGCAACACCTCGCACTTGAGAGCGGCGTACTTGGCTTGGGCTTCGAAACTCGCGATGCCGGCTTCGTGCTTTTCGTGTTCCTGCTGGCGGGCCCACTTGATGGCTTCTTCGCTGAGGATAAGGTCAGCCCGATCCATAGCCAGATGCACTGCGGGAACGAGTTTTAAGACTTACATCTGCTCCTTCAGCTCGATAGTCTGTGCGATCAGGTCCTGATTCTCCAACTCTGCCTGCCTCAAGCGCTCTTCATATCGGACCTTAACACGAGCGTCGGCGGCTGCATCCTGGAGACACGAATCGCTACATCAGTCACAGTCGCCACCAACAGGCCAATACAGCAGCCTCACCTCCCTCTCCAACCTCTCCATCGCCTTCCGCCCATCCCACTCCTCCGCCTCATCCCTACCCCACTCCCCCTGCATCTCCTCCAGCTCCGCACACGCATCCATAAAAGCCCCCAACTCCCGCTCCGCCTTCGCCACCGCATTATTCGCCCGCAAATACTCCCTATTCGGCACCATCTCCACCTCCGCACCGCCTTTCCCTTCGCTAGCGTCACGTTCCTCGGAAATGCGCTCGAATTCTTCAAGAGCGAAATCGAATTCTCGGACTAGGACGCTGTGCCGCTCGTCGAGTTGGCGGAGGTACGAGCCGTTTTTGAGCAGTGTTTCTGCGGAGTCTGGCGAGGGGTTGGGGTGGAGGGTGGCGGCGAGGGCGCGGCGGAGGCTGTGGGGGGAGAAGATCTGGGTTGGGCTTGGTGGGGAGGACATGGTTGAGATTATGACGAACAATGGGACAAGATGGAGAGACAGGAGTGATGGTTGATCTGGTTGAGTCGAAGGATTTGGTGGGGAGGTCTTGTTGATATGAAGTGACGGAGAGGAAAAAGGTAGGCTCCGGCAGACGCGCGAGCTACGTACATCTGCTTCCTTCTCCTTACTACTGATTCCAATGCTCATCGTACCCTCTCTCCTCTTCATACAAATGCATACTACCTCCTGAACAATCATCTACAACATCATGCAAAAAACCTCCTCCTCCTTCCCAATCCAGCAATCACATGCTCAAACCCGCTCCATCACCTCCAGACCTCAGCAAAAGCGAAAGCGAAAGAACCACCTCACACGAGGAAGAAGAAAACGCTTTGAGGTTTGCTGACTACTCATCAACCTTCCCTCAGTTCTCAGTGTTATATCCAAACTCTTAAACGAATCTCCTAGCTATTTCCTGTTCGTTTTGGAGGAGGTGCAATGGTGTTGCAGCCACAGTGTTGTCGATGAAGCTTGCTTGAGCGGGCACTTTGTTGGAAAGCACCGCACTTCATCGAGAGTCTTGGAAAGAACACATATGGGTTGCTGCTCACTGTCACATGGGTAGCCCCGGCTGTCATGTGCTTGCTACTGGCGATGGCAATGTGTCGGCGAGCCATGTGAGCCGAATTGAGTGCGGAGGGGGATGGTGTCCGAAGAGACACTGGTGACACTGGTGCGGGTTGTTGGAAAGATGGCTGCATTTGTACACACGCCTCTACGGGCAAGCAACAGATAAGCACTACAACCCACTCCAACATCTCCGCGCGCACCCACTTCTCCCCTGCGTAAACCGCGCCGCGCATCCAGATGTCAATACATCTCGCCTCCGCAGTCAACCTACTTCTTCCCCTTCCCCTTAGCAGCAGCCTTCCCCTTCCCCTTCCCCTTCGGCTTCTCCTCCTCCCCCTCCTCATCCTCCGCCTTCTTCTTTCCCCCCTTCTTCGCCGCCGCCTTCTTCTTCGGCGCCTTGATATACTTATCCTTACTCAAATCCTCCTCCTCCTCTTCCCCTTCCTTCGCCTCATCCGCCGCCTCCGCCTCCTCATCGCTCTCCTCCAGCGCCTCCTCCAGATCCGGCTTCTCCTTCGCCGGCGCCCGCTTCGGCGCCACGACCTGCGAAGCCTTCAGGTACGCGAGCGGGTGGCTCTGCTGGTTGTACAGACGGGTAAAGGTGGATTTGGCTTGAGTGTCGATCTTGACGGTTTCGGCGTCGTCCTTGCCAAGGCCGAGTTCAAGGATGGCGTCCCAGTCGTCGCGGGTGAGGAAGTACTCGTCCATGAGTTCGATGATGTCGGGTACGGCTTCCTTGCCGTCGCGCTGGAGGCGGCGGACGAGCTGTTCGAAGAGCAGCGGGAGGTACGTCTGCCGGACTTCGAAGCGGTCGGCGGACACGCGGAGGCGCATGTGGCCTTGGATCTCTTTGAGCATGCGCATTAGTTTGCCTTGGTTGCTGTTCTTGCCCAGCCAGGAGGTGAAGCGTGTTTGGTGGCCAGCCATCGTGCCGTAGACGAATGAGGCCGGGCGGACGAAGGAGAACATGGCGTGGGTCGGCATGAGCGCCCATTGTTGCTGAGAGCCGTGAATCATGCGGTCGACAAGGTCGCCGTCAGAGATCGCGTGCGCTGCGTTGGCGACCAAGTCAAGCGCAGCAAGTTTCTGGCGCTTCGGATTGTCGCTGAACTGATTCGAGCGGGCCGGGCTGGTGCCGAGATAGTTCTCTTGCAGCATCAGAGGCGCGAAGTCGTGGTCGTTGAAGTAGAGCTCCTGCTTTTCATTCAACGTGCTCTTGGACGCAGGATTGAAGAGGCCGCCACCAAGGATCTTGGATACCATGTCCCACGGCTTGAGGACAATGTGCTTCTCCCACGCCTTGCTCATATCTTTGCCTTCTTGGAAAGACATGGTTTCGTTGTCGAGCTTGGCAGTAGAGATCATGTTGACGACTTGGCGGATGTCGGCGCCGGTGCCTTCGATGAGGGCATTGATCACGTTGGGAGGAAGTTTGAGTCCCTCGCGGAAAGCTATAGTGCTAATACGGCTCCGGATCATGTCCGTGGTCGGGCGGCGGAAGCCTAGGTCGAAGGTGACGAAGTCGAAGGGACGCATCTTGGGCTGCTTGCGGTCGTTGCAGATCAGGATCATGGGAACCTGGGACTTCTTGCAAACGGCAGCGAGAGCACCAACGCCACCACGGTCACCCGCGGACATGCCGTCCACTTCATCCATGATGAGCACCAGCTTCTTCTTGCTTGCTTCAACTTCTTGCGTGCCAGGTGCGCCGAAGTAGCCCATCAGACTGGTGGTAGAGAGAACGCCTTTCAGACCAGTTTCAACAAGCTTCTTGCTGCGAGTGTCCGAGGCGTTCGACTCGACAATGTCATAGCCTTCGAGCTTGGCGACCAGATGCGCGGCTGTCGTCTTGCCAATACCGGGAGGGCCATGGATGATGACCGCTCTGAATGTGCCACTGCCATCTGCTCCAGCCAATTTGAAGCCCTTGCGCTGGTACTTGGGGAAGTCATGTAGCCAGCGCTGCAGCTTCTCCACCTGGGCCTTGTTACCGCAGATCTGATTCAGCTGAGTTGGCGCATAGCGCACTGTCCAAAGTCTGTTATCCGGACCCTCAAGAGGAGCCTCATACTTGCCGCGCGGCGCAGAGGAACCATTCGGGCCTGAGACCTTGCCCTTCGGTTTCGCAGCAGAAAGTGCAGCTCGCTCCTCTTTCTCCATCTCAGCCGCAGCCTTGCGAATGTTGTCCTCTTCTTTCTTCTTCTTCTCCTTATTCTTCTCTGCCGCAGATGAATCGCCACCGTTGGCAGGCAGACGGCGGATGAGTTCGAAGAGGCCATGCTCGTCGACGACTTGGAGGCCATACTCCTTGATCATTTTGAGTTTCTTCGGCCCGGCATCCTCGCCAAGGACAATGTAGCTAGTCCTTCTGGATGGGCCGCTCATAACTTTCCCTCCATACTGTTTCACTAAACTTTGTCCCTGCTCGCGGCCGAGGGTCTGCAGTTGTCCCGTGAAGACAAACGACAACCCTGCCAGGCAGTTCTCCTCACCACTTGGCATGTCCGAGGCGTCCATGGCGCCCGCAGGCATTGCCGAGTTAGCATGTTGGCCGAACTGAAATTTGGGCTTCTCTGCGTTTGGGTCGTCTGGTGGAGGTGAAGGCGCCTTGATTGTGGGAATGCTAGCGAAGATGGCCTTCATCTCCTCACTGTCTTGAGGCTCTTCCTTTTTCGCCTTCTTCGCTGCCGGCGTGCTTTTCTTCGCGGGACTAGCACGTTTCTTGGCCGCCGGCTTTGCGGGCTCAACCTCCAGGTCGTCGTCATCATCGTCGTCCAGAGCAGTAGACTTGCGCTTGCGGCCTCCTTTAGCAGCAGCAGCAGGAGCTTTTTTCTTCGCCGGCTTACTGTCCACAATTTCCTCATCATCGTCAGGAACCACAAAGTCATTCTCTCCATCCACATCCTTCATGTCCACGTCCTCATCAGCATCAGGGGCAAAGTCATCCTCATCCTCTTCCTTGAGCTTCTTCTGCCCCTTCCTCTTGGGAACAAGCGGCTTCTCATCATCTTCCGACTCCTCTTTGTAGTCATCGCCAGCCCTCGCCCCTCTCTTCGCCTCGGCCTTGAAATTGTCCTCTGCGTCGTCCATATCATCGTCTGGAAAGTCGTTTTCGTCCACCTCGACGTAGCTAGTGTTCTTCGTCTTGCGTGCCGATGAACGAGCACTAGTCGTCCCATTCGCCGCCTTGCCGCCCTTCTTAGGCGTAGTTTTCGCAGCGCTCACCCCCCTGCCCATGTCGTCGTCCTCAGCAGGCTTGCCCTTGGCCTTTGACCTGGAGACTTCAGTGCTTCGCTTGGGCTTGCTGCCATTGCCGAAAAAGTCGTCGGCGGTTGTTTCCTCAAAGACTTCCTCCTTCTTCACCGCTTGCTTCTTGGGGGTGAAGGTCCTGGTGATGTGTTCGTCGTCCTCATCATCCTCGACCACTTTCCGCCCTCTCCCTCGCTTCTTGGGTGCTTCTTTCGCCTTGGGCTGTGACTTTGGTGTTGCAGTGGATCCACTGCCGCCGCCGCCGCCAAAGAAGGAGCGAATATCGGACGGCATCGTCGCGGTGAGTAATGCGAGAAGGAAATGTGGTGGTGTGCAGGCAGCTTCACGCAACGCCTAAACGCGTGAGAGGCGCGAACGTCACGACCCGAAATTAGGTTTCGCTGAATCAGCGGAAGCAGCCGAGAATCATCCAAGAGCCTCTCGACATCAAGTCGATGAGGATGAGTCGGAATCAACACGACCACCACGATGAGGACGCGATAACACCAGTATCCAGCAGAACATTATACGGAAGTCAATTGACTGCAACAATGGCGACCAAGCGATTCGCACCGACTCCCACCCCCTCTCTCCTCTCCTCCTTCACCACCCGCCCATGCTGTAAGATGGCCCCCCCCCTCCCCTCACAAACTCCCAACTGACCCCAACAGGTCTCAACACATCCCTCCGCGCCCTCCTACCAGCCACCCGTCCCTTCTCCTCAACACCAACCCCGCAAAACTGGCTCACTCCCAAACGCGGCGAATCCAGCAAATCCCGCAAAGGCAAACCTCACGTCGCAACCGGCGGCAGCGTGCGCGGCACCACCCTCGTCTGGGGCGACTACGGCCTGCGTCTCCGCTCACACGACCGACGCATCTCTGCCCACCAGCTCAAAGTCGCCGATGAGACGATCCGGAAACGACTAAGAGGTACGAAGTATCGCTTGTACCATCGCGTGAATGCGAACATTGGCGTGTATACTTCTGGCAATGACCAGAGGATGGGGAAGGGCAAGGGGAGTTTTGATTACTGGGCTTGCAGAGTGCCGGTCAGTCGGATATTGTTTGAGCTGAAGGGGGATGTGCATGAGCAGGTTGTTAGGGATGCCATGAGGTTGGCGGGGAACAAGTTGCCAGGGCTCTATGAATTTGTGCGTAAGGGAGATCCGCCGGTGATGGGTATCACAAAGGTCGGCTTGGTTGGAAATAGCGAAGAGTTCTTACGGCGGCCTAGGGTGCCGGTGGAAGCGCCGAGTCTGCCGCATACCGCACAGAGAATACCTGGGACGACGCCTGTATAATATCATCAACCACCATGAAATTTCCTGTACGACTACTTAACCTCCATGGGTGCATTCCTGGCTCTTGATTTGAAAGATGGATGTCACTAATTCGAATGCGCCGAGTCTGAATATCCACATAGACAGCGGTATATTGGCAACACCGGGTACCTAACCGGCACGATGGTAAGTGACTTGCTCCTTCTCCGACACCGCCTCCCAATGTCCTTTCCTCTCGTCAAGTGCAACCTTCTTTCCCTCAACACCAACATGCGCAGCCCTATCTCTTGTCCACATTCCGCACCAGCATTCAATAAGCAAGACACCACCATTCCTCTCACATCAGATCGTCCCACAGCATCGATATGGTCGAGCACGACACCCACCGCGTAGCAGCGCCGCGAATCGGACCTTCGATCAACAACGACGAAATCGTCTATCAAAGACGAACGTCCAAGCGCGGAAGAGATGAAACCGACAAGTCAGACAATACTTCACAGAAATCTTTGTACATGCGCCCCAGTCTCCAAACGCAGTCACCAAGCTGAACACCCTTCCCACAAATGTAGTCGTCTCAGCATCGCGGAAGGGGCACGCGCAACAGTAGCATAGGAGGCGCACGAGGCGCTGGTCCTGCCAACGTACCACCCCTCCCCGCCCACACCATACCACGATCCACCACTAACTCACCCAACCGCAGAACCCTCCCCCTCCAAACCCACACACCCTCAAACTTCCACTTCTTCCCCTCCACAAGACCCTCCACAAGCCCCTCCACAACCCTCGCCTCACCACGCCCCACCGAGCTTCCAGCCCTCTCTCCCCCCCACCCAGAATCCCGCACCAGCACAGTCCTGAAACTCGCCCTCTTCGCCCTCGCCACGGGCCCGATTACCTTCCCCGCACACATCATACGCGCGTTCCTCGCGGCGCATAAAAGGCGCTTGCGACATGCGGAGTGGCAGGCGCTGGTACATTTGGTGTTCGTGGATATACTACAAGAAGTAGGGGAAACTCTGTTCTGGCTAACGAAGCGGGGCGTGATTGCGGGGCTGCGGGTGGAGGAAAACTCTGGCAGGGGAGGGGGTGAGGAGTTTGCGGTGTGGAGTGAGGTGCCGCAGTGTGCAGGGGCAATGTATGAGGTCGATTCTGAGGGGAATGAGAGGGGGCGGATGGTGGAGTGCGTTGTGAGAGGGGTGGTGAGGTGGAGGGAGGTGGGGTGGAGAGTGGGGGAGTCGGAGAGGAGGGTCGAGGAGGCGAGAGGTCGGGGGCGGGAAGCTGAGGGGGAAGAGGGATCTGAGGGGCTGTGGCGGGGCGAGATAGCGGTGCGGGAGAAGTTGGAGAGGACGGACCCGCCTATGGAGTAATACAACTTCGCTTCAATTCATCAAATTCTGTACAATCCTCTCATTCAACCACCTGCCCCTCCTTTCCCACTCTTCCCCTCTCTCTCCGCCTCCCTAATCCCCTGCTCCGCCAACCGCACACAAACATCCGCCACATCACTCCCCACCCTCCAACTCCTCAGCACCACCCCCTGCCGCTCCAGCATCTGCTTTGCCCGCGCCCACCGCTGACTCCACAGAAACTCCTTCTTGCTCATGCCCGCCTCGCCGGGACTACCGGGTAGACTGCCGCCGCCGCCGCCGCCACCGCTGCCATCGTCCCAGCCGCCGGAATTGCGGTTCGTGGTCTTGCGGGTGGTGGTGGTGGAGTAGGTAGGCGCGTTGCGTTGTCGCGGAGGGGGAGGGATGGGAGGTGGTGCGGGAGCTCGGGTGGTGGAGGGGCGGAGCTCGGACATTGAGCGGGTGGAGGCTGTGGAGAGGGGGCGAGGGGTTTCTGCGTGGCTGGTGCCGGGTCTGGGCTGGCCGATGGCGGTTTCGGATTGCCAGTAGAGGGTCGGTGCGAGGGCTTTGTGTGTGGTTGCTAGGCCTTTGGCCAGCGCGCTTTCGTTTCGGCGCGTGGGGAGGGGAGGGCGTTGTTTAGGTGTTTCGGGTGACTGCTGTGTCACTTGTGATAGTGGGGATGGCTTCACTTGTGGCATGTTCGTTGTTATGGTGGGCATAGGAGGCCTTGCAGTCCATTGCTCTACCTGCTTCGGAGATGGTGCCTTGACGGCGCTGGATGGCTTGCGAGGTCGTGGTGGAGGGGTTTTGCTCGAGGGCTCTGGGCTGGCGGACGACTGATGTGGACCCGGCGAAGTACTTCGTAAGGCTTCAGGCTTTGGTGGCGGTGAAGGCATGGACTTCTGACCCGACGTGCCATTCGCTTTAACAGTCGTGGCGGAAGAGCTTCGACGGGGCGGTGGAGGTTCCAGCCAAGGTTTCTTGGCAGCAGGCTCCTCACTGAAGTCGATGAGGTCCTCTTCTGGAGACGTTACCTCCGGAAACTGAGTGAAGGATCGGGCAGTACCTCGACGTGGTGGCGGGTCCGGCTTTGCCTTTGGAGTCTCCGCGTATTCTGGCGATGGCGAGTCTGGATTGATGGACCTCCTTGCTCGCCGAGTCTCTTCCTCCATATCAGCTAGCGAAGCTGCAATGGCAGTCCGCAAGTCCTCATCGTCATTGCGAATGTCGTTAGGCCGAGCAAGTTGCTTGCTCGAAGACAGGCTGTCAGTGCTCTTGCCTCTAGAGTGATTGCGTATGCCACCTCCGCTCGTACCATTCGATGGGTCGAAGTAGCCGCCCTTTGAAGAAGTGGTGACATCCCGGATGAAGATGCCGAGCACCCGTCCTGGATTGTCCAGCGCAGTGTCGGTGTACACCTCCAGATCTGCCTCACCACTATCGCCAACAAGGATGAACTTGCGATCCGGGAAGTCGCGCATGATCTTGTCCAGACTTGCTTTCTTCCGTTCGGCCACAGGCTCGAAGATACCCTGCAACATGCCAGAATACTGTTTAAGATGGAATGAGCCTCTCGGCAAGTTGGCCATCTTGAAGTAACTGGTAAGGATAGGGTACATCTGCCATGGCGAGTTCGAAACGTAGTGCAATGACACACCCATGTCATGCATCGTGTTGTACCATTCGCGGACACCGTCGATCGTGAGATCTCCGAGCTCACGGATGAACGCATTTCGAAATATCTCCCGAGCGCCTGCAAGGATTGCTGAATGCTTGATGGTATCATCAATATCGCTGATCATGCTGACACCTCTCGGCGATGTGATGTTGACCTCTTCGGTCGCGGACAATTTCTCTCCTGCTAAGATACGAACGTGGGTTGGGATGAAGTCCAGCGCAGCTCGGCATGAGAAATGACCAGAAGCATCCGTGTAGACGGTGTGCTGCCGCGACACCGACTCGTTGTAGAAGAAAGCACTGATCGGAGAGTTGGCCAGTGGATTCGCCATGAAGGGCTTCAGGCGGGTGAGCAGGTGGTGGTTGGCCATGTGCAGCTCCGCATTCGACATCTTCGCAGCCTGAGACCCAGTTGTTCGTCTCTGCGGCGGTGTCATTGTACCAGAGTCTCCATCTGTAGAAGACGCAAGGCTGACCTGCGACATGCGATTTCTTCCACGCTCAGGTGAAGAAGCTCGTGAGTTGCCTTGGCTGGAGTACTCATACAGGCTGTCACCGTCTCCCCCAGCCTGTGGCACTTCGGAGAACGCGCCTCTCCGTGCATACCGTTCCTCCTGTTCACCCTTCCGCACTATGTTCTCAGCCTCGCGGGCAATGAATTCCTCTTCCTGCTTCGAACGCTGCGGGCTTGGCGCCCGACTGGAGGTCGAACTGGCGTAGGTTCCTTCGCTCGAGCTTCCTGCTGGTGGTGCTTGGATACCCACCATCTGTCTGGCAAGCCCGATCATCAAACGCTGCTTCCGGGTTGTTGCGCCCCTGTGAGGCGTATAAATCCACCCTCTTACGTCCACATCAACGATAGCATTGTCGTCCTGATGCCTCTCCCATTCTCTTCGCCAGTAGTCCTGCTCGTTCACCTCGCCGGTTGCTGCTGGAGGCGGCGCAGTCTTCCTCTTGACGTGCCGTCTGCCGTAGCTGGGAAAGAGTACCATCTCCTCGTTCCCACTTCTCACGACAGCAGCATCTGGAAAAGCTCCGGGTCCCTCCACGCCCGACTCATATGTCCCATCTCGTGTACCCGCACCGCCGTTCTCCTGGCTGAAATATGACTGTCGTAATTCATTCGCTGCCTTCAAATACCCTCCTATCTTCTTCCTCCTCCAGCCCGGCTCCCTCCCCTCTGCTCGCAAGCCCGCCAGTTCATCGTAAGTGCCAGCCGCAGATCCCTGATAGGCCATATTAGCCTGTTGAGGCCCGGAACCATCTTTCAAGTTCCGTCGTCGCCAAAACGTGGGTGTCCGGCCGCGAAGATTCGAGACGATCCAGGGCAGACGTCCGCGTCTGCGAAGTTGTCGTCCGGTTATATATTGATAGGCACGGGCCTGTGCATGCTTTCGAAGGGTCGGGATGAACCAGTAGCGGAAGTTGAAGAGCGAGCTGCGCACCGTGCCGCGGGAGAGGTTTGCGTTGGGGAACAACAAATACTTCAAGAGCGACGTTCGGTTGTGAGATGCATGCGCAGATGGCTTTTTGGTCGCGGCGAGGCCTTGCAAGAAGCGTCTCCAAGACGGAGCCACGGTGGATGGTAGGGCGTTATATTACTCTCCCGAGCTCCTCCAGCAAAGACTCGACCAAGAACGGCTCGTGAAGTGCTTCCAAGTTCTCGACGATGCGGTCATATTGGAGGTGGCTGCGCTTGCATCATTCTAGACCTACACGCAAGCCTCCGAACTCCAACACGAAAGTCTATCTTCGGACATACACTCTGAATACAAGTCGCTTCTCCTGGTTTCCCATCTGGAGGGAGAGACGTAACGTAAGATCTATCGTTCATTACGGGAGCGAGCGGTTGCGGCATACCATCGTTCGGTGAAAGCTGTATCCGCATCGACTTCAGTACCAGCCGTTCGTAGGAGTACTGGTAGACGAACACGATTGGGCAGAACATACTCCAGCATGGCATTCCCAATTCAACAGGCTCTGGAGACGAGTAGGAGAAGCTCAAGCCCGAAGACTCACATTATCAAAGCAAGCCATGGCCATGCCTTCGAGGTGAAGAAGGGCGAGCAGTTCAGAGTGGTCGATCTCTACGGCGAGCAGATCGTCGACTTCGCCGCCTGGGTGGCCAACACCAACTTGATCCAAAAGCTCAGCATGTCCTACTCTCGTTATCATCTATCCGGTGTCCAGCCTGCAGTAGGCGAGTGTCTATGGGACAACACCGATGAGCCCATCCTTCGCGTGGTGGAAGACACTGTAAAGGTATAGCACCAGGACTACGGCAGCTAGAGTTGGCGCTGATGGCCAACGTCCTGGACAGGTCCATGACATGACGTTCATGTCTTGCAACCCCGAGTTCTACCAGAAGATGGGGGCGAAGCACCACCGTAGCTGTGCCACTAATATTGCAGAAAAAATGCAGTTCTATGGCATGGGCAGCTACCTTGAAGTTACTGACCCTTTCAACATATGTCTGTTGCCGACATCTGGTGGCAGTGATGAATTACTGATAAGCTGATCCAGTTCAAAACACCCCGAATTACTCTCTCAAGCCGCTGGGCACCAGCAAGCCCGGTGACTATATCCAATTCGAAGCTTTGAAGGACTGCGTCTGTGCCGCAAGCTGTTGTCCATATGGTCGGTCCAGATCTTCCCCCTAGAATCTTGCACTGCTGACAGCTCTATTAGTGCGTTCCGCTTTCCCCGCGACTACCACGGGTGATGTGACCACATGCTTACCGTAGATCAGGACTTCGACGGTGTAAACGGCGGGAAGATCACAGACGTGGCGATTGTCACGGGATTGTGAGATGAAGACTATCGTCAGGCAATGCAGTCCTTTCTTAGGCAGCGTTCGACATATGGCCTCTGATCACATACGCTTGCTTTCGATCACTGTCCGACGAGGGCTTGACTTGCCGATAACCGCTGCAAGTGACAGATGCGCATGCAAACGCCGTTTGTGCCACAGTGTGCCTGCCGCTGTCCTACACAAATCTGCGGCAGGGCGTCTCTTAGACGTCGTACAAGAACGGCAGCACACGGTTGCATCCCGCAAGGCTTTTCTTGGAATCTGCAAGAGACATTGTTGACATGTCGGAACGTATCGAGGTTGGTCGACCAGCAACAGCTCATATCATTACCTTTCGCAAAACACAACCATGTCGCCTTTTAGCATTGCACTTCAACAGTGCAACTCCCAAAAGCGATCTGAGCCATATTTCAACAGTCGGTCCGGGCGTCGATTGTGTTTGCCGGCAACACAAGATCTGATCAAACCTTGAGGGCCGAAGCCACAAACGCCTCGCTGCACCAATGATCATGGTCGCCTGGTATCGAGTGGATGCTTTACTTCACTCTTTAGCCTCGACCTTCAAAACTCACACTGTTCGCGGGACAACCCTTCTTGCCTTCGTCAACACCGCAGAAGGCGTCGAAATCTCGAGAGCAGGCGTGGTTGTTTTAAAACACCCTGGTCGCCTTGGGCTTCACATCCTGGCTCTCGGTACCACACTTGCATCCCTCCCCAACAGACCCTTGTCACACATCACTTGTACATACCGCACAAAGGCTTTGTACATCTGTACGCCTGTTTCAGACTTCCCCATCTTTGTCGTTACACACGATCTACCTACCGAACGTCAGCCGGACCTCCACTGACTGACCTTGTCAACGGCAATATTCTGTATCGATCCGCTGCAAGGCAGACCCGAGCAAGACAGACACAAACGGACGGCATCACCAGGCCTGACGGCTACGAAAGCAAGAGCAATTGATTGAAGAATCACGAGCCTGAGGAACGATCACAAGCTAAGTCCACTCCTTTCCATTACTCACACAGGACTCGGTATGTCTCGCAAGTGACTGGTGGATTGAGCAACTGTGAGAGGCGCGAAAGGACTACAAGGCACACTAATATCGCAGCACTACTACAACTCCATGCTCGTTCTCTCACCGAGCCCAGCTCAGCCAGCTTTCTCGTTTTGATCGAGTCTGTTGCTATTGCGAGGAACTCGGACAATAGCATGTCTATCAAAGTCGTAAGCACTAAACGTTCTTCGGGGTATACTGCTCTGCTAACCATTCGACAGTGCTTTGCCCTTGCCTTGCTGCTCTCTCAAGCCCTCACAAAGCCCATCCACCAGGCGCCTGTAGAGAAGCGCCAATTTGGAGGCTTGCCCTTCCACCATTCTCACTACTTCGACTCGTCTTTCCTTCGTCCGGTTCCGGCAACACCCCAGATAACATCCAAATACACAGATCAATCGACCAATGCCGACTCGACGATATTCAGCCTCTCACGTCCAAATTGTATTGAAACGATACAACCAAGCGAAGGTATGCGGGGACCATCATATGCTGTTGAACTATGCTCACACTCAAGCAGGACAGCTATGCAGAGAAGTTGCGCAGAGTCGCAGCATACCATATACGCCTCTTGAGGGCGAGAGTCTGGCTGACTCTGGAGCGTGCCAAATGCTGCTCGGCCACTACAGCATCTGCGTCGATAGCCTGGGTTCCTCTTTCATCGTGGAGAGGTCTGCCCAGGCCTCAGCTTCGTCACTCATGTCAGCTGCGCTATCATCGACGACTACCACAACAACTTTGACGGACCGGATTACCATCAGTGCTACATCGACCGAGATAAGCAGCGTTGTTGTCACCCAAACGCAGGTGGAAACAGTCACGGTTTCGTTGACGGCACCTTCTTCGTCCTCAAGTCTGGTCATCCCATTATCAGTACCGCTCTTCTCGTCGTCGACTCTCACATTGAGCATCACATTGAGCACCTCGACCAACGCGACGGCGACTTCGTTCATGCCCTCATCGATACTCCTCACATCGTCGCCATCAAAGTACGTCTCGACATTTCCTAGCGCAACCAGCTGCGCTGGCGCACCATACTCTTCTTCAACAGTATCGGCAACGACCAACTACACGCCTCCGTCGCCATGTTCCTCCACACCACCACCAACCGCGACACAGTCTGGTATTGTGTCCGGCTGTACGCAATGGGAAGTCGCCCAGCCTGGTAATTCTTGCTACAAAATGGCTCAACATCATGACGTCTCAGTGGACACGTTCATGCAGTGGAACCCGGCGGTGGAGGCACAGGCTGCACGAATATGCTAGCTGGTCTAGCATACTGCGTCGGCACCTGCGGCGGCTCACCAGTAACCACTTCACCCGTCAGCCCATCGAGCCCGGCCATTCCTGTTTCTGCATCAACCTGTTCAGCTGACGCATCGCCGCCAGCCTCAACCCATGCTAGCCAGATAGCAGGCTGCATCAAGTACTACGTCCCGAAGCCCGGCGACAACTGCTACAGCGTTTCCCAGCAATTCGGTCTGGACACCGATGTCTTCATGGCGGCGAACCCAGCCGTGGATCCACCCAACTGCCCGAGTCTGATCGCTGGCTATGCTTACTGCGTGGCGTGGTGTGGTGGGACCAGGGCCCCGATTTCTTTGCCGACTTCGTCAACGGCACTTACATATAGCTCCTTACTAACACTAACGTACCCCAGTTCGACCTCGACGGTTGCTTTGACCATTTCTAGTACCACGATCGCCATGGTCACAGCGTCCGGCAGCTCTGCACCGGTGCTCAGCTCGGCAGCATCATCCAACTCTGCTCCCGCGCCCAGCTCAACAACATCCCCGAACGACCGCTACCTCGCCTACTGCGGCGACGGTTCCACATCAGCCGGCTGGCCCTCAACATCCGAATGGCAATCATTCGACTACCTGTCCGTCCCACCATCCCCACCCCGCCCTCTTCCCTCGCCTCACAAAACCCCAAAACTAACCTCCTCCCAGCTTCACCTCCAACACCCCAAGCATGAAAATCGCCTGCGACACCTGGGGCGTCCCCAATGACTCCCCCCGCGAAATCGCCTCCTTACGCTCCGCCATCCTCTCCGTCGCCAACCTCACCAGCATCGACGCCCGCTTCATCCTCGCCATCATCATGCAAGAGTCCTCCGGCTGCGTGCGCGTCATCACCACGGCGTGGAGCCACACGAACCCGGGGTTGATGCAATCCTTCAACGGCACGGGGACGTGTAACCTCAATAGCGCCAACATCAACATCCCCGGCGTCGACGCCTCGGGAAAGATCTGGACGCCCTGTCCAGCGGAGCGTATCGAGCAGCAAGTTCTCGACGGAACGAACGGCACGATCTGGGGTCCGGGACTACGGCAGGATTTCGAGATCGCGAATGCCAATGCGACGGACGAAGCGCAGGCGTACTACCGCACGGCGAGGATTTATAATGGCGGGAGGTTCGTGGCGAGTGATCTCAGTCAGCCGTGCTGCACGACGTCGTATGTGAGCGATATTGCGAATAGGCTTATGGGGTGGGTTCATGCTCCGAGGGAGTTCGTTTGTGGCTAGGCGCCCAGATGTGGCTCTTAAGGGGGGATGGGTCTGGCGTATGAGGGCGTTCGCATGGGGCGGATCAAATATGTGCGGTTTGCTTTGCTGCTTCTCATACCACGAGATCGCGATGGTGCCATGAGAGGTAGTAATGCTAATGTATATATCTCTATGAAAGCATGGTTCATGATGGCAAGCAGATTCAGCTCGCTCGTTTCCATTCGTGTCAGCTATTGACCTGTCATAGCAAAGCATCAATGTCTCTTCCCACGTCTACTCTGCAGACCATGCCTCCCACTCCCACCCCGGCCACTCCCGCCTCTCGGCTTCCTAACCCCACCACCCCTCTCGCCATTCGGTTGCCCACCACGCACCTTATCCATCCCCAACCCTCTCCTCATAGACTTCTGCTTCCCCCCGCGCCCACGTGGACTGGCGCCCATCCTCTTCTTCGCAGCCACAACATCCCCTTCATCAATCTCCATCTCATCACCGCCGCCAGGAGCACCTTTATTCTTAAACTTCAGCTTCCTCCTCTGGCCCTCTTGCGGCGCATCTCGGCCTTTGATAGCGTTGACATAGGCATTGATGCCACCTTCAAGCGTCCCATCGCCCGGCTCTTGGCCGTTAGACATGCCTTGATCGTCAAACTCCATCACGTCATCGTCGTCGGACTCCTCGTTGAAGACGAGCTTGCCGTCGATATCGGTCTTGGCCTTCTTCTTCGTCGCATCCGGTGCAGCGCGTGCTCCTTTAGGCTTGGTGGAGGACACGTGCGCCAGTGCTCGACGGTCCAGCAGATCCAGCGGCTCGTCGTCGTCTTCCACGATATATTGCTTGGATTGCTGCTGTTTGGCTTTCTGGCCCTTGGCTGCCGAGCGACCGAGAACCTCATCGTCAGAGATGTCTGAGCCAGACTCATCTTCGGAGCCCGAGCCGTACACTGCCTCGTCGTACTCGCTCTCGAACTTGCCCTTTCTTCTGTCGTCGACTTTCTCATCCGCGCCATCATCCGCATCCCGCTTCTTCTTCCTGCGCTCTCTGGTCTTGCGAATGTTGGTGACCAGCTTTCGATCGTCCTCTGGAGTGTATTGTTCGATGAGGTCTGCACCAAACCGCCGAATCATCCGCTCAAAGATGTGCTTGACTTTAGCTTTGAACTGAGCCTTGTGCTCGTGGCTCCACGTGATGAGATTTGGGATGAGACTGGGCAGTCGTGGTTGCAAGAGCTCAGTGGATAGCGAGATAACGCAGACCTTGACAAATCCTAGCACTGATCGGACGATCTCGCGGTTGTTCGAGGTCAGGAACAGGTCCATGGTTTGGACGAGATCCGAGATGGTCTCATCTTTGAGCTGCGTTCTAAAGTCGTACAGAAGCCTGGTAAGCGCAGTGATGGAGGCGGACACCATATGCGGAGTCGAGCCGGCCAGACCAGCAGACACCATGGTGAAGTACTCCTCGAGACTGGCGGGTGCAGAGGGCGCGTCTGGCGACATGTGCGGGACCTTGGAGTTGACCACCGTACCACCCTCGGCCATCTTCTCTCCCATCAGTACCAGCAGATCGAAAGCCGCTGTGCGTGCCTTCTCATTCACCTCTTTCGTGCTGATCACGACCTCGGACAGTACTGAGGGAATGAAGTGCAGGTCGGAAGCAGGAAGGAAAGGCACTACTCTTGCTAGGGAGTCCAACCGATCCCGACGGGCTGGCGGGGAGACCTTGTCTGTTGCCGCAAGCAGCAATTGCTGAAGGTCTTCACTGCGCTCTTCCAGTGCCTGCCTTCCGATTTCGCTTTCAGACAGTCGTGGGATAAGCTTGTAGGCCTTCTTTTGCAGCTGAGCGTCATCGTCCTTGCTGACGAGGTTGGCCGCCATGCTGAACAGACCAGCGAAGCTCTCTCGTGGCAGGTAGATGGACATGGTAATGACCAGATCCATCAGTGTGTGAGAGGTTGGTGGCATCTTGTTCTTCGCCTCGTCGCTGGAGGGTTGCTGCTTCTGCTTAGGCTTCTCGCTCTGAACCTGTGCCTGCTCCGCAATGGCAGTCTCGAGCATGCTCGCGACACGCTGGAACGTCTCCATCAGTTCTTGTGCTGGCGTGATGCTCAGAAAAGCGTTGATGCATTGAAGCAGATTGCCTCTGTTGTGTGGTAGTGTCTGGCTGTACACATTGAACAGCACAGCGAGCAGGTTCCCGGCAAGACCGGCAAGATGATCCAGATTCTGCTTCGCCTCTGCTTTCGTCACTCGACCTTGCTGAATGAGGTTCTCGTCGCTCTCAAGGTCGGCAATCGCCTTGTTGGTTTCCACAACATTCTGCAGCGCTTTGCAAATGTCAGTCCTGAGATGTGGCTGCTGGTAGAGCAAGTTGCTGATCAGCTCAGCAAAAGACTGATCGAATTGCTCTCTCAGATCCAGCGGAAGCTCGCAGTATCCGGGAAGACACGACCATATCTGGCTGATCACAGTTTCGAAAATTTTGATGTCCATCGTCTTCTCGGCATTGCCATGGTTGAGCACCCGCTGGAACATCGTCTCGCTCAGGGGTACAAGCTCCGAGCGGAAGTGTGCGAGTCGCGTATTGCTCACTGAGCTACGCATGAGCGGTAATAGCCACGCTCGTCCAGGCTGGCCTTGCATTGGCTTGAACAAGTTCAGAGGTATGATCGAGAGGACGTTATCCGGGCCCATTGCGCGAATGGCAGCACTCAGCAGAGCGTCAGCCTCTTTCTTCCCACTGAAAGAGTCGTTCCCTCGCATGTCTCCTACACTCCTGACTACACTCTCGAGCAGCGGATACGATCGCCACCTGAGCACTTCAAAAGCTGCTGTCAAGACATTGAAGACCTCCATCCACGCTGACTGGAATTTGACGCTCAATAGATCCTGCAATGTCCGGCAAACCTTCTCCAACACCTTGTCGTCCATGATCGAAGGCTCAAGTAGAACTGAATCAGGAATGCAAGTATGTAGCAGCGAGATCAGACATTCCGATGCCGAGACTCGGATGTTGTGCGAGGATGCTGGCAAGAAGGTGGATATCTTGCTAAAGAGGTCCGCCAGCTTTTGAAAGGTCGCTTCAGGCTCGATCTGAGCAGACACATCATACCCTCTGCTCAACACCGCAATCCACGGCGGTAGCAGTTGTGTATCGTTCTGCGACGGCTGCAGTTCCGTGATAGCTTCAAGCAGCCTGGGCAACTTCGCTGAAGACACCTCGTCGGCCATGCCGGCAAAGATAATCTCAAACACCTCAAAGGCCGCCATCGTGAGGAACTCGTTGCTACTCCTCGAAATGTTGAGCAGCACTTCACACAGCGCATCGATCTTCCTGCTCGGCCAGCCATTCTCCGCAGACGCAATCGTCTTCACCAACTGTAGTGCATGCATGAGCCTCGGATCATGGTCCTGCTGCTCCTTGCTCTTATGCTTCTTCCGCCGACTGCCCGCTTCCTCCGCCGCCGCTTGTAGCCCTCGTGACGCTGTCTCCGCGCACATTTCACCCGCCGGATGATCCAGCGACGGACTCGGTGGTGGATGCTTCAGCACATTGCTGATCGCGTCCTGCGCCCGCTTGCGAACCTTCGGCCTGGAGTCCACAGCCAAAGCGAGAAGACCGCCCACTGCGCCTCTGGGACTGCTTGACGATTGCGGCAGCGCCCATGACTGCGAATCTTGAGCCAGAAGCAGAGACTCCAGACATCCTATACTGGCTCTTAACAACGGCGCCTCTGCGTCCGTACAGGTCAAGCTAGGCGCAAGACTCTCGAGGATCTGAGAGAACTTGGATCGTAGAAGTGGTGCCGGGACATGGCTCGTCACTAGATCGAGCAGGTATACAACCGCGCTTGCTCCCTCTTTGTTGACAAGTCCTTTGTCGTTCGAAATATACTGGCCGAGTAGACTGAGAAGCGCAGCAAAATAGGCAGTGGGTGTGAGCTCGCTTTTCTGCGAGCGCAAAGTGTCCTCGATTGCGCCGAGTACCACTGCGGTCTGCTGCTGGTTCTGAAGCTTCGGCGACGAGCGGATCTTGTCGAGTCTCGTCTGTAGAGACATCTTGTCGTCTTATCGGTGCAACAAATTTCGCGTCCAGAAGACACATGCGCTTGAGCTTTTCGACCAAATCTGAGATATTAAAACCTTATCTTATCGCGCGACATAGTCACGTGATAAGAGAGTACTTGCAACGGGTGCGAGAACCTTGCGACGATGCTAGAACATTTGCCAGACACAGTGGAATTTATGACTCGAAGATTTAGAAGTGGTGAGCATTACTATTACGGAAGCTACTTTATTGCTGTATCATCGCTCCATTCCCAAGGGCCCGACTCCTCGCTGGGTATATCGTTTCACGCCATTCTCCATCAAAAGCACATGTCCCGCATCCCCGACATCAATCCCATAGTTCCTACAGTTTGGTGATTGCTCGAGAATCTACCGCGCCTAGTAGTTGGTCGCAGTGTTGTTGCTGTAGCCATAGGGGTTGCTGGCTGCCGTGCCAGTAGGTTGCGTGTAATAGCCAGAGTGCGTGTTGGGGGCCGTGGTGGTGTGGGTGCCATTGGCGTAACCATTCGTGTAGCTGGTGTCGTTGGTGTTGCCATGGGTGTAGCTGGTCTCGTTGGTGTTGCCATGGGTGTAGCCGTTGGTGTAGCCATCTCCAGCAACTGGCGCGGTACCATTGCCCGCCTCAGCGTCCTTCATAGCATGAGCGTCGGTGTTCTTCTTGCGGCTGAACAGACCGCCCTTCTTCCCGGAGCCCGATGTGTAGTTGTTAGATGGGCTTGGACCGTAGCGCTTCTCCTTGCGGTGGTGTCGCACAAGCAGAACCTGCATGACAGCGGTGACAAGGAAGAGGAAGGCGCCGATGATCGAGACCGCGAATGCAACAGTGTTGAGTCTGCAGGCGAGACCGAGGTGGACAGAGTAGGTGTAGTTCTCGCCCTGGTCGCCGCCGATTCCGTTCGCGCCATATCCGTTGTCCGCGCTGGCTGGCCCGTTGCCAATTGGTGTCTGCACATTCCCCGAGCACGAGTCGGCGCCATCACGCGTCAAGACCGCGATCGCGATGAAGCCGGCGGCAAACAGCACGTCGAGAACGAGGGCGAGGAAGGCGAAGAATGCGATGCCGCCGAGGCAGCACGTCAGGACGATGGCGAAGATGAGGTAGACCACAGCGGCGCCGGAGATGCCCTCAACGGCCTTTTGCCATGTCGCGATCGGGTCGTTGCGATCGGCTTGCACGCTGAGGAACTGCACGTATGTCAGCGATGATATATCACATGCGCGCCAGATCAATCCATACGTAGCTGTAGACACCCAGAATGATGCCGGCGCAACAGAAGAGCAAGGCATAGAGCGCCGTCTGGAGCAGGCGCTGGAAGCCGCCTTTGATGAGACCCATATTGTCGAAGTTATCGCTGCTGAACTATGTCGAGGTAGAAGTGAAGTAAAGAAGAGTTGTATGATGGAACAACACGGTGTCGCAGGAAGTGAAGAGGCGTCGTAATCTTGGTCGCGGCAGGTGTTGCAGATTAAAATGAGCATTCGACCAAGGTTCAACGTCACGTCACCAGCGTCGCACCCCCGGGCACCAGAAAAGGCAAGCCACCCAAGATCGACGTCTGTAATCTTGATCCTCCAATTGAATCACGCAGAAAACACAGGTGTGGCGACGTGCAGAAGTCATTTCTCAGCATTCTTCAGGCGAGCCCGACAACTTGTGGCTGTGACGTGGCGTTCTCTGGGCGGCTCTTGAACCGAGACTTGGACGCGTCGAACTCTATGCGCGGCGGTGGGAGTCAAACTTGATGGAGAAACAGGGCAGGCGGAGATTGCAGTGGGCATGCTGTCATTTGGGCGGGTGACTTTGAATTGGGATGAAGTATCCGGATTTCTGCTCATCACATCACGTCCACTCTTGAAGTCAGCGGACCTGCGTCAAGATCCAGTTTGCTGGGAAGATACATGTACAGTATTCTACGTACCGAATCCTTCCCTTCCATCGCCAGCCGTGCTGACAGGCGTTTGATCTAACACGTGATCGTTGTGATGGTCACCAAGGTATGTTCGAAAGTATTGTTCGATGCTACTCATTCAAATACAGGCGAATACTCCTTCTCGACCGATGCAACCAAGTCCATATATCAATCTTTCACATCTCACCCGACCCCCTCACTAATATCTTCACCTGGTTGTCCTTGTCGTTGATCAACGTCCTGAACCCTTCCTCCAACACCTTATCCAGCTCAATCCTCTTCGTGATCATCTTATGGCACATATCGAGCCTTCCATCCGCAATCGCATCAATCACCTCCTGATAATCCCCCTTCACATACGTTGCGACTCCCATATACCCCCTCTCCTTGAAGTTGAAGTCGTTCGGCCAGACTTTGGCGTGCTTATCCCAGATAGCGATGTTAATCAATGTGCCTCTCGCGCGGATGGCGAGGACAGCTTGATCCATGCCAGGCTGGACACCAGCGCAGTCGAAAGCGACGTTCACGCCTCCACCGGGGCACAGCTCTCTACACCGGGCGACGATGTCGTCTTGCGTTGGGTCGAGAACAACGTGTGCGCCAAAGTTCTTCGCGTATTGTTTGCGCATGGAGGAGACTTCGGAGACGATGATCTGGGGACAGCCGCGTGCTCGGAGGGCCTGGAGAACTGCGAGGCCAATCGGACCGCCTCCCAGGATGAGTGCAGAGTCTGTGGCCTTGAAGGGCGAAATGCTGACGGCGTGCCAGCCTACAGCTAGAGGCTCGACGAGGGCTGCATTCTGGTTAGGAAGAGCTCACGTCGTCCCAGATTCTGATCTCACTCACCTGCTACGTCCAACCCGACATTATCTGGAAGCTGGTACACCGCGTACTCTGGGACAACGACATGCTGTGAAAGCCCGCCACCCCAGCCACTAAGCCCGACAAAGCCGTTCTTGTAACAGCAGTTGATCAAGCCATCTTGACAGGCACCGCAATCGCCATCGTAGATAATCGGCTGCACAACGACTCGATCCCCGACCTTCCACTTATCCGCCACGCCCTCGCCGAGCTCCTCGATGATCCCACTGAACTCGTGGCCGAAGGTCAAGGGGACGGTCTCTCCAGTAATGGGATGCGGCGTAGTCGGACATAGATTAGGACCACCTTGGAACTCGTGGAGGTCGCTGCCGCAGATACCACACCACGCAGGCACGAGCTTGATCTGACCGGGTCCGCACTTGGGTTCCTCGATCTCCTCGAAGCGTAGGTCTTCTTTGCCGTGGAAGCGCACCGCGCGCATCTGCTTACCCGCTAGAGGGGCAGGCCTGTTCTCCACCGCATGGTCGCCGTCTTGAGTAGACATGGTGATGGTGGAAGAGGACATGTAGTGCGGAGAATTCGACTTGCTAACAGGATGAAAGACACGAAGCGCGACCTACCATTATTTTAATCGACAGGATGACGAGCGTGCCACGCGACATAATAAAGTATGCCTCCGCCTGGGGACGAGGGGAGGGACCCATCGCATGTCCATACTGAGGAAGCCGATGGATCTGCATGTGTTCTTGGTGTTCACATGAGGCGTCTTGAGTGCGGGGTCTTTGCCCCTCCTTTTTCGGCATCCTTGGAGCAGAACGAGTCGTGCAGCAGGTCCACCGAGGGTTGGCGTTCGGACTGTCGGCGAATGCGATAGAGGTGGCCATTGTCGTGCAGATGAGAGTCCAGAGCTGGGTGGAGGTGCCTGGGTGTCGCTGGAGGACGCGCAGGTCGAAGCAGCGCGACGTTATGGTCAAACTTACGGTCCGACTCCACCACACGTCATGACACCAGGAGCAAAGAGAATGGAGAGTCTGCGGACTATCTCTCTCCGCGCGGCCTTTGACTTGAGAGCAACAGCTTCATGAGCTCCCAAGGGATAGGCTATGTCCACCACTCAACCCGCGGCCGACAGTCCGTTGGAAGGATGTCCAGCGAACTGATAGGACCATGCGTCTTGCAGCGGGCGACTCCAGCGCTCTTGCTGCAGTTTTTCCGACAATCAATGTCAGTGACGATCGATGAGCTCACTTATAAGGTACAGAGGTTTTTCCGACGCGATCAAACACGTTGACCTTTTCACAATTTTCTCTTCCTCTCACTCTTCTGATATCACACCTCAGATCTCATCATCAACCCATTGAACCCCGAAACACACCAAAAACCAACTGCAAACATGCCTTACCCAGAGACCGCGACTGGCTTCATGATTGAAGACCAGAAGAAGTGGCAAGACTTCCAGAAGAAAGAGGTACACCTCTCAGCACATCCTCACTTCACCACAACTCCCCGCTGACCTCAATGGCGCACAGTTCAAGCTCAAGCCGTTCGAGGACCGCGACATCGACATAGCCATCGACTGCTGCGGTGTTTGTGGCTCCGATGTCCACACCATCAACGGCGGATGGGGCGAGTGCCCACTGCCCATCTGCGTCGGCCACGAGGTCGTCGGCAAGGCCATCAAGGTCGGCAAGGACGTCAAGACCGTCAAGGTTGGCGACCGTGTCGGTGTCGGTGCACAGATTGGTGCGGATTTGACCTGCAACAACTGCAAGGCCGACCAGGAGAACTACTGCCCCAACATGATCGACACCTTCGGAGCTCCGTACAAGGATGGCACGATCTCGCAGGGTGGATACTCGAGCCACATGCGTGCGCACGAGTACTTCACCTTCAAGATCCCGGAGGCGCTTGAGAGCGAGGTTGCCGCGCCTATGCTGTGCGCCGGTATTACGGGTGTGTACATTCCCTTTCAAGACCGTTAGACTGGTGACTGACAGCTTCGCAGTCTACAGCCCTCTGGTCCGTCTCGGTGCTGGCCCAGGCAAGAAGATCGCCATCGTCGGTATCGGCGGGCTCGGCCACTTCGCGGTCCTTTTCGCCAAAGCCCTCGGTGCCGAAGTCTACGTCTTCAGCCACAGCCCCAGCAAGAAGGAAGATGCGCTGAAGATGGGTGCGAAGGAGTTCGTCGTGACCAGCGAGGAGGGATGGTACAAGCCGTACAACTTCGCTTTCGACTTCATCCTCAACACTGCCGACGCCGTGCACAAGTTCGACATGTCCAACTACTTCTCCATGCTCAAGATCATGGGCCGCTTCCACTGTGTGGGTTTCGGTGACGAGCCGCTGCCTACCATGATGGCGCAGGGTATGCATTTCATCCTAGCATAAGGTGGAATCAAAGCTGACGTATGTTGTGCAGACTTCGCACCAAACGGCTGCTACTTCGGCGCCTCGCACATCGGCAACCGCCCCGAAATGCTGTCCATGCTTGACCTCGCCGCGAAGCAGAACATCCGCAGCTGGATCGAGAAGGTGCCGATCAGCAAGGAGGGCTGCGCCAAGGTCGTGACCAACGTGTCCGAGAACAAAGTCCGCTACAGGTTCGTCCTGACGGACTACGACAAGGAGTTCGGCCAGCGTACTGCCTAGATAGTTGTTGAATGATGATGATGAGCATGCATTCTCGGCAATACTGTGAGCCGGAATGAAAAGCGAATATAGAGTAGATCAATGGAATATCTTGACCAACTCCAATTTTGTCAATGCATTCGAACGATCTCAATAGAAGTGAATCTTCCTGGTGAGCAAAAGCCATACCGGAAAGCCGCAGCGAAGTTCTGGCTGCCGAGAATCGGCTAAATCTCGGCCTCCTCCTCCGAGCATGCAACCTCAAACCTCATCGCAGCTCAAGCTTGCACCGACACCACACCCACCCATTGCCCTCCACTCCACAACCCACCATGCTCGCCAGCCGTGTCGCAGCCCGGAGCGCCCGTGTGGCCGCTCCTCGCTTCTCCGTTGCCGCCACTCGAGGCTACGCCGAACCTGCCAAAGCCAGCGGCGACGTCAAGCCTCCTGTCCAGGTCTTCGGGCTTGATGGCACCTACGCTACTGCTCTTGTACGTCTAGCAATACCTCAATGGCGCCTGAGCGCACTGCATTGGCGACCATGAGCCGGTCAGCTAACCTCAGGGCTTTCAATAGTACACCGCAGCCGCCAAAACGCAATCCCTCGACACCGTCTCGCGCGCCCTCGACAACATGGCCGCGACCTTCAAGCGCGACACCCGCCTGCAGAACATCCTCACGGCGCCCACGCTCAGCGTCGAGGACAAGAAGTCCATCGTCGGCGAGCTGCAGAAGAGCACCAACGTCACGGACAAGACGAACACGCTGCAGAACTTCCTCAACACGCTGGCGGAGAACAACCGGCTCAGCGTGCTCGAGGGCGTGTGCGAGAAGTTCGGCACGCTGATGAGTGCGTCGCGGGGCGAGGTGGAGATGACGATTACGAGCGCGGCGCCGTTGGACCAGAAGGTCGTGCGGCAGTTGGAGCAGACGGTTAGTAAGAGTCAGTATGTCGGGCAGGGGAAGAAGTTGAAGGTGGTGCCAAAGGTGAGTTCTATATCTGATCCATGAGATAATGAAGGATGATATGCTGACTTGGATGTTACAGGTCAACCCAGACATCCGCGGCGGTCTCATCGTCGAGATCGGCGACCGTACCATCGACCTCAGCGTTTCCGCCAAGATGGCGCGCATGAACAAGCTGCTCCAGGACTCTTTGTAGATATGTAGAAGTATACAGCGGAACACTATCGGATGGATTTCTTTGCGTGTACATATGACACCATGCCTGCCCAGCAGCAGATCGATTGGTATACTAGACTACCGACACCCTCGACCGCTCCTTATACTTGAACGAGTTTGGAGCTGTTCTCAGCCTGAGTTACAGCACTCGAGTGCCGGTAGACGTCGGACGAAAAGAGGTCGGTCTGAGTATCATCGGAATGCGTACTTCCTGCGCCGGGGGCGCTGACAAGTAGTCCACACCCTGTGCGGAAAGCCCTAGCAAGCGACTGATATCCGACCAAGCTTGGAGCGACTCGACAGTGAACGGGACCAGCACGAGCGGCGCAAAGAGACAGGTGAGCCCGACGAAGATCATGCCGACCAGATAAGCATACGCAGCGATGGTCAGGAAGAAGAACAGCGTCGCCGCAGTAGTAGTCCCCATGACGAACAACACCGCGACTCCACGGAAGAGGATCCATCCCGGCGCGCTCTTCTGCCGATGGAGGTTGTAGGCCTGACACGCGACTATGGATGCAATGAACAGGCCGACCGAAAGCGCTGCAAAGGTTCGTACAGCGACGGGATTGAAATGTGTGAGCTCGAGGCCGGATGTGTTCTGCGTGGCAATGGGATAGCTCGCGATGACCAGGAAGCCGGATATAGTGCTTATTCGATCGAAGAGATCTTTGTAGAAGTCGTCGTCGGGGATTAGGAAGTCATCCGTGACGTCTACCTGCGGAGGTACATGTACTCGACGGCACATTGCGGTTGAACGTGGCCTTTAAGATGTGCTACAGACTTCTGAGTGTGCTGAATTTCTCAAATGGTCGATCTGTATCTGGTCGCGCAAGTAATTCAGTTCTCTCGTAGCTTAGGAGTGGGTTGAAAACAATGGGCCTGATCAAGGGAGCAACGGAGCCTCTGTCGTAAGCAAGGTACATGTAGATAGAGGTACTTACATACATCAAGCTCGGAGAGCTGTGGCCTGATCGAGAAAAACGCACCCGTCTGAAGTTCGACTGCATATGAATGCTGGTGGGACAAGACCATATAATGTATCTGTGCTCGGTTGCAATACATACGGCCAAAGGCGCAAGAGAACAGGGCATCCCGTCCGCTCTGCCGTCCTTAAGCTTGTGACCGGGTGATTAGTACTATAGTGGGTGACCATATGGGAATACCGCCTGCTGTATGTTTTGCTCCGTCTTCTTTTTTCTGGCGACCGTGCTCTGTCGATGCGACATCGTGTTCCAGAGCAGATGAAGTTGGTGGAAGTGATTTTTGGTCGAGACGAGGCCTTGGCGATAAGTTTTCGATTTTACTTCTACCTCTTCACTTTTGCGCCCCCCTCAACTATCATTTGCCCGATACACGAGGCCTGGGTGGTGAAGAGGACTGTCCTCGTCTCATCCCTGGTGGCGTGGCGGGTTTGCCGTATTGACGCAGCAGAGTCCTCGGGCGGCTATCCAACCCAGATGGGGGGCAGGAAGACTCGACTCACGAAGAGGCTCCAGCGGCAACATTATTCTTCAATCAGATGTCGACCCCCATCTTCACCCAGGCGCCTGCTCCCTCCCCGCCGACGGCCCCGCCTCCCCCTCCATAAGCGGCCTCAGCTCCGCCCCTCCACCCGCTCTCCCAGCCATCGCCGGATCATGAATCGTAATCAACCCCCTCGCCTGCATATCCCTCAACGCCTCATCCGCCGCCCGCCTCATCACCGCCTCCTTCCCGGTCGTATTCCTGCGATGCGTATCCACGCACGCCCAAACAAAAAGCACAAAATGTAGCAGAACACCCAAGAACTGCACTGCCGCTACTACAATGTCCACCGTCTCCCGCTGCTGCTTTTGCTGCCACAGCTTATTGATCTCTGCGTCTTCTTCCGCGCAACTCTGGGGGCCGCAGACGCGCTTTACATCCGCTTTCGTGGGTCGAGGGCCGTAAGTATAATCCCCCGTGGTCTCGTTGTAGTGGTACTTCGGATCCCCGTATGAGTCTGACACCCAGTCGATTTTGTACACCCAGGTGCCGTTGCTCGCTTGTCTGTAGTAGCCCGAATAATCCGAGCTATAGTCTCCGTCGTCGATGCGGCCGTAGGAGCCGAAGGAGTCAAGTTGGTAGATGCAGACGATCGTGAAGAGACCGGTGGTTAGGAGAGCGAGCCAGAGGAGCAGCTCGAAGGAGACTGCCGTCCCGGGGTGGACCGGGCGGTGGGTGCGGCGGAGGAGGGGGACGAGGATGGTTATGAGGGTCCAGATGAGGGAGAGGCATATCTGTGGGAAGTGTTCGTCAAACATCATGCTTGAGTCGGGGGTTAGGATGTGCGTACTACTGCCAGTACAAAAGGCATAATGATCGTGTCCATCCCATGCAGATATCCAAAATACGATTGCGAGCCAAACGCCGTCGCGACCAACCACGCGGATGTACCAATACCAATCAACATTGCTATACACAGCGTTATCCGTAGACCCATCTTGTACGCCCAGTACCGCTCGCCATTGCGCATCTTCCGCGCGAAGGACAGGGGCTGCTGTCCATCTTCTGCCGCTGCTGGCTGTTGTTGCTGCTCCATAAAATGCGATGTGAATAACGTAACGCCCAAGTATGTTAACGAGTGACAAAGCGAATGGACGCAGCTACAGCTGCAAGTTATGTTCTGAACATTATCGTAGGCGGCAGAGACGGGATGTATATCCCAATATGAAGGTCGACGGCTGGGCTGGAAGCCAATACATTAAGCATAAATCCTCCCGAAATAGCCACTGACGGCGGCAACGATCCTGCTCAACCACTTGGTGGCCACACGGCAGACCGGAACAACGGGATTAGTACTCCGTACAACAGAAGTGAGAGGTGTTCTGATTCTGAACATCATTTCATGCCATGCTCTAAAAAGGGACTATCTATCGCACCCCCACCGAAAGCAACACCGCCCAGCCCTCGTTCAATGCAGTCAGTATATTCATGAGCCTATTCATTACCCATCCATCCCATTCCATCATTTTCGTCGCAAGCGGTTTGCACACACCTACGACTCCTCAACATCATCCGCCTTCTGCGCCTCCGCATCAGCCGGCGCATCAGTCATCTCAGCGTCCGTCTTCTGCTCGGCCTCCTTAGCCTTCTTCGCCTCCTCATCTGCCTTCTTCTTCTCCTCTTCGGCCTTCTTCTTCGCCTCCTCCTCTGCGCGCTTCTTGGCCGCGGCCTCCTCTGCAACCTTCCGTCGGGCGTCCTCTTCCTCCTGGCGCTTGTCGTTGAAGCGCTGGATGATGGGGCCGGCGGAGGCGCGGAGCTCGTCGAGCTTGGCGATGTACTGGGCCTTGGTGGCGTCTTCGCCGTCGTCGTAGAGCCAGTCCTGTGATCATCATGTTAGCACACATCCAGAGTACTGAGTAGGATAGTAAGGCTCACCTCAAGCTGCTCGCACTTCTGCTTCACAACATCCTTCTCCTGCTCGTTGGCAAAGTCGGCATACCCGTTGCTCTCATACGGCTCCTCAATCTTGTTCCGCATGGCGTAGATCTCCGACTCGAGCTCGTTCTTCTTGTCCTCGGTATCGGCGACCAGCTTGTCCTCTGAGATCATCTGGCCTTCCTCCTCGGCGTACTTGTCCTTCATCGCCTGGTCGAGGGATGCGGTGCCAGCAGAGAGCGGCAAGTCGCCCTTGCGGACCTGCTTCTTGACCTTGCGGATCTTGGGCGCAGGTGGCTTGGCCTCACCGTTAGCCTTCTCGTCGGTCTCCATGGCCTGGATTGATGTCAGCGATTGTTCAGTCTTTGGGCGCTTTGCAGCTCTCTGCCATGTCGTATGATTGTCATCATCCTCGACATAAGCGGATACTTGTTGAGTTGCACTCACATCACCCTCCTTCTTCTCATCCTTCGCCTCCTGCACAGGCTCCTCGACCTCCTGGTCCTCCACATAGTAGCCCTGCTCCACATTCAACACACCATGCAGATTCAGCCTCGCCTTCAACTTGCAGATCATGAAGTCGTCCTTCCCATCAGCCTTCACACCCTTGACGCTGAACCGTCCAATCCACGGGTTCATCTTGCCAGGCAGCTGCTCCGGTTTGTGGTACTTCGCCTCCAGATCAAACGGCTGTTTCCTGTAGAAGGTCAAGATCTTGGTCGAAGGCATCACGTTGCCCCTGTTGAACACAGTAAGGCTGGTATCCTCGTCTGGGATGTCGGGCGACTTCTCCCAGGTGAACTCGATGGGGTAATTGACGATGTCCTGCACGCTAAAATCGCGCACGCGGAAGACGGGGGAGAGGATAGCGCAGCTGAATGCGCAGCCTCGGGCGATGGCTTCGTCAGCGTTCATGGTGAAGGAGAGGGTCTTGCCGAAGAACTTCTGGATGGTGCTCTTGAGCGACGGCACCCGCGTGCAACCGCCGACCAGCTCGACGTAGTCAATGTCTTCGGGCTTGAGCTTGGCGTCTGCCAGCGCCTGCTCAAGTGGCACCGTAGCGCGGTCGAGCAGTGGCTTCACCAGTTCCTCCAGCTCCTCCCTCTTCATGAATCCACGAACATCAACATCGTTCATCAAGGCCTCGATATTGAGCGGCGCTCCAGCGTTGGCAGACAGAATCTTCTTCAGCTTCTCCACGGCAGCCGCGACACGCACCTTGGCCTTCGGGTTGTTGTTGATGTCGATCTTGTTCTTCTCATTGAACTCTTTCCGGAAGTGCTCCACAATCGCCTTATCGAAGTTCCTCCCACCAAAGTGGCGATCGTACGCCGTCGACACAACCTTCAACTCCCCCTTCTTAAACTCGCAGATCGAGCACGTGTAATTGCTGTGCCCAATGTCCACAAATGCCGTCCTCCTCGGCTTCTCCTCCGGCCCGGGCAGATCCAACTTCGTAATCCCATACCCTAGCGCCGTCGCCGTAGTCTCATTGATCAACCGCAGCACCTTCAACCCCGCAATCTCCGCCGCGTCCAAGATCGTCCGCCTCTGCGCATCGGTATACCACGCCGGCACCGCAATAACCATATCATTGACCGGCAGCTTCAGCTCCGCCGACGCCGTCTGCCGCACTTTCGTCAAGAACATGGCGCACAGCTGGGAAGCGGAAAACCTCTCCTTCTTGCCCATGTAGTTGACCTCCGCGCCGACGGTGCCATTGACGTCCACCAGCGGGGCGGAGACGAACTCCTGCTCGACCTGGACATCCGGATCGCTTATCGAGCGCCCGGCGAGGCGCGTGAGGGAGCCGACGGTGTTCTTGAGGTTGGAGATTTCCTGCGTCTTTGCGGACTCGCCCAGGTATCTGCTCTTCGGGCCGAAGCTCACGAGGGAGGGTGTTGCGCGGTTCGAGACTTCGTTGGTGATGACGTCTACGCCTTTGTTTCTGTTTGATTGAGAGTCAGTATAAACTGTATACTGTATGAAGGTAGTGAGTCTTACCTGGCGACGGCAATGACAGCATTTTGCGTGCCAAAGTCCAAGCCTACGACACTCATATCTGCTGCTGCGTTCTGTGTCGATCTCTCCGCTTCGGCGGTGTAGTGTTAAAAGTTGTGAAGGTAGACTGTTCGGGCGGTGTCGGGTATAAGGGGTGAGTGGAAGTAAAGGAAAGAGTCGTGCGGGATAAAGGTGTCGTTTGTTTGGGCAGGGAGAGGCTGTCGCTTCGTTGGCAGCAACTTTTGAGAAAAAACTCGTGGTTGTTACTCGCACCTTCTAGGGCTCTCGCATGGACTCTATTCCTTAACAGGCTAGAACAAGTTAACGGATGCTCCCTCGTCACGTGCTATCATGAGCAGACTGCTGCATGTGCAAGTATCTCCCTTCAAAGAGATGCATAAGGCTGGTGTCTAGCAACGACAACTTGTGATCAACCGTTACCTTCTGTACAGCATACCATAACATTTTACTTTCTACTACACAACCCTTCCCACCCACCCATCATACCCTCCAAACGCCTTCCCATCCTACCCAACACCATCATTCAATGCAAGCCATTACAACTGCCCACTCAAAATCGCCTCCGTAGCACTGCCGATATAACTCCTCTTCCCATCCATCACCACCCCAAACCTCCTCTCCAGCTCCGCCTTAATACTCTTCTTCGTCACCGTCATCAGATCCGCGGTCCGCAGAATCTCCCGAATCTCCGCCAGAATCGCGTCATCGGACGGCATATCGCCGGCGTCCATCCCGTACCCGGCGGTCATCTGGCCCATACTAGCCTGCGAGTAGCTGCGCGGCAACATCCCACCCCCGTACTCAGAGCCCGGGGTCATGAGCGACATGTGGCTGCCGTTGTTGTGGTAGGGCATGCCCATTTGAGACATAGGCCGAGAAGGTGGACCATACCCGTACTCGCTAGCAGCCGGGTGCCAGCTGCGCGTGCCGTACGAGATCCCGGTCATCTCGGACCGTGCGTCGTCATCGCGCTGGGTCTGCGCGTCCCAGAGCTCGGCTTGGTACTCTTCCCACTTCTTCTTTGGGATGGAGTCGGGATCGAACTTCCCTTCGTCGGACACAATGATCTGCTTGCCCTTCTCGCCCGTGACCATGCGCGTGTTGCCCCAGGAGAAGTCGTCCATGTACCAGAAGGAGTAGAGAGGCAGGCAGAAGGCGAAGACGGGGGTAGCGACGACGTAGATCAGCATCCAGCCGATCATCTCCCACTTCCTTCTGACGATGAAAATGATGCCTTGTAAACCGTAAATCGCTCCGAGGAGAATAAAGGCGGTAATCGGCACGGTATCCGGGTTCTGAATGACGACGACGATGAGGTAGATGATATACGCCACAATCACGGGCTGTACGACCGTCGACAGCAAGTCCAAGAACACCACGAAGCGCATAGAGAAACAGCAGAAGCCGCACAGCTGTTGCAACGGGATGAGCTCGATCAGGTTGTGCACGGTACTGTTGATCCAGCGACGACGTTGCGACATGAACACGGCCCAGCTGTCCGGAGCGATAGTCCAGGCGTGGGCGCGCATGATGTACTTGGTCTTGTACTTCGCATGATGTTTCAGCAGCAGAGTCGTCAGGAAACGATCCTCTCCGAGATGCAGCAGGTTCTTCGCGTGGAGGGTATCGACGCGCACTTCGCTATAGTCCTGCACAATCTCCCGCGACACGAAGAGCGGCTTGCCCGACTCCGCCGCACGGATGCGATACATCGTGAAGCAACCGGGCAGACAGGTGACGGAGCCGAAGAGGGATTCGAAGGCCTTGGTGAGGTTGTGCGAGATGTAGTATTCGTAGACCTGCATCATGGTGATCATTGAGGCCTTTGCGTTGGAGAGGGCGGTTTCGCCACACACGCCGATGAGTTTGGTGTCGTGCAGGAAGGCAGCGACCATGCGGGTAGCGGAGTCTGGAGCCACGACGGTATCGGCGTCGATTTGCAGTAAGAATTCGTAGAAGGTCGGATTCACTCCTATCACGTTTCGTATCTGGTGATGGAGTTCGAGTTCGAGAGGCACCATCGGCATGTTGTAGTGCACGCGGTTGAGGAAGCGCATCAGGATCATCTGCGAGTCACGCTTGCCACGGTTGCCAGGTCTGCGAAAATCATTAGCATACACTCAGACCTTCCATGTCGATAGATCGATACTCACCTGGACACCTCACTCGGCTTCCCCACCTTCACCACCACAATGAACGGAACGATATGCCCCTGCACCTCATACAACCCGGAATACACCTTCCCCATGTTGTGCTGCTTCTGCCCTTCACCCAAACTCTCAAAGCTCAAAGGCTCCGGATCCACGGTCTCCGGCACCCCCAGAATATCCAGCACAATACGCGGTGTCGGCCTGTCATTGCCTTGCCCAATAATCATACCGTCACAAATGATAAACAGCAATTTGCGCTTATCGTCATACCGCATCCTCGCCGCAGAATCGATAGCACGACGCAACGAGTCCTCATCCTCAGTGTACGCGGGCACGGTGGCGATGACGAACTTGTCGAGATTCTCGGGCGTGTTCTTCCTGCCGAACTGCAGCGCAGCCAGGAACTTGAAACCGATAACTGTGACGAGCAGAATCGAAATCGCGAGCAGGATATACTTCGCGAACAGACACTGCGCGCTATTGCGGGTGTCGACATTACCGACGTAGAAGAGGTTGTCGAGACAGGTCTGCATGCTGCGGCGCATGAAGGGGCTGATTTCGAGCGCTTCCCAGTACTTGGTGACGTCCTCTCCAGAGCGGCCCTGGAAGAGCGAGATGACGGTGTCGTCCATGTAGTTGCTGTTGGGTTGCTGCTTCGGCTCGTCGTAACCGTCGGGGTACTGCGCAGGGCGGCCACCGGCAATGTAGGGCGTCACGTCGTAGACTCGGCCGTACATGTATGCGATAGAAGAGTCCTTGCTGGCCAGAGTCTTAAGGTACTCGGGCGAGTAGCCGACGTGGCCTTTTTGGTACTGTCCCTTCAGCATGATCATCTGCTCGGTGAACCACGCCGGACGCGAGTCGTTCGTCGCCCAGCGGAAATCGTGGTACTGGGCATTCATATCAGTGGTGCTGGAAGCCACGAGCGGCGTGCCGGTGTAGTTGTTGGTGTTGTAGCTCAGTTGGACAGCCGGCGAGATAGGCTCATTCTTGTTGGTGCCCTGGCACATAGCCGACACCTGTACGGGGAAGAGGTTCGTCGCGTCCTGACCAGCGTACTTCAGAATGCTCTCCTCAGAGACAATCGGAGGGTAGTGGACCGGTGCGAACTTTGACAAATCGATGACCACGCCACGAATAGCAACGTATCCCTTTGCTCCATCCTTGCCGTTGTATGAGGTCAGCTCAGACGGGCTGTAGACGTGTTGAGTCGGGCAGATGAGTCGCGGCATGCCAACCATGAAGAACACAAGAAACAGGCAACTAAACCAGATAATCATGTTGATGGCCAGCTTTTCTCTCCATGCAACGCGAATGTCTTTCCTCTTCATGCGACCGACGATCCTGATGACGAAGTCGGGAAGCCACCAAGTCATCAAATAGACGATAGCCAGCCAGCGCTTGCGCTCGCCAGTGAGCGGACGCTCCTCGACTTCGGCCACCTTGACTTCGTTGCCCTTCTCGGCCATCTGCGAGCGTGTGTCCAGGTTGCGGAACATGTCGCCTTCTCGGAATGCAGAAGCACCGGCCTCACTCTTCGCATCGAGGTCACGACTACCAAAGTATCCAGCAGCTTTGTCGTCGTAATAGTTGCCAGATCCAGGAGTACCAAGTAATTGCACCTTCGCGTCGCCGAACCCGCGCTTAGCATCATGTGGCGTAAGTAGTCCTTGCTCGTAACCAGGCTCATCAGTATAAGGAGCGGGCATATCGCTCAAGTCATTAACACCAGCCACCTGACGCCAACATCGCTCGCTCAAGAAGACACCCGTGCTGCCAACCCTTGCCTCACTGCTAGGCCAGCTCTTGTCATCGATAATCATCTCCGACTTCTCCTTGTCGCTGCCAATAACAGAGACCTCACCCTCAGCACTTCCGAGGAACTCGCTGAAAGGCATGAAGATACTGAAGTCGGCGTTCTTGAGCCTTTGACTGATCTCCGCGATGCCGAGTGTCTGGATCTGTGTCCGGACACATTTGCTGTCGAACTGGTTTGCTATTCTCCGGTCGTTAGGCTTCAGGCAGAAGAAGAAGTAAGAGTTGGTGTTGGGTGCGGTGAGAGACTTGTTGATGTTGTCGAGCGAGGACAGGAACTGGGCGGCGGCGCCTTGTTGAGGGTCATTGTTCGCACGACCGCCACGAGTGGAGACCTGGCGTTGGCCGTCCTCACTACTCTGGTCCTCGTCGATTGCTTGCTGAGCCTGTCTGGCGCGCCTGGCGCCTGACCGTTTGGCCATGCTAGGCATGCGGGATGGCTTGGAGGCAACGGAAGCCTGAGTGACTGCATTGCGATCTCTGGGATGCGTAATCTTATTGAGAGCCTCCTGGCCGAACAGATTTTGGACAAAGTCACTCTGTGACTGGCCGACCAAGTTCATGAGATCGCCACTGATGACCTCGCCGTTGCCTTCGATTAGGCCGTCGACTGGGTAGTCCACCTCGCCAGCGAAGTGCTTGACAGTGAAAGTGGCGTTGGTATTTGTGGTCGCGAAGTTGTTCCCGGGAAGCACGACACTGGCGCTCGCAACCTCGATCGCAGAGTTCTTGTTCTCGAACCGCTTGCGAAGAGACTCGAGCAGCTGCATGTCCGTCTTCCCTCTCCTCGTCTGGTCGTCGAGGATGCTGAGAAGACCATTTCCAGGCTTAAGCAGGCCCTTGACTGCGTCGCTGTTGTCGAAGTAGCTGGTAGCCGGTACTTGCACTTCTTCCGACTCCAGAAGATCTGCCTTGCGCTCAAAGAACGATTGCAGACAGAAGTTGTAAAATGACTCGGTGGCTGCGTTGTTCAGCAGCTGATCGAGTGTGCTGTTCGTAGACCTCTCCAAGGCAAAGCCGGGAAAGTCCACCACCGAGATTGTGTTCTTGACGTTCTCCTCGTCCGCGCACACGCGCTGGTTGATCTTCTCCATGATGTATGCAACAAGCAGCGAGTAAAGTGTGCGCGCAAGCTCATCTGCGTTCTCTCTCGCTCCTTTCGGGTCAAGCATGACTGTGACGCGCTCGCGGTGCAGTGTTTTCGTCTTGTAGCCCATTGACATCTCAAAGTCCTTCTCCGGGACTCCCAGAAAGGCGGCAATGCTCGCAAGCACATCCTTGTTCTTGACTGTCGTGACATCCTCGCCGCCTTCGTGACCGTATCCGCCGCTCTCGTCCGCCGCTGGCGTTGTGGCCTGTGATGTCTGAAACTCCAGCTGGCCAATGTGCAGAATAGCAGCCAGAACCTCGCACATGTGGGCAATCTCCTCTCTAGGGAACTCCAACTTGCGAAGCGCTGTCTTGAAATGCTGAAAGCCTTCGGCGTCGTTCACGCCGACCTTGAGCTGAGATGGATGTCCCAGGTAACGCCATCTTTTTTGTGTCCCAGCGACCGATGCTCTGTGTCCGAGGTGCCCATTACCCTCAGATGAAAGATTGGTACCTGGCAGCTCTAGTCCCAAGTGCTCTTTCTCCGCTGGAGATGTTCCAGCCAACAAGTAGTACAGGACGTGGAAGTTTCGCTCGCCGGATGGCACGCATGCCACTCTGCTCCTCTCCAGTCTGTGATCCAGGACTTTTCCACCAATAAGGGTGGGATGCAGAGATGATGCTGTGTCGTACTGCAATTCAAAGTAGAGGCCAGCCTTCGATGCTGTCGTAGTGGTGGCAGTTTTGGTGGTGGTGAGGGCGTCGAAGACGAAGGAGGCAAAGGACAGCTTCTTGGATAGCGGTGTCGATGAGAACGAGAGTAGCGCGTTGAGCAGATGTGAGCGGATGGTAGTCTTCCCAGACCCTGTCTCGCCGCTATAATGTCGTTAGCCCTAGTTCAAAGAGGTTGATCCCGCTCCAATGCCACGCTTGAAGGTATCACAACTTACAGGAACATCACCGCCTGGTTTTCCTGTCGATGCCCAAGCCTATGTAGAGCCCTCTGTGCCAGGTCCTCCGCCGCTCCCATCGCTGACCCATCTTTGCCGCCATTGGGCCCCTTGGCCGAAGATGTGTAGGTGTTGACCGAGACGATGGCACTGGAGCCTAGATAGCTCACGGGATTCTGAACATGGTACCGGCTGGCAATATGGGCTGTTAACTGAGTATCGGATTGTTGGTGGGCGGGCAGGTTAGGGAGGGAGGGTTGGCTCCCCGCCATGTTGAAGTGGTTTGGATGGCCTGGCGGCCGCTTGCTGTATGGCGACTACAGTGGTTGGTAGAAGCCACTCCTGGCGGATCGATGGTAGGTATGCTGAGTGGAATTGAGTGTTGATTATCGCGTCCAGGGAATGGTGGTAGAGGTGTAGTTGGAACGGCGCCTCCCTGTAGAAGTGCCAAGGCGATGAGGTCGGGAGCAAGCGATTGTCTAACAGGCAAGAGTCTCCTCGAACGTCACCTGGAACGTCCAAACTCGAAATAACGAAGGTATTCACCACACTCTCGAGGAAATACTGTGTGGAGAAGTGGTTGATGGTAACAATAGGAAGCAGTGATCTGAGACGCAGCTACGAAAAACATCCCCGACCCTCGCTGCGCACTGATCCTGGCTAGCATCGAATCACCTAACAACGCATGCAGCCCCCTGTCCACATTCGCCTCCAGCTTTGACTCTCGGATCGAATTTGGGACCATCTCACCTGGCCTTCACGAAGGTCACGTAAACGTCCCCTACGAGCGGAAGAACGTATCAGGCTAACATCTTCACTACATTCCCTTGCTATCCACGCTGACGTCCACCGTCCCTCAACCAACACGTGCGAGAACAGCGTGCAGCGGTACACGACAGCAGTCGACCCTGATCCTCGGTGGCGTCTTTCTGTGCTGTCCGGATCCGGATCCTGGGGTATTCTCGATAGTCTAACGGCTGGACGAATGCATAGAATGCACCTCCACCTGCTCTACACGCAGTGGATCGTCGAGATGCAGCACGGGAGCACAGTCAGATACAGCAACGAGCCCCAATCGCGTCGTCATCAGCATTCGGAAGAGGCAAAGAAGCTCTGCGTGCAGTAGCGAGCGCGTGTTGTTGAGCTCTTCCAAAGGGACCGAAATAGTACGCCACCCAGATCCGCTCGTTCGTAATGCGGACGGGATTCGCCACTGCGAGATCCAGAAGTTCTGCCAGATCACGAGGTCTATGTCAATGATGGATATGGGCAGTTGTATAGCGGCGTTGGGCAGACGAATGGATGTTCTGGAGTAATCATCACATAGACTTCGAGCCACCGTTGCTGTGAAGAAGCGCCTCCCTCTGCCCTCGCTGGTTGTCGCCGGGCAACTCTGGTGAAGCTTTCAACACTACCTTAGCTGCATCGCCTCCAACATCCTTGCACCCAGCCAAGCCAGCCAATCACCGTTCTTCTCCTCGTCGTCTTGCTGGTCTGAGCAACAACATCTTCCTCTTCCACCTCCATCTCTCCCGCGTCCTAGGTTGTTATTTGCTGTTTGCTCGGCCTCACCAGGTCCTTGCTGTTCTGTCAATCGCTTACATTCCACTCTCGCTGAAGACCCCGAAACCCTCGATAATCGCCCCGCGAATCCTAACGAACAAGACGACATCCGTCTGACCACCAACACCTGGTTCACACCTACTTAATCGCCCTTTACGGGCAGCTCGAGAGTACCGGCCAACATCCACGAGAATGGCCAACCGCTACTCGTCCTACTCGAGCCACTCTGGCGCCGGGCAGAGGACGAACACGATGCAGGGCGGCGGCTCACACCAGGTCTCGACCACATCACTGCTCGCTCAACTCAACACATGCTTCGCCAATGGCCAGCCATATCCCTTGGAATCCAGCACGAGCTTGGTCGTGAATACATGGGCGAGTGGCGAGATCATCGATGAAGAGCTGGCGAGGAAGGCTTGGGAGCATGCACGCCGCAGAGCAGAGGATGGGTGTATCGTGCTCGGCTCCCTCCATCGTTCGACACCGAGTTTGCTGCAGCCATTCGCTACTGCGCTACCACTTTCTGTTCCCAACTCGTTCTACACAGCTGTTAATGCTCTGCGGCCTTTCTTGCAGCGCGTCACGCCCTACAATCCATCAGAACCATGCTACTCGGCGCTTGCGGCGACATTCACACTTTCGCTTGAAGGCGAGATTCAGGGCGCTTCTCTGAGTCTCTCGACATCCGGCATTGACACGCAGAAGGGCCTCTTGAATGTCCCAGCGGAGCACGGCAACCGTGCTTTCGATGTCTTCTACTACCTCCTGACCAGCAGCACCAACAAGGAGCGAGATGCGCTCGGACTCAAGACACCAAACCAATATGCTCTCCTCCGCAAGAGCGAGACATACACCTCTCCTTTATACCTGCCGACGGGCGATGATGCCGCCAGTGCGGAGGACTGGCGAGAGTCGCTCAAGATGCTCGGCATCAAGGGCGCAGACTTCCGGAATCTTCTCACCACGGTATCCGCCATACTACGCCTCGGAGATGCTGTGGGCTACCTTGTCGATCAGGAAGAGCTGGGAGAGACATGCGAGGAGGTCGGCAGCTTACTCGACATCGAGCCGGATGTCCTTCTCAAGAAGTGTGTCACTGAAGAGCGCGAGATACTCATTGCGGCCATCTACGAAGCTCTCGTGGACTGGATTATCGTCAAGATCAACGATGCCATCAGGACAGAAATGCGGACAGGGCAGGCCATTGGCTCGGGCAGCAGCGATGGCGGCATCAACACACCTCCCAGCAGCCAAGAAGATGGCGTCTGTGCGAGCATCACGGTCGTCGAGGTACCGAGTTCAAGCCTAGGCAAGGCTGTGAGTCTAAAGACCATCTTTGACGACTCCACGGGTATCAACGCGGAGATGAAGGAAGATGGCGTGCAGTACGTCCCTGCTGGATCTTCTGTGCAACGCGAGATGAAGGAGGCGTTTGCACAGAACGGGGCGGATCTCAACGAGGACAATGGACCGGCTGCCAGAGATCGGGAGCTTGCGCTTGATCGGAGGCAGACGGCTTTGGAGAAGATTGGCGAGGAAGCCGAGTCGGACAGCTTCATGAGGCGGATCCTATACCCAGTATCCGGCCAGGGCATCAACCTGGGCAAGACTGGCCGCTTCAACCTCAGGAACACAATGGAAAGCAGCAGAGTCTGGTTTCATCTCTGTTTACACCCCACAGAGGACTCACCCGCGACAGTGGCACAGCAGAGCCTTCCTTGGTCTGCAGGATCAGTTTCCAGCCAGATCCGCGCATGGCGTCTGCCTGAATGGGCAAACCACCGGAATAAGCAACTGGACCTCACAGCAGACTTCGACATCGACGAGTTCGTGGACCGCTACAGCCGACTCGGCTGCCACGCTGGTCGCGAAGGCGTTGAGGCCTGGATCATGGAGCGTGGCTGGAGCAATGGAGAGGTCATTGTCGGCCACGAGCGGATCTGGATGCGCGAGCAAGCCTGGTGGGAAGCCGAGAGCATGCTCGACATGAAGCCGATCGACGACATACCGGCTGGCATGCTCGGCGGCATGATTGGTGCTGGCGGGCTGGAGACCGGCTACTCTCACCAGAGCGACGCAATGTCCAACCCATTCTTCTCCCAGCAGTATGAGACAAACGCCTCTCAGGACAACCTCGCCTCTGGCCGTGCTAGTCAGATGGCTCCTAGTTATTTTGGTGGTGCAAAGTCCATTGCGCCTACCGCTGCTCCTACCACGCGTACTGTCGGCGCTGGCGACTACGGTCTCGGTCGGAAAGGCGACAACAAGTATGCCGACGTCTCGTACGAAGGCGAGATCGACCCTGAGCTGGCTGAAGGCAAGGAGATTGAGGTGGAGAAGACCTCCTTCGGCCGCAGGGTGTGGGTTGCTATCGCATGGGCCGTCACGTTTTGGATGCCTTCCTTCCTACTCAAGCATGTCGGACGTATGAAGCGACCCGATGTGCGACTAGCTTGGCGAGAGAAGGTTACGCTTGTTTTGATCATCCTCCTCATCAACGGCACTATTATCTTCTGGATTGTCGGATTTGGCGACCTTATTTGTCCGAACTGGGACAAGGTCTGGGATCAGCAAGAAGTCGGCTATCATCAAGGCGAAAAGGACTACTGGGTCTCGTGGCGTGGTGGTGTTTACGACATGACTGATTTCTGGAGACTTCAGCACTCGGACACTAATATCCAGACCACCTCGGATCTCATGCTTCCATTCGCCGGCACGGATGTGACCGACTACATCGTACCGCCGCTCTGGCTTGCTTGTCCAGGTCTGGTGGATTCGAGGCAGTTGGCGATGACGCCCAATAAGACTCTTCTGTATCCACAAGCAACGCATCCCTCTGGCGAGTGGGCGCAGCCAGACCCAGGCTCGAAGCTGCACAACAACCATTGGTACGACAACACATTGATACCAAAGATGAAGGAATATTGGAAGGGCGACCTCGTCACTTCGATGGACAAGATCAAGAAGGAGGGCGAGAACTCGCAGCATTACTGGTTCGTCTTGAACAAGAAGGTCTACGATCTGACGGATTACTTCTCCACGCTCAAGCTTCAGAACAACCTTGACCAGTACAAATTCCTCGGCGATGGGGTCACGGAGCTGGTTCAGTCGAACCCCGGCAAGGATATCACGGAGCTGTGGGAGAACAGCAACTTCAACCGGACATACAGAGGCAACACCCTGAACTGCTTGGACAACATGTTCTACGCTGGCAAGACCGACTTCCGCGACACGGCTCGTTGCCAGGTCAACAACTACATCCTGCTGGCCTTCACCATCATCATCTGCGTGGTCATCGGAGTCAAGTTCCTCGCGGCCTTGCAGCTGGGATCGAAACGGCGACCAGCCCAACAGGACAAATTCGTCATTTGCCAGGTCCCCGCTTACACCGAAGGCGAAGAGTCTCTCCGAAAAGGTCTCGACTCCCTCACCGCGCTTGCCTACGACAATAAGCGCAAGCTCATCTGCGTCATCTGCGACGGCATGATCGTCGGCGGCGGCAACGACCGCCCTACCCCGAAAATCGTCCTCGACGTCCTCGGTGTGGACCCTAAGATCGACCCGCCGGCCCTGCCCTTCAAATCCGTCGGTAACGGCAGCGAGCAGCTGAACTACGGCAAAGTCTACTCCGGCCTCTACGAGTACGAAGGCAACGTCGTCCCCTACATCGTCGTCGTCAAAGTCGGCAAGCAGTCTGAGCAGAGCAAGTCCAAGCCCGGCAACCGCGGGAAGCGCGACTCCCAGATCTTGCTCATGAGCTTCTTGAACCGCGTGCACCACCGTGCTCCGATGAACCCGCTGGAGCTGGAGATTTTCCATCAGATCAACAACATCATAGGTGTGGATCCGGAGCTGTACGAGTACTTGTTCATGGTCGATGCGGACACGAAGGTGAAGGAGGATTCGCTCAACAGGCTTGTTGCGTCTTGTGCGAACGATGGGAAGATCGCGGGCATTTGTGGCGAGACGAGTCTGGAGAATGAAGAGAGGAGTTGGTGGACGATGATTCAGGTGTACGAGTACTTCATTTCGCATCATTTGGCGAAGGCTTTTGAGAGTTTGTTTGGGAGTGTTACTTGTTTGCCTGGATGGTGGGTTGCTTTCTACCTTACAGATATGAGGTGATGATGCTAATGGTGGTTACAGTTTCTGCATGTACCGACTGCGAACGGCAGACAAGGGACGCCCTCTCATCATCTCGGACAAGGTCATTCACGACTATGCAGACAACCAGGTCGACACGCTGCACAAGAAGAACCTGCTCTCGCTTGGTGAGGATCGATATCTCACGACGCTCATGACGAAGCACTTCCCGCAGATGTCGTACAAATTCGTGCCAGATGCGTATGCACTCACGGAAGCCCCTGCCGAATGGAGCGTCCTGCTCTCCCAGAGACGACGATGGATCAACTCGACAATCCACAACTTGGCGGAATTGGTGTGGCTCAAGGATCTTTGTGGCTTCTGTTGCTTTAGTATGCGCTTCGTCGTCTTCATCGATCTTTTCGGCACCATCATCCTCCCGGCCACCTGCGGATACCTCGTCTACCTCATCTACAACGTCGCCTCCGGCACCGGCCAATTCCCACTTATCTCGATCGTCATGCTGTCTGCCGTCTACGGCCTGCAAGCCGTCATCTTCATCGTCAAGCGGCAATGGCAGCACATCGGCTGGATGATCATCTACATTCTCGCCTACCCTATCTGGTCCCTCATTCTACCCGTCTACTCCTTCTGGAAACAAGACGACTTCTCCTGGGGCAACACCCGTGTCGTGCTCGGCGAGCGCGGCGACAAGAAAGTCGTCGCCACCGAAGACGAGGGCTACGATCCTAGAAGCATCCCGCTCCAGCGCTGGGACGACTACGCCGGGCAGAACAACCTCCCCGGCCGTCGTGGGTTGCCCCTCGAAAAGGAAGCATCGGGCTACTACGAGACCGGCCCGGGCGGGTATGAAATGGACGACATCCACTCCGTCTACTCGTCCGTCAAGCCGGCTTCGACTATTCTGACAGGCATGCCCGGGAGCCAAATGTACCGCCCCCCGCAGTCTCCTGCGCCTTTCCGCCAAACCGGCATGACCGGCTACGCCTCCACACAACGCTACACCGACCTCCCCACCGACCAGCAATCCCGCCTCATGTCCATGGGCGGCATGTCAGACCAATACCAAAACTCCTCCCGCCACGCTTCCCGCGACAACCTGCTCTCCATGGCTTCCCCGCACATGCAACAGCAACCCGACCGCTCGCGCTCGCCCTTCCCGCTCCAACAGCAGAGCAGGCCCGCGAGCACGCTGCACGGGTTCCAGCAGCAGGGCCCGAGTAATGAGGCGATCTCGGCAGCGATCCGGGAGTGTCTGGGCGAAGTGGATCTGGATCGGGTGACGAAGAAGCAGTTGAAGGCGTTGGCGGAGCAGAAGTTGCAGTGTCAGCTTGTCGGGGAGCGGAGGGCGTGGTTGGATGAGCGGATTGATTTTGAGTTGGCGAATATGTGATTTCGCTTAAAGTAGTAGTACTGGGGGACAACGGGTGGGGGTTTTGGATGACCGGGGAAATGGCGTTTGGGGGGAGTGTGGGGGATGGGTAACGAAAATTGTGCATAGGGACTCGGTCGTTCAAGGGATGGAAGGGTGTTTGCGGGATGGGGTGTGGATATAAATTAATGTGCACTCTCTTGTAACCTGTCTACGACTCCGCATCCGACTGGCTTCCCAGCGATAGTATTTATTTGTATCGCCGCTTGGACCCCTCTATGGTGCCACAGCGTGTCGCTACGTTAGTGGAGGCTAGGTATGGAGGTACACAAGCAGGACGTGCGGTTGTTCGGGCAGTGCCGAGGCCGGAGACTTGTGTTCGACTTCATCTGCTTCCCATCTCTCATCTCTACATCCCACCATGCCGTTTGCTCTTCTAATCAATGTTCTCACTGCCCGAACACCGAGACCTACGCCGTGTCGAGCAGGCAGTTTACGAGTCGTGGGTGCTGGCCGACGGTCCCCCGGATGTCTCGCGCTCGCAGGTGCCTCCAGCGATGGACGGCGTCTAGTTGTGCTCGGTCCGGTGACTTAAACCACGGGAAGACTGACATCCAGGGGATACGACACTGAAGAAGTGTACATTTATTCAACATCTCAAGACGAGGCTAAGTCGGGTTTCAGCGACCGCTCGACCACAACACCGCCAATCCATCAACTCAACGGCGACACCGCTCGCCTGGCCCTCTTAGCGCGCTCGTCGGTCACCTTCTCAAGGATACTCCGCGGCGCCTCATCCTCTCCCTCATAGAATGGCTGCCTCATCCCATCCGCAGTCACAGTCCAGCCCTTGATCCCTCTCGCCGCCTCCTTCGCAGTAGGCGCGACGTTCTGCCTTGGCCCCATTCCATGCGGCGTTACTGGAGTTGGCATCGCGCTGTCAACCTTCTCCTTCGGATTACCAACTGGAATCATCAACACCGCCGGCGTATCCCTGTGTGGTTCCAACCAGATCTCCTCTCGTAACCGCTTCTTCAGCGCATGGAAGACTTCCAGCCGCAGATGACCATCCAGAACAATCGCCATGGATGCGACCGGGAATCTTGCTCTGGCGATCGACTCGTTGTACGCGTTCTTCTCCTCGATCACATACTCCGCCCAGGACATCCCCCTCCGAAACGCCACTTTCGCTCGGTTGACGAACGTGCGTGCCATAGGCCGGATCTCGCCGTCATCGCTGTGCTCGTACCAATCATCAGACCCATCGTCGAACCACAACTCCCCTTCCTCCTCATCCTTCGACTCCTTCCACGCCTTGCGGCTCTCGGACAGGTTGGTGAAGTCCTTCGGTACCGGGACCTGCCAGGCGTAGATCATGAACTTGTCTGCTGCAAGAAAGCGCATGATCCTCTGCGTGCTACGGGGGAGGTTCGAGAGTTCGCTGGGCGCATTGGCTCTTGCTGTGTTCTTCGGCATCGTGGTGGCTTTGGCGCGAAAAAGTGTAGGTGAGCTCTCTTCTTCTTCGTCAGATTTTTCCGGTGGTAAAAGGAGTCCTCGAACGCTCTCGCCGGCCTGCTTGATTTCTTTCGCCTTCTTAGTGAGAGTTTTTCGTCGAGCCGGACGTCGAGCGGCGATGTCAACGCCTTTTGTACTGCGTGGCATTTGGTGATGACCTTTGGGAGTGCGAAATCTGCTGAATAGGAATGGTTGGACGAATGGGATGTTGTTGATTATGCTGGGTCATGGTGAAAAGAAGTTTCCGTTGTGATCATGACGAAGGGGCAGTGTCCCGTGAATATTGGAGAAGGGGAGGTGACGTTCGGCACACGGCGTTGCTAGAGGTAGCATTTCGAGTTTGAGGCTTCGTGGCTGGTTGGCAGGAAGTGGGAATGCCGCGTGGGCTGACATGTGACTGCCATGTGATTGGCATATGAATAAGCAGAGGAAGGTGTGCAACTGAATGCACTCTACATGCGTTTCTGCGGCTGCATATGAGTCCAGACCATGACTTCACAATGAAGACAGCTAGCAGACTGTCAATATCACAGCACTTTGCCATATCACATGCTTGCTCCTACTGCCTCCTTCGACTTAGCGTCGATGCTGATCGATTGCCGACCGATAAAGTTTGCGCCGGAATCTCGGTGCGCGCGAGTTTCGCGTTTTGGACGTGCGCGATGACGGAGTACATCTTCTCCCTGTCGCAACGATCCCTCTCGCGCTCTGTATCGTACAACAGTATGTTTTGATAGTGTATTGAACTTGAAGGCCTTCTGCTTTTTCTGTTCGCCATACTGCAATCACAATGTCCTCCGAAATAGCCCAGTCGTCCGCGAGTACGCCACCCACATCGCCCGAAAGCGGCAATGGCGGGACTACTGAATCCATGGAGCAGGAGGAGAAGCGCATGGCGGAGGCGCGACGAAAGGAAGATGAGAAGCGTGAGCAAGAGATGGCTGCGGAGCGCGAAGGCGACATCAAAGGCGGGAAGAAAGTCGTAGATCAAAAGTACAAGGCATTGGAGTACTTGCTTAGCCAGAGCAAGCTGTATTCGGCCATCATGCTGGAACAGATGACGAACCAAGAAGAAGCCGAGACGGCGAAGGATGAGAAGAGTCGGAAGCGGGCAGAGAAGAGGGAGGAACAAGCTGAGAAGGCAGCGCAGGCTAGTCAGAAGCGGACGACTAGGACGGCTGTCAGCACGGAGAATGCTGCTGCCGCTGCAGAGGAAGACTCGCCGAAGAAGAAGCTCCCGACTCGTGGACGACTGCAGAAGGAGTCTAGTAAGAAGGACGGCAAGATATCCGACTTCATGAAGAAGGAGGACCTTCAGGCCAAGGCTGGGAAGACGTCGATTACGGAAGCTCTGGCAGAGGAGACGAAGGACTCCGATGTCAAGCCAGGAGAGATCGGTATGCAGGACTTGCGCTCTGCGAAGCAACCGGATCTTGTCACGGGAGGCCTCATGCGGACGTACCAGCTTGAGGGGCTCGAATGGCTCACCTCGTTGTACGAGAATGGTCTCAATGGTATTCTGGCAGACGAGATGGGTCTCGGAAAGACGATTCAGACGATTGCATTCATCGCCTTCTTGCGCGAGAAGGGCGTCAATGGCCCTTTCCTGATCGCTGCACCGCTCAGTACCACAAGCAATTGGGTCGCAGAATTCAAGAAGTGGACGCCAGATATCCCTGTGGTGCTGTACCACGGCAGTAAGCAGGAACGCGAGGAGATCCGCCGCAAACAGCTTCGCAACCCCGGCAGCGAGAAGTTCCCAGTCATCTGCACCAGCTACGAGATCTGCATGAACGACCGCAAATTCCTGAGCCACTATGGATGGAAGTTCATTATCATTGATGAAGGTCATCGGATCAAGAACCTGAACTGCAGACTGATCCGGGAGTTGCAATCATATCAGTCGGCGAATAGACTACTGATCACCGGGACGCCGCTACAGAACAATTTGACCGAGCTGTGGTCGCTCCTACATTTCCTAATGCCGAGCATCTTCGACAAGCTGGAATCGTTCGAATCATGGTTTGATTTCTCGGCACTGAAGGAGAAGAACGGTGTGGAGCAGATCCTCTCTGAAGATCGCAAGAAGAACCTCGTTGCGAGCCTTCACGCCATTCTGAAACCGTTCTTGTTGCGTCGTGTCAAGGCAGATGTCGAAACCGCATTGCCGAAGAAGCGCGAATACGTTCTGTATGCACCTCTGACCCAAACACAAAGAGAGCTATACCAGGAGATCCTTGAAGGCAACAGCAGAGCGTACCTGGAGAACAAGGTGGTGGAAACCCTCAGCGGTACTGCCACTCCAACCAGCGACAGGAGCACCAGTCGGAAGCGCAAACTGATAGACGACTCCTCGACACCGAACAAAAGCGCGAAGTCTAGTCGTGCATCAACACCAGCAACGTCCAAAGGCAGCGCGCCACGGTCACGAAAAGCGAAGAAGCAGCAAGGCTACGAAGAGATCTCTGATACTCAGTACTTCAAGCAGCTCGAAGAGGCGCCACCTTCACCGGCATCCGATGAAGTCGACGATGAAGACGATGAAGAGACGGAGCGCGCGAAAACGCTTTCGATGGCAAAGCGTGAGATCGCGCAGAAGAAATTGCAAAACCCTGTGATGCAGCTTCGGCAGTGCTGTAACTCACCGCACAACTTCTTCTATCCGTTTGACCTGGACGACAACACACCCGTCGACGAGACCTTAGTGACAGAAAGCGGCAAGATGCTTCTGCTCGACCGCCTGCTGCCGGAGTTGCTGCAGAAAGGCCACAAAGTTCTCATATTTTCGCAGTTCAAGACGCAGCTCGATCTTTTGGAGACTTACTGCAGCGACCTCCGGCAATGGCCGGTCTGCCGTATCGATGGCTCTATAGCACAATCAGACCGTCAAGAGCAGATTCTGGCATTCAACGAGCCGGCCTCTGAGCTCAACATCTTTCTCCTTTCGACACGAGCAGGAGGTCAAGGTATCAACCTCGCAGCCGCAGATACTGTCCTGCTATTTGACAGCGATTGGAACCCACAACAGGATCTTCAGGCACAAGATCGCGCGCACCGCATCGGACAGACCCGGCCAGTGATCGTCTACCGCTTCGCTACCAAAGGCACCGTTGAGCAGATGCTGCTCGAGAAAGCGGATAGCAAGCGACGACTGGAGAAGCTGGTGATTCAGAAGGGCAAGTTCCGGAACGCCAAGTCTGATATTAGTGCGGACTTTGGTGAGCTGCAACGGCTGCTGGGGAGGGATGACGGCGAGAGGATCGATATTGCTCAGGGCAAGGAGCTGCTGAGTGATGAGGATCTTGCTACCTTGACTGATAGAAGCGAAGAGGCTTTTGAACGCGCTGAGAAGGGGTTGGATACTGTTGGAGATATGTTCAAGGCTGTGCAGACGAAGAAGGATGGTGGAGGGCTTTTGGAGAGTTTGCAAAAGTAGTTATTTGTACGGAGTCAAGGATACAGGCCCTATTGACCAGCATGTTTTCTTGCGTTTTTCCTTTTCTGCTGCCTCACCATTAGCAGAGCAACTTTTGCAACACGTATGAGATACACTACCTACGTCTTGCTGCTCTTGCCCCTTTGCAGCTCGGGGCGCTTCCGATTGACAGCCGTTAGCGTCGGCTTCGCTCAGCCAATTAGACCGGACAGCCCTGTTGCTTCGCTCTCGCGTTTCGCCACTCAAGGTACACTCTCCGACGGCAGGACACAATTCCGTGACACGAGCAGAACGGGACCATGGGCGTAGCAGAGAACCAGACATATGGCGGGCAGCCTCCATCAGCCGTCGCCTCACAACCGACGTCTCGCAAACGCAAGGCAGACGCGGGTCCCTCAAGCAGTAAACAAACCTATGGCGGCGCTGAAGTTGTCGACCTAACTGCGGACTCACCACCCAAGAAGCGGAAGAAGCAACTACTTGACGAACAAAACGCAGCCTCATTGCCCAAGAAGCGCAAGAAGCAGGCAGTCGACGAAGAAAAGCGTCTCCGACGATGGCGCAAGAAGGCACCTCAAAGCTACGCAGAAATCAGAGACCGCGCTCTCACACAGCGAATGTACGTCCTCGACCGCCAACGCAACGACGCCTACCCGGATCACCCCATCGAGACCATCTCTTTAGCCGGAACGACTGGCAACGTCTACTCCATCACCATCGACAAAGTCCCCTCCTGCAACTGCCCGCACGCCATGAAAGGCAACCAGTGCAAGCACATCATCTACGTCCTCGCGCGCGTCCTGCGTGTGACGGGGGAAATGGAGTACCAGCTCGCCTTCATCTCCTCAGAGTTGCGCGAGATCTTTGAGCGCGCTCCGCCGCTGCCGTCCGAGCAAGCGGAGCAGTCGGCGAAGGATGGCAATCGCAAGGATGTGGAGGGCGAATGTCCGATCTGCTGTGTCGACTTCGAGCCGGAGGATGGCGGTGAGGAAGTGGTGTTCTGTAAGGCGTCTTGCGGGAACAACATCCATAAGCATTGTTTTCAGCAGTGGGCGGCGACGAAGAAGGGTGGGAATGTTACGTGTCCGTTCTGTCGTACGCCGTGGCAGGGTGATGATAGTGATTTGAAGAAAGTTGCGAGGAGTGGAGAGGTGAATGAGGAAGGATATGTGAATGTGGCGAATCAGTTGGGGTTGTCCGGTGATCGCGACTACTCGACGTACCATCCGTACTGGGTTCGCAAGCAGTTTGGTGGCGATTGGTACTGAAGGAGGTTGGGAAGAGCAGTCGAATGCAGCTCATTCATAGTGGCAACAGCCACCTAGCAATGTAAGGCTACAACATCCTTTCGAAAATATCTTCTCGTGGTCGTCCAATCCAGAGCGGTGCATGGATGGCCAGGCTGCAGTATGCGCCTCCGCCTGCAGCCGCTTCAGAAAGCGTTACCACCATCACTCCCAAAGAAGAAACCATTGAACATATCAATGCCACTCGGATCCCAATTGCCGTCCGTATCATAGCTCCCTGTCCCGCCCGTCCCAAAACCAAGATCGAGCTCGTTCATACCTCCAGTCGACCAGCCACCCCAGCTGCCTGGCGTTGGATCAGAGACTGGGAAGGTATCGAGGAAGCTCATGTCATCCCAGGAGAAGTCCGGTTGTGCTTGAGATATTGTCTCCGCAAAGGGGGCGTAGGGTTGCTGATTGGAGAGGCCGAGGTGCATGCTTTGTGAGGGAGACGTGGATGCATACGTCTGTGCAGGACTGGGTTGCGGGTCATTGTATTGAGGTGTCTGTTGCGGTATGCTGCTGGATAATGGTGCTGCGTAGTTGGCGGGTGGTGGCTCGGTGGACTGTTTCGATCTTTGCGGGAAGCCGTGCAACTTCATCTGGTGCTTCCATGGACGATTCGAAATCTCCTCGTCATCGAAAAGGTCTTTCAGGTTCATGTCGAATTTCGGCATCGTCGTCTTCCGCTTGGGTGGTCGCGATGCAGCTTCTGGAGTAGCGGCTCGTTGACCTGCACCGAAGGCGTTCTCGAAATAGTTGTGTGGATCGTGTAATGGGCGCGAGCTGAGAGTGGACTGCGTCCCGACTGTTTTGATGACACACGATCAGCGCACTATTCAACAGGTACTGCAAAGGGCATGCTTACAGCCAGTCGTTCTTTCAGCCATGGCTACGGTAGCCTTGCTCATGCGCACGAATGCGTCTCGGCAGGCCTCCGCTGGCGGACACTTCTCTGTCAAGTCACCAAGTACTGATGTAGCTGAGAGGACGGTGTAATCGACATCTTCCGGCGAGAGCTGTGACCTGACGAGCGGCGAATGCCAGATAGCGTACAGAAACGAGATGCCTGTGACAATATGTCAGCCTTCGATAGCACAGCTACAAATCATCGATGCTTACCGCTCATGAACAAATGATGAGTCGCCAGGAATGTATAATTGACCAGCTTGAGCCTGTGCAGCTGCCTGTACAGCTTCAAGACCATCTGACCAGCCTGAGCGACCTTCATAAAGACCATTTGCTCGTCATCCTTCGCTTCGCTTTCCAAGGCTCCCGGGCTGTGTACGTCGTTGCCGGTTGATGGACTCATCTCGCTGGCAAGCTGTTCTGGTACCGCGAGTGACTGTCTGTAGAGCATGATGATGGCTTGGTAGTAGTTCAGCTCCAGAAACAAGGGCTTGAAGGCCACGCCCGTATCTGCTTGCTGCGGTGCCGACTCCTTCCACTCCCACAGACGTCGGTCAACATCTTTGCGCCAATCACGATAGCTGTCGAACTTCTGCAAGAACGGAGAGGTCAGGCCCTTGTTCATGTAGGTGTTGTACTGGTTGGCACCTAGCATCCTCGCTTTCTCCGCTTGTCGGGCTTGCAGGACCTGCAGGATCTCGGACTGCAGCAGGCGAAGACGGAAGTAGTGACAAGAGACCAGCTTATAACTCGGTACCTTGACCTCCGAAGGCGCAACGAGGAAACCATTGGTGGTGATGTATTTGTCTTCCAGCATGCTCGGGAACTCAGTAGTCACCACCTGATCAGTGATGCCGAATGGACGACCAACGCACGTGGAGACCAGGCGATCGAAGGTGTAGACACACCACCAAAGACGTCTCCGAAGGTCCCGTGTCCATTGCTTGCGACCTGTAGCTTTTGACGCTGCAGATTTTGGGTCGACCACATAATTGTCAAGTCTCTGATCGATGTCCTCGGAATGCAGGCCGAGGTCGACGGCCAACCGTACCGCAACTCCTATGATGTACCACAGGCCAGGAGCAACGGGCCGCAGCAGTGCCAGACTAGCCAGCAGTAACACAGCCTGCAACTCTTCCAGGCCTCCACCGCCGCCCTCAACGGCAGGCGAGGATCCAAGGAAGCTTTCGAGGTGCACCACCGCACTTGAGTGGTACTCCTCTGGCTGATACTGCTGTCTGTTCATCTTCTGACGTTTGGAAGCAGGAGAATCGGCATCCACAGGCGACCCTGTGGCAGAAAAATTGTCCTCGGTCTCAGCAGAATCCATGATGATACCAGATCCAATAGCGAAAACAACATTGACCAGATAAAGCTCTCGAGGTGTTCTCTTGTCCGGTTCGGTAGCATACACCCGGTTCAGCAGCGCTTCGAACTCCACCCGATGAAGGATCGGAATCTGAGGATTGGCGAATTCGAAGTACAGCCTGACTAGTCGCTCACCCACGGCCTTCTCTGGGAACGGCGCGGGCGTTATAGTTGGCTTAGTGTGCAGGCCGAAGAATGAATCTCGCATGGTCGTGCCACCACCACCAGCCGAATCGCTTATCGGTGCCTTCGAAAGCCTCCTTCCTCCCTTTTCGGACGGTGTCTGCGTGACTGAGCTTTTGACCGCAGCGAAGACGACTCGAGCAAACGAGATGCCAGAAGTAGATCCGAGGTATCTAGACTCTGACGTGCCTTGGACAGACACCATGCCCACGTCGCTGACCAGCCGATTCAGCTGATCATCCGGCTGCCGCAGCGCAGGATCCAGATTCGGATGAGCATCTTCTGGCACAGGTGCTTCAGCACCACCTGCTGTATGTGGATCCTCATCCAGGACCGGGAATGGGACGTTGTGTCCTGGCTGTATTGAACCATCTATGGCAAAGTTGTCCTCAGGTAGCGGCACCGGGATGCTGTTGTCTTGAAGCAAGAGCTCAAGACTCCTCACCCTGGACTCCAAATAGTAGACGTAGCTGCGTGGTATCGCCCGCCGTGAGACCGGGTCGAAGCCTACGCACTTGACGTTGACCTTTTCGCATCCGCTGCCTGTCATAAATCAACTCATATACATCGCGTATGGCCGAGAGATGTCACTTACATCGCGGTAACTTCTGATCACACTTGTTCTTCCTAGTCCGACACCTATTACACGCCGACACGTTCCTGAAGTTCGTCGTCGATATTCCCTCCTCGCCACCCTTCCCAAACTGCTCTGCAGGACTGTTCTCGCTATCTCGATCGCGCTTCTTGGACGCAGCAGAAGAAGTCATCTCAGGCACAATACTGGCATCTTTGCCGAGCCCAGAGCCTGTGGAGACCGAGTTGGCGGAGGGCGCCGAAGGGGACAGTCAGCTACTTTGGGTACGAGAGGACGGGTATAGAAGCGTGAAAGGAGCTCATGCGTCACGGGCAAGTAAGGGCAGACGCATGGGATGTCCACTCAAGATGATCGTGGTCGTATCTTCGTGTACAAATCAAAGTGGAAGTTCTTATCTCGCACGCGTACAGCTGTGTCAAAACATCCGCTCACAGCGAAAAAAGCAAGCGCGACTTGCATGAAGAAAATCAAGTTGCCTTCGAACTGCCCTTCGGCCTCTGATTGCACTTCTAGCACACCACTAAATCTCTAAATATATCAATCCATTGTCCATCTCTCTCCGTCTCCCAGAGGGTATCATATAGCAAAGTCCAAAACGCGCCAGTTGTAGTATGCAAGTTCGCAGGTGTAAAAAAAAGCAGCAGCAACAACAACAAATATCGCTCAGATAGCCTCCCAGTAATACCCCTTGAACCCCTTTGAGGAATTCCCTCTCCTTTTCGTGCAACCTCTCGCGTGAGCGAGTGTTAGAACTGTTTTTTTGAACGCCTGTGGAAGAATCCATGCTGCAAGTTTGATCGCCCAGATAGCCGCCCGGAAATGTCATCTATAAAAGTGGTGGGTGCGGAACTGAACGTGTTGAGTGGAGGAGGAGGAGGGCAATCACCATCGATTGCTCTGCCGGGCTTCTTGTCGAGCCTCACGGCGCATGTCGAGACTCATTCGCACCAGAAGTGGAGAGGTCGGTCTCGACATCACGCACTCTTCAGGCGCGCTCGTGCTGTCTGCAGCGACCAGCGCTGCAGCGTCGGGACTCAAAGCCGGATGCATCGCGTCCGAATCGTCGGGGTCGAACTTCTCTGGATCCTGTGGCTCGCGCTTGTGCTCGACCATGAAGAGGCTCAGCACGGCGCCCACGACTGCGATCAGAGCAGTGAACCACCAGGGCAGGCCCAGCATACCACGGGACAGCCCGGCTGCTTCGAGGAGACCGGACAAGCTAGGTCCGATGGCTCTTGCGAAGCTCGCGGAAGACTGCGCGATGCCGTTGAAAGTGCCCAGTGCTCCCTTTGGTGTGGCATTGGCCAGCATCATGTTGTTCGACGGGAAGGCGAAACCCTGTGCAGTGACCTTCCAGACCAGAACTGCGTAGATCGCTGGCATCCGGAGGCTCGTCGAGACCAGGGTCAAGTAAGGGACTAGGATGTAGAGGAGCGGGTAGGTGAGTACGACCAAGCGGTAAGTGGCGAGTGTGCCGAGCTTCGACTGGACAAAAGGGAACACAAACATTGTGGAGACGATCTGAATGACACCCTGGATCGAGAGGATGCCGCCGATGGTCTTGGTGTCGAGCGCGAAGCCGCCGGTGAACCATATCGGCAGGTGAGCGGGTTGCTCGGACTCCGGCAAACTGAAGAGGACAGGTAAGAGTTGTTCGGCGGAAATGGTGTGGTAGGCTAGAATGCCGTATCCGGCGATGTTGAGGACGACTTGAGGGGTGAGTGCGTTCCACACGCTGGGGCTGTGCTTCCTTGTGTTACTCGTGTAGTCAGCCGCCTCCAGAGCCCCCTCGTCCAAGGCAAATTCCGAACTGTTGCCGGCGCCGTCAATGCTCTGGTATGGCGGGGGCAAACTGACAGCGGTCGCCTGCAGGCCGGGAGAAGATGCCGCACTCCGGTAGTTCGGCGGTTGATCGTCGTCGTCGTGCAAGAGAGTGTGTGTTTCACCGGCATACTCCGCTTTGCACCCTTGCGCGGAAGCTTGAGCGATCGACCTCCTGATCCGTCCTTCGAGCCACTTGCCAATCTCCAGCCCAGGGTCCCTGCGCTTCTGCATATCTTCGTGCGTCTCTTCCAGGAACAGGATCCCAACGACAATGCCAATAACGACCACCACGGCGCACAGGAGGTTCGGCAGAAGGTACGGGAAGCGCTCCAGCAATCCACCTGGAGGAAAGAGATCCGGGTAGTTGCGCACTGGGTCCGCCAGAGCACCGCCAAGTGCTGATCCGACAACAGCGCCGACACACCAAATCGTCGGCATGAGCGCATATGCGACGGTCTGATGTTTGTCGTTCTTGATCACCTCCGCGACAGTGGTTTGTAGCACCCCAATGTTGCCGTTCAGCAACCCTCCCAATGCCCTGGCTATTAACGCTGCTGGGAGCGACTGTGCGAATCCAAATGCCAGCATGCTGATTCCCGTCCCAGCCAGTCCTGTGAGCAGGATCACCTTCCTGCCGAACCTGTCACTCAGCCTGCCCCATATCGAGCTCGAGAAGGCTTCGGCAAGCGCGAAGGCAGAGGTGACCATGCCGGCATATTCGGAAATTCGGTCGTCGTCGTCGGTTATGTGGAATGATTTGATCATATAGTAGATATATGGGAAGATCGACATGAAGGCGATCGGTTCGCATATCCGACATATTGCTGTTCTCGTTAGCTTGACTTCATATCAAACGCAGGACGTGTGAGGGCTCACCGAGGATGGTCAACTGTCGATATGGGAATGCTTTTGGGTCTGTCCGACCCGTCTGATAGTTGTACGTCATGTTGTGCAGGCAAGAATCGAAGAGAACCTGAGCGGTGTAGGTATGCTTGTCGGTTTAGGCGACAACCAGGTGGTATTAATCGATAAGATGAAGTGAAGTAGGTTTGCTTGGTTGCGCAGGTGGCATCCACAAGGTCGGCGAATGGTGCGGCCCTTTGTTGTCATATGAGGAAGCCTCCCGATCACAAGGCGGTGGCGTGGATGCGCTGGTCGCGCTCGTGACGCAGCAAGGTGAACGTGGTCGTTTGGCGGTGGGACTGAGGGTCGGCCACCAATGGAGGCATGTAGAACGAGAAGCAACGGAAGGGAAGAGAAGACGGGAAAAAGTGACGGATTACCTATAGGTGTCACGGCCCAATCGTCAAGGCGAACGTTTTGGCTGACTTCGGGGGCAGGCATGGCTGATTAAATTCGGCACCTCCCAGGGAGAAGGTGTGGCACAACACGGGCAGCGGGCGCGGGCTCTGCCTCATGCACACAAACCGAATGTGCGGGATAGAGCCCAAGGCAAGGAAGGCCCCTGACAAACGGCGCGCAACGTGCAGCCATTGGGACGGGCGTGTGGGCATGGACAGTGTCAGAGGCCCGGCGGCGGGAGGCATGAGGGCAACGGCGGGCGCGGAAGTGAGGTCCCAGTCGATGTCATAAGGTCGATCCACGAAGTTTCATCTTTTGGCTTCACCGTGCAGGAGGCTAAGGCGAGCCAGTCCGGGGCGGTGGGAGCGCGCTGTGATAGGTCGGGGAGGACGGGACGAGAGAGGTGTTCCTGACTTGCCTCTGCCTCTGCCGACGACACTGCCAGGCGAGAGCCGCGACGTTCTGCACGTCCTCAGCCCTACATACCGTGGTGCGGTCAGCAGACCATCCTGCCCCCGAACAACCTTGCCCGGCGCCGTCTGACGACAGGCCCTTGGTTGGGTGTCGGCGGGCGTGTGATGGCCAGCGGTGGGCGAGTCAGCGATGCGGTGCCTTCACAGCCCACTCACGATGACGGCCGGCCAAAGAGCGGTGAATTGGATTTGCGGCCTCCTGACAGAGACGCAAGGGTGGGTGGGTTCGAGTAAGGTTTCTTGGGCCTCCTCTGGATCCGGCTTGCGCGGGTTCAGGAGCCGACGTTGGATTAGCCTCCGCCTGGCCACAGACTCCCGCGACAAGTCAATTTTGGAGCATGGAGATATCCGTCGCAACGAGCATCACGTCCACATTGCGTTTGCGAGTGGCGAAAATCCCCGTCCGACAGGCCGCTGCAGCAGACTACTCCCACCCCCTGCCCCTTCGCCTCTCGGCCTCTCCCCAAGGCCGCGCACAGTGCATTCGCATCCATGCCACCCACGCGACACACTAGCCCTCGCGTATGCACTGCCGATGGAGCTAACCGTGCTGCTTCCTTCGACAGCCTCGCAGAAGCAGCCTACGGCCTGTGATTCGTGCTATCCCTGGCGATCCAACCGTTCCATTCTTCTACCGCTAGAACGACGCCTCACTTCCTCCGTTTGAGCTACCACCGACGTGGTACGAGTCAACAGGCATGGCTTGCCGCCAGGCGCATGGCATGCAAATCTCGCCAGCGTCATCTCGGTTTCCGCTCGCAGGAGCCAAAGATCGTGAAGCTTCCAGCCGCTGTGCATAGTCAATGCAAGGCAAGGTTCAAACCTACCACGGAACGACCTCCATTCGGATGCGCACTCTCCCGCTCAAAGGACAAACGAATGCCCCCGCGGCCGTCCGCATGAAAGCAGATGCCTTCGAGGACCACGGAAGTTGCCAAGCGCTCATCGAATCGACACATCATTTTCACGTTTGACCCCTCCCCTGTCCGTCGGATGGCGGCCGCGCTGTGCTGTGCCACTGGTGTGACAGCGTTACCGGTCACCAGCGTTTTCCTTTCGGGCCGTGTGACACTGCGGTTTCCGACAGGTCGGAGCAGTCATGTGGTGCGAGATTGGGTCCCTGCTATGTGGCGCCCTTGAGAATGTTCTCAGGATTATCTACGAGATTACTCGATCAGGCTTCACCGACTTCTTCATCGTGCCGCATCGAGGATGCGCTGTGGGGGTTCTATTGTCCGCGTGACGAACGAGCGTACAGGTATATGTACTCCCACGTACGCACCAGAAGCAATATACATGGCGGTGTGCTTTGACAATTGGCCAATGAGGGCATGGAGAGTGTTTTGCGAGGAGAGTTGGATCCTTCACGTGCTCGTCCTCACGCTCATGGAAAAACACATGTCTCTCGCGCTGCAGGTCAAAATTGCCCGTCACAACTTGATGATTGCAATCGACCGTGAGGCTGTGTATGTAGCTTCTTCCGTTCTCTCGCAGAACGACTCGTCAGAATGTCTTGCAGCCAGCTCATACGACTTCGTCCACTCAAGCGACAGTTGACTCCTCATGCACCTCGTTGGGCTTGAAGGCGGTCGCATAATTCCAACCCAATGTCTCATCTTGCATGCGCGCCTTATTCGCGGACGATGCGCCTCGGTACAAGTGAACTTCATCCATATTCGTCTTGATGCGCTCGTCGTCCAACACAGCACAGTCGTCAACCACGCTCCAACATGAGCACGCTCGGCCCTGCATACACAAAGCAGAAGTTGTGTCTTGATTTGTACGCCTGCATTCAGCCTCGCGTGCGTGGTCGCGCAGCTCTCTGACATGACGAAGTGCGAGTCTCAAACATGCGTTCCCCAAGGGCATCTACGTGGCACCACTACCAGACGATCCCTTGATATGGGCTGGCCTGCTCTTCGTACGGAAAGGCAGGTCGCCATATCCAATCCTCGGCTACAGCATTACTGATGCCCACATCTCTATTGCAGGACCATACGCCAACGCGGTCCTCCGCTTCCACGTAGACTTCCCTGACGCATATCCCGCTCTTCCGCCGATCGTCACGATCCTCAACGACGTGTTCCATCCACTAGTGACACCTCTGACAACATACTCCTACAGCACTCGAGACACAGGTGCTGAGACGGCGAGTGCTGCAGACGACGATCGATTACCACCGGGCGGGCTTAGCCTGAGGCATGGCTTTCCACAATGGTTTGGGGGCATGAGAGAGGGGGGCGACAACAAAGGAGCCGACAGCACACGGCGCGGGGAGGAAGAGCACAATGCAGCAGCCGAATCGAACCACAGCGAGGGTGTGAGGCACCCACCGCACATCATTGAAGTGCTGCAGTACTTGCGGATCGTCTTCAGCACCGAAGCTCTTCTGGACTCCGTCCCACTCGAAGCCGCGGCGAACACAGGCGCATGGCACGCCTGGAGGAGCCACCGGGCGAAGGTCCACGGGAGGAAAGACTCGCGTAGCTCACCGGGTGGTGGCAGTCGAACGCCCACTGAGCGCAGCATGTCACCACGACAGCAGCCCGGGGGTGCGCGGAAACCCGGAGAGTGGAACTGGCAAGGGGTGTGGGAGGATCGGGTGAGGAAGAGTGTGCAGGCGAGCATCTCCGAGAGTGCGCTTTATGGGGGCGAGGGTGATGATGTGCTGTGCTTTTCTAAAATGGATGCGGAGGGTGTTGGGGAGGTGTTGACGAGCTTACGGGATGGGTCTTGATGAAGTCAGTGGCTGGAGAGGCTCGCTGTAAGTCCAGAGAGGATGCTGTTTCACGATGAGCTCAAGTAAATCGTCTTGAGAAGCGGCTTGCTTCAAATGCATAAAGGACAGGCTCGCCATGGCGTATGAGCTGCGGAAGACGCTGCATTGAGCATCCGCCGACCTGTACACGGCAAGCATGATCTGCTCGCCACAAAGCTCAGTGCTTGCAGCGATGACACTTGGAAGCCGTCACTTCCTCGCGAGCGTGTTGTGTGTAGACGTGCAACTTCCAGCGGTATAGACGCTGTGAAATCCGCAGGTAGGTGCTCTGAGAGGTCAACTTCGGTACTTTCACTTGCTTGATGACATCTTCAATATCTCGAGGAAGACTGTAATGCAAAGTCTGGCTCGAGTGCCACGCGGAGTGAGCTGGAATGGCCAACAAGGAGGTCAGCCAGGTTAATGGCCACCCAAATCGTTACAGGCTGACATCAACAGAATCAATCGCCACTCTCTAGCCGTCCGGCCTTCTCGCGACTGTCGCCCAACAACAAACCTGCGCTGAGCAGCCAGCGCGATCACTCAGCATGCAGGAACCCGGACACGCCACTCAAGGTCCGCAAGACGAGAGAGAACTTGAGGCAGCACGCCGTCTTTGCAGACATACCTCCACCGTGTGTCCATGCGCACTGTACGAAAGATCACCATGCTACACCCATCAGTTCATCGACGACTGTTGTCAGTAACCACCAGCTGCCCCGGGAACAGACTCCAGCACCGAGAGCGGATGTATATGCCACAGAACCAGCGCCGCTGGCAACTCCATCCTCTTCATCCCGCATGCAGCGCCAGAAGTCAGTCAGCCGTCGCATGCTGTCAAGGGTCAAGCAGGGCATCGGGAACCGATCCAAGAGCTCACACTCCGTCCGACCAACCGAGTCTGACACCAGCCTGGCACGGAGACTGTCTGGTCGCCGCAAACCAAGCCAGGAGATTGACAAACGCTCACACAGCTTCGAGATCGCGCGAGCCAGCATTGACAGTGGGATTGACCAGACGCCGGCCTCGGTAAGCTTTGTACCTTCGACCGTGCAACGCTCGTTCACCGGCTCGACTGTGTCTACGAACGAGGCATTGGGAGAGGGATCCGCGAGCAACACCCCGGACTACGCACGACAACATGGCGAGCTGGCTAGCCTGCGTCTTTCGCCTATTCCGTCTTCTTCGCCACCACCTAATCAAACGCCTCGGCCACCACCCCAGAGAGAGCTACCTCCACTGCCACAGTCCACGCCGATCTCTTTGCACGTTCCTTGCATTGAGCTGTGCGTGGCCTTGAGCTCCAGCGCGGTCGATCTGCATTCGAAGCATGATATCTGGGTGGCTATGGAGACTACCGTGAGGCCAATGCCGACGACTCTCGACACATCAGGCCAAACATCCACCGGAACCTCAACCGTTGTCTCTGCGAGATCACACCCAATTGATGACACTGAGGGCTCAAGCACAGCTCGAAACGTCTGCGGAAGCATCTCAAGCCTCAGACTCTGTTTCAAGCCTGTTGGAGGCTGCAGTGTCCGCGAAGTGATTGGACAGAAGACATTCAAGGACTTGAAGATTGGCCAGCAATGCTCGCTGTTCATCAAAGTGCATGTCCCAAGGGTTCGCATTCGAGACAGCTCAGTTGACCCCGACCCGGACTCACTACTCGCGGAACTGGAGAGCATGATTGGGACCTTGAAGATGGAGATTCTTCACCTCGAGGCACGCTACAGGCACTGCTTGCTGCCTTCCGACAACGTGGTCACCGTTCGTCACATCTGCAAGGTAAAACGGCCTAAGACGGAATCACGATGGAGCGTTGTTGGTCTGGATGCCACGTTGGGCTCATCGTCAGACGTACATGTTGCCTTGGCGCAGTATCTGGCTGCCACATACTCAGCTGCGCATGCAGTGGACATGCTGCAACGACATATCGACAATGCTGCGAAAGATGAGCCCGCCGTACGCCAGATTCGGGATTCGCTGATGGAGAAGATGGTGGCATGCGATCAGCATCGCGGTGAAGACGTCAACCCATCTGTTATCGTCACCGACAGCGAGCTTGACGTCGTTCCGTCTGCTAACCCGCCGCCTGCTACTAATTTTACGGCTCCTAGCACGCCGGCTGCTCGGGAACAGCCACGTGAGATGCCATCGACTCCTAGAACGATGGAAAGAAAGCCCAAGCTCAAAGAGCAAGGACTTCTCGGACGCCCTGTCATTGCCGCACCTCCAGTGCTCTCGCTGGCAAAGACGACCATTTCACTCTCGGGCTCAGCGCGTCCCTTCTCACCAGAGCCTTGTGCTAACGACGAAGCAAACCTCGAGCGATCGGACTCTGCCAGGCAGCTGTGGCGTCACATTCGCAGAACGTCGCTATCGACGAAACAGCTTGAAGAGCTGACAACCCAGGCGAGCAAAGGGCATCTCGAGCCACCAGACGAGTCGGTCAATGAGCTTCAACGCCAAGCTCTAGCCAACAAGAGAAGCGTGGGGGCGGAGACGCTGAGGGCATGGAAGTGGGACGAGAAGCTGGATCAGGACTACAGGCCTCCTGAGGCTCCGTGGATGTGAGGGCGAGCACCCACGGTCGACCGGTCCGCGTTGCCGCACACTTCATGTTGGCTACAGCAGGCGGCCATCTACGAAGACCCACTCAATAATTGATAGGCGCTGAAGAGCATATGATACGCATGCGCCGTCCTCACATTTACCGCCAATGCTTCACAACATCCGCGCTCTGCCGCGCCAGTCGCACAACGGGAACAAACATGATCAGATCACGCCTATTCCAATTATCGGGTCACCATTACCACGACGCAGGGTCCCGGCTCGGAGCCCGCGAGTTGCACAGTTCTTCCCTCCCGACCCTTTCCGAAGTCCCGGGAGCTCGCAGACAATGCACGTTCATCCGGAGAGCAGTCCGGAACGCGGCGATGGTGTGCGACGCATGGAATGTTTTTGGGTCGTACAAAATGTGCGGTGAGGCCCAAGATCTTCGGCGGTATGGAGAGGGAGGGCTCCGGGTGGTCAGGATATACGGGGACACAGGACATATTGTCAGATTATGGATCTTGCGGCAGTGATACGGTGCGAGCAGCAGTACGGCTCGTGCAAGCTATTGGCCTGCAAAGAAGTAACTGGTATAGGCCAGCATATCGAACGAAAACACGCAGGGTTCTGCGACCGAGCAATGTTCCGCCAGCTCACATCGAGTCCAACCCTCTCTTGGTCCACTCGGGATATACCAGGTCTTTCCGCAGAGTGCTCATCAGGTTCCGATCTTCGATGTAGTCGTTGATGTCCAACGTCTCGAACTGACTGCGGTTGCCGATGTAGATGCCTCGACTCTGAATGCTGCTCCAGGTGTCAGCCAACCGTTGAAGTATTCGTGCTGAAAGTAATACTTACAGCCGTGAGTATTGCATCACACTGCTGATGAACTCCTTCCGGTCAGTCTTGCCATCGAGCCAATCGACGAGGCACACTATGGGACAACAACATTAGCAACAAGCAGCTAGCTGAGTTCCGTCAAATCGGAGACACTTACTGACGTCGAACGCTGCCTGGCTGGTCGACGCCACGGTGTGTGGTCGAAACCCTGCCAAAGCATCGCCAACCAGAACCACCTTATCGCTCATGTAAACAGCTTTTGGACTGCTCACGTCCGTAATCGCCTGTACGAACGGGTTTGTCGACTTGTTGGCCTGTGTAAGAAGCAATCAACATGTAAGCATATGTCTCACCAACATCATTGCTAAGGAGTCATCTGCACAACGCCCTTTGTCTCTTACCATCTCTGCCATCTGCGGCGGCAACCTGTCCACCGCCTTTGCCTTCAGCAGTTCCCAGGCTTCCCATGTGATCATGCCTGTCGCCCGTCAATCAACAACGATAAGCTTCAATGCAGGCAGTTGACAATCACGCACCGGGTGGGATGGTTATTCGTCTTCTCCTTCCATTCTTATCTGTCATGATTCTCTCCAGGTCCTCGCTGCCTTCATCAAAATTCGCGTACCAGACAAAGTTCAACAGTCGGTGGCCAGGCTCTGTGTTGCCGTTCTCGCCGGCGATGGTGTAGGTGAGGTTCTGGATACCTATACACCAAAAGTCAATTCTACTGCCCTCGCCAGACTCCTTACCCAACCTTACCCGGTGCGTGGAACTGGTCACAATATCAGCAGACGTCAACAATTCAGCCAAACGCATACTTACAAAACAAAACCTCTCTCGAAAGACATCCAACGCCTCCTGACTCGCCTCCGCCTCCGGCACCGTCCCCCGAATCACCACATACCCAGCATACTTCCTCTCAATCCCCTGCTCCAGAATCGACCGTGTCGTCGAACTCGGTCCATCAGCAGCAACCAGCAACTTTGTCGTCAAACTCTCCTCCTCCTCCGTCCCATCCTCCAGCTTCCGCTTAAACACAACCCTCACGACCTCCCCTTCCTCAACCACATCCGTAACCGTACACCCATACCGATACCTCACCTCCCCATCCCCTTCTCTCCTCTCAGGCAACTTCGCTCCTTGCAAATACCCACTCTCCACCCGATCATAATTCGCCCTTAACAAATAATACGTCAAATCCCAAGACGTCATATTCTGCCTCTGTTCATTCTCATAGATAACATCACCCTGCTTGTTCAGATACAAGCGTTTATAGCTCGGCACAGCGACGGGTTTACCGGTCCGGTCGTACTTTTTAAAGTACTCGATCGTGTCGCCGCCGGCTACGATGCCGGCGCCTTGGTTTTCCAAGAGAAAAGCATTTGTGCGTTCGAGGATGGTGGTGTTGTAGCCGTGGGTTTTGAGGGCAACGCCGGCCATGAGGCCGCCGAGGGAGCCGCCGACCTGGGTTGGGCGAGAGTGAGATGATGGTTGTTTTGGGGGTTTTGGAGGGAGCTTACGATGACGATGTCCTCGATCTTGGGGTGGCCATTGCCATTTGTTCCATTGGTGCCGTTGGTAGCCATTGTTGCGGTATTTATTTCTGCTTTTGCTCAATGTATATGGTAGAGATATATCTCTCTCCTATCAATGGCTATGTTCGATGACCTCAATCATGCTCCATGTTGCCGGGCTGGTCTCGAGGTGGAACCCCGCCAGAGCATTCTCTGAACGACACACCCATACGAGACATTGAGATGTACCTTGTGTTGCAGCAGAGGAATTCATGAGACGCAGAACGGAACGGTGGTGAAGCGAAAGACAAACTCAAGCTTTCGTCGCCAAATCTTGGTTCAGACCGTAGTTCTAGACTATACTTCTGGCATCAAACCTATATCCGCCACTACGACGAGCTAATGCCTTCGAACAGCCTGCCGTTAGTCCGACCTACATACTTTGACCATCCCTTTTGCTTGTGTCTGATATTCTATAGATGCTCACGTCTCGTTCCTCATAGCTATCATGAGACCACTTCTCTCGTCTACTCGTGGCCAATCGGCTTTCCTTGGAGCACATAGTCGATGTGAGCTGCTCCAGACACAATCATCCCACTCTTGCCGGTGACGTGCGGGTCCTCGCCTGTAGAAACAACGTCAGCCATGATTCAATACAGTCCGTACCCACTCGCCACTGTACTCACCAACAAAGTTATTCGGGAACCCAGGTTCAAACGGCGTAATGCTCTCCAGATACTCGATTTGCTTCTCAGTGAGCTTGATCTCCAACGATTTCATGTTGTCCTTCAAATGCTCGATCTTCCTCCCGCCGACGATTGGGAAGACGTATGGCGCCTTCGCCATCACGTAAGCCAGCGCAATGGCGGTCACCGACTCGATCCCGTGCTCGCCGGCGACCTTCTCCAGCGCCTCGCTCATCTTAGCCTCCTGCTCGCTCTGTCCCGGGCCAGTCAAGTTGCGCAAGCCCTCGTTATTTTTCTTCCGCTCCTCCATCGCCTTCTTGCTCTGGAACTTCCCACCCCCCATAGCGTCCCAAGGCGCAATTGCCATGCCGAAGTGCCGGCACATGGGGATGATCTCGCGCTCCATGTCGCGGAGCATGATGTTCCAGCGGCCCTGGTAGACGCTGAACTGCGTCTTGCCGTGGGCCTTGGCGTAGGTGTTGCAAGCGCTGACGATGAAGGCCGGGGTGTCGCTGATTCCGAGGTAGAGGACTTTGCCCTGCTTAACGAGGATGTCGAGAGAGTCCATCAGCTCTTCGACGGAGGTGGTCCAGTCCCACCAGTGGACATAGAGGATGTCGATGAAGTCGGTCTGGAGCTTCTTCAGAGAGTCGCGGACGGACATGTGGAGAGAGCGCTTGTGGTTGCCGGTGTAGTTGACAGTCTTGTTCTTGCCGAGCTTGTAGTTTGCGTAGCCCTATGTAACATCTTATCAGTCGATCCTTCTCAATGGATGTCAATCACCCATAGAACTCACGGTCGTATACTTGGTGGCGATCACCATCATATCGCGGTTGTCCTTCTTCTTCATCCACTCCCCGATCCAACTCTCGGACTGTTCATCCTGGTAGTTGTTGGCCGTGTCAATGAAGTTACCGCCAGCATCGTAGAATGCATCGAGCAGCTTCATGGAGTTCTCCTTGCTCATGCTGCCCAGGATACCTTCCCAGGCATCGCCGATGCTCATGGCACCAAGCTGCAGCGGTGAAACTCTGATACCTGCCGTCGAGGACAGGATCCTGTACCGCCCGAGCTTGGTCTCGGGCTCGGGCGCTGGCTGGAACATATCGGCCATGGTGGGTGGATTGTTAGTGTTGTTGTGGTGAAGGAGGTAACCTGGAAAGTTGTTGGGGTTTTGTCAAGCAGTAATTGAATGGTGAATTGAGAGGAGAAGAAACGAGTTTTGAGTGGGAAATAGTTGCTTTGAAATTGCCTCGAACCTTGAAGTAACGGTGAACGCTCAATTACCTTACTTGATGCAAGAAGTTGCAGTTGCAGCAGCGGTGTTAAGATCGATATCTCCAGCTTCAAGCTTCATGGTCGTCATTGCCGTCCGCGGGGGCCCGCTAGTCAGGTACGACCTTGCTGGGGTCGCTGCTCTGCCGAAACGGAGCAGTGTGAGTCGGCTATACCAGAGGTGCACGCCGTGCTACACATTTCACTCCATCCTTTCCATGGCGGACCTTATCTGGCCCGACCGGGGTTCTGAGGCAGGCAATGGATTTTTCTCAGAGGCAGTCACAAGCAGATCTGATGCTGCGGCAGATACGACAGCAACACTTGCCGACAATGCGGGCTGCCGTGTCGTGGTGCAGCCGAACAACAGAGTCCTGAAATACGGCTGTCGAGTGAATATCGGAGAAGCACATGCGCTGAAGTTTGGACGGGAGCTACAAATGCCAGTACCCGTCGTTCACGAGACGCGCAGCCTTCGCGAAGGCGGCATTGAGATCTGTATGGACTTCATCCCTGGTCAACCCCTTGAGGATATCTGGCCGACAATGTCTGCCGAGCAGAAGACAAGCATCGCCTTGCAGCTTCGCCAGATAGTCACGACCATGCGATCCAGGTACCGCCCGAGCAATCTAGCATTGGAGCTTGCGGAGGCGGACCAACGCTGGATTGTAGACGGTACTCCCCGTACAGTGGCGGGCCCTTCGAGACAGAAGCCGAGTTCAACACCTTCATTCTCGATCTATAAAAGGCCACGCCGCCCGCCATCCGGACTTCGATCTCGAGAAGTTTGCGAACTGACCATCGTGTGGTCTTCACCCACGGCGACCTCAACCCCCGTAATATCATCGTCGAGAACGGCACTATTAAGGCGCTACTGGACTGGGAGTTTGCTGGATGGTACCCTGAGTACTGGGAGTATGTCAAGTTCTTCGAGCGTGGGACAAGCTGCAAAGACTGGAAAAGCTTCGCCGATACGGTGTTTGCTGACCCGTACTACGACGAGCTCGTGACGTTCCAGGCTCTTATCCGCTGGCAGATGCCGTGAAGGCAGATGTCGTTGGATCTTCTGCCAGACTCTATTCCTCATCTGCAGCATCTGCGATGGCATCCGCCATACCATCCAGTCCAGCCTCGCAGGCCTGCGATGACAACATCCCACGCTGCTTTAGCCTGTCCAACACCGCCCCAACCCAAGTCTGACAATTGAACTCTCGATTCGAATTCTCCAAGCGGACCGCTCTCACAACACCGACCAGCTGAGCGGATGTAGTCCGGACTTGGACGAAGCCTACATCAACAAGCTTGGCCAAACTTGCGCTCTCTAGCGGGTTATAGTTCTCTCTGACCTGCAATTAGACATCTCCCCGCGGCCCGACGATGTGGATAAGGGTGTCGGGCGTTTGATCCTGAAATTGGATCCACAGAGCTGTGTGCCGGAACTCTTGGTAATCCACAGGTTCTCCTTTGTAGACGGCGATGCGGATGTGGGCAACAGTTGTGGCCATGCTCTCGAGCTTGTTTCCAGCGCTGAAGAAGACCGTCGGCAGAGAATGTGTATGATGGCGCCAGGCTGGACTGGGACGCAAGTCTGGTGAGAATAATTCGGACGGCACTTACTGACAAAACATGCAGACTTTCGGAAGCTTTATAGAGCAGTGGCAGCCGCCCGTCCAGTACCAACATCAGGCACAAATTGCAGCATCGGCATGCCAGCGCCTACGTCAGCTCAGGCGCGTAGGCTCTTATGCACATCCCGTCTTTGATAGGCCTTAGCGGACAGCTGAACATTGCGGCACAGCAGTTGCATGCTCCTCAACACACACAGCGCCTAACCAGGAGTCGAGGTGACAGCACGGCACAACCGTGTCGAGTCCAGCTTTGCAAGTAATGGAATTTCGATAATAATGGTCTATCCAAGCTGGCAAATCACTTCCGCCGAATCTTGAGCGCATCTCACCTACCCCTTCAAAAGCCAGTTGGCTCGAAAAACAGACCGCCTCGGGTGTGAAACCAATCAACCGCCGTCTAACCCACTCGAAACTCATGTGCGATTGATTCCAGGCCATCGCCTTTCCGTTGCCAAGCTTCCAACCAACAGCACATTCGGTGGATGGATTCCACATCGTGTCGGTCGACAAGCACCTCACAGTGAAGCAGGAAACGCAGAGCCGCCATCTCACCCTTTCCTCCGACTCCGGGCACTCTTCCTTGCCGTCCCTGACACTTCCACAGTTGCACCACCATCCTCATTGACGCCCTTCGCCACTCTCGTGTCTCCAAGAGTTTCCGTCGACCCATTGAGTGCGTGCTCGGCTCGCTCGCGTGCGTCCTTAATGCTACCTTTTCCCGCAGGCGTTTTTGCCTCGTCGGCATCCGGCATATCACGGTCTTTGACCTTTCCAGGCTCGCCAATGCCGAGATCGCTGTCCTCGTCCTCAGATGCAACGGGCTGGTAGTGCACTTTGTCCGGCCCAACACCCTTAGTGCCCCACGGCGGTTCAAAGCGCGTGCGGATGGTTTGGATCATTTTGCTAAACCAAAAAAGATTGAGGCTGTTCAGGACGAGGTTGCTCACAAAGTAGACGATCGGAATCCAAAGCGGTGTGTATTGCTCATAGTTGAACGCCGTGGTCTGCCCTTCACGGTCTCTTGCGATGCGTAGAAGCTCCTCGGTCGAGTAGGTCTTCAGCTGGCCGCTTGGAACCCGAAGCACGAAATCGGAGTGCCCGGTTCGGACAAGGTGGAACATGTCGTGGAAGACCCATGTGGAGGAGTAGATGCCCCAGACCAGACGGCAGGAGAAGAATGTTAGGACCAGGAACACGCCGTTGATTGCTTGGTAGATCGAGCCGGTGAGGTGGAGCTTGTCGCAGAACCAGTGAATGTTGAGGAAGGGCGACGAGAGCTCGTAGAGTAAGAAGATTGGGGCGGAGAAGTAGATGAAGGGTCGCTATCGCAGAACGTCAGCACTCGATTGTTTCACATCCCACGTAAGATCAGAGAATGGAACATCATGCGAGAGGACAGAGGAAGGAAGACGTTAGAACGAAAGAGACATACATAACCCAGCCCAAAGACCGCCACGGCACTGACAGCGTGCGCCACCATGCCCCAACCAAAAATGCTCACATGGCTCGCACATACGCAAAGATCCCACAGGAAGTAGCCCAGCGCGAAGCTCTGGCATAATCCACCGAAGCCATAGTATCCCCACAATCGCCCTTCCCAAGCGTCGTTCCACTCCTGCCCTTTTGCGCCAACACCCCTCCATGACTTCCTCTCCTCGTCAAACCATATGGCGTACAAGCTCAGTCCATTGATTATGCATGCCTGCGCAAAAGAGACCACGTGCACATCCCAGTTCAGCCGTGCTCGTCGCGAGAGGCGGGGGTAGGTTTGCGGACACAGGCGCGCCGAGAGGACTGGTGAGACGATCGTGCAGATGAAGGTGTATATGAACGCTGCGAGTAGGACCTCGTGTATATGCAGCGGGAGGGTATGTAGGTTGAGGCGATCCGCGAGCGGCTTCGTTAGCGAGACTAGGAAGGCGGGGGGTGGGGGTAGAGGGTCGAGCATGGTGGTGATGCTGCTGTGCGGCGGCTCCTGGGCGGACTGATCTTATCGGCGGGCTGGTGGCTGCTGCATCGGTGGCAGATGGTGGTGGGGTGTTAGAGATATGAGGCACAGGATACTATGGAAAGTGAGGTGGTATCTTCCCCACACGTTCGAGAGCCGGATGGACTTTCCCACCACATTTGCTGCTGGTCGGGCCGATTTCTCCTTCCTCTTTTGTGTTAGTCCTTCCTGCCAAAAGAACGACTTACACTCTCATGCCCAACAACCCATTGTTCGCTTCAGCTCAGTTCACAGCCTTGCACATATCACATCGTCATTTCAAGACTGTGCTACTGGATGATGGCTCGTATGAATTCATGAAGGAGAAACAAGAAGACGGGCTTACATGCACCGTGGGAGTCTACGAGCATCTAGATATCTATGCGCCAACGTGATTAATGCACGACGATTGCTCGATCTGGCGCAAGCTCAGCACATAGCGCAGCGAAGCAAACCTCAGGTATGTTTGTATACAAAGTGCAACGACCATCAAATGCGAATCGAGACACGTGCAATTGAAGACGATTCCATTCGATCGCCAGCATTGTCTCAATGACGGTACGAGCCTAGTCCGGAAGACGCAAGAAGCTTCTCCTTGAGCCTGCGGAGGACAGTCCTGCTGCAGCTTTGGAAACCTGTCAAATTGCCAATGCACACAAGGAGTTTCAAAGAAGTCCGTGGCAGACGAGACAAGACGTGAGGTTCAAATTGGGTTTGCATCAGCCAGTCGCTCCTTCCATCTCTGGCGATTGAAAGCTTGGGCGCTCGCTTAGCTCCGCTCCCGTCATCTCCGCGTTCAACCTTCCGCCATAGCACCTCGTCGGTCTCCTTGTCGCCGCCACCGGAAATCGAGAAGCATGCCGTTGCCGACGAACGGGCAGAGCTCCAAACGCCCAAACATCGTGATGACTCCGCTCTTTGAACGTGTTCTGGCGCAGGATGAGGACGCCTCCCGGATACAACAACAATACGCCGATCTTCAGGCAGCGACCGAGCAGCTCAGAGCGAAATGTGGGCTCTTCCGGGAGAAGCCACCATCAAATAACTCTCCAGCTTCCAACCTGAAGCGAAAAGCCTCTGATCACCCACTTGACGGGCTGGAATCGATCGAGGAGAACGAGCCCACCGCTGGAGATCTTCTAGCCAGACTCTCAAACGAACTGCGCGACGAGCTTAGCAATGTGACGCCGAACGAAACGATCCATCTCTGCGGATTCGGACCACTCCAGGCCCTCGCATCCCGCCCTTTCGAAGTTTGGGAGCTCGCCAGGGAAAAGCTGCACACCTGGCCATACAGTAGAGTGCCCGTATGCTGGAGACGGCTGCTGGAGGATGCGACGCTGGCGAAAGTGGCGAGAATGCTCATACTGCGTGCGGTGGCAGTGGAAGGGCTGACATCTAAGCGACGAATGATAAGTGCATCCGAAAGGCAAAACGCAACGACTTCACCAGACCGCTGGTTCGCAGATGTTGTCAGAGAGCTCGACGTGGGTATGTCCATGTCTGGAACACCTGGCCGACGGTCCACCTTCGAGCACGCTTTTCGAAAGCTGGAGAAGCTTCTCCCGCAAGACGCAGTTCCACAAGTTGCAAGCAACTTTGGCATTGAGCGCCCAAACAAGATCCAGCTTGGCAGTCCCACTGCCCATGAGAATGAACCATTGACCTTTGAAGCGTTTCAAAGCCACCTCGATCACAAGACCACTCCTCTCATCATTCCCGGTGCGTTGGAACACTGGCCAGCCTCGACAGAATGGCAAAATCCAAACTACTTCCTCGGCCGCACCCTTGGCGGTCACCGTGTTGTGCCTATCGAGCTGGGCAAGATGTACACCGACGCAGAGTGGAGCCAAAGGCTAATGCCGTTCCATGAGTTCTTGACCAACTACTTGCTACCTGCAAATCCCGACGAAATCGGTTACCTCGCGCAACACGACCTCTTCAGCCAAATTCCATCTCTGCGCTCCGACTTCAGCATCCCCGACTACTGCTACACCACGCCACCACCACCCACTGGCGCCGTCTCTCACACTTCCGGTCTGGGCACCACACCTCAGCTTGACGAGCCTCAACTCAACGTCTGGTTCGGACCGAAGGGCACGAAGACCCCGCTGCACACCGACCCATATCACAACATCCTCTGCCAGGTGGTTGGCTACAAATTCGTCCTTCTCTTCCCACCATCGGACACCGGCAAACTGTACCCGCGCGGAGAGAATGAGAATGGGGTCAGCATGGCAAATACCTCGCAGCTCGACGTTTCTTCGATGTGTCCGAGGGAGCTTCTGTTTAGGAGCGGGTCATCTTCTCCCACAGACTCAGTTACAGGGGCACGTTGCGATCTTTTTGAAAGGTTTCCTGCTTTCGCCGGAACGGACCACCTCGAGGCGATTCTGGGCCCTGGCGAGTCGTTGTATGTGCCGCTTGGCTGGTGGCATTATGTGGAGAGCTTGACGACGAGTATCAGTGTGAGCTTCTGGTGGAACTAAAGTGTCGGCGTAGCTTATGGAAGGCCTGTGCAAAGATTGATTGAGACAACAATTTACAAGTCACGGCTTGCGTACTGTTCCGGGAAGAAGGTCTTCAAAGCTGCGTTCCAAGCGATTACTGGTAGCATGATGGGGGTGTAGACTAGTGTACGATACGCTGGAATAGCTTTGCCTCAACAGCGACACAACAGTCTCTATCTCGCTACTTGCAGACGTAATTCTTCCAATCTCCTTCATCCCCACCTGTATACTTCGCCGTCTGAGGCCACGGACACAACTTCCTAGTCACATCACTCCCATCCGGCGCAGCTGTACTCCGGATCTGCTTCGGCTTCTTTTCATCCTCCACCCACTTCACCAGTGGCGCCACCGTGTGATACGTCGCCGGCACACTCGGATACCCGCTCGCAGCACCACAATGCCCACCGCCCGGTATCATGAACAGCTCGAACCACTCGCTCACATCGCCACCCATCGCTTTCTCGATCCGATGCAAATGCTCAATCGGCCAGAGTGCGGCATTAAACGGATCTGCCCAGCCTTGCGTCACGATGATTCGGCCTCCAGCGTCGCGAAATGCTGAGAGGTCCGGGCTAATTTCATCTATGTGTTTTCCGGCACGGCGGTTGACGTCTCCGACATCACTAGCCCAGTTGAATGTATCGCTGTCGTAGTCCAGATCGTCGTAGACGAGATTTTGCAGGATGGGAATGCTGAATGCTTCTGCGAGCGGACCTTCTTGCAGCGCCCACTCTGTCTCCGAGCCGAGTGAGAAGCCTGGGTAGAGCGGTTTGGCGTTGTCTGAGCGGACGGGTCCTGAGTAGATGGCTTCGGATGCGGCGAGTTGGGGCTTGGTGAGGCAAGTGTTGTTGCCGCTGGTGCTGAGGCCTTCGCTTTCGCAGGCCAACGACTGAATGTCGAACTTGCAGCGCAGTGGATTTTCGATCAGACGATCAGCAACACCGTCAAGTGTGTCGCAGGCATCGAGCACAGCATTGGTGACGAACTCGAGAACGTCTTGTGTTAGGTTACGCTTGGAAGTCTTGATGCGCAAACATGAAAGTCAGATCCTGCTTGCTTCCTACGGGTATAGTAACTCACATTGGTCTGCTGAGCGTTCCACAAGAAGCTTAGAGCAAGATGACTATACCAGTTCCCTGGACTGCCGGCAACGATCCCGTCAAACAAATCTGGATGATACTGCGCCAGCGCAAATCCTTGAGCACCTCCTGTGGAACATCCGTCGTAGAAAGAATGCTGCGGCGCCTGTCCGTAGTAGGCTGCAGTGGTCTCTCGTGCCATGGGCGTGAAGAGCGCGATGGCGTCGTGGATCCACGCTTCCACCTGGTCTGCATCATGGAGATAGGGGATGTAGACGCCAGGCTCGCCCCCTCCGCCATTGTTGTCGGCAGCAGCATGGCCACCGTCGCCACCAGCAACTGCGAAGCCTAAGCCGGAGTTCAGCTGGGTGAGCATATTGGCTGTATCGATAACACCAGCCATGCCGCCGTTGCCGACGGCCATGAAGCGTTCCGCATAGTCCTCTGGGTCCGGGAGCCAAAGGGCAGAGACCAAGGTGTCGTTATTGTTTCGCCCATAGGAGATGCTGCTGTACACCTCGCAGAAAGGGACAGAGTTAGTGGTATCGGAGATATTGATGGAGTTGGCTGCATGGTAAGTGGCATTGAGAAAGCAGGTATTGTAGCTCGCCAGGTTGATGGATGTAGCAATGGTCGAACAGTCTGGCGAGGTCGGTTTCCTTGGTACCGCCGATGTAACGACCAGAGGTACAAATGCTAAGCAATGCCAGGGGAGCTTCATCTTGTACGTCAGATCCTTCTTACCGACTTGAAGAAAGCACACTTTGATTGAAGGGCACAGGGCGTGGCGTTCTGTTCTTATGCCGATGAGGAGACTGCCCGGACAAGGCACACATGCTCATGATCAAGACCGAACAGGAAGGCGGACTGGAGCCCCCAGCTGGAGTACACATGGTTCGATGCCTCCGCCTCGCAACCGTCCCCTCCGCGATTGAGTGCCGATGGCAGGTCATCTCGAGTCATGATGGCCAAATAAATGCGGTGGAGATGGTGGAGGATGAGGTTTGGGCAGGCGGTCATCGGCCCCGACGACCGAAGGATCCGACTTCTGCCTCACACACCGCGGCAACCCGGATCACACGCCACTGGAGACTCCATACTTTGTGTTCGTGGGGCACTGGAGAACCCTGCAGCGCAAAGGCCATTTAGTCGTCGTAGGACTACAATGCTGTGGCGCTGACCAAGACGGTCAAAAGAATGCAGGTGTCCAACTGTGACCGATGCTACCGGTATGTCCGGATCGAACACCAGCCAGGTACCAGAAGTTGACAGGTCGTAGGCGGAAGGGGCGGTGCGACAAGAAGCAGCCGTGCTCGACTTGCTCTCGTGGTGGCGTGCCTTGCACCTACAGCGACCGGACTAAGGAGCGGCGCTATACCGCTGACCACGTCGAGCGTCTGGAGCGGAAGATCCGGCAAGCAGAAGCCCGCAACCACGAGCTGACCGACGAGCTTCAACGAACGAAGGTGAGCCACCGCGGATCCGCCGCCGACGGGCATGAACCTACCGCCGACGGTCCGTCGACAGCCAGGAGTGTGGACCCTGTGAGCGAGGTATCGTACCTCTCCATCAACGCAGCAGGCGAGAGGCAGCCATACCTGGGCTCAACGAGCGGCGTGCTCTTTGCCTCTTTGGTTCGTAATAGTGTCAACGTACCGCAGTCCCGACAAGCATCTCCTCCACCCCACGGCCCTCTCGAAGATGTGACAGCAGCAGCAGGCACAGCATCGTTAAGGAAGCTGGAGGACTTGCCTTCTCGAAGTCTTGTAAACCGACTATTCTCAGCCTATCTGGACCACGATGCTCTCATTTACCCGTTCCTGGCTCCTTCGTTTCTTTTGGAGACTACAGAGAAACTCTACGCTGATCCCACGTACTATGCATCGGCAGCCTCAGCCTTCGAAGTCTTTGTGTTTCACATGATCCTGGCCATCTCGACAACACAGTGCTTCAAGCATGACTGGCAAATGCTACCTGGCGCCGAGATGCATCATGCTTGTGCGATGAAAGAGCTCAACCCAGTCATGGCTTCTGGTGGAATTCAGAGTCTCCAGGCCATTCTGCTCTTGTGCCAGTTTCGAACCGGAAGCAGCGTAAAGGACAATTCAGCAAGTATGTGGCATTTGGTCGGTATCGCTTCTAGATCTTGCCTCGAGCTGGGCCTACATCGTGAAAGCACTTATACGATGCAACCATCTACAGATCTGGAGCCGCATCAATTAGAGGTCTACCGCAAACAGGAAACTGCAAGGCGGTGTTTCTGGTCAGTCATTGCAATGGACCGGATCTGTAGCCAGATACTTGGAAGACCGCTTGCCATTCGTGATGAGGATGTTGACGCTTTGCTGCCGTCTTCTAGTTACGATACCGTGATCACAAGGCCGCTGGCAGCAAAAATAGCTGGCGTGAGCCGCATCAGGATTTTCAACCATGTCATTACGTATCGCCTGCTCTGTGGGAGACTGTTGTCAACATTGCACCGAAAGAGGGCACCAGAAATGACAGTGGCTGACGCGATGAACGTTCGAGACAAATTTGCTGCTGAACTGGAGAAATGGAACGACGGCTCGAAAGATCTAGGGCTGTCCGACTCTACCGACACGGCCTCTCGCCAGCAATCGTGCTACCTGTCGAAAGTTTGGTACGAAGTTCTCTACGCTAATGCTGCGCTGATGATCTGGCGCCCGTCTCCGTTACTCGCCGACATCACACATGATCAGCCCATGCTCCAGAAGATCTTCGACTCTGCGACCCACGCTGTGAATACTTACTCGGCTCTGCACAAGTCGCGGCAGATCAACTACAGCTGGGTGACTCTCCAGTCCATTTTCATGGCTGGGCTGAGCTACATCTATGCAGTCTCGCGTCACATGCGCGAGGCACGGCAACCGACAACTTCGAAGACTTGCTTGCTGGCCCAAGACCCGAGTACCATTGAGATCATTAACGTTACACGAGCTTGCTCGAATGTGCTGGTCGCAGTAGCAGGTGAGCACAATTCTCTCCTCTAGACTGTCTTCACAGATACCTAGCTGTAGTGATCTCATGCTGATAATAATTTAGAGCGATGGAGTGTCCTTCGGCATTGCCATGAAGTGTTCGATCGGCTCAGCGATGCTGTCTTAGCGGATGCCATAAAGTTGCAGACATCTCCTGCGGCCGTCGCTCACACAACACCAGTTCAACAATCTCACCTTCATCATGCTCACCAAAATAACACCGGACTGGCCGCGAACAACACACAATCCGAGCAACTGCAATTGTGGAATCCCGCTCCTTACCCTGTGCCAGACTACCCAGACACTCTTCATCCATCTCCACTCGCCGTCGACAACGAGTTTCTCCATTGCTTCGATGATCTGCAGCAGCTTTACAATCACCAGCAGCTCGAAGATCCCGTAATGCACCTCTCCCAGGACTGGATGGCGTACCTCGGTGGTCCTTACGACGCAAACGCATACGGCAATCACATGTTTGGGTGATTGCTCCGTCTCGAAATGGAAAATGTACTGTCTATCATCACGGCCTTCCACAATTCCATTATATTGAACCGCGCTCCAGGAACCTGACTGGTACGTCCACGTGTTTGCTCCGCAAGTATTCCGCCACGCCTTTGCCCAGGCCGTCAACTCTTGATGAACTCGCGATACCGCCTCCCAGGAAGTCCAAGGTGCGGAAGTGGACGGCATTGAGCAGCGGAAATTCGACTCTCTCCACTCGCTGTTCAGCGTAATCATCACCGAGAAGTTGCTTGAACTTGTCGACAGTCATCAACGATTGCAGCCACGGGTACTCATCTTCATGTCTGACGAAGAATCCGACGTTGCTGTTGTCAACCTTGTCGCCGCTTCTTGCATGGACGATCGAACCGAGAGGCTTCTGTACGGTCTCTCCGAATGAACTCAAACGCACGGGAGACTCTGTCTCATAAGACGGCCGGATGACATCATATGTTGCTGTTTTGGCGGGAGGCGGTATATCTATTGTCTCTCCACCAACGAGTACCTGATGCTGGATTGCATCCTGGCGCATCAGGCATGGAAATATCTCCATAAATCGTTTCGGGTCCATGGTTCGAAAGTCCAGGTTCATATGGTACCTAGGAGTTGGGACAATCAGTTGACTTAGCTCTCACTGCCTTTGAAGGCGGTCTCACTCACCCTGGGTATGACTGCATCCGCAACGAATAGATCGGGATCCGGAACCGCTCGGCGCTGATGTCTTCCTTTCGTCTCGCCTGAGCGAACACTCGCAGCATAACAGTCCCCTGCTGCTGCGATGAAGGGTTCTCGACCTGCTTCCCATACAACTCTGCGGAGAACTTGCAGAATTTGCTTTCGCCAAGGAGACGATTGAGCTGATTCTTCATCATCTCCACCTTGGCATCAACATCAAGGCCGTTAATGTAGTATGTGGTTTCCGCCTGATATCCGCCATCTGCTGCGACCATCACTTTCGTCGTCGCTGGTGGTGGATAGCCTTTGACACCGAAGACAGACACTTGGTCTGGTGTTCCAGACTCCTCAATATGGACGGTCCTAATATCCGCCACGACATCTGGATTGAGGTACATCTCACCCTGAAGCTCGTACAACAGCTGCGCGGTGATGTTGAACTTGTTGACAATGCCGTTCATCGTCTCCGGCTTTGTGATGCAACAACTCCCATCGGCAGCAATCTCAGCTATTGGAAACGCAAGGTCGACCAGCTGCGGCAGGAACTCTTTGAACCCGGAGAAGTTGGCGCCGCATGCGTAGGGTCCGCATTCAATGAGATGCCCTGCTATCAAAGCTCCGGCAAGAGCGTCATAATCATCCTGAGACCAGCCGTGCCACCAAGCAGCGGCTCCGATGACAGGTGATGCATCTGTGACTCTACCGCATACAACAATCTGAGCACCATATGTGAGAGCTTCAACGACACCGAACGCCCCGATGTATGCAGCAGCGCACGATGGTGTTAGATCCGGATTCCAATCATCCAGCAACTGTTCCGCGTGGTCCAGATGCTGAAACTTCAGCCCGCCTTTACCCTCAGAGGTTATCAGCGACGACACATCATCACCAACAACGGTAGCAACAACCACATCGTCGTGCCCTCGTTGCCTGCACAAATTCTCTATCTTTGCGGTCAAGGCGGGTGAGTTCAATGCTCCAGCGTTGGTCACGACCTTCATCCCCTTCTCTACGATCTCGTCGATACACTCGCACAGCTGAGTGTAGAAACCAATCTCATACCCGAGGTCAGGATCCTCAGACTTTGTGATTGAGTTCCAGGCAATGTTCATTTCGGACAACCAGTCGCCGGTAATGACATCGACATCACCCTCTCGGACCATGCGAGCAAGGGCGTGAGGTGCATCTCCTGCATCACGCATAAGCTACAGTCCTGGAACACAAGTATGTAATACGTGCCGGTTGCGCCAGAGACATTTCCTATCCGAACACTGCGGTTGCGGTGTGTCCCGTTGATGTCGTTCATCCTTGCAGCTTTGGAGATGCAGGGTGTTTCTGATTGACAGTCGGATGTCACAGCAAAGCCCACCTCCAACGACGCATGCTCTTTTCCGTGGGGAGAGGTCGCTGGGTCCGAGATGGTGTCGGCGCCTTACGGTCATCGGCCCCGGAGGCCGATTTGAAGCTCCACTGAAGACTTGGCCGCCAAAGCCAATTGTACAGCCAAGCACGCTTGTTCTGCCGGTGCAACGGGTAGATCCTGCCCAACACTCTAGAGAGGAAACCCCGTGAGACTCGCACGTGGAAATGGAATGGGGCCGGTGATGGAGACCCTCAACACGCGAGTATATACTTGGGTCGGCTCCTGGCCGTCCACACTCTCATAGTCTCTTTCATAAGTGAACGTCCCGCCTTCTCCTTCATTTCCATCTCTGCACTTCTATCCTGCTAGGCGATTACATATCCACCCCTGCGAGAGGATGGGAAACCCAAGTAATGGCGAAGACATCGACCCACAAACCCTCGAGAGCGGAAAGGAGTCCTACGGCGACGACCATGCCCCTTCATCGCAAAGCAAGAAACTTGTGCTGAAGCAAGACCTTCGTATCGTTCCCTTGAGCGCTGGGATTTATCTCTTATGCTTCTTAGACCGGAGCAACATAGGCAATGCGAAAGTTCTCAACGAAGACACTGGCGACGACCTGTTGGACGAGACCAACATGACCAACACGCAATATGTCATCGCTTTGATGCTGTTCCTGGTCGCTTACGGTCTCTTCGAGGTCCCTTCGAATTACATGCTCAAACGACTCAGCCCGAGCAGATGGATTGCCTTTCTCATGCTGGTCTGGGGTGCTATCACAATGGGCTTGGGCGGCTCGCATGACTTTGCTACTGTGACTGCGCTCCGCTTTCTGTTGGGTGTGTTTGAAGTGAGTGAATTCGCTTGTCATACATGAATGCCACTCAGCTAATTCTCCTTCTAGGCTGGCCTCTTTCCGGGTCTTGTTTGTATGTTCTCCATAAACAAGCGAAATAACACCTGCTTACAACAGACAGATTACCTCACATTCTGGTATCGGACCGAGGAGAGATCCATCCGCGTTGCGTTCATCCTAGCATCTGCAACGTTAGCTGGAGCTTTCGGTGGGGCGATTGCATATGGTGTCGGCCACATGAATAACGTTTCCGGACTGAGTGCATGGAGGTGTAGGTGAAATGAGTCAATCCAAACAGTTTTGGCAATAACTGACTTGCATCGGAACCAGGGCTGTTCATACTGGAAGGCCTACCTTCTCTCCTCTCCGCGGTTCTCGTCTGGTTCTTCCTCCCAGACTATCCCGAGACAGCAAGTTGGCTGAACGAAGACGAACGATCGCTTGCAGTAGAGCGGCTGAAGGTTGAAGGTTCCCATGGACATAGCCCTCATTTGACTTGGGAGGAGGCTCGGGCGACGCTGACTGACTGGCGGCTTTACGTCCATTACGCCGTAAGTTGTAAGCGCTTCGGTGTTCAATGGCTGTGCTAAATGTCGGCAGGTCTACTTCGGAATCTCAACCCCCTTCTCCTCCCTCTCACTCTTTACACCGACCATCACATGTGGCCTCGGATACGACGGTCTTCGAGCCAATCTCATGACCGTTCCTCCTTACGCAGTGGCCTACGTTGTCCAGGTCCTCACCAGCTGGTCAGCCGATCACTTCAACGCCCGTGGTCTACATTCAGCTGTAATGGCAGCCATCGGCGCTCTAGGCTTCCTAGTCTCAGCTGTACTGCCCCCAGACGCCTACCTCCACCGCTACGGCTGCTTGATCGTTGCGGCATCAGGAGCCTTCAGCTGCATCCCACCTCTTCTCGGATGGCTGAGCTCGAACGTCTTCTCCACGGCATCGATTGGTCTGGTGATTGCTTTGAACATTAGCTTTGGCGCACCAGGACAGATCACTGGTGTTTGGATCTACAAGGCTGGCGAAGCCGAAATTGGCTATCCAACCGGTCACTGGGTCAATTGCGGGCTGCTGTTCTTCGTTGCGGTGGGATGCGTTTGCTTGAACCTTTACTATCGAAGTTTGAACAAGAAAGTCAGAGCGAGCGGAGGTGGTCGGCTGTACAAATACTGAGTGCTAATACCCGGCGGATCCATGTACTTCGAGAAAGAAACTGCATACATTGCTCACGGGAGTTCATCGTCCCCCAACCTCTATCTCCTCACTCGCCTCAACCTTCGCGGTCTTACCCAGCGCCGCGTTCTCCTCTTGAGCAATCTCTTTAGCCTCCTGCTGCTCCCCAGCCTCCACCGCATCGACCTGGCCGAAAATCTTGTCAATCCGCTCCAAAGATATGCCCTTAGTCTCTGGCAGTATGAAAATCACCGAAACCAGAGCAACGACGTTCAACGAGAACAGAAGCCAGTACGACAACCCGCCAACTTCGTTGTTAAAACGCGGCCAAGGCTGCGTAAGGGCGATAAGGCATATAGTTTGTCCGAGCAACGAGATGCCGAATGCCTTGTCTCGCACATGGGACGGAAAGATCTCTGATGCGATGGCTGGCGGCACTGGGCCGTTGGACCAGCAGTACGTCAGACCAACGATGAAGAGCATCGCGATCTCCACGATAGCTGCGCCTCTGTTTCCATTGGATGGGAAAGCGGTCGTCAGGCTGGACAAGATCAAAAGCGCTGTCGATTGAACGGCGAATCCCCAGATCAACAGCTGCTTACGTCCATACTTGTCGACGGTGAAAGTGTTCACCAGGACAATGAAGAGCTGCAAGACCGACTGAATGCCATTTATGGCCAGCGCCTGGTGTCCTTTATCCCATCCCAGAGATTGGTAGATCAAAGTGGCGTACATTGTCACCGCAGCGATGCCACCGAACTGCTGAAGGCTCATGGCGTAGAAGCCATAACAGAGGCGTTTCAGCATTGCCTTACTCTTGAACAGTCCGAGGTAGCCAGGCTCGTAACGCTTGCGGTATTCATAGGAGGCGACCATTTCGTGAAATTCGATCTGAATGCGGTCTTCTGTCGGCTGGCCCGAACGAATGCGAGCCAGCGTTTTCAATGCGCGTTCAGGCTCGTCGGGATGCTTCTCGAGTAACCACCGTGGGCTTTCAAGTCGTCAGCGAGCGACGTGGGATGTTCCACTGTTGGAGACGCTTACCTCTCGGGATAGAAGAACGAAAGCGCCACGAAGAACAGCCCAATAGGGATCTGTATCACATTCGACACTCGCCATGCAATGTTGTATGGCGACGAATGGAACGACATCCCGTATCCAGCCCAGAAAGCAATCAATGTTCCCAGTTGATACCCGAACTGCGAGACGGTCCCAACGAATGACCCACGCAATGCTCTTGGTGAACATTCGCTGACGTAGAGGTTTGTCGCGATGTAGTTGCATCCAAAGCCCAAGCCAGTCATCAATCGCCCAAGGATGAGAACGCCGAATGTATTGGGCACAACTTGTACCATGACGCCTAGGCACATGAAGACGATGCTGATTCGGAGAGCCCACAGTCGTCCGACCATGCTAGCTAACGTTCCGCCGAGGAGGAGCTGGGCCAGACCGGTTGTCGCCCAGGGCGCTGTCGAAACGATGCCCTGACGGTTGGGTGTCATGTTGTAGTATTCAGTGAATTGTTTGTCTGCGAGGATGACGGTCATGATGCCGGCGTCGTAGCCTGGTTGGACAGTCAGCTTCAACGTTGATCGACTGCTCGTTAGGACACCAGCAGTCCGTGATTAGATGTCACAGCAGACTTGGCCCACTAACCATTGAAACACAAAGCCCAGACCATTCCATAGAGCATCAAGGCCGCAGTGCGGTCCTCGCGCGGCAGGAACTTCTCGATGAGGCCCATGGTTGTTGTATGTTGAGCCAAACTTCAACCAATGCAAGAGAATGTTGGAGGAGATATTCGCTGAATCGATGCGGAGCGCATGACCTTGCGAAGTGGCAGTCCTCTGCATTGTTATAACAAGTAACAGCATGGGACTCGGTGTGCGGGGACTGAAGAGGTCTGGGGTAGAAGAGGTACTCCGGTGGGTAGAGAGAACAGCCTTGTCTCAATCTAGTTCAGAGTCTGGATGCCTAACCCTCATCGGTCCAGGCGGAGAGGCTTGAGCATGAGACAAGACGTCCTCTTCTGCCTCTTCATGTTTGGCAACCCACCGGAGGCGCTTCTCTTCTGAGCCCCACTCGCATCTGTCCACTTCCGCCTCTGTTCGAGCGGTGGTAGTAAGGAATAAAGTGCAATTCTCGTATCGGTTCCGACTTGTAGCAGGACCCGAGGCTCATTGATGGAGAATTGTTCCGAGAGTTTGCGCCTATGATGGAAGCTCCATCCGTGATCGTTAGGCCAACAAGACTGTCGCCGGAAGTTTTCTCTTGCATTGGTCGCTCTTCAATCTTGCAGTCCTGGGAGATTTGAGTGGACTATCAAAGCGTCAGTATACAAAAGCCTTCAAGCATAGGGTGGAGTGGTCGTACCTTGAAGTGGTCTTCGACCCACGGATTGTCTATGTCCTCAACGCAGTAGACGATCGGGCCTCGGGCGAGCGACAATGTGTGCTGGTTGGTGAAAGGGTGTGGTGCAATCAAGCGTGGAATAAGGGGTATAGACAGGCTGAACGTTTTGTTCGATGCAAGCCATGCCGTAGGAATCTCGACATATCCATCATTGACATCCAGGTCAGGACAGCCATCGGAGATCTACAATTCTAACGTCAGTATCATTCAAAATTACCCAATGGTAGACCTACCTGGAAGCTCTTCGCCCAACCAGGAATCCTCAGTCGTAGTCTAAGTTTGGACAGGGTGGTTTTCAAGTTGAACTTGATGTCTCCATTCCAGGGCCAGTTGCTCTGCTGTTCCAGCTGCACCTCAGTATCGCCGACCGCAAACTTGAGAGTTGCAGAGGTGTACAGATGTACTGCGACCTCTGCAGACGCTTCTGCTTCATCAATTTTATGAGTCCACAGATAGCCTCCAATCTGCGCAAGGAGACGGAGAACGTTCGGAGGACAACAAGCACAAGTAAACCACTCTTCTCGCTTCGATGGATCTTGGTCGCTTGAAGCCAGCTGATTGACGTACGTGAATCGTCTGCCATCGTCGGACATCGATGTGAGAACTGCGTTGTACAGGCACAGCTCCATGGTGTCTGCGAAGCGACCGTCCAGCTTGATCTGTAGAAGATGGAGTGATCAGCTGATGTTGAGTATTTCTAATGCCACGAAGCTCACTTGTAGGAGCCTCTCGGCAAACATCATGACGCCAATTGCAGCGCATGTCTCTGAGTAACAGCCGCCCTCGTCGGTACCCTGAGGCAAGAAGTAGTCCAATCCGAAGCCTTCCCATTGCTTGATTGCGCCTATCCCGCCTGTGATATACCTAGAGGTACGCGGATAGCAATTAACAAATGTATCTCAGGCGGTCGACGAGACCCAGTAAAACGCTGCTGCGGCGAATCGCTGCGACCTTTCAAATGACTTACATCTTCCGGCTCACCATGTTGTCCCACAGGCGATATATAGCACTCTCGAACTTCTGACCGACAGAATCCGGCATGACTCTCTTCAAGTCCGTTGCGGCAGTCAGCAAGTACATCGCTCTCACAGCATGGCCTTCCACCGTCTGCTGTTCCGCTATTGGCTCGTGTGCTTGATGGTACCTGGAGAGGTCAGAACAGGCCTCGAAGATACCTCTTGGAAAGACTCACCAGAGACATCTCCTTTCCGGATAGAAAGCAGGTCTCTTGTTCGGATCGTCTCCTCGTCTTTCCGCCTCCACATCATAGTAGTGGCGCCCAAACCAGCCGTGTGCATTGCCACGCTCGATGAGGAAGAAGTTTGCAAGCTCGAGATGTTTAGTGTTCTTTGTATGATCGTATAGTCTCAACAACGCCAGCTCGATTTCTGGATGACCTGCCGCACATTACCCGCTCGTTAGCGTTCTCGTGACGGAGAGGAAAGCCGTTCTTTGAACACGTCCGCTCGGGAGTTATATACCTGGATATCCTGGTATCTGATTTCGGCCACCGCCAAATGTGTCGCAGAGCAAGTCTACGTATTTCAGCATTGGGTCCAGCAGCCGGCGGTCATGGAAGGTATTCTCATGCGCAAGTGCTGCCTCGATCAGGTGGCCAGCGTTGTACCTAGCCGTGTCAGCCGTTGCTGACATTGAGAGAAGCTACGAACGTACAGCTCGTGGAAGTCACGTAAGTTCGTAAACCTCCTTCCGGGTCCGACGACAGTAAAGTGGATATTGATGTACCCATCCGGTTGCTGCGCTGATTTGATCATGTCGACCAAGTCCACGATCGCTTCTTCGATCTCCTGGTCGGGCTGTTGCTTCAAAAACATGGCCGCACCCTCTATCCATTTGGCAATGTCCGAGTCCCAGAAAAGATGGTTCGGGATTGGCCATACTGTGGGAGGGTCATTGTAAGATGGGTGCCAATGCAGCTTAAAGGCGTCGTATCGTCCGGTCTTCTTCAGCACATCCAGCTGATACCGCAGAGTATTGGAGGCCGCTGCATGCCGGCGTCGCCCCAGAAGAGAGTAGTCGCGTATGGTAGTCTGCGCGAAGCAGTTCTGAGGGTACGCCATAGTGCCACCGTGGCAAAGACAGGCGGAGGAATGGATATCAGAGAGAAATGAAAGACTGCCTAGCGCACCACTTACGCTCTTCGTGTTATTTTCGCGACGCAAGTGATTTCTAGCCCTCTTACAAGAGCCATACCCACGGGAGGACAGTTGAAGTGGAGGTCCTTATTGCCGGAGCCCGTGGGCGACTCGGCCGCGCTCTGGCGCTTGTGGTGGCCGGTCCATGCACCCCCCCACCGCCGGTGCCGATGGAACAGTGTCTCACGTCTTCCATTTGACATGCCAAGGGTGTCTGGTTGAGAGATGGCAGCAAGTCCACCGGCGCCCACCAGATCGCTGTCGTGCTCGTACTGCGCCAAGAGCTTCGGTCGCGTCGAGCACCTGAGGAGACACGAGACCTCAGTGCACACCAAGAAGCAGCAATATCATTGCCGCGATTGCGCGAAGGAGTTCACTCGGAAGTGCGTTCTTGTCGCCCCTTTTCAAGCCTGGTGAGATAGGCTGACCACACAGCAGGGATGCGCTGGCCAGGCACGAGCTCACTCATCAGATAGCCTCGCCGAGTCTGCTTTCTAAGGGCGCGAGAGCCTGTATTGCTTGTGCGGTAGCTAAAGTACGTGGATCGATTGGGGGCAAGAGGTCTCCGAGACACGATCAACCACCGCGGCGTGCTATGAGCGCAGGCCATACCGGTCTCTTTCTCGAGAAAGTCGCTGACTGCTAACCTGCCTCTCCATGATCTAGGCACGCTGTTCCGGAGACACGCAGTGCCTTCGTTGCGGCCAGCGTGGCATACACTGCACGTACCCTGAGGTAGCTGGCCACCAAGATGTGACTACGGCACCCAACGAGGGCGCCGGCATGCCCGTCGAGAACGCTCAAACCACGGTAAGTGCTTGACAAGTATCTACCTCATCAATACAAGTGATATTACTGCAGCACGGGAATCCATATGGTAGCATGGCAATTACTTCATTCTCGGGGAAGCGCATTCAGACGTGCCGTTCTGGATATTACCTGACGGATGAGTTCTCCCAGACAGCAATTTTTCACCATGCGGCGCCCTGTAACACAGTACTGTTGATCGAATTTTGGAGACACCTGCTAACCGTTGTCTCGCTTCAGGGGCCTACTTATGTGCAGGCGAATTTACCGACCCCATTTCCATCTGGACCACTAAGCTACGATGGCGAATTTTGGGACCCAGGTATACTTTCGGCCTCCAACTGGCTAGACAACGTCGTGGACCTTGACTTTCAGGGTGTGTCTCCACAATTCGACTTCTATGGCATTTCACCGCATAACTGGAACCCTGGCCTCTCTGGACAAGCGCCTAACGAGCCTGTAAGCAATCACATGCAACACAGCGCAATATCACCTGTAGCTGTCGCATCTACTGTTTCGGGACAATCGGGCCATTCTGAAAGCGCAGCAGATGTCTGTGCTGCGCAAGAAGAGTCCGAAGTCCGTCAGGGCGAATACTATGTCGATGGAGAACCAGCGAGACTTCCAAGGACCAAACGTAGACGACTGTCATCCAGACTGCCAGCTAGGACAAATCAACAGCAGTCACAGGCTACGTTCTCCCTGCAAAGCCCTTCGAGTGACTCATTCGAAAACAAGCACCGAGTTGCAATATCTTCTCGCACATATGAGCAGATTCTTAAGGCTTGGCGGAGCGTCTGCCTTACCAGTCTAAGCCCATGGCCGGCTTTCGAAGCATCAGATCCACCAACGAAAGAGCTATTCGAGCACTTACTTGGACTTTACTTTGTATCGTTCCAACCGACCCTGCCATTTGTACACGTTGCAAGCTTCAACCCTGAAACGACAAATTGGATCCTAATCCTTGCGATGACTTCGGTCGGAGCCCAATATCTTGAAGCAGACGGAACTTCAACACTGGCCAACTCCTTGCACGAGTTCTGCAGAAGGTGTCTATTCTATCAAAAGGAAGTTCAAGATTGGTCACCAATGGACGTATTCCAGCTTTCGCAGAGCCGTTTGCTCAACTACATTGGCCTCACGTACTCTGGGGACACTCGCCTTCACAAGGCCGGACTAGAGATGCAGCATATTCTGAGATCATCATTCGACGAGGTTGCGGACTCGTTAAAACAAAAGGCGGGACCTGTGTCAGATGAGAGCGAGACTGGTTGGCTCGAATGGTCCCAGCGTGAGGCAATAAGGAGAGTGTCGTTCTCGCTGTTCCTAATACTCAGCATGGCAGCTTATCACTTCCAACGTCGGCCTCTGATTCAGCTGACCGAATGCGAGCTGACACTACCCAGCCACGAGAAGCCGTGGAACGCTACGACTTGTGCAGACTGGCAGGCGGCAGTCCGACAACATTCGCCCGCGCCAACGTTGGGCCAAGCTCTCCAAGAACTGTACATTGAGAAGCGCATCCCTCGAGACCGAGGCGAATTTGCGCGGATCATCATGATCCATGGGCTGTTCCACCGAACGTGGGACGTATCAAGATACTTCAGCAACCCTTTATCTCAATGGGAGCCAACAGCTAAAAAGCAAACCAGCTCTGAAGTCCTCCCTACGAGCCCTGTCTGGACTCCCGGCATCACGACCTACAATCGCTGGCAGAATTCGGTCTGCGACTGCATGGATGTTCTGCACTGGCAGGCCAACGCTACGATTGGTCAAGCGCAAGGCCTAGAACATCCGACTGTTGGATTCCTTCACCTCTCGAGAGTTGTGTTGCTATCGCCAATTGACTCTATCGTGCGATTTGCCGAAGCTGTGGCGAACCGCAGTGATGTCACCGCCGTCTCCAAGGATAAAGAATTCATACAGCGCTGGGCTGTGCAAGGGCAGTACAAAGCACGCTTGGCAGCTATTCATGCTGGGACAGTGTTCTGGCACATCAGGCGATACTCCACTGACGGCTTCTACGAAGCTACTGCTGTCGCGCTGGCGACACTCATGCTCTGGGCTTTTGGCACCTTCTCCTCCAAGCAGACTAGTGGACAACAGACGGCACCACGCAGTCAAGAGCAGCAAATTACTGCCGATGCTGGAGAGAAAGGGCCGGAGACTACGGACGACGGCAGCGATGACACAGTCTGCGGCATCATTCTCCTTGACCGTCCGACCGATGACGAGCTTGTGCAGCAGTTTATACGAAAAGGTCACACGATGCGAGCCAATATCTCTGGCGTAGGTGATCTCTACGGGCCTCGAGGACCGGAACGAGTGCTACAAGAGGGATGCAAACTTCTCGGGAGTCTAAAGTGTTGGGGCACAAGTGACTTGTGGCTGGGCCTGCTCCAACGACTTGGACGGACGTCCAAGAAGTGAACGTGTCCAATGCGACCGGCGACTGTGAACAGTGGCCAGCATCCTACGGCCGCTATTGTACAGCAGTTCAAGACGCACGAGTTTGAGACAGAAGACAGGCCTTATTGAATACGATCCTTGAGGTTCAGTCTTGAAACAAGTCTACTCCTGCTATGACGCACCCGGTTCATGCATTATCCGCTCCTACTACGTTCTGAAAACTCTTTCAAGGACTTTCCAAAACTCATCAGCTTGCACATCCATGGAGAATACTCATCCAAATCGCCAGGGCTGGCAGTACCCCTGGATCTTCGTGCCTGTCCCACCACCTAAGCCTGGCACAGCCGCCAAACAACCGCCGGTGGCTAAAGAGCCCTTTCGCGGCGTGCTCGTCTGGCCAGATGCGTACCCAAGATCACCCCCCGACAGCAACAAGGAGGTGAGAATGGAAGAGAAGGATGTAGACAAGGAGATGCTGCGTCTTGCAAACTGGGAACATATCTCGCTACCCCGGATCCTGGGAGTACCACTCACGATCGCCAAAATGGCCTGCCGCCGATAATACCGACCTCGAGCGCCATCGTGGCGCCGAGATCTTGTCCATGGACTTCGACTGCTCACGACCGGCTGAAGAGGTCCTTGATGTCGTGCTGGATACGGGGATGAACGCATCGATTCGAGGCAGGATCATGGTAGTCCGTGCGGGCCGGCATCCACTGAGCGTTCAACATGTTCGATTACAGCTCGACTATATCGACGTGCATCTGCAGGAGATTGTCAAGTTGACTGGAGGCAGCTACAAGGAAGTGGTGGACGGGAAGTCGATCTTGCGGCCTGGTGTGATTCGCGGCAAGACCGTTGACGAAATGAGGAGGCTCCAGGAACAGGTGAAGGAGTGGATGGACCCGAGCGTGTTTTCGAAGGAGGTGAACGACACCATGGCGAGCAAGGGACAATGAAAGGGGCCACCCGTCCACATCTGGCAGTCTTCTCCGAGACAAGTTTGCGGTCGAAGGCCGTATCACTCTCTTCAGCGGGCGGTCGTTGTCTGTGAGAAGGTCCCTGGCCCGCTCAGACCTAGTGGGCCGCTTGCACTGCCGACTGCTTGCATGACTACGAGTGAAAGCGGCGGGAGTTCCAAACACCGCTGATTGCACTGTATTGATTATGCGAGATTCATGGATTGAATAAAGCAGAACCATTGTTCAAGTGAATGATGTAGCGAGCTAGCCTGGAATAGGCAGCTCCGGCTAGCTGGATATATGTACTTTAGCCTACACCTGAACTTCATGTCTTGACATTACGAAACGTCTCAAGTCCCGAGTAGCAAGGACCTTCGCATTCATGCTCGCATAGGATTCATCCCGAGTTCACTTGGAGGACTGTCGCCGCGGACATTTACTCGACTTCACTGCCGATGCGCCTCGGAGCTACCTAGCCATTACCTCACTACATGGTCCTCTTCATTTCCACCACGACAGTCTGCTTGGGGAGCCAACAACAACAGCTCGACGCTCCGGAACCAAGTAGAGTTCGACCACCTCGCAAGATCTGGCAGCTGCAACCATGGCTTCACCCAGTGGGCGTGCGAACAGCACCAGCTCGCCTGGCGGACAGTCGAGCGCGGCGATCATCCTAGGCAGACAGTACAAGCAGATGCAGACCGACAAGGACATCCCAGGCATCAGCTGTGGATTGGCAGATGGCGACAACATCTTCGACTGGGTCATCATGCTCATGTTGGACGAGGAGCAGGACAGCTTGTATGGAGGTGAGTGAAGGCGACGTGGGCAAGGACGGCAGCGCAGTACGTCCGTCCTACCTGCTACTGAGCCCAAGCTCTACGAACAAGACAATGCAGGACCATCAGAGTGCTAATGTTCCGTCTCTAGGAGGCTGCTTCCGCGCCCGCCTAAAGTTCCCACCAACCTACCCCCACCTCCCGCCAACCATGAAGTTCGAAACGCCCATCTTCCACCCCAACGTCTACGAGAACGGCGAAGTCTGCATCTCCATCCTCCACCCGCCCGAAGACGACAAGTACGGCTACGAGCAGGCGTCGGAACGCTGGTCGCCGGTGCAGACGCCTGAGACGATTCTGCTGAGTGTGATCAGTATGTTGGGTAGTCCGAACGATGAGAGTCCGGCGAACATCGAGGCGGGGAAGCTATGGAGGAATGATAAGAAAGAGTTTCGGAAGAGGGTCAGGAAGTGTGTGAGGGATAGCCAGGAGAGTGCTTGGGATTGAGGCGAGAGTGAGAGGGAAGGGGTTGTGCTAAAATGGCGTTACGATCATTGATGTGCATATGGGAGGCGCTCGTCTTACGGATGGCGGATGAGGAACGCCCATACTCAGACCTGCTATAGGTCCCGGCTATCAAATGCCTATTCAACGTCACCGGCTCCCACGAGCTATGCGAGTAATGCCAACCCATCCAATGTAAACGCCACCGCTGAAAGCCCCAGTAACCCAAAGCATGACCGTCACTCAGCAACACCAGCCATTTGCAACGCTTCCTCAACACCATCAACAAAATAGTCCGATCCTCCAATGATATCAACAATTCCACTGCGCTCAAAGCTCTCCATGACCTGCGTCTGCTTCAGTCGGCAGAAGATAACTTGCGCGCCACTGTTGGTGTACTCTTGCACGATCTCCGTCAGGACCTGCACAGCGCAGGCATCAATGGCAGTCAGACCCTGTACGTCGAATATCAAGATCTCGTCTTCTGCCCTCACGCGTGGTAGTGAAGGATGGACGTCGTGTCGTCCATACCACTCGAGCCGCCGTAGCCTCGTTCGCAGATCACCGCTGTTGGCGAATGTCAGAGGTTCGGCGATCCGAACGATCAGACATTGGTCGAACTGGTCGCCTTCTGGAGTGATCTCGGCATCTTCGAAGAGATGTGTCGTCCCTGGTATCCGTCCTAGGATCTGTATGCGAGACTTCGTCGAGTGGCGAACGAGAGTGAAAAGCGTGATAAGGATGCCGACAGCAATGCCCAGAGACATGGAGTAGCACACTGTACCAAGGAAGACCAGCGCCATTAATGTCAGCTCCTGCCAGCCGCGCACACGGAGGAAGAAGCGGAGGTCGTGTGGAACTTCTTCCATCATGGACATGCCGACCGCTGAAGCCATCGCTGATAAGACGGCTTTCGGGACGTAGTATAATCCGGGCAATATGAAGAAGACGCAAAGTATCGTAATCCCACTGAGCAAGACGCTGGCCATAGGCGTGGTCCCACCCGCTTGCACGTTCAACTTGCTGCGCCCGAACCCTCCGAAAGCTGGCAGAGTCATGAAGCAGCCGCCTAATACGTTCGCAGTTCCAAGCGCAATAAGCTCGCGATTGGCGCTCAGGGGTGTGTTCTGGAGCACGTTCTTCTCAGGTTTGATGCTTCGAGCAGTGACTGATGACTCAAAGAAGCCCAACAAGGCTGACAAGAAAGACGTCGTGAACACCAACTCGATGTACTCAAACTTGTCAAACGGCCAGTCCAAGGTCGGCAGTTTCGGGCCAGAAGTGCCTAAAGCTCCTAGAATTTCCAGTCCACGCTTGTCGAGACCGAGCCTCCAGGTAATGATGGTAGTCACAGCGATAGCGAGCAATCGATCCGGCACCAGAGCTATGCCAGGAAATTTTGAGCGCAGGGCTTTCTGCATTGATCGGAAGACCAGGATAAAGGCCAATGTCGAGAACGCCACAATCGCCGTGAGTAAATGCGCTTTCGAGATATTGGTGAGGATGAAGTAGACTTTCAAGGCTGCACTGCAACGCGAGTAACCCAGTTCTCGCGAAAGCTCCTTCAGTCCAAGTTCCGGTATAGCCTGCTCTATCACAAGAACAAATCCAACACTTGAGATGAAGCCTTGCATAAACGGCCGGTTCAACATACTGTCGATGAAGCCAATCCGTGAGATACCAGCCACGAGAAGACACAAGCCCGCCATAGCTGTCGTGACCCCAGATATCTCAGCGTTGAGATAGCTCTCCTCGCTCCCAGCCGCAGACTGGATCTGCCTCACCACTGAACCAACGAGCAGTGATCCGGTCGCCTCAGGCCCAACGATCATCTGCGGGCAGGATCCGAGGAATGCATACACCAGCGGGTGTATGATGAATGCGTATAGCCCACTGATCGGATCCACCTGCGCGATGATGGCGAAAGAAAAGCACATCGGCACATACAGCGAAGCCACTGTGAGCGCGGCCAGGAAATCGTCGCGGAACCATCGTGGCTGGTACTGAGGCAACCAGCTCAAGAATGGCATGTAGTATGCCCACCAGCGATACCGATTTCGACTCCGCTCGGTGTTGAGGAGAGATTCGTGGTCAGCGGTCGCCCAGGGTAAAGCCATGCGGTATCGTCGTCCGGCCACGACGGGGGAGGAGAAGCTGTCTTTCCGAGATGGTTTGATCGTGCCATAGCTTTGACTGCTGCGCAGCCTGGTGAGGCCGTCGTCGTCCATTGTGCCGTTTGATGGCCTGGTCAGATTCTTCTGATATGTTGGCGGCGGTGTGCATTACCGCTGGGGAATCGCTACGGGCTGTGGTAGGGACTCGGTCAGAGGTAGATAGGACGTCTGCGACTTCACAAGCTCGTCTCCAAGGCGCTCATGTACATGCGTTGTAATTGAATATACCAATCAAAAGTCGAGTCGAAGGCGTGCTCGAACAAGCAAGCAAGCAAGCAGGGAGCGTTCTTCGAGGATTCTGTCGGCGAGGTCGGAGTCGGGATCAGGTCCGCGGCGTCCAGCAGCTTGAAGTTCGCTCAAATCCGCCTCTTCTCCAAAATGCGAAGATAAGACGTGCAACTGCAGCGCTTGAGAGGATGCTGAAAAAGTTGGAGTCTTTACAAATGCGCTGGCACCGCTTCACTCGCAGCCAATTAGGAGCGGGATGCTTGTGAGAGCAAAACCAACACTGGAAAGACCATACGCATTGGCAGCATCGTACTGATTCGAAGAAGTCGGTACGTTCGTAGAATGCATCGCTAAGTAATGGTGTGTAATGTTCAACGCTCAATGCAGTTACGACCAGCCGCTTACAGCTCCTTGAGCCTCGCCAGCACCCTTCTCAGAGGAATACAAGCACCTTTCGACATGCTCCGTAGCCCATCTGGCTCCGCCGCGCCACTCTCACTCCTCTTGAGCACTTCCTCCACGTCCTGTATCTTCCTGTCCAACAGTTGCTTGCCGCTCGCATCTTTGTAGAGCCAATGGAAGACATCCTCCAGGCCCTCTACACCACCTCGCACACCCTCCTTCGACGCATTGATCCGGTCCACCGCATTGATGATGAAGGAGTTCGCTCTGAGATAGGTCCGCTCGTTATACAGGGCGCTCGGACGCTTGGAGCTCTCCAGATCTGCCAGGGGTTCGTATCCAGCCTCGTTGAAGTACGGCTCTCTCACGAGAACAAGGCCGAGGATGCTCACAATGACCTGGAGCAGGGTACTTCGAGCCGGAGACCAGGATTCATTCTTCGCTCCATCCCAGGTACCCAGAAGCGATAGGCAGATCTTTCCGTCTTCATAGAGGTTGGGATTCACTCGTCCAACGCCACCCAAACTGCTCTCTGCAGTCCAGTTGTGGAAATGTGCGTGTGGAGGGTCTGTAGGGAACGTTGAAGGCAGGTAGAAGTCGACGACAAAAGGTGCATCGGCGTATGGTGTCTCCGCGGGCCCAACAAATAAAACGCGGATGAGATCCATTCGAGAGTCCCATGTGCGGACATATACTTCCGGAGGTAGATTGCCGGCAGTGCGGAGGATTTTGTGCTCCTTCTGCACGCGTTTCATGTGAGTAGCGTTGTTTGTCGATGGCTGGTTGGAGTAGTGGTGGCTCGTTGGCGCAGGGCCTTCAAGCACGAGGTACTGTTCCGGCCCGTTTGTTGTGTTCTCCTTCATCGCATCACTGCCAACGTTCCCGTCAGGATCTGCGTTGGTTTGATTGTGCGGCGGCGTCACGGGATGAGAAGTCGGCGGTGTCTCGTCAGGAACATCAATCATATTGACGTCCTCCTCGCCAGATGCGTCCGATTCCCAATCCTCATTTTCGACTTCCTCCTCATCCAACGGTACTCCGTTCTCGTCCTCGTAAGTGGCATTGACGCTTTCATCATCCTCACTCCTCTCCATCGAATCGTTGTCAAAATCGAGATAGTCATCTTCAGAGCCCCATCCTTCAAAGTCCGGGTGTAGATAGCCAGGGTCGCCCGGCACTCCGTACGGCTCTCCCAAACCCAAACCGTCTCGTTCCATAGCAAGAGCAACTTCCTCATCGGTCGTCTCTTCATCGGAAGCTCCTTGCTCCCATCCGTCAGGTTCGCCTGTTCCATCCGATCTTATCGCGACGCGGACATGCTCTCTCAAGACCTGAATGTCACGCACCTCCTTTGCCGCGCCAAGCCGAATAGTCAGGGTTCCATCAAGGCATGTATCGACGATCTCGCCAATCCAGTCGACATCATCTTTCTCATCATCACCGTCCTTTTGACTTCGGGCCTCGTCCATGAGAAGCACCTTGTCACCTCTTCGCACGTTCATGGAACCGGGTGCATCCACATCGTACAGACTCATCTCCTCCTGCTCACCGTCCGCTCGACCAACCAGACCCAATATCAGACTTCTCATTTCATTGCCCTCCTCGAGATCCTGGAAGTATTGCATACACCCGCCGCTGCACCACCGCATCGTAGCCATGCGCTCAGTTGGGTTGACTGTCTGCACCACGCCCACTTTGCTCGGCTGAGACATGCCTTCCGTTCCAGGTATCCGTGAGAAGTCGAGAGTATGCGCGATCTCCCCCGGCCACGCAGCATGATCATCGTCTATTGAGCTGTCGGGCACCAGATCGATGCTGCGTTCCTGCGAGATCGAAAGGTCCTGCCACTGTATCGTGACATCTGTCTGGAAGCCTTCCAACCGGAAGACGTTGAGGTCATATCCCAGGGTATCTCGACGATCCAGCCTATGCAGCTTACCGTGGTGCGTGGACCCATCATATTTGACACAGGCGCCTGCAAGATCCTTGAAACGGACGACTACGCCGAGCAAGCCGAAATCGGTCTCTGGATTGGAAAGTGTCGTCGAGGTCGCACCAGTGGTTCGTGGCCTCCGCGAGCAATCATAGATGCGAAAGTCTTCGGATTCAAGATCGTCGCTGTCAAGAAAGAGAGCAGGTTCGGATGCTCCCACCGCGCCAATACGTCGTTGCAGCCACTCAACGTCGGCGCTCACATTGCGGGTGGCAACAACGGTGCCGATGGGTGGAGTGTTGGGGTTGTATTGCCCAAAAATCCAGTTGCTGCGGCGCAGGTCTGGCTTCTTCGAGTAGGCGATATCTCCAACGTAGAACTGGTCGAGAGCGTCGTCGTGGTGTCTAGCCTGACCTTCATGGATCTCAACCACATTGTTGTCAGCGAGCTGTAGTGTGACCATCTGGACAAGCTTCTCGATCCGTCCCAGATGATTTTTGTAGACGAACAGGTCTTCCACGTTCAGAGCATCAGCATATCTCAATTCTGAAGCAGGGACATCAACGAGTGTCTGGGGTAGAGTGGTTGTGTAACGGCCATAGACAGACAGCTCGTTTCCAAAAGCCGGCCATCCTCTGAGTGTGTTGTTACCCCGGAGTGAAGGTAATTGCAACTCTGGTAGTGGTTGAAGTACGAGTCTCGTGGACGCGTTGATAACCGTGCCACTCATAGCATCCCGTACGTTACGCTTGACGATGTCCCCGATCAGGAGAGACCGGTCCAGCAGCTTGAGCTTTGACTCGTGGATGAGAGAGGATTCCATCCTCCTGTGCCATCGAACGAACACAGTGTTGGGCGGCGGCACGCCATCCTTAAGAAACCGCTTGTAGAGCTTCTTGGGGACTCCGTCGCAGACTATTGGGTCTGCACTGTTGCGTGCGGGGTGAGGGAGGTGAGTGTCAACGTCTCCGTGGGTCCCCTCAACAACTCCTACATCGTTTTCGCCGTCCTTGTTGGCGACAAGATCGTCCGGGAAGAGTGGCGCCGGCATGACTGCGATGGATTCAAGATCGGGCTACCGGTCGGTTCCTGACTTCCTGTTGCTACGCATCTCCAGAAAAAGGAGAACGATGAACTGTTTGTAGTGCTGGTGTTTCTGTGCCTCTTTGTTCGTTTCGTCGCAAGGTTGTAGATCGTGGCGATGGGAAAGGTCGTCGGAACATTGGTAGGCGCAAGAACCATCCAGGCCTGGAGAGTGGCGCGGCGGGAACGGCCTCACGGCGGATAGAACCGGCGCCAGCGCGCTTGGGCCTTCTCGACTTACATACAACATTCACTTCCACATCGCCAGAACCGCGTATACACTCAGAAAGGCGCCGAGCGCCATGGACCCGCTGTACGAGCTGCTGGCTCCCTACTTCGATCGACCAGAGTCGCCGTCCGACCACCTACCACCCCCGGCTGCTAGCGATGCCCACACCGTCAGCTACCTCACACGGCTGAGCACTCTCTCTCTTGGGGATCTTGCCTCGACTGAGCCGGCCTCGCTTCTACACTCTGCTCAACAGCATCTTCGAAGTCTACAGGCACTCTCGAAACGCTCTCAAAAGGCTGTCATTGCCTCTTCCTCCCACCTCTCAAACTTGACCTCAATCCTACCGATCCTCGGATCACAAACCAAAGCATTACAAGATGGCATACCAGAGCTGGAGACAGCAGCATCGGAATTCGCGACCAAGTACAACAGGAGTACGGAGAACGCTGTCCTGGACCGGCGGAAGCGAACAATGCTGCTTTCCGGGAATGTAGACCGGGTGACTGATGTGCTGGAACTACCGACTCTGCTGTCTTCAACAGTATCTGCTGCGCAAGCTCCAGGCACAAGTTCAAGTTCGAGCACGTCTACCTCTTATGCTTCAGCATTGGATCTACATGCCCACATCCGACGGCTGAACACTCTCTATCCGCATTCAGAACTGGTTGGCGGCATTATGAAGCAGGCAGAGTCGGAAATACAGAATCTTACTACGATCTTAATCACAGCACTACAAAGTCCCTCGTTGAAGCTAGCGGGTGCAATGCGGACGATCGGCTGGCTCAGGAGAGTCACCCCGGATCTCGCCGAAGACGGCTATGCCACGACGAAGCAACACGCTACCTCAGCAAGAGCACTCACCATGTCCAAGGACGCCCAAAGCGAAGACGGCGCACTCGGATCAGTATTCCTCATCTGCCGACTGCGGACTCTACACATGACGCTGAATGCGCTCGATCCTCTACGCGAGCTAGCCGACAACGAAACCACCCGCCGGCAGCAGGGTCTGAACAGCAAACTGCTCAAACAGCAAGTCTCAGCCAGCGCACTCGGAAGCCAGAGCGAACGGTACCTAAAACGCTACATCGAGATTTTCCGGGAGCAGAGCTTCAGCATCATCAGCATGTACAAGAGCATCTTCCCGTCATCCCTGCCAACGCCGGAGATTGCATCAAGCGACGAAGGCGACGAGGAAGCAAGCCCGGGTCTGCCGTCTCCACTGGCTTCGTTTGCCTTACATCTATCCGCGACGCTCTCGCGCGAGCTTCAGCAGTATCTACCGAACATCGCGGACAAGCAGGCGCGAGAATCGCTTCTGACGCAAGTACTGTACTGTGCTGGTAGCTTAGGGAGGCTGGGAGCGGATTTTGGCCTGATGGTTGCGATGCTAGAGGCAGACTTGGAAGGTTCTCTGGAGGACACAGAAGACACAGCAGACGCGGATCCTGAGTGGGTGCAGGTCATGAAGAAGCACCGTGTTCAAGCGAGCCGGCTGGAAGTGCTGTCTCGTGGTGTAGGCGGTAGGAAGGCTAGTGGGGAGGTGCTGTCGCCGCCGCCTGTATCGGCTTGATAGAAATGCCTCTGTGTGAGACAGTACATACCTTTCCAAAGCTGCAGCCTCGTCGCTGCAAGAATCCGAATGCGTGAGAGCACTTCGTTCCCACCATGACCATAGATCCCGATATAGCCGGTGCTTTCCGGCAACGGGTCCGCTTAGGCCTTCTAAACGGATGACAGTAGTTAACGAGCAATCCGAGGTTACTAGAGACGTCTGGCAACCGGTAGAAGAGCAATTGACAAATGTTCCTTCCCAAGACAGTACGATCCTGCGAAGTGTCTCAATCCTCATCTCAATCGCTTCTATACGTCCGAGAATCCCATGTGTTCTCGAAATTTGACACACCGACGGGTAATTGGTTGTGCCTGTCAGCGTAGCAATGGAGTGTTGCGACCGACCGGGTTACTGGAATGTCCTCTGCCCAAAGTGCCAAGAAGCCGCCGCAGCTGAAGTCAGCCTACAATGAGACAGTACCCAGCGTATAGTAGACAGCTGAGCAGAACCTTCTCCTACTGCGATTGAGGCTCTGCACGCTATAAGACAAGAGCAATCACCAAGATAGGCAGGTGCATGCCTCGAAAGTCGTCTCTTTGGCTGCTGTACAAGCTGCAGTCGGAAGCCGCCAGAAGCCGCCGGCTCCAGATCTGTGGCACAGGTGGCTCAACGAGAGCTTCTAGACCGTCGGGAGAACAGTTTGGGTGCTATTTTTCGGTTCTCCCGGCTGCAAGCCACAGGCTAGCCACGTGTAGCGACGTCATGCAGCGTACTTTTCTTCAACACCTCCAAGGGATTTGCTGTAGACCAATAGAAAGGTGTTGATTACGCGGGGCGGTCTGTCGTGGTTGTGTCGTTGTGCTCTTCCTTGTGGCTTCGTGCAGATGTGGCACGTCGTAGTGCCCGCTGTCAGCCCTACGAGATGCGGTCCGTCTATGGAGGTTACAGTACTCCATCCGTTCACCCGTGCCCAGAAAGCATGCTGTATGCGCTCAACATAGGCGTGTCCGCATACACAGCGAGATGAAAGCTGACTACCGCTTGGCGGTCAATATCACCTGGCCAAGACGTTGGCACGACAGCGCCAGATGATGGATGGATAGAGTTGTATCGAGCGGCCAGACTCCGCGGAGGTGTTCTTGGATGCAGTGGTAGTATCAGCTCGCCTGGTATGCGAGCGGGGGCCACGGTGGTTGCGGCGGTCATGGCTTGATGTAGGCTCCTTCTGCGAGGCTGTTCGAGGTAGATACGGTCGTAATGCCATATCAGTTCAGCAATACAGTCAAGAAGGAATGCGTTGAGGTCGCTTCGGCGGTGCCTCGGATGGTGCGAAGATCGCACTCGATGCCTGGGTAAAGTGGTGCAGTTCCTGAGTCAAGCGACCGGCTCCAAGCAAACCGATAGACGGCAGGGCTGCACCCGAGAGATGCACAATAGTGTGATAGGTGGGTGAAGGTGGCGCAGCAGCAAAGCAGTCGCCCGATCAGGACGATCCACGCGATGGGATTTGAGATTGATAGAAAAGACTCTTCGCTGTTCATGCCTGAATACTAATTACATCCACAACACCAGCACACCGAATACAACCTCACAGTCAGGTCATCATTGGAAGGATATCTCCAACACGCTCGTTCCCGAGGAAGCCGCTATTCTACCGCACGTAGAGAGTCGGTCGCTCCTTCCTTCCATTCCGTTCGAGAAGTGTTCCAGAATTTGGAAGGTGCCAAGGGCCGAGGGCGCCGAACCCTACAATACATGCTCGTTTCGATGCCGTCACTGCAGGATAGATTCTTTCACCTTTCCACCAACATTCCCCCGACACACGGCTTACCAACGCCGCACTCTGCATATCAAAGCGAACACGACGACTATATCTACCACCAGCACGACCGCCACCGTCAGCCGGTACAAGCAGTACAACAACCAACGACACGCCACTGCATGAACAACCAATACTACTACGCTCACCCAGACATCCGGGTTGAGGCATCCACACCATCGCCATTGCCACCGCCTTACGACGCGCGCCAGGACTCGGTTGCATTTGGCAACGGGCCGGTGTTCAACGGGTACGACGACTGGCAGCAGATGTACACGTCGGGCATGGGAGTGCCTGCGACATCGACTCAACGCCCGTTGAAAAGAGCAAGGACGCACCAGAGAACGCCCTCCGCCAGTACCGTCGCATCCACAGGCCCGGCATCACCATATACCGCAAACTCGCTATACCCGCAAATAGCGAACACCGATTACTCTCCCAGCTCGCCAGGGCAGGCAGCCTACGCTGACCAACCGCTCTACCCGAAGAACCTGCCCACACCGTCGCAGACGCCTACCGAGAGTTCTTTTTATAACTACTACGTCCCGAGCCAGGCTGCGCACACGCCCAACGCGCACCTGGCTATGAAAGGGTTTGCCATCGATCACCACATCACAGACGACATTCCACAAGAATTCTACCATTCCTCCAGGCATTCAATGGCGAGTCGCGGCAACAACTCCCCCTCGACGCCACGATCTGGTGCTGGAGAGGGTTATGATGCGAGAGGTTACAACCAAAGCGGAGACTTCAGAAATCCGAACCCGAGCGTGCAGTTCTACCGCACGGAGTCGCAAGCATACCAAGATGAGCTGTACAATCCTTCCGCGAACTACACATCCGTCCCGGCCGCTGCACCCACACACAATAACGTCGACCTCCTCACACCTCACCGAAATTTAGTCAGCGAGCGATTACAGACTGCGAACCTTGCCCGGTCCGCTTCGCCGTCCTCTGCGATCTCTCGTGAGCGATCACCGTTCAGAGATGGCTCACCTCTGGCGCCATCCGGAGCTGACTGGAACCCGGCGGCGCAGTCTGTAGGCACAGCCGCAAGTATGCGACAGCAGCAGAGGGCAGAAGCCGCCAAGGCAGAGTATGATTACCACCACGTACCGCCCACACTCAACCGAGAGCCAACCAAGACGATTTCGCCAAAGGATGCAGTCTTGGAGTACACCGATGGCGAGCAGTCGTCTCTATTCCAGGACAACATACCCGGAGGCTACAGGCCGTACACCGGCAGCAACGAGACGTGGCAACCCGATTATAGCAGCCAACCAGCCTCTTCGTTTGGTAACCTGGTGGCAAATGGTCCGAACACCCTGATGCCTCCTTTCCGGGCCAACTCATCTGAGGGCAACGCGGAGGCGAACTTCAGCTTCACTCAGCAGTTGCCACCCACCCTCCAGCAACAGTCTTCTCAAGTACAAGGCACTCAGTACCAGAACAACTCCTACGTGGCACCCAAGATGAATTATACGGATACCAACCCGGAGTTTCCGGCGCAGCTGACCTCGATGGAGTCGTCGGTAAGCGAAGGTGGCCCGCCCGTCTCGTCTCAGGAGAGCTATAATCAGACTTCGATGCCACACCGGCCTTCAGACACTCGTGCTCACACTGGGACTTACACTTGCACCTACCATGGCTGTACTCAGCGCTTCGAGTCTCACAATAGCCTGCAGAAGCACAAGCGAGACACCCATCGGTCTCAGCCACGGGAGCCTACGTCAGACGACAACTCGGAGCCATCCAACTCGCCGCGCTCGACTGAGTCACCAACGCCTTCGACAGCAGGCATGACCTCCGCCGCCATCCAAGCACGCAACTCGCAGGCCGGACCACACAAGTGCACGCGCATCAACCCTTCGACCAACAAGCCTTGCAACACGATCTTTTCGCGGCCATATGACCTCACGCGGCACGAGGACACCATACACAACAACCGCAAGATGAAGGTCAGGTGCCCGCTGTGTCGGGAAGAGAAGACATTCTCCCGCAACGATGCGCTGACGCGACACATGCGCGTCGTCCATCCGGAAGTTGAGTCGTATGGCAAGCGCGGACGCCGTGGTGACTGATCTTGGTCGCCCATGGATTACGTGCGATGACAAGACTTGACCGACACGGAATGGTCGCGTGTCCATCCGCGTGCCGCATCTAGGTACTAATGAGATGACCTGACGTGGTGGGTGAGGCTCAGCTGTGCTTGGCACTGGATGTGGTACGATGATTGCGAATGTCCCTCGCATCTCTTTCGATCTCAACACCTGTTCGACTTTGCAACTCTCCTCGGACTCAATATCGAAATTCTTCCGATTACGTGTGTGGCGACACGAAGCTTCCGTGCCACATCCTTCCATCTCGGGCGCGGCAGGCGTTTGCAGGGGTTTCGGCGACACTCGGCTCGGCCGGATGCGACGACTTTCTGTTGGGAATGCTCGAATGCGACACAACCACGATCAATAATTCACCAGCTCAACACGACACAAACCGAAACACCCTTGCTCTCGAAAAAAGACCGGTAAATCAACCGGCAATCTGACGAACCCAACACCGCCAATTATTCCTTTTTGTTTCCGCAAAACCGCACGGCTGGACCGTACGGCATGATGAGCGCTGCGCAGCGACTAGCATTGCTTTCTCTTTCTTTAGCACGGCATAGCATCACGGCAAGCATGGCAACGGCGCAATTTGAACGGAACGGCATGGACGAGGATGAATGATGGCAAAGGGACGACATGTATGAACAGTATGTGGATGGCTTGAACGGGGATTTGGTGAGCGACCTGGCTTCGCTCTCATGTAATAGTATTAGCTGTGGTAGCTTAGAATGGCTATGAGGAAGTGGTAATATTTACTTAAATGTTGTTCATCATCTCTATCTTCCTCTTCTCACATGGGTTTCATAGGCTGCTGTGGAGACGATAGGATGTAGGGCGATTGGCACAGCTAGTGAGGGCAGGATTTTACACCTGACTGATGACCAACGTGGATGCAAAACGCTCCAGCATAGCGGCGAGTGATGGCGACCCATACCACCACCATTTGGCCACTACCTTCCTACGCACAACTGACCAAGTCGAGTGGCAGGTTACCAGGCTTGACATGTACTGCACTCGGTGTCTCCGCTTGCCTCGAGCACGTTGTATCTCGATATCTGCGTCGAGTGGTTCTGGTTCTGCCTACCTAGCCCAAGTCTGGCTGAGACGAGTATAGCATGGAAACGCCGCTCGATGTCCAGCAGACGTAGCGGACGTCTCAGCGAGCGTCTTGCTTTCAATTATTGGGTGCTGTCGTCGTTGACGTATTGTGCTTGACGAGGGCTCCCTGAGGACGAATAGTGGTATTGCGGCGCAAACGCTGCTGCGTCTGTAGGAATCTGGGCAGTCGTGCAAAAGCAGTGCGGTGATTTGAGTCTTTCTTGGATGTTGACGTGGTAGCAGATTGATGGGTCGTGGCGTGGCAATTGTTCGGATCTTGGAGAATTTTCTCTCGCAGATGTTGTGTGAGTGCGGCGCTTGACCCGTATCCGGAGGCTGTTGATTTACTTTGATCCTCTTTACCGTTGCGAGTCTTCACTCTGTTAATACCTGGTGTTGTCAACGGACGGCTGACGAAAGGCTCTTGATCTTGCTGGCGGCATGTCGCTCAGGAATGGGCATCAGACGGAGCTGCTGGCACCATGAGCTCTCTGTCGTTGTGTGATGCTCGCAAAAACTCTCAGCTGCTGTAGCTCCACGACATTCCGAGAGCTAGAGTCCGTCCTGAGGAAGTTTTACCTTTCTTGAGACAGATCTCACGTCGAGCTCGTCCGCTCGCGCGTGCGAACAATGGAAGGCAATCAATGAAGCACAGCAGCGATAGGCACAAGTTGTGGTAGGGCGATCGACTTGCATACCGTTGCGAGGTTATCGCTTAGGACAGGCTCAAGGACGCGATCCTCTTCCCTCGGAATGCGGACAATGCGCCGATCGAGGGCGTCTGAGTCTTCAACCTCTCGGATGGTTCCGAGGCTCCCTGGTCGTGGCTGTCGCTGTACCCCTCTCTCATATGCGTATTTTCAAGGTTCTCCGCTGCGCTCGTGGGCTCGTGAAGGTCTCTGCAGGTTTGCAGCTATGTATCGGTACCGAAGTGTAGAGCTCTCGATCTCGTGACAGACCCTTGGGGATTTCAGGCTGATGCTGCTTCGGACCGCCTGAGCCGGCTGGAAATTGCTGTTAGGACAGGAAATGGTTGAGCAAGTGAATAGGGATTGAGCGCTTCGTTGCATGCTCTCCTTCCGGCTTGGGAGAAGTCATTGTAGTCGAGTTTAGCATCATATCGTCTCCAAGTCCATCCCTCGAGATCTCCACACGTCCCCGCCTCCCCGTCGTGCGGACCAGCTGCACAATGCGTGACAAGGTGGGACGGCGGCGCGTCTGATTGGAGTGCAGCGGGGTGTACCGAAGGAGATCGTTAGTCAAAGGCCAGCCAGTGCAGCCGCTCTCGTGACAATTGGGTGTCTGAAAGCGTGCAAGTGCAGCGTGAAGATGGAGGAGCCTGCCCTCTTTCTCCGCACGCCCCCCTGATCATGGCTGATGCATGCTTGCGCACTTGCATGGGCCGCTTTTGGCGCTGCTCTCCTGCTTCCTACTTTAGCTGCATGACACGCTCGAGGCCCTGCGTTCACCATCCGTCCTCCGGAAGCATCAGTAGAGCATTCACCAGCGCGTTCGGTAGCCTCGAAGCAAAGAAGAGCAGGCAGCACGAACAAGCACCAGCGCAAACACAACCCCCTCGAAGCGTCGTCGCGAATCATCGATCATCGGGCGGCAAGAGAGCAGGCAGTGGACAGTGCGCACTTCATCTGGACTTCCCCACAACCGCTCGAAGTCTGTTCCTCTCCCTCCCGACCTTCTTGCAACCGCAGCTCCACCACCCAGAACCTCTGGAGTCCAGCTGCCACGATCCACTGCTGGCCCAGGCCTATTCTATACCGCCTCGACGACGACGAGGTACTGGCCAGCGTGCGCCAGCGCCAGCGTCCCGGTTCAGGGAAGCTTGGAGACAAAGGCACACGAGCCCCACACCTCACCTCGCCCGCAGCGTGCTGAAGGCAGTACCCGAGACCTCGTTGCTCAATGTGAATACCACTGCGACAACTACGCCTATCAGTACACGACGCGCAGCTTGTTCCGGAATAGAGGAGCGCTCAAAGAGCGTTAGCGATGACCATAGGTGAATGCCTCTGCCCCGCCACGCCTACAGCCTCGACTGACACGAGCCCAGACTTTCATACGACATAAAAAGACACCACGACGCTTCTTCGGCATGTAGCTTTAGCTTACGACATACGATAAAGGTGTGTCTACTCGCAGCGCATGGAGGGTGGTTGATCTCGCTGACCAAATGACCACCAGTATTGCGACCCTGTAGACATAGAATAGAGGACCGGACCGGACGGATTTACGACCAAAAGTAATACTCAGGTACGTCCATTTGACTGTTTCGTTCTTCTCGGTCCGTTGGTTTGGTAGCACAGGAAGAATGAGATGGCTATAGCAGTTGGCAGTGGCGGTGGCCGTGCTGGGGTACGAAGCGTGTGCTGGGACTTGGATGCCCTTGGACCATCAACCGATCTATCAGCCATAAGATTCTAAGGCCGTATGCGGGCGAACATCGTGTTACGATGGTCTGCGAGGCGTTGCTCGAAACTGGAGCTACAATGGAGTGCCATCCACAGAATTTTTTGGGGCCCGCGTAGTGCTTCGCTGGATCTTTCTGCGCCTCCCATACTATTGGGTTCAAGATGATTCAAAGAACATTGGCTGTCATGCCTGGACTATGCTGCTGTCGTCGAAGAGCTCTTGGCTTGTCTCGTCCACCTCGCCTTGCCTGCCATTGCCGATTTGTGTTTCGTGTCCTCGTATCTCTCAACGACCTGCTCGCGCATCTCTTACAATGACGGAGGGAATTTCGCTGACTCTCACTGCAGACATCTTCTTTAGACCTTCGATATTTGCGTGTGGCGTGTTTTATGAACCCAGATATGAATGTAAGCTTTTGTGGATCTGCTGCGTGCGCGCCCGACAATCTGACCGGTTTGATGTAGTCTTTTCGACGAGCAACACCAGATTCGGAGGCCGTGGCCTCATCCGAAGACGAGAGACCCTGGCCCACGGCAAAGTCCTTCGGCAGCTTGCCTCGCAAAGAAAACAGTGTCCCAGGCCTGGGCGGAACGATCTGGTCCACCCAGAAGCGGGACAGCTTCAAGATGGAGAAGGCTGCCCAGCGAAATGCAGCTCGTGAGGCACGCCTGGCTGCTCCAGGCGGTGCCCGTGGCATCCTGAGAGCCGAAGGCACACCGTCACCGGCGGCTAGTGATGCCTCTGGTGTGCTGCCGTTCCCGATTCCGATGCAACCGGTGCCCAAGGCCGGACGATCTATGTCACATTCCCAGGGCCAGCGTGAGGTGCCTACCAGCACGAACGACCATACTGTCCTCCCTCTTGGCCTGCTGGCTGAAGAAGATGCTGATACGGAGTCCGAGTCTGATATGGGTGGAGGACTAACCCACACTACCTCTCACCCGCCCATTGGTACTTTACACCGCACATCCACCTTGCCGATGGCCTACGAATCCTACTACGGCGGATCCAACGGACGAGATGCTGGGCATGCTGTTGGAGGAGCACCGCGAATCGAGGCTGCTTTCGCTAATCTTTCGTTGGGTATGTCTGAGCTCACATCCTTAAGGCTTCCTTGCTGACCGCCGGCCACAGACCACCCACCCCGTCGCGCCCAATGGCAAAGCAAGCTCGGATGGGACGACGTCCCCAACGTCAACGAATCGCGCCGCCACTCGCTTGCTGACATCCCGACCCGCCGCGGCTCGGTCGCTGGTACGGATAGCCGGCCACAGCTGGGTGGAGCGGCGTACTGGCCCGATCGGATGTACGAGTGGAACGGCGGTGCTGTTGAGGCGGAGGCGGAGGGGTATGCAGATTGTAAGTCTTTCGATTCGATGTCTCATATCTCAAAGTGCGGTTTGCTTGCTTTGCATGCTGGAGTGGAGGAAAATGCGTGGTCGGGTGCCCCAGGGTTTCTGGAATGGGACTACTTGGACTAGTTTCTGGCTTCTGGTCACTGGAAATTGGAATCCGGATCCTGGACTTGGATTCTCTGGAGGATGTGAGGAGAGTTGGTGGAGGATGATCAGGTTGGCTTGTTGCTTTAAGGGCGGCTCAGCACACTGGATCCCAAGACATCGACGGGGCATCGGAAGAAGATGGCTTGCAAAACCGATGGGTCGTGGCATTGATGCATTCCGACTCTTCCCCGAATGAGCGCTGGCGCAAAGACGAGCACGATTGTTATGACCGCTTCCGTCCGGTCCTCTCGATCGACGTGAGGGTCTGCTCATCGTCTGGCGCTCTCAGCAGAATTCTGCGTTGTCGCTTTTGTGCCGTCCATGGAGACAGCACTCAAAGTGCCTTGCGCATGGTCTGGACACGCCGCGAGGATGACTTCTCGACTTCTTGCCTTGACGTTTCGGCGCATCCGAAATCGCCGTTTCTACGACCACGGTTGTATCCCCTCGATCCTCCTCTTACATCGGCGCCACGGTGTCGCTCGGTCCTTTGCGGTCTGCGCTCTTTGGACGGAGGTGTACGTCGGCGTGGTGGTGTTCACAGAACCCTTGAAAGGCTCGGGATATTATACTGCGCCGAAGACACTGCTGCACGGCTCAGCATCAGCACCATAGCGTCGTCGGGGTTGGCGGTTTAGGCTGCTTCGAAAGGGAGGAAGTGTTTGTGGGAGGATCTTATTGCCGTCCATCCATCGCTCGGCGATCTTGCACGGAGACCAGTCGATCGATGGGCCATTGTCGCACGACACAGCGAAGCCAACGGAGACTGTTCGCTCTGCTTTCGGCGGCTGCTTGCCCTCAGTTCGCCGTTGCTGGCGCTGTCGTCTGGCAGTTTATATGGTTGGGAGGTCCGTCTGGACACAGTGTCGCCATTCGTGGTGGTTGTTACCGCTCAACTTAAGACCGCCTCCGCTGTGCTCTGGCAGTTCGCCAGGTTGAGAGGGAGATGTTTGTCCAGACGTTACGGAACTGCACGCTCATCTTTTGAGGTTGTCTCGTGGGCGCCACTGGATCGCGATGTCGCCGTCGCATGAAGGACAGGCAGACAGCCTCTGGCGCTTCCCAATCATTTCGATGCCGTCGCTGTCGTTCTCTGGCGAATCGTGGTTTTGCGAGGAGATGCGTCGGGACATGGCCCCACCGCCCGTTGATCGCCGGGAGTGTTTCACGGTGCCCATTCGATCGCAAGCTCATGTTTGCATGGTCCCAAGAGGACTTCCAATCACCTTCATACCGGCGTCGTTCCTCTGGCACTTCTAGCTGGTGGTCAGGATGGCATGTTAGGAGCTGTCTGCTCACATGTTCCCGTCTTCTTTCGCGGCGCCTGGGCATGGAAGGCGATTGTATGTCCTGGTCTTGATGCTGCCGCCCGTTCATCGCTTGGGCTGGCCCTGTGGGTCGCAAAGGATACCATCACTGCGCGTATGCGGCTGTTTGGACTGCCGGCGGTGCGTCTTTGTCTGCCAACTTGATGCTGTCGTCGGCTCCTGTTATCTGCGCTGTTGACGCTGTTGACGCTGGTTTGGGCGTTATCGATGTAGCGTCGCCACTCGTCCATGCTCTACCGCTGCGGGGCATTGTATCAGGGTCGGAGGACATGTCCGGATGGCGGATGGCGCAAACGAGAATGTGAGGACCGGCGGCAGAGTTCCCTGTCTGTCAGCTGGATCTCGTCGTCGTTCTCTGGTAATGGACGCCGTTCATGCTGTAAAGTGGAGGTCATGAAGTTGACGCAGCGCCGGCACTCGCCTACAAATCGTCGCGAGGGGTCGCCTTATGGGTTCAGTGGATGGGGAACGTGTTATCGCATGGCGCGATCACGACTACGAGGATTGTTTGCGCTCGCTATTTGCTTCAACGCGGCGGCATGGTCGTTCTGGCGGTCCCCAAGCATCTGGAGGGCAAACTTTCGCTCGCGCGGATTTGGCACAACTCCCTCGCGGCTCGATGACGTTGTACTGTGTCTCTGCTCTGTTCTGCTCGATCAGATGAGGTCTTCTACATCGCTTCAAGAACGTGATAGTTGCTTGCTTCCCCTTCTGCGACTGTCACGAATGGCATATGACTACCTGGCTGCCTCCCCGTGGCCTGGAAGAGCTCGTGTCCCCGCGCCTTGGGCTGAACGTGCCTCCCTCCTGCCTGCCCCTGCGAATGCGGACCTCTACGCCCGTTCAGAACCATAATGACTGCTTGCTCTTCCTCTTACGACCGCTGCGAATGATCCCTGACTGCTCAATTCCGTCCGCGTGGCCTGAGACAGCCAGCACGCCGTCGTCCTGACTTGACTGTGCCACCACCCTGCTCTGCCCTGTGCAACGCAGGCCTCTGCGCCAGCTCAGAACCATGATATCTGCTTGCTCTTGCTCTTGCGATCGTTTTGGACGACCTCTGATTACCTTGTTGCCTCCTCATAATCTGGTACAGCCAGCGTGCACTCGTCCTGACTTGAAGCGCGTGCGTCCTGGTCTGCTCTAGTGACCTCCTGCCCCTACACCGGTCCAGGACCATGATATTTGCTTGCCCACCTCCTACGATCGTTGCGAACAACTTTTGGCTACCTAACACCCTCCCCGTCGCCTTGAATAGCCATCTGGACGAATCTCCAGCGCTCCGCTGCCCTCTGCTGATAGCACCGCCCTTTCGCGCCTTCCCCGGCAACGCCGCACCACTAGTGAGGGATCACCTGGCCCTATGACGCGACATGGTCACGCTCCAGTCTGCTTTGCTTGCTAACTCGCTGTCCACCTTCACTTCCACCCTCCACCCTCACTCTCCTTCCACTCTCCCTCCACCCTCCGTCTTCCACCACTCCTCATACCATTACATTGAGCATTACACCACTGCATCCGCTTGCATACAGTCATATCCGCTCTACCAACACATCTAACAACAGCACTCAGCTTTGCAGCTGCTAGAACGCGCTCAATTCGCGCCAGACCCCAGCAACCTCCACGAACAAGCAGCACGCGCGGACGACCTCGACACGATGAAGTATCACGATCTGGACGACAACGGTCTTCCGGTCCCAATTCCTCCCATGTACAAGGTCCCATACGTCAAGCTCGACGACAACGAGCGCAATGAGCAAGACCGCCGTGCTGGTCGCGTGGGCAACGATACGCTCGCCCGCCACCAACGCAGCCAGAATTACAGCGGCAACCGTTCCCTTTACATCGTGTCTTTCAAGTGCTCTCGCGTGGAAGTCTTCTACCTCCTCGAGAACACCGGGCTCAATGTGAAGGAGGGCGACATCGTCATCGTTGAAGCTGACCGCGGTCAAGACCTTGGTAAGTGATATGATTGCGACGATCTATTTATCACCGCTGACCTCAAACGCTCGATGCAGGCACCGTTCAGCACGCGAAGGTCAGCCATGAAGAGGCGCGCGAGTACAAGAGGAAGTACGACACCGAGCAATACAAGTGGTTGATGATGTTCAGCAAGAACAACAACCAAGGAAACGTCAACCCAAACGCTCAGATCTACGGCGAGAGTCGTGAGATGAACGGCATCGATGGTCGCAATCTGCTCGCGAACGCTCCCCGTACCATGCAAGGCAACCCTCGCGAGAGTTTCAAGACCAAGGCGATTAAGCGTCTAGCCGGGCCTTACGAAATCCGCCAGCTTGCCGACAAGGAAGCCAACGAGGCGAAGGCGAAGCGCACCTGCCAGCAGAAGATTGCTCAGCTCCACGTCGACATGGAAGTTCTCGACGCCGAGTGGCAGTGGTAAGTCGAAACATCTTTAGAGACGTGATCTTTTCGCTGACTTTGCTCGCAGGGACTTTCAGAAGCTGATCTTCTACTTCTACGCTGACCATTACATCGACTTCAAGGCGTTGGTTACTGAACTCTACCGGATCTATAAGGTACGTATCTGGATGTCGGCGATTAACCCAGCCTCGTTCGCGCTTCAGGCCAATGGTCAGCCCCCGAGTGGTGTCGGTCCCGGCGCAATCATGGAGAACGGCCACAACAACAACAACTACTCGATGCTCTACGGCGCCGACCCGGACCCGTATGGCGCGGTCCCACCCTACCGCATCCCGTCCGGCTCCTACAACCCCAAGAGCCACTTGACTATGATGCCTGGCCTGGGGGGAAACAACTTCGGACCGATGGGTTCGATGGGCGGCCCGAACTCGCAGTTCCCATCCTTCAACAACTCGTTCGGAGACCCAGCGCGCGCCCTCTATCAGCCCGCCGCTTACGGTACCCCCGATGGGCAGACCCCCACGGATCCGCACCCGAACGTGCCGCCGTACGTCCCCACGCCTACCGGCAGTCTTGAGGACTACAACTACTACTACGACCGCGTCTCCGCCTACAATCAGCTGCCCGCGGCAACCTCGGCACCCTCGTTATACTCACACCCACCGCATGCCAACGGCTTCGCGTCATTCAACCGGTTCTTCGGTGGCCACGCTGCCCACTCGAACGACTCGTACTCGCAGTTGAACCACGAAGTCAACCGCGCGCAGCCGAACGACTTCTACTCGCAGACAAACAGCGAGAACAGCGCTCAGCCGACCGACTTCTACTCGCACATCAACAACCAGATCAACGGCACGCAAGCGAACGGCCCTTACGCGCAGGTCAACAACGAGGTCAGCCGCGCTCAACCAAACGGCATGTACTCACAGATGAACAACCGCACCCTCCCGCCGCCGGCCAACCCGACTCACTACACGAATCCCTTCGGTCCGATGCAAGGTGGTTTCGCGCGCTACCCGGGCTTTCAGTCTCAGCGCCCGATCGGCAGTGAGCGTCCAGGCTCCAGCGGCAACGCTCAGATCCGCGGCAACCCTCCATCTGATCGCGTTGCCAACAACCAGACCAACTACAATAACAACAACCGCAACCGCACCAACAACGGAACCAGCAGCGCCGACTCATTCATGGAGGCCATGAACCGCCACCTGAACAACAACGGAGGAGGGTTCGGCGGGTTCGTTCCCGGCAAGTTTGGTGAGAGGAAGTAGGCATATCAGACAGGACAGGAACATGAGAGCATTGTGGAGAACGGAGAATCAGACAATCAGGCTATGGGACCAGAGAGAAGACTAAGGCAGTTCTTTTGGGTAGCAAATGGGATCATGGGACAATCAATGGGACAATGGGACAATCAGCGGCGGCGAGACTGATGGATCAAATACGGGAACTTCATGGGAGACGTTGTCAATTGAACGCTTCGTCAAAACTTCTTCTACGTCTTTCAAACTCGTTCTTTTGTAGTGCTGATTTAATTCATGTTAGGTTGTTACAGGCTCGAGATTAGACACAACATGTAATGAATCTGGTTGGCTCTATCTCCTTCCCGGAGACTCGTCCTCACGCTGCTGACGCTGTCTGCGGCGGTATACTAGAGATAACAGTGCTCGAGAAGAAGAGGTTGTAAGGCTCTTCAACATCTAATCATTCGTAGTTGTGTTATTGCGGTGCTGGAGTCCTTCATGCCTAGGCTGAAGGCTGTTGAGGAAGGCACGACTGCTTGATTTGACCTCACTTCACTATCTTGACTTCACTCCATCTGCACCAACACAAGATGGCGCAGGATACGAGCTCAGACATCGAAGACGTTGGCCGTATGGAGAGCGAGTGAGTCTAGATGCAGAATCCTTGACATGCAGATACAGGCGACTGACGAGCGAACGCAGGAGGCAACTGAAGAAGACGCAGAAACGCTACCTCGACGACGAGCTTGAGCGGGCCGATGCCGACTACAACAAGATCATCTCCCTCATTGAGGAGGGGAAGGCTGTGTAAGTTGTTCCTATAGCAAAGCAAAGGTGTCGCTCACGAGGGTTGGCTGACCTCACTTACCTACAGCGGTCAAGGAAGCGACGACTCCATCCACACCATCGCCAAGGTCCTCGAAGACAACGTCCGATCAGAGGAAACCGCAAACACCATCTCCGGCATCAAAGCCCTGCTCGGCGCAACCGACGAGCTCCTTCAAGTCCACAAGCAAGCAAACCACCACATCTCAGCCAGCAACACGAACTCAACAGCTCCAGCGGACTACATGCAAGCTCGCCAGGATGACCGCGAACGAGTGAAGCAGATCCTTGCCGCAGGTCGGCGTGTGTTTGAAGGAGAGCTCGAAGCTGTCAAGGAGCAGTCGCGGGCGGGTGAGGCGGGTGGCAAAGGGGAGGCTGCCTCGTTGGCGATCGGACTGTTCGGTGATGGTGCGAAGATGGACGATAACGGGGATGCTGGCAAGACGTTGTCGTATCTTGAGCGTGGAGTGAGGAGGATGACGAAGGGTCTGAACGAGGATGAGTAGCCGCTGGGCTGTAGTCTCAGAAGGGAGCAGAGCTTGCTGGTCATGCCGTTTTAGAGGTGGATTCGTGTTCGCTTGCCGTCGTGGCACTCACAATTTGAGACTGATGTAGAAATAGCCCACCGCTTTCAGAGGACATGGAATAGAACAAAAATGATCTAATCACCTTATTCGACTAACCTACAAACACTCTAAGCGACCCAGGGATATCAATAATCAACACAAAAGACAAACATCACCTTCACCATCGCACCGCCGCTTCACTTCAGCCCAAACCCCTCACTCTCCTCCACGGCCCTCCACAGCTTATCCTCCAAAGCCTCGCGATAATCGTACCTCCACAACACGAGCATGTTAAAGCACGTCCTCGCAATCGGGAACCTCGCCCGTTCCTCTGCACCTCCGCCACCCCACCCATCACCACCAGCGACAATCTTCAGAACCAAGCTCGTTGCGCCAACGGCAGGAATGCGGTCAGTGCCGGTGATGAAGGTGAGCAACTTCCGCTGCCGCTCGGGCGAGGCCTGCGCGAAGAGGTCCCAGAACCACTGGATCACCGGCACGCTCTCAGCGGGCTCCTGGACAGGAGCGTGGGGTGGTTGGAAATGGCGCCAGTTGTCGTAGGTAGCAACACCACGTAAGGAGTCAACATCGAGAGCTTCATCGCTGCCTCGTACGAGCAGCTCGATTTCCTCAGCACGAAAGAGCGAGAGAGCATTGCCGGCGCAGACTTGGAAGAAGCCGCGCTTGAAGGGCTCGAATTGGCGCACCACGGCTGTGTCGAGGAGGTAGCGAATGTAGGCCTCGACGAACTCGTGTCTGTTGGCGTTCGTGACAGGTGTGGCTTCACCGTTGGATATGAGAGGGACGTCGACAACGGTACCGTAGCGCTCGACCGGTGCGACGAAGTCTCGGCAGTACGTCTCTTGTACGTCGCCTTCGAAGTCGAGCAATTGTTGTAGACCGGCGGCAAGCGAGGGACGGAATTCGGCGAGATCTGAAAGCGTGTACGTCATCTGTCCCTTGGTGCCCGTCAATGAGGATACGCTCGCAGAGCCAGCAGCAGGAGCGGGAGCAGCTGCGAGTAGCTTTCGGAATGCGAAAGGCGGCAGAGCGACGTCCAGGATCGTGCTGTTGTAGATAGCCAAGCCGAGCAAAGCGCCAACAAGGAAGTACTGGTCCGACGTCTCGAAAGAGTTTGGGTTGAAGTAGCAGGTATTCGACTCGTCATCGTAGACGAAAAGACCATGATTGGGATCGAAAATGTCTCGAACGAGCATTAGAAACCACTCCTTTCGCAGACCGCCAGCATCAATACCTTCTTCGCCGGTGAAGTGGACTCGTAAGCCCTTCTTCATGTCCTCTTGTCCAGCCCCGACGGCTTCGCTGATCTGTCGCAGGCTATCATCGACCATACAGTCTCGGCGCACTCGAAGGTGGAAATGTCCGTCCAGAGCGCGTTGGCGAATGACAGAGTCGAAGTAGGCCTCTCGTGCTTTGACCTCCATTTGTCGTCTTGCGTCATACTCCAAAATCTTGATTTTATTGCCCATCGAGAGGAAGAATGGATATTGGCAGAAAGCGAAGCGGTCGCGCTTAGACTCCCAGACCTTGAAGTCGGCAATCATATCTTGGTAATCCAGCAACGTATTGTAAAAGCTCGAAGTATGCAGTAGTTGGCCGCTTCTCTTGGCCTTAACTTGAGGAGTTGCAATGGCTGAGTCAAGTTGATGCTCGATTTCATTCTTTCTCCTGCCCTGCCAGATGTTGTTGGCTGCGAACAGAAAGGAGGTGACTTTCGCAGCAGCCTTTATCTGCCAGTCGCTTGCGTAGTCAGGCTCTTGGTCCGGATCATCTGCTCGCTTCTTGATGGAGCCACTCAAGCCCATAGCGGCATGCAGTTGCGCTGACGTGTTCATGGCTGAACCAGAGAGATCCGGGATCAACCCACCATCAGCATTGACTGTTTTGCTTTGTGGTCGAGCAGAATTCCTCGCAATCCGATAGGTGACATAACTCGCCACCAGGTCTACCAGGCTGATGAACTGCTCCTCGTCAAACCGTGCGAACCAGCCAACAAGGTAGCGGTGACAGAGATCGCTCGAGTGTGCGAGCAGCCCAAAGACCCGCTTGAGGATACCGGTGTGCTGACTGCCCTGTCGACCTGGAGACTTTCGAGGTGAAATAGGTGCTTGCGGTCCACCGTTGTGTTTGCCAGACGCGCTTCGGCCGGGCCGGATGCCGGGACTCGATGTAGCTCTTCTGGCTTTGGCTCGCGAAGGATACAGAGATGGGTTGGCAAGAATAATAAGCAAGAACCGCAGGTCTTCCGGCTGCTTAAGCGTTCGACCAGGTCTCTTCAGCACATTCTCGGTGACCTTGAACAGCGCGCGCACGGTGTGCTGCCTCGCCTCCCTAAGGTCGTCTTCGATGTCCTCCGTGTTAGCCAAACCTTGCAGTCGCTCGTGTGCAAGACCCGGCGCATCTTTGTTCAAGCGTTCAACCTTGTGCTGCCAGTCCTCACCGGCGCCATGGACAAGAGCGTACCACCTGGCGAGTTCATGCCAAGCGATATTTGGAGAGCGTGATGAGATGGGCTTGTTCTTCGTACTCTCACCACCTCTCTTGTTTTTGAACTTGTCCGAGTTGTTGCGATCAAGCTTTCCTGTCCACCAGGTCCCATTCTCGCCAATGTCGCCAAGTAGTAGCGTCTTCGCATCAAGCTGTGATAAATCAATCGGACTTGGCGTGCTTCCGCTCATCGGTTCTGGTGGTGGGGTGACGATGTTGCTTTCGCTGCGTGTCCGAGCTGGCGCAGAAGGTCGGACAGTGCTGAAAGCCGTATTGAGACTCTTGAAGTCACCAAAGCTAGAAACGATATAGTCCTCCAACGGCCGAAATATCGTCTTGACTCGATCGTATCGTCGGCGCTGCTCGAACTCGTTGGTTCTCGGCCGCGGACTTGGTGGAACTCTGGGTGAGCGCTGTCCCGAAGGTACCAAGCTTCCGTTTGCAAGTTTCTGTGAAGAAGTCCGCCTGGCGACATCCATGGGCGGAGGTGGGGGTCTTCTTGTTGGTTTCTCAGGTACTGGCTTACGCGGAACAGAATGCGGCGGTCCCGGGCCATGAGGTGAAGCCTGTTGTTCGACTGGCGGAGTGTCTGATCGCACGTATGCAAATTGATCGAAATCAGTGAAGTTTCTGATGGCAGCGCTGGCCACGGAGGTATTTGACATGGTCGTCTCCAATTGAGGTTCGTCTGGTGGCGAGGTGGACAGAGGCGCATCAGTGAGCTCCTTGGAAGTCCTTTCTTTCTTCGCTCTAATAGGTATGCCGTCCAATGGATTCTCTTTCTCGTCAGGTGTCTGGAGTGGCGTCTCTGTCCGCCTGTTTGGTATGATTTCTTCCTCTCGCCTACATCTTGCCTCGAGGTAGGTAACCACACAGCGGTCAATGATAGCCCTCGTCCGCTCCACCGACAGGGGCAGCGGTCTTGCCGGCGGAAGTGTCTCTGCCTTCTTGCCACCATGCTTGCCCTTCTCTTTCCCGGACTCGCGCTGCTCTTCAACCGGCTGTAAGTCATTGATCGTCAAGCAGCACATGCACCGAAACTTCTCCAACTCCTTCGGCACCTTGACCTTGCTATCACAGCACATGCACTTCCGATTCAACTTCTCCTCATCGTCCATCTTCCCCTTCTTCCCACTGGTGACTCGAGTAGGCGTAGGCGCATGAGCATCGTCCAAGACCGGCACCAGATCGTCATCCAGCGGTACATCCGTATCGTGATACTGCCCAAGGTTCGGGCCACTCTTCTTGCGACTGAACATCCTTGGTAGCGGATGGCTCACCGATCGATTGTGTGTATGGGTTCTCGAAACACTAGCCGGCAATGGTCGAGGTGGTGAAGGGGCTGCTCTTTCGCCATCCCTGCCGGCCAGCGTAGGAGGCTCGAAAGCTTCAGATGGAGGTTGAGGCAGGGGCTTATCCCTTGGGTTGGGCCGTGAAGGGTTGCTGCGGGTCGGCGTGCTACCAGAGCTGCTGCCATGTTGTAGGAAGCGGGACGACCAAGATGGAGGCATGGTCTCGATGCGCTCAACATGTGATCCTCCTCATACTCCAAACCCTTCCTGCTATCCTTCGCTCGTGCTCGTCGAGGCTGGCTGCCGCAGTGGAACGTCAACGAATGCAGGTCTACCGGAGAAACATGAGGATGCCTCGTATCAGCGCCCTCGATTCTGCCGGGCAGTCGCCACGCAGATGCAGCCCAGGCCAACTATGGCGGCTTCTTTTATTCCAACAACAAGACCGACTAGGGCAGCGACTACGCCTGTAGCCCAATGCAGGCACGAAGGCGATCATCTTAGGTGATCTTCGACTAAAGTCATTCAAACATCCTCGCCAAGCTCCGAGTTGACGACCTTCAGAGGGGTCGCTCGCCGCTTCGGGATGGCGGCTCCAAGGCCAGGGGTTTGTCAATGATCATTGCGCCATTGGGGTGTGGGGACCGAACGTGCGCTGTAGAGAGCAGATCGAGTATTTGTCAATCAAAGAGGTAGCTGAAACCGCACGGTGGAACGAGAATCATATCAAAACGGACAGTTGAAGGAGGTCTGTGAGACGAGCTGAACATCTTCATACGGCTATTCTTATGCCACCGAAGCAGCGCCCGTAAAGCGAGCATAGCTCGATCACTCGATTCGTGCCACGTCAGCAGTGGTTCGATCTGATCAAGTCCACGCTGCAGGCCAGAAAACACACCAGTCCTTCGACCATCCACCCCTCTACCTGTATCGCCACAGCGAGAGCGTGTTGTGCAGCTTCCACGTGTGCCTCCTGCCCTTGCGGGTGTTGTTGTAGCGGTGGCCCTTGTTGAGACCTCTGCTCTTCTTGCCAGTCGCAGTCAGGCCACGCATCTCGCGGTGCTTGTGGACTGGGTTGACGATCCAGTTGATGCGCGGGTCGCGGCGAATGGCCTTGTGCTGTGGGTCGACGAGGATGACTTCGTAGTACTTGTACGTGCTGTCCTGGTTGATCCAATAGCTGTTGAGCACACGCAAGTTGGCGCAGCGGCGGCCGACACGCTCCTCCGCGGTGGCCTTGAGGGAGCGCTGGTACTTGAGCTGGTTCACACCCTGGTTGGTCGGCTTGCCTGTTCCCAGCATTAGTGACTGAATCCATCTGCTTCCCTTCCCGAGCATCCTCACCGTATGTGGCACCCTTGGGCACCGGCTTCTTCCTGCCACCACGGCGCACACGCACGCGGTAGATGACATATCCCTGCTTGGTCTTGTATCCCAGGCGGCGGGCCTTGTCGGGGCGAGATGGGCGGGAGGCGCGGTGGATGACGTTGAGTTGGCGGAGCTAAATCGAAAGTACTCTCAGCAATGTTCAACGAGTACGATCAAAGCACAGCCATTGCCGAAGCAAGGCCTTATGCCGCTCATGGTGTTTCGGTTTGGCGTACCTCCCAGCAGCGCACGCGGAGCAGGAAGCGCATCACATCGCTCTGCTTCTTCTTTTGAAGCTCCTCGAGATACTTGTGGGCACCCATCTGCAATATTGTTAGCTTTGGTCGTGGAGGAGGTGGTTTTGCAGCGCAGGAGCGGTCGTTGTGAGACATGAATTGCGCTCGCTATCGCTGAGTGCCTGGGTTGCGTTGGGACATACCTTGACGGAGTGTTGTGCCGGTTTGAGGTGGTCGTCGTGACTCGTTCAATCGCAGGTTTTCAGGATGTTCGAAGAATTTAGGATTTGGTGTGTCCGCCAAGCTTTAGCCAGCTTCAAGCGCAGAACGAGCGGGCGGTTTACTCCACAGCACGACTTATGGCCCCTTTCACATCTTGGATCACTTCCCTCCAGCAGCAGCACTTCTTCTCCTCAACACGAACCGAATACAAGACAACAACTCGATCAGAAGCTATCGTGCGATTGCAGCACTGCTTCTGGGAAAACGGCATGTGATAGGTTCGTACTCATCTACCAAGACGTCGCAGAGCCAACAATTTCCTCAGCTTCAATGTTCCATTCAAATACGGCCATCAGCCCAGCTCTTTCATCCATTGCTTCCAGAAGAAGAATGCTAGCAGCCTTCTCATATCCCCTTGTCCACCGGAGCGGCCATGTGCAAGACTGCGGAAATACAGCGAGTCAGTGTAAGTTGCTGGTTGGTCAGTGAATGTGGCAGTGCTCCCAAAGCGGTAATGGTTGCGCCAGCTGAATACCACCGACTTCTGCTCTTCGCAGGAGTTGCAGACCTCGAGAAGATCTCAGAGACGCTCATGTATGCCGATAGATTCCGAAGTGTGGCTCATCAATCTCCATATAGACTACAGCAGCCGTTGAAGGAGATGGATATGAATTGATGCATCTCGTTGTTCCAAACAGGCCGCAAGACATATTGACAAAGTGGACACTAACACACTGCGATGGTGTACAGAGGGAAGCCGTCAGCAGGTGAGAATCTGAGATGATGGTGGCTACAGAAATACTCCGTCTGACGGTCTGATAGGCTGCGAGAACTGCCGCAAAGCGAAGAAGAGATGTGACCTCGAGCAACCGGCTTGCTTACGATGTGTCAAACTCAAGAAGACATGCTCTGGCTACCGCGATACCACATCTCTACAGATTCAAGACGAGAGCGAGTCCGTGAGACGCAAGTCAGAAAAGCAGCAGGCTAGGACTCCCTCGCCTCAGCCGCCCCAACAATGGCGGCAGCATTCTTCTCCTATCCAACAGCCGACTAAATCTAAACCAAAGTCCAACTTCCTAGCTCCGCCAACTGTCACGGACACTCCCACTGGCATCCCGACCCCTGAATCTGTTCACAGCGATTCGACGTCTTCCAGCGACAGCACCGTTGATCTAGAACGGCAGATATTAGACCCGTCATGGTCACCCAGCGCCGTTGACTTTGCCTCAGACGACCTTTTGTTCGATCCTTCAGACTCTTCCTCCTTGCTTCTTACCACATCACTCATGCCAAAACCGGACGACATCGCAGTCGCATACTTCTTCAATCAATTTACGTGCGAGAATCACTGGTCTTTCATGCGCCTGTTCGCAGCAGAGCGAACACTCGATCCATGTCTCGACCTTGCTATCAGAGCCTGCGGCATGGCTGCACTCGGCAACGTGCAGGTCGTGGCAGGAGGTAAGCAGTATGCTCGCTCGATGTACACAGCGGCGCTGGGACTGCTTAACGATGCCTTACGGGATCCCCAGCGAAGTAAGACCGATGAGAGCCTGATAGCCGTGGCCATGCTCAGCCGTTTCGAAAATCTGACCTGCGATGGCCGTGACTCGATACAGTCGTGGAAAGCCCATATCAAAGGGTCGACCCAGTTGCTCAAGGTTCGAGGCAAATCGCAGTTTTCGACGCATATCGGCAGGATGCTGTTTAGAGAGATGCGGGCGCAGGCCATGATCAATGCGATATGGGAGGACGAGTAAGTCAAACCCTTCTTCGAGACGGGATCAAGCATGATGCCGCGCTCTGAGACGCTCTTAGCTCGTTCGCGAGATCGAGACGTTGGCTAACTTACTCTCCAGATATGTTCCACCTTTCTTCCGAGATTTCCAAGACGAGCTCGACACATATCAAGACGAAGGCGTCTTCAACCCTATAGACAATCTCACCAAAATCTGCTTCGACCTGGCCGACCTACGAGCGCAAATACGGCTTGCTAAGATCCTACCCGCGCAAGCCGTTCAGCAGGCTTCGGAGCTCGAGACACGATTCATCCAGTGGGCTATCGAAACATCATCAAACGAATTATGGCGATACACAGAACAAGAAGTAAAGGACTCCGAACACGTCTGGGACGGGAAAGTGTACTCCTTCCGCGGCCTCTCAATAACGCCAACGATCTGGCTTACTTATTTCAATATGCGGATAATGCTCAGTCGTGTACAAGAGGGCCTGTGCCGACAGATCCAGTTCTCGGCTGAAGAGCGAGAAGAGCAAACACTCTACTTCCGCCGCACTCGCCGCCAGATGACTGACGCGGTCTGCGCTACAGTGCCTGTATCACTCGGGCATAGCAGTCCGGCGTACTCATCGCCTTGTGTTTTGATAACGGCTTACGGAGCACTGTGGCCGCTTTTCTTCGCCGGCACCTGCGCTTTAGAACGAACAGGACCCGCGGCTCTGTCGATATGTCGGGATCAGCCACTTCCATCTGGTCAGACGTATGGTATAGCTGCTACTCAAGCGCAATGGATTCTCGGCCGGCTGAAGTATATCTCGCAAAAGGTTGGGTTGAAGTGGGCAGACGGGGTGGCGGCGACGTTGAGAGGCGAGTTCATGGTTCCGGAGCATTTGGTGGAAGAGTGAGTACGCCTGTTCCACGATTGTTATTAATATATACTCACGAATAACTCGCAGGGACAATCGAAGACCAGTGCCAAAGTTGGGCAAAGACGTGCGCGCTGGTTGGTTAAGGAAGGCTGGGAAAAGGCCACTCTCCACGGCCGGAACACCGACTGAGACTCCGGCCATTCGTGATGGAGTGCCCTGGGTAGAACTCGTCCGGGAGACGGTTGATTCGACTCGGTTTGCTGGACAACTTCAAGCGGACACCGGGGCATTACTTGATATCCAAGGGCCCAGCCATGAGTTTGTCATGTGAGAGCACCTGTTGTGTTGCTAAATCAGAGGAATGGCAAATGCTCAGAACTCACGAGCCGCGTTGAGCGTTTCTGCGTAACCACGATATGAATTCCCCGAGACACGATCAAAGACCAGCGGCTTCTAGCAGACCACTATGATCTGATCAGACCCTGGAGACAACTTGCTCATTTACTCTTGACACTATCTATCCTACACCAACCCTCTAACCAGACACATTCGTATACCGCAAATACGGCTTCACCTCCCGCACCTCGCCGAACTTCTTCCTCGCGTCATCTGTCTTGACACTCGGCGGCACAATCACATCGTCGCCAACCTGCCAATCAATCGGCGTCGTCACGCCCTTTTTGTCGCCCAGCTGCAAGCTATCAATCACCCGCAACACCTCGCTCGTATTCCTTCCCACCGACGCCGGATACAGCATCGTCAAGCGTAGCTTCTTCGAGGGATCGATGATGAACACCGATCGAATGGTAAACGCTGTATCGATCTTTTTCATGTCCTCCTCCGTCACCATGTCGTAGAGGAACGCCACTTTTCGATCTGCGTCCGCGATGATCGGGAACTGCAGTGTCGTGTTGGATAGCTCGTTGATATCGTCAATCCACTTCCCATGCGAAGACAAATCGTTCGCGCTCAACCCTATCATTTTCACATCCCTCTTCTCGAACTGATCGCGCATCTTCGCGAACGCCCCCAGCTCGGTCGTGCATACTGGTGTGAAATCTGCTGGATGGGAGAAGAGGATAGCCCATTTTCCGCCCAGCCATTGGTGGAAGTCGATGTCGCCCTGCGTTGTCTTTGCGCTGAAATTGGGCGCCTCGGAACCCAAGCGTAGTCGGGGTTGTTCGGCGGGTGTGGCAAGGTAGCGGCGGAAGATGGGGGAGGCGTGTCGGGGGCCGAAGGAGGATTGTGTTTGGGAGAAATGAGAGAGTTGGGTGGTGGCGCGGAGGGCGCTGCGGGTGATTTTGGAGGCCATGATGTGAGAAAGAGCGTTATTTCAATCGATGGAAGGGTTCTCCAGGACGGTGTCGAGTGTCCAGCGGTGCGTTGAAAGCTCCTTATATTGATCCGACGTAGGAGAAGTTGCCGATTGATTCCACCAGTTGATCACAAATTCTCGGGCTCCATGCAAGCGTGGCGTCACCGCAATCACTTCACCCAGCCTTCACCTTGCTTACATCAGTCGGCAGTAGGCTCACCGCCCCTAGGACGCTAGTTTAGCGCCGTCCTCGCAATATAAATCTTCCAATCCGTTCCTTCAACCTTTCACTTCCCTTGGCATACTTACCTTCTTGTGGTGACGGCGCTCAAGCATGCCACTCACCTAGCACTGGACTCTGCATTGCACAGCGCGGTAGTCCGGTGCTATCGTTGTCCTTCGGGGCCGCGTACGGGGGATTTTTTGGTTTCGCACTCTTTCATCACGTCGTTGGCGGCTTTGGCTGCTGGCGCTCGAAGAAGGGTCTTCTTATCTTCCGCCTCCCAATGCTTTCTCTTAGGATTTTGCTGCCCTTCTGTGGTGGCTATCACCCTTGCCTTGGGTAGAGAAAGGTGAAGAGTGGGATGCCAGTGAATATAGGGCTGCCGTCGCGTCGCGATGTTGCATGTGGAACGAAGAGCCTCGAAGGAAGGAGGAGCAGTGTGCGATTTATGCCTGTGAATACAGCGGCAGTATATTCTTTCATACAACGGCATCCACGGCTAGACCATCCTCGGCGCACCTGAGTCCTCGGAGCGTTGAAAGTTTGGCAAGCCTCACGATGGGTCTTCTCCAGCGGGATCCGAACACAATCTGGGAAGTGGCCGCAGAAAGCACCGTGGCCATTGTCAAGGTCTCGGAGAAGATCCAGGCTCCTTATCCAAAGAGTTTCTCTTGACTGATGACTGGCGACTGCTTCCCCGTCAAGCATGGAGGTGCTTGGTGTTAGTGTTGGTCGAAAGCATGAGAAGTTTTTTCGACTCCAATAGAACTTCGCTACTAGCCTCGACTTGAAGCCAACGATGAACACCCGACCTTCGCGCTCTCGTACGTCAAAACCTTCCCATTTGCTTGAGCCTTTCGGGAGTCCTGCTGATTCTTCTGCTCATCACTGTAGGTACCACGAACCCGCCATTGTCACGATTTTGGTGTTTCCCTCATTCCTTCTCCTCCTCAATGTCATCAACTATATACTGGACCGAGTGGTCTACTGCGGCCTCATCGGCCAGATCATCCTGGGGATAGGATGCGACCCGGCAGGCGTAAACTGGCTGGCAGTCGATGTCCAAAATGCTGTCATGCAGCTGGGCTACATTGGGCTGATACTGCTGGTCTATAAAGGTGTGTGCCAACAAACTATACATCTAATACATACTGGCAAGCTGCCAGGCGGCCTCTCAACCAACCACAAAACGCTCCGCGCAAACTTCTTCCTCTCTGCGCTGGTAGCATTGATTAAAATAGGCTACCCCATAGCCTTATCGTATGTCTTCATAGACCTGCTCGATGTCTCGCCGTTGCAGCCTTCCGCCGCCGGGGCTGCGCTCTGCTCAACGTCCCTAGGCACCACCTTTACAGTCCTCTCCACCAGTGGACTGAACGACAGCCGCCTTGGTGTGGTCTTGTCCAGTAGTGCTGCTGCTCTTGCAAAAACTACCTTCCTGCTGGTCAGGATCTGTGACTTCCAGCAATAAAGATCGAACCTCAACCGCCATACCGCCCACAGTGCCACAAGGGACAGCCGAAGACCTGTCTTCATCGGCTACGTCGCTGCCCAAACCCTGCTCTCTCTATTCGTCCGCCATACTAGGCACGGCCATGGTTCCCGGAGGCGAGATCGGCTTCCTCATCAGCGCCGTGGCTGAGAGCTCAGGGGTCTACCGGACAGACACAGAAGGCGGAGGCAGCTCGGAAATCTTCCTGATCGTGACTTGGGCTATCCTGCTTTGCACGCTGCATGCTCCGATATCTGTGGGTGTGCTTGTGGGTGCGCTTGTGAAACGAATAAGGCGTTCCCAGAAGCAGAGGCGGGAGAGAACATCCATTGGGTATGTAGGGAGTGGTGAAGACATCTCGGTAGGTCTTGGATGTGTGAACATATAATAGCGGTCTTAAAGGTAGGGTTAAGTTTTAACTATAAACCGAGACTGCCAGCGAAGGCGTTTCAGCAACCCCTGTCAGGCTGTATCCCAGTTTCGAGCCCCCTGATTTGCCTTGCGAGACACCCAGGAAGTGAAGTCCACTCAGGAATGCAGCGCGACACGTGTTGCGGTCGACGTCATGTGTAACACAAAAGTCAAATACTTATTTGCTGGACATCGCCTGCGTCGCAACATACCATCTCCGCAACTCCGACAAGACCTCTGCCATACCACCTACCCTCGACACCTTCAGAAAGCTGCGCCCCTCTAAGAAGCACAAGATGGCGCTCGCCAATATTGCAAACAAGACTCACTGGTACGTCCATCCACCCATTGGCTCATGTACCACGCGCTCACAGAGCACAGGTTCGGCGTGTTCCTCCTCCTGGTGTCCAGCATCTTGCTCCTTATCGTAACCATCTCCGCCCCAGTCTGGAACCATGTCGGCCTCCTCCACGTCACCCTTCCCGCTACCTCCGGCCTCAAGCACACCAGCGTCAACCTGGGCACCTTCGGGTACTGCATCGTCGACATTGCTCCTAACGAGTAAGTCGTAGTACATCCCTATTCCTTCTCCACGCGCGCTGATGTAGCTCTTGCAGCAACGACTACTGCACCCACCACCACATCGGCTACGCCCCCGCCGCTCTCCTCGCCCAGCTCGACCATGCGTCCATCTCCACCATCGCCTCCGGGACCTCCGACTCCCTAACTCGCGTCATGGTCCTCCACCCCATCGAGACCGGCCTAAGCTTCATCGCCTTCCTGCTCGCCATCGGCCACGGTATCATAGGTTCTTTAGCTGGAGCAATCATTGCCTTCATCACCTGGATCCTGGTCCTCATCTCCCTCGCGATCGACTTCAGCCTCTTCGGGATCCTGCATCATCACGTGAACAACGATGGCAGCGGGAGTCGCGCGAGGTTCGGTGCGGCGATTTGGTGTCTCGTGGCCGCGTTCTTGACGCTGTCCTTCGGGATGATTATCGTCTTCTTTACCTGCTGTGCAAATCATCGGGAGAAGAAGCGGGTGGCGAAGAGTGAGCGGGAGGTAGAACCGGTGCAGGAGGCGCCGAAGAGAAAGAAGAAGTTCGGGGTTTTTTAGTCGAGTGGGATCTGGATCTGGAAGGTCAGCGTTGAAAATATTGAGAGCGTGGCACGACTGGAAGAAAGGTCTTTGTAGTCGAGCAGAGGAGTTAATAGTGTTCGAACGGCATACCCACACGGCGATATCAGTTTCAGTCAGATAGTAATGGTGCAATGCAAGTCTATCGTACCTCTATCGACATCCCCTCCCCTCTCGATGCAGCGTAATTCGTGGGTAGTGTCATGTCTCGTAGCATGCCAACGCGGTCTTCCCAAACACACTAATACACACTCCCTCTCAAACTCTTATCCTCCTTCTCAGCCTTTTCGATCTCCTCACTAGACAGCTCAGGCTCATCTCCAAGTGCGTCCGCCTGCTTGCCGCGTCCCATGCCGCTCTCGTTCGTCCAGCGCTCGATGTCTTCGGGTGTGGCCTTCCGCTCCGGTTTCCTGCGCATAGCGGTGGCGATGCTGCGCTGCGATATCTCGGGAGCCTTCCGACTGCTGGTCTGTGGCGGGAAAGGGTATGACTCGATCTCGTCGTCTGAAGGCATCTCGTGGGGCGTGGCGTCACCCGAGGTGGATGTACCTGGTGCCAGAAGGTAGGAAGGTACAGACTTGGTTGGCGCAAGCCTCTGCGAATCTGCTGCTCCGTCCACAGGGGCATGCGCGGCAGGCTCATGTGGGCCGAGTGCATGGTCATCGTTTTCATTCTCCGCAGGCTGGTCTACCTCAGCAGCCGGTGGTGGTAGACTGGGATCGATCTCTTCTCTCCTGATGTGCTCGTGATTGTGCGTGCAGCCTTCCGGACAACCGCCCCATTGCCGGCCAGTAATGCTAGGACTCTTCTCAGCCTGTGATGGCGCTGCTTGCAGGAAAGCGGAAAGCGTGTTGCGTCGTGAAGGGTTCCTCCTAGCTATCTCCACTTGTTTTTGCCTCTTATACTCCGACCACGTCCGAAGCTCAGAGTCGAGAATGTACTTGCCAGAGTCTTGGTTCATCTTCATGAGCACGAACTCGCAGTGGTTGACGTTGCGGAGGTCTTCAAAGTACTCGACGGACCAGTGGTACCTGGTCGAGTTAGTTGCTGCTTTGCATAGCTTCAAAGATCTATTCCGTCTTGTCTGTTCTTACCACTTCATCAAGAAGACCCGCGTCATCAACCCATGCGTAACCAGCACCAGCACGCTCGGAAACTCCTTGTCCCCAAACTGTCTCCACAAACTCTCATTGAACCCGCTGACGCGATCATACGCATCTGCCGCACTCTCACCATTGGGTATCCGGTAAAAGAAGTGGCCGTAGTCAGCGCGCTCTTTCCACATTCGCTCCATCTCCGCTGAGCATGGTTGGAAGTTGCCAAAGTCTTGCTCCCTCAATCGAGGCTCCTCGTACAGCTTGATCTTCGATCTACTGAATGGCGAAGGGCCACCATCTTCGGACGTCGAGGTCAGGGTCTTGAGCAGGCCTTCAGTCGTCTCGCGGGTTCGACGGTAGGGCGATGTGAATATCTGGAGGGTATCGTCTGGTTTTAAGAGATGGCGGAGGCGGCGACCGGCTTCTTCTGCCTGAAAGTTAGTCAGATATGATCGTACACTAGCATTGCATGTGGTCTACCTGCTTGTGTCCTTCGTCTGTCAACTTGACTCTGTGGTCTGGGACAACTTGGTGGATTGCTCTGTTCGTGTTTCCTTCGGATTGCGCATGGCGGACGAGGATGATGAGCCGTGGTTTGCCCATGTCGAGCTTGTTTTCCAACGGGTATTGCTTGAAATCGAAGTCGATGTTATGGGTTTACCTTATGGACTAAAAGAGTTGGTCGCAATCACATGCTTCTGATTCAATCTTTAGTCAGCAACTGTGGTCTGGTTGGACTTCGAGCTTTGAGATGTTTAGAGTCAACCTCGACAACTACACCGAGTACAGCACATGGCAACAACAACCGGAGCTGGTCTACAGCAGTCAACACATCCATAGGAGCCAGTTGGCGCCATATCAGTAGAGCGCGCGCGATCCCAGCAAACGAGAGACTTCGAAGAAACATCGCAGGCCCTTCCCGCGACACAACCATGTCAGAACCCATCCCCGAATCGATCCCCACCTCCTCCGACCGCCGATCTCACCGCCCAACCAAGAAGCGCGCCCTCACACCCCTCTCCAAGCAATCCGCCGAAGTCGAAGCCCTCTTCGCCAACCCTGACCGCGAAATCGTCCTCCCCAGCGGCGAGAAGACCAAAGCCGCCGCAGCACCACCAGAGATCGTCGCGAACGTCCAGGGATCCTCGGCGGGTGCTGGATCCGGCGAGTTCCACGTCTACAAAGCGAGCCGGAGGCGCGAGTACGAGCGGCTGCGGTTGATGGACGAGGAGGTGGAGAAGGAGGAGAAGGATCGGGAGTTTAGGGAGAAGAAGGAGGAGCTGAAGAAGGCGGAGGAGGAGAAGTTGAGCAAGAATCAGGCGAAGAGGGCGAAGGCTAGGGCGAGGAAGGAGAAGGCGGACGCGGCGAAGAAGGGCGGGAAGATGGAGGTTGATGGGAAGGAGGTGAATGGGGCTGGTGGCGGGGTCAAGAAGAAGTTGGGTGCTGCCAAGGTGGCGATGCCGGCTAATGGAGGTAAGGAGGAGGATGTGAAGGGTGCGGGTGGGGAGGTGGAGGCTGAGGGTGCCGCTGAGCAAGAGGGCGGAGGTATCACGATTGTGGACGATGACTGAAGGGACTACGGAACGCTCAACGGTGGCACTTTGAATGATCACATGCTGTGACGGTGAGCTGTGGACAAAGCTCTGCGGAAGCTAATGTAGGTGTTTGACATGAATTTGTCTCTGACCCGAACGCTGTGAGTTTCTCGTGTCTGTCCTCGTGCTGCCAACCGCTAATGCAATGACGGAGGCGAAGACCGGCCCATAATACCGGAAACACGCTACGAATTCTGCTCTTCGAGTCCAAGACGCACCCGCAAACGAGCAACTTCCATCAAACGTGCTTGCCATGTGCTTTGAAACATTGCTATCCGACTCCTTCTCCAAGGTCAGAGAAGCATCGGTTTGGACACTGAAGACACCATGCCTGATCATCACATACCCGGAGGCACCGCCTTCCAGCCTGTTCTCCGAGGTCAGGGGGAAGTGAGGACGATTCTACTGCGTTTTTCGACGTTGGCGAAGAGGCAGTGTATGTACCCGCTCGAGCAATCAAACCAGCACTGGTACCTTAGTCCACCTCCAACGTGCCTTCTCAACCTCCTCGACCTCGAGAACGCTCGAGCCCGCCGCTCTGGCCATCCATCACGCCATCACGCCATCACGATAATGTCGCCTTCGCCACCTCTCACCAAATGCGGGCAATGATCCTGGGGCATATCGCATGTCGCGATCTTGAGCGAATTGCAGTGTGCAACGGAGAAAAGCAAATTAGACGACCATAAAATACACCCCTCCCTCTTTGCGTCTAAGGTAGCTTACTTCTGTAATGCTGTACACATACTCTACATGCCAAAACGAATGAAGCTTTTTCAACGCCTTTCTTTCCGTATAACCAAACCCACTCACCCCAGCGCAGTTCGAAAATGCCCAAGAACGAACGATCACTCCGCTTTCCGCTAACGATGCGACTCGTACTCTCTAACTCTCCCAGCCTCTCTATGGCCGTCACCGTCCGTCCCCACTCCCACCCTGGGTTTGCGATTCCTTCCTGCAGCCACCACGTCAGCACACCTCACAAAACCACAATGCAGGTAAAAGAATCTACTTACTCCAACTCCTCCTCCCCAGGCAAGAAAATCTCATGCCCACTCCCATTCCGCACCCAAAAACTCGCCACGCACCCGATAGCCGAGATACTGCCCGTAATCCACCACGCCATGCCGATGATGCCGCGCTTCGTCCACATCCCGAACCAATACCCCGTCAGCATCGGCCCGAGCGTGCGGAAAGTCGCGGACGTGGCTTGGCCGATGCCGTGGATCGTGGCGAGCACGCTGGGGTGGGGCGAGGAGTTGTTGATCAAGATGATTGTGGCCGGGAGGGCGAAGGTGCGGGCGGCGACTTGCAGGAAGAGGACGAGGGAGATGCCGCCCCAGATTGCCCAGCCGGAGGCGGGTTCGGGTGGGGCGGAAGCGGAGGGGAGGAGCGCGATGTATGGTGCGAGGTAGTAAGCGAGTGGGAAGAAGAACAGGGAGATGCGGAAGGCGCGCATGAGGCCGAATTTCGCGTTGGCCCAGGGGTAGAGGAGGAATTGCAGGGCGATGCCGATGAAGCCGACGATGGCCATGGCGAAGCCGATGGTGGGGGGAGGGAAGGCGAGGCCGGCGGCGAACTTGAAGATGCTGCGGGGGTGCATAGGGAGGTCGCGGGGGTTGAGGCCGAGCTCTGCTGGTGGTGGTGGGATGGCGGCGCCTGGGGGTGAAGCATCTTGCATGGGTGCTGCCGGTGCGCCGGGGCCGACGGGTTCGATGGGAGCGGTGAACTGCCGGTGGAAGGAGAGGAAGAGGATCCAGAGGTTGTTGAAGGCGCCCATGTGGAAGTCAAAGATGGCGACGGTCACGAGCACCCAGATGACATTCGAAGTCCATATCCGGCGGAAGGGCAGGCGCTGGACGGGTCTCTCTTCGATGACTTCGCCACGGCTGTTCATCTGGCCCATCTCGAACGAAGCCCGCTCGTTGTTGGTGAGGAGGCCTTGTCGCTGCTCGCGGATCATCTGGTAGCCGCGAGATCGCAGGCTCGTCACTTGTCCGTACATGTTCCGCACGAGCGTGACCGGGTCGAATTTCGACAGCTCGAGCGGCCGCTTGCCCTTGAGCGTCTCTTCCAGCGTGAAATGCACCAGGACCGCCTCTGCCCAAAGAAATATAGTGCTGATGCAATTCGCCATGGCGTAAGGATATCGCTCCATCCACGCGACTCCAGTTTCGCCTCCAAAAGTGCTTCCTGGCCCAAAAAGATGGGCGAGATGAACGATAGGATCCGACAGTAGCCCCGCCAAAATCGGCCCAAAGACGTTGGCCACATTGAACGCCGCAGGTAGCAGTAAAAATGCTCTCGGATGCCAGGGTTTAGGCGTGACCTCTGCCACCATTGTCCTCGCCGATCCCACCGTGCCATTGATCGCTCCACTCAACGACCGCCAGAACATAGCCTGCCCGTACGTCCTGCTGAAGCCGACCCCAATGCATCCAAACCCCGTCCCGATCAACCCAATCTGCAGCACCAGCTTCCTGCCCACCATCGGCTGGTCCGCAGCTCGTCCCCATAATATGCTCGTGATGATCTGTGCCGCCGTGAAAGACCCCAGCAGCATTCCCGATTGATGTGCGAGTACATCATCGGGTAGTGAGGGATCGAAGCTCTTCAATTGGTAGTACATGAACGTCTGCAGCGCCGCCATCTGGAAGAAATCGACGAATCGCGAGGCCGCCAGCACGCCCAGCTGGAGCTTGTTCGGCATGTTCATCCATGTCGGCGGCGGGGGAGGGTATGTGGCCACTGAATTGCCCTGCCGTGTACTGGCATCCGGATTGGGCGTCGAGGCACCCGACGGTAGCGAGAGCGTGGGTGACAAAGGTGTCCTCAGATGTCCATCCTGATTGTTCAGCGGTTTGTGCGCCCCGCCATTCTCGATGGCGGCGGGGGACCAGTTGGCCTCGTCGGAGTCGTAGGGGTCCGGGTCCTGGGTCATGAAGGGAGTGGACTGCTGGTGGAAGGGGCGGCGTTCGGCGAGCGAGGTGCGCGAGGACATGGACGAGGGATCATGTTGCATGTGGGCGTCGACCGAGTTGTGTCGTTGGCGGAGGTGCTTGGACGAGGCGCGCTGGTGGGCCATGCCAGATGTGCCAGCTATCGTCCTACTAAAAGAAACCCTCCTCCTCGCCGACGGGACTAGTGTATGATCTCTCCTCCTCCACGGCCCCAGCCCAAATTCCCTCCGTCTGCCAAGCTCGGTAGGGGTGGAGTGAGATCGACTGTCTTTTGCTTTCCACCCTTCTTGCGCCGTACGGGAGTCAACGAATAGGTCAGCGACGGTGTATCTGAAATTTATCGTGGTCAAGCAATGCAAATGCCCTCCGTCCACCTGGCCACAACCGTCCCACCCCCTCGTGGAAAGCCTAAATCCAACAAATATGCCAAGCATTTGCTTGATCGGTCCAAAAGGGCACCCGCAGCTGGAAGTGCGCCACCGGCCTGACCCTGTGCTTGCTCGTGCAATCAGCGAGCAGCATTCACAGGCGTTTCAGCAGTGCCATCTCCGTTCCACCTTCGCCTGGTGGGGAGGACCTGCAGCAAATCCTGCCGCTGCAGGGAGATGGCCCGATCATATTACCGGTGCTGGTGTGGTGGTTATCTTAATCAGTTAATTGACAGTCCATATTCTAACTCGTTTTTACGACATGCACTGTGTGGCCTTACAGGCTGACAGTTATGGCGAGCTGGAGGCAATCAAGCTCATACATCTTCAACTAGGTATAATACTGTACAGACCCAACGCTCAGAACGCTCCAGGACAACCAACAACTCCAATCAAGATGCATATCCCATCAAGGCTCATACGTCTGCACCCTCCTATACCCCCTACCGCGTACGAAATTGAAGCAGAACGAGGCAAAAAACCCCGTCACCACTCCAATCAGCAGCACGACAATATTCGAGCTGCCGATGCCTCCTTTCGGGTTGCCGTCGAGCATAGGTCCAGGAGCGGAGAAATGGTATTCGTTCCTGTTGCCACCGCTCGGGAGTACGTCTGGTGTCGATGGCTCGATCGAAGCATTCCCACCATCCTCCTCGCCATCCGGTCTGTCCGCCTCATGCCCACCCCCGTCAAACCCATGATAATACCCCGTAGTATCAAACCCCCTCCCCGTACTCAACGTCTCCTGCCCAACCTCATTCGGCATCTCATACGGCGTAAAGTCCTCGTCCTCCAGCTTAATGGGCTCCGCCTGCCTACACCCTTCATCCCCACAGAACGGCCGCAACTTCTCGCTTGGCACAAACGTGCGCGAAATCACGCTGTCCTCCAACACCTTCCCGCTTTTATCCAGTGCCTGCGCGTAAGCCCACTGGCTGAAACTGCGACTATGGTGCACAGTTTCGAACCCGCGCTTCTCCTCGCTCGCGACGAAGTTCCAGGGTCCAGTCGCGGAGTCGGCGGTGAAGAAGTTCCAGCTCGCGACTTCGGTTGCGCCGTTCCATGAAGCCCAGAAGGCCATTTTCTGGTCGTTGGTAGCGGCACCTTCTTTGCTGTAAGTCCACAAAGCGGGTTTGGTCAGGGGCTGCGCAGTCCAGTTGTACTTGTTCGAGCGGTAGCTGGGCACGCCGGACGGGTCTTTGGCCAGCCGAGCGTACATGGCTGGTGTGCCGTCCCAAGTATGTTCGGAGTAGCGCGCGTGGTCGCCCCAGCCGATGTGCACATTACCACCCGGGAGTAGTTGCATGGAGCCTTGGGATGCGGAGCGTAGACCGCCGCCTACGATGTCTGGAGCACCCCATTTGCGGGTCATGGTCGCTTTCTTCGTGACGTGGTCGATTTCGATGATGAAGCCGTGGGAGAGGTCGGTGGTTTCGTTGTAACCATTGAAGCCGTTGTTGAACATGGAGATGACGGTCTTCTCTGCTGTCTCCGAGAGCCAGCGCGCGTGGTGTTGGTAGGCGAAGTTGAAGTTTGTCGTCTCAAAATCCGACTTCACGCCTCCCAATGTCCAGATGATCGAGCCGTCCTTGCCAGAGAGCTTGTAGATGGCACTACAATGCCGTGCCGATATCAAATAGTCACCCTCCTTATTCTTGTCAATCGAGTTCAAGTGGAAGTAATCCCACGGATGCCACTCCTGCCACCCATTCCCACTCGTATCCGTCGAATGCGGCGTCGTCCACGCATCCCCCGGGTCCACATGATCCAACGACCGCCATTCAAACAGCAACTTATTCGTATCAATCTCAATCTCCTGAAACACGCCCTCCACGATCCAGCCCATCCCGTCTTTCACGTTGAACCGCGGGTTCGTCGTCAAATCGTACTGTCGCGGCTGGTACACCGTCATCAACACGCTCTTCCCATCCGCGTACGGCGCCATCTTGAACTCGTGCATGTCGCTAGTCGCTCCCGCGCCGTGCGCTTCGATCGTCCGTACAGTTCTGTAGTGCTTGTCCATAATCACGCCATGTCCGCGCGAGAACCCTTGATGCTGCTCCCCGGTGAAGAAGCACAGATGGTCTTCCCCATGGTACTGGCAGACGCGCGGGGTGTGGGCAACTCTAGGCCCGCTCCAGCCGGCGCCAGACCATACGAGTTCGCCCTGGTTGTCGTAGATGTAAGGGCCCGGGTCGAGGTTGCGGTAGGGGGCGATGAAGATGTAGCCGGGTTCGACGAGGTCGGGTTGGAGGAGGAGGATGTCGATCATGGGGGCGTGGAGGTCGGGTCGCTGAGGAGGATCTTGGTCAGCAGAGGCGTATGCGCTGGAGGGGGGAGTGTCGACGTACTGATTTGAAGATATGGGTAGGACTGGTCTCGTTGTTGACTTCTCCTCGTGCTTCTCTTAGTAGCAGGAACAGGCCTATGCATATCAGACTCCACCATCGCCCCAGGCTACCGCGCTGCTGTGTTATAAGTGCCATTGTAGCAATGCGCTCCTCAGCGGGAGCAAGAAGTGCTATCGCGGTAGCATAGATGCGCTGGTAGACGGCTTACGTTGACCGTTTGAAGTCGAGTCGAGTCCGGAAGTTGAACGTCAAGGGATGCAAGTACTTGCGCGCCACATGTCTCGACCCTAGAACATACATGTGTTGGATGGAGTAAGACTCCCGGCCCTACCCTAATCTCCTGTATCGATCAAGCACCCCACGATCAGGAGCCACGTTAATTGCCACGCTAGATATTCGCCCACCCGCCGCACGACTCAAGAAGCATCCCCCAAGCTTTCAACGGTTCGTCTCTGCTGGAGAATGGCCCAGACGCTCTTGTTCTGCAGGTCGGTGGAGAGGAGAATGGGCTGGACGTGATCAGACGGGGAGAGCATCATTTTGGTTGTACTGCATCCGCCATGTGCGAATATGCACGCAGTCTACTGCTGTGCGACACGAGATGTGCACGAGCGTGTCCTTCCCCTGTAGAATGAGCGACACTGTTATCGCGAAGGGAAATGAGCTAACACAATTGATACAACAAGATTTCGCTTTACATCCTATACTGTACTCAAAGGTCTGCCTCTTGCCGATGGCTACCCTAGATCCCCACCTGCACCTGGTGCAGAATGACAAGCATGTAATGCCTCTCCAATTCTGATCCCCAGTGAACGCCTGCCCGATACAACACGCCAAACACGCAAAAGCAAACCCCATCACCCTCTTCTAGAACAACGAGCTACGGCTGCTCCCACCAAAGAACCTCCGAATAGTGAACGTAGCACCCAACACCGCGGCCGCGAAGGAACCACCGTAGATGGAGTAGCGGAAGATGCAGTTCATCATCTGCATGCGGTTGCGCTTGGTGCAGCGCTCGACGAAGCCGTCGGTATCGTTGGTGCGCGGGAACTTCTGGCCCTCTGGCACGGGGACCTCGAGGAAGTCGCACAGTGGCTGCCAGCCCTCACCCATCTTGTACTCGAGCAAGTTTTCCTTGGGCACGACGGAGCGGATCATGTCGTAGTATTCCTTGTAGATGCGCTTGCCGTTCTTCTCGAAGTCGCCTTCCCAGAACTCGGTCCAGAATTCTACAACTATTGTTAGCACTGTGCATGAAATGTCCAGAGAGTTATCTAGCTTACTAGTAATCATAGGCTTGTACATCCCAGCCGCCCAATCGCCCATCTTCGCCGCCATCGCGAGCTCCGGCTCCGTCGCGCGCCAGTGCACCGTCTTCATCGTACTCGCGTGCCAGCTGTCGATATCACGCGTAGTAACCAGCACCTTCGCATCCGGGTACGCCTCAATCAGCTCCTTCGCGAAAGCCACGCAAGGCCAGTCGCAGATCGCCTGGCAGTGCCCGAACAGCTGATCCCACTGCTCGCGGCCGAATGTACCGACGCCATCGTATTTGGCCGCGAGAGCGTCAGACCACATCAGGCAGTCGGGCGGGTTCTCGACGGACGCGGACATCATGTGGTAGCAGTCCTTGAAGCCCAGCTCGGTGAGGGCGGTGCGCAGGGAGGCGGTGCCGGTGCGGCCGAGGCCGAGGGCGAGGACTTTCATGGGGACGGTGCGGCGGCATTCTCGGCGGTTAATGTCGGTTTCGTAGTTGGTGAAGATGTCCGTGGACGGCTTGGGGGTGAAGGGTTGGAAGGCCATTGTGAGATGCGGTTAGGAGGGGCGGGAGAGGGTCTCGTGGGTGTTAGTTTAGAGGATTATGGTCTCGATGGAGAATCAACGAATGGCAGTGACAGACAGTCGCAAAGGGCTCGAAGGGAAGCAAGAGCGAGAGGTGTTGACAGAGGTGGAGGTGGAGAAGATGCAGGAGCGGGCTCAGGTGCAGCGATAAATCATGAACTCTGACCCTTTTTGTTGACTTCGCTCCGCGCTCCTGAGATCGGCGGGCGGGCTCCCACCATTGTTGTCGCTAAAAGTAAGCACCCCTGCAACAGCGCCACCTCCCTTTTAGCAACAAAGGCCACATCAGCTGCAGGACTCGTCGCGATGGTAACATTATGACTTTGGCGGCACCGCCGTCTTCCACATGTAAGCAGTCCAGAAAACCGCACGGAAGGGCGTCATTCGACTGCACCAAAGCAACACGGTCGGACGACGGTGAACGTCCAACAACACCCTAATCAATCTGCAACGATACCGGACTGCCCCTTATCATGCTGTCGCCGATCGGACGCCGTACCTTAATGTGCGCGTAATCAGCCTTCATTGACATGAAAGGCATCGGCATATCCACGAGAAAGAGACACTCCCATCTTGTGATTGTCACGGCTATGTCGAACCACTCTTCGTCCAAAGTGTATGCACCCAACGAATAGCAATGCAGGTGTTGTTCTGCCTCCATACGGAGTTAGCCTGTCAACAGTCCGGATACTGTGTGGCAGGTGAAGTGTTGCATGTAGCTACAGCGATTGCTCACTCATTCATCTGGCAATGCACGGAGCAGAAACGAGAGATAAGTAACCAGTATTTCTCACATCGAACGGCACAAGCCTCTCATGCGTTCGCTATGTCGCTCAACACTCCGCCCAATCTACCACAGTCGTCGTGTCGCTCTGAAGCAGCAGCAGCTTCACCACCAAATACCTCCAGCTACCAGTCAGAATCATCCTCAGGAAAATCAAGACTCAAATATTCCAGCCCCATGTCCTCATGAGCAGGGCCGCAGTGGCTACCACAGACCCGCCGCCCCATGATTAAGCTACATCCGTATCTATGGATGATCTCGAGATCGGTGCCTACGCTACCACGCCGCTGGATTCCATGAAGACCAACACCGTCTCCGAAGTCATCGATGTCCCAATTCTCGATGTTGTCGAGCCAACTAACTTCGTCTCGACGCTCGCTGTCTTCCCCAGCGTGGCAAGACTGGTGGTCCACGAAGTCGAACAAGGCATCTCGGTGGAGGCCGGTTCCTCGCCAATGGAGTGCTGTTTGAGTGCCATCGTCATACTGGCCTCGGGCGTGCGCTCCGGCGTTGTCATGGAGATCTCGTGCCTCGTGTAGGGGAATTCCGTGAGGTCCATTCACATGCTGATTCGCGGGAAATAGCTCAGAATGATTCACGCATCCGACCATCTGAGGATGGTCAAAAATGTCGTCCCAATATTTCGCACAACCGGAGCCGCCATTTTCGTACGGAGCAGTATCAGGTGAACCGTACTGAACGCTTTCCGAGCCGTCGAAGTCGTACCAATCATATGCTGAATCTCCAGTCGAAGTGTTGCCAAAGTCGGAAGCGTCGGGACATAGCTGCACAGGCTGGACGGGTCTCTGGCTATCAACCTGCCATGGTTGTGGAGCTACCTGGTGATGATAGCAGCCGGAGGAGCCGCGGTACGTGTCGTTGCGAATGTCCGAGGATGAATGGGAAGAGAGGAAGATGCTGTCAAATATGTCCTCGACGGCGCCGTGCATCGGGTGTCTTTGGTAGTATTCTTCGCCAGGTTCTCGGAGCTGTGTGTAGCTCGTCTGGTCGTCATGGTCGAAAACGAAGTCATAGTCGTAATCCATGGTGGCCGCCTGGTGGTGATTGTCGAAGATGAACTCGAGGTTGTTCTCCATCTTGGTTTGGAGATCTTTGGAAGATGATGGTATGGAAAGTATTGGTACTTACTCCTTGGAGGGACTCGGGCGCCTCTTTATCGGCAACGGCTGTGTTCCACGGGTGAGTACACCAGGACGATGGGATGAGAAAACGCTGAACGGATCGACTGATGAATCATGGAGGGAAAACTATATTGACTCCAGCTGGTCTTCGTTCAATGCGGCTTGCGGAGAGCCAACAGATAAATTGTATGGCAGTGCTTGCCTTGTTGTACAGCGCTCGAGGAGGTTTGGCGTGAGTAGATACGGAGTCGCGTCATAATACCTCGTTGCTGAAGGCCATTAAATGTGTGCTCGAGCTTCGTGCGCTCTACGACCTGCTCTCCAAAACATAGGAAAGGAACGGCTGTCCAACCGCTGTTCGCTCTAGGTGCGCTGGTACGGCAGATTCATTCACATTTCATCGGCACTCGCTTGATCTTCAGGGCCACAGAGAAGGACATGTTGTTGGCCTATGTTGCCCTCGTCCACGCTATGCTGGAAGACAAGAAATACACCATCGGTTTAGGGCTACTATATTCGGCACTACACCGAGAGTGAAAGCAGTACTCGTCATTGGTGAGACTGTGAAGTCAAAAGAGAGGATCCAATCCAGGAATGGAGAGCCTGAGACATTATCACGTTCTCCTCGAGCGGAGTATGGTCACATGCTTCATGATCTGGCCAGATTGGCACCTCCCAGCACATTCAATCTGTACTTAGGTCTGTCAGAACCTCACGCTGATTTCTGAGGGCTGTGACTGGGCATACTCCCGTTGATATTGTAGATTCGAGAGGAACAATGTATGTGATGTGTTGCCGGTGACTGTGGTCACTTGGCGTGATGGTGGTCTGTCGAACCCTATTGTACCTAGATTAGATGTTGATTGTCTCCGATATCACATCACATATACTTCGTGCGAAGTGACGGCGGTATGGTATTGTAGGGTGGTGTTGGACAATCAGGTGAAGTTCTGAAAATGCTCGGCAAACCTCCCGAAACGGTCAACAATGGCGGCGATCTTCAAGCCGAGTATATGTTTCGAGCTTCACCCCCAAACTTTCTGTCCTTCAACAACAACCTCTTCACAAGGTATTTCACCCCCTTTCCTGCGCTTTGAACATTGCTGACCCCAGTACAGCAACCGCCACCACCATGGCACCCAAGAAGAGCACCACGAGAGCGGCGGCGCCAACTCGCCGCAGCGCGCGACTCGCTTCGCGCGAGACATCCGTCGAGGCTTCGGCCTCAGAGCCAGAGCAGGCTGCCGGTTTGTTGCCCCCCTCTCTCCTTGCCCCCGTTGTAAAAGGGCCCTTACAAGTGTTTCATTCAGGGTCTGCACCAGTCAGCGCCAATGGCGTCTCTGCCTCGCTGGCGAGGTGGTGCGTCAGCGGCTTCATCTCCACCATTCTTCGCAATGGGGAGACGTACAAGGTGCGCGTGCTGACGCGAGAGCAAGTCGACGACGTCGCCGAGCAGCTGTTCGAGCAGCTCGAGCAGGCCAGAGACGAGGCCAAGGAGGCCAACGACAAGCTGAGGAGGGCGCGCCCGAGCATCCGCCGGGACTTTGGCCTGGCGCAGATCTCTGCGAACTACCAGGCAAAGCAGCGCCTCCTCAGCGAGTCGACAGAGGTAAGCGCCACTGCAGCCAATGCTATTGCTTCATCGCGCTGACAACATCTATGAGAAGCAGCCCGCCGAGCCCGCCGAGCCCTCCGCCCCCTCCGTCCCCTCCGTCCCCGCCGCCCCCTCTCCCCTCTCCGCGGCACCAACCACCGCCACCCCACCACAGCCGGTGAGGGTGGCAACACCACCATCGCTGCTCTCGAGAGCGTTCGGCTGGTTCTCACGCAAGAGACCAGCAGAAGAGGAGGCAGAAGAGCCGGAGCGCGAGGCGGCGCGCGAGCCAAAGCGGCCGCGCATCGAAGCGCCTCGCCCCTCTTCTCCGGCCCTGTCACAGCCGGTTGAAGAGGTGGTCGATAGCAGCAGTGGCACCAGCCCCGAGCGGGCCACCGAGAACAGCGGCGGCGACAACAACGTCGCCAACAGCACCACCACCACCGCCGGCAGCAGCCGCGGCAAGAAGCGCGTGCGGGTCGAAGAGCCTGAGGCAGCAACACCCCGCGCTACGTTCCCACCTTCACCACGCGACTGGACCGGACCCTCAGCAAAGAATCCGCGTCAACCCACCTCTCTCTCTACCATCAATGAATACAGTGAGCCGACACACACCACAATTCTCGAAGACAGCACGCCATCCAGGCCGAGCCGTTCAGCACCCTCCCGTGGCCTCCAGGCACCACAGAATACGCCTGCAATCAAACCCCGCCGCTCAGTCGCGTCGCCCTCACCCTCGTCCTCGACCTTCTCCAACCTCTCCACGATGCCGCAGTCCACACCATTCTTGATGCGTCGCTCCGCTGCGAACAGGCTAGCCAAAAGAGCAGCCGCGAACAGCACACCTAAGCCTTTTGCCTGGGCTAGAGACACACCACGGCCAAGAGAGCCAAACGCAGATGCGCGTCTCGAGAAGATTCAGCGTATCAGAGCGCTTGAGAAGCAGCTTCAAGAGCTCAAGTCAGACGACGATGTCAAAGACATTGAAGCTCACTCCATCCACCGGCGCAAGCGAGTCAAGATTGATGATCTTGCCGTCATTCCTCACAACCGCCCTGGCGACTCCAGCGGGACCTTCCGCGTCCCAGACTACGACTCCGACGAAGAGATCGAAGTCGACTCAGATTGCATGGACCTCAGCGGTAACAGCAACATCTTCGACGACGCCGAGAAGGCGCAGCAGTCCACACAAGCACAGCAGGTCACAGAGCCCAGCACCACATCTCGCCAATCGACCCGACCAGCCGCACTTCAGGTCACAGAGCCGGCTCAGTCGTCAACTACACCAGGCAGAGCTCAAGTCACGGGGCAGTCTTCATCATCGACCACACCAGGCACAGCTCAAGTCACAGGGCAGCCTCAACAACAGGCCACAGCGCCTCAAGCGTCTATGCCACAAGCGCAAGCGCCATCCTTCTCATTCCCGAGTGTCGACGCGTCACAGTCGCACCAGGCTACGCAACCACAAGCATCAATGCCGCAAGAGCAGATGCCAACCTACAACTTCCCACAAGCCCGCCCGTCACACCAGCATCAACAGCAGGCCACAGAGCCAGAGACGTCATCGCAACAACAGCAGACGCCATCATTCTCCTTCCCACAAGCCGGCCAGTCAAAACAGCTCCACGATCAGGCCACAGAGCCTCAAGCAGCATCGCCACACGCGCAGATGCCAATCCTCAACTTCCCCGTCGTCGCATGGAAGCCAGCAGACTACGAAGAGCCGAGCGAAGAGTACAAGGCTGCCGCGGGCAGAGATTTTACCGAAGGGTTCAACAAGTGGCTGGCTGCACATGCGTAGAATACCGACAGCACATGACCGCTTCGTTCATCCTCACGACATCTCCCGCATCGAAGGCACATTGTCATGATTCAACGGGTGCAATGGCACCAAAGGCGCATTGTCATGAAAGTTCAGCAACGACATCCACGGAAAATGTCGCTCACAACATGGAGAGCAATACGAGAGCGGCGACTCTCCTGAAGCATCCAAAGACCTTCAGCATGGTTATTTTGCAGCGCGTGCGATGGCGCTACTTCAGCGAGCGATTCGAGAGCGGCGACTCTCTTGCATTGGAAGGTCAACAGCATTGGTTTTTTTTTGCAGAGCGCGTGCAATGGCGCCAAACGAAGGAGACTCTCCGAAGCGGCGAGTACTACAAGAGCGGCCTCTCTTCCTGGGCATTGGGTTTTTTTGCAGCGTGAGCGATGGCGCGAAATGAGCGATACGAGAGCGGCGTCTCTCCAGCATTGAAAGGGTATGGGCATGTTTATACTGATGAGCGACGATTATGCTCTTTGTGCAGCGAAGCGATGATACCCAGATGTCTATACCAAAGCTGACTGAATGCAAAACTCATGGACTGTTTACATACTCGTCTCACTGTGCCACCTCGTAGTTCCCGCCTTCAAAATTCGACCCTTTCTCACCAATCTCCTTCGCCATCGGCTTGCCGTACACCGCTCTCTCCAACGCATCGGCCAGGTGCAGCGCGTCCTTGTCGAAATAGGGGAGATATGCGCTGCCTACCATACCAAGGTATCCTTCTGTCCGGTCTACCCAGTAATACAAATTGCCTAACCCAGACCAGCTCAAACTGCCCTTCTTCCGCCCATTGGGCAGGTCTTCGTGGTTGATCATACCCCCCAGACTCCAGCCCTTAGGGATCCCCGGCATGAACGTGCCCTCACAGCTAACTTGCGGGATGGTAGACGGGATCTCGCCCACGCCTTCGTTGGAGCAGCCAACTTTCGGCAGCATGTCCGTGAAAATGTAGTCCTTCACCGTCTCCGGCTTCAAGATCCGGACTTTGGACGTCGGATGCGTGCCGTTGTTCAACAGCACGAGCAGGATCTGCGCATAGTCCTCGGCGGTACTATACAGGAAGTGTCCGCCGCCCACGACCTCTGGGTCTTCCTTCGGACGCGTAGGCGTCGGGGTGAGTTTGCCTTCGGCATCTTTCGCGTGGACGGGAAAGAGGTTCTTGGTCTGCTCCTCGTTGAGGCTGATGCCTGTGTTCTCGAGACCGAGTGGCCGGATGATATGCTTGTCCACGTACTGATCCAAGCGCATCCCGGAAACCTTCTCGAGACACAGGCCGAGGAAGTCGAAGCTAACGCCGTATTGGTACTTCGTTCCAGGCTCGAAGGCCAAAGGCGTCATGAAGCTCTCCAACGTTCCTTCTGTCATATACGTCATCACGGGTTGGGCCTGTTGGACCCGGTAGCGGAGGAGATCGCCGCTGAAGAAATCATACCCAGTGCCGGACGTATGCGTGAATAGATGGAGGAGTAAGATCTCGTTTTCCGGTTCCACAAGCTCGGGCGTGCCGTCTTCGTTCCAGCCCTTGAGCAGTTTGAGCTTTGCGATCGGTGGGAAGTACTTCGATGCCGGATCCATGAGGTCCGCTTTGCCTTGCTCGATGAGCTGGAGCATGGCGACGGCAGTGACGAGTTTGGTGCATGAGAAAATCAACGTCAGCGTCGAGGGTGTAACTTTAGGTGAGCTTTCGTCGCCGACGGTCGTGTTGCCATAGCCTTTGCTGAAAAGCACGTTGCCATTTCTGTCGAGCGCGACGGCAGCGGCGCCTGGGACCGCTTTGGCATCGATGCGGTCCTGGAAGATGGGGTCGAGTTGGGCTTCCATCGTTGTTGTTATTTGCGAAGTCCTGCTTGGTCGTTCTCGAAGGCAAAACGCTACAATGCTGTATACCTTACCTTCTCATTAAGCTTGGGCGTTCGTGCTGGAGCTTATGACGGCAGAACATAGCGAGTACCAGCACACTTGTTGACTATTCAGCTTGACATGCTGACAGCTTGTACCAACTCGCAGCCGCATGAGAGGAGGGGGCATGGCGGTCTAGCTCGTTAGCGTCGCAGCCGCAGAGGTTCCTTGCCTGCTTGGAGGAGGGGCTTGAGCACTTGTGCTATTGCAAGAATTATTTTACGCCAATCGAATTGATACGAGATTCTTGTTGGGAAATGACGAGAAGACCATGCACGTAAGACGGCAGCTAGAAGGCGATCATGTGGAATCTAACAGGGTCTCGCGCCAATAGAAGAAGGCGATCAATTGTAAAAGTGCTTGATACATCATCTGTCTTTGGCAGCTGCGAGTCAGCATGCTCATACCGACAAGTATGCATGACGAGACTGCACCGTTCCAGAGGAACCTGCCAAGATGTCGACAGTGACAGCGACCCACCAGGTCAGAGCGAGCTGTGTAAGGGACCTTCTCACAGACGACAACAGCCCACTTGCGAGGGCGATGTGGTCTTTGCGGCCGTCAACTCGTGTCGGAGAAGACTGCCAGCTATGGCCGGTTGGCCGCTTCACTGTCCATCGCTTTCCTGCATATAGGTTCGACATTCTGAAATAAGCAAATGCTCAGAAGTCTGGGGCGTAGAAGCTAAGAGGCTTGTGGTAGCCCACTAATGCTTGTAACCGCGGCCTGCAGCTTAGCTGGACTGCCGCGATGATGGTTCAGTCACCGTGATAATACCGCACACCTGCTGGCGAGCGTGGCGTGGGTCGTTTCGAGTAACACAGGCAGCCGGGCACGGGTAAAACGCCTGCTTCAATGGCCGCGTAAAAGTTCTGTGGGTCGTCCATACCAGGCTTTGCATTCGCGTTCCCTGTGAATGTGTGGCGTCAAACATAGTAAGCTTGTCGTATGCTTCGGTCCATCGGCTGACGGTAAGAGAGCCTCGCTGAACACGCACGGATGTGTCCAGGGGAGTACGGCCATTGACGGCCTTCGATTTCGTGGTTAGCGAAGTGCAGTCAGCGCGACCAGCCTCACTTCACCGGGGACTGCTTCGTCAGCGCACTGGAGGCCATCCAGGCACCTCCAAGGACAGCGAGCGATGCTGCACCAGCAATCTTCTTGAAGAAGCTGTCGCTTGCCTGGGCCATGTCGAAGGTAACCTTGGACTGATGGACTGTGTCTGTCTTGGCAGTCGTGGCAATGGTCGGGTCAACTCCAGCTCCAACATCCTCTTGCTCGCCCTCAACCCTCGCAGCAAGCTTTTGAAGCGCTTCCAAATCTTTCTTCCAGTCGAGCTGTGTGTTTTTCACCCCGTCTTCGATCTCGACGCCCTGGACGTTGCCGAAGAAGTCAAGCACCCGCTTGTTCCGCGCTGCCAGCTCGCCACCATCCAACAGGTCGTAGCGCACGCCAGCGTCTGAGTGGACACGCTCGAAGGTCTGGTAGTCGAACAGCTCACCTAACCGCACATCCGAAGCAGTGCTGTTCAAGTACGTCTCGAGAAATTCAAGGTAGAAGTAAGTCCAGCGATCGATGACTGCCACGCCGACATCTTGGTCGGCATGATGACTGTAACTGCTTTGGTCCTTTGCGCTGCTGCCTGTGGCTAGTACACCAGGGCTATAGAAGGCGTTGTACATGGTATTGGCCTGGCATGTATCGATCATAAAGAGCATCTCATGGTATCGTTTCTTCTCGTACATCTGCGCGAAAGCATCCGCGAGGTCGAAAGATGAGATCTCCTCGCTGTCCTGGAACTTCAGAAACTCGTTGCCACCGTGTCCGGTCATATAGATTAGGATGTTGGATTGTGGGCCAGTCATGAGTCGCTTGCTGTGTGGATGCGAGGAAGGCCACCGGTCTGTGAGCAGTCGGATAAAGTTCTCCACCGTGACCTCATTCCCTCTGTAGTCGACTTCTATACCGCCCATTCCTAGGTTCTCGAGAGCCCCCTTGTCATCGTACAGATCTAGTAACCGACTCTTGTCGTTGAACACGCTGCCTGTGAAGGTGTTCCGTGGATTGCAGGCCATGTCGTCCGGGAGCATGAGGATGATCTGGTTGTCCGGTATCCCCAGCCTCTTGACAGTACGGTACAGGGACAGGGTGTTCGCAAGATGTCGGTAGTTGAACCAGAAGCGAGATGTTGAGACGAGTACGGCCCAGTTGGACGTGTGGACGGCGGTGGCCAGTAAGGGGCCGGCGAGCAGCGCCAACAGCGCCGCCGGAAGGTTGAATACGCGCATTCTGACCTGGAACAGACCTAATGCCGGAGGTCGGTGTCCTTGAGTTGCTGTGTCGCCGTTCGAGCAGGTGGGACAGTGGTGTTGTTTAGATGTGAATGGATCGCAGAGGACTTACCAATCAGGAAGTCATGCGGGCCGAACTGCCTAATGCGCGAGTTCACGTTCACCTCACGCGGACGCTGATTTCACTTCACTCCAGGATGACAAGACTTCAGAATGTCAGGTGCCCATGTGCAGCCCGACTAAAGAATTGGAATACATATGGCGTCTTCTCCTGGCTAGCTATCCTAGTATCAAGGTCACAGGAGCGCCCTCGTACCGCCTCCACGAATGTGGACCGGCAAATGATGACCATTAAAGAGGAATCTGGTGGAACATGACTGGATACTGCAACGGCTTGAGATTTCCTCGGTGCCCTGGACATCCTATCAACAGATGTGCAATTACAACATACCCTCATTGCGGCGCTCGAGAAGGATCGAAAACGATGGAACCCTTAGATAGGCTTCTAAAGAGCAGTTAAGATGGTCTCAGAGGGTTCCAGACAAGGTAAGACCATACCACCTGTGAAACGTAAAGGAGTGCCCAAGTATAAAGTCCGATGGGCGAGCAGCAGACCAGAAAGAGTGATAATGAAGCACCGGTACCACTACCATCAACATGGCCGCCTCTTCGAAAAAGAATACCAGGCAGAACTTCGATAGCAACGGAGCGATCGGTAACAGTACGAGCACTGACTCAGAGCAACGACATCTCTTACTGCACGCCCAGACCCGAACGCAACAGCCGCAAGCCATGAGTTATGATGAGCTGTTACACCACGACGATGTCTGGAAGACTGAGGTCGAAGCCACGACCGCTCACCATACACCATCCACAACAACTCCGGACCCAAACCAAGCCCTCGTCCAGGCCGTGGCCCGCCAACTCGCCATACTACCGCGAGACCAATGGTACCTCACCCACGTGCCATCAGCCTTCTTGCGAGAGGCAAAGCGAGTAGCAGAAGGAGCGAACATTTTCATCCACTGGTACTGGTGGCCATGGCCTGCGGATGAGCAGCCGAAGGAAAAGCCGCTGGGTAGTAATGGCTGGCAGAGACGAGAGATCGATTTGCTTTGGGAGCTGATGGGAGAGTATGAGAAGTGGACGATGGCGAAGCGAGGGGAGGGAGTGGACTTGGATGTGGATGTTAGTGGGGATGAGGTGTTGGTGAAGTGGGATGATACGAGGTATTGTGATATTTGATGGTAGTTCTGGGCCTCTAAAGTGAGTGTCGTGGCCCGACATGCGAATCGGTACCCAGTGTGGAGCAGGGTGGTTGGTCTTCATTGCGAGAGAAGCTAAAACATATTGCCAGATATGTTCAGTACATTGAATGAAGCGAACCGGTCAATGCCCACTACGGAAACAGACCAAGCTCCACCGGCGCGTTCTTGATCTGATCCGCTTGTACCTCCTGCAAGAAAGTAGCTTCCTGCGAGAATTCGTCAAGATCCAGATCCAGATATCCGTTCTTAGCCCATTTCCGAGGCGACAAGAACAGAGTGCGTCCGTTGACCGCTGGATCGCTTAAAATGCGCAACAGACACTGTCCTCCGTCTTCCGGCGTTGCAAACTCGACCCCTGCGTCTTTGACTTGGTCGAACGCGGCCTGCGACAGGATTTTGGTCCTAACATACCAGGGCGAGATCATGTTGACACGGCTTCCGTAGAAATGGGCAGTTCGTCTCATGGCGTGCATCACTCCGCGCGCGCCCCATTTCGGGCTACAGTACTGGACGCTTCGAGGGACGTCAAGGAATGCCGCTCCTGAGCCGATGAGGATTAGGCACGTATCTTGCTGGGTCGGCGACGGGGTGGTGCCATTCTGCTTGATAAAGTAGTGCATTGACAGCTTGACCGTGTACATTACGCCATGGAGATTGACGTCGAGTGTGGTCAGGTCAGGTTTCGAGGGTTCTTCTCCTTCGCCTGGTGGATCGTCAAGGCCAGCCAGGGCCAATTGTATTCGCGAGGATCTTACCATCGAAGGAAAAGACGTCGTCTTGGACTGAAATCCCAGCATTCGCCACGACATAGTCAATCCTTCCCGAGCACGAGGACGCAGCCGCCTCCTTGAACAGGCGGAGTTGGTCTTTCCAGCTCCGAACATCACACTTGACGAAGTTGGTGCTTCGTGATTGTCAGAATTTTGATCTCACATTGGATGGTTGGATGCCAGGGGAGCCCCTACCTAGACAGTTCTGCTGCTAGGCTTTCACCATCGGCAGCATTCATGTCTCCGAAGCAGACATTGACGCTGCAGTCTAATCAGCGTTTGACCTGTCCGCAGGGCGTTGTTTCGACTGACCCGGCAGCGACCAACGCTCTGATGTACGCCTGTCCAAGACCATTCGCACCTGATGCCCTTCAGTGAGATCCCATTCAATACTGTCAACAATCTTGGATCTCTAAGCACACCTCCAGTTACAACGGCTGTCTTGCCAGACAGACCGCTTGTGTCGATCTTCGCATCGCAGTCGACGGGCTTCTGCCAGGATTGGAGAGACATCGCGGGCGAGATTGAAAACGTCTTAGAAGGAGAGGCTACGCAGATCGTTGAAAGGACTTGAAGAGGAGAAAAAACATACTTATAATGCCTCACATTCCTCGGTGACATAGTCCGCATGTCTGTCCGCAGGGTGCCCGCGTCTGTCCGCGTCCTGCCCGCGACGGGTCGCGGCGACTAAGGTTGCCGACGGATGCTTCGTGGTACCACTCAAACAAACTCCCTGGTATTACGTTAATCCGCGCCATCTTTACCCTACACTATCACGAAAGCTGTCGTGGAAGTTGCAGGGCGGTGGAAGGGACGGCGAAGTGAAGTCGTTCATCTCGTCCACATGGAGTATTTCGGCCCCGCGTAACTTCCTGATTGGTAACTCTGACCTCTCGTGCATTCTTCCTGAGTTATGCCGCTCCTATACAATGTGCATCCCGTCTGTTCAGAAAAGCTTTTGATGGTTTTGCTCTGAGAATCTTATCCTACAGCTCGTCCGCATCAACAACCTGTACCACCATCCCGCTCGCTGCACCACCGCCATTGCAAATCGCAGCGCAACCATACTCGCCCTTCTTCAGCTGGTGCAGCAAGGTCGTTATTATCCTTGATCCAGAGCTGCCCAAAGCGTGGCCGAGAGCGATAGCGCCACCGCGCGGATTGACGTTGTCGGTGCCTAGGCCTAGGATCTGTCCAAGGGGGGCATCGTTAGCATGACGTACCATTGAAGAGAGCGGAATGGAAATCACTGACCTTCGCATTTGCTTTTATAACAGCAGCAAATGCCTCATTGAACTCCCAGATCTTCACCTGATCCGCTGTGATACCAGCCCGTTCCAGCGCAATGGGAACAACCTTCGCTGGCGCCACCGGAAAGTCAATCGGATCAATCGCAGCATCCGCATAGCTGCATATCCGTGCGAGTATGCGCTTGCCCTGTCCATACTGCTTCGCCAGATCTCGGTTCACAACAACCACCGCCGACGCACCGTCGTTGAAAGACGAGCTGTTCGCCGCGGTGACCGTTCCCGATCCTGACCGATCAAAAGCCGGCTTCAGCGTCGGGACCTTCTCAAGCTTCAACCGATTATAGCCCTCATCCTCACTGACGACCGTATCACCCTTCTTCCCCTTCACCGTGACAGGGACAATCTCCTCCTCGAACAACTTCTGCTTCCACGACTCCTGCGCCCTCTTGTACGACAAAATGGCAAACTCGTCTTGCTCCTCGCGCGAGATCTCGTACTTCTTCGCCGTACTCTCCGCGCAGTTGCCCATGTGGATCTGGTTGTAGACGTCCCACAGCCCATCCTTGATCAAGCCGTCTTCCATCTTCATTTCTCCAAACGGCGGTTGTTGGCTCGCTCGTTTGAGGTAGTACGGCACTTGCGTCATGTTCTCCATGCCGCCCGCAACAAGTGCCTCTTCCTGCCCGAGCTCGATCTGCTGGGCAGCGACGGAGATCGCTTTCATGCCAGATGCGCAGACCTTGTTTATGGTCGTTGCTTCAACGGTGGGAGAGAGGCCCGCGAAGATGGCTGCTTGTCTCGCGGGTGCCTGGCCGACGGCAGCTTGGAGGACGTTGCCCATGTAGACGTGCGTGATCTTCTCGGGCGGGAGAGACGAGCGTGAAATGGCTTCTTTGATCGCAGTAGCTCCGAGCTGAGGTGCTGGTACGGACGAGAGAGCGCCATTGAAGATGCCGCAGGGCGTGCGGACGGCAGAGAGTATGTAGGCATCTTGCACCTCTTTTCTTCGCTGGGGAGTAGAGCTGAGATGGCGCTGAATGGAAGCGAGGCGTTGGTGGGGCTGGGATGACATGGCGGCGGCGATGGGGCGGCGGAGGAGGGTTGATGGGGGCATGGTGCTATGAAGGACAGTGGGAAAGGACAGCTACCTCGTCGATGGACAGAAAAGGAAGACAAACCTCCTACCTTCGAAACATTCCAAGACTTGATGTCGGAAGCTCTCGCGTGAGAAGCATCCGGTCGTGCTTGAACCGAGGCATGTGAAAGTGGTCATTGCTACGTCTCGTCCGCCGCGTCCCACGCTTCCGCCAACGTCACAGCTCGAGTTCGAATATGTTAACGATTCTGAAGAACTCGTTGTGAAGACACAAAGCAGCCAGGATGTCCGACCGATCAGCCTCGCCACTGCGCGACGAGCCCAAGCCGAAGAAACAAAAGACCAGCGGCTTCAAGTGGAAAGACAAGAAATCCAAGGACGAAGATGGCGCAGAATCGAAGGACAGTGGCAGGTTAGAGCGCGGGTACAGAGACCGATCACCTCGACGGGACAGAGACAGAGACAGAGATCAAAAGCGCGACCCATTCGCCGATAGCAAGAAGGACAGCTACCGCCCCCGCGACCGCTCACCACGAAAAGACGCAGACGATAGAAGAACAACCAAACCCTCCGCCACCACCTCAGACACCCCCAAAGACTCTACCACCGCCTCCGACAAACCCAAAGAAAAGAAGAAAAAGAAATCCACCCCCGCCTCCTCCGAGCCCATGATTATAGTCAACATCAACGACCGCCTGGGCACCAAAGCCGCCATCCCCTGCCTCGCCAGCGACAGCATCAAGGCCTTCAAAGCCATCGTCGCCGCACACATCGGCCGCCAACCGCATGAGATTATGCTGAAGCGGCAGGGGGAGAGGCCGTTCAAGGATCAGTTGACGCTGGAGGATTACGGGGTTAGTAGTGGGGTGCAGTTGGATTTGGAGCTGGATACTGGGGATTGAGAGGGCTGCTGGTGGGGAGGATGGAAGGTATCTGGGATTGAGAGGTGGTACGCCGGTAGACAGGCGCGCATATGGCTGTCGTTATGCAATGGGGAGGGGTTGCATGTGAGGGGGGGATGAGAGTCGGTTGACCCGTCGTGCTGGAGACACAGCACTGGAAGGAGAAGCTCTCAACGGTCATGCATTTTCTGATACCCAGTAACCGAACAAACCCATCTTCTTTGGACATCGGGCGCATTTTCTGATACCCAGTAATCGAACAATCGCATACTCTTCGGACATCGGAGAAGCTTGCAGGCCAGCCTACATCTCGTTCACAAGTACGGCGCCACCAGCTCAAGCACATCGAACCAGTCGCCTCTTATAGTCATCTCACGTCTCTTCTTCTTCCCGACCATGTTGAGCATCATGTTCGCTTCCGCACCGCTCATCGTCCCGGCCGCCTTCGCAAGCACCACAATCTCCATGACGAGGTGCCGCTCTGCTCTCTCGCGAACGGCGGTGACACCTGCGCGGATGAACTCGGCGTCGTACTGGTAAGCAGCCTCTTGGGCGCGGAGGCGGCGCAGACTGTCCTTGAGGAAGCGGATGCGCTGCACGCGTTTCGTACGAGCCACACTCTTGCGAGAGTTCGGCATGTACGTTGGCGGCTGAGCGCCCTTCGCTTGATCCATTATGAGATCCACGATGTCCACCCCACGCCCTACCTGACGCTCGTGATCGATAGTGGTGACCGCCTTCTTGCGCAGATGCTCGATGTCGACGCGGCGGAAGCCTTGACGGCAGAGGGCGGCCACGAAGTCGCTGAGCAGCACCTCGATCACGTCGACACCCGCGTCGTTGGCACGAGCCATTCGCGCGCGGGTGCCGAGGTGGCTGCGCATGTCCTCCGCCGCTGGCTCGGATGCGGAGGCGATCTGACGAGGAACAGGGCCGTTTTCGTAGTCTGGCGCCTTCGGGATCATCGCAAGGATGGCTGCAAACATTGTCAGCGGGGCCAAGATAGGACTGGTGCACGGTACTCGTATACTTACTGTGCTCTGGTAGATAGCGATGCGGCAGCCAGTCCGTCTGATAGTTGTACTCGTAGAATTTGAACGCATCGACAGGGTTGCCGTACAGAGCCAGCGTGACGAGCTTGCGCTGGTCGTGGGTCACGCGCTCTTGGTAGTAAACCCGGTACTGAAGCTGCTTGACTTCATGATCGATGTTTGCGAGAATGTCGCTGCGGTACTCCGTCCCCTCGAAGAATGCGATAAGCTCATCGTCATACTTGCTCACGAGAAGGGTCGAGCTGAAGTTCAGCGGGATGTCGCTCAGCTCCGGAAGCACCTGCGACACTACGTCAGCGACCGTATGAGCACGTAGAAATCTTGGCCACTCGAGACCTACCCCCTCGACATAGCGCGCAGGCCTCGTGTACTCCTTGATAAAGAAGCGATACGCGTCCAGAGGGCGGAAGGAGTTGATGTTCTGTGTCCACTCCTGACAGTACTTGGCGATCTCTGGGTGTGACTCGAGGAACTTGTCGATCTCGATGAGGAAGGCTGGCGAGATGTTGCGAGTGCGCAGGTACTCTAGCAGTTCGAAGTCGGCGCCACGCGCGAAGCTGCGAAAGAGTGGCTGTTGGGAGTGAAGTCAGTGATCGCGTTTTCCAAAGGGTGAGGACATTGGCACTGCACTCACGCCTCGGACGAAGCTTGGGTTGCCTGTCGCGAAGTATGGGTCTTCATGCTTGAATGGCGGCAGCGGCATGCCGGAGCCGAAGTCGAATGCCATGGCTGCTGTTGTGTATATGCGTCAGCGTCAATGCAACAGAAGCATGTAGTGTGTAGTGGCGGCAGATGGTTTGACTTTGGCGTGTTGTGTGAAACTTCAACTTGAAGTCGAAGTTGAAGCAAAGCAAAGCGGCGTCGGGCTCTTGTCGCGTTGGTAACACGAGGCTTGCGAATGAGGAAGGAGCGCTCCAGTAGCGTGAAATTTAACATTAGCTTGCTGCTCGTGAGGAAGGAGCGACCCCGGCCAACTCAGCACTGCGTACACTCACATCTCAAAGGACTTGCCGTCTCGATAGCAGCGTACCACCGATTGCAGGATCCTTGATACTCTTCAGCTCTCTCGCCGGGGAGAGTCCAATGATGCAAGCCATCGAAAGCGCTCCGGAATGCCTCAGTAGCACCGGTCTTCTCCCTCGTGGGATCGGTATGGCGAAACTCATCAGTGGCAACTGACGACGTACATGTCTTCTGTGTATGGTTAATGGTGGGAAACGGTCTCATTGAGCAGCTCTCACGCAGCAGTTTGATGGCAATGGTCGCATGAGTTTATGCGATACCTTGATCAGGAGAGGGCACGAAGGAGCCCAAAAGCACGGGAGTCGCCGCAACTTGGTATCATTTGTACAATCTCGCTCCGAACTCAGTCTATTAGAACACGCTGATATAGTTCCCAATCCGGTCTTTCTGGCTCTGAGCAATACATTCCGAGATCCACGTGATGTTCCGTATTTCCTGCAACACCACAGCCATTAGCATCATACCTTGCTTCAAAAAGCTGGAACAGACGAGACATACCTGCTCCTTCAGCTTCACCCAAGCATACGCCACCGCATGCGTGAACTGATAGGTAAACGCGATCTTCGAAATCTCCATCTCCTTCTGGTAGAACAGATCTTCCAGGCTCTTACCCTCGTCGCCACCAATTCCACCAGACTGGTTGCCCAGCCCACTCCCACCACCCATACCCGTCTGGTCCATCATCGTCCTGTAGTCATGCACACCATCCACCGCTATCCTCACACCCTCCGCATCATCCGCCCTCGAAAGCATCAACGTACCCTCCGGATGCAGTCGCCCAAAGTTAGGGTACAGCTTCTTCCGGTCCTGCTTGCTCAGCTCCGTGCCGAACGAGTTGAGCGTGATGTTGATGCTTCTCCGATCTGCCTCGAACTCCAGCACCTCGTTCATGACCTCCTGCGTCGGTGTACCTGCAATGCCCGGCTCTTCGTTGACGAACTTGTAAAAGTCCTCCAGGTAGTTCTTGTACAGCGTATTCCTGATGATCTCGATGTTCAGCTCGTCCAGATCTTGATGGCTCAAGCTGCCTTTGAAGTACGGCGCGAGTGGTGTTTCGATGAGGACTGAGTTGTACAGCTCTTCAATGTTCGTGGCAACGCAGAGGACGGGCATGGTCTCGAACCAGCCGAGGGGGTGGCACCGCTCGAGGAGTTCTCGTGTGTCGCGTTCGTGGAGGGTGCCGGTGATGAGGAGGGCGACGTTGTCGATCATGTAGGCGTAGGTCAGGTATTCCATGAACTTTGCGAGGCTGCCAGTTGCATTTGCCTGGAGGTAGCGGAACTCGGCGACGAGCTTGTCCATGGTCTTGTCTGCGAGGGCGGAAGTGGATGGGTTGGGCGGTCTACGCGGCGGTCAGCTTGGCTACCACTGGCCAACACTCCGGCAGGACGTACAAGCTCGCAAGGTAGTCGCCATATGAAGGTCCGAGTTGTAGTTTGACATCTATTACTGCTTTCAGCCCGTTGTCCTTGCGCCTTCTTGTGCTCGAACATACCATCGATCGTTTCGCATTGTGTCAGGTTGCCATAGTTCTGGCCGGTGAGCAGCTGGTTGCGGTAGCCTCGTACGATGCCTGTACATGGCGAGCAGCATTAGTATGAGCTGTTCGAATCCGTCATAATGCACGGCATCCCATACCTTCGACGTAGCCACCCTGTGATATACCTGTCAGCGCGCGGTGTCCATCAGCTGGTATTAGCGGGATCTCAACTCACGGTCACATTGTAGAACATGCCCTCCATGGTGGCGTATTTTGATGAGGATTAGAGAGAGGTAGAGGAATCAGAAGCATGAAGGTGTTGTAGGCATCTCGCATTCAAGAACGGGATGTCGTTGGCTTGGTTGCTTGAAGCGGCCCGTGCTCTCCACCAGCAACCACTCGCGCAAGTCTCAAGACAACTTTACTCCTTCACTGCGAATACACGTATTCATTTTGCACAGAAGATCGTGATGGCTCTCGCGAAAGCAAAGATGGCGTATGGTACAGACGCTCGTTCTAATGATACAGCAGATAACGCAACCCACCTGCAGTACGATAGCAAGCCCCGAATGGCCGCTCAACCCAGGCTCATGCAATTTTCATGGCTCTTCGTCAAGAGCGATCCCATCTCCCCTCGTCCTTTAATGTCTTCATGCAAAGCCAAACCTATCAGGCCCCAGGTTTGACAGAGGGTCGGTAGTCTAATCCGTCTCCATCGCGTGAGCAGCGTAGCCACCATTCGGCGCTCCACCGTGAATCATGCTATCATCCTCGGCCATCATCGTCTTCAAGCTCTGCGGGTCAATCAAGGTCGAAGTGCTTGGATCCGGTACCGCGTACATGGTACCTCCTGGCGCAGCGAGCTCGATCGCTGGCAGCATCTTGAGCCTTGGCACAAGCTGGTCTTCGTGGGTGGTGATGAGGCGCGCTTCCTTCAGATCGTGGGAGAAAAGGAAGTACTCCCATAAGTCGCTGGATGCGTTGAGAGCGCGCACGAGGTAGCATGGAATAGCGCTGTTCTCGAACCAGATCGAGACCTCCTTAAGCGCTGGGTAGTGCTTCTGGATCAGCTTCGAGTAGGCGGCTTGGTTGATCTGGAGAGCTTCATTTGAGTCCATGCGGGTCCAGCTGATCCCGAGGACGCGTGTTGCTTCGTCGATGAGAGGCTCGGTCGTGACTTCTCGCATCTCCGGTGGCAGAACAAGCTGAGCTAGGTTATCCGTTTCTGGCGCGTCGGCCTGTACGCGTTGCGACTTCCGAGGTGAGATGGTTGGACGCTTCGCGGGATTGGGCTGAGACTGTTGGCCGTTGATACTGTCGTCGAGCGAAGCACCGGGTTGGGATTCTGCGCCTGCTTCGGATGTGTCCATCATCACATCGTTGACGGGAGTATTGACCGAGCTGTCTCCAGGACCGTCTGCATCGTCGTCTGGCGCGTGGATGTCGCCGCGGGATCGCTTACGACCAGCCAGGGCACCCGGAGTAGTGGCGAGTGAGTTGGCGCCTGCATTTGACACGCCATTGGGAGGTTGACTGGGGTCACATGCGTTTGCGAGGTTACCGCTATTGAAGTATTCACTTGGCGGATTTGCTGGCAAGCCAACGGTAGGCGAAGACGCATAAAAGCTATTTGACGCAGCCATAGCAGTGAAGGCCTCCGGATCAAGTGAATAGTTCAGTAGCATTAGTTGCCCCAGATATCAGGCCAATTGTGGTAGTGTGTAATGATCTGGCTTGTGATCACTCCCCAATGGTTGGACGGCCTGGCCGAGGTGAGAAGGTGATGTTTGTCGGAGGAATGATGTTGAGTAAAAGCTAGGTGTGTTTCAGCGATTGATGACACAGTTTGTAATCGATGTCATGTAAGGTGTTGGCTTGTGAAATGTTGTCGGATACGAGTGAGGTGTAAGTGAGGTTATGTCGGAGGAAAGAGAGTGATTGGAGCCAGAAGAACGCTCTTGAAGCCCATTGGCAGAGAAGGGTGTTCCCGCTTCGCTCCTGCCAGCCACTACCCCAGATTCTGTCGGACCGATGATCGCCGAAACTTCCGAGCGAATCAATCACAGAAGGCAGCCTCAAATGTTCAGAGGCCTTCTCACGAGCAAGCCTGGAAAAGAACAAGAGGATCGGTGTAGCCTGCGAGCGGTGTTGTTGGTGTAGGAGTTTGTCAGTCACGACTGGCATGAGAGACCCGAAGACTTCCTCGGAGACGACTAAGACAGCAGCGTAGCGAGGAAAGTTCTTACCGTCCAAGCGAGGGACCGTGAAAGCGGCCCCAATTAGGATATCTGGCAGTCTTCTCCGGGACCTGGATGTAACCGAAAAGGCCACATCAGTCTCGTAGACCTTTCTTGTCTGTGAGAGATTCTTTACATCTCCCGCTCTGACCTAGTAGGCCGGTTTCACTGTCCCTCGCTTGCTGTCTAAGGAAAGAAGGTACGGAAAAGAGGACTGCAAAGGAGGAAGTGTGTGGAGTGCCACGCTTTCATCAAGGGAAATTCGTCCAGGCTCATCAATCCTGCTCAACACAGAAGAGATGTCAAGTTGACCGCAGCGTTGCTGCTGGGAGAAGCCGGGTTGCTGCACTCGAAGATAGACTGTAATAGTCTTGATAGCGTCTCGGTCCATACACTTGTATCAGTCTCGCAGACAGCGAGGCTCGTCATTGGAGCCGTGGCTTGTAGCTCATTCGATGGTGCCAGAGCAGCAGTGCTCTTTCTCTCAAGCGTGTTATGGCTCCAATGGCTAACCTTCTCTTTCGTTCCAGCAGGGAAGATGCTGGGCACAGAAGGCGGACGTGATATTCATGAGTCTTGTGCCATAGGAGAGACTGGTCGAGGAGGAGGAAAGATCCGCACCGCAGAGATGTATTGAAGTGAATGACAATGAAGTCTTGAAGCCTACCTCCTTGGAGTCTTCGCTCAGGCTGCTGCTACTGGCGGAACATTCGGAATCAGCCTGTTCTGAGCAGTCGTAGAACGTTGCGGCATGGCGTTTGCCTCTTGGAAGAATCCGCAAAGCAAGCCACGGTCATGAAAGCAAGGCCAATAGGACTTGAAAGGCGGTAAAGAAGAAACGCCATGCGGCAGGCGGAGGCAGCACCAAGCACGACTGCGGTACGAAACAGCTGCTATAAAAGCAACCAGCGCGGCAGCACCGTAGGATAAATGCAACGTCTCTGGGCTGGTCCGGCGTGGGGAAGCGGTCCCGTGGGCGGGTGGGAGGTCTAGAACTTCCCCAGGGTGTAAGTAAGCAGCGCGTGCGATGAGATGTCGTCTCGTGTGGAAGCACTGTAATCCCCCACGCGGAGGGTGGGTTGGAGATCGGGAGAACGCTCCGCCCTCCGGTAGTACCGCTGATGTGGCAGCGAAACGAAGGAGGCCGAGGAGGAGCGGATAAAAGCTCTTGAGCGGGAGGCGAGTCATTCAAGGTCATGAGGACGGGTTGGCAGCAGCTTCATCAGCAAGCCGCGGCGAAGCTTGGGGGCGCAGTGTGCGAGACGAGGCAGGCCGGACGCTCTGGCGATGCTTGCTGTATATGAAGCATCAAATAAACAGCATGGACACAACTTCAAATCCACAGCAGGGTCCAGGCCTTCGTCTACAGGTGATCAGCGCCTCCCTGGTCGAAGAGTGCCGAAAGCTGCCGCGGACCGTGGCGGCGGCGAGGGCAGAATCTCGGTACACACAAGGCCCTGCATCAGACCTCGTCCTTGCTTTGATCGCTTGTACAAGCAGCTCCAGTGGGAGGCTACGGGAACCCACGATGGCGTGCTCTTGAAAATGCCTCGATCAAGTTCTCCGGCCGCGAATCTCACGTGCGGAGGGAGTGGATGGAGTTTCTTGCACGAGCCTTTCGTTAGTGTGTTGGGATTTCTTCTAGAAGGGCTCCACCTGCTCCCAGAGCCACTGCATCTCATACGGGCGGGTCGTGTATGGCGTCGAGATGGCACAGCGCAATCCGTGCTTCACGGCATGTCCTCGGACTGCGGGAAGATGTCCCTAGAGAAGCGGTGGCTACGCATCTTCGAAGCAAAAACATGGTCACATGCAAAGAGGTAAGCCGGTTCCTGCATCTCGCTCACGCTTAGACGAGGCCGCGTGCATGTGCTCCCACGCCATCCTGAATGCACGCGGCCGGCTCCAAGATTTGGCTTGCTCTTCATTAGTACCTTCACTCCCACTCTTGCCTCGCAGGTCAATCAGTACCTTGACGTGGCCACCATCGGGGACTCGGACATACCGCGCCGCCTCTTCACAGAACCTTACTGGACCCGGAATATCGCCGAGAGTCTGAGCGCCACTCTCACATGCTGCAGCTTCAATAAGAATAACGTGGTGCGCATGCGATGTCGATCCGGGGCGCGGTCACTTCGACATCACCTCACAGCACAACCACTCCTCTTCCAAACAAGATGCCTTCGGCCAATACAGCTTCAGCATCGCCCTTCTTGCTCAGAAAGGACGACGTGGAGTGTCTCGCTCACTCGGAAGGCTTCAGCATTCTCAGAGAGCACCTTGCTGAGCACTACAACTTCGAGTCAGTCAACCTGACTTCATTCACGCGACCATTCGCTAACCATAGCACAGCCTCTGCGACGAGCACACACCCGCCTATCTCGAAGACCGTTCACGATGGCTTATGATTCGCGATGTTCTTCATGCTCTGTTAGTGCCGGTCGTGGAGCTCTTCGACAAAGCTCTCAGCCTGGCGGCTTTGGCAACTAACGCCACCAAGTCGGAGGACCTCGAGTATGCATTCACAGGGCAAGCCCGCAGCGCATTCCTATGGCTCCAATGTTTCCTGTCCAGCGAGAAGGAACGGGAATGGTGTTACACCCGAGGCTGCCCTGCGTGCGTCATCGATCACTCGCTTGACTCCGAGTTCTGTGTCAGATTACTCTACACTGCGTGCTTGCTCAGTGATGTGCACTACCCTTTCACGATCGACGGCCCTACGCTACCTTCCTTCATGTTCTTCCTGGATTCACTCGAGCGAGCGTTGGCACGGGATGCACTCTACGGCCCGGACTTCTTCGAGATGACCCAGCCAAAGGCCGTGGCGACGCGCAACGGCATCGAAGAGCTAATCCACCAATGCATCGAACTCGACGTCGTGATCAGCCAGGCTTCCTCACCCTCCGACCCGAGCTCACCACAGTCGTCCGTACCCGGTAGCCCTAGTCTGGCACCATTAGGAGCGACTCCATCATCGGGCTTGAAGGTCAAGCGTAGTAAGATTGCGCGAAGACAACTGAAGCTGCAGGTGGAGGAGGAGCAGTGGATGGACGAGATGCTGAAGCGTTGCTGGGATCAGTTGCAGCCCGCTCAGCAGGGCCAGGTTTCGACGCCTACTCAGAGTCTGGATGCTGTGCTGAAGGAAGGTCCGACTGTGTCTGTGACTGAGCTGCGGCCGAGCGGATGAACTGATGAAGACCTTCAAGGTGGTTCAAACGACAAATGGATGATCCAACGATGCCGAATTAAAGGAGAGGCTCTGGTGGACCTCTCTGAAAATTGAAAGCGGCTCAACAGAGATCGGGTACAGAGAGCCTTACCAACGATGAAAGCCAGAAGGATGGCGAACCGGCGGCGGAGTGGATTGAGCCACTGAGCACACCATTGGGGAAGCCGCAAAACCACGCGAGGGAAGCAAGGATTGGGACAGCACAGGACAACAGAACTGTCAATGCGAGAGGCTTGCTTCTGCCCATTGATCGTGGCATCGGGATAAGAATAAGTAGAAGAATGCGTAGGTGTCAGCGAACACTGCGGGAGGAAGACCAGTATCATCGTCGTAGACTAGTCTATATTGAATGAACATTGTTGACAACTCTTCCTACTTCAAACTTGCTATATTCGAGCTACTTTGTTGCCGGCAGCATTTACATGCTTGGCTTTGTCCACTCCGATCTGCTGCAGTCGGGTGCTTTAAGAGTGAAACACATTTTCACGTGTCAGGCCAAAATCGTGCACGGCCCCCAGCTTGAACTCAAATTCAGAGCACATGCACGAACGTCACTCTCGCCTAACACTCCAAACACACTCGACCTTTACCTCGACTACGACGGACTTGAAGCGAGACAACATCCGCCTTTTGGACCTGTACACCATGCGATAGTAGCGGCAAACCCACAAACACAGCGTGTCTTCATAATGGCGTCCTCAACCCAACTCCGGACGACCCAAGAAGGCGGAGACTATGGCACAGGTTCAGGCTTTGGGAACATAGTAGTAATACTCGCCGGAGTATCTGCTCTGGTGGCAATCATCATTACCATCGTGTACGCAGCGTCCACAACAATAACTACCATATGCAGGCAACAAGCTAACACAACACCCCCAGCTCGATCCTCCTCCAGTCCAAGAACTACCGCAAACCCCTCCTCCAACGCCACGTCGTCCGTATCATGATGCTCGTCCCCCTCTTCTCCTTGGCCAGCTGGGCCTCCCTCACCAGCCTCAAAGTCGCCTTCTGGATCGACCCCTTCCGCGACGTCTACGAAGCCTTCGTCCTCTACACCTTCTTCCAGCTGCTGGTCAACTTCCTCGGCGGCGAGCGGAGCTTGATCATCATGATGCATGGGCGTCCGCCGGTGTCCCATCTATGGCCCGTCAATAAGATTCCAGGAATGCATAAGGTGGATATTAGTGACCCGCACACGTTTCTGGCGGTCAAGAGGGGGATATTGCAGTATGCGTGGATTAAGCCGCTGCTGGCTATTGCGACAATTGCCATGAAAGCTACGGGCACATTTAAAGATGGGATTATCGGGGTGAGTTCGGGGTATTTTTGGACGAGTTTAATATACAACATCAGTATCTGCTGGTCGCTCTATGATCTGGCGCTGTTTTGGGTGTGCATGAGCGCAGATCTGCAGCCTTTCAGGCCGATGCCGAAGTTTTTGTCAATCAAGGGCATCATCTTCGCGAGCTGGTGGCAGGGCTTTTTTCTGTCGATTTTGGTCTGGCTGGGTGCGATACCTTCCGTTGGAGGCGGCTATACTGCGGACAACCTCGCGGTGGCGATTCAGGATGCTCTGATCTGCTTTGAGATGCCGCTGTTTGCTATCTCGCACTGGTATGCTTTCAGCTGGAAGGACTACGCGGATCAGACGATTTCAGACGCCAGGATGCCGATGAGGTTCGCTTTCAGGGACATGTTTGGCCCGAGAGACTTGATTGAAGACGCGAAGGAGACGTGGTCGGGCAATAAGTACGAGTACCGCTACTTCGATGCTGAGGACAATGTTCTTGCACACGAGGACTCTACCAGCCGAAAAGCAAGGATGGCCGAGGGCATGCGGTATGAGCGAGGAGGAAGAGGGAAGTACTGGATTCCTGCATCAGAACCGGCGAGTGCGAAACAGCCACTCCTCGCTCGCTTCGCAGATAGCCATGCGAGAACGATGAGTCCCGGCAATCGTCAAGAAACCGGCAGCAGTCGATCAAGCAGCCATGTGAAGACGTACGGCACTGGTGCTGGATCCGATGAACTTGAACTGGATGCCGAAGAGGAGAGACTGTACACGTCTGCGCGAGCACTGGAGTTCGGCGACTGGAATTATCCTGTAATCAACACACACTACGCCACCCGTCAGGATCAGCGAAACGCAGACCCGAATATGCTCTCGGGATCAACAAACCGCAATATTCTGCAGCCTACGAAGGAGAACAAGCGCAGGCGGCAAAGCAGAATACAAGACATGAAGAAAGAAGTGCACCAGCATAACGAACCAGGAAGCTCCTCATCCCACCGCGGCAGTTCGAGCAGCGGCGACGGCTCCACGATGGCCAAAGGCAAAGAGAAGCTCCAATCTGTCCCCGTCGTTGGCCCGATCCTTGAGCGCGCCATTTCCACCGAATCGGCTGAGTCCCACTCTTCACAACTTGTAGATCTTGTCATCGAAGACGAAGAAGCAGAACAAATCGACCGCGTCCGAGCGCGAAAAGAAGGCGGACCAGGCTGGAACAGCGTCGAGCAGCGACACTATGTCAAGACGTTCCCGGGTCAAGACGAGGCGGAGGAAGTCCGGCAGGGTTTCAATCCTGATAAGCCAGAACAAAAGGTCAGGGATGCTACGCATACACTTGATGCGCCGCCGGACGATATGTTAGCGACGAATGAGGCGCAGGGGAAGGATGAGACGGGTGCAGAGCAGCCTTGGGAGGAGAGGAGGTACAGTGGGGAGGGGGCGTTTGATGATGAGCGGGCTGCTTGGGGGAGTAAGTGATGTGGTTGAAGTTTCAAGGGCGTGATTTTCAGCGGCGGCGTTTGCGAGCATGAGGGTGTGTTGGTGGTGGGCTTTTGCTGTTCGAGATACCATCTTGTTTATCGCTTTCGAACGATGAGACCTACCTGTACGCTGCAGCAAATTCTTTGGTTCGGACCAAATTTCGTTGTTCGTGCGGACGGGTTTGCTCGCCCCGCTGCAGTGATGAAACACCTTCTCTTTGACATGACCAGATGATCTGAGCTCTGTACGTGTAGCTCGGGGAAGGAACGGCTGTCTTCTTCTCGGTCACCTCTGCGCCGTCTCATCAGAGCCTAGCTCGACGGAGAGGTGGTTCCATCGCAAATCGACAAGCCTCCGGGCAAGAGCAGGTGTTCAAGTGTAGATGTAGGCAGCACATACAGTCTATGAGAATCAACAAAACGTCCGGAGAGCCCAATCCAAACACAGAAGCAGTCTATATCCATCCCGGACATCAACCATGGAGACCCGGAAACGTCTCGACCATAAAGAGGCCGCCATCAGCCCAACCTCACCTTGCTCGCATCAGCAGCAGCCTTGCTCACCTCCAGTCAGCCCCAGCCCCTCATCCTCAGGCCTGGCCTGGCCACAAGCGATGCTGCAAGAGCTCACCATGCTCACGCGGCCAGACCCAAGCATCTCACTCAGCAAGCGAGACCACTCGAGGCTCTGCCACACCCTCCCAAGTTGGTCGTCGATGGTGAATGTGTTTGAGGTCAACTGCCTCGTGTCACCGCGGGTAGACGGGAGGTCGGAAGCCGTGAGGGAGACATGGCTACCAGTGGTTTGATCTGGATAGTGCATGCTTGAAAGTTGTATGCGGCATATAGAAGGCTGAAGGGCAGCATGTAAGTCTGGTAAGCACGTTCTTTTGAGGCCGGTTTTGGGGGTATATCTCATTTTCTTCTTGTTCCTTCTACACAACTCTACTCTGCCTCTGTATCCAAGTATTCAAGCAAGACTTGAGACGGTCGCCCTGTGGTGCAGCATGGCGGCCATCTATGGTACCCTATTCGGCACAACCACTGTCTTGCTCCTCCTTCTCCTCCTACCAGTATACGTAGCAGGCTACGTGGTCTACCAACTCCGCTTCCACCCTCTCGCACGATATCCAGGTCCTGTACTCGGCAGAGTGACAAAACTCCACGACCTTTACCATGCGTACAAAGGCGACAAGCACGTCACACTCTACCAGCTCCACCGGAAATATGGTACCATTGTTCGCTTCTCGCCCAATACCCTCTCGATCAATGACTCAGCGGCACTGAAAGCGATCTACTCCCACGGTGCTAACGTCGAGAAGGGCGAGTTGTACAAGTGCTTCCGTGCTGCCCCCAATGCCGTCAGTACCCTGTTGGCGACCGAGAAAGACCAGCATGCTCGCAAGCGGCGTGTGATGGGCCAAGCATTCTCGGATCAGGCGCTGAGAGGGTTGGAGCAGTATGTGCAAGAACATGTGCAGAAGCTCGTTGATAAGGTCGGTGGAACGGTGGCGCAGCCTGTAAAGGATGGGAAGGGATGGAGTGGACCGGTGGATATGCGGAGTTGGTGTAATTGGGTGGTGTTTGATATCATGGGCGACCTGGTAAGTTTCTACAGCTCACGAACTTCGTTTGAGGACAGCAATGTTGACCTAGCGAACATAGGTATTTGGCAAGTCCTTCGGCACCCTGGGAGAGAAGCCAGAGAACCGCGAGGGCATCCGTCTCCTGGGCCGAGCAGCGAGGCGTAATTACACTGTGGCAGCTATGCCTGAGCTACTCCACTACAAGTTGGAAAGATGGCTCCCGCCCTTTCGAGGCCTATATCAGGATCGCGCCAAGTACCTGGCCTTTGGCAAGAAGCAGGTCATGGCGCGGCTCAAGGACCAGGCGGACGGTGTCACGGAGGCAGGGCGAAAGGATATCTTCTCTTTCCTTCTTTCCGCGAAGGATCCTGAGACGGGCGAAGGGTTTCCGATGCCAGAGATCATGATGGAAGGAAACACGCTCATCGTAGCTGGCAGTGACACGAGCTCAACGTAAATCTTCCCTTCAATGCTGACAGAGACTATGGCTCAGCTAACGTCGTTCCCAGTACCCTTGCCGCCACCCTCTACTACCTCACCTCCAACCTCCAAACCCTCCACCGCCTCCAAAAAGAAATCCGCGACACCTTCTCCAGCCCCGACCACATCCGCCACGGCCCCCAACTCCAATCATGCACCTACCTCCGCGCCTGCATCGACGAATCCATGCGCATGACCCCTGCCGTGCCTGGCCTCTTACCGCGTGTAGTCCTCCCAGGCGGCCTGCAAATTCCCGCCCTCGGTCTCGACCTGCCCGCGGGTATAAACGTCGGATGCTGTATCTACGCCCTCCACCACCACGAAGACTACGTCGTGGATTCCTTCACCTACGACCCTTCCCGCTGGTTAAAGGGCGAGGGACACAAACAGGATAAAGAAGCTCTCCAAGCGGTTTTCAATCCTTTCTCGATTGGGAATAGGAGTTGTCTGGGCAAGCCGCTGGTGTACATGGAGCTGGGGGTTGCGATTGCGAGGTTGGTGTGGGAGTTTGATTTGAGGTTGGCCGGGGAGCAATTTGTGGATGCGGGGATTAGGAGGGAGGTGGAGGAGGGGAGGAGACGGAGGGAGGAGTATCAGGTGCAGGATTGGTTTTTGTCGAATAATTTTGGCCCGTGGGTGGAGTTTCGGAAGAGGGAGGGGTTGGTGGATGTGAGTTGAGTGGAACGTATCGCGGACGAAGTAGCCTTTTTGAGCTAAGTTGGTAGGCGGAGGATATGCCATTGAACGCTCGTTAAGCGAGTGTGGGACAGAATAGCGATCATTCTCCTGTCATGGTGACAACGCCGCACGCTGAACACAGCCCACATTAGGAACACCAAGCCAACGGCTATTCTTAAGAGGCATTGACGGCATAGGCTTTCACAGCCGGCTCCTTGGTCACTCTTGGGTCGCCGAGACTAAGCAGTGTCAGTACTCAGTATTCAACGAAATTATGGCGACGGTACTCACATGAAGCCGCCCACGACGTCGTTGATATCACCCGCCACCTGGTTCGCAACGGAGACACTCATGGTCGGAGCCGTGATCCTTAGGCAGGTGCCGATTGTGCCAAAGATGTCCGATCTCGCCCGCGACACGCTGGCCTTGCCACCATGCTTCAGCGCATCCAGAGCCAGTGCAAAGCCGGCAGCGTCCACGGTCATCTGTGGGTGGGAGGTGAGGCGGCCTGGACAAAGGTCTTGTACAGACATCACCGCAGCGCCTGGCAGTTGAGCATTGTCTTTCGGGGGCATCACAATGCCATCGAACACCGACCAGATCGCGGTCGTAGGCACAACAGCACCGAAGCTATCCGCGTGTAGAGCAGCGAGGTAGTTCGAGCCGCTGCTCTGCTGCCAGATGGAGGCTTGACAGAGTTTGCCGACGCAGATGTTGGAGAGCTTGCTGTCGAACAGCTCGATGCCGGCGAAATCTGGGGAGAGGGCGATGAAGGCGCTTGCGATGCTCGCGGTGCTCGGCCAGAAGCGGAGAGCCCACTGGGTGACGGGACCGCCTTGGGAGTGCGTGATGATAGCTGGCCTGGCGCCACTGGAGAGGGTGCTAAGTTGGTGGATGGCGTAGGCGACGTACTCGGAGGAGGTTTGCATGTCGCCCATTGCTCGGCCGGCTAAGATACGTCAGTGGTCTGGACTCGAGAGCAGGTGTAGGACCTTCTTACGTAGAGTTACATAGCACGCAGTGTAGCCCTTAGAACGCAAGGCTGGCACATAGCCTTCACCCCATGTCTCTTCGCCCGTCGAGCCGGTGCCATGAACAAGCAGTACTGGCGGCGAACTGGCGGTCGGGTTGCCGTTCGGGCATTTCAGAGCTGCGGCCAGCGTAGCAGTATTGACCGTAAATGGAGCATCGCCGCTGAAGACGAAGCTCTGGACCCCGCGTTCCTTGACTGGTGCGGCAAAAGAGAGGACGCTGAAGATCAACAGCAGAAGAGAGAGGTAAGAGTCCATGATGGCAACGAGCGTGAGAATTGCGGTCAAGGAAACGAGCGTGTTGGAAACGAAAAGAGGATTCCTACCTTTCTCCCGTGAAGGATGGCGGGTGTTCAAATGTCTTGTAGCAAGTGCATGGGCCGCGACTGCTGCTCCATTCTGTGCCTCCCCGGAGGACGTTATGCGTGATCCCAAAGGTGTTCACGTTTCCGTGGCTTGTGCCTCGAATAAAGGCACTGAGAGGTACATTGTGACAGGCTGCCAAGGCACATGAGCATACCAGGGGGTCAAGCTTGATCTGGAAGCACTTTGTCTCATGAGATCCGAGCGTGTCCCACTGCGGTCGGTCGCCTGCGATAGAGGACGATTGAAGTGCTCCTTGAGAAGGTGACTGGCTGCCAACAAGTCCAGGTAGATTTCCGCATGGAATGTAGGCGCGGTACGCTGCATTACAAGCTCGAAGGACGCGACGAATGAGGTCGCGTAGATGGCTAGATGGATGTGTTTCAGGAGGAAGAGGCGCATCCGGCCCGTCCTTGTGAGCAGAATCGCGGTCTTCGACTGCGAGACCCTCTTTGTTGAGGACTCTCGTGACGGAGATGCAAGCTCGAGGTGATAAAGAAGACGATGAAGTAGCGGGACGTGTGGTGGACACGCGGAAGCTGTCACATGCACAGCATGCTGCGCTGGCGACTGGCCTCGGCTTCCAGCGGCCTTGCTTCCAGTTCCACCTTCTCAAAGCAACTTATACCTCTCGATAAGCAACATCACGAAATCCTGAGATCCGTACAGTCTTCCAGAGCCCTCGAACAAGCCAGAAGTGTAGTACGAAGCAATCATGCATTCCTCGTGCCCGAAGTGTGGCGCGTCTATCGCAGGAGGTAGCAAGACCTGCGGAAGTTGTGGCAGCGTAAGTAGTATACAAGATCGTATCTGCCATCGTACTTGCTAATACCCAGAAGACTTGCCCGCAATAGATGCGTTTGCGATACTCCGGAAGCGGAGTCCTCCATCGATACGATCAGTAGAGGACTCGACCAGCCGGATTGTGGCAGCATGGAGTTCGCAGCTGACTTGAGAGCGAGGACGATTCGATGGAGGTTATGATTGATAATGGATCACGAAACTCACGACATCTTTACGAATTCAAATAACGTATTTACTTCGGTGGATGGACCTGAAGATTCACCCACCCGTCAGTTCGAGTCACGACACAACACGGCCGCCACCACAGGACAGAAAGCGGTGCAAGAAGATCATGATTAACGCGTCGTAACTTCCACGCCATAACCAACTATGCTGCTATAACGACAAATGAACCCAAACCCATACCCATCACTTTCAATGCTCCGGTCCTCGCGGACATACCTCTCTCTAGCTTCCGGATTGTCGTGTTCCCGCCTGCCTCTCGCTGTGCTGTGGTCCCTCCCAGGGCCACCCGTGGGCCTCTCATGCCGAACTCCTCGCCTGCTGAGTGTAACGCTGCAGAATAGCTTGATAAAGACTCGAGTATGGTACAGAGAAGGAAAAGATCTTTTTCGTCTGCGTCAAGGTTAGTGAAGAGCAATGGGCGCTGGCAGACGCTGAATCGTACCTTATGACTTCTGCGAACAGGGCCGGCAAGTCTTCACTTTGCACTTTGCGCACTCGTAGATGTACCAATGCGGTCCGGAATGGCATTTGTTGCAGTTCCAGAGGATGAGCGTGGTGTCGGATTTGATCACCTTGAAGCTGTGCTCGCATTTTCCTGGCTTTGCCATTGCTGTTCGGGATGTCAGTCGTGTGCATTGCAAAGACATCGTAGAACCGTTTCTTACTGATATTTGTCTTGCTGAAGTCGCTTGCCTGGGGCTGCTAAGGAGTCCTCCGTTGGTCTCTTGAATCGATCGATCCCGTGCCGACTTTGCTCCCGAAGGTCTTGAGTCGTAGTTGCGATGACGATGACGTTGTAGTATGTTGTTGAGGATGTTTCGAAAAGCCCAAGTTGCAAGCAGGTCGGATGGCAAGTGAAGGTCAGACTAAACGAAGGACGGGCAATGCTTGAACGTTGGACGCAAAAAGCCAGGCAGGCCACCGGAGCTATATAGCAGCTGGAGTCGGAGGATCAACGACACTGAGATCGAGGGTTGCTGCAAAGGCGTTGACACTGAATGAGAGATCCTTCCTTTATGCCATCCACCAGGTGAAGTGGAAGCGCAGCCCGTGACAGCTCCGGCGCACACAACTGTCGTCGAATGCAGCAACTGGAAGATGGAAAGAGCAGTGGAGGCAAGATCTGGTGATACCATGGAAGGGTGCAGTCGGTGCGACGTCCTACCCTTTTCTCCCTCGTCCACAGCCCATGGTCATGGCGTGCTGAAAGCGGAAAGCAGTCAGAAGCAGTCAGAAGCTAAAGGCTGCGTGGCTCTCCATCCGCCCGCCGCCACGGCGGTGGGATCGTAGTGAGAGAAGGGCAGATCCCTGCGGTAGGGCCAGATAGGCAGGTCTCCCTGTTCGCGACAAGGTGTGCGCAAGCAAAGGACAGTTTCTCGAACGGTGGCGTCGTCCCCAAGAGCAGCCCCCGACGAATCGGCACGCCATCCCAGCTACCAGTCACCGGGACCCATTCCCGCCGCTGATGCAGTTAGATCTGGGTTCAGGTTCGTGCTCCCTAGATTTGGCGATGCAGATATAGATCTAGGCCGCGTTGACATTCGCTGCCGTCTCAGGGGCGGGATGAAGAAGAGCCGACGAATCGTCTTTCCCACCCTGGAGACGTGACTTTGGCATTTCTCACAGCCGCCGGCAGAATCAAGACGAAAGCAGGCATTCGAAGAGACTTCAGGGAAGTCCGATTGCCCTATCAAGCGCGGTGCAGGAGCCTTGCATAAGCCACTGCGCCGAAGCAACGGCGCCGCGACCAAAGCGTGGATGAATGGCGAGTCAAGGACATGGCGGACGAGGCTCCAATAGATTTCTCCGCCACGGTCAACACCTCCAATTGAGACTGGTATGGCGTCGTGGGTCTTTACCGCCGGACAGGTTGTCTAGGCTGCAAGAAACACCCCCAAGCCATAACCTTCTGGAAGCACTTTGGAAGCGGACGAAGCTCAAGCCGTTTCGGCAAGCCCAGGACATGACACGCCAGCGCTACTGTAGAGCGAACGGCATTTCCCACAGCCTACATTCTCCGAGCAGAACGACTTCTGTGGCTTGCGGCTGGGTTGACCTGTCAGAACACCTCACTACACCTCCATACTGCCAACACACAATGCGATGACTGCGTGATGCCCTCCTTCGTAACGCGCTGGAGCTAGAAGCTTGCGTCTTGTCTGTACGACCCGGAACACGTCCGCGAGAAACAGCATGACATTTGCCCGGATCAAAGCTCCTCGATGTGGTTGTGAAATTGTCACATGTCGCATATATCTCAACACGGTCTTTGCTGACTACCCCAACACCCACATCTACCAGACATCCCAGACATCCCAGACATCCCAAAGACCCGGTTACGAATAGAGGCGTTCATGCAGCCACACCTTGAAAGTCTGCGCAACACCCCGGCCGGTATCCGATCGAGATCGCTGTGTTCGGCCAGTGGATATGCAACCCGTGACAAAGTGGTCGCGAAGAATATGTCCGAGAGCTTGACATGTCAAATCAATGCCAGGATGACATGCATGTTGCGCCGGCGTCAGTTGTTCGGCACGGGCGCTTAGTGGAGTTGAGGATCCGCCGGACGTTGCATATGACAGTATGGAGATGCTCGGTCGTGATGTTCACGTCGACCACCTACCCAGATGGACAACAAGGCATGTCGACTTGTCTACTCAGCGCTGTTCGCTGGAAGTCTTGTTGGCGTCGCTACGCCACTGAGGAGGGAAGCTGGAGAAGCGCGGTCCTGGAGCTCGAAGCAGAATGGTCTGACAACGAGTGCTTCACACCTCTTCATCCTCACCATCGCGGAAGTGCTGTCTTCCGCGCGGTCAGTCCCGCCCTCACATCGCCCAGACGCAGCCATCTGAGACCTTGCGAGCCCACCAAACGCTAGAACATTAACCATAACTGCCGGACCGGGACATGGAGAAGGCTTGTTCGCTCCAGCGGCCCGGGCTACGACGTGTCACGGAGGCGCTCTCGCTCGGAGGTGAGCCGAGCCCTGGGGGTACAGAGCGGCGCTGGGGGGCTGTTAGGCCCAGGTTGACGGATCCACTGTGTCGCGCAACTGGGAAGCTAATGCAGGTACAGTCTCAGCGTTGGCGTGGATGACTGTTGTGGTGGACATAGGGCAGGAGTTTCTTTGCGCATACCGGATTTGGTACGACGGGTTTTTGTGAGGTTGAGATGGGATGTCAACTGACTTGACGTCGTGAAGAGAGCACATGACATGACATCCGGCAATCATGATGGATGTTCTTTTGAATGACAATGCATACCTAAGGCGCCAAATGCACACCAACCATCCTGCTCACTCGCCACCAACGGTCCTAACGGTGCTCCACGGCATCACGGTACTCGGCTTCCTCTCCTTCGTATGCCTGGACGGAATACTATTGCGCCTTTCATTGGCTTCGTCGTCATCATATGTCGCATCCAGCATGAAAGGACTCCGCGCCCGGATCGCCTCGCCCTTGAGCAGCAGAATCAACGGCACAGCACTCAGAACAAGTGCGATGAAGCCGATCAAAGAACTCGACCATTGGAACCCATGATCGCGGTACAGCGCTGGGGTGGCGAGAGGCAGGAAAGCGCCAAAGACGTTCCGGCCGAAGGACGCTGCGCTGAGAGCAGAGGCGGCGTACTTCTCGTACGCATCGGCCAGGTAGTTGACAACCGCCAGGTAGATGCTGTAGATCCCGATTCCAACACAACCAATTCCAAGCGCCGGCACGATCCAAGGAAGGGAGCCAGAGCTCGCTCAGCCATACCAGAACATGCCAGCCGTGAACAGCAGCGAGCCAGGGACGGCAAAATAGAGGCGTGCCTCTGGAATCGGCTTTCCAGGTCGCTCCATGTTCCGCCCGGCAGATTTCAAGTACAGCATATCCTGGACCGGATTGAGGATCGTTGCGATGATCGCACCGCATGATAATGCAAGCTGGATCATTGACGTCTGGAAGGTATCGAATCCATAGAGCTTGCTCAAGACGATCGGCACACTGCTCTGGAACAAAAAAAGAATTCCCCATGCAAAGCTGACCCACAGCGTGAAGCTGCTGACCACAAACTCAGTGAAGAGCATCTTCGTCGGCCGCATGAAGGAGATCTTTAGAGATTTCAGGATGCCAGGCTTGTCCAGCTCCGAACGGGCGAAAGCTGTCCGTTGGCCTGCCTTGCGCATCTCTTGCGCTCGCTTGGCTAGAATCACGTCGCCTCGAGTCTCTCTCAAAATCCAGTAGAAGAAGGGCAGGAAGGCCGCATCGACGATGAGCTGGATCCAGTATATCCATCTCCAATTAAGTCCACTTTGGATCGCTCCGCCAATGAATGGTCCTAGGACAATACCGACGACGCTGGTCATCCCGAATATTGACATTGGCAACGAACGCTCTTTGTCGCCTTTCCAAATATCCGTGATCGTGCCTCCGACAATGTTGATGGCTACGGAACTAGCTCCGCCGCCGAAGAAGCGGGTCACTACGATTGTTGCGAACTTTGGGGCTGTCGCCGAAGGAATAATAAAGATGAGGAAGACGATGTATGATGCCTTTGCATGTCAGCTAGCTCGATTCAGCTTGCGCAAGGTGTGGAAGACAACTCACAAGTAGCCCGGCATGCGGCCGGTGTTCTCAGTCAATGGGACGAACAGCAAGGGCGCCACTGCAGCGCCCATGTTCCAGGAAACGAGTGCCAAGGAGGGGTACGGGAAGTTGGTCTCGTCGATGTTCCAGATGTTGGACATCTGCTCCGAAGCAGCTCCGTACGCTCCAGCAGGGATACCAGTGAGGATTGATCTCCAAGCTCGCTCAGTCACTGCGCCGCAGACCAAGTCAGATCGACTTATACAAAGCAGACAGTCAGCGTTACCACCCATTCATACGTCCTTGTCCAATTGAATCTGGTCCTGCTCAGTCTCTCATGTCAGAACTCATAGCAGCAGAGCGAGCTTACGGGTTTTCTGGATCAACTGCTCCATCCCAATCTACGATCTCTACTTCCTCGCCCAGATCGAGGCCAAGTCTATCTCGCTGGGCATCAAGGTGTGGGTGTGGCTCGTTTGCTGCATTCTGTCAGCAATCCGTCTCCGAGGCTTTGCTGATTTGGGCGGTGTTGTACCAATGCCAACATGTCTCGACCGAACGGCCTCTAGATTCTCAATGTCATCATACAGGCTTATGCTGCCTTTATAGTCTTTGCTTTGCTCGGACTCGGGGACTGAATATATACGAGACATTGCTGCGAAATGATGGCTTGGAATGGGATTGTAGAAGGGGATCTGGACTTGCTGTGATATAGAGCGCGAATCGCCCCTAGATTAACTCTTCTCATCGAATCGCCTCCGTCATACGTTCCTTGAAACATGGCTCTGGTTGCCGCTATGAGCTGGAGGTTGGGGTATCAATGCTGGAGAAGATGCTGTGACTCCGCACGAAATGACGGTGCGCACCAATGCTTGACAGCTTAAGAGTATATGTTCCTGAAAGAGAATGTCGAGAGCCTCGAATGGAATGCCATGATAATAGCGGCAGCTGCCACTCTGCTTTGAAAGGACACACTGGAAGGCTCGAAGATGCTGAGCCGGGCTAGAGAGTCCATGGCAGGTCTCCAGGCAAAATCTGGCAACAGGTCTTCGAGTGACCGGATCGACGTATAACCGCGGTACGACTTGGAGTTGGCAATGTCGTGGTAGATTCATGGACGTCTAGTAAGAAAGGGCAAGACGTGAGGTCTAGATGGCCCTCGAAACTGACGACACCTGAGGCACAGTCCCTGCGACCCCACCACGTCCACACTCCAATTCGACGTGCGATCCAGGCCATAGAACGGCCATACCACTGGAGCTGCACTTGCGACAATGGACATCACGGACTTCGTATCCGCGCGGCGGGAGACGCTGCTCATCGCCGATTACAACACCTACCGGACGCAACTCTCGCGCCAGATCCTGTCCACCCGAAAGCGCCTGGGACGAGCAACACCAAAACGAGAGAAATTCGCTGCGAAAGCAGTGACAGCAGAGGACGTGGGCAGCAGTCATGAGTTTGTCCATTTGCTGCTGCTGACGGCGGAGAGGGCCTGGGCACATGCTATGCACATCAAGACCTCGCACACCGAAGACGCGAGCGGGAAGGGCATAACTGGCGCAACGAGACGGCATGTCATTTCGAGATTGGCCAAGTCTGCGAAGACTGCTAGGAACCTACTGGATCTTCTCAGAGAACAAAACGTTTCCAAAGCGAGCAGTCGAGATGTGTTGGAAGGTAGGGCATACGCTGCTTCTCTTGGCGGAGCGGAGGAGTTCGAGAAGGAGTCGGGCGGCGCACAGCAGGCTGGAGAGAAGCGGTGGCATGAGTGTTTGAAGCAGTATTCGGAAGCGAGGGTGATCTATGCTGCGTTACACGAGAATGAGAAGAAGGAAGTGTTCCGGGATATCCTGGCCAACACCGTGGACCCAACGATCAGATACGCCGCCTATCAAGCTCATCTTTCTCGGACAATTGCGATACCTACTGTAGCCAAGCGTTTCTTTCCCAAGGACGACGCCCAACTTGTCAAGGCGGTTGAAACACTGGACCCGTACGCTCTGAAAGACAAGCCTATACCGAAGACGGAAGAAGAGCAGCAGGCCTCACCGCAGGCTGTACCCAATAGCGTGACTTGGAGAGGTAGAAAGGCAAACATTGTCGATGCATCTATAGGCCAAGCACTTGCTTCAGTCACCGCCGCAGAAGCTCGACTGAGATCGTACTTGTCCTCCAACCCGTCCGCTGCCAATCGAGACAAAGCAGCTGCCTACGATGAGGTTCTTGTTGCGTCTCAAGACGCTGCTGATGCCACAAAGCGTGCAATCGATGAGTTGGAGAAGGAAAGGGTCGATGAGGGCGATGCTCGGATGCAGGATCTGCGTGTCACGAGTTTATCCGTCAACTACGACCTGGTATCGTGGCGTGTCGGCAGGAACCGCGTGCTGGTGGGTGCTGAAGACGATGGCATGGCCTTTGAGCCTCAAGTACAGAAGAAACCAAAGCGATTACGCAAGGACGGCACTGAATATCCGGACAAGGAGGAGGGACGGGGCCACAAATTCAGCAGACTTCGGGAACGCATCGTGCTCTACGATGCCAGCATACAGAGCGTCGAATCTGTCAAGGAATTGAGAGGTGCCATGCGAGATCAAACGTTCGTTGACGAGCTGGAGGCGAAGACCAACTACTTCCGCGCGCTCAAATGCCTCAATATCTCATACTCGCATAGCCTCTTAAGCAACCACCTCAATGCCCTGGCCTTGCTGAAGCGTGCTCAAGATCTGCTGTCGACTCCCAGTCTCCCAGCGAAATCTTCATCTGGACAGGATGATGCACCACCGACCCTCGATCTACCGCCTTCCGCAGCACAAAAGCTACAGCAACATATCACCTCATTTCTTGCTCGCACGCATGCTCTGGTAGAGCTGCACAGCCTTGAATCAGCATCCGCCAACACCGCATCGAAGACGGCTGCTCATGCCGCACCCTTGGTCCAGAACCTCAATTCATATCCTGCTTCAGGCACGCAGGTAGACCTCACGAATCTGGTCACCTACCCACCAAAGCTGGAGCCAGTACCAGTGAAGCCTCTATTCCTGGACGTCGCTTGGAATTACATCGACTATCCGGGACGGAAAGCGAAGCCAGCAGAGGCGCAGAAGCCGGCGGTCAATGGTGTGCAGCAGACCCAGGCGGAGCCGCAGAAGAAGAAGGGGTGGTTTGGGTTTGGAAGATGAGAGGGACGCTATTGTTGGAACAACCAGCTCAGTTAAGCACGGTCGGGTGCATTTCTGAGGCTGTCGCCGACTTGCATGCAGGGATGCTCTCTCCCACCAGGGAAGAAACACGATGCCACGTTGTTTTGCGAGCCTTCGTCGGAAGTCCGCAACGGGCGCAACGGAGACATTGTCAGCGATCAGTTTTACGACCGTACTATACGCTTCAATGAGCGCAATGTGCGAGACCCACATACCTCTTCTCTGGCACCTGCATGAGTTGTGCCTGAAAATGCAACGAAAGTGGGCGTCTGTGATGCGTCTAGCGTTCGCGCTAACCTCCACTCGTATTTTGCCAGCATGAGCGGTCGAACAATGGCACCGACCACAATGAATCAGCAACAACGTATGATACAACTTCCTATCCACATTCGATCAAGCGGATTTCGGCCTTACGGATTTACGTTGTGTATCGGCGGTAAGGTGAGGTGGACAGTCCGCTCTGTAGGAAGCAGTCCAGGTATATATCTACGCATGAGCTGTCTCTTCTTCCCACTGCCTCACTACCCTCCATCTCGCACATATCAAGAACAATAAGCACACTAAGCAACCATGAGCACCTCCAACCACGTTACCAACATCGCGATCGTGGGCGCCGGAGGCAGAAGCGGTAAATTCATCGCCGAAGCTCTTATTGGCACTGGCAAGCACAAAGTCACCGCCATCAGTCGCGCCGACAGCACCAGTGCCATGCCTGATGGTCTGCACGGCGTGAAGAAAATCGACTACGACGATACCAAATCCATGGTCGAAGCGTTGAAGGGCCAAGAGGTCCTGATCGTCACAATGGGCGTCATGGCACCAAAGGACACGCAGAAGAAACTCATCGACGCTGCTGTGGAGGCAGAGGTGCCTTGGATTATGTAAATCTCGGCTCACTACACACCATCTTCTCCAACGCACGACTGACTTTTGATCACTACCAGGCCCAACGAATGGGGCGGCGACCCCAACGGCAACAGCAACCCCCAGCTCGCCACCGACACCATGATCGGCGCCGGCGTCGTCGCCATCCGCGACTACATCAAGTCCGCCGGCGGCGACAAGACGCACTACGTCTCCCTCGCGAATGGGTTCTGGTACGAGTTCTCCCTCGCCGGGACTGAAGCACGGTACGGATTCGATTTTGAAAAGAAGAGCGTGACATTTTACGACGAGGGAGAGGGCTACATCACCACTTCGACGTTCCCGCAAGTCGGACGGGCGGTGGCGAAGTTGTTGTCGTTGAAAGTGCTGCCGGAGGATGACAATGACAAGTCTGTGTGCCTGAGTCAATGGAAGAACGGGACGGTGTACGTGAAGTCGTTCCGCATCACACAGAAAGATATGCTGGCGTCCGTCTTGCGAGTGACCGGGGACAAGGAGGAAGATTGGACGATCACGCACGAGGATGTTGAGAGCAGGTATAAGCGCGGGGTGCAGATGATGCAGAAGGGTGATTTTGTCGGGTTCGGGATTCTACTGTACGCGAGGTACTTTTTCAAGGACGTCAGCGCGAGTAAGGAGAGGGAGGTTGATAATGAGAAGCTGGGCTTGCCGGAGGAGAGTCTGGATGAGGCGACCGAGGTTGCGGTGGGGATGGCGAAGAGGGGGGAGAACAATGCCATCCATTGAGCAAGGGTGGGATGGAGGCAGAGCTGTACTTGGTCAAGAATTTATCAATGTGCTTGTCGCACGGCCAACCTGCGCGCCATGAAACAATTGTGATTTTCTTAGGGGTTTTATGCTGAGCTATACCACTGCGTCACTGACATCCGGCTCGAACGCACCCTCCACAACCGACGGTACTGCGTCATGACAGCAACCAGAACACTTGTAGATAAACCACCCTAGCCCGCCCCTGCCGATCGCAAGTTTAGCAAACAATGTTTCATCAGAAGCTCATGTGATTCGCACAACGACGAGTCCGCAGCTTACAGAACCACTGCGGCAATCACCATGGTGAGCGCCATCATGCCCACGTCAAACAGCTTGGACTTGGGACTCTCCGGTTTCTCGCCGTTAAAGATCACCACCTGCCTCTTCAAAGACAAGGGAAACGCCTTCGTAGGCGCCGCCGCACTGCTGGTGGATGATGATGACGCAGCTGAGGCCGAAGCCACATCAGACTTCGCCGTCGTCTGTGGTGACGCCTTCGTCGGATTTGAGGAGGTCAGATCGGACGTGAAGGTAGCAGCTTTGGCACCGATCGTGGGCAGAGGCGCGTCACCATTCACTTCCCACATCCCAGAGGTGAAGGTCGGACACGGTGGTGGGGATGCGGAAGGCTTGTAGGCGTTCTCCGAGACGCCAGTCGGGTTGAGAGTCGCCCAGTGGTTCGAAAGGTTCTCGAAGTCAGGAGAGATGGGGGTTGGAGTTCCGGCCCGGACGAAGCCGTCGACGACATTCGAGGCGGTCGCAGTAGGGTCTTGAGGAGCGGCGTAGGAGATCAGGCCGTAGTTGTTGGCCTCTTCAATCCACTCGTAGATGATTGAGCCAGACCAAGTGTCGGCCATCTCATCACCGAAGATTGCGGTCTGGTCGTCGAATGTCCGAGGTGACGGCGTGTTGCAGCCGGTCTCGGAGAAGAAGATAGGGATGTTGTAGTCGCTGGCGTTCTCCTGGAGCATGTTATATCCTGATTCCTCGTACGTGGTCTCACCACACCATTCGTACGCCTGGTTGTGATATCAGCATGGCCGAAGATGCAGTACTAGGGAGTACCCGTGCCGAGAGCGCAGATTCTGAACAGCGGTGGGGTCAGTACTCACATTCAAGCTGTAGAAATCCAATGCCTCAGTGGAATCGGAACCACAAGCCATGTAGTTTTGCAAGTTGGGACGCAGATCAGCAATGTCGGCGGCTGAGTAGCCCACAGGAATCTCCCGATACCCCATCTTCTTCCTGTAGGCCTTCATATCCCTCGCGGCGGCCTTAACGTACGCTGCGGCAGTGCTGTCTGCGCCGACGGTGAGCATCTCGTTGCCGACAAAGAAGCCAGCAACGTTGTCGTAGGTGTGGAAGGCGTCCATGACCTTCTGGTAAGCCTTGTACATGGTCTGAGTCCAGCGAGGAGGGTTGCCGTCGAAGTAGATGTACGTGTCGAAGGTGTCCAGGTCGATCCAGGCGTAGATGCCGGCGTCCGCAAAGGCTCTCATGCACCCGTCGTGGTCGGCATTGGGCTCCACGTGATACACCCGGATGGAGTTGGCGCCCAGTTCCTGCATCAGGGCAGCGTCGAGTTTGCACTGCTCGGTGTTCACCAGTGGGTCGTCCTCAACTAATTGGTATGCGATGCCTGGACAGAGGTTAGCATAAGCTCCAGACAAGAGGGTGCGGGCTTCACCTTTGACGAAGAATTGAGAGCCTCCTTCCGTGAACAGCTTGGAGCCTTTCACGTGAATCGGTGAGATGGCCAGAGTGTGGCAGGCCAGAGCCAGGGCAGTGAACAATAAGCGTAACATTGTGGCAGTCGAAGTGGTGGCGGAACAGTTGGTTGCACGTCGCCGAGAATGCGGCCTTGCGAGGTCAAATCGAGGGAGGTGATGTGAAGTTTTGAGCAAGAAAGCGCGAAACAGCAGTCTCTCAACACTTCTGCTAGGAAGGCACGCCGGTCGTCAGCAATGCACTCGTTCGAAGGACATCATCTCAGCCATACCTTATTCACCGAAGACCCTCAAGAACCGCCCAAGCAAACGCAAAGCTCCCGCCGAGATGTTCAAACACCGCCGAAGACAGAGTCCGAGAGATTGTCACAAGCCAGCTCCAGACCGCTCGAAGCACGTGAACGCTAAAGCCTTAGATAACGAACAAGGCAGGAGCGAGTGCTGCTGATCTCGAGGAGTGAAGTCTGAACAACAAGAACCACCATGCTCTACTCCTCCAAGTCACTCAACACAAACAGCCACCATGCCCCTCCCTCCCTCGTATCTCCAACACCCTCCCGCCTGGGCTACAGTTACCTCCACCCACATGCAGAGATGCATCCAGCCCTCGCGAGTCGCAAAGCACCGCGGGCGTCATACACTAGCGCCTCCCAAGAACGCCCTGCCCTGCCGCTTTCCCTGTTTTCTTTCATCTCCGCTATCTATCTCGCATCAAGCCGAGACATTTCCAGTCCATGTAGCAACCGACAGATAAGCGAGACAGTAGAGGGGGAGGAGATTTGTGCCTGTGCTTCCATCTGGGACGTTGCACAGGGTTCACTCCGAGACGTGCGGCTTAAAAGTCTGTTTTCTGTCGCTACCCGATGAACCGTGACCGGGGGGCGACACGGGCTACGCTTGAATACGCATTCAACGTCAAGTAGAAGAGACACATCGGTCGTCGGTGAATCATTCAGTTGAACTACCTGAAGCACTATCAATCCACAATGCAAACACCTCGTGTTCGGAACAAAAGAAACATTCTCATGATTGACAGGCCCCCATTTCCATCATCCTCATCATGCAAGTATTCTCATCATCACAACCATAAGTCGAGCTTTTGTGAGTCTATCGCAGGAACGATCTATGACTTGAGCAAAGCCGAAGCAAGCGCCGTGAATGCTCGCTGAACCGTCCCCATACACCTCTCCACAGTCAGGTGCGAAACCGCTTACAACTTGTCGTAGTAGTTCTCGTAGCCTGGCACCTCGACCTTGATACCCTTCCTCTTGCGCATCTCCTCGACGACTTGACCGGGCAGGGTGGTCCTGTCGAGCGGCGAGCCACCGGGCAGGATCTGCCAGTGGTCGAACACGGACTGCGGGAAGGCCTGGCCGGACGTGTTGGAGCGGAGATCTGCGTTGAAGCCGAACGACTCCTTGACGGGCAGGTAGGCCTTGACGTTGAACAGAGGAGTGCCGGGGCGCTGGGCCTCCTCGAAGACGTGACCTCTCCGGCGGGTGAGCACACCGTAGATGCCGCCCATGGCCTGCTCGGGCACCTGGATTTCGACCAAGAAGACGGGCTCAAGGAGACCTGGGTCTGCGAGCAGGGTAGCGGCGTAGAGCACCCGGCGGGCAGTCGGGATGATCTGACCACCACCACGGTGAATGGCGTCGGCGTGGAGCGTGACATCCATGATGTTAAAGCGACAGCTGCGCATCGGCTCCTCGGCGACTGGACCTTCCTTGGTGGCCCACTGGAAACCAGAGACGACGGAGTCCTTGATTTCGTTGAGGTACTGCACGGCCTTGGTCTGGTCGACGAGCAAGTTGGCGCCGTTGGTGTCGGGACCGAAACACCAGATCTTACGTGCATCGGTGACATCCCAGCCGTGGTCGTCAGCGAGGATACGGGCGCGCGCCTTGAAGTCGTCACGTGGGCCGATCTTGCCTGCCTCGATGTCCTTGGACACCTCCTCAGCCAAAGGCGTGGCGGAGATGTACAGACGGTTGTGCTTGTTGGGCGACTTGGAGAGCGCAATGATCCGGGAGTCGCCACCGACGGTCTCACGGTACTGCACCACGGGGTCGGAGATTCTGAGTGGCACACCAGCGTGGTCCTCCTCGAGATCCTTCAAGCAGATTTCGAGATGGAGCTCACCAGCACCAGCGACAATGTGCTCGCCGGACTCGTTGATCATGGTGAGCACGCAAGGGTCGGACTTGGACAGACGCTTGAGACCTTCGACGAGCTTGGGAAGATCGTTGGCGTTCTTGACTTCGACGGACCGCTGCACGACAGGAGAGACGGAGAACTTCATCACCTTCAGGTTGTGCGAAGTTTCGGAAGTGGTGAGGGTACCAGACTTGAGCAAGAACTGGTCGATGCCGACAAGACCAAGAATGTTGCCAGCTGGGACGTCCTCGATGGGCTCGGTGTACTTGCCCATCATGAGAATGGTACGCTGGATAGACTTGACGAACAGGTCCTCCTTCTTGCCCGGGATGTAGTTGGGGCCCTGAATGCGGACCTTGAGACCAGAGCGAGCGGTACCGGAGAACACACGACCGAAGGCGTAGAAGCGGCCCTTGTCGGAAGTCGGGACCATCTTCGAGACGTAAAGCATGAGCGGGCCCTTGGGGTCGCAGTCCCGGATACCGATGGCAGACTCGTCGTCGTGAGGTCCTTCGTAGAGTGTCTCCATACGGTACTTCTGGGCGGTGGCTGGGGATGGCAAATGCAGAATCATCATCTCCATGAGCGCGTCAGCGGCCGGCAGGAACTTGCGCATGACCACCTTGAGCAGTGGCTTGCCCTCAAGCTCCTTCTCGTCCGTGGCCAGCTTGATCTCAAGCTTCTCGAGGAGAGTTGGGATCTCCTTCTTCTTGTCGTTCATGATCGTGTCGAAGATCCTGAAGATGGGGTCCAAGCAGAACTGGTTGAAGGCACGCTCCAGGGTCTGGCCCTCGTGTGTGCCCACCTTGGTCCACTTCTTGGTCTTTGGGTTGAAGAAGCTGTCACCCTGTTGAAAAGGTTAGTACTGGTTTGCGATCACTTGCGGTATGTACTCACCCAAAGCCTCTCCATCATCTTGTTCTTGTCCACACCAAACTTCTTCGAGTACTTGGCGGCGAATTGGCGGACAGTGAAAGCCCAGCCGTGGAGACCGGAGCCGAAAGCGATGGTGCCCTTGTCGGGCTGCACCTGGACATCTCCGAGTGCCTTGTCGTAGTAGGTGGCGATGACGACGTTGACGGACTCGATGACACGAGAGAAGTTCTGGAACAGATCTTCCTTCGAGAGCTGGAGTTCGAGGAGCGCACGGTCGACCTTGTTGATGACGACGACTGGCTTGATGCGCTCACCGAGAGCCTGACGGAGCACAGTCTCGGTCTGCACGCACACACCTTCGATGGTGTCGACAACGACGAGCGCACCGTCGGTGACACGGAGGGCAGCGGTGACCTCGGAGGAGAAGTCAACGTGGCCGGGCGAGTCGATCAAGTTCACCAGGAAGTCGTTCTTCTCGGTCTTGACTGGGATGTCCTTCAAGTCCTCAGGATCAAAGAGCGAGCCGTACAGCGAGATGGCCGTCGACTTGATGGTCACACCTCGTTCCTGCTCGTCTGCGCGGGTGTCCGTGAATCGAGCTGTACCGGCGTTCTTGGCGGAAATGATACCGGCGCGCTGCACGAGGGAATCGGTGAGGGTGGACTTGCCGTGGTCGACGTGAGCGATCACGGACATGTTCCGAATGTTCTTCGGGTTGTCCATGAGGTCACGGAGCTCCTCGACCGTGAATCTGTTGAGCGCATCGCATCAGCCTCTTGTCTCGATACAATGTTGTCGTCGACTCTATCCGTTCGAGACAGACTATCCACTGCTCTTCTCTTGCTCTTGTGGGATGACTTACTGCACCATCTTGGCGGTATTTGATGCTTATGTCCTTGGAGAAAGTTTTTTTGCTTCGTCTGTCTTGTTGGGTGCCCCGCTTCAGGTGCTCGGTGGCACTCGATGACCTGTTGTGCTTGTCTGCCTGTCGTGTGTGTGAGTAGTCTTCCTTGTCTGCTCGCTTGCGTGCTTCACTAACCTGTCGAAGGCTTGTAAGTTGTCGGAGCGGTGAAGAAGGAAGGGTGTGGATGCGGCACTCGAAGAAAATCACACCTGCCCGGTGGTGGGGGAAGTGGCGGTCCGTGCGAGCCGCTAGCACGTTTCCGCTTAAATTCGACGGCGGCAGCACATGCAGACACCGGGTCTACTCCCTACCAGAGTCACGTATGACTCCAACACAGATTGGACTGTTGAACACCTTGTGTCTGCGACCGATACCCCCGGCACTGTTCTATCAAAATTGGATATGTTGGTTTGGTGTCACTTCCTCGCCTCCAACATCATCGACACCATACGGAGATAACGGGCATATCTGAATTGATTACAACCTGTACGATATCTACACCCCCCAATCAAACGCCATGCTAGAACGCTATCAACAGACCCCAATAGAACACCATAGACGTCCCTCACGACGACCCCAAAATCCTCTCATAAGCATCCTCAACCTCCTTCGCCACCTCCAACAAGCTGACAATAATGATCTGATGAGTCACATTCGGCAGTCTGTCCCTGTTCAAACCAATCCATTCGAGCGGCGGTGTCGCTTCCCCCATATCCCGCAGCTGCGGTGTCTCAATGATAGCCGGCTCGAGCGCGTGGTACTCGTACTTCGACATGGGCAGGTTGACCTCGGCCGTGATCTTCTCCTGGGCGGCGGCTGTGTCGCCGGACTTTTGTTTGTCGCCTTCTTCGACCGGGCCGGCGGTGATCTTGACGGCAGACTCTGGCAGAGCTTTACCCAGGCGAGCAGCCAGGGAGCGAGAGTGGGCCACCCACATGTTCTTGATAAAGTCGATGCGTGACAGGTTCCAGCCGACGTCGATCTTGCCCTCGAATAGACTCTTGAAGATGTAGTCGACGTTGTTGCTGTTGGTGTCTTGCCAGGTCTGCATCGATGCGACGACCTTGGGTACTCTCAGGATCGTGCCTCCCTTCGCATTTACAGCACTGCTGACAACGTCATCGACCGAGATGTCCAGCGCTCGTGGAACTGCCGAAGGGCGTTTGACGGAGGCGAGCGCGACCTGTAGTTGCCCGAGAGTCATTCCAAGACCGCCCTGGATCTTGCCCTTCTCCACGCCCACGGCGAAGCGAGCCTGGATGTTGTTGGCTTCGAGCTTGAGTATCTGGCTGTCGAAAAAGGTGCTTGGGAAGACGCCGAAGCTGATGGTGCCCATAGTCAAGACCACATCTGTATGGAGGGCGATGGCATCTTTCTTGTCTCGCCGGATAATGGGTGAATCAGGTATCCGTGGTCCGAACCTGGTTGGCACAATGGTGCTCTCACGGCGCAGGTGCTTCTCAATGTCCTTCAAAGACTGAACAAAGGCTTGCTGCTTCTCCTGTATGAGCCGATCGAAAGCCTGATATAACCCCAGGGCTTGTGCTGGACTGGTTGAGGTACAGAAGACGTATGCCTTTTCGCAGTCAAGGACTGCAACAAGCCTGTCCTTTGCTTCACCATGGGTCTGGTGCACATTGTACATCAAGAAGTCGAAGCCTTCAATGTCGCCAAACGCGAAAGCCTGATAGTCAAACGCAGCCTTTGCGCGAAGTCGCTGGAACCCAGCCGATGCTTGGATAAGCGGAGTACGGCGATGCTGTTGCGCAACATCCTGGGGCCATTTGATCGTGGTGCGTATTCCGAGCTTGTTGAGACGTATGAAGCCGCTCATCCTGCCGGAGCCGTTCATTGCCATCTCCTCCATGCCAATGCAGAGGTTTTGCTCCCAATTGGACGACTTCGCCTGGGAAGCCCAAAGGTCGGTGATGGTGAAAGACTGCTTGCCGATGCTCTGGCCGAGATCAAGGTTGACTGCAAGCTCTGCAATAGAGACTGTGGCATTCCACGGGAAAGCAGCAGCAGCAGCGACACTCTGGTACTTCTGCGCGAAGAAGTCTTCTTGTCGGCCAGGAGACTGTTGTGGCGGCGGAGACGAGGACTGCGCTGCCCGAATCTCAGGCGGTAGCCAAATCTCACGGAACAGCAGGAGATCCTGTAGTTGCTTCCCGTTGATGAAAGTGCTGGTTGGGTTGATCTTCAGGATGGCCGAAATGCCACTTGTTCCGCTGAGGTGCTTGCTGTTGAGGACTGACAAGTTGATTGCGTCCATGTCGAAGCTGAAAGTCGGCTCCCGAGAGTACACATGCTTGACTTGAGTGCTTAGCTTTGTGACCACTGCCGAGATTGCGAAGAAGCGACCGTGCTCATCCGAGTCGATAGTATTCATCGTGATGTAGAGGTCTTCCATTTGTGCCTTGGCATCGACTCGTGCGATAGGCTGGCAAGTGAGCCCAAACTCTTGTCGACAAATGCGAAGTCCAATATCGACCTTGGTCTTCCCGAAGATGGCCGCAGGATCGGCGGTGACGATGGACTCGTCCTCGAAGAAATGCTGGGAAGCTTTGTGATCTGCTGCAGGCTCTTGCTTGGGTGTAGCTGCACCATCCTGCGTCTGCATGACTTCTTTCACGCCGTTCGATATCTCGAGTATCAGCGGGACGACGTTTGGCAGCAGCATGTTGTTCGATGCCTCGATCTGTATCTCACCATTGACGGTAGGCTGTTGTCCTTCGATCTTTGCGTGGTATTCGAGCTTCATAGCAATGCCAGGAGCTTTGAGTGTCGTCTGCATCTGAGCTCCATCTGCCGCAAACTGTCCGTAGCGTCCATGATGAGACCCTTGTTGCTGGGACGAAGCTGCGAGAAGAGAGAGACTTCTGTCACGAGGACCAGTACCTTGAACGTACACAATAGCGCCCGCAAAATCAGCCTCCATCAGAAGAGAGGACAGAAGTTTCGTGTCGAACATCTCTGCCCGTGGCTTTCCAATCGAGGCGGCCCGGGTCTTCCATGTCGCGGTACCCAGCTTGAACTTCTCAACAGCATCGTGGATCGACTTTTGAACAGCATCGGCTTCCACAATGAACTTCGATTCTAATCGGATCTCGAGCGGTTTGCCTGCAGCTTTGAAGGCTATGCTTCGGTTCTTGCCAACTGACCAGTAAGCCACACTAAAGCTGACTTCGGATAGCAGGGCAGAGTTCCAAGAACGCCTCACCAAGGCGGCATCTTTCTTTGCAAGCTGGAGCTGCATATCCTGGATGGACAGCTTGGCTTCGTGGCCGCCGCGAGTGGTGAACTCAATGCGTTCGAGGCTTAGGACTAGATCGGAGACTTGCCGCTGTCCTCCACCAGCATATGCTGTAGGAACAATCCATGCGACACGTATACCCGTAAGCTCGACGGATGTAGACACCGAGAGCAAGTCGGTTGCAGAGAAAGCGGCCTCCTCTTCGCTGGTGGATTCCTCCTTGTTGCTCATCTTCTGGATGACAGTATGTCGCCTTGAGTCGCGAATGCGACGTAAGTAGTCCATCTCATGGGAAAGGTCTAGGTCCTTGATCTTGTCTTGAAGGTGGTTGATCACATCTACAGCTGTGGAAGCAGTGTCCGGATACACGTTGACCTCGAAGCCACGGCTCTGTATCTTTAGTTCTCTCGCCACCTTGTCGTCTGCATCAAGGTGAGAAGTGAAATGAAGGGTGATGCCGAATTCCAGATTGCCGCACGATTGCTGTCTGCCGTCGACGTACTTGTGCAGCTTTGCTCCAATGTCACGAATCTGCGCACGAACCTCTGGCAGCAGGGACTGGTTTTGATCGAAGTTGTCCCGATTCGAAGCGCTGACGTAGACGGGACCAATGCCGAGCTCTATTCCGGCGGAGGCGGTGTTGTGGCCTTGCGGTGTTTTGGTTGCCACCCTTACACCAAGGAGAGCAAAGCGAACATCGAAAGCAACCAGTGGGCGGCCACGAGTGACTTGAGACTCAACAGGCGGAGACTGAGGCTTCAACTTTTCCACGTCTCTTTGGATGTCTCCAATGCTGTGTCTGATACCTGCAACCACATCCTGGACCTCTGGCCTGTTCATGACCGCAACCACACCTTGAATAGCAGAAGCGTCGATCTCCACCCTGTCCATGCTTGTTGCAACCGACAACGAGGTCACCGCTGGCTCCAATTCTAGCCCGACGTGGCCATTAATCGGTGGGATGTCCAGAATGTTCTGCTCATGAGTCTCGTTCGAGCTTGAGTTGATGAAGCAATGCGTCTGTCTGCCGACATCGTAATCGATCGCCCATGCTCTGTCTCGGTCCAGGTTTGGGGCAACCCGGACACTGGCTGCGGTACCTTGAAGTTGGTAACTTAGTACTTGGAGCAAGGAGAGTTGAAGCCGCAGCTGTCCCGCGAGAAGAGCGAAGTGGATCTTGGGAGGAGCTTTTGAACGCGCCTTAGATGGTGGCGTCTTCTCCTGCGGGACAGTTGACGACTGTGCGCTATCCACCAGCTTCATGATTTTCGAAGCCTCATCTTTGATGACGGAGCCGACAATGTGTAGGAGACCAGGTATCGGCTCCTGTACAGCCAGATCCAGAGTACTGTAGCTGATGGCAACGGTCACAGAGGGCGGGACTGAGGCATCAGCTCGCGGTTGCAGGTGGTCAAGGTAGATGCTCGGGGACTCCAGATTCGTGTGCCACAAGCGACGCTTAGGCCCACGAAGTTCAGTGATTGCAGCTTCGGCGTGAATGAGTGCACTAGCACATGGTCCATAGGGCTCTTCTGCTTCGGTTGTCCCGATCACTGACAACTTCATTCGGTCGGCTCGAGAAAGGTGGCGCAGATTGATCGTCTCTAGGACAATGCTGCCGTTATCTGTCGACACGACAACATGGAAGACATGTCGAGTGAGGCCATACTCCAAGTGGCCATCCGGAGGCGAACGCTTTGGCTTGGACAATCGATGCGATAGTGCTTGCAGCTTTTCCACAAGAGGCAATATTCGTTCGACGATGTTGAACACACTCCAATTGGCCGAGAGCGCAATGGAGCCTGTGTGCAATTGAAGCTCGGTCTTCGTCCTTGTATTCTCGTCCAGGAGCATCAGTCCAGTAGGCGCTGTCGGCGGAATCTGACTTAGTCCCAGAGTGGTCTCCTCCAACACAATCTCGTTGGAGAACTTCTCGGCCGTGACAGCAATTCGAAGGTGTTCAGACCTCACAGCTAGGATGAGAGGCTTGCTTTCCGCAGGCTGCGTACTCATGGCATCGCCAGTCTCGAGCAACTGTTGGAACGCAACTGTCTGGTGAACGTTGGGTACATCCCAGTTCCGCCAAGATGCCCATTCTTCCAGCTCCTTGACAGGTGCATCGAAGTTTTGCTCTGGCACTAGAGAGGTGCTCCTCTCTATCAGACTCTTTCGCACTTCAGGAGGCAGATTGTGCAAGATGTTCCTGAGTCTCATCATAATCTTCCAGGAATCCTGGTTGCGGAAGTGCTCCTGAAAAGCTCGCAGTATGTAAGTCATCCGCGACATGAACGGTGGGTCTCCACTTTCCTCGCTGTGCTCGATCAACGTCCGTATGAGCAGAAGCAGGCGCTGGCGACCAATCTCCAATGGTTCCAGCACCTTCGGCTGAAGCTCCTCTATGACTGGCAGCAGTCGAAGCACAAAGTCTGTCAAGTACGCCGCTTGCTCGCCAGAAATTCTTAGTGCAGTCTCACTGACAGATGCATTGATGGACTGCGATGATCCGATAGCCAACCAAACCAGAGCGTCGCTGATGCTAAATGCTGCAGGAGCATTGTCGGCAGCGAGTTGTGTTTTCGTACCGAGTGTGGCATCGACGTTGCCCATTGTGGAGTGAACAGCAATTGTCTCGTTAGGACCGCTCCCGTTGGGGAGGTCCCTTGTTCGAACAAGGACATCCACTGACCGAATGGACAGGTCGAGACGGTCATCTTCCGAGCCATTTGAAGCAGGGTTGGCAGCTCTCAATTGCGCTGCAGGAAGGTCAACTTTGATCTCCAAGGTCGAGTTAGAGCCGTGACGTTGCTGCTGCACTCCAGTGATAGCTGCAAGAACATCCATTTGAAAAGCATCCATAACCTCCTCAGGATGCTTTGGAAGCACCTTACGAATCAGCTTCGTGCCAGTGACCACAACTCTCGGCTCAAAATATGCTCTTATGCCGGGTGCGACTGAGATCAATACCGAAGTCTGAGCAGCATCTTCATCGAGATCAGGCTCATCGATGGTGCCGGATGATAACGATGATGCGTCAGAATCTGTTTCATCATCCCCTGCTATCGGACTGAAGTCAGGAACGTTTGCCTCGTCTGGCTGGACTAACTCGAGCGGGAAGTATGGCTCGGCAAACGAGCTGGAGAATGCCATGGTAGAACGTGCAAATGCGTTGCGAGCTTTGCCTCGATCTGCGGAAGGTCTATGGCGACCTCTGTTGGAATCTGCCGATGATGCCCGACTACTGCTTCGCACGCTTCGGAACGACGGTGTCGCAAGTAGATCGTCTTGTTCTATTTCCTGCAGCCTCGGGTTCTTGGGGACGGGTGCAGCTTTGACAGAGGCAGACAACGACGAAGACGATTGCTTTGGGTTGATCTGCTTTGCATGTTGAACCGATCGAAGAGATGCAGGCCTGGACTGCAAGCCCCCAGATTGATTGAGTGGCAATGGCAGCATAGGATACGGCATCGCAGGTGGGTAGTACTCAGGGTCTTCGTGGTCCGCATCAACGAACTGAGTTGATCGCCGCTGCAAAAACGAGGCTCGATGTGTCCTCAGATCATGCTCGCGGATATGGGCTTGTTGCTTTCTTCTCTCTTCTTCGAAGTGAAGCTTCCGCATTACAACATTAACAGCAACGCCAGTCTGTAAGAAGGCGTACGTTCGTACAGTAGCCTTGCCGCTGTGACCTGGCGTGTCGCGGGCCCGACTGCGAGCAGCACTTCTCGCGTCCACGCAAGCAAGAGTGACGTTTGGCGCCAGTACACTGACTCTTTGAGAGAATGTTTCACCAGCCCAGTCGTTCGTCACTACGTCCACCGGGTCAAGAGAAAGCAGTAATGCATCCTTGCCGATGTGGAACCATATTCGCACGATGTCTGTCCGTACTTGGACGAATGTGGAGTCAAAGAACACGCTCGGCGAAGGCAGGGGCAAAGCGTTGTCGCCATCTTGGAAGCCGTAGACGAAAGCTCTGCTCGCCATAGCCAAGTCGTGGATGAAGGAGCTTGAGAACTCGCCCGTGATGGACCCAACGTCAATGTTCCACTGATTCACGTAGGCGGGCTCGTCGGGAGGTAGCCCAAAAGCGCGGTGGCCATCTAGGTCAACATGCTTGACAAACATCTGCGTACTGGATGCAGAATCGCCGGAGGAATCGTCCTGGGACATGCTGCCCGACAAGAACGTCAAAGGTGAAAGCTGTAGGCCCATGTCGAGGTAGTAGCTGATAATCCGTAAATCGAGATTGGCCACTGGCAACTCTATCCGCACAAAGTCGTCGCAGGAGTAGATGTTGGTTGGGAAAAGCACAGTGGCATCTTCAGCGATGATGCAAAGCATGACGTCCAGTTCATTGGTTGACGTTGGTTTTGGTAGACTTGATGTCTTGAGATTGGCGACAGCAAGGTCATCATCGGCACTCTGGAACTCTTCAAGGGTCTTGAAATGCATGTAGTCGCCGAAGTAGTTCTCCTTGACATTGATGAGCTGGCGTACCAAAAATCCGTAGGCTTTAAGCGTCAGACCAGAACCAACGATGTCGAAGCGCAAGGTATCTGTCAGCCCATGCCGCTCCTCGAGATGACCACTGTACGAGCCGCTCAGAGTCAGCTTTGGCAGCTCAGCCACCACTTTGTCCTTGACGAAGGGGGCGAATGTACTTCGCGTCGGGTTGATCATCCTCATGCGCATATCTGTGGCAAGGACGTCGAATGTGATCATGTTGCGGACCGGACGATACTTGTCCATGCTGATGTCCAGCGTGGATTCTAAGCGGCCCTCCAGCGTCAAGAAATCGTTCTTGTCTAGGTCTGCAGAGTCGTTGACGATGTTCGAGTCGTTGACGTTGAGGTAGATGATGAAGTTACGGAACAGCATCCGGAGACTGTAGATGTACGGCACGAATGTAAAGAAGTCACCTGGCGGCCCAGACGACCAGTCGTTGACAAGGTCGATGATCAAAAACATATGATCACGGAGAATGAACAGCTCCATGTCATCGATGGTGATGTCGAACGGCCACTTTCGTAACGAATTCCACGAAGTCGGCTGTGACAGATCGGCGCCCAAGGAGACAGCTCCAGTCCGCCAAAGCAGACCATGGTTGACGCTGGACGTGATCTCAGTGCCTTTAATGTCGCAATTGAGCTTGTTGACATAGCCAGTGGTGCGTGCAAACATGTCCATTGTGTAATTGATGGTGGAGTCCGTTTTGACTGTTATGTCAAGCCAGGCATATGGTCTCGCATCACTCCCAGCTGTACCTTGCTTGCCTTTGCGCCGCCGTGCGTGCCGGTGTGGCCGACCGTGTCTGCCTTTCCGCTTTGTGGTGCCTCCATCCTGCCCGTCAGCGTGTTTACTTTTAGCCGCACGGCCTTGCCATTTTGTATCTTTGGATGACTCTCTGGATGGGATGCGCAGGGTGACGTCTTTTTCCACCAGGACAAAGATCTTGAAGAGTGACCAATTCCGCGTCTCGCCGGGCTTCAAAGTTTCAGTCGGCGTGGAGTCGACGTACGAAGCAGGAAAGAAGATCTGCTGCAGATTCAACCTTTGGCGGTCAGTCCATGGACCGTATGTGACAACGCCACCATGGACGAGAAAATCCATGCCGTAGTCTGGTGGTTTGGAGCCGTTCATGTCGTCGAGATAGGCCGAGCTACTACCATCAGTAACGTTGTTTTGGACCTGACCAGGCATATCGAAGTAGAAGCGAAAGTTGAGCTTTTCGATGTCTGCCAATGTTGATGCTTTGCCATATTCAACGTCTTTCCACTCGTCGTGTTCATCTTGTTTCTCGTCCTCCAGGTAGCGAGCCAAGCCATGCCATTCCGTTTGCCCAGGAAGCTCATCCCGTAGCGTGTTAGTGCCGTCGACTTTAGAAACCATGGATGCTGCGCGCAAGGAGCCGTTGACGCTATTGCTGTTCGGGAAAACGTTGGTCAGAGTATGCCACCTCTTCCGGAGCGAACGTAAGAACAAAGCGTGGCTGGATTCGTTGGGCGTGGGATCGGCCTCTTTGTCGCTCAGGATCCGCCTGGCAGCATCGCGTTGCAACTGTTTGAAGTCGCGATTTGGCTTCATCGTCGCGTTGATGTTCTCAAGATCAAAGTTGAAAAGCAGCTTGTAGAGGTCGAGCGGGCCAGCGTGGCCAGCGTCGATTGTCCCTACGGCTTTATCGAGTTTCGCGACGACTATACTGGTAGTGTGTTCGTTCCCCACGGCGGCTGCAGCCTTTCTACACTCGATCTTGATCGGGAACATGCGCAAGAAAGCCGGTAGCTCTGGCATCTTCTGATTCGATTGGCTATATGTCTGCTCGACAGAGGCCATGCCAGTGGTGTCCTGTGTGTTCGTCTTCTCTGGACCAAACCCAAACGACGCAGTCTGGCCCTTCCGACTGTCTCCGGAGGATGAAGAAGTGTTGTGTCCAGCTCGCTTTTCGTCGCTCCCTGAAGAGCTTGGTGGTTGAGGAGCCTTCTTTCGAGTCTGCTCCACTATCATGTCATACAGTGGACTGCGATTGTACACGAATGCTTCCACCCCAGCTACCTTGACAGATATTCGGCAGGGCAATTCCTTTTTCATTTTGCCACCCGCCCTTTCTTCTTTGCCCACACTTCGACTCCGCGACTTGTCCTTCTCCTTCCCGCTGCTGCTATCATCGTCCTTTTCAACAGAAGGATCCTTGGATGTCTTGCTCAGGCCCTCCGCCTCGAACGCTTCCGCCTTTTGCACCAGCCGCAACCAATATCTCCAGGTGATATGACCTTCGTAGACCAGTACCGTGACATTATGAGCATGATAGCGGATGCTCTTGAAGAAAATCCGCCCTCCAAGCAAGCTGATCTGCAGAGCGGTTATGTCGATGTAAGCCCGGTATTTGTGCCATGTCCACGCTCGAATGCAGTAGGCGATAAGAGTAGCGAACAGCCGGTTGAAGTAGAACAGGAAGAAGAGTCCCAAGATGCCGCAGACCAGTATCTCAACCAGGAAGACCCAATTGAAGGAGCCGGCCGCGACAAGAGGCTGCACGGCCAGCTGGCTCGAGTCGCCGTCCATTCTCCCTACGCCTCGAGGTGCTAGTGCCACTGCTCTTCATGTTGCTCGTCTATCATCCGCGATGCGCCTCCGCAATGTGTCCTCCAGGCTCTCGTGGAATCGTCGTTGCGAAAGGGCGACCTTGAGATGAGGTCGCCAAGGTATGGCCCGCATGGAGCTCGCCGCGGGAGAGACCGCCAAGACTTTGAGATCGCGTTCATGTGAACGTGAAGCGCGACCTCTTCTGCTGCAAACGACACACCTGACACAACCCAACTCACGACCAAGACCTGAGATAGTACACAGCACGCTGCACCGGAGACTTCCACCTAGGCTCTGGACAACCACTTCGCCGGGGGCGACAGCCCAACATGCTTCTCGACGACGCGGCCACGGAAACCCTCAAGACATGGGTGATTAAGAAGCTCGAGAACATCAGCGACGCCGATTCAGACGTGCTGGCGGATTATGTGTTGGCCTTAGTGAAGACAGACGAGCCGGAGCCGGTGGCGAGGAAGAATTGCGCTGATAACCTTAGGGATTTCCTTCTTGATGGCACGGATCCGTTCGTTCAGGAACTGTTCCACGCCATATCGACGGGATCCTACGACCCGGACCGCCCTGCACCAAACCAATCAGCACCACCTTATCAGCCTATCAAGCACACGAGCGCGGAAACAAACCGACAGTCAAACGAGTCAAGAAAGCGAACTCACAGGCCGGATGCAGATTACGACCAACAAAGCTATGCCTATGGTCCCGCGCAAGCATTTGAGAGAGGAGGGGACAGACCGTTTAAGCAGGCGAGGCGCGGTGGGAGAGGTCGAGATCAGCGTGGTGGACGACAGCTGCAATCGCAACCCCCTTCACATTCATACGGCCTGCCACAGACTATGCTGCCGCCACCGGCCATGGCCCCCGGTTTGCCACCGCTGGATCCAAACGATCCAATGGCGGCGATGTTCATGCAGCAGGCGATGAGCTTCTTCGCGGGAATTCCAAATGGTCCACTGCCTCCGAATGGCAGTCTTCCTGGAGCCCATGCCCAGAAGGTTCGCTGTTGGGATTACGACAACGTGGGCGCTTGCTCCAATGGCACGAACTGCCCTTATGAGCACGGTGAAGATCGCTTGTTCATCCCATACAACCAAGAATATGACCCGAGGCACGCTGCTATGCTGAATTCTGAGCCAACCAGGGTCGGTCAGCACGACATCACGCAAAGGGAGCATAATGCAGGTCGGGGCAGAGGTCGTGGCCGGGGCGCAAGCAATTGGAGAGGTGGCGGAAAGCGGTCGGACTTCTCCCGCCTCGGACCATCTCGCGATACGTTTGCTACCAAGCTTGTAGTGGAAGAGATACCGGACAATAAGTGTGACGAGCAGAGTGTGCGAAATTTCTTTGCGCAGTTTGGCAATATCCATGAAATCGAGATGCACTCACGCGACAAGCTCGCCATCATTAGCTTTGAGGACCATGACGAGGCTCAGGCCGCCTACAACAGCCCGAACGCGATCTTCGGCAATCGCTTCGTCAAGGTCTACTGGTACCGCCATGAGAAGCACAAGGATCTACTGAACGGGAATATGAGTGGTCATACCCTGGCTGAGGACGTGGACATGGGTCAGGATGAGCAGATCGACATTGAACAGTTTGCCAAGGCCCAAGAGGAAGCGCAGCGCAAATATGACGAGGCGAAGAAGCAAAAAGAGGAGGCAGCAAAGAAAAGAGAAGACGTGAGTACAAAGCTGGCGGAAATGGAAGCCGAGCGGAGGAAGATGGAAGCACTGCTTGCAAAGAAGGCGGGCAAGCCGACACCCGCTACGACTGGGACTGAAACAAACGAAGAAAACGCACAGGCGAAAGCGCTCAAGGCGCAACTGGCACAGCTCGAGGCGGAAGCCGAAAGCCTCGGAATCAAACCAGATCTCGCGGATTCAAATGGCTTCGGTGGCTACCCAACCGATCGCGGCAGAGGCGGATCTCGAGGCAGGGGAAGAGGTCGAGGCAGCTTCCGTGGTCATCTTGGCGGAGGTTGGTGGGCGCGTGGTGGTGCTCGCGGTGGTGCTCGAGGCGGCGGTGGAGCAGTCATGCGACTGGACAATCGGCCGAAAACTGTCGCTGTGACGTTCGCCAACGGCACTTACAGCAGTCACGAAGAGGCCATCCGTCAATACCTCTTGTTCAGCAGCCTCGATACAGCAACGCTTTCAAAGCATCCTGAGCGCGACGACACTGCTTTGGTAGCTTTCAACCAGCGCTACGAAGGTGAGACGTTCATGGATGTAGTCGCACGCTCGGGGCTACCACATCTCGGCAAAGTTGAGCTCTCATGGTACAAGCCCGAAGGCACGGCAGGTGTTGCTAACGGCAGCAACAACACAAACCACGACCATGCCATGATGTCCGGATCACCGGAGCCACCGTCGCCTGAGATACTCGGAGCGGAAGCTGCCTACGATGTCACGGAAGAGGACCTGGACCGGTATTCGTAGCATCCTGGTGTGCATGGTCCTGTCGCGGAGTACATTTCCAGAGTAACAGCCGGTTGAGGCAGGACTCAATGGCCGCGGCGGTAGAAACCTGCAGTGAATGGTTGACGGCCTCGTTGCAACAAGGTTCCAAGCCACTCTTGGCGGAATCCGTTCTAACGTACATTTTGCCATGTGCCTTCCTGTGAACCCGAAAACGAGGCTATGTTGATATGATCGCCTTCGGTGACGGCTATGGCTCTTTCTAAGTAGGTATTAAACCAGTCTGCATCCCTGCCTTTCCGTTCAATCCTCCTTTTGTTTCCTTCAACCGTTTAACAATACCACGGACAATGTCTCAGCTCCGACAAAAGCTAGGTAACTGATGTATCTCCTACTGGTCTCCGCGTCTTCACTAACCGCACGTTGGTATAGGCGAAGCGGCCGGCAGGAACCACGAACTCCTCGCGGTACTCACAGAATCCGACTACGCTGCTCCAGCTCTCAAGCAGAACACTTCCTACATATCAGATCTCAAGTCACAAATCACCGAAACCGACAAAACGATCAATCGCCTCCATGCTTCGACCGAGAAGGAGCGGAAGGAACATGTTAAGGTCAGAGACAGTGTCATGAGACGCTATGCTTCGAAGCTTCAAGGGCACAAAGGACAGGAGAAGTTCAGCGCCAAACAAGACAAGGAAGAGAGGGAGTTCTTGGAGGCCTGGCAACAAGAACGAGAGGCACAAGAGCGGCGCGAAGAGCTCGGACGTGCGCTCGAAGAGGCAGAGAAGGAGAAGAAGAGCTTGGAGTCCGACTCAGCGAAACATGACGAGGCGCAGCGCGAGCTTGACCAGCTGTATCAGAACATCTTCGGCGGACCGACACCAGAAGTACCTGGCGAAGACGAGCTAGAACAAGCGCTGTCTCGGAACCGGGACTACTACCAGCAGTGCCAGCAGCAGGCTGGGCGTGACAAGCAGGCTGCACAGACATTGGAGCAAGCGAGAGGACGTCTCGGTCAGGCGGTGAACAACATGCACGATTCGCTGCAAGCTTCGAACTTCGATCGCTTCGGAGGCGGTGCGCTGTTCGACCTCATGGAACGCGATGCGCTGTCCAAAGCGCAGATGAACTACAACTGGTGCAAACAGGCCATGGCTGATGCAGCGCGAGCCCAACCCGCCATCCCGCCGCTTGGGGAGGTGGCGATAGACCATGGACATGTGCTCGGAGACATCATGTTCGACAACATCTTCTCCGACTTTGCGCAGCATGATCGGATTCGAAACTCGGCGATGCAAATGCAGCAGGCGATGAACCATCTGCAGAGTATCATAAAGGAGCAGAAGGGGAGGGTGCAGGATGCTCAACGGCTGGAGAAGACAGCGTTGCAGCAGTTGGAGGACTCACGCATTGAGCTTCAGAAGATCCGATCGGAAGCGTTCGAACGACTGGCTGGTGAAGGCGGCCAGGGTGCTGTTGGCGGCGATGCTAAGCTGCCGGCGTATTCTGCCTGATGGTGGCGCCGTCTAGCCACGGCATTTGGTCTTTTCTATATCCTCGTATACCCATGAGCCGTTTGAACCAAGATAGTTACACAACTACACCTGTCTTCTGCGAATCTGGACAGGAAGCGATGTAGGCCTCATTAGCCAGTAAGCTATCCACTCCCAAGATGCTCCGTAATGCTCAATTTTATCCTCTTCGAGCCCGAAGTCAAAGGACCGCACCAGCTCTGGCACGAGTTTGGACATCTCCTGCGACGAGAACAGCATGTCAGCAACACTTCACAACAGCAGAGCTTCAGGAAAGAAAGAAGGGGGTTTCGAGAAGTGCTTACCAGCATCGAAACATGCTTTCCTATACACGCCCGACTTCCGAGGCCAAAGGTCATGAAGTGCCGATTCATATATGCGACTTGCTCCCTGTCTGAGTCAAGCCACCGCTCTGGCCGGAAGAGCGCAGCGTCCTCCCCGAATATGTCTGTGTTGAGGTGGAGCACCCAGGAGTTCACTCCAACTACAGTGCCAGCAGGGAATGAGTGACCAGAGATGTCCAAGCCTCCTTCAGGTACTACGCGCTGCAGAGGTAGGGCGCCCTGTGGGTAGAGGCGCTGTGACTCCTGGATGACAGCGTGTAGGTAGGGCATCTGTTGAACCTCTTTGAAAGAGGGTGGACTGGAGAGCTCGCCTTCACTGAGACGACCATCAATCTCAGAACGCAGCTTTGCCAAGACAGTACTGTGCCGGAGCAGGCAGTATAGTATCGCAGACAGAGCTGCAGCAGTCGTGTCCGCCCCTGCAATCACATTCGCCATTAGCCCGACCTGAATATCGCGCTCAGTGAACCTGCTCGGGTCTTGCTCGTTGAACTCCAGGAACTTGGACAGGAAGTCCTTCGGCGCAGCGACGCCGTCTTCATCTGTCAGCTGCGCTTGATGCTTCTCCTTTCCTTCGCGCTGCTTCCGCTTCTCTGACACCAGTCTCGTGGTGAAGCCACCGATTGACATCCTGGGAGTCTCTGGCATTACTTTCAACTTAGCAAGCCACGCCCTGATCTTGTACACAATCGGATGCAGAGCAGAGTAGACGCCCATAGTCGTGTTGTAGAACATATTGCCGCGCAGGATCTTAAAGAAGTCATCAACATCTTCGCCCCGGTCAAGAAAACCCATCCGCTTAGAATAGCTGATCATCGCTACAGTGTCTGCAGCATAGCACAGGAACCAGGTAGCCATATCTGCCTGTCCATGCGATCTTGCGACGGCATTCAACTTCTCTTTCATCAGACCGATGCAGTGGTCGGCAAATTCTTCGTACGTGACCAAGCTAGATATTGAGTACGTTGACTGAAACTTCCGTCGTAGCTGAGCATGCGCCTTTACACTAGGCTCAGTGAAGAGGCTGTTGATGCCAGGTGCGTTCCATGCCGAGTACCAGCTTGACTTATCCAGCTCTCTCCCTTTAGTTAGATAGATGGCCTTGACAGCCTCTGCCGTATTGAAGCTGTAATGTCGAGGAGCATAGCGGACGACTGCACCATACTTGCGATGCAAGGCGATATTGTCTTCATGAAATTTGCCCTGCCATACTCGATAAAAGAACCAGAGTTTGGTGAACCGGGCGGCGAAAGGTCCAGGGATCGTCCTCAGTGGTGATATGATGTGCGACACGATTGACGCCAGAATCCACAGGATGAGCAGGTAGGCAAAAGCTTGGAAGATTCTCATCGACATGGCTTCGAGTGTAGAGTCGTTTGTGTTGGTTGCCTTTTTTCAATCGAGGCAAGATATAGAGACCTGACCATCCTTCTCATACAGCAAGGCGGGGGCTGATATTAGAGTTGGGTCCGATCGCCTTTGGGCCGAAAAGGGAAGGTAGTGAAACATGGTTGCATGTGACCTTGAAGTACGCCTAGGATACGAGTATGGAAGTGAGCGAAGCCGTTCACTGCTGACGTCTTCATCGACAAACGCAAGAGGATGTTGTCCTTGTCGAGAGCGTAGTATCTTACTGTGCAATCAGACGCGATCCGACGGCAATTGAGGGGTAGTCCTGAGGCGACAGTACGCGTTTGTCGACATTCGGCGGCCATAGTCCATATATGCCATAGCTTCGCTATTGTATTTCGCCAAAGAAGTTGAAATTCTTACAATCCATATGGGAGGAGGAGGATGTGAGAGACATCTTTTGGCCGTGTCCGAATTGGGCTTAGCCCGAGAACACGAACCTCACGCGTTCAGATGCATCTCCAAGCAAGACCTCGAGACCACGATGGATCTTCTCCGATGGACGACAGGCTGGATGCTGGATACCCTTTCGAGTTGACCGATGTCTGGAAACAGTCAGGTCTCAACCCGCAAGATGATGCGAACCCCATTTTCCAGCTTCCTCTAGAGCTGAAGGCGCTTCAGTTGGAGGAGGATACGAACAATATCTTCAACGATGAGCTCGACCTGCCGGACCTGCTCGATGCAAATCCTGTCGATGGCGAGGATGCCGAGGACATTGAACAAGAATGGCCGAGCTTATCGTTGGAGCCATCTGGAGTAGCACAGTCCGACGAATACGACATATGGGCATTTGATAGTCTCGAAGACATCCCTGAACCACGGCAGGTGTACTCATGGGAAGCCTTCGAAAAGAAGACGAACACGACTCAAGGCCAACGACATCTCTCCGAAGCTGGACCGCTCGCCTACAACTTGGCTATTCGACAGTCCAAGAATGGTTCCAGCTCCCAAGGCGTCCTGCCCCGTGATGTCGTGCTGCGAGCGCTCTGCAATCTGGTGTTGGGCAGATCGTCCATCTTCTTCACCTGGAACATAGAGAAGCAGTCATTCACTACTAGCTTGCCCGATGTCCCGATCGCTGGATTAAGCCAACAGACCTCAGCAAGCCTGATCGCGAGATTGTCAACCTTTGGCGCTATGTACCGGACATTGGAGGGATTTGCTACTACTCGAGGATACAAGAGTACTTCTGCTGCCGCTCTTGTTGCTTTGAAAGGATGCCTCACGGACATACTCGCCACCGTGGAGGAGAACATGCTGGCAGCACGCTGGGGACTCTGCTCGATCTTGCAATTGCAAAGCCTGGTCGAGGGTTCATATCGTTTGCTGGACACGCTGATCAAGCTGAAAGACTCTGTCCAGGATTGCAAGAGTGACGAAGATGTCATCTCAGCTGTTTCGGACAATGTTCACGAAGCTGTGACTGCTGACGGCAAGACTGCACCGGTGCTGCGCCATGTCCTTGTTCGGACCAGTGCACCATGGCTGGAATTGTTACGCGGTGAACTTGGTCTTGACGGGGGACAACAACTCGTCGTACAACCCGAGGGTCCGGAGGCTGACCAATATGTTGACATGGTTAACACAGTACCGTCCTGTATCTTGGAAAGTGACCGTGCTCTGATCAAGGGCACCAAAGCTGGCGTTGAGGGGCTCCGCCTTCATATGCCTGGTTACGACATCCACGCTACGGGTGCGGTTACCTCTTCGCGAGCTACTTGGGATGCACGTGGGCCTGACGTCTCGTTCGTGAACGGAGGGGAAGGAAATCTGGACCACTCCGCAGGGCAGTACGAGAGCCTCGCTTGGGAGGATGAGGAGAAGCAGCAGCACTTCTTAGCATCACTAGATACGCGCATTTCCAGGCCATTGACGCTTGCGGAAGATGAGGCCAATGGAAAGCGGAATGCAGTTTCCCGGTGTATTGACCATGATGTGGGTGTCGGCAACCAAGCTGGATCAGTGATGCTTGATGTCGAGATTGATCTGTTGGACAAGATCCGACCAGCAATAATCGCACACCAAAAGCTGATGAATCAAACTCTGCTCAATCATACTTTCAAGACTTTGGAACTCCGCAATCACCTGGAGCTGCAGCGTCAATACCACATGCTAGGCAACGGCGACTTTGTTGCTCGCTTCGCGAAAGCACTTTTCAGCACCGATACTCAGTCGGCTGAGCGGAGGCGCGGCACTATACCCACCGCAGAGATTATGGGTCTTCGTCTGGGCGGCAGAGGAGGTAGACGCTGGCCACCGGCGAGCTCTGAACTTCGACTCAGTCTGATGGGAGTCTTGACCGAAACCTACTCGCCGGGAGTGCTGCCACGTACGCCTGGCAGAATCAACGAGCTGCCGGGCGGTCTGAGTTTCTCAGTTCGAGAGCTACCAGATGCAGAGATCGAGAAAGTGATGGATGCGGAGTCTATCCATGCCTTGGACTTCCTCCGCTTGCAATACGCGCCACCGTCGTGTCTGGACGCAATTCTCACTCCCACCGCGATGCAAGCGTACGACAGTATCTTCCGGCTTCTCCTACGACTACTTCGCGTACTTTATGTGACCACAAAGCTGCGCGAGAGGCTGGTGATAGGTGCGGGCGCTCGTAATCAAGCAAAAGAGAAGCCTGCTCTAGCCGACAGCTCGAGAATCAGATTTGTGTACGAGGCGCACCACCTGATGGCCGTGCTGATGTCACACCTTATGGACGTCGGCATCGAGACACCTTGGCGAGCATTCATCCGGTCTCTGAGAGACATCGAGCAGGCCCTCGATGCAAAGAGCGGCCAGAGTAGCACCTTGGTCGGCCTTGACGACATTCGGCAGCTGCATGAACAGTGTCTTGAACGCATCAGAGGTAGGCTGTTCTTGCGGAGAAAGCAGGAGAAGATCCGTATTGCTATAGAAGCCGTCCTGTCGAGCATCCTGGCCTGCGCGTCTGCTTTTGAGAGCGCACGAGACGGTGCTGAACCCGACACGAGCACTTTCCAGCAGTCGCAGGCAAGATTCCAGGACATCCTTCGTGAGAACGTAGAGAAGCCTTGGAAAGGCTTCACCAACACCGACGTTGACGAGGACGACGCTGAAGCCACGAAGATCCTGATGATGAGGTTACGCTTCAACGACAGCTCTACATAGCATCACTCAATCTCTACCCTCTCAATCCAGCTCCAACTTATCCTGACCCTCTCCATCCCCCGCCATATTTGGCCTCACCCAATCTTTATCAATCGACTCCACCTCCGCATGCGCCTCCAGCGCCTTGTTCAACCCTTGTCTCTGCAAGCACTTATCAAAGTGGAAACTCCTGGCACACTCCTCCAAATCCTCCATACTCATGCCTTTGAACTGCTCCGCGAACTCATCGCTCAGACACTTCGATACCCACAGCTGATTGACTATCCGTGTGAGCTGGCGCTCTGTCGCCCATGGGGTTGGGTACTGGTCTTTAGACGTCGGAGCGCTCTTATCGATCCATTCGACCAGTGGGTCGATTAGGTCTTCGACTTGCTTGGAAGGATACCGGCCCCAGGCGTCCAGCTGCAGTGCGCGCTTCTTTTCGAGGAACGGGGCGATGGTCTTCATGTACTTGCTATCAGGGTCCAAGTGCACCATTCCTTGGACGCCGACATCTTTGTACAACCAGATGGACCAGTGGATCTTATATTTGTCGTAGATTCGCAATTGCTCGTCAAGACATTTATACCTCGCCGCATTAATCTCCTCATGATCAGCGTCGAGACGCGGGTTAGCGTACACAGGCCCGAATTCGCCGTTCCAGATAGGTGTCTTGTGCTGATTCATGAACTCCGCTTTCCGTAGAAACTGCCTTTCGAGTTTAGACTTCTGCTCCTCGGTGCCTCTAAACGTGTCGCCCTTTGGAAAGCCCATCATAGTGTAATCGTGCAGGGCGTAGACGCAGTTGGGCAGGATGTGGTCAAAGTAGCGCCATTCCATGGAGAATGTATTTCCGTCCAGCCAGAGGATGTGATCCGGGTCGATTTTGCGTATCTCCTTTTCGATGCGGTCATAGTAGGCTGGAAGCCGGTAGTGAACGGGGTCGCAGGGCTCGTTGATGGGGTTGTAGCCGGCTACCCAGGCGTTGTCTTTGTAGCGTTTGGCAAGTTCCTGCCAGAGCCAGATGACGCGGTCTTGGAAGTCTTTGTGGTCCCAGAAGGCTGGGTGGTTAGTGGTGTTGTCCGAGTGCCAGTCGGGGTTCTGGCCACCGGGGAGCGCGTGCAGGTCAAGGATGGTGTAGATTTTGTGCTTGGCGCAAAGGTCGACGACGCGGTCGACGTGCTTGAAGCAGTTAGGCTTAAGCACGCGTGGGTTCATGTCGTCCTCGAAGTGGCGGTAGTTCATGGGTAGGCGGAGGCAGTTCAGGCCATTGGAAGCGAAGAACTCAGCGTCCTGGTCCGTGAAGAAGTACTCCAGGAATTTGTCGAAGAAATGGTCTGCTTTGTCCTGGCCGAGCACTTTGGCCATTGACGCTCGATGCTCAGACTCGTGGCCGGGGTAGCCAGTGATGAAGCTGACGGAGCCATCGTCAGTCGTGTTGCCGTCCATACCGAGGGGTGAGGGTCATACTTCTCCATATTCATCCTGCGATATGTTAGCAGGTGCTGCTTAGTTTTGATACGAGACTACTGACCATCCTCCCAAGGCCGAACCACGCAATATGATGGGCTTGCCATCGTTGCCGACGACCTTGTCGCCTTCGACCTTCAGTATTCCTGTTGCCATGTTCGGGTTATCACAAAGATCCCAATCAACATGGGAGAATCTGATTGAATTTAGAAGTAGACGAAGAAATTGTGCGTATACTTATCAGCAGGCCGGCAGATGAACTACCTGTCAATGGCTATCCTCCTCCATAGCGGGCTCCACTACAAGTTCGTCTGACGAAGGAGTAGCCAGCATTTAGCCTAATGGTCGAGTTTTGACTGCATACCATCTCCGTTCGGCGACGAAACTAACCATCACTGACGATGTCTGTTCACCATTCGTGACGTTATAGAAGATTGCTATGGAGAATACATGTAGGTCGGTAGGATCCGTTGGAGTATAGCAGGCAGGAAAGGAGGAGGTTGAAATAGGCGCAACTGCCACGCCCTCGACGTCAGCCGTTGAGTTTGGCTTTGGTGCACGTGTTAATCCTGATCTCTCTCCACCAAACTCTACTGTAACTCTAAGTACACTGTCGTACCAAAGTCAGGACGAACACACCGACGCACTCGAGAGCGTTGCATGTCTTTGACTGTGATCGACACCTCTTCTAGCTGAAACGCGTCGGCGCATACCATCTCCGCATAACATGCATCTGGGGGTGCCATGAGTCGCCTCCCACCAGACTCGTACACTGCTCGCCGGCTCGAGCATGCGACCCCAGAGCACCTGCACCTCACCACACGCCGAACCTTCATCGGACCCATACCGGAAGGATGGCTGAACAGCCACCGGAAGCAATGGTACAGATACTACGTCAAGCAAGGCGGCAACCGGGCGCCGACCTTCACAGCAGCGCCGACTGTAGACGCAGGCGATGACACGACTGGACATGCTGACGAGGTACTGCACGAAGAGGTACCAAGGCCCTCGAGTCAGAGTACCGACACCCACCAGACACAGCAGACCGACACTGGAACGGGTCCAGCAACGACGAGCAGCACGAGTCTGCTACGGAGTCAGCGCAACAGCGCGCTGGATACCGCCAGCGAGCGCTACCAGGATGCGCCCACAACCCAGAGCACATCCTTCGCGGAAGAGCACGAGGCTAGCGTCGAGTCGGTACAACGAGATGGAGGCATGCAGCAGCGGCCAAGCGATTTTCTGAATCCGAGAAGGGTGTCCAGCAAGGTACAAGCGCCGAAGGTGCGCTTCAGTGAGGCCTCGAAGTTACAGCTGCGGAGCCGAGCGCAACGAATCGCCGCAAAGGGCAACTTCAGAATGAGCAAGATCAAGCCGGGCGAGCTGATGAAGATGGACAAGATGCTTGTGAGGATCGACATCACGCAACAGACAATCAGAGAGGACTACGACGAGAGGGTCAGTCTGGGAGTGGAAACAAAGTCGATGGACAAGTGGCGAGAATTCATGGTGACTTGTCGAAAGCATGAGCAGGGTGCTGTGCTGCAGCTCTACCAAACACGCGTGATCGCGTCGACTGCGGACAAGACGAAGCAGAAGCCAAAAGCCCAGATCATCATGAGCCAATACCGAGCCAAAGTCAACATGTTTTCGAGCCTTGACAAGACGCTCTGTATCTGGACTCAGGAGAAGAATCGGACCTACATCTACTTCTTGCGGCCTCAATCTGGGGCGGCGGCAGTCGAGTGGTATACATTCCTGCGATCTGTGCTTGGACTAGGACGGCCGAGGTCACTGCAGGTCAACGTTCCTGATCTGGGTGTGAGCTTGCGTCTTGATGACCCTTTCAAGACATTGGAGACTTCAGAAGTGCTCAAGGAGGCCGCTGCAGGAAACGAGGAAGCCATCGCGAAGGCCGTGTCGGATGAGCAAGGAGCCGCGGGTGCCATTGTAGCGCGCTGTATTGATATGCTCAGGCAGTCGCAGCAATGGACAGACGTTATCGAATCATGGACGAAGAACGACCGCATTGGCTTGGCCTGGAAGCGGTACGATCGTCTGGAGTGGATTCACGGTGCAGTCGAGCAGAAGATGTATGGTACGATCGCCATGCAACGAACTCACGACTTGGAGCTGCGCCCGAAAGACCACTATCCGCTTCAAGCCAAGACGAAGAAGGGCAACACTGTTGAGGAGCCAACACCCGTTGAAGGCTTCTTGGTCCGTTTGACCTCGCAGCAGGGGCACGCAAAGCGCATGGGCAGAATGCAATTCAAGCGACTCTACTTCACCACGCAGAACCAGTATATGGTCTTCCTGCGACCGGCGCGAGCGAAGCCGCCTCCACCTCCTAGAATGAGGCCGAGGGATGGTGGCAATGCGCCATCGAAGCAGCAGCTCATCAACGACACGCCACTCTACTACGACGTCGAGCCATTTCCGCTTGACGACGAAGGACGAGTGGCTTGGCTCGACACAGAAGGCATAAAGTCTACCGCTCAGCTGGCGACTCACGATCAAGAAGCCGCTATCGAAGCCGATCGGAACACTGATATGCTGATGGCCTGCGACGGCTTCATCGACATGGTCGACATCAAACGCGTACGCAAGTTCCACAAAGGCGCCACCCCTCTCGATGAAAACCTCGATTCGGGCTCCGACGTCGACTTCCAAGACGCCACCTCCAATCGCACCGCTAACGATGGCAGCACAAGCGAATTAGATGAAGACCGCACGTTCGAGCTACTGCTCACAAACGGGCTCGTCATCCGCCTGCAGGCCTACAATCAGCAGTCCAGCATCGTTTGGATGTCCCGGCTGCGCAAATTAGTCAAGTACTGGCATCACCGCGCGAAGGAGGACATGGACCTCTACAAATCCGTCCGTGAGCAGAACCTGCAAGCCCTCCAGATCGATGAGCGCGCCGAGGCGCAAGTCGGCAGCTTCGCGTACAAATGGGAAGTCAGCCAATCCTACGCTTCACCCATTATGTACAACCTCTGCGGCATCTCCTCCTGCCGCTCCATCCACATGAGCGGTCTGCTCTTCCGCAAACCCCGCCGGCACGCTACGTTCACACGATGCTACGTCATCCTCTCCGCCGGCCACCTGCTCATCTTCCAAGACACACTCCGTAAAAGCGGCACCGGGCAGAAACTCGTGCAAATCCACCACGAGCGCCTCGGCAGCGTGGACCTCAAAGGCTGCTACCTCTACTCCGGCCTCTTGACAGAAAACGACCTGCTCTACCAAAATCAGACCTTCGACTCCAACGCCCCCGGCCACCACGCCTTACCACGCATCTACCTCGAGGACGGCTGGACGAGCACGGACGAGGACGCAATGACGTGTTTTGTCCTCTGGCATGCTAAGAGCAAGTCCTGGTTCCGCAGCTCTCATCTCGTCGACGATGTGCGTTCGAATGAGCGCAAGCGGGGTCTTAACCCCGAAGATGGGCAGGCGGGAGGTGGGACGAGGGCGCAGACGAAGACGAAGATGACAAGGGTGAGTCAGTTGGGGGTGACGGGGCGGAGTGTGGTGTTTAAGGCGAGGAGTCGGGCGGAGAGGGATCGGTGGGTGTTGGCGATTCAGGTGGAGATTGAGCGGTTGGCGGCGCAGGGGGAGGAGGTGAGGTTGGATGAGTGAACGGGGAAGTGTAAGTACAAAAACTAATGAGCGAGGGTTGGGGTGGGTTTTGCGGTTCAGAGGAGGGTCTTTGGGTTGAACATTTGGCTTACGAGCGAGCGTGGGCGTTGAGAGGGCAGCACAAGAGATACCCGGCATTGGCTCATCCTTAAGCAGTGAGCATGGGTATCGGGTGGGCATTGCATATGTGATATAATTTATTCTTATTGCATACTTGGATCGACGGCATACATAGCAAATACCGAAACAGCGCTGTAGCAACAGTTTGGCATTCGCCATAGCATGGTCGTTCACAGTCATGCATCTATCATCAACATCAACTCCAAGCCACTTCCATCTTCTACTTCTTTCCAGTATCCTCCTTCAAGCTCACGATCCTGTTAATCACAACCTTCTCGCCCTCGCTATCCGTATCCAGCGCAAAGAATGCAGTGCGCAGCCCCTGAAACCTCACACAACTCGGGTGTCCCGCGCCATCCTTCTTCGCCTCCCCTTCCTCCTTCGGCCAAGGAGCATTCTTGCGCACGTACTCAAAGCCGCACTCGATCATCGCATCTGAGTATATGATCTCAGACTCGGGATTCACGTTGTCGTAGTATCCGCCGTTCTTCCAGTCTAGTTCATTAGGCTTGGAAGTCTTGAAGAGCGGGTTGAAGATCCGTGCTTCAGCGCGTACAGGGCTGTGGTGGGCGGGTGATTCGGCAACCCAGTGGATGCGGGCGCGGCCGGCGGGGACGTGGGAGCCGTATTCGGCGTCTATGGAGGTGACTTTGCCGGTGGAGGAATCTTTGTGGAAGGTTGTGCAGGAGATCGGGTGCTCAGCATGCAGTAAGCCGACGCTCTGGCCGGGTGAGAGGCGGAAGAAATCAGGATCGTCGGAGTCGCGGAAGTCGGAGCGGTCGATGTAGATTGTTTTGGTGAAGGGGATGGTGTGGGTGCCCTTTTCAGGGTCTTTCGGGTCGAAGGGAACGGAGCGCTCTTCGAGATAGTCGTCCGGCAGGTTGGTGAAAGTGACTTGGATGGGGTCGAGCACAAGCATAAGCCGTGGAACGGTGCGTTCGAGGTACGTCCTGATGCAGGCGTCCAGAGTATGGATGGCGGTGTTGGAGATGGCTTTTGTGACGCCGAGATCAAGGACGAATTTCTTGAGTGCACCAGGAGGTACGCCTCGCCGTCGGAGGGCTACGAGGGTGAAGAGTCGGGGGTCGTCCCATGCGCGTACGACAGGTGGGATCTTTCTGCCGGTCGAGGTACCGTTGGCAACGGCTTTTGTTGCTTCAGCTGGTGTTTCAGTGTCCTCGTCGCCTTCTTCTTCAAGCTTGATCTCATCTATGCCATCTGCTGCCTCATCTGCAGGATCTGAAGGGGCAGTCTCGGCTCCGACCGTAGTGCCACCCACCAGCATGGCGATTCTTCGCTTTGACAGGATTGTGCCCTCCACATTTAGTCGTCCATACTCTCGCTGCATGGGCCCCTTTTCATCTGAAGCCGGCAGCTTGATATCGAGCGCCTCCAGCAGCCAGTTGTATGCTGGTCGTAATGTCTCGAACTCCACTGTGCACAGTGAATGCGAAATTTCCTCAAAGGAGTCGCACAAGCAGTGGGTGAACTCGTAGGTCGGGTATATTCTCCACTTGTCACCTGTCCTGTGGTGGTAGTTCTCATTCTTCACTCTGTATGCGGCCACGTCCCACAATGCCGGATTCTCAGCCAGGGATTTTATTCTCGCCTTCTCCTTCTTGACCTCTGCTGCATCCTCCTCTTGGACCTCATAATCTTCCGGCTTCGTACCCAGGTACTGCTTCATTCTTAGATGCGCCTCTCCAGCTTTGTACTTCCCATCCCTCATCGCTCTGAAGTCCTCCAGATTGTCCTCCACACTCCTGCTCCAGTGCTCGCAGACGCTTCTTGGCCCATGCTCTGCGCCGCCTCTTCTGCTCTTCACCTCTGCAGCCGAACAGCGGCACACATAAGCCTTTCCTCTCCGTGTCAGCTCCTCTGCCAGCTCGTACAAGCGATCGAAGTCGTCACTGGAATAAGTGATCTTCGCCGGTCCAAAGCCAAGCCATTCCACCATGTCCCGGATGCTGGTGAAGAACTGTTCTTCTTCCTTTGCCGGATTGGTGTCATCGTACCTCAAGTTGCAGAGACCTCCATATGACCGAGCGAAGCCGAAGTTGACGGTGATCGCCTTCGCGTGACCGATATGGAGGTAGCCATTGGGTTCTGGGGGAAATCGGGTCTGCACTTTCTGGACCGGCTTCTCGTTGTAGACACCCTTGAGCCAGCCCTGCTTGAATGGGTCGGCGGGTTCGCGCTGGGTTGGAGCGGGTGCTGAGGCGGCGGACGATTTGGAGGCTTCTTTCTTCGCCTTTGCAGCGGCCTTTTTGGCTTCCTTCTCCGCAGCGCGCTTGGAGATCTTGGGTGTGCCGTCTGGGTTGGTAGTTTCGGAATCTGCCATGTTGCAAGATAGTTGTCGTGGTGCTGGGGTGATCGTCCGTCGCTTTGTGTTTGACCAGGCCAGGTGTCGGTGCGTTTGACTCATTCGAACATTGGATGTCGTCGAAAAGCGCCTCGGCTAACCTTCTTCTCTTGGACACCCCACGTGGGCCCCGCGCTAGCGGCCCGTTTCAGCCCTGCAGATAAGCTTAAAGCTCTAGATCTCTGTCGCCTTGCCTGATCTACGCCTCCATTCACGTATCTACCAGCCTTTTCAATCTTGAGAGCGGAGACGGTCGACATAAGAAGGCCGCATGCCCCTTCTCGCTCGCCTCTTCGCCAGACCTTTCTCCGCCAGCAAGCGCACAATCATGGCGACAACACCGCTCTCCCAGATCCCAACCCTCACAGAGCTCTATCGAGACAACCACCTCCACCCCACCGATCAGCCGCTGTTCGAAAAGGCTACCAGCAAATTCAACGACCGCATCGCTCTGATACGGACCGATATCACCAAGCTCGAAACAGACGCCATCGTGAATGCAGCAAACGAATCCCTCCTCGGCGGCGGAGGCGTAGATGGGGTGGGTACTTACTATTGGCGTGGCTGCATATACCGCCTTACTGACGAGAGTCCCCAGGCTATCCACCGCGCTGCCGGTTCTCAGCTCCTTGACGAATGTGCGAAACTTGATGGGTGTGATACTGGCTCCGCTAAGATCACGAACGCCTACCGCCTGCCCTGCAAAAAGGTGATTCATGCGGTTGGACCGGTCTATTCGCGGGCGAAGCGGGAAGAGATGCATACGAAGTTATTGCAGGGATGCTACACCACGTCACTAGATCTGGCGGCTGAGAATCATTGCAAGAGTCTGGCGTTCAGTGCGTTGAGCACGGGCATCTATGGCTACCCAAGTCAAGAAGCGGCAGAGGCGGCGATTGGAGCGGTGAAAGGGTGGTTGGAGGCGGACGATGAGAAGGCAAGAAATATCGAGAAGGTGGTGTTTTGTTCGTTTATGGAGAAGGACCAGAAGGCCTACGAGGAGCTGTTACCGTGAGTTGTCTCCCAAGACGTCACAAGCCAGATTGATGCTAACAGAAACACAGGAGGTTCTTCCCAACCGCTGCCGAGGGGAAGGATAATGCCGCCCCAGCAGCCGGTGAGACCAAGGAAGCAGTCGCGAGCAGCAAGAAGGCCGACGGTGAGAGCGAAAAGCTGCCAGATCTACCGGATGTGCCCACGCAAGAACCAGCAACGGCCGGGCAGCCGGAAGCGAAGAAGGTGAAGCTCGATCACGATGTGACCGACGACAGCAAGGGTACATGACCGGAGGTCAAGCACAGCACACGATCGCGATGTTGGTGATTTGCTTGGGTAGCGCAGGAGTTCAGGCGTTCATGAGACGATGGGAAGGTGCAGGGGAAGCATTTTTTAGTGGGCATTTGCACTGCATGATACCCACTCGATGCATTTTTACGATGAGAAGCGAAAAAGACACTTCACTGGATATCTACCACGCTCGCCTGCGCCTGCGGTAGTGCTAGCTTGACTGAGGCTTGGCGTGCATTTCACCTCACCCGTGCTCTTCAACTTCAACTGACCGAATTCTCCTCATTCTACGTACCTTAGCATGCTCCAAACAGGATGGCCCATTTCCCAAAGCCTTCTTCTTATTGCGCTATAGAGCTGTACCTCGAAAACACAATGGCGCTCGCAGCGCACATCAACGGCTGCTGATAGGCGCCACCTCAGCCTGATCCGACAACAGTAGGTACATGTACGTTGCTACACCTGCTCAGCCTTGCTCGACCTTTCCGCATCTTCATTTCCCATTTTCTTTCTGCGACTGCCTACGTCTATCCCAATCCAGCTCTACCTCTCCTCTCCGCGTACTCCAACTTGATGCCACGACGATCAACATGGCTTCTACTACAACATCCCCTCGATCAGAGCACAGGACTGCCGGCGACGACCATAGCTCAACTGAGGAAGAAGAAGGGCCACTGCCGCCATTGCTGACCGAAGAGCAGCGGGCGATCCAGGCTCAGAAGATCTACTCCAAAATCGCAGATTGGGAAACTCGCATCCTCTTCCTGTTGCCGGGCGAGGACGAGCCTTTGCGAGCGACCCAGCGTCCTGCTGCACTAACCTATAAGGGAGGCGTTGGCGTATAAGGTGTACATGGTCCCACTAGCTATGAGGCGCTCTCCTACGCCTTGGGTGTGCCGGAATACACACGTGCTATTACCGTCAACGATGTTCCGTTTACTATCACGGAGAGCCTGCACGGAGCACTTTCCCATCTTCGCTCCAACACAGAAAAGCGCCTGATTTGGCCAGATGGTTTGTGTGTGAACCAGCTCGATCCAGAGGAAAAGTTTATCCAAGTTGGTCACATGTACAAAATATATTGCTCGGCGAAAGAGGTCATTGTCTGGCTTGGCTGTGCGGGCCCGTACACGCACTCAGCATACCACCTTCTTTGGGACCTCTCCTATGCTGTTAGTCTTACGACTGTGCGGTTCTCGGGTCATTCAGTGATTCAAGATTACCTCGCGGAGCATCCCGAATATGACATACTGGAGAATGTCCTCGGAATCCAAGACCTGCTTCTCAGACCATGGCATCGACGGATCTGGGTTATGCAAGAGGTTCACGCGGCAGTTTCGGTCAGCGTTCATATCGGAGATGATGTTTTGGGCTAGGACCAATTACATATGCTGTCTCCTTGCTGGCATGCTCTGTCCTCGCTCCATCTTCGGGCCGTTTCGTATGCCTCCAGCGTTTCGTTGCAGCCTCCAGCATTAGCTTCCGCCCGCCTGGCCCTTCAGACTCTATACGATGTCAAAAAAAGGCCGCTTTCTCCGAAATGGCAACATTTCGGCCAAGGGTCGCACATGTTGTCTTTAATAAGCGAAAGCTACTACTCCAGTGCCTCGGATCCGAGAGACAAGGTATATGCTCTGTTGGGAACCCTTGGTGAGTCTTTGTGCTCCAGTCTTTGTGCTCCAGTCTCGACTTCTCGTTTCAGTTTATCGAGATCTAACTTGATTGCACCCTAGGACAGAAAGAATCCACCGCAATTGCAGACGATGTTCGATACACCATGGACGTACACGTTGACTACAAGTCCTCAGTATCCAAGATATACAGTGCCATAATCCTGTTAATCATGAATGAACGGCAGAACTTCACGCTACTAGCAGAGTTCAAAGAACCAGCTATTGGTATCGGACGTGAGGCCAGCGATATTACTGACGAGCTTCCTTCCTTCGTGCCGGATCTCCGTCGAATTGACGGCCAGTCAGATTCTAGCATTGCATTTCAAGATGGCTCACCTTGGTGGCGCATGAAACCGCCCAGATACGAAAAAATCGGGTGTTTGCCACCATCGCGTTGGTCTTATCAAGCAGGACGGACTCTGAAAATGGGCGCCGTGCGCATGGCAAATGTCAACGCTGTCCTGAGCGTAACGAGGGGGACAGAATGGATTCCCGCGCTCTTCTCCGCCACCTTTGCTCTGCATGCTGACTGTACCTTCCACCCCGCATTACTAGACTGTTTGAAAAGGGCGGCGTCCCCAAACTCTGGAGACGAATTCATGATTCTGGACGGGCGGAAGGAACGCCCGTTACATCTCGACACCACGGATGACAGTGACAAGTCGTCATCGACTCTAATCACGAGAGAATCACCCTTCAAGCAGGAGGCGTCTCAGCTTTTTGACAGCGATCTCCTGCCGAGTTGGCTATGTGAAGAGATCGAGTGGCGTGTCCCAAAGTCGACAAGGTCAGGTGATGTACTCGTCGCCTGCGGGCCAGGGATGCTTTTGGTTTTGCGTCCAAGACTTACTGGCGGATGGTACTTCGTTGGCGCTTGCGAGGTGGTGTTTGTAGGCACGCCTGAGACACAACAGAAATATGCGTTCGGGGAACGGAGTGCTGAGCATGGCTTTTTGGGATTGACGCCCTTGCTCACTGACCTCTACACATATGTGAGGGATGATGAGATTGAGGAGTTCGAGATCTTCTAGCTCGTAATAGTCAATGCTATGGAGAATATTGGAACACCTTGCCTGCTACTCAAAAATTCTTGGCCAACTTCCGCCAATACGGTATTCCCTTCTCATTCTCACCACTCTCCTCCATCGCCCTCCTATCCTCCGGCACCATGCCCGTACTGTCCAAATCCGTTCGCCTGCCGTAGTCCAAATCAATCTCGTAGCTCCGCATATAGCGCGTCTTCTTCACGAATTTGAAGACAAAGTATATGATCGGAAACAGTGCCAGTAGAATGTATGCGTCCACGAACGTCCCGGCGTCGAAGGGTGAGAGCGTCGTCCAGCCTTGCACGAGCGCGAGGAAGCAGTTAGCAAAGACGCCGAAGTAGGCATTCCAAGGATACCAGAGGGACTTGAACGGCAGCTCCTCCCTCGTGCGTCCCTGCGTCTTCCACGCAGATCTGAAGCGTATGTGGATGAAGGATATACTCGCCCAGACGAGGAAAGTGCTGACACCAGACAGGTTGACGATGTAGCTGTACGCTTTGCTCGCACCGGTGGAGACGTTCATCATGCTCAGGGCGCCGACGGCGTTGGTGAGCAAGATCGCCCAGATAGGAACACCACGTTTGTCGGTCTTGCCCAGGAAGCGAGGCGCTTGGCCGTTCTGCGCCATGTACAGAACCGTGCGGCTGCCAATGTAGATACTGGAGTTGCAGGCACTTAGGCAGGTAAGGAAGATGAAGACGTTGATCAGATCGCTTCCGTGGCGGAAACCGGCGTTTTGTATGGCGACCGTCATTGGGCTTTGGAGGACCTTCGTTGTGCCGTTGATGAGATTCGGGGCGTCTGCTGGGCATGTCAGGCCAAAGAAGAAGGCGGATCCCATATAGATGAAGATGATGCGCCAGAAGACTTGCTTGATGGCTTGAGGAACAGCTTTTCCTGGGTTCCGAGTCTCGGTGGCAGCGATCGCAACGGATTCGACACCGGCGTAGAAGGTGCTGCAGAAAACGAAAACTGTGGCTACGCCCCTGAAGCCGTTCCCATTGAAAGCGCCCGGGTTGCGCCAGTAGGTGAAACCGAGCGCTTGGTCCTGGCCGATGATGCCGCCGGCCGCATACACGATGGCGAAGATGAAGAAAGCTGTAAGGCCGATCAGCTTCAACAGAGCCAGCCAGAATTCTGCTTCACCAAAAGCCGTTACGCCCAGTAGTTGGAAGGCTAAGAAGGCGGTCCAGAAGATCAGGAAGTAGCCCCATAGTGGCACTGTGTCGCTCCAGACCTGAAAGATGGAGCAAATGACGTTGTATTCGTTCGCGAGGACGAAGACCCAGATAAGGAAGTAGTTCCATCCGACCTGGAAGCAATTTGTTAGCATGGTTACCATCATTGATAGCGTAAGTCATGAGTATATACGCACCGCCACCGCAAACGCCTTATCAACCATCCTCTCGGCCAACGAAATGAAACTGCCGCCTCCAGGATACAGCGTAGTCATCTCGCCCAAGCTCTGCATAATACTGAACGCAATGATCCCAATGACCCCAAAGCCGATAAGTAACGAAGCCGGACCGCCATTACTGAGCGCGCCTCCCGAACCAACGAGCAGACCCGGTCCGATGATCCCAGCCAAAGCCATCATGGAAAGATGTCGATTCTTGAGCCCTCGTTTGACACCGCTGTCAGGATCGATGACGGTATTGTCGCCGACCGCAACATCTGCGGTGGGAGGTGGTGGCGAGGCATCTTCTTCGATGGTATCTGGGCTTTTGGCCTTGCGGGGGGAGAGGCCTAGCATCTTTCGTGTATGTTGAAGAGGAGGTAGAAGAGAAAATGGAGCTGAAGTACCTACATGATGATGGCGTTGAGGTCCAGACGATCCACTTTATCTTTTCCGCGTGGTAGTCGTTAGACTAAGTTCTGCAGAGTTTGTCGATCCGGAGCACGTTATCACCACGCGCACTTGGCATTGCTGCCGCAGTCTGATAATAATGCAGCTAACAGAGACGGTGCTACGGCGCATGATCAGGACAGGCGTGGAGGAGACGGGACAGCAAGCCGCGAAGCATTCCTGGGGCTGGAGAAGGATTCGCAGAAGATAAGGAAGCAGAAGCTCACGAGCCGCGCGGGGCTAAGGGCTGCAGGCACTTGGGATTCTACGACAATGGGGTATTCCATAGCTAGGTGGGAAGTGACTCGCTATAGCTATTACTCGCACACTGCACACTCCAACAAGCATGCTCATATCAGATCTGCAGCCTTCGTCCTGACCTTCTTCGCCTTCACCGGCTTCACCACCCCATTCGCCTCTGCCTTCTTCGTAGCAATGCCATCCGCGTCCTTCAGCGCCGCTTTAGCAGCGACCTTCTGCTTCTGCAGTGCTTCCTTCCTCGCAGCCTTCTCTGCTCGCTCTGCGGCCTTCGCAACCTCATCCTCATCTTGCGCCTTCGCCTTAACCTTCTTCGCCGCTTTGACAGGAGGCTCGATCTGCTTGACTGAAGACTTTTCTATGCGCCTCATTTTACCGTCCGGCCCGGGCACTTCGATCACCTCAAGATTTGCCTCCGTGCCATTCGCAGCCTCCGCCAGAGCACTCGCCTTCCTCTTCTTACTCTTCTTGCCAGGATTCGCCGCAGGCGCCTCCTCGAGGACGTCTTTCTCATCCTCCCAGAGCTGGTCTGCCAGATAGAGAGGTAGTGCTGCAGTGTCAGGACCTTTCATATGAACCGCTCGTACATTGCGCCATTTCTGAGGCACGTACTTCTCCACCATCGCTTCCGTGACGGCTGTCACGTTTGCCTGAAGCTGCTCCGGCTCCATGCTCGACTTGCCCACTTTGACGGACGTAGTCGTACTTGGCGCTAGATGCACAAGCGTGGATGAAAGTGTCTTCTCAACCTCCTTGGCCACAGCCGCAGGCGTGACCTCCTCTTTTACTACCTTCGTCCCACCCTCGGCCAACTTTCGTCGCTTGTTACCCTGCTCGTCGAAGTTCTGCCTTTTGCCTTCCATCGTGATTGGAATAGGGCGCTTGCTACCGCCTCTGTAAAACACCTTGCCGAGCACCGTCGGCAAGAATGTCACGATCCGATCATCTGCCAGGAAGACATCGTACTCCCCCAACAGCTGCCTCCGCGATTCGTTTGACTTGTACTTCGCCTTCAGCTTCTCGAGTCCGATCACCCGTTTGATTCTCGTCGGGAGCTCAAGAGGGAAAGAAGGGTGCGCAATCAAGTCCTTGAATTTGCGCTGCGGGTCCGCGGTGATAAGACATATTCTTAACGTGGCATCTGAGGTGTCGAGGTATGGGTATGGGAGCGCGATTTTGCCCGGCTTCAAGCGCACCTTGTCGATGATGTGCTTCTTGGTGGTCAGAACTAGCCAAACTGGTATATCGTCTGCCGCTTCATTTTCATCGGCATCGGCGAGTAGGCTGGGCTTCTCTGCTGTTACGGTTTTGGTTGCTTGGTCTGATTGGATCTTTTTCAGAAGAGCGGTAGAGGCGCGGAGAGTCTGAGAGGGGTCGAGCTGTTGTGCGATGCCTGTCGAGGAGCGTGTTGTGAGGGCCATGACTGCGGTGTGGTGTTGTCGCAGCGGTCGAAGCTCCCAGTCGAACTTTTCCTCGAAAACTAGCACAAGCTTTCGGAGCTTCGGCGCCGGTTCAGCTAGCTTCGGCGCTAATGCAAGCTCTTCCGACGCGTCTCGCGAAGCAAGAACGCGTGCCCCTCTTGTCCAATATCCTCTTTAGATTCTCGCTTTACGTTCATACAACGACCACAAGCATTTCCACCCAATCTGTACCGCACTGAGAGTCTAAGTCGTCCACCATGTCCGGTCTCGACGACCGCCAACTGCGTGATGAGGCGGTACGGGACCGCATTCGAGCGGCAGAGGAGTTCTTAGATCCAAGTATGTATGATCAGGTCTTCGTACTATATCGTTTTAACATATCATAGACGACCCTCGAGCACGGAGCTACCGCGCCGATATCCTGCTCATGCTCAATCGCGGCTTCCGACGCCTCACAGTCAGCATAGACGAGATCAGATCGCATAGCAGAGAATTGGCAGATGGCCTACTGAACACCCCCTTCGACTACTCGCAAGCCTTCGACCGCGCGCTCAAGAACATTGTCAATACCCTGGGAAACCGACCTGCGCACGAGACAGCAGAGGAGACACTGTACTACTGCGCATACGTCGGCAGCTTCGGCCAGTATGCCTGCAATCCGCGGACGCTTTCGTCCCATCTCCTCAACCACATGGTCTCGCTGGAGGGCATTGTGACGAAATGCTCTCTTGTGCGACCAAAGGTGGTAAAGAGCGTGCATTGGAATGAGGCGAAGCATACTTTCCACTTCAGAGAGTACCGAGATCAGACTATGACGGCAAACGGAGCAGCGAGCACGAGTGTCTACCCGACAGTGGATGATGAGAACAACCCTTTGGTGACGGAATACGGATACTGCACGTACCGAGATCACCAGACAATCTCGATACAAGAAATGCCGGAGCGCGCACCAGCTGGACAGCTTCCCAGAGGAGTGGATGTGATAATGGACGATGACATGGTGGACAGAGTCAAACCTGGAGACCGGATACAGCTGGTTGGTATCTACAGATCTCTCGGCAACCGCAACGCTGGAACGGGCAGCGCCACGTTCAAGACGCTGATCCTTGCGAACAATGTCATACTCATGTCTTCTAAGTCGGGAGGCGGAATCGCTCAGGCGACCATCACAGACACCGACATTCGGAACATCAACAAGCTATCGAAGCAGCGGCGGATATTCGATCTGCTGTCACAGTCGCTTGCACCCAGTATCTACGGCCACAACTACATCAAGAAGGCGATCTTGCTCATGCTGCTGGGCGGTGTGGAGAAGAATCTTGACAACGGCACGCATCTTCGTGGTGACATCAATATTCTGATGGTTGGTGATCCTTCTACAGCAAAGTCGCAACTTCTGCGCTTCGTGCTGAATACTGCTCCTCTGGCCATCGCAACGACTGGCCGCGGATCTTCTGGCGTTGGTCTGACAGCAGCCGTTACCTCCGACAAAGAGACAGGCGAACGAAGACTGGAAGCCGGTGCTATGGTGCTTGCCGATAGAGGCGTGGTGTGCATTGATGAGTTCGACAAGATGTCCGACATTGATCGAGTGGCCATCCACGAAGTCATGGAGCAGCAGACCGTCACCATTGCAAAAGCCGGCATTCACACCTCGCTGAATGCCCGCTGTTCGGTCGTTGCGGCAGCAAATCCAATTTACGGCCAGTACGACACGCACAAAGATCCGCACAAGAACATCGCTCTTCCCGACTCGCTTCTCTCCCGTTTTGATCTGCTGTTCGTGGTAACAGACGACATTGAGGACGTACGAGACCGACACGTCTCCGAGCACGTCCTGCGAATGCACCGCTACCGCCAGCCAGGCACTGAAGAAGGCGCACCTGTTCGAGAGCAGCTCAATCAAACCCTCGGTGTCGGCCTTGAAGATGAAGCCAACGCCAATAAGCCAAGCGAAGTCTACGAGAAGTTCAACGAGATGCTGCACTCCGGTGTCACCATCACAGTCGGCCGTGGCGCCTCGAAACGAGTGGAAGTTCTCAGCATACCGTTCATCAAGAAGTACATCCAATACGCGAAGTCACGGATCAAGCCCGTCCTCACCAAGGGCGCCTCCGACCATATTGTTGCGGCTTACAGCGCGCTTCGAAACGACGAGATGGAAGGCAACCAGCGCAAGACTAGCCCCATGACCGCTCGTACGCTCGAGACGCTTATTCGTCTGGCTTCTGCGCACGCCAAAGCCCGCCTCTCGAACCGCGTGGAGGAGAAGGACGCCGAAGTTGCTGAAGGCGTCCTCCGCTTTGCTCTTTTCAAGGAAGTCGTCGAGGACGAACGGAAGCGGAAGAGAGCCAAGCGGACACCAAACCCTGACGCTATATCCTCAGACTCCGAATCCGACTCTGACGATGAAGATGGTGGAGGTGGAGCGTACAGGCCTGATGCTGGTAGACGGAGCTCGCAACGAACGCCTGGCCGGAGCACACGAGGCGCAGCCACCAACGGCGTCAATGGCAACGTTGCCGCAGGCGCCACCAACGGTGTCGAGGAGGAAGGAGACGATGAGCTTTACACCTCCACTCCCGCCCGGGCACCGCGCAGCAGCCAAGCCAACGGCACAGCCTCTCAACCCCCCGACCTCAGCCAGCTCTCCCTCGCCTCCTCGCAACCCGCTTCACAACTTCTCGGGTCCACGCAAACAGACACCCAGGACGCAGACGGCGAAGCCGACGCAGAAGGCGAAGAAGCAGAACCAGCTTCCCAATTCGGCACCATCTCCGCGGCGCGCCTGCAGACTTTCCAAACCGCCCTGGGCCAGATCATCAACGGCCCGCTGTTCCAGAACGACGTCGCGGACGTGGAGCCCTGTATCGCAGCGGTGAATTCGAGATTGAGGGGCGGGGAGGCGCGGTTTGAGGATCGCGAAGGCAGGGCGGCGTTGACGGAGTTGGATAAGAGGAATAAGATTATGTTTGCGGGGGGGATATTGTATAGGTTGTAGGTGCCAGGCGAAGGTCATGGCGCTGAGATGCGTGGCGTTTAGGAGAGAAGCTGGGTTGGGTATGGGATGAGGGTGATGTATTATGTAAGGATGCCGGGATATGCCATATTATGTTGATTGAGAAATGCTGTTTTGTGCACGTGCATGTCTTTCGACCATTGAGCGTCCCGGGTGTCTGTGTTGCAAAGTAGAGTCGGTTGTTGTGAAGCTACAGTAGTCCAGTACAGTATATCTACAGCATTTTCAGCAGCCATGTCACTCGACGCCGAGCCCCAATGCTTTGTCACCTTCCATGCTATGCACAACCCATATACGTACACGAAGCCATCCTCTTCCGATAGTAACACATCGCCTCTTAGAAATTGCACTTCTTAGCCTACGTGATCACTTCCCCAATGTCAACTATCTGACTCTTCCATTTCTTCCCCTCCCCTGCCTTGCCTTCGACCTCACTCGGCCGCATGATCTCCTCGGCCGGCGGGCTGTAGAGGTACCACGCCCTTAATGCAGCAGCCGCCGCTCTTACTCTGCCCTCGTTCAAGGACGCACCTGCGCCTTCGCCCAACTTATCATTCCCACTGAACACACCAACCACAAACACCGGCGTTCTGCTAAGTCGTCCAGTTTCGGAGATCAGGCGCGCGACTGGCGGTTCAAAACCTTCTCTTGCGCATAACCGGCTGAGATCTCGGGTGGGATGGGCGAAATTGAAAAGCGTGTGCAGTGGCAAGTGCCGGGATAGGACGTGTTCGGTGTGGAAGTGTTTGGCTGCCGGTGTGCCGGCGTGCAAGTACAGAGCGCCCGCAAGAGCACGCACGAAGGTTGCCGAGGCGGCTTCGAGGGTTGTTGCGGTGGGATCTTCGTAGGTCGGTTGGGCAGGGAGGTACCAGTCTGAAGGCGGAGGTCGGTGCTCAGAGCTGGTGTCTTGTGAGAAGAAGGGAGTCGTTTCGTCGGGACGGGAGATTGGGGCGCTGGGATAGGGTGATGTGTCATCGGAGGTGGAGACTGGGAGGGTGGTTTGCAGGTCGCCGAACTGGTCGTCGTAGACTATGCGGCTGCTCATCCCACGGCGGTAGTTGTGCTCTTCGTTGCGGCGGCCGGAGCCAACACGGCGGGCTTGCGGCATGTGTTTGATGCGCATTTGCTCGCCTTCAGCCATGGCATTGCCAGGTATTTGGCGCTTGAGCTGTAGTAGGCCAGGGTCGACCTCGGGGCCTGGTGCTGCTACGGCTTCAACGCCCCATTCGGCGCGCATGGCGGAGAGGGCTGAACTGCCCACGTAGGCGTACTGGGCCGCGAAAAGGATGGGCATTGGAAGTCGCGGGTATTTAGTCATGAGCCATTCTGCTGTGTAGTAGCCGAGTAGCTCTTGTCCAAGGATGGAGAGGGGCTCGTTGTTGTAGCCCGGTCGAGGGTCGACTGAGGGATCTACCAGACATCGAGCCAGCGTCTGCAAGGGCAGTTTAATGGGTAGTTGGAGGCGAGCGTGGAGCGCGGAGAGTTTGGCAGAGCGCAATGCCTCGCGATGTGATGGCGCATTGAGGTTTCCCGTGAATGGCTGATAGCTGTCGTCCTGTACTGTCTCCTCCACCGGTCGTGGCGCTGCCGCACTCGACGCTTCTCTTCTACTCGCGACGCATCTTCTTTGCCCTCTCCACTGATATTCAACGTGATAACTCCTCTCCTGCAAATGCCGTCGTGGATCTCGTCTCGTGTCATGCGAAAGGGGACAGCGTTGGGACCAGCATAACCGCGGTTCTCGAGGCGGGTGCAATTGGGAAGCCCATCGATCCAAGCGTATTCTCTTCATCGACCGGGAGGCTGTACACGCAGCGTGATGATGTTTCTCCTGGCTGCTCCGAAATTATGGATGTCGTCAAGAATTGCACGCGAGCAAGAACAACCCTAACTCTAAAACCCCCGAGAGCTCCGCTAGCACCTACCTCACCTCTTGCGCCGGCAGCGACAACAACTCCCCTCAAGCTCAGCGGCAAAGATGAGGATAACACAGGCACTGTGGAGTGGTGGCGGGAAGATTGCGTGAGTTTACAGTGGCTGGTACTTACTCTAAGGCGCAATGACTGATTCTCGTCTCTTGCAGGTATCCCAAACGTAAGGACCTCAAACCTACATACCACAGTGTCCGGCACGCTAATGTCACCCTCGAACAGACGTCTGGTCGCCAGCAGGAGGATGGTACTCGCAACCCGCAAACTGGAAGCAAAACACCGCAATCATGAGCGGAGTCATAGCAGGGATAGTTGCGATGGTGTGGAGTGTGAGCGCGGACAGGGAGCACAGGGACCATATGCCACCAGTACGGACAACCAGCACAAGTCGCGGAGGCGTGAGACTAACGTGTGTTGCAGCCCGACCGATTCTTCCCATCGCGATACTGGAGCCGAGAGATTAGGGAGCATGACAAGGCGCAAAGAGCACAGGCAGCGGAGAGCTCGTCATAATGCACGATATAGAGGTGTTGCGGTCCGCAATGGACAAATCGGACGAGGAGATTCTGTACACGTAAAAGATACCTGCTACTGCGCCGTTCAATCTCGCGAGGGCCTTTGAAGTCTGTCCTTTACCCTGCCAACCTACCATTCATGACTTCTCTCGACCCACGTCCAAGCAGAGGCTTAGTGTTGCAAGCAACCATATTCTTCGCCTGTGTTGAGTATTGCTCCATTGCATATACAGATGTGCTATACTACGGCGTTTACACAGTTTCCCCCGCATCCATCAGTGGCCGAGGTCGGTCGGACGCAGAAAGATTCAATGGCCCAGTCGCTTGTTTAATCTTTGTTGACTTCTTCACAACAGTGCATCATACAGACCATGCCACAGCCATACCTTCTGCATGTACACTCCCAGCCGACAACTATCGCACCTCAAGTCTACCACCAATGGTATCTCGAAGAACACATTCGCGATATGGTATACTTCAAAGTTATGAAGAACAGTGCGATATATCAGAGCACTAGCGACGCCTTACTGTCCAGTAACTCGAATGCCCAAAAGACCGACTCCATGCCATTTCTTGCTCTGTACCAGACTGCTCGAAGCAATTGTCTCGAGTCTGCAGAGTTCAAAAACAATGTGCGGGTAAGAAGCAGGCTGTGGGACCCAGACTTGAAGAAGCATCTGAGCGAGGTATGCGAGCACTCAACCCAGCAGTTAAAATTGGTCGAAGTGCTGGGCAGCTATGAATTCAACGAAGGTAATAAGCTTGATTGAATCTTCTGCCATTCGTTGCTGATCAATATGCTACAGACGTCGCCCCTCACGTAGTCCACATGCACTACTCCGGCCCCGACGTCGAAGGCAAGATCCAATTCGAGCACGTCAACGCTGTGTCGATTCTCGACGGCTATCGGAGAACGTTGCTCTACCGGCCAGCTGAGCAACCAGTGGAGGGTATGCAGGAAGTCTTCTTGGTCCACGAGTTTGAGACACTTGACCCAAGCAGTCTTCTGTACGTCAGACAGGCGATGGAGACGATCGAGCCGACGAATGACTGCCCATTCACGCTTCGCTCGTACACTCTTCTCGGTTGTGAAGGCTTCGGAGGTCAGTGCCGGGCGCCGGAACGACTGGAGCGCTGAGAGACTACTACCATCTCGACTATTGCCCTTTGATCTCTTTCAAACCCATCTTCACCCAGTCCCGGTAGTCCAGCGCCTTCCGACCAAGCAACATCTCAAGCACGTTAGGATTGCCGATGATCCCACGGCCGTTGTAATACATGAACATCCTGGCTGGCCCTTGCTTCATCAGGAAGTCCGCAGTTTCCGGCTTGCCACTGGTCATCATGGAATTGAAAGCCTTCACCCCGTCGTCGATCGGCTTCTGCTCAATGGAGAAGGGTTTGCCAATCTCTTCTGACACAATGGCGGCGATTTGAGTGTATGAGATCGGAGCTCGAGTCCCGACAAGCTGATAGGTGGCTGAGAAGTGCCTTTCCCGCTCGGCCAGGATCTTCGCTGCCGCTTCACCAACATCCCGCGTTGACACCGAGGTCGAGGGCACACTCGGATCCCAGAATAGTGGATGGCTCGCTTTCCCGTCCTTCTCCGCTTCCTCAACAATCTTAGCCAACGGCAACGTCTCCATAAGATGCGTCGGCTGAATGATCGTATGCGGCACGCCAGACTCGACCAGATACTCCTCGATATACCGCTTGGCATCATGGTTCATCATCTTCCTGAGAATCGGATGAATCACACTCGAATGCAGCAGATGTGTGAATGGTCCTCCATACTGCATGCTAGAGCGTGCGGCGTTGATCACGTTGATGCCGCATTGGGTCTCTTGGGGATGGAAGGCCGGTGTGACGAGGAAGCAGGCTGTGACACCTTGGAGCATAGTGTCGCAGGCATGTGGATCTGAGATGTCGTGTTGAGTCACGTCGGCACCTGGATATTGCTGCTTCAAGCGGTCTGCTGAGGCTTGGGACGCAACGTTTAAGCGGAGGTGTTTCCAAGTCCCAGTCAGATGGGGGAGCAGGCCGCGGGCTTGTTTGCCGGAGGCGGCGGTGATGAGGATAAGATCATTGTTGGTGTCGACGGACATGTTGATGACTTTGTAGAAAAGATGTGTGAAAGAGGCAAAGAGAACGTCCTTACGGTTTGATATATGATGATATGTGCCGTGACGTTCCGACTTCGTCAGGCCTGGTCTTTAAGCTGCTGCTGCGACAACGCGATTCAGTGCACTCCCTTGCAACGAGGATATCCAGAGTAAGCTCAGCAAGTCAATGACGAGTCCTGCTGTTATCGCTCCTGATACTGAAGCTGTTTGTAGAGTAAAACCGACATGAAGTGCTTGAAAGCGGTGGCCCGAGCGAGCCGAGCTGCACGTTTAGACTTCAGAGCAGTTTCCCTTTGAGCCGGACATCAACACATTGAACCTTCCATACATCAAAAGTCAACCCATCTCCTCTCTCGGTCTCTTCTCATACAACTCATCACAGTCGCCGCCATGTTCGCGACTCGCCACGTCACCCGCTCGGTCTTCGGCGCCGCCCAGCGCAGAGCGTTCTCCGCGACCGCTGCCAATGTGAGCTCCTTGAAACTTTCTAGCTATACCATTGACAATGAAGCATCTCCTGACAAGAACATCTACCTAGGCCACCAAAGTCGCCGTGCTCGGTTCTACCGGTGGTATTGGTCAACCACTCTCCCTCCTCCTGAAGCTCAACCCTAGAGTCAGCGAGCTCGCCCTGTACGACATTGTCGGTGGACCGGGTGTTGCAGCGGACATCTCTCACATCAACACCAAGAGCAATGTGAGTGGAGAAGAAGGCCTGGGTAATGGATGATGGCTGATGGACGTAACAGGTCAAAGGTTACGCCCCCGACGCGGCGGGCATCAAGGAGTGCTTGACTGGCGCCGAGATCGTGCTCATCCCAGCTGGTGTGCCACGAAAGCCTGGCATGACCCGTGATGGTAAGACGATATCAGTGTCAGGGAGAAGAGCTGCGCGTTGCTAATCCTGAATGTAGACCTCTTCAACACCAACGCCTCCATCGTCCGCGACCTCGCCAAGCACGCCGCTGAGAACTGCCCCGACGCCGCCATTCTCATCATCTCCAACCCAGTCAACAGCACCGTCCCCATCACTCGCGAGGTCTTCAAGAGCAAGGGTGTCTACAACCCCAAGAAGCTCTTCGGTGTCACCACCCTCGATGTCGTTCGCGCCTCGCGCTTCATCTCCCAGCTCAAGAACACCGACCCAGCGAACGAGAACATTGTTGTTGTCGGAGGCCACTCCGGTGCTACCATCGTCCCGCTCCTGAGCCAGTCCGGATACAGCTTGGAGGGCAAGCAGCTCGACGACTACGTGCACCGCGTGCAGTTCGGTGGTGACGAGGTCGTGCAGGCGAAGGACGGCAAGGGCTCTGCCACGCTCTCCATGGCCATGGCTGGCGCGCGCTTCGCCGAGTCGCTGCTCAAGGCCGCGCAGGGCCAGAAGGGCGTCATTGAGCCCACGTTCGTGGAGTCGGACCTCTTCAAGGACCAGGGCTGCGACTTCTTCGCGTCGAACGTCACGCTCGGCCCGAACGGTGTTGAGGAGATCCACCCGGTTGGCAAGATCACCGAGTTCGAGCAAGGCTTGCTCGATAAGTGTGTGTCGGACCTGAAGGGCAACATCTCCAAAGGTGTTGAGTGGGCCAAGGCCAACCCGTAAGATGGGGCATGAGAGTGAGGGAGAGGAGAGTGTAGTGTAACATGAGCTAGAGGAGCGATGGCTGGGCTGGGTATGTGGTTGTGTAGAATAGTACCAAATACATTCGAGCTCTGGCAATACTTTCACACATCCAGTATTGTTCGTGGGATGTCTCAACCATTATTTCCAGTGGAGACGCTGACCTCTCCTGACCGTGACAGATTACTGACCTACGTGTCAAAGCCTGACCTGCAGTCTTGCGATGCTTGTAATAAAGTCACAAGCCTAAGGTAACATTCAGGTGCTGTGCTGTTCGGTCGACGTTGCTTGCCAGCAGTGATCAGCACGTGCGGCTGAAAATTCCCGTCTGGGGAAGTGAATGCAGGGCAAAATTTCACTTTCGACTTCATCTCGTCTCACGAAAACCATTCCAGTCCGCTCTTGACGGCATACTCCTCGAACGGAGGACGAAGACTGTGAAAGGGTGCGGCCGTTGGCATGCGCCATACGCCCATGCATTTCTCCCGGATGTTGTGGCCCTTGAGCGGATGAAAAACACTTCTCCAAACGACTGGATAGTCTCGCGGTCCACTGGACACAATAAGGCCAATATCCAAGGCATCTCACCTACAGAACCCCACTGTGAGCTGGCGAGTGATGACCAGCATGAGGTTGTACTGGCTTTCCAGACCATCGAACTGACCAGGAGCGGCCGTGGGCTTTCCAGCTGCGGCTCAGGACAAGCAGCTGTTGACCGTGAAACATTGTTGGAGCAGGCCTCGTGCACCTACTGGAGTACTCGATGACTGGAGTTCATTTCATGTCCTTCGGGCTGTGACAAAGTGCTGGTACTAGGATGCCGGACGAGGTATCATTTGGTACGACCGGAAAGCTCTAGCCCTTGGACCCAGGAGTAATCGGCCCTTCGTTCTGTAACGAGCAACGCTGCCACTTAAGATGGTCGTCTTAACCAAGACCACGACGGTGATGCTGGAGGCGCCTCTTTCCTGGATGCCGCGCGCGAGACCACGTCCCGGCCGTCGAGAAGACCCAGCAACAGGTTATGCGGGCGGTATGCGGCATATCGAAAGCAAAAGCTATCTGTCGCCGGACGCTGATGACCCCTGGTGTTGATGCCGAGCTCATCCTACCCTGCTGGTCACCGATGTGTGTCGGAACATGATAAGAAGCGAAGAGGAGACCACCAGAAGAAGTGATGTCGCCAGAGCGATCCCCCTCCACCGGCTCAAACTCGGCGGTGCGAAGCACAATATAAATGTATTTCACAAAGTGTTTTGTCATCAGCAGGGTCACAGGCCGGGCGTTGCTATTCAATAGCTTCTTGTCAATGGTGAACCCTTCCCCGTGGACCGCCGAACCGAACGATCGACCGAATCTCAATCAAATTTCGACTGAGGTGAGGCCGGGCGTTGCTTACCCGTTAAGCTTCTGGTCAATGGTAACCTCCCGACTTCAATCAAATCTTCGACTGAGGTGAGGCCGGGCGTTGCTTGTCCATCGAGCTTCTGGTCAATGGTAGCCTCCCGACTCATTAACGAACCGATTCGATTCCCGCACTCGAAACGGAAGAACCCACCGATTCGAGTGTTTCGACAACAACGATCGACAGAGATGTAGCCTGCCCGGGGGTGAACTCTTTTGATGTTCTGCTGTATTATTTTTCATTGTTTTTCGGCAACGGAGTAGTATACCCGACTTCCAACAGTCGAGTTTCTCTTTTGTCTTTTCCCCCCCTCTAATCTGGACATCGGGAGGTTGGATCGATACCACTCCGCTCCGACAGCGGATGTAGCCAATCGTGACGAACGGTAAGCTCTTTTGGTGCTCTACTGATCTGGAGGGTGTGATGATAGAATTGGGTGTTCGACAAGGAGCGCCGTCTTTCCAGTACGACTTCACGGTGAGTACATTTTTGCCATTCAAGCGCTGCTTGCCTTCCTCAAAAGCTACATCTTCCACGGCCATAGCAACTGACAACTGTTGGTCTGTTCGCAAAAACTGGCATGTACGGTGCTGCGAGCGTGACAGGCGGCACAACGTCCTTGACAAGCTTGAGCTGAATCGAGTTTGTCAAAATCCACAGATTGGGAGGCTCTCGCTGTCACTGGCGGTGCATAAGCAGATTCCACCGTCAACTGTATACAATAGTTCCCCGCCGGGCATCACAAAGCAGTCGCAGTGTTCACGCTCCCTAGTTCGCCACTCGAGAAGGTATCTCTTCAAGTAAACACGACGGGGCGAATGCGAATTGCAACAATACACGGAAATCAATCAAGAGAGTAATGGTAAGTGAGATACCCCATTTGCTTGTAATTCTGCACACCTCTGCGTCGGTCAAATGAGTCCATTCTTGAATGTCTAGACGTCGTCTTCTACTTCTTCTTTGTTGCCAAAACCATTTGTAGTTCATCGACAATGTTGCGGGAGGATCTAGAGATCCTTGAGGAAGCCATTCTGTATATAGGCACCAACGACATCCATCTGAGCCGCCTTTTTCTGCGAAACCAACATTATGGTGAGACGGCCAACGACTGCATGCATGTTTATATCGTTCGTTGCGAGTATGAGATCAGCTGAGCGAGATTTGATGATAAGATACCGACAGTAGAAGACGTTATAATGCTGGCCACTCTGAATGATCGGCAGACGAGCACCGTTACTCTCCTCTTGCAACAGATGGACGCTCATCCTGGGCATGTTAGCATGTTGTAGAACGATGGATGTGTGACTATCCGTAGATCATAATCCCCACACTTGTTTCACAGCATTTGACCCGATGTGGCACTGTGAGACAGCACGCTCCCACCGTGCCAATGCCAGCTCGTCGGATCAACATTGTAGCTCCATGTGCGTGCCAGGTGCCTGATAATATTTTCCCAGGTGAAACGTAGTGGTTGTGGTTGTTGTTCATGTTCCTGGCATCGGAAAATATACTTTACGATATACTTTCCACCCCGTGTCGAGGGCGCTAGGAACTAGCCGAGACGCATCGTTTCAGTCCCCTGCTTTGCGACTGGCACCCGTGCTCTTTGCCCGCATCGCCTAACCTATACCTTCTCGCCGTGCCGCTCTGCCTCGTCTCCGCCGTGATGGACGTCGTGTGGAGGTGGCAGCAGGATTAGCGGTCGCCGGCGGTGTGAGAAGCACATTATACCACGCACGTTGTACACGACCCATTGCCCCGTCGACCAACCCAAGGCTTTGTGGAGAGCCGGCCACGAGTCCACGTACGACCATCATATTTCCCGGCGGAGAATCCTCATCAGCGCTTCGTGTCGACAAGGCGCAAGATGGCCGAAGTCGAGACGCCGTATTACGATCCGGCCGACACGGATGAAGCGATGTATGTTGGATGAGGACCTCCTGCGGATCGCATCACTAATATCACTCCAGATATCCGTGCAAAGGATGCAACGAGATCCTGGAAGAGGGCAAGGCGTTCGTGAGTACAAGCTGTAGGGAGGTATACGACTGGACGTGGACTAAGGAGAATTACAGGAGCTGGCAGGATCTCGTTGGCACATCGATTGTTTCCGCTGTAATACGTGCGGTAGGGATGACATGATCGCGTGATGGCGACGAGTACTGACAGGATCCAGGGACACTACTCGACTCCGACGCAAACCTCTTACTACTAGGCGATGGCTCTCTCATTTGCAACAATTGCACCTACAGCTGCAACGCATGCGGCAACAAAATCGAAGACCTCGCCATCCTCACCGGAGACCAAGCGTTCTGCAGCGCCTGCTTTCGATGTCGCAATTGCAAGAAGAAGATTGAGAACCTGCGTTATGCGCGCACGTCGCAAGGCATATTTTGTATGAGCTGTCATGAAGCGCTTATGGCGAGGAGACGAAAAAGGACAAAAACAAGCTCAAAGGCAGCTACAAACAGCACGGCGCAAGTCAAAGAGAAAGCTCTGCCTTCTCTGCCTCCTGGCGCTGTGCCACCCGCCGCTTTCACGCCAGACGCAGAGACGCCGCCCTTGGATTCGCAGACAAGCACGCCAGGTGTACGCTCGCCACCAGAGAGGATGCAAAGTCGAAGAGATGCGCCATCAAACAACCTGAAGCGGGATGTGTCACCTCTGTCAGACGACGCGCGCAGAGGTGGGTTCACATGCGCCCCATGGCTGAAACAATTGACAGTTGCTGACGTGACGATAGACGGACCTACTCTACCTGCGAGCACGTACAAAAGTACCAGACAATCGAATCTATCACGAGAATCCTTCGATGACGACGAGCAAGGCTTTCTTACAATGGCTTTCGATCCGAGCCCCATCCCTGGGCCGCCACCGACGATTGCGAGGAAGGAGGTCCCGCGACCACAGGACCCATCGCCGCCTGCGCAGCTCGACGCGCGTTCTCGAGATTACTTCGGTAGCATGGGTAGCAAGCCGAGCGGGAGAGAAATGCTGAAGGAAGACGTGCGCCCGGGCTCATCACGGTCGGTGTCCACTGAGCGAGAAAGAGATCGGAATAGCGCACAAGCAAAAGCGAGCCCGCATATACTCTCGCAGGCGAAGGGGGCACCTAGGAGACGAGAAGTGTCTGGGAGCAATACCCCAGCATCTGGATCTGCGGTCGTTTCACCATTGCTTGCTCAAGACCGCGACGACCGCCTCAAAGCCCAATCTGCCGAATCGAGTAGCCTCGCCGTGAATCACAACAATGGCTTCAAGCTGCAGGAGGCTCCAAAGACAAGGAGGACAGGATCGAGAACTAGCTCTCAAGTCGACGGCAGATCACCGGCACTCAGCTCAGAAAGATACTCGCCAGCATCATTCTCGCCTAGGGGAGTCGATGAGAACGACAGAGTTATATCGCAATCACCCGCATCGCAGGACTCAGGCGTCAACCCCTTCGATGATCCAAAGCGGAAAGAGACTGGTGGCTCCAGCACCTCTTCTGCACCTTCCAAGCAGCCACCTCTTCCAGTCCGTGGGGACTCGCTCGTTCCCGGAGGTCGTAGAAGCAAGCCAATGAGTCCAGAGACCAATGCGCCAACGTTCAGCTCCGCACCTTCGCAGACATCGCATGAGAGGACGGCCTCTCTCTCTTCCGCGCACTCTGTGTTCGCAGATGCCCAAAGCACGTTTTCTGGTGCAGACAGCCGCAGCAAGCCCGCTGACTCGCCATCGGCGCGTACTAGCTTTGACGCGCCGCCACCGCGAGCATCGAGTCGAACTGCACCTGTCATGGCCGCCCCGACTGAAGAGTCCTTCACGGCGCCACGGCCGCCTCCCCCTGCCCCTGCAGCACCATTGCACCGGACGACTGAGTCTATCGGTACGATGCACAGCAGTGAGATTGCCCAGGATGTACCCATATCGCCATCATTGCGGAGTGCTGGTCTGCCGAAGCAGAGCCTGGATAAGCCGTTCTCCATGGAAGAAGACATGGCACGCATTTTACGTGGCGACGCGCGCCGAAGCAACGAGCCATCAGCGTCAGTCCTCCGCAAAGTTTCGAATGCTGTGAAGCACGGAAGGAGCTTCAGCGACAGAGGTTTGCATTCTGCTGGAAAGTCTTCATCGACTGGAAATGTTGAGATCAGCTCTCCAATGACGATAAGCAGTCCTATGCTGTCATCGCCCCGGAGTAAAGACAGCAACGATCAGCTGGCAGCACAGTTGCGACGCGCACAGCAAAAGATCGTGGAGCTAGAATCGGAAGTCAATCGCCTGGAAAGCCAAGTGAACAGCTCAGCTGATATCAAAGCCGCGGACAATGAGATTAAAGAGAAGCGAGGCACTATGATCTTCTTGGACAGTCAACGAGAGATGGTGGTTCGCGAGCTGGAGGTCATGACCGAGCATCTCGCTCGCGCTAAGGCCAACAACAAACCTCTAGACCTGAATTCCCTGCAGAGCGAGGTGCTCCAAGACTTTGCCGAATCTCTTCACAAGCTCAAAGACCAGATGAGCCAACAGATCGAGGAGCTCATGAGCCGGCGCAACGAGCTCACAGACGAGATTGGCAACCTCATTCAGATGAAGGACAAGGGCTTCCAGGAGTACGAGATCCTGAGCAGCAAGAACGCACAGCTGGCCGAGATGAACAACAAGATCCTGCAGAACATCCAAGACATGTATAAATCGAATCGTGGAGCCAACGGAACTGCCCCGATGCCGAACGGACTTGGAATATACCATCCGGACGCCAGACCGAGTATCTCAGCCCCCTCAGAGGTTCGGCAGCTCAATATGACGACGACAGACTCTTCAATGCCGAATCTGCTACAGGAGAACGAGGCCGAACCAGCTACCATTTTGACCGCGCCGCAAGTCGTTAACATCCGCAAGGGACAGCCCAAAAAGTTCAACTGGCGCAAGGGAGGCGAGCGAGTGGCGAAGAATGTAACAAAAGGCATCAAGGGCGCCTTTGTGAGCGAGCGCAAAGAAGGTGATCCTCCGTACAACATTGGCATGCCCTACAATCAGACGCAGCAGCCTGTTGGTGGCAGTGACCAGAACAGCTTGAATTCTCGGCAGGGCCTTGATGGTAGGCCTGCGCAGGGATTTGGGTTCTTCGGACAGAAGAATCCTGGGTTGAAGCCTGGTGGGATTGGGAACATGAAGAACAACAGCAGCACTAATCTGGCCGCTGATGCTTCTGGTGAGTCTTCCCAGCAAGCAGTACCAACCTTCATTGCTAACTGTTCCTCAGTCCTCTTTGGCTCCGAACTCGAGGCCCGCTGCGAGTACGAGAAACGCGTCATCCCGCACATTGTCAGCCGCTGCATCGACGAGGTCGAAGCGCGCGGCATGGACATGGAAGGCATCTACCGCAAATCCGGCGGCTCCGGGCAGGTGAAACTGATCCAGCAGGGCTTCGAAAAGGACACCAACTTCGACATCACCGACGAAGATCTCGACATTCACGCCGTTACGAGCGCGTTGAAACAGTATTTCCGCAAACTTCCCACACCCTTGATCACGTACGACGCCTACGACTCCTTGCTCGAAGCCGGACGCGTGCAGGAGAAGGAGAAACAGGCGATTGCTTTGCGAGGGGCGGTGATGGAGTTGCCGGAACATCATCGGGATTGTCTGGAGTTCTTGGTCTTGCATCTTGTGAGGGTGATGGCGGCGGAGAGCAGTAATTTGATGACACCACTGAATCTGGCGGTCGTGTTTGCGCCCACGATCATGCGGCCGGCGACGATTGAGCGAGAGATGTCGGACATGCAGGCGCAGCGGCAGGCGGTGCAGGCGCTTTTGGAGCTGAATCGGGTCGTTTTTCCGGACGAGTAAGACGGAGAGGAATTTAGGGGTGGGAGTTGCTTTGCTGTTCAGCGGTTTGGGTATTGGGATTGGCTTGGAGAGACTGATGCTGGGCGTATTGGCGTTGCATAGCGCTGGGTTTCTTCGAGGCCGACGCAGTCGCGACTGGACGGGAGGTCTGTTTGAGCGGCTTCACTTCGACAAGCAAGAAGATTGACGAGTATCGGTCAAAGATGGACGTGGAGGATATACCACTGGGTTTGAGGACCAGGCCCTTGTTTCTGCTGCGCTATTTAGCTTGCGCGTGTCCTTTTGATGAGAAGAGGTCTTGGACACTGTACTACTGAGATGATACGATGAGTGGAAAGCAAGGAGTTGTAATATTTTTCTTGGTTGGCTTTGATCGAGGTTCTATGTACAGCTCAAGTAGCGCACCAAATTGCAGCTCCGCGAGGGATCAGATATAGTTTGCTCCGGAACAGCCCCAGGCCAGCCAGTCCAACAGTGATACGGATTCGCAAAACAGATGTTGAAGCGGCACCGCGTGAGCGTGAGCATTCTAAAGCTTCGCCTTGGTCTCCAACGTGGGCATCATGATGTCCCGGATGTCGCCCGCCGCCTCGTTGAGGAAGAAGGCCATGCGCTCGGCGCCGAGATTCTTACTGACGATGTTGAATTGGATGCTGTTCTCGTTGATCATGTATGCCATGCTGGTAGACCGTTAGCGATCGTCTTCTAAGTGAGTCAAAGGTGCGTGTTACTCACCCCCAGCCCTCATCAATGACCTGCGACCACCCGTACCCGTTGTAGTATTCCGAGCTCAGCTGGGAAGAGCTGATGTACCAGGTGCTGCTGTACGTGTACGCCGGGTCCTTGTACAGCTCTGGGACTTCCTCGCCTTCCTTTATGAGCTTCTTCAAGCCGAACAGGTGCCTATCAATGCCCTTGCCGTCACTAGCATCGGTGATGTAGGTGACGTGGGCATTAATAGCCTTCTTGAACAGCTCTTGGCACTCTTCTTTGGTCGACAGCGGGTGCGACATGGCCTGGCAGAAGGCGACGCTCTCGTCTGAGACAGATCGGCAGGTTTCTGTCCTGCCCTCCTGGAAACGACGAGTAGCTGCTGATTCGTAGGTTGGTCGGCTCTTGCCGTAGAATTTGTAGTATGCCAGCTGAATGAGCAATTGGACGTAAGCATCTGGCGAGCATTTGAGCTTCTTCATCAGCCCCTTTCCGTAGCCCTGGTACGCTTCTACGCGGAGCTCCTGCTGGCTCATGCGACCGACGTGGTGGGTGGTGGCCAGAGCGATATCTGCCATGTTTTCACCGTTCAGCTGGAACTTGAGAGGTGTCGGGTCCGGGATGTCTGAGCGCTTCTCGGGATTGTCGAAGTCTAGCTTTTCATTGAAGATCCAGCTCATCGCGGTGTCATTCAGTCTGTGGGTTGGAGTGCCGTCCATCATGCTGTGTTCGCCCATGAAGCCAGAAGTGCCGTTGTCGTTGATGATGAATTGGAGGGGCTTGTCGAAGAACCTGTTCATGCCATCACCGACCCAGTACTGGTATGATCGCTCGTGCAGCGTGACGGGTGTAGCATCATCGAGGCAGACGACGAAGGACGCGGATTCGATGGCTTCAAGGACGGCCTTGTTACCGGCGTTGCCGTTAATCAGCCGTTCGCGCATGCCAGTCCAGTTGTCGCGGTTCTCCGTAGTCATGATCCCAACACCTGGCTGTTTCTCTGCAAACTGGTACACTTTGTTGAATTGTGACTCCAGCTCGCTCGTGTTCAGCACCTGTCCATTGTGCTCGTGAGGAACTTTGAAGTAGTGATTCTTACGAACGACGATAATGTGCTTGTTCTCGCTCGCGGGATACTTCACGGGGTGATCGTCTGGCTTGGCTGGGATTCTGCAGGCATTGAACATCCATTCGTACGAGCTCATGGCCATCGGAAGCTTCTTCATGTACTCAGGCTCGAGACTGCCATCGTCTACCTGCCTCTTGAACTCCAGCACAGCAGTCGAGATGGCAGCCGCGCGCTTGGCGGGGTCTCTTCGCTTCCGGTCATCCCGGTGACTGTAGAAGTAGGAGACGAAAGGCGCGACCGGGTCACGGTATCCCAGGTAGGCAGCTTGGTTCCACCATTCAGATAGCCAGCTCTTCCTTGTAGGGTCGTCACGTCGCTCCTGAAGTCGTTTCTGGAGTGTGTGGCCAAGACTGCCCGGCGCGATGAAGTCCTTGACAGCCTTTTCCGTGCGCTCATACTCGGATTGGGAGACTAGAGGATGGACAGACTTGAGGTAGCGCTTTGCCGTCTCTTCAAGGGTCGGTACAGGTAGGCGTGGCAGTGAGTCTTCGAACCGTAGCATGGCCCCTTTCGAATGGTCTTCCGAGTAGCCTACAGCGTGGTCAGTAAGCTTGCGAGGCATTGCGATGCATGCGAGATGGTGTATGGCTATGCATACCTTCAGGAAGGTTACTCTGTTTCCTTCTTTGAGGAGCCATGATCGGCACCGCGCGAGAAGAATGCTGTGTCTACAGAGTGTTGTCAGCGACGGTCAGACGTGCTTGGTGGGATATGCATACAGGTAGGATGCCTCTTCGACTGCCACTGCCGGCCGCGCGAGCAGTAGCCCGGAATACGTTCATAGACGCTTGAGTCTACAGGAGGAAAGAAAAAGATGAGAGGTGATGCGCGATCCCCAATGACGGTCTATCGAGGCGTCCGGGAGTTGTCACGAAAGCTCATGCGGGTCCGCTGAGCCGAGGCTGGCGCTCAAGTCTGCGAGTCTGCGTCGTGTCGCCGAGACTTGTTGTTTTCCGAGGCCCGTCGGCGGGATGGAGGAGGCTGACTCGTGCTCAGATATCGCACGACGACAGTTCAGTGTTCGCACGCCAGAAGATTGCGAGAGCAGCGTCGCCAATGTCAGACCATCACTCTCGCTGACCTCTCACCCTCGAGACTCGCACGCGTCAAACGGTGCCGGAAGCTTCATGGCGGATCGGATCAGAGGTGGTTCCCCAAGACTCCAAGTCCTATGACCGAGGTGTGAAGTAGAATAAGATGCTACCTTGCCCTTTTTTTGGGGGGGACCACCGATATCAAAGGATTGAGAGCGCGGCCTGCTGAGCGATGCTTGTGGTCAATTGCGAAGCAGGCGGGCAAGGCACGTCCGTTCACCAGAGTGAGCCTCGTCAATGCATACGAGTGGTGGAGGCCTAGAACGCTTCTCGAAGTAGGGATGAAATGCAAATACACATTGTGAACAGTAACTGAACGATGGTAAAGAATCGTTTTGAAGAGTTGACGTTGGATTAAGCACGCGACGTGGTTGCTCCTGCCTGCTGAAGCTCGCCAACGCATGCTCGATATACCGATAGCACATCACACCCAAAAACATGTACCCAAGCCCACTGCAACCCGCCCAACGCCGACGCTTCCCCATTTTCAAATCACACCGGGTCCCAACCAACGTCCCCTTTCCCTCCGACTCAACCTCCTACGCTCTGCCCCTCCCTCTTCTCGCAATGTAATAAGTCAACAGCCCCAACCTCCCCTCATCCGTCCCCTTGAACTCCGCCCAAAACTCCCCCTTACTACTCCCAAACAGCTCAAACAACTCGCTCGCCAGTTCCACATCCGCCTTCCGCACCTCCGCGTCCGCATCGTCCAAATGCTTCGCCGTCGTCTGCACCAAGCTGATCTTCCGCTCAGAGCCGAGGTCGACGTTGCGGGCTTTGGCGCTGTCGAGGAGTTGGCGGAGAAGAGTGAGGGCGAAGGAAGTCGAGCGACTGGAAGAAGGATTAGGAGATAAGGTGGGGAGGTAGGAGAGGATGGCGTCAATGCAGGGAGCCGGGGCGGCGGATTTGAGGATCTCGTCGGCGGTGCGGTCGAGGTCGGTGAGGGCGTGGCTGCTTGCGTCGATGCTCTTCCGGCAGGCGAGGACGCCGACGAGAGTTTTGGCGTGCCACACGGCTGCGCTTTTCTTGTGAAGGTACAGTAGCGCTCGCACCAAGCCGAGAGCCTGCGATTTCAGACCTGCCGCCTTGTGAGGCGCTTGTTGGGTGAGTTTCGGCTCTTGGTCGAAGGTTGTGAGGTACTCCAGGAGCACTGCCATCAGCTCATCGTACTTCTTCCCGCCTTCCCAGATGTCGAGGTTGCTCTTCGCAAGATCCTGTACTCGCCGGAACCCATGCGCGTCCAGATTCTTAGTCCGGATGCGATCGATGCCCGAGCCGAGCAGTCGCTTGTTGCGAACAACCTCTGCGCGATCCTGTGTGGTCGGAATGGAAGGTGAAGAAGGAGCGGGAATCTGACGAGGGCTGCCGGCTGGGCTGTTGCTCGAGCCGTTGCTCTGGGTGGGACTCTGCATCCGCACGTTCTCGTTCACTGGAAGCTCGCCTAGGACCTGCCTTTCGCCTGCGGATGGCGCTTCGGCGGAGTCTCCTGTGAATGGATCTTCGTAGATGTGAACCTCTTCTGGCGGCGCTTGCTTGGCTGGACTGGCGCTTCTTGGGGTGGCAGGCTTTTCTGCAGGCGTCGGCCCAGCACCCTGTTGCCCCTGCTTCGGCGACATGCCCTCCACCTTCTCGCGCGCCTCTTCGAACATCGCCTTGAGCGGACTCCGGTATGCCAAAGGTGACTTGGCTCGCTGGAGGTTGGGTATAACCATCGTGAATCCTTCATCCTCCCCCATGTGCTGCATCCCTGCATCGACAGACATCGTCTGGCCTAAAGCTGGTCGCTTGTGGCCGTGCGCGAAAGGAGGCTTGTTCAGACTCGCTGCGCTCTTAGGCATCACCATGGTGAGATCATCTTCTCTGAAATCGACTTCACTGCCTTTGCTCGCAGGTCTGGATTCTGGCGCAACGTGGCCTGGCTTTGGACTGCGCTTAGCAGAGCTTGCAGATGGACTCCCAGCACCAGTGCCAGCTGTTTTGGCCCGATTCCTGGCCGCGCTCGACGAAGGGATAGACGTCTTGGAACCGGCAGTTCCTTTTGGTGGGCTGTTGGAAGGACTGGCGGTCGCTGGCGTCTCAGGTCGCAGCAATCGCTTTGATGCATACGGATCTGCTGTTTGCGGCCTCTGCAATTCTGGTCTTCGCGGCCGCCGAACAGGACCTGACATGAGAGAGCTACCCTTCTTCTGTGTGGCATCTGGACCAGACGGCGTGCTTGAGGCTGTGGAAGCGGTGGACGCCACTCTAGTCTCAGCTCTTGTAGATCCGGAGAGGTTAGATGGCCCTCGAGTGGTCGTGGTAGTCGACCTAGGCTTGGCTGGCGACAGCTGCGCCATGGCAGAGACTGGTCGATCTGGAAGCTTGCCGGCTGCTTTGGCCTTCCGCTGCTCTGCCATCATTTCTCTAAGTGCGTTCCTGCTCGCTGCTCCTGTGGTACGGGCGGCCGGTGCTGCTTTCGCTGTTTGCGAGGTATGTAAGGCAGCGTTCGGATTGTTGGAATCCTTATCGAGAGCCGTCTTCGACTTCGCATCCAGGGTAGACGAGATGGCATTGGCCTTCTCTGGCCAAGTCTTTGCAAACGTCCAGTATGTGGCTCTCGTGTTCTCCTTGACCTTCGGATTCGCATCATCGAGTCCCTTTTTGATGCACTTCTCAGCAAGCTCGAGACCACCGGATGTGTCGAAGTGATGCTTGTAACCGGCCTGCCGTCTAAGAACTGTCTTCAACCAAGTAGATGAACACTGCCGGACCTGCGCGTTCTTGTCCTGAGCCGCGTTCCAGATGTGCTCCATCATTCGCCTGTGATAGGAGCAGTGCTCGAAGATGGCATCAGAGGTCGTCTTGCCATTTTCAGAGGCGATGTGCTTGGTCGCTGCAGTCATTTTGATGAACGACTGAAGGAGCACTTCAACATGTGGATCTAGAGCCGGCCCAAGCGTACGCGCGAGTTCTTGTACCAGTAGACACCCATTGGAGGACATGGTAGTCCGTAGCGAGTTTGCCACTTTCAGGATGCCGTCCACCATGCTTTTGATGCCAGCCATGTAGACCTGATGGAACTCGCTAGGCGCGTTGCCCTTCGTCATGCGCCGGAGCTTGAGCACCGACTTGTCGCGAGGCGTCCAGTTCTGCTCAGTCTCTTTGCCTTCGAAGTAGGGCAGCATGTTCCGGAACGTCTCATCTAATTCGGATTTTGATTGAACATAGATCGGATCCATTGGGACCGTTTCAGGAGGAGGGGGCTTGGCTTCCTCGCTGTTGATAGTCTCGGCGAAGTGAGCGACGTGGTCTAGCGTGGGTAGCGATCGCGTAGAGGCGGTCATGTCTGCTTCCGCTTGTTGCCCAGCTGTCTGAGGTCGCGACGAAGCGTTCGAGCTTCCTCCAGGGCCAATGTGTGCGAGGACTTGGCTCTCGATAGAATGTCGGACGGAGAACGCCTTCATCTGCTTCCTCAGATCGGCTTTGGCTCCGTCAGGCGCATTGGTGAATAGCTCGATGATTGTTTGCTTTGCGGTTTCCCTAACATTGCCGTCCGCGTCTTCCAATCTCGCGACCATTGCTTGAGTATAGCTCTTGAATGGCATCGACTCTTCCCTGTGCATCCTAAGCACCCACTGCAGGCCCGCCTGCTTCGCGCGCGCATTCGACCCAGCGATGGCTTCCTCCCGGACAATGTGTTCCACGTCACTCGTGCAGAAAGGGTAGAGCTCCGTCAATGCTTGTGAAGCGGCGTTTCGGACCGGTTCGCGCATATCACCCAGTCGGTCGTGCAACGCTGGGAACAATCGAGGCGCAAGCTGTGTGATGGAGTGTCCGGAGGCATCTTGGATCTTCAGGCGCTTGATCAAGTGGCTAAGCGCAGAGAAGGCTGAGCTGGCGAGGGTGGAAGAGGCTTGCTGGGTGATCGCGATCTTGAGGCATTCGAAGATGGTGGCCTGCCCGTTCTCTGGTACTCGGTAGTGTTTGATCGCAGACTTGAGTTCATTGAGCGCAGCGAGCTTGGTCTCTGAGCTTGCTGCCGGTCGCTTCAGCGTGCTCAGTAGGGTGGCCGCCTGAACCTCCATGGTGGATAGGTGGTGATGTTCGAGGGTTGACAATGTTTGGTGGAGGTGTTGTTCGTTGCGCGGGTCGCGTTTTGGTTAGCCCGTTGCCCTGGCGCGCTTGCAGGCCTGATCCCTGTCAGCAACCGGTTCCTCGGAACGTCACCGCAGTCGACCTCACGGAATATCAATCACATCCGATCGCTATCAACGACATCTGAACCTGACCAGGAACAACTCGCTGGGAATTTGTTATGTTGAAGGTGCGTTGCGCGTGCTGTTGAAAGCAGCATCTGGGGTGTCATTCGGCGTCGGATCTGGGATTTATCGTGCTGCCTTACCACTCCTGGCGTTTGGAGACCAGTCTACCCACGTCAGACCTTTCGAGGATGCCTGTTGTCCCGACATACTTTCAGAAAGAAATGCCTGCCGTGTCTCTCCTAAGCGAGGCGCCCACTGCGACGTTGCCGATACGAAAGCACAAGTTCCCGTCGCCTACACTCCGCCTGTTCTTACATGACATTGCTCATGAAGGAAGCGTATGTCGTCCTCCCTTGGCTTGTAGTCCTTGGAAAAGCGCCGCTGATGTACCGTCTGAGGTTCTATAGTCCATCTTCCTGTCAAACATCAAAGGCAATGAGGACGTCGAAGCCCAGGTCCAGAATGTCCTGAATCTATTGTACTCCTCAGAATGTGAAAGGTAAGCGATCCATTCCTCTCAAGGATGCGTACCGATTCCAAGGTTCTTGAAAACCATGCGCGGATGTACAGAAATGTATACGCACGCCAGGCCTTAGTGTTGACCAGAGTGTTCTGCCAGACCCGGCACCCGCTCAGTAACCATCGTCCTCCGCTCAATGAACGGCGTCGCCTACACCACGGGAATCGACCTCGACCACGATCACAAGGAGCTCCACATCAACCTCGACTACATCGCCAAGACAGGCTCTCCCAAGCGTCATGAAGTCCTTGGAGTTATTTGCCACGAGCTTGTACACTGCTTTCAGTGGGCCGCCAACGGGACATGCCCGGGAGGTCTGATTGAAGGGATCGCTGACTGGGTACGGTTACGAGCTGGCCTGGCTGCGAAGCACTGGAAGCAGGAGGCGGAGGGGAAGTGGGATGGTGGGTATCAGCATACTGGGTACTTCCTTGAGTGAGGAGATCTACTACCAAATTGTAGAGACATGGAGTATTGACCAGTCCCTGCAGGTATCTCGAGCAGCGATTCGGAGAGGGCACAGTCCGAAGGATCAACGGGTGTCTACGAGGCAAAGACTACGACGAGAAGAGGCTGTTCGGCGACTGCTGCGGCGGGCACAAGGTCGAAGATCTTTGGTATGTTTCATCGAGTCCATTACGCCCGTGAAATGCTGACCTCAAATAGGAAGGAGTACGGCGAAGAGCTTAAAGAGAAAGAGAGGACGAAAGCAGATGATGGGGAGGCGCCGGAGCCTATACCGACACATGCTGCTCAACCGTGAATCTTTGATAGTTTGCCATGATCTATCCAACTCTATTGTCGTTTCGTTAGTCCATTCCTGTAGCTTCCAAGGTCTAGGGTCTACTGTAAAGCATGTAACCCAAGTCTACTTCTATCTTTTACATACTCGTGCAGTCGTTGTTCACCTCACCTCATCGATCATGACTTGAACAGTTCGGAGAAGACTGTCCTTAGCTCCTCGAGGCTCTGGATCTGGTGGTCTCCCACTTGCTCAGGCGGCGGATTCGATATGGGCTCCACCAAATGCGCAGTCTTCCATCCGTACGCTTTTGCTCCAGCAGCGTTAAGACCTGAGTCATCTAGCCTTTGTCAGCTTTCTGGCACATGGTGGAGCGTAAGATGCCGCCACTCACCAACAAAATAACACTCCTCAGGATCCGTCACCCCGGCCTCCCTCATCGCCTTCGCATACATCTCAGGAGTAGGCTTGCAAAGTAACTTCTCCGCCCCATAATCACAGTAAGTGATCCCATCAAACAAATCCTCCACCCCCAACAGCTTCACCACCCGCCTGCCGTGCGTGACATACGCATTAGTAAACAGCCACAACTTTACCTTCTCCCGATCAACATCCTCCAGCAATTTGCGGAGCTTCGTATCCGGTTTGATGATGTCGTCCAAAGGCAATGCGTCATCGACTTTGGTGTTGTACTCGAGCGGATCGATTTTGTGATGGCGCACGAGACCTTCGATGGCGAGGCCGTAGTCTTTGTAGTAGCGTTGGTGGAGGTGGGCGGCGTCTTCGCGGGAAAGGGAGAGGTGGTGGACGAAGAAGTCGTCAATGAGGGTGCCCATGTGGTCGTGGATGCGGAGGTCTCTGCTGTAGAGGCCTGTGGAAAAGTCAGTCTTGCGTTGGGTATTGGTAATGAGATATCGGTGCCGTACAGTTGTCTATGTCAAAGAAAAACGTCTTCATCTTGTCGGCTGCTTTATGGCTGAGGGATGAGTATGGATGTTTTCTTGAGACTCCTTGGTGTATCAAAATTGGTCGACTTGATGAAGGCGCCGAGGTTCATCGTACACCAAACTGACGGACCACAATGCTTTGCCTCGTTATGTTCTGGAGTGACATTCTTGGTATCATCTTGACTTAACGTTGTTGTAAAACATTGGGTGGAAGAGAGTGAAAAGGTGGCGTCTTGCCAAGGCCTCGAATGAGCAGACGGCACGAAAAGCCTCCTGCATATGGACTTCTTTCTTTACGTACAGTCCCTATACAGTTCATGGCCCTCGTTGAACGATGAAGGCCTCGCCGTGGCCATCTGCAGCAGACCAGGCTAAGGGGACCGTCGAATCAACCACAGCACACTCACAAAATGGCTTGCAATCACGGCCCTCTCCCCTGAGCGCAACGTATGGAAGCCATGCACTGGGGCTAGCGATGTCTACAGCATGGCGAGTGTCGTTGTTCGCAGAGGCAGTGAGGACTATGCGAGACTACAAGTATAAATTTCTTATATCTAAAACCTCTTGATATGAGCCACTGGCCCAACATACTTCCTTCTGCCGCGCACGAGGTAGTCCAAGCTTGCGATCGCGAACACGCCGCCGAACATAACCTTGAATACGATGTTAGCAACGGCGCAAAGGAAAGGAATGTGTTCATCACTCACCACGCCCCAGTTCATCGTCGAGGGTTCTACCTCTGCTGTCACTGGGAAAAAGCTTATGATTCCTAAAACGCAAAGATGCTAAAGTCAATTGACAGCCCAAATCGAAGGGTCTGATCTCCAGCACTCACCTGAAAAGATGACGAAGAGGAAAGAGATAACATTCAGTGGCAGTCCGAACTTTCCAAGAGACCACCGTGCATCTGGGATGGACTGCCCACGGACACGCCTCAGCAATATGCAACCAACGCTCAATGCGTAGGAGAACGAGCACGCGCTGTTGAGGAGCGCGACGATGCTGTTGAATGCTGTCGAGCTGCCCAGGTTTATCAATGCAAGAATTACCAGAATGGTGAGCGAGAATAAGATGGCGTTGAGTGGGATCGGCGTGCCGATCGTCACAACCTGTCATACAATCAGCATCGTCCTACTGCGTGGCCTCTGATAACTGTACCTTCCGAAACCAGCCGGAGAAGGGCAAGCCACCGTCCCGCGCCAGGGACCAAGCCTGACGAGACGCCGCTGCCATGGCGTTCAGAGCAGTACAGCAGGTAAGGAGGAGCGGTATGCAGGCCATCACGGTAGCGCCAGCCTTGCTTCCGGTGGCCGCGTAGAAGACATCGACGAACAAGAACGGTGACTCCGAACTAATGACCGCCGTGATGTCCGTAATGCAGAAGCAGAATGTGATGATCATAACGAACCCCATCGCACCGTTTAGCAGAATGGTTCCCAGCATCATCTGATACAATGTCAGTTCATCAAAAGACTTTGCTTTTCACAGATGGTTCATTGCGATCGTTGGGCAATCTGCTTACCCGTGGTACAGCAAGCGAGGCGTTGTTGACTTCTTCGGACAGATGCACAGGAGCATCACTCCCTGGATACGGACAATGTTAGTCTTGGACCACAGTGACAACAAATTGGGCCCGGCTCTACGCAGCATACTCACCGACGAAAGCACCCGTTGCCGCAATTTGACCGACAATGCATGCCACACCAATCGATGGCCAACCTCCAAAGTTGGAGAAGCTTCCGAAGACGTCGCTTACCGGAGCCTTTGGAGCCATTGCCCACCTGAGTCTCGTTAGTCGGCTCCGCTTCCTGCGAAGTACTGCTTCATCCGGCCTTTGTACTAACAATGGAATGATAATGGCAAAGAATCCAAAGATATGAAGGCACAATATGAGGCCTTCCAACAGTGGCAACTTTCTCGCGCCGAACGTGTTAACAAGGGTACCGAACACACCGACGCCTATCATCAGGAGCGTGACATGCCAGGGCTTGTACACGAAGCCATCATGGTTGAGTGCTGCCAGTTGGAAGATCAGCGTGGCGCTGGTATAGGAGCCACCTGCGATGATCGCCTGCCATCCGAGCGCTGATAGCCAGCCGACGACGTAGCTCAAGAATCGTTGCTGGCTGGGAGGAGCCATTTCGGACACCCAGTCTGAGATCTTTCTTAGTGATTGCCAACAGGAAGGGAATAGCAGGCTTACGATACTGGCCTCCGCTTGTCGGTGACATGCTTGCCATTTCTGCCAGCGATAGGACGAGCGAGATGGTGAATATCCAGGTGGCTAAATACACCCAAATGGTACCGGCCAACCCTCCATTGATCAAGCTGAAGATTGAAGCCTGCAGTATCGCAATCCAGGTCGCCATGGTCACCGCAGCCATACCCAGGATCGAGAAGGACTTGAAGTTTCGCCGCAACTCCTGCGTTCTCCCCAGCCGCAACATGTCCAACGCATCCTCTCTGGTGCCGGTTGCGACGCCGGAAGCGTCGGTTTGACGGAGCTCATCGTCCCATTGATTGTCGACAGCTCGATGTTGCAGCTCGTAGATGTCGGCCTTACTTGGCTGAGACATCGAATTGGAGAAAGAATGGCCATGTACTTAGCAAAGTGAGGGGGAGGAAGACGCTGGGTTCTTCAAGTCGAGCAAGCCATGCCACCGACCTCTACGACAAACAAACGAATCAGCACCCTACGCCTTTAGCGGTCCTGCATCAACTGGGATCAAGCGACCTAGAGAGCCTCCGCGAAGTAGTGCCACTCACTGACTAGGTAACGCTTTACTCACTGTTCGCTTCCGCAAGAGCTCCTCAGCACGTTCAAGGCTTCGGCATCGGCATACGTTCTTTCTCTCTTTCTCTGAGACCCAGTCAGAGATCTCGACCCCAAGTTTGGGGCCCAAGTCTGGGGCATTGATATTGGCAGAAAGTGAAATGCATGGACAGTGAGGGGTTTGTCCGACCTTCAAGACAGTTTGGGACAGAGCAGTTTGCCTGATCTTGAATCAGCGTTTCCATTTGGAGACCACCATACCGGAAGAGTACAGACATGCTTGAGAGCTTCCACCTACCACGGCCGACCTCATCACGTTAAGCGATTGCATCAAGCTTATTAGACCACCTACCGGGAGCCACAGCCTATCGTCAAAGACCAGTATTCGCCCAATAGCTGTCCCTGCCGTCACCCTCGAGGTCCGATCCCGCCGGGACGCGACACAGAACAGCGCTAATGTGACTCTCATGCACGGCGGAAGAGCGCCCCGATCCTTGCTGGTTGTGATCGGCTGTGCGCTAGCGGCTGGCAGATTTGAATGCAGCTGTGCCTCCGACACCATCTTCCAACCCGTCGCCAAGAACAGTATCGATCCTCCGAAGGTGCCATATCGACGGGTCACTCCAACAGCGCTGCGACCGTCGCTTTCGCAGCGGAATATAGACGGATGTATCTGTGCCTACGAAAAGGTAGGTTGTCGAACAACACCAACCTCCATCAATTCATGGCCTGCTGCTGTCAGCCAACCGTATGTACTACGGAGTCTAAATCCACTCAATCCACGCAGCCTGCGCTCCCTCAGGTATCATGTCTGCTTCTGAGGGGCCTTCCGCAGTGCCGACATTGACACCCAGCACTGCAGTGAACAACAACGACCGTGGAGTTCAGGTACTGGTAGTCGCGCTGCTTTGTCTGACCTTCAGCACCCTCTTCTCACTCACCCGTCTTTGGATCCGATGGCCCTGGGTATCACTCGTTGGCAGAGACGACTCTTTGGCGGCGGTGGCATTCGTGAGTTCTCTCAGCTGTCTTCGCTTTAGGAGAGTTTGCTGAAGCCGTCCAGATTCTGAGCGTCGTTCAAACTGGCTTAATACTGAGGGCAGAAGAGGATGGCTTGGGTGAGAAGCTCGACAGGCTGCAACAATTCCGAGTGCAAAGTATCAATAAGGTCAGTCCAGCTGTCCACGAATTTTTAACGCGCTGACCTCGCCAGTTTGTCTATGCCCGTGACGTTCTGTTCATCCTGGCACTCGCTTTCTCGAAAGCCTCAGTGTGTCTCCTACTCCAGCGTTTCTCATCACATGGCACCCAGGCGAAGGCTGCCATGGCCATGATGGTCTTGTGTGTAGTATACAGCGTAGCGGGTGTATTGCTCGTGGCACTGCGAAACGATCTCAGCCATCCTTGGATGCCAGAGTCGTCCTTGCAGCATGCTATACTCGCTCAATGGGCGACCTGCAGCGTTCTCGGAAGCCTAATCGACATCAGCACCATGGTATTTCCAATATTTCTGGTTTGGGACCTGCAGATGGCCAAGGAGTCTAAGAGGAGAGTAGTAATGGGCTTTTTCATGCGCATGCCTGTCGTTGCTCTCTCCGTCGCTAGAGTGGTCGCTGTCTCGCGCCTCGATTATGCGGACTTCACCTTCTCGTATACGGTCGTCGAGATCTACACACAGCTGGAGCTTCACTATTGCGTGGCATCAGCCACCACGCCATGCTTGCATGTCTTCCTCAAAGGCTGGAACACCGGATATCTTGGGACGGCACTGGAAGAGGTCGATCAGCAAGCTTATGAGGAATGGGCCGACGCAAAAAGCGATGGAGCCTCATATCACATGACACCACTCCACACGAGCAAAGAGCACGAAAAGCAGACTTCAAGCACCCAAGGCACATCATTGCAGGGCGGGCATGGCATATCGCAGGCCGCTGCGCAACACAGTAAAGCTGGGCAGAAAGATGCGGCGAGGGATAGCTCACAACAAGTTATTGTGGTCAGAACAACAGTCGATGTCGACATAGAATGAATGATACCCAGCGCCTAGTGTTGCAAATACATCTGAGCCATGCGAATAGCCGTCAGCATTGGATCACATCTCCGTTCTCTGGCTTTCGCTTGCGAACTGCATTCGCTTTCGGCTCACGCCTCATTGCAGTGCCTTTGACTTCTCCGTCATGGACGATCTCGCTATGCACGTAGAAGTCGAAACGCTTGTAGAGCAAGTTCCCTAGGCATGTTCAGCAGGACTACTAAACTGCTGGGTTTTGGTGAGGTTGATCACCTTCAGGGCTCGCCTCTATCCAACCTGGAAGAGAAAGTAGATCGGCCAGATCGCAGCCCCATTGCATCATCATACTGGCCACTCCTCGACGTCTGTATTCGGCAGCACTGAAACAGATGTGTAAATCTGAGTCTAAATGTCAGTGTGCGCCGCAACTATTGTGAACAGTTACTTGCGTATGAACGGTCCGACGTTCTCCTTGAGCCTCAGCTCATTCATGGGCTCCAGTATCGTTCGAGTGAGTTCTTTGGCTTCCTCATCCTCGATCCAAGTCGGGACTTTGTCCGTACCATGTGGAAGTGCGCTGGTCGAATACAGCTTCCAGTTCGAGGCAGCGACAATCTTACCGCTCTCAACATCATTGACCTTGATCCAAATGTCGCTCGGGTCGGTGCGCATCTCTTCCATGTAGTAAGCCGCCACTTTTGCGATGTCGTCTCGCGAGTAGCACCCCATGAAGGCCCGACGTGCAAAGTCCGGGAAGGCATCGTACTGCAGCTCAACCACTTCGGGGATATCTTCAACCTTGGCTCTCGAGAGCACGAACGAAGAGGCGTCTGCGCACATCTTCGAAAGCTGCTGATAGGTGCCAGGGTATCGAGGTGTAAGTTGCCGTTTTTTAAAAGCGCATGCCTGGAAGAAGTACTTCTGGGATCTTCACCATTTGCTGGAGCAGCAGCTGCAGGAGTTTCTCGCGGCCAGGCAGGCTAGTGTGGAAGCGCCAGACCAATATGCATACTACTGTACCGTACCGTCTTGATGTGCTCTCGGCTATAAACTGTCGACGATACTGCTTCGTCCGAGGGTTAATCTTGCAATGGTCCTTTCACTACTCATACCGCCGCCTAGCCGGCTACCTGTAGCCGTCGATTGCGTGCAGCGCCTTTGGATCATGCCAGCGGTGTTGGAGTCGAGATGGACTGGAAGGACCTCGCTAGACTAAACGCCAAGGCGGGCCGAAGTCGACTTGAATCTCCTTTGCGCCTGCACTTCTTCATCGCTCTCTGCAGCAACACAACCGTCCACCATGCGATGATACCGCGCATGGCTGTACACGAGGGCATGAATGGCACTGTGCCATTGTCTGCTGATGATGATCAGCTTCTCACTGAGCTGAACCGCCTGAAAGACGCGGTACTCGAAGGCCACAGTACCCTCGCACTACCCTCTGCTGCTATTGAGCGGCTCAGGGCGGCGTTGCTTGCGCCAGACGCACCTTCGAACGGGTTCTCAGCGCCACAGACAAACGCACTCGCCAATGGTTCGGCGTATGCCACTAACCAGACGCAGCCTCAGAAGCCTTCATCATTTTCACTGTCTCATTCTTTGCCTGGGCTGCAAAAAGCAGCTGCCCCATCTGCAAGCGATGCTTCTCAGGTATACGGCACGAAGCCGTCCTCGGCTGCAGGACTAGATCCTATCTTCCTGGAAAAGTCAGACAGTCTTGTAAGAGCAGAAGGACAACTCAAGCGCCAGCGGCTCGATCGCGAACTGCAGAATCAGGTGGACCACGGCAAGCAGAACTCGCGTGACAGGGAGCATGGCGTAGAAGCATCTTCGTCGATTGATGTCGACGCTGTGCTCGCCAGCGCGTTGAGACGCGTCAAGCCTGTGTCAGGACTGGAAGCGAATGATGCCGCGAGTAGTTCCTTCGATGAGAACGATTACTACTCCAGTCAAGTTCAAAGTGACTGGTCCTCTGAAGCTAGCTCCAAGAACGGCTCTGACAGAGCTGCAGATTCCTTCACTGCCGACTTCGAGCGTCTTGATGGCGCGCCGCAACCCTCATCTTCTCGACCCAAGCAGACAGCTAGCTCTTCTGCCCGGCCTGCACCTCACTCCGCGCACAATGTCCCCCGTGCTGAAGCGGATGATGACATGTATGATCCTGAAGACGGCGAGTATGATGACGATGTCTACACGCCGCCAGACCCGCCAGCTATCGGTCACTCTCAAGCGTACGAAGCACCCGTGGCTAGTCAGCAGCGTTTCCCCGTAGAGCGCGAAGACTCCGATTACGAGCCTGGAGAGATCACAGCCGGCACCGAGCCCGAAAAGATCACAGCCGACAACGTCATTTCCACCCAGCTTCGGTCTCAGAAGCCAGCCCCGGCGCCCAGGCAAGTGCCTATCATCCGCAACCATCTCACGCACATTGCAGCACCTCAGCCGAACCGTGTGTCGCCACTCGCGACGGCTAAAGCTTCCAACTATGAACTCGAATTGGTCAATGGCTCTCCTCAAGTCGTTCAGAAGCCGCAGCAATACCCAAAGTATGTCCCTGCGCGACAGTCATCAGCTTCTCCCCCGGTCCCAGCCAACATTAGCAACGGCAAGAAAAAGAAGGCCAAGAAACGGAAACGTGAACCTGAACCCGCCGGCCGCAGCAAAAAGCGAAATCGGCAGAATGCACCAGAGTCTGCAGCAAGGCCAACTCAACAACAGGAGCCTTACATCAAGGACGAACCGGTGTCACCGCCCCCGTTCAATGGGATGGTAACCCATCCCGGCTATGGCCAACCGCCTACCTATCAAAGGCCTCCAGAACTCGACTTGGTCACACCGAGACAGGCTCCTCTGTCACAATATAGCTACGAACCTCCTCGTTCTGGCTTGAGGTATGAGTATGGCCAGCCGGCCGGCTCAGCGGTGGTGCGCGTTGGATCTCCAGCTCTCCACCGCCCTGTGCAGAGGGATACACAAGATCTTCGCAGAGTTGCCAGCATGCACTATGCGCAACGACCGGCTTCTCCTCCAGCAGCAGCATATTCGCCTGTGGGACCATATCAGCGTCGGACTTCTTCGATGACATACGGTGATTCACGCGTGCCTCACGCTGGGCAGTACCACGAATCTGTTGTCCCGTCAACTTTTGCAGAGCAACCAAATGCAGCGCCAGTGTACTACGAGAGTTCGGACCGCTCGCGCTCCCCGCCTCGATACCCAGAGTACCAAGACCCGTACGCTCAGTCAGAGCCAAGCACAAACATGATGCCTCCACCTGACGCAGCTCCGAAACGCATCATTGTCGACCAGTATGGCAATAGGTATATGGAGGCTGGTCCGGCGCCAGCTCAACCGCAGCCGCAGCCGGCACGCTATGCACCGTCCCGGGCCTCAATGGCGCCTATCGAGACTCGACCATACCCGGAGATGACCGTTGAGCGTGCACCAAGTCGAGCATCAGTTGCGTACGCTCCGCAGCCACCGCAGACTGTTTACTATCAACCAGCAGATCGTGGCATGCCACCGCCTCCATCCAGACGACAGCCAGAATCGCAATACGCTTACGTCGATTCCAACGGGGTCAGCGTTCGAGAGTATCTCAACCGCCCTGCAGCAGAGCCTCCGCAGTACGCACCACAGCCGACATCTCCTGTGTATCAGCAAGTTCGAGCATACGACCAGATGCCACCACCACCGGCGCCACCAGCGAGAAATGACACTGCGCCCGCCTACGCACCAAGCAGGAGTTACAGTGTTGTTCCGGAGGAGCCACAGTATCTGCCAGCATCATACGTTCGACAAAGCAGTGTAGCACCAATACAATATGTCCGTCAGGAGCCAGCGCCGGCTCCACCTCGCGCAGTCAGTGTCATGCCGCCGCCTGACTACCGCATGTCAGCCCAACCAGCGCCCCAGCGCACCTACAGCCAGGCTCCTCCGCAAAGTGTACGATATGTGGACCAGTATGGGAAGGAAGTGTATCCGCAGCAGGTCAGTCAGGTGCACTATCAGTGATGGAGGACTTGCTGGGTTTTTCGCACTGTCAGCTACGCCTGTACAGCGAGGAAACACATCTGCCGTGATTAACAGGCTCTAGTGGCATGTTATCGGGAGCGTGTACAAAGTCAGTGTAGCATTGCGCTTCGACCTGAGGCGTGTATAATAATTGTTTCGAGCTTGGCGCACGCTTCAGCCTGTATCACGTTCTCCAGGTTTTGAAACAATTGCAGTTGCTTTAAAGAACCAACCACGCATCAAAGGCGTGCAGCCGTGATAAGGAAAGCAAAACATGTGCCCTGACAAAATGCTCTTGGCCATCGACCACCTCAGATTAGCGAGCTATCTTACTGTGGGCCCAATACCCGAATGTCGAGGACATGAGCCGCCTTGTCAGCCGCCTGGCCGTCGACCTTATCTCGGGCAAGGTACATCGTCAGCGGACCGATGGACCTTGCGCAAGTCTCTGCGACCTTATCTGCCATTTTCATCAATCTACGCCCAATCCACGTTCACCCTTCGACACGCCTGGCGGTTCATCGTGGACTGCCATGTCGCCTGAACTCCACAATGACCTGCTCTTTCGAGCAAGGCCTGCGCTCGGCGGCGTTGTGGCTTACTGCTTACTAGGAAGGTGACCAGCCGCCAGGGTGATACTGGGAGAATACGATGAAGAACCCTCGCCAGTATAAAACAATGGAGCAGTCCGCCGGCAATGATCGGCGCTCTGCCTTCAGCTTTGAGTGCCTCTCTACTCAGCCATGCCAGGAGATATGGGCCGCTTGATCACCTTTCTCACCTTGGCGGTTGCGCCTCGCATTTGGGCGGCCACAGTACAACTCACCGGACAGACCGTTTACCTGGCTGGAGTGGCCTACTACCTCCCGCCGACCCCTGTGACTACGATACAAGGCAATACGGCGCTCGGGCAGAAAGCGCTAAAGGAAGGATTGCTCCCTATCGCAGTTGTTACAGATGACTCGGAAGATAGCCACTTCGATTGCCAGAGCGCCGTCTCAAAGTTCAGTGCTGTGGACGATGTCTTCACGGAAGCCTTCGCGGGCAGCATATACGTACAGGCCACGGGGAGCACCGCATCCAACGCCACAAACAGTACGATATATTCTGTCAATGTAGCGGCGAATGCTGCAATACCCGAAGGACCCTACTTCCTGTCATCCAGCGGAGAAGTCTACGAGGCGTGGCGACTGTATACCGACTTTGCCGGTGCATTCACCGAGACGTTAGTCGGGGCCAACGGCGACACGTTCGGTGTGCTTCCAGCAAACATTGCAGGCCAGCAGCTAGCCGTGGCCGTACCCTCGAGACTCTACTATACGAAAACGGCCGAGAAGCCGCTTGCGGGAGTACGTCTTGGCATCAAGGACATTTATGATGTTGCAGGAGTTCGCACCAGCAACGGCAATCGAGCCTGGTACCATCTCTACCCTCCAGCCACTGCAAATGCACTTCCTGTGCAACGTCTGGTCGACGCAGGTGCTATCATTGTCGGAAAGATGAAGACCTCGCAGTTTGCGAACGGTGAACAGGCCACTGCGGACTGGTAAGGAGTCAACGGGTAAAACCTTTGCATGTCGTGGACGCTGGCTAACCCGTTATCTGTACGTAGGGTCGACTACCACAGCCCGTTCAACCCAAGAGGGGACGGATACCAGGATCCCAGCTCCTCCTCATCCGGCCCGGGCGCCGCAGCTGGAAGTTACCCGTGGCTCGACCTTACGCTGGGCAGCGACACAGGAGGGTCGATTCGTGGACCTTCTGAGGTACAGGGACTGTACGGTAACCGACCTAGCCATGACTTGGTAGCTCTGGACGGCACGATGCCTTTGTCTCCGCCTCTCGATACTGCTGGATTCTTAACCCGGGATCCCCTGTTGTGGGCTGAAGCAGCGAAGGCCCTTTACTTGTACAATGTCACCATCTCCCACTCATATCCCAAGCAAATCAAGCTGTATGGCTTTCCGAAGAAAGTGTCCGAGCCTGGAGACGATCTTCTGCTTGACTTTGTCTCGAAGATTACAGCGTATTTGGGTGCAAATACGACAAACTACGACGTGGAGAGAAGCTGGAGGAGAACTCACCCGGCGAACACAAACCCTAGCATCTCTGACTATCTGTAAGCTTACGACTGAGGCTTTCCCAGCGTCAGCAGGATACTGCTGACTGTTGTCAGGAACCTAATATACCCGATTCTTATCTCTAAAAACCAAGTCGATCTCGTCCGCGAGCCATTCTACGAGGATTATGCCGCAGCTCATGATGGCCGCAAACCTTTCGTCGACCCCGTATCGCTCGCTCGCTGGGCCTTTGGAGATTCATTCCCTGAGTCTGCGGTCGCTAAACAGAATGCGAGGCGGGAAATCTTTGCAGATTGGTTCGCCGAGCACGGCCTCGCGCCTGACCCAGATACCTGCAGCGATAGCATCTTGCTCTACGTTGGATCGCAAGCCAGCATAAACTACCGCAATCAGTACATCAGTGCTCCTGTTGCGCCGTATGGATTTGGGATTAGTAGAGTATCGCCGTTTTGGGGTGGTCCGGACTTTGTGCTGCCGAGTAAGCAACCTTATTCTCTATCATTTCGAGGCGATGCTAATGGGTGTACTGCGGCGTAGTTGGGCAAGCATCCTATCGCTCCGAAATTACAAAGCACAAGGAGTTCCTCCCGGTTACCGTCGATATTATGGCTGCGCGAGGGTGCGATGGGATGATATTTGGCCTTGTCCAGGTACGTCGTTGATGGGTACAGCCATGATTTCGTTCGTGATACCAAGCCTTTTGCTAACCCATTCGATCTTCTCTCCTGCAGGACTTGGTAGAACAAGGCATCCTCGAGCCTTCTGTTGCAGGACAGAGTAATGTTGGTGGCGGTGAAGTGCTATTCAAGCGTGCAAGCCAGTAGTCACTACTGTCATAGAGCTACTCACCGGACTTATTGTCTACATATTCCATATCCCCTGGCTCAACAAAGCCGCTATTCCTGCTTGACAGACAACACGTCTATCTGCTTCCATTGCCGTATCTCACCAGTCTCGACAGTATCTTCGATATCTCAATACCAACTTCCGTGGAAGACCTTCCAGGTTCTCGTTTTTTGTGGCTTGACGTCACGTGCTCTGAGCTTAAGTTATCCAAACCTCACCTGCTGGCTCGCTCGGATTACCTCTACACAACCACACTGTACACCCACCATCGTTTTTCTACCCACCATGCCCCGGCATTTCGAGGAGGGCGCTTAGATTTCATGCCTTCACGCGTCGACTGATCTTCCTTGCGCCAGACGTCTTTCTTTCCATGCTCTTCTGTTCCACGCAAGCAAAACCGTCCGCTTCCAGCACCGGGCGAGAGTGTCCTCGAGGCCGCGATGCATCGCATCACTTCCAACCGACTCACCGCCTCGATCGGCTTCTCCAGAGGACCCCATGATGGCAGACAACTTCCGCATGATCTGTCCATCGCGCCGCCACCTCCCGCGAAGCGCGGTCTGGCCGGCAACGCAATGTCTCCCAACCCAGCAGTGGCCGGGCACAACGTCAACCTGTCCTTCAACGTTCCATTCAACTCGAACCTGCCAGGGCCGGACAAGGAGGACATTCTGTACAGCAGCATGAACGCGGAGAAGAAGTGGACGCATCCGGAGGGGGCGGCAGAAGATACGCCCAACCATGCCCTGCCGGTACACACGAGGAATGTAGAGGCGTTAAGGAGCTTGTGCAGGCAGATGAGTGAGAGCAGTGGGGAGACAGTGCAAGCCACGGTGACATCCTCGAAGCCGAAGCCTATACCCGGCATGCAGCGGGGACCGCTCACTGCGTTGGTCACCAACGTGTGTATCTCTGGTGATGCGGAGGTGGTGCACAAGATGCGTGCGAAGATTCTGATGGAGACGCCAATAACATTGGTAAGAGACCGAGGGCTGGAATCATCCCGAGTTCTGTAGCTGACATGGTGATAGCGGTGTGAGAGCTTCGACATTGAACGAGAGATCATCTTTCCGAAAGACCAGGAGGGCCCAAGAGAAGCAATACTTCAACATATGGACGAAACTGCACAGTTGACAAAGGCCGACATCTTCCTGCTCGAGCCGAAGTCAAGGCGGAAGGACTCGGACTCGATCAGCTTTAACAACGCTCTCGACAAGAGTATGGACAACAAGCTGCGGATACAGGTCTATGGCGATATGGAGGGCGCGGAGAACGCAAAGACTCGACTGCTCATCATGATTGACAAGCTTCTGAACCGACATGTGGACTCGATGCGATTGGAGTTGACTCTCCACAATCTTCTCGCCGGCCGCCACAGGAGGAATATCAAGATGATCGAACATGCCACTGGATCCGCCATCTACTTCCCGCCTCTATTTCCGACCGTCTTTGGTAATGGCACGTTTGGCGCAGTTCGCATTCGGGAGAGAGACGAGATCATTATCACGGGCGAGACCATGGATCAGATCATGCAGGCCAAGCAGAGGCTGCATGATCTTGTCCTCCACACGAAGAACTTCATAAAAGACGTGCAGATCACCACCAGCAAGGTCGACTACATCCTGCTTGAGAGACTGGACAAGATCCGAAAGATCATTGAGGCCAACGGCTCCTACGTCTTGTTCCCGCCTCTCGGAAATCACAGCGGGCTACTGCGGGTGCAGGCAACAGATATATTGAATGTTGAGAGGACCGTTCGAGAGATCATGGGACTGGCTGGGCAGTTCTACAGTGCCTCGTGGTGGTTGACCTCCCCGGACCAGGCGCAGCGTCAACCGACGTCCTCGGACATTCGGTCTATGTTGCCAGACATTTGTATCAATTCGGGCGCCGAAATCACCTTCGAGAAGCTTAACTTCCACATCAACGGGAGCGACGACTCTGTCAAAGCTGCGATGGCTATCATCAATACGCTGCCATTTGTCAAGAAGGCGCAATCAACTCTCCGGGTCAAGGTTGAGCTTGCGAACGAGCACAAGGAGTTCGTGAGCGGCAAGAAGAACGGCAAGATCAACAAAATCATGAGCCAAAGCAATGTTCAGATCGTTTTCGACGGCTTCAACGAGTACAACTTCTACATTGATGTGCGAGGCGCACAATACGAAGCGACGAAGAATGGCCTGGATCTCGTGGAGCTTGAGATGCCGGCTTCGATCTCGTTCCATGTCCCGGATCAATACCACAAGAGAATCATTGGCATTGGAGGTCAGCACATCCAGCGCATCATGAAGAAGTACTCTGTCTTTGTTAAGTTCTCGAATGCAATGGACCGCGGTGGCATTGGCAAGGACGACGATGATATAAAGGTCGACAATGTCATTTGCCGCACCCCTGCTCGCAATGCAAACAGTCTTGAGCAGGTCAAGCAAGAGATCATGGACATGGTCGAGAAGGTCGATGCGGAGTTCGTCTCTGAGCACGTGCCTGTCGATCGGCTCTACCATCGCGAGCTGATTTCTCGGATGCCGGAGATTGAGGATCTTGAGAAGAAGTGGAACTGCAAGGTGACGTTTCCTGGCGCTGAGCAGGCGAGCGACATCATCACAGTTTCTGGGCCTGAGTATCAAGTCCCACAGGCGGTGGATGAGTTCTTGGTGAGTCCTGTATGGAACAATGTATGCTACAGTAGATGCTAACGACTGAGCAGGGCATGGTTCCAGAAACTCATGAGATCGAGTTCCCGACCTCCGACGAGCTGCGCAATTATCTCTCATCTGACGAGTTCAGCAAAGATACTGCACAGAAGCTGAAGGACCAGTATGTCGTCGAGGTCGAAGTCCATGAGCCACGAAAGGAGAAGCAAGGTGACGTGGAAGTCACGGTCGAGAAGATGGTCCTCAGCTACACCCGCAACAACGCAGGTGGTCTCAAGGATGCCATCGACTTCTTGCTTCTCCCACTTATTGGCCGTGGGCTGGACTCCAACACCGTCAAGGGTGCCATTCCGCGACCAAAGTCGGATTCCTTCGAGGACAACATGCCGTTCTTCGAGTCGAAGCTGTTGCAGCGTGCTGAGCCGGCAATCTCGACTGAGTCTCCTACCCGTGGCAGCTTCGCAGATGACAGCAACAGCCGCTCTCTCTTCGACAAGCTTCGCAAACCTGGCAGCATGTCGTCTTTCAGCTCTTTCATCGAACGTCGACGCAAGAACGGCACCAACTCGCCAAGCTCCTCGCTGTTCATGCATGCGTCCAACAATGCCTCGAAAGCCTCCCTTGTCAGCATGGAGTCGCGCGACTCTGGCTATCGCAACCCCTGGAACGATTCCGGCATCGATCTCGAGCACGACTCCAACCACAGCAACCACGGCAACGGCTGGGGCTCCTTTGGCACCTCCGGAACCCGCCCAAGCACCTCCTCCAACTCACTCTCCGGCGCCTTCGAGAGCAAGTTCCCGTTCGGCGTCAACGGCAACGCATCCTCCAGCTCTCTCAACACGCCGATGATCCCCGGCCTCGGCATGATCAACACCAACGGCGGCGATGTCACTCCAAGATACGACACTCCGCCACGCTCCGCCAACGGCCTCGCGAAAGAACCCTCAACAACCGGCGGCGCCGAGGACCCCTCTGCAGGCCAACCCGCTGCATCTACCAGCCGCCCCTCTTCCTCCTCCAAGGCGGCAACGAACGCTACGACTTCCACTCCTTCTTCGTCAGGATACCCGGCCCCTATTGGGCCTCCGCGTTAAAAAAATGGCGTTTTTGTGAACTTCTGATTTTTGATGTGCTGGTGTAAACGGAAATACCCACGTGCAAGGATGCTGTTTGAAACAAACTTGATAAACGGAAAAAAGCGAGCTCTCCTGTTGTCTGTTGTACTGCAGATATGGATCTTTTTTGATGAACTACGGGTGTGTACGGTGTGTGCTCGGCAAAGGGAAAAATGGAGAATCGGGAATATACCACTTTGCGATGCCCATGTTCTTGGGCGGGATTTGGGCAATGGGTGGTGTTTTTTGATTTTGAGTGGGTTTCTTTCGACTTGCGGGTTGTCCGCTGGGGTGAGAGCTCAGCGGTAGATAACGCTTACTTGGAACTGCTTTGTATGAGAAGGACGTGTTCCACAACCATTTTATCTGTCTCATTCCTATCGACAGTGAAAGCGGCCCGCCAGGGACCTGTGAGCCATGTAAAGGACCTTCTCACAGACAACGACAGCCCACTGATGAGAGTGTTGTGGCATTTTTGGCCGCAACCTCGTGTCGGGGAAGACTGCCATGTGCCCGGTCGGCCGCTGCCACTGTCTTTGGCTTGCCTATGTGAAAACGATACCGCCATCCACCAACTGCGTCTGCCCCGTCACGAAATTGCTGTCCTGACTCGCCAGGAAAGAGACCAGCTTCGCCACGTCCTCTGGCTCTGAAGGCCGTCCGAGAGCAGTGAGCTCCTTCACGTAGTGGTTCATGACCTCGCCTTCTCCTTTGCCTGACTTCTTGCCGATTTCGCTGTCGATCTAAGGTGAAAGACGTCAGCTTTCTCTCGTTTCTGTACCAAGGGAGGCTGGTGCAGTGCCGCTACTACATCTTGACAAGCGAGGCAGAGTGAAAGCGGCCCAGCTGGCATATTCGGCTGTCTTCTCCGGGGTCCAAATGAGATTGGAGAGGCCACATCACTCCTGTGGGCAGGCCCTCTTGTCTGTGAGAAGATCCTTCACACCTCTCGCTCTCTCTGTCCCCGGGTCAAGCCGCCGACAGCAAAAGGGGCCAACTAGGTCAGAGTGAGCTGTGTGAAGTCAGCTGTTTGAAATGGATCCTCTCACAGACCAGGACAGCTTGTCGGTGATAGTGATGTGGCCTTTTCAAGAACATTTGGATCTCGGAGAAGACTGCCAGGTGTGCGGTGGGTCTCTTTCACTGTGCCTCGCTTGCCTAGACCGATTCGATGGCTTGGAGAGGTCACGTGACCATTTCAGCCACCAGGCTCTCGAAGTCTCCCGGGTCTAGGACATAGCAGCGACCCATTCCACCTAGATTGACGCACCAATTTCCACATGGGCGTGTCCACGATCCCGGGGGCGTAGGTGTTGCACTGGTAATGGAGAAGAGTGGTTAACGATTGGTTGCGAAGCAGGTAAAAGAGCGTCTTACGGTGATGTTGTGCTCCGCAAGCTCCATAGCGTAGGCTTGATTCATACCTCGGACTGCCCACTTAGTAGCAGAGTAGTGGCCAAGGAGTGCGAAGGCTTTGAAGCCGACGATGCTGGATGCCTGTACCATGTTGTCAGTCGAAGTTTACTCAACGCCAAGACTTCGTCCGACGTACCGCAATCAGCTTCCCAGGAGCGTCCTTCTTACAGTTACCCTGCTTGATCATCTGTTTCGCTGCAGTCGAATAGCAGTTGTGTACACCCGTAATGTTGACCGACATCATCTTGGAAAAGTCGTCTTCCGTGAGATCGAGCATGCCCTTGACCTGGGCAATGCCTGCGTTGGCGACCCTGCCACCACCTATCAATATAGCTCACTGCCATCTGCTTGTAGTTTTGTCTTCGTACATGGTGTTCAGCGGGCCAAGCTTATCCACGCTGGTCTGCACGATCGACTGCACATCGCTGATCTTTGAGACGTCTCCCAGAGCAATGCATGCTTTGCGGCCCTTGCCTTCGATCTCTTTTGCGACTGCTTGGGCGACCTCTTCTTGACCTGGAATGTCGTTCACGCAGACATCGTAGCCGTCGTCCGCGAGGCGGAGGGCTATCGCACGTCCGATGCCACGGCCTGAGCCAGTTACGATGGCTGTCTTGCTGTGTTGCTGTTGTTAGGGACGTCTTTAGAAGAGCATTTGGCTGGATGTAGGATTGTTCTTGCTGGTGGCCGGAGAAACGTACCCCATTGTGCTCGAAGACGCTGCGGGAAATTTACGAGAAGGAAAGGGTGTTATGAAAGAACTTGAAGACTGGTAGGACGCAAAGGAAAGGTATGTACAGCAGGAAGACGGCAGGAAGGAGACCCTTATACTTGACCGGGCTCTTGGTGGTTCTTAAGGGAGCTAATGGACTAGACAATGTGCACCGAGGAGTACGCTTCGGCCTATGATTGTCTGCATTCGCCCGCATCGCTGGCACTCGGCTGAGCGGCCGTCGCGGGGTGCTTAGGAACAGGTGGAGTAATCGTGGTGAATCGTCCGGTGGAGAGCTCCAGTTCAAGACCGAGTCAAGAGGAGTTGGAGCTGTGGGAGCCCCAGGGCGTGACGTCGAGCGGAACGTTCCGCTTCGAGATGGCTTTATGAGTGCGACGCGACGGGACGCGACCTGATGTACATATCAAAGTAAAGATAAAGATGTCACGACAAGGAGCCTCTCGAGATGTGGAAGAACTCGAGAAAATCGAGCAACAAATCACCCTTACACTTCAAGAAATCGACAGCAACTTCAGCAAAGCGCATCGCATCGTCACCAGCAGCATACTACCCATCGTCGAGCAGTATGCGAAGCACAGCAGCAATGTCTGGGAGGGCTCCAAGTTCTGGAAGCAGTTCTTCGAGGCTTCGGCCAATGTGTCGCTGTCAGGCTACGAGGAGGCTCCGGAGGAAGATGTAACACACACCGAAACGACTTCGACGAATCTGGAGACGCCAACGGATCACGGAGAATATATGCAGGCCGGCGCGCAGGAGCAGGAGGATGACGAGGATGAGTTCTCGGTGGACTCGCCTACGCAAGTCACGGGAGTACAGTCGACACCCAAGATTGGGTCTAGCAGGAAGACGAACAGCAAGGCGGCCGCTTTCAGGTCCCCCTCTCCGCGCAAATACACCGGGAAGAACCCTCTCGCTACGGGTAGTTCAGAAGGTCCGAGTACACCTCGTCCGCGCACTGGTGTTGGTGCCCAGTCATCGCCTTTCGAGCCAGAGTCGGCAGCATACGTACCTTCGACCCAACAACGAGGCAACAATGACCCTCTGATGCACCGCATCCTGGACAAGAACTACCGCATCCAAGCCACGCCCCACACCCAGCGCCGCCAAAGACCTCAGCCGACTCAAAAGCAAACGCCTGCAACAGCCACAAAACGCATGCCATGGGACGATTCGCCTCAATCATCTCCAGACCTCCCCGCCCCTCAACTCCGCAGCGATCTCTTCTCACCGGCCAAAGCCGCCGCAGCGCCTCGGACCCCAGGCGTCTCAATCCTGACTCCAGCGCGCAAGACCGGCCACGCAGCTCCAACCACCTCCACCGGACGCCAGCTCTTCTCACCGCAGGACAAAGCCTACAGCACCACCAAGACCCACACGAGCCATAACATTTTCTCCAGCGACGACTCAGACGATGATGATGATGGCTACGGCGACATGAGCCCGCCGAAAACGATGCAATTCCACGTCCCGCAGAGTCGGCTCATGCAAACGCCAGCGCGGGAGGCGAGCAAGCGGATTGTGGATGATCTACTGTTGACTGCTGGCGCGGACGATACGGACGATATTGAGGGGATTGATGATCCGAGTGTGGTTGATGAGCCGAGTCCGAGTGTGGTGAGGAGGGCTTATGAGGACGATACGTTTTAGAGTATGTAGTACGACAAGGATCTAATGTGTCTCCATGAACGTATTGATCATCATAAGCCAGATCAGTCCCACGGAAATACCATCGCGGCTACCAATTCAAATGCAGACTTGGATGATCGTGAAAATTGAGTGAAGGAAGAGGACGTAAAGTTGTAATGTAAGTGTCAGTAGAATGAAGTGAACTAAATGCAGTATGTGCAAGTGCGCTGGGTATCTTATCATACAACCATCCCTCCTTCTCTGCTTCGCCTCAACACCATGAACGAGCGAGCCATCAGCGTCAATTAATAGTCTGTCCTGTCGAACCAGCTCCCATCAAAATAATTTTCCCTCAAGCAACAACACGCAAGAAGCTCAGCAAACAGGACGGAGACACTCTCAAAACGTCCAAATGATCATAATCATACAGCGGCATGCACTTCCAGCCGTCAACTCCCCGTCCCAAACGAGAAACTCCGACGCAAATGAACAAGTGATGCAATTAATGCAAGTTGGTTGGGGGTATCAAGCGTTGGTCGCGCGCTTGCCGCGCAATCGATGTTGTTGGTGGTCCCGTGAAGGCAATGAGGCTCTAGTTCGCATCCAAGGAAAATGGAAAAGGTCGCAGCATGACAATGCATAGTCGTGCTGAATGTGGTGTGTGAGTGGGTATCAATGCTGTTGTGTAAATCAAGGAAAAGGTGCAAGTGTATGACGGCGTGTGCCTCCAGATCCAGCGCGGCCAGTCGGAAACGTTGTCGAGACAAGACGCCAGATTCTGGCGAAAACGGGTGGATCGATCATCTGCAAGGAAAAGAGAGGTACAGGCGTTCATGCTGTGCAACCAGCACGCGGAGCCGATTGCACAGCAGCTGCAGCTGCAAGGTCGTGTGGGGTTGATTGATTGATGGAGAGGTGTGGCAGCTTTTCGTGCAGCCTGGATTTGCTCGGCCCAATGAGCTGCGAGCTCGACAAACGTCGGTGGCACACCACTATTGTCTGGCTCTCTCTTATCGTTTTATCAGCCAGTCGGTGTCGGGTGACCTTGCTGCTGCTGGTGGTCCTCGTATTGCTGTAATGGCACGAAGCGTGCGGTGTCAGCTATACCAGGGTGGGCCGAGAGCGACGGGATGCGGTTGGCGAATTGATACGACTGGGCGGAACTCGGCAGGCCGGTTGCAGGCGAGGCGCTGAGGTAGGTGTGCGGATAGTCCCATGATCCGCGAGTGGCAGAGAGGTCGGAGGAGTAGTGCGCCGAAGGCTGGTGCCATGATGTCGTCTCGTGAGTGGCCGACGTGGGCACAGTCAAACGCAGATCTGATGGTGGACCTGCTGACGGCCCGATGCCGAGTCCTGTAGGTCCCATGGCAGGCAGTGCATATGCGCTAGTGGCCATGTTGGCTGCGTACGCGTTGCCGTGGGATGTCGCAGAGCTGGACGTCGAATGTGGTGATGCAATTGGCCGTGAGTGAGGGTGCTCCAGACCGATCTCTGAGGCTCTCGACGCAGAGTAGCTCGAGGAGCTTGCGCCTGCGCCGGGAGTGTGCAGTGCGCCGGCGGTGGACGAGTAGCTTGCGGACTAGCGGCACGATCAGCATGCATGCAAACTTGGATGCACATCATCCATGACTTACATATTTGCCAATGATCTTCTTCAGCGCTCCAGCCAGGATGCGCCACGGAAAGACCTTAACGTCCTTCTCGATATTCCTTGGTTTGGGGTTTGGGAACCCCATGATCAGCTTGAAGAATCCCTCACTGTCAGGCTTGGTCTTCGAGACAGTCGCCGGCCGGAAGCCCTCCAAATTGCGACGGATCCGGTTCTTCTCCTCCACCGTGAAGCGGACTGCGACAAGGGACTCCAGCAGTGAGATGGTGTCCACGCTGGTGACGTAACACTCATGCCTCTCCTCCCACCAGATACAGCTGACACAGATGCTGTTCGGAATCCGGTCTTCGAGAGTGACCGGCTCGAAGTTCGCCGTGATGACACTGCCCTCTTGCTTGCGACGGAACTGAACGAGTCGGCGTCCGGTCTCATGCTCGGTAGGTGTCCATTTGTCTGCCATCGAGTTGAGGTCACCTTCGATCTTGAGCACCGCCTTTGTGTTTGCCAGGTACATAGCATGCGGGTTGAACTGTGAAGCCGAAGTTGTGCTTGCTGGCGTTGTTGGTGATTGCTGCAACGTTGATGTCCTGATAAGAGGTGGATTGATGGTCGGTGAGGCCTGAGCCAGACTCCTAGTACCAGCCGCCATCGTCGCTGTCGATGGGCTGCGCGTCACGGACTGCATGTGCGGCATGTAATTCCATGATGGGCTTTGGGTGCTGTGGTAGGACGGAGCAGGCTGTGGAGCGTAGTACTGCTGAGCCGAAACACGCGGGAGTGCATAGCTCTGTTGCACCTCTGGAACGCTTAATCGACGTCCTGAAGAGTACAGATCTGGAACGCTTGGTCGTCGAAAAGGCGAGGCCGAATGAGCAGCGCTTGATGGCCCGGCAAGATGTTGGAGAGACTGCTTCTTCGTTGGTGAGCGGCGAGGAGATGCTTCAGGCGAGAGTTTGCGCTTCTTCTGCTGAGCTGGAGGGGACAAGACCGGATACAGAGGCTGTTGATCCAGGTATGTGAAGCTGCCAAACTCGAAAGACGTAGGCGACCAGGTAACAGGGCTCTCGTCGAAGGTCAGAGTCAACGGGACTTGCGGAGATGGTGAGGCCGTGGGAGTGAGAGGAGGTGCGTCCACGGTGAGTGCATAATGGTACGGTTGGCCATGCTGCGTCGTCTTCGTCAAAACACTCTGGCTTTCGCACCGCCTTGGCCCGAACATAATCATCGGTGTAACTTGCGGCAGATCCAAGTCGTAGACAGATCGCAGGTAGACGGTAACTCGCGTACCTCGTTGTCCTTGATTCGGTGAGTAGGATGTTATTTCCGGCAGTGGACGGGAGGCAGTCTCAAGATATGCAGGGTAATGGACCTGCTGGTTGTGGTAGTAGGCTGTGTCATGTGAGGCATACGTTTGGGCCGCGGGATGTCGATTGTATGCGGCCACGGAGTGTGGCAGCCCAGATGGAACCTCCGCCTGAGTCGTTACATAGTCGTTCGTATAGGTCGGATGGGCAGCGAAAGCGGAATAGCCTTGCCCGTGTTCGGGTCTTGTGCTCGTTGGATACTCTGCATGCGTCACCGACGTTAGTCATCTGCCATGTTGCCTGCTTTCACATGTCCAAGTGTCGTCGATTGGTGTGGGAGCCGCCTCGGAGGTGGCACGGCCGACCTCAGGCAGCACTCGACTTGGTCGCAAGGCAGGAGTGAGGGGCGGTTTTTCGACTCACCATACACATCGTCGTAATGCTGCTTGTTGTCGTAGTCCGACATGGACAACAGCACGCTCCTTGGATCTGGATGGGCCAAGGGCCCGGCGTCGCTGCAAGCCTGATAGCTTTCAACGAGTGATACTGGAATGCCGCAGTCTTCATCAACGACCACAAACGTCTTGCTGTCCCTTCGCGCTCCCTGCCCAACCTGAGTCAGCGAAATCGTGGCTGAGCTCGAAGGCAACAGTTGTGATCGTTCCCGGTGACCTCGTAAAGGCCGAGTATTGCAAAACGTGAGAAACGACGCACCTGGTGACGCATACGCCTGGAGTCTGCCAGCTTGACGAAGGATGACTTCGGTCAAACAGTGAAGCGGAAGACGGAGGCAGTCTCCTGCAACTTGTACGACGCAGATATGATCAGGCGTAGTTGCTGAAGCAATGCAAGGTTAGACAGGGGTGCTGATTTCGAACGAACGCTTGATCCGTGCAGTCAGGCGGCTACCCGTACGAGACATGCAGAAGACAAAGAATCGCTTTGATGTGAGTGTCAGATTTCCTGCTTCCTGGTGGTCCAGATGCACGATTGCGATTTAGCTGCGCTCGCAGTCGTTCGCAGCAGATTGCAGGGTTCTTTCCGCTGCTCGACCCAGTGCACCGGCGGCCTCGCTACTGCGCGTCTCCGAGGCCAATCTCCAACCCGGTGTCAACCCAACACCTCTGTAGCGACGGTATTTTGGGCGAGACGAAACCAATTCCTGATCGATATCAGCTGATGATACAACAGGTAAGAAGTGCTGTGACCCCAAACTGCTAAAACTGGATCCGACGTCAACAGACAAAGGGATGTTGACTGATTCGACATTGCAGTGGCTGAATCTGCCGCGCTCCAAATCGTTTCCATAACATCGGTGGTTTCTCGCTTGGCATTGGCACAGCGCGATTTCAAATGCCTCAATCAAGCAAGCATGCAAGGAAATTCGATAAGGGAGCACTCACAGGTGGATCGATCGGTCAACAGACGATGAGTTCAGGCTCAGCCGTCGGTCCTCTGACTTCTGCTTGCTGAGTGCGTTGATAGTACAAGTCACGAGTCCGGGCAGTCGACCTTCGGGATGCCGTCTCGTGGACACCGCCGCCGAAACGCCTTTGACAGACCCGACCGCTTCCGAGATCGTGGCCGTCGACAGCAGTCACCTTTGACTATGGCCTGCTCAACAATGGCTTTTGTCTGGCGGCAACGATCGTTTGCCTTGCAGATCCGGATCGAAGCGCCAGGCGAGGTGTGTGTCGTAACCGGGCGGTGGGGTTGTATACCTGAATGCACCCAATGTGTCGGTGTTCGTGGAGTCAAAACTGGAGTTGTCTCAGAATGTCTCGTAAATCCTTCGACGAACGTTTCAAGGTGACCGCAAGGTCAAATGGGCGTGGGCTGTCGACAGTAGAGTTGAAATATGTCGACCTCAAGGACGGTAGGAGGGCGGTCCAGACGGTTATCAGGTGCGTGATAAACAAGATGCCGATCTATGCAATGTGAGAACGAAGTGCTTGGAGAAGAGGCCATCCACACAGAGAGAGAACCGGATCCAGCTGCTGTGACTGGCCAAATGACGCAAACTTAGAACGACGCCTTATAGCGGCGACGAGGGTCTAGGGAGTGGGAGGCACATCCCCAGAGCAGCCATATCGGTGGAGCGAACCCATCTGTCTGTTTTTAGGGCCGGGACAGACAGGCGCCACCCTTGTCGGATGTACCCATTAGGAAGCTTATGAGCTAGAGGCTGCTATCAGATGCATTCAATACGTGGCCTGTCCGTTGCGCCTGGTCGTCCATTGTGGAGGACCAACCGCCCCAGCGGACGTTCTCGGGCAGCATTGGGGCGTTCCACTCAGGGGAGCTGTTGGCTAGCCATGGTGATGCGTGAGAGGATACACAAGGTAGCTGAACAGCCATCCCTTGCTGCTGCAGAAGAGTCAAAAGAGACGAACGACGTCGCCGCGGTCATTGGCGCGCTTGCCACGGTCGGGTCAGGTACCGACAGAAGCACTGAGCTACCGGGCCCGCGTACGCCTCTCCCATGTCAACAGAAAGCACACAACAGCGAAGCGATGCGATGAAGTCACGCTTGACGGTGCGCTGCTATTCTGAGCGCGCTGGGATTGGCGGACGTGGCGGCGGCGGTGCAAGCTCGAGCCCGAAAACTGTAGCCAACGGCGCACCAAAGACACGGAAATGAATCGTCTCTCTCCTTTCGGCGACGAATGTCACAATTAATTATCGCTTTAGGCAAGCGCCTTGACGCAAACAGACTCCCTGATCTTCAGGTACGATCTCTTGTGCCTTCTCCGCCCTCTCGTTCGTCAATGTGCGATCTTTAGTCACTGCTTTATTGTCCTGTTTTCTTCCGACCGCACGTCTTCTCAGCGAGGCGAACTCTGCACAATGACATGGCCGTCTTTTCAAGGCCAGCTTGAATCTTGCTGCAAGACTCGCGACGGCAAGAGAACAGTCCGTTCGTATACAACAACACTGCGAACGCAAGTAGGTCCGTCCCCCGGCAGTCGTGAAATTGCGAACGCCATGACAGCCGACTCCGTCGATAGACCGTTCTTGGCCTACGCCTGATCCTGGTGTCGCTCAAAGCTTAGCATCCCTGTATTCGACCTCCCGTCGCTCGCAGGTACGCAATTCGTTTGTGTGTAATCCATTCTACCTGTCCAGCGGGCTGGAGCTGTCCGGATCGCACGAAGCCTTTCAACACGGCTTGAGAAACACTCTTCAGGCGCAGTTTGAAGACGCGAATTTCACTTCAGAACGCCCAAGAATGATGTCGGCGCAACGTCCTCCTGCCCAGTCGAATATACCCGGCGCTGACTCGCGCTCCATCATTGACAGCCTTAGCGCAACATCCCCAAGAAGTGCCGGTAAGATTTGAGCGTTCGATAGTCGACAATGTTTCTCCTTATGACATGCACCCCGTCAATAGCGTTCCTGCTTGATATGGATCGCCAGCTAACCCCACGGCGGGGACCTTAGCACATCACGAGTGTACAAGGGTCGGTGTAATCTTCCTTCAAATGATCTGCGGGATGGCTTTCAGGCTTGACCTGCCTCTCTCGGTGACGACGTATATCATGACTTCCTATTCGGACGACATTCATTACGTGCGTGTGGACTGGACACGTCGGCCTCGATGACATTTGCTGACGCGCATCATGGACTCACGTAGCCTCGCTCCTTCGAAGGCGCTCCTCGACCTTCTGCAGCCGCCTCTCAACCAAGAACACCGCCTGAACCATGCCCTCTAGCGACACACAAGCCAATTTCGCAGCCTCTTCGTACAACACCTTCGACGTATCGGACAAGTCTTCCAGCTTTCTGAAGCGCCGGTAGGACTCGCCAACTTCCGCCATCGTTCGTGGAGCATCTTCATCTGTCAAACGAGCCTCTGTCGAAAGACCGCCAATTGGAGGAGTGCTCGGAGGCGCCGGAATCTCAGTGGCACTGCTGTTGCGTTTACCTGGTAATGGGAACATCTCAAACAGCGCCCTTCGGAAGACAGCATCTCTCCCAGCCCGCCCATGCTCGCGAATGTCCTCGCTGGCGATGTTCTCTTCGCACCAGTCGAGGTAGGCGTCCAGCTTGTCCTCAGAGGAGTTCAAGCAGTCGTCCTCGTCGAACTCGAAGGCTTCTGCATATGTGAGATTGTCTTTTCTGTCGACCTCCTTCTTCCGCTCTTCTTGCAGCTTGAGCCATGAGTCCCAGTCAAAGACCACCGCGGACAGATCGGTAGCTGCGCGAGTCTTGAATGGCTTTGTGCCAGTGGGAAACAGCAGCTTGGTAGCGACCACTATCAGCGCCATGAGCTGTACCTCCGGGTACCGCAAAAGAGCTCGACTGCTGATCTTGGATAGATCGAACTTGATTTCTAACTCCAGCAGTGAGGTCAGCCGCTGCGTGCCAGCAAACACCTCCAACGGCAGGAGCATATCCTTCATCCAACGGTACACCACCAGAGGGACATTGATCGAAGGCACTGCCATCCCGAAATCTTTGTTGAGGAATGAAAGCGTCTCGAGCACGGCCTCATGCAACGGTTCTGGCTTGATCAGATCCGCCGGCTCGAGCAGCCTCTGGTACTGCGGTGGCAGACGTTCTCGTAACCCAAAAGGCACTTCGCGCGCAGCTCGATAGTACAACAATTCGCCATTGTTGACCCATTTCAGGATATCAGCAGCTGTGATAGGACTGCGCAGCAGCAGCACGCCTGTATAGCAGAGCGAGAGCAGCTCCAGTAGATTTGGCGTTCCCTCCTTGGGCTTCATTCGACGTTGGCGACTTCTTCTTGTAGACTGGCTGTCCCTCTCCGACTGTGAGCTGAAGACTTGAGTGGTTGGAGCATCTGTTTCGGTATCCGAGTCGTAGGAGATTCGAAACTGTAACTTCTGCAGGCGTAGAGCCCATAGGTCCTTTACGAGTACCTGTCATTGTGTCAATATGTGCTTCATTAGCCTGACGGTGTAAGCTTCTAAGCCCACCTCAAGTTCCTCCGGCAGCTTCTGCGCGTCAATGAGCCATCGCAACTGCTTCCTCAACACAAGCTGTACGCAGAGCAAGTAGTGCTCGAGTGCTTCGGCGCCAGTGAAGCCAGCAGCTGTACACGATCAGTTGGGCACAAGAGGGCAGATAGCTGTCGCGCTTCTTACACGTCCCTCGCGTTCTTGAAGACTCAGCATCAGAGTCCTTCCTTCTCACCGAGCGTCCCACAGGCACAAACTCTCCAGTGTCCTCCGCGATCACTGTGCCGCGCTATGGTGATGTCAGTGACGTTGGTGTGGCAAGGGTAGGCCATGTTCTCACCTCGCGCTGCTGGTGACCGCGGTCGCAGTAGGTATAGCCATCATCGCCGGTGTAGTAGCGCCGTGATCCACAGCTCTCGTATGGACATGGCTCTCCTTTTATACGAGGGGCGGAGGACATGATAGCGTTGCTCTACTACTTTGAAAATACTCTGTGGACGTTGAAGGCTCGAAAATTCGAATAGACGTTCGTCTTCGCCATCGTCCTTGTATGGGGCGAAGTTTGGCGTGAGCCGCTTATCGAGGTAAGTTTCGAGTTGGTTACTACTTCCCGTGCAGGAAGTTGTGGGCGGGAAAAGAAGACGATGTTATTGAAGGTGAGGTGAGGTGTACGATTAGGGTCGAGTTTAAAGGGATTCAGGCTCTCTAATATTCGATAGACATGCAACGGACACAGCACTGATTTCGCGATTGACAGAGATAAGGCTGCGAAGAGAATTTCGACCATAGTCCAGTTAATACATCTACTCGACATGGTACTGTCCTGCACCGCTGAAAGATCACAACCATATCCATAAGCAGCAAGGCTTGCCATGGTTTTGCAAACACCGCCAATGCCACCCAGGCACGATATTCGTTGTCCCATGCCTTCGTGAGTATCTAGCACCTCCTCGTCATCCCCTCTCGCTCTCAAGAACATCTAGCCCTTTGGAGCCTCCTTGGCGTCGATGGCAGCCTCCTCGCCCATGGCAGTGAGAACGATGACGTCTGGAAACAATGTCAGTAGGCTGTAGAGTGAGATATACATGAGGGCTTCCTCACTGGTGTCCTTGCCCTCATCATTGAAGAGCTTGTTGATCTTGTCACCGGGGTCGCCCTCTGGGACCTTGACGTCGTCCTTGGTGGAGCCATCGTCAGACATAAGGGACAAGAAGCCGTCGTCGGTGATGTCGAGCTGCGTGTATATCGTTAGTATTTAGTTGCGGTAAGATAGCTTTTCTTCCAACTCACAAGCTGGTACTCGCGGCGGGAGACGTTTGGGACATCCATGTTGTGGGTGGACGGGGACAGGTCTTCCAACTTCTTGCCGGTGAAGATGTCGATGGCGACCATGTGGACCTTGGCGTGACCGTGCTTGCCCGTCTTGGAGGTGGACATTTCCACGATCTTGCACGGGCGGCCCTTGATGACGACGTGTCCGTTCTTCCTCAAGGCCGAGCACTGCATCGGGAAGGTGGTGGAGGCACCGGCGTCGGCGCTCTCGAAGGTGTGCTCATGCTGCAGTAAATGATGTGTTAGCTATGGTTCTCTCAACTGCTGTGGCCGGCGCAAGATCTCGACATGGTGCTGTGGTCGACCCCGCTGCCGCACGACTCCCTCGAGATCTGCCGGGCGGAGGTGCTGCTCACCTGCGCATCGTTGGGTTCCGCCATGATGGATGACGGGTGTAGATATAGGGGGTGTGGGGGTGGTGTATGAAGTCGAGGATGAATGCAGCAAGGGAGGTTGAGTTTTCGAGGTCTGGCGCACTTGGTCGGATAAAGATCGAAAAATCGCGAGCGACTTGTGGTGGAGGAAGGTGGGGCAGTGCGGGAGGGCCCTTTAGCAGGCAGTTGGCTCGAAGGGGCGTAGTAAGCACTGAAAGCACGTGAGCTCCGACATGGAGAGCCTCACATTTCAGCTTGCGCGGGAGGACAACATTGGACCACGCGATCAAACGATGATTCTACGACGATAACACCACATGCGCCCGTGGCATGTGGCTAGAACGCTTCTCCGGCCAGTCGAGCCAGTCGACGCCTACCACGAATACCCCTAATCGAGCGAACTCGCCAGCGCCTCGAAGGTCTGTACAGCTAGGGCCGAGTACCCTCCCTCGACGACCTGGTCTCAGTCCGAGAACCTCGTCGCTCTCGGCTAACTCCTTGTATGGCTCAACCGATAGTCTGCCAGCGGCAGCGCGGATACCGAATGGATCGAGCTTGAAGAACGAGCTGGGAGGCTCACCTGCGCCCGATGTCCCTGATCCGGTCGACGTCTTGCAACGTATTCTTGGAACCGCCGACAGCAATGGCGGGAGTAAGACGAATGGCTATACGCAAGCCGGTGACAGGCCAGAAGAGCTGGCGGAGGACATCGACTTTGGCAACTTAAGCCTGGAGGAATTTGCGAGCAAAGCACCAACTCTCCAACTCCAGACCAGCGACGCCAACGAGACAAACGTCGCCCCGATCGTAGAGGACTTTGAAAAGGAAAAAGACAAGTTCGTGGACCTGCACAAGTCCATAGTGGCTTGCGATGAGGTCCTGAAGTCTGTCGAGACATACCTTACAAGCTTTAGAGCAGACCTGGCGAACGTCTCGGCGGAAATAGAGAGCTTGCAAAACCGGTCTACCTCGCTGAACAACAAGTTGGACAACCGAAGGTCTGTCGAGAAGGTGCTGGGACCTGAGGTCGAAGCCATCACCGTTCCTCCTGCTGTGGTAAGGAAAATCACGGAAGGAGTGGTGGACGATTCTTGGGTTCGAGCTCTGCAGGAATTGGAGAAGAGATCGAGAGCTATCGATGGGAAGCTGAAGGAAGGCAAAGATATCAAGGCATTGCAGGATATTCGGCCGTTCATCGACAATGTCTCTAACAAGGCTGTCGAGCGCATTCGGGACTATGTCGTTGCACAGATCAAGGCGCTCCGGTCACCAAGTATTAATGCGCAGGTCATTCAGCACAACAGCTTCTTGAGATACAAGGATGTGTTCGCGTTCCTGGCGAAGCGGCAGCCTGGATTAGGGGAGGAGATCTCGCAAGCCTACATCAATACAATGCGGTGGTACTACTCGAGCCATTTTACCCGGTACAAGGCCGCGTTAGAGAAGCTCAGCACACATGCAATCGACCAGAACGATGCTATTGCCAGTGAAAGCTCAACAACTAGAGGCAGCAAAGGTGGTACTTACGACGCTTTCTCGATCGGCCGAAGGATGGACATACTACGGACATCGAACGACACTGCGATGCCATCGTACGCTGCTGAAGAAGATAAGGCCTCCCATTACCTTGAGCTACTCTTCCGTGCCTTCAACCTGGCGCTCGTCGACAACGCTTGCGCCGAGTACTCTTTCCTGACCGAGTTCTTCGCCAAACAGCCTTTCCAGGCCACCCTTCGAAAGTTCAACGAGGTCTTCCAGCCTGTATTCGATCTTGGACAGACCCTCACGAAGCAGCTGACAGAACACAGCTATGATGCTCTTGGTATCCTGGCGTGCGTCCGGTTAAATCAGCATTTCGCTTTCGAGCTGCAACGGCGGAAGGTCCCTGCTGGCGAAAGCTACATCAACAGCACGAACATGCTGTTGTGGCCGCGCTTTCAGATCGTCATTGACAGCCATTGCGACTCGATTCGGAAGGCCACAACATCACTCACTGGCAAACCGTCGGGCTCTGCTTTGAGCTTGACAAGCTCTCCATCAGCTTCCACTACCGCCCCTCATCCGCTCACCCAGAGATACGCGAATTTCGTGCAAGGTATCCTGGCATTGAGCAGTGAAGCTGGGGATGATGAGCCGGTCTCGAACAGTGTTGGCAGGTTGAGGAATGATTTTGAAGGCTTCTTGACGAAGCTGAGCAAGGCGATAGCAGAGCCTAGGAAGCGGCAGAGGTTCTTGTATAACAACTACTCGCTCATCTGTACGATTATTGCGGAGACGGAGGGAAAGCTTGCAGACGAGCTGAAGAGTTATTATCTGGAGAAGAGGGAGAGTCAGGGTATAGATTCGTAGAGACGTCGATTGCTAGTTCGACAGTCTGCTTCTGAAGTCATATTTGTTCATCACGTGAGCCAGCCGGCCGGGCTTGGCAGCCCACCACCGAAACTTCGATTGAAGCGCTCCAACCTCATCAACGACCACGACATCACCACATCCGTATCGAAGGTCGCAAACAGTAAGTCGCTTACCACAGAAGCCGTAGAATACTCACCGTCAATACTAACAAATCCCACAGTGCAGATGTACGCTCCCAAACCTCCCCCCGCCACCACCACATTTCCCCCACTAACCATCACCCAGCTTCGTCAAGACCCTCACGGGCAAGACCATCACCCTCGAGGTCGAGAGCTCCGATACCATCGACAACGTCAAGAGCAAGATCCAGGACAAGGAGGGCATTCCTCCGGACCAGCAGCGCTTGATCTTCGCCGGCAAGCAGCTCGAAGACGGCCGCACCCTCTCCGACTACAATATCCAGAAGGAGAGCACGCTGCATTTGGTCCTGCGTCTGCGTGGAGGGATCATCGAGCCGAGTTTGAAGGCGTTGGCGAGCAAGTACAACTGCGAGAAGATGATTTGCCGGAAGTGTTACGTGAGTGAGAAAAAAACAAAAGCCGACGGAGGCGAAGGGCGGCAGGACAATGTGCTAATGGAATACGGACAGGCCCGTCTCCCGCCGCGTGCGACCAACTGCAGGAAGAAGAAGTGCGGACACAGCAACCAGCTGCGCCCGAAGAAGAAGATCAAGTAGTGGCTATGCGGGCAGAGGAGTGCTACGAGGCGAAGGTGCTTTTGTTGAGGTGCTAGGATTGCGGAGGGAGGGCAAGACACACTTGCGGTAGCCTGAAGCATCAATGAACATCTACATCAACACTCTGCGCTCTTGCGGCTTTGCGAAATTTGCATGCTGTTCTCTACAACCTTGCTCAGAAGATTTTTCCGGCTGTCTACAGTGCCGATCTATCGCCAACCTTCGTCTGCTCACCACCATCCACGGTGGTGAATCGGGGAGAGCGTGAGCGTGTACCGATGCATCTAAACCATTGGGGTCCGAGCTCACTACATCCTGCGATGCCGATGCGCAACAGAGTCCATGACTGTAGGAACACGAATCAGTCGCCTGCCAACAGCGCGGTGAAAACGGTCATACCTTCGTTATCAAATGACTGCCCGCAAGTCTCTCAAGCGTGCCATGCTGGGAACAACCATTTGCCGCAGACAATCCCAAATCCATCCCCTCAGCACACAGGACGTGCCGACCTTCGACACTGTCTTCCATCCCGCCATCCTCACTCCACCCGCCCAACCCCCCTCAAGCTCAAATAAACATCAGTCCCCCACCCCCACAGACTCTGCACCGCAATCCCACCTCCAAAGTACTCCGCATAAGCCCTTCCCAGCGGCAGTCCATACCCCAAACCCGCTAATTCACTCCCCTGTCCCGCGCCTCCCGACAGCATGTCCAACCCCGCCATGCCTCCGCCTCCAGACCCGGAAGTCTTGTCGTGGATCTCGTCCTCGTTGAAAGTCGTGAAGCCGTATTCCCACAGCTTGGCCAAGTTGGACGGGTCGATGCCGCCGCCGCGGTCGCGGATGCGGATGGTGACGCCGGGTGTGGCGTGGGATAACGGGCGGATGTTGGGGGAGGTGGAGGCGGTTGGTTTGGGGGACGAGGAGGCGGCGTCTACGGCGCCTTGGTCGTGGGTGGTTATTGCTGCTGGCGTGTTGGTCGCTGGATCTATAGGGAGATCTTCAGGAGAAGTCGAGGGTTTGCCAGCGGGTTCCGGTGGTGGGGGAGAGGGCGCGATGGTGATTTCGATCGCTTCTTTCTCCATGCCCGCTTCAATGGTGGCGCGGAAGGAGTTCTTGAGGAGCTCGGTGAGGACGTATTCGATGTGCATTGGTATGTGGGCGATCGTAGCGTCTGGGCTGCCGACGATTTGTACAGTAGGCCGGACGCCGTACTTGAGCTCGCAGATCTCGCCGACAGTATTCTCGCATGCCCTCACCAGCGCAGCAGGCTTGAGCTCCGTATCGATCACGCCGATGAACGAGCTGTCCTCATCCTCCTTGTGCTGATCCTGGTCCGAGAGATCATTGTGCGGCTTACTGCTCATGTGAAGCGCGATATGCTGTTCCGCAATCAACCTCGTGCCTATCCTCGCCCTCAGATGTTCGTCCAGAAACTTCGTAACCTCATCTTTCGAAATGTACTTCCTCGCCTCCAAGAACCCCTTCGCAAGGATGGCAATGGTGTTACTATGCGTCTGCACCAAATCCGCCATGGCCTCCGTGAACTTGATCTCCTCCTCCAGCGTCTCAATCTTGCGCTCCGCATACGGCAGCAGCGTCGAGAGCGAATGCACATAGTTGTTGTGGATCTTGTTCACATTCGGGTTTGCGACCACGATATACGGCAAACTCCTCAGACTCTGGATGCGGTGCGCCAGCCTCGAGGGCAGGATGGAGAGGGTGAAATTGGCATTGCTAAGCAGCGACTGCTTCGACAGCGGCGGGCGGCCATTCTTGCAGAGGTCCGCGAGGGTCAGTGGGTGGAGCGGTTTGGCTGCCAGGCGGGCAATGTCGGCGTCCTTCACCGTGGCTGTTTGGATGGGTCGTGTGCCCGATGGAAGTCGGCGGTGGAGGGGAAGATTGTGGACGGGAAGATCGGGGCGGAGAGCGACGCCATGGTGCCTTGCTGCAGTGCGCAGACTGAGCATTACCGGCACCCTCAACTCGAGTCGAACGCTACCGCTCGCGCATCGGTGATGGTCGAGGAAGATGAGTCGAAGACGCAGAAGCAAGTCAAGAGTTGTGGGGTGAGGTCAAGCTTCTCCCACAGCGCTCAAGCACCATCTCCTTGTTGCAGTCCAGACCAGACGGCGGCACGCCAACGCAGCGTGGTGTCACAAGAAAATGGAAAAAACAGTCTGCATCCACACCCATTGATACACTCGCTACCCTATATAGCAACAGAGGAGAACACCGCAGCAGCACCGGCTCAGACTAGTTAGAAAACACACAAGAATGAAGTCGCTGTGGTATCACAACACCCCCGTCCACTCTCCTCTCACCCTCAACAAAAACATTCTCTTCTTCTCTGGTCAAGCCCAGCCTGACCCCGTCCGCCGCCCCGCTGATTGCTTGCTTCCTCGGTGAAGAGAGGTAGCAATGAGGATATCGATTAGTATCATTAGAGGTTACACCCGCCCGTCTTCTCTCTGCCCGTTGCACCGCCCGATCATCATCCAGATGCAGATGGTGGAGTGATGAGGCCTCACCGTCTGTTTGTGTTGTTGTGCCCCCGCTCACTCCACCCTAACCCCTCAGCGAGAAGCCACCCTTCTTCCTCCCCTTCTCCTCGACTGGCCGCCCGCTCTCAATCCGTGACTTCTTCTCCTCGAGCTCCTGTCGCTGGCGATCGAGCTGCTCCTTCATCTCACGATGCCTGGCGTACAGCTCTTCTTCCGACTGCTTGAGCTTGCTCTCCTTCTCCTGCACCTTCTGCTGGAACACCATCTTCATCTCGAGCTCCATCTTTGCCAGCTTCTGCTCGTGCAGGCTGCGCTCCTCTTCTTGCTTCACCGCTGGGTTGACCTCCTTGAACACGCTAGGATCTTGTGCCACGCCCATGTTGGTAAGCTTGTCGCTGCGGTAGTTCTCGTAGAGGAAGTTGTTGGTGTGCTCCTTGAGCTCCTCCATGTGCGTTCGGATGAGCATTTGGCGCAGCTTGACGAAGTCGCAGTGGTCCTCATTGTCAACTTCGATCACACCCCACGGGTAGCGACGGCCGCGGACCTTGCGACCTTCTGGTGTGGAGACCTCACTATTCGCGCCCACGACTGCGAATGGGACCTTGGACATGATCTCGTTGTTCTCGGCGATCGTCTCCTCGTCGTCGAGCTCGTATCGCGGGCCCTCGAAGATGTGAATGCTGTGGTGGTGGATATCTGCGAGGATCTAAAGCACACAAGTCAGCTGCAATTCTCGGAGTCGAGATTATGAATACTCACACGCTGCTTGAAGTTCGCAATCTCCTCATCGGTAAGAGTATCAGCCTTGGCAATGACGGGAATGAGGTTGACCTTGGTATGAAGTCGCCGCATCACCTCGACATCGAGAGGCTTGAGAGAGTGCCCAGTCGGCTGCACGAAGTAGACGCAAGCATGCACGCGGTTGTCGACGATGTTCATGCGGTTCACCTTGTTCTCCGCGTCCAGGTAGGCGTCGAATCGCTGCTCAATGTTCTCGACAATCGGCCGCCACGAATCGTCGTTGTTTACGAAGTCACCGAAGCCAGGAGTATCGACCACAGTCAAACGAAGACGGACGCCGTTCTCCTCAATGTCGGCGCTGATGGATTGTATGCTGACGGTCTTGGGTGCGAAGTCGAGGGAGGGCTGCTTGCGTTCTTTCGGCGGGTAGAGGGAGGTGTTGAACAACGTGTTCACAAGAGTAGACTTGCCAAGGCCAGACTCGCCTGTAGCAAAGGTGATCAGCATGCTGTCGATTGCCGAGCAATGATATATCACTTACCAACGACCATAACGTTGAAGTTGAAGCCCTTGCGTACACTCTTGCGGTGCCACTGGTTCGGCAGGTTTGCGAAGCCGACGTAACCAGTGAGCTTCCTGCGCACAATGTTCCTCATATCACTCGCTGCCTGAGCTGCCGCTTTCGGGTCTTTCGAGGTCACGGTCTGAGGGGCTGGAGTGCCGCCGTTAGGCATGGCGTTGCTTGTCGCAACCAAAGGAGACGCGGGCTTGCCATTGGGAACGCTGGCCTGGTTTGGCACAGGAGAGGCGCGGTTGGGAGGCGAGGTGGTACCCCCGTTGGCGGATGCTAGAAGTTTTGCGTCAGCACTTGTTGTGTGGATGTCGACCTTGGTCACGGTGATGTCGGTCCTAGTGGGCGAGACGACGCGGCCGGGTCTGGCGGCTTGGATGCAAGGAGCGCTGCTGCCCGTGACCTTGCTGTCGATCGTGGACTTGGAGGACACCGACATGGCGTGCTGAAGTATGCCCGTCCGCGCAGCCACGTGCTATGTCGTTGAGGGTAGGCGGCAGGCGGTGTTGTCGTGCGCGGACGATGGAGGTTGTGATGGGGGAGGAGAGGGAGGGAAAGGAAGAGGCTTACCCATGGCGAGTGCGGTCGAGGAGTGTTGTTGCTGGAGAACGTGGCGTAGTTTCCCAAGGTGTCTGAAGAAAGAGCCATCGTCAGTACTGCTGCTCTATTCGGTATTCGCGGAATGCCGAAGCAGTTGCGCCTCGTGGAGCGCCATGCAGGTGCCTTACAAGAAATTCTTCCGCCTTCAATCCCGCGGATGCAGCGTTTCAATCGCGCCCTGCCGCTGCGCTCGGGTGATGCTGGGTATGGCGATGGAGGAGGGAGCGAGGAGGAGGATGAAGATATCGGCGAGTCGGTGATGGGTGCCGTGCGGAAAGAGTGGATTGTTGGAAAAGCTGGAGTTGCAAGCACGCCGTGTCAGGTGTCAGTGGAAAGGGGATCGCAGGGGTCTGCTGGCCACGTCCGTGCTCGGCCCAATGCCCGTTACGCAGCACGCTTCGACTTCTTGTTCCGACGACCTTCTGCCAAGCGCCGCAATGCAAGCACCGAAGTCTATTAATTCTCCGGCGGCACTCAACGAAGATTCAAGCAGATGTTTCGTGATGCTACACAACATGTCGACAAGCCATTGTCTCGGTACTTGTCAAAGTCTATCATGCATGTGACCCGATGCGGGACAGCTCTCAGTCTCCTCAGTCCGCGCAAGCATCATGCAAGATGGAGCTTGCTGCAGCAGAGATCTGGCAGAAGCAAACCTCACGTGTCCCTCCATCTCGTCCCTCCAACTCGTATTCCCGAAGACGCCTCGCTCGCTAAATCGCTCCAAACATTCAATGCTCCTTCGGAGAGCCTCGCTTTTCACTCAGTCCCACAGATGTCCCCCAACTCCATGCTTACGCCAACGAAGCAAGAATACTACTCAACTGCCCCTTATCATACTTGACATACTTGCCCTTCCCCTTGTCAACCTCGTGATACCGCTCCCAAAACCGCGTATACAACGGCTCGATGAAATTCTGCACCTCCCGACCCAGCATCCTCCGCACCTCCGGCTCCATCTTGTAGCTCTTGTGCTTGGCCACCAGCTCGTCGAACGAGACGTTGAAGTTGCGGAACTTCTCCTTGATGGCGTCTTTCTCTTTGCTGTTGAGCGCTTTGAGCACGTCGGCGGAGTTGACACCTTGGCCCATGGAAGGTGGCCGGGCGTTTTTGGTGTTGATCACGTCGAGTAAGAGGGTGGAGGTCTCTTTCCAGGCGTCGGTGTAGAGTTGGGAGGACTTCTTGCGCCAGGCTTCGAGTTTGGGCGTCGAGCCGAGTAGGGGCTGTAGTTCGGAAGAGCGGATCATGCGTTCGATGAGCGCGATGTTGTTGGCGAGGAAAACGCCTTGCACACTCTTGCCGCGGAGTAGTGATTTGGCGCGGGACTCGAGGTTGGAGAGCAGGGTCTCGATGGTGTCGGTGCTGTAGTGGGAGAAGAGTTGTTTGCCGTCTGCGCCGACGTCGAACGATTTGATGGTTGGGATGGAAGAGGTCGAGGTGCTGTTGTTCGGTGCAGACCAGCCTCCGTCGCCGAGGCTACGCATGATAGACGTGAGCGGTGGCAAGTAAGAGGTCATGGTCTGCAGCCGTTGCATGACTTCTGATGTGATGGGGACGGCGGAGCCATCGATGGGTAGAGATGAGATCTGCTGGATTCGTGACCGTATGTCGGAGAGCAGGCTCGACAAGGATGACTTGGCGGTCTCTCTCACAGGTCTTAGAGCTTCAGACATGGCTTGTTTGAGCTCTCCGGTCCTGTCCTCGAGACGGAAAGAAGTATTGGACACCACTTCGATGATCTCGTACGCTAGATAGCAGTCGGTGATTAGGTTCGACTTGATATGTGCATCCAGATCGCGTAAGGTATTGCCAAATACTGCCAGAGAGCCCTGGCATGTTGTGATCAGAACCTGGCCCCATTCTTCACGGCTGAAGATTTGGCAGATGTTGTCGTACTCGGCAGTATACATTCCTTGCATCCCACCAGCATAGGTGCCGATACCATTGCTACCTTGCTTGTAGATTGCATTGGTGTCCTGTCCAGCGACCTTTCGCGCAGTGGACAGCGAAGCTTGCGCCAGGTTGCTCAGTGACAAAGTGATGTGCTGGCCGCGCTCCTGAGCGTAGACCTTCGCGGAAGGCGCAAGCTCGCCAGGCGACACTTGAGAGGTATAGTTGTGTATTTGCGCATTGATGGTCCGAAGCTGTGCCGTCTTCTGCTGCGCCAATCTCGGAAACTCTGCGCTCTTCATGATGTACCCCAAGGGCTCGATAGGTTGGGAGTCTCGCCTGCAGAGGTCGCGAAACACATCTTCGAGGCTTTGTGTTCCGACCGATAGCAGACTGCTCAGCTCCGAAATGGCTTGTTGATTGGACCGCAGGTTTGTAGCCTTGAGCTCTCGTAGCGCTTGGTTCGTCCTGTCTATGCTAGACATGTAGTCTGCCAGTCCCACCCTCTCCGGTCGACTTCTCAATATACGCTCCTCCCGCTTCGTCATATCCAGAGGCTCCCTCGCTCTCTCTATTGCTTCCAGCACTCGGTCGACATTCGTGTTCATGACTTGAAGGCGCTGCGTGTTGCCATACACGGGACCAATCGCATCCTGGACTGTCCGGCCGCTGACTTCGAGTCGAGACATGGAGCCCTGGATCTTCTTGGACAGCGACTTCAACTTCTCGAGGTTCGCGTAGAGCACTTCGACCTCTGCGGCCTCCTCCGCCAGCGCTCCTCTTCGTGGGACTGGCATTGTGGTGGATGCTGTACTGATAGTGGTGGTGTTGTGGATATCGCAGGACGTCACTAGGGTCACCGGGAACGAATAGGGTGGGCCATCACCAAGGGCTGTCAATCAGTAGCGATTGGTAGGGCTGATCGTAAAGGTAGACTTCAATCATGCACAACGTTCGAGCTGCAGTGAGGTTCGTGGCATCGTGGCGCAACTGTGGCTTCGTGTGGGGGCGGAGAGGGCCGCTGCTTTTTGGAGAGCACAAACCACAGCACCACCAACATCAGGCCATGCAACACACTCACCTTCAAGTCCTCAACCACATTCCTCGCAGCTCAATGACTTCTGGAAAACGCTAGATCGAATCGAAATGGCCTACTGGACACCCGCTCAACCCAAGACCAAGAAAACAACTTGAAGGGAAGCTCAGTTTGAGCATCATCCCAGGCTTCTCACTGTTGCATCCACGACAGGCTACGACTTGCGCAACGGCGAACGTCGGCACAAGAACCGCTTTCAAAGTGCAGCAATCTCCTCCCGAATGTCGAATAGTGTCGCCGCGGGTCCAAGGGCATCATCGCACTTATACCAGACTCTGGAGAGCTTTCAGCCCTTCGAGCTCAGCCTCCACCTCAGGCCTGGCACCACCTTGTTGCCTGATCGAATGACCGAACCTTCGACTTCACTCTTCCTTTCTCAGCAGTTTGCGCACGCTATGGGTGTGGCTACTGTTTTTTCGATGATTGTCCATTGACTTGGCGTGTTGGTTCCTGCTCTGCGCCACCCCTACTCGAGCTCCAGCCTTAGGCTGAGGAGACATCTGCTCAGGCTTCTACACCCCCTCGTGACCATTATGACTGTTGAATACCTCAACCAGATGGCCGCAGCCTGACACACCAGAAGAAAAAGGTCACTAATGCTGTTGAGGTGCTCCGATGCTGGCCGCGTGTGTAGGCTCAGCAGTTCAGCTTTGGTGTGCAGGTGTGCAGAGAAGGTAAGAGAATGTCTCTTGGTTGCGTGTCGTGTGCCATTGTTGGAGTATAAAGTCTCTCATCTCTCCTTCGTGGTTTCGTGTCTCACCGAAGCAAAAGATCTCAGACATTTCACGCACGAACTCAATCGCAGAGACTCTCACTCCTCCATACATACAACCACCCTCCTACATCACTCTTTCATTGCTATCTCCAAGACATGGTCAGCCCTTCCTCACAGCTTGCTACGGCCGCTCAGCAAGTGACAACCTTCAACGGCGTTTTGGACGAGGTTTGCGAGGACTTATCAACCATCCCACGAGCAAGAGGTCATGGCACGAAGCTGTCGGCGGCGAAGTCGAATGCCCGCCTGGATCGACTACCCGACAAGCTAAAGAACATCGTCCTCAACGTAATGCAACTGGAGCGAGAGTGCGAAACTTCAAGAGCGGATCTCGAAGATGTCAACTACGAGCTTCAGGATGTGAAGAGGGAGCGAGATCGTCTCCGGACTGAGAATGCTACGCGCAGGGCTGGGACGGACGGTACACCTGGAAGGCTCCAGGAATCAAGGCGAGAGGTCGAACGGCTTCAGACAGAGAAGCGCGACTTGGCTCAACAACTACAAGACGCAACTTCGAACGAACCCAAGCTACGGAGCCTGAAGACCGAAAACGCAAAGTTGAAGCGCGATGTCGACACCCTCAAGATCGAGAAGTCCGACCTGGTCCAACAACTCCGAGACGCAGACTCGAATGGCAGCACTGTACGGAAACTAAAGATGGAGAACGCCAATCTCAAGAGCAATGTCGAAACTCTGAAGACCGAGAAGTCCGATCTCCTCCGCCAAATTCGCGCTTCCGACTCCAACGGCAGCAGCGTGCGGCGACTCAAAGTCGAGAATGCCAACCTCAAAGACGAGGTCGATACGCTGAAGATCGACAAAGCGGACCTGAGGAGAGAGCGCGACGACCTGAAGAAGGAACGAGATGGATTGACCAGCAGGAAGGAGGAGCTGAAGAGAGAGACGGCTGGTCTCAAGCTGAGGAACCAGGCGCTGGAGAAGCAGGTGCAGGATATGCTGGAGGTGAAGTGTATCAGCTGTCGGAAGAGAGTGAAGCATTGGTGTACGCTGCGTGGTGGGTACGTGCGGTTCAACTCGTGAGGTGTTTTGTGTTTGAGCTTGGGATACGATCGCGATGGTGTTTGAGCGGGTATGGCTGTCTTGTGTGAGCGAAGGCGTTGGAGGGAATGATTGATTGTTCGACTGTATCGTTAGCTTAAAACCATGTATGTACCATAGACGCAACACCCTGTTATACAGTTGTTCATGGTCGTCGCCGGTGCTCCTCTTTCTGGGCTTTACTGCACAACCATGGTGAAGCCGAGAGCCTGGTTACACCACGTGCGGGTACCTGTCGATCATCGCGGCAACGAACTCTAAAGTGACGCGATTTGCACGTAACTCTCGCCCAGCAGCCAACTTTCCACACGGCTCCGGCCTTTCAGCGCCCAGCGCCACGTTTTCAGTTTCGTTACGCCACTCCTTTCGCATTCATGTTCCATGGACTTCTCTTCTGGCGATTGTAGTATCTTCAACTCGCAATCACTCTCCTCTCCCTCTTCGCCTGTCGCTCCTTGATGCTCGGGATCTCCTTCGAATAGCACCAGCCTCGGTCTGGGTCGCAACCCCCTAAACAACTTCCCGAATTACTAGCACATGAGTGCCTCCCTGGAAATCCTTCTTTGCGATGCATCGAGCGTTCAGATGGCAATACTACTCCGCCCGACGGCGTGAGCTTGCGCTTGGAATCGCCTTCGGATCTTTTGCCATTGTTGGATTCGGAGCATTGGGCGGCCCCAAGCTGCAACGCGCCGACGGCGCCAACTTCACGGAGTCCTCACCATGGCGCAACAAACCGACCGTCGTCTCCCACAACGCTTCGCCCTCCGAGAGAGCTGGAGAGACGGGGAAGCCGTCACCGTATCCTCCAGACAGCGCAGAGGGCGCACAACCACCACCGCCGCAAACGAAAGGTCATTCCACGATTGATGCAGAGGCCGACTCGTCCGTCGAGACTGTTTCAGCTTGGCAGAATGCCACCGGTAAGGTTGCTGCCGTTCGCGACTCCTTTACGGGATGGGACTTCAGCGCGCTCAAAGTCAAAGTCACGGGTGCCCTGCCTCCCTGGATTCGCACGCTGCCAGGCTATATGGACAAGCTCAACAACGAGCTGTCTGGTGCTCCATGGTCGCTGAGTTGGGAGATATGGGAGGATGCTCACGACCCTGAGATCAACCCTGAGATCATCTGGGACGCTGACGTCCGGATCTCTAAAGACTTGTGTCCAGCCGAGCAGGCGTTTCTTAGCGCTCGGCAAAGACACACGACCAAAGCGTTGGCGAAGTATCTTGGAGTGCCCGAGGCTGAAGTGCACCCGGAGGATGTACCAAAGATTGCAATGTGTGGCTCCGGCGGTGGCCTGCGTGCTCTTGTTGCGGGAGCATCTTCCTCCCTCTGCGCGCAAGAATCCGGTCTCTTCGATTGCGTGACCTACACAGCTGGCGTCTCGGGGAGCTGCTGGATGCAGACCCTCTACAACTCTTCTATCGGACGGCAGGACTACCAGAACATCATCAATCATCTGAAGCAGCGTATCGGTGTGCATATCGCGTATCCTCCGGCTGCACTTGGCCTGCTGGCCACAGCGCCTACGAGCAAATTCTTGCTCAGTGGGTTCGTGGAGAAGCTACGCGGCGTGCCAGACGCGGATCTTGGGGTCGTCGACGTTTACGGGCTGTTGCTGGCTGCACGATTACTGGTTCCCAAAGGAGAGTTGCGTGTTGACGACAGCGACCTCAAGATCTCAAAGCAGAGCTCTTACGTCGAAAACGGCGCTGCGCCTTTGCCAATTTACACAGCAGTCCGGCACGAGATACCAGGCAGTATGAAAGGCGACGGTGAACCTTCGAAGTACGCCTGGCACAACGACATCAACCAGGACTGGTTTCAGTGGTTCGAATGGACGCCTTATGAGTTCTTCTGTGAGGAACTCGAATGCGGCATTCCAACGTGGGCTGTTGGGAGGAGTTTCAATGCTGGTCAGACGGAATGGCGAGACAATGGCTTAGCTCTCCCGGAGCTACGAACTCCTCTGATGATGGGTATCTGGGGTAGCGCCTTTTGCGCGACCCTATCCCACTACTACAAAGAGATAAAGCCTATTCTGATGGCCGCTGGGTTGTCTAAGCTGGACGTCCTGCTGCAGGGGAGACAAGACGAGCTGGGCAAAGTCCACCCGCTGGATCCTGCGATGATACCCAATTATGCTAAAGGCCTTCGTAGCCGTCTCCCGGAGAGTTGTCCTGAGAGTATCGAAGAGACTTCTCATCTTCAGCTGATGGACGCTGGAATGAGCAACAACCTACCTATATATCCTCTGCTTCGACCAGGCAGAGATGTGGATGTCATCATCGCCTTTGACGCCTCCGCAGATGTCAAGTCAGACAACTGGGTCAAAGTCGTCGACAGCTACGCCCGACAACGAGGGATCCGCGGCTGGCCGATGGGTGCTGGGTGGCCGCCAAAGACGAACGAGCAGCAACAGACCACAAAGGAACTTGGAGAGGCGCAGCAAGCCGTGTCAGGGCAGATGAACGACGTTCTCGAAAGCACTCAACAGATCGATGAGCAGGAAGACCTCGGGTATTGCAACGTCTGGGTTGGTTCGATAGAGGAGCAGCACGAGGACGCAGGCCTTCCCCCTTCTCGCAGAGTGAAGTTCGACGGCGACGCTGAGCATCTGTCTTCGCCCGACGCTGGCCTGGCGCTGATCTACTTCCCATTCCTCGCCAACGACAAAGTACCAGGTGTTGACCCAATGACCTCAGATTTCATGTCAACCTGGAATTTCGTCTACGAGCCAGAGGAAATCGACAAGGTCGTTGCTTTGGCCAGAGCAAACTTCAACGAGGGAAGGGAGCAGACTCGACGGACAATTCGAGCTGTGTGGGAGAGGAAGAGGAAGTTGCGCCTGCAGCGGGAGGAAGAGGAGCGCGACATTCAGCGGCGGTATCGACTTCGTCACTTCGAGCACAACGACGATGGTAGCCAGGCAGATCATTTCAGCGGAAACTGACAAGTCGCATATCTCTCTCATGCAGCTAGGATGATGCAGCTTTGGCGCTGACCGCAAAGTTGAACTGTGTCCAGCTATTGCTTTGGTCTTTCCACGACCTCCACCGCATTCGGGGACGGGTCTTTGATTGGTATCGCCGAAGGTTGTTCATATCAAAGAGCGATATCGGAGCAAGGCAAGCAATTCGAAGCCTTCTTTCAGCGCTAGCGGCGTTGAAGCTCCGATGCCTTGCGGTTGTGTCGGCATCTCGGCGTAGAAAAGGCCCAATCTTACCAGGATCCTGGCCAGTTCAACGTCATTTTTGCTGCATTTGCGACAACGCTCAACGAAGATACAGGTGCAGGGGTATCGATATACTAATAAGCCAACCGCCACAATGTTTAATGCCGAGAACGCTTTTCGCCAGACGAGTGGTCGTTTTCTGACACCATTCCTCCTTCTTGACAACAATGTCTTCCCAAGCGCATCCTCCAGACCTTGAGAAGGGCCAGAGTTCATCGAGCAATGATTATGAGGATGCCGAGAAGGCACACAATGGACACGAAGGTACTTCACAAGATGCGAGCGACACGTCCAGCGTCTTCTCAGAACAACAAATGGAAGGCCCACCTAGCATACGGAGCCGGAACAGCACTCTATCACGTACGCCTTCGCGGCGGATAGAACGAGTCAACACCACCGCCTCGACCGCACTCTCGAAGATCAGATCACGAAATCCTCGCGGGCCTTTTACCCACCCTTTGACACACGAGAAGACGAAACCAGACCACATCGTCGATTTCGATGGACCAGATGATCCATACAGACCGATGAACTGGCCGTTCCGAAAGAAGGCCATCACCACGGTGGTATACGGCCTGACAACGATGGGCGCCACGCTCGCATCCAGCATCTTCTCACCCGCGCAACAGCAAATTGCCGAGCATTTTGGTGTTGGTGAGGAAGTAGCAGTTCTTGGAACAGCGCTGTTCTTGTTTGGGCTTGGTCTTGGGCCTCTGTTATGGGGCCCGCTGTCAGAACTGTATGGGCGAAAACCGGCGGTGCTCATTCCAGCTTTCATTGGAGGAGTGTTCGCTTTCGGCGTGGGAGCCGGAAAGGATATTCAGACTGTGATCATCTGCAGATTCATGCAAGGGGTCTTCTCATCGGCCCCAGTAACCAATACCGGCGGCGTACTCGGCGATATCTGGAGTGCAGAGCAGCGTGCTGCAGCAATTGTGGGCTATGCCATTGCGGTGGTAGGCGGGCCGACTCTGGGACCCTTGATCGGAAGCGCTATTGTCACCAGTTCTCTCCGCTGGAGGTGGACACAGTACGTCTCTGGCATCTTCATCATGGTCATCCTGGCTCTTGGGGTAATTGTCCTGGATGAATCCTACCCACCGGCTCTTCTGGTCCGCAAGGCCCAGCGTCTCCGTCATGAAAGCGGCAACTGGGCTCTCCATGCTAAGCATGAAGAGTGGGATGTTGGGATCCAGGAAATGATCAATAAGTACGGCGTCCGTCCGTTCAAGGTTTTGACGTCGCCTATTGGGTTCTGTGTGGCGCTCTACGCCTCCTTCACGTATGGCATTCTGTACGCTACGCTTGGCGCATACCCGGTCGAATTCGAGGAAGTACGAGGCTGGAGTCCAGTCGTTGGCTCTCTCGCCTTTCTTGGTACATTAATTGGTGTCTTCTTCGGCTCAGCGGTCAACCTCCTCAACCAACGCTTCTACATCAAGAAGCTACGAGCGAACAACGGCAATCCTGTCCCCGAAGCCAGACTCCCGCCCATGATGTTCGGCAGTATCTGCTTCACCGGTGGTCTCTTCATCTTCGCCTGGACGTCCGACCCTTCCATCCACTGGATCGGCCCAATGATTGGGGTCGTCGTCAGCGGCACCGGATTCTTCACCATCTTCCAGGCCGCCCTAAACTATTTGATCGATACGTTCCAGCGGTACGCTGCGTCAGCTATCGCGGCGAATACGTTCTTGCGGAGTGCGTTTGCTGGAGCTTTTCCGTTGTTCATTACGCAGATGCTGCACGCGTTGGGAGTCGATTGGGGCATCAGCGTGTTTGCATTTTTCAGTTGTTTGCTGATACCCATTCCTTATTTGTTCTACGTCTTTGGGTACAGGATCAGGGCGAGAGGGAAGTGGTCGAGGGAGAGCACACTGTGAGCATGAGAGGGGATTCAAGGGGCAGCAGTGGACTCTCATCTGGCTTTGACCCAGTCTTGAGGATCGTGTGGCGCTTGAGATCACAGAGCGGTGCATGTGGTGGAGCTTTGGGTTGTTCAGAGACTGGTTGTTGTTCAGCGAGGCGTTGGCCGGATTAGAATAACACTTTTGTATACCCAACATTTCGTTCGATTCGGAACCCGTTCCATTCTACAGTCTCCGTGCCACAGTACCTCTGTCCGCCATCCTGCTTTCTTGTATCCGTATTCAGCGTGTTTCAACAACCAGACGACCGAGTCATGCAAGACATCTGCACCCCACAAAACCTGGATGCAAGCCACATGGCAGGGCGTCCATGATCAGCCGCCAGGATCCGTGAGCACCGTAATATTCGCAACCTGCCACCGCATCGCACATCTCCCAGGAGCATGCCATTGCCACGGTAGCCTCGTGTGCTACCCCAACGCGCCATGCCGGAGATGCAACAGCGCTCCCGGCACCTCTCCGCCTCGACCGCGCAGTCCTCGTCCGCCACACAACGCGATCCCCACCAAACCTCCTCGATACCGCCCTGGGTGCACGTTAACGACGGCAACGAAGACCCAGATCAGTTATTACTACCCGCCGAGGCACGTCCGAATACTCGCCACTACAAACCTCCCCCTTCCCATTACAAGCCGGGGCGGAAATGGGACCATCTGCGGTCAGCGGAGCCGCCTTTACTGAGCGCGCCGATCAACGATCATCAGCTGCGATGGACGCCGTTCATGCAGTCGGGACCGAATCCGCAGTCGCGGGAAGGGAGGGTGGTGGATGCGGCGTGGATGGAGGAGAACATGCCGTATATGAATCCGGATTGGCATCCAGAGGATGAGGGGGAGCCGGGGCCGGGGCTGTTGACGGCGAGAGGGATGATGTATAGGGGGAAGTGGCTTATTAGTCCTGAGCGCCAGGAGAAGACTGTGCGGTTCTTTTGGGTGAGTGAGGATATTTCGTTCTGTTCTGCGGTCGTAATGGTGGTGCAGGGGGTGGTGGTATGACTCCAACACTTGGGTCACGCTATGGCTACATGTTGCATTTTTGAGAAAGAGTGAGCACCAATGGGCTCATTGGTGGAGCGGTTACCACGTCTGGCCGCAATGGTGCAACCAGAAGGTCGCTTGTTCGATTCAGGCATGGGCTTTTCTTTTTGCCTGTGTTCGAAGCAACATTGTGGGTTCAATGCGGTCTTTTGCCATGTGGCCTCAACATTTCTGACAACAAGTCGGCCTACCTTCAGAAACACAAGCTAACATCATCCTCCAGCGACTACTCCTAAAGAACCCCTTCGTACCCCTGGTCTTCCGAATAACAGTCCTCGCCTTCTCAGCAGCCGCACTCGGCATCGGCGCCTCCATGTTCGTTAACATCGAACGCGCAAACCGCGACGCCGACCCTAACAACCAATGCGCCACACGAGCGTCAACCTACATGGCCATTATCGTAGGCACAGTCGCCCTACCATACCTAGGCTACGTAACCTGGGACGAATACATGAGTAAACCGTACGTCTCACCCTCATCCGCCCTCCCCATCACCTCAGCTGACACCTCACTCCAGCCTCGGCCTCCGCTCCGTCGCGGCCAAAATCCTCCTCCTCCTCTGCGACCTCTACTTCGTCGTCTTCTCCTCCTCCAACCTCAGCCTCGCCATGGACGCCCTCTGGGACCACCGCTGGGCTTGCTACGACGAGCACTTCGCCATCATCGGCGGGGAAGGTAGGGCCGTCTCAGCCACGTGCCCGAACAATCCGAGCGTGTGCTACAAGCAGCGCGCGCTGAGCGCCGTGCTGTGTGTGGGCTTGATTGCGTGGTGCGTGACTTTTAGCATTAGTGTGTTGAGGGTGGTGGAGAAGTTACGGCCGGATTAGGGATTGGGCTGGGATTGGGATTTGGAGAGGGTTTCTTGGGTTTAGCGATGCGTTATGAGATTTGTATACACCTGCCAGGCTTTGGCCGTTTTCTCCGTGCTCGAAAAGTCACTCTGACCGGCTTGGTATATTCTTGCTAGTGAACATCGGGCTTCACCAGGGCGTCACGTACCGGGGGTAATGTGGATAGGTCAAGTCTACGTGTTGAGCTTTGTAGAAATGCTCGCAAGGGTTTTGAATGATATCCGAACTACGGAGAAGCCATCTGGCTGGTATCCAAGAATTTTGTGATGCCCAAATTATCTGTTGACCCCACCGCTCACCCAAAGGTCAAAACGTATCCTCACTGGCCTCCGCCTGAAGCGCAAACTCCTTAAGCCGCCGCGACAGCAGAGACTCACTCCGACCTCCCTGCGGACGCTCCCTGCTGTGGTCGCGCTCGAAGTTGAACGGATTTTCCAGCCTCTTGATGGGCGAGAGCGCACTGCTGCTTGGAGTTGTCGAAGACGAATGAGGCTTGTCGTACGGCTGCTCTCTGGCGTCAACGTCCATGGCTTCGCCCCATTGCCGACTGGGCGGCCTTGACTCGAGCGTGGGGAGTGTGCTGACGTGCGAGGGGAAGCTGAAGTGTGGGTTGTACTCGGTCGAAGGCAGAGACTGAGCCGTAAGCTGGCGATTGTGGGTCCAGGCGGAGGTATTTGGATCTGGCGACATGATTGACGGATCGATAGCACTCCTTCTTCGAGCATTGTCCTTTGGCGTCGCCATTAGCCCGGCCTTCGATTCTCGACCAGGTTTGTACGCGCTGTATCTCGGCTCAGGAAGCTGAATCTCGTTGCGTAGCTTCTCCTTCCCGTCAGGAACTCGATTGGCAAACACGACCCGTACAGACTTGTACAAGAAGTAGCGTCCTTTGGAAGGACAGCATATGTGCAGATGAATGAGGTAGCGCAGCATGGGCCGGTCATTTGGATCATCACTCGTATTCAACGAAGCTTCTGGCCGATCTGTGCCGAAATTCTTTCTCGAAGTGAGTGGCATGTCGATAATCGGTCCAGCCGAATAGCTGCGCTGTCGTAGGAAGGTTTTCTGTCCCGGCTCCATATCCGAAAGGTCGTAAGGTACTAGGAATAGCTTAACAGCAGTTTTGTTGGGGTTCTTGATCACGATCTGCAGCTGGCCCTGCTGTGGGATGCGGTAGCTGCCACCAGGAGGTGCCTTTGGTGATCTTGAGCGGCGCTTCTGCTTCTGTCGTCTTCGCAGCTTGGCTTGTGCATCTGAGGCCGAGTTCTCCTCTCGTGTCCGAGAGTTGGCACGGCTGCCCTCGCTGCTACGTGTGCCTTGCAGTCCTTGTCTTCGCTTGTCAGGCGAGCTCGTAATAGCAGATAGATTGTTCTCCAGGTCCACCAAGCCGACGTATGGGCTTGGCTGGTCCGCGGTGCTGGTGGCACCCGAGCTGTAGCTGTAGAATACAGCCGGGAAAGGTACGGTAACGTGAGGCGGACACCGCAAGTTAGGCTTGCAGTCGCCCTTCCCGAGCACACCAATCTGGGCCACAAAGTTGAGCGGCTTAGATGGCGTGGTAGACATCCGACCCCTCAGAATAGACTCCTCGTACGACCCGACCATAGCCGCATGTTGGAGTGGCGAATCTGAAAACGAAGGTCTCCGTGATCCAGGGCCTGGCGTTGGGGGAAGAGTTTGGAAGGAATTGAGAGATCTTCTGGGTTGGTGTGCTTGGTACGGAAACGTCCTTTCGGCGCGTAGAGGGGGCTGTCTGCTACCGCCACTTCGAGCTGTGGCGGGGTATTCGAGAGCCGATTGGAATCGCTGGAAAGATTGAGGCGAAAAAGTGTGCCGTCGAGACTTGTCAGGGCTGCGAGAACTGCGTCGCTCTGGCGGCTCGGGGGTGTCAGGTCTTGAAGCTTGCACAAGCGGACTCGTGGGAGGCTTGTAAATGAAGCTCGATGCGAGAGATGCGTTCGAGATTGCTCTAGTTCTCGCTGGCCGAACAGGTGGACGATCAGGAGGCGACTGTAGCGGTCGTGTAGCATGTCGAAAGGCAGCAGATGGAAAATCCGGCCGCCAAGGAGCTCCTGGTGATGTCGATAGTGAAGGAGCCGGCTCATCTCTGGCTGCATCACCGGATCGCTCGAATGCTGTGACGGACTGCTGCTTCTCCCTGAAGTCACCACGATGTAACGCAGACCTTGGTCTCTCGATCTGTTGGCCAATTGCGTGGTTGTCTTGTGCTTGAGAATCTGGAGTTTTCGGCCGTGATACCAAAGTATTACCGGCATCCTGTTCCGGGGACTCTGACTTCCGCTTCTTGAGCGAAGTACGAGAAGCTGGTCTCTCCAGCTCCGGAGACGTCGGCCTTGACTCTCGGCTCTTTATCCTCCTGATGATCTCCTGCCTGTCTATAGGCGCATGACTGCTTCCGTTGGCCGGCGTGCGTGGTCTGCCCGTATAGTAAGGATTCACTATGGTACTTGCAGTGGTCTGTGGAGCTGGCCCGCTCATCCCAGCTCTTGAGTCCCCATTGCTTTCTAGCTTGCCACTCTCGTCGTTCCCCACTGCAGTATACGATGACTGGCACTCGGGACAGCCATTGTGCTTTGCCATCTACCCGCTCGAAGCCTCACCGCCGGCTCCGAGCTGCTAACAAAAGGTGCAAAGCGATGCTCGCGGACTGGAGCTCAACAGTAGACAGTGCTTTACAGCACGTCTCTCGCGTACAGTTCTGCTGCTTCCTGGTGAAGATGTCGCAGGTCAAGCAAGGACGAAGGCTGCCAGCAATGACTGGTTTCAGAGTTCCTTGGTAATCCCGCGATGTCCTGGTTGGTCGCCGGTACTCGGTCGCGGAACAAAGGCTTTCAGGACTACCCGATCCCCGTGGCCCAGGGCGTGTGATAGCAGGAGATGGTGGTGGGAGGTGTTGATTGTGGTGGTGAGAGTCGACTCCGCACACGAAGAGTCATCTGACGTTGCCGCATGGTCACGGCCGTTGTGGCTAATGGCTATCGCATCGGTGCAGTGACCAACCTGGAAAGCTTGCTTCGTTATCCACACCTTGTCCCGGATCGTCCCTCCTTCGCGGGATCAGCCGTAGCGCCATTTTCTTCGACCTCAGAAATCATCCTTCACAGTACCAGATTCACTTCACGAGACAGCACGATGTCGGAGAAAAGAAAACGCACAGCAGAGAGCTTCCACCGAGGCCGTGATGAGCCAGATAAGAAGAAACGCAAAAGAGGCTTCGTGGTCGGCCCCGACAACCTCCCAGATGGCACCTACAAGCGCAAAGGCACGCATTCCTTGAACCAATTGAGAAATCTCAAGATTGAAAGCTAACAAACATGTAGCCGACAAGATCAAGCGGTCTTTGATTGAGCGTGCCCAAATCAAGAAGGAATACGCCAAGCTCAAGCGCCAGGGCAAGATCCCAGAGGAACGAGAGGAGCTTCCTGTCCCGGCATCTGCAGTTCTGGATCGCGCGAGGAAGGGCTTAGACGAGGATGGAAGCAGCGACGAGGACGACAAGACCGAGGATGACCACGCAGAGCCCACTACAGCACCCCATCCAGAACGCCAGACCATGATAGAGAAGGCCGACGACCCGCCACAGGAAGTAGCAGAGCCACCGGTCGCACGAAAAGACAAAATCCAACGCAAACCCAAGCCAGCCCCTTTCCAGCGCGAATACGATCAAGCCCAGCAGCGCAAAGCTGAAGCAGAGGAACGACGCCGCGCCCGCGAAGAGGCTGAGCGGCAGCGGCAGAGTAAGCTGGAGGAGCGGGAGCGGTTTCGGCGGGCGATGGCGAAGGCGAGATCTGGCGGACCGAATGGGCAGCGGAAGCTGGGGAGGGAGAGTAAGGTGCTGTTGGAGAGGGTGAAGCGGATGGTTGGGGATGGAGGTTGATACAAGTACTACGAGTAAGCCAGAGTAACTTGTACCACAGTCAGAACGACAACCCCGTATACGTTTATATTCGTGGAAAAACAAAATCCAGAGCCAACTCATCAAAACTATCACTTCATCCACCACAACAAAACCTGAGAACACCAAAAAGAGAAGAAGAAAAAACATAGCGCCCATGGTCCCCAACCACTCCCTCCCTCTGGCGAAAGTGTTGAGAATGCCGGGAAACCATTAACCCAACTCCCCAGACATCCGCACAACGGTTGATCAGGCCGCGGACGGAAGCGTGGTTCATCATATGGATCAACTCGCTATCCCAGGTGGCTCGTCCTAGCGAAAGGATGACAGAGCTGGTTAGAACTGTAGCTGAGATTTCTGGCGGGCCCGCGAAGCCAATTGCTAGTCGCGAGGACGAGCGATTGGTTCTTGCCATGAGAGCTAAAGTTCTCAAGAACAATTAACTAGGTGCGACCGGGCTTCCGCGGTTCTGCCGGGGACGGGGAGATGAGGTGAGGTCGTGGGAGGGGTGGGAGGGAAGGGCGGGTTCAGCCGCGTGCGGATATGAGCTGCTAGGCGATGTACGGGCGGAGGGAGAAGGGGCCATGGTTCGCTCACCTTCACTTCAGATATGAGTAACGAGGCAGCGCTCTTGTTCGGACTCTGACATTCATGGTCATTCGTTTTGGTTCGTGTCAGTCATTATGCAGTAAGAGGAGTTGCCACTTTTCCCACCCGTGAACAACCAGCGCCTCGCCAAAAACTAACATCAAATCCAGAACATGGCCGCGCAAGCTTCAACCCCTCCACAAAGGACTGAGCTCGCAAAAAATCACCGCATGACAGGAGGCATAGCTGTCCTCTGCCATTGCCCTCAATCGATTGGTGGGCATCTGCATTAGTCGTATAGAGACAGGGATCTAAGTATCCGTCACGGCTGCTGTCATCGCAGGAGCGGTCTCGCTGGTAAACGTCGCTGGTGGACTCTCCAGAGGTGAATGCTGTGAAGGACTGTGCAGTTCGCCACCTGAAGCACCTACGGTGACTGGTGGAGAAGTAGTCAGGGTCGAGATTTGGCGTTCTGCAAGACATTTTCATCAGCGAAAACTCAGATGCATAACCGTAGGACGTTGGCTTACCAAGCTCGCGTATCCTCAGCTTCAGGAGCTGGTTCTCCCTCGTCAAGCTCTGCGTCTCTGCCTGGTAGAACGCACTTTCGTCCCTTGTTCCACCCAGCAGAAAGTCCTCCGTCAAAGGACCAAGACTACCAGAAGCCGGCCGCAGGGCAGGAGAGTTGCCACGGCTGTTGGTCCCTGCGTTTGATCTGATAGTCGATGACTGCCTTGATAATGAGTGCGGGCGGTTGAAGTGGCTGTGCGCATGCGGCGAGGCTCCTGAGATCGACGCCGAAGGAGGGGAAGACTGCTCCGTGGCGTTTGTACCCGGAGTGAGCAAGGTAGATGGAGGGGTAGGAAAGCGTGTTTGGTCGGTTGATGTAGGCGACGGGTCCTGTGGGTTCTGTGAGGACCGCTGAATCTGCGCAATCTCGTTCTGCTGGATTCGTATCATCTGCAGTAGCCTGTTGACCTGCGCCTCCTGCTCGTTCTCCAGTTCCTGATGCAGCTCGCCAAGACTGGGTTGTCTCTGGTGATGCGGATCCGCCGTGTTGAATGCGAGAGATCGCCTGTCAGTTCTCGGACTCCCGCTGCTGCTTCCGCGCGATTCCTGCAGCTCGCCGGGTGCGGGGGCTGTGGGGTCGTTGAGGGTGAGGTTGTTCATGAGGCTTGATCGTCTGCGCTCCAGACCTTGGCTATTGCGGGCGGGTGACGCGCCGCTCGGAGACCGGTGGAGGCCAGCGTTGATTGTCGCGGCAGCCTGCAGCGAGGAGAGGGTTGGGGAGCGCGGGGATGGTGGGCTGTTTCTGAACACGTCTGCGCTCGTGATTGATATCCTGCGCGGGCGGGAGGACTGCGGGGAGCTCGAAGCGGAGGGTGGCAGCGAATTCAGATCGGGCGGCATGTCGTATGGCTGTGCTACGGCTGCGTTTGTGGGAAGAGGAGGGTTGCGCGGATCACGAGAAGAGGTAGACAGTTTGGGTAGGACAAAGAGAAGAGGTGGTGGTGAAAGAGGAAGTGAGCTCGACCAACCAATCATCAAAGGCCCGTGTTCGTGAGCAGATGCACAATGGCTCGTCTCGTCCCGCAGCGGGCATGTGAACAGCGCAACGTTCTTGCTGGCGTCTCGTCGTGGGAGCAAACGACGAACATTTTCTGTCGTCGTCTTACACATCTCATAATGAATGTCGTCCGGCGGGAAGAGAAGAAGTCGCAAGCCGGGAGATCCCGCTGCCCGATGTCGCCCCGCAAACACCCATGCCCAATGGCTGCTGACACGCTCGCACGCCCCTATCCAACGCTCGTGCTCCTTTTTCGAAACAGCCCGTGGCCAACGCCTCCTTCGCTTCGCATCCCACCATCCCACCGACGCGGGCGGACAGGGGGGCTGACACGCCCACCAAGGAGGGGCAATCTCTTCGGTCGCAGCGACTCGCTGTTTGAACGAGCGAGACGAGATGGGAGGGCAAATTCAGCTGCCACAAGACGGAAACGATGGTAGGCTAGCTGCTGAAAGAGGGCAATCAATCTATTGCCCATCAATTGCTCGTTCAACTTCCAGGGGTCTGTTTTCTAGGTCTCTTGTCTAGCCTTGCAGGTGCATCAATAGACGATCAAAATAACAAGGCCGTTCCCGACCAACGGCCTCCCTGCAGCAGAACTTTACCCATAACATCGGGTTAGGCGAACTAGTCAGCAGCAACCTGCATCTCTGGGGAGACCCGGGTGGACTCGGTAGTCGAATCTAATCTGCGAACTACGGCGACCGTTTGCTGTAATGACCGTCCAAGCTTTAGCATGAAGAAGGAAATGGTGGATGAATCGGAGATCAATGGACCATCCACCATCACGCGATCGTACCTTCGACTCCAATTCTCAATTCCTCGTCTGATCAAGTCCTCGCTGGATATCCACGCCGGTCAAGAGACGTGCCGGAAGACCAACCTCGAGTCCACGAGCCCAATGTCGCCTTCTCCAGACTAGGAAGCAGCCACAGAACGCCACCGCGTACTTTAATCTGGCGCACATCGCGGACCGGCCGCGTGCAGGGAAGACACGAAACGCGAACTGCACCCTCCTGCGGGACTCGAGTACGCTGCCGTGGCCCCAAATCGACCCGGTCAGGGCCCGCCGTGGTCTTTCCTTTAGATGGAATCGCAGGTCATCGACCTTGATTCTTCCGCAAGCAAACGACTTTCACCCCAGGATACCGTGGACTGGCCCTTGAACTCTCCCGCCTCATCAGCTACAGAATCCACCCGCAAGAAGCGACAAAGCCTTCGCCTGCGGCCGTCGCAATATTTCGAGAATGCAGAGCCGCCATCGCCTTTGAGAGACACGTCTCTTCGATCCGAGTCCAGACCGAAAGCGCCCAAGATGTCGCTGTTCAACCTCTTCAGCCGACCCAAAGTCGAAAGGCAGCGCGGTTATGCTGAGCGCGGGCTTGATGTACCCCAACCACAGCCCGCGAAGGACTTGAGGAAGACTGCTTCGACCCCAAACCTGTTTGCGAACGTCCAACAAGACAACGAGGCTTTGACGCAACATTCAGCACCGTCACCCGCAGCGACTGCGCCTCCTCGATCGAAGTCAAGGCTCAAGTTTGCCGAAGCGACTAAACCAAGCTTCCGAGAAGGCAAGACAGGACCATTCGAGCCACCCCCGCTCTTTCAAGCATACCCTCAGTCGATGAAAGATGGCTGTCTTGGAGTCTCGACGATGTCGGTGGAGACGGCCATGCACAAGTCGAAAGGCAGGAAAGTGGAGAAGACGGACGAGAATTCCAGCATTGATACCAGGCGGTCCCGAGCTACTCTAAGACATGGCAAAGACGACCTGGAGCTGCCGCGCAAGATCTTTGTCCTTGTCACTTCTGGGTACTTGCTACAATACGCCGAAACTGGCCCATCCAACAGGCTACCAGAGAAGATACTGCATCTCAGTAAAGACTCGGCTGCCTTCGCCTCGGATTTGGTGCCTGGAAAGCACTATGTGCTCCAAGTCTCTCAGGCAGTGGACCAACAGGGTGCTATGGTTGCGAACTCCGGATCGATCTTCTCGAAACTTGGTCTTCGAAGCGCAGCCGCACGGCGGATGACCTCGGGATTTCTGCTCGTCCTCCCCAGCGCCAAAGAGATGGAGTCCTGGATGACTGCGATCAAGCGAGAGATTGTCGACCTCGGTGGACAGGACACAGACCCTGATGCTGCAAAACCGATCACTCGCGCTCCAGAGGCTGCAGACGCGCTCAAGAAGACGCCGAGCCATCGATATCAGGTCAAGCGAAATCCGAGCAAGGTCGACAGGCTGACTTCGCCTACCAAGGAACCAGATCTAAGCCTCCCGGAGTTGGAAGATGATATCGATTCGGACACTGACACTGCGACCATCGATGGCATTGAAATCGAGGCGTCGAAGCTGGACGATGACAGCAAGGAGGTAGCTCCCCGCAAGCGCGCAGTGTCTGACGTTCCGTCGATCTCGTCGTCTGCTGCGCATTCTGTGGATCAGACACAACTCAACAACATCCGGAATAGCGAAAGCAACAGCGCTCGTACTTCACATACTTCCCAGGCGGGCACGTTTTCATCGCCAGTAGCCACATCTCAGCCCAGTTCAATCGCTGGATCACCACCGGCGGAGAAGCCGCTCGCAGTGGCAGACACGGGCGAGCAGCCGTCACCACAGAAGAGCAGTGGCAGGTCACTAGCTTCGTATAGCATGAACTGGAGACGATCAGGCGTTCCTTTGGCCATGCACAAATCTGGCACTCTTCCTCCTGTGCTTAACGTCTCTCCCGGCAAGCCCAAGTTCGCTGTTATCGAGGAGTCACCGATAACAGGGAAGAACCCTCCGCTTCCAATCAATTCTTCAATCAAGGTTCCTTCACCCAAGAAGAACCTAACAGCAGCGCGCAGCGAGCCGAATCTTCATGTTGCTTCGCAATTCAACAACAAAGGCAACTCGGAGGTACCTCCACCGCCTCCTGTGCCATCCGCCCCACCAGTTGCAGGGGCAGGTCCTCCTCCGCAACCTGAGACAGCCAAAGCCGTGGATCAACCTGCTGAATCTACGCAGTCACAGAGCAACGTACCTCAGCGACGAATGTCGCTTCAGCCCCTGGCCACACAGCACTCAGTTACACGACCACCTACATCAAGGCCCATAGATCCGAACAGAGGCAAACGAATATCATTCAGCATGCCCTTAAAGATCAATCCATCTGGCATCCACTCTCAGCCCGACTCGACTGGCAACAACAGGCGTGCGTCACAACTCCACGACCCCGACACTGCCGGCGAAAGCCCAATCGTGCATACCCTGACTGCGAAGGTCGACGGCTCTCAACCATCGGCATTCTCAAACTGGCCGTCACCGCCTCCCTCGACAGCACTGCCTAACACACCGACACCAAGATCAAGATACTCTCTGGTTCCAGCCCCGACGACACTACCAGCCATACCAGTGCGACCAGCACCATTCCCAACCGGCCTTCAAACCCACAGCGCACCCGCCCAACCCCACTCGAACACCAACACCCTCCGCCGCCCGGCAAGCCTCCAAGTCCGCTCCGACTTCGCCCCCTTCCTCTCCTCCGTCCGCAACGCCCAAACCGGCCAGATCGACGCCCGCGCCATCCCGATCCGCGGCATGAAACCCTCGCGCTCCGCAAGCAACGTCGCTCAACTCGCCACCCACTCCCGGGGCTTACGATCCACCACCCCGACCGTCCCCGAGGAAGCAGACCAAGCCATGCCCCTGCCCGACCGAGCCCTCTCACCCAACCTCCCCCGTCCGGGGTCCAGGACAGGTAGTCGACGAGGGCTCAAAACGCGCTCATCGCTGCCGGAGCTGGACTTTGGCCTTCCGGTCGTCGGGCTGGGTCCTCCCGCTCCTCCGCCTAATGCGCCCTTACCTCCGCCTCCACCGGGCTCGAGGCCGACGAGTCCGAGTCAACACGGGCAGGTGACGAATGGGATTGAGGCGGTGGCGGGGTTGGGGATACGAGTTTCATGAAATCTTGCCGAGCGAAGGGATAAGGATTGTATTCTTATGCGATGTCGGGATGTTGGGGTGTTGGGATATGCATGATGGAATCGACATGGGATGAGCGACATTTTTGTGTTTTGGAGAAATGATACCCTGTGAACATGTAATGTCTTGAGTAGCAATCGGTGCAAATGTATCGCTTACCATGTCGCTCTCTTTCTCCCCTCTTCGCTGGACGGGCCATTCCAAAGCTCGGACGTCACATCGATATGTACAGTACATGGCGGTGGCTGACACCATGATCATGCAGGAAAACCCCACCTTGCCGGGAAGACGTTGTCAACAGAGTTGCAGAGCCCATTACCCCTTCCCCTACGCAAACGGCTTCGTCTCCTTCTCACACCACTCCAAAAACTCTTTCTGCGCCGAGCTGTTCCTCACATCATCCCTCAGCTTCACCTGCCTCCCCCACGGTCCATAATACGCCCCCTTCCCCTCCTCCTTCCCCGCCTCCTCCGCCCATCCAGCGTACAACTCGGTGTACGCACCATACACCGGTTGATACAACATGAAGCCCATGAGCATCGTGCCCACCGAAGGGACATGGCGCTGCAGTTCGCTCTTCAAGTTGCCCGGGTTCCAGGAGTTGCTGACGATACCGTCCTTGCTGTGCTCCGCTTGATACCCTTTCGCGAGCAGCACGTTACCGGCTTTCGACTGCGCGTAGTTGACGCCGTTCTGGCCGTGGACTTTAGGGCCGGCGGACTCCATCACCACGCCGTTGGTTGGTGAGAACAGCGTAGCCATTGACGCGGCCCACGTCACGCGGACGGAGCCTGGCGGGCTGGAGGAAGCGGTCTTCTGGAGCAAAGGCGTGAGGAGCTTGGTGAAGAGGTAAGGGCCGAGGCAGTTGGTGCCCATTTGCAGTTCGTGGCCTTGCGAGGCTTTGGATCCGTCTGGCGGGACCATGACGCCGGCGTTGTTGGTGAGGACGTCGAGGCGTTGTTCCTTTTGCATGAAGGAGTCGACGGAAGGTTTGATGGAGGCCTGGGGATGGTGTCAGTACTGTGGCGAGAGGGAAAGGTGGTCTGCTTACCAGATCTGCCAGGTCAACCTGCAGGAACTCGAGACGTCCGTCAGAAGATGGGTGGGCTTGCTTGATCTCCTCGATGGCCTTGTCTGCCTTGTCCTTCGATCGACCAGCGAGGTATACTGTTCCGTTCTTGGAGTAGACGATCTTTGAGAGCTCTTTGCCACCTGCCATTATCGCACGATTAGCAATAAGAAGACACGATCTGAGACTCCAACAACCCACATCCTGCGTATCCTCCCGTGATGATGAACACTCGTCCGGCTTGGTTGGGAAGATTCTTCTCGGTCAGAGATGGTGTTGGAATGAAGAAGCATTGCCAGAAGGCGTCGGTGTAGTCTGCGATGGTCATGATGCCGGTGACTCGATTCTGATGGATCCTAAGTAGCTATCGTCGATGGTGTGTCGTTTGAACACTTGCGGTCGTAGACGTACTCGCAGTACTTATCTGGCCCAAGAAGTCTCAATCCGCACTAAGGTACACAGGGTTGGGACGATTGCAAAGCTGGGCTGGTGGCAAGTCGAGCAAGTCTGCACAAGTCGGCGTCTCGCATCCGGCACCCTCTTTATGATATGACTTCCTTCAATCTATCTTTTCCCAATTGCAACACGGAGGCAATGGTAGTCCTATCGCCGTGTCACACATGTAACCTGCATCTGCTCAGCGCTAAAGACGAGATGGCTAAGATCACTGACTTCCCATTTCGTGATGCGGGGCACCACTTCCCGACCAATGGCTGCAAACCATCCCACCTCCAGCACGTGACCAAGTGAGATGCGAACCACAAGGATTAGACGTCCATACTGATTCTTCAACAATGGAATCTTCTGTGTCATCTCCTCACCCTCAATCGATTCTGCGGTGTGTAGAACATTCAGTACATGTGTAATGACACGCTGCTGCATGAAGAGCGCGCGGTGTTGCTTGCCGAAATCTTAACGCGCTACGAGGTGCTTTGACCTTCCAGCCGCGACCCAAGTTCCTTTCCTTTGCGGCCTCCAGACGTGACCGACCTTCTCATTGACACTCCTACACCATGTCTCGAGTGACCTTATGATCATCGACCACCAGCTCCTCCTTTAACGCACCTCCCTGCACCTCTACACGCCAATATCAGACCGTCGACGCGGGCAGGCGAGAAGCAGGTCTCCGGCCTACCACCGCGTCTTCGACGTGCAGAACGCACTGCACCGCCTAGCTACAGCTCACAGCAGGCATGGCAGACTCAGAGCTGCCAGGAACCAGTGCAGTGCAAACGGCAGAAGCTGACAATGCAGCACCGCGTCGACCCTCGCTGCTGCCCGCATGGGAGCCCTTCTCATCCTCACCGGGCCTGCCACGAGCGGCCAAGCGGAAATTCGACGATATCCTAGACGATAGAAAGTACTACCCTACTCCCGTACCGACCTCCTCGACCGGCATCCTGCCCTCCTCACCTCCACCTCCACCGCCAGCGCGTCGGACGCGTCCTGGACTCCAACGCACGGTGTCCGCCCTCTCCGAACGCGCTCCTCTGGGCGACGTGCCTTCTCTCGACCTTCCTGCCAATGGCGAGCCATTGCTCATGGGACGTTCGAGCAACTCTTCCGACTACCAACTCTCCGCCAACCGCAACATTTCACGCGTCCATGTACGCGCCTCATATCACGCACCGGACCTCGAACATCCGGCTGGCAGGGTGGAAGTGGAGTGTCTGGGGTGGAACGGCGCGAAGGTACATTGCAAGGGGAAGATCGTGGAGTTGCCAAAGGGCGAGATCTTCGAATCAGACAGGCCGTTGGCGCAGATCATTGTCGACGTGCAGGATACGCGTGTGATGCTGCGGTGGCCGAAGGAGCCGTCACGCGAGCCGCCTTCGCTCGAGTCGAGATCGCCATGGGCGCTGGAGTCTCCTACGAAGCGCAGAACCATCTCGGCACCGCAGTTCGCGTCCAGCCCGCCTGCCATGCTGCCGCCGCCACGTCTTCAGTCGCCCATCTCGCCCTCGCCCTTGCACGCCACCTTCACGTCAACGTTCCGCGCCGATCAGGAAGAGGTCCAGGTGTATGAAGATCATGATTCCGAGGAGGACGCACCGCACGATCCAACACCTGAGCTGCCTCCTCCAAGCTCCCCACCGGTCCCGCTGACCACATCCGAGAGCAACCTGGCCAAAGCTTCTCTATCATCCGATTCCGAGGAACTTTCAGAACACGACGAAGAGAACGACCCGATCGTGCACTCCTTCGGACCGTTCGGTGAGAACATCCTCTCACGATTCCAGTCGTTCCAACCAGGCTCGCCGGAGAAGAAGCGTAAGCCGCTGAAGGCGTCCACCAACTCGCCAGTCCGTAGCACATCCTACCCGAGGCCAAGCTCCAGCCCGATCAAGAACCACGTCATCAACCAGCTGGCCTACTCTCGGATCCACGCACTACCTCTTTCCACCATCCACAGCAACCTGCCAGCCGAGCTTCGTGGCGCAAAGGCCAAGCCGTCGGACACTGAGAACCGCAGTGTGCTTGCCGCATCGGACCTCAAGACCATCCTTGACGGCATTCCATGCGTTGGTGAGATCAGCCGTGAGGGCAAGGACGCCGCTGGCAAGCTGCTGGAAAGCGAGTTCTACTACGTCCCGGAGATGGATCCTGATGAGATGCGTCGTGTGACGGTGACCCAGAGTCTCGGCAAGACCTCCATTCGTGCTGCGAGGAAGCAGCATAAGGTATGTCATCTCATCTCGTCCTCTTCGGGTATGTCATGCTAATACAGACCCCAGCAATACTACTGGAAGCGTCCGCGTGTATGAGCTTGCTCGCTGTCCGTCCCAACAATGTACCGCATAACGATCGCGACCCGCGATGTATGCACTGCATCTCTGCAACTGTTTCCCTTTGGTTATCACGGCCGGCTTCTCTTCACGCGTTCAAGCGATCGCAGGCGTTCTGGGTGTGCTCATGGGAGCGCATGGCGACTGTCTGTCGCTTACGGTCGAGCGCTACGGCTGGCGGGGTTCTGCTCTGCGCTTACTCGGCGCTTTTGCTACTTGTGTACTTGCTTTTGTTCGGCGATGGCGTTGTATTGGGTAAGCTGCGACGATGGCATGGCGGGCGAGGGTAGAAAAGTTGCTGCTGTTGTCGTCGGGTAGTTGAGAAATGTCACTTCAAACTCACTCTCACTTCGAAGATGCAGGTGACGTTGACTTCTACCCCACGTTTCTTGGCGCGGCTATAACGGCCATAATATTATAGCTCGAGCGGAAGTCGTCCGATGCAAGCATCACCACTGTTGCCTTCCTCGAGGACTTCAACAAAACCTCTCTCTCCTTTCCTTAACGCTGCCGGCAGCATTGTATCAACACTTTAATAATGCATCTCCTCAACCTCCCCCCTCTCCTCTCCCTCCTCGCCCTCACCTCCGCCCTCCCTCGTCCCACACCCGCTCCCACACCCCTCCCCCTCATCATCTGGCACGGCCTCGGCGACCGCTACGACGCAGACGGCCTCCACTCGACCGGCGACCTCGCGAAGAAAGTCCACCCGGGCACATACGTCTACTACATCCGCACCGACGACGACGGCAACACGGACCGCAGCAATACATTCTTCGGCAACCTGACCACCCAACTCGACGACGTCTGCGAAGCGCTCAAACTCGACGCTAAACTCCTCGACCCTTCGGATCCGGATGGCGGGATCCGAGTGGATGCGCTGGGGTTCAGTCAGGGCGGACAGTTCCTGCGCGGATTGTTGGAGAGATGTGATGGTTTGAGCATGCGGTCTCTGGTCACGTTCGGGAGCCAGCACAACGGCATCGCGGAGTTCCAGACCTGCGGGCGGTTTGACTTCGTGTGCAAAGGCGCCACGGCGCTGGTGAAGGGGAACGCGTGGACGGAGTATGTGCAGAATAAAGTCGTGCCGGCGCAGTATTATCGGCCGTTGAACGCGACGACGGGGATGCCGAAGGAGGAGTATTTGGAGGGGAGCAATTTTCTCGCGGATGTGAATAATGAGCGGGTGAATAAGAGTGAGGGGTATAAGAGGAAGATTGCTTCGCTGGAGAGGTTTGTGATGGCGGTGTTTGAGGAGGATGTCACGGTCGTGCCGAGGGAGAGTGGGTGGTTTGCGGAGGTTAACGCGACGAGTGGGGAGGTCACGCCGCTGAGGGAGAGGCAGATGTATAAGGAGGATTGGCTGGGGTTGAGGGAGTTGGATGAAAAGGGTGGGTTGTTCTTCGAGACGGCGCCGGGGAAGCATATGGAGTTGTCGGATGAGGTGCTGCGGAGTGCTTTTAAGACGTATTTTGGGGCCGAAGGGGAGGCGTCGTCTGGTGGTCTATTGGACGGGACGATTGCGGGCGGCAGGTTGAACAACGACCAGCAGATGTTAATGCAGGATGATCATGTGTTTGGCTGTGGCGCGGACGAAGCTCAGGCATGGTGGGACTCGTTGACCTGGCTTGAACGTCGCCAGTTCGAGTGGGAGGCAGTCTGGAAGCCTTGGTTGAGAGGGGAGCTGGCGCCCTTGAGGGTGTATGACAAGGATCACAAGAAGGTCGATCTGCTGTAATATAGGTATATACTTCATGTCACCAGTATTTGAAGCAACATGGCAAGAAGTGCTATGAATTCTGCGCACAATACTGTGGAACACTACGAATGTGTGTGAGATTGATAATGTGACGGATCACATTCACCCGGCGACACACGCGTGGATACCGCGTGCGCTTTTCATGATCGGCAAGGCGGGGCTGGGAGTGGCAGTAGCGATGGGTGCCCTGGGTGTTTCGAGCACGCACACCATTCATACCGCGACCGTTATCGTCGGTCCCGTTGGTGGACGATTACCTCCAGTGCGCACAGTATTGCTATCCATTCAGACAGTACACTCATTGTCCGTATTTTACTGCCTCCTTCCCTCATTCACGCGTGAGATCGGAAGAGAACCGCGTCAAGCGTGATCGATAGACCGCTACCACCCGTTGTCGCAAGAACGACGTCCTCCACGTCCACCACACAGTATATCTTACAGGATCGCAGACTCGGCCCAGGAGAAGCATGGAGACATATTCATCAGTCTACCCGACGACACCACAGACGCAGACGTCGCATATGCGCAGTTCGCAGTACTCCAACCCCGCCAAAGCCGCGACGCGTGCGCTGCAGCAGCAATCCGAATCGCAGCAGAACCATCTCTCCGCCCCGACGTCCCAGGAGTCAATTGCCAGCTACCAGAGTGCGGCGAGCAGTACGCAACCGAGACTGCAGACGAGCAGCAGCAATGCTTCGCAATTGACCGGCTATACCGATGTTACCTCGCCTATAACTTCGCTGCCTGAGCAGGGTGATGGAGGGCGGTTTGGTGCGTCGAAGCCGCTGGATCGACGCATGCGGACGCCCGAGGAGAGCAATATGAATGGCATGACGGGGGATAGCTACGCAGTGACCAGCCCGATGAGCGTAGCATCACCGCCGTCCGTCAACGGCACGAAGAGAACAGCGAGTGGACATGTCAAGAACGCGCCGAGTCTGCCCAGCACACCACTCACAACCGGCCGACCACGAGGCGAGTCAACATCGTCGACGAGCAGCAGGGCAGGCGAGCTGGCCAGAGACCTGAAGACGCGTCTCGGCTACGCCATGGCCAAAGTACAGAACGGATGGGAGCACAGGAACATCCACGAGGTCGAGCAACTGGCCGCACACAAAGTCTACTCCACCCACCGCCACAGCATGTCCCACTCCGACTCCAGCCGCCGCCCCATAAGCGCCGGCCTAACCAACGGCACCGCCAACCTCTCCATGAACGGCTACATCCAAAACAGCGCCGACCACCCCTCCAAACGCCACTCAGGCCACTACACAACCCACCTGCCCTCCTCCAGCCAACCAACCCCCCGCCTCCAACCTGCTCCCGACATTCGTCCCACCGCCCAGCACTCCCTCTCCCAACCCCTGCCCTACGCAAACCCCACCCACACCTCCGCAATGTCCCCTCCCCGCACCCCCACAACAACAACCACCAGCCAAACCCGCCCTCGCCCCGCAACCCTACGCACAGAAACCCAAACCGCCGAGGCCGAGCGCGACGCCCTACAAGCCCTGTTCCAGCTCGGCTCGCCGCACGCCTCGCAGCAGGCCTTCTCTGGCGCTGTGCGGAGCCACTCGTACCAGAATGGCAACGGTAGTGGGCATGGATACAGTCAGAGCCAGGCGAGTTCGAGTCAGGCGAGTCCGTTGCGGAGCGAGTTCGGGTTTGTGGCGGGGACGCCGGCGACGCCCAGACGGGTCACGTTTGCGAGGAGTGAGAGTGATGTTTCTTCGTCTTCTGCGCAGATGGAGGGAAAGGGGGAGGGGGAGCAGGTAGAGGTGCGGTGATGACTTACCTTCCTTCCTTCCACAGAGGCTTGACCGGGGCATGGACGTGGACGTGCGTGTGGAGGCTTTGGTGGGCTTACGGCGCGGATTGTACATACATGTATCCGCTGACGAACGACGAAATGGATGATACCCATTGACGCGAGCACTACAGGAGACCATAGTCAAATACTGCTCTATCTCCTCTACCGCACTTCCGCAACAACCCTAAGTCTTCCTCCTCTTCCCACCCCCCTCACCCTCCCCATCAGCCCACCCCTTCCTCTTCCTCCCCTCCTTCGCCCAAAACCGATCCCGCTCCTTCTTCTCCCTTTCCTTCTTCTTCTCCTCATTCTCCCGCACCTTCTCCCTGTACCCCACCTTCCGCTCCTCCTGCTTCTTCGCCCTCTTCTCCACCTTCTCCTTTCGCAGCGTCATGACCTGCTGCATCAGCCTCCTCGCCACCTTCTCCTCTCCTCCCAACACCACCGCGCGTTTCTGGGCGTACGATTGCTTGTTCTGCGGTTTCATCTGCGTGATCTGCGATTTATACGGCAGGTCGGCGCGGAGTTTGCGCGGCACGCGTAAGGGGTTGAAGTGCCTTTCCGCGCGTTCGACGGGGCGGTAGAGAGAGTTTTGGTCTTTCGGGGTGGGGAGGTTCTGTTCGGCCCGGATCTGGCCGGTGAGGCGCATGCCGGACCAGGCGTCGGCGGTGCCGCCGGCGGTGGTGTCCAGGAGGTTGGTGACGGGGTTGTAGAAGCGGCGGGGCCGGATGGGGTACCAGGCGCGGAGGAAGATGATGTCGCTCATTAGCACTTTGTCCTCGAAGGTTGCGCGAAAGTGACCTTCGGGTTTGCTGAGAGCTTTCTTGATCTGTCCGCGGACACCAGAGACGGTGCGGATGGCTGCGCCTTCGAACTTGGCGATTTCGAGGGCGGAGGAGAACATGTCTTTGATGAAAGCGGTGTTCTTGAAGATCTTGTAAGGGTGGCCTTTGAGCTTCAACTTCTTGACGATCTCGGTGCCTTCGTCAACGTTCAACACGACTCCTGTAGCGGCGATGCGGAAGCCGGGGTTCTTGTTGCTGAAGCTCTGCACGCAGCAGAAGCCGGTGTTGGGTGTGGCCAGCGGGGCATAGATAGTGGCGAAGCAGTGCATGTGCTCCGGTGTGTACTTAAGCATGCGATTACGCGTGCGGTTGTCGGAGGTGCTGTAAATGGGAATTGATTGGAAGCGACGCCAGCCGAGGGAGAAGATGAGCGGGTCGTTGGTCTTGAGGATCTTCTTGTGCCAGCGATGGCGCTTGATGCGGACTTGGACATAGCCCACGCGCTCTTCTGTCGGTTGCAGGCCGCCGAGGAGGAGAGGGAAGCGAGGGTTGTAGTTCGCGACGAACTCATACGGCACGTTCGTCAAGGTCAGTCTGGCGTAGGTTCCAGCTTTATAGCCTTCCGCTCGCACCCGTGAGATGTCGTCGAGGCTCTCGAACTCCTTGCGGTTGATGTCCTGCTGCTTCTGCAACAATGCCTTTTGCGCGTCGTACCACTCGTCTTCGCCATATTCGTGCTGTTCGTCTGCACCGGAGGCTTGACGATTAGTGTTCTTCGGGTTGAGGAAGCCTTCTCGGTCTTCTTCTTCGAACCGTAGCTTCAGCTCTTCTTTTCGCTTTGCGTTCTTCTCTCGTTCAGCTTCTAATGAGTCCGGCTCCTCACCAGCCGCATCTGTTTCAGCCTCCAAATCCTCGAAAGCGCCGTCACCTTCGTCATCATCGCCATCGGCATCAAGATCGTCATCGTCCTCCTCAAGCGCTTCAGCGTTGGCGCCAGTCACTCTCGTAGAAGCGAACCGATGGCGCAGAGCTTCGACATTGTCGTCATTCGTCCACTTGTCTTCAAGGGCTTCATAGTCAAGCATTGGGATCATGCGATCTTCGTCCAAATTGGCCGTGTCCTCTCGTCGCTTGAAGAAGCCGTCATCTTGCTCGCCGTCCTTCTCCAACGCTTCACCTTGGTCCTCTCCACGCCACTTCTTGATGACTTCAGCAGTAGATAGCATATCATCGTACATCATCTTCGCCAGCTCCGCTACCCGATACGGGCGTCTTCGTCCATGAAGTTCTTGCGCGCGCTCTGCAAGCTGCGATTTCCATCTCAACTCGCCTTCATCGTCTTCGTCAAAGTCCTCTCCATCAACGATTTCTCCATCACCGTCTTCTTCGAAACCATCAGCATCGCCGTCCGCATCGTCTGCGTCCTCCTCGCCAGAGATGGAACCCAAATCACTGTCTGAATCTGCAAAAGCAACGTCACCATCGACCTGCTTGTCTTTCCGTGCCCTGCCGATCTTCTCAGGCGCCTGTTGTAGCGCCTCCAAGTCCGCATCGTCGTCGCTCTCGCCACTTTCAAACCCTTCGTCGACCTCATTCTCCGCCTCTTCACCGTCCTCATCTTGATCGAGAGCGGCTGGTTGCCGTCGGTTCTTCCGGCCAGTGTTGTCAACATCATCGTCCTGGACCTCTTTCAGTCGCTCGCCGCTGTTGAAAAGGCTGATGCCTCGATCATCTTCACCGAGCATTCTGCGTCCACCTTGCAGACCCACCACCATTTGTTCGCCCAGACCTCTTTCAGCATCCTCATCCTCCAAGTCAAATGTGTTGCTTTTGATGTCAATGAACACAGCGTCCTTGTCAACCAGCACGCCACCTATATCGCTCATCGGAGCGTAGATGACCTTCTGCTTCTCGCCTAAACGCCGTCTCTTCTTGGACCCATCAGCTCTTTCCTTGGCTTGCTGGAAGTGAGGTGTCGGACAAGGATCAGGCAAGGCCTCAATCTCCCCAACTGAGAGATCTCCAACACCAGGCACATGGACCCTAGCATCGTGACTTGGAAAATTCGTTCCTCGTAGGTATCCATAGAGAGCGACCGTCCGATCACATTTCGGATTCTCTTCCATCTGTGTAGGTGGCGTGATGTCCAGCATTCGATCTGCGACAGCATAGGGGTGCGAATTGCGCCAGACCAGCGGTCGAGGGTTCTTCATAACCGAGAGAAAGCGAGACAAGTTCAGCACCTCGCGATCAGGATATCTTCCATTGATGATACCACTGAGGTAGAACAGCTTGGCACCTTGGTACAACTCACTCCAAAATCGATGCTTCAGCCTTTTCTTTTGCGCCTTCAGAGTGTCCTGTTTCCTGAACAGATCCAGATGTGTGAGGATGCCGAAGACGTTGCCAGGCATACCGGTGCTCGAGAGTACCGACAAGAACTCCATCGTCTCCATCTCGAAGCCATAGTTGCCATCGATCATGAGTAACACGATGTCCACGACTTTCGCCACATCTATGCCACTCGCCAGACTGTCGCTCGGACACTCAATAAATGTAAGTCGTCTCCTCTTGCTCGTGACAATTGTGATCGGTCCTCGAGGGTCGGAGATCGTCTGCTTCGTATATCTTCGCACCAGGCTCTTGATCAACGTGGTCTTGCCCACACCTGGCGGACCTACTACTCCTACGACCAGAGGTGGCGCCTCTTCCGGTAGTCTGTCGACCAGCGGGACGTGTAGTCTCTTCTCGCGCACATCGTGGCTTCGCGCTGCTTGCTTGGCTAGTCGTCCTGGAGCTGAGAAGGCGAAGGCTTTCGGATTCGGCTGGCTGGTGTCGTGCTTCTTCTTCGGCTTCGAAGGGCGATGCGCCCGGTGTAATTGGTCTTCACCCGCCATGTTGGGCCTTGCGATGTTCACCAAGAGACCTTGATCTTCAAAAGCTCGAACTCTCAAAAAGTTCGACGATCGATAAGATGCAACCCGCTGTTCGGATCTACCCTAGCGCCGATCATATGCATGGTGACGCGCAGGTCAGCGGCAAGACCAGGCTTCCATTCATCAAAGACATTTGCTTCTTCCTTCTACAACACAACACAAGCCACGGTGTATCAACTATCCAGACGATCAATCCGCAGCATAACAACCAAGATGCCTTCTATCAACGTAAGTATTCCACCGAGTTTATTTCAACAGTCCTAACGTGTCCTAGGTGTCTCTGAAGGAGGGTGCTGGTGCAGATAAGCTCGAAGAGTATGTAAAGAGTATCCTCAGATGGTGCAACTAAAAGCTGACCAGACATGACAGAGCAAAGAAGAACGTTACCGATCAAGGTGGCAAGATTACGCACGAGTTCAAGCTTGTCAAGGGTTTCACGTACGCTGCTCTATCAGCGGCAAATATAACACTGTACTGACATGTCATCACAGCGCCGATATACCAGACGACAAGGTCTCGACGCTCCAGTCCAACGAGCACGTCAACTACGAGCAAGACTCCAAAGTCACGACCCAGTGATCAACCACAACCAACGACGACACGAGCATTGGGATCGTATCGTTCGGTAGAATATGTATGAATCTAATCAAGTCTCATGACGGCACTCCCTCATAGTCCCATCCATCATCGCCTTTCCTTCTCCTTCTCGCCCTCTGCCGGTTCGCAGCACACTTGACGAACACGGTCAAAGTCGCCAGCACAAACACTATGATACTAGCGACCACCGGCACCACCACAAACCGCCCATTGTCGTCCTGCTGCAGATATGGACACGAAGCGTTCTGGCCCACAACCCAACACGCTTTGGCATCCAGGTCGTTGAAGTTGATCCACAGCAAGCTGTTATCATCGAGGTCATTATTGTCGATCCTCTCCCGCCACGCGTCGAGCAGATACCGGTTCTCGAGCGCTGTGCGCGGCGTGTCGAATGTCGTGCCATCTTCACACGTCATCCCGGCTTCAACGTAGTTGGTGTCGGAGTCGCTGATGGACCATCGGTATGGCTGTCCGGAGGTGAGACAGGCGCTGTAGTGTCTGTTCTCACAATTCTCGACCTCCCAGTGCCCGGACTCTCCGTTCAGGACTGCGCAGCGGTTTGAGCTATCTGGATCATCAGCATCGTGGTCTGTATTGTTGCGTGGCTGTCCTTCCGCCCAAGACCAGATGGTGCTCTGCACGAAGGCTCCGTAGGGCTGGAAGTTCTCGTCTGCCGTACTTCCACCGAGGGTTCTGTTGAGTATTGGCGAGATGCCGCATCTTGTCAGGTCGGTCACGATGTCAAGGTTGGAAGCCAGCCCAGACACAGTGCTACTGTTCAACGCAACAGTCGCCCAAGAGTTGTTGCCCCTGCTGACAGCAGTCACATCGTCATCGAAGAAGCACCCGCTTTCCACTTCATCTGAGTCAAACTCCACCGAAACTGGTTCACTGAGATAACCAGGGCTGAAGACGGTCGACGAGTTGGCTTCCAGATTGTAGCCCTCAAGCTCTGAGTCAATCGAACCAATGCCGACAAGAAGTCGCTTCGCCTGCGTAAACTCGACAAAGCTCTCACCCGGCCAGCCATTCGGCGTGAAATAGTCGCTGGTGCTCTTGTCGACATCAAAGTAGGAGGATTCTGTTTCTCTCGAAGGATTAACGCCGAACCAGCTGAAACTGGCATTGAGATCCGCTCGTTGGTCCGCTAGACCGCCCGGGCTGTATAAGTACTCAGAGATGTTGGTCGTCGGACCAAGCAAAATGGTGCCCAGGCTGTTGTTGCCGTGCGGTAGACTGTCGCTGATGTCCGGGAGTTCCCCGTCTGCTCTAGCAGCCTCATGTAGGTTGAAGATGAGGTAGCTCACGGTGGAGTTAACGTTCGTTTGTGTCGAGTCGAGATGGGACGAGACTACTTTCAGCAGCAGTTCCAAGTTGGTCGACGCAGTGCATGAGTAGTCTCCCAAATCAATGGCTGTACCAGACCCAGCTGCGGCGGTGGGGCTTGCAGACCCAGCTGTTGAGCTGATGGTGACTGTCGTCGAGGGCGGTGGTTCGGTCTGAGTACTCACTTGCGTGGCGGTAGACGTGAGTGTGAGCGATCTGGCGGAAGCGTCTTGTCTCGCGAAGACATTTACCGGTCCCTCCCGGACATCACCTGGCCGGTCCAACGTCCCACGAGGAGCTGATCTCCGTGAAGTGACTGCACCGAGCTGGACAGGACATAGGCTCCATAACTGCCGGCTAGCGTCCCAGTAGATGTCTACCTCGAACCTCTGGAAGCCGACGGCAAGTAGATTTGAGATACACCTGACCGCCGAAGCCTCTTCATAGCGTTGGTTCGCGAAACAAGCACTGCACAGAATAGGAACGTTAGGGGAAGTCGGTAGTCTTGATATACGGACTTACGATGTAAGTACTACGCCGGGGACCGTGACATAATTTATGGGCACCTGGAGGGAGAGATCTCGTTGTGACTATGTCAGATGTCAGCTCTACGTACTCGCAGTCGCAGCACGGTATTCTTCGTACCAACTGCCGGGTAAAGGCCGTTCCAAAGGGGATCGCGTTGTCGTCTGGAGAGTATGACATGGAAGGATGGCGAAGTGGGCGCGTGTTTGTCGGGATCAAGGAGCGATCATCGTTGATCAAACGCGCATCATAGCAGTGATCAGACGAGAGTAGAAGCTCCAGTTACTAGACGATGATACTTCTCGAGATGGATTGATGGTGTGAGATGCCTTACACCAGGCTGATCTCGCAAGACGTGCTTGACGTTAGACCCCTGTCGACTTTCCAAGATGGATGCAACCAATCACGAAGCTAGCATTCCGACGTCCACCTTTGAGACGAACAACACAGGAATCCCAGAATTCGATCGAGGATGGACATGGATCATCTTTTTGCATCTCACAGAGCTGAAGCGATGTACCCAGCTTGACTGATAATCTCAGTCAGGACCGTCAGTTTCTAGCAAGGGAGTACCCTTTGGAGCCACTCCATCCACAGTCATGTTTACTCTGCACTCTGGAGCATGTCTCCCAATCCCTCAGGAAGACGGCATCAGCAACCTGAATCTTACGCCCGTATGGGACATCACAGCCACCCACCCTCCCCTACCAACAAAGCGCCCCAGTCCAACGCCATCCGTGTCTCCCTCCTGCCATGTGCCCAGGCTCGGGCCCAGCGCCACAAGTGGGAGCAAAGCACAGAGCACGGGGACAGGAAAACCGCGGCCGCGCCGTGGCACATGGCACACCCACCATTGAAAGCTACACCATCGAACGCCCGCCCGCCCAAACGTTCGTGCCCACGTGAATACATAGATAGACGTTCCATCGTTTTTCTGAACGTCTGCCGGTTGGGGAGGCTGGCGCAGAGCCGATGTGGCGACTCCTCGCTTGTTTGGGTAATGGGTCATTTCCGGTGATTTGCCGAGGAGTCCTGGATTGGGGTGTTGGGACGTCATGTCGAGGAGTGAGATGGTGGGATGGTTGGGTGAAGGGGAGGGTGTTGGTCTGGGCTTGGGTGATGGAAAAGAAGTCGCTGTCTAATGCATCAGGAGGTCAATGGAGAAGATGCGGATCGAGAAATGGGTAGATGAGCTGTAGGCTCATGATTAATGGTACTATTCATTGACAGCTCTTGACTATGTCCTTCTTGCTGTATGTAGAAGGTTCCTCCTCTGTCCATTGATGACGCTGAAACGCTAAGATGCAAGCAAAACTCGAGGCCAGCGGCCTCTTCCTCCTCCGGCGGATGGGTATCGTGATGAACAAGGAAAAGCTATTTGTACAGAAGCGGTACTCTTGTATTCTCCGCAGTGACAAGACAATCAGTGTGTCAGGTTTGACAGACTCATCTTGTCCCTCGGCGAGTCCTCGGGCAGCGGCGCCGAAGGCATAGGTGTGCAGCGCATTTGGCTCAGCGATGGGTCGATGTGCGGCGCCCTTGCTTCTTGAATGTTCGAGATGCTGGGGAGTTGAACAGCGGCCGGAGATCCGTAATGCTGCATCGACGGTGCTCTCATTTGCATCGGTTGCTGGGGCGGCATCGACTGATACTGCTGTAGATTGCTGTTCACCTGGAGCGGCGACGGATTGCGAGGCTGTGATGGTAGATATTGACTCGGATGTGGGAATGACTGTGCCGGCATGAAAGGCTCCTGCAGCATACGAGCTGGCTGCTTCTCCATCCCGTAGTGTCGTTGCATCGGCATCGCCGGCATCTGGAAGTCGTGTTCGTGTGCGAATGAGCCAGGAACGCCAAGTTGTAGCATCGGCGCAGATGAGTGACGTCGTTCGGTGCGGTCGCCTGACAGCGGTGGAAGCTCGATCGGCGAGGCGTTGTTGTGAGGAGAGCGGGTGGAGAGGGATGATGTGTCCGACATCAATGATGGTGCGCCGTCTGCCGACATCTGCGACCAGCCAGAGGGCGACGGCAACGGAGGCTCGACGAGTCCATGCGATCGAAGTGGAGGTCCGTTCGACGGTAAGCGCGCCAGGTGAGGCATGCCAGGCTGACCAAGATGGTACATGGGGTGCGAGTAGAAGTGTGGTTGCACATGCGTGAACCCTGTCGGTAGCGCGTGCTGCTGCGATGGTAGCGGCCTGTTTGGAACAGCACCATGGGCGCCGTCCGTAGGATGACGAGCATCGATCTCCGGCCGCCGTTGCTGATTGCTTCGTCGCCTCCGATTCATCCCGCCGTTCCACCAGTTCTTGACAGCATTGTCACTACGTCCTCGCAGGCGTCGAGCGATCTCTGCCCAACGCTTTCCCATGTCGGCCACCATCTGCTCAATCAAGACACCCTCTTCGGGGGTGATTGGGTCGTGGTTCAAGTTGGGCTTCAGGTTCTGGTGGAATCGCTCTCGGCATTGCTTGGGCGATCTCGACTGGATCGCCTGCGAGATCCTGACCCAGTTGTGCGCGCCATGAACGTTGACCAAGTTCATCAACATAGAGTCCTCTGTTTGAGACCTGCAACATGGTTAGCAATCGCGTTGGCGAAAAGCGTCCACGTTGCTGAGTTGCGACAATCGACCAGCGGTGAAGAAGACGTACCATGGGCCTCGTTTGTGTTGAGGCATATTGAAGGACTTCCTAACAGCGTGAATGGTAGTCGTCGCGCATGCACTTGGTCGAGGTGAGGTAGGAGAGGGCTGCGGTCGACGGGTGCAAACGGTCGGGCGAAGGTGAGTCGAAGTGCAGAACGTTGCTTGTGCAGCGGGTCCCAAAGGTAGAATATAACTGCCGTCGTTCAAACGGTGCGTGTCTGGATGAGGGAAAGAGCCAAGCGGTGCGGCAATTTAGATAGACTTTTAGAAGTAGCGATCCCAGCGATCCCACTCCTTTAGGTGCAGGTCCGTCACAACGGATAGCGAAACCTTAAGTTCGTCAGAGGGTGATCTTAGGGTGGTGCATGTGGAGTGATGATGAGGGGCTTACGACTCGTTATCGACCGGGTGGGTATGGATGTGGATGTGGATGCGGATGCAAGAGCAGGTTCCTGATGCATGCAAGTACGGGTGCGCCGATGCCTGGATGCAAGACGGTCAACGATCGCTGGGACGGGTGAGTCTTAGGGAAAGGAGAATTGAAGGACGAAGGTTTGCGAACGAGCGGTACAGCAGTTGTAGTACCATGGATTTTGACGTGTCCACCGGGAGACTGGAAGCCCACCGTGCGTGCGTCAGTGCGATCCAGCTTGCTGGAAGTGTGTGGCCAGCTTGCAAGGAGTCCCATGTGCGTTTTCGTCTATCATGCCTGCACTGGTGCCGCCCGGCGCTCTTTGCAAGGGAAAGAACACATGGGACGCCCTCTCCTACCCGGACAGCAGGGGGGACGAGCGGAGAAGTCTTCAACGAAACGCTGTCGCCATCACCCGTGCACATCGAGTCAGCGTTCCGAACAAGAGGAGAGACAAGACACTAATTCTGGAGGATCCTCGCGCTGACCAGGGAGCAAGCAAGCTTCATGATCACCGTGCGCCAGAGGTTTAATCTACAGAGCGATCGATCCCGTCCCGGGGCTAGTGGGCGCTGTTGGGCTGGTATGTCACAGACCGTTGAATGCGAAGGCGCAACGCTTTCCATCCTGGCGTTTGGTGGGTTGTTATTAGGTGGCCGACAGGCAAGACTGGTCGCCTGCGAAGACCGACATCTTCAAAGCATCCAATACAGTCGTCTCGCAGCCACAGACTCTGGCGAACATGCAGGAGATCATCATTTCGCCTCCCAAGCCATCACGACGTATATAGACATAGACCGGGGGAGCATCAAACGGTCGGCTGATTCTACCGAAACGGCATTCCCACGACGTCGGCTCAACCTTGGCACGACGTTCAACTCTCGAACGAGCGGATCCAGGAGCAGGCGATTGACGAAGTTGCCGCCAACAAATCGTAATTACCCTCCGGAAGAAGATCGTTGGTGGAAAGATTCTAGAGAAGGGCGTCTCATCAGATCGAAAAGCTAGATCTCCCGTTCGAAAAGAAGAAGAAGGCCAGGAAGGAGGAAGTGGGGAAGAGAGTATTTGGAATTTAAGACAACGAATCGAACGACGCCGAAAGTCGACAAGTGCAACTGCTCCATGTGGTTAAGATCGGGGGTATCCATGTGAATGTCTCACCAGTCGCTGCACGTGCGATAGGCTAACCTTGCGCTTAATTCCTGCGCACCGATTCGATATGATCATTCCTCCACCGTCCTTGAGCGCATACCAGCGTTCATTGGGCACATCCACTTCGCTCACCCCAGACTGGCCCGTGGGGCGTTCACACACTTCTGTATAGGACTGACTCGACTGCGACTGGTCTGGCAAATCATCGTGGCGAAGTTCTCACCGACTAGCTGAGACATCAAAATGCTTCAGACAAATACTTGGACCGATGGCATGTCCCGGCCGTGTGTGTGACAGCATTCCGTGACCCGGTCTCTCGTCGCCGTTCGACGACGCTCCCCTGTCTTCTATGCCGCATGGACGGGGGCAGATGGTTACAATCAGGTTGTGAAATGCCACCGCGAGTGTGGATATGGGGGAGCACAACCCATTGTCTACCACCAAGATGGATGCACAGTACCGTTGGATCATCAACCGTTGCGATCGGAAAGACGCCTCCTTGCCCTCACCCTTCTGTTCCGAGCCAACGTTTCGACGAGCCGGTCCTCTTCGGGTGATCTGCAAGATCTATCTCCCATCCCTGGTCGTCGAGCTAAACCCAACGCGAACAAAATAGACGAGTTTTCCAACTCTCCACACGGCCGGAGTCGGCCCCCAGATCTCTGAACGTCGTTCAGGGCTTGCGCTGTTTCACCGCCCTTGTGCGCGGCGAAGGAGTGAGCAACCATGCTGTCCCCACTATGCGATCGGAATGCGCGGATCCTCTTCGATCATCCCCTAACACTCCCAAGCGCAATCCTTCGCTGGCAATCAGCAACCACAGATCACCACACCCGTTGCGCCGATCTGCCCGAACCTCTCCCAGCGCAGCGTCTCCCTCCCCTCGGCCCGTCGTCACATCTACCGAGTCGTCCAACGTCGACGCATCATGCAACTTCGCGAGAGCCTGCATACAGCGGAAGCGAAAAAGATGCTCGTACAGAGCCTTTTTGGCGAAAAGTTCTCTCCATTCGTCCAATGGCACGTCCCGAATTCCCGCCAGATGCCAGATGCGGTGTAACTGGCCCAACACAACGGACTGGTAAGGATTTGTCGATCCAGATTCCGAGCCGTTTGACGACGCAGGTGTTGTGTTACTTCATGGGAGGTCCAATCGCGATTCTGCTGGCTGCCGATATTTTGCGGTATTAAGTCCGTTCGCGTTTGTGGACATACCATATGGGGTTGAATGCGATTGCCTCAACGGTCGTCCGATCAGTCAGTGAGATTTGAAATGGTGTCACGGCATTGTATTCGGGACGGTGCGACTGGGCACAATGGCCTTGTTGTTGACCCACTCGACCCTGAGGCGGTGGCTAGAACATGGTGTGGTTAGCAAGTCGTGATGCTGTGAATCGTTGGCGGGCTGCTCGACGCGCACCAGCTGCACATCGTCTTGATGGAGGCACGACTCGTGAGTGATGCTAGCACTAAAGATGCCGTGCAGAGCGTCAGATGAGAGCGTCAATGATTCCATGAATGTGTCTCCAACGCTGATGGTCTGGACCTGATGGATTTGCCGCGTCTGGATGCTGGAGGATGATCATTAGGAATGGCAATGGCAGTTCTTCAAGGTGATCATGGAGAGTGACAAATTGACTGTGTCTTCGCAAAATTGTAAACCGGAAATGATTGACATACGACGCGCTGCAGAGCCTTGCTGCAGATAGGGTATAATTGTGAAAATGAAAGCGACAGGTCGTTCCCTCGCACCCCCAGCCCAGCGTAGATTGCGCCCATAACCAGCGCCGTAAATCAAACCCGAGAGCCTTGCTCGCCATTACGCCGCATCTGAATGCTTCTGCGGCAGCCGACCAAGCCAAATATCACCTCCTTCACCCGCCACCCACCGCCTCCAGGCTTCCTCGTAAGCATCCTCGAGATCCCGCACCCATCTCTTAGTATCAAACAGCGCACTGCTCCACCGCGCAGTATACAGAATCTTTCTCAACTCCGTCACCCGACCCTGCGACATGCCGGCGCTGTTCGGCGTCGAGACGAAAGACTTGCCGAGCGCAACCGCCTTCTCCTCGTAATCATCTTCACCAGTCGCGACCAACTCTTCAGCAGCCCTCGCACTCTCCTCAGACTTCGGTAATGCGCCTTTCAGGATACTCGCGGCCATGCGGCTGCACATCTTGTACGAGTAGCGCGGCAGCGTGAGCAGCGGCGTGCCGCTCCATAGCACGTCGGCTGCTGTGGTGTGCCCGTTGCACTCGGCTGTGTCCAAGACCAGATCGCAGACACGAGCACGTGAGATGTGAAGAGCCTTGGGCGCGACGTCGGTGAAGATAACACGAGATGCGACGTCAGCGCCGGCCCACTTGCGAGCAGTCTCCAGAAGATGCGACTCGCCCAGATCCGGGAAGCGCAAGAGCCAGAGGATGGAGTTCGGAACACGGGCGAGGATGCGAAGCCATGTGCGGAAAGTCGTCGGCTCGATCTGGCAGCCATGTTAGCCCAGGATAGCATAGTGAAGGTGGACAAACATACCTTGTAGAGCTGGTTGAAGTTGCCAAAGATGATGGTGTCGTCCGAGACCTGAGGGAACAACTCCTTCCGCATCTGCCATCTCCGCTTCTGCTCCTCTTCCCAGCTCAGATGCTTGTCCTGCGCATCAGGCGCACTCTGCTTGTGGTCGCAGCAGAAGAATGTATCTCGGCAATAGATGATGTTCTCGCCGTAGACCCATTCTTCATCGCTACCATTGTTCTCGTCGACTAACTGGTCTTCCAAATCTACATTGCGTCTCCAAGGCCTTAAAGTACTGGGCGGGATAGCAGTCTCGTCTGCCAAAAGGTAGTCGCACCACTCAGCTCCCAAAGTTCCGGCGAAGCCCATAAAGGACATCTGAATCGGCGCGGAACGCGCGGCGAAGACTTCATTGCGAGCTCCGCGTGTGTACCCGTTCAGATTAACGAGGACGTGAATGCCATCTTGCACGATTTGATTGACCAGCTTCTCCGTGGTCCACGTGCTGACGTCCCGGAACTGCGGCGCCTCGTTCTCGATCTGCTGGCGATGCACTGAGTTGTCGCTCGCAGTGGTAGCATAGCAGTACGCTTCAACTCGCTTTTCGTCGTGCATACCAAAGACAGATTGCATCAGGTGAGCCAGCGGATGATTGTTGAAGTCGGACGACAGATATCCGACACGGAGTGATGGAGCAGGTGGCTTGGGCGGCGGACAGACTTGCTTCGACAACCACGGGCTGCGAAGTGTTGACACTGAGATGCGAAGGCCGTTGCGTTGCGAAATGAGTCGGACCTGCTTGGCCGACATGGGACAGGTGAAGGTGTGGAAGGGCAGCACAGTAGGCGCCGTAGGGACAGTCAACGAGGCCGGGAGCTGCGGTCGATCGTAACTTCCAGATGTCCGTCGCTTCTTCTTGATGTAGAGGTCCCGGTACCAGTGCCATCCAATGCGCCGTGTTGCACGTTCGATGAGCCGCGTAATGCGTGCTCCCTCCCAGCGGTGACCGGCCCATGCTGTCAGTGTCTTGCGCATGTTCGACTCGCGCTCTTTCAGGTTCTCGACTGATCCCTCCAGGATCGTGAGTTGCTGAACTAGGAGCTCCAAGATTGTCGGTGTCAACGTTCCTCTGCCCCAGGCCTCTCCTTCCGCCAGCTGTTTGCCAACGATATCGAGTACCCGTTTCATCCATCCCGAGCTCGAAGCACCCGGTTGCCTCGCATCAAGCAGCATACCACCAGGGTCAACATGCCATCGATCCCGCTTGCCATTGTCTTCTGCAATGCCGCCACGAGCGTTCCATGCACAGACTGAGTTCAAGGCATTCGCCAGACCACAGACAGCTTCAGCAAAGTCTGGACTGACTTCGACGGCGCGCTTGTAGTACACGATCGCATCGTTGATCCTGCCTTTATCTTTGACAGCGTTGGCGAGGTTGGCGAGAGCAATGTCAAACTTCCCATCGCAGACCACAGCACGCTCATACATCTTGATCGCCGCATCGAGCTGGCCAATGTCTTTCAGCAGACTGCCAAGATTGGTGTAGAGGTGCGCGTGGTTCTGATCGAGCTGTAGGCCATAGTTGTAGTACTGAAGAGCGAGCGCGATGCCGCTTCCAGGGACGACGCCGGGTATGTCCATCTTCTGGTGTGGTCGGACAGGTGCCACAGTCTGCTGAACACTCGCAAGCAAGATGCCGACATTGTTCGCGGTCGATGGGCTCGGTTGCAGAGACAACGACAGGTAATACAAGGCCAAGATGTCTCTCACGCCTGATGCCAGAGGAGTGACACCGGCCGCTCGACTGTTGTTGGACATGCCATCCTGGTAGATCTTTGCCAGCGATAGAAGCGAGTTGCTCGTGGTCGATACAACAGCTCTTCTTGCAAGGCTCTGAGGGCCGCCAGGCAGATACTGCAGGCCAGGTAGCTCGCCGAGATGGTTGAAGCAGAACTTTGCAGTTGCGAGAGCATATTCTGGTGTCAAGAGTATCGGCTCCGTGGACAGTGATGCAGGCGGCTGCTGGCCCAATAAGCGTTGCTGAACGCTTGCGGAGATCTCGGAAAGGATGTGCTTCACCAGTGCCTGTATGTTGCGGAACCGTCGGCCTGCAGCTATCAGTACCGCGTCCTCAAAGGCGCGAGCAGCGCCAGCATTGTCACTAAGGCTGTACAACATGTTGCCCTTGGCGTGAATCAAAGCCAGGATGCGACCGTTGTCACAGCCGGGTATCGCGAAGCCACTGGAGCCATATCCTGGTTCAGTCGAGCCAGGCGTGTCCGGCCAGTCCTGATTGAAAGCATCGCCGTCCGCGTCGAAGTCATACGCCATTCTGTCAGACATCTCAGACACACAGGGTGATCGACTTGCTGTCGAAGAAGAGCACTCGCTCTGCCGGTCGGTAGCTTTAAGCAGATCGGAAGGCTTACGTTGGCGCAGCGAGCGCTCGACGTATTCGATGATCCGGATGGCGTCTCGACTTCGTTGCTCGTTGCAGAGCATACCGATGAGATGCTCAACAGCCTCGAAGTGATTCGGCGCTGCCTTGACCACCTTCATCCAATGCTGCTCGGCTTCTTGCCGTTGTCCGAGCGCAAGCAAGGTCGCGGCAAGATTCGATGTCGCCTCAAGATGCTTCGGGTCCATGTCCAGCACTTTCGTGTACCATCTCAACGCTTTCTGGTAGTTGCCCAGACCGTAGGCTATACAGCCACCAAGATGCATGCCATCCGTCCACTGCCAATCTGTCTCCTGACATAGTCGGACCAACATCGAAAGAGCCGACTGCGCGCGCGAGACTGGTGTGTCATCCTGAGGTAGACCTGAAATAGCTGTAGAACCAGAGGAGCGGCGGAGTGTCCGGAACTTGTCTGCTTGGTGTTGTGCAGCACTAGGCCATTGATCGGATCGTGTGTACTGATCATATGACGCCCTTCGGTGGAACTCGTTGTCCTGGTTCTCCAGACCGTTTGCTAAGCGAAGCGAGTTCGACCGGGTCTTCTCAGGACCCAGCTCTTCGTCCAACCCCAAAGCTTCACCCGACTCTCGCCCAGGTGCAGAGTCAGACCTGTGCAAGGCCTCTCTCTGCAGCGCACTTGTTTCCTTCCGCCTTTTGTTGACCTGTACTGCCGAGCCAGATCTGGATGGTTTGGGTGGCTTTGGATAGAAGCTTGGCCTATGAGAAACCTGCTGCTGCCCATGCACTTGCCGGTTGTGGTGTTGTTGTCGTCTGGTCTGCTGGATGAAACCAAGCAAATCGCGATACTGCTGCAGTGCCCAAGAGAATGCCTTGTCTCTCTGCGTTCCATTTGGCGAGGATGGACCGAACTCGGCTTCGACATTGTTGTAAGACGGCACCGCGTTGTTGACTTGATAATTGTAGACGTCATGGTTGTTCTGTGGCGCCGGCGGAGGTGGATAGCTTGGTGGACCGTAGTACTGTCCACCCGGTGTCGAGGTAGGATCGCCGAACTGACCAAGAACAGGCGTGTGAGCTGGAGGAGCCCCGAAGTTGTATCCAGCAGCTTGGCCCATCAAAGGGAGCGCGCCAGCCATGGGCGGCCATTGCGCAGAGGGCGACGGGTATGGGCTAGGCTGCCATGTGCTGGACTGAAAAGTGTATTGCGCGCTCGGTAACGATTCCGGCCAGATTGCAGACTGTTGGTGGTAGAATCTTGGATCTCGTAAAGCGGCAGGTCTGTATGGCACAAAGGTACCATCGTGCCAGTACGGGCCGTAAGGTCCGGAGCCCTGCAAACCAGAAGCTGTCGGACCGACATACTGGAAGGACGGCTGTATCACGCTGGGAACAGTCTGGCCGAAGTATTGCTGGGCGTTGTAAGCGTGCACAGGAGCTTGGTTCAGCATGGAGTCCATGACCGGGAAAGCGTTCTGCGGCATGGGGTACTGCGAGCCTTGCCATATCTGGCCAGTCGGCGTGGTCCACCCACTGCTCATTCCACTGCCCATGCCATTGCTCATGCCACTGTGCTGCCGTTGTTGGTGTTGCATAAAGGTGCGCTTGGTTTGCGACGGCATTTGATTGTACAGCTGCGCATTTGTCTCGCTCATTGGCATCAACTGATGCTTCTGCGGGTTAGACTCGACTGAAGATCCATCGTACCCAGCATTCAGCGTTCCGTTCGGGGTCTTTCGTCTCAAAGTATTCTCAGCGCGTGGAGTCTGCTGGCCACTGTTCAAATTCCCATCACTGCCATCTCCTCGCAAGCTGGCATGGTTGATGGGCAGCGCATACTGCTGAGTCAAATATGGCATAGAGCCTCCGGCGTAATCGGTTCGTGAGAAGACTGTGCCAGCACTGTGGGAGCGGGGAGCGTGGACGTTGTTGTGTACCACCTCAGCGCTCATCGTGGCGCAGTCCCGAGCAGCTGCTGCTCAGGCACACGGCAGGGTCTCTGGTGCTGAGCTGGTCGAGCGCAGTCTTATCGGTGAGGATATGAGCCGACGCCGTTGCAATGCCTGTTCACATCCAACACGTATGACATCGCGCTCGCCTTCTCTCATATATGTTTACGCCTGCAATTGCCTTTGTCCCGAGACCTGCGCCCGTGTAGTTCTTCTCGTCCCGGTTCTGTCGCTTCCCGAGTCTCGTCCCTCGTGCACCTCTTGAATAGTACCAGATTCGAAACGTGATGCGTGTGCAAATATGCCTCCAGCCGCGCGAATCAGCCAAACTCGGAACAATCAGTGACCGTGGGCGTGTCTAGCCGTAGTACGAGACGGGTACTGGCAGACAGCAGTGAGTATAGCCGTCGCGAGTCTCCCGTGCCGACGTAGCAAGCAAGGGCGTAGATTTGGCCTTGCTGACAGCTGCTGAGGCCAATTGGTCTTTTGAGTGTTGGCTCAGGCGGCTGAGTGCAGCAGCACCGGACGAGACCGAATTCTACTTCCCCGTCTACCAGATTGCCTCGCAAGCTGTTGTGTGGTACACGCAGTGAGTGATTCCAGAGCCTCGGGTCTCCAAGATGCTTTGAACCGCTCACATGGGCCAGCCGTGTCGCGCAAAATGCCCGCAAACCTGGTTGTGGGCCTCAGTCTTCAGCGATATGACCAAGCTCTTCACAGCCGCCCGCTAGCTCGCCTTTCTCCAGCGGAGGAGGATGTTGGGGAGAGAGAGAGAGAGAGACGGAGATGCGACGTGCTGCACTCCCTGCGGCCTCGACGGACACTCTCGACGGTTATGGCACAGCAATGATGAGAGAACATGAGTGTAAATAACGAGATTGGCACCCGACCAGCGCCGCCAACCGCACGTGTGACAAAAGAACAGCCGCGTTAATCCTAGCTCGAGGCTGATGGTTTGAGACTAAGGCTGCAGCCACGCGAGCACAGGAAACGCAACGGCTCTCACAGGGCTCAGTAAAATTGGAGTCTAACAATACCATGCTCTTGTCATTCCTTCGGATGGTAGGATATGGTATTCGGGTCTACGGCTGTTGGTGTTACTACCATGTCATCTGCGACTTTTCCTGGCACCGCAGACACTTTGATTCCACCTCCGTTCTTCGTACTATCACTATCCCCGGCCTGATTGGCTTTCTACTCCACCTTGGCGCGGTGCTTAGCCCGGGCGATGTCTTGCTTTGGCGCTGGCTGCATGTCTGTGCGACCAGTGATGGCAGAGTCATATACGCTGTCGGACCGGTTATGCGATCCTTCTGCGGGAGAGAGGGCGGGAGGCTGCAGGGTCTATGTATTGTGTGACCACGATCGACCATGGTTCGCTGTGTCGAAGGACTCGAGGCAGCATCCACGGGAGCAAGAACGGCTTCGTGACCGTGTTGGATGCTGCTGTTCGGAAGAGAGGTGCCCACCAAAGCGTATGACCCTCTTTGCTTTTTTCTCTGCTGGGCAAAAGGGCCGAAAGGCGAGCAATGTCTTGGTTGTGAGACAATATATCCTTCCTCCTCCGCTCCTGACGGTCAGCATGTATCTTCAAGGTATGTTGACTAGAAAAGATGGACCACTCAATCCACGGCCCGAAAGGACATAGGAAGGCGCGGTGAGTAATAAGTCAAGAGATCAATCTCCTTTGCATCCAAAATAGGCCCAAATCACGGAGGTATGGATAGAGGCCAGAGTGTTGGCAAAGTGGGTAGAGAAGGGGAATGAGATGAGAGAAGGAGATCGTGGAGATGTCGTGGTCAAGTTTGTTCATTTTGGTGAACTGCTCACTGCACCTCATCAGACACGGACGCGAGATTGCAGTCTTCGCACTGCGGCGCTGTCATAGTCGTAGTCGTAGAGTACCTGGCGTTCGTGGTCTATGCTGAAAAAGAAGACTCGAATCGCAAGCATTTACTCGTCAGGAACTGAATCACCATTAGCATCTGCTTGCAAAGACCAGAATTGTCGAGCTCGCGGCTTACTCTCAATCTCCCCATTGTCGATGTCATCGTTGATGGCCTTCGGGCTCCTGCCGTCAACCTGGCAGCCCACGGAGAACGCAGTTCCGAGAATCTCCTTGACGGTACCCTTGAGCTCACGCGACATGGACTTGTACCTCATCGTGCGGGCGATCTCGATGATCTCGTCAAGGGGGATGGACTTCGTGTGCTTGATATTCTTTTCCTTCTTGCGGTCGCGCGGCGGCTCCTTCAGCGCCTTGATGACTAGCGAGCTGGCGGAGGGCACAACAGAGACGGCGGCTTGACGGTTCTTGATGGTCAGGCGCACGGTGACACGAAGACCTTTCTGCAATTCCATGCGATTAGTACTGCCATTGCGCCTCGGAGGATGAATATCAACGTACCCAGTCACCCGTTGCCTTGGCGATGTCTTCACCGACCTTCTTCGGCGACAGACCAAGCGGACCGATCTTGGGCGCGAGCGCGGACGAAGCACCAATCTCACCACCGGTGGCGCGGAGGTGGATGATTTTCTCCTCGTTGGGATCGAATTTGGGAGCTGAATAGAGGGTATTCGATCAGTTTCACGCGGTCTTGTTCAGCCGGGCATTGCACGAGGCTGCAGCCATGACTCGAGAGGGCGATACTTACCCATGGCTAGTAGGTAAGGTGGTCTGCCTGACTCGATACGTCGTTGATGGGGGAGGAGTTGGTGTCGTCGTCGTACTGGAAGGAGCTTCAAATTTGCTGGCTTGAGCCGATTCAAAGTGCGGAGCGGGAGTGCCGCCGGCTCCGGCCTTGGCGTCTTCTTAGGGCTGAGGCTAAAGATATTCTGGTAGCAGAGCAACACGTTGCCTTCTTTCTTTGATATACACTTCCTTTCAAACGCTCCTTTGCAACACCCATTCGCACTCCTTCACCACCATGGCGCAAGCACCGCCATCACCGGGCGGTGGACCGTTTCCACAGATGCAACCTGGACAACAGCCTTCCCCCGAACAAATCCGCCAGATGCAGGCCCAACTGGCCACCGAAGCACAGAAGGCGGGTATGTCAGTACCGCAGTACGTCGAGCGGTTGAAGGCGCAAGCAATGCAGCAACACCAGATGCGGCAGCAACAACAACAGCAGGCGCAGGGACAGCAGCAGCAACAGGGAGCACAGCCAGGTCAACAGGTCCCCATTCAACCGGGGCCGCCTAAACCAGAAGCCATTGCAGTCGCAAAATTCTTACAAGGCCAAGATCTGAAGAGCCGGACGTGTATTTTCCAGGAAAAGCGCAAGGACATGTTCAAGGTCAAGCGCGCCATCCGCGCCCTGCATTCGGAGGCCTACCAAAAAGCCCGGAAGAAGAACCCGCTCCTTCCAGAGGTCAAGGATCGAGTCACAGCCGAGAACACGTTCAAGCTCCTCCCACTATCACTGCTTGCACTCCGGGTCTCGAAGATCGACGAGCACGAGGGGCACAACCACGCCAAGAAGAAGCGGGTCAAGGGGCTGTGGACAGTAAAGATCGAACAACAGCAGGAGGCGAACGATACCTTTCATTACGTATGGCTATACGAAGGCGCACAGTGGAAGAACAAGCTCTATGCGGTCGGCGCTTTGTTCCTTATCCTGGCTGTCGTCTTCTTCCCGGTCTGGCCCTACCATCTCCGTCTTGGTGTTTGGTATCTCAGTATGGCGATGCTGGGTGTGTTGGGCCTTTTCTTCGCTATGGCCATCGTCCGCTTAATTCTCTACCTCATCACCATGTTTACGAATCCGCCTGGCTTCTGGCTGTATCCCAATCTGTTTGAGGATGTGGGCTTCTTCGACTCCTTCCGGCCGGTATGGGCATGGCACGAGGATGAGAAAGCGATCAAGAAGCGGAAGAAAGAAGAGCGGCTGCGTAAAAAGGAGAAGCGGGAGGCAAAGGCGAATGGCAAGGTTGCTGGAGGGACCAAGGGATCTGACGATGAGCCGAACATCTCGGAGCCGGTGACAACGAGCGCGACAGGCACGGAGAGTGCGCCTACAGATGGAAGCATCGAAACCCAGCAGAGAAACCTCAGCGCGAGGGTGGAGGAGGTTGAAGACGAGTAATTACGGGGTGGGGTCACGGCGCAGGCGTTGAGTATCGGGAGTCCAGCGTTTTGCATACATCGCCGAGCGTGCGATTGGGGATGAAGAGATCACGACCTTTGTTTGGAGTTGCAGGGCGTTGGCTTGTAGGTGTGTCTTCTGTACTTCTGATCGTTCGGCAGCTCTAGCCCCGCAAAACGCAGACCATGGCCACATAGCCGAAATCGGAAGGGACGACTTGCATTCACTTTGTCCACATCAACGCCTTTGAACTTAACGACCGTATACCTATTGCAGGCGGGATTGATCGACCGAGTCTATTGAAAAACGCCAGAGATACTCTGCCAGCTGCTCGGCCACCTCCCAAACATGTCGGAATCTCAAGACATTGAATCTGTTTGCGAGACCATCGAGAAAGACTATTCGCCGTGCGATGTAAGTAAGATGCTCTTGATACTGGTAGGATGGCGCCATTGATGAATTTGATCGCACTGTAGGTATCAGATGCCCTCCTCAAACTCGGCATACCATCAGCAGGCTACCTACGAGACATCGGTATGCCCCTTGCCAAACTCACATAAAACCCTTCACTTGTCCAAGGATCTGACCAGAGGACAGTCCCCCTCCCCACCCGTCTAGGCTCCCACACCCGCATCGTCGCCCCGATCAGCACCGTCCTCTTCGTCGACAAAACCCACAAACCCGGTTCAACATACCGTGGCCTCGACGTCCCTTCAGAGACTAACCTCCCACCCGACAAACACTTCACGGACATCGCCCCATCTGGTTCAGCAGTAATCATGCAACAGCCCTCCCACCAGACCGCCGCGCTCGTTGGAGACATCGTCGCCACGCGCTTCAAAGTCCGTGGCATCAGTTCCATCGTCATCGACGGCCGGGTTCGTGATGTGGTTGGGTGTGGCGAGCTGTGCAAGGATGATAAGCTGCAGGTCTGGTCGAAAGCTATTTCGAGTTCTGGGACGAGTCTGGAGGCGAAGCCGTGGGCGGTGGATGTGCCGCTGAGGATTGGGGAGGTTGTGGTGAAGCCGGGGGATGTGTTGGTGGCGGATGAGGGGGAGATGGTTTGTTGTGTGATTCCCAAGGAGAGATTGGGGGATGTGATGGGCCTGTTGCCAAAGCATAAGTAAGTTGGCTGAAAGTTCTGCGTGTTGTTTAAGCTGTCCGCTAACTGTTGCGGTAGGAAGGCGGACGATGGCTTGTTGCAAGATGTGCAGAATGGAATGGGCTTCAAAGAAGCCATCAAGCGGTGGCCTGGACATTATACCAATCACTGAGGCTCTGAAATAGACGGCGAGTCTAGGTAGCTCGATCTATGTCATCTATACAAGAGATCATGCACATGCTCCGCAATCGCCAGGCTGCTCGTCAGACCCGGACTCTCGATCCCTAGCAAATTCACAAACCCATCGTAACCCTCCTCCTTCTCGATGTAGAAGTCGATGAAATCTCCTTTGCCGGTGTTCTGCGCGCCACCTTTCCCAAGTTTAGGTCGAATACCACAGTAATCCAACATTACAGCGTCGCCATCCAGCCCTGGCAAGTAGGACTTGATATCCTCGATCGCAGTCCTGAACCGCTCGCCGTCCGGGTTCGGCGCGAGATCGTTCGGATTGTCCACCCACTCGACGTCTGGACCGAATCGTATCCGGCCGCCCATGTCAAGGGTCAGGTGTGTGCCGAGACCGCCATGGCCGGGTATAGGCGCAGGATATATCAAGGTGTTCGTTTTGGGGTGTGACTTCGAGTAGGAGAAGTATGAGCCCTTGGCATAGTACGGTGTCCGATGCCGTGATGGAGGGAGGATCATGTTGTTGATGCCGCATGCGTACAGGCCAGCGCTGTTGATCAGGGTCTCAGCTGTGATGAAAGTGTCGTCTTCTCCCTGTGCCGTAGTTTGATCATGCGTCTGAGGCGAAGGCGATGATGGTACGGGTTCTTCAGAGCCAGGAGAAGCCGTCCAGATCTTCCATTCGCCACTTCCGTTTGCTGGAGGAGAAATATGACTGACAGGACTCGCCAGCGCAGTCGTTCCCCCTGCCTCCTCAAAGTCACCCTGCAGGAACTGCATATACGAATGACTGTCAACGATGCCAGTCGATGGACTCTCAAGTGCACCCGCTTGCGCTCGAACGTGAGGTTCCCGCGTCTGCGCCTCTTCCTTCGAGATGAAGCGGATAGGCACATCGATACTCTTCGCGAAGTCATGAACACCCTTCAGCGCGTCGAGCTGCTCATCGTCCTGAGCTACTACCCACTTGCCGCAGTTCATGTACGGGACGCGATTCTTTTCACAAAGCTCGTACATCATCTTCTTCCCCTCCACACATAGCTTCGTCTTGAGCGTGTCATGGCCATAGTATATACCCGCATGGATCGCCTAGCCCACCAGTCAGCCGTCGCCCAGTACAAGCAAAGAAAGTAATCAAAACATACCTCAGAATTCCTCGAACTCGTCTCCGTCCCCACCATCCCATGCTTCTCAATCAACACCACCTGTGCACCATCAATCCTCTGTAGCCTTCTTGCAATCGCAAGTCCCACAGTGCCGCCGCCAATGACCGCGTGCGTGAAATCTGCTTGCCGTTTGACGGTCGAGGAAAAGCAACGGCTCGAGTGGCGGGTGCAAGTTGTGAGTGCGCGCCGGGCTAGCATGGTTCCACATGGATCTGTTTATTAGGAGCGAAGGTATTAGAGAAGGATGAAGAGGCTAGAAATACATTATCCCATACAGACAAAAGCAAAAACTGATGGAGGTGTAGGATGAAGTTGTTTGTTCCCTGACTTGGTATCAGTGATCGGCGTCAACGACTCCGAAGCCGGTATAGTGGGTCAGATATGGCCTGCAGTCACCCAACCCTGTCGGCATAATGGAGAAGCAGGAAAATAATCAATGAACATGCATAACTCGTATTCCTATTGACAATTGCAACATGCTATCCACAATCCCGTCCCATCTCGAAACGCCCAAGCGCCCGCGCACTCAGCCGACATCCCTATACTCAAGCCCAGTCCCGTTTTCCTAGCCCCAAAATGTCCACAAGCCTACCAGTCCACCTCATCAATACCCTCTCCTCTCATACCACCCCCGATCCCCCCTTCCCTCCTCCGCAACCTTCCCACTAACATCCCTCCGAACCCTCATATCCATGCTCCCATACGGCTGCTGCGCGTCCACGATATCCACTCCCGTCCTGCTCACCACCCTTCCACCAGCATCCCTCGCTCTCCTCGGCGTTCGCATCTTCTGTGGCGGCGGTGAAGGCGCGCTATACCCATACTCGCCCAGCGCCATCATTCCCATGGAGTCCATGGCTGCTGCGCCTACGGTGCCGGTCGTCTTCATCGTGTCGTTGGACTTTGCACCGCGCACACCCGCGGTGGCGGCAGCAAGATCCCCGTAGTACTTGCTTTTGGGTGTGCCTCCAGCCGCTTTGCTTGTTTTCAGAGAGGGCGATCTCTCGGAGTAGACAGAGGAGGATGTTGTGTCCGTCCTCTGAACGCCGAGGTTGCCATTGCCGTTGTCGTTTCTGGGAGTCAGCGCGGAACGGTTCATGTGCGCTCGCAGGGGCTGATCATCGTCGGGGTCGGGATACTCGTAACGCGTGTTTGGCGGTGGTGTTGGTGGATTCATGCGCAGGGGCTCTGGGTTGAAAGAGTCGTGGCGCTCAACGTAGACGTCTGGAATCTTGGTTTGCCGGCGGTCGGGAGAGTTGAGCGTGCTGTCAAGGTCGTCGTCGACTGAGATCCAGTTGTCGTTCAAGAGACCTTGCTTTTGCTGCGACTGGACCAAGGCGCTGGTGGGCGCAGCATTCGGCAGGGCCGGGGTCGAGTAGCGGGCTGAGCTGGAAAGGTTGGTGTTCGATCGATTGTCGGGGTAGGAGATCGGACGTCTGGAGTAAAAACGATCGGTCGAGAGCGGCGGTGGAGGAGGGACATCCATGTTCTCGACAAACGAACTTCGCTTGCTTGGACTTGGGCGCTGGCTGTTGACTTCTGCTCGAGAGTTCCGTGCGGAGGCCGGCTGGTTGTACATGTTGACGTCTTCGAACTGCTCGCGAGACCAGCGTGCCGTATTCGGATTATGCGGCGAGAACGTGGTTTGCGAGTCCATGCGACTATGCTGGAAGGGAACAGCGCGTGAGTTCTCGGCGTCTTTGTTCGCGGTCGATAAGCGCGAGTACTGATCGACTGAGATCGTGCTTCCAGACATATACGCCGGCTTCTTTTCGGCCACGGAACCAGTTAGCGTGGCATCGCTGTCCTTGTACTTGTGCTTGCTGGTCCTCGATGATCTGCCGGTCAGGTTGTCTTCGAGTGGATTCATGTCCGGCGGCAGCTTGGAGATCTTGCGGAAAAGGACAATCAACCAGAGGTCAAACACCGTGCTGAGCAGATGCAAGCCTCCGATGACAGCCGATCCGATGAATGTCACCAGCAACAAAGTATTGAGAGCTTCAGGCGCATCAAAGAAGCTGGTCCAACGCTCTTTGCTGTCCGGGTCGGCGGTGTAGTTGGTGTTGGCGTACATCGCAATGAAGACGTAGAACGGGATGAGACCGATGTCCATCACCAGAGCGAAGATGTGATAGCTGGCTGAGCTTCCTGGAGTCCGCGACTTGGCTGGTCGGAGGAGATGGTAGATTGCATACATGGTTGTGATGATGTCGGCCGCGGGCTATGCCAGTATAAGTCAGTATAACCCTCCTAACGGTAGAACGGGAATGACTTACCGCGAGACGCATGATCCAAACGAGGGATACATCGACCTTCTTGGTGCAAATGACACACACCAGTATCCCCAGCGCTGCAATCTCCGTGATCACTCGGAGGGCAAATTGCACCCATCGCAGCACCGTCACCTCTTTCTTCGTCCGCGCAGGCATGGGGTTGTACTTGACATTCTGGCCCGACACAATCATATAACTGTCCGGATGCGCGTTGAAGTTGATCAACGGTCCCTCTGGCTTCGGCTTGCTCCTCTGCTCATCCTCGACCTTCTTGTACTCGGCCTGCGTAACGGCTTTCGGGTTGAAGTTGGAGAAGGGATAGACGGTGCGCTGCGGCGTGTACATGTAGGGTTGGTCGCTCCCTCCCATTGCCGTGGTAGCGAATGTGGTTGAATGAATGGAGACAATGGACGCAGTACCAGGAGGACGAAGAGTAGATCTGAGGAATGTCAAGATGTCTCGCTTAGCGAATGAAGATGCCTGTATAGTGAAGTTGCAGGGAAGTGTGGTCGAGCGCTGCCCTCTCGTCAACAGAATTTAGAGTTTTGTGGTCGACAAGGCAACTATCTGATTGCCCGATAAGGCATCTCGGAGCGAGTGCCGACGGCATCATGAAGAGATCACTTTTCGACTTCATCTTGCGACATCTGTTCTCCATGAACGATGCGCCCTCTCAGTCGCCCACCATACGTCTGCAAGGCGTGTCAACACACCCTCGATGTCTCCGTCAAGAGGCGCGCAGCTCTCCATGGCTTCCAGCGCCATCAAAGCACGGCGACACCCCGAGATCGACCATTCCATCTGGCCATTATCGGCTCCGGACCAGCAGGATATTACACGGCGTATCGGTTGATGAAGAAGCTGCCGAATATCTGGGTGACAATGTTCGAGTCGCTGCCAGTGCCATACGGCCTCGTGCGATTCGGAGTCGCCCCAGACCACCCCGAGGTTAAAGTCCGCGCTCTCGCGTTCGCACGAGGCTCTGAAGCATTCACTGACCATTTTCGAAATAGTAGAAGTCGGCCGAGACGCTGGAAGATGTTGGTAAATGGCCGCAGTTCGACTTTGCTGGCAACGTGCAGATAGGAAATGGTCCGCAGGAGTTGCCACTGAGTTCCATCGCGCCGCACTACGATGCGATGCTGTTCGCATACGGCGCCTCGAAGGACCGGCGGCTCAACATCCCCGGTGAGGACTTGAAGGGTGTTGTATCAGCGCGAGCTTTCGTCGGCTGGTACAATGGTCTGCCGGAGTACGCGGACCTCAACCCTGATCTGCAATCAGGAGACACGGCTGTGGTCATTGGACAAGGAAACGTAGCTCTGGACATTGCTCGGTTCTTACTCTCGCCTGTTGACATGTTGAAGGAGACCGATGCCTCGGAGCAGGCTCTGGAGGCTCTGAGTCGAAGCAAGATTCGAGATGTCAAGATCATCGGGCGGCGTGGACCATTGCAGGCGCCATACACCATCAAGGAATTACGTGAGCTCATGAACTTGCCTGGCGTTGGCTTTGCACCACCGCCTGGAACCTGGGACGAGCTTATTCAAGTCGAGCGGAAGAAGCTTCCGCGGCAGCTGAAGCGAATAGCAGAAGTGCTGGAACGTGGCTCGAAGACGCCCATGGAGAGCGCAGTGAAAGCATGGCAGTTGGGCTACATGCGGTCACCCGTTGAGTTTCTATCATCCACCGGTGACAAGCTGGAGGCCGTTGGCTTTGAGCAGACAGAATACACAGCTTCAATTTCCTCGCTAATATCAGGCGATCCGCAGAAGGATCTTAATTCAGTCCGTAATCTGAAAGCGAAACCCACCGGAAGACGGACAATGGCGCGCGCAGACCTCGCCTTCCGATCTGTTGGCTACCAGTCCGAGCCTCTACCCGGTTTCGATGACATTGGTGTACCGTTCGACGAAAACTTCGGCATCATCCCCAACGATATGTATGGCCGCGTGATTGCACCCGACCGCGGACCAGCTGGACCTTTGACCGCCGGGCATGTACCTGGAATGTACTGCTCCGGCTGGGTGAAGCGAGGTCCCACCGGCGTGATTGCAAGCACCATGGACGATGCTTTCAACACGGCAGACATCATTGCCCGGGACTGGGAGGATGGCGCGAGGTTTAATGAGGGTGAAGGTGAACGAAAGGAGGGCTTTGCGGCGGTGGACAGGGAGATGAAGAAGCGGGGTGTCCGATCTGTGAGCTGGGCAGAGTGGCAGAAGATTGATGCTGAGGAGAGGAGGAGAGGGAAGGAGAAGGGCAAGATGAGGGAGAAGATTCGGAGTGTAGAGGAGATGATGAAGATTTTGAATGCTTAGAGCTGTACTGCAGCCGAAGATACCGCCGCAGACAACGTATCGAGCGACCCCATTGTGGCCACTTCTATGCTACCTTCTCCGATTCCACAAAACACCACCAGCCGCCTATGAGCATGCGATGTTGCTATCGGTGTGCTCGAGAAGGCGTGCCATTGCAGTCCATCTGTGCGACCTTCTCCGCGCTGCAAACGACCACCAGCTACACGTGGGCGCCAGATTCTGTCGTTCGCCTTTGGGAGAGTGCTTCAGCCGACTCCCTACACCAGCACTCGCACCATCCCCTTGATGTTCTCCTCGGACAACCTATTCGTATCGGAGACTCCGGCATTGGCGCTGTGCAGCAAGGTTTTCCAGAACGCCGCCTTCGCATACTCGGACCTAACCATGACGTCTTCTTCTCCTTCCAAAGTACTGTTCTGCTCGCCACTCGGCCCCTCGCTCCCCATGCCATCGTCCGCTTGGTCCTCACCTCCCTCCTCCCGGTCTTCGAAAGCAACCGGACCCTTCATGTTCATGTACCAGCCCCTCTGGTACTCTTCACCCCTATCCTTAGCCACCAGCGGCCCGTTGCGAGTGAAGCGACTATAGCAAGCCGGCCCAGTCAACTCATGGACGCCGGTCAAACCACACGAAGCGTTCGTCTGGTGCGTGATCTCGTCCCAGCCTAGGCCTATTGCAGTGCGAGATCAGCGGTCTTCTCCGAGACGCAGACTGTTACGACGGGGCCGTGGTCTGCGTGCTTACCTTCCTTCCGTAGCTCGTAGACGGAGATGTTGATCGGGTCGTGCGGGATACGTGATCGATGAGTGCTGCTTTTTGGAGTGGAGTTGGGGCGGGAAGAGGGAGTGGTCGAGGTGCTGGCCTTGCGCTTGGATCCGGCGAGAGGTGTGGTGGGTGCGGGCGCTGGCGCGGGCGAAGTACTTGTCGATGTTGATGATGTTGGTGCTGCACGGCGACGCTTCAGCTTGAAGTAGGGTGATGTCGTCGGTGCTGATGCTGGCGATGCCGCTGTGGAATCTTCTGGCGGCGACATGGAAGGCCTGCGCTTGCTTGCGATGCTTCTTTTCTTCTCGAAGACGGCATCCTTGTTGTTGCGATCCATCTTGGGCTGTAGTGGCACAAGGACATGTGTGGTGCGGGTAGAGAGGGGAGGAGAGGGAGAGCTCATGGACAAGAAGGTGTGTCGTGAGGATTGTGAGGTTGGAGAAGGTGAAGATGGTGAAGCGCAGCAGCAGCAGCAACGACGTCATCAAAGCAAGGCAGCAATTTGCATGTGACGAAAGAAATAATTCACCTCAGCTCACGTGATGAGGCCGGTCCAAGCTTTGCTTTTATGGTGCTTCTCATTCTTCCTGTGTTCACACTCTAGTACTCTGACAGGTTCCTCGCATCTCACAAATATGCAACCCATTATTCTCAGCCCAACGGAAACATATCGATGGTGTTTTTGTGCTGTCCTTGGCGCGTACATGGCCTTCTTGCACTTTCCAACACTCACGGCGGCCCTTGAACTCCGTGAGGTCCGCCAACTTCTTCTGCCCTGGTGCCAGCTGGGTGTCCATCGCTTCTGCAAGACTTGAAGCCTTCCTGGTGAAAACTTGCACTACTTCAGCGCCGTATAGGTCGCCAGTATCTCTGGGCTCAGCCTTCCAGCTTTCCGTTCTGGCTATCTCTCGCCGGCGGAGGGCCGGTCTGTCGGCTTCGAAGATGACTTGTCGCTCGGAGACACTTTCGACTTCAGGAGTTGTGTCGTGGAAGACTCTGTGGATGTCGAGTCTATGGATTGAGTGTCGGACGACTTCGCGTATCTGGAGTCCATTGCGAGGGAGAGCTTGTGACGATCGGAACGATCCTAGGTCGACGAGTGGATGATGTGTCTTCTTGAAGAGAGGAGATGTGTGACGCAAGAGTATGTTGCTGGAGAGTGCAGGATACGAAGGAAAGCAGGTCTCTCTTATACCTTCAGTTGAAGAGCTCGTGCGAGCCCACTCGCCAGTGGCCTGACAACCGCATTCGCCTTGCGGATTACTGACAGGCTGCAGTCACCACCGTAGCACGTATAACGCGTCTATGGACGTCGCGTTGAGTAGGACGTAGCGTAAGTAACTCCGTCGCGGCGGCATTTGAGGCTTCGGCCGGTGATAAAATGTCTCTGATGACCCAGGCTCCGAGTAGTGATTAGGAGAGCGCTTCTCATTGCTTGATGCTGCCTCCTTGGTACGCGAGAGGTCTCCATATGCGCTCGGAAGAAGCTAAAGGTCGTCCCGGAGAAAGCCTAGGACGCCCAATTCCGAACACCGCAAGCTTGGTTCTTTCTTGGAGGCGTGGGTCAGAGTGGTTGTTCACTGAACCCGCAAGACGCGGCTTCTCGTTTTATGGCCTTCTTCCGAGCAGATGGCAGGCCGGGGGCGTGGGTTGGCATCAATGGGCGGCTCCGAGGGCTCCATCTCTCGTGATGGCCAAGACCGGCGTTCGTACTCAGCTCCACGCCGCTTCGATGACTCTTCTCCTGTCGAGACGACACCAAGACTAGTTCAAGCAGCTGAAGACGATCCGACATGGCTCACGCAGGCGGAGAAGATGGACTCGAAGGTGTCGAATGAGATGATGAAGTTGAAGCACCAGCTCCTGAGGAGTTGATGGTCTGGGGCGCTCTCCACATCCCAGTCAGCAGCAACGACGCGATGTCACGATGCCACCTCGGGCCCCGCAAACTCCTCCAAGGCCATCGACGAGCACAGAGTCTTCTCGCATCGAGAAATGGAAGTGCTGCAGAATGTATTTAAACAAAATCTCTCTGCCACCATTGCAAGTATGCGAAAGCTTTTCTCGACCTCTTCGTTCCTCTTGTCTCTGCCATTGTCAGCTCATACAGCTTCGTATCATGACGACGTTGGGGTACTTCAATATGTCAACCCCAAGATTGGGACTTTGCCAACGTATGGCGATGAAGCCAACCAGCGTGGAGGGATGGTGCCCTCCGTTTCTCCTCCCTTTGGCATGACCAGATGGACGCCGCAGACCCGAGAAAACTTCATCTCGCAATGCCCGTACGACGACGCAGATGAGTACATTCACGGCTTCCAAGCGACTCATCAGCCCGCGATATGGATGGGAGAGTCTGGGCAGGTCGTTCTAGGTCCTGGCATTGGAGAAGTCAAGCCATTGTTCACAGAAAGAGCGCACCGATTCACCAAGGCCAATGAGCGGAGTACGGCCTACGTCTATCAGGTCACGATGGACGCAGAGTCAGTCGAGGCCGGCCTGAACTTGACCGAATCAATCTACTCGCCAGTACCTGGCGGAGCACAGCCAGTGCCTGCAGTCGTTAGTGAAGGTGCGAATGGTCGGACGAGGCGAGATTTGCCATCAAATCCCGAGGCGACTGCAGCTACTCTGAGAAGCAGAGCTCACGAAGGCACGATTCATGCAGACATGACGGCAACATCTCACGTAGGCCTGCTACAATTCAGCTTTCCAGTGGACGAGGAACCATACGTCTTTCTACAGGCGACTCGCCAGAATTGGACTGGTGAGGTCGAGATCGACCCAGCGAAGCGAGAGATCTGGGGGAGTAACCCGCAGAGACAGGACTACGACCTTGGCCTGCTACATGCACCTGGCTTTAATGGGTACTTCGTTTCACGCTTCTCCCAGCCGTTCTCATCCCACGGTGTGGCACACGGTAGGCAGCTGCACGATCAAGTCTCGAGCGGTCGTGGAGAACATGTCGGAGCTTACGTTACTTTCGAGAAGGGCTTGCGATCAGTTGAAGTACGAACGGGAGTGTCGTTCGTGAGCATCGAACAAGCCCGGCGGAACTTGGACCTAGAGGCACCAGACAGCGAAAGCTTCAGCGATGTTGTAGACAACTTAAAATCAGCCTGGCTGGACAAGCTGGGCCGAGTGACCATTGAAGGATACAACAAGACAGACGCCGACCACGACCCTCGGACGATCTGGTACACGAGCTTGTTCCATGCTCTTCAATACCCTTCGGACTTTTCCGAACCGCTTGATGACGACAAATACAGTGCTCGAACGTTTTACAGCGGCTACACTGATAGCGTGCACGAAGCGCACGACTCGTATTATCAGTCATGGTCGATCTGGGACACATTCAGGGCAGAGCACTCCACCCTCACCATGTTTGCTCCGGAGCGTGTCAATAGCATGATGCGCTCGCTTGTTAGGATCTTTGAGTGGTCTGGGCGGTTGCCAATGTGGGCCAATGTGGTTGAGACGAACATCATGATAGGTGAGTTGTCTTCACGGGTAGAAGTGTCTTTCAAAACAGCGTAAAGCATTACGAGACGTTCGAACACCTCGTCATCTCGATCAAGACCCTGAGAGACCTGCTGACCGTGCGAACCACCCAATTCAGGTACCCATGTCGATGCTGTGATTGCAAATGCTCTTGAAAGAGGTTTCGAGGACTTCGACGTAGCGCAAGCATGGGCTGGGGTCAAGAAGAACGCCTACGTCCCACCCCTACGAGACACCGAGCTGCTGTACTATGACCGCGAGCCAAACACTCCCGATGAAGTTCGAGCAGGTCTGACAGCGTATCTCGACAAGGGCTATGTGCCAAACGACCGATGGGCTGAGAGTGGTTCGCGCACCCTGGACTACGCCTTTGACGACTACGCCGCCTCTGTCGTAGCAGCTCATGCAGACGACATGGCGGCCTCGCACGAGCTTCTCAACCGCAGCATGAACAATTATCGTACCATCTACAACGCTGACACCGGCTTCATGGAGGCGAGAAACGACAACGGCACTTGGGCTGGTCGCGACCAGGGCTGGAGCGAAGGCGATGACTGGATCTATACGTTCGATGTTATGCACGACCCCAAGGGCCTGGCCGCACTACTCGGTGGGAAGGAGAAAATGAAAGCTAAACTTGACAAGTACTTCGAAGGCGGCCACAACCAGCATTCCAACGAACCTTCACATCACGCACCGTATATGTACGCCGCTATTGGCTATCCTGCGTGGACTCAGAACTTGACGAGGTCCATCGCATACGATAACTACAACGCCACCTCAGCTGGCCTGAGCGGCAACGAAGATCTTGGTCAGATGTCGTCGTGGTACCTGTTCTCAGCGCTCGGCTTCTACCCAGTCAACCCGTCTTCGGACGAGTACGTGGTCGGCGCTCCTTGGTTCGAGAACGTTACGATACGGTTCCCAGCTGGTGCGAGTACTGGCGGGATTGGTGGGAAGGAGCATACGCTCACTATCACGGCTCCCGGTGCTGTCACGAAGCCGTTTGTGAAGAGCTTGACAGTGGATGGGAAGGCGGTTGACAGGCCGCTGCTGCATCACAAGCAGATCGTGACGGCGAAGTGCATTGCTTTTGAGATGGCTGATACTCCTCGGTCTTGGGGATGCGAGGGCATCTAGCCTTGAAACAAACCAAGTTCTACCGTTCACCGCAAATCCCCGACGTGACCCAGCATCGTTTGGCCCATTCCGTTCAACCCAGCCCTGAGTGAAGTACACTTTCGTACTGTGGGTCTTGTTAGATATCCCCGTAAATTCGAGACGATTGACATTGAACATTCTCAAGGTTATTTCAATGCACATGGCCTGCTACTACAATCCAGCTCTGTCCTGCCTGCATCTGCCCTGCTCAGTGGTAGCGTTGTTGCACTGTACATGCTGTACACCTCTACATCCCTGCTTCGTCCGTCTGCCACGACGACATGCTTTCTGTTCGATGAATGCCCGCAAGCGCATGCTCCATGCTACATCTCTCCGCCAGAGGCAGCCGACCCTGCCTGCATAACAAAGGCACCAACATTGTCGTTGCTCCAGACAAGAATGGCAGTAGTTGCGGCAGACAGCTCGTCCCAACAACTCACTGTGCCACCGCTTAATCATACACTGCACCCATGCATGAACTCGTTCTTCGGCCATCCATACCCCGTCTGATCCCACCTCGTCAAATTCGGATTGTTGTACGCCACCGGATGCTGTCGAATATACTCCGTAGTCTGATACCCAGGCGGATCGCACGTCACACTCTTCTGCCCCGGCTTCTGATACAGCCTCACATAATCCACCCTCAAAACCGCCGGGAACCGCAGCTCATCCATCTCAACATACGTCCATGAGTTCGATATACCCAAGTTCAGGATGAGTGACATGGGCTCCTCGGAAATAAGCCGCTGGCCGATGTTGCCATTCGGTCCGATGGCGCGGGCGTCGAACTTCATCATCTCGTCGTCGCCGATCGTCCAGGCGATGAAGGAGGACTCGGTGCCGCCGGGGACGTACTCGAAGGCGAATTTCTGGTATTGGCGGCCATCGTACCAGTGGTTGTTGAGCATGCTTGTTGTGCTGACGGCTTGCTGGAAGGGCCCGCCGGTGTAGCTGTTCACCAGAGACACATGCCTGTTGGGGTTTTCCATGAAGTCGTAGTTGGGGTACCACCAGAGATCGAACGGTGCGACTTGGAAGCTTTGAGTTGCCACGCCGACTCCCATGCTGCCCCAATCGGCGGACACTTCGGCGATGTCGATTTCAGGCGCACCGCGTCCTCGGCCGGGATTCGGATGGTCTTCACCTGCGCAGGTACAAGATGCCAGCCTCTGACCTGGCAGGTAGCTCAGTCCGTCTGTCACGGATTGGTTGGGAGTAATGCCGCTGTCGCATTCGTCGTATGTGTAGGGCCAGAGACCATCGGTGGTGGCTAAATAGCCAGGCCGGCCCAGATTGCCCATCGTCCACACTCCCGGCCACAGACCGTGTTTCCCAGCAGGGCCCGGCACAGACATCGACACCTCGAACACACCTCCCTTGAAGCAGAGCTGGTTCCACGAGTTCAGCATCCCGGACCGAAAGTCCAAATTGTGGTTAATGAACTTGTCCATTTGCAACAAGAGCGTGCCGCCACCGGTGTCAATGGCGTCGGGATCATACCACTCCAAGTCCTGCGTTGCTCCATACCAGCCTTCGAAGCCAAACCAGTAGGGATCGTCTCCATGGTAAAACGTGCGATTCGGCTTGTTGAATTCATCGCTGAAGACCAACTCAAGCGTATCGCCATTGATGCCTGTCCGCCTCAAAGCATCATCCGGCGTGTCCGGATCGATCAATCCGTGCCGTACATTCTGCAGCAATGGGTACAGCCTGTCATTGACATGATTCCATGGGTCAGGCTGCGGCGGTCCAGGATCAACAACTCCAGGGTAATCTATGAGAGCGGTGCCAGTCCATGATAAAATTGGTAGCACGACGAATATGCAAAGTAGGCCGCACAGCATGAGAAACAGTCCAAAGGTACTAACAATATTTTCTCGCGTAAAGTGGTCTCTCAGTTTCGGTTTCAGCCGGATGTCGTCGTCCCACTGTGGCATGTGCATGTCATCGTCATCCTCTTTTTCGTCTGTAATGAGTGGGAAGGAGCATTCTGGAGCTCCCAGTCGGTCGTCCATGTACTGGAAGAAGGCCAGCTTTTGCGGATCTGCTGGATGAAGAAATACCGGCGTCTGGGTTCTCTGAGGCTCCGCGATTGCGACGACTGCAGGATGCATCTCGTGGATGGGACAGGTGTCTGGTCCGTGGGGTGTTGCAGGTCGCATCCGCTCCCCAACACTCTCGAATGGGTTCGAAATCCGCTTGTGATCTCCGAAGGGATCAGAAAGCCGTTTTGACAGCTCAGCGGCGTCCGCACCAGCCAAGTCTCCATCCGCTGGATGATGGATAGAGCTCCTGCGTGATAATTCGTCGTGAGAACTTTGCGGAGTGACGAAAGGGTTGTAATATCGTGTATAATCCGAGCCGAGGTCCCTCACAGACCGAGGACTCGATAGAGTCGACACGCTTGACGGCGAGCTGAGCTGCGAAAGGGGATGCGGATCGTGAGCCGGGATTACCAGTGAAGGTCGTGATGGCCGGCGTGCCAGATCGCTGCGCGATGGTACAGTCAGGTAGCGATTGTTCCGGTACTCCGGCCTTCCATTGTGTGTGAGGAGTCCCTCAGCCGAGTCAGCACTACTTCGACGGCTGTGCACTCCTTCGCTGCCCGAGCTCGGCGGTGTCGGGTTGAGAGGCGAAGAGACCGTGGGAGAATGTATGGAGACTCGTCGCGTGCCTGGTTCTGCATCTTGTCGCGGGTATGGTGATTCGGGATATGGAGTGCCGTGGGAAAGTAATTGTCGGCTCCTCTGGTGGCGAACGAATAAATCTGGTGTGCTGTTCCATGGATTCGGTTGCGAGCGGACTGAAGGTCTTGCGGCCTCTCGAAGCGACTGTGCGGACTGCTGGGCAGCGAGATGTATTGCAGAACGACCGGCTTGATGTGTTTGACGCTCCTCTGACAGTTCTGGGTCCTCCTCCGTCTTCCCTGAGGACGAACGCGATCGTTCATCACGTGAGGGCGCCATGCCACGGTGTTATGCTACCGCGTCGAGGGAGGCATGTGAGGCCGATGGGAGATTGCAATGGCAGCAAGTCGCGATGGTGATAGCGATGGGCGTCATCCAAGATGGAACCTGTGAACAGAAACCAGAAACACGTGGAGTGGAAGACGGTCTCACGTCAGTTGATGAAGTGAGGTTGTCGAAGTGAAGGGACGACCCCACTGTTGTGTGCTCGCGCCTGCGCATTGAGATCGCACGGGAGGTAATACAGCAGGCGCGACACGGCAGCATGCAAGGGGGTGGATACCGGGGATGGAGCGTTTGTACGTTACCATTGAGCACGAGCACGAGCTCGATTCTACACGGTGCCTCGTCCATGGTACCAGAATTTAGCAGCACTGGTATATCACGATATACTCGAGATTGTATGCCACGAGGAGTTGGAAGTCCCTCTTCTCACAAACTCTGATCATCTCAACAATTCTTCATCACCCGTGATTCAAGGCGCTGGCGGCCCACGGCCCACAGAGATGTCGGCCTTAAATTCAGCCCATCTTGAATCGATCCTAGGACAAAGGCACAATATCTGGGTGCAAGAGATGGAAGTGAAGTCGGAGTCGGTTGAGTGACGCCCAGAGAACGTCGCAGATCGACGGTCAGGAGTGAGAAGAAAGCTTAAAACCGTTAAGATCACGTGCCAGCAACAGTATCACCATTGCAAATCTATCGAAGGTCATTTCACCGGCACCATCTATACTAATCCCATGCTCGATATGAGCACAGCTCTGCATCCCATCCACACCATTACAATAAGCGAATGTAATTGATCGACGCCAGGTCATCCATCATGCTTTTCATCCATCCCGTGGGGTATCTTGTGCAAAACATATATACAAACTCCAAGCATCATCCATACTATCATAGTCCTACAACGCGAGGCCGACTTGGCTGGTCGGTGTCATGACCACGGGCCAATGGTCCTCCTTGCCCTTCTTGGCGTCGAGCTCTCCGTATCCGCAGAGTGTTGGCGCCGGCGAGAGCGGCGTGACGCGTGACTCGCCAGTGTGAGAGCGGCTGTGGCCCTTGGTGGTGGGAGAGGAGGCCGCGGTAAGGGAAGGCGACTCCGACTCGGTCAATGTGCAGATGGAGTTGTGGGAGACCGATCGCTGCAATGGGCGTGGGCTTGACTGGCACTTGTAGAAAGGCTCGCTGCTTGGGAGATGCGACACTGAGGCGGATGGGAAGATCCCGGACAGCCATCCTGACACTCGCGAGCTGGCTCGTAGCGTTGCGGATGCCGAGCGGCGGAGGACTGGTCGCTCGACAGCAGTGTCCGAAGCCATTGGGGTGCGGTAGTACGACTGCGCTGTGATGGGCCTCGAAAAGGCAGAGCCAATGTCGTTGAGAGTCTCTGCCCTTGCGCGAACCTGCATTCTTGGAGCAATGGCAGCTACGTGCTGATCTGGCGTGCCTGTCCTTGCAGCCTCAGCTCTGCGCTCCTCGACAATCGTATTCAGCTCCATGACTTCTTTCTCAAGCTCCTGGTCTTCGTTCCCGGACCCACCACGCCGAATTGACTGTTGAGACCGCTTCCGCTTTGGCCGCATGCGTTCGTTGGATGGCCGAGAGCTAAGGGAAGATGCGACGCTAACGTCACCACCATTTGCTCGCCGCAAGGAGCTCGACGACGACCGAGATGATAGCGAAGGCCTTGTAGCACGTTGCTCGTGGAATACCGCTGCTCGCTGCTCGGTGGCAATGGCAGCCGGCTGTGGTGGCTGCGGCAATGGCCCTACTGTGCTACTCCGCTGCTGGCATCTGGTGAATGGGCTGTCTCGGTGGGCCCGGTATGATTGGGGTCGGCCATCAACTGGCAGAAGGTCTTCCGTAGACTCAGAACGCTCATGCTTGACTGTCTTGTCCGCAGGTCTTTCAACGGGGCTGTGAAGTTCAGGTGGCACAGGAGATTCGCGAAGCACAACAGGTCCAAGCCGCAGAGGCACTAAGCTCAACCTTTGTGCTTCTGTCTGGTCGATTCGTCGGAATGCGTATGGTGAGCTGATGCTGGGACGTGCAGCGTGGCCGGGCTGGTGCTTCGGTCTATTGGCGAGAAGTGACCACCGGTTGATCAATGGCGCCTCATCAAAATCCAAAGGCTTGATCGAAGGTGGTCTTTCAGACACGTGGGATCTGTGGCGATAACCTTCGACCAGGCCTTGGGGCTCGTCACCCTTCCAGACTGGCAAAGGGTGAGGAACTGGTGTGGCGGGCAGCTCGGCGAGTGGCAATGGCTGCTCGTTGCAGACTCCGACGCGTGTAGAGGCTGTGATATTGTTAGTCTGATCAGGCATGCGAGATCGATGAGCATTCCGTACGCCTGGACCTCTCCTTCTCCATTGGACTTTCATCGTCGTTTACAGCCGCACAGCAGCATAGAAGGGCGGCCCTGTTCGGAGAACGAGTTAGTATAGAGCCACACACCCAGTCTATAGCTCGTGTACTCACAGCCACCCTCTGTAATGTTGTCCATCTTCGCTGACGAAGAGGCCCATTGACCTCAAACTCGGGATTTCATGAATCTCAACAGCTGCCACTGACTGAAGGTAGAAGGAGCGAACGTGGCAGTGATGAAGAAGAACGTAAAGGAAGAGCAGCAGATAGACTGAAAAGAGAGCAAGGCAGAAGTAGGAAGCAAGGAGAATAGAGGTAGGAAGTCAAGATGCATAACGGACGAGCTTGCAGTAATTGCTCACATTCTTCGGCAGCATTGGGCAGGTACGACGCATCGCGGCAGCGCATGAAACAATCTCGCTCGGCTTCCCTCCTCGAATCTTCTGCTGCTGGCCGAAGCAAATCAGCGTCAGCAGCGGGTGTGGGAACAATGCAAGGCTGGACCGAGTGGGTGAGCGTGGCAAGCGGTGACTGGACACGCTGCCAGAGCGAGTTGGGGAGTTTGGGGGACAGGCGAGGACGGGCTAAGCTTCGGGTGGCTGCGGTCGAGCGACTGGGAGAATAGAGTCTACACGCTGATTGGTTGGTGGCAACTACACCATATCATGCCAGCGCTTCCCTGCTCTTAGCGGGAGCATCGGACTGCCTGTTCCTGACAGGTCGCGACGGTGGACATTTGAGACTTGAGACCTTCGTCAGGCCCGCATGATGAGCCATTGGTGAAGCATTGTTGGCTGCGATTGTAGGCGAGCCATCGGCCCAAGGCTCTACTGAAGTCATCGAACGCCTAGTGAGGTCCTCCTACCCCCGACCACGGATGATTGTTCCGAGCAATCTTAATCAATGCAGGGCTGTGGTCTCGACATTTTGTCAGTATAAGATTCTCACAAGACACCTTCCGCCCCAAGCTTGCGTTCATTACGGTTCTCGAGCAGATTCAGAATTTCCTCACACGGCCAATGAGCGTTATACACGACATGAAACACGTAAGGCTGATACTGCTGTATTTCCCAGCCATGTCGAAGCGACAAAATCGTTCTCAACCAACACTCTGACGTCGCTTCTCGCCCTTGGCCAGTCTAGAATTGTCGAAAGCTCATTCCAAAGCGACAGTGGCTGGCTTTGATGGCTGATCTTCACCACCGTCATCAACAACCATCCGCTGAAGGGACATGTGGTGCTGTTTGGGCGTCTGATCAAACTGCGCTGTCTGCCAGGACTGCTCCGCCGTGTGGAAGGGTCGTGGTGGCCGGAGGTTGGTAGGTTTAATGAGAGGCGAGCCTCTTGAAATTGCCACATCGTGCAATGTGCAGCGCGTTCTGCGCCTTATGCTTCAAGGCCATTCATTCCAGCTGCAGGAGTAGGCCCACGCCAGGCGAACAACTCGCGAGTCGGTCTGTGTCGGTCTTTCTGCAATCTCTCCATCAAACAGACCTTTGCTCAGCCAGCCATGGGGTTACAGCGGCATTAGACGCAGGCGCTCTCGAAGAGTCTATGCCGAAACGCTCTACACCCTCACTTTGCACGGACGAGCAGGCATACTGAAGCGGTTAGCCCTACTGCCGCTCTCGAGCCGTCGCCTGGCAGGGTTGACGGGGAATCGTTACTCCGTGACTGACAGGCTCCGGTGAAGGCGACTGATGAGGAAGCGCTGTCGAGCGTGAGTGTGGCTCGGAGGAACATCGACTTGACAGGATCCTTGCTTATCGGTTCGTAAAGGAGTGATCAAAGATTGCCGGGCTCAGGAGTCCGGCCGTATGCGCATAGCCAGCCGGTGCATTGTCGAGAAGGTAGCAAGCTGTCGACAGTCAACGCGGCCCACGGGGGTCGGAGTGAGCCGTATGAGGGACCTTCTCACAGACAATGACCGCAACCTCGTCTCGGAGAAGACTGTCAGACGTGTCTGGATGGCCCCTTTCACTGTCTGCTGCTTGGGTAGGTGCCGAAGCTGATGCTCCTCTATCATAGCATCTTTTGCTAAGGAAACGCATCAAGGATTAGATGGAAGGAACATGCCTTGCTTTGGAGGGCGGTGGGTTCGAAAACGATGTAAATGTAGCTACCGGTAAGTTATGATGGAGACTGACACTACCTTACCTTACCGTTGCATGGAGTTGACTGACGGTTGTGTTCACCTCACATATGAACTCTGCTCGGTCGGTGAGTTTACGCGCAAACCCCCTTCCGCTGTGACAGTCCTGCGGGTGCTCCCAGAACTGCCGTCGAGATGGCCATCTGGAGGCTGTAATGAATGTTGATGGCGGAATTCTGGTGGAAGGAAGCGAAAGCGAAAGAAAGTCGGTGGTCCTGGCGGGTGGCCGAGAGCGGCGATGAAACGCAACACGCCAGAGACGCGTAAAGGGCTTGCATAACATTACAACTTGACAACATCTCGCCACAACACACGAAGACAATGGGAACCCCAAGAATTTTTCGGACGGCAAAGAGTATGGGCAACTGGCTCGTTGCGCCAAAAATGGCTGGTGAAGACTCAATCGAAAAACTCCTCCGACCCCAGCGCTCGCGCCAGCTTATACACCACCCTTTCCACCTGCTTTGCTTCACCAAGAATCCGTTTCGCGCCCGGTGTACTCTCCAGCTCAGAGAGCATATCAACCACGTCGTCGAGTTCATGCACTGCCAGCCATGTTGGCGGTGCCGGAGCCGGGGCGTCAGAAGTGGGTAGGCCCTTCAGCGCCCTCGACTGCGCGTTCGTGCGAGCATATTGCAAGTGGTACAGGGTTGACCGATTGTGGCCTTTGACTTTCGACGCTGCTGGTATGTGCTGCTCGCTGTAAGTGTCCGGATCAAGGCCAGGGCTGCAGGAGAGCACTCACCTCCTCCTTGAACCACTTCTCAACATCCTTCTCTGACGTACCATCGCCCGGCTCAACCCCAAACACCACAAGACAAGGCGCCGCATGGTCCCTCTTCTGCTTTGGCTCCGTCTTATGCACCAACCCCAAATACCGCACATCAAGATCCGCCAGGTCATAGATGATCCCGCTGCCAGGTAACATATCGCTCTTTACACGAATGTTTCGAAACTCATCTCCTTGGGTAAACGCCAGATCCTGCATCGGATAGAAGGCAAGATAGACTTTCTCTTTATTCTTGTTCTTCTCGTCGAAGTTGGCGTCGCGGTATCGGAAAGCTGACTTCATGCCCGAGGTTTGAACTATTTCATCGATGTGGTCGTCGTCGTACCATTTGAAGTATGTCTTTTCGTCCAGGAGGTCAGTGCGGTCGATCCTAGACGTAACATACAGCAGGCCTGGGCCGCGGACTTTTGGATTGGGTGATGCCATGTTGTGCTGGATCCTTGAGAGCAAACAAGGTCAGGTAGGTTGATCTTGCTTTGCAACTCCAGCAGATTTAACTTTCAGAAACTGATCGGATCCTTCTTGCCAAATGCTCCAAATGCTCCGCGAACAGAGAACTATCTAGAGTTGCCTTCGTGATTCGGGGAAGCTCAAGAAACAATCGTTCAGTGTCTGGGGAAAGCTTTCCAAGCAGACGACTGCGGGCTACCTCGTTCATCAAGACAATTGAACTACAACTCGGCTATGCACCGAATACTGGACAGCGATGTCTCTGTGAGTATCTGTTCTAGGCATGGAAAGCGGCGCAGTGGAGGTTGCCCTGTGACCGTGATGCCGAATGGACAGACACGGCTATCGTTTTCCACAGCAGACGTCCAGCCTCGATGAACAAAGTATACTGCGAATAACCGTAAGGCACAATAACAAAAACGTCCTCATGATCCACAATATTCTACCATACCCACGATGCTGCTTTTACACACTTCGTGACGTAGGTATATCAACGTCACTACCCCCTGTTCCCCATCATCTGCTCCAAACTCCAACTTAATACCTCGACAGCATTGCCCCACTGATCTCTCAAATACAATGCTTTGTCGCCATCAAACAACTCAATCGTCTCACCCACCCTCACCGCACCATCCTCAAACGCCTTCTCCGCCACAGCATCAGGATCCGGCGCCGTCACTGCAATGTGAAAATAGCCGCCACGCTGATACTGCTGCTCAATAGACCACTCCTTCTTGATTTCCTCGGCGTCCCTCACCGGTGGATCGATGAATTCAAAGATCTTAAAGCCCACGCCGTTTCCAGTGGCCAGGAAAGCAATTTTCACCTTCTGCAACTTGTCGCCGTAGACTCTGAACAAAGGAGAGTCGGAGCCATCGGTAGAGCGATCTGCTGAAGCATCGTTCGTTATCCTGCGGAATCCAAAGGGTTTGCTATGCCTGTCGGCGGCTTTATCGACGGATTTCACCGAGATGCCGATGTGGTTGAATACGAGGTTTTGGTTCTTGTACGGGTGCTACGGAGCTATGTGAGTCGAGGAGAGCTGTTCCCAAAGAGGACCAACACACACAGGTACCATGGCCGAAAATCTGAAATGATCGTTGGAAATATCTCCAGGCGAAGCGTTGTCATCAGATCGTCAGTTGTTCGACTACTGCAATTGCCACTTTTTGACTGGACGGGAGATGCGAAGCGGATGAGGGAGATGGGGGCTTTATGGCTCAGCAACTCACCCTGCTATACCCTATGCCTACCGGAAGAACGTGGGAAGGATGCTTCTTCGTTTTCGTTTCGCAAGGTGAGCACTGCACCTTACCAGAAAAATGATGGCCCCCACGCGAAGCCATGCCTGTCAGCATCCATGGGACCCAACCGAGCTGAATGCAGTTCTGCAGATATGTGTTCCGTAGAACAGAACTTGCCACTGAAGGAATAACTTAGAAGGGTTCGGTGGACCAGAGTGCGTAGCTACGAGTAGGGCTACTCCACTTCTCGGCCGTACGAACAGTCAAATCCCTCATTAGGCACCGCGCCGCTCATGGGATCAGGGAGCATTGCCTGAAAGGACACACAGCGACAAGGCAGTCCACGGAGGCCTCTCCTACCACTTCCCCAGACCTTCTCATTACCATTCAAGCACTCGACAGTGAAAGCGGCCCAGCGGACGTATTTGGCAGGCCTTCTCTCAGAAACATATAAATCTCAGAAGGCATCGCTAGCCTCAAGGGCGGGCTTTTCTTGTCTGTAAGAAGATCCACCACATGGCTCGCTCTGACCCGGTGGGCCGCTTTCAACGTCCATCGATTGCCAGTGCCCTTGCACGCTACTAATTCGCAGTTTAGACATGCTCTCGATGTGATTCCATAGCTATCGGGGCGCTCTATCACCAATCACCGTATTGTCATATCCCAGCATGATCGTGATAGGATGCTTGAGAAACTGCTTCTCATCAGGCAATATCTTGTCCAAAAAGTCCTGGTCCGCAGAGATCTCCTGCCAGGCTTCCAGATCGTCAACCCATACCTCGGCGATTCCATCGAAATCAAGAGTTGGATTCCCCCATGAGCGGGCGACCTCTTTCATCTCGGGTGTGGCATGGTGCTGAGACAGAGCATGTCAGCAGTCTGGACTCGAATGGAGCGGCCTTGAGCTTGAGATACTTGGTTGTACCGCCTGACTTTGTCCATGAATGTCTTATTGCTCAAGGCAAGGTCTGCGTGAGTTGTTCGCCAGTACTCGCTGAACTGCTCGTTTGTGAGGTCATCACGTTTTTTGAGGCAGAGTGTGACCTTGAGGTACTTCTTCTCGGTCGGGAAGGACATATTGGCTGGTCGTTCGAGGATACCGGGCATGGAGCGTGGCCTATTCCTTATCTTTGAACAGCCATCGGGAAACGTTTCGCGAGCCTGCGGGGTCGACCGTAGGCCGAACAAATGCTTCGTGAACTGTGATATCTGGTGACGTGGCCGTCCAGGAAGACGAATGGTTGCTGGCTGACGATGGCCCCCGGAACGCTACAACAAGCTACAGCTTCGCTCCAGACTTTTCGCCTCTGACGCTCTGCACCGCCGCCTCCAAGTCCGGGATGTCGTCTGCCCTCTGCGCCGGCCCTCCCCATCTCACAACTCCGTCCCCATCCACAGAATACGTCCCAGCAGTCTGCCATCGCGATCCGCTCTCCGTCGGTCGGTTCCAGACCCCCTCTGTCCGCCCGAGCTTCCAGACAGAGTACATACTGGCTGGACTCAGCGTATGAGCGAAGCTCGAGATCCCCAGACCCCAAGCAGCGTATATCTCGACTTTGTCGTCCACTACAATACGTAGGTTGGATGGTTCGCTGCCAGCTTGTGGGAGGGACCGAAGCCAGGTGGTTGTTGCCTCCTCATCGCTGTGTGAGACGGCAATGAAATCGAGGTCCTTGTTGTCTTTGGCAATTTCTCTGAAGTTGAGAAAGGTCTTCTCTGCGAATGGGCATCCGCAATGGCGAAGGAATGTCAGGATAGCAGGTCGACCGGGTTCAAGCTGCAGTTTGGGAGTGTTGAGTGCTTTGCTTCCGACCTGGGGCACTTCTGCTGTTTCTGGGGCATTTGGGGACCACCATGAGTTCAGTTCTTGCTGGAAGGTCATCTTTGTCAGTCGTTGTTGATCTGATGTCCTGGAGAATGGTGCTGTATTGATCCCGACGACGAACGAGCAGGGATTGAAAGGACCTCGGTCGTTCTTTCGCCGGTTCGAGACCCCACCCATGACGTCGATGAACAGCCACATCGACTTCCCAAACAGGAGTCTGCGGTTTCTGTGGCGCTGTACAAGCATCCAGGATCTTGTGGATTCCAGACAGTTGGTTGTGAGCGTGGGCGTGGGTGTGTTGACGTAGCAGGTATATGGTAGGTCTGTCCCACTCTGTAATCTTCCTCTTCCATTCATCTCATTCACATCCATCCAAAATCCTCTACAGGAAACAAGCAGAATTTCTCTCCCAGTTCAAAGAGCACATCGACAGGATGGTACAGGTACTCGAAAACAAAGTGGTGAAGCTGGAGGTAAGAGATGCCGCTGGGTAACATTCGAGCTTTACATGACTTCGAGTGCTGAACAGCTTGCCCGTAGGTGATGCCAGGAAAGAGTGAGGAGCAAGTCCAAGAAGAGACGAAAGATCAAGCCCAGTCAACCGCCAATACCGCTCAAGACAAAGCTCAATCTGCCTCCAAAAGCGCCCAAGATTCTGCGTCAAGCACTGCGGGTGCTGCACAGGACAAGGCTCAAGGAGCACAACAGCAAGCCTCCGAGAAAGCTCAGACATGGTCTGAGTCCGCACAACAAAAGGCGCAAGGAGCACAGGAGCAAGCTGGACAATACCAGTCCCAAGCAGGGGACTCACTCAAAGGCTACGGCGACACTGCTCAGCAGACTGGGGAGGGCTACGTGCAATCCGGTGCCGATGCCGCCAACAACGCTTCGAAGAGCTACTTGCCTGAGAGTGCTCAGTCGTATGCTGGATCTGCTGTCGGCTATACGAGCAACTTCGCTACTGGGACGGTAGGCGCTGTTGGAGGTGGTGTAAAAGATGTGGGTGATACTGTCGCCAACGCCGGTTATGAGACTGTGTCTGGCGTCGGAAAGGCTGGGTACAACGTCGGTGGGAACCTTGGGAACGCTGTGATGGGAAAGAAGAGCGAGGAGACGTCGACTGAACAGAAAGATGCGAGTGGTAGCACATCATGATGGCTCCGCTTGGAGGAAGACCTATCTAGCTCTGTGCTTAGACTGATGATTTCGACGGCCGCAGCATGAATTGAAAGCGAAGATATCAACAATGTGTTAATTTTGCAGAGCGAGACTCACCATTTGTTTGAGCGTCATCCCGTAGTACGAATTTCATTCAACGATCTTATGGACGCCTTTTAGTTAAGCAAAATTATAAGCCTTGGGACAGTCGTCTCATCGGTCCAGCGCCAAGCGTCTGATCGCGTGAACGTTCGAGAGTCCAACCACCAACAACACCATTCAAAGTACCTACCAAAAGGAAAACCACTCAATTATCCAACACGTGTTGGAGTCTGGACATATCTAGAGTGTCAGACAGGCAAAAGACAAAAAAGAAAGCCGGTTGTTCGCAAACTTGGGATTGAACCAAGGTAAGAGGTAAACTCTTGCATCTGAATATTCCCTTTAACCAATTGTTAGCACGAGATCATCATTCTTGAAGGAGGAGACTACGAACGATGCGGGGAATCGAACTGGGTTTATCGTTAGAAACGATTGGAGGAATGGCGGGCTGTAAGGTAGTCCTTACCCCCGGCCTTGTCGGCGCTGAGGCAATGGGCCATGAGAGCGACAAATCCTAGCCACTAGACCACATCGGATGACTAAGATGGAACAGAAAGCAGTCAATCTGTATATAAATGTTTATATTGTTGGATGACCGAGATCGGAAGGAGGTTTGACATGTGAAAGTAAGCTCCAAAGGTTGTTCTTGGCAGAAGCAACTCCAAGTTCACTTTGAGATACCACACGGACTTCCAGTAAGCGGATAAAGTTAGGACGAGCCGAGCTCTCTGACATCTTGAACTGTATCCGAGTCTATCTCAACCAACAAGCGTAGCCTTCCCACCCCCAAACTTCCCCTGCGGCCCATCCAGATGCGCGTCCAAAATCGCACACCTCCCCCCCTTGACCGCCTCAACAGCCTCCTTCAGCTTGCTGTCCAACTCCTCCACCGTTCCTGCATAGCCCGCCCATGCCTGTCCACCTGAAGCCGCTTTTGCGATGCCGGAATAGTCTGGTGTCGGAGCGAAGGAGATGTTGAGGGCTTTGTTATCGACTTTGGAGCCCAGACCTGTTGGGTGCACGAGTTGTAGGGACTTGCGGGGAGCGTTCCAGCCTGTGACTATTTGTTAGTCGATGGGATGAAGGAGGAGGAGAGGAAGGAGGCTTGCCTTGGTTGTTTAGCACGATCACAAGCACGGGGATGTTGTACCGCTCGGCGATCCAGTAGACTGAGCCAGGGACACTGAAGAGGTATGTTCCATCTCCTACGATCTGGCAGACGAATTTGCCTTTGTTCGTGCCGCCGTTCTCAAAGTCGGTTGCGAGTTTGATGCCCAATGCTCCGCCTCCTGACCATCCCAGACCGCCGCCGCCGCAGTTGATCCATGAGCCCGGGAAAGTAGCTTGAATTTGATCCGCAACGAATGCAGTGTTTGTTACGGCTTCGACGGCGAAGATTGCATCCTTTGGAACCGCCTTGCGTACCTGGCTTATCAGATATGAGCAGCCAAAAGTTCCATCGTCGCCTGCTTTTGCTTGGGATGAGATCGTTTCGAGACGCTGCTTGTGTTTTTGCTTAAGGTCAGACCACCGTTTTTCGAACGCTTGACCGCCTATCCGATCCTGCATGTTCGATTTGATGTGACCAGCGATCTGTCGGACGGCAGTCTCAGCATCAACGCGGTATCTGGCAATCGCATCGATATAGAAGACCGGCATCTGCTGTTTCAGCGTATCGACATCAATGTGAACGATCTTCGCCGACGACTTCGGCTTGCACTGCGTCGGGATCCAAGGCACATCACAGTCCAGCACGATAATAACATCCGCCGTCTTGATCGTCTCATCAACCCCATACCTCAGCCCCAACCACGCCGGATGATCAGCAGGAAAGCACATATCACTTCCTCCCGTATCCAGCACCCTCAACCCCTTCACCGTATCTGCCAACTCCACAAGCGCACATACAGCTTCGTGGTTCCGTCCACTATACCCCGTAACCACCAACGGCTCCTCAGCTCCCACAAGCAAATCCGCCACCATCTTGATCTGCTTGTTAGTCAACCCCCCAAGCTCCGCCGGCGTCCAGTGCGCCTGGTTGATAGCATAAGGCTCAATATCCTCCTCCATTGCCTCCCTCGACCCCAACAAATAGACCGGACCCCTCGGCTCGCTCGTCGCGAAACTCAAGGCCCGGTTCACCATCTGCTTTACATTCCTGCCCCGCTTGATCTCAGCAGAGTACCGACAATACTGCGCGACGATGGCGCGTTGGTCCGGGACGTCCTGGATCCAGTGGATGTACTCCGTTCGAGAGCCGCGGTACTCGCCTTCGATAGTGACCGGGGAGAGGCCGGCGAAGATGAGGATGGGAGCCCGGCCGCAGGATGCGTTGTGAACGGCGGCGCCGAGGCCTTGGGTGCCGACGTCGACGTGCACGATGACGGCTTGGGGTTTGTTGGTTAGGCGGGCGTAGCCATCGGCCATGGAGAGGGCGACCATTTCGTTGGGGCCTGCATTTCAATTGAGCAGCGGTGCTTGTAGGCTGTTCTGATAGCACCTACATGTGATGATACGCGGGAAGTTGCCTTCTTTCTCATTTTGGCCTTTGACGATTGCTTCGATAATGCTGGGGTGGTCGGAGCCAAGGTTGACGAAGCAGTGTGTAACGCCAGCCTGTACGACATATCAGTCAATATTTCACATAGGTACATGATTAAATCGAATACTCACATCCCACAATGCCTCGAAGAAGGCAAAACTGGCTGTGTGCCTAGTTTTCAGCCATTTATTAGTTGATTGCTTCCTCCCATTCGCGGTCATGCTCACATCTTGTCTCACTGTGCATCAGATCCAACCTGAGTACTCTTGCTTGCCGTCGCGTTAAAAGTCCGTCAAACGTATTGAAGGTCATATGGGAACCTCGAATATTTGACTGCCAGTCTGACGCGGTAGTTGCATCGGCCATGTTCTCCAGACCTTCGCTCCTCACGCCTTCCCCACACAGCGAGCGGTCCATTTCCACTGGCTCAATGCCGATACCGCTGCTCGGTCTCGGGGTTCTGCTAAGGCGGTATTACGCCGCTTTATAAAATGACAACGAGTAGAGCGTTGGCGGAATGTTAGCAAAATTGTCAAGAAATGGCATGAAGATCTATCTGTACCTTGGGTATGGCGCACAGTCAGGCTAAAAGCTCAGGCTCCCTGGCCCCTATCTTCCTCCTTCAACGGCTCCGTCCTCTCCCTTTATTTACACCGCCAGGTCAGGGTAAGCTGTGCAATGGACTTTCTCACAAACAATGACCACCCGCTGACGAGAGTGATGTGGCCTTCTAGCCGCAATCTTGTATCGGAGAAGACTGCCAGATGTCCCCTGGTGGCCCCATTCGCTATCTTTTGCTTGCAGGGGCAGCCTCGTCGACGATGTCTTGGTCGCTCTCAAATGACATCGTGCGCATTCGTAGCGAACACCAGCCAACAAACCAATCTCCTCGCCACCTCTCATTTCATTGTGCCTTGCACTTACATGATGTCTGTTGATGGGGCCACTCAAGTCCAGTAGGCTGGAATCACAGTAGTCTCTCCGAATCGCTAAAGATGAGCAGGCGGAAGTACAAGTATAGTAGATTGGGGAAGACCGTGGCCGCGTCCCTGTGAAGGCGTTCGAGCACGAGATCGCTGCTATAGAGCGCGTCGCCCGCCTTATCGGAGTCCAGATCGTTGAGCTGTGAGGCCCAGACGAGTCGGCGAATGCGCGCACCAACTGCTCGCCAGAAATCGGCAGCGTGCTCGACGTCTTTGTCTCGCATCGCTGCGTCGGCCTCGACTGGTGGTGTCCCCTGCACATTGAGGTGCAGCTCGTTGATAGAGGCAAAAACGCGACTATCGCCATTGAAGACCGAGGGAGGACGAAACATCTTGATCGGGACGCCAAAGGTATTGCTGCCGATCTGGAGGTACCCGGGAGAGAGACCTGCTGCGTCTATGCGACTGAGGATGAGGGCGATCTCGGCGGAGCAGTCAAGCTTGTCATGGTAGGTCACGAGCTTGCCATATTTCTTCTCAAGCAATCGCAGTGGCAATGCCGCGTTATCTTCAACACCGTCTATCTGTCGCGCGATCGTGAGGTCGTGTTCTTGGTCGACGATGTGGATGCTAGGGATGTCGGATCGCTGGGCGCACTTTTCAGCGTAGAGTGTGAATATTTCGTCCAAGTATGCTGCAATCGCGCCCCCGTCCCCGGCCTGGTGCTGCATATCGGTTACGAAAGCGTTGTACTCTTCGCGAAGCACCGCATCGTTCGAGCATCCCTTATCGCAATGCTGCACCTGGTCATCTTCGGCAAGAAGCAGTCGATCGACATGGATACCAACACAGTCGACCCAGGTGCTGAGTTTCTTGTGCCTGAGGATGGCGCGTAAGTTGTACAGAGAGTAAGGCATCCAGAAGGCGCCGCGTACTATAGAGTAGCAGGTCCGGAATGTCCGGTCACTGGTGCGGAAATGGATGGCTTGACTGACGAGACGAAGGGTCAGAAGATCCGGGCGGGTGAGGTAGGAGACAATGTGGTCGAGAAGGTCGTTGGGTAGGTGAAGGAGCGGACTGCCACCAGTGATCATTGGCAACGAATGGAGGGCCATGTTCAATTGCCCTGCGAGTCCAGTCCAACGACGTTGAAGCAGTATTAAATGAGTGTGTTCTCTGGTCGGCGCAGAGATGCGTGGCAAGCCGTTATATAAGCCGCCAGCCAAGGCGGTCGCGTGCTTCCAGCTGAAGAGAGATGGCGCAGTGCTTGCAAGATGGACCGAACATGAATGGATGGTGGTGAAGCAAGATAGCTCGGGTGAAATGGTGGCTAGAGATTTCGCATCAGAGGTGCTGAATCGCTATGCATCCTTATCCTTGGTACATACCCCTGCCACTCTGCGCCCGTTGGGACGCGCCCAAGGGGGCCCAAGGGGGTGCAAGAGCTACACAGTCTGCACAAGCATACACGATGCAAAAGAGATCTATACAATATACATACTCACCCCATCAAAATCAAGGCTCATGCTCCCTCCCCTCCACTTCCCTCCCATCCCTCAACTGCTCCACCCGCTCCGTCCGTATACACCACAGCGTCCACAGAATCCCCACCACCGACGCCAACAGCGTGATCCAGTACGCTGAGCTGTAGCACGCCTTGCCCGCATCACAGACCAATTCCCCAGCATGCTTGCCGTCGCCACCCCTAGCTACGCTGTTGCCGTCTAAAATGCTGCCGTAGAGCAGGTTGAAGATGTTGCCTGTAGCGACGGGAGCGAGCGTCATGGCGCCCCAGTTGATCGCCATACCGGATGTGCCGAAGGCGTCAGCGACGAGGGCGGGGAAGACGCCGAATAGAGCTCCGTAGGCTAATCCTGTCAGGCTGGAGAGCAGGAAGAGATAGTGCGGGTTTGAGAGAATCATGGCCAGAACCTGCGCAACGGTGAAGATGCTCGCAGAGGCGACGAGAGTCCAGAATCGGGAGGAGTTGTGGTGGATGAGCCAGTCGCTACCAATGCCCGAGCAAAGGCGGCCGGTAAATGAGCCAAGGGAAAGGATGCCGACGTGGATGAGTTGGCGGCCTTGGATGAAATCGTGACTCACTTTGGGGTCGAAGTGGTACCAGAGGGCGCGGGCATCGTTGCCAATGTTGTTGATTGTCATGAGGCCGACGCCGCATAGTAGCCCGAGGATGATCCATAGTTGCCAGAATTTGGGAGTTCTGAGAAGAATCCAGCCGGAGATGTCTGGTTTGCGTGGCTGAGCTTTGTGGACTTTTCCCTCTGGGATATCGCCGGGGACAGAACCATCTGAAGACACGAGAGAGGCTCGCTCGTCTTCTCTCCCAACCTCATCGCCTGTGCTTGCTTTGCTGCTGTGTCTTGAGTGGGAACTTGTCCTCCGCATGCGATTGGAGCTTCCATCATCTGTCGAGACAGCCTCGTAAGACGAACTTGGTGGCACTGTTCTCAGGAACAGCATCCCCACAAAAACCAACGTCGTCGCTCCAATGGCCAGTAGAAGTAGGTAGGCAGAGATGTTGTCCGGAAACAAAAACGACGAAAGCGTAGTCCAGAAGAACGCACTCAACCCAAACGCACTCAACGGAAACGCCGTCGCCGTCCCCCGATGCTGCGGCCAGTTGAGCGCACACACCTTCAACGCCGCGCTGAAAGCCGTACAACTCGCGATGCCCGTCATCAAGCTGAAAAAGCACAGCGCCGGCACGCTCATGCTCCCCGGTCCTTTGTCGTATGCCGTGTGTAGTGGGAAGTATCCAACTGACAACCCAATAACTCCTACAAACACACCCCATCTTGGACCCCGCGAATCGATCAGCAGGCCGCCGGGGATGCCCATCGCGTACATTCCTATGTTGCCAAAGTTGCCGATGAGGTTCGCTTGGGTAGCGGTGAGTTCGAGGCGCTCGGCGAAGGCGGGTTCCCAGGCGGAGAAGGCTATCGGATAGTCAGCATCGAGGGTCTTCTGGCGAGGCTCTTGATTACTCGCCATAATTAGTGCCTGCAAACAGAAGGGCAAAAGGGTTAGCGAATGTCTCAGATACGGTAGGGTTTTGCCCATTACCACAACTCAACGCTATCGCTGTACCAGCGACCTGTAGGAAAGTATTGTGAGTATGGATCTAGAGCGGCGCATATGTGGCAGACGTACCACCGATAGGATGCGGGTCTTGCGGTTCGTCTGCTCAAGGGGCGCGGGTCCTTTCATGTTGGCGGCGGTTGCTCGCAACGTTCAATGATCGAGGAGTCGTAGACAGCCTCGACGACCAAACGTCAGCGACTGACAGGCCGGAGGTTAATGCTCTTCCTCGACGCCCTACTCGTCACTACCAAAGGTCGAACTTGGAGCGCCGCAGTGGTATAAAGCAGATGTACTGATCAACGAGCCATCTATCCCGTCGACCAGGAAAGGGAGCGACTGGAGAGTGTGTTGGGGTGAAGGAGGAGAGCGCGCCTGATCTTTTGAGATAGGCAGTTGAGAAGGGGGCAATGGCTTGCTGGCTCGGTCCGAAGCCGGTGATAAGATGGCCGTATACGAGTAGGACAGGCGTAGGACGGTGTGCAGCACAGCGGATTGGGCGCACTCGCTCTCGCAAGCCTGTCGTTGTACCTGGTAGTAATAATGCACACGTAGTCCAAGTCTGTCCCATCGATGCTCATCAAGCACTGCCAAAGAAGCGGGTGGCGTTCGGCTCCGCAGATCACGTGGCAGATCTGGAGACTTGACGTCGTCGCCTGGCTTCCTTCACCACCACCTCCACCCACCACCACAGCAACATCATGGGCGCCCTATTGAGCCTCCCGCTTCTCGCAATCCCCTCCATTGGGACCGTCGCAACCTTTGCAGCCAGCTGTTGTGGTGCTGCCACTTGCTCGTGAGTTTCCCCCATTCCGCCTGTGACAATACCATCACGTCTATAACAACACCGAACTAACAACTTTCCAGAGCCGTATGCTCTACTTGTGGAAAATGCAATAACAGTATTGCGACGCGAATCGCCTACGCTATAATCCTGCTCTTCAACTCGCTCCTCTCCTGGCTGCTTCTGACGGACTGGGCGGTTAAGAAACTACAAAAGGTCCTGCTCGACTATGTCACGATCGACTGTGGCGGGAACAACTGCTTCGGCTTCGCTGCCGTGCATCGCGTCAACTTTGCGCTGGGATTGTTTCATGTTGTGATGGCAATGCTGTTGATTGGGGTGAACAACTCAAAGGACAAGAGGGCGCCGATTCAGAACGGATTCTGGGGACCGAAGATTTTGGTATGGTTGGCGCTGATCGTGGCGAGCTTCTTCATCCCGAATCGGTTCTTTGAAGTCTGGGGAAACTATGTCGCGTTCGTTGGCGCGATCTTGTTCTTGCTGTTGGGGTTGGTCTTGCTGGTGGATCTGGCACATACATTTGCCGAGTACTGCATTGAGAAGATCGAGGATTCCGAGTCTGGTGTCTGGAGAGGTGTGCTCATCGGCTCGACGCTAGGGATGTACCTTGGAGCGATCGCAATGACGATTGTGATGTACATCTTCTTTGCGAGGTCGGGGTGCTCTATGAACCAGGCAGCTATCACGGTAAAACTTTCCCCACAAATCAACCCAAAGTCGTACTCATTCTAACCTCCCTCTCAGATCAACCTGCTCCTCCTTCTCGGAATCAGCGCCATGTCCGTCCACCCAACCATCCAGGCCTCTAACCCCCGCGCTGGCCTTGCCCAAGCCGCCACTGTCTCCATCTACTGCACCTACCTCACCATGTCCGCCGTCGCCATGGAACCGGACGACAAACACTGTAACCCGCTCGTCCGCGCCACTGGCACCCGAACCGCTAGCATCGTCCTCGGCGCCGTCGTCACTTTCCTGACCTGCGCCTACACCACCACTCGCGCCGCCACTTACGGCCTCGCGATGGGCAGCGGCAAAGGTCCCATTGCCCTCGACACCGAAGAAGGCTCAGCCAGCCACGGCATGGTATCCACCCAACCTGAGTCCCGTCGCGAGATGCGCGCCGAAGCACTCCGCCGGGCCGTTGAGTCGGGCGCGTTGCCAGCCTCTGCTTTGGATGATTCTGATGACGAAGACGACGAGGGCCCCGCCAATAAGAACGACGACGAGAAGAGCCGTACGCAGTACAACTACGCGCTCTTCCACGTCATTTTCATGTTGGCAACAGCGTGGGTGGCGACACTCTTGACGGGCAGTATCGGCGTGGATAAGGAGATTGAGAAGGGAGATTTCGTGCCGGTGGGGAGGACGTACTGGGCGAGTTGGGTCAAGATCGTAAGTGCGTGGGTGTGTTATGGGATTTTCGGGTGGACGTTGGGGGCGCCGGTCGTGTTGCCGGACAGGTTTGATTATTCGTAGACATTTCAGTGTAGTCGTACATGTAGGCACACGATCGACAGTGGAAGCGGCCCTCTGGGCATTTATCGCGCAGTCTTCTCCCAAACCCAAATGCATCGAAAAAGGCCACGTCACTCTCGTGGGCCTGGCTGGGCGTTTCTTGTCTGTGAGAAGGCCTATCGAAGCCATCACACGGCTCGCTGACCTTTCACGCTTGGTGGGAGGCTTTCACTGTCTCGCGCTTGGTAGGGTAGCTCAGCAAATTATCCATGTCACGTGCTCGAGCCAGTCCACTTGCATACATGTAGTTCTCGAGGTCTGAAGCGAACCCTACGCTTCTGGGAATCACCATCTTCCACGTTTCGGTTCTTGCTCACTGTGGGATAGTGCTCAAGAAACATCCATCTCGTCGCCCGCCGCCCCCTTCTTCCTCTCATCGACCCTCTTCTGCGTCGCAGCCTTCGCACCATCCACCCACCCCTCAAACTCCCCCTTCTCCGCCTTTTGCTTCGCCACCCCCTTCATCATCTCCCCAATGAACCCGACAAAATTGTGCCTCCGCAGGGCATTCTCCCAACGCCACTCCCTCCGCTTCTGCTCCTCCCTCCACACGCCCTCTTCATCTCCTTCCCGTCTCGCTTTCTCGCGTAGGTCCTCACACATCGCGAGAAGATTGAAGCGGATCTCCGTTGCTGGATACCGTTCTATGCGCCTCTGCAGTACGGGGACGACTGCGTCTGCGAAGATTTCTTTTGGGCACGCTCCCTGTTGACTATGTGTTAGCATCACCTCAGGCTTTTCTCAGAGAACAGGTTTTCTACGACTTACCACGTCGCCGTGTCGTATTGGAGCGGGCTGAAGACCGTCAATTTCATATAGTGTTGAGTTGATGCTGGTGTAGGCGATGAAGTGGTAGACGTCGTCATCTTCGGTGGCGATTTTGGTCTCGTCTGAGACGAAAGGGGAGGAGCGGGCAAAGGAGTTGTGAACCTCGCGAATTGGGTCGCTGTTTGAGAGTGCTTCGCCTCGCAGATCCGCAGGGAAGGCTGATGTAAAGTCCTTGAAGTCTTTGAGCGTGGACCCGATCTCCACGCCATCTTCGGGGTTGGCCTTGTTGAGCAGGACGGACAGCAGTGCTTGGGTGCCGCAAGCATTTTGAATCGTCTGCGCCGCGAACCAAACGGGCTGTTCTGATGCCTCTACCGCCGCATAGTCGAAGTCGCCGTCTAAGGGCTTATCCTTAGGGGCCTTCTCTCCAGTTGGGTATTTGAACAGAAAGATGACGCCAATGGGGGAGAGTTGCTGGAGGGATTCCGGATCGAGTGAAATCAGTTCTTCAAACTGGACGTTGCGGACCCCAAGAGTCTCGATCAAGAAGGTGAATACTCCTACACAAAAGCATTAGTAGATGCTTTAGACATTGGAGGATTTTGCTACCAGCGTCGCTCTCTATCGTGTTCCAGCCTGTGAGGTTGTTAGCGGTATATCAAACTGTAGCATGGCGATATGCGCACCTCCTGACATTTTCCTCTCCCTTTCTGTGGTAGATGTGGTTGTCTTCACAACCAATAGACTTTTTGATATCGGAGAGGGTTTAAGATTGGCGCTAAACCAGCCACAGCGCCACACCGTACGTCAGAGCTTCAAGCAAGCTCGAGCAAGGAAGAACAACACCCCAACAACACCACCTGGCACGTCCTCTCTTTACCACACCAACAACACCACAACCATACCACCACCTCCAAAACACGATCAAGATGTCTTACGCCGACGCCGCCAAGAAAGGACCCGCACAGTCCGCCGATGAGGTTCGTATCTCCTTAGCCTCCCATCAGGTATACCATGCTAACCCCCCTCCAGAAGATGCCCGATACCGTGCCCGAAATCGCCCATTCTGACAGCGGGATCCATTCGTTGGATTCCATGTCCTCCATCTCTCAATCTAACAGCCAGCCTTCATATGCCGATCAGCAGCTCGCCCACGAACGCGCTCAGGAAGCCGAGCAGAACACCCGCGAAGCCGCCGACGAGACCGCGCAACAAGCTAAAGAGTTCGGCCAACAAGCCGACGTGGAGCTACAGCGTCTGGAGAAGGAGTCCGGGAAGCGCTTCTCCCAGTTCAGCGATGACGCCAAGGCCAGCTACGAGCAATGGAAGAAGTCGGCTTCGAAGGACTTCGAGAGGGCAAAGAAGGAGATGAAGAAGGATAGCAAGAAGGCCCAGCTCGAGGCGAAGAAGGGCGCGGAGTGGGCGGATGAGAACAAGGGAAATCCAGTGCTCATTTCAAACGCGGTTGTTCTGACGGCGGTGGCGGGACTGCTGGGAGTCGGGGCGTACAGGCTGCATGCAAGGAACGAGCTAACAATGAAAGTGGTTGGCGCGTGGGCGGGTGTCGTTGGGCTGTTCGGTGTAGCAGACTACTACGTGAGCCAGTAAGTTGTTGATATGTCTGTCTGACTGAGTGAGACGATGTACTGATGTGGATATAGGTACTTCTTCCGCACCCACTACCCGACGAAGCAGTGAGGCCGCGGACCTTTCGGGCGAAGAATGATACCATCTCGACTCTTTCATCACCTGCTTGCGATTGCTCCGGAGTCAAGCCGGGCTGGTGGTAATGTTGCGACCACTGAGACTTCAGATCTCTAGGCCGGCGCATTTAATTGTTTTCAGCTCTAGATATGTTGTGTACCACTACTTGTAAATTGATGCACTTTTCTCTCACACTGTAATAGATACCACGCGGCGTGAAGTCTTAAACACGTGCATGTGTGTTTGCCGTCTTCACCAAGACGCGTTACCTTGACAGGTACCTCCGCCCGCCTTCTTTCTTAATATCTTCCAGAGCCTCAAGTCTCGACCACCTCCTCTTTTGTGGATGTTTCAGAAAATGATGACTCCTTTGGAACCAGTCAAAACCAAATATGCTAAAGACTACCTCGAGGTTTGGAAATCTTCCAAATAGCGATACAAAGTAGCTGACTGAGATGCTTACCGCAGGCGGCAGATCTCTTCGACAAGGACGACTTCTACGGCTGTCAAGCGACTTGCAAGCATAACTTAGGCGACCCAACCTTGCCGCCATTCTGGAGGCTCAAGAACTATGCGTTGCATATCTCGGCGTCCAGCAGCTGGGACGAGGCGGAAGAGTGGTACCAGTCTGCTGAGGGCCTTTTACAGGTCAACCTTGGCGAGATGCGATCCGGAATCTGAGGGGGAACAGGTAAGCGATCATAGGTCGAAGCGGCATGTTTGAGACTTGCTGATCTTCTGTTCTTCAGAGAAAAATGCACGAGATTCCGTGAGGACCTTGATCAGATAAAGGGATGGCAGGAAGAGGACAGGCCAAGGCGCCATTCTAAAGAAGAGGAGAAAGTGTCGGAAGAGGGGGAGCTAGGGGGAGAAGAGCCGCAGAAGGCGAAGCCGGAGGAAGAGTTGCGAGCCGCAAACGAGGATGTCATGATGGAGGACAGCGAGTCCATGGACATGAAGGCTGAGGCACGGAGAGTCCAGTAGTACCAGTCTCAACCGTCGCATGTCTTTACTAACGTGGCCAGGCGTCCACCACCACGACAGATACTGCCACAACAGCAGCTCCTGGGCCGACTGCAGACCCTTATGCCAACCATGCGACCTTGCACCGCCACCCCTCTCTCGCGATCAGGAACAAGCCCTACAAAGGTATGCCTGACGTTTCCTAGCGAGCAAGTCCAGACGCATCTTTGGACGGTGCGCGTGAGGTAAGTCGCCTAGACACTGTCCGGTGACGTCCATTACTCGCGCGTGCGGATAGCATCGCGGGTTTGCGCCGTACGGTAGAAGAGCGTGCGCTTGGGGAGCGTGCTGCGTAGGAGCGTGCGGCAGGTACACCTCCGTTCGCCACTCCGTCTTACCGAAGTCCACGGAGCATCACGGATGTAGGCCAATGAGACACGCAGCGAGTAAGCGATCTTGAAGAAAGCGGCAAGCAAACCAAACGACGGAGACAAGAGTTGTTTTGGACATATCATTTGTTGCCTCATGCTCCGCAACAGAGAGAGACCATCTAGCTCTGAGTCTATGAAAACCTCGAGGGAATCATAACAGGAGACCAAGCTGCACCCATGAACCCGCCCATGCAACGCCGATCTTGAAGCAGAAACCACAATCATGCATGCCGTCTATTCATCTAACCGTCCACAAGCCTTTTGAAGAAGAAGCTTCCGACGCTCAACGCCTGCAAATGCTGCTCAAGACGCGTCATGTCGTTGCGATGCAGAACTCCCAGCCCAGCGAAAACCAGACCAGCACCAGACCACATCACCCGTGGGGGCGAGCCATCTAGTCGTCCTCATCGGAGAAGACCTCCTCGCCTGCCTTCCTGCGGGCCATGCGCGCCTGGTATAAAGTTAGCACGTGTATGTGATCAAGGAAAAGATGGAGAATGCTCACCTTCTTCTTCTTGCGCAGCTCGGCACTCGTCAGCTTCTTCGCCTTCTTCGTCGACTCGATCTTGTTGCCCATCGCGTCGAACTTCTCCTCCTCCTCCTCGTCACCCTTCAGCCTAGGCCCAGCACCTTGACCCTGCACCCAGTTGTGGCCGGAAGGCGTCATGCGACCGTCCATGACAGCCCACACTTCCTCGGTCAAGTCCTTGGTGAACTCGGCGGAATGCGTGATGATGATGACACCACCCTCGAACGACTTCAGCGCCTTGGACAGAGCACCCAGGGAGTCACGGTCGAGGTAGTTGGTCGGCTCGTCGAGCACGATCAGATGAGGACGCTGCCACGAGCAGGCGGCGAGCACGACCTTGACACGCTGGCCACCGGAGAGACCGCGCATGCGGGAGTGCGAGATGAGCTCGGCGTCGAGGCCAAAGTTGGCGCAGTGGGCCTCAATCTCCTTGCGAACGAGCGGGCGGAATTGACCGCTGGCAAGGGCCTCCTTCTGGTCGACGTCGGCCACCATCTTCTGATGCGACTGGATGAGCTCGGTACGCGGGAGGTATTGGTTCTCGTTGGTCATCATCGGGGTCCACTTCTCGTTCTTCATGCCGACGTTCTCGCCCAGCGAGAACGAACACTCGTACTCGTAAGAGTTCTTGAGCTTTCTACGCGAGTGGATGCCAATGACTTTGCGCTGCGAGCCATCAATCCTGTAGATCTTCTCTTGCGCATTCTTGTCCTCGTCAGTGACAATCTTGTTGGCACGATCCATGGTCTCACGGTCCTCGCCGGTCTGGAAGCGCCACTGGATGTACTCGGACGGAGTCTTGTCAAGGTGGTGATCGATGTGAGCGAAAGCGTGCTGCTTGATGTACGCAATACGGATGTTCTCGTGCTGGTAGACATCACCAGAAGTCGGGATGAGCTCGCCAGTCAGAACGTTGACAAGAGTCGACTTGCCGGCACCGTTGGGACCAATGACAGCGATACGCGAGCCGAGCGAACACTGGAAGGTGATGTCTTGAATCTGTGGCTTCGCGGTGCCGGGATACTGGAAGGTCATGTTCGAGACACGGATGATGGCCTTGGCTTTGGTCTTGACACCCTCGAGGAAACCGGGCTCGGGGAATCTGAACTCCATATCGGAGGCACCGAGCTCGTAGTAAGACTTGGCGGATGGCACACGCTTTACAAACTCGCTGAGCGAGCCACGGTACCGCTTGAGCTTGTAGCGCTCGTAGTGAATCACGTGCTGGACGACGTGGTCGAGGAACGTGCTGTCGTGCGAGATGATGATCGAGGTGCAGGGAGATGTGGTGAGGTAGTCCTCGAGCCACTTGACGTTCTTCACGTCCAAGTGGTTGGTCGGCTCATCCAGGAGGAGGATGTCGGGCTTCTCGAACACAGCGCGGGCGAGGGCTAACTTCATCTTCCAGCCACCGGAAAGGGAGGTGATTGGGCCCATGAGCTGCTCTTCCACGAAACCGAACTCGATGAGCGTGTTCTTGACTTCGTCGTCTGAAAGTTTCAACTCGGCCTGCTTGAGCTTCATCTGGGTCCACTGGAGCACCGTCATCTCGGTGTCCGCAGCATCCAGATCGTGCTCGACGTAGACAGTCTTGACCTCGTTCTGCTTAGGGAAGCCCTCGACCTGCTCGTTGTTGATGGCGCGCATGAGTGTCGTCTTGCCAGAGCCATTGGGGCCGAGCAGACCGTAACGCTGACCACGCTTGAGGCGCAGGTGCGTCTGGTTCAGCAGGATCTTAGCACCGTAGGCCAAGTTGAACGTGCAGTTGCACAGGTCCTCGCCCTCCTCTTCGTCTGGTTCGACCTCGTCCTCGTCGGCAGCGAGTGGGGAGGCGCGCTTGCGCAGAGTATCGACCAAGCCAGTGCCCTTCTCTTCGCCAACGATCGCGTTCATGTACTTCGAAAGAGCGAGAGTCCAGGTCGTGTTGTCGCTGTCCTTCTCGTCGATGAGCTGACCGCCGATCGCAGCCATGTAGGTAAGAATGGGCTCAAACTTGGTGGCGACATCGCCGCCCACAATATCCTTGAGCTTTGCGAACACAGTGTCGATGTCGCCAACACGCGAGACCTCTGGGATCTTGCCGTCCTTGACATCACCAACACGAGTAAGAGTCTCGAGACCCTGCTTCGTCTTCTCGCGAGCCTCGGGGTCGGCCAAGTTGCTGAAGTTGTGCTCGAGCTGCGGCATCAGGCGTGGCAAGAAAGCAGCAACAATCTGTGGGTCCTCGACCAGCTTGCACATGTTGTCGACGATCACGGCGGACTTTCGCTTGATGGCAGTCTCACGCTCCTTGAGACCACGCTCGAGAAGTGGGACCATGATGGCCAAAGTGGGCTCGTGGACGTCGGTGACGAAGGTGGTGGCGCCAAGTAAGTGAACAGTCTCTGGGACGTTCTCTGGCTTGGCGATACACTTGATGAGCTCCGGAATGAATCGGTCGATATCCTTGTTGGAGATGAGCTCGCACAGCTTCTCCATGGTGACATATGCCCTCTTCTTCACCTCGGGCTTGGTGTCCCACATCGCCTCGGAGACGACGGGAAGGAGATCTGGCACACGGAGACCGGTCTGAGCTGGGGCGCTGTCGCAGAGAGTCTCGATGCACTCCAAATCGGTCATCTTCTCGGGCCATTTCTGGGCGTTGCGGATCGAGTGGATAAAGTGAGGAATGACGACCTTCACCGCGTTGGCGTTCGCCGCCTTGGTGATTGCAATGGCTGCGCTCTGTGCTGCGATCTTGACCGGGTTCATCTTGTCGCCAACGGCTGAAAGAACGTTCGGCAGGAGTTGCACCAGGTATGGCTCGACAGTTGGCGAGATATCGGAGTGCTGCGCGACGATGGCGATGGTCTCGCAGGCCACCTGCCGGGCGTTGGCGTCCTTCTTATTGTTGAGCATCTTTCTAAGAGACTCAACCGCCTTCGTAGGAGCATCCTTCTCTTCGATGTCGCCGTTGATAAAGACGGCCAGTTCCTGCGCGGTGCCCTTCGCCTCGTCTGCGCTCTTGGACACGGACAGCTTTGACATCAGCTCCTCAAGCACCTTGACGGACTGCTTGTTCTCAGACTTGATCTGAGACTCGGAGTGAGTCGACTCCTCGAGGGAGGGAGCCATGGTGGTGTGTGAGTGAGCGGAGGAGAGGTGTGGTGAAGTTTCGAGTGGCGTGTGCCGCCTATGCGCCCTGCGGTTTGGACGCTGCTGTGTGGTGTGTAGTCGCTGTCAAGACTATGTCGAGTCTTGAGAGGTGGTCGTGAAGGGTATCACGGTGTAAGGAATGGGTGGTGTGAGAGAGGTGAGGAAGGAGGAATGTTGTCGGTGAGGGCCGGCTTTATGGGCTGGCGTCGATTGAAAAAATCGTGCTTCAGGGTCCGTTGGGCGGGCTTGGCACGCTAGACCCGGGAAGGACGATTCCAGCTTCTTTCTCCCGCGTCCACTCTTCAGTCTTCGACATTCATCCTCAACTTGTGATGGCACATGCACGTTCTTCCGCCAGACTACGATGCCAAAGCACAGTAGGAGACCTTCGGCGAGGGGGAAGACACGAACTCATCAACTCACCACGTCGGCTTACGGCAGGCGATGAGGATGGTAGTCCATATCGCCACCCGACCCAGCCGCAGACTCGTCGCGCTCAGTGCGCATCTGGGGTCTCCAGGCCGTGGCTGTCGCTCGACCCGGTCAACCTGGCACTCGTGGTCTCCCCCAAGTCTTACCAGTGCCCTCTTTCGATTCCTCGACGACTTCTATATACGACAGGATCTCCTCCATCGAATATCTACCGGCCGTTGGAAGTACGACATGACAGCTGCGGCTCAGTGTCACAGCGACCACGATTGTAAGTACTTTCGGTAAGCTGTGCGATTTTTCATGAGGCCGCGAAGTCTTCCCAATTATATCATCACGCTGGACTTGTTCGTGACCCTTTAGGTTTTACGTGCTTGTCTTTCTCGGTTCCAAAGGTTCCACCACTTCGCGCAAGTTGCTACTGTTGTCATGCTCCAGCTTTCTATCACTCTTGGAGAAGGTCATAGGCATCAGTGTCATTTCCTGTCAGTTGGATGACTGCCCACGTCTGCCCCTTTACGGCTTCGTTTCGCGCCCCTTGTATATGGACGATCGAGCTATCACGCACATTCTACTGGACGACGCCCTTAGCCAGAACACCAGGTATATCCACCGTGTTTGCTGGTTAGTGCGAGGAGGGAGAGGAGAGGTAGTGTGCATAGCACGCGATCGTGAGCGTATTTTGTCACGGCAGGGTGTGCGCCAGAGCTGGATGAAGCGGCCAAAGGCTGATGGGAGAAGCCAGAGATCCAAGAAGCGACTGCGGAAGAAAGAGGTTCCTGCATGTCGTTGGTAGACCTGGGGAGGGACCTGCGCAAGTGACGGTGAACGGGGGCTGCAGAGCAAGCTGGCAGTCTCCTCCCCGGATTGATTACATCCGAGAAGGCCACATAACTCTGTTCGGCAGGCTGTCACTGTTTGTGAGAACACAGCTCATCTGCCTCGCTGGGCCGATATCTCTGTCGGCGACTTGGGAGCCTAGGACGGGTGGTGGAGCGACGGCAAGCTGGACAGGCTCGCAGGTTGGTGAGATGGCTGGCGAGGTAAAACTCGGACGTCTTCCCTTCATTTCCACAGCGTAATACACAGGTAGAGCGGTCGGATGGTACGACTTCCAGTCTTATTGGCAGTGCGCCAAACGTCTACCCGGATTCCGTATGGGACGCCGGATCGCTGGAACCACTGGACGGTGCAGACGTTCCGGATTCGATATATCAACTCCTATGCTGTGCGCGTGTCACCATGCGTGTCGGAGACTCGGGGAGGGTGTACCTGTACAGCTTCATGGTGAGGGACATTTCAACTGCCTCATTAAAAAGGTCAAACCTCAAATAATGAAGTGAGAGACTCGCCCGGCACGCCGATCGGCACGCAAAGGAGGGATCGCGCCAAGTGAAACAACTACCTAAGGTAACCCTAAGTCAGACCTCTTCCTCTTTGACTTTGACGGCACAACTTTGGAATCAACCAGAATGCTTAAACGCGCCTTCCCCCCGGAAAAGGCTCGCCGAAACCTGCAAAGACGCGAAAAGGCCAGATGGAGAGGTAGCAAAACCACCAGCGGTTGGCGCTTCCTTGATGGCCGCCACACTAATCTGATCTTCAAGACTGTGGAATCACGAAACATTCCTTCGACCTCAAGCATTGTTTGTGCTTCTCAGTCTTCCAGTTTCGAGAGAGATGCCAAAGATGCTAATGCGAAGAAACAACAGGATGCCACAAATCGCTCAATGCTCCACCTGCCTGCTCAGCGAAGTATATCGGGGCTTGTCAGTACTGCTACTCTCAGCATGTCGGGCTCCAGAAGGCAATGTGAGCATCGATGCCTGTAACAGAGCCGCAACGAGGCTATATTTGTGTCGCCGATCATCAACTGTACCTTACGTGTCGCCCATCGCTGGGCGCCGCTCCAGGGACCAGCCCGGCCTTCCCTGTCACCCTGTCGTGAAGGATGCCGGTTTGCAACGTCATGGATCTGGAGATTCCTTTGCAATATGAGCTTTGCCACTTCGTGATCCTCCAGCGTCACTTTCCAAAGGACATGAGTTTAGACCGAAACATGGTTGGGCAAATGGAGTATAAAGGGACATGTCCAGCCCGACTACTACTCCGTCCTAGTCAAACACGGTCGCTGCAAAGCTACTCCACCATAATTTGGTCGTTGTCTTTCTTCAGCAGCGTTCTCCCGACAGCAAACTGTGACGATGCTTTTCTCAGGCCGCTTACTCGCCCTCGTTGCCGCCTTTGGCCCTGCTTTGGTGAGGACGACCCAAGGAACGACGCTGGTCTTGCACTGACCTATGCCTGTCCAGGTCAAATCAGATGACGCTACAAGCAGGCTCTCTTGCGGAATATGGGACACTGCGGACTACAATGATGCTAGGAACGCAATCTACGCATTCCATACACCTCCACTTTCGGACTCAGACCCGACAATAAAAGCGAGGTCCTGCTGGCGCGCCAGATGCGAAGTAGGAAACGCCACTTCTCTCTTCCTTACCGTGGTCTAACGGCCTTGCAGAATAACAGCGGACTCTGGGTCTGCAACGATCAAGATGCCGACATTACGGTGAATATGTATGTATGGGTCTCTTCGGTCGCGGAGACAATACTCTTGGTACGTCATTCCAACCCCTAGCAAAGTCGGTTCTCCAAGTCTGTCGACTGACATGACTCGAACGGCAGTCCTGCTCGGAAGACGAAGGCCCGGTCTCGGGAAGGCTTTACGCGGACGACCAAGGCGGCTACAACGTCAACGTCGGGTTCTGCGATGCTACGGACCCCGAAGATGTTGGTCCTTCAGCTTATGCCGACGACTGGCCAGGACCTGTCGGAACGCCAACCTTACAGTGCGACGATGGTGGTGCGGAACCCTGTGCCACCACTGTGAACCCTTGGGACGTGGAGGGTTCTGGGGCCGCTTGAGATGCCCCTTAAAAGGCCGGTGACATGGGCGAGATGCATGGATGACCGGACAAGAAGAGACTGGAAGGGACCACGTGGGCACATCTGGCATATTTTCTCTGGAACGAGGTTGCGGTCAAAAAGGCCACATGACTCTCGTTGGCAGGCGGTCATTTTCTTTGAGAAGATCTCTTAGATGGCTCAATCTGACCTAGTGAGCCGCTTGCATTGTCGAGAGCTTAGATATCAGCATGGTATAAATAAAACGGTATGCAAGAGGAGTCATGAACTACATCCCAACGTCTCGGTCGAGTACCGGGACGCTAGCCTCCACTACTCACAGAAGGTGAACATTCGTGCCACTCTACCACTCGCGAGGTCGATTAATCGATTGGAATGACGCTGTTGGCCTTGGCAAGTGAATGACAACCATGAGCCTCGGTAGTCCAGCTGGAGCTCGGTGGAGTGGGAGTCCAAAAGTGCATGCAATCGACCACAGTCCTACAGCATCCATACTCTTTCCTGCAACCACTATTCAACAACCCGTCAAGATGCCCAAAGCAATAGCCATCCGCAAGGTAGAAGGGAAACCAGGTTCGGCGCTCATACCCTACCGTATCTGATGGGACACCGGCTAACTCTTTCATCCTTCTGTTTCAAGGCAAAGTCTACTATCCTCTCGACCTCATCAACCTCCCCGATCCCGCGCCCAAAGAAAATGAAGTCGTTGTCCGCATGACCGGCGCGGCTCTCAACCACCGTGATCTCTTCCTCCGTCAGCATTTATACCCTGGCATCACGTTCGGCGTCCCATTGCTTGCAGACGGCTGCGGTGTCGTTGCTTCCGCGGGCTCGAAAGCAAAGCAATGGGTTGGAAAGAGAGTCATCCTTAACCCCGGGACAGGATGGAGAGACGATCTCGAGGGGCCTGAGTCGCCGAAAGGTTATGCGATTCTGGGAGGGACAAAGATGAACCCGCTCGGTACGCTGGGTGAGACTGTGACGATCGATGCCGCAGAGCTGGAAGAGGCGCCAACGCATTTGTCGAGTGTCGAGGCTGCGGCACTGCCATTGACCGGCTTGACGGCGTGGAGGGCGACGATGGTGAAGTCGGGGAATGCGAAGCCTGGGCGGAACATTCTGATCACTGGCATTGGTGGTGGTGTGGCTATTATGGCGCTCTTGTTTGCTGTTGCCGCAGGAGCGAATGTGTATGTTACGAGCGGCGACGCGGAGAAGATTAAGAAGGCGAAAGATCTCGGCGCGAAGGGTGGCGTGAACTACAAGGAGAAGGACTGGGACAAGCAGTTGAGGGAGATGCTGCCGAAGGACCGGAAGCAGCTGGACGCGATCATCGATGGAGCCGGGAGCGACATTGTTGATAAGGGGTCGAAAATGCTGAAGGTATGCTGCCGGTGTTTATTGTATGCTGATTTACGCGCTGACATGTTCCAGGCCGGCGGCGTGATCTCGATCTACGGCATGACCGTGTCTCCCAAGATGCCTTTCCTGATGAGTGCGGTGTTGAAGAACATCGAAGTACGAGGCTCGACCATGGGCTCGAGGAAAGAGTTTGCGGATATGGTGAAGTTCGTGGAGCAAAAGAACCTGAAGCCTGTCATCTCGCGGTCCGTGAGTGGCATTGACAACCTCGACGGCATCAATGGCTTGTTCGAGGACATGAAGAACTCGAGCCAGTTCGGAAAGCTGGTCATCGAGATTGCAAAGGATAATGATGTTAAGAGCAAGTTGTAGGATATGATGTACATGATGAGTCCAAAGAACACCCCGAGGTGCAATCCGGTATGCCAGCGAGTAATTGCAATGTCATCAGGATGAGTGGAAGAGTACAGTGTATCTATGGTACATCGTTATTACATCTGTTGTACAATGCATTTTACCTCCCATCATGCCATGACTTTGGGACGAGGTTGTCCTCCGCCTTCGACGCGTCCACATGCTGCTGAACGTCGTCCTGCGATGATGGTGGTGTAGCAGCCTGATCCTGGTGTACCTGAGGTGATGGTGTCGAACCAACTGCCTGCTGTCGCGAAGTCTCCGACTGCGATCCTCTTCCAGTAGGGCTCTCCGCGCTCTTTGCCGCACCCTCGTCCGCAGGCTTCCTCGCCTCCATCGAAGCTGGCTCTTCACCTTCTTCGGGCGGCGCCTCGTCGTCTTCCAGCTCCGCTCCATAGACATCGGGATGCTCCCTAAAGCAGTTCTGCATCCCTTTGAAATTCTCGATGCAATCCACGCCCTTCGGATCAGCGTTCGAGAAGACGAAACAGCTGAATGCGGACCGGAATTGCTCGCCGCAAGGTCCGTATGCCATGCCGCCTAGACATGGGCAGTCCCAGTTGATCTCGCCTGTCTCCTCGTTGAACGCTCCCTGCTGGCTTGCCTCCTCTTCCAGAGCTTCAGGTGAGCCCTGAGCTGTGGATTCCGCATCTGGAGCAGCTGCTACCGCTGAAGGGTGCGAATCGGGCGCGAGTGATGCTTTGGGCTGGCTTCGCCGTTGCTCTGCGACTGCCTCGACGGTCGGGTATGTCTCTCGTTCGTGCTGTGTCTCTGGTGGCGCATGGACAGCATCTGCCACTGAATCAGTCTCTCACTCCACCTGTGCTGCCCAATCGTAGCTACTTACATGCCGGCTCCTCCGCAAACACACTAGCAGTGTTATAATAGTACACCAGCGCTCCTGCAAGACCCCATCGTGTCGCCGAGCTCTTCCACGTCCGCGACTGGTGGTGTGGCGGCGCGGTGCTTACGAATCGTCGAGATGGGCGTACTTTTGGGAGTGCTCGGCCGAGTGATGGGCCTGTTGTGATGCGCGCGACTGACTTGAACATCGCGGGTTGATACGTAAAGACTGTGAAGAAAGAGACTTGTGGTTGACGAGGCTCATATGGATTGGAAATCTGAAAGTCAAAGCGCAACATTTAAGGACAATTAGGGCTGATCCGAGCCAGCCGAGTCGCGCTACTGGCGTCATCTCAGGAACACAAAGTGAAGATCATCGCAGCAACTCATACAATGTTACATGGCGATGGAGTGGAGGATGAGCTATGGCCGGCGAAGTACCTCAAGGAGCCAGACTTGAAAGCACGACGAGATCCTACTACCGGCCGCACAGCACTGGTCATCTTAAATTCGCCCATTCCCGATTACGACTACTTCTACCGACTATACAACCATGCATCTTTTTGCCTTTGCGCGGATGGCGGCGCAGACCGCTTGTACTCCCTCCTCACCAACCACAAGTCTGGACTGGACGAGATAGCAGCGCTAAAGCAGGCACTTCCAGATATCATTCATGGCGACTTGGACTCATTGAGCGATGGAACACGAAGCGTGTACGAGAGTCTCGCGGTTGAGGTCTCCCAGGATCCAGATCAGTACAGCACCGACTTCGGCAAGGCGATGAACAAAGTGATTGAACGACTTCCCGGCATCGAATCCATGCTCGTGTTGGGCAGCATCGGCGGACGTGTTGACCAAGGTGTCGGGCTGTTAGGCGAGCTGTACCGAGAGCAGACAGTCCGACATCCTGGTATACGGTTCTGGCTGTTCTCGGAGGCCAGTGTTAGTACGATCTTGCATCCAGGTTCGACAAGAATCCATACACTTTTGCAGTCGGGCCTGCTCCAGCGTAACATTGGGATCTTACCGCTTTACGGTCCGGCAGTGATCACCACAGAAGGACTTGAGTGGGACGTACAAGATTGGTCGACCGAGATGGGCGGCCAAATGAGTACGAGCAACCATATTGTCGCAGACGAAATTGGTATTTTCACCGACAACGAGGTCCTGTTCACCGTAGAACGAGCGACAGGCCGGTGAATCAGGCCGTAATGAAGAGGCATGTCATATATCCATACAGAGCCAGCAAGTAGGGCAGACCTCGTTGCAGAACCACCGCCGTTCACGTCGCGCGGCTATCGGGGGAGCGGCAAGGGTCGCACTGCTTGACATTGCAGTTGTCTAGTTCGACGATCACTGCACGATTGTACACGTGCGCTGCTTGAGGTCTTTGATGAAAAGACAACGTGAGAACGTTGTAGCAGAATGACAAGCTCGCACAGCTGATATAGTAGGGCAGCATGAATGAAAGTCACCCACTCTTTGCCGCCGTCGCAGCTTGATTGACGTTGCACAAAAGGCGCTGCCTATGAAGCGAGGATGCTGGCACAGCCTTGGTGCATGCGCTGGCGGTAGGCGACCGTTTTCGAGTGTACCTGCGTTGTGACCATTAGGCACGGCTAACGACACGTGCGAGAGGCAGCCCGCCTACGTGCTCACGCATGGCTACGGACCCCAAGACGTCACCTTCGTGAGTCCGTCCAGCCGCACAGTGTTCACGTAGGGACCGACCGCATTCCCTCTCTCACAGTCACCAGAAGCAGAGCAGTAGCCCTTTGAGGAAGTGCCCGCTACCAGGAGGACAATTAGAATTTTGCGGAGACGAGATCTGGTGTCTTGTGCGTCATCAAGCAGGTTTCACGCAATAAGAATATCAAAAGCGCTGGTCTTGAAGTGAACCATTGTCAACGCAGCTCGAGCAAGTGAGGTCGCCAGAAGCTTGGACGTCTTCTCCCACTTTGACCTCACCTGGCGCTGCGCCAGACCCTCTCGATTTTCTCTTCAGGCCTTCCAACCTTTTGTGCAACAACACACTCGACCAGCGCGACCTCGACGAAGCGAACGTGCTACTGCATCAGTGTCATATTTTACAGACTCCGCTCCGCCGAACACTGGGAAGAGTCTGCGCAAGCCGTGACACCGAGAACCTTGCAAGATATCGGTCACCCTTCGAGAGGCGAGGAATGAAGGGGTGCTAGGCTCGCAGACAGGAGGCGGACAGCAGGGGGAGGTGAGGTTGCACACCCGGGCCAGGCATATTGAACCTTCACCAAGTCAGTAGACATCACGCGGCGCACCAGCTATATCCGGCGCTTCACTGTGCTGTGGAGACGTCATAAGACAGAAAGAGCTGATAGTAGTCATGTACTTAGGTTTTGTAACTTGGAGATCCTTCCGCATACACCTTTTTCGCACCCTCCAGATACTTTCGTGATTGCGGCACGCTTCTCTTCCCACCTCCACCACGTCCTTCCCGCAGGACCAAAATGGCGTGGCAACCAGAACCAGCACAGCTCGCCGAGCTGGCTCAGTATCTTCGGAACTCTCTGAGCGGCCATGATCCCACTGCGCAGAAGAAGGCGGAGATGGTAAGTTTCCTGGCTACTGCCTCTCTTGCAAAATATTCCCAGCTAATGTAGTTTCAGATGCTGAGGCAAGCCAAGCAAGTCCCCGACTTCACGAACTATCTCACGTATCTGGCTGTGACGAGCTCGAACAACACAGGCTTATCTCAGGAGTCATGGCATTCTGCCAGGAGCGCAGCTGCCATTGTGCTGAAGAACAGTGTCAAGTCTTCCTTCAGCTCGATCAGTGGCGCCAGCAGAGAGTACATCAAATCTACAATTATGCAGGGCTTGCAAGACCCGAACACGCAAATCCGGAGCTATGTTGGCAACGTCATCACTGAGATTGTGCGGCAAGGCAAAATCACCGGATGGCCGGACGCGCTGCCGGAACTTGTCGCCATGGTTGAGAATTTGGACGGCCAGACAAGCTCAGAAGCCCAGGATGGCGCGATGGGAGCCATCTTCAAGATCTGCGAAGACAATCGGAAAGCTCTCGACTCGCATTACGAGAATCAACGACCACTCGCATATCTGCTCCCAAAGCTGCTCAACTTCTCTGCTTCAAGCAACCACAAGGTCAGATCGAAAGCACTCGCATGCATCAACGTCTTCTTTGCGGACCCGATTGCAATCTCCGTGCGCGAGAACATATCGACGATCTTACCGCACATCGTGCGACTCACCACCGACGAGAACGAAGAAGTCCGACGCTTCGTTTGCCGGACGTTTGCTCTGATCGCCGATGGGATGCCGGAAGTGCTGGTAGCGGATATCGAAGGCATCGTGTCATACACACTATCTCAGCAGCGACAACAGCAGAGTCCCGAGCTTGCCCTGGACGCAGCAGAGTTGTTCTTCGAGGCGAGCAACAACAACGCTCTCAAAAATGCTTTGGGACCATATCTCAGTTCGATCGTTCCTGTACTGCTCGACTGCATGGTCTACAGCGAAGACGACCAGCTGCGGCTCGAGGGTGACGAGGATGATGCAGATGCCGAAGACGAAGCGAAAGACATCAAACCTTCATTCGCCACTTCGAAGACCAGTCGCAGTGGTGTTGCCGGCACCTCTACACCACAGGCTCCAAACGGCCAAGCAAAACCTTCAATCAACGGGTATGCTTACGAGGAAGATGACCTGAGCGAAGGCGAGATCGAAGAAGACGACGATCTCGACTTCGACCCCGAGGATGAGTGGAATCTTCGAAAGTGCTCTGCAGCCGCGCTCGACAGTCTTGCGCAGTACTTCGGCCGACCTGTGTTCGAAATTTCACTACCCTGGATGCAAGACAACCTGCAGAACAAAGACTGGCCAAATCGAGAAGCTTCTGTACTCGCACTGGGAGCTATCGCAGCTGGTTGCGCTCAGGATGTTGAGCCTCATCTACCGAACCTCGTCCCGTACATGCTCTCCCTCCTCAAGGATCAGCAACCGGTCGTTCGTCAAATCACATGCTGGACGCTGAGCCGATTCGTAAGATGGGCAGCGAAGCTTGACGATGCTGGCAAGAAGCAGTTCTTTGAGCCGATGGTCGGCGGTGTCCTGGAGCGAATGCTGGACAAAAACAAGAAGACCCAAGAGTCTGCAGCGTCCGCGTTTGTGGTACTCGAAGAGGCAGCCAACACGCAGCTCACACCCTACTGCGAGGTCATTGTGCAGCAGTTTGTCAGATGCTTCCAACAGTACAAGGACAAAAACATCTACGCGCTCTACGACTGCGTGCAGACATTGGCGGAGTACGCTGGGCCGACCTTAGCCCAACCGCAGCTGGTGGACATGCTTATGCCAGCCTTGATCGACCGATGGAACAAGGTTCAGGACCAGTCGAGAGAGATGTTCCCGCTGTTGGAGTGCCTAGCTTTTGTTGCGACTGCTCTCGGACAATCCTTCGCACCGTTTGCTCAGCCGCTCTTTCAACGTTGCATCCGCATTCTGGCATCGAACTTGGAGGAGAGCGCGAACGCACCCAGCTCTTCACGGTTCGATCAGCCTGACAAAGACTTTTTAGTGACGAGTCTGGACCTTCTCAGCTCGATCATCCAAGCCCTCGAAGAGCCGCAGAGCCGAGAGCTTGCCACTACAGCCCAACCGAACATGTTTCAGTTACTCGCCTACTGCATGAGTGACCCAAACAACGATGTCCGCCAATCAGCTTACGCCCTCCTAGGCGACTGTGCAATCTACATCTTCCCCCAGCTGCAGCCTCATTTGCCGGTCTTGATGCAGGTCCTCATCGCTCAGCTTGATCTCACACAAGCGCAGGAAGATCCCGAGACCGCGTTCAGAGTCATTAACAACGCCTGCTGGTCCTGCGGTGAGATCGCGATGCGTCAAGGGCCTGGCATGGAACCTTATACCGGCAAGCTGCTCGACAAGCTCGGCATCATCATGTTCCACGAGAATGTTCCAGAGTCACTCAACGAGAACGCGGCCATTGCGCTGGGGCGGCTTGGCATAGGATGCCATGCACAACTGGCGCCGCATCTCAAGACCTTCGCCATTCCCTTCTTGCGGTCTATGCAGAAGGTCGGCTGGACAGATGAGAAGGGGCACGCGTACAAGGGCTTCAGCCAGGTTGTGCTTCAGAACCCAGGCGATCTCGAGAACGGCCTCCTGGATTTCTTCACGGAGATGGCGCATGCGCCAGGAGTCTTTCTGACTGGCATGCGAGAGGACGGACCACTTCAGAGCTTTGAACAGGTGCTCGCCGTGTACAAGCGCATGATCGGCAATGGGTGGGACAACTTTCTGCACAACCTGCCACCGCCCTCTGAACAGGCTTTGCGCCAGCTCTACGCTTTTTAAGACGAGGCAGAACGATTGAAGAACCATAGGCCAGCGACCAATACCCGGTAGCGAGACCCAGACCCGAACCATTGTTCCGCGGCTTACCACTCGTATGGTTATCTGCAGCATCCCGTAAGTCTTCTCATATTTGTCACGGATAGCGGCAGGGGATTGAATGATTTTTAACTAGATAGTGATGCAATGTTTTCTCAGCGTAGCATCTGTTCGCACTAGGCGGCAGCACTCATAGCGATTGATTGAATTACGGCGAGGCGCTTGTTCATGGCTCGGTGGCTTTGAGACCTGCATGCACGAGGAGGCGTGGGTTGTGCGACGAAAAAAGATGGCTTAACGGGGGCGGTGCAGTGGACGTTTGGATGGTGATGGATGATGAAAGAACGCTTTTGCGCATGAGCGATGAGTTGTTACGTAGATAACTTATGTAGATACGAGATCAAGAAGCGATTGGAATGGACATATGCCCTCGTGCCGTGACGGATTGGTCTGTCGTGCAAAACGCGGTTGTACTCAATCCTACTTATGCATAACGGAGCAGTATGAAGTAGGGAGATCTCATTACTCGACTGTGATGCATACCAATGTAATCGACTATGAATTCCCACTACTGAAGCGACTGAAGACTGAACAAAAATGCGCCCCCAACGCCATCCGACCGAACTCACGACCAATGCTACTTTCTTCCTGCTCTCTCGTTGAGAACCAGGTGAGGCCGACCAATGCTTACGCAGGGAACAATATCGCTGTGAATTGCGCCACCGTAAGGCCAGCGACGTCTCCGTCGCGCTTGAGCATGATGTCGAGGCGATTCTCGAAGCCCCGATTGTTCTCGGTTAGGAAGGCGTCCAACATGCACTGGACAATGAGGCGCCAGTCCTGCTCGGTAATGCTCAGCTGGCCTCCGCTAACCGCGGTGTCGAACGAGACCATGAATCCGGTGCCAAGAGCTCGAATGAGCACCTCTTTGACGCCGTGGGTCCTCCCTAGATGACCCAGCGCAGCTGCCATCTCATTGACGGTGGCAGTCAAATCGGTGGCGGTGGTGGGTAGGTTGACGAGGGCGTTGCTGTTGAGCACATCTCTGGTGATAGACTTGGTGAACAGGCTGAGACCGGAGACCAGGGAGAACCTGAAACCAGAATGGAACGGGAAACCGACCGCGGGCTGGGGTTGGCGGCGAGCGAGGTCAGAGAAGGTGGATGGCTCCATTAACTCTGCATAACGCTCGCCTAAGAAGGCCGTGGAACCTAGCTCGTAGTCTCCCGAGGCGTCTTCGTCGCGCCGCGTTAAGGAGGGATAGTCAACGTCGCTACTGTCGTCCTGGACGTGGCAAGTATTGTTTCCGGAGGGATCTGTGTCAAGTATACCCCCAATGGTATCTTGGAAAGTCTGCATCGTGCTGGTGAAACCCCACTGAGGGTCATTCGTGAACTCGGCCGTCTCGAGATGGTAACCCAGCATCAGCAGACCGGTGTCGGTTTCGCTCGCGCAGCCAAGAAGCACTCCTCGCCGCTTCATGGAGGCGAAATAGCTATCGCAGATGGATGGTCTGGAGCCCGGGAAGACTTCCGCCAGGATGACATTGTACTGGAGGGAGTCCTGGCCGTTCAATGTGTTTTTGTAAACCGAGCACGAGAGGACTCGAGCGCGCACGTCCCCAAGAGCACTGCGGCAGCACAAGGCCAGCGCGAGCCAGGGCGCAAGCGTAGTCAAGAGCATTCTCGGAGGTCTGGTCCGCGGTTCGTGTTTCCGAGGAGGAGCTGATGGCGGTTTGAGCTGTGGTGTATCGCCGTAAAGGTGTACGGGCACAGCATCTCGGCGGCGGATGGTCTCATATATATAAGATATAGTCCTTTTCGAGGCTCCGGCACAAGTATTGCAAAGGTCTGCCAAGCGTGCTCTTGCTCAATACGGTTGTCACTGTACAGGTGCAAGCTCAGTAGGACCAGAACAGGGCAAACGGATCTGAGTGAGACTGGGCGGGGGCCTTACTGAGTATTACATGTACCTACCAAGGATGGGATGCGAGGCTTAGAAGGACCAGAACAACTCAAACGGCCTTTCGACTGTTAGAGGCTGTATCGTATTCGCCGTAGCTGTGCGATGGCGGTGTCAGAGTTGGCGGTGGTGCACTCTGCCACTGCGACCAACAATTGATCACTTAAACTGCTTCAAGCACCATTTCCTTTCTCGAGTGGTGTTGTCTGACCGAATGCTTGTTGGCTCCGACAGCTTTGGTGCTGCGTCCCTAGAATGCTTAGGGCCACAAGGAAGCACGGCGAGGTCCATGGAGTAGGAGAGATGTAGTAGTCTGAGGTGGAGTCGAGACGGCATACGCGTAGACTTCACCCAAGCAACCACCCCCCACCGGACTAGATTTTTTCTACCAGCTGCCGTCGTACTCATCAATGCAGCATCTGGCCAGCCGACATGATCCCCAACTGTCGCACAGCACAAGTCATGGCCGACGACCTGTAGCACATCTGTGCATGAGATTCATGGGCGATGCAATGACCTTTCGTGGGTCCATTCTCCGTGCGTGGATACTGTACGGGCCACTGGACCGAAGAGGTATGGATGCAGTGAAATAGACATTACCGTACCGCTGTTGATCGAAGCGCCCTGCCGCTCTCGTGCAACGAAGAGCATGTGAGTAGCACGTGCCGAGCTCCAGCCCTGGACGCCGTCGGACGCCACTAAAGCGTCGTCTCCGCCCGAGCACCTCTACGTCAACAACACCCATACATACACCGTCTTGCCAACGCCAACAGCCTGTCGTAACGTACTCGAGTTTGTGATATCTTGCTGACCAGATCAGCATCATAGTCTGGGTTTCATCGTCGCGGCGGATCTACCAAAGTCCAACGCTGGTCCGCGATTCATACCTTTGCTGCCTTGAAACAGCGACTCGGCGACGGCGGGAAGGTCTCGAGCGTCGAGTGCTTGCGCCTTGACGACGCAGGCTCGTATGCGACAGTGACCTAGCGACTCCAAGCACCAGTCTGGCAGGTGATGGAGCAAGTCACAGCAGCCATCGACTCCTCCATTCCCACCCTCGCGACCTCCTACATACCCGCACACCAACCCTCCGAAACAGCATGGCTGTCACAAGAAGACGTCTGGCAGCGGATAGAAGCCGGGCGCTCACGGCAACACGATGGCGGAAAGGAAGGATGGGGAGATCTACAGGCCTCGCTCAACATAGATGAGCTGGGCTCAACGGGCAAAGGCATTTTGATCGGTATGCTGTCTGCGTTTGGCTCGGCGGCGCTTGTGGCGGCGATTATTGCGACGGTCTATTTCTTCCGGTTCACGAATAGAGGGAGGATCTTTTTGGATCGGATCGGGAGGCCGGGAGAGTATGATGATGAGCAGCAGTTTTTGCGGGAGGAGGAGGATGCGTTGGGGGAGATGGATGAGATGCAGAGGGCGGAGTATTTGAGGGCGAAAGGTGCGTTCGAACAAGATAGGATATGTTGGGTGGTGGTATACTGACAGCAGGCTGCAGCGTTTGTGCAAGCGAATCCACCGGAATCGATGCAGACGGACATCTCGTTATCCCAATTTCTTGCGATTCAAGAGAAGGGCGTCTCAGCGTGGGAGTTTGAGCCGGAGCTGGAGATTGCGAATTGCTTTGTTGAGGGCAGGACGGAGATTGAGTTCTTCGACTCGGAGTGCAGCGTGCAGAGCAATCTACCAATACCGAAACAGAACGAGGTCTACTACTGGGAAGCGAAGCTCTATGACAAGCCGGAGTCGACACTGGTTAGCGTGGGAGTGACGACGAAGCCATATCCGCTGTTCAGGTTGCCTGGGTTGCACAAGTACTCGATCGCATACTCGTCTAGTGGACATCGGCGGTACAACCAGCCATTCACCGGGACGAACTACGGACCACCGTTTGTGCAGGGGGATGTTGTGGGAGTGGGGTACAGGCCGCGAACAGGAACAGTGTTCTTTACACGTAACGGGAAGAAGCTGGAGGATGTGGCGCACGGTCTGAAATCACAGAATTTCTTCCCGACAGTTGGCGCAAATGGGCCTTGCAATGTGCATGTCAATTTCGGGCAGATGGGATTCGTCTTCATCGAGGCGAATGTGAAGAAGTGGGGTCTGGCGCCTATGACAGGCAGTCTTGCTCCCCCTCCACCGTACGGAAGCGAAGCTGGAAGCATCCTCCTTGAAGGTGGAAGGGAAGGCGTACGAGAGGGCCAAGGCTACATCCCAGGTCATGGCCGAACCAACAGCGCACAGATACGGCTTGGGAGAGGACCACCCGCGCGCAGCCCAGGTCCCGAGCGATCACCGACAGACATCTCACTCGCGCAGCTGAACCTTCTCGAATACCAAGAAGAAGAGGACGAGGACGTCGGCGAAGGTACGAGTGAAGCAGCTAGCAGCCAGCCGCATCAACAGTACATCGACCCCGGCCTCCCACTCGAGCCAGCGGATCATCCGCCACCCGACTACGAGAGCCCGGAGGACGATGGGTACGATGACGACGGGCATGATAGCTCAGCTACCACCCCTCGCGCGACCGAGTTTCCACCTTATCGGGATGAATCGCCGAGTCCCAGCCCGCCGATACCGAGTTATGAGGCGGCGACGGAGGCGAGCTCGGATAGGGGGAGGAGTTCGACGAGGTGATGGCTAGGGGTTTCATTTGGGTGACACCATCTTTGCGTTCAGCGATACTGGCGATGAGCGGCTATGGAAAGGCAGAGGTGTGCATGGATACCCATCTGAGCAAGCATGGGTGGTGTAGCGGTTACGATGGATATGATGTTATGCCGGTCTTTCCTCCACCTTCTCTGGTTCAGCCATCCCTAATACCACGCACGTGAGCTAGATATGATCGGCATGACGTAAGTTCTGCGTTCGAGATGAGCGTACACCCAAGTACATGTCTGTTTGATCTTTGCATATCAAGCGAACAAGACAATAATCAACATGGCATCGAAGCTCACGCCGCTTAAGGACCTGAAAGTCCTCAAATATCAAATACCAGCTCATGGCCTCACACCAAATACCTCCATCCAAAATAAGCGTACTGTAGGCCCGTCAGCCACTCATCATGCAGACCATACTAATTCCTACCAGCCCTCCTCATCTACCGCCACGCCTTCCCCTCACCCACCGCTTCCTCCATAGAATCGCACCTCTCCCATATCATCGGCGTCGTCACCCCGCAATGGCGTTGTGAGTATTACTGGGTAAAAGGGTTCTCCAAGACACGATCACACTGCAAGCGGCGCTCTGAGACCTTTTGAACCCTTCCTCGCTATCGAGACACTTGCTTACCCTTTTACCCTTCGGTGCTTTAGATTCAATGTTTCCATATTCCCATTACCACAGCACCTCGCACGAAGTCCTCGGCATCTCCTCCGGCCGCGCGCGCCTCTGCTTCGGCCACGAGGACAACCCGAAGCGCGTCGAGGAGGTGCTGGAGCAGGGGGATGTGATTGTGATTCCGGCTGGGGTGGCGCATCGGTTGCTGGAGGATTTGGAGGGCGGGTTTGAGATGGTGGGGTGTTATCCGAGGGGCTGTAGTTGGGATATGTGTTATGGGAGAGAGGGGGAGGAGGCGAAGGTGAAAGGGATTGGGGGGTTGGGGTGGTTTGAGCGAGATCCGGTGTATGGGGACGAGGGACCGGTGTTGGAGGTGTAGGAGGGGAGGGGTGGTGGTGCAGGTGGCGGATGGGGGTGGGGCATGTGATAGTGGGTGAATGCAACCTCGCAAGTGTTATCAACTTCTTTGCCTTGCTTATTCGTTACATGTAACCCCACTCTGTGCTACCTTGTGTGATGGTGTCAGTTTAGACGATCGAATTCACGATCGCGACACATTCGCTCGCGTGGTCCGTGCTGAATCCGGTGTTGCCCCATGTTTCCAGCATCAGTCACCAACTTCAAGGCTTCTGTCTTTCCTCCAACCACCACTTCAGTCGCAGTTGCCGACAACAACAACAACCTGCTTCGCGCTGCCTGGATCTTCCTTCACTCCTTCAGCAACACACCCAACAGCAGCACGTCGACACAGACGTGCGTGCAGCGGTAGAAGCGGACTCTCACCTTCGAGCCCGCCATTACTAAACCACATCCTCGACTTCAAACCACCTACAAGAGCCTTCACGGCTGCCGCGATTCCCATAAACATCACACGCACCCGCCACCATGTCGCAGAACGGCATGACGGTGCGGCCGCAACCGCCCATGCCCACCAACAAGGACGACATCACTGGCACATGGAACTACCTGGAGTGGGGCGTGGAGCGGATCATGCTGGCTCTCAAGGATGGCGTCGACCTGAAGACGTACATGTCGCTCTACACCTCCATTCACAACTTCTGCACGGCTCAGAAGGCCGTGGGTTCCCAACCGCAGAACAACCTGAATAGCAGTCACAGAGGGGCACATTTGCTTGGAGAAGACCTCTACCATCGGTTGAACGAGTATCTGAAGCGTCACCTCACGAGTGTGCATGAGGAGCTGGTCAAGCACTCCGATGAAGCGCTTCTCACATTCTATATCACAGAGTGGAAGCGCTACACCACCGCCGGCGCGTACAACAACCATCTCTTCCGCTACCTGAACCGCCACTGGGTGAAGAGGGAGGTGGATGAGGGCAAGAAGGACATCTACGACATCTATACCCTGCATCTCGTACGATGGAAGGAGGACATGTTCGGATCGACGCAGAATGCGGTCATGGACGCAGTCCTCCGCCTGGTCGAGAAGCAGAGGAACGGAGAGACGATTGAGCAGTCCAAGATCAAGGACGTCGTGGAAAGCTTCGTGTCTCTCGGTATCGACGAATCCGACAGTGCAAGATCCACACTCGACGTCTACCGGCAGTACTTCGAGAAGCCGTTCCTGGAGGCGACTTCGAAGTACTACACTGCGGAGTCACAACAGTTTTTGGCTGAGAACTCCGTGGTGGACTACATGAAGAAGGCGGAGCGGAGGCTGGACGAGGAGAAGGAGCGCGTGGCCTTATACCACCGTGAGGAAATCATGGGACCTCTTATGAAGACCTGCGAGCAAGCCCTCATCGCAAAGCACGCCCCCATTCTACGAGACGAGTTCCAGGTGCTGCTCGACAACGACCGTGAAGAGGATATGGCGCGCATGTACAAGCTGCTCGCTCGCATTCCGGAAGGGCTCGATCCTTTGCGGACTCGCTTCGAGGCACACGTCCGTCGTGCTGGGTTGCTCACCATCGAGAAGGTGGCTGGCCAGGGCGATGCGCTCGATCCGAAAGCATACGTTGATGCCTTGCTGGAAGTTCACACTCAATACGCAGCACTCGTCAAGTCAGCCTTCACCGGCGAGTCTGAGTTTGTGCGCTCTCTGGACAACGCCTGTCGAGAGTACGTCAACCGGAACAAGGTGTGCGAGAAGAACACGACACGTTCTCCTGAGCTCCTGGCCAAGCATGCCGACAATGTGCTGAAGCGCTCGACGAAGTCTACCGAGGAGGACGATATGGAGAAGCTGCTCAACCAGGTCATGACTGTCTTCAAGTACATCGAGGACAAGGATGTGTTCCAGAAATTCTACTCGAAGACTCTGGCGAAGCGTCTCGTCAACGGCACATCCGCATCCAACGACGCTGAGACTTCCATGATCTCCAAGCTCAAGGACGCTTCAGGTTTCGAGTACACCAACAAGTTGCAGCGAATGTTTCAAGATATGCAGACGTCCAAGGACCTTAACCTCGCCTACGACGAGTGGCGCAACGACAACTTCGACAAGGAGGATCGTAAGGACGAGATCGATGCCACCTACCAGATTCTCGGAACCGGGTTCTGGCCACTTCAACCGCCTACTACCGGATTCATCCCTCCACCAGCAATCGTCAAGACCTACAAACGCTTCGAAAACTTCTACAACAACAAGCACGGTGGTCGCAAGCTCACATGGCTGTGGCATCTGTGCAAGGGCGAGATCCGCGCAAACTACATCAAGATGGGCAAGGTGCCGTACACCTTCCAAGTCTCCACACACCAGATGGCGATCATGCTCATGTTCAACGACTCCGATACTGTGGCGTACGACGACATCGCGGCGGCCACCACTCTCGACAAGGGCACGCTCGACCCTTCCATCGGCATCATGCTGAAGGCGAAGGTTCTTACGGCCAGTCCTGAAGGAGCGTCTCCGCAGTCCGGCACGAGCTTTACGCTCAACCACGGCTTCAAGCACAAGAAGGTCAAGGTCAACCTCAACGTGCAGATCAAGTCTGAGCAGAAGGCGGAGGCTGAGGAGACGCACAAGACGATTGAGGAGGACCGCAAGATGCTCATGCAGGTAAGTTTGACATCAACATTTCTTTCGCAGGGATATATGTTAACATTCATTCTAGTCCGCCATCGTCCGCATCATGAAGTCGCGCAAGCAGATGAAGCACGCCCAGCTCGTCGGCGAGACGATCCAGCAGATCAAATCGCGCTTCAGCCCGAAGATCCCGGACATCAAGAAGTGCATCGACATCCTGCTCGAGAAGGAGTATCTCGAGCGTCTCGATAATGACGAGCTCGGGTATCTGGCATGAGTGGTGAGAGAGAGAAGGATGTGGGTGTGCTATCACGAAGGTACGAACTTGACGCGGTTCCGTTGTGCATTTACACTCCATGATCCGGGGCATCAGTATGGCGGCGGGGGGTCACTTTAGCATGGCGTGGGCGTCTTGATAACTATGGGAATGAATGGAATGATTGAGGTCATCAACTAGCTCAACGGTTGTGCTTTTGCTGTGCGAGGGTGCATGGCTTAGCGGATGAGACCATAGAAGATACGAGAATGTGAAAAGCTTGCAAGAGTAACTGAAATGCGCTTCTCGTGGTATTAGAGTCTCGTTCCAAGTAGTTCTGGTCGTGGTATTATCGTGTTATCTTCATCGGCTCCACGTGATCGAACAAGACCCTTCCATTCTTACGCCACTCTGCAGCTGCTAGCGCAGCAATTTGTCTTCCGCAAGCTGTTCAGAGTCCGAAGTCTCCCATCGAACACCACACTCTCCTTTGCATGCCAACATGTACGCAATCCATACCCCTTCGTGAGAACTCGTTACTAACAATGCCACCCAGGGCGCCACTTGTAGATAATGCGCAGATCAAATCTGCCTCGCTCCACAACCCCCGACCTCTGCTCCTCCACGCCTACATCCTGCCTTTCACGATCGCCTGGCCCGTCTTCTTCAGCATCTACCTGTCCCAGGACTCCTACGACACGTACATCAACGGGCAAGAATGGACCTTTGTCTTCGCCGGCTCCATCGTCACCACGCAGAGTCTGGTATGGCTCATGACGTTCTGGAACGTGAATATCCGCGCCTGGTTCACTGCGTCGTCTGCGAGCAGCGTCAAGGATGCGAAGCTGATCAAGGTGCTGCCTCAGCAGAATGCGGGAAGCGCGGAGATCTGCGAGATCAACAGGCAGAAGAGGGCTGATGGCAAGGACGACGTTAGTTTCTTGTTCCAGAAGAGACGGTTCCTATACGACGAGGGCAAAGGCTCCTTCGCGCCGCTGGAGTTTAAGCTGGATCAGGAGCCGAAGCCTACGGTCGGCTCGTTCCAGGAGAGCAGGGGTTTGCGCAAGAAGGACGAGATTGAACGGATACAACATCATTACGGGAACAATATCTTCGACATCCCCGTGCCGACTTTCTCGGAGCTGTTCAAGGAGCACGCGGTGGCGCCGTTCTTTGTGTTTCAGATCTTCTGCGTTGGACTGTGGATGCTGGATGAGTACTGGTATTACTCACTGTTTACGCTGTTCATGCTGGTCGTCTTTGAGTCGACGGTTGTGTGGCAGCGGCAGAGGACGTTGAAGGAGTTCCGGGGGATGAGCATTAAGCCATACGACGTCTACGTGTTTCGGGAGAATAAGTGGAGGGAGGTGCTGAGTGATGCGCTGCTTCCTGGGGATCTGGTTTCTGTGGGCCGGACGAAGGATGATAGTGGTGTGGCTTGCGATATGATTTTGGTCGAGGGCAGTGCGATCGTGAACGAGGCTATGCTTTCTGGAGAGAGCACGCCTGTACTTAAGGATTCGCTTCAGCTGCGTCCGGCAGATGCGCGTGTAGAGCCGGAGGGTCTGGACAAGAATGCTTTCCTCTGGGGTGGCACCAAGGTCTTGCAGGTTCAGCATGGCAATGCTTCCGAAGACGCTCCGGGCACCGTTCAGCAGCTCGCATCTGGCGTACCTCCACCACCTGACAAGGGTGCCATGGCTGTGGTGGTAAAAACGGGCTTCGAGACGAACCAGGGCGCTCTCGTCCGGACGATGATCTACTCGACCGAGCGTGTCAGCGCGAACAACCTCGAAGCACTGCTTTTCATCCTCTTCCTCTGCGTTTTCGCCATCGCCGCGTCGCGGTACGTGTGGGTTGAGGGTGTCAAGGTCGACCGCAAGCGCTCGAAGCTGTTGCTGGACTGTGTGCTTATCGTCACTTCTGTCGTTCCGCCGGAGTTGCCTATGGAGTTGAGCTTGGCTGTGAACACGAGTCTGGCTTCCCTCAGCAAATTCGCCATCTTCTGCACGGAGCCGTTCCGGATACCGTTCGCTGGCCGTGTGGATGTTGCTTGCTTTGACAAGACTGGCACGCTTACTGGAGAGGACTTGGTGGTTGACGGTATTGCTGGGCTTTCGCTGGGCGAAGAAGGTGCGGCGAGCGAGCCTGATGGCGCACAGAGCCAGCTGATCAGGGTCAATGGGACGAACCAGGCCACCACTCTTACCTTGGCCACGGCGCACGCTTTGGTCAAGCTCGAAGAGGGAGATGTTGTCGGCGAGCCCATGGAGAAGGCCACACTTCAAGCACTTGGCTGGACCGTCGGTAAGAACGACACGCTTTTCGCCAAGTCAGCGCAGACAGGCGAGAAGACGGTCGGCAACAGCGTGCAAATCAAGCGACGCTTCCAATTCTCTTCGGCTCTTAAGCGACAGAGCTCTGTCGCTATTACCACCACAATGGACCGTTCGAGCGGGAAGAAGATCAAGAGCACTTTCGTCGGCGTCAAAGGTGCGCCAGAGACCATTCGGAAGATGCTTGTCGATGTGCCGCCGAAGTACGAGGAGACTTTCAAGTACTTCAGCAGGAATGGCGCAAGAGTGTTGGCCTTGGCGTACAAGCATCTTTCGGCAAGCGATGAGATTGGGCAGAATAAGATCAACCATCTCAAGCGTGAAGAGGTTGAGAGCGAGCTGCATTTCGCTGGGTTCCTGGTCTTGCAATGTCCTCTTAAGGATGACGCGATCAAGGCTGTGCGTATGCTTAACGAGAGCAGTCATCGCGTGGTCATGATCACTGGTGACAACCCGCTCACTGCTGTACATGTTGCGCGGCAGGTTGAGATCGTGGATCGGGACGTTCTCATTCTGGACGCGCCAGAGCATGATGACAGCGGTGAGAAGCTGGTCTGGCGTAGTGTCGATGACAAGACGAATATCCCGGTCAACCCTACTGAGGCCCTTGATGCCGAGATCCTGAAAAGCAAGGATTTGTGCGTGACAGGCTTCGGACTCGCGAAGTTCAGGGGCCAGAAGGCGCTACCGGACCTGCTAAAGCATGCTTGGGTTTATGCTCGCGTGTCACCTAAGCAGAAGGAAGATATCCTGCTTGGTCTGAAAGAGGCGGGCTACACCACACTCATGGCAGGTGACGGCACGAACGACGTCGGTGCACTGAAGCAAGCTCACGTTGGTGTTGCACTGCTCAACGGCTCGAAGGAAGACTTGGAGAAGATCGGCAAGCACTTCCGTGAGTCGAAGATGAAGGAGGTGTATGAGAAGCAGGTTGGCATGATGAAGCGCTTCAACCAGCCCAACCCGCCTGTGCCCGTGCACATTGCACATCTCTACCCGCCTGGTCCGACGAACCCGCATTACGAGAAGGCCATGGAGCGAGAAGCGCAGATGAAGGCGCAGTGGGCGGCTGCTAACGGCCAGCCGGTGCCTAATGGTACTGCGAACGGTGCACCTGTGCAAGCTGTCGCGCCAACGCCCGAGCAGAGCAATGAACCTGTCCGACAGAACAATGCTGCCTTTTCTATGGCGGACAAGCTCACTGCATCGATGATGGAGGACCAGCTGAACGATGACGAGCCGCCTACCATCAAGCTTGGCGATGCTTCGGTCGCCGCGCCTTTCACGAGCAAGCTTGCAAACGTCGTTGCGATCCCCAACATCATTCGACAAGGTCGTTGCGCGCTGGTGGCTACCATTCAGATGTACAAGATCTTGGCGCTCAACTGCTTGATCAGTGCGTACAGTTTGAGTGTGCTGTATCTTGATGGTATCAAGTTTGGAGATGGACAGGTGACGATTAGTGGAATGCTCATGAGCGTGTGCTTCTTGAGCATTTCACGCGCGAAGGTAAGCTCCATCTTCCATTTTCTTCGGAAGTAACACTAACGATTTTGGACAGCCCGTCGAACAACTCTCCAAAGAACGCCCGCAAAACAACATCTGGAACTGGTACATCATCCCCTCCGTCCTCGGCCAATTCGCCATCCACATCGTCACCCTCATCTACATCTCCGACTACGTGCACAAGTTCGAAGAGAAAGAAGACCGCGCCAAAATCGACCTGGAGAAAGAATTCCAGCCTTCGCTCCTCAACAGCGCCATCTACCTCCTCCAGCTGATCCAACAAATCTCCACCTTCGCCATCAACTACCAAGGCCGCCCCTTCCGCGAGTCCATCCGCGAGAATAAAGGCATGTACTACGGTATCTGCGCCGTCACGGCCCTGGCTTTCAGCTGCGCGACGGAGTTCGTGCCCGAGATCAACACGCAGCTGAAGCTGGTGCCGTTTACGAACGAGTTCAAGTTTACCATGACGACGGTGATGGCGTTGGATTTCGTGGGGTGTTGGGTGATTGAGAAGGCGTTGAAGTTGGCTTTTAGCGATTATAAGCCCAAGGATATTGCGGTGCGGCGGCCGGATCAGTTGAGGAGGGAGGAGGAAAGGTTAAGGGTGGAGCAGGAGAAGGCGGATCATGAGAGGGAGGTTGCGCTTGGGAAGGCGTAGGTGGGGTGTTGTATAGTGTAGCTGCTGTAGCTGGATGTTGTATTGGACTTTAGACGCTCTTCGGCACATCTTCTACGGTTCAGTCGAATTCGACAATAGGCGGTATCTCAGAGCTTCGCTGTGCCGCCGAGAAGTTGCTGCCGAGCATCGTCTGTCAACGCCACATAGCCCTGCCCTTCCCTCTCGATCCAGTACATTCGATCTCTGCTCTCCGCTGGTGGCGAGAATGCTGCAAGCGACGTGATTAGTCTCGTTGCCCTCTCTCGAAGCGGCGAAGAAGGGTATTACGTACCTTCTTTCCGCAAGCTAGTCTTCAGCTTCTTCAGCATCAACGAGACGTACTCACTGCCCACACTGTCACTTATTCCAATCTGCTCTCTTTTTTGCGGGTCACTCCCATCGTCGTCTACCAGAATTCGCAGAAAGCGTGGCACTGCGTAGCTTGCCAGTCCAGCCGTTTGGGTGAGGTACTGCTCCAAGCCTCGTATGGAGTCAATTTCGATTTGACCGGGATCATTCGGCGAAGCTCCCTTTTGCAATGTTATAGCTGCCAATCCCATCTGTCCGTCCAATCCGAACTTATTCATGGGTATCGCGTACACGTTGGCGGAGGAGATGTGAGGGTGGTTGAGAAAGGCCATCTCGACTTCGGTGGTGGAAATGTTCTGAGACGTGTCAGCAGCCCATCCTGACAGAGGCAGCGAGTTCAGCGTACATGGCCCTTCGCGCGGAACGTATCTCCTACAAGATTTAGGTGAAAGACGTCAGCTTCACATCCTTGCTATGTTGGGAAAGGAGGTTACGCTGCCGGCTGCTATCTCCTAGACCAATCCGAAGGTTTTAGTAAGCGAGAAGCCCCTTGAGGGCCATTTGGGCCGGCAAGCTCTCGGAGACGTTCAGGTCCGAGACATAGCAGCGACATGAACCATTTGAACTTCCTTACCTAAGCGATCAACAAAGGTGACGAACCCCTTGCTGTCCTGCGGAAGGTTAGCAAAAATTCTTCTTTTCGAAAGGGAGGCTGTTCTCATACCATTGACATAGCATCACCCAATCTCCAAAAGGTGTCCCCCTTTGCAAAGACATCCTTGAGCAACTTCTTGTTAGTCGCCTGGACTCCGCCTTCACCAACGTAGTCATGTATCCGTTGCATCGGTGGCTTGATTCTGTTGATAGCTATAGACAAAAGCGCACAGTGGTTAGCCAGGGTCTCAGGCATTACGAGGGCTTGGCCATCGTACCTTCTCCAACCTCCCCATACTTCGCCTGAATACATAGCCCAGTCTTGGGGTCCCGTATCACTTCGCCGGAGTCCATGTCGATGCGGATGATGTAGAAAGTGTCTTGACCGAACCAGGAGCTGCGCATCAATGGTCCCCAATGTGCCACTTTACCAACCGGCTCGTTGTTCGAAAGGTTGGAGTAGTTGATCGAAGATGTCCCTTCTGTCGCCGAATAGTATTCGGTTATCCAAGGCACACCAAAGCGAAGTCGAAATGCTTTCCATACTGGCGCTGCGATACCCAGGCCGTAGATGATCTCCATCCCGTGGGTCTTCTTTTCATCTGGGTGAACTGGATCTGGAGGTGCTGTTGAAAGATTGAGCAAGAGCGTCAGCAAGTGTCTCAGCCAGGCAAATAGGTATTAGAAGGTCTCGAGACGCCGATCGTGGCTCGACCGTGTCTCGGAGAACCCTTCTATCGGCCAGTCTTACCCTGCACGAGATATCGGACCATCTCGCCGATGTAGAAGAGCATGTTTGCTCTAGTTCGTCGGACGTCATGCCAGAAGTTGCGAACGGAAAACTTGCGTGCGAGAATGATTGTGCCACCTGCTCGTACAGTTGCGGGTAGAAGGGCATATCTGTTCAGTAATTAGCAGACATACATCATGGCTAGGAAATACGTTCCACTTACGTTGCGCCACCGTGGAATAGCGGCGTGCAAGCATAAAGTCGTCTTCTTTTCTCGAACATGTAAGGCCATCTGGTAGGACTAGCAGCCATGTGCTGAAGTGGCAGTAATGGTCAGTATGTGATCGAACAACAAATATCTTCCCAACTTACTGAATATCCCGTAGGCCATGTCGCAGCCTTGGGCAGGCCTGTGGTGCCACTTGTGAAGAGATACTGTGAAGTATCCGCCTGGCCTACTTTCGGACGCCGCTCGGGTGGCCACTCCGCCATGCCAGGATGAACGGGGTCGAGATCGTTATGCTTCAATACACCAACTTCAGCGGCAAGAGCACAAGGCGGATATGCTCCGTAATCGTAGACGAAGACCTCCTTGAGCTTTGGTAGCCCTTGAAACACACCATCCACCCGCTCAAGATTCATGCTTGCGGCAACACGAGGGTAGAGCTCGTAGGAGCAGAACAGAAACTCGGAATCGCTGATCTTGACGCAGTGTCGAAATGGTTCCTGGGTGATTGCTGTGTTGACCGGAGCAGGAATTGCTCCGATCTTAAACAATGCCCACCACATAAAATAGAACTCAGGAGAGTTGTCAATCATCATGGCCACGACAGTTCGATTGCGGATGCCCATCTTCTCGAAGGCAAGAGCAAGTCGTCCAACCTCTGCTCGGGTCTCTGCGTAGGTCCATGAGCGGTCTTCGAAGAGGAAAGCCTCACCGTATTCATTCTGTCCGAAGGTAAAGTGCAATACATGGTAAAACGACCAGTCATCATCCCCAAAGGCCTGGCATAGCTGTTCCCAGTGCTTTGCTTGCTTGCGGGCGGACCGTATTTGCCCAATGTCGGAGCGTATGCTATAGCGTTTGTCCAGAGCAGCGCCGGCCAACACGGTCCCGGTTATGGCGGCCAACGCGGCGGTGGTCCTCACCATATTGACAAGGTTTTCGACCAACGATCGAATGATAGTCGGAAGACTTGAGCATAGATTGTAAAAACTATCTACTTGCCTTGTACTCACGGTTCAGACTCGCGTCGGTTACGCGTACCCTACCTCGGTTTTCCGGCCTTTCAAGGCGGGGACTGGACGACGAAGGCGTTACATCGCGGCCAAATCCATCGAGAATGACAGCGTGCTGGGAGAACTATCGACTATGGATGCATGTACACAGACACAATTGAGAGCTCACGGAGAAGTGGTGACAGGAAGTGTGGTTGACTTGGCGCTATGACCAGCTTGTCGGCTGACTTCGACTTCACCCCTATTCTTCCTTCTCCTATCCTTTTTACCGTCTACATCTACCTATCTATCTGAACGAAGGCTTGATATGTCCATTTGCTCTCTGCTGAAGCCTCTCTACGAGATTGTGATTGTACCTGTAGTGATGTCAGCGGCATCCCGCGCAGTTCAAGAACAGACGACTCACATATGCTTGGTCCACGAGCACAACAGCGATCGCGTATCAGCAGGATCAATGATTTCTTCGACCCCGAACTTATTCGCTGTCCGTACTGGGTTCTGTAGGTTCAGATACTCAGCCTCGAGTTGGGCATAGACCTCATCGCGCTTGTCGCCCGCTTTCTTCAAGTCGGCGCGATGGTTAACTGCGAACATATCAGTGAAACGGCCAACGGTAGCTGCATGCTCTACTGACCTTCAATGCCGCCTTCCAGAGGAATGCTTCCCCATTCTCCGGATGGCCTGCAGCAAGTCAGCGGGGTCTGAGTACAACACGAACAGCACGTCTTACCAAGCTACTCGTGGACTCATCTCTCGACTGCCGATCAGAATCGAACCTCCAATGCCATAACACCGCCTCAACACCACCGTAAATACCGGTACAGTTGTTGACCACAGCGTCTTATACATCTCGAGACCTACGAACAAAAGTGCAAAAGGGTTAGCGAACGTCTCAGACACGGTAGGATTTTTCTCGCGCACCCCACTTCATTACACCACTTCGCTCTGCCACAGTACCAATCGCAAAGCCAGGAATGTCCACCAGTTGGATCAACGGGAGACCCATCACATCGCAGAGCCGAATGTGCTTTGCGTACTTCTGGGACCCGGCCGTATCGAGGGCGCCAGCGCCTTTCATTGCATCATTCGCGAAGAGACCAACTGGGCGCCCGTTGAAGCGTGCGAAGCCAACCACTACGGTGTTGCCCCAATACGGCCCAATCTCGAAGAAGGAGTCCTTGTCTACCAGCGACCGGATGATCGGCCGCACCTCGTACATCCGTTGTCTTCTTCGAGGGATCGCTGTTCGCAGCTCAGGACATTTCCGGTCTGGACCGTCTTGGGATGGTGATACTGGAGGAAGCAGACCACCATGATTGCCTACGTAGGAAAGAAAGTCGGCAATCTGGTCGAAGCAGCCTTTTTCGTTCGGCGCAACATTGTCAATGACACCGTTTGCGCAGTGGATTCGTGGACCACCTAACGCATCAAAGCTGAGATCTTCTTCGAAAGTTGCGCCCTCAACGATTTTCGGGCCAGCGTTGAATAGTGTCCCGATGTCTGCCGCGATCACGCTGAAGTGCGAGACTGCTGCTCGTGCCGCACCTAATCCGACAGCCTGTCAAGAAGTCAGTGAGTCACACTATGCGCGGAGTCTGGGTACTCACTGGCCCGACTACAGCAGCACATTGAGGTATACCTAGGTCAAGCTCCCTGTACTGCTCGCAATCTCAGCATGTTCCACCCTGGGAAGAGGAAGCTTGCTCACCACCCAATTCAACAGCTCCAGATCTGGCAGGTAACTTCCGCCCTGTGTCCGGTACGTAGTGATGGATCCACCACCAGACGCTCCATCGACGACCTTGATCATCGGGAGCTTGAGATGGACACACAGCTTCTCCATGTACAGGGTCTTTGCCATGAGCGCACCGTCCGCATGTCCAGCCCTGAGGGTAAAGTCATCTGCAGTGAGAAGGACCGTCCGATTCCGTATCTTGCCGAACCCTTCGACGACGTCAATTAACGATCTCGTCCCCTGAAAACTTCAAAGCTCACCTTGGACGTTGTTACTCGGCGTAAACTCAGCGACAGTCTCCTTCTCGTCCTCGATCAAAGAATTCTTTGGGCCATCTGGCTTGACCCAGGTCGCTGTCCCTGCTGCGCTTCCGACTTCTCTAAACGATCCGGGATCCAAGAGCAAATCGATTCGTTCTCTCACCCACAGTTTACCGGCTTGTTTGTGTCGTTGGTAGCCGGTCGTTTCTGTCTTGGGTGTCTGAGCGAGCTTTCGAACATGGTTGACTTCGGCCAGTACATCTGACCAGTCAGCTGGTAGCTCAGTTTTTCGTGTCTTCGGTTTTCTGTCCTTTTTGGTGGTTGGTGTATCTGATTTGATATGAGATGAGACGAGCTCCAACCTGCGTTTGGCGTCCTCGTCAGCCATCGTTGGAGGACGAGCTGGTACTTGGACTATTTAGACAGCACCACTTCTCTGTTCGATAGTATTCACATCTCAGCCTATCTTGGGAAACTCTTCTTATTCGCAAAGTGATCGTGCCGCGACGTTATTGAACGACGATCAAAAGTTAAGTGATTGCCTCGGCCAAAGCCGAGGTGAGAGGAGGTGTCGTGGAGGAGTACTGCGAGTGTGACCGATGTAGATCATCTCAGCATTGTGCCTGGGTGCTACAAGACGGTGCTACGATGTTGCATTGACTCCTCGAGTGGTCCCTGGCTCTTCGAGTGAGAAATACTGCTCACTATCGAATCATGGGTCCGACCAGAACGATCAGGCGTCTATTGGTCGCCAACAGGTACGAGTTGCAGCAGTGTAGTGATACGTTTACCATGCTGACTGTGGTAGAGGAGAAATTGCGATTAGGATATTGACCACCGCCCGAGAGCTGAACATTCACACGATCGCTGTGTACACCGAAGACGATGCCAATCACGCCGCATACGCCGATGAAGCTCTACTTCTCCAATCACCATCCGACTTTACCGACATCTCGAAGGTCGTCGAGCTCGCAATAAGTGCAAACGTCGACTCAGTCCATCCAGGTTATGGTTTTCTTTCGGAGAATGCAGACTTCGCTTCCGAGCTTGACGAGAAAGGCATGCGCTTCGTCGGACCAAGCTCAGACATATTACGGCAGACAGGTGATAAGCTGGCAGCACGACAACTCGCCTTGTCGAACAATGTCCCCGTTCTACCAGCATCCGATAATGCTACCTCAAACCTGGAAGAGGTGCGAGCTTTCGCCTCCAGTGCTGGCTATCCCATCATGATCAAAGCCGTGGACGGTGGCGGCGGACGAGGTATCAGGCTAGTTCGTTCACCTAATGAGCTTGACGACAGCTTCAAACGGGCATGCGGAGAGTCTCCAAGTGGCCAGGTATTTCTTGAGAAAGCTGCAGTTGACGGCTTCCGCCACGTAGAGGTGCAAGTACTGGGAGACGAGTATGGAAATGTTTCGCATCTATGGGAGCGGGAGTGTAGCATCCAGCGGAGGTTCCAGAAGATTGTCGAGCTTGCGCCATCAATGATTCCTGATAGGGCGGTCGTCAGACAGGTCATCGACGGGGCTTTGAGGATGGCGGCATCAGTAAGTCGAGAGAACTGCTCGCCTTCTATGTACTGATCGTCCTCAGGTTGGATATGCGTCGCTCGGAACATTCGAATACTTAGTCCACGAGTCCAAGCCAGAATTCTACTTCCTCGAGGTCAATCCAAGACTTCAGGTCGAGCACACAATATCGGAAGAGATCGCTGGAGTCGACATCGTCCGTTGCCAAATTCTGCTTGCGCAAGGACTGTCGATAGCAGACTTGGAACTTCCAGATACCTCAATTGCGCCTCGTCAGCAAGCCATCCAGCTCCGGATCACTGCTGAGGACCCGGCCAAGAATTTCACTCTCAGCATGGGCCGCATCACCGCTTTCTCGCAGCCGAGTGGACCCGGTGTGCGGATAGACACGCATTTGAGTAGTACGAAGCCTACGGCTGTCGGGTCTTCCTATGACTCGCTTCTGGGTAAGCTGATCGTACGCTCGCCGACGTTCGAAGGCGCTGGACAGAAAGCACTGCGAGCGCTACGCGACACTACCATCACAGGCGTGACGACCAACTTGACCTTCCTCATGGGCGTCGTAGCATCTCCAGCCTTCGCGCAAAAGAGCTGCTCGACAAGGTGGCTAGAAGACAATTTGAACGGTATCATTGCGTTGGGGAAGGAGACGGAGGCGCAAGGCAGCCTGGCCTCAAAAGAGCCCTACCTTGTCTCTTCGACGACGGAGACCACATCCGCCGGCACAGCAGGTCTTGGAGCTGCAGGAGTACTGTTCCGAAAAGGCGATGCTTTCAAGATGGAGCTTACAGGAGCTGGCCGGGCCAACGACCGCAGTGCGCAGCGAGAAGAGCACCTCCTTCGGATCGACCGCGTACTGATGAACGACTTTCCAAATCAATTGACAGCCGACATGACATTCAGCACTGCGTCGAGCTCAAAGTCGTATGCTGTCAACTTCACCTCCACTACACAGACCAGCGTGGCGTCGTCGCGGCATCGATATGCATCGGCGTCAGATCCGACGCACATCGCCCTGCCGTTCCCTGGACAGATGGTGGAGGTGCTTGTCGATGAAGGAGATGTTGTGAAAGAGGGTGAGGTGCTGTGCGTGGTTAGGCAAATGAAGATGGAGCTTGAGGTACGGGCGCCTTGGGCTGGGACGGTGAAATGGGTGAATGATGTCGAGGACAGTGAAACTGTCAACGAGGGCCTCTTGGTCTGCGAATTGATTCCGGCAGAGGAGAAGAACCGTCGGAGGGCTGCGAGTGTGTTCAAGCTTTGATCGTGTTGGTCCTCTTAGCACCACTGCAACGCTTGATAAAACGTCTGCAACGCGCCTCAATCGTTCCGTTGCCTGAATGTCCGTGATTGGCAGTTCATTGTCAATCGTAGGGACGATAGATGTGTAGACGCTAGAAGGTAATACCAGAAAGGAGGTGAGGTCTGGTAGAGATGGCCCGTGCTCATAGCGGACCTCACCACGACATGATCGTAGACATGCCATCTCATCTCATAGCCTTGCACTCCCCTCAATGCGCCCCTTCCTCAACACCCTGAGGCGGCGGCCCTTCTACACCACCACCCTCGGCGCATTCTGGGGCGCCACCACCATCATCTTCATCAACGACAACGTCCTCGTAACAACCTACGTCGAGGGGGAGTCGATGTCCCCGACCTTGTCCCGCGACTACCACGAAACCGGCCATTGCGACTTCATTCTCTGGAACAAGCTCTTCTCTCGCTCTAAGTTAGAGCGCGGCGACGTGATACAGTATATGAACCCATATAAACCGGAAGCATTCGCGGTCAAGCGAATCATTGGACTGGAAGGGGATACAGTGGTCTTGGATCGGAGAAGGCGGCCAGAAGCGGGTGAGGGGCCTGAGATGCGAGAGACGAGGGCTTGGGATGCGTGGAAGGGGAAGGCGATGGTGCCGCCAGGGCATGTGTGGGTTGAGGGGGACAATGTGCGGAAATCACATGACAGCAATTACTACGGACCTGTATCGATGAGTTTGATCGAAGGGAGGGCGATTGCTGTTGTGAACCCGAGCAAGTTCTGGACCAAGCCTTGGGAGGGTTACAGAAGTCGGACGAAGGTGGTGCCTTTGGAGGGAAGAATGAGAAACTGGACGAAAGAGGGACTGCCGGTTGAGTTGGCAGAAATTGGTGGACCGCATTTGCCGCCTTGAGACCTCTTCGGAACGGTCATGCCTAATCGTCTACGCTGTAGAGCACGAGTTGCCATCTACTGACGAACCACGACTTCCCATCGTGGAACACCGTGTCGACTCTTATTTCTTACCGATAATGGCCTCGACCTCCTTGCACACCGCATCAGTAACCTCCTTGGTACTGGCCTGGCCGCCCATATCTCTGGTCCGCACTCCTCGCTCGGAGATGTTCTCGATAGCCTCCATGAGCTGGTCGGCTGTCTTGTCGAGTGAGCCTTGGCCAACCCATCGGACCATCTCTGCAGCGGACCAGAAAGCACCGATCGGGTTCGCAATGCCCTGGCCAGCTATGTCCGGTGCAGACCCGTGTATCGGTTCAAACATGCTAGGACACGACCGCGTTGGGTCGAGATTGGATGACGGAGCGATTCCGATCGATCCAGCGAGCGCCGCGGCAAGGTCAGACAAGATGTCCGCGTGCACTGCGCTTAGTCAGCATTGCGGATGCAGACAAGTTGAACGATCCACTCACAGTTCGTAGCGACGATAGTGTCCATGCTCTCCGGCTTGTTCACCATCCTCACCGTCATGGCGTCTACGAGCATCTTGTCATGCTCCACCACCCCTTCATAATCCTTCGCGACCTCATAAAACACCTTATCCCACAGCACCATGCCATGCCTCTGAGCATTCGACTTGGTCACCATGGTAAGCTTCTTCCTCGGCCTACTCTTCGCCGTCTCAAACGCGAACCGCATGATCCTTTCGATCCCTACATAGGTGAAGATGGCCACCTCGGTGGCGATCGCATTCGTCCCATGCTCATGCGTAGTCCCACCCTGGCCGGCATACTCACCTTCTGAGTTCTCCCTGATGATGATCCAGTCCAATTCCTTGGGCTTCTCCTTGATCTGAGACAACGGCGCCGTAACGCCTTTCAATACTCTGGTTGGCCGAACATTGACGTACTGGTTCATGTTCTTCCGGATGGGCAGAATCAGACCCCAGAGAGAGATATGGTCGGGTACTGAAGGCCAGCCTACAGCGCCGAAGTAGATGGCGTCGTGCTTCTTGAGCTGGTCCATGCCATCTTCCGGCATGTACCATCCTCGCTCCAGATAGGCCTTGGAGCTCCAGTCGAAGGTGGTGAAGTTGAATTTGAAGCCGCCGTGGGCGGAGGCGATGGTGTTGAGGACTTGGGAGGCCGCGTCGGTTATGTCGACGCCTATACCGTCGCCGGGGATGGCTGGGAGGTGTTAGACTACTTTACTGTAGAGCTGCGGACAGAAAGAAATGAGGGATGTTGTTGGAAATATTCGTTGGAAGCTTACCGGCAATGTTGTACGTCTTCGACATTGCGTTTAGATTGGATGGCTGTTTGGTATTGAATGTGGGATAGCGAGGTTACGTAGTATCCTTAAGAGAAAGGAATTGTGATTGTACTTATAATTCTTGAAACAGGCGATCATCGTATACATCGTCAAGTTACTTCGTCACAATAATGCCCCGACTCCGACTTCGGGCAGTCGTCTTGACTGTTGTCTCGAGCCATTGCGTCCGCTATTGAGACAATTATGGACTTGACTCCGGTTTATGGCGACCTTCAGTCTCTGGGCAACCCTGTCAGCGGCTGATTGTTCAGGCAGAACTATGGCTGCCGAGCTATTGAAGAAAGAAGGTGTTAGTATGAGAAGGTGATGGCGTGTCCCGCAAATCGACCCCACGCGAAGCCAGAACGACAACCAAAGGTCAGCAACTCAGGGTCTTTTCTCCCTTGCTCAGTATAAATAAATGTTCCAGATACTCGACCAGCATATCATTAAATCCTCTCGATTCACCAGCAACTCCAAGACAGCACCGCAACCATGGCCTACCCACCAGGCGGCACATTCTTCGACCTCCCCGGCAAGCGATCCTACGTCGACGTGCCCGTTGACGAGAGCAAAGACAACGCCATCCAAACGACAGAGTTCCTCGACGCCTCCGAAGCACTACTCGGCCTCTTTGACCACCTCGGCAGCGTAGCCTTCACGCCCGTCAAGAACGATATCAACGGCAACATCACCGTACGTCTCATACTCTTCTCATCCCTCCCCAAATGCTAACGAATCGTTCCCTTCAGAAAATCCGCACCCGCCAACTCGCATCCCCCCTCGACTCCTCCACCCTCCAATCCCTCGTCTCCACCGAACTCGCCACCAAAAAACACACCGCCACCGAAGCCCTCCTCTGGCTAACCCGCGGCCTCGACTTCACCGCCCAAGCCCTGCGCCACAACATGGACAACCCCTCCGAAGAGCTGTCCACTTCCTTCCGCAGTGCGTACGGCAACACGCTGAAGCAGCACCACAGCTTCGTGATCAAGCCGATCTTCAGCGCGGCGATGAGCGCGACGCCGTATCGGAAGGATTTCTATGCGAAGTTGGGGGATGATCAGGAGAGGGTGGGGAAGGAGCTGGAGATGTGGTTGAAGGCGTTGGAGAGGAGGGTTGGTATCTTAAAGGAGTTTATGGGGAGGAAGGAGAATGCGTGGAAGTGAGTCAATATTATGATACGGGCTTGAGAGTCTGAAGCATCAGTGGAGCATGGGAGTCTGAGGCGCAGAAGTTGTTCAAGAACGTGCATCATGGTCTAAAGTTGACAAGCAGCTGTCGTGGCTGTCTACGATGAAGTATGTCAATCAGCAGCCAGCTCTCCAGTGCCTTCACTCCATGTCCTGTCCACCATATCAAGAGTATATCCCAGAGCGCCCGCCAAAAGCACATCAAAGCAAACTCATGAGGCTGATCAAGCACTCGCCTTCCCCTTCCTCGAAAACGTCCTCTGCAACCTTGTACTCAAACCCCTCTTCAACCCCGCCCCAGCACTACTCACACTCCTGCTCAACCCACTCGCCTGACTACTGTAGCTCGGCCTTGTCGCCATCATCGGTCTCGTCCCAACCGTGACACCCGACGCCGCAATCTCCTGCATCACCCACTTCACCTCCTCCACCACTGCCTCCGGCCTGTCTCGTATCACATGATGTCCCACGTTCGGAACCTGCGTGTATCGACTCCTCTTGCTCAAACTTAATTGTCTCCGCTTCATCTTCTCGTCTTCTTGCTCCCAGCGCTCGAGCATCAGTCGTTGTGGTTCGAGTTGTTCCTTTTGCGCTTCTGTCCGCGCCATAGCGGCTGCTTTGACCCATTCGTCTTGTTTCTTGCGCAGAGTGTTCCCACGTACGACGCTTAAAGGCGCATCTTGTAAGATTTGTCGTTTGTATTGTTCCTCCTCCACCGCAGGCGCGAGTGCTGTCTCTTGGCCTGTCTCTACGAGCACCATCCCTGCTACCTCTTTCGGTTTCTGCTGTAGGAAGAGTCGCGCGATGCAGCCGCCGTAGGAGTGCGCGATGAAGACGAAGGGGCCGCGGAGCTCCATGCTGTATAAATACGAGCACAGCTCTGACACCGCGCGATGAGGTTTCAAATCCGCGCCCTGGCCGGCGTGTGGGTTTTGCGAAGGACGGTCGTAGAGGAGTACGCGGTGGCCGGATTTATAGAGGACTTCGATCAGACTCAACCACGAGCGCATGCAGGAGTCGTTGCTGCCGTGGAGACATATCACGAGAGGCGCATTGGGGATAGGGCTTTGCGGTGGTGTGAGCAGGTTGATTCGGGAATGTCTTCGTGGTTCGGGCATAGGTTTTTGGCGAGAGTTGGTCGTGCTGTCGCTGTTGAATCGGCCGTATGGATGGCGAGGATGCGATTTCGATTTGACGGGCGAGTCGAGATCATCGTCTTCTTCTAGTTGCTCTTCGACTTCTTCCATTGATTCGGCGGGTGTGAGGAAAGGGTTGGTATCGGTTGTATGGACGTGGACGCTTTTGCGGAGTTCTTGTAAGGCGAACTCTTCCTGATCTGTTTCTTTGGGACGCCTGTTTGCCGAAGCGCCGACGTGAGGGGACGCCATGGCTGCGTTTGGTGTGTGTGGAATGCGAAATGTGTGGTTGTACGCCCACCTGAAACTGATGATGTGCTGAAAGACAGGCTTGCGGAGGGGCTGAAAGCTACCAGGATTTGTTGGGCGCGAGGAAGAAGGATGAACGATGGAAGGAACAGTAGGAGAAGGAGATCACAATACTTGACCAAGGTTGCGACGGCAAGCTTTCTATCAGAGACACGTCTTCATGTCCGAACCGGTTATGGTGCGACGGTGAGTTGGTTAATAGGTTCAGGGGTGCGTCCGGTTCAAGTTGTTGCGTGCGAGGCGTCGTCGCGTCTGGCTCCGAGAATAGCTTCGCCCGATGTCGAGGCTAAGATGCTAAGCACTCGGAGGGGGCCGCTGGCGCGGGCGAGGGTGATCCTGATCGGTTGCTCGTGCAGGTCTCTCACCACCTTGATGAAGTTGTAGGGCTGTTGATGGCCGCCGAGAGTGGGCACGGCATGCGGTGCCGCCGTCGGGCTGACAGAAGAAACCCTGATTGAGGAACACGATTACGAAACGGCACCGGGGATGCATCGGCTCCTGCAGGTCTGTGACCTGTGCCACGAGAGGCAGCAGCTTGAAACCACACGTGCGTGGTGAAGCGCCATCAAGTCATGTCATTCGTTTGGAGTCGTAGGGCTAATCGCGCGCAGTCAGCGAGCGCTTCAACATGCCGCAAAAGCTTTCGAACAGAACATGATCCGTCCCTCTCAGCCAGCGGACGTCGACCTTCTCATTCGATACTGAGATCTTGACCGCCAGCGCTACATGCTCTTCCTCTTCACTGCTCTCCTCGCCTGCATCGCCCATCTTGACTTCCTTCATCGTCGAGTCGTTACCGCCGAACCTCTTCTTCCGCCTCGCAGCCCTCGACCATACGTTCTCCCTTGCTTCAACGACTCCCACCGCACTACTCGCCCGCCACTGCCACCGTACATCCAGCTCCTTCATCGCCGCATCCACCTTTTTACCCGCCCACTCCGTGCTCATCAGAGGCACAGCGATCGTTTGCGCAGTTGGGTAAGGCAGAACCGCGTGCACCAGGTCCCCATGCCTCGCCACATCAACTCTCGGCCTGAAGTCCTGGAAACTCCATCCCACCGCCCATCGCTTCGTCTTGTGCCCAGCTTGTAAGCATGCCACGGCGAAGTTCGTGATATCGTGTTCCTTGAGCTTCGCCACGATCTGCTGTAGTGAGGAGAGCTTGCCTAGCATAGCTGTATACCATTGCACTTTCTCCCGTAGCTGTAGGCTTTGCTCCAAGATTCGCAGAACGAAGCCAACATCCCCTCCAGAACAGATCATCTCGTTATCAGAGCCGGTGCAGATCGCGGAAGGAGGGAGTTGTTTGCTACCGTACGAAGCCTGCATGTCCGCTTCTGAGGTGTAGAATGGTGGATTCGTCATGACGAAGTCCAGCTCCTCGACTCCAAGAGCCTGTAGTGGTATGATCGGAGCATCTGAGGTGGTGAGCGCGAGCTTTACGCGCTTACTGAGGCCATTGTTATCCACGTTGCGTCTGGCATAGTCGAGCGAGTGCTGGTCGATGTCTGTGCCAGCGATTCGCCACTCAGGCCTCGTCGATGCTGCGAGCAGAGGGTAGATAGCCGATGCGCCTACGCCGACATCGAGACCGATGGCTTGTCTCTCGGGATCATATCGGTCGCTGTAGGAGTCAGAAGTAGTGTCGAGCAGCTCCTGGATCCAGCGGACGTAGTTCCAGCGCACCGGGACAGGTGGGCAGAGGCGGTCATCGGGCAGATCAAGAGCGGCGATGCTGAAGTCGCATTTCAGGAGGCTGTTGGTCAGCTGCCTAGTCCACGTGAGCTTGATGCCGCGGTATAGAGGGTGTAATGCTTACAGCACGACTTTGGGGTCTTGAAAGTCGATCCATTTGCTCTTCCTGGCGGTCTCGCAGACGGCGGCCCAGTCTGGGTTTCGTTTTGCAAGATCGTCGAAGTCTACATCTTGTGCGTAATATGGCAGCTCTGCGGTGTTTTGCGCCTTGGATGATTGCGGCATATAGTTCATTGTGAAGGGTGCGCTCTAGAGATGAAGTGAGGTGATGGGATTAGGAGTTGAAAGACAGTGGAAAGTCGAACAGCAAACCTCAAGCATCTCTGTTATCTCTAATATGTCGGATAAAACATTCAGAAGTGGTGTTGAACATATATATATATATTAATTGTATAAGGTGCCATCATCATTACCACCGTGTCAAAGGCGCGAGCATGAGATCTTCTAGCTCCTGCGTTTACCAAGTGCCATCTCTGGCATGTGACCTGTTCCACGCAATTACTGGTGTCGGTTCCGTTCTTCGAGAGTATTTCGCGTCGTTAACAATATGCTGGCGCAGCTCTTGAAGCCGCAGGCGGAGACCCATCAGAACGGTTCATTCCGGGATGGATTCTCGAATGGGATGCTGCGGATAACGAGAAAGGTGTCTCAAACTGCCATTCTCTCGTTGACTGCTCCAGGAGTCTGCATTCTCAAGGATCCCAGGGCATCTTTTGAGCTCGCCCGTAAGACAAACGAATACGTAGCCAACATCAGGGATGAGAAGCCGGATCGATGCGGCCTCTTCGCGAACTTGCCCAAGTCCCTGAATCAGGTTGAAGCATTGGCGGTGGTAAGGTATGCCGATAACACTCTCGACGCGGACGGAGTAAGCCTCTTCACGCACTATTGCGAAGACAACAATGTGAGTCCCTTCCCAGAGCTATGTTCAGACCTCTCGGACTGCTGACGAGTTCTCCGTGTGCGATGCGAAGGTACTTCGGTCACCCTGACTTCCAAATCTGGGCCTCTCTGCTGTCGAGCTCGTTCACTCAACCCGTCCAGCCGACAGCAGTCAGGTAGGCGGAACCCCACTGCCGGTAGTTCGCTATCCATTCGGAGCGACCCCGGTAGCGGTAGGCGTGGCCGCAATAAAACCGTCCGGAACACCCCCAAGTGTAAAATCATCTTGTCAGGCGCTGGTGGCATGCTGCCATTTCTTCTTTTGCGTCCAGCAGCAAGCGTTGACAAACCCCAAAGAAGAGCTGCGGACCTTTCTCGACGATGCTCGCAGCTTGTAGTACGACATCGCCCTCGCTGGCTCCGAGGGTGTCTTTACGGATCCTGGGAAAGGCGCCGTATCATACTCAACAATCCCGTGGTTCCAAAGTAGCCAGAGTCACAGTCTGCTTCAATGCCGCTCGCTGTGTTTGCTTCCAGTCGAAGTGACGTCGCATTGGCTAAGACACATGTTGAGTGCTGCTACACCACGCATGCCCAACCGTACGACCCGTCAAACTGCCATTCGTCTGGATCCTCGTCAAGTCGAATATTGTCCAGGCTGGGTACTCGATCCGGAGCGTAGTACTGAAGCAAACGTGCCATGTCGTCTTCGTTCATGTCGCACAAGTCTTCCAGGCTCCACTGTACACAGACGTTGGACATCCTGTAGATAAGTCAGTCTTGCCTTTGACGTGAGTTTATATAGAACGCACCAGCGCATTCGCTTCGGACCCTCTTCATTGCCAGGCGCTACAACCCGTAACTTCTTCCGCAGCTCGCCAACCTTTGAGATGGCATTGCCAATGTTCGGTGGCAAGCTTGCAGCGATACGCCGACGTACAATGTTCGCCATCTTAGGACCGTTTCCATTGGTGCTGACCATAATCTGCAGCGGCCCATCGCGGTGAACGCTGCCGAAGTAGAAGTCACATTCTGGTGGTACATCTGCAATGTTCGCAGCCAGCCTCCGCTCCTTGCAGAGCTTCCAGATCTGCGTGCTCGCTTCCGGGTCGTCGATGGCTGTGAGGACCAGTGTGATGCGAGGGTCATCCAGATCTGATGGCTCAAACCTCTTATCAAAGTACTCGACCTGCTTCTGGTCTATCCGATACGCCACCTCATCGTTGAGGCCATCTCGAGGGCTGATGACCGTGACTTTGGCATCGGCGTTGAGCAGATTGAGAATGCGACCTGCCGCGACCTATACTATCCATCAGCGTCAATTATCTCATCTTATCATCTCGATGGTAGATGACCGTACCTCGCCGCCACCAATGACTAGTACTTTCTTATTCCGCACCTGCCACGCGAGGATGAGAGAGCCACCCCCTTGAACTTCGGGAAACTTTCCAGTCATCGTATGGGAGACTCCTGGGTTAGATCGATGGGATGCCAGTCTGTTGACAATATTGAGAGGAAAAGACTTTGATGAGTGGCCCAAAGATATCAAAGTCGCTTAGTCACGGTCATCCTCGCCTCACGTTAGCCCCACCACCACGACTGACCTCACGTCACGCATATCAGGCACAGGACGTGCTACAGCCTTCGAACTTTGGCACAGTCTCCGCAGGCGGACGAGCTCTACAATGCTCTACCTTGAAAAGAGCTGAGCAGGCATGGCAGCGAAAAGAACGCTTGGAGGAGGACGAGTACTCGGATCTGGGAAGAACCTCGCGCCTCCAACTCCACCAACAGCAGCACCAAGAGCGCCGGCTCGAGGCTCCGGAGTCCTGTCACCATCAGGGAGCTCGTTGTCGCTTAGTAGCCATGCATCGAGTACTCCCATATCGACTGAGAATGAGGACATTGCTTCCCGAGTCGCTCTTGACGAGCATGGCGCTGCCCAGGCAGCGGCGGCGGCCAGCTCGAGGATGGTGTGCCCGATATGCAACGAGGAGATGGTGAGCGGATGGGAACCCATGGTGTTTGAGCGTGCAAAGGTACTGACGGTAGCAGGTGACGCTCCTCCAGCTGAACAGGTAGGTACGGATACCACTACCACAATGCATTAAACGGACTTGGTCTGATTAGCTTGCAGACACATAGACGACAACCATGGCAATCTGGAGGTTATGGAGCAAGAGGAGGCGAAGAACTGGTTTGAATCTCAGATGAAGAAAGCCAAGAAGTTCCAGCCTATACAAATGTTGAACCAGAAGCTGCGTGGACTGGAAGTGTTCGAATCGAACAACGAACTCTCGCAGAACGTTACGACAGCATCTGCTCCTCCTACAAGCAGTCGCGGTGCATCGCCAGCACCAGCACCACACGGCATGCCACCAACTGTATCATCACCCGATCCTGATGACATCATAACGAGAGCACATTGGCAACGTCCGTCAGGACGAGACGCATGTTCAGATCCGATATGCGGCAAGACCCTGGGAGCCACAGCTGGCCAGGTCAATTGCAGGCACTGCGGCAAGCTGTTCTGCGATGAGCATACAATGTATCAGATGAAGCTATCTCGGGCAGCGCAGCACGAGCCTGTTCGAGGGTTGTGGTACCGGGTCTGCGAAACGTGCTACAAGACCAGAGAAGGCTACAACGACCACACAGGATTGGAACGAAGTCATCTCGAATACTTCAAGACCGCCCGACGGAAAACGGTCGACAAGCAGTATTTGGAAACTAGTCGGTTGGAGAGCAGACTGACGAGGTTGACGCAACTGTTGGCAAATCCGCCGCCTCCAGACCCGAAGCAAAGGACGATATGGTCTGCCATTGTCGGTGACAGAGATCACATCAGAACACTTGAGCAGACTGTTGTTCCCTGGCAGGACGACGCGACGATCTTGGAGTGCCCTTTCTGCCAGCAACCCTTCTCTCAGTATGGCTTGCGAAGACACCATTGCAGGACCTGTGGCAGAATAGTGTGTGGTGACCCGGCAACTGGCTGTTCCAACGACATTGCTCTGGATGTGGAAAAGCGTAAGCGTTTGGCCAGGACAGAAACAACCCTCGGAATTCCTGTATGCTGACATGTGTCCAGAGAAGGGCGCACCTAAGATTGCGGTCGATGTTCGATTATGCAAGGACTGTCAGCGTACCATATTCAGCAAAGCCGACTTTGCGAGAGCATTGGCAACGCAGACAGCAGATCAGCGTGCCTATGAAAACCTTTTGCAGTTTGAACAAGGCATTAGGCTATTAATGCCGAAGTTCCAACGCCTACTTCTACCGTTGCAGGACCCAGAGAACCCTCCGTCTCCTGCTCAGCTTGCGGAAGCCAGCAAGGTTCGAAAACGGATAACGGACGCCTTTACCCAATATGATGTCGCAGCTCGCCGCATACGTGACCTGCCGACAGAAAGCCCGAGTCAAGCTCGTTTGCAGAAGGCCATTCATCAGCAGGCAACAAGCTTCCTCCATGTGCACATGCTGCCGTTGAAGTCTCTGCCCCGAATAATGAAGCAGGCAGCGTCAAACCACAAAGCGTCGACCCATGCTCGAACTCCAAGCGCGCTTTCGTCTATGCAATACAACGAGATCGCCAACGGGAATGGATCTCGCCCGTCCAGCAGTCGCAACTCTAGCACGAGCTCAGCTGCTGTGACTGCGTTGGAGATGGAAGAAAAACAGCTGCGGGAACGACTCATCGTTCTCGAAGAACAGAAATACTTCGTGTCAGACATGATTGCCGACGCCAACAAGCGACGAAAGTTCGACGAGGTCGGCAGTCTGGCGCAGAATGTTGAGGATCTGAGCCGGGAGATTGATCAGATCCAGGCGCAACTGGCTCAGATGGACTTTGCTGGCGCTTATGCGGGTGATGGCGTGATTAAGTGAAGGTCGACTTGGACGGATGCCTCTAAACCCCGGGCATCGAGTACATTTCTCGGAGCAGCCTCTCGCCTGCCGCCCTCTGGACGTATCCCAGCCCTTCCGGTTGCCACACGAGCACACACTTCAGCTCCTTGAGGCCGACTTTTGTTATGCTGCGCGGTCTTACCTCAAGAGCCTTGGCCGCCTCCTCTCGAGCTCGACAGGCCATTGCAACATGTCGGGACACGTCCACTTGTGGTCATTAGGGGGTCGTGGAGGGAACCTGAAGATGAGCTCGTTCCAAAGTCCATGCCAGGATAGACGAAGTAGTTCAGCTGTATATCACGGAACCCCGGTCCTCCGGCGGGGTAAAGACGGTTACAGTGGTTCTAATGTCATCCTCCTCATCTCGTTTCACAGCATCTACTTGACAGTCGTGACAGCTTGATGGACAACCTGTAGCGATCGGCTGGAAGCGGGCCGGGCCTTAGCGTGTGAAGGTGGGGCATATCGGACATCACAGTGCGCTGCAACTTCCAAATACACTCGCAGTAATCAATTACCACCTCAAGGCTTACCATCTGCTCGCCGCTCACTGCTGCACCGTCGCCGAACCAGACAGCAGCCACTCGCGCAAATGCAAGCTCTGAGTCCGCAGAGCTTGTCGAACAAACACTTCCAAATGCCGGACCGCTAAAAGGACTCTCTTTTCCGACCCCTCCTCGCGCCAACACACGCGCCGAAGGGATATGGCCGCCATGCTGCGGCGGAGAAAGCGTATGTTTTTGTCATACCGGTTGAGAATGAAGCTGACATGTGAATAAAGGAGAGTTGAAAGAATTAAACACAAAAGCATGGAACGGAGAAGAGGGTGAGCGTCACATGAAGCTACATGCGGCGTCAGGTGTTAACACAGATCAGATGTCTTCCCGATCGCACCGTCCCTCGACTCCAATCTCAAGAAGAACACGGCCTTCATCAAGCGACTACGCACCGCGATCAGTCAAGCTGGGCTCGGCACCTTCCTGCATGAAGTAAGAACACTTTCTCTACACAAGTACCTCACGGAAGTGGTGTCGGCATGCTTCGAAGGACTATGCAGGGTCAAGATAGCTGGGGATTTTGCAGCGGCGGTCGAAATCGTCAGCGCGCTTCATCAACGGTTTGGTCCGGAGGAGTTCACTCGCTACATCGGCTGGATGATCGGACGTGGACTGAGCACGCCTGATAAGTCGCAACTGAAGAACCTGCCGGCGGAGGTACGCGAGCGCGAAGAGAAAGAGCGTATTGGCAGGCAGAGAATATTACTACGGGTGGCAACAGAGCTATGGCTCGTCGGTGTGCTGAGGAGCCTGGATGATGTCACCCGCCCGGAAGAGGCGAGCAAGGCGAAAGATGCAGGAAGAGGCGGTGAGATGTCTGCGAAGCCAAAGACGAACGGAGTACGACCTGATAATGCTGATCCGGAGCCATTCCCGTTGGAGGTCATGAAGGACATGCTAGGCCACGACCGGGAGCACGTCAACCTGCCACTGGTCGTTGTGTTTGCAAAAACCTTCGCTTGGGACGTACTGGGCTCGAAGAACGGGAAGAGTGAAGGCAGGCAGACAGTCGCCGAAGATGGCGGCACAGCAATTTTCAATGGAAACTTTGATTCGGCGACTTCGACTGAGGACGAGGAGGTGCCGGCTCAAGACACGCCCCTCACTCCTCCAGCTCTACAGCAACGATTCCGGAACATCCTCGTCCGCTACTTTGAAGATGTCACTGCGCATCTCTTGCGTGACCAGAAGCACCTGGCCAGCCAAGGCAAGCGCAACGCCGAAGCCTACGTTAAGTCTGGCGAAGTGTTCGAGGATCGCCAGACGAGCTACGAGAAAGCGGTCAAGAATCAAGAGAAACTGCTCTCAAGCGCACAGTCATTGGCCGACGTATTAGCCGTTGACATGCCCGACCTTTCAGAAAAGGATGCTTCTTCGGGTGCGCTCGATGGCGGCATTGGGCTTGTAAAGACTGGAGAATATCTGCGCGGTCATGCAGAAGGTGCTGGAATCTGGGAAGATGAGGACGAGCGGCGCTTCTACGAAAGCCTCGTCGACTTGAAGGATCGTGTGCCTGGCATTCTCCTGGAGGATGCGAAGAAGAAGAAACCGGATGAGGAGCAAGTGGGCAAGAAAGCTGAGGAAACCTCTGACGCCAAGCTGGAGGCAAAGCCAGTAGACACTGACGATGCATCTACCGCGATCGCGAACAAGACGGTCGGAGCACAGGTGGATGCACTACTTGCGCGCTTGGTCGACCTCACGAACAAAGACCAGGTGGATCAATTCTCAATCGACTTTTGCTTTCTCAACTCCAAGGCCTCCCGGAACCGCCTTGTCAAGGCTATCCAGGAGATCCCGAAGGGTCGCACAGACCTCTTGCCATTGTATGCTCGCCTCATCGCGACACTCGGCCGCTACCTCACGGATGTTCAGCAAGGCATCATCTCGTACCTCGATGATGAGTTCCGGAGCCTACAGCGTCGCAAGTCCAAGGAATTTCTCGGCCCAGTCCGCATGGTGAATATACGCTACATCGCAGAGCTCAGCAAATTCGGCGTGGTGCCAGAGCACGTCATCTTCCATTGCCTCAAGGTCAGCTTGGACGACTTCTCGAGGATGAATATTGAGATTATCGCATCGCTACTCGAGAACTGCGGACGGTATTTGCTGCGCAACCCCGAGACTTCGCCGCGCATGACATCTTTCCTTGAGACACTTCAGCGGAAGAAGACGGCACAGCACCTCGGCCAGCAAGAGCGCATGCTTTTGGAGAATGCCATGTACTACGTCAACCCGCCCGAGCGCGCAGCGATCGAGGTCAAAGAGCGCACACCGCTCGATCTTTTCGTTCGGAAGCTAATCTACGTCGACCTGAACAAGAAGTCGCTCGAGCACGTGACAAAGCAAATCCGCAAGTTGCACTGGGAAGAAACTGAAGTGGTCGAGCTCATGCGCAAGATTTTCGTCAAGCCAGGCAAGATCAAGTTCGCTAACATCCACCTTCTTGCTATCATCCTGGGCGCGCTCTACCGCTTCCACTTCGATTTCACCTCCAGCGTTCTGGACGACCTGCTCGAGCGTATCACGGTTGGCTTGGAAGTGAACGACTTCAGGTACAACCAGCGTCGCATTGCCGAAGTTAAGTACCTCGGAGAGCTTTACATCTACCGCCTGGTAGACTCCACAGTCATCTTCGACACGCTCTACAAGCTTCTCAACTTCGGCCACGACGGCTACGCTCAGCCAGGTCGAATCTCGCCCATTGACCTTCCTGACGACTACTTCCGCGTTCGTCTTGTAGGCACGCTTCTGGAGACGTGTGGCGTATACTTCGAGAAAGGAGCTGTAAAGAAGAAGCTCGACTTCTTCCTTGCCTTCTTCCAGTATTACATCAATGTCAAGGATCCATTGCCGATGGACATCGACTTTGTTGTTCAGGATACGTTCAGCCTCTTGCGGCCTCAGTGGAAGCTTGTGTCGAACAACCTGGAGGAAGCAGGCAGAGTGTTTTCCGAAGCATGCAAGCAGAACTACCGAGATACAGCAATGAGCAAGACACTCGAGCCTGAAGAGCCGGAAGCGGCCATTCCCGAGCTGGATGATTCTGATGGTGAAGATGCGCACCCGAACGGCGACGAGCAGGCCTTACCGGATGGCGATGCTGCAGACATCAAATCGGACCCTGAGGAGGTCGCAGCTGAGGCTGGTGATGATGCGCAGGGCTCCTCATCCGAGGAAGACTTTGTGGTCACCCGACCCGAAGAGCAGCGTGATCCGGAGGCTGACGCTGAGTTCGATCGTGAATTTGCTAAAATGATGGCGGAGAGTGTGGAGTCTCGAAAGTTCGAGCGCAAGCCCATGTTCGACGTCCCACTGCCCATGCGCCGTGCGCAGCGTGAGGCGCCTGCAGTGCAAGCTGGCGATGACAGCGATGGCGACTCACCGGTTCCCGCGCCATCCAACGGATCCGGCACCATGAAGTTTGCTCTTCTCAGCCGGAGAGGTAACAGAACGCAGGTAAGGACAAATTGTTTGATTGCGTGTCATGGCCGATGCTGACTCGTTAGACCCGGTCGATCGATCTTCCTTCGGATTCCAGCTTCGCGGTCTCCATGCGGTCACAGCAAGAGGCAGAGCGCGCCGAGCAGCAACGCATCAAGAGCTTGGTACTGAACTACGAACTAACGGATGAACACGATGGTGAAGAACCCGCTTTCCATTACGTGCAGAGCTCCAACAACAAGCGCACCATCATCGTCGGCAACGGCATTCTCAACAAAAGCCTCAAGCCACGAGTTGCAAGCGGTCCAACTCAACATGTGACCAGTTGCAACGAGAACGAAAGAAGGGACTCTCCTACTGCTACCACACCACCTGAGCACACCCAACTCAAGCGTCAAGACTCATTCGCTGACGAGACAGGCTCCATTGACCATTTGCACGGTCAGGGCAGACAGGACAAGTCCGGCAATACGAGGAGCAAGCAGCGAGCGAGGAAGCTGCAGCTGGGTGACATCGACTGGTATGATAAGCGCTCTCATACCGCTGTTTCTCAGACGCAAACACCCGCTCAGAATGGTATCGACGGGGACAAGAAGCAAGAACAGCAGCAGCAACTTCGACCAGTGAGTGGTGAGCAACGCAAGAACAAGCGCTGATCGGTCAACTTCTTCGGCCATTGCAGGACTTAACGCCTTTCGACGAGGCAGCTGAGGCTGTCAAGCATACGATCGACAGAACAACATATGCATGAGTGCTACTATCATGCAGTAATTGCTTTTACACATCCCTGGCAAAGCAACGCCGATACGATCATCGACTCGCATCAGGTGGGGAGTGGACGCATGAGTAGAGAGGAGCAGGAAGGAAGACATCGCGAGCGTCGCAGCATCGGGTCGATGTGCCGGACTTTTGTCGTTGCGTGTGACCACTTCACATGCGACGTCTCGATCTCCAGCGCGGTGCTCATGAGGTGCGCGCTGTCATTGCTTCGTGCAGAGGTAGAACTAGGCGAACCTAAGTGGAAGGAAGTGGACGTCGATGCAAGGGAGGAGAGGAGGCGAAGAGGTTGCGAGAAGAGGATGAGAATAAATTGGCTTGGACCTGTGGACTGACCCGAGTCGTTCATTTACAAGAAGATTTCCTTGCGTCGAGTATGCCGAAGATGAGGGGTTTCACCTAGGTGGCTAGAAACAGAAACCTAGGTCTTCGAATTGCTTTGCTCCCACTGTCTCCCACGTCGGTCTCTACAGCCCGCCCAGCCTCATACAGCAGACCCCCCAGCTCAGGAAGGATTAACAGCACTCAGCAGCCCTCTTCCTCCAAACGCTACAGCATCAGTCAGCCAAGTGGCAACATCACCATTCATACTGAGAGGACACTCACCACCACCGCCACGTCTACTTCTGCCCAACACTGCTGTACCCCTGCCCACGCGGCCCCCTCCCCGCCAACATCTGCCCCTGCTGCTGGCCCTTGAAATCACTCATCTTCCAGCTCTGCTGCCGCTGCGGTGCCCCGGGTCTATCGTTCACCGAAGCAGCGACGCTCCCAGCAGTGGTGGCAGGGATCTGGTTGGCTTTGGTCGCTGCCGCGGCGGCTTTCTCATAGTTGTCGGTGGTGCGGCGTTGCAGGACGGGTTTGCCTTGGACGTCGACGTCGTTGGAGGAGGTGGAGGGGGTTTCGGTTGGTTTGGTGTCGGAGACGAGGGAGCGGGTGGCTATGGTGGATGGTTTTTGGTAGGTGTAAGCGTTGGTAGAAGAGGCCATGGCTGGTTTGTGACTTGGTCCTGAGCCGGGTTGGATTCGGATGAGCTTTAAGTGGTGTAGTGGCGACGAGTGATGCTTGAGTTGTGATGGATTCCAGTGGACCAGCCAGATAGAACGGCGGATGTGTGATACCAGATGTGTGCGAGTGTCAAGGTGGTCGAGGAAGACTTGCAGGTCGATAATGGCGAAGGTGTTGAGCTGGTCGACCTCGCGCCTTCAATCTCAAGCTGTCGCGTTGCCGAGTCGATCTGCTGATCAGCAACTTGTCGACCCAAGCTTTCGATCAAGGTCCAGACTTATGGCAAATGTTTTGGCGGCAAGTTTGGTTCCGGCTGTTCGTTACTCCCGCCGTTGTGAGCAGAGATGGCAGTCGCTCAGACAGAAAGGAGCTCAACGACCGAGGCTCGTGTCTCACTCTGCGTCTCTTGCGATGGGTAAAACTATTTTCGATTTGGACTGCGTGAGCACAACTGAATGATCTTCAGTGTCCGCACCAGAAATGTGTTGACAAATATATCGTAATACTGCTACATAGTTGTCAGTACGATCGGTATGCCGACTGGATATATCCCAATGCAAGACGACGACCTTGCTGCTACACATTGTACATTTTCACGGGGTGTCATGTTCTCAAGGCTTGCTCGCCGCTCCGCCATTCTTCTGCCAATCCATCCAACTACCTCTGTACTCCGACACATTGCTGTACCCGATCTGCTGAGCCAGGTTCGCTGCAGCGCTACTTCTTACTCCCGACTTGCAATAAAAGACAACTTCTTGCTCCTGAGAAGGCTTGCTGAAGCCCAAGCGATCCTCAAACTCGTCTGCGGGTAGGAACATTGCATCGGGCTGTGACTTTATGGGAATGTTGATCGCGCCGGGGATGTAGCCTTCCTCGTACTCATGGGGCTCTCGGACGTCTGCGACTTGAGTGTCAGTTGATGTACGCTTCCTCATACGCATAGGCTCGACCAACCGATCAATATGCGATCTGACGATGGCTTTTCAGTAAGCTCCTTGATCTGTCCGAAGTCATACACCTTTGAATTGGACGACGGAGCCGAGTGATATCGTAGCTGGTGAAAGGCGATTACAGGTCGGTTCCTGGTGTGTACCGCAGGTTGCACTGGGCCGATTGTGAACGCCGGCCGCGTTGATGAGGCATTGTATTGTCGGGAGATGTCCTGAAATACGACTCTTGTCGCGGTTCTTCGTAGTGTCGCCATGCTCGTCTAATCTGAACTTCTCGAGAGGAGGAAGAGAAGAGCATCATCTCCATACAACGAATGTGAGCTTGAGATCGGCAGGGTCGGCCGAAGTAATTCCGGCGCAGCCTGCTTCGCGATCCTCCGACGCGTTCCCTGACCTTCTTCAAACACCACACCATGGGTTGAATTCTTAACGAGCGATGGCCACGATCAAGGCCATCGAGGGCCGCTCCGTACACCAGATCCAGTCTGGACAGGTCATCGTCGACCTCATCTCCGTGGTCAAGGAACTCGTCGAGAACAGTCTGGATGCCGGCGCCACATCAGTCGAGATCCGCTTCAAGAATCAAGGCCTGGACAGCATCGAAGTGCAAGATAATGGCAAAGGCATACCGCCCGATGACTTCGAGACTGTCGCCCTGAAGCACTATACGTCTAAGCTTTCCACCTATGAGGACCTCACTTCGCTGGACACGTTCGGCTTCCGTGGCGAAGCGCTATCCTCGCTTTGTGCCTTGTCCAAGTTCCACATTACTACTGCTCGCGCAGAAGATGGCGCTGTGGGCAAGAAACTGGAGTTTGAGACTTCCGGGAAGCTGAAGGGTAATTCAGTCGTTGCCGCTCAAAAGGGCACCACAGTTTCAGTTGAAGACCTTTTCTGCAACCTTCCCGTCAGACGAAAGGAGCTCGAGAAGAATATCAAGCGCGAGTACAACAAGGTCATTGCTCATCTACATGCTTATGCGTGCATCAGCGTCGGTGTACGCTTCTCCGTGACTAACCAGATGTCGAAAGGCAAGAAAGTGGTGGTGTTCTCCACGAAATCGAATACGACAACGAAAGAAAACATCACCAATGTCTTTGGCGCGAAGACACTCGTGGCTCTGGTCAAGCTTGATCTGCACCTCGAGATGGAGCCGAGCAATGGTCCGTCGACACAGAGCGCGCGCAACTGGTCTACTCAATCGCTCGACCGCTCGAGAGAAGTCCATGTGCAAGGCTACATCTCTAAGCCAGTCTTTGGCGAGGGACGTCAAGCACCGGACAGACAGATGTTCTTTGTCAACTCTCGACCATGCGGCTTGCCGCAAGTCACAAAGGCCGTCAACGAAGTTTACAGATCGTTCAATGTCGCTCAGATGCCGTTTGTGTTTGCGAATCTCATCATGGACACCAATGCTTACGACGTCAACGTGTCACCAGACAAGCGAAGCATTATGCTTCACGATCAGACAGCGCTTTTGGAGAGCCTGAAGAAGTCACTGACGGAGCTGTTTGAGCAGGCTGAACAGACCGTGCCAATGCAGTCTCAGCTTCCGAATCGCAAACTGCCCAGCTATAAGGCATTAACTTTGCCGCAGCGTGCATCAGCGCCAGAGGAAGATGGTTCGGAGGAGGGAGCGCCTGAAGAGGCTTCCGCCAGCGAGGACGACGAGATGGTGCCTGCTCCGAGACCGAATGCTCGTTCCACCACTGCTAGCAATGGCACTTCTGGAAGTCTCATCGAAAGGTGGGCTGGTCGAGAGTCAGAAACACGGCGAGAAGCTCCCGTAAAGCACTCGCGCACGGCAGTTCCAGCGGACAAGATGCAGCCTCCGACACCTTTAGAAGATGTGGAAACCCAAAGCGCTGCCGTCAAGTCGCCGGTCCCGTCTCCGTCACTAATACCAATGTCACAATTCGACGGGCGTGATCATGATGAGGATCGGAGCGTTGATCGTGACACGCCTAAACCACAGGCAAGTGAGCATGCTACGTTGCCGCTGGACACTTCACGCGAACCGGATCCCATGGGATCTCCGTACGATGACCTGTTCTCGCAAAGACCAGCACGATTATCAAGCGCAGACGGAAAGTCCAATGGCTCAGAGGACGAAGAAGTAACGCCAGAGCGTGCTGTCACCAACCAACCCAGCGCCATCGCTCCAATTTCGCATGACTCACGGTCTCAGCAGCCAGAGGAGCAATCCGAAATTGTCACGGTGAACCCAGCATCGCAAAAGGCTACACCTGGACCTGTCCAGAACGCTTTCGATCGCATGCGTCCGATGCGTACACCCCTTCAGACTGCCGAGATTACCATCGGCGACAAGACGACCACAACAGTCATCGGAAGCAGTCCTCCTTACAAGAAGAGACGGGTCCACCAACCTGCCAATTCGCAGTCGATCGCGCAGTTCGGCGGAAGTCCTTTGCTCGCTCGTGGGTTGCGTTCATTTGCTGCACCTGGGTCACAGCTTCATCTCGATAGCAGCGCCATGCCTCCACCACAGCGGCGGACAGCCCAGTCAACACAGGCGAGCGACGATGATGAAGACGGGCAGGACAAGGACGAAACAAGTGCGAACGCCGATGCAGCCCGCAAAGCTTCCGTGGGATTGGCAAAGATAGACACAATCAATAGTGACATTCCGACCTCAGACCCACTGGATGCTCTACTACCTTCGCCCGCGGATGAGGACGAACATGATGAGGACTACGTCGATGAAGAGGAGAAGAAGATCCGAGAAGACGAGAAGATAGCTCGCTTGATCCAAGAAGCTGAGATCGCCGCTGCCCAACCGAGCGAAGACAACCTCCGAAGAGCCTCGCAGGTACTCAAGAACGGTGGTAGTCGCAAAGAATCCACCCTACATCTGGCTCAGTACATGAGGACGTCCATCGATGATATCAGAGAACAGGTGCAGCGTTCGCAAGCCAATATGCGTTCGGGCCTTCTTGAAGCGGATCGCAGCGCCAATGGCAACGAGCACGGTATCATCAAGGGTGAGATCGATGATGCTGAAGCCGAGACCAAACTCTCCTTGTCTGTGAGCAAGACAGACTTTGAGCGGATGCAGATCATTGGGCAGTTCAACCTTGGCTTCATTCTGGCCGTGAGACCTTCGTCGACTGAGGAAGATGAGGACCAGCTCTTTATAATCGATCAGCATGCCGCCGACGAGAAGTACAACTACGAACGCTTGCAGCGCACTGTGACTCTGCAGAATCAGCGGCTTGTCCGACCAAAGCCTCTCGAGCTTACTGCTATCGAAGAGGAGATCATCCTGAACAACGCCGACGCGCTTAAAGCCAACGGCTTCGAGATCGAAACGACATCCAGCTTCACAGACGATGACGAGGGTGAGAGCGGCAGACGTTGCCGCCTTATCACTCTCCCGATCAGCGGCCAGAAGACTTTTGATCTTTCCGATCTAGAAGAGCTACTGCATCTGCTCTCCGAGGCTCCGGCCGGTAGCTCTGAGATCCCCAGGCCTAAGAAGGTGCAGAAGATGCTCGCCATGCGTGCTTGCCGGAGCAGTATCATGGTCGGCAAGAACCTGACTGTCAAGCAGATGGGGATGGTCGTGAAGCATATGGGAGAGATGGGGAAGCCGTGGAACTGCCCGCACGGCAGACCTACCATGAGACATCTGGCTGGCTTGGGGTCGTGGGAGGGGTGGCAGGAAGGAGATGCTGTGGATCCGGACGATGATGTGGGTGTTGATACGGAGTTTGCAAGTGGCAGACGAACCGACTGGAAGCGTTGGCTGGAGGAGCGTGGGTGAGAGAGTGCTCGGTTGTGCACTTTGATACCACTGATGTTTTATGGCTTACGAATGCTACGCAAGCAGAATCAGTAATAAGGGTTATCCTCCTCGAACTCAGCTTTCCAGGCTCCCTTTCGCTCTTTGGCCTTGACTTGCAGGCCTCGCAGCAATCCATATATCGTCTTGAGCGTGGGCGTAGCAACCCCGAGTCTCTCCGCCTCTCTCAGTGGTGCTCCGACAATGACTTCGACCTCCATATAATTCCCCTGGATCGCGTCAGCCTCCAACAGCGCAATGATCGGTTTGCGAACTTACCTTCGCCGCATCCTGCCCCATACTAGGCAAGAAGTCCTCATCCGGCGGATCCAGTCGAATCATTTGCATATCCAGACCCTCCGGAAGCGTAACACCAGCAGCTTTTGCTGTGGCGAAAATCTCAGCCATGATGGGCTTGATCAGGTCGTCCACGACGTGCCGCGTCATCCGCATCCGGACTACGCCCATGTTGAGGATTGCGCTGACCGAGTTGAAACTGGAATTGTACACTAGCTTTCGCCAGCGGGTGAACGAGACATCCTCATCGAACTGGCAATTGACTCTACCGCATCTGTTGTACAGCTCTACGAACCATTTCGCTGCGGCCACAGACTCCGATGAGGGTACTTTGAGCGATGGGAATGGTCCGACCTTCGAGGTGTCAGTGAACTCGTGGACGATGTGGCCTTTCTCAGGTTCGGAAGCGCTAATGATGGAGACGCCGGAGAGGACAGTGTTGTCCGGGAAGCGTTCGATAATTGGCAGTTCGATGTTCAGTCCGTTCTGCAGCAAAACGATCGCGGAAACTCCTGGTGTCACTGCTGCCTCGATCAGGTCCAGCACATTGGGTCTCACGTCGAGGATATTCTTGGTGGTCACCACGATGTAGTCGAATGGCGGGAGGTCTTCATCAGTCACATTTGGCACGGATTTCCTGATCTTCGAGGGTCGGAAGCCTTTGATGCCTTTGCCATGCTCGATTGAATCGATGGAGAAGCCTTCGCGTTCGACTACGTCGTAGTTTGAGCGGAGGACAGCGGTGACTTCTGCTCCGCCGCCAGACTCCAAGGCATAGCAGGCCATGGCTCCGACGCCGCCAGCGCCTACCAGAAGCACTCTGGCTTTGTCTGTGGATGCCATTCTCTGGCCAGGCGATGTTTGATCTGATAATGGCCGTCTCGACTCGTATGGTCACACAACTACAGTCAGTAGCTACATATCGAGTTTTAGCAAATGCCGATGTCAAAGTCGATGCATCTATACCCACTGTGCTGTAGAGTTAAATACCTGACGATATGTACCTTAGTGCCCTTGAAGAAGGTTTCCTGAACTCTGTTTGCGCTGCCGCCCTCGGCTCGTCACCGCGGGGCTGTCGCCGTCTGTATAGCCTACCTCCCATGCCATCTATAATCTTCTTTGGCCCCCACCTGTTTGATTATTCATTGTACTTATTCTCTAGAGAAGCTCGATTGATTCCCTGTACTGCGAACGCATATAATCTCAACAGCTCGACAACTCCGCAAAAATGCCAACCGGAAGATGTGCTTGTGGTGACTACACGTATGAGATAGCAGAGAAGCCTGGCTTCACAGTGTGTAGTGTACGAGAAGGACTGCAGATTCTCAAACTGACTTCCCCCAGGTAGTCTGCCATTGCATCCCGTGCCAGAAGTTCGCGGGTGCGAATGGGAGGTCAGTCACCCTACACGCCGACGGGAGATCGATCTCTTCTATTCGCCGTACTGACGCTTCTCCAGCACCAACGTGATGGTCTCGAAAGATCAAGTGCGTCCCAGAGAAGCCAAAACTCTTCTTATGCTAACGCTTCCCAGTACAAGCTGTTGGGCGGCCAGACAGAAAGTTGGACCAGAGGCGGCGATTCCGGCAAGGAAGTGACCAACTTCTACTGCTCGGGTTGCAAGAACTTGATGCGGGTGGAGGCCGGCTTTATGCCTGAGATGTACATCGTCAAGCCGGGGACGCTGGATGACATTGGGGTGTTGGGCGATGTTCCGGTGGTCCAGGAGATTTACACCAGGAACCGGCCGAATTGCTTCGAGGCGCTGGGCGACGTACCGCAGAAGAAGGGTGCGACTTAGTAGAGCAGTCATACCCTTGTACCTTGAACAGAGTGAGACCGGTTGATAGGATGGCGAATGGAATATGTCTCAGCCTGTCTTGACGCCTTGCGGTTGGCGTGTCATTCTCGAACGTCACGACATCTCACTGGATACTGTATTATGCTCCTGGTGATGTCAGGTATTGCGCTCCGTCTGCGAACCGAGCCATCGAGAACTATTCTCGAGGTAGGAGATCAATATTGTTATTTGAACGTGAGATCAGAAGAACCTATGTCAGCAGAGAATAGGCTTCTCGCTTATCTTACGCTAGCGTTAGCGCTTAGCCAGATCTACAGCATGTGCGACTTGAAGGCCATGACTCCAACCTCACTTCATCCTTCTGTTCTTACCAACCAGCAATACAAGAATTACAACATAAACCGGAGCTTGATTTTCACATGTGACATTTCGCGATGATGTCACCTTTCGTCGAGAAACGGATCCGGAACGCTCCTGGACCATGTGATCTTTGAAAGTCACCAGCTGCTGTCGCCACTGTGAACGGGAGGTGAAGGACATTCTCCGCTGCTCGAAGACAGTGCAGACGCTCGATAACGTCGCATACCACGCAAATTGTTCTGTTGACCACCGCAAAGATGGATCCAATGCGACTACTCAATCCCAAAGGGTATGCGAAAGCCCAGGAGAAGTCTAAGAAGAAGGCGCCGAACTATGGTATGTCTTCCCCTGCTCGAAGTCCTCGAGAAGAAGTTCACTGCCTCCTCAAAACGATATCACAACGGCTGAAGGACGGTGAGCCAGCCACGTGGTGCAATCTGGCCACTACTTAAGCTGGTCCACCACCCTCAATCCCCTGCTCCCCTCCACCAACCTCAACCTCCAACCTTTCACCTTTCCCACCCACCACCCACCTTCTACCACCACCATGACTTGATATAACAACATCCTCTATACACAAGACTCTACGAGTGGTCTTCCTTCTGCTCCCTACAATACCATTTATTTACGCCTCCACACAGGACCGACGCAGTCTCGCAAACCAGCTGCGGCTGCAGGAAGTGACGCAAAGCCGAGTCCAGTGCGATTCGATCCGAGAGCATTACTCAACCCGAAGGCCGCAGTAGGTCGCCTGAAGATGGCAGTGGACGGCGATCAAGCAGAACAGCAGGCTCTTGGGAGTGACATCCGTGACGACTCAAACCCCATCGATGCAGAAGATCAAGGACCTGGACTCTCTTCAATGCTCGAGAAGCAATACGGAGTCACCGAGCGGGAGTCTGCGCTAGTGTCACGGAAGCGAAACACACCTGCGGATGGCGAAGACGAAGATGAACAGCAGCGCAAGAAGTCCAAGGCGAAATTCGATGTTTCCACCGATGGGATTATATCAGATCACATGAAAGCTGAACGCGAGAAGACTGCAGCAGAGTCCGGACCTGCCAAGACCACGATCGATCTCACCAACGACGATGATGACCTCGTGGTCGTAAGCGAGAACCGAGTTGCAGACAGCCGCGAAGTGTGCTTGGGCAAGATTTCGGTCAAAGCAGGCGCCTTTCGGATCCCACGCGGTTCGAGGAACAGCAAGTCCGGCGTACCGAACGACTTCTGGCCGATGATGAGAGTCTTCTTCCGCAGGCCCAACGTGCAGACCCAGATCGTCGACCTCATCGACAGACCGCAAGAGAGCGCGACGGCCATTGCCTTCGCCAGACTGGATCACGCGGCGGCATCCGCCATTCTCCCCCTCATCGACGGTAGTCATGTCAACAAGTTACGACTAAAGATGTTTGTGGATCCCATACGGAAGCAGAACGGTGAATACGAAGGATGCAAGATCTCTCGACCGATCAACATCAGTATTATCCTTTTCGCACCAAGAGACAAGGCAACGCGTATCGGGGTGATGTTGTCTCAAAAGCAGCTCTTCCTCTCCGTACCACCAGCAGGTATGGTCGGCCGGATCGAGTATTGGAATCCGCAGGTCCCGGAAGAGTATGCGTCAAGCAACAAAGTGGCTCGGAAGCCTCAACGTAGCTCTGGTCCCAGCTACGGCGTCGCTCGGACAGAGGAACAGATGCGTCGTGAGGCCGAGGGCATTCTCGACGAGCTCTTCAACCTTGCAGACGAGATCCCAGAGATGGAGGCTGATGGCACAAAGATTACAACGCCGCTCATGACACATCAGAAGCAGGCGTTGCACTTCCTGACCACTCGAGAGCGCGCTGATGGTGAGTCGGCCGGTGTCTCGACCGGCGTCTCCGGAGGTGACTCTGCAGCTTCACTCTGGAAAAGCCGACAGGGCAACCGAGGCGAGGTGTGGTACAACGTGATCACCAACCATGAGCTTCGCGAGAAGCCACCTCCAGTGCGCGGCGGCATCTTGGCAGACATGATGGGTCTTGGAAAGACGCTGAGCATTCTGGCCTTGCTCACATCGACCATGGACGAAGCTGCTCGATTTGGCGGCGAAACCCCTTCAGCTGATCTTGAGGATATCGTACGCAATTCCAAGGCGACGCTTATCATCTGCCCGAAGTCCGTCCTTTCCAACTGGCAGGAGCAGGTCAAGCAGCACACGAAGAAGCGTCTGCTACAGATCTACTGTTACCACGGCCCAGCACGTACTCAGGATTTCGACGAACTTGCGAATTACGACATCGTTCTCACCTCGTACAGCACAGCATCGTCCGAGTTCAGCGACCCGGCGAAGAGGCGCAATGCTCTGGGGTCGATCCAGTGGTTCCGAATCGTTCTTGATGAGGCCCATCAGATCAGGACTCAAAACACCCAATTCTTTCAATCGTGCCGTGCACTGGCAGCTCAGAGACGCTGGGCCTTGACCGGCACGCCGTTGCAGAACAGCGTCAGCGACATTGGCTCGCTCGTCAGATTCCTCCGCTTGAAGCCGTTCGACGATGGCACCAGCTTTGCGCAGCACATCTCGGGTCCCATCAAGCGAGGGGGCAACAAAGACGCAGTGGGCCATCTGCAAATGATCATCCACGGCATCACTCTGCGTCGCACGAAAGAGCGGATCGACTTACCTGAGCGCAGAGAAGACATTGTGCGTCTCGATTTCACGGAAGCAGAAGCTATCGACGTTCATCTGTTTTCCCGGACTGCCAACAGGGACATTAGGATCATGTCGAAGAGTCGTTTCCGCGGGAAGTCATACGCTCACATGCTGAAGTCTATCGGTCGACTTCGCGCCTATTGTGCTCATGGGCGGGAAATGCTTCACGAGGACGACATGAAGGAGCTCGAGGGGCTCACTGCCAGCACCGCCATCGATCTTGGAGATGAGCCAGACGAGGAGAACAAGGAGGACGGCACGTTCATCGCAGAGCGCCATGCTTATGAGACACTGCACATGATGACCGAGAGCGAGACTGATACTTGCACCAAGTGTGGTCGCAAAGTCTGTGATGCAAAGGACGACCCTGAAGCGAATCCGGCCTCCAATGAGGAGTCTTCCGACGAGGACGACTCTTCCGACGAGGGAGATGCTCGCGATGTCCTTGGCTATCTGACGCCATGCTATCACCTGATCTGTCCCTCGTGCAAGGACGACCATGTCGCGCTCACCCTCCCCAAGCTTCGCGTCGACCACTACCACCATTGTCCTCACTGCGAGCAGTATGTTCGGTTCGGCCTTTTCGAGCTTCGTCGTTCTGCACTCAAAGCTATGCTTGACTCTCGCCGCAAGCTGAGCAAGAGGAAGGGCAAGGCTCAATGGGACGAATCGAACTACTCTGGACCTTCAACCAAAGTCAAAGCACTCCTCGACGATCTCAGGAAGAACGAGGCAGAGACCGCTAGCTTGGGCATTGACGAGCCGCCCATCCGCTCCGTCATCTTCTCCGGCTGGACCACGTACCTTGACTTGATCGAGGTCGCTCTCGACGACGCAAACATCGGCTACGCTCGCCTCGATGGTAGCATGGGCCTCAAAGCCCGTGCCTCGGTCATCGAGACATTCAAGGCGGACCCAGCTGTCACCGTGTTGCTCGTCTCGATCAAGGCTGGTGGCCAAGGTCTGAACTTCACCGCCGCCTCGCGCGTCTACATGATGGAGCCGCAGTTCAACCCCGGTGTCGAGCAGCAGGCCATCGACCGCGTGCATCGCATGGGTCAGAAGCGGCCGGTGGAGATCAAGCGCTACATCATGCGTACGAGTGTGGAGGAAGGGATCTTGAGGCTGCAAGAGAAAAAGAATAATTTGGCGAAGGTGAGTCTCGACAAGAAGAAGGTGGGGACCAGTGGTGGGGACATGGTGGATATTCTGCAGAGCATTGGGCAGGATGATGGGAAGTTGGGACTTCGTGGGTGAGACTGCAGCGTGGGACGCCGTGTCTCATGGCACACTCTACCACGACATGGAGGACGGGCGCTGCTAAGGCCTCATCTGATGACCTACTCGACGACAGCCGACGACAGAGGTGCTCGTCGACACTTGAGCGCTCTGAAGGCAGGTGGTGATACTGGCAGCAGCGTGGGTTGGTCCGAGGTCTTGGGCGCAGCACCAAAGACCGGATCCTTTCTACCTTAGCTAGCTCGATGAGTTCGCCAGACTAGTACAATGAAGCTTGAAAAACATCCTCTCATCCATTTCTGACGCGCTCGAAAATTGTGCGATCATAAAGTACAGTTAAGAGGCTTCTCCTCGAAGACCAACGAGCATATCTATGCTGACCACCCTCAGATCGACCTCCATTCACCTGTTGGCACAGGAAGACCCACACAACCGCCATAACACCGAACACATCCGCCCATAACCCCTTGCTACCACAGTAACAGCCTAAATCTCATGCCTCATAAACCCCTCCCCACCCTCCCGATACGGCCCCTCACTCCCCCTCTCCGCGCCCTCCCCCTCTACCATCCCCATCTTCTCTCCCATCCCAACATCCAGCCTCATCCTCCCCAACTGCCCCTCCACCTCCCGCACCCTCTTCCGAAAAGCCAATCGATCCGTGAATAGTCGTTGTCGCATCCGCTCCACTTCCCTGCGCTCGGCCTGCAGCATCGCTTCCATCTCGCTGAACTGCTGCATCTTCAGCTCCAGCTTTGTCAACTCGAGGTTCACGGCCGCGGAGACTTGGGCGGTGAGTTGGCGCTCGGTGTGGGAGGCTAGGGCGGCGGCGCGGGCGGCGGTGAGGGAGAGTGCGGTTGTGGGGAGGTCATGGGACTGTTTTGGGGGCGAGCGGGTGGCGAGTGAGGTGGTGTCGTCTACATCCATTGATTCTGCGCGAGACTCGTTCTTAACGGCTTCGCCGCCTTCGGCTGGTGCTGAGGCAGCGTCGGCAGACTTCTCAGCGCCGGGAGTGGCTTCGCGTTCGATCTGCGAGCGGAGCGTCTTGCGCATCTCGTCTACGCTCTTGCCGGCGGCTTTGGCGGTAGTGGCTGGGTCGGCGAGGCCGGCGAGGAAGCCCATGACGCTGAGGACGGGGTTGTCGAACTGGTTGACGGGCAGACGACCGCCGGAGAGGTAGGAGAGGTCTTGGGCGATGGATGCTGAGGCACCGTTGGCGGAGGGTGCTTCGTCGACGTAGCGGTCCTCTATCTCGAGCTGCAGGAATTTGAGCACGCACTCTTCGCGGGTGCGGGAGCCGACGTGGTCGGAGACGGACTCCCAGTTGTCGTCGAACATTTCGAGACCTTCCAGGAGGAGCAGGAGTTCCGAGTCGGACCATGGTGAGTCCTTGTCGCCTATGCTGCGATAATTCTCGTTCTCCAGCTTTGTGTAATCGGCGGCTGTGGTTGAGGAGGGGAATCGTGCTTCTTGGAAGCACAAGCTGCATAGATCGTATCGGTGGTCCTTTGTTGGCTTGGGAGTTGTGGCGCTGGAGGGAGGGTTCTTCGAGCAATGGTACCGCACCCTCGTGCAGTCCTTGCCACACGAGTAGCAGAAGTACTGCTTGCCATCCTGCTTGAGGCTGTCTTCCAGACTCTTACCTGCCTCGCCATTTGCATCTCCAGTGTCCGGTTTCGCGGGGGTGACATCCCTGCCCTTGTCGTCGTAGATGTTCCTCCGAACTTCTAAGTTCAGATCTGCTTTGCCGCCTGCAGCTAGGCGCTCTGTGCCCGCGTGTGGCTTTCCAGGAGTGACTGTGCTGTTAGGTGCAGGTTGGAGTGGTTGTAGTCCTCGAGGTGTGTCAGCAGTAATGCGGAAGTGGCCTGTGAAGGGTGGACCGATATTTGACGGGCGCGTGTCTGGGTCAATCTGTTTTCATGTCAGCGAAAGGCCCGATTGAGCATCGATGTTTCGTCTTCTTACCTGGTAGTTGATCAAGCCCCACTGCTCAAGGAAAGAATGCACACGCATAATGGCGCACACGTCGCCTGCCAGGTTCCTCCGACATGCTGTCACAGTCAGGTACTCAGCCGGATTTAGACGATATGTGTTGACCATGAAGTCGCGGTAGTCCTTGTATACTGCAGGCGTCTTGCTGCGATTCCGGCTGTTGAAGAACTCTGGTAGCGCCTTGCGCTCGAGGCTGTGGATTTGGTGCATGTCAAACCACGCGCTGTACGAAGGAAGGATGATGGCATGGTTCTGTTCGATCAGGTGCGCCCGCGCCGACTGCTCTACCGCTGCTTTTGTGATGGCCGGCGCGGCCTCTGTCGCTCCCACGGCCTCGCTCCCGTCCTTGGTGTCTGCCATGTCCGCATCGTCGCCAGCATCCTCGGCATTCTCGGGTCTGGGCGCTTCGGGTGCGTCGATGGGGTTGTCTGATATCGGCGCATTCGAGGCATCTGCTTCCTCGGGCTGCTGCTCCTTGACCGTCGCATCGTCTGTGCCTTCTGCCATGGAGGTGTCTCGGTCTTGCGATTCTTGGTTCTGCGCCTCCACCTCCTCGTTCTCCGCCTGGATCATCTCATCCGACGCCTGACCCGGCGCCTGCTTGTCCTCGTCCGCGAAGCCCTCCATCTTGCTGTCCTTGCTCCTTCGTTTTCAACAGCCTCCTGACGCGCGCGCACCTGTTCGCGCTACCTTCTTTCCAGCCGGCCCCTCCTTCGAGTTTTGTGTATTTTGTTTGGTGGTATACGCCGCGCTGTGATCAGTCTGGGGAGTATTGGCTTCCACTTCGATGCGCATTGAGCGTCGGACGTGTCGCAAGCCCGCGGCCTCCAACTTCAATCACGCTAGCAACGGATGGACCCGCTCAGGCATCTTCGCATCTCTGCCTTGCTCGGCTCTGTATAGCCGACATCGCATCTCAATGTCGACATCCGACTGACGACCTTCCCTTCCTTCTCCCATCTGGCCACAGTCCACCCGCCAGCATGACCCCTCCCCTTCGCAATGGCCTGCTCCGGCAGGCGAGCACCTGCCTGCGCCAACAGCGAACCACCCCCGTTCTCCGCGCCTCCCGCAATGCCACCCTCCAACGGTTACTGTCCACACTGGCCATCCTCGAACAACGCGAAGGCAAGCTGAACATGTCCTCCCTGGCCTCCATATCCGCCGCCCAAAAGCTCTCCGGCCCCATCCACGGCTTCGTTGCCGGCTCCAACGTCAAAGCCGTCGCCGAGGAAGCCTCCAAAGTCGAGGGTCTCGAGAAGGTCATCTACGTCGAGAATGGCGACTACGACCGCGGCCTGCCCGAGAACTACGCCCCTCTCCTGGTTGAGAACATTAAGAAAGGCGGCTACACACATGTCTTCGCCGGCCACTCCGCCTTTGGCAAGAACCTCATGCCCCGCGTCTCCGCCCTCCTCGACGTCCAGCAGATCTCCGACATTACATCGATCGAAAGCGAGGATACTTTCATTCGGCCCATCTATGCCGGCAATGCCTTACTCACGGTACAATCGGAGGACTCGCCCAAGCTGATTACGATCCGCGGCACAGCCTTCCCAGCCGGCGCAGCAGAGGGCGGCTCTGCCAGCATCGAGGAAGGAACTGACCCCAAGGCCTCTTGTCCCACCGAATGGATCAGCGAAGACCTGGCCAAATCAGATCGTCCAGACCTTGCGACGGCGGAGAAGGTCGTCTCGGGCGGTCGGGGGTTGAAGAGCAAAGAGGAGTTTGACCGACTCATGCCTCCGTTGGCAGACGCATTAGGCGCAGCGATCGGAGCGTCGCGGGCAGCTGTGGACTCTGGCTTCGCGGACAACTCGCTTCAGGTTGGGCAGACCGGGAAGAACGTGGCACCGCAACTGTATCTATGCGCTGGGATCTCAGGAGCGATCCAGCATCTGGCGGGAATGAAGGATAGCAAGGTCATCGCGGCGATCAACAAAGACGAAGATGCACCAATCTTCCAGGTTGCGGACGTAGGGCTGGTGGGAGATCTGTTTGAAAAGGTGCCAGAGTTGACGGAGAAGCTGAACGCGGCGAAGTGATAAGTGCATTGTCATATGGGGGGCCGTTGGGACAGGTAGGGCTATGAAACTGTATATACCAATTGACTGATACGATCTTGCTACATCCACGGACCGACGATGATTTCAAGAGCCCCACCGAGTTCTTCCCAGCACGACCTTTCACACTGCAGCATCACAGACTTCCACCCCCTTCCCCATGCCCACCGGCACAAACCCCGGCACCGTCTTTACAACCAATACATATCATTTTAGAGATACCTCTTTCAACCGAGCAGCCAGCACCGAGCAGGCCTAGACAACGGTTCCCTCCTCCGTCCTCAAGCACACCACGCCGTGCTCCGTGCCGCGGTGGTGGACCTTCCCCATATCGCAGATTTGCAGTCTGCGATCTCGTTTGAGTCCCCTTACGGGGTTCGAACGCTAGCACAGTAGGTGCTGGATAAGGTGAGTATATGGGGCTAGGATTCCACCACCGTATCAAGGGAGCACGGGGTTCGAACGCTAGCACAGTAGGTGCTAGATAAGGTGAGTATATGGGGGTTTGGGTTCCACCACCGCTCCTGGGAGCACGGCTGAAGCCGCAATGCGGCGCCATGAACATGTAATTGGCATGTTGAAATAGCTTGGGAAGACAGGGCTGCCAAGGACACCCTGGGATACACACAGAAAAACACCAGAAGTAACATTGTTCTTCTGCTCCTCCTTAGGGAAGTCTTCTTTTGCTCTTCTGAATTCCTGTTTTCTCTTTCTACTCCCTTCTTCGTCGTTGTTGAGGGACGTGCTGGTGATGGGATTCTTCTCTTCCTTCTTTTGCTGTTCTGATTTAGTGCGGTGTTTCTTCTTCCTGGTATACTTGCAAAGAAAGGAGTGGGTGAAATGGCTAACGATATGTTCTGCTCTTTTGCAACACAGGAGTAGATAGAGTGAGGATTACATGGCTTGACATTCAATACGTATGCTCTTACCTGCGCGAAGCGGAGCCATGCTGCAACCTGGAGAACCTTCATGAGGAGGCGTTCGCCTTTCAGTCTTGCCATTGCCACTCCTTCGCCACGATACCGGCGCTGCAACCGTGAGACGTCCGTCCTTCGACGCTTCTATCGAAGATGGTTTGCTGAGCATCATCGTTCACCGCCCAATGGTCCTTATCATAAGTTCCTGAATTCGTCCTCATATACTACCCTTCTTTTCAGTAGCCTCTTCATCAGCAGCCGGCCCTGCTTCACCAGACCCAGCGGGTCCAGTGTCCTTCTCCTTCGACAGCTCACTAACGGTCGTCACCTTCGGCCTCTGATCGCCTCCCTGCTCTGATCCCGAGCTTGACCTCCAACCACTCTTCCTCTTCTCGCTCGCCCACGCGCCCCAGGAGCTGAGATATGCTCCCGCTCGTTGACTTGCCGCGGCCACGGACGCTTGCGCCTGCTGCATGTCTGGCTTGTTGAACTTGGCGGTCCCAGCTGGCGACTTCTCTGAAACGGGCGGTGCTGACCCAGCAGCAGCTTTCGCCTCTTCGGATCGTTTGCGCTGGGCTTCGCGCATGACTTCGATGTCCGCCCAGACTTTGTTGAAGGCGGACGTGACCTGTGTTCGGCCGTCCGCTAAGCGTTTGTTGACCGTCTCCTTCGTTTGGCTGAAGCGCTCGTCCAAGTGTAGCTCCGCGACTTGACTCGCCAGCCGCCTCTGAACATCTTCAATCGTCAATCCGCCCGCACAAGGATGCCGCGGCTCCACGACATCGAAGAGATGACTCTCGGTCGTCCTCTGCCAAAGCTTGAAGTTCTCTGTGTTCTGCCATGCGTCGAGATAATGCGTGGAGAACTCCATGGCAGGATCTCCTTCAACATTTGCGAGGAGAGCCTTTCGGTCGCCCTCGCTGTGGGAGTCGAGGTAAAAGTGGTACTTCATGGAGGATAGCATGGCGAGCAGATACTCTTCGAACTGCAGGCGAATGAAATCCTCGCTTCCAGCGTAGCCGTAGGTCGTGGGTCTGGTCGGATCAGCGTCGTCCCAGGTGTCGTTGACTGCTTGCGTGATGAAGTCGATCCATCGCCTATCCGCAGTGGAGAGGGCGAGCGCAGATCGCAGAGCCATGGATATGACAGTCACACTGTTGTCGTCGAGGTTCACCAGGAGGTCGCAATATCGGTCTCGTTGCTGCAACAGCAATGTATTCGTGCTGCCAACAATGTAGCTCTTCGTGCCCAAGTCTGTCAAAGTATCGAGCTGCTGCAAAGGGGTGTACGGGCCGAAGATGCTTCCCCTCCCGAACAATTGCAGCGGTATGCCCATGAACCTGAGCATGGACGCACGATCGCTCGTCCGGACAGAATCAGGCTTCCTCACCGTCTCAGCATAGCGATCCATCTGCGGGTCCGCGCAGTCTTGCAGACTCCGCACCAGCCCAGGTATGAGCGATAGCAACGAGAACTGTATCTCGCACACCCTCTCGCAATGCGACCCAAAGAACAGCATCTTCGGCTGCAACAGCATCGCCTTCAACAACACCAACGTCTGCCACTTGAAAGTATGCACCAGCTCCCTCAGACTCAACCCAAACAGCTGATCCCTCTCATCCTCATGCCCAACATCATCCTTCACTAAACTCTCCTGGAACCTCTACACCACGCAATCAGCACACAGCCTCTCCCACCCCAGAAGCCAGACCAAAACACTAACCTACCTCCAAAATCTCCACATCCCTAAAATCCCTCTGCGCGAACCACGCCCTCGTCACCGCGCTCAACTTCGCTCTGATCCCACTAAAGTCCTGCGGTTTATCCGTAATAGCCACCACAGCCTTCTGCACCGCACTCCGCGTCACCTCCTCGCTCCGGTACAGCAGCTCCGCGCTGTCGATCTGGTGCATACAGCTGATCCCGAATACGGACGTGGGCTCGACGTCCTCGCCCGCGCGGCCCTTGTAGACGAGGCTGAAGTAGGAGAACTCTTCCGCGGACTGGTGGGCCCCGTCCGGCAGGGCCATGTAGGGGATCAGGTGCCAGTCGTTCTCGCTCGTGGGGTCCGGGGTGGAGGCGCCGAACCATTGTTGGATTTCCGGGCCGCGGGCGTGATGGAAGTCGACGATGCAGACGAGGGGTTCGAACATGGTGGTGGTGGTGGTGGTGGGTGGAGGCTGTCAACTTTCGGTGGAGGACTTCATGCTGCTAGTAGGTCCAGCTGGACAGGATGACGGAGGTATACTGGTGCTGGTGGCTGCAGAGCTTACGGTACAACGCACGAGGTATGCGGTGTAATGTCGATCGCGGTAGGGCTGACGTTGGGTCAAGCTTTGGAGAGAGCTGGGATAACGCAAATCGAAACCACATTCACCTGCTGCCTCGCTGGAAACACGCCTACTGGTACGAATTGCGGATAGTATGTGTCTGGAAATTTGAATAGAGTACCAAAACTTAAGTGATTGCAAGGCGGACGTCTGGTCATTGGAAGCTAGTACGATGCCTATGGCGCCCAAAGGCTCACCATACCAAGCAAGTGGCCAAGTAGTCGTGATGATAAGTATATACCTTCCAAGAACGAATCATTGTTCAATGCCAGTCATCATCAGCTGCTCCGTGTATACCCACCGCTATCTTATCAATTCGCCCGAAAGCATCTCATTTGAGGCGAGTAACGCTGGAAGGGGTTTCAACAGCGTCCTGTCTCTCTCCGTGTGAACTCCTGAGCACCTCTGTACGTAACCTCATGACCTCGCTGCGTCTCATGCGACAATGGGATCCCCGTTCTCAGCCATTTCGTTTGCGTTCGAGTCGACGTTGTGGTAGTCGAGGATCTCGGAGTACCTGTAGCAAGCGCGGTCAGCTTGGGAACGCTCACGATGTTTGAGGGAGAGCAACATACATCATGATCTTCCATGTGTCGACTGGCAGGTCTGCGTCATTGAACGACCAGTCGAACTTCTCCTCGGCCTCTGGCTCGTCAGTCGGATCGTGGTAAGGCGAGAGGTACGGGTCGGCCAGCGCTTCGCCAGCCTTGACACGTTTCCGCGGGTCGAAGACAAGCATTCGCTCGAGGAGCTCGATGGCTTGCGGGTCGGCGTTCTTGAACTTGTTCTTCAACGGCTGCCGCTCGCGCTTGGGAAGGGACTGCACGAATCGCAGGGTGTTCTCGCTGCAAATGGTGGAGATAACATCATCTGGCGGAGTGCCGAGCAACTCGGTGATGATCGAGAACTGGTTGACGTGGTCCTTGCCCGGGAAAAGTGGCTTGCCCTCGAGCATCTCCGCGAAGATACATCCCGCGCTCCATATGTCCACCTCCACGTCGTACTTTTGCCATGTGAGCATAATCTCGGGAGCCCTGTAGTATCGCGTGGAGACGTAGCCGGTCATCTGTGGGTCTTGTATACGGGCGAGGCCGAAGTCGCAGATCTTCAAGTCGCAGTTTTCGTTGACGAGGATGTTCGAGGGCTTGAGGTCTCGGTGGACGACACCGGCAGAGTGGACGTATTTGAGGCCGCGCTGCGAATGTCAGTAAATAGCCAAGTCGAAGTGGTACGGCTGCCAGGCTTACCAGGATCTGGTAGAGGAAGTACTGGATGAACTGTTTCTCAAGAGGTCGCGAGGTGAGAAGTCGGTGTAGATCGGTCCCGAGCAGCTCGGTCACTGTAGGGTGTCAATGGAAAGACCGACAGGCTGGATACTGGAGCACACTGACCAACATACATGTCCTCCAGGGGCGAGATGAAGATGTCGCTCAAGCTAATGACCTGCGCTGTGTTTCAGCACCACACGTTGTGTTTGTTTCCTGCGGATGCGCGGTCTTACGTTCTCGTGCTTGAGATGCTTCAGCAGCTTGAGTTCGCGATACGTGCGCTTCGAGAGGACCGGCGTGCTGAAAGGCTTCATAATCTTCTTGACGGCCACCGCTTGCGATGTGAGCTGATCCTTCGCCGAACTGATTCGAGGTCAGAACCATGTTTCTTGTGTTTCGAGGACGTGCCCTGCTTACCAGACGAGCCCGAAGGCTCCCATACCGACCGGCTGCAGGTCGGTATATCTAGCAGCAATCAGTATGTCTCTTCCCACCGCATCCGGTCTTGCCCCTCCACGGTGCGTACCTGCTCGTGATCTCGAAGGTCGTGCCAAAGATCTGAGCCCGCACGAATTCCGCCATCTTGAAGGGTGCAGTGCGGCGGTCAGGTCGGTCGGAGTGATGTGTGTTGTTGTGAGGTGGAAGATGGTTCTCAGGGTATGGTTGGTGGTGCGCCAGCAGACGTTGGTGGGGCGCCTTCCAAGTCTAACGACGGGAGGTTCTAACGAGGGTGGCTAGATTTAGTCACGGCCCATCTGAGAATTTGACACTCGAATGCTTTGCGACTCACGAACCGCAGATCTGGCTCAACCAACTCAACTCAAACACCAATAGGACCAGAGAACAAGATACGGCGATCGTAACGCAGTTCCTTTGGAGCAATTGCGACGTCTATGCGTGACAGGAGAAGCCTTCCACTAATTAGTCCAATCGCTTCTAAAACCTCACTTCTTGCCAGCATGTCTTGCAGCGAGCCTCTGCACCAACGCTATCGAGCTGTCCTGTTCATGTGCGCATCCACCCACTCCCATGACCATCGTCTCCCTTCTCGATCTCTTCCTTCGCGCGACCCTCGAACAGACCGAACACGCTCTTCCTGCCAGGCTTCTGGACCCGGCTCTGCGACCTGTCCAAGGCCATCTGCTTGTTTCCCTTCTCATGCTGGTGCGCATCAACCGCGGTCTGCATTCGCAGGCGGACAGGAAGCTTCTTGTACTTCCTACGAGTGCTGATGCTCTTCGCCTCCTCCTCATTCATGCCGCCATACTTCTTCCACCCTGCCTCGGTGTCCGCCGCCTTCTGCTCCTCCGTCGTGGGCTCTGGCAGCGGGGCTGCCACGGTCGGCATTGGAGTAGCGGACGGCATTGGAGCAGGTGTCAGAGCAGGGGCCGGTGAGCTTGGAGACTCTGAGCTTGAAGACACTGGTGAAGGCGGTCAGCATAAATGATATGTTCGTGAAGACTATGGCAGCAGGCTGACCCTTGTGCAGACCGCATTCCACGCACGTCTTGTGGATGAAATCATGCCATTCCACGACACGCTTGCTGACGCCCTTGTCGCCCTCCGAAGCCTTTTCGTCTGCCAAAGCCTTATCGATCCAGGTACAGGCCAACTCGAGGTAGGTGTCACTGTCGTGAGGACCCTTCATGCCCGCTGTCGCGCACGCCATGTAGAAGCACAGTCGCGCAGACACGTATGGCGGAAAGACGTCTTCGCGCCCAGTGGCAAAATAAACCTCGTCCTGTCGTGAAAAGAAGGCTACACAGCACTCTTCGACCGCATCATAGTCCTTTGCTTTGGACGGGGCACCGATCTCGGCCAGGATAGCTTTCAACTCAACTGGGACTGTCAGTGTACGGCGTACCGCGGCGCATGGCACCAGAGATGGTACTGACCTGCGTCTTTGCCATCCCACATCTGCACGCGATCTAGCAGAGACATCTCCTCCCCTAGAGTCTCGTCGGAGCCGATAGAGTCGAACCCCTCGTCGGACCCAACAACCGTGGACCAGTCATCTTCGTCTTGTTCCATGTCCTCTTCCCACGCAACCATATCTGGGACTTCCGCGGCGGTGTTGGTGTCGTGCGCCATGATACAGGCCACTTGGTAAGTTGAGAACGACTCAAGGATTCAGGCGGCAGAGGTACAAGAAGAAGAGGTAGGAGTTTTGGCAAACGAGCTCAGGAGGCTACCTGCATGTGAAGACGCGCTAGCCTGAAACATGACGTCTTTCCTATTCACCGTCGATCCGCCACGCAAGGTAAACAGAAGATCCTGCCACATTTTCACCACCTTCCGCTTTCGAACCTCAACCTCTCTGTTGCCACCCAACACCAGCAAGCTATCACTGCACACTGGCGCATCAACCACAAGCTTGCATCACAACACTCTCTCTCCCCAGCGCAGCCGCAGTTCACCAGCATGGGACCTAAGAAGCGGAACAAAGGTGGGGGCGAGGCAAAGAAGCGTACGTCAAACTGATGGGTGGAAGGCTCCTCCAAGATGCGCGCATGTTGCATAGACTGCGCGGCGCTCTAGGACCTTCCCATCTTTCATCCGACTGTCGAGACATCTGCTGACCCTTTCTTTCCGTAATTTAGGTGCTGAGGATGAGCAGCCGAAGAACAAAGACGGCGAATCCAGCGGGACCGACGAGCACTCCTCTTCCGGACAACCAGCAAAAAAGAAGCAACGCCTGTGCACACCTAGAGACTTTGAGCCTCCTGCTGAGGCGGACGATGACGAGGACGAGGTCGTCGCGACGGAAGCTCCAGCCAAGGGAAAGCGCAAAGCGGAGACTGACGAACAGAAAGAGGCAAGGAACAAGAGTGATCGGGAGCGACGTGCCAGGAACAAGGCCGCGGGGATTCAAGGACCGAAGCAAAAGCGCACACTGACTGAAGCACAGAGGGAGGCAAAGAGGAAGAATGACAAGAGCAGAAAGGCCGCGTGGACTCCGGAACAGAGAGAGGCATCGAATAAGGCGAGGCGGGAGTGGGAGCAGAAGAGAAAGAAAGCGCGGACTCCGGAACAGAGGGAGGCAGAGAGACAGGCGAAGCGGAAGGGGGAGCAGGAGAGAAAGGCGAAGCGGAAGGGGGAGCAGGAGAGAAAGGCGAAGCGGAAGGGGGAGCAGGAGAGAAAGAAAGCGCAGACTCCGGAGCAGAGGGAGGCCACCAACAAGTCGCGGCAGGAGCAGGAGCAGAAGAGAAGGAAAATGCGGACTCCGGAACAGAGGGAGGCAGAGAATAAGGCGAGGCGGGAGTACGAGCAGAAGATAAGGAATGCGCAGACTCCGGAACAGAGGGAGGCCCAAAACGAGAAAAGGCGCCTGAGGGGTAATCGATCCAAGAGGATGCAGAGCGGTGTTTCGAAGAAGCAGATCGATTGCCCTCCGTGCAAGCAGAACAAGTCTCCCTGCGACGACCGGCGTCCTTGCTGTTCTGCCTGTATCGAGAGATGTACTGGACAGGCAGCTCCCGGCATGGCACCCCCTCGACTGACGCATGACGACAGATGCGACATCTGCATGAGCTCTGAGAATGTATAGGCCGACCAGGATCTTTGCGAGTACTGTGAGACGCGGTCACGACTGGGCACGCAACGTCAGATCACTCAGTCGAATGCTGATCTCCGTCAAGGCGACTTGCGGTCGCATGTCGAGCTTGTCGACCTTGCGATCTGGAGCTGGCACATTCTCCATCCCCGCGATCCGGCTCTTGACGATACGCAGCCGGACGAATATGGCGGGTACTATTGGTTCTGGCACAAGGAACAACTGATAGCAGCACTCAAGTCTCGTGGTATCCCGTCGCGCGGACCTGTCGATGAGATGCGCAGGTTTCTTCAGCTGGAGGATGCTCTCAATGGCTTGCTGCCACGACCAACGCCCAGCAGCGCTTCCAAGTTCCACGCCATGTCATCCGTCAACCTGATGGCTGAGGCAGAACGCCTGGGGTACTGGAAGGGGAAGAATCGTGCGACAGATCAATATGGACAAGACAAGGAAGGTGAGGGGGCGAGGCCTGATCGGAAGTCTCGTACCAGTGAGGATTTAATCGCGTTTCTTCTCAACAAGGCTGGTCCTGCCTCTCAGCTGGAGAAGATCATGCAAGATGAACAGCTCGGTGACGAGGAGTCGGACGAGAGCTCCCAGGAGTCGTTCGAGGCTGACACTGCAGTAACACGGCAGTCATTCAACGGTGGTGTGGTTGGTAGTCGGGCGGCACTCGGGAGCCTCGCCGACACCGTTTGGCGGCACAACTTTCCACAGTGGACTTCGTCTGTTGGCCTGCTGTGTGGCCCGAATGCGCTGGCAATCTCGATACAACACCAACTGCTGACCCTCGGCCTGGGACTTCACCGATTCACTGGGCACGAACTCATGCGGATGATCATCCCGGAATACGGCCTTCCCGGTTCCACTCTCGAGAACGGCGACGTCACACATGATCACCTCAGCGAGGAGTTCATTGCGTGGTTCAACGAGGAGCACGCAGACAAATTCAGCCAAGACGAGGAAGGCGCCGACGAGGCTCTGGGACAGCAATTGTCAGAAGTCACCAGAGTGGCTGATCTTGACTACCAGCAGCTTGTCGCGATTCTGGAAGTGGCGTTCCGCAACGGCCGCTTGCCTGTTCGACTTGGTCTGGGTGTTGAGAGCGCGTATGTAGATGAGGATGGTGAGCTTCATCCAGCCCTCGCACGCATTATGTGGCAGCCAGACGGCAACTCACCCATCATCTGGATCCACAACAACAGAGCTCTCAGTCGCGATGAATACAATCACTGGGAGGGACTTGGTGAAGGCACTGGGTCGAGGTTCGAGACAGCTTTCGAGTGGGGATTGCTGGTACCTGATGCGGCCGCACTGGTGAAAGCACGTCAGTCCTGGCGCAACGATGCCATGCAAAGCATTACCGACAGAGTGCGCTCGATAGCGGATCGCCATCGCAATGGGCTGTCGAAACGCTTGAACAAACTGAGAAAGTTCTGTACGCCGTGTCGCGATGGGGATCGCCAGCAGTGCAAGCAAGTCCAAGACCAGGAGCATTGCGAGAATTGCGCGGACGATCCAGACGACTGTGACATGCCGGAGGATACGATGAAGCTCAATTGGAAAGCGGCGAGTGAGCTTACCGCAGAAGATCAACGACTTCGTGAGAAAGTGCTTGCCAGCGAAGAAGAACTCGAGATGTACAGGCTAGCCCGGACGTACAAACCAACACTGCGTCCGGAAGGAGAGCACTGGCTGATTCTTGGCTCTGCACGCTATTCCAACGGGCCCGGGGATCCAACAATTGCTCAACAGGTGCAGACTGTCATCAACTCGGTGCATCAGTACGTCAACGTCGCCAACAACCCTCAAGATCACGGTTCGCCGCAAGTCGCTGGGCACCTTGCTGGTCTTCCTACACAGCGATATTACCAGGTCATCTCTCGGCATGGCACCCGCCCAGTGCCCACTCAACTCGGCAACCTGGACGACCCAGTCCTCAGAGGCTTCGTCCGTTTCATCCACCAGCTCCTCGACCCGAACAACGTCAACAACTTGCCGGTGGAGATTCATTTCGTGATGTTCGGCCTCGCTGGATTTTCGGTGGGAATAGAGGGATGGGGTGACAGGACGCGCGGCTTCTTCAAGATGCTGCTTGATGCAGACCAAGCGAACGGCACCAACGTAGCAGACAGCGTCTACCTGGTTTTCCTTGCGGAGCCTCACGTCGTGGACGGCATCGCTCCTCACTGCCTGGATCTGGAGGACGCTGTGAACTATCCCAGGCCGGTTGGACCGCCGTCGCCATACTGGTACAGGCCGCACCATCCCGATCGCAACAAGCCTTTGGAGAAGGTCCGGCTGAGGGATGTGGTCGACAGAGCACAACAGCTGCGTGCGCAAGGTCACCAGAACCAGGTGACGGGAATCAACAACCCGCCGCCGCCTTATCCGGTTCCCAACGTCAACGTCGACCAGCTGGACAGACTTATCAGGGACATGCAGTCGGAGTATGAGTGGCGCAGCGGCCAACTCGCCCCGCAGGGCGGTCCTGGACAAGTGTCCTCTCAGGTGGTGGGCTCTCGCAACGTCAACCGCAACGACGAGTTTCGCTGAGCGCGGTGGGTTTGTGTCTTGTAGGGAGACGAGGGAGGGCAAGGCGTGCAGTGAAAGGATGTGGGAGGCAAGCGACACGGCTGAAGTCCACCCATATTCACGCACACCCCTGTCGACATCGGTCGAACATGAGGTAGGTACCCCGCTGTTTGGCGGAAGGAACTCCTCCAACATCCTCTTTGCGGGGCATTTCCTTTAGAGAGTCTTGACATACGTATTGCGACCTTGAGGTAGACGTAGACTTAAGATACAGTACAGCAACCAGGAAGATTTGGTGTGTGAATTGAGTCCAGCCCATTCCCGTCCACACAGCTCCCCAGTCCTCGTCGGCGCGCTAGGCCTATCAACTCTACTAGGTCAAAGCTCGGGACATCATCATCGCCCTACACGCCTACCTTGCCATTTCTACTACTCCAACCTCACCCGGCGCAAGCTCCCAGACATCCCCAATACGACATACACTACCTCACCGCGACTCTCTCCGCCCTCTCCTCCCGGCTACGCTCGGAACGCCGAACAACCGAAACAAAGCCCGCATCGTGCCGCTACCGCTGCAGCATTCCGGGCTCGTGATCTCGAATCGCAACGAGCCGCCGGCAGCATTCCCCAACCTCCCCCAAGCGCAACCAACACCATCCACGATCCCGCGAGAGCACGCGCAAAACAACCGTGGCCTCGACCACGGCACGCCGTTTTGGCCCCATCAAGCATTGCCTGAGCTCGCGCGAGCGTCCGGGCCGCATCGACTGGCACGATGGGCGCCTGCATGAGCAGCGAGAACAATGATTCGGGGGATCAGAAGAAGCGGAGTCAGGCGATTGACCGCACGCTGGAGGAGGATTCGAAGAAGTTGCGGCGGGAATGCAAGATATTACTACTTGGTAAGTGAACGCAGCAGCACGGAACAAGCATGGAGGATTGGGAGGATAGTGAAGCTGACAGCCATGCGCGACAGGTTCGGGCGAGAGCGGGAAGAGCACGATTGTGAAGCAGATGAAGATCATCCACCAAAACGGCTACAGTCAAGATGAGCTCGCGTTACATCGGCACACGATTTATAAGAACGTGATCGACTGCGCGAAGGCATTGATTGGCGCGATGCGACAGTTTGGGATCGAGGTTGAGCATCCGGAGAACAAGGAAAACTGCGACTATATCATGGAATATGCAGTAGACCCTGACCCGCAGCAAGCTCTCGAGCAAAAGGTTGGAGAGGCGATCACAGCGATATGGAGCGATCCTTGCATACCGAAGGTCTTTGACCACTCGAGCGAGTTCTATCTCATGGACTCCGCGCCGTAGTAAGTCCCGGAGCGCGCATAGCAGGCCGTGCTGTACTGACCGGTGGACAGCTTCTTCGACGAGGTCAAGCGGATAGCATCACCCGACTACAACCCCACCGAGTCGGATGTCCTGAGAGCGAGAACAAAGACCACCGGCATATACGAGACACGCTTCTCGATGGGCCAGCTTAGTATACAGTGAGTCGTCTTGGGTCCTGGAAGTATGCGAGTAGCACTGACCGCGTTGACCAGCATGTTCGATGTGGGCGGCCAAAGAAGCGAGCGGAAGAAGTGGATTCATTGCTTCGAGAATGTGACATCCATCATCTTCTGTGTCGCTCTCAGCGAGTATGACCAGGTACTGCTGGAAGAGAGCAGCCAAGTAGGTCTCGCGGCGCGCCGATGGCTTGGCTTGTACTGATTCTTCGCAGAACCGCATGATGGAGTCCCTGGTGCTCTTCGACTCGGTCGTGAACTCGAGATGGTTCATGCGGACCTCGATCATCCTGTTCCTGAACAAGGTCGATCTCTTCCGCGCGAAGCTGACCAAGTCTCCACTGAGCAACTACTTTCCTGACTACTCTGGCGGCAACGACGTCAACCGAGCCGCGAAGTACCTGCTCTGGAGGTTTAACCAAGTCAACCGGGCGAACCTCAACCTATATCCTCAGTAAGCTCCATCAATAGTAGTCGGCAGGAAATTATACTGATATTCTCCAGCCTCACCCAAGCGACCGACACCTCCAACATCCGCCTCGTCTTCGCCGCCGTCAAGGAGACCATTCTGCAGAACGCGCTCAAAGACTCCGGCATCCTCTGATAACGCGATCATCGAAATTTCTCCGGCGTTCGGGGCAGGGAAAGCATGTCCTTACGACATCGTTCAGGAAAGCGGGTGTTTTGGCGTATATCTGATTGTATTTCTACCATTCTCCCATGGGTGGGAAGGACACAGGAAAGGAAAGGAGGTCCTCTCGGCGTTCTTCTCGCGACAAGCTGGCAGGATAGGAGAGGTCGAATGTGAATGCAGCGAGCGTCTATGCGTGGAAATGAATGTCAAGTGCCCCATGAGCGAGCGAGCGGGCGATGTTGTGCGCCTGTTGGATAGCAGCGAAGGCGATAAGCTAGCCTATTAATGAAGACTTTTGAGAACTCAATTACCTCCTCTTTGGGGGGGTGTGGACGTGGGGCTTGATATATTGATGTGTTTGGGTTGTAGAGCCCGAACACAAGTACCGGGTCTCGTCACGATGGACGGCAAGGGTGTTGCTTGTCAATCTGAAACGGACGGCAGATCTGTTTCCTGGTCGATCTGCATGGCCTGGCTGGTTGTTTGTGGAGCTGACGGGCTTGTAGAGAGGGCCTGGGCGCGGACCTCGAGGGTCGGCTGGCTTGGGGCGGACTCCTCGCGCTGGCGTGCGGTGTGGTCTTCTCCAAAATCGAGACAAACGACGTGCTTACGAAATGATTGAGAAATGCTTTAGATCGGAGAATATGCAACATACACTAGCGCGGATCGAATTGCAGCCAATCAGAAAGAAGGCGCTAGTGAGGGCAGACGTTTACTCGTTTACTTCCACTCGACTCTACTTTTCCAACACCCTTCCAGGGTCCTCGCGACACTTGTATACCCCAATGTAACGCCTCTATAACCATCACGCAGTCACGGGTGTGAAATCAGTGATTCACGAACTCGTCTGCTTTGTCATACACCTACCCCCCTAATGAATGCCTCCATCTGCGCCTCAACCAGGCTCTCGGCTTCTCACGTATCACAAAGCCATACTGCCAAACGGGCAATGGCATCCGCGGCAAGACGTTGGCAATGGTGCCACAAAGCAATCTCACCCTGAAAAGTTGATGAGTGTCTCCATTCACCGGCATCAAGAATTCACACAATGTAAGTGAGTTTTTGCTTGGGACACAGTCTTCGTCGCTCTTTCCCTTTCACAATGCGGCCATCCGAGAGGTTGTCTTATGCGACGTAACGACGTACGAACAACACCAATCGAAGGTCCACGACATGGTAGCAGAAACGACGCCAGAATGGAGACTTCAAGACATCATCTACGTCGCCATCGTCGGCTCCGTCATGGTCGCCGCCTTCCTCGAATGGATCCTCTGGCTTCTAGCGTTTCTCTACTGCTTGGTCAAGGTGTACCAAAAAGCTGAAAGCAAAGGACGGTTCGGCATCAGATTTCTGGCGGCGCTCAACATGGTCTTTTTCACTCTTATGCGCTGCATATTCCTGCCTGTGATGATCGTCACTCTGCCATTGCCCCCGCAGATCTCGAAGCATCTGCCTCTAGAGATGGTTAGTGGCCTGCAATGGTTCGCCTTCTGGTCGTTCGCAGGTTTGCTCACTATACCCTGGCTGTTCTGCGTGTTCCAGTTGGTCACTCACAACATCGGCCGGACACGGAGAATTAAGACGGTGCTGGACGAATACTCGGCGCCCAAGGTTGTGATATGCGTGCCCTGCTACAAGGAAGAACCCGAGGTACTTCTCCGCACGGTAGACTCCATTGTTGACTGCGACTACCCGCCTTCATGCCTGCACATCTTCCTATCGTTTGACGGAGAGCAAGAGGACGAACTTTACCTCAGCACAATTGAAAAGCTTGGGGTTCCGATCACCCTAGACTCGTTCCCGCGAAGCATCGATGTCAAGTACCACAGCTGTCGGATCACGGTCTCGAGATTCCGTCACGGAGGCAAAAGGTCGTGCCAGAAGCGCACTTTCCAGCTCATCAACAAGGTCTATGCTGAATACCTCCGCCGCAACGACAATCTCTTCCTCCTGTTCATCGACTCGGACTGCATCCTGGACAGAGTCTGCATCCAGAACTTCATGTACGAGATGGAGCTTAAGCCGAGAAGCTCAAGCAAGCACAACATGCTCGCAATGACCGGCGTAATTACATCTACGACGGAGAAGAACACTCTCATCACCGTCCTGCAGGATATGGAGTACGTGCATGGACAGCTGTTCGAGAGGACGGTTGAATCAGGATGCGGAGCAGTGACGTGCCTGCCAGGAGCGCTGACTATCCTGCGGTTCTCAGCCTTCCGTCGCATGTCTCAGTACTACTTTGCCGACAAGGCAGAGCAGTGTGACGACCTCTTTGATTTCGGGAAGTGCCATCTAGGTGAGGATCGTTGGCTGACGCACTTGTTCATGATTGGAGCAAGACAGCGCTTCCAGATACAGGCAAGCTTGTTCTCTTGCTGCGAGAAAGGACACAACGGCTGACGAGGATTCAGATGAACACAGGCGCATTCTGCAAGACGGAGGCGGTGCAGACGTTCAAAAGCCTTTTGAAGCAGCGCCGAAGGTGGTTCCTAGGCTTCATCACTAACGAAGCATGCATGTTGACAGACGTTCGACTCTGGAGACGCTATCCACTGCTTGTGATTATTCGGCTTGCGCAAAATACCATCCGCACGACGGTGAGCGATCCTGAAGCTCCATCCTCGAATTCATCATACTGACCGACGTAAACCAGGCACTGCTCTTTTTTATCATGGTCATCTCGCTCATCACCACTTCTCAAGCTCCGGCCAACCTTCCCATCGGATTCATCGCCGTCTCGCTCGGTCTCAACTGGGCGCTCATGCTTTACTTCGGCGCAGCGCTAGGACGGCACAAACTGATGCTGTACCCGCTCATGTTCGTTCTCAATCCGTTTTTCAATTGGCTCTACATGGTGTACGGCATCTTCACCGCCGGCCAGCGGACATGGGGCGGTCCTCGTGCCGACGCTGGCAAAGCAGATGAGAAGACCACTCCCGAGCAGGTGATTGAGCATGCAGCTGCCCGAGGCGACGAGTTGAACGTCGTACCCGAGACGTTTCGCCCGGCACTTGAAGGGGCAAGGCGGAGAGTACCTTACCACACCCCTCTGATGCCCTCGGAGAGCCTGGACGGCCGCTTCGCACCTACAGAGGCCGGCGCGGGTGGGTGGTATGTACAGGCCAACGACTCAGGCGTGGTGCAGCGACATTGGAGCCCGAGGCGAGTGGAAGAGGGAAGGATTTATGGTAGAAGCCAGAGCTCGGACTCGGCGACCTCCCGTGGCAGCTCCACATACTCTACATACACCCCGAGGAGAGTGGAGAGTCTGGTAGATGTGGAGGACGCTGTGACTTATCACAACCGAATGGCGCAGCAACGGCCGGCCGGCGGTGCGCACTTTGAAGCGATGCGGGTGCCACCAACGGAGATGACCGTGCAGGCTGTCAACGGCGCACTCGAACATCGGAGGCAGTCGGTGGACTCAGCGGACTCGGTTGACTCCGACGACTCTATACCGCTCCACTTCGAAATTCCCCGCCGTGGCCGTACGCCGGAACCGCGTTCTACCACATCATCATCCCAACTACACCCTCAAGCCCCGCAATCGAACCATCCAGGACCTCTCTCAGCGTACCCACCCAGTCCAACCCTCCACCCGCACTCCGCCGGCTTCACGGCCGGTCCCAGCCCTTTGGCACGCAAGAGCTTCACCTGGATCGCTGCTGACGATGCGAGGCACGGCGGTTCTGTAAATCGACAGCAGTCGACTCGGACACCAAGGCGGCACTCGGTGGCGGAAATTGAGAGGAGGGGGAGGAGGAGTGTGAGTGTGGATAGGCATGCGAGAAGGCGGTTGAGTAAGGTGAGGAAGAGGGCGGGTAGTGAAGGCTGAGCGCTATCAAAACACACTTCTGGAAATGATTACCTATCGAGCGAGTCGGTGAGTCAAGTCTTCCCGCCACATCAAGCTCAAGGCAAGATACCTGGTGTCCTTTCTTCTGAGGTAAGAAGATGAATTAAAAAAAGACATCCCTCCTCCCACCACTGGTGTATCGCAACAGTACTTCCATCCTTCTCCTACCCCCACCTTCCTGGTCTTTTCAACATCGGCTTATAGTTATGGGGTTTTGGTAAGGGGTTATCTAGGTTGGGTGACGGTGGGCCGGGCTTAGGTCGGCTGGCTTGTGAAGGGGGGTGAGGTCATTCCTTTCGGGGTCGACCGAGATACAGACAAGGGCGACTATGTTTCCTGGATCTTAGGTGCGTGATATATGCTTTCTCTGACTGCTGATGAACGAGTAGAGCAGAGTCATAGCTTCGACGCAAGCCGATCCTGCCTCCACTCGCCGTTCTCTACCCTGCTGCACACCTCTGCCAAAACCCGGCCAGCCCATTGAAAATCCTCCTCCCCAAGATACACTTGTGCGCTCAGCCGCATCCACCAAGACTGATCATAGTAGATGATGGCTATGAAGGTCTTGTAGTCCTGGACGAGTGTCTTTGCGATCCACTGGCCTATGCTGGCAATTTGCGCCGCATCGCCAGCCGTCAAGGCATTGGAGGACAGCGGCAATCGTACGTTCGAGAAGTTGCAGTTGCCCAGCGTGCCTTCTCTGTTCTCCATAACCTCTGTCTTCAGGATGCCGGACAGTATGGCGCCTGCTCGACGGGCGAGCCGACTGCAGTAGCCCATGATGGCCTCTTCGCCTACCATACCGTTCCAGCGGACTTTGCTACGCCACTCCAGAGCCGCCGGTATGCACAGGTACGGCGAGTCATCCAGCGTTCCGACGAACTCGAAGTTGGTCACGTATTCGCTTTTGCCGGTCGGTGGTAATGGATTGTTGATGCCTCCTCCGTGCTCAGGCAGTGGCACGAAGCCATGGCTGGTCGGCAAGGTCGACCGCATCGTTGCTTGATTCCGGAGAGGCACATAGAAGACCGCGCAGCCTCTTGGAACGTTTAGCCACTTGTGACAGTTCGAGATGAAGAAATCTGGATCGAGCTTGGAGAGGTCAAGGGGAACGTGGCCGACACCATGGGCTCCGTCGATGCAGGAGAGGACGGCGTGCTTCTTGCATAGCGCCGTCAGTCGTTCGAACGGCATCCGGACGCCAGGCAACGAGACGATGGTGTCGAAGATGGCTATCCGCGGGTTTCTCCCTTTGCTGCGGAGTTGTTTGACTGCTGCTTCGAAAGCGTTGCACAAGTCGGCATCAGAGCATGGATACGTGTACTGGATCTTGTATGCTTCTGCCGGTGTCGTCTCGACGATGTAGCTTACCGTCTTCTCGCAGGCTCCATAGATCGTTGCGAAGTAGATGATGACATCGTTGGGATTGAAGCGAATGTTCCGAAGTACGGTGTTGATGCCGATTGTTGCATTAGAGACGAAGACGCAGGTTTCCACAGGAGCGTTGAGGTACTTTGCGATTGCTACGCGAGAGACATCCAGTTGCTGCGGGTACTCATATCGAATGAAGGCATCTGGTCTCCTCTCTCCAAGGTCCTGGTAGTATCTTTGGACTGAGCGGACTGGTGTTGGTGATGCGCCGAATGAACCTGTTGATGGATGTTAGTCGTATGCTTTACCATCATTGGAACATACTCACCATGGTTCAGGTTACGATGCTCGAAGCCAAAGTACCTGGCTGCATCTTTGCCACACTCGAACGGTTCTAATGCTGCAATCTTTGCCATTGGCGATTTGTCCATTGTTTTGCTTGACCCTGTTTGGTGTGGTTGAGCGATAAGATGATTGAAAATGTCTTCCAAGATCCTTCAAGTGACGAAGGTATCGATGTCAAGTGACGAGGGCATTGATGAAACGGATCAATCGCCCAAAGAAAATGACTCTGAAGAGTTTAAGACTCAGAGTTGTACTTGCAGCAGGGCGTGAAATCTGCACCAGATTCGGTCTGGCAGCAACAACCTTGTGGTCGAAGTGGAGAACTTGCACGTTTTCATCATCACTGCGACAAAAGACATGATCACTTTTACAACAAATCTGGAATGTGAACAATCTCATGCTCACCAACAAGCGAGAGCGTTTCTGGCTCTCACACTGCTTTTGGTAGTGCCGCAGGTCTACTTAAATGTACTACCATTCTAGCCATATCTTCATTCCCCAACGTTCCCTGCCACTCACACACCTCCCAAAGCAAGGCCGATGCCGCCTCCACTCAGCACATCGATGGCGCCGAAGCAAGCTTGCTGTTGACGAACGACAAGGCATCGGCACCGTACTCAGCCTCGTAGCCGTTGTGCACATTGGCGTCACTGCCAGCTGTAACGAAGTGAGCCGTTAGTCAGTGCCTTTCGACAACAAAACAGCATCATCAGCACTTACTGCAGCAATACGGGTCGGCGGAGTCGCAGTACGACTGGATGGAGCTCTCGAAGGAGCCACAGGTCGTTCCGGCCAAGGATGAATCGAACTGGTAACATATCAATCAGCTGCACGTGGTATAGGAATGGATGGGATGAGCACTTACGCCACCAGCCGAGCAAGTCCCGACATCAAACGAAGCACCAGCATTGAAGGTGGGAGCGCCGAACATGATGGCAGCGACAATGTTATACTGCGAGATCGATGTGCCCTCACAGAGCGCAAGGTCAAAGATCTCAGCACCCTAAAAAGCCACCATCCCTCGTCAGCTCGTTCAGCAACTCCCATGAAACTCCAAAGCCTCACCTGCGAATACCCAACAAGCACCAACTTAGTATCCGGACACTGCTCCGCAAACGCCGCCACCTGACTGTTCACCGCACTCACGCCCGTCTGCCTGGACTCAGCATACGACGGATTATCCCCCGACGCCGGGTAGTCGATGGCCTCCGACGTAGCGCCCGGGTTGGAGGAGATGATATTGTCGACCAGTTGGCCGGCGGATCCGTAGCCGGGGGAGGCGGTCGTCTCGCGGGCGCCGAAGATGTGGATGGAGGGGCAGGTTTGGCGTTTAAGTTGGTGGGATAGGGGGGAGGCGAGGGCGGATCCTGCCAGCAGGACTATGGAGAGGGTGGGGGAAAGCATTTTGCTGGAGGGGGGGAGGTGGAAGGAATGTGGGATAGCTGGAAGGAAAGATTGGGATAGCTGGATGGATAGAGAGGGATTGATTGGACGCGAGGTGTTTTGTACTTACTGTTGAATGTCTGGTTGTCGATTTAGCCTGTGGCCGAGAAGACTTACGAACAACCTGGACCCGTGCATCACGTATAGTGGTGGTGGACGAATGTGATCATAATGAAGTGAAACCGTCCATTGGCTCGGATGACAGGCTGAAGGCATGCGTTTTCGTGAGACTCAGGTAAAGTAGCAGGTATCGTACAGATGCGGAAGCCCTTAACAGCATGGTTGTCTCCTTGTTTGGTGTGAGGTAGAGTGGAAAACCCGGATGTGTAATGGCAAGACTGGGTTGGTGTTTCAGATAGATGTCGATCTGGGGATGGCGGCCGGAACAGCTTCATCAGCGGCACCCAGAGCGCAAGAGAGCTGTGAGCTACAATAGTAGTTCATGGTGGATACTGGCTATGATGCGCGACGCACCGCTGGCGCCATATCCATTCTTCGCCATCATCTATACCCAGCCCGATGTATGATGGGTCTAGCCATACATCCTTCGCGCAGCGTACCCAATCGCCAAAAAATGCTCGATTTTCCATGAACATCAATACCGGCCTAGTCTTTGACAGCACGTCTTCCCTAACACCAAGTAAACACCGGCGGCCGACTCTTAACCATCTCCAACCTCTCCACAATCACCCTCCTCGTCACTCCCTCGCGATCGTTCGCCGCCGCGTATCCCAGATCTCCGTCCTCCTCATCCCCATCTCTCATTCCAAAACCCCTGGCCACTGCAAAGCTAAACCGTCTCCGTCGCTCCGAAGGCGAATGTCCTTGCAGCAGCGACCGCGGCGTGTCCAGGCTGACTCTACCAGCTGTCCTAGAGCGGTAGGCGCCTGGTCGTGGGGCGGAGGCGGAGTGTAATGCTGCTAGAGAGAGTTCTTTGTTCGTCGCAGGAGACTTGGGCTCGGCGTGGATAGACTGCGAGCTGTTCTGGCGGGAATGGTTGAAAGGATTGTCCCTTGGCTTCGCAGGCGGACTCGTCATTCCAAGAAGGTCCAACTTGCTCGTCGCAGGCGCAGAAGCGTAGGCAGCGGAAATGTCCATCTCCTCTTCCTCTTCTATCCCGCCTGCTCGGCGGAGCGATTGCGCAGCAGGACCAGTCGCGCGACGCATCTCCTCGCTCGGGCGTGTAAGGGGCATAGCGACGGGTATGTCGACCAAGTCGTCCCACACACAGACTCGCGATCGCCTAGTAAGCTCCAGCGGTCCGTGGTCGGGCGTCTTGAGAGTCTCGACGACGTTCCAGGCTTGACCTTTCATGACCGCCATCTGTCGTGCGAACATTCTGTCCTTGAAGTCGGCGTCGATTTCGAAGGTTCGTCGTAGTTTGTTCTGCGTCTCTGACCACCAGTCTTTGGAGGTCAGTAGAGGTAGGAAATGGTTCCGTGTATTCTCCGAGAAAGGCTTCCCGATCAAGCTGACGGGTAGGAATAGCCAGCCGAAAGGATAGCTCCGCCATGCATCAGGATGCTTCCACGGCCACGAAAGACTGTTGTCGATGGCTCCAAGCCGCGCGTGATTTGTGTTCCTATCATCAGGCACCGCGGCAGTCATGTTCTCATTCCTCCTATCGTACGCTTCCGCGCTGCCGTCGTCCGCTTGACCTTTCGGTTTGAAGTCCGCCACAATTGTGGCCTCGTCCTTCGTCGTATCAATCCTGATCATCCAGTTGTCCGTCCCTCTATCCGTATTTCTCATAACATAATCCAGAATCACAAGCTTCTCCAGCTGCTCTCTAAAACTTTGCTGTAGCTGCTCCGACCAGAACTCCTTTCGACTCCTACTGGCCTCTCTCGTCCCCCTTCCAGCCCCTTCATCCTCCGTCTCCTCCTCCTCAGGCACGGCCTTGCCACTCGGCCGACAAGTCTGATCCCACCGCTTCCTCCGCCTCCTCTTATGATCCGGAGCATCTGTGAACGCCCTCGTCTGCTGATCCGGCCAAGGATGTTCTCGAAAGAACTCAGTAGCCCCCTTGAACCCCTTCAGGAACACCTGAAACGACCCTTGCTTCTCCGGCAACACCTTCTTGCCTCGCCGAAACTGCCTCCGGTCCCAGTAGTCGTAGAAGAAGCTCTTACTGCTCAGGCTCACAACCTCCGTGTATGGTACGATGTTCGTCCGTAGCTGCACGTCGAGCACATACGCCGCTGCCTCGGAGACGTACGATAGGTTTGGAATCAGACACGCCCGTCCGAAGAAGAACGGGAACAGGTTCCGATGTATCCACTTCGTCCACTTCGGATTCTTGCTCGCATACGGCTCTTCGTCCTTCGGCTTGAACACGCCCAGCACCTTCCCACCACTATTCCGCACAAAGTAACTCCCGCTACTGCCCTGCGAGATCAGCGTCGGGTGCATACCCAGCTCAATGGCCGTCCTGACACTCTCCACCAGATCATCAAACTCTACTTTCGAGAGCCTTTGATCCGAATCATCATAGTCGTTGTCCAAACTCTGCTTATTCGCCGGCCTCACGCCCTCCGGAGGCACAAACACCGAATGGTGGATCTCCAGCATCTCCTCCTGCGCGCTCTTCCCCTTGATCCGCTTGATCTTGAACCGCTCCTTGATCTCCTCGGCCCATCGTTCCAAGCGAGCGTTAATAGCTTTGACGTCCACACCGCTGTTCGTGCGCCGTCGCCGTGGCCGTCGTGTGCCTGACAGACTGCCGGACGAGGGCACGCGCATGAAGTCCCGCCGTTTCGGCTGGATGGGAGCATATTCAGGGTCTTGCGAGGAGAGGGTCGGGGGGTCTTGGAAGGGGTCGTCGTTGTCGCTATCGGAGTAGGGCTGTTCTTCCTCCTCTTCTTCTGCTTGGGCTATTCGTGCGTACCCGGACACTTGTCGGGGGCGGCGAGGCATGATGGCTGAGGTGTCGCCGCATGCCGGGTTTGGGAAGGGTACACAGGGTAGCGGCTGTTGTTCCGGTGAGACTGGCGTAAGGTTATGTCTGACAAGATGTAAGTGTTCAAAGGAGGGATCGCAGTCTCATTGGATCACCAAAGCACGTCACAAGCTTTGAGGCTCTGCGGGAGCGTTGCAGCGGGAGGAAGAAGGAGCCGACGAGCCGAGATCTACCAGAAGACAGAGGATCAAATACCTATTAGATCACGCTGATAACCTATCACAGTCCGACGAGACACTGTAATGTACACCCACACTACACACATATCTGCAGGTAACACCGGACTCTTACTCCAGGACGAGGACCCAAACGCCAGGCTTCAAATCAACCCCAACGAACCACACATCCACCATCAACCACTTTCCATTCGTACCATCAACTAAGACGTGCCATCCGTAATCGCCCCCTTCTGCATCCTCTCCACCATCTCCATCAACTGCTTCATCTCCTTCCGCAGCGCCTGCAGCTCCAACATATTGCCATCAACCACAACATTCGGCTTCGTTTCCTCGACCTTCTTGTGCCACCCTGAGCCCTCATGGTCCATCTCATCCGCCAATTCCTCCCACTCCTCGATCGTGTCGTCATCCGTCTCGTTGCGGTTGCGATTGAACTTGACCTTGTGTGCGGTGCGCACTTCCAGGTAAGCTGTAATGACGAGCAAGGGGCTGTAGATGATGCCCATCACGATGTCGTTGAGACGCTCGTAATACGCCTCCGACATCCACCACTCGAATGGTAGAGATAGGCAAAGGAGCTCGATCAGGTTGAAAGGGGCGATGAAGACGTTCTCATCCGGGGCGCGGACAAACTGTATCGTCTTTTGGCTGAAAAGCGCCAGATACTCGTCAATCGCATTGGAGGTGATATCTTCGTAGGCGCTGTTGTAAAGCGCAATGAGCACGTTCAGCAGGATGACGATGATGATGAAGTTGTAGATGTAGTAGAGGATCAGCCCGAACGGCGGCTCAAAGGTGTCCCAGACGTCGAAGCTCGGGTCGCCCATTATGGCGTTGAGCATCTGCTGTATGATCCAGTTCACGGCGGTGAGTTGCTGATCCGTTTGATCCATGCCGATGAACCCTTGTAGGAAGCCGATGAGCACGACGATGAGGAGGGCGAAGAAGATGAGGGATTCCTTCATCATGACTTTGAGCACGACCAGCATGGCGCCGAAGAAGCGGAAGGTGTCGAGGTAGAGCAGCATGCGCATCCAGAACATCGGGGCGGAGAAGGCGAGCCAGTCGTAGGAAAGTTTGTTGAGGAATATCCGTTTCTCGCTCTCGTATTCGTGGCTCAGAGCGACGCATCGCGTGACGAAAGAGATGGCCAGGAGAGTGTAGAGGGTGCTGTTGAAGATGTTCCAGAAACCAAGGTAGTACCGCCCTATCTTATAGAACTTGCCGAACTCGTCGCAGATGAAGCCGAGGGTGAAGATGTACAGCAGGCCTTCGACTGGGTCAAGCTCCACACCAGGGTTAATCGTGTTGATAGCACCAGTGTAGAGACCGAGGAAGATGAGGGAGACGACGATCTGGAGGACATTCTGGTATTGCGGCACTCGCATCCGGTCGGGATCGAAGTGGTCCAGATAGCGTGTCGAGGTCTTGTCCTTGTAGTCGATGAAGCGGGATGGGTCGTCTTCATCTTGGATGAGCCAGCCTCGCCACAGGTGGTTGATGCACTTCTGGTATCCGCTGCTGCCAATGACAACGACAGCATGGATGTCCACGGCTTTCTCGATCGCATTGGACGGCTTCGTCTCTTCCCCGCCGACCAGGATGCTGTAGCGCTTGAGCAGCACTTCCTGCATGAGGTATGGCATGTCCTCTTCCTCTTCAATGATGAACTTGGCCAGTCGCTCACACGCCACTGCGCGGAGTTCATGCAAAGCCGAGTCCCATAGCTCGAGCTTCGCCTGCGACTCGAACCAAGTTTTGCAGACCAGCAGGCAGTAGACGACACAGGAGCTGTGGTCCTTGTCTACTCCAGAAACCTTGCCAGCAGCTTTTGCGGTCGCCATGACCTGTGGCGTGATGACATCGCTGTGAGGCTGCGTGATACGCTCTTCGGGCAGCTCGCAAGGGACGACCTGTTCGATCTGGTACTTGAGTCGGAGAGCTACGTGGGTGACTTCCCTTGCGGGGATGGCGGAGGGAATGGCTGTCTCACGGTGAGACGGCAGGAGGGCTTGCAGCTCATCGTGAAAGTGTCTGCGGTCACGGTCGGCATACGAGAAGAGTCTGCTCTCATATCAGTATCTCAATGGCACATGAAGTGTTTCTGCTCAACTCACTTCCCCCAGTTGACCATGGCGGCGGTTTGAATAGGTGTATCGCAGGCTCAAGGTGGTGGTGGTGTCTTGCCGCTTCAGTCGCAGGCGGTTGCAGTTTTAGTTATACCAATATCTTCACTGCCTCATTCGATCACAGATTCTACACGTGAAAGCAGCAGAGACTTCGAGCAGGTCAATGCGATAACACAGAAGTTGGCTGGAGCTCTCCCCGCTTCCAACTTTCAAGCCATCGCCGATCATTGTGGCGTTCCTGCAGCGGGCCGCAGAGATAGCTCGGCACGTTGCTTCGCGGGATCCCGAGTGTTGATCAGACCAAACATGCTTCTGATCTAACTTCAACCACCAAAACTCCCACCACAACAAAACGAAACCATCTCGAAGCAAGACACCATCACCACCACCATAAACCACTCCATCCACTGAAAGCAAGTATGGTCCTCTTCGACGACCCCCCCACCGCCCTCCTCCGCGAAACCACCTCCCAATTCCACATCCACCCAGACCGGGACTCCCTCTCGCGGATCTCCGACTCCCTCTCCGCCCTCTCCACCGCCCGCACCTCGCGCCTCACCCACCAACGCTCCACCCTCAAAACCCTCTCGCGCCAACTCAACGCCCTCCACGAAGGCCGGCGATGGGAGGACGACCACCACGACGCCGGCGGGCACGCGGAGCGGATGCTGAAGATGGACACGGAGAAGTTTCGCATCGCGAAGGGGGTGAGTGATGTGGAGATTGAGGGGGAGAGGTTGGAGGGGGAGCGGGCGGGGTTGAGGGCGCAGTTGAGGGGGTTGGAGGAGCAGGGGGTTGAGGGGGGAGGGAAACGGGTGGGGGAGGGGGAGGATGAGGTTGTGTGAGTTTTTCTTGGGTGTTGAGAGGATGGTGGTGGGAGGGTGTGCTAATGATGAGTAGTTTGAAGCTGCATATATACCGCTCGTTGGGGATTTCGGCGACGCAAGATCCGAAAACGGGAGAGTTTAGTAGGGCGGTGGTGAGACGGGTAGGATCGCCGGAGAGCGGGAGTCATGGCGACGTTAATATCATTAATATTGATGGCAAGGTCGACAGGAGCTTCTACGCGAGGGAGTTGTGGGATGCGCTCTAAATGGGCAGCTGTAGGAGAAGGGTCTCGGGAGGCATGACCCGGTGTTTGGCATTTAGCAGTCAGAGGACAGGCGTGACAGGATACCCATGAAATGAAGATCCGCGGATGTTGTTGATGTATGAGGACGATTACTCATTAAACAATACCCACCATAAGCTCTACCATTATATACAAACCGCTAATCGCGACGGCAAGAGCCCCCCAATCATCTAAGGTCTCTTCTTTGTATTCCTCCCGTATCCCCTGTGCGATCCTGTGGAAGTAGCTGGGGTATTACACGCAGACGCAAAAGCAGACGGCACCCACCTCGCCAGCGAGAGCGAGCCGCCGTCGGAGCAGTGTAAGACGAACAGCCACGCGCAGAGCGCGTTGACGATGTAGTGCAGGCGGTAGGCGTACGTGACGCCGTAGATGGCGGCGTAGAGGGCGAGGGCGAAGGTGAGGGTGTTGGTGAGGAAGCGGATGCTATGATGACTTATTAGCGTTATGATGTGGCAGTGGGCGGTGTAGGAATGAACATACCGACTGGTGACGCGCGGCACCATGTTGCCCGTACTCTGCGTCTCGACCAGGAGGATGAATGGCAGGATGCAGAGGAGATTGTGGTGGGTGGAGAAGGAGGTGAGCCATTGCACGGAGAGGTTGTGCATCCAGACCACCAGAGTGGGGAGGTTGAGGGGCAGGATCCAGAGCATGAGGAGGAGAGTCGCGTGGGTGTAGTTGCACAGGTTGTATGTTTGGGTGGAGGAGATGTCGCGAGCCGCTCGTACCGCCCGGACGCTCGTCATGAGCTGCACCATGCAGAGGACGAGGTAGGCGAATTGGTATGGGATGACGGTGGCGACGAGCAGTAGAAGAACGCCGGTCGTGTAGATGCGCTGCTGTGTAGTGGTCGTGGTGAAGCCCGTTGGGCTCCTGCGGCTGTCGTCGGTGCGCGATGTCAGTGAGCGGATGCGCGTGTAGATGAATTCGAAGGTATTAGTGACCATCAAGACGAAATAGTTGGCGGTGATGCAGATGCCGACTGCGATAAGACCGAAGAGTGGGACGAGAAACCAGAAGAACGGATCGGAGGTGCCTAGTAGAAGATCGTTGATGGTGAAGTCGACAGCCGTATCAGTCGTTCCAGTGGACGTGCTGAGCCATTGTCGCGCCAAAGGTCCTTTTGTAGCTTTCGACAGTGCGATGCCGAGGAAGGTCATCGCGGTGAAAATCATGGGCAGCGAAGTGCGCAGACACTGATCCATGCTCTGCGAGAAGCTGACGAAGACGCCGGTTGCATCGTAGACCTTGAACTGCTTGCGCATAACAATGGCAACGACGAGCACCGGCATGGCAGCCAACACTGTCCTGTATCGCATGACGAGCTTTCCAGCGCTGCCCAACACGTCGACGCTCAGCGTGACTTTGACCGTGGAGTTGCAAGTGGGATCTGTCCAGAGCTGCAGAGACAGCCCTTCGCTCGCCCCGCCACCACTAAGGGGAGGAGGCATGTACGGGGATATGCCGTGGACGTTGATGTTGCCGCCTTGCGTGTTGACGAAGTACTTGGACTCGTATGGCTCTTGGATGTACTGCCGCAGGAGCGGGGCGAAACTCTCTGGTGCGCCTTGACAAGGGCGCCGGTCAATGTCAAGTCGATATGCGAACAGCGTGGAGTGCACTTCTGGGATCTTCAACTCGGTCATCATGGGCCGGCTCGGAGGTAGCTTGCGTTTCATTCCCTTCAAGAGCAACTGGTGGTGGCCTTTGCTGACGAGTATGGAAGAATCCTTGGCCGAGCTGAACTCTGCAAACAGCCAGCCGTCCGAAAGCTCTGAGCTCCTTTCAATGACTGCAACGAACTGATTATCCGACATGTCGGCGACTTCATATTGCAGGTATGAGAACGGCGTCGCATCGTCGAACGCGTTGATGGACTCGTTCGTCGAAGCGGGCAGCAGCGAGACGTCGATTGCTGCATTCTTACAGGCAAGGCGGGTAGAGCCAGAGGAAGAACCGCTCGCATCGTCCCTGTCCATCACGTAGGACAGCACCGATGCTCCAGTCGGTGGCGGCGACACGCTGCATAGGAAGACTGCGACCGAGCCCTCTTCGTCACCAGTATCTAATCGTTGGTTCGTCATGAGCGTGAACTTGCCACCTTCGGACTCAGGCTGTGAAGGAACGGGCATAACGTGTGCTCTGGTCTTGCCACCGTGGCCCAGTGAGCGTAGCTCCAGGCGGTCCCCGTGCGCCATCATGGTAGTGGAGCTGTGCTCGAGTGACAAGAACGTCGTCGGCTCGTGATTCAAGGCTTCCTTCTCCACAACCGGCTCCATTCCAGTCAGTAACCGCCTCCGCAATGCTGCAACACGCTCCGGCTGGGCTCTTGTCTGGGCCGGTCTTCTCGCATCCACCACATCGAAGATGGCTCTGACCAGCGCTCGTCGGAACTGGTTGCACCACATGATTGCCAGATGGTCCATGCCGGTCCATACATTGGGTATGCTTGAAGTGAAAACTGTAAAGCCATGTGTGTCCGGGACCAACGATGTCAGTGAGGAGTACTCGGACGCGATCATGGTGTCCAGTCCTCCTCCCGCAACAGAGACCAGTGTGACATCTGCCAATGGATTGTCGTCGGAGGAGCCAGCGAAGTAAGACTCCCGCCAAAAAGTGTTGATGTCCTGATACGCTGCAACCATAGCTGCGTCAAACGAGACAGGCGGTCTTGCATGAGGCGCAGATAGTGTGACTATCGTGTTGATCGACTTCTCCTGATAGTTCGGCATGCGTAGCATTGTACGAGCCACCACACCACCCATCGAATGTCCAAGGATGATGACGGACTTCGGATCCGGCAGCCCGGGTTCTCGCAACGACATCTGAGGATTGTGGTAAAGAGCCAAAATGTACGCGACTGCCTCGTTCAAGTATTCTGCTTGGTCCAGCATTGTCTGGCCATGGAAAGCCGTAAGCTCCTCGTTGAAGTCCACTGTGAAGAAATCTAACGGCCGCTTCCCGCTGCTGATCTCTCCTGCATTACCACGAAGCTGGTCCTGGAAGTAATTCGCTGCCTCCGCCGCGATTGGGCGCATCTGCTTATAGCTGCCAGCGTTTCCAGGTATGAACAGTACTGGAATGCCCTTGACTCGTGTATCCTCGTCCACCCCTCCTTCCCGATACAGGTATAACGAGTACTTGCTCGCGAATCGTGTGTGTTCGGTGTCAAAGTCGGCGAATCGCGAAAATGAAGGTCTCATGTAGGACATTGCACAGCCCTTGGGATCCAACTGCCGGGTCAGGAATGCGTGTGCTATCGCCAGCAGCAGGAGTATCGAGCATGCGCTGGCCGCCAGTGTGAGGAAAGAGCAGCGCCATGGACTGCGCACATGCGCGCGACTATGGCGAGGCGGTTCTTCTGTAGGTTCGGGGGTGTCTTTGCTTCGCACATGGCCGTTTGCCAATGGGCTCTTCTCCGCTGCGGTGATGCATGGAGACCAAGTGCTGTGGTGTTCCTGTGCCGAATTTCTTCGCGCCTCCCTGCTACTCTTGCTGTCGGGCGGCTTGAGGGTGTGTTCCCCTCGTGGGAGGTCCTTGGTCGGCGTCATCTCGTCGCTCCTGGCATTGCCGTCTGGCGTGGTGCGGGTCGCGAGGTCGAGGCCGTCCTCATCTTCTTGAGAACCCGAGGGACGTCTCCTCATTGAGCGCTATGCCGGCGGCGGTGGCATGCACAGGCGCAGCTAGCGGTAGGAACAGACGATGGTGATGACGAGGGTGTGAACTCTGCTGCAGACACGCTCGGCGGTCGTTGCCGAGACGTGCGTGGTGGGAGGTGGCAGGCACGTTGCAAGTGGGCTCGTGCTGGTGATTGGAGATTGGGGTGAGTGCGCGGCCCACTCCCGCTTTGGCTCTGGCTCTGGCTCTGCCTCTTCTCCCACGCCGCCTCCTCTCGCTAACTGGACATGACATGATAACCTTTGACACCTCACTCGCGATAAGAAACTTGCAATCGCTGGTGGAGCACCTGCGCGACGGGAGAGCTGGATATGCGCGACGCGAAAATAAAGCTGCACGCCCGCAGCACCCCCCATCTTCCAACCTTAAAGATTGCGACGACAGGCCAGAAACTGCATGATCTACGACGCTGCTGTCGGCTCTAGACCACGCGTACAGTGCTAACTGTTGACGTGCCGTCTCTGCTTCCTCATTGATCAGTTCAGCCTTTTCTACTTCCTTCATCCTCCCTTCTCCTTTTCGAAGAAAAAACCGCTGGCAACCGATGGCCTCTCAATGCGTGGCCAAGCACAAGCTGCGTAAGCCGTGCAGTAGCTTGCAGTGCTCGACGCAGATAGCTGGCAGAGCTGTTCGATTGGTCCGGCGGTGGGCGAGAGAAAGAAGCACTTCCAACGTCATGTCGAAGACTGAGCGAGTCATGCCGATATCTGTGGTATCTTTCGCATAATATTGCCAACCACGCAGCAGCAGCTCACTCTTTGCTACAACGAATAGGACACGCTAAGTCTGTGCGAGTCATGTCAATGTCTGCTTCGCTGACCATATCTATCAGCTACTACAGTCTCGACATGGTACTTTGCGAGGGGCAGTCGTTGAACAGCGACAAAACAACCTTTTCACCTCTCAACGTGCCCAAACCATCTCCTGAGCAATGGAAGCACATTCGTCGCGCCCAGGTTGCTCTCCTGCGCAGCACTACAGGTAGCCATTTTGAAGCAGGTATATTTGATAGTTACGAGAGACCATGGCTTCGGATGGCTCGCGTACTCAAACAGGTCTATGCCAACCACAAACTATTTCACGAATGCGTCTGCGCAAGAGAGCCATCAGAGGAGAGAGAAGTGAGCCTTCACTCCTTATCCAGAGCGAGAGCGTACGAAGGATCCTGCATGCGACCTCCGCCCGCGCGAAGCACAATTTTCGAGAATGAAGCACGATATAATCGAACAACGGTAGTGCCCGCGCTCGATTCTCAGTTCTCACCTCACGATCCAGTCAAAAAGTCTGGCTTGGCAAAGTTCTCTTCTCATACGCCTCTGCGACATCCAATACACTCCAAGGTAGGAATCACTCTTTACTCTGTAAAACTCATGGTGCCTACCGAAGACAGTCCGCTCGCCGCTGCAAAGAGGGCTCTGAATACCTTACCAAGCAGGCTGAACCTTTATAGGACCAGCGTTGCGTACCAGGTAACGTCCAAACCTTCTTCTCTTCTTGGCTGTAATACGCTGAACCAGATTTTCAATACCAACGCACACTGAAAATTTCTGGGTTTTGAAAAAAGGGCATATATCTGTTGCCCTCTCGACCTGCTGTTTTCTTTCCCAAACTTACAAACCTTACAGTAACACTCTGACACACGTGCACATCGCGCACTCCACATCGCACAGTACACATCGCACAGTACACATCGCTCACTACACATCGCACACTACACATCGCACACTACACATCACACATCATACTCTACCATCATCTTCCTCTACCATCACATTCTCCTCTACCATCGCATCCTCCTCTACCATCCTCTTCCTCTACCCTCATCCTCCTTTACCATCATCATCCTCTATCATCTCTCTCGCACAAGTTGCCTTCTGACATCCAAACAAAAATCATCGTCCTCTCGGACACCCATGGCGAACCTCTGAAGCGCAAAGTCAACACCACAGCCGACGTCGCCATCCACTGCGGAGACCTCACCGACGAGTCCAAACTGGACGAATTCAAGGCCACCATCGAGCAACTGAAAGCCATCGGCGCCCCCATCAAGCTCGTCATCGCCGGCAACCACGACTTCACACTCGACGACAACGCATACGCCTACACTCGGAACGAAGTCAAGCGCACCATCGACGACGCCGCACTTACAAGGACATACGGCTCCATTGGAGAAGCCAGAGTACTTTTCGAGAGTGAGGATGCCAAATCCGCAGGTATCGTCTTCCTCAGCGAAGGTACCCACAAGATCTCACTCAAAAATGGCGCACTCCTGACCGTCTATGCCAGTCCTTACACGCCATCCAAGAGCAGCGGCTGGGGCTTCCAGTATGACCCTCAACAAGGCGAGCACCACTGGGAGATCGATAGCTCGGTCGATCTCGTCATGGCTCACGGCCCTGCGCATGGAGTTCTCGACTACACCGGATCAAGACAACGAGCTGGAAGTCCGAGTCTCTTCGCCGCTATCGCGAAGGCCAAACCGAAGATGCACTGCTTCGGCCACATCCACGAATCCTGGGGTGCCAAACTGGTCACATGGCGACCAGAGACTTCCGACGAACCTTCGCACTTCACCGACATCGACAACGATCGGTCGACGCTGATCGAAAGCCGTGCGACGCTTCACAACGGCAACTTCGACGACCAGGAGCTACTGGATGCTAAGGCAGCAAAGCGGACAACCTTCTACGAACAGGGTTATCGGGACATGAATGACTCGATCACAGCCAACGAACAGACGCTGTTCGTCAACGCGGCTATCGAGGGTGTGGAAGAAGACGAGCAGCACCTGCCCTGGCTTGTCAACGTCTCGCTGCCTGTTCTCGAGATTAGCAAGACAGACGACGCCGGTACAGCGGATGAAGTGGCCATCAGAGGGGTTCGGGAGGCGGAGAAGGTGGGGGAGCCGGATTCGGTTCTCGCTGCCAGCAAGAAGAGGAGAGCGGATGCAATGGCCGGCGAGGCATTGGCTGGAGGCTCTTGCGCGGAGAATGGCAGGTCGGCGAAGCGGCGCGCTGTGCTTGGGTGGGGGCATAGGAGTCTGCGGAGGAGAAGAAGGGATGCTCTCACTTAGGAGTATGCAAGGGGAAGGAGGGGTTGGCCTGAGAGAATCATTTGCTTTAGGGATCGTGAAGGAGAAGCGAGAAGTTTTCGACAGGGAATTCGGCGAGCGTTTTTGAGGTTGCGGCTGCATTTGAGATATCCAGTGTGACAAGCAAGCATGGCGTTGGGAGAGCTCTGCAGCTATTTCGTCAATGGCGACCGTTCCAACATCACGGCCACCATCTCGATTTCTAATGTAAAAGTCTCGTGCCCAGTATATCCTCCAAATTCTCGAAACCCTCCTTCGCTGGGGCTCGATACTAATTCTTCCACCAAGCCGGCGCTGCCTTGCCACTCCTCTTCTTCTCCTCCTTCTCCTCCTGCGCCTTCTCCGCTTGCAACCGTTTGGCCACCTTCGTGGCACCATGCTTCAGCTTGGTAATCCAATCCGCAGCCCGTCCTTTCGTAATCGATCCCGGCTCCAGCTTCTTATCCTCAGCGCGGAACTTGTTCAAATGCACAATTTGCTGCGGCGTCGCGTCCATCCCGCGCCATGGAGCGGAAAGAGCGATCACCGCACGGAGGAAGTGCTTCTTGGCATATGTGTCTGCTGCGTTGATGGCATGTTCCAGTGTCGGAGTTGATACGATGTCCCGAGGACGCATGTAGGGCGACTTGCCCTTCACATGGCCTCGAAGGATTTGCGTGAACTTGACGACGTAGTCGTCCTCCTGCTTGGAAAGCGTGAGGTAGCTGCCCGTCTTGTCGGAGAGGATGTAGCGGGAGCTGTCCACCTGCACCCATGCCAGTCGAGAGAGGCCGCGGATGTGTCGTTCTCCTGAGGTGCTCTCGACGAGCGAGTTGACGTCGAAGTGCGTGAAGGTGATGTTGCCATCGAAAGACGATCCGCCAGATGCGTTTTCGAAGGCAGCTTTCGCGGCCGCTTCCATCTCGAGTCCGCGTTCTCGACGGCTCTTCAACTCTTTCAACGTAGAGGCTGTTGCATCTTCGACGATCTCGTGCGGGTCCAGCCCGAACAGTGTCGGCGTGGTGACAATGCCCTTGTCCAGACTCGCGACCATATCAATGATGTGGCAATCTTCCTTGCCGGGAGACTTCCTCAAGCCTCGTCCGACCATCTGGATAAGCAGATTGCGAGACTTGGTCGGCCGCGCGAGGATAACGCAGTCAATATTCGGCTGAACAAAGAGGTTGTCAGTGGATTCAAAGTTGGTTGGATCAAAAGGGTGGACATACTATATCCGTGCCTTCTGTGTAGAGACCGCAATTGATGAGTACAGGAAGCTCTCCAGCTTTGAACGCTGCCAGTATCTCCGCTCGTTGTTTCTTCCGGGTAAGGCCGGTCACGTATTGTGCGTCGATTCCGTGAGCTCGGAATGTACTGCTGAGTGCTGCTACATGATTAAGGTCGACGCAGAAGGCGAGCGTTGACTTGCGACCTTCTGCAATGGCCAGCCATGACCGCACAGTGATCTCGTTGATCTCAGGCGTGTTGACCACCTTTACTAGTTGTCCCGTCTGGTAGTCACCAGTCTCGGTGGACTTGACTGTCGACAAGTTGACGCCAGACTGGACTGTCGTGAAACGCAGGGGCGCCAGCCAGTCTCCTTCAATCATGTCGATGTAGTCCCTACTGTGATATCAGTCGACTGTAGCACACATGACCTTGACTAAGCTTACATGTGGTAGACAATATGGTCGATCGCAGCCCCCAGACTCAGCCCGTCTGCGCGGGAGAAGGTCGCCGACACACCCACCAACGCAGTGACGCCTCGTTCCGCATCCTCCTTCGTGGCCAGGCCGAAGTATTCCAAGACTGTATGGTAGGTTGAGGCGACGATGTGATGCGTCTCATCGACCAGTACGAGCTTGAAGCGGCGGGGATCGTACCGAGACAGCCGATCGCCGGAGGTGATGCTCTGTACGGAGGCCACTGTGATGTCCGCGAGTCCAGTGGCGTGCATGTCAGCCATCTCGACATCGACGATCTTGTCCGGATAGATGTTTCGACATGTCTGAGCCGCCTGTTCAATCAGCTCGCGGCGGTGGGCCAAGATGAGCGTCTGGGTGGCATCTTGGTTGGGCGGAGGCACCGCGTCGATGAGGTGACTGAAGACGACCGTCTTCCCTGAACCTGTCGCCAAAGACACCCCGAGACGTTTGCTTCCGTTTTTCAGGTACTGAAGAACCGACTCGATGCAATCATCTTGATATGGACGGAGCTGGATCTGAGATGTGTCTGCGCGCCATCTTGGAGTTTCTTTCGAGAACCAGCGTACCCTGCTGGCTCGAATAGCGTACCTTTGCAACCCGGATAGTGCGCCTGCAATACGAGGGCTCGATCTCAAGACTCTCAAGCCATGTACGAGAGGTCGCATCTGCGCATTGTAGATGTGGTGGAGAAGAACCGACGACGCGGTCGCGTACCTCACAGCGTGACGTTGGAAAAGAAGGCTTCTGATTGGCTGCTGATTGCCTCGCGCTAGCGTATGTTCAGCTTCCAACTAGCTTAAAAACTAGTTCTGTGTCTTCTTTCTCGTCGTCTGCACAGGCTGGCATGAATCTTAATGCGGTACGTCTGATCACACGATGAGCTGACGATCGACGAGAACCGCTCAGACTTGCTGGGACCATGTCTGTGTCCTCCTTGGACTGGAAAGTAAAGCAAGCGTCGCCTTCTACTGAGGAGAGCGCATCGCTTGAGAATGCAGTACAGTCTGCGTCTCGGCACATGGGAAATAAGACGAATGGATCTTCGAACCGCAAAAGAAAGCGACAGTCGAAAGCGGACAAGGACCGTGGTCCAGCGAAGACTTACCGAAGGATCTTCGAAGAGACTCTCGACGGTCGCCATACCTCTCGTATTCAAAATGTTCATCGGCTGCCGCCCTCCCACATAGGGGGCGCATACTGGAGCGAGCACGAGAAGGATGCCTTCTTTTCAGCCCTTGCGATACGTGGTCCAGATGACTTGCCTGGCCTTTCGAAAGATATTGGCACCAAGAGTCAAGCAGAGGTTAGAGCCTACGTCCTCTTGCTGCGCGACCAGTACCATCGAACTGACTCACAAAGTCCTGCATTGCTGGCTCGCATGGCAGATATCCCAGCCCCGCATGAAGTGGACGACCAATGTGAGAGTCTCCTGGATACAGCTGCTGACTCGCTTGCGCGCGAGACGTTCCTCCAAGAGGCTGAGGTAGAGCAGGCTAGATTCGGATCGCGGTGGTTGATTGACAACGCTGTAATGATTAAGGATGAGGACGAAGCCGATATCAAGGTAGAGGAGGATGCAACACCTGACTACACTGATAAAATTGAGGATGATGATGAGAGGGAGACTGTTGACTCAAAACCTCAGCAAGCTCAGTCGCCTTTCCAAGTGGAGTCTCAGACTTCTACCACCACCGACAATGTAGGAGGACACCCACTTTCAGAACTGCTTGCTACGTCTTCTTTCATTGCACTATCCCAAACCCTGTTTATGAACAGCAGCAACCGTCAAGACAACTGGCAGACCATGGACGATACCATCGACAGCCATTGGGCCACGAGTCCAGCCATGTTCCGCTCTGCTCTCGACGACTTCCACGACATTACTGTTCAGATAACACGCAAGCTGGTACACGCAACGCTTCTCCAAGCCATGTCAAGGATCCGCGCCAAAGACACCGATAACGCACCCGAACCTCTTGTGACCAAGACCGATGCAAGGACGGCTGCTGACATCTTGGGCATGAAAGATTGGAAGATTTTCTGGGCGACTGTACCGAGAAGGTGTAGCGTCGAGGTGTACACTGAGGAGAAGAAGTTCAGAGACGGTAGGCAATCGTCCAAGACAGGTGTCCGATTGACGTATGACGAAGTGGAAGCTGCGCTGGGCATGGACGCTCGACAGACCACCGGAGGCACAGACAGCTACTGTATCAAGGACGAGCCTGGATCGTACGAGGACAGCGATGGTTCTGCAGGGACAGATGGCAGTAGAGATGAGAATTCTGATGAAGGAGAGCAGGAAGTGGATGTACTGGAGTTCGAGCTCAAGGAAGATCAAGCAGTCGACTCCCAGGATGTGAAGGCTAGTAAAACACAAACACTTCACCTCTTAGACCGGCTGGGCTGGGAGCGCTCGTCTTCAGAAGATAGCGTGATCGATTTGTTGAGCGATGAGGAACCTCCTGCCCGGACTAGGCGAGGCGATTCAGATTGGAGGGGGCACACAAAGTATGAGCCTGGCTGGGAGCGTGCATCTCGATTGGACGAGTTATAACATCAACACTTTGTTCCATTAAGAGGGTATTCACTATTCCGTTTGATTCTTCATCCTTCGTTTTCGGTATCTCATGTCCTCGCACCCAGCAAAAGCAAGCAGCAACGCAAGCAGCAACCACAAAAACCGACAACGCCCCTATGCTGCCCCGAAGGCCTCATCCAGAGCCACAAACGTCCCACTGCCCCAACCAAACCACTTCTTCAAACGCTTGCCCATTGAGCTCAGCATCACCGGATCAATAGTCGGCTCCGGATGCGGCCTGTGAAACACAATCACGCCATCTTCTTTCTTGAAGCTCACCGCGCTGCCGCTGCCTTGGACCACGGCGAAGCCAGCCTCGGTCATGGCTTGCAAGAAGTGCTTCCAGGCGTAGCTGCGGACCTCCACTTTGTATGTTGAGAACATCGCATCGAACAGGGCGAGATTCTCCGGCTTGAGTGGTATGCATGGGTTGACGTCTTGAGCAGTGGTGGTTGTTGGTGTAGTCTCCTCCACGGAGATAGTGAATTCTTCCTCCGGGGATGCCGCCTCATCGGTGGTGGTGCCGGATCTGCGTGTCTTCTTCTTTGAGCGAGCAGGGGTGCCAACGAACTTCTGCGGTCTGTCTGGGAGCGATGTCTGGAACGACAGTGGTGATGGCTTCAAATTCTCCGATGCAAGCGAGCTTTTCGTGGCCATGTACGCAGAGAACAGCTGCTTTTCATCCTCGAGAACCTGGAGATGCGCTGGGCTTTCGACTGCAGAAAGCGCAGCCCAGTCCTGGTCAATGAACTCGTATGGAAACCCATTGCGCTGTTGTAGCGCCTTAAGACCACCGCGAAAGGCAGCCCAGACCCTGGTGAGGTGCTTTCGAGAGTCTACGGCACGCTCAAGCCACGTGCTGTCCATCTTGCCCTTCGGCCACTGGTGATCCGTGTAGAAAGCCTGGAGATGCTGTGACACCTTGGTCTTTGCGATGATGTCCGGGAGACGGAGGTTCTGCTGGTATCCGGATATGAATTCCCGACGGTGCAAAGGCATCTCGATTTCGGGCTCAGATGGTTCGCGAGTCCAGGATCGATCGCACGTTATGTCGATGCGAATATCGTCGAGGACAGCCATCTCCGAGACCTGGCGCAAGAGCTGATCACTGAGACGGCTACGCTCCTTCGGGTTTGCATGTTGGAGATGATGGTCCAGCACGCGAAAGTGGAAAGCTGGCGCCATGGTAAATTCGCGGTAGTCGTCAAAGCCTAAGCTTTTCAGGCTCCAGAACAGCTTGTCGGTGTGGAAGGCATCTCCGTCATTGATTGTCGGGGCCCGAGTGCCATCTTCCTTGATGATACTTCCCCAGTCGTAGTTGCGTTCGAAACCACGTTGGAAGGGCAGGCTGCGAACAAACGTCAGCATCCGGTCGTCTCTGCAGTGTGAAGGCCTTAAGTGCTGCCCAGGCGCATACACCAGTCCACGGAGAAGTAAGAGAGCGTCGAGCTTACCTGTACTCAACCATCAAGATCTGTTGCACCAAGTGCTCGGTGGTCACGCCCCAGAGGGCGTATACATCGTGCTCATATCTCATTCTGGTCTCCCTGCTGGGCTCTCGTTTGTGCGCCTCGTGCGAATCGACCATCCTCCGGCATTCTGTCAACGTTTGGCGCCACCAGATGTATCGTCGAAACAAGTTGCAGATGATCTCATCGACGTACGTCTGCCAGCAGCTCTTGGAGTCCGTGCGCTCGAAGTACAGAGTGACTGCTAATTCGCGAACCAGGTATCGCATGTAAGCAGGATCAGTCTGTGCCATTTCGAGCTCATCACCTGATTGGCGATACATCGACTCGACCAACTCCAAGGTTCTCTGAGGATCGAACAAAGGTGGCGCTGAGAAAGGCTGTGTTGCAGACGCTCGTATCGACTGTGTAGAAGAGACGCCGAAGCTGAAGAAGCCATTTTGGACGAGCTGGTCCCACTTTGGGGAGGCGGCTGGTGCGGCAGGCGTGTTCTCGGACGCGCAATCACCTGCCAGAGGTGTTGCGGTGACATCCAGCGACTGATTCTCATCCAGGAGAGCCTTCACCATCAACCGAAGGAAGCGCATCATCTCCCGCTGAGCGAAGAGAACATGATGGGCTTTCTGGTACCCGACGATTTCCCAGCGATGGCTTTTCTCGGGATCCCACTTGACCAGCTTCATGCCGTAGTGCGGCCCGGCCATCGTCACACAGTGGCGGTTGAACTCCGGTATCAGAATCTCCCAGTACTCGGCAAGTTTGAGCTGATAGTTGTCAAACATCATCCACTCCTCCCGTTCGAAGCATCAGCATTCTCGAGCAAGAATCAACTTATGTCAGCGCCTCCATTAGGAGTACACTAGTCGTAGCTTGTGAGAAGACCTACCGGTGTGTGGCCAGTCCGATAGTGCAGCAAGCTCAGCAATACGAGCGGATCGCCGGCCAGCGTTTCCTCGTCCAGATATGGGAGCAGCCAACTCGTCTGATACCTCATCATCTGATCCGCAACCTCCATGCAATTGAGAGCTCTTAAGAAGTGTGGGGTGGCGGCATGGGCATAAGGGTCTTTGGCAAATTCGGAGCCTTTCAGCAGCTGCTTCGGGTCGATTTGAGGTGTCTCACGAGTGCGGTCAGATATTAAATGAATCGCCGCCCATTTCTTCTCGTGGAGGCTGATGCCATCACCACGCGGCTGAAGGAACCCTGAGGATTTCTTTGTGCCTTGGGAAAGGCTGTTCAGGAAATCGAGACGCTTGGCCTGGGACTTCTTCTTCCACCGGCTCACCAGGAAATCTGCGTGCATTCGTAAGGCTTGGTGGAGGAATTCGAGGTCAGAATTGATGCTTGAAGTCAAACCAGTGATGGCCTTGAGTGCCTCACTGTCCGAGACGCTGATTCTCGCTGGGAAGTGCTGCGTGAAGCAGGTCTCGCAGTCAGGTTCGCAGCCGTAAGGGTAGTTCGGAGGGCTGTTGAACTCTAGGCGGACGCCGCGCTTCTCCTGATACCTTCTCTCCTTGAACTTGTCCTGTTGATGGAGTGGGCACAGTCAGTCTTCTAACTCAGCAGGGCAACATGGGGTTGGGACTTCGTACGTAGTTGAATATGCCACTCTCGTGGGGAGGAACACGAACTTTGCGCTTGACTGCCATTAGGGTACCGATCGTTGTTCGGTAGCGTAGGTCCGCAATGTCCACGTTGTCACCACGGCTGCGCGCTTCACTGAGCTGGGCCAATGCCTCTTCACGACCCTTGCGTCTCGAAGACATGGTTGGAATGTTGTACTGTCGTGTGATGGGTGCGCCAGCGGTTGGTGTCGCGGAGTAGAAGTTCAGAGCAATGAAGAAGAAGGATGAGTGAAGATTAGGCAGAGCAAACTTAGCGCGTTTGGACGTGGCACGCGGTCACGTGTATGTCTCTCAAACAGCTTCTCCAACAAATTGGAACCAATATTGTGACCATGCCCTTGGTATTGCAACGACCCTTTTCGACCTGTAGAGCCATAAGGACAACAACTTGGGTTCGACCTGGCCAGGCAGTCGACCCCTCGCCTACATGCGGAAGCCCCATACCCTGGCGACACTGCAGCTTTCCGAAAGCAACCTGGATTGGAGCGTCTCGACGTGATGAGCCCGTGCCAATAGCATTTCTAATACGGACAGCTGGAAGACTTGAGGTACTCCTCGCTCTGGTAGGATGATGTGACAGGTCGCGCAACACTTACGCATAGCGATGCATTGTGGCTTCTTCAATGGGTCTACGCTCTACTCCCGACAGGCGTTGAGCGTGGTTCTTTGCATCTCTTCCATGGCCTGCAGATGATCTAATCGACAATGCCGGGCCAGTTGCTCAAACGGTCTTGTCGGTCTCAAAGCTCATGCCAGACAGCGATACGATGTGTCTGCCCTTGTTCTGACCCGGAAGATCGACTTGCCCATTGCCCATCCGGCTGACGGGTAGGCACAGCTTCTGGGATCCTTTTCGCCGTGATGCATGGATACGGTGTGTGCTGTCAAAGAGCGTATCGTTGAAGCCATGCTTCCAATTCACGGACATTTTAGAGGCAGAGTCATGCCAGTGGACTCATGGGAGTTGTTTGAAGCCCTTCGAGTCATTACGATAGGAACGACAGACCAGGTGTCGTCCGGACTGGCAATCGGCAGACAAGAAGCTTGTGAGGTAAGCGCACGGCTCGCAGAACTGCTCGAGCGGAGACGGTGACACGAAAACACCACCTACAAGCCGTCCGGCGCGTCCGCTATGTACAATCACGACGGTGCAGTCATGCACACATCAACAACTCGTGAGGGTCGACCTTAACATACTGTAGGACCACCTGCCCCGCAGGGCGTCGTTGTGGTTGCTTGGCCAAGAACGCCACCGCATTGGACGACGCTGACCACTTCGCTGACCTAAGGTTTATCGAAGCTGGACGCCTGAACACTTCGGTCGTGCCCGCAGCAAATATGGGAGACGAGCTGCTCTTCCGTAGCATGCATGTGCAGACTCGGACGGTGTAGGCCGCTCGCTACAGTAGGTACTCGGGCAGTAGGGTTGTCACTCTGTCAGCAAAGAATGTCTTTCGTAACCCGACCATGTTTCCTTCATTTCCATCTTGAACTTCCTTGCTAGAACTCGCCATTGGCAGCCACGCTTCCATACTCACCAATGGCCTCGACAGCAAGCTAAACAGTACCCCAGCTGGCGATAAGAGAAGGGCATATTCAGGCAGCACAACGAGCCGCCCAACATGGCTGGAAATGGATGGGCGAGAAGCTGTTGGGAGAAGAGCGGTTTGAGCCTACAGGTGCTGCTGATCCTGTTCAAGTAAGGCCATCTAATGGAAGAGCTATACGACGAAACTGACGACGAAAGATCCGCTCTTGCACCGACCGTAGCTCTTTGCCTGTTACTCAACGACCGCGTGGCGGCCTACTATGGCCCAGTCGGCTATATCACCGCCATCCTGTCGATCAATCCAGTACTGCCACAAGCTCAATTCCTGGAGCTGATGACCCAGCAGAGTTTTGGGATATGCCTTGCCACGGCAGCAACACTACTACAACTCTTTTGCGTGATCAAAGCCCGAGAGAACACCTCCCCGCCCCTTCCGCCTCCTCCTCCAAACCTCCCACCTACCGCCGCTCTTCCGCCTGTACCGTACAACTCGTCCGCAGCCGTCGTGTCTGCTGTCTGGCTGGTCTTCTTGGTGTTCCTCGTCTGCTATGTCCGATCCGCCAGACCGCAGCTGACGCTGGCATGCATCAACACCGTTATTGTTGTGGTTGTCACAAGCTCGATAGGACCGACGCTACCGAATATGCGTGCTGCGCTCACGTTCGCCAAACAGCTGCTCGTTATCAACCTCACGGGTCTGGCGCTGTCGGTGGCCGTCAACTTACTCATCTGGCCAACGACAAACCGCGGAGCATTCAAGCAAGATTTGAGGATGTGGCAACTGTGTATCGAAAGGTGTCTTGCCGCACGGGCTGCGGTCATGGACGAGCTGTGGATGCAGCTTCGGGCTGTAAAAGAAACGGAGAAAGAGGCCGCAACAACGACGGTCCCCACAGAGGGTGTTGTTGACACTGCTAGCCCAACACAGGAGCTTCTTGCTGTCGTCGACCGCATGCAGACTGACTTGCTCTATGCGAAGCGGGAATTATCAATCAAAAAGCTTACAGCGAATGATCTTTCAGCGATTCGAGCCTTGCTGTACGAGGTCTTGCAGCCGGTAATTGGCCTGATGTCCGGCGCTGATCGAGTCAAGAGGCTCATAGCCAACGTCGACATCCAAGCCCACTCAGAACTCCTCCTCGCTGAGCATGCGAAAGCCACAGAGGCTCAAGGCACCCTGATCGACATTCTGCAACATTCTCTCCAGATTTTAGGCATAGCACAAGGTTCTCGACTAGATGAGGAGGCGACTATGGGAGGTCTCCAATCACTCGAGAATCGAGTACAAATTCTGAGGGAGATGCGCCGTGAGAGGATTGAAGCATGGCAGCATGAATACGGTTCGCACACAGATAAGGGCAGCATGGAGAGCGAGCAGTCTCTTTTGTTTGTCGTGCTCGATGTGGGTTTTGTTGCGACCTACTTCTCTCCAGACTTTGACTGACCCTGCCTAGACCCAACAATTTCTCAACGCTGCCTGCGCAGCAGCACTCCAACTGGCGAGGTTCTCCCAGTCCAAGGTGACAGATGGCACAATGTCGAGCGTTCGACTCCAGCATCCTCGAATCTCAGACTTGGGAAGCGTTGTTCTGGCGATGTTCACTGGTGCTCACCTTCCTGGCAAGCAGCCAGCAACGACACGCCTTCCAGGACACCTGTACTCCAGAAATGTCATTGAACGAGTAGGAAACATACTACGGCAGGCTTCCCATACGCTCGAATCGCCGCACGCGAGCTTCGCTGCTCGGATTGCATGTGGAGTCCTTTGCTCGCAGATCCCGGCATATCTCCGCCAAACTCAGACCTGGTACACCGCACATCGAGCCGTGTGGGCGAGTATTACGATTGCGGGTTGTACCACACGTACGGTTGGACAAAGTGTGTTTGGGCTTGCGGTACGTTCTTCGAGACCGTAGCAGATTAGAGCTGACTCTCCCAGTGCCAATCACTGGGAACCCTAGCAGGATGCTTAGCGAGCCTGATTGCTTGGTACATTGTCGAGTAAGTCAAAACCGTGTCATGGCAGGATGCTGCTGACGAAGATGGCAGTCGCAAGATCCCAGGTGTAATCGCGTTCTATCTACTGCTGCAGACCATCGCGCAGTATCCAGCCCGCAGACACCCAAGCCTAGCACCCTTCAGTACGGCAACCGCAATCACGCTCACATTGCTCGTTGGCTATGAGCTAGAGAGTGAACAACTTGGCAAGCCTGCCGTAGAGGCAATGGGGATGCCGTACTATCCACCGTATCTGCTATCATGGATGGCACTGCTTGCGGTATGTTTTCCCTGTTTGGGCTTGCGGAGTGGAGGTCCCGGACGTGGCTAACGAACATGAGCAGATCCTCGCTGGTGTAGGAATCGCCGCTTTCTGGACGCTGTTCCCGTTTCCTATCCTGGAGTCCCAACTGCTCAATCAGAAGCTAGGAGACTCGATCAACAGCCTCGCAGAGTTGCATATGCGGACACATCTCGCCGTATATGACGCAGTCAAGTCGACCTCTTTTGACAACAACAAATCAGCACATCAAAGCCACGTCTCTCGTCTCCAGCTCCGGTTCATCGCCTCGCTCGCGGAGACGCGGCAGCTACTGGCCATGTCGAAGTTCCAGATCCAGATCGACGGTCGACGTCCCCGAAACCTTCACGCTTCCCTTCTCAACAACATTGAAAGCGTCTTCCGCTCCGTCTCCCTCGTCTTCTACGCAACCCGCACCTTCTCCACAATCGAAAGCGAAGCCGCGAGCTCACTATGGATGAACGAACTTCGCCGTGTCGCCTCTCGGAACGAGAACGTCGAGCTGCGAACGCTATCCGTCCTCTCGATCTGCGCGGACGCAATAGGTCGCGGCCATCCGCTCCCGCCTTTCATGGACATTCCGGAAACTTCGAGCCTTCTTGAGGCGCTCAAGGCGAGCCCGATGGACTTACTCAGTGCTAAGCACGCTCTTGAGCCTGGGTACGCAGCTTTGGCCGCCATACATGCTTCTGCCGAGATCGTGACGGACGACCTGAAGGCGTTGGTTAGGCTGACGGGAGAGCTCGTGGGCTCTGTGGAGTTCGTCGACACGCAGGGGAGCTTGGCGTGAGATGGCGAGGGCGGCTCGGTGCAAGATATATGCTATTGTAGTCTAGCTACACTACAAAAGCGAACGGTCTGGAACGCACGAGCTCATTCCGTCTCTCTAGGTCCTCGTGGTCATGGAAGACAACACGCTCCCTTTCGCTCGAAACTCCGGCCTTGACCACTCGCCACACGAATCGATGGTATTTGCCGTGCAGTTCCTCTGGCGGAGTAGCACCCTGGCCTACTCATACCAGTCAGCGCATTGTCGATCCCTCTACGAGCAAAGAACTTACCAAGTTGCCCCTTTTCAATCTCGCAAACGCATGTGTTGCAGTGCCGTGTCCGTTTCCTCTTCTTCTCAGCCTCCCGAACCATCTTGTCCCACTCGGATTCGATATTGATGGCGAACCATACGATCAGATTGCTGATGGAACCCGCCAAAGATACGCCCATCATTCCATGCAGGGTCCGGGTCGTGAGCCCAAAAATCCTTTGACTAGATCCGTCTGTGGATGGTTGCGGAATCCCGTATATGTAGCTCACGACTGCGATGATGAGGAAGGGAAAGCAGGCAAAGCAGGTTGGAATGATCAGGCCAAAAATCAGGAATTCGCGGGAAGATATCGACGTGTGACCGCCAACCCTCGCGAGACCGCGTCGCATAGCTGATGCGATCAGGAAGGAGAGGCCGCCGTTGAATAGCACGTACCCGATGGCTTGGTCGAAGAATTGGGCTTGGGTTAGTTCGTCCATTTTAGCAGAGGGTCGAAGGTCAGGCGGTGGTGGCGTTGTATGTATGCTGTGTCTGCTGATGTGGTGAACAAAGTGTAGCTTTCTGCGAGAGGAGGCAAGATCAAGGTTTTTATGCGCACTGGAATTAAATTGCGCTCACCAAGGTGTTGCGCAGCAGCTTTGCTGATCGTAGAGGCTCGGGAGGGAAGCAAGCCAGTGAGTTGTACCATGGGTAAGCTCGATAACCGACCAGTGGGGGGGAGACATAGACTCAAACTCACGTGGTTGCCGACGAATTCACACCGTCTTCCATCGCGTCGTGATCAAAACTGTATCCAGTAAGTTGGCAAGTCGAAGCAACTGGTCCTTTGACAATTCAGAACTTCCATCATCTTTGTCATTCCATTGTATGTTGTAATCTTTAGAGCATACACACGTCTCAAACCTCATACCACGCTTTTCGTTCCCCCCTACGCTCCGTTCTTCTCCGGTGGCGGCAGCGGCTCACAGTTCCAAATCTCATTCGCATACTCCTCAATACACCTATCCGAGCTGAAGAAGCCCATCCTCGCTACGGCCGTAATCGTCTTGGTCAGCCACTCGTCCTGCTGCTTGTACGCCTCGTTGATGAGCTTCTGCGTGTCGATGTAGCTCTTGAAGTCGTCGGACACGAGGTAGTAGTCGCCGTGCTCGACGATGCTGTTGACAAGCGCGCTGAACTGGCCGGCGTCGCCGAAGGTGCCGTTGCGGACGGTCTCGAAGACGCGCTTGAGCTGCGGGTCGATCTCGAAGCCGCCGTAAAAGTGGCCGTGGCGGAGGTCTTCGACGTCCTCGGCAAGGTTGCCGAAGAGGAAGATGTTGTCGTCTCCGACTTCGCGGGTGATCTGGATAGTGGATATTAGCTGATGTGGAAAGGCTGAAGGCTTGGGACGACGGAAGACTCACTTCAATGTTGGCACCATCACAGGTACCGATAATGAGACCTCCGTTGAGCACGAACTGTGAAATGTCAGCTTCCTTCTCCAATGAAATTACAAAGTAGCCGCTCACCTTCATATTGCTCGTGCCAGAAGCTTCCGTTCCGGCCGTGGAAATGTGCTCACTGATATCGCTGGCAGGTACGATAATCTCCGCCTTGCTGACGTTGTAGTCCTCCAAGAAGACCACCTTGAGCAGATCGCCAATATCCTTGTCCGCGTTGACGATCTTGCTGACCTGGTTGATCAAGTGAATGACCGTCTTCGCCATCCAGTAGCCTGGCGCCGCCTTGCCACCGAAGATGCTCACACGCGGCTGCATCTTCTTCCGGTCCTCTGGCGACATGTCCTTGAGCTCCAGATAGCGGTGGATGACGCCGAAGATGTTCAGCTGCTGCCTCTTGTATTCGTGCATACGCTTGACCTGGATGTCGAAGAGACCGCTCGGGTTGACTGGGATGCCCTGGGCTTCCTTGATGTATTTGGCGAGACGGACTTTGTTGGCATACTTGATTTCCTGGAACTCCTTTCGGAAGTCCTTGTCGTCGACGAAGTTCTCCAGTTTGTGAAGCAGGGTGAGGTCCTTCAGGAAGTCGTAGCCGCCGAGCTTACTGGCTATCAACTCGGAGAGGCGCGGGTTTGCTTGGTGAAGCCATCTGCGAGGAGTGATACCGTTGGTGACGTTGGTGAACTTGTCAGGACCATAGATCTTGACGAAGTCCTTGAAGATGGTGGTCTTGATCAGGTCTGAATGCAGCTCAGCAACACCGTTGACCTTGTGGCTGCCAATAACAGCCAGGTAGGCCATGCGGACCATTTTCGGCTGGCTCTCCTCGATGATCGAAACACGGCCGAGCATGTCGCGGTCTTTGGGAAAGCTGCGCTCGACGTACTGCAGGAACTGCAGGTTGATATCGTAGATGATCTGAAGGTGGCGTGGCAGCAGATGCTGGATAAGCGGCACCGACCACTTTTCCAGCGCCTCCGGCAGGACAGTGTGGTTGGTGTAACCGAACGTCTTCTGCACAATGTCCCAAGCATCGTCCCAGTTGAGACCTTCCAGATCGATCAGAATGCGCAGCAACTCAGGGATAGCGAGCGTAGGGTGGGTATCGTTGAGCTGAAGATGGCGTGGTAAGTACTTGGCATACAGGATAAGATGGCCGCGGACGCGGGCTAGTATATCAGACTTACCTGGATTGCGACCTGGTTCGGGAACTCAGACCACGCCTTCTTGGACTTCTTGAAGCGGCGCACAATGTCGAATAGAGAAGCAGCACACCAAAAGTACTGCTGCTTCAGCCGGAGCTCCTTACCACGCTCGAGGTTGTCGTTTGGGTATAGCACAGCCGAGATGGTCTCAGCACGCTGTTGGTCAGCCACGGAGGCCTCGTACTCGCCGGAGTTGAATTTGGTGAAGTCGAACTCGCCATGGGATGCCTTGCTGGACCACAGGCGGAGGTTGTTGGTCGTCTTGGTTCCGTAGCCTGGAACGGGGGCATCGTAAGCGACGGCAGTGACGATCTCGCCGTTCTCCCAGACGCTGATCTGCTTGCCGCTCTCGTCCATGTACTTCCTCACGCCACCGTAGAACTGAATGTCGACCGTGACGTCGTGTCGTGGGAACTCCCATGGGTTGAAGTCGAGCCAGTAGTCTGGGATTTCGACCTGATAGCCGTCGACGATCTCTTGCTTGAAAATGCCATATCTGTAGCGGAGAGCGTAGCCCCAGGCTGGGTAGTTGAGGGTTGCGAGGGAGTCGAGGAAGCATGCAGCGAGACGTCCGAGACCACCGTTTCCGAGGGCAGCGTCACGCTCCTGACCGATGATGTCCTCCATGCGGAAGCCAAGATCAGACAGGCCATCTGTAAGGGATGGTCAGTACTGCAGCTATGCTTTGGAAGTTGCTCTCACCTTTGGCCACGTCCTTCATGCCCACGTTGAGCATGGCATTGTCCAAAGCACGACCCATCAAGAACTCGAGAGAGAGGTCTGGAGGAGACGTCAGCTAGAGCTCATTCCTTGCCATGTCCTCATCCCACTCACAGTATACACGCTTCGGGTCCGCGAACGTCTGGTTCTGCTGCGTCTTGTTCCACTCAATGACGAGACGGTCACGGAACGCAAGAGACGTTCCTCCATATGCAGCGCTATCCTACAGTCAGTAGATATCCTCCCATCCAAGCAATGGCTGACCTACGCTTCATCGCAATTGAAGAGAGATCTGGCGAGGGTAGTCTCGATGTGCCTAACCACCTCTGCTTCGAAGTCTTCCTTGCTCGAGAACTCTTTTGCGGACTGCACACGAAGTCAACACCACTCTTCACATGTTCTGCCGAATCTGTAGCTGACTTACGAACTTCTTCCACCTACACGCCCAAACAAGTCAGCCAATGGCTCCCTCAATGCCAGAGATATGTGTATGAAACTCACGCAGCCCTCTGCGGCTCCGGAATGCTCGCCTCCACGCTCTTGATCTCCTGCGGGCCAAACCCCGTCACGGTCCTCTTGTGCTTCGGCCGCGACATGCCCACCGGCCCAACCGGCTCTTGAAAGTCCCCAATGGGAGCTGAAGAACTGGGCTTCCGCTCCCTCGTCCCGCTCGTTGTTTTGGAAGCCATGGTGTTGAGACCGTCTGCTCTTCCGGCACATTCGCACACGAGAAGTAGGAAGGCAGAGAAATAGCTGTGTCAACACCGCTCAATGGCAGCAAAGGTACCTGAAGTGATCGGCGGTGTAGAAGAGGGAAGGGGAAAAGAAGACGAAACGACCTTATGCAGGCTACTTTCGTTACGCGATCAGGCACGCCTCAACGAGCGACTAATGAATGCGAATGGCATAAGCTTCCTGCTTCTGACTTGAGCCGCATGCCGTTCGTGCTTGCACATGGAGCTCGGCCTCAACATGTGCGGAGTGTTGGTTGGTGACACCCCGCGCGAGCGTGGAAGGTGGGGTGAGTGGCTTGCATGTGAAAAATGAATTTGTGAGGGACGACGAATACAGCCACGCTTTTATGGGAGAGGCACGACAATGCTGGCTGTACTTGTAGCGTTGAGGTTCGAGATCACGTTCTCCGTGCGACTAATGTGCTGTCAACACAGCTCGCGGAAAACCATAAGGTACTCGGCGTGGTCCGGATCAACAGAGACGCATGTGGATCGCCCTCCAACCGCGCAACTATGTGGGTCGGTGCCATGGGGTCGAGAACAACAGGTGGGTCAGCGTTCTCTTCCCGCATAATTGTATGAAAGAGGACGCCATCTAGGTCTCCATGCTCCAAGTACAGCAAGTTGATTACAGTACCTACCAAAGGAATAATATACACAGCAATGCCCGCCCATCTCATCCAACGTCGTGAACTTTTTGTCCTTCGGCCGGAAGAAGGATCCCAAGAATGTCTTTTCCCTCAGTCCTCATCTTCTCGCTAGAAGATTGACCAGGTTGTCGTTCAAGAACTCGGGTACTTTCGCTCCCACAGCACCTTGGTTGTAGAGATGCTTCGTCAGGCCCTTGACCACCTCCATCTGCTCTTCGGCCGAAAGACCAGTGATTGCCGTCTCGATGACTGAGCCTATCGACGCCTTGTACACCGCGATGAAAGACTGGTAGTACATGAAGGCGAAGAAGCCCATAATGAATTGACAATCCATACGATCGGTCATTCCGCCGTGTCCCGGGATAGAGTCACCGAAATCCTTGATGTTGAAAGTGCGCTTGAGGCCAGAGGCGAAGAAGCCGCCGAATGGTGCGATGAGCGAGGCGAAGGTGGCCATGAAGAGGATGTGGAACTGCATCGGAGACACGGTGATCGTGGTCGGGAGGAACGTGTAAGTCGGCGGGATGAACGGAATCGTGTAGGTGTGTGCGATGAAGACCGGGTTCGGCTCGCATTGCAAGCCGGTGAAGACGTTGGCTCCAAGATCGTTCACTGGACAGATGAAGTACTTGTAGCGCATCAGAATGTTGGTGATGCCGCCGCCGATGAGGATGGTGCAGATCCATGCGCCCACGAAACCTGGAAGACAGATCAGCTTCCATTCCCGCATCTGCAATTAAATGCTTCTTACCTTCGACGGTCTTCTTCGGACTCAGCTTGATAAGCTGCGTTCTGCCGAACGTGATTCCGCAAACGTAGGCAAAAATGTCATTGGTGATGACGAGACTGACTGGCAAAAAGAACCAGATCATGCCTTCGAAGATGTTGTTCATGATGAAGTGCGCTTGCACGACAATCAGGTACAGCGCCATGTGGGTCCATGCGAACTGGGTGAACTGGAAGCGGTAGTGACCTTTCTGGAGAGAGGTGACGAAGAAGACGAAGCCTGGGATATCCATGTCAGCAAAAACGCTTGTGTTTGCTTTTCGATGTAGCTCAAGCTTACCCATCACATAAAGCATGAAGCTAATGAACCGGTGGTGCGTCGCGAAAGGCAACAGCACACGGTCGATCAGCACAATGTGCTTGAAGTAGTATATCACACTCTCGCCGTACAGAAAGTACATGGTCGATCCGAGAAAATACCAGTTTAGCGTTTTCGTGAAGCGCAGAGACCGAGCTCGCGATGGCACGTTGGCGATTGCAATAACCTCCTTGAAGCTGATGATCTGGACCGCTGTGACAATGATTATGACATAGATGTGGCCGGCGAACATGCTGCCGAAGAAGATGGCGATCATGACGAAGGTCCATACCGCGCGGGTGATGAAGGTCTGCTTCTTTTTGTCGTAGTCGGACTGCTGCGGCTCTTTGGGCTGTAATGTAAAACGTCAGTATCTGTTCGCTCTTCCACGTGTACACCGTCTCGTTTCTCAAGCGCATCTACAGAGCGTATTCGAAGCATACCTTCTCGTCCTCGTTGTCCGTTGCCCACCCACTCGCAGCCGTATCGGTCCTGTCATAGTGGGGCCTCTTGATATCGCCATTTCTCGTCGGACTTTTCGAGCCGTTGGCCTTCTCTTCAGTCGGGGAGTTTCTATCCATGTCCGGCGAGCTTCCTCTGCTCATGCGCCGCTGCCGGTTGAATTGGACGTTCCTCTTCATGCTCCGATCGATATTACGCTCTTGAGGTTGGCTAGGCGGTCGCAGCGCTCTGCCAGTTGTTCCGTGCTCGCGTAAATCTCGATCTGCTGCTCAGGCCGTAGGGATTGTTTGCGCTTCTCCTATCAGCACGTGTCGCAGCGCGGAAAGGCCGGGTAGTGCTGCTGTTGGTGGTTCAGCGAGCAGCGTTCTGTATCGCAAGCATCGCCCGCGCCGTGTTTGTAATAGACGGTCTGTTGGAGCGCAAAGTGAAGCGCTGTAGCAGGACGTCCAGGTTGCTGTGTGGAAGTTAGAGCCAGCTTCTGCAGTGTGACGAAAGCGAAGCCACGATCATGTGAATTTCGCGTTTGTCCCGACCTTCCGCCGGGAGCCTGGACCGTGCACCTAGCGGCCTTCGGATGAATCAACAACATGAACTCCTGTTGAAGACATAAAAACACGAAGAATGATGAGATGACATTGGCAGATGGAGACTGCTAGGACATGTAATGGACGACGACGACTTCGATGACGACGGTCTGGACGCCATTCCGGACAACGCGCTACAACAGCTCGAGCAAATTGCATTCACGTCCACCCAAGGAGCGAGGCCAAATAGTCCCAAGGCACCTCAAAGAAATGGCATTCAGACGTATGGAGCAACGGGTCTGAGCCGTAATGGCAACTTTCACAAGAACGGATGGCGGCCACCGCAGCCTCGAAGACCTGTTCAACAGCCAGTCCGAAGTCAACCACCTGCCAGTGCCCCTGACCCGCCATCTTCTGACTATGGATTCGATGATGAGGATGTCATTGATCTGGACGAGTCTTTCACGCATGTAGATATGCAATCTACTGCTCTTCCTACCCGAGCAAGAACAGCGACTCCAGCACCTGTTCCCGAACGCCACAGTCGGTACGACTCGAAGCCACCTCTGGATCCTGAGACCGAGGCCGCTTTTGCTGCGGCGGACGCAGAGCTTGGTGCTCCTCAGCCTGGTCCTTGGACGCATGCGCCGCATCTGCAGCCGAAGCCGGACGATGGCGCCGACGTGTGTGGTTTGCAGGCACGCATTGCGGAGCTGGAGGGCGAGAGGGAACGGCTGCGAGCCTCTGAGGAAGCAGCTCAGCGAGCTGTCCAAGCAAAGCTGGGTGAGATCGCCATTGTACGATCGAACCAGGAGAAGGCAACCAAGGAGTACGAGCGAAGGATCTCGGTCATGCAAAAGCTGCATTCTGATGAGTCGGCTAAGCATAAAGCCAACCTGGAGGCCAATAGGAAGGAGCGCGAGAAGATGGAGACTGACAACAGGTTCTTGCAGCATGACTTGGCACAGGAGAGTGAGAGAGCAAAGCGGTTGACGGGTCCAGGAAAGACACGCACTGCACCGGCCGCTGCCGGAACGCCGAGGAAGGCGAGCAGATCAGCACTAGGCGATGGCTTTGCTGATGATGAAGTACATGTGATCAGCCCGAGCAAAAGCAAAGACAGGTCTCGTGATCAGACACCGAAAGTAGGTGCGAAGAGAAAACGGCCAGCGCAAGACAGCCCCGTGGCACCATTATCTTTTACGCAGCCTCCGAGACGCGAGAGTACCGAGCAGCAGCCGACTGTTGTCGAGGTCAAGGTGGACGAGAGCCGTGCCAGATATGCTTTCATGCAGCGGACGCTCAACCACCGTCCTTATGAGGGGCACCAACGCAGCGTGGAGGCTTTGAGCAGACATGCTCTGCCTTCGAATGGCAAGGAGTCGCTGTCTTCCATGCTCTTGGCCTCTCTGACAGCGCCAGCGACCCTCAGCGAAGAGAACCTCCCGCTGAAACTCTCGCGCATCATGCTCAGGCTTTGGCGGCGTTGCCTCGAAGAGGAATACTACAAGGCTATCTACCTGCTGCTGGACATGATACGGTTTGCTCTGCGTGGCGAACTCGCAGACACCAAATGCCAGCTCATCGAGGAGGCGATGCCAATCTGCGTGAGGACTCTCAATTTGATGACCGATGCGGTCTTCCAGGCCTCGACCTATCCAGCTTTTACCTCGAGCGCTGAGTATGCACATACGCAGAGCAACATTGCGCCATATATCGACGTGGACGAGCTCCTCGAGTTTCTCCAAGAGATGTGCGACGCTGCCACGCTGTCCGCCGACAACACCCAGCTCTTTTGGCGGACCGTTGATTTCAAGTCGATGCTGCTCGTGCTGAACAGAGCGCAGCCTCTTTCACAGATCACGACCGCTTTGCACATATTGAAGGCGTCTTGCCTACCTGGCTCATTCGGATGCATTGCCGATCCGCATGGCGAGGAGGGAGCCCAGAAGCAAGTACAGCAGGAGAAATCTACGATCGAGCGACTTACGAGCATGCTTTTTGAAGTGCCTCAAGCACCCAGTGATGAGCCTGCGTACACAGATCGGGAGATCCTCACCTACAGACTAGAAGTCCTAGCAGTGCTGAAGGGCCTGTGTCAATACGATCACGGCGGTTTGCAGTTGGCGCAGTATCGGACAGCGATTGGACGACTCATCCGCTTCCTGGATGCTCAGGTTTGCCGACTCTACACCACCCAGCCGACGATAGGACTACCAGTCCAGAACAAAGACCCACCAGTGCACACTTTAGTAGCGCAAACGATCAACGCGACCGTCCGGCTGATCTACCACTTACTCCGCGCCCACTCAGAAGTTATCAACCTCCAGCAGAAACTCGCGGTCTTCAAAGGCGGTTGGCACAAGTTCCTCATCTCCATGACCCGCATCGCCTTCAGCGATCGGTTGGTGTTCGAAGAGGGTCTCGATGAGGAGAGCGTGGAGGCTGCGCATCAGATTTTGGATGGGGTGCTGAGTCCGGAAGAAGGCGAAGCGGTGGTTAGGGCAGTCGAGACGCCGAGGGGCACAAAGGGCAGTCTGACTGAGAAGGATACTTCGAGTGAGAGTGACGATGCGATGGAGGAGGAGCCAGGCTGAAGATGGAAATCATATATAGCCGTCACGATGTTCGAACATCTGTACTTTGCCGACACCGGCGCCATTGAAGTCATCTCCACACCCACGAGTCATCGTACCCACGGCACTCGATCTCCGCATCGACACAGTAGATGGCGAGGGCTATCTGCCGGTGTTTATTGTTTGACAGTAAGGTAATATACTGCCATACTTTTATTTCTCTCAAGTTACATTCGCAGCATTGGAATTGATAGATTCGTCACGATGGAGCTACCAAACACCGTAGGATGGATCGGCTTGGGTGTAATGGGCCTCCCAATGGCTCGCAACCTCCTCAAGAAGACTAAACAAGATACGAAACTATACGTCTTCGATGTGGTCGACGACGCAGTAAAACAACTAGTATCAGAAAGCAACGGCCGAGTCGAAGCATGCGCAAACTCGAAAGACGTTGCAGATAAGTCCGTATGGCATGCTTATATGTCCCCTTACATCAAATGACCTTGGCTGACTTATCTTCCAGACTGTGATACTCTCCATGGTCCCAGAAGGTAGCCACGTCCGCTCCGTCTACCTCACCCCAGACGCGGGCGTCCTGGCCAGCGACCTAGGCTCCAAGATCCTAATCGACTGCTCGACAATCGACACTGGCACCTCCCTCGCCGTGCGCGACGCTTGCTCTGAGAAACACCCTAAAGCCACCTTCTACGATGCACCAGTATCCGGAGGCGTTATTGGCGCTGAAAAGGCCACACTAACATTCATGGTCGGCTGCAAGAACGACGACCCCAATGTCCAGCTCCTCTTAAACCTACTCGGGTTAATGGGCGGCAACATCTTCCCCTGCGGCGGAGCTAGTCTAGGCCTGACGGCAAAGCTCTGCAACAACTACTGCTCCGGCTCCATCGCCATCGCCACGAGCGAAGCCCTCAACATCGGCATCCGCAGCGGCATGGACCCCCGCGTGCTAGCAAACATCTTCCACACCTCGACCGCGCAGTCCGCGATCCTGGACGACTGGAACCCGGTCCCTGGTCTCTGTCCGGAGGCTCCGGCGTCGAAGGGTTACAAGGGCGGGTTTAGGGTGCAGTTGATGAAGAAGGATTATGCGCTCGCGGTGGATACGGCGAAGAGGGTCGGGGCGGAGTTGGCGCTGGGAGGGGCGGGGTTGAAGGTTTATGAAGATGCTAGTGTGGATGAGCGGTGTAGGGATTTGGACTCGAGGGTGGTGTATAGGTTGCTTGGCGGGAGGGAGGATTGGAGGGAAGATTTCCCGGAGGAGGTGGAGATGAAGCGGGATGCGACGAGGAGGGCGCTTCAGGCTGGGAGGGAGCAGTTGAAGAGGGGGGGGCAGTAGATGGACGTAGAATTGCCTTTCAACAACTTTTTCGAGGGTAAGGTGGCTCATTCTTACCAGCACCAACCAGCCCATACTAGCCACGAGACCTTCCAAGGAGACGCTTGGCCTCTTGTTCTCCCGTTTCTGTTGGGACAAGGAATATGCAATGGCATCTATGAATAGATGTGGTCTGTTGGTCAAGTCGAGAACTGCCGCCATACTTGGTAGAATGTCCGTTGCAGCCCATTGAACACCGAGCCCAACGCAGGAACCCAGGGCGCATGCTCGCTTCGCAACAGAATTGCAATCAGGGCAAACAGAACCGCCGACCCTGTCAGCGTGACCGGCCGCCTGTAGCGCCGAAGGAACAGCTGAGCCTGCTGTTGCGTCCGCATCAGGGCATCGCGCCGCCTTATCTCTGCTGCTTCTTTCCAAAAGTAGCGCTGGCCGTCGGCTAATGTTTGCTTCTTGGGGTCGTGGTTGGGTCTCGTAGTCTTCAGGACACTATTGGATGAGATATGCCACCATGCCCGACCTGGTAGCTTCTCAGGCGGATGTTGATGGAAAAGCTCTGCGGTCTGCTGGATGAGACTGTCCAGATCGAGCGGTTTAGGTAGCTTGGAGAGGACGGAATGAAGCATTTCCGGCTCGTCGGCTTCGATCTCCAGCAGCTGCTCTTTCCGAGAAATGACTACCTGCGCACGCTGTTAGCGGTTGATTGTACCGTCGGCGCAACAGACCTACCACCGCGAACAGGTATATCGATACGACCGCCTCACTCGCCAGCAGAAAGTCAAATAGCCTTGCGATCTGGCCATACTCCTCGATCTCGTGAGCATACAACGTCAGGGTAGCAGGCAAAGCGAAGAATGGTTGCGTCTGGGATAAATGTGAAGCTAGAGCTGGATCTGCCGCATATAGAACTGCCGGCAGTAGTCGCAGGTGAGGTTCTGTACCAGACATAGTAGGAAGCATGAAGTCGCGGATCCTGAGCAGGGATAAGCGAGAGACTGCGTTGACAGCTGCGTCGCCGCCCAACACGAGTAGGAAGACTTGGACGATGTCGTGGTAGCCTTGGAAGTAGTGGAGCATTGGGTAGCGGCGCAGGACGATGAGAATGAGTTTGGAGAGTTCTTGTTTCCGGGCATCTCGCTTCTCGTCTGATTCACCTGCGGCGTATCAGTACTGGCATGGTCCTCGTCCGAAGGTATGGACTTGGGCACGAACCCTGCGGGTAGTAGACGAAAGAGCGGTCGACGTCGAGTTGCACCTGTTCTTCATCCCGGTGAGGTGGTGGGTCTGCGCCCTCCCATCCCACGCCCTTCTCGCAGCCTAGAAGCAGTGGCCCTGAGCGGTGTTAGGCATAATGGTTGTCAGGTTGCGCGGGATGCGGCGTACTCACAGGCTATGCGGCGTACTTCATCGTCCAACAACCCCCCTTTAGACGCTGCAAGCTCACGGAGAGCCGCAACGTCGCCGTTGCTGCAGGCCACATTCAGACTGTGAAGTTTACGACTGCGTGTATCGAAGTCTCTCTGTGCGGCGTCATTACTGCCAGCATCCTGCCTGCTCAACCGAGGCTCTGCAGTGGGTTGGTGGGACTCCATTGGGCAGCGGCGTACGACTGGCGAAGAATATTCATCCTGGACTGCATCCGCAACGAGAATTGGACAGCATCTCGGTCGTTGTGCGCGCGGCGTACTGTTCTGGGAGGCGCAAGTAGGACATACCTGCAGACGCAGCTGACGCTAGCGGCTCGCTCGCCTGTCCACCCACCTCCCTGGAAAGCTTCTTCGCCTGATGACCCAACCTTGCCCTTCTACGTGACGAACAGTCGGGTGCCATTATTTGGAAATCGATCACGACGAACCCTATCTACTGGTCAGCGGAGAAAAAATTATGCCCCATCTGGACGGAAGGACACCAACGGACCTATAGCACACGGCCTGTATCCGCCCTGGCGGGTTGGGGGACGGGTGTGGTTGCATCAACCCCTGCCACCCCAAGGTCCTGGCTCGTCTAGCAAGCAATGTGAGCTTCTGCACGCCTGTTCCGAGATTCGAACGCTGATCTGACAGGTCGCAATTCTGGTAGCGAGAGCCACCTGCGTCGGTAAGATCAGTATCTTTCTCTTGTATCCCATGTCGACCTCTCACACCCTTCAAGCCAATCACCACGCTGTTTTCCCACTATTTCAATGACGAATATGGACGCGGATCAGATGCTGAGATGCAAGGCAGCAGGTCGTGTCACATCCTTTGGCGGCCGCCGCACAGTTTCAAGGGCGGCCTCGACGGGCCATGCATACGCAGTAGCGAAGTGCGATCAGAGCTCATCCCTCCTCTCTCGCCCGCCCATGCCGGGCTTGGTATGCTTCCAAGGAACGCCCGCAAATGCCTTGTTTACGCCTGACAGATGAAACAGTTGAAAGCAAGACAGCTGACCCAGCGAGTTCCAGCTGTCGAGGCTGAAGATTGCTCTTGCTGAAGAGCAGCTGTGCGAGTCCGCACGTCCGTGAACAGGCACCAATGCGGTTGATCAGCTTCACCATCTCCATCCCTGGAAACGTTCGAAGATGGCGGCGACACCCTCGCGGGACGAAGCAAGCAGCAGAATGGTCGGCGTCTTGACGAGGACAGTCGCTCAAAGCCCCGTGGTCCGGTGGATACTTCACGCTCGGATTCGCCGGAGATACTACAATGATGTCGTCTTCGTTGGAGAAGACTACGTTCAGGTCAAACGAGTCAAAGATGAGGATGACCACCTCGAATACGTGGCAACGAAGACAGATTTCGACACCCGGATCAGAGCAGCCAAGACTTTCAGCAATGTTCCGCCGACGGACGACGACGATTTCCCTGTCAAGCTGGAGGGTCAGAGTTCCAATACGACAGAAGTACCGCCGCAGTGCATCGTCCTGACTACAGATTCCAACAATCTGCTGTTCATCCATATGGTTGAAGCTAGCTCTGGAACATGGTGCTTCGTGCAGCAGGCTTGTCCCACGCCCACGTTCGATCGTACTCTCTACCAGCCCGGAGAACACCTTGCAGTCGACCCCTATTCTCGAGCGCTAGCTGTAGCAGCCAACGAACGCGAGGTTGTCATCTACTCAGCGAAGCCGAAGGAACGCATCCAACACGAAATGCAGACAGCGGACCAGAACTGGTGTCCAGTGTCTGCTCAGCGGCCGCTCCAGGTTGACGGGGTCATACAGCATATCGACTTTCTCTTCCCGCCTTTGGACGACAACGGATCGCATAACGAAGATCAGATCCTGCTTCTGCTGATCGTAGCAGATCAACGAAGGACGAGGGCGCTCTGGATCGAGTGGTATTTCGAGTCTGACCTTCACCACGCGACGGTACACCGTGGCCAACTTCTCGAAACCACCAGCTGTGTACCGAGCCTGCTGGTGCCGCTACGCAATGCTGCATTCCTCTTGATCAACGGGGATGAGATAATGCACTGGAGACATATACTTTCCGGCGCAGCGGTGTCGAGCGTCATCCACTACACTGCTGGCGAGCCGGTATTTCCCGGCGCTTCACCAAGAAAGCCGATGTGGGCCAACTGGTGTCGACCTGTACGAGGCTCCGAGGCTCGAGATGATACGGACTTCCTTTACCTCATCCGCGAAGACGGCGGTGTCTTCCTCTTCCACATTACTACGTCCAGCTTCGTCGACCATTGTCATGCAGGCGACCTTGACTGTCACGTTGGCTCAGCCTTTGCGTCTCTTGGTCATCCCGGAGGACCAGACATCTTAGCAGCGGCTGGCGATATGAGCGGCGGTCAGATAAAGTCCATCGGAACGCGGTTCACGCCCTTCAAGCGCACCCAAATGAGCAGACCGGATAAGATGCCTATGGAGCTGATTGAGACAGTACCGAACTGGGGTTCTGTGACTGATATGGTCACGACAACTCTGCCGGGAAAATCATTGCGGTCACGAGACGGCATTTTCGTAACGTCATGCCGGCAGCCATACGGGGCTATCACAGAGCTGCGGCGTGGACTGGAAGCTCCTGTGTCAATATGCTTCGATATAGACCTCCTACGAAGTGTCTCCGATGTCTGGGCGATACCTTTGACCGCGTCGGGTCATATAATGCTTGTACTATCTAGCCCTATGGGCACTCGCTTGCTCGAAATGTCCATTGATGCAAGCGAAGACGAGATCACCGAGATTGAAGACACGGAGATCGCAATGGACTCTGCTCACCGGACACTCACTGCAGCCTTCACACTGGATGGAAAGATTGTACAAGTTACGGAGCGAAGCATTTGTGTCACTGCGGGCATGCCGGTCAACTTTGAAGACTGCGCAAGGATTGATTGCGAGGGCGATGGCGCTAATCTCGCAGCTGCAGTCGAGCCCTTACTATCGTTCATGGTGGTGGCGGAGAGATCAGGCAGAACCGAGCAAAGCTGCAGATTGCTCTGCTGCACTATTGATCCCGCTGCTTCCGGCAGACAGCAGATAAGAGAGACAGGTCAATGTGAGCTGGCGAGCGAGCCTCTTGCTGTGGCCATATCGCAGCGATCGGTATATGTCACAACGGCCGATAGCAAGCTTGGCACATTTGCCGTGGCGGAGGATGGGTCCATACAAGAGGTCGGTTGGCACAGCATTCCCGGTCCTGCGGAGGCCACTTGCGACAGCATTGTCGTTCTGCACCCTGCTGCATCGCAAGCACCGACCAGCTCGAAAGCATTGATTGCGTGCGGTCTACGCGATGGAAGAATATACACCCGTGCGACTGACTTGAGCACCAACGAATACCTCGATGACGGCCGAATGATCAGCTTCAGCCAGAGCAAGGTAAAGCTGGTGCAGCCAGCTTACACGCACTCCGATGCGTACGCAATCAGCGGCCTAGACACATGTCTCCTGACCTGGGATGGCGGAACGACTTCGCCATTACAGATCCAGAACATCTGGTTGTCAGACAAGCAGCGACCAGAGCTGGCACAAGGCCCGACAGCAGCGTGTACGCTCATGCCACCAGCAAATCTGCTGTCCTCCCCGAGCTCATCACCAAGCCTGGCCGACTCTTTTGTGGTGCTGTCCGGCGATGAGTTCTTCGCTGCAGCGCTTGAGCGGAACGTCACGACTGTCCCCAGACAGATACCGGTCAGTGGCACTCCAAGTCGGCTGATCTACGCAGAGCAACAACGCTGTCTCGTGTGCGCCTCGTTGAAGTATGAAGTCAGATCATTCCCATCTTCTCTACCACACGGCAAGCCGGAAGAACGAAGGCAAATATACCCGGTGGTCGACTTCGTCCCAACACGCAACAACACACCTACCTATACGCACGAAATGCAGCCTGGCGAACGCGTGTATGCGCTGTTAGAGTGGTCGTTCAAGCAAGCAGACGACAAGACGTACTCTTTCATCCTCGTGGGAGGCAGCTACACCAAGTCGAGCGGCTCCATCAGAGGTCGCATCACTTTTCTACAGCCTATCAACAAGGGCTGGGAAGTCAAGGATGTCAAGGAGGGTCGCAGTATCAGCTTCGAAGCTCCTGTCTACGCGATGGCGCTGCTTGATGATTTGGTGTTCGTGGCTTGTACTGGCAAGACGGTTGTTGTCTTTGGCTTCGCCGAGGAGGAGAAGAGGTGGGAGCAGCTCTGCAAGCCCTTCGACCTCGCCAGCGCAGGAGTCTATATCACTGCATCAGCACGGAAGATCTACGTCTCCACCAGCGACGACTCACTTGTCTGTCTCGAAATCATCTACCGGTCCAATGGAAGCGACTATCCATGCACGCTCCGACTCAGATCCGCTGGTCCACGAGCCGAGCAACTACTCAGCCATCTCGTCCTACCCTCTCCCTCAGACAACACGCCCACAACAACCCTCACAACATCCAAACACGGCCAGATCACCGCCCTCACCCACCCAATCGCCACAAACTCCCTCTCCTCCACCCTCCTCTTCGAAGCCCAACTCCCACGCTCCCTCACCCGCCTCCGCCAATGCAACATCCGCCCCCGCTGGAAACCCTCCCCGCCCTTCGGCGTCCTCGTCGATAACATCCTCGGCTGCGCACCAGACGGCTCCCTCATCGGCGTCACGCTGCTCGATAAGAAGCTCTGGCGCCGATTGAGCTGGCTCCAGCGCCTGTGTGAATGGAGCGAAGAGCTTTCGCCGCATTCGTGGCAGACGCCTGAGTACAGCGTCAGCGAAAGGTCGTTTGCGAGGGACGAGCGGGTGATGCCTGTTGGTTTGGCAGGTGGGGAGAGGGAGGAAGTGGTGATGCGGACCGGGAAGCCGAGGGCGAGCGATGGGCATGTAGATGGAGATGTGCTTGCGCGGTTGATGGAGGGTGGGGCTGCGGCTGCGAGGGAGAGGTTGGAGGCTGTGCTTAAGGAGATTGCTGGAGGGGATGATAGGGCTGGGGAGTGGGTGCGGAGGCATTTAGATGAGGAGGTTAGAGCTGTGCGGGAGGTTGTGGAGGTCTTGGAGAGGGTACTCGGGTGCTGCTTATGATGATCTATGATGGCAGTGATACATGATGGCGAGTGTTTGATGGCGTTTGAGGATTGGGTGGTAGGTAACGTGGCATTTCTTTGCGGAGGAATCGGGCAAACAGGACAATCCTTTTGAGACGGGAGAGAGCGTACGCTCCTCTCAAGCTGGCGGTGGAGTAGTCTTTCGGTGGCTTCATGCAATCATTTCTCATGTCTCCTGCGTGGAATGCTGCTCTGTGCTGATCCCTCTGTCTGCTTGCGTCTCGTGCTGCTCAGTAATATCCTCCAAATACCCCATTCGCCAACCCCCCCTCCGGCACCTGGATTGACCTCCGCCAGCTCAAAGTCCAAGCAACGACCTCGGCGTAGCCGCCGCAAGGTTCGGCCGCGTTACGAACCGTCCACCACTATTGCTCAGCCCATAGTACGTCTCGCCGCCCGCCTCGCCGATGCTTAGATCCTCCACATCTTCATTCCTTCCTCTCACAGCAGCCGCCGTCCAATCGCTCGGTATCGGAGGAAAGAAGCCGATTGGAATCTCACCAGACCCGTCACTGATACTTCCATACCCTTTCCCATCCTCGTTTGCCTCTAGGAGCCAGTGAACCTTCGCTTTGGCCTTCAAGCCGATCGGGATATCATCAGAATTCTCACTGATACCCTCATGCCCAATCTGAGCCTCGGTCGGTCCCAGGACCCAGTGAGCCTTTCCTTTGCCCTTCCAGCGCGTCGTCGCCACGCCTTCTGGTGGCAGCAAGCGCTGACTTTCCCAGCCGTCATCGCTCTCGTCGTCAGCCACCATACCCGTCAACTGATCCATCGCTCTGCTTGCTGCCCTGCCTGCTGCCTTGCCTGCTTCTTTCACGCGAACGATTGGACTTACTTTGATGAGCGGGTACCTCAAGACGGCTTGAGCTGGTTTGCTCCATGCCGTTCCGTGAATGCTGATGTTGATGTGCGATACCCTGGCCGTAGCTTTGCTCTTGTAATGCATTGAGTTGTAGAGCTTGCCTGGAGTCAAGTCGGCGGTCGTCCAGCGTGGGCTTGGCCGCGGTGGGTCGGGTTCGCCACGCCAGAGCTTGGAGACGGCGGTGAGGCAGCCGCACATCTTTGCTGTCTGGATGTAAGTGGGGTTAGCCTGCTTGCATATGATTATCTGGGAAGTCGGCTGTGACTTTTGCTGGGTCATAGTACGTACTCGTCGGTCGTCGTGGAAAGAGTATGGACAGCGGCCGCGAAGGCCGCTGTGATGTATCTCGTTGAGTCTTGCTATCGTATAGAGTCGTGTTGTGTGTCGGAAGGTGTCGATACGAGGTTGTGCGAAGTCTTGAGTGAGGGTTGGAAGTGATATTGACGTTGGGTTCCACAGACCGTTCACCATATACCACGCAGATGCAATGGCAGGCAACCTCCCCCAACCTCACATCGCCCATGGCCATCTCGATCGAACCCTTGCCCTCGATCCATGTGGAGATAACGATCGTGGCGATTAGAAATCACATCAATGTGGCAGGCAGCTCAAGCTCAACCTCACGGCATCAGGTCACGGGACTCTCTTTATACCCACAATCATCTTCCCAAGACCCTCCACCAGCGCCTCCTTCTCGACCTCAGCTTTCGCTCGCTCCGCCTCTACTTCCCTCAGCTCGACCTGAAGCTCCCGCATGCGCTTCTCCTGGTCCGCCTCACTGCTCCCCAGACCGGGTAGGCTGTTGATCAGATACTCAATCTGCTGCTCCTTGATGACGAGGTCTCGAGCCAATTCATGAAGTGCTGCATTGAATGCTTGAGGCTCTTCCGGTGGGGGTGTTCCTTCACGGCCTGGAGCTGGTTGCTGAGGTTGTGAAGTCGTTGTGACAGTCCCGTTAGTCTGTTCTGTAGATCCGGCTCCGTTGGTAGTTGGCTCAGGCGCTTTCGGTGCTTGAGATGGCTGGCCTGGTATTTCTCCATATGGGTGGCGCTGGCGGATGTACGAGATGGACGCGTACATTTGTGTGAGAAGCTAGGCCAGATATCAGTTGAACGTGCGGACAGCGATACTTAAGGGTCAGCGGCTTACATCGTCCAGGCAGTCCTGGAGCTGCGTGAGCTTGTCCGCCATCTTCGTCTTCGAGGACAGTACTGTGTTCGCAAGAAGGATCTGGGATGTCGAGGAGAGATGGAGATAGACGAAGCACGTGAAGCAAGTGAATGTTAATGTGGGGCGTTCCTGCGCCGGAGCGAGCCGACTTCGCCTTCACTTGCCCCTTCCTAGAGCCACCAACGACTTGCGCGATCTCTCTCACTGCGACTTCAATCTCATCACGCGATGAATGCAACACATGCTCCGTTGCTTAGTGAAAAGCACGCCATGGCGAGGGACTCGATACTCCCGATCGCGAGTATTACCATCTGTTGCGCAGGATGAAGTGCGATCGAATGGAGCCCGGTGGAGCTCAAGCGCGAAAGACGATCATGGCAGTGAAGCAACATCACCAAAGCGAAAGCGTGGACGGCCTAGGAAGAACGTCGAAAGTCCAGGAGAAATTCCCTCAGAAGCATCAACCCGGACTGCCAAAGCGAAACGAGCTGGACCATCTATACCAGCTGGCCTGATTGTTCAAAGGAGCCTGCATCACTGCGACCTTGCCTCGTTCCTGGAGTACACCAGCAGCATCGGGGCGGACCCCGATTCTACCACCTACAGAGGGACGCACTACGAATACACTGTCGCCGCTGCGCTTCACTCTTTCGGCTTCCAACTACAGCGAACTGGTGGTTCCAATGACCTCGGCATCGATCTTGTGGGCGCCCTCGCGCTGCCTTCGTCAAGCAGCCCAGACAGATCATCTGGACGAGCCAAGGAGACTCTCAGCTCCAGCGCCCCTTTCGAGCTGAGAGTGATCGGGCAGTGTAAGATTTCTCGACCGGAGCCACGGATGGTGCGTGAGCTAGAAGGAGCTTACGTGGGCGCGCCTGCGGGTTGGAAGGGCCAGCACGTTCTGGCGTTACTTGTCTCACATGGCTCGTCCACTAAAGGGGTGCGGGATGCTCTGCAGAGGAGTCGGTGGCCCTTGGCCTTGCTGCAGGTCACCGCTGAGGGCTGGCTGAAGCAGTTCTTGTGGAATGCAGCTGCTGCAGAGGCGGGACTTGAAGGCTTGGGTGTGACGGCGCGACACAGCGGTGCTGATGCTGATGAGGGCCGGCATACGATTGCGCTGACGTGGATGGGCGAGCCCGTGAGATTAGCGGGTTGATCTTGAGGCTGATCGCACAGATCCTGCCGCTCGCGCATGCTCCAAAACTTGCAAATACAGTAGATGATCTTAGGCTAAGGTATCTTGATCATCCACAACTCCAATCCAACCAAACAGCTGCCCACCTCTCTTCATCGTTTCCGCTGCGCCCCTCTCATCAACATCCCCACCCCCACTGCTGCAGCCGCCGCCAATCCACCCACAATTGCAACGCCCACCATGCCCTCCTTAGCCACGCGGTCGTCAATCAACTGCCTCAGACTCTGCGCCTGCAGATTCCCGCCCTCAAACTCCAACAACTGATCATTGTACCTCCGGGCCTCTGCGTAGTTTCCAAGCTTGTAATTGCCGAGGGCGAGGTAGTAGAGGCATTCGCGGCGGCGGTCGGGGGAGGCGCGGAAGATGTCGGAGAGGAGGCGGACGCCCTCTTGCTGGTCGGAGCGCGAGGTGGATTTTATGAGACCCTGGCGGGATGGTCAGCAACGAACAGGCGTAAGTAGGGTGGGAAGGAAGGCGCCGTACCCAAGCGTAGTTGAACTTGGTCTGGAGGGAGACGTATTCGCCTTCTTTCTCGTACTGGGCGCGGAGGACTTGGAGTTCGGCTGGTTTGAGAGGTCTGTCGTTGATGCTACGTTAGCATATGACACGTCGTAGCCGTGTCATATCAGTCGCGGGTACTGAATGGAAGTTAGACATACGACTCAGCATCAGCAGCATCTGGTAGCCATGGCATATTAGCGATCTTTCTCTGGTAGTAGGATGTTGAGGCGCATCGATGCTCGCGGCGGCGTTGTTGGACTGATGATGAACTCACATGGCAGGTGCTCGTTGGCCATCTTCGCGCTTACTTTGTTGTGCAGAAATAATGCTGAAGTGCAAGGCGCCGTTGCGATCTGTTCTTGTTCTTGAGAACTGTCGCCTCAGAACTGAGGTCATAGGGCCTAGAGCTGGCTAATGAATGTATTGATTAGAAGCTAACCAAGTCGCGACTCATCAATGGCGGGGTGGGCATTTTGAAGATTTGTCCCTCCTCGTCCGACTCACACGCAAGACTCATCCTCACGACCGCATACAAAAACCTCCCCGATCGCTCACAAAGGCAACGAAGCCGACCAAACTACCACATCGACCACATCAACAGTCGCCCACCATGTCTCTCACCAACTGCCGCTTCTACGAGGAGAAATACCCCGAAATCGACTCCTTCGTCATGGTCAACGTCAAGCAAATCGCCGAAATGGGCGCCTACGTCAAACTGCTCGAATACGACAACATCGACGGCATGATCTTGCTCTCCGAACTCTCCCGTCGCCGTATCCGCTCCATCCAAAAACTCATCCGCGTCGGGCGGAATGAGGTCGTGGTCGTGCTGCGTGTTGACAAGGAGAAAGGGTACATCGATCTCTCGAAGCGCAGAGTGAGCCCGGAGGATATTGTGAAGTGCGAGGAGAGGTACAATAAGAGCAAGATGGTGCATAGCATTATGCGACATGTGGCGGAGAAGACCAACACGCCGCTCGAGGAGCTGTATCAGGATATTGCGTGGCCGTTGAACAAGAAGTACGGACATGCGGTGGATGCGTTCAAACTCAGCATCACGAACCCGAATGTATGGGATGAGGTGACCTTCAAGAGCTCTGTGATCAAGGACGAGCTGGTTGGCTACATCTCGAAGCGCCTCACGCCGCAGCCGACCAAGGTGCGCGCGGACGTGGAGGTGACGTGCTTCGGGTACGATGGGATTGATGCCGTGAAGGAGGCGCTGCGGACGGCGGAGGCGAAGAGCTCGGAGCAGGCGCAGGTCAAGGTGCGGCTGGTTAGCCCTCCGCTGTACGTGTTGACGTCGCAGACGTTGGACAAGCAGATTGGGATTGATGTGTTGAACGAGGCCATCAAGGAGGTGGATGCGAATATCAGGGCTGCGGGGGGGCTGTGTGCGATCAAGATGGCGCCGAAGGCGGTGACGGAGAATGATGATGCGGAGCTGCAGGCGCTGATGGATAAGCGGGAGAGGGAGAACCAGGAGGTCAGCGGTGATGAGGACGAGAGCGAGAGTGATGAGGGCGTTGTGGCCGCGGAGTAAGCGGCGGAACGGTCATTGCCGGGCGTCTGGCGTTCAGGCGGAGGAAGTCCATGAGACTAGGAAGTCATGAATTGCAGGAGCATTATCACAGGAGCACTATTCGCCCAACAAAGCCCACGGGTATACAAGCAAACACCATCATCCAACTACCCAAACACCGCGTCGTCCTTGTGTATGTCCGTCAAATCCCTATCTCCCCAACATCCCCCGGCATCCCTCCCCCCGCCCCAACCAACCTCGCAACCTCATCCCCCACCTCACTCCCCTCCTCCTCATTCAACCACACACAAAACCACTCCTCCCCATCCCCAACCTCATCCCCACTGCACTCAAATCTAACCCCACACCTCCCACCACCCCACCTCCACACCCTGTACACCGTTGACCTGTACACCAACCGCCACACCACCTCGTTGAAACACCCTTTATTCTCCACTCTCACCATGCCCACGTTCCGTAGCGTCTTGAACGTCTCCGCGAAGACGTAGGCAAGGGTGTGCGATTGGCTTAGATCCGCTACCTCCGCGTACGCGCTCCTCGAGCAGTCTGCGCGCGTGGGTGTGATTGTCAAGGTGTCGAGGTGGAGACAGGGGTTGCCGAATGGCAAGCCGAGCCAGGTCTCGTTCATGGCGCGGAGGGAGGCTATCCGGGTTTCGAGGGTAAGGTGCCGGATGGCGCGGAGCTTGCTCTCTCGTAGAGGAGAGGCGAGGGCGGAGAAGTTGCAGGGATAGGGCGTTTCGCCATGGAGGTGGAAGGAGGTGTGCGCGAGAGCGAGGAGGTGGGCTTCGGAGTGGATTTGGCGGCAGGCTAGGAGGAGGCGGAGGGGGTCGTAGGGGTCGGGCTTTGTGGTCGAAGTGGGTGTGGAGGGTTGGGGGAGGGCTAGGGCGGTTGCGAGGTCATTGGAGCCTGTCGAACTCTCAAGGGGAGAGGTCTGGTCGGCGCCATTGTTGGGTGGAGTGAAAATGTAGTAGTATATGGCGTTACGGAGCTCGCAGGGAATGGTCAGGAGGGAGGCTGGGGCAGACATGATGGTATAATACAAGAGAAGTGTATGTACAAGAGCATTAGAAGGTGTGGTCGGTGAACAATGCCAGCATCGTTACCTTATCCATTGAGTTGCGAGACCGGCAGTCGCGAACAGAGTCATTGTCCATCTACCGAAGCATGTGATTGGCTGAATTGGGAAGCTCTGGGTAGATCCGAGGTTGTTTTTGCTGGAGCAGGTGCTTGCCTTCACATTGAAAGCAGAATGGACCTTAGAGATGCTCAACTTTCCATACTGATGGACAGCACGTCTTGAACGTGGTTGTATCTGCGCTTATGGGTATCATCGCGTTGCACAAAATCATGAAGCCTCCCTCTGGCGCCAACTGATCGTCCGTCAGACCGATGCACTTCATCAATGGCTGTATTCGTGGTAGCCCGGGTTTTGCTGCTCGGGTGGTTGCTCGCCTTCCTCCTCTACCCTCGCTCGCTTCCTCGGCGGGGAGTCTTGACCCTCGAGCTCATCTAGTCGTCTTTGCAATTCAGTCGCTTTGGCATTCGAGGCGTCCAGATCTGCCTTGAGCCGCTCGACTTCTTCCTTCCTCGTTCTCTCAGCCTCCCTGGCCGTCCGCTCGCTCGACTCAAGCTCGTTGACACGACCTCTAAACAGGTCTTGGATCACTTCGAGCTCGTTGACCCTTGTACGGAGATGCTGGTTTTGTGCTTGGAGGCCCTCGAATGATTGCGGTGGCTCAAGATGTGCCTGGAGGTTGATAGAAGAATTAGCCGTTGTCTCGAGGGTTTCATGCGACCAAGAGCATCTCAAGAGACTTCACGATGCTTCATGCTGTCTCGGAGAAGGGGGCTTCGCCGCACCAGTGGTTGACTTACGGTACCGTTCGGAGAGCTGGCTGAAGGGCTCGGTTGTCTCAAGGCAAAGGCCGGCAGTGAAGGTGATGCGAAAGAGTCTGACGGTAAAGACACGGTGTCGAAGATGTGTTGAGGTGCAATGGCGGGTGTGTTGGTACGAGAAATCGAGTTAGGACTGGGTACCCGTCCAAAGTCGCCGCCTTGTTGTTGAGGATGGGCGTGCGGCTGAGACACATCCAGACCGTTGTCAGGAGCTCCAGGATGCGGTAGATAGCCATTGGGTTGCTGATATTGTCCTTCTGTGGAATCTCGCTTCCTGGGCGTTGCTGTCTTCACGCGGTTGCGCGATTTGATGACGTCTGTTTTGAGGGAGATGGGCCGTGGTCGTCCATGCAACTTGAGGAAGAGTCCACATGCATTGCATAATACCGAGCCAGATTCGTCTCGTCGCCACAGAGGGGTGGTGGAGGTGCCGCAGTTCTGGCAGACAGGCTGGCGGAATCTCAGTCAGTAACGGCCGCCGTATGATGCTCAGCGACAAGGCATGATGTGCAGTGGCAATCCTCACGCATAGCAATAAGCTAACTTCGAGGAGTTCGTGACAACTTGGATGGGTTTCCGACTGTGAGAACGAGCGGATAGATATCGATATGGCATGATTCCGGAGCTGGGTAATCTGAATGGAGGGACCTACTATTGATGCGCCACTTTGAGTACCACCAGCGGTCGCTGCTGGCGCATACTGTGTCTGCTGATTCATGGTGCCGCTTGGGGTTGTTGACCGACTAGAAATACCTTGGAATTAGCAGTTGCAAGAAAGATGTAGCCGACGGGTTCGCCCGCTAGCGCAAAACAGACAGCTTGGCAGCGTGAAGTCGTGAAGCCGAACGTGAAGTTGGCCGCTTCGCTCGATGACAACATTGATGCGCTACAGCCTATCACCCGTGCTAGAAGCACGCGAACGCATCTCCAAGCTGAGTACCACGCAGACCGAAGGGTAGCCGTACGGCGCATCGCTTGAGCGGCAGACTGTTTGCGATACTCATCAGGGCTCAAAGCTTCAAGTGCTCCAACGAACATGAAGGCTTGAGCCTGGCGTTTCCCTGGGAGATCCTGCCAGCTCTGGGACGTGTTCTCGCCGACCTCATCGTACGCGTTCTTCAGGTTGCAGACTCACCTTCCTTCGGTTGTAGGCGCCGCCTGCGCATTCGCTGCCAATGCTGCAAGCGTTGACAGCGCTGGGTTCTGCAGCTCTTGCGAAGATTGAAAAGTGGTAGACAAAAATGTAGGTTGGGAGCTGAAAGAGCCAGGTCGTTGCGTCGCGCCGGAGGTTCTGGAAGGTGGTGGAGGAGGGTGTTCGGGCTCGTGAATGTCGTCTCGGATGAACTCTCGGAAGGCCGATCGTGGTCGCTCGAACTGCAGTGGTTCGCGGGCTGCGTAGTCCATGGTTTCGAGCAGGCTTCTGTCAGGGTACTATGGGGGTATGGCCCGGGAGAACACTGGATGGTGGGGAGAGTTTGACGCGGTTTGGGACGCGCTGTTGTACGTCTTGGTTGTCGGGTTGGATAGATAAGTCACAGGTGGTCGTCGCTGTTGACAAGAAGCGGTTAAGATGATCTCAGACCGAGGGCGCAGTTTTCATGTCGAGGCAAAGAATACCTTAGTTTAATCAGAATGGCATGCCAATAGCAGTTCCCTTTTTTCGAGATTAGATAGCCGTTTTATCCCGCTCGGGCCACATCACGTCCATCATCAGGGGTCTCTCGCTGCTTGACCGTTGCTCACGAGTCTAATCGCCGCACGATGAATGGACTGACGAGCTTTTATATGTAGTTCGGCGAAGGAGACTTGTACGGTTGCGAAATGACTGTTCGAAAGCGGTGATAGAGCTTTGCAAGTTCAACGAGGCTCCTACAGATCGGTTTCCGCCACCACTCCCAAAACTGCGCTGGTTCCATCGATACCTTTTTTGGTCCTTTTCGGTTTTGTTGACACTTCACGAGCGATTTATCTGATGAGTGCAAAGACCTTTCCACTTTGGAGCGGAGCGGAACAGTAAGTGTCCCAAGCACGCTGCATACGACGGACTCCTTGAAGCGGATGGCAACCATCCTGCGCCCACCTTATCCGAACGACCCTTCACTACCGAGTGAGCCTTACTGTCTGGATCTGGAGCCATATCTATACCTCGAGGAGCACGAGCCTGTGCAGACGCTTTGCACTTTCAGTACTCGTTCGGCCATCTCACAATGGCCACCTGGTGCATCGTTCGACCGCTGCTGGCTCTGCACAATGTTGACTCGTTCCCTTCGACTGGCTGACATTCTTCTGCATCTCTCGAGCTCTTCATTCGCGCACAGAGCCTGGGCATCAGATTTGCCGTTGAAACGAGTGGCCGCGCGCTTTAGGTGTGCCCGGCTCATAGCCTCGACCCTGTCGAAACCAGTCGCGGCGCATCGCGACGAGCTTCACCAGTACCGTCCCGAACCCCGCCGGTTCTTATAATACCCAGTCAGAGCTTCGATGTCGTCCTTATTGCGCTGTCGAACCTCTCGCATGTATACCGCTTGTTCATCCGAGATCTCTCTCAGCTCGTCGCCAGCGCCGTGCATGTGTCGGTAAAAGACATAGCATAGCATCGTGAAAGCGGCGGCACCGAGGATTGCGATCAGCGGAACGACGGCATACGGTAGGTGCTTGTCCTTGGAGCCTTGAGTGCCATCGGAGGACATGCTTAATTCTGTTGCCTAGCTCGGGGGCCTTGTCTTGGTATCTTGCCGAGAATGAATGGTATGGCTGGTCTTCTTCTTTGCTTTATGGAGATTCTGGCGAAGGAGGCGATGCGAAAGAACGCACTACTTCACTTACCGTCTGCCTAGACAAGTACGAGGTCGAGGTCGAGGTCCTCAGCCGACGTGGGCTCTGCGTACGATGTGGCAGCCAAAGCAGATGGACGCGCATCAAAACTCTTGAGCTTCTGAAGCTTCCTTCCCTTCTGGGCGATAGCTTTGCATGTCCTGCTGCGGATTGGTGGGTCTTCCTGCACTGCAGCATACCACAATTGGCCGATTGGTTTGTCGCACACCTTTCGGTGGTGTTCTGCAGATGTACATTCTGTTGGCGGCGGTCGAGCAGATTCGTCGATTCTTGCCACGATGGCATCTTAGAGGAGTCCGGAGACCGGATGGGCATTTTTGCCAGCGGCAATGGATGGCAAAGCAGAGCCCTTCGTCATCAGCGGGGACGAGAGCTGGAAAATCAAGACTCGTGGTGAAGAGTATAACATTTTCGCAAGAGAAGCTCTGCCATGGTCGGCTTGACGCCAGAACGCCAAAGGCGGGCCAAAGAAGCCCAAGAGTGTGGTCTTTTTCGGGTGCTCATACCAGTCTTATATCTCTCATCATGCACCCTCGCATGTCTTCTGGCTTTCGACGTTGACGGTCCCCATTCCTTGACATCGTTGTCTCTTCTGGTGGTGAAGTGCCGAGAGAATAAGCTACCACGGTACATCCTCTCTACTCGGCCCGCAATTCCATACACCGCCGGCCCGAAGAAGCCTTACCGCGTTCAAAAACACACAAGGAAATACTTCCTTCACGCAGCCCAGTGAAACGGTACGAATACAGGCTATATCATCTTTCAGGAAGCACCTTCTCGACGACATCCATCTCGCTCTCGCTCTCGACAGCCGCAGTTACTTAGATGGGGTTCGTTTAGTCTGGAACTTGATCCACAGACTCACATGAGCACACGCTCGAGAGGGTGGAGCGGTAGCTGTGCAAAGCCTGGATACCAGTCCTCGGCCAGTCTTTCCGGCGCGAAGGAAGTGGTTGTCTGGGGTCTGGGATGATGATCGCTTCAAAGAGACTGCCATGTGCATACCGCTCTCGTCACAGCGGCGACAGTGTGCTCCAATGGGTGAACTGAACGAGCTGAGCATCATTAGCCATGGTCTAGATGACGGAGACGCAGGAGCATTCGAACTTGCTGCCACGGAGCCTTTACGACTTGACCGGAACGTGACGACCAGAAGATGGTCGAGGGTGGTATAAAGTCCTTGATAATTCCCTGCCGTTCTGCTTCCTCTCAATCCTTCCACAACACGGTTTTCCACCTTTGATAACTCATCAAGCCAAAAACATCTCAAACCACCACAAATACATTCCGTATCCTTATACGCCTTCAAGATGAAGCTCTCCTCCGCCGTCCTCGCCACCCTGGCCGCCTCCGTCTCCGCAGTCGAAGTCGATTACTTCAAAACTCGCGCCAACTGCTCGAATGGAGCCGTCCGTAACAGCCTAACCATCCCAGATGGCAGCTCAGGCGCGACATGCTACAAGTTCACCACCTCAGCCCAGGCGGTGCGGTTTGGCAAGAATGGGGGCACGCAGGTTGCCAGTGGCTGCAACTTGATCGGCGTGAGTATAGTCGACATCTGTCTTGAGAACGATGGTATGCTGACGGCGTCTTCAGTTCAGCGACGCATCGTGCGGAACGATGGTTACGCTGCAAGTTACCGGCCCAAGCGATGCGGGACAATGTTACAGCACGGCGGGCTCGGATGTCGTTGGCAGCTTCTACTACATCTGCGGCCTCTCACTTCCAACGTCGGAGTAGGGATAGAGAGCCTGGAAGCGGCGCTCGCTGTGGTCGTCGGCGTCCGAGAAGGCGGTGGAGGTCATGGAAGTCGCTCTTTGTACGTGTCGAAGCCTGGATGTTCCGGTAGCTGTACCAGTACCCTCCAAGATCTTATCGTGCTTCCAAGCTTTGTACCGCACCTCCAGAGCGGTTGGCCGTCAGCGTCTGTTCAATACCTGCTCGTGGTGGCCTGTCAAGCCCGTTTGCGTCTTCACCCTCCTCACTCAACTTTCACCCGGCCATGTTGCGGTCAAGGAGAACTTGAACGTCGCGTAGGCACGGCATCTTTTGGGCGTATCACGGTCTTCAAATGCCGTCAATGCATTAGTAAAAGCCAAGGGCACAGACTTGCTGACATACCAAGACGAAGAGACGGTGTCGACTTTCGAGGAAAAGAGTGTGGAGCGTGGGGAGATGCTGGGGAAAGCTGGGGAGAGTTTACCGAACGACCGGGTGAAGATCGGGATGGTGTGAGGATTGTCCCCTCGTTGTGGCGCTCGACTGACTCGCTATCCTGTCGCACATCAACGAGCTTCGTTAAGAGCAGGAGGTGAGACCGCCTTTGTCGGTTTCTGTATCCTTTTCGCGTTCTCCCATGTTGGACTTCGTCAGCGCAAAAGCGTGCCACCCACTTTGACCCGCAGAGCCGACACTTCACTACCCTCAATATTTGTGGTTAAAGAGGTTCGCTGATTTACCTTGCGAGGACGCGAAAGTGTAGGAGCCGAACGGAGCCTGAGAAAGACCTTCAAGTGCTGCTCGTCCTCGCCTGGAACGTAAACTGCAAACCCTATCTCTCCCCTCTGGACTTAACGCATGGCCGAACAACAAGTTGTTGGTGTTTCGGATCGCTCAGAGAAAGAAGCGCACGTCGCGGAGCACTTCGAGCATGGAGTTGATACAAAGGGCAACTTGTCGTACGAGCACGAGGAAGAGGAGCCAGAATTGCACATGAGAACTTACGTTGCGTTGCTCTCGATGTGGCTGCTCAATTTGGTTCAGGTGTTGGCTTTGCAGGGACCACCTGCTGTGGTATGTTCTCCCGGCATGTCTCAGTCACAAGCTCGTATATTGACGACGAGCGCCAGCTGAACTACATTGGCGAAGACCTTAAGGGCTCAGCTTACCAGACTTGGGTGCCCAACAGTCTGTCCCTCGTTCAAGCTGTCCTTGGGCCAGTCATATCGTCTGCATCCGACGCCTTCCAAGCCCGGAAGATCATCTTGGTTGGGTCTTGTGTGGTGTCGTTCGTAGGCTCAGCGATAGCACCGGGCTCGCAGTCCATCGGTCGTTTGATTGCAGCGCAGACACTGATTGGATTTGGATTTGCTGCTGTGCCTCTTGCATATTGCGTGCCGAGTGAGATCTTGCCGCGGAGGTGGAGACCGAGTAAGTATCAGAAGTCTTTCGCGCATGGAAGAACACACACTCTGACAGGTTGTAGTGGCGCAGGCGGTCATCAATGTTGCTGCAGCATTAGGCGCAATCTCCGGCCCGATGGCAATCGGAGGTTTGGTGCACCGGGATCCCGTCAATGGCTGGAGGAACTTCTATGTGTGCTTCTCCAACTAAGCAAAACTTAGTTGAAACCATGCTGATCTCATGGTAGTGGATTCAATTCGCGCTCTGGGGCGCGACTGCACTCGGAATCCAATTCGGCTACAAGCCCCCGAAACGCCGTACAGTCCTCGACGAGCTGAGTCTCTGGCAGAAGATTGGCAAGCTGGACCTCATTGGTTTTGCGTTACTCACAACAGGCCTGGCGCTTCTTCTGACCGGTCTCAATCTCGGAGGTGGCCTGTACCCATGGGCGAGCGGAAACACTCTCGGTCCACTCGTGGTCGGTGCAGTCGTTCTGGTCGCCTTCGGCTTGTATGAGTGGAAGGGGACAAAGACCGGCATCCTCAACCACGAGCTGTTCCAAGGCGGCAAGGCGCAGGGTCGCACCTTCACGCTGTGCGTTTTCTTGATCTTCATCGAGGGCATACTGCTCTTCAGCTATGTGATATTTTATCCCGTTCTGTAAGCACAAAAGGAGCCTATTAGCACCGATATTGAGCTAATGGTACTGGCTCACAGCACAGAGAACTTGTATGAAGCAGACCCGCTCCTCCTAGTAGCAAGGGCCCAGCCCTACTGGATTGCAGCTGGGCTGATGACGTGCATCTACGGCTACGCCAGCACGAAGCTGAGATCCATCCGAGGGCCACTGGGCGTTGGCTTCCTGATCCTGACAGCAGGCACGATTGGCTTCGCAACCCTCCAGCCAGGACAGTCGACCATTGCAGTGGTCATGTCAGGCTTTTCTGGAGTCGGTTTCGGCGCTCCTTTGGTCCTCATCGTCGCTGGCGTGCACCTCTCTGCACCTCACCATCTGATCGCTACCGCGACGGCGGTGACGACTTCTGCAAGAGCTGTAGCTGCGACGGTCTTTACAGCCATCTACGCCGCCTCGTTCTCCAGCCGCGCTGCGACTCTGGTGCCCGCACATGTCGCTTCAGCTGCAGTCGGTGCCGGACTATCGCCAGATGCATTACCAGAGTTCATCCCTGCTTTCTTGGAGAAGCAGGAGAGTGCACTTGCTGCTATCACCGGCGTCACGCCAGCAGTGCTCGCGGCGGCAGCAGGAGGCGCAAAGCAGGGCATTGCTGACTCGTTGCGAGTCGTGTACATGATTGCTGCTCCTTTTGGTGCGGTGGCAGTCATTGCGTGCTTCTTCATGGGCGATCTGAGCAAGACCATGAATTACATCGTGGAGGCGCCCGTGGAGGACTTACACGCCAAGCTGAATCCAGACAAGCTTGATGAGAAGGCTTGATCGCGACACGATGGATGGTTCTGACGTTCATGCCTGGGAGAAGGTAAATATCTTGAGATAGTCGTGCTATGGCTCCTGCTTTATCCTTGGCTCAGCACTTTCTTCTCGTTTCACCACAATGTTGTCGTCGTCAGACGATGAGCCCACTGTACTCGCCCGCTTCGACAGCGGGGACAAAGCGTCTTCACCCAGGATACTCTCGGTCGCCGACAGCCGACTAGTAGCAGACGTCTTCTTCAGCCGTCTTGTACCACCCGTGCTACTGCCTCGCCGTGCCCTCTCCTCCACAGGGCGCCTCGGGACTCGTCCATCCGGCTCTGGAGTAGGCGTGGTAGATCTCGATGATGAGCGAGAATGTGATTCATTGCGAAGCAAGCCCTCCTTTCTGCGCCTTTCCTTGATTTTCTCGGCAGAAGGCTTCTCTTTCAGCGCGAGCTTTTCCAGATCGATCTGCCTTCTGGTCTTGCCACGATACAGCCGGAAGTTCTGAAAGCCTCGCCAGCCGGTCCACCAGAGCCAACCGCCCTCTTGACGCGCGACCTCACGTAGTCGAGTCTTCACCAATTTGCGAAGCTCTGCCCGCCTCGCATTCTCCTTCTCCCAATACTCCAGTCTGTAATTCTCCCAGCCTTCTCGAAAGTCCGGACTGAACGGCTTCGGGAGTAGAAGTAGCTTCAGGACATCCCCAGAAGGCGCAATGTCCTCTTCCACAAGTCCATGTTTTGCAGCATGATGATTCCAGTGCTCTTTCGCTCCGCCGGCCTCAATGTCCTTCGGCAGTACCTGGAAGTTGATCCTCTCCTCCTGGAACCAGCCACTCGGATCCAGCATCCCCAGCCAACCCAGCAACTCAGACAAGAAACTGCCCTTGACCACGACGACCTTCATATTGAACCCTCGCAGACCTCTGTTCGTTGTGCCAACAAATTTCCTCGGCCATCTAACCCCGCGCTCGTACATGCCTGTGCCCCAGAAGAGACATAATGTGACTATGCCAGAACACCAGCCCAGCTTTTCAATTGTCTCAAGGACCCAGTAGACCGACCCGCCGACTCCGCTTCCATCCTCTCGTGGGCGGAAGAAGAGAAGGTAGGTGAACGTGAGTGTCCATGCTAGTAGTCCTGTAAGCAGTAGGAGGTGTAGCCGGAGCCTTGCGCGCAAGCTGAGATACTGTAGGCGCAAGGACGATTCGAGGATGAGGAGGTTCAGGTAGATCTGCGGCGGGCTGGAGGGTAGGCTGTCGCGCGGGTCGCTGGTAGTGGGGAGGTGAGGTGCTACGACGGACTCGCTCGGACTGTTTGCTTTGGCCGACTCTGCGACTTGGGTTGGCGAGACGTTTGGGGGAGGGGTGCCTTTGACGATCTGGTCTAGCTTGGAGTCCGACATTGCTGCCCGAGTGCGGACGGTTATGACTTAGCGACAGCTTTTCCGTGTCATCGTAGCGCCATGTTGAGGGGTTGGTGGCACGGAGTATGAGCTGCCGTCGAGAGAGGTGTTGCTCACCAGGCTTGGCAGGAAGCTTGTGGTTGCAGGTGATTGTCTCCTTAAACGCACTCCTCACTAAATCTCAACCTCGCTTTACGCTGGACCATCTAAACTGGGACGGAAAAGATGTTGGGCCAGATCTCTAGACACGTTATGCAGATGATCTCGTCTTAACAGTACAGCCTACAACTTTGCCTTACCAGCCTTCTCCTCCTCAATCCTCCGCCACATGTTCCTGGTATCCACCATCATCGGCCACAAATGCGACATTCCATTTCCGCTCATCTCACTACGGACCGCTCCCTCCTCGAACAGCGCCTCGTACGGGTTCTTGTCAGGACGAGCCAGCGCACTGTCCAGCTCGAATTCCGTGAACCCGTACGCCTCGATGATGCCGTCGATGTGCTTCGTGGCGATCTCATCCACCACAGAGGCCTTTGCCAGTCTCACTGTTCGGTGCTGAGCTTGTGTCAAAGGCAGTGCGTTGGCCAAGCTGGCGTGATGCGGGTCCTGCAGGATCGAGAGAGCGAAGGCGTGGAATAGTGCTTTGACCGGTTCGAGGAAAGCAGGTTTCTCGCCGTCGAGGTCTGAGAGTAGCTCTTCGAACCCTCTCCAGTATACAAAGTCGCCGTGTGCCATAGTAAGTGCGTGGCATGAATAGCTTGTGTCCCGGCCGGCATCGGTGTCCTCGAAATGCTGCTGGACTAGGTTGACCAGCCGCTCCTCGAGTGCCCAGCGTTGAACTTCGGGTCTGAACCAGTCCTGCTCACTCTCGATTCTGGGCGCCGACACCTTGCTTCGATCTCGCATCTTGCTCAAGTACGACAATGTTGGGAGAGAAGCTTCGGTCCCGTCTCGCCAGTGCTTCAAGATCGCTCGCGGGACTTGTTGGCCGACGACGTAGTTGTCGCCTTCGTAGGTAACGGCATTGATAGCATTGGCGTACATTCTGCCGAAGCCGCTCAGGGCGTGGTAGCCGTGGCCACCGCAGGCGATCCGGCAAGTCTCTACACCGTGGCCAGCAATCTCCGTACTGTACACCTTGGCTCCAACAGTCTGGAGATGGAAGTCTTCGAGCTGAGAGAAGTCGCCCGTCTTGAGGAAATTTGCAGTGTAGGCATCGTACGCTCGTTTGATGTTCTGGCCGACAAGCACCAGAGCGGTTGCTTGAGCCAATAACGGTATCAGACGATGTCTTACGCTTGCGTAGTCGATGACCGTGGTTTCCTCAGGCTGGCTGTTTGTCTTCCGGAACTGCTTGCGGAAAGTAGTGTAGTGGTAAGCAACAGCAACGGGCTTCAGCAGATCCCATCCAGTGCTCTCGGCCATGATCGCTCTCACTGTTACCATCGAGCCATAGCTGTGCTTCTCGTTCTTCGGCTTAATATACGTGCCGTCTCGGAGTACCTGAGCGTTTCTCGCCAGCATCTGCGATCGAGGTATCCGCACATCGTGGAACTGCATTGCTCCGTTGTCTGTCCCGAGCATGCCCTGGAAAGCTTTGGGACCCAGCTCGTAGATCTCCACTCCAGGCATCAAGCGTTGCGTATCGAGCTCCCGTATCTGTGTCAGGAAGAGGTGGTTGCCGTACTCCTTGCCATCGACGATCAAGCGAGCCACGACAATGCTGTGGGTTGCCCACACACCTGTCGTGCCGATCCAGTACTTCGTGCTACTCAGCGTGGGCGAGTTGATGACGAACTCATCCTTCTCCTTGTCGAACGTAGCAGTAGTTTCCAACCCACGCACATTCGATCCATGACCGAGTTCAGTCTGTGCATACGAGCCAAAGATCTCGAACCGTTCTGCCTTGGGAACCCAGATAGCTTTCTGCTCATCGCTCATCTGTCGTTCCAGGTTCGAAAGGAAGATTCGGAATTGAGGTTGGACGGGTAGCATGTTGTCGGTCAGACGGATCGCTTCCATGAATTGGGCATGGGACCAGTTCTCGGTGAGCTTGAGACGGATGAGCTCGCGGGCCTTGAGAGACGCTTGTGTCCAGGCATCCTTTCTTGCCAGCGAAGGAGTGACCACGGATGACTTTGAGAAGATTGGGTTGGCTGAGAAGGCTTTTAGGATGGATTTTCGTCGCCTGAACTTCTCGTCTCCCCAGAGGAATAGCGTGAAGGGGCCTTCGATGGGTTCCTTGGGGATCTTGCGGCCTCGTGGGGTCTCCATGATAGGATGTTGCGATGGAGTTCGATGGCAGTCGTTCGCGTCCAAGTGCTTTCCAATACCAACGCTTGTTGGAGATTTTGGTACGGACAACGATTCGTGAGTAGGCGTTCAGACCACAACAAATTCACCGTTCCGGCCTTCTGGCATTTCCACGATGACACTTCGACTCTGCGGGATCGGTAGCGTGCGCCAACAGTCCTCCGAGGCTCGTGTTGTATAGCCTCGGACCTGCCGTTTTCGCTCGGTGTTTTCTAGATTGGGATGCATATTGAAGACACCAACGCTACGCCAACTTCCTCCACAATGACTCGCGATGCGCGTTCTCCATCGTCCGGATTTGGAGCCATCTGCAGCGAAAGTCAAGTGGCCTCGTTAGAGTTGTGTGCGTCTTCGACAAAAGAGAAGACAGTCGTAACAACACCCCCACGCCATGGCGACAACGTACAAGTCCATTTCCCTCGAACGAACGGGCAACATATACATAATCACGCTCCAGAAGCCACCCGAAAATCGACTGGACGTAGCGGCCTGCCAGGAGCTCATCCGAGCATATCGTCAAATCGAAAAAGAATTCGGCCGCGACTCAGAGGGTGCAGTCATCCTCAGAGGCAACGATGCGAAGTTCTTCACGACCGGCTTAGATCTCCACGAACGAGATGTCAACCCGTTCGTTTCGTCGGACGGCTTTTATCCCCTTCTAGCTACTATACTGGACTTTCCATTCCCGACAGTTGCTCTGATTACTGGCCATGTCATGGGAGGAGCATGTCTGTTGACGCTTGCACACGACTACCGGATCATGAATGACAGTCGAGGGTATTGGCAGATGCCTCCTGTGAATGCTGGACTACATCATGATGGGATGGGCGTGGGTGACCCCAAGAATGATTGCGAGCATTTGTCTTAAGCTGACTTCTTCACAGAGCTTAATCAGGGCAAAGCTGGCGCCTCAGGTGAGGAGGAAAGTGTTGCTGGAGGCCCACCGATACAAAGGCCCGGAAGCATTGAAAGATGGCATTGTCGATGCTGTTGCACCTCCGGATCAGATGCTCGATGTTGCAATCGCTTGGGCAGAGACTTGGAAGTCAAAGGCGAAGATGGGTGTCTACGGTGTGTTGCGCAACGAATTGGTGGGCGAGGCGCTCAAAGCCTGTAAGTCTTCACAATGGACACCTCTCGCGTGCGAGTACTAATCAAGCCTTACCATGACGGCAGACCAGATGAATAGCTACGTACACCACCGAGAGACGGCAAGGGAGCCAAAGATCAAATTGTAAATATCTGGTTCTGTATATGCCTCGCTATGCAAACGTCAAATCTATCTTAGTACTATTCATCGAGACCAAGGACTGCATGCTATCTTCAATTCTGACCTCCAACCTGTCAATTCATCCTTCACAACTTGCTCTTGCCCTTCGACGAGGTCCATCGCTGGACTTCGGGATGATCTTGTCGCGGGAACATCTCATGGACCAAGACTTTCTTGATGACCTTGCCGGTGGCATTTTTCGGAATCGCCTTGACTACTCGCAAGAGCGTTGGCATCTTGTAGCCTGCGAGACTACTTCGTAGATCGGCACGAAGCTCCTCCAACGTCAAAGTCGTCCGAATGTCGTCTCGAAGTACGATAGCAGCGGCAACTCGTTGGCCAAACTCTTCGTCTTCTACACCAACGACCATGACTTCTGCGACGTACTCCAGCCCAAGAATCTCGCGCTCGATGTCCAGGGCGGAGATCTTGTAGCCACCAGACTTCAGGATGTCGATGTTTGCACGGCCTTGGATGGAATAGAAGTCGCCTTCACGCTTGGCTATGTCGCCAGTCTTGAAGTACCCGTCTTCGCTGATGACTTTCCTCGTGGCCTCCTCGTCGAAGAGGTACTTGGAGAACATGATTGGAGTCTTGATCAGGACCTCGCCTTCATCGCCGTTGGAAAGTCTGATGTCGACACCAGGACCTTTCTTTCCTACCGAGCCGTCGGGTACGCCCTGCTTCGCAAGCCACGGTGTCACTGTGAAGGCATTGCCGAATTCAGTACCGCCGTACCTGGTCAGGATTCCACTGCCACCCCTCAGAGCAGTCCACTTCTGCTGCAGTGGACGAGGCAATGCCGACGTACCACAGAGCATAGCACGAATACGGCTAGCACCAGCAGCGTACTGCGAAGCTTCGGGACGCTTGACGAGGACTTGCTCGTAGTGCTGCATGAGCCGCATGTAGATCGTCGGCACTCCGCTAAAGAAATCGAGATCTGCCTTTCTTATACGCTCCCATGTCCAGGCAGTGTCGAAGCCGCCGCTGCGGAACTCAATGCAGCCGCCACTCCAGAGGAAGGGTAAAAGCGTGACTGTGATGCCTGTTGCGTGATGTACGGGCAGAACATGCAGAACCAAATCGCCTTCCCGGATCCCGTGCTGATCGGAGAACTGAGTTGCCACATCGTAGAGGAAGCCTCTCCGCTTGACGCCTCCCTTTGGCGGGCCGGTCGTGCCGCTGGTGAAGATCACGTAGCCAGACTTGTTCAAGTCCATATACCGATCGGAAGATATAATGAGGTCTTCAGGTTTCAAGCAGGGCTGCATCAGATGTGGGCGTATCCGGATTGACTGGAAGGTAGGACGATCTGACTTCCGCAATGCCTCCTCGAGGCCAGTCCCTAGCTTGAGACATCGATCGGCCGTCAACACGGCTACGGCCTGCGCCTGGTTCGCAAAGTACGTGGCTTCCTTGACCGGCAGGTCGGGAGATATAGGCACCGGAATCACTCCCAGAGCAATCAATGTGAGGAAACCGACAGTAAATTCGTAGCCAGCCGGTCCCAGAAGGAGGACGTAGATCTCATCTTCTTTGTCGATGCGTGCGACCACCTCAGCGCTCAGCTGATCCCGTAGATGATTCCGAAAATGCAGTACATCAGTCAAGAGCTGCGTATATGTCGCTGTAAATCCAAAGGTGAGGTCCCGACAGGCAGTCAATGGTTTATGTGCCAACCTGACGAGCCTGCTGAAGAGGAAGAAGTTTGGGAGCACATTGGGACCGATGTGCTTTGGCGACCACCCGCATCGATCAAACGTCGCTTGTCGAGCCATGGGTGCGAACTCCTGAGGGCCGCTCGAACTGTGCCAGACCGCTGGGATTTCTCGGGATTTGTCTTGATTTGGGCTCGCTTCGATGTATGAGCGGATGCGGTCTTGTGGGAAAAATGATCAGACTTATTCTCTCCCTCTCACGCACGATACCAAAGAAGACCAAGAATGCGTGTTGCCAATGTTATGCCCAGATTTGCCTCAGCGCTGGAGTATTCCAATTCTCCGTTCGCAAGCGCTGGGTAGCAAAGTTGGATCACGTGGCTAACGTTCGGTGCCTTCCTAATCGGGCGCCTGCACATGGAACTTCCTCGTTCCCGTCTGCCATCCCCACCCCTCATCTCCACGCCGTAGATCCTTTTAGCCCCCTGCACTTCTGCACAGTGATGCAGCACTCCCATTCCTTACCTCCTATCTCGTGCTCTCCACGCGGGGCGGGGGGGTGCTGGGGAGTGACACTGCTCCCGCTTGCGAGCTGTTGCTTGCTGTGCCACCGGATAGGTGCCGGCTTAGCTGATGGAGTTGAGGCATCGGCAAAGCAGGCACTGATTCATTGAACTTAGCCATATATCTCCAAAGGCATGGCAAGTTGCTTTAAGCGACCTTCTAATCCTACTTCTGTTTCTTCCAATCTGGAACACGCGCCCTTGCTGTCAGCACATCGTGATACTGTCACACGAAAGACGCCATGTTCAAGGACTCACGAGCCGCCGTTGAGGCGGAAGGAGTGTACATTGGCGGGTGGTCGCTGAAGAATGCTTTTGTTCCAAAGAAGCATGCGGGTACTGCAATAAAGCCTTGGGCTTTGCTTGGAGCGGAAGCTTACTGACGTGTCTTGTAGACCTGAACAAAGTCGAGCAGGTGAACTCATTCATCGATTGGGACGAGAAAGAGGAGCGTCGATTGGTCCGCAAACTGGATCTCAGAGTCCTTCTACCATGCTGTATCTTCTACTTTCTGGCGTACCTTGGTAAGCATGCACAATTACCCCTGGTCAGTCTAGACATTTGCTGACAACCTTTGCAAGACCGCGCGAACATGGCAAGTACAGTACTGCAATACACTGCCTGGAGTATCCTCTAACGCTCGTTCCTCAGGGTTTCGCCGCAGTGCTCCAGGCCGACACCCCAGACAGCTTCCGAACGAGTCTCCACCTGCACGGCATTGAGTTCAACTGGTCCATTTCGATCACTTACTTCATGGTCACCCTCCTGCTCATTCCCTCGAACCTTCTCCTGAAGAAACTATCCGGCAAGATCTACTTCCCGTGCGTCATGGTCTGCTTCGGAGCAATTGTTTGTGCAATCGCAGCAGTGAACAATCCGGCTGGCCTTCTGACCGCAAGATTCTTTCTGGGGATTCCGGAGTCTGGCGTGGTTCCTGCTTGTATAATGTACTTCAGCTTCTGGTACAAGCCTTCCGAACGAGCCTTGCGAATTGGCCTGTTCCACGCTGCCAACTCCCTGGCGAGCGCTGTCGGTGCTTTCATTGCAGTTGGTGTAGACAACCTCAACGGAGTGCATGGCCTATCGTCTTGGAGGTAGGTCAATTCCTTGCCGTCATCCGGCCATGACATCTGACTGAAAGCGTAGATACCTGTTCATAATCGAAGGCGCAATGGCGATCGGCATGGCTATTCCGGTGTACTTCCTCCTTCTCACGTTTCCCGAAAACACCACGGCACTCAATGAGCGCGAGAGACACATTGCGATCAACAGATTTGGACGAGGTGCAACACGCTACACAGACGTCACTTGGGACACTCGGGTATTCTTGGAGATCTTTTCGAGACCGAGCACTTACGTCTTCTTCGTCTCGTACCTCTGCCTATTGATTGTGGCAGTCAGTCTTGGAACTTTCCTTCCTATCATTCTCAACACGGTAAGTCGTGGCCGTAACATACCTACGTTCTGCAAGTTGCTGACGTGCCCAGTTCGCCGGGTTTTCTCCATCTCAGTCAAATGTATACACAGCAGCGGTATACTTTGTAAAGATCCCTTGCTACTGGATATGGTCATGGCATGCGGATCTCACGAGGGAGCGAATGTGGCACTATATTCTTCCAGTAATGGCTGCGATCCCATGCTATGCCTTGTGGACGCATGTCGGAGCTCAGCAGTCATTCGGAGGCGTTTCTCCGCTCAGCTTGTATGGCGTTGCGTTTCTCGGGGACCTTGTCAGTATTGCACAGCCAGCTGCTCTAGCTTATAGGTAAGTTTCAGCCAACCTAACAAATCCATAGCTGTCTAACAACCACCACCACAGATCAAGTACACTCTATGGAGCAGCGGAACAAGCAGTCGGAGGCGCATCTGCTATTGCTGCGTTGAGCATATCCAGCATCATCGGACCTCAGGTAACTTCTTCACGCACACCTGCAGCTCATCTTCGACTGACAACCAACAGATCTACCCAGAGAAGGACGCGCCATGGTACCTTCCTGGCTTCTCGGCGGCTTGTGCCACTCTCGCTTTTACCATCATCGGCTTTGCAAGCCTGCCGCTGTGGTTCCTCTGGGAGGCAAAGCGACGCAAGACGAAGACCGGTCATGCAATGCCCAAGCGGGCTTTGGAGGACGCGCTGCATGCCCAGCTCTCGGAGGCTGCCGTTGAGCAGGAGAGGGAGTTTGCTGCCCACGAGGTGAAGCAGCCGCTCGACGAGGGACACCATTTGGAGAATGTGCAGCTGGACGAGCGCCAGGACAAGAAGTAAGGAAGGCTCGGATGCTGGGAGGAGAAGACATCACGATGAAGTATGCCGACACGGACAACGAGGATAAGACGATGGCGTTGACGATGACGGACGGATCGAGTTATGTAGACCCGAACACTCTGGGTTGATAACACGATCCTCCGTTATTAGATCGCGCTCGATGACGAGCTGCAAAAGCGTATTGGTGCGTTTGTTGATGACACCACGCGGACATTGTACATTTTGCAACGTTCTAACAACGCTGTGACGCCCAACACCTCTTCGTCTCTAACTCGTGATACCGTCGTGTGGGTCTCAGCGGCTTTTAGCACAACATGGAGTGCTGCACGCTAGTGGAGTTGTCCAACTGACTCTTTCAATATGCCGGACCTTTTCCGTTTGCAGTAAACACCGAAAGACGCTTCTGTTTGTTGAATGACTCGGGAATAAAGCTTTGAGGCGTTCGGCCAAGTCGAATGTTGGAGAAGAAGCAGTCTTGAGTGCTTGGACTCCATCTTCGGGATCGCGGCAACACATGGTACATAACGCAGGAGTAACTTGGGTGTGCCAACCTAGAAGCCAGCTTCAAGCACAGCCTGCAACTCCCACACAATTCTGTTGACACCTCTGAGAAAAGCTCACCGACCATGGCCAAGAAAGACTTCACAGACGACCTACGTCCTCATCCAGACGCGGACGGAGCGAAGAAATTGGCATCTGAACGCTCAAGATCAAGCATCGACACCGATGAGCTTGCAAATCATGTCTTTGGCTCTGCCTACCTTGAACGACAGCAAAGGGTATTGACCGCGCTGGAACCGGAGAAGATCTTCTCAAAAGCCAATCAAGCCAACCTGTCTCGTCCAGATCGCTACAAGCTTGGTCTGGCGAGAGGCAAGCGAATGCGACAGTTGATGGACAAGCACGGCTGGGACGAAGCCGATATCCTGATGGCTGAGTATTTGATTGACGATCTTCAACCTTACCACTTGCACCTTTCACTCTTCAACTCGGCGATGCGGGAGCAATGTAGTGACGATCAGCGAGCGTACTGGACTCCGAAGATTGAGTCGTGGGAGATCATTGGCGCATATGCGCAGACAGAACTCGGCCATGGGAGTAATGTTCGTGGACTCGAGTGTCAGGCGACGTGGGACCAGAAGACTAAGGAGTTCGTTATCCACAGCCCGACATTGACTGCGAGTAAATGGTGGAACGGCACGCTGGGACGAACAGCCACGCATGCGGTTGTGGTAGCGCAGCTGATGCTTCCTCATGGGCCGAGTGGAAAGCTGGTCTCGTACGGTCCGCGGCCTTTTATCGTGCAGGTGCGAGATAAGAAGACGCATCAGCCGCCTGAGAGTATTGCTGTTGGTGACATTGGGCCAAAGTATGGCTATGTAAGTACCAGGAGCTCTGGAATTGCTTTTGGCAATTGCTGATTGTACCGAAGGCCCCCATGGATAATGCTTATTGTCTGTTCGACCATCACCGAGTCCCTCACAGCGCTCTCTTGTCCAGGTATGCCAGCGTCGATCCTGACACCGGGGCCTACACCAAGCCGACGAACCCAGCATCAGTTTATGGGAGCTTGACAAGGGTAAGTCTCAGCATGTTTGGTTGAGCTACGATCTCAGCTGAATTCACTTCGTAGGGCCGATCTGTAATAGTAATGAATGCTCGTTTGGTGCTAGCCAGAGCCGTCACCGTCGCAATCCGCTACTTGGCGATCCGAAGACAGTTCCGTGACCGAGACGACGCAAACCCGGAAGGTCCTGAATGCGCCGTGCTAGATTACTCCACGGTCCAGATTCGAGTCCTCCCATTGCTGGCAGCCACGTTCGCCCTTCACTACAGCGGTGAAGCAATGAGGGAGTTGTATGAGCGAACTAGATCGACCAATGCATTAGATGGGGATCAAGCTCAGCTTGCGGAGCTGCATAGCACGTCAGCGGGCCTCAAGAGTCTTGCGACCGACCTTGCTGCCAATGGCATCGAGACATGCCGGAGAGCGATGGGCGGGCACGGCTTCGGTGGCGGGACAGGCCTGATCCAACCGAATGCCGATTACCTTTCCAAGCCCACCGTGGAAGGCGATAACTGGATGATCACGCAGCAAGCTGCAAGATACCTGCTCAACCGCGTTGAGGACGTGAAGAAGTCGCCAGCTGGTGAGAGCAGGAGCCGCACCGATGACAACTTGCGTGACTACCACGCCCGAGCCTCCACTCCACCAAAATCCAGACAGCTTTCGGATGAGACCATAGCCGCCGCCTTCGAATGGCGAGTCTCGTTCTTCGCTTTCGAAGCCCACCGCGCCAGGTACATCCAGAAGAAGTCCTGGAACTCAATGCTCATCGACCTCTACAAGCTTTCGCGAGCCTACGCTCAATCGATGCTGGTCGGCAACTTTTACCTGGCAATGCGGCGAAGTACTCTCTCCTGCTCAACAACGACTGAAGTCCTCGGTGACCTGTACCGGCTCTTTGCGCTCAACACCATGGATGCGGAAGCCCGCGAATTCCAGAAGTCGGGGGCAGTGGCCGCGGAAGTCCTTGATACACTGCCGGAGCAGGTTCTCCATTTGATGCAGAAGGTTCGTCCCCATGTTGTGAAATTAGTCGACTCCTTCGCTTTGCCGGACTTCATGTTGGACTCTGCTCTTGGTCGTTACGATGGCAGGGTTTATGAAGACCTGTTCAATCGCGCGCATCGCTTGAATCCGTTGAATCGCCTTACCTTTAACCCGGACTACCGATCGGATGAGATAGTGATGGGAGCCAAAGATGGTGCTGATATGCTGGCGAAGTTGTAAATAGTCAATCTAGTAAAGCTTTGTACAGTCTGATCATGGCGCACAGCCACGGAGTACCTTCCAGCGCATGTGTCTGGTCCTACGCCAAAATGAGTAAGACGTTCGACCAGTCCGCCCAGATACGCCTCCTCTACCATGAGCACAATTCAATGCCACATGCTATCCCTAGTCTTCATCTATCCACCCCATCGCTATGCTGGACGTGGTTAAGCATCAAATCATCTGAACTTGCTCTGGATCTCTTCTTCCGTAAATCTTCTCGTCTTCCGACGAAGCATCTCCGCAATCTCAACCTGACTCATGCCGATCTGATCGCCCATGGGTACGAGGCGGCCAGCGAGATGCATGTAGTCCTTCCGTAGCAGCCTGACGGTCATCATGAGATAGTCAATGTCGTGGAAGACCAGCGCTCTTCCGTTCCGGTACGCCGCTTTAGACTGCAGGAAGTGCACTGGATGTTCGCGCCAGTGCCGTCTGGGGTTGAGATGGTGCGCGGTATGGTATCCATCGTTGAAGCAGAAGCGGTTGCTCTGTGATATTGTCAGCGAGCGTGATCAGGTGCGCAGGGAAGGTAGAGAGGAAGAATACCGCGACGTCAATCAATGTAATGCTTGAGCGGAAGTCGGAATTTGGGTCGATCTCATCGACGAGAGCATGCTGTCCCCAGTTGCCTACCATAAGAGCAAAACGCAGCAAAGCGAAGGGCAGCAGAAGCACAAATGTGCTCGCCCTTGGGTTCAGCTTGGTCATGCAGTAGAGAAAGACGTAACTGGCCATTTCGGAGCAGAAGGCGCGCAGTGCCAGATTGGTTTTGCCCTTTTTGATAAAGTACAATGGCAGCTCCGCCCAACAGAAAAGTAGAAAGCGGAGGTAATAATGCAGGAAATGCAGAACATCATCGCGCTGATACCGGATCGTAGAGGACAGATCGTCCGGACCTGGTGAGAACATCTATTAGCAAGGGTGCAGTATGCCCAGCGGCGAGCGGGGAGGAGTGTGTGATAACTTACCGTTGCTCTCAACGTGGTGGTGCTTAGTGTGGTGGTAGTAGTACGAGTCCCAAGTATGCCCCATGAGCGGTTCCAGGACATACGGGAAGCTCCAGTCCAGCCAGGCCCAGTCCTTTGAGAGAACACCGTTACCATGGATGTGCTGATGCATTACCAGGGTGAAGGAGCCGGCGCACCAGACTGTGTAGACCGTATGCAGTAGTCCATGGATGTACGAGAAGTTCAGGTAGAGGCAGACTGCGCTCCCCAGGTTGATGGTCATGTACTGCAGGATATGCGTAAGGAACACCACATCTGTCGGATGCCGCACGATTCGCGTGGCCAGGCGAGTGTACGGCTTCACGATGTAGCTGTTGACCCATCCAGGGAGGTCCTTGTCGTCCCATGATGTGAAGACAGTGGGTGCAAATTCGATGCGCTCCGGGTTGTTGTATGCCTTTAGGAGGGCAATGGATTGCTTGTCATGGTCAAACTCTCCTTTTTCTTGGTCGGAGTGTTTCTCAATCAATTCTGGTGGGATCTTGTCCTTCTCCGCGCACGGGTTGCCACGAGTGTCAGTCCTGACATCTTGGATGAGGTTCTCAAGAACGACGATGTCTGGCTGCGTGTTATATGGGTTTATTTGGTAATCCATCGTCACCAATGAAAGTTAAGGGACGAATCTCACAGGATCGACGTTGAATTGAACCACAGCACCGAAGTCTAGATTCGACAAGCGGCTCTTGGCATACTCTAATTCAACTCCTTGGACCCCGACTTCACTTTTTTCCTTCCTACGATCTCAATATAACCCATAATTTCGCGTATGATACGGTGTGCGAGCCACGAAAGAATGCGCTGCACGATGATCGTTCATTGTATGGTTGCTATGAACTGAGCATCTGCTTTATGACCACACTCATACTCTCACTCCGTCAAACCCACGACCTTGTCCGCCATCTGAGTTCCTGAATCGCGGACAGAAGCAGCTGTTTGTCGAATTCAGGATCCGCATCCTTCAAATGTCCCATCAGCTAGCACCCCTGGGTTTGCTTCACCATCATCTCAACCACGACTAGGTTGCGGAGCAGGCGGAGGTGGTGGCGGAGGTGGAGGCCGAATGATCCTGAGCCAGGAGGTGCTGGACCTGGACCCGTTCCTGAGCCGGCGGCCGCGGTACGCAGGATCACCTCCCTGGCACGAACAGCCTCCGGTGACCGCGGTGGATTGGCTGGAAACAGCGCGTTGAACATGTTCGCACGTTGTTGCCGCGTCAGATTCGGCAGTGCGCCGATTCGAAGAACCTCCGCGTCCTCCTGTGGTGTCCAACTGAGCGCGTGACGGCCACGCCCATGGCTTCGGATGGTATGTGGAGGACGGGGAGGGAATGAGGTCAACTGGCCGCGGGCCGGAAAGGTGAAGCCGGTACCAGGAGGAGCCGGATTCTGACCGCCTGTGGCATTACCGGAGCCGAACGGTGGTTCCCCAGCATCCGCTCGACGTCCCAGCTCCTCAAGATCGTCCCATCCAGTGGGATCGTCCTCCTGTTTGAAAGTGTCAGCTGCTGCTGCTGGTGTTGCGTGTTGCATTCAGCTGCCGATGCGCAAAACAGTGACTTACCTCGTCTTGCTCCTGCGTAGGAGCTTCTGACCGCTGGTCCGAGGTGCCATCAATGCCCAAGATGCCCTGACTGCTGGCCGTCTCCTACCAGGCACGTTAATCACCACGACTGAAGGGTAGGTCAACTGTTTCGCTTGGACTCACAGGAATGCCGGCCTGCTCTTGGCCCCCCTCACCTGCCTGTGCAGCAGGACGAACAGCACGATCTTCCCCTTCTGTCGGTGGGACCTTTTGCATGTGAGCTCAATCGCGCAAAGCCGATAACACAAGAGTGAACTTACTGGCGCGCTTTGCCTGCTGTCGGACATCGTGCTGGTGTTGCTCTTGTCCAAGGAAAGTCTGCTGTGCTGATGTATACGTCGAACAGCGGTGTATTGCTGTTCGAGTGTGGTGTTGGTATAATGAGTACATGGATTTGCGGTTTGGAAGCCCTTCTAGAGAAATAATGTAGGCTTATGGGGGTCAATGCTCAGACCAAACAGGCAAGCGATCAAGTGACGTGACGTCTTTTCGTTTGTCTAATCTCCTGGGCTTTGGCCGCACGTGCAAACTCACCCTTCCGGCCGCAAAGAATCTTTACAGCTTGTTCCTCCAACAAGCCATCGCACAACGCTCAGCAAGCAAACACCCTCCTCAGCCATGGATTCAGCAACAGAGGAGAACAACCAGCCAACCAACGACAACGAAGACCTCAAAGCTAACCTCAACGCATCCGACGCCCAATTGCAAGACGCCTGGACTACTGAAGACCTCAGCAACGAACCATTTCTTGAAAGCTTGAGACGGTGCGAACGCCTTCTGACATACCTGCGCACGAGGGTGGACTTCATGGTCTCGTCGGACGAAGCCATGGAGGTGAGTGCGCACGAGAATCGAACGCGTCTGCTTTGACTAACGCATAATGTCTCTCAGAGAGGCGACAGAGCCGCCGTCAACGCAATTCGGAGGAGACGAGACGAGCACGAGGCGCAGTCTGAGTTCGCGGGACCGCCAGCCGAACAAGCCATCAGCAGCGACAGCAAGCAGGGCGTGAATGAGGGAGCGGCATGGTCGATGGCGACCGAGACGCACCGGGCGCACGAGCACTATGCCGGGTCGTGATGGTTTTAGCAGCTTGGGCCGTATACTGATTGCTTCGAATCAAACGGCATATACGCAAGTGCAGCGGTCAGATGGGATGCTTTGTGAAGTGCCATTAGCAAAGGCGCCGCATTTAGCATGCCTTCCTATCGCAAATGCAATGGAGCTGTTCATACCTCAAGCAATTGCAACCGATAGACAAAGACGCAGCATTTCCTTCCATAATTTCTAGCAAACTCAGCGGTCGCGCGGGGACAGATGGGAAAGACGCCCGCTCATCGGCGGCTGCTGTCAGAAGATCACCAAAGTCCTTATCGGAAGAGAGACAGCGAGGACGACGAAGCCCAACAACCAGAGGGACGGGAATCAGAGCAGTGAGCTTGACACGTGTCTTGGGTTGTGAAGGAGCCATGTCAACAGCCGTGCGCTAAGGGTGGGAGATGACGATCCAAGAGGGAGTGGAGATGCGGGCTGAGAGACGAGATGGATGACTTTAGGACACATGAGGTTGCAGCCTCTCAGTAGCCCGACGATGTTAAATTGTTGTGTACGTTTATTGCTTGCGCGAGACAGACGTGTCGGACTGTAGGGTAGCTTTGTTGTGTCTAGCACAGCTCGAGCGATGCAAGGGATGCGTCTCGTAACGACAAGGCATGATTTTACACCGTGAGAGAGTCTTGCGTCTCTGATAGTTTGACCATATTGGTGAGTTGTGGGATTGAATTTCCAGAACGTTGTATACAGCTGCCTTGGACCGTGGCCTGTTACCAGGGTGGTTGCAAGAGACACTCTTTGTTCATGATCAAAAACCTGCCTCATCTCCCTTGTACCCTCCAAGACCCCCGAAGGCACCCACTCCCAAGGCTAGACATCATCCAGCATATATACACGCTCCCCAAACGCCCATCCTACCCTCCACCCCGAAGCCGATCATACCATCCCTCGTCCATCCACTTTCCGTAGCAGCCCTCATCGTTCTCGGCCCTCACCGAGCGCGCCAGATACTCGTCGTCCATGTTGCGGTACATGAGCGACAGCTTCCCGAAGAAGCGCTGGTGTTGCGAGAAAGTCTTGTTGAATGGTCCCGCGAAGTCTCCGGCAGCTTTGAAGAGCGCGTACACGCCCCAGAAGATGGCGATCTCGACAGAGTCGCTGCCCGAACCCAAGACTCGGGAGAGGAGGGTCTTGCGGTAGATGGCGCTGCGCATCTCTTTGCGCTTTTGGATTTTTCGTGGCTTGAACCAAGGAGCATCACGGTCCAAATGGCGAAGCTTGTGCTGCTTGAGCTTGATCTCAGACAGGATGGACAGGGCGGTGATGATTTGCAGCCTGACGTCTTCAACCGACAGACCGGCCTTTACGTAGGCTTTGAGGGTACGGTGGACGCCATGCTTGATCGACACCGTCAATGGCTCCTCGACCCAGGTGACGGGGAAGAAGTGTGTTGCTTCTGATCCGTTGGTTGTCGTCGATGACACTGCATCGGTTGTCGAGCTGAGGACGATCGGTGCGCTGGCTGTGCCGTCCATGGTTCGTAGGTGAAGTTTGGGCTGATATACAGTGTCAGGAGATCATATACTGGATGCGCCAGGCCCATCTTGAGCCTGGCGAAGGGCTTGGTACTCACGTTTCTTTTATGCTGGTGTCCTTTGAGACGGATCGCTTGCTTCTGTGCTTGCTGGTAGGATTGTTCTTGTCAATGTTCAGAGAGCAGGAGGGTGAGCTTTTGACGTTCTCGTTGTTGACAGGGCCTTCAGGGAGTGAACACGGGAGGGCTAACAGGGGGCGGAGCGGACTAGCGTCTGCAAAGGAAGTTGATGGAACCCTCCATAGGCCATTGAGGAAGCCCGTGCTTAATTTCACCAGCATGTCGATTTCTTCCGGCCTTCAACCACGAGCAATTCCGATACACCAACACTGCTCCCAACACCAGCAGTCCTTCCTTCTTCTCGGGCCCCCACTTGATCGAACCCTTTGAAGCACACCTACCGATAAAAACAAAAGCACGATCAGTATATATCCTGCTTTCTGATCAGCAGCACGCAAGCAACCACCGTGGTTAGTTTTTCACTTCTCCCCTTGAAGGTCACAACCAGACACTGACTTCACCTAGAACGACACACCTGCCGTCATGGAGAAGCAGACCGACGTGATGGCCAGCGCCTTCACGTCCGGCTATCCAGTTCGGCAACAGGTCATCGTTGGCCTGATCGCTGTCTTAGAATCCGGCACATCGAGGGTCACGTCAACCCGGAAGTTGCAGATGCGCACCGCCCTGCACGCGATCATCGGCCAGTGGGTCGATCTGAGAAACGCTGGGGTTGAGGAGAAGCACGTGTACCACGAGGTCACGTACAGTGCTGTTGGTTGTGAGGAGGCAGAGGACGATGAGCGCCAGCTTCGCGATCGGTTGACGATGCTGGGTGGACAGGAGGAGGCTGCGGGTGCGCAGTCGTCGGCCATGAGACTGCGTGATGATGCCAGTCAGGAAGCGGTTGTGATTGCGCACAAGGACACCATCGATGCCGAAATCAGGGACATTGAGTCCCAGCTCAGTCGGAGGAGTCAAGACATTCGCTTCCGCACGGCTCGCGCTCTGAGTGACATCCTTGAGGCTGCGCAATGGGGTAGCTCTTCGGCAGAGGATGGAAGCAGCAGCGTGGACCTCTCCGGAAGGACGTTGCAGACAGCGATCGACGGCATGAAGGCTATCTGCACGCCAATCGACGCCCAGCTCGGGAGGGCAGATTACGGAGTGTCAGGCACTGGGGATGACGGAGGTCAAGAGGACGAGCAGGATGGTGGGCAAGAAGATGGCCAGGATGGCGACCAGAATGGCGACCAGAATGGCGAGCAGGACGAGGAGTCGGATGCGAGCGTAAAGTCGGTCCAAAGTAAGTGTCAGCTTCTACGATGCCTCTCTTAACCTCTACTTACACTACACGCAGGCGTCCGAGACAAACGCTTCGGGAAGAAGCGTCCCGACTACACCGAGGATGAAGATGAGATCCTCATCAACATTCACCTCGACAACCCGACGGCCACGTACCAGGTCCAGGCCAACATGCACAACGCCCACATGACAAAGAAGTGGGCTCAAGAAGGCCGGGGGTTGTGGCGCGAGCGTACAAGAGCTGCAGTCCAGAAGCGCATCGCTGGCTTCCGTGAGAAGGGCTTGCTCTGAGGTCGAGGCTTCGGTGGTTTGTCGAGATGACAGCGTTTGAGCAAGGCGTTGGGGGGTTGACTATGGCATGGGAAGGGGATGTACAGCATAGGAGGAGGCGAGGTGAGGTCGGCTATGTATGTCGGCATTCGGCATTGGCACATCGGCGTTCGGTGGAGAGTGACAAGAACTACCCGGTTCAGGCAGGTCAACAACACTGTCAGATAACCAGGGTAGACGTCTCCTCTACAGGAACGCCGTGACTGTACTCACATCATGTTGAAATCAATCCCATCATAAGCACAAGCCTTTCCTTTGTCTCCTCAACCCCTCCTCAGCTCTCTCCTTCATTATGCATTTCGAGCGCATCAGCAACTTATACCTACAAACCTCCAGCTGGATTAATAGCCAGATACCCTTCACGCAAGGAATATCTCCGAGTAAAGACAATGGCTTTGATTCTGATGCAGTACATTCCTTCTACCCGAGCAAGAAGACAATCAGCTGACTCTCAGCAGACACCAGCGTACAAGGATCTAGTCTGGCACAACTGCTATGGAGACTTCAAATGTGCGCGGCTCGAAGTGCCAATGGACTGGCACGGGACTTCAGAAGAAGCCTCCAAGACCGTCGAGTTGGCATTGGTAAAGGTGGATGCGCTGGTGCCAATTACGGATAAGAATTATGGCGGCGCTGTTGTGCTGAATCCTGGTGAGCATGGATGACCCACGAGGTCGTTCCAACTGTCATCAGCTACTCATGTTGCTATACAGGTGGCCCTGGTGGCTCGGGCGTTGGTCAAGTACTTAGGGGTGGTCACCATGTTCAGAAGATCCTCTCTGCTGGGCCAGATGCAGATGAACATACGGCAAAGGTATGTACACCACAGCCTGTTGACCAGCCGAACTCCACGCATGCACACTCTTCCACGCCTGTATAGCCCACTGACTAATTGAAGTACTTCGACATCATCGGCTTCGACCCAAGAGGAGTCAACAACACTCGCCCGCTCTTTACATGCTTCCCTGACCACCTCGCCGCAGCAGCATGGGCGTTGGAAGAGGACGCCAATGGCTTCATGGACACCTCAGATATCGCTTTCGACAACGTCTGGGCAAGCAAGCGAGCGATGGCTGAAGGTTGTAGCAAGCGATGGGCTGAGGAGGTGAGCAGATCAAGCCTTACTTTGATGAAATTCTAACATTGTATAGGGTCTCGCAAAGCATATGGACACAGCACCGGTTGCGAGAGATATCGTCGAGATCTTTGAGCGGCACGGCGAGTGGCGAGAGAAGGAGGCGAAGTGGCTGCTGTCTCTTCCGGAGGCTGCTTCGTATTCGGAAGCAGATCGTGAGGAGATGGCTGCCCGAACGAAATACAAGCCTGGCAAGGAGATGGTACAGTATTGGGGCTTTGTAAGCACTCTACCAGAGCAACTCTGTACTTATGCTGATGAAGACGCAGAGCTACGGGACCATCCTCGGAAGCCATCTCGCGACAATGTACCCCGACCGTATCCACCGCGCAGTCCTCGACGGCGTGGCAGACTCCCACGACTACATGGCCGCCGGCTGGACGACTAATCTCCGCGACACTGACATGCTTGTCGCCAAATTCGCCGAGTACTGCCACGAAGGTGGGCCGGGCCACTGTGCAATGTACCACGAAGACGGCCCAGCAGTCATCGCAGGGAATGTCCAGAAAGCCATGACCGCTTTGAAACACAACCCTATTTCTGTATCAGGCAACAGCACCTACGGCCCAGAGATAGTGACGGACAACGATCTCAAGCGGCTCCTGCGGGATATCGTCTACAATCCGCTCCGCGAACTACCCACGACCGCGCAAGTCATGCACGAGATCTTGCAAGGCTCGGCACCCACCCTCGCGGACTGGAAAAGGAAATCACGCCCTGCCATCGGTGAGTCGCTAAGCTACGAATGCGAGCGAGACGGTCCGTATTCTGCTTCTTGCCATACAACGAGCCAGTCCTCTATGATTCAGTGGGAAGCTACCTACGGCATCGCCTGCACAGACGGCTCACCTCGGACCGGCGAAACAAAGGAGGAGTTCAAGCAGTACGCGGATAAACTCATGGCATCAAGCGGTCTCATCGGCGCAGCATGGGCGTCGATAATGCTGCCTTGCACGTCATGGCATGCGCGTCCGCATTGGCGGTATGATGGGAACTTCCACAATACCACCGCGCACCCTATCTTATTCGTGGGCAATACATTCGACCCTGTCACGCCACTGCATAACGCCTTCGTCATGGCTAAGGGTTTCGAAGGGGCCGGGGTGTTGCATCAGGATTCAGAGGGGCATTGCACGTATGCTAGTCCGAGTATGTGTTCGGGCAGAGCTCTGCGGGAGTACTTCCAGACCGGGACGTTGCCGGGGAAGATGGGAGGGCTTGAGGACTGGGAAGGGATGGGGAAGGTTTGTGGGGTTGATAGGGTGCCTTTCGATGGGTATGAGAAGGGGAGCACACCGGGGCTGCCGGAGGGTGAGACGGATCGGGAGTTGTGGGAGGCGATGGTTGGGTTGAATCAGGTGTGGCCGTGAGAGAAGCGTTCCCGCCTTGCGATGTCTTGATTCTCTGAATTTTGTTTTTGTGAACGAGAAGAGGAAGAATGCATCGAGACATACTGTTGGTAAGTGCGGACGTGGTGCTGTGGCCGCATTCCTCGCTTCCCAAGATCAATGCTACCAAGTCCAGCACCTGCATCGTCATTTGGCACCTTTCATCTTTGTTCGCTCGTGACCACCGAGTTGAGCATCGCAACACCATCCGTCCCTTAAGGCCGATCGTCCGAGATGCGACACCGCCGCACCCCAACCTACGCCTTCCTCGCCCTCTCCCGCCAACAGCACCGCGCCGAAGTCGAACGCATCTCCCTCGCCGTCCGCAACTTCCACAAAACCCAGCAGCGCTTCCGCATCTACCATGGCTCCACATCCTCCACCAGACGTCCAGTCGACGGTACTTCAACCAATACGATCGATACCAGCGCCTTGAACAATATCCTCGAGATCGACGGCGTGAACAAAGTCGCTGTTGTGGAGGCCAATGCACCTATGGACGCTCTGCTGGAAGCGACATTGGACTTGAATCTGATGCCGTTGGTGGTGACGGAGTTCCCAGGTATTACTGTCGGAGGCGCGTTTTCGGGAACGGCGGGGGAGAGTAGTTCGTTCAAGCATTCGTTCTTTGACCAGACGGTTAGTAAGATCGAGATGGTGATGGCGGATGGCGAGGTTGTGAATTGTTCGGAGGCTAAGAATAAGGAGGTGTTTCGAGGCGCGCCGGGGGCTTTGGGGACGTTGGGAGTGGTGACGCTGTTGTATGTGAGACTGCAGCCGGCGGCGAAGTGGGTGGAGGTAACTTATCATCCGTTTGAAAGTGTGGAGGGAGCGCTTAGGATGTTCAGGCGCTTTTGGAAGGATGAGGGCGTCGATTATCTGGATGGTGTGATGTTCTCGCCGACCAAGGGTGCGGTGGTGACGGGTCAGCTTTGCGATGTCAAACCCGAGGGCTTGCCAGTCCAAAGATTCAGCCGTGCGAAAGACCCATGGTACTACATGCACGTCGAGGAGTGCATCTCGTCCGGTGGCTCAGAGCCACACAGAGAGCTGGTCCCGCTGCCCGACTACCTCTTCCGGTACAACCGCGGCTGCTTCTGGTGCGGCAAAAGCATGTTCGATCTGACCGGCCTGCCTTTCACCAAAGGAACCCCACAATGGTTGGAATTCATGCTGCGGACGCGGATGCTGTACAAGGCGCTCCATGCACAGGATCCGAACACTCTGATGGTGATTCTGGATCTTGCTTTGCCCTTCTCGGCGGCGGAGGAGTTCGTCAACTGGCAGGCAGAGCGATTAGACATCTGGCCACTTTGGCTGTGTCCGCTGCGTATTGGTGCTATGTCGACGCTGCATCCGCATCCGCTCAGGACTGAAGATAAAGAAGATGAGATGATGCTGAACGTTGGCCTGTACGGTGTCTCGCCAAGGGACTACGAGGAGTGGGTCTCCGCCAATCTCGACCTCGAAAGCAAAGTGACGGAGCTTGGAGGAATGAAATGGGCTTACGCCGCGCAGCTGTACTCGAGAGACATGTTCTGGCAGCAGTACGATAAGAAGTGGTACGACAACTCACGCGAGAAATGCCATGCCACTTCTTTGCCTGATGTATACGAGAAGACGAGTGTAGATTATGAGGCAGGAAGGAAGATGACAAAGGAGAGTAAGGAGTATTGGGATGGGACCATGTTTCCTGCCATTGCGCAGTTGAGGCAGAGTCTGTGGTTGGTACGGGAGGCGCTTAAGAGTAAGGCGTGGAGACTGGAGAGGCGTGATGTATGGAAGGACTGGCCTGAGAAGCGATAGCGCTGTCAGTATGAGTTACGGCATATGAACGGTGCTGGTGGTGGTGGTGGCGGTGGTGGAGATGTAGTCGACTCCTTCCAATTTGCGTTGTGCCTTGGCACGTGACAGCGCGATAAAAGCGGCTCCTCCCGCCTCGACCCCTGATTTAATGAAACGCCGATCTTTCGGCCAGAGCGGCCTTAGTGACATCCCTCTCCCGCTACTCCTGGACAATGTCTCCCAACTCTCCCAGGCCCACGCAGTCTTCACTCCCTCGACTGCAGTGGCTGTTCGCTCATTGTCTGTGATATTACTAACTGCAGCGTCCGAGAATAGCTGGGAGGCCTCTATGCAGCTGGAGTAAGCTGACGACCACAGCCCACGCGACAGGGTCGATAGGGCTTAGAAAGACGTGTCTGGCCAGCGAATCGAGAAAGAGGTAGTGAGTGGCAGGTGGAGGGGTCGTGGTGTGCATTGAGAAGGCGGTGCTTTGTTCAGTAATAATAAGTCTGCTGGTTCAGACTGTAACATCACAAGCATGGCCGCCGCCGAGACAGCTTCCGCGAGGCGATCGAGCGAGATGGCAGCCAATACGATGGTAATAGATACGACAATGTCTGGAACCGATGTGGCGGGGTTGACGGCTTCGCCAATGCCCCAGACAGCTAAGCCGGTTGAGGAGGAAGAGGAGGCGGAGGAGGATTCAGATTCGGCTTCAGACTACTCTGACGACGATGAGTTTCAGTCTCCACCAAATTCGAGACCTCCGACAACGTACGCAAAGAACGCCGAGCGACCAGCCCGCGAAGATATGACCGAAGACGAGAAGACAACATCCAAGACCGCCGAGCTGGATCTGAACAATGGCTCTCGGCCAGGATCAATACAGCTTGTGGAGGCCGACGCTGTGGAGGGGGCAGCAGCCGAGAGGCCTCAGACGCCAGCGTTGTCTGAGGGAGTGTCTTCAGAACTCGAGACACAGAAAGGCTCGACGGCAGAACCTAAGGAGGTCCCAGCAGACTTTGAGGATGTGCCATTGGAAGCAGAGCAAACACCTACAGCTTCTCGTAAGGCACCTCCGCATCTGGAGGACCTGCAGGCGAGTCTACCAAAGCCTGACCTCGTGCTCAAGACAACCTCTGCACAAGACGAAGTACCGGAGGCCACGAGTGAGCCAGCATCAGAACGCCAGACGCCTACGATTGAGGTAACTTCAGGACCCTACTCACCGGAGGGATCTGAGTACTCAAACTCACCTGCTGCAAGTCCGAGCACTCCCAGCTTCTCCATGTCACCAAGGACTCCGCAAGAGGCTCACATGTCTATGGACAGCATGCACTCTGTGGCACTATCCCAATCGAGCCTGGACTACGACCACTTGTCTTCTGAGCAGGTCGAGGACGTACTGGCTACTCCACGTGTCCGCAGCGTTCGGCATCTCCGCAAGCCAAGCAGCCTCGAGATCCTACAGAACACCTTCGGACCGCCCTCGCGACAAGAAACGCTCTTCGACTACTCGAAGGATGACCCGCTCGACACGCCAGCTGTCGGTTCCGAGGAGACCGATCGCTTCGACTTCATGGACACGACATCAGCGTGGCTGTCGCAGAGCAACGGAAGCATGAGCACGCCGAAAAGAGACTCTGGGTCGTCTGACAGTGACGTGGAATTCGATTGGCAGGCCTTAGACATGACGGAAGAGCAGGAGAAGGAAGACAAGGACCTGGCAGAAGGCGCTGAGGACGAGTCTACCGCTTTCCTCCTGGCACGGCTTGAGCAAGAAAACGCAAAGTTCGCTGCGCCAGCGGTGCCGAAGCATGTCGAGCGTGTACGCAGCCAGAGCCGACCTCCGAGCATGGCACATCTGAAGAAGCTGGTTTCGAAGCAGGACGGATCCAAGCTACGGTATAGTCTAGGGCCGGACGTGCTGCAGCAGATGCCAGTCGACGAACCACCACTCATGACTGAGTTCGACTTCTGGGCAGCCCTCGTTCAAGACTACCCATCCACTGCATCGCGGTTGCCGACTTTGACGACTGCTAAGATACGAGCTGGCATTCCGCCGCCTTTGCGAGGTGTGGTGTGGACGAGTATGTCTGGTGCGAGAGACAAGTCTTTGGAAGAGGCGTTTGAGAAGCTCAAGAATGAGAAGAGTCCGTATGAGGGTATCATCAACAAGGATGTCGGCCGCTCGTTTCCTGGTGTCGAGCTTTTCAGGGATGCAGACGGTGAGGGACAAAAGATGCTAGGCCGGGTACTGAAGTGCTTCTCGCTGCACGACAAGGATATCGGCTACTGCCAGGGACTCGGTTTCCTGGTCGGGCCGCTGTTGATGAACATGGGTGAGAAGGAGGCTTTCTGTGTGCTTGTGAGGTGAGAGCAGCGTTTTCACTGACCTGGGAGAATGAACAACGCTGACTCTATTGCAGGCTCATGGACCACTACGCGCTGCGACCATCCTTCCTGCCGTCTCTTTCTGGCCTCCATATGCGCATCTTCCAGTTCAGCACCCTTCTCAAGCAGCATCATCCAGCCCTCGCCGAGCACTTGACGGATCTGGGTGTTGAGCCGGCTTACCTCTCCCAATGGTTCCTTTCCTGCTTCGCTGTCACCTGCCCGCTACCCATGCTCTTCCGGATCTACGACGTCATTTTCGCAGAGGGTGCAAATGAGACCGTTATGCGCGTCGCCATCGCACTGTTCCGCCGAAATGAGGAGAAGATGATGGCTTCTACTGAGTTCGAAGAAGTCATGCAGCTCCTGCTTGGCCGTGGCATCTGGGACGTCTATGGTCTGAGTGCCGACGAACTCATCGACGACTTCACAAGTTTGGGCAACATCATCACGTTCCAGCGTCTGGCAGAGCTGGAGAACGAGTTCGAGAGCAAAGATCGCGAGTCCGTTGGCCAGTCCGCCGGCTTCCTGCCAGACGTACAAGCCGCAGCATCCCGCTTTCTTGGACGGTTGTGGACACCGAACCACGCTCACACGCCGAGCAAAGGCGCAGCCGCGACTCTCTCGCCTTCTAGCGCCGAGAAGGAACCACAGACGCCTAGCGGCAACATTTTATCGAGACCGGGTTTCTTGAGAAGAAGCCCAAGCAAGACGAGCATTGGAACTATCAATGAGAACAGTAGTGAAGGCTCAGCTGCCAATAGCATTGCCAGCACTGCACCAACCGACGCGGAGATCCACGATGGCGAAGCACGGGAGAGCCAGGCAGATAGCGCAAGCATGAGGTCGAAGGCCGAAAGCATGCGCACCGTGTCCATCAGTACGAATCAAGCTCACGTGCAATCCATGCATGGCATTAAGGAGCAGCAGGAACTGCATACGCAGATTGAGGACTTGCTAATGGCTTTGTCAGAGATGCAGCGGGAGCATGCGCAGATGGCCGCGATGTTGCAGAAGGAGCGCGAGGACAGAAATGATGATCATCGCGTGGTGAGGAAGCTTGTTGGCAGGCTCGGGCGTGGAAGACCGAAAAGTCGGGAAGGCAAGGATGTCAGGAGGAGTATGCCGCCGATGGCAAGACAGCTGATGCCGGAGGCTGCGACGGATGTGGCGGACAAACGAAAGACGCTGCCGTCGCGACCACGGCCAGAAGTCAAGACTCTTCCCAAGCGACTCGACCAGGACGTAGAAAAGCCGAAGGTGGTGGCAGAGACCGACGACGACTTCGATGAGCTGGTACACGAAGTCCAGGGCCGACTGGACAGCAACGCTCGCTTTTCGTACAGCTTCGAGACGAAAGCACAGCTGCGGAGCAACCTCACGCGCACTCGCGAGCAGCTTTGCGCAGCAGAGGTGCAGATCAAGACCCTCAGCGAGCGAGCAGAGTTCTCAGAGACGAGCCTTATGACCTTCCAGAATGAAAGCGAAAGCCTGCGCTCTGAGGTCGAGGAGCTCCGCACCCGTGTCAACGACGACTTTAAGGAGAAGCAGAAGCTCGAGCTCACGATCCAGAACATGGAGATCCAGATGCGGATGGAAGCGAAGGCTGTCGAGAAGAGGCAACGCACTGGATGGCTCTCCCGCGGCGAAAGCAGCAGCGATGTTCCTACTGTCAACAAGCCTCAGTCGCATGAGAGATCGAGGACTGGGTCCATCTCGAGCCAGGCTGGCAGTACGACTGGTTTACGAGAGTTGAAGCTGGGGAGGAGAGACTCGGTGGGCAGCGTGCAAAGCATACGGTCTATGAAGATGCAGCGGCAGCAGTCGGAGGGCTCGCAGACGCCTCCAACGGTTGCTGTATCTGCTTCACCACCTGCTGGCGATGCAGAGGTCGTGGTACCGCCTACGCCGCCACCGGTCGTCGCAGAATCCGCTACTCCCACGCCAACTCCAGCACCGATTACCGTGCCCACTCACCCGTCCGGCCCCTCCCACACCCCCTCAGCCTCCCTCTCCGTCCCCGGCTCCGCAGGCTTCGCTCCCCGCAAATCCAGCCTGGCTACGCAAAAGGTCCTCGCTAACCCCACCCACGAACCCGTGCCCGACGAAGCGCTCCTCCTCGAACTCGTCAACGCCAAAACGTCCGAAGCCCAAGCCCGCGCCGAGGTCGACGAGCTGCGCAAATCACTGCAAGTCCAAAAACGCCGCGCCGACGAGACGCTCCTTGAAATCCAAGCCGAAGTCGCTAACGCTAAGCTCGAAGCCGAGGCCGCGAAGCAGGAGGCCGAGAGAGCGAGGTTGGATGCGCAGGCCGCGAGGGCAGAGATCTTCGATGCTGAGCAAGTGGCGACGCCGACTAGCTATCCCAGCACACCTGCGCCGATTGAGGAGGAAGCAGAAGAGTATACGCCTGCGAAGAAGCCGGAGCCGAAGAAGGCGGATACGGCGCCGGTGAGCGCTGGTGGCGGCTGGTTCTGGAGCCGTAGGACGGCTTCCACGAACAAAGCCATGGTTGACAAGGCGGCTGAGTAGGTGGTGCCGCTGGAAGTGTTGATGTGATGTTGATATTGGCGGGTAGCGTCGCATTTGCGTGTAAGGTGTATATATTTGTGGAAATGATGTCGTTCGAAACGAAGATTCCATTGTTATTGCATCTCCAAGCCGCTTGGTGAGTTCGTCTCATAGTTTCGATGCTGGTGATGGCCGCACTACGAAGCCGAGTCGTGGGAAGTGGATGCGGACGTCGACGGTCGCAGGGGGATCGAGCTTTTGAGGCTTGATGACGACTTCTTCGGGGGACATTGCTATTAGTGTTCCTAGTGTTGGGCTGTGGGTGTTGTTAGCAATGCGGCATCATGGAAGCACAGCAGTGGAGGAACATACTCATCCCGCCCAGTATCATCAGGCGCAATCGACACCAACGCCCCTTCAACACACCCAGTCTTCTTGTCCAGCTCCGCATGCGTAGACCTGGGAGTCGGTAACAACAGTGACCTCGTCCCTAGCGCCGGTGACTCCCTCATCTTCTTCACCACCTCCTCGAAATTCTTACAGGTCTCCTCCGTGCTCGGGAGATTCTCAAAGTACACCTCCATCATCTTATACCACCGCCACAACCCCGGGTACCTCTGCGCATTCAGCACCGGCGCCGCACCCTCCAGCTCCCCATCCTTCGTCTCTCCTTGAGTAATACCTTCTGTATACTTGCCTTTCGCTATCTCCTCGCCCCACTTCAGTTCATAGAAAAGACTGATATCCGCCAGACTCGGACTCTCAGTGGAAAAGACGAACCCCTCATCCCCACTATCATTAGCAAACAACGGCTCCAGCATGCTGAGCTGCAAATCCAGCTTCGAAAGATTCTCCGGAATCTTCCTGCCCAACTTCTCCGCATCAATACTATGCCCAATCAATCCCTCGCGATCCCTCCCAAAAGCACTCGCCCAAATACTCGCCGGCATCAACCCGCACGCCACTCGAAAAAGCGGCCGATCAGTCCAGTAACTCGCGAACCCCCGGATCATCGGCCGGTAACTCCTCCCGTCTGCGGCGAGGGGGTAGAGCGTCCGGTAGCCTTCCGATTCCGGGAAGAAGTGCTCGAGGGCTTCGGCGACGAGGGAGGTGTCGCAGTAGATTTCGCGGCCGATGGCGAGGATGGGGATTTTGCGGTAGGTGAGGTTGAAGGTGTTCTTTAGTAGAGGACGGGGCATCATGGTGGGGACAGGGATGAAGGTGTAGGGGATGCCTTTTAATTTGAGGCAGAGGCGGGCTTTGAGGGTGAAGGTTGAGGTGTCCTTAGACCATCAGCATGGGTTGGATGTGGGATGAGTTGAGAGACTTACGTAGCCGAAAAGAACGACTATGGGAGGGGTTTGGGATGCCATGGTGTGTTTAGGGATGGTTTGAAGGTGTTGTATGTTGTTTTGTTTTAGTTTGTTGGTTAGATGGGATGGAGATGAAGTTGAACTTCGAAACATACAGATTTGCCGAGGTCTGTGAGCGAGCAGAAGCACTGTCGGTCGACGGGACGTTCAACGACCAACAACCACGATAGCTGAAAAGCACCAGGACTCCGAACGATCGGTACAATTGGCATATCTAGTATGTACATTGATACATTAATACACGAATCGTCTCCGCAGTCCCGAAGATCCATCACAACCAAAAGCTGGACACCAAGAACATCAATTCATCATGACCAGAGGATAGCAACTCACTCAATGTCGTCCGTTGGAAAGCAATGTTCGTAGAAATCTAGGACACGTTGATGGGCGCCCACTCCTCATCAGAATCATCTTCGTCCGTAAGATCTGCTAGCCTTGCGTATCCCGGCTTGAGGCCATAAAACGTGCCGGACTCTCCATCGAAGATCATCTTCTCCTTGGGCTCGTCCTCACCGTACAGGAACGGAGGGTAATATTGTCCGAACCCTTTGAAGCCCACCATCAAGACCGCGCCGTGAACAGCTTTCAAAGCTTTGGCCGTCTTCTCGATATGTGCTTGCTTGTCGTCAGTGAAGACCACCGGTGCTTGAACGCGGCGCTGGTAGACGATGTTGAGGCGTTCGAGACTGGCTGGGACTGAAGCAGATGGTGCGCGAAGGAAGGGAAGAAGCGCGACAAGCCGGTTGTTCATTTCCGTCTCATCGGCGTTTGTTTGCAACGATGAGCCGTGCGGAGATGTGATGGCGTTCTCGGCCTGGTAAGTAAGGACTTTGAGGTTCGGTGGCGGAGCCGAAGACAGCACAGCTCTCTCGAACGTGAAGTTTGCTCCACTCGAGGTGATGCTTTCCAGAGCGTGGAAGTCTGCAAAGCCGGCGTCCACACCAGCTTGCCGTCCCTCTGCCATTCTTCGAAGAAGTTGACTATCGGCGAAAACACTTGCGCTGGCCGCTACATAGACCAGCGACTTCAATGAGTGGTTCTGTTGACCAAGAGCCTTGACTACAGCGCTAGCGTTCGTGCGGAAGAGATGGTTGTAGGAGGCTTCCACTTCGTTGTCAAATTGCCGGGCGTTGTGCGCGTTTTCTCCTGTTCAAAGGTCAATAAAGTACAGGCCCGATGTTGAGAATTTCCATACATACCTAGCACAAGGTGCTCGAGACCTGTCGGTAGACCAAGCAGGCCATGAAGGCCGCGCACACTGATATTACACTCTTCGAGGACGAGGTGCTGGAGGGGCGTTATTGCCCGCTCGCTGACTTCATCGAAAAGATCCTCGGGTATGTTGACACAAGAGATATTTAGATATTTCAATGTTGGGTGCAGAAATATCGAGATGGAGCGTTCGTTTGGTGTCCAGTATGGCAAACCAGGACCGTTCAGATGTAGAGTGACTGTATTTGTGTTAGCAAGTACATTGGATCCCCGCTCCACGCCCGACGCCCTCGGCAAAAAGGGTTGTATTGCACACACGTTTGGTCAACTTCTGTAGAGGTCGGTGCTCCACAGCATTGCCGACCACTGCTCGTTGAAATGGCATAAACAGCTGTGCCGTCATGGACCGCCAAGTCGGATGATCTTCGAAGTGGCTCAAGTGGGTAGCATTGCACAGAGGGCTTTCCACCATCAGCTCCCGCAAGTTCCGCGCGATCATCATCAAATAGGCAAGTCTCGACATGTCCCGTCCGAACTTCGGTCTCAGTGGGGCATTCAAGACTTGTACGGCCGAGGCGCGCTCATGACGAGACTCCGTCGCGGCGACAATATGGAGTAGACTCGGTGCCAGACGAAAGGTTATCTCCCGCCATAGTTTGGGCTCTGTGAGCTGCTGGAGTCGGTGACTGGTGCAGGCCAAGTTGCGAAGTGTGTTGAGGTCGTCGATGAATTCGATGATATGGGCCACCAGTTCGTTTGGTAGGTCCAGTATCGGGAATTGGAAGGTGGAGTTGTTGGCAGACATCCTTCCCATCGCCTTTGAGATCATGAACTTGAGTCTCATTGTGGTATTTTGATGGAGTTGGTTAGAAGTGCAGTGACGACAGTACCAAGCCCCACGGCTCGGCTCTGGCCGGCACGCAACCCCGCATTAGCGCATTGTGGGGAAGCTCTAGAAATTGTTGCTTGAAATTAAAGGCTACAAATGATATAGACCACGACTTAGACCAGCCGCCCACGTCGCTCCAACCTGTTCCACCTGCTCAAAACAAACCTACCTTCACGGCGCCCACCATGGTCCAAATCCTCCGCGTCGAAGGCCACCTCCCGAACGCCGAAGTCCTCCATCACATCACCACCACCCGCGCCCGCCATGCCCGCGAAGACGACGCTGCGCCTGACGGCAAGAAAGTCCACGCCCGCCCTGCCAACTTCCTCGCCTCCCTCGACAAGCACGAACGTCATCTCCAGTCTCCTCACTACCCGTACCTCAAGAACCCATCCGTATACGGAACACCTTTCTCCCAATCAAAAGCACTAAGGAAATTATCGGCCTTGCACATGCGACGGATACAACATCCGCTGTACGAGGACTACATGGGCAAGGTGCAGCGGGGGGAGATCAATGCGGACAGAGCACGGAAGAAGCTGGAGAGGTTGCAGGAGAGGAAGGAGCTGACTGATACGGAATGGCTGATGATTGTGAATCATGCGCCGGTGGTGCTGGAGCTTCTGCAACCGATGGTGGAGGATTGTGATGAGAGGTTTACGGAGGAGGAGAGGGAGATCCTTCTACAGTGTGTCAAGGACGTTCTGAGGAAGGATGAGGGGAAGCGTGGTGAGGCGATGGAAGGGGTGGTAGAAGGGGGCGGTGGAGATGCGAAGAAAGACGGGTGATGATAGGAATCATTGGGATGGAAATTGTTGCTTTCTGCGGGCTTAGCGATGTGATACCCCGGGGCATGGTGATGGTGAGGATGGTGTTACGGAGTTTCGGTGCGCTGGAACGCGGGATGTCGAATTGAGTTTAAGCTATGGGCTTGTTTCTACTTGAGAGCGGGACAAGCCATGGAAGATGGTCTTGAACTTGTCTTGACCTCCAATCCAGCGTTGGTCGAGAAGCAGGGAGTCTATGGTGTGTCGATTACGCTGAACCCGAGGAAATCTTGACCTGTTGGTCCTAGGCCCGAGCCACTGCCGCTGCAACATCTTGCATAACTGAGCAGTTTGCGTCTGGGTGTGCATCTGGTAATGTGTCGTCAACTCCTTTTTCGAACCGGTCGCGGTACTCTACCGCGCAGGATGAAGGGTCAACAAGCTAGAATACCCTGAACGCCCAGCCCCCTACACCGCCAGCGTGTATAGCAAATGCCTCAAATCCCTCCCCAGATCCTGCACAGCACTCATCCCGGGGCGACACACCGAGTCCACGTGGTGTTACCATTGCCTATCGTCTAGTCTGCATAAGCGCTCGTCCCACCCACCGGGTCTTGTACCACCTCCCGGCGCTTCGTCTGCATGGCCGTTGGGATCGGATAAATCGAGGGTACAACAACTCGACCAACACTCGCACAAAAGATGCGCTGCTTACACGTAATCTCGCGGAGACTGCTGTGGTGTGCTGAGGGTGATGTTCGTCCTCCCAGGAAGAAGTTGTTTCAACCACTCATAGACCGAAACCGGCACTGCTTGGCAAGTCGGACCCGGCGAGGAGAAGCCGACCTCACATTTCGTCACACTAATTGGACAGCTCACTTCCTCTCGTGTCCCTATCGCTCCTTGCGGCGCGGCTCATGCATCCCACGGTTCTGGCCGACACAAGGGCCTCACTCTCCACGCTGACCATGTGAGTGGAGCACGCGTCTCTCCGCAGTCTCGAGCTGTCAAAAGGTGACCGTCGAATGAGGAGGGTGGTCACACAGAACCAAACGCGGGGAGCACATTGCCACCATCGGCCGCGCGATCGTTCCTTCTGGCGAAGCCGGTACCGACGGTATCACAGGCGCGCCGCTTGTGGGATACTACAGCTCCCCGACGTGCGACGCGGCACCAATCCTTTCAGCCATGTGGTTGGAGATGGGTCCTCTCAGACGGTCATCCTGGCCGCGGGACTGGCTGTAGATGTAGGTTCCCACGCGGTGACATCTCTTACTCTTCTGCTTTTCGTCCTCATTGCCCCTCGTCCCGCTTTTGCTCGTACCTGCAGCTACTGTCCTTCGCCGACCTCTGCGGCGGTCATACAAGCCATGTATACGGTGCTCAACGCGTCCATCCCACCCGTGCAACAAGCGCAACCTTCTTTCCACCTCTGAGACAGCGATTCGATCACATCATCTCAACCGGCAAAACCAGGCAGACAACAATGGGGACTCGAAGTTTCGCTCAGGTCGCGCCGACTCCGGCTACAATTGCACTCAATGCGTACATCTACGGCTACGGCGGACACTCGCTTGTCACTCCACACGCCGCCTTGAAACAGCTCTGGTGGACGGATGCGCGCATCGAGGCCAAGGTCAACAAGTCCTTCATCGTCTCGAAGCTCCGAGGCGAGGAGCGCGACTTCCTCAACAAGCCATTGGCGTTTGGGGAGGGTCTCACCGATGAGACGTACATGGAATGGATCCTCGAGAGGGCCAAACGACTCTTTCTCATTTTGACCGAGGTCAAGGTACCCGACCAGATCTTTGGATGCATCGACGACTCGTGGGATGACAGCGACTTGCCAATGTCCTTTGAGAATGTTCGCAAACTGGAGCTTGCTGTCGAGAACAATGAAGCGCTCAACAAGAGGTTCTACGACATGCAATTCCTGTATCTGCTTCGGGAGCTGAAGCAGGGATCGCACATTGACTATGGACCGAGCGAACACATACCGATGGAATACGTCAATTCTCTACCGCCGGCTGTCAGCTTGCAGGTATGGGACAGGATTCACTTCCCTGGCCGACCGGAAGACATTTACATGCGCCGGAAATATGCTCTCACGGACAAGGAGACCGAGCAAGAGTTACGCAAAGCCTTCCTAAAAGATGTACGCAGGGCACAAGCGCTCGATCACGAGCATATCGCATCGGTGTGGGCATCGTATACGACAGAAGATGCTGGCTTTGCGGTGTCTGACTTCGTCGGTGAACATACGTTGGGCACATTCATCGACCATCGCAACCCTATGCAGTATCAACGAGTCCGGGCTGCGGATAGACCCGCCCTCCTCTGCGAATGGATGCATTGCATATCTGATGCGTTGGCATCACTTCATTGCCGTGGCGCTGCTCACGGCAGTATTCGGCCCTCCAATATCCTCATCGACCACCAAAACCGGATCGCATTCGCCGAGATTGGGAGTCTACGGACTTTCCAGCGTGGCAAGAAGGTCAACAAGACTGAAGTATATGACTACGCCGCCCCCGAGTCCCAGCTCTCGAACCCACCTGCAAGCGTCGCCTCGAGCCCACCTATCTCTAGCATTGGAGCATTCGGCAGACTCCGCCAGATGAGCTCGAGTGGAAGTAGTTCATCTGGTCGCTCATCCAACGGCAGCAGTATACGCAGCAATAGCATCGCAACAATACCCACCAGCCCTACCTCGCCCCAACCTCCAAGCAGAACCGGTAGCATGACCCGCCGCACAACCACACCGCTCTCCTCGCCCAAGAAATCTTCCCACCCCTTCCGAAACTTCAGCCGACACCTCACTCACGCCTCCATCGCATCCTCAATGGCCGGGCCGTCTCCTCCAGCCACTATCATCCATCTCGTACCCTCCAACACCAGCCTGGCAGAAACAGACATCCTGCAAGGACTGCCAAACCCCTCTTCGGAACTCGCAGATATCTACTCACTCGGCTGCGTCTTCTTGGATATCATCACATTCATGGTCAGAGGCAAGACCAACGACTTTGTCAAATTCCGTACCTCTCGCGTGCTGTCGCCCAATCCACACGGCAAGCGCTCGCGGACCGATACTTCTTTCCACATGTCACCAGACAAAATCGACTCCTGGATCGACATCCTCAAAGACGACGTCGAACGCCTACCCACTCCAATCGCAAAAGGCGTGCCAGCGTTGCTGAACCTGGTCGCGCGCATGGTGATCCATCAGGCTACGCTCCGCCCATCAGCGGTCCAGGTCCGAGATAGCATCCGAGACATCCTCGTCGGCGAATGTGGCGTGCAAAAGCTGTGCTGCGCAAATCGCGAGTGGACTGCGCTTGAAATAGCTGAAGATGCCGTCGATACTTCTGAGACATACTACCAAGACATCGTCGCTTCAGCTCTCGCTGCTGCCGCGAGGAAGGAGGCTGAAGAGGCTGAGGCTGCGGAGCAAGCCAGACTGAACGGTGAGGATACTGGTGCTGGAGCAGAGGGAGGAGATGGCAATGGCATGGGCAGGACGGAATCAAGGACAGGGAGTTTGACGAACAGACGACGCAGCTCGACTGCGAGCGCGGCGACGACGAAGATAAGTTCTTGGAGGAGGAAGTTTTCCAGGTCGGCCGGCGCAAGTCAAGCTTGATTATCGCAATGGTGTTGCCGGAGAAGTCGGAACGGGAAAATGGTCTTCATGACTTTACGGTGCAGATACCCTTCGGATATGACTTGTAATGACTTCTCGGGATTTTAGCAAATACTTGCAGATACAATATCTCGGCTATCTCACGTCGCCTTGCCATATTTCCATCTATCGCCTTGCGTCCCACATACCCGCATTCACCCTCCCTTTCCTCGACCATGTCGTTGCAACAAACTTCCGCGGCCTCAAATGGCCGGATATTGCGGGCTCGTCAAACACTTGATCGGCAATAACCACGCGACATCTCCACCAGAGAACTCCCCACAGACACGCTTCCACCAACGCAGGCCAAGCGCGTGCTTTGCCGTGCTTGAGGGTCTTGTACACTTCCACCTTCCTATTCGGGCAGGTGATTGGCAGCGTCTATCAGAAGGTGCGGAGCCTCGTGGTGTTCGGGCATTGCTACTTGCGGTGACATTGATATGATTGCACCGAGAGGGGAGGAAGGGTTGCATTGATGGTACGTAAAGTTTCGTTGAGGTGAAGTATATATCAACTTATCTCCTTCGTTTGCTTTCGTTGTTCGCTGTGCCAAGATCTGTCTTCCTTTCTGTCTGTTGATCTACGACTATGGCTCCTCCAAACGAGCACGTGTACAACTCTTCGTACCAGGCGGAAGAGAATCTCGAGAAGCCTACATTCCGCGATGGCGACAAGGCGCTCGATTTCCTGCGGACAGAGGCAGAAGTCGGCGAGGGCGAGGATATCGATGAGAAGAGACTTGTTCGCAAGATCGATTGGATGGTTGTGCCGTTGATGTTTTGCTGTTACTTGCTGCAGTATCTGGATAAGAGTTTGTTGAACTATGCTGGTGAGTCTCCTCCTTCTTACCATGAGAAGGGACGTGCTGACTTGACGGTACAGCCGTCATGGGCATCCGCGAAGACAACAACCTCACCACCGAGCAATACGGCACTCTGTCCCTCCTCTTCTACGTGGCTTTCTTGGCCTTTGAGTTCCCGCACGCATACATGATGCAGCGATTCCCAACCGCCAAATACCTGGGATCTTGCGTCGTGGCTTGGGGTACCGTCGTTGCTTGCACGTCCGCCTGCAACAGTTACGGCTCCTTGGTAGCAACCCGCTTCCTGCTCGGCATGTTCGAGTCCGCCATCAGCCCCTCGCTGATCCTGATTACATCAATGTGGTATCGACGAGACGAGCAGCCAAAGCGAGTCGGATTCTGGTACATTGGCGTCGGTTGCGCTTCGATGATAGGAGCTCTCCTATCGTACGGATTCCAGTTCTACCACGGCGATCGCTTCAAGTCATGGCAGATCCTCTTCCTGGTGGTCGGCCTGATCACCGTGACCGTCGGAATCATCGTCATCATCCTGATGCCAGATAACCCGATGTCCGCGAAGAAGCTCTCGCATGCGGAGCGCGTGGCAGCTGTTGAGCGGTTGCGGGAAAACCAGACGGGTGTTGAAAATAAGCATGTACGTTCCTTATCCCCCCATCCCCCATCGTCCCCAGGCCAGGCCGCTGACAGAGCGATAGCTCAAACCCTACCAAATCCTCCAGGCCTTCAAAGACCCGCAAACCTGGCTCATCGCCTTCATCACCACCGCCGCCAGCGTCCCCAACGGCGCCGTCGGCTCCTTCCAATCAATCATCATCTCCGGGCTCGGCTATAGCGATAAGCAGACCGCTTTGATGCAGATTCCTGGTGGTGTTATAGCTGTGGTCTCCGTTCTGTTGGCAACCTGGAGCGCGGCGAAGTTTAATGCTAGAGCGGCGAATATCATGATTTGGTCGGCGATTGGAGGGCTGTTGGGCGGGAGTTTGTTGGCTTTCTTGCCTTCGACGAGCACGGCGGCTTTGGCTGGGAATTATTTAACGGTATGGTTTCGTGATTCATGTCCTGAGACATTTGCTGACAGTTTCTCCTTGCGCGCGCACAGCATGTCGTCGGAGCGTTTCTGCCGTGTTCCTACTCGTTCGCTGCGGCGAATACGGCCGGACACACCAAGAAAGTGACCATGAACGCAGTGGTGCTGTCAGTCCTCCCTCACCCCCTTCCCCTCGCCATCGCAAGCTGACAGTATCATAGCATGTCCTTCTGCCTCGGAAACATCCTCGGCCCCCTAACCTTCCGCGACGAAGACGCCCCTTCATACACTCCCGCGAAAATCACAATCGTGGCCGTCGACAGCGTCGCCATCCTCGCAACAGTCGTGCTGCTGCTATACTACATGTGGCAGAACAAGCGGCGCGACAACGCCAACGTCGAGCACAAGCGGGACGTTGAATTTGCCGATCTGACGGATGTCGAGAATAAGGAGTTTAGGTATAAGTACTAGCTTCTTGGGGTATTTGCGTAGAGTACATTGGCCTGCAGAGGCAGCGTATGATACATACGGGTACTTCGTCTCCATATGCTTTGCGTTCAGACCATCTGTCTTCCTCTGCCCCTCTTAGGAGGAGGCGCTTCAAGCCCGGCTTCACTCACACCACCTGCGCTTGTGGTGCGGCTCATCGGCTCGCCGCCTGCGCGTAGCGCTGCTGCCATGGCGCTGGGCGCTCCGCTTGTCTGTGCAACCTTCTGGATCAACGACCGCTGCTCCATGCTCATCACCGGCGCGAAGCCCGTCCCTGGTATGCGCTCGACGCCCTTCCCGATAACCGCAGGCCCAGTCTCCAGCAAAGGCAACCGGTAAGGCTGTGTAGTGGTTGACTGACTCAGCGCCTGATCGAGCAATTGCCGCCGCATGTGCAGCGCGGTGTCCTCGTCATCCGCATCGGCCATCACTTCAGAGTCTGCGTCCGCTGCACCAGCTCCGCGAGGTCCAGACTGCTTCATCATCGCGAAATCATTGTCCATGTCCAGATGACTGACTCCAGACGGTGCTGGCGCGCCACTCTTCTCGGACCGTGTGACGGCGTGATATGATGGGATGACAGGCGCGAAAGGATCCTTGCCGCTGGTGCCGCCAGAAGGTGCTGCGCGCTCGTTCGCGGCTAGGTTCGCCAGATCCTGCAACGCAGCCAGAGGGTTTGCGCGTGCGCCACCACGCGTCAGGACTTGATGTGAGGTCGACCGCTCCATCTCAGCTGCCGCAGGTTGACCAGGCGGAGGCGTGCCATTAGCGCCCTCCGTGGTCGCGACTGGCGCGTCTTCGCCCTCCGCAGTCTCCATACCTTCTCCATCTGTAGACGCGACAGCTGTACCGTTGCCGTTCGAGCCCTGCTCTTTCTCCGCTGGAGGCTGGTGGAAGTAGCGGTACGTCGCCAGCTTCGCGGTATCCGTCGCCATTGCTAGCTCTTTGTCGGTGAAGATGCGCTCTAAGCTATATGCTGGCGCTTCATATTGTGCGTAGGTATTCTTGCCGCGAGCGTCTTTAAACGGGCTCCTGCCGCCTCCAAGCGCGTCTGGTGGTGGTAGCGGTCTGAAAGCTGGAGCTGGCGACTCGTTACCGTCGTCTTCTACTGCACCGAACTTGCGCTTCTTGATGCCATTGGGCTCGAGGTCACCTGGGGCCGGGCTGCCCACGCGGTGTCTGGTGTGTCGTGTCTTGCGATTCTGGAGACCGTTCGGTGGCGATCCAGGATTATTGATACCGAATTGGTTTGGGTGAAGGAGGAGTGCGTTGCTGTCGGCAATGTCGAGCTGCTCTTTGTCGCGAAGCAGCTGGGCGCGCTTCTTCGAGATAGTCGCGATCAGTCGCTGCCGAATGGTGCTTGTCAGGGCCTTATGCTCCTCTTCCGCTTGGTGCAACTTCTGTTGGGTCACTCGCTCCAATTCGGCCACCGCAGCTGTGTAGTGGTTCTGTGAGTTCAGTCAGCTACCGCATGTCCTCCACAGTGTATCGCAGCCAACACTCACATGCAACGCAGTCAACCCAGCATCCCTCCTCTCAACCCCATCATTCACCTGCCTCACAAACTCTCTATACCTCGAGCCCGCCAACGCATGGTAATCCCTCTGCGCCGCCTCATCGTCCGGCACCTGCGCAGCAATAGCCTCAACCTCCCTCTTGATGTCTTCACCAGCATCGTCCAGCATGCCATTCCCCTCCCCATCGTCTTGCGAGTACGGATCCGCTCGTAGTATCAATGTCATGTCAACTTGTACCGCTTGTAGTTGCGCGCGGTAATGCTGGTGCTGGTTGGTGGAGAACTCGTCGACCATGCTCTGTAGTCGCTCGACGATGCGGTTTCGTCGGAGGTCTCGTTTGGAGAGGGGTTGCGCGGGTGGAGAGGGTGACTCCAGGGGGGAGCGAGGGCGTGCCATCTTGTTGGAATGAAGTGATGTCCTTGCGGTGACTTTGTTGTGCGTGTTTGATCGATGCAAGGTCGCGGAGTTGCGTTGGTCAAGACGTAGCAATGCTTTGTTGGTTGTCTGGTGTTGTTCGAGAAAGTCAATGAATATTCTCGACAAACACAACGAGTTGACAGAGGATCAGCTATTGCGGTGGCATGGCATGGTTGTCTGCATAACAAAGCGTGTAGAAGGAGAGGAGAGGAGCGCTGGTGTAAGGTCCTAAATTGATCGACAATTCACCGAGGCCGCAACGTCATTGGTCAGATGGATGAATAAGCCGACAACGGCGACGATGAGATCAAAAAGATGGCAGGAAGCAAAGTGTACCTGAAGATACATGTAGGATCAAGCAAGCTCAAAACAGTCTCACAACATCTCATTCCTTCATCGATCAATTCGTTATAGTACAAGCCAAACCAAAACCGGTATCAAAGCCAAAGGATCAACGCCGAGTGCAAGCCCCTAGCTACCACCGTAGCCCCTTCCATCGTCCGTTCCAACTCATGTAGAAGATCAATAGGTAGTCGTCGGTATTCCTGCACCGCCGCATCCACCCCTCCGCTGCATCACCGTCACGTGGTGGTCGTGGTCGTTGTCGTTGCTGGCTGCTCCGTCGCTGCCGCCGGCTGCGTGTCCTGCGGTTGCTCTTTCGTGGAGACTGTCGTGGTCGCTCCTCCGTTCTTGCGAAGGTCCATCAACGTCTTCAACAGGAGAAAGAGGCCGGCGGAGAAGAGGAGCCTGTCGCGATCGTCAGTGTTCTGTCTCATCGTGATCGTGAAGCAAGATGCATACCAGTTGAGCACCGACAAGGCAAGTGCGGCCATGATCCATGGGGCGAGCGTACCGAGGAGGTGCAAGACGCGCTCCGCCAGAAGCGGTCCGCGACCATGCACCGCCAGCGCAATGGCAGCGGCGAGCATGACCCAGGTGGCGAACCAGAAGATGGTGGCGAGCACATCAGTGATGAAGAGCGCGAGCAAGAAATTCCTCGGCCAGGGCATGGTGAGTATGAAGAAAATGCCGCTGAGAACGGTCAACAGGGCCTGGAGATAATAGGTTCATCAGCTGATGACCAATGCGTGACTCGGGGGGGTCGCAAGCGTACGGCAAGGCAACCGATGATGGCCAAAGGCATGTGTGGATCGTTGATCAACATGATGATGAGTGGGAACCACACGATGGCGGAGATGATGAGCTGCAGAAACTTGAGAATGTCGTATGCGCGCGGCGTCCTGGGCATCTGATCTTTTTTGGACATGTCGTGTGGTGGTGTGCTTGATGCTTGTGCCGACATGGTGTATGATCGTATGTTTGATGTTTCTCCGAAGAATGTTCTGTGCTGATGATGGGTTTTCAGAGCAATGAGCAATGACGAGATGGATGTGTTGAAAGGGAGACGAAGAAGCGAGAATGCAACAACGTCAGAAGAAAAGAGGTCGAGAGAGGACGCAGCAGGCGTGCCTACCTCTTGCCTTCTGAGATCCGGCAGCCACCTGCTCGTCAAATTGCGTCTCCCAACAGCCTACCGTTCCTTCCTCAAACCCCTGCAAGCACAAGACGCAAGTGGCAATGTCCGCTTAGTAGCAGTGGTGAACAGCTCGTCTGCTGAGTTGGCGACGTTGTGACATTTGCATGGTGAACGCACTCTTGCTGGACCTAATGCTTTCGGAATCCCTGGTCACGATGGCAAGCTGTGAGCCAGATTCATTCTTGCCAGTGCTCGATATATCGGTCGCTGCTGAACAACGTCTCCGCTTGAGCCTTCCCCGAGCGCGATACTGTGCGCAGGTAGGTGGTCGGGTTGATGTTGGAACATGGCGGAAAGAGCGAGGCTGTGGACCCAAGACTCTGCACTGTGTGACGATCCTGCGGAGATATCATGAAGTCCAGCAATGCCATCTCTGACAGAGTGCATGCATATAGTTAGCACTCGCATCCTAGCATCTCATGACTTCCCTCAGCTTCCCACAAACCGCCAACATCACCAACTGCGCCGTTGGACTGTCACGAGCGTGTTGGAAGACCTCCACATCATGCATTGACCCAAAAGCTTGGATCACGCCACAAGACACTCCAGCTGTCTGCAACAGCTTCGCGAATGCTTCATTCTGGTCTTTGAACGGATCCTGGTCCGAGATGATCATGGTCGTAGGCGACATGTACTCTTTGGCCTCCTCAGCGCTCATGAGTCCTGGAGACCCGAGGATACTTGAACGTTCTTTGAGGGTAGGAAAGTAGGCTACTTGCTGCTGCTCAGCCCAAACGGGATCTCGAAGCATGCCACTCCGGAGCTCGGCTGTGACGTCGACGTAAGGATGAAGCATCAGCTGATGAATGATAGGTAGGTCCAGGGCGCGTTGCTTGTTGAGGACCGACATCGCTGCAATGATCTGACCTGTAATTCTGTTAGCGAGAAAAGTGTATCAGCATGGCAAGTCCCACAGCCTGAGCTATCACCAGCCAGGACAACGCGATCGGTGATCAAGCCGTGTTCATCGCCGTTCTTCAGGATATACTGGAGCACTTCCAGACACTGCCCATGCTGGGCAGGGAACTGCTTTTCTGGAGCAAGCGTGTACTCCGGAAACACAACGGCCGTTCCCGTCTTGCTCACCATGTCGAACACGAAAGCCTCAAACTCAACGGCACCGCCGAAGATCCAGCCGCCGCCGTGGACGTAGTAGACGAAAGGGACAGGCGTACGAGCCGACTCCGGCATGTACATGAAGGTGTCAACCTCGCCGTGACTGGTTGGAACCGCGTGCTCAGAGACACTGATACCTGGATTGGTAGGACGCGGCGTCTGGACTTCGCGGAACAGCGCTCGTTGCTGGGGAATGGAGTATTCGCTGAATGGTTTGCTGTTGGAGATGGCGCCAAGCGAATGCAGCAGGGCTATGTTGTGGGGGTCCAGGTAGTGCATGGTAGGTTCCTGGGGGTCAGTCATGATTTGAAGTGTATTGTAGATCAGAACGATCCGGATATGGATTTCCTATGTGTGCTATGACAATTCGAAGATATATCTTCTGTCTCGCGGCATTGCCGCCATTTTAATAGCTCCGCGTGCTGTCGACTCTGACATGGATGCAAGTTGCTGCCTCGCGTTATGCGTTACCTGAAGGCGTCGCTCTGAACCTTGAGCTCATGGCAAGATTCCGCAGAAGGCCTTGTTTCGCCCATGGGTAAAGGAAGAGTAGTCGTCCCGATGAGCAGGAGTGAAGAGCGAGACGCAGCCTGACGCGGTCCTGCCTATTTGAGCCTAGCTGGCTACTAGCGTGACACGATGCATAACGTTATGCTCGCTACACGTCCTCCACGTCTCTCTTCATCAAGATATCATCTCGTTACGACTCGTCCAGCTACATCGAAGGCGCATCTTTGCATAGAGCCTCAACTACGCCACCATGGATACGGCGGCTTGCATCAGGGAGCGAACTTTGAACACCACAACGACCTTGAAGGGCATACCAGCCTCCTGAGTCCAAGTGTTCTTGACTCTCAGCTCATGTATCCCTCGTGGCCGCAGAATGACAATTCCAACCGCGCACGACCTCGGCATGTCCACCGGCTCGATTAGGACGGTGACCGAGACCATAGGGGCATCCTCTTCAAGCACAGGAATCAGCCATGCAGTTCCTTGTCAACTACTGGATGACTCTGGGCTCAGGAGGCGGCTCCATAATGCTACGACTGCAGTAATTGCGGCACGAGCGGTGAAATGGTGACTACTCTGTTCGACCTTCACTGGTTTCGCCAGATACATGCAGATTACTATTGTTAATCTGTTCGAGCCATGCGTAGCTTCTGGAGGGCTCAGGGCGCTACATTCGACGGCACAGCCGCGAAATGCCGTTCATATCCGCATCAATCTCGACACAGTCCGCTCAAGTGCCCCTTGTTGTGGTCTCGCAGTGGTGTCTGCAGTGGTGCACTCGCTTGCGCGCGGAAGGGCCCATCCTTGAGTCATGGTGTCAATGCCTTGACATGCCGAGTAGCAAACTCTGTGCAGTGTCTCCAGGTCGCTCTTGTGCACTGCCGGCGACGCCACGAACCGTTATTATCTCTCCTTGACGGAAGACTCCTCTGCCAAGAATCTCTGCAATCGCCTGCTACCTATATCTTACCTCGAATGTCCAAGGAAGCCACTACTGCTCAACCTTCAGGGATGGCCTCCGGCAAACAGCCAGGTGCCGTAAAGCCTATACTATCACAGAGGAACAACTCCATTGTCGACAATGACCTCGATGTACCGGATCTCAGCTTCGGTGTGGAGCTAGAATATATGTTCGCTTCATTGACCGACCGCAGTGATGGCAAAGACTGGCCTAATATGAGCGCTGATGGTCGAGGTCAGGAAGTCGTGCGAGAGGCTCTTTCCGGTACTATGATGGCGGAGTGCAGAGTGTGTAAGCAATCATTTCGCTTCAAATTGCCGCTCAACACCAAGGCTGGGTGGCCCTACGACGGGGTGAAGCAGCTGGACCCAAACCCGGATCTTCTCGATGACTACGATAACGACTACATGCTTTGGGACGTCGTGGAGGAAAACCTCTATGCGCTGGAGCCAGAGCTTCAGATTCTTGGCGAAATTGGTGACAAGTACACCTGCACTGGCCTGGAAGTGCGATCTCGAATACTGAGCCCACGGAGAGATCTTGGGGTCCGCGACCCCAGCTCCGCAACTTGCAAGATTCACAAAATTTCTTGTCAACAGGAGATCTCAGCTGTCATGCACACGTTACGGCGACGCTTCTGCGATTTCTCGAATGGTCGCCGGAATGACTACTTGTTTGCTAACAAACGGTGTGGTCTTCATGTCCATGTAGGAACCTACGGAACGCAGTACGAGCTCAAAGATGTCAAGAACGTCATGAGCATGTACGCAGGGTGCGAGAGACTCATCGACAGCATTCATGCTCCGCACAGGATCTCATGGACAGACCTCGGGGTTCGTCCTTATGGTAGCGTCACAGCCGATGATCTTGAGCAGAGCAGCGATTACGATCGGGACCCGAGTGTGTACAACATCCCTCTCTCGGCGCCCTTCCTCCTGAATGTTCACCGTAGACGATACCCTAATACGGGGGCAGTCGCCTCTGCCAGTGGATCGTCCAAGCCGCTATATCCGGACACACACATTTCAGATGCTGCAATGAGGCTCGCGTGCTCTTCCCGCCACGTCGGCGCCTGGATCCATTTAATTCAAATGGCACCTGACATAGCCGACCTTCAGGCTCTCTACGGTACACGCTCGAAGAAGACAGTGCTTAATATCAGGAACTTGCAGGCGAACAACCCTGAGCCTCTCAAGACGACGATTGAGTTTCGACAGTACGCTTCTACCATGTTGACTGAGCCGATTCTGAGCTGGGTGGACTTTGTGGTGAAACTTGTTTACTTCAATCAGCAAAACTCCTGGGCTACAGTCTACGAAAAGCTTCACATGGAAGCGGTTGGTGAGGACACGTTCGCACAATTTGTACTCATCTGTTCTGATATCGACTGTGATGAGGAGACGAAGAACCATTACCCGGAGCGACTGCGCCCTAACGTTGGGACCTGGGTACGCAATCTTCGCGCAGGAGAAAAAGCTCAAGCCCTGGCTGCGAAGCCGGACAGTGACTCTCTCGCCGCTCTTGCCCTTCACAGCATCGAGGAGGAGCGGAAAGACATGGATGAGCGTAGTGCGAGGCGAAAAATGTGTTCCAAGCTTAGGGAAGGTGGTGAGTGAAGTCCAATCCGCTGATGTCTCCGCACCATTCAAGCAAGCTAACTTTTCACTTTCTGTGAGCTAGGGTACGGCCAATTTGATGCCGGTGTTGCTGACAAGATTGCGTTAGAACTGGGCTTCTGGCTCATTGACGAAGAAGCGCAGCAACTTACAATCGGATTTGAGCCCCAGCATTTCAGCCACTACTTCCGACACCCTCTGCCACAGACAGTCCACCGACCGCCTCCTTCTGAAGGCGGCTTCGAAGAAGACTTTGGTTCTCCGACGCCTTCCACAGCGAGCATGCGAGTACGGGGTACCACTCCGTCCTCGCTCGGCTCACCATATGGGTACAGTCCATCTCCGCCACCGCCGCTGCTGGCTGGCAAAGTGCGCTCCACCACTCCAGACCCTCGCAGCGCTCAGGGCCGGGACGAGTCGTAGAAGGACCGAAGCACCGCTGAGCACTCCAGCAGCTCTGTTTCCCAACGTAGCGAATGCATGGCCGGTCAACTTCGCCAAGTGTCCAATGGTGTAGGGGACACCAACGTCAGCCAGGCCAGGCGGACACCCAGCGCACGAACACACCAGGAGGCTCTCTCTCGTCTCCAGGAAGGTCGCCTCAAGGCGCAAGTGGCGGGAGCGCAAGTCAGGCTTGACAGAATTTGGTTGCTTCCGGAGAAATGCCTCTCTCGGTGTAAGTGCAGATGTCTCATTAGTGCTTTCATTTGGAATAGTGGAGGGAGTTCAAGGAAGGTCTATTGCCAAGGTCCTGTATTCCCTCTTGTCTCCGTTCTTTGGACTTTCAATTCACACTACGTGGAGCGGCGTAACGCATCTGCTTGCGCCACGCGACTCCCATTCCTTAAGCAATTCACTGTACTGTATGAACTATCTTTCTGCTTGCTCCATTGCCTGTGGAATGGCCACAAGACTACAATGTGGAGCCCTGTGTCTATGTGCCATGTGTGTCGCTGCACGAAGGCGTTGGACAAATCTCTTGCTCATCGATCGAGTCAGCGGCGAAGCAAACATTCACTCGGTTGCACAATAGGATCTGTGGTATTTTACTTGGAAGCCGACATGGTACCGCAACAACGATCCCTCGGATACCTCTCGCAACAGTCCACTGGCAGGCCATGGAGACGCAATCCAAATCCGCTTTATCGTCGATACAAGCGTCTCCAAAGATATCGGGCGCCACCAGTCCTAAGCCAGCGTTCAATGAAGATTTCACCTTTGGAGTTGAGTTTGAGTTTATGTTACTCTCGAAGAAGGAACGTCAGGACATAAGTAGATTCGAGGCATTGGGCTCGAATGCTCTCGCGAAGGACATTGTCCGTGACGCACTTTCCGGTGATCTTCAAGCCCAATGCAAGGCATGTGGTGATCTCGTCAAGTTCCGGCTGCCCCTGCGGCAGGGCCTTCTTCCTCCGAAGGAATGGGAGAACGAATACGACACTTGGGAAGTAGCAACGGAGAACTTTTGGCCAAGGAAATACGAGTGGGTCGCCCTCGGAGGTGTTGCGAGCGACTACGCCTGGGAGGGCGTCGAGATCAAATCTCGCATGCTACACCCCCTTCGTTGCCTGCAGGTGCAGACCTCGCCAAATTCACATGTACATGAGATCAGCTACGAGGACGAGATAAGTGCTGTCCTCGTACAGCTGCAGCATCGCTTCACCAGGTTTGACGGCCAGGAACCACAAAACGATTATCTTTACGCTACCGATGAAGCGGGTCTTCATGTGCACGTGGGCAATCAGTTGGAGGGACTTGACATTGGGACGACTAAGAAAGTGCTTTGCATGAGTTTGGCTTTCGAGCGGCAGGTCGATAGCGTCCAGGCCATTCACCGCATCGGCGCTACAGACATTGGGACAAGGCCGCTGTTCTATCCTACCATGCCGTCTTCTGCTTATTATACCAAGAACGATCCGTCTGTGTACAATGTTGGCCTGGCGGACGGCTTCCTGTACCACTGCTACGACCGGCGACGGGAGGCAGAGAAGGGCAATGCAGCGCAACTTTCAGCCCATCCGCTGCCGGCAATACATCCCGTGCTGAAATTGGTGACAAAGAGTGCGCCAGATTATCCGGCCTCACACTACGACGACCCGTCAGTCCGAAAAGCTAGCGAGGGTTTCAACAAGGATTCCTGGTTGACGCTGGTGGCACAAGCGCCCAACATTGAGGCCTTGCTCGGCATGTACACCACCGCTCCCAAGAACACCATTGTGAACATCAAGCAGCTAAACCGAAAGATGAATCCATGGAAGATGAAAAGGACTTTGGAATTCAGACAACATCGTTCGACACTGCAAGCCGAAGCTGTCATCAGCTGGCTCCGATTTGTTGTTGCCTTGGTGGCCTACTGCGAAAGCAACAATACGGCCGCGATCATGGCTTTGCTCACCAGAGACAATCGAGTGCGGCGGAGCAGCTTCGATTTTGCGGAGCTGTGTAAGCTTATCGGGTGCGATGACAACACAGTGCGGCACTACACCGATCAGCTCTCTGGTGCATACGCTCACGACTTGCGGCACAGAGAGAAGCTGTACGCTCATCTGGCACAGGGCACCGCTGAGCCATTAGCGCCGCTGGCACTGTTCACCATCCAGAAGGAGCGCACCGACATTACCCCAACACACGTGCAGCAACGCCTCAGAGAGAAGCTGCTTATGGGTGGTTATGGGCAGTACTCTCGAGACTACATCGACGATGCACTGGGCTCCGTAAAAGTGTCGGAGGATGAACGTCGGAAGATTACCTTGGGCTATCGGGCCCCGATCTACGCTGACCAGTATACAAGTGCCAGGTTCACGGCGTGCGCACCGGGACCGGACGATCCTGGAGACGTCACTGGTATTGTTTGTAGTTTGCTTAACACAGACGTTAGCGATTTTTGGGAGACGGCCGGCACTGGGGTCGAGCAAGATCGCGAAAATTCGCAATCTGATGAGCCACCTGCGCCTTTGGAGTCGGAGCAACACCGCCGGACAGCCTCCTCCGATCCGCCGTGGATGGCTGAGGTCTTGCGGCGGACAGATGCTGCAACGAACTTGAGCAGTCTGAACTCCGACGACGGCCGAGGTAGGTATATCGCAAAGTCTCAAAGGCAGGACTGAGCTGGGTAGAGAGGCAACGGTGAAGCGAAGTGCCATGTGCGAGACGGGGTCTAGGTCTGATGTTTTCATTTGCTTTAGTACATGTTTCGACAACTTTCCCTTTCGTGCTTTTTCGTTATCTACATCATATCTAGCATTTTTCTGAACATGTATTGTTTGTTCTTGTGTTACACAACGCACGCTGATAAAACCCAAGGGCTCACAAAATAGCATGTCGGTTCGTCGAGAGAGGCTGAGTGACACCATGGTGTGCCACATCGAAATTCCAAGTGCTACCCCTTGGCCACAATGCCCGATATCTGGAGGTTTGTTGCAAGCTTTAGCATGAAGCATTCACGCAGACGGGAAGCGGATGGAGGTTATGTGCACCACACACGGAGATCTGCCTGGCAGGTACTCGTCGGGGATGAGCCAACCCACTCGACATCGTGTCACACTCTTTCCAACAAACAATCTGGCTTGCTGATTTGTGACACAGACTCCAGTCATTCCCCGACCAATGCCTCAAAAGAATGCAGTGGTACTGTTCTGGCTTCATTCCTACCAAGGCTTGTTCAGTTGCCCTCCTAGAACCCACCAGCGCCCGATCCAATGTCCAAGCTGGTTGTAAAACTACCAATCGACCACAGAACAATGTCAGCAACTGGCCAACGAACCGAGCGGACATCAGCCCCATCCTTCACCACGGTCCGCAACGATGACACTGCACCAGACCAAATTTTTGGCATCGAGCTTGAATTGTAAGTCCGCAAGATAGCTCGAATTCCCAATTCGCTCCTGACTGGCATTTCTAGCCTGTATATGTGTCGGAATAAACGGGAGCCTATCGGCATAATACATGGAGTGCAAAGCAGTAACATCGGCGCAAATGCCGTCCGTGCTGTTCTTAGCGAGGACATCCGCGGGCATTGTCGTACTTGCAAGAATTCGTTCACGTTCAGACTACCTCTCGATCCTGGGCATGAAGCCGAACAGTGGCTCGATGAATCTAACGATGAAGAGGGTGAGAACTACAGGCTATGGAGCGTAACCTCCGAAAGTCTGCATCCAGAGAAAGAGTCTGACCTGTTATGTGAGCATATCGGGACCAAATACCTCGTCTCTGGTGTTGAGGTCAAGTCCAGAGTGCTCAGCCTAAGCACAGACATAATAATATCTGCCCCTGGGTCCAGTCACCAACACCAAAAGTCAGCCCGGGAAGAGATATCAGCAGTCCTCCAACACCTTCGAGGTCGATTAACCTCCTTCGAGAATGACCAGCAGGAGTCATACATATATGCAAACGAAGGCTGCGGTCTGCATGTTCATGTCGGCAATTATGATCGGTCGTTCGATGTCGATACGATCAAGAAGCTTGTCTGTTTCAACATCGCTTGTGAAAGACTGATCGACCAAATACATTCGCCGCATCGGGTTGACGGATACGAAGCGACCGTCCGTCCGTTGGACTACTCTGGTGACCCAGACTTCACTCGCGATACCTGGTCCATGAATGATGCGTTCAACAGGCCCCTGTCCTCAGGCTTCTTGTATCGAGCATACTGCCGCCGGAGGGCTGAAAAGGACACATATTACCAACATACCGACCAGGCCACGTTGGGGAACCGGTATACGTTCCCAAGGTCACACCTGCATGATAAAACCATCCATCTGGCTAGCATTTCGAAGGGCATCGACTCGTGGATGTATCTGGTAAGAGAGGCGCCTCTCCTGGTTGACATTATGCAGAATCTATACCCCCTTAATTCCCGGAACACCATAGTCAACCTCAAGAATCTCACGAACCCCTTCAACGTGGCGAAGAAGAAGAAATTGACTGTCGAGTTCAGACAACATGCAGGAACCCTTCAGACCGATCGCGTACTGGCTCAAGTGGACTTTGTAACTCGTATGGTGAACTTTTGCCAAATTAGTAGCTGGATTGATGTGCGCAATCTCATCGACTCAGACGGACCGCTGCGGCAAGCTGATGCCACCATCCTTCTACTCTGTACCACTATTGGTTTCAGCAGGACCACGCTGAGCTACTACACCGACTGTTCGAACCAAAGCTACACAAAAGCGATTCGACATCAGGAATGCAAGCAGGCCCAAAAAGCCAGTAAAGCCGGAAATCTGCTGGCGGACGTGGCTGTCAACGCTATCGAACAGGAGCGGACACACCTAGATCCTTCAAACAGGCGGCAAGCCGTTGCAGAGAAGCTTCAATTCGGTGGGTACGGGCTCTTCCCTCGAGATCTTGCGAAGCAGCTGCTCGGTCCAAAGGCAGACGACGCTGTGGTCGAACGTATCACTCTGGGCTTCGACAGCGAGATCCAGCCAAATCGCCGAAACTATAGCCCATCGGCTTACGCGTTCTCGAAGAAGTATTCCGTACCTTCGGCCGGCAGCTCTTTGACGACTTCACCACTCATCAGCCCTGGCAGCGGCACTTCCGAGTCCCGTGGCAGACAGCATGAACGTGGTATAGAGAGGAATTCCAGCAGCTCACCGTTGGCATTGTCGGGAGTCTCAAAGGAAGAGCAGACGCCAGGTCGCCATATCTCACCTGCCGCTGGCCTACCTGATCGTTCTCGGAAGTCTCTAGGTGAATGAGCTGGTCTCTCGACGGCGCCAGACCGAGGCGCCAGTCCTCGTAAGCACAACACGGAGAGGATACAAATTGGACGTTATGCGTGCTCTGTTTTTGATGAGATACGCGTTCCGCAGCTTTCCATTTAAAGGTAGGTCCTATTGGTTCCTCTTCCTGGTTTCTAGCTGTTACTAGGATAGTCTTTATGCATCATGTATGGAACTCTGCGATCTCTCTAATCAAAGATACTGGCCCGCAATTGCCTCCCTTCTACACTCACCACCTTAAAACATTGCATCCGTCGTCAACTTAGCTTGATCCCTTGTCTTGCGGGACTTGTGATTGTCCGGTCACCGCAACGATAAGTCAACCATGACCCAGGCGGGGGTAGAAGTATGTCACTGCTTGCCATTCATTACTCGAAGGTTGAGCAAACATGCAGTGGCGTAGTACAAGTAAAGGCCGTGGAGCGCAGGATTGCAGTATTTCTATACCAATTTTTGGACCCAAAACATTGTAACATCCATCAGACTATCCGACCAACGATTTCAATCGATCAAACATCCGCCATGTCTGCGGGCAAGCAACTAGGGCTAAGTTTTCCAACGTCAGCCAAGGCAGAAGATGCCAACAAACCAGCACTGACCTTTGGTGTTGAGCTGGAGTACATCTTCGCCACGCGCATAGATCAGCTCGACGAGAAAAGTCTCCACATCACCGACCGAGATGCCATTGCGGTCGACGTGGTCAGAAAGGCGGTTCAGGAGAAGCTTCAGGCCAAGTGTAAATTATGCGGCCAAGATGTTGCCTTCGACCTCAGGCTCTTCGATGGTCGTAGGCACGACACAGAGGCTCAAGCGATCGCTGACGCCCTCAGAGCCCTCGGTGATCGTTCGTTTCAGGAACAAAGTCCTGATGCCTTTACCTCGTGGGAAGTCGTTACTGAAGGCGTCGCCGCAAAAGCCGCCGAACTGACAGCGCTGGGCAAGGACGAGCAGATGTATTTCTTCAACGGCTGTGAAATCAAATCCAGAGTGCTGAGCCGAGCAGAGGATTTGGTAGTACCGGATGAAGGAGCCGATCACGACCATAAAATTACCTGTGAGCAAGAGATACGAGCAGTGCTCCAGAAGCTAACACAACGGTTCTGTCTCTTTGATCCGGAGGAGGACCGAGCAGATTACTTGTTCCCGAACGAGAATTGCGCATTGCACGTCCACGTGGGCCAGCAAAGCGACGGCTTCGAGCTCCAAACGGTGAAAGAACTGCTTTGTCTGAACCTGGCTTGCGAGGGGCAGATCGACCAGATGCATGCAGTGAACAGGATCACTGGCGGTGACTTCGGTATCAAGCCACTGTCTGGTTCCTATCCTCACTACAACCCATATGTGTCCGGGATAGAAGGGTACGTTTTGCTGAACCGTACCCATTCTCGACATTTCATTCCAGAACATTGGTTAACGGCGCGTCCAGGATCGATGAAACGGCCAAGAACATTCCGCTGTCGTATCCTTTTGGGCAAGGAGCATATAGGCGCCAGCAACAGGCTCTCGATATCATCAAGCCCAAACTCTACCAGTCAGAGTCCGGCTATTACCCAGATTCCTATTTCGATAGCATCCCAGGTCTTCGTCAACTGACCATGCGAAACGACATTGATGCCCGGCTGACTGTAATCGAATACGCACCAACGCTACATTCCCTGCACGCACTCTATGGACACAGGCCACGAAGCACCACCTTGAACATAAGCAACTTAATGCACCAGGCTGATATCGAAACGGTGGAATACCGCCAACACGCCTCCACCATGTCAGCGGATGCCATCCTTGCTTGGGTTGATGTGGTCCTCAACATGACTTCATACTGCCGAGATACGAGCCGCGAAGACCTGCAGGTACTTGTTGGTTCCGACGGCAGTCTGCGGAAGGCAGGTACGAGCCATCTAGATTTGCTGAAAGCCGTCGGATGTGCGCCTGAAACAGTAGACCATTACACCAGAAGAGAATGTGACAAGTACCAGCGAAGCCTACGCCACGCGGAAGCCAACTCGGCGCAAGCCGCCAGCAAAGATCCCCTCGCTAGCCTGACACTCGTCAGCATTGCATTGAGCGTCTGCAATTGAAATGGTCCAAGGTGAAGCATCGGGTTGAAGAGAAGCTGCTCTTTGGTTGTTACGGACAGTTCCCACGCGCTATCGTCGATGGTATCGTGCCGCCGAACACCTCAGAAGAGGCGAGAGCCCGGATCACCACAGATTACTCTCAACAAGTCGACTCGTCTCCTTGGATAGCGTCAAGGTTCACCATGACAGACAGCAGGCCCGGGTCGTCCGGCAGCGACACTTCCTTCTTTCCTTCCTTCAGCCTAGGAACTCCCTTGACCAACAGCATGCTGCCAACGATGCACCTCAGCATCGCCAGTTCCAGCGGAGGCCCACGAAGAGTTTCCGAGCGAGACGGCGACGTATCTCCGGGACCACTGCTTGGATCACCGGTGATCCCGGTGGCCGACCAGCGTCGATCCCGCGGTCAAGGTCCCGCAGAGACGTCAACGCATCTCCAAGTGCCCGGCAGAGATCGCTCTGCATCGCGGCAACCATGAGGCTTGTTTGATGCCATGTTTTGATCTTTGGTTGATTTGCGAGCGGCCGGAATCCTCTCCCAACGGTAAACTGCCGCAGGCTTGGTCGTAGCGTTTTGCGAGTGCGATTGCATGGTCACCATGGTGTGTGACAAATAGTACCCATGCCGACGACGTGCAGTGGCCGTGTTCCATTTGTTCTTGTAGGTAGTCTTTCCTGTCCTGTTAGTTAGCTATGTACTCTGTGTATCTTGTTGATAACTCACCAAACTCGGCATTTCATACCTTCTCCCAAAGAACTGCTCGTCTCTCGTAGTAGTAGAATGGCGTTGGCAAAGAAAGAACCCAGGCATCAGGCTCTCACAGATGCCACACCCTCCCACTAGCCAGCCCAAGGTTGACAATACTAACCAACCCCTCACCCAAAATCAACCCCGACGCCAGCACAATCATCGGCGTCTCCTCTCTCCCCCTCCATCTCGTCCACCACCACATCAACAAGCCTCCCGCTGTGCGCGCAAGCGTAAAAGAGGGAGTATTGTACATGCCTACCGCAACAGCGATACCTCCTGGCACATACGGAACCCACCACGCACCCTTCGAGCCGTCCGGCTGCCGGCGAGACCCGCCGTAGATCCGCAAAGCGGTGATCAGAGCCCAGAGAATGGCTGCGCCAGCGGCAAAGGTAGGCGTGTGCGAGGGTAGTCCCGAGCCGGTCACCAGTCGCGCGGTGAAGATCCAGACGAAGCCGGTGGGGACCTGGAATAGACCGCCAGGGATCTTATAGACGTTAGTGTAGAGTTTGTAGACCGCCGCGCTTACCACAGCGCCAACGCCAGATCCGATAAGTTGGCCGTAGAACTGAGCTTTCGGACTTGCGCCCAGAAGATGCCCGGTCTTGAGATCTTGCAGCAGATCACCAGCTTGCAATGCGCCGGCCTCGCTAATTCCGCCCGCGAGCAAGTTGATGACTACTGCATTCTTTGAGTTCGTTGGTGTTACGAGCGCGAAGATCAATTGAGTGAGTTTGCTAATACCGCTGACGGGGTTCAAGTCGGTCTCGCCGAGAGCCCGTACACCCATGATGGAAAGCAGAAGGGCCAGTAGGAGGGCGAGGAGAGTAAGGCCGATGGAGATGATGCCAGCAAATGAATATTGAACGGCGAAGACGCAGAAGGCGAGGGTCAAGACGAGACCGACGAGAGTGGTTTTGACCCCGATCTGATGATGGGGCGGAGCATCGTAGTCTTCCTCGTCATCGAAGCCGGCGCTGGCAGATTTTGAAGTGCTGTTGGTGTTGGTCGTCGTGAGAGGATCGTTGAGATTTACAGGAGAATAGCCACGAGTAGCGGAGGACGTGAAATGAGCCACCGTGTGTTGGAGACCGTGTTGTCGGATACTGTTGATGATTTCGGGAGCATAGATGCGTGTGTACCAGATTGTCGGTCGTAGGATAAGCCATCCTAAGCTCACAATGGCATCTGCTAGCATGATAGCCAAGCTGATCCAGACAATCCAACCCTTAGATCCCGTGTTCCAGTCTCCAACATCTCCAGCTGCCCAGCCTTTGGACTTGGCCAGCGGCGATAAAACAGCCCAGCCAAGAACGGCACCGATGAACATATGGATCGTCGTTGCTGGTCCCATGATGATGCCTTGGCCGACGTACGCTGGGCTGGGATTGAGATTCCACAGCCACACATTAGACAGGTGGGTGCCCAGGATGGGAAGACTATGCAGTTGAGGGATGAAGTAGGTGAGAAGTGTCTGACAGAGTGAACATCAGCTTGCTTTGCTGCCAATACAAAGTATGAGATACGCACATAGACACCGCTGACACCGAACGAGTACATCAGCAGTCGGATCTGCTTCTGCCAGTCCTTCTTCATCCTGTCCTCGTTCTTCGACTGATTGAAATCGTCGCCCTCACTGTCTGTGTTGTTTCCAGAATCCTGCACTACTGCTGGAGAAACGTCGCCCATCAAGCGCTCTTCCTCGTCATCGTCAATACTGCTCCTTGCCTTCTTCGCCTTCTGTCTCTGCTCCATCTCACCCTCCGCGCCGCTCTTCTCACCACCGTGCAGCACTCCAATCATGAGCGCCGTAGCCGTCCCCGACGGAAATCGCAACTTCTCCCTCACAATCACTTCCTTCCTCAATGGCACCGCAAACACAACCCCAAAGAAGCACAGCCCGAGCGCCCACAATATCAGCTTCCCCAGCGGCAGCTGCAGTCCCCCAATCTCCCTTGCTGTCGCCAACGCACTCACAATGTCCGGATCTGTTGAAGCTGATTCTGGCGTCTCGTCCGGTTTCAACAGAAACTCCAACGCCGGCACCACACCGACGAATCCGCAGCCAAGCGGCATGGTCCCTACCGAGCCCGCGACCGTCTGGACCAGAACGTTTTCAACCTCACTGAACCCCTCCCCCCAGCCCAGCCTCTGAAACGTCTCGCCCATTCTGCACATCAGCGCTCGCAAGCCCTTGAAGTACGCGAAGCCGATTAAGGCGCTCGGCATGGCCATGCCAGAAATCCATCCTGTTTGCAATCCAAAGTAGGTATTAGAGAACGCTATCAGGACGCCGATGAGGAGGCCGAGGAAGAGGGCGCGGAAGGTGAATTGGGGCTGTTCGCTGCGCTTTGCGAGGAAGTCTGGGTCGGGTTCCTGGCCGATGGGCTCTTGGGCGATGCTGCGGGAGGTGGTGTAGTCCAGATCCTCGCCATTGTCGTCGCTGCTGTCGTCGTCGCGGAGGAGGTAGTGGTCCTCGGAGCCTCTGTCTGGCGCCATTGTGGGCGGTGCAGCAGAAGCACCAGCAAGAGACGCGCGGGAGGAGAAGAGAGGATGATATTGATGCCATATCTGAGCCAAATGACCGCATGCCGAGGCCGGCCGTTGTGAGCTTGGGCCACAGCTTATTCCCACCCCACCACCATATTTCACATCACAGACGACGTCGGACAGTTGAAGTCGATATACATCCAAACAATGACCGCCGAAGCAACAACAAAACTCCCCCCGGGCTGGTGGATCAGAACCCACGATGGCTCATTTGCTGGACCTCCGCCAATCCCACAGGACTACACCAACGACGACGATAGCGAAGTCGACGGCGTGGATGGCCAAAGCGTGGTAGACGACGAAGGTGGCCTCGACATCCGCCCCGACTCACCAGGCTGGGAGGACATGGAGGCCGACACCGAATCGCTGACCGTGCAGTGCCTACTTTGTCCGCAACAGTTCTCCTCGCCGAATCTTATGCTCGAGCACTGCAGCAGTAGCCATAACTTCGACTTCGTCAACGTCGTGCGATCGCGAGGCCTGGACTTCTATGGAGCGATTAAACTCGTCAACCTTGTTCGATCGCAGGTGCCTGGTTTGGCGAATCCGGATCAATTGGCGGTGGCATCGCTGGACTCGGACGATCTGCTCAAGCCTGTGCTGGAGAACGATGCGCTGCTGTTCAGTCTGGATGATGTGGTCGATTTTGAAGCTCTGGCTGAGCAGACGCAGGAGGAAGCGGCGGGCGTCGACAACGCTGGATGAGCTGGCGTGGCAGGAGCTTACGACTCATAAAGCATGAAGGCTTCGCCTACTGCGGTCATCATTTACGATCGCACGGCTGAAGAATAACCATGACCATGACCATTACCACTCGAGTTCGGAATGCCGACCTGAAATACTACAGCTTGTGCACCAGCCGCTGATGTCTGCTGTTCGGAGCAACACGCGACTGGTGATCGCAATCAGCGACACACCTTGTACAGGACACACTGAGCACGGGTGAAGCGGCGAGAGTGGTGTTCATAACCTCAACGAGCTCGCTTTGAACCGAGCAGTAGCACTGACCGGATCAGTGAGATTCGAGTTTGCAGGAGACGAGATAAGGGAAGCAAGTGGAAGTCTGAACAAACTTCCATAAGTTCAGCAGCAGCGGTCACAACATCCCCCCACCACCTCTCAACCCATGCTTCCAAAACTCCTCCCTCTCCGCCTCATGCACCCCCTTCACCCTCAGCACCGCCACCAAACTCGCACCCGCCCATGCTCCTAAAGTCTCCACACCCCTCACCTCCGTCTTCACCACCTCCGCCTTCCCCTTTCGCATCTCGCCCTCCACCTTCCTCGTAACGGGATCCTGCACATCGTCGTGGATTCGCTCCACATGCGGCACGCTCTCCTGCATCGGCATTTTTGAAGACGAGAACTGCACTTCCGGCGTTTGTCTGTTGGCGATAGCGGTGATGTTTGCGGAGCGTTCTTGTAGGATTTTGGCGTGGTGCGCGGTCGCGCTGCCGTAGCTGTGTACGTGATCCCAGCCGCGTTGCTCGATGAGAGAAGAAAGGTCTTGCAGCAAACGGGGCTTGAGACCTGGGATTGCTGAGAGGCCGCCGGTGATGATGATGCGAGAGGTGCAGAGTGCGCGGAGGTCGAGCGGGAGGGAGAGCAGGACGCGGTAGACCAGGTGAGTGATACTGAGGTCGTGGTCGTCGAAGTCGGTTGGTGAAGTTGAAGCCGTGGGCAAGAGCGTGTCTTCGACTGGTTTGGAGAGGCGGGTGAACGGAGTGTAAATGTGGCGCAGATCGTCAGGTGAGGGAGAATGGAGTTTGATGAGGCCCGAGGTATGGTCGCTGTTGTTCCCAGCTCTACACCATGCCATGCGGCGTGTGACTTCTTCAGCGTATTCAAAAGTCACGTCTGACTCATCTGCGTTGCCGCCCTGCTGTAACTGAGTCTTCACTTCTTCTTGCAATAACTTCGCCATTTCCCTTGTTAGCATCTTTCCAGCCCTCACACTCCGTCTCTGCGCAACTTCCTTGTACTCGCCCACAGCCGTCACCACAGTCTCCTCCCAGCCAAGCTCAACCACCAGACCATTTCTCAGTCCAGCGCCAACGCAAGCCAGCAATGGCGTGGTCAGCAGCACAACCGAAGGCGGCTGTGCGTGATGATTGAAAAGGACCTTCAACGCAATCTCCACCAATGGCGTCGGTAGTAACGACGGCAAAGCCAGCACGGCTTTCCTCGGCTTCGTGTCCAGCTGGAGATAGTCGATGTGCACTGTCCTCACAGCCCGCTCCAGCTTGTCCTCCACCAGGCCAAGATCTACCGCGCGCAAGTCGCTGCGATACAGCTCATGCTCCGAGCCCCAGTCGTCCTCGCTCTGCAGCTTCCGTCGCTTGCGTCGACATTCCGGACCACAAGCGCGGTAGTCGCCGACACTCCTTCCACTATCTGGAGTGAAGTGGTAAATGCATCGTGGCCTGCTCTCGCCCGCGAAGCCCGCAGAAAGGTGTTGCGAACCCAGCTCGTAGATGAGGTTTTCTTCCTGCTCCACACGGTACGAGCCTCCTGGGCTTCCGAATTGGCTGGAGATGCTGCGGTTGAGGAGGGGTGTTCGCGGGGAGTGGGGTGGTCCAGCATTGGCTCCAGCGAGGGCAGAAGTTGGTGGGCGGGTGCGGATGGCCGGGCGGTTGGAGAAGTAGTCGGCGGTGGAGGATGCCATGTTGGCAGAGCCTGAGAAGATTGCGTATGCGACAGCGTGCTGTATGGGCCTACATCTTGCTGGTTGATGTCGCTGTCCACTCACTAGTCAGCATCTCAATGCTACCAAGCTTCGCGGAGAAACAATCGGGCCGCTGGAGCTCGGACGGCATTTGAGAATTCTCATTTCTCGACAGCAGCTTTCAGCATCGCCAGTCGCATACCACGACATTATCTACCCCGACCATCCTGTAGACTCACATTACTAACTGCCGTAGTCTACGCGGCAGACTACCACCGGCATCATGACACCCTTTATCCTCACCGAGACGTCCGCCGGGTATGCGCTGCTCAAGGCAAAGGACAAGAAGCTGCTCAAGCGGGATGACCTGGCGAAGGATGCAGAGACGGCGGAGGGCATCAACGGGATGCTGAAGTTGAAGCAGTTCAGGAAGTTTGAGAGTGCGAGCGCGGCGCTCGAGGAGGCGGCTGCGCTCACGGAGGGAAAGGTGCGGTGGACACATGCCTCAAGACCAGACGACCAGGAAGGCTAACCAGCACCTACAGGTCACACCGATGCTTTCAGGCATGCTGAACGACTTGAAGGAGGAGAAGAAGATATCGCTCGCCGTCGCTGACCCCAAGCTCGGCAACGCGATCACCAAGATACCCGGCCTCCAAATTTCACCTGTCTCAGACTCGACGACCGCCGACCTCTACCGCGCCATCCGCGAACACCTCCCCTCCCTCATCCCAGGTCTCATGCCCGAGGAAATCAGCACCATGTCTCTCGGTCTCTCGCACAGCTTATCCAGACATAAGCTCAAGTTCAGCCCTGATAAGGTGGACACTATGATTATCCAGGCGATAGCGTTACTCGATGACCTCGACAAGGAACTGAACACGTATGCTATGCGAGTGAAGGAGTGGTATGGCTGGCATTTCCCGGAGATGGCGAGGATCATCAACGACAACCTAGCATATTCGAGGGTCATTCTTTCGGTGGGCATGAGGACGGCTTGCGCTACGACGGATCTCAGCGACATCCTTCCAGAGGAGATCGAGTCCGCGGTCAAGGCGGCTGCTGAGGTGTCCATGGGGACGGAGATCACTGAAGAGGACCTCGACAACATCCAGGCTTTGGCGGAGCAGGTCGTTGGCTTTACAGAGTACCGACAGCAGCTCTCATCCTACCTTACCTCGCGCATGCAGGCCATTGCACCAAATCTCACCACCCTCGTCGGCGAGCTTGTTGGCGCTCGGCTGATAGCACACGCTGGGTCCCTGATGAACCTCGCGAAGTCACCAGCATCTACAGTCCAGATCCTTGGCGCGGAGAAGGCTCTCTTCCGGGCTCTCAAGACGAAGCACGACACGCCAAAGTACGGTCTCATCTACCACGCCAGCCTGATCGGACAGGCATCCGGCAAGAACAAGGGCAAGATTGCGCGCATGCTGGCGACCAAAGCTACGCTTGGGCTTCGTGTCGACGCGCTCAGCGAGTGGGGCACGGCAGGCGAAGGCGCAGAAGAGGAGCCAACGGAGGAGGAGAAGGCCAGTGTCGGAATCAATGGACGCGCAATGCTGGAGAGGCGACTGAAAGCTTTGGAGGGCAAGCCACTAAGAGCAAATGCCGTAGCCATTGGACCGCAAGGGCAGAAGCAGCAGGTCCAGCCAGCCAAGTTCGATCTCAAGGAGGCGAGGAAGTACAACCCGGACGCCGATGGCATCTCACCCGACGCGCCAGCCGCGCAGCCCAATGGTGTTGCATCATCAAGCAAGAAGCGGAAGTTGGTGGAGGAGATGGACGTCGATGTCAACGTACCCGCGAAGAAGCCCTCCAAAATCGTGGCAGAGCCTGATGCAGATTCCTCCGAGGAAGATGACGAGAGCGAGGCACCGCAAGACGAGGGTGATGGCAAGCTTATCACGTCTACGAACGTCAACGGCACTGCTTCCCGCACGGAGGCGAACGGCCAAATACCGACACCAGCACAGACGCAAGCGAGCCAGCCAGGTTTGAAGCCGGAGGGGAAGGCCAGTAAGAAGGACAAGAAGAAGGACAAGGAGGGCGAGACGAAGGAGGAAAAGCGCGCACGGAAAGCCGAGAAGCTTGAGAAGAAGGCTAAGAAGGAGGCGAAGAGGTTAGCAGAGGCACAGGCAGGTGCTGGGGCGGAGAAGGAGAGCAAGAAGAAGAGGAAGGCTGATGACATGGACGGTGGGGAGAAGAAGAAAAAGAAGAAGGTCAAGGCTTGAGCGCTTTACGTCGAATTCACTGGCTTGTGCAGATGGCGTGCTGGTGGTATGACTATGCGGGCGTGTGGTGATTTGTCTTGCTGGCTGGGTGTTCGAGGCGTTCCTAAGGCCGCGGAGGACGAGCAGGCGCATGTCTGCTCTTTGCTGGCGGAACGGTGCTCGCTTTCACTGTTGATACGGGTGTGTAGCATATACAGTACGCCATATTCACATCGTTGACACTGCCACCCTTGTCTGGGTACCACTATTCTACTTCATTTGTACGTTGTGTGAAGCCTGAATATTCTTCCGGGTCAACGGGGATTGGAGAGCTTCTAGGATGAGCGAAAGTTTAGGGAATTGGGCTTCAGTGGGTTGCATTGAAGTATGCTTGGAGCTGACATTGCCGCAGATTGCCAATGATATAAAATGCAACCTCGTCGCCTCTCCCGACGATACTTTGCTATGGCTCTGAGCTCCCAGCTTTTAGCAAAGCAACATGCTGCCGGAGTCAACTCACTCTCTTACAACGCCAGTCCAGCCACCGCAATCAACCCAGCGCCCAGCAAGCCTCCGACACCCGTCGCCACCGGCGCAGCTCCCGTAGAACTCGACGAGGCACCACCAGCCGTCGCCGACGATGGCGAAGCACTGGTACCCGACGACGATCCACCATCCTCGCCCTTGAACCCCTCCAACGTCGTCCACGAAGCCTCAAAATTCGAGCTGGAATTCGTACACGCGGATCCGACCGTGTTGTTCGATCCTGCGACCCACTGCACAGCGGCGCACTACAGAAACCAACGTTAGCACCGACGCGTGTCAGACCGGAACGTGGAGAGAGACTCACCTGGTACAGAATCCCATCCGGCGAATTATCCACCACCTACAACACCCCCTTCCTCCCCTCCCACTCCCCCGGCGCGCTCAAAAACTCAAGACAGAAATCGCTCACCCCCGTCGTCTTCACCACCGGCACGATCTCGGTGAAATTCCACGGCGCTTCAGTAGCGACAGTGCCGCGGAAACTCCACTCGCCCATGGGGTGGACGTTTTGGATGAGGGTTTGGAAGCGGTCGACTTGGAGTGAGGGGGCGGACGCGAAGGAGGAGGGGGTGAAGCCGCCGCAGGGGGAGGTGGGTTCAGTGTCTTCGTCGAAGCCGGAGGAGGGGGGGTAGAGGAGGACGAAGTGGGCGGCTGTGAGGGTGGAGAGGGCCAGGGTGGTGAGGAGAGTGGGGAGAAGCATGTTTGTGGTGGTCCTGAGGTGTGCTTCCGTGTGGCGGATCGTTGGTCCTGAATGGGTTGGTTTTCTGACGAAGTGTTTTGCGGATGGTGTTGTGGAAGCAGGTTGAGGTTCGTTGTTGAACGAAAAGATCGAAGACAACCTGCATTCGAATTATCTTAGATCAACTCCTCTAATTTCACACGAGACGCTCCTTCCACAACAAGGCCTCGAAACCTTCTGGGCTCAAGCCATCAAGCCTTTTGATTGGCTGCTTGGCAAGCCTTGAGTCTGTATGCGCAAGTTTCTCACCACTTCGCTTCCCGATGTTAAAGATGCAGCAAAGGATGCGATAGTCGCGACGGTGATAGCATGGGTAGCGAAGGTCTAAACGGACCGTTTGGTGGTTTTGACGCCGGCATAGGGGCAACCCAGTGTGTTGATACTTCTCGCATAAGCAGCCTGGATGATCTGTGGTCATCAGCCTCTGTAGTGGCAGCAACTTGCACGCCCGCTTCGAGAACGACGACTTACTGGGTCTCATCTGATTATGAGGATGCGATCGCAAAGCTGCCGTCAGATATGATTTTCATCAGGAGACCTTCCTGCGTGGGCTGACTGTCATCTGTTCTAAAACATATAATCAATGATCGAAGAGACTGCGTGCCGCCCGAAGGACCAGCTGTTGTGTCATCACGCCGCCCAGGATGTGGCCGCAAGAAGCAAGACGGCCATAGATCTCTCTGCTTGGAGGAACTGCGCAGAAATGGCTTCTTCTCTCGCGGTCAGATGAATCGCAATTCTGATCCTCAGCGAACGTGGTGGCACCGCCTTCTGTGCTGGAGCGGAGAACGGTCGTTCATCATGACACGCGCCAGTGCCCGATCTCCCGTTGGCCAAAGGTCTCTAGATGACGACCAGAATCCCCTGAGCACCGGAAATGGATGAATCTGAGGTGTGAAATACATGTATGCAATGATGTCTTCCAGCCGTCGACGAGTTCATCTTTCACAGACAACTTTTGAGCCTACGCTGCCGTTTGTTCTCCCTGGTCTTGAAGCCCTGCAGGTCCGCCCAACATGTTCACACCCCTTCGCTTCTCTCAGTAGCGCGCTCAGGGCCATACCCTAGCTCTGCTGTTCGAGAAGTCAGCCCGTTGCTTATCCAAACCCCGTTGCACGGAGTGCTGAACTGACGTTGTGTTCCTTGCTTCGAATCGCTCACGACCATGCACCCTTTCTCGCCCAGCTCCGCGAGATGTTCATGTTCTTCTGTGTTCCTCTGGCGGTAGCGGTTTCCCGTTGAATCCCAACACCAATAACTGATCAATCCGATGCCCACACGCGTAATCACCTCGAAGACCCAGTCTCCCTCAATTACCTTGAAGCTTGAGTTGCCCTGGCCGCTCACTAAGCCCTTGCACCACAAAACAAACGTCCCCACAGATTCGCAAGCTAAGCAGATGTGCCCGAGATCCGTCCCAGCTTCCGCGTCGAGCGGACATGCAGGTGGAAGAGGAGGGCCCACGCCCAGTCCGAATGAGAGGTAAGTAGGGTTGCCAAAGCACATGTAGTATGTGCTGAGAAATTGCGAGAGTTTCATCCAGTGCGGGACCGTACTAATGGAGAGCCTTGAATTGATTGTTGTGTTGAATCGCCGGTCCAGTAATAGAAGTCGCCAGGCAGACCAACGCGAATGCTGAGCATAGGGTCGTTTGATAGGCGAGATAGGAGAGCGCGAACATTGTTGTGGCGATATGGGGGCGGCGTAGAGCGATGGACAGACGTCGTCTTTTGCAAGATTGTGACGAGAGCGGATTGAAGAACGAGGGGAAATTCGAGGGAAAGGCCACGACGATGTATGTCTGGTAAGATGTAGAAAATGAGAGCCGGGCAGCCTACCTCGCCAATGGTACGCTCATACGCCAACAGCCAGAGGGCCAATCGAAGGTCGCCTGTTGCAAATCAGTGGGCAGCCATGAACCCAGAAGTCCACGCTCGGAGTCCACCGTTCTTGACACCAAGCCATCACAAATTCGAAGGACCCGACCGGTTCCAGAAGAAATGTTGCGATATGAGGATGTGGTATTAGAGATGGTGCAGCGTCGGTGAGAACCCCTCGAGGCCTGGTGCGTGCCAAGCATCCCCTTGATCTTGCCGATGCTTCTCCCGCCCCCAACCTCTCCGCACCCCACTGGTGGAAGACTCCAGCACAGCAACACCTCCCTGTCTCGCGATGCGTTGCGTTCGACCTTTGCACCATCTGGAGCATCTTGATGCGTGGCATGTGGCATGCAAAGACGACCTCGCGATGCCCTACAAGCTGCCATACATGGTACACCCTCCCGGCACTTCTCCACGACCCGACAGGTTGGCGCGTAGTGCAACATCCTTGCCAACATCGCAACCGACTGCAGTAAAGACACCCATGGCTGCGAGTGGTGGACAAACCCAACACACGGTACTGAGCCTCTACGCCGCAAGCATGTCTGTTGTGTCCAACCACTGAAGCGAAAGGCCGTCGAGCAGGACAACTTTACACTAGGCTCCTTATCATTCGAAGCACCCCCGTCTGCAGGGACAACAAAGCTTACCGCAACCAGACCGGCTCCGCAACAATCCATGTCCAGTATACACTGGGGGCAATCTACGTCCAGCGAGCTACTGCAACCTCCTGCTACCCAGTCGATGCTTCTGCTGCATACTACCGTTGTACCCTCTCGAGTGCATTTCTTTTAGGTCTGCTCGCGTAGGCTTCAACCTAACTCTGCTTGTTGAAACTCGCAGCTCCCACCGAGCCCTCCAGCTGGTCGTACAGCAGCAAGCCATCCACTGGTGTAACTACCTCTTTCCTCTCTGTCACAACGTGTCCATCCATCATATCCTTTCTCTATTCCTTTATCATTTACTTGCGGTGTGTCTGTCTCAAGCTCTCGACCATGATGGATTCGAACCCAGGTCTTTCGCACGATGACGCCGACCGTGGCATCTCGGCCACAGGCTACGAGATGCAAGCCGGGGCGAAACCTAGCGATCATGTGCGAGTCCAAGAGACTAACGCCGAAACGCCCGAGTATAGCGGAGTCGACTACACCTGCGAGGACCAAGCAGACATGCGCCGGCTAGGCAAGAAACAAGAACTGCGTAGGAACTTCCGGTTTACCTCTATCCTAGGCTTCGTGTCCATTGCCATGGGTACCTGGGAAGTCATCTTGAGTGCCACCGCTGGAGGTCTGACCAACGGTGGCACCGGCGGTATGGTCTGGATGTTCGTGGGCAGCTACTTTTGCTTCGGAACAATCGTTCTGAGTCTCGCAGAGATGTCCAGTATGGCCCCGACTGCAGGCGGACAGTATCGTATGTCGTTCGCTTCGAGTCTCCGAGAGAACTTTGCTTACAACTCCGGCAGATTGGGCGAGCGAGTTCGCGCCGCGCAGCCAACAAAAGTTCATATCCTACATTTCCGGCTGGATGTCGACGCTGTCATGGCAGTGTGGCACTTGCTCCGGCATGTTTCTACTTGGGACACAAGTGCAAGGCCTCATTGCACTCACGCACGACTCGTACAGCGCACAGCCATGGCAGGGCTACCTCTTCGTCATCTTGATGGTGTCCATTGGCCTGACGTTCAATACGGTCCTGGCGAAACAGCTACCTTTGATTGAGGCCATCATCCTGATCTTCCACATCTTTGGATGGGCGACTGTGCTCATCGTGCTGTGGGTTCTGAGTCCGAAGAACAGCGCCCACCATGTCTTCACTAGCTTCGAAAACGAAGGTAGATGGTCATCGATCGGTTTGTCCATGCTGGTTGGACAGGTCACGTCAATTTACGGTCTGATTGGATCGGATGGAGCTGCGTGAGTTCACACGAGTCCTAGCGCGGCCCAAGCTGATGCCTTCAGATAGTCACATGGCGGAGGAGACCAAGAACGCCTCGATCATCGTGCCCCGATGCATGCTCTGGTCGTACATTCTCAACGGCTCCATGGGCTTCGTAATGCTAGTAACATACTGCTTCTGCCTGACAGACGTCCAAGCAGCGCTCGACCCCGAAATCAACCGCAGCGGCTTCCCATACATCTACGTCTTCCAGACCGGCACGGGCAGCATCGGCGGTGCGATCGGTCTGACTAGCATCATCCTCATCCTCGGGATCGCGGGCGCTACCTCCTTCTTCGCCACGACGTCACGGCAGACGTTCGCATTTGCTAGAGATAATGGACTTCCGGGATCTAAGTGGATTGGAAAGGTGCATCCGCGCCTCCTCGTCCCTTTGAACGCTATCCTGGTGACGTTTGGCTTTACTATTCTGCTGTCTTTGATCAACCTGGGGTCTACTTATGCCTTGTAAGCAGATCGTCACCATCATAAAGGAAGCACTCCTTCCAGCTAATCGCTCTCCCCCAGCAACGCAATCATCTCCCTCCAACTCCTCGCCCTCATGTCCACCTACGCCATCTCCATCGGCTGCCTAGCCCTCAAACGCCTCCGCAACGAACCACTCCCACCCTCGCGCTGGTCTCTCGGCAAATTCGGTCTTCCCGTTAATCTGTTCGCTTTCGCCTACTCTTGCTTCGCTGTCATCTATGTCTGTTTCCCAGTCACGACGCCAGTGGTGGTAAGCGAGAACATGAATTGGGCTATTGTCATGTTCGCGGGCGTGTTGGTTATTGCGTTGGTGTATTACTTTGTACACGGGCGGAAGGTGTATGAGGGGCCGGTTGTGTTTGTGAAGCCAGCGGAGGAGTAGGAAGGGTGGGGAGCCTTTTACTTCGAACTCTGGCAATTTACGGACGCTATGTGTTGAGGACTACAAGGACCTTCTTGGCTTTTCTTGGAATATCCTCGACTCTGTGCACAAGATGGTGAGGTCCTCCAGGGACGAGGCATGAAGTCGTTCAAGGTCGTTCATTGGCCGGCTCTATCCGCCGCTAGCTGGCGTCCATCAGGCGCTTGTTCATCAGCCTGAGGACTCTCATGCCTCCCACCAGCACTCTTTCACCTCGAGAATCGGCAGAACAGTTCGAATATCACGCCCCTCGACACCAGAGGGAGATATCACTTTGTAGGGTGTTTTGATTTCACTGCCAGTCAAGGTAGAAAACTCGAACGCCTTGTCAACCCCTTCCCGTTCTTCAGTCCTCAAGAATCTCCTTAACCTACACGAGGCATATGATTTCAACTGGTTTTGTGAACAGATGGTCTCATCCGGCTTTGTACTGATGTCGAAGTCTCTCCTAAGCAAACCGGCGACACTCACTCTGTCGACGTTTCTGATTTCGAGAAAACCACGTGATTTGAGCAAGTTTGAGCAAAATGGACAATCGATTGGAAGGCGCTGTCAGCTTCAACGTCAAGACTTCTGAAGCATTCTGGCATGCGTGTCGTCTTGTTGAGAGGAGTCCACCAAGGAACGGTACCAGCCACCACGAGCCGACACATCCCACTTTACTGGGCCATTGTGGACGTCTACAGAGTTTAAGTACGCCGGCTCTGGCTACTCGGACGCCTTCTAACAAGTACCTGACCTAGAGCGCCTTCTTTCGAGGTGCGCTGACCTCCGCGGACGCTGTCGTGCTCCCAGTTTTAAGCAAACAACAGGCCATCACGATGTCTATGTCCATGGACATGGACATGAGCAGCTCTGGGCCTTTTAAAGCAACGAACCAGAACACTGCTCTTGGATATTGGTACGTCAAGCCAGCCATCTGAACGCCGCATTTTGAAGCACAGTACAGAGCTTTCGTTGTTCAACAACTTGTTCAAATGTCCAAGACGTCAGCTGACCATTCCCTCCAACACCAGGTATGCAATAGCCGGTGTGATCGGCCTCCTCACTTGCATCAGAATACTCCGAGCTCTGGAGAGCCGGCGGAGACGGAAGACTCAGCAGCCATCTCATCCTCAAGGCGTGCTGCAGCAGAGCTATGCCACAATCGCTGCTTCCTTACGAGAATTGTCGTACCCTCAGCCCATCTTCTTCACAGGCCGACTAAGCAAACACTTCACGCCATTACCTGTCGGGAGATGGCTCATCCTCGTAATCTATTGGACGATGCTGCTATGCTTCCTCTGGTCAGACACGATTGTCTCCCCAGACAGCCCGATGTACGCCTACAAATGGGAGAAAGTCGGCTTCCGCGCTGCCTGGGTTTCGGTCGCCCAAATACCCTTCATCTACCTGCTGTCGTGCAAATTCAACCCCATCACCCTCCTAACAGGCATATCCTACGAGCGTTTCAACTGGCTGCATCGATGGGCAGCTCGAACGGTCTTTCTCACAGTGGCGGTGCACTGGTCGTTCTTCTACACCGAGTGGTCGCTCGCCAATTACGTCAAGCTGGAGTTCGAGATGATGCCGATGGTCAAGTATGGCTTTGGCGCTTGGTCTGTCATCGGCTGGATGATCCTTTCAGGTTTCGGATTCGTCCGGCATTTGAGTTATGAGGTCTTCGTGGCACAGCACATTTGCGCTGCTGCGACTCTGCTGTGGCTATTGTATGTTCATGTGCCGGCTTATGCACGATACAACCTCTACATGGCGATGGGGTTTATTGGCTTTGACTGGGGATCACGTATCGTCTGGACATTGCTGCGAAACACCCATCTGCTCGATCATGGCTGCAAAGGTGCACTAGGCTATGCAGCCAGCTTGGAGGCACTGCCGGGCGACATGGTCCGCATCACGATCGAGAATGCCGGGTTCAAATGGGGAGCCGGCCAACACGTCTACATCGCCATCCCCAGGTTGAGGCCTTTCGGGCTGCACCCTTTCACGATTGCTACTGCCTGCCAGCGTGGCAATGGAGAGCTGACTAGTCCATTGACGATGGTTGTCAAGGCACATTCTGGCTATTCGCGAGCCCTACATCGTGCCGCGCTACGAGAAGGTGATCGCACCTATCGTACCTTCTTAACTGGACCTTGGGGCTCGCCTCCGGATCTCTACCCTTACGACTCGGTCGTACTGATTGCTTGCTCGAGCGGAGCATCCTTCACCACTCCGCTCGTGCAAGAACTTGTTCGGCGACCGGCCTGCGTGCGCAATGTTGTACTGCATTGGATCGTCCGATCTGAAGAACATTTCTCCTGGTACAAGAGTGAGCTGCAAGCCCTGGCAGAGGCTACGCAAAGTGGCTCACTGAGCCTGCAGATAGTGGTGCATGTCACGAACCCCTCGCATTCGACAGATTCCATAGCGCCGGATGAAGAGCGGAAGATGACAGACTCAAGCAAAATCTCCGCGGTAGATTCGGAGTCCGACACATCTTCCAGCATGGGGAGTTTGTCGACACTCTTGGAAGGCAAGAGGGATCGATTCTCGTCCACTTTGTCGATGAGATCTGGAAGTCGCCCTTCCGTCGAGTCTATGATCAGACCAATGGTTGAAGCTGCGCTGAGCGAGACGGCGGTGGTTGTCTGCGGAGGAGTATCTATCACCGCTCAGGCCCGGACATTTGTGGCGGCACTGTCAGACGAAAGGGCAGTCCACAAGGGCTCTGGTGCGCAAGGCATCTACCTATTTTCGGAAACGTACGGTTGGTAGAGTGAGAAAACAACCACGTCGGCCTTGTTCCGCCCCGCCATCCCCAAAGAAGGCAGTAGTGGGAACGACCAATCAGAAGGCTACAAATGCAGCGATCGAAAGAGGCATGGCGTCGATTTTTGGTTCAAAAGCAGTTTGTCAGAAGCTGTCATCACCGCAAAAGCGCCGGTCATCGGTGAAGAAGCATCGAGGCTACATCTCGAACCAGCTCGAGTGTATGCTACCATCAGTATAAAGAGCTGTGGTTCTGATCATTGAGGGACGTTAATGTCTACCAAAGAAAGCAACAGCGTAACGAAGACCTTCCATCTCTCTTCAAAGACAATCGCGACTCTCATTGCACTCCTCGCACTCACACTGGCTTTCTTTACTCCCTTGAGATCTACTCTCTCGAAGTCACTTACCCGAGTTCCTCCAGCGGCACTGACGACAAAAACACGCGCAATGGCAACAACAGCCTCCTCGAACGGCCAAACAAACGGCACATCCTCTCTCAAAATCACCAAACGCCCATGGAACGCCCGTGGCCACGGAGACCACGGCTGGCTATACACCTTTCACACCTTTGCCTTCGCCGGCTACTACGACCCTCAGAACTCTGAGTTCGGCCCTCTGCGCGTCATCAACGAAGACCGCGTCGAGAAAGGCACAGGTTTTGGCACGCACAGTCACGCCGAGTTCCTCATCTGGTCCTACATCGTCTCCGGCGAGCTCGAGCACAAAGACAGCATGGGCAACCTGGAGAACTTGAGGAGAGGGGAGGTGCAGTTCACGAGTGCTGGGACGGGGATCAGGCATTCGGAGTATAACCGCAATAAGAAGGAAGATGTGCATTTCCTCCAGATATGGGCAAAGCCTAACGTTCGCGGCTTGACGCCTTCATACAAGACGCGCAAATTCACGGATGAGATGAAGCAGGATAAACTCGTACGGATCATGGAGTCGACGGAGCGGCATTCGGGGAAGGACGGTGAGACGGAGTCGATCCCTATGCACTCGGATGTTTCGATGAGCGCGAGTATACTGGCGCCGGGGAAGAGCGTAACGCATGAGCTTGTGGCGGAGGGGGAGCGGAATGTGTATCTGCATGTTGTGATGACGGATCGTACGCAGCCGAAAAGCGGGGGTTCGAAGATTCGTGTCGGGGATGTGGAGTTGGGGGAGGGCGATGGGGCGTATGTGAGGGGTGCGAAGGGGCCGGGGAAGATTGAGGTGGAGAGCGTTGGGGAGCGCCAGGCGGAATTCCTCCTTTTCGATATGGGGAAGTAGAAGCGGTCTAATTAGTATAGATAGTAAAGATTGATGGAGGAGTAGGTAACACCTCTGAGCCCAGATGTTGCTGATCTCGTCTTGTCTTAGCTTTACCTTCAGTTGCGTGGATGCAACTTCGATCCCGAACGGCATCTATACTATATGTTCTTTGCCAGATGGGGGCCAAGTAGGGGGTTGCTCGAGCTTTGTTGCGCACTTGCGAGGTCATGGGGAGGCGGTCCGTCTTCGTCACGAGCGGCCCTTTTGTCTGCTCGGGAGTCGTAGTGTCGGATGCGTAATCAAGTCTATCGCTGATACAACTTCATCGTGTGCCAGCAGACCGTGAGCCAGATGTATCTGTGGCACACTGCAAGCCACGAGGCGAGGTCACGACGGGACACTGGGTACATCAATCGGCGCCGTCTTGAACCGCACCCCCAACTCCAATGCAATGGCTAGACAGATCTCCCTGTTGGCTTCCACCTCCCGCCGATCAACCCCATTCATCAGCATCCCAATCATCTGATTCCGCACCTGCACTTGACAGTCCATCCCGATCAGCGCGGCGACAATGGTCTGGCCCGTCTCGCGGTACTCCAGGATATCCGGGAAAGAGAAGATCTTGCCGTAGAACAGCTCGCGGACGACGTATGTGTAGTCTGGCGAAGCATCGACGGTCTTGGACGGGTCGAAGAGTGGATTGCCGCCGTAGATCTTCTGGTGCAGCGCTCGGCCTCGCTCGACGGTGATGGCATCCGTGTCGTTGGCTCGGTGGAAACGGGTGTCTTTGAGGTGTTTTGGGGTGGCTGTGGCTAGAGCTCGTATTGCATTGCCAGTCTACGGGGTGTGTTTGTTAGGCTTAAGGTATTCAAATAGGACTTCTATCACTTACCCGGCAAGCTCCCACGATCCCCGAAGCTTTCGTGAGCGCTTCGCGGAGTGCTTGGGAAGCTTTGGAATGGTCGGTTTCAGGCAGATGCTGTGAGAGCAGTTGCTCATATACATGTGGTATCTCTTCTGGATAGTTAAGTGCTCCCAGGCATACGATTGCCGATAGGTACCATCGAAAGCCGGGCAGTTCTGCGCCTTTGTGGGTCAAAGCCGCCACGAATTCATCAGTGAGCAGAGACATGACAGTGAAGACCTGTAGTGGTGCGATCAACCAAAGACTGGGTTAGTAGGGACCACAGGCGTTTTGACTTGCTTCCAGTCCCCGGTATATGCGCCGATCCAGGAGCAATGCGTGCGGACATGCAAAGCCGCCACCAGATTCCAATCTTCTCTGAGTGCTTCTTTTAAACCGCTTGGAGTGCCTTCACAACAGATTAAGCCCTACCGGTGGTCGAGACCACGCCAAATGACGGGGATCCGACTCCAGCACAGAAGCTCAGTTTCGATGCTTGGAAGTTTTCTGTATGTACATATATGCCACGAGGCTCTCGCTCATCGTCGTTCGACTGCCTACTAATACAGTGCAAAGATGCGTGCGTTGTGCAACGTCCAGACAACACGATAGTGCAATATCAGGGTTGGTAAGAGGCCCGTGTCGTCCACATTCGGCGTCAAGATGTTAAAACATCTGACTGACGATGAGCTTGCGCTTGAGTCTGCTGTTTGGTCTTCCAAGGAGTGCCATCCACTTCGAGCATTGAGTAGAGAGTCAAGAGAGTTTTGGAGAGATATGGTAGACTCAAGAAATGTTTGATACTCTAGGCGCACAGACATTGTGTCATTCCGTCTCGTCTTCAACTTCACCTCCTTGACTTCACCTGTCTCGACTATCGTCTCGTACATACAAACAAGACAGTCGCCGCTGAGAGTATACGATCGCCCTTGCAGCGGTGTCACTTTCGGACACTCCTTCTCCTTTTCGATACCTTCTCGCGATCTTGTACGCCTGGAGACGCGAGTGATGGCCTGGCTGGAAATCCTGCACTCCAACTCCAGCCACCGATTGGCTTGCCACAACCTCACCGGTGAATGAATCTAGTTCAAAGGACTGCACTCACCGGCATTACCTGCACCACATGACACATCTTCAGGACGATGTACAGTTTGACCAGGGCAGCGGTGACCCATACGAACCTGCGCCACCCCAGCTGTGCCTGCCCCACGCATGCTCTAGCCTGGCAGGAGACGCCCTCATGCACATGCAGCTGCGAGCTAATGTGGAAGATGCATACGCGCTGCTGGCAGGCAGGCAGACACGACCTCTATGCAAGCTAAGGTAGCAGGCACATCAGCCTCGAGGTAGGTCGAGTCACCGCGTTGAACAGGTCTACTTAACCACGCACACATCTCTCATTTCCCATTCCTCTTAAGACATCTTTCGTGTTCTGTACCACCATCAGTCTGTCTCATTCCTTGAAGAACATCTGTCTCCACGTGCCGTTGCCTGAGACGTCGTTCACTGGTGCGTGTGACATATGCTTGCTGCAGCATGAGCAATCAACAGTCCAGCAGCTTCTATTCAGAACCGCAGCAACCTCAAACACAGTCTTCGAGTACGAGCGGAGACTCTGCGTTGTCTACTCCGTCCTCAACATCCTCATCCACTCAGCACCGTGCCAGCGTTCAATTTGCACACCTGAGCTCCGAACACAAAGACACCATGGACGACAAGCCAGCAAACCAAGATTCCGCGCCTTCAGACAGGCAGGAACGCGAAGAGCCTACGGCTACCACCGAGACGAAGCCTAAATCTAGCGACGCGAAGCTAACGTGCAAGAAGAAGGGCAAATGCAAGAAGCACGACCATGATGAAGATGGGCAGGCGAAGAAGAGCAAGAAGAAGTCCAAGAGCGACAAGTCTGTGGCTTCTGATTCGAGTGACGACAGTTCAGAGGACTCTTCGGACTCAGACTCAAGCTCAGAGGAGGAGACGCCCAAGAAGCGTCGGTCAACGTCAGCCAACAAGGGCAAAGGCAAGAAAGGTCGCAGGAAGAGCAAGAAGATCGTCGAGGACAGTGACACCGAGAGCGAGATTGAATATGAAGAGGAGGAGGACGTAGAGTCAGCGGAGGACGAGCTTGATCCGCTATCTGGAGGGGCGTCGGACTCGGCTCTGAAGGTGTCATTGCTGGAGCAGCAGCTGGCTGCGCTGAAGCGCCAGATGCTTGGTGGAGGCAAGCAGAAAGCTAAGAAGGCCAAGGCAAAGACACCTAAGAGCAAGTCAAAGCCCGGCAAGGGCAGCTTCTCGACGAAATTCAAGCGGGTCGACCAGCTGTGGGATACGAACCTGCATCAGTTCAAGATGAAGGAGTCGGCGGAGGAGGATGAGTCTGAGTTTGCTGACTATGCATTTCTTGTGCGGAGGACGTTCGATTGGGAAAACAAGTACCGCGATACTGTCGTGGACATCAAGTCGAAGCTGCTGCGTAGCGCGTTGTGGGACGTGCTGAAGGACTGCAAGAGCGTCAGCCTGGAGGCCGAAGAGCCCACCGTCGATCCGAATATCCTCTTCCTGTACCTTGAGGAGCTTCGCACGCACTACAAGAAGACCGTGAAGGCGAAGGTCAAGGCGGAGAAGAAGCGGAAGGTCGCGAAGAAGCTCGAGCAGTCCCGGCAACTTCTGAAGATCTTCGTCCGGTACCTCGACGAGGACTACGCGGACATCAAGAAGACGCTGTACCCGTTGCTCAAAGCCGGCAACATCACTTTCGACTTGCTCTGGGCTTTGTACAAGCCCAATGAGGTCGCGGTGACTTCCTGCTACGGCAGCTGGGAGGAGCCGCGATGCTTCAAGGTAGAATATGCGAACAAGTGCGCCTCCATGACGCGGGGTGAGTGGTACTGCATTGAGGGGCGCTACTTGGAGTATGATGGCAAGGGCTTTGGGTACGGTGACTTTGAGGTCGACGTTGAAGCCTTCAAGGGCCCGCGCAGGATCTCGAGTCTCGCTACCTACCCTCTGAAGTATCATGCCGAGCCTGAGGCGGTCAAGAAGCAGATCATTGCGCGAGGTGAGAAGTTTGTCGGCATGGAGGGCATGCACTACAAATTCCACAAGGGCATGGCGTTTCACAAGAAGAAGAAGCAGGTGCTGAAGATCAACGTCAACGGCCGTGTCATGCTGGATCCTGCAACGTTCCGACGTGTCAACCCCAACTACCCCATCTCGTGGATCAAGCCGAAGAACGACGACGATGACCTCTTCAACATGGACAGCGATGGTTCGGACGACGACTGCTGCTGCGGCTCGGACTCCGATGACGAGGCGGCGGCGACGAGCGATCGAAGGGAGCTGCAGAAGTCTCTCGATGGCGACGACAAGCCAAAGTACAAGTACAAGTGGTCTGAGAACTCACGCGGAGACACCGTCTTCGTGAGAGTGGAGGTCGATGCCGACGGCGACCCTATCCCTCAGCAGCACGTCGACAAGCTGGCCGAAACCGCCGATGCCCGCAAGCACACCTTTACGGAAGATGAGCTTCTGTTGACATCGCCGGTGATCCTTGGCTTTGCTTTCGGCGAGAAGCTTTGGCTGGAATTCACCATCTCCGGCGTGCACGACATCACCTACAACGAGAATGCTTTCGAATCTCTCGTTTTGCCTCCCAACCAGAAGTCCATAGTCCGGGCACTCGTTGAATCGCATAAGTCTCACGGCGCGAAGACCATCGACGATGTTGTCGTAGGCAAAGGCAAAGGCCTCGTCGCCGTCCTCCACGGTCCTCCTGGCACCGGCAAGACTCTCACCGCCGAAGGCATCAGTGAGCTCCTCAAATGCCCGCTCTACATGGTCTCCGCCGGCGAGCTCGGCACCGACCCCGGCCGCCTCGAACACCAGCTCCAACAAATCCTCGACATCGCCCATACCTGGGGCGCTGTCCTTCTGCTCGACGAAGCGGACGTCTTCCTCGAGAAGCGCGAAGTCCACGACATCCACCGCAACGCTCTCGTCTCCATCTTCCTCCGCCTGCTGGAGTACTTCCAGGGCATCCTCTTCCTCACCACCAACCGCGTCGAGACGTTTGACGACGCCTTCCAGTCCCGAATCCACGTCGCGCTGCGTTACGGCGAGCTCACGCACAAAGCGAAGAAGGCCGTGTGGCGGATGTTCCTGGACCTGGTGCGGAAAGTGGAAGGGATGGAGGTGGCGCATATCACGGACGAGCAGATTGATATCTTGAGCAGGAACCAGCTGAATGGTCGGCAGATCAAGAATTTGGTCCGCACGGCGCAGGCGCTGGCGTTGAATGAGGGGGAGAGTTTGACGCTGGAGCATATTAAGCGTGTCATTGCAGTTGCGGAGTCGTTCGACCGCGATTTGCGGGGTGGTACTGGGTATGTGGATGCTATGAGGAGTTATACTTAGGGTTGTGTGGGAGCTGGGGAAGGCGAGGTTGGTTACAGTACAGGGGACACCGTCACTCTCCACTCTTGTGCGATCACTTGGTCTGTTTGAGCTGAAGCACAAAATCTAGGTAGCTGTCCGATGTGCAGATGAATACACAGTCATGAAAAGCTGTCAACTCAGCTTGCCTCCCTCATTCGTGACAGCCAGTCCCCTCCAGCAAGGTGCTTCTTCCTCTCCGTCAACGTTACACCGTGTGCAGCTTACACAACAGCTCGATGCAAGGCACATGTACATGTACGAAAGAGAGGTACATCTAGCCTCCAAGATTCAACTCCTGCTGTCGTCAATCACTCAAGTGAACTTGAGCCCAATTCCGCCGCTTAAACCAGTCTTTCACAACACCATGCTGTTGCTCACCAAACCATCCGCTGCTCCCCTCCTCTTTCTCGCCACAGCCCAAGCTGCACAACGCACCCCAGCCCCATCACCATGTCCAGACGGCGAATACACACTCTCCGCCCCCGGAATCACAGCCTCCTTCATCCCCTACGGCGCCTCCCTCACAAACCTCTACCTCCCCTCCGCACACAACACCACTCTCGACGTCGTCCTCGGCTTCGACAACGCCTCCACTTACTCCCGCAGCGCCTGGCATCCGCATCTCACCGGCGTGCCTTGGCGGTACGCCAATAGGATCCGTAACGGCACCTTCTCCATCGATGGCGAGACGTTCCATACGGACCTCAATCATAACAGGGGCCTCGACACTCTGCACGGCGGAGGAGAGGGGTGGGATTGGCGGATCTGGGACGTCGTCTCCCACACCACCGACTCCATCACCTTCTCCCTCGTCGACCCAGACAGCAAAGAAGGTTTCCCCGGCGAAGTCGTCGCGGAAGTCACGTACCGCTTAACGCCACATCAATGGCACATCCGCATGACCGCCCGCGCAACGGAGGTCAAGACCCCGGTGATGCTGACGTCGCATACGTACTGGAATTTAGACGGGTGGCGGAACACGGGGTCGGCAGGTTTGGTCGGGGAGCATGAGTTGCGGATGTCGTGGGCAGGGCGGAGGGTGGGGGTGGATGGGATTTTGGTTCCGACTGGGGAGATCCTTCAGAATGAGGAGGGAGGGGTGTTTGACTTTTGGTCGGCGCCTAAGCAGATCGGGCAGGATCTTGGATCTGATGGGTTGGAAGGGGCGTGTGGGACTGGGTGTAAGGGGTACGATACCTGCTTCATCTTCTCCGGCTCAGTAGGCTGCGACGACGGCAACTGGCGAGAGAGGGCTGTCGCGACGTTGAAGAGTCCCTGGTCTGGCTGCCAGATGGACGTGTACACGAACCAGCAGGCGCTGCAGGTGTATTCTTGCAATAACATGAACGGGACGTTTCCGCTCATGGAGACGCAGGGGTTCTTTGAGGATGCTGAGAGGCCACGGACGGTGCAGAAGTATGGGTGTGTGGTGCTCGAGGTGGAGGATTGGATCGATGGGATTAATCATCCGGGGTGGGGAAGGGAGGGGAGGCAGGTGTTTGGGCCGGGGGAGGGGGGTATGTGCTTCAGGCGGTGTATGATTTTTCGTTGGATCGGGAGGTGAGGGACCATTATGGATGCGGACGGAAGTGAGGATGGCCTGGACTGTCGTTTCGATACACAAGCATCCGTAGCTTGAAGTCGTCTGCAAGGATCCAGGCATTTGCCGTACTCGCATCGTCCGCTTTCAGTGCAACGTCTTTCCTGGCTTCTCACATCCATGACATCGTTCCGCAACTCACTCACAGCATGACGACATCTTCAATCTCCCCTCAGCGTCCCGCAGAGAACGCTTCAAGCCCCCTCATCCATCCCCTCCCCCTCCCCCTCACCACCAGCCTCCCCCTCCACCCCCTCCTTCGCCTTAAACATCTCCTGCGCAAACACCATCAACTTCTTATACTGCCTATTCAACGCATCCCCCTTATACCGCTCCGCGCCCTTGCTCACCATCCTCTCGGCAATCTGGCCCCACTTCTCGCGCTCAAACTCCGCTTCGACCTCCTGCTTGGCTTCAATGAGCTTGGGGTTGTCCGACTCGCGGATGACGACGAAGTTGGACTTGAGACGCCTGATCACCAAGAACAGGACTGAAGTTAGTGGATGTGGTGGGGAAGGAAGGGGGAAAGGGCGCATACGAATAGCGGTTCGGCAGGGTAGAGTAAGCGGTGGCGTCCCCGACCTTCTCCTCCCAGGCCTTGCGGATGTCGGTCCAGGAGGCCCCGCTGTCGCGCATGTCGATGAGCATTTTGTCGTGCTCTTCGCAGAGGTCGTAGCTGGTGGCGAGGGCTTTGGACTTGTTCGGGGCTTTGGTCGGGGCCTGTCAAACCATGTCAGTAAGTGTGGACATGTGACGTGCGACAAAGATGGAAGGGGAGAGGCTTACCTTGCGCTGGCGCGGCTTGGGGGTGCCTTTGGCCTTCTTAGCTGGGGTGGCGACGTCGGCTTCGTAGCTATCGTCGGAGGCGGCGGCGGCTAGGGTCTTGCGCTTCTGGTGGGTTGTGGTTTAGCTTTTGTAGGTAGTCGTGCAGTGGTTAACTGACCTTCGCAGCAGTCTTCGGCGTGGCTGGCGTAGCTGGTGGTCCCATCACAACACCGGCTATCGGGCTGTCTTGAGTCTGCGCCATCTCCGTCGGGTGTGGGTTTGACTGGGGTGTGTAGAGCTGCTCGGCTTCGTCCATGATGGAGGAGTTTTCGATGTCAAATGGCGGTGTGAATTGTGTGCCGAGGTTGAGGACGAGTGAATAGTTATGTTGAGTGTGATGGACGTATTGTTTCAGAAGTATGAGTAATTTGAAACTTACGTGATGTCGTCACTGGAAAACATCCGCATGTGAAGATTAACTAGTTACACAAGGGTCATGTGACGGATTTCGAACCAACCTCACATCAAGCGGCCAATCAGCTTCTACTTCCTCCGTTGGATACCTGTACAGCAGCAGCAGTAGCGTGTGTGAGTTTCAGTATATCGTTCTCACATGGTGGCAGAGCTGGAAGGTCGAACACTGCTCGCCGCCCGTCCTGGCATGGCGTGACGGCTCTTTGACCACTGGGCTGTGGTAGACGTGTCGTCTCTTTGCGTCTCAATCAAGATACATATCATTCTTCAAATTCCGCAGATTCTGCAAGAAACCATACCCACCCTCGCTTCCGGCACGTGAAGAGTCCGGATTGCCATACCGATAGTCCATACCTCTCGAAGGCGACGGATTAGGTTTCCTACTCCCAGCAGCCTGACCAAGCGCCTTCTGCCTCTCCTCGACCGGCTTCTGTAAACTTTCCACCAGCTTCAGGCGAGCCTTTTCTTCTGCAGTGCCCTTCCACACCTCCGCCAGCTGTCTGAGCTCGTCTATCCGTGCTGAAGCTGTTTCAAGACCTTCTGCATTGTTGCCTGGGCCTAAGAGGTCGTTGATTTCGGTACGCAGCTTTTCGACGTAAGCTTTGCCTTTCTCTTCTCGGCTTCGAGAGTCATCGCCAGAGTCGGGTGCAGAAACAGAGATCAGGGAGGAGGTCAAGGAGAGGTCTGAAGGCGCTAGAGGCCACTGCATTGCTTCGCCGAAGATTTTGATGACGGAGTCGAGTCTTTCTCGGACTGCTGTCAAAGTCTTGAGCTGGGTTAGATATTCTGGCTCCGCATCCTGGCCGGTCTGTGCAGTTACAGCAGTGTCCCCATCCACTTCGCCAGTTTCGGCGGCATTGTCCTCAGCATGGGTCTTGGTAAAGACCTCTATATCCTTCTTCAGCCCGTTGTCCAGCGAGTCTGTCAAGCCTATCGTTTCTCCCCGCAACACCTCGACTTCGTACGCCAGTCTCCCTCCGCTCCGTAGTATCTCATCGGTCAACTGTGTGAGGGCATTCGATAGACGCGTTGTCTGAGCGTTCAGCCTCGTGAGCAGGCCTTGGATCTGCGAGGAAAGTTCGGGTAGTGGGACTGCGCGTGTGGCCGTTGAAGTATTCCTCGATATGGATGAGGTTGATAGCGCGGGTAAAGTGTTGTTCAGGTAGTCAACTGGATCGAAGTCTGGCTGCAGAAATGGCTGAACGGTGCTGTCGGAGACGTGGGAGGACCTCGCTTCTGTACTTGGGACTGTCAGAGTGACTGCCATTGCGTATATGCGTCTCTTTCTGCATGCTGTTCAAACGACCTGTCGTCTCAATGTCTCCATTCGCGCTAGTAGATTGGTCAGCCAATCAGAGGGACGGCGATTCAAAGGCTCAAAGTGACCTTGCTGCCTGCACCCAGACCAAGATCATGACACGGTGAGAAGTCACTCGATCGTCTGCATTGCTTCGCCTCTCAGAAAGACGTTCTTGGTGTCGTGACTTTCGTTGATAGTTCAAGAGTGGTGGTAGGTGGCAGAAAGCAGCGCGACACGTTCCTCGAGTGAAGGAGGCCGCCAGCACATAAGAGGAGGCACCTTGACCTCTGTGCTACCGATCCTTCATGCCAGCGCCACACCCAGACTTCCATTCACTCATTACCTGCACCTTCACGTGGACTGGCGTATTCGTCTAAGGCAGCAACCCGCTTTTCTCCAGCCCTTATTTCACCCGGCAGCACCACCGCCTTCCTTACTGATCTCGCAGCCTTACACCGGTGAAGCAACCTCACCTCATACACAGCTGCAACCTTCGCAGCAGCACCAGCTCGCTCCGCCTTGTTCTCACTTAAACATACATCACCAGCGGCCACCGGCGGCACACTACACACAGCATGCCTCGCCGCCAGTACGTTGCGGACCTTCAACAGGCGCAGTCAGACCTCCTCCCCGCTGGCATACATGACCTTCAGACAGGTGAGGACGACGGCCAGTTCGAGTTCCTCTTCTCCAACGGCGACCCTTCAAGCGCCATCAAAGTCACCGCTCTCATACCCGAGCTCAGCGACTACCCCAAATCCCACGAATACATGATCTTCAGTGGCGAAGATGCACCACCTCACATCGCGAAAGCTCTCCAGAATGTGCGGCGCACCAACGGCAAGACGGTCTTCGAGCTCCTCGACATCGTCTCTGTCACGCTGGAGAAGCTCTCGGCGGATCCTGACGGCGACACTGAGATGCCAGAGTCGCAGCTGGACTATGAAGACCAGTCAGAGGAGGAGAACGATTTTGATGATGATGACATTTACGACAGTGACCACGAAGCCTTCCAGAACGGTACTACAGAGACTATGTCAGGCGCCAAATCCTCCTCTGGTGCCAGCATGAAGCCAGCGGACAGGGCGTTCCGTGCGCGTCTCAGATCCGATCTCCGCTTAGCAAAGGAGGCTGGATTCAAGGTTGGTATTCTCGGTCATGCACTCGACGGCTTCAACGCCTTCGTCACTCTCTCCATCCGCATCTCGAAGCTCGGAATCTCGGAGGAAGCCATGGAAGCGTGGCAAGTCACTGCTTCAGACTACCTCATCCTGATCTTGCAATTCCCGAACGGCTACAAGACCAACGAAGAGCTGCAAGGCTTCGACAGCATCCGCCTTCAATCGAATATTGGCATTCGCGTGTGTGCTGGCAAGTCGTACAAGCCTACGCTGCAGGAGGCCATCAAGGCTTTCACCATCATCAAGAAGAACGCTCGCGACAGTCTGTTCACCAGCGACCTTCCAAAGCCAGAAGAAGAAGTTGCAGAGAGCTCGATCAAGGAGACCTTCATCTCCAAGCCACTGAACGGGCTACTACAGGAGCGGCTCGCCACACTCTTACGGTTCCGTAGCGCCGGCATGAGCTGGAGCGGCGCCGAGGAGCATTACAGCAACGTATCCAGCACCGGATCAAACGTCGAACAGGCCGTTCCAGATCGATGCTTCGAGCCGGACCCCGTCAACCCAGCTCTTCCCCAGATCATGCATGCAGACCACCTTGCTGATCGTGGGCGGACGACCTTCTCATTCCCTTTGCTCGCCATGCAGTTCTTGTTGCGCCACTTCGTCCGCTGCACAGAGTTCTGTTTGGTGTGTCACAAGAAGATGAACACAGAGCTAGAAGCCATCAAACCATACGTTTGCGAGTCCGAGTTGTGCTTGTACCAGTACATGACTCTCGGCTTTGGACCGAGCATCGAGCACGAGATCCTCGCCCAGCCATACGTCGTCGACCTCTTGATCTCATTCTGCTACAAGAGTGCGGTGGCGTGCAAGCTCAAGGAATATCCCGACGGCCTGTCCCTCGCGGTCCCTCCCAGCGACCCAGCCTGTGCCGTACTTGAGCCTTACCACGGCCGCTACATGTATGGCACACAGCCGCAGACAGTAGCTTCCGTGACCTCGCCTGTCGCTGGGTTTCATGTTGGGTTCGATCGTGATCGGCTGGAGCTCATCTTCCACAACAAGCCTGAGCGCTGCCCGGTCAAACGCGGCGACTGGATTGTCCTGAAGATGTCCAATCAGGTTTCGTTGCAAGAGGCGGAGCTGCATTGTCGCGTTGATGAGACGAGCTTCTTCCCTACCATTACGATCTCTAAGCCGGTCGTCCTCAATCTAGGCGGTAACAACATCAGCGCAAGCCCACATGCATCAACGAACGGCGTGTCCGATCAAACCACAAAGAAGCCCGCCTCGCCAGCAGCTACGTCCAAGTGGGAAGAAGCAAGCTTCACGGTCTACGATCAAGACTTCAAGAGCATGACAGTCAGCGACAAGAGCTCCGCGATTTGTCGACTGCTCGACACACTTCCAGATGTCAAGACGATTCAAGAGTATCTGACCAAGAACCAGCCTGCAGACCTCAAGAACTGGGTTGAGCGTATCTCGCCAGCTGCTCTCAGCTTGCTTCGCTGGGTCATCGCGAGCAATCGAGCCTGCATCATTCAAGTTGATGGCGACAATGACGCCTCCTCGGCTTTAAAGAAGGAGGAGAGGTTGTCCGGGATGGCGAATCACATGCAGTTCCGCTTTGCGATGGGGGCACCTGACAAGGAGCAACGCTTCCTCAACGAGGCGCGCAAGACGACAAATCGGCTGAACCTTGCGGTCCCGACCATTTTTGCGTGGCATGGCAGTCCGCTGCACAACTGGCACATGATCATTCGTGAGGGTTTGCACTTCAAAAACACCGATCATGGGAGAGCTTACGGTCATGGTGTGTACCACGCTTTGGATGCGACCACTTCTTCAGGCTATGCTTCGATGGGTGGAATGGGCATAGGCGTGAACGGCGACGTCCCCAAGGGAACATGGGGCTCCAGCGTCCTGCGCATCTCGTCAGCGCTCGCATTAAACGAGATCGTCAACGCGCCTGCCGAGTTCGTCAGCAGCAAGCCGTATTACGTGGTTGCCCAGCTCGACTGGATCCAGACACGCTACCTCTTCGTCTCTTGCAAGCCAGCGCAAGACACTGTCCAGATCGGCAACGATACGCCACCGCAGAACGCACTCACCCAGGATGCTAGTCGCATTCCTACGGGCACAAGTGGGTCTGTGGTGATCCCCGCCGCAGCCATCAAGACGCACAGAATGATCCGGAACGAGCGTAGGCCTCCTTCACCGCACAACCCGAGCCCGTTGAAGAAGCTGAAAGCGCTTGGTGGCTATCGCGACCAACCAATCCCGATCGACGACGACGACGATACGGACAGCATCATGACCACAGCCAGCGACACCGGAGCCCTATTCGGCGAAGACCCCCTCCCTCCCACCGAGCCCTCCCCACCACCCACACCGGCCAAGCTCCTCGGTCCACCAACAGACTACATCCCCGGCCAACTCGACTTCTCCACCCTCCCCCTCATGCCCCTCCCCACATACGCCACCTCCCACACCACGAAACGCCTGATGAAAGAACTCCAATCCTGCGCCCGCGTGCAAGACGCCACGCCCCTCGCAGACCTCGGGTGGTCCATCGACGTCGCGAAGATCGAGAATGCGTACCAGTGGATCGTCGAACTGCACTCGTTCCACACCTTCGAAATCAAAGGCAAGAAATTACCACTAGCAGTAGACATGGCGAAGCAAGGCGTAAAAAGCGTGGTGATGGAAGTGCGCTTCAACAAGGACTTCCCCTTCTCCCCGCCCTACGTACGCGTCATCACGCCCCGCTTCCTTGGCTTCAACCAGGGCGGCGGCGGACATATTGTCCTCGGAGGAGCGATGTGCATGGAACTCCTCACTAACACCGGATGGTCTTCTGTGAGTTCGATGGAGTCGGTGCTGATGCAGATCCGGCTGGCGATCGCGAGTGAGCCTTTCGCAAGGTTGGATGTTCATGCGGGGAGAGGGAGCTATGGGACGGGCGAGGCGGCGGATGGGTATGTGAGGGCTTGTCAGACGCATGGGTGGAAGGTTCCCGAGGGGTTTCGGGAGATGGCTTATGGAGTCCCGGAAGGGGGTGGGGGGCGGTTGTAGAGGGAGTGCGGAGAGTGAGGTGGCGAGGCTGGGAGGAGGTGAGGATGGGGGGGTTTGCGCGAGTATGTGTTGTTATGTGATGGAAGCATGATCAGCGAGAGAGTAATGGCGTTTTGCAGGGGGCGGGGAATACCACAGCATGGGACATCGAAGCATGGGATACTACAAAGTGATTCACGACAGCGCGAAGAGCGAATGATTGCATTTCGGCGGCTCTTGTGTCTTGCACGGCAGCGGGCGTAGCGATGGCGCTGGGGTTGCGATGGCATGGCTTCTACTGCTATCTTCTGACGGACAGGGGGGGGTGTTAGAGTAGCTTTGCTTAGCAGATGACAACACCTTGAGACTACTCTGACTTCCAGCGTGTTATAGTTCCATTGCATCCAAGGCTGGTCCTTGCTGATAGCTACACTGCTACGCACAGCGCCGGCTGTCCTGGCAGATCGCTGCTGTGGAAAGATCGATCATCCGTTCCGTGGAGATATCTTCACCAACAGGCTCTCCGGAGGGCGTGCCCTCGCACTGCTCGCTGCCGCAGTATCATCGTCCTCTTTCGACGATGCAATTCAGTCACCCCCAAACCTTTCCCACCCTCGTGTCCTGCAACACTTCCACTTCCTCGCCACCACCACGCCTCATGGCCGCCTCCTCCCCTCGTCAAACCGTCTGTCCCTCCCACCCTCATACCTCCCCCCTCTCCTATCATCATACCTCCGATCGTCGTACCTTCCGGGCCCCTCGAACCTCCTCTCCCTATCCCGCATCCTCGCCCTATCCCGCTCAACCTCCCGCTCCCTCTCCCTTAACCTCTCTCTCTCCCCCTCCCTGTCCCTCTCGTTTAAAGCGCGCGGTGGTGGTGGAGGCCTCTCGAGCCGCACGTCGCCGGAGCCGCGTCTGCTGTTGCCGCCGCTCCGGTCGCTGCGGTGGCCGTGGCTATCGCCACGGTTCCGCGATTCCGAGCGTGGGATGGGGACTTCGATCTCTTCTTCGTATTCTTCCCATTCTTCGACGAAGAACTTTTGGACTTCGGTCTTTTCGTCGGCGGCGAGTTGGGGGTTGAGCATGAAGCGGAGCGTGCCGCCTCCCTCGGGGATAGGGGGTTGGTTTGGTTGGGTGGGCTGGATTTGTGATCCGGGTTGGGGGGGCGAGACAGGGGTCGGGTGGCCGTTGGCTACCTGCAATGTGCTGCCATTCGTTCCGCGGTCGGTGGTAGGCGCGGTGGTGTGGCGGGGAATGTTGTGCTCGTTGCATTCGCGGTTGAACGAAAGGCGGATGCGGAGGAAGTCGTCGAGGGAGTAGTGCGTGCCGAGGATGGTGTTGGCGGTGTGTTGGGTGTAGAGGTCGAGAAGGTCGAGGAGGGTTTCCATGATTTCGGGGCGGGTGGTGGACCATTTTGTGATATCGTAGTCGCGGAGGGCGTCGCGGATGGCGGAGGTGTTGTCGGGGGTGGAGGTTGCGACGAGGTTGGCAGCTAGTTCGAGACCGGCGAGAGCCATGGTGGCGTCGGTCTGTTTGAGAGGGGCGAAGGTGCGGAAGAGGTCGGTCATTACTGTCCAGCCTACTTTCTCGACTTTGTTGCGCTCGCCGTCTTCGCCTTCTGGCATGGTTTGCGTGATCTTTTGGAAAAGCTTGTGCGGATTCTTGCTGCGGAAGTCGAACCCGCCTGCTTCCAAGACCATGCGCTCCAGTCCGATAACTGCTCTGCTCGGTGCTTCGAAGACTGCATCGTCGGATCCCAGCTGATCGTGCGTCGATGCCTTGAGATTGTAGGCCGCCGCCAGGATGTCTTTGCTCTTCTTCAACGTGTCCTCCACCTTGCACGCTGTCAACAGACTCGCCGCACATGCATCTGCCCAGGCATTGCCGTACTCCATCCCGTTCAAGACTCCCGGATGCGCCAGTCTGAACTTGTGGTAGTACATGCACGCCGTGCTATAAGTCCTGATCGGTAGCTGGAGTGCTCGCCGGACGGTATCGAGCCATGTGACACCCTGCAAGCGCATGCTATCCTCGCGCGCCTCTGCCACGGAACGCTCCTGTAAATCGAGCTCGCCATTCTGCGCTGGAGGCTGTAGTCGCTTTTCTACCGCCGCATGCGACAGGTATCTCGCCGAGACTCGGATGGTGGATGGATGAGGACCGACAGGCTTTGCCTCGCCGTTGGACATCCTCTTGACGGCGCCCATGGCGTCCTTCTGGTGTGGTCCTGCGTATTTGTTCGTAGATGAAGTCGGATGGACTGAAGTCGGCTGCTCTTGCTGGGCTGAGCTTTGCCGAGCGCCAAGCAAGCTTGAGTCTGGAGGCGGCATCACTTCACTCTCCCTCATCTCCTTCTTCCTCGCTTCGATCTCTGCATCGTGCTTCTTCTTGCGCTCCCAGTAGTCGCCTTTGCGCACCGGAATGCTGTTGACGTCGGAGATGTCCATCTTCTGCGGTGTGTCGGGTCGCTTCCAGATGGTCGTGGCGTTCTCTGAGGGAGAATCACGAATCATGCTGGTGAGGTCGTCGATAGCAGCTTTTCCATTACTCTCGTTCTTGGAGAAGGCTTGAGGTTGGTGCTGTTGCTTTGCTGTCTCTTCTGTCGAGGCATTGCTCTCGCTGCGGTTGGCAAGGCGATTCGGTCTACCCAGTGGCTCATTGTTTGCATTTGCTTTCCCCAGAGCCTCCTTGTTCGCGCCCTTTTTCGGCTCGAAGCTCTTCTTACTGCCGGTCATCCTGTGTTGCGCTGGTGCTGGTGCGTCTGTGATGGTGAAAGCTGGTGCGCTCAGACTGGTCTGCGAAGGATCACCCAAATCCTGGCGGCGCAAACGAGGATCCAAAGACGGCACCGCGGACTGTTCCTCTGCCGGAGAAGGTGCTGCTGCTGGCGGATGTGGAGGTGGTGGTGGGTGCGGAAGCGCGAACGGCAGAAGAGGAGGCGGAAAAGGAGGCGTCGCAACTCGAGTCGGAGGAGGAGGTGGCGGAGCAGACTTCACGACCCCCGCCCCGCGCGTGATATCCTCCACCATCACCGCCCTCCCATCCGTCCGCGGATTCACCGGCGGTGGAATCCCTCTCACCTCCCAATCTTCCTTCTGCTGGGCTTTATGCTGGTCCCACAGCGCCGACCGCTCCTCCTTCTCTGGGTGCCGCCATTGGCAGTGACCTTCAGCGGCCCTGCAGCGGCCGAGCATCGACCACTTGCAGATGCCGTGGTCGGCCCAGGGGACGAACACCATGCTGCCTGCTTGCCTGGCTGCCTGACTGCGACGAACAGAGCGAAGGGGGAAGCAACTTACTGCGTGATTGCGGTGCTGATTGTTGTTGTGGCGTGTTGGAAGGGAAGTGGTGGTGGTCACGTTCAGGGACTGCGTGAGTGTTCGCTGTGAAAAATTTCAGGTGGGGCTTTGCATGTGATGATGGTTTTGTTTATGGACGTCACATGACGCTGACGTTAATCTAGACTTCTCCCTCTCTTGGGCAGGAACCTCACATCGAAACCTCTACATCCGCTGCAGTGGCCTCGCTCGAAGCACCTGTTCAGAGAACTCCCCGGTTGTCCTCGAGAATATCAATAGCATCGATTTACTATAAAACCTGCCTTCCGACCACTTTTTCCGCCACGCCAACCTGAGCAAGCTGGCAGCTCACCTCGCCAACCTGGCGCAATGCCACATCGACGACTACTGCTTCGCCCTTGGCGTCTTTTTGCTCGTGCAGACATCCGTCACGTTCAGCAAGACGGTATTGTTTGTGAAAAGCTCCGCAAAGCTTCCACAGACAGACCTACAAGATGACCAAGCGCAAACTCGACAAGAGAGAAACCGACCAAAAGCATTCAATCACCGACTCCTTTGGGTCAGAAGGTCGACGACAGAGCGATGAGCGTCCTTCAGCGGACAACAACATCATCCCACCTTCAGCCTGAGCTTACGCGCTGAAAGCAGACCGCCTCACGATCGAATTCTTCCTCCGTCCGCGGGGACATCGACACCACGTTCGACCTTCGCACCGCACAACCGGTCCAAAAGCCTGCCGTCCGCAACCGCCTGCCCCCACGCGAGTCGAAACGGCAGAGACACTCCTCCGCATGCTTCAGGACGAGTGCGTCAAAATCTTCTTGCTCTGGCTCTCCGCGTTCGACACGTCCTAATCGGAACTTTGCACCGGCTGTAGTGGCCTGCGTTCAGGCTGGGTCTTCGAAGACTGCCCATGGTTCCCCTCAGAAGCAGAAGCAGCTGCTTCGTGGCTACTATAGAAGGGGACTCACCATCGTTCAGTCTTTGCACATCGTCGCCCCGTCTTCGCGCACCCCGGGCCCGGCCTCGAAGTCGGCAAGCCCGCAACGAGATGGCAAAGGCAATGCAGATAGAAGGACCTTCGGGCAGTCCAGCCCGTAAACGGCAGCGAGAGGAGGCCCTGAGGCTTTGCATCCTTAAGTCGTCCATAGCACAGGTAGTCTGCAAGCCTAGCGGTGCGAGAGGCATTCACTTTTGCTACTTCCCTTTTCAGTCATCTTTCATGTGACAGCACGTGCCTGAACTGAGATCTGCGCTTATCGTTCCTGGCCGTGGACCCTGCCGGATCGTTCCTGCCGCGAGCCCAATAAGCTCAGCCAATCGGAAGATGTGAAATGTGCAAGCGAGGTTGAACAAAATTGTGGTACGATGCAAATGTACGATGCACGATGCCATTGAAGTGTATGACCTTCGACCGCCACTCCCTTTCGCCGCCATCATTCGATCCTGCAACGACTACTTAGTCCTGGGGTGCGGGCGGCATGTTCTGCTTTACTTGAGAGCGACTTGCTTGCGTTGAGCCAGCGTTGAATTGCATCAATTGCGACTGCTCGCGGACAGAAAAAGCCGAGACCGACTTCAGAACATCCGCCTCTTCTTCGCTGAACAGGCAGGAGCACTTGACCTGAGAGCAGACGAAGATGGCGTCGCCAATGGAGGCTTTCAATGTCTCACAGACATCCGTTCCGGACACTCTCCACGCCACCATGTCTTCCGTACAAACAGGCTTCATGAGCAGAGTGTTAGAGAATACGGGCATCTACAGCATCCTCTTCACTCTGCTCGCAGTAGCAGTGACATATGATCAGAGTACGACATCCTCCAACCCAGCATGTTGAATCTCGCTAACACTGAACGTCCAGTCGCCTACTGGCGCTACAAAGGCAACCTGGCCGGCGACGCGTGGAAAATCCCCTTCATCGGCCCCTTCCTCGACAGCGTCAACCCGAAGTTCAGCGGCTACTACGCCAAATGGGTCTCTGGCGACCTCTCCTGCGTCAGCGTCTTCCACAAGTTCGTCATCATCTCCTCCACCCGCGACATGTCCCGCAAAGTCCTCAACAGCCCGGCATATGTGAAGCCGTGTGTGGTGGATGTGGCGCACAAGCTGCTGAGACCGGAGAACTGGGTCTTCATGGACGGGAAAGAGCACGTCGAGTACAGGAAGGGGCTCAATGGCTTGTTCACGAGGCAAGCGCTGGAATCGTATCTTCCCGGCCAGAGGCAGGTGTACGATGAGTACTTTGAGGAGTTCCTCAAGCAGACCAAGGCGAAGAACGGAGCACCACAGCCGTTTGTGTACCAGCTGCGAGAGCTGATGTGCGCGGCCTCTTGCCGGACGTTCGTGGGGCATTACATGTCGAGGGAGGGTGTGAAGAAGATTGCCGACGACTACTACAACATCACCGCGGCAATGGAGCTGGTCAACTTCCCCATCATCATCCCGTACACCAAGACGTGGTATGGCAAGAAGGCGGCGGATCAAGTGATCGAGGCGTTCTCTGCTTGTGCTGCAAAGGCGAAAGTGCGGATGAGGCAGAAGGGTGCTGAGCCCGAGTGTATCATGGATCGCTGGGTGATGCAGATGTTCGAATCGGAGCGCTACCGGGAGCGTATTGCGAAGGGCGAGCAGGTGCCGCAGTCGGAGAAGCCGACGCAGCTGCTGAGGATGTTCTCCGATTACGAGATCAGCATGACCGTCATGACGTTCCTCTTCGCCAGCCAGGATGCGACTAGCTCAGCATGCAGCTGGATGTTACAGCTCACTGCAGATCGACCTGAGGTTCTGGCCAAAGTACGAGAAGAGGGAGCACGCATCCGGCCTGACCCCAAAGCGGGCGTCAAGCTGGAAGACCTGGAGAACATGGTGAGTCCCAAACCTCCATTCTACACTTCTCCCCGTGCTAACGATTAATGCCCAGGAATACACCCGCGCAGTAGTAAAAGAAACCCTCCGCTACCGGCCCCCCGTGCTCATGATCCCCTACCTCGTGAAGAAACCCTTCCACATCCCCGAAGCCAACTACACGGCGCCGAAAGGCAGCATGATCGTCCCCTCAACCTGGCTCTCCCTACACGACCCAGAAGCGTACCCGGACCCGGACACTTTTGACCCCGAACGATGGATCTCCGGCACCGCCGAAGAGCAGGGCAAGAATTGGCTCGTGTTTGGAACCGGACCGCATTATTGTCTCGGACAGCAGTATGCCGTGTTGAATTTGATGCTGATGCTGCATATGTTGAGTGCGGAGTTTGAGTGGCGGCATGAGGTTACGGCTTTGAGCGAGGAGATTCGGATTTTCGCGACGATCTTCCCGAAGGATGATTTGTTGCTTAGCTTTTCGAGGAGGGGGGAGAAGGCATAGGTTGGGGTTTGGGGCGAGCGTGGTGTATATTTGGCGATCCTGGGGGAAATAGCATTGCTTGCGGGATAGAGATGCCCCTCGGTTTTTGGGTGAGGGGTAGACAGTATTCAATCACAAGTTCAAACAAGTTGGTTCTCTTCCCAAGGCCACGAGCATTCGGAGCAGTGTCCTACGTCAGCCATTGACACGACCCGAGACGAGGAAATCGGCCCGGAACAGGGAAATATCAACTTGTGGATCACATGGTTATCATTCTCTAATCAGCAAATGGAACTAAAGCGAGTGTAAGCGGCATAACATAACATGCCTTCCCCCAACCTCCTCCCCTCTGTTCGCCCCTCCCCAGCATTCCCTCCCCAACCCTCCCTTCTCACCTCTCAACTACTTAGCCACATGAAGTCTCTACTTCTTCGCCTGATTCCCACCCGGGCCACCACCGGACTTCTCTCCCACCCCCGCTCCAGCAGCATTTCCCAAACCCTGATGGGAGGAAGCATTTCCAGCTGCATTTGCACTGGCATTTTTTTCGCCGGCGGATTGCGCGCAGGAGGCGAAGGCGGTGTCGTTGCCGGACTTGGCCTACAGACAGTGGATCAGTGGGGTGGATGACGGGATGATCGAGTGCTGGGGGAAGGGGAGTAGGATGGAGGGTTCGGCTATAGGGAGTGGGGCGTTGAGGGTTGGGGGAAAGGGGAAGGGTGAGGGGTATGGAGGAGAGGGCGTACTTCGGAGCTCTGGATGCGAGCGGAGTCGTCTTTGGTCATTTGATTAGGCATGGTGAAGGGGGGTTTGCGGATTGTTGGTCGTTGGTTGAGTGTTGATCGTCTTGGTCTTGTCTTTTGGATCTGGTCTAGTCTGGTCTCATCTCGTCTCGTCTGGTCTGGTCTGATCAAGAAACAGCACCACTCGCGCGGAAGGACGTCTTTTATGCTTGGATTTAGGGAGAGGATGCCGTCAGAAGAATGTCCGATCGTTGCTCTGTAACGGAGATATGTTCGTTCAGTCGTTTTCGAGAATGTTTGAACTTTTTTCGAATTGGCAACGATTGCTGTGCCGGAAGCAAGGGGTGGAGGTCTCTGGGTCAACTTCTGCATACTTCAACAACGCCTTCGGCAGCGTATCTCATAATGTCCTTAGACAATCATTTGCTGATTGCAAAAGACCTGTAGTTGATGCAATGCATATCCTCCTCGTTTCGAGCTTGTTGCATTGCAAGACGTGCTTGTCGCAGAAATGTCCACAAAAGCATGCTTTCCACCAAGCTCATATCGCTGGCACACGTCTCCATGGCGTGCTCTTGTATGCAGCCATGAACCCCAACTCCGCTGTCTTCGAGAGTTGCGACGAAAATGGCCAGCTCTCGGTCATAACGGCCGGAGATAAGGAAGTGCAGCTCGTGATGGCATTATAAATGATCCACGGAGCCAGTAGCTGGCAAAACTAGGACTGGAGTAAGCATGGCCTTCTCGTTCATCAAGCCCACCAGACACGACGTCTACCCGTTCATCGACCCGCAAGATGGCCTCAAAGGTGCAGCGGATGGCAAAACTGTTCTTATCACCGGAGCCGGGAGTGGTATCGGACGACGTATCGCGCAGTCGTTTGCTCTTGCTGGAGCTTCAAAGCTCATCCTAGGCGCCAGGAGGGTGGAGAAGCTGGAAGAGACCCGCTCGATCATCCTCGAGTCAACGACAGAGTGCGATATCTCCATCATTCGCCTCGATATCGCAGACGAGGTGTCGGCCAAGGAACTCTTCGCTGGCTTGGACTCGCCCCCAGACGTCGTAGTGTCCAACGCTGCAGTGGCTTTAGCACAAGCGGACATCGCAGCTTCAGACCCAGCGTTGGTGGCGCAAGAGATCGACATCAACGTCAAAGGCCCTTACCTCATTGCCCGATACTACGTCGAGGCCGTCAATGCCGCCGAAACGACAGGCTGCTTGATTCATGTCTCCAGCGAGAGCTCCTGGAAGTTTATCCCGAATTGCTCGACTTACGGCTTCTCCAAAATCGCCGGCAACCTCATGATTGAGTACTTGCAGCGGGAGGAAGAGCGTGGTGCTGCGAGAGTACGCTGCGTGGCGATGCATCCTGGTGGTGTGGTTACGGAGCTGGCTGGACGCGAGCTGCCGGAACAAATTAAGAAGTTGTTGATCGACCAGCCTGCCTTGCCGGGTGGGACGGCGGTGTATTTGTCGACGGAGAGGGCGCGGTTCTTGTCGGGGCGGTATGTGCCTGCGACTGCGGATATGGAGGAGCTTGAGAAGGAGAAGGGGAGGATTGTGAGGGAAGACCTTCTGAAGACGAGAGTGGTTGGGTGGTTTGGCTCGTTGGGGTAATGCTTCATCATGTGCATGAACCAAGACAACCTTACCGTCTTACCATCCGAACAAGGTCTGCCTTGATCGTACGGCCAGCCCTAGAAGAGTTCGTAGCGCTCTCGTCATGATCATTTGGACATTCTTGTCGTTCGTCTCGACCGCGCTGAAGGCCCACAGTGTTGCACCACCGCGGTCCTGTACCGCTTAGATGACGGAAACGGCTTCGCAAGGCTAAAATTCGCACCAGGACAGATATAGAGTCTCCCCGACATCGATGTTCAAGTTGGAAAAGGAAGAGAGGATAGACCGGAGAAAGTGGACGTATGGATAGAAGGACTGGTGGACAGAAGTCTTGGCTCCTCCGAACGCCGCATGCCATTGAGGATTACCACCAGACTCCATCACAGACACCTTCTTCGCAACACTTTTGACAGATGGCTATCTAGCCATGCCGAGAAACAAATTTCACGGCTTGAAGCGGCCGGTAAGCCACTCTACACCATCCCCTTGATCACCTCCTAACCACTCCCCAGAAACTGCGCCAGTCCTGGTCCAAATACAACCTCTTCAACCTCACCAAAGTCAGTACGCCCTCCGCCGCCAACAAGACCTTCTTCCAGCAGAAATGGCTCGCCAAGTCGATGACGCGGGGGTACCACAACCCCCAGATCAAGGAGAAGCACTGGACGCGGATGTTCGATAGGAGGATGCCGTCGGTAGTGCCTATGGACTTTCGATATCTGGCGCAGAATGATGGGAGTGAGATGGCGCTGGGGAGAGGCAGTGGACTGGATGGAGGAGAGGATGGAAGGGCAAGGCGGAAACAGAAGACGCCGTATATGAATATGGCGTTTCATCCGCTTGAGCGACGGTTAGACACGGCGATATGGCGCGCGCTGTTTGCTTCATCGACGAAGCAGGCGCGGCAATTTGTGGTGCATGGCGCTGTGAAGGTCAATGGGAAGAAGATGGTCTACCCTGGATACCAGCTGAATCCGGGCGACATGTTCTCCGTGGAGGCGGACAAGGTGATGTATGCGACAGGGGCGAAGAAGAGGCGCAAGGACAGTCCAAAGTCGATTCAGGATATTAAAGACCTTCGAGAGGAGCGGAGAGCGCTTGCGAGGGAACAGCAGCAAGAGATGGAGGAGCAGGAGGATAGTGATGCTGGTGCTGCAACGCTCGAATCCGATGAGGAGCGAGAGGCGATGTCCGGCAAACCCGAAGACCACGCAGACCCCAAGGTGGCGCTGAAGGGTTTGATGATGCGAGCACAGAAGATCTTGGATGATTCGAAGAGGAAGCTATCCGGGAAGAGACAGCAGGAGCTGAGGCAGTTCTCGCGATCGATCAAGAAGACGATGTCGAAGCTGCGAGGAATCGAGGAAGGGAATGTTGAGGATACTATCGATGGCCTGGAATCAGGTCTGGCGGAGATCTTGACGAAGATACCACAAGACGAGCTGCCAAAGGAGGTGAAACTGGATTCAGCTGCGGCGGCCGAGCAGCGCGACCAGGCTACTTCTGAGCCAGAAGAACCACAATCATCGGAACCAGCAGTATCACGACAAACAGGCAAAGTTGACGAATACCGAGCGCGAAAAGACGCCGAGCTACTTCACGCAGCCCTAGCACGAGCGAACGAGAACCCGATCGACACATCAAAGCCCTACGCGACGCCATGGAGGCCGCGCGAGTTCATGTCCGCCTTCGCGTTCATTCCGAGATACCTGGAAGTCAATCAGAATATCTGCTCAGCTGTGTATCTTCGGCATCCTGTGGCGAGGCCTGGGTTGGCAGAGGTGCCTTCGCCGTTCCATGGGGAGACGCTAGGGTTGGCGTTTAATTGGTATTTGAGGAGGAGGTGATTGTGGTATTTAGATTTGTATGATTACTGTTGTACATTGCAGATCTACTCTTCGGGAAGTCTTGTTCCCCCGAGCGAGGGAACGTTGAACATGCACTAGCGCGGCTCCGTGAGAAGCCAATCAGAGCCGTGGATGCGATTTGGCAGCTTCTTACCACATCGACTTCTCGCAATCAGCTACTACCTTATCAACACGATCGGATAGGACAATCTGAATCAGAAGTTCACAGCTCACCGAGTCATACACGAAGCGGATAACCAGGTGACGAGCAGTACTGCCATACAATCTCTCTTCTTCAATCGCCTTTTGCACACCATAACTCATCCGAATTCTTTTCTCCCGTTCATTCTGTACTCGTCCTCTCCTTATCCTACCTACCACCCTCCTTTTCCATATTCCACCATGTCTCCTCAACCGGACTATGCCCAAAAAATCCTCATAGTAGGCGCAGGCGTCTTCGGCCTCTCCACTGCCCTTCACCTAGCAAAACGCGGCTACACCCACATCCACCTCTTCGACTCCCAACCCTACCACATCAACAACTACGCCTGTTCCCCTGGCTGCGACGCCGCGAGCTGCGATGAGAATAAAATTCTCCGCGCTTCGTACGGGGATGCGAGGTTGTATCAGGATCTGGCTTTCAAAGCGATGCCGGAGTGGCGGCGGTGGAATGAGGTGTTGGCGGAGATGAAAGCGGAGGACCTGCCAGCGGGTTTGAGGGAGGGTGTGAGGTTGTGGAATGATTGTGGGTTTTTAAGGCTGAGTGGGGAGGGGTTGGAGGAGAGCGAGGTGGCGACGCAGGCGAGTTTTCCCGAGGGGTTGAGGGGGACGCAGTATCGGGTTTCGGATGAAGGGAGGCGGAGGGACGCTGAGGATGAGAGGATTCCGAAGACGAAGATTGATCCTTTTGGGAGGTTGGAGAGGGGTTTGGCGATGGATGGGGTATTGGATATGACGGCCGGGTTTGTGCTGGCGAGTCGGGCGTGTGCTTTTGCGTTGTTTTTGGTGAGGAGGGCGGGGGTGAAGACGTGGTTGGGGAGGGAGTATGGGACGAAGTCGTTGATGAGGGAGGGTAAGAGGGTGACTGGGATAGTTACGAATGACGGCGAGGAGCACTTCGCGGATACCACCATTGTCGCCTGTGGCGGCTGGACACCCAGCTTACTGCCAGAAATCGAGCAGCTGGTCGAGACGACGGCAGGCAGTGTTCTCTCGATCAGACTACCTGAAAACCGACAGGACCTCTGGGACAAATTCTCCCCCGACAACTTCCCCGTCTGGAGCTGGAACATGAACTCCTACGACCCCAACTCAAAGAACGTGGCCGGTCTGTACGGCATGCCACGCACCCCCGAAGGCGTCGTCAAAGTCGCTTTCCGCGGCGCAAAATGGACCAACTACGCCTATCGTAGCAGTGCAACAGGTCGTCAGCTATCGTATCCTAAAACGGACGTCGACAAGATCCCGGAGGAGGCGATGCGAGTCATCCGCTCTTTCTGCGAGGAGAACCTCCCAGAACTTCTAGACCTAGATCTCGAACGTGGACGACTATGCTGGTACTCCGACTCGGTCGATAACTCGTTCCTAATCGACTACCCACCCGAAACGGAGGGCTTGCTCGTAGCGAACGGCGGAAGCGGACACGGGTTCAAGTTCTTGCCTGTGCTGGGCGAGCATGTGGTGGATGTGCTGGAGCGGAAGGATACGGAGTACACGAGGTTGTTCCGGTGGAGGGATGTGCCGGAGGGGGATCCGAATGGGTTGAGGGAGGGGGTGGAGGGGTGGCGGACTTTGGGGCGGCAGAAGATGGTTGGACAGGAGGTTTGGAGGAGGGGTGGGGATGATGCACGGTTGTGATATTCTTCCTGCGTTTGAGAGCTTTTCAGAATACGTTCGGCGCGCCTCAAGTGCTGCTTGTAATCATTTTTCATTGTTTCTGGCCAGACCTGATCACACCGCACCCGGCGACTGACGTTGTAGAGACCATGGCAATTTCTTAATACCTCCTCCAGCTCTCTCTCGACGACCGACTGTCCTCGTGACTCCAAAGCGACGGTGAGCGAGGCCTACGAGCCCGCCTTTGCGCTTCCCTCGGGACATCCCGAATGAACTGTTCCATGTCTTCGTCATCGTACCGCGACTCGTACTCCTCAAAATGGTCCGATGGAAGATCTCTCCAGTCGTCTCGACGTGGCGGCGATCTTCTCCGTCGTGGTCTGTCGAACGGGTCGGTTGTGCTCGAAGATCTCGTGTCATAACAGCTTTCCCTGTGTGCTGGCTGCCTCTGCCCGTGGTAACAGCGACAAGGTGCAGGACGGCGGCGGCCCCCTCTAGCTGACGGAGGACACATGCAGCCGCTCATGAATACTGGAGGGGCGCCTCTCATGACACCACCCTGCAGAGCACCCCCGGCCATCGCGCGAGGACCCCAGTGCCAGGGAGGTGGAGGCGGAGGGGGGCGAAGCATTGGCATCCTCATGCCCATCGGGCAGCCCATCGGGCAGCCCATTCGATGACAGCACTGCGGCATGAAGGTCATTGTCGGTGGTGGACCGGGATCTAGCAAGCTCGTCAGCATGGTTCATGCAGGGGCGGGCCCTGGGACGCTGTACCGTAATGATCATGTCTGCATCCACCACCTACTCCGCCTCTCATCCTGATTGACGCGTACAGATCCATTTCGGCTTGGTGACGAGCTGTGGAAAAAACGCTGTCTGCCGTTGAAGTTTAAAGGCTGCTCAAATCTTCGAGGTCTGCAGTAGATTTGGGCGCGGGCTCGAGCTCGAGGTCTGCAGGACCAGACGGTTGCACCGGGGCACTGACTACGGCCGGCCATTTTATAGCCGACGTTTGCTTGCTCTGTCGTTGTCAGCCCTTTGGCCTCCGCAAACACAATCCGAAGCATCGCTAAGGATGCATCTCGAGCATTTGATCCCTTTGGAGCCTTCTTTCACCCCTGGAAAGCCTCGTTAGGAACAGTAGAAAGGAAACAGAAAGTGAGACAAGTCAAAAGAAGCCTAGGATCAGAAAATTACCTTGCTAAATGCGTTTGTTCTGTACTACCTTGCTCAGCGCAACAAACACTTTCCTGTGTGCCCGTCCAGCCTCTTTCTGCGTAACGAGTGACAGCAGGGCACAAAGAGGCGGTCAGTCACGAGCACAAGCACACTGTGGAAATTTGTCAAAGTCTTGTGGTCGCGCCACAGGCAGCTATCCGCAGACTGTGCGACATTCATGCCATCGACCTGTAGTAGACTTGGCCTGGGAGCAGTAGCAAGTCTGTGATCGAGAAGGGAATCTGCTGTAGCTGTGCGTCTCCATACGTGATAGGTCAGACGTGCAGCAGGTGTTGTTCGTACTGCCAATGCTTCTCCGTCCGCTCTAGAGGACCCTGTGGCCCCTTTTGATATTTTCGAGCTGGAGCTCATGCAGGAACACTAAGGTCGCGTGCTTGGATTGGCGTGAAGACCGACGCGTAGACAGCTAGCGACAAGCCGGATCGCACTGATTGTTGTTGTATGGTTACTGTAGAGCCTCACCGTAGCAGTCATTCCGATCATCTAAGTCCATGTCGACGGTACCAGCCAGGAATGATGATGAAGAGAAGAGAAGAGGTTGGTGTCCAAAACGGAGCTACTCAGTGGTCAGGCGTTAAGCGAGCCTCTGATTGGCCAGGCTAATTTCGACCTCGAGAAGAGACCTGGGAGCAGACTTCTTGCGCTGCACCTGAACCTACACCTTCCCCAAGGACACCACAGCCTCCCCATTCCACGAAGCGCCGACGACACGATCCAATACGACGACGAACATCACATCTCAACAACTACTCCATCTCGACACTGCTCAAGCATCGCCCGATCCAACGACAGCCACCTACGTCTCCCCTCCAGGCCTGTCCTCATCCTCAAGACCATGGCTCCTTCCACATTTGCTTCTGCGGCCGCAGGAAACAACCAGGCATCCAATTCGGCACGTGATGGCGGTTCGGAATGGTATGTACCACCCGTCCACGCAGCTGCGGAGAATTTCTGCTTCGACCGCGCCTCATGCGACAGCCGCGTGTCGTGGAGTGAAAGCGCATTTACTGACACATCTTGCAGGTCGCGAAGACCCAACGGCGCGACACAGACCTTCCGTCGACCTTCTGGCACCTCAATGTCTTCTGCGAACCAATTCTCCGATGCCGCCGCCCCCTCTCAAGCCCCACCACGATACGTCCCGCCACACCGAAATGGAGCTGTGAGCGATGCGCGCTACTCCAAAGACCAGCTGCTTGATTTGTTCAGAGCGCAGCAAAGCGCGGAAGGGGGGCTTCGAGAGGGGCTGCAGGACTTGTATGTGGGCGGATGGCAGCCGGACAGTACAAATGGCTTAGGGAGTGCGAGCTGGGGCCGGAGTGACAACACCCGCGACAACCAGCCAGGGCCAGATGTGTGCTGGGACAAAGATGGCTCTATTGAGCCGCTGGGACTGTCGGAGATGGATCGCGAAGAGCGAGAGGTAGGTCATGCTCAAGCACGCGCCGAGGAATTCATTATTTGGATACTTACAAAGCACAGCTCTTCTCGACTTCCGTCAACACCCCACTGAAGCCGCCTACCTCCAACAAGGAGAACCAGCAATCGAATGGACTACCGAACCGTAAGATTTCCATCTCCAACCAGGGCAATACCCCCGGCGGCTACGGACTCTCATCGCCCACCGCGACACGTGGGCAGGGACGTCGCCGGGAGACAAGCGAGTCCTTCTTCCCACAGAATGCGTTGGCTTCTCCCACGGCAACGTACGATCGCAACGATCAGCGCGCTCCATCTCCACCGCCTTCTCTGCAACGTAGGAGGACCGACACCAAGGATGGCGGCAGGGGCGATGCAGAAGACAAGACCGCGTCAACTCCATTCGGTTCCATCAGACGTAATCCAACCGGACCGTTGAGTGCTGGACTTGGTGGTCCTTCTTCGCCATGGTCAAATGCGCCGCAAAGCGCTGGTCTTTCTCCCATGGGCTCATTCGGCAATTTTGGGCTCGGTCAAGCTGCTCAGACGGAGAAGCGCAGTGGAGTTGGCAGTGGGCGGGCGGAAAGCAGGTTCAAAAATCTGTTGAGCAAGGACAACGGCGAAGAGACGGGCATGAGGAGTCTAGAGCGGAAGTCCAGTTTGACAGGGGCGTCTTGGCGGCCACAGCAATCGCACGGTCTCGGTGGTGCTCCTTTGGAGGAAGCTGATGAAGACACACCATCAGGCAGTGCCGCTCTTGCGGAAGATGCAGAAATTAGTGAATCGCATCAACGGCAGGGCGGGTTTGGTACACCCGGTCGTGCCGAGCCCAGCGACCGTGGGTTTGGAGCATTTGGTATGACTTCGGATGGCCAGGGTTTCGGACAAGGCTTCATGCAGCAGACGCCAGGCCAGCACCGCCAGATGGGAGGCAACGAGCCGATGAGTCCAACCGACACCAATCCTTACCAGTCTCCTGAACAGCAACGGGGGCTCAACAGCCTGATGCAGGAGATGGAGGGCGAGAACTCACGTCAGCTTCCCGGACTTGGTGGGTATCCTGGCGAGCAGTCGCAGCACTTTGGTGGTCTGGGAGGTCTGGGCGCTCTGCCAAACCTTGGACGACCGGGTGGAGTGGGCGCTATGAACGACCGCAGCCAGAACAGCAGCGTCAATGCCAACAGAGGCTTCGGCGGTCTTGGCGGACTCGGACAGCTGGGTGGTGGTTCTGGTGCAGCAGCCTGGCCTTCCAGTCATGGTGGACTCGGGACGCCTACCAGGTCAACTGCGGGTTTGTCCAGCGCTTTCGGTGGAGGCATCTTCGCTACATCCACGGGTGACGTGCATTCCCCTGGACTTGCAGGTCTGGGCGGCGGTAGCATGATGAGCCCACATCCGAATGCGGGAGGCAGCAGGATGGCCAGCATGTTTCCGCAGAGCATGCAGGACCAGATGCGGCAAGGCGAGCATGAGCGTGATTTGGGCGCCGAGAGGGGTGGCTACCAGCCGTTCATGGGCCAGCTTGACCAGCCACGTCCAAACGACTACCCATTCGCCGAGCAGAACGAGTCTGATCGAGCAGATCAAGAGAACGCAGGATTCGGAGCGCCTGGTCAAGGTCAGCCTGGACAGGGTCAATCTGGACAACCTGCGCAGGGACAACCGCAGCCTCCCAGTTCGGCTTCAAACCAGCCTCCCCCACCACAGCAACGCACCATGGTCATGCCAGACCGCATGCGCTGGATCTACCGCGACCCACAAGGACAGACGCAAGGACCATGGTCGGGGCTGGAAATGCATGATTGGTACAAGGCTGGCTTCTTCTCGCCTGAGCTTCTCGTGAAGAAATACGAAGATCAGGACTACGAACCGCTCGCGCAACTCATCCGACGCATTGGTAACTCCAGAGAGCCGTTCCTGGTCCCGCAGATCGGCATCCCTCACGGCTCTGCAGCGACGACTGGCCCGAGCGCTTGGGCAGGTGCTGCGGCGACACCGTCGACGAGTGGCGCTCAGCCGCCTTTTGCTAACAGCTTCCCGTCGTTCGGCACCACATTGACGGCAGAACAGCAGAATGCACTCGAGCGTAGGAAGCAAGAGGAGCAGTATCTGATGGCACGTCAGAAGGAACATCTCGCGCAGCAGCAGATGGCACAGCGCATGCATTTGCAGATGCAGCCAGGTGCTCCAGGCTCGCACAGCGGCTTGGCGCCTGGTCAAGGACAACTGCAACATCAGGCTTCGGCTCAGTCACTACACTCTCAGCCTAGCTTCGGCAGCATGACTAGCCCCAATGCTGGCCCTTTCCAGCCTAGTCCGCTTCAAGGGCCGCAAGGTCACCAGCCAGGGTTCTTTGACAACTCCTTCCGCTCGCCTGGACAAGGTGGTGGGCTGGGTGCTGTCGGCGCTGGCATCGACAACCTTGGCCACATCCGCGAAGAAGAGATTCCCGGCATCATGGACCGCTTGGATCAAGGTGCTCGCGCTGCTCCTGGACAGTTCGGTGCTCCGGGCCAGCCATTCTCGGGTCAGCAGCAGATGCAGTCCCCGCCAAACAACGAGCACGATCTACAAGTCCAGCAGATGCTCCAGGATCGCAACAGGCTGCAACAGGAGCAGGCAATGCATGACGCCCAGCAGCAGCTTGACAACGAACAAGGCCTGTCTGGCGACCGTCTGAGACAATTTCAGCAGCTGCAGGGTCAGGGCAAACTGACTGGTATCGATGCACGTTTCCAGCCGGCATTGGGCAAGCAAGAATTGAGCGACGAGCAGAGCTCAACGATGCAGAGTAGTGTTGGCTCGCCAGCTATTGCTCAGCGCGAACGTACCCCTCCGCAAGAGATGACTTTGACCGAGCAAGTTCAGAAGGCAGCGTCTGTTCAGCAGTCGCCGGTGCAGCCACAGCCTGGTCTTCCTCAGCCATTCCCGCCAGCTCCTTCTCAGTCCCCTCTGCCGGCTCCGGCGGCTCAGCGAGCTGGAAGACAGAGTGTCGCAGATCAGCTGCAGACTGAGCAACGCGATCTTTCGCAGACCCCATCTGTGGACACGCCAAGTGCAGCCGTCGCACCATGGGCGAAGGAGCCAGCGGAAGCACCAAGGGGACCGTCCCTTAAGGAGATCCAGGAGATGGAGGCGAAGCAAGCTGCTGAAGCTGAGGAGATCGCATCCGCACAACGCCGCGCAGCTTTCCAAAAGCAGATGGAGGCCCAACAAGCTCAAGCTTCTATCGCACCAGCGCCTGGTCTGCCAGCGAGCGCAAGCTGGGGAGCGGCGAGTGGCTCGCCAGTGACCACCCCCAGCGGTGCATCCGCCTGGGCGAAGGCCGCTCAGAAGCCCACCACAGCGACCAGCGCGAAGAGCATGGCGCAAATCCAAAAAGAAGAAGAAGCACGCAAGAGGCGCGTGGCCGCTGCCGCCGCGAGCGCTCAAGCCGCAACGGCCGGCGTCGCTCCTAGCCCGAGCGGCGGTGGGAAGAGCTACGCTAACCTCGCCGGCAAAGTCGCATCGCCTGCTCCTAACGCTGCCGGAAGCGCGTGGACGACTGTCGGTGCTGGCGGGAAGCCGAAGACTCCTGCTGCGCCCGTGCCGCAGCCTACGAGGACCGTTAGTTCCGGCGTCGTACCGGTTGCGCAGCCTGCGCAGGCGAAGAAGCTGCCGACGAGGTCGTCGACTATGGGATTGTCGGGCGGCGTGAACGCGCAGGAGGAGTTCAGGAAGTGGGCTGTTAACGAGCTGCGCCCGGATCTAGCTAAGGGTATCCCTGGTACGTTATCCCACCCCTCTCCCTCGCCTCCACCTACTAACATATATATCCTTCACAGTCGAAGAATTCATCACCAACCTCATCGCCCTGCCCCCAGACGCCGACATGCTCACCGAAGCCGTGCACGGCGCCTCCAACACGCTCGACTCGCGGCATTTCGCCGAAGAATTCATCCGTCGCAAGCGCCTGGCGGATAAAGGGCTGGTAGATGTTTCGGCGCCGCCGAAGAGTGCGAGCCCGGGCAATGCGGGGGTTTCGGGGTGGAGCGAGGTTGCGAAGAAGAGTGGGACGACGGCGGGGAAGGAGGGGGTGAAGGAGGAGAATGGGAATGGGAATTTTAGGGTCGTGGCCGCGAAGAAGGGGAAGGGGAAGAGGTGAGCGTGTGGTGATGGGCGGGGTCATTCGTTGGGGAAGAGGGTGGGGGGGAGGTGTGTAAGCAGTCGTTTGTATCGCGGCAGATGATGGATGAATGGCTTTGACTGCTGTCTGTGCTACCGTTTCTTAGCTCACATTCCTTTTTCTTCCGCACCGACGTCACTTTTACCGACAGGTGTACCCCCCATCGACCATGAGCGCTGAGCCCGTGACGAAAGAACTCCTGCCCCCTGCAAGATACAACACCCCATCCGCAATTTCCTCCGGCCTCCCAATCCTCTGCATCGGCACGGCCGAGACCACGCGCTCCTGCATCGCCGCGAACACCTGTGGATCCTTCATCGTCAACGGTGTCTCCGTGTAGCCGGGACAAATGGCGTTGATCCGCAGACCATCCTTGGCATAGTCCTCAGACGCCGTTCGCGTAAGCCCGATAACCGCGTGTTTGGTCGCTGCATACGCCGTCGAGAGCGCGATCCCGACTACCCCTTGGATGGACGCGAAATTCACTATCGACCCCCGCTGCAGCGGTCTCCCGTCCCTCGCGGAGGAGGGAATGGGAGCTTGTTCCAGCATTATCCTCGCCGCGGCGCGCAGAACGAAGAATGTCCCGTTCAGGTTCACGTCGAGGATGCGCTGCCAGTCCGGAGTCTGCACGAACGCGGCGCCGCCTGAGTGCTTCATCGCGATGCCCGCGGCGTTGACGACGTAGTCCAGCCGGCCGAAGCTCTGCGCGATGGCGTCGAGAGCGGCGTTGACTTGGTCTTCGTCCGAGACGTCGAGGGGGTGGATTTCGAGGCGGCATGGGTTGGTCTTGTTTTTCCCGTTGGCAAGGGCCTGTTCGATCTCGCGTTTGATGTCGTTCAATGCGTGCGGGTTGATGTCGAGCAGAGCGACGCCCGCGGCGCCTTCGAGAGCGAAAGCTGCTGCGGTCGCTCGGCCGATGCCTGATGCCGCTCCGGTGACAACTGCGAAGCCTGGGACGTCCATGTTGTAGGCCGGTGGTTGTTTGATGGGAGATGAGGGTCTGCTGGAGAAGATTGAACAGGTGTTGTTGAAGGTTGATAGACTGGCCTGGTGGCCAAAGCTACCACGTTCGGTGCAGGTAGTGCTGGTATAACTTTCCTCTTTCAGATGGGAAGCTTCTATCGGCGTTCTGCAGTAAGACTAGAGGCGGAGCATAGTCATGACCTTTCTCCACTAGCCTATCCGTCTCTGCGTCATCTCATCTTTATGTTCCTGGCCTATACCACTGTATGCTCTTGTCTGATGAACTGGGAGTCCGGAAACAGAATTGTTCAGCCTAAGAGTGTTGGACACCAAACGACAACGCCTAGTGGTGCACCCGAATCCTTTCTACAACTACGCAAATTTCAGACCCTTATAACCCGACGCCTGGACATCTCTGCATCGCTTGCGGAACTCGACCGCACTGCCTGCATACCGGGCTACACTCCTCACCGTCTTGCCCTTGACGTTCGTGTTCACCCCGGTCATCCAGCTGTCGACCTCGTTCATCAACGTCAAAGCGTTGCTACACTCGACCACGTGCTCTGTCCAGCTCTCCGCCGCTTCCTGCGTCGCCTCGACGTAAGTGTAGTTCTTCTCGTCGCAGTATTGTAGGAGGTCGTTGATGACTTGGACAGCGTGCTCGATACTCCGCGTTGCGTTCCCGAACGGTTGATGCGGCCCAAGGACCATGAACATGTTCGGCATCGCCGGCACCGTGAGGCCGAGGAATGTCAGTGGTCGGTGGTCTGGCCAGATCGCTCTGTCGCCTTGTTTAGAATGGCTGCTGGCGATAAGTGGTCGGTCATGCTTCGCATGCCAGTCAATGGCGCTGAAAGCTCCTGTGATTGCATCGAATCCGGTAGCGTAGATGAGGACGTCCAACTCGTGCGTGCTGCCATCTGAGGTTGCGATTCCCGTCGGTGTGATGCGCTCTAGTGGCGTCTTTTGAAGGTCCACGAGATGGACATTGGCTTGGTTGTAAGCTTCAAAGTACCCGCTATCAAGTGGCACTCGGCGGGTCCCAAAGCCGTGGTTCTTGGGGATAAGGCTCTCTGCAGTCTCCTGATCGTGTACTCTGCCTCTGATCTTGTCCGCCATGAACCGGGAGTACATCTCGTTTGCAGTACGATCGGTGTAAGTGTCACTAAAGATACCCAACCATTTGCCAAATCCGGGTTCGTTGTACAGCTTCTCCCAGAGTGCAAGTCGCTCTTCCTCGCTCACCTCGAGCGACTTTCGTGGATCGGCCTGGTGCACAAAGCACGCTGGTGTCTCTGCGCATCTCTGGAAGATGGAGTCGTATTCTCTCCTATGCTGCGCCATCTGTTCTGTGGTGATCCCGCTGTTGCGCAGCGGCGCTGACCAGTTTGCCGTCCGCTGAAAGACAGTAACAGAGCCGATGTCAGGGACCTTTGATATCGATGTGATGGTCTGGATGCCAGTCGCGCCGGTCCCGATGATGCCAATCCGCTTATTTGCAAAGTCACGGTTGATGTCGAGATCCTGTGGCCATCGGGAGGTATGGAATGACTGGCCTGTGAACTCGTGCACGCCGGGAATATTCGGCAAGGTCGGCGAAGAAAGGAAGCCAATACAGCTGATGAAGAACTTGGCTCTATACTCCTTACCGGCCCCATCGGCGAAAGTCCAGGTGTTGGATGTGTCGCTCCAACGCGCAGAGCTGATCCGCGTGTTGAACACGACGTGTTGATACAGATTGTGCTTCTCTGCGAAGTGCTTGATGTATTGGTGCGTCTCAGGTTGGGGTGAGTAAGTCTCCTTCCAGTGCCAGTCTTCGAGCAGCTCCTTGTCGAACGAGAAGCCGTAGGAGAGCGACTCTGAGTCGAATCGGCAGCCAGGGTATCTGTTCCAATCTGTGAATCATTGGTCAGCAGCTAACTCGTGGTTGTAGGGAAGTGTTGGAACTTACACCAAGTGCCTCCAACATCATCTCCAGCTTCTAGGAGCTTCACACGCCATGAAGGAAAGCGCTGTCGGATGTGGTAAAGACTGCAGATGCCCGACAGACCAGCGCCAATAACGAGTACGTCGTATGTCTCATCGGCCGTACTGTGGGCGTGAGGCATGATGGGCAATGGACGGAATTGTATCGGCCTCCAAGAAAAGATGGTTGAGCAACGTGCTCGTATCTTGTACGCGAAATACGTGTGAGAATAGCACCATCAACCATACCGATCTAAGAAGACAAGAGACGCGTTAGGTCTTGCGGATGACATAGCTAGCCTACCTTGACCGATGCCTGCGATGGCGGCTCTGCGATGGCTTTCCTGTTTGGCGTGGAGTGGCGGAAGGGATAGGAGTATGAACAGAACTGTGGGACTGCACTGGAGGGCTGGACATGGAATGTGTAGAGAAAGCCTTTACTGCCCGCCCGCCTGCGTTCAGCCATTCTTTGGCGTGAGTCGGGACACCGACGCTGCTGGATAAGAAGCCGACAGCTTCCATAATAGAACGCGTCGGTACAGGTATGCGCCGAGTCGGTGAGCGGTTAGACGGGCATGGGCATGATGAGACGAAGCAACGGAATGAGGCCCTTCAAGCAGGAAAATCCGGAGCTGCTCCAGCGACGATGAGGAGACGATGCTGCTGATGAGATAAGGTGTGGTAGAGGAGGGTTCGCCACGCCCAGTGCAGCAGAAAGGGAAAGCAACGGCAAGACCCGCCTGGCGCTTCTGTTGTTGCTTGCCTCTTGCGCCCGCGCCATGGTCTCCTCTCCACGACTGGCTTGGTCAATATTCGGAGTTATGGACAGTCGACTTGAGATGGCTGGTGGGCATGCCGTCGCTTTCGCCAAGGGTCGCTTGAAGGCGCGATATTGCGAACATCCTCTCGCCGGCCATGGAAAGTGAAGCCAGACATAGTCGCTCATTCGGTGGATGTGCCACGGTACGGAATGTCATGCTACGGGACCCTCATGCTGTGCTCAAGAGCTGATGGACATGGACAGTGCCGAAGCCGCCGCACCAAATGCGACCAAGGTCGTCCTACATGTGCCGTGTGTCAGAAGGCCGGAATGGTTTGCGGACGCTACGAGAAGCACATATTCTTCGACCTCGAAGAGCAACAGGAATCGGCCACTGGCCGCTTCCGCCGGCCTCTATTGACTCTGGCAGAGCGCCAATGCATGAGCGAGCTGCTAACGTCGAGCGTTCCTCCACGACTAGCACATCGGCACATCACCAGCCTCGACGAAACACACGACGATACGTTCGCCACCGATGATTTCAATGTTTTTCGCGGGCCATTTGGGGTATTTAGAGTAACGCAGCATCACGGCACCGTCCAAGTTGGGCATACTGGCGACACAAGCTCATTTCGCGACGAGCCTACGACCCGCGAGCTTCCTCGCCACGAGCTGCAATCAACGAGCGAAGACATGTACTCAACAGACCTTGCATTCTCTCCCGGCACGATGGACATGATTGACTCAATGCTGGTTTCCTACGATTTCAATGCGCAACCATACGACATCGATGAGTTGTTCAAGTTCTCCCATGCCGATCGTAATGTCGATCGCTCAGACAAGGTGTTGATAACACGGATCTCGCAACCGTGGGTGACTGATCCACACCCTTTCGACGATAGAGCGGGGGATCATCCACCACAGGCACTCATGAAAGGCACTTTGCCACTTGGCTCGGGATCATCCTCGGTAGCGAAGGGCAAAATTGTTCCACAGGATGCAGTCGTGCTTCTGAAGCACTACTCCACGAAGGTCCTGCCTCTTTTAGCACCATTTCGACACAGCAAGACACCCTGGCATGTGCTTTTCGTCCCTCACGCGAAGAACTGCCTCGCAGCTCTCAGTCTGGGTGAGGACGTCGATTGGGCTACTCTTTGCAACTTCTATGGCATGCTGGCGATCAGTGCGTACAGCCTGTCTGGTGTGATGCAAATGCAGAGCTGGCTCGAGAAGGGCACTTTGTATGAGCAGCAAGCACGCGAGTACGCTGAATCTATGCTTGAAACTGCGTACGACGTACCAAAGACCGCCAAGTACAAGTCTATTCTGGTGGCTCTCCTTACTACGGTTCAGGTTTCAGTCATCTCCAGGAGTCCCGATCAGACAGACCTTTACTTTCTCGAAGCAGAGAAGTTCATACGACTGCGGGGCTTGAATCGGCGCAAGTCTCGCAAGGTTCGCTTGCTACACCATTGCTATGCGTTTGAGCGCATCTTCCACGAGAGCACCTTCGTAACCAGCCTTCGCTCCGACCATCGCCGTCACGTTCGCCAGGCCATTGAGTCTAGTGGGTTAGGAGGATATAGCCGAGACAGCTTGTCTTTCCAGGGAATTCATAGCTCTGTCGATCTGGAGAAAGAGATGCTTCGGTTGAAGTGTCAAGATGAAGGCGAGAACGACCTGCACATTGAGATGCCAGGTTTGTGGTCTGCCACGCTCCATCCGGAAATTTTTGGCATTCCTGAGCCATGGCTTATGCTGCTCTCCTTGATCATCAGACTGGCAAAGGAGAAGGAAGGCTCAAAGGAGCAGTGCACTCGCGAGAGTGAAGGGAAGCCGATGAGTTTGCAAGCCTTTCTAAACCACGCCAAGTCTATCGAGCGATGCATTCAGCTATTGCAGCGGCCGAGCGATAATTCCGATTTAGACATCCTCCTCGAAGCCATGCAGAGTGCCATCGCCATTTACTTCTACCGTCGAATCTACGATCTGGACGCCTTGCTCCTGCAGACACGGGTCTCTTGCGTGCGCGATTGTCTAGCAAGACTCGACGCCGCCTCGCAACCAGACCCAGCGTTTGGTGCGGCACGGTTGATCTGGCCCGCCTTCATTGCCGCACGCGAAGCGCAGGATGTTGACGTTCAAGCATCTTTCGCAAATTGGTTTCGCGCATCGGCTCAGCAAAGTGGCCTCCGGCTATTCACTGACACATTGGCGAGTGTTGAGCGGACATGGCAACGCAGTGGTCCGGCAGGTGACCCGATGACATGGCTGGGATCTAGCGAGAATCAGCCTCCTGTCGATCTCACGATGCGCATTGACGGTTCGAGCTTTGCGTAACGTGGTGATAAGGACTGCGCGTACTGAAAACGGCAATGCCTTTCACGGACGAGCCAGACCTCCAAACGAAATTACCTACTCCCCTTGTTTTGTGGTCAAGAACTTATCCCGTCCACTAGAACACCGGCCTCCATCCGGGCATTCCCATGGGCCATCGAAGCTGCAAGACTTCTGTGCTTTGCCAACGTTTGTTTCCCAAAGCTGAGTGTGGTCAGCAAGCTGGAACGTGGATTACTGTGCTGGAGGCCCTCAGAAGCAGCAACGACGCTCGTCACCAGCCGCCCTGCGACCTACGGCGGTCACGCAGACGGATCCACGAAGCGGCCACGGCGCCACTCTTGTAACGAAGTCGAAGCTGCGCCAGAGACCTAGTGCGGAGAGCCAAAAGCGAACGATCCAAAATTTCTACATGTACTGCTGCATGCTGGAAAGTGGCAGCATCGACCAGGAGTTTGAATCGGACGAACACATGTTCTGCCTTTGTCCTAACAGTGTGTATTTTTTGGAAACGGAAAGAGGTAGGCGTGTGAGGAGACGGGGGGATGGAAGGCACTCATACGGGAACAGAGCTGGGCACGGCGTGTAAGCGTTCGTTACATCGACTCGGATGGTGGCTCAGGTAAAAGGCTTTGGCTGGCTGTGCTACCTTGTCTTAGCCCGTACCGTTTTCCTTCAGTACCGTCGACCGCGTCCGCAGGATTGGCCGGACAGGGTCCGACATGCGATCTCGGCATTCACCTGGAGATCCTCTCGGCACTTTCAATCGCGGGGATAGACTCCGTCAACGTCATGTTACTCAAGCTTGAAGACTGTCCACATTCAATGGAATCATTCAAAGGTAATCGATAGGTCTGAGTAGGCTATACGCTGTTGCGAGGAGGATAAGTTGAGTTTTTCAATTTCAATTTCAGCTTCACTTTCATCACATTCTACGCTACTGCGACTCGCCCTCGATCATCAACAGAAACAATAGGACTACCTCCTCATCACTAAACTTAACAAGACAATGTCTCTCAAACCCATCAAGCTCTACTCCCACCCGGGCGGCCCCAACCCCTGGTACGCCCTCTTCCACCTCATCCGTTCCCGCTCCTGCTGACAGCATTGCAGGAAAGTCGCCATCATCCTCTCCGAGCTCTCCGTTCCCTACGAAACACAAATCATGGACTTTGCCGACCTCAAGAAACCGGCCTTCGAATCCCTCAACCCCAACGGCCGTGTCCCGGCCATTGAGGACCCAAACACGAACATGACGATGTGGGAGTCCGGGGCCATTATCGAGTACTTGCTCGAGACGTACGATAAGGAGAATAAGTTGAGCTTTACGCAGGGGAAGGAGAAGTGGGAGACGAAGTCATGGTTGCATTTCCAGACTAGTGGGCAGGGTGAGTACACATATATCTTCACTCTTGACGAGTGTTGAGAACTGAGTGCTAATGGTTGGGAAGGCCCTTATTTCGGACAGAGAGCATGGTTCGTCCTCTACCACGCCGACAAGATCGACTCTTGCCTCGAGCGCTACGGGAATGAAATCCGTCGTGTCATTGGCGTGATCGATGAGCATCTTAAGAAGACTGGACGGCAGTATTTGGTCGGCGATAAGTGCACGTATGCGGATTTAGCTTTTGTGCCGTGGCATTGGTTGTTGATCCAGCCGCCGAATATTATGGTAAGTGCTACCTCAGTGCGATCGAGCTCCTCCCGGCGCTTGGAGAACTCTGCACTTCCCTTACTTGTGAAACTTGCTGACAGATTTGTCTTTGTGTGATTCAGGGCGAGGGCTTTGCGAAGGAATGGGAGGAGAAGTATCCGGCGGCGTGGAAGTGGAGTCAGACGTTGATGCAGAGGGAGGCGGTGAATAAGTGTAGAGAGGAGAGGAATAAGGCGATGCAAGCGGGGAAGAAATGAGGGCCGAATGAGATGTGTATATGTGCTGATCTAAGGAGGACTATCCCAATATTGTCAACAGCCATGCCAGCGCGAACCTACAGAGTCACGTGCGCCAAGGTCGTTCGGCAAAGCTTCACATTCACTTCACTCCGTCTTTGCGCTTGTACCTGCGAGCCACTTTTTACTCAATCCGCCTATTACAAGCCCAGTGTTGGTGTGCGAATATGGTGTCCTACCCATCCGTCCGCAACTCTGGTCCATGATCAGGTGACGGCTGCTAACGTAAATTCCCAATGGACGATAATTCTCACACGGCGAAGAAGCGGAAGCGTAACTCAGAGAGAGCACGTGTGACGCGAGCGTGCGATCGTTGCAAGCGGAGAAAAGTCAAGTGTGATGGTGTGCAGCCATGCGAGTTCTGCTCGCGTGCCGAAGCTGAGTGTACCTTCAAGACGACCTACACCCGAGGCCGGGCGCCCTCAATCCAGCAAGCTCAATCTTCAGGCACGGCCGAAGCCCCGGGAGGCACGCCAGTGATCGCCGCCTCAGCGGACGAGAGCACTGCTGCGCCAGCAGGACTCAATGGCACAATATCCGGACAATATGCCAGGCAGTCTAATGAACAGTCTTCAGGCCTGGCAGTAACCTCGACTTCACCATCTTCTGTTGAGTCAACTCACAAATCGCCAGCGGAGTCGCAGACAGGCCTTCACGGTAAATACATTGGGCCGGCGTCAGGTGTGTCTTTTCTACAAAGAGTTCAGACTCGTTTGGGCCAGGCTGTCTCGTTCTCCCACCCGGACAGCATCTTTACGTTTGGCGATGCACCTCTCTCGAAGCCGGAAGAGGACCTATCCTTCTGCTTCATGCTCCCTCGTGTCGATGCTCAGCGTCTGATCGATCGATACTTCGACTTTGCCATGCCGACCTACCGCTTCCTCCACAGGCCGACCATTCAGACCTGGTTCACGGAGTTCTACGAAACTTATGGGACGATGCATGCCGTGTCAACGGCTTCTGCTAGGATTGCGCTGCTGTTAATGGTACTGGCGCATGGAAGGGTCTACATGCCGGATGATGACAAGCCCGGCCCACCAGATCTGAGGTAGGGCAACCACTTGGTACTCTGTACTTGTTGGTGTCTGACGTGGCAATAGCAATCGACTCTTCGCCGCAGCTGAGAAACAGCTGAGTAAAGAGAGCGGTCCGATACGATTGACTAGCATTCAAGCACGCCTCACTCAATGCTTCTACCTCCTCACCCAGTCTCGCATCAATCATTGCTGGAGTCTCTTTGGCACAGTCACCCACTTAGCTCTCGCGACTGGCCTCAATAGAAGCCGACGAGCCGACTCTCTGGCCGGAGTGAGTCGAGTGGAGGCCGAATGCCGTCGGCGCACATTCTGGTGCTGCTACACCCTTGACGTATATCTAAGCGTCGTTCTTGGACGACCCCAGCTTCTCCACGACGGCGACATCGATACTGAGATGCCGGGATGCATAGAGGATGAAAACTTGACAGACGGTCGTGGAGACGCATCCTCAACCTCGAGCGCCTCGTCCATCATGCTTGCCGTACTTGCGCAATTCAAGTAAGCCTCAGCGGAGCTCGATCTTGCGGTATAAGCTGACGAGTCAGTCTCGCACGGATCGTCAAGTCGATCCTGCGCGAACTCTACCCTCTCAGTCCCATATCGGCCGATCAGCAGACGGTGTTGACATGCCAATTTTCCCAAGAACTCGGCAACTGGCGGAACAGCTTAGCAGCATTCCTAGATACCGGCGGCGTTAATGCTTCCTGGCTGTTGCCAATCGTTCAGCGGCAGCGCAATGTCCTCAATCTCACATACTGGCACGCCGTTATCCTGATCCACCGGCCTTTTCTACTCAACAACCTTGCTAGCAAGTGGCAGACTAACGTAATTGTTGACAGACACTTCCAAGCTGATGAACAGCAAACTGTCGAAAGCGCGCAGCAATGTTTAGCTTCTGCCATGGCTACAGTCAACACCATTAATGACATGATGCAAAGTCGGCAGATTTCTGGTGTCTTTTGGGTATGTTCCACTGCCCATCTTGGGGAGCGACACTAATGGGCTGCAGACGACAGCCTACTTCGCTTTCACCGCAAGCATCGTGCTTTACATGTACGCAATCCAGAACCCATCCCCCGCTCAGAATGCCTGTCATGAATACACATCAGCCGCCGCGTTATGCCAATCACACATCGCCAGTATTGCGGAGAAGGGGTCGCTCGCCGAACGCTATTGCCTCTTGCTCGAGGAACTACGTCTGGAGTCGGTCCGTCAAGCCCAGAATGTTCGTACAACGACTGGGGAGACGAGCGAGACGAACGGCACCATACCAGGGTACCCGTACAATGGAAATGCGCTGCGGTTTAACGACCACCCCACAGCAGCAAACTACAACCCTCAAGCCTTCCCCGGTGACTCAGTGGCCGGTCCCAGTACGATGTTGTCGAACCAAGTGCCTGAGGCCACAGACTGGGGCCAGTTCGCTTCGTTGGTGTCGTCTGGGCTTGGAAATCTGGACATGTTCTTGAATGAGGATCCGTTCATGCTCTGACAACAGTCAGTAGTGGAGCGAGAAAGCGATCCAGGACTCCCTGGACATGGATTGGAAAGACGAGGGTAGCACTGCCGTTGGACTATCCAAATCACACGCCAGGTGATATTTAACGACAGGTGACTAAATGGTCTGCGGGAAATGATCGTGGAGTACGACCGGATCAACAGGCGGGGCAAGATGGTTTCTGTACCACTGTATACAGTACAATCACCTATGACCTCTTGTGCATGGTTGTGGCCCCAGCCTGATGATTGGGAAAGATCAAGCTGTCCGCAAGTACCATGTTCTCCCTTCTCGACGCCGCAAAGACTACTACTTCAGCTATGTCGTCAGCAGTAAGGGGCTCGCAACCTCTGAACACTGGTAAGTAGCTGCATCTGATCTCTGTTTTGGAAAGCTCACTTACGCGTATACAGCATCCGCCTTGCTTTGGTCACCGTAGAACCGCACAAGTGAGAACTCAGTCTCGACCTGACCCGGATCTACGCAAATTACCCGCACCCGCTTCGCAATGAGCTCTTTCCGCAGACTCTCCGTGAAGGCTCGCACGGCAGCTTTGGTGGCGCAGTATATGCTACCACCGGGGTAGGGCTCCCGGCCAGCAATGGACCCGATCTGATCAGAACGTCAGCCCTCGTCTGCCTTTGGACCTGCGCTCGAAGGATTCTTACATTGATAATGTCGCCAGCACCCTCGCCACCGTTCCGCTCAAGCATGCCTTGCAGCACTTCCTGTGTCATGTTGACCAGGCCATTGACGTTCGTGGCCATCATGACGCTCATGTCTTCTTCGGCGATTTCTGGGGCTCTGGCTACGCCTTTCACCAGACCAGCATTGTTCACCAAGACATCAATCTGCTGGAACTCGGCCGGTAACCTCTTCACGAAACCGCGGACCTGGTTCGACTTGCTGATATCAAGTTGGACCGGTAGGACTTTGACTCCATCGCCAAGTTCCTTTGCGATCTCTGCAGCGATCTGTTTGAGGTTGTCGACCCGACGAGCTGTGAGAACCAGCTTGAGGTCCGTCGGACACGCTCTTGCGAACTCAAGCGCCGTCGATTTCCCGATTCCAGAACTGGCCCCGGTTATCAGCACTGTTTTGCCGGAAAGTCTTTTGGAAGCCACGGAAGCCATTCTTGTATCGTCTTGGTGTTACGAGAAAGGACTCAACTGGACGGCATGGCAGGCTGGACGTTCTGGTTATTTGTCTCTGGATACAAACCATGCCAAGGGCGATGTCCGTCATCACTAAGGCTACCCGTATTCCCCACTGATCGGTCGACTCTTTTCACGGGACACTTTGCGAGACGTTCGGTGTGTTCTGGGGTTACTACCACGGCATTCAGTTCCGGAAAGTCTCGACTTCTTCGTCAAGAACCCGTCACTGCCGTCTCCGTCGGAAAAGCAACGGATATTTGGCTTGTCTCGTGATTAGCGGCTGGCAACCACCCACCACTTGGAGACCACGGATGAGGTCCTGTCTATCGCATGACCTTTTCCTACAGCTCCCACAATCTTCGACCGGCCTTGCACGGAACGATCTACTCGCGGACCACACGGAGCTCTACAGATCCAAACGAACCTGGACAACTGCTGTTCACATTGTACAAACGTCGATCAGCTGGACGTGAACCTCTCTCGACACTCTTGACTTTCCCGCTCAGACCTCAGACAAGGACTCGAACTATGGCGGTATTGGACGGGTTGCAAGAGCACCATGGGACCACGCATATCAATGGCTACGCATCTACGAACGGTTCGGCTGCCAAACCATCGACCAACGGCGCAGTGCACGACGCATCCATAGCTAGAACGGCCCCTATCAGACTCCCTCCCGGTGGCATATGGACTCCCGCAGTCACCTTCTTCAACCATAACACCGACACGCTAAGTCTTGACTCGCAAGCAAAGTACTACTCCTATCTATCGAAAAGTGGTCTCGCAGGCCTAGTGATATTGGGCACGAATGCGGAAACCTTTCTGCTTACAAGAGAGGAGCGAAAGACACTCGTAGCGACGGCGCGTGAAGCATGTGGGCCGTCCTTCCCCATCATGGCAGGAGTCGGAGGCCACAGCACCAAGCAAGTTCTTGAATACCTCGCCGACGCCGCGGATGCAGGAGCAGACTATGCCTTACTCCTCCCTGCAGCCTACTTCGGCAAGCAAACTACTCCCGAGGTCATTGACAGCTTCTACCACGATGTCGCGACGGCCAGCCCGTTGCCCATTGTCATCTACAACTTTCCTACCGTTACAAACGGTATCGACCTCGACTCCGCCACTCTCACTCGCCTCGCCAGGAGGCACGAAAACATTGTCGGTGTCAAGTTGACATGCGGTTCCGTGGCCAAGATCACCCGCCTTTCTGCTGAGCTCGGGGCAGACCGGTTCGCCAGCTACTGTGGACAGTCGGACTTCTTGCTCGGAGGCATGGTGTCGGGAGCCGCAGGCACCATCGCAGGCTTCGGAAACGTCTTTCCCAAGACTCTAGTGAGGATCTACGATCTGTGGCAGCAAGGCCATATCAAAGAGGCAATGGCGTTGCATAAGAAGGCGTCCTTGGCCGAGCAAGCCTGTAAGGCTGGGATCGCCACGTTCAAGTATGCTGCTGCTGTGACTACTGCTAAGGCCGCGGGGATCAAGGACGAGGTGGCGAAGGAGCAGTTGAAGCCTAGAAGACCGTATGTTGGGCCTGGAGAGAAGGAGCAGAGGAGGATTGAGCAGTTGCTTGAGCCCCTGTTGGAGATCGAGGCTGGCTTCTGACCTTGCAAGTAGACGCAAATGCATAGAGGCCTCTTCACGGGCGAAGTTGAGCCGAACTACAATCGATCTTCATACACAGACCGCCTAGAATGTCCCGCTATGTTAGCAAAGGTACGGACAGTACGAATTTCGTCGCGAACGTCTCCGTGTCTTCGCCCGCCAGCAGCTCTTCGGCGTACGGAAAAGTCTCGTGATGGAAACGGAAATGCAGTCGTCGCCGAGCTCGCCAAGTGAACCACCATCTTTCGCAAGAACATCGGCTCCCTCAGCGTCTCCATCTGTTCACAAGCTCGAATCGAGCTCCTTCTCCGGCCTCGGAACCGAAGCCGTGAAGATAGCAGAGACAGGACTGTCGGCGACCGAGAGGGGAAGACATGTGATATCGAAGACCGAAGTCCTGTCTGGAGAGGCCTTGTAAGTGAGGGTAAGTAACTATAAGTGTTCTTCTATCCCTCATCGCCGCATTGGAGCTTCCCACCCATCCCGTCTCGAAGCTCTCTTGTCATACAGCAACATTCATCATGCCTTCTTCCGCTCCCACGATCAAAGACATCATCGTCACTCCCGTCGCTTTCCATGATCCGCCGCTGCTCAATGCAGTGGGCGTGCACGAACCCTTTGCTCTCAGGAGCATCATCGAAGTGGTCACCGACCGCGAAGAGAATGGAAAAGCCATTTACGGCCTAGGGGAGTCATATGGGGACGCAACACATATCTCGCGCCTGCAGAGGGCAGCAGAACGGATCAAGAAATCTAGTATTTACGATACAAATGGCATATTCCGTGCTTGCGCGGAGGTCATGGGAGAAGATACGTCTACAGGCGGTGATGGGATGGCAGGCCTGGTCACTACGGCATCAGCGACAGACAAGGTGTTCGCGGCCTTCGAGGTTGCGTGTTTGGACATACAAGGCAAGTTAGCAGGAGTGCCAGTGTGCGATTTGCTTGGAGGCAAGGTCCGGGACATTGTACAGTACTCTGCATATCTGTTCTATAAGTGGGCCAGGCATCCAGGACGAGACGAGGAGGATGAATTTGGCGAGGCCCTGGATCCCGATAGCTTGGTCAAGCAGGCGAAGAAGATGATCGACGAGTACGATTTCAAAGCCATCAAGCTGAAGGGAGGTGTATTCTCGCCACAGCAGGAGGTCGATGCCATCAAAGCACTTCGCGAGGCCTACCCGAACCTGCCATTGCGGCTGGACCCAAATGCAGCTTGGAGCGTGGAGACTTCGAAATGGGTTGGAAAGGAGCTTGAGGGTATCATTGAGTATCTGGAGGATCCAGCTGATCAGATTGAAGGCATGGCAGCCGTGGGCAAAGCAGTCTCGATGCCGCTCGCTACGAACATGGCTGTAGTAGCGTTCAACCATTTGCCAGAGAGCATCGCGCAGGACGCCGTTCAGGTGGTGCTGTCCGATCACCATTTCTGGGGCGGACTTCGCAAGTCACAACACCTGGCGTCCATCTGCGCGGTCTGGAACATGCGGTTGTCCATGCACTCCAACAGCCATCTCGGCATCTCTCTCGCGGCCATGACGCATCTGGCTTCGGCTACCCCTAATCTCGACTACGCTTGCGATACCCACTGGCCATGGAAACGTCGAGATGAGGACGTTGTCATAGATGGAGCCCTGAAGTGGCAGAAAGGCGGAGTCGTCGTGCCAACTGCACCGGGTTTGGGTGTAGAGCTCGACAGGGATAGACTGGCAGCCCTCCACGAACAATACAAAGCTTGCGGCTTGACGAAGAGAGACGACACGACGTATATGCGCAAGTTTCAGCCGGGCTTTTCGGCAGCAGTACCTAGATTCTGAGCAAGAACAGAGTATTTGCAATATTCAAATGATCCATGAACCTCAGCGGCAACAGTCTACTTCCAGGACGAACGCTGTGATAGAAGAGCGCAATCGCATACGGCAACACTCGATCGAGTGGGACCAACGCAGAGCCGTTTCATGCATGGCCAACCCGCGACCAACGGAGGTAATCAATGTGTGCTTGTGCACCTGGTCAGAAGAAGCGGCAATTGAAGCGTAGCTTGAGATGTTCTGGAAGGCGAACATCATTGCAACCCCGCGTGCAGCCATCCGGCAGCAGACAAGAGACGTGCCGATTTTGCTCCCTTCCTGGCAATGTCGGGGTACTCTTCTCCACAAGCTGCGATGGTAGGGTTCGTGACTGGTATACATCCAAGTCCTTGACCGGGAATGCAGAGCTTTGCCCGTCCGAAACTTGACATATCCGTGCCGAGACCAGGATCCGCCGAGTCATTGGTACCAAGAACGCTTTCCCGACGGATATGGGTGCAAAGTTCGCCTCGTGTGGATCTTACTTCTTCCACCCCGCTCACCAAGAGTCATGGAGCATCCATACTCCGTGGAGCAGACCCGGGGTCCCCAAGATCTACCATGTGGCAGAGATGAACGTTCCGGCCTTCCATATGGCATAATAAGACCTGCCCGTCTGGAAGGCAGACAAAGCTCGACTTTCACCTCTCGTCTTCAAGACTTGATTGCTTCCTCTTTCGTCCATTCCGTTGGTAATTACATTCACTCTGCAAGTCACCGTCACATTCGGGAGCGCCATACACCATGGCGAGAGTCTCGGTTGAGAAGCCCGACATTGCTCTTGTCGAACGGGCCATGGCTGGCAATGACTTGGAGGTCCCAGCCAAACATCCTCAGGTCGTCACGATCGATGGTTTCAGCGTCTTGGGTCTCACACACGAAGATGCCGAGTTTTACCAGAACTACTCGGAGAAAGACAGGAAGAGGACCAGGCACAAGGTGAGTTCTAGCATGCTGAGCAGCCGGCGGAAGGCTGATCCTCATTGAAACAAGGTCGACATCCGCCTAGTGCCTCTGCTTGCGGCACTCTATCTCGTCGCTCACCTCGACCGAAGCAACATTGGCAATACCAAGATCCAGGGAATCGACACCGACCTAGGCATTAGCGGCGTGCAGTGGAACATCCTGCTCTCGCTCTTCTTCATTCCGTACATTCTCTTGGAGGTTCCCAGTAACGCTCTGCTGAAGCGCTTCAATCGACCATCACTCTATATGGGCACTCTGGTGACGTCGTGGGGGACCATTATGACGCTTCATGGTGTCGTGACCAACTATGGTGGGATCCTCGCCCTTCGATTGTTGCTTGGAGTTTTCGAGGCTGGATTCTTCCCCGGTGCAGTGTATCTCAGTGTGAGTATCGACCAATCTCCCGACTGCTGTGCTGGACACTGACTTTAGGCAGTCATTCTGGTACATGCCAAGAGACCTGGCTGCACGCATATCTTGGTTCTACTGCTTCAGCGCTCGTGAGTTCTCCAGTACCACAACTCGAAGGTCTTGAACATCCGCTAACGAGCAAACAGTCTCCGGAGCATTTTCTGGCATGCTCGCAGCGGCCATCGCTCAAATGGACGGTGTAGGAGGCTACGAGGGCTGGAGATGGATGTAAGTGTTCTCCTATCTGGCTTTACTCTACATGCACTTCAAGCTCATATTGCTCAAAGCTTCATTCTTGAAGGCATTGTTACCGTCGGCTGTGGCATCCTCACCTTCTTGCTTCTGGTTGACACCCCGGAGCTCGGGCATAAATGGCTGGAACAAGATGAGATTCGCTTCCTGCAGATCCAGCGCTTCATCAAGCAAGGTGGCCGTTTCCAGGACGAGAGCAACGAGAAGCACTTCATCTGGCGCGATCTCAAGGCTTGCTGCCTTAACTGGAAATTGTGGCTTTTGACCTGGGTGCAGTTCGCGCAGTCCGCGACTGCTTACGGTACGTCGGCTGATATCTTTTGGCGTTATCCTTAAGCTAATTGTATTGCGCAGGCACCAAGTTCACCCTTCCGACATTGACAGCAGCCATGGGCTTCGAGAACTGGGAAGCACAGCTGATGTCCGCGCCACCGTACGTCGCCGGCGCAATCGCCACCCTCGTCCTTTCCAAGCTATCGGATCGTGTCTACTGGCGAATGCCATTCGTCGTAGGCCCTTTCGCAGCAATCCTGCTTGGCTTTACGATCATGCTGGGGCTCCAAGGGTACGTAGCGTTGCTCCCCTAGCATCGTACTTTGACTGACATCATAACAGCGATTTCGAGAACCAACTCGGCGCCTCCTACTTCGCCGTCTGCATCGCATGCATGGGTATATACCCGGCAGCTCCCGCTTTAATAGCGTGGGTAGGCAACAACTCTGCTCCAGCCTCGCGGCGTGCTGTGGCGTTGGCTTTCAACATCTGTATCGGCAACATCGGAGGCATCATGGGCAGTTATATGTTCTTCGACTCCGACGCTCCAGCCTACAACACTGGCTTCGGGTTGAGCATGGCTTTCGCGATAACTGGGTTGACCTGCGCTGTTGTGGCGGAGCTGGCGTACAAGCGGGCGAACTCCAAGAAGGCTAGGGTTTCTGAGGAGGAGGTGAGGGCGCAGTATACAAACGACCAGCTGGTGGCTATGGGAGAGAAGAACCCGCTCTTCAGGTTTACTCTGTGAGAAGGCTTAAGCAGAAGGCTCAATGAAAGACACGAGAGAGATGATGCTGCGGTTCGGTGGTCATTGCGGATAAGGTAGCAAGTCGTTCCTTTGCCTTCGACTCATGCATCGCTCGAAGCTGCCTCAACTTCTCAAGGAACATGTCGCCTTCTCTCCAATACACTGCGCATCGTCACGATCAAGTGTAGTGTTTTGAGTGTGCTCCTTCAATCGACCAATGCCGTGAGGTTGCGGGGTGAGGTTGACCGGCAGAACTCCGGATAAGAAGCCCCACCAGGTCGAGTCATGAAGAGCTCAATTTTCGACAGCTTCAGGTTCACTTCGAACTTTCAGTCAAAGTCACAACCTTTCCTCACACACCACAACCACAGTCAAAGTCGTCGCGAAAGCCGCAGCCAGACACAACCATGGCGGACGTCACTGAACCAGCCACTGACACCAACGACATGCAGACCGAAGAGACCAACCAGAAGATTGAAGAGCCCACCATCAAGGCCGACGACCTCACTACTAAGAAGCGCAAGATCGACGCTGAAGAGAACGACGCCGAGGCCAAGGTATGACCGCTACTTCATTTACTCACTTCTAACGGCTAACCTCGCTGCCAGACGAAGAAGACTAAGGTGACGAAAGGCGTCGAGACTGCTGAAGAAGTGAAGAAGGACGACGGAGTCGATGCTCAAGATTCTGCTCAAGCCGACGCAGGCGCAGATGTCACCGTGACAGATGCAGCAGACGCGGACGACATGGACAAAGCTGCCAAACCTAAGACTACCTCCGAAGTGAACAATCAAGCCGGCGTCACCAATGCTGATTCAAGTGAGGAGAAGATGGACACCGCTTCCGACGTCAAGGAAGAAACCGCTGCTACTGAAGAGCACGAGAACAGTGCTGAGCGCACCAACGACGAGCGAATCAACGAGCAGAACGGCCACACCAACCAATCCTCCGACCAAAAGAAGAAGTGGGAGCTCACAAACAAAATCAAGAGCAAGTTCGAATTCGAAGAGTCGAGCGATGCCGACGAAATCCGCACCCAGGTCGAGTTCTACTTCTCCGACTCCAATCTGCCAACTGACGCCTATCTACTCAAGCTCACCGGCGGCCACAAGAACATCCCCGTCGACGTTGGCATCATCCACAGTTTCAAGCGTATGAAGCACTTCCAGCCGCGCTCTGCCGTTGTTGCCGCACTCACGGAATCTGACACACTCGACATTGGCGATGACGGAGGCATCACGCGCAAGGAGCCGCTTTCGCAGAAATTCACCGACGACGTTGTCGAGAATCAGGTCATCCAGCATGAACTGGCCATGCCCCGCTCCATCTACGCCAAAGGCTTCGGCCAGGAAGATGCGGGCACACACCAGGCTATCGAGAGGTGGTTCGCTCCGTTCGGCCCTGTGCGCAGTATCCGCCTCCGTCGCGAACCGAATGGCGAGTTCAAGAAGTCCGTCTTCGTCGAATTCGACACCGAAGAACTGGCGAATGCATTTCTTGCACAGCAGCAACCAATCAAGTTCCACGGTCAGAAGCTTATCGTCAAGAGCAAGCAGGCGTACATCGACACACGTTATCAAGGCAATGTTAACAAGATGGTTGATGAAACGATGTCGTACGCTGCAGGCACGGGTAAGAGGCAGGGTGGGCAATACCGCGGCAACAATCACAGGAGGGGCAGCAACGATCAGAGAGGCAATCGCCGTGGAGGTCGTGGCGGTGGGCGCGGTGGTCGAGGCGACAGGCGGGACGGCGGTCGTCGTAGGGACAGAGATGACCGCGATGATAAGCGCAACTCCGGCAGCCGCTACGATGGGGACAAGAACGACTGGAAGAAGCGTCGTGCGGCCGACCGTGGGGAGCGTGATGATGCGGATGAGAACGGGCATGCGGAGAAGAAGGTGAAGGTGGAAGGGGCTGAGGCCGATGGCGGGAAGGATGGTGTCAAGGAGGACGCCAAGGACAACGTCAAGGAGCAGGTTCAGGAGGCTGCGCAGGAAGTCTGAGCGGGCTTTCTACACATGTCCACGGCATTCTCTGGGCTGTGTTGGGAAGCGAAAGCGTTGAGCTTGAGCATACTTGCGGCGTTGAAGACGTCTTCTGGGAGGCACCATCAGGAGGGAACTCGAGTAGGTTCTTGCGGCGTTGAAAACGGTCCCGAGGGTGCCTAAGCGGCATGAGCGTGGGCGTTACTGATCGGAGAGAAGACGCTACTCGTGGTTGGGTTGATACCCTCTTCATAGCTGAATCCACTCCAAATTCTACGAACCAACCATACCGTCCAGCCACCTAGCAGACTGGGCGGCAGAAGAGACCGCTGGTCCAGGGCGCCATACCTTGCATTTTGCTTGTACCGACGCTCGACAGGGACAGCATGTGGTTCTCCAGGCATGAAGACGCCACAATCCTGGCAAAAAGGCCAAGCGTTCGCCGATTGACGCCCGTTCGGGCAAAGCGTGTTGCTCAGGCCACTAGGAAGGCGACCTGTCCTCGTCTCTATATTTGAGCTGTATATCCGCCATTCGCAGATTCGCTCTCTTCTCAGTATGGCATGTACCAGTCAGCATGGTTGGGGTTCCAGGACGCTCGAGAGGGTGTTCGACCTGCAAGCAGCGGCGTGTGAAGGTGGGTTTCGAGAAGTCGGTCGACAGACGACACCGTAGCTGACCCATGCATACAGTGCGATCAAGAGAAGCCTTGCGGGCAATGCACAAAGGCCAAACGAGAGTGTCTGTATCCACAGAACCATATATTCGTGCACCATGAAGGCAACCACAAGACTGTTTACCGAAAGTCGGACAAGGATCGGACAGTGAAGAAGTCGGGCCTGCCAGCGCCAACACCTACAAGCGATACCCCCTGCCTCCCGCCAAAGTCGTTTACCTCGCTTGCAATTCTCCAACCCATTGGCACGCTCTCTGTTCTGAAGCAGCAGTTCCTTAGCGAAGCCTGCTCCAAGGAGCTACTTCAGTCCCGAGAGCTGAATGCCCCCAAGCCATGGACGTACAGCCTTTCCACTTTCGCCGGCTCTGTCTACGCCTTGAACTCTGCCCCGCTCTCTTGCTATACAGCGTGGATCGGGCGACGCAACCGCGAGCCTTGGCTTGTGGAAGCAAGCCGCCGTCTCTACATCCAAGGTCTCAAGGAGGTCCAAGCAGCCATCAACGATCCGACAACCGCGCTTCGAGACGAGACGTTGGCGGCATGTCTAACCTTGATCATATACGAGGCGCTCGAGTGTCCGGATCGATCTCGTAGTGGCTATGCCGCCCATGTGGCCGGATGCGCGAGGATCGTGAAGATGCGTGGGCCGAGCATGCATCAGCACGGAGCTGCTCATCAACTGTTCGGAGCGTTCAGGTATATTGCTGTGAGTCGACCTGACAACATCCGCAAGCTGTCTGGATGATGAGCGAACTGACCATGCATAATTAGTTGTTTCATGATGTCGAATTGCATAAGCCCTCATTCCTCTCCTCGCCAGCGTGGACAACTCTGCCATGGCAGGATCGAGACAAGACGATGAACGACCGCCTGTTCGACCTCCTCTCACTAGCGCCGGAAGTCCTCCAGAAGAGCGATCGACTCCCTTCGATCGCGCCGGGTGCCTTCATGCCTGCTCTGCTCGACTTGGCGCACGATGTGGCCATGACCGACAGCAAGTTGCAAGCCTTCTACGCCGAGCTCGTCGAGTCCAGCCCAGACCCTCTATACTGGGAAGAGCCCTCCCGTGGGGTGACGCTCGAGGGCAACCTCCAATCAAATCCACTCCAGGTCGATTGCGAAACAACAGCCTTCCGCTTCCGCGACTACGACACCGCGACAACGTTATGCACGTATTGGGCCTTACTCGCCATGTCCTGGTCCGGGATGACGGACATTCAAAATACTTTGCTCGACATGACGCGCAACAATCTCATCTGTGCGCAGCTGGTTCCGGCTGTTAAGCACCTTACACTGGAAGCGCGGGACTGGTTGGATCCTGTGAGAAAAGTGCTCAAGGGCGTTCGCTTCTGCAGTACGGAAGGCACGGGCGAAGTCGGCCCGACGAAATTGGCCATTCCATTGGACATCGTGACGGACGTTATGAAGGGCCGCTCGGGGTGTGCGAAGGAGCGTGCGGAGGCAGTGAGGATTGGAGAGGAGATCAGTTCGAGGTTCCTCCGTATAATGCAGTTCAAGGATCCGCCTCTTCGGGAGAGTGCTTGAACGGCAGCGGAGAGGGTGGGCGTCCTGAGCACGCATAACGGCATAGCGCGACACCTGAGACAATGTTACACTATCTCTCCGAGTGCTTCGAGATCGAAGTCGGCTATGTTATCAGTCAGCATAATTCTATCATAAGGCACTGGATACTTACGGAACGGGAACGAGTCTAGCTGCAAGAAGATGTCACTCTCGAAGCAGTCATCGCCGCTCAGTGAAACCAAACTGGTAGTGTCTGTCTGGTGGTTGAAAACGGAGTCCTCGAGCGTAGAGACCGCGGCAGCGTCTGGATAGCCTTCTTTGGGCGCGTGTGTCGAATCACTAGCTTGTCGAGCATCAGTATGCTTTCCTATCAGCCGACCAGCTTCCTGCTGTAGTTCTTCGAGAAGGATGCTGTAGCGGAGGTTTGGGGCGTTTGCTTGTGACGCGTCGGCCAGATGCTTTTGCATGGTTTCTGCTTTATCGTAGAGCTCATTGTCTGTGTGAGATGTCAGCGTTGGGTCATGAGCTCCTGTAAAGCATAAGAATGTGCGAACCGGTAAGTGGCGTTTCTAGGCTCGGTAGGCGACCGCGCCATCGTTGGATGAGCCAGACGTAGATGATAGAAAGGGCGTTGAATGTGACGAATTGCTATTGATGCATCAGCGAGTAATCATCCGACTATATTGTCGATCTGACTAACGGTGAACCAGAAGGCTGGTAGAGTAGGCCTATTCGCGACGAAGCCGGGGGCGGTGTTCAAGATGGTGCTCGCAGCTGACAAGCAGACTCGGACGCTCGACCTATTCTCGACTGAAGCATCGACGAGGAGCAACGGTCTATTGACCATGATCAACGCGAGAGAATCGGCCATCTCCAAGACAGCAATCTGGCGCTGGAAGACCTGGATGAGGCTGGACGGGTGAACGACACCACTGAGGATGACCGGCAGGGATGCCTTCCATTCTTTCAACTCGCCGTTGAGCCGCGCCGCGACCTTGGCTTTGTGGGCATCGGGATGCTTTGTGACGCTATACTGCTCTCGAAGCGCTTTCTTCACGATGCAGGTGATTTTGGCATGATATATCGACCCCTGGATTACAGGGTCTCGGTGCAGGCTGTTGGCTTCTACTCCTCCAGCCGTGATCAAGTCATCATCCGCGGCCGCGGGGAATTGTTGATCAACGTCATCGATATTGATGAGAGGCGGACGTCCAAGTAAGCAGCTGAGATAGGCGTCCAGAGTGGATGCTGCCCAGAACGTTCGCTTGCGGCACTCAGTAATGATGGTGTCCAGCTGATGGCCAGAAGAAGCTCGTGCCCGATGCATACCCAGAGCCTGGATGAGCTGGGCGGTAGTTCCGAACGTGTACCACGCCTGGTTGGGTCGAGAGGTATGCAACAGATATATGCAGATAGCGAGACGTGCCTGCACGGATTCGAGGCGGACCTTACCGGTCTCTTGTGCGAGTTTCATCTCTGCCGCCCGGAGATACGGCTCGCTTACTCCAGCCTTGTCGTCCGCTTGAAAAAAGATCGCAGTAGCAAGGACCATCAGTACGATAGCTTGTTGAGCTGACGACAGCGAATAATCCGCGTTCGTACCATCCGTGGTGGAGTGATAGCTTGCCAGCCATTCCACCACCGTAGGTTGATGCAGGAAGCGGTAGGTCGGCATGGCGAAGTCAAAGTAAACAGACAAAAGCTCTGCAGTTATATGCCTCTCCGGCAAGGCAAGAGATGCCATGTCGCTATCATTACGTGGCTGCTGCTTGTCGCCGTAAGAAAAGATTGGCACCGCCTGATTTGTGTCCCTGTGATCCTGCTGGGAAGAAGTCATCCCGAACCGACGCCATGCTCTCCGGAGGAAGGAAGAGGTACTGATCGGTCCAGAATATTGGCCTGTAAGAGCCGCTGAATCGCCTTCAGGGGATGCTGCGCGTGATGGCCTGGCGTTAGTGTCGCCATTATCCGGAGCGATGGTATCATCGTTGAACGACTCTGTTGATCTCGTCAATGGCTCGGGCACAGTTCGGCCTCGCCGGTATGTTGTATTGTAAGTGCAGTCGCCGTTTACTTTCCTGCAAGGAAGACAAGGAAGATCTCCCGTGCATCGTCTCTTCTTCGCCTTACAAACGTCGCACGCTCGAGTAGCTTTCTGGCGCTCGTTTCGATTTCTGCGCGAGCGCTGCACTGGTTTAGGGGTAGGAGGAGACATTTGGTCCATCTGAGCATGAAGTGGATGAAGCGGAAGTGGAAAGTGTGTTTCCGTAGCGGAAAAGATGATTGAAGCTAAGGTAAGTGACGAGGCCTGATTGCGGGGATGTGTTCCCAAGACTTCAATTCCGTGTTTGCGCAACCGTGTCCAAATCCACCTCACCTTAACCAGGAGCCTTCCTTTTCAACTTCGGTGGCGCTTTCTTGACATTCGCATCGTTCGTATCTGCCAGACTTGGTGCACTTGATCCGTTGATGCCGTCGAGCTGCAAAACCATGCCGTTTACATGGCTCATTTTGCGGGGCGCACTGGTTGTGCTACTGGCTTGATCTGATGTGCTCTCATGCCCGTTCGTCAGACGATCCGACGGGGCGGCGGTCGAGCTTGTTGTTGAAGGCTCTGTCCCGATCATGTAAAGTCGAGAGCTTGGATGAGGTCGAATGGTAACCCGTTTCAGACCGTTCGGCCTGTGACTAGCCTCACTCAAATCAGATTTGACCTTGGTCTTTGGTGACTGAGCTGAAGCGCTGACAGCGTCAGCTTTGCCCTCGGTCGAGGGCTTAGCAGCCTTTGCAGATGACTGCTGAGTAGCGCTGCCCTTTGGAGTTGGAGGCCGCTTTGTGGACGGGGTCCTGGGCGTTGCCGGAGGCTGGTTGGGCACGTTCAATTTCCGTGGCGTCGGCCGTGCAGAAAGCTCCGCCATAGGTGTTTGCTGTGCTTTCTTCATGGCGGAGGACTTCGGCGTCCGATGTGCTCCTTCACACTATAAGCATGTGTTACCCCAATACTTGTCAAAGCTCATAGAGGTTCGAGCATACCTTGATTAGCATACACATTCCCACGGCTCTTGAGATGGCACCGGCTGCCGTCTCGATGGTCGTGCCACTGCATGCACTCGTCCTCTTTCGTAGGATCGTCAAACAACATGCCGCCAGACATATGTCGGATTTCGTTGACCATGTCCACGGCAAAGTCTGGGTTGCCGTCAAAACACGCACGATATGTTTCTGCATCCTTGTCCACTCCAGGATCCATGATCTGCCGTGCGGCGATCTTTGTCATCAGCTTGCGAAAAGGGCTGCCGCGAGGACTTGCGCGGTAGATGTCGTTGATCTCTTCTGCATCAGGCACGAGCTGCGCGGCATGGAGATTCTGCCGGTAGGAGTCCATGGCTAGGTTCTTGACCTGGATCATGTCGAACTTGTCGCATAGCTTATAAAGCTTGTGGCAAGCTACCGCGTAGTCGTATTTGTCTTCGTCGGTCATATGCGATGCATCATCCAGGTGACCCTGATATAGCCATTTCACCAGCAACTCGAAGCCGTGCGGATCGTCATCTGGCAATTCCAAACTGTTGTGGCTCGGTTGATGCTCCTTCTTGGGGACTTCATGGCCCTGGAACTCGGTCTCGAAGTAGGAAGAGTGGTGACAGAGGAGGTTCTCATGTAGACTCCAATGCTTCCTTTCCTTTCCTACGTAGATGTCCACGGTTGGACCCGAGAGCAGCCTTTTGCGCGATTCCTTAGCACAATTCCACGCTGTCAAGTTCTCGGAATGCTTAAGAGCCCAGACGCGCGAGTGCGAAGGCGTGCCGAGGAAATGCGACATGGTGGTCTTAGACAAGGAAAGCGAACATACTCGGCGAAGGTGCGTGCGCTGGCGCTGTTGATACTGCCTCTCGCCGCGCGCATTGGCTCAGGCAGTATCACAATTGCGCTGTCGGGGTAGGCGAAGTCGCGCAGGAAGACGGGTGGTGAGGTCGAGGGTCGCTGGCGCGTAGGCGTGGGAGTCGGCGGGAAGGGGAGCGCTTCCATCAGGGAGGTCTATATACAGAGGCGACAATGCGATTGATGCAAGGGCTGGCAAGACAGGGCATCATGCGGAGGAAGAATGTGATTGAGGCATGCGACCGCCAGCCGTCTCTCTGCCAGATCGCAGGGAGCCTTCCAAGGTTTCGTCTGGTCTCGCCGGAGCAGGTTTCGCCGAGGTCCGAAAGTCTAAACGCGTGAGCGCGTCGTACAATGGACTTCACGTTCTCGACACGAGCATGAGCAGTCCACTGGAACCAACGAGTGACGAACTTGCGGAACTGTATTCCACGCAGGAAAACACTGTAAATACTGCAACAGACATTCCTACCTTCAGCGACGACCTAGCAGCAATACACGACTTACAGGCTGAACGCAAACGCGTGCAGACTGAGAAAGGCGTTGTCATCCAGAACCGCATCTGGAGCACGCAGGAGATATTTCGCAGCGATCCCCCAGAGTTGACCAGCTCGCAAGATATGGCGGCAATGCCATTCATCACCTCCTCTCCTCCGCCCACACCGAGTCCACAGAAGAAGCGGAAGTTCGCAGACCTTGACCTGGGACACAATCAGCTTGCCAGACCCGCCAAGGCGAAGCGAACGTACTATGGCATCAACATCCACCAGCTGCTGGAGGACGCGCAGGCCGAAGAGAGCATCCCGAAGGAGGCACTCGAGCTCCCAACGCCACCAGCTGAGCAGGCATCCCACAAGGCGTCTTTACTCTGGACGGAGAAGTATCGCGCCAAGAAGTTCACCGACCTGATTGGAGATGAACGGACGCATCGATCTGTGATGCACTGGCTAAAGCGGTGGGATCAGACGGTCTTCCCTGGCTCCTACAGACCGAAAGCAAAGGCCAAAGGCTTCAATGAGCCTGTAGAGGAGAAGCCTCACCGAAAGATTCTAATGCTTACGGGGCCACCTGGATTGGGCAAGACTACGCTTGCGCATGTTTGTGCGAAGCAAGCTGGCTACGAAGTGCAGGAAATTAATGCAAGCGATGAGCGAAGTGGTAACGTCGTGAAAGGCCGCATCAGAGATATGCTGGGCACCGAGAACGTCAGAGGCGTCGAGAAGAAGACCGACGCTGGCAAAGTTCGAAAATCTGGCAAGCCAGTATGTGTAGTCGTGGACGAAGTGGACGGCGTTGTCAGCGGGAGTGGTGGAAGCGGAGAAGGCGGGTTCGTCAAAGCTCTCATCGACTTGGTTAATCTGGATCAAAAGAACTCCTCCGCCCTCGGAACACTGCAGCAGGCGCCGGTACGGAAGAAGAAGGGCGATCGATTTCGGCTTCTACGACCAATGATCCTTATCTGCAACGACGTGTATCATCCCTCGCTTCGGCCACTTCGGCAAGGCTCCTATGCGGAAATAATTCATGTCCGCAAGCCTCCAGTGCAGACTCTGGTGTCGCGGCTACAATCGGTCTTCGAGAAGGAAGGTGTGCCATGCGAGAGCGATGGGGTCCGACGCCTATGCGAGGCCACTTGGGGCGTCAGTAACCGCAAGGAAGATCGCAACGGCGCTGGCGCTGGCGAGGGAGACATGCGAGGTATCATGGTCGTAGGTGAGTGGGTCGCCGGCAAGCTGCGCTCGATTAACAACGCCACTGGCAATGCTCGGTTGACTCGGCGCTGGGTTGAAGAGAATGTCTTGAGCGACCTTGGACACGGTGGAGGTGCTACTAGAGGGTTAGGTCGTGGCGGGCCGAAGGACATCGTCGAGCGGGTGTTCCAGGAGGGCGCAGGCTTTCCCAAGTCGTCCGTCCTCGTCACGCCTCAGCATCAGACAGCACACGGCTCAGTCAAAGGCGTGGCGGAAGGCGCAAAGCGCACTGCTGGCGAGCGACTGCGCGAACTGGTCGACACTCTAGGCGACACCGATCGCATCATGACGGACTGCTTCTCTTCCTACCCTGAGCATCCATTCCAAGACGACACCTACCTCTCCAAGCCAGACTCGGCCTACGAATGGCTGAACTTCCACGACCGCCTCTCCTCCGCCGTCTACCGAAGCAACGAATGGGAACTGGCACCCTACCTCAGCACGCCAGTCCTAGCATTCCACCATCTCTTCGCCTCGCCCACCCGAGCACAATACGCCAACGTCCCTCTCGACGACGCCGACACAACCGAAACCACTCCTTCCCACCCCTTCCACGGCACCCAAGCCTCCTGGGCCGCGCACGAAGCCGAAAAGCACAACACCGCGCTCCTCCAATCCCTGCAATCCTCCCTCGACTCAGACCTCAGCCGCCACTTCAGCCGCCACTACGACATCGCCACCGACCTCCTCCCCTACCTCCTGCGCATGCTCTCCCCGAACGTCAACCCCGTCGTCGTAGGCGGCAGCAACAGCTCCGGTGGCACCAGCACCGCCTCCGTCCGCAAGGCCAGCGAGCAGCAGTTGATCCAACGCGCCGTGCACGCCATGGGCGCCAGCGGGGTGCGCTTCGATCGGACGAAAGTCTCTAGTGCGGAAGACGGTGTGGTCGGGCCAGCGGGCTACGGCACGCAGTGGATTTACCGGATGGAGCCGTCGCTCGACGAGCTAGGGACGTTCCAGACGGGCGGGAAGGGATTCGGGGAGAGTGGGGGGAAGATGCGGTATGCGGTGCGGCAGGTGCTGGATCAGGAGTGGACGAAGGAGGAAAAGCGGCGGGCGGAGGTTGCGAGGTTGAAGCGGTTTACTGGTGGTGTGTTGCCGGGGGTTGGGGAGGTGGAGATGGGGGGTGCTGAGAGTTTGGGGAAGGATGGAGAGAAAGTGGTGGATAAGGTCGTGATCAAGCGGGACTTCTTTGGCAGGCCGATCACTTTCTCGAGACCAACATCCAGCCGTGAGGAAGGTAACAAGAGTGCGGAGCGACAAGAGCCGCAGAAGCCTGAGGAGGAAAAGGTGTGGGTGACGTACCACGAAGGCTTCAGCAACGCGGTCAGGAAGCCGCTGACACTGGCAGAATTGATGAAAGACTTGTAGATTCTGTAGCAAAAGTGAAGCAGCGTATTCTTCGTGTTCGGCATGAGTGGTGAACCCGACCATCAGACTTTTATCATGTAAACATCCCGGACACCTTCCCGCCCATGCTAGAAAGATACAGGACCGACCAGCTCACGGCACATCGAACAACCCCTTCAAGTGCTTCGCAATCAGCGCCCACTCGTCCTTATCCACCTCATCCCGATAGAATTCCTTCAGCGTGTCGATACTCGCTCGCGAGATGTGCGAGTACAGCATATCCTTCTCCTCGAGCTGACGGCCATACATGGGCTGATTCGCGCCTTCTATCTTAACAGCCACCGAAGGCTGGCCCTTTTTGCAGATGGGGAGTTGTTTGTGGTCGCGCTCGATGCCCGTCCTAAAAATCAAAAAGTCAGCAAACCATACCACAAGTGGAAGCACGGATAGGAAGACGTACACTCTCCCCAAGCTCACAACATCCTTCACCCCCGTCACACTATTAAACTTCACCGCCGCAATCGGCGTATTCAGCCTCAAATTCCCGTCCACGACATCCACGCCCACGACAATCGGATCCTTCTTATTAAACACCGCCACGGGCTTCAGCACACACGGGAAGACGGCCAACATCTTACTCTCCTCCTTCTTCGCCTCGTTGAGCGCCTTCATGTGCTTGGTGAAGTCGTCGAATAAGTGATAAATAATGTCCGCGGTGAAGATCTTCACCCCAATCTGCTCCGCCATCTCCGCCGCGTCCTTGTCGACTTTGACGTCGAAGCAGAGCATGACGGCGTACTCTTTCGCCTTCTCCAGCATCGTGGAGGCGGTGATGATGTCGCGCTTGTGCACGGGGCCGATCGAGATGTTGGACACGGGGATCTTGCTCTGTCGTAAGAACTCGAGCAGAGCTTCGAGAGAGCCGAGGGTGGATGCCTGGACGGTGACACCACGCTTCGAGGGCGAGATCTTAGACATCAGATTTTCGAGGTCGCTCATCACGTCCTCTTCCAGCTCTTCGATCTCATCTTCATCATCCTTGTTCTTGACGACCAGGAGGCGGGAGCCGGCAATGGCGTTGTCGAGGTTGTTGGCGGCAATCTTGACACCGAGGGCGGCTTTGACGGTCTTGTTGTGGACGTAATGGGACTTGACGCGCAGTTCCTTCATCTCGGCGGGTGTGAGCAGGGCGCGGACATCGGTAGTGATGGGGCCTTCGGTACCACAGAGCACGATCTTGTCGCCTTCGTGGAGGACACCGTTCGAGAGAACGACGTCGATGGTGGTACCGAGACCTTCGATGACCTTGACTTCCAGCACCGTACACTCGACCTCGGACAAGTACATCAGCTGGCGCGTCATCCTCTCTTGAGTGAGCGTGACAAGCAGCTTCAGCATATCCGGGATACCCTCTCCGGTATGAGCAGACGTCGGTACGAGCGAGACGTACTTTGCCATACTCTTGTTCTCGTAGAACAGCTCGGCGTTGAAGCTCTGCTCGCTGAACGCCAGTTTCGTCTTCTCCAAACGATCGCGGAACTCGTTCTGCACGCCCTTGTTCTGCAGGCTCAAGCTTTCCCGGAAGCCGTTGTTAGCGACCGGCTTCCAGCCGTAAAGACGATCGATCTTGTTCAATGCAACGATGAAAGGAGTCTTCCTGTCCCTCAACAAACGCATCGACTCCAGCGTCTGCGGCTCAAGACCGTGCATGATGTCAACGACTAGAATCGCGATATTGCAGAGCGAGCTACCACGAGAGCGCAGGTTGGTGAAGGACTCGTGGCCAGGTGTGTCGATGACGAGAAGACCAGGCACCTTGAACTCGAACGAGCTGTCCTTGTTGACGACCGCAGTCTTCTTCTCTAGCGCCTCGACGGGGAAGTACGTGGCACCGATTTGTTGCGTGATACCGCCCGCTTCGCCTTCTTGAACGTTCGTTGCACGGATCTTGTCGAGCAGCTTCGTCTTGCCAGTATCTACGTGGCCGAGAATACAGCAGATGGGCGAGCGCAGGTCGTCCTTGGAAGCAGCATTGCGCGCTGCCTCCAGCTCGGCCTTTCGCTTGTCTGCTGCTTGCTGTCGCTTCAACGCTGCTTGCCTTGCAGCAACAGTCTGTCGCTCGTCTTCTGATGAATCATCTTCAGAGTCGGACTCGCTATCCTCGTCAGCACCGTTGGGCTTCTTGACCTCAGCCTTAGCTCCAGCAGCACCGTCCTGCACAGGTTTGCCGTTAACCTCTCTCTTCACGACGCCATCCTCCTGGTCAGACGGTGCGTCCCAACTGTCCTTGACACCGCTCTCTTCCTTCTCCGCGAGTGCCTCCCAGTCTTCCTCCTCACTCTCTTCATCCTCACCCTTCTTCGCCTCAGCATCCACCTTCGCTTTCTCTGCCTCCTCAGCCGCCCGCTTCTCCTGCTCCTCTTTCAACTTCAACTCCTCCATCTTCTTCCTCGCATCTTCCTCCTCCTTAGCCTGCTGCGCCTTCCGCTCTTCAGCCTCCTTCTTGAGATTCCTCTTCTTCCGATCATCTTTGGGCTTCTTGGCGCCAGTATCGCTATCCCCCTCCTTCATAGCCGCAACCTGCGCGCCCGAGTCAAGCATCTGCTGTAGCCGAAGCTTCTGCTGCGCCTCATCCTTCCGCTGCTTCTCGGTCTTGTACGTGCCCTCGCGCTTCTGCTGCTCGATACGAGCCTTCTCCTTTGCCTTCTTCGCAGCTCGTGCCTCCTCCTTCTGCATCTCTTCCTCCTCTATCCGCTTCCGCTCTTCCTCATCGCGCTGCTTCGCCTCCTCAGCAGCCCTCTTCTCTGCCTCCTCCCGCGCACGGAGCTCTTCCTGCTGTTTCTGAAGCGCCGCAAGTCCGGCAGGAAGTTTCTTCTTCTTGCTACCCGCAGGCTCCGCGGCAGCTTCCGGTACCGCCGCTTCAACAGGCTTCGACTCCTCCTTCGCCGCCGGCGCGGTCGTCTTCTTTTTGGTGGCCGCCTGCTCCTTCTTCCGCTGCTTCTCACGCTCTTTCCTCTCCTTCTCCTTCTCGGCCTTCGTCTTCACCTTGCCACCAGTCTCGCCATCCTCATCCGCGGGTTCAGGCTCAGCAGCTTTCGCAGGCTGCTGTTTCCCACCCTTGCCCTTCTTCCCTTTCGCCGGCTGCGCGAATGTATCACCCTCATCATCCATCGTAGCCTCTTCAGGCGCCTTAGCAGCCAGGTCAGCCGCTGGGTCAGGCGTAACAGCGCCATCCTGCGCCGGGTCCTCGCCGTCTAGGAAGTCGTTGTCGGTCTGCTTGCCCTTCTTCTTCCGCCTCTCCTTGTTCTTCTTCAGCGCGGCCATCAAGCCGCCGCCGCCTTCGGCATCCTCGTCGTCGGCGGCATCGGCAGCCTTGGCTTCCTGCTCGGCCTGTGCGATGGGGTCGGCGGTCTCGCCTAGTCCCTCGTCCCAGTCATCGCCGGCTTTCTTGCCCTTCTTGCCTTTGGGTGCCATTTTGGTAGGGGTTGGTTGTGATTACTTAGGCTGTCTGTTGGGGTCTCGTGCGGAGCGGGTAGTTGGCGTAGTCGAAAAGGAAAAAGAAAGGTGGTTCAGCTATTGGTGTAGTGCGCTCTTCTGTCAGGTGGCGGATCGGGGTTAAGGTCGTAAGAACGTGCTCTCATACTACCACGTGGAGGCAGTCTGGCGGTGATGTGCACACGAGACCGTCGTGTGGTGAGTTGAGAGTCGAATATGAAAGCAGCGCGACCGCTGTCCTGCTGTGGTGTTTGTGTTTCTGGGATGAAGTGTTTGTGTGTGTTAAAATTGGCGGGTCGCTGGTGGGGCTTTGTGCCGATGACGAGGCGCTCGGCTGGACGAAGAACAACATGAACCCAAGAGCAACAACTACATCTACCAGAAGGGAGAAAGGTCGTGTACGATGGATAGAAAAGTCAACAAACAAGACGATGACATGATGCGTGGATGAGCATTTTCGCCATGTATTGTATCCCTATGAAAATGCCGCCACCCTGCGCCTGAGCGCTATGCCTTATTATGCTCCGCTTGATCTAGTTATCCTCGCCGCCCAGCAGCAGGAGATACTCTCGTTCAACTATCGCTCATGCCGTCGTGTCTTTTGATGACTTCAGCCTCTACGACTCCATCAACTCGACAGGCGGACGAGCCGTATGCTGAAACTTCTTCTCCACCCCCTCCATCGGACTGATCGCCTCAGGACTCGCGCTCGTATCTTCCACCGCAATGGCCGGCAGGTCGGGGCTGTGGCCGTGGTCCTGCGGGTCATACACCACCGTCCCTGTCCCCGACCTCTGTCTCCCCGTGATAGACTTTGATGAGCCTGTTCCAGGGTTCAGATTGTCTGTTAGCGCCTGATCAGGTGCCGGCCTCGCGTTCAGCTTGCTCAACGCCTGTGCCAGATCCTCCGCGTGCACCTCTGTGTTTGGTGGCTCCTCGTCCCGCATCTCCCAGCCCATTGGCGGACTCGGCGGCGGCGAGATGAAGAAGAGCTTCGCGCTCTTGGGTGCTTGCAGGTGCTGGTCCCCTTCCACTATCTTCGTCTCGGCGCCAAAGTAGACGCGCACACGGTCTCCGAGCACGTACTCTCCGTCCAGCACTTGCCGAATCTTAATCGCGTCGTCGGTGTTGTGGAAGGTGCAGATGATCCTCCGCATGGACTTGAGCGGGGCGAATGTGTGGATTGGAGCATGGTCGTTGATGGCCTGGGAGATGCTCTCGAGGTTGGCGGTGGCGAAGATCTCTGGGGCTTGAAGGTTGGTGATGAGGAGCGTGTTGCTGGGCTGAGCAGGTTGACTGAGAGGTGGGAGGTCGGAGAGGTCGAGGGAGAGGTTAGGAGAGTGTCGTCGACGAGGGGAGGGCGAGGCGCCGGTGGAGGATGGCGGGGTCGACATGTCCATTGTTGCTGTTGCCATTGGTGGATGGTGTGTGGATTGTTGCTGGTGTGGTATGTGAAACTGGTTGTTCCTGTAGTAGGTGAACAGCAGGAACAGAAGAAGAGAAGGGCAGTCTTTGTATTGCCGCTGACGATGGTGAAGCTTGGAGGGGGGCAACGAGGCAGTGTTCGGCGGCAAAGTGCGGACACCTCCGTCCCAGCAAGCAGCAAGCAATCATCTAGAACTTCTCGCCCTTTCTCTCATGCTTTCCACCGACTCTGCACAGCCTCTCTCATACGTTTCCTTGTCTCAGTCCTTGGTCGTGCAGGACAGTGACACCTGTGCCCGCGGATGCTCGCGCTTCCTCGGCCGATCAGTGGAAATGCCCTGGAAACACCAGCCAAGGCACTTCATAATTCCTCATACCTTGGAGATGACCCGCGACTGCGCCTTGGGAGGAAGCATACTACACCAAGCCACCATCGTTCGTACATGTGCGGGGATCGGGCGATGCTGGTAGAATGCGAGCCCTGCTGGGAAAGGCATAAGCGATGTCGTTTGACAGTTTGCCCCTGGTCACAAGGAGAGCATGACAGCCTCCTCCTGCGAGGCGGGCTCGTGGTGCTGTGCTCCGCGAGGACAGCATCCAGTGGGAGCCGACTGCTTCGTACGGTCCGCATGGGCCAGTTCGACTGGGGCCATGTCAGTAGATACTAGAGGGGCGCTCTCCTCGTTCGATATCACCAATCGAACGTCCAGTTGGTGATGGAGAGATATTTCGTACTAGAGCATGCGTGAAGTTGTTACCGAATAGACAGTTCAACTCGATTGCACATATTAGCTTGCACACAACGGGATGAAAGTCTAACTCGTGGACGATGGTCGTTATGTGTATGTACGGATAGAAGGCAGCTGTATAAGATATCGTCCGTGCACGCTCGTGTCCTGTCTCACGTCCCGAGAGCAGCAAGCTGGCCTTCAACACAGCACAGGTACCCTGAACCACACCACGGCATTCACACCACCATGTCAGGCCGTCAAGGATACGATGTCGTCGTCGACGTCGACGCTGAGGTACAATCGCGCATGCTGCCACATACCTCCGCTTCTAACACAGGCAACAGGGAGACTTGGGCCATACCGACCTAAACGACGACCTCGAATTCCACAATAGCAGTATGTACATCCCTCAATCCTCAACAACCAAGCGCATAGTCTAACGCACGTATTCGCACCAGCCTTCGACACCAACCCCACCCGCGGCGGCCCCAAAGTCGCCCCCGACCAACCCTCCACCTTCGGCGCACCCCCCTCCTCCTCCTCCAAACGCTACCTCTGGTCCATAACCTTCTACCAACAATTCTTCGCCCTCGACTCCGCTGCCCTGCTGCTCCGCTGCCGCAGCGCCCTCTACCCGCGTGCCAACTTCCTCGACGTTCTCGACGGCAACCCCGACCTCTATGGCCCCTTCTGGATCGCGACCACCGTGATCGTGATCTTGTTCATGACGGGCACGATCAGTCAATATCTCGCTGAGACGGGGAAGGGACACTTCGCGTATGATTTCAGGCTGCTGAGTGGCGCGGCTGGGTTGGTGTATGGGTATACGCTGTTCATCCCGCTGGGGCTGTGGGGGGTGTTGAGGTGGTTTGGGAGCGAGGGGGCGAATTTGTTGGAGTGCTGGGCGTTGTATGGGTATGGGAATTTGATCTGGATTCCCGTGGCGTTGGTCAGTTGGAGTCCGTTGACTGGTGAGACTGCTTTCTTCTACTGCTACGTGGTGTGTGTGCTAACGATGCTGCAGCGCTAAACTACGCCTTCGTGGCCGTGGGCTTTGGTCTTTCGGCGACGTTCTTGATCAGGAATCTGTATGTCTCTTGCTACCCTTCTTCAAACCGCTGGTGTGCTGACATTGTCTGCTGCAGCTACCCCATCATTTCCGCAACAGACGCCAAGATCTCACGCATCCTGCTCATCGTTGTGCTGGTGCTTCATGCGGGTCTGGCGATTGCCATCAAGATCTTGTTCTTCGCGCACGGCAGTCCGGCAGCAAAGGATGGCACCCAGCTTCCTGATCCCATTGGCGATGGGAACAAGGATGCAGGGAGTGTGGTGCGGATGTTGCTGCGAGTGTGATAAGTCTGCTGTTTGTACATGTACTATAGCGTCCATCGATACCTCCAGAGCATGGCTACGTGTCGAGAGTACTGGAGCGAAGAATTCACCATGTACCAATATCGTGCCTTTGAGAGCTTGAATGCCTTGGCTTTGAGTTCAGACTGAACAACGTGACATGATTCGAACACAAGTACATTTCGACATGCAGAGGGTATCAACTAAACTCATCCCAAATTTTCCCTTTCCATCCTCTTATTCCTCCTATTTACACACTTCATCCCATGCTGCCCCCCATCCTCATAACATCATGCATATCATACACCCCAAATTAGCGCACTCAAAACGAGTCCTCGTCCCTCCCCGTCGGCCCCCTCCGCGGATTCCTCACAACATCCCACCGCTCCACCATCGTCGGGCTCTGCGGCAGCAACGTCTCATTCCCACTCCCCGTCCTCCTCGGCGTCGTCGGCACCCGCTCAATCCGCGCCTTCGGCTTCTCCCCGTACGCCCAACTCCTCTCACTACCTCCGCTGTCCAGCCGCTCCAAATCTCTCCTCCTCCCGCTGCGGTCTTCCATGGGTACAGATTCCACTCGGGTGAATGTGCCAAATTTGTCCATCACGTCTTGCACGCGCATGTCCGCTTTCACGTCGTGGAGGTTCGCGATGCCGGTTTCCGCGCGGTCGCCATCGAAGATCTTGGCGATTTCTTCCAGCGTGGGGCCTTTGGTTTCGACGTAGAACCAGGCGATGATGGCGAGTTCGACGGCGAGGATGCAGCAGTAGATGAGGAGGAATTTCCAGGTTTGCGGTCGGAATTGCTTAAGGCCGACGGGGTTGACGTATCTGGTGATAACGGTTAGTGGTTGTTATGGTGGGTGGAGTGTGAATGTACGGGCTTACTGGTTGAAGACGAGTGCGACCTGGACGAACAGGTTCATCAACATGAGACCTTTGGCGCGCAGCTTGAAGGGCAATATCTCGACTGTGTAGGCCACGAGCAAACCGCTCCAGGCAACGGCGTAGGAGATGGAGTAGAGGAAGATCATCGCGATGACCGTCTTCCCGGCGACTTCGTTATCGTCCGTCTGGTACAGGGCGGTGCAGAGCGTCCAGATGACATAGATTACCAGCATGCAGGAGGTGGAGATCAAGAACAGCGGCCGTCTTCCGACCTTGTCCACGAGGAAGGCGCAGCCCACAGACACCAGAAGCGAGAGTATGTTCAACGAGCCGTTGATCTCGAATATCGTGTTCTCGTTCTTCTGCCCAATGGATAGCATGATCTGTCGGAAATAGTAGGCCACCAGCCCTCCGCCGGACCACTGGGAGAACAAGCCGAGCGAGAGAATGAGGCAGAGGCGATAACGGTTCCCTCGAGTCTTGAGAAAGTCCAAGAAGCTGGTTTGCTTCTTGATCAAGTATTCGAGACGAATCGTCTCTTTGATCTCGGCGTACTCGAACATCACCGTCGGGTCTAGCTGGTCGCCGTTCGCGTGGTACTTCGCTAGGATATGGAGAGCCTCGTGCGCTCGGTCTTGGGCGATCAGCCATCTGGGTGACTCCGGCACCCACAGGAGAAAAATTGCCTGGAAGAGGGACGGGAAAGCTTGAATGATGGAAGGAATTCCTGGCGGGGGAGACGCAGTCAGTATGCGTCGCGTAAAGTGTGAAGTAGAGACGGACTCACTCCATGCCCAATGGTTAGGGATATGTCCAGTTCCAAAGGTCAACCAAGTTGCAATGATGGCGCCGAAGTTCCACAAACAGTTGTACACTGCCGTTACCCTACCACGATGCTGCGGGTGCGCAATCTCCGTAAGCAGCAGCGGCGAGGCGAGCTGGGCGAGAGTGCATCCGAAGCCTACAAAGAAGCGTGCAATGATGAACATCCGAAAGTCGATCGATGCGGCCTGCACTGCAACCCCGAGGAACAGTACCATGCATCCTGCCCAGATGGTCGGTTTTCGTCCCCAGCGATCTGCGATGTAGGGCGCGAATGGCAGACCGCACAGGGATCCGATCGAGAAGATGCTGCCGTAGAGTCCAAGCAGACTGCCCGAGGGGTCGTTGAAGTAGTCCCTCCATGAGTCCAGATTTTGAAGACTCTGTTGCGCCAATCAGGACGTCGAAACGACTCTAGAAGACAGCAGCAAGTCTTACATTTAACATGGACCCATCGTAGCCCGTCGTCGCAGAAGCCAGGCAGGTAACAGCGCAGCAGAGGTAGAGTCTGATTAGACCACTGTCCCTATACCACGTCACCCGTCGAAACCTGGGAGCCTCCGCCTGCGCAAACTGCACCTGTCGCTTCGAAGCCATCGAATGATCAGTCCACCCTTCAATGTCGCAATTCGCAACGCAAGTAGATTATGGGACGACGGTGATCTGCCCTTCTGACGCCGAAGGAGAGAGGGCGACACCACCCCATGCCCCGGATAGAGGAGGGGCACGCGTTATAATCTACTGCGGTATGGCACCCCGGCGCGCATCTCCCAACAGGATGCCGTGCTAGTCAAGTCCCAGCTGTGCCACGCGACCGACCTGGTCCGGGTAATTCGAAACAATCTGGAGACGGCGAGAACGCCTCCCCGCCAAGCCGACATGGTTGGTGCAAGCGAGCGGACGGAAAGGAAATGCCGTGCGAGGTAAAGTGCTTTGTGCGATGTTGTTTCCGGTTCAGCGAGCCAGTCACAACAGTGTGAAGAAGCGAATGAGGTGTTGACGTGATAGTGGTGCAGCGTCGTGCAGAGTGGTGCAGAAGTCCGGGGTGGCATGTGAGATGTGGTGAGCTGGAGATGCCGTGGAGTGTGGGGAGCTGATCCTTACGATTCATGGACAGGAACGAGGCGCTGCGAATTCTCGAACCGACAAGGGTGTGGTTAATAAAGTCGGGACGGCAAGCCGTCGAGCAAAGTGCTGGCCACCTACAACCACGCGTTACCTTACACCTCTCCTTTGAAAGGCCTCCTCTGCCGCTCCGGACACCCGGCTTCGGCTTCTCCCATCTACAATCCTTCCAACAGCTTCCATGTCGCGTGCCGAATCGCAGGACAAGCGAAATAACCTTCTTCACGCACGCAGGATTCGCCTCTCTGCTCCGGGTTGGCGATGCCATGAAGGGAAGCGAGACTACAAGAAACTCTGTGGCCACTCGCCTGATATTTTTACCTTCCCTCTTCGCTTCATCAGATCATGTTCGACAGCCTATCTGTTTTGCTGGAGCCAGGACTTCCGTCGCCTGGCCTGGAAGTGTGAGAGAAAGAGAAACGCTCCCTTCGAACGCATGGGCGCGGCGTGGCTCATTTTCAGGCGCAGGAACGAACAGCCGTGACAAACCCGCTAACACTGCTGACATTCGGCTACAACAGCTTCGAACGTCCATAAAACGTTCTTGGTATAGCTTGTCGCGGGGTTGGTGCAGGGCAGCCATCTTTCATCACAGCAGCACAGCAGGGGGGTTTGTTTCAGGCACGGTCTCAAGCAAGACTCAATCCTTGATGCTGCTCCCTGTCCAACACGATCGAGGCCTGCTTAGCGACTTGTCGGGTCTCCAGCATCGGGAAGCGGATGTCGTCGAAATTGCTGCCTTGGAATGGTTGGTAGTGAGCCGCATCTGTGATCGCTTCCGTAGATTCGGTAGGATAGAAGGAGGTAGGCTCTTCATACTCGTACACCATCGTGAACTGGCCCTCCGACACGGTACCATCTGGTAGCCTCACACCTGCCGGACATGCTGTCCACGTGTGCGGGACACCTCCCACAATGTCAACCAAAGTACCGGGAGCCGTCGCCCAAATCTCGCCTGCGATCTCGACGAGCCCTACGCCGTTCAGCACCAGAATCCGTTCGTCGAGGAGTCTTTCTTTGGCTGCGTCCATGTGGATATGTCTGGGCAGTCTGAGTTCAGATGTAAACTCGATGAATCCTAGCTGCCCGCGGAAGCCGTTCTGATTACTTGGGGACAGCTCGTGCATCGTCAAGTCGATATCGGAGAATGGCTTCTTCACATTTGCTCCCTTGCCATGCGTAATGCGGCAGCCGTTGTCGAGCACAATTCCAATATGGATTGACGACATTGCGACTCTGTCTATTCTCTGGACGTCAGACTGCGCCCTACGACGCCACTCAGTCTCGTAAGTAAGATACACTCAGGGTGTACTCTATCTCACTGTGTCTGGTGGCGAGAATGAGTGCGGGCAAGAACGGCAGACCTCGATGTCAAGATGCCGAGGCACAAACTGCTTGCCCCGAAGCTTACCGCAACGACCAACACACCACTACTTGCACTACCAATCCTTCTTCTTCCAACACTCCACACTCCACACTTATCTTCTTCACGACATCCGCATCTCGACAATGGCCACCCAAAGACTCTCCAGCGTTCTGTCGCACATCACACCCGGCCAGAAGCCACTCGACAAGATGTAAGAACATCCCCGCATCAACACCCGACGGAACAGCTGCTGACCGTTTCATCTCGATAGCACCCAGAAGAACCCCGACGATGTGGTCATCACCCTCGCCATTCGCACACCGCTCACCAAGGGTAAGAAGGGTGGACTGAAGGATACGCCTCTCGATGGCATGCTCTTCAAGATCTTGGAGCAGGTCATTCGAAAGGCGAACCTGGACCCCCAGATGGTCGAAGATGTTTGCTTGGGCAATGTGAGGAACAATGAGGACACTATTCGGTGAACATGTCATTGACTTTGGGTCAGGTCTCAGATTCCAAAGCCGCGTACTACGTCCGCGCTGCTCTCCTGGCGGCTGGCTTCCCCAACACCACCAGCGCTTCGTCGGTCAACCGATTCTGCTCGTCGGGTCTCAAGGCCACGCAAGACATTGCGAACCAAATTCAGACTGGCAGCATTGAGGTCGGTCTTGCTATCGGTGCCGAGCACATGAGCACTGGCGGCGATCGCCTCACTCGTCCATTCGTCGACGAGATCCTGAACGGCAGCCAAGATGCCGCCGACTGCATGATGCCCATGGGCCAGACCTCAGAGAACGTCGGCGCCGACTTCAATATCACCCGCGAGTCGCAGGACAGATACGCTGCTGAATCGTACCAGCGAGCGGAGGCTGCCCAGAAGGCTGGCTGGTTCGACGACGAGATCGTGCCCATTACGGTCAAGATGGACGGCAAAGACGTCACCCTTACCAAGGACGAAGGCCCGCGATGGGGCACCACCTACGAGAGCCTGTCCAAGATCCGCCCTGCCTTCCCAGACTACGGCGACAGGAGCACCGGTGGCAACAGCAGCCAAGTCACTGATGGCGCTGCTGCTGTGCTCCTCATGAAGCGCTCGAAGGCTCTTGAGCTCGGCCAGCCGATCTTGGCCAAGTACGTGGGCGCCACCGTGGCCGGTCTCGCACCGAGGATCATGGGTATTGGCCCATCCCTGGCTGTGCCCAAGCTTTTGGGCAAGTACAACCTCAGCCTTGACGATATCGATGTCATTGAGCTCAACGAAGCTTTCGCGTCCATGGCTGTGTACTGCCGTGACACGCTCAAGATTGACTGGAGCAAGATGAACATTCGTGGCGGTGCTATCGCACTGGGCCATCCGCTGGGTGCGACTGGCGCCAGGCAGATTGTTACTGGTCTCTCCGAATGCCGGAGGAGGAAGCAGAAGATTTTGTTGACGACGATGTGCATTGGTACCGGCATGGGCATGGCTGGGTTGTTTGTGAATGAGCAGGTTTAGGTATGCAATAGGGAAGCGAAAATGTACATGTTGGATATGGCGTCTGCCCTTTTCTTCCCTTCCATGCTTCAATGACTGTCTAATCCGACGTGACCGTTCTACGGTTACAGTATGGATGTTCAAAGGCAAAAATTTGTCCCTTTCCTACCCTGCGCCAGCACCAGGTACACCTCGACCAGCCCGACTACAACACCGCGACAACAGCTCCGAACGCAGCCAGCGCGCCCGCGGCCATCGGCAACGCAGTCGCGGCCGCAAGATCCCCACTGGCACTCCCACTGACCGCAGCACTGCTCAGAGCACTGTTCAGAGCACCGCTCGCAATTGCGGTCGTCTGCGCTCCGGGCAATGTCGTCTGTGCCGCTGTCCCCGCCGTGGCCAACGCTCCAGAAGCACTCTGTCTCGCATCGCTGAGCTGCGACTTCAGCGCTGACTGTTCCGCTCGGAGGCTGCTGCCGAATTCTCCTGTCGCCGTGGCTGCGAGGGCGCTCAGGCTGGCGAAAGCCTGGCTGGCCATGGCGTTGACGGATTTGAGGGCGGAGGTTGGGTTGGCGTTTTCGAGATGCGAGGCCATGGCGGCGGCGGAAGCGGTGAGTTGGGCTAGGTCGGAGGAGGCGACATCTTGGAAGGCGGTGGTGGAGGCTGTGAGGGCGAAGAGGGTGGTGAGGAGGGTGGAGGGACGCATGGTGGGTGATTGTTCGTTGGTGATTGTGAGTGATGATTCGGACTCTTGGTTTTGTCGTTTGTTGAACGAGTGTGTGACGAAAACGACGTATGAGATGTGGTGAAGCCGCGACGAAAGAATGTGGTTACGAAATGCTTGGAATGGAGGGTCCTACCGTCCAGCTATATAGGTAGGAGAAGGAGTTTCGGGTGCTTCACAGCCGTTCCATAGGAGTGACATCGCCCCCATGGACTAGGAGGAAGTTGGGTTAGTCACGGTTCTGAATTTAAGATGAAGGGGAGTATGCATGGGCCATATCGTCTTGTAGGCAACAGAATCCGCAGCAAGCCCCCGTGAAACGGCGGGATGGAGAGCCACGTCGTGAGTCTGGGTGACGAGCAGCCATAAGGTCACTGTTCGGCGTCAATAAATGTCTTCATCAGCAGGCCCAGTAGACAGTACAATGTGGACGCGGCAAGACTGGTTATAGGAGACGAAGTCCAGCCCTGCCGCAGAGGACGATCCTCACAGGATTTAGCGGGTCTGGAAAAGCTTGGCTGCTGTAAAACAGACCCTCGTCTCGTCTCGTCGGACAAACGAAACTGCATCAACCTGGACGAACCAAAGTGTTCAGTCTTCCAGGCAGAGCAGAAGAGAAGTATCCTCTTTGTATACGGTGTCCGTGAAACCGGCGACGTGCGATGGTGAGGCGCTATCGCTATCGGCACGCACGCATGATTAGTAGTGAGAACGTCACTCTCGTTGAAGTCTGCATCCCGGTGCCGATAACCGGAGGACTTGCGCGGTAAGTGCTTCTAGCCACATGCCTCTTCTCTCCTTTGCAAAGAGTCAAGATGGAAGACAACTTGCACTCCACCCTCGCATTGGACCATGACAACTCGACAATCAATGTCCAGCGATGCAGCAAAGGACGAGAAGCCCAACCTGGGGTCTGGAAGTCCATCAAGCCATGAATCGGATGAATCTCCCCAAGATCTAGAAAAGGGTCACGAGCCAGAACAGCCCCAGGCCACGAATGCAACACCCGAGGAAGACCCGTTTCTGGTCAAATGGGAGGATAGCGAGACAGGCAACCCGCGCAACTGGAAGCCTCTGTATAAGGCATTTCTTACCTTCCAACTCGGCATGCTGGCATTGTGTGGTTCTCTTGGATCATCCATTATCGCCCCAGCGGAGAATGCCATATCCCAGGAATTTGGTGTGAGCAGAGAAGTCACCGTACTCTGTGTTGCGCTCTATGTCCTCGGCTTTGCTTGCGGGCCTTGTCTTTGGGCTCCCATCAGCGAGGTATACGGCCGCAAGGTCAGTATCCTGCCAGCTGTATTCGTTCTCTGCCTCTTCAGCATCGGCAGCGCTACCTCGCAGTCTGCTGCAAGCCTCTTCATCACGAGGTTCTTCGCTGGAGTTTTTGGATCCGCGCCTATCAGCAACGTATCAGCAGCGCTGGGAGACCTGTACGAGCCGGCGGCGCGAGGCATTGCTGTCACGTTCTATGCGGTCTGTGTCTGCGGAGGTCCGACTTTGGGCCCCGTGATAGGAGCGGCGTTGACGGTGAATCAGAATCTCGGATGGAGATGGACCGAGTATATCGAGGCAATCTGGGTGGCCACCATGTTCGCCTTCGCTCTGTTCACCATGCCTGAGGTCTTCCCAGGAGTACTTCTCAAGCGCAAAGCCGCTCGCTTGAGGAAAGAGACCGGCGACGATCGATACTGGCATCCTCACGAGAAGGAGAAGATTTCGCCTTCGAACATCGCGACCAAATACCTCATTCGACCTCTTCGCATGTTGGTGACTGAGCCTATGATCACCGCGATCGCGATATACGCTTCCTTCGTCTATGGTCTGTTATACATGACACTTGAGATATTCCCAATCGTCTACGCCGAGGAGCGGCAGTGGGGCCTGGTTTCGTCAAGCCTGCCTTTCCTTGGACTTCTTGTTGGTGTAATAGGATCGATGGGAATCAATATCGGGAACCAGCCATATTACATCCGCAAAGTTGCTGCAAACAAAGGACGAGCGGTACCAGAAGCACGCTTACCTCCGATGGTCCTTGGGGGCTGGATGTTCGTGATCGGGTTGTTCTGGTGAGTATGCCCTACCCTGGCGTACGTTCGTTCGACTAATGTTTGCAAGGTTCGGCTGGACAGCCACTCCAGACATCCATTGGGCTGTTCCAACGGTAGCCACTGCATTCATCGGCGGTGGCTTCAACACGATATTTCAGCAGTGCATCAACTACCTCGTCGATGTTTACGGGCCCTTCGCAGCCAGTGCTGTCGCGGCGAACACCATTCTTCGTTCCTTCATGGCCTGCGGACTGCCTCTTGCCGCGAAGCCAATGTTCGACAGTCTAGGAGTCGGCCCAGGTGCATCTGTGCTGGGCGCTGTTGCCGCCCTTGCCTTACCTGTTCCGTTCATCTTTCGCCGGTACGGATTGAAGTTGCGGAAGATGTCGAAATTTGCGCCTGTAGAGGAGGATTGAGGGAGACCCTAACGGCGATGGCCTGACACGACCATTTGCGGCACCGAGAAGGCGGTGCATCAGCCGAGTTTCTGCGAAGAAGCCACTGAGGGCTTTGCGGCAGAAACCATGTGGACGACTATGTTCGCACGGACTTGGCGCCTACTGATAGCCTCGAGCCCACCGCTGTCCGCGGGGCCCAACATGTCGAAGAAAGCGCGCCCTGCCCACTGCAATCGGAACACCGCATCCTCAGCTGGTTTCAACGGGCAACACGATCAGAGAGCCAAGGGGGGCGGATCGTCGTCACTCCGCACAAGGAGAAGCATGGCAGCAAGGTATCGTGTAGACCGGAGAGGAGTTACGCAGAGGTTCTGCAAGAGTGTACCGAAGCGAAGGAGGAAGAAAGGTTGGTCCGAAAAGTAAGGATTTGTACTTGACTTCTCCAACCTCACCTCACTGATCGCCCGCCGGCAGAACTCCGGAACATCATTATCAACCCTTATATTACAGAAAAGTAATCTAGGCTTTCACTAAAGAATCAAACAACGGTCTAGGACTTGAGTTTGTTCTTCGCCCGCCTGAATCTCATCAAATCTCGTATCTCGGATGAAGTCCATCGAGTGAGTTGATTAGCATTGATCCAGTCCCATCTATTGGCGTTAGTGGCTGTGGAGTTAGTCAATGGTTGAATCGCAATGAGGTGATTTCGCCATGGGTCTTCTTTTTTGGCTTCTTCGTCAGTTCAAGTCCATGTGGCGGTGATGACATTACGGATACCATGAACGCTGTTGAGAATGATCCGCTCATAATGCGGAGTACACTATTCTTTTGATATTCTCTAGTGGGTTTTGCTGGAGTGTCTAGGACTTCTAGGCTAATGTTCGTTACATTTTGCGTGCATAGCAAGATGTACTAGCCTTCTTGGTGTGTATGTTGTTGAAGCCATACATCTTTCATTGGCTCGGTTCACTCCGACGCTAGCTCAGGCACGTTCCACCAGCTCGACCATTTCGCGGAGAAGAGTCGCTCGACATGAACGAACGCAACAATGCCTCGCATACCACAGAAGGCTCAGACGGACGGATCAACGGCCTTTGAGCCCGACAAGTTCTTCGAAGCATGGAGTAAAGAAGAGATCACGCCGCCATACGACAACAACTTCCGACGCTTCATTATCCGTTCGTTCGGCCTACCATATGACGATGACTACGGCTACCAAGCAACGACCGAGGTGACACTGTTGCAAGCTCAGACGTACATCGAATTCGGAGCACAGGGTGGATTACATGCCTGGTACAAGGATGAAGAAGGCAAAGAGGTAAGACCGACATGAAGCCCCAATGCTGAGGTTGAATCTCATCACAAAGCACAGCCCTAAGCGTTCCGCCAGAGACCTCAAGCACCGACGGCTACCGATATAGCAGCGTATACAGACATATTCCGACCTACGACGAGCACCAGCAAAGCATTGAACGCACTAGCATCGAATGCGAAGAAGGAATCGATACGTGCAGATGTTGCCAAACACCTTCAAGCTTTCTATGAGCCTCCGTCCGTTGACCGAGGGTTGGCTGTGAACAAGAACAAGAATCATGTCAACCCATACTTCGATGTCTGGGCTTGGACAAACCAGAATATCGAATGGGCTGGTCCTGAAGCCGGCACTGCTAGGGTCCGGCATTCACATGCCATTCTTCCCATCTTATACCACCACTTCGGATGCGTTTGTCCTTCATACGAGGGCTTGGCTCTGATATCACAGCTCGCTAAAGGCAGGACTATCGTGGATCTGGGCAGCGGTAACGGCTACTGGACGTACATGCTCCGGAGGCAAGAGCAGGGCAAGAGGAAGCTCAACGTCGTACCAGTCGACAACGGGATGAGTGAATGGAGGACAGTCTGGATCGACGACACTGTGGAGATGGATGGTACGAAGTGGTTGAAGCAACAGCAAGGCGCTCCAGATACGCTGCTGTTGCTTGTTTACCCTAATACTGGTGATGACTTTACTGGCAAAATGATCAAAGCCTACCGTGAGTCGACGTCATCAGTCCACGAAAGTCTCCAATCTAACACACAGACTTCAGGTGGCTCTACCATCATCGTTGCCGGTTCACAGAACACATCTGGCTTTACTGGGTTTGCCAAGGAGACGGTCGCTGAGTGGATGCAGCGAGAAATGCCAGACTGGCAGAAGGTTTTACAGATACCGCTTCCGAGCTTTGCCGGCAAGGACGAGGCGCTGTTTGCCTTCGAGAAGAAGGCCTAGTATTGGAGTTGCATGGTCTCGAACCCGCTTCTCGAGCATGACCGGCCTGGAGAAGGTGAAGCAGGTTTATATTTCCGGTCACGGGAAAATTTCTCTACGCATTGGAAGCTACCTGGAGCGTTCAAAGCTTCGCCTCTGGCCATTCGCCCTCAGTGACTATGGTCATTACTCCCTGTCGGACTTTACCAGTAACTTCCTGATACGGCCGTCAGTACATGGGCTCGGCACCGACAGAATGCAGCAGCATACCTTCAACTCCTTGTGCGCTGGACACTCTTTGTCATAGAACTCATGATCCTCATGATCCTTGAAGATCGACTGCGATGAGATAGTGTAGCCCTCGCTCAGCGGTCACGAAGTATTGAGAACCTTCCGAGCAACGTTTGAAACAATATAAGGCTTTCCATCCTATGGTCAGAAATTAGCACATGCATCCGTATGGCAGTCTAACCTATAGTATACCTTGACCGCGGTCTGCCGTAGCTTTTCGTACTGCTTCAGAACGGACTCGATGTCTTCCTCCTTGGGTACTTTGAAGAAGGTCGCTCGCTTGACGTAAGTGCTTGACATAGTGGCTGATGAATGGAAAGACGCTTTTGTTAAACGTTGAGCGACATGCAAAGGGCGATACGGCATATCAAATAACATTGCTAATGCATGAGCTGATCTGAGGTCGACCTCGACTGCAGATGAGGAGCAACTTGGGTCCGATTTCGGCGTGCCGCAGCCGAATGCCTGCCCTGTGACTTTAGTCGATTGAGAATGGACATACTTGCTTCTTCTGGAGACTCACGATACCTAATACACACCATCATGGCATTGATCGTAGTGCGACAAGTGGCGTCAGGTAGCGCATGCTTTACGACCACCTCCGTACACGGGAGCGTGGCGACTCAAAACATGTCCACCACGCAGTGAGAAGGAATTTGAATGGAAGGACAAAGATGTCTGCTACCTTATAATGCTGCCTTTCGCGCAATACCAATAGAAGTACAGCAGACATTGATTCGAACACAACATTGCTTGCGCAAAGGCCAACGTCTCAGGAATGCCTCGCCAGTACCTATCACTCCTCCGCTGAATCCAGCTCCGTTCTGTCCTCAGAAGTCTCCTCCGATCTCTGGGCAATGGTGAGCCCGGCCAGGGCTACATTAAGGGGCCTGTCAGCGTCCGACTGCCACGGGCCAGGAAACGAGGACCAGTCCGCCATTGAGAATCTCCTTCCTGTGAGGTAGTCAGTATCAGGACCATCGACGATGCGAACGTTGTTAAGCAGCTCTCTCACTTACCTTCTCCTTCACAATACGAGTTTCATTCGCCTCCTGCAACTTCCCCAGCATGACCGGAAAGGCTGGACGGACGATGGGAGGCGGCGTAGGGTATTCGTTGTTAAGAGACGCCTTCTCGTTGTTGGCCATCTTCTCCTCCCAGACCGCTGTTCCAGGCATAGCGCCAAAGATGGCCCAATACCACACCTTTTGCTTCCGGCGGAACTTCCAGAGGTCTTCGCCGATCTGCCATGCCTCAGAGGCTGTTGTGTCCCAATTCCAAACAACCATTCGGCAACGCTTTCCTTGAAGTCGTCCTCTTTATCGCCGGTGAAGCCTGTGGTGCCAGGCATCGGGAAAAGTGGTCCCGTGTACAAATTCTGGAGTCAGGCCAGCTGCCCCAGGGTACTTGGAAGTACTCCTCGGCGGTCCTCATGATAGGTCTTTCTGGATCCTCGGTGGATGGAGGTGTGTTGAAGCGGGGAGGGGGAATGCTGTCTCGAGAAGAAGACTCAGTGTCACTGACAGACTTACCTGTTCGCTTGTCGTACACGGGAGCCGCATGGGCGGATGGAAGATGCCGCGTCGGCTCTGTCGTTGGGTCTTTTTGGCTCCCAACGCCGGACTCTGCGTTCACACTAAGCGCAGTGCTTCTCTCGTGCGCCTTACCTACATGAGTTCGGCCAGGTAGCATGGTGATGATTTGAACTCCAACGGTGACAGATGCAGTGTAGTCCGAGGGATTTATAGCGATCAGGCGTTGTAGCGCCTGAAGTCGAGCTTATAGTGTGTTCAGACTCGTTAGCTGTGACTGGCAGCTGACTCCAAGTATGAGACATAGTTCGCTAAGTCATCTCCGTTGAGCAAGCAAGATAGAGGAGGTGGATCGGTTAGCAATTTGTGAAAGTGCCAGGCAAGTCGTGAGATGTGCTAAAGATGTGTGCATTGGAATGCTATGAACCTCACGTTGAAGTCATTCAGAGAACCTTCTCTCACTCGAACACATTGACCTTCGAAAGGCCATCAGTATGTATAGCGGAATCCCTCAAGGCCCGCGATGATCTTGCCGCCGGCAGCGGCCCTCTTGTTCGCTCTCCAGAACCTAGAGAAGCGTTGAGTCAGTGTCTGTAATGCGAAAGGGGCTCTTCCGTGTAGTGACATACTTAAATTCCAACATGAGAGTGATGACGATGACAAGACCAGAGGCAATCATGCAAGTCATGATACCAGGCACGTAAGCAGGGACGTCTTCGCTTCGGAAGACCGTAGACCCAACGATGCCACCAATGCCGCCAGTGCCGACTAAAGTCGCAGAGGCAAGTGCACGTTTCTAGACAAACGTTAGTAGGTTACCAACGAATGATACGAACCGCAACTCACCCATTGGCCACGAATGTTGTTTGCCTGGAAGGTGAGGATGCAGGGAACGTTTGCGTTGACAGCGGTCGTGGCAAGGAATACGCCGAAGTAACGAGCTCCAACATTGTCGGCGAATCCGAGCAGAGGCAGCCCGATAAGGGCCATGACTCCATTGCCAATGACGAAGGGACCACGAAGGTGCATGCGGTCGCCCAGTACGGCGCAGGCGTACATCCAAATTGCGGCTAAGACATATCTATGGGGGCGTTAAGATATGGTCATTGCTGCCTCGGGACAAAGACTCACGGAGGTGCGATAAGACACTGCGCAGCAGCGATGCCGAATCCCATGCCTTCCTGGAGGATAATCGGGAGGAAGTAGGCGATCGCATAGGTCACTGTGGTCGTCAGGCCGAAGAGCGAGGCAAAACCCCAGATCTGTGCGCACGTGAGGAGAACCCGTCAGCAGAGGTCTTCGATAATAGAACAAGAAGTATCGGGAAGGCCATAACCGGATGCTCTGCGTCTAATCCGGAAACGGCAGAGAGTTAGACCGGATCTCATGGCCTGTCGACCGGCAGAGGTATGCGAGGAGGGCCGCAAACGCTCTGGCCCATCTGCCATGAGACTTCTCTCTAACCCTCGAGTATAGATGAGGGAGCAGGTATGTGATCGCGTGACACTCACCTTCAAGTCCGCCGCACACTTCATGTACTCCTTCATGCTGAAGGGTGCAGCGATGGCGTCGTGGCGATCGCGTTCGATCCTTGCTACAATCTGCATTCATGACACAACGGTCAGCCTCTGTGTAATGCAGCAATCGCCAGTGCAACATACGAAGTCCGCTTCCTTCTGGTTCAGGAACGGCAGCGAGAGACCTTTCGCCTTGTTCGATGCTGCGTTCTCAGGGAAATCCACGATCCTGGTTGGAAAAATTAGCCTTGGTCAGATACAGGTGGCTCAGCATACTCACGTGACGAATCCAATAAATCCAACAACGATCGTGAGCAGACCTTGCATGATGAAGATCCCTAGCACCGCAGTTAGCCTTGCTGTCGTGATCGAACTAAAGGACGTTTCGTCGAGCTTACATCGCCAGCCCGCGATGCCTGGGAGTTCGCCCACCCAAGTGTAAGGGTCCTCTTCCGTTGTGTAGTGCTGGCCGTATCCCGGGCCCAAGTCACCGAGGCCATTCATGTTGTAGAAGCTAAGTTTCAAAACGGATTAGCGATTGTCCCAGATGCACTATGGTTCCGTTCATCAATTTCATACCCATAGGCAAGAATACCGGAGAACGCAGAGGCCATCGATCCGATGAGGTAGAACACCGCGTTGCGCTTCTGAAGTTCGAACCGTGGGTACCAGCATGAAAGAAGGTATGCACCTGTGACATTGGTCAGTGAAAGGTCATGGTGGCTGGTATCCCGATAAGCTGCTTACATCCTGGGAAGAAACCCGCCTCAAAGATACCCAAGATCAGGCGCAGAGGAATCATCTGCTCCCAGGTCCGAAGGAAACCGAAGCACATCGCCGTGGCACCCCACAGGACTGTAATGGTTGGTAGAAAGACGCGGGGGCCGAGTTTGCGAAGTACAACGGTCGCCGGGGGCTGGAGGAGAACGTAGGTGATGAAAAAGACGAGGGTGATTGTGCTGTAGCGGAAGCCTTGGTTGGTGTGCAGATCTGCCTCTCTCGTTAGTGGCACGTTCATGAGACTTCTCCTGGTTGTCGTCTCATACCGACACCCATGCCACCGACGCTGGCGATGCCCAGATTCGTCCTGTCCATCAAGGACACGCAGTACATGAAGCCGCATGTCAGGACAAGTCGAATGTCGATCCTGCGAATGATCTTCTTCTGCTCTTCTGGCGTGAAGACATCGATTCGTGACTGATCGCTGAGGTGAGAATCGGAGTTCTTTGAGAGCGTGCGCTCGAGTCCCACGGCATGATGCGACTTCTCGACGTCTGCCATGGTTGCTGGGGTGGTGAGGAAAGCTTGGGAGAGATAAGTAAAGTCAAGCAAAGACGAGATGAGCGGAAACAGTACTTCACAGGATGCGACTCAGGACAACCACGATCTCGCTCTTGACCAAAGCTTGGTGACACGGTGATGATATACATACTTTTCTTTCTATCAATTGTGCCGCGGTAGTTTGCACGATTTGGTGCTCGCCAAGTGAGGGCGATGGAGAGCCAAGCTGACGGAAGACATAGGGAGGCAGGCGGTGGTCTCGCCCGCTCACGCCACGAGCGAGATCCGAGCCTCGTGGACGAATAGCGATCGGGGATGGGCGTCCAAATCTCAAAACGCTCCCCAGACAACCCCACAGCCGGGGTGCGGGTAGGGTGGGAATATCAGTAGGCGAGGTCGCCAAGGTATTGGTCTGGACTTTGCAGCTGGGATCAGCTCGTCAAGCTGCATGGTTGGCATGCGCTGGGCATGCGAGCAACACCACGTTATCGTGCCATCCGTTTCGACAGCGAACCCACGAGGTCACCCCGTCTCTAGCCGCCTGCAAGTTGGACCGCGGTTCGTTGTAGCACGGTCGAGCGCAAGCTCTCGCGGAATTGGCGCATTCCCCGCTTGGTGAGGCTTAAGGAAACGGGTCGGACATTGCGGCGACATTTGGTCGTGATGAGATTCTCGTGCGTCCATGCTTGACAAGATCCTGGTACATATCCATGCGGGGTAGAAAATCCGGAGAGGGAACCGGCGAGTCATTGCCACTGTTCACGACCGAAGACATTTCGAAGCAAAGGTCTACGACGCAGCCCAGCCTTGGCCAGACGACGCCACATCGCGCCAGTGACAAGTAGGCCTCTTTCGATAGCACATTCATGGTTCGTCCTGCAGGTAGACGAGTTGGAATCGGAACCGGAAACTGCGGGGTTTAATTGTGATAGAGCGAAAGCGCACAAGTCGAGTCCCTTCTGCATGCATAAACATTGAGCATTGGTCGAGATGTTCGAAAGTCGCCGCAAGGACCTCGTCGGGTCAAGGATATTCCACGCAAGAGGACGAAGGGAATAAGACGGCTTCTCGAGCTACCGGGTATTGTAGGATTTCAGGAGCTCGGTGCTGTCCTTTGCACCTTGTGCTTACAGGCCAGAGCATCGTCGGCATCTGATCGCGGTATAGAACCAAGTACGTCACTTGATGCTGCGTGGCCGCTTGCGTTGCGCGTTGCTGTCATCGTGACCTTCAATTGGAATCGCCTGGAGCTTTGCCATGTCGATGCAAACCATCAGCAGGTCTATGAGCTCGCTCGAGCGTATACAGCTGCAGTCGAGGCCTTACCGTGCTTACGAGCGCAGCTGGATTTCCATCCTATAATGTTTTGCTGCTCCTTGAATGTCAGATCTGTCAAACCAAGCTTTCAGAGCCTAGTTTCCGTCTTCTTCGGTACCGCACTCCTGGACGACCTGCGTCATACCACCCCAGGTTCTCCTTGACTGTGCCATTAAGGAGCATGCGGTTTCCATATATGGTGTCATTCGTGGAACTGTCATCCTTCGGACACCGCAAGGATCTCACAATGAGGACGGTAGATGTCTGGAAGCTCCGTGAATGGCCTCCTGTACGCCAGTCCACGACATGAAAATCCGCAGTCAGAACTCAAACAAGTCTAAGTACGAAAGCTATTTCCATGGCGTCTGCGCAGCATGCTGATGCTGGTCCACTCTCGTCTCTCCAGCGACAGCGTAGTCCGACCTGGAATAGAGTCCCGAGCAAGTCTGATGTCCTGGGTCCTGATGTTGCGCGTGATATGGCCCTCGACCATGGTCAAGATGATGCTTTGCAGTCTCTGAGTATGCAACAGAGATTGGATAAGTTGATCGCTCGGGCAGGCTGCTTGTTTCTTTTAGATGATAGATGATAGTATGAAAGGCAGATGAAGCATGACTGGGGATAAGAGGAATGTGCAAGAGTGAAGCGGCTCGAACGCAGCCTACGTCTCAATTAACTGCACCTTCGTAGCTGACCGTGAGGACAACGAGGCCAGCTTTGGAAAAGTGATGGACACAGCTGCTTTTATACCACTGAAAGGCATGATTAGTCTCCATCCTCTTCCTTCCCCCAGTCAAACATCTGCACCTCGGGAGTGTGCCGAAATCGGAAGCTCGAGCCTCCGCGATATGGATCGTCACTGTAGAAACTTTCCACCTGCTTGCATTGAGTCATTTTTGGTTGATTATATCTCGCATAAAGCAAAGAAGAAGCACTACATCTGGCGAATGTCAACAGCATACACCATGTCAGTAGCCAGAGGCATTGCCGCGCCAAATCGCTGGCTGCGATGCGCCGCGCATCACTCGAAGAGAAGATGCTATGCCTCAGCATCAACGGCAGCATCAAGTCTGCCTGCAGACTACAGAAACGCCATTGAGGTATGTCGTAGGTCTTACCATCCTGCTGCGCCTTGCTGAATTATAGTATAGAAAGAAGCCTCACTACCAACCCCCGATCCGCCTTCAGACTCGCAGACCGCCCGGATAGTCAACACCCACATGCAATACATGGTACCGACCTACGTGAGACCTCCGCCTATGTTCCACAAAGGTGAGGGGTGTTATCTATGGGATGTGGAGAACAGGCAGTATCTGGACTTCACGGCTGGCATCGCAGTCAACGCTCTCGGCCACTGCGATCCAGAGATGAGCAAGATTCTCTATCAACAGGCACAGACTTTGGTCCATTGCTCGAACCTCTACTACAACCCATGGGTGGGTGCATTGAGTGAGCTGCTAGTTCAGAAGACGAAGGAAGCGGGCGCTATGAAAGATGTCGGCAAAGTGTTCGTCTGCAATTCCGGCAGTGAGGCCAATGAAGCGGCAATCAAATTCGCTAGGAAGTGCGGAAAGGAGGCACAACCAGATGGTAGCAAGAACGAGATTGTGAGCTTCCAGGGCTCGTTTCATGGACGCACAATGGGTGCGCTGTCCGCAACGCCAAACCCCAAGTACCAGAAACCATTCTCGCCGATGATTCCTGGATTCAAATATGGAACGTACAACGACATCGACGGCATCAATGATATTGTGACAGAGAAGACCTGTGGTGTGATGATCGAGCCCATTCAGGGTGAGGGAGGTGTCAACGTTGCTACGCAAGAGTTCATGCTGGCCCTCCGAAAACGGTGCAATGAGGTTGGAGCGGTGCTTGTCTACGACGAGATTCAATGTGGACTCGGCAGAACTGGCACGCTCTGGGCACATGCAAACCTGCCACCAGAGGCCCATCCAGATATCCTGACAACAGCGAAAGCACTCGGGAACGGGTATCCTGTCGGTGCTACTCTGGTAACTGATGAGGTTTCGAGCAAGATCAAGACCGGCGACCATGGAACCACCTTTGGCGGCAATCCTCTAGCCTGTCGCCTGGCGCATTACATGGTCTCTCGGCTGTCTGAGAAGGAGCTGCAGCAGGATGTCGTGAAGAAGGAAGCTCAATTCCGAAAGCATTTCGTTGAGCTTCACAAGCGCTTCCCAGAAGTGGTGCAAGAAGTGAGAGGACGAGGTCTGATCTTGGGTCTGCAGCTGAACTCGGATCCGACGCCTGTCATCACTGCCGCCAGAGAGCGTGGACTGCTTGTCATCACCTGCGGCACGAATACATTGAGATTCGTCCCCCCGCTGATCATCTCTCCTGAGGAAATTGACAAGGGTATGGCGATTCTCAGCGATGCTATGGATGCTGTGTTCAGCAGTCCTGAGCATGTGAAGGGGACGCCTGGGCAGCAGGAGATGCGATGAGCCCAGATTTATGCGATACAGATAGCGCTCTAATGGGTATTTGACGGAAGTGGCGACCAACAGAAGGACCATTCTCCAGCAAGCGAGATCACTGGCGCGCACACACCTGGGGACGCGGGATCTGGAATACCTCGCAGCAGTACATGGTGCCACCGCCGGCACTGCTGATTCATGAGTGTCACGAGTAACCTCGACGTCGGGCCTCACTCAGAACACGCCAGGCTTGCCGCGGACTTCAAGGGCTCGAGTTGGAGACATCTCCAGCGCCTGTACATAGTCTGCTCGCTGGCGAGGAATCTTCGGCGATGATAGAAGGAGAATAAAATACCAGCCAAGCTGTCCTTCAACCAACCCTCCAGACTCTCATTCCACCCACCCAAGTCTCCGCTACATTACCATCCTCATCCAGCACCACGAAATCAGCCCGCCTACCAGCTTCCAGCTTTCCTCTTTCCTCATCACCCATGAGTTCAACCACATTCTCTGTCACGCACTGCACCGCTTCAGCGATCCTGCAGCCACTCCACTTCATCATATTCTGAACGCACTCGCTCAAACTCGCGCACCCACCGATGAGCGTCTCGGTACCTTCGATGACCACTCGACTTCCCTTCTTTGTTTGGTTGAACGGAATCTGCGAATGGCCAGGGTACGTGCCGTCTTCCAGCCCTGCTAGCTCGATGCTGTCCGTGATGAATACGCATTTCTCGGGGTTGGAGCGGAACAGCATCGTTGCAACGGATGGATGCAGATGATTGCCATCGGGTATGATGGAGAACCACGGGCTGGCCAGAGTCGTGGATGGTGCCGCTGTGACAAGCCCTGCGAGTCCGGGGTCACGGTGGTGGAGAGGGGCCATGGCGTTCAGGGTGTGGGTTAGACAGGTGGCGCCGGCTTCGAGGGCGGTGAGGCCGTCGGCGTAGGATGCATTCGAATGGCCGAGCGAGACGCGGATGTTTCTGGATACAAGATCGCATATCAAAGCGCTGGCATGTTCCAGCTCAGGAGCGACTGTCACGAGTTTGAGCGTAGAGTTGTCGGTAGCGATATCGCCGTATACGTCCAAGGGCGAGGTTGACGGTTGGTGGAAGAGGGAGCTGTTGTGGGCGCCTTTCTTGCTGGGATGGAGGTATGGCCCTTCTGCGTGTGCGCCTAGAAGGCTGGCGCCGTTGTCGATATCTCTAGGAGCGAGAGCAGGTAGAACTCTTTTGAACTCTTCACTTGCAATTGTTGGGATCGTGGCATAGAAGCCTGTCACACCAGTTCTGGGAAGATATGTCGAAACCTTTTCAATCTCGGCTGCGTAACCCTCTTTGTCTTCGAAGTGGGTGAAGTGGAAGCCTCGCGCGCCATTGGTCTGTAGTTCGAGGAAGCCAGGCGCAACGACTGCATTGTTCAGGTTTATGATGTTGGGTCCCCCGACGATGACTCCCTCGTCTGGGTATAAGACCTCGTCCAGCTTGCCATCGGAGACGATGAACGCGGACTTGCTAGCGGTGAGTACGCCGCCAATGCAAAGGCGGCAGTTGGTGAAGATAGTGCTCGATTCAGGTAGTAGAGATGCGTTCAGGGACAATGCGGTCTTGGGATGATTGGGGACGGAGAACTGAGGGATTGAAGGCATGGATCACGACTGAAGGAGAAGAAGTGGTATAGAGATGCCTTACGATGCGTTGCAAAGGTCAAGGAGATTCAATGTACCCTCTTGCTTCTCCTCTTGGATGTCTTGAACCTCACACCTTCCAAAAGAGGCCTTACCTGCTGTGGAGACGTCGAGCTTCGCGTCCATTGCAGACTTTCTGGCCGAACAACCTGTCTTGGTACGAGACTGCAGAATGGATGTGCTGTGTCGCTGCTGATGAGTATGACTGCCGTCGCCTAGGGGGTTGTCAATGCTTCGTCAATGTCTTGGATGATCGCCAGATCCACGCATCCCAGCAGCGATCGTGGCCCGACTTCCAGGCGGGCGGCTTGCATTTTCCAATGACTGCCAAGCACCACTGACGTACCTAACTCCCGATTGTTCGTTTGCTTTCAGGTTTCGCGTACGGGGGTCGTGCTGTGGAACGCACTTGCATCAAAGTCGTAGCTGCCGATATTCGGAAGGAGAGGAGAGGACGTCCTTGCTGTCGTTCCTCCTTCACACCCAACATCCGGGTTTGCGCCGTCCAACAAGCCTTCACTCCCTCAGGCAATACCACGAGGGGAGCAGTCACAAGCATACCAGGTGAAGCGGACGTTGATTGATTGGCGTTACCCAACGACACCACAACATACTCGGACCGCACAACATCATGGCGGAGGAACCGAGCAACGCAGACCCGGCTACTCTGCAGCAGCAGGCCGGGCCTGGCGGACATTGGAGTGGGCGCAACAAAATCCCCACGGTCGGCCAATTTATGGAGCGGCTGGACAAGGACAAGAAGGACCGCGACAAGCAGATTGACGAACAGAGGAAGCAGCGAGAACAGCAGAAGAAGCTAGGCGGCTCTGACGTTACTGCACACCAGAATGCCAAAAAGAAGGAGCCTTCTGGCTCGCAAAAGACGGTGACCGATCCCGTAACAGGAAAGCAGGTCACCATTGAAGACGTCAACGAGGAATACATGGAGAATGTCAAGAATCCCGTCTTGTCTGTGCCCAACGCCAACCTTGGCAAAGATACGCCTGTCAAGACCGATGCGAGCCAAAGCAATCCAGAGTACAAGGAGAAGCAGGATGTCACTGCTCCGCCAGATCCCGTGACAGAGGGCAGCACTTCTGATGTTCCGATCCAGGGTGAGAAAACCAATATTCTGTTCCATCCGACACCTTCGGTCAGCTATGAGCCGACGTTTGCCAGGCTGGAGCAGAGAGGGCTGTATATGATCGTGGGAGTCTTCTTTGCTATCATCATGGTCGGCAAAATGTTCGGCGGCCGTTACTTGGGCTTGATCCCGCTGGCCATGTGTGTGAGCTCGGGCATCTGGCTCTGGGTCAAAGAAGTTGTTCGCTCTGGCCGCGAGGTGGAATGGGAGAGCGAAAAGGAACGCGGCAAGACTGCGACGGCCAACCTACTTCCCGAGAGCGTGGAATGGATGAATACCCTCCTCGCCATTGTCTGGGGACTCGTCAACCCAGATATGTTCTCCGCGGTCGCTGATACCCTCGAAGACGTCATGCAGGCTTCGGTTCCCGGTATCATCGAGAACGTTCGCGTGGCCGAGATCAACCAGGGTAGCAACCCCATCAGAATTCTGAGCCTTCGTGCGCTGCCAGACTCCCACGATGAGATCAAGGAGCTCAAGAAGTCAATGCACGAGGAGAACAAGAAGACCAAAGATCCCCAGGAAGCCGCTGCCGATGAGGAAGGAGGCGACTACTACAATCTTGAGATCTCGTTTGCGTACCACGCCGAGCCGAGTGGGAAGCGAGCGAGCGACAAGGCGAGAAACATGCACATGCAGCTGGTCTTCTACCTTGGTATCAAAGGGCTCTTCGGTGTTCCGCTGCCGATTTTCGTCGAGTTGCAAGGTCTGGTAGGCACTGTTCGCCTACGTCTCGCAATGACGCCTGAGGCTCCCTTCTTGAAGACACTGACATTCACGCTTATGGGTGTTCCTCACGTCTCAGCGGGCTGCATTCCCATGCTCGAGAAAGCTCCCAACCTTCTGAACTTACCGCTCATCTCACAATTCGTCAACTATGCCATTGGAGCTGCAGCATCAATGTACGTCGCTCCAAAGTCGATGAGCATCGATATGCGTGCGATCCTGCAAGGCGACGACATCACGAAGGATGTGCAGGCCCTTGGTGTTCTTTGGATCCGAATCCACAAGGCTGTCGGTTTGAGCAAACAGGATAAGAGAGGAAGCAAATGGGGCGGCAGTGATCCGTACATCACGCTCACCTTCAGCAAGTACGGCAAGCCAATGTACTGCACTCGTGTCATCACCGACGACTTGAACCCAGTCTGGGAGGAGACGACTGCTCTGCTCGTTACACCTGAGCTCATCAAAGCCGATGAGAACCTCAGTGTTGAGTTGTGGGACAGCGACAGGCACTCGGCGGACGACATTGTCGGCAAAGTCGAGCTCAGCATGCAGAAGATGATCCAGCACCCGGGCAAGATGTACCCACAAGTCTCGAAACTGGCTGGCATGAACGAAGGCTCCGAGATGCCAGGTGAGCTGCATTGGGAGGTCGGATACTTTGGGAAGCCTCAGTTCAGGCCTGCTCTCCGCTCCGATGGCAAGAATAAGACTTTGCCGCCGGAGCTGAGGGACAAGCCGGAACTGCAAGACGAAAAGGGTGTACAGAACACTGCCGACGACGACGCCGTGCAGCATACGCCCCCGGATCCACTCTGGCCGTCTGGCGTTTGTAGCATTATCGTGCACCAGATTGTCAACCTTGAGCTTGAGAACGTTCAGGGAACTCAAGGCAGCAGGAAAGGTCGGGAGTTCGAGCCTGCCAAGCCGTATGGCGAGGCTACCGAGGAGTCGGGCGCGACACTACCAACAAGCTACTGTACCATCCTCTACAACGACCAGCTGGTATACCGGACTCGTGCCAAGGCTGTCAGCAGCAAGCCAATTTTCAACGCAGGTACCGAGAGGTTCGTCCGTGATTGGCGGAGCACGATCATTACTGTCACAGTCCGCGACAGCAGAAACCGAGAGCATGACCCCATCCTTGGCGTGGTGCCGCTCAAGCTCAGCGATATTCTAGAGACTTCATCTCAAGTCACAAGGTGGTATCCGCTCGATGGTGGCATCGGCTTTGGCAGAGTCAGAATTTCGCTTCTCTTCCGTTCTGTCGAGACAAGGCTTCCACCTCAACAACTGGGTTGGGACGTTGGCTCATTCGTCTTCGCTTCCGACACGATCGAGGCCCGTGGCTACAATCACCATGCTCGCATCAAGCTGCGGACCGGTGGTTCAAGTGGCAAGATTGGCCGTGGCAGCTGCCATGCGTTGAAGGAGGAGGGCAAAGAAGGCTACTACTGGGACCTTGTGCAGAATCGCAAGGAGAACGAGGAGCTCCAGGGCGAGCGTATCAGGCTGCCTGTCAAGTACCGCTACCGCTCGCCAGTGGTCTTCGAACTTCACACCGCCAACAAGCGGAAGGCGGATGCATACGCTGTGCTGTGGCTCAACACGTTGATCGACAACGAAGATGTGGATATCGAACTGCCCATCTACAGGACTGGAGCGCCACAGCGGCTCATTCAGAACTACATCACTGGAGAGATGATCCAGAATGCGGAAGGCGAGCCAATGCCTGGCCTGGACGATCTCCAACAGGCAGGCACACTACACTTCAAGGGTCACTTCCAGGCTGGCATGGACGAAAGCCACGGCGCATTCGTCGCAGACAACGATTCAAGGGAGACGTTCGAGACATGGGAGGCTTGCTACGCCGAGGGCGTTCGCACCCACCTGGTGGAGAAGGAACTTCCAGAGCGTATCAACACATTGCACGAGGAGAGCTTGACGCAAGGACGGGATGTGCTGAAGGAAGCCAGCGAGGATGAGAAGCAGAAGTGGCTCGCCAAGACTGGCACCGACTGGTCTGGTGCGTTTGGTGACGATCCAGCGAGGTACATGGACGAGAGCGGCAGGAAGAGAAGAGAGCCTGGCAAGGACGCGCCGCTCGGTGAGGGCGAGCATGAACACGACCCTAACAACCCATCTTCAGATGAAGACTCGGATGACCTCGGCGTTCAAGATGCGGCTTCTCGCAAATCGGTCGACACGATGGAGTCGGGCTGGACGGCTGGCACGAACGAGTCCTCGATGAGCACGAAGGACATCAACAAGCAGAACAAGAAGACCGAGGAGCGTAAGCAGCGTGGTATGATGCAGTGGAAGCCTGCGCGCAATCTCAAGTTCGCAAAGGACGAGGGTCTGATTGGGATGAGGCGGTTGAAGAATAAGTATGAGCAAACCCCTACTGTGTGTCCGAGACGTTCGCTGACTCTTCTTTTCTGTAGGATGACCGGCGGTCTCGAGGGCAGGCAGCCGGGTGTTGAGACGGAGACTGGCACTTGAGGTGTCTCTGAATGCTGCATTAAGTTAGGTAGAGCGAGCACACATTTGGCGCAGGCGTGGCGTTAGGAGCAGTCTTCGTCGGGCGGCTGACTATGGAGGGAGGATGACATGAGCAACTGGCGCTTGTCGTTATCTAGATGACGTGAAGCTATTGGAAGTCATATCCATGCCATGCTTTCAAGAACTTTTTTTGCTGCACGATATATTCGCCCATGCACGTGACATATACTTCGCGGCCAGCTCGTTCTCGTTCAACTACCGACATACCGAGGCGAACTTCCTTCCTTTCATCTTCCCACACAATCAATGGCATCATGTTCCGCTAGCTGCCTTCAAACTCAAGTCTAATCTCTAGTGGCGACGCAGGTACAGAAGGGTTTTTCCTGCTTAGCAAGCGGTAGGGTGTTGACAACAACGTCAGAAGCTGGTAGAAGAGCGGTGGGTCAAGGTTAAGTACAGAAGCATATCTCGATGATTCCCAACATCTCACATTTCTGAGGAGCAGTATACCATTTCCTTGCCTTTGGTACCCTCTTGAGTTCTCGTTCAGCCTTTCGATATAAGGGTCAAAATGGGCAGCGCACCAGAGCAGAGCAGGCTGTTTGAGCCCTTGAAGATAGGCGACCATACGCTCAGCAACCGCGTGGTAATGGCACCTCTTACCAGATTCCGCGCCGACGACAACCACGTTCAATTACCTTTCGCCAAGGAGTACTACACGCAAAGAGCAGCGGGCTTCAAGGGAACACTCCTGATCACAGAGGCCACCTTCATCAGTCCTAAAGCAAGCGGTTACCCCAACGTCCCTGGCATCTGGAACAAGCAGCAGATTGCTGCATGGAAAGAGATTGTGGAGAGCGTGCACAAGGCAGGTGGGATCATCTACCTGCAGCTGTGGGCTTTGGGCAGGACAGCGAATCCTGAGGTCAAAGAGAAGGAAGGTACGGGCGATGTGGTCAGCTCCTCGGACACGCCGGAGAACAGCGATAAGCCGGAGCCGCGGCCACTGAAGGAGGAGGAGATTCAGGAGTATATCAAGGACTATGCTACTGCTGCGAAGAACGCTGTAGAGGGTGCCGGCTTTGACGGTGTTGGTGAGTTGGGCAAGTCTCACGGTGAAACCAGTTGATACTGACTTTCGGTCACAGAGATCCACGGTGCGAACGGGTACCTGATCGACCAATTTTCGCAGAGCGTCTGCAACCAGAGGACCGACATGTGGGGTGGCAGCATCGAGAACCGGTCACGCTTTGGGCTCGAGGTTGCAAAGGCAGTGGTTGATGCCGTTGGCGCGAACAAGACCGGCATCCGACTTTCGCCGTGGTCCACCTTCCAGGGCATGAAAATGCCGGAGAAGGATATTGTACCACAGTTCTCGCACTTGATCAAAGGCCTGAAAGACCTTGACCTGGCGTACGTTCATCTTGTCGAATCAAGAATAGCCGGGAACGCGGACATTGAGGGCACCGAGAAGAACGATGTTTTCATGGACCTATGGGCACCGAAGCCGTTCTTGCTCGCTGGCGGCTTCACTCCGTCTTCTGCTCGGGACGATGTCGACAAGGCTTACAAGGACAAGGACATTGCTATCGTTTTCGGGCGGTACTTCATCTCCAATCCGGATCTTGTGTATCGGCTGCAGCACGACATCGAGTTCACAAAGTACAACCGCGACACTTTCTACATCCCGAAGAGCAAGGAGGGCTACATCGATTATCCTTACTCCGAAGCGTGGCAAAAAGAGAATTCCAAGCTCTGAATGATGGTGGATTCCATTCGTAGAAATGAGATAGCTTACACTAAACTAGACTCTGCCACATGGCCGACCTATTCTATCTGCCATGCGCACTGCTGCCACGACCCTGCCATTCAGTGTCCTGTACTACTGGCTATCTACGTTTAGTGCGGATTCTCGGGAGATCGAAGCGCCAGTGTCGGCGGTGCTGGTTTTGCCGGCATCGCCTTTGGCTTCTTGCGGAGGTTGTGCTTGTAGGTTTTCCAAACAATCTTTTCAGCCTCCTCTGTGTTAATCTCGGCACATATCTTCCACCAGTTCAGATCAGCAAACCCGCCAGTTCGCAACAACAGGTCTCCCTTGTTGCCCCTCTCGTCCTGCGCGTGGTCTCTGATGGCGCTGGAGTAGTCCCCTTTGTGGTTCCCCGTGAAGCCCTTCTTGGGGGCTGGGAAGTTGGTTCCGGGGTATACTGTCAAGCTTCGGTCCAATACGCGCCACTCTGGTGCGGCGTTCTTGATAAAGCCCGCAGGCTCGCGGTACAGGTGTTCGTTCGCCAAAGGCCAGGGTGACAAGTCGTACTCGTCCCATGGATTGACCCTGTGCATGTCTGCTGGCCATGACAGTTTGGGAAGCTTTGGTGGAGGCGCAGGAAGTAGCTGATCGTCGTGAACACCAGGTGCTGGACCCTTGATGCTTCACAATCTGGCTGGTGATGGAGTTCGGCGTGCGCTTGAGTATTTCGAGTAATGTAGAGCGCCTGAAAGAGAGAAGCAGTATTATGGAAGAAAGGAAGCTCGCATTGGTGCTCCTGACGCCGAGCTAAATAGGCCTCTGAGCGGGCCAGCAGACTTACTGTGACACAGTGCGAAGGAGGCGAACAATTGAATGGTGCCGCAGTGGCGGCGGTGACTATTCGCAAGACGCAGTGAATGAAGGGGCCTGATCTTTGCGATGAACTCTTGCAAGCCGCGGCCGCTCATTTCTTCGGCCTTTCGTACTGAGTAGTTGCTACATAGTCCTTTTCAGGTCCTTTGACGATATGTGTAACCTCGAACTCCCGCAAGGCAATTCCACGGAGCGGTATCCGATAACTAGTCGTGTACATGTCCTTTATGCAAAGGTGGTCCGCCTTGGCAATGCAGGCACCGGCTTTGCGTGCTTCGGCTGGTTTGACAAATTGTAGCTCGTGAAAAAGATAGTCGACTTCGAGGGGTTTGTCCGGCTTGACGAACCAGACACTCAGTGAATCTGTCGCTTCCGTGTATCGGTAAACATAGCGGCGGCTTGCGTTCATTGCAAAGCCGGTTGACGTGGTAAAGGTGCCAGACTCCACGTAGATGTACTCCAAGTCAAACTTGTCGATGGTTGGCAGACGTGGGTGGAAACTGGCGGTGCCTTCGAGAACTCCGGAAGGAAACGTACTTGAGGCGCTTTGGATCTTCCGAGTGATATTCCACTTCCCGTGAAATGCACGAAATGCAGCTCGTGGGACATACTTCCCATTTGTGAGACATTCATGCCACTCCTGGTGCAGCTCATCCATTATAGCGTTTGCTTCCGCTTTATTCGTCGAGGGCGAGAGGTAGCGCGCTGGTGATATGCAACCTTCGCGCTCGCCAAATGCTTGATGATTTTTGTCCAGTCCAAGCTCATTGGCGATGTCTTCGAGATAACCCAGATAGTCGCTAAACCAGAACTGAGGAACGTCCGCAGCCTTGTCGTGCATGCTTTGCCGCAAAGCTAGCAGTTTGTCTTTTGCTTCGTACCATCGCCTCTCGGACAATCTTCCGTCGAGCCATCGGTGTGCGGTCAGCTTGGCCTGCATCTCCATCATTCCCCAATATGGACCCTCGTAGAACCCAAGGAAGGAGATGTTCCGTAAGTCTCTGGTCGTGGTCTGCCACTGCTCCAAGATCATGGGTAGCCTCAAGCTCATTGCGTCATATTTGATCGCCTCCTTCGTGGCATCGTCAAGGATTTCCAAAGCCGAGCTTGGATTATACCCATTGGCGTAGATAATGGCTGCAACATCCTTGAGGGTATTCTCCTCGCCCTGCTGCTCGACATGTGCGGACACAGTGCCGTCTTCATTCGGTAACAATCGCTCTACGCGGCCAGGTACAACATCGATGAGCCCACTTCTTACGTACTCTGGATAGCTCTCCGTGAGGGCGACATACGTCGTCCCTCGTTTGGCACCTTTCGCCGATACCAATGCCGGGCTGATGTCGGACTGATCACCACCAACCATTCCCTGCATCATTCCGTGGACCATGTCTCGAACCTCCATAGTCTGCTTCCCTGCGTAGGACCCGACGCTTGCGGGACGCCTGCCGAAGTCGTAGAGCTTGAAATCTAAAGGAACATAGGACCTTGAACCTTCTTCGTATTCGTTGAAGTGCGGCAATGCATATATTGGCCTCGGTGTGACATGAACAATGGTCATATCTTTGTACTTGGCTGCCAGCACGCGGTCTGGCGACCATTGAGCGTTAGACAACTGGAGGGCGACTGCTGCCGCCGTCTCCCCTGAAGAGTTACCCCCTCCGAGCATCAAGATCTTTTTGCCTTTCACACTGCCGGTTCCAGAGAAGAGATGATTCAGGTCTCGAAAAGCGGAGCTGTGTATGATCCTGACAGGTAGGTCGGGTGTGCCATTGCTCATCCCAGCCACGCTCTGTTCTATGGACCTTGGCTTTGCGAAGAAACCACTGGCCATTATCAGGTAATCGAAGTGGTGGCATTTGACCTCTCCCTCGCCATGAATGGCTGTCACATCCCAACCAGATCCACTCTGCTCGACTTTGTGCACCTCAATGCCGAAGTGGATGACCGAGTCCGGGATGTACTTCTTGCGGTACATCTCCAGATACCGGTTTGCCATCCAGGCCTTTGGAAACATGGGTGGTTTGTGGGCGTTGGTTTGACTAACTCGAGTGAGATCTTTGCAATCTTCGCCATAGTCGACGTTCTTCCAGTCCAGATCAGAGAATCCAACAGTAAACCGGGAGAGGTTCGTAGGGGTGAACGGGCTGAGGAAGCCATCTTTTGACTCCCGATCCAAGGCCCAGATGCCGCCGATTCGATCATTCTTTTCATACACCGTGACGTTGAACTGCTCGGTCTGTATGAAGGTCTTCGCCGCGACCAATCCAGCTGGTCCTCCGCCAACGATGCAGAGAGACTTCATCGTGTATTTTGATGACTTGGAGCCTGGAGTAATCATGCTCCAGACGTTACCGTCTCTTACAACGTTCCTGCGAGAAAGCCATCTCAGACTGGTTATTGAGTGAGTGGGAGTCAGCATTCACTGTGACCACGGATGCCCTTTCCTGCGGCTGACGAGCACACCTGTGGCTGAGCTCTCACACTGAGCTCTTGCTCGCCGCTTCTCAAACGCGAATCCACTTAAAAACAACACATCGATCGAGAGTCGCCATTCCATTCACCGAACAGAACCCAGTATCCAAAGAAGTGATCGACCAGCCTACCCAAAAGACCAGTCAGGCCCTCAGGAAGATGTCCGACCAAAATCACTACGACCAGTCCCAAGGCGGCCACAATCAGAACCTCCCGAGCAGCAATCCATGGAGCCAGCAACCCTCCTACGGCAGCGCTCCTAATCAACAGCAACAACAGCAACAGCCGCAACAGCCGCAACAGCCGCAGCAACAGTATGCAGGCTACGCGCCACCCAGCGGTCCTCCACCAGGCCAGCAACCTCAGCGTGCGGGCACCTTCAAGGAGTCCGACTTCGTGCCCGAAAGTGAGCGTGGTGAGCAGCGCGAAGCCATCCAGCAGTATGAGATGAGCAAGACCGGCAATGAGAGCCAACAGGACCGCGATGTCGAGCAGTTGCAGAGAGAGTTTCCAGGCGTGGACGGCAGTCTGATCTCCGCGCTCTATAACGACAATGGTGGTCTTGCCCCGACACGTGAGATGCTGCAGGAACTTGCTAGCTCGAACGTATAGGGATGGTTAGGTGACGATTGGGACGATGTCGACGGATACGAACGCACCATGCACGAGAGGGTAAATGGTGGTGCAGAGGAGCAAGGACCGTCGATCAAGGATGGATTGCTACCGTTAATGAAGGAAGCTAACCTCTATGTCGAGCGTACTATCCTAAGCTCATGATCTGGCACGTGACGAGCGCCTCTCTATCGTCGTTTTTCTACGCAACTCTCACTCTCACTCTCACGGCTCCGACACTGTCGCAGGTCCATCAGGACGCCCTCCAGAAGTGTACCGTGCTCCTGAAGACCACCCTCTGAGTAGTAGCCAAGGGGTGGACGTGAGCAGGAGAAGTTCTTCCAGATGAGCAGCACTGGTCTCCTGAGTCAAATTTGCCGGGTCGTAGCGAAACCTACCGGGAAGTACATGGTCTCGTTGAGAATTGTGCTGGTGCAGGAAAGCTGTGACTTGTGGTAGGATCATTTTCGATTAAGCCTGCCCTTCTCGCTTTAGTCTTGCCAGAGTAGCCTTTCCCGCAGAAGAGCTATTGGACTTTCCAATCTGACCAGTGATCCAGTCTCCTATCCTGCTGACTTCGTCCAAATCAACACCGGTGTCGGCACCCAACGTATGCAGCGAGTATACCAGATCTTCCGTCGCCACATTACCAGTCGCACCGGGTGAATATGGGCAGCCACCCAGACCCCCAACGGCGGAGTCAAACGCTCTGATACCATGATCAAGCGACACCATCGTGTTGATCAGGGCTTGGCCGAACGTGTCATGGAAGTGCATGGCGATGTCTTCGTTCCTGATGCCGGCTTCCTTGAGCGTTTGCAGGAGCTTCCGGGTAGCTGGTGCAGTGCCCATGCCTAGAGTAATGGATAGACGGTCAGCGGATGTTCTCGAACAGACTATCATGTTGCCAACGATACGTACCAGTGGTGTCGGCGACGCTAACCTCGTCCGCGCCCATCTCCATCAGATCAGTGGCTATCTCCGCCACTTTATGAGGATCCACGGCACCCTCGAATGGGCACCCTAGTGCGACCGAGATATACGCTCTGACTGGGTAATTCTGCTTGCGACTTTCCGCCATCAGTGGTCTGAACCTGTCCAGACTCTCCTGTATGCTGCAATTTGTGTTTTTCTTGCTAAACGACTCGGTAGCCGCCATAAATATCGAAACCTCATGCCTCTGTCCACCCTCCGTCCTCGATGTTGACATGCTGTCCACGCCTGACGTGGTGGCTGGCATCGCGTTGGGGTCTTGAGAGGACGTGTTCAACGCGGGACCGTCGTCCATCTTCGGGGACGGTGGAGGTGTAGGGTAGCCATCTGGGGCGGACGGAGAAGTGTTCATCACTTTGAAGTAATTCTCGAGGCCTTTCGAGTTTGGCAGCAGCCACTGATATGTGATTGGTAGTTGAGACGATGGAGGGCTCTTGAGTATGCTCGAAAGGACCTGGTCGCTCGCCGCCATCTGTCCGGAAGGTCAGTATGCCCTCCATTCTCGATGTCGGTCGCTGCTCCTACCTGAGGGACCCATTTCGGGTGCACGAATGAGCCAGCCTCGATCGTATTCAAGCCTGTCCTTGCCAGCCTATTAATCAACTCGATCTTGGTCTCAACCGGTATGCTGGTCTTTTCGTTCTGGAGGCCATCGCGTGGTCCTGAGCGGTAGAGGCGAACGGTCAGCAGCTGCTTGGAGCATTCATGGGAGAATGGCAAGGGAAGACATACCTACTTCAATGATTCGAACCTGGTCTGCGCAAGCTCGAGAAGAGGAGCTGAAGTTGCGGTTGGAGAACTGAGCGAAGGCTCGCCGACGGAGCAATCTGGATGTGAAGGATACCGACATGTTGAGAGCATAGAGCGCTCACTGGAGGATGGGCACTACATGTGGTGTCTGTTGATTTAACGCCAGAAGAGACGACGACCTCGAGCTCACGCGAGCCGAGCTTCACATGGCAGCCGATGTCGGAGGCCGTGTTCAAGCGCTGTCAAACGATGCGGCGAGGCGGACTGACGAACTTTCGGGACGACGTCACAATCAAGAAGCATGAAGCCACATATCAAATGGTTTCAAGACGCCATCAATGGCCCAACTATGGATTCGCGTAACCGAGAGATGTCTTTCAGATGTCCCATCCGTATCAAGTCCACGCCGTAACCGACAAGCTGCTCAATCTGTTCTGATCCTCCCTCCTTCGACCATGCTCCAGGCATTATAACGACAAGATGCACGCCGATCCGGACGGCGACTTTAGCAGCTTCGAAGCTGCCCTGTCGAGCCTCCTTGTACGACTGCAGAAATGATTGCAACAGCCTGTTACCAATCTGTTGATCTCGAAAGACCTCCAAACAGTACATCTCTGCGGCCATCTGCCCGATGTCGAACTCTGCCGTCCCCGGCTTCGAAAGTTCTAGATCAATGATATACATCTTGACGGCCTCGTCCACTTTGGCATCTACGAGAACATTGCCAGTCCAGAAGTCGCCAAGAGTGAGGACATCGTTGGCTTCATTGACCTCTTGTTGGCCTACACAAGCTGCTTCTTGCAAGAACTCGTCCTCGTGCCCAAATTTCTCAGCCGCTGCCGGCAAACCACCGAAGTACAGTGTTCCGGACAGGTACTTGGCAGTCATATTGCCGTTGAACCTGGACTTGACGTCCAGTGCATTTGCAGTCATATCATGGACCCTCGCGAGATACCGCCCAAGTCTCCGACCGACTTTGGAGGCCGCTTCGACACCGACGCCGGGCTGAAGCCATCTTTTGACACTTGGGCGATCCCCAGCGTCCTCCATTACAAGGACGTAGTTCTTGCGATCGTAGAACAGTACCTCGGGCGTGCGGATTGACCTGTCGGATTGCATTTCTGGCCCTGACAGATAGTCCATTGCTTCGTACTCGAAGTGCTACTCAGGCTGGTTAGACTGTCTGCCGCTGCTCAAATTGGGATATGGATGTACCATCCTGCTTTGATCAAGCTTCCAGTGCTGCGCACGTGCAGCGTAGCCTTCTGCGTGTTTCACAATCACTGAAGCACGAGCAGCGTCTTGTAGATGTGCCCTGTAGACGAAGCCACCGAACCCTTCCGGTAGACGCTCTACGGTCGTGACTTCGCTACCCTCGTCATACTCACTCTTGTGAAGCCAAGTCAGAATACCATCTTCAGTAGTGAGGTCGTACTCGTGGGGCATCTTGAGCAGATTCTTCTTGCAGTCCTGTTGCTGGAGCGAGATCTCGGTGGCCTAGCACGTTGATTGAAGACGAGCACGTCGCTATATGTGCTTTCCTTTCCATTTTCACTGGTACAGTGAGGTTGGAGGTGTATCAAAATGAGTCGAAGTGAGTGACGCGCCTGGCGCTTGGACCGCAACGCGTGAAGCGATGTTGTCTCAGATTCAATCTTGACTTTCGACTTCACTTCCTCGCTGCCGTCGCTTCTCCCTCGTATTGTATCTTGTCGAATAAGTGACTTACTCCAGAGCCCATTCAATGAGCGTTTGAGCCCAAGGAGCATTCGTGATGCAGCATCTGGCCCAAAGGGTAGGACTTTCCTTTCACCGCTTGCCTTCTCTGTTCGACTGCTACACGAAAAACGATAAGTCCCCTTGCGAGATCTTCATCTTTTGTCATTTTGAAGAAGAGTCTGTTTCTTCGTGTATCCTGAGCAAGCAGTCTCGTTCTACTGCAGGTACAGAGCGCGAGCTCTGACGTGGCATCTCAGCCTGATGACCAAAGGGACATGGTCTTGCTCCGATGTGGACTTCGACAACCCGGCAAGACCAACCATGACCATTGAACACGCCGGGGCCTACACCAACGGCTGCCGGACCGTCCGGTTAGATTGGCCTAGGCGCGTCTCTTGAGCTGCCCACAGGGTCATATGGCAAGCTTATGCTCCACCCGACGTACTCTCGAGTCAACGCAGAAGTTCTCATCTAGCCAGTGGAGATACTATCAAGCCAGCAAAGACATTCAGGAGTCAGAAACAAACAGGGGAACTTATAGGCGAACATGGCTTCGACATCGACAGCAACCTCTTCTACCGCGGTAGCCAGCGACAGCTCTCGAGCCCAATCCGAAGCACGAGCGGCTATCCTCGCGTCTCTGGAGTCGGCGGGATCAGGTTACGACAGTCAGCTGCAACGTCGAGCAGCGGACCTACACAGCAATGCGGCCGCCATCGCCAAACAAGAAGCCGAACTGAAGAAGCAAACCGCGGCGCTGGCCAAAGAGAATGCCAAGTGGCAAAAGGAGCTCACCAAAACCACGAAGGGGCTGAATCACTACGGAGATCTACAGAACTGGGCCGAGACGATGGAGCGGGACTTTGCGGTGCTGGAGGAGACCTTGCGACTGGTGGAGGGAGGGCAGGAAGTCGAGAGGGCCAGCGGTGGAAGCCAATGGCGTTGACGGAGGAGTCTTCAGGCCATCGAAGTCGACTTGCGTTCATGCTCTCTATAGTTGTTGCTGGCTTTGACTATTGAGGCTCTCCTTCGCCTCCAGAGAAACTACCTCCTTCCTCAATTATCCCACTTCACAAGAACCCTACTGTCAATAACGGAAGTGTAGAAATGCCATGGAGCACCAAAATGATGCAGCCCGATCACGGAAGAGCTTACCTCGTCATGCAGGGCAGCTGCTCAAGCTTCAACAACAACACCTCCTCAACCAACACTTGGAACAATTATGCCTGGCCGCATACAAGATCGAGTAGCCATTGTCAGCGGCGGTTCGAGTGGCTTGGGTCGATCGATATGCCTCAAACTGGCTTCAGAAGGCGCAAAAGTCCTGATCGTCGACCTATACGAGTCTCCCCGTAACCAGACGAACCAAACAACAGGCAAAGCCGACGACTTCAACAACCGCGTATCAGATTCCGAGAGCACGCTGGCCGAACTACAACGACTCTACGGGCCTTCCCACTCCGCTTTCGCGAAAGCAGATATCACGCAAGCGTCTGGCGTGGAAGCAGCCATCGCCACATGCGTCGAAACATTCGGCCGCCTGGACATCTTGTGTTGCAACGCTGGCATATCAGTCGAGTCAACGCATCCACGACCGCTCGGTGTGCACGAAACTAGCGAATCGGACTTCGACAAGACGATGGCCATCAACACCAAAGGCGTCTTTCTCTGCTGCAAATACGGTCTCACGCAGATGCTGAAACAGGACATGCTGCCCGGTGCTAAGGATCGAGGATGGATCGTCAATACGTCGTCGGTTCAGGGATTGGCTGCTTACTATAACACTCGTACGTTTTTCCTCTCGCCTTGACATCATTATACTGACGGGTGTCAGCCGCCTATACAGCAAGCAAGCACGCAGTGGCCGGCCTCACCAAGCAGATAGCCCTGGACTACGCACCCCATCGCATCCACGTCAACTCGATTTGTCCCGGCTTCCTACGCACGACGATGACGCAGAATCTGCAGAACGACCCGAAGCTGCAGGCGGAGATCGACTCGCGGCATCCGTTCGGCGGGATGGGAGACACAGACGATGTCGCGAAGGCGGTACTCTTCCTTGCGAGCGACGACTGCGGATGGGTGCAGGGCGTCAACCTGCCGGTCGATGGGGGTTACATGGTCATGTGATAGCTTTGTTCAGACAAGTCAACCCCCAAGGCGCTGTATGCTTGTTGATGAGTGGAAACTTCCATCTGCAACTTCCAGACATCTCGACGCAAAGCATTGAGATTTGACGGTGTTGACATCTTTCTTCACATACCCACATATCTACGTTTCCACCACGTCCCGCATCATCCACCTCCCATTGCAAAGCGCCACTACCAGCGCCATCAATGCACCTCATCCCGCATCCAGCCCATCTATCTCCCACACTATCTTCTCTATAGCCGTCCGCGACTAAGATTACACAAAAACACAAAATCCATCCCTCTGACTCCGTGTGTATGGACAATGCTGCAGTAGCAGAATACAAGCCGCCATGAACGCAATCGAAATATCCAAGACCCCAGCCCCAGTAGAAGAAACAGACTCCAGGTCCAGCTCCGGAGAAGTGCAGATGAGGTACGCCGAGGCGGCAATCGCAAAGCATTGTTTTGTACAGAGTGCTGCTGATGAGAAAAGTGTCAGGCCCGTGATGGGTGCGCCAAACTCCCTTCCGAACACCCAGGCTGATGCAGATATGCAGCATGTATGACATCGACAATCTTCGGCCGACATGTCGGTAAGCGTTGCAGTCGTTTCGGAGGCCGTCAAAGCGTCTTGTGTTCCGAATGATAACGAGAAATATGAGGTCCACTAGCTCCAGGAGAACCAGGACCGCTTGCTGCTATTCCGCTTCGATTTCTTCACCGATCGCTTGGCCCTCTTCGTTGGCAGGTCTCCGTCGTAGTTGGCGGCTTTACAGCCGTTGACGAGGGAGTTTTGAGGCGTCTGGAAATGGGCGTCCTCCCTGGGAAGAAGTCAGTATGCTTTTCGGGAGAGCTAATGCGCTGCCAAAACTCACCAATGTGTCATGTTCGGGTTCTTGTAAGGAGCAGGATGCTTCGCAATGTAGTCGGTCGTTGGGAAGCCTTCCGGATCACAGGTCATCTCGCCATCTTCATCTTGATAGATCCGAACATAGTCCACTCTCATTGTCGCAGGAAGCAGAGGAGCTATGCCAGTCCAATTGATCGCCGAGAAAGAATCACTCATACCGAAATTGACGATGAGCGTCAAGGGTTCCTCAGGGATCGTGCGCTGTCCCACGTTGCCATTCGGGCCCAAAGACTTTCCCGTCACCTTCCACGTGTGGTCGTCGCCGACGTTCCAAACCACCTGACCATCGGCACCCGGGGTATAGTCGAAGCCATAGAGCTGGTATTCGTTACCGTCATACCAGTTGTTGTTCAGCGTGGTGACAGCGGACACAGCTTCCTGGAACGGGCCGCCCTGGTAGAAGTTGATGTGTGTGACGGAGTAGTCGTAGATTTCCTGCCAGTCAGGATTTGGTCGCCAGAACAGGTCGAAGGGTGCAATCTGGATCGACTGGGACGCGCCTCCGATGGCGTTCTGGTAAGGTTCTTTCATGTACTCAATCTGCGCTTCCAGCGCATCAATCTCAGGAGCACTGCGGCTGTAGCCCGGGTTCGGGTGATCCTCCCCTCTGCAGGTGCACGCCGGCAGGCGCATGCCGGGCAAGTAGTTCAGCCCGTCGGGGTCGGACTGGTTCACGGTGATGCCAGCGTCACAGATGTGGTCGTAGCTGTAAGGCCACATGCCGTCTGTCGTGGCCAGGTAACCCGGCCGCCCAAGATTGCCCATGGCCCAGAAACCAGGCCAAAAGCCAGCCGTGTCGCCTTTTCCGGGTAAAGAAATGGATGCCTCCATATATCCACCCTTGAAACACATCTTGTTCCACGACTGAAGCATGCCAGAGCGGTAGTTGAGATTGTGGTTCTTGAATGCGTCAAAGCGGAGGGCCAGGTATCCATCTTGCGTCGTCGCCGCGTCCGGGTCGTACCACTCCAGATCTTGCGTGGCGCCGTACCAGATGTCCACCGCCTGCCAATATGGGTCGTCGTTGTCGTAAAACGTTCTCCCAGGGGTATTGAACTCGTCACTGAAGACCAGCGTTTGGGTGTTGCCGTTGGCGCCTTTTCGCTGCTTTACGCTGTCGGGGGTATCGGGGTCAACAAGACCTGTCCGTACGTTTTGAAGAAGTGGCACCTTCTTGTGGATACACATCGGATCAGAAGTACAAAGATCTGCGCCTGGGTCCAGAGCGCCTTGCACGAATGTTCTACTCCTAGTTAGTTGCCGTCTGCGTCTGGAGGGCATGTAAACTTACAAGATCGGATAGACGATGAACAGCACCAGAATGCCCAGTGTTATCAACGCCAAACCTCCGACGTTCATCATTCCTCGCTTGCTAAACAAGTCTGCACAGTTCATCTTATCTCGATCATTCGGATCAGGCGTATGTAGCCAGTCGTCCTTTTCCACATCTTCGGGGAACAGAAGCAGCCCAGCTGACGGCAGGATGTTGTACTTTTCGCTGACCGTCTGTGTATTGACTCCCTCATCATCACTCCCCGCTCTTGATGGCGCTCGCGAGTCTTCGAAAGGATTCGCGTAGGCACCTATCCGGCTGTCTCTGCTAGCATCGGACCCTGATGACCACGATGTCCGCCTGCTGTTGAAGCCCGTCGACATTGGTGATCGCAGTGGGCTGTCCTCGTCTCGAAATTTCCTTGCAGACTTGCTCTTTCGTGGAGGTAATAGGAGTTCGTGCGAATCGGCAGGCGTGTGACTCTGATACACACCGGTGGAGCCTCCTGTAGAGCCTGCTGTAGGCGGCCTTCCAGGTGCTGTACCAGGCCGTTGCTGTTGTTGTGATTGGGAGGTTAACGATCGTGACGACGGCTGTCTAGAGGTTTGTGGCCGCTCTGGGGCGGTTTGCGCGTTCTGCTGGCCGTTCTGTAAGAGGTCATCGCTGCCAGAGTTGAGGCGGATGTGTGGCGGGCCATGCCGCTGCGGTGGCGGACCACCGGGGTCCATTGCGGGCGTGTATCAGATGGGAGGATCAGGAGAGGTGGTGGTGTCGTCGTCAATGGGCGGCGAGGTGTAGAGTTTCGGGATTGCCGCCCAGCGCGAGGCCTGCTGCGCCCTGAATTCGACTGCGATGAGAGTCGGGGTGGTGCTCGGTGTTGTTGTAGCCTAAAGCGAAAGTGGTGACGGTAATGGCCGGGTGTCGCGGTGGGAGAGGGTGTGGCAGGTGGTGGTGGTGGTGGTGCAAGACAAAGTCGAGGTTGGGTCTCGTCTGAGGTGCCGTCCCTGTCCCCTGATCTTTGACACGCCCCAGCACAGACGCCGATTACGTGCTCCACCAGCCGGGCTCCAGCTGCCAACGTCTTCGTATCGCTTGGGAGCAATCTGCCTCCGCCAATGCTCTTCCTAATCGAATTGGTGAAAGATGCGAGTAGCGAAGAGGTGGGGATACCTGTTGTTATGATCCTCGAGCAAGTCCCCGTATCCTGCCGCAGCAACGTCGACGGGACAAAACAAGAAGATGCACCTCAGATGCAGATGCAGCTCGCTCGGCAACGCCACAGATTCCCTGTCGACCTGGCCTCACTCGCCGCTCAACGTCAGCCTTAAGACACGCGACGGCCTTTATCATGCACTCTATATTTGGACGGCAACGCTGTATCTGCGCTTCTTCGACCGCCTGGACTCTCATATCACACTGCTACAGTACCCAAGCAAGCTCGAAGTCGACAATGTTGTAGAAAAAGACGTCGACGTGCGTGCTGTTCCTGGCCCCGTCAGCTCGTACCTGCAGATGCCGAGAGATCGCCACCCTTAACAAGATGTAGGTCCTGAAGACCCTGCTGCTTGAGTCAGTATGCGATACCACCACGACATTTCACCATCACATTCACATTCATGCTTGCTCCATACCGCTGTCTCACCACAGCAAGAGTCGCATAGCGATTTCGATTCTCCTACACTGCCAACTCCAGGCTTAAAGCCGGGTGGCGAATTCCACGATGGAGGAGGACCGTGCTGTATCAGATCTTGGCCCAGAGGTCAGCGCAGATCTCAACGGCGAAGGAGATGCGGCGCTCGAAAAGAAGCCAAAGCGACACTTCATCGGCCGGCGAGCAGCAGACGCAAAGGCTGCTGCGAAAGCACAGGAGAATGGTGATGCAGGAATCGAGGACAGCGGTGCGGTGCAAGGTAGACTGCTATCCGTGAGTTTTCAACGGACATATCTGTTAACAAATGATGTAGTTGCACCACGTCGCCGGCCAGCTCGCGCCTTGAACAACGTACCAGATGAGATTCTGCACGACAAAGCCATCAACGAGGCCATCGCATTGCTACCGAAGAACTACAACTTCGAGATCCACAAGACCATCCACCGTATACGGACTTCTGGAGCAAAGAAGATTGCTCTACAAATGCCCGAAGGCCTGCTCCTCTTCGCCACCACCATCTCGGACATCCTCTCACAGTTCTGCCCTGGCGCGAGCACGCTCATCATGGGCGATGTAACGTACGGCGCTTGCTGTATAGATGACTACACGGCAAGAGCGTTGGGCTGCGACATGCTCATACATTACGCTCACAGCTGCCTCATCCCGGTCAACGTCACCAAGATCCAGACTCTGTACGTTTTCGTTGACATCCAAATCGACCTTGACCACCTCCTTGCCACCATCGAGCGAAACTTCAAACCTGGCAGTACGATCGCCATGGTGGGTACGATCCAATTCAACGCCACTCTCCATGGAACCGCGCAGCAAATGCGCTCGGCAGGCTACAACATCATCGTCCCGCAGATAACGCCTCTGAGTAAGGGCGAGATCCTAGGCTGTACTTCTCCCCAGCTCAAGAAAGAGGAGAATGTAGACCTCATCCTCTACCTCGGCGACGGCCGCTTCCACCTCGAGAGCGCTATGATCCACAACCCCTCCACTCCAGCTTACAGATACGACCCATACTCTCGCCGTCTAACCCACGAGACATACGACCACGACACACTGCTCTCCGACCGAAGCAAAGCCCTTGGGCAAGCGCGGAAGGCGAAGAAATGGGGTCTCATCCTGGGATCTCTGGGACGTCAAGGTAACTCCAACACCATGACGATGATCGAGAATCATCTCCGCGATCGAGGGATATCGTGGGTGAATCTGCTGTTGAGCGAGATCTTCCCTGGCAAGCTGGCCATGATGGAGGACGTGGAGTGCTGGGTGCAGGTGGCGTGTCCGAGGTTGAGCATCGACTGGGGGTATGCGTTTCCTCGGCCGCTGCTGACTCCGTACGAGGCACTTGTGGTGCTGGGTGGGAGGGAAGGAGGATGGGAGCGTAAGGAGGGTGTTGCTGCTGGCGGAGGTGGCGCCTACCCGATGGATTACTACGGTAAAGAAGGCTTGGGGAGAGTTAAGCCGGAGGATCTGGCGAAGAGCGTGGCCGCGCCCGCTTGAAGTAATACACATTCGAGTTTCATGACTCCGCGATGCTATCGCTCGTCTTCTGCAGCAGTATCCTTCCGATCCTCACCCTTCTTTATTCTTACAGCAAACAATACCACGGCAAATCCGCCTATCACAAGCCCGGTAGCCAGGAACGGAAGGCCAACCAAGCCTCCGCCTAGCGAGAACCCGCGCTTCAACAGTCCAGCGAGTAGTGGTGCCCCTACCATCGTACCCAGAGTATCCACGATCGAGATGAAGCTGTACGCTGTCGCGATCTGGTCTTTCGGAAGCAGGGAGGTAATGAAGCTCCGCAGCAGTAGAGGTGCGCCTTGACCGAGCGATGCAAGGACCAGAGATAAAGCCACGGAGGCGAGGTTAGGCGCGAAGCTGAACATGCACCACCCAGCTCCCAGAAGGATTTGAGACGCTCGCAGAAGATAGAGGTCCTTCTTCATGACTGAGAGGTGTAGCCTGTTGACCAGCGTGTTGGAGACGAATGGGATGATGAAGAAGAGGAGAACCGCCACCGTCGCGCTGTAGATCATGGCTACGAGCGTGGCGTCGGAGAAGGTGATGTCGTAGCGAGCGCTGAGGTATTGTATCACCAAGGACGCGCAGACGCCAAGGAAATCGTGGCCCAGAAATGGTGCGATGAGGACGGGAACCCGCCAGTCTTCGAGGAGGAATGCTGTGGAGGTTCGGAACTGTTTGAGGCAGCGATCGGCAGTGGTTGTTGCTGATTGTGATTGAAAACTGAGTGGAGCATCAGGTTCCGGCGGGGGGAAGCTCTCAAAGGTGCTTGACCTCGCTGCGTCTATAGACGACGCTCGTGCTCCAAAGTTCAGTGTTTCTGGTGTAAGCGAGAACAAGGTCACCGCAAGCCCTTGCAAGCATGTCCCGGCGATGGCAGGTATCCAAGGATTATACCGCATCAGCCAGGCGGCTAATGGTGGCATTACCAGACCGGCCACAATACCAAAGGCACCTGCGCGCAGGAAGACGGCGCTCCGCTTCGCTTCAGGTGTGATGTCCGAGAACATGACAAAGGCGAGGGCTAAGGTCACCGCGCCACCTCCTCCGAGTGATCCAAAGAGGGCCGAGACCCACGTCATGCGGATGTCGAAGACTTGCCAGAACCAGGTGCTGCGATAACATTAGCTCAGACACTACTATAGGCGGTATGAAAAGACTCACACCAGCTGAATCCACGCGGACTTCAGCATAAGCGCTCCAAGACCTGCCAGCACAAACGGCTTCCTCCCATACCTATCCGCGGCCCAGCCAAGCGGGATAGCGAAGAGCAGGCTCGGTATGCAGTCTAAAAAGATCTGCCAACCTCGAAGGGTGACAAGCCTGGACTGCACTTCTCCGACTTTGCAGAACATCTCGTCGACACCTCCAATAGCACCCGGTCCGACATGACTCCGGTCAAGAAGTAGCTTGCTCGGGTCGCTCTGTTCGTAGTAAAGGTAGCACTCCACGGACTCGAGTATGCGCGTCTGAGGGCTCTGCAGTAGTGAATCGCCTAGTGAGTTGAGAAGGATGACTAGCATGAAGATGTGCGTGATTGTTTGGGTGTTCTGCCATGCTTTCGGTTGAAGAGGTGACTGTGGCCGTGAGTATGCGTCGTCTTCGGGTTGCGCGAGAAGAGGTACATCCTCGCTGGTATTTTCTCGCCGCGCTGGTGATTCTCGCATGGCTCCTGACAGTCGAGCCGGTGGCTAAGGCAGACCACAAGCTGATAGTCCACTTTCAGAAAAGGTCGCAGTCGAGACAATCAGGTCTGAGAGTTTAAAAAAAGAACGTGGCGAGCTGCTCGCCTCGTGTCGCCATTGACAATGCTTCGTCTTTCATATCATCTCATCGTCGCGATGCCACTGGAATACATGCAATGCAGCCAGCATAATATAAATGGCCAGGCAGCTGCATTTGGCTCGTTCTCGCGAAGTAGACCAGGAGAAAGCTGAAGTCTTGGTGCTGCGCCCACTGCGTGGCAGGGATGCGAACGCCGCTCACAATTCGGCTTCAAATCCTTCCAACTCCGCTCCGAAGACCGCACGAGTCTCGAATTTCGAGTGTATCGAATGATGATGAGACTCTTTAAGGAGGGACTGTTTCGAAACGCCGATATGGTCAGATAAGCATTCAAGCACAAGCTCGACGATACAGAGGACTGCCAGGCTGTGTACAAATTGAGGAGCTTTTCCGTCGTTACATGACTCTCTAGAACACAAGCTAAAGCATGCGCATACACATGGCCATGCTTCATGACATGAACATACGATGATCCGAAAGGGGAATGACAGCATCTCTGTACGACTCCTCACCTCACCCTGATCGCATATCCGTCCCCCACGATGGCTAGCGATGGATCTCGTCTACGGCCAACCGCTTGAGCTGGCGCCCTCCGCCCGGTCTCCGCCTCCCAGCGCACAGCGTCCTCCCGGACCCTCTTCCAGCTCTGGGGTCCCTTTCCGTTCACGCGGCGGCACAAATCACTATGAGGTCGATCAGCAACCGAGAGATCAATGGGTGGAGCTGTACTCACGCCACTCGACTTCGACATGCTCGACTTTTAAGTTCTGCCGCCCGGCGCTTCATTCCGTGCGGACTCTTCGATCTCTGGCAGCTGGCAAAAGATTGTGTTAGTATGCAGCAAGGCACCTTTCCAGAAAGAACGGGATAGATTCCTTCGCGGCATGCGATCTGGAGACGTCGAGTTTGCGCAGGCGGTCGACTGGGATGTTCGGGTACTCAGAGTCGGCTTGAATCAGCTCCTCATCATCCTCCATTATCGTGTCCTCGTCCTTCGCCGCTTACACAGCTGCGTCATGGCGCGCAAGCCCCTCCACGGCAGCATCATGATCGAACAACTTCTCGGCACTGTCGTCGGCTTCATCGAGCGCGATACGGAGCTCTTCGATATCCCTACCCAGCTGTTCGATAATCTTGTCGTACTCCTGTCCCCACCGAATGCATGCCAGGCTGCAACGGTATTCCAGAGAGTAGCGGCCTTGACACAGCAAGTGTTTGCCTCTAGCCAGTCGCCTAGGCAGGAGCCTAGGAGAATGGACGTCTTGATTTTGTGATAACGAGGAATAGCGGTGTGGTCGAGCAAGATGCGCGCTTGCTCGACGCATTCGTCCAGGCGGTCATCATCAAAAAGCTGGGAGCACTCGTTGTAGGCGTCGGTGAACTACCTCCTATCGGTAGTATTCATGTCGAGCGCGGTAGATCCTTGCCTGATGGCGTCCATGTTGAGGAAGGTCAGCTGATGATGGAGTTGAGACAGGGCTCCGAAGGTCTCAGAGGTGATGTGAAGACGAGCGAGAAAGTTTGCACACGCAACCTCACCTCATCACGCTGGCGGCCACAATTCTGTGCCGGGTCAGGAACCACTCACCCCGAGGGATGGTCTCGCTGCTATTGCAGGATACCTCCGCGAAGCCGACAGGCCGTCATGGAATAATGGGAGGAATCTAGGCCCCTCCGGGATGTATGCTCGCGGAGAGGCTGGAGCCAGGAAGAGATGTAGAGCATGAAAGAAAAATGCATCCTCGTAGGAATGCATGCAGGTTATGCAGCGCCAACAGGCCGAAATTTCACCCCTGCATGCCCGCCAGGCTAGCAGCTTTGTTCTCTGCAACATCATACTATCGTATCATACATAGAGGCTCGCCGCTTTGGGTCCAGGATATTTTCGAAGCCCATGAACAAACCACCAGACGACAGTCAGAACAACAACTCCCACCAAGATCACACTGTTCCAGTTCATAACTCCCAGTGGCTCCACCGGATAGGCGTATGGAAAGCAGAAGAAGACGTTGAAAAAGAGGATCAGCGTGCAGGCGATCGCATTTACAGCGTAGCCGTACTTCCCCATCCAGAATGGTCCAGCCGGGACGTTCTGGCGGTTTGTGAGTAGGTGGGGGAAGAACGCCAGGAAATAGCTCATGGTGGTCAGGATGATGAAGCTGCCCACTAGATCGGTGAATGCCGTTGCACTGCCGAGCTGAATTGCGCCAAAGGCGGTGCACAGGGTAGCGCATAGTATCGTCGAAGGCACGGGGCAGGAGAGTTTCTCGTTGACCTGCGAGAAAAATCCAGAGAAGGGCGTCGCGTTGTCTCGAGCCAGGACCCACCAGAGCCGCCCAACCATCAATATTGTTCCAATTGCACAGATGATGACGGACAGGAAGAGGATGAAGAGGAGTCCGAATGTCGCTCCTTGGCTCTGCGTCGCCTGCATGTAGACGGTCGCCAATGGGAAAGATCCATCACTATTAGTCACCTCTTTTAGATCGCTGATACCGTAGAGGATGGCAATGGCATAGAGGAAGGCCGTGATGAATCCGAGTCCAACCTGGGCGAACACAGCTTTGGGTAGGTCGACGGAACTGGAGATTGGAGATCAGACGGTCAGCATCCATCTTAAAATTGTTTCGGAGCTATCCTCCGTCCGACTCGCAGGCAGGACGGCTAAACTGAAGGGGACGTACGGTCTGGGTAGCTCTTCTGCTAAGTGCGTCACTGCGTCCGGCGTACCAATAGTAAAGGCGCCGTTGAGACTAGTCATGGTCAGCTACTATCTATATTCAAAGAGCCGGCCGGCATGTCAAGGACAACGTACACTCCGGTCAGGAAGGCGACGCCATTCGACCATCCCGTTTGATTCTCGAAGTCCTTCCAGACGAACTGTTGCAGACGGGACTGTCAGCAAACGTTCTCGATCCTCCGTCTACTCGAATCCTTCTGCCAATGATCGGATCGTTGTAGCAAGAAGTTATAACCCATGGGAGGCTGCGAGGGTGTCTGCACTTACGGCGTTCGTGGCATGCTGCTCCGGCATCGCAGCAACGACGATGATCGTCACCAGACCGCCAACCACAATCAGGAACAATCCAGCGTGCTGCAGGTGTGGGATCAATCGGTTGCAGAAAATAACGAACGCGGTACACAACCAGGTAACCAGCACGAAGGCCACATACCTAGAGTGATGGATGGAACGGTTAGCAGATCTTTCGACAGTTGAAAGGAAGATGGCCCCTCCACCCATCAGGTTGACTTACTGATGCCATGGCTCAATGGCGAACCCCGGGTGAAAGACAGCATACATCTGCACGAGTATGTTCGCCGGGATCGAGACAATAGAGGCGAGGTCGAATATCCAGCCAAAGAAGTTGAGCGATCCGCAGAAGAACCCGATGACTCTTCCGTATCGCGGGCCAGGAGTGATGGATGCCCAGTGATATACGCCTCCAGATGAAGGCACCGACGAGGCGAGCTCAGCAATGCTTGCGCCCACGAACTGACAGAGGATGAATCGATCAGCTGTGCTCGCATGCGGGAGTCTTCCACATGACACTTACGGCGTAGTAAACGCAGGCGGTGATGAACTATGTAGGATCAGCAGTCGTTCTCCATTGTGGCCCCCATCTTTCAGCCATTCACTGACCTCATATAAAATTCCAGGTGGACCTCCGTTCAAGACTGCGACTGCCAAACTACCCCCGAATGCCACCCAAGCATTGTCAATGGTGAGAGCTAATCCACAGATGGACCACAGACCATACTGTCGTTGAAGCTGGTCTCGATGGCCGGAGGCATTGACGATCGTTCCTTCCTTCGAGACCACAGAGGTTCTCTTGTCCGCCGCTTGCTTGAGGGCATCAGGCGACAGAACGTCTCCATTCTCTGTTGGCTGCTTCTCCTGGAACGAAGCAGCTGCAGCGTCCTGGAAAGACATGCTGCCTTGTCGCAGAGGATCCACGTCGTCTCCAATCTAAGATGACCTGAGAGGTTGGCCACCGGCTGTTCTCGCTCGCAAAGGTGATGGCGCGTGAGGAGGTTTGTTCGATCGCAAGTATAATAAGCGGGATGCTCGAGAGACACGAGGTCTAGCATGCGGCTTCTTCTACTCGTTACTAGTACGGAATAGGCCACTCGAAACTAATCGCAGTGGCCATTCACCAACGTGGGCCACCCTTGCCTGGTTCTGCCACATTCACCAGATCTCGCCTGCATCATCGCCAATCTCTGTCGATTGGGAAAGACATGGGCGTAGATAAGAGATTGCTCCACGCGCATCAATCAGATTTGAGAAGCGGCGCAGTGTCACAGGGCTGATTTACCGAGAAAAAGTTCTCTGATAGCCGTCCTCGCTGACCAAGCTCTTTACCAATTGATTCCACGTGGGAGCTTTCTCAGAATGACTGAGTGTCATCCTGTAAGTTAGGTGAGGTGGAACAACTGGGCAATGTCTCAAAATGAAGGGAAGTTGCTTCCTTCCCAATACAGGTTAGCTCTCCCGGTACCCGTCCCGCCCTGCTAGCAGAAAAGCAAATCCGAACTTCTCCTGATCTCACCGTAAGCCTTTGTCGGAACCCGTCAGGAAACGACCGCCTCGAGGTCGCTCCGCAGCTTGAATGGCCATGCAAACGCACGTATGGATCCACGAGCTTGCACGGGGTACCTTTGTCCGGAATGCTCATCAGGTCCACGGCAATGCTTATTACAACGTGATCGCGTCGCCTTGCAGCATGTTTGTCGATCATTTTTCGGCCACTGATAAGCTCGCAAACTTGCATCGCCGCCAATAGAAGTCGAGACGACCTCTATCTCACCGGCGAAGTATTCGGCGTATGAGTGAGCCATTGAGTCTGACCGAGCTCGCATTGCACAGAGTCCGCAAGCTCATCCCAAACACAGTGCAGTCTCAATGCTGTGAAGGCGTTGCCGGCTACAGCGAGCTCCTCGCATTAGTGTAAGTACCAGTTGATTTCAATAGACTTCACACCCATCCCTCCTCCTTCCATACATGTATTTCCAATCTTCTCCTCTACTGCCCTGCAAATATGGGACGCAACATCGACCATCGCCTCCCTGACTCTTCTGGTCCTGAAGATGATACCATCACGTCAAGAGCTGGTTCTGGGGCTCAAAGTAGTCCTCCAGACGAACACACTGGCCTCCTCGTCAAACATGCGGACGGTATATCAGGAAAAGACGAGCTGAGCGAAGATGGGGAAAGCAGTTGGAAGCGCACTGCCAGGGAGTTCTGGATCTTGTTCAAGGGATCCGTCCCCGTGATCCTCGCCTATGCTCTCCAAAACAGCCTGCAAACAATCTCGGTCTTGGTCGTCGGTCGACTCAGCCCCGAGGCCCTATCCGTTGCCGCTTTCTGCTACATGTGGGCAATGGCTACGGCTTGGCTAATCGGGATGGGGGGAACAACGGCCATCGACACTCTGGCAAGCGCATCTTTTACTGGAAGCAAGAACAAGAGTGACCTGGGCATCATCCTGCAGCGCGCTTTCGTGGTGTTGACAGCTTTCTACGTTCCGGTGGTCATCTTGTGGTTCTTCTCGGCCCCAATCTTTCGGGCGTTAGGCCAAGAAGAATACATCGCTCGAGACGGGGGAGCCTTCCTCATGGTCCTTATTCCAGGCGGCCTTGGATACATCTACTTCGAATGCATGAAGAAGTTCCTACAAGCGCAGAGCATCATGCGGCCAGCGACATATGTACTCCTGATCACCTCACCCATCAACGCCGGGCTCAACTTCTTGTTCGTATACACATTCGACATCGGTCTCCTGGGCGCACCTCTCGCCACCAGCATCAGCTATTGGCTGAGCTTTCTATTGCTGCTGGCGTATGCGCGCTTTGTCAACGGCTGGGAATGTTGGGGAGGCTTTGACAGAAGATGCTTCCAAAACCTATGGACCTTTTCGAGGATCGCCGCTTTCGGTGTGGTTCACGTGGGCACGGAATGGTGGGCTTTCGAGATCGTTGCCATCGTAGCTGGCCAGCTCGGGAGTGTTTCGCTGGCCGCGCAGAGTGTGATCATGACCGCGGACCAGGTGATGTATACGATACCCTTCGGGCAAGGAGTCGCAACTTCAGCCAGGGTCGGGAACCTACTCGGAGCTCGAGATGCTCGCGGTGCAGCTCGAGCGGCCAACACTGCTGCTGTGCTCTCAATGGGCCTTGGCCTCGTTGTGTTGGCGATTCTGATGGGCACGAAAGACAACTTCGCAAGACTTTTCAACAATGACGAGGATGTTGTGAGACTCACAGCAAGAGTACTACCCTATGTTGCACTCTTTCAGGTCTCTGATGGGCTCAATGGCAGCTGCGGCGGATCATTGCGTGGCATGGGACGACAGCACATAGGCGCAGCTGTGAATCTTCTCAGCTATTACTGCGGAGCTCTGCCTCTTGGCATCTGGCTCGCGTTCCATGGCTGGGGTCTGGCGGGTCTCTGGCTTGGGCAATGCATCGCCCTATACCTTGTGGGCTTTATCGAGTGGGCGATTGTTGCTTTCAGCAACTGGGACAAGCAAGTCAAGAAGGCATTCGAACGGATGGATCCAAGCGAAAGGGCGGAGATTGGCGAAAGCCAAGGCAGTTGATATTATATATTATAGTCAAGCTGTCGCGGATCAATTCACAATTTCCATTTCGTGGCCTTGTCCAGACCATGACCCGTCTTCACCGCCTAAGTGGCAGTATGTCGTAGCTGATCGACATGTCCCTGGAGAACACCACCCCACCTCTTATCTATCATCACCAAACACCATCACGTCAGACAGCAGAAAAGCATTGCAGTCAAGGCCCAAGCTGTCCGGTGGTGATAGTCTGACTTCGGCGTTGCAATGCGAAAACGTAAGAACAACACCGATGAACCCGCCGGCAGACGCCCCTAGGCACACCGTTCTGCCTATCTTCAGGAACAGTCGTAGCTCGATGCAGACCCCGGCGACCTTTGAGATGGTGACGACACATTCGTCAGATTGTCCTTCCTATTTGGAGTAGCTCTGGACGAGCTCGTCTTCACCGTATGGTGTCGTTAGGTAAACCTGCGAGTAAGTACACGTGAGGACGATAACAATGCTGCAAGTCGTTGCTAGGGTAAGCAATCTCTCTCTTTTCGTTCTGCCATCATTGTCATCTCGACACACAAGATCAAAGATGTTGAACTCCATTCCATTCGTGCTTGCTCTAGCAGCCTACACTCAAGCTCACGCTGGACACGAGCACGATCAAGAGCCACTAGCTGGCCCTCTGGAAAAGCTATGGTACAACACGATCCCGGGTGATGGAGGCACTCAGGTATGACAGCATCGAGAAAATGGAGGAGCGACGGGAGAGCTGATATCTATTAGGCAGACTCGGTCTTCTCGGGCATCAGCACCTTCGGCAGGCTTCCTTACCACCCATGCCTCGCGAACGAAGACGTCAAGTACGACCTTGCGTTTATAGGTGAGCGTTGGGCATTCGAGGCTCTTGGGGATATGGCTGACGGTACACTCCGTGGATACCAGGCGCTCCGTTCGACACCGGTACCTCTTACCGCCCTGGTGCAAGATTCGGCCCGTCAGGTATAAGACAGGGCAGCAGAAGATTGAACCTCTAGTAGGTGGTCAACAAGGTGTTTGAAGTGTCTTTGGGGCTCACCAAGACCCCTTCTAGTGGCGGTTACAACGTTCCGCTGGATGCGAACCCCTTCCATGACTGGGCAAAGGTCCTGGACTGCGGTGACATTCCAGTAACATCGTAAGCAACATCGTTCCTGACAGTCGGTCTGAGACTGACCATGTGCAGCTACGATAATGCCTTTGCTATTCATCAGATCGTACGTCATGTTCACCGGGCGGAAGAGCTCATCTTCGTTTCCGCCATCGATACACCTGCTGACCCCTCCATCTACCACTCCAGGAAGAGGGCCATAACTCGATCCTGATGCGAGAGCCCGCGACCAATGCAAAGGCCAAGGGCCTGTCAAAGAAAGGCAAGACCTTGCCACGAGTGATTACGCTCGGCGGCGACCACACCATCACACTGCCTCTTCTCCGCAGCATGAACAGAGCATATGGTCCGATCACGGTCATCCATTTCGACTCCCATCTTGACACCTGGAGGCCGAAGGTGTTTGGAGGTGCCCCAAGCCACCAAGCCAGCATCAACCGTGTGTCAATAGGTATCCTCCCTCTACCATACCTACTGACCATACATCAGATGGGACATACTTCTACCACGCCAGCCAAGAGGGCCTTTTACGCAACGACACCAACATCCATGCCGGCATCCGCACGACTCTCAGTGGGTTAAGCGATTACGAGAACGATGGGTACTGCGGATTCCATATCGTGGAAGCGAGGGAGATTGATACCATTGGGACGGAAGGCATCATCAAGAAGATACACGAGCGAGTCGGTGGGTACCTTGTGCGCATGGAGACATCTCGCCACATGCTAAAACCAGCAACAGGCCACACTAACCCCGTCTACCTCTCCATTGACATCGATACGCTCGATCCAGCATTCGCCCCAGCGACTGGGACGCCTGAAACTGGCGGATGGTCCACTCGTGAGCTCCGTACAATCATCCGTGGGCTTAAGGGTATCAATCTCGTCTCGGCAGACATTGTTGAGGTCGCTCCGGCCTACGACACGAATGCGGAGCTCACCACGATGGCCGCAGCTGATACGCTGTATGAGGTGATGTCCTTGATGGTGTTGGGAGGACCCCTGAGTGTGAAGGAGGATGACAGCAGCACCGAAGATGCGTGATTCGCTGTTCGAAAGAGTCATATGCTTTTCGAGTTCACAGCCTCATTGGGGCGAGATAAAGCGTACCAGTTGCATTCTGTTCCAGGTAGCATTGGTCAGAAGGAATAACAGATTTTCAAAGGGTTACTTCCGTTCCCTAAACCGTTGTCGTTCCCTCCGTGTTCTCCAAATCGGGCTCGATCGAACTCATTGAGAGCAAAGTCCCCTCCAGGCTGTGAGTGATTTTGTTTCGAACGGTTGGTCACCACCAAGTGGACTCTGCCGTAAGACCAAGCGTGTCGACGTCAAACGCCGGGTGGACTTCGCCTTCCAGTCGTGGACGTCCCTTGATCATCCATCTTCGTGTTTCGTTGAGATTGTGGGGGCCTCGTATCCAACCAGGTGTCGAGTCGACGAGGTCTGGCATTGGATGTCGTTGGAGAGACCGTCCGGGTTGGTCGGACAAACGCGGATACAGCCAATGAATCCCTGGCGGGCGCTTCGAGCGGAAACCGTCATGAGCTGACGCGAAACTGCGGAAGGTCTTGCCATGTTCTCAACTGGAATCAGCCTTTTGAGTGCGCAGCGATTATGGCACCTCAAATCTTAGTATTCGGTCTACCGCGAACAGGCACGCAGAGCTTGCTAGATGCTCTCGAGATCCTTGGTTGCAGCAAGACCTACCACATGCGCAACGTGCAAGAAAGAGGCCACATCGACGACTGGATCACGTTGCTGAAGCAGAGGAACGAAGGCGAGGGAGTTAATCTCAGTCTGCTTGACCATCTGTTGGATGACTGCGAAGTATGCATAAGGAGCAGCGGTCACTCCAACTAGTAATCGTTTTGACGGACATTCACAGGCGGTAGCTGACTTTCCAGTATCAATCTTCTATCGAGAGCTGTTGCGTCTCTACCCAAATGCAAAGGTCGTCGTGACATCTCGAAATGAAGATGAATGGATCAGATCTATGTCGACAACATTGATCGATTCTCATACCAAGCCTGACGCCGACACAACGCGCCCGATGCGCCCGCTGGCAGAAGCGTACCATACTTATTGCTGGAACAATGACTTCACTCAATTCGGTAGAGAATACTATCGGACGTATCTGCGAGACGTGAGAGTACTTGCGAGAGGCAGAACGGTATTGGAGTACCATCCTGGTGACGGCTGGGCTTCGCTGTGTGAGTTTGTCAAATGTGACATTCCGGAGGAATCCTTTCCACGAAAAGACGAGATGGCGCAGTATAAGAGCGTAGAGAAGGAGTTGGTGAAGTAGCATTCACACGTGTGAGCATCTCGTTCAATTGCACAGATGTCTGCATTCCGTCCAGTTTCCAAGGATCAGGTCGGCAGGAGTTAACGTCCGGAAGCTGCCATCAGCCCCTCAATCCCTTCATGACCTCCTGCAATCTCTCCCATCCATCTGTACCCTCCCAACTGTCCTTGCCCCTTCCCAAGATACCTCTGATCGCAGTCCTAGCCTTGAACTTCCAATCCTTCGCAACTAATTCCCCAGCACCCATGCCTTCAGTCTTTTCTTTAGGCCCTAGACTTTCATACGAATCGCAGAGCCGTACCGTTGCTTCCACAACCTCGTCCCATCTGGTCTCGCTTTCCGTTTCCCAGCCTGGCTGCGAAGTAACAACACGCCATGCTTTCTCCTCAGCATCTAATGCAACCGACGGCTTGTTCCTCCACAGAGCAAGCTTGCTAATGAGCTGCCAAAGACGAGAAGAGCCTGTGATCAACGGGACGACGTTCTGATCGACGAATTTAACGACCATGCGAGGTAGGCCAGGCTGCTCGGGATCGTGTCTATCGCTCACGGACATCACATGCTGAACGAGCAAGTGCAAGATCTCGGAATCAATGCACTTCTCCCCGTCGGTTGATCCACGCAGGTCGATGATCCTCTTCTGTGCCGCCAGGATCGAGGTGTAGTCGGGTGGTGATGTCGATGCCGAGACAATCAGGACGTTCTCCCATATCCGATAAGAATCGTGCTTGAGTGTTGCTGCGCGCTTCAGCGCTTGAAGGGCGTCCTGCCGATTCTTCTGTATCGATGGGATCAATGCGTTCTGGTCGTCCTGCTCGCTTGGATCTTCCGGGTCCTTTCGCAACAGAGCAGCTGCCAGATTGCTCCACGCTTCGGCGTCCGTCTCATCCAGCTGCACACACCTCGAGAATGCCTCCACGGCCTTGTCGAACTCGTCAAGCTCCAGCAATGCACATCCCAGGGCAAACCAGCTGCTGTGATTGAGCTGATTGGCCTTAAGACTCTTGCTGTACGCCTGCGCAGCCTTGACATAGTCGTTAGATTTTAGAAACAGCCTCCCTAACGACCGCTGTGCCCGGGCGTATCGTTGGCCCGATACATCCCACGCCTTCTCATACATCTCAGTCGACTGATCGATGTCGCCCAGGATGCAGTACAAGCGAGGGGCGTCAGATGGAGGTGGTTCTCGAGGCGGCCCCGTCCATCGTTCGTTGTCGTCGACGTCTTGCTCCGACCCCTCCTTGCTGGCGGCGAATAGTTGGCGACGTACAATCTGCCGTGCCTTGTCCTCCCGTTCAGTGGCTGCCCAACACAGCGCCGCTTCAGCCCACATCTCCAGTCGTTCGTATATGTCGAGAGCAGACCGCAGACCGCCAAGCTGTACCCATCGCGATGCCAGCTCAGCCTCCAACTCCCACCGCGTTGGGGAGGCAAGCTGGAAGACGTAACGAAGACGGTCCTGAGCAGGCGCTGACTCAGATTCTTTTGCTCGTGGTAGGAAGCTGCTGGTTGCTTCAACGTTGCTGTTCGCGGGGTCAGACTTCTGCCCGCCTGTCTCTGCTATGACCTGGTCGACAAGAGCTTGAAGCTGAAGAAGGCCGCGCTCTACAGTGCGTGACCGGTAGCCCTCGATGCGACTTCGAACGAGGAGGGCCTGTGTATAGACCTGCCAGTTCGAGCTGCCACCTTCTAGCACACGAGTAGCATATGGGAGGGTCTCCTCCCGAGTTAAGCCGTCTTGCGGAGAAGTGTTCGTGATCGACGATGCTAGAAGGAGAAGAATGGTCGAGTCGAGCGATTGAAGCTGTGGCTGGTCAGCAGGGTCTGATGTAGAGAGACTCTCTGGGAGAGACCCGGCTTCGACAAGCTTGGTGAGGTCCTTCGATGGTTGAGTGAACGAAACTGACTCCAGCAGAGTGTCGTCATTGAGATCGCGGGTATCAGGTTTGACTTCCGCTTGCTCTTCTCTCTCGATCGACTTTCCGTTCTGTGATGCGTGCTCCGCTGAAGAGCGGCTACGAGCAAGCACGACCAGCTGACTGACGTCCGTCTGTTGGAACTTGGTGCGTTTGCCCAGGAGGCCGGTCAAAGCGAACTCGAAACCCTGAGCGTCCTTTGCTTTCTGCAGATCTTCCTTTGCGAACTTGTCCGTGCCGTGGTGGAGGTGAATGGTGGCCTTTTCAAGCAGGTACTCGGTCTGTGTTTTCGCCTGTGACTCTGACGAAGCCGTATCCAGCAAGTCCTCATCGAGCATCCTCAAGTCGTCCTCGATGACGTCTTGTAGGCTTGAAGAGACCTCCGAGAGCAGCCTCTGCTGCAGGAACTGAGCCCTCACTTTGGCCCACCTTGCCGCCCGGATGTTCTTCAAGATCGGTGGGCATGTAAAGATGGCATCTGCAAGGCAGAGCAACTCTACATTGGGGGTCAGGCTGTACGCTGCGATGCCGTCCATGCCCAGGCTTTCCAGTAAGGACTTGCGCAGGTCTCTTGTCCGCTCAGCGCTTCCAGAGACATCTTGAGGGAGTAGAAGGGCTGCAGGTGAGAAAGGCAGGGGCGGACCGGTCACGTTCGACTGTACAAAAGCCAACAGGGCGGCGTAACCGATGCAGAAGAAGACACTCTGCTTCTCTGGCCGTGTGCGATCTGCCAACAGGGTACCTAGCTGGTGAAAGATGAAATCATTCCATCGAGGAAACTCTTCTAGCGCGCTGCTCCTACTCTCATCCGGGTGTCCAAAGAGGTCCCGAGCATCCGCATCGGCCAGCAGGTCTTCATATTGGCCATGCTCGAGCTTCGAGATGTACGGCTCCGTCAAGGTGGCGAGCTCGGTGGGCAGAGTCTGGCGGAAAAATGTGAGAAGTGCGTCGGCCATGGTGCGCGATACCGCCGTGCTTTGCAGGATCCCCGTAGCCGACCAATGTGTACAATCGGAGCAGAGCTGTCGTTTGAAACTTTTTCGAAGTTGGATCGGTGCTGACTAATGTTGCCCACATTGGGTTAGAGCGAGAAGGCGACGAAAATGCCAAGCATCCTGAAGGACCACCCCTTCAATCCAAAATTGCTTGAACTTGACGATACTACGGTATACTGCAATGTAAGGACGAATGTGAAGCGCGTGTGTGCAAGCCGAGTCTACAACTCTACGCTAGTCATGCATCAAAGCTAACATGTACAGCAACCAGGACCTGATGAGCACATGTTCTGTCCGGTCCCCAGCATGTCATGCCATCTTACGGCTTGTTAGACCGTTCTCGAATCGTTTCGATAGTACTCTAGAGCATTGGGCCACGGAGGTTGACGGGCAGAGAGCGCTTGTTGCCGGCGTCACCCTCAGTGCCGTTTTCCGGGACAAATACGCCCAAGTTGACTACCGATCGTTAGCCGCCCTTCCTTTACAACACTGCTATGTATTTGACCTACCGAGCCACGCTGCACTGTTGAATTCACTGAATATAGCCTTGATCCGGAAGTTGTATTTGTCGCCAGGATTGGCCTGGACAGTCTCGATGATGACGTTGCCCACGACAGGCTGTGGTATGGCAGTCAGCGACGCTGCTGATCTAGCAGGTATAGAGGCAGACTCACGATCCTCGCAGTCTCTGTTGGCTGCCCATTCGCCGAGCGACGGGTCAACCACCGCATGCTAACGCTGTTACACCCGTGGAACCTCTGCAGCTTCTTGAACGGGATCTCTGGCTGGCTGCCCTGCGCATCCATGAATGCTTGCCTCCCGACGAAGGTCGGCTTCTCGATTTCGACCGGCTCTCCATCGCCCCCGTTCATAATGATGCTGACGGCAGAAGACCAATCGACAAAGTCCTCAGTCAGAGCCTCGAGGGCAAGCTCATCTGAGTAGTTCTGGATGAGCTCGCGGAAGATATCGGCAGCTTGCTCCGCGTCTTCATCTGAGAGGCAGTAACCGTCGGGCTGAACACCTGGGCACTGAGCACCGGTAGATGGACCGCCTGGATAACCAGGGTGGCTGCCAGGAGGGCCCCAGTGACCTGGCTGATGAGGTGGGCCAGACGGAGGTGAGGGCCAGGTGTATTTCGTCGGTTGCGGCTGGTATGCGGTCTGAGTGCTTCCGGTACCATACGCTTCGGGATAGGATGGAATGGCGAGGGCAAAGCCGGCAAACGCTGCGGTTGCGACGAGCGACGTGGAGAAGTACATTATTGTTAATCAGATTTGTTGTATGTGTTGCAAGCGATAAGCGATAGTCTCAAAGTGAGTGACGAATTTGTAGCGATGGTGAAGGATGATGAATGGATGTCTTCTGCCTTTTGGAAGATAGTTGAGACCGGACCAAGGTCAGAGATATGAGAGATAATATACTTGCTTTACCACCGGTTGTACGATGGCCTGAGAACCCTGCAATTTTAGCAATCTCACTGCAACGCCGGTCTTGGTCTCTAGGCATTCTGGCAGTGAATGCGGCCGCCAACACTCGCTACAAAGTCGTTGCACCTAGCCATCAGGCAATCTTGGACAACCGGGTCTGGGCGTGCCTTGGCTTCGTGAGGCTGAACAAGACGCTGCTTGAGTCGTCTCTAAACGTGAGGTCGTTGATCGTGGCAAAGCTTGTAGTCAGTAGAAAGTACCATGAAAGTCGCCGTAAGATGCTGTAGTACAGACATGCATCTCTACAACAAAGGAACGCTGTATACCGTAGCACACAGATCAACAGTGCAGACGTCGAAGTTCGCCGGCGTTGTGGTGAAGTCGCAGAGTTGATCAGCCCTAAAATAGAAAGCGCATGACTTGCCCCGGCCCCAAAAGTGGTGAGATTCGGGGGCGGGGCGGAGAACAAGGGGTCCGCCGCTGAGCGATGCACGTGTTTGGTGCTCCTTAGATTGCTCGGTTTCGCCTACGCTACTCTTCAACAGACAGCTGGACCTCACCTTGAGGCTTGCCTTGCGAACCTTACTCGCCGTGTCGAACGATAGGTCTCACCTAAGCAGACATCGCAGCCGCAAGAAGCACTCGCGTTGGTTAGTCGAGCCCGTAGAAGGGATTATCTGGTGTCTCCGCAGGAGTGCTCGGCTGGCCGCCATCATGGTTGTTGTTTTTCCCCAGTCATCCAAAGGCCATTAGGTCATAGGGGGTCGTCTTGTTGAAATCCTACGCGACCGGTCAACAATCATTTCGCACAGTGTAGCAAGTCACTTTGATCCTACAGCCCGGCTCGAACCCCTGAACGTGAAATACGCAGCTCGAATTGAAGATCTCATCACAATGCTGGATCTGAGCCGGGTCAGACTCCCTGCGGTTGCAATTCAACTTCTAGCACGCCTTCGAATAGCCTCAACGGGTTTTCTAGCGAAAGGGAGTGGTGGAAGTTGAGGGAAAACGTCGGCAAGATAGGCAACTTGTTTCACGTGATTGCGGTATCAGTAGAGTCCTACAGTGACAACTTCTCATGGTGTTTCTACGACCAAAGTGTTGCTCGTCTTTCTTAAATCTACGCTAGACGGGTCCCTGCAGCGGGAGTGGCCGTACCTGCGTCAAAAGCCGTGGGCGTCATCAGAATTTCTAATAAAGCCTCCATTGACTCACAAACATCACCTTGAATCTACACTTACCCAGCGACTTTCGGACCAAGTCGCACGTACACACGAAAGAACTTCCCCTGGCCAATACGCTTTTCAATACTGAACCTGGAGCTCCCGCACAGCCGCGAAAAGCAGCTCAAACATGGAAGGCCTCAAGAAAGCCTTCGCGCGCGCGAAGAGTGAGAGTCGAACACCGCTGGTAGCCTATGTGACTGCGGGCTATCCCACCATTGCGGAATCGGCAGACATACTGCTGTCCATGGAAGCGGGGGGCGCGGACATCATCGAGCTGGGCCTCCCCTTCACCGACCCGATAGCAGACGGCCCGACCATTCAGGTGGCGAATACACAGGCACTCAACAATGGCACAGGGACCAAGACCTGCCTCAAGATCGTGCGAGATGCGCGAGCGCGCGGTCTTAAAGCCCCGGTCTTGTTCATGGGCTACTACAATCCGCTTCTGGCTTACGGAGAGGAGCGCATGTTCCAGGATGCGAAAGCTGCAGGGGTGAATGGCTTCATCATGGTCGACTTGCCGCCAGAGGAGGCTATCAGGTTTCGGCAGCACTGCACCACCTACGGTCTTTCATATGTCCCACTCATTGCACCCGCCACCAGCGAGAAGCGCATGAAGCTGTTGTGTGGTATTGCGGACAGCTTCATCTACGTCGTGAGTAGGATGGGTGTGACCGGCGCGACTGGTGTGCTGAGCACAGGGCTGCCCGATCTCCTGGACAGAGTGCATAAGTACTCCAAAGGGATACCGGCCGCTGTCGGCTTCGGAGTCAGCACCAGAGAGCATTTCCTAGAGGTGGCCAAGGTGGCAGAAGGGGTTGTGATTGGATCGCAAATCATCACAACCCTCAAAAACGCACCGCAAGGGGAGGGGGCGAAGGCAGTGGAAGAGTACTGCTACCAGATCACCCAGCGGAGAAATCCAGCCACGTCTGTCACGAACGGGCAATCGAACGGACAGAGCAATGGGCAGCCGAACGGCACAGGCATCAGCACAGCAGCGAACCCCAATGGCGATGGAAGTGGCTGGATCTCACATTCAGACGCCGAACCACCCAAGGATATATCAACGGCAGATCCTACCAAGCAACCTGCGAGTGAGAGTGACCCCATAAATGGCAAGGTCCACGTCGACGCTGTTGTTGAGGGCTCAGGCGGCACCGGCATTGTCGATCAGCTTGAGGCCTTGAACACCGATGGCGCAGAACCTGAGCTCATGCCTTCTCGCTTCGGCGAGTTCGGTGGCCAATACGTTCCCGAATCACTGATGGACTGTCTTGCAGAACTCGAGAAAGGGTTCAACGATGCAAGAAACGACCCGAAGTTCTGGGAAGAGTTCAGGTCGTATTATCCATACATGAGCCGCCCATCGTCTCTGCATATCGCGCAGCGACTGACTGACCACACCCGTAAATCCTGCAAAGACGGCATGGGAGCAAATATCTACCTCAAACGCGAGGATCTCAACCACACTGGCTCCCACAAGATCAACAACGCAATCGGGCAAATGCTTATTGCGCGCCGACTAGGCAAGACTGAGATCATCGCCGAGACTGGAGCTGGACAGCACGGTGTTGCAACTGCTACCGCTTGTGCGTATTTCGGCATGAAATGTACTGTTTACATGGGTGCGGAAGATGTCCGCAGACAAGCTCTCAACGTGTTCCGGATGAAACTGCTCGGTGCATCTGTGGTCGCGGTCAACGCCGGCAGCCGAACGCTCAGAGATGCCGTCAACGAAGCTATGCGGAAGTGGGTTGAGAAGCTGGACACGACACACTACATTATCGGATCGGCGATAGGCCCTCACCCATTCCCGACAATGGTCCGGACGTTTCAAAGCGTGATCGGACAGGAGACAAAAGAGCAGATGAATAAGCTCACAGGCCGGCTACCGGACGCAGTCGTGGCATGCGTGGGTGGCGGGAGCAACGCGACTGGCATGTTCCACCCTTTCAGCGAGGACCCTAGTGTCAAGCTGCTTGGTGTGGAAGCTGGTGGTGCTGGACTCGACACTGACAAGCATTCGGCGACACTGACTGGTGGCAAGCCTGGTGTCCTCCACGGTGTGCGTACATACGTACTGCAATCTGACGAGGGCCAGATCAGCGACACCCACTCGGTCTCAGCTGGTCTCGACTACCCAGGCGTGGGGCCAGAGTTGTCCGGATGGAAAGATAATTCCCGAGCGAAGTTCGTTGCTGCTACGGACCCTGAAGCGTTCATTGGCTTCAAGCTGATGTCAGAGCTCGAGGGCATCATACCAGCGTTGGAAAGCAGCCACGGTATCTTTGGTGCGGTCGAGCTAGCCAAAACGATGAAGCAAGACGAGAACGTTGTCATCTGCCTTTCCGGACGAGGCGACAAGGACGTGCAGTCTGTGGCCGAAGAGCTTCCTCGTATTGGGCCTGAGATCGGATGGGATTTGCGGTTTTAATTGGGTTGACCGTTGAACGAACAGGGAGTTTTGTGAAGGGGTATCTTGGGTCAAACAGCGAAAACCTCAGGAAGCGGACAACATGAACGTATCCATATGAGCTACATTATGCAGATCACACCACGGCGCCCAACGCGCAGCAACGGCTTTCAGCCTTGCCACTACTAGACTCATGCAGCTTTTTCCGTCTACTCGCTTGATCGTCGTGGAAGTGTGCTTAGTTGTTCGCGTGCAAGAGTCCATGCATCTCCCTCGTTTTCATTTCTCTCCAGCATATATACAATATACACAAGTCTCGTGGTATCAATATCCAGGGTCTGCCGACCACCACCACTTCAAGGAGACGACAGGACTCCCTACCCATACGTCCAAACGACGCCTGTCGTAGTATGCTTCCCATTGCGCCGTCCGTTAAATGTAACTCGAACTCTTCTACTTGTCACTCAACATGCTCTGTATGCTCGACCACTTCTGAATCAAAGCGTCGTAGTCCGACTGGGTCTGTTGGAAATGGTCAGTACACATTTGGCAGTTCATGAGAATGAAAGGTCCTCACCTGCGCATGGAGCATCTTCACATTCACAAGTTCATGCTCCATCTCCTCCATCTCCTCCTTGAGTACCCTGTTCTCGCTCTGCACCTCGCTGTTCCGCTGCAAGATGCGATCCATCTCCTCCTTCAGCCTGGCCTCGACTTCCGCCGGCTGCGCGTCGACCATCTTCTGCAGCTCTTCCACCTTCATCTTCATCCCTTCGTTCTCATCCATCAACGTGTCGTTTTCGACCTTGATGCGAACGAGATCGCCGGCGATGTTGACGTGCTCGTTGTCTTGCAGTTGCGTCCGCTCTTCGAGGCCTCTGATCTTGACGGTAAGCGCGGAGTTGGTCGTGCGAAGAGTTTCCAGCTCGACTTCACGCTCATGCGTCAACCGTTGCGACTCCTCCCACTCGGCTGTGTATTGCGCCAACACCGCCTCTGAGATCTGGATCTCGCATGCATCTCGCACCATCTCGTCAGCGCGGTACAGCTCCTTATCTGCGCCTCCAGTCACGGAGCCGAAGAAGCCCGAATCCAGCAAAGACGACGCCGAGGGCGATTTGTCGATGTAGACATCGAACACCTTCTCCTTAAGAAAGTTCGTTAGCTGAGCCATGTCCTTCATGCGTAGCAGCGCATCCCGATTGTGCTGCATCAGCACCAAGCCGAACTTCAGGATCGCCGTCAGGCCTTCGCTAAAGAGCAGATCGTACACCCGAACAACGAGCTGTAGCGGGAAACGATATGCGAACAGCGTTAGGAACCACTGCGTGGCGTACAGCTCTGGTGACACGTTTCGCCGCCGCAGATGACAGTACAATGCCGGGTCCTGATCTTCCAGAAGCCGCTCGAACTGATAGAGTCGCAGATGTAGTCCAGCCATATCTCCCGTGAACATGCTCCGCAGATCATACTTGCTCATCAGCCGCACAAGGAGCGTAAATGCTTCCTCCTCCGTCATATTGAACAGAAGTGGCATGGCAATGAAGTTGATGCCCTGTGCATAGCCCACACCTTCGTCGAATAACGCATACGCCTTGCATACTCCAAACAGCCCATCTTGAAGACCAGAAGCTTGTGTAAACTTGCTGAAAGACGTCCGCGAGCCGAGATCTCGCCTAATAGCCTTCTCCAGCTTCGTGAGTGCAGCAGCTTCACGCTTCTGCTTTTCGGCGAACAGCTTAAGCTTCAACTCCTGTTCGTCACCCTTTACTGACAGAGGTGGACTGGCTAGGTTCGAAGTCGCAGGCGTAGACTGTACTGAGTGGACGCTTGCTCTCGAGGAGGATTTGTCAGAGTCTTCCTTCTCCGCCGATTCATTCACGTTGTCTTGCGATGGTTTCCTGGAAAGTGACTCTGGTCTTGAACCATCTACTGCCAGAGATTCTGATTCCGCTGCAGATCCCCTGCACTTCAACGTCTTGTAGACATTTTCGAGCTCTGCGTTTTTGCTCTCTGCCATGACCTGCCACACCACACCACGAATCGGAGACGGAATGCCAGATGATATCGCCCGGTTCAGATCTTCGCCGCTGGTCCTCTGCACGGCCGACGGTCCTTCATACACCACAGCCTGCCAAAGATCCCAGTCCACAGGCCTAGGTTCCTCAGCTGGGCCGGCTGTCAAACCGGAGGCTGTGCCTGGCGGTAGGCTCGGGTTCATGGGTGGCGATTTCACTATGCTGGGTGTTGACGACGATGCACGATGTGACCGGGCTTCCGGTGTGTCGTTCCCAGACACAGTCTCGATGATGGCAGCATCGCTTGCGCTTCTTGCAGTCGATGGATCCCAGTCGTCACCATTCTCGACATGCCCATTCATACCCGAGAAGCCGTTCTCTTCTTGCTTCCTCAAATTTCGGAACTGGTCCTGTAGACTTGGTCTCGGGCCATCACCTTCATGTGTGTCAGAAATCGTTGCTAAGCTCTCGCCTGCGTTACTCTTCATAGAAGCCATTGAAGCTCCGGTATTCCTCCGGTCCATGCCAAAGCGGCCCTCCTGCCTGGCGGGTGGAGATCGAGCGGGCTTTCTCATGCTTCCCATGCGTCCCAGGAACTGTCCCATACGTGTAGATGCCGTCCTCATCAGACCTCCAGGAGGCGTTGGCGACGTGCTAGGAGCTTGACGCTCGCCAATATTGCGTTGCTCTAGTGCTTGAATGCGGCCCAAAGATGATGGCGGAGGAGGAGATTGGAGAGACACGTCGCCTGATAGCCCTGGGACCATCATCTTCGTCGGCGACACGCTCCTTTCGCGGTCTGACTCCATTTCAGGCGGTGCCAGAACTGGCACGTCCTCTGCTGTGGCCTGCCGGGAATGTGACTGTAGACTTGAGCGGATGTTCGACAACGAAACACCTGCCTCCTCGTTCTGCACCGTGCCTCCGTCTGCCGTCCCGGACTGCATCTCCGCTGTGACTTGCCGGGAGGGTGATCTCGACCGGCGTTCCTTGTCCTCGCTCTCTTGGCCACCAGTACTGGCCACCAGTGCAGGGGCGGTCTCGGCCGTGACTTGTCGCGAGTGTGACGGCCCAGGAGATGCCTCTTGAGGGGTTGACTGGGCTATGAGGCTGGGTGCTGCTTCGGCGGTATTCTGGCGTGAGTGCGAAGGGAGCACGGGTGTCTGATTGTCGTCGTCGCCATTCACCTCCTCTTCTTTATTTCGAACGACGTGTAAAACCTCTGATGCTGCAGCGGGGTCCGAGGGCAGTTCCCACGAGTTGGGCCGGGCGATCTGCTCTTGCTGTGCTGCCGCGGGCTGTTCTGCTGTCGACGGCACCTTCTCCGCCGTCACCTGCCTCGAATGCGACGGCGCGTTGAGTGGAGGGCTCGCTTCTCCTGCAAACATTGCTGGGTCGTCACTGATCCATCGAGACAACCGGGCCGACATTTTCGGTTGGTCCTCTTTGTTCTCCACCTTGCTTGTTCCCCCCTCGGCATGCCCATTGATCCCCAGCCCTACCGCCGGCTCACTCCCAATCTTGATACTGCTGTTCCTGCTCGGTGTGTTGGAGGTCTGGCGAACGGATTCGGCGGCGTCCTCGAATGCATCCTATGTTCGTTAGCTAACCCACTCCATTCTTACCCATCCCACCATTAACAAGACCCACCGATGCTTCTCCCGGGGTCACATCGTCGTCGTCTGGTTGGCGCAACCCATTGCGCATGTCTGCCAGGGACACCATGGGCGACACCTTTACGGGCAGCTTGGGACCAAGCTTGCCCGACCTGCCTCGTGGCAAGCTATCACCACTCCCGCTTCTGATCACAGAGACGGGCCTTGCGCTTCGCCTTCGCTCTATCGGTCGACCACTCTGGCTCCTGGACTCGTTGCCTGGGGTCGGGGGCAATGTTTTGTCCAAAGCCAGCCCTCCTGCTACGCTTCCTCCACTTCCCTTTCGCGTTCCCAAGGGCGCAATGCGGTGCTGAGCATCAAACGTCGCGGGAGAGGCGGACAGGGAGCCAGCGGTAGGGGAGGGTGGAGAGTTTCCGAGTCTTGTGTCACTGTTCGAGGCTACCGACAACAATGCCATGCCCATAAGCAGGTTTGGTGGGCCGCAAGCTCGGAGTCGATCAGGCTAATGGGCAACTGTTTCATGGTACATGCATATATCAAAAGGGAACAGGTAGAAGTGTATATTCTATTGCTCCTCTATCGTACAGCTGGAAAGATAACGCCACTACACGCGATCCTCACCACCACCACCGCCCCAGCACGCCTCCTAGTCGTCGCGGTGTCCGTTGCAGCACCAAAGTAAACCGTCTACTCCTTCGGGAAGCGTGTCATCCTTCATGCAGGGTCCGGAATTTCAAAATAGCACCCGATGCCGCTAGTGCACAGTAGCCTCTTGCTGATAATTGCATGTGTTTGCTGTACCTATACCACCTCTCTTATGCTACGTCGGTTTCTAAGTTGAGAGCGAGGCACAAACCCTTTCGACGGTACGAAGAGGAAGACTTCAACACCTACCCAGATGCCGTATCTCGCTTGTCAGACCATGATATTAACACCCCTTCAGTTCGTAGAGCTGATCAACCTTGCTCAGTGCTGGGGGCGAACTTGATCTGACAGAGCTGTACAAACTCTCTCACACCCTCACCAGCATCACCATCGTCGTCACCATCGCTTTCTTTCATCTTTTTGATGACGTCCAGCGCCTCCTTGTCGCCCTTCGCTTGCGTCCAGGCTCCGTGCTGCCTCTCGCTTGGGATGACAGCGTCTCTGCCTCCTCTGCCACCTCCATGATAGCGACCACCTCGGAAGCCTCTGCCACGACCACGAGATCGATGCCCGCGTAGGCTCTGTGTGAAACCAGGTAGACTTCCACGATTCCAACTGCGAGCGTCTTCCGGACCAGGCTCCAGGGTAAGAGCGTAAGCCGCCTGTAGCTGGACTTTCAATAGCGGAAAGCGAGCGAGTAGACGTTTGAAGTCTTTGTCGTTTTCGAAACCAGTGAAGTCGACTTTGGGGACTCGCTGAGTTGTGCCTGGTCGGTCCTTTGGTGGTTGCGCCGAATGGTCCTTTGGTGCTTCGTTGTCGTGAAGGGCCTTATGTGGTTTGTAACAGGCTATTGAGCAACTAGAAGAATATCAGCGGATGGGTCACAGTGTACTTGAGGAGTAGAGAACATACTATCTCAGCTCACAAACGGGACATTTGTACTTGGACTCCTGTTCGTGGCAGACGCCGCATGTAGGGACCATCTTGGGTGCTTCATTATTGACCGTCAACTCAATAACATCTGACCCGATTCACTGTCGAGTTCGAATGGAGTCTTCCCTTCATATTGCAAAGGCACATCGTGCCAAGCCAAATTGCGGCGAAAGCAGGCATTCCCGAGCGTGATTGAAGCTGTCATGCATGTGACAGAATCACTCTCGATACACCACCAACACAACATGCCACCTCCTAGATATCGAAACCTGCTCGAGCTGGCTCGCAGCCCTCCACGACAATGGACGTGCAACACCTGCCAGACATTCTCAAAGCGACCGCAATGGAGACCAGCGATCCAGCGGCGGGCTATCCAGACTACCCGGCAGACCCGCCAGCACGCAGCACCGAGCATGGAAGCAGTACGAAGAGGCTTCGACAACAAGAACAGTAACACCCTTCTCTACGCCCTCTCGCTCATCATCGGCACCCTGGCGGTCTCGTACGGAAGCGTGCCGCTGTACAAGACCATCTGCCAGCAGACCGGCTGGGGAGGACAGCCCATTAAGTCGGCCGCACACGCCTATCCCGACTCTGAGCAGGACATCGCAGCCAGGTTGACCCCCATCACCACCTCACGTCGTTTGCGCATCACCTTTGCCGGCAGCACATCTGACATTCTGCCGTGGAAGTTCTCGCCGCAGCAGCGCGAGGTGCGAGTCTTGCCTGGTGAGACGGCGCTGGCCTTTTACACGGCCACGAACAAGAGCGAGGACGAGGATATAATCGGAGTGGCCACATACAGCGTCACGCCAGCCCAGGTGGCGCCCTACTTCAGCAAAATACAATGTTTCTGCTTCGAGGAGCAACGTCTGAACAAGGGCGAGACTGTGGACATGCCGGTTTTCTTCTACATCGATCCGGAGTTCTTGCAGGATCCTAATATGAAGGGCATTGATACGATTACTCTGAACTATACGTTCTTCAGTGAGTGTTCACCTCAGAGCCGACGATCTTATGTACTCCAGCTGACCGCGATGTAGAAGCGAAGTACGATAAGGATGGACACCTGTCCCCAATACCGATGCCATACTAGTTCGCATTGCAAAGCGCAAGCAATCCGGCGGTTTGGGTCGATGCAGAATCCCCACTTTGCGCCGAACTCCAGCAGAAGATCAGAAGCTCCAACCCCACCCCACTCCGATTGGTGATCCGCTCCATGACCACTACTACAACAGCTCAGCAACTCCAAACTTCTTGATAGCCCGGAAACGACAACGGATTCTATCATCATGTCAGACTCACGAAAGCCGACGCCTGGACAGCTGGCGACCAACCTTCCAGGTCCGACCGCTTACCTCACCGGCCACAACCCCGACGGCCAAGCAATCGTCCATTCCAAACGGCCGGTGGAATGGGTGTGCTACGATGAGGGCAAGTTGGCCATGCGCCCCGCCTACACCACGACTTTCCCTGCCGATCTCAACAACGATGCCGACGTCGCAGACCACGACAAGAAGATGGAAAGCGGGAAGCTCGGGCTCGTCAGCGGCGGCGGTACAGTCCTGCGATACGTCGACTTCGCACCTGACTATACCTGCATGATGCATCGGACGCAGTCGGTGGACTATGGCATAGTCGTGGAAGGGCAGATCGAAAGCGTGTTGGATTCTGGGGAGGTGCAGTTGATGGGGAGGGGGGATGTCATGGTGCAGCGGGCGACAATGCATGCCTGGCGCAACCCGAGCAAAACGGAGTGGGCACGCATGATCTTCGTGTTGCAGGACTGCAAGCCGCTCTACATCAAGGGCGAGAGATTCGGAGAGGACCTTGGACGTGGGACGGAAGGCCTCCCATCAAGCGGGAATGATCAGTGAGACTCGGTGGATCATACAGACTAGCACATGCTGCAATGAGTGCCGCAGGTGCTCTGCATGTAACATACAAATGAACGCTCTTCAATGCGCGAATCGGAAGTCCAGCCGCTTGTTCCCTCTGTCCTTCGTCGTCGCCAGATACACTTGCCTATCCTGCCTCGACATTGTCTCCCATCGTACTTCCCGCCGCTGATTGAGGGAGACGTAGAATCGCTTCGCAATCAGGAAGAGCACGATATTGCAGCCCGCCACCACAATGAGTATCTTGTTGCCAGCGAAGTAGAAAGGTGCGTCTTCTCGCTTGTATATCTGGTGGACGGTCAGCAAGCAAGCAAGTGACTGACGGGAATGAACACACTCACGTTTAGTGCGATGATGTTGCAAGCCGCGACACACATATTGTACACCGCCACCGAAACAGCCCGATTCGCCACGGACCCGGAGTTGCGACTCGCCAGCCCGAGAAGCATCGCATGAACGAACGGCTGCGCGCACGTCAAAAACGCCAGAGCCCACGTGTTGATGTTTTCCCGGTCGAACGGCAAGACATACATCGAGATCAGCATCGGCAAGCACCACACCTGGCTGAGAGAGCTGACCAGGAGCCTCTCGTTGACCAGTTCCGAGAAGTAGGTGAAGAGCAAGAGGTTGAAGGTCCAGATGAGGTCGGCGGGCAAGTGTCGAAGTCGTCGCTCGAAGTCGCTCATGGCAAGTGTGCGGAGGATGTTGGTGAGGTACTGGACAGAGGGCAGCATGGGTAGTTGCCAGGACAGGCCTATGAGGTAGATGGGCCACATCCGATAGTCCATCAAGCAGGTGTAAAGAGATCTGAGCGTGATCGGCTCACGGTTGCTCATTTCGCCCTTGCCACGGTCGTCCCGCAAAACGCGGTTGACCATGATCTTCTGCTCCGTGGCCGATACCCAGCTCCGCCTCCCATGGGATTTAGAGGGTGTCTGCGTTGGCGACGGAGGGAGGCATAGCCACGCAATGCAGCCAAGAGGAAAAATGATTGCGCTCACTGCGCCAGGAAGCCACCCCTGCGGGTTGGGGAATTCTGAGAGCCCGCTCAACTGCATCATCCCGGAAGCCAACAGCGTGCATGCGACCCTTGCCATCGGGAAGCCGACCCAGAACCATGCGAGGCGTTTCGTGAGTTCGGTAGAGGTGTAGAAATAGCTCACGTAGAGAATACTGGACGGCACGAATCCGCTCTCGAAGATCCCGATCAAAGCTCGGTTGACCCAGAATGACCGTGGTCCCGTCACGCCGAGCTGCATGCTCGCGACGATGCTCCACGAGATCATCTGCAGCGAGATCCACTTCTCACAACCGATCCACTTGCCTATGAGTTGAGATGGTAACGTCGCCGCCACAATCGATGCGAAATAGACTGTTTGGCCCGTTTTCCAGTCGTCCCGGGAGAGGCCTTGGTCTTCCAGCATGTCCTTTGAAGGGGATTGGGTGATACTGGCGCGGTCGACTTGGAGGACGAAAAACATTAAGCCGAGTAGCAGGCAGATGCGTCGGTCGATCTGCATCACGTTCAGTCACTGAAAGTTTTCGCGGAGTAGAAGGATGAACAATACCTTCTTGACGACCCTCCTCTCCGCATCCCTTGTCCATCTGAAGTGATAGTCATATCCAGCAACAGGCTCGTAGGACTTCACCAGCGAGCCGCTCTCGAACGCACTCTCCAGCTTCGTCGGCAGGGGATCGGGGTCTTGCATTTCAAATGAGCGCTTGCTCTCCGCCTCGTCCTCGACCATATCCTCCATCTCGAAGTGCAGGTCGGCCGGCGTCCAGTCCATGTCGGGTGATGGTCGACCATGACGAAGCATTCCCGCGGCCGGTCGACTTCACGCATCCAGTTTGCAGTTACCAGCTCAGCTCAGAGGCTGTCGTCCCTGCCCCATCGAGTCGTCGCCGCTTTTCAGGAAAGCCCGAGGTTGAGTTTCAGATATTGCGCAGGCTCGTCGTCGTGAGCTGGGTCCGCGGTCCACTTTACACTACGCCAGGAGAATGCTTGAAAACGAGGGTATGGAGTGAGCGGTGCTGAGGATAATTGATACTGTGCTATGAATGCTGGATGGTGTCGTGTACTTTTGTCTCTCCTAACTTTTCCTTGCTTCCATCGCCCCTTCACGCCATGGCGGCCACATTGAGTTTAGCGGGGCCGCGGACAACGCCTTCAAAGACTTCATCTCGGTGCCATCATCCTTCCCATCTGTTCCGATCAAAAAGACGATTGTGATATGGGACCATTCACGGTACAGATAAAGAGACATTCAGTCGTCGCCTCGTCGCGAGGCACTCACGTGCAGGATCCTTCGTATTCATTCAGCCGTCCCGCTTCGTGGGAGCTTGGATATGCCCGCGGCTTCTTACGCCCGTACCTCGACATGACTCTTGCTTGATATCAAAGCAGGACGGTCTTCAACCACTCACAGCGAACGTTTGTTGATTAGACATTACGCCCTGGTCTGGCGGTGTCCCTTCTTGAATGCACTCTTCGATGGGCGTGCTCTCGTACCGGAAGACGGCAGGTAGAACAATGATCTCGACCGAGTTGAAGTATGATGGCGCCAGATCTATGGGTATAAGTATGCCTGGGACGCTCCTGTCTTTGATGAACATCAAACCTCACTTCTCTTCACACCTCCGAAACCTCAATACATCTTGTTCACAATGGCACCAACAACCTTCCACTTGGTCAAGCTCAACAACAGCGCCACGGGAGGAGCCTTTCTTCAATCCATTCGCTCTCTCCCATCACAGAACCGTCCACTATACATTGGACAATGCCATCATTGGATCCACGCCCCACACCTCTCCGTGGAAGCCCTCACTGGCAGCGGCGATACCATGCAACGCTGGGACTACCTCCTGATCTTGACGACCCAGTCCCTCCCCGACACCCTCAAACTGTCCGTTGAGGCAACATGGTCCATCACAGCCATCGTAGACGACGAACTACTCGCCAACCTCGCCGAAGCGAAACGCCAGCGCGGCGCCGCCATCACTCCTCCACTTCCACAAGGCTGGTGCCCGACAGACCACAGCGGCCTCGACGCCGCAGAGCCACCGTCTGATCTTGAAACCTCTCTTGCGCTTTCATCTTACCGCCTTGGGTCACCCAAAGACTCCAATGCCAGACCAGTCGCCTTGAAAAACTGGGTCGCCGAATTCGGCTCTCGCCACACTGGCCCCGTACAAATGTTCAACCTTCTCTCCTATCTCCCCTCCGGCCGCGCGCAGTACTTCAAATACGTCGCTGCTTTCATCGAATCCGTCGGCAGCAGCTATGGGGGTGACCCGGTGTTCATCGGTTTCGGCGGTGTCGTTGACTGGAGCTCGAAGGACGACGAGCAGAACGAGGAAGGCGTGGGGTGGGAAGATTGTGCGTTGATTCATTACCCGAGTATTTGGCATTTTGCAAAGATGCTGGATGACCCTGCTTATGCGGATGTGGATCGGAGGTTCAAGCAGGGAGCGTTGAGGGACAATCCGTTGGTCTGTTGCTCGGAGATTGATTTAGAGTAGATATCTAGTCATCATGACTGTGAAAGGAGAGAATGGAAACTGTCAAGAAACGTTCGTTGTGCTTGACTTTCTGCGACATATGTGCGCATCCCTCAAGGCTTGATCAGAGCGATCTGTCCAAACCTCGCGTTCTCCGCCGCATCGTCCCACGCAGCCTTCCACTCCTCCAGGGGATATTCGCCTAGATTCTCGGTCAGCAGGTCTGCACGAATCAACGAAATGCTCAAACTGACCAGTGACTTCAGCAACACTAAGATCAAGCAACCCGCTCTCAACCAGCTTGAACAGATCGTAAATGTCCTGCCGTTCGTACATCCACTTACCATAAATCCTAATGTTGGAATGCATAATGAATGAATGCGGGATCGCGATGTCTGCACAACAGTCAGCGTCAACGCTCCTAAGGGAGAGGCAGACTTGATATTACCTTCTCGATACCCGCCCATGATGCTGATACGTGCGCCATGACGCAAAGCGATGATACAGGACTTGATATGAGTGCTCGCATGAGCTTCCGGAGGGCCGATGTCGAAGTAAGCATCGATCGGGCCGTACTTCTTGAGCTCTTTGCAGTCGGCCATCATGTCTCCAGTAATCGGGACTGTTTCGACACGTTCCGGATGCGGGATCTTGGACTTCAGGAAGGCGAGCGAGTCCTTGCTGCGACCCATTGCGATGACACGAGCACCCATTGCCAGAGCTACATTCACTGCCGCACCTCCGAATGCGCTGGAAGAGTTAGTTTGATCCATTGATACTCTAGCGCTGTCGACTCACCCAGTGGCCGGAGCGATGACGACTGTCTGCCCAGCTTGAAGCCCGATGTCCCTCAAGCCTCCATAAGGCACCATGTGTGCAGAGGAGACAGCCAGCTGGGAGAGGCTGTACCCTAGACCGCCGTCCTGCTTAGCACCTGTCAACCGCCTCTCGTTGAGCAGTGTCAGATTCTCCAGCGGGGCACGGCAGTACTCCGCATAGGACCAGTCTCTGTACACGTCTCTCATGAGTTTCGCGGATCCTTCTGTGAATCCTATAAATTAAGGTGGACGTGTCAGCATTACAATGGCTCGGTACGCGCAAGACGACCTGCGGTCGTGGCGCTGCTCATGCTCGCACCATACCTTGAATAACGCCAGCAAGAAAGGCATCCGTCGGCTCATCGCGCGACCGGATCATGATATCAACGACTACCAGATCGCCCGGCTTGATTTTGGTAGCATCTGGCCCAACGGCAGCCACACGTCCGATGAACGATGTCCCCGTGACCAGAGGCGTAGGAAACGGATATCTCCGTTTGCCATTGTAAATATCACGCATGTAGCTGATCGTATTGGCGACAAGTACACGAACAATGGCACTGCCAACTGTAGGCTGAGGCGTAGGAATCGTTTCAACCGAGGGAGGCTCGTGGGTAGAACGAAGGACGAGGGCTTTCATCTTTTCGGGGAGATCGATGGAGGTCGCCATGATCAGTTGATCGGGGACGTTAATTGCAATACTCTTGGTTGATGCGGTACGATGTGGAAGTAGAATGGTCAAAGGAAGAGACAAGCTCATATACCACTCTGCCTGCCGCAGTTCGTGAAGGCATCTTCATCTAGGACGATGATCTTCCCGCCCTTGAGCAGACCGGCGCTCAATGAGATGCTGCGTATCCAGAATCCTAGGACCATACGGACGAGACATTCTCCAAACCGTCGCAAAGCTATACCTACCTGGTCCAATATGGCATAGTCGATCGGAGGAACATGGTGACCACAATTCGGCGTTAACGGAAATTGATGGCAATGTCTCTGCAGATTCCCGAACAGCAAGCCATTGGCGCGCTTTGTTTGCGAGTGTACCAATGGTACGACGCAAAGACGCGGCTGGCCAGATGGTGCATGATGCAATTCAAAAATTGACAGATGAATTGAAGTCGAGGAGGTGGAGTTGCCTAGGATCTGACGTTGGTCTTGGAAAAGGTCCGTGCTGAACGATCTCCAACACCACGACGTTCAATTTTCCAGTTCGTCCCTCAATCATCTGCGCAAAATGTCCGCACCGCGGCTTAAGGCAGACTACCGCGCTCCGGATATCTCCGAGACCTTCACATCAACGGTGCCATCTCCTCCGGCGGACGGGACGGTCCAGGATGTGGCCACAAAGACAGCATATCTCTCTGCTCTGCGGTCCGGCGTTACAGAACTGCAAGGCAACGTAAACACCTTCTTGACGCAGAGGATGGAAGACGAGAAAGCAGCACAATCAGGAGCGACCGCTTCCCGTAAGACCAAGGAGGAACGAGAGGAGGAGATGTATGGCGAGGAAGACCCGGAGGATGCATGACGCGACCCGAAGCAATTACGAACTGAAATGCAACGGACTCAGAAGTCAAACGACGTCACTACGAAACAGGGACAGCGACGTGCGATCCAAGAAGGTGCTTAGGTGCTCCAATCTAGCTGCGAGGCAACTTTGCCTGCTATATCATAATCCAGCAGCATACATCAGCCCGTATCCAATCGTGATAATGACAACATATGCGATGATGCTGGCCGGAATGCCTCTCGTCAAGAAATGCCGTACTTGCAGATACCTCTGCCCGGTCTGGGAGTCTTCCATCATGATGGCGGCTAGAAGGATAATCAGCAGATGATCTCAAGACTGCGTTCGAGGCGGACTCACTCATGTTCGGGAACCCGGACGTGGGGAGACCCATGGCTGCCGACGCCATCAAGACCGTTCCCATGACAAGCAGATTGGGATGCGGGTCATTCATGTTACCACCCACCTGAGCTACGAGCGGCAAGATGATGAGGGCGGCGACTGTATGACTGATGAATGTGGCCACCACAGCGACCAAGGCGGCGAAAACGCACATCACCCCATACAAACTCAGGCCTTCAACTTCCTGAGTGATGCTGGTGGCGATTGTGTGGAGCAGTCCGGAGCTGTTGACCGCTTTACCAAGAGCCAGACCACCGGCCGCAAGGATGATAATGGTCCAGAGAAAGTTATTGAAGTCTTCCTTTGTCAAAATGCCGGTGCCGAAGAACAAGACGATGGGGATGATCGCGATGACTCCCATGTCGCCGAAGATGCTCTCCATTTGGTGGCTTACGCACCACAGAATAATCGTGCCAATCGTGACGACGGTGATGAACCACTGGATGCCCGTGAACTTGTCTTTCATTGGGCGAATGGGCACGATGGTGGTGTTGCGACCAGGCCGGAAGGTTACCAGCAGCAGCAGCCAAATGAGGACGATGGAGATGATGCAGACTGGCAACGCGATGAAGAACCAGATGCCCCAGCCGGGCTGTGGAGACATGTTTTGAAGTGCGATGAGGTTTTGTGGCGAGGCGATGGGTGATGCTGCGCCGCCCATGTTGGAAGCCAGGGCGATGCCGAGCAGCAGGGCTTTAGTCATGTCGCTGTCGGATGGGAGGTTGCGAAGAATAGGCTGTGCCAAATATTAGTACTGCAACCACACACTTCTTCTGTATCCTTACCTGAATGATACTGAAGCACAGCACCGGCGCCGCCACGTTGCTGATCCACATGCTCGCAAACATAGCAACACCCATACTTGTCAACAGCACCGTTCGTGGCTTCGTGCCGGCTTTGCTCAGGACAAATGTTGCCATCATCTTGGCAATGTTGTACTTGGACAATGCAGCTGCAATGGTGAAGCCGCCGAGCAGAAGCATGATGACTGGTGTCCACATGGCAGAGAAGACATAGCTTGTAGCTTGTTTCGAGGTTAGTCGCTGATGCGGTTTGTCATCCTGCCGTACCACTTGCAGAACGACGACCAGGAATGGCACAAGCAGCGAGGTCACGAAGAGTGGGATGGCCTGCAAAATACACATTAGCGATGTAGTGGTTCAAGCGGACGAGATTGTTACAGACCTCTGTAGCCCACAGCAAGCTCACAAATATGACCAGCGCCAGACAGTTCTGCTGCTCAGGCTTTTCCATGATGGGCACAGCCAACAAAGTGGCAAAGATTGCTATGCATGCCACAAGCACCCAGAACGTGCTGGACAGCAAGAACTTCGGACAGCGCGTATTGCCCAGCGGCGTCCGGACTTCCTTCGTTGTACCGTCTTCCTGATCGCCCTGGAGTCTGGCTTTCTTGGGATCAGTGTCCTGGCCCAGCATCGTGTTCCGAATACCAAGATTAGCCGCCTGTGCTTTCCGTTCGATCCCGATCATCTCTCGCCATACGGTATTCCGCTCCCAGACAACATGCTCTCTGAGATGCAAACGGAGTTCCTGCCGCGCTGCATCAACGTCGCCTTTGGTAACGATAGATGCGTATGCAGTCTCCACCCGGTCCAAATTGTGGGACAGATGTTCCAACGTGCTTGATTGGAACGGGTACGCAGGCTTGACCTTCGCGTTGATGTATTGAGATTTCAGATTCCGGTCGACAATCTTGTCGTACTTTTTCAAGACCTTTGAGAAACCAGTCTCGTTCAGCTGAATGAATGATCGCAGCTCGCAGATGTTGACATAGAGGTTGATGACCCGCTTCTTTAGCGTGATGCCTTCGTCGTAAAGCGCCTGTAGTGCATCGTCCCCGAAGTCGTTGAACGCTACGCTCGGTCTTCGACGGCCAATCTCTTGAGAAGCGTTGACGTCGTCATGAGGACCAAGCTGCTCTCCGCTTGCGAAATCCTTCCTCGTAGTTGACCGCCGATCTGAAACCTGGCTTTTGGTGAGCGCACTGTGCTCGTCGTCATCTTCAACATCGCTGTCGTCCTCTTCCGGTATAGGGGCTTCCCGGCTGCTCATCGACGCTCTGCGCCGCTTGGGCGGCAGCTGAAAGCTGCGAAATATGCTCTGTTGCCTGGCGCGAGCCCACACGCTCTGCCGTCTGACTCCACCGCCTTCGCCATCAATCTCGCCCTCGGCGTGCTCCGAGTCGAACTCCTCGACATCTCTGATCAATGCGTCTACCTCGCCATAGATCTCGAGCTCTTTCAGACGGTAGAAGCTGCAGATCTTCTCCAACTCATCGTCCAGCTTGCGCGTGAAGACCTGGTCTGGGTCCTTTAAGTCGCCATTGGAGAGCAGAGGAGAAGACTCGGGGTCTACGGCATCCCGATCTGCGGCGGACTTTGCGTGTACTTGCTTTTCCAGCTGATAGATGAGCTTCTTAAGGTTGGAGTAGGAGATGTAGTGCGAAGACCAGTCGGGCACAGCGTTGAACTGGATGCTGTGCGAGAACTTCATCTCGTCTTCGAGCAGCCGGCAGACCTTTGCGCGGCGGCGGAGAGAGGTAGTAGCGAGCGGACGTAGGGTGGTGGGGCTGCTGGCAGGGCGGTCGAGGGCAGGCGGGGGGAGTTCTTGGAGCTCTAGGTCTTGCTCGTCGGTGTAGTTACGGTACTGCCCCCATCCCTCCCTTCGTCGGCGGTCCAGGATGGCGGTGGGAGGGCAGCTTCATGTGTCGGCGTAGGTCCCGAAGAATAGTGTAGGTGGTGGTGCCGTACCGTATCGCGCCACAGCCGCCCAAATGCCCACGCCGTCTGCCATGATTGGGCGGGTGAGGTCAGAGCACATCGGCTATAGCCGAGCTCTATTCGCGTTCACATGCCGACCACATCCACGTCTTCTTTTCTTCCTAGCATCCACGCATAGGACATTGCGACACAAACGGCCGAGTATATGATTCGGTCGAACAGGTACAGCGGCTTGGGTCGTAATCGATGGAAACAGATGCATCAGCCCGGGGCTGGAAGTGAAATGCCGCCGCCGACATCGCGCATGGTAAGGTACCTTCTGTGAGACTCCACGTTCAGCTGTTCCTCTGCCCATCCCGACGGCTTCGTTCGAACTTCTCTCTCTTGTACTCTATACCTACTCGGAAAGACTCGCGTACTACTTCTATTCTTTCTTCACTCGAGTCGACTTACCATTCCTTCCAATTGAGGAGAATTAGGGAGCTATGGCGGAAGAACCATCGGATGCCCAGAAATACTACGTACGACCCGAGGATGCCGAAGGATATGCTAAAGGCATTCTCCAAGGCAACGGTGTTCCACTGGGAAACGCCGACATTGTGGCCAAATGTCTGGTAGCAGCGGACCTGAGAGGCGTCGACACGCACGGTGTAAACCGCATCCCTTCCTACATGGCACGCATACGACAAGGAGTCTTGGATGCACGAGCACAGCCAACGCTTCACGAAGTCACGCCCGTCGTTGCTCAGGTAGATGCTCACAATGCATTCGGCTTTGTTGCCGCGCACATGGGCATGGCCAAAGCTGTCGAGATGGCTAAGATCTACGGCATCGGCATGGTCGGCGTGAAGCACAGCAATCACTTTGGGATGAGTGCTTGGCTCGTCCAGCAGGCCATCGACGCCGGTATGATGTCGCTGGTTTTCACGAATAGCTCGCCCGCTCTACCTGTCTGGGGTGGCAAAGAGAAACTCATGGGCGTTTCCCCAATTGCATGTGGAGCTCCGGGCGGAAAAGAGAAGCCGTTCATCCTCGACATGGCTCCAAGTGTCGCTGCCCGTGGCAAGATCTACAAAGCTAAAAGGAGAGGTGAGAAGATTCCAGCAGACTGGGCTTTAGACGCAGAGGGCCGGCAGACGGACGACCCAGCTGCAGCGCTTGAAGGCGTGATGCTGCCAATGGGAGGACCAAAAGGAAGTGCATTGTCCATCATGATGGACGTCTTCTCTGGTGTCTTGTCAGGAAGTGCTTTTGCAGGCCATGTCACCAATCCCTACGACCCCAGCAAGCCTGCAGATGTCGGACACTTTCTGGTGGCCATCAAGCCTGATCTCTTCATGAGTCTTGAGGACTTCAAGGGCAGAATGGACTACCTCTCCCAACGCTGCGTTGGCTGCGAGAAGATGGCTGGGGTCGACAGGATATACTTTCCCGGCGAGATTGAGCAGCTCACGGAAGAGACGCGACGAAGAGACGGCATTCCGTACGTTGAGGCGGAGATCAACGCGTTGAATGATGAGGCAGAGCGGGTCGGCAGCGCCAAGCTGAAGGTGGTGGAGCAATAGCAGCATATGTGAGGCTGTATTAAAGCATGCTCTGGCCCTCCATTCCCCGATGTCTTCCCGGTTGTGGAAGCCGGAGCCCTGACAGAACGTGCAGGAGTCCTGTCTCTAGCGGCTCTCCCTGTTCTACGCGAAATGCACTCGACACACCGCAGGCTTTGAGTCCCCGACGATGATTTTGCCGTCAGTCGCCGCCTTGAAGCAAAGCCCGCTTCCGTGAAGTTTTCGCAATGCAACCTGCAACCTTCCACGGACCGTCGCACGCTCCACTGCTTTGGATTGTTTCTGGCTTGACGTTCTTCGCAATACATTCCGCACCAACTGACTTGCGATGGCCGTGCCGCTGTCTCCGTTTGACTCGCATAATGTCTCTTGCATCCCGTCTCTCGCAGCCCTCGCACACCGCGCAAGCGAGACGCACCCCTCGTGCCCTCTTGCATGTGCAGTCATCGGACAGCACGAGTCGATCTCCACAAACCGCTAAGTTCTCACTCTTGGCTCTCTTGGTAGCCCCTTGGCGCTGCTTAACTTCACCGAACGAGTGAATGTCTCCGCCACGCCACCTACGTTGTGGGGAAGCTCTATGCGGGTGGTACAGCTGCAACACGCTGCAGCACGAGAATACCCCCCCGCCAGCCCACATCGTGGTGCGGATGGTTGTGTGACGGAGGGGTACTAGCCTCCAGCGTAGCAGATCAGCCCTGGCATTGCAGTGAGACGTTGCAACGCCGTCAATGAGCGGCCGAGATGGTCGCAGAGATAAGTATCAGACCTGTTCCGCACATTCTGTTCATCAGCTCAGCTGTTGCACGCATTTGACTGTCTTGAAGCATTCCTCTTGGTATTCTCTTGTCTCTCCAAAGCTAAGGCTCACCAAGCTCTCCAAGATGGGCATATTCTTCAAGAGTCGAAGCGAAGATTCGCCCAAGGAAATCTTGAATTGGCGTCTATGGTTCGGTGTCTTCGGTAAGCTTAGCACATTGGCGCAAGACACGATCAGTACTGACAAAACGCAATCAGTCTTCGGCCTGATGGGCGCCGCCCGTGGCCTCGATGAAGGGCTGATAGGCACATCTGCTTCCCTGCCATCCTTCCAGAGGCACTTCGGACTGGGCGAAAATTCCGACTTGAGCGAATCCGAACAAGCCGACCTCCTAGGCAACATTGCTAGCATGGTCCAGATGGGTTCAATCCTTGGTGCCCTGATCGCTTTCTACATCACGGACAAGATCGGCCGACTGTGGGCAACGCGACAACTCTGTCTCTTATGGGTGGGTGGTATTGCGATCTTCCTTGGCTCTGCCTCGACCGCGAAAATTGGTATGCTGTATGCCGGCCGGTTCATCGCTGGGATGGGTATCGGCCAGACTACCGTCGTGGCTCCAACTTACCTCGCCGAGGTCTCGCCGCGCTTCACACGAGGTCTGTGCGTCTGCATGTTTAGCGGGTCTGTCTACCTGGGCATCATGTTGTCCTACTTCGCTTCTTGGGGATCCTCGATCAACATCAGCCCCGATACGCAACTGCAATGGGTCATCCCGAACCTCCTGCACATTTACTTCGCCTCCATCATCTTCTTCCTGTCCTTCTTCGCCATCGAATCGCCGCGCTGGCTCGTCAAGGTTGGCAAGCACGAAGAAGCTGCCGCAAAACTCTCCAAGCTTCGCAACCTACCTGCCGAGCACTGGTACGTGCAGTCTGAGCTCCTCGATATCAACAACCAGCTTGATCGAGAGCGCGAAGCTACCATGGGCAACACGTGGTTTGGACCGGTCAAGGAGCTTGTTTCACTTCCAGAGAACAGGTACCGGCTCATGCTGTCTGTATTCTCGCAGCTGCTTGGTCAATGGTCTGGAGCTTCGAGCATCACTATCTATGCGACCCAGTACTTTGCAATGATGGGAGTGACTGGAGACCAGGAAGGTCTGTTCGCGACTGCCATTTTCGGTATTGTCAAGTTCTGCTCGGCCCTTATCTGTGCCTTCTTCCTCATCGACTTTCTCGGACGAAAGAAGGCTCTCATGAGCGGCATTTCGCTACAGTTCATCAGTATGGTAGGTTACTCCATCCCCTTCCATCACGTCTGACAGGATGGCTGACAAGACCAACGTAGCTGTACATGGCCCTCTTCCTCTTGATCGACACGGGAATCGCAGACGACGAGCCGCAGTCATCGAGTCAAAAGGCAGCGGCCAAGGGTGCGATTGTGATGATCTATATTTCAGGCTTTGGCTGGGCCTTGGGCTGGGTGAGTACCAACGACCTCGACGCCGTAAAAGCCGTCTGCTAACCTCAACTTCCAGAATTCCATCCAGTACCTAATCAACAGCGAAATCTACCCTCTCCGCCTCCGAGCCATCGGCGGCTCTTTCGCCATGACATTCCACTTCGTCAACCAATACGGCAACTCCAAAGCCGTGCCGAAAATGTTCATCTCGATGACAACAGGGGGCACAATGATGTTCTTCGCAGTCATAACAGCCATCGGCTTCTTCTGGACCTGGTTCTTCGTCCCCGAGCTCGCCAACAAGAGCCTCGAGGCCATTGACGCCGTGTTCGAATTGCCATGGTACCTTATCGGTCGCAAGGGCAAGCAGATGACCCTGAACATGGGCGGCGCAGTGGAGAACTTTGGGCAGGAAAAGGACAGGGTAGACATGGTTGAAGATGCTGGTGATGCTGAGAAGAGGGGCTGATCGTTCTTTGTGCCGTTCACATATACTTGCTTGGCCATGTCTATAACCAAATAGCGTCATCTAACGACTTCATGTGATACCTGGCAAAACAAGAGGTAGCACGCTGTGGATACTCGCCATGCGTTTCTTCAAGAGCAAAGACTGTTGCTCTGTTGAGATCACGTCAAGCATGGTAGTTCAGAAGCACGGCTATGCCTCCCTCCACATTCAAGCACATAGTAAAGTGACGTATGGCAGCGGACAGTAGCAGCATGATCACTTCGACTGGTATCAACAGTATCTGTACATTTCTGTCTACCCATTATCGCTAGTCGTATACATCATTACATCTCCATTTCCTCCATCATCGTTCAGTGCTTTTGTAATAGTCCAAGATATCATCGTCCACAAAGACCTGAATAGTCTGCAGCATGCCTCTCTTCGCGCTCTTCAGCCCAAAGGGTGCGTCTTGTGAAGTCCGCGGCGTTTTGACTTCAGGTTCGTCTGGTGCGGACTCGCTTACTGAACTCGTGCCGGTGGAGTCAATAGAATCGTTCGTGCCCTGCCGTGGAGACGCGAGGGACTTTCGCTTCGGAACGGTGGCAGTCTGAGCTGTTGCTGGAGGCTGGCCGGCTCTTGCGTCAGAGAATTTCGACTGGATCTCTACCTCTATGGCAAAGTGGTCGCGGCGGCCTGCTCGTTCTAGAGACGATCGATCTGGTAGAGTAATGTCAGGACTGCCAGGCTTGCCGTTTCTGGACTCAGCCACGAGGCCTAGCAGTTTCGCTGCCTTCGCACCCTTGATGCGGATTCTCTTCGTCTTGTTCTTCTCCTCCTCGATGGACGAGATGATGGAGACCGGCGACATAGGAGGCGGTGGCAAGTTCTTGGAGGCATAATGTTGCTCGCCCGTCGCTTCAGAATCGTTCCGAATGACTGTTGTTCGTTTCTCTGCTTGGGTCGTGGGTTGCGTTTTGCGGATCTCGAGAGGTGGTACGGCACTGACGCCTTTGCATAGGTCCGGCGTGGTTGTTGCTGAACTGGTGGTAGAAGCAATCGAGGGTGACACTTTCGAAGGGTTGTAGAATCTGGGGGAAAGTGTCTTAGGCTGGACATCCGGCGTTGTTTGTCCTGATTGCATGGTGAGGCCTGTAGTAGCATTCGACTGCACAGAAGCTACACTCTTGCTATCATCGTGGGTAGAATCCTCTGAGATGCTCTTGGCCTTCGCTTGAGCGATCAAGACTGCGATTGCATCCTCCTTGCGACAGTCGAGTGACTTCAACTTCGCAAAGCAAATGTCCATCGAGCTGTTAATGGCATTGATCGAGAGGTGCTGATCGAGCAGAGTATGAGCATAGTCAGGGCCAGGCTTGTGATCCTTCAAATTGGCGGAAATTGCAGTAGAGAGTCTGAGGCGGTCTGAGCGAAGCTGGGTGTATCTGGCATGGAGCGCATCAACCTGTTTGTTGATGGTCTGAAGGGTCTGTATTGGGTCGATCTCGAACTGATTCAGGTCTGGTGTTTTCCCAAGCCTTGTGGCGGTGTCCGGCGTCGTGGAACGCGCATAAGGAGTGTCGTCTCCAAAGGTGGTCGGTAAGGCTTTGTCCAATGCTCGCGCAGTCAACGGCGGAGTCTGCGATCGGCTAGCAAGGTCGGGGGTAGGTGATCGCATGTCTCGACTCGGAGCCCTTCTCAGCCGATCGAGCGACGATAGCTGATGGGACGTCTTGTGAGCATGCATCGCCGCCGGATCACCAGACCTCTGAGAGCCCTCGTTCACATTTCTCTGCGACCTTGGAGCTCCACTTGCTTCGCCATGATGTACTGTCACAGCGCCCACTTCTGTTGTAGAATGGCCTGCTTTCCGTTGCATTGGGTCCTTTGGGGGAGGGACCGGGCTCGTACTCCTAGAGATATTCCCAAGCGCAGCAGTGCTTGCTAAGCTTCCCTGCGAAGGTGGCGATGGGTTGAGCTGTGGTCGTTCCGATTTCTCAGATTCCTCCCCGTCTTTCATCTCGCGGTAGTGGTCTTGGAAGGGGCTTGCTTTTGGAGGAAGACTTGGCATGGGTTTGTGGAGGTTCATCTTTGGTGTTTTTGAAGTGGCGGAGGTCGGCGTAGCATCACCTGATTTCTCCTGCTCGGTAGCACCGTCAGGGTGTGGTGTACGTGGTTCAGGCCCTCGAGGCTTATCCTTTGGTGGAGGAAGTGGCTCGCTCGGACGTCCTGGTCCCACATCAGGGATCTCGACCTTGTTCAGCGTTCGACCCTGTAATGCATCCAGACGGCTCTTTTCTGATGCAGGAGCACGAGACTTCTCAAGCGGGCGATTCTTCTCCTCGAAAGGAGGTCGCGCGCCTTGAGCTGGGCCGTGTGGTCTTTCCAGCGGCCGTCTGGAGGGTTCTGGACCACGTCCAACAACAGTCCTTGGTAGACTACCAATCTGGGAAGCATCCTTCGGCGGCTGCCGTGCTAGTCTCTGGGCTGTGTTCGGTGGTCTGCCCATGATGGTCTCGGCAGACATTGTCCTGGCATGATCCTTGTCCAAACTCAATGGTGAAGCTCCCGCAGTCGGCCGACTGACACTACCCTCAGCAGAGTGCATACGAACGTGGTCCATGAAAGGGAGTTTTGGGAGTTGCCATGGAGGGTCAACTGCTGTCGTGTCCTGCGTTTTCTCCGGTGGCTGGGGTGCAGCTTTGGGATTGACCTGGCTCGTGCCCTTCGCAGTCGGCTGTTGCACGGGCTGAGCAGGCTTTGCTTGTCCACTGTGATCCTTCTTGAGCACAATCTCACGCACACGTAGATCGCTCCCATTGCTGGAGTACGATCCTTGCTTCGCGTGTAGTATGGGCGGCAGTTGTATAGGATTTCCTTGCGCGTCCACCAAAGCTGCTCGCATGATACTAGGCGTCGCGACGGTCCCAGACGCAGGCGACTCTCCATGCATGGAAGATACTCCCGAATGCGCTGAAGCGTCGCGCACATGGCGTGGAGACTTTGGTGGTGGAGGCGGCGGCCTATCTTCCGGCTTGACGATGTCGATGGTCAATGCTGGCTTAGGCTTGTGTGGGCCTTGCCGTGCAGAGGGTCGTACAGAAGGTCGATCGGCTAGTCTGCTGACTGGTATCGACAGTCCCAGTCCCGCCGGGCCCCCCATTGGATGGGGGCCGCTCTGTTTGGCCGTCCACGCCGCTCTGGTCGGAAGCGTCTGACTGTCCCGAATGTACTCTCCAGGCGCGCTGCTACTTCGGCTACGGTCCTCATCGTACGGCTTCGAAAAGCCGTTGTATCCAAATGGCACCGTCGGACTGTCCATGGGCGAATCTTGAGCAATTGGCATCAAGTCGAGCTCTGCCAGCTGCGCATCGAGATCCAGATTCAATGATGCCAATCTGTCTGGCGCATTGTGCCTGGCCGCGGGCCACCTCGCGCTCTCATCCAGCGATATGGATCGCTTCTTCCCAGCTCTTTGCGACCTGTCCTTCTGATTCGACTGTGGTGAGGCTGGAGGTGTCGGTTCGACTGCCGGAAAGAGTCGATAGCTGGGCTTGTGGTTGTCATGATGTCGTCCAGAGGGTCGATGGCCCTGGGACATCAGAGTTCGTGTATTAGCCCAATAGAGCAGGCCAAGGGTGGTATTAGAGTTTAATGACCTACCGTCGAAAAGTGGTTCACCGGACTTCCAGGTCGCTGCATTCTGATCGTCCGCTCATTGGCACATACAAGAAAGCTAGCGAAAGGACTGCGAGAGAACCAGCGACAGAGTAGTAGAGACAACGGGCGACCAGACGACGAAGGGGCCCTGCCGTGTTGTATGTCGTTCCGAGTCAGCTTGCGCCGGAGGTCGAAACAGCGCAACTAGGATTATCATAGCTCCTCGAACAGTCCGGCCTCTATCTTGATGAGCCGCCGTCGCCTACTCGCGTGGCGTCCTATAACCCCATAGCTCGGCCCAGGGGGAACAGACGGTTTGGGCCACAGGGAGCCTTGTTCCAACGCCATTGCCAGAAGACGCATCGAACGCTTCCTATCTTGATTGCTCGTTTACCAACTCCGTTAGAAAGAGAAGCAATGATCTGCGCTTACAGAGTTCGCGGTTGTTAACGTGAAACGGCAGCATTGATGGTGGAGTGATCGCCTCGACGACCGTGCGAGGTGAAGTTGAAGCGATCCTAGCGTCCCGGGGCGAGTGGCCCACCACGAGACTCAGGGGTTTCGAGATCAGATGTGCCGCTGTGGAGAGACGTCGCTTGCATGGCCGCACGGTCTGCACGGTCTGGGCCTGGACGGAAGATATGGCTCTGCTGTGTAGCAGCGTGACAGTGACTCGCTCCCGGATAACGAGCAGGTCTTGAGAGTCGGTGTTTACCAGATCGGAGTTGCCTGGCAGCCTGATCAGTCTTCTGTCAATCTCAAGGGTCGTCCTTTGAAGTTTGAGGAAGTGTGTCTTCGTCACGATCGGTTCCTCGGAGCTGGTTTCTAGGACTACCATCTCCCATCTCTTCCGCTAGATTTTGCCTGTGTCGATCTGTGGGCATATCGATCTATAGGCTTGACAGAATTGTAAGCGACATTGAGCAAACCGTATCCGCGCGCGGCTAACTGCCATCAATTCGCCAGTCTTTCCACCAATGCGCCGAAGTACTGGTGTGGAAGATGCGTTTGCGCTCTATTGGTGCAGTCGGCTAAAGACGAACGACACCAGTATCGATCTTCCGCAAGGATCAACATGCAGCGAAGAGGTTACCGCTTGATCTCGTGTCAATACAAGGCACGATCCGAGATGAAATTGTTCTCGAAGACGCCATCCGGCGCATGGCTTCCTGTGCCTCCGCATGTGAAGTTCTCAGTGTTTACGAGATGAGCCAGTCGACCTCCAGTGCATGAAGAACGGCATGCCGGCTTTTCCAAAAGCCAAATGACTCTCACGCTGCTGTACTGTCAGTCAATCTTCCGTGGATCAGTCAAGGGCTCGGGACGTTCTGCTTGGTTGAAGCAATCCTCGGAATGCAGAAGATGCTGCCCTCACCATTCCGCGTGGATGGAGCACTGTCTCACGGGCAGTGACCACTGGGATAGTAGCAGGCTCAACGGCAATGAGTCTTACGTGAATGACAGTAAGTCCACCGTGCTCTGACAAGAGTATGCTTACCACCGGTAGAGCTCTCTCGTGCACTTCTTACGGTCTTGCCTCGACTGTCTTTGGTGGAGACCCTACCAGCACTCGTGAGACGCCAGTAGTGGCGGTCGAGACTGTTCTCCTGGACGACGACGAAGACATGCCAGAACATATAAGGGTCAAGCTGCATGGAGGACATTCTCGCTATCGTGCGCAAGCTGTCAGCGATGTCGTGGTTGACTACCTTTGAGAGCTGTATAAGCGGATTGCGGCTGTGCTCAACAACCAATATGGCGCCCACTTGTCGGAGCCGCAATGAGCTATCACAGTACTGGCAGTCTGGTCCGACGAAGCCAAACATTCAACATTCGGGGCGGCAGAGGAGGCAGGAACAGGGCGAGATGCAGGTGCCATAGCATAGCATAGATCTATCTAGGTTCATCAAATGAGAAGTCATGCATAGCCCACTGTTGCTACCTCGTCAAATTCAATCCCCACTGCCTTTGCCACGATCTTCCATCCACCCGCATTGGATCAACCTCGCTCGTTAGGACTGTGTCTTGCTGGTGACAACTCGAGCCTTGGCTACAACGACGGCTTTGTCCAACTGTACAGGTTAGCCAGTCTTCTCTGACCGGGTAGAGCTGGGAGCTTACCGTCTTGGCCTGTGAATGGTCAATCTTGTATATCGCGGGGAACATAGACAGTACCAGTCCGTTGTCGGCCAGGTCAGAATCATCCCCCATACCAGTAACGTCTTTCATCGAGCTGATTTCGAAGGTCACGGCCTTCCCATTGACCATCGCGGGTCTCATCTCCACGATGTACTCAGCTTGTTGTGCCAGCAACAATCGATGCAACTCCTGAGCATCCGTGAACACCTTGAGGAGCGTCACGACCGAATCCTTCTGCCAAACCACATCCATAGCATCACATAGGTTGTTGTGTGCGCTCTCCACCATTTCGCATGTGAGCGATTTGTCGGCCTGTTGAAGCGCATCTGCATCATAAGCAGCGAGCAATTTGCGTGTCTCAACGAGCCACTTCCTGTTCTCAGGGACACTAGCTGCTATCAGAACGTTAGCTGCGCTGCACCTTACTTTGACCGCTGGCATTATGCACACCAAATGCATCGCTTGCTAATAAACTAGCGGCTTCGAAATTGCCGTCCTCGCTCTCTCCGAAATGGTTGCCCGGTTCGAAGTATGACAGCATCACCTGAGCGATGATACTGGTGGCGACGTTTAGCCATTGAGACTTCGGAAGCGTTCGCGCGGTTGGAAGGAACTGCCTTATGTTGTGCTTGAGACGATCGGGGAGTTGCTCGTAATCTACAACACAGTTAGCATCAGAACGAGTACGGTGGCATGGGCGGAGGAGTTACCAAACTTGACGCCCGGGAATGTGCTCACGACGAAGTCTTGCATGCCGTAAAAGATTTGTTCGAACTTCCCGGTGATGACATCATCTGATACCAATCCACTCACTTCAGAGTTTGCAGATATCAGTTTCTTGAATGCTCTCGCCTGCTCTTCGAACTTTGCGGTCCTAGTCTGCTCAGCTGCGAGTTTCGTCTTCATGTTCTGAGTTTCCCTCTGCGCATCATTGAGTCGCCGCTTCATCATCGAAAGGTCGTGTCGCAGCGATTGGTCGTTTCTCTCCAGACGCTCCATTTCCTCAAGCATGCCGTTCACTTGTCGGGAGTGTGAACGAGTTTCGCGCGGGCTGTCGTCTCGCCCGTAGTCGGCTGCTTCGCGAGTCGCCTGTGGCATGTTGGATCTGTTTCTTTGTGCACCTTGGTCGACGCTGCCGCTTCCCGACACCCAGCTAAGACTAATGGCGATTTTGTGTCAGCATTCGCTGGCTCAGTAGATGCATGGGGTGGGGGCGTCAACATACAGACCAGGTGGCATCGTCGGTGGGTTGTTGTCAATCAGCACGTTTCCAGGTATTATAGACGTCGAAAGACTCGGAACGCTGGTGATAAGTCGTCCGTTCGTGGTGAACCAATGTCAATGAAGTGAGCTTCATTGAGGTGAGCTTTCAATTGGGGCCCAGGTGAAGTGAATTCTGATGTAGAAGTGAAAAGCTTACCAAGCCGCTGGTGAGTGACATGTGTCAAAATCGCATGTACTTCGCTTCACCTCTTTTGTTGCATGTCAGCGAAACGTCGCTTCTTTCCTTTTTCAACTTACATCAACCCCTCTGAACAACAACAAGCAACAACACATCCACGGTCTTCAGGTCTCGCACCCCATCTCCCGACACAAAGCCTCGCTCCATCGCCACCATGGTGGAAGTGAAGGATGAAGACCGCATCGTCCTCGTTGTTGACTTCGGCACGACGTTCTCTGGGTGAGCGATCGTGAAACCTTCTGTCAGTATACCGATGCTAACGTGTTCCGTGCAGAGTTGCTGAGGCCTACAGCGGCACGTCGCACAAAGCGGACGAGATCGTGGTGATCAGGACGGAAGACCTCACAGCTAGCATCCGTAGAATCAGCGTACTGACGAACATCAGGTGGCCGAGTGCGAGCGGGCTGACCTCAGACAAAGTTCCGTCCGAGATCGCATACACAAAAGCCAAGAGCACAAGCTCCTCTGCTGCAGGCCAAGGTGTTCAAGATACCTGGTCCGTCCTAATGGGCACTCCTCCCGGGAAAAAGCTCGCTGCTTCAACTCAGCCAAAGCCAGCAGGATCCGGCAAAGAGACTACAATCAACTGGGGCTTCGACATCGCTCCTCAGGAGTCTCGTCTCCGATGCATGAAGCTTCTGCTCGACCACCAGGACATTCCGTCATTTGTTTCCAGCAGCGAACTCCATGAACTGTTGGCGGCATCTGGAAAGACCGCCACAGCAGTTGTTGCCGACTATCTCCGTGAGGTATACAAGCATGCCAAAGCAGAACTCGCAAAGCGATACGGCACCGTGTTCATCGACTCGACCCATCTCCAATGGATATTGACGGTGCCAGCGGTGTGGTCGGACGGTGCGAAGAATGCCACACTCACCGCTGCGAAGAAGGCAGGAATGGGGCCGGATCTCACACTGATATCGGAGCCGGAAGCAGCTGCAGTCTACACCCTGCAAGCAATGCAGCCAAGTCACCTGGAGACCGGCGACAACATACTCTGTGTGGATGCTGGAGGGGGACCAGTGGATTTGATCACGTTTCAAGTAGTAAAGCTTCACCCACTCCGCATCGAAGAGTCGGTTCCAGGGTCGGGTGCATGTTGCGGTGCAGCATTGCTCAACGTCAAGTTCGAAGAGTGGATGAAGTCGAAGCTTGGCAATGTTTTATTCAAGATGATTTGCCGCAGCCAGCCAAGGACCTGGAACACCGCGTTGAAGCACTTCGAAGAATATGTGAAGCGTAACTTCGACCCAGACAATATGACAGATTATCCGATCGCACTGGCAGGTATGCCGGACGACGAAGAGGTGGGCATCGAGCAAGGCTTCCTCACACTGCCTGGCAAGGATGTCGCAGCTATGTTCCAGCCGATTATAGCGGAGGTCGTTGGGCTGATTCATGGTCAGCTCGAGGAGTTGCGCAAGAAGGGCAAGACTGTGGCAAGCATCGTTCTTGTTGGAGGTTTTGGTCAGTCCAAATGCCTGCACAAGGTTCTCACACATCACTTTGGCAAGACGGTTGCCACGAGACTTCCAAAGCGGGTTGGCGCATCGTTGAATGGTGTCGAGATCCTACAGCCCTCGAATACATGGACTGCTGTCGTTCGGGGGGCTGTTCTCCGCGGACTGGAAGGAGTGGACATGGTGACGAGCCGTATGTCGCGTCGTCATTACGGTGTCGCCGCGAATGAGAAGTTCTACCCATCCATTCACCCTGCACATTGCAAAGAATGGGATGAAGAGGAAGCCCAGTACAAGGCGAAAGACCGGATGTCCTGGTATATTAAGAAAGGTTCGACCTGCGCGCCAGACGTCCCGCTGCTCTTCCCGTTCTACAGGACTTTTTATGCTGGTGACAGCAAGTACATCATCGAAAAACTCGTCATCTGCGACAGAGATGACGCGCCGGCTGGCTACAGTTCCCAGCCAGGCTCATCAACCAGGATCCTCTGTCGCATGCCAGTGAATCTCGGCACGGTTCCCGCCAAACTCTGGACATCAGGGGTGAGCAAGACTCGGCGTCGGTTCAAGCGTCTCGATTGCCAAATCGGGATGCAAATCGAGAGCGGCGGGCTGAGATTTGAGCTCAAGGTCGACGGGCGGATGTATGGCAACGTCACCGCGGAGTTCGAGTAGTCGGTCCATCAAGTTGAGACGAGGTTGTTTTGCTGCAGGATGAGATGTTGAGGGCCATTTATCGAGCGGGAGATTGACGATTGAAGGGCAAGTTCCAGACTAAGAAGGATCGTATCAGGGCATGCGAAGGAGCGGCTGCTTGCAGGCGTTCGATCAGCCCCGAAAACGTTCCACACAGATAAGACCAATGCCACAGATCGTGCTTTGAATACCTGCTCCTCTTCTGCAATCCTTCTCTTGCGCGTATTATCACCAACACGTGGGGATGACCTTGCCCCACAGCTGGAAAGATGATGGACTTCGTTTGTTGAACTCCAGAAATTCGGCTGCTAAAATCTCGGGGTAGAACCTAGTGAGGTGTATTCTCTATTCAGTATGGTACGCCTACCACTTCCGTTCTTCTTCGTTCAACGCTCTTGATTTCGGCCGCCACCCTTAGGCTTCTTGCTTGCATTGTTCGACGTGCTCTCTCTACACCTGGACTCCGCCTTCCCATAGCTCCCGTTATTGATGCCGCTGCTGCGCTTCTTCCTTCCACTAAACAGCGGGATCGCACCACCAGGTCCGTTCCATGAACTACTTGGATCAGCCTTCCGTGCACCACTTCAGCTCCCGCCACCACTCTTCCGCTTCTTGCTCGCACTGCCCGGCGTGCTCCCGCCACCAGCATCGTTCTTACTTCGACTCTTATCAGTCTTCTGTGCACTGCTGCCCGCAACTCCATCCCCACCCCCACCCCCTCCACCAGAACTCATGCGCTCCTTGCCTTTCCTGCTCCCTCGCGGTTCTTCTCCCGGCTTGAGACGAGGCGTATTGTCCGTCTTGTAGTCGACCATTTTCGCTTCGTCTTCGTCCGTGAAGCCGGCAACGATGTTCTGGAAGTGGAGGCGTGTTTGGGTTAGGGACTGTTAGCAGTCAGTGGTTGCAAAAGCTGAAGGCCATCTGGAAGCACTTCACCTCGCATCGCTGCATCGCGAGCCAGGACAGCTTCTCGTAGCTTTGCAGGATTTCTGCTGCAGCATTGCGGCATGCGAGCGATTCGAACGACTCCGGGCTCTTTGGGGCTTTGCCGCTGGCTGCACCTGAAGGTACACGGGATGATGAGGCCATGTTGCGGTCGCGAGTGGCAAGGTCAAGAAGTGTAACGGGTAGAGAAAAGATTGATCATACTATGCTACCATATAGTACGTGTTGTGTATGAGAGGCTGCAGAGCGCCATGCTCAACCCGAGCTTGAAATGTGACAGATCGCTTTCGGGAACTATGTGGCTCGGTGCTCGTTACGAGCAAGTCAAAAGTGTTGACTGTATGTGCATTTGATAGTTTCCAGCACGAGGCAGTGGCATGAAGCCGTATAGACATTGAGCACACAGAGAAGGGACGATGAACAACAGGTGAGGTCGAAACGGAAGTCGGAGGAGCTCGGGGAAGCCAAGCCTGTCAGGTGACTTTGCAACATCCCGATTGGGAAAGACCCTTATCCTCGACGCGCATGCATGTGAAAGGATGTTTTCGAGATCGTTGGAGATATGATACAACCACAAATCTGACGCCGGCAACGACGCGATTTGAATGGCTTTGACAGGATGATGTCTTAGCTTACGAGGATCACACCACCAAAACCATCAGGAGACCGACTTCAGCCGCAGGCACGCCGTAAGAACGACAGTCGCATGATTCAACGATAGCAGGAAACCGCTGCTGGACAGCGCCGACATGCCACCAAAGTTCAGGAACCCCTGCTCATATCTCCCGCGACGGCTACAGATAGTCGCATCTCTTGCTGGCTTCATTGTCTTGTGCATCGTCTTTCTCGGCAGCTCCTCTAAAACCGACCCCTACCTCGAGAAAGTGCCATATGGACCGCAACTGGAGAAAGGCGCGCATGAGCTCGTCGATCAGTCGCAAAGATTCAATCCATTCCGAACACCAGCGCATACGCCTCCGCCGGACCAAGCGAACAGTCGATCAGGCGATACGCGGTGGTTCAGCGACTTGAAGTGGAAGAATCCGTTCAGTAGCAGTGTTACGATCGACGCCGAGAGGACGGTGCTACCGCCGTTGCGGGAGAGGACGCGGGTGTATACATACTTCGACGCCGCAGGACGAAGAAAAGACGAGAAAAGCCGGCTGGCGGAGGAGGAATTATTGCAGATATGGCGAAGAGCTTGGTGGGCGCAAGGTTTCAAGCCTGTTGTATTGAGCTCGGCAGAAGCGATGCATAACCCGCTTTATAAGAGGGTACAACACTTGAATCTGCAGCCAGAGTTGCAGTTGGAGTTTATGAGGTGGTTGGCGTGGCACAATATGGGCACTGGCATTTTGTGCAACTGGCTGGCATTGCCGATGGCGCACTACGACGATACTTTGCTCAGCTTCCTGCGGAAGGGAGATTACCCAGCCCTGACACGGTACAAACATCTGGAGAATGGACTGTATGTTGGATCGAAGGCATCAGTGGAGGCACTCCTGAACACTGCGCTCGATTCGTCGAAATTGGAACAGGCGTCTTCTCTGACTGACCTTGTACCCTCTGATACATTCAAGGTCGACTCAGACCACGACAGCATCGCTTTCTACAGTACAAGCACCATCAAAGACAAGTACGGCGTCATCAGGGAGAAGCTTGACAAGGACGAAACCAGAGCCGACGGCCTTGCTTTGCTTCCCACACTAATCAACAGCCACCTGCACATGACATGGCAGAACTTCTTCACAGATGGTATAGCGGTTACCAAACCACTGGCGCAGAACACGACAGCAATGATCGAGCCGGCAATTGACATCGCCACGAATCTGTCTCAATGTTCTGCCTCTCCAATGCCATCTTCCTGCCCTCCGAACCATCCAAATTGCAGACCCTGCGTCAGCAGTCAGCCGCTGAGAGTCATCACACCGCCAGTGTTCAGAAACAAAAGCAGTCAATTCACCATCACAACCGTACCGCACCCATGGACGCTCCAAAGCCTAATACATACTAAAGACAACATGGAGATTCGGTACATCCGACGAAACACCACTCGCGACACCTGGATGATGGCGGCCACCAAAGAACTCCTGGGTACCGGCATCTCCTCTTTTGCCCGCCTCGCGCCCTTCAAAGAAGCAGTGGCTTCCGAGCACGGCATCGCGCGCTCCCTTTGGCTAACCGCCGAACAACCATCTCAAGTCTCCAGCCCCAAAGACCTGGAAGATCTTAACTGGATCTTCGGCTTCGACATCGCAGGCGCTCGGCTCAAGAGCGGCAAGTCAGAAACTCCCGTCCCGGGACCCGAGCGCCGACCTCCGCCACCAAAGCAAGAGTTCGACGGTCCAGTGCCTACGGAAGACCAGCTGAAGAAGCAGAAAATGCTCGTCCTCAACGGCAAGGCATTCGTGCAGCAAGGCGAGCGGAGCGGTGGGAAGAAAGAGACTGTGCAGAAGCGGGAGGCGATGGAGGCTTGGAACCTTGCGGATGCAGAGATCTGGAAGTTCGTGCGTGCTTTTGGCGCGAGGAGGACACTGGAAAGGCGGACTTGGGAGGATGATGAGAAGAGCTATTTTGGGGGCAAGGGAGTTTACGATCGGTGGAGGGATGTTTTGCCTGGGTCGTGAAGGATGGGATGTTTGGAGTAGTGTATATGTACAGGGTTGCATGAGCGATGGAGTCTTGGGCACGAGTGTTCGAAAGGGCTGTAAGATGGAAGTTCCAAATGGATTTTAACCGGAGCTTGCGCTGTTGAATGACGGTATTCAGTCTCTTGGCTGCAAGTGTGCTTCCAGACCTTTCGGAGACATCTTCGCCGCAACAACAACACCCGTCCAAGCTTGAATGACAGATGAGTATAAAGCGGCCGCATTCTATTTCCGTACCTTTCTTTTGCTGACTTCAGCAATGGGGACCTGCACGTATGCGCGCAACTTGGACTTTGAAATGGCTTTTGCTAGCCGCAAGAGCTGAACAACAACGAGCGGCGCCTGATGGTCCAGACGCAAGTTCCAAATTTTCTCACTTCCGGTTCCAAGACCACGCTTACATTGATCGTGCAATGTTAGCCCGTCTTCCCGGCTAAGATATTCTACGGTAGGGCGCAAAGCGATCTCATATATCATGCAATATCTGCACGTAACAACCCGGCAGCGAGTTACCAGCAACATCATCAAGCCATGCTTGTCCTTCTCCTCTCTCTGTTACTGACCGCCTGCCTTCGGGCCACCGCACAAGGGCTTGTCGTTGGCAGGCTGATCTTGGACGATATCATTTCGACTTGCACGGCTAGCCAACAGGCAGACATCTCTTTGGCGGCCGAGGAGGCTCACAAACTCACGGATGCCGCTCAGAACTTTGCTGGCGACGATCCCTCCTTTACCGCATACTTTGGCGCTGGGTACTCCGGTCCTGTCTTCGGAAAGCGGTTCGGGCTCGTCTCTTCCAATCTCCAACGAGCGGGTTCCGTCCTACAGGTTGGCAGTAGCGAGGCGCCTGTCGCGAGGGTGAGGTGCGGCTCAGCGACAGAATGCCCGGACTCCAGCATGATGAGGACCTCGAACAATGCCGATGGAAGTGGTACCATCGTCGTGTGCCCCTTTGCATTCTTGAAAGGCAACCGCACGCCAAACCTCAGGCACATTGCTGAACTCGTCCAGTCGGGAACCACATCGACAGATTTGGAGGACTTTCGTTCTTGGGAATATATCCTGCTGCACGAAATCATGCATCTCGACAATGTCGGGTACACCACACCCTACGACACGACTCAAGTTAGTTCGTTCCGCTCGACAACTAACAGCGTGAACCACAGTACGTTGAACGTCTCAAGCGCAGAGCATGACGACCAGCTAATCCACGCAGTTGGCGATGCTCGAGCTTTTCTCGCCGGTCGGGTGCCGGATCCTGGCTTCAATGACAAGTTCACGTCGCTCTATGGACCGACATTCGTCAAACAGTACGCAAAACAGAACTCCCCTCCTGTCTCCAAGAAACCACCTACACTAGCGCTTGTCAACGCGGACACGTATGCACTTTTCGCCGCGTCGCGGTTCTTCTCTCAACAGTTTCGTGGGACAATCACTCGGCGGCAAGTTGACGGGGATAATGCGGATGCCGATCCTGGCGACCTTGTTGACCTGGGTAAGTTCGGATGCTGCGTCGACTGGTGAAGCCAAGCAGGACCTCTCGACGAGGGCATCTGCTTGAACGCGTAATAGATGTGCTGACTCTTCTGGTTTGCACTCCAGGTACTGGCCAGGACCTAGGCGATCCGGAAGAAGCCTGCAGCGCAATCTCCCAACCACTGACCGAGGACTGCCAGCAGATCCAACAAGCAATGGTGGTGTCCGATAACAGCCAGGTCAACTATGGCTCCGCTTGCTACACCAACGGGAACCGCAAATGGTGTGACGTGTACACCTTTGAGTCCTGTCAAGTTTCCGTGGGCTGGGACACAACAGTGTCGGGCGACAGCGGACCTACTCTTTTCAACAATTTCCTCGCTGAAGATTTGGAAGGCGCGGCACTCGGGCCATCCCTCTGTTCTCCGTTCTTCAAGGACAATCCCAAAGTGTGCGCGATACAGCGTGCGCCGGTTAGCACCTGCACGACACCGTACACTTTCTGCGTGAAACGTGTCGGACAGGATTGTAGACCGTAAGCAGCTTCGTGAAATGTTACTCTCAAGGCTACGCTGACGTACTTTCCGCAGAGGCGTCAACCCTGATGTTGTTATCGCTGGACCGGGTTCACCGCCGCCGAACAATCTAATAAACGTGCTAGCTGTTTCGCCTTCAGCAGGTGACGCATCGAGTGCGAGAGTGAGTGCACCCTCACCCTCCCTCCAGGCATCATCCAGCTCGCAGAGCAGTACGTCAAATGCAACCGTGGCAGTACGAGATATCCGTCACAAACCAGATCTGCACAACCACGATGATTAGAAGCAGGTCTTGATGAGACTATGTTAGGGAGTGAGGACTGTCGTTGATAGAGGAGAGGCCTAGTTAGCGGTGTCTTAATATATGAACCCGCGCAGACCCGTAGCTCGTTCGATGTTCTTTAAGACCAGTACTAAGCTTTCTCCACGATCTCCACGATGAGGTGGTTGTAGCACGTGGAGGTGGCACAAATTAGGAAGGCGCACCGGGATTCATGACGACAGCGAACTGCAAGTGAAGATCCCACGTCACCTCACCACCCGAGATGTCCTCCCACACGTCCCAGAGTAAGCAAAAGACGTTCTTGAGCGTACCAACCCCACCCGTAACATCAAAATCGAGGAGCGGCAACCTCGCACGATAGTTAACACTCCACTCACCCGATGCTCACACGATGACGCTCCACCTGGGCATGTCGCACGCCCACCACCGAAGCCCTCAACAGCAGCAGCAGATCAAAGAGGCCAAAAGAGAGCTGAGAGACAGACTGCGCAACGACTGGGACTACCCGCCCTTGCCCGCATTCCAGACACCCGTACGAAGACGTGAGGTCGCGGGAGAGGATGAGGACCGAGTTGCCGGCTTCAAGTTCCATACACCTGCGCACTACCAAACTGGTGTCGCGGCGAAGCCTGGTGAGGCACCGTACCTGTACTTTGAGCCGGTGGAATGGCGGGAGCGGGAATACAGCAGCGAGGAGTCCTCGGACAACGAGAGCGTAGCCACGGCCAGCACCGGAGGAAGCGGAGGAAGTAAGAAGAGCAATTACCGGTTTGAGGGGCCAGACAGCGTAGGCTCGCAGATTCAGAATCGTAAGGATGCCAGGAAACGGAAACGACAGAAAGCCCTGGATGAAGAGGTGAAGTGGAACGACGGGCTGGCGCATTGGATTACAAGACGGGACGCATGGTGTGCCGCGCATACATCCCAGCAGGTGCAGATACTGGAAAGCAAGAAGAACGAACAGATCGTAGCGGTATCAGCATTAGAATCTGCCTCCGCTTCTCCAAATACAACACCGCGAACCTCGACGTCCAGCACTTCAAGCACCTCAGCCGTCATCTCGAGCCCATCAACTACACCGGAGCTTCCCCAACAAACCATCATCAACACTCGCCCTCCAGCCCCACCTTCAGAGATCCTCGTCCCTTTGGCACCAACACTCTTTCCCAACCACCCCATCCGCAAGCGAATAAAAGCAGAAGTCTTCCCGGAGATATACGGCAAGATCATACTGCAGTCCCGCACACCGTCTGTGCCGATAAATCTAGCCGTGCTGATGAAAGCTCTGATCCAAGGTTGGAAAGACGATGGCGAGTGGCCGCCAAAGCAAGGGCCGGTGGAGAAGAGTATCGGGCGGAAGAAGAGTAGTGGGCATGAGTCGAGTCTGAAGAGTGGCGTAAAGGCGATGGGGAGGGTTTTAAGGATTACCGGTGGTGAGAGCAGCGTTGGTGGCGGCAAGGAGAAGGGGTGAAGATCTATCTCAGGCACCGTCCACTTTCAAAGGCGCTTGCCATCATCCTCTCCCAGAATCCGATACCTTCTGCGCTTTCGTACTGCCTGAAAGCATTCTTAACGACACCTATGGTGTGCTGAGAATATTTAAACCTCTCATGGCCGCCTTCTCCTAAAACCCGCTTTCTGGCTGCGCTGCTGCACTACCTGGAAATGCCCTGGCTATACCTAAGACTTGTCGAGAAGTGAGGTGTCGAGAAGTCATCTTGCATTACGTTCTCCTAAAAACTGCTATCTAACTACGCCACTACACCGACTGCAAGCACCGTCGTCACTCCCACGAGCCGACGAGAAGCACTCCAGATGCAACGGGTGGGCGCACAGGCCCGAACACCGGCTTCGCGTTGGTCATACCGATCGCTCCAGCGGAGCCACCATGTCTTCGGCACGTTAGGCGGTTTGAAGGGGGCGTGGAGCATCCGACTAAGCAGCCCTGTGAGCCTATCAGGATCCTTGGCGCCGTTCTCGCCTGGCAAGTCCTTCCATTGGCTTCCAGATGGCAGCTTTGAGCCATGTGCGCCTACCAAGCTGCTGACTCTCTGCCGCACGAACCTCCTGCCTCTTCTTGATGATTGGGGCACGGGCTGGGTTGGCGATGATGAGTCCATTCATGTATGCCTGAGAAAGGTCGCTACGGCCGTAGAAGTCATCGGGCATGTCTCGAAGACAGCGGAATTTGAGCATCCCATCATGCGCAAGGATACAATCAGGCCGCGACCAGAAAAACAGAACTCTCCTGGCATTGATAGACGGAGAGGTCGTAAGGGTATAACCCGATAACAAGCGAGCGTTGGTGACACAATATCTTACTGATGGCAAGGGGTAAGAAAGCTTTGTCACTTACCTTTCCCGTACAACCGAGACATTTTCAACAGCGAGGGGGCTCAGTCTGGCTCATACCTTGTCGTATATCGTTCTCCCTACTTGTACCGTTGCATGGCTGGATCGTAGTCTCATGGGACGGCAAGCCTTGGGTGAGGTCCATTGCGGCTCTGCTGGGTATATGGCTTGCTTGCACAGCTTACCTGTATTCGCAGCAGACAGGTAAGTGTAGATGTAGAAGATAGGCGGAAACTCAAGAGTGAAGTCGAGTGGTTGCTAGTTGAGACCTGAGTGTCGTAAGCAAAGGCGCCAAGAAACCATGTGCTGATGAACAGGCGGTAGACGACATCGACTTGATCTCATACAACTCCCATCATCGACTGGCATCCGCCATGGATGACCATGCCGATTCTTTGCCCTGAAGCGTGGTGAGCTTGTAGAACTTCGGTGTTGAAGAACGCGGCAAACTCCTGCTCCTGCCCACCAACAAGCATTCGCCAAGCTTCGAGCAACCGCGACCGACCATGGCCAGCCGACGACGACACCTCCACCGCCGGAAGTCTTGGAGCTACGGCAACGGCTCGATCACCATACGTATCGGGAGCAGAAGAAGCTCACGACACTACCATGAAGTCCAAGTCAGCGGTCCTCGCGAAGCCGGACGCTTCGCGCGGGTCATCGAAGACCAAGTCCGCGACTTCCCGCGAGATCCTCTGATCATCGCCATCAATGGCTACCAACCGTGGCTGGAAGCCATCCTCAACTCCTGCTTTCAAGACCACTGGAACGACATCTCGGATCTCGATCGAGAGGTGCAGTTCGCTCACACCATGCAGTTTCCGGAGAAGGCGAGCAGGAAGGGCAGATTCGTGCCGTGGTCTTGTATCATCGATCACATGAATGTCCCGCAGGTGTACTACTGGTCTGTTGGTGCGGAGCCGCCATCGGGTGAGGACTGGGAGCTGCCTGACATCTCGACCTTCCGCTTTCGAGTTGGCATCTGGCAAAAAGGGCGAGGAGCATGTTTGATGGACCGAGATGTTTCTGTCTCCATCATCTTCACGCCCCAAGATCCACTCAGCGACCACGTTGTCTCAGAGTTGGTGTTTGGTTTTCTGTATAAGAATGAGGACCTCGGTCAACCTCGTGAGGACGAGGAAGGGATATGCTGGCTGTTCTTGCAACTGTATCTACTCTTGACCGACTGGCAGAACATCATTCACCAACTCAACGAGCGTCTGGATGAGGCAGAGAAGAACTCCACTGGCCGACATCTCTCGGTCAAAATGAGAGGTCGCATGATGCACGCTGAAATCGACAGGATCTACGAATTGAAAGAGTACCTCAGCTTCCACACCCGTGCGTTCCAGAAGCTGCAGAAGCTCAAAGGTGATATCCCTCCAGACGAGCAGCAAGACCCACTCTGGGACGATCTCGACGATGTGGTGGACGACCTGCAACACTGGGACTCCTCCATTGACAACCTGAAGGAGCGTTTCAACAACCTCCTCGATCTCGAATTCAACATCCAAAATGCCGTGCAAGCAGACAACTCCCAATTCCTCGCCATCATCGCCACGCTCTTCTTACCAGTCTCTTACCTTGCGTCGCTCTTCGGCATGACCACCATCACTTGGCCGGCGATCTGGTACCTCTACGTCGCCATCCCAGTTCTTGTGATCAGCGCAGCTTTTACCGCCATCTTCCCTTGGTCAGTCAGGAGGGTGCAGAAAGTTCTGTACCCTGAGGAGATGCGCCGGGTGCGGTTGACGCCGAATGAGTTCACGATGCTAGGAGATGGTCTCCCGGATAGTGCGGATGTTCCAGGCAAGTCCGCCACGAGGGGCAGGAGGAAGTCTCTGCGTCCTTCAGGGATGGACAATGATGCTAAGGTGAAGGCAAGGTCGAAGTCGAGGGCAATGGCTGAGAAGGATGATCTCTGGTAGGGTGGGTTTGTTTGATCGCTTTCTGCATGATCTGGCTCGCTGCAGGAGTGGGAAGCGTACATGTTGCTTGGTGTGCACTGATGGCCATTTGTGCTTCGCTCATGCGGGCTGGGACGACGTTAGCTGTACAGGAACTGCCACATACATTCACCTTGTCGTCTGCGCCAGTCCAATTGGCCAGGGCATGGGTGATGTACAGCTTCTCCGCTATACGGAGTACCATGTGGTGATATCGCCCCAAGGCAGACGCTCCACATCTGTGCACTCCCCAAGCGCTGGAAGATGACAATGGCTGCCTCACGCTTCCGACCATCGACTTCGTTAATACCTTACGGTCGCATCGATTTACTGCCAGCGCAGAAATTGAAAACGATCGTCGCTTACCAATAGAACAGCTACCATCCATCGGTCTGTCAGGTCGTCGGCGCCAAAGCAGCCCGACTCCCGGGTGTGCTGTCGTCCGAAAGCGCACGAGGCAAGAGTTGAGATTGGATATAGGTCAGGGTTCACCACCGCATTTGGGAGAGACATCAATCGTGGCGCTGAGATGTCTCAGTTGATACGACTCGAGCGGCAGTGGTGTACCGAAGTTGCGATGATAAGCTATAGCACAGGCATGGTCGCGAAGCGAGTCGATGTACGGCGCTTTTTGCCCACCCATACACCTGCGGTATACATGCGATAGGGTGGCAGACGCCCGAATCTAGAAATGTTGACATTCGTACCTTGCATCTCGCGAATGCATAACACGGCTATCTTATGATAACGCTCTGCGAGGACTCGTGTTTCAGATACTCGACCTGCATTTCTGACCGTTCCAGAGCCTACCGCCACAACTGCCTCGTGGCGTGGTACGGACAACGTGGGTGCGGGTGGGCCGTGACACTCGGCTTCGGGAATTTTGTGTGAAGATAATGCCTTTATTCATGCTGTGCGAGAGCGCCCAAAGCTGGCCTCAGGGCCGGATCGTTTTGCCTGCTACGCTTGTAGGCGGGAGGTGCTGTAAGGTACGAGCCGTGCGACCCGGACGTGCTTCCGCGAGAGTTCTCAATGGTGTGCAAGCTGCATTGGAGAGTTTTTGTCGCCACGCAGCCCACGTTCTCGACGCCTGCTGCACGCGACCTTTGCCTCTTGATGACGATGATGGTGGGGAGATGCTGCACCGACAGGTGTCGGCTGTCAAGCAGTGGTGGCAAACATCGTAGGTGTGTCCACAATGGGTGCCGCTGCTTGAGGAGCAAGAGGGGAGGGGATATTTTCGAGCTTCTACAGGCCCCAATGCGAGGTCTTGTCGATCCTGCACGTAGAACCGGGGTCCAAGTTCCGTGTCCGGTTATACGATCGAACGGGAGGAGAAGGAGAACTTCGCAACAGTGCGAGCGTTGGCAACGGTTGGATTGGGCGAGCGTAGATCATCCGCAGGCAGCCGCCCGACGACAGACATCCGTTCCCGGTGCGAAAGACGGCATTAAAACCGACCGGGACATGGGGTTCTGGTGGTGGACGTAGACAGGGGCTGACGTACGCCCTTGTTCGTTTGCAAAGCCAGGAAGGCTGATCCCGTTGATGAGCGAAGGCGGTTCACGCGGTCATAGGAAGCGGAGTTTGCAGACGAGCAAAACGTTGAGACGGAGAAGGTGTGAGGAGGCAAATGGGTTGGACCTTGAAACAACATGCAGTCTTGTGGAGCTTGGCACAGGGGGGATGGTGTCTACATACTCCCAAGACCCCGTTCTTGATATTGCCCTGCTCATCTTAGTTCGCGATGGCAATTCATTGAGATGGTTAGAAGGAAACGGTCGCTGCTCGAGTAGAGCTCGCCTAAAGGCTGTGCTCGAATTAGACGGAGCATTGCAGGGACGAGCCGTTAAATGGCACAACGGGCATACAGGCTATAGCGCGGCAAGCTGTTCGATAGCGTGCGTATCCAAGCGTATCTCAGTCCATCTCGATTTGGCCGCTGCATGTGGTATCATGAGCGAGCGAGTGGACGATGATGGTCGAGAGTCGCTGCTGCCGCCAGCAGTGTCCAACGCGCATTGAGCGCTGTCAGGCTTTGATATGGCGGCTGACTTAATGCCCATTCACTTAAGAGAGTGGCTCGGTGGATTCTGTAGAACGCGCTCGCACGAGTCTGTACCCCCTTGCAAACCTTGAGCCTTGGTGTCTTCCACGCGCAAAACGTGATCGGCGCCGTGCCACTCCCGCCATCCGCCCATCATTATTGCAGCAGCGTCGCACCACCCGCGCAACCTTTTTTCGAGACGTGCAGTAGCAGTCAGTGCCTAGCAGCAGCAGCAGCAGCAGCAGCGATTAGCCAGCAACGACCAGCGCAGCGGCAGAGAGTCGAGGGCGTCAGAGGGGCCAGCAGGTGCAGCAGATCGCGCATCCTCTTTGGCTCGCAAAGCTCGGGCTTGCACAAGCACTTGCGACCGTCGACGGCTCCGCCTTCTGCTTGCTATCTCTGCTCGCACCTCATCACTCTCCACCACCACCTCGCTTCACCACTACACCACTCCCTCCCCCCCCCCAGCACCACCCGCGCGGCCCCTGGTATTGATCGCATACCACCACCCTCGTTTGACCCGCCTGCCCCGGCCAAGCCTGCAGCGACTTTTTCGCAGCCTCGACGCGGCTTTTCTCTTTCGCATCACCGACGGCGACACTGGCGTGACGCAGCACCAACATGCCTCCAGCGACGCCCCGTCTGCGCATCCTGTCCGGTGAGTGGCCCCTGCTATCCTCACCCTCATCCTCCATCGCGACGCTCGGCGGACAATGCGGCCCTGCTGCTCCACTTTTCCCAGCTCATCGAAATACTGCTCCCTGTCCACCAGCACAATACCTCTCCCTCGAGGAGATTTTCTTCTATACCTGCATTACTACTTCGGAATGGGTCCGCTGACACAGAATGTGGTGGCAGTGGGCGGCAATGCGGTTTCTGCCTTTCTTTCCTGGCGACTGTCGGCGACTAATGCCTGCGACGTGACGCTTGTCTGGAAGAGCGGCTACGATTCTGTCCATCAATATGGCATTTCCTTTAGGTACGACCCTTTCCCATGGTAGTACAGGGACACCTCTGACATCCACAGATCGAGCAAGTTTGGTAACGAACGCTTCAAACCGAGACATGGTACGCCGCCACCCTTGCCTAAGACAAAGACATTGTACTGACTTCGTCCCACACAGTCGTCCGAACCCCTGAAGAGGCGGCGAGCTCATCGAGAGCCTCCTTCGACTACGTCGTCCTCTGCGTCAAGGCGCTACCAGATGTCTACGACCTCGCGTCAGTCATTGAGTCGGTCGTTTCACCGCAGCACACCTGCATCCTCGTTAATACCACCCACAATCTCGGCATCGAATCGTACCTCGAGCAGCGCTTTCCAACCAACGTCGTGCTCTCGTTGGTGTCAGGAGCAGAGATTGCACAGTTAGGTCCAAGCGAGTTTGAGCACAAAGGCGGTACGGACCTGTGGGTAGGAGCGGCGAACAAGAATCCATCTATACCGGCATCGATACAAACGGACATGGCAGAGGCATTGTCCATGACGCTGAAGTCTGGACAAGTGGAATGCGAGGTATCGCCAAACATCCGGCAGCAGCAGTACGAGCGGATGATTGGGTGAGTTCTGTGGCATGGTAATGACGAGGATTTTAATTGACAAAACATCCAGACCCATCGCTTTTCATCCAGCCTCTGTGGTCTTCGAGACTCCATCTCACGCCGAGCTCCTCGAGAAGACTGGCGTTCGACCACTCATTCAAGGCGTTATCGACGAACTTCTGACGACTGCAAAAGCTCAGGGGTGCCAGTTCAAGCCAGGCTTCAGAGAACAAATCATGGAGCAGATGATCGTACCCGCCGAGACGAACAGCATCATGTACCAAGATTTCCAGGCCAGGAGACCGATGGAAGTGGAGACATTCCTTGGATCACCCATCAAGCTCGCTCAAGAAGTGGACGTTGCCGTGCCACGGATCGAGACGCTTTATGCGTTGTTACACAACGCAAACACCATCAACCAGACGAGGGCTGCGCAGCCAAACCCGCCTTCGCCAGTGCTGGCGCAACAACCTCCACCGCAGCCGCAGCCACGAATGTCATCGATGGGAGGAGGCCCGCCACCTCCGAGAGGACCTGGTTATGGAGGTCCCGGTCGCCCGCCGATGATGAACGGCAGGGGTCCAGGAAGCAGAGCGCCCTCGCAAGCCGGTGGACCACCACCACCGAGAAGGGGTCCGCCATCCATGAATGGCTACCCTCCACCACGAGGCATGAATGGGATGAACGGCAACGGCTACGGCCCGCGAGGAACGCCGCAACACATGCCTCGCCGTGGATCTCTTGAAGGCAACGAATTGGAGGAGTTCAGCCATGTGATGCTGTATGAAAATATGCAAGATGGCGGAGCTGGCGGCGGCGAGGTTGGATACGACATGGCCAATGGCTCGCACCCGGACCTTGCCATGAGGGAACGCGAGCTTGCTTTGCGACAGAAGGAGCTGGCTCTGCGCGAGCGGGAGTACAACATGCGCCGAGGAGGCGGTGGCCGTGGACCACCACCACCACCACCCAACGCCTACGATGACGATGATGAGGACGGAGAAGACTACTTCGACCCAATGGGTGGTCCTGGTGTGGCGCCAGTGGACGAGAACTTCGACATGATGAGCGTCACCTCTCGCCGGACCCGCAAAGCCCCTAGTGCGAGTCAGCTGCGCAACAACCCCGAAATGGGTGGCCCACCACCCATGCGCGGCGGCCGCAACCCTTACGCCAGAAGACCTCCTATGAAGACCAACAGAACAAGCGCCACAATCATGAACGAGATGCCCAACCTTCGCGAGCAGCTGATGAACAACCCACTCATGGGCTACAGTTCTGACCGCTACGGCAACGTCGACAGGCACAACATGGGGCAGGAGTCAAGGACGAACTCGCTGACGGCTGAGCGCCTTTCTGAGCTACAGAATGGTCCCGGCGGGCCTGGGCCGAACGGCTTTGGCGGACCCAGAGGCCCATACCCTGGTCCAATGGACAGGAGAGGCAGCCAGTCGCCTGGCAATCCTCTCAGTCCTGGGCAGAGACCCAACCTCCGCCCTTCACCTCCCAACGGCTATAATAATGGGAGACCGAGCCCGCCAGGCATGCGGCAACCGATTCCAAGACACCCACCCGGGCACGGAAACGCGGTGGCGCCGCATCAAATAGAGCAACAAACTGGGGTGAGCAATCTGTACCCGCCCAAAGCCCTTTCGGGGCCACAAGTACGCAGTCTGACCGGTTCTGCGAGCGCTAGCGCGGGGAGTGGTGAAAGCGGCCGCTCAGCCCCCATAGACTCTGAACCCTCTGCCCACAGCTCTTCCAGCAGCCTGGGCCCACGACCTCCGATCGGCGTCCGCTAAGCGCCTCGCTTCCCGACACGACAGCTGCTTGAACAACACGGTGCGTTGAGTAGCTGTGCGAGCGACGACATGGTCATTGAGCATGCACCATTCACGACATTCATCTTCTGCATCGTCTGAGCGTTCATTGCGGCGTTGGCGAACGGCGCATGAAAAGCAGGCAAATTTCTATCGCATCAATGGCTGGCGCTCCCGGAACTAGAAATACAGCAAACACTATCATTTCGTCACAAGACGTCTTTTGAGATCGACGCCTTCCCTTTCTACGACCAACTTCTCCTGTGGTCCGACCTCCCCACCGGCATGACAGCACTCTCCGAAGTGCGATCCAATCTTTCTGACGACGACTGGAACTCCAACATAGACGAACGGCGAGCGGGTGACACAGCCACTTTTCTTTGCATCCGGGACTGGGACACGTACATACTGGGGGCATCCGGCATTTCTCTTCGAGGCCTGGTGGAGCTATGATGACCGCGGTCGAACATTATAATCAACACGCATCGCTGCACTCTGGGACGGTTTTCTCTTGGGCGGGGCTAGTCGAAGCCTCGCAGAACGATCCTTCTGGTTGATTTGGGTGGTGATTGTGGCATTGGGATACCTTACATGCGGTCTCAGTTCGCGAGGCAAGAGAGAACAGAGCACGAGCGCCTGACCAACTGACCAAAGGCAGCAATGGGCGGTTTAGAGAGGTATTGTTTAATGCCCCGACAGTGGTTCGAGGCCTGTGTGAGGGTTGGGAAACAACTGGCGCGGCGACCTGAGCATTTGCAATCGCGAGTATGCTCCGGGAGTTCGCTTCTGGAGGGCACGGGGTGTAGCAGATAGGTGTGGGCATATATGCGGGTTTCTAGCTTCAGCTTCAGCACATCTACAACTTTTCACATGTCATCCATCGAGTCTGTCCTTGGCTGGCTTCAACAACACGTAGCACGTGACAGCCGACTTCAAGCCTCCCTCTTCACACCTGCGACCCGCGCTGTCTTTGTCAGACTTCACTCAGCCTGCCGACACACTTCATCGCTACCGAGCAGGAAGGCATGCTAAGCAATTGTCGGAGCATTCGGAGATCGTAGGACTGCTAGGTGGGTTCATTGGCGTTGACGGCCGGTGAGGTCAGATCTGCTGGTAAGGTTTGTGCTGGAGCTGTAGTGGACTTCCACGCTTTCTGTTCACGTATTGTTTCCTCTCCTGTCCTGTCCAAATTTCTACGGCGGTCGTGGTAACAGAATTGCATACTCATCTACCACCGACAGCAACAATGACCACGTAAGACCACCGCTTGTGCCCCCCCTCCTTGCCCCCACTAAATCTTCTCCCCTCACAGCCCACGAGTCTTCATAATCCGCCACGGCGAAACTGAATGGTCCTTGAACGGCCGACACACCGGCATCAGCGATATCCCCCTCACTCAAAACGGCGAGAAGCGCATCCGAGCCACCGGCCGCGCCCTCGTCGGCCCCGATCGTCTCATTGTCCCCAAGAACCTCGCGCACATCTACGTCTCCCCCCGCAAACGCGCACAACGCACGCTCGAGCTTCTAGGTCTAGGATGCAATGAGGGGGTACCATGGGGCCAGCACGGCGACATCGAAGACGGGAACGTAGAGGGCATGAAAGCGAAGATCGAAGTCACGGAGCAGATCCGCGAATGGGACTACGGAGACTACGAGGGCGTGACGAGCAAGGAGATCAAGAAGCGGCGAGAAGAGAACGACGAGGGGATGTGGGATATCTGGCGCGATGGGTGTCCGGGTGGTGAATCGCCGCAGCAGATCACTCAACGGCTGGACGATTTCATTGCGGACTTGCGGCAGAAGTTCCACGCGCATGCGATTGGGAAGCCGAAGGGGAGTGTGGAGGAGCCGTATGATGTGTTGATAGTAGCGCATGGGCATATATTGCGGGCGTTTGCGGGACGGTGGGTGGGGAAGGATATTGCGCACAACCCTTCGCTGATACTGGAGGCGGGGAGTGTGGGGACGTTGAGCTATGAGCATCACAATTTGGAGGAGCCGGCGATTTTGTTGGGAGGGGCGTTTATGAGTGATGTGGTGGAGAATGCGGTGGATGATGAGTCGAAATCGTGATAGTTGGGGGAGTCTTAAAAACAGATATCATGCATCCCTTTATGAGATATGTGTATATGCTGTCTATTGATGCAGAAACGTTATTCTATTAGGGGCGTCCGCACCCAGCCCACAGATATACCTAAACTCATCAATCTCGCTCCCACGCTTCAACACGCGGTACAGAAACATCTCTAGCGGACAGCTACTCCCTGGTCCGTCGTCACATTCTGGGATCGCGACGATGCCATCGTTGATATTGAGCCTCACGAAGATCTCGTCTTTCTGTTCCTCGCAGTAAACGTGGTTCGGGTAGAATGGAGCGTTGGACCAGCAGTGCGGCTGCTGGGCGCAAGACAGCCGCTCGAAGATCAGACGGCCGCCCATTGGGACGATGTCTGATGTTCTCCAGGTGCGGTTGTGAAGGACGTACGCTACTGGGAGGTCCGGAGTCTGTTGTAGCAAGTCAAGTGCTGAAAGCAGAGGGATAATGTCGCCATCGTGGACACTATCAGACAGTCAGCAGTGCTGCAATGGATAAGTAGGCTACACGTACAAGCTAAGCAACATCTGTCCCACTTCAGGCCCTTCTCTGAGCAAGTTCGCGGTAGCGTTCAACCACAGCCAGCCCAGCGAGGCGCTGTATGGGTTGCCAGGGCCAGCTCGGTAGTAGTGTATCACGTCACGAGCGTATTCGAAGCTCTCCATTTCTTCTTGAGTGAAGACGGCGCACCAAGGACTGCTGCCTTTGGATATCGTCTCGAAGCCACACATCAGCTGCATGGTGAAGATCTCGTCTTCCACGAACAGGAAGTCTGGATTGTCCTCCGCCAGTCGATTCACCACGGTCGGCTCGTAGGTGCTTCGGAACTCGTCCGTCATCCTGTAGCCATAGCCGTGGCCGAAGCCGTCCATGTCTTCGCGATAACGCAAGCACGTTCGTCCAGGCGTGAGAGTATCGCCTCCACGGTCAGTAGTCTCCGGGATAATGTGAAGAGTTGCGAGATCTTGCCAGTCGATCCCGAAGCAGCCGGCGGCGAAGTATTGTGCGGTATCAACCACGCGTTCAGAATCGCTCGCCCAGAACGAAAGCCGGCCCTTGATAAGCGTGTCATCCAGAAGATCTTTGTACCTCGTCCTGAGCTTGACACCGGTTTGAAAAGCTTCCAGGGTGCCAGCGTATATGCCCGTGGAAACAAGGCTCTCGAAGTGATCTGCTGGTGTCGAGGTGAAGAAGTTCCAGTCGTTGGCGAACGCGAGGTCGCCGTGGAGTGTCACGTTTGCTTCCTGTATCCGATTGTACAGATCAAGCATCTCTGTTTAGACGTATCAGGAACTGCGAAGATCATGTGATGTAGAAAGGACATACTCAAGCCTGCCGGTACTGTCGGGTACCGTTCAGCATGTCTTGATATCTACGCAACAGAGAAGAAGGAAAGTCAGAAGATGGACCTACCTTCAAACAGGACGCCAGACCTACCATATGCACTTGCTCGACTTTACAGCCTTTCGGTACATTGATATTACCCCCAGTGGTGCCATTGAGCTTAGGGATCCAAGGCCCATTGCCGCCGAGATGGTAGCGAAGGTCCCATGCTTTGCTCACTCCAGCAGTCTCCTCTTGTCCCGGCGCCTTGCTCGCCAGTCGCCATGCAGTCAATGGACTGGTGAATGGGTAGAAGTCCGGAAAGAAGACCAATGCCAACACGGCGAAGCAAGCAATGAGTGTCGAGGCCATGGTGGCTCTCTGGTCCATATTTTAGCCGTCAAGCTTCCCCAGGTGACTTCGGCCTAGGGGACTTCATGACAGTTGGAGAGGGTAAGTGAGCGGGCGCTGTGCTTTGATGAGATGGCTCACAAGATAGACATTGAAGCAGAGCGTCGCGGTTGCACACCGTGATCATTGGCCCATATCGCTCGGCGCTAGTTGATGTTCGCCAAGTGGAAGTAAAATGGGGAAGGGCTGCAGTCTGTTCGCAATCACAAGTCTATACACCTGGCGCTTGATAGACGTTTATTCTAGCAAGAGGCATCGCGCAGACATTTTCGTTAGTAGCGACCAAAGTTATTGTATACAAGTGGGTATCTTTTAAGGCCACATCCAACCCTTCAATAGTACAATGGAGCTCATAAGCCATCCTATCTCCTCTCCTCCCTGCCATCATGACCTCTGCTGGAAGATGGACCAGCTTCATCGTCGCCATCCTCCTCGTCATCATCCTCAAGTTCACCTTCCTCCTTCCTCTTGCCTCGCCACCACTCTCTCTTCAACAGATCCGAAAAGAGCGCGCCCCCTTCATGATGGTGATACTGCCCGCTCACATTCCTTCGCTTACCGCTCACACTCCTGCCCTTACGCTGCGAGGGCACAGTTTTCGCCCGCTTCAGGGCGCCGATGTTGTCCGGAACGCCATCCTCGAGATTCCTACCACCGCTTGACCGTCGCCTTTGTCGCTGTCGCTGATGCCCGGCGCTCACCGGCCTTCCGTTCTTTGGGGGTGATGCGGCGTGCTCATCAGATTGGAAGGTGCCATACGCACCCTCAGCATCGTCACCAAGTTCCTTCCAGATCTGACTGAGATCTTTCAGCGTGTGCGCACGTTTGCGGCGGCCATGGGCCGACATCGAAGTGGTGCTTCGGGCGTGGCCGCGACTCTTGCCGAGCAGTGCACTTGACTCGGCTTCGCTCTCAAATTCGTCGTCGGACGGAATGGCGGACTCGTTGGTATCGTCATCTGGATCTCCTGCAAAGCCCAGTCCAGGCGTGAGGAGGGTTTGCGGAATATCGGCTTGGGCCATGTGCGGCTGGTCGGCGTCCTCCTCGTGATCTTCGAGGCGCCAGCTAAGCGCAAGCACGCCAGTGAGCAATACGACTGTGCCCAATGCAATGAGGCATGCGTGCAAGACAGGAAGGCGATCCATTTGGCGGAAGTAGATTAAGCCGTCGAGGATAGCCACAATGTTGTATATGCAGAACACGAAGGGATAAAGAACGCTTGTTGATATAAGCTTGAGGCCCAGATGTAGGTAGTAGAGCTGCGACAGCGCCAGAACCAAGAATGCGACAAGCAGTAGCCAAGACTGGTATCCGCTGAACTGGTTGACCTTGTCCGCGATGCTGCGAACGATGAGCTCAACAGCGCTCTTCGCCAGCAGCAGAGCATGCGCTGAGAGTATGCCGGAGACCATGCCATAGCTCATGCCTCTAACCAAGCGTATCCGCGCGCTGTCCCTTCGGTGCGGCGCTATGCACTTCCGTAGACAGAAATCCGTAACCAAGACGCCGAGTACGAAGACCAGAGATAAGATGAACCAGAGCAGGAAGCCACGTGTATGTAGCAGCTCCAATAATTGTGAGAGGCTGTGACTCGGCTCTGGCAGGGCCGAGAAGAAGCTGATCAACACCGCGCCGGCCGCAACCAATACCGTCCCGTATCCCGTCCGCCATGTCCAAGGCTCTTTCAATAGCAGACTCGCGAGCAGCGAGTTAAAGACCAGTCCACTGGCCTGTAAGGTGCTCAGCAGCGGAAGCGGGAGGGTGGTGATTTGGATCGAGCTGCCAATAATGTTGGCGATCAGGAACAGGAACATGCCGACTTGCCATCGTCTGCGTCGGTACGGCGGACGTCGCGGCAGGTAGTCCTCTTTCTCGTCCTCTTCCATGTGCGACTTGCGCTGCAGCGTGAGGCCGACGGACTGCACGCATGTCGAGAGGAGGCCGACGATGATGCCCAGCGCTACCAGAGCGCCCGGCGATGCGTCTGCCATTGTGATCCGGGGAGAGTAAGGTAGTAATGTGGGCTTCGTGGGTGTTATCGCTGCGCGGTATCCATGTTGGCGTATGGGTGGGCAAGAGCGCCTGCACTTCCGGATGCGATCGAGGATGCGGAAGGTGTGGGCGCACTGGTGTTCCTGGTATGACCTTACCCTTACCGCTGATGATGTGGCGCTGCACCTGCTGACCGAGTAAAGTTTAGCCGTATCCGGCTCGTGCTCGGCTCGTCCCTGAGACTAGTCCCACTAAGGAAGTTGAGTACTGAGGAGGAATCTATTGAGATATGGTGAAGCTGGTGAAAGCGAACCTCGTACGTTAGAACTACATATGTATTACGCTAAAACCCCCCGGAGATGCCTCTCAAATGCTAGCAGAACTGCAAAAACCAACTTTCAAATCAACTCCACATCCCATCATGCGCCGTACACTGTCCCGCCGGACACGTCGTCTTCGTCCTCGTGAGCGACAGCGTAGTTGTCTTGGTGTGTCTCGCCGCACAAACCGTCTTCGTGATGACTACCACACCACCGTTGCCATTCCCACCACCGCCGCCACCACCGCCGCCACCAGCACTACCGCTTCCCCTGACCTTCCTCGCTGCAACACCACAGTTGGCGTTCTGGTTGATGCTCGTGACATCGCCGAGCAATGTGCACGTTCCGACACAGTCCAAGTTGATGGCAACGCAGCGCGGGTTCGCGTCGCAGTATTCCATACACGTCTTAGCAGTGATACCTCGAGCCTGCCGCATTGCGAGACGCGGCGCGGTGGAGTTCGTGGCAGCGATGATCGTCCCGGAGAACTGGGTGTCGCAGCGGACATTATAGGTTGTGCCTTGCTGGTCGATGTATTGCTCACCATCGTAGTTGGGACATACCGGACCAGTGGAAGCTGGTGGGCTGGATCCTCCGGTCTGCGAAGGCGAGCCACCGTTCCCACCTGGGCTTGAAGAAGCCTGTCCTCCGGAGGGATATCCGCCAGGACTACCGCCGTTGTTCGAGCCGGGGGACGCGGAGGATGTTGGTGCGCTGACAACTCCGCTATTGCCTCCCGAGACGGGGCCTGGACCTCCACTGCCGGCAGTTTGTGAAGGTGAACCATTTGTAACGCTGCCAGAGTTGCCTCCAGAAACTGGAACAGACCCTTGACCTCCTGAGCTGGCGACATTGGTAGCCTGAGAACCACCACTCATGCCACCGCTATCGCCTCCAGAGGCTCCTCCGTTGCCCGCAGAAGAAGTTGCGGCATTGCCACCGGTAATGCTGACAGATGCTCCACTACTAGCAGGGGTGGGCGTGACACCGCTTGTGATGCCACTGTAGCCTCCTCCGTCAACAGGCCCAGGCCCGCCGTTCGTAGGTGCACCTCCCGAAGCGGACGGCAAAGTGTTGCTTCCAATCACGCTCGTCAAACTGGAACCTTGGCCCGAGCCACTGTTGGCTCCAGAGGAAGATGGCGAGCCATTGCTGACGACACCACTGTTGCCGCCTGAGACAGGCCCTGCACCACCTCCGGAAGGCATACTGGACGACCCAGGGCCGCTTCCACCAGAGTTTGATGCTGGAGTAGGCTGTCCGTTGCTTCCTGTGGTCACCGGATAGCCACCCGGAGGTCCGGCATCGTCCGAAGACATACCGCCGGCGCCACCAGTTGTGGTAGCTCCGTTGGACACAGGGGAGGTCATGGGCGGCATCGAGCTCGTGGCCGGGGGTGTAGTATACACTGTGCTCACATCCGGCGGTCTCGTCGCTGCGACGCCAGTATCTCCGGGAACCGTGGTATTTCCAGTAACCTCAGACAGAATCTGACACTGGGTGCCAATGTAGTTGATAGCCACACACCCCGGGGTGGTGTCGCAAAGCGTCAAGCAAGATCCGACGTTTGGCCTGACAGCGCGCATCGTGATGGTGCCGGTGTAGACTGTTCCGCAAGTAACGTTGAAGGCATTGCCGTAAGGATCAGTGCAGGCGGCGCCGCTTGTGTGCTGAGCGCCGCAGGATTGCGAGGGACAAGCGGGCAAGGTACTTGTGGAAGAGAGCGAGCTCAACATGGACGAAGGAGTGCTCTGGTCAGGTGCAGGAGTGACCGATGGGCTTTGGTTGTCAGCTGCGCTAGATGAGGCCGCTGCTAATGATGAGCTGGCTCCGGCATTGGTTGCGCTGGACGGAGCGAGAGCGCCCGGCGAACTTGATGATACTGCCGACGAAGACCCGGCCGAGGATAATCCTGCCCGTGTAGAAGAACTTCCTGAGCCCGCTGTGCTTGAAGATGCAACACCACCAGTGGTAGATGAAGCTGCCGGTGCGGATGAGGTCGATGACCTGCCGCTGCTCGTTCCCGAAGAGACGGCGCTGCTTGACTGAGAAGCCGTGGAGCCTGATATCGTTGAAGAGCGCCCAGAGGTTTGCTGCGAGCTTGTTGATGAGGATGCAGACGAACCCTGGCCGTTGGCAGTACTGACTGTGCTTGACGGAATTGTGGCTGACGAAGCACGGCTGGACGAAGCAGCAGCCGATGATGCAGAGCCTGCCATGCTCCAAGTTCCCACAGTGGAGGTTGATGCCATCATCATGGTGCTGGATTGACTCGTCATTCCGGAAGCGCTTGAGGACTCGCCGGGAGCAAAGACAGATAGTAGAACAGCGGCATTGGTGCCCGGTCCTGATGAGGTCCCAAGGTATTCAACCTTGAGATAACACCTGTTCTCCAAGAAGGTCACCGCAACACATTGTGGAGGACCGTATGCGGTACAGGCGTTGATGCAACTTCCAAGGTCCGGCTGCTCGGAATCTGCGAAGGCACCTGGGGAGGTGTTGGTGTCACATAAAACCATGTACTTGGTGTTGCTGTCGTCCGAGAACGTTGTTCCGTTTGCTGCGGGGCATTGCGGTCCCGATGGTGTCGGCGATACCGAAGCCGAAGCGTCAGTTGAAGACATGGACATCCCCGCGCTTGAATATGTCACTGCATCGGAGGACGCAGATCCAGACCCATTGGATTGCGTGGCTGAGGTGTCCGTCGAGGAAGAATCAGCTGGGTTTGAAGAGGTTTGAGATGGCCCAGTTGATGAGCTTGTTGTGGTAGCGACACGAATGCCGGCGATGTAGCCTGCGTTCCCAGGAACGGCTCTCTGCGGCGCATGTTTGAGGTAGCAAGCAGCACCTAAACCATCTGGATAGGGAGCCCACACGAACGCTGCGCAACCATCGGTAGTGTCACAGACATCCTGACATGTAGAAAAATCCCGGGAAGCGAGGTATCTGGTATCGAAAGATCCTCCTCCGGCATCGTCCGTATCGGAGTCCTGATAAAGTGTATATGGCACACCGTTGGCATCAGTCACAACAGCACCATCCTCGAACGTGGCAGAGGATGCCGTCGAGGTTGTGGTGGTACCAGTAGACGACGATGAAAGGGATGAGCTCGACGTCATGCCAGTCTCACTGTCAGTGTCTGTCGCTGTTGACGCGGTGGAGCTGGTCGCAGACGTTCGGCCTCGTGTCATAGACCCAGTGAACGATCCAGTCCTTGTCCGAGTCCGGCTCGAAGAGCTTGACGATTCTTGATCGGCACTGGTGGAGGATGTGTTTGCACCCGTCTCAGTGGAGGGGGACGAAGTCCTAGTCCGCGTTCGAGACGATGAGCTTGAGCTAGAACTTGACGTTCCTAGGTCTGTCTGCATGCTGCTGGTTAAAGGGCTGTGAGCGGTACTCGTTGAGCTCCCGGCACCAGAGTGGGTGTTTGTGCTCGTAGAAGAAAGGCTCGAAGACGTGCTTTGAGTACTTCCAGAATCAGAGCTCAATGAAGTGGATGAACTGGTCCGGGTCCGCGTGCGTGACGTTGATGTTGATGACGACGAGCTGGATCCAGTTGTCGCCTGGCTGGTCGACGAGGCAGTGGTAGAAGTCGCAACAGACGATGTCGCAGTGGACGATGTCGAAGTGGACGGTGTCGAAGTAGACGATGTTGCGGTGGACGACGTTGAAGTAGACGATGGTGAAGTGGACGATGATGTAGCAGATGATGATGTAGAAGAAGGCGCCGTCGTGGACGACGCCGAGGTAGACGATGGCATACCAGAAGATGTCGAGGTAGACGATACCGAAGCAGATGACGTCGTACTGGCGAAGCCCGTCGTGGAAGTTGCCGTAGAGGACGACCGTGTCGTAGAAGCACTCGTTCGAACAGGCGTGTTGGTATTGGCCGTCGTTTGAACGTCGGGTGGTGATATCCTGATAGCGGCGACGAGATTGTCGTTACCAGGTGTGAAGGCAATGCCGCCCAACACGAACGACTTCACGAAACACGTTCCGTAGCCGACGCCATTTGCACCTCCCGAATATGTCCAGCCTGTGCAGTATTGCCCATCAAGCTGCTGAGAGTTGTCGCAGAAGTTGAAGCAGTCGCTTGCACCGTTGTACACAATGTAAACGTTGTAATTGCCACCAGAGGTGTCGTTGCCGCATCCAATCGAATACTGGATGCTCAGGCCATCTGTGACGGTCCGACCGTTATCATCAGGGCAGGTCACCCACGTTGGCGTAGCTGTCGCGGTGGTGGTGGTTGTAGTGGTTGGAGGACCAAGTCCAGGTGTGTACGGAGCATCCTGATAGTAGTCCATGCGGATCATAGCGACATGCTGCCAGTTCGACGATTTGAAGCTTTGAGGCCTGAGGTCGTTGAAATAGCATCGCCCGGGGCCGACCCCATAGCCGTTACCGCCAAAGTATGCCACAGCTCCACAATCGACAGGATGGTCCTGATAGTTCGTAGAGCAATAGTAGAAGCAGTCATTGAATGAGCCAGCATCACCCACAGCTATATCGTAATATGCTCCGCCGTTGTTGAGATCAGTGCCGCAGCCGATCATATATGTCTTGCCCAAGGGGTCAGTGTACGTCTGACCATGGTCGCGAGGGCAGATGAAGTTGGGCGAAGTATACGGTACACTTGTGGCCGTCGGGGTGGACGTTGAAGTAGACGTGCTCGAGCTCGTCCGACTGGTTGTGGTCGACGCAGTTAAAGACGATGAGGTCGGCAGCGAGGACGTTGAAGAGGAGCTTGACGTTGAGGAGCTTGATGTCGAAGAGCTGCTCGTTGCTGAAGAGGTTGACGACGACGATGAGGTAGACGACGAGACCGTTGATGATGTGGCGGTCGAAGTCGAAGTGGTTGAAGATGGAGTGGATGAAGACGCAGTTGACGAAGAGGTGCTTGATGTTGTGGTCGGCGATGTTGACGATGATGAAATCAAGCTGCTGGATGTGGAGGTAGTGCTCGATGTCGAGGTGGTGGATATGCTGGATGTGGTGGTGGAAGAGGAAGAGGAAGTCGTGGTGCTGAAACTGGTTGTGGTCGTCGAAGAAGTGCTGGAAGAAACAGTGCTAGACGAGACAGTGCTGGAAGTGACCGTAGACGAAGTACTGCTGGAGACGACAGGAGCAAATTGCGCTTGTCTGTTTGGATCCGACCATTTGTAGAAGAAGTCCATGATCGGCGGCGTGCAGTCGATAGGCGCACCAGCTGAGACCTTCGCGTAGGCGTGGATCCATCCAGTGAGCCTGTAATGAGTGATGATCCCAAGTTGGCCAGTCAAACCACCGAATTGGTACATCGCCACGTTGTTTGAAGGGTAAGTCGTGTAGTTGGACGGGTCCAAGCCCAAGCGGACAGACCAAGCAGTGGCCCAATGCGGGAGAGAAGGCAGAATGCGCCCATTGTGCGTGGTATCACCGTTGTACAAGATCTGAGTATCTGCCGTACCGTGGAACTCAATGATGGGGGTATTGTTGCGTCCTGGCGAGCACACGGGCTGATTGACAGTGTTGACAGGCTCAATGGTCGAAGGGTTACCAGTGGTGAAGTTCGTGTACATGGCAGCAGAGCTGCCGGCAAAAGCGGCGATCTTTACACTCAGGACCGGATCGCAGGCCAGGACGTTGACAAACCCACCGCCATTACTGTGGCCCACTGCGAAGAGACGCGTAGTGTCGACGCAGAAGCTGGATGTCAAGTTCGAGATGAGCAGGTTCATGAAGCCCAGATCGTCAACGTTGGCATACTGGCCACCAGGAGACCAGGCTGGGTTCGACATATAGCCTCGGCCATATCCATTGACGTACACTGCAATGGCATAGGGATTGGTTGCGGCGTCGTTCATTCCCGTTTGCGACTCGATGGTGGGGGCGTCTGCGTTATTTCCATGGAAGCCAAAGATAATTGGGGCTGCTCGGTTGGGGTTGTAGAGCTTCGGTATATGAATCAGGTAGCTGCGAGGGAGACCGTCTGGACCCACAGCATTGACCAGTGTCGACGCACCATCCGGCACCATGCCAGCTGGGAGAACAGAGCCACAGCCTGTGGAACAGCCCGGACCTCCCGGGCATGTCGGAGGTACTGCGTAGTTGGGGTTGGGTGGAATGTAGCGGATGATGGTGACCAGGTTTGTGTTGGCAGTCAGACTTCCAACACCAAGTTTCAGATAGCAATTGGTGCCTCCGAGGGTCGCTGACCTACACCCGGCATAGGCGTCACATTGCTGCATGCATGCGAGGATGTTATTGGCTGGAACCTGAACGGTGCTCGATGCGCCTACAGTCGAGTCAAACCCGCAATTGACTGTGTAGTTGGTGCCACATGTATCGGTGAATATGATGTTGTTTCCAGACGGACATGCTGGCACGCTGGGCACAGGAGCTAAAGTGCAAGTAGTGATCGCCGCGGCTGCTGTGGAAGACGACGTCGCCGTGGAAGATGATATCGCCGTGCTTGCGGTGACTGGGCTTCCGGTAGGGGTAGGGACGGACGTGGTTCCAACCTTGATAGCCACCGCGGCAGTGGGATTGCTCGTCGGCGATGCTGCGCCTTGTTGCAAAACGCAAACTCCGTTGGTGTTGGCATTTCCTTCTCGCGGTTCGGAACCAACATATGTGTACGAGAAGAAAGTGCAGGTGGACATGGCGTCGCATCTGAGCATACAGCCCTCCATGCTGTCCGCGTACTGGGTGACTCCGGTGACTCCATTGGTGTTCTGGCCGCAAAGAATCTGGTAGTTGATGTTGTTGGCGTTGGTAAAAATGGTACCGTTGTACGCAGGGCACTGTCACAATTTCTGTCAGCAATGTCGCCCCTTTCGCCAAGTGGAGGCTCACTCACGGCTTTGCTCGGGGTGCCGTTGCTTATGAGCCTTGCGCCAGCGTATAGCGTGTATCCTCCCTGGGCTGCGTTGCTCGAAAAGTATGGTCCCGTGCCTTGCTTGTAAAAGCACTGCCCTGCGCCAGTAGTTGGGCCTCCTCCCGCATCTGTGTGGCGGCGTCAGCCGGATCAGTCTCATGAAAGATAAAGCGAGGCACTCACTATCGACAACGCCGTAGAAAGTGAACCCTATGCATCCGGGCCGGTTGTCGCATCCTCGGAAACATGAGTATATACCATGACCGTTGGTCCCCTGTGCTGGGTCGTAAGAGCTGTAGCTGTCATCTTGTCCGCATTGTACGGCCCAATTTGCGCCGAAGGAATCAATGAATGTGCCGTCGGAGGCGCTTGGTGTGGGGAGACCTTGTGTACACGTCGACCCAGGTGTCCAGGTCTGAGTAGGCGTGCTCTGCGCGTATGCACCACCACTTCCACCTCCGCCCACCGTGACTGCAACGGCTGCCATCTTCCAGAACCACTGAGAGGACTTCATTTTTGCGGGTAAGGAACAACTGAAACGAGTGACTGAAGCATCATGAAAGAGAGAATCGGACTGGCTGCAATACTATCGGGTAGGCATCCCCAGGCCGAGCCGTTGCTCGGGAGCTGGGAATGCAGGAAAGATAAACACGCATTGCATTCCAGTCATCTCACCGTGTTGACGGCCAGAACGCCATTCGGCAGGCTGTGCTGCACAACCTGTAAACAAGATGAAAGTGTGTACGCGATGAGAGCATGAAGACGTCCAAACGTTGTAGCCTTTGAAGGGAGGTAATGGGATGAATGCTTGGTATAGTGGCAGACGAAGTCAAAGGTTGCTCGTCAATGTGCCGCGTCCCATCTCTCCGGGCACGTGTTACTGGCTCGAGACACGGCAGAGCCGTCATGCCGGGACCGGGTGTGTTCTCGAGTGTAGGTCGTGGTGAAGATGGCGGACAGTGCAGATGGAGGAGGAGGAGGTGAGGTCGAGACCCCGGCTGTCAATTCTACTCTAGGCTTTTTCTTTTTTCAATGTCGACCGTGGGTTTTGCAACATCACTCTTGATCTGCGATGCCGCCACCAACGTCTGATCTGTTTGCCGTTCAGGAGATCAATCATGCTGGACGAGGTGTAGTAGCGAGCGATTCCATACATCCCGACACAGTGGTGTACCAAAGCACGCCACCGGCGGCGCACGTCGTCTTCAGACAATATCGCCAAGAAGTGTGCGCTGATTGCTTCTTCTATGATCGAGGGCGTAAGTTGCCAGTCCGCCTCAACACGGTAGGGAAAGTGTTTTGTTCAGAGCCCTGTCACGAGCAATGGAGGGCGAAGCAGGGCGCTGTGGGCTTGGAAGCGTGGACGAAGCTTCACGACTTCATCCAGAGCAAGTCGAAAAGCATCACGAACAATCACAGTCTACCATCGTTGACCCCAAAGCCTGACGAGGATGAGGTTCGCCGGACGTGGGAGGCAGCAGGTCAGACGGCAATGTCCCTTCGCCAGAGCCGAGCATCGACAGCAGAGTCCGAGACCATTCTCAGGAGGACAGCAGCAAACAGTGCCTGGCCTCAAGTCGTTGATCCCGACATCTTGAGCTATCTTCTATCCGGATGTCTCTATCACAACAAAGAAGTGGCGTCCTACATGGCGGACGTCGCGGAACTCGAAATGGACACCATGCCCTATCGAAGCACTCCTGATCTCCAGGCGCACAGTAACAGCTACATCCAGCTCACAGCCTGTGCACCCGGAGAGCTTCTATCTAGTGTCACGGAATCTGTGTGCCAGACGCTGATCAGTGCCGCTAGCCACAACTCCTTCGGCATCCACGCTGGCAGCACTGACGGCGACGAATATCTAGGCTATGGCCTGTATCCTGGGGCTAGCTACTTCAACCACTCTTGCCGGCCTAACATCAGAAAGCAACGTGTTGGGGCTGGGTGGGAGTTCCGAGCATCGAAAGGGATCACCCCGGGCGAACAGTGCTGCATCACCTATCTGGGCGGCGACGAAGAAGTGTGTACGGTCACTGAGCGGAGGAGCCGGCTGAAAGTACACTGGGGCTTCACTTGTGCGTGCAAACAGTGTGTTGAAGAGGCCGGTTGATCTATGGGCACTGACGACTCTGTTTGCCACTACTGCATCCCCTCTAGAACTCACCTCACAAGCGTATACCTATCACGTGAAAGCGCGTGAAAGCGCTCCTCGACCGACGGTAGCCACCTTGACCAGCACCAGAGGCATCGACTGAGCACTCAAAAGCACAGCGCACGTCTATCACACCACTACCTCCTGGTGAACCACAACTACATTGAGACAAACACCAACAAAGAGCCATCCACTGGAACGCAACTCACCAAACGTCAATAGTTCCTTCACAAGCAAACACCACCCACAACCCATCGCTTAAGTTAAGAAACCACTTAACCTTCGCAATGGATCCAAACGCCCCCCTCTTCACCAAATACACCTTCGGCAACATGCTCATCGAAGACCTCTACGAGATGTTCAACCGCCCTGGCACCAACCCCTTCATAAACGCAACCGCGGCCAACAAAACGCCCAACCAGGAAGTCGCCATCGTGTCGCCGCCAGAATCACATGCCCAGCCTACGTCGGCTTCATCACGCACGGCCAGCTTCACGGCGTCAAGAGGAATTGAGAACACTAACAGCGATGACGGTAAGAAGAGCGTCTTCATCGTGCTGCAGCACTCGGAATCAGCTGGGAAGTCGGCAATGCTCCCTGTCAGTAGCGTGGTGGGCGTGTACTCCAGCCTCGAAGAAGCGGTAGAGCGCCTGCACTCGCTGAAGCAGCAGAAGGGCCCAGTTGTGAAGAAGAAAACCAAGGAGGCCATGGAGGCGACTTCTCGGAGGATGGCGAGCGGCAGAAGGGTGAAACTCTGGTGCACGTCTGATGGGGAGGACGAAGACGAGCTGGGGTTCCGATATACGAGTGCACTTGGCGAGGAGTTTGTGGTATGGATTGAGGAGCATGAGCTGAAGTGAGGGTGAGGAAAGGCAGACTTCGACTAAAGGAGCGAGAGGTATTCACCCGTCGCCTTCGACGGCCGATATCTGTAGGGGTTGAGTTCGGAGCTCACGAGAAATGACACAGGCTCAGGCATGATTGACATAGTGCATTCATTCATGGAGCATGGATAGCTACTTCATCAGCTTGTCCACAGCCCAACCAACATTCAACCCTCTCAAGTCTCCGTAATGCTGGCCAACGCCCAGAAACACAACAGGTATACCCGTGGCATGCACCATACTGACCAGCGTGCCAACCATGTCGCCCACAGTATCGCACTTGGAGATGATGAATCCATCCATGCCGACGCCGTTGTTCCGTAGCTGGCCCTAGAACACAATTTTCGTTAGCACATCTCACCATCTTATGGCAATGAAGAGGACTTACCTTGGTATCAACAAACTCCTTAGCAAAGTTCCTCGCCTGTGCCACACTATCCGTCCCCACCAACGCTTCGCCGACCATGAAAATCTTATCCGGCTTCGCCAGCTGCCCGAACTTCGTCAACGAGCTCATCAACCTCGTATCATTGTGCCTCCGCCCAGCAGTATCGATCAACACCACATCATAAAGCATCTCTCCCTTCCCAGCATTAGTTGCATTCGAGACAGCATCCCTGGCAACCGTAGCAGCATCTTTCCCGTACCCTTGTTCGAAGAGCTCCACAGTGCCAACGTCTTCTCTGCGCGAAAGCTCGCTGAGATTTCGCACGTGCACGCGAAGCTGTTCGACAGCGCCACTGCGGAATGTATCGGCTGCCACAACCAGCACGCGGAATTTGTTCTGTAGCAGGAAGTAGGCAATCTTGCTCAAGCTCGTGGACTTGCCGACACCATTGACGCCGACAATGCTGATGACATAAGGCCGGGCAGCCGGACCTTCGATGGTGCTGGTGATATTGCGGAGCAAGTCGAGGGAAGAGGTGGGTGTAAGAATTCGAGTTAGGGCTTTCGCCATGCTGGTGCGTATGGTGGCGTCGATGGAAGTGAATGAGGCAGTTGTTTGATTAAGGAGATCGGTCTCGACGGATGTGCAGAGGCGCTCGGCCGCTTCGCGCGCGACGTTCTTTTCGAGGAGATGATTTTGCATTTGCTGGAGGGGTTGTTGGAGGTCCTGTTTGGAGAGGGTCTTGCCGCCCACGACGTTGCGGAAGAGGCCTGATATTCGTGAGGTCGCGGAGCCTAACAACCCAGAAGACTCTGCTGATGTCTCCTTTGTCGCTTGACTCGACTTCGATGAAGCCAGAATAGCATCCACCTCGTCGTCGAGGTCCTTCAGGACGAACTGGCCTTTGCCGGTCCTACTTCCCATATTTTCTGCTTTGACCTCATTCACATCCAGCTCTCGCTCGCCATCGCCAGGCTCGCTTGTCGCAGCCGGTGCGCTGTAGTCCAGTACTGGGTCGTTATCATCTGCCGCAAAACCATCCGCATCCCACCTTCGCTTCTGCTTCGCGCTCGTCTTTCCCCCTTTTGCTTTCCTGATTGGTCCTTCATCTCCAGAAGATGCTGGCGCTGATGTACTCCAAGCTGTCGCGTTAGCTTTGCGCGCTCTTCTCGATGCCTTGCCGGGACCAGCCTTCGCCGTCAGCAGATGTGACGAGGCCGTAGATGGTGTGCCCGGTCGAGACGTGTCGGGTGTTGGTACTGGTGTAATGTCTGTGCTCGTTGTGTCGTCCACAATTGCACTCTCCTGCTTCTGTCGTTGCGGTATCGCCGGCTTCTTGAACTGGGGCGCTGTTGGTATTGGTGGAGGCGCATCTTCGTCGTCCACGCCATCCTCTCCCGCAGAAGCAGTACTCGAAGGAGGCGTAAGTTCGACAGGTCCGGCGTCCGAATCCGGCTCGCTTGGTCGTCGAGTGCTGCCGGTGTCCAGCTTTCGCACGAGCGCATCGAACGTTTGGTCGAAGTCTCGACAGTTCACTGTTGTCGCATGCGGCTTCTTCAGCTCTGTAGCATACTGTTTGGTGAACAATGCTCGCACGGCCGTCAGAAGGTCGTCAACCCAACTCAGATGAAGCAAGCTCTGATACACTGCCTGTTGAGCGATTAATATCTATGTTGACTCGCCTGATCGCAAGCAGCGGCTCTTACCCACCACGAAGATCAGTCCGACATCCTTCGCGCTCGTATATCGCAATGTGTATTTCTCCTTCCTGTACGGCGGATTCTTCCCTCCATCATTGCTCTTCTGCCCCCGCTGCTCGATAAAGACATCGTTGATCAGGCTGTTGACGACGCTGGACGATACTGGCGCATACTGTTTTCGCCAGAGCACGATGCCAGATGTAGTCAGGATCTCAAAGGCGTCCAACATCCTGCGCGATCCAGAGTGTGGTTTTTGTAGAAGTCCGCAGCGGACAAAGGAGTGTAGTGGTGGGGGACTCGGTGGTATGACTTATGACTTCACATGCTCTTTCTGCCAAGGCGGTGAATGTCAGAAAGTCGCTACTTGTTCATAGCAACTTGCACCACATCCCATACGCGTTCAAAAGTGCCTGCAAGCTGCTCTTCCACCTCATGATCATACGAGAATAGCTCCACGACAATGCAGCGACCGACCTACGCCGTTCCGCCCGCCAACAGCCCCCCTCTTCACCACCCGGTCCCCCAGCACGTCTCTACCGTCCCGCAACTACGCTCCCCTCCACTTCCAGTGTCGCAGAATGGACAGCAGCAGCAGGGCGGATATGGCTACGGACAACCACCCCCTCAGCCAGGCCAGGGCGGCGCTCAGGGGTCCAGCTACATGCACCCGGCTTTTGGGGGGTTCATAAATGATCCCACAGCACAGATGGGCTTTGCGATGGGCAAGAGTGCCGTGGCCGCTGGACAGGAGTATGTGGAACAGAATGTGAGCAACAGCTTTACCAGCGGATTTGTGGACCAGACTGACGTGCATTGACAGATGAACCGCTTCGTCAATGTCTCGAAACTGAAACACTACTTCAACGTCTCCAACGGCTATGTAATGCAGAAGCTCTTGATTGTTCTTTTCCCCTGGCGCCACCGACCTTGGAGCCGGCAACAAGCACGCATGGGATCGAATGGACAGGCAGCTGAGTTCCTCCCGCCACGGGAAGATGTCAATTCGCCTGGTATCACACCCTCGCTCCCTTTCTCCCTTTCCTCAAGCTAACAAGCATATTTCCAGACATGTACATCCCCACCATGGCCTTCGTGACTTACATCCTGATGTCTTCGCTCATTGCCGGCCTCCACGGCAACTTCGAGCCTCAGATCCTGGGCCTCACATTCTCCAACGCCTTCGCCATCATCTGCCTCGAACTTGTTGTGCTGTGGCTGGGTCGCTACTTCCTCAATATCAGCTCCGAGAGCCAGATCTACGATCTGGTCGCGTACTCGGGATACAAGTTTGTGGGTGTGATTACGACAGTGGGCGTGAGTGCAGTGTTTAACGCAGGAAAGGGCACCGGTGGATGGGTTGGGTGGGGTGTATTTGGATATACCTTCATGGCTAATGCTTTCTTTTTGGTATGTACGGTGTTTTGAAAAGGCTTGAATCGTGCTGACATAGCTATAGTTGCGGAGTCTGAAATACGTCCTTCTCCCTTCCGACAACACACCCGGCAACCCGAGCATGCAAACAATTGCACGCGGACAGCGGAGTCGGAGGACGCAGTTCTTGTTCATCTACAGCTATGTCGTGCAGTTCGCATTCATGTGGTGGCTCACTGCGTTAGACATGAGCGGAGCTGCTCTGAAGGTCAAGGGCGGCAAGTGATGGAGGGTGTCTGGGACTGATGAGAGGCACTGTACTGAAGTTTTTATAGCGTTCAAGCGTTTATAGAGGCCAATGACAAGTTATGTCGTGTCAAGCATCCCCACACCTGCCGCTTCATCGACATCAGTGTTCCACACAGAGCTGATCAGTGTTGGTATGAGGAGTACGAGAATCTCTACATGTTGATCCAGCGTCTATCAGAGCACAACATGTATTGCGCCTCCGGATTATTCGACAATGTGGAAGATGTGTATACTGCCGGACCGATGATGTTCCACCACTCAGGGCGTCAAGGCGGGTGTTTCGAATCTTGCCTCCAGCAATCTCGGTACTGATATATGCGCTATATCTGCAACACGCAACGCAATACTCGGCGAAACGTGCTAACCTGCGTGAAAGACATTCGGTGCATCGTCCTCCGTCCTTGAATCGCCATCAAGACTTATAAGAAGCTCTTCCCAAGATACTTGGCAAGTCTTGTCAACACTCATTACCATTCCAGTCACTCGCTATGTTTCACATTCTCTCTCTTCTGTCGCTTGCGACTGTGGTTCTCTCATCTCCTTTGCCCACCCCGGCGCCGGTCGCCACTCCTGTCAAGCGGGATTCAAGCTGTACTTTCTCGGGTGCCAGCGGCGCTGCGGCGGCGTCTGCTTCTCAAGGCTCGTGTTCGACCATTGTTCTATCCAATGTAGCTGTGCCCTCCGGCACGACTCTCGATCTGTCCGACTTGAATGATGGCACGACCGTAAGACCTTTCGCTCTCCAAAAACACCCGGCGACGATGGCTTACCGCTCCTCCTAGGTCATCTTCGAAGGTGAGACAACGTGGGGCTACGAAGAATGGGAAGGGCCCCTCCTCCAAATCAAGGGCAACCAGATCACCGTCGAAGGTGCTGAAGGTGCTACCTTGAACGGAGACGGCGCTCGCTGGTGGGATGGCGAGGGCAGCAACGGCGGCAAAACCAAGCCCAAGTTCTTCTACGCTCACTCTTTGAGCGACTCCGTCATCGACAACTTGCACATCCTCAACACGCCTGTCCAAGCCGTCAGTATAAATACTTGTGATGGGTTGAAGGTTAGGAACATGACCATCGACAACTCTGATGGGGACTCGCAAGGCGGCCACAACACGGATGGTTTCGATATTGGCGAGTCGAGCAACGTTACTATCAGGCATGCCAAAGTGTACAACCAGGACGACTGCGTTGCGGTCAACAGTGGGACGGTGAGTTGTAACATATCCATGGAGTGTATTGAGCTGACAGGCGGGCAGGACATCATCTTCGGCGGCGGACTCTGTTCTGGCGGTCATGGACTCTCGATTGGCTCTGTTGGCGGCCGTGATGACAACACTGTGGAAAATGTCAAGTTTACGAGGTCGACTGTGACCAAGTCGGTCAATGGCATCCGCATCAAAGCCAGTGCCGGCGACACTGGAACGATCAAGGGGGTCACCTACAACGATATCACGTTGTCTGATATCACTGGGTGAGTCTGACCTCACAAGGTATTTGATCGGGCAATGATTGACGAACTGAGCAGATACGGCATCCTGATCGAGCAGAACTACGACGGCGGCGACCTTCATGGCGACCCAGATACTGTGAGTCTCGCGTCCTTTCCTTCAGCCAGCAAGATCTGACACTTAAAAGGGCATTCCAATCACCGACCTGACAGTCTCAGACATCCATGGAGACGGAGGTATTGACAGTGATGCATACAACGTTGTGGTTGTGTGCGGCGATGGTTCCTGCTCCGACTGGACCTGGACCGATGTCAATGTTACTGGAGGTGAGGATTACAGCGAGTGCCAGAACGTCCCCAGCACACCAGGCAGCTGCTCGACTTGATGTGTTGGACTTTTGGAAGAGGAGATAAGTCCTTGAGTCGCTATGTAAGATCTCAGGATTTGCGGTTGTTCTTCAGAAGTGTTGGTATCATCGATGTTTTAAAAGCCCTTTGACAGCTTGTCCTCTTCTGACATTGCTGTACCAAATTGCCGATCGTACCAACCAATACGGTGTGCTTTCGCGCCCTGTTCAAACAGCTGCCGTAGGTCCCAACAACCTGCGGCCGCCAATGTTCCGTCCTCTCACAGCTGGCAGTCTTCGCTGCTTGCCAACTTCTGGTTAACCTTGGGCGATGTCGTGGATGGAAAACATCCTGAGTCGTTCTCCAGGACCCATGTAACAGGAGAGTACATCAGAGGCCCGCCTGGGTAGACGAAATGGGTTTCTGGTTCGGCCGGAGGTGTAGGCGTTCGATCAACCCTCTGGCGTCTGATCTCCAAGCCATCCTTTGCAGTACTACACGCAATCCTGGATCAGGCTAACCGCGGTGGTGAAGAGAGCCAGCACCTTCCGCTTTAGGGTAGGTATTGCTCGGAGGAGCACGCCAGCAAGCACGAGGACTTTTGGCTTCTCCTCAACCCCATTAAATCGTCTGCTGCTGGAAAGTGTGGTGTTATCACGCGAAGAGCTGTGTCCAACTTGAGAGCCAAAAACGCCGATCCGCCGTTCGATGGGACAAGAGGCCTTCTCCACCCGCTTGACAGCATCTTCGTGAGTTCCTAGTCTTCGATGAGCCCTTTTCCATGACGGAGAGGAGCGGCGTCTTCGATCATCAATTGGCACCTTCTCCCAGGTTCAAGCAAACCATCTGCTCCCGACGAGCCTCAGAGCATCGTTAGCAGCGGGATCTCAACGTGGGAAAAACACGCCGTCATCGCTTTCTCGCTCTCGTTCCCTCTGGATACGCGATGAGTCTCCTTGGTTGGCTTGAGAGTTCCAGTGCAAACTCACTGCAACATACAACAGCTCTTTCAGCTCTGGAGAAGTTCTCGACCGGCCCAAATGTGTCAACGGAAATCAGCGGCTCTCATCGCACGTCTTGTTCCCCTTGAGAAGCATCCCAAGCCAAAAAGCCGATGCCTGCTGTAGCACATTGAAGAGAAAGAGAACGTGCTTCACTGATAGATCGGCAAAGGACGTCAGTCTACGCACTACAAGAGTAGCAGTCTCTGAGAACCAGACATGGGGCAAAAGGTGCTTCATGTGCCTTTGGGTAGGTGATCGTGTCACGGAGATGAGTACCTGCCTTCTCACCTAAGTAGTAGTTCTCCGAGACAGCACAAAGCACACAGCCTGATAGCATGCTCAGTAGTAGGCGGTCGTGTGACGGAGAGGGACGCAGAACCCGACAGGCACTTCTTTTGCTCCGGACTTCTATTCACATGATCCTGCGGGAGGTTCTAAATGCTGCAGGTCTAACCGTATCAGCGGCTGCTCTTCGGGCCTTTTAATTGAGCTATCATATTTAGATTTCAAGATCGGTACTGCTCATGACATGCTGTCTGTCCCGCGGTTAGTTGTTGTTGCCCAATCCGCGCCAGCGACCGTACTGACGACCATGTCAGTGGCACAATTGGCTAGCGCGTGAGACTTTTAAGCCATTCCTTTGGTTAGAGATCTCAAGGTTGAGAGTTCGGTAAATGGAACATGATTCTTTGCCTAATACTTGATCTAATTGCCCTTCAAGAGCCTCTCCGCGGGAGTTTACTGGTTAGATTCCAGGTATTTCTTTTCTTTTGCCCTACCCTTGTCTTCAATGTGGTATACCCGCAGACTATAGCATACACTAGAAGACGACTCAGGTCAAACCCTTTTTGGCCAGTCAGAGACGCTCTTGGAAGGCTAGTAACGCACACTTGCTGAAAATCCCGTGCAGCCGGCGAACATTACCAACCGCCGGACGAATCCGCCACCCGCACTCGGACAGTCTCGAAGGAAGCGAGCAACGTCTGGGCAGCTTACACCTCAGCCGCATCAACATGGCCAGCGAATACATATACGAGCGCGAAACAGCAAACACACGGTAAGTCACTCCATCTCCTCCTCAATCAACAAACACACCATGGACCCCTCCCTCCTCCCGGACCTCGAGCGCTTCAGCATGCAGGTGACAGTCTACTTCGCCCCCTCCGACCTGCCCAAGTTCTGGGAAGCCTTCAAACCCATCTTCGACGTCGTGGTGAACGAGCCCAAGATCGTGTACTTTGAAGTCTTCGAGGACCCGGCGGAGCCTGGTAAAGTCTCGTGGATTGAGAATTGGGACGGTTCGCCGAAATGGTTCATGACGGTGCGTTTTGAGGTATTCTCGCGAAGAGAAGTGGGATGTGGCTAATAGCGTGTGTAGGAGTTCATGCCGAGCAGGATGGAGTATTATAAACCCTACCTCGAAGCTACGGAGCCGTTGTTTGTCAAGCCGCGCGAGTTCAGCATCAAGAAGAGGGTTGGCTTGCCTTATGTCGTTCAGAAGGAGGGGAATTTGAAGTAGGGGGTTGAGCCGTGAGGCGTACATCGAGCGGTACCTCCTAGGAATTGAGTAGAAGTGAAGCACAGTAGTGAAGACACTTCATAGTTCCACTCCCATGCATCCCTATCTAGCAATACCCAACCCTGATCCAGTAGTAGCAGCACTATACACAAGAAAAAGCAAGATGTTCCCTTGCTTTCCCAATGCCCTCTCCCAAAACGCCCCAAGCACCAAACTGCCGCTCGCAAGCTCCCACATACCATTTCCTCGTTGTATACAAAACCCCTCCATCACGCTTCCTGATCACCGCCTCAAATCGTCCGTGATATCCCTCATCTTCGATCCGGACGGCGTGGCAGCACCGCTAGGTGTGGCAGGACTCTCCTGCCCTGAATTCCTTGACTCCATGCGCTGCAGGTACGCCGCGCTCGTGAAATCGCGACTCGCTTCGAAGCTGGGCCGCGTGCGGTCCATGCTTGAGCGGACGCGATCGAAGGACGGTCGAGGCCGGTGGAACGATGGGCGGCTTTCCATGTTATCGTCGCCGGTCGTGGTAATGATGGGTGTCGGAGGGGCGTGTTCTGTCCTCCCACCCACTGGACTTCCAAACGCTTTGTCGAGGCTGGCACGGTGGTTGGTGTAGTCCGTCCCGTCGCTGCCGTTGTTGCTGCGCGCGTTGTGCGTGGTGGCGGTAGCGGCAACGGAAGGAGGGTATATCGGCCGCATGTCCTCTGCAACACTTTCTTGCCGGCCGTGAGGGCCAGGCTTAGCGATCTCGGAGCTGCTGGCAGAGTCCGGCATGATCTTTTCAGGCGTGGGGTTGATGTAGTCGGCGTCGACATCGTTAAGGTAGTCGAACTTGCCCTGTCGGACCTGCTCGCGGACAATATCGATATCGCGGGGCATGTAGATCTTCTGGAATGCTTTTGCTGTGAAGCGAGGTAGCAGGCACATGATGATTGTCAACAGCGCGCAGCACCAGAACGACAGCGACCCGTAGACCTGTGGGGCAGCCTGGTAGAAAGTGAACCCTGCTGTGAAAGCGGTGTAAACGCCCGTCCAAAAGAAGATGAGCAAAAAGGAGATGCTCGTGATGAGCAGCATGAACCAATCCCAGCGGTAGGTGTTGAGCAAGATGTAAACGTTGACAATGACGACAACCGGGTTGGCGATGAAGGCGCCCATGCGCTTGTAGTCGTTCATATCCCTCCCGGACTCGGTGTTAAAGTTCGCGGGCATGTAGACCAGGTAGGTGAAGAAGTAAGCAATGACGGACTGGTAGAGCCCGTCAACCATGTAGGTCCAGAATTTGGTCTGTGTCCATTCCTTGCGCTCGATGCCACGGCGGTAAAGCTGAGGAACGGCCAGCGAGACCTTGTCGCTGACGTCCTGATCCAGAATTCCCATGAGCATGACCGGAATCGAAGTGAAGGCCAAGTTGTAAAGCAAGACATAGGAGTAGTCGAAGGCGTACGACATGTCGAAGTTGGCGAAGATCTGGTACCAGAAGAGAGAAAACGTCCAGACCATACACTGTCGAGGAATTAGCAATAAGCAGCTTAACACACCTCGGAGAAAGACTGACCTTGTAGAAGAAATTCGCAATCGTCTCTCCCAGTCTCCGGTAACTCCACCGCCCATGCACCAGCATGAGCCTCGTAAGAAACCTGAACTGTCCAATGGCGTAGTCCGAGCTCATCACGGCTTGCCGTCCCTCCTCACCAGCGATGCCAACACCAACATGCGCCTCCTGGATCATAGCAACGTCGTTGGCGCCATCACCGATACTAAGCGTCATGACGTCCAACCCGTTCTTGACCATCTGCACCACCGCAGCCTTCTGCGCCGGCGAGACACGGCAGCAGAGCACAGACTTGCATTCTTTGCACAGAAGCAAGAATTTCTGCTTGAGCCTGTCGTCCAGCACGAGTTTCAAGGTGTCGCCGTCGATAACGAGCGCATGAGTCGGCGCCGGAGGTTCGTGGTTGTGCTTTGCGGCTTTGAGCTCTTCGTCTGAGCCCGTCTTGCCGAAAGTGAGGAGGTGCTTGTCGAGCTCTGCTTCTGCGCGGTCGAGGTTCTCGTCGTCGATGGAGAGAACGATGAGGTCCATGGCGTTATCAAGGAGATTGCAGGAGAAGCCGATGTTGATGGCCGTTTCGACTTTGTCGCCAGTGAGCACCCACAGCTTGATGCCAGCCTGTGCAAGAAGTTGGATAGCGTCTGGCACCCCATCTTGCAGACGATCCTCGATAGCCGTGCCGCCGACAAGTATGAGTTCTCGCTCAATGACATCCGATACAGCGTCCAGCTTCTCCTCGCGATCCTGCACCGCCGAGGCCGCGAGATCGTGTTCGATGTTCCATTTCTGGTACTCCTCTTCGCTCAACTCGCGCTGGGCAAGACAAAGTGTTCTCAACCCTTCACGAGCGAACATCTCGAGATGCTCTGCAGTCGACTTCCTCAACTCCGGCTGCTCCCCACGCTTCAGACGAGAGTAGATGACACTATCAGCACCCTTACAGAAGAGCACAATCTTCCCGTCCGGCATGCGCATGATGGCACTCATTCGTTTCCTGGTCGAGTTGAACTCCAGCGTATTCAGCACGGTGTACTCTCGTTCCTCACCAAGCACATTGATGATGATACCGTCGTTTGACCGGCCCATGACTGTAAAACCAACGTCTCTCGCAGTAGCCACGAGCGCCGCCTCATCGGGACTTTGTGCCTTGAACTCGATCCTTGGCGGGTCGCCTGGGGTTCGCTCAGTGATGACCGTATGGCACAGCGCCAACGCAAGCATGAAGCGCTCGTTAGCCACCTTCTGGTCTGCACCCTTCTCGCCACCGAGGTCGGCAACAAAGTCCGGCGCAACAAAGGTGAGGTCTTCGTCGCGGAGGTATGGGTTGTCATGCATCTTCCGGACCATTTCAAGCATCGTGACCCGATCCTCGGCGATTTGCTTCCGTGCTCGCGCACCCTCTTCTTCGACGTTAATTCCTTGCCGTTTCTGCATGCCAGCCAAAGCCTCGGTGTATGCCTCACCATACGGCACACCGTTGATAGTACACTTCTTGAACTCCATCACGTTCTGTGTCAGTGTGCCAGTCTTGTCAGAGAAGATGTACTCGATCTGGCCAAGGTCGTCGGAGATGTTCCAGCTCTTTGGTGTGCAAGGATAGTCAATTTTCTCGTAGTACATGTACGTATCCGAGTAGATGAAGAAGGCCTGCGCGGTCCGAATGATCTCCAGCGTAATGTAGAGCGAGATGGGCACCAAGTTCTGGAACAAGATGACAGCTGCGAAGGCGGAGATCAGGCCGTTCAAGCCAGGTGAGCCACCGTATGATCCAAACTCGAAGAAGTCCAGCGATTCGTCTCCCTGACCCCAGGTAAACCCTTCAACCAGTCCCGCAGTGAGACACATGATGAAGAGGATGACAAAGTTGTAAAGCACATTCTTGTTCAGGTCCTTCGAGATCTGGGCGCGCTTCGAGGGTGTGATGCCGGAGTTCAGCATGATTTTCGTCTCCTCGCCGGTGAAGACGACCACACCCAGTACCCACTCAGTATTTCGGATAGTGCAACCACGGAGGAGAAGGTTGTTGATACCAACCGGCTCCGCCATCTCTTTTGGAGGCGCCTCGGGATGCTTCGCGTCATGTTGGTTCCATCTGACCACAGCCGAGTATGCGTAGAGGTTGGCATGCGGTGGCTCGGTCTCCAAAGAGAACTCGGCGGCTTCACAGTCCTTCGCGCGCTTGACCTTCCGACCAGAATGCAGCGCGGTCCGTACCTTCAAGTTGGTCTCTCCGTCCAAGTTCTTGGTTTCAATGTAGCATGCACCATCGCTGTCCGAGGTCGAAAGGACAATGACATCGGCTGGGATCTCCTCGTCATTGTATAAACGCACAAAGTCACCCACGTGCACGTTCTTCCAGTAATCCCGCTTGAAGCGTGCCTTTTCAGGTACGTCCAGAGTCGGGTTCATGATGCTGCCGTAGAATCGCTTGTGCACCTGAGCTGGCTTCTGATCTTTCCTGCGAGGCACTTCCAGCGCTTGCACAGCATCGGCGGATCGAGCGGCCTCATTCTCCATCTTCTGCAGGTCGCCATCGCCAATGTAGCCATTGTCGCCCGATTTATGCTGACCGGGAGCAGGAGATGGCACAGGAGTCAACTCCATGTCTCCATTCTCGTCTTCAACGGCTGGCTCATCGTCAAAGCGAGCCGAGAACATGCTCTGCCGCCTTTCATCTTCATCCATGCGTTGGTCCAACGCTCTATCTTGATAATTCTTGCCCTCCTTTTTCTTGTTTTTCCGCGAATTGAGTACCTTCCATGTTTCGATGATGGCACGCGTAGTCGCCTTCTTGAACTTCCGCCAAATTGAAATCTTGTCTTCGGCCGAGTTGACATTGTTCCAGTCCGTCAACCGATGCACTGGCGCGTTGTTCAGCTCATTGTCGAGGACTGTTCGTCGCCAGTCTTCTATGCCGTCTTTGATGGCGGTAAGCGTGATAATGACAATCAGCGGAACCGCCGCGAGACCGGGTTGCTGAACACCGAATATGGAGAAGATCTGTCCAGCAAAAGTCAGCAATTTCAGCCTTGCCAATCTAGCCTGGTAATACGTACGCCGAGAATGATGATCAAGAAGAAGTAGATATTGGCGATGTTGTGGAACTGGTAGTACAAGTTCTTTGGGATGAAGCTGATCGGGGTGTACTTGGCCGTTCGTATCTTGTTCCGGGCGTAAGTGTGCAGCGGCTTGCCGTCTTCATCTCTCTCTGAGTCCGGTAAAGGCATATTGAAGAACACCGTCCGGCTGTTGTTCTGCTCCTCCTCGCCCTCCTGCCCCGCCTCCAGCTCCATCTTGGGGTCCGACAGGTCCGTACCCGCCGACTCCCGCTTCTTCTCGTCTGCCCCTCGCCGACTCAACCGTCGGTTGAAGATGGACATCCGCTTCTGCGACGCCTTCTGCCCCGTGACCCGCTGGGTGGCCCATCGTATGCGCTTCGCAGGGGTCGATCGTTGTGTCTGCTCCTGCTCCGCGCCAGTCTCGCCCGCTCCCTCGTCAAAGGTCGTCATGGTGGCCGGACGCTGCCAGAAGAATCGCAGGCGACGGGAGAAGGTGTCTCATGCGGCGAGACAAGCGGCGTGGCCACTGCTGACCAACCCGAGCGGATCCGCCTCAGCAAGTCTCAGCTCCTCCGCAGCGCTGGCATGGGGGCTTGTGCGCGCCGGGTGACCTATTGCGCGTCGATTCCAGGTGGTCCGGACGTCGGTGGATGATGGCGAGGGGGTGGTGAGGCGAAAACGAGTGGAGGGTGGGTGGTGGATGATGTTGCGATGAAGTCGCCGGCTTTCCCTGGCTGCACGGTTGCGCGCCCGTTTGAAGCTAAAAATCGAGGGCTCGCTTTTAGATTAACTCCGGGTGGTTGGAATTTGTGCTCGCAACAGCAATGTACAATTTCTTGCGTCGAGTATTCTCACAATTCACGGTTGCAACGTACGATGAGACGACAGTCTAGGTAAGCAGGAGCGGAACAGCAGGGACGAGGATGGTGAGCGAGTGGAAGGTCGCGGAGGCCCTCTCTTCGCATCTTACATGTGTTTAGCAAGCAAGTCTGGGCGTGCATTAAATCGACCCGGCAGCGAACTCGGACGGGAGACGGATACGGCTGAACAACGCTCTTTCAACCTTTCCACCACGCCCACGGACCCGAGACAATCAATCGACATCGATACACGGCGCCGCCGTCGAGGCTCCCCTGGTCACCACCGCCGTCGCCGACAACACCGCCACGAAGACCGCCAATGTACACCAGATCCCTCATCTGACAAAGGAGTCGAGTCGACCAATCGCATCCATTCCTCACGCAGTGCCTGTTCGAGAAAAGCAGCCTCATTCGTCTCGACTTCTTGGACGCCCCTGTCAGCTGAGTCTACTTCATCCTGCATCCTACCTGATTTGCTTGGACACCATCTACGCCCTCGAGAAGGCCTGGATACACTCAGGTCCTAGTCCCCCAGCGCGTCTATTTCCAGCACAAACGTATCCCCAGCAACCCATCGCATCGGGCGGCGCGTCACAAAACCCGAAAGCCCAGAGCCCAGCTTGGTCAGCTTAGCGAATGCTGTGACATCCCATGTAACCCCATGTACTGTACTGCCCAGAACGAGCAGAAGGCGGATGAATGTGGCTCTGCTGTGCGGCGCTGACAACGTGCGTGAGCGAGGTGGTACAATCTTCCGTCTATTAAAGCGCTGCGGAAGCTCCTTGTACGATCGATCGTCCTTGTTACTCCTACTCCTACTCCTACTCCTCTTACTCCTACAGCAGATGAGCGTTAGGGTAGTAATAGTAATAAAGTAATCGTAGTAGCCGTAGACGACTTCGAGATAGACAAAGACACATTGAGAAGCTTTCACAGAAACAATCAGTCATGTCATACCGTTGCATTGCATCGCTACAAACCACAAATTCCTCACCAACACCAGCACTACCAAAGACACGCCTCGAATGTTTCATAATGCCAGCAAGCAAGCAAGCAACTCTAACAAGACAGCAGCAACAGCAGAGCGCGACATCATTATGCGCTCGAACCGGTTCTCGTTGCCTCTCCCATGCGCATCCCCAACAGAACACCACTCCGATGCACTCCCAGATATGCTTCCTGATGCAATCTAAAGTAATGGAAGTCTGCAGCCTGTGCAAACCGACCACCTCAAGAATCGAATTGAGCCGACAACGCTCTAGGCAAACCTAAAAGATCGTGCCAAAATTCTCATCAACGGCCGACAAACCCTTCCTCGGGCTGGTCGGCTGCCCGTTGTCGTCCGTCGTCGGCTTGCGATGCCTGCGCACCAGTCAGTACAATATTCTGATCAAGTAAGAGGTGATAGTACTCACTTGAACGTAAACCCAACAAACAAACTCCTCCCCATCTCCCCACCACGGTCCGCCATCCGCTCAAGCGCCTCCTGCTTCTCCAACACCTCCTTGTACTTCGCCATGTCCTTCTCGTTCCCAAAATCGTCAAAGTAGCCGGCATCGGTATCGCTGTCCAGCTCCGGCACGAAAGGCGCCCGCTCCTGCCTGAGCCGCTCCCACGCCACCTCGCGGAAGTAGTCGTGCGACTGCACTGCCTTGATACCGCGCAGACGGTGGCCCTTGGTCGTGATGAGGCGCGTAATCAGGTCCCAGGTACGGCGAGAGAGGAAGTAGTTTGGATCCTCGTACTCGGGCTTGCGCAGGACATGCTGCCAGCGCTTCAGGTTCTGCCACGTCTCGTCCACAGTCGCACCGGCGAAAGGCGGGTACCCGGCCAGCGCCTCGAACAGCATGCAGCCGAGGGACCAGTAGTCGACGGTGAAGTCGTACTCTTCGCCCTTGAGCACTTCCGGAGCCATGTAGTCTGGGCTGCCGACGATTGACTTGGCGTAGTTGACATCGCGTTCACGCAGACTGCGGTAGCCTTCACGTCGCTCCTTAAGCGAACGCTCTTCCATTGGCCGACCGAAGGGGATGGCGGAGGAGGGAATGTTGCCCACTTCTTCGAGCTTGATGCGCATGCTTTCGATCTTCGCTGGGGCGAGGAAGCCAGCCGCGAGACCGAAGTCGGTGAGCTTGACGTGGCCGGTTCCGTCGATAAGGAAGTTTTCGGGCTTGAGGTCGCGATGAATGTAGCCGAGTGAATGCAACGCATCTACGCACAAGAACATCTCGGAGATGTAGAAGCGAGCGTGGCGGTTGTGCAGGACGCCCGTGTTGTTGAGCAGGGTTCTGAAGTCTCCGCCCGGCACGTACTCCATGGCGAGGTAGATGCTGCTGTCATCCTGGAAGGCGTAGAGGAGACGGACAAGCCATTCGCTCTTAGCGGTCGTGAGAATGTCGCGCTCCGTGAGGACGTGGCGGACCTCGTCCAGCTTGTAGAGCAGCTTCTTGCTCATGATCTTGAGCGCGCAGATCTCACGCGTGTCTTTCTTGGAAGCCAGATACACCTGCCCGTAACCACCTTGGCCAATCTGAGTGAGGACTTGGAAGTCGCCATGCTTCATGCGTGTCCGTCTCTTCCGGAGATTCGCGCGCTCGTGGCCAAGATACTGCGTCCATAGCTGGTTGTAATTGTCGACTTCTGCCGCTGGCGACGACGCGGTCGGTGCAGGGTTGTGGGCTTGGAAAGCTTGCAGACGCGTTTGTCTGTTGTGCGTGTAGGAAAGCAAGTCGTAATAGTAGTCGAGGAAGTACAATTGTGTCACGTTCGCCAGCCTTCTGACATTCGGCTTCTGCAACTTCTCCAGCTCCTCGGGCGTCAAACGTCCGCCGAACGCCTGCTGCCGCGTCGGCGAGTGGTCCTCACGCGGTCGGTAGGGCTCCTGTCTGCTAGCAGCAGCCTGCGTGAGGTAGCTCTTCTCCTGCTGTAGCGGAGGGCGGAAGGTGGGCGGGGTGTTCTCTTTGCCTTGCTTGCGCTGTGGGCTGCCCGGCGCGCCAGCTTTCGCATCCGCTCCGCCGAATGGATCTTGCTCGTACCTGTTAGGTGACACGGAGCCTTGTCCCTTCGTCTGCAGAGGCTTGGTGCTGTTGTTGGGTTGGCCGACAGTGGGCATGAGCTTCATGGCGTTGGAGAAGACATCGGGCAGGTCGAAGGCACCAGGCGGGTTCCTATTCTTGCTCGGGCTGCCGCTAGGCGTCTGAACAGGCGAGATGAAAGCATCGTAATCTCCATTGGGTGTGCCAGGCTGCTGCTGCTCGTTGGTGTTGTTGGCGGAGCGGGTGTGGAGGAGGGGTGGGAGGACAGGCATGGTCATCTCGTGCTTTGGCGTGCCCGGCGCCATGAGCGGTGGAGGAGGGTGTGGTGATGTCAGAGTGCTTGCCAAAGGGTGACCGCGGTGCGAGTGATCAGCGTTGCAGGAAGCGAAGGTGGTGGTGTTGTTCAATGGCGTTGTTGGCGCAGATGCATCTGAAACCTTGCCAGATCCGCGACGTCAGAGCGGGAAAGAGCGAACAACACGCTGACCCGGCAACCACGCCAAGATTTCGACTTCACCTCCTCCATTGAAGGTTGACGGGAGGTGGTGCTTATTGAACGCAGGTAACTCACATGGGCATTGTACGTGCAGCTTCATCGTTCAGTGGTACAGAGCCGCTCTGTTCTTTCGCGGATAACACCGCAAAGTGTCACATGTAACAACGATCATATGAAAATCAACGACTATGGAAACGTCCTCTTCAAATGATCATATCTCGTATCATACCAACGCACAGGCACACACCCGCGCTCTAACCGAATAGTCATCGTCCACCTCCCCAAAGACAGCTCCGACCTCTGCCCCATCTCTCCAACATCCTCCCCATCTCAAGCCAACAACATCAAACAATTAACCTGCGCACCAGCGCACTCCACAACACCAAACAGTAGCATCCACACGTCCGACAAGGGCCAGCCCACACGCAAACGCAAATCCCGAAAGCGGTCTATATACACTCACCCGTGCATGTGCTCTATCATCCCATCAGAAGCGAAAAGCAATGAAAGCTGGGGGTATCATAACGCGAAATGTTACGTCCGAAAACGTGGACATCGTCGTTGCCATTGCCTCGATTGTATATGTGTTCGAAGGCGTCGGTAGAATGTATTGTATTCGTCGGAAACAGAGCTCACAAGCTCATCGTCAACCACTCCCACTCCTGCGGTCCCGCTGCCACATCTGGCGAGACGCCGTGCGGGAGCGTCGGTTGCGGGGTCATGTTGTTGAAGTCCAGACCACCGCCCTGCGGACCCATAGGGGCCTGCATGGAAACGGTGTTGGGTTGGGAGTTCGGCGTAGGCACGACCTGTGGTTGCTGCTGTGCTCGAGGTGTGGTCGAGTTCTTGTTCTTGCTCAGCTCTTCAGCGTCTGCCATTTCAATGTCCCCGCCCATGGCATTGCTCGCTCTGCTGTGCCTTCTTGACTTTCTCGGGCCTGCGGTGCGTGTCGGCGCGATGGATGGAGCTTGAGTGGCAGGCTTCGGTGGGCCAGGAGCGATAGCTACGACGGGCTTGGACGGCTTCTCTCCGTACCCAGTGCTCGTTGGCGTGGTCGCGGCAGTGCCTGTCCCTCCAGAACCAGTATTGGAGTTTGGAGACTCTGACTCGTTGTTCGATGCCTTGGCCGAACTCGAGGCCGTGTTTGCTGCGCTTGCGACCGAGTTCTTGCGGCTTGCAGCCTTCTTCGATCGTGTGGTCCCGATCGGGGCGGTGTTGCCACTACCTCTATTGCGCTTCTTGATCACGTCTGTCTTCAAGCTCAACGGCCGTACAACTCCGTGGAGCTTCAGGAAGAGACCGCAGGCGTTGCACAAAGGATGGCCTTCGGGGTTGCGGCGCCAAAGCGGCGTGGTCTGCGTAAAGCAGTTGGTGCAAGTTGTTGGTACACCGTTGTTGTTATCGCCTAGCCGAGGACTTCCCGGACGAGACGGGGCTGCAGAAGAGAGGCCAGACTCAGGCGGAGAAGATGGTGACGACTGTGTCCGAATGGAGAACATGCCAGTCGCCATTCCGGCTGTATTGGGCGTAGAAGTCGCACGAGGGATCTTGCGCGTCCTTGGATCGCCGCCACGGTTGCGCATGTCCGACACTGAAGCCGCAGAGCCCATGCTGCGATTCAGTCCTCCCTGATCCCAGCTCTGGTACGAAGGGATTGTCTCGGTTGCGCCAATGGTCACACCTTTCCGAGGAGGCCCAGCTGGGTATCTCGCTGCATTGGGATTGAATGCGTTCGACAGCGGGTTCTCCCACTGATACCCCGTGTGCATGTCCATGCTCGGCTCGTCCATGGAGGAGTAGCTCTGCATCATCATGCTTTGATCATGGAATTGTAGTGATTCATCCTCATCCTCGTCATCATCGGCACCAAAAGTGAACATGCTCTCATGGCGCGCAGCAGGCATACTGCTAGCGTGCTGATAGTCCATTGGCATTACTTGGGTTGGGTCAAGGATGTCCGGTGCGTGGAAAGACGGTTGATTGAAGGAGTGGGATGGGCCACTGGATTGTATAGGACGGAACATTTGCTCGCCATTCGGGTTGAAGACGAATTGTTGCTGTCCTTGGTTCGGCAAAGATTGCTGCTGATGTCGTGGAAAGTTCGGTAGAGAGCCGAAGGTGGTGGGCTGCTGAGAGTTGAAGAACATGTTGTGCTCGTCCTGCATGGGCTGCGGTGTAGAGACAGTGGAGGGAAAGCCGGAGTTCTGTGGAGATTGATAGCTGCTGGCGCTTTGGGGTGGCGCCATCGTCGTCTGCGGGTTATACAGCTGTTGGTAGGAGTTGCTGTTGAAGATTGGCGAGCCTACCGGCGAGAACGAGAAGTTCTGCTGCATAGGCCCGGCTGAGTTCATGATCGGGTCGTTGTCGAGATTGAAGGTGTCCAGGTTGAATGGCATGGAAGCATGCTGAGGGTGGGGCGCAAAGGGTGCCGAACGTGAGGATGCATCTAGCGAATAGTTTTGCAGCGCAAAATCGTCGGTAGGATTCTGGATCGTGGGATGATTGTTGCCCACAGCTGCTACCTGCGGCGATGCTTCTGCTGGGCGTTTTCGGTTCTACGTATATCAGCGAACGTCCGTGGCAGTAAGAAAGGATGAACAAACCGCTCGCTCGTCGATACTCGTCTTGCGCACATGCCTTGGCACATAGTCAAACTCATGGCTGCCTCTAGACTGCTCGACGGCTGCGATCGAAGGCGCCGAAGCACGCGACAACTGCAGCTCTTCCGCCTGGATCCGCTGCTGCTGCTTTATTGGGATGGCTGAGGCGCCAGACCTTCGAGATGTGACATCCTCGTCAACCTGGCCAGAGGATGGTGCGGGTGACATGCCTGCCGGCGTACCCATGGAAGAAGGCACAATGAAGTCGTCCAGATTCATGTGCTCCTCGTTGGCCACGTTGGTCTGTTCGGACGATTTGCGGAGCTGAGCAATGCCGCTGGGTGCATTCTGCCCTCGCTGGCGCGCAGCAAGGCTATACACGAGTCAGCGAGGAAGACACATCCTACACCCTCACCATACACCTACCCTTGCCGCTCCAGCTCCTTGCGCCGCAGATTCATCGACATCATTCTCCACGAGAGGTTCTCCAAGCGCTCAGAGTTTGGCAATTGTCCCTTCTGCTTATGATACAGCTTCCATATCTGTGTACCAAGCGGGTCCTTCTTTTGCATTTCCTCTGGGTCCTCTGCCTCCAGGTCTGTCGCATCATTCTTCCATTCGTTGAACACCGTCTCCCGCAACAGGCCTTTGCGAGCCGCCGAGTCCGTCGGTGACAGATCCAGCTTGCTCTCCAGCGTGCTCAGCGTGCTGGCGGACGTCAGTGAGTGTATCGCCGACGAGCTGGCGGATCCGTGGTCTGAGTACTCGGGCGGAAAGCGCACATGTCGCGGTGACGATGATGTAGTCGAAGTCACCGCGTCCGCAACATCCAGTCCACCCGCACCCACACGCCTGTCCTCGGGCTCGTCTGAGATGCCACTGCCCCCACGCTGCCCTCCTCCATATTGCGCCCTAGCCTTGTGCGGCGTCGAAGCCTGGGCGCATCCGACTTCAGACATTCGAGCGGGAGCGCAAGGACTCTCTCGCTGGATACGGATACCTCGAGACGACAGGACACATGCGAGTCATAAGGAAGGAAAAAGTCATGTGTGAATGTGAATGCGGTCCCGCTGTCGGCAAGGCATGTGTCGGCAATGATGAGATGCGGTGCCCGTAATGCGCCCACACCTCGTCGTGCGCTTCTGCACCCTTGGGTAGCCGTCCGACCTCTGGCACCGAGACGTGCTAGGCCTAACCTTCGGCCTCTCATCTTGTGGCTGTCTGCTAATCCCCATTCAGCCGGGTTTCTCGGGCGTGGGATGCATCCTGGCCTCCAAGGGTTCGTGGGTGTGGGTAATCAAATGGTGGGGTCCTCGCGAGCTACAGCGAATTGCAGCTCCCTGTCGCCATCTTTACCAGCATCTACATCTGCCTGCGCGGCACGCTGGGAATAATGAGGTGCTTGTGCGCTTGCGAAGAAGCAATCGACGCTCTTGTGGCGATCGCGATACTTCGTTACTTCCACTCTCTCACACGCCCATCCAACCACGCATCAAGCATGTGATATTACTCGACGGAGAGTTCCGGAAATAACACCTCGGACGCATCTCGGTTGGCTGGCCTGTTCGCGGCTGACAGGCAGTCTAGCAGAAAGTCTGTTAAAAGCAGACCCGCACCATTCTCGTCGTTCGCAACGCTCCAGGGTTCCGTGTTGCTTGCAGCTCTGTCTTGCGCAAGATGACGCCGTAGTGGCTGCGCCTGCCGGCGAACTACCGATGCGATGGGCCCTCAACGCACGCCGTGCAAGCATCCAAACAGGCGGCGGGGGGACGAGCTTCATTCTCGTTGCAGCATTACTCCCGAGGGTGGCTTCAGTGGGGCTCTGTAGCCTCAAAATCTAGAAGCCGCCTGCAAGCGATTGACATGTGATCGAGAAAGCAAATGACTCGCGTGTAGTTTGCGTTGTGATGAAAGTTGCAACACCATAGCATAGTGAAGTGCATGTGTTACAGAGTCGCTCTGGAATGGGCTTTGACTTGTGACATCTTGCGGGAAACCATTGCGCTAGCACCAGGTCCTCCCTTACAGTCCTTTCTGTCCCTCCACCTGAGAACACCTTTGTGTTGAATCCTTCTCGATGGAAAAGGAATAACGACCAGAATACCTGTCGCGGCTTCGAGGAAAGCGGAGTGCCATTGCAAAAGGAATGATGGCTTACCTTGCTGGCCAACGCCTTTCCCCCTTGATCAGCTTCTCCCCACCCATCTTGAACATGTGGTGGAGGCAGAAAGGTTGAGCTGGCACCACTTCGGACCACCGGCTCGCATACCGTCCGGCCATGTTTGTTCTCAACTGCTCTGCAAAGCTTCCCCAGTGCATACCGTGGCGGTGAGAAGGGAAATGTTGACAAGACGCTTTGGCATACGCCTCTTTCTCTTTTCAGCCCAGGCTTCGCGCGTCGAAGCAACGAGAGCGGGATGTTCCTCCACCTGCCAATCCCGCGGCGATGGGAACGAGCCCACGGAGCAGTGCATCCTGATCCATGGCCTGAGGCGACATGAGTATTGCGGTTGAGTGCACTGTAGTTGGACTCCAGCCATCGACCATCCAGTTGTGAACAGCACACGCGCAACTTCCTAACATAGGCACTTGTAGTTCGGGCCGGGTCGGCCTGGGGAAGTGAAGTGCTTTCGGTTGGTCGCAAGTTGATTCTATCGATCGACCGAATCGTCGTGGGTGTGAGAAGCTTGGCCGCCCATCCGACGTGGGGTGAGCATGCGAGCAATTCCATCCCATGAGGCCGGGGCAATCTTAGCAATCCCATTATTTGAAAATGTCTCGCACGACCACGTCCGGGTAATAAGGGGATTCTGTGGAGTTTGACTTTGAAGGCGCGTCGACGGTTGGCTTACGAGAGGCTCTTCTCGCCTGTCACTTGTCGACCCTGCGTTGAGGATGCGAACGGGCGGGTATCGCGGTGGTCCTCTCAAAATTGTGCTTCTTCCTCTCGGTGGAGACATTGCGGGCGTGAGGCCCGGCATACCAGATTCGTAACAATCGGCCTCAATTGTGAGGGAGTTGTGGAGCAGTGCTGGTGCTTGGTTGAGATGATCTCGTGGGTCGAGACTCCTTCCTTTTGCAAGATACCAACAAATGATCCACGAGCCAAGCGGTTGTCACATAGACGTCACCTCATCCCTAAAGTCTGCCAGATGAAGAAAGGACAGAGCGTAGTTCGAGGTGCAGAGAAGCCATTCTTATACCACCACTCATATCAGCCGTCTGGGCACGTCCTGCCTGCCTATCTAAGCTATCTTTGGTATCTCGGGCCACACGCCATCGATAAGGAACGCGAACTGCTTCGGGAAGATTGCGCGACCTTGCGCGACTCCTGAAAGAGAGCAGAACGTGTGGTCTCGAACGCAAGACGTGGTCATCCAGTTGATAAGACTCGTCCAGTCGGTGCTTGGTACCAGGCCCATTGGGCCTTCACGAGAGCCTCACCACATAAATGTAGGGCTGAAGAAGCTGCCAACCAATGGAGTCCGCTACGGCAAGCGAGGGAAGGTGAGAAAAGCCAAGATACAGGCGTTCAGCAAGTATTCTCATTGCCTATCAATGTGCTTCTGAACCATGGTGTATACGTGTTCTATGCACGTTGTCCCAGTCCCTCGACAGCATTGCTTCTTGGTTGATCGTGTGCTAATCTTACAGCTTGGAGGACCCGCCGCTCCTATTGAACCATGTTCATCAGTTCTGTCGATTGTTTTACCTGATGCAACGGTGTCAGAAGTCCGACTGGAACGGAGAGAACGAAAGCACAACTCACATGTTCTCGTGGAAGAAGTTCAGCAACAGCTGGTATGCCTTCTCGTAGTCCGACTTCACGGCCGGATCCTTCAGGTCTCCGCGTGCAGCCATAAAGCCGTGGACCTGGTTGGGCCACCACTGGACAATGTTCTTGACCTTGACCGCCTTCTGCCACTTCTCCACGTCCTCCTTGCTCTCGTCTTTACTCGGCAGCATGGCGAATGGAATCTTCACACCTGGGGCGTCGTTCTCATCCACCATGGCGGGATGGCAGGAAGCCGCCGCCTTGAAGAGTGTGCCCTCTTGTGAGGAGAGATTGACGATCTTGCCGCCCCAGCAGTAACCGACGATGCCCCACTCGGAAATGCTAGATCGCTGAGACTTGATCTCTTCGAGGACTGCAGGGGAGAGGGTGTCAGCAATGTCCTGGACATCAGTGGGGGTTTACAAACCTTTGGGGATGCGCTCGAGCGTCTTTGGTGGTGCGGCCTGGTTGCTGAAGAACTCGCCGAGCTTCTTGCCCTTCTCGTCCGTGTCCGGTGGGTACCAGCTGATGTCGGCCGGCTTGCCATCGAAGAAGTCTGGGAGCAAGGTCAGACGCATGAACCTACACATCGAGTGTACTGGTGCTCACCTGGCATGAAGACCTGGTATTGCTTCTCCTTGTCGCCGTAAGCCAAGATATCAGCGCCCTGTATTGTCTGTGGGAAGAAGCCGAAGATATCATAGACAACGAGAAGAGCAGACTTCGCGTCCTTGGGTCCGGTAGCGTACGTCTTCATGCCATTAATGGTCATGTATTCTCCCTTGCCCTGGTAGTTGTCGGTGACAACCGGGGGAACGGTGCAACACGCATGTGATTGAGACATGGTCGCGTAGAGTCGCGCTCGTGGGAGCTGTGAACGAGGTTGGATGAAGCTGTGTTTGGAGGTCTGACTGGGAAGCCTAACCGAAGGAAACGTTTGGGGGTGTAGTTGTTTGAGGAGAGTGGAAGCAATTGGCAAGCGGAACATTTTCACCTTAAGAGCGCCTTCCCAGTCTTACAAATTCCAGTTCTTTCGAGGTGTTAGAAGCTCTCCAATGGCGGGGCATAGACGTCCATTGCATCACAATCAGTGACAACACGCACATGTCATTGCCGAGGAGCTGTAAAGACGCCGGCGGAAAGACGGCTGCATGCCGCCTCGATCTCCAGGCGAAAAGCTTCGCCAACGGCAGTGTTGGCATCCTGCACGCTCCCGGCCATGCCTCCGTTCGACATGAAGTGTGGTCGACGGCATCGATGGCTGATATGAGCACGTGGTTTGAGTACAGCCCTGTCAATAGACATTCGTGGCCGGGCAGGCAAGGCTGAGGCTGTGCCTCGATCATTGCGTCTCCCTGTGTCCAGCCTTGTTGAGTGTGCGAGACTTCCACCTTGTCGTGATCAACGGTAATTGAGAGCTTTCGAGTCCACAACAGGCCGTCCGCAATACTTTCAGCGTTTGACGATGAGTAATGCAAACACTCAAGATGGAACGTCTCGTCTCCGGTGTAAGCAGTCCTTTCTTCTTGGACGATATACATAACCTACTCATCTCGTCTTATACAGTCTCTACAGCCATTATGGGCCTTCTTCCGGAACCTGATCAGCCACCTCGGAATCTCAAGCAATGCTGCTGGTCTGGTGTACCTCGCAATCCTTCACACCGTCCCACTACGATCCGCTCTGACCGGCACGTCCTCTCTGCTTGATGCGCTCATCATCTGTCCTGGAGCGTACCGGGAGCATGACGCACCCTCTCTGAACAGAGGCGAGTATCCAGCATGTGCAGCCATGACTACAGGGTTTGTCTTCCGCGTGGAGAACGAAGCCACTGTTCTGCAGCTTCAACGCTTCGGGAAGCCAGGGCATCTCACGACGTTGACAGTCCAGTCGGGGAGCAAAGGTCCCTCAGCCGGAACGTGGCATGCATGCTTTTTTGAGGCTATGCGAGATACAGCCACGTTATGCTATGCAGCAACGCTCGCGATGACCGTCTGTGCCACGCTCATGCTGGTCCACCTGGAAGAACTCCAAGCCCTCTTATGGCTCGCAGTCACCATCTTGACCCGCCTGGTGAGCGTCGTCATCTTCCGCAGAAGAGCGCAGCCGGGCTGGAAGGGGATCGTGGAGCCTGGTGCGAAGGGTGACTTACTCGTCCTACTGAGCCAGGACAGGTGGATCCGTCTCCGAGGTCTAGTCGACGACATCAAAGCAGTCACGTCTGGTCAATGGCTTCGAGATATGACTCCTCTGGAGAGCTCAGCCGTGTCTGCGACAACGCTTGTCGTCTGGCTCAGTGCTGGCTTCTCCACTACGGCTGGCAAAGACGGCCAGGTGGTGCTGCTCGCACTTCTGTTCTGCTCAGCTGGTATGCTCGGGCTCGCTAATTTGTCGACGCGAGTTTCGTGCATGTATGGCCGGCAACTCCAGTCAAAGGACTCTCCTGAGCGATTTGAAAGAAGGCTTGATCTCGCTGAGCAGCTCATTCAAGAAACAGGGAGGCAGGATTGGGCGTTGCGACTCGGAATGATACAGCCAAAGACAGCTGATGACAACCATGAACATGAACTGGGCCCAAAGATCATGTGACAGGATTGAGAACAGCCCGGGCAGGTGGTATTACTATTATCGAATAAGTGTACGTCGTTGCGACCACGAAACCAGCACAGCAGCAGCAAAACTCTCGCACCCCTCAACGTCCATGCTTGCCGCCGCGCCTCGTGTTCATGTACATCTCCAAAGCAGTCGAGCTACCCTGACTGCTGGACGCCGCATGACTCGCTGCACTTCTCCTCGCGATTCTGTTCTCCCACGACATCGTCCTGGATGCAGGATCCTCTTCAGACAATCCTGACAACGGAGCGTTGAGGGTACCATTGGTCCGGAGCACCGCACTCAGTGCTGCCGAAAGCAATGCATTCTGCTTCTCCAACGCCTCAAGACGAGCCTGGAAGCGCGCTGTGTTCATCGATTCCCTGTTACCACCACTTCGGCGCTGCTGTGTGACGATATGTGCAGGCGGGTCAAGTCGTCGCTCGGCCATCGCGGTCTTCGAAGCTACGTTCAGGTTGTGGATCGGAAGTCCGGGCAATTCCTTCTTGGTCTCGGCAATGCGAGCGGCTCTCGTCCTGCCAGGCTTTTCTGATCCAGACGCTGGCGGTGTTGGCGGCAAAGCGCGGTTGGGTGGAGGTGATGGCAGTGGTGGTGTGTCCTCTTTCAGAAGCTTCGGAGCTGGGCTGTGGGCCCTCGATGAATTCTGGGCCCCTTGTCGACTACGACGCTTCATGGCAGAACGCGGGATCGATGCCGACCTAGGCCGAGGGTTGTAGGACTTTCCATCCTTGACCAGTATCTTCGCAGGCTTCGTGGGTTTGGCTTTTTGGACGGGAATCTCCTCCGCGACAAGCATGACTGGGCTCAAGGCCATGGGCGTGCCTGCAGTGGCACTGTTACTTGAGGTGACAGGAGACACTGGCGTGTATCCCGTGGGTCCGCTGTTGGAGACCGGAGAGACATCTGGTCGGGCGTCAGGCACTTGTGCTTGGGTAGACTCTGTCACCTTCTTCCAGCTTGCATTGCTGGACGCTGTCGAAGAAGTTCGAGTGACCAACGGCGTCGGTCGCAGGCTTCCGGGTATCTGAATGTGAGGTCTTGCCTTCCTCAACTTCTGCCGAGGGCCGTCCGGCACAGCATTGACAATGGTGTCGATCGCGGTCACTGCGGCCTCCGGCATAGGTCGGTCACGCAGCTTGCGGGCACGAGTACGATCCTCCCGCTCTCGCCGCAAGTACTGGTAGCTGGACTTCATGACTGGGTTCTTGCCGCGAGACTTGGGCCGCTTGATCGGACCGGTGCAGTCTGTCACAACCGTCGGCTTGAATGGCCGCAAATCGCCATTGAAATCCTGGACGTCTCTGATGCTGGGTGCGAGCTTGGGCGTTGCTCCTCGCTCGCCATACGAGGCCAGGATGCCTTCGATTGTCTCGGCGTCTTTTCGCGGTCTCAGCGGACTCTTTGGTGGTGGAGGACCTGGACTGTCCGTAAAGCTTCGCCGGTACAGAGAAGCACCCAAGCTTGAGGCTCGCTGCAGGAGCACCTGGTGGCTTGCAAACCTCCTCGGACAAGGGTGTTCTATTTCAACGTCTTTCTCCCTCCCCGGGTGCTGTACGGGAAATTCTTCGTATCGCAACGAAAATTCAGGCAATGGCAAGCTGGTTGACGTCCGAGATCCGGCAGGGGGACCTGACAGTGCCCGAGATGCATCGAAAGGTCGATTGGCCGGATGATCGTGTAGGTCACTCTGATACGACTCGGCCATTGAGACGGCAGAGACTGGCTCAGGCGTGGGTGGATTCGAGGCAGCTGGCCGTATTGGACCGACATGCTCATCTGTCGCACCTATGGTTGCTTCCTCCCTTGGCCACCATTGGACCGCCCGCTTACTTGCAGTGACATCTTCAACCGGTGGAATCGCAGTTGGTTCTTCTCTAGGCCACCATGCTCGCTGTTTTGCGGGGGTCGGAGGTCTTCGAGCCGGTCGCTCGTCAGGGCGTGGGTACTTCCATCCTTCCATGGAGTTTATGCTGTCAGCAAAGGAGATCGACACTCTAGATTCAACGATGCTTGGGCTATTGTGCGTCAGTGCAAGCGACAGAATCAGTATGGTCGATACGAACCTCAGCATCGGTGCCCCATCAGGTTGTATTCGAGCTTCGATCGACTCGTCCATCTTCGGAACTTTTAGTGCAAAGTATGTGCTGCCTGGCTGTCGTTCAGTGACTGGGGTCCTTGACGTATGAGTAGCATGAGCAAGCAACGAACCTCCAGCGGAGACCTTTTGCTCAACTGGAGCGAGCAAGCCACCGGCATCTTGAATCTCAGGATCGGTCTGCGGAAGCTTTCGCCGCCTCTTCAGGAATTTGAAAGCATTTTTGGAAGGGACTGGCGGACGTGCGGGTTGGGAGACTTTGCTGGGCCGATGGTGAGGTGTAGTAGGACCAGTCGTGCGCAGGAAAAAGGCCAGATCATGTGATGGGTTCTTGAAAGGGAGGTGCAACAAGCTTTGCTCGGTAATCATTGCGTATGGAGCCTGGTCGGTACAGTCGCTTTTGGAACAAGCAGACGCATCAGTAAGTGCTGCAAGGATCAAAGGGGAGATACATCATCACTCACTGATGTATCGAAAAGGGGTCCGGGCGGGAGTAAGTGTCAGGATTCTCCGACTCTTCGACATGGATCGAGTCTTCCCGGAGGATGGTCGAGTACGCCTCTCTCTGCTGCTCTCTCTCCTCAGCCGAAGGACTCTGGCCCATGATGGCCTTGGTGTAGAGAGGTCCGGCGCCAAACGCCCGGCAGGACGGGCTCATCTTCCCGGCCTCAGTATCTTCTGGCGTTGGCGGGACCAATGTGATTGTTTCGAAGTGTCGAGGAGTATGATTGACGAATGCTAGAGATTGTTTTCGTGTGTGGCCTGCGGAAGGCTGCATTGGGCACGAGAACGTCGTCCAGTTAGCCGACGCTGTGCCTGCTTCAGAGAGCCCCGGCGAAGCTCGAGTCATCGGCTGCTACGGCCTCGAGTAGTGCAAAGAGCGGAGACGACGTATCAAGCGCTGAACGGTTTCAAGGGCGAATGTCAGGCCATACGAAAGAGATTGTGCACCCGGGAGAGTTCTGACAAAAAGGCAATGTCGGCTTCGTGCATCACCGGCCAGAAGATAAATAGAAAGCGCAGACTAACAAGTGCAAGGAAATGCTCTCAGCAGCACAGCGCCCTGGCAGAGATTGTACCACAGAAGGCCGCACACCGAAACGGGTCCTAAGCGTAGGGTGACTCGCTCCACCACAGCAATGAGGGACAGAAAATGTTTGGCTGTGGTGTTGATTGCCTGGAGCATTGACTCCAAGCCGATATTAGGAGTGCAGCAGAGGTAAAGGCGATGGCACTTAGTGTTTTGGTTGGCCTTTCAGCTCTGCCGCGAGCATGCAAGGGAGGCGCATGCAAGTTCTTTAACGGTCGAGCTGTGGGTAACGTCGCACAAGAAAGCATGGACGCAGGCTGAAACGAGGATACACAAGCGGCTTCCACGGCTCTGCCTGTCAAGAAAAGGGACTCACACAGCTTGGAGTAGTACGAGGGGGCTAAGCACAAGAGAGCTGGCACTTTCCATGCCACATTCTCAGTAGAGGCGTGGCCCTGTCAATGTCAATGTCAACCGCCAACACCTGCGCTAATGACACCACGCCATCCTCTCTATTTCCTTCAATCACCAGAACGCCGTAAGTATCCTCCTCAGTATTCGGAACATGACCCGACCCGAAGCCAGGCGCACCACGTCGTCGAGGTTGCTGCAGAAACTTGATCAACTGCAGCATCGGAGAACCATGCACTCGGTATCCTCTGAAATCCTCCGCAGGCTCAGGTATCGTGGCCGAGACACTACACGCTGCGTCACCTTTAACACCTCACGGCTGTCTGCACTGAGACCCGCTGACCACAATGTTGACAACTGATGTGTTGTCCTTGAAACCGTATCGCACCCCACCCAAATCAAGGCCTAGGCTTCGGATGCTTGCGAGGGGGCATGAAAGGGCTGGCCGCTGGCCGCTTCTTGACCTGTGGCGCCACCGAACGTGCCGCAGCTCCCGCTCTGGGTTTGGCATTTCCATCAGCCGGGTTTGACGACTGTCTTTCGCCGGCGGGAAGGGATGTTTCAGCTCCAGATACATTGCTGCCGGGCGTTGCACCGCGACTCTCCGGGCTATCTGCATTCGACATCTCCACGTCCTGTGGCTCTACGGAGGCGTCGGGGATTTTCCCAAGGGGTGGTAATGGTGTCGAGCCATCACCGCCGGCATCCGGGCTGTCCTTCATCTTCTTGATCCGATCGGCAAACTTGTAGCTAACACCTTCCATACGGTCGCCACGATCCGCCTTTGACCCTGAATTGCCGTTCATGCTGCCTTGACGCGGCTTCACGGCGGTCGACGAAGTGGTTGGCGCGTCTTGCATCTGCGGCACGTGAGCACCAGCATCTGGCATCGATCGAACCGCCGCACCACGCTGTGCCGGGAACACAGACGATGGCCGACCTAGCATAGCCTTCAGATTGCCAGAGGTATAGCAATCACGCGCTCTGGCGTCCTCGACCAACTTCTTCCAGAACTGGCCGCGGATAAGGCTGTCCGAGTTCCCAAGCACCCACAAGCTCGACTTCGCTCTCGTCAAACCCACGTTCATACGTCTGATATCCTGCAAGAAGCCGATGCCGCCGGCAGGCGAAGCACGCACGCACGAGAAGATGATGATCTCGCTCTCACGGCCCTGGAATGCATCTGTAGTATTGAACTCGATCATTTCCAAAATGTCGCTTCCGTACCGCTGAGAGAAGCGCTCCTTGAGCATCTTGAGCTGGCTCTTGTAAGGTGTGATGATGCCGATCCTGCCGTCGAAGTCGTAGCCCGTGAAGTCAGTCCTGAGCCGGTTGTAGAGCGCCATGGCAATTTCGATCTCAGCAGTATTGACCAGCGAGTGACCTCGAGGGGCGGCCTGGTGCTGGCCCGAAACGTCAAAGAAGCGGTAAGGTGCCAGCATGGTACTGGCGTGCCACGGCCGCTGCCGAAGCTCCAGCATGCCTCTGCCGTCCTTGAGGAGACCGTCGTAGAAGGTCTGCGATGGGAAGACGGAGATGTCGGGGTGCATACGATACTGCGTATCCAGCAAGTGAACCTCGTTGCTGAAGTTGTTCTGCATGCGCACGAACAATGACTGCTCGTACTGGAACTTGGCAGCTTCTTTCGAGAACACCGTTGGCGGTAACTGCTTCGGATCTCCGACCATGATGCACTTCACGCAGCCGTACTTTAGTGGAATCAGCGAGCTCATCTCGACACATTGCGCCGCCTCGTCGATGATGACCGTCTCAAATTCGATGTTGAGGCTCTGAAACATGTCGTGACCACTTCCGCTGAGGGTAGCGCAGATGACATGTGCCTCGTCGAGAACAGCTTGCTGTGCTTTCTTTCTGTTGAGTTCGGCTTCGCGGCCAGCGTTGCGCTCCTGGTCTTTAGCATTGTCAATCTTGACGCCAAGCTCATTCTTCCTCTTGCGCGTCGAGCTGATCTCGTTCTCAAGATCCGCTTGCTCCGGACCCTTCACAGTGCCAGAATCACGCTTCTGGTACAGGTCTCTCAAATGAGAGGAAACCTTCTCGTGCTCCTTGAACACCGCCGCGTTGCTCTCGCGCTGCTTCTGATCGACGTCGCTGGTCCCGAGACGCTTGGACACAAGCTGGTCCATGGTGACATCGAGCACTTGGGAGTTGATTGCATCACTGCGACCAATGCGGACGACGTTGAGCTGGTGCTCTCGGCCATTCTTGGTCTTGACGCCGTCTTTCAGACGCATGACCAGCTCATCCACCGCGGCGTTGCTGGGTGCACAAACCAGAAGCTTGCGAGGCGGAGCGTCGAGCGATCCGTTGCCGTGCCCTCCAGGCATCGAGATCTTCGTGCCACTGCTCGACGAGCTCAGAACTTGAGTTAGGAGGCCGCCAACGATAGCGACGATCGTCTTCGTCTTGCCAGAGCCGGGAGGACCTTGAATCAGCGAGAAGCCTTCGTTCTCCAGAGCAGCATTGATCGCTCCGCTCTGAGCTTTGTTGACGTTCCAGATGTCCTGATAGGCGGTGATCTGCTTCTCGCTGTAGTTCATCCTCTTCGACGGCTTCGCTCGGATGATCTGATTGCAGAGGTCGTAGTACTGCAAAGCCTGGAGGGCACCGTATTCGCGCTCCAGCGGTGTGATTGACTGGACCTTCAAGCCCCAGACGACGGTCTGTCCGGCAAGTGATGGTGCCAGACTGCTACCGGGGAGAAGCTGGTACACTATCTCACAGTGCGCCTTCTGCCTCTTGACGCGGTAGATGCGGGCCAGACAGTGAGGCGCGGTGGCGTCTTGACCTGGGCTTTTGGCCTTGGACAGCAATATGATGTCGGCCTCCTGAAGCTGTAGCTCACGGTTCTCCGCGTGGCCCACAATGCTGCTGATCTCGATGAAGGCGTCCACGTTGGTCCTGTTCGCGACTCGAACTTCGTATGGCTTAGAGGAGGTTTCTTCGCGAGCTCGGACCAGGCCCTGCCATGCTTCAAGCGTAAGGAGCGGCTGGAACGTCTGCTGGTATGTTGTTGGGTCGTTGAAGGAGTTCGCCACTTGCCGGAACTGGTTCTCGTTCATGCCAGGCGGATAGTCGCCGTCGTGGAAGAAGTCCCAGCCCAGAATGACCCGATGCAGAGAGGTGAGGTCCGGCGCAAGGCGCGCACGCATGTCCCTCGCGCTCCGGGCGGTGCGCTGGATCTTGGTCGGCCCTGTCTTGACCTCTGGCTTCAACCCGACAGCACCGTTCGGATCGACGTTCGGGCGCTCAACCTTCTTCTTGACACTGGGACCAAAAAGCCCGTCATCAAAGTCCTCCTCGTCGTCGTCTTCGCTCTCCTCATCCGAAGAGACCATGACGTTCTTGCCTTTCATCGTATGGTCTTTGCCCATGTCTCCCAAGCCGAGAACACCACTTCCGACCCCTACGCCCTTCGCCCTCTCAGCGGCAGCCTTTCTGGCTTGCTCTGCTTCCGCCTGAGCCCGCTTTCGCTTCGCCAGGAATTCCTGCTGGTCCTTCTGCTGACTCTGAGCGGCTTTCGCCGTAGCAGGGTTCAACACAGGCTTCTTCTGCCGCTCTTGCAATTTCTTCTGCGCAAGTCGCTCAGACGCATTCATAGAACCCATCAGCTTCTTCACCCCATCGCCCTCGGAGCCCTCCCTCCCTTTCCGTCGTCTGGCGGCATCCGACCACGCATCCACATCAATGGTGCCAGGCCTAGCAGATTGCGAGACACCGCCAATGGGAGTCGATGCACCACTGCTTCTACCACTCGAAGCCCAGTCCTCCAAGTTCCTCTGCTTCTTGGGCCGGTCCTCTGCCTCGAGATCAATAGTATCAGACAAGCTACGGCCGAGATGCCGCTCAAGTGCTCGCCGCAGCTCCGCCTTCTGCTGCATGCTTAACTTGGTCTTGACACGATTCTGCTGCTGTGTGCTGATCACGATGCCCTCGATGAATTGGGCCGCCTGTTCGTCTATCCTGACTTCGACCTCTCCCAAGCGAGCAAGCATCTTGGCCGTGAGACTGACAGCCTTGGTGATAAGATAGTCGTCACGCAAACGAAGCCACTTGGAGATGGACGAGAATTTCGCCCTGGCATGCTCCAGTAAAATCTTGTTCACTCCATAGCTGTCGTTGCCATATTCGTCCATGAGGCTGCCGGCGATGACGGAGTACTGCTCGAAGGTGTAGTCCGCAAAATCCATCACCTCTCGGCAGAAGTCTTGCATTCCCTGCTTGTCGTACCCAAGATTGCTCCAGTTCTCAGTTTGTTGAAAGATCATCCCGAGAAGCTGCCAGACCCGCATCCAAAACATCTCCAGGACCTTGCCCTGTTTCCGAGGGCGGTCAACTGAGCGAAGTATGCCGTCGCTAGAGTCGCAAAGACAGCTGAACACATCGGTGCACACTTTGAGCGTCATTCTGGAAGGCTGAAAGCACAGTGCCTTTGCAAGCTCGTCCAGCGCGCGATTGAAGGCTGGCATGGCAGTGGCGTAGAAGACCGATAGCACGTGCATCAGACAGCCCCTTCGGTCGTCCGCCTCGCTCAGGATCTTCAAGACGCTGACGGCTCCTTGGTGTATTTCCTGGTCGCCGTTGAGAAGCAGTCTGACGATACCTTCCAAGCCCTTGGGGTCTTGAATCACTTCTAGCACATCCTCGTATTCGAACGAATCCAGCCGGTCAAGGAGATCACTGCCGACATACTCCAGGGAGCGCTTCAGAGCATCATTCCATCCTCTGGCTGGTTTGACTGCCTTTTCAACCTGCCGTGGCGGGAAAGCCTCCAAAGGTAGAAGTCCTCCAATGCCCGAAAGAATGGAAGCTGCAATTGCCGGGTAACCACGTCTGACCAGTCTCATGCTTCTCTTCCACATATCCAAGCCGCTGATGTGCAACTCATGCTCGATCTTGGCCGTCTTGAGGATGGTGATGCGGTCTTGATGAAGGGCCGCTGTGTCCATGGTCAAGATCTGTTCGACTATGTCAAGGCAGAGCTGCTCATCCTTGCTGATTTGCATCTCCGTTTTCTTGTTCTGAGCGCCGCTCAACTCAAGCAGAATGGGATCGAGGTGGTCCTGGGCTACGACTTGAATCATATTCGATGTTAGCGGCCCAGCCTTGACCTGTCTGCTGACCATGTCGAGCGCTGTAAGCAGGCAGGTGAGACCGGTGGACCAGGCAACGGACTGGGCGTATTTGGAGTACTGATCATCCTGCAGCCGACGCAGAAGCTGTTCAAGCATGGATCTTACTGGTGGAACAAGGTTGCCGGCCGAGATGGATCTAACGAGCACCACAGTCCACTGCAACTTCTGGTCCAGGTGAAGAGGCTCACGCTCGTCTCTCGTCTTCAGCAAGCGCTGCAGGGTCGGGCTCCTGAAGATGGTGTCGGCGACCGCCTGAGCGTTGATAGTGCCAAGTGCCTCCCAGAAGTCCTTCGGACTCAGCTCGATTAGCTTTTGATAGCTGTTCAGCAGGTCAGAGAAGTGGCTGTCGTCGATTTGGAAATGCTCCAGTGCTACAGTGTAGATGTTGCTGTCCAGTGTTCTGAGCTTGTTCGTGACCAGATCTTTGTTCAGCTTGAACACGACCAGCTTGGTAGCACGCCAGAAGACGGGCAGGAATTCTCGCTCGAGCGCTAAAATGTGAACGCGAGCGATGGCAGTCTCCAGAAATGGCTTGACGCTGTATTCGAATTCTTGGGCAGTCATTTGCCGTTTGAGGTGTTCGGTATTGCGGGCTGCCCATGCGGATCGCTCCTGATGGTTGGAGAACAAGAAGGCGATCATTCCTGGTGCGTAGTTTGGCAGCTTCAGCTTCTTGTTCGTCTGCACCAAGCGGAATGGACGATCAAAGTGCTGCTGTAGAGCTTGGTCGTCACGTAGGAATGGAATGCAGTTCAAGGCCTCGAAGAGAGCATACATCCCTGCATCCCCTATCGCCTTGATGTTGCGTTGCTGAGTAGGCAGCCCTTCCAAGATCGCTGTCGCTTTGTCGAGACCTTCGCTGATACGCCGGATGTTCAAACGGTCGAAGGTGTCGATGAACTGCTGAACCTCTTCGGTATCGTATTCGGCCTCCAGTCTTTGGATCAGCACGAATCTCGCCCGGTGGTACTCCCGCACACAGATTTCGCAGCGTCCCAACTGTGCTTCCAAAATTTTCCTGAATGAGTCCTGGTATGGCTTCGCGTCTGAGCCGTCGAAGGCGAAGATCTTGCACGCTTCGAGCGCTGCATCGCGCCTGCTCTCCACCGCCTGTACTCTTTGCAGACGTGTTCTCCTGTCCTTCTCTGATTCGTGATTGGCTTCGTTCAGGATGTCTTCGTCGAGGTAAAGTCCGAAGTCGTCGGCCGTGGATCGGGGGCAGAACCAGTGGAGATTGGCGTCTAGCTGTTGGAGCTCACTGCGCAGAGGTCAGTTGTCAGTCACGGGTTTAAGGAAAACGTTACCGTGAGGCATACCTCAGCTTCTGGACCACGTGCTCACCCATGTTGGCGAGTGGCCGCGAACTACGCCTTCAGGAAGTGACCGAGCCTCGACTGCTTAATGTGCAGTTGGCGCAGGCTCGGTCTGGAAGGTAGACTATCTACAGATGCTCGCAGTGCATGCGATGGCCTTCTGAAGTGGATGGAGTTGCTAGTAGTTGGTGGAGAAGGAAAGGGAAGTCTTCCGGCACCAAGGCCTCTTGTCGCCCTTAGAAGCACCGCGACACTCGTTGTGGACACAGATTGCGGCCAAGAAGTGACAACTCACCTCCGGCCAGTTCCAGTCACCAGTTGCTGGTCGGCTCTATGAGGTCGAGAAAGTGAACGTGCTGGATTGAATGAGATCATGGAAAGCCTTCTTAGGCGAGCGAATCGAAGGGTTGCCGTGGTAGTGACAGTCTGTCTTCACGTAAGCAAGTGTCAAGAGAACGACTTCAAGACGGCTGGCGGCCAGCGCGGCATATGGTGTGTGTGTTGACAAAGGTTGAAGTTCGAGATGCAGTTCGAGTGGAAGAGTAGAAGTCGTTGCTCCAGGCAATCTTGGAAGCACTTCCGACGTTTTGCCGACGTTGACGCGACTTCACGCGCCGCGGGGTCGTTCCTTCCACCACCAAAAGTGACAGGTCGATATGTGTCTCAAAAGGCACGCACTCAATGTCTTTGATTGCCTTTGTGTACCTTGTTGCAAGGTGTCTCGAGGCGTCGCGAAATCTTCACACGGTCACTCAATCCCGCCGATTACGACGTATCCCTATAAAGCAGGATCGCTCCAGCGACTCCCAGAGGCTTAAGTACCTCAAATCGTTCTCCAACGTGCAACCATCTCTCACCTCACACTCACATCCTCTTCTTCAGTGAGCAAGACTCATCCGGATACCATGCCGCTACACTTACTCGACCTCCCGCCCGAACTACTGGAGCTTGCCGCAAGCAACCTGGACTGGGACCGCAATGTCTATCTCACACCACTACGAGAATGGCGAAACGACCTCAAGAGTCTCAGTCTGACCTGTCGCCAACTGCGCCAGGTCGCTACACCCATCATGTACAGACACGTCCAGCTGGACCTTCGGTTTACTCATTACTCTCCTCGAACCAGCCTTGTTCACCTGGAGATGCGAAAAGCCCGAACTCATGCGCCATGTGCGCTCCGTCACCATCAAGACCCATTTCGACCGGGTGAACAATCCTGCAGGGCGCAAGTCTCTTTTCGTGCCTCTAATGCCATAGACTGGGAAGACGATTACTGCAAAAGAATTTTTCCCCGAAACAGCCGCTGACATCTTTACGCCTGTGATTAGGCTCGACTCAAGCAATTCCTCAATTGCGCAAGTACACCGTCAACGTATCGATACCATCAGCCACGCCATGGTCGACTCCACTGAGTACGCCGAGATCATCAACGAGAGCCCCACAGGGTTTCGCGCACATGCTCTTGCGCTTTCTCGCAAACTACTCAGAGATGTTGAAGGCTGGGAAGACACCGTTCCAAACAGTCTCGGCGAGTCAACTGAAGACTGGTACGGACTTCTTAAGCCTGCCGGTTTTCAGCTACCTCTACCGACGACTACCGCTACTGCAATCGCAACAACTGGTGTAACCGCGCTAAACAGGGGGACGACACCAGCACGATCGCAATGGGAGCGCAACAAGCGACACCGCAACTTACGATTCCAACTGGATGCCCTGACTGTGATTTTCCTATGCCTGCCGCCGACGGCCAAGTCGATTGTGTTTGACTCAGCCCCAGCCCACCACGGAGGCGCTACGCAGAACCAGTTCGCCACGCACGTGCTTGCAGCTGCAATGGACATCTTCGGCAGCAGACTTCAGTCACTGACTACAATCACTTCCGACTTCGACGGAACCGACAACTGGAAGACTATGCTGCGGCCAGACATATGTGGCAAAGTCCAAGCGCTCAAGTCTCTTAAAATCGACACGAACGGCAAGGATCGCTTAATGATAAAACAGGCCACGTTTCTCGAAGACCTGCACGGCTGGCATGCCCTTTCTGACACTCTCACCCATCTCGCTCTGTGGCACATCGCCGGCGAACCTTACCGGCTTGTGGGACTACTCAAGGGTTTCGTCCACGCCAAGTCCCTCTACCTCAACGGAATCAAGCTAAACCCCGATCTCAACGCTCGGGAAAGCAATCTCGTGGCCTGGCCCGCCTTCCTGATCAACGTCCGCCGTCAAATGCCAACTCTCGCAATCGAGCTGCGCAACGTGCAAGACTGCGAGGGCAAAGCACTCACGGACAGCGCCATCGCATGGCTGCTCAAGGGAGCAGTCCCAGTCGGCTGCGAAATCAGCCCACTGCGAGAAGGGAAGCTACTAGAGGATTTCCAAGACTTCCTTCTACTCTGGACCGTTGACGACGGCAAGCGAGGAGCTCAGGCGCGGAAAGAGTGGGATGAAAGTAAGTTGGTGGATATGGCCTTGGCGAACCGTTGGAGGGGCCAGAGTCCGGAAGTCGAGTTCTTGACGGATTTGTGGGATGATTGAAGGCATGACTGAAGAGCTGTTGGGTGCGTCAGGCACACCACCCGTACCTTATGTATCGTCATTGTGTGCAGCTCGGTCCGCTGTGATACAAGGTCGAGAATTGGGATAGTACAATACAATACATCATACCAGAGCAACTTTCTGAGACTCCCTCGCCCCCGAGATGTCGTTTTGCTCTACCTATACCTTTATCTCCAAAATATACGCATGCCGTCTTCCATTCAGTGCGAATGTAACCTGACTGAGGTGAGGTTGTGATGTTGGACAAGCACAAATTCATCTGAAAAAGCTCGGACCACCTCATTGCAACCCCTCCGAGCTCCATGTCGACACAGATTGAACTCTATGTACTAAAAGACAGGCAACGCTGGTTTCATTTCATACTGCCATCGAGGTAGACCGCGACTCACAACTCACCTTGGGACCGCCCATCTCATAGCGACTACATCCTCCAATACACCCAAGGCAGCCACAAGCCCAACCTTGCCATCCCAGTCAAAATCTACCATGCGAAAATGGCATCAACCACAATACTCGACCTCCCAAACGAGCTCCTGGAACAAGTCTTCAACTACCTAGATTGGAACCGCGCCACCCACCTCACCCCCTTCAGACCGGACATTGAAAAGATCAGCCTGACATGCCGTCAACTACGCCACGCCGTTATTCCAGTCCTCTTCAGACACGTCAGGCTAAGACTCCGATGGCACGACGATGAGCTTGTGGAGCCAAAGCTGTTTAAACTGAGAAGAGACCAACCGCATCTTATGCGGCACGTCCGTAGCGTCTAGTAAGATAGTCTACTTGTTTTGCTTGGAACATGGCTGATCCGCTCTCTCAACTCAGTATCGAGAGCCAGTTTGGCCGTCTCGCAGACTACCAATTCCGTCACGAACCTTTGACCGTCCCGGATACACTCTTCGATTGGTGAGCCATACCATGATTCCTGACGAAAAAGGGAGCAAGCACTAACGGAAACGCCTAGGATCGACCCCGCGGGCTCCGTCTCGAGCGAACACTCCAAGCACACAGCGCGCTCACATCGCCAGCGAGTCGAAGCGTACGCCGAAACCATCTTCAACTCTCGTGAGAACATCGAAACCATCCGCCAAGGCCCACACGGACTTCGCGAGCACGCAGACAATCTCGTCTGCAAACTCTTTGGTCCAACCCGCGGCTTGCTGTACATTTCTTCGGCGAACAGAGAAGCCTCCGTTGAGAATGTCGAGTTTTCTAGAGAGGAACCTCCGACTGCGCCTCGAGGTCCGAAACTGGATAAATCCCGCAGATTCAAACTTCAGCTCGATGCTCTCGTCTTGGTCGTCCTGTGCCTCCCTCCTACCATCAGGTCTTTGATCTTTGAGGCGGTACCGAACGATGATGGCAGACACGACCTCTGGCAAAGCTCGTTGGCAATCCAAGTAGCGGCGGTGACGATGAAGATATTCGGGGACCGACTCGAATCTCTCACGGCGCTGATATCGGATCGCACCGACGTGAAGATGCTCCAGGAGATCGCCAGCGTGGAGAACTGCCGCAACCTGGGAATGGTGAAGTCATTGTGCATCAGTGCAAGCAGCAGGAGCAAGTCCGTAGCGAGCCGCACGACGCTCAACACTGAGCTCTGCAGATGGCACGCACTTTCCACCACCGTCACGCACGTCTCACTATGGGACCTCACTAGCGAACCACAAGCTCTTGCTGAGCTCGTTACTGGTTTCACAAACGCAAAGACCCTGACGCTGAACAGCATCGCATTGCGTTCACCTCATCACATCCTCCGCCAGAACCGAGACAGAGAGTTCATGGTCTGGCCCACGTTTCTGATTGACTTGCGCAGGCAGATGCCACTGCTGGAGATCGAGTTGCGACATGTCCATGGCTTGGAAGACCTCGGTGGCAGTGCCGTGAAGTGGATCCTTGACGAGGCAATTCCGGTCGGGCACGCCGTGGGGTTTGAGAGACAAGAACGACTGATGGAAGATTTTGAGAATTTCCAGTTCCTGTGGCATGCAGAAGATAGCGAACGAGGCGAGCTGGCCAGGAAGGATCGCGGATACGGCAAGCTTGTGGACATGGCGATGTGGAGTCGTGGAAGAGGCATGGGAGGGTGATGGAGTGTCTTCTCGGACCAATGCTCTCCAGCCGGTGCAAGGCCGATTGACTCTTCGCTTGATGGACATCAACGAGCAGCCCAAACACGACTGCATCCCACTCAGACCTCCTCTCGCTTGCTAATCAAATCTTCCAAATCTTCAAAGTTTTGCAGTGGCTTCTGGGCATTACCCCTCGCCGGACGGTACGGCTTCCCACCCTTATCAAATCCAGCTCTCCTGTTCGCCTCAACCACTTTCCTCAAAACATCCGCGCACTGCCTCCTCACCTCCTCCCCACTCGCCAGCAACGCGCTCTCCGCCTGACTCTTCGGCAGCCTCACCAACAACGCCCCCCTCAAACTCATCTTCCCCTTCTCCCGCCGCACCACCCGCCCTTCCCAATCCCACCCTTGCGCCTTCAACTCCGCGCGAAAAGCCTCGCGTATCCGCCGACGCACCCAATTCCGCACGAGAGCTTTCTTGCTCACGTCCTGCGGGACCTGGACGCCCCAGTGCAGGATCGTCGGGTCGAAGTCGTCCAGGCGTCTTTTGAAGGCGATATGGAGTGGATGGTCCGGTTGGCTGATCACGAGACGGGTGTAGGGGAAGCTTGTGGCGTTGATGGGTCTGGGGTGAGGTTCGTAGAAGTGGTTGAGGAAGGGCTGTCGTTGGCCTGGTGCTGGTTCTCTCTTGGGGGTGGTTGTAGTAGCTTTTCCTGCGCCGATCGCGCTGGATGGGGTGCGTGGCTTCACATGGCGTGGTTGGTGGGCTGCTAGTCTGCGGATTGCAGATGCAGCGAAGAGCATGTGATAGTCGGAAGCGTGGGATGAGTGTAGAGCTGTCTTGAATCGAACGCAAGTGAATGCAAGGAGTCGCTTAGCCTGGCAGGGATTTGGGGAATTGGCCAGGTGAGGTTTGCCCCACAGCCGACAGCCCACTTGCCTCTTCGTGTGTCATACTTCGCTGGCAACCCAACGTCTTTACAAACACCGACTTCTCTTCTGACATTCTCTTCTTCTTCTCTTCGCCACTCACCGAAGAGCACCGATATCGATCTCACAGGCAAAGAAGCCGCTCTACCGTTCACCCAAACCCGCAAAGAGTGAGCGGCCAACATGCCGAAGAACAAGGGAAAGGTATGTGGGCGACAGCGGAGGCACGAATTAGGAACAATACTGATGGGGCTACGAGTGTAGGGTGGTAAGAACAGGCGTCGAGGCAAGAACGAGAACGACAACGAGAAGCGCGAACTCACCTTCAAGGAGGAAGGCCAAGGTATGTCCGGCGCACCCCCTCAGCCGCTCCCTGTAGCCTGTCTTCAGCACCGACAGACAGCTGATCTGCTACGCCTCCAGAATACGCCCAAGTCATCAAAATGCTCGGCAACGGCCGCCTGGAAGCCATGTGCTTCGACGGCTCCAAACGCCTGGCCCACATCCGCGGGAAGCTGCGAAAGAAGGTCTGGATCAACCAGGGCGACATCATCCTCCTCTCGCTGCGCGACTACCAGGACGAGAAGGGCGATGTGATCTTGAAGTACTCGGCGGACGAGGCGAGAAGTCTGAAGGCGTATGGCGAGTTGCCTGAGAGTGCGAAGATCAACGAGACGGATACGTATGGTGGAGACGAGGAGGGTGGTATGGGCTTCGACTTTGGGGAGGACGAGAGCGACAGTGGTGGGGACATTGATGTGGACGAGATCTAAGGAGAGTTGGGGATGGTGTGTGTGTTGAGGAGCCCTGTGGCGCTGTGGGGCTGCTGTGGTCCATGGGTCTCTGGCGATGGACTATCCATCACAGTCGAGTGCTCTTGGGGGCATCCAATGCACCAGACAGTGGAATGATGATTTGACGAATTGAACAAAGAAGGCATGAGGGAGGCATGGCACTGCTTCAGCTTCCATCACGGCGTATATGGGTAGACCAGACACATGGCTTCAAGCTACAAATGTCCTGCAAATCACTGTTTCATCAGTATTTTACAGTTTGTCTTGTAATGGTCGTATTTTTGCCACTGTGCTGCGGATAATGTGTGCCTGAACGCTTGGCTGTACGTCAGCCAGCCCGACCTCCGATCAAAGCACATCACTTTCCATAGCAGCCCTCTGCTTCACTTTGTGTACAAACTCGTCCTACACGCGGACTCCGTAGCAGAAGGGAGGTACACCTGGCACCTTTCACTAGGCTTGCCAGTCTCGATCACGAGGTCGAACACAGTCACCAACGCCGTCTCAGCTGCGAGTCAGCGCATACAGCTTGCACCATTCATACAACCACACCTTTCTCGACGGCACAAACACCATTGAGGCACCGCGACCATGCCCTCAATCCTCAACGACGACGAAAAGCAAGTCGTCAAACGTACGGTCCCCAAGGCCTCCAACAAGATCCACGCCGTCGCCGTCGCCAAGCTCTATCTCTCCCTCCCCAACCGCCCTCAATGGATCTTCACCGGCCTCTCCGGCGCCGTAGTGCTTGCGAACGACCTCGTGGGCCACACGTTCTGGCTCAAATTGGTCGATGTCAGCTCGGCGAACCGCGGTGTGATATGGGACCAGGAGATCTACGATACCTTCCAGTACCACCAGGACCGCGTGTTCTTCTTCAGCTTCGAGGGCGAGGACTGCATGTTCGGACTAAGCTTCGCCGATGAGAAGGAGGCGAAGCAGTTCCGGAAGAAGATGGATGAGCGAGAAAAGAATGCGCATAAGAACACACGAGGCAAGCCGTTTGCGCATGGCCCGGCGCAGAGGTCATACGATGGCGGACAGCAGCATCAACAAATCGCAGGTGGTGGAGGGAAGTCTTCGAGGTTGGGAAGCTTGTTTGGGGGACATAGGCATAGCTCTGCCTCGCAGCAGCAGGGACCGCCACAGAGCATCATTCCGCCGCGAGGGGTCGAGATTAACAATTCGGCTGCCTCACCAAGCGCGGGTAGAAGTCGGGCAAGCTCAGCGAGTGGCATTGACTTGACGGATCCTGCGGTCCAGGCGGTGCTGCAGGATTTGGTGAAAATGGGCATTACAGAGGATCAAATTGAGGAGCATGCTGGTTTCATCAAGAGCTACCTTGAGCAGAACAAGGCCACGGCTGCTGCAGAGGCAGAAAAGAAGCAACGTGCTCCTCCACCGCCACCGCCAGTGCAGAATGGTTTGAGCCCGCAGAACACCGGCAGTAGTACGGGAACGACAAGCAAGCGAGGGCCGCCTCCTGCTCCACCGCCATCTAGAAGAGCAGCTGGTGGTGCTCCAGGAGCTCCAGCAGTGCAGAAGCCTCCTAGTCCATCACCGAGCCCGCCGCCGCGGGAGCCTTCTCCTCCGAGACCCAGGTTTAGAGCACCACCTCCGCTTGCTGATGCCGGCAAATTTGCAAACTCGGGAGCACCGGCTTTGCCCGGTCGAAACAGAGCCCCAAGCCAGAGCAACGCTGGTCCTCCGCCTCCTCCACGGCCGCCGAAAACCCCCATAGAGGACGAGTCTCCGTCAACGCCAACGAAACACGCAGTTCCGCCAGCCTTTTCTGGCAACAGACTACCGCCTGGCCCGCCGCCACCGCCAGCAAGGAACAGCAACGCGGGCGGTTTGCCTCCACCGCCACCCGCACGAGACTCTGCTCCGGCTGGTGTTCCGCCTCCACCACCGCCTCGCTCTCCCAACGCGAACGCGGGAGGCTTTCAGAGCGACTCTGCACCGCCTCCTCCACCGCCTTTACCACCCTCGTCTTCTAGACCTGTGCCCCCTCCACCTTCTTCAGACGGTCCACCACCTCCACCACCTTTGCCACCGCCAAACGCAAGCTCAGGTGGCCCTCCACCACCCCCACCTCTTCCTCCACCAAACGCCTCATCCGGCGGTCCGCCTCCACCCCCGCCCATGCCCCCTCGCAGCGCCGGAGGCGAACCAACAGCCGCCTCCATGCCCAAGCCGCCTGCCGCACCCGGTCGCGACGGCCTGCTCGCGGACATCCGAGGCGGTGCGGCGCTGAAGAAGGTTTCCGACAAGGAGAAGAGGGATCGCAGCGCGGCGGCTGTTCCTGGTGCTGAGCCCGTAGCGCCTCCGCCGCCTGCGAGCGGTTCCGATGCGCAGCCTGGTGGGTTGGCGGGGGCGTTGGGGGCTGCATTGGCGGCGAGGAAGAGTAAGGTTGGGCATGATAGTGGTGGGTTTTGCCTTTTTCTACTTATACCAGAGGTGTTTTATGCTAACGACGATTTGTGTAGATGACGAGAAGGACGATGATGACTGGTAGAGCAGTGCTACTATGCTACGGTCCAGGTGTTTGGCAGTTTGCGAGCGGCTTGTCACGCGCAGGTCAAGACGAGCTACATCAGGTCGTGCATGCAACACTTGCAAGATCGTGGAAGAACCAGTGGTGGTTGGGAAGATTGATAGACTTGTGAGTTGTTCTGACCTTAGCGAGCGAGCGTAGCAATGATTATGCTGTACAATATCCTCATCCATCTATGTTTCCCATAACTGCCTTCACCACCGAGGCCTTCGCCCGCTCTCTTCGGAGCCCGGAAGACCAAGCGAATGGCATTGAGTCTTCCACATTCAGGCATCGGCAACGATAGGTGGGAATGCGCTCCCTCACCGTATGCACACCACTCAATCCCGCGCCATTCCGTCCAAAGGAATTCCAGCACCCAGCCCAGCCCGCTTGTGGCGCCGTCTACTCCTCACTCTACCAACCCTCTGCCTTCCCCTCGCCTCGGTGTACCTCGAATACATACAAGTACCTACAGTACTTCCACAAAATACCAGAGTACCCAAAGCTTGAAGAGCTTAATTCCAGCGGCGCCAGGACGCGAGGCGTTCTCGGAAGCTGGGATACGCGCTTGATCTCTACGCCACCAAAAAAACCTTAACACCTTTGCACTTTTGTTCTCGTTCTCGACATTCGTTTGAGTCGAGACTTTGGGATGGCCACTCCGCAGTGGGTACGATGTGGAGTTGGGAGATAACGCACGCGGGGGTGGTCTGGGCTTGGTGTGGGGATATCATGCCTCGGTCGAAAACCGAGGGGTGGGTGTAAAGAGGAACGGAGGAGCTGGAGGATTGGGAGCGCCCGGGGATGGCCGATGTTGAAAGTCGTGAGGATGCTCTTATCTTTGCTTGGGTGTTGTGCGGTCGTTTCTGGGAGTTGGGTGTGTGCTATGGTGGTGAGGAGTAGCATGTTCTCCCACACACCTCGTCTGCTGTGGTGGAAAGAATGATAGCATCCATGATTCCAGCCCGTCACTTCCGGCCGACCCCGAGCCTACCACACCTTGCTGGCCACGCGATTGGCACGACCGCGTGCGTCAAAACCGTCGAAACCGTCCACATGGCTCGCCACGCGCATCCGTTAGATCTTCGATAGCGCGATAACCCGGATGCAACACCGTCCATCTCCTTCCCAATCCGCTCCGCATCTGCCGCTGGGGGCATCCGGGGTCAAGGTTCGCCTGCAAGCCTCGCAAGCCCTCCACATCCACAACCCGCATCTTTGCTGGAGCTTGAATTAGGCCGTGCGCTTCTTCTTGGTCGGGCTTGAATCGCGCTTAAGATTTTGTGGAAAGATGCCTCGGATGCTTGGTAGGTGGGTGGGAGGGAGGGTTATAGGTTTGTCTCGTCTCCTCGTTTGAGTGTATCGTCCTTGTGCTTCAGTGTCTTCGTTTTCTCTTGGATAGAACTCCTTGGACTTTGCGATTGGAAGGATAAGGTAGAAGGCTAGAAGAATGACGGACAGACTTGAGAGTGGGCAGAGCAGCCCCAGTACGTTGAACAATCGTGAAATACTTCGAACAAAAACTTACTTACCTGTGTGTTAGACACATCCGACGACCTCAACGACGCCAACAAGACCGGCAACGCCCACATCGAACAGATCCACACCAACGAACGGGTGCCCGGCCACACGAACTACTACGAGAAAGATGGACTCCGAACGTACGGCGACAATGCCGACCACGAGCACGAGCCCAAGATGTCCTTTGCTCGGATGATGTCCTTGGTGGCGATGGCCTTTCGTACGTCCCTCTACACCCGCAAGCAAAGCCCAGCTAACGGAGAACAACAGTCTGGACCGGCAGCCAGATCCCCGTCTACCTCTTCGGCGGTGTCCCGCCGTACATCTATCGAGACATTGGCGGTACCGATCGATGGATTTGGTTCGTGCTCGCCAACCTCCTCTCCCTCGCGGCCGTGTGTCCCTTCGTAGGCAGCATCTCCGACCTGATCGGCCGCCGCTACGTCGCCATCGCCGGCGCGGCCTTCGTCTGCCTCGGCATGATCATCTGCAGCACGGCCCACGAAATGAACATCTTCATCGGCGGCATGGTGTTCGCGGGCATCGGCGCCGGCATCAACGAACTCACCGCCTTGGCCGTTACGAGCGAGCTGGCTCCGACGGCCAAGAGGGGCAAGTACGTCGCCATCTTGATATTCACCATCTTGCCGTTCGCGCCTTCCGTCTTGTGGGGGCAGTTGATCGCCTACTATTCCACGTGGAGATGGATCGGATGCCTGTGCGGGATCTGGAACGCCATCGGGCTGGTGATGACTGCTGTGTTTTACTTCCCACCGCCGCGAGTCAACAGCACGGGCATGTCGACGAAGGAGATCCTGGGTCAGATTGACTATGTCGGCGGCATCTTGAGTGTTTGCGGCATGATTCTGTTCATGGCGGTGAGTTCAAGTCCTTCCGAAATGAGGTGTTCTTGGATTGGCCGCTGACAGTCCGTAGGGCATGCAATGGGGTGGTTACCAGTACAGTTGGGGCAGCGCGCATGTCCTGGCTCCCCTGATCTTGGGCGCGGCCATGCTGGTTGCTTTCGTTCTCTGGGAGGCCTACGGTGCGAAGGTCAGTCATCCTCGTCAACCCCACAGCATTCTTGCCAGCTGACATGGAATCACAGCACCCAATGTTCCCCCGACGTCTCCAGCAAGACCCTCGCGTCCTCGGCCTCACTCTCATCATCACCTTCATCAGCGGAGCCAAGTAAGTCCAACAGCCTTTACCTCCACGACGCACGAGCATCACTAACGTCCATGCCCAGCTTCTTCTCCATCATCATGTTCTGGCCCACCCAAGCCTTCAACGTCTACGGCCACGACCCCATCGGCGTCGGCGTGCGCGGCATTCCCGTCGGCTTCTCCATCCTCGCCGGCGCCTGCATCGTTCTCTGGCTCCTCTCCGTCTTCCGCGGGCACAACAAGGAACTCATGATCGTGTCCTCGGTGATGATGACGGCCGGTTGCGGCGCGCTGGCCTGCGCCGAGCGCACGAATCTCTACCAGCTCTGGGGTCTGCTCATCCTCGCCGGTCTGGGGATCGGGGGGATCGTGGTGCCGGCTTCTATTATCAGTGAGTCCCATTTTTCCGGGATGTAGTCTTCCATCATACTGACCACGTTCGGCACCCAGCAACCATCATCTGCCCCGACGACCTAATCGCCACCATCGCCGCCCTCACCCTCGCCATCCGCGTCATCGGCGGCTCCATCGGCTACTGCGTCTACTACAACGTCTTCATCTCGTGCGCCTTTCCCTTCTCCCCTTCCCCGCCACCTCACTAACACCTTACCTACCCCAGCAAATTCGTCCCCAAAGCCACCGAAATGATCGGCGGCCTCCTGGTCACCCAATACAACATCACCGACCCCTCGATAATCGAAGAAGTCATCGTCCTGACCGGCGCCTCGCTCATCGACGAAATCGCCGCCGTCCCTGGGATCCAGGGCACACCCGGCGCGTGGGAGGCGGTGGTGTATGCCGGGCAGCTGGCGTACGCGGCGAGTTACAAGTATGTGTATTTGGTGAGCATTGCGTTTGGGGGCGTGAGTATTGTTGCCGCGTGCTTTTTGGGGGATATTAGTAAGTATATGGATGATCATATTGCTGTTGTGATGTGAGGGGATAGTCTGAGGGCTATGGGGGGTTGGTGATAGAGGTGGGCTTAGATAGGAGGGCGCATGTTGTACAGTCCGATCCGGGCAGTTGATAGACTGTGTATGCTTTTGCAGACACCAGCAAAACGTATGCTTTGCCGTGCTTGTACTGTGAGAACGTGTCCGGCCTTCAAAATTATATGAGCAAGTGACTGCCGAGGCTGCAGAGCCCGAAGGATCGCAAAAGGCGCCAAGAGTGAGCATATCAGTAATCTTGAGCCGACGACCTCGTCTACTGGGAGCAACGGGGCCAAGAAGACGTTCGTGGGGTGGCAGCGAAGGCAAAGCTTAGGTTGTCTGGTTGCGGGAGGCTGTACTGTATCGAACGCGAAGGTGTCTGGAGAACACTGAAGTGTCAGTCAGCATCTTCGGCACGTGACGACGAACCTTTGCTTAACGGAGCGCGCAATCTTCACAAGTTGAATGAAATGACAGCGACATTTCTCCTGTATATTACACGCAGCTATCGATAGCCAAAAAAGCTGTGTTGAGAGCTAGAGTCAAGTTTGCCACGCCACTCCGTGCCCCATTATCAGCAGTGAAGCTCCCGATCTGTAAACAGCAGCGCTTGTAAAGAGATGTAAAGCGAAGACGACGGGAAAAGCAAAAAACAGTCGTCGCACATCAGTTCATCCTCCGCAGGGTAATCCGCCCATCCAGCCATCCACCCTCGCTAGCAGCAGCAGCACCAGCGCCAAACGCCGTGCATAATGTGACCATGTGATTGTGAAGCTACTCTTGACCGCCGGTTGCTCCCAATCAGCTTTTGATGTTCAGTTGATCTCCTCCGTCTTGTGCAGACCGTCCGATGGGGAAACGTAACCGTGCGCAGACAGCTCCTAGCGCTGCTGGTGCATACCCCCCGAAGGTGCCATGCCGGGGTACGCGCCCTGCTGCTGTTGCTGCAGATACGCTTGGTACTGCATTGCCTGCTGATCGTGCGCACTCATGTAGGGTTGTGGGTTGGAGTTGCGGGGCATGTTGGCCTGCGGCATGCCCTGCGGCATGGGCGGCGCGGAAGCATGTGACTCCTCTGGCGACTCGACAGCAGACTCTCCATCGACGCCGTTCGCATCGGCAGGCTCGGGTGCGTTGAGGCAGGCCTGTGAGATTGTTAGTACTTATCGAACACGTGTTGGGGAGGTAGACTTACCTGGATGAGGTTCTTGCCTTCCGGCTTGGTGACGAGCGGCTGGAGCTTCGGGGTAGTGAAGGTGTAGACGAGACCCGTCTCAGACACAACGAGCAGCAGCACTTGAGTGCCGGTCAGGACGGACAGTTCGTAGGCCTGTTGATACGGTCAGTTGTTGAGTCAGACGCGTCGTGGACGTCCGGCGCGTACCTTCTTCATGATGCCTGCCTTGCGCTTGGAGAAGGTGATGTGACGACGCGACTTATCCTGGATGAACTTGATCTCGATCTTGCGCCTCTCGCGACCGGGCTTGTCCTCGTCGTCATCGTCGTCGTCGGCAGCGTTGCTGGTGCGCGCGCGCTTGGTGCCACGGGGCTCGGCGGCGCCGTTGCCGTTCTCGAGCTCATTGTGCTCGTCGTCGTGGGCGTTGGGATCGTGAGAGACGATTTCGGCCGACATGGTGAGGGTTGTCGCAAGGCGATTTGTCGCTATGCTCCTTTGGGGGGGTGTGGGGATGGACTGCCTGTTTGGAGCTGGGGAGTACAGAATGCAGATGAAGCGGCGCTCGGCAGAGGCTGGGCGGGCGGGCTACCTACTCGAGACGAGTGTTAGAAGTGATTTCAGGCAAGTAGCCGAGCAGTGTGAGCGATGCCTGTCAGTGCAGAGATGGATTGGGTAAAGAGGGGCGAGCGAGATGGTTGAAAGAGGACGCGCTCCGAAGAAGGCGGCGACACTGCTGGTGGAAGGCGCAGGCGCAGGCCAAAAATGCGACCGCGGGGAGGTGCGGCGGCGGCGGCGGGACAGCAGCAGCGGCAAAGTTGAAACGGCGACACAGAGCTGGGCGAGTGGAGAGGGAGAAGAGCCCGGGGACACGAACCTGACTGGCTGTGGGCACTGAGGCGAATTGTCAGCGAGCGCTCAACGAGGTTTAGAGAGCAGCAGAAGGAGTAAGGTGGAAAGCAGATTCGGGAAGGGTGCGACTGCCATAAGAGCTGCCTTTTCCACGCCGCACCTCCACTTTCAGCTGCGCGGGCCGGCCTTCACTAGGCCCATGCAACCCGCTCACTCAGCGCGAGTGAGTGGCGAGCGGAGGTGAGCGTGGTGAAGCGCGCCCGGAATCTGCTGGCGACCTTCCATCGCGGCGGCAGTGGAAAGTTATCGACCTTCACCCAGAAATGCCGCCGCGCAAAGAAAGAGGTGCATGTGAAGAGCTAGGGAAGGTCGTGCTTACCCTATGGTCTGATTCTGGTTACTTTCTTGCCTTGTTGGTGTGCGTGTGAAGGAAAAGGGCAAGCGCGACACGGAAGAATCGCTTCATGGGGCAGCTGCAGGGCGAGTTGCGCTAGTCCTTAGCGTCCACGTCACGTGACGAGCTTCCGTGTCGGTCTGGAAATTGTCTCGAAGGATGCACTTCTACTTTGATGACTGGCTCATCTCATCCACCTCCATCCTCATGCAACACTATTACACCGCGTACCTACTCTTCAAACGAATAGGTCTCTTGCTTCGCGGTCCCTTCGCGGCTCGACGAGAAGCTCCTCGCCACGAACAGGGCACGGATGATTCGCTCCCCGAGCTTCTCTGGCCGCCGCGCGACCTGAAACCTCAAAGGTTTGGCCCACGAGAAGCGATCTCAACCCTCGCCGGGACTATAGGACCATGCTCGATGGTGCCATCGTAAACGCCGCGTACTGTTCTCGTACCCGACGTCACGTATAGAAGCAGGCGTCAGGTATAGACAGGTTTACTCCCGTCTCAGAGTCTTCAAGTTCTTCAGCATTTCCGTCTTCTCCTTCTCCTTCACAGTCCGATTAATAATACAGCGTAATGGCCGACTTCAGCACCATCCTCTCCTTCCTCGAGACATCGACATTCTTCCAGATCGAACTTGTCGGACTGCTGGCCAGTCTCGTTCTGTCTCTCTCCCTCAGTCAATCTCTGCCCTACTTTGCGGTATCCGCCGTCTGCCTCTTCACTTCGCTCGCCACGCTCTTCTGCGAGCTCATCTACGGCTCCATCGCCAGCACCTCCTGCTTCGAAGTGACGACAATACTTTCACTCGTCATCCTACTTCCGGCATCTTTCGCCTACGCAATCGCCTTCCAGACAAAACCGGCGATCCTACGATGCCACGCTGCGATGACGCTCGCCGCTGCGGGACTGTTGGCGCTGAAGGCTTTCGATATTCTGCAGGATACTGCTCGGCCGGTAGATCTGACCGTGAGCTGCACTGGACATGGAAGGGACTGTACTCAGGCTGATCGTGTGAGCCAGGTCGATCAATGTACCCTAGTTGCGGTGGGATTCGCGGCTATGCATCTGCTTGCGGCGCTTTTGCAGCTGTACGATTGCAGCCATGCGGCACCACCGCCACCACCGCTGGGACGGTGTTATGACGAGAAGGTTGCGGCGATTGTGTGAAGAATGAGCTCATGCGAATGCTTGCACAAGGCTCGAATCAAGCACTCCACGCCCGTCTCTGTGCCGGCCACAACAAATTGATGGGGAATTGTGAAGCGCACTTTTGATCACTCGAACGAACAGAAGAAGATCGATGGTACCACAAGCTGGCCGCTCCTTGAGCGACATCCGAGGCGCGACCGCGAGTACTGGAAATCGTACCTGGTCCCGGTCATTCACAGCAAGACTTCATCATGCTGAGTACGGCAAGTATCGCGAGACCGGCTCACGCCTCCACCTCACGCCACAATACCTGGACAACGAGGTGGTTACTTGGCCCCGCCGCCGCTACTAGGAGCACACGAGCCATCTGGCCGCAGTACATCAGGAGCGCTGCCTCGACAGAAGGGAGGGTGCCACTGCCTCCGCAGGCCAGTCTACGACAAGATGGAGGTCTCGCAAGACATCTATGCACAGCGAATCTTTTCACCTGTGGATTCATGGAGAAGTCCAATGAAGACAGAGGACGGCCGGGTTTATAAGAGCAGCTGATAAAGGGTAGATGTGACCATCCGGCTGCAGGACATACAGTTATGGATAGCGTTTACGACGATCATGTTTAACGATGATTTTAATGTATCCTCAACTAAAAGTAGCCACAAACACAAACGCTTCTTCAACGTTGAAAAGAAGGTCATGTATCAAGTAGCTGCAATCCTCGCCAAGAGTTACCTCGTCTACAGCTCGACTTCAGCGAGCCGCATTGATCCGCCGTCACCACTATGTCAACCCAACCCAATGCCTGCAACAGCTCCACTGTCAATGCGCGTGGGCCGTCTTCGTAAGTCCAGCTCCAGCATTCTACCTATACTACCGTAAGCCTGTTGCACATCTGTCCAACATCCCTTCGCAACTCTCCACTCCCTGCCCATCTTCGCGTCCACCATGGCTCAAGCCTCCGCCCTCCTACGCTCTCGTGTCCGCCGTCCATCCTACCTCTCCAAAGTAGCAACGGCCGAAGACCTCATCCCTCTCTTCCCGCACAATGCATATGTAGGTCCAAAAGACATTCCCTACCCCGGAGACAGCGGGTCATTGCAAGAGAAGGCTCGCAGGACACTCTCAGAATACACACTAACCATCCCCTCCTCCCCCCAACAGGTCGGCTGGTCCGGCTTCACCGGCGTCGGCTACCCCAAAAAGATCCCCACCGCCCTCGCCGACTACGTTGAAGCGAACAACCTGCAGGGCAAGCAGAAATACAACCTCTTCGTCGGAGCCTCCAGCGGAGCGGAGACGGAGAATCGATGGGCGAAGCTGGATATGATTGAGCGCCGGAGCCCGCATCAGGTGGGCAAGGAGATTGCGAGGGGGATTAATGAGGGGAGGATTAATTTCTTTGATAAGCATTTGAGTAAGTTGAGAATATGGAGGAGGGTTTTGTGGGGATAAGGTGGAGTTGCGTTGGGGAGCTTTGTGGTGTTTTGAGCGCCGTGAGCAGCTCGAGACCACTCGTGTACTGGTGGATGAGATGGGTTATAGATACCGGATCACGAGCCACGTGGGTGGACTTCGAGAACCTTGCTAACGCTGTTAATCACCTTAGGCATGTTCCCTGTCGATCTGATGTACGGATATTACACCAAGCACAAGGAGAACAACAAACTGGACGTTGCGATCGTCGAGGCGACGGCGATCACAGAGGATGGAGGAATCATCCCTGGTGCGAGTGTTGGAGCCAGCCCTGAAATCATCCAGATGGCAGATAAGATCATTATTGAGGTCAACACTGCCACGCCATCTTTTGAAGGACTGCACGACATCACGATGACGGATCTGCCGCCTCGACGGAAGCCGTATCTCATCATGGCGCCGGAGGACCGCATCGGCACACCACACATCCCCGTCGATCCGGAGAAGGTGGTCGCGATTGTCGAATCCGACTACCCGGACCAGACGCAACCCAATGCACCTGAAGACGAGTCTTCCCGTGCAATCGCTGGACATCTCATCGAGTTCCTCAAGCATGAAGTCACCCAGGGTCGTCTTCCACCTAACCTCCTTCCCATCCAGTCCGGAATCGGCAACATAGCCAATGCAGTGATAGGCGGTCTGTCCGGTGGACATGCGAATTTCAAGAACCTGAAGGTCTGGACGGAAGTGCTCCAGGACGCCTTCATCGATCTGCTCGATAGTGGGAACCTCGACTTCGCCACGGCCACCTCCATCCGCTTCAGTCCGGACGGCTTCCATCGTTTCTACGACCGCTGGGATCAGTACACCCCCAAGCTCCTGTTGCGGAGCCAGCAGGTCTCGAACAACCCCGAAATCATCCGTCGGCTTGGCGTCATCGGCATGAACACCCCCGTCGAAGTAGACATCTACGCCCACGCCAACTCGACCTGCGTCTTCGGCAGCCGCATGCTGAACGGCCTCGGAGGCAGCGCGGACTTCCTGCGCAGCAGCAAATACAGCATCATGCACACCCCATCCACGCGGCCGTCGAAGACGGATCCCACGGGCGTGAGCTGCATCGTGCCCATGTGCACGCACGTGGACCAGACGGAGCATGACCTCGACGTTATCGTGACCGAGCAGGGTCTGGCGGACGTGAGGGGCATGAGTCCGAAGGAGAGGGCGCGGGAGATTATTAAGCAGTGGTAGGTGTTCTCGTCGGTGTTGGTGGTGGGAAGCTTGCTTACTGATGGATTTTGACAGCGCACACCCGGACTACAAGCCCATCCTGCAAGACTACTTCGACACGGCCGAGCAGGTATGTCTGAAGAAGGGCTGGGGGCATGAGCCGCATCTGCTCTGGAATGCTTTCGATATGCATAAGAATTTGAACGATCATGGGACTATGAAGTTGGATAAATGGTCTTAAGGATACCACCGCTTCCGGGAAAACCATGGTTCATACAGAGTACCCAAGAATAAAAGTAAAAGGCCTCACTCACGCCCCCACCGCACTTACCACCACCGCCAGCTCATATCATCAAAGGGCATCGCCAAGCAGGGGAGGAAGGCAAAGAAAAGCCATGATAACGGGCTCACTCCATTCGAGCTTGCTTCATCTGCAAGGATCGAAGTACATGTTTCTCGAAATCAGTGAATGACTCCACAACCACCTGTGGAAGAAGATGGATCATTGCGAATCAACTTACTATGCCGACCACTTCATAAATGAAAGGGCTGGTTGGAATCTCTAGGATTCGCGGGTCAGGAAGAAGCTTCGCTGGCGACTGGGAATCAATCACTTGTGCGGCGTTTTTTGCTTGGTTGGTAGGGTGGGGGGACTTTGGTCTTTCATACACTTTATGCTTGGTGGTGCCAGGGTTTGGCTGGGCTGAAGGGGGTGAGGCGAGGTCGTGTGGTGTCAGGGCGATGGGCTTTTGGGAGGTTCCAATGGAGTATGTGGGAACGGGATGAGTATCGGAATATTGGGGTTTGGAGCCTTCCCTGCGTGGGACTTGCGGTTGCAATACAACTGGTATCATGCGATTCAATGTCTCAACCATTCTACCGCTCAGCGGAATAGTCGTTTGCGGGCTACAGAAATCACAATACCACCGCGCAGGTACCACATAGTGACCGCAACTGCTCCGTAACACTTCTCTTGACGCTTCACATGCGGTGTACACCCCGTCCAACCACGTCCTGTACCGGTCCAACGTACTGGAACCTAGCCTTCAGAACAAAATAGACCAAAGCAATAATCAGCACCCCAGCATAAATAACGCTGGCCCAATTGAAGTCGGGTGCCGTGACCGGCAAACCCGCGGGCCAGAAACACCAGAAGCAGGACCACGTGCACCAGACAATGGCCCAGACGTTGCAGAAGACACCCCATTTACCCAGGGAGAAAGAAGCCGGAGGCAGGGTTTCCGGGTGGTAGATCCGGCGGTATAGCACGCAGCCGGTGGATAAGTCGTAGCATGAGAGGAGGGCGACTGTGAGTAGCGAGTTGATGGCCCAGAACGCCGTGGGACCTGTAGGGAGGGCGTTAGTAAGGGTTCGTTCGCCAGCGTCTCGCAGATCAATTCTACTCACTCCCGATATAAATCAGCGATAGAAGGATAGCGAAGACGCTCGATGCCAGGCTGGCGTTTTGGGGGATTTTTCGCTTCCAGTGGACTTTGCTCAGCCAGGTCCAGAAGGGTACGCCCTTGTCGCGTGAAAAGGCGAATAGATCTCGACTCGTGGCGGTGAGGTACCTGGTACAGGAAGGGTCAGCAATTATTCCGCTTTTACGTGTATGTATTCAGGGGGCAGCACGGGCAAAAGGAATGTGCGATTGCACGGATGGATGCGTGTTGACTTACATGATGTTCGAGGCGAAAGTGAGCAAGATGATTATCACCAGAAGCACAGCCACCCAGCCTTTCGACATGGACTGCTTCATCACATAGATGGTCTCATAACCGGAAGGCTCGTTGAGCGCGGCTTGCGGGTGGGGCAGATGGTAACAAATGGTGAGGAAGGCGATGAACATGAGGACAAAGTTCATGCCGTACACGGTCAGCATCGCGCGTGGCACCGTTCTTGGAGCATCGCGGACCTCCTCGGACATGTGCGCGACCTGCATCATCATCAGCCACGATCAGGAAGGTGTCGCAGGACGGGAGTCACTCACCGTGTCGATTCCCACCTGTTGACTGATAGGGGTGAGTTGCCCTACAAGGACTGCGAGAGGCACGGTAGACCAGCCACCTGAGTTGACAAAGTCAAGCCAGACCTGTTGGTTTGTGGCGGTCTCAGCATACACCCATATCGGGATGATGAGGCCAAAGAAGGCGAAGACATGGACGACGAGAAGGACGTTCTGCAAGTAAGGGAGCAGCTTTGCGCCTGCAGCAGAAGGCTTAGTACATTTATTGACATCGTGATGTTGAGCTTACAGTAGACGGATCCGCTGTAGGCGAGAATCATTGCTGCAGCAGCCATCAGAGCACAATGCCATGCTGGGAACGCGTAGGTTTCTTGGAAGACGGAGATCAATGTTTGGACTAGGCCTCCGACAAGGAACACGCCGACTGTGTTACCCGACTGCCATGCTAAGGTCGACGTCCAGCTGCGATGATGAATCAATAAACGTCACTTGTGTTGAGTATCACTGGCCTACCCAGTCAAGTAACTCAGAAACCGCTGCCACTTCTCCGGAGCAAACCTGTGGCCTGTCAATACGGAATATAACTCCGTCTGCTTGTGTGCACTTGCTCTGAGACCCAATGGTATTGTGCCCCAGCGATCGGAGCCATCGATGCCATCTCCGCCTGACTGAGCCATAACGGACCCGCGCAGATAAAGTTCCAGAGTGTACCCCAGAGGAGGCCGGGCGAGCCCCCATCCATGAGCGATTGTCCGATGGTGAACAAGCCGATCTCCCACGTGGCCATTGCAATGCAAGCGAACGAGGCTATGGAGAGATATCGGTATTCCCTCATAAGTTGCTGATCCTTGCCCATCCTTTGCATGGCAAGGACATCGGAAGACGCCGATTTGTTGCCGCCATCTTCGTTGGCGTTGGGCCAGGAACTTGCAGGCAGGTCCTCGGCGACGGTGACAGATCCCTCTTTGTGCAGAGATGCGTTGTGGGCGTGTCGTTCTTGCAGCTCGATGCCACCCGGTCCAGCTATTTCAGCGTCGCCATGCCGATACATGGAAGACATTGGAATGGAATCCGGAATCAGAGGAATAGTAAAAGACGAACGACAGACAGCGGACGCACAGCTCGTTGTGGACGGTGAAAGGAAGGGCTATGGGACAGAAGAAAGAGATCATCCAGGTACCTCGAAGATGGGGGGTATGCGCGCATGCAGAACGGCAGCATACAGCGGGACGACCTTGCCTCGCTTGCTACGCGCACTCACCCATATCGCCAATGTGGTGGCCAGAACGGCTTTAGATCTGTCCGAGAGGATCTGCTTCGAACAGATAGGTCTAAGCTAAGCATGCCGGAACACAAGCCCCCATGTCCCGGAGTCGAAGCTTGCGGCAGGACAGCGCTGCCCCGCAACCTTCCTGGGTGCCGATTAGCCAGACGAGCAGCTAATGTCGAAGCCGTTGATTAGGGGGGCGCGCCCCGGCCCGTCCTATGTGCTTCAGCATTCGTCTATATGCCGTGCCGCCTCTGCGAAGCATCCGGCAACCGCACTCTCACCATGGAGTCTGGACTGTTTCTTGACAGGCCTGTTCAGCCTGAAAACACGTTTACTCCAATACGTCGGGGTCTTCCACGCTATCAGACCAGCGTATCAAGTCCACGTCGAGGCAAGTTCATTGTGACACTGGAGCACTCTAAGAATGCGTTTGTGGACGATAGTGGATAAATGGAAGAACAGACGAAGCTCGCCAAGCTTCGAACAACCTCGAGCTTGAGACCTATCCAACCTGATCAGCTGTCACGACCACCTTGATACGCGGCACGTCTTAAGATGATTGATGGTGTGATAGCGCTAGCTGGATTGAACCTCATGTTCATCCTGATAGCGCACGCGAACTGGGGTGGTATGTCCTTGGGTTGGACTAGTCCCATCATCATGGGTTGGAAACGCCATTGAGGCGGCCGGACCAGGAGGCAATCTGCTTCAGATGCCGCGTCTGCCCTGCAGTAGTGAGGAACGAGCCTGAACACCTTCCGCAGACCTAGTCTGGGACATAGGGACGAGATGAGCGCTCTATAGAGAGGACGGCGCCTACAGCCTTCTTGTTGTATAGGCCTACTGGACGGCAACATGCCTTCCACGGCAGCGACCGGCAACACTGCTCCAGCATTGGCAACGTTGATGATCCTGGGGGCCATGCTGTCGACTTCAACGTGTGCAGTACGAATTGGAATCAAGCTGAAGTTGTCACGATGGTGAGCAGCCGACTACTCGATCACCATGAATCCACTGTACTCAGAAAGCATCTAGGGGTATCGACGATGTCTTGGTCTTGTCATCTCTGGTACCGAGCATCTGATGGCAGCAATGAGCTTCACTGGGGCTGATGAACTACTAGTGCATGCTGCTCGTTCGATTGGTCACCGAAGCAGTCGCAATCCATCACGGCCTTGGAAATCCATGGTCGACGCTCGCAACCGCCGACGTCGACGCCGTTGACGAGGTGAAGATGAAGGGCAGAGGGATTTGAGCGCATTTGCTAACGTATTCCAGTTGACCTATGCCGCTCAAATCCTCTACATCTTGTCCGTAGGGGCTGCGAGGAGCTCGACCAGTGTATGGGCTACGCTCAATCTATCGACGACTGAAGGTCGCACCGTCCGCACTCAGGCTGTCACCATCGCGCACACCGTCTGGACCGTCGCATCTGTGTTGGCTGTTAGCATACGCCGACCATTCGCCGAACCGTGGAGCACGCGCGAAGGGACAAAGGACATGGTACAGCTCAGCACCCCCTTCCACATACAGTTCAACTGGCTGACTACCATTAGTTCGCTGGCTAGCCATTGAAGTCGTGGGCCTCGCAATTGAGATTTGGGCCGTGGTCTTCTCCATGAACACCGCGCGCAAGCTCGCGATCGTCCAACAAGGGACCAAGAAGCGCGTCATACTCTATGCGTTCTTCGGCTGCCGCCTCATGTATGCAACCCTCTCCACAACCCATCGTCGTCCACGGCAAAGCTGACGAGTGAGCAGCGTCATCCCTCTCGTCGCCCTTCGCTTATGGCGGCTATCCCCTTCGGCCAGCTCAGAGCAGACCCCCTCCCTATCAGCCTACGAATGGACGGACGTCGTCATCAACGCCAGCCTCGTCGTCTCCTGCATATCCTGCGTGAGCCCGAAGGGGTTCCTGCGACCTTTCCACCCCGGCCAGGGTCGCAGCACCGCCGCATCGTCGACGATGGGTGGGTCAGCCGCGAGGAAGGAATATCAATATCCGGGTCCATACGCCGAGCTGCGAGACCTGAATTTGAGCGCCAACATGTCGAATCGGGGCAAGGACGGGAGCGGGAGCAAGACGGTGGTCACGTCGCGCCGGGTTCCAGATGACGGGGAAGATGCGACTGTGTCGCTGGCAACGGCTGCTCAGCCATATCCGAGGTCGAAAGGTGGCATTGCGAGGACACAGGACTGGACTGTTGTGCATGAAGAGGATGTACTATGACTTAGTATCCTGCTCGCGCAAGCAAAATAAGGCCAAGTTTCCTACTAAAGCGGTTGCTCAATTGGAATGCCGAAAAGCGTGTTCATTTTCTCGCATCACACAGATCTGGTGGTCCAACACATAAGAGCTACCTGTACAACTCCTGCTCCACCGAACAGAGCGGAGGCTACGCTGCTTGCTGCGCTACAATAATCGTAAACCGCTGTGACAAACGCTCCAAAATGTCAAAGCAGGATCATGAGCGATGGGCTGGTCAACGGCGATGCCGTTCCCGACGCAGCTATCGTGACTCGTTCTCCCGAGTTCTTTAGGACATGTATCAAGCCTGCTTATTGGTGCCAGGTTTTGGCCGGGCTGAGGAGAGGATGAAGAGAGGTCCTGGGCATGGCGTCAAGTGGATGTTGCATGGGCGAGGTTTCAAATGACGACGTGGGAACGACGTGGGTATCGGGATATAGGGGGCGGTAGGCTCGTGGTTGCACGTTATGATTGGTATCATGCTATTCAATGCCTCATCCACTCACCATCCATCAACAACGAACGCCATGCTGCATGATCACATTACGGAAGACGGTTTTGATAGACGCCATTCACTCCAGCCCGGAACGAAAGAGCCTTGACACCCCTCGCCAACCATTACACCCAAGCAGCTCACATTGCATACCCCTAGTACGCCCTCTGCTGCTGCTGCTGCCCAACCATACCCTGCGGTGCCGGCTGCGCTGCCGCATAGCCACCCGGCCCATGCTGCTGCTGCGCTTGCCTCGCATTTATGTCCGCGAACCAGGGATGTGCGAGTGCCTGCTGCGCGGAACAGCGCATCTCCGGCCTCAACTGCAGCATTTGACCCAACAGCTGCACGCCCGTCGGCTCCACCTGTGGCAAAATCGCACGGAGCTCCTGGGTCGAGTAGACGGGCCAGTTGGTCTTGTACTCGGGGAAAGAAGAGATGCCTGGCCAGGAGCGCTCGGAGGGCGTGCCCATCAGGCGGAAGATCTTGAGAAGCTGATCCTCGTTCGTCGTACCTGGGAATAAGGGTCGACCGGTGAACATCTCAGCCATGATGCAGCCAGCGGACCAGATGTCGATGCTGGTATTGTAAGTTCGACTTCCAAGGAGGACGTCCGGCGCGCGGTACCAGAGGGTCACGACTTCGTTGCTGAAGGTGTTGACAGGAATGCCGAAAGCGCGGGCGAGACCGAAATCAGCAAGCTTGAGCTGGCCTTGGTTGTTGATGAGAAGGTTTTGGGGTTTGAGGTCGCGATGCAGGACGCGGTTCTCGTGGCAGAACGCAATCCCTCGTAGGAGCTGCCACATGAACGACTTGATAATCCCAGCGTCCAGCGCGCCTCGCGCGGACTGCCCAGATGTGGTGGATGGAGAAGTGTAAGAGTCCATGTACTTTTTCAAATCCTTGTCCATGTACTCAAACACCAGCATGAGCTTGTTCTCCGTGTGGATGACATCGTACAAGCTGACAATATTCTCGTGCTTCAACTCCTTCATCAGACTGATTTCCCGGATCGCCGTGCTAGGCGTCCCTTCCTCCGAGTCTAGGTGAATCTCCTTCAGAGCCACAAACTGCCCGGTCTGCCCATTACGGCCCTTGAACACGGTCGCGTATGTCCCTTCGCCCAGCTTCTCCAGCTGCTGGAAGCTGGACGGGTGCCGCTTGTCCATGGTGGCGATCTTGCTGCCGCCGCCCAAGCTGCGCACGGAGATGTTGCTGTCGGTCCTTCCGCCAACGCTGAGGGTGCCGACGTGCGTGGGGTGGAGGCGGATGTCAGGTGGGTTGCGGGTGGTGTATTCGGGGTCCCAGAGGATGGCGCGGGCGGTGGTGAGTTGCGAAGCGACTGTGAGTGGGTTCTCCGCGCGGTTTAGTGATGTTGCGGAGTGTGATGTCGGCGGGTTGGCGGTGTTGTTGGAAGGGTGGTGGGAGGCCGTTGTGAGGGTTGCCTCCGTGGAGGAGGGGGAGGTAGAGGATAGAAGTGCTTTGTTTCTGCTTCAAGTGAGGTCGCGGTGTTTCTGGTATAATTTATCGCATGAGTCGACGGTCTCGAAGTTGCTGATCATGCGGTGTCTATTGGCCGCCTGTCGCTCGCGTGCAGAAGGTGGGGTGGTGGTGGCGGCGGCTACCAGCCGCGCGGAAAGCTTGTGCTCGCGTTTGGGGACCGCATCATTGACCACACCTCATCTCCATCAGTCCAACCACATTCACGGGAGCACATCACGAACTTCGGTACTCCGATCTATCTTGGGAAGGTACCAGCAAACACGCGAGATATCTGCCAACGGATCGACGAGCGTCCGGCGCCATTATGAAGACGGTGACTTGGGTCAAGATGTTGGCGGCGTACGGCGGCTATCTCTATCCACCTTGTCCCCTTCGCTAACGGGATGACAGTGGCGGCGTGATGTGCATTGGGGGACCAGCATTGATCTACTACGTGACGCCTTCCGAAGAAGAGCTCTTTCTGGTATGCTCCCCTACCCACTGTGGCCAAACCGTCGAATGGTCAGTCCAAAGCAAAGCTAACGCGTTTCTTCAGCGATATAACCCCGAGCTCCAACGACGCTCGTTACAGAACCGACAACAGAAGCAAGAAGACTTTGACAACTTCGTGGGTCGATTGAAGAATTACTCGAAGAGCGACAAGCCAAGTATGTGTCTCCCACCAAACCAGGTCTGTGCTGGTAACTGACATTCGCACAGTCTGGATTGAAGAACAAGTCCAAGCAGCGAAGCAGAAAGAAGCGAGCGTGCGAGCAGAACTCGACAGAAGGAGAACTGCCGAGGCGGAAGCGGAGGCAAGACGGCAGGAAATCAAGAACAGTCTCCGCTAAATGGCCCGTTGTGATTAAGTATGTATTAACAGACCCCATGGTAAATCCCTCTCATTCCGATATCCATTGCTTGCAGTGTCATTCTGCTACCAATCTTCGAAGCCAAGTTCGCCGCAGTTTGCCCGATGTTCCCGCCTCGCACGACCATGGCTGGCACTTGAACTGCTCGAGAGTTTTCACAGCTATCGGTGCATCTCAGCTTGTCCGATCTTTTTCATCTCCGCCGCACCATCAAGCCCTCAATGAACCCGCTCTCGCACAACCGCCGCATGTCTTCAGACCCTCGCCCTCTTTGCCGCATCCTCACCAACGAACTCCTCAGCCTTCCTTTTCGTCCCGTAACCCTCGCCATCAGCCTTCTCGGTGGCATCACCTTGCGGCACGATCAATACAATCTCCATCATGTCGTTGAAACCCCAGTAGGGCTTCGTGGCAAGGTGCGGATTCTCCTGCAACATGAGGGCGACGGAAAAGGTGGTGACGGGGACTTCCTTCTCGACAGTCTTCGCCGGTGTCTTCGGCATCGGTACGGTTTCCTGCTTCTCCTCAACTTCCTGCTTCACCGGCATCACCTCCTCATCATCCCCATCTTCCTCGTACTCCTCCTCGCTCTCCTCCCCCTCGGTAGACGGGTCTTCATACGACGTCGGCCCTCCCGTCTGTCGAGCTCCCTTGCCTCTCTTCGCCCCTGGTCCCGTCCAGTCGATGTAGTCCGCAAAATGTCCCAGCAGCCACGCCCGCTCGGTAACATCGTCGTGCAGGTCCGGAAACCTGAACCCTGTGGTCCGCATTCCGACATCTCCGTTACGCTTCTTGATCAGATTGGTGCGCTTGGCGCTGATGGCTTTCTTGCGGTCGGATGTGCTCTTTGCTGCCCATTTGAGTTGGTCGCGAGTGATGAAGTCGCGGACGTGCTGGAAATAGTAGGCACGGTCGGATGCCCGTTGCTGTTGGAACTCGCGCTCGAGGGCCGTCTGTTCGGTCATGTTGCTGTCGACCATTGGTGTTCTCTCTGTTGGATGTGGTGAGGCTGAAGTCGGGCAGGCCGCTGACATCGGAGTGCGCAGCTCTCCTGCTACCGATGACGGCGTCTTTGTTGCTTCGAGGGCAGTCATGATGTCTCGTCGCGCAGCTGCTCGACTTCTGCGTTTTTTGTGTTTGAAATTGAACAGTGAGAGCGCAGACCTTCTTTTCTGTTGAGAGATGGTGAAGACTTGCAGAGAGAAGGTTGGTGAAGGAAGAAGTGTTGGTGGAGAGCGATGGACTCAGTAGATTGAAGTAAAGAGGTGCAGTCAGCAGAAAGACTCGAGCCACGTGAGGCGGAAGGTGAGAGCACCTGATCTTTGAAGTCAGCCTGTTGGCCTGGATTGAGTGAAGCTCTCAAAACTAGTCAAGCAACACCCTCCAAGTCGAAGCAGTGAGCTCATGATATTGCTGAGCAAAGTCAAGCAATGAAGCCCAACATCCTCACCAAGTGAAGCGCCCCCCTCATTCTTCTCCGCCCTCATCCCACACGCTCCGATCAAAGAACACCCGAATCTGCCTCGCATTCTCCTTCCCAATCAAATCCGCCAACTCCTCCTCCTCCGCGTTCGCCACATCCTGCACACTCTCGTACTCTAGAATCAACCTGCTCAGCGCCTTACCCGTCACCCCAGGCACCGCTCGCAACATATCCTGCGGCGTCTGGTTGAACGTTCTCGACTCCGGGTCATCGCCGACTTCGAGCCCGATTTGCACGGCTTTGATCGGGTCGGGCTCGTCTTGCTGCTTCTTGAGCTCTTCGAAGATCTCGGCGGTTTGGTAGGGGGAGGAGGACCAGATAATGCGGAGTTTGGGGAAGGCGAGACAGAGGAGGACGAGCTTGCTTTGTAGGTCGGAGCCGACGATGCTGGATGCGCCGAGTGAGGTGCTGAAGTCGGCGAATGGTTCGAGGGTGAAGGCTTTCTGCGCGTCGAACTCGATGAGCAGCATCGGGCTGGCGTAGTGCTGGAACATGGTTTCTGCTTGGGTATAGAGGCGGCCGTCGGAGAAGGAGGAGATGAGGTCTTTGACGGACTTGCGCTCGATGCAGATGTTGGGCGTGAGGACGTAGTCGCCTACTGTCAGCATGCAAGGTACCACAATCATGTTTCTGCCGTGGAGGAGAGAAGGTAGACTTGAACGGAACTCGCGCACGTCGACAACCACTCGAGGTGGCTCAGCAGTAGCCGCGAGTCGTCCGCCACCTGCTATGCGTGTGTTGACTGTCCGCAAGAATGCTTCTTGAGGTTCCAGGTTCGATGTGTCGTGAGTGAACGTCAGCGCCATGTTGCTGCGCTCTCTGATGAGCTTGGTGAAAGCATCTTTCTCCCTTCGCACCGCTGATAAGTACCGCTGCTCTTCAACACTTCCACCATAGTACATAAAGTACACTCTGACCTGTCGGTTGCTGTGACTGCTTCTGTACATTTCTATTCGCCGGATGAAAGCGGCGTCCGGTTCGTACATCACCACATACCGGGGCTTGATCTCTTCAAGCAAGTGATCATCCATGTCGCCATCATAAGGGTGGACCAGCACTAGGTCCTTCGTTTCGTAAAGTTCGTAATAGTCGTCCATGTCGTCAAGCGGATCTGCGCCGATGTCCATCTTCGCCGCCGAAGTCTCGTCCATGTCGTTCGGCGCAAGCTCGTGCATGAGTGCTTGTATGTGTGCGTCCTTGTCTCCTGCAACTTGGACGCTGCCACCGGCTGCGCGTGCGGGCGCGGATGCGTTGGCACCACCTCCACGCATCCTTCGCCTCTTGTTTGGCGGTGCCCGTCCTCCACGGTTTGCCTGCCCTCCTGAGTGTGAAGTGGTGCCATTGATCGCTTTTTGGTTCTCCGCAAAGAGGTTGCTGCTGACCCGTGCAAAATCGCGCTTCCAGTGTAGGTAGCCGCGTAGCTTGCGGCGCATCATGAACTTCGCGCTCTGCTTTCGCTCATCTCCCTCGTCTCCTTCCCCTTCGCCGTCCGCTCTTTCTGCCTCATCGCCAAGATACATCGTTTGCAGGTACTCACGCAATTGTCGGCAGGTGCTTTGATCGCCACACATGACCAGAATACTGCCACTGCTTTCGTGCTGCGGCAGAGGGGTGAAGTAGACATCGCGTTCGATCTCGTCTAGAATCTCAGCAAGTAAGCTCCACTTCGGTAGCTCCTCCAGCACGGGATTGAGGCCTTCTTGTTCAGGTGAGTAGCTGTCGGAGATCTTGCCAGTGTACACTCTCCGCTTTGCAGTATCGAACAGGGTATGTGCGGCATCTAAGAACAGCCATGGTGATTGAGATTGCCTCGTTGAGCCGGGTGGCGGTGACGAAGCGGCCAGTACGGTGTCCAGATACTTGTTGAATCCCACAGCATCGTACGTGAGAAGAGCATGCAGGATAGTTCTCAGCAGAGACAGATCTCGGACAATCTGCTTCGTGCGGAAGCTTGTCCGGTGCCAGACAGGATCCAGCTGCCGTCGTATGATAGTATCAAACGAGCGGTGCAAGGCACTGTCCAGATTCCAGTCGTCCACGTCGATGCCAGTATTGCCCTTCTTCAGCTCGGTAATCGAAACCTCGACACATTCGAGCACCGCATTCTGGATGTCTCGCATGGCCTCCGACATTGGTACCTCCAGCTCGATCACCTCGGCCTTGCGCTTTCCTTCGACGGATTTGGCTACGGTAACATGGAATCTTGGGTACAAGATGGGCTTTCTGAGAAACAGATTCCGAAGGATGGTGGTCAGAGGTTGGAAGCCCATCGTGAATGGCTCTGGCTGGTCGGAGAAGGCTTTGAGAAATCCCTTCTTATTCTTCTGCCTGAAGATCCGGATGATGAAGGCTTCGAGACTAGTCGCAGCAACCCTCTCAGCATGCAGCACTATCATCCCAGTGACGGTACTGGGATCCAGCAGGCCGGACAAGAAGTCCACAACCAAGATCCGACTTGTGATGCTGAATATGCCACCTCCAGAATACATCTTCTCCCTCGTGCCCACGCTCATCAGGTCCGTATTGACCAGCTGCAACCCTCTGCATTTCGGGCTCCCGCTCACGGCGGCATGCTCAGCCAGCGCCTCTCCGATCCAGCCATTCTCTCGGTCGTCCGCGCCGACCAGGAGAATGAGGTTGTTGCCCGCCGCATCGTACGAATGAAGAAGGTTCGTCACCAGTCTTAGGAGGCCGAGGCCGCGCGCGAGGATGAGTAGGCCGTCGTCATCGCGCAGTTCGTGGAAGATGTCTTTCTGGAAGTCGAGAGGCAGTGATAGTCGTACGGGAGGGTCGGCAGGGGTGTTGTCGTTGGTGATCTCTGCCGGAGGCATGTGAGCGCAGGATACGAAGTGCGCGCTGAGGTGACGCTGGTGAACTTTTGGAGTTTAGAGGCTGCATGAAATTATGCGGGGCAAAACGCGGCGATGGCGCGCGGGTCACGCGTTGAAGAGAGGTGAAATGGCAAACTGGACAAGTCAATTCTACAGATACACTGATTGGTTCTTTGGACAATACACATGTATTCGTCGTATCAACGTTGAGCTCACACGTAGACATGCCGAACTTTGATTAGAATACGCAACACACGTTTGCTTCAACTTCGATTCCGTCCTTCAGTTCCTAATGTTTGCATCGCCCATACTTTCCAGGGCAAAGGAAGGCAACCAAGAGAGGATGAATTGACTCGTAAAACAATATAGGCCACAGAAGCAAGAGGGCGCCTTTTCGTCGAAGACGTACCTTCCAGTGAAGCAGTTCTCGCTGCATACTCTACGTCCCCATTGGTCCCGTATTTGATGCTACTGTTGCCCAGACTCAAGGACCGGAGCCCTGGAACGCTATCTCCAGGCTGGAGCACCCGATATCCGCAGCGTGAACACAGCATCCGGTGACAGCCTTCCGAGCATTGTCATGTCGTGAGATCGTCGCACCGCATCCAGAGCTCCACCCCGGCGACACGCTTGGGCGGAGCCACGTGGGAGCCAGCTCCGGGTCGCATTCCATATGCTTGTGCGGATTTGGTGAACTGAACACGTGAGCTGTCAATATGCGGTACGTCTAGGACAGCCTTGTCGTGGGTTCCGAGGCTGGAGTAGGGATGTTTAGCAGAGGTCGCATTTGATGATCAGTGATATGGCTTCCAAGGCCTCGAATGGCGGAGAACGTCCCACCGAGCAGGGTCATCACAACGCGCCCAACACGTGGGTAACGTTAGCATGGCCGTGACCGGCAGACATGACTCGTCTTTACGTTCCAGCGGGTGGGATGTGTCCAGGAAGATGCTTGACGTTGAGAGTGCAGGCGACCTCCTGCAGGGCTAAGGCTGGACGAGGCTGCGGGAGATTGACAGAGGCGCGCGGGGTTCGAGACCCACGTTGCAGAGGGCCAGACCGTCTGCAGAATCTGGAGAGAAATTCGAGCTGGTTGCTTTTGTCTTGCCCAGGCATTATGCATTGAGAATGGCCGTCGCGTGAACTGAGATACTGCTGAGATTTTACGCAGAGCAGACGCGATGTCTCGTATGCATGTCCAAGGTTCTGTCAGCAAGGCTACCGCTTTAATAACAGAGCAAAGTACTCCATAGAGATTTGTTGGTAGAGGTGGGTCAAGATTCCCAGAAAGGAAAAAGCAAAACTTCTTAAACCAGGGAATCCCTCGGATCGCCTACAAGACACTGGGGCTATCGGCGACGCCGATATGCGTTGCTAGCAGCCGTTGAAGGGGGATATGTACGATCGTCCCTAGCACGTGCAAGTGGAAGCGTGAGGGCTGCGGGTGCGGCGGCGAGAACGCTCCAGAGTGGCACAGATAGAGCCAAGCCACTGCTGGAAAGCATTGCGAGGATGGACGGCCGTGGCAGATGTTGGCGCGGGAGAGGCGTAAGCAACCAGAGGCATGGACCAGGGGAAGGCGTGCGTGGAGAAAGCTTGCAAGTCGCCCCCGGCTCAGACCATTTGGCCCAAGCGATGCTCACTGGGAAGGGTTAGCTCTCGCGTATCTCAGTGGCTGATTGGATCGCTCAGAGTGAGGGTGAGCTTTGGGAAGCTAGCGATTCCTGCAATATTGGAAAGGCTCGGATGAGGGTGGAGTCAGCGTTCGGCGTGCGGGTGTGGAGCAGTTGATGGGCATCGTGGATGGGCATCCCTCACAGGAGACCTGCCAGATGGATGGAACAGATGGAATGAACAGTAGCCAGTATTCATAGTTGTCTCCATCTTGAGATCAGTTTTAGCGTTGCGCCCGCCAGCGGTTGGGACCAAGCCATCGCCGTGCATGCGGCACAGCGGCTGGGTCCGCCGATGAGAGCTCCTTTGGCGCTTGTCCACATGGGCAGCGAATCTGATGGTCCCAGACAAGCGGACAGCTGCAGCGCCACGCCGTGTCACCCTCAGAGTGGGGACGGAACATGGCCGCCAGACATGGCCTGTAGACTAGCCTGCTGACGCATGTCTCGGGGTGAGGAAGGAAGCCGAGCTACAAGCGCTGCAGAACGATCGAAAGTCTTGGTGTACCATGTGCTCCTAGCGAGCTCTCTTTCGGTAGAGACCAGGTGACGGAAACGCTTGCTTGCATAGCGTTCGACTAAACCCACGTGCGATAAGAGATCGGGGCGCGAGACAAAGGAGGCCCGGGAACCAATGAACGCACCTCGCCAATCCGGTTGGAAGATCCGAGTCGGTGGTGCCCTGCTTTCACAACGCGCGACAAGCATGACAAAACCATCCCCTGTTGGTTTATTGAATATGGCAGGTGGTTGTCTGTTGATTGCGGAGACACGGAGATCATTGGAGATCTCTCACAGGCGAGATGAAGCTCATCAGCAACCCAACAGCATTCGGGGCTCTGCGACAGATCGAGACAGCGACTGGAGATAAACACCCTCAATGCGGCTATTGCTATCCATCGTGCGATCGGGCGTGCTCGGCCGGTGTTGAGCTGGTGTAGCAGTGGTGATATCGCAGGACAAAGCGAACCCGCGATCGCCCGTTGTCTTGGGCGAGGAGCGACTGCCTTTGGAGAAGGTTTTTGCTAGCGAACGTAGACGTAGCCGGAACCCTTCATCATCATCAGCTTCCAAACTGTACGGTAGTCAGTAGTTCGGCTCACGCTGGCTACACTGAAACGAGGAGCTAGGGAGCTCTGGATCACCAATCTCGCTTTTGGCAAGGCGGGATGGAGGTGAGGACAACGAGATCGCTTGCAAGGGTAGAGGCCCTTTCACTGCGGAGACAGACGTCGCTTTGTTGACCCGCGCCCAGTGCTCGATTCGGACTTGGTTGGACCGAACGAGTGCTGCTCGTCGGCGAGCCTGGCGAACGATACATGCCCGTGACAGCGCGTAGGTCCAGCGACTGAGCGTGCACAACTCGCCGAATCAGCGACAGCCTCGTCCATCCCACCCTTCGCCTGAGCAGTCCGCATCGGTATGAAAGCAACGGCCTTTAATGAGTTCGTCCCGTGTGGTCATTGCGTTGCAAGCAATCGACCCTAGTCGATTCCAGATCCTCGACTCGGCGCTCTGACTCTCTACTGGCCGGGACGAGCACGCTACCGCTCCTGAGGCCCCTACTAGCTCGCGACCATACATATACGCTCACGCCCGCAGAGGAGGCGTGAGCCGTGATCCAGCCCTCGACCGCCATCCGGACGCCAGGCACCTAAGCTTAACAAAGGATCGCCACTCCCACATCAAAGAATCTGGGACGTCGACGCGACATCATCTCTGCGCGTCTCGTCTTTCACCATTGCTCTGTCGTACAATCGGTCGTCGCGCGAGCTCGCCCTGTGCCTCTGCACAAATCGCCGACCTTCTCCAGCCGGATCCACGAGGCTCTGACCCCCTTCGGACTCTCCATTCCAGCAGGACTGCCAAAAGCACGGGAAGGTTCACGGCGTGTGTAACGAGGTGTAACGCAGCATCTGCACACCCACACTTCCGGATCGCTTGGATCTTGCTTTGTTGACTGGAGGCGTGCGCCTTACGCCGATTGCACGATCTCGTCTGCAAGCCTATTTCCCAGAACGTGGATTTGGAAGCGCCTTGTGGACGTGAACACCATTCAGGAACACCTAGGTGGCTTTGGGACAGGACTGCATACCGCATCGTCACCGACGATCAAATCGAAGGGCTCCTTCTTCCACCCTCTGTCGCGTCCTCCATTGCTTCGGTATAGCCATCCCAGGTCCTCGGTTTTTGGCTTGAGTACAAAGTCTGCCCATACCCAGGTTGCCGGATCTGCCTTTTTGTCAAGCAACAACATCCGATCTTGAACGATCGAAGACATTGAAGACTACAAGTAACTCTCCAGCGCTACTGGACTCGACCGCCCTTCGTGGCTTCTACCCACTCGCCTGCGGGCCTTCATTGGGATCATAAACCACTCTACGTGCAGACGTACCTTCCTTCCTTTCCACTCCCACTCCCGACACCACCGGCCGACGCCCACCAGCCCTTCGGCGCTTCGGATCCGCACACCGCCAACGTGGCTGCCTCCATAGCTTATCCTCCGATGGGACCGGGACAGGATCACATGGGCGCACCGACCAGCTTTACTGCTCGAAGACCGAACGCGTCCAGCCTCCCGACCTTCGAACTACCACCGCCGCAGCTCACTAACATCCACCAGAAATATCAGAGCTACACGGGATTCAATTCACAACAACCGCCCACCACTCTGACAAGTGTTGGAAACCTCCTCACCCCGCCGAGCAACAGCTCAACGGACGGAATCAGCCCAGGTTCGTCTGGCGTGACGAGCGCAGGCTCACAGGGCGCACTCCCGCCTTTCACACCAACGGGTCATTCTGGCATGTGGCCGCCTCCAAATACCGGCAGCAATACATACGGATTCCAATCAGCCGCAGCACCACAGCCATTTGGGCAGGGACGCGGCCTGTTCTCTCCTTCCTTGAACTCGATCATGCGCGGAAACAACTCGCCCACCGCAACCGAAAGCCTTCCACCCCCACCCTACGACATACACCATTACTCCGGAGCCTCAATGCCGATGTCAGCACCAAGCTTACCGGCATTGCAACAACATCACCAACATCAGATGATGGGAAGCGGAATGATGGGTGGCCAACCGCCAGTCACTCAAGCATCACCAGTGAGCGCACAAGAAGCTTACTCCAGAGCGCCTCCGACACCGACGTACTACAGCCAATCCGCGCCCTCATCCGCAGCACCCCAACAAGGCGCGTTCGCGTACCCACCCGGCCCTTCACCCGTCCAACAGAGCCCAATTAGTGCAGGAGGCGCAACACAAAGATCGCCCGTCAACGGCCACGGTACCATGCCGTCACCACAACAGCAAATGTACCAACGACCGTACACCTACCCACCCCCGGGCGCCGTTCTCTCCAACGTCAGCAATCCGGGCGGGCACATGCAAATGGTCGGCGGGATGCCGCATCACATGGTGCAAGGCTTCAACAGCGGGCACGCGGCGCAGATGCAGCAGATGTACCAGCAGCAGGCGCCGCAGAACGACCGGCCGTTCCGCTGCGATCAGTGTCCGCAGAGCTTCAACCGGAACCACGATCTGAAGAGACATAAGCGGATACATTTGGCGGTGAAGCCGTTTCCGTGCGGGCATTGCGATAAGAGCTTTTCGCGGAAAGACGCGCTGAAGGTTTGTTTTCTCTGCTATCCACTATGATGAAGGAAGTATGCTGATTGATTGCACAGCGACACATCCTCGTCAAAGGGTGCGGCAAATCCCACTCCACCACCGAGATCAAAGAACTCGACGGCTCCATCTCGCCCGACACCAAGTCGAGCACCGATACCAGCCCCGTCGTCGCCTCAGCATGAGCGCCAAAGGGGGGGGGGGGTGGAATTGCTTCAGTTTGTCAACGCGCGTGTTCCGGAATTTTTCATGAATGATACCCTTCGCTTTTTGTGTTGTATCTTTATATCGTCTCTATACCTTAGCTTGGCCCCACGAGGCAGGGAAATGACTGCCGGTGGGAAATGGGAAAGGAAATGTGCATGAGAGGGAGCGCTGGTGTTCTATCGGCGCTATGATGGCTGGGCTGTGGATGCCCTGGAGATGGCAATGCTGATATGTTGATACGATCAAAACGTATGCATTGCTTCTATGATCAGTGAGAGTTTTTCCAATGTGACTTTTGTGCAGATCGGCAGAGATTGTTCTGGACCTGTCGAGCTGTGTGGCCAGACCACATCAAAATTTACTGCGAGTCAGCGAAGAGACTCCCACCGAATGCATGAATACTTTAATCGGTCCGACGTGTCTGGATTCGTAGTTGCGCATGGGAGGTAAATGTATCGCTTGCAGAGGCCGAACATGACCGACGACCAGTCAATAGCTGGAAGTAGACGATGCGGAAGGGCGCACGATGTCTTTGGAGGTAGTACTGCCATCGGCGAGAGGATGTATGTACTCCTGCCCGTTGTCTTTGTCTTGGACTGACAAACTCTTGTGAGAGGTTCGTAGATGACCGACAAACATGGTGTTGCTCGAGAGCAGGACCATTCTTTCTCGGGCACGTCTGTAGGCGTGTCATGTCTCCTGCGCTCCACAGAGTGGTTGTTCACAACAGGCCATGTTTGAGCCAATGTGGAAGGACGGAATGGTTGGCTCGGGCAAATCCGTCTGGTCGTGCTGATCTTGACCTCTGCTCTTGATCTGCTCCTTCTTCCTTTCCTTCCACTCTCAATATCATCGTTGTGAACGGATGTCATCTTGCCCACATCATCGTGGTATGGCAGGCGTAGAGATGCGTCCATAGAGATGGCCTGGCAGTGGAGAGGCGTCTCGGAGACGGCATCGTAGCTCCTGGTGACTGTTCTGCTTCTTCATGCTCGCTTCCTTGATCTACTGGCCTTGACCTCTCCGCCTGATGAAGGAGTACACAGGCCACGAGTACCGGTATCATCGTCAGTCCTGGTAGGCGAATGTCGAGAGGTGAGGTCGCAATAGAGTAGGCGGCATTCCAGCACCGGCGCCACAAACAGTAAGATAACAAACAAGAACAAGTCCATTCATTCCAGCTTTTCTCATGCATTTTGGGGAGAAGCGTCTCATTGGAGTTGCCAGGCGCCTGCCGAAAGGGCCCAGTCTGCACCTTCCCTGAACTTCGATTGTGAATAACAAAATCCTGTCAAGCGAGTCACATCGCGGTGGTGGACCTTGCCAACTTCATCTTCCCTTCTTGTCTGTCGCTTCCATCTTCCGCGACATCCAGCGAGCAGCAATAGCGGCCATACCTTATCTCCCACTCTGCCTCGTGGACAGCATTCCGCCGCCTCATCACCATCTGGATCTGAAGACGCTACGGCGCTGCCACTCACTTGTTTCTCGTTTGTCCGGACCAGCTGCATATTAATTCCATCAATCGGACTGCCCCACCAGGATTTGGCTCGATCACTCAGCGCCGTGTGACAGGTTGGATAAGGGAAGAGAAGGAGCAGACCGTTTGATCATATTGCACATCAAAGCACCACCACGTGAAGCAGAGATTTTACCACCAACATCCGATACGCCACCTCTCACACACGTGATGCCCATCACCTTGTCATCCCTTCGCAGACACCACTGAGATGGCCGACCGCTATCGTCACAATCGCCAACCGGGCACAAGGCAGCCTTTGGGCGAGCTGCGAAACCAAGCCAACACGCCACCGGTTCAGCAGCGGCGGGCGAGGCCCAGCAAGGCCGTTTCGACATCACCGCAGAATCTACCTCACAACGAGTCGCTCGAGCCCAATGGCTCTCTCGCCATCCGCGGAAGCAATCCTAGTTCGCCAGAGTACAAGCGCATCTCACAGATTGCGAGCGAGGAGCAGCCACGAGAATCCAAGCGCAACTCTGCCATCTCAACGACGTCCACCAACGCTTCAGCAACAGGCCGGAAACGCAAAACCTACATCGGCCAGTGGCAGCTGGGCAAGACCATCGGCAAAGGCGGCTGCTCACGCGTTCGCGTGGTGAGGCACAAGACGCGGCACCAATACGGCGCGGTCAAGATCATCACGCGTGCGACTGCCGAGAACACGCGCGCGCAGAGTCTGGCAAATCTCATTGAGAGCACCAAGAGTAGCATGTCTAGCGCTTCTGGACACAGGCCGATCCCATATGGACTGGAACGGGAGATTGCAGTCATGAAGCTGCTCGAACACCCCAACATCGTGCGGCTGTTTGACGTGTGGGAGAACCGCAATGAGCTGTAAGTGCGACAAACTGCATCCTCCATACTAATACTGATGTTTCTACAGCTACCTTATCATGGAATATGTCGACGGTGGCGAACTGTTTCACTACGTTGATGAGCGCAAGGGGCTGCCCGAAGACGAAACAGTCTACATCTTCCGCCAAATTGTATCAGCACTGTTGTACTGCCACCGTCTCCTCATCTGCCACCGCGACCTCAAGCCGGAGAACATCCTGCTGAACCGGGAGAACCTGACAGTGAAGCTTATCGATTTTGGCATGGCCGCTCTCCAGCCTGCAGGTCGACAGCTCAGTACGCCGTGCGGCAGTCCTCACTACGCCGCCCCAGAAGTTGTTAGCAGCAGACCATACGACGGGACCCAAGCAGATGTCTGGAGCTGTGGCGTTATATTGTACGTCATGCTTACCGGAACCACGCCATACAACTACTCCGAAGAGGGTGACATCCGCGTCCTCTTCCGCGACATCGCCAAGGCAGACTACCATCTGCCGCCCGGACTCGGCGCAGAGGCGAAGGACCTCATCAGTCGCATATTTGTACCAGATCCGAAGAAGAGGATCACGATGGACGGTGTTTGGGAACACGCACTCTTGCACAAGTACGACAGGCAGTTTGGATACGATGGTCGGATGGGGAGCAAGGAGGCTGCCATTGGGCCAATACCCACCTTGACGGACTTCAAAGTGAACCGCATCCAGGACATTGACCGCGAGATCCTGCGCAACATGCGCACCTTGTGGCACAGTGAGCCGGAGCGGAGTCTTGTACAGAAGCTGCTCAACAACGACATCAACCAGGAGAAGCTGTTCTACGCTGCCTTGGTGAAGCATCGAGATGAGAATTTGGAGAACTACTCAGGCCCGGACGACATGGATTACTCGAACAGCGACTATCATCATAACCAGGCACCGAAGCATCTGGATGTTCCGCCAGTACCAGTCCCTGCTGGCAGATCTCAATCACAATATTCCATTTTGAACGACGAGCACCTTCGACCAGCAGAGAGTTTCGTCAACTCACCACCTTCGGTCAGCAGCTATGACCCTTACAGAGCGTCCAAGGATCCCATCGTAAACGGCAGAGGCGAGTATGTCAATGTTACTGTACACCGCAATGGCAGCCGGGGCACTCTTCAGGCCAGTGTCACCCGCAGTCTTCGTCACCAGAACGCCTTGCGCATCGAGGTCATGAAGCAGGGTGGACGTCGTGCATCCAATCTCTCCTCGTCTAGCCTGGCGCATTCTGCAAACAGCAAAGGCTCAGTGAGACGATCTTCCGCCTCCGATCACTCCATGACCAGCTCCATGTGGCCAAGCAGCCCGCCTATGATCGCGAAGATGCGCCCTTCAGACCGGCACAAGAGGCAAGTGAGCTTTGGGCATCTGCGACGCTCGTCAATAACAAGTGGCCTGGTCTCCCAGACATCGGAGAAGACGCCGCCCACGCCTAGCATCCCGGACACGTTGCGCGACCGACGCACGTTGCGACCAGCCAACCCACAGCCTCCGAGTTCCAGCCCTGTGGCACCGGTTCATCAGCCTGTGCGCTCGAAGAAGGAGAAACATGCAGTGCTCGAGACTCCGCGCATCAAGGTGCGTAAGCCAGCGGAGACGCCGAGCCAGAACATGCGAAGGGATATCCGCAAGCACAGTGCAGAGCTGGAGAAGGCTTGCGAGGAGGCCTTCTTCCGCAGTTCTGTCGGCTCGAGCTTGACCGCGCAGTCGACTTTCTCGGAGAAGAATGGGCCGTTCGACACACCACCATCTTCAGTGTCGAGAGGAGGGTCTGGCACGTTTGAACAGATCAAGCCCAAGTCTGTCGCTCGTCCGCTACCAGACGTTCCAAAGGACACACCTAATACGTACCTCACGAAGACGCTGGCGGAGACAAGAGAGAAGCTGGCTGCATATCAGTCGAGCGGTGACGACAATACTGCGAAGTTTGAGGAGGTCATGAAGATGCTTGAGACCATCATGCCAGGGTCACGTCTTGTTGATGAGAAGCGGACTACATCTGCTCCTGAGACCAAGACTGGTGGCCATCCCAACTTCCTTCCAGTGATCTCGGAGGAGAGCGACCAACGCAGCCAACGTCAAGGTACCAGCAACTGGCAGCGATCTGTCACTGCGCCTGTGCAGAAGGACAGTCGGCCGGTCGACAAGACTATTCGCGTTGTCCCGCCGTCCCCATCTGGATTTGTCGCGCCGCTCAACGTCCGCAAGCAAAGCAATGGAAGTGAGGCCAGCAGTGGTCCGAACAGAACATTGAGCGTGAAGACTTCCGCGGATCGACTGAGCTCTCGTCATGCTGATGCGCAAGCTGGAGGGCTGGAGGTCATTGACGAGGATACCACGCTCACGGCCACACCCGCAGTCCTCCGCAAGAAGAGATCCGGGTGGTTCGGGCTTGGGAAGAAGGTTACGAATCAAGACAGCAAGCCCAGCCCTTCAGAGACACCATCGAGCTTCCAGGAGATCGACGACCGCCAACAGAGACGGCCTTCGAGAGTGCTTAGCAAGCCGCCTCCTGAGAAGGCTACTTCAGAGGAGCCTCCTCTTTCGGCGCAGTCGAGCGAGTTTCCGACCCGGAAGGATAAGCTGTCAGGCGCGAAGAAAGGTCTGTCAAGGTGGCTGGGAAAGAAGAGTGGTGACAAGGCGGAGGAAGAGGCCTCAGCGGGTAAGCTGCAATCTGATACCTTGAATGTTGAGCAACCCGACTGACTTTCACAACAGCAGAACCTACCTTCACCAATCGTTCGCTCGACTCCCTCTTCTCCGCAGCATCACCCGTTCCATCAAGCGACGACAGCCCACCCTCAACCGGCCCCGAGCGCTCCTGGTTCGCCCGGTTCTTCCACATCAAGCCCGCAGTGAAAGTCGTCTGCTTCTCCATCCCACGCGGTCGAGCACGCCAGGAACTCGTCATCCTGCTCCGTGAGTGGCAGCGCCACGGTGTGCAAGACCTCCAGTACTCCCGCGAGACGAACACGATCACCGCGAGTGTGGGCAAGCACAATGCGCTGGACATCAAGCCCGTCAGCTTCCGCATCGAGCTCTTCGTCGTGCTGGAGCATGGACGTAAGGTTGGGTTGTCGATTGCGCGGTTCGTGCAGACGAAGGGGGCTGCGAGTGGGTTCAAGAGGGTGATTGAGGTTGTGGATGGGGTCATGAGAGGGAGAGGGTGGTTGGTCGAAGACGAAGAGAAGTGGAGGGCGTTGAGTGAGGTCGTTGGTGGGTGATCGTGGATGTAATGGAGCGCGATGGGTGTGGTGGGAGCATTGTCAGGCTAACATCGATTCACTTCACCTTTGGTTGATCGGGTCAGCTCTGGACACTTTGCGGGTTTGGAGATGTGGTATTCTGCGGTTGTTGGGCGGTTGTTTGCGGCATCGTTCATTGCCGGAGTTGGGGAGAGGGCTACTATGGGATCATTGTCTTGGGCATTTGATGCGGTCGTTGTCATCAGCGTTACAAACCGTACTGGGAGTGTAATAATGGACGCTCTTCACTGCATCCTATCAGCCTCAAGCGTCGCATTGAGCGTCATGCCAATTCAATCTGGACTACTTCACGAAGACCGAAGACCAAACGCGGTGCCTGGTCCCAAGCTGATGTTATACGCAGAACAAGCATCTCCCATCACCATCAAATTACTAGAACCATTACAGCCAGTGGCGCGGAAGCCGGAGGGATCGCGGGCATCGGAAGGTGCAGCATCCGCTGTTTCCGCCTTCCATATCGGCTTTGTCAGTGCGACGACACAAAGCGCATACCAGCGTCTGTTCCTCCGCGCCATAATCACAAGTATTGCGGGAAGAGGTGGTGTGATGTCTGTGTGCGGAAGCGCTGAGTAAAATGAGCAAATGCTGCGAAATGTAGGTGGCACGGTTGTCGTAGAGGGATCATATAATAAGGTGGGCAGAGTATGTGGTGGGTTTCTTGCTATATCATCCATTGTCTTCCAGTCTTCAGCGACAGCTACGTACAACAGCCTCTTCGATACCCTCCAGCTTGTCTTTCTTCACTACACAACGGTCCATTGCATTCCAGTCGAACCCCTCCGACTCCTTCTCCTCGATTCCTCCTTAAGCGACAACCCTCCAACACAACAATGCCAGAAACAAGAAACATCGTCTTCCTCGGAGCGTCATACGCCGGTCTCAGCTCGGCGCACTACTTCCTCCGCCACATCTACCCTCGCCTGCCCACCGATGGCAACATCAAGTACCGCGTCCTCGTCGTAGATCCATCTTCGAAATGGTACGCTCGCCACGGCTCTCCTCGCGCAATCGTCCGGCCGGACCTCATCCCCCTGGACAAAATCATGCTCGACATCGAGCCGGGATTCAAGCAGTACGGCGACAAAGTCCACTTCATCCAGGCCAAGGCCACGAGCTGGGATGAGAAAGCCAGGACAGTCGTTGTTCAGAAGGCGGATGGCAAGACCGAGTCGATCGCGTACTGGGCGTTGATCCTGGCCACCGGAACCAAGACGTTCTCGCCGCTGTTCTCGCTTCAGGGCAACAGCCATGTTGAGATCGAGAGGTCGTTGAAGAGCATTCACAGCAAGATCTCGTCGGCGAAGGACATCACCATTATCGGAGGCGGCCCCGCTGGTGTTGAGACCGCTGGCGAACTGGGAGAATACCTGAATGGTGCTGCGGGCTGGTTCGCATCGTCGCCTTCGCACCCGAAGGCGAAGATCACGCTCATCACATCCGCCAGCAAGCTGCTGCCCGCGCTGCGCCAGTCCATCTCCGACCAAGCCCAGGTGTTGCTCAAGCGTGTCGGGGTGGAAGTCCGCTTCAACACCAAGCTCTACTCCTCCGGAGACACTGCCGATGGTCGGACGAAAGTCATGCTCCATGACGGCGAAGAGCTGGTATCCGACATCGTTATTCAAGCCATGGGCAACCAGCCACTCTCAGGGTATGTGCCCGAGCACCTCAAGGACACCAAAGGCTACGTCGTCCAGAACAACCAGACCCTCCGTGTCGATGCCGCGGGCGCGCGCGTCTATGCCGTCGGCGACGTCGGAACGTCCAGCAGCGATGGCATCATGGACATCATGGGACAAGTCCCGGTCATGGAGACGAACCTTAAGCGCGACCTTCTCGCCGCTCATGCCAATGCCTATGCGAAGCCCAAGGGCAAGGACAGGTTGTTCGAGAAGAACACGAAGGAGACGCAGTTGGTGCCGATTGGAAGGTCGAAGGGTGTTGGCGCTATCCTCGGCTGGCGTCTTCCGAGCTTCTTCATTTGGATGATTAAGGGGAGAGATTACATGATGGGTAACGCGGGTGATAAAATCTCGGGGATGGAGGTGAAGAAGGAGAGTGTGTGGAAGCAGGAGGAGTTGTTTCAGTAAAGGGATTTGGGGACTTAGCTCGGCGTTGGCATGGTAGGGGCGTTGTGGGTGTTTTAGTGAGCGTTCATAGGCGATTATCGACAATCCTCTTCATCAAACACATGCTACTCGATGGTGACGATGTAGGGGTGGGAGGAAGTGGGAGGAAGTGGGAGGAAGTGGTGGCAGCGGTGCTGGTGCTGGTGCTGGTGGGATGGACATCCGCTAGTGCCCGGCGTTCCCGCCGCACTCTGATTGGCCAGTCGTTAAAACGCGCTCAAAACACCGCTCGCTCTTGCCGCTTTAGTCGAAATATTCTCAAATGGTCCACATCGAAGAAAGGAACGACCGCGACGACGTGCACCAAGCCCTGAAGGCTCACTGGTGAGTTGAGGTAAGAAAGACTTCCCTTAATCTCCTCCCACATCTCTTGCTTCCCCATCCATGTCTGCTCCATCAACCGATCTCGCATCTTCTCCCTTTAAACCCACCACAGGAGCCTCGATCCATTGTTAGACAACGACATCTCGAAAGCGGAGAAGCTAGATCCGAGACGAGTAGACCGTTCGTTTATCCGAGAAAGAACGACTCCAACTGCAGCTTGTCCGTGTGCACCTCGCTCATAACCGCCTCCAGAGTTCTCACGGCTAAGACTGAACCGCCATCATGGCCATGAACATGGACGGCATGGATCACTCCTCAGGGTCGGGCTCGAGCACAGGCATGTCGATGCCCATGGTCTTCACCACCGACCACAGCACGCCTCTCTACTCTTCAGCATGGACGCCTCTCAATACCGGCGGCTACGCGGGGACATGCATCTTCCTGATCGTTCTGGGCATCATTTCTCGACTACTCCAAGCCTATCGACACGTCTTGGAGATCAAATGGCACGACCGAGCTGTGAAGCGACGCTACGTCGTGATAGCGGGCGAGACCGCAGACCAGCGGGAGAAGCAGCTGGGCTTCGGCGAGCCGCACAACACTGAGGAAGCAGTGTTGACTTCGCGAGGGGTTGAGGAGCGTGTGAGAGTACTTAGGACGTCTGGGCGAGGGCTGGAGATGCAGCCTCGGAGGTTTAGCACGGATCTTCCGAGAGCATGCGTGTTTGTGGTGCAGGCTGGTGTTGGATACCTGCTGTGAGTGGCCACGGCGATTCAAACGGCTTTACTCCAATACTGACCGAGTTACAGGATGTTGGCGGTTATGACCCTGAACGTTGGCTACTTCCTATCTGTCCTTGCCGGCCTTTTCGTCGGCGAGATCGCTTGCGGGCGGTATGCTCAGATGGACGACGGCCACCATTAAGCAGACAAGTACATGTGGAACTGCTCAATGGAAGTCATCATTACTCTAAAATTCTACAGTACGTTTGGCTCGTCATGGCTCAGAAGAGTCTCGACCCGGTGTTGCTGTGGGACTTCCCACATTCTGCCCGACATTCCACCGCCAAATGATCAACAACATCGCCTCCAATTTTCTACATGCCTTAAGAGGAAGGTCCGCCAATGTCTTCAGGTCCCAAGCGATTTGTCGGAATCTGTCAAGTTGCGTCAAGATCATTTTACTCAGCGACGCCAATATGAGGACTGCCGCTGTTCTGAGTCTGCTCGCCGCAGCCGATCTCATCGCTGCCTCTCCACTGCAGTGGCTCTGGTTGTCGAACAAGCGACAGGTAGAGTCGCAAATGAACGACGGTGCGTTCGAGATCACCGTTGCGCATTGCGTAGCTAATCCTTTGACCAGTTGACATCCTGCGCTACGCCTTGACGCTCGAGCACCTCGAAGACAAGTTCTACCGCGAAGGCCTCGCCAACTTCACCAAGGCAGACTTCCGCGCTGCAGGCTATGACAACTCGTTCTACAAGAACGTCAAGGCCATCAGCGCTCACGAGACAGCGCATGTCGAGTTCCTGACAGCGGGTCTGGAAGCCGCTGGCGTCAAGCCCGTCGCCGAATGCAAGTATGCCTTTGGCATCGATTCCGTCGACGCATTCGTCGCTACCGCCAGCGTTCTGGAAGGTGTGGGTACCTCCGCCTATCTAGGTGCCGCGAAGCAGATCTCCAACAAAGCCTACTTGACCGCCGCCGGCAGCATCTTGACCGTCGAAGCCCGGCACAGCGCCTACCTGCGCGCCAACTTGCCCCAGAGCCCTTTCGCGCAATCCCAAGACAACCCCCTGACACCAGATGAAGTCCATACTATGGCCTCCGGCTTCATCGTTTCGTGTCCCAAGGGCAACCCGACTTTTCCGATCAAAGCCTTCCCGGGCTTGACCGTCACAACAACCGGCAAGATCAGGGCCGGCGACCAGATCACACTCGTCACCAACCGATACGTCCTCGCGGCCGGAGCGAAAGGGGCGAAGTTGCATGCAGTCTTCGTTACTGCGAATGGGCCTGTGCACGCGCAGATGAAGGCGAAGAAGGATGGGATGACGTTCACTGTTACGATTCCGGAGCGTGTTCACGGGCAGAGTTATTTGCTGTTGAGTAACTGCGATGAGGCTGCGACGAGTGTGCCTGATGAGACTGTGGTCGCTGGACCGACGTATTTGGAGATTAAGTGAGCATGATTTGGGGTTTTGAGGAGTTGGAAATGCTACATAGCCTGCTACGTACCGGACAAGTAATGAAATGAAATCAAAGCACATCTCCAATGCAGAAATGTCACCTACCTCTCGCCATCGAAGTCACTTACAAAGCTTTGAGGCCTCATCTCTGGCTTCCGCTATTTCGCCAGCTGCCGGTCCCACGGCTACGAAGGGATGCTGAACGTCCCCTCCACGCCGGTACTGTAGACTGTGTTGCACCGCTGCCAGAGGATTGCGAGGGCTGAGTCGACTGAGGCGCTCGTCGCTGCTCCGCAGCTGGACCACGCGGAGTGTTTGTCCGACTGGCCTGGTCGAACTGCGAAGCGAGGTTCCAATGCCAGTAAAGCCAGTAGTAGTTAATCGCGGCCGTCCGATCCACCGTACTCTTGGCCACACGGTTGGCATAATCGTTGACACCCTCCGGCGGGTTTGCATTCACCTCCGGGTACGGAAATAAGCGAGTGTCGACCGTCGAGCGAGGTCGTGGAGGAGGATCGGGAAGCTGGCTGGCGGGAGCGTCGTTAGCTGGGAGGGAGCGTTGCTCTGCCTGTGCAGTCCTCGTCGACGCAGTCGAGCGCGGACCAGCTATGACTGAGCCACTTAGTTGCGCAGTAGGCCAATCGAATGCCATGCCTGGCTTTCTGGGTGCCTCTGCAGTACTCTGTGGACCTCCAAGTCTTTCGGCAGGGATGACGTACTTCTTGGTACTAGGTTTTGGCGTCTCAAACATTTTATGCAGCAGAGCCACGTAGCAAGATACGTAGTAATCGCGAGCTTTGATGGCAGACACACCGTCCCTTCGCAGGGCACGATCAACGTACACCCACATGGGTTCAAGGTGGCCTACGAGCATAGGATCTCTCAACAGAGTCTTCCCGTCCGGTAGAATAGGTCTCGGGGCGTTTGGGTCTGGGGGTGGGCCGTAGTCAGTGCTGATAAGTTTAGCTATTTCGTGAGGATACTCCGGGGGACTGAGGTAAGGAGACATCCCGAAAGGGAGTACGACTGGCGAACTCATTGATACAGGGGAGGAAGGGGGAGCAGGGACTGTTGAACCCTCGTTTCTCTCCACCGTGTCGTCATCGGGCCACGCAGAATACAAGTCATCTCTGCCGTCTTGATCTTCCCTTTTTTGCTCCGGGACTCTGTCGAAGGGGGAGAACTCGAATTGGAGCGAGGTTGATGAACCAGGTGACACCGCATGAGGACGGAATGTGAGCGAATCTGAAGTCTTGACGCTCTCCACATCATCTTCCTCAGGGCCCACAAAAGCAAGAACGTCTTCGCCTCGTTGGTACACTCCCTCTTGCTCATCCTCGCCCTCGTACTCACTGTGATGTGGACTTTCTAGATCCGGAGCGCTTACGGTGTCTCTGTAATCAGCACCTCCTCCATACCGAGAAGGTTCGGAACTCGTGTCGCGATGGTTCTCGGAGGCCATGGCCTGGTCGAAAAGGACTTGCAGTATGGCAACAGTTGGTACTGTCGGGGATGGTGCAGACTCGAGTCTGTTGGCCTTTAGTATGTACGAGCAACATCGAGAATTGCAGACAGTCCGAGTCCATCATATAGTCTTTGTCTGTCCGTGAGTCTGTGTTGGATCATATCAAACCTTCCCGTTTGTCGACCATGAGTGCAATGTTTGCTGCTATTTGACATACTAAGGAGTCAGCGATAGCGTTGTCCAAGCCCAGCAATGTTTGTTCGGTTCTAGATATGAGAATCAGGCGGGTGGTATGGAGTAATAACACTACATGCCTTACCTTGCTATCTACTTACATCTCATACTTGGAGAGCACGCATATCTATCTAAGTCCAGCCAGGGCAGTTACTACTTTGCATCACCATCGGGAATCAGAGGAGACAGACTCTTCTGCTTCCGGGGCCCATCTCGGCTTTTCAACTTCTTCACGTCAAAGGCAAGAAGCAGCTGAGCATGCCACATGTCGCGGAAATAGTCTTCAGCGACCGCCGGATCTCCCTTCAACTTCCTGACTGAACTAACATAATCCTCCACTGTGTCAGGTAAGTCTCCCAAGAACTCTGGATCGGGGTAGGCTTGCCCATTCTCGAACTCCGGTGGATCAGGATAGCCTTGGAAGTAGCTGTTGGAGCTGTGGTCGGAGTCCCGCGATGAGGACCGAGAAGCAGATCTCGAAGTAGCCTTGCCCTTTCCTTTCCCCTGCGTCGCTGACAACTCGCTGGTAGAGGTGCCAGCTGCGGGCCGTGAGGCAATCGAGGCGTCCGTGGGAGCATGACGCTCCTTTCCGGCGCCTCCAGTAGACTTCTGGGGATGATGCCCTTGCGATCCTAAAGCCTGGCTGACCAACGGACTACGTTGAGCGTCTTTTCGGGGTGCTCTGCTCAGGGAAGGCAACGACCTGGTCGCTTTGGCGCATTTGTCGCAGGGTCCCTCCATAGCAACGTGGTGGAGCTCGTTCTTCTCTGACGGACATGGTACGCTGCCTTTCTTCTTCGCAGCTCCGCAGAGGTTGTGGCCAAAGATACGAACATGGGTTTGATGAGAACAGCTCCATGCATGTATAGTTTGGAGGCACATTATTCGGGTGTGCTGAATGGGGTTCTGAGGCAATATTAAAATGTGATCAAGGTAGTCCAAAGCCTGGTTTGTGGAGTCGATAAGTGTTTGTATAGATTTTCGCGGACTGGCTCAATGTTAGAGCGAGGGAGGCTTTTACCATCCTCCTAGGAAGTGAGTTTGCTTCGCATGCTAGTCATCATTGACTGGTCGTCGATCGCACAAAGAAGAGCGTCTGGGTTCCGCCAGTCGGAAGTGACTATGATCTGTGGCTGCAGACTGTGTTACGGAGTGCAACCAGTGCCCACCCGGCCGGCCTGAGACCTCGAGATGGCCATCGTGGGTGTGTAACCACCAGGAGGATGGCGAGGCTGCTGACGTCCGTCTTATTACGTATACTGAGGTTCTCGTAGTGTGGAGTAGATAGGTACCACCAGTACTGGGCAGGTCTTACTGTCCATTCGACGCTTGTTGTAGGAGAAAGTCAACAGCAGCAGATGGAGTTCGAAGACAGTCTTGGAGTGCCAAGCTTCGTCACGTGCGTCAGATTCCCAAAAGGCAGCAAGGCAGGTCGAGGAGTCGATAGCTCAACCAGAGCATCTGAAGCTACGTATTGGTACATACCTTATAATCACAACAACCCAACGCTAGATCCTCCTGTTCTCCCTACTCATCATCGTCATCATCGTCATCGCTTACCTCATCGCTCTCGTCTGCCGTGGCCTCGCGCGGAGCAGCATCCCGAACGTACTTGTCAAACCAAGTCAACGTCTCATACACACAGTGCTCGAGCGACTCGCCAGCTGCATAGTAATGCGGCTCATGTGGGAACATAACCAGCTTTGTGGTCCCGCCGTTGCCGCGAATAGCATCGTACATTTTCCTTGATGCGGAGGGCGGTGTGCCCGGATTCGGGTCACTCGCACCGTGCATAAGAAGCAGAGGGGTCTTGATCTTGTCGGCTATAAAGAAGGGCGACATCTTCCGGTAAAGTTCTGGCGCTTTCCAGAGAGTCCGGTTCTCGGTGTTGAATCCGAATGCAGTATCTGTCTTGTCGTAGTTCCCACTCATGGCAACGCCAGCGCGAAAGAGGTCTGTGTGCGCCAACAGGAGGGCAGTCATAAGCCCGCCATGACTGAACCCTGTGATACCAATACGGTGGGGATCTGCCACCCCTAGTCGCACGGCCTCTTTGACGGCTGCCCGAGCGTTCATAACGATCTGCTCGAGCAGAGTGTCGTACTTCGTGGGGGACCGGCCAACGTTCGGAAACTTTGCACGAATGACCGCATATCCCATAAGAGGGAGGAGTTTATGTATGTCGTGACTTGAGCGGTTGGCGTCCTCCCCATCAAACTGTCCAGCGGACTCAGCATCGTCGTGGTCGAGCGGGTACCCATTGACTATGGTCGGCAATCGCGTGCCTTGTCAGTTAGGTTAGTGAGTGTCAGATTGTACTTGCTTAACAAAGGCCCATGAGAACACAACAAAGCAATGGCCGCGACGCTGTAGCAAGGAGAAGGAAGTTCCTTACCCCACTGATAACCGGGCGGCGTCCAGAGCGTAAAGGATAGTTTAACCCCATCCTTACGCTGATAGTTGACGAACCGCTTTTCAATCGTTCGCACGATAGCTGCGGGATGCTGATATGCGGTAATTGCCTCCCTCGAGAAGGTCAACGTGGCCTCACTTGCCGAAGCACTCACCTCACCACTCTGTTTCAAAAGGTATACGTTCAGAGGTTCATCTGCGCTTGATCGTGTCGTAAGAATCCGGACGCCGTTTTCTGTGCTTGTGAAACAGAGGAATGTCTCCAAGCAGGACGCACTGCTGCGAAAGACACGACGAGACTGCTTCGTTTGCAAGTCGAGCCCGTCCAGGAAGGGTCGTCGGCCGTCAGGCGAATTACCTTGGCCTTCTGTGAAAATAGTGTCTCCCTCTTGATGAACCACGAGAGACCCGTTGGCAAGCCGCCGTTGGACTATTGAACCCGGATCTTTGTACTTATCGTCGAAGGCCCAGCTCCATATCACATCATGCGCCTGATTTGGCTGATCAAGATCCACAACGTACGTTCGGAAGTCACCATCATATTCGTTGATCAGCGCTGTATTCGGCTTCTCAAACCAGTATGTGAGGACTATGGTGCGGTCAGATTTGACCAGTTGACGCCGGTCCTCGAATGGAGGCTCCAGTCCCAGGAGTTCCCAGTGCTCGCCAACCTTTTCGGTGTAAGTAAGCATTTCTGGAACATTCGCTCGCCATGAGTAACCCCATCGAGAAACACGGTTCCTCACGATTTCCGGCGGCCGACCCTTTGCTCCCGGTAGTCGTGCTGGTGTTGACACGGTTTTCGCAAAGACAGTAGAGCGGTCCTGGATAGTCCAGATTGTAATGGTTGTTGGAAAGTGAGAATAGGTAGTAACATAGGAGTACGGTTTTCCAATGGTGGCACACCACAAGTACCGCCCGCTTGGAGAGACCTCCAGCTGTTCGTAAAGGTCAACTTTACCTACACAGTGAACTTCTAGCGACTCAACATCCACGAAGGCAAGCTGTGATGCTGCGAAGTACTCAAAAAGTTCCTCGTCATGTGGATTGTTCAGCGTGTCTCGAGGGTCATAGGAGTCCTTAAGGCTTACCTCCCCCTTGGACTGCTGAATGATAGGACTGGGTGAGATGACGGGGTTCGGCGGCGGTGGAGGGATACCTTCTGGAACAAGTTTCACGATCAGAGTTTTCTGGTCTGGCATCCATCGGGTTCTCCTGAAAAGGGGCTCAGTATCGAGAGCCGGATTGAGTCGAACGTCAGGCACGCGGAGAACGGCGCCCGTGTGTCCATCGCCAACCCAGAGCTCCACAGCGTTCGGCGTCACATTTTCGAAAGCAAAAAACTTTCCATCAGCGCTCCAATCCGGGCTGAGAACGGCGCAGTCCTTCGGAAGTGGAACGCGAATGCTTGTCTTCTGGGCAACGTCCAGCAGGTCGAATCGTAAAGCGAATCGCTTGGTCTTCTTATACAAGTCTGTGTCTCGCCTGTGGCGACTCTTCGGGTCGATCCGAGTGCCGGCCAATGCAATGTACCTGTCTATTACATTAGTACCCATCCTTTCTCAATGAACCACGGAAGGATGTTGCCAAGGAATATGAATGGGGCAGATGGTGAAGAGCGAAGAGCCTCATCGTCGATTGCAATCCGATGGAATTGCGTGCCGAGAAGTGACGGCACGAAGAAGAATGTGATGGGTGCCGGCAAAACTTACGTTGCCGCTACGTGCTTCAGCGTCGGGTTGGTCTGCCAGGTAACCATGAGGACGCGGTCTCCAGCTGGACTCGGAAATGCTTCAGGTGTCTCGGGAGCTCTCATGACTTCCAAAACATTTGCCGGTGGTTGAGCGTATCCTGAAACACGATCTGAAGGTGATGCTGGAAGGGTCGATGACGAGGATTCGTGGGATGAGGAGTGCCGATTTGTCTCCTCAGAGGAGGAAGAATGCTGGCGCCGCGAGGCGCTCCTTTTCCGTGTGTCACTTTGCTTATCAGACTCACGCCCGCGGAGGCATGCGGCGCAGAGATCATCACTGAACCTTTCCTCGACGGTGCACTCATCGCACGGAGTCCCTCTACTTGAGGCATCATCGCAGAGATCCGGAGCAATTACCTTCAGTGTGATTTTGTGGCTGCACAGGGTGAATGTGCAAACTCGTTGCTTGCACATTGTATCGAGGCCCGACAAGTACCAGCACAAGATAGCCGGAATGTGACAGGACAGGGTGAGAAATCCCTGATGGCTAGAGCGAATGCTTGAGCTGGTTTTCGAAGGAGATGTCAGTTAGGTGTATAAGTATGGAAGAGGGGTCCGGTGAAAGTGGTAGATGAGATGTAGTTGGCAGTCCAACGTCCAGGGCGCTCTCCGCGCTCCTCATACCATACTTCGGGCTCCATGATTCCATATTGCTTGCTGCGATCCGTCATCCTCGCAGAGAATACTGTCAGGACTCCTCGACCCGAGCAAACGCAAGCAGGATGACCCGCCATGTGTCGTGGTCAACGAAGCCAGAAGGGTACATATTGCTTGACTGCAATCCCGTGCCTTCATTGACCGGGCTTCTGACAGTATTCGCAAATGCAGGATTTGTCGTCGCGTGGTATCCGTACATAGTAGAGCATGACACCATTCCGTAATGGCAACAGCGCGAGTCCCTCTCATGGCGGCAGTGAAGGGCGCCAGATGTGCTCCCGCGGCGGTTGGCGGTATTCCCAGGCCTATAGTCGTGTGGTACGAAGTGTATATAGTATTCCATGATGGCAGAGCGGGAGTCGTTGTCTTTCCCTGGAGTCGTCGTGCTTCGCTGTGGTCCAAGTTTTACGCTTTTCCTCTTTCGATGTGCCAAGCCAAATCACGTGCAGGTGCATCAATGTCTTGCCATCTCCAGCTAGCCGGGAGAACGAACACCTGATCCAGGACCAGCAATACCTGTGGCATCTGCTTTTCGATGCTTCATGTCGCGGATGCTTGGAGCATGATCTGGAGCTTACTGAATATTTGCATACTTTTTGAAGTCTTTTCTCGGGAGACCGCGTCCAGCGCTCGCATCAGCATCGATGGGGTCTCACGAAGACGACCAAGGACGACAACAGGATATAGGCCACGGATCGGAGTCCGTAAGTACTTACATGTAGCATCGCCGGACACCCTGCTTCTCTTGTGAAAGCAAAGATGAACATTGAACACCAATATGGAGCATGCGGAAATGACGTGACCACGCTGTCATGATCTCAGAGCTAAAGATATTTGAACTTTCAACGACAACATCAACTGTCTTCTGCATCCCTTCCTCAATCCGTTTCCCACTCCTGTTGCCGGTCTAATCCCAAGAAGAGATCATCGGAGTCACTTTCCTTACAACCATCGAAAATGGCAGCCAAACCACAGCCCATCTACGAGCTCAAATGCAGCTGCAACTCATATCCCTGGGGCAAACAAGGCTCGAACTCCATTTCCGCCAGACTGTGCGAAAAGCAGCCTGGATGGCTTGATGGACCGAAGAGCGACTTCAAGATCGACGAGAGCAAGCCGTACGCTGAGATGTGGATGGGAACGTATCCAGTCCTGCCCTCATACGTCGCCTCCACAGGCGAGGACCTGCAGGATGTCCTTGACCGGAACCCAAAAGAACTGATCGGCGAGAATGTGATGAACAAGTTCGGCCACTCGAAGCTCATGTACCTCCCCAAGGTCCTCTCCATCGCAAAGGCTTTGCCACTGCAGCTGCACCCGGACATAGAACGTGCCAGCAAACTGCACAAGGAGCGACCAGAGGCCTTCACAGACCCAAATCACAAGCCAGAAATCGCTCTGGCGCTCTCCGAATTCGAAGCATTCTGCGGTCTCCGACCCCTCAACGAAATCGCCGAGCTCATGAAACTCGAACCCCTCAAACGCTTCATGCCCGGCAACGCCCACGCCGCCGGCGACTCCTTCACCGATCAAACCCTCCGCCACGTCGTCAAAACCATGCTCGAGACCGACGAAGACTCTGTCAAAGAAACTTACAACTTCCTCACGCATATCTCGCCCGATCGGTACAGCTCGATGAACTCCTCGCACATTCCCAAACTCGCTCCCCGCTTGGCGCAGCAGTACGACAAATCCGACCCGGGGATTCTGGTCGCGCTGGTGACGATGAACTACCTCGTGCTCCAACCGGGCGAAGCCATTTACATCCCCGCCGACGGCATTCACGCGTATTTATCTGGCGACATCATCGAGTGCATGGCGCGCTCAAACAATGTGCTCAACACCGGTTTCTGTCCCCGCGCGGAGCGGAACAGCATTGATCTCTTCTGCGAGTGTCTGACGTTCACGCCACATAGTGCCGAGGAGTCAATGCTGAGGCCGAAGGGGTATGAGAAGGGACGGCAGGGCAAGACGCAGTTGTATGCGCCGCCGATGAGTGAGTTTAACATGTTGCAGACGAGTTTGAAGGGTGGGGAGAGGGAGGAGTTGGGGGCGGTTGATGGGCCGAGTATTTTGATTGCGACGAGGGGTGGAGCGAAGCTGACGGCGAATGGGTCGGCGGTGGAGCTCCATGAGGGGCAGGTGTTTTTTGTGGCGCATGGGGTGGAGATGGAGCTTGAGGCAGGGAAGGAGGGACTGCTGATGCATACGGCGTATGTTGAATAGACTGGTAGAGACGAGAGCCGTGTGGCGATAGATTCCAGACGCAATGACATAAATTAGTCTATAACCCCCACCTCCTCCATCACCCCCAACACCCTATCCAACACCCCCACCGCCAACCTCAAGGGTATCCAAACCAGCGGTATGCTCCCCACCAGCTCCCAAAACACAATCAACATCCCAACAACCATGATCGCAATCCTTAACAAATAATCCCACCCAGTAATCACCGGCCTCTGCCCACGACTAAACGTCGCATCCTTAAAGCCAAACCCTAACTCCGCGCCCAAATGCTCCCTCGCAACTCTCAACCCACTACTGAACCCGTCCTCATGGAACCCATACTTCGTCCACGCGCCAGCGTAGCTCACGCCGCGCGTATCCTGTATCTCCTCCAACCTCTCCTGCGCCCGCACCGCTTCTACCGTGTAGAGAGGATGACGGTACTCGAACCGCCCCTGCGTCAGCGACGCGCGAGGAGGGGAGGGCGGGTTCATCGTCACGAGCACGTGGCCGTGTTTGTTGCGCGGGATGTGCTGGAGGATGTTCATGTCGTAGGTGAGGCTGACGCCGGCGGGGTGGGCGAGGTGCGAGGGTTGCGAGGCGATGAGGTAGTTCCAGCTGCTCCAGGTTGCCGGGCGGGTGGGGAGGAGGGTTGGGTCGGAGTGCAGGTAGCAGGTGTTGGCGGTTGTGCGGAAGGCGGAGAGGATGGAAAGTTCGAGGGGGGTGGCGGAGCCCTTATTGTGAAGTGTTAGCTACGTGGAAAGTGTAGTGGAGGGTTTAAGGGGTGGTGGAAGTACCTTTGGGTCGCTGAGGTGGGACTTTGCTGAGACGAAACTTCGACTGTCGGACATGGAGGACGTTTCGTCCTGTATGTTGCCGAGCTGGGTGTCGTCGGCAATGATAGGTAATATTTGGTCGCCATGACAGGCTAGCACAACATGGTGGAAGAAGTCCGCCGTCCTCTTTCCATCCGCCGTCTTCCAGGCCATTGCCACAGAGTCTTTGGTGCCTTGAGGCGGCCGAACAAGGCCAGTGACCTTGCAGCCTCGGTGTATGTGCAGTTGGGAGCCAAGGTCCTTCTCGATTGCATCGATGTATTGCTTTGAGCCGCCGGGTATAGTCAACCTGATGACCGATTAGCAATCTACTTGTTTTCAGTAAGAGGTACACCAGCCATACCAGTCCGGTCTCGCAGCAAGCGTAGAAAGCAGATGATGATTCCACATAAATCGTACCAGCGTCTGCGCCGGAAACTCCAGACTCGCCTTGTCCGGCGATGTACTCCACACAGCAGCCGTCATGGGGATCAGATAGTCATCCCGAAAAGCCTCCGAGTACCCTTCTCGTTGCAGATACGTCCCAATGGTGATGCTCTTCGCCTCCTCATCTTCCGTATACAACAAGTCCAGCGCAAACTGGTTGAAGCGGATGACATCGAATATCAGTCGCCAGTGCCGTAAGCGGAACAAGTTGCGCCGTTGAGCAAACAAGCCTTTGCCATCGCCACTCCATTCGAATTTGCCGCTGTCTCGGGAGACGGAGAAGGTCATCTGCGTTGGTACGATCGGCACGTTCAAGTGTTTGAGGAAGTTGATGAAGTTCGGGTATGTGGCGCTGTTCATCACGATGAAGCCTGTGTCGACCGATATGTTGCCATGAGGGGTGTTGAAAGGTTGGGTATTCGTGTGGCCTCCGAGGCGGTCCTGTGTGAAGAGATGTAAGACTGTGGTTCTTCTCTGATATCTGGAACCCGCACAGAGCAATTATTGTGTATATTGTTGCGCAAGAACTCGCTACAGTGTAGATACACGGATGGAAAGACAGTACGATGGTCAACACTCACTTCCTGCTCGAACAGATGAATCTCATACTCCGTCCCCTTCAGTCCCCATGCGGCACCCAAGCCAGCACATCCGCTGCCAACGATGGCCACCTTCTTCTTCTGCGGCCCTTTTGGCTGCATCTTCACTGGATCCGATACGTTTCGCGAATGCGTCGCAGCGTATCCTCGAGGTACCGTTAGCATGTGTTGCGAGCAGGTGGCGGACGAGCGATTATGCCACAGACTGTGGTGCTGTTTCTCAAAATTACGGCGTACAGAGAAGGGAAGTTCGATATTGAGTATGTATGATTAAGAAGGCGAATAAAGAATCGAACGTCTAGAACTCCATTACGTAGCGACCGTTGGTGGTTCTGCAGCAGCGGGCCGTTTCCAGAAAAAGTGTACCTGCGTCTCCACGCTGTCTCCTGGAAGCCGGTAAGACGACTTGATGATGTGCTGACTCTCAACACCTCTGCCTGACCTATGAGTCTGTGTATACTGGACTTCGAGGACGGGTAGAAAAATGAAGGAAGTTAGAAACATCGACCTCCTCGGATCACAAGATGAAGTCGGCAAGATCCGAGAGTCACGTGGTCGCAAGCCAGCCACATCCGGCTGAACTAGACCTACACCTTGTCATCGTTTGAGAAGGCAACGACATTCAGTCGACTAACTACCACAGCATTCTACAAGTAGCCACTCCAACAACCGCATCGATTACCTGAACACCACCAATCCACTACAGCTCCGAACTCAACTCACCACCCACTCCAATCTCCTCACCATGGCCAACCCCCTCGACGGCCCCCCGGGCAGCGAACTCTTCTCCTCCTACGAAGCCGAGCTCCGCCTCGTCACAGCCGACATATCGCAAAAACTCGACTCTCTTCCCACCCTCACCGCCGAACCGCGCAAAGCCACTCTATCCCAAACTTCCCGCGCGCTAGAAGAAGCCGACGAGCTGCTCGGGTCCATGCGGTTGGAGAAGCAGAATATCCCTTCAGTGCAGAAACAGAAAGTCAACCAGCGCTTTCGGAACCATGAGAGCGATGTCGATGCGTTGAAGCGGAAGCTAAAGGGGCTGGAGAGCGATGACCGCGCGAGATTGTTTGGGGGACGGTATACGGATAACCCCGGCGAGAACGGCGGCGGGGATGCTGGGGTGGAGCAGAGACAGCAACTGCTTTCTGGCACGGATCGGTTGGAGAGGAGTTCGGGGCGGTTGCGGGAGAGTCAGCGGATCGCGCTCGAGACGGAGGATATTGGGCGCAATACGCTGGCGGATTTGGGGAGGCAGAGGGAGACGATTGAGCATACGAGGGGGACGTTGTTGGAGAGTGAGGGGTATACTGATCGCAGTAATAAGACGCTGAAGGGGATGGCGAGACGGTGGGTTCCGGCGAGTTTGTGGGGATAGAGGGAGCTTGATGTGCTGACGAGATGTGTTAGGATGGCGACGAATAAGATTGTGACGATTGCGATTATTACGGTGTTGGTGATTTTGATCATTGCGGTGGTTGTGAGTAAGTTTAGGTGAGAGGAGCCGGTTGTGAATGGCGATGGCCTTTGGCGTGGTTGGATATCACCATAGCGTGCAAGGGCGGACTGTAAGAAAGGCCGTTGATTTTTGTAGCGGCATTGCGAAACCAGGCGCAAGATTATGAGGGCAAATGGATTTTTCGACAACGCCTCCGCTAAAGCATCAAAGCCGCACTCATCTTTCCTTCTAGATATCGTACATCGCCTCGCTTGCGAGTCCAGCACAGAACGGCTAGTGTTACCGAGCAGCTCGACCAGGCCGGTGCGCTTCCAGCGATTGATTTCGACGGCCGCTGTGGTAGGAACCTTCTCAAGCAGCAGAATCGAGTCCATGCAAGCGTGGCGCTTCAGCGCAACCGCACCAACACAAGGCAGAACGTCTTCTTGCATCCTTCATCTCAACGCTCACGAAATGAACTCCCCCCCACTCCCACCCCTCAAACTCTCCGCACTCCTCCCCGCATCCCAGAACAACCCCGTCGCCTCCCTCACATCCTCTCCTCCCACCAACCCACCCTCGCTCCCCCTCGCCCGTGCCAAAATCCCTGCCGGCGCAAGCAACTGCAGCGCATACCGCAGACTCACACTCGTCCCCTGCCGCGTCAGCTCCTCTAGCGCTTCCTCAGACAGACTCGCCGACACCTTCAGCATCTGGTTCTTCGCGGCCTCAGTATCCTGGGACAAAGTCGGTAAGGTCGGGGTAGCGAATTCAAGACGCGCGCGGATGGTGATGATGCTGCGGATTTCGGTCGCGGTGTATGGGTGCGTGGGGATGATGAGGAGGCGGGGGAGGAGGTCGGGTGGGATTCCATGGGCGGAGACGAGGGAGGGCGAGCCGCGGATGGGGGTGAGGCCGCGGTTGGAGGCGAGGATGACGATGGGGGAGAGAGGGGATTCGAGCGCGCGGTTGAGGTAGGTGTAGCATTCTAGGTCGAGCATGTGGACCTGAGAGGATCTAAGGTCAGCAAAGCGTGAAATGATGTTGGGTTGTTGGCTTTACCTCGTCGATGAACAGCACGCCCGGCACCAGCTCCGCCACCCCTTGGTCGATGTACTTGTTCACCAGCTTGTTGATCTCCCCTCTCAGCTTCTCCGTGATCTCCGTCTTCCTCGGCTTCATCAACTGCCCCATCATGCTCATGACGTCCTGTCCGCCCTGCGGTCGGGCATTTGCGACATCCAAATCGTGCAGCGTGACATCTTGCACAATATCCTTCTTCTTGTGCACCTCGCCCTTCGGCACCGGCACGTACTCCTCCGCCTCCAAATCAAATTCCGTGCTAAACGCATCACTTCTCCCCACCCTCTTGACCGCGCCAGTGTTCGCTTCGATGTAAATCACATCCCCCACCCTCACCCGCTCCTTCTGCACCGCCTCGTAAATGCTGGGATCTAACCTCAACTTCTTCGTCCCCTTCGAGCTCCTTAGCGTAATCACCAGATGACTGATCGTCCGTCCATAAGCACCAAGCGGATTCTCGCTCTCCTCAGGCGTCAACTCCACAACCTCCCCCTCATACACCTCCTTGCGCTCCTGCACCCGCAACCCGATCGCGCGCCGAAAATTCTCCATCAGCGCCTCCGTCTTCTTCACCTCCGCCGAGTAGACTTCGCTCCCGGTCATCAGACAGAACGGCACTTTCGTCCCTAGCTCTTGCGACACCGCGAGCGCGAGCGCGGTCTTGCCCGTCCCTGGTCCGCCCGCTAAGAGCACAGCTTTGCCCGCCATCTTCTTCGAGCGGATGAGGTCCACGACGACACCGCACGCTTCTCGCGCGGAAGTCTGGCCGATGAAGCCATGGCTGTCCGGGAGGGCGTAGCCGTCTGAGCGCAGCCCGAGGCCTTTGATGTGGCTGTGGGCGGCGGTGCGGTTTTCGCGCGTGTTGGTCTGGCGGACTTCGCTTATGCTGACGGCGGAGGGGTCGGTCGTGGCGGGTTTAGAGGGGGTGGAGGCCATGACTGCGTCGTTTGTGCCGTTGGATGCCATTGTGGGTAGAGAGGAGGGCCCGTGGCCGGCGAGGAGGTGGTGAGGAGATGCGCCTGTCCGATCGAGAGGTCGGCTGTCTCTTTCGCTGAGCTTTGTAGGTCTTCGTGGTGTCGGTGCGGTCCTTGTATGTCGGTGTTGTTGAAGCTGTGTTGCGCGCCCAAAACTTCTCTCGACGACGCGGAAGTTGGACGCGAAAGCTCTCGGCTTTGGCTCCGCACGTGACCAAAAGCCGGCTGACAATGCCGGGCTCCCGATTCGTCGCTTGTTACATCACCGGCGGCTGTGCTTAGAAACATTCAATCTCCAACAACACCATCTCTCACGACCCGACATCTCACCTACGTAACAATTCTCACTCAACTACGGCCATAATACTGGATCACATCTTCGAGCATGGCCACCCTCCGAACGCCGACGCCGCTCCTCAGCACCGTCTTCCGCTTCGCCTCTCATCCGACCGCCTCTCGACGATGCGCTCGATGCGTACGAGCACAAAGATGCCCCTTCTCCTCATTCACGCCAGCTCGGCAGTCTTCGAAAAGACCACTCATGACCGAGACTGCACGACCGCACACATTAGAGCCAGAGATGCCACCTCCGCCACGCAATGAGGGAATACCCGAGACCAGCATAGCCGGGCAACATCAGCAGCAACAAAGCTGGCCACACTCAGCGCCTTGGGAGCGGAAAGACAGTGGACAGAACACTAGTGAGCGGGAGGTGGAAGCACAGAAGAGCAAACCCACAACCGCCGGCAACGAACAGCCGTCTCCTCCCTCCCAAACGACTGCACCACCCGAACCAGCTCCCAAGAAGAAATCCAAACTTCGGCCCCGCAAAGCGCCCATCAACCTCACACCAACCGCCATCTCTCAGCTACATCAATTGGCCGACGCACCGGAGTCGAAACTCATCCGGGTAGGCGTGAAGAACCGAGGCTGTTCAGGATTGGCCTATCACCTCGAATATGTGGACAAAGCGGGATCCTTCGACGAGACGGTGGAACAAGAGGGCGTTAAAGTGTTGATCGACTCGAAAGCGCTGTTCAGTATTATTGGCAGCGAGATGGATTGGGTGGAGGATAAGCTGCAGGCGAGGTTTGTGTTCCGGAATCCGAATATTAGTGAGTACCACCATATCATTTATGGAGAGAGGACAATGCTAACGGATCTGACAGCGGAACAATGCGGCTGCGGAGAGTCATTTAGCATTTCATAGCGGATGGCCCAAACCGCCGTCACGAACCTCATGTCTGCATCACGGCAATTGTCGAGCGTTCGAGCGTTTGAGCGTCAGCTCACTGTATAGACATCTATAACAACTCGATTCAACATTCCCACTCATCCCACGCTTCCCAAGAAGCGTTCACAATCCATCAATAAACCCCCGGCTCAAAATCCACCACCCGCACATTCTCCACCACCCCCTCCAATCCCCGCACAAACTCCAAATGCGCCGGGTCTTTTTCCAGATAGTACTTCCGATCCTCCTCGCTTTCAAACTGGCTTATGAACGCGTGCGTGAACGCACCCTGCCATATCACCCCTCATTAGCCCATCATTCGCAAGGGAGAAGGGGAGATGGAGAGATCACTACTTGAAGCCCCTCCGGACTATTGTCCCGCCCGCCTCCTAAGCCGCGGACGTAGGGTGCGTTGGTGGTGGGGTGTAGGCATTTTTGCGGGAGGGAGAGCATGTGCGCTGACACCTAGAGGGCTGGTCAATATGGTTAGGTAGTATGGGGGCTGGTTGGGGGAGGGGTAGATGGATGTATGTACTTCGCGGATTTTGGCGTGGGGGACGGTGGGTTTGAATTCGAAGAGGACTATGTGGGTTATTGGCATTGTTGCGAGAAAAATGGAGGGAGCTGGTGGATGAGGGGGGTTTGGTGTTCGAGGGCGATATCGTTGGTTGATGCTTGTGGTTGTTGGAGGTCGTTGTTGTTCGAGTGGCTTCACGACGGTTGTACGGTCAACCTCAATGGACTGGCACTGTCAGTCAGAGGTTATTTCACTACTAGGTATCTGGCAAGATTGATGGTTAGACTACATGTACTTGATGAATGTCAGAGTGATTTCGTCAAGCTGAGTCAGCGGCCCAAAGCACTCCGCGTCTTCCCATCACGTCCCCCTCATTGCATGTGATCGACTCAGAGATGTAGGCCGCAATGGCCGCAACAAACACCCCGTTGGACCTGGTCATACGCTTCTCGACCTCGAACCCGGACGTCATCCTCTCCATCAGCGACCCGGCGACGACGTCAGCGCTGTCCTTGAAACAGCAGATCCGCTCCCATCTCGACGCGCCAGCTTCCTCGAGCCGACTACGATTGATCCACTCTGGCAAAGTCTTGCTTGACAGCGAAACCCTATCACGAACACTACACGTCACCCTCCCTCCACCACCACCTCCCAACAATGCCGCCCAAAGCGAGAAGGCCAAGGGCAAACGGCCCCTCCGTCCTCCACCTGCCCAGACACCCCGAGTCTACATCCACTGCTCCATAGGCGACCCTCTCACCCCCTCCGACCTCGCCTCCGAAGCCGAACTCGCCGCCAAAGCCGACGCGGCCCTCCTCTCCAACACCACAGCAGCCGTCTCCCAAACCGAAGACAATGCCGCCCCAACGACAACCACCACCCCCGCCCCCCGCGGCTTCGACCGTCTCCTCACCACCGGCTTCACACCAGCCGAAGTCGCGACGCTGCGCAGCCAGTTCCTCGCTATCCAATCGCACACGCATACGCCGGACACGATGCCCTCTGGCCCCGAACTGCTGGCGCTCGAGGAGCGGTGGTTGGACAACGGGCACTCCCCTGCGGGAGACGAAGCAGGTGGTTTCGTGAGCGAAGACGAAGGAGGGCTCGAAGACATGCTGTACGGGAATTTGACGGGGTTCTTTTGGCCCATCGGAGCGATGTTCTGGTTGATGAGGGAGGAGGGGGTGTGGACGCGGAGGAGGCAGGTGGCGGTGCTGGGCGGGTTTTTGGTTAATGTTACGTTTGGGTTTTTGAGGGTGATGAATTGATGAGGCATGATATGAGTTTGTGGTTGGGATAAGGTGAGAAGAAGGCAAGAAAGGATTCATGGTGGCGGGTTCTGGTATATGAGGCTGGCCTTGGGACCGCAGACGACGCTCTGCACGTCATGCATATCCGAAATTTCAGTCCACTCCTCCACGAACTCCGGCGCTCCCTCTCCCAGACCCAACTGCCCGCACCGATTCCCGCCAACAACAAATACCGTCCCACCCTCCACGACCGCCGCCATAAACCCCTCTCCAACCGCCAAATCGACCACATCCGCCACCTCTCCAGCACTCTCGATCTCCACCAACCCCACCTCTCCACCCGCCTCTTTCAACGGCGCCATCGTCCTCTCCTCCCCCAGCGTCCCAGTCCCCCACACATACCCCGCCCGATCCTCACTCACCGCCCCGCTCACCCAACCCCCAGCAGCGACCTTGACGACCTTCAACCCACCCAGCGCTTCCACCGGCCCCGGCTGCTCTGCTGGCGAAGTGGCAATATCCCGTCCAAGACTCCTGTATCGCGGATCGCCCCAGGTGTACACTTCACCACTTTCCATCAAGAGCGTGAAAGTTCCGGCGCCAGCGACGAGCTGGCTCGGCCGGCCTGGAAGAGGGAAATGTTGGGTCGAAGAGTCTAGTTGCACTGACGGCGGGTCGGTGAACCAGGCGAGGAAGTCCGGGAGAGTGGGGAAGTAGAGCAGGTGCATTAGGTTGCTGGAGGGGAGTTGTTTGATCGTGGCAGCGAGTGCGCCGTTGCCGGCGAGAGCTACAAAGCCGAGCCGGGGCGAGTCGTCGTCGCCTTGCCGCTCGAAGCGGTTCACGGTGGGGTCGAGGAGGTAGAGGGCCCCGTTGGTGGTGCTCAGACACCCGAGGAACCGGTCGTGGTCGCCGAATGCGGAATGCAGGGTCGTCGCTACGTCTAGGTCGAGAGACTGGGTCAGGGGCTCCGGGCCTTGGATGTGCAGGGTGTTGTCGGCGAGGAAGGCTGTGCAGGACCAGCCGGTGAAGAGGAGGCGGGTGCTGTGGGATTCTGGGAGGATGGGGTGGAAGGTGTGGAGGTCGGAGGTGGTGTTGGGGAGGAGTTGGGAGAGGGGGTTGAAGCCTGCTGCTTTCAAGACGATGTTGGCTGATGGGCCTGCTGAAGGGTTCGACGTTGGTTGTTGATCCGGTGAAGTGGTGCCGTCCATGATGGTGATGGCGACGCGGATAATCTACCGGCTTCAACGTGTTTCTGGGTGAGTTTCTACTTTCCAATGTAGGTCCAGGCACCCCTCGTCTTCGTCTGATGAAGCAATGAGCTTCAAATCTGCGTTGCTGTCCACAGCTTGCCCCGCACACGAAATCATCACTCTCACCTTCGATCAAACGGCCCGCTCACTCTCTCCATCATCCAGATCTACCACGTCCAAATTCACAACCGTCTTCCGGTATGGCGACGAAATACCGCAACGCTGCTGCCGTGGCTGAGGAGCGGATTCTCGAGCTCACTGGGCACTTCTTCACCCATCCTGACAGCGCGACCGCGACTCGAAAACCGGAGAAGCAGGCAACTGATCAACGACAAGCCTCTCCATCACGATCAGAACAGACCGCATTCAGTGACAAATCTGCCGACCGAGGATCCAAGGGAGACGATAGTGAGAAGCAAAAGCATTGATGCCCATGCCTCATGCCCCGCCGCTTTGCAAACAGAGTCCTTTCAGAAACCGTCACGGTATTTTCGTCAGTCGCTTTCAGAAACGACATGGACATTCGTGTCCATCAGGAAGGAGAAACGAGTAAGGACCGTTGAGTCATGGTCGGCGCCGATGGGTTTATTTGGCATTGAATGGGACTCATGGTCCCTACCTCAGTCGCGGTCATCATCTCAAACTTGGCATCGAATCTCACTTGCTTGGCCATATTAACAATGACAAACTCTGGGCGACCTTCGCACGATTTGCATTTGATGGGAACAAGGCAAACTGGAAGCTCGTCGAGATTGCAGCCTCGGACCCGCGCAGCCGACGGTCTGCTTACGATGCGTATAAATTTAAGCTTCTGATGCTTACAACTCGTCCGCCACGGACGATAACCGTTAACGATCTTGCCTGGCACTGTCAGCCCGCGAAAAGATTCCCCCGATATGTGCAGCCTTGACCGCCATGTGGAGGGCTATCCGATTGCTGTCTGCCAACATCTGCACGCCATACTGTCACGGTGTCGCATCTAGCAAAATGCTGTTGATGCAAACAACGCATTGTACGATGGACAGACCAGAGTCCAGCAATTGGAATGCGAAGCTTTTTGCAACCTGCATCAGTCATCACCAACAAGCGACATAGCGTGGCAGAACCCTGGACTGAACCTTGGTATCAGATAATCATTCCAATGGACTTATACAAATACCTCCGAATCGGTTGCGGCGTTAATCTAAAACCTACCCGGCAGTTATGCCCTTGCTCGACGACATGGTTGCAGGAGAGGCTAGCTGAATTACATAGCTTCCCATTCACCTGATCGCCTCGACATATATATACCAGTGGCTTGCCAGAGGATGGAGGCAGCTGCATCGCACCATAGTTACTACCACACCAGCGACTCAACATGAATCCACTCATTGCAACGTTCCTGACCTTCGGCCTAACAGCTGCCTCTTACTCCTGCATCGACTTCGATGTCCCATTAACCTTCAATGCCTCATATTTCCCTCCCAGCTTTCCGAAATTCGAGAACCATTACCAGAGCGCCGCCTTCCTCACCGGACTCACCGCACGCAATGCTGCCGACGGCCCGTCTCCAATCGGCGATGCTGTCAACACCACCGTCGAAGCGACGATTGCTGCTCACTACTGCACGCCGGACGGTGCAAAGCCAACAACTGTACAGATCCTGACCCACGGTCTCGGCTTTGACCATTCGTACTGGCACTTTGGTGGTCATGGCAGCAAGTACAATTATGTCAAGGTTGCTACTGCTGCTGGATACGCTACGCTTTCGTATGACAGGCTGGGGAATGGCAAGTCGAGTATCGGGGGCCCTTATACGATCCAGCAGCTCGGGCCTGAGACGGGTGTGTTGGTCGCTTTGACGACTCTGCTCCGTGAGGGTGGGCTCTCGAAGCCTGCTGGGAAGAAGATTGCTGTGCCGAAGAAGGTCGTTCATGTCGGTGTGTCAAGCTCGCTTACCCAACTTCTCCACAACAGTGGCTAACGGAAATCGACGACAGGCCACTCCTTCGGCTCCGCCATCACTAACGTCCTCGCCGCCATTGCCCCCACGCTCTCCGACACCATCGTCCTGACCGGCTATAGCACGGATCTGACCTACAGCATCAACTTCGCCGCCGCGACAAGCTTCCACCTCGCGATCGAGAACCAGCCAAAACGGTTCGCAGCGTACAAGAACAAGGGCTGGATCACTTGGGCCGACGAACTCGTGAACCAGTACGGCTTCTTCCACTATCCCGCGTTCGATCCCGAGGTGCTGGCGACGGCCGAGGCGACCAAGTTCCCGTTTGCGATTATGGAGCTTATCACAAACTCGCCGACGAAGGCGCCTGCGTGGACGGGTCCGGCGCTGGTATGTGGTTGTTTAACGTTCGATGTGATCTCATACGCTGACTGATGGTTTGTGTTGCAGCTGATTACCGGCGAGTACGATGAGATCTTCTGCGGGAGCTGGTGTCACGGGGTCTTGCACAAAGCGAAGCCGTACTTTAAGAATGCCAGTGTAAGTGCCTTCAAATCTCGGGCGCTGTAGTTCGGGTACTGACAAGGTGTCAGCCATTCGAGACGTACATCCAGCCCGACACTGGCCATGGCATGAACTTGCACCACAATGCGACCGGCTTCTTCAACGTTGTCAACAACTTTCTCGACGAGAACGTCGGCGCTTGAAGGTCGTCTGCTAGGTAGCCTTTGCTTGAAGCTGGTGGCAGCACAGACTTCGAGCCTGAGGCAATTCAGTTCTATTTATTGGCAGCCTTGTCGGTGTGACCAGCTGGCAGTGGCTTAGCTGCGGATGCCTGTTGGAGACTGCTTTCTTCAGACGCAATCTGTTCAAAGCGATTCTAGATATATATGTTGATACTACATCAGATGAATGTCAAGATACTTTCGTCCGACTCGACGCGTCGCTCCAATGTCCGCCAACCACACCCCACGTTCGTCCTTCACTGAACAGCGTCCGCCACAAAGAACAACATTCTTCGACCTCCCCTCCGAAATCAGAATTGAGATCTACAAACTCGTCTTCGCCAACATGGAACCCCGACCCCTCCGCATCGAACACCGTCCCAAATACGGCTGGGCTCTGTACAATGGTCTCAATTATCACTACTTATTCTCCCCAGCGACCAGCCTTCTCCAGACGAGCAAAAGATTCTACCTCGACGCTGTCCCTACTCTCCACAGACTCTGCCGTCATGGCCCCACTCTCGTAATCGGAGTAGGGCAGAAATCTTTTTACGAGAAGGACATTAGATGGGAGCTTCTCCGACAAGGTCGAAGTCTTCAACTAAGTCGTGTCCGCGACGCCCTGCCTCCGATCCTGCGTGGAGCGAGACAGCGCCTGACGCTCGAGGTCGTCGTTCCACACGATCCTGGCGAGCAGGTCCTCACTATAGCTTTCTTGAAGTGGATGCGGGCTGTCGTCAACACGGCGCCGTCACATCCTGTCTACGGGGACAGCGATTCACGACCAAGGGTGAGGGAGCTCCGTGTAATTTTCCACACTCACGGGCGCGCTCACAGTCCAGCACCTGGCGTGGGGATCTACGACGTTTTCCGCGGTTGGCGCTGCTGCAATGTAGAAGCTGAAGTGGTGCGGAAAGGGGTCTGGCCGGACGATGGTGCTTGGACCACTCAATGGATGACTCCTCAGGGACCGACTCAGAAGCAGTCTTGCAAAAGTGTGATGATGTCTGCTCCTGCGGAGGGTGGCGCGGATATGGAACGCAGCGAGGAAGAAGCCTGGCGGGATTCAGAAGCAGCTCGCGTGCAGGCTACCGAGAAGTGGGCATGGAGGGCAGCCGTTGCGTCGTTTATGTTGGAGCCGGTGAAGTTGAGTGATATGCTGCGTTGGGCGCAAGGATGAGGATAGACCGATATCCTCCAGCCTGCTGCTTCTTATCCCAGGAGTCTTCACACCCACCTCTTACTGGTTGAAAGACATTGGAATGGCTTCGTGCGAAGTCGACAGCATTGCGGACCGCTTGGTGCTTATGAGCGACGACCAGAAACGAGAGGCTCCGGCGACGATGGTATGGAAGTGGGTACTTTCTGCAAGATCTGTTGGATATGTCACCTTCTCACTACTGCTTCGAGGCATCATTCTCTCCTTTGGTCCCATCGCTCTTCTGTCTGTTCGTCCTCCAAGCATAATACTCTCCCGCCGTCATCGCGGGATACTTGGCCGGATTCTCGTCGCTGACACAAGTCGGCACAGTCTCAAGGACCTTAGACCTATCGAACCCGAAGAAGAAAGGCACGGAAAATCTCTCCTTGCCGCTTTGGTTGATGACTCTGTGGACGGTCGAGACGAAGAAGTCGTTGGTCTGCCTCATGAAGCAGTCTGCAATGTTGACCAACATTGATCCGGGGACTGGATTCGCTCTGATCCAGGAGTTCTGCTTGCTGAGGACCTCGAGGCCTCCAGAGTCGTCTTGGGTGACGATTGTGAAGCATTCGACGTCGGTGTGAGCGCCTGTAAACGCACTGATCAGTTTTCGCTCCATCCGGTGGATGCTTTGTTACTCACCGATGCCCTGCTGGTCATCCCTCGATCTCTCCTGGCTTGGGTAGTGAATTATCCTCATGCCAGCCTCCGGAGTTTTAATGTACTCATCGAAAGCATCCTCTGGCACATGCAGCGCCAGTGCAAATATCCTTGTCAAACGCCTGGCAAGCTGCAAGAGCTGCGTGTGATAGCCGTACATGGCTTGCTTGAATTCCGGCTGATCGGATGGCCATATGCTGATCGAAGGCTCATCCTTATCGACAGCTTCCGGGTCCGTTGAAGCGTCATAGGCGAGATTGAATGCTTCACTCAAGTCTGCCGCCGGTCAGCTACTGCCGCCATACAGAAACCACTGCCGTTCGTCGGACGCTACCTCGATGCTTCCACTGATTGCGGTTGTAGGCTTCCATCGGATGGTAGCCGACGAACTCTCCTGGCACTCTGCCTGTGAAGACCTCCATCTTCTGCTCCTCTGGTAGCTCAAAGAACAACTTCGCCTTCTCAAAGGCTTGCTCTTTATAGGAAGGGTCAATGCCCTGAACAAGGATTTTAGCGCTCGTTCACTCTTGCGGAGAACGATAAACTCACATGGTTGACAATGTAGAAGAAGCCAATATCGTGCGAAGCCCTTCGCACTTCCTCAGCGACAGCCTTGCGGTCCTCGAGCTTGTCGCTATAGATGCAGGCAATATCGATCACTGGTATCTGCTCCAGCGAGGTGGGCTCGTTCGATGTGTATTGAAACGTCTTTCCGTTTTGTAACAAGACGGAGGTGGTAGCAGGTTCGTTGACACTGGTCGTTGTTGTGGTCGACATGGCTTAGATATACTCGTTGGCTGTGAGCAGTTCTGAACAAGCCTTTTTATTCTGATGAGTACAGACAGTAGAGTTGGGTGAGCTACAAGTCGGATCGTCGAAGCTTCTCTCTAGGCCTTTACAGTTGGAGTACAAGGCGGGTAGAATAGAGCTCGTCAACAGCAACACAGCAGCACGGCTCAGTCGGCCAACGACCTTAGCCTTTAGCCTCCGATTGCGGCGTCAGTGTAGGAGATATCTTCGGCAACGTAGAGGGCAGTGCAATCGATCTGCAACGTGAAGGATGCGGCTACATTGCATCCAGATAGGCAAGATAGGCTCACATCCTATGGCAGATTGTACATGTTTGGTGGCCGTCCGCCAATCGAGCTCTGATGCTTGTATTATGCCTTTTGCTCTTATGTTGTTTTAAAACTGCTTCTCTCCGTACACGCTCTGCGCGATAGTAATTCCATGCTTGAATATCTGTCCTCAGGTCTCTAGGCCTCCTGCGTGAGCAAGGCGACCAGCCCACCGAGTGCCTCGAGGAAAGGAAACGTATCTCACAGAGCCTGGTAGTCTCACAGACCTCTCCCCTCCTCGATCCTGATTTCCAGCGATATGGCCACTCTGAGTCCCTGCCTCTCCCATCGGGACTACTTGAACTGCAGAGCAATAGCCCTACAGTCTATATCCCCATCCCCATCCCCACCAAGATCATGATGGAACACATCCGGCATCCCTAGTGCCAAAGCCCCCTCACAAATCGCAAACGTATTCCCAACCGTGCCCGGATAGTCACATGAAAGGATCCCATTGCACAGCGAGCAGATCGGGGTGTTTGCAGACTCTGCTCGCGCGACTAGAAACTCCCAGGGGTAGACGTTGTCGGTGTTCCTGGAGATGAACAAGCCCAGAGTGAGGTCGACGAGACGCCCTAGAGAATCGACCCCGAAGCTGTCGGCGTTGGCGTCGTTGGCGAGGACGATGCCGTGGCCGGGGGCGCGAACGGTTTGGAAGAAGTTGTTGTGCGGGGCGCTGGAGTTGTCGGTCGAGTCGACGTAGTAGATATTGAAAGTTGCCGGGGCGGTGGAGGAGGTTGCGATGACGGATGTGATGACTTTGGTTTGCGTGAAGGTGCTGTAGACGGTTCGAGCGATCTTTTGCAGCGTTAGCAGAGGATGAGGTTGTATGAAAGGTAGTACGTACGCTAGTCGTGGACATTTCTGTAGTCGTGAAGCGTTCGGTGGTGGTCTTTAGGCTCGTTTCTGTGATAGTTGGCCTGACCCGTTCTGTGGCTTCAACCTGCTTTTGTTTTAGCCACCAGAAACCATCAGGAGCAAGAAGAGTCAACGTACTTCGAATGAAATCGTCGAAGTGACCGTATTCGAAGGATCAACGCTCGTCACTGTAACCACCGTCGTTGCCGGAGTTGGGAGCGAGAAGCAGCCGCATGCGTCTCGAACACCCTGTCGTCCGTATTCCCTTTGATAGTTCTTCACGCAGGGTGGTTTGCTTGGCAACGCACGCTCGGCGATGTGCGCGCTGTATGGAAGAAGTGACAATGAAGATGCACCAGTGCCGTATGCGGACCCTGCGCCGTACGCGGACCCGGTGGCTGAGATCGAATGGTTGCCCCATGGGCCCCTGGAGGAGCTGACAACTGGTGGCCATGCGGTGCCGGTGACCAGCGGCATGCTGCTAGAGGAACCAGCTGCGAACGAGGAGGAGCTAAGGACGTTCGACGAGGAGCTGAGGACGTTCGACGAGGAGCTGAGGACGTTCGACGAGGAGCTGAGGGCGTACGACGAGGAGCTGAGAGCGTACGACGAGGAGCTGAGAGCGTTGGAAGAGCTGAGAGCATTCGACGAACTACCACTGCCGCAAGTGTAGACATATTGGAAGCTGTTCGCGTTAAGGACAAAGTCAGATATCATATTCAGCAAGTAGGTCACGGATGGACATACCTAGTGGACGTGGTAGTGGTAGTGGCATTGAAGGAAGTGATTGTAGCCGTTACTTCGGTGCTGACTTCGGTGAGTGTTCTGGATGTCAAGAATTAGTAGGTGCTTGCTGGTCACATCAGCTGTTGGCCTTACGTGGTCGAGTTGATCGTGTTCGTTCTGTTTCTGTCAGCACACATGCTCACATCCGCCTGATCTGAAGACATCTCACCTCGTCACAGAATCGGTAGTCGGCTTTCCAGTGATCGTCGCAGTTCCTGTCGTTGTAGTAAAGTCTTCATATGTCGTGGCGGTGTAAGTCGAAACAGTAGTCGAAGTTGGCGTGGCAATCTCAAGGACGGATGAACAGTAGCTCGACAGATAAGTCGTGCCCTGACGACGAATGCAGCGCGCACCGTCCGAAGCAGTACCGGTACTGCAGGTGTTTAGTCTCCTGCCTGCGAGCAGGTCGCCTGCAACAACCTGCAACCACAACATCAACCCCCAGATGCTGAGACTGTGTTGGCAGGCCATAGTGAAGGTGAGAATTTTCGAAGCGAGTGACGTCGATGATACGAACGAGTGACTTGAGGTATGGTGTTGTCCCGGATGCTTACACGTCTTTATAACAGTCAAGTATGAACGCCTGCCGTCTTGCGGCGATTTGGCTGATCGGCATCCTCTACTGCCCCGGCGGTCTTCATTGTTGGGTGCTTGTTCATGGCGTGGGACTAGAAAGCCATCCAATCTAGGCCTTCTCGAAGCAGTCTTTGCAGTCTTTGCAGTCTGAGCACCACCTCAGCAACGTACTTTGTGCTTGAGGCTTCAATCAAAGCGGGCTCGTCAAGCCCAGAAACACTGATGAGCGTCGGCGCGTACCTGTGTTCTCGAGCTTTGGGCGTTTTGGGATCGAAACAGGGCACCGAACGACCACTCTTTGTAATGGCTATCTCAGGGGTAAGAACCTGCATAGCAGCCCTGAGGTACATGGCTTCCCTGTGCGACTGGTGGTGACACCTGTCTGGGTTTCATGCCAGCAGAGTGTCGTTACACGGCCCTGACGAGGACTCTTTTGGGTGCTTCTGGAGTATGACAAGACCGATGTGTTGCCCGAACCAAATGACGAACGCCAGGGTGATGCACGCTCTCATGGAGAGTGAATCGGATCAAAGAAGGCCGTCCACAGCGCCGCCCTGAGCTCCTACTGTACCGCGCGATCAGGGCTTAAGGTCTATCAAGCTGGCTGAAGATTCTTCCGGCGGTCTGACTGACACAGTAAGACGGGAGCCGATGAGTAAGTCCTTCGGGTGGATCGCATTCGGAGTACTCAATAGAAATCCTCGCCGCTTAATTCTTGCAGGACGATGAGTGGTCGAGAAGGGCACGGAGGCATCGAAGGGCCGACCATCGGTAGGGCTACAATCCTTCGAGATGAGGAATACCGAGTGAGACTGTCGTATACCTAGGAGGTACCCTGGTGTGGAATCCACTTACTCCTTTTCTTCTGGAGCTGCCGATGATGGAACGGCCATCTGGCGTGTCTGGTACTATCTCCGTGAGCTGTATACGATATGAAATGCCTTCTCAGTACCGCACAGCCCTCCTTCGAAGACGCAGCACGGCGCGAAGGAAGAGAGGAGGGAGGGTTGATGAGTAATGTAGAGGTCGGAGCCGGATCTCACCCGGCAGCTTCCTGCTTTCCTGCTCCGTGATTCCTCTGCATAAAAAGCTTGGGATACGAATGAGCCAATAGAACGCTGATCTGATGCTCACTACGGACGGTGTCAGATGTCAGCTTCAACACCGAGGCTCGCTTCCGCCGAACGACATTGAACTCGCCTCTCGTACGGAGTACTTATTGATGACATCCCTCTGACTGTGACTCGACGCCCTGTGGTGAGCTGTCTTCTGGTGTTGAAGAAGTACAGATTCTACGTCGAAATTGATAGACGCAAGTGGGCGCTAAAACCTGGCCACAACAAGATATCGAACGCCGGTTTAGCAAGATGGAGACTGGCAAGACGACCAAAACCGTTCAGGTCCCGCACCTATACAGGCTGGTCCTCGTACTCATCACCCTCGTGGTAGTAGCACAGCTAGTCCAAAGGATCCGGCTCTCCAGAAAACGAACAGCCTACGCCCGCGCCGCCGGTGCCCTCCCAGCCAAAGTCTACCCGCAACGAGAGCGCATCCTAGGGTGGGACCTCTTCAAAGAGAACATTACCTCGCTGAAAGCCCACACCTTCCTCGCGGATCAGTATGGGCGTTTCCAGAGGATGGGCGTCAACACGTTCGAGGTCACTGCGTTGGGACGGACGATCCATACGACCATTGAGCCCGAGAATCTCAAGACTATCCAAGCTGTTGATTTCAAGAAATGGGGTCTCGGGGAGCGAAGAAAGATTGCGTTTCGGCCGCTCCTTGGTCATGGGATCTTTACAGAGGATGGCGCACCGTGGGCCCATTCGAGGTATGTGGCTTTTCGTCCCATGTGGCGATCATAACTAAACTCTCGCAACAGGGAGATGCTGAGGCCAAACTTCGCCCGTACGCAAATTGGTGATCTTCCAACCTTCGAAAAGCATGTCCAGCATCTGGTCGCCGCCGTCCCACACGACAACTCCACCGTAGACCTGTCCGAGCTCTTCTTCCGCCTGACAATGGACTCGGCAACCGAGTTCCTCTTCGGAGAGTCGACAGAGTCTTTGACAAACAACAGCCACGAAGGGTTCGCCGAGTCTTTCACCCGTGGTCAGGACTTCATTGCCAACGCGTCTCGTTGGGGTGCGTGGGCTAAACTGTTCCCGGCCAACAAGCAGTTCAAGCATGACCAGAAATTCGTGCATGACTTTGTTGACTACTACGTTGAAAAGGGTCTTGCGAAGCGTGATCAATTGTTGAAGGAGAAGTCCAACGCGGAGAAGCCTGGTCGATACGTCTTTATCGATGTAAGCAGCGCCCAGCACTTTTTCAGCAAAGCAGAAACACGGCACTAACATCCTATCAGGAACTCGTCCGCCAAACAACAGACCCCATAGCCATCCGCAGCGAACTCCTCAACATCCTCCTCGCCGGCCGCGACACCACCGCCTCCCTCCTCACCAACGTCTGGCACATCCTCTCCACACGCCCAGACATCTGGTCCCGCCTGCAGACCGAAATCGCCACCCTCGACGGCGAAATCCCCACTTTCGAAGGCCTGAAGAACCTCAAGTACCTCAAAGCTCTACTCAACGAATCCCTCCGTCTGCACCCAGTCGTGCCCGGCAACGCCCGCGAAGCGTACGAAGACACCGTCCTGCCCGTCGGCGGAGGACCGGACGGTCGCGCACCCCTCTTCATCAAGAAAGGGAGTTCGGTGGGCTGGAGCGTGTACACGATGCACCGCCGCAAAGACTACTTCGGCGAAGACGCCGAAGAGTTCAAGCCGGAGCGCTGGCTCGATGACCCAGAGACTGGGAAGAAAGGACTAAGGCCTGGGTGGGAGTACTTGCCGTTCAACGGCGGGGCGAGGATTTGTTTGGGCCAGCAGTTCGCGTTGACGGAGGCGAGTTATACTACTGTGAGGTTGTGTCAGGCGTTTGGGGGGATCGAGAGTAGGGACTCGAGGCCTTGGACTGAGGGGCTGACGTTGACGTGTGTGAATTTGCACGGGGCGAGGGTGGCGCTGACGCCGGTGGAGGGTTGAGGTGGTGATGACTCGATGAGTGGCGATCTGCTTTATTTCACGACCCGGGACCAAGATCTGACGATTGCACTGTACACTCTCTTCTTAATAAGTAGCAAAGACCTACCAAAAGAAGGCTGCGCTTCTGCAGGTTCACCTTCCTCGAATGCATCAGTGTGTTGTTCGAAGCAGGGACTCTACCTGGCTATAGAGGAACCACGGAGCCATCTTGACAAGGGAACTGCATCTTGGTCTGAAACTTTTTGACTTATAGAACTACTGCTGTCGCCTGCTATCACACAAGACCATCCTTCTTCTGCTGCTCCAATCGCTCCTGCATCGTCTGCTTCGGATTGAACAGCTTGCCCAGACCCATGTAAGGCGTGTTAATCGGCGACGCACCAGTGAAGATGAAGATGTCGTAGATCAGGCCTCCGAAAAGACAGCCCAGGACTATATCTCCAGTCAGCTACTGCGTGCGTGTGAATGGGGGAGATCGTGATGCTTACAAGGCGCAACCATCGGAATCCAGAAGTAATAGCCTCCAGCCGACCACACCTCATGCCCGTACCCAACAGCATAGCTCATCAACCTCGGCCCAAAGTCTCGAGCAAGATTGATCGCATAGCCGGTTTGCCATCCAAAACAAGCACCGATGCCAAAGATCAGGAAGAACAAGCCCAACGGAAACCAAGCTCCAGAAGCGGAGAACTGGCCCTTATTACTGTCGTCCTTGAGAGCGAAAATGACGAACATCAAAATGAAACTCGCGATGAACTCGTCGAAGAACATGCCGGCCTTCGTCATGTCGGCTGCCGGGTATGTGCAGAAGATGCCGGCCGTGGCGTTGGTGGCGGGGGGTACGGTGCGCACGCCGTGACCTTCCATGGCGTTGATGCCGTTGACGTAGTTGATGTAGATGACGCCTGCTGCGCAGAAGCCGCCGAGGAACTGGGCGACGAAATAAACGGGAAGACGTCGCCAGGGGAGTTTGCGGAGGATGCAGTTTGTGAATGTGATGGCGGGACTGTACCGTGTTAGCTTATGCCAGTCAGGATGGGAAGGATAGCCATACTTGAGGTATGCTCCCGAGTCACCGGCGACGTAGATGCCCAACATGACACCCAGGCCCCATCCCCAACTGATGGACTGATAATTGCCCCAGCCGTCGCCTCCAGGTGCAGAGGGGTCGCCAGCAGTCAGTAAGACCTGCGCAACACTGCCGTCACCGAAGAGGACCATTATGAAGACGCCCTGTAAATCAACAGTCAGCTACTGTATGGTAGGTGTCCTGACCGTTGATATCACCCACGAAGAACTCAGCAAAAGGTTCCTTCAAGCTCATCCGTATCTTCGGCCATAGCAGATCGCTATGTTCGCTCTCATCATGCTCTTCAATCACCGGAGCGATCGGATGGAGTCCAAGCCGAGCTCGTGTGTTCGTGAGATTCGTAGACGTCTTCTGCGAATTGAGCGAAGTCGTCGTCTGCTGAATCTCGGATGGCGGCAGGGTATTGAATGTATTCATATTCTCCAACTGCTGCTGGTCCTGCTCGCCATTGGATTCCTTGCTCGTCCAGTCGTCGGACGAGATTTTGTCCAGACTTTGATGGTGCTGATGGGCCATGGTCTCGTCTTCCTGTCGAAACGCCCCAGATGCGAACGCTGATGGACAAAAGGATGAAGATGAAAGGCGAGCAGCTAGTAGAGAGAAAGAGACAGTCTGACAATCCTACGAGCCGACCTAACTCTAGCGGAGCCTTTGCCGACACCAGCTAGCTATACCGCCACGAGGCCATCCCCACCACTGCTGTCATTTTCCCCATCTCGGATCCGCGCAAGCATCGACGATCACGCGTTCGCACGGCCTGGCAGTCTTCGGCATGACGCAAAGTCAGCGGAGGAGCAGCCCTCGGAGAGCCGACAGAGCTCTGCAACGAGAGGGCAGACAAGGGTGGGTTCGCCTATATGATAGCTCCCGCTGATGAACCGTGGAAAACGGCGCGAGGTGAGGTGAGGGGCTTGCACGTGATCGGCTGCGAGGCCGTCTGATGTTGCCGAGAGTGAGCCTCTTCCTCTTCCTGCGAATATGTTCCGAGGGCCACCAAGAAGATGAGTATTCACCACCGCAGCAGCTTATTAACAATTTGCCTCTTCTCATGGTCGTGAAGTCCATGCGGGGACTGGCTGCTTTCTCATCATACATTCATTCCATGCTCGAGGTCTCCGAGGATCTACGGGCTGAGATCAGCAGAGGAGCTCTCAGTCGCAGTTCATTTTCCTTCCGTATCCAGCAAGCCAAAATCCTCTGCCGTGTTGTAGCGTAAAACTACCTCCTCCGCCGACATCAGCTCGGTCGCAACACGATACACGCGTGACAAGAAGCCCAAAGTAAGTAACGCAAGGCCATCGCCTATCACTCCCCCCTCCAACCTCACAGCCCACCTGCAACATCCCCATCAAGCATCTCCACGCTGCTATCTCTACCCTCACCACCCGCGGCGACCGCCGACCAGCTGTCCGGTCCAGCTCTCGCTTCTCGAACAGGTGATCAAGGCTTGTCTCGCCAAACGGCACCATCAACTGGCGTCGCCAAGTGCACCATTGCATGGCCAAGACGTTCGCGACCCGCCGCGGTATCTCTCGCCAATGGCTGGCTCACATCAGTTGGGTGGTGGTGAGAAAAAGTGATATGGCTTGGTAGAAGGTATAGATATAGCTGTAGATGTTGCGCTGGATGAAGTCTTTTCGTACAGTGAGCTGAGTCTGTGACTGAAATTGTTCGCAACCATGGGCTGGATACACGATACCAACACGCGCATTGCGCAGAGCGCTGTCGGACGGTACTTCCGTCTTGAAGGGTCGGGACATGTATGCTGCTCACGAACATTCTGATTGAAGGTCGAATACTGACATCTCCCAGCCCAAATCCCGTCCCAACTCGTTCTTCTTCACCGAAATCCGCGCCGGTCTGGCAACCTTCTTCGCCATGGCCTACATCATCTCCGTCAACGCAACCATCGTCTCGGACACCGGCGGCACCTGCGTCTGCCCACCATCCAGCCCCGACTTGTGCGAGACGAACCAGGACTACCAGCTTTGTCTCTCCGGGTTGAAGCGCGATCTCACGACCGGCACGGCAGCTATCTCAGCTCTGACGACGTTCTGCATGGGTCTGTTCGCCAACATGCCCATCGCTCTGGCGCCTGGGATGGGTCTGAATGCCTACTTTGCGTACACCGTGGTTGGATATCATGGAACAGGTCTCGTGCCGTACCGCGTTGCTGTCACGGCCGTGTTTGTCGAAGGATTCGTCTTCGTCGGTCTCACGATCCTTGGGCTGCGGCAGTGGTTGGCTCGCGCCATCCCAGCATCCATCAAGCTCGCGACTGGTGTTGGTATCGGTCTGTACCTGACCATCATCGGCCTGACATACTCTGCCGGAATTGGCGCCGTTGTTGGAGCAAACGCGACACCACTGGAACTCGCCGGCTGCAGTCCGCAGTTTCTCGATGAAGATGGACTCTGCCCTTCTGCGTACACGATGCGCAGCCCGACGATGTGGATCGGAATCTTCCTCGGTGGCATCCTCACGGTCATGCTCATGATGTTCCGCGTCAAGGGTGCGATCATTATTGGGATCCTCCTGGTCTCCATCATCTCCTGGCCTCGTCCAACGCCGGTCACGTACTTCCCCTACACACCGGTCGGGGACGACATGTTCGATTTCTTCAAGCAGGTCGTCACTTTCCATCCGATCCAGTCGATCCTTGCGGTACAGGAGTGGAACGTCAGCGAGTACGGCGGCCAGTTTGGCCTTGCGTTCATCACATTCTTGTATGTCGATATTCTCGACTGCACCGGTACCTTGTATTCCATGGCCCGCTTCGCCGGAGCGATCGACGAGAGGACGCAAGACTTCGAGGGATCTGCTGTCGCATATCTGGTAGACGCCTTCGGCATCTCCATCGGCTCGCTGTTTGGCGTCCCGCCAGTCACGGCCTTCATCGAATCCGGTGCCGGTATCTCTGAAGGCGGCGCCACGGGTCTGACGTCCATCGTCACCGGCCTGTGCTTCTTCATCTCGGTCTTTTTCGCGCCGATCTTCGCTTCGATCCCGCCTTGGGCGACGGGCTGCACGCTTATCATCGTTGGCTCGCTCATGGCCAAGTCGGCGAGAGACATCAACTGGTCGTACATGGGCGACGCCATCCCAGCATTCTTGACCATCGCCATCATGCCGTTCACCTACAGCATCGCGTACGGTCTGATTGCGGGCATCATGTCGTACATCATCCTCAACACCACCGTCTGGGCTATCGAGAAGGCTTCGGGAGGGAGGATCAAGCCGAAGGATAAGGAGTTGAAAGAGCCGTGGACTTACAAGTTGGAAGGCGGGATATTGCCTCCGTGGGTGACGCGAGCGGCGAAGGGGAAGAAGGACTTTTGGAGGCCGTATGATGACGAGGAGCACCATAACGGTGTGGTCCCGGCGGACAGGAGCTCGGAGGAGATGGACGAGCAGAAGGTTGTGCCGAAGAGTGCTCAGAATTGAATAGAGGATGAGGGCAGATGATGAACGACTCAAAATGTACTTTACCTCACGCAATGATACAATGTTTACATGCAACGGCCGTTGTCATATTTCATCTTGCGAACTCCACCGTCCTCTTCAGCGGAGTCTGCATGGAGGCTTGTGATCGCGAACGAGCTATAAGCCAATTCATAAGGCACGGCGGCGTGCTGGTAGTTCTCATGGTGCTACCTCGAGCTTCATATTGATGGTAGAAGGAGAGATCATTTGTGAGGTGATGTCGAAGAGGCGTAGTGGGATCGAAGGTCGGCGCGTGCCGATGTTTTGCTTACTAAGGCATCGCGTCTGCGCGTCGTCCTCTAAAGCTCACTTCGATGCGTGACATGGTTGTTATGCGAGTGAATGAACAGCACCAAGACGTGCTTGAATCAAAGAATTGTGTCGTCGCGACGTCTACCGCAAGACGTACTGGCCATTAATCTCTTCTGCAATTAACCGCCACGACAAGCGATCGAGCGACAACTGGACGAGCACCGCGACCTACGACATACCCTACATGTATTGCCTCAGTACTCGAAGACCGCATGCTGCCACCGTGACCGCAGTCCAGAATGTACATACCACACCAACAGATCTCGCAACTCTACACCGAGCTTGTCCGGACAACTCATCCGCTATCACCACCGGTCCTCATCCTAACAGCATTGACCGTCGATAGCCTCTGTGCAGCCCGGATCTTGACAACATTACTCAAGCGCGACTACATCACGCACAAGACTCAACCTGTGAGCGGGTACTCGGATCTCCAGCAGATCGGCCATGATTTGGTATTACCGTTGATGCGACAAAGAGGTGGGGATGGAGGGGTAGTTGTGTGCTTGGGCGTGGGAGGGTTGGTGGATCTAGAGGAGACACTTGGGCTCGATGGGAGCAGTCAGACGGTCGAGGGAGGAGAACCAGAGGACATGCGTGATCATGGTGTTGAGGTGTGGTGTATCGACGCCAGACGACCGTGGAATCTGCAGAATCTATTCGGCTCTGTGCCCTCCCCTGCCGAGCTACCCGGACTGGATTCAGCAGCAGAAGCACGACGACGCGGCGTAGACCAAGGACGCATCATGCCGACGTACAAGTTCGGCAAAGGCGGCGTCATTGTTTGGGTTGATGAAGATGTCGGTACCGACCTTGCCGCTGAACGAGAGGCGTTGGCAGAGCTGCAAAAGATGCCAGAGATTGACGAGCAAGACCTTATACTGGAAGGAGCCGAGAGCGACGATGAGGGGGAGCCTAGCAGCAGCCAAAGTCGAAAACGAGGCGCGTCCGAATTGGACGGCGATGCAGACGACGATAGCGAAGCAGAGAACCGACCTCGTCAACGGAGGCGTAGCAACAGTAGCACGCCGATACCTTCCTCACCACACGGAAACCCACAATCAGCTCAAGTTGCGTTCGACTCAACACCGCCCACATCGTCCCAGCCGCGGTCGCCGGTTAACATACCTTCTTCGCCCCCGAAGGCACCTTCCCAGAGACAGCTGAAACGGCAGCTGCTGAAGCTACGACGAAAGCACGAGGCTACGTTGGAAGCTTACTACAACCTTGGCACTTCCTACTCGGATCCAGTGAGCAGCATGCTGTACTCGCTCGCTTCTGACCTTGGTCGAGAAGACAACGATCTGCTATGGCTAGCCATTGTTGGTATATCGTCGGTCGAGCTCTCGCCATTTTCTCAACCACTCAAATGGAGCGATACGCGACACCGACGGATGCTAGACCGCACCGAGCAGCGACGAGAAGCCCTGCGAGATGAAGTGCGCCGACTGAATCCTGTACCGGACGCCGAGCTACGAAGAAGTCAGAACAATGGCGAGAGCATAATACCCTCCAACGCTCGCAGCTCATCAGACTTTTCCATCCGTCTGTCACCCGAACCCAGGTTCTTACTGATCAGGCACTGGAGCTTGTACGACAGCATGCGGCACAGTCCTTTCTTGTCAACGCGCCTGCATATCTGGAACGAAGCGGGACAAAAACGACTAAACAAGCTGCTGGCCAAGATGGGTGTCAGCCTGCAAGAAGCGGGCAAGGGCTACCTGCACATGGACATGGAGCTCAAGCAGTCGCTGCGGAGACGAATATTGAAGTTCGCGGAGCAGTACAATCTCGAAGGACTGATACCTGGCGACGATGGCCGAAGCGGGTACGAGGGATGGGGCTTCGTGCGAAGCTGGGGCTACAACACTACCTTATCCGCAGTCGACGTCGCGGTAGTCGTAGGCGCCATCCTCGAAGTCGGCACCGACCTCACCCACAACAGCCTGGACATGAGATACGACCGCCGCGGCCCCGACCCCAAATACAGCGCCCACATCCGCGCCTCCGCCCCTACACCCCCCAACTCTGAAGAAGAATCCTACGACCCTTCCATCCACCTCCCCAACGCCTCCGAAGCCCCCGACTGGACTACCCACCGCTTCTTCGCCGCCCTCGACGCCCTCAGCCCCACCACCTCCTCTCCAACCCAAGGCCTCAAAGTCCTGCTTGCCCACATCCCGACTGCGCAGAACTTGCACCGCGCCATTTTACGCACAGGATCGATGCTCATCGCCAAGAAACGCGTCCGCGCCTTGAAAGAATTCAAAATGGGCGTCGTGAACGAAGGCCAAGACGTGCAGCTCTTCACACACCCAGGCGCGCTGACGCAGTTGGCAGCGTGGGTGCAGGAGGCGATCGCGGTGCAGGAGGCTGAAAGCGGGCGGCAGATGAAGGATGCGCGGGAAAAAGCGCTCGTACTCGCTTGTCTCGACGAAGGGAGGAGTGTCTATGTCGTCGTGGGGTTGGGCCCGGGCGGTGCGGGCGGGAAGAAGATCCGGTCGAAGGCGGAGATGAAGGAGCGGGAGGAGAAGAGGAAGAGGAAGGAGGCTGCTAAAAAGGCTCGCAAGGCTGAGAAAGCGCGTAAGAAGGAGGAAGGACGGCGGCTGAGGAGGGAGATCCAAGAGGCGAACGGTTTGCTCGATTCGGACGATGAGGGGAATGAATCGGATGAGACGGAGTCGGACGCTTCGTCCAGCGACGGCTCGGATTCCGAGTCGGACGATGAGGTGGCCGAGGCGAGGAAGCAGAGGGGGTATGGGCTGAATCGTTTCGGACAGGCTTTTCAGGAGGTGGTGGAGGAGACGGGGGCAAGGGTGCGGATCGATTCTTTCGAGCATTCGGTTGTGGAGGTGAGGAAGGATGATTTCCCGGGGTTTTTGGAGACGTTGTCGCAGGTGAGGGTGGTGGGATGATTATGATGGGTTTTGCTTTTTGATGTTGCTGGGGGTCTGGTTTGAGGGTGGCATTGCGTGGTGTTTTGGATACCTGTGCTGTGGCGTTTGCATCGCAGGGGAATGTGAGAGCGGTCGTTGATGAGTACGTACTACATAGCTGCTTTGTCTTTGTGTTTGATGTCCATTGGGTCCCCTGCATTCTCCAACACTCCTTCGGACCTTTTGGCTTTGATGGACAGAAATATAGTCGTTCGCTAGGCGCTGTGCTAATGTCTAAGGCTCATTGGGTATTGTCGAGCTAGCATCAAATTGTTGGAGCAGGGACCTATGCCGCCGCCAGCCAGCATCAACTGCGTAGTATATGCGGTTCGCACGGACTCTGGCAGGGCGTGGCGACATCAACGCTCGTGCTAGACACGCCCGTAGGTGTGCTCTCCATCGTCCTCTACAGGCCGCTCGCTGCAAGCCCCCTCTCCACACATGGTATATCATATCCAACCCCATCCCCCCTCACTTCCCCGTCAACAACGCCTCCTTCTTCTCCCTCTCCGACTCCTTCAACTCCCTCATCTCCTCCTTACTCATATCATACCGTCCACTAACCTGATTGAACGGATTCTCCGGACTCTTCTCAAACTCCTTCCTGATCGCGTCCACCTTCTGCTGCCGCCTCAAGCCCTTGTCATCTTTCATCTCATCTAACCTCCGCTCCTCGAAGGCCGCGTAGGCGGCTTTGAACCGCCGCTCGGGGTGTTTGTCGATCTTGTCCGCGTTGTTGTTGTTTGTGAGGGATAGGGCGTCGATGGCGTTGTCGATGCCGGTGGCGTTGAGGGCGGCGAGGTCCTTCTTTGAGGAAGGAGCGTCGAGGCCGGAGAGGTCGAGGCCCTTGGATTTCTTTGCTGGGGCCTTTTTGGCGCTGCCTTTGCTGGGGAGGCTGGCGTCCTCTTCGGCCGCGAGCGCATCTTTCTCGGCCTTCTTGCGGGCGGCTTCGGCTTGTTTGGCGGCGGCTGCTTCGCTGTTGGTGGTGTGGTTAGTTGTGGTATTTGGTTGGGTGGTATGAGTGAAGACCTACGCTTTGCTGGTGTCTTTCGAGCCTTTATCCCATTTCTGCGCCTCTGCCTGTTCCGCCTTTTGGTTCGCTACTGCGGCCTTTTGCGATGCTACTTCTGCTTTCTTTGCGTTGCCGGCAGCCTTCTTCGTGTTCTCGCCTTTCCCTTTCGGCGCCATGATGGAGGAAGTGTCTGTTGGTGGGGCTTAGGTTCCTGTTCTTTGATGTGAAAAGTGCTTCGTTTGCGGTATTTCTAGGGAAGATCAGTAGGTACAAATGGTAGGAGTATTGAGAGGAAAGTCACAAAGTGTCGTGATTGTTTGTGAGTCGTCTCAGAAGATACATGCAGTGGAGGTCTGACACATTCACTTTGGCGCCACGTGCCCCGCCACTCCACGAGCTTTCACGTGAAAGGCCGGCAACCACCAACGACCTTCATTCGACGAAACAGTACTGGTATTCCAACAAACACTTCAGTCTTGTCCTTGAGACTGTCAGACTGTCGCTGCGTTCACTCCCAACAAGTCCGATTGATGGTTCAACCACGCTGAAGACGTCTGCAACACAACCTGGAACCTCTAAGAGCAGCAAACACCATCGAATACAGCACGAGCAAACGACTGAGTAGACTTAACATATCCCAGGTCACCTTTATAATTCTTGATCCCTTCTGTAATCGAAAAGATTGACAACCATGGCGAAGAACCCCAATCTCTTGCCTCTCCTCGACACCTTCCTTGCTCGCGAACAAGAAGAGTCGTCGATCAGCATAGATGCCACGAACTCGATGGTCGTTAACATCCTTGCCGTCTCCCTGGTTGCTTCCTCCCACGGCTATGAAGTCGTGCTCTTGTATCGCCATGTCTGCGGCAACCACCCATTGGAGAAGCAATTGATGGTGCAGAGGCGGATGAAGGAGGCGTTAGTCAAGACGTCGACCTTCTATGGCCTGCCAAAGGCATTGCAGGCGCTTTTCCCGCTGTTCAAGAGTCTCGATGAGGAGAAAGGAGAGGTGGATGATTGGGGAGCCAGGTATGTTGCGTGTCTTTTCCCGTCCGCTTTTATGTTAAGTGTGCCGTTCTCTACATTCGTCGTTACCGTTCTGTCCAGTCTGTCATCTCAGCACTTTGTCGGCTGTGGTGAGCCATAGGAACGGCAAGGTACAGGAGAGTGATTGGAGGGTCAACGGTTCTTGCGCACATATCCCTTTCATGCAACTTCATCTTACAATGGCTCTCAGATGGGACCGCATCTCCCACTCCTTCACCACCACAACCACAACCACGCCCCTCGCCCCAACAGACCTCCTAACCAAAGGAGAAATCTTCTTCACCAACCTCTGGGGTCCCACCGCCGCCGCCGAAAACTCCGCCTTTAACCTCAAGCACTGCCCCGACCTGCACTTCGTCGTCACCCTCGTCCTCATCTGGATCATCGCCGACGATTCGCTGTACGCTCCACACGAGACCTGCATGCTCAACGCGGCGGCGATGATATGTTCGATGAACGGGGCGCAATCGATGTGGCATACGCGCGTGGTGGTCAGGCAGGGTGGGACGATGGCGCAGGCGAGGTTGGCGAGGGATCTGGGTGTGGCGGTGAAGGAGTTGTATAGAGATGTTGAGGTGCCGGGAGACCGGGTTGCGGACTTTGAAAAGATTGATTTTGAGGACCTTGTGTCGCATGCCTGAGATAGTTGAGGTCATGGTGGAAGGAGGCCTGGTCTCGAACTCTGTCGCGAGCCCGACGATTGGAAGACTGATGGATGTCGGTCTGGAAGGAAGGGTCGAAGAGCGCGGTGGACATTTTGGTCGACTTGGCCCCTTCGCGTTTGGGCGGCTGACTGTAGTGTGGCTCTATGCCAGCCTCATCTGCAGGAGAGCGCAATCCAAGCTGCACTTTTTTGGAGTCTCTTGACGACGTCGTTGTCTTCTCAGACGAGCTTTGCTCCTGAACCAAATAGAGCTCTTTGCTTAGGCTCCTCGGGTCTTGCCGCATGTTGTCTGCTCCCGGCGCCACGGCTGGGGCCGCATATGGCCACGGAAGCAGGTTCACCTTGACGTGAGGGGCCTGCATTGTAACAGCATGGTTGGAATATGCATAGAGGAGATATTCGAACGCTTTCCTCTCCGAGCTCCATGTCAGCGTTCGCTCTGCGGAACGCGAAAGTAAGAGATCTTCATGTTCTTTTGCAGAGTTGAGAGCCTCCACAGCGCCTTCGATGTCCCATCTCGACAGAGGCATCCCGCCCGGCGAGAGTGATTCCATGGCTCTGAGATTGGTCGCTATTGAGATGAGTCGCGCGTGACAGCGAGGACCGTAGTCCTCCGTGGGTGCTGCGCGTTCTAAGATGTTATTCTGAAAGCGTAACAGTCTTGTGATGGCAGCCTTTGTCGGGGGGAACACTTCACCTCGTTTATCGTAATACACGCAGCCTCGGGCAGCGTCACAAATGGTCTGTGACATGTCGATGGCGGCCGACCGGCCTTCGAATGTAGTCTGATCACAGCTCTCAGCAATCTCGGCAAGTTGTAGGAAATTGTATGCCAAAGCAGGGGTAGCACCATTGTCGGAGAGCCCGTAGCTGCACGACGAACGGCAACAGATGGCAAGGGCGGGTTTAGCTTCCCAGTAGTGACGAGATTGCACAAGTCGCTGAGCTATATTCATGAGGCGTCGATGTTGCTCGAATGATATCTGCAAAAGTGGGAACCTCTGATGTTCGTCCTGCATATTGCATGTGGGATTCGATCTATGCAATTCGAGGACCGACTTGAGCAGCTGCAAAGATCAGCAAGTGTTCGTCATCGCCCAAGGGAAACGTACCAGTTCTGCCTCATCCACATCATCTCGCAGCGATAGATTTTCCAATCTCTCGATGGATGAGGATAATTCGTATTTTGAGCGGAGAGCGGCAGGGCTTATGTGCACGTTGGCGATCAGAAACATTGTATTCACGATAGCTCGCTGCAAATCGAACTCTGCTCCCTCTGTTTCGTACGACATCTTGGCCAGTTGCGAAATGTCTCCCTGGATAAGCAGGAGTCTCATACGCTCGGCAGCTACTGCAAAGATGGAGGCATGCCGAACAAGATGCTTGTCGGATAGTTTTCTCGCCTCGACGAAGTAGCCTAGGGTCTGTCAAGGTCAGCATAGGTCCGAAGACCAGGAACGCAAGGGCATCCATCGTGCTGGATGACCTTCACCTCACTCTAACTTACCCCTAGTCTCATCATCTCCTCTACGAGAGCGGGCACATCTTCCTCGATCTCGACGGAGAAGTCCATTGCAAAGCCGCCGTCAGGGAAACTCTGGATGCCATCGTTCTCATCCGCAGTCTCCATGGGCACTTCTTCAAGCTGTCGCGTAAGGGCTGCTCGACCTCTTCTGCCTGTCCGTTCGATACTGTCGTCCCACGCTCTATCTCGAATGGGAATGTTTGCACAAGGAAGATAACTTCAAGTCTGGTCAACTGACAAGTTCAGGACCGCAGCCTCCTGTATCCCAGCCTCGAGCACAAATAGCTGGCGACAGCCTTGACGTCCAGTCAGCTCAGGTGATCTATCTGGGCGGCTAGACCTCCTGCGCCTCTGCATCGCTGAAGCAGATGATTGGTGTTGCGTCCAGGTACTCGGACTGGAGCCATTGCAAGCAGCAGGACTCTCGAGTGCCAGCGCGAGTCAGCCCTTATTTTCGGTCGGTCTGCATTCCCATCTTGACACCCTCGCCATCTTGCAATAATGGTTTGGGGACTGTTCAAGAAAGAAAGCTTCTCACAGACCGCCCGTCCCGCCCAAGCTCAAAGACGAGCGGCGCAAGCACGTTCCGCCCATTCCTCCGCGACAGTGACAGCGACGACACCAACACCACATCTCGACAACACCAAAAGACCAAAGTCGCTCGGGAACACCGTTGGTAAATTCGGCATCCGCTGCGTGCTCGAAGGTTCAAGTTCTCGTTCTTGGCCCCCACGATGGTGCATAGCAGGTACCGACCTTAAGGGTGTCTTGTACTTCGCAGTCCAGTTCAACCAGAATGGCAGCACACCTATTGAAAGGGCGAGAGTCCGCATCAGTTTCGGAAAGTCCACCAACATTGACCCGGTACCATGGATCCCAGAATACGCACCCAACAAGGAGATTTCCGGTCCGCCATTGATACGCAACGAAGGCCGTAACCGACTGTTCAGCCCACAATTCGGAGTCAACGCTGCTAGCATTGGTGGTAATCTCAGTATAGGTGAGATGGGAAGCAACGCACAGTCTAGTCCCGGTCGAAGCTGGAAATTCACTTCTGGGTTCCCTTCTACCGATAGCACGGATGTGACTGAGGTGGGATTCGAGTGGACTCGCGGCTGGGACAACGACTACGATGGTCTTAATCGTAAGTTCCAAACGGCGATCGTCGTCAACCGCGACTCGATTGACAGCCTGGCTATGGCTGTGCAGGTGGAAGTGAAGCCAATGACAGGGTGGAGGACGCCTGGTCCCCCACCAGAGAAGAAGAGCGGACCGCTGCAGCCTCTTCATAACCTGGATGAAGTCTCATTTGAAGGAGTGTTGGACAGTCTTGAAGATCGAATCCAGGAGGCTAACCAGCCTGCGGCTCCCAGTGGTATGTTTAGACACGCGGTGCAAAGTCATCGACCCGCGAGCTGACACAGCCAAGCAGCGACCACGACAACGACGACGACGACAGCGGGTCCGGCAGACCCTGGGGCAGCCCCTCCGCAACCTCTACAAATACAATTCACGACAGGCGTTCAGGCTCCTCTTCCACAGCAGCCCATAGCCGGCTCCTCCAGCACAAGTGTACCCGCTCTCCAGCAAGCCATACCATCCGTTCCAGGCTCGGCAGGACGACCCCCAGCTAGCCCGTCCCCACAGCCGCAACAATCTCCAGCACCACCGCCTCCTGCGGCAACCACACCTGCTGGCTCCTCGACGCCCCCAAGCATCCCCATACCGCCTGCAGCAGTACCACTCCCGGCCCAGCCGAGCGGCAACACCACAGCAACGATACCATGAATGACTGCGAGCGATACCCGTCTGAGCGATTTGAAAGCATTTGTGAAACAGGCCGAACGTTTTCTGGCCCCCGCGAGTCATTTATTTGTTTTGAGGCATTATGAGGTAGGGGTATTTGAGTTTACACACCCCTGCAGCTCGGCTACAGCCATTGATTGTACAAGGAGCTCCGTCCCTTTTTCATCCGCGCGCTATGCAGCCAACTCGTACAGAGACATCATCCCAGCCATTACGACTGGAAGAAAGATCACTCCTTCTTCTCCTTCTCCTTAGCCTCCTGAACAACCGCCTCCGGCTTCGCCACCTCTTCAGCAGCCTTCTTCTTCGCCCCCTCCTTCCCTTTCTTCCGTTTATCAGCATAGTACCGCCACGCCCTCCCTATCCCAGCCGTGAAGAACGACTTGATCGTCTGACTCGTCGCCGGCCATGCCACCGTCCCATTGACACACTTCGCGATCATCTGATCAAGATCCTCCTGCGCCGCGATTTTTCGCTCAAAGTCACCACCCTCTCGCCTGCGCATCTCACCCTCTTTGCCTTCGTCCTCTGAAGCTTCCAGGATGGGGTCAAAGGCTGAGCCAGGGATGCCGAATTTCTTCTTGTACTGGTAGTAGACCTTCTTCCTGAAAGCGCTTGGGAGACGGCGGACCATGTTGCCGCGTTTCACTGGGTCGAGATCTTGCGTCAGTTCGAGGCCATCTCTACCCCCTAGCACGTCCGCTGCCAGTTCGACATTAGATCCCGTGTGGCGGATGGCGTCTTCCTTCTCCCAGGCTGGCTCTCGCGGTGTTCGCGCGTCGGTGAATTCGATGTTCGGCAGGTTCTCGATGAGCGGGACGTACAGCTGGCGGAATCCAGGAAGCTGTGCGCCGACGATGTTGCTGACTTTGGACATATTTTCGCTTGCGCCTAGTCCCGGTATACTCATCATGCGAGGGTCGCCCATGTAGCTGAGAGCTGTGATCTTCTCGTACAGCTGGCGTTCTGTAAACTTCTCGGGCAGCATGAGCATTGCCGTTCTAAGCGCTGACAGCAGGTTTATCTGATTCGCAAGTCGCATTCGTGGGTCGTCGCGAAGGATCTTGACTGGTTTCTGCAGCCGGCCAGCCAGATAGAGAGTCGTCCAGTCGTTGAGGTCATTAGCTAGGGTATTAAGATTGACGACGCCGTATTTGATCATCACGCCGTTGACCGTAATGTAAGGGTTGAAGTAAACGCCAGCGCCGAAGCCGTCTTGGACGTACGATATCGCGGCTGAGCTGTAAGGAAGGTATCGAAGTCCGGAGTAGTGGTGCGGGTTCTGGCCCAGGTTCAGAGAGTGCCAGTGCTGCGTATGGCTCACGCCGAAGATGAAGTCTATGACCTTCGCGCCACCTTTTTGCCATTCCTCCACAGCTTTTGGCGGGTCGGGGTGCGGGCTCAGGCTCTGTCCTTCAGGTAGACCTGCGCTTGTTTTGCTCGCGCTACCTGACTGTCCGAATACACCAGAGCCATAGGCGAACGCGTACCGTATGGGAGCGCGAAACTGCCATAATATCTGCCGCAACGACTCCTTGAAGTCCTCATTGATCTTGATGTGCTGGTTATAGCCAAAGAAGCGATGGGGGAGCTCGGAGAATTGCGTTATGTTTGAGTACTGCGGGTTGTCCTCCCAGCCATCGGGAAGAGAGAAGTTGGGCGAGTCTTCAGGGGATGTGGTTGGCTGTGCAGGCGGTCTTTGCTGTTGCTTCTCGTCTCGTCGTCGGGGTGTACCTGAAAGGGTGCGCTGGTGCGGTACGGGTCGGAAGAAGGTCGGTCGGTAATGCCATGCTACCTGGCCGAGCATGAAGGAGTGCGCGCCGACCAAGGCATGGAAGGAGGGTGAGGTCTAGACAGCAGTCAGTCTCGATGTTCATGGCCTGTTTCCTACCAATGAATGTTCGTGCTTACGGCGAGCTTCGGGAGAGCCATGGTTGAGTAGAGGTTGGTCTGAAGTGCTACCGTGACATTGTGACGTCTGTAGAAAGACGGCGTTCAGCAGGACGAGGAATTGAATCAACCACGAAGGAACGACATAGAACGAGGTTGCAATTCAGAATAAACACAAAGCAACAACATTCTCATCAGCAACAGCTAGACCCTTCGAATGCAACAGCTCGCAGTCGCCAACGGCCTCACTTCACTCCCGGAGCTTCGCCGTAGTTGCCCAATTCGGTCAAGTCACGTGAAAGGGGACATCAGGTTAGACACATGTCTGCCTCATATCTGTGGGAGTTTTCGTGACATTGGATATGCGGACACAGATTGTACGCATGGTCGAATAACTACTTAGGCGCCTTTCGAGTCTGGACACCCTGTCGCAGCCGCATCCCATGTGTGCTCCCCAGCGCCATATTGCTCGCTACTCTCGTTTCCCAAACTTCTTCCAGAATGTCATCACCCTTGAGACATACGACAGTCCTCTCCCATCAATACCGTAAGTCGCCAGGATGGTACTGATGATTTGCCCGCAGCAGCTGGAGAGCCAGCTCATTCGCGTCAAGTAAATTGCTCAGAACTTGCCTATAATGCACATACCAGCAACGGGCAGCCTCACGATCACTCCCGCTCTGCTCTGCGAACATCCCATGAGCATCCATCGTCTCGTTGTGATTGGGGTGGCGCAGTGTCTCGGCGTTAAAGTCCAGAGGTTGGAAGGATGTTGGTCTGAGTTGGCCTGTGAAACCGGCGTAGAGCTCCCACTTGAGATTTGTATGGGACGAGAGATGGGTGGAAAGTACTGGCTGTCAGAGTATTGACCTGGACCGGCGACGGGTTGATGTGCTGATGCAGGACGGATCGAATCTTCGCTCCGTTGAATAGCGGATCACCAGTCGCAAATCTTGTGTGAAACCTGTAAACGTTGCATCCCAGAGTCTCCCGTTCACCAGTGGTCAAACCTAAGACCTGATAACAAAGCCACCAGCCGTGTAGGTCTTGCGTGTATAACCTAGGTCGTCCAGCCATTGGATCATCGGCAGGCTTTCGAAACGTCCGTCCGTACATGTGTGGATGACTGTCGTTTGGTCGCAGCGGTCAATCAAGCAGAGAATTCGGCTTCAAGCACTATCATTGCCCGTGGGCTTCGAGCGTACTTCCAGCTTTCGAGGCTTCTTCTTGATCTTCTGCTCGCCACTCTGTGGATCTGCTGAGTCCGCGGTCGGAGGCTGAGGCACAGTACTAGCACTTTTCTCAACTGCTTGGTCGAGCTTGGCTGCCTCCTGCTTCTGCACTTCTTCGTTCGTCGCTGGGGTGTTCTCCTTCTTGCCTCCGCCGCCCAATTTAATGAACGGGCCATGAATGCCGCCCACGCCAGCCCCAACAAGCCCGCCGACAAGCACAGTGGGCACTGCGGCGACACCTGAGACCACGGTGCCGACGACCGTACCCAGACCCTGCCATCGTTAGTATTAAGGCGCACGCATGCTAACCGGACGCACTGCCAGTTCTGCTGAGCTCAAATCTACTTACCATCGCCACCCCACCTCCAATCCCACCCCCAGCTGCCGCCCCTTGCCATCCACCGCTCTGTAGCCTTTTAGCGTACTTGCTCTGTCCATGAGCCTCGATTTCCTTGTGGTAGGCCTCCTGCATCAATCGCATCCGCTCCTTTGGGTTGATGGCTTTCTTCGCTTGCTGCTTAAGTGCTTCGGCTGCACCTTGAGCCTGAACAGTCTTTTGAGCAGCTGCTACGGACTTTTGAAAGTTCTCTTTGTCGGGGGCATTTTGCTTTTGAGTCTTGCCAGCCTCCGGGGCTGGTTGTTCCGGTTTTGGTGCCATGTCTGGTGTTGGGAACTTCTGAACGAGCAGCTCAGAGTCACTGATATGTTTTATCGCCACGCAAGTGCACACAAGTCTTGGGCAAAGATGGTAGCATCACAACCCTGTCTTCAGATGGAAGAGAGTGGAGGCAAGGAAAGAGAGCACAAGAAAACAAAGGTGACGTCGAGCTGCTGGTGCTGGCGGTGACCCAAGCGTCGCATCCCTGTCTGATCGACGTTCCAGATGCGTGCCGTTCATGTATACATACTGCGCAACCGGGAAAGTCTTCCCGCATGATCGAGGGGACTCAGCAATACTGATATAAGTTGAATGCATACACGGTGTTCGACGTAAAACGGCCTAGGTCGAAGCCTGGAAGACAAATTTATGTCGATGGCTCAGCTGGGCTTATGACGAGAGCAACGATCGAGTACAATTCACAATTATCGCTCTGTGGACGGTACACAGCGGGATGCTCCTGCTACGGTGCAAATTTCGTGAAGGCTCTCCATTACTCGAACTCAGAGACCCTCGAAGGAAGGCATAAATCGGCCAGGAAAGCTCAACAGCGGTGCCATCCAACCCCCATCCACCTGCAGGCATTTGACAAGCTCTACCTTCTCCTCATCACCGGCCTCCAGAAACTCGATAATCCATTCATGCGGCGTGTACTGTTTCCCTCCTTTATCCGTATATCGATACTTCTCCTGCCTCCGCGAGTCGTGCCGGATGTCCAGTGCTTCAATCATCGCCTGGGCTGTAGGAACCCCGTTATCCAAAGCAAAGTGAAGCACTGTCTTGCCTCGAAACCTCCAGACAGGTTTCGTCTTGGCTGCTAGAAGCTGCATCGTCTGCTTCTGTCGAGTTCGAAAGTCCGCTTCTTCATTCGCGATCTTGCACCAAGGCTGGGGCTGGGCGTCGGAAACGACAGCCAAAGGAATTCTGTTGTCGAACTCCTCTTCCTTCACGTTCGGGTCGTGGGTGCGCAGGAGCCGGTCTACCACCTTTGGCAGTGCAAGCAGCGCTGCGAGATGTAGAGATCCGTCGTCTTCTGGATGGCCAATGTTCAGTACACAGAAGGCATCCGCGCTGCCAAAGTATAAGGACGCGAGCCGCAGATCCAGTGTGCCGGATGCACCTAAGAAGCTCTCGTCAGGCGCGGAAGTGGTGAGAAATGCGCCAAGGTGATTGAAGGAGGTTATGGGAATTTCGTACGACATGGTCCGGCTGCGGCTCATCGTGAGGAGCCTCATTAGGATGGAGGTTCGACTCTTGTCCAGGAGGCAGCCAAATGCCGCTGAGACCTGCGTCTTCGGTGTGTTGTACCAAGGTAGTGCTGGCTAGATGTAAGCCTCAGATACTAGATTGCGATGACAAGCGACTGGGGTGGGTAGGGACAAACCTTCAGCTCCCTGATCAAGAAGCACCAGAATATTGTCGTTGCCAACCTTTGGGCTAGAAAACAGCGCCCACACCAGAGCCGTGCACTGCTCCTTCTTCCAGCCAGTGCAAAGTCTGTGAGATATCATAGTAGAAGCAGACACTCGTTCTTCAGAAGCAATTGCAAGAGCGCAGATCCTTCGGGGAACTTGCGCATGCAGACAAACACTAGCTCATCATCGTCAATCCTCGTTGTGAATGGCTGCTCATGAAGACATATTTGAGACCATCGGAGAACGTCCTTCTCAGCTTCGAAGTGATGCTGTAAAGCTCGCAGGACCACCGCCAACTTCGCGTATTTGCTAAGGGCTCGAAAAGCTGGTTCTGCGCCGGTCCTCGCTGCCAGGACGAAGCACTTGGCCTTGTGTTTATTCGGATCCACGCCCTTTTCAAGAAGCGTTTCTATGACGGAAACATTAGAGTGCGATTCCTGAAGGACCGCGACAAGGCAATTGAACATCGACGCATGACTGATGTTCCATTGTAACAGGGAACCATAGACCTCGTAGCGTGCTTTCGGGTCCTCCAACGGAGTCTTTCGTGCGTGCGAGAATGCTATGTTGGCCGTTTGGTCGTCGTCGATGAACTGGATCAGGAGCTTCACAGCCTCGCGAGAGTTCGCTCGGAGTCCCAGGAGGAATGCAAGACCGCGTTTGTAGCCGACAGCAGCTCCGTGACGCAGAAGCAGCTTTTGACACGACAGATCGGTAAGCGTTGTTCTCATGGATGCAACAAGGGCTTTAGAGATCTCTTCCGGGGGCACTCCTTTGGCTAACAGGTATTGATACGCCCAGTACTTCCTGTCCGGGTCCATCGTGGTCGCTCTTGCGTGTCGGAATAGCGCCGCGACAGTGGTACTGCTCTTGACCTTGGTTGCCAACATCCCGAACAGCTCGCGCGAGGACGCCACTAAGGCTTTCTTCAGAGTTGCGACTCTGACTTTTGCGCCCCGTGATATCAGCAGTTTGGGCAATTCGAGGTAGTTCGGGAATGCCAGAACGGAGTCGGCTAGCAAACTCGATATATCCTGGGTCAAGGCACCACTGTTGGCAGCGAGTAGATGCTTGTACATGCGCTGCTTCTGATCCTCGTTGGTCACCGAGCTTGCTGCAGCAAGACATGCCCGACGAAGGGACATGGGTGCTGGCTCGTTCAAGCAAAGCATCTCCAGCACTTTGGGAGATCCTGCAGCAGCCGCAGTCTGGATGACCATACCACCGTCGATGTCGACCTTCGCTCCATGCTTGAGGCAAAGTTCGAGGCTCGCGGAATCACCGTTGATAGCAAGAAGAGTTTGTTGCATCAGCGCGCTCGATTGTCCAATCTCTGCCGACTTGGCCTGCCATAGAAGCAGCTTCATTGCTTCGAGCATGGTGGCCCTGTCGGAGATGCTGATAGCGGCCTCGAATGCGGTTCGCAAAGTAGGCGTGGTTGGATTCACAAGGAGCAGCGCTCGCAGCAGAATCATGTTCTGCTTCTGAACGACGAACGAAAGTTTGTTTCTACCCTTAAGATTAACATCCAGACCGTGTCGGAGGAAACACAAAACAATCGGTTCTAAATTTGGGTTGTTTTTGACGCAGTGCCAAATCTGCAGCGAGTTCAAGGCATCAGTAAAAGAAGCGGTGGAGGCAAGTAATAGTTCGAGAGCCTCAAGGTTGTAGTGCTGTGGTAGAAGAGCGGTCGACAGCACAGCCTTCGCGACCGCCTCGTTGGGTGGGCAGCTGCCGCACAAGATCCCAAGCAATTCGAGATTGTCCAGAGCAGCAAGGAAGGATACACCTCCCATGTAGTTCGCATCTGCTCCATGTGTAAGTAGAAGGCGGACAATATCCAGTCGCTGAGCGTGAAAGATTGCATCTAACAGGGTCTCATTGACCGGTACACCCGTTGCTCCGCGATTGAGAAGAGTTGTGATCATCTCAAGGACGGTTTCCTTTCCGTGGAAATGAAGCCCATCGAATGCGAGCGGAACAGCCTCAGACAACGTCCTTGCCAGGGGCGCTGCGTCACATAGTAAGTTGAGCAGGTGGAGATCGCCTCGCCGCGTAGCCATCAAGACACCATTGTTATCATGTTCGCCGATGCCGTCAATGGGTGCTTTATGTTTCAAGAGGACACTGACCAGGTCGTAATCGACAGCGCCTGCTTCAAACACGACCGTCTGTAGCGGTAGGCCCAATGCTTGTGTCGACACTCCTTTCTCCATAAGACACCTCATAGCTTGCAATCTCTGAGCCCCTGGGCCTAAAGCCATGGCAGCTGGAATGGCAGCCGAGAGTATGTCAGGTGAGCAGTCTTTGCGAAGCAGCATCCCCAGGACGTCGAAGTTTGCCTGTTCCAAGGCCGCCCGCACAGCGGCCGCTCGGTCGAATTCCAGGGATGCGCCGAGGATGAGCAATGTACCAACGAGCCTGCTGTGCTGCTTGTCCACCGCTCGAACCAGATGTGAGTGCAGGGGCTCGCCTGACAGACCGTGAGGAGCTAAGACATGGAGGAGTTGGAGCAGGTCTAACTCTGAGGCCGAATCGGGCACAAGGCTCAACACTGGCGAGACTGGAGATGCAAAATGGCGGCCCCAGAACAGTTTCAGAACGTCAAGATCCATCCGCTTCACGGTCCAGTGGAGTGCGTTGAAGGGCTCGATATCGAAACTCACACCAGCGGTCATGAGGATGCGGGTTAGTGGGAGATTGTGAGACTTTGCCGCTTCCAAGAGCAACGAACGGAGCTCTGGAGCATCTAGCAAAAGACCAGCCTCATGGAACAGTCTGCAGAATTCGAATCTCGTTCCCTCATCATGGACGAGAAGCAGCAGTGAGTATGCGCTCTGGCGGACGTCTGAGAAGTCCTCACCTGGGTCAGCATAGGCTAGGACCGACGCCGTAGCTTCCACATCAGCTAACCTCAAGCAGTGGAGCAGCAGGGAACCGCACGCCACGCCGGGCTGGTGAGCGAGGGACATCAATAGAACTATGGCAAAGTTCTCACTCTGCGACTTCAATCCATATCGCCAGTCTTCCATACCCATAGCGTTTGGGACAGATAGCAGCAATCCCACGATGTCAAAAACGCCAGCCTTGACGAGCTCTCGGAGTACTGACTTGTGAGCTAATGTGAGTGCAATATCGTAGCTGAGCAATAATTTCATGGTAATTAGGGAGCGGTTCATCAGGGCAACACTGAAGGCCTGTTGCAAGGTTTCTTGATCAATTCCAGCATCGCTTATCAACTGGATATACTCCAGATCCTCTTCTCGGACCGCGTCGTCTAACCAGGTCATCCCAGGTAACTCTTGTGATAGCGAATCCCTGGACTTCTTGAACCGATTCTTGAGCGTGCTCTCTGGTTTTGCACCATAAAGCTGAGCCCAGAGACGGTCCACGGAGGTCTCTGGCGCTTGAAGCAGAAGTGCTTGCGCAACGCCTGAGTCCGCCAGCGGCCTGACGGACAGCATGACGTCGAACGCCTGAGCCACCTCATGTTTGGTGAAGACCCAGTTGAGCGGGTTCGCGTTTTCCTCTCGACGCTTGCGCGACCTGAACTTGTTGCGAAACTGTCGCTCGGGTGGCTTGTAACCAGGATCGGCGGTTCGTTGCTGAACGAGTAGCGATCGTGCTTCCTCAATATCACCGGAAGATGCGGCATGGGAATGTCGAGAAGCTGGCCTCTTCAGTTTTGGGATCTGGGCCGGTGGAGATAGACCAGCGATGGCTAACAGCTTGCGAATTCGATCGTCTCGGGACCCGAACATCTTGCTTGGGCATGGGCTGGGCAGCTCTGAAGGGCGGATACACCGCAAGGAGCTTCGCAGAGGTTAAGCAGGAACAGATGGGAAGGCCAGGGCCCTCCGATGGAGCTGATGCTGGCCGTTTCCAGAGACAGGCCGAATGCATTCTTTCCGCGAGAGGTGAGGCTATGCTTTGGTCTAAGATAAGGTGTCCAACGCGCCACTACACTGCAAGCTTGACGCCCGTTTCTCATGCACGCTCAGCTCCAGAGTGGACGAGGCTGAGAGTCGACCAAAGACATGTACGCTCCCACGTCTTTCGGCAGAGCGATGCGCGGGTGCTTAGTCCTGACAGTGAAGGACCAGGCTTCCATGACGATATGCTGTCCCATACTGCCATGTCTGTTAGCATCGCCGCATGTAGTTCGAAGAGCAATGAGCGCTAAGGCACACGACCCTGCGAGGCTGTATGCATTCCTGTTGGAGGTCATCTTGGTGCAGACGGCCGAGGTGTGTCACAGAAGCGATCCATTGGCTCTCGGGGTAGTGTTGCGCATGTTGTCTGTGCCTAGGGCAGTAGTGCAGGCAAAGAGATGGTAGAGAGGAAGCCCGAGGTGGCCCGTGCGCATTTTTCCGTCTTCTCCTTCCGTCCCGTCCAGTGCTTCTGGTCCTGCGTCTTTCACGTAGCCTCAGGTTGTTTTGCACGCAGCCTTGTCTTGCACGCAGCCTTGTCTTCGCGCCGGACACGTCGTACAGCTAGGCGGCCTCAGCATGCATGCCAGCAGGACTGTAACGGGGCTTGGAGCTCCCCTCCTCTGGCCTCAATGTACTCGAACAGTCCTCCCGAAGGTCTTTCTCGTTCGGTCTTCTTCGAGCTATAGACCGCCTGAACAGTCTACCAGCCGAACTGTAATGATCGTCTCCAGGTCACAGCACTCCGGTCCACCATGAACTCGAAACCCCCGTCGTACGCCTCCGCGCAATCGGTGAGCCGAACCAAGACTTCGCAAGAGGAAGTGAAGTCGCGGGCGGATGCCATGCTGCGTGACTCTCTGACTCGAGGAAGTTCTGTCACCCGGCCCCAAGTTGCTTCAGACGGCGTGAACTCCTTGGCGGACGAGATGCTGCGCTCGTCGCTGTCCCAAAATGCTATCAAGCCAGCTTCAGAAGTCTCGTTGACGTCGTCCACGTCTACTTCTCTGCCATCATACCGCAGCAAGCCCCAAGGCGTCCAGGCTACAACCTCCGCAGGACCGGCGGGGTTCCGCCATCCCGGCCTCAAGACCGACAGCCTCAAGGCTCGTAAAATCCAGCTGCAGCGCGAGATTGATGAAGCCAATGCGGCATTACCGCGTCGCGAGACGAAAGGCCTTTTCAAGATAGCCTGCTCTACAGACCTAATGTTTCTGATTGACACCACTGCTTCAATGGGGCCGTATATCGACACGGCCAAGGAGCAGGTGAAGACGATAGTGGACGACATTCAACGGAAATTCCTCAACCAATCTGAGGTTCGGATGGCAGTGGTCAGTTACAAAGATCACGGCGATTCCGGGCATCTCGAGTTTCTCGACTTCACTTCGTCTGTAGAAGCGGTACATCAATTCCTGGCCCGGCTAAGAGCAACTGGTGGTGGGGACCCGCCCGAAGACGTCCTGGGCGGGCTGCAGATGGCATTGCACGCTTCCTGGAAGCAACAAACCCGCTGTATCATCCATATTGCGGACGCACCTGCTCATGGCGAGCTACTGCACGACATGGGAGCATCTTCCGACAATTATCACAGTGTTGGCAGTGAGCCGCACGGCCTCACCCACGAACCGCTTCTCCGAAAGCTGATTGAGTGCAACTTGAACTACACCCTGCTTCGTATCAAACAGCATACTGATCGCATGGCATTCGTCTTCTCCGGCGTCTACGGCTACTCCAACGCAAGGCTGCTTCCTAACAATGCATATTACCACCACACAAGCAGTGACACTAGTCGTACTGTCGGGAGATCAATATCTCTCACGGCACCCGCACCACAATTCGAGGAGGCGCAACTCGGGACAGCATACAGCGAGCTCCGCAATCTGGTAGTTAAGAGCGTGACAGATTCCATCACTCGTACCGCCGGTCATCTTACAACGAAGTTGGGCCGGACAACCAAGCTTGGCTTGACAAGTACCCTCAGAGACCTTACCGTCATACGAGAAGACGACTCGGCGCACAGTCGAAGGACCAGCAGCCGTGTGGACGTAGCCCTAGAGAAGGGTCCACCTCAATGGACCACGTCCGGTTGGTTCGATTCGAAAATAGAGGTCACGGGATTCTGCCCTGCTGTTCTTGAACATGATGCCAACACTCTGAACGACATGATTGATGCCGACGAGAACATCAAGTTGAGCGCGGCAGATCTTACCGTCTTCGCTCGGTCGATGCCCTTCGCCCAAGGCGCTCTGCGTTTGGCCTCTTATGCTCGCACGTCCAACTCGACCAACCGATTCGTGATCAAAATATTCAAAGATGACGACCACGGGCGCGCGGAAGTCACCGAGGACATGCGCATGCAGGCCTTGTGCAAAGCCTTCGCACTCGAATTCAACAGCCTTCTCAAGATCGAGCCTCCACTTGACTTCCTAGTAACTTCATGCTTGCAGACAACAACGCCAGCAACTACAGGCTCTGGCAAAGCTTGCTTGTCACTCGAGCCCTTCATCGAAGGGAATTACATCAAATACAACAGCAACGGCGCCTACGTCAACCACACTCTAGGCGAGGACCCTTTCAACCAGATGGCACAAGCCTTCTCGCACTTTACCTTCGAGCGCTCATGGGGCTTGTTCTTAGTCAACGACCTGCAAGGCGTTGGACATCTCCTCACCGATCCTTCCATCCAGACCCGCGACCCTGAACGCTTCAAACTCAACGACACCAACCTACATGAAGAAGGCTTCAAATTCTTCTTCGCCACCCACGAATGCAACTCCTTCTGCCGCCAGCTCGAACTCCAGAGCACCGGCGAGATGCTCATCTCGGGCGAGTTCACCTTCAGAGAGCACTGGCCGGTCATGGACCCCACAGCCTGCTGTTCAAACAAATTCTGTCGCAGTATCATTCACCTCTCCTCTGCGCACAAGTCGAAAGACTTCCCTGGCCATAACTGGTGTGATAAATGCTAGCCGCAGCTGAGTTCGTTCACGACGTCGTGGATATGCATGGAGCCCGGGCCGAGCCATGAGTTTAGTGTATCCAAGTTCTTCCACGAGTCGCAGGGTCAGTTCACGCCGCAGAAGTGCCCGGAGCATCGTGAAAGAGACGCCACCGAGTCCAGTGCTGCGGCGGTTGGCGGTAAGTTTTGGAGTAAAGTGAAAGGCAGATCGTTGTCTACTAAGGCTTCTATCTCTGGTAAGGGGTGGTGAGGGATGGACCAGCGTTTGATCAATGGAGCGGGATGAGTTACTGAGGAGCCAATGCGTCCGAGTAGAGAAAGGCCTTCGACTGGAAAGGGCGGGCGAGCTTCATGGTCGTTCGGCGGGTGCTCGAGCCCCGTCCGGCTCTGCCGGGGAAACAGATAGATGAGGAGGGGTACAAGAAGAGAAGCAAAAGTGTCCCAAAGGGCCTCCCAGCGGCCATGTCTACCGAATTTCTGTCTTGTTTAGAAAGCAGCGTCCACTAAACAGTTAACAGCAAAACTCCTCAGCGCCCAACCAACAACGCCCATCCCTATCCCTCGCCCTCAAAAAGACCCATTCGACCTCATCTCTCCCCCTCTCCCCAGCCACCATTGCCCTGCACCCCTTCCAGCCCTCTAAGACCCCTCACAAACAACCTGCACACTCCCCACCCCCCTCAAATTATGACATCCACCCTGCCCATTCACCAACCCCAACGACCTCACCCCCTCATCCTCATTGAAACAGCTATCCCCCTGATAAAAGTTGACCGTGCAATCGCCCGGAATCTCGCCGAACGAAATAGTGTCCCAGGAGAAGGACGCCGGGCCGTCGAGCGTGCGCACGCAGTCGCTGGAGCCGGTGTAGGGAGCGTCTCCGGACCGGTCGGAGGGGAGGCGGAGCGTGATGGGTTGGAGGTTGGGAACGTTGCCGTTGCGGGACACGGGAGAGACGGCGCAGAAGCGGGCGGGGTAGGCGAGGAGGTTGACGATGGCGCCGGGGGTGGAGGTGGTGGTGGTGGTTGTGGTGGCGGTTTGGGTGATGTTCTGGGTTGTGGTGGTGGTGGTGGTTCGGGTGCGTGTGAGGGTGGTTGGGGAGGTCGTGATGCTCTGCTGGTTGTTAGTTAATTGAAGGCAGGGTTTGTTAAGCGTGGATGACATGCCGTGGTAGTGACAGTGCTGCGCCTTGGACAGGTGGTTGAAGAACAAGTCGGAGAGATAGTAAGCGTCACATTGGAAGTGGCCGTAATGGTAAAATTGTGGGTCGAGGTGGAGGCGCTGAGGGTTGGACAGCTGGCGACGCTGCTCGAGGAAGACGTGGACGACGTGCTGCCGCTGATTGGGTCGACGGTACCGGACGTAGAAGAAGTGCTGCTCGAAGATGTCGAAGAGGTAGAGCTGGTCGTGGAAGACGTGCTGCCCCTGACCGGATCGACGGTATTGGACGACTAAGAGGTGCTGCTCGCCGAAGAGGACGTGCTGCTGGTGTCGGGATCAACACTGGTGGACGGGCTGGTCGAGGTCGTGGTGGTGCCATGACCATGGTGGTGATGATGGTAACCGTTTGGCGGAGCAGCTGCCGCGAAGGCACTCAGCGAGACCGCGAGGGCAACGAGGGACTGTATCCAAGTTAGCAGACGTTCGAGTGACCGTTCTGGGTTCGGATGTACCTGGAAATGCATCTTGAACGAGTGTGATGTCGAGCTTGGAAGCGAGCTGTGAGTTTTGATGTCAAATAAAGTTGTTGACTGAGTGATGAGCTACTGGCATTCAATCGAGGGTATCTTTCGAAGTATATATATGCAACGCCTTGGGTTCATGCTCTTCCACCTAGCAAGGAGCCGGCATAAGGCGAAGATACGAAGCCATCCTGTCCATATTCATACAATGCAGTCGACAAGAGGGTTGCTTCGATGAGCAGAAAAGCAACTCGTGCTGCCCTCTTCTCGTGGGTTCCCAGGCACTGTACGACTCTGTTTGATGAGCACACCCTCATCACTCCATGGTTATGGCCGAAGGAACCCTTTCTGGAAATTCACCGACCTCCCATCGTCTGAGATAGTCGACGCCTGAAGACTGGTGATACCGTAAGCGGCGCCACATATCCGTATGCCTTTTAGCAGGAATGAAACAGACGGTAAGGCGTATCAGAAAGACACATGAACAGGCCACAGAAGGCCTTGCACCTGCCGTAACAAGTATGCTGTTTCAATATCGTCCTACTTAGTTCGTTGAGACCATCTGGCTGAGAGTGCCTGGCTGGACGTTCCACGTGAATAGTGACCCGTTGTTAGACTGGTAGTCGGCTCTCAGAAGTGCTCGACGGCCAAAGAAATGCCACGAGCAGCCTGGCGACGTGAGCGCCGGTCATTGAGAACGTATGTGCGTTTCCAGGCCTTTTCTGAAGTCCGGAAGTGGTGTGCTCGTATCAAATCCAATGTTCGAAGCTTCACACAGCAATTTCCTATGGCGTCTTAACGGCGATGAGCAAGCCATATCCACGCCAAAACCTTTCACGATCTGGAATTCGACCCAAGTGCGAAGGATGTTGTAGACATACTGTAGGGGCTAACCTGAAGTCGGCCGAAAAGATCATCCCTTGCTTGAGATCAATTCGCGCCTCATTGGTGGCGTCGTATCCATGAAATTGTCGAATGCATCGATTGATGTTGACGGCAAACGAAAGACAGCCGGCTCTTCCTAGGATGACAACGTCGACCTTGCTGTCGCTGCATCGGAAGGGGTCCTTTACGGCAGTTTTACTAAGTCGTTTTGGGCGACCGGTGACGAAGTCCATCAGGTGTGGGCGGTGCAATCTACCGTTCGAACTGTGGGCCGTGGCCGCAAGTAGGCAAAAAGTGCCCCGGTAACGTTCAAGTCTTCCCATGGCCACCTCGCGAAAATGTCCGTTCTCTCTTAAACCCATACGCTCCCAACACAAAACCGGCCGTCTTAACAGCGGCCTCTCTCACCTTCCGCAAGCCCCTCCAGACCGGCCCAACGTGATGACATCCCGCCAGCCCCGAGCCTTCCCAAACCCGCAGTAGCAGCCTCCTGTCCTCGCCGTGAGGTGAAGACATGTACAGCACCAAATGCTTCGCACTGCGTGGAGTCGTATGCAGCCAAAGATTAAACCGCGGATCAAGCCCCCTCGCCCGATAATCCAGCACCCACAGCTCAAACGACGAGAGCTGCTGCCGAAAGTCCTGCCATTCTTCAGCGGGCACCATATCAACAAGCTCCTGCACCCTCGCTCGGACCCTCAGTGCCGCAGAAGTCGGCCGCTTGAGTAGCTGCTGTCGGCAGTAAGGACAGTGGTGCGAGTCCTGCTCCTTGAGCCACTTGTCGAGACAGATGAGGCCGCAGAGTCGGTTGCAGCATGGTATACGAACTTGCTGCGCTTCCAGATCGTAGCAGATGTTGCATTCGTGGTCAGTGGGGGCTGCTTTGCGTTGACGGGGTTTGCAGCGGTTGGCTGCGAGGAGGGCTTCGATGGAGCGGTAGGTAAGTTCGGTTTTGGGAGTGATGATTTTGGAGGCCATGTTCAGCAGGATGGAGGTGGCGAAGATGTAGTCGACTGCCATGGCGATGGCGCTAATGGGTGCTTTATGCAATTGTGTGCAGTCTTGCGTTTTGCAGAAAGGAGATGGGACAGGAGCCGCGGGAGAAGATTGTTTACCTCGTGAACTGCTTCGTGGGCCTACCGTTTTTGGGGGTGGTAAACTGGAATTGCGGTGCGTTCCAAAGGTCAGCAACAGCGTGCTATAAGCGGACTTCATAGAATGGACGAAGGCTTTCGTGAATACCTTGGTACGCCATAGTGTTCGGCTCCCTCTTTGGTATTTGAGATAGCGAAGAGTAAGAGATCCACAGCAAGGAGGTCGAGATAAGGCGTGGAGCTAGTGAAAGAAGTACGCACATGTAGGACGCGGTTCCGGGAAAACGGTGAGCGTCCCATCATCCCATGTTTCCTTCATCTGTGGTTCTTAGTACCCAATTGTCCGCGTTGGCCAGGAGCGCAATATTCGGGTTTTGAGGCTGCCATCAGTTGGTCAAAAAGATGGACGCCATCGTCAACAGCAATGCCACCCATCCCGTCACCAATGGAACCAGCAGCAGCGGGAGGAAGAAGTCGAGCGTGGTCAACTACTCCATGGCAAGAGTGAGTCTTCTCTTCATCTTCCTGAGTCGTTATGGAAAGAGGTCAGGCCACGATGAGCAAGGATGAAAGGATGTCTTGCCCAAGACCCGACTCTACCCGACTGCTATCTTCACCCTCGGCCAGCAGCCACGGCGGAAGTTCGGAGTCGTTCGTTCTCACCTGCCCCGCGTTTGAGACGTCGTGTCTGGTCCACCAGGCTTGTGATGTCGAGCATCTGCTTGGTTGCGAACAGTTCATCGATCTAACCCTCTTCGCCGCGACCACTGTCCGGGACTACCAGCGGCGCCAGTCTCCCACAACTTCCTTCTCCGGACCTCGCGGGGTAGTTGCACCACTGGTTGGCTTAGACTATCATATGAAAGCGCGCCAAGCCGATTAGAAAGTTCTACTGGAAGCTCGAGCAAGCAACACACCTGAAACACACTTGAACAGTGTTGGCAAGAACACAGTTCTCAAGAAGCAACCGCCCGAAGAGGACTGCCGCAGTCGATCGTAATCTACCGACCCGATCTACCATCTGTTGGCTACCCTGAAGCTGCTTGCTACCGGCCTTGCTGACCAGGAAGTCACTCCTTCACGGGACCTCTGGATCACAGCCTTTGCCATAGCCATTGACCTTGCCCACCGTTAAGATGCCAGCCGCCGATGACCTCAACCCGGAGACCGTCCCCAATGGCCCCAAGGAGAACCCGGAGCAGTACAAGCCAGAGCTCAGCCGTTCGCCACCAGGAGACTTCATGCGGCCAGCCGTGCGCACGAGAGGCAAGTCAAGCTCAAAGACTAACGGCGTTGGTGTTCAGGTCGAAGACACGCGGATATGTGTGGTCATGGTGGGCCTGCCCGCTCGTGGCAAGAGTCTGATTGCGCAGAAAGGTATGTTACTTTATATTGGGGCGACTCCTCAAACATGACCTCACTGACGTCTATTGACAGTCGTCCGCTACCTCGGCTGGCTTAGTATCTCAGCCAAATGCTTCAACGTGGGCTCCTACCGCCGCACCAACACACCCCAGCCCAACGCCTCCTTCTTCGACACCTCCAACAAAGAAGGCGAGCGCCTGCGCAGAGCCGCCGCCGAAGCCGCCGTCACGGACATGGTCAAATGGTTCAAGTCCCCCGGCAACCTCATCGCGATCCTCGACGCCACCAACAGCACCAAAGACCGCCGTAGGTGGATCAAAGACCGCTGCGACTCTGAAGGCATCGAGACGCTGTTCGTCGAATCCAAATGTGATGAGGAAGATCTTATTATGAGCAACATCATTGAGGTGAAGACGACCAGCCCCGATTACTCCGGCCAGGACCCGGAGGCGGCGGCGAAGGATTTCCGTGAGAGGATTCGCATGTATGAGCGGGTGTATGAGACGTTGGATGAGGATGAAGCGGACTTGACGTATTGCAAGATCATCAATGTCGGTGAGCAGGTCATCATCAATCGCATTCAGGACTATCTGCAGTCAAGGGTGGTGTATTATCTGATGAACCTGCACATCAAGCCGCGCTCCATCTGGATCAGTCGTGTAAGTCCCTCATCCACCACTAATGGATCTAGCTGACAGGAATTCTAGCACGGCGAATCCATGTTCAACGTCACGGGCCAAATCGGCGGCGACGCCAACCTCTCCCCCCGCGGCCAACGCTACGCCGAGGAACTGCCCCGCCTCGTCCGCAACTCCGCCGGCGACACGCCCCTCACCGTCTGGACCTCGACCCTCAAACGCACGGCGCAAACCGCGCACCACCTCCCCTACGAAAAGCTCTCATGGAAAGCGCTCGACGAGCTCGACTCCGGCGTCTGCGACGGCCTCACCTACGCCGAAATCGAGCAGCGCTACCCCTCCGACTTCGCTGCCCGCGACGCCGACAAGTACAACTACCGCTACCTCGGCGGGGAGTCGTACCGGGACGTCGTCATCCGGCTCGAGCCCATCATCATGGAGCTGGAGCGCAGCGAGAATATTCTTATTGTAACGCATCAGGCGGTGCTGAGGTGTATTTATGCGTATTTCATGGGCAGTTCGCAGGAGCAGAGTCCGTGGATGGAGGTGCCGTTGCATACGCTGATACGGCTGACGCCGCGGGCGTATAAGACGGAGGAGGAGCGGATGTATGCCGATGTGCCGGCGGTGAGTACGTGGCGGGGGAAGGGGAGTAAGGCGGCGCATGCGGATACGCCGGAGAGTTCGAGGCGGGGGAGTCCGGCGATGCTGGGGCAGGTGAAGGAGGGGTTGTAGGTGCATGGGGGTGGAGAGAAGGGGTCTGCAGGTTGGGTGTGCTGTGAGGATGAGCTTACATTGCATGGGAAAAGATTGAAGAACTGTTGATGAATTGCAAACACGGGTACTGCAGGCAACTGACGATATGGGAGGGAGGCAAAAGCATAGCAAGGTGTTCAACAGGGTACTACAGATCTCAGGAGCTAGCACTGTGTGCGCCACAATTGTGTGCTTCTCGACAGTCAGCTGCCACTCTTCTCGGTCACAGAGCATGAAGCAATGAACGATGTTCGTGACTCGTAGCACGATCATTCCACAGTCACTGACAGATCTTACACTGCGCAGCAAACGAAGTGTGGTATACATACCGCCCCCTTAACCCAGTAAGACCCAGCAATTCACACTCCACCCTTCTTCTATATACCCACACCCCATACCAAATTCATTATAAACAGCCCACACCATGGCCCCCACCCACGACCCAACCCCCCACGACCGCATCCGCAACCTCACCCGCCTCCTCGCGCAAACCCTCCACCCGACCTTCGCACCCGACTGGCTCTTCGCAATGGAAATCTACCACCAAGCGCACAGCCTCAAAATGCGCTGGCGCGACGCCTGTCTCGAAGCCCAATACCACCGGCCGGCGGAAGCGGCGCCCCACGATGCCGGGGATTTCTGGGCCAAGCTGTCGGGGATGCTGGCGATGGCGAAGCTGGCGGCGATCCAGACGACGGTGCAGCGAGAGAAGTGGATGGGGATGACGGTTAGGGAGTTGAGGGAGTTGTTTGGACGGAGGGGGGAGGAGGCGGGGAGGGAGGGGAGGTGGTAAGGATTCAAGGGCAGAGGCTTCATCGTTTTCTGGGATACTTGCTGACTGTTCTGTTTGTAGGATTGCTGCTGTGGCTAGGAGGAGGGAGGACAGGTTGGAGGTTGAGAGAGCTGATCGGAAGGAGAGGAAGAGGAAGGGGGAGCGAGAGCGGGAGGGCGGAAGTGGTGTCGGTAGAGGGGAGAAGGTACGGTTTGAGGAGCCGAAAAAGGTCGAGAGGAGTGGTAAGGAGAAGGTGGTGGAGCAGCGTGAGAAGGTGGAGAAGAGTGATAAAGAGAAGAACAAGAAGAAAGCCTTGGAAGAACCTCCCCGTACGTTGAGAAGGAGCAGCGGAGACGTGGGGAGGAGCAAGCAGAGCCTTGTCAAAGAACCTACCGCTCCCCTACAGACCCACGCGGTGGACCCGAAGCTTCTTTCTGGGCCTCTGCAGGAGCCCGATAATCGATCCGAAGAGCTGCTGGCCCAAGAAATGTTGCGCCGTGACGAAAGAGACAGTCCCGAGTGGTACGAACAGTTCTCTCAAACTCTCTCACATAGGCTGCTGGGCGGGCAGACGATGATTCCTCGCTCGCCAGACCAAGATACTGTACTGACGAGTGTGCTGACAGCCGACTACATCAGCAAGAGGCTCGCGGCGGCTAGCCGGGGAGAGGGAAGCACTGTGCGAGTGCACCCGGGACCGAAGAAGAAGGTCGACGTGGTTCAGATGTCCAGCACGGGCCATCCCAGTGGGCTACCGGCGCACATGAAGTCGAAGAAGGCTACTCCAGGTGAGTGGACTGAAACTGCCCGAAACGAAAGCCCACCTGCGCACGAAGATAGTACCGAGTCTGAAGATGAGCCCTCACCCTACCATGTCAGCGATGAGCTCCAAGAGTGGCTTGCGTTGGTGGTGGAGCAGACACGGGACGATGTGGCACAGCCAGAGGAGGACACGGCTGAATTCGCGAGTCAGCTGGCCGCCGGAGTGGCAAGAGGTAGATTCGAGCGTCCAGAGCTCTACCAAGCGTGGCAAGCAGATGGCAGGCTCCGGCTGTCACGACAGGAGGATGCGGCTTCCACTGGTAACGACAGCGAAGGGTCTGTTGAGCTCCTGCAACCGAGTCCAAGAGTGTTGCAGCTGCAGGAAGAGCATGAGCGGGCGCAGGAACTTGCGCGCGAGCGTGAACTCGAGCGCGAAAGGGAGTGGGAGCTGGAGTATGAACGCCTGTTAGTGCCAGAGACTGAGCATCAGCAGATTCCCAGCATCAACGTCGAACCTCCGCAATTCGGCCTTAGTATAAACAGCAACATCCAGCCAGCAGCTTTAGTCGAAGACATGGAGCTCAATCCGGGGCGGAGGATCCAGACGCCGTTCATGGAGCGGGTGATGCAAGACAATGCTGGTATCCCAGCATTCGCTGAGGCCATTTCGAGGTGGTCGGCACCGATTGGTTCGCTGTCGCTGGGAACGATGGCGCGGGTAGAGCATCCTGTCAGGAACTTGACTCCTAGAACCGCGTCTTCGGAGACTCTGCGTGAGGAGGAGGGAGAAGGAGGGGAGGAGGGAGAGGAGCGAGAGGACGACGAAGAGGGTGATGAAGGGTAGTGGTGATGTGAGTGGGGGTTGACTTTCCTGTGCTGTTTGTACGTAGTAGATAGCCATGTGTAGCTGAGGTATGTAGTGCTACTGTTCACCAGAACATGAATTGATCTGGTAGTATCGTCCGATGAGATGGAATGGTGTAGGAAGAGCGGAAAGATGTGAAGTCAACTCCACTCGACCGGCGAGTCAGGGTCCAAACACGTGGGACGCGGCTGCAGATCGTTGAAACCTTGTCGCGATACCCGAGATCTCCAACCCAGGCTCGTGGGACGCTCTTGTCTGTCAAACTCGAGCCGGCGACACCGATCTGGTGTAAGACTCAGCGGGAGGGTGTGTAATACACACTTGACACAAGAAGAGTCTGCTTGGCTGCGTGATGTAGGAACAAGATCTCGAGCAACACATCTCGGCTGCCGAGTCCGCGGCGCACGCCTCCCTCCACCACGCCTTCGCTTGGGGGTGGAGGCGGCGCATTCTTATCTATGGAGCCTCCGGACTTGTGAATTCACCTTTTCTTCTCGCTCTTTTCACTCTTAATCATCCCTACTCTACATTGCTTACGTGCTCGGCCGTGGAGGACGTCGCTTTGAGAACAGGCGACGACATGCTACCCAGCTGCCGAGCAGATTCAAAACGTTCATTACGGCGAGAGCGGCCTTGACCGAGGATCTCGAACAGCGGAAGCCATGTTGGATCTTCAAGTGGAATCGTGGATCTGGTATGGCGTCGTCATGTTCGTGGCGGCGAGTCGCTTGTATGTTCAGCCGAGCCTGGAAGTCTGAGATATGGTCCAGCTCGCTAATCACCTCGCTTTAGCATATCCCGCCGAATGACCCTCCGATCCTTTCGCAAATACGAAGCGGACGAGTACCTGATGCTCATTGCACTCTGCTTCTACACCACCCTCATCGCCTCGATCAACATCGTCCGAGACTCTTCTTCAAACCTACTACCTCCCGGCTTCGACCTTAGCTCCCTGACGGAGGAAGATATACGAGACAGACAGTATGGCAGCAAGATGGTGCTGGTTGTTGAACAATGTCAATGCGTTACTATCTGGCTAGTAAAAGGCTGTCTTGTCGTCCTATACCTGCGATTGACGACGATGCGGACTGAGAACATACTCATCAAGCTCCTTGCCGCATATATCATCATCACCTTCATCATCATGGACAGCCTCTACTTTGGATACTGGTGTTCGCCATTCTCGAACTACTGGGCAGTCCCCACGCCCAACAAGCAATGCGATGCGGCGACGAACCACCTCATCATGAACGCCGTCTTCAACCTGACATCCGATTGCGCCATGCTGATCATCGGACTACCCATGTTCCTCCGACTCACGCTGCCGTGGAAGAAGAAGTCCGCGCTCATAGCCATCTTCTCGCTCGGCATCTTTACCATCGTTGCCGCCATCCTGAACAAAATCTACTCCTTCACGCAACCTTTCGGATCAGAGTGGACGTACTGGTACACGCGCGAGAGCTCGACAGCATTATGTGTCGCGAACTTACCTTTTGTCTGGGCACTATGGCGTCGACCGTTCGGCGTAGAAAGCATCCACGGACAGTCTCGACAGAACAGCTTGTCTCCCAAGAATGCGCTGAGTCGCACGAACACCGGTATGGCAGTCACGAGCGAGAGAAACCCGAGCTCCACGGATAAGAGGCAATGGCGACGGAACGACAGTCTTGCGGCTGAGCTGGAAATGGAAGGAGGACCGGGCGGGATGACGCTCGAAGATCTGCTTCGCAGTGAGCCGGTACACGTCAACGGCGAGAAGGAGCCGACCGAGTTCACGCATCCCCATCTCTTCTGGTCACGCAAGAAAGCCAAACCGCAGTCCAGCATCGAGCGAGCGATGTTGGGCGACTCGCCTGAGCAGGAGACGGTGCGAAGAGATTCTAGCTCGAGTGTGCGGGTGGGAGATACGCCGGCATCATCGACGTTCCGCACGACGGATGGGAAGCGGTCTGCGAGCTCGTTGGTGTGATATAGCGTGTGGATGTCTGTTCTGATGACGACGGCATTATGGATCATGATAGCGAGGAGTTCTGGGATCCTGCGGAGGAGACGGTTGCTTTTGAGATACCCTTTTTGCGAATGACGAAGAGCTCTTGAAGTCCATAATGCTTTCTTTGTTCTCGTCAATGATCGTGTGGCTGCTTCGATCGAGCTGCTCGTGCTCCGTAGCACACACTCATCATTGAATCGGCATGATGAGCAAAGTGGATGAAGTCGTGTTACCAGGCCATAATCGCTGGCCCGAGCTTCTCAAACTCAAACCCAATGTGGTCCCTGACAACCGCATCCCGACATCCTTGCGAACATCACCTTGCTCTAAATCCACCCGCTCTGTTCTATCTCAATTACAAGACGGTGAAGTGTAGCAAAAACTGTTTGCGTGCATCAAGGTGATAGCAAATCCGAAGGCTCCAACGGCAACACACAACTCAACCCGTCAAGAAACTGCATCCCAAGCTACAGCACAGCAACCGCCCAACAAGCCCACCCGTACCACCAAACATCCCTACCGCCACCGATCGTCCCCAAGCGCTCCCGCTCCACAATCAATCAATCAATCCACAACACCTTCTCCCGTGTAACTTAACCGCACCATGGGAGCCGCGCGAGCGAGAGTTTGGAGAGAGCCGCTACAGACAGATTTCTATGGGTCGTGGGACGGTCACCAGGCAACGGCTCTTATGCTTTATTACCATCCCCAAACAGTATGTGGTCATTGGTATATGTAGGAAGAGACGTACTGCATATGTGCGCTTTTCGGGTGTGTTACTTCACCTTTCCCTCTTCCTCTCCTCTCTATCTCTATCTCTATCTCTACCTCTACCTCTTAGTAGCACCTCAAGGTGTCTGCTTGCTTCCTCCCTCCCTCCGACATCCTTCTCACCTCTACTCTGAGAGTTGACACACTGAAATCTTGATATGCGCTCTTCGCCGCTTCTTCTTGGACTACTAACATGTACTAACGCTAGCTTTTTGGCCCAATTCAATGGGCGGGGTGTGTCAAGATACGTTGATGCTGGGCCCGAGCGTGATGGTCGAAAGGCACGCAGGCAGACCTGGGCTGAGGGGCTGTCGGAGGGTGCGGAAAGTGATACGGCCACGCCAACAGCAACCTCATCACCTACTGCGCCGCATTCCAGCGCGGCGATACCTACTTACTCTCAACCGCCCTCCAGTGCTCTGACGAACGAGGAGCAGGTGGGTGATTCGTGCTTGGGCACCCTACGCCAACCAACCTTTCCCAGATGGCTGGACGGATCCGATGGCCAGCCATACTCGAACGCACCCTGGGGTGACCGGACCACTCTCAACTCAGATGCCACAATCGAAGCAGACGTGCCAACCACGAACGTCACCCGAAAATACGACTTCACCGTGCACCGAAGTCGACTAAGCCCCGACGGCGTCCTTCGGGACGTCATCCTCGTCAACGACCAATTCCCCGGCCCGGCAATCGAAGCCAACTGGGGCGACTGGATCGAAGTCACGGTCCACAATGACATCTCCCTCCCCGAAGAGGGCCACGCGATGCACTGGCATGGCATGCTGCAGCGGGGTTCGCAGTGGGAAGATGGCGTGCCGTCGGTTAGCCAGTGTCCGATTGCGCCTGGTCATTCATACAGTTATAGGTTCCGGGCAGAGGTGTATGGGACGTCGTTTTGGCATGCGCATTATAGTGCGCAGTATACGGCTGGGGTTGTTGGGCCGATGGTTGTGTATGGGCCGTCGGAGAGCGAGTATGATGTTGATCTTGGGCCGGTAATGTTGAGTGATTGGGTATGTTTCTCTCAAACAACGGTGTAGAAGATCATGCTGACAGCTTCTGCAGAATCACATCCCATACTTCTCGATGGTGGACAACGTGGTCAGCGCCGGCGGTCTCGCTGATGGCTCAATCCCGCCGCTAAGCGATAGCGGCCTCATCAATGGAAGGGGACAGTTTGACTGCTCACAGCCATCTTACTCAAATAGCACGGATTGGCTGGGAAGCAATCTGAGCTCTAACCTCACTTGGACTTGCGTCGACGGCGCGGAGAGGTCGAAGTTCCAGTTCCAGAGTGGAAAGACTCATCGACTGCGATTGATGAATACTGGCGCTGATGGTAAGACAAGGCACAACAATCAGAGGTCTCAGCGCGATACTGACCCATCCCCAGGCGTTCAAAAGTTCTCGATAGATGGCCATACAATGACGGTCATCGCGACTGACTACGTTCCTATCGTACCATACACGACAGACATTGTGACGCTCGGCGTCGGTCAGCGCACCGATGTCCTTGTTACTGCAGACCAGGACTCTGCATCAGCATGGTGGATGCGGACCACTCTTCCCGGACAAGCTTCTTGTGGCGGCCTGGGAACACCTTCACCCACAAACGGAAGCTACCCGCAGGTCCTCGCAGCCATCTACTACGACTCCGCCGACACCACCCTCGAACCCCTCTCCAGCTCCAACATCACCGACATATCCTGCTCCAACCAACCCCTCGACATAACCCAGCCCGCCTACCCCATCGCACCCTCGCCCAATGCATACTACCAAGAGGTGATCATTGGCATCACCCTCAACGAAACCGGCTCCTTCAACTTCCTCATCAACAACCAGACCTTCCGCGCCAATTTCAACGAACCCCTACTCTACCAAGCCGCTGCAGGCAACACCTCCTTCCCCGAAGAGCCGCAATGGAACGTCTACGACTTCGGCTCCAACGCCAGCATCGTCCTCAACGTCACGAACGAAACTCCCTTCTACCACCCTTTCCACCTGCACGGGCATACCTTCTTCGTCCTGCACGTAGGCGAAGGTACCGGCCCACCTCTAACAGGTGGTCCACCGCCAGGTGTCACCGGCCCTCCCACCGGCGCTCCACCAGCCGGCGGCGGCCCTCCGTTCCCAGCAGCAACAACATGGGACGGCAGCATCATCAACCCCACCAACCCCATGCGTCGAGACGTACAAATAATTCCAGCCGGCGGCTACGCCGCGATCCAATTCGAAGCCACACCCGGCGTCTGGCCGTTCCACTGCCATTCGGCATGGCATTTATCCGGCGGGCTGGGCATGAATCTGATCACGCGGGCGAGTGAGATTGATGGGATCCCGGATGGGACGAGGGGAGGGACGTGTAAGGGTTGGGATGAGTATTCGGCGGGGGTTGTGGTGGATCAGATTGATTCTGGGTCTTGAGGTGGAGGGTCTGAGTCGCGGGAGTGGGTTGGGGGGATGTGATGGATGGGGTATATGATGTTTTACGCGACCAGGGTGGGGATATGATCGATGACACGCATAGATATGATAGGAGCAAGTATATATATCCGAGCAATAGGATACTGGTCGGGGATGGCTGCTACTCAACACCCTCGGCATCAGCTCACCAAAGGCGCGGCGCAGGTCAGCGGAGCGGGAATGTAGCGACGCGCCGCTTCTGCAGATGGAAGGGAAGCAGCCGGCCTAAGGAGCAAGATGTATGGGCAGGAGTTGCGTTCGTCTGCAAGTCCGCAGTCGTCCAAGCCACGCCGCTCGGCGAAAGGAACAGATGCTAGCCTTGCGTCAAGACCGGGGTACTACTAGCTTTACATACTTACACCAGCAATTAAGAAGCCATCGCAACCGGCTCCAAGCTCCACTGGTTGCCGTGCAGACAGACTAATCAGTTGGCTCCAGCCGGACTCGTGATCTTTGATATGCTCGACCAACAACATCAGCGATTGTCTCGGCATATCCGAGCATAACGCAATGTCCGGCATCACAGTACTCCATCGTCCGAGTGTCCCCAAGAAGTGTCGCCATAGCTTCCTGGACCGGTACAGTAAGCTCTTTGTCTTGAGAACACACAAGATAGGTTGCATCGACTCCCTGTCCAATACGTTCGTACGGAGCACATTGCAGCGTGTCCCTCACAACACTGCTAGGGCACAGGACAGTCATGTCCAGCCATTCCTGGGCTTCGGCATCAGATTCAATGTGCTCATAGAACGCATGCCGCGGATCGTTCATGTGGATGATGCCATTCTCAGTATCCTCGGTCAGCCACGGCATCATCTCGCCCTCAAACGGCGTCGTCAGGCTCGTCCCTGCCGGTATGACAAAAGCCGCCATGTAGATGAGATGGATCACACCGCCAGGAAGACCCTTCGCCTGGCGCTGCGGCCAGAGTAGTCCATCCAGGGCGTTTGATCCAACGACTCCGCCGTAGCTGTGCATGAGGAGGACGACTTGCTGGCCTTCCTCGACGAGAGCCTGGATCGTTGATCGTATCTCAGCGGTGTCGTGGGCGAGATTTGCTGTTGGTGGGAGCGGGAGAGTGTCTGTGGCTGAGGGCAGACGGGGGACGTGGACTCTCGTGAAACCTTTGGAGTTTAGATGGGTGACTACATCGGCGTAGTGGCGTGGTATGTGCCATGCTCCATGACAAAGTACCACTGCTGGCGCCATGACCAGATCGGGCCGATGCAAGTTTCGCAGTTAGACTTGATGCCAGTCCGCTTTGATCAATAAGCCTTCAGAGGAGCGGTCGTCTGCCGCGATGCCAGCTCGTTGGATTGATCTCTAGTGGTTGAAAGACGCAAGGTCAAACCCTCGCAGCATCCTGGTAAGGAGAGAGACGCTTGGACCACGGGGTGCAGCGACTTCGTCAACAGATTCATATGTCGCTCATCACGAAGTCATCTAGTCATTTACACAGCAAGCGCATGGCTCCATCTGTCACGGCCGCCTAGATAGTCACTACTTTTTCGCGGTTTCTCCGCTCGTCGAGCACAAGGTAGGCGAGTCTTGACATTCGAGCACAAGTCTCGAATGAATCCTCGAGCGGCCTCGTTCACGGAGTCTTCCTGCAACTGACAAGCAAAGCAAAGCTCATGCACGGTGGCTTTAGGCTTTCCATACCCAGCGTAGAGAATGGCCGGGACCGAGGGTGCCAGAGAGAGAGGGGGCAGCATGAAGCTTGTTGCTGAACCGGTACTTCTGTGAGCTCCATCTTCCCGTCGACTGGTGGTCTCGAATCCCTGCCCGTCTCGTCTTTAGCAAAGCATCGTTCCTTACAAACAGTATGTCTCACTTCCGTTCAGGGCCCGTAGCCCCAGGAATTGCTTTCATTACAGGAGGTGCACGTGGGCTGGGCAACGCGATTGCATGTTCATTCGCAAAGGAGGGAGCAAAAGGCGTTGCATTGATCGATATCCAAGACGAGAAGACGTTCAGTGAAGGCAAGGAGAAGGTGGAGCGGTATGGTGCAAAGTGTATTACGATCCACTGCGATGTGACGAAGGAAGATCAAGTCGAGCGAGCTGTCAAAGAGACCGTCGACACCTTCGGAAGGATTGACTATGCAGCGTAGGATATCTTGTCGATCAAAGGTCCACCGTCTGACACGACTGCAGCAACTTCGCTGGTATCATCGGCCCTCTGCAGCCAACATGGGAGGTAGACATGGACCAATGGCGGAAGGTAATAGAGATTAACTCCATAGGCGTTATGGTACGTCTCCACACCCTCCATGGGGTCTAACCCCAGCTAATGGCTGTCCCAGATCTGCAACAAGCACGAGCTCAAACAGATGATCAAGCAAGACTCGGTAGCAGTGTTGGTCGACCTTGTTGAAGCTTTCCATTCGAACTTGAGCTGACTGTCCTGACAGTGAAGAGGGCCGACCACCCCAGCAAGGCTCCATCGTCAACTGCGCTTCCGTCAACTCAATCATGTGCGGCGCTGGAACTACTGGCTACTCAGCAGCAAAACACAGCGTCATGGGTATTACCAAAGCGGCCGCCCTCGAAGCTCGCAACTTCAACATCCGAGTCAATGCTGTTTCACCCGGCTTCCTTCAGACCAAACTATTCGAAACTGTGACGAATAGCGACATCAACACGGACATAGTTGGGAGCGAGTCCTGGAACGAGTACGAGAAGCGGCAGGGACGGAAGGCCGACCCCGATGAAATTGGAGATGTGGTTGTTCTGCTGAGTACACCGCGGATGTCGTTGGTGAATGGCCACAATCTCGTTGTCGAGTAAGTTCCCATCTTCTCTAGCTCGGTTGAACCCGACTGATTCGCAACAGCAACGGCTTCACGATCAATGAGACTACTACATAGTGATTTCTGTTCTGGGAAGCAGCATGTCAAATCGGTGTTTTACCGCTACTCATCTTCCATATGGGTCAGCTGCAGTGTTGTGGTTGATACAGGATGAGAGTGTGTTGCTCTGTTGATGCTCCAATGCGCCCTCCGTTAACGTCAAGCTAAGAACCATCCATCGAACGAGTGTCTGTAACAGGTTTCCAAGTATTACTGTAATATCGACAACATTGAATGTAGAACAAAAACACACACCGCGGACCATCCAACGCCGCGCTCAACCAACAACACATCCAGCAGTTGCTCAGAATCCAAAGCTATCCAGCAGGCTATTCGCATCGGGCTCCTTGAACTGCGTCGGTTCGGGTTTCTTCTCACTGATCGCAGGCTGAGCCGCCTCTTTCTTCTGCTTCATCTTCTTCAGCAGTTCGGCAGCTTTCGCTTCTCGTGCCGCCTTCTCGTCCCGTGGCGGCGCCGCAGCAGGTTTCGGGGCGTCGAAGGCGTCGAGCATCGAGGGTGGCTCTTTCGTAGCGTTTGTAGAATTGTCACCGAGACCTTCAAGCATCGACGGTGGCTCCGCCTTAATCTGTGCTTCGTGCACGCCATTGGTCAAGGTGTCCACTCGTCCCCTTGGCATCGGTGTCCTAGGTGTCTTGAACTCCCATCGAGACACCAACTCTAGAGCCAGCAGCGACAGCCCCATCCTTCTTAGAACCCTCGCCGCCCTCAGCACAGCCTCATACTCATATTCGCTCCCCGCTCCCTTTCTAATGCCACGATACAGCGCAAGCGTAGCCGGATCGTCCTGCTCCCACGTCCTCACCAAACCCTCAAGTGGCTGCACAAGCGCCTCCGCGGCATAGTCATGCTCGAGCAGGATAGAATGACACCAGCTCGTCAACCATCTGTCGCCAGTCTTCGCGGCCTCCGACATAAGGCGATCTTCAACCAGCTTCCGCAAAATGCCTGAACCATCACCACTATGCAGTCTCGCAACAGCGATCGCAAGCATGACATCCTCACACTGACTCGCCAGCACGCTCGTTGCACTCGCCGGATCCTCGGCCAGCAAGAAGAAAGCAGCAGCGTAGTCGAACCGCTTCTTGCCCATCAGCGCATACGCATTCTTCTTCGCCGCAGTCCGATTCGCCGCATTGCCGTTTCCGAAGTCCCGCCGCAAAAAGTTCATCGTCGCTCTCTGCTCTTTATGCCAAGTCGCGATCCTCCACAGTGCCAGCAAAGCCGGCTTCTTGTGCATGGCTAGGAAGTAAAGACTGGCGTTGATTGGATCCGCGGGAGAAGCAGAGCGGTAAGCCGATTGCGCGAGTGCTTCGAATGTTTGTTCAAGAGCTTGGCGGTCGACGAGCCAGGCGAAGAGGCCAAGGCTACGGGCCATGGGCCAGGTGAGTTTGTTGTCGTAGTGTGCGATTAGGACGTCGAGGAGGGGTTGTTGAGTTGTGCTGTGGTGGGCGAAGGTAATCTCACGCCAGTGCATAGTAGGGACCGGTGCAGGGGTGGGCGGGTGGACGCCGTTGGGCTGGCCGGCAGTCATCTCCTTTTTCGCGCTCATGTGCAACAGCTCAAGCTTCCAGGCGAACAGGAAGCGCAGGGCACCACCGTCAAGACCACTGACGTGCTGTGAGCAGTAGGCCATTGCCTGGATGACTCTTTTGAGCTGCTGCTGCTCCTTCTGAGACACCTCTGGCAGGTCTTTCTCTTCCAGCTGCTGCATCAGGTCCGCCACAAGATCATCGTCCAATGTCGCAGCCGTTGGCGCTTGCTCGCTTTGATAGACATGCTCTGCCTCAACATCGAGAAGTGAGTGTAGGTCGTCGCCCTCGCTCCAGAATTTGAGCTTGCGACACAAATTGTGTACCAGTGTCGACGCGAGCGTCCAATGCCCATCGCGAACCGTTTGCGCCAACAAGCTCGGATGCCAGACAGGCAGCCGCTTCTTGAGTTGTTGAGACAAGTTTGAGAAGTGGTAGCTGTCCTGCGACTGCAGTCTAGCATCAATGGCCTCCTGTATATCAGCTTGCAGATCCTTGACCGGCACCTCGCTACTAGAGATACAGATACCGTTCCCTGCTGCTATCGCCAGACTGCAGTCGCTCAGCCATGCCAGGTCACTAATCTTGAGCCCAATGCCGGCGATGGAGACGCGCTTCAACATTGTCCAAGCGGGCATGTCCTCGTGGTGCTCATATCGCCCCTGCGCCAGGACGTGGACTTCAGTGTCATAACCAACAGCAACCAAGTGATGCGTCGACGATGGAACGATCTGACGAATTTGTCCTTTTGTTGCGGCATGATGCTCCACATAGCCATCACGGAGATTGACAACAGCCAGCTCATTGCCTGAAGAGGATGTAACGGCTGCAAACTCGTTGCTCACAGCAAGAACGCCAGGGCTTGACATACCGGTCTCGAAGCTCGTGACAAAAGCTGGTTCCAGCGGATCTGAGCCTTGCATGTTGAGGTGATAGAGTAGTAGCGCGCCACTCTGGTCGACGCACACGAAGCCAACCCTGTCCAAGTCCTTGGAGTCGAGCACAGCTGCTGCATATACAATGGCTTTGGCACTCTCCGGCGCTGAGAGTGTAAACGGTCTCAAGCCGAACTCAGCGTGATTTGGTGTTTCGAGACAGTAGACGAAGCCATTGCCATTGCTGCTCAGAGCAACAATCAGAGTCTCTTCCTCGTTACCACTGCAGTGGAGCGACCATTTGACTTCATCATCTCCGGATTCCAACGTACGTCCTTCTCTGCCCAGTTCTTTCCCAGCTCGACTGCAGAGCACAAGATCCAGTTTAGACTGGTCAGAAATTGATCGCACAAGCGCCGCAATAAACGCGTCCCGATTGTGCGCCACAGGAAGTATGGCAGTGTCGAGAACCTGACTTTCCAAAGTAAGATGTGACGATGCATGCATGCGTCCAGATGCAAGGTCAGGGGTCCAGCTTGCGATATTCCCAGAGCCGTCTGATGAAATCATATCATTGCCGCCCAAAGAGCCTTTCAAGCCTGAAATTGAACCTTGTGCATGGCCACTCCAATACCCTACCTCTTTCACTCTATCGTTCCCAGACGCGGAAGGAGAAAAGAAGTTTTCGACGCCACCCGTCCACCACTGCACACTGCCATCGAAATGGTGTACCAGAACATGGATGACCGCATCCTCGAACCACGCCTCGAATCGCGCGTTCACACCGTCCTTGATTTTCAAGGGTAGACCTTCGGTATGTGCAATGTGGTACGCAGACTTGGAATATCCCGTAGGCGTCTCAGGCCGTCGCTTATGGCCAATGCTTTGGAGACCCCAGGCGGACATCCTGCCATGTCCATCCAAGGTGATGATGAGATCTGGCTCTTGCGATGCAGTCTCCTTTAGATGTTCCAGCGAATGCGTAAGCTTCTCTTTCCGCAAGCCGATCGCGGCGGTAACAGCGTCACAGAATTGCTCGGCGGGGATAGTGAAGGTGTATCGAGCAGGCTTGTACTGCTGCCGGTCTTTGCCTTTGATGGTCAGAGATGGAGAATCCGGGATTGCGGAGCCAAGGTCAACAGTCGTGTGGACTACGAGAATGTCGAGGTCGTGAAGGCCTCCAGTGCGCCAGACCCGAAGCAGGCCGTCCGCGGCAATGGTATAGAGGATCTCCGGGTCATCTTCGTGGCGGCCGGTGATGCCGCTCTCTCGTCTCGAGTCGTCGTGCGTGTCCAGTGGACGCCATTGGAGATGTGCCACGGTGCCAGGATGAGGGAGGTAAGTGTAGTCAAACAGTCCCTCCTCGAACGACAGCCGGCGCCATATCTTCACCAATCGATCATACACACCAGACGTCGCAATGAGCTCTGCGCTGGGACTGAACGCGGCATACTGCACAGCCGAGCTGATCTCCTTGCACCACAATGGCCGCCTGCCTTCCAGGTTCTCTCTGCCTCCTGCCTCTAGTGCAGGAGAATTTGTCCTCGAAGACGGCAGCGTCGAGAACAGAGACAGCAGGCCACTACCGCCCACCAATAGCTCTCCCTCGTTGCCCCAACTTAGACATTGCGCCTTGTCTGTTGCATCCTCCCGCACTAGGAACAACGTCTTCTCCCACCACACCTTCGTCCATCCCTCCGTATGCGGTTCAAGGACCCAGACATCATTCTTGCTCGCTACGGCAACCTTGCCTGTAGTTGATTCAGAGGCAATGGCAATAAGATCATCCGGGAAGATAAGGGCCTGTACGAGGGTTGTTGGAGAGGATAGAATACTGAGTTGTCGGCCTGATGTGTACGCGATGTATCGTTTGTGTCGGAAGACGAAGGTCGCAAGTGTTTGTAGAGATGTCGTTGGCGCGCCGGGCAGGATGTCTGTGAAGGTCGAGGGAGTGTTGTCGCCAGGAGAGGTGGAAGGCATGGCTTGCTGCTGCTATCGCGGCCGATGCTGCATTGCGGGTACAGCTTTCCGTCTTTGAGGCTATCGTTAAACGTCTCTTCGTACTGTAGACTTAGCGACAAAGGATATGCGGGTCATATGCACCAAAAGCAACAGCTCTCGTGATAGCTCGACTCTCATCTCACGTCCAGACCGGCATTAAACTTTCCCAAACGCCGAGCCGTCGGCTGCTCCCGATCCTTATCCTTATTTCGACCACTTCCGCCAGTGACACCAGACTCCTCACAACACTACTACACGCCATCATGGCCTTCTGAGCATGGACTTCGAGCTCGCGGCGGCATACTTTAATTCGATCATTACATTCGGACGCTTCATTGTGGTACACGGTATCCCTAGGCCGAACTTCTACCACCGGTCCCACAGGTACATCTACAGACTTAATTCGTGTTCGATGCTCAAACATCTATCCGCATGCCTCGATCAGACCAGCACGTGCAATCATCAAATGCGGCATACGCGAAATGAGACTCGCTTACGCTGACCGCTCTGCTGGCGCTATTTACTGGCGCCAGTGACGCGAAGTGTCTCACCTCGTGATCCTAAGAAGGTTGCTTGACGTCACGCGTACACGCCGCAAAACCAGCTTTTGGAGCGGAACATACGATAAGTACAACGAGCTACCTCTTCCCAGTCTTCCTACTTCTTCCAAGCAAACCACCACATAACACACACAAATACAAATTAAACTTTCCGCCACCATGCCGCTCTTCTCCAAGTCCGAGCCACCGCCCCCACCCCCGCCAGAACCCAAGAAGTCCCACAACCCTTTCTCGCGCAAAGAACCGGAACCTGTCGTCCAACAAGAGCCACGCAGAAGCGGCAACTTCTTTAACCGCCGTCGCTCGTCATCTCCCAACTCCAGCACCCGCAGCCCTGTATCATCGGCGTCGACGACGAGCAAATCACACGGCTTCTTGCATCGCGACAAGGACGATCCATCGATCATAGCGGCACGACGGAGAGTTGGCGAGGCGGAGGCTTCAGAGAGGGAGGCCGACCGAGCGCTGATGGCTGCGAGGGCTAGTGTCAACTCGGCGAGAGAGGAGGTGAAGAGGTTGGAGAGGGAGGCTGAGGAAGAGGCCAGGAGGGCGATGCAGAAGCAGAAGCAGGCCAGTGAGATCAGCGCCGGGGCGAGGAAGCTAGGTCGTAAGTTGGGACTTCTCGCAAAAATCATCACATTGCTAACTTTTGGCAGGTCACGGCTGAGCCATATCCTGAGCAGCTGGCGGTCCAATGAAGATGCCTTACTTTGCTTCGATGTTTGCTTTCCAGTCTTGCTGCAAGAGGCGCATGAGTTCAGATACCCTACAATATTAACACCTTTGACACAAGACCGGGTCTCGGTACTTCCCACGTGTATCAACGAACAACATGTGCTTGCAGGCATTCGCGAATCAGTCCATACTGAGTACGTGGTGAGTCTTGTGGCTCATTCGCTATCCAATGCTTGCCAAACCACAGTCCAACCAGCTTATATACTTATCTCCTTCAGAAAGACACAATCACTCATTTGCATCTTTGTCAATCCATTATCACTATCGAAAAGTCGCAAGACATCCATCCCCGAAGACAACTACGCTTCTCAAACACTCACATAGTCTCGCTGCGCCCTCGTGGAGCAAGACGACGGCATGGTGAGCTCAAACTGTCCCTGGTACAGGTAATTTGTCTTATCAGTACTACTCTTGAAGAGTTCTGCTTGACTGACTTGATCTCAGGTACCATAGCCGCCAAGGCTGCCGTCACGATGAAAACTGCTCAGACGCGACGATATCTGGTCCTAAATGTCCTAGCTGCAAGGTCACAACCTTCACTCAATGCGACCACAGCAACCGGTGTACGGACCCGAACGTTGTCTGTAAGGGGTGCACGTGAGTACTTCTCTACATTTCAGTGTCTACCCATGAATGGCAGTCTGACAAACAACCACTAGCGGACGTGGTCAGCGCAATCGGGTTTGCGACTACAGCTCAATCACATGTCGACATCCAAGACAGCCGCAAGAGCTGAAGCAGTTGCATGCGCAATCGACAATGGAGGGCCCCACACCAGCACACGCTCCATCATTACCAGATATCCGTGCTTCCATTCTTCCAGCACTCGTGGAAGTCGAAAGCATGGATAGCGCGACTGGTCCGACCATCTCGATGCTGCCTTCGCAAGCCACAGGTGGGCCAGCGCCTGGTCGGTCTTTACTACCTCCAGGCCCATACCAGCCTGACTTCAAGTATTCATATCAACACTTTGGGCCTCCGAGCATCCAACTGGCGCTTTACACGAGTCTTCAGACGCAGCATCTGCAGAATCCTAGCCTCTCCAACCAGGCCGTACATCCACCCTTTGTCGCTCCGACCCATGTGCCTTCTCCGCCATCCGGCAACACCTCGGGCGGTTTCGATGCATTCAGTTTCCGGTCGGCGACGGGAACTCGGGACTTCCAGTCCGAAGCTTTGTGGACTAATTTACAGCCAACGTGGCCGAGCGAAGAAGGACCACAGCAGCGTTGACTGGTCTCTGCCACAGCACCTCCAAGGGAACGCTATGGCAGTCTGAGCGAGCTTGAGTCATCTGTGTCCTGACGATGAATGAAGCTTCCGCTTGTCTCCATCGCGGCTGCGGGGGATGCTCATGGCTCCGGAAGTCGCTACTGGCACCGGCCTGGCATTGCTGTATCTTCTCTTAATACTGAAGTCTACTTCGATGTCACGAAATTTTCATATCTCGTATATCTCATAACTCGCGTATGTCTTCTTTGGTTCATTCACATTGTTTGGTACACTCTCGTGCACCTACGATGCTCTCCGTGCCTTTCCTGGTCCAAGCCCTGTGGCGAGTGGATGATCATGGGCTATTGGCAACTTCTTGGGACAAATACACTGTCTACGCATGGTAAGGTAAACACCCCGATTGCTCATCATTCTTTGCGTTGAAGAAGGCGAGGAGCAGCAGCCGACTCATGTAGTCATGCGTCAGGGGATGAGTGCATCTTGAACCTCATGACTGTATAGGTACGACAAATCCTCAAATTTCTTGGAGAGTGCGCTCAACATTCTCGCTGACGCCTTACCTCCGATTTACCTTTGCACCACAAGCAGCTTTCACACCAACGATTCCGACAGCACCGATCTTGCAGAGACCTGCACTCAAGACTTTAAAGGGGACTCCCCAGACAACTACGAGACCAGAAACTGCGGCGATGAATGTTCTTGCATGTCCGCACTGCAAGTGAGTACATGAGCCAGTATCATGTTGGTCAATCCTAGTCTGACCCGGCCACAGATCATTGGGCCATGTCTATTGCGCTAATTTAGATCGACATTGTGTCAACAACGAAATAGCTGTCCAAGCATCAATAGCGTCGCACAGAATAGGTATAATCACCGGCAAGAAACCACCCTGGACGGAGGAAGAACTTGCCCTGCTCGTTCAGCTCCATGAGCAAGGAATGTTGTGGCACAACATCTCCCGGCATTTCGGAAACCGCAATCCGAACAGTTGTGCCCTAAGGTACGGGAGGTATCGTAGTGACCTGGCTGCAGCCCAGAGTATGCAGCAGCCACCCCTTCTGCCTACTTCTGGAGACTGCGATGCGGCATGTGATGCCAGCCAACTTGAGCAATCGCAGCAGAATCGCGAAAGGATTGCGACAGACCCGGTTTCCGGCGAAACGAACTCAGGCCCTCTCTCGACCACCGGCCCTGGTCCTGCGAGCCGGCCTTCTGCTGGAGCAGCTCCTAACGACTCTTTCGGACCCGTGCATCCGCCTCCAGTAAATGCAGGCCCTCCGCACTTCTTCGAGCCTCAAAGATCGCACGTGCCGCAGCAGACGCAGCATCTCCAGACTTCTAGCCTTCCTCCAACATCGCCGAGGCATTGGCGACCGTGGGAGAAGTAGCCACTCTGCACAAGCACCAACGGCAGGACGCCAGAGCACGGAGCGATGTCGACTTGACGTATTTTCGATGCTGTGGAAGTTCCTCGTGGCTCAGCGGCGACCACCATCACGACTCTATGCCCTGGACCGCGATGTATCGTCACCAGCATCGAAATCCCTGCTCCTTTCTCCTATTTAGTAAGTCTATGGTATGGCAATAGTCTTGTTTTCGGTATATCACGTTGTTTCCGCACCTTTCACTTTTCTCCTGACAAGAATCTCTGGGACCCTGTGCGCCTCTTTGGTGGTTCTCGTACGTGGTTTGACTTGGTGACTGGCTTCGCATTGACAGGCTCCATTCTTTGAGACATTGATGCGTGAATAGCTACGTGGCGACGACAGCGTCTCATACAAAAACTCAACGTAGGCTTGAGTGAACTGTACTCAGTGCTGAGAAGGCATTGAGCTTGTTGGATGGTTTTGTGTTCGGCAAACGATGAGCAATGGTTGACTCTTGCGGTAGTGTGTGCTCGATGCTGTGTGTGAGCAACAGGTGAGCACATCTGGAATCCTGCAATTGGACGCAACTTAAAGGGCCGTCAGGCTTCTTTAATGCTGCTTAATACAACAACCTACCATCGGTAAAACCCTCTCAAACTATTGAACCCAGCAACCTCTAGGTGCCTATTGTGGACAGACGTACTCGAGATCCTGCGAGCAAATTCATCACGGTTCACAATGTCTGATAAACCACTATGCGAAGCATGCAGGCAAGTAATTTTCTATTCTCCAAAGTACATACATTGACACATACGTAGGCAATGTCTGCAACGCCAATGCAACACTCAAACTCCCGGGTGTATCAATTCCGAACTCTCTGTCCAGATGTCTGTAGCCGCGAACGCCCTTGACCCAGCAGTTTATGCATTTGCCAACTCAGGGCCACCTTCAACCAGGAGATGGGCACTGGAGGAGGGTGCGCTGATCGTTCATCTCCGCAGCATGGGAATGTACTGGAGCAATATCGCTAAACACCTTCCCGGCCGCAGCACGAATAGCTGTTCTGAAAGGCATCAGAAGCTAGAGACACTCGAACGTATTGCCACGAATGCCCCCGGTCCAGAACAACATCTCAGCTCAGAGCCAGAAGTCCCATGGAAACCAGAAGAGGACGCTTTGATCATTCAGCTTCGCAATAGCGGAACGACCTGGGGCGATATTGGCGAACACATGGCCGGCCGCAGCGGGATGAGTTGCAAATTGAGGTATCATAACTACTTAAGGCCGGAGCCGCAAGATCACGCTGCTGCCAACGCAGCCCGGCAGAGTCAGCAACCACCCGGTCAGTCCAGCACCCAACAAATTGAGGCTGCAAGCTCCGATCCGCAATTCGGTACACTGCCATCAGTAGCAGGCAGACAGCATGCCCACGTACAGTCAAAGCTACAGCTGCCTCCAGTACTTGGTGCGAAACACCCTGACACCCGCCAACTACCGCCATTGTCCTCTGTTACAAGTCAACATGGCCAGTTGCCCTCTCTTTCTCCAGCGCACGCCTATGGCCCTACGGCAGCCAGCAGCTCGCTCCCAGGCTCAAGCAGTGCGGCGACTCTGGCAAGTGGACTTAATCCACCGCAGTATGGTGAGTCTCCAGTCAAAGGCCAGCAAGGACCAAGCTCTTCCCGGACCACCAAGAAGCCTCACCAGTCCAATAGTCGGAAGTGACACTGGCGAACAAAGGTAAGGTAGAGTGTCTGAATTCCTTCTACCAGGCTGCGGCGCTGGACGAGTGCCAATTGGGACTTGCGCTTCTGGATTGCGTGAGGCTGCGGCTGGCATGGGGATGATTTGCGGTACAGTTCCTCTTTTGCTTCTCTGTCTACTATGTTGGACCATTTTGCTGTCATTTCTCAAGTACCTGTACTCAATTTCCATGAACTACTACATTCCGTACACCCTTGCTACTCTTCGGTCTGTCTACGCTGTCGTGTCACGGGCATATATAAGCCTTCACTCAGCACTTCGGCAGAGCAGTGCAGAACGCTTGACTGGCAAGTTTCAATAGGAAATGCATCTCTTCACACTTCCTCTCTTAGACTTCCACCTTCCAGCGTACCGTATCTCTGCACTGCTTGCTATTGGTACAGCTCACAGATTTCCTGTTGGAGAATACACGGATTGTCTTCTGTCTTTAATGAATGCTCATTTCATGTAGCGAGTGGACATTACCCATCGACATAAGCAATGAGGAAGGCACACAGTGAATACATTTACCTTCTCCTTTGTGTCATCAGAAGCAGCAAACCAAGAGACTTTCGCAGCTCAGAGTCGACATAATCTGCTTCGGTTTTGTTCGCGGTACATGCAGCTCACTGAACACACCTTCTGCATCTCCTTTACATCAGAGCACAACAGCAACACAACTTGAACTGTAGAGCAATATCACATCCCCGCACCATACTGAAGACATGAAAAACCCTCTTCGAGCTGAGTGTCCACACTGCAGGTGAACACATACCTCCTTGAGCACACAAGTGCCATAGCTAACCACGAGCCACGGCGACCTCAGATACCAGCAATACCAATTCTGTATTTTTGCGGATCCTTTGTGCAGTCACCCGGCCAAAGGAGCGAGCTGCACACACTGCCGGTACGTCCTCGGGCGCTGTGGACGACCCCTGTAGCTGATTTGTCCTAGAGAGCAGAAGCGTATTGTGTGTACCTTGACAGGACCTTGTACAAGTCCTAATCGACTATGTGCACACTGCTTCGACTGCACGCGGGCCTATTGCTTGTACGCTGATAACCTGTGTAGTGAGTGTTGTTTGATCCGCTCCGCAAAGTCCGTAACACTCACTGACCCTTTCACTCACTGATGTAGCAAATCCTCATCAAACAGATGGATTACCACGCCAAACCCCAGACGTCTTGACGCCGATACTACCGCCTGGATTCACACTGCCGCTCACGGCGCCGCCGGGCCAGACAACTCCACTTACATTGACGCACGCACAGACACCAGGTACAAGCTCTGTCCATCCAACTCCATGGCCCGCTCAAGGGCCTGGGATGGCTATCACTCCCTCACCGCAACCGCCTGTTCCTGGGCTCGGGGCAGCTATTGCTCTGCCGACGCAGTCGCCTTACCAATTCCTCGAAGGAAACCTTTTCGGACCAGTACCTCCGCCCCGGACCACTGAGACAGTGGCGGAGCCTTCTTGGGGTAGTCAAAATCCGCCCACACCCGCACCAGTCTCCAATCCGCCAACAGCTGGGCATGCACCCTATTGTCTAAACCCGGCCGACTGTCCCGGTCTGGGCATGAAAGGATACGCATGTGTGAGGAATCCCAGGCAGGACCCGAAGTTGAAACGCAAGCAAGAGCCCTCCAACACTGACGAGACGAACTCTATGTCAAGAAGCCGGGTGCCTGAGCCCAGGAGTCAACCCGAGAGTATGAGTACAGCCCAAGCGTCTCGAGAAGAGCAGGCAGCGGATCGGTCCCGTTCACCAGTAGTCCGCACAGCAACCGAGACCAGGTCTAGAACACCACCAGCTCCTGAGCAAGCCCTTCAGGAATATGGTCCAGCAAGCCGAAAGCCCAAAAGGAAGACTAAGAAGACAGGCGGACGTCGATGACGACACAGCCTTGATATTTGTCGTTGGCGTGCATGTCTCCGTAATGCCTTTCCATGGCTGTCAAGTTTACACCCTACGATAAGGGTGAGCCCAACATGATCAGCACTTTAGCCGGGATGTTTTCCGTTCGAGATAGCTTGGAATGAGCGGCTCTGTCAATTCTCACTCACTTGATAGACAGGCTGTCCCAATAGCTTCTGATCGTAGATGACCTCTCAAGCCGACGTTAGGCGTACGCTCATGTTTTCTCCCTCACCAGCCGATCAGCGCCATTTGCCTTGCACCACCACATGCATAAAGATCAGCATACAACATCCCATGGCTCTCGGATATAGTCTTTCCGAAGGGGCAAGCCATGCACCATGAGCCATGGGAATCGCGTAGGACAGCATTTCGCATGCTTTTGGCATGTTGAGAGCGCAGAACCCTGGGTCGCCAATCGCACCATGGTAAGCCTTTGCCACGTGAGAAGACGTCGTGTAGCCTTGGATGTTTGTGCTCGGTCAAGCTCGGATGAGGGAGGTCATGACGGCGGCGGTGCTGCTTTGGGCTTGACTGGCAGCTGTTGTGCTACATGCACCCTGCCTAGTCGTTGACGCCAGAGAATTCCAATTGCGCGGATGTTGCAGCCGTTGCTAACGGCTATGACCAGTGAGGTGAGTGATTTGGATACTGTTCGTAGTATGGTTGGTCAAGATTGGTCCCCTGAGTACTGCGGCTGAAAGACATGCAGACATGCTTTGCTTTTGTCACACTGCGCCTGACAGCCTCAAGACATGAACGATACGTTGCTACCGGCATTGCCCAGGGGTTCCACCCTGTACAACAAGCCACGCGGTCTGCCCCCGGGCCGAGAAGCCAGGAGCCAGGACGGAGATGCATCGCTTTCTGCAAGCGCCCTTAACGGTTCTTCTCCAATCATCCCAATGGGAACAAAATATGTGAAGACGCTCGAGGTACAAAACAGGGTACGGTGCAATATGAGAGGCAAATATTAGCTGACTACAGGCTGACTACGTGATAGAAGCCAGTTGTATCTAGGCCGGCAGTTGACAGCGTGGCCTCCAAATTCTTCCGAGACCCCGAGCAAACATATGGCCTGCAATGTGCTGCTCGATGTGGTACCCTCCTTGCATCGAGGCCCCACTGCCATCCGCACTTCCTTTCATCGACCGCCGGCTCCCTGACCAGTGTGGACGCCGCCGGCGTCGTGTGGCTTCCATGGATGTGTCCAACGCTGTAGATCTCTGACACGTTGTCACTTGTGCTCCCAGGCACTTCAAGGGTTGTTTGCTCGGCTGAACAAACACTCAGTATTTGGTATTCGAGAGCGATCTGCAATTGCTCCATCAAGGGATGCCGACCGCACACTGGCCAGACACGTGGATGGCGGCCGACGGACGCCTGGAAGCCCAGTATGCCCTGTGTAACCGATCTGGAAGCAGTCTTGCTTAGATCGTCTATGATACGCAAGTACCCGACGGCCTTCCATTCAGACGCTGATTGTCCCAACGATCTCACTGTTCACGGCTAAGGGCATGACGGCCTGCAGAGTGACAAAGATATAGTGGCCCTCGCGCACCCTCTCCTTTTTGTACTCGATTGGCCGACTCATTGATTTCTACACCTCCCGAGTACTTCCAATTCTCTTTACTCAGCCCAGTGAGATCAACCCATAATGGCAGATGCAGTGGCGGCCGAGTCTACTCCAGCAGTACCGGACTACCTCGCTTCACCGAACGCGGTCTTCGCGGACGAAGGTGTCCAATGGCGATACGGCAGAGCTCCAGACTACTCGAAAACTCGCAAGGTCTGGGAAGAGGGTACGTCGTGCACACATTCCTTTAACGCCTCGTGGCCGCCACGGTGGCACGGCACCGTTGCAGATTTCTCACGTGGGACTGGCGTGTTCAGCAGCATGCTACCTGTGCTATCCTGGACCTTAGGTAATCACTTTTCATGTTTACTAACACTGGCCCGCAGGAAAGAAGTCGAATCACGTCGCAGGTAGTCTACCTCAGCTCGTCGAGAACCTCGTCAAGAACTGGGAAGTTGAAGCCTCCTTCAAACCTCGACTCTCGGACTGGCGGACGATCGACCATGATAACTACACCTTTGCCATGAATGGAGGAAGTCCGCAATCTGCGGAGCACATGCTGAAGGTTGGCACATACAATGCGATCATCGAGCCCAATGAGTACGTCACTCTGTCCGATGGAAGCCTTCTCTGGGAAACGAGCTCTTAGTTCCGCTCGCCCTATCAATATCTCAACCTCTGCTGACCTTTTGACCCACCACTTCAGGTACTATGATCCGAACAACTCCGACTTCGCGTCCAGCCACAAGACCTTCAAGCGCATGATGCCAACGTTCGCGTGGGAAGTGATGGAAGTGTACAGCGGACCGCCTGTGGTGGCCTTCAAATGGCGGCATTGGGGAACCATGAAGAACGACTATGTCGGCTTCAACAAGTGAGCTATATCCGTACTGTGAGCCTAGCTCGATGCTGACGTTCCACAGCAAGGGAGAAAAGGTCACTGCCAAAGCACACGGTGGGCCAATCGAGATCTTCGGCATCACAATCGCCAAGGTCGATGACAAGGTCCGTCTGCAAGCCATCGACACCTGGATGGATCCTCTGGCCATGTTCCGACAGATTGCACCGCATGGCATCGTCAACAAGGAATCCATGAACCGCAAGGCGGAGAAGGCTGATGCGCTTGATGATGGTCCTGGCCACAATGGCATCAATATAGCTGAGGAGCACAAATCTGGCGACTCGACGTCGAACGTCGACCAGGCTGCGGGAGCGGACATTCCCAAGCACGTCTCGAACAAGACTGGGGAGTTCGCGGACTCTCCTGTCCCGCAGATGGGAGCTTGTCCATTCATTGCAAGGAATGGCATGCTTTCGTCCGAGTCTGTTCCTGCCGACCACCCTGCCGTCCCGAGTACAAATGGCACGAATACGACCAGTCTTACCAATGGTTCTAACGGACTAGACGCCACTCCTCTTGAAGACATGAATGGCTTGAACGAGCACGATCGGCCTGGATCTTTGCAAACTCCAACCCAGGCATCCTTCTCCAAGTCTGAAGACACGGACCAAGCGCAAACAGCAGAGGTGACTACTAAGTACGACGATGCTCCGAATGGGAGTGATCAAGAGGGTCCGCTGCAGACTCCACGACGTGCTTCATCGTCTGAGCCTACAGAGTGGTACATGATACCGAGGGATGTTGACATGACCCAGCCAAGTGATGCAAACGGCGGCCATCCTGAAGTGAGCAACGCAGCAGTGACCGCCGGTTCGTTGGACGGAGTTGCCAGCATGGACATCGACGCTACGCCTTCAACCACCGCTCAGCAAGATCTTCTGGATGCCAACACCAGCGCTGCAACAAGCCTTCCGATTCCCGAAGCCGGAAGTGCCACCACTCTGGCCGCTGATCAACAGCCCCCAAAGCGTGCAGCCGAGGACAGCATCCCACGCTCTATCTACTCCTCAGCAGTCACAGGCAATGTTGAGGACGTAATCAAAGTAGCCAGAAACGGCGACTATGCTGACGAGTCCGTCATGACGGGAACATACGACGCAGTTGACAAGCATCTGGAGAGCCCCGCTGATCATGTCCATCGACACCCGAAGACGATGGAGGAAGTGGTGAAGCCCGATCCTGGCGAAGCTGTTGCTGTGTCGGGGAAGAGTGAGGAGACTCGGCAGACGTACCAGGAGATGAGCGATATCAAGCCAGAGGAGAAGGAGATGATCATGAACCGGGAGTGATGCACATCATCCACAGCTATGTATCGTGAGATCGGTTCGACGGGTGGCGATTTGTATCATATCTACCGGAGTTGGTATGGAATGGTTTGACACGGCATTCGCATCATCTCTTTCTACCCAAGAACTTCTGCATCAGCCCTCTTGGCTCCTTCCCTCCATCCGCAAATGCCTCAGCCAACGCATCAACACCAGCGTCGATGCCCTCATCAATCGTTGAATTCTCCCACTTTTGCATCAACCGTTTCTGCGAACGAATGCACCTCGGTCCCATGCCAACGATCATATCCGTCCACTCCTTGACCGCTTGATCCAACGCCGCTTCGTCATCGACGAGCCTCTCTACCAGACCCCATTCCTCAGCCATCTTTCCATTAATATTCTCAGCCAGGTACAAAAATCGCCTGGTCCTGCCCCATCCAATTAAACCAGGTAGATACGCCGCCTCAACAACAGAAGGAAGACCAATTTTGACCTCCGGCATACCAAAGACGCTACTTTTCGTTGCGATCCTTAGGTCACATGAAGCCAGGATCTCGAGACCAGCTCCAAGAGCGAACCCATCCACACGGCCGATGACTGGCACTGGGATTTCCCGCAACGCCTGACATCCGCGATGTACGAGGGTGATGAAATCTCGAGCCTGCTCGTACGACGACATTTGGCTCATTTCGCGGATGTCGGCGCCGCCGATGAATGATGGTGCCTTGCCTGGAGCAGTGGGCGCTCCAGTGAGAACGACCGCTCGCAGAGCATCGTCACTACTGACTCTTTCGCACGCCTCAATCAGCTGTTCAATGACTGGACTGCTGACGATGTTCAGCTTGGACGGATTGGAGATCTGGATAGTTGCAATGTTGTGTCCTTGTGAATGTTCGACGGTCTCGCTGATGACCTTGGCATCTGTACTATCGCTGGATCCAGAGCTGTTCGATGCATAAGTTCTGAAAGTCGTTGTCCAGCTTCGTTGTACGGGCAGTCGCAGTTGCGTCGGTAAGGTTGGGGAAGGCAATAGAGAAGGCCGGCTACCACAGACTGATTGGTATCCTCTCGCTAGGTTCTTGCCCCTCTGGTTCATGCAACGGCTGAGCGAGCGTCCTGAGAGCAGGCCTGCCGCACATTGCAGCACTCCACCAGCGAGTGGACAGGTCTTGAGAGCCATATTGGGTTGGCTTCGCTACTCGACCTACGTTTCGAGAAGGCAAACACGTGTTATACGGCCCGGTAGAAGCACACTCTCCTCGGCACTTGAACAGCGGTTCGAAAGTCTCCCCGCAGCAGCAGCATTTTGGACCGTCTCGACCGTGTGGGCGTCCTTGGTTCCTCGTGCAGCCCGCGGTGCTGCGTCGCCTGAGACGCGATGTGGGGGGTCTGGAGCTGCGAGCTGACCCCGCAGACGTCAGTTTGCAAATCGTCTAGATCATTGCGGAGCAACGGTTCCTTCAGAACCGCTGTTAAAGCAGCTGAAGGATCCTGATAGAACATCCGTCGTGGAGAGAAACATTTGTAGAGGCGTATATCCAGAAAAGACGGGTCTTTTAAGAAACAAGCAAGGAAGAGTAGGAGGAAACAGCAACGAACCAACCGAACATAAACAACAGCAATCATGGGCGACGGAAAGATGAAAGCACTGTTCTATGACGGCCCATTCAAGGTGTCCGTCAAGGAGACCGATATCCCAAAGATCCAGCATCCCGACGATGCCATCATCAAGGTCACCACCGCATGTATCTGTGGCAGCGATTTGCACATGTACGAGGGAAGGACTGCAGCTGAGGGCGGGAGTGGACTGGTCTTCGGCCACGAGAACATGGGTGTGATCACAGAAGTTGGGCCTGGTGTCATGCTGTTGAAGAAAGGAGATCGCATCGTTCTTCCATTCAACGTGGCGGACGGCCGTTGCAGGAACTGCGAAGAGGGCAAGACGGCTTTCTGTACTGGCGTCAACCCAGGCTTTGCCGGAGGTGCCTATGGATACGTGGCAATGGGGCCATACCAGGGCGGACAGGCGCAGTACCTGCGTGTCCCATTTGTAAGTACATGCCGGATGCGCCGCTCTAGAGACTTCTGCAGCACGAGCTAATGTGTAAATTAGGCCGACTTCAACGGTCTGAAGCTACCTTCGGGATCCGAGCACGAGGCTGACTTCGCACTGCTGGCCGATATCTTCCCAACCGGCTGGCACGGCCTGGTCCTCAGCGGATTCAAGCCTGGCGAGAGTGTTGCAGTTTTCGGAGCAGGCCCAGTCGGCATGATGGCCGCATACTCTGGTGTCATCCGAGGCGCAAGCAAGGTCTTCGTGGTCGACCAGGTGAAGGAGCGACTGGACCAGGCCAAGAAGATTGGCTGTATCCCGATCAACTTCCGGGACGGCGACCCAGTGGAAGCCATCATTAAGCAGAATGATGGTATGGTTGACCGTGCTGTGGACGCCGTCGGATACCAGGCTGTGGACAAGGAGGGATCGAAAGAGCAGCCGAACGTGGTCTTGGACCAGTTGATCATGGTTACGCGACCTACGGGAGGCCGTAAGTATACGCCTGAAGTGGTCCTAGAGGCTGTGAGCTGACCTTATTCTTGCAGTTGGCATTCCGGGCCTCTACGTCCCATCCGACCCAGGTGCGCCAGACGAGAAATCCGGCAAGGGCCAGATTCTCCTCAGCTTCGGCAAGCTCTTCGAGAAGGGCCTATCGCTCGGTACTGGCCAGTGCAACGTGAAAGGTATGGCATTCCAGGACCCCAAGCCTGTCCAGCTCAATCATAGGTCTGTGACATTGCTGACTCTTCTTTTCTACAGCCTACAACCGCTACCTGCGCGACCTTATCATTTCCGGGCGCGCGAAGCCGTCGTTCGTCGTCTCCCACGAGTGTGGGCTCGATGAGGCGCCAACCGCATATGACAAGTTCGATAAGCGTATCGAGGGATACACCAAGGTGTTGCTGCACCCTAATGGTCCTCTGTCATGAGTCTAGGGCTTGAAGCGATCAGATCAGAAACTTTTGGATAGTGAACCCGCGGTGGACAAATCTTACCATGTATTGAGCCCGCCTGTTGCGTCCGGTGCCCGCAATCTGGACTCGCACCGTAGGTCTTATAGTATCGACTCTTCAGCACTCTCCACTCACTCCTCCTCCCCCTGCACAGCCCTCGCACTCACAATCCTCACATCCTCTTCCGGCCGATCCTCCGCCCCCGTCTTCACCAACCCCATCCGCTGCACCACCCGCATCCCACTCTTCACCCTTCCAAAAATCGTATGCTTCCCATCCAACCACGGCGTCGGCGCCAGCGTAATAAAGAACTGCGACCCGTTCGTATTGGGGCCCGAGTTCGCCATACTCAGCACCCCAGCCCCGGTGTGCTTCAGATCGCTCCTGATCTCGTCCTCGAACTTGTCGCCGAAAATCGAGCTACCTCCTCGTCCGCTCCCGGTTGGGTCGCCGCCTTGAATCATGAAGTCTGGTATCACGCGGTGGAAGATCGTGCCGTCGTAGTAGTGTCGCGAAGCTAGAGTGCTGAAGTTTTGGCATGTGCGAGGCGCGTGGGAGTGGTAGAGTTCGACGGTGATGGCGCCCATAGTCGTCTCGAGGACGACGTTCTGGGCCATGCTGAGGGTGTGTGTGGTTATCGTGGTTGAGAAACCATCATTGTGTTGCGGACGTCAATGTGTATCACAGGCTAGAATGGGGGTGATCTGCCCGAGGCGTGAGGCATGTCACGTGCGGCAACGATCATACTGCAAACATGGTCAAGGACCAGATGAGAGGAGCTACAGTGACCTATCGTACAAACATCTATCATCTCTACATCTACAAAAACAACGCCTCAACGCAGATTGGGTATCATAAATGCCTCCGGTATAGTACAATAGTCGTCGTCTTGCCTCCACCAAGCCCGCTCTCATCCCAGCACATTCGGGTCATTAAACTCATCGTCGTCAAGCAAGAACGACGTTCCAAATTGAGCGGGATGAGCCATCGCACTAGGGTCGTATTGGACGTCCTTTAGCTCCAGTCCGTTGTATTCGCCAACGTATGTTTGATCGGTTGCAACCGAAGCGGCGCGCGTCGATCCGGCAGAAGGATGATAGTAGTAATCGGCTGGTGCAGTCTGATACGTCGGTTGGTTGTGCATAGGTAGAGAGTAAGGGAGAGCGTTGCGGTTAAGCCCTCCCCACCCTGCCCCGTAGTCAAAGGACATTGGAGCCACGAGCTCCGGCTCCTGATAGTGGGTCATGAGCGTAGAGTCTGTGGCTGTATCCGATGTCAATGAGGTTTCCAGTGATGGGGTGTAGATGTGCCGTGGCTCAAAACTCTGTGCGTGTGGTTGTTGCATGAGATGGCTGTCCTGGGGTCGAAATGGCAGAGTGGCACTGGTCATGTTTGTGGGTGTTATGTGCCCGGCATTATACTGGTGAGCAGCATACATCAGCGGCATGGTCGGTACTGGTGGTCCAGGAGGGTACCGGTCTGGGACATAGAAGCGGCTGTGGTCGCTAAGGTGTCTTTTGCCTTTGACGTCTCCAGACATTTGAAGAGCTGCCACATCTGGGTTGGCTGCCGTGACAGGCAGGGGGAGGTTCTGCGCCATGCTCTGCGCCGCGCTTGAAGCGGCATTAATGTATGCCTCATCGTGGAGAGCCGAAATTGGGACAGCTCTCGGCGTCATAGTGCCACCACTGCCCTGTGACGTCGAGGAGGAGCGAGACTGCGCCTTTACGGCTGTGTCGTCTTCAGTTGTGATGTTTCGCATTGTGTCTGTCGATTCCACGCGATCGCACAACAACCCACACAGATAGGCCCGGAGGTCGATTGTCCGCCGACCTCTGCTATATCTGCTGTAATCCATCGTGCCGTTGTCGTGTACAACCGCGTACTCCAGTCTTTCAATGGCCTTTGTGAGCTGAACCATATTCCAGGATATCGTTTGCCATGCATTTGCTGATGAAAGCATCTTTGCGCTCGCCTCCTCGAGATATGGTCTGACTTTAGGCTGCTCTAGCAGTGCATAAAGCTTGCGGTGCAAGTCACCAGATGGTCGGTACCCATGCCTCTCGCTGAGGCTTAGCAAAGAGTTGAGGTAGAGCTGCATGGACTGGAAGAGCCGGCCAGTAAACTCGCAAGCATACGTCTGCTTCTCCTCCGGCTTGACAGTCACGAAATAGAAGACTCCCAGGCCACAAGCGTTGGCGTGTTCCTTTGCTTTGGCCTTGACACTGTAGATCTTGGTGCACTTCTCGCACTTGTACTGCTTGGGCGATACGTGCTGGTCCTCGAGGTGGCGTTTGCAGACGCCTTTGGACGAGAGGACTTCGTCGCAGAAGATGCATTGGTACTGTTGGTTGGAGGCAGATGCCTTGGCTCGCCGAGGAACAGACAGCGATCTCAATGAAGTTGTCGGGGTGGTACGCCTGCCCTCGTTGACTGTGCCAGCATCGTTCTTCTCTTGCAGGGTCTGCGCAAAGCTGTTAGCGTCTACACCATGCAATTGTGAGGATATCGATCGCAAATGCATCCAAGGCTCCACGTAGTCTCGCGTACCTCCGAGCTTGAAGTCGCCACAGCAGCCTTCCCTTCAGAGCTGCCGCGTTTCGGACATCGCCCAAGACGAAGGATACTTCTAGAGCTCCGAGACTTCAGAGACGGCTTCGGCGAGGATGGCCTGGCCCTGTCTTCTGTTTCTTTCTATCAGCACGTCGTACTGTCGATAGAAAGGGGGTGGTTGCATACTCGGAGCAGTCGTGGCGGCAAAGAGCTCTTTGACAGCATTGTCGTCTTGAAAAGCCAATTCGGTAATCGCACTGGCCGTCTCCTCGGTCGTTCTACCGTTCGTGTGATCGAGCAGGCTCAGAATGAGAGTATTGGCCTTCTGTCGCAATGCCTTGACACGGACATTCGCGTCGACGGAATCGTGTCGCAATGCCTCGACATAGACATTGGCTTCCATAAGTTCATGATATGATTGTTGCTGAGAGAGTAGGAATCATGCAAGTGAAGGCTAAAATTGATTAGAGCAACTGCCCGAACGAGTGAAAGCAGCGTCCAACGAGCGAATAGTCGCTGGTGGGGTGGCGAAGACGAGTATGTATATAGCTGGTGCAGGGCTGATCATCAGTCGCGACGATGGCCCGCGCCCCCCATGGCCAGCAGGCTCGGCAGACCAGGTATAGGGTCAAAGGCAATCATCCGGACGAAGATCCAAGAGCGACAATGGCGCGGTCGAAGGAGAAAGGAACAACGACGTGCTGTCGATCCCTCTCCTAGTCTCTCTCGCCTCTGCAGCTAAATCGCCTTAGGGCCGTTTCGGTATGATGACCATATTGCATCCGGCGTTTGTGCGCGGAGCCTCTCGAGCGCCTGTGCCTGGCGCTGCAGTTTCAGAGATTGGTGCGCATGTCGCTTCGAGTCAGAGGCGTGGGTGTCGAACACGGACCCGGTAGGCGGGTGTTTGATGGAGGTGTGGTGTGGCGGACGTTGCGGAAACTCTGCTCGACTCCCCGAGGGCCGTTGTGATGCTTATTCCAACGAGACAACCGTGGGGAAGCGTCGATTACTGTCTACAACATCAGACTGACTACGCGCGAGAGCATTCTGTAGACCAGCAAACTGCAGCTCGCTGTTACGGTAGACACTCCTGAAAGCTAGTGGTGGCTTGACCTAATCTCTTCGACTGTTCACTTGACTGTTTTAGACCCTGCTGGTGCTCCTCTGCACCTGCAAGCCACATGCCACATGGCACAAGCCTACATGTGTCTCCTAGAGAACAACTTCGACTTCTCTCCTTTTTCTAGAAGGAAGCAGCAAGCCACAAACCATGCACGCCATTGACTCGCGGGCCGGCTGGAAGTGTTCCCCGGCCCTTCTGCCGGCCTGGCAAACGTGGAGATTCTCAGATTTTGCGCAAAATGATGCGGCTGCCGGCTGTCACCAAATTATCCTCGCGCGTGTCGCGACGGACAGATACACACTCGATACGCCCTCCTCTGCATGCCCGCCTGTGCACACCAGCAATGCGAACCCCAAGAAAGGCGACTGCGTGGGTTGCCTTCCGTATGGTCAGACAGATGCCCGTCCGCGGAGGCCAACACGTGGCTCCAACAACGTGGCTCCGCCGCTTCGTGCAGTTTGGGAGGCAGAAGGCTTTTCCAGGAGAACTGCATCGTCTCGCGTGTCGTCCGAGCGCAGGGTATGTGTATCTCTATATCCAGACCGAAGACAACATCCATCGCTGCATAGGCCTCACTCTCGACGACTGCAGCAATGCATGAAGCCCACCTGCGAGCCCATCTCAATGCTGGCGTGGAACCGTCGCTCGACCACGCATCGAACGGCGTCCCTATGCCATGGCGCTGCTTCGTTCGCCTCCGAAATGAAGATGTCCCAAGAAAGCCGACCATCATGCTCTCCTCAACCCACCTGCGAAGTCTTCTGCCTAGAAGGCCACATCCACTCCTTGAATTGTTCATAACTCTGCTTCGCACCACCAGCAACCTTCTCCTCCATCCGTTGCGCAGCAGTGCTAGGCTTGAAACGTCCACGAGCCTTGACGCACACCTTCCCGTCCTGCGTCTCCAGAGTAGCCTCGTACTCTGCGCCACCATACGGCTCTGGGGTCAGTTCCGCATCTTTGTGCTCTGGCTGCGCAGCCATGACCCTGATTACGTAGAACTGGTTCGCGTAGGTCGGCTTCAGATAGCCTAGACTAAGCTGTGCAGGCTCGTCCGGAGTGAGCGTTGGAGCCAGCATCTTCGCATGGTTGCCAGTACCAAGTAGTCGTTGTGGTACAGCAGCTGCCGAGACATCACCTTCACTGTCTTGTGCCAGCGCGGAGGCCAAGCTGAGCTTCTCCGCCAGTGCCGTAGCAATGGCACCGCCATGCGTGACCCCCGGCCACCCACAAAGTGACCCACCAAACCATACCACCGCCACAAGCCTCTGCTCCCCCCTATCCCAGAATACTCTCTCCACGCCCAGCCCCTTTGCGCCCTGCATCTGTGTAACAAGGCTTCCATCCGCGCTCTTGTCCTCGTCCACCTGAGCGGCCGATTGCACCACCTCCAGCCAACCCCCCTCTTGCCCCTTCAACTGCTTGGCCACACCAAGACACTTCCCCCTCAACACCTTGACCTTGAAGTGCTCGTCAATGCGCTGGTTGAGGTCCGCCAAAAGGATGCCATCCTCTCGCGATCCGGCATCGGGAAGTGGTGGTGGAGACAGCGTGTGGACCACGAATTGTCCGCCGACAGCCCCTATGGCTAGGGCCACGATACCCAGCACCACCGCACCGCGATTCCTCTTCAAGAAGGCGGGATTGGGCGTAGGGTGCTGGGAGACAGTCGCGGTGGGTGTGGGATTGGGAGCCAGGCGGGCGGTGGACTCGAAGCGTCGTTGGAGGCATTGGTATCGTGTTGAGAGATTGAGTCGTAGGGCTCGTGGGCCGACTAGTCGTGATGCGCTCATGTTCGTTATGTGTCGTTGTCGCAGGAGATTGTTTCGGTAGGAACAAAACGTCAAGCCATTGAGAAATATGACCTCGGCCAGAGATCGGACTTCAGCCCGAAGACATCAACCTCACCTTCAATTTAAAAATTCGTTGGGAGACGTCGAAGCTTCAAATTACGCCGTTGGACGACGGGCCTAGCATATATGTAGATGATATTGATGTGACTTAGCATGTTAGTACGTTATCTACCTAACCTAACCTGACCTCCTCCTCCATCATCATGACAAACCGCCAAGGTCCCTCGGAAAACAATATGTGGTATCCCTCGCTATGCACACCAAAGAGCACAACTCCTTTGCCATGCATGCATGCCCGCTGAACAGTAAGAGAAAGAAGTTCGTCTATTCGTATCTTTCCAGCCCCTGCCAGATTCCCCCTTCACCTCTCCTCCTGACTAACCTTCGGCGTGCTCCACTCCTCCATCTCCTGCGCAGGCGTCAGAGGATACCTGCTCGCGCGTTGACTGCTCGGGCCGGGCTGGGCATCATCGTACTCGTCGTCCCGCTCGTCGAATACGTACGACGGTGTGCCGGTGCGACTGTTCCGCGAGCCATGCGTGTTCGAGCGCGGACGCATGGACGGTGCGGGGACTCTGCCGATCGTGTCGCGAGTGCTGACATCACCGCCAACTTGGAAGGAGTCCGAACTGGGCTGCTGCTTCACGGCGAGTGCGGGCGCGGATGACTTGTGCAGGACGCTGCTTAGCGATGCGGATCTGCTGTGACGACCCTTCTTTGGAGAGGGTGGGGCGACTGCTTCGTCCTCGTCGGGAACAGTCCGGCTCATGTCGATAGGCGTGAAAGACTGGCGACTCTCATCAGCACCAACCATGCTGAAGTCTCTCGTGCTCCAGCTAGGTCGGTGAGGTCGAGCACCATAAGGCAGATTCGTGTTGCTCATGCTGTGCATGCTCCCGGCCCTGCTCTGGCGAACGGGTGTGGCGGCGCCGCTGCCGTAAGGCGGTGTCGAGACTTTCCTGTCCATGCTGACATAGGAAGCATTCGGATCTTGCGGTCGCATCTCCGACGCAAACTCGGTGTCGTCGTCTTCAATCTTGTTCTCTCGCCTCATGTTCCGAATCGCAAAGCCTGGCTGCGACTCCTCCGCCTCCTGCCGCTCCCGCTCAGAACGCTTCACCCTCTTAGGCTTCGGCTCGCGCGGCAGGTCATTAACCACACGATCCAAATGGTCAAAGTACTTCTCCCTCAGTCCATGCCACTTCCTCGGGCGGAAGTCCTCCCGGTTCCTCGAGATCGACATGTAGCTGCTGATTGCGCCAACAATGACAGCGATCATGGTGATGATGGTCAGTATGCCCTGGATGATGACAATGACGATTCCGATGACAGTCGTGGTGATGCGCTCCAGGTTAAAGTGCACGTCAAACGCCGCGGACAATGCAACGGATGCAACCTTGCTGAACCCCAAGCAGTAGACGACAAGTAGGTTGAGCCGGCGACCTTCGAACGGCCGTGCCCAGATGATGTAGATGAAAGCGAGGAATTCAATGATGAGGAGGCCAAAGACCTGTGCGAGGGCGTATCCTGATGCGCCAGCATAGAACACTGCACGCAGGAATTCGTAGAAGATCCAGACGGTGAAGAAGTACCAGCGCGAGCGCCTGAAGCGAGACACGAGCCAGCCGAACTTCATCGTGTAGTCATCGTAGTCGTGGATGTTGTCGACGCTGTCCGGGTTGTTCGCGATGCTGTCAGTCGCGCTCTTCCGCTTCCAAAACGCCTTGCCCGACTTCTTCTCGTCTCTCGATGTCTCTGTAGCTTGTGTCTCGCCAGTCTGTGCAGTAGTATCCTTCTTTGCAGCCACAGGAATCACGCCAAGTAGCTTCTTACGCTCGACTTGGCCTGCTGCTGAGCCCGGATCCTTGATGATGAGGTGCTTCTTGTAGTAGCAAGCATACCACGCCACCCCCGAAATGCCGACGAGGAAGATGACGAACACGAAAGCTGCGACAACCTTCACTCCGGCAGAGGACTGATAGGTAAACTCGAAGATGGTCAGGAACATCATCAGGAAGAAGCCGATGTAGCAAGTCCTCAGCGCAACCGCACCGGCGTAGCGCTTCCAGTGGTCGCGGAAGAAACGCAGCCTCTCCGCGTTGATAGCATTGAACCTCGCAAGGCCTTCTAGTGCTCCTTTGAACGTGACGACAGCGGCCACAAGGAGGACAAGCAGGATCAGGAACCACAAGAATCCGGTCATGAATGCGTTCGATACGGGGATGTTCTCCTCAGCCAAAGTGCCAGCAAATCCAGAGTAGTTGCCAGGTAGAGGTAGACCAGGACCGACAGCGTGTCCGTACCATCGGTAGCCGTCAGACTTGTCAACGACATCCCGCGCTGCCAAAGCACGTTCGGCGTGGTGCGTGAAAATGTCCCGCTTCGTCACCATACGAAACTCGTCAGTGTCAAAGATCTCTGTCAGCATGTCGCGCCTGAACGGGTGATTCGCCGGCAGGTACGACGAAGGAACGGAGAACGAGCGCTTGTAGATCGAGCTGATGTCGTAGCCGCCACCAAGGTTGTCCTGGGTCGAGTCCGAAGGCGCAGCACCCACTTGCGACGTGTTGCCGATGTTAGCGCCAATGACGCTGTTGATGCTGCTCTGCATGCTGCTGGAGTAGATCATGCCGCCAGCCCATGCGAAGTTGCTCCACCAGGCGACCAGCACAGAGGGCCAGTTGACCGATAGTGCTCCGGTAAAGAAGATGTGCTGGAAGACCGCCATGACAACACCAGCTGAGAGCGAATGTGCGTAGTGCAGACGCATAGTCGGCACCGCCTCGCCGTAGATGGCTGTTGCGAAGGACGCAAGAACTGTGATCAGTGCAAAGATGCCCAGCACAGTACCCACGGACTCCGGATGGCTGAAAGACTTGCCATTCGTGACCACTGCTGAGTAACAGCCAATCTCGCTTTGGGTACTGTTGGCGAAGATGCGGAGGATAGCCTGACCTTCGAAGTCCGGGATGTCGTACGCGAGAGAAGGGATGTTGGCAATGTCTCCTGGTGCAATGGGAATGAACCCGTTCGCATTGATCGGGATACTGCTGTTGAGCGGACATAGACTGTGCAGATATTAGCTCCACGACCGACTCGGTCACATCACAACCCATAATCTCACCTGCGAATATTGGCACGGCATGGGTTGAAGACCAGGTCGAACCTGCTCTCCCCGTACGCATAGACTCCAATGTACATGACCAAGCTCTCATTCGCGATGGCAGACGAGCCCTCCAGGTGGAAAAGCACCGTCGCGTTGTCCGCATAGTAGGCCGCATCGAAGCGTGAGACGTTGACCAAGCTCCCGCCCATGCAGTCTCCAAAGTTCTGCGTGTACAACGCCGGTCTCCGGTCGTCTCTCAAGTATACTGTCTCTCCATTTTCTTCCACTGTGACCCATTTCGTGTCATCGGCGCCTGTAGTGGGAAGGAGGGTGAAGAGGGTGAGGAAGGCCAGCAGCGCCGGCCATATCCTTGTGATCATCGTGAGTGATCTCGTGGGTGATCTCGAGGGTCGTAGATGAGGTGATGTAGTGGTTTGGAGCGAGTGAGGACCCTTCGATGACCGTCACCTCCTCGCAGGCCCAAGCATGGAGCAAGGTGAGGTCGAGAGGTGGTGGTGAGGTTGGAATGTGGACCAGATGTCGCGAAAACGCGAAGTGTCGTGGTCGTTGAAGAACGAGTGCTCTTGCTGCTCGTCGTGTAGTCGCCAATGCACCGCAGTCGTTCAATTGTCCTACTCCGTCGCTTCCGGACCACGCCTGCCTGAGGTGGCCGGGAGAGTTCGTGCTCGCTTCGCTCCGTGTAAACGAGCGGATTCCGCGGGATCCAGGGGGTGGTACGACGACGTCCTCCGCGGGGCCGACGGTACGGATGAAGCAGCACTTCCTGCACCCAAAGTCGACCACGCGTCGACTGGGAGGATGCAAACGAGTGTGAAGAACGACTGGCAATCACCAGCAATAGAGAGACGGGTCGGCAAGGAAAGTCCGGCGGTGGACATTGACACATGCACTTTTTAGTGGCTGGAGGGCCCAAGCGGGAAGAGGAAGTCACGAATGCACCACGACTGCTGACGCTCCCGCCCACACGCCTCTCGAGCTCTTGGACCTTTTGAAACTTGGAACACCTCCCAGACCCGTACTCCGTACCACAGTCACCGCCCGTCTGGTCTGATGACCTGGCCAAGCTCAGTATTCGTTGGAGCCAGACGCGCGAACCCAAGCCCAAGCCCAACTCCGCTAAGGTACCTCCCAAGCAAGCCCGTCTTAGCGGGCGTGGATGACGATCGGGATCTACCCGCACCCATGGGCTTCGTGTGCGCCATCGTCAGACATCCTGCGTCGCGCCCGCGGAGAGCACCACCCATCGCTGCGATCGTGGCAGCGGACTTAACCCCTCTTTCGTCAAGACATCACGGTGCAGCGACAGCGCGTCTACTCCCGAAGCAGGCGATATTGCGCGCTCGAAGACAGAGTCAGCAGCCTGCCTCGCATCACTTCGGACTCGCTTCTAGGCCTAGCCGTCTAGGTGTGACAAGGATCAGAATTTAGCACGAAGATCAGGGCCTTCGGCGTCTGCACAGCCGACGACATTTTTGTGTCATCACATTGCAGTAAAAGCTGTTCCTGCAGCCTCATAAAGTGCTCGCATACGCCGTACAACTCTATTCAAATACACTTTCTTGAGGCTGAAGCCAAGCGCACATTACTCCTTGGGATATTTCGTGGCAGACAGCGTCCACGAATGTCTCTTGGCCGTCTCTCAATTGGAAGAGCCGCGGGCTGGGCAGAAGCAACGATGATCGCGTCATGGGTGAGGTCTGATATAGCACTACATGGACTCTCTTTTCTCCGCGCGGAGCATTTGGAGGACAGCGGATGCAGAGAGCTCGACACGCCCACCTATTCCATTTGTGTCGAAGCCAGATCTCTGCAAGACGCTGCAGTACATGTAGCTGCAGTACATGTAGTCTTGGTATGGCCCATCTGCGAAGCTGAAAGACAATGTAAAACAATCAGACTCATTGTTCGCTTCCCATTCCTCGCAACACAGATCTATCATACTACTCATGATGTATGCTTGTAATTCAAAACCTCTCTCATTACCCATTCCTCCTCACACTTCAACGAGCAAAGTTCGCAGGCGCCTGCGTCGCCGGTCCCTCAGGCGTAACATAAGCCTTGGTCATGCCCCCATCAACCACAAAATCCGTCCCATTGACAAAACTGCTCTCATCCGACGCCAAAAACAACACCGCCTGCGCCTGCTCAATCGCCTCCCCAAATCTGCCAGTCGGGAAGTGCACCTCCCGCCTATGGCGCTTCGCCTGGTCATCGCCCAGCCAGTCCTGCAGGAGCGGCGTGTTGAGCGGCGCGGGGCAGAGGGCGTTGAAGCGGAACCCTTCGCGGGCGTGCACGATGGCGAGTTCGCGGGTCATGGCCAAAACAGCGCCTTTGGAGGCGGTGTAGGCGAGTTGGGGCGTGGCGGAGCCGACGAGGGCGACGACGGAGGCGGTGTTGATGATGCTGCCGCGGGACTTTTTGTGCTTGCGGAGCGAGAGGACGGCGTGTTTGCTGCCGAACCACACGCCTTTGACGTTGATGTTGTGGGTGAGGTCCCAGATCTTCTCGGGGGTGGAGACGGCGTCTGTAGATCGTAAGTCAGAGATTGAGCGGTGAGTTTGGTGAGATGGAAGGTTTACCGTCATCTTCCCCATGCATGATGCCGGCGTTGTTGAACATGACGTCCACGCCACCCCATTCGTCAAGACGGTCCACGATCGATTGCACGTCTGACTCCTTGGAAACATCGCACTTCATGGTGGCGACTTGTCCGGTCATGTTCGGGACGATCTCCTTCGCCTTGCTCATCGCTTTGGCAACGGCGGGCTCCGAGATGTCCGTCATCAGGACGGAGGCGCCTTCGCGGAGGAAGAGGATGGTCGTCTCGAGTCCGATGCCGCTGTTGCCCATATCAGAAGCGTCCTAGAGCAGATTCGCATTTTCAATCTCACCCAGCAGCGCCAGTAATAATGGCATTCTTGCCAGCCATTCGGCCGCGTGGTACATCACCGTGAGAACCCTTCTACAGTTAGTGGCGAGAGCGGTTGGGTACTGGAGATTGAAGACATACCATTCTGTTGAAGATTGGTACGCAAGTATGTCAGGTTTCAGACAAAAAACAGCAGCAGAATCAAGTACGAAAGGCAGGCAGGAGATGTGCAGGTGCGTAGAAAACGCTCAAAGGCTTCTCTCGCCCTCAGTAGATGCTCGTTGATGGTGGAAGTACGGTCGAGAAGTCTTCGTCGTCCTTACTCATATTCGCCTCGTGCCTCCCTCACCGCCCGATAACTCTGATTGCTTCCCGAGCGGACCCGCGACCGCGACCGAGCCGCTAGGGGTCGGGAGCAGCATTCCTTGACTAAGAACGGTGATGCCATGCGGCAGTCGCGTTATTGCAGCCGTCTCGCGCACGCGGAAGCTCTTCTCATATCATATAGTGATCGTCCAGCAGTCGAGAAAGACTGTAAGTGTAGAGATAAGGAGGTGAGGAGTGAATGCATACCGGCTCAAGCCGAGGAGAGCGAGCGAGCGTTTAGCTCCGTCGATCTGTTTTCCAAGCTGTCCCACTCGTGCGGGCCTAGACCTCAATGTGCGACCTTCTCATAACCAACAACGACACCTCCGAGTTCTTCAACAGAGCTCGTAATCGATCTACCAATACCACCACGAAAAATTTGAGGACCTTGTAACAGTGCTCGACAAACAAACCGCAACCATGTCCGACGAAGACAAACACTTCCACGAGCTGACCCACGCCGACCTCCCAGAACTGCTCAAGCACGATGCCGGCGTCAAAGTCGGGGGTGTCGACATCGACGGCATCATACGCGGCAAGCTCATGTCGAAGAAGAAGTTCCTATCCATTGCCGAGCCCGGCTTCGGCTTCTGCTCTGTTATCTTCGGCTGGGACATGCACGACCAGACGTACTTTCGCGAGCTGAAGATCAGCAACGCCGAGAATGGATATAGAGACATGCTCGCGGAGGTTGATCTGAGTTCGTACCGAAGGATACCGTGGGAGAACAATGTGCCCTTCTTCCTGGTCAGCTTCCGCGAACCGACGGGCGAGAGCTTGAGCGCTTGTCCTAGAAGTCTGCTAGAAAGAGCTGTCGAGAAGATGGAGGCGAAGGGAGTAGGCGCGCTGGCAGGAGGTGAGTTCAACACGTCACATCCTGTGGTTTGCGCGTGTTGAGGCCTGACGGCAACAATCAGAGTCTTCTGCATGCGCTGTTAGATAAGGAAATGGAGCAGCGTTAACTGACAGTGCTCCTCAAATAATAGCTGAATACGAGTTCTACACCTTCAAAGCACCAGAAACATCGACGTCGTCGTCACAGCCAAGCGAGCGAAACTCGAGCGCAACCGCGACCTTTCTCCGCGAGAACCCTGCCAACTCTCTTCCCAGTCTGGAGGAGGGCATGTTCGGTTACAGCTTGACACGGCCGGTGCACAATCAAGACTGGTACTACGCAATCTTCGCCGCAAGCCAGCAGTTCCGCTGTGACATCGAAGGCTGGCACACCGAATCCGGTCCAGGTGTGTACGAAGCGGCATTGGAATACGGCGAGGTTCGCGAGATGGCAGATAAAGCCGCTCTCTTCAAGCTTACGGTCAAGAACATGAGCTCGAAGTTCGGCATCACGCCGTGTTTCATGGCGAAGCCGCGCGCGAATCTACCCGGCAACTCCGGCCACATGCACATGAGCCTCTCCGATCTGAAGACGAAGAAGAACCTGTTTGTGCGAGAAGAAGCAGATTCGAATCCACCGCATGAGGGTCTCGAGCACGTCTCGGATCTCGGTAGGCACTTTCTGGCCGGTCTGCTGGAAGGTTTGCCAGATGTCATGCCCATTGTGGCGCCGACGGTCAACAGCTACAAACGGCTCGTCGAGAACTTCTGGGCGCCGGTTACTGTCTCGTGGGGCTTGGAGCATCGCGCTGCGTCTATCCGGCTCATCGCGCCACCTTCGTGTCCGCCGAAAGGAACACGCTTCGAAATCCGCGTCCCTGGTGCGGATACAAATCCGCATCTCGTTCTCGCCACCATCCTCGCCTTAGGCTACCGAGGAATCGAGAAGAAGCTCGAGATCTCCGTCCCACCTCTCGGCAAGGGCCAGGAAGTCGGCGGGAAACTGGACAAAGGCGAGAGGCTGGCCAAGTCGCTGAAAGAGGCGACGGCGAGGTTCGCGGCGAAGGACAGTATAGCGAGAGAATGCTTGGGCGATGATTTTGTGGACCATTATGCGGGGACGAGGGAGCATGAGGTGAGGCTTTGGGACGAGGCGGTTACGGATTGGTGAGTTACAATCTGATGACATTATCGTAAGACTGGGCTAACGAACGTGTGCAGGGAGGTGAAGAGGTATATCGAGACGGTGTGATGGACGTCTCGAGGGCGGAGGGCAATCTACTAGCGACCCAGCCGAATGAATGAGATATGTCGAATGTTGTATGAACGAAGTCAGGTTTCCTGACGGGACAGCCATCCTCCAGCCTCTCCTCTTACGAGGTACACACGCTTACTACGTTCACCTCACTCTAATTGTCATGTTGTTCAAGGCTTGGTGAAAGTAGTGCAGGCATATTGCCCTCGGGAAGACCAACTAGCCACCCGGCGGGAAGTCTAACCATGTCCTGACTCGTGGTCAGCTTCAACCGCACCTACTTCTGCTCAACACGATCACAGCCTGTGCCACCAGCAACTCCGTTCTTCATTGTGGTCCTTCACGTTGCCTTCCTGGTGTCGCTTGATAATGACGTGTCTACTCAAGTGAAGCTTCATACTCAAGTGAAGTCCAAGACCTCGAACCCGCTCAGACTGCAGCAAGGACAGGTCCAGAGGAATCCATTGTCACCATACCGTCCCAATTCCAGAGGCACAAGCGGACGATACAGGAATCTCACTGGCATGATGCGCACATGTCGCTCTCGTTTCCCATCATCAACATGAACGTCCGACTGGACAGACCCGGATGCTTCGCCGACTTTTCATTCTGGCTGCACTTGTCAATTAAGTGGCCGCCAATCCTACACAAGAAACCATCTGCATCTGCATATCGCTCGACAGTGCCGACTTCTTGACAGGCGTCGTGGTAGCCAGGATGTTGTGAGCGACCAATGAACAGTGTTCGCTACGGCCGCGGCGCCTGGCAGCTCAGGATCCGACAGCTCGAACTCTTTCCGTTGCTTTTCGAGACAACGCAGCTGCACAGGAACATCCAACATCAGGCTAATGTGACAATGCGCTTACAACAGCACACCTGAAAGAAGCGAGCAGAGCATTTAAGGTGCAGCACACGCTCGATCGTGTGGTCGCTCGCACGTGGGTGCTCCCAACTGAGGCACAGCCAAACACACCGGGCGCCTACAAGAGATGCATACTCGCCAAAGAGGCCTGCTCAGCCGCCAGACCCCATGCACTGACGGTTCAAATCCATGTCTCGAGAAGGCGAAGGCGGTTCGCGCGGTGAGTATGTGAAGGACATCCTGTCTCTAAAGGTAAGTGAGGTTTTGGTTCGGATCATCTTCTATCCACGAGATGCTCAGAACTCTTACTTCGTTTTCTTTCGTCGCAAGGAATCTTCAGGCCTCGCAGCAGTACAAGTACTCCAACCTCCAAGCCGACAGAGAGATCCGTCTCTTCAAATTTGCACGAGGATGCAATGCAGCAACGATCCGTCTCACCATCGAGCGAGTCAGCCTGGAAGACCTTCCGGAATATGAATGCATCTCTTACGTCTGGGGCGACCCGAGCGAGACTAGGCCTGTCTATGTAGGCCAGGATGTCATTTGTGTGACGACAAACCTTTGGAACGCTTTGCAAAGACTCATAGGTGAAGTGTACGACGAGCGAAATGAGTGGAGATTTTGGGCAGATCAGATCTCCATCAACCAAAGCTGCCTTGAAGAAAGAGCAGATCAGGTTCCACTGATGTCGCAAATCTTTCCAAGGGCCAGACGAGTGATCTGCTGGCTTGGGGAAGAGGACGAGACGACCGCTGCAGCGGTGTTGGTGTTGGACGCATGGTGTAAAGCACGACATGATGAAGCTTTGCGGCTCCAACTGAGCGAGGATTTGAGCCGTGCCATCGCACATGAAAGACATGACGAGGTCACTGGTATCAAAGCCCTGCGGAACCTTTTCACTAGAGACTGGTTCAATCGGATGTGGACGCTCCAAGAGATTTTCGTCTCCAACACGACTGGACACATTGTGCTTTGCGGCTCTTACGCAGTCTCCTGGAATAACGTCTGCATTGCCTGCATGACCATGACCAACGCAAGGCCGATGACCGATATATACGATGTCTTCGGAGACAACTTTGACAACGTAGTGATGATGTTCACCATTTATCTTGGCGAGCATGAGTCCGACTGGATCAGGATGTCAACGCTACTGCCAGACGCCAAACTTCGGAAGGCATCTGATGCCCGGGATCGAGTGTATGCTCTCCTAGGTATAGCGGAACACAAGGGATACCGATATCCCAAGCCCGACTATGGTAAGAATGCCACGCCGGCTCACGTTCTGACAAAATACACTCGGGCCATCATCCAGCAGGAGAGGAGTCTGGACATCATGGGTATTAAGAAACAAGCTTTGTCGGATGGCATTCTCCCCAGCTGGGTCTTCGATCCTAACAACGCGGGAGGAGGCTTGCTGAGAGAGCGAGGCCTCAATGCCCGGAGGAGAGGTGCTGCAAGCTCGTTTGAACCTGCGATGGAAGCGCTTGGGTCGACATCTGATAACAACTGCAGCATCGGGCTCTATGGCAGAGACATCGGCCGTATTTCCAAGATCGTCGACTTCGACCAGTTTTATGAACGAATAGATCCCTTCTACAGCCGCTGGGAAGACCTCATTGCCGAAGGCAAACGGCTTGGCTACGAATTGGGTGTTGGTCACACGTATCACGTCACTTCAGAGGGGTCAGTGGCCGCCGTGCTGAAAACACTTGCAATAAACGACCTTTGGCTTGGTTGTCCTACAGATGCAAAGGGTTACACGCGCGAGAAAAGGCGACTGCACGAAGCCTTCCTCCAGTGGAGACACACACCTATACAGGATGAATCGGATGCCATTGCCGGACCTTTCAGGCATGATGCTGACCACGACTGGTCTCAAGATAGCCTTTTCGACTTTGCTCGGAGCCACTTTCGCTTCGAGGGACCCGCAGAATGCAACTGTCTCGATACAAGCGGAGAATATCAGGGCAGTAAGGCTCAGTTGCTCAAATGGCTGGAAACATATATCTGCGTGTATTTGCGCCTCAGACTCGCCGACACGCTGCATTATATGCACCTTTCAGTCACGGACACGGGACTACTGGCGCTGGTGCCGCACATGTCGACGCTGGGGGACAGAGTGTGTGTCCTACTCGGCGGCTTCAGTTGTTTTGTACTTCGGGCATCTAGAGACGAGTCGAGCTTTCGATTACTTGGACCTTCATACGTTCATGGATCTGAGGACGGTCGCTTCCTGCAAGATTATGAGACGTTTGGCGACACATCTTCAGTGGATAGGTTCAATTTGGTATGACTACATCAGCCCTCGTCGGAGCAGTCTCGATATTCGCATCGAGAGATCGTGGCGTTTGACGACTTGTAGGCAATTAAAGATAGAGGCGCGAGGGTCGTTCTATAATAATATCATATGACGGAATGGTTGTAACCCCATCCGTGACTTGCTACGCGGCTTTCATCGAAGTGTAACATGAACAGCTGAGGGAGAACAGAAGACAGTTGCAATGATGGACACTGAAGCAAACTCCTGAGATCCTGTTTTCTGTTCGGACGGCAGTAGTGATTAATCTCATCTAGGCGCCTCTGGCTGATAGATGGTCACCGGACAAGTGAGTATCTGGTCCACTCCAAAGCTCCTGTTGTTATGCGGCCTCGCCCCAACTGTCTTCCCCAGATCGCTACACCTCGCCCGCTCATACCGTTCACCCACTCTCACTAATTTGAGCACCACCGTTTCCGGCCGCCCTTTCTCGTTGTACATCCAGCAGTTCAGCGGACAGTCAATTTTACTTTTGCGGCCGCGGCCCCACTTGCTATTGCCTGCGGCGAATGCAAGGTCCAGATGGATGTCTTCCGGTGCGTTTGTATATCCACTCCCCGGCCGATGCACGATCAAGCTTCTGATAACGACGACATCTCGCGAGTCCTTGAAGCAGTCTGGTGAAGGTGCCAGGAGTCTCCAGCGATCTTCCTGTGGTCTCCACTGTGGTATCGCAGAAGCGTGAGAACCGGGACGGCGGAAGCACTGTAGACCGTTCCGAGGTGTTGTCCACGCGAAGATGGACTCGTCCGGGACCGTTTCTATTAGCGTCCGCTGCAGTCTCATGAACGCTCGTCGACCTTCTCCATACTGTGGCATCATGTTGATATCCAAGAGTCCGATCATGCTGTAAGCTATGTCTTCGACTTGCCCGGTGACTCTGCCCGCCATCCAGCTGAACTTGGTGGCAACGCTGGCCTCGGGCAAGTTACGCGGGCCGTTTAGATAGTGGGATGAAATACCGGTAACTCGCTCGATCTCTGGTGCCAGGGAGTTCCTTTCACCCATGAATCTCCAGTTCTGATCGTAGAACTCCATGCGTTCCGGCGCAAGAAGTTCCTGGAGCGTCCAGCCTCGTTCGAACCATTCTGACTCGACTCCTCCCAGCTCATTGCTCTCCTCGCCATTTGCTTTCGGTTGCCGCTTGAAGATCGAAGTCCCCGGTTGAGGGGGATATACGATATCGTGGAGAAACGTAAAACAGACCTCAGCGTTCCGATACCAGTCAAACATGGCATTGATTGACCGTGTCTCCTCAACCTGGTTGGTCTTGTCAATACAGAGAGTATCTGCCCAGAGCCAGTTGAGCGGCGAGGGAAGCGCTGTGGCTTGTTGGCAGGACCCTCGGATCTTGTTCACCGCGTCTGACTGGGGTTGATTTGTATCGAGAAAGACGGTTGGGTCGAGGTCTTGGAGCCTGATTTCACCGGGCAACCAGCGATGCGAGAGGATCGCATAGCGTGGGTCCTTGATTACTTCTGGATGGTCGCTCTTGAAGAGTTGGTATGTTTTGGTATTCAGCAAGCGGACGGGGAAAGACATGGCTGTGCGAAGACGAAATATGGGTCTTCAATGAGCACTTGTTTGAAGTGTCGCTTCAGCCAGCTTTCGGATCCATGTGCCTTTGGGGGTGTTGCCATTACATGTAGACAATCTGGCTCGATCCTCTGGCCCGCAAACCAGCCACGTTGTTCACCCGTTGCTCAACCCCACCCATGTCAGCTGCTGTCCAAAGGTGTGTGTAAAACGTACGTAATTGACCATGCTGAGCGACTGGCCAACCCAGCAACCCATAATTCCAGTCGACAGAAGACAGTATAGAACAAAGAACAGAAGATGTTCGCAGTAGTGGCGAATCGGACCGCGTCAGGATGCCATCCTCAGCCACCCAGCGAGCTGGGATGAAAGGCCGTTGTCAGCGCCGAGCCGCCCGCTGGGTGGTGAGACCTTCTTTCCAACCTCAAAGCACACCTCATCTCACCCTTCCATCTCATCTCTTCCATACAACCACCTACACGCCATCGCTGTCGCATCGCGTCACACCTTTCGCTCATACAGTAATCTGTACGCTAAATACACGCCTTTTCGAAAGCCCGCCGAACCCGTAGCAGCCGCCGATCCTCTCGCGAGAAGAAGGAGGCAAGATGTCGTCTGGTCAGGGATTGTACGATCCGCCTGCGAGCCATGGAGGGGAAAACCGCACGCAGCAGTTACAAAGTGTAAGTGCATGTTCCAGTCACTAGTGGAGTGAAGTGCGAGTGTTGCGAAGCGGGAGAGTGGAGGCAGAGTTGGTGAGCGGCTAGCTGAGGATTGCGCGGCGCGGTATCATTCATGTGCTCTTGTGCGACCGACTCAAAGATCGCTGTCACATGAGAGCACATGATGAACAGCGGCCGCCTTGGCAAACCGCTACTTCACTGCTCTGCCTCTCACTCTCCAGCTTCACAACCCACACCAAAGCACCGACAAGGCAACAAGATGGCCTACGACCCGCACTACCACCACAACGACTCCCTCATGCCGGAGCGCATGGGCTCGACATACCACCCAGTGACACCTGCGCCTGAGCGCGAGCGTTCATATTTCAAACCAGCGCTAATGGAAGAAACTCACAAGGAAATCGACTCCGCCGTCGACCAAATGAGGAACAACATCACCCAAGTCGGAGCTCGCGGTGAGCGCCTCGACCACCTGCAAGACAAGACCAACAACCTCGCCGACTCCGCGAACGGCTTCCGACGCGGCGCGAATCGCGTGCGCAAGCAGATGTGGTGGAAGGACATGAAGATGCGGATGTGTATCATTGTGGGAATCATCGTGTTGCTGATTGTCATCATTGTGCCGAGTGGTGAGTACCCGCGCATTGGCTGTGTGTCAGTGCAGAATGCTGACTGCCGAGCAGTCATCGCAGCCCGCAAGTAAACCCGCGCATCAGCGGCGCATTCACGAGAACGACACGAGCACGACCAACACAAGATACAAGAGCGCGGAGCAGCCTGGAGCTTCGAGGGAGGGGCGACTTGTACAGCAGGAGTAGTATGGGGCGATGCGGCGAAAATACGACATACCCTTCCGACTCTGAGCGGGTGAGCAGACTTGATTTTGATGGCACATGGCGCTTTCGCGGAGTAAGCTAGGAGTAATGAAGCCTTTTTGCACGAGTCTTGAGTAGTATAGCTGCTTTTGGGAGGTGTACTTATAAGAATGCCGCTTTTACCTTCACCAGCTCTCCAGTCTGCATTTGCTCGCATCATTGGGTGGAAGACATGGTCGTGAAAGTGAAGGAGACAATGTGCCACCCGCAAGGACATTATATTAAGACGTTGTAGTTACTCCTCGCTATGCCTGAGAGCTCTGGCGCATCGACCAGAACAAAATGGGGGTATCACTATTGCATATCCGTTCGCATCCACGACCATCCAGCCTCACACCCACCACACCTTGTCACACCCACTCTCCTTCCTTCTCGCCGGCTTCTCTCCTCGCCCTGCAGAAACCGGCGCGCGTTATACGTGACTCGTATGCTTTCTCTTGCCCGCCTTGCCGCACGTGAGACAGCTGACGATGGCCATGAAGACTGTAACGATGCCCTGCGCGAGGTATCAGTATGCGCAGCTAATAATGTAGAGTGGTTGTCTCCATGTTTGCCAGGACTCACGTCGATGATGGCTTTCAGGACTGTCACGATGCCGTTGACGACGGCCATGAAGCAGGAGGTGATGGCGTTCACGACCGACTTGAACTGCGGTTGGTGTTAGTGAGCTGCGACGTGGTGTGAGAGGGTGACGGTGGTGGACGTACGCAGGAGACGACGGCGCCCATGGTTGCGGTTGTTCAGTGAGATGGTATGTTGATAGTGGTATGTCTGGGCCGATGTCTCTGCTGTTGTCGAGGAGGTGTGGCGGAAGAAGGCTGAGAGTTCGGTGACAGGAGTGTGTGGAAGGTGAGACTTCAAATGTTGACGAAGCAGACAAACGTCCTTTAAAGAATGCGCGACCGACTTTTCCAGTTTGTCTCACTTAAGGGAAAGCACGTCCTCGTCCACGCGCCTTGCCTTGCATTTTATTCCCACCACGCAATTTCCCTCCCTCCTCTCGCCCGTCACCCGCACGTCACTTCCTCTATCCGCTCTACCCAAGGAAATGAAGCTGTCGCGTACAGAACAGATAAGCGACGTCCAAACAGCAAGAATTCTCGCCTGTCAGAAGCGCGCCCAGACGTGCTTGCGCAGGCCTCCATACCCGAAACAGCCAGACCGTTTGCTGCAACCGGTCACGCTCGCGCCGATTCCTGCTTCTTTGGTGGAGGTGTCAAGAGAAGTGTGGCAGATTAGACACGCTTTGGGCAACGATCGGACGATGGGGGACTTGGATGGGCTGACCATGCGCTTCCGCGCTTCCGGACGAGCTCAGTCAGGCAGGTTTTGGTAGTTTGATAGAGGCGCGCTAGGTTGATGCTGGGGGATCTGCCGAAGCTGTCAGTCGGGCTGTTGTCCGAGTGGTCGAGGAGGACTCTTCGACAGGACTGCAGTTGAGGCGTCGTGGCGGTGCTTGTGGCGGTGCGTGTATCAAGGTTTGGTTGTGCGGACTTCATGTCGTCTTTGGGTGATGATCTGAGTGACAAGACTTAAGCGCTGATGCTGCGGATAGATGTGGGATCTACTAGAGTGCATATCGGGGTCACACCAATGGGACAGTTGGGCGCAAGAGCGGGCGAGACTCGGACATTCGAATGACTGCCCAGGCTTTGGACTGAGTGCTGTTACACTTCTATATGCCTCGTCCAGGGGAAGAACACCCACAAAGGCCCGACGAGGATGGCAAGCTCAGAGAATACCTCCCATACTGTCCATCACCTCCTCCACCGCCTCCAAATCACGAGCGTGACCAACCACACCACCACCAACAACCCCGCCCCCAGCACCATTTTGATCTCCCCAGCATCATACGGCTCCCTTCCCCCATCCACCGCAAGTCACTTCTCCCCCTGATCCGGTATCCTCTCCAGCAAATACCTCTCCAAATCACCAAGCTCCTGCGGACTCGCATTATGCCCTAGTCCCTTATACATCTTCAGATCCACATTCCACCCCCACTCCTTCAACTTGTCCGCCGTCTGTCGTCCCCACTGCGCTTTCACCAGCGGATCCTCATCCCCATGTCCCATGAAGATCTTGGTCTCCTTGTTCGGGTTCTCCTTGGGCACCATTTCGCGGACCTTGCCTGCCAGCAGTAGGTAGCAGCTCAAGCCGAATATCCCTCCCAGGCGCTCTTGACATGTAATGCCTGCCATCAAGCTCATCGCGCCGCCCTGGCTGAAGCCTCCCAATACAATGCGTTCTGACGGTATGCCCGCCTTGATCTCCTCAGCGATCAGGTTGTGAAAGGTCTTTTGCGATCGCACGATGCCAGCTTCATCTTCCGTCCGGTTCGTCCAGTCGCCGCTGAAATCCGCAATATCGTACCACCCCGGCATCCGCATGCCCATGTTCAGCGTGATGGGAATCGCAGGAGCATTCGGAAAGATGAATTTGGTCTCGGGGAATTTGGACTGTTGACGCCATTGGTCTGCTAGGAACATCCTGCGCACAAAATCATCGTTACGAGGGACCTGGGAGGGTGGCGAGGGACATGAGCAATGCGTACCATCCTGCACCACTGCCAGAAACATCAGCGGGGGTGACATTGAGCGTTCGAGATGAGGACGAGGCCTCACCTGTCTCCTAAGCCGTGGGCGACGATGACCGTGCTGGTGTGGCGCTTGAGCGCCGGAACGACGAGGGCTGCTGCGCTCGACATTGTTGTAGCAAGTAGGAGTATCTGTATCTCGTGTCGAGGTTCAGTGGGTTGAAGTGGAGGAGCAAGGCAAGACGCAGGCGGAACGCTTCCGCTGTATAGACTTCCGGGGAACAGGCTGCTTAAGCAAGCATTCGGACTTTTGAGATGCGAGCATTGCAAACACGTCTTTTCATTGATAAAGGGTCTATATAGTTGGGATCAAGCGTGTTCTATACCATCCGTCTTACATGCCTCGTCGCGGAATCTGGTTGACCATCCTTCTACTTGGTCTTCTACTTGCTCTCATCCCGTTCACGAACGACTTCAACCTGGCGTCTTCACTTCGCAGTCTACTGCGAAAGACAGATTCATCCCAAGCGACTAAAATGCCTCGTACACCAGTCTACTTCTTCTCCCACGGGTACAACTCCCATCCCTAGCCTTTCCCAACTTCCCAACTAACCTACCTCCCCAGCGGCCCAAACCTCAAAGACGACACCACCCACCCCGCCTACAGTACCCTCCAAGGCCTCGGCCGCGAAATCACCCACACCGTCCGCCCCAAAGCCCTCCTCGTCATCTCCGCCCACTGGCAGCCCGACCACCCCAACACCATCCAAGTCTCGTCCCCCTCCATCCACTCCTTGCTCTATGACTACTACGGTTTCCCATCCGACTACTACAACCTCAACTTCCCGGCCACTGGATCGCCGGAGCTTGCTGGCAGAGTCATTGGTCTTCTGAAGGAAGCGGGGATTAAAGCGGAGGGCGTGGAGAGGAGGTTGGATCATGGTGTCTTCATTCCGTTCATGGTTGCTTTTGATCCGAAGGAGAATCCGCTGAGCATGCCTGTAGTGCAGATCAGTCTTTTCAATTCGGATGACGGGGCTGCGCACTATGCGCTCGGCGCCGCGCTGGAAGGGCTGAGAGATGAAGGCGTGGTGATTGTGGCGAGCGGCATGGCCGTGCATAACCTCCGCGACTTCCGACGGGCGATGATGGGTGGGTTTGTCGGAGGGCGAGCGAAGCCGATGGGGTACTGTGAGTCTTTCGATGAAGCTCTGCGGGAGGCCGTGGAGAAGAGTCCTGAGGAGAGGAAGGAGGCGATGACGGCGCTGTTGAAGCGGAGAGATTCGAGGGAGGCGCATCCGAGTTTTGAGCATTTGCTGCCAGTGTTTGTCGGCGCTGGCGCGGCAGGGAGCGACAAAGGAGATAGGCTGTGGACGTTGTGTGAGGGAAGTCTGAGCTGGGGGATGGTCAGGTTTGGGGAGGTGGCGGGTGAGGCATGAAACGGCTGGTCAACAGGTGTTTCGTATAGTACATATGTACAGCTCGCTATGCTGGGTGTATTCGAGGGGTTTGTCTGAATGTGGCGTGGTGCTATTGCCCGTCCTTGACCAGGGTGGTGACTTTGTCCTCGATCGCCTTGTCGTCCAATCCTGTAACCTCGTTAGCATTGCGCCTGGTGCTTTCCTTTTCTGGTGTGTATTCCAGCGTACCTCTCAAATCCTCCATCTTCTCCCGTCCAAACTCATACCGTGCCCATACTCTCGGTTCTGTTCCTTGCGCCTCTCGGATCATGATGGGGATGTAGGGGTTGTTCTTCTTCATCGTCGGGTAGGCTCGTGTCAGGAAGGATCTGATCATTACCGTAACATGTCAACAGGTGCATTGAAGTATGTCAATAGTTTTGCCATGACATACCGGACCGCATTGCTCTGTTCGCTCTGGTCGTCTGTTAGGAAAGGCCCTCGTTGTCGCATGGGGAAGCTTACCGTCTGGCAATGTAGAAAGCGTAGCTCTTTCAGCGTCTTCGTGAAAGCATACTTGCCCGACATTGTGGGCGGTTTGTTTGGAAGATCTGATGTTGATGCTGCTTCATTGAGCTCTCGTTCACCTAAAGCCCGACGACTCGGTCTTGGCACTCCGCCTCCGCTCGCGGACCTCCCCCCATCATCTCACTTCAAGCTCCCAAACACAACACCACCAGACCTCTCCCCTCACCACCCCTCGACCCTACCACTGGAGCGACAGTCTATCCAGAATGTCCGCCCGTCTAGGCATGCGCTTCGGCGCCGCGATGCGCCAGTCCGTCCGCCCGCAGATGCGCACCACCCAGCGGCGCTTCCAGAGCACCACCGCGACCCAACCAGAAGCGAGCGGCCTCTCCAAGTTCTTGAACAGCGAGGTCGGGCCCAAGACCGTGCACTTCTGGGCTCCCATCATGAAGGTACATCCTCCCGCACCTTCACCTCCCCCAGCTCCCCAGCTAATACCACCCAGTGGGGCCTCGTCCTCGCCGGCGCCGCCGACTTCACCCGCCCCGCCTCGCAACTCTCCCTGACGCAGAACCTGGCCCTCATGTGCACCGGCGCCATCTGGACGCGGTGGTGCTTCGTCATCAAGCCGCGCAACCTGTTCCTTGCCTCGGTCAACTTCCTGCTGTTCTGTGTGGGCGCGACGCAGGTCACGCGGGTGCTGAGCTACCAGAGCGAGCTTAAGGGGCAGACGATGGGTGAGATGGCGATGGAGAAGGCGAAGGAGGGTACGGAGAAGGTGGAGCAGGCGGCGAAGGAGCCGGGGAAGGTTAAGGAGGCTGTTGTTGGGAAGTAGAGGGACAAGATGGTGGAAGGGACTGTACAGTGTTTGATGGCGTACGATATTTCGAACCTTCAAGTGTGTTTGCGAATACACCCAGTCTCACGGTCTTTCGCGGGCGTACTGAGCTGTGCCAGATTCTGTCACGTTGGTTCTGCTTCAAGAGACCAAGTGGCTACGCTTAAAACCACGCATATCCAGGTCGACCGTGAATCTGCACCATACAAAGCACAAAACCGTAATGCAGCTGTGCTTGCAGTACCAGTATATTCACACATTACGAACACATATCTTACTAACACAAACAGTCAAGTCCCAGCTCAACGGGTATATCCAGCACCTCCAATTCAGAAAGGCGCCCATCGACCAACCATGCAGTGCTCAAACCCGTATAACAACCACAACCCCACAAGCCCTCGCCTCCCTAACACAACAAGCCAAACAAGTCCTCCCACTCCTCCCCACAACCGCACTCTCCCCAACCATCGCACACCAGGCCCTCGCCAACACCTCCAGATCCGCGTTACCTCTGCAGTCCAACACCACGACTTCCTCATCCAGTCCATTCTCCTCAGCCATAGCGGCAGACATCTTCCGCTCCGTCGGTGAACTCAGAGCCCTTGGTCTCGATTCTGGCGCGAGCGAAAGTAGAGAAGCGGCCGGTAGGACTGTGTGCTGGAAATCGATGTGCAGTGGATGGGCAGGGAGGGAGGGCAGGTTCTTCTCTTTGGGCGCGAAGCTGTTTTCTTTAGGCGTGGTGGTCAAGGTGGTGCTGCTACTGCTGGACGTGCTAGGGTTTGACGGGTGCTTGGTGCCTTGCGTCCAGGGCGTTGGCGGCTTCGCTATCGCTGTTGTGCTGGGGGTACCGGAGAGGTCGGCTTGGTGATGGGCTTTGTTCGGGGTACTGCTGGTGGTGGAGTCTTTGGGCTGGTGCTTGCGAGGGGTTGAGCGGCCGTCGGTGGCGATTGTACCAGTGGCGGCTGAGGACGGCGTACTTCGGTGCTCGAAGGAAAACTGTGGGCTCGGAGTAAGCGGCCTCGAAAGTCCGCGCGGTCTTGTGGTTTGTGGATGGCATGGATATGAGGATATGAACTGAACGTCGTACGTAAGCGGAACCGTGAGCAGAGGCATCTGTTTGTTAATCGGCGATGAGAAGGTGAGAACGGCTGTCGACGTCGATGAAGGCTCGTCGGTCGGCGTTACTGAATCAGAGCTTGATGTGTCGCTGGTGCTTTTGAAGGGTGAAGTGGCGGTAGCAATGGAGAGACCTTCGAACTTGACCTCGTTACCCATGACTAGTGGGCCATCCGTGGGTCGATTGAAGTCTCCAGCCTGTAAGGACTCGACCTTGTGCCCCTTGATCGGATCGGACTCTTTGGCTACAGCCTCCGAGTCCCTGATACATGGCCTCGCAGCCACAGCAGGAAGCTCTTGAGCATCGACGCCCATCCACCCATCGTCAAGGCCCTTCCGGGTTTCACCATCGAGCGGCACTGAGACCCAGCCCATGCACCCTACGCTTCCTTTGACGGCCGCCAGGACACGCCCGACTATGCACGACTGGCTCCAGAAGCCTCTTTGACCATATACGAAACCACCGTAGAGGTTTGCTTCCTCTCCCAGCACAGTGATGGCCTGGGGACTGTTCTCCAATAACGCCGACATCAGGAAGTGCCGTCCAGGCTCGCCAGGCATCACTAGTCCACTGAGCCAGGATCGTGAGAGCCAGCCACCGACCTCGAAGCTCTCGACGTTGCCGGCAATGTTGCGTGCCGGCAGCAGAGACACAGACTGTGCTGTGTTCTTCCTGCTAAAGCCGGGCCTGGAAGATGGAAAGGCAAAGAATGAATTCCTGGCGCCCGGAGTCGGAGGTAGGCGCGGGCTGGAAAGTGGCGTGGCATATATGCTGGCTGCTGTGGAAAGTGGCCGGTTCGAGAAGGGTTTGGACAACTTCGACTCCAGCTCGCGCTGTACATCGTCGGCGTGAGGCCACTGTAGAGTGTGGGCAAAGTGGGCAAGGCCGGCCAGCTGCTCAGGTTCGTTCTTTGCAAAGAGCAGCGGTTGAACCGAATGCGAGCTATCTTGGTCGAGAGGGTCTTCTTTCGCGGAGAAGAAGGTGATGGCGCTGAAAAAGCTGCTGCGGTTGGCAACACCTTTCTCTGCTGATGTAGGTATAGGCGGTGGCAGAGTTTTGGCAGAGATGTTGAGGTTGCTTAGGAATCTGTCGGCCAGAATGAGGTCCCACTTGATCTTTGGGCCTCGTTGGGTGTCAAGCGCTTCGGCATCTTCTTGTGAGACGATTGGTGGGAACGAGAACGACAGGGCCTCCAGGGCGAGAAGGCGCATGAGCAATTCGGCGGAGAGCGTGATCTGCAGCAAGAAGACATCTCGCTCGTTGAGGGTGCGGCTGCCGTCCACCTGCGTCTGCTCGAAGTCCTCCGGCGCCCAGAGTAGCTGTCCGACTCTTGTCCTCCACTCGACACGGCTGAAGTCCCGCCATAGACCATTAGTGTTCAACACCCTCTGCAACGCCGCGACCTGTGTCTTCAGCGTGACACTGCCTGTACCAGCAGAAGTGGTCCCCAGCTCAGCACTCAGTAGCTTGTCGAACAACTCTTCACCCATTTCCTCAATCTTCCTACGATTCCACGGATCGGGCGACTCCCATTGGTGCTCCTTGATGGCCGCAAAGAGCTCGCCCATCTCTGTCAAGCGATCGATCATGTGCTCCATGTTGAGCTGCCGGAGACCAAGCCACTCGGGGTCCATTTGCAGCTGTTCGCGCTTCTTCAGTGGCGCAGTATCGTCCTGTACAGCAAGATCGTCTGCGATCGGAAGCTGAAGGAAATGCTCGAAACCGACTGCACCAGTATCCAATCCCTCTGCCGATAGCATGCTAGGCACCTCCAGCACATCGCTACCATATTTTACGGTCTCATTGCCCTGCTCGCTCGACGGCCTCTCCACTTGCTCTTGACTCCGTGACTTTGATAGCGTGCTTGCTGCAAACGATGCATGGCTGAACCCTTCATAGTCTGGTGAAAACTTCGACGTCGTCTTCACATCACCTCCTTGGAATGCCACTTCCGGATTGTAGTGCCCAACACTTTTCCGTACCTGGAAATAGGGTGCTCCCAGAAACATGGCCTCAATCTCCAGAGGGGATAATGGTCGCCTATCAAGCTCTGCCTGGGACTTCGAAGACATAGGCGAGACACCGTTGGACGGATGTCGGCTGCGAGTGCTTGCTCTTGTCCGCTGCTTCTCCAAGAAGGCTTCAGTCGCCTTCTTCTCCTTCGGCGACCGGGTCAGCCTGTCCATGACTTTGTCGTCGAGGTCAAAGGTGCGCACTTGCACGCTGTTTCGTTTGGAGGTTGGCTTGACCTTACCAGCGGTTAGTCACACCTCGTGCTGCAGTCACTCGAACCTTACCACTTTTGATCTCTTGCGCGGTATCCGCCTTTCCAGCTTCGCACTTCTGGCCTTGAGATTTGCGCCTGTAGCACGAAGGCCTGCGCCGGTCTTCTGTAGAAAGTCCTGCATAGCGTTCTTCGTGGGCGGGGCCTGCGCCTCTGTCTGTTGCTTTTCGTCTGCGCCATTGCTCAAAGCAGCGGTCGACTGTGTCTCTCGAACGCCGATCTTGTTGTACGCTGCCGTGGTCGGCCTTCCACCCTCCTCCCTTGAATCGTTGCGGAATACTTGAAAAGATTGACGGAACTTCATGTTGTGACCAGCACAAGAAGCCGGTGAATGTATGTTAAAATCAAGGGAAATTTCGTGTACGGTCCCAACTATAGCGCTGGTATACCGTATACACTGCCAGATGTCTGAGGGCAAGAGAAGGACAGCAAGAAAGGTTGAAATTACAGTGCACGCTGCGCAGCAAGCATGCCTTGCCCGTCAACCCGTTGCGAGGTCCAGAAACCAGGCCAGCGTGCGGACCATGTCGCAGGCATTGCACGAGATCTTCCCGCACCCGGTTGCATCGCTGCATGGAACGGTCAAGACTTGCCTAGTTGAAGAACACGGGGTCAGGGAAAAGTGGCGTCCAGCCGGTGCGCACGCGAGATTGCTGCAGATGGTCTGAGCGACGTCTGTAATCTGTCGAAAACGTGAAACAGGGTATGAGTCGCAATCGTCCCGCTTGCTGTTTCACCCTTCCAACAAGGCGCTAGTGCGCCAAGAGAAGACGTGTCTGGACTTGCATCAAGTGCTTCTTCAAAAGACATCTCATTGCATGCTCAGGTCGTGCCGCGACAGCTCTGCGTACGCGTCTGTAGGTGTATAGGTACCACGAGCTATCCTTGTGCAGACTTTCAGAAGGCCCAGGACCCACTGACCTGCGGCATCACCTCGAGCCGTCGCACGTTCTGCCCATGACCATATCTCCGGATCAAGCCATTCAATGTCTTGGGCAGTCGAAGAATCGAAAGAGCGCTTCATGATGCTGCTTACCACACGGCGATCACACCCGGCAGTTGTAACAGCCTGCCGTAGAAGGTTCGTGTCCGGCAACAGTCCCAGATGCCAGAAAGCGTTCAAGGCGGCTATGGAGTTGTCCGCAACAGCCTGTTGGAGTCCCTCCCTCACGAGGTCATGGAGGTACGGATAATGAACGACCAGCGGTTGGGAGGTATGAGATATCAAGAGACCGAGCAAGCGTATCTTGTCGTCGCTGAAAGGGCCACGCAAAAGCTTTGCAGGAGGCAGTAGCTTGTGACTTGGCGCAAGATGAGTCCAGGTGAAGGCTGTTTGGTCTTTGCTGGCGACAGTCTCGTCCGCGTTCGTTTCGGATTCGACATCTCCGTTTTGATTGCTCTGTTGCTCACGGTCTAGGGTCGATAAGTTCAGTCGTTCGTACTCCTGAAGCAGCCAGTCTCTGAAGAAAGTATACCCGAAGAACTTGCTGTTCATCAGGCGCGTTGCAGCCGTAAGCGGAACTGCACCGGGATCCTCGTCGCCGAAAGTGGGCTCTAATAATCGAGCAGTCAATCGATGGTACAGATGAGTGCTGTTCAGCTGTACAGCAAGGCGAGGCGAACTCGATGGCAACTCCACGTTCGCTGACAGATCGAAGATGTGTTGTATGACTTCAGTCGGGAGCTCTTCAAGGCGCGATAGTTGTGGCGAGGGCGAGCGTCGTTTTCTCCTCGAAGAAGGTTCACTGGCCGAGGCATAGGCCTGAGAACTGGCGCCTTGCTGCAACGGCAACGTAGACTGGATACGGTGCACTTTTCGCTTTTTTCCGTAGTTCCACTTCTCAGCAGCTATGCCATTCCGCTTGCCGCGTACTCTGATCGGTGTAAACTCCGGCATGATGAGGTGTTGTGCGCATAACAAATCTGTGAGGACGTATTAGCCGCCGAATGCATTTGCACGTGCAGTAATGTTTAGGATTCGACATGGCCTCAGAGATCTTGGTGTAAAGAAATGATCATGCCCCCGAAGAGAGGTCAACTACAATCTAGCGTGATTGATTCTTTAATCATAGGAAGTTGCTGGTGTTGTGAGAAGAGTTCAACGTACCAAGTCTTGAGACGGCGGCAGCGCCGGTCTTGATTAAGCACAGTCTCCGATGTCCGAGGATGTCCTTTTTCTGCGCGGTCAGCAAGACGTGTAAAGGCTCATGACAACAGCAGAGTGAGAAGTCGCGGCAAGTTGAATGCTGCAAGATGGGATACCGAGCCTTAGTGAGGTGGCAGTCCCCCACGCCTTGAAGTGCCTGGTGCCGACACAGAACCGCAACGGAAAAGATGTCTTATAGGTGAGATTCACTACAGGTATCCTCAGCAGTCGCGGGAAGTTGTTGTTGTTGGTGCAATTGAAAGTTCTGAAAGCGAAAGTGCTGAACGCATATTTGCTCTTAGCGCGTTGAGCGTCTTGGCACTAAATCCAGAAGCAGGGAAAGAGGCTGCACATCCAGATGGTGTACGAGATACGCACGTCCATGAGCTTAGTATAACGATGCAAAGGTGTTGTACGGAAAACATGTGTAATTGCATTACAGCATGGAAAGCAAGGCAGCGGCCAAGTCACGGCGCTATACTAGCGAGTTCGCAAACAGAAAGGCAACGCTTCTCATCAACTTTCGTGGGCATTGATGTTCAGTCTGTCCATGAGAGGAGACACGCCACGCCCTCAGACTTACCGGTAGTGGTATGGCGAGAGTTACTCTGAACAAGGTGGAGAAGGAGACCGGCAGCAACTCGAATCGACACCAGTATATACATGTTTGTCTAATAAGCACCATCCATTCCCGACTATAGCACGGAAAGGTCGCCGAAGCGCTCCTGCGTAGGATATTAGTGAACATTGTGCAGGTTCCACAGATGAAGAAACGCACCTTGTAGCCGGGTACCTGCCAGCGACCCTTGGACACAAGCTGGGAGACACGCTCGTCGATGTCTGGTTTGGCAGCCACCACTTCATCCTACACACAGCATTGTCAGTATACCATCCGTATGTCCCCGCTGCAGCCATCCATGTACATACCACAGTGAGGTCCTCGAACGGCCGGGCAGTCTCGATGTTCTTCAGCGTCGCATCCAGATCCTTCAGCTCTGCATCGACCTTGCTCTTCGTCTCCTCCGCGCTCCTCACAGCCTGTGCCTCAAAAGCCTCAATCGCCTTGATTTGGCGGTTGACGTCGTATTTCTTCGGCTGGAAGGCATTGACTTGCTTCTCGATATCGGCAATCACGTCCTGGTTCTTGAGGATGCTGCGGTACTGCGCGAAGTCGACGCTCTGAGGCTGGTCTTGCAGCTGCTGCACCCGGCGGCGCGCATCGTCATTGCGCTTCTTGAAGTTGGCGAGGGCGTTGGCCGTGCTGCCTCGGAGGCCCAGTTTGGATCCGAGGTTGGCCCAGTCGATCTTCATGGCGGCGGAGCGCTGTTGTTGTTCGTTAGCTACGATTCAAGGTCTGCTCGCCCACGAGCGCGGCGGAAGCCTTGGCCGGACGAGACCTGCGCCAATGGCTTCTATTTCATGATCGCGGATCTATACGTACTGTGGCCGCCATCTTGAGGGTGATTCAGTGTTGTGAGAGGAGTGGTGTGGTTGTTGCTGGGAAGGATGAAGTGGTCTCGAAAGCTAGGAGAGCTTGGTGTCGTCGGAAATTCTTCGGCCAGTGTCACGTGATGTGCAATGGCTGGCCAACAGCGTCAAGCAATTAAATCGAACGGTTGTTTCCAACGACAAAAGATCGCGCTATGAGTCTGTAGGGAAAATGGAAGGTTTGGTGGAATACATCATGAGAAGAAGTGGCTTCGCGTCGCTTGAAAGCATGGCTTTATTGGTTCCTTTCTACAACACAGAAGCTACCAGATCTACGGCTACCTCGACTTGACTGAGAAGTAGTTCCATGGACCGCCAGCCATTTCAGCTACTGTATTCTCAAGCAGCAGCCGTCCGCAAACTCCGCTGCATGGAGCAAAGCGTTGTCCAGCCCGCGAAGCGAGCCTATATGCTCAAAGCCATGATACTGTTGACAATGTCGTTGTCGTTCTCCTTGAGCGCCTTGACAGCCTTCTTCCTGCTCACACTGGCCTGCGCCATGACGAGCTCGATATCCTTCGCCTCAAGCCCAGTATCGTCGACTTCTTCGCCATCATCTTCGTCCTCCTCCACTTTCTTCTCGCCTGCACCCTCAACGGCCTTGCCGGAGTCGCCCTCAGCTGCGTGATCGTGGCCGGCGTGGTCGTTGGCGGACTGAGCGGCGAGCTGCTGGGCAGCGGAGGCCTGAGCCTGGGAGTTGAGGTCTTCGATCTTGGCCTCGCCGAAGATGCTGCATCAAAAGGATTAGCCACAGCTACCGAACGGTCGTCCTTCACTCTCTACTCACATCCAAGTGTTGCTCGATGGCGACTTATAGACGTCCGGCTGGCTAATAACGAACAGGATGTTCTTTGGTCTCCTCAAAGTGACCCTCGTGATGCCCTCGACATGCTTCAGACCCAACTTGGCGATCGCCTTGCGAGCCTTCTTCTCGTTCCTGCTGTGCACAGCGACAGAGGCGCCGGCGGGGATGTTGGCCTCGCCGCCCTCGCCTGCCTCATCGGAGTCGTCTGCGGAGGAGTCCTCGGCGTCCTCGACACCTGCTTCCTTCTTCTCTGGCTCATCGGGGAGCTCCTCGACACGTGGGTTGGCCATGGTTGAGGGTAGGGTGGAATTTGTAGGCTGGAGCTGTGGAGCTGCTATTAGCATGTATGGATATACAAGGAGCTGCAAGTGTGCGCCTTGGCGGGAATCCGGCGTAGCGCAACACCGTGATTTGATACACTTACAGATAGCAGTCAAAGCTGGACTTGAAAGGGTATTGTAGTGTCCAGCAAGTCCTCCTGCTCGACAATGGGTCAATGGTTCGGGTGCTTCAAGCTTTCGAGGTCGATGGCAGTAATTTCGGGTCTTGGCGCTAGTGCAAAGGTCACGTGCTCAATAAAATCCAAAAGCATCTGAGACTACCTGGGTAGACATTCACTCTCATTGCTACAATTATCTCGAAAAGATGAAGCTTGACATGCGTAGCACCAGCCGGTTCATACTCACAGCAATGCTGCCGCTCTCATCATACTCTTACGCACATACAATCATTCAGTCAGCAGGTCTGCATGTCTTGCATCGACCTCCTCCAGTTCCCCTCCAGATTGCGTATCGGCGATGCCAACTTGTCTACAGAAGCCTCGAGCTCGCCCGGCCATACTCCACCTAGCTGCTCTCTGACCACCTTTATCGCGTGGTTCTGTCTGCTATCCTGACCCTGTACTCACCACCCCCTGCCCTCAGCTTCCGATCAAGAGCCGCCACCGCCTCCTTAGCCTTCTCCGCGCTCATAACGTCAACAAAGCAGTAGTAGTGGTATCCAGGCACGAACTTAGTTCCAGGCCAGGGTTGCGTTGGTATGATCTTGCTCACAGCCTGAATGCCAAAGCCTTGGAAGAGATCTCGCATCTCAGCATTGATGGCACGGGCACCGTCGATGCGAGGCAAGCCGCCCACCCAGAGACGCCGACCTTCATCGCACGGGAGTGTCCAGTGGTTCTTGGCTACTAGGTCATGCCATTTGTCGAACACGTACTTCGGTGGCCTTGCGCGGGACGGAAGCGGGTCGCTTGGGGCGCATCCCCAGCTGTAGGTCTTTGGTTGTACCATGCTAGTCTGCCTTCGCCGCTTCTCTGTGTATGAGCTGACTTTGACGGGGCGGCCTCGGACATCCTGGCCTGCCAGGGTCTCTACTGCGAGACGAGCATCTGCAGGGAGCAGATCCACAAAGCAGTAAGATGGATTGCGGCCAGTGAATGGGTCTATCGACATGTCGAGCTTCGACCTGCGATGTGTCAGATAATGCGGGTGTCACAGAGTTTGGAACAACTGACATTAATATTCCATTGACTTTGAATTCGATGTCTTCCCGTTGTGCCTGGTAGGGCAGGTTGCCCACGTAAATTCTGTCCATGTCAAGCACGATATCTTGAAATGGGTTGAGCAACATGAAATGGGGTGGAATCATGTTGGAGGTAAAGTCGACCTCATTCCCGAGCATAAAGACCGGACGCAAACGGTATTGGCTTGCGTAGCGCTGCTTTGTCTTTGTTCCATGATCCTGAAGATCCAGTAAAGACCAAATAGAAATTCCCACCCTACAGTAGAGGGGCCTACCTGAGCGATGGCAAACGTTGTGCGGGGAGACTGGAGTTTCGAAAGTCGTATATTGACCGCTTGATTGAGTGCTAATATGACGGTTCTGCGCCGATCTCGAGGCAAACCTTGTCGCCAGCCCGGTATGCTCGTCTCTTCGAACTCCAGCAGCATACCCCATCCATCAAGCATGAGAAGTATGCCTTGCCAGCGGGGCCTTCCTTAAAGCAACTACGCCAATGGTCTATGCCTTCGCCTTCGCCGCATGCATCGTCTTCCGCACCTCAAAGCGAGCCTGCCAACGAGTTAGTGCCCGTTGCCTCAGATGTCCCTAGACCCCTGCTTGTCGACGCATCTCACTCACCTGCTTCCGTAGCTTCATGACCTTGAAACGCTCGAAATCACTCAGCTGCTTCCTCCGGATGCTTCGCTCCCTGCTCTTCTGGAAGTTCGACGCCTGCCACTTGTCCAGGACCTTGTGCTCCTCCCACAACTTCTTCAGCACAGAAGTCCCAGCGGCGCGCGGTAGCTTCGGGATGACGATTCCGGTGAGCGACATGTAGGAAAGGGCTGCGGCGTGACGAGGGACTGCTTGAGAAGCGTCGTCTGTGGGGTTGTCGATGAGGACCTTGAATCGATCTGTTAGTCCTGCTTCCCTCCCCATCTTGCGCGCCCGGTACGAGAACGTACACGCTTGTGGTCGATGATTTCCACGATAGCTGCCACCCTGCCGACGTAAGGACCAGCGCTCAGCAGGACCACACGTCCAACCTCGACCAGCTTCCACGAGCCTGAAGAAGTGTCAGTATTCCACCGGCAGTCAGCATTCCAGCCTAATGTTCCTTACTCGTAACAACTTCTGCGTCGCCCATGTTTTCGGTGTTGTCGTTGTCGTCGTGGGTGGGTTGGTGTTGTCGTCTCGAAGTTGCGACTGGATATGAGGTGGACAATTCTGTCTGGTGAAGGTGCGTCTTGGCACACTAAAACATGACTCGCGCGAAAGCAACCTCTTTTGCTTCTCTCAAACACGACTTCACCTCTTCCGCACCACAACGACACGAAGACTTCGTCAACTTCTTCATCATTTTCACGCCGACACTCGGCCCACCGGACTATGGATAACATACTCGTGCTCGGGCGCCGTCACTCTGGTAAGCATGCGCTCTTCACTTCCTCCTCCTCATAATGATGAGAAAAATTTGCGAATGAGACCATTGACTGGAGTTACTCGCCTGTTTCTCATACAGCATGGCCCCAATGATCTTCAATTCTTACATATCCTGAACGACAGCCCTTCTTCCTGCTCTGCTTTGGCTCCGCTTGCAGAAGTTGTACTGACCAAGAGCAGGTGCTTGATCTGGCTGTCTATTTTTGCCGGCACGGCTACTATTGCTGTGCCCTCAACCTTGATGAACGCGATGTATTGATGAGGCTCTCGATTATGTCGCCCAAGCTGGACTAGTAACATAAGGTAGAGACGGGTCTCGGCGCATGGTAGTCCTTCTACCGCCTACCAAACGGCTAAGCTGCAGCAACGAGGCGTTCATGGTTATATGTAAGATCCAGCACGCCCGCTTCTGCCATGAAAGGTTGTCGCGAAGCTTCACGTCTTGTCTTCAGGCCCTGGTGTATGGTCACTACCAAGGTCGCTAGCACGAGAACGACGGTGGTCCGGGCAATACATTTTATAGCACGCATCTACAATTCACGCGTTGTCCTCTTGAGGAGATCTCCTCTACTTCATTTGGTCATCTCTTCCATCTATGTTCTCTTCTGGGTCGCCGTAAGAAACCACTTAGGCCGCAATCAACACGAAAGTCCTTGGAGATGGCAAATCCATCTGTACATCCATCACTGTTTTGAGGCAGGCTTCCACGAATTTGAGCGAATTGCTCGCTACCACCCCATTCCTCTAGTGACTTGGACGTAACAATTCATCATCTCCAGCAAAAGCGCGAGCTCTGTTCTCTCCGGCGACCCTTCAGCCGGTTTCCTCGTATGTTGTGTAATGCTCTTTTGCTTACTTTCCGAGACTACAGAGTGTCACCCTCAGAGGCATGGCTAGTACCTACGGCTCGAGAGTAATTTGTTACTTCCGGTGGCGTGCGTGGTGGGAGGCTGCGGATGATGGAACGCAGGCTGGCTGCTTGGAGGTGGGTTTTACGTGCAGAAGCGAAGACCTACTGATTGTGACGAAAATGGTCGCAATGGCACAGAGTGATTATCTTTATTTCATGCGATCAAGCTATGGAGGCAAACCGCCTTTCCACGCCGACGCTTCTTTTGCCAATATCGCGTCGGTGCCTCCATCATGGCATCAAGCCCGGCCCACACTAACATTACAATAGAAGCATACATCTTGCCAACTCCGTTTCTAAATTGCACCAAGCCGTAACGTAAGGCCTTTGAGGCGCGTGCGTTGTCTTCCGCCGATCCTCCAGAACGCCCTTTTGCCCGCCCAAAAGTCTCAACAGTGGTATCATCCAAGCACCCGACATGCAACAGAAAAGAGGCGCTCAACAACCACTCAAAGCAAAGCATCTCAAACGTCGTACAGATGCGGCACGCCGCCTGCGGCCCCAGCAGCTGTATGGCAACCCCTCTCATGCCTCTTCATATTACTGCGTACGCTGAACGCCTTCCCACACCCTGCGTGCGGGCACTTGAACGGTTTCTCTCCAGTATGCGAGTGGCTGTGGATCTTGAGGCTTGACGGTCGGCTGAAGGCTTTACTGCACGTCTGGCAGATATATCGTTCTTGCAACTGTGGGAATTGCGCCTGCGATGAGGGGTTGATGTAGTGGTGGTGCTCCCAGACCTTGGGCGGGGAGCCGGAATGTTGGCTTGGTTGGGCCATGGGTGCGCTGGGAGGTGGCATCTGTGATGATGGAGGGAAGTTGGATGGGAGTTGTCGCTGGCTGTACAAGCCAGGTGGTGGGTATGAAGGGTCGGGTGGGGAGTAATATGAGCCGGTCGATGCTCCACCAGGTGAATTGGAGTAGGGCGAGGTGCTGTAGGCTCCATAAGGCGATACGTTAGGCTGGGATGGTATTGAGTGGCGCTTGATGAACTGTTGTGCGGCAATCGACCTCTGATCGGTCGCTTCGACGTTGTTGAGTGCTGATGCCATGAAGTATGGTTGGGCTACCGACAACGACGAGCCAGTCGATATCGTTGACGGGCTATGCGTACCCTCGATGACTGAGTCGTTGCGCAAAGGTGGTGTTGGTGGTATCGCGGTTCTTTGACTATTGGAAAGGTCTTGAGACGGATACGTTTGTTGCTGCCTTTGCTCAACTGGCATCGCTTGCGCTGGCTGCTGAGGCATCGTATTTGACTGCTGTGCTTGCATCTGGGCTTGTTGTATAGCTAGTCTTCATCAGCATGGTTCTTTAAGAACATAGAGAAGGAATCATTGAGACATACCGGCCTCTTGAGAAGATCGGTCGCCATCGGCCAAGTCGAGCAAGTTTGAAATCGACGGCAATGAAGGCTTCGCTCCATCCTCTCCAACCATTACACTAGAGCTCTGATGCGATCGTTGTTGCGCAGATAGGTATTGTTGTGTCTCGGCGGCCGATGCGTAGTGTGCGTAAGGGTTAACGTTCAGCGATTGAGCCATACTGGGACCGGGTTGATGAGCTCGTGTGCTGTATATCGCGTACTGTTGCGGATAACCTTGAAAGCTGTCGCGGGGAGGATATCCCATCATGACCGCCGCCATTGATCGATGGCTTGGTGGAGTCCTTTGGTCTTGGTGATGAGGTGAAGTCCTTTGGTCTTGGTGATGAGGTGAAGTTGTCGAAGTTCTGAGCGATTTGCAGAGAACGTAGGACGATTTGTTGGAGAAGCTCGATGCGACTACCGATGACAATGTCCAGGGAGCAGGTGAGACAGCAGCGGAGTGATTGACAGCTAAATCGAAAGGGCTGCGTCCAGGACTCGATGGAAATTGGCCGTGCTGGAAGCTTAGTTGGAATCTAACGTCAACAATGCGGATCGCCGTTGGGTTTCAGAGAGACAGGAGCGCCAGTAGTTCAGACCCTGGTCGCAGGCACTCGAGCTGGTCAAGAATCACAAGGAACCGTTGCCCGGCTTCGCTAATGAAAGTTCGGCGGGTATCGAAGAAGGCACTTGGTGCCAACGCTAACCTGCTGACTTGGGCCGGATCCTGGTCGTTAATCTATCGAGGCAAGGACACGAGCGTTCGGAAGGCGGAGAGCATCGTAAGGATTCCTGCACTGGATCTCCCGAGCGTGTTTGAGATGCAATGACGATCGTCGCTGTAGAAGGACGGAAAGTGTATCGTCCTCGTTCGTCGAACCCGTTGTGGCGGATAAATTCCTCCCTCACGATTGGTTCGTATGGAATGCTGGCTTGATGGATGGCTCGCTGTTGACGTCTGCTTCGGCACCTCCAACTTCCAAGCAGACCTGGAGCGGCACGCGGGCCCGTGATGGCGGCTTTGCGGGCGTATTCGCGAAGAGACCACGGACGCCAATCGGCGGCTGTCAAATATCTGCTGCAGTCAGTGCAGTACGAACTAGGTCGGCAGCGTCTCGATAGTAAGAGGGGCCGCTCAGCAGACAGGAGCATTAGTCGAGAAGTTCGGCGACGAATGAAGCCGATTTAGCAAGCACCGATGCCGCATGATGGCGTTCGGGGGATTTATTCTGGAGCTGCAACGTCTTGATGGGCTGGCTCGTGCATGGCAAGGGTCTGTAGTCTGTTGGGGGGTCGGGCGATGTGGAGTGAAGAAGAACACTTTAACTCGACTGGTTCCCACAATTGACGGCTTGACAAGCGAGCACCAGAAGGATTAACGTCCTCATCCACTCAGCTCACGGCTTGACCGAGAAGTCTATATCTTGCGAGCAGCCGTCGCTGGTTTGCCGTTGATGCTTTGCTTTTTGAGTTGGAGCCTGCTGCTCGGCTCTCCAGAAGCTCGGGGGTCATCGATGTCGAAGCGGCAGCCACAATACGAGATCTCATGTCGATCATCCATGCATGTGTCAATTCATTCACACCAAGTCAGGCGCCAACGTCATCTCGTTTCCACTGCTCGAATGCCTAACCGACCAAAGGGGATCAAAGGATTTAGCGATGTGTTTCAAGTCGCAGAATTCGACCTAAGTGACCCTAGGGCACCCATGGTTTAGTTGTGCTTTAGAGCAAGATCCAACCACATCCTCTTCGACCTAATTGCTGTCTTCGTGTGCTGTTGGCAAGCCGTACGTCTCTATCTGGCAAGACAACTACCCGAAGACAGGCTGTGGTTGCCGTACAACATTCCTGTAGAGATAGATTCATGGCGAGTTGTCCAGTCTCCTTCGCTGACAGTCCGGGTCCACACGATAGAGTGTGCACCGCTAGATTGGGGCGGGGAGGGCTAAGTGGGAAGGGGCAAGCGCAGGAGGGGATTGACGAAGCACTGATCCACGACAGCGTTGTTGGATCGTCCTGTAAGCGAAGTTGGACCATGCGGTGCAGATCTTTGCACCAGAAGCATGGCGACCAGGGTTTCTCCCAGCCGAAAGCATGTTCCCTACTTCCCGCGCCGGCGATCGATGCCAGCCACGCGAGCGCAACGAGGTGGGTGCTGATCTTCCCCACACCCATGTCCACCAACGGCCATTGGCACGTGAAGATCGAAGCATCACCGGCCGAGGCACTCACATCGTCATCGTGCTCGTGTGCACAGTCGACTTGCCGCCTCCATCACAGTACATCACAGAACCAACACCGTCAGACGACATTGTTGGGTTGGTTCATCTACCAGCTGATAGCGGCAATTGGCGCTGCAGCAGATTGATTCGCTACTATGCGCTCAGATTGCTCAAGTGGGATCATCTTATGCATTTCCCATCGGCGGCACAGCGATCCGAGGTCTTGGGTATGTGAGAGCGGACGGCTCGCTAGCCAACCCATGCAGCTGCAATCTCAAACCCGGTATGCTCCCGCTCTGAGAGCCGAAGGCCGCAACATCCTGTTTCGATCGACCGGCAAGGAACATCGACTTGGTTGTCGCGTGGCAGAGGTACACAACAGATGTAGCACAAGCAAAAACGGTATCTCGAAGGACCTTCGACTCATCGACTTGACGATCACCTCCAGGAGCACTGCTTGCTCTAGTCTAGCTGCAGATATGGTGATGCAGTCAGTGGCAGCGGCGAGCTCGTCTCCTCGATCCGCGTGATGAAAGTATCAAGTACTGACTTGCTGGTTCGATCGAGACAGTACATGGTTGATGATCTCGACCATGTCGGCGAATGATGACTCGTCCCATCATTCTACCTCTGACTTCCACCTCGCCTCGCCGATTCTAGTCGTCCCAGAAGTCATCAGACTGTCGGCAGAGCTGCCACCGAGAATCTCCTCCCGATACTGCACGCGGGTACGGCAAAGCACACAGCTGTCAAAAGCGAGCATCCCCCGATGCCACATGCGCCATTTCTGAGGATCGGCAATGCCACGCAGTCATGGGTGTGCCTCCACATGGGTGATCGTCCGGATGGTCGCCAGGTCCTTCCTTGCCAGCATCTCGGAGTGAGACATGCCTGGGCTCATTTTGAACCGCAGTTCATTGTTCACGTCGACGGTACTGTGCAACTGTATACAAGCAGGCGGAAGCCTTACCGTAAGTGCCGTCACCATACCGTAAGCGCTGCAGAAAAAGCTGTTCCCACCTTCGATGGACGCTGGCTTGTGATGACTTCGCCAGATGTCTTTCTGTCGACCTACTGCATGTCCCACGTAGTCATGCGTGCTCGAATGAAGCTACAATTGTGACCAGGCCCGAGTTAGTCACCTTCGTTGGAGAGGTAGATAGTCGAACCACGCTTCGCCAAGAGAAGGCAAGCGATCCATTGCGAACGGTCTGATCGAAATTGAGCAAGGCAGCGCAATCCAAGGCACCTGGCGAGATCAGTCCATAAACCACGAGTCAAGGCACTTTTGAGAAGCATCGAATTGGAAGCAGGTTGGCAAATGTATCTGGCGATATCCGAGCCAGGGCCGGAACGAGTTGTCGGTCTTGTGCGGATCTTGTTCCCTGAAGGCGACAGCATGTTCCTCGTATCTTACAGCGACCGCTCAAGATCGTCTCGTAACTGCAAGCGGAGGTGTCTTCATGTGGTGGGCGTTGAGAAAGAGAGACGACGGGATGAGAATGTCGTGAAGGCCGTCGCCCTTTTACACTAAACCTCATCAGGCCATCAGGCGTTTCGTTTTCGTCATCCGAGCTTCAAGATACATGGATTCAACAGAACGTTTCGTTGCGAATAGTAGTACGACACCAATCGCTACACTCCGTATTGTGTTAAAGATGCTATCTCTCCTCCTCCCCTTCCAGCTCCTCGCTCTCGTCGCAGCTTCCTCCATACCTCAGAGCGGCCCTCAATATGTCTTCTCCAACCCTCCAGTCGAGGACAATGACTACCATATCCCCACGGTCCATGAGTCCACAGTCATGGCGAGGAGGATAATGCGCCTCTCGACAATAGGCACACTCGTGACCTCGTTCCCAGAACATTCGTCCAACAGTGAGGAGCTGGGAACTCTGGAGAATAGACCAAAAGAAGTAGAAGGAAGCCCAATCGGCCTGATGGAATACTACAGCGACTGCGAGCCCGACACAGGGAACCCAACTGTGCTGGCCATCAATATTGCCACACCCTACAGGAACTTCAACGATGGCAGCGACATCAGTCTCGGCATCCGGTGGTGGCCCAAGACGACGAACCACTACTTCTCCTCGTCAGAAGACATACCCACACCGCATACACCTGCCGCACTGCCGCGCTTCTCGCTACACGGGCGGCTTGAACCCATCTCGAAGACCGATCTGGCGAGACATCTCGTACCTGCGTGCTTCTTGAAGGCGCATCCGGACTCCATCCTTTGGCAGCCGGGTAATGACATTCATACAAGTCAGTACATGCGGCTGGTGGTAGAGCACATCTACTGGTTCGGTGGCTTTGGGGACAGAGCGAGGATTGGCTGGCTGCCGGTTGAGGAGTGGCGGAATGTGACGATGGAGGAGCTTGAGGCCATTCGGCTGCCTGGAGAGGAGAAGAAGAAGGAAGGCGGAAAGTGGTGGCGCGATTGGCTTTGAAATGGCTGTGATACACCACATTGGAATCGACTGGATGCAAGTAGATGGCTTTGGAGCCCTACCCTTCGAGGAGACCTGCTGAGGTGATCTGGTCCCGCAACTTTGCGGCAGAGGAATTAGGTGCCAGGTCCGTTTGATAGTGCACATCGACCATCCAACGGCGACTCTTCGAAGTCGATGCGTGCCATGGACCCAGCTGTGACGAGTGCTTGTTAACGAGGACAGCGCCAGAGACCTAAAGCAATCATGTAGATGGATGCGATGATCTTGGTTGTATATAGAGCTATGTCAATCTGCAATACATATGCCTTCCCCAACTTTGCAAGATGCTTTATATCCAGTGTCATGTCCAACTCGATATTGGACTGAGCACGAGTATCCCGTTCTTCAACCTGGAATGCTAGACGGAGAATGGTCACGTGATCTGCTGCAGCAAAACTTGCCAAGCCCCCACCTTCTCTGGCTTCACCTCCAAAATCGACGACTCACCACACACGACACCATCCATCGACCTCCAGCCCATCAACAACCAAGTGAGTACACCGACATCCCTTCCGCATCGACCACGACCACCGCAAAGCCGCACAACCACTCCCAAGAACGACCGAGCTGACCGCGCCTCGCCACCAGACACCGACAAAACCCTTCAAACCGCAATCATGGGAAAAGTCCACGGCTCCCTCGCCCGTGCCGGCAAGGTCCGATCTCAGACACCAAAGGTGAGTGCAGGATCACTTCTCTAAACCTCCAGCGATGAAGGAGCGGTCGGGCTGATGGTGAACGCTGCGCAGGTCGAGCCACAAGAGAAGAAGAAGACGCCCAAGGGCCGCGCGAAGAAGCGCATCCAGTACACCCGCCGCTTCGTCAACGTCACCATGACCGGGGGCAAGAGGAAGATGAATCCGAACCCGACGTCGTAGAGGGGATGATGGAGTGACGATGGAGGAGTGAGAAGGAGGTGGATGTGCAGAAGCGGAAGGGCGGCAGCAGCAGCATGGCTGATGGCGTTTTACGGGTGGCTACGGGCATGATATCTCGAGAGCGATACAGTATGCGTGGATGAATGCCTGATGACCGGCATCTGCTGCTGGAGGACTTGCTTGAAGATGAGATGCGTCCAAAGTCTACAGCTACTGAAACTTCTTGTGCAAACTTGAGATGATTTCACCGATTCTGAGAGGTACGGGTTGATTGACACTTTGATTCGCATATGGACACTTGAGCGCGCGCCACAGTTCCAGCAAGCAATTCTCACGCCATCCGACTGGCGCTGGGCTCTCCGCATTGCTCAACACAGCGTTTGCTCAGTCTACCGCCATCCTGACTTCCGTGAATCTCCTTCGCCACAGCAAGCAAAGCAATATGTTCCCCAAGCCCGACACAACGTCTGCATTCTCGTACGGTTACACCAACCACCCCAGCTGTCACGCTCCACCTGAACCACCGTTCCCAACGCGCCGGCACTGTTCTCGTCAACCAGTGCTGCCAGCCCAACAAACCCTCCTAGCCGCTTGTCTGCACCGAAGTCGACGCTGTCGGGCCTGTCAGCGCATGCTCATCATCTCCACTCAGCCCGGTCTTACCGTCTCCAAATTCCCGCTTGAGCTCCTCCTCCGCCAACGGTCTCAACCCGTCCTTCGTCGTCGGAAGCTCCCCATCCCCGTCCTTCATGTCCCTCCGCCTTCCGGGGCCGATGTAGAGCAGTAGCTTCTGTCCTTTCGTACCGCCCTCCGAAGACGGCGTAGCGTCACCATTGGTCGACACTTCTTCGCTGGTGTCTGAACCTTGCTGGATGACGGTCAAGACGTGACGCTCCTCCTCGTCTTCTTCCTCAACGACTGCCTCAGATGGCCTTGGAACGCGCTTCTTGTTCTTCCAGGCTGGCTGCTTCGACTGCACAAGGTGCCCGTTGCTGCTATTCGCGAGCGCCCGAACTCGTGCTAAGGCGGAGGCGGCGGGCGATTTGCTTGCAGAAGGTGGTGTGTCCTGCGCAAGCGTGCTGTCCGAGACCTGCGAGGCGTCGTCTGTAGGGGTCATTGATGTCGCCTCATTGCTAACGAATCGAAACATTGTTGCCGTGGCTTCATCCGCCGGGCCTGAGACCTCGGGTTCCTTCGTGCTGCCTTGCGCACTGTCCGTGGCAGCAGTGTGCTGCGTCTTCTTTGGCTTCTTCTTCTTCTTCTTCTTGGACTTCGGTGAGTCGGTCTCTTGAGAATGGGCACTAGTGTGAGAGATCCCGAGGCCGACTTCAGCGCTGTCGTCCTGCGCATCACTGCCACCAACAAGGACGTAGTTGGCTGTGTTTGCTGTCGGACTGGAGAGCCTCGTAGGATCAGATGCTGCTTCAACCTCTTCCTCAGATTGACCCGTGCCACGAGCCTCCTCCTCGTCACCTCCAGTAGAGGCAGGCGGGACATCCTCAGACTGCCTTGTCTCGCTCCTTGGTGGGTGAGCCTGATCAGTCACATCTGTCAGCGAAGCGTTCGGCGCAGTGCTTTGAATGGATGTGACGTCTTGTGCTGGGGCTTGCGATTGCGCACCTCCACCGAAGAAGCTAGAGAAGATGTTGCCAATCTTGTTGCCCTTCCGCTTGCTGGGTGTCTCCTCAACCGAAGCATGCGCGCTACTTCCGGGAGCGTCTGTAGCCTTCGGCACTTTGATCTCATCCGACTTCGACGCTTTCGTGGCTTTTGTGGCTTTGGTAGGAACGGCAGGCTCAACTTTCTCCGCAGCACTCTGATTGCCATCTGCCACGGCTTTGGCAGTCTCTCTGGCCGGAAGAGCGGGCGTGCTGCTGCCGCTCACTGCACGGTCCGAAACGGCTTCGGTCACACCTGTTGAGTGCTGGCTGATGCTGCTAGGCTTGCCCTTGAGAGTGCCCTTCTTCGGAGCCTTCGGCTTCTTCTCCTTCTTCTTGCCGAACAGGCTGAGCGACTCCGTCTGAGCAGGACCTTTCGGCTTCTCAGCCTTCTTGTCTTGCGAAGAAACCCTCGAGATGTCAGTCCCTCCAGCGTCTGAGGAGGAGGCGTCGTGGCCCACAGCAGGGGTGTTCGGAGCTGTGAAAAAGGCTGGCGTGTTCGGACCAATCGTCGATCCTGACGTAGACTGCTTGTCCGACTTCTGCTGATCATCATGAGTAGCGCCAGCATCAGTCGAGATGGTGATGGTGGGCTTCGTAGGAGAAGAAGGTCTCGTGTTGACCTTAGTTGCGCTGGTAGCTTCGGAGCCAACCTTATCTCCTGCCGTCGGCTCCTCCTCTCCCTTTGCCTCATCGATGGTCTTCAACATACTCCCAGGTCCGCTGTCGCTTGTAGTCTCGGCGCTTGTCATGCCGACTGGGTGGTCTCGGGTGCCGAGAGCAACAGTAGCACCCGACTCAATTGGCGAAGGGCTGCTGGCAGGCTGGTCGCTGCCCTCAAGAGTCTTGTTTTCGTCGTGAGCTGTGCTGCTGTGAGGCAGCTGCGGCATCATGGTGCCGTCGTTGTTCAGGTGCTGTCCAGGCTTCTCTTCGGTGGCCTGCGTCGTTGTCTGCGTCTTGTCGTCTTCACGAAAAGTCTGTTCTTCGGGCGGGGGTCCTTGCGGCAGACGTGAATGTACAGTGGCAGCGCCTGAGATCAGCTGCTGCTTGTCACCTGAGGTGGGCAGAGCAGGTGCAGCAATATTCACCTTGTCCTCCTCCATCTGCGGCTTGTCTGCCTTCAGCTGCTCAACGCTGCCGGGGGACAGAGCGCCCTCCAAAGTCACTGGAATCGTCTGCGAGCCGTCGGCTGCTGTCTTGTGGCTTGCAGACTCCCACTGAGGATCCTGTGGAAGTTGCGGCGTCTCGTTTTCATCCATGCTGAGCGCATGCTCAGGCCGAGGCTGGACTCTGGGCTGCGTGACATTGGTCGAGTCGCTGTAGACATCTGATGCCTTTCCTGCTTGCTCTGCCGCGTGATCAGGCTTCACGTTCACCGATTCGCCACTCTTGGCACATGTGACAGCGTCACTGTCTGCCGCAGTCTCACTCTGAGCCTTGTGGTCGGCACTAGCGGCCACAGACTTCTTGAGGAGATTGTTGCTGCTCTTCTTTAGGCTGGCCGCCTTCTTGCTCTTCGACTTGTTCTTCTTCTTAGGCGTGTTCTCGCCAGAGGGACTCGGGGTGGTATCCCTCGAAGCTGTGCGGCTGGTCTGCTGCTCCGTGACGCTTCCAGGCGTGTACGAGTCTTCTTCTGCAAAAGTTTCGTCGATGCCGCGCTGTAAAATCCTCGGCGTAAATTGCTCCTCTGTGACTGTGATGGAGTCTTTGCGCTTGTCTGCGAAGGACGCTGAATGGTCCATCGACGCAGGCGGTTTGTCTTGCCAGTTGGGGCCGTAAAACTCTCGAGCGACTTCGACCTTGCACGGTATGCCACCCAGCCATGTCTCCGGCTTGTTGTAAAAGAAGTCGCGAGCTGCTTGGGACGTCGGGAAGATCAGAAACACGAACGGCTTTGCGTACTGTGTTCCTTGCCATGGCTTAGACTGGCTACGCGACACGGCGTCTACCTTGCCGTACTGGTTGAAGGCCTCCAGGAGTATGGGCTTTGGGATCTCCCCAGGGATGTCGAAGACTATCAACTTCTTAACAGTGGTGTCCTCAGGCAGAATCCAGTCTTGCCCACAGGTAGGTACTCCAGGATTGTTCCTAGACTTATGAGCTTGCATGCTGTCGCCAAGGGATGCCAGGCCTGGCGGTGGGCCCGGAAGGTCTTGCGGCCGACAGTCCATGACCTGGTAGTTGTGGTGCGTGGGCCCATAGAACTGGTTGAAGCTCCCACGGCCGCCGTGGTGATTCATCGGAGCTGGCTGAAAGTTGTCGGAAGCAGAGAATGCTCGATTGGGCGGCATGTTCTCACCCGTTGGCATCTGGCCAACTTGAGTCTGCGGACGATCGCTGCCACTGCGCCAGCTGTCGGACATTCCGCTCTGGCGCCGTGCTCTCTGTGAAGAGCCAGCTGCGTTGCCTCCTCTCTGGGCGAAGTTATCTCCTCGAGCTCCATATGGCACTGCATCCGTGGAACCGAAGCTGTTCCTTCCGCGGCTCCCTCGTCCGCGCATACTGTTGTAGCCGCGTCCGCGATTGCTGGCGCTGTTCCGACGGTCTTTACCGCGATCACCGGAGCCGTTCTCAAAACCACGGGTGCCATTGTTGCCATGTGCATAGCCGCCAGACACTACAGCGCCGCCGGGTACGCCGGACGCGTTTGTGTTGTAGAAGAAGGTCTGCTGACCAGGCGTGTACGCGTTCATTGGCGGCATAGTCTGGTGGACTGGAGCAGCCGTTGGGTCGTACAATGGCATCTGCGGCTGTGGTTGGTGCTGCGAAGAAGCACTCTGATATTGCTGTTGCATCGCATTTAGCTGCTGTCCTTGTGGTATCGCAGGCATGAACTCCGATGGGCCGGCTCGATATCCCTGGGGTGGCATCGGTTGTGGACCGTCCATGGGCACGTGGTGTGAGTAGGTGGTGTGGTCGTCCGAAGGATTGCGTGAGCGGGTGTCGTAGTGGCCGCTGCGACCATTGAATCGGCTGTTGTTGGCATAGCCTCCCTGCCTGGGAAGACGGGTGGGCATACCATGGCTATTAGAATGCTCTCCACTGACGTCTCGGGATCGGTCCGGCAACGTGACGATGGGTGATGCGGACGGCTGAGACGACACAATGGCTGGCTGCTTGGTGCTGATGCGTGCATTCGAGGCTTGCTCGTTGTTCGCCTCCTTGGCCTGGGCAGCTCGCTCCAGTTGGCAACGCAGCGTATCGTGAATGTTCTGAGTGACGTTCCGAGAGACATCAAGGATGTTGATGTCCTTGTTCACCTCTTGCTGTGCCAGATACACGCGGGCGGTCTCCTGGATGCGAGGGACCACGACCGTGAGGAATTCGTTGCCGTACATGCGCATCTCATGTGCCTCGAAGAAGGTGGACGGCGCGGCACCGTCGGCAAACAGGAACTGCCTCATCGATAGGTCGTTCAGCAGGCCAAAGTTGGCGGGCTGCTGCCAGAACCATTGCTCGACAGCCGGCACGCGCGTCTCGAGGTTGTAGATGGCGACGGTGTAAAAGACCTGCTTCAGGAATCTGTAGCCTTTGCCTTCACCGTGAGCGCCACCTTGCATGTAGATCTCGTCTGGGCTGAAGTGGGTGTTCAAGAAGGCCTCTTCTTCCTGGCGAGTGGCGTTCTGCGGGAATTGCCATGGGAAAACGGCACCCCATTTCAAGGGCTCGACACGGTAGAGGTTGGTGGCGTAGGGTTCGACGTCTGCGTAGCGGTTGCTCGATACTATCACACCGGGACAGGCGTCGGCCATATTGGCTGTTGGCGGCTCAGCGTGAGTCCGGGTGGCGGTGGTCAGTCCGGGCGTGTCGAGTGTACTCAGATGCAGTCGTTGGTGTGATCGGTGTGTGAGACACTGGCAGCAAATGTTTTGGTGTTTGCGTGATAGAGTCTGTTGATGAGCGGAGATGTTTTGTGATGGAAGGAAGATGGAGATGGAGGTGCAGCCGCTGGTGTTTTTGGCAGTGCCGAAGGTGTGAAGCTGAAGAGGCAGGAGCGTATCGTTTCTCCTGCGTGTTTTGACCTTCCTTCAATCGCGACGACGTCACTTCATCAAAGGATCGAAAAAGGCAGGAGCCAATGGCAAGGGTCCATGCTCTTCACGTGAGCAGCAGCAAGAAACATGTGACGCTTGCGATATGAGAGGCAACGACATCCTTACATTTGCATACGAAGCATTGATGGGCGGTAACGTGCAAACACTCCTCCTTCACCGCCACCATGTAGCCATCGCCGCAAAAGGCCCGCGCGTCGTTTCTGTGAGTATCCGAGACAATGCCATTGAGAGACATCCTCTTACTTTGTCCTCCATGCCGCCTCCCGTGCAGCCCAAACAGCGGGCAGACCGTGCTGACCTTCGGACGAACAGCGCAGATACATGTAGCTGCTGAGCAAAATGAATCAGGCTAAACACCTACCGGTAGTGGTTACATTGCTTATTGCACATCTCGTTGAGGCAACCCTGGCCTCGTGTCCATCACGCAAATCGACCAACAATCATCTGATGCCCATTTTCAAACTTTGCCCGTCTCCTTTGGTAGGCTCCGAATCAAGTCCATGATCTCGCTTTCGTTGTCCCCCGTCACTGTTAAGCCATCAGTCCGTGTTCAGTCACTCCCCATTGCGAAGTCCACATACCAGCCCGCCCATTGTTCCAGTCCACCACCACCGGTCGTACAAACGACATTTCGCTCGCCTTGAACTTCCTCAGTGCGTCGCTGCTCCCAGTCGCCTCGTTGATCACTGTCCCAGCCTTCGATGGGCCCAGATAGTCAAGTATGCTGCTCAGTTGGTCGCTTGTTGGTGGCCCTTCTTGTACGTCTGCATCTACGAATCAGCCGGTGTTGCTTCGCACTCGCTCCAAATGCTCTCGTGCTCCCATCCCGTGTTGTCATCCACTGCTCTCACGTACCCAAGTCAAAGTCTGTCCGCTCGAGCTTGCTCTGCTTCTTGTGGTCGGCCGCTTGGTCTTCTGTCGCATGGGAATGAGCAGTGGCGGCTGCTTGCTTGAGCATGGTATGGACGCGGATCGAGGCAGGATTCTTGGGGGCGTGAAAGAGGGTGATCACATCTTTGACCCCCGTCTGCTGTCTTGTCAGTTGACGAGCTGTGGTGATTGCCGAATACGAAGTCGACGGTCGAAATGCATTATCGATTGCGGCATGCGGCGTACCTCCTTGAACAGATTCTTGAAGACGTTCATCTTCGCGTCGTTCGTCTCCTGAATTGTTTGGACTGTCGCGACAGACGGATGAAGTCCTCAAGCTCGGAGAACGAAGCTTGGAAGCTCGAGCGCCGAGGTCGTCTACTGCCTCTTTGGGAAGTGATCTGCGATAAGAGAAACAAGGAAGGCAGGCTTGACTACATTAAAGACCACCTGCAGTTGAGGCAGAGATTGGGCCTCAGGAAAATGTCTACTATATAAAAAGCCTCCCAACGACTACCCAACTTGATCATGCACTCTTCGCAACAACGGCTGCGTCTCCCCGTTCGCTCCATCCGGCTTTGGGTACGGCAGGTACTTGAACTTCCCTTCATCAACCTTGTTCACATTCCAACTCTTCTCCTCCTTCGCACTCTCAAAGAACTCTTGGTTCTCTTCAAAGCTCCGCCCGCCGCTCTCGGGGCAGTAGAGGTACGTCCAGGTGCCAGCAAACGTGTTGGTTATGGCGAAGACCAGGAAGATCCAGTATTTCAGATTGTTGAACATGATGGGCGTGAGAAGAGTGACGGCAAAGTTTGCCAGGCCCCAGATGATGACGCTGACGGCGGTGCCTTGTGCTCGGGCTGTGGTGGGGAAGATCTCAGTTGGGATGAGCCAGATCGTGGCGAGCCAGCCGATGCCGAAGGCTCCAGTAGCGACGTAGAGGACCACGATGCCGGGGATGGCAACAGCTTGAAGTGGAATGCCTAGCTCGCTCTTGTTGGAAGCCAAGCCGGCAAAGAGGGCGAGCAGGAAAAAGCTGATGGACAGCACGCCAGAGCCACCGAGCAAGACAGATCGGCGACCGACAGCATCGACCAACAGCCAGGCAAAGGTCATGAGGATGAAGTAGGAGATGTAGTTTCCCTGTGTCAGATATTCAGACTCCCGAGTGGGATAGCCCAGCAGCTCGAAGATCTGAGGGCCGTAGACAGACACGGCTGCGGTTATGGTCAGCTTCTGGACCTTCCATGTAAACGCACACTGAGTACGTACCTCCGTAGCCCGTCAATGCTTGGTTGATCTGTCCCATTATAGTAATTACGGTAGGGTGAAACTGTGGGTGGCCAGGAGTGAACATGTCCGTGTAGGAAACTTGCTCATCTCTCTCCTTGCTGGCAGCCTCGGCCATTTCGTCGTATTTCTTCTTCCCCTCGTCTTCCCCCTCGATATTGTACAGGGCTTGCTGTGCCTCGTCGTACTTGTCGTGGAAGACGAACCTACACCAATTATCAGCCAGGCCGTTTGAAGTTAGGTGTGGAGCCTGCATACCAGCGAGGACTCTCCGGCAAGCGTTCGATGACAGCCAGTAGTCCAACAGGGTAGATCTGCATCGCGATGATGGGGATTCTCCAAGCCCACTGATTGGACTTGCCCAAGGCTACGGTCACACCCAGATTGATGGCAAAAGCCATGTTCAAACCGAAGATGTTGCTCTGGAACTCCTGTGCCATTGCCTTGCCACGAGCATGATCGGAGCTGAGCTCTGAGCTATAGACTGGAACAACGCTGTCGACACCACCAACACCAAGGCCCATGATGATTCGTCCAAGATACATGACCACGAGGGCTCCTCGAGTATAGCCGAGACCGGACACGAACATCAAGAGGTTGCCCAAACTCGTGACTGCTAGGGAGCCGAAGAGACCAGGTCTTCGGCCATACTTGTCGGCCAGCCAGCTGAAGAAGACCGCTCCAACAGCACAGCCGAGATAGTAGACCGAGACGATGACACCGACTTGAGCATCATCTTCCGCTATTCCCATGGTGCGAAGGTAGTCCTGATTGGTGTTGATCAGGGACATCATTCCTTGGTCGTCTAGAGTAGCGGTGAGCTTCAATATCATTCTGAATGGTGTTGGTAGAACGTACAGCCATAGAGGGCTATTGCCGTGCTCGAGAAGAGCACGACCTATTGTCATACCGTCAGCGGAGTTCTCTAAGGATGTTTGTTACAAGGCGGTCGCACCTGGGCCTTCTTGTCATAGTAGAAGCTCTTGAGCCAATCCATTTGTCTAGAGCAAAGAAGTCCGATATAGGCTTCAATACAACGATGGACGAGATGAGGTTGTAGATTCAGATTGCGTGAGCTGAACGCACGAGTCTACCGTCTGTGAAACAGAACGAGAACAAAATTCATTATTGCTCTGCAGGACTGCAGAAAAAGAGAAGAGGAAGGCCGAGCAGGCCCACAGATCTGGTTGTGCTGCCGGCAATACAAAATTTCCCACGATGCAGGTCATGTGGCTGAGAGTCCAGTCGATCGCGCAGGCCGAGCACAGGTGAGCGTCATCATACATGTAGACTAAGCCCCACCCCGTCCTTGCTTGCTTCTCCAAGCTAAGAACCTCTGCAATCTAGAACGGCACCGGCAAGTAACTTTTGACCTCACCTTCTACATTCGGGAAATACCGGTCCTTATCGCAGCAGCAGCTTTCGCGATGTCGTCGTGGTTGCCATGGAACTGGTGGGACAAGGGACCAGTCAAGCCAATGCGGCCGACGGATGCTATGCACCAACAATGCGTTCGAGCGAGGTTCGATCATTATCTGGAGCATACAGAACCACCGGCATCCTTTCGAGCGCAGGAAGTGGCGCAGGAGCTGTCCTACAATGAGCTCTTGACGCTAGGGTACGATAAGTGGCAGCACGCCATGCCGGCAATCATCGAGCTGGCCTTCGAACTGCGGGCAATGGGTTTCTGCGATCTTATCAAGGGAGGGAAAGTGTTGGGGGAGGATGTCACGCCGTACGACATCGAAGGTGGCATGCGGATTAGACGGAGGGATGATTGATATCTGCACCTTTTCGAGCTGTCGTTCCACCAAACAAGCGGTGTATCTCGAATGGCTCGCTCATGTACACCCCTGCTGCTCTATCTCCAAGAACCGGCCCCTTCCGCTCGTCTCTGGGAACCCTTTCAACCAACATCATCACTCTGCCTCCGCTTCTTCCTCTTCTGTGTCGATTCTCGCCAGACTCCCGGGAATTCCGTCGAATCTTCGCCGCCGGGATAGATGTAGTACTCTGCATCCCGCCACGTCGTACTGTTATTCCGTACCCGGGGTGGCAGAGGCAGGACCATCCACTTCATGTCACCGAGCCAGAGCAAGCATGCACGCCTGGCGTTGAAACAAGCGCGACAAGCTTCCCGACGCGGCAACTCATTGGTCCATGGTGCTTGTGACTTGTGACCCTCGAGATACTTCCAGGCGCAGCACGTCGACTCGAACGGGCCTGGATGCTGTTTCTGTTCAAGCTGATCCATCGTGGAGCGGATGGACTTTATCACAGTTGGAGCCACGCTGCTTATGCCACCACATCTATCTTCGCGATTGTCCAAAACGCGGATGAGCGGCGCAAAAACAAACGCGCTGTAGTCTACCCTGGTAGGCGGAGGAGGAGCTTGACGGACGAGAGGGCGGGGTGCTTGCAGTCGCTCCATTGCAACTGGCGGTGATGGTGCAGGTGCAGGTCTGCCGTCGTAGAATCGTCGGCCTGGTCCAACATCGTCGAATGGTGGATTACACGAATGAAGGCTCTCTTGGCTGAGGTTCTTCCGATCGCTGTTCATGATTAATACTTTGTAACGGTCGTCAATGCGGGACAAAGACACTTACATGTAACTTTCCTGTTCCTGCTGCTCATGCTTATTCTGCATCTCCTCCTCTGCCGTACGATACGCGCCATATCCGTCGTCCCCGTCGTCGACCTCCTCCACCACTGCCTCCTCATCTTCCTCCACCTCCTCCTCATCGTCTCGATCGAGGAGGTCTCTTAGCGCCGTTTCCAGCTCCTTGGATCGACGCTTCGATTTCTCGAATTCCTCCCGCAGCCAGTCATTCTCACGATCCTTCTCCTGCAAGAGGTCGTAGTATTCGCGCCACATCTTGTTCTTCGACTCGACCAGTTCGTCCTTCTCGCGGACCAGTCGGTCCTTCTCTGCGAGTAGGTCCAGAACAACCTCTATTGGAGGTGAGCGGCGGGACATGTCGACAAGGGTGAAATGGGGCGAGCAGAAGAAGAAGGGTGGTTCGCAGAGCTATACGGATGTATGCTTTACAGAGATATAATGGTTGTCGTTGATGCCAGGTTGAGAAAGGGCGGAAGCCTTTAAGTACTGCTGTGGTGCTGTGGGAAGTGTCGGTAGGCCAGAGGCTTCCGCGCAAAGAATGCGCCAGGTCACGTGGGAAGCAAGTGGAAGGTGAATGCCTGGAGTTGAGCGCCAGCAAGAGTGCGCCAGAATCGTCGTCGCTTGAGTGTGGGTATCGTGGGTTTGCCTTAATAATCTAGTAACTTCGTCTGTCTGTCGTAAAGAAGAGATCTGGATGCCGAATATTCCTATTATGGGCTGCTGGTCGGCGGCCTTCTGGAAGCCTGAGTGTCCGCCAAGAGGCTCGATGTTTTGGAAGCAAAGTGTCGCAGGCGCGGTGTGCTGCATCAATGATGATTGGCTTGATGATTTGGGAAGAATTTGTTCGCGCGTTCGTCCTTCGGCCGGGGCGAGAAGAGAGGTGTCAGAATGCTCAGATGTCGTCTTGGGACTGTTCACGCGCGGGCACTGAGGTTTTCTGGAAGTCCACTGCGAGGCGTGGTGTCGTGGAAGAAGAGTGTAGCAAGCACGATGGGCTGCATCAAGGACGACCGGGCCGAAGATGTCGGAAGTATTGTTTGCACGTTCAGAGCTGCATATCGTGTCGTGATGAGTCGTCGGCTCCGAAGCAATCTGCGGCGATCAAGCATGTCGCTCATCACTTCTCGCCCTGCTTCCCACTAGAGTTTGCTCCCACTGCGTCGTTTCCGCTCACTGTCTCCTCCCCTAGGACTTTCGACGCTGCCATGAACCTAAGAAGGAAGATGAGCAAACATGTCATTCGGAGGGGAGTGACTGGCCTTACATTCCACCGCAATAACCTCCGAGACCTCGCATACCCTCCGCTTGTACAGCAGTCATCCGCAGCAAGTTCTCGAGGTCGGACATATGGGCTGTGAGCTGGGCCAGTTGTGCGTGGAGGTGGGACAGTTGCCGGGCTTTGGTTGCTGAGGTCGGAACGGTCGACAGCCGGGTGTGGGTGGCACTGGGTGTTCGTGACGTTGAGCCTGACATGTTGGTCAAGATGGAGGGCGATGGTCCGTTTGAAAAGACTTGAGAGGTTGTAGAACGCGTCAAAGTGAGAATGAAGATGAAGATGGCAACGCGTGTTGTTGCTTCCAAGACATCATCCTTCCCGAATCGGCCAAAACAGCTAAAATAGCCGAGCCCATACGCTTTTCACATCCTCGCGCCCTCGATGAGACTCCATCTCCTTTATCAATACAAGACACAATGTCATCGATGACGCCCCAATCATTGCGACGGTACACATTGACCGCGTCCGTGACGGCCATTACCGTGACCGGCGCTCTGTACGGCGCAGGCTTGAAGACGCGGCAGGAACACAAACAGGTAGGGTACTCCTTAACCAAATACTGAACGATTACTGAAGTGGCGAGGCAGGAGAAGAGCGCTGCTCTCGAAGCATCACCGGCAGAGAAGCTCGAACATCTGGAAGTCTCAAAGACCAAGCTTCTACGGCAACGAGCAGAGCTACAGAGCAAGATCGACAGACTTGCCGTAAAGACGAAAGAAACTCCTCAAGGCCCACTGTCTCAGACTTAACACGGCTACTCCAGCTCTCGCGCCGCTCGGGGCGGCTGCAACTCTTGCAAGATGTCCGTCTCCAGCGCACTTCGAAGACAAGCCAAGACTGTGGGACTCGCTGAGTGCCCTGAGCCGGCTGCTCTCATCAGGGATACCCATAACTAAGTGTCTCAGACGTTATCTCTTCCTCCTCAAACCAGTGTGGCCATCCTCTATCCTCATCGGGGTGAGCATCAGCACCTAGGTGGAGATATCGCATCTCGATGCAGTCGAGAACTACAAGCCGCGATGCATGCGCGGGGGCGTTCGAGATGCGGAACATCTCAAGACCCTTCGATCTGATGTGCTGCGGCGATCCGTTCCACTGCTCTGCTTCACCATGGCCGCCAGCCGTATGAGCCTCGCAGAGCGCTCGGATATATCCTCGCGCGGCACTTGTCACTCCGTCGTGCACTGGACGTCATACAAATCAGCAACGACAACCGCAGGCATATGCGCAGCTCACTTACATCCACCACCGAAGCCTGGCCATTCAACGACTGGCGTGCAAGCTCTTGAGATGCGGTTCCTGGTGACGTTGGGATATGGCTGATTGAGCTTCAACACAAGGCTCTTGAGCCGGATGTCCTCCTTCTCCACGGTTTTCGGCAGCTCAAAGATGCACGGGCAGATTAGCGCGAGACGCAAGCGAACGCATTCGACGAGATGAAGGATTCTGGCCACATCCTCGCAGACGTGTGCACAGTCAGTTTCGTCGTAGTCCAGACCAGAAGCCAGGTCCAGTGTCAATCTCTTCAGTCTCTGCGCCACCGGGAGGCTGCCGATGAGCCTTCCCGCCAACGATGAGGAAAGGAATGGGTACTTGGGAGACCAAGGATCATCCCAGTCGATGAGTGCTTCGAAGCTGAGAGAGTCTAATGTCTCGCAGCGGCGCAAGTCTTCGGAAAGCTTCTCGATCGCTGGTGCCAAAGACGTGCGATGCCACTCAGACAGGGGGTGACGACGATTGTTGATGACGGCTTCGGGAGGCTCGTTGAGTAGATCTGGCAGATCGATCTGATCCTGCCAGCGCAGTGTCTGTGGCCAGACAGGCCTCTCAAATACCTGCTTGGTTTTGTCATCCCACCTGTGTCGGTGGAGCGTTAGCTGATACGTCGAAGTCTTGATGTGCGGCTTGACGTACCAGTACCCGAGTAGTCTCACGTTGACTTCACGCGCGTTCTTGTGCATCAGCAAGCGTTGCTTGTACGACTTCTGCTGGTCCTTCAGACGCTCAACGTCGCAGCCATGGATTCTAATGCTCGATATCTCAAGCCCGGAATGAAAGACGGAGATGGCTACATCGTACCACCTGCGGCAAAGCAACAAGTTGTCCACGTTGCGGCGGAGATTCCGTCCACCAACTTCTTCAAGGATCAGCTCGAGGATCTCCACTGGAAGGTCGGTGAGAAGGGCCATGACGATGGTCGTACGTGGTAATGGCTGAGTAGGTGGCTATAGAACAAGGACGGAATTATGTGGTGGATTCAGGTAGTCAAGATATGGCCTTTTATGCTGTGGAAGCGTGGATCGTCGTATTTGAACATGTCACACTGGATTTCAAATCCTTGACAAAGTTGCTTCCCTCTTGTTTCAGCCTGATGCCTTCTGGAGAGTGTGTCCGCGTAGGTGAAGTACGCAAGCCATACAAGTGTATGTGATTGATCAGGCATCACCATTGTGGATTCAGGCCAGCTCTTGGCACGACTTGCGACGACATCCGTTGTTTGAGGCAGTCGTTATTGGTTACTCTGACTGCACCTCTTCTACTGTTGCACTACCATCACACACCGGACCTCCTACTCGGGTCAGAAAGATCAACGACATCAGCCCGATGAAGTGACAACAGTGCTGCACCCAACAACGACCGACCATGTCTCAATCTCTCCGACCATACCTCTCGTGTGTGCGATCGACGCTCACGGCCGCTCTATCTCTCTCCAACTTCGCCTCGCAGGCCTCAGAAAGACACAACGTCCCAGAGATCGAGGCTGCATCTTCCCCAGAAGTCCTGCTCAACCCTCTCACCGTATCACGAAATCAAGAAGAGCGAGTGCTGGTGGAGCCTTCAATCAACAGCGTGCGGGTCAGCATTCGGATAAAACAGGCAGATGAGATTGAGCATATTCTTGTGCACAAGTTCACGCGGTTCTTGACACAACGAGCGGAGGCGTTCTTCATACTGCGGCGGAAGGCGATGCCGGTAGGTCCACTTAGGACGCGTGAGGATGGCGTGGACATTGCTGACCGTCATGAATAGGGCTACGATATCTCATTTCTGATCACGAACTACCACACGGAGGAGATGCTGAAGCACAAGCTCGTGGACTTTATCATACAGTTCATGGAGGAGGTGGACAAGGAGATATCGGAGATGAAGCTTTTCGTACGTACTGGGCGGCACACTGGAGCTCTGAGGACACGTTTCCAGACGAAGCTGACCATCTCTAGCTGAACGCGAGGGCACGATTTGTTGCAGAAAGCTTCTTGACACCCGTGAGTCTCTACTCTCCAGGTATTGTGTAGTGACTTGCTAACGCTGCTCTGATAGTTCGACTAAGCGGTATGACTTCTCGCCATCACGCGGAGACAAAATCAAGATGTCATGATTGCAACGATTCGTACGGCAGAGAAGACCATTTCCAGCGAAGGATATATTGGAAATGCTCTCAGCAGGGCGCACTTCTCAAAAGTAAGGAGGTCAAGTAGAGCCACCTTCATCCCAATCAAAGAGCCACAGGTCTGTCCAAGCCATCGTGTCTCTCTTCTCTCGTCTGTTCAGCCTTCCCCTTGTCGTTTGCTATCCTCAGCCATGCACTCGTCAGGGGGGTCACATTTGGGTACTCACATTTTCTGCGGCTACCACGGAACGAGTTGAAATGCCAGGCCAGGTTCTGAGACTGAGATCAACGCTTGTCGGACGCCTTACTGTCGACCTGTGGGGCAATATCTTCGCTAATGGATCTCCATGGTCACTGGAGCAGCAATGTCCTGGTGCTGTCCCTTCCCTGTCCGCACGAGCTCTTCTCGTCTTACTCTTGTCATGGGGATATGGCCACCGCCGCATGTCGCTGGATCAATTGCTTTCTATAGTTGTTGCCGCACTCCCTTGTGAATTCTCCCGGCGGGATTGACCACACGCCTGGCTTAGCAGAGGATTACACTTTTGTTCCTCTTGGGCCGGCATCGCTCAGCTCATCCCGTGGCTTTTATCCTGCAGGTTTCATGCTCATACTGTCGAAGACTGGCTGCTCACTCCCATGAGGATAGCTGCATTCTCGCTGGAAAGACATCGTCATCCGCTGGCAACTGCTGAGAGGGAGCAGCTACTCATCGCTGGCCGGACAGATCCCTGGCTCTTTGCTCAGCGTGGTAGCGCCTTTGATACTGTCTCTGGTCGTCCCTATGTCAACCGCGACCGGGTAAGAGCGTCCAAGCGCCATTTTCGAAGATCGGCCGCAGTAAGAGGAGCTCGCATGTGATCAGAGGCTTCAATCCTGCCCGCACTGCCTTCCCTATTCGTCAAGATGCTTGAACTAGGACCCAATCCTGCTTAGCCTCTCCCACCAGCAATATATAAACTGTTTGCGCACCGCAATTTCTTCCTCTTCAAAACATCGACCTGTCTGCAGTCGAAGTTTCACAACCATTGTCCGTTGCCAGCCAACGGCCTCACTTACCTCGCGCGCACTACCAGACGATAGATAGCTAATACCGCTATCAAAACTAGACTCTCCGCCGGCGCCACTCCTCGAAACCGCAGAACTTCACGTTCACAACCACCATTCGCACCGCACAAAGCTTTTCCACGCAGAAAGCCCCACTTCCAGCGCTTCAGCAAGGTATGGCCCCTTTCTTCACAGAATATTCAAAGGCATCCCGTTTTCGACCCCATTCTCACCCCGCCAATGTCACCTTCGGATGGATCACATGAAAGCCGCCAAGACTTGGCTCCTTCCTTTTCCACTTCACCCTCGAATTTGGCCCCACCTCATCACGCATGACACAACATGAAACATCACATCATGTACTGACCGCACTTTTTTCAGACTTTTGTCCGCATCCCCATCGACTGTAAGACTTTCACAAATCACCACGCAGCATTGTAAGGATGCAGAACCACCGTGGTTCGAACGGCAACGGCTTCGGCCACAGGCCAAACAAGAACAACAAAGTCCCACCTTCGCCTACGCCAGGTCCGCGTCGCAGTCACGGCAACAACAACAACAACATGGAGAAGGCTACCGAGCAGGGTCGCTACGTGCCGCCGCAGAAGCGTGAGTGACTGTGCCGTCGCCACTTACCTTCGTTCATGATGAACTGACTTCGTGGTAGGTGCTGGTGGCAAGCAGCTCCCAGACATCGTGCGCCCGGAGTCGTCGATGTCGAACGCCACCTTCATGAGCCAAGCCCCTCCTCAGCACTTCGCACCCGTTCATCACAACCTCCCCAACCGCGGCCAGATGGCGCACCCTTCCTACGGCTACTTGCCACCATGTGGTAACTACGCGTACGGCCCGGACGACCTCACTGAGCAGATGGCTCGCTTCGATGCGTCTCTCGGCTCCGCTGCCGCTCACCCTGACGCACAGCGCTACCTGGGCAATGGGCGTGGCATGGGCAACGGTCGTCTCATGGGCAATAATGTCGGCACTGGTACCGGGCTCAGCTTCAGGAACGGCGGCGTCCGTCCAGGTTTCGGCAACGCTCCGGGCGCTGTCGGCGGCGGCGTGCCGTCCAACAAGCGGGGTCACGCGTATCGCCTCTCTGATGCCGACTCCGCACTCGGCGACTCCCAGGGCTACCGCATGGCGCAGATGATCATGAGCGGCGCTGCTGATGATCCGCGTGATCCGGACTTCGGTAACCCAGGTCCTTCTCGTCGCCCAGAAGCTGCACAGCAGGCTCTCATCGCTGCGCAGCAGAAGCACCATCGTGGAGACCTCGCTGCTGCCGCCGGTGAAGATGTGAGCCCGTACACCTCCGTCCACTGCCCGAACATCCGTGGCAACCCAGCCGCCTATCTCGGCACCAAGCAACTCCATCTTCCTCTCTGGATGAATGACGTCGACCACAACGGCGGTAGGCCAACAGTCGCGCAAGTGTTTGCCGATCTTCCGCTCATCGAGGCCTGCCGCGTGGCTCGCCCAAGCACTGCGGGTGTCATCTGCATCCGCAGCATCCCGTACACCACCACCCGCGCCGAAATCACCGCGTTCTTGGGTCGCAACTCGCAGATTGTGAACCAGCCCATCGGCACCCCCTTCACCGCGATTCACATCATGATGGAGCGCATGTCCGGCAAGACGCAAGATGCATTCATCGAGGTCGAGTCGCCGAAAGAGGCCGGTCTCATCCACGGCTCCTTCATCCAGCGCATTAGGCAAGGGCGTATGACCAAGCTCGGCGATCGCCCAGTCATCGTCGAGCTGTCGTCCCAGCAAGAGTTGATGAGTGAGATGTTCAATCGCGCGAAGACGGTGACCTGGGTCGGCAACCAGCCCAAGTTCGACAACTCTACCAAGTACTTCTACGACGGCGTCGAGTCGGTCGGCTTCGAAGGCTTCTTGCGCGACGAAGACTATGCTCACCTCCTGAAGCACATTGAGTCGCCACAGCGCGTAAGTCTTTCATTCTCATCTCTCGCCGAATGACCGCTAACTTTCGCAGTCTCCGTTCGTCCAGCGCTGCATCATCCGTCCGTACGAGTCCCTCATCTCGACGATCCACAAGTTCCCATGGTTCGACGTCGAGCACGTGCTTCTCTCCGAGCGCGATCAATTGTTCAAGGTCACCATCACGGCTATCGACACCCTCATGGCCCTCCTGCGCAAGCACGGCGGCACCGGTGGCCACGACGCGACGAAGCCGAACAACCAGATTCTCAAGGAGGTCGCCATCGCTGCTCTCACGTGCCCAGGCTTCTCCGAGTTCCAGAAGTCTCGCGTCATCCGCCACCTCCAGCAGGGCAACTACGGCCAATACACGGTCTCGAAGGGTCTCAACCTCACCTTCGGTGGTATCGACAACTACTCCCCCAACTGGCCGTTCCTCATCCTGGTCAAGAAGCCTGGCGTCAACGATGAGCTCATCGAGGTAAGCCCCAACCATTCACGTCACTGACCCCTTCCACTGACCACATCCCAGTACATCGCCGGCCTGATGCGTGACACCACTACGGGCAGCCAGATGTCCCTCGCCGACATTCACTCCATGCAGGCTTCCGGCAACCTCGCCAGCCCGTTCGGCCACCTGGACATCCAGTACGAGGACTGCAAGACGCTCGCTGACGTCGGCCGCCTCGAGCTGCGCACCATTGAGAAGATCCTGTGCTTCTCTCTTCCGCGCGGACGCCCCGATCGTACCTTCAGCACCGGTCGCTCGCTCGGCACCGGCCTGTACATGAATATGCAGTAAACATGCTAACAACATCGTTGACACTGTGCGTACCTTGGTGGCCTTGGACTCTCTAAGATGGAGGGTCATACATGGCATGGCGTATGGCGCATAAGTGGGTGCATCATCACGGCATATTGTGAGATGGGGTTGGTGCTTGCATGGCGGCGGCGTTCTTGGGTGAGCTTCATGTTCTTCCACGACTGACGATGATGACTGAATGTGCGATGATGGAACGATTGCATGAGCATGGGCATTGTCGGGCGTTGTGTGTGTTTTCTTGTGATACGGGCAACTGAGGGCAGAATCTGCAAGGATGGATGGCGGGCTCACTGTTCTGCTATCGTGGACGGTGTTGTTGTTCGGCTGAAGGACTTGTGGATGGATTCAGGACTGGATGCCGCCTTCTTGTTCATATGAGAGATTGAGTTATGGAAATGCAAAGGCTTTGTACAGCCACCAAAACCTCCCGATGTCCTCGATCGTGCCCTTCAACACGGACAGCGATGCACAGAGCACGAATGGCTGTTGGAGAAGCTCCACCTCCACGATGTAGATCGATCGTACCTTGCAGATGGCGCAGATCGAACGCCTCACTACGTCACTGACTTTTGGGCTTCGATATGGTCGTTCCTCCTTCATAAAACTCATTGTTGCTGCAATCACATGGTCTCGTAAGTGAAGGTGACCTCACCTCGTTCGCCTATCATAAGTGAGGCTGTCGTGCTTCGCTGAAGTCACGTTGTTCAAAGTGCAGCTCCTGCCTCTCGCTCGAGTCAATCTCACGACTCATCTTCGTCGACAGCGACCTCACCTCCCAAACCTCTACAACCTCCCAGCAATGGCTCGCACAACACGTTCCTCCGCCAAAAAGGCGGCCAATCTCACAGTCGACGAGCCAGAGCAATTATCGAGTCCGCCGGCGACACCAGCTCCAACCAAGTCGAAGGCAGCCCCGAAGAAGCCGGCAGCTACGCCAAAGGCTCCTGCTGCGAACATGAGCAAGAAGCGAGCGAGAGGTGCAGTCAAGCAAGAAGATGGCGATGTCAATGAGCTGCCGCACAATCTCGGGACAGCGATGCCTACGCCTGGCGCCGACTGGGAGGACTACGCTGCGTCTGGCCCGGCGAAGAAGCGAGCTAAGCGGACGCCTAAGAAGGAGGAGTCACCAGGAGAAGATACGGGAGTCACTGTGAAGGAAGAAGACGTAGACTTTGAGGAGGCTACACCGAAGAAGACACCTAAGAAGACACCAAAGAAGGAGAACTATGGTCTGACGCCCGGCTTGACTCCCTATCCTGACTTCCCTCGCCCCACAGCTGAGGACTGCGCTGAAGTCGTCCGTCTCTTGGAGAAGATTCACGGCCACGTCGAAGCCCCGAAAGCCATTCCGCCACCTTCACTAGATGTCTCCGGCTGTGGCGAGGTGCCTTCCGTGCTAGATGCGTTGATCCGTACGAGGCTCAGTGCGAACACGACGAACAAGAACTCTTCTACTGCATTCCAAGGTCTAGTTGCTCGCTTTGGCACTCTCAAAGAAGGCATCGGCAAAGGCAGCGTCGACTGGGATGCTGTGCGTGTGGCGCCTCAAAAAGAAGTCTTCAAAGCCATCGAGCGTGGTGGACTTGCCGACAGGAAATCGAAGGACATCCAAGCTATTCTTCAGCTGGCATACGACGAGCAGCAAGAACGCAAAGCTGCCCTGACCAACTCGGGCTCTGATCCTGCAGGTGCTGAGAAGGAGCCAGACCAGGAGAAACAAGAAGAGATTACCAAAGCTACCCAGAACGTCATCTCACTCGACCATCTCCACCTTCTCAGCACAGACGATGCTATCAACAAGATGCTCAGCTACCCCGGCATCGGACCCAAGACTGCGTCCTGCGTGGCGCTGTTCTGCCTTCAGCGGCCAAGCTTCGCAGTCGACACGCACGTCTTCCGCCTATGCCAGTACCTCGGCTGGGTCCCGAAGAACACCAAGAAAGGGCAGCCGAAAGTCGACAGGAACACGACGTACAGCCACTGCGATGTCAGGATTCCGGACGAGTTCAAGTACCCGCTCCACCAGCTACTCATCAAGCACGGCAAGACGTGTCCCCGCTGTCGTGCCATCACTGGGCAGGGCTCTGCTGTCTGGGAGGAAGGTTGTCCGATTGAGCATCTAGTGAAGAGGCATGGATCGAAGAAGGGCGGCACCAGCACGAAGGATCGGAAGAAGGCCGCTGATGCTGCGGATGATGCTGGAGAGGAGGTGGAGCTTGCTGCTGAGCTTGAAGGGGAGGACAGTGAGCTCAGTGATGTGCCTGGTGATGATGAGGCTTGAGCTACTTGAACATACAGCTTGAGGCATGCTGCATCTGCGCCGAAGATGAAGGCTTAATTTGACGACAGCATTTTGACACGACGAACGAGAAGGCCATGCTTGGTATAGGTAGTTAGAGATACCCAGTGATATGGTAGATAAGATGTAATTAAGACTGCATATGATCTTCCACAAGGATCCGGTGTGACCGCGTAACTTTGGTGTCGCCAGCTGATATGGTATGGAGATGATCATCACGACGTCACCATCGTTTCGAAATCTTGTTCCAGGTTGGCCCTTCCGGCGGAAAAGCTGCACTCTACGGGGCATTGATCTGGTTGTTTTAGTGCGCCTGCTTGAGTGAGGCAAGCTTTTCGACTGTACCTGCAGAACATCCTGGCACTCCACAGTCCGCCTGAAGAAACAACACTTCTAACGAACGAGCATACGCAAGTCTCTCAACTCGCCGGCTGATCAAACAGCTCAGATAACCGCCACCATCGCGTTCAAAAGGATCAACACAGGCGCGAGCCTGAACCCTCCATCGATGCCAGGACGTGAGCAGTTGGCCTCATTCACCCCTCTTTCCGCAAGCATGAACTGAACTCACTTCAGCAGGCAACGAAACAGCACACCACCCTCCGTCGTCGACGGGAGATGTGCTCCTCTACGTCCTCGCCATCTTCATCCCGCCGGTTGCGGTGCTGTTGAAGCGGGGGTGTGCTGCCGACTTCTTCATCAATGTCTGTTTGACAGTGCTGGGATGGCTGCCGGGATGTGTTCACGCGTTTTGGGTTATTACGAAGCACGAGACGCCGGCTTCTGGCTACAAGCTGCGATGAGAATGTGAATGAGGAACGATGGATGGGGATGCGAGTTTGTCGAGGGGAATGAGATGATGCTGAGAGCGAAGGCCACAGAGAGGGAGAGATGTCAATCAAGTTTTCAACTGTAATTAGTTAAGCTTTTAACTGAATTGGCCGGCCCTACGGGAGCTCCACCACATGCACTCGTCTCCTCTCTCTTCCGAGCCACAACGACGTTCATGCCTTCAAGCAGTCCAAGATCATTAAAAGTTTCCTCATCGACGAGCATAATCTGGATCGGCTTTTGTCTTCTGGCTGCTGTGACTGTCGGGCTCTACCGAAAGCATTACGGTGGCGAGCAGCCTACTACATCAGCAAGGATGAGCGACTTCACTGAGGCCAATAGGAAAGCATTCGAGTCAGTATGTGCGATCTATATTGATGCTTTCCAATGCTGATCTATTAAAGCGAGTTGTCAAGCAAATACGACACCGAACCATGGCGACACCGGATGACCGAACAAATAAAACAAGGACTTGTCGAACGTAAAGACTGGATCGGTATCCGATGGGCAAAGGAGGATGACACCTCCTACGGACGAGAAACGAAGCTCCTCGACTATGCCTGCGGTACTGGATTTGCCACCAAAGTAATGGGACCATGGGTCACGAACATCCGCGGCATCGACGTCAGCGAGAACATGGTCAAGCTGTTCAACGAGACGGCCCAAGCATCCGGCTTGAAGCAGGAGCAAGTTAACGCTGTAGTCGGTGATCTCCTAGCAGACGAAGTCCCATCACATCTCAACACGCCCGAGTACCGCGACTTCGACATCGCAGTGATAGGCCTAGGCTTCCACCACTTCGAGGATCCCAAGAGAGCTATCGATCGTCTTGTCGAACGCCTAAAGCCAGCAACAGGCGTGCTCCTCATCATCGACTTCCTCCCGTTCAACAAGGACGAAGGTGGACCGCAAGCAGCCGCCGCACACACGATCAAGCACGGCGGCTTTGCGAGACAGAACATGGAGATGCTCTTCCAAGCGGCGAAGCTCGAGAACTTTAGCTTCAGCGTCATGGAGGAGCCGGTGGAGATGGTGAGCAAAGACGGCAGTACCAACAAACGCACGGTCTTCTTTGCGCGAGGAAGGAAGGAGCCGACGACTTGGGGCAAGCTTGCGAGTTGGGTGACGAAGATGCAGGAGAATGCTGCGGATCAGTTTTCGATTGCGCCGAGGGAGGATGTGCCGGATCAGCTGGGGCTGACGGGGGGTAAGGTGAAGAAGTAGTTTGTTGGAGTGAGCCTTGGTGAATGTGTCTGGAGATGTTCATCTTCTACCTCGTGATCTGCTTCCCAATTAGAATAATGCCGAGATCATGCAAGCTCTGCGATCCCTGCCACCACATCTCCATCTACTGCGCAGGGCCAATGCCATGTTCCTTGTGCTCATCCTTGTCCATACTCGGGCAATGGTAGATGCTGATGGTGAGGAAACCACCGCACTGCTGCATCTCGTCTCCAGTACAGGTGTACTTCGGATCAGAGCAGGTCTGCAGAATGTCACCGTAGTATGGCACAGTCTTGTTGCCAGTGACAATGACGTGCGGAGAAGTGATCTCGTTGCCGCAGAAGCAATATCTACCTGTAGAAAGATGTTAGACGATGGACAACAATGTGGGAGGATGGGGCGAGCATACCAAACTCCACACCGGCATATGCCCAGCCATCGTTCAAACAAGTCCCGACGCACTTCTCACGTGTCATGGAGTAGGAATCCACCCCGAGATGCTGAAGTTCTAACGTGGGTGCCGACCCATCGTCATCGTAACAGCCGATGTAGGCGCACCCTTCGATCTCCTCGGGACCGCCGACAATCTCTGGGGAAGCGGCAGTGGTGGTTGACTTGGCGGTGCTTTCAACCGGCATTGGGTCCGAGAGGGTTGTCGAAACCGTGGCAGCGGACACGATGGTGTGGGGAATGGTGTTGCAGACGTCTCCAGTGCACACTTCCTTCGTGCTGGTGGAAGTGACGAAGCTGTTGGCATCTCTTTCGGCGTTTACGGCTGGAGACAGAGCAAGTCGATTAGCGATCTGCAGCAACAGACTGTAAAAGACGATAGGTCGTACAAGTTTTGGGGATCGTGCATCGCATCTCATGGTCGTGGCTATGGGTGCATTGCCCCAGGACGCTGGACACGGCAATTGCGGCGATGAGAAATGTCTTGCATGCCATAGTGGAAGCTGCTGTGAGGATGTCGATGATGCTTTCGATGATGATGCGGGTGGAAAACTGTTGACGGAGCTTCGTTGAAATGGATTGAGAAGAGGAAGAGGCGGAAGACGAGAAGAAAGTCAACACTGCTCGTACCTACTGCACTTGCAATTGATTGAAAAGTAAGAGCTGCTGTGCCGGCAGGCAGTGCAGTCACCCTTGCCGTTATTGCGTCCCCCGGCAGCTGCGACGGCCTGGAGCGTTGTTGCTTCCAGTGATCGTGGGAGCCATGTCGTCAATCGTCCGCCCGTCCATACTCATTGTGAACGCAAAGGCAAAGATCAAGACGTCGAAGCTGCGAAAGCGTGCTCCTCATCACCCAACACCCTGCCGTCCACATTCCCGCCATACACACCACCATCCAATATCCATCCCTCGTTATCGTCCTCATCCATCTGCACTCTTCTCCACGTGTTCCGCTGCTCCCTCTCAGTACCCTTGCCCTTCTCCTCCCGGGCTTTCGGCTTGATTAGCCCCTTCGCAAGCGGGTTATTGCTGAACGCACCGCCACCTCCCGAGCGACTTGCATCAGGCGCAGGGGCTACATAGCCATCATCAACCTCAGCACCTTCATCAGTACCGCCGTTGAAATCCGGCTTCTCCACATCAGCCATCTTGCGCACGACTCTGCCGCCTTTCAAATCAATAGACGCAACGACCTTTCGCTTCTCGTAGTCCGGCCGCGCATTCCATTCCATCTCCCGCAAAATCTTCTGCTGCTTCTTGAGCTGCGCCGCGCGCTCGGCCGGCGATGCCCACATACTCGTCCCCGAACTCGGGACGTCGTAGTCTGCTGCTTCGTCGTGGATCTGCGTTCGTCTGGCGTTCTGCGCTTGGAAGCTGAGCAGCTTGTCGCGGTGCTGTTTTGCTGCCTTTTCTCCTTCGTCATCACTTCCAGCGGGTGTTGCGGGAGTAGATGAGAGCGGACTTGATCGATTTGAACATGTCTGGGCGAGAAAGTCACGGCCAGTGAACGCGCGAGCCTTACCGTGGGCTACGTCAGCTTTTTTGTGGGCAGAGTTATTGGCCTTCATCCTCTCCTCTCCTCGTTCATCCTTGAGCACTCGCAGCACTTTTGAGATCTCGTCTGAGCTCAGCAAAGGACTGCCGCAGAACGTGCAAGGACCCAGGCCCTGCTTTACGCAGATGACTTGGCCGCAGTTGAGGCAGTTCGGTGCAATGTCGAGAAGAGGGTGTCGGGTAGCCATGCAATTACATCTCCGCTTCTCGGTTTCGGATGCCGCGTTCGCGGTTGATGATAGACTTGGGTTTGTCTGAACTTCAAGACTACGAATCGCTGAATCAAGGTCCGAAAGCGTCGAAGAAGCTCCATGCATAGCCGTTCCACCAGATATGTTGACCTTCGTCTTCGGCGCCGGCGATGCGCCTCTTGAAGACTGCGCCGAGCCACCTTTCCGTGGCGACAAGCTATCCGATATCAACGGCCCAGCAGCTGAAGGCGGTGCTTTCGACGTAATCGGCTCGTCTGTAGGCGCCGCATCTCCAGTGATAAGCGGCATCTGAGTAGCATCGGGCGTCTTCTGCCGTATCGCCAGGTTGTCCGCCACCACATCTTTATGCCTTTGCCGTGAAGATGTAGGCATATAATCGCTCTCCGCAGCCTTGACGTAGCCTCCTCCTAGATTCCCACGATCTTCAATCTGCCTTGCTGGTAGCGCATGGATATTGGCCCTCTTCTTTCCTCCTCGGCCACCTCCTCGCGCTCGCGGTGCCTCTGCAGGCCGGTTCGAAGCCTGTGATGCCCCCATTTGTCTGTCGTGGTTCGTAGGTGTACTGGAAGCCTGCGCATTCTGCCGCCGCTGGTTGAAGCTCGAGATGAACTCCAGTGCCTTCGCATCGTCGCCGAGTAAGTTCTTTAGATGTTCCGCCGCCGCATCCTTCGGTAATGTCTCTGCGTATTGAATGACCTGCTTCCCGCTATCGTCGTCCAAGGGTAGGAGTTGCTGAAGCCGTGGTAGAGCCCAGTCCTCCAGCTTTGACGCCATGCCGGCTCGTGGTGTGAAGGTGTTCCTCGTTCAGGCGCAACGCTCGCAATGTTGGTACTTGTCTTCACTGGCTCACGGCGTCATCTACACCAGTCGCAGGCGGTTGCGGTGACGGAACGGCCCTCGACTTGGAAGAAGACGAGAAGCGACATCTCGACGGGCGGCAACGGTCCGTATCGCCAGTGTTAATTCGAACTTCATCTTGGACAAGCCTGTGATGAGATAGAATCAGTTCACGAGCTGCACCTTCACCACAACATAGTGCACTGGGTGAGAACCAGGCTCGAGGTGCAGCGACGCGGCGATGGTTATCCCGCCATGCAACTCAGTCTCGCCAGCTGACAAGGCCACACGAGACGACGTGAGAAAAGATACAAGCAAGATGCTTGAATACTCATTACACTTCAGTGTTCAGCTAGTACGGTCAAACGCTCACAAAGCCACCCAGTAGAGACGGTCGCTAAACATGCTCGATCAAAGCAAGATTCCGCCCACCCAAAGAAAATCCCCAGCAATAACAGTCGCTCTGGCCATTGCAGCAATTCCCACCACACTGTTTCGCAGCAAATCAATCATCCGACTCTTCCATCCCAGCGGTACGCCTGCTATCCCGCCTGTCACCGATGTCCTCCTAGGTCTCCGATCCCTTAGGAGGCAGGTCGATGAGGTTGACCTGCACACCTGCATCGACTCCGGTCTTCTTGGTCGAAAAGACAGCCTCCTCTTGCCTCGCGGTCTCTGGAGTAGCGGTCGTGGCGCCGTCGGTGACATCGCCTTGCTCTGCAGAAACACGCGTCAGCTTTCCAGTCTCATCGTGTTTACATGGGCCCGCGACGAAGTGCCTGGACCATGGTCGAGTCATGGGAGGTGCGCTCCTCTTGCCTCAGCGCTTGGGCGGCTTGCGCCTGCTGCTGCTGTTGCATATATGCTGACGCACTAGTTTCAACAAAGACTTGCGCAGGCTGCCTGTACGTCTGAGGCGAAGGGGGCGCACGAGGATCCTCGTATGGGTATGAGGGGTAGTAGAAAGGTTGCATGGGTTGTGCAGAGTGGGAAAAAGCATGAGAAGAAGTGGGCGACGCACCGACGGGTGTCAGACCGACTGGTTCTGGGTACGTGAACGGCTGCCCTTCACGAGTCTGGCCCATCTGCGCTTGCGCGCCTGGCGGTGGTGGCGGTAGGGTTGGCGTGTGCGGCTCATCAGTCGAACGCTTCTGCCCGGCTTGCTGCTGAGGCGGGGGCTGCTGTTGGTACATCGGCGGTTGTTGGTAGCCCTGTGGTGGCGGCGGGTACTGGCCTGGTGGTGGTGGCTGACCCTGCTGAGGTGGGTACGATTGGTTGCGGTCGCCGTGCTGTGGGAGAGGCTGACCGTAGGCGCCGTAGAGTTGAGTGTTCGGTGGTGGACCGCCTTGACCGCGCCAGACCGTGTGAGCGGGGACGAAAGCCTGAGTTTGAGCGTGGACTGGGGTGAAGACGCATTCTTGAGAGAACCTCACGCAGTTGGTGCAGCGGCCATCCTCGGACTGGTCGAATCCGGAGCATCTAATCTGCGGACACGTGTCAGACGGCAGAAGCTGACGGTCACGCGAAAGGACTTACTTTGCGACGACGGCAGTAGCGACATGCGATGGCCGTACGCTGCCTAGGCGCTGGCTGCGGCGGCGGATACGCCATATGCGGGTGAGGTTGGTATGGCGGCGCGTACATCTGCTGTGGTGGCGGTAGAGCGCGATACTGATCCGGGTGCTGCGGTTGCATCGTCTGCATGGCGGGCTGTTGCGGAATGGCCTGTGAGATGGGCGGGATCTGGTTCTCCTCCGCGTTAGCGGCGTCTTCCGAGAGTGACGGATCGATGTCTGCCATCTTGCAGTTGATGGAAGAGGGATGTGGAGGGCAGAAGTTCAGGTTGCAGGGTGAAAAGGGAAAAAGCGATCGAATAACAGGTGACGGGGTCTTGGCAAAACGTGCAGCTGCAGAACGCGAATCAGGCAGGCGAGACTTACCTGCTGTGGCCTCGGCGTATATTGGCCGTTTGGCGGCGGTTGCGGTGACCAGTTCTGCGGTTGCGACGAGGGAGGGTTGTTGGCATTCCATTGCTGTCCGCCGCTGCCTCCAGGCGATGGGCTCTGGTGATACATGGTGTAAGGTGGCGGTCGATGTCGTGCTTGTTGGATCGATCGTTAGATATTTGATGCGACGAATCGATACGTTTCCGTCCCGCGACGACGTATTGGTGCACCGTCAGTCGGGTAATATTTGGATCAAACGTGCAGATGCAAGCAGCCTTGTGTGATGTCGTGCAAGAAAGGTGCGGGCCGGGCGGCGATGCCGTTGGATATGCGCGGTGAAGCTGCCGTGCGGGTGAAATCAGGCGCGCTGTTACACAACAACGGCGGTGCGTGAGAAGTGATGCAAGTGGTGGTTTGCGCAGACCTGCTCGCACTGTTGGTTGATGAAGGGCGGCAGAAGAGGCGGGAGAAGGTGTCGAAGGTCGAGAAATATCCCAGCAGCCAGGAAACGAGCGGGCGGCCGGTCAGCGGGCGCCTTAAGTGGCCGCGAGAGAAAGTGTGACGAAAAAGCGAGCTTGCTGTCTTCGGTTGGCTCCCTTCACCCTTGGAATGGGCCGGTGCGAAAGTGAACCACGAGCCAGTTGCGCCCTGACGCCGAAAGGTGCAATCGCGTGCGTGCTGACACCTTCTTCTTCCGCTCTCCCTCTCGCCCCAAGGCCCGCGCAGATATAGCTGCGCAATCGCCTCGCTCGCCTCCCGCTGGTGCAGCTGCGTGCCCTTGCGTGCCGCACCTTGTCCTCTGGCCCACGACGAATTGCTGCGCGCCTGCAGGGTTGACGTGCCGGTCCACCCGCCTCTGCTCGAGCACTTCTGTGGGCGGGCTGCCGAGTCGCTTGCCTGCACGGCAAATGCCGGCAGACGACAGTCAGCTGCGTGAGAAAGGCTCTCGTAAAGCAATCCACCTCAACAACCGGCAAAAGTGGCCACCGACACGGCCGCCTGTGCTGATTCGTCAGTCGAGCTTCCCACTGCACACCGACGGGGGAGAAGCAACGGCGGAAGGCGAGATAAATTCGACGCTGCGCCCGCGAGGCCCGTAGGATGATGCATGCAAGCTTCAAGCTGACTTTTACGCCTGCCAGCCAATGGCGCGCACCAAATTATGCTCGGGAACCGCCCTTGTCCGCTTTGGTGGCGAGATCTACTCGCGAACCGGCCCGTGTTCTTGCTCGCGTGGCAGCCCTGCAGAATCCTTGCAATGCAGACGAGCAAGACGAACTGCTGCTGTCCAATGTCTGGACAGAACTCCGTCCCGTCCACCCAAGCTGTGCCGCAACGCCGAACTGCTTCAAGAAAGACTGCGAACTCACCTGGAAACCTTGCCTCTCGGTGTCACCGTGTATACCGTCTTGTTATTTGGTCGTGGTGGGATGCTGGCCAAGGCGAGGTTGGAAATCTGGAGAGCGAATCAGAAAATCCGTCAATGTTGGAGATTGAGACTGGGTCCAACGACGTCTGACGTATATGTACGCCCCTTTCATGCACTGTCATGGCACAGTTCATGTTGGATGAAACTCACTTGTGTTGTAATTCGTCGATCAATATTACGACTGACGGCAGCAGACCAGGTTGCAGAGCGGAGATTGCCTTTCGGAACGTTGGAGGATGATGCACGGGAGCTCGCTTCCACGGTGCGCTGGGGTATGGACCGAACCTTGTGGCACTCTGAATTGAAGGTGGAGGCAGTCGTCAACGCATGTATGCACAGAAATGTCCGATGCTGATGAGTCTCTTAGCTTGAGAAGAGGTGTCGAGAGGTCCTCGTTCGGACGTACACTCTGATCGCCAGATTGCATATGGTGGTCAAGACCTGGGATGCGACCACCTACTGCTCGATAAAACCATTCAACGACCTGGAAAGACACGACAAGGCTCGTGTGCTGACCTTACGTTCTTATAGTAGTCTCCCGCTTGCAGACTCATCGAACGGGCGTGGCGAAGTGGTCACTGCGCTCTACCATCATCAGGGCACGAGACGACAAGACATGGATCCAGTGAATGATGTGTCAATTGTCCGATGCAATGCATCTTCACGCCCGCATACCTGGGATACGGGTACCACAAACTCAACTTTAAGGTACGGGTCGACTGCAATACATCAGGCTGATTCAACCCGCCGAACATATGGGACGGCGCTTGCAGCTGCAGCATGCTGTGCAATGCTCCATTTGGGAAGAAGAAGTCGCAGCCCGTCGCTTGTATTTGCCGCCCTCCAAGAGTCGAAATGCAAGGGAGAGGGTCCTGGCTGAGCTCGATCTCGAACAGAGTGCCATCGTTCGATCGATCGCACATCAGACTGTCAGGATGTCGTGTGGTACGGCATTGTGAGAACGGTGGAAACCTGCAGGGCTATGGACGGAAGCATGTGGGACTACGGCACGGTTCGGTGCGTGAGGGCAACATTGAAGCTCAAGGAAACTGGGAGGCTTCTTTACAAGTATGAGGATGCCGCAACTGCATGCTCTTCAGGCCAAGGCCAAGCCTCAGAGGTCGAATGTTTGTCTCAGCAGTCGAGCTTTGGACCGTATCCTGCGTGTCTCTCAATCCTTGAGGCAACATCTGGCCCCAGTCTTGCTTTGCTCTGGCGCTTGCTGTGGCCTGCCAGCTACAGTGACCCTGCATTTCAAGGCCAGTTCGCTACGCAGCGGTCCGACTGTTCCCACCTCGCGCTCATGCAATAGCCCTATGCATGGCAGCGTGCCGCTTACTGCTGCAGCTGCATGCAGCATATTACGGCCACACCCTGGTCGGTAACTCGATACAGGCACTTCAGGTCCCATTGGCCTGTCTCGAAACGATATCACCATTGACTCCAACATCGTTTGATACATGCTGTGCTATGACACAGAAATGAGATACATGTACCATTGACGAACTACGCCGGGACAGACACTCTGAACCCCCCTCATCTCATTCTCGGCACATTGTCTCCGCCGTTCGCGCTCTTTTGACCAATAACAGCTGGACACGAAGCATGGCATCCGCGCTAAATCATGTGATCGAAAGCAGCTGAGGCTACCCGAAGCTAATGAGAGCGACAAGGTTCACCCATGCTCAGCCCCCGCACAACGCCGACTTCATCGAAAACGGGATCGAGCATTTCTGCGATCGGGAGCGGCGAGCACGGCCCGGATCGATGACCGAGGTGCATTTTTGGCGTTGTGCGACCAGACATCCTCTCTGCTACACCGTCATGAACGTGGATATTCAATACTTGCCGAAACATCCTCAGAAACTGTCAGGGTTTGCGAGAGCATGCCACTACGTCAATTCAGTGGAAAGCCAACCTGGAACAATTGGGAAGCGAATGCCTGAGGCCTTCCTTGACTCCTCCTTCCTAATTCGTACAGATATTGATCGAGAGACCTGCAAGTCTGCTGATGCACATTGAACATGCAGTGAATCTCGCGTTGGATGGTATTAGAAGAGGGCTCGGAGTTGTGAAAGTGATAGATCGTCGACTGTATGTGCTTGACCTCATGCAGATGCCTTGCCGGGGTCTTCTGATCATCTTGCAAGCTTCGATATTCGTCTAAGCTTAGTTGTCCAACGTAGACGGAAAGCAAAAAGATCATGCTCATCAGCCTCTTACGCCTCATTCACTGCCCTCCTCGTCTGATGATTCTCCATCGTTCTGATTTTCATCCTCCTCCTCATCCTCATCATCTGAAGCAGAAGCAGGTTCGTCAGGCATCACAACTGAGTTCAGGTAGGTAATCTGTGCGACGCTGTCAGTTCTTCTGGGTCTCGTGCGACAAGCGGGCAGAATGCTCGAGCCAGGTAAGCGGCGGAAAAGTGTCAGGGTTGCCCCCCGACAGCCCATCCGGTGACGGTTGTTGGGAAGTGGAGCGAGCCATGCAACATGCCTCAAGGTTGCGGGCACTCGCCAGCGCCCCAACGGGGTGATGACCCACACACGAGGGCAGTAGCTAGCGTAGAACAGAACCAAATAACAAGACTCACGAATGGCTTCATGCACGACAGGAGCTCGGCAATTCGATCGAGACCGTGCGGACCGACGACTTCACTGTCGTTCAGTTTGCGGCCGATGGTGTAGTTGCGCAGACGCAAGAGATCGATGTCAGGGTGATCAGCATCGTAGCCCTAGAGTCTCGCCTTGTCAGCTATTGATCACTGTGAAGAGTTGAACCCGAAACTGTGGCCCTAGACGCGCTTGTAACCGAGCACATAACGCAAGATTGTGATGAGGGAGCGGAACGCATTAGCACGCGATGCCAGCTGGATGGGCTTCCCCAGTTGCCAATGGGGAGGCAGGAGCTTTGTGCTACCGCGCCAATTAGAGTTCAGGCCGAGCTTCCCGGAGCCAGACTGTGGTGTTGGATCGTGGTCAAGTTTGGGAGACTTGTGCGGTGAGTCGACGGAAAGAACACCTCTCAAGTCTGGCTCAGACGTAGCAAGGTCATCCACCGGGCATCTGGGCGAAAGTGGAACAACCCAAGCTGTCGAGATCGTTGATGTATGGAACACAAACAGGTGTTGTGGGTGTGCTCCCGACTTCTCCAAGCGGGCCGAATGTGGTGAGCCAGGGTCAGCTTCGAGCCGGACCCAGAGTGACTGCCCGCTCAGGTCTCCATAGGCGACCATTAATCGTACATTCATCCTTTCGTTATGCCAGAACGAAAGGTCATGCAGGCAGCCTTCTGTCTTCGTTCTCGGGTTTTCGTGGAACCTGTTTTCGATCGATGCAGCCCCTGAGACAGACCCAACGCCGTCGACGATGGACGCTGCCGGTCGCACCGCAGAAGTACACCACCACCGCACGATTCACTGAAGGTCTCCAGACGACATCAAGTTGTGTCATAACAGATGGCGACTTCATCACAGACGGAGAGCAACGACTGATGAACTTTGTACGTACCTTCGGGCGCGTCTTCAAAGCGTTCTCAGCATTCGCCGAAACGAGGGCCTTGACAGCTTTCGCATCCTGCTTCGCGACACCACCGAGAAACTCCTTCCGCAAACGATCTTCGAGGAGAACGTCCTTCAGCCGGCGTGAATGGCGATCGATGTCGCGTCGCATCAGTTGCGTCGGTTGAGAGTCTGGATGCCACAACCCGCCTCCTGACGATGTCATTAGCAAGGATACAAAGCTGTAAAATAACTTCAACATGACGCGATGACTGGATCCGCTGTCCAGCGCAGCTACGGCAGAAGGTAGCGGCCAGGAGCGCCTCCAGAATCCCGAAGAGGTCGATACCAGCATGGAAGTCGAGCACAGGCTTCACCAGCGGTCTACCGGCCGTACTGATCAAATCAAGCTGCAAAGCAACTGGCTCCATCTCTCAATGTATACGGCGCAGTCCAGGGAGTGCGTTGCCCATGGGTCACCATATCGAACGCCCGAGCAACGAATCTTCTTTGAAGTTTCTCGGCGATACTTTTCAGTATGCCCAGATGGGCTTCCGTCGCCCAGATTCAGGACCGGCTCATGTTTGCGCTCGTCCTCGGAACTGTACGTACTTCTGGGGCAAGGAGTTCCAGAAAACGTGGTCTCCAAGCATACACAAGACTGCCATGTCGATGGTCGCGTCACGGCTCGGTGTCACTCAGACCTCATATTTTGGCGGCCGATTCCGGCATTGACTGACTTCCTCCTCTTGAATCCCGAGGGCTTACACGGCTCTCTGCTTCTGCAAGCACCATAGCTTATTTTGGCGGTCTTTCGATACACGCCCCCAGTCTCCAAAGTCGAGCTTCTCCCAGATGAAATGCGCAAGCAGCTCTGAACATCGCCAACCCCCGAAGACTCGATTGAGCAAGACACACGATCGCATGCTGCTAGACGGAAGCCTTCTAGAGTTGCGGAAGAGCGAGATAGGTCCATAGAGAAGCGAAGATCGGAGGGCATGGAGTTTGCAGTCGGACAACTTCGGGGAAGAGCATGGTTTCGAAAGATTGTGAGGCGCGTGTGGGTCGGACGAAAAAGCTCAAGGACTGTGAGCGTCCACAGAATCCCACAGTGTGTCCTTGACAGCAGTCAAAGGCCAGAGATCTTCCAGTTGCCAACCCACAAAGAGACCGCAAACCCTGGCAACGAGCATCTTCTGTGGCAGCTCCGCCGGACTAGGTTTGTGGGTGTACGACCCGACCCTAGTGCCCTGTGGCAGAATCGATGCCGGGAGAGGACCAGGCGCGTCGCAGCAGGAAGACCACATTCCCTGCTCGAGCCTTTCAGAAACATAACTCATTCTGGCCTGTCTCCAAGGCCATGTTCGCATCAGATCGCCAAAGCCCAATTTGACACAGCTTTTCAGTCCGGTCTTGCGATTCCAATCTCTCCTCCGAAGCGTCCGAACCCTCCCAAGCCTCCCGCACGCTGCAGAGCAAGCGAAGCCGCGTTTCCGACGAACGTCTGGTTTTGCGACCCATAACCCTGTTTGACACATCATTCGAGAGTGCGAAGGAGAACCTCATGCTACGAGGCTCTGCAACAGCTAGGCATTGCACGTGCGGATGGACCGCAGCACGGTGGGCTCCTCTACATTATATACGTTCGGTCATTCGCACAATAAGTTCGCTACTTGGCGGACAGTGCGGTGTGGGCACACCAGGAGGTCTTGTGCAATGTCCGAGATGATGAAGCTTTCAACGAGCGTTCGAGCGTTATCTCGAAGCGCCGGACCGGCGGTGAAGCCAGTATGCTGCGTGCGCAAAGAAGCGTACGCAAGGCTTGCTGGTGCAAAACCTACGCTTTTCGGTCCGCGGTAGTTTTGATCCATAGTCCCGGTCCACAGTAGGCCGGCCGCAATGAGGTCCATGTCACATGAGCTCGCTAAACTGCAATGCCTTGACTTACCGACGAAACTACCGTTGTCTGGGCTCAATTGCACATACTGCAAGCAGCGAAGAGCAACGGGTCAGCATATGTCACGCCATGAGCAACTTTGAGGTGGGAGACATACGTAATGAGCGTACGGGCCTTTCCGACCGGTCCGGCTCCTTCTTCACCTGTTAGTGGCATCGTTCGGTTGATTGCGGTTGATTGATCCAATGTCAACTGACCATGCAGCGCTGAAATGGGCCTTTTGTTAAGTTGCATTAGCTTGGCTTGTGGCTGCATACTGCAGGCGGGGGACAATCCGATGCTTGCTTACTCACCTTGTACGGCGTAGGATCTGTCAAGGGGCACATGCGTCAATTCCCTGCAAAACAAATGTGACGATACGGAGCAGACTTGCCTTTGGAGAATCGGATATCCCTGTAGATGCGGAAGATCTGTTCGTCTGTCAATTTGATCTGCAATCTGCAAGTAGGTGGTACAGGAGTATTCGACCCACCACATCCTTGACCGGCAGTTCTGGCACTGAATCGTCGATTTCGGTCAATTTCTCAGTGAGCTTTTCAACAAAGCTAAACCAGTCTTTTTCTGCTTGTCGAAAGTCTGGGTCGTGCACTGGCAGATCGTATTAGCGCAAGCTCCTTCTGTGACTTCCCGAAGTACGATGCGCTGGCATTTAAATGCATATGGTACGTATACAGCTCACATTGACTCCACTTTGGAGTGTGCCGTGACTGCATTCGTGCATGATCACGGCTGATCAAGTGTGCATACCAAGCTGCGGGACGGGAGCTGCCTGCCCTCGCAGGTGACATACGATCTGGCACCTGACGCATGACATAGCTCAGGGCTAGCGCTTAGGGCAGTACGTTCTCAGAGCATGCACCACAGCCAGCTGCTTGCGCGGAGGTGTAGACAGTGGGAACCACTCACTTTTGAGCCATTCCCGGTCATTGTTGCGCTTGAGATCCTTGAGGAACAAAAAGGTGTTGGGATGAATAGCGTCGTCCTGGTATGGTGTATTGCCAGCGGGTCGAGCCCTTGGTTTCTTAATAACGACCTGTGTCCCGGGTCCAAGACCAGCCTTGACTCCTTGCCGCCATAGTTCGCCACCTTTCTTGCCAGTGACAGTTGCAGATGCTTTCGACTTGGAGCCCGTTCCTTTGCTGCGCTTCTTTGGTGCTTCGTCACTGGCGCTGTCGTAGTCGTTTTCGTCGTCTTGATCTTCGGAGGCGGACTGCTGATCGCTCTGACCAAATTCAGAGGCCACATCCTCGTCCTCGCTTGATAGAGGCTCTTCAAGACCACTCTCTTCGTTCCCCGTGGATGCTTCATCGCCAGTGCCACCCGCGGCAAAGTACTGGCTTTTGGTGGGAGTCGCTTTCGTCCTCTTGGAGCCCACTTCCGTCGGCAAGGTGCTAGAAGCAGCGCGCTTGTGTTTTGAGGTTGCCGCGGAGCCTGACGATATTCTCTGCGATTTTCGAGGCATGATGATTGGAAGCCAACGTAAGACAGTAAGTCCAGCGCTTTTGTGAGCGATAAGTGTTCTCCTGGTGGCAAGACTGTCCTTCAAGATGGGCGTTCCAGATGATGGCGCAATGGGCCTGGCTTCCAACACTCAATTTTGCTCTCCCGCTTTCGAATCTTCCGGTTTCCTTCCAAGAGATGTTCTCGAAGTCGCTCACGGCACCCAAGCACATGAACTCATCGTGGTAGCCGCCGGGGGTCAAGACTGGCGCGTGTCTCGCGCCTGCCGGTCCGCGCCGTGCGCTTAAAGCAGCGCTTGTTTGGAGATCTCCCGACATGAGATTGACGACGATTCTTCAATACCTTGACTTGATGCTGATGACAGGTTAGGAAGTATGCTCCCATAGCACGAGAGATGCAAGCTCGCTTTCAAGCCAAGAAGAAAGACATCCTGGGTCGGCTTGCGGTCCCAGCTGGCGAATACACGGATCTGTCACCAAAAGGCTCAGTCGATGGACCAGTCCGGGAGCTCGTGGACGACATCAACAGGACCGCCGAGTATGTGACGACGAGCAGCTGCTCTGGCCGTGTGGTAGTCTATCTCGAAGGCCCGCCTCGATCTACAGCGTCCGATCTTGACGAACGGGAAGGCGAGTCCGGCAACGAGGTCAATGGCGTCTCAACGGCTTCTACGAGCGCGGGCGGGAAGGGCGGTGGCAGATGGCTGTTCACCTCTCACGTCCCGATTGATCTCAAAGGACTCGGTGAACAGGGTCAGGTCCAAACTCTGCTTGGCCTCGAGCCCACGAAAATGCTCTCATTCCCGCCCGAGGAAGGGCAGTGCCAACGTGTGCATCTGAAGTTCGAGCCGATGATCCTCCACATTCTCACTTCTTCCCACGCAGAAGCACAAACTGCATTGACGGCGGCGGTGACCTCAGGCTTCCGCGAGAGCGGTATAAGCGGCCTCACTGACACTAAGGGCCAGCCTACTCTACCCATGGTGGCGGTCAGGACTTCTGGTTTGGCTTTCGACACGACCGTTGGGTTCCTATCAGACGGAAAAGTCCTTCTTATGGTGCCTGAAACGTACCTGTACAATCAACTCAAATGGGCCAACTACCACTTTCAAATGAACGAAGAACGCAAAGCTCGATTCCGACATAACTTTCTCGCCGCCACCTCCACAACGAGCAAATCTACAACGACCCAGGGTGAGCGCAAATCCAAACCTCTGTCTGAGAAGCAACGCAGGAAAGAAGCTCGTAAAGAAGCATCACGCAAGTCCTTTGAGCGGGTCCGTCAGGAACCTCCTGACATCCAAATCTGTGATGAAACAGATGACGAGGATGGACCAGAGGCTGATCTTCGTAACTTGATGGGCGGGTGAGAGACATGGAGGCCGAACGAAACGGGTTTGAACCAATGCGGTCACGAACAATCCTCTTTTCGAATGGACGTTCGAAAGATGAAAAGCATGAGCCCATGACTATCCAACAAAAAGATGACAACACCGCTGCCGCCTTGCGGCAACGCCATGTCAGATGAAGGGTTACCAGCGGCATCTGGACGGTGAGCTGTAGTACTGCTGTCACGGAATGAAAGCGGCGGGCCGAAGAATTGTCCACAGCAGCCGGAGCTCAAGACCAAGAATGAACGGCGTGATCAGAACATTATCGTTCAAAAGCTATCGTACAATCATGCAACTCATTCGCTTCTCTAATCACACACTGGCTGTTCAGAAGCCTTCAATGCATTTCCTGCCCATCAGAGTAATCCTTCCTGAACGCCCAGCGATTCCATGCTTTCCCTTTGTGACACAGTGCATCAGTACGTCCCACATATAGCTACGAGCGAGAACTCCGGGTCCGATATCTGGGCTCATCGCTGCCGTTGAGACTAGACGAGGATGTTGCAGCGGTGTCTCGAGGATGCTCGGCCTCCGCAGCTTTCTGCTCCTCTGGATTGTCCGTTCCTGCGCGCTTGCCGGAAGGCTTGAACCGTGATACTTCGATCGAAAACACGATCCCGTCCTCGCGGTGCTTCTCCGTGGCGTTTTTTGCTTCGCCTTCCTCAGTGGTCTTGCCGGGTTTCGTCGCATCTTTCTCGTCCTCGGCTTTCGTGGCCTTGTCTCTGCTGTCATTGTCGGTGTCGTTCGATGACCAGATGTCGCTCCATAGCCGTTCGAACAGTCCCTTCTGGTCCTTCTGCGCCTTGTCGCCTTCGCCATTCTTCTTGGAGTCTTCGTCACCCTCGTCCAGCTGTTCGCCGGTGATGGCTTCGGTGAACTCCCACATCTCCTTCAGCTCTCTCCTCACCAGACCCGTGCCCCATAAGCTGATGAGCACGCCTGGAACGAGGTACAGCAATGCAGGCTGAGCATGCTGGAAGACGCTCATCACAGCTAATGTAGTGAGCATGCCAATCACATAGCCCACCATTGCGGCTGTGAAATATGGCTTCGGAAATGACGTTCGAAGCCGCGGTGGTAAGGCTGACTTTGGGAGCGTCCAAGTCCAGAAGCGGTCACCCCAACGCCCTGTAGCAGAGACGTAGGGTGCTTTGTCCACGGCCTCCTCTATGGCGTTCTTGTCTGCAGAGTCTGCAGTAACCTTCTGGGTCCTTGATTGCTTCCTAAGGTAGAAGAGGTAGAGGTCGAATCGGAGAGCAAGGCCAATCATGATGCCGGGCAGAACAATGTCACCAAGCCCAAGCATGCTGTAACTCCTCACTGGCGGTTCGTCTGGTGTCTTGCCAGGCTCATCTGGTCGCGGGAAGACGAGTTTTATCGGTTGGTCAAGGTTCTTTGCCACGGAGACCATCAACGGCGTGAAGAACACGGCCCAGATGTCATAGCAAAACAGAGCACCGAGAATGAGGCTACCTGTGGCGAACGTGGTAGGTGACATCAGTTGCAATGCCGAGTATGAGACTGCAAAACCCTGGAGGTTGGTCAAGAACCACGGCTTCGAAATCGTGTTGACGTAGATGATGGTACCAAGTCCAAGGGCAGCCGAAACGACGTTGACAACAGTGACTTTGAGACGTAGATCAATGATAGTGTCGATGTAAGCTTTCAAAGTATACTTCTGCTTGACAAGGCGACGAAGTGACCATAATGCGGTCTTCAGCCTCGCGGGCAGTGGAACAGCGTTCAGATACGCTGGCAGAGGTGTGTCTTTCGCCTCCTTCTCGTCCTGGCGTACAGCTCTACCCTCAGCATTCTTGACCGTCCACAGCGTCCGGGAAGAAGCGTAGTAGTTCGGAAAGAGAAAGCCAATAGCAAAGTTGAGCCCGTCGTTGATGAGTTGCGCGACGCTGTACACCCCTACGCTAGAGAAGTACCAGCCCAGTATGAGATTGATCAGGTCGGCGCCGTACCACTTGATGAGGAAGTACAGTCCAGTGAGCACGATCCCAGCGGTGACTGGGAGAACAATGGCGTCCTTGTTGCTCAGCCCTTCCATCTGCTGGACCTTCTCTTCGTCCTCGTCCTCCTCATCTTCAGCGGCTTTTCTCTTCTTCTTGTCCGGCTTCGCTGCGGATGATGGTCGAGAGAGCGAGGCATGTGCGCCAGTGTAGATTGGAAATAAGGCGGAGAGGATGAGGTGGATGTACATCGGGATCAGCGGTCGAGCATCCTGGGCGGCGGCGCAGGCTTGGCTCAGTAGGTCCTCGAACATGGAAGAGGGCGCCATGTCGAGTAGCCTCTTGTTGGTGTGAATATGGCACTATCGCGTGCTGCGCAAGGCCATGTTGGTTCTTTGAATGGCGTTCGGGAGAAGACCAGTTGTTCGCTGCATGCATGTGATTCTCGCTAGCGTGTTTGGACGTCGCTATTTCGGGAAAGGTGGACTTCGTCGTCACTTCAGCTTTGTCTAAGGTATATCACCTCTCATCCTCACAAGTCATATGGTACCCACGGCGAATACACAAGGCTTCGGTGAATGGTTGTGCGCTCCTGTACAGATGATTTTGGCTTTGAATTCTGCAATAAGGGCGATGCTAGTCTTTGCGATGGCTGCGCGGTGGAACACGAAGCAACACGTTTGTGTCAGACTCACAGCTGTGCTATTGCTTTGAATGCTATGAAATGGTGAGACCGCTCATGTTTTGTTCCCATCCAGCCAGTTTGGCCAGTGGCATCATGGTTCCTTCAAGTGCTGGACTCATGATTGTCGAGCGCCTCCTTCAGATCGCCCTGCTCTACCTGCAAAGGCTCTCCCTCTTTCCCCTGCCCTTCTCCAGCCGCGTCGGACCACTTCTGGATCTCCGCCATGGCAGCCCCAACCACAGCAGGAACTTGAATGAAAGAATTGACGACAGCAGGACCATAGCCCGCCATGCGAGCGCTCTGCAGCACGCGGAACCCCGTCGTAGCTCCATTCGCGGATTGGTGAGCAGCAGCGAGCGATCCTGTGATCTTATCAGCCTGCCCTTTACATCTCAAGTCGAGATTAAGTCCGGATCCTATCCACCAGCGACAGGCCCTAACCCGCCAAAGCCGAGCAACGTCAAGAAAGGGATGACGACGAGGAACGGGCAGAAAGCAATGAGAATGGAGAGGAGCACGAAGGCTGTGAGCTTCGGATGCTCTTCGAGACGCTTGCGTGCTTGTTCTGAGATGTTCTGCCATCTCAGATTCTGGAGGCCGACGACTGCGTGGCCGAAACGTGCCTTTGCGTCTTCGAGGGTGTCTTTGGCCTTGTCCATGGCGAGAAGGCTGCTGTCAGCAGGTCTGGAATACTGTGCGTTGTCGGGAAGAGTTCGGTGCAGTGGAGTCCAGTGAGTGATAGAATATTCGATTGAGCTGTGTTTCATGTGATCGCGCTAATGAAGTCATAGATTGCCACATGACAGCCATTCCGTCTTCCTCATTCGCCAGGCAATCAACGAAGCTAGTCCATGTCAATGCCGAGGTCTGGATACTCCTTCCTTATTCAGAATGACTTCACTTCATTCTGGCTACAGACACGCATGCCCTGCATGCCGCTTGTCACCCTCATGCCGCTCCCCCCAAGAAGGCCGATCCTCCGGCACTAACAGCACCCACGTTGGCCATGAACAGGAGAGTCCCGTTCAGCGTGTAGGTATATGACCTGTGCCACCCATTGCGGCGCTCTGCATTCGTCTAAACAGCCACGGAGTTCCCCACCTCGCTGGGAACGATGCTGCCAACCCTCCTATCTTACGCATTAGTTGGGCTGAAGGAGGGAGGCGAGCGGGCAGACAGAAAAGCCTCCTTACCTTCCGTAGGACCAGCTGCGCGGAATCCCAGGATTCCCAAGAGCGGTGTGGAGGGCGAGACGGAACTGAAGGTGAGGACGGCGGCGATGCCTAGAGATGTCTCTGCGACCTCTGTCAGTATTTGAATATCGCAATGGCGGTTGCAGCGTCTTACTGAAGCGAAGACTGGTCATTGCCGCGTCTTCTGGGATATTTGAGGTTGATGGTAATCGGGTGAAAGACGGGTATTGTCGACGAAAGGATGGGAAGTGAAGCTCAGACGAGCATGTGCATGTGTGCGCAACAAGGTGTCAGTGCCCGCGGTGACACGATGCCATAAGTATTGTGTAAGATGTGCTGGTCATTTGAATTTAATTCCTGTAGCTGTAACTCACCTGTCACAGCATCGCTATCCCGTTGCGGAACGTACGAAGATCACGGGTCTGGTTCTGCATGCACATACGCCACTCTGTCCATCGAGCCAATGCTTAAAGCAGTGACAGAAATCACAAAGTAAAGTCACCTCACTCAACAATCCGTGTCGTCCACGCTCCCAACTCCTCATCCGAGCACACCTTCTCCATATCCTCCATACTCAACCCAAGGGAGACCTCCCAGTCCGCCGTACCCTTCGAACCACCCTTCCGTGGCAAGATATTGTACGCCCCTTCATTCGGCGACCAGGTCTTCCTCCAGAACTGCACAGTCTTCGTCCCGATGCCCGGAATGCCAAATTCGATGTCGGCACCTTGTTCGCGCCACGAGCTGAAGTCCAGCCCAGTGTGAGAGTTGTCGATGGCTGCAGTGTAGGCGCGACAGGGTTCAGTCGGATCGGAGAGCGCAGAGAAGGTCTTGAGGCGCTCACTGACGTACTCTGAATTGACTTTTGAAACGGCTTGGCGCATGCGGGAGGCCGCGAGTGCCATGGTAGCGACAGAGATGGGCTTGAGAGAGTGAGCAGCATCGGCGTCGGCGTCCAATAGCTCGTACACTTTTGCTGTCGCATTCGTGTGCACCACAGCGTCTCCGAAGTAGTCTTCTGGCAGCTTCGGAGTCATGACGCTGCGAGCGTTGATGGCAATGCCGATCTTGGTCGTTGCGAATGGAGGTAGACGATTGCGACGAGCTCTGACCACCGCAATCCAGATCAATCCAGATAGGCATGCGATGTTCGAGACGAAGCTAGGAGCATCCGGCATCGTCTTGAGCTCGGCCTTGATGTTCGCCTCGAGCTTCTGCATTGTGGCCGCGGAGAATGTAAGGATGCGAGTGGTGATCTCTTTATAGGCGGCATGGTGGACAGGGACGGATCTGCTGTCGTACTCCGGGAACGATTGTAGCTCGCGCACGTCTGCTCCGATGTGGCTGGTATAGCAGACTCTCGGCTCGACTGGCATCACCATCGCGGAGTCATGTCTGATCGCATGCCTCGTGGCGTCCGCGAAGGCCCTGATGAACGTGATGAACGAGCCACCGTCGGCGACCGCGTGATGGAAGGCGAAGCAGATGATAAGTCCGCCCTCGATGAAGTTGGCCTGGATCGCAAGGGCAGGGTACGGCTGTCCAGGCGCCGGCCACTCAGGCACTGATGTCAGCACATCCTTGTTCATGGCGCTTAGGGGCATGCCCGCCTCCGCCAGCTGATCGTAAGCCCACGGAAACTCTGGTGCTGACAGGTTTCGAACGGTGAAGACATGCTCGCCGATGCCGCCGATCAGTGGTGGGTCATACTCCAACTTGACGGCGTGCTTCTGAGGGGCATCATCATCAGGAGAGACCGTGCCGGCGATGAAGGGCCACTTCAAGATGGTCGCAGAGAGCGCTTGCTGAAGGCTTTCGACTGCTGCGTCCTGGAGGGAGGCGTCCGGGAATGGAAAGCAGAATAGCTTGTGGACGAAGAGGCGCGCGATGGTTTGGTCGAAGGGTGAGAGCTCCAACTTCTCCATGAAGGTTCGGCAGGCTGGCGAGAGCATCGGCATGGTGGGTGGTTGTAAAAGGTGTCTGTGAGGCGGTCTCGGTATAGACGGAGTGTCTAAGAAGCTTTATACTTTTCACCTCTGGGATTCAGGGTGGAGCGCGGTTTTGAGCGCGTGAGGTTGCAGGTAGCAAGCGGAACATGACGTTGTATGGTAAGAGGTAAGCAAGCGGACGTATCATCCACGAGGAGTTGGTGTTTGTTCGTGCTGGTGTGCCAAGTTGGTCGGTGGTGGTCGATGGTGTGGTGTGTCGTGGTCGGAGAAAAGGTGGGAGTTGGAAATATATTTGAGTTGTGCGCACTGACAAAATCTGGCTCGCGGTAGCCTAGCATGTGACTGGACCCTGTGAATGTGAGGAAAGAGCCACGCGCAGATCTCACAGCCTCCCGCACCGCCCGCCTTCTGTGCAACCACATTCACTCTGGAAGTTGGTCAGACTCTTGGGGATGACATAGTCATATTGGCAGATGTGGTTCGGAAACGAGGCGATTGCTTATTCGGAGCAAGGCGATTGAATATCTGTACTTTCCAACCCAGCTGACAACCCCTAGCCAATCCGGCTTCACTCCCCTCGCTAATGGTCAAACAGTCGGGCAATCAGCTCCAAGTATTCGTCGCCGTCGTCGTTGAGGAACGAAACGCGATGACGCAGCTGGTAGTCGGCATGCTTGGGCTCGATGGCTCCTCCCATCTTGCGGATGACAGCACTTCGCCGTAGATGCATCAGATCCTGTGAAAGGTCAGCTGGAGAAAAACGTCGAGACTGCTGTCGACGGAACATGTGTCATACATTAGGATACATATCGTCGAAGGCGAGGTTGTCATCAATGAAGCAGAAGTCTTGAAGAAGCCGCCGGTTCTCTGAGCCGATGCGATCCAGCCACTTGATAGCGAAGTCTACGTCGGTGTTGAAGCAATAATGTGCTCTGAATACGTTGCGCTCGTAGAACATCGGGAGAGTAACGGCTCGGAGGAATCTAGAGGCTCGAGTGAGTCCTGGTTGTTGCGGCTGCTGCTTGGTTCCATTGCTCCAAAGACTCTGGTCTTCCAGCCAGTCTTCTTCGCAGTCGTACGTGCTGTCGCACGGGCAGTTCAGGAGAAGAGGCGTGTCGTCCACAACGGCAAACTCGTAGATGATCAGTTGGATCTCGACAGGTAGCCTCAGGAGAGGCGATTGTTGTCGGACAATCATGCTTGCGGCGGTAGTAGCCTGCGTATTTCGAATGCTCGTAGGTGTCGAGGATACGTTCTGAGGTAGGTTTTGAGGCCATGGTTGTGGAACGTTGAGCTATGTTGTATTTATCCTCCTCCTCATGCTTGGAAGATTGACTCATGGAGGCTGTACCAAGGCATCAGCCTCCTCGACCAACAGCGGCACAGTCCATGTGCTGCACCGTTGCCTACCTAGCGGGCGGCCTGTGGCTGAAGTCTGCGGCGATGCCAGCTGAGTACGAGAGTAGGAGTTGGAGTCATACGGTGTTCAGAGACTGAAGCAAAGTCGAGCGAAGGGGCTGGGAGGTCGAGGTGGAAGCTCGGTGGCGTCAGCGCATTGACAACACTGCATGGAGCAGCGACAACGTCCAAGCGTACACTCCATTTTGTACAACGAACAATATCCCGTCTTTCACAGACCAAGATGGCTCAATCGAATAAGCGCATCACCCGGAATCGCCAATCGCTGGCCTGTGCCGAATGCAGGTTTGCTCGCTCGGCTGCTCAGCTAGATTCCGTGGTCGACTAACACTTCATCAGACGACGCAAGCTGAAATGTGATCGAAACCATCCTTGCGAGAGCTGCGTCAGGCGTGGAGATGGGACGCCTTGTGTCTACCAACACCATGCCAATGGCTCCGGCGGCGAACGTGAACGTGGTCAAAGGTCCTTTACCGAAGCCCGACTACAGCATCTCGAACAGCTTGTCCTAGGTCTCGCTGAGGGCAGGACCAGCAATGGCACCGGCTCGTCCTTCGTCAACTCGGAGACCGTGGCGGAAAGCGGTTCTTCTTGCACTCCATCTTCCAGAGACCTTTCATACCTAGGCTCGACACACTGGTCTGCTATGCTAGACGGCATCGAACAGCTAAGGGAGGCGATCCATGCCAATGAGGATGCTCACATAGAGTCTCACGACCTCATAAACGGCTATGATATCATGTTCGGTGCTGTTCCAACCTTAACTTATCAGCAAGTACTGGCCCAGTATCTGCCTCCGCGAGCAGAAGTCGATCGTCACATCGCTGTGTACTTCCGGTCTAAGGCCATGAGAGCACCTTTCTTGCACGCCTCTCAATTCTCCCGTCTTTACAATGAGTTCTGGGAAGCACCCCATGCTGCCTCACCTCTCTGGGTTTCTATTTTGTTCTCGATATGCCACGTCTCGGACAACCTCATTGTATCCAAAGCACAGCCCGAGACATCCGCCAACAACCACTTCGCTCAAGCAGCTGCACACTGCTTGGTAGCTGGACGGTACAACCAACCAAAACGCTTTGCTATCGAGGCTTTGCTGCTGTACATACAAGCCGAGCTGCTGACCTCTCTCGAGGTGGCGAACGACATCAGCACCTTGTTAGCGCTGTCGGTACGTCTTGCGACCAAGGCCGGCTACCACAAAGACCCAGAGAACTTCAGATGTTCCCCGTTCGAGAAGGAGATGCGTCGCCGGACGTGGTCCTTGGCCATGCAATTGGATTTACTTATCTCCTTCCAGTGTGGAACACCTTCTGCTGTCCAATATCCCACTTGGAACACTCTGCCTCCCACAAACCTTATGGACAGTGACTTTGATGAAGAATCCACAGTACTGCCACCCGCTCGGTCTGATTCGACTGACACCGACATACTGTTCTACATCTCCAAGCATAAACTGATGGCCGTGTTCGAGAAAATCCTGAGGCACGCACTAGGCCCGCTCGACAATGAAGGCAACGTTGTTCAAGCACTGGACAGCGAACTCAGAGATACATACAACGCCCTACCCGATATGCTCCGCCCGCGATCGATGGCTGACTCCATACTCGACCCACCTGCCAACATCGTCACCCGACTGTGCGTCTTCGCCATCTGCGCCAAGAGCCTCTGTGTCCTGCACCGTCCCTATGCGGTGAAAGGTCGACCAGCCAGCGTCAAAACCTGCTACGAAGCATCATCAGAACTCATAGGGCACTTCTGCGACGCCTACGCCACGTTCCAACCTGGGCAGCAGAATGAATCCGAGCTCTGGTTCATGGGCAGCATCACGTGGTACGATTTTCTCACTGCGACCATGGTGCTTTGTCTTGTACTTTGCATCACGAGCGAGAACCTCGTGGGGGTGCAAATTGACAGAGAAGAGTCGATGGCGCTGCTGCGAAGGGTGCATGCGTGCGTACAGAAGGGCACCAGGAGTAAAGACACAAGGCGTGTGATCAGGCTGCTCGAATATGTCTTTGCGCGCTTTGGGAACGATGCCACGGGACCCCATCAATCAACAGCGTCGAACGGCGTGGATGGCAAGAGCTACGCTACTACGCTCGGTATCCCCGGCTTGAGTTCTGGTTTCCCGTCAGCAGCACCCTTTCTGGATATGCCAGGATCTCACGAGGGCGTGGCTTCCTCTGATGGTGCGTGGCAGTTTGATGATGTTCAAGATCGGGCCTTTGACGATCCATCGTGGACTTTTCTGGAAGAATTCTTGCAGCTACCAGACGATGACTTCTCGCTCGCTCAGTGACGTCGGAGTCTGGATCAAAGTCAGTCGAGTTGATCGATAGCATGTGCGTCTTTGCAGGATCGTTCTGTCAATGCCTTTCGATATTGCTTGTCCGCAGTCTGCTGAGCTCGATGACTACATCTACATCGTGACCCGTTAGCAAACAACACTGCAAAAGCGTGAATATATGGTTGCGCTCTTTGCATGCTCTCCCTCTATTTCTTCATACCACACCACATCATCCATAGCAAGACCACAAGCTCCGAACTCCACCAGCACTACCAAGCTTCACAAGAGCCCACCACCAAGACGATCTCGACAATCAATACCAATACCATTTCCACAACCACGACAACTTCAACAAAACCTCCACATCATGTGTCGCTGGCAGTGGGCGACCCGATACGGGTGCGGTCATGGTCTCGACGCTTGCGTGCTTGAGCAATGCGCACCAGCGCTGCAGGCCGAGAAGAGGGAGGGGCGAGAGGTCACTTGCCGAAATCCATGGGAAACTTTGTATCTGTACTTCAGTCTGCCCGGCCTGTCAAGTCGCGAGGGCGGATCGGAGAGAGGCCGAGAACCGCAGAAGATGGGGACCAGGGGGTACAGAGACTAAGTGAGGAAGGCTGAAGCCGTTTGACTGTTCGAATGGTCCGGAAATGGGTACTGAGCGGCTCGGACTTCGAGACCTTTGTTGTGTACCACGACGTTGACGACTGGGATGCCTGATCTGCCGGGTGGTGGTAAGGTGCTGGTCGGGTAGATAGCCATGTAGCCTGTTGAGTGTATGTGAATCTTCTCAAGTGAGGTATAAGTGGCGCCCAGATCCATCACCGTGTTCGGGGCGTTTAAGTATCGAGTATAAGTTGAGAGATGGCTTGATTAATTGGCTTCATCGAGAGGCTTTTACGACCATGCTTGTTCGTCCCGAAGTTAGCAACGAGTGCAATCTCGGCCGTTTGTCACCCCAGATAGTTCTGCCCTTGACCTCTTCGTGCCACCTGTACCAACCAGATGGTTGCAAGGCTACACTCATAGCAGTCGCCCGCACAGTCTCCGGTGGATGTAGTGAGGTAGTGTCTTGGTATTACCTGACTACGCCTCGAACAGTCGTCCCGATCTATGAAGATAGGATGACTGCTAGCAGGTTCGTCGTCGAGAAATGTATCATCCGTACCGTGGAGGAGGAGAAAAACGAGAAGTGCCCAGAAATGGTTGGTCTGATCGCGGATTGTCCCTATTTTGGAGACTTCTCGAGTTCCACCTCAGCGCACAATGTCACGCTCACCTCACAAACATCATGTCAATGGAGGGAGCTGGACGCGGTCATCAATCTCGCCCGTCAAGTAACCAATACCGGATGAGGAGTCCCAGGATCCGTGGGTGATCTCGTCTATCAGCACGCACCACCGCGCAGAGATAGGCTTCGCGTTACGCGTGCTCAGGTGAGTACACGATAGTAGATATCTCTCACCCCTCGGTCTTTCTTTCTGCGCATCAAGAGAGTCGTTTCTTCTTTCCGATCTCAAACCTCGCAAGATGACGAAGAGGCCGCTCTCTGCCCTGGAGCAGCAAAACCTTCCCAACGGCCATGCGGTGCCAAAGATGCCGCGATACGACAATGGCTTCCCAGGCCGTGCGATTCCCGGAGAACAGGTCGGCATCATCCTTACGTTCTGAACGGTCCTCCTCAGACTGTGAATTACGCGCCTCCACCAATGCTCCAGTAGATTTGGATTGATGCAGGATACTACGCTGGCTATTACACAAGCGCCGGTCAGCTTGTACTGGCACCCACTCCAATGGCCGCACCGGCCGTGCCACCACCTGCGATGCCGCCAGCAGCTCAACAGCGACTGGCATACCTTGAACAGCAGCTGTGAGAGTCTGAACGACGCGGGGCAGAGCTTCAACAGCAGATGATGCAACCTCATCAAAGACCACCGGCACAGCTTGTCCCTCCGCCAGCCCCCGCACCTGCACCTCAACCAGCCAAAGATCTCAGCAAGTACTCCGGTCTCGCCTGGCACGCCATCAACACGAAATATTCGGACAGCAGAGGTAGCAAGGAGTACGAGAAGGCCATACACGCCATAGAGGATGTTTGCGAGTACGTAGAAGCCATTCGCGAAGCAGCAATGCAATCTGGTGCTGCTTTCAAGATCAAGCAAAGTGCTCTGGAAACACTACGCAAGATTGGGAAGAGCATTTGTCTGTCGGTCGACGTTACTGGATCGGAAGTGCGGAAATGGTTCCAGTCCGAACGCTTTCTAGATGAGGCAATGCTTGAGGTACTAAAGATAATGACAGTGGATGAGGTGTTAGCCGTTGCGCATCATACCGATGAGAAAGGGCAGTTCTTCGACAAGTTGGAGGCGCTGTGAAAGTCGGCTGAAAGCTATTGCATTCTTGAGGGAATCGAAGATGTGTTTGAGTATGTGCACGAACGCGTGGAAGGAGTTGTGCTCGATGATGAAAAGCAGGAGGAGGAAGAGGATGATGAAGACGACGAGAATTAGAGGGATGGCGTTAGGATACCCGTTTGCGCTCTGGTTAGAGTGGCGTATAATCCTGTCATCGATTCCATGTACGCAGAATCAATTCATTGTACGCAGAGCTAGGCCGATAAGTAAGCCTCTTTTGCTGAATCACTGCCTCTTACAGTGACTTTCACATGTCACGGCGGGAAGATGGCGGGAGAGCCGCTGCAGGGATCGACGCTAAGGTACCTCCACTTTCACGCGAACCACGGTTCCTGATCGGCACAACCTTGGAACCGCGTCACTGTCGAGTCTCCAACCACACATTGCCAGAGACAAACCATTGTATTGCTACGCTTTTACCGAGGACTTCGTAGCTTGCGCATGTTGAAGGAGCAACACTCCGCAAGAGCAGCCCAAGACTGCCAAAAACGATGAACAGCCAGCGATAGCACGAGCTTGCCCAGCGCTTGCTCCTCAGGTCAGACGAGATTCCCGTGGACGGCCGACAATTGCGCTCTCGAATCCTTCGAGTATTCGCATATCGCACGTAGTCAACATTGGAGGCGTCGAATCGCGGACAAAACTACCTCTAATATCACAACGACAGCATGGCCTCCCCAAGCCTGGCGAGCATTGGCGCGGAGATCTTGCAAGGCGAAATCAACAACATCATCCACGACATCCTTATCGATCGTCACAGAGACCACAAGCTCATGGTGATGAACCTCGACCCAACCACGAAACTAGCCCACTGCGAACGCTGCAACCTTCCACGTCTCCTCGACCCGCCACTCGCCCCTCAAGTACGAGGAGCTACCTCAGACCCACCGAGCGACACAGTCTACTGCGACAAGAAGCCATGGTGCCGAAAACCGGGCTTCGACATCTACGGCAACCCGTTTCTCAAAGCTGATCTTACGGGACGGCCGCCGAACAAGAAAGAGCGGGAGGCAGCAAAGAACAACAAGAAAGACGGCGGGGACGGCACACCGGCTTCGAACGAGGGAGGCGATGCGAACGGCACGGGACCTCCATCACCATCGGTGGAAGAAGGCGCGAACGCCAAGGCTGACAAGGTCGAGAAGGGTGAGAAGAAGGCGTCGAAGATTGACGAGAAGCTAAAGAAGGGCGAGTATATCCCGTGGCAGACATGTCCGAATTGCAAGCGCAGTCTGCTTATCACGCGGTTTGCGAAGCATTTGGAGCAGTGTATGGGTTTGTCTGGTCGAGCGGCTAGTAGGAATGCTATGGCCAAGATGAACGGCAACACTCCGGCTGGGTCTCGTGGTGGCACGCCGGGGCCCACAGGCAGTCAAGGGGACTCCAAAGGTGGTGATGAGGATGACGACGAAGATGAGAAGATCAAGGGGCCGGGTGGGGTGAGGAAAAAGGTGCTGAAGAAGGGTCTGAACTCGAAGCTCAAGAAGGCAGAGAAGGAGGGCAAAGCCAATAGCAAGGCTACGAAGCCATCTCCGGGTATTGCGGGTGAGAATGGAAAGCGAGACAGGGACGAGATGTCGATCGACGACCCTGACGAGGACGAGAACGTGCACGTGAAGAAGCGGCAAAAGCTACAGCGTGTCGAGAGCACGGCGAGCTTTGCGTCGCAGTCTTCGGTGCAGCCCGGCTGTGCGGTTGAGATGGAAAGGGCTGAGAGCAATGATGGGGATGGTGACGGAAGCTTTGTGGATGACGCTGGGAGCTTTGCAGATGATTGAGATGTTGTGTCGAAGGTAGTCGAACTTTTCAAGCGGAGCAGCGTATTCATGGGACATCCTAGGAAGATAAAGCCATCTGTTCTGCCTCAATATACTGTCGACGTGCTGTTGTCGTAATGAGAAGCAGCTTGGCTCTCTGCAAGCGCAGCCGCGGTCACTCGGTTACGCTTGTCGGCGCCAATGGCAACGGTGATGGCGTCGATTTCAACACAAAATCAACCTCACGCCTTGCCTCGAACCGCATGTTCTGTGATGGCTTTGGGCGTCATGCCCGGGCCGTGTACATGCCTGAACAGATGAATGCACCACACTTCTGCAGTTGCAGTTTAACTTAACGCGAGGGGAACGCCTAAAAAAAGCCTCCGAGCGGCGGATCTTACTCCGTACTGATCTGCGCTCAGCATCGCTGTGCGTCCCTTTGAATCCTTACCGGCAGATCAGTCCCTGCGTGCTGAGCGCGCTTGCTCTTCGTTCTCGAGGTTCGTTCACCTGTGTCATCGTCACCTGGTGATCACACTAGCACGTCCGGAGTGGCCACCGACGTTGCTGCAGCAGAGCTCTTTAGCGGCGAGCAACCAACAACGTTTGCCGGAGACCCTGGTGTTCCTGGGCATCCCCACTGTCTGTATGTATACAAGCCTGCCCGGATGCCGACTTGCCCGCAAGCGTTGAACGAATGGCCCTACCTCAGCCTGGCGTCGATGGGGAGGTGCTTTTGCCATCGGTTTCCCGATGCCCGAGCATCGAATGGCTCCAACGGAAACGTTACCCGAGACCGAAGCTCGGGCACCGGTCCGAACGAGGAGAGTTGAAGGCACAAGGTTCAAACCAATCTCTGGCCCTCTGGAAAGCCCCAAGCTGCACTCACAGTGTGCGGAGAAATTTTTGGTGTGACCACGAAATCGTTGCTCCATATCGCACGGCGTCCGAACCGCCGTCAGCACTCACGTTGGCCAGTCACTGCTCCAGCTGATACAACAAAGGACGGCAACATGGTCGACTTCCGCCACGCCGCAGCATAACGCCTAGAAAAAGGTACGGAGATTCGACACCCCCCACGGTGATGCCGCATGATGTCGTACAGATCTTGTACTACCGACAGCCCCGGACAGCGTCTCCTGCTTTATTACTCCATTTTCCGATTGACACATGGTAAGATGTATCGCAAGAGCATCAAGGGTTCACTGGACCCTGTCATTTTCACCATAGTGAGGGGAGTTGTCTCCGGTTCAAGTATATGTAACTCGCATTGCGTGCGCCTCGACGCTTTCTCCAGTTTCCTTTGGCTATTCTACCCGGACATCCCTAGCCGCCACACAAGCAACCCTCAGCCTTCGTCACAAGGGTAAGCTCGCGTGACCATTAACGCCAAACGAGACTGTGGGAGCAGCACGGTTGACGTAGTTACAGTGATATTATTTGCAATCCTCCAGTCGGGAATGTCTCAGCCATTACCTTCCCGTGAAACAGTGAAAGACGCGCCCACCCTCCACGTTCCTGCCGGTACGGTACCAACTCTCCAGCATCCTTCGGGAGTATGGCCTGAGCAAGTATATGGCTACGACTCCTTCGGTGCTGGGCACGTGTATGGGTATTATAACCGCGTTGCTGTGAATCCAGCCTTCTTTCCGTTTCCTGGTCAGCTCGCTCAAATCCAACCGCGCCAGTTCCAGCATCCTCAGCAAGCGGTACCCTGGATTGACCCAAGATTCAACCCTGGTAGTGGTCGGCCTCATCTGTCCCGACCGTCTGCGCACACACGTAAGATGACTCCAAAGGCTTGATGGGCGCTAGCTAACTTGTTGCTGCGCAGTCCAAGTCAACACTCAAGCGCCGTTGCCAGCTCTAGTCCCGGACGTTCCAAGAGGCCCACCTCGAAAGCCGGTCCAAAGCGGGCATGCAGTATGGATTGGGAATCTACCGGTGAACGCCACCATCCATGATCTTAAGGACTACTGCTCCCGCGGCGCGCCAGGCGAGATCGAAAGCGTCTTCCTCATTTCGAAGAGCAACTGCGCTTTCGCCAATTTCAACAGTCATGCCGCGTGCGAAGCAGCAATGGCAATTTTCCGGAATGTACCCTTCGGTGGCCGACGCCTTGTATGTAGGCTGCGAATGCAGCCCGGGCCGTCTCCGATCTCGTCGCCATCATCGTACTCAGACAACTCGAGAACTTTGACGCCTGAGAGCTCCGGGATGCCGCGCACCCCAACCTCTAATGATCTCAATCATCCTGTCATTGTTGGAGGCGATACGCCCATATCGCCCCAAGCGCTGTCCGACACCAAGACGCCAGTGGAGAAGCAGGATGCTTGCAGCATGCCAGGACTCGTCAAGATTCCAGAGAGGTTCTTCATTATCAAAAGTCTGACTGTCCAAGACTTGATCGCAAGCGTTAACAACGGCTCCTGGGAGGCTCAGGCACATAATGAGGGCACGCTGCAGGAAGCTTTTAACAACTCGGAGAACGTCTACCTCGTCTTTCCAGCCAACAAGAGCGGCGAGTTCTTCGGTCTGGCTCGAATGACTTCGCCCATGCACAACAAGCAACAGGACAAAAAGCCCGCGCCGTCACCGACCGACAGCAGTGGCAAGTCCGTTGAACCGGTATCGATTATGACACCGGCCAACGACACAGTACCCAGCGGAAAGATCTACGACGATTCCGTGCGAGGGACCATCTTCTGGGAGGCCGATCGCACGCCCGTCGTCGACGGGAGCCCCGACGTCGCCTGTCGGGAGGACAGCAACGAGGACGAACAGCGCAAGCAGTTCGGTATCGAATGGCTCTCCACATCACGCGTGCCCTTCTTCCGCACCCGCGGCTTGCGCAACCCGTGGAATGGGTTGAAGGAGGTGAAAATTGCGAGGGACGGGACGGAGTTGGAGCCGAATGTCGGGAGGAATTTGATGCGGCTGTTCTGCTGGACGTAGACGGTACTCAATATTGGGGGGTAATTTGTGTGGTTAGCGCTCTTCCATCAGCAGTGTGTGTATGTGGGTATATAGAGAGGCGGTGTATGACATTGTGCAATTAATGTTCGATGGTTTGACTTTGATTTCTTCACTGAAATGGTTCAGCATCTGGGGGGCGAGTCGTCTGTACCCACCTTCAGCCTCGGCGTCGAACTCACTGCGAACACGACCACTACTGCGATTGATGGCGACTTCTCTGTGGGATCATTGAACACACGACATCCTGGCCAGAACCCTTGTCCGAGTCACGCTTCATTCTCGCGAGATAAAACTGCTGCGAATTAGAGTCCTTCGACTGCTCTACAAGTGGTCTGCATTGGGTACCACAGGCCTGAACGGACATTGTGGAACAATGGCACCAGCACCACGTACCTCGAGCAATGCGGAAGGTGAGACGGATTTGGTAATGAGATTGAAGAAAGACATCTTCGAGCGCAAGTACATGAAGCAGGTGAGTCAATATCTGGCTGAGAGACTGTCTACCACAACAGCTGCGCTTTATACCCCATGCTTCAACAGCTGATCCCTTTCGTGCTCAGCTCGAAAACGACCCAGTCCAGAATGCGAACCTGGCTTGGATGAGGGTCGTCGAGATCATGTCAGTCGAGAAACTCAGCGAGACCACGGCTCGAGCGGTATTTCGTTTACCGGTGCAGCGCGAGTATTTAAACCCGGCGCAGGGACTGCATGGTGGGATGGCTGCTGCTATGTTCGACACCATGACCACGTGGACGCTGTATCCGATAAGGAAGCCGGGGTTCTGGATGCTCTTTGGCACCACGAGGACTTTGAACCTGACGTATCTGCGGCCGGCGCCAGAGGGCGAGATGATGCTGATGGAGTGTGAGGTGAGGTGCACACGTGCTGCTGATCGATGTGGCCTTGTTGACTGTCCGTTAGGTGGTACATGCTGGGAAGCGATTGTGTCTGATCAAGGGCACTTTGAGGAGAGAGCGGGACGGAGCCATCATCTCGACCTGCGAGCACCAGAAATACAACAATGATCCTGAGGTCGCGAAGGCGTAGGCTGTTGGCCACAATCATCCTGCTCGATGAATGTGTAGAGACCACAGCTCAAGATGGCGTTGCTTCTCAAAAGTCCGTCACTCGTCCATTGTAGCTCCAGTCGCCCTTCCATCGTAGCGGATCGTTCTTCGGTCCTCCCACTTCTCCCGTCTTCGGGTTCGTATCACCCTCGAACTCAGGCTTGGCTCCTCTGCGAACATTCGGATGTAGCTCTTCTCCATCACCCTTCGCCACTACTCTTGCCCTCTCCCGTAGTTGCGCAAGCATGCGGTTGGCCGCATCTGACCTCTGCCCGCCTTGCGCATCCAGCGGCTCGTCACCAGCAGCCTTCATATCTGCCTCTGACTCCACGTCCTTGGGGGTGCTGAAGGCGCCTGTGGACTGGCGTTGGAGCTTCTCAAATAGCTCTTGTTCTTCCTTTGGTAGTCGAGGAGGCGAAGGTCCTGGGGTCCATTGCGATCTGGCTGAAGCTGCGGCGGAGAATGGTCGACGGAAGTAGGCTGGTCGGATTGTTCGTGAGGCTCTGCTGATGTGCTGCATGGTTGATCAACGCTGTAGTGTTACGATTGCTCGAGGAGGGTTTGTTGTAGCGAGATGTCAACATCACCACTTTATAAGAGGCGTTTGAGTGGCGTTATTGAGCGCCGATGTCGGCGTGGGTGGCTGACGCTGGCGATTGCTGCATGTAGACCACAACATCGACCTCACTTCTTCGTCCCACCTACCTCAACACTCCTACCTAGCGGTAATAGTACACCGGAGTTACTGGTCGGGGCTCCACTGACAGTTAGCAAAACTACCGACGGTATGCAGACGGCGGGACTCCAGGCCCTGCCGTGGCTGTAAGGCTCTTCAGTCTGCGATTCCGCCTCATCTCCCTCTATTCGATCAGAGAGCTTTTCCCCGCTGTCTCATAGGCTGGAGTCGAATTCCAATATCACCATCTTCTCCTAAAGCCTGGTATGACCTGGAAATAAGGCGGCGAAAATGCTGCCATTTATCCGTCCACCTGCCAGGAACAGGTAAGGACACCCCGCAGGAGGAGATCCTCCAGCATCACCACCACTTGAGCCTCTCGGCGATATCCCTTTTGATCATCGTGTCCTACGTCTTCTCCAACGGTTCAAAAGCCCCGCTCGATACTGTCGATCAGGTAGCCTAACAAAAGGCATGAAGGACTTGGGGTAGGCACATATATTCCTCTCATCTCCACTCAATCTCTAGTCATTTTGGAATTGACGATCAAAATGTTGTCGGCGGCGGTAATTGCGAGTGTCGCTTCATTAGCTGTAGCACGTCAGGTTAATGTGTCTGTTGATGCACCAAAAGTTATCGGCAATCTGCCTTCTTTTGCTCGATTCTTCGGTGCAGACGAGGCCAACCAAGGTATCTCTTCGACCGCTCAACACTCGAGGTGGTATGTGAACATACTACTTACTGCTGTCTAGCGATATTCCCGGATGGCGAGTCCTTGATCCAGGACCTTGGAAACTTAGGTCCCCATCAGACATACTTCCGAGCGCATAACCTGTTGACAACCTGTGACCCTCCCGACAACGTGGACCCCAAGCGGTTGAAATGGGGATGCACAAATGTGAGCTAGTTGCAAGCTGTCAAGAACAATGGAACGATGCTTACACGATGATCTCAGGCTTACACGGAAGATGACGATGGAAATCCCGTCTACAACTGGGCCATTATCGACGAGATCTTTGACACATATCTCGCAAACAACGTTAAGCCATATGTCCAGGCTTCTTTCATGCCCAAGGCTCTAGCGACAGACCCAGAGCCATACACATTTTACTTTGACGCGGACTCCGACTACAACGAGATCTATGTTGGATGGAGCCATCCGCCAACCAATTGGTCGAAATGGGGCGAGTTGATATACCAGTGGACCAAGCACTGTGTTGAGCGTTACGGTCAGGTGGAAGTTGAGACTTGGTATTGGGAGGTATTTCTTTGCCACAGACAGCTATTATACTTTGGACGTCTGCTAACATGGTTCATCTCCAGATCTGGAACGAGCCAAATATCCCTTACTGGAACGGCACCCAGACTCAGTACTTCACTCTCTATGACTACGCAGTCGACGGCATCCTGAGAGCGTTGCCTACTGCAACGGTTGGTGGACCTGAAGTCGCAGGCGGACCAGACGGAGACTGGCTTGGCCTCTTCCTGGACCATACCATCAATGGTCAAAACAACGCCACTGGCGGGAAAGGAGCGCCCCTCGACTTCATTTCGTTTCACGCCAAAGGCAGCCCGACATATGTCAACGCTACAGACAGTGTTCCCGGTCACTTGCAAATGAATATGAGCGCCGAGCTCATCAACGTGGTCGATGCATTCACCGTTATCCGCAACTATTCCACTCTCAACAGTCTACCCATCTTCATTGGCGAAGACGATCCAGACTCCTGCGCCGCCTGCATCTCGCCAGAAGTTGACTACCGTAACGGCCTCATCTATCCTTCATACACAGCAGCTGTGTTTGCTCGACAGATCGATCTTGCCGTCAAATACTCGGTCAACCTTCAAGGCACGCTCACATGGGCCTTCCAGTTCGAGGACCACCCATACTTTGACAACTTCCGAGTTCTGTCTACCAGAGGCATCGACAAGCCTATCCTCAACATCTTTAGAATGTTCGGCAAGATGCAGGACAAGCGTCTACAAGCCTCCAGCACCGGTCAATACCCGCTGCAGTCGGTTGTGCAAGGCAGCATCCGCGGAGAGTCGGATGTCGGCGTGCTCGCTTCGGCAGACGAAGAAGGCGATACCATGGCGGTGATGGTGTGGAACTACCACGACAACGGACTGCCGAAACAGGATGCGCAGATCCACTTCAACGTGACGGATGCGTTTCCGGGTTGCAGCGAAGTCGCCACGACGCATTATAGGATTGATCAGAGCCATTCGAATGCGTATTCGACGTGGTTGGCTATGGGGTCTCCGCAGGATCCCACGAAGGCGCAGTATGCGCAGCTGAAAGCGGCTGGTCTGTTGCAGATGTTGCATGAGCCGACCACGGTGAAATCTGAGGGTGGCAAATTTGGGATCCAGTTCGACTTGCCTATTCATGCTATCTCCTTGCTGGTCCTGGAGGGACAGAAGGGCAAGTGAGAGCCAGGTCAGCTGCGATTTCAAATGACATACGATCTGTCAAGCAGTCACGCCTTGCTACGCTACACTGCGCAGAAGCCAAGCGACGTACAATCATTCGTTCTCCAACCGCTCAATCTCCGCCCTGACCCTTTCCGTTTCTCCGAGAATCTCAGCGTACTCCTTCGCCATTCCCTCCATGCCCCTCGCCTTCCTGTACTCTTCCAGCCTCTCCTCCGCTTCCCGCACTTTCCCCTTCACCGCCTTCGTCTCCTTCTCCAGACTGGCAGCACGTCCTTTCAGCGCCTCCTGCACTTCCTCCGAATAGATCGGCGACACCAACTGCCCATGCTGCAATTCCAACTTCTTACTCATGCCCTCCGCCACCAACGCCAAGCACTCAGCTTTCGCTTTCGTCCCGCGCGCTACAGCGCCATGGATCGTTTGCTCCAGGATGCGGATACTGGCCTCCATGATTCTGCGGTAGGTCGAGTGGAGCGCTGAGACTTCTTGAGCGAGAGCAAGGCGGGTCGAGGCGGCTTTGGAGCGGGCGTCTGATGTTGACGTTCTTAGGTCCGTGATAGCTTGCGGTAGAGTCTCCAGAGTGAGCGACTTGTCGAGATCCAGCATACCGACCAGCAGATCCGCATCTTCGCGTTGTGTTTTCGAGAGGGCGGCGGTGATGGCCTTGATGTTACTCTGACCTCTTTTTCAGCTTGTATCCGTATTGCTGAAGGGACCGGCCTACCTTGAACTTGGCAACATCATCATGAAGCAACAGTAGATCCTCTTCCGCTACCTGGCCTTCCAGGACAGCAGCCACGGTAGCCACTAGATCTTGTAGCTGCTCAAAGTCAATGATTATAGACGTCACGTGATGACTGTCTACTCACTTCTTCTGGCAACGCGGCGGGTGTGTATGCCAGATCGTGAAGTCCACGAGTGATGAAGTCTCTTCTGGCGGACTCAACGCGTGCTTTGTGAAGTTCCTGGTGCAGCAGTCAGCGCTGGCTCGTTGACAATGTCGACTTCGTGCTGCCTCCTGTCATGGTTCCAGAAGACTGGAACATGAGTCTTTCACCAGTGCGAAACACGAAAAGGAGGCTTTCCTTTTGAAGCACTTGTACGTACCTCGTTCAACGTCTCGCGCTCCTTCTGCGCCTTGCCGTCCACCACGGATGTTCCATTTGCGCCGAGCTTGTTGGAGCAGAGATCACGGTACAAAGCGTCAAACTTCGGGTTCGCAGACGCGACCTCTGGCTCAATGGGAGGAAGCATGTTGTAATTGAAGGGGAAGAGATCGTTGGCAAAGGTGTGGACATCAAGACAAGCGCCGGGCTGATTGGGGTGGTTGATTGGGAAGCAAGTAAGATACATCCACTTCGCTAGAACCACTGGATACATACCTATGCTACTATTGACCAGCTATAGATGCATTCTGAGCACTTCATTGAAACAGGGAAACTGTTGTATAGGTTTCGAATGACTGTGATTTTCTGTATGCTACATGAAACTTAAGAGGGGTCCCCGTTCCCGGGAGAAGTGAAGTGCTTTGAGAACACCACCGCTGTGAAACGTAGAACACGGTCAACCTCGCTGGAAAAGGCCACCTTGACTCCGTCCATCGAGGAGAGCAGCCCACGAACAGCTCAAGCGTGTCCACACTACCCAAGCTTGACCGAAAGACGAGATCGGAGCCAACATTCAAGACTGAAGATACTCGCAAGAACTGTCGGAGCGAGCCACAACTTCCAGAACGATCCATTTCACCAGACCTAAACCGGGTCATGAAGCGAGCGCAACAGTGCGTCGTATATCAAGCAATCGCCATGTGGCACGACCAAACAGTATTGAGGTCATGCATCCGCACGATGTCCAGATACGGTGGACCGACGACGCAAAGTGGCGGCGATAGCAGATGTGGTATGTATCGGGCGGCTAAGGTGACCGCGACGTTTAGTACAGCATAGACTTCGATCCAAGGTATGCCAGGCGCGCATTTGTTCACTCAGCAGGAGGTTCACAGCATCAATCGAGCAGGTCACCATGTCATCGCGCCGTGATGTTACGAGCATTGCAGCGTTGTCACGGACCAGTCATGTCACCAAGTCCATCGCATGCGATCACAGCACAAAGCCTGTCACGGACCGTCATCGTCAAGTACTGTTCACTGGGTGCCAGGCGGTGGCTGCTGTCCGAGGTTGGCCATCTGCTGGGCATACCATTGGTACACAGCTTGCTGGCCACCCCAGGCAGCATACGGATCACTTGCGTGCGGGTCACCAGGTTGGGGCGTCGACTGCTGTCCTGGCATTTGGAACGGAGGCATCTGCGGTGGTGCTTGCGTCTGCTGGGGAGGCATGTACTGCCCATAGGCCGGCACCTGGGGCTGCTGTTGCTGTTGTGAGTAACGATCGTACGACCCGCCACCACCACCGCCGCCTCCACGTCCACCACGGCCGGCAGCTTCGTCACGCTGACGCACGACATCAACCTTCTCCCAGATTGTCGACTCTGCTTCCGCCATTGCCCTCGAGTTGCCAGCGAGATCGATATCTCTCGTGACATCCGGTGGCTTGGGCTGGTTGACGTTGATCTTGCATCCAGTGGTCTTCTGTAGGTCCTTGATCGTCTCACCGCCTTTGCCGATTATCATACCGACGGCTTCAGACGGCACTTTGATCGTCTTCTCGATCCAGTCGCGACCGCCAACGCCGCCACCACCACCGCCTCCACGCTGGTTGTAATTGTCGTAGCCACGATCTCGCTGTGGAGCGGCCTGATTGGCTCCACTTGACTTGAGGTCGCTTTCGACGATTTCCATGATGAGCGCCTTCGCGACCTGCGTCTGCCTGTCATCGCCAATAAGGTTGACCGGACGCAGGCCGTTGACACTCTTATTCTCGCCGACGATGTTGACGTGACATCCACTGCGCTCCTGCAGGTCCTTGATAGTCTCACCACCGCGGCCGATAATGAGACCCACGGTCTTGTCCGGTACCATGATTTGTGTCTGGTTGTCGTCCTCCCTGTGAGCAGGCAGGTTGACCTTGGCTCGTCCGGGCATGCCCGGGGTGTACGCGCCCTTCTCTTGCATGACGTTCTGCCCACCGTTCTCGTCGATAATACCGAAGATAGCGGCTTTGGCAGCTTCGCGCGCGCGCAGGCTACCGGAGATGGTACACTGACGTTCGGTTGCGTGAGGCTCTTTTGCTTGGACGAATTGCACTTTCGCCCCAGAATCAGTCTCGATTCTCTTCAAGTTCTCGCCGCCGCGACCGATGATAAGGCCGACGAGTGATGACTTCACTCGAATCGTCTCCGTCTGGCCATCATCAGAGCGATAGCCGGGAGGTGGGTCTCGAGAGCCGCGGAAGTTGCGATCTTGTGATGGGGACCTGCGATAGCTTCCGCGTCTAGGGTCTTCGCGGCGTTCGTCGCGGTACGGGTTGCCACCGTAAGAGTCATGTCGAGCTGGAGAGCGCGATCGCGAGCGTCCGAAATCGCGAGCGGCGAGTCGAGGATCTTCACGTGGAGTCGAAGACGATTGCCGAGGATCGTATGACTGCACGCCGCGGTTGGCCGCGATGCTTTTGGCCTTGGCGATAGCGTCTGCAATACTGACAGAGCCGCTGTTGACAGGCTTGATGGAACTGAGGTCGACGCTGCCGGTGTTGGAGGGTTGTGGGAGGTAGCTGGATTGCGGAGGCGCGCTAGGTGGTTGTTGCGGGAGGCCTGGCGGATAGCCCGGAGGAGGCGCGTGACCCGGAGGGCCCTGCTGTGTAGGTGTAGGTGCTTGAGGTGTGCCGCCTTGCGCTGCTAAATGTCAGTATGAGGTGTCGAGGTCAATGTGCAAGGTGTGCTCCTACCTAATGCGGCAAGGATCGAGGAGATATCCGGTTGCGCCATTGTCGGCGGTCGTCGCAAAGGACTCGATCGCTGCGCAGTGTCGTATGCAGTGTGGCGAGAAGCGGCAAGAGATGAGTGTGCAGTGGTGAAGGTGAGGTTGTAAAGGCGAGGAAGCTGCTTTGCTTTGAAGCTGGACCGCAACTTCAAAGTCTCGGCTAGCGCTCCCGAAAAGTGGGCCGTGCGTTTGCTCTCACGTGAATCGAACATTTACTTTCACTTTCACTATAGGTACACCCCGACATTACATGTAGATCTGACAAAGGGCCATGAATCAAGTCAATAATATCTAATGGAGTCCCTGGCCACAGTATCTTCGAACGACTGAACACTAAGGCCCACGCAGTCTTTACACGATGGAACCCAACAACGCCATCATAGTAGGCATATCCGGCGTCTCTTCCTCCGGCAAAACGACCCTCGCCCGGCTCCTCCGCGACATCTTCCCCAACACCTTTATCCTTCACGAAGACGACTTCTACAAAACCGACGCCGAGATCCCCATCAACCATTCTGCCGGAAATGTGGCGGACTGGGACTGCGTTGAAGCGATCGATTTGCCCAAATTCGAGGAAGCACTGCGCTATATTCGGAGAGTAGGGATACCGCCTCCGGATCTGATCTCCAAGGAGGACAAGAACGATGTCGGGAAAGTGGACGTTGATAGCAAGGTGATTGATGATTTAAAGTGGAAGGCTGGACGGTGGATGTTCCATGATGTGCCGCCGGTGGCGATTATTGATGGGTTCTTGATGTACTCGGAGGAGATGAAGGGTGTTCGGGAGCAATTCGATGTTAAGCTATTGCTACGGACCGACTTCAACACGGGGAAGGCAAGGAGGGAAGCCAGGTCAGGGTATGTCACTATTGAGGGTTGGTGGGAGGATCCCGAGGGGTATTGGGAGAATGTGGTTTGGCCGAATTATGTCAAGGACCATGCGTTCTTGTTCAAAGATGGTAATGTGGAGGGCGAGGTGAGACAGGATGTCGTTGACGGGTTGGACGTCAAACCCATGCCTTCAGGGGCTGACATGACTGCATTGCTAAAGTGGGCGTATGAAGTTGTTGACGAAGCAATGGATGCCAAGCCTGGCCGATGACAATGATGACGACGACGGCCATATCATAGATTGAATAGAACGAACTACCGACCATAGAGCCTGAAGCATGCCGAGCAATGGCACCTCTACTTCGAGACTAGATTGGCAGCATCCGCCACAGCCACCCTCGCGATCCGCTTCAGCATCGATCTGTGCTCGACCTCCCGATACCCAGAAGCAGCAGCGTCTGGGCCGTCTCTCGCTTCTAGGCTCAGCGTCTCATACCCTTGCTTAATGATCTTGCTCACCTCGCGAGGGCTGAGATGCTCTTTTTTCGCCCGCTCACTGTCGATGAGTTCCTGGTAGTGCTTGGACACGCCGATCAATGTGTTGATGTGACTCTTCTTTTCAGCGTCCGTCGACAGGCCATAGGCATCTCGCAACTTGATCAGCGCCCCTCCAGATTCCACCAGCTTGTAGAAGAGGTCGTCGTAAGCAGCTGCGTCTGGAAGGAAACTTTCGCCAGTGGTGAGAGCCAGACTCAAGAGCTCGACGAGTGACTGGACCATCTCCGTGGTTCTGGGTAGCATCTTCAGGTCGTCGGAATACGTGGTAAGGAAGCGGGCGAAAGAAAGGAGAGACCGCCACAGCTCGGCCCAATGGTATGTCAGCTTGGTCCTGGATTTGGCCAGGAAAGACAGCAGCTTTGACAACACCATAAGACTCTGTAGGTAGAAGCCGGTATCTAACCGTTTCCGCAGATTGTGGTTGATGCCATCAGTCAGGATGTCGAGCATAACAGCAGCGTAAGGCCGGTCGCCCCCGGGTAGCGGTAGGTGTGGTGGACGCTGCCTGCACAGCCGCACTGGTCCGGACGTCTCACATAAAAGCTTGGCCAGTGCAGGGTCTTCCACCAGGATGTAGAAGATCAGCAATGTCAGATAGGCGTACATAGATGCTCGAGCGGTTCGGTATGCGTGCTGATACAGGTAGGAGTTGAATGACAGGAAGGTGCTGAAAGGTGTAGCCTGTGCTTTCTCAGGAAGCGGTGCTGTGAGGAAGTGGTGGCAGAAGACTTTGTTGGCCATGGTGAAGTCGTACAAGGTAAGCAGGATTGCTGCTGCCAGGCCGGGTCTACAACTGTTAGCGATGAGTCGATCCTGATTCTGGGCTACTCACTGTTCAAGCAATAATTCTCTTTGCTGCTCTTCGGTGAGAACCGGCTGAACTGGTTTCGCACCGGTCAGTCCGCCTAGACCGACGTACGACAATGTGCCGCCAATACTCCAGGCTGCCGGGGTGTCGTCCTGGATGGCGACATAGCGGTCACGGAGGAGGGTGCAGGTCCAGCTGACAGAATCAACGATGCTGCTCATGATGTCGTCGTTGACGAAGTCGGAAAAGCGAGTGCGGTATTGGTTGTGGACTTCGAATTTGTTGTAGTTGGCAAGGAGTCCAGTGAGCATGAATGGCTCAGATGCCCGGAGTGGGTTCTCCAGCAGGTGGACCAGCTAGAGTTCGTCAGCAACAGGTCGTCGAATGTCAATGGCAAGACTCCGTACCTTCATCAGTCCGGGGAAGAAATCACGATTGATAAAGTAAGACACCAACGCTGTCTGGTAGCCACCAGCAACGACAGCGATGGCAGCGCGGACAGCCTTTTGCCGTACCTCAACTGCAACAGGTCAGTCTGTCTTGCCAAGTAGACTGGGAGTAGCCATCGTCCTACCGCTCCGTCCTTCTTTGATAGCTTGATCGAGGCACACTACCAACTCTGTGAACACTGCATCGACATCGTCTAGCCCCGCAAGGACCTCGATAACGTCCGAGCTAGGGTTGGTGTACTTCTTGGCCAGAACGACAGCGAAGAAGACTGTCAAAGTCTGAGTATATTGTTGGCAAGGCTAAGACGTGAGGAAGAGGGAGACGTACTTCAAGAGCATTTTCGTCCGCTGGGGCTTCTCCACCCTTGACATGTGCAACGGCATGTAAGACCAGTTGTTGTGGTTGGTGCTGTATGCTTGGTCAGACGAGATTTTGCATTGAAAGCACTCTGTCGCACTTGTGTATGAAGTAAGAAATCCGCATCGATGTCTTCCAGTGTTTCGCGTAGTCGGGGTACATCTGGTTTCAGGAGGAATAGTTCTCTCCAAAATCCCTCGGGCTTCTCATCGTCGTCAACCTCCTGACGAAATTAGTATGACTTCCAACTCTGCGGTAAAAATGGCATACCCTGAACAGCCGTTTGTACAACCCAACGACCTTCGGCTCGAATACTTCAGGGCGCACTTGTTGGGTCAGAGGTGACTGCTCCATGGTTGCCGTCGAGGTGTCAGGGGTGCCGACTGAAGCCATGAACGACAGGCGATTGCCCTGCCATTCCGGCCTTATCGCCAGTCTTTTGGACTGTGGTTGTTCCATATTTATGAAAGGAATGTGTTGCAGCTCAACTAAGGTAGGGAATGGATATGTGTTGGGGATCCACGTGACACGTGTTTGAATTTTGACTAAGCATGACGTCCCGCGTTTCTCGCGGGAGGGATGCCACTGACTTGTGCTTACTGACTTCAACTACAGACTGCCTCAGACTTCCAAGATGGCAGGCATGTTCAAGAACATGCAATTGCCGTTCAGGCAAAAGCAGCAGGAAGATGCGGAAGGAGCAGAAGAAGAGGAGGGAGAGAGTCTCACCACGATCCTCACGACCTCTGAAGATAGGTCATCCCTCACGATCTTGGTCGCCGACTGCACGGAGGTCATGCGGCAGGATGTGATTGATGTATTCGATGCGAAGAAGACGGGGAAGAAGGTTGATCTCAAGGGCGATCTGAAAGGGGATGAAGCACTGGTGGACACAGACGTAGATCCTGGGACGGTCGACGTTGGAGAGCAGGATAAGCTGAAGAAGCAGCTGGAGCAGAGAGAGAAGGAGCTGAACTCGCAGAAGTTCCAGGACCTCAAGTCGGACGCGCTGAAGCACTTTGACGAATGGCGGACAAGCGTCATCCAGAGGGTCGGCGAGGTCGTCAATACAAGGGAAGAGGCTGCGCGGGAAACGAAGCAAGCAAAGCCAAAGAAAGACGAAACAACACCCGAGCGGGCCTCTCCGCCAATGCGATTCCCAGAGCCAGCGGAATATGACGATGGCGTTGACCAGGCAATTGGCGAGCTGTATGCACCTGTGGATAACCCGCTGAAGAAGCTGGCGCAAGAGAAGAAAGTACTGATCCTGCACTCCATGCTACTTTTACTGCTGAGCCTGGAAAAGTACCATGCTCAATCAAGGGTTCTACTACTGCATCTGACTACCAGTCTCGGACTTTCCATCAAATACCTCGGCCATGATGAGAGCAAGGTTGCCAGAGGTCTGCTTTCGGCAGCAGAGAACCTCAAGGCTGACGAAGAGACCAAGAAGAGGGCTGAGGAGAATAAGGACTCGAGGAAATGGAAGGTCGGTCTGGCGACTGTGGCCGGCGCAGCATTGATCGGAGTCACCGGTGGACTTGCTGCTCCTCTGCTGGCTGCTGGCGTAGGTTCAGTCATGGGTGGCTTGGGTTTAGGTGCCACGGCCGCAGCAGGCTATCTTGGAACGTTAGCCGGCAGCACGGTGTTGGTAGGAGGACTCTTTGGAGCCTACGGTGGGCGAATGACTGGCAAGATGATGGACCAGTACGCGCGCGAGGTTGAAGACTTCGGCTTCGTGCCCGTCAGATCAGCCCACAAGCCGCGAAAGATCGAGAAGGAGTTCCGGCGACTGCGTGTAGGCATTGGCATTTCCGGGTGGCTCTCAAATCAAGACGATGTCGTCGAGCCATGGAAGGTCTACGGCGTGGAGATTGAAAGCTTTGCTTTAAGGTGGGAACTTGAGGCTCTCATGAATCTTGGTAACGGCCTGGAGACGATGATCAAAAGCGCTGCATGGGGTCTTGCGAAGCGTGAGATCATCAGCCACACCGTGTTCGCAGCACTGTCCGCCGGTCTTTGGCCTCTTGCTCTCGTCAAGGTCTCACGGATCATCGAAAACCCATGGAGCGTGGCCTCTTACCGTGCACAGAAAGCTGGAGAAGTATTGGCCGATGCGATCATCAACAAGGCTCAGGGCGAGCGCCCAGTCACTCTGGTCGGCTACAGTCTTGGAGCCAAAGTCATTTACACTTGCATGCAGCGACTCGCAGAGCGAAGAGCATTCGGGCTTATCGAGTCTGTCGTTCTAATCGGCTCACCGACTCCTTCAGATGAGTCTGACTGGCGCCTGGTCCGAAGTGTGGTTGCTGGCCGGGTGGTGAATGTGTACAGCACTAAAGACTACCTACTCGGCTTCTTATACAGGGGCAGCAGCATCCAGTACGGAGTCGCTGGTTTGCAGGCAATCGAGAACGTGAAGGGCGTGGAGAACTACGATGTCACCAGCATGGTGAATGGTCACACGTCCTACCGATACCTCACTGGTGAGATCCTCAGGAGGATAGGCTTTGAAGATGTCGACAAGGAGGAGCTCGAAAAGGAAAAGAAGGCTCTGCGGGAGAAGGAAGAGAAAGAAGCCAAGGAGCGAGACGAAAGCGAGAAGAAGGAACAGTCAGAAGGCACTGCCGATCCAAGCACTGGTGTCAGCGATCAGCATGTCCAAGATCTCGAGAAGGAAGTCGAGAAGAAAAACGAGCAGTCGTACGTCGGTTGGGCTCAAGAGAAGATGGTCGGCGCAGGCACTTCGGCGTCTGTTGCCTACGAGAAAGCAAAGGCACAGTGGTCGATGCGCAGGCAGGGTGCTGGTGGTCAAGCTGCGGCTGATGCTACTAAGCAAGCAGACAGTGCCACTTCTGATGTAAGCAAAGATGCAGAATCTGCTGGAGTCGATACGCCGAATGCTGGAGATGCTGCGTACCAAAGTATGCGGGCCAAGTCAATTGCGAGAAAAGAAGTTCCGCAGGGGTCGCCATCAGGAACGTCCCCGGCATCATGAGTGGGACGCAGGTCACCACCACGGCCGCCAATCTGCTCTGTCTCCACTACCACGGGAGTGGCCCGCTTCTGTCCATGGATCTGGATCTGGTACTCACCCTCGATCCAGTGTGCAGAGTCTCATCGCGAGTCTTGGCCATTTTCCAAGAGTCTCTCTCCACCTACTTCATCGACAGGTTATTGAAGGCAATCTCTAACGCGTCGCAGTCAAGCAGCTCTTCTCCGCCTCTTCTTGATTGTATCGAGGCTGCACAACCTACTCTCGGGCTTTCCACACCTGCTTGGAGCACCATGCTATCTGGCAGAGGTCAAGAAGGAGACCTTGGACCAACAGAGCACATACGGCCGTCTGTTGCTGCATCAGAGAGAACCACACACAATTCTATCTTTAATTGGCATATTCAAAATACATAGATAACGATACCGACGAATCACGATTGCATCTCTGCGAAACATATCCCACCTGCGTAAGCAGAAACTCTAATGAAGTGTACGAACTCTTTAAAGCCATCAACATGCCTACCAGACGTAGAAGAGCCATGCGCGCCCGCATCCGTGCTCCAGGAAGACTAGTACCGCGAATGAAGGTCCCTGCCCTTCTGTCCGCCGAACCAAAACATCGTCGACCCCCCAAAATGGCTATCATTCGAATCACCACCCCGCCACCGTCCTACCGCAGACACGACCCCAACCCTCCACCATCATACCGCTTCGTCGAAGAACCACTACCAACACCGCTACTGCACTTGGCGTTTCCAGAAGCAGCCCAGCTAGTCACGCTCCACCGTTACGACATCAATGTTCGACAGACAACGCAAGTCAACGACCTGGAGGCCGCCACGACATCGGTCTTCGGTTCATCAGACCAGCCCGCGATCCTACAGGACTGGAGAGAGGGTGTGCGAAAGTTGGTGATGAAATGGCAGGGGGCAATTGTTTGGGCTTTGCTTGTTCTGCTGGCGATTGGGCTCTGGGCTTATGCGCGCAAGAGGAATCTTGAGGAGTAAGGAGGACGGACGGGATTGGGCGAGGAAAGGTGCAAAGATTGTGCACCGTTATACGCTTAGGAGGCATCGTGTAAATCATTATGGAATCGGGAAAGAGGGCGTCAGAAGGATTTATGTACTGATAGCGGCGTAATGCTCCATACAAGAGCTTGGCTCTAGCTACTGTCTACTCGACCATCGCCACTGCGTCTTCACCAACCTCGTCTATCCTCTGCTCAAGCTCCGGCTTCCACGGCCTAGCACTTCTCGGCCACACTCTCTTATACAGACTCACAGCCACAGCGTCCATAGGGTTGATCGTACCATCGAAAGTAGCCTTGAAATACCCATGCGTGCCAAGTGGCTCTTTGATGAAGCCACTCCTGCCTCTCTTCGTCCACAGCTGCAGAGCACGGAAGTACTGCACGTCCTCGGTGTTGAAGAACATGTATCGTACTGTGACGAGCTTGCGATGAATCTTGAAAGGGTGACCAGTGAGGATGATGCGCTTGGCGATCACACGTTGCGTGGATGGTGGGAGAGAAGTGCCGGTGGCGATGAGCTGCAGCTCACCTGGTTTCGAAGCACCGTCTTGAGCAGCGAGATCCTGTGCGAGGTCCTCGACGGCATCTTGCGGCTGTGCTGGGTCGGGTCGCTTGAAGTACAAGCAAGGCACGCTGCCCCAAACGACCGGACCGATGAAGCTCGCTACTGCTGTGCGTCCGGGATGGAGGAATCGGTCGAACTTGTGCACGTTGTTGGGCGTGTTGCCCGCTTGACTGAACAATGGGTTGATCACCAGCCTCCGTGGCCCGCATTGCAGGATCAGCTCTTCCTTTGACTTTAGCGGCCTCTCGTACTCAGAAGATAACGACATCGACATGTTCACTGCCGTCTGTTTGTGCTCATGCTTCAGCAGCGAGAACAGCGCTTTCGGGACCGGCAAAGCTTTGAGAGCGGCTGCTTGGTCGGAGCGAACGCGTAGGTGGACGGTTACTCTCGTGCCTGGCTTCACACCACCGTACAAAGCTTCCTTGAGCACACGATTCTTCGCCGACTTGTAGTCCGCGATTTCGAGCAATCTACTCCAATCTTCAGGTTCGTAAGGCTTGTCTTCTTCCGTGTCCCAAGTGCTTGCTCGCAGGCTTTTAAGGCCTCTGTACCTCGCCAAGCGCTCTCGCGCCTGCGCGTGAGGATGGAGCTCAATCTCATCGGGGAACTCCAGATCATCGTTGGCGTCTTCTTGTCGCTGTCGCCTGTAGGCAGCTAGCTGCTCAGCCTCGTCCTCGATGTCAGGATCATCAAATGCTTCAGTCTGGGGATACTCCGACGGTGCTCCTTCTGTAGGCTCCGCCATCGTTGCATCAAAGCGACCCTCTGCTGAGCCTGCAGCAATCGAGCCATTGGGAAGTTCCTCATCGTCTGCATCTATGTCCTCTAGGTCGGACCCAGAGTCTGACACATCTCCCAGGTACCATGCTGCTTGATACTTGCTGGTCCCGCGAGGAAGTCGCTTCGGAGCTTCGAACTGACCGCGGTCATCGTCATCGAAGTACTCGTGGTCGTCGAGCATAACAGCCTTCCGTTCTGAGGGTGCCAAAGAAGCGGCGGGTAGGTCTTCCATCATCTCCTCTGGCGCAAGCTCGGCTAGGTCATCCTGCTGCTCAGTCGGCGCCTCGAGGACATCGCCGAACTGCGGTAGGTCTACGACCATAGCATCCGCTTTCTGGCCTCGCTTCTTGCTTTCCAGCGGTGCAGCAGTGGTACTTTCGATCTGGAAGTCACCCCACTCGCCCACTTGAACCAGGCGGTCGGCCTTCAGGCCTTTACCTCTGACCACACCCGTTACTTGTGCTGCGCCGTCCTCCCACCTGACTTCGTCTACTAGCATCCAGCTTCTGTCCTCTCTCCAACGCACGCCTTTCGGCATTGTAGTACACAGGCTTCGCATGACGTTGGAACAGTCTTGTCGGCTGCTTATATCGTGCAGTTTCTCCTGGGTGGCAAAGAAGTGGTTGATGAAGCTTTTGAGACTCTTGACGACATCCGGCCTCTTCTTCGCCGGCTCAACCACACTGAGGTTATGCACCGCGGTGAGGACAGTCGACACACCCTGCGACTCGACGCATCGTAAAGTCTGCTCGCCTAGCTCGTCGACTTCTTCTGTGGCACTCAGCAGGAACAATACAAAGTCGGAAACTCTGCATGCATCCAGACATTCCAGCAAATCTCGCTGAGGTGTCAGATATTGAACTTTCTGCTTGAAACGGGGAATCTCGACTCTCCACGACGGAGCGGCTGTACCAGGAGATTCGGCCTCGACTTCGACGCTCGAGTTCAGCTCTCTGATCACATCGCCAGATCTGACGTCCTCGCACAAAGGTATGACAGCCACTATACGAGGCGCTCCATCTCGACCGGTGAAGACACTCTCTTGCTTGGCCCGCTCTGCAAGCTTGTTGCTGCGAATCTGTTTTGCATGATTTTTACGATCGAATTTCGACATGACCTGTTGATGCAGTGTCTTTCTGCTGCCCTTCTCGAACGACTCCACCTTGCCCTTCGCTTGATCTTTCAGAGCCGACTTCGAAGCGTGACGGGTCTTGAACGCCTTGTTGGAGACTTTTGTGGTTGACCGATGATGGTGTGCCCCGCTGGAAGGGTTGATAGGAGCCATGTGGCCGTCGCCGCCGGCTTTGAAGCGGAAGGGAAGTGTTGCAGCCAGGGTGGGCGGTTGTTATATTGTGCTGGAGTTCGCTTGTTCGACTCGAAATTTTGGTGATTTCATGCTCGAGATCAATCGCGATAAGATGTTATCTTTGCCAAGCTCGGCACGCGGAGAAACCCACTCCGAATTTTGGATTCGAGATTTGCAGACGCCAGCTTCAAGTTCGACGACTTGTAAAGACACCCAGCCTCACGACAACACTATTGCGCCGGTGAAGCATACGACTATCGGTAAGAAAGCGGCAACACATTTCCGTAGACCATATTGATTACCAGACTAATCGTCGTGCGCCGCAGTAACCTTCACTAACCGCAATCATGGGGTATAGCAACAACATCCACAACCCACACCGATGAGCACCACAGCTAACGCCTTCACAGTATCTCTCGTGACTCCCGTCACAAGCGCAGCGCCACCGGTGCTAAGCGCGCATACTACCGCAAGAAGAGGTATGCATAACCCGATCGCTCCTGCTACAACCATCACATTCTGATGCTGTGACAGGGCCTTCGAGAAGGGTCGCCAGCCCGCCAACACCCGGATCGGCGCCAAGCGCGTCCACCTCGTCCGCACCCGTGGCGGCAACCGCAAGTTCCGCGCCCTGCGCATCGACTCCGGCAACTTCGCCTGGGGCAGCGAGGGCATCACCCGTAAAGTCCGTGTGATCGGTGTCGTCTTCCACCCGTCGAACAACGAGCTGGTCCGAACCAACACCCTCACCAAGGCCGCCGTCGTCCAGATCGACGCCAACCCTTTCCGCCAGTGGTACGAGGCGCACTACGGCCAGAGCTTGGGTCGTCGCAGGCAGCAACAGCAGGGCAAGACTGAGGAGGACGCGAAGAAGAGCAAGGCTGTCGAGGCGAAGCAGCACGAGAGGTTCGCCAAGATGGGCAAGGTTGAGCAAGCGTTGGAGAGGCAGTTCGAGGCTTCCCGTCTCTACGCCGTCGTCGCGAGCCGCCCCGGACAGAGCGGTCGCTGCGATGGGTACATCCTCGAGGGTGACGAGCTGGCCTTCTACCAGCGTGCCATCAGGAGATAGGCGAGGAGCGCGTGAGGCGATGTTGTTGCATGCCTGGTCGATGGAGCGTACGTCTGCGAAGGTTGAATGCATCCGCATGCGGCCGCAGCGACTAGTTCACATCGCGTCGACGGGACATCCGTTTTGTTGTGTAGTAGACTAGCATGAAAACCATTGACACTACACCGAACTCTCCTCTCAATTTACACCAAAGAAACGGAAGCATATTTTCGTACATCATGAATTTGAAGTGTCCCTAGAGCCGATCTACAGAGCCCACTATTTTCTGAATTATTTGTAAAAGTCGACACAACCAACGCCTTCGCTAGGTATGCCACAAAAACACACTGAACATCACCTGCCCTTCCAAAATGGGTATAAAGCGAAAACCCAGCGGTTGACAGCAAGACATAAGCTCATGATCACCAATCCAACATAATTCCCTCCGTGCTGACGGATTCAATCGAAACTCACAACAGCATCGCTCCACCAACAACCACACCTATAACGGCCACCACACCCTGCGCCAACCCAGCCTTCGCACCCGCAACACCGCCCGTCTGAAGGCTCGGAGGCAAGTCGGTCTCAGAAGGCGCAGCATTCCCAGAAGCACCACCAGCATTCAGAGTCGTCGCCTGGATCTTGTACGTATGACCGTGCAACGTGAACACAGACTGCGTCGCTTTGTACGTCGTCGACGTGACCTCGACCGTCTTGTGCGTAATGTACGGCACGTACGAGCGGGTTGCCTCTCCACTGGCGCTCGCGCTGTTCCATTCACCGGACTGCGGCTGGAAGTGCAGGGATAGCGTGGTGTGTGATGGGAAAGCTGAGGGCTGGTATTCTGGTGGACTGCTGGCGCTTGGGTAGGCGCTGGGGTGGAAAGTGTGCGGTGGTGGGGCGTTGGACTCGCTGCCGCTTGCACCGGGCTCGAAGGAGAAGTTCACGGTTGGTGCGGCGGGTTTGCTGTGGGTTTTGCCTGGCTCGGAGAGGGGTTTGTGTGCTGTGGGTGTTGTTTCGACTGGTGAGGAGGCCGAATCGGCTGGTGTACTTGCTAGTGAGTGAGGGGACTTCGAAGGTGTGCCAGCGGGGTGCGAAGCAGGTGTCGTGTAGCCAGTGTGCAATTTTGGTAGCGAGCTGTCTGGAGCAGATGCTGGAGGCGACTGCGTTGGTGGTGATTGGTGACCAGTTCCGCTGAGTGCGGGCGATGATTGACCGGGCTCACTTGGCTTAGAAGGAGTAGGAGCTAGTTCGCTAGCCGCAGGAGGCGAGTTTCCAGTCCCGCTTGCTGGTGGAGGTGAATGAGCAGGCTCGCTCTGCGTGGGCTGTCCTGCGGGTTGGCTGGGAACTGGAGAGGCCTGAGCTGGCGTGCTCGTCGGTAGACTAGCAGCAGGTTTACTCTGCGTGGAATGCCCCGTGGGTTGGCTGGGCGCAGGAGAAACCTCAGCTGGCGTGCTCTTCGGCGGCGGGATGGCAACAGGCTCGCTCGGCGTCGGCTGCCCTTCTGGCTGGCTGGACAGTGGAGAGGCCTCAGCAGGGGTGCTCTTCGGTGGTGGACTAGCAGCAGGTTCGCTTGGCGTCGGTTGTCCTGCGGGTTGGCTCGGAACTGGAGAGGCCTCAGCAGGCGTGCTCTTCGGTGGCTTGGGCACTGGCGCAGGAATCGAAGGTTGTTCTGCGGGTGTGCTTTGAACGGGCGGGCTGGCCGCAGGCTCGCTAGGTGCGGGAGACTCCTCTACTGGGTTCGATGTCTTTGTTGTAGGCTCGGCACCAATGAAACCCTCAGGATTTTCCGTAGTTGTTGGTGTGGCCTCAGGAGATGGCGTGGTCTCGGGAGATGGCGTGGGCTTGGGAGATTGCTCAGGGTTTTGAGATTGCTCAGGCTCTGGTGAAGGCTCAGGCTCAGGACTTGATTCTGGCTGTGGCGTCGCCGTCGTCGCAGGGCTGGCCGCCGGTTCGGAGGGTTCTGGTTTGCCTCCTCCGACCTCCGACGTCACCTCCGGCACCACGGTCTCGACAGGTTTCTTCGATGATGGCTTGACCTCAACAGGGGTCGGCTTGGGCGTAGCTGCCGGCTCCTTTGGTGTTGATTCTGAGGTCGCTTCGGGGGTCGAGACTGGTTCTTCGGCCGGCTTGGACTCTTCGGCAGGAGCCGAAGGCGCTGCTTCCTCCGCAGGCTTCGACTTTGATGGCTTCGCTTCCTCTTCCGCCGGTGTAGTGACTGCAGCAGGTGTGGATGCTACTGGTGTGGTCTCCGCAACTGGCGTCGTCGTGTCCTTCCCCTTCCCCTTCCCAGCATCCACTCCCACTGCCACATCCGAGGGCGCGGCCTTCACACTCGCACCCACAGCGACATCCGCAACGCTGACCGTAGCTCCAACGTCGACCTGTGCAAGCGACTGGCTCGCAAGCAGTACTGCCGCGAGAAGAGCGTGTGTACTGCGCATCGTGATTATTAATGGCAAGACACAACAATGCCTTTGCCGACTGAACGAGTGGACGTGGTGATCGTCACCACAGCGATATTAGAGTAAAGACAGTAAGATGTAGGTGGCGAAGAACAAGCAGAAAGGACGGGAGGGGGATCGACAACAAGATAGGGAAGGATTCTTGCAATAGTTCTAGCGAAAGTGGAAATAGATCCTTACCGTTGGGCTTTGCGAGTCCGCTACACGTGAGGGCCGACATGCTGGATAGGGACAACGTTGGAGCCAGCTAGGGGTGCCTGACACGCACAAGAGCTTGTCAACGGCGACGGTGCGAGATGGTGTTGTTCGCGAGAGAACGCCACGTGCGCTCGGGCCTGGATTTTGTCTTGCGGAGATTGCGTCTAGAGATCCTTCGAACTCTGGGCTCAGGACCAGGTAGATCGCAGGAATATGCGATCGTCAAGACTGTGCTGACCATTGCCATCGTAATATGTACCATGCCGTGATGCTGTGTTGGTGGCAAGTACCCAATGTACGAGTCGCGATGCTAAGAAAGACGTTGCTAGTGGAGGTGAAGTCGAAACAACCGCGTCTTCAAATATCCGGAAGCTAGCCGACGTCCGCTTTGGGTGCGGACAGCGTCGATCACAGCCCGTTCCAGTTCTCAGCCGCAACCGTTAAATGAGATGCTCGGCGCAACATCCTGCCTTGTAGATCGCGACAGGTCTAGACGAGATAGACGGTCTGGGACTCTGGGGCGGGACGTACATGTCGGCTGTTGGGATGTGTACGGAGTACCAGACAATGTATATACGATGATGGCTGTTCGTTTGCTGGAGCGAACACCTTCAACAGACGGCTTTCCCTGACCACGTCAGTACCACAGGGGATTGCTCTATATCACCCAAGCCTCGCTGGTAACACTCATGGCATCAACATCAACCACGCCAAAAACCTTCAATGGCACTTCGATCTCAAAAGTCTCCGCCATCAACTTCTCCCTCGCAATCAAGGTCCTGCCCCGCTCGTCGCTGGCAATCTCCTCGAGTAGATCCTCTCCCTCATCACCAGCACTGCCTTCGAGCCCAAGACCTTGTACTTGCCGCTCAGTAGTGAACTCGACCCGCAGCTTCCAGACAAGACTCACACCCGTAGTCTCGAAAGTAGGCGTAGCTGTCGAAGGAATTGTTAAGCTGAAGCTGATCTGCCGAGCGTACAATACGTTGTTTCGCAACGACGCATGGACTTTGCGCGTGACGCGATTGATGGAAGTGCCGCTGCGAATCGCTAGTGAAGGATCCACCCGCTCTGCTGACTCCAACTCTGCTAGGACAGAATAAGAGGGTGTAGGGCTGGGCAGCTGTGCTTCCGGTAATGGCGCGGTGAAGTCGATCGTGCCCATCACAGTCTCGCCGAGTCTGTAAGCCGGTCGTAGCAAAGTAAGTACTGCGACGGGATGCCCACCGCGAGCGATGTTAAAGCGATTGGCGCTTGCACCGTCTCCGCCTTGCTGCTTGCTCTTATTGTTGACGTGGTTTGCGCGCGTAATAGCAAAATCAACGGCATCTTTGATCCTGCTTGGCTGTTGTTCGGTGACGCTCTCTGTTCGGGACAGTGAAGGCGTGATGGGAGAGGTAGGTGACACAAGTGCTCCGTGAGCGTCCTGCTGGGTCTCGAGTAACCTCTCTGTGTACCGCAGAAAGTCTTCCAGGCCTTGCTTAGGAGGCTTGACTCGATTGTAAGTCGGCTTTGCTTCAAACTTGGGCAGTCCCGAGGGTGTCGTAGAATTAGGCGTCATGCTCCTACTTCGCGCAGCGTCTTGCAGCAGGATATACGGCGACATCAAGTCGTGGCCTAATGTCTCGCCGCGGGAGTTGTAACTGCCAAGTACCCTGAACGGTATGTCAACATGCTTGACAGCTTGCCCTTCCGGCCTTTGTATACCAAGAGCGAGATGATAGAAGACCTTGATCGCTCGCCCACGGTAGCTTGGAGGTAGTCCGCGTGGCAGCGTGAAGCGGTAGTTATAACTTCGACTTTCGCCTGGGGCCAGTCTCAGGTCGACGAAAAGGAGATTCTGTGGCGTTGACAGCAAAGGGATGCTTTTCGAGCCCGCACTTGCTTTCATCTGAGCCATCGAGCTCATATCGTCGCCCCCAAGAAGACCGCCTAGCGATTCACCAATGTTGCCCCAGCTGAAAGCACCAAACATTCCTGAGCTTCGTTTTGCCTTCTCAACGCCTACCACGCCCCCTCCGCCCTGCACTCCCTTGCGCTTGACCTCTTCGAAAGGAGCTGCGTTGACGAGACTTCCATCCAAGACAAAAAAGCCCATTGTCTGCGCGTACCCCATCATGAGTGTTTCAGGTTTAGCTGACCGTTGCTGGGTGGCAACACGTGCCATTGAAGCCTGGCGAGACTGAGATGGTCTTGGTAGCAATCGTCCGTTACGCTGTGCTTGAGTCGGAACCTCAGAAGTAAGGGTCTCGTCGCTGTGATTGCTTAAGGAATAGAATTCGCTGCTGCTCCTCGGCGTTCCTGCAGTTGACGTCTCAGACATCACCCGCGTGATTGGATTGAGATTGCTCAAAGCACCTGTCCATCCGTCAGGTGGCCGAGGTGAAACAGCGCGATGTTGTCCGGAGTGCATATTGGACGGGCTTCTTCGCGGCCGCTCTGGTTGCGGCGACGGTGACTTGACAGGTGGCTGCTGCGGTCCTGGGAATTGGAAGCCGGAGTCAAGAGCGTCAGATGCCGGGCTCTTGCGCAGACTGTGATTGCGGCTGAGTTGTGGAGTGTTCTCCATGGAGACAGTGCCGGGTCTTCGACGTGCTGGCCGAACGGGCAACGGGTCGTTTTGTGCCTCAGCGAGTGCTGGTGGCGTGTTCGATTCATACAGAGGTGAGGGCTGCCGTGGAGATATACTGCCGGAGATTGCTGCAGGATGCGCTTGCGGCTTTGGACTCAGCTGTAGACTGGCGCTCCTGCCGTGTCCCTTCAGTGGCCGTTTAGCCAGCGGGGCAGACGAAGGTCCTCGTGATTCATTCGGTACGTCGCTGCCGTACGACATAATGGAGAGCGACCTCCCATGTCCCGCCGTAGGTCTGATGGCACTGTTCGGTCCCTTGGCCGGGATAGGCGCACTTTGCAGACCTCCTCGAGTCTGTCCGTTGACCACATTCAGTGACAGTGTAGGCCTATGTCCCTTCGCCGGCTGCGCGCTCGTTGTGTTGCTTGCCATAGATGGCGTCCTCCGGCTCGGAGCCTTGCCTTGTGCGGCCGAAGACTTCCTGCTATGAGGTACCGACGGCGTCTGGAACGGCCGCCGCTCTGGAGGGTGGCTGCTGGCAAGAGGTGTCTGCTCAGCTCCATTTTGTTCTTGATTTGGCGGCACTGCTATGTTCTTGAACGTGATGATGCATTCGATCTCCTCGCCGGCATAAACGCTCGGCTCCCGCCATTGGACATGCGCACGAATGTTGGAAGGTGCCGGCGCGGGAGGCATAATCGAGGATGGTGTGAGATACCGGCGTGTTTATGAGGAGCCAGCATTGTCGTAGTGGATTGCTAGCATACTCAGGCTCCACGCTGAGTTGCTTTGGTAGTTATAGTGAATACAAGACTGTGACGTTCACATAGAAGGAGAAGAGGTGTAAGGTACGGTACTAAATGATCGACTTCCAGCTCAGCAGACCGAGCGAGCTAGTCAGCACGCCAAGCATACCATGAACGTTGTGGTCTTAGCTAAATGACACAAGCGCTGCGAAGAAGTGATATTGTGCAATCCCAAGTATTCATATCATGGACATTACAAGACTACATCCCCACCTCCATATCCCATGGTATCAGTAACATCGTCAACTCCATCGCTATGCACACGCCATAAGACATCGCTCGCTTATCCAGCTATTCCTACAAGATCGCAACCATGCCGATAAACGCAAGCAATCCAGCGCCCAGTGTGCCCATTAGGCTGCTCGACCCGAGTGAGGACGCCGCACCAGTCGCAGGCGTTGCTGAAGGGCCCGGCGACGATCCGGCGCCATGGCCAAGGCCTCCGGTAATGTAGCTTCCAACATCCGTGCTGGTTTTCGAGGCTCCGAAGGATGTTGTCTTGCCATTGACGACTAGTACGCTGCCTTTTGGCATGACGCTGATCGTTTGCCCGGCGAAGGTCGCATCTCGGCCATCCTTCACGGTAGCGGTGGAGGAAGACTCCTTGAGAACGACAGAGCCAGACCTGTCTAGGGCAGTGATCGTGTGGCCCCCGGCAGTGACGACAAGTGACTCAGTTGCTGTAGTCTTCCCGCCAACTGACAAAGTCGTGGTCCTGCCATTGATCACAACTGCAGTGCCACTGGGAGCAACACTGACCGTCTGGCCGTGAAATTTGGTCTGCGAGCCGTGCTTGACGATGATCCTGGATGAACCGTCTTTGAAGATGACCCACTTGCCTGCGTCAACGGCTGTGAACTTATGCCCTCCAGCGGAAATAGTAGCTTGCGAACCATCGCCGGTTGTAAGCTGAACACCATCTCCATTCACTCCAATCGATCCACCTCTGTGCGGAACACTGAAAGTCTGCCCTTCAAACGTCGCCTTGCCGCCAGGACGGACAGTCGTTGTAGAAGATCCTTCCGCAATGATCATCGACTTGCCCGAGCGGATCGCAGTAATAGTATGCCCATTTGTGGTGACCACACCAGCAGACACATGCGGTTTCTGCTGTCCTCCAGGTGTAGGTGTGACAGCCACGTGTTGCGGCACAGGATGGTAAGTGCTTCCGCCCATAACTAATCTTGTGTGCCCACTATGTCTCTCCAGCGCCACGATAGTGGTAGATGGGCCAGAGCCGATGGTGACCTTGTGTCCCGGGCGTACGGTCTTGGAGCCTATGACAACAGCGCCGCCTCGGCCGGCAGTGACAGAGGTATGACCGTGAGTGTACACCTGAGGAGTATGGTGAGGTTTGTCGCCGTGGTCTGCTGGAGAGACATGTTCAGAGCCTCCAGTATGTTGAGGACTATCAGTGTGATGCACTTGTGTTGGCGCATCATTGCCACCGGTGTGTTGAGGGCCCTGGGGGTGTTGTGTCGGTGTACCATCCTCACCAGTGTGATGCGGGCCATTATGCGGTTTGTCGTGCGGTTCGTCTTGGGGTTGGTCATGGGGTCCATCATGTGGTTCATCGTGTGGTTCATCTTGCGGTTCGTCATGCGGCTCGTCATGTGGTTTATCATGCGGCTTGCCTCCACTCGGGTTCGGGGTTGAGCCAGGCTCGTGGCCTCCCTTGGTCGTGGTATAGCCATCTGGCCCCTTCCCATGGTCTTTGGCTAGTTTCGCTGTCAGTGAGTAGAATTCAACAGGAAGGCTAAAACTTACTATGCTGGCCCTGCGGTCCACTGATAGTGGTATACGTCGTGGGACCTGTAACGGCAGAGATGACGAAAGCTGTCGTGTGTTGGGCAATTGGGGCAGTTGTCTTAGACTCCGTAGAATATGCTGGTGGCGATGGGTGGCTGGCGATTACCGAAGACACGGGCACACCGTAAGATCCTGGAAGTGGGTTGTGGGGGTTCACTGGTGGAGGTTTTGGAGGAGCTGGCGACGGCGCCACTGTTGTCCGTGTATCGCTTTCGTAGGGAGCTGGAGCTTGCGACGAGGGCTCCTGATCTGGCAAGGTGTTGGTAGGCCTGATTCTGGTGGTGATATAGGTATAGTTGCCTGACCGACTGCTGCTCTGCTCTGGGACGCTGTACACCCCTGATGAGGGATATGGTGCACCAGACGAGGTGGGCATGGTCGTTTGAGGCAGCGGCAGTGAGCCAGTGCCTAGCGGGACAGATACGCTTGAGGTGTAGGCCAAAGTAGTGCTCGACGAAGGGCCCGTGGCCGATGCACTCGCGGACGCTAGTGGAGTCCATGTAAGCGGCGCGCATCCCGTCAAAGGCTCTCCAAAGAATTGCGAGGACACCTCTGGTAGTTGGGCTAGGTAATCCAGCAGAGCTGTTGGCAGCAGCATCCCGCCGGTAGCATTGGCTTCCAGAGGGTAAATAAACGATGCCATATCGGTACTGCTGGGTAGTTCCACTGCAGAGGCATCGGTTGGCTCGGCACAGGTTTCGCCATCCTCGGTGGTCGCTGGAGCTCCCTCGAACCCAAGATACTGGACATATGTAGTTGGGTAAGTTAGGGTGGCATCTCCAACTGTCCAAGTTATATCGTTCTTGTCTGTGAACGTCTTCGGTCTGGTGGTGTTGCTCCCTGATCCCACGTAGTCGGTGTTGGTTTCGGTGATCGATTCGAAGCTGGTCTTCTCCGTTCCATTCGTGTAGATCGTGACATGCGGGATAACGCTGACTGTTATGGTCTCCACGGCATGGTAGCTGAAGGATAGAACGCTTGTCGACGTCGCGCCGAACACGCAGCTCGGACAAGCTGCTGGTGTCGTTGCCATGCTCATGGTCGCGTCAAACGAGCGATGGCGACCAAGTACAGCGCAGCACTCAACAGCGCAACACCGGCGAACGCCTTTGAACGAGTGGAAAGGACAACGGCTGGACAGACAACTTCGAAGAATGACAAAGAAAGGAAACTCGGACGTTCACACTAAACCTTAGCTAATGATCCCGTAGCGTAGCTGTGGTAGGGCCAGCTAGGGTGCCGGGGCAGGAGAACTGCTTGGGCCGGGTTGAATATGATGAGGCTGAGCGCATCGCGCGATGCGATATTACGGTCCAGCACTCAGGCGACCAACGTGTGTCCGGGGTACCACTGCATCTCGACCTCGACCAAGCAAATGTTCCAAATGCCTATCGAGAGATGTTGGACCCCATCTCCGCCCCGTGGAGTGACATGCTCAGGACATTGGTGGTGCCGTGGCCTGATGGAAAGTGTAGAATGGCCCGCCGGTGTTGCCGACGCAGACTGCATCATGAGATTGTATCCATATTCACGAGTCACGGGCTCGTGGTAGCGAAATTTACGTTGCGAATGAGAGACGCGAGGTGGACTGCAAGGGACAGGGCTGAGCTCAACTGTTGCCCAGAATAGGGGCTGAAGTGTGCCACATCCGCCGCCGGCCGACCTCAGCTCATCAATCTACTGGACTAAAACACCAGCTCTCACATCTCTAGCGTGTCAGGGCTGTCAGCCCTCAGCACGGTTGTACCTGCAGGCAACGGCCGAGTAGCGAGAGACTCGAGAATGCTCGATCCGTGGGTGTGTGCTGTAGGCTCTCCAGCACGTTGTGCGTGGGACAGCACCATCTTCTTCCTTCAATGTGTCTTGATGGCCCATCGGAGCGGAGTGGAAGAGGTCTGGTAAGAAAGTCCAGTATTGGCAACCCGAGAAGAACCTTTGTGTCTTAGCTTTCGACGGCGCCGCATACGCTTCCATTTGATGTACCATCGCTCGTGTTGGTCGAATACAACGTCACTAGGAACAACTTACGCGGCGGTCCACGGCTTCTGGGTCGTCTGGCGAGGAGTTGGTCCTCGACGTCCATCTTTCGACAAGCTGCGAGGACTGCAAGATGAGCTTGATGGCGAGGAGCGCGGTGCCGGCGCCGTTCTCAATTGCGCCCTCGTGGAACTGGAGCGGGAATGATGGTTCTTGGTCGACCTTCGAGATCGCGGTGGGCACGCCGCCACAGTCCTTCCACATACTGCCTGCGACCGGATCATCAGAGGTCTGGGTCCCCATACCGCAGGCATGCGAGGGTGTCATGATCAACGTCCCGAACTGTGGTTTACTACGTGGGGTTGAAGAAGGACGAGGATTTGAGACAAACGCTTCGTCCAGTTGGGACCTGCTGGGAATTTACGAGCTGGAGGCTGAGCAGAATCTCTGGGGTCCCACAGGCAATCCGGGGCAGTATGGCCTTGATAAGGTCACATTGGAGGCATATCCATCGGGTCAGAGCGTACACCTCGCCGAGCAGACGGTGGCCGGGTATGCGACGGCCAACGCGTGGGTAGGCAATCTGGGCCTGGGTATAAGCGTGGGAAGTTTCGCGGACGTCCATAAAGGCACTGTACCGAGCCTTTTGGATGCAATGAAGAGCCAGAACCTGACCTCGAGTCTGTCTTTTGGTTATGCTGCAGGCGCCTCGTACTGTGAGTCCTCCGCATGCTACCTATTTCGCTGACACTGACCGGCTTCCAGCATCGCCTCGAGACTACGGCAGCTTGATTTTGGGCGGATACGACAAGGCACGCTTCGAACCCAGCAATCTCAACTTCTCCATAACCGGCACGGACAGCAAGGCATTGCCCCTCAACATTGTGAGCGTGATAGCCGAGAACACGCTCAATGGAACCCTGTCCCTTCTGCCAGATGCCAGTTCCATCACCACAGTGATTGATTCGACTATATCTCAAATGTGGTTGCCAGCGGACGTCTGCGAACTGTTCGCTGAAGCATTTGGCCTGACATACGACGAAACTACAGGCCTGTACCTGGTCAAGAGCGCCGCGCATCGCGAGCTCGTGCAAAACAACCCTAAGGTGACTTTCACAGTCAGCAGTGTCAATGGCTCCAGTGCCACCACAAACATTGAATTGCCGTACGCCGCATTCGATCTTCAGGCGGGCATGCCAATGTTCAATGCCTCAACCAACTACTTCCCACTCCGGCGCGCCGCGAATGAAAGCCAGCAGGTGCTGGGAAGAGCATTTCTGCAAGAGGCGTATATCTTTGTTGACTGGGAGAGGGACTACTTCACGATCGGGCAGTCCATTCACCAGAACGACACCACGAACATTGTCCCTGTGCTGTCGCCTGCCTACGATTCTGGGAACGACGCAGACTCGAGCGGACTCAGCACGGGCGCGATCGTCGGCCTCGCGATAGGAGCATGCGCAGTGATTGCAGCATTCATTGGCGTGGCGGCCTTGATGGTCATTCGATCACGGAGAAGACGCCGGGACGCTGAAAGACTCAAGACGGATTTGCCCACTGAGCTGCACAGTGAGCACATCAAGCCGCCGGAGATCATGTCCGCACAGGTCTACGAGATGAACTCTGGCGAGACTTCGAGGCATGAGTTGAGTGAGAACGCGAAGCCGTTGATTGAGCTGCAAGCGTCGACTCCAGAGTCTGAGCTGGATGGTGACGGCGAGCGGTATGGGAGGTATGGATGGGACAAGAAGCCGAATACTTATTATGAGCTGCCTTGAGACCAGCGTGAGATTGGACCATCTTGCGTTGGCTCCAGAAACGCAAACTAAACCTACCCCATGCGCAAAAGCTTTTCGACGAATGTCATGATCAGTCTCCGAGCTGCCGCGTACCGTGTCATGGACGCGCTGGGCTACAGAAATCGCCGTCAGCGCCGCGACACGAGCGAAAGGTCAGGTTTGACCGCGATCTTCGAGCGATCCTCAGGGCGGGTCGGGACATTGAGGTACTCCAGCGCTTCTCCCGATAGAGCTGAAGATTCGAAGGGCCAAATGCGGGAGGGGACTGAGATGATAGGAGCAGCCAGACGGAGTGGTCAGGCAAAGGCCGTCGGATTTTTGCATGTGCATTGGCACTGATTGGTAAACGTGTGGCCTTGATGGATGTTGAGACGGTGTCTGCATGTAACTACGAAGCTGTCAGTGTCCTCAAAGTATGCTTCGCGTCGGTCATTGAGAATATAACCTCTAACTGGTATCCGTGTCTTGGTTGGCTTTCATCTCATCTCCTCATCCCTGCCAGCGAGATCTTGTCTCAGATCCGCCAATGACGTCTTCCAGGTTCCGATCTGGCAGACGCGAGCGCGATCGATGTACGATTCACCTTTTCGCGATGATAAACCAACGTACAGGTAGGTCTCTTTTCCCTGCTCTTCCTGCTTTCCTTTAACCATCAGTCGCTCTGCTTTGATATAGCTCAGTTGATGATCATCCGCTCTGTACTGAGAAGCTGCGCGCGATTGACACCGAGTTGCCCATTCCCAGTCCAACCTTCTGCATCTACTTTCCACGGTCACCACAGAACGATAGCAGCAATGCCACCCAAACGCAAGCGGTCGTCTGTCGATACCGCGCAATCGAGGGGAGAGATGCCACCACCCTCACCTCCCAAGCGCAGAGCATCAACTCGCAACTCCGCCTCTGCCGCCACTGTCAATCCAGATGTCAGCGGCGAGGTGATCGATGCGCCGAACGCAGCACGCGCTTCTCCGTCGAAGGAGATCAATGAGGAGATTGTTCCATCGCTGGTCAAACAAGAGAACGGGACAACAGGCGAAAGTCCTCTGAGCGATGCGCCGGATGTTATTGAGGCGCCGCCGAAGAAACGAGGCCGACCGAAGAAGGCGAGCGTGGAAGAACAAGTCAAAGGCATTGAGAATGCGATTGATACTGTTGTTCAAGAGGCTGCGGACGATGCTGCCCAGCCGAAGAAGGGCAAGGGTGGGAAGAAGCTGGTGAAGCAGGAGGTTAAACAGGAAGACACTGAGGCGCAAGCGACAACATCTACTGCAGCGCCAGCCACGGCAGCACCAAAGAAAAAGAAAGGCTCGAACGATGAGCCTGCGGATCCGGAGGCAGATGAAGACGAAGAAGCGGACGAGGAGGAGGTCAAAGAAGCTCTGTCTCGGCCACCACCTGTCAACAGCGACTACCTTCCACTGCCATGGAAGGGCAGGCTGGGATATGCTTGTCTCAATACATATCTCCGCATGTCCAATCCTCCTGTGTTCAGCTCAAGGACGTGCCGGATCCAGTCGATACTCGAACATCGCCATCCTCTCCAGGATCCAACCCAGCCAGAACATCCTACCAAAAACCGCCCGGATCGTAACAAGCCAGCCGACGTGGAGCTGGGAAAGCGGTATGTTGAGGCATTATGCCTCGCTAACGTCAAGGACATTATCAAAATGGTGAGGTGGAATGATCGCTACGGTATCAAGTTCTTCCGTCTCAGCAGCGAGATGTTCCCGTTCGCTTCGCACCCGGAGTATGGCTACAAGCTTGCACCCTTTGCATCTGAAGCTCTTGCAGAAGCCGGAAAGGTCATAGCAGAGTTGGGCCACAGAGTCACAACTCATCCTGGCCAATTTACTCAGCTTGGGAGTCCAAGGTCATCGGTCATCGACAATGCCGTTCGCGATCTGGAGTACCACGATGAGTTGCTATCCCTCCTCAAGCTTCCAGAGCAGCAGGACAAAGACGCCGTCATGATCCTGCACATGGGCGGTGTCTTTGAAGGCAAGGCAGAAACCCTACAGCGGTTCCGAGAGAACTATGCCAAGATGCCGCAGGGAGTCAAGGATCGCCTTGTCCTTGAAAACGATGATGTATCTTGGACAGTCCACGATCTACTGCCGATCTGTGAAGAGCTGAACATCCCATTCGTGCTCGACTACCATCACCACAACATCATGTTCGATTCCTCGCAAATCCGGGAAGGAACCGCTGATATCGTTGAGCTCTACCCGCGCATCAAGGCGACGTGGGACAGGAAGGGCATCACGCAGAAGATGCACTACTCTGAGCCCACTCCTGCTGCCATCACCGGGCGGCAACGGCGAAAGCACAACCCACGGGTGGCGACGCTGCCGCCATGCGCCGTGGACATGGACCTTATGATTGAGGCGAAGGACAAGGAGCAAGCTGTGTTTGAGCTTATGCGGATCTTCAAGCTTCCCGGCTACGACACCTTCAACGACGTGATACCATACACGAGAAACGATGACAACAAGGCTGCCGATGCTGCTGCCAAGAAGAAAGCTCGAACGAAGAAGAAGGCGGCGGACGAAGAGGAAGAGCAGCCTGCACAACAACTTATCCCGGATGACGAGGTCGGCATGGGTGGGCCGGAGGGCAGGGTCTACTGGCCGCCGGGCATGGAGGAATGGTTAAGGCCGAAGAAGAAAGAGGTGAAGAAGAAGGAGCCTGGTGAGAAGACAGCTGCTCAGATCAAGAAGGAGAAGACGCAGGCGGAGAAGTTGTATGCGGCGCGGGAAGCTGAGAAGGCTGGGGCGAACGGCGTATCTACGGCTGAAGGCGCGGATAGTGATGTTGATGCGACGCCCGCGACGAAGAAGGCAAAGGCTGCGATGAAGAAGAAGGAGCAAGCGAAGGCTGCAAAGACTGCCACTGCTACTACCGAGTCTGCTCCACCGAAGAGCAGTGCGAAGAAGACCAAGGTCAAGAAAGAGGCTCCTATGCCGAGCCCACCGAGCGAGGAGTCGGAGGAGCCTGAGGAGCCTGAGCTGGATGACGAGGATGATGAAGAGCCTGTCGTTCCGGCGAAGAGGTCAGCCGCAGGTGGCAGGAGAGCAGGCGGCAGGAAGGCGAAGCAAGCGGTCAGCTATAACGAAGATGACGCGGAGATGGACGAGGAGTAGCCTCGTGTAGTAGGCCTCGTGAACGGAGGCGGGACATGCATCCGAAACGTCTACCTCGCAACGATTTGTATCGAGTTTATGGTGTCGCCGACGTTTGTAGTCGAACGTTTTGTTAGCATAGAAAATATCAAACCTCCTCTTCTGTCCCACTAGGCTCTGCAAAACCGCAGAAGACCATGAGGCAGAGATCGATGGAGCCCCGTTCAGAGGCTGTCTTCTCGATCGAACGAACGCCGATGCGTTCAGTGGTAAGCAGCAATGATCTATAAAGCTCGCGTAAGGACCCACTTCAACTGCTACCCAAGGCGACAACATCCAGCAATCTGACACTTTTACAACTCAGCATCGCTCGCGAGTCAACATCTAGAACCCATGGCCTCAACCATCAAGACAAGAATCCTGATCATATCGGACACCCACTGTGCGCAGTTGAGCAAAGACGAAGATGCTCCAAGCACATATCCCACGCCACCGTTCAAATCACCATTACCATCAGCAGATCTCCTGATTCACTGCGGTGATCTCACGCACAATGGCCTCATGGAGCAGTATCACCGGACTCTGGACATGATGAAAGAGATCGACGCGCCGGTAAAAGTCGCCATCGCTGGCAACCACGATTTGACCCTTGACCGAGACTATATTCTGAATCACGTAGGCAAGATGGGTGCTCAAGGTGCCTGGAACCTAGCTGGCTCCAAGGATGAGGCTGAACGCATAGTCCAAAAGGCGACAGACTTGTGGCTGTCTCCTGAGGGACGGGCAAGACAGGAAGGAGTTCGCCTGCTGGGAGAAGGGATCCATGGTATTGACCTGCCTAACGGTGCTCATGTTAAAGTCTACGCCAATCCATATACGCCTGAGTTCTGCGATTGGGCGTTCGCGTACGAGCACAACGAAGACAGGTTCAACCCGCCTGAGACAACTCTTCAGAACGCTTCCAACATTGCAGCCGAGGCGATGCCGACCTTTGACGAGCAACAGCCGATCGATGTATGCATCACGCACGGCCCGCCATACAAACGACTCGACGAGGTTATAGGGTCACATGAACCAGTGGGCTGTCCGCATCTCTTGAGAGCAGTGATGCGCGCTCGACCTTTGGTACATTGCTTCGGTCACATCCACGAAGGTTGGGGCGGTGAAAGGGTCACATGGTCTCAGGACGTGAGTGATGTCTCTATTCGTTCATGTTCGTTGGAGAACTGGAAGAACGGCGAATGGAAGGCTGGTGTGGCGCAGGATGGGGAAGGGATTGAGCCGGTCGATGTCGACATGGACGAGGCCAGAGCACGACATGGCACCTTTCTTGACCTATCCCATGACGGTGAACGTGGCTTGGCGAGAGGATCCGAGACACTGTTCCTGAATGCCGCCGTGATGACTGTTCGATACAAACCTCTCAATCCAACGTGGGTGCTGGACCTGGATCTCCCCGCGCGGAGCTGAAATGAACGTCGCACAACCTTCTGTCCTCCAGCCTTGAAGACGGGGGCCGTAAAGGCTGCCGGGACTGAGATTCACCATCTAATGCAACTGTTCTCCGAGGATCCCGACCTCACCGAAGTGTCACTGCCACCTTCACGACTCACTGGTCAATCCGAAGGATCTCAAGCGCAGTGCCAAGATCGTTTAAACAACCAACGCTGGCTAAAATTAGGTTCAGCAGGATGCGCGACTGGAGACCACCTGCTCTGCCACGCTACAGAACACAAGGCTCCTGACTGCAATATTGTTCCGGAACGACGGCAAGCTGTCTCTGATTCACTGGCCTACTGTAGCTGCTGTGCAAGGCTTGGCCGGGACCAAATTCGCTACAAAGGAGCAGCCGCGAGCCACGAGGATGCGACGGTACCTACTTATATCTCAGATCCTGCCATTGCGACTGCTCGTTTCTTCCGTCAAGCACCTCATCTCGACCTCCCCCTCCGACCACTATCTTTGTGGCATTTCAGCAGTATCCTACCATCAAAGACAAAACCCTCAGCCGCCATCATGTTCACTCAAGCAATCCTCCTCTCTTTCGCTCTGGGCAGCTACGCACAGTCGATCAGCTCATCGGCAGTACTGGGAAGCTCCAGCACTACAGCCTCTTCCGTGGACGCGCAGACGACCATGAATCTCTTTATTGATGCTGGCTCCGACCAACAATTCATCGGTGAAGTGTTGAACGCCGATTGCGATAAGACGACCTACGGCCTCTACTGCACCGAGGGCGACTATGGCTCTGGTATCCTCAGCAGCACTTGCGACCCTGACGCTATCGTACGTTGAACCATGATTGCCCGCAGCTTTTTATCACTCGCTGACGTTCCCCAGGCTCGCGCCACTTATGGCCCGGGCTCTTTTGGCCTCTCCACGGAAGCCATGACCTCTGGTGTCCGCGTCACTCTGGTCGAAGAGTGTCAACTGTCCGGAACCACGCAGGCTGTGTGTACCGCTTCCATCGGTGTGTCGGCCAACGGCGAGAACACCGCTACTTCGAGCACCGGCACCCGGACAGGCACGGACGTCAACTACTTCCAGGTGCCCATCACCGCCGGTGCAAGCAAGTTGGCGGCATGCACCGGATCAGACGCTTCCTCCTCTGGCAATGCGGCACCAGCAGCGACAGGCGCGGCCGAGGTGTGGAAGGTGTTGGTTGTTCCTGGTGCTGCTGCTCTGCTGGGTGCTCTGGCTTGAGCGGGTGGTCGACGAAGAGCGGTGTCCCGGGCATTGCTGTCCCGGCTGAGGATTTCAAGGAGCCTGCTGGCCCATTGCTGCGTCGCTGTGCGCATGAGAGTGTTCTGTATGATACCCAGCTAGCGTGAGGCGTAGCGTGCGAATGTGATGGCGAGTTTCCTGTGCATCCATTCATCCCTCCTTGCTTTTCAAGTAAACTTTCCGTCCGCAATGCAGAGCTTGCACCTTGGTCACCTCTCTCGCCTTTCGTGCCTCAGTCAAAGCCATCTGTGCCCGCACATCATCTGCGCGATACACCTCGACTTGCTTCTTCCGTTGCGCAGGTCCAAGATCTGTGCCTAGTTCCGGGTGGCTCTCCGCTGGTCCAAGTGATGCGAGCACGAGAGGAACAGCGAGAGCTACCAGGAGTCGAGGGAAGAAGTATGTGCCGGCCATGATGATTGATTGTTGTCAGTCAAGTGATCATATCAATCGTGAAAGAGAGAAGGCAAGAAGAGCTACGCAGGGTCGTGGTGGGGCTCTCGCGATGCGAGCTTGCTACCAGGACCGGCAAGAGACTGTCGGGGAGTCGACGATGGTCGGCAATGCGGGAAAATTCTTTGCATTCAAGAAATGCATGCTACGCTTGAAGAAGCAGACCGTCAAGCAGACGTGCCTCGGAAGTTCTCATATCGGTTGAGGTACGATCGTTGAACCACGATGAGGGGTTGGAAGATGTCCGTCTTCGGCCTCTAGACGACAACCTTGTTCACTGTCTGCATATAACGAAGTGATTAATGCAATGGCTCGACAGGCGCTGTTCAGGACTGCAAGAACTAGTAGGAACGTGTGGAGCTCCTCAACAACGACCATAGCAAGCGTCAGACATCATGCCACCATGAAGCCATCAACGATCGATTCAGGCTTTATCCTCTCTCTACCCAGACTGCCTAACCCAGCTACATCAGACCCAGCCTACAAAAGGATATTGGACTGGTACTTGCCTTTGCAGGTTCTTGAGAAACTGTGGCCGCGTCTGGAGAAGTTCGGTGGAGAAGCGGTCTCTGATCGAATAAACGATCACATATCCGATGCCGAGAAGCATCCTCCTTATGTTAAGACCCGAAATGTGTAGGCGCAAGATTACTGTCCGGATAACTCTGAGACATATGCTGACGCGGTAATCTTGAATGTAACAGCTGGGGTACCAAGTATCCACACGACAGACTAGTGACAAGTGAAGGGTGGAAGAGGGTAGGGGACTGGGGGATCCAGAACGGGTGCGTTTGATGCTTCTGCACTTCAAGTGGGACGACGGGCTTACCAGGGTATATAGTGTTGTCGCCGCTGGTTACGAAAACGAGTTCGGCCCATACAGACGCATCGCCCAACATGCGCTCAACTACATCTACAGCGCATCTTCTACCGTGTACTCATGTCCGGTCTCAATGACGAGCGGCGCCGGACGACTGATGGCGCGCCAACTCGAAGGTCTTCCGCCTCAGCATCCTTTCCACGAGGTGTACAGACGCATCACTACTCGTGATGTAAACGAGAACTGGATTTCGAGCCAATGGATGACTGAGCGTCCGGGAGGCAGCGATGTCCAAAACTCCGAGACTTTTGCTGTGCACTCACCTCTGCCATCCCAGGAGAAGACTGGAGACATGAATTTTGAAGAGGGAGACTGGCTGGTTTCTGGGTACAAGTTCTTCTGCTCGGCCACTGACTGTGATGTCGCGTTGATGCTAGCGAAGACCGAAAGTGGGCAGCTGAGCCTGTTCATTGCTCCGACGAAGAAGACAGTTCAAATTCCGGACGGCAGCACACAGCTGGAGACCAACGGCATCCGCTTTCATCGACTAAAGAACAAGATGGGCACGAAGGAACTCCCAACCGCCGAACTCGAGCTTCAGGACGTCCGCGCATGGATGGTGGGCCCAGTCGATCGAGGTATCGCGACCATCGCCACATTGCTGAACGTGACTCGGACGCACAACTTCGTAACAGCGTTGTCGTGCTGGCGCCGGGGCATGGCGATAGCCAAAGGTTTCGCCCAGACACGGACAACCATCGATCAGCCGCTTTGGACCTTCCCGATGCACTTGCGACTGCTCGCCGGCATGGAGGTGAAGTTCCAGGGCCTGTTACAGCTGGCCTTCTTCACAACGTCCCTCCTCAGCTTCGCAGACAATGGCTTTCCTCCAGACAGGTCGTCAAAGTACGCTCCGTTGCCAGAACCAGGCGAGCAGATGACCGTGGTGCAGCGGGCGCTTACCGCCGCTGCGAAAGCGGTGATTTGCAAAGTAAGCTGCATCGCCCTCCAAGAATGTCAGGAGGCAATGGGAGGGGTGGGCTACATGGACGAGCCGGACGAGCCTGAAAACAACATCAGCAGACTTTACAGAGACACAGCGGCCAACATGACTTGGGAAGGGACGACCAATGTCCTGAGCAGCGAGGTCGTTAGACATCTGCTGAATGGCAGAAACCTCGAAATCTTCAGCACCTGGTTTGAAGGCGCCGTCATCAGCAGGGTATCTGATGCCGACATTCGGGCCAAGCTTGAGGCTGCGTGGGCGGTCCTCAAGAAGCGCCTTTCGGTGGACAAGGAGGATCTAGGCGCCGTGTTGGCTGAAGGGAGACAGATCATGTTCAGTCTTGCGTGGGTAGTCAGCGGAGGCCTTCTCGCACATGACGCGCAGCGGGATGGCAATGCAGCGGCTGTTGAAGTGTCGCGCCGGTGGGTTTTGGATGGAGAAGGCGGAGTTGGTGAATTTGTGATCCCAGAGGTCATCCACAGCCAACACAGGCGCGCTGTTGATGCGAGGAAGCGCCTCAACTGGGACTGCCGCCTGGTATGGGGTGTTGAATTGCCGCAAGATGCTGCGCTGGGATATCGGGCGCCATCCAAGAAGACGAGCGGCGAGCCAGAGAAGATGGTGGCAAGGTTGTGATGAAGAAGGCATTTTGATCTTGCAGCCTGGCGGACGAGGACTAAAGCGTGCTCGTTGTTCTATGCGGTCGGATAAGTTCGTGCTGGTAAAACGCGTGCATTCTAGATTGTTGGCGCGCTTGTCCAGTGCCTACCTGATCCATCATAGGGAGGACTCGACCTCCTCCTTCCAATCATCCTCCGCGAAAAGAGCAGTTGTATCCTCGCATTGCTGTATAGTATCTTTTACACGGGCAATAGAGTCTTGGAAGACATGCAATTAGCGTCCTTCGCCAATACGAGGCTGAGATACTGCGAGTCGTGTTTCTTTGCGAGCGATCGGGCGTCCGACTCATGGCCTCGACGGTCCGAAGTCGTGGCATACTCGAGGCACTCGCATTCGCCATCAGCAAGGCTCCAAGGACCTTACCGTGCGAAAGCGTTGCGCTGTCTCTTGGGAGACGTTGCAGACGTTCAGGCACTCTCCCGTCGGCTGCGTGTCACAAGCGAGCCAGGCGCGACAGGATGGATGCGGCGCAAGGATCGCATTTTAGGGTGTGATCCTATCGTAGGGGGTAGAACGAGACATCCCGGCTGTGTGCATCTTCCGAGCATCTTTCCCACCACCACCAATCAGAAGAGACATCTATGGCCGTGTTGTAGCTGTGCGACTGTGATGCGCCTGTTGACGGGCATACAGTTTATGCATTCCCATGTACAACAGCGACGAGTAGAGAAAGATAAGCTCTTTCGGCGCCGGTCAAGTGCAAAGATGTGGCTTCACGACGTCAGTCCGGGGCGCTGGCTGGGTGGGTCCCAAACGTCCAGCTCCAGAAGGGCTAGCCGCACATCCGCTTGCCCGCGTGTGCTCATTCACCTTGTCATCAGCCGGGGCCATGTGGCTGCTCGAGAGGGCTGGCGGAAATAGCGTAAGGTAAGCCTGGAACCGGGATCCACCACCGTGCGCCATCCTTCCGTGAAGACAGCTTAGCTGTCGAAGGTTTCGAAGCCGACTGCTGCGAAAGAAGACTATTCATCAGACTGCAAAGGGGTCATAAATGTATTCACATGACGGAGGCCATCCAGGAATGCATGTGGTTGTCTCGGCTCACTGCTGATGCATTCTCCACTGATAAATCAGCTGCTCGTTTCAGCCTGGACAGCGACAGCCCCAGACATTTGGAGGAGTAGTGGTACAGCATTGTGTGGTATTGCGACGCTGTGGTCCGGCTTGGCATGCACTCATGCACCCCTCCGCTCCATACAGTAGTTGGTCCCATAATTTAAAGTGCTGTGCTGTGCTACCAGAGCTCCCAGAGCGGTGGTTTATTACCGTGATCCTGCTGCACCTTTGCCGCGATCGGAATCTGCAAGGTGCCCAAATGACGGCGATACGCCAATCGCGTGGTCGGGGGTCGTGAAAGCACCATGGCCACCACCACCGTTTCCACCGCGCTCGGAACTGTAACCTGTGGCGCCTGCCTCGAATGGGTGGCGTTTCTAGACTTCGCATGACTGTCGTATATCATCGTTGTACTGCAGGAGTAGGACTGCCAGGCCGGTGGCACTTGTCCCCTTGATCGTGGAGGCACGGAGCGCGTGCTCGATCAAGTGAGGTTCCGGATGAATCGATCAGCGACTACGGGCGGTAGCGAGAAGATAGAGAGACGATGCCGCCATCGCCTGCCCTCCCGCAGGCTAAGTGGACAAGGAGTTCCCGGGGTGGTTCCACAATCTCGCGCGCCACAAAGTCTTGCATGGTGCCAATGGTGCCGGTGCCGCCCAGCCAATCTGCATCGGAGCAGCGTGGGTAGATGGGTAAGGGTCGTCGTGATGCTCGCGGCTCGCGGACATGCGAGCGCCCAGTCTGCCTCATCTGCTGCTGTCTGCTGTCTTCCTTGCCTCTCTCCTCTCCTCATCACCCGCCCTCCCGCCTGCCACTGTTTCGTGTGATCACTCGTTTCCGAACTCCGACGACAAATCGCAACGGTATACCATCGTCGATACATCACGGCGTAGATAAATTGGATTTGGTGTTGCTTGTGAGGCTGAGGTGGTTGTGGTTGTAGAGTGAGTCGCTGCACTTCCTCGGCTGGAGACGGTACCTCATACTAAGAACGCATTCAAGACACCTTCACCTCATCGCCTCTTCCTCCTTCCACAATGGCCAGCCAGGCCTCACCCAGCGGTCCCCTCCACTACCCTCCTCAAGCTCGGCAACAACCACCGAATGGCGCCTTACCAATGCAGCCGCCGCAGCATCAGCGCTCGACGGCGCAATTCCTCGCGCAGGCCAACGAACAGACATGGCTCGCATTGGGTGCGCTATCAGAACAGATGGGCGAGCCGGACAGCGCGACAGCAGCTTACGAGCGCGCCATGCACTTCAACCCGTGGTCGGTCCCCGCCATGCTCGCCATCTCGTGCATCCTCCGCTCCAAAGACCAGTTCACCTCCGCCGTGGAATATCTTAGGCAGATACTCAAGGTCGACGCGACCAATGGCGAGGTCTGGAGCAGTCTCGGTCATTGCTATCTGATGATGGATGATCTGCAGCAGGCGTACTCGGCTTACCAACAGGCGCTGTACCATCTACCGGACCCGAAAGAGCCCAAGCTGTGGTACGGCATAGGGATCCTGTACGACCGCTATGGCTCTCTCGAACACGCCGAGGAGGCATTCTCCCAAGTCATGCGGATGGAGCCGCACTTTGAGAAGGCAAATGAGATCTACTTCAGACTTGGTATCATATACAAGCAGCAGCAGAAGTTTGCACAGAGTCTTGAGGCGAGTATTCGCGATGCTCGCACAGAACCCGAAACTGACGCCTCACACAGTGCTTCCGTTATATCGTAACCGACCCACCGCGACCTCTGAGCGAGGAGGATATCTGGTTCCAGATCGGCCACGTGCACGAGCAACAAAAAGACGTCAGTCTGCTTCAGCCGCCTTTGTCTCCCAGCCGCGCTAATGCTGTGACAGTACGACTCTGCCAAGTCAGCCTACACGCGTGTCCTTGAGCGCGATCCCAATCATGCCAAAGTCCTGCAACAGCTGGGTTGGCTGCATCACCAACAAAGCACAAGCTTCAGCAGCCAGGAGCAAGCCATCGAGTATCTCGAGAAGTCTGTCAATTCAGGTAAGCTTTTGCCATACGCGCTTCTTGACACATGCATCTGATTCTGCTTTCTTGTCAGACCAAACCGACGCACAGAGCTGGTACTTGCTTGGCCGATGTTACATGTCACAGCAGAAGTACCCGAAAGCCTACGAAGCCTATCAACAAGCGGTCTATCGTGACGGCCGCAACCCGACGTTCTGGTGTTCCATCGGCGTACTCTATTACCAGATCAACCAGTACCGGGATGCGCTGGACGCATACTCACGTGCCATCCGTCTCAACCCTAACATCTCTGAGGTCTGGTATGACCTCGGTACTCTCGTAAGTCTGCCGCTTCGTGTTGAGAATAACACAAATACTGACATTGGACAGTACGAGTCGTGCAACAACCAGACCAGTGATGCGCTGGACGCATACTCGAGGGCTGCTGAGCTTGACCCGAACAACGTTCACATTAAAGCACGTTTGGCCCTGCTCAAAGGGCAGCCCACAAATGGCCTCCCGAATCAAGCTGGTGCGCCGCTGCCACAGGATGTACATCCACAAGCTTATCAGCCAGCTGGCACGATTGGCGGACCACCAGGCCCGCAGTGGGGAGCGCACGCGCAGAATCCGCCTCCTGGGCCTGCTCCACCCCCTCTTGCGGCTGGCAACAATTGGAATGGTGGTCGTCCTGCGGACTTGCAGAACCCTCAGATGCAGCCGCAGCCGCTCAACCCCTTCGACCATCGAGATAGGATGGCGCCTCAAGGTCCACCCCGGGCACCTAGCCCACCGAGGCATGAGCCATCCCGACCATTCCAAGAACAGCAGCCTCAGCGTCCACCACCACCACCTCACAGAGGCCTCTCCACGTCACCCAAAGGACCTCAGTCCGGCCCAGCACAATTCCACCAAGGCCCGCAACACCATGGTCAGCAACTCCCGCCTCAGCAACAGGGACCTCTCGATCCACACCGTCAAGGCTACGGCCCTCAGCATGGCAATGGCCCTTCTTCATCAAATGGAATGCCTGGCTCTGCCTCTCACACGCCACTTCCGCCTTATGCTCGCCAACCCGAAATGCAACCTGAAATTCGTCCTCTCGTCAATCACCCTGCTCGGTCGCCAGGCGGGCTAGGCACGCCAGCTGGTCAACGGACACCGTTCGAGTATCACGCACATGGTGCACCAAACATTGCTAGCGGAGCGCCGCCGCCTACCTCTGCCCAGACTGCTGCAGATGCCGCCGCGGATGCCGGTGGACGCGAGCGTGAGGAGCGACCCGGCAGCACAGCACCGCCAAAGCGTGTCCGAGAATGGGACGACGATCCAGCCGGAATGAAGAAGCCTTCTACAGACGAGGCACGTTCCCGCTTGGACGAGATCAAGATGCACCGGTCTTCGCCGCCCGACAAGATGGCCACGCCTCCCAACCGCAGCCCTTCGGAGCTCCGGCGAATGGACGATCAGCGACCAACCTCTGGATACCATCCTTCCGAGGCTACACACCATCTCCCAGCGCTCCCTTCAATGCACTCGATCGCTCAGCCTGCTCCCACCGGATCGGCACCACCACAAGAGGAGCAACGAGCACCTCCACCCCCTCCTCAGCCGCAGCCAGTCTATGAGCCTGCTGCACGGAAGATGGATGTCGACGAAAATTACGACGACAGCGGAGATGACAGGTCGGCGACCAAGCAGGAGAGTCAGCGCAACAGCCCTCGAGCCCAGGCTCCGCCTGCAGGTGGCGCCATTGAGCAGGCTGTGTAACGCGGTGTTCTTTCTGCTACGAAACGTGATGACATGGCTGCCTGATGATGTGATATGTCTATTAGAGCTTCTCTTCTGTCATTTGACGATGATGCGGTAGAGCATGGTTTCTGCGAGCTAGAGAGCACGGGTGGCTGCTATTGCTTCGAAGCTCAGAGAGCGAAAAGAGCGTCCTGTTTATAGTATTGTATCCACGCGAGTGCTTGACTTTGAAATCGTTACATTCTCTCGTTTGTATTCGGTCATCCAGTGCAGATCCAAGAGGAGGTGCGTTTTACCTTTAGTTTGCGTCATCGAGATCGACGTCAGAATGAACAGACGGGAAGGATCAAACAACGAGCATTACTTAAGAACCACACCATAACTGACCTACGTACCTTGGACCACCATACCTCATACGACAACATGCCTCCATCTGGCCTCGCAATCCTCATAGGAGCCGGCCCAGCAACTGGCGCCGGAATCGCTCGTATCCTTGGCCATCCTCAGCATGGCAACCTCGCCGTAGCCCTCCTCGCCCGCCGGCCAGAGGCCTTGGACGAGCTCGTTGGCAATCTCAGGTCACAGGTGCCTAACGGCGTCTTCGAAGCGTTCCCAACCGACACAAGCCCCGAGAGGCTTCGGAAGGCTTTCGCGGAAATAAAATCACATCAGTCGTTCTCTGGGTTGAAATTGACGACATCCATCTTTTCCGTGAAGAATAGCGCGAAGAAGCCCTTTATGCAGGAGAACTTTGAGGCCTTCATGGATCCGCTTGAATCGTGAGTGGACTACGACGATCAGGGGGAGAGGTTGATGCTGATTGAGTCAGATATGTGGGCGGTGCGATGGTGTTCTCCCAAGAGTCGATCAAGCGGTTCTTTGAGGATCATGGGGAGAAGACTCTGGCGGAAGGGTCGGAGAAGAAGGGCACGTTGATCTTTACTGGGACTCTTGGAGCGCTGAGGTGCAACGTACGTCTGATCAAAAACAGTATCTTGGTCATGAACGATCAGCTGACGCTGGTCTACAGTCAGAGTTCGCTTCATACGGAGCCTCTCGAGCAAGCGTACGACAGCTTGCCCAGGCGTTGGCGCGTGAGATGAGCCCGAAGGGCATTCATGTGGCTCACACGATTGCCAATGGCCGTATCACAGATGCCGACAACGAGGACACGAGGACTGGAAAGCATATGACTGCCGATGCCGTGGGCAAGACGTATGTTCAATTATTTCTTTCACCACTTGGCCATGACTGACTTGAAGTGATTATAGATACCTGTGGCTCTCGCAGCAAGAGCCGTGTCTTTGGACGCACGAGTTGGACCTGAGACCGGCACAGGAGAAGTTTTAAGAGTCATGGAACGTCGTCTGTGAGACGGAACATGACTCTGACTATTGTACATACTGCATCCGACTCCACAATGCAACGATTTTGATCCGCCAACCCACCCATCTGATCAATCGGATCCAACGCGTTAGACCGCGGCATCTTCTCGCCCTGAGCATTGAGGCTACTCTCGGGGCCTCCAGGCGACGTAGCAGAAGAAGTGGCAGTCAGGTTCTGGCTTCTCCGTGACACTATCGCCTACTACAAAGGCTCCTGCTAGGCGATGTTGTTCCTACTATCATAGAGAGCTATACTCTCTGCCCGTTCGTCGCACCTTCTCCTAGAAACAATCTCCTACCTAGATGCTTCTCAATATACTTTCCTTACAGTCTTGGCTGCGGAGACTGCCACTTCTTCTACTACGTCGCCTGCCAACCTGCCTCGTACCGCACCCAACAACTATTGGCCAAGCTCTCGTCTGTCGCCTGTCTTCCGCGCTCGCTTGCACAACGACTGATAGCAGAGTGCGGTGTTTATCGACCGGAGCGCTCGAGTCCGGTCGCAACGAGGCTACTGTGGATGGGTGATATCTAAGCGAGGGTCAAATGGGATGCCTTGATCTCGAGCCAAGCTGTGACGGATATTCCACAGGAGCCTAATCTAGTAGCACTGCTGCATGTCAAGTGCGACTGACTGTGCAGGCTCCTCATCCACGAGACGAGCACGATCACGGCTAACGTTTAGCGGTTATCTTGGTGTGGTTGGTTTGGTTGGCAACAACCACATGCAGACAACCAAGCCTAAGCCATACCGTGCATTTCCTAGTGGTTGTTTTTTGACAGGACGTTCGTCAGTCATGCAGGTTGACAGCTTCGCTTATGCGAGTATTTGATCGCGGGAGGTCATGGCAGCACATCCTATTTGCTGCCACTGTTGAGGACAGTGGATCGGGGAGTAAGCGCAACGCATTGCTTGGTGTGTCTGCTCTAGTTCTATGTAGCCGGTGCTGGAGGCCCACGACACGTATGGGACCAGCGGAAGGACTCCGTTAGAAGAACAAAATCATCGTCTAACACCAATGGCTGCTTCTCCGCGAACCGTACATTCGTACGCACACGCATCACGCCACGCAGTTACGGCAAACCCGGTCGGAGAACAGAGCCATGTTCAAACACAGCCTTGCGTTGCTCCTAGCTACCGCGACGCATTTACGCCTTCCATGGCCCTGCATCCGTCGCTGAAGTGGCAACGCATTGTGTTGAGAGGCTGATCACTGCACAGCACTCTGCACTCAGTCGCCTTGAAGAAGTCCTCCTGCCTTTCATCGAATTTGCCAGCCACTCAACTCCGACGACCAAGATCTGGTGGAGACAGAAACTTCTTATTGCGCCGGGAAGTTGCCGCATGGTCGTCCTGGGTCTCGTCCATCCGACTGCTTTGTGTCAGCGATTGCTCCTGCGAGATTGTGACATCGAGACCAACGATGCATTTGGCGCAAGCAGAGCCTTTCTGGGTTACCTGTCGATTGTCAGTTTCCATGCCGAACCTTTGCGACTGATGATGATGTGCATACCATGTGTTTGCATCCAAGATATCGATGGATGCACTGCAAGCAGCCAGTCAGCCCAGAATCGCCCTTGGACGCTTCGAACTTTACCTACGGAATACTACACGCGAGAGCGTGAGGACGTTAGCATGTGTCTCAGATGATGCGCCGAGGATGGGTGTCTGCCCAACAGCAACGTACTGTGTTGTATTTGCCCTCCTGCGCGGCTGTTACTTGATCTGATTCTGCCATTTTGGGTAGGTGGTGCTGTGACAAAGGGTTCTGAGAAGATGCTGAGAAGGCGCTGCTGGTAGATGCTTCTCATGCAGCGAGGATCAGATACTTATACCTCCTTGAACTACCAAGGTAGGCGTACACTTGAATTCGGCAATAGCATTGCGGGAAGCGACCCGCGGCAGAAGTTCATGCCACTGTGTAGAGACGAGGCCGTTCGTATAGTGCGATGGCCAGTTTATGGAGGCATATGTGGCAGTACCCGTATGTGGCCAGTCCAAGGCATGCCACGCTCGACTGGGGCGCCAGCCATTGTCCGGACCAAGTGGTCCATTAGGCCAATGGCCGTCAGTCGAACAACCAGATGGCTTTGTCGTTTGACGTTTGGCAGATGCCGATGCGGGACTCGATACGTTGGTTGGTTGAGATCTGTAGAGAACGTCAGATCCTTAGGCTGCATTGGCCTACCTTAGTCAATACAGCACAAGTTCTCCCAACCAGCATGAAGTAGATACCGAAGCGATGCAATGGGATCGCTTCCGCAGAGCGCCTTCGTCCAGACTAGCAAGCGTTTCCAGGGGCTTTACTGCAGGACGGAAAAGAGACTACGACGCAACCAGTCCAGTGAACGATGCACCAGTCCGGCGGAATCGACCAGAGCAAGCATTGAGGAGACTGCCGTGGTGCATGAGCAGAGGCCTAGCCTGGTACGGTCCATCTGCTACGACGACAAAGAGGGCCGGAGAACGACCAGCTGTTGTGGCCGGGACTGCTCGTGAACGTCCACCAGGTACTCGGGTTGGTGTTTTTGAGCGCGTAAATAGCCGGTCGTTTGGGCAGTACCTGAGTACAATGATAGAGGGCATGCTTACTGCAGCATCCCAATTGAACCACGGTCGAATCTCACATCACGTGATCGAGCTGAGCGAATTTCCATCGCTTGGAAGCTGGTCTTGGGGGTCTTTGGCTGAAGAACGTGGCTTGATCGAGGGCTACCTCGGTAGCGGCAAGGTGAGTGAATGATCGTGGTGGGCTTGGTGGATTGCTGTCATGCCAGCGTGGTGACATCCATGTCCTGCTTCGCTGTATCCATCCGGCCCGACCTCATGCCGAGATCTCGGTCAAGTTATGCATGAGATGCAGACTGCTCGGGCCAATACCGCAAAACATGATTGCAACCGCAGTGAGCGCTTATATTCCATTCGGCTCGGTGCAGTATACAGCTGTGTCGTGGTTATACGCAAGCTTGGCAAGCGCATGAGAAAGACTTCCAGGCAAGCCGTCGACAGTGGAATGGGCCAACTAGGGCAGGGTGAGCAATGTGAGGGATCTTCTCATAGACAATGACGAGTCACCGACGCCGACGCGAGTGATCTGGTCGTTTTGGCCGCAACTTCGTCTCGGAGAAGACTGCCAGATGGCGCGGTTGGCCCCTTTCACCGTCTGTTGCTTGCCAGGTTCGTCCAGTGCCGGATCTCGCGAAGATACCCTTAGTCGCGGCTAAATGAATGAGTCGGCACTGCCTGCCGCTCTCTCGCCGCTCTCTGTGCTCTCCCACGCCGACGCTGTTGAGATCAACATGGTCACGTTTTCTCCGCACATGAAGACTGACTGGCCGCCGTCTTTCATTGGCCATGAGGTGTGGGCACCCGCCTTCGGTCCAAGCATATCTCTCAAGGTTTGAAGCAATTCAACCTTCCCCCCGCGGTGAGTAGCAATTGGATTCCTGGTGGGGGGGATAGGCCAGCACCCTCGCTCTTCCGCTGTCGAGAAGGGCCCCGGCGGAGGAGTCTGACGACGAACACCAGCAGCTCCTAGGAAGCAGCGAGAGCTCGCCCTCGCGCTAGATCTTTCCAGAACTTCTGAAGCCGAGGCACTTAACTCACGGCAAACAGATCGACTCTCGAACAATTGGTGGGTTCGCAGCTCGCGTCGACGCCATGCCGCTTTGCCTGCCGGATCCCACGTCCCGAGTGCAACGCTCCCAGGTACTGCTGCACGCCGTACCCCACGGACATGTCTTCTTCCACCTAGTCTCCCCCAGTGGAGGGTCTTGGAGGGTGTCGCGAGGTGGCGGGAAGCAGGTCAAACCTGGTTGTCTTTCTCGTCGCCGTCGCACCGCTGGTCCCAGTCCGGCAAAGCCTCCGCGATCTGCATCTTAAGCAGACAAGCCTTCAAACGCGGTTTGATTGCACCGCTGCAAGGATAGAGATTGTGGTCGGGGGCTATCAGTGGCTCCAGTCTGCCCGCTTTTAGGGCGCGCCTCAGGGACGGCAATTCGCCATGTAGTCTAGAATGAAGTTGAAAGCATGTCGTCTCGTCGCATACCGCCTTGTAGGTTCGACACCCTACTTTCGCTGGAAGTTTGTGTGAGGCTAGCAGCTGACAACGTGTTGGACGCTGTTCCCAATGGCTCATTGAGACTCTATTCTCCGCAACCATGATGACGTCTACAATACTCGCTGCGACGCAGCAACCGCCAGATCCTGCGCTGGGTAGGATGGCTGGCCCACCGCCGAAGAAGAAGAGGAAGCGTGCGGGTACTGGGGGAGCGAACGATGACTGCTTCGCTTGTTCTACGCGAGGCGCAAAGTGCGACAGGAAGAGGCCATACTGCACGCAGTGCATCGAGATTGGGAAAGAATGCTCTGGGTACAAGACGACTCTGACTTGGGGCGTGGGTGTAGCGAGTAGAGGCAAGCTGCGTGGGCTGACATGCCCCATTGCGAACAAGAATGCGGATGGGACCGATGTCAGCGCTGTGGAGCTGGAGGCAAGGCGACGCAGGAAGAGCTCTACATCTCAGATAAAGAGGGAGAATGGTACCAAAAGACCTGCGTCTCCAGGGTCGTATGCTGGCGGAGCTCGAGATACTGAGACAACGGCGGACTTTGGCGAAGGTCTAAAGGCCACTCAGACCTACCCGTTCCCCAATGGCCCGTCAGCAGGCTGGCAAAGCCTGGCTGGCGAGAGCTCTATCTGGCAGAGAAGGACAGACGACATCCGACATCAGTCGGCAAACCTCAGGTTACCTTCCATTCAGACTGGATTCGATGCACCGATTGACCCGCTCAAATCTGCGCAGTCGATGAGCTCGTACAGTGATGCAGCGTTCTATTCACCAGTGGAATACCCTCATACGCCGTCGTCTCTGGCATTTCCCGAGCCATTGACACACTCAATGTCCGCTCCGTTTCCAGACTCGGCGTCTACCATGAATGCAGACCATTATCATGCTTCGGGAAGCACTGCCACTGAGACTTTCCCTGGATCTGCGCAATCGCAGGCAGAGTTCGCTCAGAGTCAGTCTGGCTTTACTGCGAATGGAGCAGTGCACGAGCAGGCCACCCTTGAGCTGCTCCCTGGAGTGTTCTATGATGGTAGCACGGATGTGCCAACGCCAATCTCCACCATCACCTTCAACCCGCTCGGCAGCGAGCTGGATGGAGAAGCCGACGATATCGAAGACATCAAGGCCGAAGACGACAACAACCAAGTGTCTGTAATCGACGCCCGCTTCAGCAGCCCCTTCTTCCAAGTCTCACCTCGCTTGCGGCAACTGATCAACTACTACGATCGCCATATCTGCCCCTTCCTCGTGACGTTCGACAATACGGAGAATCCATACCGCAAGCACATCCTCCAGTTCGCCCTGCAGAACGAGGGCCTGCAACACGCCATCGCCGCCCTCGCCACCAACAACTTCCGCATGCGCACCAAAGAATTGCGGCAGAAACCCGGCCATGTCGAGGAGCTAGACGACAACATCTTCAACCCCAACTTCACCCTCGACCCCAGCGGCCCCACGCAGGAGGAATCCTGCTACAAGCAAATGTCCATCAACCACCTCAACATGCGCCTCGCCGACAACCGCTCCGCGCAAGACGATTCCGTGCTCGCCACTCTGCTCATCCTCTGCCTCTTCCACGTCTGCGACTCGGGCTTCAGCAAGTTCAAAACCCAGCTTGCAGGCGTGCAGAAGCTCCTCTCGCTCCGCCACCCCAACACGCAATCCGAATTTACGCGCTGGGTCGAGATGTTCTTCACCTGGTTCGACGTCATGACCAGCACCGTCAACGACCGCGAGGTCCAGATTAAAGGCGATTCTCTAGCGATGCTCGACTTCAACGCCAACCTAGGCGCCATGGAACACTTCTCCGGCTGCGACGGGCGCCTCTTCAAACTCATCGCCCGCCTTGGAAGGCTCAACCTCCTGGCCCAAGGCCGTCCCGTGCGTGCTTCAAACTCCGGCGCCCAGACCCCTCGTCCAACAAACTGGTGGCGCAAGCCCTCCCCTTCGCGAATCTCGTCCCTGCTGCCATCCGACTACGCCAACATGGACGGCAATGGCTGGGGCGCCCCCATCCTCCCTCCCACCTCCCCCGAACCCGAAGCAGACCCCTCCCTCGACCGCTCGGACTTCTGGTCCGAGTGGCACACCACCCGCTCCCGGCTCGAGACCTGGACGCACCCTCCTCACCCTCCTTCTACAACTTCACCGCTGGACCAAGCAGATCTATACCACATCAACGAATCCTTCCGTCTCGCCGCCTTGCTGTACACCGAACGTCTCGGATCACCATTACTCCCGAGCTCAGCGCCCCCGTTCCAGAACCTCGTGACCCGCGGACTCACGCACATAGCTTCGCTGCGCGTAACTTCATGCGTGAATAAATTCCTCCTATGGCCGCTTTTCATCATCGGGACGGAGAGCGTGGATGAGGGACATCGCGAAATTATCCGTGTGAGGTGCAAGGATGTGGCGGAGGAGAGTGGGTTCTTTAATAATATGAATACGTTGTTTGTGCTGGAGAGGGTGTGGATGGAGGTTGGGAGTAATGTGATGGGGATGGAGGCGGAGGAGGTGAGGGCGCGGAGGAGGGATAGTGAGGCTGGGGAAGGACAGGCGTTTCGGTGGCGGAAGGCGATGGATCGGGTGGATGGGGAGTACATTGTTATATAGCTGAATACGAAATGAGATGATGTTGATGACCAAGATGGAAATGGCAAACACGAGGAGGTGGAGACGAAAAGTTCGTGGACAAGTTCATTTACATTATGCACGTAGCTGAGCTCTGATTACAGCAATCAAACTGCCGACCTCGTGCACTCTACCCCTTCTCATCGCTTTCGTACGACCGTGAATCCATCGCTCAATAACTCATGCCTTGTGGGGTATACCTCCGAACGCCCATGATACGCCTGCTGATGCTCAAATGTGATCGCGCTCCCTCAAGAAGCCGCATACGCCGGTATCCATGACCGCAAGATGAATGTGCAGCAACGAACGAGTGGTAATGCAGTGGTTGTGAAAGGAAGTGTGTCGCTCAGATGAACAGTGCGGCGCCGAGGGCTGCCACCATGCCAATCGCCACAGGCTGCTGGTTGATGGCGCCGTTGGTCGCTGCGGTCGGAGCGGCGGTGGTCGTGGCTGAACGGCTGGTGTTCTCGGCTCCGGTCATCTCGCCTGGAGGAAAGAATTGTTAGCTTCTTGTTGGTCATGTGATTTTGTGGTGGCAACATACCTGTCTTGGAGCTCTTGACGGATTTGGTGGTAGTGAGGGTGCTGCTCTTGGTGACGACGCCCGTGGCAGATCCGCTCGCGGTGGCTTGGCTGAGGATCGAGGAACCGACGGAGGCTTCGTAGCTGCTCAAAGCGCTGCCGGTGAGGGTGGGTGGCGGGACCGGAACGGTGGCGGAGGCCGTGATGCTGCCGCTGGTGGTGATCACGCTGACCTCGCTGCTCGAACGTGCTGGCGGTGGAACGACGACCGTAGTGCTGGACGCGGGAACGGTGGCCGTGGTGAGGGTCGTCTCGACGGAGGTCTCGATGGAAGAGACGGTGGTCGAGGCAGTGTACGGAGGCTGCGAGGTTGCTGGCGCGCTTGGAGTTGTCGGGATCGGGACTGTTTCAGACAATGAGCTCGTTGTCACCGTGAGGCCGTAAGAGGTGAAGACGCCAGGTGCGAAGGTGACGGGTGGGCTGGGTGAGTTGGTGTTTAGTGCAGACGTGAGGACTGTGAGGGCATTGGGGGAGGGGCTTGTTGACAAGACTGGTGAGCTTGACGGAGGCGAGGGGAGTGATTGGGGAGACGTCAGGATGAGGGTCGTGCCAGTGCTGAGGGGGGTTGACAGGGCAGCATCTGAACACTCACCGACAGGAACCGCCGAACAATCGGTTGGTGCCACTGTGGTTACGACCGTGACTATCGCCGACGTCATTAGCCCTGGAATCATCACGCCATCGCTCGTAGTGTAAGCCTGTATAATCTCTGGGAGCGCGTCAGCATTGTCATGAGCATGAGAAGTGTTTTGAAGTCGGAAACGCACCACCAGTCTTGTCAGCAGCCACTAGGGCGAAGAGGGCGGCGGCGCCGAGGAAGATCGCGGAGCGCATCTTGTCGAGTGTGGTGGAATTGATGTTCGTGATGTGGAGGAGTAGTGTCTGCTGGGGATCAAGCAATTGATGGATGTGAAGAATGCTGAGTGTGGTGTGTTGTGGTGAAGAAGAAGGATGGAGGAAAAGAAGGCGGCGAAGTTTTGATATGGCTGGGCCCACTAGCGCTTGCCAGCCAAGCAGACGCCACACGTCGAAGTTACACCACCGCAGATTCACAAGATGGCACAGGGCAGGTGCGGATCTGCCGTTTGCTGGATCTTGCATGTGCTCGAGCACCGCTCCGTTGGTTTTACTGCACTCGTCCGCGTCTTGCAGGGCTACATTAATGCGCACAAGAAGTCTCAATGCCTGCTCAACTCAAGCGTGCCCAGTTTCCTGCCAGCGCCTAAACTACGACTCCATCTCCACCTCGAACACAACTGCTCGAAGATCGAGACTAGCGACTGCCACAATATCACTTTCCACGATTCCTGAAAGCACTTTCTACCGTCGAGAAGCAGCAGAGGGGGGGCGACGTCCAGGGCCCAGCGAAGAAGGCAAGTCTCGCTCATGTCGCCAGCCACTCAAATCGCTCCTTCCCAGCCAACGCCCGCACTAGCGTGCATTAGCGCGTTTGAGGTGAAAAGTAAATCTTGGAACACATGTGGACGAAGCAAGGCACAAACGCAGGAACAGCAGACCGCATGTTGACGTTGATTGATCATTATCTATTGTATCTACTGCATGCGCTGGCATGCGATCGCTTCCTGACACCAGCCCAGCACTGCTCGCGCGACCATTCCCACGCTCGAGGAGGAGACGGCAACTCGCAGCAGGTTCCTGCATGTACTACACGACCGCGCGGTGGTGCGTCGTTGCATGCGTCGATCTTGTGCTCTTCATGCACTCTCCGAGATGAAGTAAGGAAGCTGCGAGGGTGTTAGACAAGCCTCATGTGCGTCAATGTGGCGGTTGCAGGAAGGAGGAGATGGTTGATTTCAGACAGCAGTTGGAACAATTGGATGTCCACATAGTAGTTCAGAACAGGTCTGTGTGATATTGTTGTGTCATCATTGTAGAGTGGAGAGGGAAGACAAGGAAAAGAGTGTTACGTACCTAGCGCCTTTGCTTGCCGGATGCAGAAGCACGGGCATCTTCTCGACCATGAAGAGGCAACAGCATGGCCCTCGGGTGCTTGATTGCACTTGGAACGCTGTCGATGGTTCGGGGACCGTGAGAAACGCACGCGCTTTTCCCGAACCCAGAGAGCGAAGAGCATGGCCTCCTTGTGCTAGATTGTGCCCCGAAGGCTGTCAGTAGCTCGGAAAGCAGAGTGTAGAGAAACCTGAGTACAGAATGCTCAGCTCAGACGCGGCTTCTTGAAGAACGACTCCAGCTTTCGCTGGCCGTCGTCGTGGGCGAGTGACCCGATGCCTCCTCGCTGCCTTTTGAGACCAAGGAGGTGGATCGTACTGTCGACCGCCAGAATCGTCGTAGACCAACCGGACAACAGCTGTGGCAATGGTGTAGAAGAAGAGTTTTGCTCGTCCGTCTTTGGCGTAGCGATCGATACTTCAGCATCTCCCGGCTCAAGACGGGGCGGAACTGGCGTAGGCAGAGCAGTGGCATCAGTAGGTCCAACATCTTCCGAAGCGGCCACCGGCGACTGCAAAGCCTCTTCACGAGGCTCTTCAGCCTTCTTGAAAGCCAGCTCCATGTACCCAGTATTGCTCCACCCGCCCAAGTACTCCAACACAGCACCACCCCTCTTCTCCTTCACCTCAGGCGCGATCACCAGACTTTGTCTCGGTAGCCTGACCAGCAGTCTTCTCCAAAACCCGGCCAACAGCATCCCATGCGCGACGACCGCAACGACCAATTCATCCTTCCCATCCTCACGGAGAAGAGGTATCAACCGCTCATCCAAAAACCTGTCCACTCTCGCAGCCATAACCTCCTTACTCTCCACATCTCTAAACCCCGGCACCTTCCTATCCCTCTCCGCCTGCTTCTCATCCGCCCGCGTATTAAACGGTTTCCCCTCATAATACCCGAAATCCCGCTCAATCAGCTCCGGCACCTTCACCACCTCCAACCCTCCATTCCCGCGCTGTGCCTTGCGCACCGCCTCCGCGGTCCTGTAGGCCCGTGAAAGGGGAGAGGAGAAGATGTGCGTGAAGCGGACGTTGTGGCGGGCGAAGTGGGCGCCGAGGCGGTGGGTTTGCTCGACGCCGTGGTTGGTGAGCTGGGAGTCTTTGGTGCCGGCGTAGAGGCCGGCGACGTTGTCTACGGTTTCGCCATGGCGGATGAAGTAGAGCTTCATGGAGGAAGCGGCATGGTTTCGAGTGTAGTTGGAGATGGCGTGGTAGTGGATGGGTGGGTGGTGAAAGGTTTTTGAAGGTTTGAGGGACCCGGTGCGGGAGTGGCCGGTGGACCTCACCTCGTTCAGCCACCACTCTCGCCTGTCCTAACGTCCCCTCCACACGGTAACACTTTCGAAATATGTCGGGACCTCTTCCTCCCGTCCTTGATGGACAATGGTGCCCTACTCCTTCTGTCATATTTACGCTGCCACCTTCCTTGACCACGTAAGGTACTCTCAGTCAAGAAGACAACGGAGTTGCAACATCACAAGCTCCCATAAGACACGCCCAAATGGGAATGGATCCCCTTCGATACTCACGGTAGATTCCACGCATGTGAACAATGATCATCGCGCCTTCCTTTTCCAAACCGCGTCCACACCACAGTAGGTCATGCTCTCTCCTCTTCACCGCTTTCACTTCAGACCTACACCATCCACCAACCATACCAACACCTCTACCGACGACAGGAGGGACGGCCCAGTCCGTTCAAGGCCTCAACTGCGGCGCAACACACGGGGCCACTCTCCTCCACTGAAACCTCGCAGTTCCGGTCCAAGGTATTGCTATCCCCTTGAGCCCCTGTGTAATCATCTTTCGTCGACACAACGGAGGCTCATCGACTGATGGAGGCTAACGAAGGAACTACAAGCGACTTGACTGGGCTTTTGCATTCACCAGACAAAAGAGCACATGATTTTTGAAATTCATCAATCTTGGCCGAATGCCACGGCGACTTAACCACTACCTCGACACAGGCTTGCAACATGGACGACTTCGACCAGTTCATGGCCGAGCGCTCGGCGAGCTGGGCCGACGATGAGCTACTGGCAGACTACAGCGAGCTTCGTGGAGACGCCGCGATGCTGGAGAACAGCGCAGAAGAGGCCGCGGCATACCAGCCCGACATCAAGTTTCACGGTATGGACACCGCCGGAGATGAAGACGACATGGATCTCGACTACACTTTGACAAGTCGGCCGCAAGTTCACTCACAGAGCGACGATTTCACACCACGTGCGTTGAGAGGTGAATCGGCCTTGGCACTCAACAGCCTCGAGAATGGCCTTGAGAACTCAGCCGCGGTGAAAGATGACAACATGACTCTGAATCCAGACAGCGTTCTCCAAGACGCAGACGAAGTCACGAGGGACGACATCTGGTCCGATCCTCCCAACTCCTCTTTCGAGACGCAGCCTACAGACCCGGATACCAGCCCTCCTGAGACCAATGGATCTCAAGGACATCACCATTTCCCAGAAGAGCTGGCTCAGAAGGAATACCAGCTCCGTCCACAGAACCGCAGGACCAGACCGATATTCGAGACAACGTGGATCGATCGCGACGAGACAGGCAACTACGGCGAAGTGAAGACGAGGGAAGAGCTGAAGCAGGACCGACAGCGGCGTGAAAGAGATGCCAGACGCCGAAGGGAGCGCCTCGCAGCAGCAGCCGGCGATGTTGTGGACAGTGAAGCGGATGATGAGGGCGGCGCAAAGGCCAAACCAACGCTCCACGTAACTTTGAATTTCACTTCTCCGATTGCAAAGCAGCGTTTCAGCAACATTGTCGCCGCTTCCAGTACCGCAGCGACTGCAGCTCAGAATGAGACGTCTGAAGGCTACACGTTCCGACGCCGCCGTACGGCCAAGACCAGCAGATACTTCTCAGAGTACGAACAGTCTACACCAGAGCTGGAGAGTGACCTCACAGGCCACCCTTCAGCTCGCGGCTGCTTTGAGTGCCTCAGCTTAAATTTGCGCTGCTCCCTTCTGGACAACGAGGAAAGCTGGCCATGTCACGCTTGCACTGAAGATGACCACGACTGCGAGCTCATCATTCAGCCTGTGGTGAAGCGAGCTTGTGGACGCTGTAAGAGCAGCAGGAACGCCTGTTCTTTCGGCTGGGAAGAAGAGCATGGCGAAGCATGTCAACAATGCATGGAAGATGGACATCGATGCATTGCTGGACCACAGAAGGAGTCGATCAGGCCACGGTTGAGCTATGACTGGGACTGGGCGAATGATCCATTACTCAAGAGGAAGGCGCTCAAGTTGCTTGAGGATCCTCTGGCATTCAAGATCCGAAGGGAGCGGCCGACACACGTGTCAGCCGTTGGTCCCAGCAGTTCCAAGCGAAAGCGGGTCGCAGCAGAGGAGAGTGATTCGGCGGTCGATGTCCAGAGCAGCACTCCAAAAACGATCGTTCGTCCGGCACCGCTCGGTCCAGGGACTGCAGCGCATGGCATAACGAAGACTATCACCACAAAGCTCTGCCACCCCATCAAGTTCAATCATGTGGACGGAGCGGGGGGTAGCAAGCCTTGCCACTTCTGCGACGAGCCAAGCCTTGCAATCTTAGGTCTGGGTGCGAAAGAAGTGGAAGTCATTGAATGGCAGGATGGACGAGGTCTCGAGGAAGTGCAGGGAGGTCATGCTGGTGACAGGGTGGACAATACCAGGATCTGTCCCTCTTGTACCGTCGAGAGGATGTCGACGATCGTGTGCCGGGTGCGTACAAGACACCTTCTGATTCTTCTATCCAATACTGATCTTCTCTAGGAGCACAAGCTTGCTCTTCTCCCAGAAGCGACCGACGTCTACGCCACCAACACCGCTCTCGCCGAGCTACTGTCCGGCGATTGCCAAGCCAGCACAAAATGGTGCTCGATCTGCCCTAGCCTGGCTGAATATCAATGCGCCACTGTCTCCGACGGCTGCCGCTGCGGCTTGCGGCTGTGCGCGAACGACATGACTCTCTTGGTGGGCATGTACGACGGAGATCTGCAGAAGATGCTGGCGGAGATCAAGGATGAGCCTTCGGAGGCAAGGATATTTGGGTTGAAAGCGGACTATGAGTTGTTGAAGCATGACGGGTTGTTGATGAAGTATGTGCTCTGGAGCAGTGGTTGAATGAGCAGAAAAGGTGAAGGCTGAGCTTGGGTTGATGGGAATGATTTGGCATGCGGTGACTGCTTGGGAGGTATTAAGAAGCATAAATAATCAGAATAGTCCCAATGCTGACAATCTTCAATGCACTGCTCCACTGCAATGCCAGCCTTAACACTGTCGCTGCGCCGTCGCTATGCCTTTCAACCACCCACTGGGACTTCGTCTCCTGATGGAGCTTCACGATTATTCACACTGGGCACGTATATCTTGCCAGCGTGCTCCTACTGTCGACGAGGTAGAGTCCCAACCAACAACAACCTATCTCCTGCTTAAGAGCCGCCATTCTTTGCGGTATCCAGATAATCCTGGTTCGCGTGCTCGTACCTTTGGCAGAGGACCTGTCAGCAAAAGTGTCCCACGACAGACGAACGAGTCTTGCGCAGAGGAATAACTCACTCGTTCGCAAGATACTTTGGGATCCGCTTTGCCATCCACGAGCTCATCCTTGCCAGCTCCTCCCTTAGTCGATGGACAGACTGTGCGTCCATGTTGGTGTGTGCGATGAGATCCGGCATGCTCACTGTGCATGTTAGCCAGTTGAAATCAACGCATGTGCGAACATCTGAATCGCTTACCGAAGAGTCTGAGCAGATGCTCGCATCCGTACATGTCACACAGCGTCTTGCCGGCATGCTCTCCATGGCCCGACTCGATCTGCTTGTGGACCGCGAAGTACTGCTGCCGCTCGAACCGGTAAAGCAGGATGCGGCCGAGTGACTTGTTGAAGTACTCCCGCACGCCGGCGATGGTCTCTTCCAGGAGGTCAGCATCCGCAGAACCTACCCGGAACTTGTTGATTTCGGAGTCGTAGTATTCTCGCAGGAACTGGTTGATGGGTGTTGGCGACGGCACTTGGGCGAGCTTCTGCTCTTTCGTCACCTTCTCCCAGTCGTCGACGAGGATCGATTTGAGGGAGTCGGGGATGAAGAGCCGAACGGCTGGGCGTCGCATGAATTCTTCTTCCTGTTGTGGGAGTTGTGTTAGCAATGCTGCGATTTGTTTGGCGCGGCCGCGATTACTGCGAGCTTTGCGCCAAATTGACGGTGGTGGTTGTTTGACGACTATGTGTGCAGGTGCGCGGTGGGCTTGCGCGGGACGCTTGATGCGAGCCATGAAGACGCGCAGCCGAGTGTGAGTGTTATGGGATGTGTTATAAGTGTAGGAAGGGAAGCGCAAGGTGCAAGTTCAAAAGAAGAGGGTAGAGGAGCTGGACGTGCGAGGAACCCATGACCAGACAAGAACGTGAAGAGCACAAGTGAGCGCACTGACCTTGTCGATGCCCTCTATCTCCCTGCCACGTTTCGTGCCTCTAGGTGCTTGAGGGACTGCTGAGCTCCGGTCCTCACTGCCTCTAGCAGAGGACCCAGTCAAGTCGGAACCATAAGGTCGCTTCTTGGCCGAAGAGATCGAAGGCTTGCCGGCTGCTGCTCGTCGCTGCGCGTCCATGTCCTTCTTCAGGTTGGACGCCAGCTCTTTATTCTCCTCCGAGAGCTTTCGCAGACGTTCTTGCGGCACCCAGTCATCCCACCTGTAGGCTTGAGCGTCAGCAATGTTTGCCTTGATTTGGAGAAATGTTCGGCGAGGATATGTAAACAGTGCAGCTGGCTTCGGACTCCAGTGGGCCACGATAGGGCCCGTTTATGCGACTGGAAGCTGCGCCAGGAGCCAGATGTCCTTCCGGACAGGAGCAGATGGGTATGCCAGCTCAGGAGACCAGCAAACAGATCTTGAAAACGGGCGAGAACAGCAAGACTCACGTATTTTTCCAGCCTTTGTAATGCACGCGGTACATGTACCCATCCTTCTTGTCGTTGGGGTCCTTGATCTTGTTGTCCAGCACTTTGGCCTCGTAGAGTAGCTCACCATGAAAGCAAAGCACCTTTTCGTCCTTCGCGTACGCCGGTCCAGAAGATGATGAGGGCGCCATGTTATTCCTTTGCGGTGATGGGTTTTTCTTTTTGATATCTTATGAGTTTCGTGAAGGCGCGGTGAAGTCGGTAATGAGAATGTACGGAAGGAAGTTGCTCTTGAAACAACCTCACGTGCCGATATCAAAGACGCACGGACGCACGCGTCGCGCGATGCCACTCACGCAAACATTCATTGGCTTCCACAGAGGCGTGTACCTCATCAACGACTTTATTCTGCAGCTGTGTTCAAGGGCTATTGGAGAGCACCACCAGTTACTGTAGATTGACATTGCCGCTCAAGTGTTCTGCCCCAAAGCACCTCACATGGCCACGTCCTTGTCCGTAGTGCTACCAACTCGCATTGGAGAAGAAGAAACAGCACGGAGGCGTGCTGTCGCTTCTCATCTACATCTACACAATCACCTTCGCGCTCACCCATCACATCATCCATTGCATCCCAACAGTCGCCTCGTTATTTAGCTGGAACCAGGCCTCAGCATCCCCAAATGGACCTCGTCATGGATGACTCCGTCCTTCACAAAGGCCTGCTTTTTCAACGCTTCCTCCTTGAACCCAGCCTTCTCCAAACACCTGCGGCTCCCGACATTACCCGCAGCCACTTCGCCGTTCAGCCGCATCAAAATACCGAACGTCTGCCAGGCCCATTCAACGAACGCAGGGGCAACGGCGCTCATCACACCTTTGCCCCAATGCTCCTCTCCAAGCCAGTACCCAATCTCAGCGCAGCGGAAGTAGATATCCACAGGATCTCCGAACTCGAGACCGATACTACCGCAGGCCTCACCGGCAATCACAATAACGAACTGGGTGGGAGACTGAGGGCCTTGAGCACCTGTCTCTGGGTTCCACGTTCCGGTGGGTCGTTGCGACTCGGGCGAACCACTTAGGTCTATCCAGAATTTGGCATTCTCTTCCGTGTACGGGTGAGGCATGCGGTTGCGAAGCCGATCCCATATATTCTTGTTGTTGCCATGCTTGGATAAGGTTGCAGCGTCGGATGTACGGTATCGACGCACGATGATATCGCTTGGTAGCGAGAGAATGATGTCGGAGGTTGTTGATGCCATGTTGAGTCTTGCAGCAAGGGTTGGATGTTGTGTATCCGAGACCAATCGTCAACCGTCTCACACAAGATGAGCTCCTTATACTGGTCTAATTCGATAAAGAGATGATGCGCGAAGATGAATGATAGGCGATGACTTCGTCAGTGGGTACATGTATGTTGCACTCCCTTTGCTATTGCACCGAGCGTCCGCGTAGGAATGTGTAGGAAGGCAAGTGGAATTGAGTCATGGAAAGAAGAATCAATGCGAGATAGCTGCTGGAAATTTTCCGCTGGGGCTGAAGCTGTCTAACTCTCCTCGGCAAAGGACGAATATAGTAGACAGCAATGAAATTGTGATTAGCTCAACAGTACGCATCTGTCAATCGGAGCAATGTCGCTATGTCCATGAGACTCTTCTGCCGGCAATGCCTCGTCGGCGTTGACACCCTGCCTGGACTGTTTCCATCATCAGGCGGTGTGCGTGGTGATGTAGTCGAATAATTGTAGGCGCTATGGTTTTTCCCAACTGTCACTGCCCGACGGGCTCAGAAACGATGTGGAATATAGCGCCCGGCCACAACCCACCGAGCTCGCGAGGAACTGCAAGATGGTGTGACTCCTTTGCTCTAAGATTTGTCGGCCAGAATTGCTCCATTGCGTTTGAGAGGTTCTATACATCGCCGAACTGTCGCAACAACGTCGACCGAGCAGCGCCTGCGAACAGACACCGCCGGGAGTCACTGGACACAAATCTTGTGGTGAAGAGAAGAAGTAGTGGACAAGCAAGAAACGAGATTGATATTTCCGCCAAGCGCGAAAAGCGCTAGTCCGGAAGGGGTTGATTAACTCCGCACTTCACCATCCACCGTACTGACAAGCACTTTCCAGACGTCTTCGATTCTACATTACCACACCACCGCCGAGATGGACGCCGCCTCGATCGAGCAGATGAACAAGGTTCGAGTGTCGCTCGGCATGGCGCCGCTGCCAGTGCCGGGCGATGGACCGCAGTTCAAGCAGAACGAGGAGTCTGAGTCCGGCTCGGAGAGCGACGAACTCAGCACCCTCGACAAGCGGCAGGCTGCGGCGGGCAACAATTGGCAGAGGCTTGAAGATGAGCGGAAAGACAAGATTGAGCGGCAGCGGCGGAAGGACGCTGCTAAGAAGGCGAGAGATGCCGCTCAGCGCAACTCAAAGCTTCAAGGCAAGGGTTTGGGAGACGCGGACGATGACGAGGTGGACACGAGGACGTGGTTGATGCAGCAAAAGAAGCGACAGAAGAAGATCGAGAAGGCACGCAAAATGGCGGAGGAGTTGGCGGCGAGAGAACAGCAGGCTGAGTATACGAGTAAAGACCTGGCGGGCGTGAAAGTAGGGCACGAAGCGGACGAGTTCGATGAGACAACTGGCGAGCAGGTTCTCACTCTGAAAGATGCTGAAATCGGGGACGAGAGCGAGGATGACGAGCTTGAGAATGCAGAAATCAAGGCGAAGGAGAAGCTGGAGGAGAAGCTAAAGCTCAAGAAGAAGCGGCCTGACTATGATCCGACTGAGCAAGGAGAGAAGCAGGCTTTGCTGTCGAAGTATGACGAAGAAATTGAGGGCAAGAAGCAGAAGCGCTTCACTCTGGACGGCCAAGGAAATACTGTTGCCGCCTCGAGACAGGCCCTGGATGCAGACGGTCAAGTGAAGAGCAAAGGTGTCAAGATCAGCCTGGACATGCTCAAGGACGACACGTTAGCATCGGATTACGTTGATCCAAGCACAGTCAAGATGAAGAAGCCGAAAAAGAAAAAAGAGAAAAAGACGAGGCAGAAGCCGGCTGATGAGGACGATATCTTCCCACTAGTTCAATCTGCCGCAGAGTCAGCACCAAACGATGACGCTATGCAGGTTGATGGAGGTAACGACACTGTTGCAGCGAACAGCAAGAAGCGCGCCTTTGAGTTCGAGGATGACGATGATCTACAAGCGAGGCTGGCCGAGCAGAGACGGCAGGCTCTGAAGAAGAGAAAGAAAACGGGTGCGTCAGAGCTTGCTAGACAGGTGCGAGAAGAAATGCCAATCGACGATGAAGAGCCTGAGGATGGAGGCTTGACCATCGATGAGACTACCGAATTCGTGGCGAATTTGAAGAAGCCAGAAGCGCCCGAAGTACGAGACAGGCAAAGCAGGACTCCGCAGCCAGCCAACGCAACATCGCCGGGCTCTGAAGATGAAGATGCTGACGGCGACACTGCTATGGCCAACCAGTCCTACGCTAATTTGGAGGAACGCGCTCAACGCAGACGAGAGACCTCTACACCTGCGGCAGCACAAGGGACGGCCACCGGGTTGGAGGACGAGGAGAATCTTGCCGAGCAAGGCATCGGCGCATCGCTAGCCCTTCTCCGCAAACGTGGCTTGATTGACGCATCAGCCGATGAGAAGTTGAGCGAACGTGAGCGGGCCCGCACGCAGTTCCTTGCGGACAAGCAACACCTCATTGATGATTTCGACAACCGCGCACGCCAGGAACGTGAAGCGGAACGTCGCAAGGGTACTTGGGACAAGATGTCGAATCGTGAGCGTGAAACTTTCCAGAAGCAGCAGAACGATGCCCGAGAGCGGTATCTCAACCAATTGCTCGACGATGAGTTCAAGCGGAACTACAAGCCGAATGTTGAGCTGAGGTACACAGATGAGTTTGGCCGGAGGATGAACCAAAAGGAAGCGTTCAAGCATATGAGCCATATGTTCCACGGCAAAGGATCTGGGAAAGGCAAAACGGAGAAGAGGTTGAAGAAGATTGAAGACGAGAAGAAGGATGCGATGCGTGGTGTCTTGAATGTCGGCACGGAGGAGGGTGGCATGAGTGTGGTCCAGGGCAGAGAAGGTAAGAGGACTAAACAGGCGGGTGTGAGGTTGCAGTAGGAGGACCGAGCGGTTGTTTGGGTGACTGCTCTGGGCAACAGAACTCAAAGCATAGTCTACCACAGCCTGAGTGGATGAGACGGGGGCTTGAGGACACGAAGGTTAGTCACCAGGTCACATTATTGCAATGCGATAGAATCAATATTCACCCAGACTCTAGACACCGATTGCAGCGTATTTGGCAGGGTACGGTGAGTGCATGTTTTCTTGCTATCATTTGTGTGCGGACTCTGTTTCGTGATGCTGAGCGTCCTCGTCTTGGGTTAGAGGTTGGAGGGTCGGTCAGCACTGGTGAGGCTGGAACAACTGGACCCAGGTCCCCATCCTGATCCTCCGCGTGTCTGCCAACCAGCGTCAAGTTTTTCCGTCTTCCACATCCAGCGCTGACCCAGTCCTTTTGCTCTCGTCTATCAACTCAGTACCAAGACTTCTCCACTTGACCTCAAACTATCAGAACAGCAGCATCGGTTGAGACACTCACGTGCTTGTTCAACGCAACGATCGGCCCGATCTGGTGGTGGTCGTCAGCACCCTCCACTTCCTTCATGGCGCTGTCATCAGCCCACAAGATTCGAGTTGTCAAAAAGTGAACCGTGGAGGGTGCGGCTCAACGAAACACGTGCCCACAGTACATCAGTACATGCAGTGGAACCGCTCAAGCCGATGGAATGCCTTCCAAGGCCGTCGTAGAGAGACAGAAAAAGAACGAGCGCAGCTCTTCTGCAGGCCACGCGTCCCTTCTGAACGAGGCGACCAAAGTGCTTGCAGCAGTAGCTCGCTCCACCAGACCGAGGTACATGGTACATAGCCCATCAGGTAATAATAATTGGTCAGACCGTGCATGAACGGAAGCCAAAAGCATGTTTATTGTCCGGACCATACTTTCATCAACGTCAGCGTGACAGGTTTTCGAGCATGCAAAGGCGGTCTGAGCCCTTGTTGCCCACGGCTGAGAACATCATGGACTGCTGTCGATCCGGAGGAATGGTATGCATGTAGTGTAACCTTCCCGACGACTCGCGCCCAAGCGCCATGGATCAACGTAGGCGAATATTCCCAGCCCCCAGGCCGATCTGGACGCCACCTTCGCAAAGGCAGATCTGGGAGCATGGACCTCACCTTTCGATAGTGCGTGCATTTTGCAGACCGTCCGACCGACCCCACCTCGCCCACCCTCAACACCATCTTGCAAGCCTGTTGCTGCAGACGAGCTCGTATCGACGCAGGTACAAGCGCTGAGAGCTGGGATGTGTCTGTTTCTTTGCGTCAGCATTCAGAAGAAGGGGAATAGCTCCGTGTTGTTGGAGTCAATCTGCACCTGAAACAGGTGTAACTGCGATTGATGGTGGTGGAGGGCGATATAGCGTACCATTGAAGGATCCAAAGGAACTTGGTCGTAACGAAACAGCCGTCGAAAGAGTCTGGTGATGTGTTTTTAAAATCGTCGATTCTTATCTGCCTTACTACTACTATCATTTGCACAGCCAACAACCATGCAGAACACCGCCAGTGCTATGCAAAGGAGTGCTTTTCGCTCAAAACACGCCCAAAAAAGAAGCCATATTCCATGCTTCAACCCAGCCCAAGACAGTTTCCAATTAATAAACATTACCACCAAACCCATCTCCGTCGCAGAGACTGGTTCGTAAACCAACCTCCCATCTTCCGTTAAACCATGTTGGTTCCCTTCATGAGAGAATGTCGTTCATATTCACATGAATCGTGCAAATACATCACCGGCGCACTGCTCTAGCAGCGCCGGCAAAAGGATCGTAACCAGCCGTGGGGCTGTGTAGTAAGGAGTGAGGATGAGGTTGGTGGTAAGGGTAAAGGATATTGGTCGAGCCGCTTAGAACATAGCGAGCGCGGCGACGGCGGCCACGAGGCCGGCGACGGAGCTGCCGATGTTGAACGATGACGCGGCGCCAGTGGCTGGGACCACGGAGGCAGATGGCTGAGCACCAATAACGGTACTGTTGGCGCCTGGGTAAGGGATGGAACCGGTGCTGGCCACTGGGCATTGGGGCTGGCCTGGGAGATAGTTAGCGAGGGATTTCAAACATCGGGCAGGATCAAATTTCGTACCATCAACGATCTGGGTGCACGATGGGGCCGGTGCGGCAGTGGAGGTAGGGGCTTGAATCTGTCCATCTGCTTTGGGGATGTCAGTAAAGCTCTCTACAAGGTCGAAAGGATGAAAGGTCGTGATAGACCTGCGGGAGGCTTACAGATCTGGGTCACTGGAGCCACGGCGGTCGAAGTTGGTGCTTGGAGCTGGCCATCGGCTAAGTCAGGCGTTAGCAATGGTATCTAATTGTGGCGCGTAGGTTCGGAGGCCTCTTGCGTTGTGCCAGAGGTTTGGCGGCAGCTCAAAGCGGCTCCAACCATCGACATGACTTACAGATTTGAGTCACTGGCGCAACTGGGGTGGCAGTGGTGGCCTGAATTTGGCCGTCGGAAATTTGAGTCACTGGCGCAGAGAGAGCGGTAGATGCCTCTGATAGACGGTTAGCAAGTGTCGACCCTAAAACACCAAGAGTAACTCACGGATCTGTCCGTCACTTATCTGGGTGACAGGAGGCTGCGACGAGACAGCGCTGCCAGTGACTTGACCATCGGGGATCTGGCTAGCGCCTCCGGAGGGAGAAGCACCGCTGCCAATGACCTGGATGTTGATCTCCTCGCACTGGCCGCCGTTGTTCTCGGAGTAGAGGTTGTAGAAGTCGCCGCTGAGGCACTGGTCCCAGGTGGTCTCGCCACTATGGGCGAGCATGTCACCGCAGACGGCGAAGTCGCCAGTCTGCTGAGCGTTCTTCTGGGGAGGCGAGTCGAACTGGAACTGCATGTTGGAGGCGATGTAGCCAGTGCGGCCTTGGTCGTCCATGAGCTTTCCTCCGGAGAGGGTCATGACGAGGGCGGTGTCATCTTCCTGGCGCTGTTGATTTATTAGTATTATTGTCGAATGAACGAATCGATCGATCGATCGATCGATCGATGGGGTGTTATCGTACCTTGACCTTGTCACCAGCCTTGATGACCTGGATCTTGAACTCGCCATCGTAGTCGCTGGAGCAAGAGCCCGAGGACTGAGGAACCGGCTTAGCGGCGGTGAGCGCCACAAGGGCGAGACCGGCAAAGGTGGAACGCATCTTGATCGATTTGTTGATTAAGGGTTGTTGGATGTTGATATTTGCAGTGAAGCGGAGAGCGACAGTGAGCGGTTGTTGATAGACGCTTGGAGCGAGAGTAAGTCTATGGAGGATCGGTAGACTGAGTCGCGGTAAGGATGATACTTTGTACTGCGAAACGGGTGTTGTGGTGGTTGTTGTGGAAGAGGGTGCAGCAGAGGAATGCAGGAGTATTTAAGCAAATATGTGACTTAAGGCCGCGTTGAATGCGAATCGGCGGGGCTGGAGGCAGAGGCAGGGCGCTCAGGCCAGCAGCCGGCCGAGGACGACTTCACTGACGCTTCGATGGGCGATGGCTGGTCGTCCTCGACAACACCTCCCGCTAAACCGTCCAAAAGCTACACTCCGGCCACCTCCTCCTCGGCAACAGAGACTAATGCACACGCACCCTCTGTTGCGCGGGAGGCGAAAGTGGAGCGACGAGAGCTCACCATGTCTCGATGGCCCCGATGCAGCTCATGTTTGCCGCTTGCAGAACCCCAAGGTGTGCGCTAATGCAGCCAGACTCGTTTTCTACTCCATTGTTCGCCAGTCAACGCCGACGAGACCGCCTCCGTCCTGACCAATGGCGGGAGTGCTGGAATATCCTCTGCTCCAACAGCAGCCTGACTGTACCCATACAGCTGCTCCCGAGTGCGGTCCTTCGACACAGTCGCACAAGGGCCATGGTCTCACGGGTACCACTGCTCACGCGAGGAGGCTCTGGACGATGCCGTACAGCGGCTATCCCACGCTGTTGTGCCCGCAGACACCGCATTCACGGCTGCCCGCACCCGCCATGACAGATCTGTGTTCTGCACGGCCCGTGTTTGCCACCACCCAAGCAAAAAGGCGGGGGACGTTGCCTTTAGCCTGGTTGGCGTCGCAAAGCGCAACACCGGATTAGGCAAGCATGGCAGGACAAGCGTCGAAGTCTGCGTGTGGATCGGCCACCACTTCGCCGCTGATCACGGCGCCGATCGTAGATTTGTCCGCGTCACTAGGCAGATCTCTACACAATCTTGGCCTCGACGTGGGAATTTTCCTGTATCCGCCAAGTCGACTGGCGCACAACAACGACCTTGCGCCATGGTGGTCTGCCTTCTCCGCATTCAATCCCAGCGGACGATCAACTGCCTACAAGGCGACTGGACAGCGTAGAGACAGTGCTTCGGGGTGGCGCTGCCGATGTCTCCAATCTTGGAAGCCGCTGACAACATCACTCCATCATGGTTGATGAGGCAATATCACCGTTGGTAGTCAATAGAGGACAGTCCGTTTGCCACATGATCGAGGAGCCGTAGGAGCCTCATCCCCAGCCTGCCATGCGACTCGGAGGGCCGACTCGTGTTCGTCTCCACCGCAGAACGCCTCGGGCTGGCACGGCTCTGTGGAGTGGAGCGCTCAACAGCCCGCAACGCCAACAGCGATGTTGGGCAGAACAAGAGTTGCCATGACTACTGCATGCTTCTGAACTTCTGAAACACACCCAGAGACCACATACGGTACGTAGCGGAGCACGCCAATGCACAACTCGGGCGATAAACAAGGTAATCATGCAGGTGTTGCTGCCGAAGTACAAAGTACTGTACCCACCACCTCGCTTGTCGAGCTGGCAACCTGCAAGAAAGTGAACCTTGAGCTATTCTGACGTCTCCCTACATTCACATGCATGTACCGCTTGAGCCGCAACATTGGCGCAACCCACAGATTCCACCTTGGCGCGACATGTGAAGGTGAAGCCAAGTGGAGCTGCCTTTGTGTACATATGTACAGCTGCGTATGTAGGGAGCTTCGACTCACTATTCCGAGGCAGCAACGCTGTAGAATCTGTACTGATCTTCGCCTCGAACCAGCCTGCGACTGCTCCTCAACGCGCCAAACAACCTGTTCGTACTCAAATCACGAGATTGGTGAGAGCGACAACGCGCGCAGGCCTATAGGTGTTGCACACAACCTGGCGCGAAAAAGCTTCCCGAACAGACTAATTGAGACGAGTGAGGTCGAGATTGTAGAGTATACTCTATTTTCTGATTTTGTCTACTCCGACTAATCACCCTGCATGCCGCCGTTTCATGATACAGACACAGTCCCAGTTGCCCATCCCTTGCGCCATGCGGAACGCCTTAGCTCCCACGCTCGCGGAACGCCCTGCAACCAAAATCGGTTGCCCGACCCCCAGAACACCAATTCCAAACGCCTGGTATCATATCTTGAACATTCGTGCGACCACCAGGTTCCATGATGAAACAAACAGCAAAAGCAAGAAAGGCTTGTTGAAGATCCCACCCAGGAGCCGGGTTCGACGCTCGTTCCTTGCGCCGGCGAGAAGATCCATAAACAATAGGCTTGAACGCAACACAAAAGGGCAAAGGCAATGCAAGTTGCTTCGAAACGCGAACGCCGAAGTCCATGCCGCAAGGTCGGTAGCAGGGGGTGATTCCAGAGCGCCTGACTCCTTGCATATGCAATTGACTTGATCAAAGGAAGATCGTCTATTGTCCGAGAGCACCAGCCTGCAGTGGGACGGAGAGGATGCCCTCCTTGCCAATCTTGCCGAGGGTCTTGACTTGACCGTGAGCATCGACAATCGGGTAGCGAGCGCGACGTTCCAGGTCGTCGAGATCCATGTGGCTGCGGATGTATTTGTCCTTGCTGCTTTCCGGGACTTCGTAATCCCAGCTGGTCCAGTGGCCTTGCTTGAGGGCGGAGAAGCAGAAGCGTCTGGCCCGTTGGCGGGTGATAACATCCTTGGTGATGGCTTCCATATTCCACTTGGCCTTGGATTCGGCGACGAAAGCTTCGTACGTCTTCTTGATCTCTGGGTCCTCGCTCTTGGTCAGGTTGTTCAGCTCATCTGGGTCCGTGGCCAGGTTATAGAAGAGATCTGGGTCGGCCGGGCAGGTGATGTACTTCCATGGACCGCGACGGATCATCATGTATGGCGCGCAGGTACCCTCGCCCATGTACTCGGCGAACACATTGTCGTGCGCCTTGCCGCCATTTAGGAAGGGAGCGATCGATGCGCCATCCACGGGCAAGCTTGGAATCAGACGAGTACCGACAATATCAACGAGCGTTGGCATGATGTCCAAGGTGCTCACGCTCTCCGACACGTGGCGCGGTGTCCATTGCTTCGGGTAGCTGAAGAGCATCGGCACGCGGACAGAGGACTCGTAGTAGGACATCTTGTACCACAGGCCACGCTCGCCGAGCATGTCACCGTGGTCGCCAGAGAAGATGACAATGGTGTTGTCATCAAGGCCGCACTTCTTCAAGGTCTCCAACAACTGCCCAACATTGTCGTCGATGTAGCTGACAGCGCCATAGTATGCCCGCTTCGCCCTCTTGACCTGCGCTGGCGTGAAGTCATAATCCTCGAGATCAACGACGTGCTGCAGACGCTTGCTGTGTGGATCCAACTCCTCCTTCGGAATGCTGACCTTCGGCATGTCGATGTCGACACCCTCGTACATGTCCCAGTACTTCTGCTCGATGGTGTACGGGTCGTGCGGGTGGGTGAAAGAGACGGTCAAACAGAATGGACGGCTGTTGGCTGGCTTGCGCACATGGTCGTACATGAACTGCTTGGCCTTGTACAGGACCTCCTCATCGTAGTCGAGCTGGTTGCTGCGCACGCACGGGCCGGCCTGAAAGATGGAGGAGCTATTGTGGTACCACTCGAGACGAGTGTCTGGCTCGTCCCAGTTGACAGACCACCCGAGATCTGCTGGGTAGATATCCGCAGTCAGGCGGTACTCGTAGCCGTGGAGCTGGTCGCCGATGAAGTGCATCTTGCCGCCCAGGACACACTCGTAGCCGGCCTTTCGCAGGTAATGAGCGTATGTGGGCGTGTCTTCTGGAATGGGAGAAGCATTGTCGTATGCGCCAATCTTGGACGGCAGCTGGCCCGAGATCATGGCCATACGGCTGGGGGCGCAGAGCGGAGAGTTGCAGTAGGCGGAGTCGAACACCACCGAGCGCTCGGCCAGCTTGTCGAGGTTGGGCGTCTTGATCTGCGAGTCCTTGTTGTACATCTTGAGCTGTGGCGCGGCCAGCTGGTCGGCCATGATGTAGAGAATGTTGGGCTTGGTCGGGAACAGCGGCGTGCTGTGTGGCTCCTGACCAGCCAGGCCGACTGGCGGCGACACGGGGGGTGTGTCAGGCATGTGCTTGCGTAGACGTTCCAAGTGATCCATCGTGCTTCGCAAGAGTGATGAGCGACGGTGTTGTGTAGGAAAGTGTGGTGCGCCCAGCAGGAGGCGAGTAAGACAAGGGATGAATGAGTGGGCTGCTGACCTCTATGTCTCGTGGCAAGGAAAGTTGAAGAAACGTGGAAAAACAGGACGGACGGTGGCTATTTGAATTCGCAGGAAAGAGGAGTGGCAGTGCGCCCAGGAGGCCTCAAGTCGAATCTCACCGCAAGTGTCTCGCCATCGCACGCGACCAAAAACAGCTGTGTCCTCACGTTGCGTATGAAAAGGCAAAGATGGCGTGCTCAGCTTCCTAGGCCAGACGCGAGCTCATGCAGCTAAGGATGGGGTAAGGGACCACATCGAGCCCTATGATACAAGAATGTGCTGCCTTCTTCCACTTTTCTCCTTTCAAATTTTGAACTCACTTTCGCACGCCCCAGGGTGCGCATTCAGTGTGAAAGTTGGACGCTTCTACGGTGTCGTCGTCGAGATTCACGGTATGGACCATGGTTCGGGTGGCGTTGGCTGACACGGGCCCCCTCGAGCCCCTCGAAGTTCTGGATCGCGACTCGCTCCCATTTTCTCGAAACGGTTGATCCCACTAGACACAGCTTGGATCTTCATTACATACTGCTATCGCTGCATCGTCGTTGGCGTCCGCGAAGCTCCCAGGCTCCCCCCAATTACCCCGCCGTCCGGCGTGTTTGGCTCTGGACATGCCTGCGAGCCCGCAGGACAAAGCGCCGCCCTCTCTTGCCGCCGTCGCCGTCGCCACCGCCATTATAGCTGGCTTGACTGGATACTACATCGGACAGGCACGCTCGATAGGACTCTTTGGCGGTTCATCGTCACCAAAGCAGGCCAAGTCGCGCCATGGCAAGCAAGAGGAGGAGGAGGAGGAGGAGGAGGAGTCATCCGACATGAGCGACGGCAGTTCCGAAGGTGGGGATGAGCTAGGCGACGTGAAAAGTTTTGCAGACTCCAACGAAGAGTGCAAGCTGGTGCTGGTAACACGAACCGATCTTGGTATGACCAAAGGTAAGCGTGGACTCGCATTCCTGATTACGTGCTCTTTTCCTTATCTTGCTGCACTTTATCAACAGCTCGTCTGCCGCTGCTGCCGCCGGACAACACCGGTCCACATGGATTCAAGCTCTTGCCTCCCTCGAGCTCTCGATGTAACACTTGACTAACCGTCGACGGATTCCGGCTGCAGGCAAGATCGCCGCCCAATGCTCGCATGCGACGCTGGCCTGCTATAAAGCTCTCGTGCGCTCAGACCCCGCACATCCGATCCTACGGCGTTGGGAGCGGCTAGGTCAAGCCAAAGTTGCGGTCAGGGTCGATAGCGAAGACGACCTGCTTATGCTGCAGGCACAGGCTGTGAGCTTGGGACTCTGCGCGAAAGTGATTCACGATGCTGGGCGCACACAGATTGCTAGCGGCTCAGCTACGGTGCTGGGTGTTGGCCCCGGGCCGAAGTCTGTGGTGGACCAGGTCACGAGTCACCTGAAGTTGCTATGAGTGGCTTGTGGAGCGCATGAGCTAGACGATCGGAGAGATGCTGAACGCATGATCTAGCCCGCAGGGTGGCCGAGGAGAACAAGAAGTGGGAGATGCATAGTACGTGAGCGTGTGGACATAGCAGTGTCAATGGTGCTAGCTGAACAAGTGTGCGGTCAAGACAATACAGCATTTCACAAAACACGACGTGAGGTCGGAGTAAAGTCCTCCACTCAAGGAAGGTGCGAACGTCGTAGGTGCCTCTTTTCACAAAGATATCTGCCATGCCAGGAAGTTTAACTTGACGACAGCCATAGTGGCCCTGACTTGCGTTGCGAAGGCCATGGCCTCGATGATGTTCCAAACTCAAGCGACGTCCAACGATGCAGCAAGGCCGATACTGGGAGCTTCGAGCAGCTTCTCAGTACCAAGGATGCCACACGCCTCAATGCTCTTCCACTCCATTCCCACGCCATACAATATCCTTCTTCGCGAGCAGACGAGATGTAGTACAAGTATCGTTTCAGTCTTCGCACGGCCTATACTAAGCCTGCCCATGAGCCATCTGAAGGAGTCCTCGAAGCTCCCGTATGGAGGACAGTGAAGTGCGATGGAAAGTGACTGTCGGAGCGCAAAGTCCACATAGCTCGATTACGCTTGTTCCGGCGTCTTCATATCGGCCATATGCAGAGCGCCGCGTGATCGTAGCGATGCACGAGAAGAGTGAGGTGTCGAAGTACTTTGCTACGAAGAACGCGCTAAGAGGACACCACAGGACACCAATTGACACGACGGAAGAGCAAGCTCTCCCAATGCGGAAGGTACATGTGCTAATGCCGCGAGACTCTTGAGTGCTGAGCTAGTGAAATCGGTGGTGCTCCCAGGCCGAGGACGCATTCCTGCTTGCAGAAAAGACCGCTCCAGCGAGTTCGGACTTTGCATTGCATGCTGCATGGTAGTAAATGGTCTACTGACAGCGTGGGATCATAACACGATCTTGAGCGAAATTTGGAAGAGGTACTTTGAGCTTTCAAATGATGGTAAGGACTGACATAGCAAACAAGTATCTAAACCGAAGATAGACCAAAGAAAATACAGCAATGGGGGGGAATCTTGTATCGAAGCCCAGCTGATATGTGCTCCATTCGCCAGAATGGACCGAGGCCACCTCTCCAGAGAACCGGTCGACCCCGTCTTCCTTCCTTCCAGCACCAATGCTTGTGTGTCGTGAACTTCGTAGCTGATCGTCATGTGGGCGGGCCCAAGCTCAAGCCTTCAGATGATGCGACCTGCGTTTCCCTTCAACCGTGGTAAAAGACACCAAGCCCTCCCTTCGTCGTCATCGTTAAAAAGAATGTCGAGGTATGAACAAGAACTGTACGGGTTGCGCGTCGGCGCGAGAAGTGAAGCCCGATTGCGCGGGACGGAGGCGTCTATTGGCGGTGCTCGTGGCGGCGGTGGTGCTCGTGGCGCTTGGAGGGCGCGTCGGTCGCGGTCACGAACTTGGTCAAGGTCTCCATGTGGACGTTGGTGACCGTGACGGCAGGGCCGTCGAACGACTTGTGGACAGTCGCAAGCGTGGTTGGCGACTGAGCAGGAGCCTTGGACTTTGGCTCGTCAAGGAGTGCATCGCCGGCGGCGGCAGCGACCTTGTTCTCCTCGAGGCCCCAAGTGTGGTGACCCCAGTTGTTGCCGCCATTTTGCTTCTTGGTGGAGGTCTCGACAGGAGAGGAAGGCGCAGGAGCTTCGCTGGTAGCAGCATACGAGGTCGGTGCTGGTGCGGAGCTGGGGCTACCGCCGCTGCCACTGCCAGCGCCAGCTTCGCCAGAGCAGAGAGTGACCGTGATGGTGGCGTCGTCGCCGCAAGACTGCATGCCATAGGCGTCATCGGTGGCATAGCGGTAAGCAGCCTGGCGCGGGGAGCAGCCCTTGGAGGCAGTGATCTCCCAGTTCGCGTCCCATGGGTTGCCGTCGACGGCACTCAGATCATACCAGATCGTGCCATCGTTGTGGAAGGTGTACTCGTATTGAAGGATGTTGGTCTGGAAAGCATTCTCTTCCTTCGAAAGCTTGATCGACCAGCCGTTGCCGTTCGACAGCTCGGTGTAAGTCTGCGAGTATGTCGCGCCGGACGACAGGGTCTTGTCGATGTTGGAGTAGCCACCACCCATGGCTGGGGTGTTGCTCATGTACACATCGTAGCTGCACTTGTTAACGACGATGGCGTCGCCGATGGCCTGGGCGGCAGCGAAGAGCGCCGCAGAGGTGAGAGCTGTGCGCATCATTGTTGCGGTTGTTGTGATATGAATACACAAGTTGGTATATTGTCGTGATAGTTGTCGTGATCTATAGGTCAGATGGCTGTGTGTTTGCCGACTTGTGACAGCGCGTGCGCTTTGTCAAGTGTGGTATACAGTGAAAGAAGGTCGGTGATGTCCGCTGGGTAAGATGTTGATCAGTAGATCGAAAGAGTGAACGCGGTGCAGTAAAAGAGTGTAACTGCGCTGCAGCGAACAATGGGACAATGGCTTTCCTTTGCGACAAAGACTGTGGGAGAGCGTGACAAAGGGAAGAAGAGCCATGGATTCGCGACGACGGGGGCTTTAATGCGAACAAGATTGCCAACAGCGATGGTGGATCCTTGACGGACGCCTAGAGGGCGTGTTCTGACCGACTACTCCGCTTGGGGTGTGGTGCGAGAAGACCGATCAATCAGAGGGCTTACCGTTTCAGCCCGTACCAGAGGTCTTTTGTCAATCAAACTCTTCCCTGTCGGTACCTGAGCTGGCCACCGTCAAGGCTTCAGGTACAGCGAGCTTCCGGAGGACATGATTTGCTGACGGAGCGGCAGATGCGCCTGGTCAGGGGTATCCGCACAGGTGGGTAATGCTTGTCCCCGGCGGCCACGCGATGGGCCTTGTGTGGGTTGGACAGAGGTGCGTCTCATCAAGTAAAATTTCACACTCATCATTCCTGCTGTTGCCCAACCGTGGTTCTCGAACCCGCTGAATTTTCCTTTTCCTCTTCGAATTATAACCAGGCAAATGAAAAGTGCAATGAAGTTGCTTTGCCGCGGCTCGCACGACTCTTGGTGTCAGCACCACCTTTCACTTGGCAAGTCCTCAACCCCATGGCGATGGAGCAAAGAGGCCAAGAGAGACTCGTCCACCTGCGCGCTCTCCTCTCGTCCTCGTCATTCTGCATGCTTTTCTCCACCGAAGATGTGATGAGTTGACGCTTGTCGCCTAAATGGAATTTTTCACCAATTCGACGGGATCCCGAGGCGACGCACGAAAATTGAGGTCTCGTCTTTCATCGCCGGTGTTTCAGCCAGCTGATTCATGAAGCGCTGTGTCACAATGCTGTCTCTACTACGAATGGCGAGACTTATCGCCGTGTGTCGCGATCAACTCGTCCTGCCTCTGCGCCGCGAAAATTTCTGATCGCGTGCTTGCCGTCGCATTCTGCCGCGAAAGAAATGGCAGGCCAAGGTTTGAACGTTCGTTGAGTAGAAGCGGGAAGCTGACCCGCAGCGCGAAAGACAAAGCCGGCGTTGTCAAATCACTGCAGTCTCTGGCTTTTGCAAAACTGGGACACGACTGCAGGCTACCTGGTTCCACCTGCAGTAGTTTTCGGTCTGGAGTTCCTCTGCGAGTGGCAGAATAAGGCTGATGATCGGCGTACCCGCAGTATGGGTCGCCAACGGCTCGGCTGGCGGGCAGCCAACGCGTACGACTTTGACAGGTCAAATTCAACCCGCTTTGTTGGAAGCGGGCTCCACGTGTCTAGGATGCCGACAGCAAATCCTAGATCTGCAGTGCAAAGCGGTAACGGTTCCGATGGAGCTGTAATTGTTCGTTGAGACATGTTCGGTGGGAGCCGGATTCGCATCATGGATGCGGTTTGGCGGTATTGGCGACAAGATGAGATGCGACTGCAAGAAATGTTTTCGTGGTCCAGCCCGAGGAATGCTGCCAAGCACAACGATAATTCGCAGACCGACCATCTCGCTGGCATCCCCAACAAACCCACGTGGCCGACAGCGCACGGAGATGGTTCTGCGGGTTCGTCGCTCTCCCAGCCACGTGTGGCCGCTGATAGTCCAGCGGCAACAATAGAGCCGTACGCATGCGGGTTGCAAAGTCGACGGCTGACCTCTCAACGGGTACGCGCAACACAGCCCGAAGTCGACGGACTGGTGTGGAGCTTTGGTTCCCGCCATGCAGTCTTCAAGATGCCGCTGCTCACGGAGAAGGCGGTCCATTCGGAAAGACGGAGAGGTGACAGGCCTGCATCTCAACATGAGCTCATCAAGCCTTCATGCGACCTAGAATTGTAGATGGGAACAGGGTGACCGAAAGCCCAGGATTCCTTTTGTCCGTGATGAGTGAACATGGCTGCCGATGTTCTGGACAAGCCTCGTCGTTAACAAGAAGCCCCTCGAGGGTTCTGCTGCCTGCGCAGTGGCAACTCGCCAGATTCTGCTTCCTTCGCTGTGCTCGAGTGGTCAAATGCTCCGACATTGCCGACTTTTGGAAGAGGGCGCGTTGGTAGTGAAAGGAGACATAGCAGAACTTTGTGCTTGCATACCTGAGATGGCGGTGACGTGTTCTGACCTTGAGCACCACCACCAGTAAGGGAATCTCATGGCGTCTGCTCGTATCGAGTGTTAAAAAGGAGGTTTGCTGGTCGGACTATGTACACCTATTGTACCAATTGACAGTGATAACTTTGTGTCTTGTGTGGATTGAGCGCGCTGATCATGTTGAGGGTAACCCGGAAGCATGTCGATATGTTCTTTCTTCTTCCGGGACCTGCAATGAGCCCTTTACGCACTCAGACCTTTCTTCGATCATGGTGAAATGTGCAGTGGTACGGAAACAAGGTGAGGTGTAGGTGTAGGTGTAGAAGCTAAGATAGCGGAAGTGCTCGCAGATCGTCTGACTCGCGCACCGTATCGCGTTCACGACGCGTCGACGCAGTAGCTCCGAACACTCACCTTAACATCGACTAAACACCAAGATGGCCCTCCTCGTCGACAAGCACCGACCGCGCACTCTCGACACGCTCAGCTACCATCCTGACCTCTCAGAACGGTTGCGCTCTCTGGCAGCCAGCGGCGACTTCCCCCATCTGCTCATATATGGACCCTCTGGGGCCGGCAAGAAGACTCGCATCACAGCGACACTACGGGCGCTCTACGGACCTGGCGTAGAGAAGATCAAGATTGATAGCAGAATCTTCCAGACCACGAGGTATGAGACTTCGCTATGCACTTCCAAAACAGCCACCTAACCCTCCCCAGTAACCGCAAGCTTGAATTCAACATCGTCTCCTCCAACTACCACCTCGAGATCACACCTTCCGATGTCGGCAACTACGATCGCGTGGTTATTCAGGACCTGCTCAAAGAAGTGGCACAGACGCAGCAAGTTGATCTAGCCGCAAAGCAGCGTTTCAAGGTCGTGGTGATCAACGAGGCGGACCACTTGACCCGTGATGCGCAGGCCGCGCTGAGAAGGACGATGGAGAAGTACAGTCCCAACTTGAGATTGATCCTGCTGGCGAACAGCACGAGCAACATCATTGCCCCAATTCGCAGTCGATGTCTGCTTGTGAGAGTCGCGGCGCCGACAGAAGTGGAGATTGCTGGGGTGCTGGCGAAAATTGGTAAGAAGGAGGGCTACAAGAACTGTGAGCCGTTGGAGCAGAGGATAGCGAAAGACAGTGGGAGGAACTTGAGGCGTGCGTTGTTGATGTTTGAGGCGGTGCATGCTCAAAAGTGTGACTTGCTTCGATTCTGCGGTTGATACATGAATGCTGAGTTGTTACAGTGACAACGTGAGCGAGAAGACTCCGATACCACCGCCAGACTGGGAGGCACTCATCGATGTCATCGCTAAAGAAATTGTCGAAGAGCGAACGCCAGCCCGGATCCTGCAGGTCCGCGCGAAGCTGTACGACCTGTTGACTCACTGCATACCTGCTACGGCTGTCCTCAAGGTCTACTAGCTCCTTTCCTCTAGATTGCGAATGGTCTACTAATTTGCTTCAGACTCTCACCTTCAAGCTCATGCCCAGAATTGATGACAGCTTGAAGGCGGACGTCGTTAAGTGGAGTGCCTTCTACGAGCACAGGATACGTATGGGAAGCGTAGGTTGTCTTCCAGCGTTCAGGAAACGAAATATGCTGATCTTTTGAGCAGAAAGTGATATTCCATCTCGAAGCATTCGTCGCGAAGGTCATGCGGTTGTACGAAGGGTGTGTTATGTCGTACCTCATCTGCGTGCTTGGAAGTAATGCTGACATCCGTTACAGTAACCTTCTTGGCATGGACATTGATTTCGATGACTAGAAAGAGAAGTGTAGTCGTCTTGATATTGCTCGGTCTTAGCGCGGCGTTTTGATATGCAGGGCAAGGTGCGCGGTCACGTCACTGGGAAGAAGTCACAACAGCTACCTCACGCGAGGCATTGAGAGCTCAACGAATACCATATCCAATCTTCGCATACTCTGACACCTCACCGTAACTACATTGTCTCATTCTCCTGTCTCGCAAAACTGCAAGTGAGAGAAGCAAATATGTCTTCAGGCCTCATGGACACAGAGAAGGGTGGTGAGCAATCACAGTACATCCCTCAACCTCTCACCATAACTTCAGACAGTTACTCACAACACCGACCCCAGGTACGAAGGGAAAAACACCGAGCTCACACCGCACTCCAAATCGACGGGCCAGCTCGGTCAGGCTTCCGACAAGACCACCCTCGACCCTTCGAAGACCGCCGAAGGCGCACAGCAGCAGGCAGAGCGTGGGGAGAAGACAGCAGAGAATATACGCTACGGGCAGACGATCAGTGAGGGTGGTATGGGCGGACAGACGAGCGTTCAGCAGGGTGAGGCGGAGAAGGAGGGATATGGGAGGTTAGGGGACAAGGCGGAGGAGGGGGATGCGAAGCAGGAGAGGCGGGAGCAGGGGTATGGTGGGGAGAAGGATATGGATCGGGAGATTGGTGCGTGAGGTGTCTATACTTGAATCGATTCTGAGCTATGGCGTGGCTCAGTCACTAAGAAGTGAGTCTCGAAGAGAAGCTGCCATTCCCGTGCTCTTTTGGCTTTCCGTATGCTTCTCTGCTCTCTGCTCGATTGTCCACCAAGCACAACGTGTGCTAAGTTCCTGTCATCCAATACCACATCCAGCGTCGCCCGTTACGAAAGCCACCCGTGGGGACATGAGCCCTGTCCATCGATCCTGTCACCAAGACATCATGCGAACTTGATCATTCCCGAAAATTTCCTTGTTGATGCGATCTTCGTCAAATTGGACTCTGCTTCTGTTTCTCGTTAGCACTTCTCAACGAAAGTCAGCAGCTGAGACTTACGCTCCAAGGTGTTGCACTAGATCGTCAATCTTGCGATTGGCAACGAATCCCTCCAAGACGCGCAGACGAAACGCCATCACTGGATCTTCGTCGTCCTCCTTGTATACAATCTGCATTGCGACCTCGATGCGTGCTCTTGTCCTGATCTTCTTGAAAGCGTCGACAAGGGCATCGAATTCAGCTAAGGTCGGGCCATACCATGCCTTGATGTTTAGTGCCAGAGTCAAGTGTTTGTAATCCGTAAGTTGAACTGCTCTAAGCAGACCGCGCCAGTTCCCGGGCTTTTGGTAGGTGTTGACAAGGATAAGAAATCTGTCCCTGGATGGAAACCAGTCGACGCAGCCTACGTGCTTTGCCATCATCTGCTTGTCATCGTAATGATCAGGATCAGCCAACAGGACCGCCATCGTAGAGTTCTTCCCCATAGCCTCGGAAGCCTCGCGGCGGATGAGGCGACAGGTAGCGAGCAGAGGGTCGTTCTCGATCACAAGCGCCGGGAGCTTCACATCTTGGAAGTAGTAGTCGTAGATTCTGAGTCGTAGTTCTGCCGGCAGTTTGAGAAGGTGGCACTCCTGGGGGTCGGATCGCGCAGCTGTCGTGGAGAGGAATGTGGCCGCTAAGGTCTCGATGACCTCTGCGGCATCTGTGCCCATGGTGCTTTGTGGGTTTGTGGTTGTCGGAGGGCGAGGTCGGGTAAGGATTAAAGGAGAAGTCGCGCTCAAATACTGCTGCCAAGCTGCATGTGATGTGAACTTCGAAGGCGCTAGTGATGTTGTTAAACGCGGCAGCATGTGACTGGTTTCGGGGCCAGTCTACGCGTTGTTCAGCGTGTGTCCGCTCCTTCCCATTCGATGTGGGTTCATGACTTGTCAGGCAGAACTAGGATGAAGTTTTGTTTGAGAACACCATAAGCCTGCTCAACAAGCACCGGAATTGAGATGGAGCATACTGGGCGCGAAACGTCGATTCTTTGCTATTGTCAATGCCTCGACCCACAGTTTGCTGCACAGCTTTGTCTGAACTTCTCGATGCTGACCCATTTCCAGCCCATGTCCAGAGCACGGCGCAAAGAAGCGTGTTCATTGTTCGGCTTTCGGAGAAGTTTGTTCTCATCTCCTGGCCAGGCCGCTTACCATCCCCAAATGCACCCATGCTTCTGCTTTTGATGCTCAAGTCCTTGCAACCACCCGAAAATCACATCTCTAATACATCTGTTTCAGCTTGATGAACTCGACATCAACACCATTCCTGTAAATCTGTTAGCACTGTAGAGGGATCTGATCTTCAATGTGACTTACGCCTGCATCACCTCCATCAGATTTTCGTACACCGTAGGGTAAGCCTTCATTCCTGCGTGGTGCCTTCGCAACGAAGATGCTGTAGTAGCGCAAGAACCTCCTCCGAGTCTTCGAATAGCCTCAGATCCAGTTTGTTAATGACGTTTGAAGCGGAGATAGCTTTGAGTAATGTTCGAACCTTCCTCACCGTCCGATAGAATTTTCTGCTCGGCCAGATCGATAGCTCGAGGTCTTGTACATGTTGGAGCGCGGAGTACTCCTTGATCTCGGAGATTGACCCAAGCGATTTCAGATCAGGGTAGACGTCTGTAGTGAGGGGTTCGCGTCCGAGATCGATGTCGACGTCCAGGCGCGTCTGCTGGTGAAAAATTGGTTTGGCCTCTTCTTGAATGCGCTTGCAAGCGTACAGAACTGCCGTCTCGGGTGGATCGTCCGGATCATCCCACCGGCCCCAGACATCGTCTTGCGTAATCCACACCCTGTAGGTGCGCTGCTCCGCAAAGCAGTATCCGAAGATCAAGGCGAGAAGCTCTGGTGGCAGAGAAAGGAGGCGGCAGTTGTCCTGCGGAGCTTCGGCCGAGGTCGCGGGCTCACCTGCCATGGTTGCGCGAGAACGGTCGAGAGGTTGAGAGGCTGTAGGATGAAGAGAGGTTTGCGAAGACAAAAGAGATTTGGCGGGGTGTAAACAAAGCCCGAAGCACGGTATTCACTCGGGTGGGTCCATTCAGCTGACCTACGATTCACATGTGATTCTTGGCGTTAGGTTTGGGGAGAGCAAGTGACGGTGAAAAGCAACCCCCGGGCATATCGGCAGTCTTCTCCCAGACTCGTTCTGCGCCGGAAAGGTCGCATCACTCTCGTCGGTGGGCTGTCGTTGTCTGTGAGAAGATACAGTGCAGGTCTCGCCTCGATCTGGTCTTGGGGATTCTTCGACATCCTTCATCTGGCTTTCCGGCCATTGACGCCATTGACACGATCAAGCCATTGCTGTCTCATACGATCGATCAGGCGGTAAGTGTCGCTCGCTCATCCAGACGCTCCAGGAGGTGTTCAGACGAGCCAGCGGCGAGGTGGTCGTAACTGCATATTCTCCACGATGGGCATGGTTACAGTGATAATATACTTCTGGCTGGTTCATATAGCTGGCAGTGGCCCAGGGGAAGAGTGCCAAAGCACCGTGGTTCGATGAGGAGTAGTTGATCATGAGAATGCAATGGTTGAAGTCAAGAGTGGAAGTAATAAGGGTGAAGTGGAACAAGGACAAGGCTTCAGATCAGCGGCCGCGTCAAAAAGTGGGGCGGCTGTTGCTCCTGTTTCCACCAGGTCGGAGTTGCTTGCGACAGGAACACTGGAGTCTCTTTATGTCGACAGTAGCCGTCCGATTACAACCCATAGGTTGCTTCGTGTTGTCTTTCGCTCGCTCTCTCTCTGATCTTTGTCCGGAAGTCATGCATGAGAGACCCGACAAACGTTTACCCGCGCTTGTTTGACTTTGTGCCGCGGAACTCAAGCCTCTCTTGACTCGATGATATGCTTCAGGGCTACCCGTCGAAGTCCAGAGCGGCAACTGTCGCTGCCGCGGTGCTTCTTCTTTTACTAGGCGCACATGTCCTACGCAGCCATGCACCGCCGGTTCCGAGATGGCGCCTAGCAGACGGCGAGGCTGTCATCGGCGGGCATGTCGACATCAAAGACGACCCTGAGACATTGCCTTGTCAAAAGCTGCCAGGAGCCGAGGATGTCGTGGTCATCATGAGGACTGGAGCCACTGAGATTCAAGACAAACTCCCCATCCATTTCAACACGACTTTCAGGTGCTACCGGGATGTCCTCATCTTCTCGGACTATGCCGAAACATTCCAAGGCCACGAAGTCCATGATGCCCTGGCCGCGATGGACCAGGATCTGAAGGAGAACAATCCGGACTTCGAGCTTTACATGAGGCTCCAACGACATGGTCGCGAAAGCCTGTCTGAGGACGAGCTCAGTGGCAAAGCAAGCTTCGAAGGGAGCAAAAGCGGCAAGGGCGAAAATCCAGGCTGGAAGCTGGACAAGTGGAAGTTCCTCCCGATGATGAATGAGACATTGAACCTGCGACCAGACAAGAAGTGGTTCATGTTTGTGGAGTCCGACAGTTACCCGGTCTGGTCCAACATGCTTCAATGGCTGGAGAACGTGGACCCAGCGAAGCCACACTACTTTGGCAGTGAAGTGATGATCGGGCCAGACATATTTGCTCACGGAGGGTCCGTCTTCGTCATGTCAAAGCCAGCAATCGAGCTGGGGGCACAGTACTACGCAGAACGCCGGCAGGAATGGGATCTGTTCACCGACGGACACTGGGCTGGCGACTGCGTGCTCGGCAAGGAACTTGGAGAAGCTGGAGCACCACTGGAATGGTCGTGGCCTATGTTCCAGGGTGGACATCCCGAGAAGATGGACTTTACAGAGAAGAAACACAATGACAGGAAACTGTGGTGTGTTCCAGCTCTATCCTATCACCACTTCTCGCCCACCGAGCTGCCGCGTTTCTGGGAATTTGAGCAGATGTGGATTCAAAGCAGGTTGGACAAGGTGTCTGCCAAAGACAGCCGCGAGAGACGATGGTCATTCTGGGAGGACTACAGCGACGTCCTCGAACATCGAGACGTCTTCAGAGAGTTCGTGTGGCCTCGGATCCGGGAAGGGCAAGCTGGCTTCTGGAACAACCTCTCGCCGAACATAGTTGAGAACACTGCTGGGAGCAGCGAAGACAACTGCCGACGCATCTGTGAAGAGACGCCGGACTGCCTGCAATATGCGTCAGGCAGAGAGGGATGCTCAATGTCTAACCAGCAGGTGATGCTTGGGGAGAAGCAAGATGGCTACAAGTCGGGCTGGATGCTGGACAGGATTGAGGGATGGGTGGCAGGCTTGGACAACTGCGCTGGATTCGAAGGGTGGACAGTCAGCTGAACAGCGATGCTGGTCGACGTGTTACACATGCAAGGCACAGCGGTGATAACTTATTCACTGGTGGACACCAGGCGTTGGTGAATTGGAGTAGCGTACAGCATTGCAGCATAGCGTGGCAGGAACACCGTTAACAACCACATCGACTGGGAGGCAGCAATGAAGGACCAATCAAAGCCTGCATTTTCTTGTTTCACCGGTCGGACTTTTGGTGGGAGCTGTCATTGTCAGCCTAGTCCTCATGCGCATTCAAGAGTGAGATACCCCACCTTGTAGCCCTCTCCACCCACAAACTGCCAGCTCACTGCCAGGCAGCTCAGCACTATCGGTGGTACAGAGAAATGGCAGAAAGTTTTTCTTGAAGCTGGATTTTTGACCTTCAACTACGCCTTCAACTACAGCGTGAGCTACTTCGCATTCGCAGGTCGAGCCAGACAGTCATCATCAGCACACGCAGATCTCTCTGTGCTCAACCACTGACCGAGCTACTAAACCGCTGCGCAGCCCGCTAAGCTTGCCTGTTGGCCGGCGAGTGTTGATCAAGGCAAAGATCGGCATCCAGGCATACACAAGGCGACCCGCTTAGCTTATCAACAATGTCCGACTACTACTCTTCAGACGCCTGGGGCCAGGCCCTTGGCCCGTCTAAGAAGAAAAAGAAGAAGGATCAAGCAAGACTCAACACGAGCTACTGGCTTCCCAGGCTCGACGAGATGGTCCTTCTCCATCCAATTTCGACACGCAGTGACGGCGTGTCGAAGGAGGAGAAGACGAGGGTTGTGATGGTGAATGAACAGCTTGAGAAGTACAATCGATGGCTGCCATTCATCCAATCCTCGAAGCCTGGAAGAAATGTGCGAAATGCGGGCACAGATCTGCAAGTCGCTGTGCATGACCTAAATGCCCTGGTAGCAGGCATGATGATCAAGATTGATCAGAGGATTGCGGATGTACAGGAAGCTGCGGAGGATTTTGTTGAGGCGGTGAGGCAAGACGGTGGGTGGCAAACGAACGGTGACCTCCTAGGTATGTAGTATTCCTACGCTCTGATACTCCCTCACAGCATGCTGTCCAGCGAAGACTAATCACAAACAGATCTGACGTACGACGAGCTCGATGAGATCTTGACCAAGCATCCCCACCGACATACAGATCCCTACAGACAGCATCTATGCTTTACAGTGTGGAACTCTAGACCTGTCACCATCCTCCTCACACGACCGCGCCGAGATCCTTTTGGACTCGACTGGGCAATTGCCGTGCCGGAACCACCGCCACCTGACAGGCACCTTGACAAGCTCCTGCGGCTTGTCTCAGAAGTGTCTCAATGCGAGGACGGACTCTGCGAAGCGTTCCATCTCCTCATATTGTTGAAAACCCGTGCTGTCACGAAATACGAAGGCGAAAGTCTCCGGCCTGACGCTGTCTTGGACCACGATGGAGAGAGAATCGACCAAGAAGTGCTGAAGCTCGTGCAAGAAGCAGACCTCGCGGCAGCCCAGAACCGGTTACCGAACGGCCGCATCTTCTTCAACTTCGCCGCCGCAGCGCGAGATATGTTCGTCCACCTTCCCCTGGGATGTGGCATCTGCCATCGACCACCTCCTCCACCACCTCCGCCTCCTCCTGGGATCATTGACCCTTTTGCAGGGCTGTTTCCGGACCCGCCCTGCGTACGGCCGCCATATTTGCAGCTGCTACAGACTGTACAGCAATGGGCTCAAGGCGAGATTCTATCTGGAATTATGCTGGCTTTCAGCCGGAAACTTCCGAGAGAGCTGTGTTTCCTCGTGTTTGAGTACGCTATGGAAGCCGAGGAGCTACCTTTGAATCCACGCGTGTGGGAGGACGACGACTACATCATGGGCATGCGGATTGCTGGCGCGCTGAGGAAGCGTTACGTTTGCCCAAAGCCGAAACCGCCGCGGAACCCGTGGTGAGAGCAGCTACCTTTTGTTCCTCGTTCTCGAATTTCATGAGCGCGGAGTTGGCATTGGATTCTCTTCTGACTTCACTGAGCTCGCTTTGCGTCTTCGAGAAGCAGCCAGTTGTATCAAGTGGGATTGGGGTGGCTAAAGTTTGATTTGGATGAATGAGAGACCTTACGGGCTTTTCGATCTGACATGGCCATCTCTTCTCGGTATGTCTGTGTGAAAAAGTCACCTGCCACGAAGTTTCACAAATGTCACTAGCGCCTTCAAACCGATCGGTAACAGTACTTGAACCTACCTTTCTCCTTGAACCTCTCTCTCTCCCATAACTCGCAGCACCAATGTGGTCGCAGATGCTACACAGACTATTGAGAACGTAGCTGCTACACCTCGGACGACAGTGGCTCGACCTAGCCACCAGAAGTGTCACCTCCTCAATCTTCCGGCAGAACTCCGACTCAGAATTTATGAATTTTACTTCAGAGACATCCGCCTGCCACTACTCCCGATCGTGGTGGATGATGAGACATGCGAAGCCTACGCCTCCTTGGTCGAGGAGTATCGCGAAGTCGCGGCTGAGGACAAATCTCAACTTGCGCAAAAGATGCGTGGCAACACTCACGGATTCTGCCTCGAGAACGATCCTCTGCTGGCTACATGCCGGCTCATGCGTCGCGAGGCTTCCGAAGTCATGACGAAGGACTCGAGCATGGCGATCCGCCTGGCTTTTCCCTGTTGTTATTGGGAACCCAATAAGCTCATTGCGAAAGACATCGGCGAGCTCGACTGGATATACCCAAGAGACAGCCTCACCTCGATCATCGACGTTGACAACAGGGTCGGCGACCCAGTTCAATGGACTAGGTACCTCGAAGCAATCGAATGGTGTGCACACTTCAAGCCGTTGATCGCGGTGCTGTATCTTTTCCCGGACGACAAGCTCCAGCATCTGGGGCTGGCCGGTTTCGACGGCGCTATCGACGTTCTCAAGAAGATCAAGACTGAAGCCTCGATCGAGATGGCAATGACTGTGATTCGCGAGGACATCAAGGCAGAGGCGATGGCGGATCGTCTGAAAGCTATAGATTCCGAGCAAAAGTTCACAGATCTTGTGAAGCACCTTGGAGCGTAAGTCTTGCATCCTCGCCTCTGATGATCGAGGCTGACACGGGGCAGAACCAAAATTGACTGGAACGAAGCTCGCCGCGCCGGATACATGGACCTCCCTATGGCACCAGCTGTTCAGAATTCATGGAGGAGGCGGTGGACCAGTATAGATAGTGGTCGTGGAACTTCGCCGGCTAAAGCGTTAAAGTCCGAGGGCGAGGAAGAACAAGCAGTAGACACTAGAATTGTTTCTGTATGCGAACAGCTTAAGACTGACACAGCCACTTCTTCTCGTCATGCTCCAGAGCTTCCCGTATCCTCGGGATTGCGCGCATCCGTAGCTCCTCATGGGGCGACGCCCTCCATGCCTGCAGCATCTCCCACACGAGCGTTGCGTCCGAAAGGTCTTTCGGCTCCTTCGCATCCTTCACGAGCTCACCCGCGAGCTCTGCGCGAAGCGAGTCGGCCACACTCAGCTCCTCTAGCTGGGACAAGTCTTCCAACGGGCCCATCTCAGACGCTAGGAAGCAGTAGTCTTGCGGCCAAGCTTTCATCGCCGCCTTCTTCAGCGCTGCGTAAGCCCCGTGATATGGCCTATCAGAACTAGCCTGCCTTTCCACCTCGGCTTTCAGCTCATTTGCGAACGTCTGCCGATGCTCGACATGGTCTGGCGTCCACACCAAGCTGGGATACGTCAACAGCCAAAGCCTCATCTCATACGTATCTGGCAGCGTATCCGGCTTGCGGTCTGGATCCCGCTGCCACTCTGGCGTCCTCATGCTGTCAATTTCCCTCACGAAGCGGCGGATGAGCGGCCTGCAATACCGCTGCCAGTGTCGCCACATGTCCTCGTTCTTTCGGTGCGGTGGAGCCAGCTCCTGCAACAAAATCGAGCGTTCTGCCGCCTGCTTTTCCCCCTTCATGATCACAGCGTCTAGCTGCCTCTCGAAGGCCTGAACGACGTGCTCATTCGTGATGCCATTGTGGACTTCGGTTTCGATGGGCTTGAGCAAAAGTGAAGTCACCACCGAGCCGTGATAGTCAGACGGAGAGTTGCTTTGCCAGAGATTGAGCCAGTGCCGACCTGCTTTGCAAGATCGAAGATCCGGCGAGTTTCGGATGGTCTCGTTGATCAACAGCAGTTCTATGTCTTGCTCTGCAGTAACGAAAGCAGCGTCTGTCCAGATGTTGAGAAGGTCCAGAGGAACCAGTTGTGTATGGCGAATGATCAGATTGGTGAGCAAAGAAGGATGTACGGGCACTGGAGGTAGCGATGATGGCGACAGGTCGAAATGGTGTTGCTTGAGGAAGACTGACATCCATCGTCTGTTGTTCTCCGCTGACTTGCGTAGCGTGGGTAGAAGGAGTCGGTCGATCACAGTACCACGTAGAGACTCATCTGCCGAGCTGACCGCTTGAAACAGAGCGTCGGCAATAGGAGTGTTGTTGTCGACTTCGGGTATTGTGCCACTGCGCTCGGCTTCCTCCCAGTCTGCTTCACTCAACGACTTGAACTCGCTCGGGGATGCTGCGATCGGCACAGCATGAGTTTCCAGTGCCTCCAGTACTGCTGTCACGGTTGCGTCGCAGGTCGTTGACAGCATCAATGAGATGAGGCTGCCACATACTGCCGCTCGAACGTCAAGATGGGTACTGGAGGTGAAGAGACCAACCAGCAGATTGACGGTGAAACCTTCGTCGACAAAATCGGCTCCTGACATGATCTGAGCCAGCATCTTGACGGTGCTCACTTTCACCACCGGGCCAGTCTTGTCAGTTGTGTTTGGCCCATACTCTTTCTTCAGGCTTGGTCGCTTCTGCAGAGCCTCCTTGATCTCGTCGGCAATACCAGTGAGAAAGTCTCGTGCAACATCACTTGGCAATGATCTCAGCAAGCCGTTGTTGAACAGATGCCGGTGCCATGAACTGTCGTCAGGTCGGCAGACGATCACATGTTTGATGAGCTTCAGAAACATCTCAGGCCGGTCGCTCTCAATAAGATACTTCATCAGGGTGAATGCTGACGGGTCGTATTTCTCTCCTTTAGGCCTGTTGAACATAGCCTTGCAGAGTTCCAGGCCCAGCGAAGAGGGTATTTGCTGTTTGAGCCCTTCCACGACTGGCCAGACATAGTTGCCTCCAGTATTCTCTTCGTCCAAGAACTCATCATCCAAGTACAGCGCAGGAAAGCGAGCATCGCCATTGGACGGAAACGGCTGAGCTAGCAGACGCTTCTCTGCGCAGCAGTGGCTGTTAATTAGCAGCAAAGCCGCCGCGATCAACGCTTCCTGAGTGGCTGGTGGGAGACGTTTCCAGCCTTTCTGATAGTTCACGCATTGTTGCCAACGCGGCTGCTGCACAAATCCAAACGTATAGGGCTCTATGGGCGCGAAAGGCGTGTGCTCGTCGAGCCTGAGCACTCGCGGCGGGTTTAGCAACATTTGTATGCAGGTTGCGCGCAGCGGTCGGGCTAGTGTGTCCCACTGGCTTGGATCAGGATCGGGATTCCACTCTGTGGGCTCTGAGACGTCTTCGACATCTGGGAGCAGCGGGTCTGGTCGTTCGACAGGGGTCTTGCTGAGCTCTGAGACGTCTGCGTCCGCCCGTCCGAACATCTCCGACCAGTAGTGGAGTGCCTCATGGTCTGTCATGCTGGGCTCCGTCAGGTTCTCGAGGGCATGATTCCAGGCGGACTGTGTGCGAGCTTGTCTGGCTTGTGGGTTCGCAGATATGTAGAAGCGAAGCGCGGTAATATATTTATCCACAAACCCTCCTATGGCTGTTCTGGTGTCCTTGTCATTGGGTTGATCAGCCAAGGCAGTTGCAGAGTCGAGGAACAGGATATGTTCGACTCGTGAGAGCAGATAAGGCATCGCGTCATCCATCACCTCCTTCAAGGTCGAAGAGAGCAGGCTTTGGATGGGTAAGCCTTTCGTCCATGGTTCAGGCAATGCCACGACGGCGGAGTGTACCTTTTTACGGTGCTCCTCCCATAGCTCATTCCTGCGTTCTGCGAGTTCGTCGAGGAGGCGGCAGTTGACCGCTCGAGACATCACTTTCTTCCCATGGCTGCCGGTCCAAGACATGGGGCCATTTGCCTGGCGGAGGCCGAGCTTCTCGTGACCATCCTCTAGCCCGATTGACTCTGCTTTGACGAGCGTCCACAGCGTGTCTTCAAAGACTGCATCGTAGATCTGATCTTCACCAAGTCCCAGCTTGTCCTGCAGAAACCGAACACTGGTGGTCCTTCTCTCGGTCACTGCCCTTAACAACTGGATCACAGAGTGCCAATCATCCTGGTAGAAACTGGGCTCCCGCAAACCCATGCATGCAGTCTCAAGCAACAGCAGCATGATCCGGTTCGCATGCTGCACGTGCTCTTTGAGCTCCTTGACTTTGACGACCTGAGAGCGATTATTCACACCAGCAAGTAGCTCCAAGCACTCCTCAGTCTCGAACGGAGAGCCTGTGGAGTACACCCGCTTCACCGTGAAGACGTCCTTGTTGTATTTGCGAAGCCACAGCACAATTTCTTCCAGGAAATCCAGGGAGCGGGAGGCCACAGCGAAATATACCACAGATGCGACACATTGCGCTCGCTCGTCTTGATCTCTGATCTTGGTGGCCTTATTGCGACATCGTTCCGCCGCTTTCTGAGCTTTCTGCGAAGCCTCCGCTTCATCAGGACAAAGCATCACTTCAAGCATCGCAAGCTGCTCATGGTCGTCGACGGCGAACAGGCCTGAAGAACGCCGTTGGATGAAGTTTTTGTCTGGCTTGAGTTGTATCAGCCGTTGAAGAAGAGCGGAGCCTGCAGATTTCGGAATCCTCAGGAAGATATCAGGTAGCCATCGCGCTTTCACGCCAGCGACGTCAGCATCTTCGTTGAAGCGGACTTTAAGCCGCGGCAGATGCAAGAGTGCGAGCTTCAGTAACGAAAGATTGAGCTCGCTGCTGTGATGCAGGAGACCGGCCACAGAACCTAGGTCGGAAATGTGAGAGCACTTCAGAAAATCCACCAGTAGGTACTCGTAGACAGCAGGACCCTCCTTCCATAACCGAATGACATAACCAAAGAGTCCATTCTCATCAAGCCCAAATGTCCTGCCACCTCGATCCTGTGGCACGGGGGCCCGCAGAAGGCAGCGTAAGGTGTCTTCACGAAGTGAGGCCGTGTGCGACCTCTTCTCCAGACGCGCGAGCAGATGCTGTCCGACATCTCGATACCTGTGATTGAACGAAACGTCGGCAATATCCGATGTCTCGAGCTTGAGCAGAAAGTCCAGCGAGAACTGCATGCTCGCCGAGACTTTCTCCGTTGCTGGCTCGGGCGGGACACATTTGAAGAGCGCCTCGTAGGTCATGGGCTTGAAGCCAGTGCCGGGCTTGTCGCACTTCTCGAGGCACAGTTGCTGGAAGTGTGCTGTGTGCGCCTGATAGAGCCTGAAGCGATCCGCACGGGGGAGATCGTCCTTAGCAGACCATTCATCCACTAGATCTACCGTACAGGCGGGAACGATGAAGGCGTAGTACTTCAGCAGTGGCCGCTGATCAGGGTTCTGCACTGTCGACTCTAGAAAGGAATCGGACGCCAGCGCCTTCACGAGCTCCGTCATGCATTGCTGTCGTAACTCCCGATGCGCTCTCTTGGTTGCATTCGCTCCAAGCATGCGACAGAGATGGCCGACATCGTGGACCGAGAGCCTAGTCATGAGCTGCAACAGCCCTTCAGTCCCGCCAGCGACCTTCCAGACTTCCGGGAACTGCTTGGAGCCCACACGCAAGCCGAATCGGCGGATGGCCACTCGTCGTACCATGTTCGAGTGCCTAAATTTCATGGCTTCGAGAAGTTGTTCTATCTGAGCGAAGCCATGGATCCAGGTGGTCACGACTCTGGGTGGGAAGGACTCTACATCGACGCCGTCAAGTAGATGTTTGAAGACCACCTGCGGGCCGATGGTGTCGTGGAGTTCTCGGAAGTACGTCGACAGTTCCGATCCAGTGCTGTTGCGCAGCCGTTTGTTGTCGATAGTCGCCGCCATGGTATGGTCCAGTTGCTCCGAGCCTGGGCAAGAAAAAGTAAAGCGGCAGTGCTCAGCGAGCAGAGTCAAGACTCGTGCTGTGCTCTCATAGAGGACACATCCTCGTTATATAGCTCTGGAGTCTTGCCGCCTAAGTAACCGTACCACCGGTCTCCCCTTCAGGCCATCGACCCTGCGGCGGTGACTGACTCAGAAGACATTGCTCATCGCCAGCAGCGCCTTCCGGGCTTCACTGATGATCGTTCTCGTTCTCGTTCTCGCTCTCGACGACTGTCAGCCTCAGTGCGAAGGAACAAGAAGCACTCCTGACTTGGAAGGCACAACTCGCGGGTTGTTGACTGGGGTTGAGATGCGGTTTGAGGCGAAGTTGGACAGGCCCTGATTGGCTGTGAGAATACTGACGCTAGCTGATGTCTCCTGCACGGTCACAACGGACTACATTTATCGAACACGGGAAGATAGAACGCAGGAAGCGATATCCGTAGGTCAGAAGGAATAGTGAGTATCTCAGGAAACCAACTCCAAGACCCCAAACCAAAGCAACACTTTTCCAACCACCAACTCACCGAATAACACCCCACCGCTCAATATCCCCGGTCCCCTCCTCCTCCAAAATCCTACTCCCCCCAAAAATCCCACTCTCCACCCTCCTCCCACCCCCAGCAGCCCCACCACCACTATGCTCCGCCCAGATCTCATGAAACTTAATACTCGCATCACTCGTCGCCACCACCAAACACCCCTCCTCCCTCGTCCGCCTGCCATACCACGGGCGTCCCTCCGCATCAGTCCTTCTCACCGCAGAGGCCCCATCCTGAGAATCAGCTTGCCGCTGACCACCAGTCCCCGGACCGCGCGGGTAAGCGACGCCGAATAAAGCGCGCTCCTCGCCCCACCACGGTATGCGCACGACCATGTTGCAGCTCGGCCAGGCGAAGACGGCGACGCGGTAGGGGTGTTCGGGCTGCGCGAAGCCGAACGTGCCGGCGATTTCCTTGCGCTTCTCCGACCACACGAGCGAGGTGACTTGGGCGTGGCAGTCGATGGTCGCGAGCGTGGCGCCGGAGAGGGTGTGGAAGAAGTGGATGCAGCGGTCGTTGCTTCCGCCTCCTGCTGCGAGGAGGGTAGATTGCCAGGGCGCGAAGGCCATTGCCTTGACTGCGGCGTTAAGGCTGAAGATGTGCCGTTCCTGGCCGGGCGTGATGGCGAGGACGGCGTCTTGTCCAGTCACGGTGTTGGAGCTTCTAGCCCGTACGTGGACTGCGGTGCCGGCGTTCACGCTTTGGGGGTCAGGCGGTTGATGTATCTTCTTGCTTTCGAAGAGGAACAGCTGATTGTCGTTGCCGCCGGTGGCGAAGAATTGGCCCTCGGCGCTCCAAGTTATTCTACAGACTTGTTGCGAGTGGCACTCGATTCTCGCCAGCAGTTTCATGCTACCATGCCAGTCAAAAAGGTCTCGCTGGTCTTGAGTGGGCCATTCAATTGAATAGTAGTACACAAAGCCCACTTCGTCACCGACAAGAAGCTCTTCAGTCATGGCCATGGCATTGGAGTCTCGAAGGGAGGGCCTGCGGACAGTCTCAGGACGAAAAGCCAAGCATGAGATAGGAGATGGCTGCTCGCTGTCAAACCGCGGCTCACGATCCAGTGGACTCCAGAGTGTAATGCGACCGTCCGCACGGCCAAGAGCAAGAATGGCACTGCCGCCGCCTTTTGAGCTGAAGGAGACAGACGTAACGTGCGCACTGCCTGCCGGTGCGGTCAACGAGTCTGGGATGCTAGAAGACGTGCGCTTTTCGGACCAGAGGTAAACGTGCGGGCCGAGGCCGACTGCCAGGCAGTTTAGAGTAGGTGAGTAGGAGAGTAGAGAGCAGTAATAGTCATCGCGCAGCGCTGGCGCATTAAGCACTGTAGCATGGTCAGAACAACTCCTCACTGCAGTAGAGCAGACAATTACCTCGGAAGGGGATGACCGGGACGTCTTTGACCTTCTTCGTCTTTCCCTTCGTGGCTGTCGGAAAGGTTGTTAGCTTCAGCATCCACATCCAAAGGAAGGTGTCCAACGTACGTGTCGCAACACCATCCTGCTGCCATGCACCGTCCCTCCAGACCCGACGACCTTGAGCGGGCGAAGCACTGCCACCGCTCGACGTAATAGGCGAAGCAGGAGACCTTTGCACCAGCATCCTCGCATTCTGATCGATATCCATGGCCACAGCAAGTCGTCTGGAATGCGTAACCTCATCTTCGGTCAACGAGTTCTTCCGGATAAAGTCCGCAGTATAGTGTGCAGCGTTCGTCCCACTCGTAACTCGTCCACCGCGTCCGTTCGTAATGCTCGCCACGCCTTCAGTCACCATGGATCCACCGACAGTCCATACGGTGCCTAAGCTGGGTGCTCGGCGTGCTTGCGCCGAAGCATCGAACACTCTTGTGGGTGCACCAACTGGAAGAAGCGGCGCTGGAGGGCTGCAGAGTGTGGCATACTGCTCTGCCATCCACAGACTTCGTGCTGGCACCGGTCCGAAAGGGTCCGACTCTGCATTGGTCGTATTGAGGCCAGACGGCTTAGCACGACGCTTCGAAAGCAGCAGCGACTCCTTGGTGGGCGTCCCAGCACGCGTCGGGATGAAGCGGTCCGGAGTCTGAGCACCTACTGTCATCAGACGCTTCTGACGAGGCGTGGCATTGCGCTCGCAGTGTCCTAGTAAGGCGCTTGGGTACCTCGATCGACGTACCGCCGGACCATAAGCATCACCACCCGTGTGGCGAGGGAAGGGGAAGGCGGAGGCACCCTTGGCGAAGCTAGGTGTGCCTAGAGGTGTAAATTCATCCTGGTCCGCTCGACCTGAAGGCGCCCGAGAAGGCATGGGCGAACCAGCGGCATCATTATCGTAGGCGCTTGGAATCCGACTATGTCTCGACTCGGAACCTCGCATACGGGAAGCGCTGTCAAAGAAGACATCGTCACTCGCCTCAGTAGACCCATCGACGTCGAAGAAGGTCTCGTCCGCATCCTCTTCCACCTCAGGAGTACTTGGTCCAGCCTCAGGTGATGGATGCCCACTCCCAGCCTCGTCCTGGCCATCAAATTGTGCAAGATGGCTGGCGAGCGCTGAAAACCGACTCGGGCTGGGTCTTCCTTTTCTCAGTGACCGACTCGGGCTGGTCATTGGTGTCTCGTGAGAAGCAGCGATGCTCGATGTGGTGCTCTGCGGCGACATGGGTGGACTCTCATCGGGTGTGTGATCGTTGGAACGCTGGCATGGATGTACTGCGTCTGAGATCAGGGCGGGGCGCGTTGGACTGTGGTACGACATCTTCCGACGGCCCAGATCTCTGGACGAGGTATCCTGCAAAGATACGCCGTTGTTCATCGTTTGAGAGGATTGGCAAGAGATCTTCTCTGTCCCGGATAGATCCACGGTCGCTGAGAAGTCGTTCAAGTCGTTCTCGGGTCTGAGGGGCGATGTCGTAGCCGGCGCTGGCCAGGCTGTCCAGGGAAGTGGCAGGGGAGCGTTGAGGCACATAGGTCTTGTGGTACACCCATCGCGAAGATCCCATCCCGTAGTATTCTGTGTGTCGAGTGTATTGCGCCACTCCACGTTCGCCACAGTCTGGACAGTACCCGTACTCGCGTATCGTTCGATCGTGACGGAGGGCTTCTCTGGGGTTGGAGTGAGTGCTGCCGAATGATGTTGTTGACGAGTGCGCCGTCCTCCCCCCAGCTTGAGCTGGATGGAGGTAGGGATGAGTTCCTGGCTGGGGCGGAGGTGCTGGGGCGGGCTGAACAGGCTCTTCTTCTCGTCGCTGTTTCCGCTTTTTCCATCCAAACTTGGCGTCGTCGAAGCGTTTGTAGGCGAAGCTGCCGATGGCCCGAGACCCAGACCTGACTGCCGCCTAGGCAGATTTGACCCCTTTGGAAGAGTTTCGGTTGGGGCTGTTGATTCCCGTCGAGTCGCCCAGGGGATCTGAGTACCGTCTCTCTCGCTCGTCTTGCTCTGACACTTCCTCGATCGTGTCTGTGGGCGCGTTCCACGTTGGGAACCGGCTATCTCGGATGGGATTGGGATGTCTGAACTCGCCTCTGGAGTGACGGGCAGTGGAGCCTGGCGTGGTCGGGTGATGAGGGCAGGGTGGTGTTTGCTGGACCTGGGCGGCGAAGTCTTGCATGTCGGCCCCGACGTCCACGGATCGTGACCGCTTCCGGTCTTCCATGGTGTACAAGGTTCGGCGTGCGCTGGCGTGTCGTCCTGGTCTTCGCAATGGCTTGCTCCAACGGAGGCCGTAGGGTGGTGAGAGGGAATCGTGATGCTCTCAGCGCCACCAAGCACAAGCACAGGCAGTGCAAGTCTCTGATGTGGACTGAGACCTCGAAAAGTCCTCTGAGCTCCCGGTACAAATGTGTCTTGCTGCTCGTTGGTTGACAGAGGCATTCTCCCGGCCAATGCCGAGGGAAGAAGCAGTCGTCAGTGTCTCGAGTTCGGCATCTGCACAGGAAGGTCCACGATTTCTTATACCGCCATTGTCGTGAAGACTGCTGAGTGGAGATAGTACCGCTCGTGCTGCTTGAAGTCGAAGAGCTGTACTGGCCGCTGGATGCCTTTCAATGTCACTTCAACTACCTGCTCGTTAGTAATAGCACACCACACGTTAGCATATAAGAGCAAAGTGCACGAATGCACGAGCAAAGCAATCGACCAGAGTGAAGTCCATCTCACTTCCAGGTCGAGGGCGAAGGAAGTCGAAGGCGCTGCTGCCGTCACCCAGCAGCGCCTTCTCCAGACCATCAAACGCCGCTGCCTCGATGACACCAATCCTCACTTCCATCTTGCTTACATCGAGCCGGTCCAGCCGATGAAGCATGCACGATGAGCGTAAGTCATGTTGATGGTGGAAAGAGCGCAGGAGGTGAAGTTTTAATGAAAGTGGTAGCACGGGATACCGAGGTCCACCACCACCAGCCACGACAACAAGAGTGAAGCAGCAAAGGCGAAGGAGCGCAAGCAGATTGAGAACTACAAGGCCTTGGAGAAGGATGTGACTGAGCGGGTGTGTATAACATCATCCACAGCAGTTCGTATGATTTACTGACCCGGTACACCAGATCCAAGCCCAAGACTTCACCAACCCAACCTTCCAACTCACCTCGACCCTCCTCGCCCAGAACCCCGAATACTACACCATCTGGAACCACCGCCGTCTCCTCCTCCAACACGTCTTCGCCCAAGAACTCGCCTCCAACAACGGCCCTCCCTCCAACACCACCTCTCAAGAGCCCGCCCACGATGCCTCCACCACCACCACCACCACCCCACCTTCAAACACACAGAAAAAAGACACCACCCTGAGCCCCGCCCAACGCGAAATCTCCCTCCTAATCAACGAAGACCTCACCTTCCTCCTCCCCCTCCTCAAACAATACCCCAAATGCTACTGGATCTGGAACCACCGCTCCTGGCTACTATCCCGCACCAGCCGCCACCTGCCCGCCTCTGCCTCTCTCACGTTCTGGCAAGCGGAGCTCTCGCTCATAGGCAAGATGCTCGCCTTAGACAGCCGCAATTTCCACGGCTGGGGATACCGGCGCATCGTCGTGCAGGAGATCGAACGCCTTAGCTCTCGTGGTGAAGAGGAGGGAGGAGGCAGTATGGTGGAAGCGGAATTCGAGTACACAACCAAAATGATCCACACCAACCTGTCCAACTTCTCCGCTTGGCACTACCGCGGCACGCTCATCCCGCGCCTGCTCTCCTCCCGCGCCGCCTCGTCCTCCGCGCGACAAGACTTCTTCGACGACGAACTCGCCCTGATCACGCAAGCACTGTACACGGACCCGTACGACCAGAGCCTGTGGTTCTACCACCAATTCCTCATGTCCACGCTCGATGCCAGCAATCCCCAAGCAGGCGTGATCTTGGACCCTGTGGACGATGGAGTGAGGAGGCGGTATTTGGAGCAGGAGTTGGAGAGTGTGAGGGAGATGGTGGAGGGGGCGGAGGATTGCAAGTACGTGTATCAGGCTCTGCTGGAGTACGCGCGGAGGTTGCGGGAGGTGGGTGGGACGGTGGGGAGGGAGGAGATGAGGGGGTGGTTGCGGGAGTTGAGGGGGTTGGATCCGTTGAGGGAGGGGAGGTGGATGGATTTGGAGGGGAAGTTGGGGTTGTGAATGGTGAGTTGGTGGGTAGAAGTGCTTGCTTCATCGCGAATCGTACAGTGGGATATGATATGTCATGTCGTATCCACCCCGGCCGGCATTACGCTTACTCTTACACCCATCTCAGCACGCACATCTGTACTTCATGAAGCGTGACCAATCCCAAGTCCGCCTCCCCAATACCCCAGATTGCATTTCCGTCCACCTCGTCAACCCTCTCAGACTACCAGCCTTATCCCTACCCCTTAACAGCACAAAACTTATACCCCATCAACTCCTCCGCGCTCGGCCTTCGCTCATGCTCAATCTCAAACGTCCTCCTCAAAAACTCCCTCGCCTCCTCTCCAGCCTGCTCCGGCAGATCCGGACGCGCATTCTTGTCTCCGCCTGCGCCCGCACTGCCGCCGATTTTGAAAATCGCCTGCAGCTGCGTGCAGTTCGGGTGCGGATGGCTGCCGGTGAACATCTCGACGATCAGGCAGCCGAGGGACCAGATGTCGGCTTTCTTCGTGTAAGCCGTCTGGCGCACGACTTCGGGGGCCATCCAGAAGACGGAGCCCTGTAAAGAGACGCGCGGACCGCCGCGTTTGAAGGGTGGGTTCTGTGGGTGGAGGAGCGTGGAGGCTTCGACGCGCTTGGAGATGCCAAAGTCGGAGATTTTGACGGTGCCTTTGTTGTCGACGAGGATGTTGGCGCCTTTGATGTCGCGGTGGATGATGTCTTTCGAGTGGAGGTAGTTGAGCCCTTGCAGGATTTGGCGGACGAAGTTGGCGATGAGGGTTTCGCCGAGGGAGCCGTAGTTGACGAGCATAGTGGCGACGGAGCCGCCGGCGACGTATTCGAGGAAAATGTTGAGGTGGTTCTCGTCGCTGTTGGAGCCGAGGTAGGAGACGATATTGGGGTGCTTCATGTCGCGGAGGAGGGTAATTTCGTGTTTGAGGGCTTCGATCATGTTGTTCTTTTTGGCATCCATGGCCGTGCCGCTTTGGGAAGGCATCTCCACTTGCTTGACGGCCATGAGCTCGGCGGTGACGGCGTGGAGGGCGAGGAAGACGGTGCCGAAAGAGCCTTGACCGATCATGGCGCCTTTCATGTATTTGACGTCGTCCCAATTGTCCGTCTCGAGATGCTCCATCAGCTCTTCGTCCGGCTCTTCTCCATCTTCTGCTATGAATTTGGAGAGGCGAGAGTTGAGACTGTTGCTGTCTTCGAGGGTGCCAGCAGGACTGCTGTGTGTGTCGTCGAAGTATGACTGCATCGAAGTGTTGCCATCTGGGTCGGTGACTGAGACAGGTTTGCTGACAACCGTATCCGAGCCGCTGTCTGCGCCGAAAGAGACATAGCTCTTCCTGTCCGGCTCCAGAGGGGATTCTTCGTCTAGCGGTTCAAGCACGCTGCTGGTGACAGATTCTCGATACGAGTCTGGTCGTCCAAGTCGCATCAAGCTCAGCGGTCGTAGTCCTGACGGTCGTCCTTGGTTGCCAGCCTCCTTCAGCCATTGGTCTGCTATTGAAGGCAGCGGAGGTGCGTCCTTGAGACTGTCGGCTATGCTGATACTGCTGACGGTGCTCAGTCGAGACACAGCCCGACTTATCCTTCGACTTCTTCGTATCGACATCCGGACGGTCCTATCCATCTCCTCTTTGTTGACTTCTGGGAAGTATGACTGCAGATCCTGCGTGATCAATTCAGTCGGTGGCCGGGCTCCGTAGAAGTCCTTCAGCTTTCGCGCTCGTGCGGAGGCTGTAGATGCTTGACTGGCATTCCGTGACACCGACGATGATTGGGAGGCGAAGTAGTTCTCACGATCCATCTGGCTCGCCGGTGACATCGGGTAGCTGACCGCCGCCAACGGCTCGCCTGTCAGCTTTTCGATCTTGAGCTGGCTTCTGCTCTTGTTCGGCTGTAGCACTTCGATGGCTGGCGGCTCGGGTAGTTGCTGCTCTGCCAGTCGTGCTGCCATTCGCAGTTGTTCACCCTCTGGCTCGCCAGCATGAATCTTCCTGAGTATTAGTCTACCGCGCTCCCCTCTCACACCGTCATTGCAAAGTTTGATGAGCTCGGCTTCACCCAGCCGGCGGCAGAATGTTGGGTTAGGGTCAGTTCCGTCCAGCACGTAGAAGCAGTACGATCGGAAATGATTCTCGTTCAAGGCGCCCTTCCGCAGAGTCAACCTGATGATGTCTTCAGCTGTGCGGAATCCATCGATGCTGATGGCTGATGCCCTGCCACTCTCGAAGATGACTCGTATGAGAGGTTTGTCGGAAGGTAGGGCGCCGACAAGATTGCTTGAGTTGAGACCATCGACAGAAGGTGATGCCTTGACGTGACCATTGAACCGGGCAGTCTGCGGTGTATCCAGCGGACTTGGCCGACCAACGTACCGGGCAGTAGTGGCCGGCTGGCCAAAGTAACTCCCACCCTGCTCCTTGCGCGCATTTTCCATCGGACTGGGTGCACCAGGGCCTCTTCTTACGTTTCGGTTTTCTTGGTCGATCATGGGCGAGCTTGGCCGCGATGAGGGCTTGGCAAGCATATGCGACACGTTCTTGATCTCTGAGCTTCCCATCTGCCGCGACATGCGCTTGTCGCCACGCGAAGCATTCGGCCTGGCTGAGTGCAGTGTCCGTGGAGATCCAGATGATGGAGGCGTCAGTGTGGTATTACCATCAAGCGCCGCCAACGAGTGCTGGATATGGTCAGCCTCACCAAGTCGTCCATCGACATCATCCATACTCACCCTGTTGATGTTCCTCTTGCTCGTCCTCTTGTACACATTACTCCTAAACACCTTCGCCTGAGCACCGATCCGCACGCGATCACCAATCTTCTTAATGCCCATCTCCTTCAACGTCGCCTGGTCGATGTCCATCAAGTTCTCGCCGTTGATGTTGTTCCGCCTGAAGATCTCCACATACTGCCCGCAATTGATGCTCCGTAGCCAGTCGCACACACGCGCCTCGTCCCAGTCCTGTACGCCATCCCGTTGGTCTGCGAGCGACTCTGAGAATTCGGACTCGGTGGGTGAGGTGAAGACGTTCGGATGCCCGTTGATGGCCGTGTTCGGGAGCCGGTATAGATTTGAAGCCATACCGGCGGGGTGGGAGGATGCCGGGTAGGGCGCCCTGGAAGCGAGTGTGGTCATGCTGTCGTGGGCCGAGGGGAGAAAGAGGCGGGCGTCGCCCTTTAGTAGGCCTCAAAGGCGGGTTGGCAACAAAGAAGGGAGCCAGACCGCACGTCACAGGGCCATTGCCGTCGACAACGTCGATGTCCTGCCCTTCCTCGTTGTCGTAGTCGACCTCTATTCTCTAGCACACCAATCCCGGCGGCTAGTCAGTCACGCAAGCCACGTTCCACGACGCCGTCGATCGCAAACCCGGCCTGGCGAAGGGAGAGATGGGTGATGAAGGGTCGGAGGAGGCCTGGAGGAGGTTTTGAGGGCAGGGGCGAGGATGGAGGCAGCTGTCGCGCTGGATCAGGGCGGTGTCTGAGGGCGTGGAAGGTCTGACAGCGGAATATGGCTGATGAAACACGTCTGATGAGCTCGGCCAGTCAGCGTGAAGATCCCGCCCGGCTCCAGGATTCGCTCCAGCTTCAGATCTCCGTCCTTGCCCACAACCAGCTCTCCACTTCTTCTATCAAGCCAACAACTATAGACAATCGTCCGACCTAGAGATACTACCTAGGTATACCATATCCATCACCACACGCCGTGTCTCTGCAGGCTTGTAGACGAACAGCAAATGGCGGAGGTATATTCGGTGGCGCAAGCCGAAGTTGAAGTCGAAGCTGAGATTCACCACTGTTTCAGCTAAATCCGGGTACTGATCGCCCAACCTCGACTTCGCACGTGACAGCCTTTTAAACCAACCATCCAGCGCATTCACGACCTCTACGTTCACCCCCATACCGTCGAAAGGAGTTCCAAGGGAGCTGACGACCACACCCATGTTAACCACACCAGTGCGGCCGCTCCAATAGGCGATGAAACAGCTGCGCGACGCAAGCTCCTTCCTTCAGGATCTAATACTGATACCTGCCGAGCCTGCCTACTGCAACCTCATGCTCGTCGCACGGCCACCATCCCAAGCAATGTAAAGCCTTCCCTATCCTACGACCAACCAAGTCGAAACCCCCTCTTCCAGTCCACAATCATCCCGATCAACTCATATCCAACAACACAATGTTCCACATCACACAACCCTGGGAGCTCGAAGCCGCCTACCGCAAAGGCTGGCAAAAAGGCCTCATCGCCAGCAACCCGGACCGCATCATCAAGATCAACCTCTCCAGCTTCTCCGTCCCGCTCGCCACCCTCGGTATCCCGTGCGCAATCTGTTTACAGACAAAACAGAGCACCTCCGTCCACGACGTCGTCTCCAAACTCCACTCTAAGCTCCCGGATATCCCCTACCCCTTCACCATCGCAACCTTGGGCAAAGACTCCCGCACGTTGGAGATGGGCGACGAGCGCAGCGTTTCCGGCTGTCTGGCGGATTTCACCGACGAGGTGTTGACGTTGCGGTTGAACGTGCGGATGCCGCCGCCGCCGCCGCGACCGGCGAAGAAGGGGCTACGGTCGAGGCTGAAGAGTGCGCTGGGGGCTGGGGAGAGTTCGTCGGCGCCGGCTCCTCCTCCTCCTCCTCCAGAGTATGTGAGGGAGAGGCCGGTGTCGTCGAGGTTTAGTGTGGCGTCAGCACCGCCGCCGTATGATGAAGCTGTGCGCTCTGGGAGGTGATTTGGAGGTTGGGAGGGTGGTTGTGGTCGCGTTGGAGGAGCTGTTCCAAAGGCGGAACTTGTTGTCGGGCGGGAATCAGGGGTTGTTCCAACAGTTTGCTGAACCAAATTTGTGATCATGGGCAGGCGAGGGGAGTGGAGATGTTGGAGCTGATTTTACGAAGTTACGAACTGCTTATGAGATACCAACCGAGTTATGACAAGATGCTTTCAGAAGCTGTTGGTCCTATCTCTTCGTCGCTATTCGATGACGGTGAGTGAGAGAGTGGACGTAAAGGTGCATGTGAAGTCATGTTCATTGAAAATGGTATCTCTCATCTCAACGAATGGCCCGGCATGAGACAAGGCCCGCATAGTTCATGCCATCCTCCTCCAGCCCAACAACAGCAGGCTCGGATCCCAACCCAGGCATCCATAAGCGAATACGAGAAACCATCCCAGACTTCCGTAAAGGTGCCCGTCACTGAAGCCCCACGCCACACCCCCTCATGGCCCAACATCCCATCACCTCACCTCTATCCACTCCCCCCTCGCCGTCTAAAAATCGCTCAAATCAAAAGTGTACTTGCAGATCGCATTATTATTCCCCGTGCAACTCCCCGCATTCTTCGCCTTGAAAGCCGGAATATTATAGTAGCACGCCGGCGTCACGCCGTCGTACTGCATGGTCGTGTAGTCGGGTAAACTGTTTTCGAGCCCAGCTTTGTTGCATTGGGCGGCGGCGGAGTAGTAGTTCTCCAGCTGCGAGACGGGGTTGTGTTAGGGAATGCGTTTTGAGAGGTGGATTTCGGGGGAAGCTTACGTTGAAGCCGTAGTCGTTGGTTAGTTTGTCCAGGACGTCGCTGCCGGCTTGCACGTACTGCGGGACGGTGGTTAGCACGGGCGGGTTACGGGAGGGGTGAGGTCTGACGGGGAGGAGACGAGGGAGTAAGAGGAGGATCGATGGGGAGGAGACAAGGGAGGGAGAAACTCACCTCACAAGTGCCGTCGCCGTTGGGGCAACCGCCGCCGTTGTTGTCGCGGTAGAGCTGCATGCAGTAGAACGTGCCGTCTCCGAGCGGGTCCATCCAAATCGCGCCAGCTGCGGAGCAATTAGCGCAAATGTCAGGAGATGGTGGATAGGAGTGTGCAGCTCAGACTTACGACCGCCTACGTTCTCATCCTTGCAATAATCCTCCTCGTCGAACGACTGGGCAAAGACCTGAAGCCCTCCCGACTGCAGCGCCTGGTCCACGATCTTGGCCTTGAATGTGCCGTATGTGGCTTGCACCGTGTTCGTGAACAACGGGCTGGACTCGGCGAGCAGGAATTTGCCGTCGGAGAAAAAACCGGCGATGTAGCTGTCGTCGGGGAGGGGCTCGGCAGTGCCGCTGCCCGGTGCGGTGGGAAGAGCGGAGTAATCGCCTCCCCTGCCCATGGCGAGGTTGCCTAGGGTTTCCATCTGGCTCAAGGATTGATTGAACATATTATGGAGCCTGGTGAGGAGAACTCGTCAGCAGATGTCTCAGACAATAGAAAAAGATCTTGTATGAATCATGAGGCCGTGTACGGGTCTTCCGCGTCCGATCTGGTAGGCTTGGATCCAAGTCTCAAGGCCGGTCGACAAGCACAGATCCGCTCGCATAGCTGTAAAGGCCCTCGTCGATCTGCCATGAGACTTGTCTCTAACCGTCGAGTATAGATGTAGATGACGGAGGGGGGATTTGGTGATATGATACTCACTGGTCGTTCAGGAGAGTCGAATCGACTTGACCCTGTAGGTCGTCAGTACAAAGCCCAGCTTATAGAAAAGCATCACGAATGTAAGCGTACCTTAGGATCAGCAAAAGCGTTAATCATAGTAAAAGTAGACGCAGTGGTCCATAAACCAGCACCCCCAGCATTGGTGATCCTCGTCGTGCCCCCAACGATCGAAACAATCTTATCGGACGACGCAATCTGCCCCGCCAGCGTCGCCAGCTTGGCCTCGTCGGTCGTCACCCGCTGTGCGGCCTGCGCGGACGCTTTGACTGCGTTGGCGGCAATGGCGGCCTCGCCTGCGAGAGCCCCGACGACGCCCGTGACACTGCCGGCCAAGAAGATACTGGCGCTCAACAGACTGGCGATGAGCACGAGCGAGTTCATGCCATCCGAACTGGGGGCCGAGAAGTCTTCGGTGATTTGTGCCTAAGGGATGTACAATTAGTCGAGATCTCACTAGGATGAGCACCAGGACGAGCATGGGAGGGTTTCGCTATGCTCGGAACTGCCGGACTTACGATCGAGAGCATGTTGTCGATAGTGCCGTCCTGCAGGGCCTCATGCGACGCCTGGAAACCATCAGCTTCTGTCTGTCAATCCGACGGATATACTGTCGACTCACTTGGAGCTTGCTGTGAAAGCCTGAGAGCAGTCAGCACATGTCGCACTCCCGAAGCACGTTCATTGCACATACCAACCACCGCCTGCAGAATCCAGTAATGCGCGGCGAAGCCTTGCGCCACCATGTCCTCGCATTTGAGGGTATTCACGCAATTGCCACCAATCTGGCCGCAGCCGCCGAGGTTGGTACTTCCGATTGTTGGAGCCACGTGCTCGATGATGTTCTGCAGCCAGTTGTCTCCGCCGTTCTCGGACTTCTCCCTCGTCCACAGATCAAGGACGTGACCGACGTTCTTGTCCTCCCACAGAGCTACCAGCTTCTCGGGGTCGCTGTCTTGGAGGGGTTGACACCACTCGGCCACATATGTAGGGTCTGGTACCTGACCATACCGAAGTCTGTGGTCAGTTCATGGCTAGGTCTGGAGGTTGCTTCATGTCCTGAGACTTACCATAGCCGAGGCGACGGTGGCTACTGCGGGACTGCCATCCATTGCGCACTAGCGGCACGTCAGCAATCGTCATTCGAGTTTGACGGGACTGAAGGGACAAGATTTTGCGTACGGTAATAGTGTTCAGGCCGTCGGTGCCGGTGCTGGTACCGAGACCGACCACTGTGGCGTCGTTGCATAGACATCCAAGCGTGGGTGTGATCGTGAGAACGCCTTTAGTGAAAGTCGTCGATCCAATAGTTGTTGCCATAGTGGTTGTCATGCCCGTGACCGAATCGACACTGCATGTCAATGCCTCGCCGGAGACGGTGAGGGTGACTGCGCCCTTTTGGACGATGGGGCTCTCCAAGCTCGTCGGAGAGGCAGTAGGGGCGGGTGTAGCCTCTGCTGTCACCTCCTGGCGCGGATAAAGGTGATGGCGCAGAGGCTTGGCGGCAGTGAGGCCTGCGAAGAGCAAGGCAAAGGCCTTCATGGACGTGTGGGAAGGCATGGTGAGCGAGAGAAAGTGCAGAAAAGGAGATGCTTGCTGCGTTGCGCTGGAAGACTGAATGGTATCGGTGAAGCCCTGGGGAACTCGCTGGTGTTATATACCTACTGTGTTCTCTCGAGTAGTCTCTCGCGACTCCTTCAGCGTGGGCATGGTGCTTGAGTAAGTTCTGGATTCCTCTGATGAACGCCAAGCGCAGGCCATGTTGCACAAAGGCAGAGATGTTTCCTGACAATCTTCTGTTCCGCTCCGTGCGATAGGCCACTGTGGCTCACTCTCGATAAGATGTCTCTCTCTCGCCTGGCCGATCATTGTTTCAAGTCCTTGGTTAACCGGGGCCTTAGTCTCCAGCGCGAGGTTTCTAAGCGTACGGACGTACTACGATGTTGTCCGAAGACATTGGTTTCCACGCCGGTCTTTCTCTGGGGTCTATTTCTGGGTAACGTGGATGTCACCCCTGCTCGGCGGTATTATGTCAGGCGTGTGCAGGGCGTTCACAATCAAGCTCGAGGATTTGCTAAGTCGTCGCTAGTAGGGCTGTGGGAGCATATTTTCGTCTGTGGTACATGGAGGCAATGTCATGATCTGTGAACCATAACAATCAGACTTGGGAGGTCTCCGGACAGAAACCCGACTTTCACGAGGGGCGAAAAGGAACGAGGCAGGCAGTAGTCGATGCTCCAGAAGATTCACGGATGCATCGCAGGTGACGATTCTGGGAGGAGACGCGCATAATGAGTGCTCCTTGTCTGGTCCCACAAGCTCACGGTCTCCTCGAAATTGGAGTGTTGGTATGCAGTGTCGGTAATAATTCCCTGAGTCCTGGTTACGCTGAGGTGGAGAAGGCGGTAGTGTCCCGATTGTCGTTTGCGACTAGAACCCGATCCTTTGCGAAGGATCCCAAACGGCGGACAGAGGTGAAGTGTGTCGAAAGCGGAGCTACGACGACTCCTTCAGCACCGAACAAGATTAGCGACATTGCTTGGCTGGAGCCAAGTTGCGAAACGTTTTCGCCTTTGGGAGTTATTCCGCATCCGAGTCATACTCGTCGTTGCTGGTGATGATGACAGCCAGCCCTGCCGGAAGGATTCGGTAGATAGGCCCCTGGAGGATCGCACTATCAAGCTTGATGATCACTGAGACGAATCCTCTAGGGGCGCCCACATGGAGCAATGAGCAATGGGAGCAAGCCCGATCCTTTGCCAGCTTGCCGGCGCAGCGTAGGTATTAGACTCTTGGACCACTAGCGTCGATAAGGAAGTGTCGTCAAGATGTACTATAACCCGGCGCATTCAGGAACGTGACCCATTGTTCTGACTAGGTCCGACATCTTGGAACGCGCCACGCATCAATGTCGTTCCTGTCCATGGCGTCTGTCAAGCTGTCAGAGGTTCGTTGTTGCTGAAATTGCTAGTCGATCATTAGCACTTGGAGCACCTCCACGCACGCAAGCACTATGGTGAATCCCTTACGGCCGCGTGAACAAAGACCAAGAGCAGAATCCTGATCTCTGCACACCGGACGCTGATAGCACTTTCGTCCGATATCGCAGGCCATGCGAACCACACACTCTGCCTTCTTGTCGCTTCTCAAACACACCTTTGAGCCGCAGAGCCGCAGAGCCGCACCGATGTAGCGATGTAGAGGCATTTGTTACGCCCCGTTCCCACGCGCGCATGTCGGATGCACAAGCCCAGCTATTCAGCCAACTGGAGAGCTCGAGATCATCTCATTCCGGTGACCGGGTAGCTCAACTTTACCTCTTGATTCTCTCCTCCACAAGGCTGCTGGCCAAACACGTAGCCTGGTAGTGGTGATCGTCGAAGCACTCGGGAGTACGAGCTACGTACCATCCACTTTGTTCTCGCCGCAGCAACTCGGCTTTGTAACGGTCAGGAGTTGCTCGATACCTGATCATACGGGCCGCAAGCGATTACCTTACTCCGCTCACCGGCAGAGGGGCGTGAACCGGTGTTCGGCGGCTCGTGAGAGAGAATATACAGTACAAGTGGACGTCCGTTCATCCTACAGCTTCTCCTCCCTCCACCTCTCTTATATTTGTATCGACCCAATTTGATTGTCCATTCTCCAACCATAGGCACGTGGGAGATCTAACGGGAGCAACGGCGCTCCGTCCGAACCAAATAAAGACAGACGGGACGGATGAAACTGAAGCCTGTGTTTGGCTCGCTTATCGATTAGTGTTGCATGTGACGTCGTCGCAGCGTGGGAGTGGCTAGGAACGACAGGTTGCGACCATTTCCCTGGTTGTGCCGCCCTTTCGTACTCGATGCGAAGTGAGCACAGCGCAAGGCACTCTTCTGTCGTGCTCCTCGAACGGTATCATCGCCAGGAAAGTGCGGCAGCGACAACGACATCGATCCTGCCGGCGCAGCGTCAAACACCAACGTCGAAACACAGCCTTGTGCGACACCACGGCAACTTTTAACCAGCCCGCACGCCGCTCCGGCGGAGATCTGGGGATATCCCTTCGATCGGCCTGCAACCGTCCCATCTTTGATTGAAAGTTCACGAACGACCGACTGCCAGCAAAGCTCCACTGTGGACATTTCGCCGACGTCGACAGGCGCGTCTCTTGCATTAGACCTGCAGCTCACAACAAGCGCCGTCGAATCGGCAGACGCAACGTCACCAATTGGTCCAGCCGACCGCTTTTTGTTTCGAAATTCGAAGGTGATCAGGACGACACTTCTTCACTGCGCTTCACCAGCTTGAGCGCATGGGCGCCGCACATGGTAGTCAGGATGGCAGGAGAAGGAATGCGCGTTCCGTCGCCTCCATTGCCGCCAGACCCATCATCAGGGCAGCCGCTTCGAGAACAGATATCGCAGCCACCGCTGGTCGGGCAACAGACACACCAACACATACCGACTTCGACGACACCACTACCACCATCTCAGCCTGATCCGCTGAAACGTGCCGACTCGCTGCGATCTCCACCACCGACCGCAGACACACCCATCTCGCAGCAGCGCCAGCCAATCAAGGATGCAATCAACCATGCAGCCAGCAATGTCTTTGAGCATTCGCCGGAAGCGAATCAGATGTCACCTGAATTCATAAATCAGCTCACGGCGCAGGTGACTGCACAGGTGACCGAGCAAGTCCTGCGCAACCTGCAATCAGCTGCAGGTACGACGCCAAAGCCTTCGACATATGCGAACCAAACTCCCTATCCACCTCCGCCGCCACCACCGCCACCGACACGACAGCCCAGGTCTCCGACGCAAGATTCTACCGACTTCGAGAGTGCACGCTACACCCCGCCCACGCCCGATCGATCGCAGCATGAGCGAGCATACGCCTCATCATCCCCTGAGCCACCGCTATCCGACGTTGGCAGCAGCTTCAGCCGTGGGAGTAGAGAGAGCACAAGCAGCTATCGGGCCGCGCCAACACCTAAGCCGGTCGAACGAAGATCTAGCAAGAGCTCGAGGAGGAACAGCTACTTGAACAGAAGACAGAGTGATTACGATGACGAACGTGAGGCACCACGAAGACAAGATAGCATGTCAGAAGAGACAGCCCAGGACAAAGCTCGCCGAGGCAGCTACGAGTCGCAGCGGTCTTATGATGGCGCACCAGGAAGTCGAGCTCGGCCGGTCCGGCTCCCGTCAGATATCGAAGAAACACCGTTGGAGAAGTTCTGGCAGCCGCTGTTCGAAAATGGCAACCCAACCATGCGACTCGGACAGTTCTTGAGAGGCTTGGCGATGCACATTATCGAAGACTATGAGCCAAAGGGCAGCATCGTCATCACTCCGGCAAAGATGCTGCAATTCTTGAGCGAGACAAAGATCGAGGATGAGCAATATCCATGGGACGCGATCTTCGGAGGCAAGCTACTACCGCTGTCCATCTCCAAGATGTTCCAGAAGCTACTCTGCCAGCATCACTATGTCCAGGAGCGGATCGACTCTACTCCTTCCATTCCTGCTCTTACTCCGTTGGGCTTCGAGACGTTTATGACTTGTCTCATCCAGGCGCATCCGGACATCGAGTACGAACGCTTTGCGAAAGCAGTCAGAGACATGCCCATCTCAAATGCGGACAACAAGACCGAACGATTTCCGAAAGAGTTATCGAGACGACTCTTTCCCCCGACTACAAACATTCAGGCCCAGCAACGGCTCATCTCGAGTTTGACCCACGAGCCTCGTCTCCTGAGCACACTCAACGTAGCCTCCGCAATGCCGCCGCCGCCATCGTCAGCACCGCCGAACCAGTCATCCTTCAATGAGCGCGAGCGCATGCCATACTCGTCATCATCACAGCAGTCGAATGCCTTCGATGATGATGACCTATCCGGACCACAGCCGGTCCAGATCGAGCGTGAGCGGAAACCTTATACGGCGAGAGAAGGCGCCGGCAAGGTCTATGGCTCAGAAGACGCCAGACCACCACCGTCCTTCAAGCCTGAAGGATCAACGGGAAACAGGACCGGGCGAACAAACTCTGGCGTCCCGCCACATGCTATGTTCAACAACGGAGGCACAAGCGACCCAATGAACATTCCGTCACGACCACACCGCATGTCGACACCCGGCGTGCCACCACCAAACAGCAACGGCAACAGCAACGGTGGCTACGCAAAGTCCAACCGCCGCTCATCCCCACCGATGCGAAATCCTTATACGCGTAGCGAACCCGGCTTCGCAGACCCTCAAAACCCCTCGAGCTTCCGCCCATCCCGCGACCAACACCACCCGGATATCGACGACGACGCCGCAAAACGCTACCGCAGCCGCTCGCGCGTCGACCGCACCAGCCAATCCAACCCCGCCGACGACGAACCCCGCGGCTACCCCATCCCCGGGCGCAGCGTGCCCATCAACAACGGCTACGAGTACGGCGCCCCACCGCTCGGCACCAGCGTGCCGGGCGGCAGCTACCCGTCCCGCCGACCTCCTGTGGGAACGAACGGGACCGATGATCGGAGGCGGAGCATGTACAATCCTCCGACCACCGGCTATGGCGTGGGCGATGGCGGGACGGATGGGTACGGGAGTTTTGCGGGTATGGGTATGGGTGTGGGTATGAATCCGAATACGGGATATCCGCCTCCGCCTCCGCCGCAGCAGGGACAGGTTTATGGGTCAGCGGCGCAGCATTAGGAGTGCTGTGGCGAGCGGTCAGGCATGGTTTCTAGTAGCGATGAGGAGGAGGGAGGGAGGCGTGGGAGGAATCGACAGGGGAGGAGGGAGCGGGCTTCGGAGTCTAGGAAGAGGAGTTTGAGGAGTGTTGCGGAGGACGAGGGGTTCTGCACCTCGTCTTGAAAGCCGGTGCGGATGGGTACGGACGAGCGTTGAGCCGGCAGAAGATTTTATGAGCAACGGCAGCATTTTCACGGCCTATGCATGTCACAGTCGCGGGCTTGGTTCTGAGCGAAGGGGGGTCGCTTGGACAGGCTCGTGGTGCTTTTTTGGCTTCTTGTTGTTTCTTGGACACATATTGACTTTTGTTAGATAGCGGAGATACCCTTTCGATCATGTACAAGGATTTTTCACCTGCAGTTCGCTCGGTTCAGTACATTGTTGATGTCGCTTTGTATGCATGGAGTAACTTCGCCTGGGGCTTGCTGGGCTGTGAGCTGGGCTGCGTGCAGAGCTTGATGAGCTGAAGACCTTGATGAGCTCAGTGCCTCAAGGTTCCTCGTAGACTTCAGCTGGACATAGCTATGCCTGCCCCTTTCTCCTGCGGCGAGACCCAGTCGTTCCTGCCGTCGTTGGAGGAGCAAGGAACCGCCACGGGCACCAACATCGCATGAACGAGCTGAATGAGCCGTCGTCGCCATGAGGTAGCCGGGCTGCTGCGCAGCTTGAAGCGCTGCTCCGTATCAGTGTTGATACCGCTCATAGGACAGTGTGCAGTGCGGGAAAGTCCAGTGGCCCCCTGTTCAGATACGACCGCAGGCACCAACATTCGATGAACGAGCTGAGCTTTCGTCGGAGGGTTGAAGCTGGACTGCTTCACCATCCCTCAGAGGCCGTCCTCGATCGCTGTGTTGATGCTCAGCCGTGGGACAGTTGCACGACGTGCTTTGTCGCTGGACAGCTAAACGGCCGCTTGGTCGCCTGTGGAGCGAGTCGGGCAGGGTGAACGAGCTGAACTGTTGTCGCCAGGGTGTAGCAAGATTGCTTCACATTTCGTTGGAGCCCTCATAGGTCACGGCCTTGCTTCTCAGCCATTGAGTATCTGCACAACGTGCTTCGATGGCTAGCCAAATGGCCGCTTGTTCACCTCTGTACCGAATCCAGCATTGTGAGCGAGCTGAGAAATTGTTGTTCCATGAGGGTGAGTGTGGCGGTTGTGTGCTTCGGCACACTGTTCTTCCGGTAACACATTGAAGGAGCAGCAAGTTACGCAGAGCCAGGTTCTTGGTCGTGGATGTTGGTATGTCTGCCTTCGGGATCTCGGACTCGTTCATCGGGGAGTTTTCTTGCAGCCCGGACACTTTCCCAATGGGTTGGCGTACTCTGGCCTCGCGCCTGCGTGTCGCTTGAGGATCGCGAACCTGGTTTCCTGTTCCCGTGTACTGACGCCTCAGTCTCGTAGTCGAGACAAACACAACGGCACATCCAAACAGGCTGAGCTCTTGTCGCTGGAAGAGTACCGTCGCTTGCGCCGTCGGGGCGACTGGCTTCCGAGGGCGACGGGAACAAGTGCATAGCAAATTGTCAATGGAATGGCTTGGCCTCGTTCTGCTTACTACAATCATCAAGTTTTGCACGAGGTGAGGTAGGGCGTCTGTTGTCTGCATGGGGCAGCGAGCAAGCGAGGGAGAAAATAGGCATAAAACAAGCTTCTGACTACGCTCAATGTGGGCAAGCTCGGGCTTCTGCATCAACTTTTGGAAGCTCGCTGTCTGCTCAGCCTCTTCCTTTCTTACTACCAAACCGCACTCAACACACTGACCCTCCAGCGGCACGGCGACTACTGACAGCCACTTTTTCACATCACTGATCCAACATCACCTTGGCGACATCAGGAACCTTGCACCGAGCGAGCAGTGTTCGAGCATCGCCATGCCCGAGAGCATCGCTAGTAATGGCTGCATTCCAACAGATGGCTACCCGCCATGACCAGCAGCGTTTCAACAACCGCAGCCACAAGCACCGAGCGTCCTACAGTGACTGCGGCCCTCCGCCCTGTGCAATCAAGCATTGCGATTAACCTACAACTAGGGCGGATGTTCGACATGGTCCCCTCGGCCATCGTCCACTAGTGCTATTCCAACAGCTCAGCCCTACGGCCATATCCTTAGCCTTGAAATAGTGCGTCGTCTATCCCGATGCTTTGTGACGTCTTGGGCGAGCTAATCGACCGTACTCGACCCTTTACTGGCTCGCTAAAGCATCAACAGATCTATTGTATGGCTGCCGTTGAACTTCTGACAAGGTCTTGAAGCTCGTGCACTACTGGCCCTAACCGTACCTGTCTATTATGTCCCTTCTGTCAGTTGTCGCCCGGGGCCGAACGTATTTCTCATTGGGGGCAATAGCCGGAGGTAAGTATATCATTTCAATGTCACCTCCGAGGATTACTATCGTGGCATTGTCACGGTGGCCGAACGTGAGCAACAGTCAGACTTGTCTATCGGGACAGGTACCCGGTAACCACGTGCGCCAATGGATCCGCCTGCAACAACATCCTCGTCCAATACGAGCCCGCAGACATCGCCAGCAGGATCCCCGGAATCAGAGACATCCGCCCAAGATGTTGGTGGCTCTTGGCCACAAGCGCGAACTGCCAGGTACCTAACATATCCAAGCCCTTCGGAGCCTACTCGAGGTTAGTGGCATGTCATGATCTTCGTCGGCCGGGCAGCGCCGTCCCTTGGTGATCCTCCTACCGGGAAACGCATCCTCCGCTGACAGCTTAGCACAGAATACGTCTCACCCTATCCTCCCATACCATCGTGTGGCACCCAAACACCTGCCTTGGCAGCCACCTCGAGCACAGCTGCCACAGCGACGCAGGTCATCCCCGCGTTGGCACCAGTACCTTCAGCCACTGCAGCTGTGGCTAGCCGAGAAGGCACAGAGAACGTAAGTCAGTATAGGATCGGTGATACGTCCTTCCAAATGACATACCAACGCCCTTCATTCGATGAGATGTTCGAGGCAAGCAACGTCACCTCAGTAGGTCCTCTATCTGCATTACTTATTGCCACTTCCTCCCTCAATCTCACATCTCCTATCCTTGTGTTCATCATATCATCCTTCGTCATACCCATCCCTCAAGCTCACCCACACCGATCGACCTCACGTGTGCTAAGCCGCCATGGGTCCCGCTAATCGCCCCGATCCACAGGCTCAGAAGCGAGCGCTCATCGCCGCCTTGAACGAGCATCGTGTCAACACCATTGGAGAACTACGACGAGTAGAGCGTCTCTTCGCGACACTTGGGTCGTCCGACGTCACTCAACCGATGACTGCTGCTTGTGGGTCAACCAGTGCGTGATCACGGAGTAGCGCTTACTGATCGTCCAGGGATGCACTACGTGAACTCGAATAGCCTTCTCTCCGAGCTCAGAGGCTTAACTCCCAACTACCCATTCAGGTATGCCGCTGTCTCCCCCTCATCTCCGTCATCTCCGTTGCTCCCACTGATCATTGATCGTGTCCCCAGCTCCGAATGCCTGGAAGAAGCCAAACGACGAGTGCACCAAGACCCGGCTTCCAACCGCTCCTGGAACTACTGCTGGCTGGTCCTGGCAAAGGTGCAAAACGAACGTCTCATCCCTACCTTCGCCCGGGTGCAGGCCTCCCGCCCGGAGATGTGGGGTGGGAGGACTCCGCAGGCGGAGGCGATTGAGAAGCTCTCGCAGGCGTTTGTGAATGAGTGGAACACTGCGCTGGCGCAGCTTTTGCGGTACTGGGAGGCGCCTCCGACGCGCTGACGGCCCGACGATTCGATGGGTCTGGGATGCTGTGGGCTGGAGCTTTTGTGTACGATTATGGGAAGATGTTTTTCTGGATTGGTGTTGTTGAGCGATGGCGCAGCGGATTGGCTGGTGGACCTTACTGGAGGTGGATAACGGTACAGCACATTGTAATATTTCGGTTTCCTGGACGTTCGTTACGATACTGTATGCATATCATGTAGTTAATTCTCTGCTTTTGACGTTATGGGTCTGGTGGGTATCCTGCCTTTGCGCGAGCAATGTCTTTGCATACATGACGTTGCGTCCTATAGGTCTTCGATGCATTTAGCACTGACTATGATACCTGTTGTTGTTCTCTGGCAGTCGGGGCGGAAACTGAGAACCCGGGCCGCCTCCGCGGTCGAGCGTGGAAGGCTGGAGTCGGGACCTTCTCACCTCACACCATAGCCGCTTCAAGCATCGATCTGGTATGTTGTACGAAGACTCAGGCAGCAGGGCTTAAAGCCTATAAAACTCGCTCCGACGAACCCACCCATTGAGACGATCTGCAGAAGCTGCATAAGTCGTGTGTTAATAAGCGCCAGGATTCGGCTTATCATCGTCCATGTTCTCGTTCTAGGGCAGGAAGAATTGGGAAGGAGTGTACTTACTCCAGGTCGCTTTCGCTTCAGGTGGGTGACGAAGACACACATATAAGAGGGCTCGCTGGGACGTTCGACGCACCGCATGTGCTGCTGGACTTGCACGACTCATCGACCATCCTCACCGACATTGAACAACTCCTACACATCATGGCCTCAGATATGGCCAACCGGTTCGCGAGCAAGTTCTGGGAGACGGCGACAACGAATCAGCAAGTGACTGTCCCGCTCGCTGCTCTAGGTGGTCTATGGGCAGGCTACCAGCTCTACCAACTCGCTTCCTCCGTACACCTACACTTCCTCCACCGCTCCTCCCTGGGTCGATATCGATCACAGTCCACCGACGGCAAACCCGCCTCCTGGGCTCTGATAACTGGGAGCAGCGACGGTATAGGCAAGGGTTTCGCAGAAGAACTCTGCAGCCAGGGTTTCAACGTCATCCTCCACGGCCGCAACGAGCAGAAACTCAACGGCGTCAAAGCCGAATTGGAACGACAATGGCCCAAGAGCCAGATCAAGACCATCGTCTTCGATTCCGCCAAAGACATCACCAACCACGAAAAGCTGGAAGCCATGGTCCGCTCCATCGCCGACCTCAACATCACCGTCTTGATCAACAACGTCGGCGGAGGACCGAGACCGGCTTTCTTAACTCTCGCAGAGTTCAACAACGAAGGGGCGAGAACGTGGATCGACACGAACGTGTCTTTCACCGTCGAAATCACCCGTCTGCTCATCCCGGTACTCGTCAAGCGGAGCCCAGCGTTAATGGTCAACGTCGGGAGCTACGCGGGGACTGAAGGGTTTCCGTATCTGTCAGTGTACAGCGGCACCAAAGCCTTCGGGGAGTCCTGGACGAAAGCAATCAACCTGGAAATGAAGGCCGAAGGGCACAAGGTCGAAGTGTTTCATCTGTTGGTGGGCGCTGTGCAGTCTGGCAGTGAAGCACACAGGAAACTGACCCTCTTTGTCCCGAGCTCGCGCAGGTTCGCGGCGGATAGTCTGCACAAGGTGGGCTCTGGCAGGAGCGTCGTCACGCCTTATGTTGGTCACGCGATGCAGGTCGCTTTGTTCAATGCGTTTCCACAGATCATACGGGAGAAGCTGTTTTTGAACGTGGTAAAAGATGAGGTAAAGGCGGAGAGGGAGATGTTCAAGAAACAGTGATGTACATGCAGTGCGATGGCAATCAGCAGCGCTATATGGGAGTACCTGTACATTACGCTTCTCAGAATTGACCTTCAGTATTTCCCTCGCCCATTGACTTGCTTCCAGAACTGCCAGCTTGGATCGCGCCGATGATGCCGTCCATGTAGGTGGCGCCGCTCCATTTCTGGTGCGTCAGCACATCGCATCCATTCTCCTTCTCCCTCTTCTGCACGAGGTCGACGTACGCCTTCATGCCGTCGGTCTTGTAGGCTTTCGCCAATTCGTTTGTGATGGTCGCCGTGCTGTGTAGGCCAGCTAGACTGATGAGCTGCAGCACGAAGCCATGCTTCCCAAGATCCCATATGAAGTTCTTCAACTCTGCCTCCGAGAAGCCGTGGGCGGACCAGTTGAAGGATGGTGACAGGTTGTATACGAGTTTCTTGTTGGGGTGAGCATCGTGAATCTCTTTCGCGAAGCTGGCGGCCTCTTTGACCGACGGATCGGCCGTCTCGAGCCAGAGCAGATCAGCATAAGGTGCAAACTCGATCGCGCGCTTCGTCGCGGCGCCTATGCCGGCCTTGTAGTGGTAGAAGCCTTCTCGGGTGCGAGGAATGTCCCAGCTGAACGTGACTGGGCTGCCTGCGACATCGGCGGCCAGCTTTCGACGTTTGTGCAGAGGCATGTTTCGGTTCTTCTGGGTCTCGGATAAGTAGGATGAGGCGTCCTTTCCGGCGCTCTTGATGTGCGCTTCGGCTGCTTGGTCAAAAGTCACCATCTTGTGCTGCTTCACCCAGTTTGCCTCGAATTTGTTGACCTCATCGGCTGTTGCGCCCTCCATCTCCATCACTTGCAGCGTTTCGGCTAGTGGCTCGACTTCCTCGGTCACACCCAGAATGTACTCGTGGTCGCGAGCATCGATTGCGCTGCTGATAAGCTTGCCGCTTTCCGCATCTGTGCGAGCAATGACAAGGTTCTCTGAGCCCATGGTGTCCCATTGAAAGCGCGCGGCGACCAAGCGATTGACGTGATCGCCCATCGGCACTAGCACCTTGCCAGCAAGATGTCCGCACTTCTTGCCACCATGTAGTTGGTCCTCGAAATGCACAGCAGCCGCTCCGTTCTCCGCGAACAGCTTCGCAAGCTTCAAGACTGCACTGAGACCGCCGTGGCCGGTGTCACCATCTGCGACAATAGGTCGGAGGTAGTCCACGTAAGGCGTGCTCGCACGGTGCTCCGCGCTCATGGCTCTCCTCTGGTCAAAGTGCTTGCGGTCGTGTAGTTGCTGCGCTTTGAACAGTCGCTGGACCTGGTTCGGTACCGTATTGTATGGATAGTCGCCAAAGTCAGGCGACACTTCATTCGTCGTGGTCAGAACAGAGGAACAAGCCCACCCAGAGACATACAGAATCTCCTGGTGTGGCGCCTGCTGCGTCATCTGGACTGGATCTATGGCACCCATAGTGTGTACTGGCTGCCCTTGACTTGCCCTCTCCTCGAGCAGGTTGAATAGCTTCCGGGCCATCAGGTTGGAAGGGTACACCTGCTGCAGGGTTCCTCGTTTGCTAACGACATCTTCCGGGCTGTATGGCCTCTTGATGCCCTTGTACCTGGGACTCGCCCACCAGTCTTTGACCTGTTGTACTTGCTGGCCGAATATCTCGTCCTCGGCTGTGCCCTGTTTCTGCGATTCGGGCAGGAGTTGGAATGAGTCTGTCGGCTGGGTGGCTGATATCGCTGGCTCGACGGGAGGAAGTGCGCTAGACATATGAGCCGCGCCGTATGAGAGCGGTCGGACTACTCGTTGTGTGTTCGCTGGTTTACTGAGGCATCGTCCTTGCTGCCGCAATGCTCGCGTTGCTATTCGGAACATGGCTGCTTCTTGTTGGGTCGTTAATCAACGTAGGCTTCTTGTTATCTGTCCATCCCAAGGGTGTTTGTATTTTACGCCAGACCACGAAAGCTATTGGTAAATTCTTCGGTCAGCAGATGAATCTTGAAGACTTCCACACGTCCATATGTTGCTGCGCGTTTCTTTGCCCTTGGGCCGGTATCGGAAGACATTCTCCCTGCCTATTCTCTTGACTCGTGATTGACAACCTCGGCAGACTGGCAGGACCGGCGGCAGGCGGGCATGGTGATGAACGGCTACTGCAGGTTTAGCAGACTTTATTATTCTCGCGAGCTCAGCATTGTTGCTCTGCTTCAAGCAACTCTCAGAGAGCTCCATATAACGATTCAAAAATCTAGAGCCGTTGTCCGCTTTGCCCACCACAATGGCACTCTCAGGCCGAGCAGCGACGAGGGTCTGGAGAGCTTCGAGAGTCAGTAGAAGAACAAGAGGTAGTAGAGACATATCTGACCGCGTGGTAGCTCTCCCAAACCACGCCAGTATGGAGCAATGCCACTCGTGCGTACTCCAGCTCCTCAGAGCCGGATCTCAAGGCGACCCTCAAAGAAGTGATCCCGGAGAAGCGAGAGCTGCTCAAGCAGGTCAAGGCCAAGTCGAGCACCAACATTGGCGAGGTGAAGATTGAGAATACTCTCGGCGGCATGCGTGGGCTCAAAGCTATGGTGTGGGAAGGCTCGGTCCTTGACGCCGACGAGGGCATCCGGTTTCACGGCCGTACAATCAAGGACTGCCAGAAAGAGCTTCCAAAGGGCACCAGTGGGACGGAGATGCTGCCGGAGAGCATGTTCTGGCTCCTGTTGACGGGCCAAGTACCGAGCGTCAACCAGGTGCGAGGTCTGAGCAGGGAATGGGCGGAGAAGGCACAGCTGCCGGCTTTTGTGAACAAGATGCTGGACGACTTTCCCACAGACCTCCACCCCATGACCCAATTCTCATGCGCGGTGAGCGCTCTCAACTACGAGAGTGTGTTTGCGAAGGCATACGCCGAGGGTATGAACAAGGCCGACTACTGGGAGCCTGTGTTCGACGACTGCATGTCGCTTCTGGCCAAGCTCCCAACCATCGCAGCAAAGATCTACCAGAATGCTTACCGAGGAGGCGGCGCCCTGCCTGCTGAGGTCGACATGAACCAGGACTGGAGCTACAACTTTGCGGCTATGCTTGGTATGGGTGGCAAGCAGAACGAGAACTTCCAGGATCTCCTCCGCTTGTACCTCGCACTGCATGGTGACCACGAGGGCGGCAACGTCTCTGCTCACGCAACGCATCTCGTCGGATCGGCACTCTCGGATCCCTTCCTCTCATACTCGGCTGGTCTGCAGGGTCTGGCGGGGCCTCTACACGGCTTAGCAGCCCAGGAAGTCCTGCGATTCATTCTGCAGATGCAAGAGGCTGTGGGCAAGAACTTCTCGGAAGAGGGCGTCAAGGACTACCTCTGGACGACGCTCAAATCCGGCCGTGTCATTCCCGGCTACGGCCACGCTGTCCTGCGCAAGCCTGACCCTCGATTCGAGGCGCTCATGGACTTCGCGACGACTCGGAAGGAGATTATGGAGGATCCAGTCTTCCAGCTCGTCAAGAAGAACAGCGAAGTTGCGCCTGGTGTGCTGTTGGAGCACGGCAAGACCAAGAACCCCTACCCGAACGTCGACTCGTCATCTGGTGTTCTGTTCTACCACTACGGATTCAAGGAGACGCTCTATTACACCGCCACCTTTGGTGTGAGCAGAGGTCTCGGCCCGCTCGCGCAGTTGATCTGGGATCGGGCGCTGGGGCTGCCTATTGAGAGGCCGAAGAGCATTGATCTCAAGGGCTTGCTGAAGGCCGCGCAGTAGGACCGAGGCGCTGAAGCATTGTTGTCAATATTTTCGCGGAACGCATAGAGATAGCCTGCTTGTCCATGTTTCCGTATTGTAGACAGACATACTGCAAGCCTATTTCTACCGCAGCCGCGAGGCGGTCAACTTCTCTTGGAGTCAACCATCAAACATCCAGACTGGGGAACTATCGTACAAGTCGCATCTGGTTTGGGCTGGACGTCCTTACCAACCTTCCGCTCGCTCCACGCCTGCGGTGCAAAATACCAGCGCCAAGACCCGACCGCAAGCCACTCACGTGAGCACATGTGAATGCGAACCGACATGGTGTCGACGGCCTTGCTCTTTGCAGCGATGGGTTCACCTATCCTGTGAAGATGTCTCTCTCTTTTCGTCAACACTCCACGTGAGTTCGCAAGCATGGTGGTCAGCATGTCTGGAAAGGTGCTGTTTCGAGAGGCAGACCCGCCATTCTGGAACCTTACTGGTATACCTCTGAATGCAGTCAGTATAAGTCCAGAGGGCCCCTACTGCCGTTCAAATGGAGAGAAATAGGTACAGATTCACAGTCATTCGCTTGCACTCTATTTACAATCGACAACACTTCCCACAAACAACTTCCACATCGACCAAATGGCACCACCAACGATCCCGAAGGGCCAGACGGTCATGTGCGCGGAGTGGACAGTCGGACAGCGCATGGGTTGGTCGTCGCCTGTATCATTTCAACGGTATCCAGCTGCTAACTCCTGACAGACGAACAGATCGGCATCAACATGCCGTTCGCGGAGAAGAAGACCTTCGTCTACAAACACGCAACCGACGATACTTTGTACTGGAGCACAAACAGAAACGACATCCCTTGCAACAGGGCGTTGCTGCTGACCGTTGACGAACTCGACAAGGGCTACGCCAATCGATCCCGTAAATTCAACAATCGGGCACGGTACTCTGTCGATCGTGTTACCCTTATAGACGGTCAGGAGCACATCGTCATGCGCCTTACGATCAGATACCCCCTCTTCACCATCCACAAGGTCAAACGGACTGAACGCTGCCTGGTCGACTTGGACACCGGTAAAGAGATCGAGGGTGCTGCAAAGGCTAAGGGTCAGCCTCAGAGGAAGAATTACTGGTTCTCATGTGCTTCGATCCCCAGGGATCGGTACGAAGACAGAATCAGACTCGACGATCCTAGCGCCGATCTCGTGACCTTGAGCAACGGGCGGATAGCGTATCGTGACTTTGTGGAGGAGGTCTACCGGACGAAGTCAGGTGAAGAGTTCTTTAGGTCGGAGCTGGGACTGGAAACGGGCATGGGAGTGTTCGAGTCGAACGGCGAGACGTTCATCTGGAAGGCGAATCCTGATGACCTGATCCATGCGATTCCGATCTACGAAGCGGATAACGATCGGAGGGCCAGACGTTATTTCGTCACTGGAGAAGTCATGCCATGAAGTCGACTGGGATGGTTGTCTACGACGAACGATCATTCCATCTAGCACAACAGGCAACACCGGCTCTTCTCCGACTTAAGGCCACTTCTTATGCCACCACAACGGCAGTGGTCAGTTCCACGAGCATTCGAAGGCTCGAGAACCTGGACAGGCAACACGGGTCCCTCTCAGCGCCAGGATCGCTCTTCACGCCAAACCAGCCGCTGAGCTGGGCATAGCCCACAGCCTGGAAGCTCGAGAACGAAGTCAGGCAAGACGGATGCTTCTCGAGGTCAGAAGTGCTTTTCATGCCACTGCAACGGCTGTCGTTGGTACCACCAACATTCGAGAAGCTGGAGAGTCTGGACGGGCAGAAGGTATCTGAGGTTATGGTCAACCTATCGGTATCATAGCTATGTACAACAAACGTAACAATACAAACACAAGTCTTGGGTATCGTATCAAAACCAGAAATGCCGCTGGTCGCTCCAAACATCAACCCATCTCACAGCGCATAATTCTCCGTATGCAAGAAAATCTCATCCTTCTCACCACGCAACACCATCTTCTGCAGCTCCGCAATCGTATTGCTCACATCCACCCGCATCGTCGGCGGTCCGCACACGAACACGCACGTCCGCCGTCCCGTCCAGTCATTGCTCATATCCCGCAGCATGTACGGGATATCTGGACGACCCCATTCAGTGCTCCAGCCGCTCTTCTTGGCTTTCACTGCGGCAGGCATGAAGGCGAAGCGCATGAGATTCTTCTGGAACTCGGTGGGTGTGGAGGGAAAGCCGAAGTCGAATTGCTGCGGGTTCTGCATGGCGGAGAGCTGGTCCATTTGTGTGGCTTGCGATTGGCGGGCGTCGGTAATGTCGAGGGTGATGGCGCGGGAGCGGCGTTTCTCGTGGAGGGTGGGGTGGGGTGGCATGTGAGGCATGTCCATGATGCCGAGGCCGTTGGGGACGGTCAGGTTGGGGCTAGGAGGGTATGATGATGGTGAGGGCGATGGTGCTCGAGCCGTTTTGTAGTGAGCTTCGGGTAGTGGTCGCAACCGATCCGTGTCCTCATCGCGAAGCTGCTTTTCGCGCTCTGGGTCGCCTTTTGCTTCATCTCGGATGAGCGCAGAGTTGCGGTGAGATGAGTTGACCGAGAACCTGTTGCTCGCGATGTTCTGGAACATGTCGTTCACTTTGTCGTGGAAGACCATGCTGACAGGTCTCCCGGGGGTCTGAGCGCTGACAATCGTGCCGGTGCCAGCTTGCCGCTTCGCTGCAGTGATGAAGAATTGGCATTGGACGGCATTCGGCGGTGCAAACTCCCTGCAGATCCTGAGCTCTTCTTTAAACCACTCCATCGTCTCTGGCCTCTTCAGCGCCCACACCAGCTGAACGGTCTTTGTGACCGCTTTGCCGTCCCGCATCCGCTTGATCAGGTCCAGTAATTGTGACACTACTGCTGTGATGCCACTTCCTCCCGCGATCATCACAACATGATCGAACGAGTCCATACTTCTGCGCATGCCGCCGTATGGCCCATCCAAGAATGCTCGATACGTGCGCCAAGGGCCGTGCTCCAGCGCGGTCTCCAACACCTTCTTCGTGAAGCCTCCGAAAGGTCGAAAGACAACGACCATGTCTCTGTATTGCTCGCCGTAAGCGGATGGGAAGTCATCGCTGCATAATGAAGCGATCGTGAACGGGTGGTTCTCGAAGACCGAGATTCCGGGCATCCTGAGGTAAACGTATTGGCCCGGCTTCCACTTGACCTGGGTAGGGACCGTGACCTTGATCGCATTTTCTGGCAAAAGTGTGACTGCCGCTTCATCGCCGACAAGCCAGGACATGCGGAATGGATTCATCCAGTTGAGGTAGAATAACCGAGTCAAATAGGAGGCAACCCAGATAGCCACAGTTGCGAAGAGGTAGTTCCATGATGTGAGGTAGTTGTGGCAGTGCCAAAAGAGCATGCCGAGCAGAACAATCGAGATTGGTACATGGATCATAACAAATAGTTCGTAGAACCTGCGACGGAGTGGTGGCAGCGAGTGCACGCAAAGGAAGATCAATGGTACAAGCGCCGCGACGCCTATGTCAATGTCAGTACCGAAAATCGTGACTTGTTGGAGAATCTGACTCACCCGTTCCGTAGACGTAGACGTGCTGGTTGGCGAAGAAAGACTTGAAGACAGCCATTCCGCCGCGGTCGTAGATTGGAGTGACGTAAAAAGGAATAGTGTGTATCAACGACAGCAGCAGGCAGATGTACGCCGCCCATCGATGAAGCACATTGAGCCTCTCGTGTCCAACGCCCGTCAACATCGAGATGAAGTTGGCTTTCATGCTGAGTGCGATGATCCATGGCATCATCGCCACCGCGAGCATGCCAGATCGTATGGCGACGGGTGGTGAGCCGAAGCGGATGCTCTGCCAGAACAGCGGTTGTGGGATGAAGGTGTATAGCACCACAAGCGCCAATGCTGCTAAAACCACCACGATGACTCCTGGTGACGGAAATACGATAGGTCGCCAGCCCTTCCATATTCGGATGCTCGGAAGTGGATGATAGAAAGCGAAGCGGAACAACGCAATCGTGGCGTTGATGGGATAGCTGGTCCAGGACTTTGCGGGCTCGTGTTCGTTCTGACCTGGCAGAGGTCCTTCTTTCGGGAAGAATTTCGTCGTTGATCGGCTCGAGCTGAGGCCCGACAGGTCGTGGTCGGTGTGTGGTGATTCCATCTTTGCAATCTCTTGAGAGCGCTCTTTTTGGTTCGCAGTCCGAATCTTATCATGCCAGAAATGCCACCACCTGACCGCCGTCATCAGCACAAGCAGGATAATACAGAAGTATACCCATGCTAAAGCGTATTTGCCAGACTTCTGCCATGGATCCACGGTCACAGCTTCGACCAGTCCTTCGGGGCTACTTGCATTGCAGCAAGGTATGACTATCCTCTTGTCCAATGCAGGGAAAGCCTCCAGGATCTCTTCCTCCGCATTATGGACCGCATCCCGTGCCGTGTCTAAGACAATGCCCGCTCGCCTTGCCAATAACTCTGAGATCGCAGGCATCCTGGAAGTATGCGGTTTATGCTTTTATTGATGCGCGATTAACTTTCGTGGGTGTGCCGCTCAAAGGTGAGTTGGCCGCCCGTCGAGCTTCTGTTCTTCATCCAGCGCAAAAGTGAGTTTGGCGCGCCGATTGTCGCTGATGGAAATAACAGTCCAATGTCATACAAAGCTGAAGAGCGGTATGGTAAAGCGACAAAATGCAAGAAGGCGACAGTAGGAGAGTGGAAAGAACGACGAAAGCGGAGAGGTGATACGAAGGTACTTCAACCTGCATATATCCAGATGCACCATTGAGTGGTTGCTGCAAGGGCCTCATGCACGGGGAGAGCTTCGCATCACCCATCCCAGCGCGGCCAGTCGCATCGCAGCTCCGGCCGTCATTGCGGGGTGTGCGTGAACTTAGCCTGGTGATGCGATCTCGAGTGCGCCACATCGTTGCTCTTTAGGTCGACCTGTGAGCTGCGTGAGCGCTTGAATTGGCTGTGAGATTGGTTAGGTGCCGGATGCGGGAGGATGGCAGTCAACGCGCTATGGGACGTGCCGAGCAGTCCTCTTTCCCTGCAGTCCAAGCATTGCAGATCACGCTCCGTCCGCTGCGTTCGCAAGATGGCAGCGATTTCGATGCGGGGTCTGCGCACGTTGTACACCGCTCGTAGGAGGTCGTGAAGTGGTTGCACAAGATTGATCACGTATGACAACGTGCCCACCATGGCCGCGGAACTGGAGAAGACATCGTGCTGTAGGCGTCCAGAGCACCTTCATGAAATGTGCCGTGCCGGGTTCCAGACGCACGCCACTCATCGTCCACTGAACAGCAGACGTGCGGAGGTGAATCGTGAAGACCCGATAGTGGCTTGGAGAGGGTCTTTGGGAACAGAGTGGACGGCGAACGAGAGGTGAGGTGGAAGCGCCGACTTTTAGCGCCGTCTTTCGGAGATCGTCCGAGCAAGCGCATTGGCTGGAGCACCCTGGCCTGGCCGAAATCCTAAAGTTTTGCGACTTCACTTGTCCTCCTTCGCGAAATGTACGGTGAAGATGTGATGCCGAGCTGCTCAACACATGAACGACACGACGAGAATACAAAAAGTCGTACGAATTCGAATGCCATAAAGTCTTCCAGACGCAAAAGATCATCAAAGCGACGCAGAGCTCAAAGCCTGCGGTGGTCTGCTTCTAGGTTGTTGTGTGCACATATCTACGCCTTGATTCAAAGTCGATAGAGTTGCGCAATTCGCATATTGCTTTAACGTCGAGGACTTCGAATTCTTCAGCTGCAGACGTGTATTCGCAAGGCTGTGGTACCTGCAGCAATGCCACATGGAAGCGAACATCCTTGCTGAAGGCTGGCCCACATAGAACCTTCGTGTTACCGCGCGCATGGTAGGAAGACTTACACACTCCGGTGCAGCGTCAATATCAACCGGGGTTGGCTTCAAGCTATTCACTCGGTCTCTTCTAGCCCTACCTGTAGCTCATTATGGTCTCGATGGAAAGGAGGTCGTCCCGAAAGAGTCTCACTCCATTAGGCCATAGCTGGCCTGGTCTCCGTCTTCCGGCCGGATTCTTGAGCCTTGATGTACCGGACAGACATCCAGGACTCCTGGCGCTGTCTGAATGTCATTGCCCCGGGTTCTTGGTTGCAGTAGCCATCAAGTGCGGCCAGTGACCGAACCAATCGAGTTGGGTGTTGCCTGTGCTTCTTGGAGGGATGTCATTGATCCTACCGCTCGTGTTTCGAATGCCCACATCACGATTTAGAAGGCCTGACATTCGATGCCATTCATTGTTGCGTCCTGGAAGGGAGTTGCTCTCTAACCTTTCCTTGTTCCCCAGGGTATTGAGGAAGTGTTAGGGCGTTTTGGTAAACTCATTGATTGGGAACCTGGACAACGTAGCGAGAGGTCAACGAGACCTATACACTGAAGGGGAAGTCGGTGGACGCCACATTGAGTACCGATCTGTCAAATGGCACAAGCTTCTGTCCTTCTCAGAAGAGCGGTCTTGCTGTTACTGAAAATGACTGAGAGGTAGTAGAACAATCAACTTGAGATCGTGTGTCTCTAGATTGTGTGGGGGGACTGGCTCGAAGTGCTACAGCACTGAGTGAGCATCCTGGCTTTAGAGCTGCCTTTTGGGAAGAGGTTCCGGGGCTAGAAGCGCGGGCACCTTCTCCAAGATCCAAAGCAAAAATGTGCTGCTGAGGCTTCGGAGAAAGTCCTCTTATTTCGCCAAGATTGAACATGCACTAGCTCCGGTCGTACCCGGCCAATCATCGAGCTTGAATCGAGCACCACACATCTCTCTACACTGGCCTAACAAGCACTCACAACTCCCCACCACAAACAGCAAAGATGCCCAAAGAGCGCGGCTTCAACCCGGCGCAGGCCCAACGCAAAGCCGACAAGCAGAAAGAAATCGCAAAGAGCAAGAAGAACCTCCAAGCGCAGCGCAACGAGAAGCTCGTGCGACGCAATCCCGAACGACTACAACGACAGATCGATGAATTAAAGGAGCTGCAGCAACGTAGTGTGCTGAGGCCGAAAGATGAAGAGACGCTTAAGCAGCTTGAGCGGGACTTGAAAGGTGTGCGGAGGGCAAGGGAGGCATTGGGGGATGCCGCGCCCAAGTTCGCAGAGCGGAGGGATGGTGGAAGGGAAAGGCCGGATGCGAGGACGGAGCAAATGCAGCGGCGGAATCAGCAGCACTTGGGAAAGCGAAGGAGGGACGAGGAGGATGCGCAGGGGAGCGACACCGACCCGGAAGTGAGGGACATTCCCATGCCGCGAGATACACCTCCGCCTATACCGCGACAGAAATTCCAGGACCCGCAGGTGGGCGCGGATGGGAAGAGGGTCCCTCATGCGCTGCCGAGCAAACCTACGTCAGCTGCGCCGCCGAAGACTGTGTATAGCGCTGCGCCGCAGATACGAGATCTCAAGAAGGAAGCTGTGAGATTCATGCCGTCTGCAGTCGCCGCGCAACGGAAACGTGCGAAGGGTGAAGGAAGGCTGCTGGAGCCGGAGGAGATCGATCGATTGGAGAAGTCGGGTTACTATGCTGCGCAGAAGGCTGGAGATGAGGCAGGGCTGGAGTCACGGTTCGAGCAGGTGAGCTCGGAGGTGAGGGCTGAACGGGGCGATGTGGATATGGATGCGGAGGCGAGGAGGTTTGAGCGGGAGATTGCTGAGATGTATCCGCAAGAGGAGGAACAGCTGCCTAGGAAGGTGCAGGTGGAGGATGTGGAGGATGAGGGTGACTGATGGTGGCGAGACTGTTTTCGAAGGCAAAGCTGCATGTCAAGACTGTTGGTTCAGACTGAAGAGCGAGCACGAGCGGGATATGGGCTCGGTCAGCATCCCTTCACCGGCGGTCAATGCCTACGAGTAGGATACGGACGGAATGCGGTAGCATTTCTGTGGCCCACCGGAGTTGCAAGATCGAGGCAGTCCATCAGTAGACAAGGCGAGGTAACAAGGCATCGAGCATGTGAAGCTTGTTCCGTCGTCTTCCAGAACGTTCTCTTGTGTGACTGTTCCTTTCCGATTGTGCAAAACCGAGACATTTCGCATTACCGAACGTAGAGCATTCAATGCCTATAGTCAGTCTTCCTTCAACCCCTATCTTGCTGCCATTGAACCCCTTCGAGGTCCGAATTGAACAAAGGCAAAACTGTGGCGCTGCACCGCCACGTCGGAGGTTGACCGCGCCGACGCATACAAACGACGTCATTGTAGAGAGGTCAACTTGAGGTCAGGCTGCACGAACAACGAAACATCACCTCAACACCATCCTTCGACACCTTTCAATCCCTGAAACGACATACCACGACAGACCGCACTTACATCCAGCAAACATCGCCGCGATTGCTGCTTCGAGACAACAAAAAAGCATCACGCCACGCCAGCAGCAAACGACAGCAACCGCGACTCATATTCACCAGCGACTGCGACAACCTCACTTCATACCTTGGCCACAACACAACACCCGGAGCAATAGCTCCCGCAACGTACCACACACCTAAGAACACGACACATCCCCATCATGGACACTAACCCGACCACCAACACAAACACCCGCGAGATCGTCTTCTGCCACGCCTGCGAGAACGAGTGGTACCGCGACGAAGACGGCCTCGTGTGCCCCGAATGCCGATCAGACTTCACCGAGATCGTCGAGGCGAACAACGACCCGCGCGACGACGAACAGAACATTCCTTCAGAGCCACACCCTCCGGGAGGCTTCTACGCCCCGGATCCAGACGAGCAGGACATCGGCGGGCTGCAGTGGGAACAGACAGGTCCGGAGACGTACAGGATACGAGGACGGTATGCAACGGAGGTTCCATTAGGCCCAGGAGGGCAACCGCAAGGGCAGCAGCAGGCTGGTGGGTTGATGGGGATGGTGGGAGGGATACTTCAGGGCATGATGGGCGGACAGGGAGATGCGCCGGGTGACGAGCGACAGCCTGGCCAGCAAAGATCACAACCGCAATCGCCAAGCAGTCGACCGCCGTCAGCGCCTGGATCACCAGCACCACCCGGCCAACAACCGCGCGGCGGCACCACCTTCACACAAGACGGCCGCGTCCATCACCATCCCCACTTCCACCACCACCACGGCCACGTTGGACCATTCTCCTACACCTTTGCCTCCTCCTCCAACACAACCGGCCCCGGCGCCATGCCAGGCCCTGGCCCGGACCTCTTCGGCAACCTCTTCCCCCGCAATGCCTTCGCCGCGCAGCCCCAGCAACGCCAACCCGAGCCGATAGAACAGATGCTCAACGCCATGATGATGAACATCGGCGTCCCTCCCGGCGCGCAAGGCCAAAACCCCGGTCAAGCCCAGCCCATCCCCGGCGGAGGTCCTATGGGCCCCTTCGCCAACCTCTTCCAGCTCTTCGGCGCCCCTCCCGGGGGTGTCCACGGCGACGCAGTCTACTCGCAAGAAGGCCTCGACCGCATCATCAGCCAGCTTATGGAGCAGCACCAAGCGGGCAACGCGCCGGGGCCGGCCTCCGCAGCTGCTATCGCCAACCTGCCCTCCCGCCCCTTAACGCAGGAAGACCAAGGCGAGAACGGCAAAGCGGACTGTAGCATCTGCATGGACGAAGTCGAGCTGGGTACAAAAGTCACGGTCCTGCCGTGCGGACATTGGTTCCACTTTGACTGTGTGAAGGCTTGGCTAGGCGAGCACGACACGTGTCCGCATTGCAGGCAGGGGATTATGCCGAAGGAGGGGAGTGGTGGTGGGGAGGTGAGAGCTGCTGGGCAGGAGGCGCTGAATGATATGCGGAATCCGCCGGCGCCGAATATGCCTGGAGCATTTCCTGGTGGGCAGGGGGAGGGGACGCAGGGGAATCCGTATGTGGTGTCTGGGAGTCCTGGACAAGCTAGAGGGGCCGGCGGTGCTAATGCGGGGATGTCGAGTAGGATGCGTGATGTCTTCGGTTCCGGCTCCGGCTCCGGCGGTAGTGGAAGTGGGGAGCAAGGGAGTAGTGGTTGAGTCCTTTCCCTCTTCCACCTCTCACCACCCAAATAAAAATACCCAAATACCCGACACACCAATCAAGTAAACCTTGCGCTCACACCACCCCCTCCCGCCTGCTAGATCCAGCCCCAGCGCATCAACACCACTACTGCCCCCGCGGCCTCCTCTCCCGGCGCCGCTCCCGCTTCAGCCTCCTCCTCGACTCCTCTGTGCGCAGCTCTGACGTGGACGCCGAAGGCCTCCGCTCCGCCCCAGAGTACTCCCCGCACGTCGTCCCCGGCACGTCCCGCCGCGCACACTTCTGGGTGGCGTGCGAGCGGCACACCGTGGGCAGGAGGTTTTTGCGGGGGTTGAGGTGGGTGGATAGATGGATTGATGGGTGGAGGGAAGGGGCGTGGGGGGAGCGGAATTGGGGGGAGGAGGATGCGGTGGCTGTGGCGCTGTTGGAGAGGTATTCGAATCTGTATCCGAATTTGAGGGTTGCGGGGGCGGGGGAAGGACGGTCGTGATGTAGAGGCTTTACCTTACCTGCGCTGAGCTGAGGAAGGGGAAAGGGGCGAGGTTGTTTTGACACGGGCAGTTTCCAATTGTTAAGGCAGCCTACATGTTCTAGTCATACACCACCCTCCTCCATCCCCTTTTCTTCTTCCTACTCCAACACCCCCTTTCCTTTTCTTGCCCCTTCTGAAATTACATCACCCAGCATGCTCAACGATCTCACTAACCAGCCTCCCCCCCTTCACCACCGTCCGTATCTGCTCCGGCAACGGCACCTCCACACTATCCCCCTCCTCCTCCTCGGGCGGCAAAACCACATTCACCCCACTACACTTACTCGTGAAAACCTCCGTCCCCAAACTCTCTTTCCCCAAAAACACACTCGCCCCATCCACCTGGTCGAGCATAATCGTCGGCACGCTCCCCGTGATTTGGATAGCGAAAGATGGGCATTTGATCACGTCGACGGAACTGACGAGTGTGTCGACGAGGATCTGACACTTGGGGCTGTTGTCGATGGAGACGGCGTTGGCTTTGCCGCGGAGGATGATGGTGGTGGCGCGGCATTTGGTTATCAGCACGGACTGGGTGAGGGAGACGTCCAGGGTGAGGGGTTGCGAGGGGGAGTCGTGGTTTTCGAGGAGCCATTTGTTGCCGTCGAGTTCTTTCTTCGGTTGGGGTTTGGGTTTCTGCGATGGTTGTTGGGAGGAGGCGAGCGAGGCGCTGCTGTTCTGCCGCATGCTGGGGGGTTTGGGCTTGATTTCCGGCCCGGGACTTCGGGAGCGCGAGATGTCGCCGGATACTTGACCATCGCCCACGGAGCTGCTGGCGCGGAGGGAGGGGTTTTTGTGCGTCATTTGCGACTTGTCGACTTTTTTCAGGCCGGCGGTGACGGATTCGCCTTTGTTGAGTTGTTCGAAGACGGCGCCCATGTCGCTTGCGCCGGCTTTGGTGCCGGAGGGGGCAGGGCCGGGAGGTGGTGGTGGGGCGTTTTTGTCGAAGTTGGGAAGCGGTGGTGGTGGAGGTGGAGGTGCGCCGGTTGAGGAGGGTGTTGCAGAAGCGCCGTTGACGGTGGAGGAAGAGTCGGAGTCGACGTCGCGGTAGACAGCTACTGCATCGGCGTCGCCGTTGTTGTTCCACGTCACGCCGGTCGGATAGTGCTTTTTGATGTACGCTTGGAGGGCTTTGAGCAGGCCGTAGTAGGAGCGGACGTACTTTACATGGGCCTGGTCGCTGTGATGGGGTTAGTATCACCCCTAAGCATATCAATATGGCACTCTTACCTCTCCCGGTACTTGGTCAACACTCTGTTCCCGTACATCTCCGCGCCACCAATGACTTCACCCACATAATCGTTCGGCTTCCCGTCCATCACCAGCCATTGGAGCGCTGTTATGCCTTCTCCCACCATGGCCAGATGCTCTTTGACGGGCGAGCCGCGGTTGCTGTCGCGGATGTCTCCCACCGCACCCATATCCTGCTGCAGATCGGAAAGGAGGTCCATGAAAGCGCTGGACTGCGGATCAGGCTTCTTGGCCTTGGTGGTTGTGAGGAGGAATCGCCGTTGATCGGCGAACGCGCTGGCGACCGAAGACGCCTGGTGTGTCGTCCATCAGCCCCGTTTCTCGAACCATAGCCATTGCCTCAACCTACCTGCTCCTCGATCAACGCATCCAGACCCTTGCCCGCTGCCTGAAAGTCTGCCACCTCCTTGCCAATCAACTCATCCATCTCCTGTATCCTCGGCGGCAAAGGCTCGGACACGGGCTGCACCGTCGCCGTGCTGTCCTCGCGCGAGCCATCCTTGGACGCCGCGGTCAGCTCGGGCATGCTATTCGAGGCCGGAGCGCCGCTGGCGGCGGAGAGGGAGCCATTGGGCTGCTGGTCGAAGCTGGACGGCGGCTGGGTGGAGCTGGCAATGTCCTCGAGGCGCGAGGTGGCCGCTTCGAGCCTGTGGATGAGGGAGTTTAGCGGGTTGTCCTTGCTGACGGCCACGGGGCTGCTGGTGCTGTAACGGATCGTGTCGCCCGACATGGCGCAGTATTTAAGAAGGTGGGAGTAGAGAAAAAATGAAGTACCGTTTGATCAGAGTGGTCAGGTTGTTCATGCCCTGTCCACTGCCTCCGCTCTGAGACTGCTGCTGGCCCCCCGGAGCTGCCATCGTCACCTGCAAGGGCCTGCTGTTGCTGCTCGCCAAGCTCTGTCGATCGCTCAGACGTGCGGAGAGGTACGGGGAAAGCTTCTTGCGTACAACTACACCCCGGGAGAAAGAGACGGAAGGAGAATGGTATACAAGATGATGAAGAGGATGTCGTCGTCGCAGGCCGACCACTTTCCGCTGCCTGTCTGCACTTGGGGCTGTAATGGGTCCGCGCTAAGGCATGCTTGAGTTGCCTCGCGCAGCCACTGCCGTCGAACCGTGCCGTCCTGGCCAGTTTTTGTTTTTGCAACCTCACTTCCTCATCTCAACCTGTACCAAAGACGCGGAGTCTCCAGGAGCATGAGGCAGATGAAGCTAGGCTGGTAGGCTTGAGAGCTTTGCCGTAGGCAACTGTCCGACTGAGAAGAGGAGAGGGGACTGTACAGTTCTCCGCGACAGAAGAAAGACCACATCGTATCAACGGGCTCTACTTTGGGAATTGTGTCTTGGGAAAAGGAGCATCGACCTTGGAGATGTGGTGCAGAAAATAACGGTGTACATCGAAGTGCCGGATTGGATGAAAGTGCGGGAAGCAGACTCTCAAGCACAAAGCAGTACTGGGCAACCGCGCTCTTGCAGATTGTCTACGATGGTGGGTACGGAGATACCACTGGATACTGCTGAGGATGTAGACGCGAAGGCCTCGCTATGCCTCACTTTCTCGAGTATCTCGAGGAGGAGCACAAGGACATCGACTTGCCCTGGCAGCGTCCCATGTGCGAGACGTCGTTCTCCGTCGGTAATGCAGATGCAGCCGCAGCCCTGTTCACGACGGTGCTCGGTACGGCAGGAGGACGGAGGACAACACCACCAATTCGATGCTGTATTGTGTCTCCTGTCCCGAACCTCTCCATCCGCGGTGGTAGTACCATCCACCTCAATACTTCCAGGGTCCGCTGGAGACCCCATACTGCAAACCCGCGCTGGCTTCCACCTCCTCAACCTCGTGCAAGCCATGCCGCGCTGCTGGTTCTCTGCTTTGTGTCGCTATGAGATCGGGCTGAGTAGGTGTTTGCTTGCATAAGTATGCCCACTAACTCTTCTTGCGTCACATTTCATCACAGTCTGCACTGATCATCTCGGCACGTCCTGTGCTCGGATTCCGCAGACGCTATAGTTCACGTGAAAGTGTCGTCAGGCCAAAAAGGTAGGCCTTGGCGTTTCAGGTTGACCCTTCACAAAGTCTTTCGAAGCTGCGACACAACTTCCCTTCACAGACACCTCGGACTCGGACAAAGTCCTCCTGCTGCGAGGAGTGGATGCCACACGCGCATGCTGACGTGCAGTTTCGGCATTCACCACTACGTAGTGTTGGAACATGGGGACGTGCACGACCTCAGTGACAGCAACCGCAGCGAGCGTCAGACATCACTTCACAGCTTCACAGCATACACCACCCAGCACCAACATTCTCGCACTTCCAGTCTCGACTTCACACCATGGCAGATTCCACGGACTCCGCCAAGGACGACCATCGCCCCTCGCACCTGCCGCGTCCAGTCGCTCTCCGCCCACGCATCGACGGCAATCGTGCCAGACGTCCGCACCGGACTCAAGCCACCCCTCGACGTCACCGCCCTAGTCGTCAGCCTGGAAGTTCTCCCCTTGTCGATCTCGAACCTGCTGCTCCGACAGAGAACTTCCCCTCCGAAGACACCCAATTCCGCTCCCTAGCCTTCGGAGAGACTGCTATTGCCCCACCGAATGGGTCGTCGCAGTACCAACGCGATCAGCTACGGCAGTCGCTATTGATGATCTCTCAAGCTGAAGCATCGGCGCAGGCGACCAGGATGAGTGCTGCAGCCTTCGAGCGACCATCCCCGTCGTCGAGGACCAGCTCCAGTCAAGGACGACAGCCAGCTACACCAGCGCCGCACACCGAACAGCCACGCCTACATCTTCAACCCGTCGCAGCAGAAGGCTACTCACATTTCATCGATTATGCAGCTCTCCATAGCGCGTTCGCCACGGTCGAGCGCGCCAGACCCGGCCCCGTTGAGCGCTCCGAGTCTACCCAAGTACACGAAGCCGCCCGCCCCGTTAGTCCTGCGCCGCGAACGGAACAGCCACATCAACACCTCGCGTCCGTCGCAACAGAAGGCTACTCACGATTCGTCGACTACGCAGCTCTTAATAGCATGTTCGCGACTGTTGAGCCCACCGGGGACCCCCCAACCGAGCCATCAGAACAGCCACTTCCCATCATTCCCGAGCCGCCCACGGAACAGCCACGTCAACCTCTCGCACCCATCGCAGCAACAGGCTACTCGCGCTGGATCGACTACCCAGCCCTCCACCGCCTGTTGTCACGAAGCGAGCACATCCCTGACCGCACCACAAACACACCCTCTTCGCCGCCCCAACCCCTTCGAACCCCTCCACCTCACACAACACAAAACTCCCCACCAATAACACCCCCCGACATCTACACCGCCCTCGCCGCCTCATCGCAAGCCCTCCGCGTCGCAGCAGCCCGACTCCGTCGCCACCCCGCCGCACCGCGCGGTCTCTCCCAACGCGCCATCGCCGACTTACCCCACCGTACTCTCGTAGACGCCGACAAAAAAGAAGACGGCTCGTTCTGCTGCCGCATCTGTCTGGGAGATTTGCAGCTGGGGGATGTGGTGACGGAGTTGCCGGGGTGTGGGCATTGGTTTGAGGAGGCGTGTGTGGGGAGGTGGTTGGGGGAGAGGGGGGTGTGTCCGATGTGTCGGGTGGTAGTGCAGTAGAGTGCAGAAACTCTCCGTTGCTGCAAGGACCTTGAGGATGCCGACTCAGTCGCTGCGGTCGGTTTCGGCGTTTTCTTCGAGTTGCGCATCGAATGCAATGTGAGGAGTGATAATCCTAGCTATACAAAGCCTCCATAAACAACTACCCCTCTCCCAACGCCATCGCTAACCCGCACATCAAGTCATGACTCGTCTATCCTCACCGAGTCCGCTCCGGCGACGTCTCAGCCTCACTCGCCTCACCCTCCTCCTCATCACTCTCACCCTCCTCCCACCCATCAGCCTCCAACTCCGCCCCTCGAATCCCAAACGAGAGCAGAAAGCCCAGGAAGCTTATACCCCCAAACACCCCAAAAGCCAACGCCTCGCCCTTTGGCTGTATCCGCACCGCGGCCGTGAACAAGGACCCACTGATGAAAGGTCCCACTGCTCGACCCGCCGCGCTCAAAGTCTGCGCAAGCCCGTTCAGCGTTCCCAGCACAGCATGCGAAGGCGCCGAGTTCGTAATCAAAAGTAACGCCGAAGTCAACCCCCCAACCGCAGCGACCGTCTTGATAATAAGCACCACCCCCAACTCGATCCACAGCCACACCTGCCCCATCTTCGTCGGCTCCCCCTCACCACTCGCACCGTCTTTATACCCCACCCACGGCATGAGGAGGAAAGCAACGACGAACCCCGCGAGTCCGACGCGGTAGGTGACTTTATTCCCGACCTTCTCCCTAATCGCGCCGAAGACGCCGACCTGAAATAATATCGTGACTGCGCCGGCGAACGCCAAGCCGATGCCGATTTCTTCCGGCGTGAGGTTGCGACCCGTGGGCGGGTTGGCTTGCGCGAAGACGGGGTAGAGGGAGTTGTAGGATATGTTGGCGAGTTGGAAGATGAGGAAGGTGATGAGGAGGAGGACGGTGTCACGGGTGAAGACGTCTTCTTTGTTGAGGTATTCTTGGGTGTTGGTGGTGGGCATGAGGTCGGGGGCGGCGCCGACTTCGTCCTGTGAGTCGGAGTCGGAGTCCTCTTCGTCGACGTCGTCCAGGTGGTTGCCGTTGGGGACGGCTTGGTAGCCGTTGGGTTTCCGGTCCTTTTTGCCTCGTCGTAGATATGTGGGTCGGTGCGAGCTCGTGAACTGCCACATCCATGTGAAGACACTGACGAACCGCTTGCCAAGTGGTGGTAGTTCTTGAGCACATTCCAGGCTCTCCTCAAGAAAGATCATTGTCAAGACCATGTCGACCAGTAACACTGCCGCTGAGAAGAGATTAGGCAAAAGGTACGGATATGCGTTCGGTTCTTCTGGATCCAAAGGGTTGTTCTTCTTGACCAGTAGTCCACCAACAATCGGCCCTGTGATGCCTCCAAGCCCGTACACCACTGGCAGGTACTTGAACGCCCGGCTCTGGTTCGACCGATCCGTGATCTCTCCCAAACACGTGCTGACCACCCCTTGATTCCCATTCACCAACCCCATCAATGCTTGCACTAGTATGGCCTGCCACAGCGTCCGACAGAACCCAAAAGCAACAAAACAGCACGCCGTCAAGAACGTGCCACATAGCACCACCGGCTTCCGCCCAATCTTATCCGACAGCCAGCCCCAGATGAAATTCGTCGCGAACTGCGCCAACGCGAACGAAGACGCGATCAAGCCGACGTACATCCCAACCTGCGCCGGGTCGACTTCCGGGAACGTCGAAGCCATCTCGGGGAGGTATGGCGATATGCTGTTCAACGCCGTCTGCTCCGCCAGCGCAATGACAGCCAGTATAGCTAGCTGCCCTTTCGGTAGTGGTGTTTCCTGGTGTTTTGCTGAGCCTGACGAAGATCTGCTCCGTTTGGAGCCGGGAGATTCTGGCGCATCTTGAACGTTCATGTCCCTCTTGCTCGATTGGCGTTGGGGCTGTGGAGGAGGAGCGGCGGGGAAGGTGTTGTATTTGAGGGTCGAGGATTGGCGGTGGTAGAGACTCGGCTTCTTCAGCACCGTCCGTTCGCCATCCTGAGAGGGTGGCATGAGCGACTGTACGTCTGCTCAAGCGCGCAGATAGCTCCGGGAGTCGTGATAAGCTTCGGTACGTCGCATGCGGGTGGGTGAGGTTGTGTTGTTCGGTGCGTCTACTCCATCAGCTGGTCAAAAAGTCTGTCTCGGAGCACGCAGTGTCAGGCAATGTAGATACAGGACTCTCAACACAAGTGGAGTCAGAGACTGCTCTCTAATGAAGACTCGCAAATGACGCTGCCGGTTGAATAGGGCTAGCTTTGGTTCGGATCTACCCAGCGATAAGATGCACGCGCCCCCGCCTATCGTGGCCATTGCCGAGATTGCCTTGTTCGAGATCAACTTCCTCGCGGAAGCCGGCTAGCAATTACATTATACCTATGATCGAGCGCCAACATCGCTGGAGCTGGAGCATCCCACATCCACCATCGCCCTCTGCAATGGACGGCAGGACCGCCACTCACTTGATGGGTCTGAGAAAGGACAGGAGCTAGTACCGCCAGTGCAGGCTCAATATTAATGTTGTTCTACAACAACTGCCCATGTGCTTATCATTCTGTTGGGTATCGTCACGACGCCGGAGTCTTAGGTCTCCCTCACTTCTAGCATTACCATTGCATTTCCTGCCATGGAGGCTCCTGTGTCTTCCCACGATCACCACGAGTGCAGCAACCTTCCGTCGTCTGTTCTCGAGACCAACCACGCTTGGACTTCGCCCCCTGGGGGTGCCAGTACCCACGATTTCGCTCTCGAGACCTTTACCGGCCATGTGCTTCGTTCAACACAGTCGCTCTGGCTCTTACCAGATTCCTAGCCGTCTCGCACGCCCTGGCTCTCCAACCGCGATCAGGCAGTCTCTTTCCACCAGCTTTCCTTACGCGATGTCGTTATGCAGCTGTTCTAACGCAAGCCCCGCCTCGTCTTCTCCCGTTTCGCGCAACAGCCTGCTCCCTTCGCTCGCACCTTGGCCGCCGGCCTGGTCCTCTCCGTCCGCTAGGTGCTCTCTGGTGTTGTCTTGGTCGACCATCTTTCGCTCTTCTTCACCTGCGTCTACTTCGACCGGACCAGATGCCCCCTCTCGGCCGTCGGATGCATCCTTCCCATCGACCTCACCGTCCTCATCGTCCGATCCGGCACTGCTGGGGTCGCCATCATCCGCTCCCGCTTCCATCATCCTTTGCAACGCCGCCTCTCTCGCCATCTTCCTGTCTTTGCGCCCCTTGTTTGATTGCAGGTACTTCTCCTCGTCCCACTCCTTGTAAGTCTCCACATATCGCTGCAGACCGGCATCATGGTTGACATATATCTCGCCGACAGCACGATCCTGAGTCTCGACCACCGTGGCCGGCAGAGCCGGGAGACCGAAGACCGCCCCCGCATCGCGCACCAGGTCAAGGTACTGCATGCGCTGCGGAAGATTGCTGGCGACATGAGTGAACTTTGGGAGGATGTTGCCGTCGTCTCCACTGTAGAGATCTAGCACGTTCGCAGCTGTTTCAGGTCAGTATTGCAGACTTCAGTTGTGGGAACACAGACTTACCACTATAGTGCTCTTTGATCCAGGCCAAGAAGATTGGGTGCTCCTTCGGCCGCTTCTTTGCCGCGAGAAAGTCCAGGAAGATGTGCAGATGTGACTCAATAGCCTGATCCACTCCGGGCACATAGCCGGATGGGGCCTTCATGAAGTTACGAACCAGCGTTTGGACTTTGATGAGCTCATCCACGGTGAAGATAAACCCCCTCGCGCAGTTGCCGTACGAGTAGAGGAGCTGCTCGTCATCTCCAGAGCAATCCTTATGCTTTGCAGGAAAGCACTGCCGGCGGAACGCGACTTGGCCCTCGTACAACGGAGTCCGGCGATGCCCCCCCGACGGCATGTAAAGCTCTGGAAAGACGTCGAGCAGCCCATCTCGGATCAAGTCCTTAATCCGAGCTGGCTTGAACCTGCTATCCTGGACCCGGACGACGCCGTGCGAGAGGAGCTCCTGCGTGAACATGCGCGGCCGGAGTTTCTTCCTGTGGTACACTGTCCAGCCGGGATTGTGATGGATCTGGAAGATGCGGTACAAGTCCAGCGCGTGGTAGAACGCAGCCGGAATTGTCTCATCGGCTCTCGTGGCTCGCCTGCGGTCGATGTACTGGATCGTCACGTTGCCCTGATTGCAGTCCATACGATTGAGGCCATGCACGATCGTGAAGACGGGACTCTTGCTGTACGAAAGGTACTCGTCCCCCTTGAGATTCGTCCACATCAGATGATGGCCCACCATATGGACCTGCTGGGCCTGCGTCAGGTCACGAATGGAGTTGTGCACCACATAATCCTTGCGCGTCTCGGCGTCGGGCAACAGGATCCTGCTGGTGGTATGTCCGCTGGACGGCCGTTTGTCGAAGCCAAAGCGGTCGCCGGGGATCAACGACGCGGTTCTCGCAAAGTAGTTTTGCGTGGGCTGCTCGGCTTCGAGGAGACTTGCGAGCTGCTCGGCGGTCGGGGGCTCGTTGGGCAGGATCCGCTTCGCCATTGACACCGTACTCTGGAGTAGCGGGTCTTTGAATGGTTTGGTGAGAAGCTTCTTGGGCTGGAGGCCCTCCTTGGTTACTCTGCCCTTCCGTATCGCTCTCATTCTGTCCTTGATGTATTGGTTGGTCCTTCTTCTCGTGGCGCTGATGCTGACACGCTTCTCCTTGATTGTCCGCTGAGCGACCTTACTCTGGCTGTTTGTTTCTTCTTTCGTGCCGAATGAGTTTCCCGCCTTCCGCTGCAGGTTGATCCGCAGTCTATCCGTGTCCGTGGTGACTGCGGCAATAACGGTGATCGCCTTTTCTCCATGATCATCGAGGCCGGTGGATGACCCTTCGATCACACCATTTGCATGTGGCTCGTTCATGTTGGCGAGGCCAGGTACTTTGCCAACAGAGCAGGCTCCGTTGGGGTCTTGGCTCGGTGCGTTTGTACAGCTGTCAAAGGTGGCTGTCACTATCGACAGCGAGCGAACGATGTTTGACTCCGCCACCTGCAATCTCTGGTGAGGTGGGAAGGAAGAGTGGCAGATAAGCGATGCTTTTCTTTCATGTGAGGTGGAGGAAGGTGTTGTGTTGGAAAAGGAGGTGGAAGTAGAGGGAAGTAGAGGTATGAAGTTGTGTCGAAGGGGATGGTAGGTGAAGTGGAAGGGGATACTTATGTAGACTTGAAGTTGAAGGCAGGCTGTAGCGACCGTTAGTTGAGTATGAGTCAATGGCATAGTGAAGTGAAGGATGAGCTGAAGTGATGAGCAGAAGCCTGTGAAAAGTGAGCTGGCCAGAGCGAGTGAGAGGTGAAGCACAGTGAGTAGTGAAGTTGAGTTACCGCGAAAACAACATCAAAGCAACTCCCATTCCACACCTCATTAACTCGCCATTGGTATCATCCATCCCATAATCATCAAAAAAGAAAACAAGCGAGCGTGCGCCCTCAGTGGGTATCATTTAAACAAACCCATTCCCCAAACTCCCGCAACCTTTTTCCCTTCACCCCCGAGCCAACAACATCTCCACCGCCCGATTCACTCTTAATCCATCCCCAACATCCGTCATCAGCAGCGCCTCCCTCGCCGCCGTCGCCGGGAACCCCATCGCCACGATCCGCTTCAGCGCCCGATCCTCTCCGCTCTCGAAACTCTGCTGCGACGTGCGATCATGCGGCCTGGTGCGCTCTTCAGGTATGGGGCTGATGGGCGTTGGGGCGGCACTGGCGACGACGGCGGAGAGGCTTGGGGGTGGGCGGGCGAAGGCGGTGGACCGGCGGTTCATGACTGGTGAGAACAGAGAGCGCGGAGAGAGTGGGCTCAGGGACGTGCTACTCCGCATTGCGGTGCTGGTCGGCCGGTCGAGATGCGTGTCGATGACGGGGAGGCGTCGGTACCCGCTCGTCTTGCGGGTGAGTCTGATCTCTGCGGCGAGCTTCGCTACTCGTCTGCGATTTTGCTCTTTCGCTTCTTGCTCGTGGTGAGTTCGCGATTTGGGCGCCATGCCGTATACTCGTTCCTGGTAGAGACGACAGACTGGTTCCTTGAGGAAGTCGGTGCGGCTGGTGTCGTGGCGGGAGAGGCTCCATTTGGTCCAGCCGTTCTTTTGGGCGAGCGCGAAGCCTCCTGAGCCGTTATCTTGAGCATGCTCGGCCATTCGGAGGATCACCCGAGGACCGTAGGTCATCAGGTGAGCGGTCCACTCTTCAAGCATGTCCTCCTTCTCATCCTGGCATGTGACCTCGACGTCATCGAAGATGCCATACTCCTCCGCTTCTTCTGTCCGACCGTGGTAGCCTTGCAGCATGGTTCTGAGGCAGTTCCAGATCTCGACGATATCATACAACTGCTCGGCGCTCAGACCACCCGCATTGCCCTTCGCGAAGTACTCCGGAGGATTAAGTAACACACTGGTCATGTCATAATCGAGATTGACATTCATAGTCGCAGTGAGGTCCTGGTAGTGCGCCAGAATGCCCCCCTTCAGCCAATCTAGCTGTCCAGTGACGTCGTCTTCACGGCCTTTGCCTGAGCCGAAAATATTGCAGAATGACCAGATCCTCCAGAGCGCGTCCTCGAAGTGCTGCATTTCAGGATGTGACTCGTCCAGAAGAATAGACGCCACCTCCGATCTCACCAGCATCCGGCATTGCTTGAGTATGCGCTGCTTGAGCGATTCGTTGACAGCCACATCGGAGCGGTGGCGGAGAAGGGCAGGCTTTGCCGTATGCACCGCCTGTGGAACATTCTCGTCGTCATGCTCGTACCAGGGAGGCTGCGCCCACTCGCGGTACTCCCATGCCGCTGGCGACTGATTATGGAGCACTGATGTGAGCAACCGAGATTCGTTGTCTTTGTACACCCGGTACATGCCCCTGTTGATCATGGATGTGCTGCGCAGGTCGTCCACGTTGTCAAGCATTGACATGATGCGTAGCAGAGTGTCCTGCGCAGAGGCAGGTGATATATCGTCGCGGTGTACCTGCTCTTTGCGAATCGTTCTTGGGCCTTCCACAACGATCAGCCCATCGTCGACGACAACCCGTGGTCCTTCCACAACTATCAACCCGTCATCGAAAACAACGCTCGGCTTTGCTGACACAATGAGCTCTTCCGGTGTAGAGACACAGTCGGCGTACGAGCAAGCTGTTTGCAATGGTGCTGACATGGTAGTTTGACGCCACCAAACGCTTTTCTTCATCCCCTGAGTCTCCGGAGGAGGCGTCAGGTCCGTTTCCGATCTTCTCCGGGTAGGCATCTGAAGGTCGCCTGTCTTGAGGCTGCTGCCGGAGGACTGTGGCGAGCACCACTCTCGTTTCCTGCTTCGCTTCGGCACAACGGGCTCCTGCTCGGGTCGCTGCGTTGAGTCGTAGCTGCTTCCGCGCATAAAGGTAGACCATGCCGGATGGGGTTCGAGCTGAAGTGCGTCAATGTCATCCAGCGAGAAAGTTTCTTGCGAGTAGATGCTGCTCCGGGCAAAGTGGCCCAGGTGGGCCTCGAGATCTTCCCGTGCCTCGCTGAGGGTCGGACTTCTGGGTACCGCGATGCCTAAGCCATGTGGTGCCGTCTTTGCGAACTCACGGTCGAGCGACTCCAGCTGAGCCAGCGACTTCGAGCGAAGATTTGCACGGTCGACCACGATGCTCAAACTCGCTGAGCTTCGGCGCACTTCAGGCGAGCCATCGTGGCTGGGTGGCAGTGGTCGCGCCACAGCAGAGCGACGAGGTGTTGCGATCGGCGTTGGAGGCAGTGGCTTGTTGATGTCTGGTAATGGCCGAAAACTTGTCCTCTTCTTGAAGCTCGGTTGCTTCTCGGTAGCCTTGCTGAGGAACTCGGCGCCTATCTCCTCATTGCTAGTCGCCGAGCTTTTGTTGCTGGGCGCCGATGCGTCGTCCCTTCCAGAGACGCTACTCGAGACAGACGAAGAGCGGTTCGGTGTTGATATACCCGCATGTATCTGTGGGGGCGTTGCTGGAGTGTCCGACTGTGGTGCCGATGTCTCAATGGCTGTTTCTGAACCGATAGGCGAAACGATGTGTTCGTCATTGTCGTCTGAAGTCCCGGTCGGTGTCAGCCCAGACTTCGACACAACGCTGGCGGTACCGTCGGCGGACTTCCGCGGGGGAGGAAACTGCATCGCGATGGCGGTGGAGCGCAGGTCCTCGAGTACAGCGTCTCTGCCGGGTATGATCACCGATAGGGAAGGCTTAGGTTTCATGCCCGCGCTCGGGACGGACGTCGGACGCGCAGGGCCTGTCTCGACTTGCTCGCTCTCCTGCGCTGATCTGCCTACAAAGTAAGCGGATTTGTGTTTGTTGTCCGGCTCCCACTGTGGGATGTTGTCCGGGCCCCAATGTGGGACGCCATCCACCCAGAGACCAACGCGCACTGCGGTCTCCGTACGCTTCTCTGCCTTGGTCCGATGCGCTCGCGGAAGACTGGTGGTGCTCCATAAGCCTTTCTTGGGTCGCATCTGGCCCGAACACAAGCGATCCAAAGTGGACATCTCTCCTGCCACTGGCGCGTTGGTCATCCAAAACGGGGCATCTTGGTCCACCGAGGTATTAGCTGACACCTCTGCCGGCACTGCTTTCAGAAAGGTCGCTTTGTTGTCCGTGGAGTTCTTAGCAATTGGGAAAGCTGATCTGCGACGCGACAGCCAGCTCTTCTGTCGTGGTGTCATTGGCTTCGTACTAGGCGTGCTCTCTAAGATAGTGAGTGGTGAGATCGGGTCAAGACTTTCTACCCCTCGCCTGCTGAAGATTGAGATGGTTCGCCTGGACGCAGCCCGACTGAGTGAGTAAGCACTGGGACTTTTATCATCGAAAGCTGTGCCGTTCGACGAGCCACGCTTTGCCGCCGACGCCGCCATTGTTGGTAGCTTTGCCGTGTAAACGCTGGACTGCGGCGCAATGCCTTGCTGTGACCTCAAGCTCGGTTGCGATGATTCCTAGGAGTCCTGTGAGTCGCCTGAAGCTCTTGAAGTTTGCGCAGTTCCACATACAAACTTATTGGTGAGCTAACCAAGACTCAGAATGTCTTGATATTGTCATTGCTCCTCCTCAGATTACCATCCGCGAACTTACTTGCAAGCAAGAGAATGCAAAAGACAAGTGTCAGGTTGTATCAGTAGAGGCACAGCATGTGCGGTGAGAGATGGAGCAACCTAATGATGGAAGAGCTTTCCCACGTGTGGTCGCATACAGTAGTGGCCGATAAGCCATGGACAAGAACACCGACGTGCCCAAGGCCAACGGAAGCCATGGCAATCCTTCAGTCGCTTGCGGGAACAGATGGGCATGTCCAGCGATCCTGAGCAATCCTAAAGTCATGTTAGGCTAGACTGGTGGCACTCGAGGTCGAGCAGAAGGTGGAGCAGCTCGAGCAGGTGCATGTGAGGTTGGCGCCGTCCATGCACGCCGCCTAGCGGACCCTGCTAATATTAGTTGATCCGTGCCGACCGCGGCACGTCAAGAGACAGGATGGAAAGGACTGTCCTCCGCACCGTCACGATCCATGATGGGGTATCTGTATGCTTCGATGGAACAACTGCGCAGCGATGGGGACTCTGGAGCTGAAGAAGACGTGGTCAACAGCCATGGCCGAGCCGGACTCTTCCTCAGCCCACTCAACCACAATACCAAACTGTACAGAGTGCCAGCCACCCATCGGAACGCCGGGAGATTGTTGATCTCCTCGCCGACGATGCAGAGTATGTTGATCGGTATGCAAGGTGGGGTGCACGTGGGATGCTTTTTTATTCAAACACGTGCAGGAACGGAGTACCGTCTTCGGAAAGATAATCGGCGGTGCTCGTGCTGATCAACAAGCTTCGATCCTTCGTCTCGTCTCATCCTTCTCGCATTCTGGTGGCTGGGAGGCTGGAATCCACGCGATGCATCCTTCGAGTGGGGTAGCGTTATTACCGTCATTCTGCAGCAAAGGCGACTAGGATAGACATGGTTTCCAACACTCCCTCATGCTCCGCTATGCAGGCCATCCTGTTGTCCAACAGCCTGTCTCGCAGACGAGTGATAATCAAACAAGAGCTTGACCAAGTATCGTCTTAACCGCATATACGGCACCGGAAACACCACCGATCGACGGGAGACGATTCCAAGCACGCCATCAGCACGGTGTGATCTCGGCAGGATCAGAAAGGTACCATATGGTGCGACACATTGTGCATCCTTCACCACCATCCTCTTGGAATTTGTCGTTCCTGAAAAATCGGAACCGGCAACTCAGTAGATCCAGGTTCCATCCCACGTGCCCATCCAACCATCTACCACACCCTCTCCCAATGCTACCTTCTCGACTCCCCACACTCCTACGGCCCGGTCAGGAAGCCGACACTCACCACATTACGGCCAGCAAGCATCCGTTTTTGTGTGTTGAAGGATGGGGATCAGAGGATAATCCGACTAGAGTGCTTACCCTATACCGCGACATCTCTCAGCGGGAGTTGAAGGAGCCTCAAGCGCTACTTGCTACTGTTTCGTAAAATCCAACGACATCCCATATCCTCTTCCTCCGGATTCTCGGAATCCCACCGGCATCCCAGAAGCGCGAGTTGACAATCCGGCCATCGAGTCAACCCGTGATCTCCGAAATTCAATGGAGCGTAGTGAGAGAGGTGTTCAGTAATCGTACTTTTCCTATGTCCATATGAGTATATCCCACCTCACGCCTTAGCACCATACCCACCCGACCCTTTTCATACACTTCATAAGCTCCCACCCCCGAAATTCAATGACTCCAACGGCGAAAACGTATCCGTCAACGGCAAATCCCTCGACGAGAAGCCCAAATGCACCCTAAACTCTCCCTTTGGAATGATCCAATTCTGCTGCTTGACGTCCCAGTAACTCAGATCCCGTCGTGTAAGCTCCAACTTGACTGACACCCGCTTTGGGTCGTAGACGTGGATCTTCTCAAACGCTCTGAGCACTTTGACCGGCATGTCAACGGGCTCGCCGTCAATATCCGTCACGTTTTCGGGGTAGGAGATGTAGGCTTGCACTACGCAGTCGGCGGGCTTGCCGCCGCCGTTGGTGAGCTGTGCCTGGATGAGTGCGGCTGTTTGGTAGAGGTCGGGGTTTCCGCCTTCGCCGCCGCCGGCTTGGGAAGGCTCGTGGGGCGTATCGTAGCCTGCTGGGTAGGGATAGTCGCCCTTTGTGAAGTCGGAGGTGCTGGAGATGTAAGGGTAGATGTATTTGCTCAGCTTGCGCATGCCGCTGGGCCAGATTGCGGATTCGGGTGAAGGTAGTGTGTTGTCCATCTGCGGTGGTTCGATACCTGCCGGTCGCTCTCGTGGTAGCGGACCGCCCACGCCTTTGGTGTTGACGACCAGGCTGTTCAGCTTGAAGCCGACGTACGACAGTCCGTAGCCGAACTCATAGCGGGGTGTGATGTTGTACTTGTCAAAGTATCGGTAATCGACATACAGCCCCTCGGTGAAGTTCTGCTGAGGCACCACGCCGTTCGGGTAGTACAGGATGCCGCTGTCAGGTCCGTAGTCCTTCTCATTCTTCGCAATAGTGTATGGAAGCCGACCAGATGGGTTGACATCACCAAATATCACGTCGGCCAGAGCATTTCCGGACTCTTGTCCTGGCAGATGCGCGATCAGAACACCCTTGACAGAAGGCATTTCGATCCACTCCTCGAGAATGATCGGGCCGACTGTATGGACAACGACAATTGTGTTCTCACACGATTCAGCGACCTTCTGCACCAGCTTGTCGCCGTTCTTCTGCGGGTAGAGATCGTTGCGGTCGCCTCTGATACCGTCCCACGACACGAAGCCCTCACCAGCATCAGAATTGACGAAGACGATGCACGTATCCTGCTTCGATGCGGTCTTCGCAGCCTCAGCATAGTCGTTGCTCGGGAAGTCGGTCACTTCGATCATGCTTTTGTTGAAGCCGTCGTGCAAAGCTTCCGCGGGCGATACGAGATATGGCAGCTCGACAGCGCCAGAACCCCAGCCCATCGTTAGCGTTCCCTCGTTGCAAGCACGGTCTTTGCACGAGTTGATGCCGTTCGGGTTCGGGAAAGCGTCCTCTCCGAAGATACCAATATTGACTTTGTCATCTCCATCCCTCTTCATGCCGCCCTTACCGTCCCTGCTAAGCGGGAGGATATCATCAGTATTCTTCACCAAGACGATGCCCTCAGCCGCTATCTGTCTCGCAAGAGCGTCGTGGTCGCCGCCTTCCTCAGTGTTGCGAACTGGCACGAACTTGTTCACCACGCCTGTCTCGTCGCTGTCTGGGCTTCCAGGATGCAATTCTCCAACCTCTTCATCAGTCCAGCTGCTGAAGTTCGGTCCGCCTCCCTCTGATTCTGGCGGCCACACCTTCTTATCGTCCTGGCCAAGCTGATACCAGGCTGCGACCACCCGAGTAGCCATGTCGTTCATCCTCTCCATTGGCACGCTCGTATTGAGGACGGCCTTTGTCAGTTCCGCGCCCCACAAGCTATCGCCATCCGCCCACTTCAGCCCATCGCCAGGCATTGTCATATCCAGACCTGCCAACGCGGATGCGACCCCTGACCGCTGCGCAAGCCAGTCACTCTGCACGAAACCCTGGAAGCCAAGCTCGTCCTTCAAAATGCCGCTCATCAGCTTGCTGTTCTGGCAGGCGTAGCTGTTATTGAGTTGGTTGTAGCTGCACATAACACTGCCAACCCCCGCCCTTACACTGTCCGCGAATGGCCATACGTAAATCTCATGCAAAGCTCGGTCATCAATATTCGAAGAAATCGCGTTCGGAATGCCCCATTCCCAAGCTTGTCGGAAGTGCTCCTGTTCGTTGGCCACGTAATGCTTCGCAGTCGCAATGACACCAGCATCTTGAATACCCTTGATAGTCTCAGCTGCCGCAATGCCCTGTAGGACTGGATCGGTGCCGAAGCCCTCCCAGTTTCGGCCTCCAGCTGGTAATCGACCAAGTGGTCCCATGGAGGGACCAAGAATGACGTGGATACCCTTCTTCTTCGCCTCAAAGCCATGCCCCTTGCCACGCTCATACATGAGCTTCTTGTTCCAGGTCGCGCCAACTGTTATTCCTGCAGGCCAAGCTGTCGCATTATCCGCGAATCGCAAACCCAAAGGTCCGTCCTGCAAGCATAGACTTGGGAAACCAAGCCGATCCACAGGTCCAGTGTTCCCAACACACATGCCCATTGACCATCCGATGCCCGTCGTGATGTTGACCTTCTCCACCAACGTCATCTGCCCAACAAGGTTCGCCGCCTTCTCATATGCATCCTTCCAAGCATCCACTGTGCCACCTCTCGGCGAAGGATACCATGGTTCCGACTCTCCATCATCCGGCACAGCGACCTTGTACACCCAGAGCCCTCCAGCGCTTAGCAGCAGGATGAGCGTGACAACGAATAGCAAGAGCAGACAACAACAGAACCGACTAGGTATAAGCCATCTCCGTAACCTGCTCTGTTGTCTCTGCTCCTCAAGCCATCTCAATGGCTGCTTTGTGAATGAGCCATTCTTCTCCGAGTCGTAGACAGAACGTAACGGTTGTGAAGTATCGTCGGTATATGGTCGGTCGTTTCGCAAAGGGTCGAGTTCGTCGATACCAGAAGCATTGGACTCGTTATCGTCAAAGGAGTTCCTGTGCATCAAATGGTCGTCCGAGTGATCCAGCTCGTAGGAATCCGGCGCCGCTAAAGGCATGTTGTAGACGTTGTCGAGGTCATGCAAGATTCAAGACTTTGAGACAAGTAATGGGTGTCCTTATAGGTGTTAATCCTGCAGCTGACTGTTACTCGTAAGGAATGTGTGCTGCAGCGAATGTTTCCACCGTCAAGTCGCTTTCGCTCACATGTTCCTCAGGAGAAGACGAAGGCTGCGGCTGCCCTGCGCCGGATCTACCCTGAGATAAGGATCTCGGGCCGTTGATCCATTCTGGTTCTTCTATCTTGACTGACTTCGACTTCAGCAGGCCCAGACGCCCTCTTGTCACGTTGTTGTCCGCATTCAGACACAAGAGGCGAATGACTGTCTTACTACCTCAAATGTTGAGGCTCGATGCCAGAGAAAGCACTTCGATATGCTTCAATTTATCCAGCTATGAGTAGAACCCACCACGCCCCCTTTTTACACATTTTCCATGCCGCATGTACCAGGAACGAGCCAATATGTATGACAAGCTGGCCCTAGACTCGGAGCGCCGTTGAGCTTCCTAGCTAATAGAGAGTACTCGCCGGCCAGGACAGGCGTCGGACGACGGACAACATGGAATATGTCTCTGCATGCAGCATACAATGCGTCACCGGAAACTCATTGTTTGCTGGTTTGGTGGCACAGAATCGACACGGTGAAGACTGTCCCGAGCAAATTTAGGTCTGGTGGGAGTACAACATGCCTTTCCAAGTCGAATAAGAGCTTTTGGAAGACTCGAAACAACTCACAAATCTCGAAACCTCAGTCGCCGGTCCAACGACTCAACCCTCATTTACCTCAAAAGCTGATATTAACAACATGAGCACCATGCGACACCAATCGCCCTGTCCTCACTGCCGGCATGTATAGTTCAAAGAGTCGTGGTGTGGGCTGGTGCTGACAAGATCCTACAGCTTGTTTCCTTACCGTCAAGCGTGCGATCAAAGGGATCCCTTATGTTTCAACAACACATTTGGTTTCCTTGGCAACAATCCAGGCGCGCCGTTTGCATCACTCCAAGAGATCCAGGCGCACGCCCAGCAGGCTGCCGAAATGGCGCAAGGTGGCCAACAAACCGCCAACGAACCTCAAGCTGTTCAACAGCCTGCGGGTGGTGCTGGAAATGCTCAGGGTGCTACTGCAGCGATGGCCAGTGATCAGCCGAGCATCGCATTGGCTGAAGGAGCCCAGGAACGACTGGCGTCTTCAGTCGGGAGATGGAGGCCAGCGCCGCCCAGTTGCCCACCTATGAGTCCGCGACGGGCGACCGAGCGCGGGGGTCGTAGAGATCAGGAGCTCATGGCGAGCATCGGCGACACTCTCGCGTCAGCTTCGGCACAGACTCCACGCAGACCAAATGGACGCGGAGATCGCAGAGACCAGGAGGCATCGTCTTCAACACAACCTGGCTCAGCAAGCCAGGCGGCCGAAAATCGAAGGAGTGATACTGGAGGTCTCCGACTGCCATCCTCACAAACGAGTCCTTCGAGGCGTTCTATGAGGATCTTAGGAAGGCGCAACCCGCACGAAGACCCAGGAGAGGGCCCTTCCGAGCGGTGAGTCTGTGGTATCTGGCCAGATTTGTAGGCCGCTGATTTGTTTCATTGATTCGTATTTGTGCTTGCCCAGGTGGCTATGTATCAAATGAAGTCTCGTTCAGTCGATCTCCACAGACGTCAAGGAAGCAGTAAGACGGCCGCTCCCCATATGCATACGGAGACTCTGAACGGTCTTCTCTGAAGCCTTCTTGCACCTCTCAAAAGGTCTCACGGACATGCTGCAGCAGCCGTGTTCGCAAACTTCCCACCTAAGAGCGTCCAGCCGGTACTCATGATTCCATAGCCTGAGCAGGTCGAAAGCTGCATGGTGTTGCCGGCGTTGATCAATCAGAATTTTCAAGATGTTGGAAGCGAGCATGCACGAGGCAGTCAGCATCTGCCACCAATGGTATTACCGTTTCGCTGGCAGCATGCAGTACCATTCTCGCTCGCACGGTGAGCTCATAAGCCAGGCTTGAATACTTCCCCTCAACCTTCCGACGCCGAGTTATCTTCTTGCTGTACATATTCGATCGTTTAACAGGTATCTCGGTCTTGCCGCCTCAGCCATGCGCAAGACTGTCCTCCTCCGTCACCCCGCGAGATGCTCGTTCGCGGCACGTTTCTGTGAGTGGACGAGCAGCCCCACTGCTTATCGTGCTATAGCCTGCGAGCTCGTGCAGCCAGTCGTTGCGGAAGAGAGATCGTTCGTCCAAGGCAGTGCAGAAGAGTGGGCAGGGAGTTGGAGCTGCTGTTGTAGGCCGTCGGTCTGTTGATACAGAGCGCCCGTATAGATAGATGGAGTAGCATCTGTCGTCCTCTCCGTTCCACATAAGTCGTGCTTCACGGAGGTCGTGCCGTGAATTTCAAAGAAGTCCGCCTTGCAAGGGCACATGCATCCAAATGAAGTGACGTCGCCCCGGCCGCGCCGTAATTGACCTCTATATAATTATTCCAAAGTTCTTCAATCCGTCGACAGGGCACAGGCCGGGCGTTGCTTATCCGTTAAGCTTCAGGTTCATGGTATCCCCTCCTTCTGATCGATTCTCTCACCATAGATATGCTTGGCGTGCCCCTCGAGGGGTTTGGATCAATAGCATATCTGCGACCGATTCCGCACCGATTCGATTCCTGCACCGAGCCATCGACGCACCGAGCAGATGAACCCACCGATCCGAGGGTTAACATAATGAAAGATGCAAACCAAACTTCCTCTTCGTGGTTGTTGAGTTTCTCTTCTCCTTGGTATTGCAGCTTAAGGTCTTCTCTTTTGTCCTTCTGAAGTTCTTCGAAATGTAGAAGTGATTTTTTTTTTTGTCCCTACTGCGATTGAGCTCCTGGTAGAAGGTCAAGGGTGTTCTCTTTTGCATGGTCAGAGGTCTGCTCGTACTCTCTTCCTCTCCTTATATTGGGAAGTTCGGGACAAGGCAAGGCAAGTAATCGAGAGGAACGTCGTACTCTCCAAGACTATGGGTCCAATCGCTGTGAGTACGTAGAAGATCCCACGGTGTATGAGCCAAGGGTGCAGTGTGTGTACGCTCCGGCAATGTCGTACGGAATATAGGAGTGGAGTGCCAGAATGGGTCGGGATCTTAGTAAACCTTGCATCCGGATCAGATCTGTACGCTGATACGATCCATGGCTTACTATCCCGCTCTCAAATGTTGCGGCCAGTCATCATAGGGTTTTCGATGCAGCAGATGTACTTGGTCGAGGAAGTAGACGGGATGAAAGGGAGGGGAGCGAGGGAGGAGATGTGGTCAGCATGTCACTTGGCAACTTTGTTTCGACCTCCAGTGCACTGGTCTTGATCTTCGCCACTTTCAATTGCGCAAGACAACACCATTACTGGTGAAAAGCATCAAAAGTCAGCCCCTCCATCACAAGCATGGCAGAGCCAGAGGGAACTATGGAGTTTCCGTGGCACCATGGAGTCTTTGACGCTCACTGCCATCCCACAGACACGCTGTCAAGTCTGCAGTCCATTCCCAGCATGCGGGCTAAAGTCTTGACAGTGATGGCGACTCGAGCACAGGATCAAGAGCTAGTGGCGAAGGCTGCAGATGAGTATGGGATCACTTCAGACGATGTAGCTGATGGAGAGATGAGTTGGAGGTAGGTCAGGCGCAAAGGTACTTTCATTCTGTCCATTTCAAAGACCGAGGGCTCACGGGACTTCTACAGAGACAGCCACAAGATCGTTCCGGCATTTGGCTGGCATCCATGGTTCTCACATCAGATGTTCGATGAAGACGAATATGATGGCGCACAAAGCCTTACTCTCGATCAAAAAGTGGCTCATTACCAGTCCGTATTGCAGCCGCGGTCAGAGGACATCGACTTCCTCCAATCTCTGCCCGAGCCGCGTCGATTCAGACAATTCTTGGACCAGACAAAGTCGTATCTTGAGCGCTATCCTCTCGCATTGGTAGGCGAGGTAGGCCTTGACCGGTCTTTTCGAATCCCCGAAGCATGGCTGCCTGGCGAAGTGGAGTCGCGAAATGATGCTCTGACTCCTGGCGGCAGAGAAGGACGCAAACTGAGTCCTTACCGGGTCAGCATGGATCATCAGAAGAAAGTGTTGCTTGCGCAACTTCGTCTGGCTGGCGAACTACAGCGCGCGGTATCCGTACATGGCGTACAGGCACACGGCATCGTGTACGAGACGCTGGCTGAGTCATGGAAGGGTTACGAAAGGAAGGTCCCGAGCAGAAGGGAGCGCAAGCGGCAGGAGTCTGCTACGAAGATAAATGCTGAACCAGAAGATGCTGCAAAGAGCGAAGAACCTAGGTCCAGATCAAAGCCTTATCCTCCAAGGATATGCTTGCATTCGTACTCTGGTCCCGCAGAGAACGTGAAACAGTATACGGCTGCTTTGGTACCCTGCCACGTCTTCTTCAGCTTCAGCACGACCATCAACAGCTGGGCTGAGGACGGAAATGGCAAGGTCGAAGCGGCCCTTAGAGCTGTATCTGATGACAGTGTGCTGATTGAAAGCGACCTGCATACGGCTGGGGAGAAGATGGACCAGTATCTCGAGAAGATTGTGCGGAAGATATGTGCTGTGAAAGGGTGGGAGCTTGAAGATGGTGTCGAGCGACTGGCGAAAAATTGGAAGGCATTCGTGTTCGGGACTGGAGATTGAGATGGATTGCGGCTGGCGATTGCTCTTCGGTACCCTGCCTGACCAATGTTGGCCCTACGACGTACCGATGAAAGCAGTACACTATCTTCATCGCTCGCTATTACACCGCCCACGATTGCTCCAAATCACCACAATTCTCGCCGCAGCTTCTTATTACATACATCTCTCAACCGACTCTCATTTGCTCATACACTCTCAGCCGGCGTGCAGCTAACAAACGTCAAGCAGCCATCCCGACTCTCAAACGGTCCATGCAGCATTCCCGGATTAGATGGCAAAGAACGTAAGACGCTGATGAGGAGTCCTACTCGAAGGGCAGCCTACTTCGGGAGTTGATGACCCAGTGCCGGACCCCGGCGAACTTCTTTGAATGAATTTAAGCACTCGGCACTTGCAGCCCCTTTGTTGTATCCGAAACACTGGTCCGGCCATACGACGCAACTATTGACAAAGGCAGATATTTGAGTGCTTCTGTTGCCAACGGAACAGAAGTATTTGCCTTCCGCGTTTAATTGTAGCTGTTGATGCGAATGTGCTTTGGTATGTCTCCCAGCTGCCATCTTGTCAGCGCCCATTTCCTTCAGCATCGTTTTGAGTGACATACGACCTGTATACAGACTTCACCTCAGCTTATACACTGTCATGGCTGTGCTCGTACATCGCATGATTCGTGCTTCCTGTGTGAATATGAGCAGCTTGGCTCAAGGCTCAGCCTTCCAAGGTCCACCCCCTTAGACCAATAGTAGCCGCTTCAGCGCTGGTATGCCGATTGACATAGTGTTTCGGACTTGCGGACCCTGTTCGTACGACCTCGAAATGCTCGAAACAGGACTAGCGCGGTGAATGCGTTTGCAGCTTCAGCCTCCTCCTGGTGGTCCGAGCGATATCAGTATTTCTTGAACTTCGATCTTCTTCCACACATTCCTTCCAAGGAACACTCTCATCCACCACCATCTGGCAACCATCTGCCATCCTTACCGACAATCACCTCTCTGCGGCAAGCCACAAACGTTTTTCGTTTGATAGCTGGACAAGAGACCCATGCGTGATGGCTAGCGAGCCAGCATTGTGGGCCGGGGGAGGTCACTCGGACGAAGATTGGTTCGACGAACTGCTTGACGAGTCGAGCCCTTGTGAGTTTGACCATCAAACTGTCGTGATGGGAATCAAGCTGACTCTCGATCCAGCTCATGCCCTGTCCGACGCAGACACTGTCGACCTCTGGCGTGGCCTCGCATCAGCGGAATCCTCTGGCGCCGTAGTCTTCCGTGGTCAAGCTGCTCCCGGCAACGGTCGCGAACGGCTGCAACCCCCCTCGTTAGCGAACAACTCTCAGGTCCCTTCGTTCCCCAGCTACCAACAGAATCAGCACCAGCGTTTTCACCCTTCGCATCAGCAAAGCTACGAGAGTGACGCAGGCTTCCGTGAACCCTTTAGGCAGGCACGGAGGTCTCAGAATCCAACTCAGTCGTACATGAGTGAGAGCTCGTTCAACCACGGCACCGTCAGTAACGACGTGCCCCTCGAAAGGACTATGATGGCGAACTACCCGCATGGTCAGAGTGGCGGTGAAGCTGCTGATCAGCAGAGCGTCAGGCCTTTCAATGCGTCTCAGCTACCTCATGTCAATAACGCGGGCGGTTACGCACCCGACCCGTTCCTGGCCGCGCCAAATCAGATGCAGCAAGGTTTCCAGTTCTCCCAAAACATGGCGAGTACTAGCCGTAATGTCGCCGGCATCGCTCAGGACCGTCACGTCCAGCGGAGCGGTTTCGAAACGATCTCACGACACCCTTCAGCACTAGGCTCTCATCAGCAATACGATTTCTCTCACTCACACAGCAACCCTCAGAACGACGGCACTGTTCGCACGTACGCAGGACCAGCGCCAACCAGGAATTTCCATCCATACCACGGGACCTCCCAGCCATCCGACATTCAACATCCACCTAACATCTTCCAGCCATACGGTAGCCCTCAGCCATACGGTAACCCTCAGAGATTAAGCGGTCTGCAAGCATTCGGCACCCTTCAACCACTCGGCTCGTCCCAGACGTACGGTCTTCCGCAGGCACACAGCATCAGTCAAGCATATGCACTTCCACCAGCCCAAACCGCACCGGTACAACTGTTCAACCCGCCACCTCCAGCGTTGGGTATGTCTCCTCGAGCCATCAACACCAACACCCCTACAAAGACCGGCGCTGTTTACGGTGGTCAGACACGCGAACGGCTCTCCCCTCGGGTTCGGATGCCCGTGAACATCGATATTGGACTCGTCGAGATCTGTACATTCCTTCCAGACGCTTTACAAATCCCGAAAGTTGCGATGCGCGCTGTGCACGCCGGCTGGACAGCTCTCGATCTTGCGAATGCGGTGGTGGAGCCTGTCGACGACTTGACCGCAGACAATATCAAGACTGCCCGAGGCAGATTCCAGAAGCAACTCGCCAAAGGCGCCAGCCTTTGTCACGGTTGGACCGGCACCTTCAAGCTGGAGAGTGTGCGTGCTCAACACGGTGCAGGCTTCGGGTTCGACATGACTTCTGCCAGCTAGGTACTGCGGGATCCTGCCGACTCGTTCGCCCACACCTCATTGGAGAGCATCTACAACTGCGTTGCCCAAGCCAACTGGCCCAAAGGTGCCGATCGTCTTTTGCTTACTCGATGCTTCGAATTTGCAGCGGCACATCGTCATCAGCTTGATCTGGATACAAGCCACTTCGCCTGAATCATCCAGCAACTTCCACAACCGCAACTTACGGTCAATGCTCAAAGCCATGACGGAGAGGCCTCGTTCGCCTCAAGAGGAGTCTGGCGTAACGTTTCTAGTCGCAGATCTTGGGTAGATGATACACTCGAGCAGCTCCAAGGACGGTATTGCAGCAGCACCACCGAAGTTGCTTTCAATCTTCAGCGGCGAATATGGATTGTTCTCGTCGGCTGCCCTCAAGCAGCACTGTCGTGAGGATGGAGTCGAGCCAAGCATAATAGACCCTGCGACGGCTGCTGCTTTTCCCAGCGATTCATCCTTTCCTGCGGTGGTATATAGCAATACCGGTTGTAACATATAATGTCCTCGTCTCGGTCCATGGCATGTGCAAACTGTAATGCTCGTAATAGGACTAGCGTGGTGAAAGTGCTTTGTCTCCTCTAGGTGGTCCGAGCGATATCAGCACTGATATTTAAAAGCCAAGCTTCGATCTCTTTCTTCACCTTCGTTGCAACTTGCAGCTACACCGACCACTCCCTCTGCTGGTGTCAAGCCGGCCAGCGCTCAACGACTCTCGATTGCTCCCAAAAGCGCCTCTTTCCCATCACTCCAGGCCTGATCGAAGTACAACTTCGTGATGGCCGACCAGGTGGATCGTACGCGGGCCGCGTACCAGACCAACGACCCTGATGGCGACCAAGAGACTTCGGCATACGCAATCGACTTCCAGAATTGGCAGCCAGACATGCAGCCCAGGACATACACAGGCTGGGCGCATCCAGTCGACCCGAGGGATGTTGGCCTCTTGTCATGGTTCGAGAGTGGTCGCACTTCGGAAGCAGTCTGCCATGAGCTGATGCGTGTACCAACAAACAGTAAGTTGCCATTAGTGCCGAGCTGCGGTACCATCCACAGTCCAGACTAACGTCAGTCGCAGCCAACATTCAATCAGGAGACCACGGCAGCCACACAGCCGGGCGTGCAGGGCCAACTGGGCGTCCTGGAATGTCAGGATTAGCACACAACCAAGCCACCGAGCAGTCTGCGGTAGTGATAGCGCCACCGACAATATCGCCAGGCATTGGGTTTGGCACCCATCAAGGGCCCGTTCCGGCAGACCCTGGGCATCTGACTAAAGCACCGTCTGACCGCCGGGTGCATCAGCGCAACAGTCCGACGTATCGCGAAGAGCTCTCTTACATCCGTCAACCTTTCGGCCAGGGACCATGGTCAGAGAGTGCTGGCACTATGCAGAGGAACGATCGTGCTGACACCACTCGTCCTTCGACTGTACATGTGCCACGCGAACCGACGGCTGAACTGTATGGTCAGGGTTCGATGCCTTCGTATTTTGGACCCGGTTCACTCTCGCAAGTCAACAGTATGCAAGGCAACTGCAACCAGTACGATCTGGCCCCAGGACTGATTGACTTGCCATCATATGGTTATGCTGCCGGTCACTCCAGTATGCCCATGCCCGCCCAGCGAGGCGTAGGATATCCTCCAGTCTTCCGAGTCCCGACTGTTGACTTCCAGACGTATTCGAACCAGGCTTCCGTGTTTCCAGAAGGGTACCAAGTCATCGACCCGCATGTCCAACAGGATCCAGTCTTCCCAGGAGGGACTCAAGGCGTACATCCAAACCATTATCACAGCCAGGCTTTCATGGGAGGGTCCCAAGTCTACCCAACGAATTTCTTCCACACTCCAGCCGCCCCACCACCTGCCACCGTCGCTAAGTGGCAACCGTTCAACCCGATACCACGAGCAGCAGAGCGCATGCACCTGCGTTCAGTCACTAATGCAACGCCAACCAAGAGCGGCGCAACTTACGCTGACTTGACGCGCGTAAGGCCCTCAGTAGGGTGTCAGCCGCCGCCAACCAACATCAACGTCGGGATGATCGAAATCTGCACGTTCTACCCGAACGCGTTCCAGATACCAACAGTAGGTATGCGTGCAGTACACGCGGGCTGGACTGCGCTGGATCTCGCAAAGGCACAGCTAAAGCCTGTCGGACTGCATGATTCCAAGGGCGAACTTGACAGAGCCAGAGGGCGCATTCAGAAGCAACTGAAGGAGGGCGCCGAAGTTTGTCACGGCTTGCCAGAGAAGAGGGCTTTCAACGGACATCTGGTGCGTGCGGAGCATAGTGCTGGGTTTGGGAGCGACATGACAGCCGGAAGTTAGGAACTCCGCAGCTCAGAAGTCGACTCCTTTGCCCACATGGCGCTCAAGCACATCTATGAGCAAGTCCCACGAGGTGGATGGCCAGCAGGTGCTGATGGTCTGCTGCTGACACGGTTTCTCGAGTTCGCGGCTGCCCATGAGCATTTGGATCTCGATACAAGCCACTACGCCCGCATCATTAATTACCATCAGTGGACAGCTCCAGCGATCGATCAACAGACGCATGATCGGGAGGCGCTTACACGTCTGAAGGTAAGCCTGGCATGAACGTTCGAGTGAGACTGAGTGCGGCGAAGATGGATCGGCGTGCATTTAGCCAGCAATTGGACAAGGTGGACTGGAGTGTGGCGGCAGCAAGGAACTTCGCATTGGCCGTTGCAGCGGCAATTATGAGCATGAGCTTGGTTTAGGTTTCTTGAGTACTTCGAAGAGTCGTTGTTATCGGCTGCCTCTCCAGCAACACCGTCGGAAAGATGGGTCAGGCGAGGCATGATAGACTCTGCGACGCGGCGACGGCTCCTGCTTATCTGAATGATTCTTCTCTTCGGCAACGGTACACAGATCATTACTCGTTGCAACCTAAGATTCTTTCAGATTTCTCCGTTGTACATCAGTCTCAGTTGCCTTGGGTGTCTTGATTGCTGCTCTCCCTTTGAGAAACAAACTTATATCAGCACCATCCGCAGCTTAGATAGAAAGATCAACGGTTCAGTTCAGAACATGACCTCGCCATGATTTCCGTCCCATCTCAGCTCGTGCAACCCCGAAATGCTCGAATGAGGACTAGCGTGGTGAAAGTGCTTTGTTACCTCCTGGTGGTCGGAGCGATATAATGGCCAAGCTGCGACCGTATAATCTTGCTTTCTTCACCTACCGACTTTGACCTGTCCGAACACGCCTTTCCACCGAAGCACTGAGCACAACAACGGCCGAACATGAGCTACGTCGTGCCAGACAAGAGGCCGGTGGATTGGTCGCGGATCTGGGACGGATGTCCGCGTGATCCCGACTTCGAACCGCAAGACAACACTCCGGTTGATTCGAGAGAGGTCGGCCTTCTGCCGTGGTCGCAAGGCGGTCATTCGGCCACAGCGGTGTTCCGTGAGCTGTTCTTCGGCGTGTCCAGCACACGTAAGTTCAAACTTCACCTTCGACAAGCGACGACCCGTGTGCCATGCGCCGTCATCACTGACTTGTGTTGGCAGATCCAGCGATGGTTGACATTCCCGAGTTAGAAGGACATCCACTCACAGGACCGTCAGCTGCATCTCCCGGCCAGTCATCCTCTGGTATTGCGCGAGATGGGCCACCCCGACACTGTCCAAGGCTCACACCCTATGGAGGCATCCTTCCAGGCCTCCGCGGCCGATCAGCAAGACCAACAAAACCCACAAACTCACCAGGGGTTCCCAGAAGCAAGCGAACCTCCAGTGATGTCAGGCGCCGAGCTCGATAAGTGGGTGCAGGACTTCACAAACACTCTGCCGCTCATCCTGAACCTCCTTGATGGTTACAGCCAACAGGACGTCCAAAGCATTTCGTCTCCACGCAACACACCGGTCCAGCGCATCTTCCTACAGCAGATGGCTCGTGTTGCACAACAGGATCAGCCCCAGCAGGTTGGCACGCAATCAAAGCCACCAGCGTTCGGATTCCAGTATCAGCGGCACCAGACCGACGGTGTGGACACGCCTGATCCGACCGGAGCGCATATGGGTCTCGGTCAGCAGCCTGCATCAACAGCCCCGAGTGCTCCAGGACTTGATGTTCCTGATCAATCTCAGTATCAGCGCGCCGTCCCCTTCCCTTATGGGTCTGCTTACCCGCCACGGTCTGCTCCACAGCTGCAACAAGCAGTCCTTTTCACAAGTGGGTCACCATTGGGGAATCAGAACGCCCCACAGCTGCAACAAGCGCTCTCGTCCACGACCCTCCCTACGTCCTAATATCAGCACTCTCGTCAGCAGCAACACCATCCCTTCGCTCCGAGCTCTGTGTACCCGCCCATGAGTAGTACTTAGCAGCAGCAAGCGATTTCAGTCAACCACTCCCTGCATCCGAGATTCAGAACACTGCTCAGCAGCAACACGCTGTTTCCTTCCCATAAGGCCCTGCACATGCGGCCATGAGTGTTTCTCAAATGCAGCAAGGCTGGCCTTTTGACCATGGTCTCGCGAACGTGCCTCCGGCTGTCCGATTCAACCGACCACCTCTTGCAACACGTATGCCGCCAAGAGGTATTGATCGAGCTACTCAGGACAAGAATGGCAACACCTACGGTGAACAGTCCCGCGAAAGGCCTTCTCACAAGGTCCAGCCGCCTGCTGGTATCGCAATCGGCATGATTGAGATCAACACGTTCTTCCCGAACTGGGTCACGCTGCCGCGGGTAGCCATGCGGGCGGTTCATGGTGGATGGGGCTCGCTCGACCTGGCTAGAGCCCAGCTTTGTCCCCAAGGCCTCCTGGACGACAAGGCGAAGTTCGACACCAGTAGGTCGAGGATCCAGCACCAGCTACGCACGGGTGCGAAGATGTACCACGGCTGGACGGCTCACTTCAACGGCGAGAAGGTGCGTTCGCAGCATAGTGCTGGCTTTGACTTCGACATGACTTCCAGTAATTAGGTATTACGGAAGCCTCACGAAGAAGTCTTTGGCCACACTAGCTTGAAGGAGGTATACGACCAGGTGTCTCGCGCGAACTGGCCGACTGGAGCCGACCGTCTTCTCCTGACCCAGTATTTCGAGTTTGCGGCTGCCAACGAGGGTCTAGACCTTGACACGAGCCATATCAACTGGATCGTTCAAGTGAATGGTTGGACTCATCCGGTCGTCAACCAGCAGACTCATGACAACGAGGGGCTTGTTCGCTTCAAGACAAGTCTGGCGTGAAGGACAGGCGGACGAGAGCGAGAAGAGTAGGCCAATGGAGAACACCCGCAGCGGCATTGACAGATATGCCTGGAGCAGTTATGAGGCGCGTGTTTTAATTTAGTCCAGAAAGGGCTACTTCTGCCATCTCATCAGCTGCGGGGCGGATGGTGGTTAAGTATGAGTCGAAGTCTTTCATTGTGAGACGATGGTACTGCGATGGGCGATGAGAAGCAGTGATCATGCAGCAAGAGGTACAATCGCAGTACTTATACCAAGTGTTCTACTCGTTGCCTCTTCTCAGTCTCTGTCGTTGAAAGCTGTACGCTTTCCAACTCCTGACCTTGTAACACTTGTTTGCATTGTGTCTTCAGGCTGTATTCCTCCACCTCTCCACCCATCTCCCCGAGCAGCAACAACGAGGCAGGCGTGGGTATGGCCAGGCTGGACAACGGAGTCGCCGGAAAAGGTACAGTGTCGCGGAGTGTAGTACATGTAGAGTGATGACATGTGGGAGAGAAGCCGGAAGATCCGCAGGACGGGGCGAACCGCTGTCTTGGCGATGCGAGTGATGGAGGGGATAGCACGATCCAACCAAGACCGCCATCCACACACCGCGCACCGGGCGCATTTGCAGTATCAACCTGTCATCGTTTCCTGTCATCAACGCCCTTCCCTCCCGCTCACTACTATCCAATCCATATGGAAGGGCTCGAGAAGGGCCAGCTGCAGGAGCAACGAAGCTTGTGCCCGTCATTCGGCCTTGACTTCCACGCAGGCCCAGGCCATCTACCGAGGGGTGACTTCCATGCTTGTTCAGATTGCCCTGCTTCGACCTTGAAGCTTTGCCTCCGGCCATGACCGTGACATCTACTCGTCGCCTCTTCCGAGGAGCGAGGACGAGCTACGCGTTGTCCATCGCGCAACTCCGTGTTGCCAACCTCCCTTCTCAGTTGATATCAGCGCTCAGCAATGGACAGACCCCTCCATTTCCACTTGGCAAGATAAGTATCTCTTCTCACATTCGCCGGTCAATGGACCTCAACGAACGGCTCCCACACTCCACAACATCGAGACCGATCAAGAGTCCCACGGGTGCGCCTCCAAGCCACTCAAAAGTTCAACCTTGGCAGTCTTGGGAGGCGTCGACAGTAGAAGCTCGACCCTCCCCCAGCGACAAGCAAGTCTGGAGTTACAATGACCTCACTTGGCTGTATCGTCTGCCATCCGCGAAATGGAAGGTGTTTGCCTTCCAAGGGCCTATCTCCCAGAAGTCAATCACCTCCATCCAATTGCGAGCCACGGCCAAGGCTTGGGCTTTCGTAAGGAGAACCAAATTGAAGACCTTGTCACCTTGGCCACACGTGCCCAGTCCCACTTCCGCCGCGGTCGACCCAAGGTGTAGGTTCGTCGCGTGAGGGGAGGAGAGCAAACGAGGGTGGGTCGAGGCGAGATATCAACCGTGTCCCCAGGCTGGGGTACAAATACATGATGGCTGCCCGCGATCGCCATTTGCGCGCCCGCACATCGTCCCAATCCCGTGGCACACCCCATTCTTCCTCACATGTCTGAATCCGTCGGGCCCTACGAGGCCAAAGACAGCCATTCGGTGTCTGGGCCTGAAAAGGGCTTCAACAATGTCGTTGCTGGCGAAGGCGACGTTATCACCGTCAAGAATGCAGAACGCCCTGACCTCATGACCCGTATGGGTCTAACGAAAGAGTCTTTCGAGCGCAGAACGCTGGCCGACAAGCACAATCAGCTGAACAAGACCCTCAAGACGCGCCATCTGAACATGATTGCCATTGGAGGTTCCATTGGCGCTGGTCTCTTCGTGGGCTCAGGCAGTGCACTCTCGACTGGCGGGCCTGGCGCGCTTCTTCTCGACTTCGGAATCGTAAGTACGGTGGATCGTTAGTCTCTCTACAGTACGCTGACTATTGCAGGTCGGTGTGATGATCTTTATGGTGGTCTATGCACTCGGCGAGCTCGCGATCCAATATCCAGTCTCCGGCGGCTTCTACACCTACTCTGTCCGGTTCATCGATCCTTCATGGGGCTTCGCCATGGGTTACAACTACGTCTTCCAATGGGCCATCGTCGTGCCTTTGGAACTCACCGTTGCCGGCTTCACCGTGGGGTATTGGCAGGTCGACGTTTCTGTTGGGGTTTGGATCACGATCTTTTTCCTCGCCATCGTCTTTATTAACATCTTCGGCGTGCTGGGATACGCCGAAGAAGAATTCTGGGTTTCTGCCCTCAAGCTCATTACCATTGTCATCTTCCTGATAATGGGAGTGATCTTTGTCTGCGGTGGAGGCCCATCCAATGGTGATTACAGCGAATACTGGGGTGCGAGACTTTGGTACGACCCTGGCGCCCTGGCTCAAGGATTCTACGGCATCTGCGCTGTCTTCGTGACGGCTGCTTTCTCCTTCTCTGGAACCGAGCTTGTTGGGTAAGACTCCCCTTCGCAAAACCATAACATCCTGAGAGATTTGCTGACGCTTCTGCTTCTCTTACAGTCTAGCAGCCGCAGAGTCTGAAACTCCTCAGGCATCACTTCCCAGCGCCATCAAGCAGGTCTTCTGGCGTATCACGCTGTTCTACATTTTGGCTTTGCTTTTTGTCGGGCTCCTCGTACCTTACACCGACGACCGCCTCCTTGGCGCCGGCTACATTGACGTGACGGCCAGCCCCTTCGTCATTGTGGCCGAGAAAGCTGGCATCCCGGCCTTTGGATCTTTTGTCAACGTCGTCATCCTCTGCTCCGTCCTCTCCATCGGCATGTCCGGGGTCTATGGTGGCTCGCGGACACTCACCGCTCTGGCCGAGCAGGGCTACGCACCAAAGATCTTCGGATACATCGACCGCGCTGGTCGCCCTCTCGTCAGTGTCTCGCTCATCCTTGCTTTCGGACCAATCGCATATATTGGTCTGGCCAGCTCGGGAGCGGTCGTCTTTGACTGGCTGCTGGCGTTGTCCGGTCTCGCGGCGCTCTTCACCTGGGGATCCATCTGCCTTGCGCACATCCGCTTCCGCGCGGCGTGGAAGTACCACGGTCACAGCCTGGACGAACTTACGTGGAAGTCCCCGTTCGGTGTATGGGGCTCGTGGCTTGGTTTGTTAATCATTTTCCTCGTGCTCGCCGCCCAGGTAAGCAATTGCCCGAACATTCTTGACGGACGCACGCTGACGACACTTTCGCAGTTCTACACCGCCGTCAAGCCTATGGAGGCAGAGGCCTTCTTCAAGTCCTACCTTGCGCTTTTCGTCGTGCTGCTCTTCTACGCCATCGGCTACGCATGGAAACGCGAAGGCTGGCGCAAACTCAGCGAGATCGATGTCGACTCCGGCCGACGTGTGCTCAACTTTGAAGAGTACGAGAAGCTCAAGGCGAGGAAGGCTGGGTGGCCTATGTGGAAGAGAGTGCTCGATTACTTGTTCTAAGAAGGAGGGCAGATCCGCTGGGGAGACTGGACTGTTGCTGCTGGCTCGGCGCGTTGACCGATGCTTCTCCTATACGTAGCTAGACCAGATGCCTCTCGAGTATACTACTTCGCATTCGAATGGACGTTTCCAACATCGAATCTTGCTGCTGCGCATGCACTGCAACTTCACCTCGCGTGCTCAATCACGTGCGTTACTGCCATTCCACACATTCCACCAGAACACAGCCACCCGGTAATTTCAGGCACAATGCAAAACTTCAGGCAATCTAGCCAGACGTATATACGATGACAGACTGACTCATTCGTCGGACCGCAAGGCGCAAGGCGACACTGGCCAGCATCCTTGACGAAGGATTGGGTGGCAGTGACTCAAAACGAATGCGAACGCGGCAGACGACTTCAAAGTCATCTTGAATCACAATGAGTTAAGGAAGAAGATATCTGCTACAACGTCTATGCTCCGGCTAATGCACTATCCCAAGCACCTCAGCCAAGCTCACAGAAGAAACAGCATCAGGATTTCTAGGCAAGTAAGCGTCGTTGCAACTTGAATTCAACCGACTTTGCTTAATCGTCGTATGGACGACGATCTCCACAACACAGACACCAGAGAAGAATTCCACCCACCATGGCTCAGCCGCCCGCGCGACTTTGTGGACCGGAGAGCCGAAGAAGCAGAGGCATTCAATGAGCTCCTCACCCAACACCTGAACACATCTGCACAGACATGGGATTGCGACGAGACCGGCTGGACGTTCGAACTTCGGCATGTGATCCTACACATCCGCCATCAGGAAGCTGGCCACCTTGTCGCCAAAGCAGAGAGCGAGGTGATGCCGCGCAAGTATCTTGACGGTTTGAGGTGTGAGCTTCGGAACATGCCTTGGGAGGCGGATGAGAACAGTTGCACCACGCTTGATCTCGCCTGTGCACTGCTTCGGATGACGGAGGAGGCAGTAGCTTGGGAGGAGTTGTGGAACCAGAAGCTGGCCGCCTATGATGGACGGCGAGCTGCAGCAACCAAGAACGCTCGCGAGTTCGAACAGAAGTTGCACAGAGACGGCAGCGATCGTCGTGGTTTCGACGCCCGCTCGATTCGAGGCTACGACTCTGTGCTGGCGAATCCTTATGGCGGTGAGTCGTTGATCGGAGTCGTGATTTCTAGATACCAGAACTGACACCCTGGCTAGTGAACTTCAGCAGCCTGGATGACACTGCAGCCTTCCTTCTGGGCAAGCCCATCGAGCGCATCTGCAACATGATCAGCACCGACTTTCGCATCATTCACGTGGAACCAGTCTTCCGCGACAACCTCGTCTCGTCCTTTCTCAAACGCAAGGAACAAATCTACGACCAGCTCAGTCGCATGTCTCGTGGTTCGCTGCGGCAGAGTGTCCCAACGACAGTCATCCGGCCAAATTCAGTTGAGGACACCAGGGAGGGGCTAGCGCGACAGCTGTCGATGCCAAAAGTCACCTTTCATGGTGCTCCAAGGGCGGTTATTGAGTCCATCGTCCGGTACGGCTTCATCGTTCCAGGCTCACAGGTTGGGAACAGCGGCATGACGATAAGCGTACGATGCGGCGCAACGTACGGGACCGGCATCTATTCGAGCCCAGATGCAGCGTTCGCATCCCATTACCTGGACTACCAGACCGGCAACGTCCGGCTGTCCAAACCAAGCGAGATTCCTGGCATGCGACTCGTTGTTTGTGCGACGTTGATGGGCCGAGCTATGACGGTCGACTCGGCAGAAGCGAGGAGGGTGAAGGGCGTACTGAGTCCACATGCTCATTCGCACGTTTCCGGAGATGGGCTACAGTACATCGTCTTCGAGAGCTCGCAGATTATTCCGTGCTATGTTCTCCATCTGGACTACGGCGCTGAACACGCCAAAGCTGAGTTCGAGAAGCTGGCCAGTGATCCGACAGTGTACTTCCAAAAACGCTCGAAGAAGAAGAAAGTGGACAGCACAGAAGATGCTTGGGATGAGTGGTACAGATCAGAGCCAGGGGCAATCCAGGATAAGAAGGTGGCATTGAAGGCCGCTGCGAGGAAATGGTTTCCTTACGGTTATGGCCCGGCGCAGGGGAACTCCTTCGTCATTGAAGATATGGCGGAGCACTCTGATGATGAGGAGGTGTACGGCGACTTCCAGCACCAGCGTATCGAACAGGATGATGAGATCCGAGAGGCGAGGCCGGCGAAGGGTGGGAGTTGGTTGGATCAATATCAGACCGTGAGGAAGACACAGAAGGAGCTGGACTTCGGCGTGGATGGAGGTATGTAGGTCGGTGAATGCCAACAGACTGGTGCAGAGCTGCTCTATCGGGAGGACGGGTTTACCGCGTAGGTTCGATGTTGCAGTATGAGTTCATTGAAAGGAAAACCTTGAAGTGAGTCTGCTCGAACGAGCGAGGGCTCCTCAAAATGCTCGCGGCCCAGCAACAAAGCTTCTGGCCTCGATCTCTAGCCAGGGAGCGAATGTTGAGCTCAGGCTCCATCGCAGGAGGCTTCTCGAGTCTTGAGACCTGTGAGAACAAGTACTGTACAAGCCTTCGACCGTTGCGGGTGTTCAGATCGTCGTGTTGGGAGAAGTGCTTCAGCCGCGAGAGCAGAGCAAAGTTGAACTCACAGCAAGTCACGCTAGGCCAAATTAGATTTTATGCAAACCTTATGAGCTTCGCGCTCACAACGCGTTTGAATGCATCAACTACCTTACATCTCACAGCAAGATGCCACCACGAAAGAAAGCAAAGGTGTCCCATGCGGCATCGCCGACACCAACATCACAGCCCAAAACACCCACACCAGCAGAGAGCTCGCCCAACAAGGCGGCAGAGCAACTAATCAACGACCCATGGACCGACGAAGAAGAGATCGGCCTCTTCAAAGGTCTGATGCGCTGGAAGCCAACTGGTATGCTTCTCTGACCCTGACATAGCATGTAAGCGGTGCTGATGAGGCGAGCAGGCTGATGGCAAGCTAGGTATTCACAAGCACTTCCACCTTCTGTCCCTACACCAGTTCCTGCTAGATGGCGGCTACATACACCCGAAGAGTGAGCACACAAAGCCGGCTGGCATATGGCGGAAGCTCGAAACACTCTACAACCTTGAAGCTCTGGACGAGCGCGAAGACGCGCGACAATTGGATAAGGTGGAGATTCCAGCTGCGTTCCGCATCAAACGCACAGACAGCGACGAGGAGATGAGCAGTAGTGCGGACAATGATGCGGATGCATATAGTGACGCGGCGAACAAGATTGACAACGACGACTTTGAGCTTCCGGATGCTGAGTTTGGGCAAGAGAAATGGGAGCGCAGACTGGAGGGCGGCAAGCAGAGGAAGGGCTCCAGCCCAATGGTGCTGCCTGAGTTGAACAAGGCGAGTGAGCCTCCTGTACGGTTTACGCCTAGCTTCAGCATCGAGCCAAGCGAAGCTGCCACACCTGCGTCAAGGACTGGAAGACCAAGGGCTGGTACAGCAGGAGCGAAGGGCAGAGCAGCTGCCGCTGCCGCCTCTGCTGCTTCTGGTACAAGGAGATCTACGAGGCATGCTGAAAGCGTCGCGGGTGATGAGGAGCAAGACGACGAACAAGAGGATGAGCCGGACGAGGACGAGGACGAAGAGGAGAGTGGGCAGAGCAAGCAAAGCACACCTGCGCCTCGCAGCACGCGCAGCACGAAAGGTGCTCGCGGGCGTCCGGCACGTGGCCAGAAGCGTCGTGGCAGAGGCAAGTAGAGCTTTCAAGAAATAGAACACCCTTGTCTGTCTCAAACTTTGCCATGTCTGCCTACGCTGCCCTCGTTGAAGAAGAAACATGATGTCGCGACACAAACTTTTCAGCAAACTTCGGTGTGTGCATATATGGAGCTGCCGCCGCCACCGCTGTACTTTCTCATCGCCATCTCCCAAACATGCAGCCTCAAACCAGCGCTCAGGTGCTCGAAGAAGCGATCAAGAAGCCTCGAAGCAACTACAACTCGGAAGAAGAGATGATTGCAGCCATCCGGTAAGTAGCAGGGTGCGAACGCCTTATCTTCCTTCAGTTCAATTGCTCCATGGAAATACACTCATTACGTTTGGCGTACTGACGGACATTTAGGTTGAACACCAACTTGACGAACGCCGACCTGCAGAACGGTGTCCGAATTGCGCGTGGCCAGTATCAGACCGCTGTCGCAGAGCTCGTACCCGCACTCCGTGCCGAAAAGGACCGATTGAGCGAAGAGTGCCACAGGCTGAGTGACCAACTGGTGAGACTGAACGACGAGCTGGATGCTGTTGAGGTGGATTTGACCAGTATGCAAAGCAAGACCAACGAGCAGATGAAAGATCATATCTGCACCACGGTATCTAAGCAATGGAACATGGAGAAGGAGAAGAAGAAGCTTGTGGAGGGGCAGGCGAAGGTTCCAGACTACGTTGAGAGACCAGGAGGTGGGCCGTTGAATGGGCATGCAATGGGTTAGCATGGAAGGTGTGCTCGAATCTAGCTTTGGAATGTGGTCGTGAAAGCGGCCGGCGCGGTTGCGGCACTGAAAGGGTGGATAAGGCGGTGTTTATGATTGTAAGGGCGGCTGTTACTGCAGAAGCAGCCACCAATTCTTCGATAGCATCCAGAAATCGAGTCGAAGAAGCGAAATCAAGGGAAACTGGGTTGAATGATTGTGCCAACCATGTCGCGATCCCCGATGACCCAGTCGGTCAGATGGCTTCTTCCTCTCCGGTATCTAAATCTTCCGACCGGCGTCCCAGCAGTCCAAGCATTCCAGGAGTTCTGCATTACTGCCGACACTTGATATCCAAAAGTCAGCTATGGTGGGTGATTTCCTGAAGGATTGTCACGTCGCAAACGACCCGCTTGATCAGTCCAAGGGTCAAAAGCAGGAGATACAGGACGTGGATTCGTTCTCTCGCGCGAACAGACTTGCAATGAAGAAGTCCGCCCTCATCGCTGGGTCAGTGAACGTCGTCGCCAGCGCGAGAGAGCGCGATGTGTGAAGAGAAGGGAGAGCAATATCGAATAGGCGAAGAAGAACGTGAGGTCGGATGATTTTACCTCCGTTCCGTCCATCTCCCAAAAGCAGTCTACAATCTTTCAAGCACAACCTTCACAACATCATGCTCGAAGGTCATGGAGACACTTGATGGCACCGAATGGGACGTGGTGATAGCAGACACTGGGTTTGCATCCTCTTTGCTTGCTCTGTAGGTGACCGCAGACACCCATGGCTGCTAACTTTGGCTAACTAACATAAGCCCACCATGAAGCTCTCTCTCGCGCTCCGGGAAGCGCATCCTCCACCTCGACCCGAATGAGTACTATGGCGGCGCTGAGGCTGCATTGAGTCTCGCTGAAGCAGAAAGCTGGGCCTCGCGATGCGCTGAAGCTACGGACACCGCGGTGTTCAGTCACGCTTCGATCACCAAACCACCTCCAAGCGGCGAGAAAAAGCTGCTGTCTTCGCGGGCATACTCTTTGGCTCTTGCGCCGCATCTGATCTACGCGAAGTCCAACACGGTGCCGGCGTTGGTGTCCTCGCAATGCCACAACCAGCTGGACTTTCAGGCAGTCGGCTCGTGGTTTGTGCTGGACTCCGCGAGCAATGCTCAATCAGGCCTGATCAGAGTACCAAGCTCGAGAGAAGATGTTTTTCAAGATACAGCATTGTCACTAAAAGCCAAGAGAGGCTTGATGAAGTTTCTCCGATTCGTTGCGAACTTCGAGGAGCAGACGGAGACATGGCACGATAGCAAGGACACGCCTTTTCCTGCCTTCCTGGAGCAGAAGTTTGCCCTCCCAGCTGCATCGCACGGACCTATCCTTGCCTTGACTATGTCCACTGCACCAAGCTCCACAACCTCTACTGGATATGCTCTACCCAGGATAGCCCAGCACCTCAGGAGCATTGGTATTTTCGGTCCTGGCTTTGGTGCCGTTCTGCCCAAATGGGGCGGTCTCGCTGAGATCGCACAAGTCGCATGTCGAGCTGGTGCCGTTGGTGGCGGCGTATACGTGCTCAACAAAGCCATCAAGGAGGCGACCAAGAGTGAAGAAGACAATCGCATCACTCTAAAGCTCAGCGATGCCGAGCAAGTGTCAACGACTTGGCTATGTGGCTCCGCAGAGACAATGCAGACGATATCTCCTGCTCCTGACGCCTCTTCAGGAAGCTCTGCTACAGTCTCGAGGAGCATCTCTGTCATCTCATCGCCACTGAGCGCCCTCTTTCCTTCGACGTCTGAGGGCGGCGTCACACCTGCAGGAGCCGTGGTTGTGGTACCGTCCTCCAACAATGATGGTCCGCCAGTCCACATACTGGTCCATACTTCTGAGGCAGGAGAGTGTCCGATGAATCAATGTAAGTCTCTGCCTCCTCTTTTGCTCTCCACCTTCGCATGATGAACAAACCTTGAATACTTATCTACATTGCCTGAATTGCGCTGTTGAAAATAATCTCTGACAACCTGATAATGCGACCCCGATCTTCACCATTCCTAAGGACTACTGGGCCGAGAACACACACTAACCGTATCAAAGGTGTCGCATACGCTTCCGTTGCATTATCATCAGATGTTGGGTATGCTCAAATCGATCAAGCCATTGCGAATATGCTATCAAACTTCGACCAAGAACCAACGCCAGAAGTGCTTTGGAGACTACAATATCAGCAGCGGATTCCGGCCGCGACTGACGGTGCGGTTCTCATGGATGGCAGTTTCATCAGTCTACCGGCAATGGCTGGCGACCTTGTTCTCGCAGACTCCGTCTTGAATGGCGTGCAGCAAGCCTGGCAGAGCATTACCAACGAGGACGAGAACATGTTCATGAAGTTCACGAGTAGATCAGAAATGGAAGACGAAGAATGATTCTTTCTACGGCTCAAGCCACTATTCATATTACATGCTCCTACAACCGCACCATGCGCGACACCGCAGTCGCGCTCATCAACGGCCTGTACTTCGCTCGCGGCACCACGTCGCCTTCCAACTGAACGGCGTACGGGGCGCCTGATATACTCCGCAATGTTCCGATCCGATTATTTTTCTACGCAGCCTTTCATGCCGCAGCGTAGTAAGCCTTCACTAAGCTTTCAGGACCGCTGACTTGTAACGGTAAGGCAACCAGGATACTTTGATCAGGCTGCCAAGACCATTTTGTACGGCGAAACAATGCTGGTGCATGTGCTTCTGCTCGGCTGTCGGTCGAACGGCGAAAGTCTTTTCAGTATGAGCAAAGATCCGCTCGTAAAAAGCGTCCGCGGAGTTGTGGGGTGATGATATTGACAGCAGGCCAAGATTCCCATTTACAGCAGATTTATACCGCGAAAACCCTGCTTCCTCAAAACTGCGCCCGGCAAGCCAGCCGACCGAATGAAGGGAAGTGAGCATTACGTCCGTATCCGGAGCGTAGCGTAGGGAGGATCCTATACGCGATACTCGAGCACGCGAGGCATATACTCGGGCAAAAAGGAAGCAATGAATGGTATAGCCAGCCGCAGGCGGACGTAGCGACCGCGACCGAGAGGGAGCAAGGGCACGCTCCGAAGCTGATTGGCTCAAAATGCCAAGGTGCGGTAAATGGGAAAAACCACCTGCGGTAAATATCATTACCCGGAGTTGTCTTGGATCAACACAGCTATGCTGAGGCCACCCAATCCGAGCCTTGGCCCTAACTTTATTACTGTAAGTTAGCCCCCGGCAAGGCTCAATGGGCCGCCCAACTCAGCTCTCTGCCAGCACAACGCCAAAGCACGCATGCTTCAGGAGATCCATTCTGCTCGCCTTCAATGATATAAAAGTAAGCCTCTGCACCTGCCAGAGTCTTCTTTGCACTTGTCGACGTAGCGATGGAAGGACTGAAAGACTGAAAGTCGTGCTTAACTATTCTGTCGCTACCACTGGAAGGTGCTTCACTCTCGAAGACATAGAACGGCCATTTTGATCGCATTCAGAATCATCGTAAGTCACACAACATCGGAATATCAATCATGGAGCGACATCGATATGAGGACCTCTCTGTTATCCCAAGTCTAACATTGCCTCCGCCAGCATTCCCCAAACTGCACAACATGAACAGAGGAGAGTGGCGAAACGGACTGTGTGGAGGCGTATGCGGTGGTAGCTGCGGTGTTTGTGTACGTATTGGCTTGCTTTGCCTTTACCTGATGCTGACGGTTCGAAGCTGGGAGCGTGGTTCTGCTCTTGCTGTCTTTATGGCCGAGTCTACCAACGGCTCAAGGCGTATCCGAACGATGTCGAGCCATCGAACTGCAATGGACCTTGTTGGCTCATGTGCGGTGCTGGTTGCATCCATCTGCAGTGGGTTCCTGCGCTTCTGACGCGGATTGACACTCGCAGAAAATTTGGAGTGGAGGGCAATGGGTGAGTAGACCTTGATCGGGACAGAGAGTTCAACCGGCTGAGCAGGGATATGCCAGGTGTCTTGACTGCCTTGCCTCATATTTTTGCTATCCCTGCACTCTGGCGCAGATGGATACCGAGCTCAAGGACCGTGTCAAGGCAAATCAGGAACCTGAAGTCAATCACGAAGGCTACCACCAGCCACAGGGCGGTATGGTGTATCAACAGCCGCAGCAATATCCTCAGCATGATATCTCGCAACACCCACCTCAGCAAGGCCATTATGAGGGACCGCCGAAATACTGAAGTAAGCTGACCGGCTAGGTATTGGAGAATGGTGTCGGTGTATGATACTTAGTGGCTAAATGCAACATCGTTTTCGTTAATGCTGTTACTGTCTAATCCTGTTCTCAGAGCTTAGCAGGACCCGCAGCATCGCCATCATCAAGATCTCTCAGTTCTCTCTTCGGCTTCGTCTTCTCATGCGCGCCTCTACGGCCAACATTCTCCTTCTTCCACTGCCAGGCGTCGTCTTTCTCATCTCCGTTTCCCTGACCATTCAACACGTTGACCATGTACTTCCCGGCGATCGGCAAGAACTTGTATGAGTGGAAGCTTCCCCCAATGGCCAGATACAGGTTGCTCAGCTTCGAGTGAGGGTGCTTGGTAAGCAGCCAGTCCTGTGTGGGCGTAAAGGCATCCCAGCATAGTCGCCAGTAGTCTTCCTGCTTGCCTTCTGTGAAGGTTGGCATCACTCGCGAGGACATGGCTGCCCTGGTCTCACGCTTCAGACGGTCGGATACGATGTGCTGGTCTTGCTTTGGTGGGACAGAGATCTTGTGACCAGACTCTGTCACGATTGTGTTGAAGAAGGTGTTGGAATTTGTGTACTTCAGCAATTGATTGCTGGCTGGAGGCGGAATTACTTCACCTTCCTCTCCATATACCTAGAAACAGCAATATGTCATCAGCAAGTATCTCGGACGAGGTATGAAGAGACGATCAAGGTCTGATCAATACTAGCGTACCACCACTGGCATATCAGAGAGCTGATCCATCTCGTCCGCAGACATCTTGTAATGCGCAACCGCAACACCAGCCGCCTGAGCCTGACGTTCGACCCGATCATCATCCGCTACACCCAGCTTATCTTCAACAGGAGAAAGCATCTCGGACGTCCAGGCGCCAGTAGCGAGCACAATTCGGTCAGCTGAATACTCCTCGCCGCTCGTGGTCCGGACACCAGCCACCCTGCCATCCCCAAGACACACTTCGTCAACGCACCCGACCGCATAACTGACACCGTGATTCTGTGCCGCTTTCATCATACTCGCGGTGGCAGCAGAAGCATCGCACCATCCAGCTTCAGGGTTCCAGTAGGCATCTCGAAACCCTTTCAAATCCGTCCCTTTCAGCACTCCTTTCCAGTGCTTGTCAATTTCCTCCAACGGTACATCCTTGGTCGGGTCGTGGCCGCGGTCCTTGAAGACTTTGCGTATCCTTTCTGGTAGGTCGCTGCCCTCCTCGCCAAAGTTGATCCATCCAGTCTGGTGGTAATAGGATTTCAACTCAGGCCAGTTTGCCCAGGCATGCAATGCTTCGTATGCGAGTTCGCAGTAGAAAGGGCTGGAGTAGTCTGCTCGGATGATCTTGTTGATATCGTGGCTCGCTGCTGGTTCTGGTGGCGATGGCGTTCTGTCGATAACTGTGATTCGGCTTGGGTCGTTGTAGCTTTTGGCCAGGTGGTATGCTGTCGAGGTGCCGAAGATACCGGCGCCTACGATTAATACCGTTGGTTCTGTACTCGACTCCGGCATGATTGATGTTGCTCGGAACAGTAGACGAGAAGTAGTAGTAAGGTAGTCAAAGTACCATCGCGTGAGCCCCACCTCGGGCTGTGCATCGAGTCACAACCGTAGCTCAGCAGTCATGAAGTGAGTCGGGCATATATCACCAACCACTTGAGGAATTGAGCGTCATCATATAGAATCTGTCTAGGTATTGCTGTACGGGGATGATGCACCACCAATTACTTCCTCACTGCCAACTTCGGATGTCTCTTGCACAAATTCACCCATCTCGTCCAAGCCCTCGTAGCCTTCCACACCTCTGTGTAGAGGTCTTCCATTGCCCGGAAATTCTCCCACCGCCGATCCTCCAAGCGCGCCTCCGTGTCGCCTTGTGAAGAAGGAGACCATCCCATAGCCTCCAGGACCTCTGACTCTTCAGGTGCGTCACCAACGTCTGGAAACATGTAAGGTGATCGTTCGAAGCATTCCGCCGCGAGGTACTTCTCAAACACTGCCAGCCGAGGCGAAGCACTGAAGCTCAACTGCAGCCCCCCCTTGTCTGGCTTGTCAGTCTCACTTGGGCCGGTCACGCGTTTGGTCAATGTTCTGATGTCCTTGGCTCCTTTGATGCTGGAATATGCCAGTACAGCACTGCCCATCAACAACACAAAACCATGGATGACCAATACATCCATGGTTGCGATCACAAGGAAAAGGCCAGTTGCGATGCCCGCCTTGACTTTGGCCGCCGTCTTGGTTTCGAGCATGGACCTGACAAATTCATCTATGAGCTCGTCGACAGATGCAAGAACTGAGGGAGGGTGGACAAGTGTCAACTCCTCCAGTGTCAGAGCCTCATTCGTCTGCTCGGCTTCAGAATGGCCGTCTCCAGCGAGCACAACGTTTTTGTCCGTTTCCTGGTTGCCTCCGGCGCGGTGCAGAAACACCATGTGGAATGTCTTCGCCCGGTTCATCCTCCAATCGACACGCTTGACGGTCCCGCCCTTGATGTCTTCCTAGGACATCATCTCGGGCTCGCTGGTTTTAGCTTTTCGGATCTTGGCCTCCCATTTCCGCTGGGCTTTGTGCCCGCGACTCTCCTTCTCGCCTTCCTTTGGCACCTCCAGGGGCGGCGGTGGAGGCACATATAGGAAATATTTAGTCGGAATTGGCTTTCCAGAGGCAAGGGGAAAGTTCGGCTGCGGAAACGGAACAAGCAACCCGACCAGTCTCTTCGGGTTCCATGTGCGTTGAGTGGGCAAGGGAGCCACTTCTTCTTGGCCCTTGCGGTCGATGCTCGGGTCAAGTAATGGGGGTGGTTGTATGCTTAAGTTGCCTGCGGGCTGATCTGCGGTGTCCTTCGGGTTCAGCACGGATGGCTCCGTCGTTGGACCGACTGATGGCGCCCGGACATATGGAGGCGGTGGTGAGGTAGTAGGAGTCGAAGTTTGCTGCTCCATACTGGCGGCCGCTGAACTATCTTCGGATGCTGGCTTACTAGCTGTAGCACACCATCCGCTCGTAGGATGTTTTTACCTACGATGCGGTAGAAGCTAGGAGAAAGGGTGTTGTTGATGAGGTAAACGAGAAATAGGAACTGCTGTAGCACCACGTCTGTGTGCGCGAAGAAGATCGATGAGAGAATGATATGTGACTACCTCCTACCTCCATTGTCCATCGAGTGCGCGCTACTGGTGATCCTTGTGCCTGCCAACCAAGCAGACACTGCGCGACTGCGTCTCGAAAGGTTAGTCCGGCCCATGGCGCATGAGAAAAAGGATGTTAGAGGTTGTAGTAGGGTAGGAGCAAGGCCATCGCGTTGACAATCTCGCGCCTCGCACGGACCTCAAGTCGTTCCAGACTCCAAAGAAAGAGATTGACTTCACATGTTCACACCTGCCTTCGAGACGAAAGTGGAATGCTAACCTTTGGCCTGTGGTTATGATCGCATCTACAATGACGTCTCTCGATGGATCGGGCCATGAAATAGATTTCTGCACCCTAGGCATGTTCATCATCGACGACATCTATCCGCCCCCCGACGTCCCAAACCAACCCGCGCAAAAAGACATCATAGGCGGCGCAGGAACCTACTCCGCCATTGGAGCACGACTGTTCTCCCCACCACCCAGTTCATACTCGACAGGCTGGATCGTCGACGCTGGAACAGATTTTCCGGCAGACCTCCGCGATCTTATAAAGTCCTGGCAGACCGGCGTACTGCTCCGGCCACGGGATGCTCTGACGACGCGAGGATGGAATGGGTACGGGGAGAACGATCACCGAGCTTTCAAGTATCTGACGGAGAAGAAGCGGTTGACTGCTGATGATCTTACGGCTGAACTGCTGAAGGCGAAGAGTTTTCATTTGATCTGTTCGCCGACGCGATGCGTGGATATGGTTCGTCGTATCCTGGATCGTCGACGTGGAACATTTGGGGAATATTTGGTGAGACCGATGATCATCTGGGAGCCTGTGCCTGATCTTTGCGTGCCCGCCGAGCTGCAGAATACGTACGACGCTTTGCCATACGTGGACGTGGTCAGTCCGAACCACGTGGAGCTCGCAGCACTATTCGGCTTCAAGCATTCATCCGGTGTCGACAAGCAAGTCGTCGAACAGCATGCCAGCAATCTTCTGGCCAATGGCATCGGTCCGAACAACCACGGCTCAGTCGTCGTCCGCGGAGGTAAAGAAGGCTGCTTCGTGACCGACCTCGAACAGCAGAAGTGGCTGCCGGCCTACCACCAGGACAGCAGCAGAGTGATAGACCCAACAGGCGGTGGGAATGGCTTCTTAGGCGGCTTTGCTGTCGGCCTCGTACGAACAGGCGATGTAGTCGAAGCTGCAGAATGGGGCAGCGTAGCCGCAAGCTTCTGCATCGAACAGGTCGGTGTACCAGAGCTAGAAACAATCATCTCGACCGCTACATGCACGGACGAGCTATGGAACGGAGAAAGCGTGCACGATCGCCTGGAAGAATATCGAAAGCGTACATCATGAAAGCTCCTGCGAAACCTATGTATTTCCGTCCGCCCGGAAGCACGCCACAAAACACCATCCAATGCTGCCTTCCCTACCGCCCGACAAGAGGTATCTGTACAAAAACAAAAGCATGATCTTAATGATTTGCCACCCACCGCGGCTCATCTTCATCATCCATCTCACTGTCACCATCCCTCGAACCGACCTCCGTCCAGCTGTCCGGCGTCGCGACGCCGTCGCCTTCCTCGGAGAGCATATCTACGTCGCTATCTTCGGCAACGTCGATGACTTCTACCTCGGACATCTCGCTCCGTGGCCGGGACTGCGCTCGAGAAGCTGGTGCTGATAGAGATGCAAATGTATCAGAGTCGGACTCGGTATCAGTCTGGAAGGCGAAGGTGGAGTGTGAGGTGGGTGTGCGTGCACCTTCCGGTGTTTCTTCGCTAATGTCGACGAGCTGTGGAGTAGGCTCGTAGTCCACCGTGCGTGTGGACGCAGGAGAGGGTGCTGAGGATGCCGCGGAGTAGAAGCTAGCTTCGAGTGGGGCTTGCTGTTCGTTCGTTGCTTGGCTTGCGGCTTCTCTGACAGGGTCGTAGGGCATAGATGAGGACGTTGGGTGCGGTGGCGTGATTTGCTGGCTGTTGAGCGTGGCGAGACGAGCGTGCGTCAGCTCCGGGGTGACGCGGTAAAGCTCATCTTCCTCGTCCTGCTGGGGAGCCTGCGATGCTAGGGATAGAGGTTCGTGGCTGGGGGAGTATTGATGGTCGAAGATGGTCTCCCACCGACCTCGCGGTACCGGCTGCTGAGGCCGAACAGTTGGGCTCGGTGGCGTCAGATCTACAAGCGGTTGCGAGTTCTCGACATCTGCAACTGCGCGCGGTTCCGCCGCAGTAGTTTGGCGCTCCCTCATTTCCTTGAGGCTGGCTTCGATTGCCGCACGCAGTTCCGGGTCATCCTGGTTTCCTTTGCTCTGGCTTGCTGGACGAAAAGCTTCCTCCTCAGACAGAGACAGGGCGATGGCGAGTTGCTCCTCATAGGATAGCTCTTCGCCCCTCTGCTCTGGCCGCGGCGAAGCTTGACGTGGAGTGAAGCTTCCAGGAAGGGTACTGGTGGGCGGGTCCTCTGGAGTCTCCAACGCTACCTTCGGAGGTACGGGAGGCTTTGGAGTTTCCGATCGGTCCAGTGCATGTTCATCGCCAAACGGATTGGCAAGCAGCGAACCGAATGACCATCTACTGGCGCCAGCGGTTGATGAGCTTGCTTCACCTTCCAGAAGAGGCTGTTCCAGACTTCGCTCAACTTGCCGCATCTCTGCTTTGACAGCATCTGATACTGGGTCGAAGGTGGGTGGCGATGGCAGCTCTTTCTCAGACTCGGACAGCCTGAGCTTGCCCTCGTTATCCACCATAGAATCAAACGAAGTCGGACTCGGCGGCGACTGTTCGGGTGTCGTTGCCTGCTTCCTCTGGTTCATCTCGTACATTTGCTGATTCCTCCTCGCAAGGTACTCCCTTCCTTTCCGTCTACGCTCTTCCGCTTCATCAGGATCCGCGGGTCCTTTGATGGCTATCCTGCGAATAGTGCTTGGTGACGAGACATTTCTGCCTGTCGCTACCGCCGCCGCTTCCTTACTCCCACTGAGTTCACGCTGGAGCCCAGCATCCGTTGTTGGCGTTCGCCCTTCATAAGCAAATGCTTCTGCCGCCCGTCTACTCTGCGGGTCAAGTTCGTGCCCGATCGAACGTAGGAGTTCCGCGATCTTCTGCCGCTGCTGTTCGAGCCATGCCTGCACCTGCGGGTTCTCGAGGACGGCAACACCGAGCGCGGTGATTATGGAGATTGAGATAAGGATGCCTGTATACGAGCGTTTCGTCAGCATGCCATGTACGATGACCGTTCATCACCAACTCAGCCGCTTAGAACAACCATATGCACGAGCAAACCCTCGAGCGGTGGTATAAAAGTCATGACGTACCTTTGACCACCGGAGCAGGCATATTGTCGGGTATCGAGTGCTCAGCAGCGCAGTCCAAAGCCCATTAACGCCAGCCAGAGTGCTCGTGCGAGCGTAGACGATACTAGGAAGTTGGAGGCATGGGAGAGAGCATGGGAGGCTCAGTGAGAGCAAGCAAGGCTGCAGCGAGGCGAGTGCAGTGCGTCGTTGACAGCCGGTTCGTGGAGTGGGGTTGTTCGCCGCATCAGCCACAGTCAGCCTTGCTCTGGCTCGGCCGAGCCTCTGGTCGCACGTGCAGATGTCAGCAGCCTGCCTTATTATTTCATAATCGTCCTTCTGCTTACCTGTACTTTCATATCCCCTCTAACCTACCTTCACTGTGGAGAACCCAAGCAATTGGCGGTCTCGCGGTCAGTTGGATTCCCCATCGCTGAGCCAATCGATGCTTCGAACTCGTGAATCGTTACTCCGTACAATGGCGGAGTTATCAGACCCTCGAAGTTCCAGGCGGCCGGACAATTTGGCTATTATATCCGACGGCAGGATGAAGTCAATCGACATCATTGACCGCACCAGAAAGTACATAAGAAGACATAGAGAACAGTTGTTCATCGCACATCCATCATTCCAACCCACTCGTCACAACTAAACTCAGCAACCTCAGTGATCTCTTCAAGACCTCAAAGCCCAATCCAACCAACATGTCGGACAAAACACTCGTCCTAGTCACTGGAGGCAACCAGGGCTTGGGATTCTATGCCATCCAGCAGATGTCCGCCACTGGCAAGCATCATATCTTGATGGGAAGCCGTGACCTCAGCAAGGCAGAGCAAGCCATCAAGACCCTCAAGGAGAATACGGAGGTCAAGGCCAACCCGGACAACGTCGAGCCCATCCAGATCGACATGTCTTCTGATCAATCTATCGAGAAGGCGGCGAAGACGGTTGAGCAAAAGTACGGACGTCTCGGTAAGTATCAGCCCCATCACCTTCCAACAGCGAACCATGCACTGACATCTCAACAGACATTCTGATGCTGAACGCCGGCATCGCCTACACCGAAGGATCCGTCCGAGAGCAATACCAGAAAATTTACGACACGAACATCTTTGGCGCCAGCGTGACGGTCGAAGCATTCCTGCCTTTGCTCCGCAAATCCACAGTCGCCGGTGGCAAACGCATCTCCTTCACTTCCAGCGGGCTGGCCTCGATCAAGTGGGCAGCGGAGTCAGACGGCAACTACAACGGCGCCATGTACGGCATCTACCGCTCCTCCAAATCTGCCATGAACATGGTGATGGTCAGCTATGCCAGGCAATTGGAAGGCGAGGGCTTCGTGGTCACTGCTACGGATCCGGGATACTGCGCTACGAACCTCAACGCCTACTCTGGATTCAAGGATCCGAGGGAGGGCGCCAAAGCTCTGATCAGAGGCGCTATCGGAGACAAGAAGGACGTTCACGCGGCTATGGTCGATGAGGAACAGAAGCAGCCGTGGTAGAATTGATCGAAAGCGCTGAAGGCTGTTTCGGCTCGCCTGCTATCAAGGTCGCGCTAGAAGATAGCCACCGTCCACAATCAACGTCGATCCTGAGCAATACTGATTCACCGCCAGACTGAAGACGGCTTGAGCATAGTCTTTCGGGTCTCCTGAGCGACCGAAGGGAATACCCCAGTTTTCCCGGAAGTACTGCTTCTGCTCGCTCGAGTGTTTGCCAATGGGCGTCATTTCGGATGGGAACTGGTGCACACTGGTCAGCAGCGTGAATGGTGAATAAGCAGAGCTCGACTTACATAGCCCGGTGCAATCGTATTGACTCTGACTTCCAAACCAGGGTTCTTTAGTTCGACGGCCAACTGCTCCGTCAACGAGATCGTTGCCGCTTTCGAGGCGTTGTAGCTGTTCAACCTCTCAGCTTCCACCTTGTCATAACCGCTTGTCGAGATACTTACCTGAATTGTCCATTCTGGCTCTCCTTGGTAATACCAGATATTGAGCTGACATTGATAATATTCCCAGCCTCCGGATACCCATTGTCCCTCGCCGCACACAACAACGGCAAGAACGCAATCGAGGTAAAGTAAATGCTCGCAACATTGACCTTGTAAATTGACGTCCAGTCATCGAAATCCTGATACGAAAGCATCCGCTCGCTGACCTCCTTCGGGTTCCCCTGCGGCGTCCACTTCTCGCCGTAGTTCACTGAAGTGGCTCCGGCGTTGTTGACGAGCAAGTTGACGTGCTTCTCCTTTTCCGACATGGTCTTGACGAAGTCTTGGATGGATTTCTTGTCCGTTACGTCCATGGATATTGCGGTGATGGAGCCGCCGGATGTGGAGTCCTGCATCTCAGCGCTCTTGATCTTTTCAACTCGCCGGCCGGTGATGTAGACTTTGGCTCCGTTCGCTGCGAGCGCGTTGGCGGTCATGAGGCCCAATCCTGTGCCTCCGCCCGTGACAATGCATATCCAGCCTTTGACATTGAAGAGTGAGTCTGTCCGGAGGTCCTTGAGGTCCGCCATGGTTGGTGATGCCACTGTTTCTTGAGTGTCCTAGGGTTTCGCGGTCGAGGTAGGCTGCGAGGTCTTCTTGCACGTTGAGTGTCAATCGTTGTCGTTGACTTTGCTGCTGCCGGAATAACTTTTATCTCTCTGGAGCTATTCATCCGGCGTCGGCAAGTGGAGGCATGCGGTGACTTGGCTGGGACGCCATCGTGAGGTCGGACTTCGCTGCGGTCGAAGATACCAACCTACTGGGACTCAACAACACCTGTTGGCACCATCAGTAGGTCTTGCTCGCCTCGTGGACCAAGCATCAACAAGTAGTCCGATGAGATGGGTAGAGCTGTGATGGCAAAGAAGTTGTTATCGAGATCTATGCACAGAAAGCTCACGTCTCAAACCGAGGCAGGCATCTCCGCATCAACCACCTCCTCCAACACCTCTTCATGAAAGTGACAGTGTAAGCTGGTCCATACTTCCTTTCAAAAGCCCTTGCGGCGGGACATTCTATGCGAGGAAGAATAGTCTAGATAGCCACCAAGAAAGGTGGCCACACATTACCAGGACTCGACCCGCAGCATGACCGGTCATACACCAGTAGTCGTCGGAGTTGGCGACTTCGTCAACCGCTCTAAGAAGGTTGAGGATGCCATAGAGCCACTCGAGCTCATATTGCGAGCGATCCGAGCTGCAGTTGATGACACAGGCTTGTCAGGCCCGGAGGCGTCCAAGTTGCAAGCTCAGATCGACAGTCTAGACATTGTCAAGACTTGGGTATGCATTCAGAGGATACATTTTTTTACAAGTCGGAGCTGATGGTTTGTGAAGACCTGGCCATATCCAGATCTGTGTAGCCTGGTAGCGAAACGACTCGAGATCAAGCCCACCAGACGACACTATAGCGAGCATGGCGGAAACCAGCCTGGCAAGCTGTTCGATGAAGCTGCCCGTCGAATAGCGTTAGGAGAGACGAAGGTAGCAGTACTGAGTGGCGGCGAGGCATTAGCATCATGTAAGGTCCTGAGGCTGTCGAAAGGGTTCCTTTCTGACATTCTCCAGTAACGGCCTGCGCCGCCGCAAAGCAACTGCCACCGCCCGGTTGGACCAAGTTATCAGAGGACGTCAATTCAGTCTTCTCACCCTCGACACGAGAACTCTTACCAAGTGGGTTACCAGGAAAATGGACCCCTCCTACTTCAGATTCTGACCTACCAGGCTTGGGTGCACGGCACGGCATAGGAAACCCAATCCAGGTCTACCCGCTTTATGAGAACAGCTTTCGAGCCCGCCGGCGTCAGTCAATCGCGGACAACCACAGAGAGTCTGCTCAGATGTATGCGGAGTTCGCCAGCGTTGCCGAGCAGAACCAGTATGCTTGGAGCTATTGGTCGCCGGCGGAGACTGAGGAGAGCATTGGCACAGTGTCGAAGAAGAATCGAATGATCTGTCTGCCGTGTGAGTATCAAAGCTTGACCAAGGGGCCTTAGCTCAACGTGCTGATCTGGATAGACCCACTCCTCATGAACGCCTTCAACACCATCAATCTAGCTGGAGCATGCATACTCACTTCCGCTGAGAACGCGAGAGAGCTCGGTATCCCGTCCAACCGCTGGATCTACCCTTTGGGAGGTGCAGGCACAAGAGATAGCGATGACTGTGAGTCAGCCTTAACTTCGACGTCCGAGACAAAAGCTAATGAGCCTCTTCCGCAGTCTGGGAACGTTCAGAGTACTGGTGGAGTCCTGCCATTTCCCGATCGATCGATGCTGGACTTGAGGCGTCCGGCTTGGACAAGGAGGATGTTGACTTGTTCGACTTCTACTCGTGAGTCGCTTGACCCTTCTGAGAAGCCATTTACTGACATTTGCAGGTGCTTTCCAATCGTCCCAAAGCTCGCATGCGAACATCTTGGCATCCCAAGCGTGAAAGGAGCTAAGCCGATAACACTGCTCGGTGGTCTGACTTCGTTTGGCGGTGCCGGTAACAATTACTCGATGCACGTAAGTTAGCAGTATGACCAACCGTCCAGGGGGACAACGACCTTACTTCTCGGTAGGCAATCACAGAAATGGTCCGGCAACTTCGAGAAGGCAAAGGCAAGAACGGACTCGTGCTCGCCAACGGAGGTGTGGTGACCTACCAGGCGGCCATCTGTCTCTCGAGCAGTCCTCGGCGAGACGGCCTGCCATATCCGAGCGCCAACCCACTTCCGGCGGCGGTCAAGGACGTTCAGACGCCGCAGGTGGACGAGAAGGCTGAAGGTGATGCTATCATCGAGGTGAGTGTTCGAGCAGGTTCGGGGTGATAGAGCTCCGCACTGACCAGATGTTGCATAGACTTACACTGTCGAGTTCAATCGAGATGGCAGCCCGCTTCGTGGCTTCATCGTGGGCAGGCTGAAGTCGAACGGGCACAGGTTCCTGGGGAACCATGCAGATGATGCGACCCTCCAGCAGCTTTGCAGCCAGAAGGTCGAGCCTATTGGAAGGGACGGGAAGGTGAAGACTGCTGATGATGGGAGGAATCTGTTTGTGTTTGTGAGTGACAGTGCGAAGCTGTAGTCTGCCTAAGAAAGCGGTCTTGCCTGGAGTCCACTGTCTTCTTGTCCCGCCACCTGAAACAAGATGAAAAGAAAGAAACACGAAGGTTCACAGCCCGATCGGAGCCCAAATGCTATAGCTTGCGGTCAAGGAGCAAGAAGCAGAATAGCGAAGAAAAGGACAGTCGTGGTGAGTAGGTGGAAGATTTCCCAATCCATCGTGCTCAAGTATAAACATCATAGGTCAGCGGTCCGCAAAACGCCTCCAACGCTCACTCAGACCCAACACACCTCTCCGTCAGCGGCCAGCATCGTCCAATCAATACACCACGGCTCCCATTGGCACGATCCTGCGACTGCGAGCATTGCGGGCATCCACGATCCACTCCGCGCCATTCTTCTCGCGAACCTCGAAAGGACCAACGACTTCCTGGACAGCCAGGTCGCCGACACGTGCGCACATGATGCGCTCGACGTTGAACTTCTGGCGGGCCTCGCGGTGGAAGTCTAGACCAAGGTCAGTTGGGCTGCTCGGCCGTGGCCTTGCGATGTCGGCATACCTTTGAGTATCTCTTCAAGGCGGTCTGTTGCAGAATCAACGTCAGCGGGCTGTGTTCAAGCGACCGTCGGTGATGGAAAGGAACATACCCTTGCGTTCGCGCCTCTCCAATGCTCTGATCAGCGGCTCGTAGGTCAACATCCAGACGAGATAGTCGTCACTGGCGTTCTTCGGGGCGTAGGTGATCCAGCCGGCACCTGGGAAGACGAAGTCAGCAGCGTCACCGTCGCCTGGGAGAGAAGGCTCATACCTTGGCCTGGTGAAATCAAGATCTTGGTCGGCTTGCCCGGATGGAAGATAGGGCTGGAGGCAGACTCCAAGTTGTCACGGCGGTAGTCGTCGTGGTCATCCCGGCGGTCATCCAGGCGATCTTGCTGGCGCTCGTCACGGCGGTCATTCCTCCGATCTTCCTTCCGCTCCAGACGCTCTTGCTGCACACGATCATCCTTTCGCTCAAGCTTCTCTTGCTGACGATCGATCCGCTCTTGTGTAGCACGGTCACCTGAACGCTCGGCACGGTCTTCGAGACGCTCGAGCTTCTCCTGTTTGTGGTCGATCTTGTCTTGCTGGTGTTCCAGCTGCTGGTCACGGCTGGGAGCCATTGGTGGGATGAGCGTGTACGTGTCGGTGAGGGTGTGGGTTTCGAGTGTGGTATTGCTGGCTGGAAGATGGATTTCGATGTGGTTCGTGAAGGATGTCAGATGCACAATAGGAATTGGTAGGTGTATGCTGAGGATTTGATGGAAAGGAAAGGAAAGAAGAGAAGAGCCTGACCTTGAGGTAAGATGCATCGTGCAGCGCTCCTGACTGACACGAGATGAGCAGCTGCACATTCTTCATAGAGCCAAAGTGACCAGGAAGGAAGACCTGATGGCACAGCGCGCCCCTTGTAGAAAAAGCGATGATGTTCAAGTTCAGTTATGCCAGCGCATCCAAAATACAAGTAGCGAAAACAGTCTCTCCAATCCATTGAAGTTGGTATCACTGTCCCAAACCGTGGTCTCCAAACCTCCTATCGGTGCCGTCCCAACCCAAACAGATACTCTTCACCCAACGCCTTCGTCAACAAATCGTATCCATCATCCCAAAGCATTAAGACGTGTTTCCCACAGCATAGCAATACGCCTCCCGTGACCATTACTTTCGTTGCGCTGCCTCATACATTGTTGCGAGAATGCCGACGTAGCCACCGACCAGCATTGCGCGGTAGCCCCCCAACATCGACGCGTTGACCATGCAGACGTGCTTCGGGTGAATGAAGCTGAAGACATGATCGTTGTTGTATACAACGAATGCAAGTAGTGCTTTGACGACATTGAAGGTCAGTGGATCCGCGCGATAGCGGGCAACGGAAACTTTGGTGCCACCGCGTTTGATGTCCCGTACACTCAAATTGTAGAAGTAGGCGAAGAATAGCGGGATGAAGATGGAGGTCGCTGACCACAGGAGCGTCGGCATCCAGAAGTCGGATTCAACCAGTTGGAACAGATTTGGAAGCATCAATCTCGTCTCCGGGATGCTCAGGCCGAACAGCTCGTATGACTTCGTGAAGGCGGGGCCCACTTGTGTGAGTGGAAGAAGATTCCTCGAGAGGCAGATGCCTTCCAGAAGCAAGCAGGACACCTGGACGCCGATCACGGAACTGCACATCTCGCGGACCGACTCAACAAACTCAGGAATGCCAGAGCCGGTGTACAAGTCATCGATGTTTGCGGACCTGTCGAGGGCAAAAGTCAGTATCAAATGAGTCACATATAGAGTCAAGATCAATAGGATCGCGTGGGCAACACGTTGCGCGCTTACATTCTGCGAGTGGCATATTCAACTTCGTCCGCGACGTCAGCCGGCGATGCTGGCAGTTCTGGACGTCGAGGTCGACCAGGAGTTCGCGTCGCCAATGTTGAAGAAGATGGCACGATTGCTTGAGAAGGCGATGCGCTTGCATAGTCGTCCTCACTGTCGCGCGCGTTAGAGCCGCAATCGTTCAATGGACGCGAGTCGCATACCCTTCGTCCTTCACCTTCGTTGTTCTCCTCCCCCGTGCTTTGACGACACTCTTAACCTCGCCGTCGTCACCACTAGTCACGCCGGGCGCGCTACTGCTGCTACGCGGTTTGAAGGGTGTTCGGCGCATGCTGCTGTAGTACGGTTCGAACGTTGCGTTGCGCGAAAGACGCGTCGCATTGCGCTGAAGGTAGTTGTCGAGTCGCTCGACGATCTCGTCTTTCAGAAGGCCGTCATCGCTGTTATGCGTTAGTTGCGTGCCAGACTACAGGTTGCTAGGCGCATTGGCGTACTGCTTGAGACCAGCGTCGGCGGACAGCTCGAGCAACGCCTGCTTCTTTTGTTTATTGAGCCAGGAAGTCATGTTTGATCAATTGAATGCGTCGACCCGAGTCTTTGATATCACGCGACCATAATGAAGCTCAAGTGAAGTGCGTATAGAGTGTGATATGCGTCCCGGCGCGTCAGTCGCGGAGGTGGGGTGTTGTTGTATAAACACTGGGATGGCCGGGCTTCGTCTCAGGCTCATCATGCCTATTGGTTTCCAGCCGGCTTAGCGCACATGTCGGCGTGAGGGTGAGACAAGGTCCGGATCGGAGCCGAAGCTCCGTGCGCTAAACTCCTTTGAGACATGGACGACATCGACTGAATGCGAAGTAAAACCGCTTTGCATCCATCGCCTCCACCATCAACGCCAACTAGAGTCAATCGCTGTCTACGACACACTCCTGGCTGCTACACCTGTCGAAAGTCGCTGTCTATCATATGCGCTGATCAGCCGGGACACACTTCATGGTCTTCAGCCGTCTGGCTGAGTATCTGCCCACCTCCGGTCAATCTCCTCTCAACTATACCGACAATGGGGGCGAGCAGTCGGCGGTTAGTATGCAGGGCGTCACAGGACGGCAGGAAGAAGGCTTTCGGACGGATACAGACCCCGGCGTCTCTCCTACCACAGCGATAGAGGATGCGCCAATTTACCGTGCGCCCTATCTGCACGCCATGTTGGCTGGCGGCTTAGGAGGCACAATGGGGGACATGTTGATGCATAGTTTGGACACGGTCAAGACGAGACAACAGGGCGATCCGCATCTGCCACCCAAGTATGCCACCATGGGCAACTCGTACTGGACGATCCTACGGCAGGAAGGCGTTGCACGAGGACTGTACGGTGGTGTCACGCCCGCTTTCTTGGGTTCCTTCGCTGGTACCTTTATATTCTTTGGGGCATACGAATGGAGCAAGCGCTTCATGCTGGATCACGGCGCACCTGGCACCATGGCCTATCTTTCAGCTGGCTTCTTCGCAGATCTGGTCATCAGTCCACTCTACGTCCCAACGGAGGTGTTGAAGACGAGACTACAGCTGCAAGGAAGATACAATAATCCCTACTTCAGCTCTGGGTACAACTACCGCTCTACGATGCACGCGCTGCGTACGATCTACCGAACGGAAGGGCTCGGAGAGTTCTTTTCTGGGTATAAAGCGACCATCTATCGTGATCTGCCATTCTCCGCCGTTCAGTTTGCTATCTATGAGCAGGAACAGCGGATTGCGAAGAAGTGGGCGGGTCAAGGACAGGACATTGGGCTGCCCTTGGAGATCTTCACTGGGTTCAGCGCGGGCGGCATAGCAGGAGCGTTGACATGCCCTATGGATGTTGTCAAGACGCGCATCCAGACCGAGCTGGATCCTGCGGTCGTTGCTGCCGCGAGACAACAGAAGCAGGTGAAGATGGATTCTAAAGCAGCTACTCCTGGATCTACGACAGCAGCGGTGGTTCAGCGGCCGAGCACAGCATCCGCTTCGGCCCCTCAGCATCAGCGACAAGCTATCTCGACCACCAGCCCGAGCACGACGCTCAAACGGCATGGCCAGGTCAGCTTGGACACCGAGTCGGTCATGAAAGCGCTTCGGATCATCTACAGAACCGAAGGATTGGCCGGCTGGTTTCGAGGAGTGGGCCCACGGTTCGTCTGGACGGGTATGCAGAGCGGAACAATGCTGGTGATCTATCAGAAGCTGCTCAAGTGGTTTGAGCTCCATCCGATTATGGGAGATGGCAACACAGGACTGCGAGGTGTAAGAGCGTAGGACGCTCCGACTGTATCGGTAGGCATTGGCGGCGCATGGAAGCATGCATGTAGCACGGCGCTGGAGGCTCTGCATTACATATAAAGTGTACAATACTACTCTTCGACTGCACGTGCATCTTTAGTAGATCGAAGCTTTCAGGTTGTCGGGCACTGGCAGCAAGCCACTGACCGCCTGGTCGCCAACGCACACGATCGTCATTGCGCATCCTTCCACACCTTCACGAAGCCTTCCTTCCCAAAGAACATTCACATTGTGCCTCCGCGGCTGCAAAAGCTTCACTTTCACATGACAAAACTTTAATCGCAATGTCGGGACCAAATCCCTACGGTCCGGGTGCCGGCTACCACGCACCACCTACCAATGGATACGCCGATGAGCCCCAAGCACCACCACACAACAGCTACGACCCGCATTCAGGCCATCCCATCCCGCCAGGCTACGTTCCACCGCAACGCGCTCCACCGTCGGGCGACTACTTCCCGCCCCCACCGCGTCAAGAGTACAATGAAGACCACTGGGATGAAGGAGAACCACGTTCAGACTACGACCGCGGCTACGGCAGAGGGCCACCGCGCGGTTATGGATACTCATGCGACGGCTATGAAGACCGACAAAACGCGTCTTCGGATCCTTACCCGCATGACGAGAATGCTATAACGCCTTATGACGAAGAGCGAGCGGAGGCAGAGGACAGGCGTGGGTGGGAAGAGGAGCAGAGGAGGAGGTATGAGCAGAGACCTCCGCCTCCGCCAATGACCGACTACGAACCGAGAGACCGATACTACGATGATCGCAGGGACGATGACCGGTACTACGACAGGCGGGGCGATTCGAGGGATCGGTACACGTACTCCGATGATCGGTCGTCGCTTGACTACCGCGACAGGCGGGATGACAGGAGGAGAAGAGAATCTCGCACTTCCGTATCGAAGACGGGCAAGGACGTCTTCGGTGGGAAAGAAGGTCAGCGCGGTCTCAGCGCACAAATACTCGGCGGTGCAATGGGTGGGCTAGCGGGCCACGAGCTCGGAGGTAGTCTACTGAAGACGCTTGGTGGTGCAGTAGTCGGAGCGATGGGCGCGAAGGTGCTGGAGAATGAGCATGAGAAGCGAAGTACCAGAATCGCTCCCAGGAAGGAGGGCGCCATGAAGAACGCTGCGCCTTTCAAGGACGACGCGGTGAAGGACAGGAGAGGCTCTTATCCGAGCCGGCCGCCGCCGAGGGAGCGTTCGAGGTCGAGGACGAGGTCACGGCGGGGGACGGGCAGGAGGAGGAGTGACAGCGATTATTCTAGCGATCGGGACTATTCGCCTTCGAGATACTCGCCTCCACCATCGAGGAGGTAAGGAAGGCATGAAGATAGCTTGACGATTTATGGGAGTGGTGATTTGATGTTTGAAGATTGAAGCGGATGATTACCAGGTGCGATTACCATCAAGATAGCAACAAATCGGTTTTGCTCTGTGAGTCACCACAATTTTACTTTCACCTCCTCCTCACACCTCTGAAGGTTCTTCTCGTACACACTCCATCGTACTGCCGGGCATATCTGGCAGTGTTCTCCGAGATTGATACCACTAGGAAAGGCCACAGCACTCCCCTCGGCAGACTGTCATTGTTTGTGAGAAGATCCCATCACACTGCTCACTCCGCCGCTTCCACTCTCGACGGCGTTGCCGCCCTGACAGCACACCCGGATCGCACCACAGCCCAGTTAACATGGCACGTCACAAACATAAGCAGACCAAATCCATGGGTCAAAGCAAGCATACGTTCTTCCGCGAAGACCTCAACGCAACACTGGAGCAGTTCGACGCAGATCAAAAGAAAAGTTCTACATCACTTCTTCTGGATCTCCCGACCGAGTTGCGCCAGGCTATACTCAACGGCATAATCGACGATGATGAGATCTTGCATGCAGATCTTGAGAAGGAGGCTCGGACGCTGAGCGCCATCTGTACGACTTTCAAGGGGGATGTCGAATGGGTGGTCAAGAAGTGGCAACAACGAAAGGAAGCACTTAAACCGGTTCCAAATGGCGCCTTCGATGCTTACATATCCGAACTCCTGGCACCTCTCGCGTCTGCCGCAGCGGCCGTGACCTCCCGGTACAGAGCGAAGACACAACACCGAGGCAAGGCGTGGCACTCCAAGGCAGAGAGGGAGCGATACGGAGGAGGTTCGAAACACGAAGCGATTAGGAAGGAGAGGAAGACACTCTCCAGCATGCAGGCCCTTTCCGGTCACTCCACTTATCGGCTGTCCGGCGACGATACGGCTTGGGCGTCGAAGAAGTGGGCGGTCCAGTCCGCGGCAGAGCTCGAAGGAATTGAGTTGTGGCGAAAGCTGCGGGATGAGAAGTTTGAGGGGTTAAAGGAGAGCCACAAAGGAAAATGGAAAACACTAAGCAAGGCAGCGAGAGAGAAGGCAAAGACGCAGAAGCGGAGGGTGAAGGCATTGGAGAAAAAGCTGAAAGGTCCTGGTCCTGAAGAACAAGGCACTGCACAGGTGCGAGAACAAGACCGCACAACAGCCTCCACTCGAAATTGGTGAGCTCCATAATGGCGGCTATCGCCATACGCGCTTCGTCACACCCCATTTAGCGAGCACTCGCCAGCTCGATCACACATCCTGCTTGCTCTTCTTTAGGTACTGAGCAATACGTTCAGACTCGAAATCGTACACCGAGAGGTCCTCCAGCGCCTGCCGACCCTCACGCTCGATGGCCTGGCGTATGTCTTCGGATCTTGGTGTAAAGCGGCAAGCGAAGGGTTCTGGTCGCCAATTCAGGCCGTTACTAAGGGTCTTGTTAGCAAGCATTTCCACGCGAAGAACAACAACACTCACGTATAATGGTTAATGTCCACTGGAATCTCCTTTCCATTCTTGTCAATTGCGTTATGGATATTGAATCCCCACAGCAGTCTGGCGACCGTAATGAACGTTCCCTGCTCGGCCAGCCCTTGCCCAGAGCATACTCTTCGGCCCCAACCAAAAGTCATATAGCCTCGATCGTTCGAGAACTGTCTTGCTCTCTCGCCATTAAGATACCGCTCCGGGTCAAATCGATCTGGCTCGGGGAAATCGCGGTCGTTGTGGTGAATGGCCCAAACGTTGCCTTGCGTCCAGGTGCCCTTGGGAATCACATAGCCATTCCAGGTATCGTCAGAAACAGGAGCATGCGGCTGGCCGCCAATGATGGCCACGCTTCGCCATCGGAAGACCTCCTTTACGAAGGCCTTGACATAGACAAGCGAAGGCTCGTCTTCCCATGCTGGGCTGCGATGGTGACCAACGACTCTATCCAACTCCTCCCATGCGCGAGTCAGTGTTTCGGGAAAGGCAACGCATGCTAACACGAACGTGACCAGCGTCGAGCTCGAAGTGTCTGCGCCAGCTCCAAAGAGGTTGCCAGCCAAGGAAGAGATCTCAAGGGGTCGCAGGTCGTACTTCGGCTGCTCCGCATAGATCTGATTCGCGTAGCAAGGAGCTTCCGGGTCTCGTTGATGTGCTTCTTCCGCAAGAGCATGGAAGAACTCCTGTCCACGACGGCGTTTCCCGAGGCCCTGGAAGAGTGCTGGGAAGAGATCTGGTGGTAATCTGGCGAGATAAGGAAATGTCTCGAAGAGCATCGGGAAGGTTTTGCCCGGGACATTGAGATCTGCTGCCTGCACAGGGAGGTCAGCATAGGCCGGTAGTTGTTCGATCAGGCAGGGCATACCTTTTGCATCACGGCAATAACCTCAGTAATAATCGGATCGTCAATGCTCGCCACTCTCCTCCCAAACCCAATGATGGATACCACGCTGGTAGCATAGCGTTCGAAATGCGCGACATACTTGTCTGGCGTGCGAAGAAGCTCGTACGCAATGACTTTGCTCTCATCGTTCTGGAAGTCGCGGTACTTCCTCACTTGCTGCAGCCCAACACCAGAGTGCGTGAGCTTACGGTGAACTCTCCAGCGGTCTCCGTAAAACATAGTCACCAGGTTTGACTGATACATGCCGGTGAGCTCAGTGAAGACGACCATTCTTGGCCTACTGCTATAGACAGACGCCTTCTTCTCAAGAATCTCTGTCGCGGTCCAACCTAATGAGGAGGGGGTCAGTTGTTGTTTGCCTTGCGGAGAGGCTAATACTTCTTACAATCGTTAATCCATACTGTAGGGTTGCGTCCGATCCAGAAGGTGATCACTGGGCTGTTCAACGACTTCGACAAGGCTTCAAAGTATATCCACGGCTTCGTGTCAGGAAGGAGGGGAGTGTTTCCAACGATAGGCCATGGCGTTGGACCAGGCGGCTTTCGAGAGTTAGCGTTGGTTTGACAAGAATCGATGGATTTACTCACCATCTTTCTGTGAAGAAGCAATATCCGAACATAGTCTATTACCAGCCATGCTAACCCTCCTACAAAGGCCAGTGGTAGCAGCCATATGATTTTGGCTCCGATCAGCCCGTTGTCGAGAATGGCCATCGTTCGACGCGTTCGTACCAAAGATTGCTGTGTAGTCCGAGATGAAGTCTGGATACCAAGGTTACAGAGCTACTCTCCGTACGTTCCAAGCTACTTCGTTCCATGGCGGCAGGATGGTTCTCAAGCAACTGCCGAGAGCAAGTGAAGTTCACGCGGCATTGAACTTCCATCCCGTGCCACACCCCACCCGCATCTTCTGCAGAAGGTGGGCCGTCTCGACACGACCAACGTGTTTTGAGATCTCTGAGTGGTTAGAGCTGGTTGAGATCACCTCCACACCCCGTGGAGAAGGAAGAGGAGTTGTGGTCGGCACCCGGGAAAAGAGCCCTAAGCTCTTCGACCACACTTTAGCCGCTGCACAACCTCCCCTGCTCTCTCGCGGCAACGTTCTCCCAAAGAAGTACCGAATGGAAGCATTGCGGAACAACGTATAGCTCAGCGTCGATCTCGTTGACTATGGAGAGCTGTAGATTCGATGAGGCTGTTGCTGCTTTGATGATATCGTTCCTATACCATACTCTCTAATCACCACCAAAGCGAGTCATGGCTGGCGAAGCGACTCTTAACGGCAACAACATCAATGGCGACCATCCTGCTCAGGTCAATGGAACAGCTGAACATTCGAAGCCAAAGACTGGTATCAAGATTGTCATCGTAGGGGCTGGATTCGGAGGACTCTGTGCTGCTATAGAATGTCATCGTCAAGGCCACAATGTCGAATTGTACGAGTCATTCAAAGAGCTGAAAGTGCTTGGTGATATCATCTCGTTCGGCGCGAACGCAGGCAGGATCTTTCGGAGATGGTTCATCCCCGGAACTGCAGAAAGAATCAGCGATCGATTAGATCCATTGTGCATTAAGCGTGATTCCACTGCCCTGTAACAACCACGCAAATACTGACGCTTCATTCAGTGCAGAAGTATGGCTTCAATATCCACAAGTACGACGGTGAGCTGGTGATGAACCAGAAGTCGCCGCCTCCCGACCCCGAAGCACCGGTGTTCAATGGCCACAGAGGAGAGCTCCACAAGACTGTCTACAACTACGTCAAAGACGATTTGAAGATCCCGATCCGTCTCGGTTGCCGGATCACGAAGTACTTTGAGACAGAATCAGACGCTGGCATTCTCCTCGACACTGGAGAGAAGGTGACAGCAGATGTAGTCATTGGTGCAGATGGAGTTCGATCGAAGGCTCGAGAGCTCGTGCTTGGTTACGAGGACAAGCCAAAGTCAAGCGGATATGCCGTCTTCCGGGCTTGGTTTACGAACGTCGATATGATCAAAGATCCAGAAACGAAACGGTTCTGCGAGAATGGCGATACATTCAATGGCTGGATTGGACCAGACGTGCACTTTTTGTTCTCGACCATCAAGAATGGCAGCGACTGCTGTTGGGTGCTGACTCACAAGGACGATGCAGATATTGAGGAGTCGTGGTCGTTTCCGGGAAAGCTGGAGGATGTCTACAAGGTGTTCGAAGGTTGGGATCCACTGTGCAAGCGTATTGTCTCCAAGACTCCCGAAGATAAGCTTGTCGACTGGAAGCTGGTGTACCGAGACCCGCTACCACGGTGGGTGAGCGATGGGGGAAGGACGTGCTTGTTGGGTGACTCAGCTCACCCATTCCTTCCCACCTCAGCACAGGGAGCAACACAAGCGATGGAGGATGGCGTAACCATTGCGATCTGCCTAAGGGAAGCGGGCAAAGACACTGTGGCGGCTGCTTTGCGGGCATTCCAGGAGATTCGCTACGACCGGGTCAAGGATGTGCAGAAGACTGGTGAGAGCACAAGGGACATGTGGCACAAGGCAGATTGGTGAGTACATCTCGTCGCTCAATATTCATTACATGACATCGAAGTGAGACATGTGCTGACGAGTTCTATTTGTCTTTGTAGGGATGCGGTCAAGAAGGATCCGACAAGCATACAGATGCCGCGGGAGGATTGGATTCATGGCCACGATGCGGAGGTACATGCGGAGCAGGTGGTTGGGGATGCTGTGAAGAAGTTCTCCTGATCACCGAAACGGCCTGCTTTGGAGATAAGATCTTTAGCGACCGATCTTTAAAATGTTGTCAAGCGTCATCAATGCAATAAACTGACGATCTCGTAGCTGATTTCGGGCAATAGCTAGGCTCGCCATCATAAACACGAACTCGTTTTGGTAGGTTTCGGCCACCGACAGAAGCAACGCATAAACACCAGCGTAACCAGGACTCTACGCAAATCCTTCCCACCCCTCCTTAGTCCGGCCTAGCCCCTTAGTTCGTTAGCGCGAGAGGCATAGCAGGTCAGGGCTACACCTACCATTGGAAGCTGGTCTGTACAAGCATCACAAGTTGTGGCCACTCCATCTTGTCGAACGCTTTGGCGTATTAGCTGAAGAAGATCGGGCAGTGGATGGAATTGCCTACCTGCTTTGTTGCGGCTCTTGTTGACGTCTTGCGAGCTGTCTTTGGTGCCGCCCGTGACCTTCGTGATCGGCACCGTCTGTGCAGAAATGCGACTGCGAAGTTGGCTTTCGTGTACGTACGGCTGCAGTTCCAAGGTGCGAAGCAGACGATGGAACTGTTTTGAGGTCTGCTCCTTGTTGCGAAGTATTGGTAAGTCGACAAGTAATGACTGAGCAGCGGCGACATCCGCGAAGCCATTGGAACCTTCAACCTCTGTGATGCCGTAAGACAGAGACTCTCCGGCTTGCCGTGGGAGAGTGATGAAGCAGGTGGTGGTCTGAAGCGGCTCTCCATAATGCAGGTCGTGATTGTTATCCTCCGGCCACTTCTTCAGCTCCTCGTCCGTAATGCGGGTCCTTGCAAAGTAGGCCGCGAGGCCGAAATGCTTGTACAAAATCTAGTAGATGGTAAGTAAATGTATTCAGACATTGTTACCCTACTTGTTGCTCGCCTCACCTGATCGTACTTGGCGAAGTTGCCATTCACCCTTTGAGAGATCAGAGTCTCCCAACCGTCAGCCAGCTCGGGACATTCTTCAAGGTACCAGTCAATGCGTTCCATCAGAATGTCATTGACCACTTCGTGGTGGACCTTTTTGCAGTCTTCGCAGTCGTGGTCCTCATAGGGTCCGTGGTAACATCCACACCCACTGCACGGAGACCCCGGTTCATCTTCGTCGCAGTCCTCGCAACGGTGCGGGCCTTCCTCCATAGCACAGAACTCCGCCTCGCTAGCCGCTATGGGATGGTCCGAAGGCTCGCATCGATGCTCGAAATGTTTGAACGACTCGATCCATGTCGACTTCTTCAGGTGTAGGTCGTGAAAAAGGACGTCTTCAATAGCAGATAGGAGCTCAATCGGCAGCTTGTTGATGTTCATGTTCGTCCCTTTGCCGAAACAGTGGCATAGTCGCAGCGTGGTCGAGACTGGGAGGAACTTTTCGTACGCTTCGAGGGCCTGGCCAAGAAGGTCTGGCCTCACTGGCATGCCCCATGCTAGACCGGCGCTTGTCGTGCTCATGTCGACCATCGTGAGTACATTTAGTCTGATGTGTTGAGCGTCGGTCGTTGTCGTACAAGTAGATGACCACGTTGAGGTGAAAAGGTGGAGGTTTTGATGACATGAGGTCAAGTTTGAGCTTGCTTGCTTACCGCGTGAAGGAGCAGGCAGCCAAGCGCGCGTTTGCTACACGAGCTCACGTGCCGGCTTCAACTTCATGGTGAGATGCAAGGTAAGACAAGCACTCATTGCTTTGACGACAGAACAAGGCGATTGCACGATGTCCAGTGCGCTTAGATCGTCGACCCGTTGACAGCGAAACCGGCCTACTAGGTGGAAGCGACATCTTCTCACAGACACTGGCAGCCCACCGGCGAGAGGGATATGGCCTGGCTCGAGGCAATCGGGTTTCCGAGAAGACTGCCAGATATGCCTCGTTGGCCGCCTTCACTGTCTCTTGCTTGATCGCGCATCTCGAGGGGCGGCAATATTGACACGTCCTCCTTACGCGCTACGGCAGCCCCCTGTGAACCGGCGCCAAAGAGAGGATTGCAACTCGCTGTATACTTGGGCAGGTCGAAAACAAGAGATGAAGTCTGCGGCGCCAGGCGGAGAGGCCCAAGTCCGCGCGGTTCTCGCTTTCCGTTCCACCGCTCTCGCATTCCGAGCGCGGCCTGTGCGGCGGCAGCACTGGTGGCGTTCACAAGCCTTCAAAGTGCCTTCTTATTCAGGCTTAACCACCGACAAGCTCTTATCAATGTACTGCGTCATGTTCACCAACCACCGAACTTCGCCCACAGACTCCTCCATGTCCACCTCCAGCAAAGTCTGCTTTTTCTGCACCCTAAACCTTCACCTTCCCCTCCCGTCTAGTCCGTCCCTGGCATCTGTGCGAATCACAGTCTCAAGCTTGTGCCACCAATGCTTCGTCTGCGCCAAAGTTCCGTCCGGCTGCTGCAAGGCCCGCAGGCACCACAGATTTGTCCACTATCTGTACGATGCGTGATGGTCGCCGAGCGGGCGATAGTGTATGTACCTGACGTCCATTGCGCAAGTGGGCAGCGATTGAGCTACGACACGCGACTGCAACCGTTGTAGACTTCTTAAGAGCAGGTAAACCCTCTTCTTCTCGTACCCCTCTCTACTTAATTGCGTGTATCTTCATCTTACTCTATCAAGATGCTGTTCAAAAGCCTCGCTGCGTCCGCAGCATTGCTGCTCTCCTCCACACAGCTCGTCTCCGCTTCTCTGGGCTCGAGTTTCCATACAGAACGGACCACCGTGCCCAAATACAAGAACGCGAAGTCCAAGAGACAATTCTTCCCAAAGCCCGCAGAGAACCTTCATGAGATTACAGGACCCACTGGTGTCAAGATCCGCTACAAGAAGCCGGGCGATGCTGGTGTCTGCGAGACCACCGATGGCGTCGACAGCTACTCAGGTTATATCGACCTCGCCCCGAACGTGCACTCATACTTCTGGTTTTTCGAGTCGCGTTCAAACCCCTCAAAGGACCCAATGACTTTGTGGCTCAATGGCGGCCCTGGATCAGACAGCTTGATCGGATTGTTCGAAGAATTGGGGCCGTGCAGGATCAACGAAGATTTGAGCAGTGTGCTCAACCCATACTCGTGGAACGAAGTCAGCAACATGCTGTTCCTTTCTCAGCCCGTGGGCGTGGGCTTCTCCTACCAGCACATTGCCAACGGTTCTCTTGGAGGATATTCAGGAACTTTCTTGAACACCACTCAAGCTAATGCAACGGGCACATGGCCGATTCTCGATCCCATTAACCACGGTGATATCAGTACTACGTAAGCAAGGAGCCAGTTCCTGGGGCGTAGAACAACCACTGATATTCATGCTTGGGCAGTGATCTGGCAGCTATGGCGGCATGGCACGTTCTTCAAGCGTTCATGTCCGGGTTGCCATCTCTTGATCCGGAGGTCAGCTCAGTGCGTGACTTCAATCTCTGGACTGAGAGTTATGGGTAAGCTCATCAACCCAGAACAGATCGAATGGCAGCTGACAGTACAACAGCGGCCACTACGGTGAGTCTCACGCGAACCGAACCCCCTTCTCCATTTACAGTCGAAGAAAAGGCTCGGTGCCGATGGGCTAGAGCGTCTGTGGACATGCGGGCACGTCGTGTGCTTGTCGATCGGCCATGAGGACTGAGCCGATCCATCAACCGTCTCAATTGGGCGCAGAACAGTCTCCGGCCTTCCTGCTTCATTGTCTGGGACATCTGCTGACGGCTTCTCCTTGCGTGCTTATAGGGCCAGGCTTCTTCAACTATTTTCAGGAGCAGAACACCAAGATTGATGCAGGCGAGAACAAGGGCGTTAAGCTGAACTTCGCAACCCTGGGCATCGGCAACGGCATCATCGACGAAGCCATCCAGGCAGAGTACTATCCAGAATTTGCTGTGAATAACAGCTATGGCATAAAGGCCTACAACGACACCGTCTACAACTATGCGAGGTGAGACAATCATGGGCAAGACTGTTGGAGCAGTCTGAGACATTCACTAACCATCTCTGCGCTTTGTAGGTTCGCCAACTTCATGCCGAACGGCTGTCTCGATCAGATCCAGGCTTGCAAGGCTTCAGCAGCGGGCGTTGACGGCGGCTACATCAAGGAAGCCCATGGTCACGAAATCACGTACAAAGCAACCAGCAACCCGAGCATCGCTACCGTCTGCTCAGAGGCATCAGACATGTGTCGTGACAATGTTGAAGGAGTATATTACAGCTTTGGCGATAGGGGGACGTACGACATCCGTCACCCTGCCAATGACCCCACGCCGCCTGAATACTACATCGACTATGTGAACCAGGCCTACGTCCAGGACGCTCTCGGGGTCTCCGTTAACTATACGTCTGCTAACAACGACGTGTACTTTGCTTTCCAAGCAGAGGGCGATCAGATCTACCCCAATTTCCTGGCGGATCTGGAGCACATTTTGAATTCGGGCGTGAGGGTGTCTTTGTTTTACGGTGATGCGGTCAGTCCTCTCCCACATCTCCTACACTTTGATCGTTGAACAGGCACTGACAGTCCTCTTCCTAGGACTACATCTGCAACTGGTTCGGTGGCCAAGCCATCAGTCTCGCCCTCAAGTACAAGCACTCGAAGGAGTTCGCGGCCGCCGGCTACGCACCCATGATGTACAGCGGCAAGGAATACGGCGAAGTGCGTGAATACGGCAACTTCTCCTTCACGAGGATCTACGAGGCTGGCCACGAGGTATGTCACAAACCTTACAAACCCCTACACTGCTCGAGAGAATTGCTGACCCTTTCGCCTGTAGGTGCCATACTACCAACCCCAAGCCGCCCTCGCCCTATTTAACCGCACGATCAACTTCATGAACATCGCCGACGGAATGGAGAAGATCACCGGGACGTTCGCGACTAACGGCTCGGCGAGTGCGACTCACACTGCAAGTGCGGCACCGCTGCCGTCTTCTTCGGAGTATGCAGCGTACAGCAGGAGCTTGATCAAGAGCTATAGCATTCTTGACAACCAGCCGATGGCTTCCGCGTCTGCATCTGCGAGCGGCTATAGTGCTTGAGAAGGCTGTTGGAAAGGGTCATGAGTGAGCGGTAATGATGACGGTGCCACGGAGACAGGACGAAAGGAGTGTATACACTGTAACGATCATTAATGAAGTATGACTATATCTGTTGTCAACTGTGCAAACATCACGAATGGAGCATGAGCAAAGGTCGCCCGTGGTGGGTCTTCCCCACAGGATCTGAATCCTCTGACTATTGCGTGTGAATTCGAAAATTTGTTCTCTGTGACGATGGACTTCTGAACTGACCGTACGCCATAAGATTGCTCAAGGTTGCTTTCTGGCATATACTACAATCTGTCCCTCAATCGCCGCTCAATTTCGACGCCTTGCGATTCATGTACAAGCTCTCCACTGCCTACCTCTCCTCCCTCCCTACCATCCATATCCCCGCCTACTTGTCATGTCCACCAGACCCAGTCCTCGACAACCGCAGCGTCTTGTCCGAGAACAGCTTATTCCCCATGCTGTACCCCGCTGCTATCAAAGCCACCGCCAACACGACACCGAGCGGGATGAGTTCGGGCGGGATGCGCTTGAGGGTGCGGAGGCGTTGTGAGACGGTGTGGGCTGTGTTGTTTGGTTAGCTCTCCTGCTGGGCTTCGTCGCTCACGGCGGCTTACCGGCTTGGTCTTCTTTCTGTGACACTGTTAGTAGTTGTTCAATGGAAGTGTCCCGGGGTAGTAGACGTACAGGAGAAGCCATCCTCATGCGCGGCGTAGCCTGCAACCGCAAGCTCCTCGTTGGTTGCATTCGGAGCATGGGGGTTGCTCGCTTCTGCAGCATGGACCCGGCGGACTGCTGGCGCAGCATGTTGGTCGCTAGGAAGCGTGTGGTCTGCATGTTGTGGAAGTGGTATGTTGTGACCTCAGAGCAGTAGAAGGGCTGATGTCAAGTCAATGGGTGGACAGCTCGAGAGGAGGAGGTCGTGGAATTAGGGTTAGACTAGGGTCTAGCCGAGCCCGCCGAAACGGAAGGAACCTGGAAGCTCTCTCATTGACCTCACCACCACCACTCCCGCCATCGCCGTCGACACTGCATACATCTCCTTGGACAACCACCCTTAACCACCCACAGCAACACCCCACGAAAACACCGCCACCATGTCCGACGACGAGCGAGTCACCATGCCCTTCAAGTTCGTCACAGGTACGCCCGCCGCCTCCTCAGACACCACCTCGGAACAACCACTGACCACAGTGTAGCTGGCTTCGACGCCCGCTTCCCGAACCAGAACCAAACGAAGCACTGCTGGCAAAACTACGTCGACTACCACAAGTGTATCAATGCCAAGGGCGAGGACTTTAAGCCGTGCCGACAGGTATGTCCACAGAGAAAGGGCGCTGCGGGCGGGGAGAAGGACGGACGACACAAGCTGATGAGTGGAACAGTTCTACATCGCATATAAGTCGCTTTGCCCGGCAACGTGGTGTGAGCGGTGGGACGATCAGAGGGAGAACGGGAATTTCCCAGCGAAGTTGGATGCATAGAGGATAGAACAGTGTACGGTATTGAAGAGCAGTGCAGTGAGGGTCAGGTGTGGACATATACGACCACGGTACATGGCGAAAGGGCAATTGCTCGGTCTTGAGTGGCGTTCAGCTCAATTTCACACGTTTGCAAACCGCTTTGAAGTGCTCGCGAATACACGTCGTTCAGTCTGGCTACTTCACGTCTTATACAACGTATCCAGGAATCCCTCCGCCAACTCCCTTACGATGCTCTTATCTGGCAGCGCGCCAGCAACACCATACAACGCCGCTGCATCACCCTTCTTCTCAGTTGGGTTGCCCCTAACGCTATCCACCACTTCCTCCAAATCCTTCAACAGCTCCTCTACCACCGCCACAATCGGCACCGTGACCGCGACGTGTATTGCCGCCGGGTCCTGCAGCGCGTTCAGATGCCATCCTCTCGCACTCATTGCGTCCGCGACATCGTAGATATCTAACGCGTAGAAAGGGTCCCTTGGCTTCGAGATCGCGGTAAAAGCCACGACTGACACCATTGGCTTGCCGATTACAACGATGCTGTGCCGGAGCGCATCAGAAGTGCGAATGCGATTCTCAATCGTCTTCGCCGCGCCAACAATCTGCAAGCAAGTACTCAGATACCCGTCCTCGCCCATCTTCATCAAACTCGCCCAGCAGCCCGCGATCAGCGCTCCGGGACGTGAGCCAGCCATGTTGGGTGAAGCGTAGACACCACCAGCCCAGTCGGGGCAGACGTAGTATTGATACCTCCGCAAAGCGGCGGAGCGGTAGAGCACAACGCTGTTGCCTTTCGGTGCGAAGCCGTATTTGTGCGTGTCGACGCTTATGCTCGTGACGCCGGGGACTTTGAAGTCGAAGTCTGGCGCAGGAAAGCCGGCGCGGGCGAGAAAGGGTATGATGAAGGAGCCGAGGCAGCAGTCGACGTGGAGCGGGAGTTTGTGCTTGAGAGCAAGGCGGGAGAGGGCGGGGATGTCGTCGACGATGCCGTGTGGGAAGTTCGGAGCGCTGCCGACGAGGATGATGGTGTTGCTGTTGATGAGGCGGCTGACTGTCGAGATCTGGACTTTGTAGGACGGTGCTGGGCAGGGTACGAGATGCAACTTGATCTTGAAGTACTCTGCTGCTTTGCGGAAGGCCGTGTGCGCAGTGTCTGGGAGGATCATTTCCGGTTCGCGCACGCTGCGTTCGTGGTAGGCCTTCTGACGTGCAGCAAGGACGGCCATGATGATACTCTCTGTCCCTCCGCTTGTGGTGACACCTGCTCCGCCTTCAGGCGCGTTGAAGAGGCCGAGTGTCATGGCTACTACTTCCGCCTCCATCTTCCGTACGCCAGGGAAGACGTCTGGGTGGATGGGATTTGCAACACCGAACCTCTTGAACGCCTCGCTCTGTAACGTCAAGAGCTCATCGCCGCCATGGTATACCGCTCCGGACACTCTCCCCTTCTCCCACTGTGTGTGCTTCATATCGCCCAGCTTCTCCAGCTCCGTCCGTACCTGCTCGCCCGTCCATCCTGACGCGGGCAGAGCAGTGTACTGTGTCACACCAGGTCCCGATGGTACAAGCTTCTCCTGCAGCTCAACCACGGTCTTCTGTACTTGCGCCTGCACCTTGGCCTGTACGAAGGGCAGCCGTAGGAAGAGAGCGTAGAGTCTTCTGTACACATCGCGGTAGAGCTGCCGTACCGATCCTAGTATCCCGTATCCGCGAAGCTGTATGAAGGTCTTTCTAGTATATCGAAGTATGAACAGCGCAAGTAGGATCTTCTGGAAAGCATCGAGACATTGCGAGAGTGTGATAACGGGTCTTCGCCTGACTGGTCGTTGGAGGCTCAACTGTTTGCGAAGGTCTGGTATGCTCACGGGGAGCCTTCGTGAGCTGGACATCGTCTCGAATGGTGAGCTGGTGTTATCTTCGGTATCTGGGTTTCATTGTAATATGTGTCGTTCGTCCACGAGAGATGAGGTGCGAAACAGACTGCATTCGTTACGACGTCTCGCTTTCACATGCACCTGCCGCGGCTCAAGAGCTTGCCACAGCAAACCAATCACGTTGATACATTTCGACGGTGAGACATCACACATCAAGTGTGCCTCTCGAACGCTCTACAGAGAGTGACTTGCAGTCAAACACGCATGCAACAGCATCGCCCTCGTACACTTCGCAGAGCACTTAAGATCGATCGCTCGCTGACGTAGGGAGTTCGCAGGTTCAACGGCGTTGAATGCATGGTACTTGTCCCCTTCGCATCCGAAAACTATTGAGTATGCACAATGGGAAACGAGCTTGTCCGACTTTTGTGCTCGCTACCTGCCCTGTCCATGGTACGCCCAAAGAAGCTCGTTCCGCTCAGCAGCTAGTAGTAGCAATCTTAGCACCGCCCTTCTTCATCGACATGCCTCCGAGCAACCTGAGAGTCACAGTTTACTCGACATCACCCTTGCTCTCGAAGTTCTCGCCCTCAACCAGATCCGGTATCTCATCGTCATCGTCATCCTTCTTGCCCTCCTCGCCCTCACCACCCTTCTGCAAGCTCTGGTAGCTTTCCGCAAGTTTGCGCAGCGATGCTAAGGAGTCCGGACCGAGTTGGTTCAGGATGCCGGGGACGAGCTCGGTCAGCTCCTTGTCCTCGCCGTTGCCGTAGATGGCGAAGGTGTTCGAGGGGACGGAGGCGTGGACTGCGCTGCGTTAGCTCTGCAGGCTGAGAGACAAAATGTCTAGGATGCAGCTCACCCTTTGGTGCAGAAAAGTGAATGACATTGCCATCCGCCTTGAACATGTTGACCTCCTCAATGGCCTGGATCGGCTGCACGTTCATCTTCTTCAATGCGGCCTGCAGCTTCTTGTCGTCGGTGCCGGCGCTCTTGTGCACCTTCTTGACCTTCCTTCTCGGTGTTCCCTTGCCTCTGTAGCAACCATGTTAGCACATGCATCTCTTTTCTGGTGCGCGCTCGGCCTCGGAAGACATTGGCGGTGGGCCCAGTCTCGTGCATGGTACGGCGAGGATGGTGTGGTACACTTACCCTGTTACATTGTTAGCTTGAGTCATTCGAGTCTGTGGTGTAGAAGCTCTGTGAACTGATCGTAAGAGCTGTATATGAACATACCAATGCGGACGGCATTTTGCATGCGAGCCAGCTTCTCGTGGTCCATGATGGCGGTCGGTGCGGTCGCGGTGGACGAGGAGGATGTATAGAGGGATGTGAGAGGTTGAAAGAGTGCTGTCTCGGCGTTACCGCAAGGTCATCGACAGTGGCAGATGGAGAGACTTGAGGTGTTGCACGACTTCGAGGTCGAAGCACCTCGGCCGGTCCCGTGTTGTGTGGGTTTTAGCCTGGACTGCCAAGGCTGGATATATGAGCGCTTGAAGTCTGTGAAAAGGCTCAAGTGGTGAAAGGTTCCAACTCTAGGTTATTATTTCCTAATTGAATGCAGCAAACAAAACGCCCAGTCTAGGTATCATGAAAACAGGCATTTCCCATCGATCTATCCACATCTTTTAATCCATACCATCACTTAGTAGCCCTTCCCTTCCAGTTCCTTCTCAGTCCAATCCCAAAGCTCCTCCGCGAGCTTCGGCTTCTGAGCATGCCAGAAGCTCCCACCGCTCTTGCTGCCGACCGGCTTCCAGTAATAGCTGGTCCGGACCGTGCCCTTGGGCCCCGTGGCAGCCCACAATGAGTTATGCGCTCCGTGCGGCACGTCCATGAAGATGCTCTTCATAATGCCGGTACTCATCCGCATGACGAAGCTGGTCGAGTTGACAGAGGTGTAGAGATCTGTCATGATCACGCCGGGATGGATGGCTGTGGCGGTGATGGAAGGTTTGCGGCGCTGCAGCTCCCGGGCGTGGAGGATGTTGGCCAGCTTGGCCTGGCCGTAGCGGCGCCAGGTACCCCATCGCTCGAGCTCGGCTTGGTCGTAGACGATACCATTCCAAGGCGCCATATTGTGACCTTCGGAGCTGAGGTTGATCACGCGAACGTCTGAGTTGGGCTGCTCGGCGGTCTTAAGCATTGTCGGCATCAGAAGCCTGGTCAGAAGCGCGTGGCCCATATGGCACGTGCCAAACTGGATTTCATAGCCGTCGACGGTCTTTGCCCATGGCACCGCCATGATGCCAGCGTTGTTGATGAGGATGTCAAGGCGATCTGATCGGGACTTGAACTCGTCTGCTGCTTTCTTCACGGCTTCCAGAGATGACAGGTCGAGCTGCAGGAAGGAGACATTGCTGCCAGGCACAGTCTTCTTGATTTCCTCAATGGCGGATTCGGCTTTCGATGCTGTGCGAGCGGCGAGGAAGATTTCCTTTGGGTTGTGCCTCGCCAGCTGGGTGACCGTCTCCTTGCCCAAGCCTGCGTTGCCGCCCGTCACGATGATAACCTTCCCTTCAAGGCTGGGGATGTCTTTGTCTGGGTTGAAGCCCATTGTATTGGTATTTGCTGATATGTTGGAGGTTTTGGAAGTGGAAGGTATTGTCTTCTGGAGATCTTTCGATTGTGTTTGGAAGTGCTCGAGTGTTGAGATAATGTGCTGTGAATGTGGTTGTAGTACTTAGCCTTGATCGAAACTCACCGTCAACTTATATATTGGTCTCCACTGGTGCAATTTGGTATGCAGAGGATAACGTGCCGTGCGATGCGTGCGTTGGTCGGGGAAGTTGTCGCCGGTGGAGATGAAAACGGCAAGATGGATGGATAAGGTTGGAATCCACGAACTTTGGGGGCGAGAATGTGGTCCGTGTACGGCCGCAGCATTGTATCGATCGTGGAGAAGCAAGATCCTGCCGTGCGAGAGCTTAAGGTCAGCAGCGTTGTCATTCGATACTGCTTTGCCTTAGTGAGATCTTCTCCTCTTGCAAGGGATCGAGGTGGTATTCGCACGGGGCGATGGAGGCTCCGGCTGGAGTACCCTAGGCGAGAGAAAAATATCCTTCTATACGTCAGACTACATACATAGACCTGCAGCGGTGAAGCTCTCAGCAAAGCGATCTGCGAGCCATAGCAATATCTCCTTCACATCTCAAACATTATATGGTGTCCACAGCTAGCACAGTGGCAAAGAGCTGATCGCTCATGCAGAGACGCAAGTTCGGTAGGGACGAACCAGCCAGTTCGAAACAATGGCAGCAATAGTGTGCGGCAATGAGGCGTTCAGATAGAGATAGCCTCCAGGGTGATCGGCCCAAAGGCCTCAGTCTGCTGTACTGACAACAGATTCTTGGTGCCGAGCGCCAGGACGTGAAGCAATGCCTGCGCTGCGACGATGCATGTGTGCTCGTCTGGCGGTAGTAGCTGGCTGAAGTCGATCGTGCCTTGGAGGCTCTCGTCTTCTTCGTTTCCGGCTAACGCCTGCGCGCGAGTCTGGTCCAGCTCTTCGATGCCACTCTGCACAAACTCCAGGAAGTGGAGGCTCTCGCCGTTGAGAACAGCACGCTGCCACTGCGACTGAGCGGCCGTTTGCGTGTCGACTTGAGCGGCCGGTCCGAACGGCTCGAACTCTTCTGCGCCGGTCATGAAGTCGGGTTGCGATCCTGGAAGCTGGAAGTCGTCAATGTCTCCGCCAGCCACCCCACGGCCCATGAGGGGCGACGCAGACGTGAGGCGACTGCCACGACGAGCGAGTGACCCAGCAGGCCCGCCGATGGATGCTGAGGTCAGCTGTCCGGCTCCGCTGAACAGCGCGGTCGGACGACGTGAGCCAGCGCTCTGGTTCCACGGCATCATGCTGGAGAGTTGACGGTCATCAAGCGGGGTTGGAGCCTCGCGACCAAGCTCGATTGTGTCGTCGCCCATCACTGGCATGAAATCGTCTTCCTGCTGGCCGCGACCAATCTCGTCCGAGGACGGTTCCCCTCGTGAGCGTACCCGTCGGCCCCCGTCCGCCTCCTCATCGTCTTCCCTCGCACGCTTCTCTCCTGCAGCGCCGAGTCGTACGCCTGTCAGCGCCTCAAAAAGTTGCCGGCCGCTGAACATGCTCAATGGTCCTCTGTCTCCACCACCGAGGATCCAGTACTCAGCATTCCTCTTGGCAATGGCAGCAGCCTTGCTAGCATTCTTCTGGCGGAGGGCTTCATTTTGGTTGGCGATGTAGTTTGCACTCCAGCGTGCTAGCTCGCGGTTGCCCACCTCTGTGTCGTGGTCGAGTGGGATAGGCTTATGGGTTGGTTGAGTACGGCGGCGTTGTGGCGCTTCCGCCGTCTCTTCTGATGTGACGTGCTGGACGGTTGGTGCTTGCGCTGGTGGTTGAATCGGCTCATTTTCTGCTCTAAGCATGGACTCGTCGTCTTGGAGAGGTAAGAAACCATCGTCATCGGATTGACCAAACTGGACAGACATTAACCATGAGCTTGTATAGTACGATCACCAGAACTCACCACAATGTTGTCCTCACCCTGCTGGCCATCCCCACCTTCTTGTCTGACCCTGGAGCTTGCGCTGCCGACTAAGCGCTCACTGCCGACTCTTGGTCCCTGTACCTGGCGCACTGGGCCGTCGCTCATCAGAAGATTGCCATCTTGATCAATCTCCAGGCCGAGATCATCGTCCAGGAACCCTCTCGCCCCATCTCGTCTGCCTGCGCTGGAAGGATCGCGGACACTGAGGCTCCCCAGACCTCGCAAGCCTCCCACTGGGCCGCCGACGAGAGACGACACAGACCCAGGAATTATCAGACCACCGAAGTCATCTTGCAAATCGATGCCGGCATGTGTGCGCTGAGAGGCATGCGGCGAGAGCGTTGACCGCTGCGAATCCTCCATGGCCGTCAAGTCGAGGTCAAACTGCTCGAGGTCCATTGGCACCAGATCGAAGTCTGGCAGGAAGTTTGGGTCGTCTTGCAGAACGAGCTGGTCCGAGCTACATTCAAGTCAGCTTCTGCTGAAGCGCGACAAGCATTGACACTCGCCGGCCCTTGTTTCCTCCTTCAGCATCAAGAGAGCTGGCTTGTACCACCCGGAACATGAGACGCATGTTATTCTTCGCGGTCTCGACATCGTTGAGGACATATCCGCACTGCTGCGCGTACACGCGCGTAACCCCGTATCTGAAGAATCATCAGTCCAGCTCTTGTTTCTGCTCACCACGGCTGCGCTTACAGCAGGTTGCTCTGCAGACGGAGCGCAAGTGGTGCCTCGGGAGTGCCTATCGTCTCGCACGCCTTGGATACGTCGACATCGAGAATGGCCTTGCGCGAGACCTTCTTCAGTGTGGACTTGGAGCCGAGGGTGGCGACGAGCCTGTGGTGGTCAGCTGGCAGCCATGGACGCGTTCGAGAAGGTCAAGAGACACACCAGACGGTCGCTACGCCATACTTGCGCGACGTGAGCACTGCAAGACGCGTCAGTATCTGCTGAATTGCAAACGGTGAGGCTAAGACCGACCTTCGCGGGAGTAGAACATCTCGACTCGATGCTGGCGCGGCCTGGAATGATAGGACGGGTATATGGATCACATGTAAGGATGAGACGATCGTATCAATGCTGATGTACATGGAAGATCGGAGATGGGGAAGTGGCAGTGAAGTCAGAGATGAAGTGAAGTCAAGGCAAGAATCTGCTCCCCTGAGCTTAAGCCGACCTCACCTCCTCTCTCTTGTGGGAACCAACTGTGGGCTTACAGGTGGTCTGTTAAGACCAATTGGCTGACGTCTGCACGACTAGAAAAATTGTCATCGAATGCATATCTCTTAGCTGTGATGAATGTGACAACGCAGGCCATGCTCTCACCTCGCTATGTATATAAGCCAGACAACGCAGTCCTTCCTGTGCAGCGGATATCCATGCAAGCTCAAGCCTTGTTACGCCTCCTTGACCTCCGGCAGCTCGACTGCACGATACAGGAGGATGAGAGCGCTGTGGCTCTCGCCGCCACCCGCCAGCGTCTCAATCTTCTCGCTGTCCACCTCCTGCACCTTCTCGTCGTTGAACCACCACCACTTGCCATCCTCTGTCTTGCCCGCAGGAGCGGTCTTTTTGACGTAAGCAGTGTAGTGTCCTGAGTCGGCGGAAGATCCTTGATGTGTGACGACACCCCTGAGTTCGTAGAGCCCGGTCTGCCCAGCCGTGGAGTCCTTCTTCATGTCCTCGTGAACAAGTGACAGTAGCTCCTTCTTCATCGCCACGATCTGTTCGGCTCGCTCTCTGTCGATCTCCTCGTCCGTCTTGAAAGTCTCAGTGCCGCCCATCTCCGTGTCCTGTGTACCACCGGCAGCCTTCTTGTCGATGTCCAGCTTCGACTCTTCCGCCGGCCCTTTGGCCTTGAGCTTCTGATCCTTCTCTTCCTTCTCCTTCTTCTTCTGCAGTGGCTCGTCCCCTCGAACGTTGCTTTCGCCATTGACAGACTCCTCCATCTCCTTCCGCATCCGCTTCTGTCGCTTCTTCGCACGCTCGACGTCTTCCTCCTCCTTTCGCAGCTCCCGGACCTTATCACGCACAGGGATGACCTTCTTCCTCAGATCCTCGTTGCAGAACTCTAGGACGTCAATCTCGTGCTGGAAAGTGACCTTGCGCATAATCTTGGCCTTCTTCTTGGAATCCTTCCGCCAGAAGAAGCGGATCAGATGGATGGGCAGGTACTTAGGCAGCCTGGATATCCGCGACACACGTGTATACGTTGCTTCTCTGCCCAAGCTTGGGCTGTTCTTCTCGATCTTCTCGTCCAGCGCAAGCCGTAGACCTTCTCGCAAGTGGTTCGTTTCAACAGCGATGTTGCACTTGAGGTCGGTGAAGCCTTCGGTATTAACGGTAGACTCTTCCTCTGGCGCATCGTCGCACGTCGTCTTCATCTCAAACTGTCCACCCAAATACTGATCGACCCATGCCTTCGATTGTCCCTGCTCGTCCGTGGTCTTGAGCGAGCCATGCAGCACGTGGACCAGCTGCGACCACACTTCTTCGGCGTCCTGCTGGGCGTAGCCATGACCCGTCTTCGCTCGCTCCGCAAACTGTGGAAATTGCTGTCGTAGGGTCGTCAAGAACATGATTGGCGGAAAGCCCTCCTGTGTCTCGCCCATCTGCTTGTACAGATCCCGCAGTGCACCTGTAAGGTCGTTGCCGCCTCCAAGACCACCAATGCCATGCTGCGCCAGCTGATCCGCCGAAAACAATGACGATCCTGAGGCTGCGGATGACTGTGGGGCCATCGTGTACTTTTGTAGCTCTTGTTGAAGCTCGGGAATGGCGCGGAGTGTTTGTAGGGTTGCGTTTGCGTAGCACGTATTGCCAGTATTTTGCAGGCCTGCCGGTGTGGCACCCTCCAGCTGCGCAAGCTCTGCCTCCGTCATATCCTCTGCAAACTTCATCTTCTCTCGTGGTGCCTCCACCATAGCTTCTGCTGAAGGCGTGCCTATAAGCGTGATTGTGGCGCCGTTCTTCAAGCCCACGGAGCTTAGGGGCGTGTCGTCTTTCACTATCTTTTTTGCCAAAATCTTTTGGTTCTCGGGCTCGACGTTGGTGAGGGAGTACAGCTGCATCTTGAGTTCTTCACCAGTGGACTCGGTGTTGACTGTAACTTCGTGCACCTTGCCCTGATGCTTCACCTTGATCTGTAATTCCGCCATGGTCGCCTACTCGTCGTGAAGGACTAATCGTGAGAATGAGGTGGAACTGGTGGAGGAGGAGTTGTGGCGACGAGTTCGTTGATTTGTTTGCATGTGGAAGGGCAAAGACTGGTATGGAAATGACGCCTCGTCGGAGAGACGCCCTCCGACCGCCAGATCACGTGCCGCTCCTGCTCCTCTCAAGGTGAACTTTCAGGTCCTATCCGACCTTCGACATTCCGTGCAATACGATAATGCAAGATTATAACCAACATGTATTGGCAGCCTGTTAGACATTGGCCCTAAATTCTTCGGTCTCTGCCGGCCGCCAACACGATAGATTACCGACCGACTGAAGCAAAGCAGGACGAGTTGGCTATCGAGTATCGACATGGTCAAAACAACGAGGTGCGGGTGACCTGCTCGACGGTTTCGATCTCTCTTCATTCTCTCCGTAATGACAGAACTTGGGCGTGGCTTTGGAGATTGCTCAGGACCAAGCGTGAGGCGGAGCTCTCCCTCAGCTCAAATGCCACATCTGCCCGCTACGTATTCAGCTTTGCCAGAGTAGATATTCTTAAGATCCGATGCCGTACTTGATAACTCACAGCGCATTGCTAACAGAGGTGTGAGCACCGGGACCGGGACAGTTCAACGCAGGATTCAAGAGAAGATGGCCGCTATCATCAAGCCTCACAAGGTGGACCGGTCACCATTCTACTCACATGTCACGCATTCCACTGGAAACGCAACCATGGTAACTATGGCGGGGCAAATCGGACGGAAGACGGACGGTAGCATACCAGCAGACCCCGTGGAGCAAATCAGCGAAGCCTACGTTAACCTTGGACGTTGCCTCGAGGCCGCCGGTGCACAGGTGAAAGACATCCTTAGATTGGTATACTACATCGTAGGGTTTGACCACAACAACCCGCGGCATCGACAGCCATATCTGGACTTCATTGGCGACCACCGACCAGCAACAACCCTGGTACCTGTCGAAAAGTTGGCCCTTCCAGGAATCATCTTTGAGGTTGAAGCAACTGCTGCTATCCCTCAGTCTCCTCCTGAGACGGTCGATGTTGTGGTGGTCGGCGCTGGACTCAGTGGGCTACAGACTGCGGTCGATCTACACAAAGCTGGACTGAAGGTTAAGGTATGCGAAGCTCGGGATCGAGTTGGAGGGAAGACGTACTCCGTGCCAGCCCAAGTAAGTGTTTGTGACGTTGGCGCGGCATGGATCAACGACACGAATCAAGCACGAATGTACGCTCTGGCCAGACGCTTTGGTCTCGATTTGATTGTCCAGAATACAGAAGGCTCAATAGTCGTAGATGCTGGTGTAGGGGACTTCAAAACCCACCCCTATGGACAACTCAACCCTGGTGCGAATGACGGAGCCCGCATAGCCGACATCGTCCGCATTCGAGATCTTGTTCGAGACTACCTGCCAGCAGATTGACATCACCAGCACTGTGGCCTCGGGCAAGAAAATCAGAGAAGACCTAGATGACATTACTCTCGAAGACTGGGTCAAGTCTCATGCTCCTACATGTGACGATGCGTTGAATGCACTAAAGGTCGGAACTCGAGCTATGCTTGGTGTTGAGCCGTCCGAATTGTCAGCTCTCTACTTCCTCGATTACTGCAAGTCGGGAGGAGGTTATATGCTAATGCGTAGCGACAAGAAAGATGGAGGACAGTATGTCAGCCCCTCGGTGAGAGTGATCTCTTCGACACTACCAAGCCCTACCTTGCGCTCTGATACGCTTTTGCCTGACTTTCAGTGTTGGAGAAGCTTGCTAATATCTTCTATCCTTCAGGTATATCCGCATTGCTCAAGGAACCCAGTCGTTTAGCAGAGGGCTTGCTAGTGAGCTTCCCCCTGATTCGATCGCATTCGTTTCGCCAGTAAGACGCATCGAGCAGAAGCCTGGCGGAGTTCAAGTAACTGCGGCAAGAGGCGTCTACAATGCGTCTCGTGTCGTCGTCTCGGTTCCAACACCACTCTACAAAGAGATCATTTTCAACCCTCCACTCCCGGCGGACAAGGTTGAAATGTCTCAGTCGACTTTACTCGGCGATTACTGCAAGTCGATCGTCTTTTACAAATCTCCCTGGTGGCGGCAGCACAATCTCTGCGGCCTGGCGCAGTCTTGCTACGGACCCTTCGCCGTGACAAGAGAATCGAGCGTGGACGCTGACAACCAATTCTCACTGACCTGCTTCGTCGTGGGCCAGCCCGCTCGCGAATGGATGAAGCTTCCGCGTGCTGGTCGCGACCACGCCGTTCTTGAGCAGCTGGAGAAGCTGTACGGTCCGTTCGCGGCGGTCGAAAAGCCGATCGAGATTGCGGAACAGATTTGGCAGGCAAGTCTGAGAGCCACATTTGCCCGGCCAAATACTGATTGTTGGGACAGAACGAACAATGGAGCCAGGGCTGTCCGTGTCCAGTAATGGGACCAGGCCAGCTCTCACGATTCGAACATGTACTCAGGGCGCCAGCTAGCCGCATCCACTTTGTAGGAACGGAGACCGCCTTCGAGTGGAAGGGTTACATGGAAGGGGCAGTGCGATCTGGAGAAAGAGGAGCACAAGAAGTGCTGACGGCTCTCAACCGGGCGAGGATGTGATGGCTGCGGCAAAGCCTTTGGCTTGTTCCTTACTACAGTCACAGGACCGCAGGAAATTCGCGTTTGAAGAAACGATTCACAGTCCTTGCACCCTGCTGTCTTAATGTGGTGGAGGCTAGCTAAGCCTAAGCATGATCGTTGATGTTCCGATGTCCCAGCCGAGTGTTTCGAGTGATTTTCTCCCATTCCGGAGCAACTCTGGTGCTACTGTGTGTTCTGTCATTTGTCCTGCGACAATCCGATTTCAAGAGGGATGTCAAGGCCTATCAAGACCGCAGAGGGGCACTGATAAGCTTCGGCAACAACAGTTCTCCAACGTGCTGTCGGTAAACGATAGTGCGGGCGTGACACTTTTGCGCAACGGTGGCTGACAACAACGGAAGACTTTGCGTACATGTACCGACTGCTCTCGCGATACTAAAAGACCAGCAAACCATTGACGACGACCCTGCTTTCGCCATGGGCAGCCGGGCCGAAGACTATCACGACATTGCTGCTCGCGCGCAACAAGGAGTCTTTGATTCGATACCGCGGAAATGGCGACTGCCAGCGGAACTCAAGCAACACTATGATGGCCATGCAGCTTCATTCATCCCAACGTGTGGATTTCTGGACGAAAGGACTCTGGCAATCACAAATTTGTCGGCTACAGAGCTACTTGGTCAAATCCATACTGGCCAACTTTCGGCAGCGGCAGCAACAGAGGCGTTTTGCGAGCGGGCCTCGTTAGCACACCAATTGTGCAACTGTTTGACGGACTTCTTTCCCGAGGAAGCATTGGAATACGCAAAGTCTCTTGACGATGAATTCGCAAGAACCCGACTGATCGTTGGACCTTTGCATGGGCTGCCGATGGCTGTCAAAGATATGTGAGCATATATCGTCATCCGAAAGCCTCTCCGTTTGCACTGATAACAATTCTGGAGTTAAGAATGCATGTCAAGGGTAAGAAGACCACCATGGGATGGGTATCATGGGCCGACAATCCGCTCTCAACGATTGAATCATCCCCTGCTAAGGTCATGCGAGACGCCGGCGCCGTCTTCTTCGGCCGTACAACGATGCCACAGACTGGAATGGCTCTGGAAACTATCAGTAACCTCTGGGGTCGGACACTGAACGCCCACAACGCAGCTTTCGGTTCTGGTGGCTCCTCCGGAGGCGACGGCGTGTTGTGCGCTCTCAAAGGTGAGCCAGCTGCTCCTATTACAACTGATATTGGCGGCAGCATTCGGGCCCCAGCTGCTTTCAACGGACTATACGGCATGAGGCCCACCGCTGAGAGAGTTCCTCGGCACAACATGATCGCTGTTGCTCCAGGAAACATATCGATCAAAGTGTCCGCTGGGCCCAATTGCCACAACATGGCTGACCTGAAGACCTTGACACGGGTTCTTCTCGAGCATAAAAGCTTGCCTTATGAGCCAACGACAGTGCCTGGCTCCTGGTCTGATGAGCCAGCTGTGTCCCGGCCATTACAAATCGGCGTCATCTTTACAGATGGAATTGTTGAGCCGCATCCTCCCGTCAAGAGAGCGCTGCGAGAGACCGTCTCGAAGCTCAAAGCTGCTGGACATCAAGTCTTCGACTTCCCCGTGCCGTTTGACTTGTGGCAGGCTGCACTCACAACATGGGTAAGCTCCGAGTTCTATCCGCTTTAACATGCTGACGGTCATTGCCAGGCTTTGTACTTCCAGACAGGAGCTGCAGAACACAAAGCTATCTTGGCTGAGGGCAACGAGCCCATGATACCCCAGTTCGAGCACAACTTGAGAGTCTTTGGAACGAGGGAACTCACCGTACCTGAGCTACTTCGACACAACTCACAGCAAGCGGCATACAAAGCGGCGTTCCAAGAAGCATGGGACCAACAGGCAGAGGGGATGGACTGCATCATCTGCCCGTGCGCGCCAATGGCAAGCGTACCTCACGACTTCCCGGTGTGGTGAGCCAGCATCCAAGTCCGCCTCTTCTATCCACATCAGTTGACCTTTTGTTCAGGTGGGGATATACGACCCTGTTCAATGTCCTGTAGGTTGAAGAACCCCAACACGAGTCGTTCGTTGCTAACATCAGCAGCGACTACCCATCGGTTATCATGCCTGTGAAGGATCTCAAAATCAATCCGGAAGATGATCCGAAGGACATGTCGTACCAACCGAAAGACAACGCCTTCGATAAAAAGAACTGGGAGATATGTGAGTCGAACAACAGATGACCTGCTGATCCGGGCTGACTCAAGCCATCAGACGACCCCGAGCTGTGGCAGACACAGCCAGTGACGCTACAGATCGTTGGCCGACCCTGTCGAGATGAGGCGCTGATTGCTGTGAGCGAGGCAATCGACTTGGTTGTCAATGGGTTGTAGCATTGTCGTAGCATTGAACAACGCAGTGATAGGAAGAGTCAGCAAGGTTCTCGCGTTGCTGATCCAGATGGAGACGTCTCTCAAAGTAGCATCGCACCACACTTCTGCTTCCGTTCTGGGAGAGACTCTGCGACCGTTCGTAATGGTTAGTGTAAACCATAGAGTGCTCGGGAGAACAATACCTTGAGGGCAGAGTGTGAAGCCCCGCACATCAATCAACCTCGCTCTCTCCATGAACCTCGCTTTCTCAATGCTCGCTCTCGCCGTTGGTTTGTAATCCATCCTACTATTTAACCTGCACTGAGTTCCAACCAACCACTATAAGTTGTTTGGTCTCCAACAAGCTGCCACAGTCCAAGCATCACAATGGCCCAACAGATGATCGGTACAGCCCTGCCTGGCCTGCGTCCGTGCAAAAGATACATTGCAAAACACGACGCCAACGGCGTAAGTGTATATGACGACTCTCCCGACCAGGTCTTCAATGGCATTCCTGGCGGAGGAGGAGTAGCTCGGTCGTATTCCGTCAACTCTGTCCCTGCAAATCTCACCAACGACCAAGACGTTAAAGCATACCGAGCTAAAGAAGGACCTACAAGCTACACTCGGTGAGTTGTATCGACAGTAGCAAAGTGTCAGATTCGTCTACTAATCGACGTCTACCAGGCGAGAGATTGTCAACCCAGAGCCAGGTGCAAACTTGCTCGTGATCGATTTGGCTCCGGGAGCAGTGAGTGCTATGCATCGGACGGTTTCACTCGACTTCTCCGTGTGCGTTCAGGGAGAAATTGATCATGAGTAAGACTGCCGAGACAAGAGCAGCATCTCCAGTACGGTTGAAATCTGGAAGCCCAACGCTAACTATGTTCCCATCGCTGTAGGCTGGATGGTGGAGAGAAAGTTCGACTGTATCCCGGCGTGAGTCTCATTTTGGGAAGCCCATTAGGAGCCGCAGCTAATTCTTCTCCTGCAGGATCACATCGTGCAACGGGGCACCAACCACCGATGGTCCAATCCATCGAAGACAGAGCCTGCAAGGTTCGTGGCCACCACGATACCATGCATCCCTTTCGACATTGCCGGGAAACCTTTGGAGGAGTTACACATTCCCTCTGACGAGTGGGATAAGTCGAGGCCGAAGATGTGATAGCTCTGCTACAGACTCGCACCATAGACAAGCCTGCGTCGGCCATCATCAACTTCCTTTCGTGTGTCCATTTCCATTCATGAATTGTGCTTGAGCAGCATCCTCCAGCACTGCTCGCGCGGGCCACAGGAAACCAACTCCATGGCTGTCGTCGAGCCCCTCGCACGTTAAGAACTCGATCATGGCGATCATCGTGTAGGAAGAAAGAGCTGTCAGTATATGCCACCAGCCATGTAGTTCGAGAAGGACGCCGAGCGGGTAGCCGAGTCGATGCTGGAGGCGAGTGACCGTTGAGCAGCAATGCACATCGATGTTCCATAGAAAGTACGCAAAGAAGGCAGTTGCTGTGAAGAGAATCAGTACGGGGAGCTGGCATGGTCGTACATTAATGCGATCAGTCAACTGACAAGTTCCAAACGTCGCCAACGTTGCCATCTTCTTCCGCTGGGCAGAATCCTGCACGGTCTCGCGGATGATCTTGCGGGTCTTCCATATGACGGTAAATGTCAGACTCAAGAAGATAATGATGTGGAGCGTGAATTCATCTGTCACGCAATGGTATATCTTTGAGAAAGCATTAGCGACAAATTCCCGAAGCTCATTAGCCTTTCAACGTACAATGAAGGAGGTGAGTCCGATTGAAATGATTGCGGCATTTCGACGCTGTATGTCCTTCGGCTGGCGGAAGGAGAAGAGCTTGATTAGAACACAGCCCATGGCAAAGTGCATCGACATTTCATCTCCTTGAGGCAGAAGTCAGCTCTGGGGGTTTCAAAAGGCGAAAGACGGCACCGACCCATTTGTGTGTGGTACTGAAGAGTGGCATGATAGATCGAGCTTGCCACACCCACTCCAATGAGACCCCAGTAAGGTAGATTGACGATATCAAAGACACTGTCTCCCTGATGCTTGTACCGATTGATCCCGTGGATACCATAGGCGACTGGGGGAGACCGTATCAGCGAAGCCGGCTAAAGAGGGAAAGGTAGGAAGCAAGACTGTAACACAGCGATGTGAAGGTGTTGAAGAATTCTGCCACGAATCTTGTAACGATGTAGTCCTGCGACCTCAGCAACAGCTTCGCGTTGGAGTGGACTCAGACGTGGCTTACTTCTTCGCAGAAACTACGAAGACGATATCAGTTCTCCCTGTTCATCGCTCGTTCCGGTGAGGACGACAAACTTCATGTGTGATGTGGGCGGTCCCCAGTATGGTGCCTTCGGCGTACTGTACTCCATCGCAGCGACTGGAAGAGGTACCACTGTCCATGTAGCTACTGTAGCTACAAAGGTAAGAAGAAAACCTGCAGAGCTGAAGACGGCAGTGGCAGGAGCCTTCCCGGGCGGTCCGCGACTCAGGAGTACTCGACTTCAACTTTTCTGTCAGCAGCCTCACAGCCACGACTAAACTTCATCTTCTTCCTATTCAGGTAAACAACATGACACCACCCTAGGAACAGATGATGTCGGGTCTGGTTGGATGGAGGTGGACAGTGTCTCCAGGATACATAATGGTTTGAACCGTCTTCGTTCGCGTCTCCCTCCAACAAAGAGTTCTTTTCTTTCCAAGAACGCTCCACCATGGCACTCGCTTTCCTTCTGATCCTATTCCATGCATCGCTTTGCTTTGCTCGCCGCCTCGTGCTGAACGAGAAGCTCGAGTCCTCGAATCTGCTCGGCTCGCACTTCGGCCTGATTGACATCCCACAGACGTTTGACTATGTGATTGTTGGTGGGGTACGGCAGGACTGACTGTCGCCAATCGACTGTCTGAGCACCACACTGTCGCTGTCATTGAAGCCGGTGGCTTTTACGAGATCGAGAACTCCAACCTGACTGAGATTCCGGGCAACGACGTCTACTACCTGGGAAAGCATCCATTGTGGAGTAATCCTTTGGTCGATTGGAACCAGTATACAACGAAACAGCCGGCGCTTAACGATGACAGTGTCCTCTTATCGCAAGGGCATACCCTTGGTGGTGGCAGGTATCCCGCCGGTCCAAGCACCTAGCACAAAGGCGACACTCTACAGGAACGGCTCGCAACTTTATGTGGTATCACAGAGGCGCGAGCAGGGCATACGAGATGTGGGCCGAGATGACTGGCGACAACAGTTGAAGAATTGAGAAGTTCCAGCAACACCTCCAATCTCCTGTACAATTTACATCGCCCGTCGAAGGAGCCTACCCAGCTGGTCTAACTCCGACATTTGACTCTTCCTTCTATGACCCGAACGGAGGGCCGCTGCATGTTTCGTACCAGCAGTACCAAGCTCCGACTGGTGGTATACTAGGAGCTGGCTTCACCGAGCTCGGCCTGCATGAGTTGCCCGGCATGGTTGAGGGCAATTTATTAGGCTGGACAAGCTGCGCAACCACCATCAACCCGCGAACCCAGACCCGGGACAGCTCGGAGACCTCCATGCTGCGGAACGCGATCAAGCGCAACTACAACCTACAGATATTCACGCACACGCTGGCGAAGCGGATCTTGATCAACAATTGCAAGAGAGCCGTTGGAGTGGAAGTCAGCACGTCTGGGGTGGGCAGTGGAAGCACAACGTTCAAGATTCATGCTTCAAAGGAAGTCATCGTGTCTGCAGGTGCTTTCAGGTTACCACAGCTTCTGGTGCGTTGGCTATCCGTCCAGCGTATGATCTGCGGCTTCTGCTAATTGGTGGCTTCTGCAGATGGTCTCTGGAATAGGCCCGGCTGAAACCCTGCAAGCACACGATATCGATGTGATAGCGTAAGTCAGCTCATGATCCTCAGAAATCTCCAGTCTTATCCGAGACCGGACCAAGCGCTATCCGACGCTCTAGAGTCTCTTGAGCTCACTTCTTCCTTCGAGACGCTCGTTGACCGTTTTCGAATACTCTAGCGATCGGCCGGGTGTCGGACAGAATCTGTTCGACCACCTCTGGACCGCCGTCACCCGGAAGTTCAACGTGACGACCAGCGCACGTCTAGCGGACCCCGACTTTGCCGCAGAAGCGAATGCTGAATATGTGGCCCACCGGACTGGTATTAACACTAACCCAGGTGGAACCCTTATCGCCTTCGAGAGACTGCCGCGAGGATCGATCAAGGACTCCACCCGCAAAGACCTGGACACCGCTTTTGGGGGAGACTGGCCGGATCTCGAAGACTTCTCGATAGACGCATATGCCTCGACGAACGATGATTACTTGCTCTCAGCTCCGGATATGGGCAACTACTCAGCCATTGCTGCCACGATGGTAGCGCCTTTCTCTCGCCGCAACGTCATGATACAGAGCAAGGACACTGCTGTTCATCCTATCGTCAACCCGGCATGGTTGAGCGACCCACGAGATCTTGAAGTGCTTGTTGCAGGGGTCAAGCGTGTGCGGGAACTTTTCAACACCAAAGTTGTGACTCCGTTCCTCATTGGCGACGAAGTCTACCAAGGGTCGAACGTCACGACGGATGCTGAAATTGCAGAGGTGATAGCGGCTTCGAGTGATAGTGTGTTCCATCCGGTACGCTACGAACATGCAATTCATATCAACCCCAGACTACCACTAACCTTCTACCCGTCTCTGTAGGCCGGGATCTGCCGTATGGGCAAACCGAACGACGAAGACGCAGTACTGGACAGCCAGGCCCGTGTCCTCGGCGTCCACAACCTCCGCGTTGCCGACGCCAGTTTCTTCCCCGTCCTCCCACCGGCTCATCCATCAGGCACGGTCTACGGCCTTGCAGAAAAGATTGCTCACGTCATCCTTGCAGCCAAAGAACCACAGGCCGAGCTCTGAACAGAGTCCTCAGTCCATTCTAAAGAACCGTCTAGTCATACAAGCCAAATGCTCCTTCTCGTCTCCAACATCCCACATCCCCAACTCTCGTCCATAAAACCTCTTGCCAACCTCCGGGCTCGTAACGAGAAAAGTCCTCCGCATGGCCGGCATAGCGTCGAAGGTCTCGTTGCAGCATTTTATAAGCCACTTGCCGAGACCGTGCGTACGGTAGTCCGGTAAGATGTATACGTCTGTGAGGTAGGCGGTTGTCATATGGTCGGTGATTAAGCGTGCCATGCCGATCTGCTGTAGTTGCTCGGATGGATCGTCCGCGATGGTCGGAGATGGGGTGCGTGGCGAGTCTGGCGTCTCTGCGCTCTTGGGAGATGGAGCGGCAGGTATTACTTTGTACAAACCCAATGTCAGGGAGTTGTCCAGTAGAACTGTGAGCTGCTCGTCTGGGAGAGGCTTTGCCCAGTACGTTTCTTCTGAGGCGAACGCAGATTGGACGAATGCGCGGTCGACTAGGTCTTTGCTGGTCGAGACGAGGTAGTCGTCGTCGTTTACGCTTTTCTGCCATCTCAGGTTGTCTGTGGCTTTCGTCATGTTGACTGCTGTCATCTCAGATGCACATTTTCCTTGTGTTTTGTTGGACTTCGATCGAGCGGCGGAGCGAGACTGAAGCGATGAGAACAGAGCTGTCGGGCAAGAAACTAATGACTCACCAGACGAGAAACCGGCAAGAGTGAGCGTTGTTGGATGTTCGGCAGAAGGTAGTTTACATTCTATTCCTCTATGTCTATGCTATATACGCTTGTCGCGATGTCGTTGATCTATGCTCTATCGTCGTCATGTTCCCTTTCTTCCCTCAAGACCACATGCAGCTTCACCAGCTGCCAATGCGCATAACTTCAGAGCGAAAATTTCCTTCGTCTCTAGTCGTCTGTCCCACCGCATTCGCAGAGAAAGCAGAAGGCTCTCCTCGTCGTGATTGCTTGTACCTCTTGGCTGCCTGTTGGCATGTTCGCCAGAAGGGAGTCGGCCCCAATACCCTTGGTCTTGTGCTTTTCAGATGACCGCGCTGTTCAGTGGGTTGTTTTGTTTGCTTTGCCTTCAAAGATAACTCATCCACGCTGCTTCTTGTCGGTTGATGGTGGAGCGACATGAATCTGCCAGTACTTTCCGATATCCTGACTCATATGTGCCTTCCTCTCAGGATCTCGCTCATCCTGGTCGTACACAGGGTGCGTTACGTCTTCAGCCAACACCCCGATCCGCTCTCCATTCTCAAGAAAGTGCATGAACTCCTCGCCGACCTTGACGTACTGCATAACACCTTCGCGGACATCAATTGTCGAGCCCGTGGTCCAGGACAAGAGCATGGGCTCGATGAGCGGAGCGTCGGTCACCGATGGATGCGAGGTACCCTTCGAAGTCAGGAACCACGCAGACTGCTGCTTCTTGCCCTCCTTTTTCCTCATGACCTTTTTCACGAGGTCTTTGACCACCTCGAAGTGCGGTCGTCCTTCGAAGATAGAGTGCCGGGCAGACCACGACTGCGAGTGAACCACCAAGATCGGAACGTCGATGTCAGACTGAAGCGGTCCGCTCTGCTTGCCGGGGTCAAGTATCAGTCCACCGACGAAGGGGCGCTTGTCGTTCGGAGCGTCTTTCAGAGCCTGAAGAGCTCCAGTTGCGCCGTAGGAGTGACCGCCGACCACAATCCTGTCCATGTTGATGCGTCCTCTCCATGCTGCCAAATCGTCGCCTTCGCTGCGAGCGTTGGAAGCGAAGACGTCCTTGCCGTGGCCGTCGTTGATCTGCCGTAGAACGCGGACTGTCTCTTCGATTTCTGCCTGGCGCATGGCGATTTGAATCTGCTTGAACTCTGGTGTCTCTGGCTGGGGTTCCAGCATGCTCTCGCTGATGTGGTAAACCTCTCGAGAACTACCGTCCTTGAGCATGACACTGCTGCCAGGCCCACTGCCGTCCCGATGCTCGATTGCTGCCACGATGAAGCCAAGAGATGCGAGCTCGCCACACCATTGCGTGTAGCTGGTGCGACTTGAAGCCATTCCGTGTGAGAAGACGATTACCGGGAACTTCGGTAAGCCCGCCTCCATTGGAACTTCCGTGCTGGAATCATACTGTGTTGACGTGCCGTAGATGGGAACGTCCACTTCCGCTGGTACGACGGTGCTGCCGACAAGAGTCCACAGAGCCCAGCTGAAAATGTTGTTGGTGAAGACGTTGTTTATCCGAGCGAACCTGGCATAGCCCTCGCCCTGCTGTGCAAAATCGGATATCCACGGATGGTGAGGTTTTGTTGATATTGCGCCTTTGTTTGCAGGATAGTACATCGAGAACAGGACACTCTCAAGCGCGAAGGCCGGTTGCTGGGTGTCTTTGAAGACATGCTCGCTGATTAATCTCTTTTCGGTCGGAGCCTCAATGTCGACAACTCCCACTTGGTAGGGTCCAGAGTAGTTGGGTAGTTTGCTGCTGAGTAAAGGCATGTCGAAGATGTAGCAGACAAGTACGAAGATGATAGCAGCGATGAGCAGTATTCGCTTTATCGTCCAGCGAGGACGTCTCGTACTTATGAGCATTGAGCTTGCTGCACGCGAGCAATGGGTCGTCTCCAATCGGCAGGAACGGGCAGGCTGGATATGTCACAGAGTCGCAAGACGTGTGCTAGAAGCGACTTGCGAAGTGCGATGGCCGCTCTAATCAAAAATAGGCTCAGCCCCAATCGCAGAATGGATTGTGGTGGAATCACAGAATCTGGCGACGCGGCCTGAACGCTGACGTCGTCGTCGCCACTAGAAGTGGAAACATCGGACGGAACACCCCAGCCCTCGCAGCTTGGCCAACCCAAGCCATGTCGCACGTAAACTTCCGCGGGCGGCGCGGAGAGGCGGACGCGGACTTCATCTCTCATTCCAGGCTGCTTCCTTTCTCTCCTCTCTATCGTACGTTCCACGCACCACGTACCCCATGGCAGACTCGTCACCATGCCATGGGTCAGGAGAGCTGCACTGTGCGATACCGACACCATGTGCGAGCATCCGCCGCAGCCTGATGCGCTGCACCCTGCTGAAGTAATGTGCTGACGGCATCCCTTCTCACCCTGTCTCATCAACAGCTCAATCTAATCACTCGCGCTACCCGCGAGGCTGGTACCTCCAACCTCTTATCTACGTTTCGGCACTTGCATCGGATCGAACCAAAGCTAAGTAAAAGTGACCAGCCTGTTGCCATTTGAAGGCCTGCTGGCCTTTCAAGAAGAGGACGCCGTATCACTGCAACTGTATGGATCAATCTAACGATATGCGATGCTACAACGCACGGCCTCATTACATGGGGCTGCATGATCACAGCAGACATACGGACATGTGCGCTGGATAAGGCAGGGAGGATGGGAGATTTCGGTTGTTACTCTCTAATGTTCTCTACCGGAAGGCCTGCACCTGTTACAGATGCAATCTTTCTCCTCATATCAGAGCATCACTGAGGTGAGTTTGCCGTTCGACTATTTCCACATGAAAGCTGTGTCTTTGCCTCCTCTTATCAACTTCGAGAGTTGCTTAATTTGTCACTCCTTCCTTGACCTGATACGACATTCGCATAGTATCTCTCGGCAGCCATGACTGGCCAGCAACCTCACTGCGGGCACAGAAACCTGGACGGCTGGCTCCAGCATGTGATTACCGTATAGTCCGAAGAGGACAGCGATGCCTCAAGGTGCTGGTTTCACCCGGAATCAACCAGATGGGCATGCTGGAATTTGGAGCAGCAAAGTTTCGTTCGCTGTGATGTTCATAACTTCTACGAGGTTGTCTACGAATGTGAAGGGTGAAAGCATGTCATCCGCGAGGTACGTACATTCGAACTTCACACGATGCACGGCTTTCCGCTACTCTAACTTTCGCGCTCAGACGGCACGTCCAGTAGGCTCAGACCAAACAGTGAGCCATGCGATGGAAGCTGTAGCGGGCGAGGACACCACATTCCCGATCAGTAGAACCGGGGGTGCAAAGAGTAAGCATCCGCTCGCCCAGTTCGGGAACAGCTCAGTTGTATCAGGCCGGCTTCTCGAGTGAAGCGACGCAGAGAACAGCCGGCTCCGGTGCAGACGAAGGATCAAAGTGAGCGAGCGAGCAATACCACAGCCACAGAGATTAGAGAAGACGGCATCGATGCGACGAATGGCGAAGAGGAAGATCTTTAGAGGAACGGAGCGCAGAACCGACATCGACTGGACGTCAATGGCCCATCTTCAGCGTACGGCAAACTTGCGCGCAATGCCAGAGCCCGTGACAAAAGCAATGCGAAGAGGGCTAGTAGTGCAAACGGCAAGAGCAGGGGGAACGACGACACGGATGGATGAGTTGTCAGCGGCGCAATTGAATGCTGAGATTCTTGCAGCGCATGAGAGGTTTGAGAGGATGACGGAGCAAGAGCGAAAGGATTTCGATCAGCTAGCAAGGGCAGTCACTATGTCGCTGGACAGAATGATTGAGGAGGATGCAAGTAGCAAGAGGGAAGGCCGAGAGCGGCGGAGATAATGTCGAGCGGGCAGTGACGGAGTTATATCGGCTCGCTGCCGCTACTGCTATTGCTACGGCGGGCGTATCCATTGCCTAGCACGGCAAAGTCATGCTGAGCGGATACTGTAACCAATGACCGATCGAACTACTACTGAAGTACAGAGTACATCGGTATACAGGATAAGGTCAATTATGTTCACTTTAGTATTTGGAGCAATCAGAATAAGCCCTGGCACTCAGCTCTCTTCGCGTCAAGCAACTGCTCAAACACTGCTAGACTCATCAAACTCACAGCGTGAAAAAGCGATGCGGAGTCGTGGCACGTTGCCGCTCTCGAGCCATACCCTCGGCTACCGTAGGCCAGACATTCATCAATTAACAGCGTGTATTAGAAAACACTACCACGTCCAAGAAGAACAAAGAAATCGACGGAGAACCAAAAATCAAGGCCATCCAACTACAAAAACTTGTCAAAGGGCCCAACGAGCTCACGGTCTCCGATCTACCCGATCTCCAGCCATCACCAGACAAGTACTTGATCAAGGTCCATGCCGCTGCCACCAACTTCTTCGACGTGCTCCAAATACAAGGCAAACATCAACAGAAACCTCCATTCCCATGGATCGCAGGCAACGAATGTGCTGGAGAGGTTGCAGCGCAGCCGACGGCTTCCAAGACGACGCCGAAATTCAAGATTGGTGACAAGGTCTTTGGAGCTGCGTTAGGAACGTTCGCGACGCAGATTCATGTCGAGGAAGTCGGACTCAGGCCAATGCCAGAGGGCTGGTCGTATGCTGAGGCCAGTGGATTGTTTTACACCGCTCCCACGGCGTATGCTGCATTGATCTTGCGGGCGAGGGCAAAGAAAGGTAATGGTTTCCAAGTACGACTCAGTTGAGTTACGACTTACATTTGATCAGGCGACTATGTTCTCGTCCATGGTGCGGTCGGTGCTGTCGGCCTCGCAGCAATCCAGATATCGAAAGCTCTCGGCATGATGGTGATTGCCACCGTCAATTCAGACGACAAAGGCAGAGTCGCCAAACGCTTCGGAGCCGACTACGTCCTTGACAGCACCAAAGATTGGGAGAAGGAAGCGAAAGCCTGCACGCCAAATGAGCGAGGTGTCGACGTAGTCCTGGATCCTTTAGGCATGATCCAGCGGTCGTTGAAATGTACCCGATGGGACGGTCGACTAGTGGTCATCGGTTTTGCTGCAGGTGAGATCGAGAAGATCCCTACGAACCGCTACTTGTTGAAGAACGTCGCTGTCGCCGGGCTGTTCTGGGGCGAGTACGCCAACAATGACCCGGACTCGGTGGTGGCGGTCTGGGACGCTCTTCTGGGCTTGATAGCCAAGGGCGGCGTGAAGCCCATGATGTACACAGAGAAGAAGTTTATGGGTCTCGACCAGATGCCGGCTGCTTTGAACCTGTTGGCCAGTGGGGAGGCTTGGGGAAAGATCGTGGTGGAGATACCGCAGGGGAAGGAGTCGAGGTTGTAATGGACTTGTCAATATACATGTAGCACGAGAGGATGAGTCATTGCTCTGCGATTATCTGTTGGTAGAACATGGACATGTACGGGTGGATAAAAGCAGGTCGAACACAGGGGAGGAAATTCGACGAAAGCATTCACCTCTACATTTAACCTCAGCTAGCGCCGGCCGTGGCTGTCCAATCACAGCTTTTAGCTCCAAAAAACATTAACTGCCCCGCCGCACTCTTGCTTCTGGCACAACCAACATATCTTCCTACAGCGTACCTGACGTCTGCGAAAGGGCTCTACAACATGGCAGAGAACATCTACGACGAGATCGAGATCGAGGTACCTCTTCTCCGCGACGCTGCTTCTCACACATGAACAACATTGCTAACAAGACCAGGACATGACCTTCGACTCGACCCTCCAACTATACCACTACCCATGCCCATGTGGCGATCGCTTCGAGATCAACATCGATGACCTGCGCGATGGCGAGGAGATTGCAGTCTGTCCGAGTTGCAGCTTGCAAATACGGGTGATATTCGATCAAGACGACCTACCGAAGCCGGACGGTGGCAATCAACAGGCACAACCGCAGCAGGTTGTCGCCGCTGGCGTTTGAAGATGGGAGACCCAAGCGCATCATAACAGTCAGGGGATTAGAGGGATGGGCCACAGCGAGCGACTAGTGATGAGGATCTAGAGCTGCCTGCCGGGACGCAACAACGGTTCACACACGTGCACACCAAAAGGCGAGCAGCTGCACAAGTCTCAGCACGTATGCCCACAGACGAGTCGCGGATGCTGGGGCCTGCAAGAGGGGGGAAGCAAATGCGTGCTGTTGGATAACAGGCAAGAACAGAAGACAAGGGCTTGTTACAGATTCCAGGCTATATCGGCGGCGCAGCAGAGGAACGCTGAGATCGATAGAATGAGATAGGAGCGAAGACAAATGCACAACAGGTCGGGTAATATGCCAGCATAACCTCTACCACACATTATCAGCGTCTTCTGCCCCTACTCTGTGGACGTCGGATCAGGCTTCGCCTTCATCTTTTCCTCAAGCCCGTGCAGATCCAGCGTAATAGCAAGCTCCTTCCGGCAAATCTCCGTCAAACGCGTCCCATCTCGCAGATACACCCAATCCCCATGTCCACCGCCTTCCTTCTCGTGCATGCTCTCCCCGTCAACCACCCAATCGAATCGTTTCGGGCCGGATATCGGCGACGAAAGCCATATCTGCTTGTTCGGGGGTTGTTTGTTGATGATGTATGTGCCGTTCGGGGGGATGTTAATGGAGAGAACACCGGCCTAGGACATGTTAGCATATCTAGACGTGATCGACTTGAGGTTTGACACATACGCTGTATTCCACTTCCACATCGCTCCTGTCTTCCTGAATCCCTTCCGCCTTCTCGTGTATCCCGTCCATGTACTCATCTGACCGTAGCTGGTATTCTTCCTCGCTAAGCTGAGTCGGCTGCAGCACCCTGTTCTCCTCCACGCGGCTTGGGGGTTGTGGATCCTCGCTCTCTGGCATGAGACTAACGTGAGAGCGCAATGAGGTCGAAAAACACCTCGGGATGTCGGACGTAATACGTTGTGTGCCGGCTCTCACTGTCTGCTGTTGAAGCCAGGATGTACGCTGCCCAGCGACTCTGCTCCTGGTCACGGATCTTGCAGCATGGCGGGCAATGCGCGATACTGCTGGAGCGGACATGTTGACAGCGAGTTGGAATTGTAGGGCCTCGAGTTCAAGATTGGAAGAGTGAAGACGTAAGGTATGTTTGCGCATTGAGTTCACATGAAGCTTTGGCTCCTTCGAGCTTTCCCCACGCCGACGCTACCGCATGTGGAAGGTGCAGAATCGAGGTGAACAGCGTGCAGCTGATTCCATTCCTGAACGCCATGCAAACTACGTATTCCAGGCAATGGAGATGCTCACATTACTGACTCTGGGCCAGTATATGTTGGTTGGCTATGGTAAAATGGGTTCTATGCTTGGGTTAACCCGAACTATGCCTTCGAAAGTAGGAGCTTTTACTCGCCATGAATGGTTGAATACATCATGCATAGAAAATGGATCGCTTGGGGACGACAGCGCTCCACGATCACCATCGAATACCGCTGCGGCTTGCAAAATTGATGGTGGAGCTAGTCCGTCCTTCCACCTAACCAATCTTATTTTACGCCATCGATTCTGGGCCCTTCGCAACACTTTTAGTCCCTCTAGAGCCTCCCAAATACTCTGACCCGAGCACGTGCTCCCGCAAGACGCGACGTCAAGTCTTTCCGCCGCCCTGCCGCCCATCCTCCACAAAGCCCAGAACGGCCCATCCAACCCGCGGTAGCTGGACTTGGGCACAGCGCTGCCCGACACAGCTCCACCCGAGCTCGGTCTTTCGCCACGAGTCCTGGGAGTGCCGCCCGTCTGTCCTGAGCTCTGATTGCTTTCGTGGAGTCTGGGGTTCCTGGTCTGAGGACACAGGTGTCGACAGGCCAGAAGAAGCGTTACGGGAGCTGCTTTCTTCAGGTGCCGTAGTGGCACTATCCAAGGTGCATAAGCAAAAGTTTTTCCAATCCAATCGCGCACATGTCAAGCTATTTCTTCGCCTTGACAACCGTCGCCAATTCCTTCTTCACAGCATCTGCTCCATCCACCTTAGCCTCATGTGGAATCGCGAGGTTAGGTGCGGGCACGCCCTCGGGGTTGGCAGCGTGTTCGTCGTCTCCAGAGTTGATGCGGCGCATGATGATGGTCAAAGCATCGTCGTATGTTGTGGCGGCGCCGCTTCGGAACAAGGCTATGCAGTACTCCTTGAGGTCTTGCGACCATCCAGCTTCGTCGAGACGTTGGCGCAACGTTGATTGAATGCGCTTGAGCCCGCCGTTCTGCATAAGGGCCATGATGATTTGGTCGCGGACAGAGGGATCCCAGCCGGAGGTCGAGCCGTTGACCGGGACTTGGTGGCCGTTCGATATGCCGTTGGTCGTCATGTTTCAGGCTGAGTGTTTCGTGTGTTTGGCAGAAAGTTGGTTGAGATCCCCAGTCCAGCGGTGTTGTCTTGAAGGTGGTGCGCCCAGGCATATTTAAGTATTGGAGCGCATGCCAGAAGCGGTAAGCGTGCTGTAATGTACACCCGTTCTCTAAATCAACCTCACCTCATCACCGACACCACCTTGCTTCAAGACACTGGTCGACTGTTGAGAAGGAAAGCGTTCACATGGCAGCAGTCGCTAACAATGTGCTAGCGCCCTCAAAAACGCAAGGGCAAAAGAACATGCCTTGCTGCGAGCCGAACCTGTTGTTAGCACAGCTCCAAGATGATCGGCTGCCGACTCTCGGGCCGGATCCGTGGGACGGTAGAAAGTGTGTTGAGAGTCATGTTGGACAGTGTGGTCCCTACCTTCGTTCGCCCGTTCGAACTGGGAGATCGGGCAGTAAGGCATTACTCCGAAACCCTGCTTCTCGCCTCCCAGTTTGAGCAGGGGAACGGAGGTAGTCCCCAAGGATCTGTTGTGAAGACCAGCAGAATGCGTACTGACGACGGGGAGAACCTCCCTTTGATCTTGGTCGTACATCCGGGCAACATGCGCGGCGTCACACTTTGTGCTATTCGCGCCTCCGAACAACTCTGTTCGGGGCTGGAGCTGGAATCTGGAGAAGACGTTGCAAGCGCGGGGAATTAAAGCGGGGAGAGCCACAAGGCCTGCTCGGTAATGTCGTGCCCTGTTGACTATACTGCATCCGCTCGGTGTACGCCATGGAGGTTATGGGTGGTCGACATGTCATAAGATGGCTTCCAAGAACACCTACACCGCTCTTGCCCCATCGCCTCTGCGTCTCGCTGCACCTTGCTACTGCATCCGCCTGTTGTCATGGCACTTGCGCCGTTGCTGCAGTCGGTCTCCCCGTTTTGGGCGAGTGTTGGACTACTATGTCTTTCCTTTGCAATAGGCCTCGGTCACTATGCCAGGCTGTCGCTCCGTCCCAAGAACTTTCCTCCAGGACCCCCAATTCTCCCGATTTTGGGAAACCTTCATGTCTTTCCCCCGAAAATGAGCTTCCTGAAGTGAATCCAGATTCTGGCGTACTTGGGACCGCACTGATCGATGGCGTGCTTGCAGGTTCCACGAATGGGGCGCCAAGTACGGCGACATCATCGGACTGAAGATTGGGCAGCAGAATGTGGTAGTACTGAATCACTACAAGCATGTCGCAGAGTATGCTTCGAGCGCTTTGCTCTTAAAGGAGCAAGTTTCTCTGCTGACGAGTAGTTGAAAGGCTCTTCGACAAACGCGGTGCCAACTATGCCGATCGACCCCGGACTCACATTACCCACGACATCCTGTTTCCCGAAGGTCTCCATTTACTGTTCGCGGACTATGGCCCCACCTGGCGTTTCATGCGGAAGGCAATGATGCGGCTTCTCAACACCAAGGTGGTTGATACACTACTGCCGATACAGACTGCAGAGTCTCTCGTTACCATGCAAGCGCTTGTTCGAGATCCAGAGGAGTGGTGCGCACGCTCTCCGCGTCATGCCTGTACTTGACTAAGGCGTGATCTAGGTATAACCATATCCAGCGTTATTCGACGGCGGTGATCCTCGCGTCTGTCTTCGGACTCCGCGGAACTTCCTTCGACTCACCGCGCGTGAAAGATCTGTACGCTACTGTACACGAGCTGACCAACCTGACTGAGATGGGATCAACGCCTCCGATTGATATCTTTCCGTTCTTGAAATTATTACCTGACTTTATGTCGCCCTGGCGAACGCGGGCACAAAATCTTCGGATTGAGTACCGCAGAGTGTACAACTCCCTCGTCGATGAAGGCAAGGAAAATCTCCAACGGGAAGACGCGCCAGACTGCTTTCTCAAGCGCCTCTTGGACGACGCTCCAGAGACTGGTTTGAGCGCGGAGCAAATTACATATGTTTGCGGCGCGTTCATGGAGGGCGGCAGTGACACCACTGCTTCCGCGATGTTGTCATTCATCCTGGCAATGGCAGCACACCCGCACATCCAGAGGAAGGCCCAACGAGAAGTTGATAGCAAATGCGGTCTCGACAAGAGTCCCACAGCAGAAGATGGCATGGACTTGCCGTACCTGCGAGCCATCCACGACGAGGTAAGAAATCCGCTGCAATCATGCTTTGCGCGTTCGGTAGGATATATCTGACTTGTTCGTGAGGCAGACGTTGCGATGGCGCCCGGTCGCCCCAGGTGGCATTCCGCATGCCGCCGCACAAGACGATTGGTATAACGGGTATTTTATTCCAAAAGGGACGATCTTGTTTGCAAACACATGGTCGATTCATCGGACAGACGAGTTCCGGGACCCTGACTCGTTCATCCCGGAAAGGTTCGTCGACAACACATTTGGAACTGAGCCCAGCAAAGTTCAGGGTGACGACCAGAGCCAAAGACGTGTAAACTATACGTTCGGAGCTGGGAGGCGGGTGTGTTCGGGCATGAGAATGGCCGCTAACTCCCTCGTGAGTACTTCCACCCCCAAGCGTTGTTCTGCGTCCTGACCCTCGACCTTAGATTCTAAATATGGCGAAAGTCCTTTGGACATTTGATCTCGTTCCGGAGAACAAGGAAAAGCCAATCAACACCGACGTCACTGAATGTTACAAGAGCGGCATCCTGGTGTTCCCGAAGAAATTCCCAGTCAAGTTCGTACCACGATCAGATGCGCGTGCAATGGTCATCGAGCGAGAGGTTCAAGACGTCCAGCCATTTTTGTCGAATTTCAAGCAGTGAGGCGGACCGTGACTTTGGGAGTTCGAGCGCTGGCAAAGCTGATCGATATTGCGACTATGGCATTGGTTTTCTGGAGGCTTCGGGGACACGGATAGTAGTCTATATCGTACAACAACGTACCACGGCTGTGTTCTTCTCCATCTCCAATTGGGTCGCTAATCCCCCACGAACGACGAGACAGCGAAAACCTGAAGATGCCTCGCTGCAAGCCGGACATCAGCCAAGGATCAGTCGGCTGCTTTCGGACCGAATGGCTGACGAGACGTGCCGGCACTCTGAATGCATCTTCGTGGCACTGCGTGGACCATTGAGATATTCCGGGGCACTGAACCCCACATCGATGGCATTGGTCTGGAACCCTTCACCCGATGCGCTGTGCTGCAGACCCGAGACCATGTAGGTCAAAGTCAGGCCTTCAGAAACCGAGGCCCGCTCGTTACGCCGTTCCTCCGACGACTAGAGGCCCCGAACGCACGACTGGAGGCCGCGAACAGCCCAACCAGGGTACAGTACGCACGAACATATACTCAAAGAGAGCTTGCTAGAGCATCGTCAAGCTCATCCGAAGCTTCGAAACCATCCCCGTCAATCCCCGACTGTTCGACGACAGGAAGATGTGCTGCGTTCAACAACTCCAGGTTTCTCCGCGTTTTCGGCGAGCCGCCAGCTTTCGGACCGTTTGATCGCATGGTCACGGCGCGTGGCCGACCATTGATCCCCGCCCACGCTACATAAGATGAAGTAGATTTTCAATCGCAATTTAACTTTCTCACTCTCCAAATCCAAACTCGCCAACTTGGTCGCCGTCCACATCATGTCGCGACAAGGCTCTGTGGGCAATGCTCAGAACACCAGCCACAATGCAGCGAAAGACAACATCGAGGAGAAGGGAGGGCCATTGCACTTCCCCTCTGAAGATGAGCTCAAGCCCAGCGACAGCATGAAGCAGACAATCATCAACGCCAAAGCAGCGTCCGACAAGGAGCAGAAGATGTCCTTGTTGCAAGGCATTCGGCTGTACCCAAAAGCCATTGGGTGGTCGGTACTGATTAGCACTTGTATTGCCATGTAAGGACAGAACAGAACATCGATCACGAGATGATGCTGATTGCGTTACTTGCGCATGTAGGGAGGGATACGACGTCTGTCTTGTCAACAACTTCTACGCATTTGATCCATTCAACCGCAAGTATGGCGTCCTGACCGACGACGGCTCGTATCAGGTTCCAGCACGTTGGCAAGCTGGGCTCTCTAACGGTGCTGCATGTGGCGAGATCATAGGTCTATTTGTGAGTGACAGTCGAAAAGCGTTGTGAGACATACTGACCATCCTACCCTTTTGCGGCAATAGATCAATGGTTGGGTATCTGAAAGGATAGGGTATAGGTACACCGTCATGGCCTGCCTCGTTTTGATTGCAGCATTTACAGCCATCTTCTTCACTGCACAGAGCGTCAACGCTTTGCTTGCCGCCGAGATCCTATGTGGTATTCCGTGGGGAGTCTTTCAGACACTTACCATCACCTATGCGTCGTAAGTACGATCGAGAGTTTGACACGATCGACTTCTGACAGGCTGTGTTCTTCTCCCACAGAGAAGTCTGCCCAGTGGCTTTGAGGGTAAGCTTCGCGGTCCCTTCTCTACCCTCGGCAGAGCGAGCGCCTAGAGATTGAGGTGCGTCGTGCTAATGGTTGTGCCGGTGTTAGGGCTACTTGACCACATATGTCAACGCGTGCTGGGGTATCGGGCAACTGATCGGTATGACCTCGATACTCAACGTTGCCGAACATCCTGAAGAACATTTCTAACATTGCCATATTGTAGGCATTGGCGTCATCAAGTCAATGATCGGTCGCAACGATCAGTGGGCATATAGAATCCCATATGCGCTGCAGTGGATGTGGCCACCGTTTCTCCTCCTCGGCATTGCGTTTGCACCCGAATCGCCTTGGTGTAAGCATTCGCATCCTCCAGAAGCCCTCTTCAGGCTGTAGAGGAGTACTGACAAAGTTCAGGGCTCGTTCGAAAGGGTCGAATCGAAGAAGCCAAGAAGTCTTTGCTACGGCTTACCTCTACGAATCGCGAGACCGAATTCGACGCTGATGAAACAGTTGCCATGATGGTCCACACTACAGCCCTCGAAGAGAAGATCACTAAAGGTGCCTCTTATCTTGACTGCTTCCGCGGCACAGATCTAAGAAGGACGGAGATCGTTTGCATGTGCTGGGCCATCCAGAATCTCAGCGGTAAGTCTGCATGCTGAGTTGCTTGCACGCTGATAAGAAATGATGAAGAAGAACGCTCATTCCTCTAACAATCGTTACAGGCAACGCCTTCAGCAACTACAGTACATACTTCCTTGAATCTGCTGGTCTGCCCGACTCCTCGAGCTACAGCTTTGCTCTTGGCCAATACGCCATCAATGTTGTTGGAACGGTCGGTGCTTGGTCGTTGATGAGCCTTGGAGTCGGACGGCGAACCCTCTACCTTTATGGCCTCTGTGGACTGTTCTCGATGCTCTTCATCATGGGCTTCCTCGGTCTGGTGCCGGACAGCGGACGTGACCAGGCAGCTCTGGCCACGGGATCGCTCATGATCGTCTGGGCCTTGTTCTACCAGCTGACCGTTGGAACGGTCTGCTACTCTCTGGTGGCTGAGCTGTCGACTCGTCGACTTCAGATCAAGACCGTTGTGCTTGGACGCAACCTGTACAACGTCGTCGGGATCATCACCAATGTCTTGACGCCATATATGATCAACCCGTCGGCATGGAACTGGAGCGTAAGTGCCGCGCCTCGCAAGCCCACAACTGTGCAACATCTGCTGACTCGTTTATCAGAATTTCACCGCCTTCTTCTGGGTAGGTTGCTAACATCACAATGCTTAGAACACCGCTGACACTTCTGCTCTCTCCGTGCAGGCTGGATTATGCTTTTGCTGTATAGTATGAAACCCACAGGCAAACCCCTACCGTGTGTGATCATTCGCTAACCGTTCCGCCCTTCTCTTTGTAGGTATATACGTTCTTCCGCATTCCTGAGCCTAGAGGGAGGACGTTCGCCGAGCTCGATCTCCTCTTCGAACGGAAGATCGGCGCGCGGAAGTTTGCTACGACAGAAGTTGACGTGTTCGATGAAACGGTCGATGAGAGCTTGATCCACCAGTACAAACACACCTTGGACCGCGCGGACAAGATTGGTGGGATTGGGATGACCCCGGCTTGACCGCCGCCGGGGTTGCCAGCGGAGCGGTGTGGTGTATAGGACGGGGTTGGAAAGAGTATGCTGCTTGCTGGGGCGAGTGCAATCTAACTTGAGAAGCAACCAACGTAGTTCATATGTCTGGGTCATGTTACACCGTGCATCGAAAGAGGCATGTATACGAGTGGTGATTTAGGGCTGCGTAATAACCAAGCGGACCGGAATTCACTGCCAACGCCGGGCCGTTCGTGCAATACGGAACGGATGTCACTTTTCGGATATACCAAAGGCAACTACATTCCAAGCCAATGGCAAGACATCACTTGCGTTTCATTTCGGACAGGAGAAACAGTCTTTGGCCGCTGAAGTGCACATTCACGGCTGAACGAGTGGTTGTCTCCAGCTGCGCCGTTCTATGTTCAGCCATTGTCGCAATACACCGCCATGTATAAATGCCGCTGTCTCTTCAAGAAGGTTACGCAGGGCCCAACACATTCTGCAGCGCTTTTGTTAAGATATCAATTCCTCCACATTGACCTTCCGGATCCTCCAGCAAGACAGCCATGGAGTCGCAAGTTCTCAATCGGTGTCCGCCGAATGGCATATCCGTTCTCATATCTGGCGCTGGAGTAGGTGGTCTCATGACTGCGCTTGAGGTCAGTAAGGGACTCAGGGAGACTGGATGGTAACTAATGCATCTATTCAGTGTTGGCGCATAGGCTGCGACGTCCGTGTGTTCGAAAGAAGCAAAGAGCCCATCACCTCTGGTCAATACGGACAACCCATCTCATTGGCACAGGCTCCAACTAATCAAGCATCCAGGCGACTCTTTCACGATTGGAGTATCCGCCATTGGCGCCTTCAAGAACTGGCCATTACTAAGGCAGAAGAACGAAGAAATCGCCTACCATCCAATGGTCACCTACTGCAAACACACCGGGGAGCGACTCATGGGTCCCATGGAGTTCTCAGCCTTGACCTCCGACCCCGAAAACGCTCCCAAGATCTACCGCCACTCGCGACCGAAGTTCCACGCCATGCTGCTCGATCAATTAGCCGAAGTCGGATTGAGCGTGGAGTACGGCAAAGAAGCTGTAGACTTCTTCGAGGGCGTAGAAACCGGGCGTGCAGGCGTTGTGGTCCGAGACGGTTCTCGATATGATGCGGACTTGGTGGTGGCGGCTGACGGGGTGCGCACAAGGTCGTGGAATCTGGTGGCTGGGAAAGAAGTACCGGCCGTGAGCTCAGGCGATGCCATTTTTCGGGCAGCCTATCCGGTCGAGCTGGCGCTCATAGATCCGGTAGTAATGGAGCGGTTCAAGTTGCTTGAAGACGGGAGGTCGGTCATTGAGCTTTGGGTTGGGTGAGTGGAGACATGTTTTCTGTGTGAGGCTCGCTTGCTAACGGGGTGAGAAGCCCAGGTATGCATGCGATGTTCTGGAGGAACCAAGATGAGATGCAGGTGGCGATTCCACATCCGGTATCGACAAATGAACGTCCATACTCAGGCATTCTGCTGACATGATCGCAGGACTTCGGTACTGCCCAGGAGTCATGGGGCAACAGAGTGCATCCGGAGGAAGTTTTGAAGTACACCGCGACCATTGACGGCTGGTCAGATATCGGCGATTGCGTGATCAAGACCATTCCGTCCTCTTCGCTAGTAGATTGGAAGGTGATGTGGAGAGACCCGCAGCCTCAATGGACTTCTCCAGGCGGGAGAGTATGCCAGCTGGGAGACGCTGCTCACACTTTCCTCCCCAGCTCGGGCAACGGTAAACGAAGATGAGGATATGAGATTGAGACTCTGCTGACCATCTTGCTAGGAGCGACTCAGGCGATCGAAGACGCTGTAAGCCTCGCAGCATGCATCTCCATGGGCCGAATCCGAGAGGGCGTACCCAATGCAACTCGAGTGCACAACCTCCTCCGCTTCGAGCGAGTGTCCTGTCTCCAGGCTTTCGGCGTTGTCAACAGAAAGAAAGCAAACTCCGGGGGACAAACGGATGACAAACCGAAGGATAAGCTCGTGCGGGTGGGACGATGGATACTCGAGCACGATCCTGAGCTTTACGCATTGGAAAACTACGCTGGTGCAACGGCACATCTTGCGCATGGGACTCCTTTCCAGAACACGAATACGCCTAAGGGCTTGGTCTACATGCCATGGACCATCCAAGGTCTTCTCGAAGCGCAGGAGAAGGGAGAAGCGACGATTCTGGATGGCGACTGGGATTGATACTTTCGCAGCAGCTTGTTCCAGACGTACTGCAGAAGGTGTCTGCATCAAGCTGATTCAAAGCAACGGTCGCAGTGGGTCAGAACTGTTTCGAGCGATGAGGTCAGTGACTGCAGTGGCACAGACAATAGTCATTAGGTCAAGAAGGGGCTCTGTCATTGCATCGGGGTATCTTAAGAACAATCATCACTCATCCCAACATCAACGCCAGACAGCTGCTGCGCTCAATACCTATGCTCTCAATGCCCATGCTCTCAATACCCAGACAGATGCCTTTCATTCCTCAGACAGATATGCCCTCTTCTCTCGCACAGTAAGCTCCGAACATCTCGCTTTGTACACTTGGCACGCGATCAGAAGCCCAGGATGGTCTGCTCGATCGACTGAATCGGCCCTCCGAAGGTGTCGTCGCTGTACTCCTGGGCATCGTCGGTGGGATCCGGGAAGACCTCACCGGCCGCATTGGGGAAGGTGGCGTCAGCCGACTCCGGGAAGGGTGGAGCGGTGGGAGTGATCGGCGACATGAACGAACCGTTGGCGAAGGCCTTGAGGTACGACTGAGCCGTGCCGAGAATCTCCTCATCAGTCATCTGACTGCTGAGGCGGACCGAAGCGAAGAGCGTGTTCAGGCTGCGACGTACGGTGTCGGCACCATCGTCAATAGGGACGAGAGGGCGGATAGCCTTGATGCGGCTGCCGTCGGTGCGGACGTTCTGTACGACGCTCCACGGGCTTGTGGTCTTGGTGTACGCCGTGTTGCCTTCGAATAGGACCTTCGGGTCGATGGAGTTCATCGGCTCTGGAGTGCTGGGTCCCGAACGGCCGGTCGCTTCTGGGGCCATCGCAGCGGAAGAGGAGCTGGTGACTTTGCACACCGGAAACTGGGATGTTCCGGTGGAGTCGATGTCGTTGGTGGTGAATCCGAAGTCAAACAAATCAGTGGCGTCGGACTGACTGACGACGGGAGCGGGAGCAGTGTTGAAGTTGATCGGAGGGGCGAGGGAAAGTGTGGAGGCTACGAGAGCAGGACCGGTGCTGAAGGGGGTCGGAGCGACGAACGAGTGAGTGACGTCAGCCACAGTCGTAGTCTCCTGGTCTGGGATGGTGTTCATGGCCTTCTTGCGTTTCATCTCCTTCTTCACACGCCTGTTGGTGGTGACGCTCTCATCGGAGTGCGGGCGAGCGTTGCCGTCAGGCCTGTCCTTCCTGCAATCTGGGTCAGCGAGGCTCAAAAATATGTGGGATAAGCTGAAAGCCATACCATCCTTTCAAGACGACGAGGTTGGGGTAGTCTTTGCCCGGACCGCAATGGACCGAGGAGACATGACGGCGGATGAACCATCCAGATTGAAAGGAGTGGTGGCAGAACGCACATTGCTTCTCGCAGCGCTCAATGACGAGTTCGCCTTCGGTGACCCTGCAAGCAGAAGGGCGATGAAGTCAGCAAACGTCTCAGAACATCTCGACTAGATTTGCTTACCATTGGTGGCTATGAGTATCGATGGTACACGGCATGGTCGCGGTGGTGGTGGTGGGAGAGGGGCTTCACGGAGGAACAGTGGAAATGTGATGAATGGACTTGGTGGACACGAGACAGAGCGTCTGTCTCGCCTTGCTGCTGAGGTGCCTGATGTGTTTGAGACCGGCTCAATGCTTGTAGTGGTCCTGGGAGTGCGTTGCGAGGTGCCTGCGAGGTGCTTGCGAAGATAATGCTGTCGAGTGTGTCTGTGGGAGAAGGTTGCTGTACGGAAGAAAAGTCTGCAAGAGAAGCGATATGCTGTTCAGTACTCGATCAGCATTGTCCTATTGATCCTATTGTCCGCTCCCAAATGCGGTGGCTGGTTGACTTGACTGGCTGGTGGAGTGAGAGGTGTGAAATGAAGTGAAGGCGTGTGGAAAGCAACGACCTGGCTCAAAGGTCTTGGCGCGGCCAAATGGCATGTTATAAACAAACAAAGAACTCGAGATCGAAGTGCGTATCACGATGATGCCGCTCGAACTTCTCTCGTTCTGCTGGGGTTTTAATTGCGCGAGATACAGGTACTGCAAGGACACACGCGGACATTGCGGCACTCACATTTGTTGCCAATGCGATCCAGAATTCCTCACTTCACTCAACTCTGAAACGCCGTTTGGGCCTCTGAAGGGGCCTGAGCCGTTGTTGTGTAACCAAGGGTCCGCACAAGCCATGATGTGAGGTCGACTTTGCGAGAACGCCGACAATACTTTGCGGACGGGAGGGTCCAGCAGCATTGTCGTACCATGATGAATCGCCAGCCAATTGATCATGCAAAGCCGTATTGTTGTCACTGTTTAGAATCAGCAACGAAAGAGCATTGCATATACGCTCAAACATGCACGGACCATCACTGCATCCCAATTCAGAAGGAGCGCCGCGTGTGCCGCATGTGAGGCCAGTTGAAAACGACTATATTCTCTTGAAGGTCGCACATGTCAGCATGTAGTTCTGCAGTGGCTGGAGAAGTGTGTAATATATCGTTTTCGACATCCGCCCTTTGATTCCAAGATTCGGCGAACGGCGGTGGCTCATGTTGACGTCTTTGACTTTCACTATTGATTCATCGAGGCACCGAACGTGCAAGACGAGGCAACGCAGCACGAGAAACCATATGCTGCTTTTGACAACGGAAAGGGTGAACGTGAAGCACCTGCAATCGAACAGCCATAAGATGTTACGGAACGGACATACTCGTTAAGCTTCAGCACGATCCAAGCTGCCCTTCCCGACCGTCGAGGCCACCGCATCCGGTCCCTTCTGTGCCTTCAACTTCTCCTCGAACTTCGCAAACTCCTTCATTGCCACCTCCTCTTCCTGGTCCATCACTTGTTGCACGCCTTTCACTTCGTCGATGTAATGCATGAGCATACTCTCAATACCATTCTTGAGGGTCACGGTACTGCTGTCGCAAGTTCGGCAAGCTCCTCGTAGCTTCAACATGACTTGCCCATCATGGAACCCTCGGAACTCGATATCACCTCCGTCTTCTTGGATCGCCGGTCGAATGCGAGTCTCCAATAGTTCTTGGATCATACCAACAACTTCTTCGTCCTCCGGGTCATATGAGGCTTGGACCTCCGGGTTTGACGAGCCTTGTCCTTCCTCGCCAGTCTTGTTTTCGATAGTGTTGACGATCGGCTGGCCGGTCGTTACGGCTTCCGTGATGAGGCTGAAGACCTCAGGTCTGACGTGCGCCCATGGAGTCGAACTGTCCTTTGTGATTGTGATGTAATCCTTTCCGTAAAAGACACTCGTAACTCCATCGACGCTCAGCAGTTGCGCCGCCAGCGGAGAAGGATGTGGAGGCGCAAGAGTCGATCGAGGGGACAGGTATTCGAGGAATGTTGATGGGAAGCCATCGGGAAGGATGGTATGGTTGGGCTTGAACTTCAGCGCATCTGCGTTGGGCGTGTCTTCGGTCTGTCCAGGCAGAGAATTAGCATGTCTTAGACACTCAGCATTATGTTCACACTTACCTGAATAAAGATGGTTCGCTTCGACTGCGTCGCCGGTACCGAAGCACGGATTGTGGGCTGGCTGAGAGGTTGCAAGGTCGGTCTATGCCTTCTGCTGGAAGACGAGATGGGGGTCGATTGTGGCGCATTGGAGAAGGGCCTCGCAGGTGGTGTTGTGGCAAGTCTCTGGCATCGGCAGGGCGTGGAGGATGTGGTCGGTCGTGGTAGGGCCTTCGAAAGGCTTCGTAGCGCTGGCTTGCTAGACATTGTGGTGAATATGGTGGGTAGAAGTCGTTAACAGTGGTGTTGTGTGCGCAAGAAGTTGCTTATCAATGTTTCTGGAGTGAGGTTGAAAGTGAGGTCTCTGGCGACGCGGGTATGACGCAACTAGCCGAGACTTGGCCGAGCAGAGAGCACGTGCAAGCACAATATCCTTTCTGTGCTCTCTACGCTGTCCTCTATTATTTAGATCGATCAAAGATACAACAAATGAAGACCAAAATGCTTGAAGCGGCTACAACACACGACTATGTTGACTAGAAGGCCACGACCATCCGCTTGGTCGCCACTCCCCTCTCCATCTCATCCCACATCGCGGGCATCTCCTCCAACTTCCTAAACTCGACCTCGGGAACAATCTTGTGCTTTGCCGTGAAATCGAGAGCCTTCTTCATCTCCTTCGGCGTGCCGGTGTTCGAGCCCTTGATCCGGAAGACATTGGCCACTATCTCAAACGACGGGAACTCGAGAGGCTTGTCCGGCAGTCCAATAACCATCAGCAGCCCCTTCACCTTGAGGATCTTCCGCGCAGTCACGTATGCCGGCGAGGCAGCGCTGTAGACCGCTGCGGCATGGCACCCGTTGGCGCCGGTCAGCTTCTTGACCTCCTCGGCGTAATTGGCGTTGGTCTTGGTGTTGAAGACGGCGTCCGCGCCGTTCTTCTTCACGATCTCGAGCATGTCGTCGTTGACGTCCAGGCCGACGACTTTCAAGCCCATTGCTTTGGCGTAGCGGACGGACATCTGGCCTAGACCGCCGCATCCGACAACGGCGAACCACTGGCCGGGCTCGAGCTCGCACTTGTCGACGGAGTGGAACGCTAAGGCAAGCGTAAGTAGGCGCACTCGTGAGTAGACATTTCGGTCTCGTTACCTGTAATGCCCGCGCAAAAGATTGGACTCGACTTCTCCATCGGCAAACTCTCAGGCAAGTGAATCACATTCTCCCAATCCGTAAGTGAGTACTCAGAGAAGAACCCATCAGTGGTCAATCCCTTGATCTTCGCTCCACCAGGGTTTGGGCTCGTGCATTGCGATCCATGTGCCGTGCAAGCCTCACAGTCAAAGCAACAATCCACAATATACAGCATGCCGACCTTGTCGCCGACGTTGAAGCCTTTGTCCGCGCAGGAGGAATGGATCTTCTCTATCACGCCGACGCATTCGTGGCCCATTGTCATCGGTCGACCGAAGTCGTCGGGCCTCAGATCCACCATTAGATCGGAATGACAGAGAGAAGCTGCGGTGACTTTGATGAGGAATTGGCCTTCGCTTGGTTCGGGGATGGCAACATCGTTGATGACGACTTTGCGGTTCGGCTGGTATGGTGTTAGTAGCTCGCTATCTTGTGGTCTCGAAATGTTGTACCTTGTCATATTGTGCTGCTTTCATTGTTGGGGCCATCGTATGATGAATGTTTAGAGGTTATGGGTCTTTGGCTTTCAAGTTTTTGATATTGCAAGAACGCTTCAGTTTTAGGAGTGCATCGCGACCCTGTACTATTGATATATGCGGAGTTATTTCTCCATCATTCCCCAGCTTCTCCAGCCATGTTCGCCCAAGAACGTGTCGGTAAGTACTCGGTACCTACTATTACCCCTCAGCGGCCACAGACGAAACAACTCCCAGTCTCCAAGGTGTCAAGATCGTGCGGTCATATCATACACCTCTCAATTGTTGCATTATCGCCTGCGAGCATTAACCCAAGGACTTCACGACCTGGTTTGTCTCGCCGCGCCGCCTCCCAAGGGTCAATCATTTCTTCCTCATATATCCTCGTGCTTCCGCAGTAATGTAAGACTTTCCCGGCATAGGCTGTACTTCCTCTCGTGCCAACGATTGATCGATCAACGCCGCTGCAAAAGCGTTCTCCGTGGCAGGAGAAGGTGAGAGATGAGCGGCAGGTTTAGTCAGTGTCAGTCGCTCGAGCCACGCCGCATCATCTCTGGGCGTAGCGTCTGGACTCGACGACCGCACTGGCAGAAGCAAAGCCAACATTCCGCCCTCCCGAAAAACTCAAGCCCATCAGTCATAAATGCATCTGATCATCCCATCCCTAGGCAAGCCCTCGCTGTCCTCCCAGCTGCAATCTTCCTCTCATCCACGCTCATGACATTATCCTCCAGCACCACACGATTCATGAGTACCGCGTGAACTGAGACGACTCTCCCTTCAACCTCTCCCCACCCCTAAACGTCCCATCCAGCTCATGCGCCTGCCCAGCGTCCCCTCCAACCTCGTCGTGCGGACTATACAGCTCCACGAAATCGTTTCGCGGTCGTCTCTCGATCCCCGTCGTCGCAGCCGCAGACCGCCCACCACGTCCACCTAGTTTCCAGCTCTCTCTCGCCCGCTCGTGCGAAGAGGTTACAGCCTGCTTGTAGCTCTTGCGCTGCTTGAAGATGACCAACAGCGCGCCGAGCAGGAGCAGCAGAAGCGGTATCCCGGTCCCGAGGATTCCTGCTAGCAGCTGAGAAGTGGAGAATTTGCCGCCGAGGACTGTCGAGGGGCTAATCGTCACGGCTTCGTGGGGGCTGGAAGCGACTTGCCCCGGTCGGAGGATGAAGTCGTTGCCGTTCCGGACCTTGAACGTCCCGTTGCCGGTCGGGCAGTCGTAGTTGCTGGTTCCGCAGACGAAGATGCCGTTGAGCGGGTCGCAGGGCTGGAGGGGCTGCGCGCCTTGGACGTGGTCTGCTTCCGGGTCAGCCATGCAGAGACGTTGCGGTTATATTCCTCGCCACGAAGGTTGTGATTCGTACCATTCCTGCAGTACTGCGGACAAGCAGAGTTGGTCCACCACTTGTCCGTGCAACTCCCTCTGAGCAACGTGCCCCCGCGCATGCAGAGCGAGGAGGCCATGCACCAGTCGCCCACTCCGCAGCATGCTGAATGTTCGTCGTTGGGGTTACAGGGCGTGTCTGGTGATCGCGTCTTGCCGTCCGGGTACCAGCAGGCGGCGGAAGTTGATGTCGGGATCGGAGAGGTGTGGGAAACCGAGCTAGAGATTGAAGATGAGGACATCGTGCCCGGCAGAGGTGATTCTTTCAGTAGGATGCAAGCGTATATCCGGGAAGTTGCGTATATCTTCTCGCCCGCTGTCAGTCAAACCCGTCTAGTCAACCCGCGACCTGGGGAGACAGTAGTAGGCCATCCGCCCTCGCAAGAACTAGGAGAATATCAAAGACGAACATCAACGCGCGCGAGCGGGCGAAGGAGCCCCAATGATAAGGCCATACAACCCATGTACGCCCAGACCGTGACATTAAACGGTCGTTCGCGGGCGCAACGGCTCATGGCGTGCGTACCCCAGACGATGCACAGATGCAATCTCAAGCAAACCCCGGAGGATTCCCCCGGCGCCGGTTAGGAAACATCGAGTCCTTGCGCTTGCAGGCTCGTTTGGAAACCCGCTCAAGATGAAACGCAGGCACATGCAGGGCTGGCCGGCGGCGCGAACGGGTCGCATTGGGCCAAGCTCTTCCAACCAGCTCATCAAAGGCAGCGAGAGCGAAAGCGACGAAGACCTTTGCGATGTGGTCGGCAGTTAATTAACTCGTATTCATTCTCGTGATAAGTTACTCTTCGTCGTCGTTTTTCATCAAGAAAGTCATTAGACATACACCGCACCCCGCAACTGCACATCCAGCACACTCTTGCCCACAAAAACCTCATACCTCCCCTTGTTCAACACCCACTTCCTCTGCGCGGCATCGTACTCGCTCAGATCCCTCCTCGTCAGCTCGAAATCCATCGTACAGCTCTGACCGGGCTGCAACATCTCCTTCTGGAACCCGCGCAGCACGCGCGCAGGCCCGCCGGGGATGTGCACGTAGAGCTGTGCGACTTCCGCCGCGGCGACGGCGCCGGTGTTTTGGACGGTGCAGGAGACGCTGGCGATAGGGGTCCAGAGGTTTGGATCGCCTCCCTCAGGGTGGGTGGGGGCAGTGGTGTTTGAGGTCGTGTTGGCGGGGGACGAGGTCCAGGCGGTGGTGGAGGTCCAGGCGGTGCCGTTGCCGGTTGAGTATGCGGTGGTGTTGCTACTAGTGCTCTGGGTCTGCAGGTTACTGTATGCGAACTCCGAGTACGTCAACCCATATCCGAACTCGTAGCGAGGGGTGATGTTCTTGGCTATGAAGTCGCGGTAGTCGATGTAGACGCCTTCGGTGAAGTTGTCCTGGGTGTGCCATAGGGAGTCGTTGGTCGGGACGACGGGGTTCAGAGTCCTGCCATAATCGCTGGCTTTCTTTGCGACGGTGTAGGGGAGTCTGCCGGAAGGTGACTGGACGCCGTACATGACTTCAACAAGAGCCTGGCCGGAGTCCTGGCCCGGCAGGTGGGCGTAGATGATGGCGGTGATATTTGGGTTGTCCACCCAAGCGTCAACGAGGCGGATGCCGGAGTTGTGGATGACGACGTGAGTGTTGTTGCATTGGGAAGCGACGCTCTCGACTAGCTTGTCGGAGTAAGAGTCGGCGAGGTCTGGTCTGTCCCAGCCCTCGCTAGCCAGAGCGTTGATGAAGACGATGCAAGCGTCGGAGGCCTCGTTGACCATCGGCTCCTGGTTGTAGAAATCCCAATGCATGAGAGTGTTGTCCGTCCTCGCCTGACGTAGGAAGGCATCGAACGGTGCGTCGATGAAAGCAGGAGTCGTAGCGCCAGAACCACCGCCGGTATAAAGTGTGCCGTTGAGAGCGATCCCCGGCACCACAGCATCCCAAGGTGCAGCGGATGCAAAGTTCTCGAAGAGGTATGTGTCGTTGAAGTCGCCGAGACCAAGCGCGTACTGTGTGCTCACCAAACCGAAATTCCAGTTGAAAGTGCCTGGGCCGCCTGGCGTGTTGATAGACGGCACCACGCCATCGTAACCAAAGAGGGATAGGAGCTTGGGCTTCTGAAGAGGAAGGGCGTTGTTGACGTTCTTCACTAGTACATGTCCCTCGATGGCCGCCTGCAATAGCATATCATTCGCCGCTGGATCACGAGCATCATCGATAGGATGAGGCGCAAGAAGGTCGATAGGCATGCCCGCGCCGGGCTCCTCAATCTGAGCATATCTGTGCCACGAAGCCAGAATTCGAGTCGCCATGTCGTCAAGGCGACTCTGAGGAAGGGAGCCATTGCGGACCATGAGCGTCAGGTTACCGTTCTCCCAGTACGCGCTAGATGGCATGACCATGTCCAGACCTGCTTCGGCGGTGGCGAGTCCGGCATGCTGCGCGCCCCAGTCGGTGACGATGAAGCCTTGGAAGCCCAACTCTCCCTTGAGCAAGCCATTCTGCGTCCACGAGTTTTGGCAGGCGTATGAGCCGTTGATCTGGTTGTAGGCGCACATGACGCTGCCGACGCCAGCTTTGACAGCGTCCTGGAAGGGCCAAAGGTAGAGCTCGTGAATGGTCTTGTCGTCGATGTTCGAGTTCACGCTCACGTTGAGCGCCGTCGGGTCCGTCAAAGGAGGGTTGCGGTTCGTCTCCTGCTCGTTCATGATGAAGTGCTTGACACAAGCGATGACGCTCTCTTGCATACCCATGATGGTGTCGTAAGTGAGCGATCCAGAGAGGTACGGGTCATTGCTGAAGCCTTCCCAGTTCCTGCCACCCCTGGCCGTACGACCAAGAGGTCCCACGACAGGTCCGAGAGCTACGTTGACGCCCTTGCGCTTGAACTCAGCGCCCATGAACTGTGCTCGGCTGAGCGTGAGCGCTTTGTTCCAGGTCGCTCCCATGTGCAGACCCGACGGATAGCCATTGACACCATCAGTGCCGCGGACACCATTGCCGGAGTCAGAAAGACAGAGGCCAGGAAAGCCCAGCCTCTCGAGAGACGGAATATTTCCAGAGCAGCCGTTGGTCGTGGAAGCATATCTAGGAATCATCAGTCAAGGAGTTCTCTTCGACGTCAAGTTTCTCCGATGCCCGTACCCATAAGTAATATTGTTCTTCTCATCGTTCGTCATGCGCGAGACAAGGTCTTTTGCAACCTGATACGACTCTTCCCAACCACCACTTCCGCTCATCTGAGGAGTTGGGTAGACTGGAGGCGACCGTCCATAAGACCAATAGTGCTCGAGGTTAGCTATAATAGCACTCAGGTTCTGCCCTTCAACAGCAAGTGGAAAGAGCAACGCAAGGCCAATGGCCTGACAAGCGCCTGCGAAAACCGACTGGCACCGCATGACAGTAGACTGAAACCGAGAGGTGCTTGACAGAACTAGGAAGAATTGAAGAGGCGTACGCCGCGCATACTTATACCCAACAAGCAAACCAACCCACCTCGCCCTCGCCAGACACTAAAACCATAGCGGTATACCTTTCACACCGAAGTTAACCCATAGACTTTCGCTGGTCACAGTCGTTGCGAAGATCGTCAGGGCTGGAGGAAGGAGAACGGACACAATGATCCACCGTCTAGGCCCATCACGTGGGACTCCGTGGGCTCGTGGCGGCATCGGTAGATGGCTGCGGGGAACAACTCTCATCCCTCATGACGAGGGTGGCAGGCATGTGGGCAAGCCTGCCAAGTCAGTGGTGTGAAGAATGGAGACGATGCTTGACTCGAGCTTGACTGTGGTCGAGGCGGGAGTGGCGAAAGGGCCGAGGAGGGAAGAATAGTGCGAGACGCGTGATCATTGTCGCTGGTATGCCTCGGTCGGTGCAATGATGAGCGAGAGTGGTGAGGTCTTGATTCAGGAAGTGGAGGCGGTGGGTGCAGAAGATGGAGAGCGGAGATGCGGTGGAGTCGGCATGGAGGCGTTAGGATTGCACGCTTGTTGGCGATCATGCCGGAGTTCCGCCGGACGGGACTGCAAGTGTTTCTCTTCCGACTGTGCACATGCAGGCGTTCAATAATGTCGTGCATATCATGCCATACTTCTTGAGGTGAACTGGGGCGGGGATGCATAGTGCACCAGCAGCCTCTGTCCCAGCGATATCGAGGTCTGGGCAATCAGGTAATGCTTCGTATGCTAAGCTGCTATACTACAGACACTGTATCAGCAAACCCTTCCCGTGCAGCGCAAAACGCCGTGCTATGCCTTGAACATCTATCCTTCCCAGCAGAAGACTCAGAGGTTAGTCAAATAGTCCTCGATCTCCTGCGGACTCAGCTTCCGGAAGCGTGGCCCTCGTGCGCCCTCGACGCCTTCGTAGCCGAGAAGGTGGTCTGCTGGTGGACCGACGATGCCTATAACAACCCCATTAGCACAACAATAGACGCAGCAAAGAGGGAGGATATCTCACCAATCTCAACGGTGTCGCCATTCATCTCCCCTTCAATGGTCTCCTTCAGCGTCAAGAGCGCAATATGCACCGCATCCTCCAACTCCAAGCCCTCCGTATACCTCTTCTCCAAAAAGGTCTTCGCGCTCGTCGCACTCTTCCCAATCGCCGTCGCCTTCCAAGGGAAATAACTCCCACTCGGATCCACTTGATACAAACTCGGCCCGCCCTTCAGAATCCCGCCCGTCTTGCCTCCACTCTTCACCTGCTTCTCCTTCGCCTCATCATCATCTCCCATCTCCGCCTCCGCCTCCTTCCGCTCCTGCTCCGGCAAGACACCATCATCCCACCCCGCAATCAGCAGACTCACGCCGTACGGCCGCACACCACCCGACTGCGTCGCCTCCTGCATCACCCGCGCCACGTCCTGCACCAAGATGCGCGTGGGCGGGTACTCGTTATACACCCGCTTGTACCCCGTGTGGCTGACTTTCCGCGCCTTGTCGACTAGCACGCGGTAGTCGGGTCCCATGCCGGCGTAAACCATGCCGATGTTGGGGGTGATGAGGGAGATCTTTGAGCTGGAGGAGGCATCGATGAGGGAGGTGGAGGATTTCTTCTCGGTGGCGAGGACGATGCCGTTGGCGGCTTTGATGCCGAGGGAGGTTACGCCCTGGTTGACTGCGTTGAGGGCGTATTCTATCATATCGTTAGTGTCGAGTAGAGCAGATTGCGGAGATGTTGGTAGTTGTACCTATTTGCACCAGCTTGCCGCTGCGCTGAGTGTTAGCATATGGCTGTCACATGTGATGCATCTGTTTCCTTACCTGGGCGAGAATGTGGTGAGGGAGAAGGAGTATCGGTCGGCCATCTTGGGCCTGTTTCCGCTATTGTGCTGCGACCCGGTGTATGTTTAGTTGATATGGCGAGTGGGTAGGCGGGCTGTGGCGGAGTGATCGAAGATGGTATTGCTGTTTCTTGAAGCTCTCTCGATGATCAAAGTCGCAGGCAAACGCGCCAACGTGGAAGCTCGAAGGTGCAACAACCCTAAGCACGCGAGTCATGTAAGCCGGAAGCGTCAAGCCTTCCATCCCCGACTCCGCCTTCTTCCACCTTCACGACACCTTTCGCCCGCCTTCCCCTCCACCCTCCAATATGTCAATCTTCAAGAGGAGGATGAAAGACGACTTTGGAGTCGGCTGAGCATTCTTTCGTATTGGAACAGCATTACTACACAACATCAACAGGCAACATGGCAGCATATTCCACCGGTTCCAGCTGGGGCTTCCCGGAGGACCTCCCAGGCGGATGGGTGCATGTGGACGGCGACGGCACGGGCGACGAGACACCGCCAGACTTCCATAATTTGAAGCCAACGCAGGCGGGCCCAGAGCAAGCATCGCCATCACCAGACCAGCAATCTGCTCCCGCCGACCCTCCACCCCGCCGCCACTACCCCCCGCGAACATGCCGCATCTGCCTCGAAGTCGTCCTCCCGACCTTCCACCCCGTCGATGCCTCCCCTCTTCCCTCCGCCCTCCAGCCGCCTCCCCGCGTAACCTATGAATCCCCACCCGGCGACGGCGGCCGCCTCCTCCGACCCTGCAAGTGCAAAGGCACGCAGAAATACGTCCACTCCGATTGCCTCACGGCCTGGCGCCTGCAGGACCCGCTGCAAAAGCGCAATTACTGGCAATGTCCGACTTGCAGCTACAAATACCACCTCCAGCGGCTCTCCTACTCGCGATGGATCAGCAGTACGGCGTCACAAGTCGGCCTGACGCTCGCCATCTTCGTGGTAGGAATGTTCATATTAGGTTTTGTGGCAGACCCGATCATCAATCTCTACCTCGATCCCATCACCACGATCTCCACTGCGGGTGGTCCAACAGGAAGCCTCATCTTCGAAGACGAGCCGGCGACATGGGCGGAGCACTTCATCAAAGGTCTTGCCTCGCTAGGCTTGCTCGGATTTGCGAAGTTCTTGCTCACGCTGAGTCCATGGCACTGGTTCAACATGCGCGGGACGGGCGTCTACGTGGGTGGTAGTGGAGGCAGAGCTGGCGCGACTGGACGGGATCGCTTGAACCAGATCAGTTGGGTGACGATTGTGATTGGAATTATCACTGTTTTGTACGCCGTTTGGAAAGGTGTGAGGGCTTGGTCGAGGAGAACTTTGGAGAAGGCCGGGGAGAGGGTGATGGATGTTCCTGGAGCTGACGAGGACGAAGACGAGGACGAGGATGCTGGTCCGACAGCTGCTGACGACACGACGGGTAACGATGCACGATGATGTTGGATTGTTGACTACGAATTACAGGATACACCTTTTCCTTTTCAGCCTCACCTTTCTTTACACCGACCATACCCATCCCATCTAACCCTGATATCCAGATCGCAACGCACAACTTTGAGTTGGCACCGCCCTTTCCCTCCTCATGGAGACTTTCATGGCGTGGCAATCAGTCATCGTGCGAAGAGAGATTCCGTCGCCGATCCGTTTTGGAGACGCGACTTGGAAGGCCGGGCTCATACACTTTACTCTCCCCTCTTGTCCACCCTTTGTGGTGTGATGTTTGTGGGGTGGGGAGCTGGAAGACGCTTGGTACATACTATCATCACAGATAGAGTGGGTTGATAGAGCATACCTTATATACACACTCGCTACAGTACTGCAATACATCAGACCGTTGAATCTCTGCTTGACTTGATCATGCGTCTGATCGATCTATACACTACCAAGGACACGCTACACTCTCTGCATATTTTCTGCCACAGGCGATCAGTCCTTGAATCGCCTGTTCTCGTTCTCCCCAAACAGCGTCGTCCGCACACTGGGCAGCGCATCCGTCTCCAGCAGCTTCAGCCGCTCGTCAAACGTATTGGTGATGTCGATCTTGCCCGTGGCGTCGAATATCACGATACCGCCAGTCCTACACAAAAACACCTCATTAGCAATCCATCACCCACATCCAAAGGGAGAAAGGAAGATACTCACGACCCCTCGGGCAACCTCTCCTTCTCCTCCACCACAACCTCCACCTCCCTCCCGCCCATCTGCTTCTTAAACTCCCCCCTCGCCTGCTCCGCCGCCTTCTTCACCACCGCGTCGTCCTTCTTCCTGCACCTGAGCGAGACTTTCTTCTCATCCGCCATCGCGTACAAGCCCTCCAAAATCAACCCCTTCAACACCCCCTCATACTTCCCCTTCCCCTGCTCCACGCCCGCCTCCTTGCCCACCTTCTTCCCCGCATCCTCGAACAAGCCATCTAGCAACTCCTGCCTCGCACTCAGAATCCGCAGACGCTGCTTATTGGCTACAGTGCTCTTGGTGATCTGCTGCGACATGCCCGCCTGCGTGAATTTTTTGGTGTACTCGGAGTCGATGCGCTGCGTCTCGGAGCGGACGAGCTTGGACTTTTCGATGGAGAATTCTTCGTCGGCTTTGAGGTGGATTTCGCGCGCTTTTTCGAGGGCCTCTTGCCGGATGAAGGCGGTCATTTTGCGGAGCTCGGTGGTGACGGCTTCGTCGGGGAGGGCGTGGGGGGTGGACATGGTTGCGGTGTTGAGGGGGGGGTGTATGGGGTGGGTTGGTAGGAAGGGGGAGGTGAGATAGGTCCTGGTGGTTGGTGGTCGGGCTGGGAGAGGGTGCTGGTGTGTTGAGGTGTTGGTGGTGGAGCTTTTGTTGCACGTGTAGGTGGAAGGGGGATGGTAGAGCTGGAGGTGTCGTCAATGGATGAGGCCAGGCAGCTTGCTTTTGTGCCTAGAGCTCCATCGTCGCTGCCGCGCCAAGCCTGTCTAGCTCCAACGTCTACCTCCCTCCTGCCACTTCACGCTTAGCTTCCTTACGACATTGACACAACATGGCCGCGACGTGTCACGCATACGATGAGGTGAGGTGAGACCAACTTACCGCAGTGAAGAGTGCACATGCATTTCCGTTCTTCACGGAGATCCAGTCGCATATCAACATCACGACAACAGCCTCGAGTGCTACCAACAGCACGACGAGGTCAAGGCAAGTTTATTCGCATCAACCGGGCCACCCTCAAAGGTGCTCTGCTTACCTGCTCTCCTTCCAATCACGCTTTGACACCACAACTCCACGACATAACCTCCGACTGCGCTGCCACCGCAGAACAGCGAGCTTGGGCACATCCTCTTCATCCACCAAGGATAGAGCGTGGAGATTTCAAAGGTACCCTCCTAATTTCCTACTACGGCAGCTACCAATTCTCACATTTCAACTCGCATTGTAGCACCCTCACCGCAATTAGTGCTCCAAAATGGAGGACGCAATCGTGAACACCCACCCGCCTTTTTCTGGACAGGTCACGGCCACAACGAGGACTGATGACGCTGTGCTCGACACGCACTTCCGCTTTTTGGATCTTCCCCCGGAGATCCGCGATGCGATATACTCCCTCGCTCTGGTAGACCCGGAATCTGCTCGTACCGGCTCGGATGCTGACAGCCTTTCGGCCAAGCCCTGCGAGCAGCGGAAGTGCTGTTTTGCCATCTTACGGCCGTGCAAGCCACTGACAGCGAGAACATTCCACCCTCTCTACTCCCTCTGCCGGCAAATCCGCGTAGAAGCAAGCCGTGTCCACTGGGGCGAGCATCTGCTATGTATGGAGATAGACCCAGATGAAGGAGGGCACCACCCGCTCGCACTGAACATCGAGCCCGACCTGCATACAGCAATGCAGCTCGTACAGCACTGGGGGCTTGACTTTGGAGGGATCACGCGTTTTCGAGCCCTCCGGGACTTGACGGTAAGGATTGCCCTGGATCAGGTCGTGGATGTGCGCGTCACCTTTGACGGGGCGATGCGGATGGGGGTAGAGTGGCTTCAGTACGATGAATCCAAGAAGTCGATTCCGCGAGACGTGATGCAGTGGCATCTCGCGAACACGAATCACCGGCGAGTGGAGAATGAATGGAAAGGCGAAGGAATTGTGGATTTCTTCACTGGCGATGCTGGTTTGTGGGAGACGTGGTTTTATATCAACTCGGAAGATGTGGAGTGTGAATAAGCTTGTGATTTGGGGAAAGCATAGCCAGGAACGCCGCGAGTCAAAGTCCAGCGCGGGACAGGTGGGATGCGGAAGGACCGCAGATTGCTTCTTCTGCGGTGCTGGCCTGGGACGAGGGAAGCAGCTTGATGGCTGGAGGCACTGGGGCGTCAATCGAGGAAAGTTGAATGGTGGCTCTGCCAGGACTGGCGCAATACCATGAGACGACTAAGAGAGTAAAGACGCAAGCAGACACCAATCGACGGGCAGTGAGAGGACGTGACTTCTTGCTTGTAGCAGTGTATCTTGCGTCTGTGCAAAAGCTGTAGTCATTGAAGGGGCTGACTAAGGCTTGTTCGACCAAACGTCGCCGCATTGGCGATCTCACGCGCAACCCAAATAAATCTGTACCTCCTCCCACACCAGCACAACCCGCAATGCTCGTCTCCCTAACCGTCGGCAAAGTCGACGCCGGCGTCGCCGTTCTCCTTACCGAAGACAAACGCCTCGTAACCCCCCTCCCTGCACCTCCACCCCTAATCCTCCCAAACCTAACACCTATGCTAGATCGAATTCCCCTCCATCCTCCTGCCCCCCGACATCCACAGCGGCAGCATAGTCGACATCAACGTCTCGCGTAACCTCCCCGCCGAAACGCGCGCCGACCAACACTTCTCCGCCCTGCAAAACGAAATCTACTCCTCCTTCGGCACCGCGACCCCTTCCGCGCCCGTGCTACGATGTCGCAACGCCACGCAAACGAGCGTCGTGCTCGAATGGGATCCGCTTGATCTCGCGACCGCGGAGCTGAGGAGTCTGAGTCTTTACAGGAACGGCACGAAAGCGGGCGTGATTCCGCGGGATAAGCTGAGCACGAAGATCTCCGGGCTGGCGCTGGATACGGATTACACGTTCCACCTTGTCCTACGCACGAGCGCGGGACAGTATAGTTCGGAGCGCCTGGTGGTGCGGACGCAGAAGATGACGGATCTGAGTGGGATCACCATCACACCTGGTGTCATGCCGCCGCAATTGCGGGAGAACCTGGAGGAGACGGCGGAGCGGGTGGGAGCGAAGATGGTGGAGACGGTGAGGATCGATACGACGCATTTCGTCTGCACGGAGCCGAGGGGCCAGGCGTGGGAGAAGGCGGTGGAGATGAATGTCCCCGTTGTGGTGCCGGATTGGCTCATGGGCTGTGAGCGGGAAGGCAGGGTGGTGGGCGTGAGGGGGTATTATCTCGATGCGGACCCGAAGTTACGGCAGATGGGGCAGCCGAGTCAGCAGGTTATGGCAGCGCAGCGTTTGAGCACCGGCCCGAATTCGCAGCAGCAGAGGGAGAGTCCCAGGATTGAGCATACACCGCCTACGCCTGAGAGGACGACGCAGGGGGATGGGTTTGGTGGGCAAGCGGGTGGAGAGCCGCCTACGCCGCCGCCGAAGCCGGCTAGTGAGAGGTTGGCGGAGGAGAGGGCGAGTGGGGAGGAGCAGCAGATGGGGGAGACGGCGAGGCCGAAGGTGGACGCGCAGGAGAGGGAGGTGAGTGAGGAGGACGAGGAGAGTGATGGGACGGAGCAGGAGGAGAGGAGTGCTGGGGTCGCGTCGCCTGAACAGCAGCCGAAGACCAAGGCTGCGTCTGCGGATAGCGATGAGGATGACGAGGGCTCAGAAAGAGGTGAGGGTAAGGATGACAGGTTCGACGAGGTGGCGTTATAGCAAGATCTTGGGGGCAGCGTCCGAGGTTTTTGTATTCGTACAGCAAGCTTTCCGCAGGACTCTTGAGCCTCTGCCTTTGACACTACCATGTGCGCAGAGCTTTCGCGCTCACTTATCATTACATCAGCATTCACATGCCTGATTCCTCAAAGACCAATAGCGCCCCCTTCCCTCTTATCGAGCGCATCCGCCTGCTTCCTCAGAGCATCGGCTTGGAACCTGGTAACACATATAGTCAGCACCCATCACCCCCCAAGTACACACCCAGCAATCAACTCACCGTCTAAACGCCGTCTCAATCCTCTCCCTACTCCCCCTATCCCCCCCAATCTGCTGCCTCGCCCTAAAAGTCCCCGTCAACAACCCCGTCTCTCCACCAAAAAACAGCCCCCCCGCGCCAAGGAACATATACGTCGCCACGTCCCCCAACACACTAGGCTTCATCATTGGCGTGAGGTCTGGCAGCGGTTCCTCCCGGCCTCCCGGGAAGCGCACAGCGGTGGGCCGTTCTGAGGCTTTGAACGTGTTGAACATTGCTGTGCGGCCGGCGCGAATGCGGTAGGCGAGGAAGAGGCCGAGGCCGATTCCTACGAGAGAGCCGATGGAGGTGTGGGTGGCGACTGTGGAGGCGCCGGCGCGGAGGGCGTCGCGGTCGGATTGGTCTAGGCTAGGAGGGGGTTAGTGGTGGTTGAGTGGTATACGTGGTTTTTGACATTTACTCATGTTGCATGTGTTCCTCCGCGAGCTGGTTGAGGTCGCGGCTCATGGATTTGCGGAAGACTGCTAGACTATCTGAAGACATGTTGGAGGTTTGAAAGGGACTCGTGTCTGGCCGTCGAGAAGGAGATTGTAGAGGTGAGGTTGACAGTTCAAAATGTTGGAACGATCAGATGAAAGTGGCATGCACGTGGCTGGTCGTTCACACTTGCATCATTGCTCCGCGGTTGCTTGAGCTTCCCCAGATTCTCCCCCGGGCCGATTCGTGCCGGAGCTTGGTGTGCCTTATTGCCTGATATATGAGCTGAACATCCGACTTCGCTCTGACAGCAACCGACTCGCGGCCCCGGTGTCTCCGTCGAGGAGGATGGTGTGTTGCTTTCGTACGAAGCTCGCATACGGTCGGTGACCAATGCGACACTCCGATCGCAGTTAGAAACATATATAGATTACGAGGTCAAGTGCAGTGGTCCAAATCTCCTACCTCTTCTTCAGCTACCACATCAAAACACCGAACACTTCACCACAGCGTCCTCAAGATGGCAAGCTCCCAAGCCACACGCACGGCCATGATGAACCATGAGCACGACGAGCGATGGACTGCGGTCGATGCCTGGGCTCTGGACGCCCTCCATCCAAAGGAATCGCACCTCTACGAGCACATCCAGTTCGCCACTGAGCTATCGGAGACCAAAGGCCTACCCAGCATCGAAGTCTCGCACCTCCAGGGCAAGTACTTGATGACCCAGTGCCAGATGATCGACGCCAAAAAGGTCCTCGAAGTCGGGACTCTAGGCGGCATCAGCGCAATATGGATGGCTTCAGCAGGACCAGACGTCCGCGTAACCTCCATCGAAGTGGACGAGCACCACAAAGCGGTCGCGGAAGAAGCCATCGCGCACGCCGGTCTCAGCGATAGGGTCGAAGTCCTTCTCGGAGCAGGCGTCGACGTGCTGCCCAAGATCCGCGCGCAAGTCGAGAGCGGTGAACGGCCCAAATTCGACTATGTCTTCATCGACGCTGATAAGGGCAACAACTTCAATTACTACAACGAAGCGCTGCTCATGTGTCGATCGCGAGCGTGCATTATCGTGGATAATGTTGTGCGAATGGGTCTGCTTGCCGATGACAGTGCAGCGGAGAACCCTGGTGTGAAGGGAGCGCGAGTCGTTATCGGTGCTGCTGGGAAGGATGGGAGATTGTTGGGGACGTCGCTGTTGCAGACGGTCGGCGAGAAGAACTATGATGGGTTCTTGGTGTGTATTGTCAAGTGATAGAGACTTCCCAATCAAGTGTTCGCAAGGGAACGGACGTTGTTACGAACCGCTGATGACTTTGCCTTCCTGCACACGTCAGCAGCCAGATAATAACAGCTGGCAGGATGTCGTGTGAGCAGACTCGAAACACTGGCTCTTGCTTATCGATGCTGTGCCTGGTTCCGGCTCTCACCAGCTTCCTTCTGTTCCCGGATCAACAATCAGCATCCTTGGTTTCGGGACCATTTCCATCGGAACTATTCCCAGGTTGACACAATGATGATAGCGAATGATAAGGCTGATTGTGGTGAGGCACGGGAGATGCCTCGCGCACAGTATGTTATGGACTAAGGAAAATTGGTCTGGCCACATGGCCAACTTCTCGGCTTGCCGTGTTTCTTCAACCAACATACTGCGCAGCCAGTCCCACTCAGACGAAAGGTCCGCCTGGATATTGGAGATTGCACCTCCACAGTCGGGCGGATTGTGGCGCGTAAGAATCAAAGTTTTTCTGGAACAACTCTGGAATCGGACAGGACCCCGCAACGATCCTCGCGTGCCTGGTCTTGAAGCTATGGATGATCATGGATGATCTTGGTTGATCCCTCGTTTCAAGCCGAATGCTCGGCAGCAATAGCTACAGTAGTAAGCTGTGCTTCCCTAGCTGATAAGACTACCGAAGTACAAATGCGTTGTTGGGAGGGGAAGGGTCGTCCCGCTCTGTGGCATCCTGTGGCATCCTATCTGCTAATCGTAAGGTAATCACCCGGCACCAGAAGGCATTGCAACGCGTTCACTCGGCCCGATACCAGCCGAATACAGCATCCAATACTCTCTTAGTCCTACAACCTCGCAGCGGATTCGTCCTGCCCCCTCTTGACAGCTCGATAACTGCAGACCATCCCGAAGTTCATGAGAGGCTGCTTCCCGGCTCCGCGTGTTACGAGCAGTAATCGTCGTGTCATGTAGCTGTTGCGTGACCAGCCAGACGCAGGTTAAGCATCACGATGACTGCATGCGCGCGGCTCCTATGACCAGATGCGTGCAAACGCTGGTGCGAAGCCAGCGTGGTGTCGCCGGCTCCCTTAGCTGCCATCCTTGGGTCCACCGGGGCTTTACCGTTTACCTCCAGCGTGCGTGGCAGGTCCAGTGGGATCGCAGGCCCGACCGGCGATTGGACCTCGATAGGCTGCTGCCGCCACACTTGACCTGGTCCAATGCGGTGTGTGGGCTGGTGAGAGAGAGAAGGGTCGATCTGATCCCACTGTCCCACATCCCACTTCGCGCCGCTTGGCTTGATACTGCAAAACCAGGACTCTTTTTCCCTATACCGCCCTCGCTGCTTGCTTGATTTCCTTACATTGCCAACCGGCAAACATTTCTTGTTGAAGCGTCTTCTGTAGCGCGAGGGGAGAGCAGGGCTAGAAGCCATATGGCTGAGGCCATCACCATCCCTTCGCCTTCTGTCTTCCTCCGAGCGAGCCCGCCCCCGCCAAACGACCCTCCTGCGTCCTCCCAGCCCAACGCGCCCAAGCAGCCCAATGGCCGCCGTCCTGGATCGGCGGAAGGGAAGAAAAAGGCTGCTCCTCGCAAGCCCGGCGCATCGGCGTTGAGCAGTGGTGGTGGTGGGAGCGGCGGTGGTGGTGCGGCGGACGGCGCTGCCGTCATCAAACCGAAGCAGAGCAAGAGCCGCAACGGTATCTACTACTCGCCAAGCCAGCAGTGTCTTGCTTTATCCATGTGTGTGGCGATAAGCGTGCTGATGGAGTCTTTCTGTGTGCAGGGTGCTTGACGTGCAAAGCGAAGCGATTGAAATGCGGTGAAGAGAAGCCCGGGTGCCAGCAGTGCGCGAGACGCAACGTGGTGTGTGGAGGGTACAGGAAGGACTATAAGTGGCGGCCGTTCGAAGAGACCAACGTCAAGCAACATATTGAGCGGCATAAGAGAGGTATGGTTGGGATGGTCACGACTGTTACACACGACCGCTGCTGTCTTGATCAGCGGTTGTGATGTCGTCCTGTTCTCTGCTGACACAAGACTAGGACTCTCACCAAAGCAGTCAGCGGTATCAGGACAATCTTCCAAAGCGGGCTCGCCAGAACTGGGTGGCTCGAAGCCCATCGTAGATCCACCTCGTAGCGACGATGCGAACAAGAAGCGGGATAGCGTCCTGAACGAAGGCAGCCCTCAACCACGCGCTGTGGATGCGAGGCCAGCCAAAGCAAAGCGGACCCAGCCTCCTCCTTCGAACAAGAAGGGCAAGGAACCGGTTCCCTCCATCGAGGAGGATTTTGAGCCGCCGCAAGACCCTCGAAGTCGTACTGAGAGCCCGGAACAGGCCCAACAGCCAGCAGGAGGACCTCCAGACTTGTTGCCGGGCGCCTTGTCGCACTTTACTCCTGCACTTGGCCTTTCACCTACGCTGACTGAGATCTTACTGCCATTCGACCCCAGCAGCCATCCTCACCCCGATCTCGCCAACCTCTCGCTGCCGAGCGGGTTTCAGAACATGATGACGCCAATGAATCCCATGCTGGACCCAGATCTGGACGATGAAGAGATCAACTTTGACGATGTTGTAGAAATCGACTCCGACGGCGAGCCTATGAACAACCAGCAAATGGCAGTGCGTTCGAGGAGAGCCCAAACGATGCCCCTCGCGTCTACAGGCTCGCCGGACGATGGGATGAGTCCAACGATGAACTACATCTACCCGCAGCCATTCGTGGCGGAAGGCAGCCCAGAGATGCTTACGTTCCGCTTCGACCGTCTTACCTGCGGCATCCTGTCTATTATGGACGGACCGCATGAGAACCCGTGGCGGATGCTGATCTGGCCGCTGACCTCGCAGTCTCCTGGTCTATACCATGCTATCTCCGCCATGACGGCGTTCCACTCGGCGGGTGAGATCCCAGGCCTTCGCCTCGTCGGCCACGAGCACAAGGCGGCCAGTATCCGCTACATTCAAGAAGGCATCCGAGATAATAGTATGGGCGACCAGACTGCCATAGCTACTGCGCTTGCTCTGGGGTTCGCCGAGTCTTGGGACCAGCCTACCGTTACGGGCAATACGCACATCAAGGGCGCTCAAGCGCTTGTCCGCCGTGCCATGCAGCGACACCGTCGCAGCCCGCTGGTGGGCGACGACCTCGCTCGACTGAAGTTCTTGATTAATGCCTGGGTCTACATGGACGTCATCGCCCGCCTCACTTGCGTCGACAGCGACGAGTCGAACGACTTTGACAACACTTTCATCTTCTCCGACACGCCCAACGAGTGCCCCTCGATGGTCATGGGCAGCCCGAATGGTGGCTTTGGAATTGACTTCGGTATGCCGGTAGATGCACGTCTGGACCCGCTCATGGGCTGCGCCAACACCCTCTTCCCACTTATCGGCCGCGTGGCCAACCTTGTCCGCCGAGTCTGCAGATCGACAAGCAATTCGCCCGTAATCATCGACCAGGCGCATGTTCTCAAAGTCGCACTCGAAGCCTGGGACCCACCGGCCTTCATCGAGCGCCCGGAGGACCCCACAACCGACGTCCAACACACCCTCCAAACCGCCGAAGCCTACCGCTGGGCCACGCTCCTGCACCTGCACTCCGCCGTCCCCGAACTCCCCTCCCTCACCAGCACCGAGCTCGCCCAGCGCGTCCTCCAATACCTCGCCACCGTACCCCTCGCCAGCCGCACGGTCATCGTGCAAATCTACCCCCTCATGGTCGCCGGCTGCGAGATCCCCTTCGACGAAGACCGCAACTGGGTCCGCACGCGCTGGGCCGCGATGAACCAGCGCATGCGCATCGGCATCATCGAGAAGGCCGCCACGCTCACCGAAGAAGTCTGGCGACGCAGGGAGAACTACGAGGCACAGCCGCCTTCGAATCGGAAGTTGGTTGCGACGAAAGAGCTGCAGCCGCAGCGCGGGCGCGGGCAGCCTTTGGTGCGGAGTCCGACGGGCAGCATGAGGCCTGGAGACCCGGGAAGGACGGGGATGGTCTTTAGCTATGTTGAGGGCGATGGTGATGGTGGGGACCAGAGCCCACCGGATGAGGACGAGAAGAGGAGGCGTGCGAGGCAGAGGCGGTTTGGCCGGGATCCGAGGATGAGTATTTCGGACCCGGCGTATACGGTAAGAGGCCATTTGCACTGGGTGGGTGTGATGTGGGATTGGGGGTGGGAGAGTCGGCTGTCGCAGTGAGCGGCAAGCGTTCTCCTGCCGCCTTTCATTCCTTTCGAGGCTCCTTGCGGTCTTTGGAGTAGTGCGCTGAGGTGGAAAAGTTCTGCACCATTGTTTTGATGCGTTCTGCGCCCGCCTACTACTACCACAACAACTTAATAGTCGAGCGTTTCAGCGAAATTTTGTACGGCGCTGGTTGGAGTCTGGATATAGACGGGGTTTGGCTGCTGGTCTTTTATTCCTTTGTTCTGTAGATAGCTTGCTTGGGGCTTTCTGTCATATCGTTTTGCAGGGCATGGGCTAGGAGGCGCCGCGGTGTCGGTGGTGTTTTTGATTACGACTTGTACACGAGTGTCGGTTTGGGAGGGTCATCATGCTAGGTGGACAGTTGCGGTATTTAACGTCTCGGCTAGGAACCGTCTTGAAGACTATCAATGTTGCGAGTGATGTGGATATCAATTTGCTCGTGCGGACATACACAGGTCTGATGGGGCAAGGCGAAGGCATCATCAACCTTCAGCGCTCTCCAACTCGACGGCGGGGATTGTTGTATCGGCCTATCGAGAAGCCGTCAGCCTGGGTGCTGATACGTAGGCTTCGTATGAACGCCATAGTATTTCCACTATCGCTACTGTACATGGCTGGATTCGTGTTCACATTCTCTTGAGCTCATTCCCCCCGGGCGCTATCAACTGTCCGAGCAGGGCCCATTACAACTTCGCAGCAGGAGTCTTGCCACTCACATTCGTGATCTCGTCGTACAACAGCCTGTCGCAATCAGTCAGCATGCCGTCCACTCGTGCTTGTAAATAATGGAAGGAACTCACGAAGTCAAAAACTCATCGTAATCCTCCCCGGTAACCTGCGTCGCCATATACTTGCTCGCCACAGCATACTTATTCCCCTTCGGCGCATTCTTCTCCAACTCCTCCGTCTGCTCCTTCAACAACTTCAACGCATAGTCCTTCTCCAGCTTCTTGCCTCCTTCGGTCGGCACACCGTGTCTGCACCACTGCCACAGCTGACTCCGCGAGACTTCCGCCGTAGCGGCGTCTTCCATCAGGTAGTTGATCGGCACGCATCCGATGCCGCGCAGCCAGCCTTCCATGTACCCGAGCCCGATGGAGAGGTTCTTGCGGATGCCGTCTTCGGTGATTTTGCCGGGGACGTTGGTGTTGAGCAGGTCGTTGGCGGTGACGTGCACGTCGTCGCGGCGCTTGAAGATCTGGTTGGGGGTCGGCATGTGCGTATTGAAAACCTCAGCAGTGACTGGGGCGAGACCCGGATGCGCGATCCACGTCCCGTCGTGTCCGGCACGGACTTCACGCATCTTGTCCGCGCGCACGGATTCCATGACGGCGTCGTTGGCGGCCTTGTCGTCTTTGCGCGGGATCTGCGCCGCCATGCCGCCCATGGCGTGGACGCCGCGGCGATGGCAGGTCTTGATCAGCAGACGGACGTAGGCGTCCATGAAAGGCACAGTCATGGTGACGCTCGCGCGATCCGGGAGCACGAACTGCGAGTTCTGGCGGAAGCGTTTGATGAAGGAGAAAATGTAGTCCCAGCGGCCGCAGTTGAGGCCCGCGGAGTGGTCGCGGAGTTCAAAAATGATCTCGTCCATCTCGAAGGCGGCCGTGATGGTTTCGATGAGGACGGTGCCGCGGATGGTGCCGCGCCGCATGCCAATGTAGTCTTGGGCGAGGTTGAAGGCGTCGTTCCAGAGGCGTGCTTCGAGGTGGGATTCCATTTTGGGGAGGTAGAAGTAAGGGCCTCGGCCGCGCTTGACGAGCTCTTCGGCGTTGTTAAAGAAGTAGACGCCAAAGTCGAAGAGGCTGGCGGAGATGGGCTCGCCGTCGACGGTGAAGTGCTTCTCCTCGAGATGCCAGCCGCGTGGTCGTGCGATGAGGGTGGGGAGGACGCGGTCGGTACGGAGGTTGTAGGCTTTCTCGCCTTGCTTGAAGTCGACTTGACCTCGGATGGCGTCGTAGAGGTTGAGCTGGCCGTTGATCATGTTGTCCCATGTTGGTGCGCTGGCATCTATGTTTCATCTTTCGTCAGTATGCGTCCCTTTCAGCTTGCCGTACAGACACATTCGCAATATACACACCCTCAAAGTCCGCCATATACGTCCACACGTCTGAGTTCAGCGCATTCACAACCATCTTGCGATCCGTCGGCCCCGTAATCTCAATCCTGCGGTCCACCAACCCCGGAGCTGGCGGTGCGCCCTTCCATGCCTCGTTCTCACGGATATGCTTCGTCTCTGGCAGGAAATCAAGCTGAGCGCCCTTGTCGAGCTCTGCCTGGCGCTGCAGACGTCGATTTAAGAGCTCCTTCCGCCTCTGGTTGAAGGAACGGTGCAGAACTGCTAAGAAGACTGAGGCATCCTTGCTAATGATCTTCTTCGTCTGGTCGTTCACGGCGCCGTGGAGTGCGACGTCCTTGAGGATCTGGTCGGGGTTGATGGGCTTGGTGAGCGCCTTGCTGGCTTCGCTGGCGGACATGATTCTTGATGTGGTGTGGGGATGACAGTGTGGAAATGGAAGGAGAAGAGGGAATGGAGATATTCTTACGAGAGACGGTCGGCTACGTGGTGTTATATGTCGTCACGAGCCATAGCTTCTGCCATTCTTGAGCTTCTGCAGCTGCCGAGGCCATCGCGATCAGCATCCGCACATGCTTCCGACCTCATCGTCTGCCGGCGGGCGGACGAGGGGAGCGAACGTTTGTGTGGGGAGAGCTCGAGCCTCTGGGCGATGATGCAGCTGCTTCGCTATTCCCATCTCCCTTTGCGTCTTGTTGCTTTCATCTCGTCTCACTCATGCTGTTCATGTGTCCTGGGACACTGATATGCCTTGCCATCCAGACACCTCAAGACCTCGGTCAAAGACGGCATAACGACCATCAACGACCAACAAATCGCTCAATTAACACGGCGGTCTCGCGACTCCAGTTATATCTTCGGGAGAAAACGCCGCAACACCCGCAGCGCCCGCTCCACCAATGAGACTGACACCGCAATAGCCGTCGATGTTGCCCGCTGGTCGATCGTGGATATGGCAGTTCTGTTCTGACGACTCGTAATCGATCCGAAGATTGTGCAGCAGTATGAGCAGGAAGACGTCTCGAGACGACTGCGATGCTGGCTACTCGAAGAGTTTATTAAACAACTCATCAGCGAAGGAAGGTAAGTTACAATAAGGTGAATGTCGTTCCAATATAGAAGTGTTTCGCAGAAGCCTGATTCCTACCATGAGAACTTAAAGAACCACCCGTGTTTTAAACACACCTCCTAACAACCTCCTCAACCTCCGCCTCCCCCAGCGACTTCAACCCCAACAGTTGATTATCATTCTCCCCCTCAAAATCCCCCCCAAACCCCTCCCCATAAATCGCCCGACACAAAAACCCCATCACCCACCCCATAACATTCCCCGGCTCCGTCCTCAAATTCTCATACGCCTCCTTCTCCATCTCCTCGCTCCCCTTCTCCTCCACCGTCCACCCCTCGCTCCCAACAACCCTCCTCGCCACCTCCAGCAACTGCCGCTGCGTCACCTTCGCCCCATGCAACCGCACCGCCCGATTCCTCGTCTCCTCCTCCCTCTTCAGCACCCCCACCACCCCTTTCGCGACGAAATCCAGTGGTGTAGCCGTCCATGGCCGGTCTCCACCGTCGAAAAGCTGCATCTTCTTGGCGTGCAGATCGATGAGGAGTTTTCGCTCGATACCCCAGTCGAGGAAGGCGTTGTTGAAGATGTACGTGTACGTCGTTTGGGTGCATTTGGTTCTTTCTTCAAGATACTCCGCCACCTGCACCTTCGGTCCGTAAACCGGCAAAGCCCTGGCGCGAGGGTTTTCAGTATCGCAGCCGAACTCGCTCGGGATGAAGCGACGGACGCCGGCGGCGATGCATGCATCTATCAGATACGTTTGCAGGTGAATGGCCGGTGAGCCGACGGTCGAAATCAGAGCGTCGAAGCCTGTAAGGGCCGTGGTTAGGGCGGCGGTGTCGGTGTAGTCGACTGGGATGGATGGGATGGAGGCGGGGAGGGTGCTGGTGGAGTTTGGGCGGACGAGGGCGGTGAGGTCGAAGCCGGAGGCGAGGAGTTCGGGGATCAAGGCTTGGGCTACGGAGCCGGAGGCGCCGGCGAGGGCGACTTTGTGGATGGGGGCCATGGTTGTTGTGAAATTGTTGGGAAGTGGAGGTTGGGAAGTTGTTTTGGCTTGAGAGATGCTGGTGCTGGGGGATGATGGAGCTTTGAAGAAGATAGTAATGTGCAGAAGATGGAGACCGTACTTGTATCTCCTACCACCCGCCCCATCGTCGCTCATCAATACTCTCGTCTATACGGACACGGTCACAAATCACCCCGATGCACCTTTCAGCCTATCCTCCCTCCACTTGCAATGAAGCTGTTCCTGACAAATCAACACGGCACGACTCAGACGTTCAACGACCTGGACGCGGTCGTCTGGACATATACCGCAACCTTTTCCTAAGGGCCGCTGATATGCTTGGAATGCTTAGAGTAGACGGAGAAACATGATGAGGTACGGTCGAAGTATTGGACCGGTATAAGCGCGGAAGCATTCCGGAGATTTCAAAGATGGGTTGCCTTGGGTTTGTCATTGCCTTGCGAGCTTGGCACGAGCGCGATGAGCCAGTCGAAGTGATCGTTGTACCACATTGTGTCTTGCCTTGATCTTGCATTACGGTGCAGCGTCGTGCTCAGCCTGGACCGTCAGACTGAGCACCAGCACCTGCGTTCTCATCGTTGCTGTCATCCACCTTTCCATCGCCCAGTTGCTCCACTGGCACCACAGTCGCATCGTTGTCTTCGCCACCACCAGCGTGCTTCAAAAACCTACTCAAAAACTCCCTCTGTCCCCCCATCCCACCCCCAAAAACTCCACCCTTCGGCTTCGGCTTCGTCCGCACGCAAAACTCCAGCCTCAAGACTAGCCAATCGATAGCACCCTTCGCCTCTGTGCGCCGAAGATGCGTAGTCCCTGCATCGCGAATCCGGCTGGATATTGATCGTAGTTTTGCCACCAGAGCGTCGACCTGGGCATTGAATTCCGCTTCTGCTTTCGCCCATGGGGAGGTTTTGGCGAATGTGTTGATTGGTTTGGAGGTGCGGGTGCGGTGCTGGCGGAACGAGAAGTCGGAGAAGCCGGCGTCGATTGCGATGTCGAGGACGGAGATGAGGGCGCTGAGCAAGGCGTAGTCGGACGATTCGCTGATGGCGAATTCGGGTGCTGTTTTGAGTCGCGAGAGGATGATGTCGACCCATTGAGGTGAGCTCAGATCTAGTGTGTAGGCTTCTGGTGATCGCTTGTCTGTGACGTGGTGGAGCGCGAGCATGCGGCGGAGGTGGTGACTCTGCTTTGAGCGCGCAGGCATGGCTGCTATCGCTCGACAATGCAACAGTGGTGAGAGCTGGGTCTGTTCTGCGCAGGCTTTGTGTACGCGCTTGCACAGTATTTCGAAGGAGGGCTTATCCGAGAACGCTTCGACAATACATTCAACTGTATCCGCAACATCTTCACAGAGACTGGTGTCTTTCGTCACTCGCACATCGATCAGTGCAGGAATCAGTTCTGACAGTACTGCCGCCACTGGAGCACAATGATCATGCCGCCTAGCGTGCACATAGCGTAAAGCGTGCAAGACATGCCGTAAGCCAGGCAGCGTTCCGGTGTCCGGCAAAGGTGTAGAAGCGGGTTCTGGATCCATTTTCGGCATGCTAGTATTCGATGTATGCGAAGCTTCCAGGTGGGCCAACTCGTGAAAGGTGGTGAGGCGCGGCGAGACTCGCTGGTCCAGACTCTTGCTCGTTGAGAGAACACGCAGAACCTCGACATATGCTTCGCAAAGGTCCTGTCGTGGTTCATGAGGTAGTTGTTCGATAATCCATCCTGCAATGTCATCCGGTAGCTTGTTGGCGTCCGCAAGTTGGGCCACAAATCCAGATAAGAATGCTTGCTCCCTCGCCTTGTCGTTGTTACGATACCTCTCCCAAATCGTGCCAGACTCTCCCGGGAAGGCGCTCCTTACAGGCTCCTTAATCCCACGAAAGTAAAACAACTGCTGCTCACCCTGCATCGCCTCTGTCCGAGCAATCGCGAGCTTCATCCTCTCACCCTCGTCGCTATCATCTGCTGTGGCAGCTTGCAGACCAGCCGACGGCCCCCCAGCCCTCTGCAGCTCTTCTTCCCGTCTTTTCCTCGCTGCTTCAAAAGCTGCCTCGGCTTCTTGTATCCTCGCCTCGCTCTTCTCATGCTTCTTCTGCTGCTTGATCATGTTCGCCAAACTATGTTTGTACACCGTGCGGGGAGGCGAAGGTATCATCTTGGGCGTGGCTCTTTTCCGGTCCTCATCTGATATGCGACCACTGCGCCGTGATGGCTTCACTGTGCTTGGAATCTCAATCGCGTGGTTTGCGTCTCGTCCCAGAGCGGGTGGCGGTGTTATCTTCCTCTTCTTTCTCGGCACGAAAGAGGAAATGTCCGCCAGCTCGTCGCTGCTGTCGCTGTCCGCGCTGCCAGAGTCGGAGTTGGTGACCGCTTGCATCCCATTCTTGAGTATCCGCTTGCTCGAGCTTTGGGAACTCTGCGGCATGCTTGACAGTGTCGAGATGGAGGAGAACGAAGTGGTTGCAGCCTTGTCGCCCATTTCGCGCTTGGGCTGTGGAGGGGGAGGACGAGGCGCAGGTATTTCCACCGCAGTCATGCTGCGCTGTTGAGAGGATGCCGGACTTATATGGACGAGTGGATCATCGGTGTCGTCGTCGAGCTGAGGCAGTCGGAACGTTTTCGTTGGCGACTTCTTTGGTGTCTTCGTCGGCGATCGCTTTGTGGGTGATCGCTTCGTCGGTGTTGCAGCATTACTTGATCGCGGAGAGTCTTTTCGCGGTCTTCCTGGGGGTCGTTTTGTTGGTGTACTGGCTGACACAGATGTGTTGATGCGATCCCCCACGGCTGGTCGCTTGGAAGGTGATGCGACAATGATTTCATCCTCGATGGTGTCGTTGACCGGCACGCGATTCTTCGGGATTGTGAATGGCTTGAAGAAGTCTCGAATATTCCGATTGCTGGACTTTGGTGGCATCTCACTTCGTACAGATACGTTATGAGGTGTCGTTCACATGTCAAACTTAATGAACGCGGTTGACGCGATGCCCATATCGCGCTAGTGAAGCGAACACGTGACCAGAGAAGCCAACATTGAACTTCATCCATCTCTCATCTCTTCTTCATCCATCAACCTTTGCGGCGTATACATCTATGAGTTAAGCACATACGCGGGACATATTAAGGAAGAGATCGGAGAACAATATGAATAGGCTTCCCGGCTACGTATGCTTTCAACTGAAGTCCTATATCCTGCCCCTTTCCAGGAACTTATTCGGAATATCAATATACCTCGACCGGATGTACTCGCAAGCGTTCTTGCCCAAGCTGTCGAAGCTGGAAGTCGAGTTGAACCCGCGATCGAGATGGTCTTTCAGCAAGAAGTGGACGGCGCGAATGTTCGGGAACTCGCACCGGTCGATTTGGCCCCCGACATCGTCCGTGCCGAGCAGCTCTCGCAACTTGCCGGTCGACAGCATGGTACGGAACCAATCCCACTCGTCGTCATTACGTACGAAGAGACCTAAGTTGCAGTTTGAGCTCTTGTCGCCTGAACGTCCCATCGCCACGTAGCCGATTGGTGCCCGTGTCGTGGGACCGAAGGAGCTCAAATCGACTGGGTCCTTGGTATCGTAGCTGATCTGCTCTCGCGGATACTCTTGTGTGGTTGCTGGGTTTGGGACCTCGATGACTGTACCGTCCGGAAGATGCGCCGTCTCTTTCACGAAGCTCTGCGGCATCAAGCTCACCCAATACTCAAAGAACGGCCGGCCAATAGCAGTCCGCATGTCTGGAGCCATGGTTCCGCCAGGATAGCTCTGCAGGAGATTCTCGATGCAGAAGCGGGCAAAGGAGCCTCTGTCGCTATCCACGAAGTTGTTCCCGGACAGCACACCTGGGTCTCGCGTCTGAGCGAAGATTCTGAGATCAACAGTAGCTTCTTCCTGCGATTGCGGATCTTCCGGCACGGCGCCAGCGATCATGAACTTGAGGCAGGAGAACTTTTTCACGTGCTCTCCCATCTGCGCTCGTGTCTGCCGTTCGATCATCTTGGCCTTCTCCTCGATGTCCAGGCCTGTGAGGTAGAAGTGAAACTCGGCTTGCCAGCCTCCCTTGGCCGTGATGCCGACTTTTGTTGTTGGTGGTGGAGGCAGTCCTTTGACTCCACTCACGTGCACCGCATTCTCTCCGACGACTTTCAGGTGCATGTCCTCGATGGATGCGGTGACATCGGAGTTGAAGTACAGTGGCCCCTGGATCTCGTACAGCAGCTGGCTTGCGACCGTAGCTGGGGTGACCAAGCCATCTTTGCCCTGCTCCATGGTTATGACCGCCTCACCTTTGTGGTCGATTGCGGCGATCGGATATCCCATGTCCAGGTCCTTACCAGCAAGATCCTTGAAACCGGAGTAGTAGCCGCCGGTAGCATATGTGCTGCACTCGATGATGTGTCCGATCATGAGAGCACCTGCAAGCGGTTGGAACTCTTCTCTTTTCCAGCCATGCCACCACATTGCGGCACCCACAGTCACCGAGGCATCCGCAACACGGCCACAGAGGACGATGTCTGCACCACCCTCGAAGCACGCAGCAATGCCCGTCCCACCGAGATAGCACTGCGCACAGATCGGCTCATAGCCCCAGTCCTGGATGGCCTTGTTGGCAGGCAAGTTGTAAAACGGTTCTCCTGCTCGCAGCATCAGTAAGACATCTTCACACCATCTTTCGGTTTACGCTACCTTTCTTATAAAGGCCCAAAACAGCATCCGTAACATCATCCCCATCCACAACCCCCACCTTCATCTCCACCCCATGCTTCCGCATCAGCCCCTTCACCTCCTCCGCCAACCCGTGCACATCGCTCGCACCTGCGTTCACCGCCACTTTGACCTTGTTCTTCGCGAGCCAGGGCATCGCGTAGTCCAGCTCATCAAGGAAGTAGGGCTCGTAGCCTTTGGCGACCGTGGAGCCGGAGTTCATGGTGGCTTTGAGGAGGTTGTCGCGTTTGTCGCTGCCGCGGAGGGTCATGTTGCATTCGGACATCCAGTCGCCGGTGATTACGTCGACGTCTTCGTTTTTGGCGAGGTCGTGGATGGCGCGTTTGCGGTCGTAGACGCCTGGATGAGTGTCAGTGGGTGGTCCGTAGGATGGGTGGCAAGGAGGGGCCTACCGCCGGATGCGCCAGCGATCCGGATGGGACGCTTGTGGGCGCTGTCGCCGTTCGTGTCGCCGTTCATTTGGCTCCAGCTTACAGGCGCCATGGCTGCTGCTTGCTGAGGAAGAAATTACTAAATAAGAAGGATATCTGCAATGATCTGAATGATGCTGGCCTGCAGTTTCAGGTGGTTTATTGAGTGCGGATGACCTTTGCTTACAGCTCAATACTTATGGAACACCTGCAAGACATCTCACGATTATATACCACCCACTACGACTCTCTGGTACAGTGGCACCTCGGAACTGATCTGTTGCGGAGTCAACAGCTATACAGCGGTACCTGCATGGGATGCGCTAATGATTCAGCGCTGACGGCCGCGCTTCCAGACAGGACCCCAACCACAGCCATGAGAGCCGAATGTACCGAACGAAGCCTACAACTCGGGATCAAACATCTAGACAGGACCGTTATGGAGTCTGTTTTCCCTGCGACGAGCAAGACCTGTTTGATTGCTTGGAGCATTTACGCACATGAACATGATGAGACGTCCGACTGCTCTTCTACACGATACGGAACACTACCATCGCTACCTCTACGCGGCTTTGGCAACATAACCACCCTTGAGCTGCAACTTCGCCAGCTTCATCTCCGTCCTCAGATCCTTAGTCTTCTCAATCGTCTCCTGCACCGCCGGCGCCTTGATATGCACATCCCACAAGTACTTCTCACTCACATACACCTCAAGCGTGTACAGCGTATCAGGCTTCGCCTCATCATGCGCGAACCCATACACAAAACATCCAGACTCCTCCTTGGAGCTCTCGAGGTTCTGCTTCCAGTACTTGAGCGTGCCGTCTCGTTCACCAGACGAGAACTGAATGTCGGCGAAGACGATCAAGGGGTCCTTTTGGTCGGCGGCAGAGGGTTTGACGAAGTCCAGGTCGTTGAGGAAGGAGAGCTGGCGGATTGTTGGGGCGCCGGAGAGGACGGATTTGGTGGACATGAAGGAGATGAGTTCCTTGGTGGCGTCGGAGGCCATGTGGGCGTCCAAGGCTGCTTTGTCCGCGTAGCTGGGGTTGTTAGTGGTACGGTGGAGAGCTGGGAAGGGGTAGCTTACACTTCGATAGCCCATACTGTCGTTGTGTCAGAGGTGTCGGTTGGGACGCAGATCATGTAGTTCAAGACGCCTTGTTCATGTTGTTTCGAGAAGACGGAGACCTTTGTCAATGCTTCGATCACCTAGAAGAGACAGTCAGTGCCTATTCACTTCTGCTTGAGGATGCACTCACTTCGTCCCGTGCTTCACTGCTTGCTGTCGGTAGCTCTGCAGCAACAATAATCCTTGACATCTTGACAGGCTGCTTTTGGGGGTCGTTCAGAGAACAAACGGTATCATCAAATGTTTAGGAATGTTGAGTTATTCGGTCTCGAATGGTAAAACGGAATGACTGAGCTCCTATAGTCTCTCTACTCATGCAGACGAAGGCGTTCATCAAGACGACCATTGCCGGTCAGGACGGGAGTTGTTATCCGGCCATCAGCACGAAGAATACGTTCCAGAAGGGTTCGCTCTGGTAGCTTCACTAGGTAGCTTGTGGATTCGCGTACAATATGAACAACGGACACATGAAATCGACACTGCAGTGTTGCGGAAGAATCTCGTGGGAAACTTGATTCTCATTCACTTGAGCGAGGCTCCGGGCTATATACGATGCTTGAGGGGTATGTCCGTGCATCTCAAGCATCCCAAGTGCGCCCGAGTGTTTCTCAAGTGCCTTCACATGGTCACGTGAATGGTGGTATTTACCACAGTGTGGTTGTAATGTTCTGCATTCCAAGTCAAAGGCCGGCACGTGAAGCGTGGGTGTGCTCATGTTACGTAAGCTTCCTCGCTCTCTTGTCAATGCGGAAGCACACGACCGCTTTGAGACTGGCGGAGACCAGAACGTGTCCAAGCCATCTCCGCACACCTCTGTATTCGTCCCATTGATCATGCAGGATTCCAGGGTTGGGTTCAGGTTGAGTTAAGGATTCATCGATACAGAACTCTAATCTCTGGTCCGAGGCGCCCCCACACCTCGGTCCAGATGAAACCACTTGTATTTCATTGGATAAAACCTGAGGTCTATCTCCGTCCCCCGCAATCCCCCGTGGAGCCAAGGCGTCCTCCCATATGGCCACCAGTCCGTGGTCGACACTCACCCGTACCACCTCCATGATGTCTCCAACGGTCGCCTGCTTGGCTCCTCCTCTCGAACCCCTCCGGACCACTTGCAAACTCTCTCGACACCGGAAGACCGAGGCATCCTTTCGACCCTGATGTCGATGCAGTCCGCGGAGGTTAAGCATGATGAAGATAATAAGGCGTCGAGCGGTCGACGCTCCCTCACCGTGTGGCCGCTCTCTTCCTTCCATCTCGCCTGCCGATTTATACGGACCTTGTTGTAGTTTTCAAGCAACACAGCCATGATGGACTCTATGCGCGATGGGAAGTCCAGCGATGCCGACTCGAAGGTCGAGCACGCCACCCCTGGATACGGACACGAACGCAGCGACCAGGCCGTTCACAATGTCGAGGAGGAGGACAATCCCAATGTTCATCAAAGCGTGGGTAGACTCGGACAACACCGTCTTTCACGATTAACCAGAATCGTTTGCAGATGAACCCTCGTCTCTTCGTTTCACTCCTGGCCATGTCGTTCCTGTGGATCGGCTCGCAAATCCCGCTCTTCCTCTTCGGCGGCGTCCTGCCAGATATCTACTCGGAGATAGGCGGCGTCGACCGCTGGCTATGGATGGTGATCGGCTACCTGATCCCCAACGCCGCTCTATGCCCGTTCGTGGGCGCGCTCTCAGACATGTTTGGACGACGGGTCATTGCGGCCATTGGGCAGACTCTTCTGATCATTGGACCCATTGTCACATCGACTGCCGACACGATGAACACTGCCATAGGCGGGCAAGTGATCTCTGGGTTGGGTGCGGGACTGAATGAACTTATCGCTCTCGCCGGTACAGCAGAAATGGTTCCCATCCGGAAGCGAGGCGCGTACATCGGCGGAGTCGTCTTCACAATTCTGCCTTTCTGTCCCTCGGTGCTCTGGGCCAAACTCATTACCGAAGCTTCCACATGGCGATATGTCGGTCTCCTTGTAGGACTCTGGAACTTCATCGGTCTCATCCTCTGCGTTGTCTTCTATAGAGACCCGGCCTCGATGCTGCCTTCCCGCCCGAAAAAAGAGATTCTCCGCGAGGTCGACTATGTGGGCGGCCTCCTAAGCACGTTCGGCATCACTATGTTCATGCTGGGGTTACAATGGGGGGCATCCCAATATGCATGGGGCAGTGCTCATGTCCTAGCGCCGTTCATAATCGGCATCGCCCTCATCATTTGCTTCTTCGTGTGGGAAATTCGGTTCGCCAAGTTCCCCATGGCTCCCCCTGCTCTGTTTAGCAAACACAAACGGACGATGACAGCAATCCTCCTGATCACGTTCGTCAAACTGATGGGTGAAAGGGTTCTCTGAGACACGTCCAATGTCTAAGCTCATTGCGGCGCTCTAAGACCTTCTCACCTCCCCTGAAACCATCGAGACACCTGCTGACCGTTCTACCCTTCACTCTAGGTTCTTTAGCGGCGCCAACTTCTTCGTCCTACTTCTCTTCTGGCCGACCCAAGTGTACAATGTCTACGGTATGCTTCCTGGCAGCGGATCGACGTGGACTTGCTGACTTCTTCCCTAGGTAACGAACCAGTCCAGATTGGCATTCGGTCCTTGCCTATAGGCTTCGGGATTATCATCGGGGCCGCTGCCGCGCTCATCTGTATCCCCATCCTAAAAGGCCGCACTACCTACCTCATGATCTTCTCTACGGTCCTGATGACAGCCGGGACGGGTGCAATGTCGGTGGCCAGGACCGATAACCTTCCCACTGTCTACGGTGTGGTGACTGTGGCCTCTCTCGGCGTGGGTGCAGTGATTATACCCTGCTCCATAGTGGCCCAGCTCGCATGCCCCCACCACCTTATTGGCACCATCACGGCCATCACACTCAGCATTCGCTACGTCGGTGGCGCGATCGGCTTCACTGCTTACTATAACATCTTCTACCACGAGTTTGAGCAGTACGCTACTGACATCGTAGCTCCTGCCATCGTCCTCAATGGCATCGCCCCCGAGACCGAAGTGGAGCTTATCACCGGCATGATCGGATTGGCTGGCACCGCGCAGTTCGATGCGCTCAGAGCACTGATTGCTTCAGTGCCAACTGTCCCCGAGCAGCTGCAGGGTGAACCGGCTTTCGATATTGTTGTTGGCGCTACACAGGAAGCTTTTGCACTGGCTTATCGGTACCCGTAAGTCTTTGCTTGCTGGTCTCACTCTCCTAAACCCACAAGCTGATGCATGATTTTAAAGATACTGGATGAGCATCGCCTTCGGTGGCGTTTGCATCATCTGCTCGTTCTTCCTAAAGAATGTGAGGCATTTTGTTAAGATGTAGGGTGCAATTCATAGTTCTAGGAGCCCCAAGAGCCTAGGACAGTTGCTACAAAGAGGAGGTGGAAGACATCTGTCGGACAGATGAGGTCTCCGTGGCAGTAGAGCAAATGGAGATGGTGCATGTTGTGGGCTCTTCAGACTCATCGTAGTAGACTCAACAAGACGTGAAGATTCAATCGATCATGTACAATACCATCTACTGGTAGTGTCAAGATTTCGATGTCATGACCGACAACCATCACCCACCGTTTCCACCATTCGATGTCCAGATCTTCCTGCAAACCACCCCTGATCATGAACCTCTCGCCAGTCCGATTGAGCTCGTAAGCATCCTCACCCATGGTGGTCTGCGTTCGATGTCGCTAAGGACTCATTCCTCCTGCACGAGGAGCTTGGCGTGCTCGTTGTGGACTGATCGTGGCATGTTGACAGGCTTCGGGAAGATTGCTACTGCTCACTCAGGCAGTAACATCAACTGAGGGATGCTTTGGGTGCGTTGTTGAGCCCTTGTGGGGTCTGTGTTCCAGAGACGGGAAGTATGGTGTCTTCATGCTCTGGCTTCGCACGCCGGTGACTGGAAAGTCCCAGACGACCAGCAGGGTCGAGAGCCACCAGCATGTACCGTATTGGAGTAGCCAGCATCGTGTGCACTTCATCCTGGCCGAGTGTCGGCGTCTACTAGGTCTGCCATCTCCGGAAATCTTGCTTTGAAAGCATCCGTGATGGTCCAATTGCTGATCTGTTGGATGTGCTCCTCGAACACCGGATTGACAATGACCAGGTTGCTGTCCTCAGTCACAAGCACCACATGCCTTGGATCGTAGGGCCAGGTGATGTTGAAGTTTGTGCTGTCTGCAATGTGGCAAGGTTAGCAGTTTTCCGCACATCAGACACTGGCGCCAATGCTTACAGACAATTGCGAACATGTCAAGCGTTATCTCAGGATGTTCAATAAGGTAGTCGCGGACTCTCGGCCACGGCACTCGTTCGATCCAAGCAGGGTGTGGTGTCGTAAGCTGTGCATTCGTCGGCCGGAAGAACGTTGGCACTTTGCTCCAGCTCGCCTCATCCAGAGTGACTTGCCATTTGAGTAGCGCCGTGAAAGCATGGAAAAGGCTCACTTGCTTAGGCAGTGTCTCGATCTCCTTGTAGCTGAGGATGATGTCGCTGACGATGTTACTCAGCGCGTCTGCGGGCCTCTGTGTCTGATCGAGCAGATGGCATAAATTGGCCTTGTCGTCGTATACCTTCGGGTTGCTGTCCCGGCCCAAGGTCAGGAAGTCCTGTATGATCTGATCAGATATGCAAGTTGGCGCCGTATTGACCGGAGGCCTCTTCCAGCAGGGTAGTGTCAACGATGATTCAGTGGCCTGTCCGATGAGTTTCAGTCTCAGCGCACCGTTTTCGACGTTCAAATGATCGATCTCATCTTTGAGCGACTGCAATGTGTCTCCTAGCTTGATGATGTTACGATCTCTGTCCTCTACCATTTGTGATAGATGCGTGACCTGCCCGCTCAGGTTCTGAATCATGGTTTTGGAGCGGTCACGCATGGCCTGCTGGGACTTGCGATCCCTCGCCCGCTTTCGTTGGAGTTCCTCATCGCGTGGCATCGCTTTCCCTGGAGATATCGACTTACCACCAGACGTCATTTTGGACGATGGTGCATGGTATAGTGAGCTGATATGAAGAGCCCCCCGAGGAGGAGGCGGTCGTGGTCGTCACGAGATGAAAGCTCGGACCCAGACCCCCTTTCAACTTCTTTCGTCGCACTTCTCTTGATCATATACCTCCTTATTCCCGGTCGCTCAAACGAACAGTATGTTCTGCGACAACACACTGCATTACGTGGCAATGTTCTGGTGAGCAGCATAGCTCGAACTTGCTGATCCGTTGCCAGGCACCCCACCCTTCTGTTCGTTCATGGCGGACGCACCACGGGACAGGACAGGGCACGTTGGAAGTTTTGGGTGTGTCTACTACACGTGCAATGATTATAGGTACCGGATGATCACTGGATACTATATGAGCGACGAAGCCCTCTCAGATACCTCTGCGAACCACTGTCTAGCACGCCCACCCACCATCCACACTAAGTGCAATCCCTGAGATGTACCTGGACAAAATGTCAGCCCAGGTCGGCACCGTCAAAACTTCGCTACTCACGAGGACTCGTTGCTCAGCAAGAATGCAACCGCCTTTGCGACCTCTTCCGCCTCGCCGTCCCGCCCAAGAGCACACGGGTTAACTATTATGGTGACCTTCTCTGCCGCTGCGACCATGGGCGTGGCGATTCGGCCAGGACAGAAACAGTTGATCCTGATGCCGCGGTGGCCAAACTCCTTGGCCGCTGATCGTGTAAGGCCGAGAACAGCTGTTCAAGTGTTAGCTTGTTTCCTTGAATTGTGAGAACGATGGACAGACCGTGCTTCGCGGAACTGTAAGCGGCGTTTTTATATCGTCCCATCAGACCGGCGATGGAGCAGGCATTGACGATTGATCCGCCGTTCTCCAATACCTGCAGCTCAGCCTTCATGCATTGCATCAGCCCTCGGACGTTGACCGAGAAAAGAAAATCCCATTCTTCGAGGTCTTGCTCTGCGACCGTGTTGAGGCCGATTGATTTCGGAATCACACCAGCTATGTTGGCAGCTCCGTCAAGACGGCCAAAGTGCTTCACGGTGCCTTGGATCCAAGTGTCGATATCCTCGGCTTTACTGACATCAGTCTGGACTGTGATTACCTCCGATTTGGAGGTGGTTTTGATGTCCGCTCGAACTTTGTCGAGACCTTCGGAGGAGATGTCGGCTAGGGACAGTTTCGCTCCTCGACCGGCGAGTAGCTTTGCAGTTGCCAGGCCTAGGGACGACGTCAGGACTGTCGATGATAAGCGGTCTTTCAAAGATCGGAACCTACCAATTCCGGATGCCGCCCCTGTCAGCGCTATCACTTTGCCCAAGAACTGCTGGTCCATATTCAAGGCGTGAAGATAGAATGCAATGGAGGTTGCCTTTCTCTACTTTGTTGCCAACAACTAGAAGGCCCTTCGACACACGTACCTCAAGACTAAGCTTTACAACCTACCATACTGGTCTCCTGTCCGGACCAGACGCGTGCACATAGGCTACTGCCAGACGTGCGTGCGGAGTAACTCAGCTTGTCACGGCTGCAATCATGGTCACGAGGGTCTCGCAGCGGTTCAACAGGTGAGTTAGCATTCGGAAGTTGTTATCCCAGACCGTCTTCGAACAATTCGCGTGGGGTTGTTGATGGCCTGCTTGGCGATGAATCATTAGCGTCGACCTGTCGTCGCTGTCCTTCTTTTCATCGTTCGAGATCCTATCCTGTTGTTTTCCACCAGCTCAAGACGAAGGCTCATCTCTTCTCCACAGCAACACTATCTTGCTGTCGAACGCTCGAACAAACGGGCGTCATCTGGAGGACAAGAAGGCCAGACAGGCCTTTGAATGAGACTATGGAAGACCGTTACGAGCAGCGGCAAGCTCGAATGGATCCACGTGCCATGGACGGCTGTGGAAGAAGACGGCTGAGTCCATCGACTGCAACAGCTTCGTGGCCCCAATTTCTCCCGTTCCGCCCGGTCTTGACAATCGCTTGCATTGCTACAACCGTACAGTTCCACGAAAGCGGTAACAGATCCTGATGTCTTGTTCTGCATGCACAAAGCTGGCGGGCGTCACTTGCACGTAGACGCATTGCGCAAACCACAGCGGTTATATGGAGTTAAGAGGCGGATTTCCTCTCTAAATACCGATCACCTCCCCATCATCCGGCCGAAGCATTACTCCCACCCACTGAGTTGATCCACGCAGACCGGCGTCCGGCTTCCGTGTTATGAAACCAGCTCTTGTGTTGACAGCTTTTCAGCTTTTCAGCTCTCATCAGATGAACCGAGGCATTCCATAAGCCTGCAGTGAGCTGTCGCTGTATATCAAGCCTCTGCCTCACCAAGTGCTGATCTCTTTCAACAATCAACATTGCGCGACAGCAAGGAACATTCTTTTCTCAAACGCTCAGCCATCTAGGCTATCCACCCAATATGTTGCTATCAATCAAAGAGCTGGAGGAAGCTGCGGTCACGCACCCCGAAATCGCTGATGTAGAGCTTCCACGGTTCATTCCCACGGAACAGTTTCATTGACAGCAGTGCAGTATTTAGAGAAGAACCCACGACCAGCGTTCACCTCCGTCGACCTTGCCGTCATGAGGAAGGGCATGGAAGCGATGGAGAAAGGCTACAACATCTGGACAGCCCCTCCATTCACGGGATCTGAGACGTACCACGACATCCCAATGCGTGACGGCTTCAAAAGCTCGCTCAAAGTCCAGAGGCCGGCAGAAGGCGGAACTGGGCCTCTGATCGTGCTCGCGTTCGGTGGAGGCTTCGTGGGCGGCACCAACGAGCAGTTCGAGAAGACAGGCCGGATTCTCGTGAACCTCTTCAATGCAACAGTCGTCAGCATCTCATACCGCGTTGCGCCAGAACACAAGTTCCCAGCCGCTCAGAACGACACCCAGGACTCCATGAGATGGATCGCTGACAATGCCACTGGTCCCGTTCTCCAAGCAGACCCAAAGAAAGGCTTCATCATGGGTGGCATATCCGCCGGTGGAGCGATGACGGCCTGTTTTTCGCGCCTCTTTCAAGAGGAACCGCTGGCACACCCATTGACTGCCCAGTGGCTCGCAATTCCAAGCGTGATGTCTGCAGACAGCGTTCCAGAGAAGTACAAGGACTACTATCTCTCCACGACACAGCAAGCCAAGGGCAAATTCTTCTCACAGGCAACGCGAGACTGGTTGAACACGCAGGTGGAGGCGGACTTCACCTCGCCGCTCCGCTATGCCATCAACGCCAAACAACCGCTGTCAGGTCAGCCTCGCACTTATTTCCAAGTTGACGGAGCAGACCCTTTGAGGGATGACGCGTTGATATACGACGAGATGTTGAAAGAGGCTGGCGTTGAGACGAAGGTCGACATGTACCCGGGTTGCCCACATGGTCACTTCTGCTCGTACGCGGGGCTGGATATCACCAATCGAGCGAACATTGATACCTTTGTTGGCTTTGGATGGTTGCTTGGGCGAGAGGTTTCGAGGGAGGAGGCTTCTCGTGAGCTCGCGCTGTGAGGTTCAGCCAGCTGTGAAAGACGTTGTCGATATGTATCTAGCAATACGCTTGCTCTAGCTCGGGCACAACTCATCCTGCGAGCCACAATCGGCCGTGCAATTGAAGCCCATCGGATCAACAACGTTGCTGCATCTGACTCCCGTCGCAGCGGTCCCGTTGCTCAGCGTCGTGAAGCTATTGTCCGAGATCTGGATGCTGTCGCACGGTGAAGCACCGCTGCATTGGAAGGCTGCTTCGAATGGACCTACGACTGTTCCTGAGGCGTTGTCGAGGTGCATGTCTCCGATCCTGAGGATCTGGGTCAGCCTTATACAGAACGACGGTCGACATCTTGATGACTTACTGGAAGCGAGAAGTGTTCTCTCCGCCCGGTTGGCCATTGTATGACGTCTTCTGATTGATCGCCCATGGCAGACTCACATTGTTCGTAGTGAAGTCGATGCAGCTGAGATTCATTGCGTGACCGAGGCCGCCTGAGATCGTTAGCTTGGAGCTCAACAGAACCACATCAATTGGTGTGCACTTACCACCACCACCGTTTGGCGGGTAGCCCTTGTTCAAGCCCGTCCATGTCTTGAGATAGGCAGCATACTTGGTGTTTGAGTTGTAGAGATTGCGGGCTGTGAAGTTCTCAATCACTTCAATCTGTCCGGGATACTGGCCGATTGAGCCAAATGCAATACCAGCAACGCCGTTGTAGAATTCGCTGTCTTCGACGTAGATATTGGTAGAGTTCTGTTTGAGAGCAATTCCATCGTCGCCGTTGTCGACCGTCCAGCGCTTGAATGTGATGTTGTTGGCGTACACCTTGAAATCGATCAGGTTCCTGCTAAAAGCCGAGAGAACAGCTCAAACGTACCGTATCACAACCGTCAGTGTTGACATTGCACCTATCAAATGTCCCGACGCCAGGCTCGCAGCTGTTGTTGACGTAAATGTCCTGCAGAAGCACTCGCTCGGATCTGATGACTGTGCTCGTCCACATCTGCGACTTGACAAAGTTCAGCCCCTCGACGACCGAGTCGGTGGTGTCGCTGATGGTGATGGCATGCGGTCGACCGTGCAGATTGCTAGTCCCATTGCTGTACGTATACCTGCGAGAATTAGTGTCAGGAGTGAAGCTTTGGTGTTCGGTGCTTCGACTTACCACACCTGGCCATTACCGTTCAACGTGCCGTATCCGTGACCATAGCAATGCACCTGATCTCCGCCGAAGAACCATGCTGATGTCTGGTTCTGAAACCCGATCTGATTACATCGTCAGCAACTTTTGCGGGAGGCTACTGCTCTGGATGACTTACGTAGAGCGAGTTGTTCCGCCAATAGTCAATGTCCGAGTTATCCCACATCAGCGTTCCCTTCACCTCGACATCGACATTGCGCAGCCCAGTCGTGTTCAGCACAGTATGAACATAGTACGTACTATTCTCAAACAAGACATGGGCATCCTCATGGCATTGCTGGAAAGCACGACGGATGGCTGGGGCGTCGTCTTTGCTAGGGTCGTTGCAGGCTTCCACAACACACTTCTTCGTCCTCGGTGGCCGAGAAGTGAATCCATTGTATGGTGGTCCTTCCTGTGGGATGGCCGGCTGTCAGCAATTGTTCTCTCCGAGGTACTCGCAAACGTACTGGTCTGGCCTGTCTGGTCTCCAGTGTTGCGAAGGTGTTTCTGTGCCTGGGAGAGCGGTGGTCGTGACGGGTGTTGGATTGACTGAGCTGGATTGAGAAGCCACAAGTGGGAGTAAGAGAGCTTGTGGAAGCATGATGGCGGGGAAGAACTTCATGTTGGTAAACATTGTGCAGATGGCAAGGAGAGAGGAAATGCAAGATGAAGTTACCTTGGATACTGGGAGGTATAGGGCTGCTCACTCGGCCCTTCCATGTACTCAATAGTCAGCTTTTGGCACTCTCACCGACGCTGCGATGTCGTCTTGATCGACAACGGGCAGGCGCGGGGCACTGTATGAAATCAGAGATGCGAGTGGAGCATGATGGAGGTTTTCTCTCCGTGGTTGTTCATCGTCCGGACGTGGAGCCGACAAGCTTTTGCAGAAATGCTTGACCAAGCAGAGCTCTGCCGCGAATGCCGGAGGTCCACCTGATGAAAACCATGAATTGCTTCATCAAGTGCTGATTGTCCGCTCTACCAACTGTCTCCCTCAATTCTCGCCCTCCAACGTCGAGGATCCGTAAAGCTCGGCTTCTTTCGATACACCGGTCTTGCCGCCTGCAATGCTGGTTTCACCTCTTCCATCACAAGCTCGAGCCGCGAACAATTGCAACCACAACCTGCGGGACATGTGAAGTCCTCGTCAGCTGAAGCGACACTGTAATCAGCCAGACAGTCAAGGTGCGACGTGTGCAAGCACTGAAGACAGATCTGTTCCGTTGATCTCAGCACGGTCGTGCAGATGGCGCAGGTTTCGATCTTTGAAGCATCTTCCTCGCGCATCGGTACTACACCCTCGTCTTCAGCATGGGATGTCACACGAGATCCGATCTCCGTGTCTGCGGGAGCGATCATCTTCTCCAGCTCTGTCGCCTTCATCATCATGCCCCAGTTTCGCAGAGATTCTGCATAGTGCTGCACCCAAACTTGAGCCTTTCTGGCAACATCATCTGATAGAAACGGTGCCTTCGCGCCACCTGAGATCTCATCATCAAAGGCATGTTGATTCTTGTGACGAACCAAGACATCACCAGTGCCACTCTTCGGCGTGTGCGGTAAACTGCTGTCCTCGATCGTTTTGTCGCTATCGTAGGGATCTTCAAGCTGCTCCTCGAAGCTTTTGCTGAGCAGGCTCCCGCGAGCGGTGACCGCAGTGGCTGATGGCGCGGCGAAGGAAACTGTTTTGCTCCAGCTGCCGCTTGGCAAGCTCGAGGACAGTTCATTGTTACTGGGACTGACACTCATTCCCGTCTTTCTTGTTGGTGGCGAAGTTCCGTAGGTGCTGTAGGAGGTAAACTTGTCCGAGATCGACTGAGCGTAGTACTTAGCTGCGGCGCTGAAGCTGCTTCGATGGGCTTCCGGGCTTGCAGATCCAGATGCAGACAGTCGGCTTCCTTGTCTTGACAGGGCTGGCAGTGAGAATGGCGGCGTGGTACCCGTGGGGTCAACGTGTGGCGTGGCCAACTGTGAAGATGTCCTTGAGATGGTAGTGGAGTCTCGATGCAGTTTTGGCGGCGATTTCTCTTCAACCACGTTCGTAGGTCTTCTTGCGCGCAGCACAGGAGTTTCCTGAAAGGTGGTCCGAGGAGGAAGGGTTGCCAAAGAGGCATCGGTGAAATAGTCGAGGCCATACGTTGGAAACTTGCTGTAGAAAGATTGGCCGATGTTCGTCTCCTCACCATGCTTCTTTCGGTCTGCCTCAGCGAGGACGGCAGCGAAGCACGCCAAATGCTGCACATCAGCACAAGCCTCTGCCCACTCAAAGATGCGCCGTACCAGCCACGCTTCACCGAGTGGATCGTCCGCCCATCGAAGGCGCCCGAAATTGTCAATCTGCTTGGGAAAGGTAGAAAGCTCAAGGTCAGACTCAATTCTGGCGCAGGAGACGGCTGTCTGTGCAACGACAAGAACGCTCTTGTCGTCGCCAGCGCGCTGCAGAGCTTCAACGGGAACCTTGTCTTCCAACAGCAGCCCGATCAGCCGCCAGATAAGTGCATTGTTGGTCAACCCGTTCGAGCCCGCCACCTCAGCATTGTGCTCGCACACGCCAGCGCCCGATCCTGCATCATCCCGCAGGATCCGGTACTCATGTGCCAGGAGTCGCTGTATCCGGAGCGGAAGAACTGCATCGTCGAGATCATGGACCGCGATGTTGATGTTGGTTTGCACCTGTGGTTCAAGGCGGAAGTCGTTTCTGCTAGGCGACGTCCGAGCCTGCCACGAATGTTGACTCTGGAAGGATGATTGAGGCATCTGAAAGTTTGGGAAGAGGTCTTCAGCTTCATCCAAGTCAAAGTCATCAGATACGACAGAGTCCGACTCATCGCTGTCCGAAGCTCCACTGTCGTCCATCAGATTGCCAAACGTCGGAAAAAGCCTCGCAATCTTCCCGCTTCTCCGTTGATGTCTTCGCATTGGGGTTCTAGCGGCTGGCAAAGCTTCACGCTCCATGACTGCGGAACGGGGTCTAGACGGGAAGAATGTTAAGAGCTGACCATTTGGTGCGAACAAGGCACCACAGGCTTTCGGAAGTGGGACATTGATACCCCCAGGAAGAAAAGTAGCACTGCCTTGTAAGCGGTCCACGAACGTCTCATCCTCTGAATCATCATCGTCGTTATCAGGCATCAAGGGAGGCGCATGGCCCGAATCCAAAGACGAATCTGGCAGTGGTGGTAGCCTAAAGATGCTGTCGTCCAGTGAAGCAATCACTGTTTGAGGCGATCTTCGAGCTGGTATGCTTGGTGACAAGAACGGCATTGGTGAGTCGTGCTCGCTGTCAGGCTTTGGTAGTTCAAGACTCGAGGTCATCGATTGAGGTTGTGAGGCCGCAGAAGTCTTCTCGACAGCAGAGGGATGCGCGGTGCCTGAGAGTCTTGACAATCTTCGGGTCCGCTGAAGCTGCCTTGAGGTCTTTGCGAAGCTTGATGTTGACGTGTGCTGACTGGAGATTGGCACCGGCGTCATGGAAAAGCTCTTTCCCATGTCTTCATTGCCAGAAGGTACTTTTTGAGCGCCCTTTGCTGTCTGGTTTACTCCCGGAGACGTGGGCAAGGAAAACGAGGCCACCTGTTCCTTCGACGGCATCGAAACCAGGCGATTGTGAACGTCCGATCGTAGGTCATGGCTTTCGATACCACGCTTGCCAATCGTGACAATACAGGCAGTTCCGTGTAGATACTGAATGTGGAGTGCAACTGTTTGAGACGGCAGCTCGCACGACCAATAGTGACCAATCATGCGCTCGTTTTCGTTGAAGTCGAGCACCACAGCTTCATTGTTTCGTTCATCCAGAAGTAGTAGTAGATCACTGTTGATCCACTGTATCTGACTCAAAGCCTCCGAGAGAACCAGACTCGCAATTTCTCGTGGCTTGTGCAAATCTGGTCGAAGCACGCTACCTCCGACATCGTCGCTGTCCTCGCTATCACTAGAAGACAGCCCTGTACCATTCCGCTTGAGCAAGGCCGCATCGTTCGCGTCGTATACTTTCAAGATGCCGTCCGAGGTGCAGACGGCCAGATGACCACTGTTGCCAGGTCGCCAGGCTACGCTGCCGAATGACTTCTGCTCTGCGGACAGTCTTGCCACTGGCCGAGAAGAAGTGTGGTCAAGGTTCCAGATCAATGTCTGATCTTGATGCACAGACGCAATCATGTTCGTGCTATTAGGCTGAGTTGAAAGACCACTGCAGAGCCCTGCGTGAGCGGCTAGCCGAAGATACGGCCGCTTTGCAGAGTGGACGTCCCATAATGCCACGCTGCCATCGATACATCCTGCTACCAGAGTCGTCGTTCGCTGAGGCATCCATTGTAGTGCGGTCACTGTTCTCCCATTGCCAGACAACGTGCAGACGATAGACAAGCTGCTCAGCTCGTAGACACGTATGACCGGGCCTTCGGACAGGGCGAAAAGGTTCGACGGGCCATCAGATAATGCCAGTACAGGTAGCCTTCTCAACCCCGAAAGAAGTGCTATACTGGTAGTCTCCAATGTTTCGTCCGGTGCTCCTGGCTTCAGCACAGTGATCCGTCCATTGTGGTAGTGGACTCCCAGGGAGGAGTTGAGCGTAGCGGCGTCCAGAGTTTTGCCGGTGAAGTGGCCATCATCTTCATCCCATTCATCTTCATCGTCCATGGGTCTTCAGCCGAAGCGGCATCTTTTTATCATCTCACTTGCGACTTGGTGGAGTACAAGAAGGAGTGTAAAGTTTCACGCGTCTTTCACCTGAAATACATGCTGGCCCGTGCTTGCCCAGAACCAGCAGCGGCGAGGCGGCAAACGACGACATCGCACCTCGCTCTGTGCATGTAGATAGCAGTTCACACCATTCAATACATCTTCGGTCCTGTCTATACCAAGATTCACTGGGCTCCGCTTCGTTCATTCACCGGTGTGAGAAGCCCCGCGGATCGTCATCTGATCTCAGCGTTGACCAAAGTCACTGTGGGAGCGTCATCCTCTTTCCTGGCCTCTTACCTCGTCGCGACCATCGTTCCTTTGCGCAAGACCAAACCAAACGTAGGTAGCCAGCCATGACTGCTCCACTACCCAAGCGGATCATCAAGGAGACCGAGCGACTACAAACCGAGCCGGTGCCGGGCATCTCAGCACAACCTCACGACGACAATGCCCGCTACTTCGACGTCATGGTTCAGGGCCCCGACGGCAGCTGTTATGAAGGTAGGTGCTATTTTCTACAGAAATAGTACGCAAGCGCAAGGAGAAGGGCTTGCTAACGAACAACTGCAGGTGGTGTCTTCAGCCTCGAACTCTTCCTCCCAGACGACTACCCGATGACACCGCCGCGCATCCGTTTCCTGACCCGCATCTACCACCCCAACATCGACCGTCTCGGCAGAATATGTCTTGATGTTCTGAAGAACAACTGGAGCCCGGCGCTACAAATCCGCACAATCCTGCTCAGCATACAAGCGCTGCTTGGTGCACCAAACCCAGAAGATCCTCTGAACGAGGCTGTGGCAAAGCAGTGGAAGGTAAGTTGTAATTGAACATACCGTGAACTATCAGGGCAAGCATGGATCTCACATCTGTCGCAGGAGAACCAGGGTGAGGCGATCAAGACGGCGCGGGAGTGGACGAAGCTCTACGCGCAACCGAAGCAGTAAGGGGAGGGTCGCGAAACGGACGGCGGGGTGCTTATGACAGACGGAACTTGCGTGCGAAGGCAATAGCTCAAGACTACGGGGATGGGATGAGGTACGGCGTACGACACGACGAGGGAGAGCAATGACCCACGAACCACAATCGAACGGCCCTTCAGCGGTTGCTACGAGTTCTTGGTAAGCTACGAGAGCATGAAAATGAAGAATCAATGCACATAGTTATGCGTCGGCGAGTTGCTAAGCGCCGCGATTGAAATGTCCAGATCCTGCATGTACGAGAGATGTGTCCTGTGAGGGCGCTCATCTCGTACAAAACGTCGAAATGTTGGACCTTCGAACCGTGAGTGAGTGGAGCTCAGAAGTCTAGTCGGACGCGCAGCGATATCTCTTGGCGCTCTCCCTTCACTCTTCCACTCCTTCACCCAGCCAACACCATAACATCAATGTGCTAACAACATCCTATACGCGACATGTTACCAGCATCACACCGCTAACTGCTGTGTACGGGCCTCTTCGCCTCCGCGTTTACCACCACTCGGCAGTCTCTCCTTGTCAGCTCGTGTGCGGTGGTGAAAAGCGCGTACAACCTGTTTGCCTGGCCGACAATCAGCGACGACTTCCAGCATCAGCGATCATTCCGAACTAAACACCCTGGACGCATTCTCCTGTACAGCAAAGCCGCGAACATCGCTACATGTCGCCGACCCGGCAATCCTGCCTTTCATCCCGCAATGGACAAGTCGAAGACACCCCCATCCGAACCTAGTTGGCGGCGCCGCGCCTTGCAAAGAGAGCAGTACTTCGTCAATATCACACACCAACGCTCGACGTCCTCAGACGACGGCACCGCAACACCCTCCTCCGCATCGCCCGCGCCGCTCTCGTCAGCCCAACAGTCACGACCTCACTTCATTCCCAACGTACCACCTCAGGGCTTGGCACCACAGCTGAAATTAGATACTCACGTGGGTGACTTACTAGCCACAGGAAAATCTTCACCAAACCTCACACCTTCTGGAGGAACATCACCTGCCTCGCTATGGTCACGGCGAGCCTTGTCCTTGAAACCCGTCAACACTCGCGGCAATCGACCCACAGACTCGGACAACACGAGCCTCACTATCAGCACTTTCAGCGTCGAAAGCGGCGAGCGCGCCTCATTGAACACGCATCCTTCCACCACCTGTGATAACACAGGGAACGTCACGAGCGCCGCCATGCTTTCGCCAGCCAGCCTCTTCACGGCAAACATCAACGCGCAGAGCGCTGGGAGGCGCTCCTCTGCACCGACCACAAATGCAACCCACTCGAAGAAGCCTAAAGGCCAAGGCGGAATGCTGTCTGCTTGGAACCGCAGGAAGAATAAGAACTTGCCCGACGACAGGAATCCTAATGTTGGATCACTGTCTGCTAACGCTAATAGCACGAAACCCTCGCCAGCCGACAGTTCGCGGAGCTGGGCGACCGATGCAGGCACTTCGCCCCTAGATTCAATGCGCTCGCTGCAGTTCCCGACTTCTGCCGTCAAAGCCAGTGACGCTCACTCACTGAAGCCGAGAGCTCGTTCGGGCAAGCCCGAAGAAGCCGAGAACATCGAAGAACTGTGCGACCTACTCAATGAGCAGCGCATCCGGCCGGGTGATGCGAAAGAGGTCGCCGATGGACCCAAGAGCGCGTTCGACTGGAGCAGCAGTGATGATGATGATGACGTTCCGGCACCAAAAGAGCCAAAGGAACCAAAGGTAAGCAAAGGCGCGTTTTCACGTTTCATGAAGAGCAACAAGGTGGCGGCAGCGGCAGCAGGCAAGCATGGGGCAGCGGCAGCAGAGGCAAACGTGGGAATGGACAGCGATGAGGAGGCCATAAGGAAGCTTACGGTGTTGTTTGCGCCGGGAGGCGCCGGTGGAAGCCGTGCAAACGCTTTCAGAGAGCACCCAGAGTTGCTGGATATGGTGGCGAGCAGGGGCGAGGTGCCGGTCGGCAAGGCGAAGATTCATCACGTGATCGATACGACGCAGGCTCAAGCTGCTGGCTTTAGCCGGGACGCAGCGGTCAAGAGGTCAAGCGTGCTGAAGCTATTTGACGACCCAATTTGGGGGGGAGAGTCAGGTGAGTACAGTCACGCGACGTGCGACCATTATTCGGATTTGCATACTGATCGGCGCAGTGACCGGCCAGGATTTTAGAGAGCGCGAGTTTTCCACGCTGAAGCCGGGTTCAAATGCCTGTGAGTAGCCCAACGCGTACAAAGTCTCAGGTGGTGCTGACAGCGACCAGACAACCGTGCAAGGGCGAGGCCGTCAAGGCTGTCAACGTCAAGATCCATGCCTTCTTTGATGGCCACCCCGGAGAAGACAGTCCAACAGAAGGCTACTGACGACATCAACATCTCTCCCGGGAAGCATCGTCAGGGCAGAGACGATATGGATGTACCTCCAGTGCCCTCTCTTCCCTCGAAAGACTCGCCGTTGCTGGTTCGCAGTTCAACGACCGAGCAGGAGAAAGCGAGCATCGCTCAAGGCTCCAACAAGAACGAGGCGCATGCAGCACTGGTCATCAGCCCTCCTTATCCGCGGAAGCCTGTCGATTTAGTTGTCTCGCCGCCGATTTATGCACTTCCGGTAGCTGGCTCTAGTGTGCCAATGACCCCTTCGAAGCTCAGGCAGACAACTGGCGCCGACGATAGCTTCAAGCCACGCGAGGGTGACCCATTCATGGAGGATATCTTTCCGCCAACGAAGAAAGCTTCCTCAAAGTCCTTTGATTCCGGCCGCGCAGCAAGCGAAGCACATTCTGCCAGCTTGGAGATGGCTCGAATCAATACTGGCTCATCAAATTCAGTCAGAGCACCGTCGTCATCTGCCGCATCATTCGCATCGTCGAGATTTGCCACGCCATCCTTGAAGTCGAAGAGGCTGGAGAAGCCAAAGGAACCAACATTCGCCGATGCTACCATGCCACGCTCGTCCAGCGGGACCGTCGCAGAACCAAGGAGATTCGACTTGCTTCCGCCGGCCCTCGAGCAGAAGCGCCTGAGTAGGATGAAAGCTGGCAAAGACGTTGTCCGTCGTGGAAGTCAGCTTGGCCTCTTCCCGATGAAACCGGTCGGAGAGATCACTGGTCAGGAGTTCGAAGCCGTCGGTCTGGCTGCCACTATCCCGGAGAAGGACGCTTCCGCCGCAAGGAAGAGCAAAATTCTCGGAAGCTTCTTCAAGAAAGTGCGCGACACGAGTCAGCAGACCAAGGACCAGGCTGAGGACGTTTGTCAGCAGCTGAACGATCACGCTGCACTTCGCTTCTTAGGGGACGCGAAGGCCAGCCACATCGACTCACCAAGCGCAGAGGCGCGAGCACATTTCGAGAAGGCATTGCAGCTCTTGACCGGAGCCGGCGAGGATGTCACTGTCAAGGAGCACAAGAAGCCGAATGCCAACCCGCCTGTGGGTTTGGGCATTATATCAGAGCAGGGCAGCACCCTTGCTCAAGAGCCGTTCATTATCCCAGACAGCTACCGCCTCACAGCAGGTCCTGGTTCAGACTCTGCAGAGTGTGCGCACAGCAAGGCCGCGATGACTGATACTGGAGGCTTCACTAAAGGTCCGACCACCCAGGATCACGACACAGAAAGTGTGTCGAGTGCCTGCTCCGTAGAGACTGTCGAAGAGTATCATGCACCCGAGGGTTACCCTGGTATCGTCACTGGTCAGCGCTCTGCATCAATGCCAAACAGCCTCACGCCAGCGCCGCTGAGGGTGCAGAAGCGTCGGCCACAAGCGCCGGCACTTCAGACTCTCAAAGTCGATCGCAGTTCAAAGTTCGTCCGGCTTGAGAAGTCGCCGTCTTTCGTGCCTCGCCGCGACAGCACGTTCATGAGAAAGATCCGAGAGGCGAGTGAAGCGAAGGAAGTCGAGCTTGGAAGCCACCCTGCAATGCGCGAGGTGTCGCAGGCGCTGGATGACCTTTCGCAAGACATCAATGAATCCATGACACGATTCCACTCACAACCACAGCTCGCTAGAGTCGACTCTGGTTTAGATTGGGGCGTGAATGAGATTCGCGATGAAGGCGATGCGAAGCGCAGTACCAGGGAGCAGAAGTCCATGGACCAGCGTCTCTCCAGGGAAATTATCATCAGCCCATCGCCTAGCAACAGCCTCGAGCATCACAGGTCATCGGCGCCGAGCACAAAGACCAACTATAGCCGCCTTTCCGTCAAGGTCGACATGCAGAAGCTGCGCAACGAGATGGATCTTCAGCCGCTGCAACTGCCCGTAGGTGACGACACACCTCGTCACCCGAACCACCCCTTCACCTGGGACCACGAGAAGGTCATGTGCCGCGGCATCCACAACCACCGCGACCCGCAGCCGGAGTTCCCAGAAGTCCCGAAGGGCTGGAAGATTCCTCTACCCCGTGTGAACTCAATGTACTTCGACAAGCGCGAGCGCCCAGACGACACGGACAATTTGCAGAAATGCAGCATCTGCGGCAAGCTCTGCTGCATGTACGCCGGCCTCATGGTCGCCTTCAAGACCACCGGCCAGGACATCGAAGCGAAGGCGAAGCGTTTGAAGGCTGAGGATCGCATCAGTCAGTTGCGCGGCGCTCATCCGAACGGGATTGAAGAGTACGAGACGTTTGTCGTGTGTGGGATGTGTCGACGCAAAGTCTGTCCGGGCTGTGCGAGTCGTTGCATGGACGAACTTTGCAGTGATGTTTATTGTGTGGAGTGTGGGCAGGGCGTGGACCGGTGTCCGATTCACAACACGTTCTAGGAGGATGGTGATGGATCGGGCGCATTTTGCTGGATGTGTTGTCTAAGGACGATGATGAGACTGCGCATGGACTTGAGGGTCTTGAGAACGGACTTGATGAGGGTCTTGAGGAAGGTCACGCATAGAGGGTGTTCTAGCTGGGCCATAGGGCATGCTGGGGATCGCATGGGCATGGAAGTCTTGCTTCACATGATCAGAAGAGAGGTCTTAGTCAGATGTTCGTGTAGCTGCCACTTTTACTAGCGGCCTGATTCATCAGACTTGCATCGATACCTGACTTTCCAACACCAACTCTTTACATCAAGAGCCATTCATTCATTGTCGAACAGTTAGCCTTTTGATGTCTTCTCTCCCCTTCTCGCTTACTACGTATGGTTACTTGAGCAGCCACTCTCGTCACTGCACTCGACTGTCTCGCCAGAGCTGAATGTTTGTGCCTCAACCTCGCTTCAACACACCTACTGCGGTGGCTCCAGGGCATCATCTGAAGCGGTGGTGTATGCTGTAGAAAGCCACAACACTCTTGACACTCACCGCCAACTGCTGATTGTGGATGAGCCTGGGTATCTCCGTGTGACGAATGGCCCGCAAAGCCCTTCCTCACGCACGGCAATCCACGCCGTCCACTCGAGCAAGCGCCGGACAGATGGCATGTGAGGCACTGTTGGAACTCAAGACCCGCACATCTGATTACTGTGCGGTCCGCAGAGGCATAGAATGCATTCACCGGGGACCGTTGACCACACCCTGGCACCACTTGCCAACATATGCCTGCGTCGACGTGACGGGGACATGCGTCAAGAGTCTGGCTGCATACTTAAGATGGACAGGTATCGCAAGCCATGGCGCACTCCTGCCGCCTCCTGTGCAGGTAAGCAAGTATGGAGATAGTTCTGCCTCAACCACAACAAGCTGAGCGCAGCAATGATGTTGTTGGTAACAGCTCCATGCTTTGGCTGTCCGCTGTTGACTCGCATATATATGCCAGCGGTGGCGAGCGCAATTCACTTGCTCAGACCACAAGTCCAATCTCGGAGGAGGCATCTACTCACCCAAGATGAACACGACCATGGAAGCCAACGACGTACAAGCTGCTCGCAGGGGATCTCTTGAAGTTTCTCCGGACCACGATGGGCCTCCCGCTCCATGGGGAGGCGACCACGGAGTCCTCGAACCTCCTCCGGCGGTTGAGACCAATGCACAGAGGCTTGAAGACGTCACGACGGGCTTACCACCACCTTCGAGTGCTTCGACTCTGGCTGCTCAGCAATGGTATACGTCAGGCGCAGCAGAAGGAGTAACATCCATCCCCAGCTCGGATGCTACAGCCTATCAAGCAACCGTGTCACCGACACATGCTCCGAAGCTCCGACGTTGGAAGCCTGCATTGATGAGAGCAGGGCCGCTGTCTGGTATATTTGCAATGGTAGTGGCGCTTGGAAGCATAGCAGTATCTCTCGGAGTGCTTGCGGCTTCTGATGCCGCAGCTGTTAGCGCATAGGCTGTTGAGCCTTCGATCTACCTTGCTATCTGTACCGCAGTTGCGAACCTGGCGATGCGATACGCCTGTAAGTTACTCGATGCCAACAGTTTTGCACCTGCTTACTTAAGAGCATTAGGTATCCAAGGAGTGGTGATAGCATGGTGGACAAGAGCCAGAGCTGGTTCTACGCTCGCTAAGTTGCACTACGACTGGCGTTCTGGGACCACCCTCAGGGGAGCTATTACTGCCGGAAGACATCTTGGTATGCTTGGCTTAGCCACCATCTTCTCCACGATCGTGATCATAGACGGACCTCTATTGCAGCGGAGCACCTCCGTACTCTCCACCTCTTCTGCCGGAGACCCCGTACATCTTCAAGTCGTCATGGCCCAGGAGATTCCAACTGGCTACAGCGGAGTGTGGCAGACAAGCGAGTTGATCGGCTATGGCACACACTATAACGTCTTGTTCAACGAGACTATGCCGGGTGTCAATGGGACCCATGTATCGAACGATATATGGGGATTAGACACTAGGAACATGAACGAGGTCGAGCATTTATATTACGCGGACAGGCCGATCCCAAGGATGGTCACGGGGTGTGACGATGAATGCGAAGTTACGATCCAGGCCCCAGCGCTGGCCATCACCGACTGCACCTCGCACGCCGTGCCGGTCAATTACACCGATTCAATGGGACTACTCAAAGGACAGCCGTCTGTTACAGCAGGTCCGCTAGACCGGCAAGCATTTCTTGTAGCCAACGTGCTGGTGGCTCCACCAGGCGAGGACGAAACAATCCAGCTCTTCACAGGCTACTCAACTACGACGGAATGCGCTGGAACCTACAACTACACCTCTTGCTCGCTTCACTCCGCAATTGGCGAGTACAACATCTCAATCAAAGCCAACTTATCTACGATTGATACATCGACACCGCCGCGTATCATAGCATTCGCCAACAATACCCATGCCAACATGACCATCGATCCTCGCTTCCAAGCCTACCCTTCGACGCTCGGTGGATTGGTCGGTGCGTTGACGGGGGCATGGCGCTGCTCAATGACTACGTACAAAGAGAGAGGGGCGCAGCAGTGGCTCACGTCCAACAAACCTCTGTACATGCGGTATGCTCAGAACACGAACGGCGAGTGCCCGTCGTTCAACGATCCGCTGCCGGACATGCTTGCAGAGCTCAATAAGCTAATGGTCTACACGGGCGCCATTGCAGGACATGAGCAGATTGAGGATCTGCAACCGCGAATGGATCCAGGGGTCGCTGCGAGAACGAGGACTACTGCTATTGGGCACAAGGTTGGGAAGCTGAATGTGTTTCAGACTGACTATTGGTGGTTCTTTGGTGCAGCTTTGGTTGAGGTCATTTGTATCTGTTTCGTGGCACCTGCGTGAGTCTCGAACGTACCAAGTCTGTGATACACTGCTAATTGTTGACGTGCAGCTACTGGGGATGGTGGAGACTAGGACGATCGGTGTCGTTCTCGCCGTTGGAGATCGCAAAAGTGAGCACACCTAACAAGGAACATCAGGCACTGCTAACAACGTCAGGCCTTCGAAGCGCCCATGCTTGCCGCATGCGACTCGAACTCCACCGGTCGTGACGCCGCGAAAGCCATGGGTGATGTGAGAGTCGACTATGGTTTTTCAATCGATGCTGCAGGACTCGAGACGACGAAACTTGCTTTCTTGTACTCTGGACCGTTCGAACAGTCTCAGAAGGATCGCCATGCCTCCTCTGAGATTCACGGCTCGCCAGTCTAAATGCTCGGAGCGGGCATGGTGCGTCCAGATCCACTCTCAGAATCGGTTGGCACCTGGACATCAACGCACCTTGTTACGCAGTCGTACGGTATGACACCACGGAAGGAGTTGCCCAGGAAGCTCTTGGTATTGCTTGATGCCACTGAGACGGTGTTGGCAACTAGATAGGCTACTCAAGGACGTTTACTGTTTTTGATCAATGCCCTCCACAATACTCGCCAGAAACTTGCGGTTTATTAAGGTGCAAGCCTTTCGTTTGCCGCGTCTAAGTTACAAGGAAAGTTATCTTCAAGAAACCACTCCACTCTTTTCGATGTTGCACGAGTCGTACAGGCACAGATCTATGCCAGATCTCATCGATCTCGTCGATCGGAAAAAGCTCGCCAATCTAGATTGTGGCACGCTTGGCCCTTGCAGCCATCGTCACACCGATCCAACCACACTTCCTCCGCGCGAATCATCTCTTCACTGTGGACCGTGACTAGCCGCTAGGATCTTGTGCCAGCTTATTCCCGCCTGCTGTCGGGAGACTCTCTTCACGAGTTTGCGCATCGTTGCTCCACCCGCCGCCATTCCACTGTTGCACCCTGCTGACATGTTTCCGGTGGCATGATCCCATCGCTGCGTTGCTTCCGAGTGGGTGTCAAGATTCGAGCTGTGAGTTCTGAGATATGACTTAATACACCGCCTCCCAAGCACACCCCAGCCGCGCTTTGTAGGTACCTTGCACCTTGGGCGGACACAGGTCCGGCACAACGTCTTGGTCTTCTCTGTCGTCCATCTTCTAAAAATCTTCGTCAGAAGGTCTAACATTGCATTTACGCTTCGAAAACGGGGACTATACCGACGCTACCCCAAGCCCCTTCCAGCGCTGGGTTGATGAATCATTGATCCAACCAAGGCTGCACTGACTCCAGGAACACTACTGGCACGCCACACGTGGAGTACCTTGTTGTTGCAGCAAGAGGCAACACTACCTGATCCCAAGGAACAGCCTCAAGCAATCTGTTAAAAATGCCCAAATCTTCTCGCGTGCTCATATACCTCCTGCGACGAGATCTCCGGCTGGCCGACAATCCCATATTCCACGAGATCGGAAAGTTAAACAGCCAGTCGCAGAAACCATTCACTCATCTACTGCCGGTCTATGTCTTTCCAGCAGCGCAGGTCGAAGTATCCGGCTTCCTCGCTTCGGACGACCAGCGATCACCGTACAAGGAAGCACGGAGCGAAGTTGGCCATTTCTTCCGATGCGGGAGGCTACGCGCGAAGTTCCTCGCGGAGTCAGTATGGGATCTGAAAGATGATCTGTCAAAGACTGGCAGCGGGCTGGAGATTCGAGTGGGAACGATGCAGGATGTCGTCAAATCATTGCTGGATGGCTTCAAGCAGCAGGACGACGTTGAAGTCCATGGCCTATGGATGACGAGTGAGGAAGGCTGGGAGGAGAAGATCGAGGAGAAGGAGGTGAAAGACCTCGTCCGGGATGATGGCAAAGAGTTCAAACTCTGGACCGATGAAAAGTACTTCGTCGATGATCGCGACCTCCCGTTCCAGGACCCAGCAGACCTCTCAGACGTGTTCACGCAGTTCAGGAAGACAGTTGAGCCATTGCGTGAAGCACCACGAAAACAGCTCCCGAAGCCAGACTGTCTTCCTCCTCTCCCTGATCACATCCCGCCGCAACATGGCCCCTTCAGCATTCCCAACAGCCTAGACGCCACAATTTCCGCTCTCCACAAACCACTACCCGCCGACGGCGGATTCTCCGACATGCCGAGCATGCCCAAAGACGTCCAATCAGCCCACCCTTTCAATGGCGGCTCTTCCGCAGGTATTCAACGAGTCAAACACCTGCTCGAATCCGGCGCCATGACAACTTACAAAGATACTCGCAACGGCCTCCTCGGCCTCGACTTCAGCACCAAACTCGCCGCCTGGCTCTCCCTAGGCGTCATCACCTCCCGCCAAGTCCACTGGATGATGCTCGACTTCGAAGACGGCAAAACCGATCTTGGAAAGGACGCCCCGGGCTACGGGAAAGGCGAGAGCAAAGGCACAGCAGGCGTGCGGTTTGAGCTGCTGTGGCGCGATTACATGCGTCTCTGCACGCGGAAATTCGGTACGAGGTTGTTCTATCTTGACGGGTACAGGCATATGGATGATGCGTGGGAGAAGTTCACCAGTAGTCCGTTCTCCAACTCAACGAACAAGAAGAACAAGAACGGCACGAATGACTTCGACACCAAAGCAGCCATCGAGCGATTCGTACGTGGCAAAACCGGTACAGGTCTGATAGACGCCTCACAGCGCGAGCTCTTCCTCACGGGCTGGACGTCCAACCGCGCGCGGCAGAACGTGGCGTCCTATCTCGCAAAGCATCTCGGCATCGACTGGCGGATCGGCGCAGAATGGTACGAAGCCAATCTTGTGGATTACGACGTCTCGAGCAACTGGGGCAACTGGCAGTACGTCTCTGGAGTGGGCAATGACCCGCGCGGTGACGCTCGAGTGTTCAATCCGGTGAAGCAGGCGCTGGACTATGATCCCGAAGGCGAGTATATTCGCGCTTGGGTGCCGGAGCTGCGGGATGTAGGTCGGGGTGCTAATGGGGAGAAGGGGAACAGGGAGGATGTGATGGGCGTGTTCCAGGCGTGGCGGATGCCGGATGAGGAGAAGAAGCGGCTTGGGCTCACCGGCGTGGAGTGGGTGGAGAAGCCGTTGGTTCGGATCAACTTCTGGATGAATCGAAGAGGTGGTGGTGCACCGCGAGGTCGAGGTGGTGGAGGTAAAGGGCGGGGCCGTGGTGGTGGTCGCGGAGGACGCGGCGGTAAAGAGGGCAGAACTGGGAATATGGAGAAAGCTGGCATGATGTAGATGCCGTCGAGTCTAGCGTTTGTGAGCCAGCAAAATTGTACCAAGCGCAGCTTCGAAGTCGAAACTCATCATTTGCGTGGTCTACGTGAGCCCCTGCACTCGCCGGTCCTCGTCATTCACCTGCCGTACACAGATCAGAGGAAATTTGAGCGTGGGAAGAACTCGTGAAGTGTGATTGAATGCATTTCATTCCATTGCCGCGTCTACGTGACATCCTGAGTGACTCCATGGCTGTGGAACCGGCATATCAGGCATTCACGAGCCACGATACTGGACAACATGCATTTCCACCAAAAGAAGTCCTTGCCACCGCCAGAAGTTGTTTAACGAGATGTCGGCATGGGCTTCGACTTGGCTCCCTTCGCGGCTTGCTTGCCAACCACACTGCGCTCACATTAGCAACTGTCGAAGGTAGGACCAGTCAAAGGGAGATATACCGTCCAGTGGTCTGCCCCTTCGCTGCGCTGGCGGCAGTTTTCGCCTTCTCTGCCTTCTTGATACTCTGCTGCGCGGCACGCTTCTCCTTGCCCTCCTTTGTCGCCTGCGAGCGCTGAGCAGCGCGGGCTTCTGGGCGCATGGAGCGGCGCTCCTTGATCACATCGAGAGAGGCACCAACAACTGCACGCTGGGACTTGACTTGACGGCGACGGCGGGTCTTGGCTTGCTCCTGTGGTCATGTTAACATTTTGCGCTCTCCTCCACCTTGATCAAGGCTCATCGTACCTCAGAGATACCCTTTCTCCGCTGCCTACGGCAAAGGACAGTCCAGGCGATGCGGCGTGGGTTCTTGCGCTGGAGGAAGAGGGACTCGCTCTTGCCGTTCTGGAAGCGGAAGATCTTGCTGTCTGCGCGAACGAAGATCTTGCCCTGTGGCATGTATTAGCCTTTGCGCGATACCATAGCACCCGTCGCTTCGCTGTTGCATTCTCCTCTTGCTTCGGACATGCAAGCTTCATATCGCCGTGACCTCGCCTTCGGCGCCATGGATTCTGCTCAAACACATAGCCTCTCATATACTGCATTCCGCCTCTTTGCTTGCATGTCTCGACGTCGTCCACCCATGTCCTTCGATCTCGTCATGCATCCACCGCGGGGACAGAGGGTAGGCATACCTTTCCTGGGTAGATCTTCGCACCGGAGAAGGTGTCGTCGTAGGTACGCATGTTGCCGACTCGATATCGCTGGATGTGTGTGAGTCGGTGCGGCTTCGTCGCCTTTGTTCGATAGTTTGAAAGTTCGAGGTTCAATATGGCACGCCAAGATGTGCGATAGCGGGACTAGCCGAGATCTAGTGACATCACGTGATCATTGCGCTCCAGAATATCAACACTTCAACATTACATTTACGACTACATACACGCTTCGCTAGTTGTACAATGCAACATGGCCTCGCGAGCGCCTTTTCCAGGGGTATCCATTTTTCCAATCCAACCTCCACACCAGTCCGCTACCTCCAACCCAGCAGTTGGCGTTCTCCCACATCGCTCAATCAATGGAACTCAGCAGCAACAGTGCCATACTTGATCCCGTCCACCCTTAGCTCGAAGACCAAGTTCGCACTTTCGATCTTCATATGCAACTCAAAGTCCAGGTTGTCGAACTCAATGCCCTTGGTCGTGGTGAGCCGCGTGAACAGGCTCTTTGGTACCTCGTTGAGATCAGTCGTCAACGTGCAGACATTGACCAAGTCCTTTGTCACGGCATCTGGAGCATCATCATGGTCGCAGCCGATCAGGTCGTCCTCCACCACTAACGATTGGCCCGGCCGGAAGTTGCGCGTATAGTGGAAGGATATGGGTGCGTCAGCGGAGATGGGCATGCCCTGCGAAACACGTTAGCTGTCTCCTTTCTGATCTCCTGTGTGCGAACTAACCTTGTGAACATGCCATTGCATCCGATCGCTGACCATCCACCGCTCCCACAGCGGGCTCCAATACCGGTCCTCCATCGGATGCTTCGCCTCATCAAAAACAGTGGCGTAGCTGGTGCCGTAATGCCATCTACTTCTTCGCTTCTCCACTAAGCTGCCCTCGATTCCTCTGAGAACCGCACCTCGCACAACAGCGGTCCAGGCATGCAAGGGCTGGAGCACTTCAACGCTTTGCTGGGAGCTATGTGCATTCGCAATGGCATGTGTCGGTTGCTCAGAGTACGCCGGCGGCGGGGCGGAGTTGAAGTGCTGTTTCAGCCGTGTGTACAAGTAATTTGACTGTCCGAAACCGCCAACAAGGATAATACCAGACACCCGGCCGCCTTTCTCCTTGATGGCTATCACCTGCCCTTCCACAAGCTCGACCACCTGCCTGATGACCGGCTCGAATATGGTCTTGACTTGATCAGCGGTCATGATCAGAAAGCCAGACTCCAGCCCAGCCTCCTCATCATCCGGCAGACCTGGAAAGGGCACATTCACCTCGTTATGCTCCTCCTCGTTGAAGTTCCGCTTAACGAACTCCTCAAAGTACCGCAAACCCATCATCCACGTCTTGGGTTTCTTCTCACGCATGCTTTGATACAGCTCAGGTCCTATCCGCTCCTTGACGTGGTCTTCGAACCGGTAGTTCAGGAAAGCCGACCCGCACAACCCACCGGTCCCAACAGCACTCTCTTCGACCCGTAATGGCAATACCTGAGTGACCTTGTATCCGATCAAATCAACTGTCCCACCGCCAGCATCGCAGACGATGTAGCTGTCATCCTCCTTCAGCCCACTCGGCTGGATCGTCTTCAGCGTATATACTGCCGCAGCCTCGGGCTCCGATATTAACTTCAGCTCGTGTCGGTTCCCCATCCCTGCTCTTTCTGCCGCCTGTAGAGTCGCATTCTTCGCTGCGTCGCTCCATACCGCCGGCACTGTGAGCACGAAATCCACCTCCGTCGTGCTCATGAAGCTCTCCCCGTATCGCCTCGTCAATGTCTCCATGGTGTGCTCGTAGATTTTGGTCAAGTAGTCCGACACAGCGTCCATGACCGTTCGATCGCATTTCCGGAGCTGTGCTGCCGTCTCGAGCGGGGAGACGAAATGCGGTAGCTTCTGGTTGCGATCCAGGAACAACTTCACGCAACGCAATCGTGGCTCTTCTGGCTTGAACTGGAAACCCCATCGTATTTGTCGTGATGCCTTGGTGCCATTCGTTCCCTCTGACACCGGCTCCTTCATGTCATACGAGATCTCGGTAGGCACTTTGTCAGATGTGATGCCATTGCCTCCAGGCCACGTCTTGATAATATCGACATCGTCTGGAGTTGCGCTGTACGCCGCTGCGACACCGCTGTACGTTGTGCCAAAGTCCACGCCCACGATCAGCTTGTCCTGAGGTGGAGAGCCATTGGTGAGGTCCATGCGATCGAGGCCATTCTGTAGACCATTCATGCTTGCTGTCCCAGTCGACTGACGGCTCGGCTTGCTGATGGTCATGCTCGAAAGTATAGCCAGCTTCTCATCCACGCGGTTTGCGAACGAGCACAATGACGCTGTGGAACAGAAAGTCCAGCCAACTTTTTCGAAGTGGGACGGCGACCGTTTTCAATGGTATCGTGTCGCGCACTGGGGTTCTGCTATTGAGTATCGTTTAGATGCCTGCTCCTTCTACCAACGCAGCCTGGATGAGATTATGCTGATTATACAGTACACAAGAGAAACAGATGCGCGTAGGAATCAAGTTGGCAGTATGGGGGCTGACCATTGCATTGCTCTCAGCTCCCCATCGTGAGCGCGACCGTTGCAAATGACGCCTGTGCCGCCGCCCTGCTTGCAACGTCGGACTCCGAGGAGTGAATTGTGATTACCTGTGGCTTGCCTGAACAGGGTTCGCCAGTGGACTGAGCTGAGATTGACTCTGGCAGATCTGGAGAAATGGAGCCGTCGACCCAAAAATAGGAGCTTGAGCAGTATTCTCCGATGCCATGTAAGCGGGCAAGGCGGGCAGCAAAATTTCGAAGGACAGCATGATGGTTGGAGTCCTTCGAAAACAGGTTTTGAGAAGAACAATTGTGATTCTACGCCGGCATCAAAGAGCGTTGTGACAATGGAACTGCGTTGCTGGAGAAAGGGTTGTCGCCATTCGGACACCATACTTGACTCGTGTCCAAGCATGGTGGTAATCTGTAACGAGAAGCTTAGCATTTATCCGTAACTGCAGGGTTTCTATGGACAGCGAGTCTAGCCTCACTGACAGGATTGCCGTTACAGCAAGTTGTCAGGCTCACACCATGCATCGGACGAACTGCTGCTCGAGCTCTTCAATGTGCTCGGTGAGTTGTCTCGCGGAACCAACGACCTACAGCAATCCATAAAATGTCGTGCGAGCAACAATTGTCCACAACATGACAATTGTCCGCCAGAAACTCGAGTCCACCGACGAGCAGATCGACGGAGCGGCCATGGCAGAAAACGAAGCTGCCGTCAACGGAGCTCGTGAGGATGGCATGTCCCCGGCCGACGGGTCCAAGACACCGTCCACCTCGAACGATCAAAGCCGCCCCGAGTCCTCACATAGTCATTTGCAGGTCGCTGGAAGCGGTGATGGCTATGATAGGCCGACATCGAGTGGCAAGTCCACTACAAACCAGACAGGAATGCGGAGCTCGAGCTCGAAGTTTGCCTCGCTAAGGGCAGCCTTCGAGCATAGTCCTGCAACCGATAGCGCTCCCATCGCCGCCAGGAAACGGGTGGTGAGCAGCGAGAAGAATCGAGATTTGACGGAAGAGCAGAAACATGAATATGAAGCTGAGCTCGCACAATTGAAGGAAGAGTTGAGCAAGGAGAAGGAGCTGCGTGCTGCGTTGGAAGAGGAAAGAACTGTTTCTGAAAACAGTGTCAGTGACGCCACTGCCGCATCGGCGGCTGAGCAGAAGCAAGATCATGAGATTGAGATCGGAAGATTGCAGGAGGAGCTGGAGACGCAGAAGGCCATGCGTGTTGCTGCTGAGGCCAAAGCTACGGGTGCTGGGAACCTGCAGTCTCAACTCGCTCGGCTGCAAGAACAACTAGAGAAGGAAAAGGAGATGCGTGTTGCTTTTGAGGAGAGAGTAACGAGTCTCGAAGACGAACATGAAGAGATGACTGGTGCTTTGCAAGAGTGTGATGAGCGATGGCGAGCCGAGCTGGAGAAGAGACTTACTGAGCTCGATGCTGAAGCAAGAGTTCGGATGGTGACGATGGCAGAGGAATCACAAAAACGACAGGAAGAGGCCGCGACTGCTCAGAAGCAGCTTGTAGACTTGAAGCAAAGCATTGCGGCCTCTACACGCGGCACTACCGAAGTCAGCGATGCGACTTTCACTGAAGACTTTGGTGTTCTCCAGCATAATATCCAGAACTGGGTCGTCAACACTTTTCGGCGGGTCAAGAGTGAGGTGTCATCGGAGGACATGTGTATGAAGCTCGAGAAGGTCGCAGAGCCAGAGCAAGTCCAGTATCTCAAACCAATCTATCGGCAATTCGAGCCAGCAGCCAGGTTTGCGATTTACCAGGCAACAGTGGCATGCCATTTGATGGAAGTCTTTGGCGAGCCGTATCTCTACGGCTTGAAAGGACAGCGGGACTGGGCAAGGCGGTCCAGACAAGCTGCGGACGCTCTCCGATTTGTTATGGACGCAGAGACGTACAATCGTTGGCGCGTGACGACGTTCGATGCTTTGAGACAGTCAGCTAGTATCAAGGAGCCGGTTGAAAGTGCAGTGAATGGCATTACTGAGATGATATGCATTACTCTGCAAGCCTTGACAGACAGCGAGGACAACGAGAGCTGGCAGTCGTCCTTGACACCGATTATCCACCGCGCCGTCTCCCTTGCCCACCTGATACGGGTGCAGCACGCACGGTACGAGTTTGTTCTTCCCTCGGCTGAGGAGCCTTTCGATCACAAGATCATGGACGACGTCGCTGAGGAGTGCGACGACGGTGCTGAGCGCTTTGTTAGATGCTCTACCTTCCCAGCCATCACCAAGCTCAGTTACGAGGAAGGTGACATCTCCGAAACACGAAAAGTTGTCACGAGAGCGAAGGTCGTCCTAACCCCAGGTGATGGCGGCGCCGAGCCGTGAGAGACTGAAGAACTTGCCTCCGGCATCCACTCTCACAAAGTATTCTCTCGGTGCCGCAGAACACCACGCCGCACCTCAGCACGCTCAGGAGACTGCACTTTGCCCGAGTCCTGCTTCAGCCAGGCCTCGAGATCGAAGGAGCTGTCGATGGTCTGCGCTCGCTCCTTTGTCGAAGGCCTACGGCTGGTGACTAGCGCGCCGTTGATAACACGGTCTTGCAGCTCTGTGTCGCTGATGACCATTGCCTCGCGTCGCTGAAGCGGTGTGAATGCCGTTGGTGAGTCGCACGGCGAGAGCAGAGGCGTAGCGCCAAAGTCGCGGATCTTCACCTCCAGGGGCTCCTCCGGGGTCCTGATTTTGTGGATCTGCATCTTGCGCATGTCGGTCTCCAGTTGGCTGAAAGAGCCGGTGAAGACACGAGGGATATGAGTTCCGTGCCGCCTTGTGCCGATCGTTGAGAGTCCTTGGAACGTGGTGAAGTCAGTGTCGGGGACCGTCGCTGCCCGCGCGTGCCGCCTGAGATTCAGCTCGTCCTCAGCGAAGCTGAATGTCTTGCTCAGAGAAGGAGGAGGCTGTGACTGTGCCTTGTCCAGGGGGGGCATATACATGGTCGGCGCCAGCATCTCCACCCTCGATTCTGCAAGCTTCTGCGCTCGAATTGCCGCCGTAAGCTCTTCATCCTTGTGGAGCCTCTCTCGCAGCGCGATCACCCGGCGGTCGGCCTCCAGCGCAACTTGACAAAGCCTATGAAGTGCTTCGTAGAGTTTGGTGGCACAGGAGACCAAGCTCACGAGCCCGTACGCTGGCTTGCGGATGCTCAGACGGTGCAATCGCAGGTATGCATGCTTGTCGAAGTGCTCAAGGATCATCTGAAAGAGCTTTGCATCGTTGCCTGAGGGCTCGTGCAGCGTCCTTCTCTTCATGTTAGCCCTGGCATTCCTTCACGGCGATTTCTACGGCGACTCACCACAATTTCTGCCGCCACTCACTCAGCTCCGCGTCAGTTGTGTTGCCGCTCGTGTCGACGACCGGGAGCGCGTTGGAAGCATCCGTAGCTTTCTGTGCGGCTTCTTGCATACTCGCACGGAAGACTTCGCAGCCTTGGAGCATGCAGCTGATATAGTACTCCATCTTAGCGAGAGATGAACCCGTCGCAATCTTTGAGTGGAAGATGAGGTGTGTCTCCCAACCTGCAAACAGAAGGGCAAAAGGGTTAGCGAATGTCCCAGACATGGTAGGGTTTTGCTCATTAGTTTGGCACCTATTGCGCTCATCATTTCCACCATGCGGTACAGCATTTCAAAGCCTTTCTTGTCGACTCCTCCCTGCTCGAAGTGCGTCTCCAGGAACTGAACGCATTGCAGCTTGGGTCGGATGCTTGGCGGTTCAGCAGTAGCATGCTCCTCCAGTGATTCGGCCATCTTGTAATTCATGGAGCAACAGTGTGTCACGACGAAGCGTCACGTTGTTGGTGTTTCGCGGTGCAGTGAAGTTGAGGTCGCGTTAAGGTTGCAGCTAGCGTCATTTCGCGCGATGAGGAAGGAGCGGCCGGAGCACGTGAAGATTGTCACAACGTCACTTCATCTCGTGAATCTGCTACGTACAATCAACCACGATATTATTTCCATCCCACCTTCAAACAGTCTGAGAAATCAACCAGGTCTTGCCCACCGCTGGGCAGCGTAGCACAACGGCCCCTCATGCCGCTTGCGAGCTGGTCGTGAGCCGCCAAATTCTTCTCACTGCGTCGACAGAATGGCAATCTCGGTTTCAACAGAGCTCAACAAGATCCCATACGGCTCGTGAGATGCTTCCTCAACCGTGACGGTACCGGCGAGCGATATCAGACCTTCGAAAAGAGTTGGTCCAGAGGTCATGCAACGAGGCGTCAGACCGGTGAGCGTGCGTCCGGCTTTCCTTGTCAAGATTCTTAATCGTGTTGCAACAAGTCGGCTCTCTTAAGCGTATCGGACGTCGCTGTCGCGGCCGCCCTCTTGCTTGTAAGCAGGTGGATCCCGGTGAAGTGCGGCGGCATTCCTCCTCTTCCTCTCTCCATAGATCGCTGCCGCCACGTAGAGGAGCCATATAATGCCAACGCCAACGGAATAGCCAATGATGGCTCCCTGGCTCGGTGCAAACAGGCCTATCCGCTTCGACAGCTGGAGACCGAGCCCACCGTTAATGATGCCCAGGGTAATCACGAAGCGGCCCAGCCAAATGTGAGCGTATGACCAGATGACGCGTTTGCTGTGCTTCTTGAAGGCGAAGTGGTGGATGAAGCCCAGGAAGGGCTGGAAGAAGATCAAGACGAGTAAAAGGATTCCAATGACGGGGTGTGCGTGGGACATCATCCGGATGTGGGTAGCCATCCATATTCCGATCGCAGCCGCGGCGATGAAGAGGATGTATGTGACAAGCTGTATGATGCCATGTACGAGCCACAGGCCACGGAAGGAGCCGAGTCGAATGAGAATGCTTCCAGATGGGAAGAGTAGTCCGAAGACCAGAGTCCCAAGAATGGCGTGCGCTGTCACCATTGTGTTGATGTTGCCTGGTACGCCAAAATAGCCGTTGGCGAAGTCTGGACGGCCACCGTCGTCTCCACCGTCTCCACCATCCGAGTACGGGTTCCCGCCGTCGTAGTTGCCATTTGGAGGTCCGCCGAACTGGGCGCTCGCAAGAGAGGCTGCTAACTGTTAGCTTGCGGATTACTCCAAGACGACGAGAAGGTCGTACCTAGCGCCAGAATTAGGCTGGACCGTACAAAATTTTGGACCATCGTGGAGTAGAGATGTCCTTCGCCAGTAAGACTTTCTCGATGTCGTACTGTCCTCTACTCTTATGGGGATACGAGTTCAGCCGGAACACGAGACAACGAAGTTGAACAGAATCGAGGGAGTACAAGATAGAAAGGTGTGTAAGAAGGAAGAAGCGGACGTGCAACATCATAAGAATCCAAACCCTCAAACCAGCCTTGCGGACCCAAGCCCACGGGGCCGTTGCCATGAGCCATTGTCACAACCGCAGCGGTGCTCATCAGAACAGTACGCGTAGCGATCCACAACCCAGCCCTGCCGAAGAGGTCGTTGGCGGATTCCAAAGCTAACGTTGTGTCGGCGAGTAAAACCTCCGAGGGCGCAGGATCCGCGAATAGCAACAGGGGTTGGGGCCAGCCGAAACCTTGGAACAGCTTTGAACAGGTGATGAATGGTTGTTTCTTCGTTCGTTTCTTGTAAATTTTCTGTGATTTGGGCGAGGTGCCCTGGTGAGCTTACGTGGAAACGCGAGCACACAAGGGGAAAGGGAATCCTGCCGGTCGAAGTTGGTGCGAGATGTGATTCCCGGGGCTAGGACGGAAGGCCGTCGCTCATGTCCTCAAGATCTCCCATGTTGATATGTTCCCAAGGAACCCTGTGTCAGCAGAGTCCCTCAGAAGCACATCAGTACCCTGGCAAGCCCAACTTTTACGAGCGGCATTGAGGATGATTGTTTTGCTCGTCGAGATGGAGGTAAGTGTTCCAGATCGAAGTTCTCAAAGACCCCACCCGACGTCTCGAAACTCTCCTCTTGTCACATCAAGAAAATACTCCTACCTTGAAGAATAAGTCTTCCCTTCCGTTTGGAGCACGTCCTATACCATGACTGCCACACCATCCTCCGGCTCCACCTCTCTCCCCCACCTCCTCCGCTCCCTCAACCCAACCCTATCCCCCACAACCTACATCTACTCCACCATCCCCGCCACCAGCGAAGCCGACTTCTCCAACATCCTCAAACTCTTCATCGGCGTCCCGGTGCAAATGCTCTTCCGCGAAGCCGCTGGGTGGACTGTCGTGGTACCCGAAGACGTCGCCGCAGAGATCGGGCTGGAGGCGACGTTTCGGTGTAGGAAGGTGACGTTGGATGTGCATTCGAGTTTGGTGAGTATTCGATGAGTACTTCTTTCTGTTCGAGAGCAGTGTTGATGCTTTGGTGTGGGTGTGTAGGAAGCGGTAGGTTTCATGGCGGCTGTGAGCGCGAGGTTGGCGAAATTAGGGATGGGAGTCAATCCGGTCAGCGGGTATTATCACGATCACCTATTCGTGCCCGTGGGTAGGGAGCATGAGGTTGTGCAGGAACTCAAAAAGATGTCAGAGGAACACTCATCGGGAGAGCAGAGTTGAAGTAATGAGACGGGATGCGTTATCTTCCAACCCGTAAGCTATCACTCGTTTCTTCCGTCACATGCCTGTCACATGCCTTCGTTCATCACATGCTGTCTTGCTCCCGAACTTCGACCGGAGGAACATGAATATTAGATTCGAAGAACGTACCTTCATCAGCCTCTTCTAGCGATCGCTCGGGAGGTTGGTTTAAAATCGATCAGTTCAAAGCTTCAGTGGTACGATCGTATCCTGAGAGGGGACGTAGGCCTTTGCATGCCGAACCCTGTTGCCCTTTTCTGGGTTTTTCTTGTTCTGGTTATAGCAGGCAGCGATTGATTAGCAGTGCTGTTGATTCTAAAGGCGCGGTGGAACGCAGTATTGTTGCTTCTCCTCTTTTTGAAGCAAGCACCATGGCCATATACTGCACGCCCCTTTAGCATCTGTCACAGGATCAATAGTATGAAGCAGTGGTCGTGGATACTGTCTTGTACAAGCAGCTACATGATAGCAAATGCAATGCTCGAAGGCGTGGGCAGCGCGTCATAGCAACCATACATGTGCCACTCGCATATCTCAAGCACCGACCTCAACCATCCTCCCGATCGCTTCGTCAACGTCGATGCCCACACCAAACTGCTCAATCGCATCCTGCGCCCTCGGTACGCCAATGAGTGCAATACTACGAGGCACCACAACATCCTGCACATCGAAACACCCAAACGCCACGAGCTTCTTGAGCGCCGGGCAGCTCTTGAAGATGCCAGCAATCACACTCGTATCCACGCGATTGCAGAAGCTGATGTTGATGTGCTCAAGCGCTGGGTAGGACTGGCCTCCATTGAAGACATCCATGAACGCACCGAGCTCAATGTGGCGGCAACTGGAGATGTCAAGGTGTTTCAAGGCAGGGCCAGAGTGTGCCATCATCGCGCGGAAGCCGGAGGAAGCGACGCCGATGGCTTCTTCCGGGCCTTCGGGGTTGTTGTTGTCGATGTCGCGGGTGGAGTTGACGTCGACGAAGGTGATGGGTGGGTTCTGCCATTCTGTGAAGAGGGATGTGTAGCCAGCGTCGGTTGCCGTGTCGTTCTCCGAGAAGCGAAGCTTGTTGAGGTAGCCGCAGTTGTCGTGGATGGCTTGGAGGACGGTGTCATCGGCGTCGACAAACTTCTCTAGCGAAAGCGTCCGCAGCTGAGAACCTCGCTTGGAAACCAATTCGCACAGGGTTGTGCTCGGGACTTCGCGACCGATCTGGAGCGAGAGATGTTGCAGTTTGGGCAGATCTCCCAGCGCAGCGACAGCATCCTCTCCCAGCTTGCGACAGAGCTTGAACTTGACGCGGTCCAGGTTGGGACAGGACTGCACCATCTCCTGGACTACCGCATCCTCGAACGAAGCGTCCAGCCACTTCAGCTTGATAATCTCCAGCTTCGGCCCACGCTCGCGGAAGAGCCTAAGCCACATCTTGTCGTTCACCAGGTTCGCCGCATAGAGATGGACATGCTTGAGATCCTTGCAGCGCTCCAGCATGTAGTCGATGACTTCATCCTTCATCTGGCAAGCGTTGCCCAGCACCAGTCGCTTCATCTTGGGCACCACTGCAAACATCTGGTGATAGTCCTCCTCCTCCAGATATGCGGCATCGTGCACCACAACGTCTTCGAGATCGCCGCGGAGGAAGAGTCGCAAGGTCCTGGGCTTCATAACCCGCTTCTTGGAGAAGATCTCACTCAGCCGTTCGAGGACCGTCGGTGGAATGTCGCCCAGCTCCTCGACGTCGTCATGGTGTGCTGCAATTTTCTCGATGCACAGCTGCATCAACGACTTCGCACCCCCGGCCGCAATGCCATCCAGTCTATCACTTTCCAGCTTACGTCTTTTCCTCCCAGCCGGCTTCATCGCAGCCTTCTTCTCCTGCTTCATGTCTTTCGCCAGCTCCTTCCCGCAAGGCGTACACAGCAAACCCCCATCTGGACCCTCCTTGCTGTATGGTGTGACCGTAAAGCGTTTGCTGCAGACCTCGCAGTACTCGAACTGCCCTGGCGCTGGTCGAGCCTTCCTGTACATGTCCTGCGCAACATCGTATTCATCATCAGAGTCGTCCGAATCATGCTTCTTCTTCTGCTTTTTCTTAGGACCTTTCTTCGACGCCTTGTCATTCTTGATCTTGTCTATCGCATCCTTCTCGCGCCGCTTCCGCTTGTTCGTGCGGGCCTCTGTTTGCTCCTCAGTCTCTCCCACAGGGGATTCAGCTGCCGATGCGCCAGGTGCCTGGGTTGACGATTCTGCGCCCCCAGTTGCCTGTGCCTCGGCTTGCGTTCTCCTACGCTCGTAGTCGTCGCGGATCTGTGCTGCCGAGATGTTGTTGGCCTGGACATGATTAGCATCTGCAAGAACCGGATGATTGCCACATGTCCTACCGCAAGGAAGTCTGTGAGTGCACTCTGTGGTCCGCGAATGCGGTTGCCGCCTCGTCGCCCAGACATGCTGGAGGTCTATGAAGGATAAGGTGGTTTCGTCGGTGGTGATGAAGGGACCGAAAGAGGTTCTCGAGCAGAGATGTAGAAAAGGAAACCCCCACCAGGCTGCCAGGCCCCTTCACGCGAAACGCGAGAACATGAAAGTAACGTGCTCCACGATCTAATCTAATCTTCGATCTTCATTCGGCTCGATTTGGCCTAGCCTATCTTGGCGGCACACTCAAGTTTTGGAGAGAACTTCAAACATTGAGCTTCAGCGACTGCTTTCACGACAACGACATCCGCCAACACCCACCATGTCGCACCGCAAGTTCGAAGCGCCTCGCCATGGCTCGTTGGCCTTCCTGCCTCGGAAGCGTGCAGCGCGCCACAGGGGAAAGGTGAAGAGGTGAGAATACCACACACCCAACCTCGAACATCTCGAATATGGAAGTGAAGGACATGACCACTGACACCTGCCATACAGCTTCCCCAAGGACAACCCGAAAGAGAAGGTGCACCTCACGGCGGCTATGGGCTACAAGGCTGGCATGACCACCATCGTGCGCGACCTCGACCGCCCTGGTGCGAAGAACCACAAGAAGGAGATCGTCGAGGCCGCTACGGTCATCGAAACTCCTCCGGTACGTGACTTGGCGCCAATACCATTCATGGCATGCGCTGATCCGTACAATACAGATGATGGTTGTTGGTCTGGTTGGCTACATCGAGACTCCTCGCGGCCTCCGCTCGTTGACTACTGTCTGGGCTGAGCATCTTTCCGACGAGATTAAGCGCCGGTTCTACAAGAACTGGTACAAGAGCAAGAAGAAGGCCTTCACCAAGTACGCGAAGAAGCACTCCGATGACTCCGGCAAGAGCATCACCCGCGAGCTTGAACGCATGAAGAAGTACTGCACCGTCGTCCGCGTCCTCGCCCACACCCAGATCGGCCTCACCCCACTCAAGCAGAAGAAGGCCCACCTTATGGAGATCCAGGTCAACGGCGGCTCCGTTGCCGACAAGGTCGAATTCGCCCACGGTCTCTTCGAGAAGCCGGTCGAGATCGACACTATCTTCGAGCAGGACGAGATGATCGACTGCATCGCGGTCACCAAGGGTCACGGTTTCCAGGGTGTGACGAGCAGATGGGGTACCAAGAAGCTTCCTCGCAAGACGCACAAGGGTCTGCGCAAGGTTGCGTGTATCGGAGCCTGGCATCCGTCGCACGTGCAGTGGACTGTCGCTCGTGCTGGTCAGATGGGCTACCACCACCGTACCTCCGTCAACCACAAGGTCTACCGCATCGGCAAGGGCAAGGATGAGGCCAACGCCACCACCGAGTCTGACCACAGCAAGAAGCAGATCACGCCGTAAGCCCACCTCACCATTCTCCTGTTCGCCACATCATTGCTAACACATCTTCACAGCATGGGTGGCTTCGTCCGCTACGGTGAGGTCAAGAACGACTTCGTCATGCTCAAGGGCTCTGTGCCTGGCGTGAAGAAGCGGGTGATGACTCTTCGCAAGTCGATGTTCATCCACACCTCGCGTCGTGCGCTCGAGAAGATCGACCTCAAATGGATCGACACCAGCAGCAAATTCGGTCACGGTGCATACCAGACGCCTGCGGAGAAGAAGCAGTTCTTGGGCACGCTCAAGAAGGATCTTGTCCAGACGGTGTAAGGTGCTGCGTTGCGGCTGCTGGGAGGAAGGACAATCGAGGCGTTCATAGCATGCATCAACTCCTCGTACCGAGGGAGCTTTTGCATGTAGCGTGAAAAATGATACCATTCAAACCATCCACTTATTCGTCCCGGTGAGGTGAATCTTCTACATGTTCCTTTGACCGCTTTTCGTCTCCGTTCGCAAGGTGTCGGCTTGGCTTCCCAACTCTTGAGTGTTTGTTGTCGGTAACCGCCTTTGCCACCTACACCTCTCTACAACCTGACTTCATCAAACACCTCTCTCCGCCTACATCGCCCTCTCTATCGCTTGCGCGCATCGTTAAGTGTTCTTACTACGATATCCATCATACAACACGCTAGACTCCTATCGCATTCCTTCACATGCTCATCAGCCCCTGAAACCAGCATGTCACCCTCCTCCCCCACCGAATCCGGCGACCTCCTCGTGCGCCTCTCTCCCCTCCCTCCCACCTCTTCCACACACTAACCTCTTCTCCCAGGAAGACGCGCACTTCGTCCTCAAAACCGACCCCCACAACGCCTTCTCCACCACCCTCCACGGCGTCACCTACGAGCACGTACAGCCCGTTACTTGTACGGCGACCGACTACGACACCTGGCGCTTGGCGCCTTTCAGGAAGGCGGAGCTGAGTCGGCCGCTGTCGTCGATTCTGAATTTGCTGTTGTGGCATCGGGAGACGTTTGTGGGGAGGCGGGTGAACGATGAAGTGGAGATGTTTGAGGAGGGGATGAAGTATGTGAGTAGCTTTCCTCTTTCCTTTGCTTACTTATTTGCGCGCGGTTCTCTGGTTGGTGGAGGGTTGGCAAGAGGCCGTTGTATGTGAGGGGGTGTGCTGGCTATGCTCTCTGGGCCAGAGTACGGTGGCAAGAAATGGATATGCTGACCACGCAACAGGAGTACGCAGAGCTACGCCGCGACATGCAAGCCCGCGGCCTCACCGTCCGCGCCTACGTCCCGCAAGCCGAAGGCGCCAAATTCCCGCGTCCAGGCCCGAAAGCCGTCGCCGGCGAAGGCGAAGGCGTGACGCTGATCAAGAAATGCCACGAGCACCTCGAATCGATCATCGAGCTGAACTATCCCGAAGGAATCGAGCATGGCCTCCTAGCCAGCATCCCAGGCCGCAAACGCGCGCTTGCCATCCTGCGTGTGCCCGAAGAGGACGTCGACTCCAACACCGTCACCATCACCGAGGAGATTACCGCACGCAAAGTCCCCTGTCCTGTCATCGGCACCATCGCGGACGGGAAGGTGAAGTTCAGCATCGAGGAGGCGGAGGTGAAGAAGTTCTTCGATAGCCTGGGGCGGCTGGATACGGCGACGTTCCAGGATGTTGTGGCGGAGAAGGAGGAGCGGGAGAAGCAGGCGGCGTTGGCGGAGAAGCGGAAGGCGAAGAAGCATCGGCGGAATGTGGTGAGTTCGAGCAATACGTTTGTGGAGAGTGAGCAGTCGTCTTCGGTGGGGTTTGGGGGTGGGGAGGATGGGGAGGCGGCGAGGACGAGGCAGAAGGCGAAGTATGCTGACAAGAGGAAGGCGTGAGTACTTCCAATACCTCCAATACTCAGATCGACTTACACTTTCCATAGCCAAAAGGAGAAGCGCAAGCGTCAAGCCGGCTCCGACGAAGCCAACACCACCACCCACAACTGCTCCCCAGCAAAGACCAACAAATCCGACGCCTCAGACGACGACGAGAACAAACCCATGACGATCCAGAACTACAGCACCGACGAGCACGGCAACCTGACTGTAGAAGAAGTCACCGGACCCGTGCTCATGGTCCTGCTCGCTGCTCATAATGCCGCTAACTCCCAGCAGGAGAACGGCAGTAGCAATGAGGAGACGAAGAAGGTGACTGAGCTCGGGGATGGGGATAGTGATGCTGCGGATGGGAGGTTCGAGGACGCGAACGAGGATGGGGAGAAGGGGGTGGAGGTGGTGACATACGGGACGCAGGAGGAAAAGGAAGCGGAGGTGGCGAAGCGGGCGGGGAGGTCGATGGTGGAGGTTGATAAGACGGGGGTGGAGGGGTTGAAGTATTTGGGTCGTGGGCTGTAGGGTGTTGTTGCTGATGAGGCATCGTATGGGTGGCGAAGAGGGCGCGCTGCGGATAGGGCATTGCTTCTTGCTAAGCGAGGCGTAAGGAGTGACAATCGAGATCAGCTCGCACCGCTTGCTGAGGTTACAGGAAAGGCTGCAGTTAAAGTAGGGAAGAAGACGCAGATAATGCAATGCTTGCTTACTTGCTCTCGCATGCTCGCTCGCTCGCCCACTCCACTCATGCCGCCCTTAGCATACACATCGTCTACTCCTTCAGAAAGCCGAAAAGAACCCGTAGGTTCTACAGACACAGCTCGTCAACACCTCTCCAACCCATATCCACAAAACCAATCTTCCGAAGTCCGCCCACCCCCCTCCCTCAATGCTTCCCACCCACTCAACTCCCCTCATCCCGATAAAACCTCTTCAACGCCGCCTCGACATGCTGAAACTGCTCCTTGGCCTCCTTGATCGTCTTCTTGCAGTTATCCAAACACACCTCGTCGTCGGGCTCCTCGCGCGCGCCCGTCTCGTCCTTGTGCGCGCCGAAGTTCTGGATCTTCTCGCACGAGTCTTTGACTTTGGTCAGGCCGAGCGTGGCCGAGGAGCCTTTGAGGAAGTGGCCGAGTTGGGAGAGTTGGTTGAGGTCTTTGCGTTCGCTGTGGAGAGATGTGAGTCAGTGAGGTGGAGGTAGGTGGGGGAAGGGGGAAGAGGTGGAAGGGGAGGTACAGTTGCGCGTCCATTTTGGTGAAAGTGCTGTCGGCTTGCGTGAAGAAGTCGTAGACGATGCTTTTGCTGAACTCGCGCTCTTCTTCGTCGTCGTCCATTTCGAGGATCTACTACCTGTCAGCCTCCCAACACCTCCGACCCCATCCCGGTCCTGCTGAACGATCTCACCTGCTCGAAAGTGGCCGAATCCACCATATCCCCAAACTCGGCAAACCCGTCTTCGGACTGCAGTAGCGACCCATCAGTACCCATACTGTAGCACGACTTCCCAGAAGCAGCGGACACGTGAGACGCGGCGTTGCGGTTAAGCGCAGGCCGGGTCTCAGCGCGGGAGGGGAGGGGAGGAGGAGGGTCACGTTTCGGTGACGGCCGAAGGTCCATCGACACGTAGGGCCGGGGCGCGCAGCAAGGGGAGCGGCAGCGCGCGGGCGCCTCGTTGAAGTGGAGGTGTTCGGCCTTTTCTTGGAGGGAGGAGACGGGGGTGCGTACTCTGCCATCGGCGGCTTGCTGGGTGCTTGCCGGCATGGTTGTGGTTTGTTGGAGAAGGTGATCTGCGACGGCGGCTGTGCGTATATCTGCCGCTGTGCAGATCGTGGTAGGAAATTAAGGCTCCGTGGTCTTGGATCCGGTGGCGAGTGGTCCTGGTAGTAGTCGTGTGCTCAGGTCAAGGGACCTTGTCCACGTGAGAATTTCTGTTTAGAATCTGGAGGTATTGTTTTGCTGGGTTATGATGTCAGACCTGCTGCAACCGGCCAGTCAAGTCCCGTAGGCGGTCCGGTGGAGGAGAGGTGAGCCGTGGTAGAGAAGAACCCAGGGACGTCTAGATGGTTAAGAGCTTGTTGTCCACACGTGGTTGCAAGGGCTGCAACCAAACAATGCTGCTGTCGGCGGGCCGGTGCGTGAAGCAGCAGGGAGCAGGTACAACCAGTCGGTTATCTTGGACGTTTTTTTCAGCGGGAAAGAAGAATGTGGAAGTGTGGTGAGGTGTGGGTGAATGCGGCTAAAAATTGCTCCCACGCTCGGCGGTGACGTCGGACTGGTAAAAGAACAATCAATAGATGCTGGGGGGGGGGGGGGAGGTGTGAGTGATGCTAACAGAATAATGATCCTGTCCTGTCGTGGGAGTGGGGGGTTGTGGTGAGTGGTAGGTTCAACAAGCTTGTGATGCAGGGAGACTTGTCGAAAATAAGGACGCTCCGAACGCAGCTCTACGAACTCGGCAGCGGGGGGCACCGGGTCCAACGCCTTTGGAGAGGTGTCGGAGTGATACTTCTGGTGGAGCTGGTCAAGAAGAGATGGTCGGAGGAAGGACTACTGCAAGTGGCTCGCCTGTTTAACGGTATCTCCACGTTCGGAGACCACACCGTCGGGACGGACATCTGTCGTGCGGTGCTGATCAGTCGGGATGTAGGAGAAGGGCGATTCTTGGAGCTGCTGGAACAATCGGCCGGTTTCTGGGCACGTCATTTGGCTCTGACGTCTGAAGTCAATGGCCACATGGAGTCGAGAGATCAGGATTCCACGGACATGGCAGCGTCTATATTACCTGTGTCTGTCTCTTCTCATCTTACCCTTTTACCATCTGGTCTCCTTTCCCATACCAGCAACAACACCACCAGCCCCCAAGTCGTCCATCCCGCGCACAAACATTTCGACATTCCTACGTCAGACCTCCACAATAGTCTAAGGTTGCCACGCAGCTGTCCCTGCGCTACCAACCGCGCAGTACCGAGAAGAGAGTCTAGAACGTGCCTGTCTCAGCAGCACGCACGAAAGAGGAGGTCTTCTCCCCTCCCCCCACCTCGACAACATCACACCATCTCCCAAAAAGATAATCAACAGCAGATGGCTTGGGAGCAGCATGACGTGACGTCTCAACAAGATTCGGCAACGGAGAACAAGGGTCCCACGTGATCAGCTCCCACAGCTGCCTCATTGGGAAGCAAGTTCGGAGGGAGCCAGAAAGATTTTACCGCTTGTGACGAGCCAGCGATCGTCGGGATGCTGGAGCCCTTGCAGCACAGGCTGTCGTGATCGGTCCACCTGCAGAGAAGACGCGAAGAAGGGTTTTGCCTGGACACACTGACTCGTTTTGCTACACCCGCTGTGGTGTGGTGCTCGAGAGCTAGCTGAGTCGCTGAGATACAAGCCGCTTCGGGGCACGGAGGCAACGTGAGAACGTACTTCAGAAGAGCAAGACTTCCTTTTCGAGTCTGTAGTTTTGTATGACTTTACAATCCCGTTCAAGGAGCAACACAAGCTCGCTTAATAGGGTACCCGCTCGCCATGCTGGAAATGCTTAATAGTACATCATCTTGCATCGAACACCACCACACCGACCACCACCGCTAGCAACGACCTCCACCGCACCACGCCGATCTCTTCGCTAATCCTCAACCACACATCCCCACACACGAACCCGAAGATTCCGTAGCACACACCTCTCCCCCTTTTAGCCCTTGACCTTGTAGATGGCCTCCGCCAACCTCCCCACGTTCTGCGACGTAATGCCCGCAACACTGATCCGTCCATCCTTGGTCGCATACACCGAGTGCTCCTCCGCCAGCTTCGTCATCTGCTCCGCGTTCAGCCCCGTGTACGCGAACATGCCGATCTGGTCCGTGATATGGTTCCAGCTGTGCTTGCTGCCCAGCTTCTCGAGGTTCTCCTTGAGCAGCGCGCGCATCTCGATGATCCGGTCCGCCATGCCCTTCACCTCGCCGAGCCATTGCTTGTTGAGGGCCGGGTCTTTGAGGATGGTGCTGGCGATGCGGGCGCCGTGGACGGGCGGGTTGGAGTAGAGCGGGCGGACGAGGATCTTGACTTGCGAGTCCACGCGGGCTTTCTCTTCGGGGGACGCGGTGACGACGGAGAAGGCGCCGACGCGCTCGCCATAGAGGCCCATGTTCTTTGCGAAGGATTGGGCGAGGCAGGGCTGGTGGCCTTCCTTGATGAAGTGGCGGAGGGCGAAGGCATCCTTGTCAGTGTCGCCGGATGCGAAGCCTTGGTATGCCATGTCAAAGAAGGGATAGTGACCGCCCTCCTTGACGGCGTCGCTGATAGAGCGCCATTGCTGCTCGGTGGGGTCGACACCAGTTGGGTTGTGCGCGCAGGCATGGAGGAGGATCATGCTGCCCTTGGGCATCTTCTTGATGTCCTCAACCATGCCGTCGAAGTCGAGGCCGATGGTGTCCTTGTTGTAGTACCTGTACTGCTTCACCTCGAGCCCACTGTCAGAGAAGACAGCCTTGTGGTTGGCCCACGAAGGCGTTGGGATGTAGATGGCTTTGGCGCCTGGGAAGAAGCGGTGCAGGAAGGCTCCTCCTATCCGCAGCGCACCGGTACCGGAGATGGACTGTGTCATAGCGATGCGGCCTTCCTTCAGCGGCGCAGAGTCGGGCCCGTAGGCGAGCAGCGCTGCAGCGCTGCCGAAGTCTGGCACGCCAGTGATGCCTGCGTACTCCTTGTCCATGTTCTGCTGCACCACCTGCTGTTCTGCCGTCCTGACGGAAGGCAGCACGTACGGCTTGCCCTTGTCATCGCGGTAGGCGCCGACACCGAGGTTGATCTTCTCGCCGCTCGGATCTTTCTTGAATGCTTCTGTAATACCGAGGATGGCATCAGGAGGTCCTTGTGGCACTCCCGACCATGTTGACTGGGCGCGGAGGCATTGGACGGCGGGCAGGCTGCGGAGGGGCGCGGCGGTGCGCGTGACGACTCGTGTGGCGAGCATGCTGTAATCTGTGCGTGGAGTGTGATGTGAGGTTCAGGGTGATTGTGGACTTGATGGAGGTTGGTTCAATTGACAATTCTTCTACAGCAAGACAGCTCAGGGTAAATGTATCACTAGCGCCGGAGGTCAAGAATAAAGTCCGCTTAGCGGCAAAGCCAAGACATCGAAAGAGTTCCCAAAAACTTCACATGATCGAGATAAATGTAAAAACAGACTTCCCAAAGATGATACGGTAACACCAAAGACTAACAAAACGATGGAGGAGGCGGCAGACTTACAGACGACCGATCTGGTCCGCCCAAATGGACAGATCAGAGTCCAGCGAAAGAAAGGTCCCCCAACAGCGCCACTCAACCCGGAGAAAGAAGCTGCAAAGAAAAGGCAGCTCGAAGCCAACCGGCAGTATGGTCGAGGGAAAGGCATCAATCCACGGAGCATCCGCGACAAAAAAGTTCGCAGCAATCTGAAGGCCCTCGAGGATCGATATCAGGATGCATCATTGAAAGCCAAGGACGCCGAAATTCTGCTTGAGAATTCATCTGGTTTCCTGCAACCCGAAGGTGAACTTGAGCGGACCTACAAGGTTCGACAGGATGAGATTCAGTCGGATGTTGGGGTCGAGACGGCGAAGAAGGGGTTTGAGTTGAAGTTGGACGGCCTCGGACCTTATGTGCAGGACTACACCCGGAACGGACGACATCTGCTTATAGCTGGGCGAAAGGGACATGTTGCGACTATGGACTGGCGGAGCGGGCAGCTTGGGTGCGAGTTGCAGCTAGGGGAGACTGTGCGAGATGCGAAGTGGCTGCACAACAACCAGTTCTTCGCCGTGGCGCAGAAGAGGAATGTGTACATCTACGATCATCATGGCGTGGAGATACACAACTTGGATCAGCATGTCGAGGTGGAGTACATGGAATTCTTGCCGTACCACTTCCTGCTTGCGACTATTGGCAAAGCTGGATGGTTGAAGTGGCAAGACACGAGCACCGGAAAGCTTGTCATGCAGATGGGCACCAAGCAAGGAACGCCTACAGCCTTTGGTCAAAACCCTTACAATGCTATCTTGCACGTGGGGCATCAGAACGGGACGGTGTCGCTGTGGTCACCCAACAGCACCACGCCTCTTGTCAAAATGCTGAACCATCGTGGTCCGGTCCGCTCTCTCGCCATGGATCGCGAAGGTCGGTATATGGTCTCTACCGGCCAGGACAAGAAGATGGCGGTCTGGGACATCCGAACCTTCAAGCCAGTGCATGAGTACTACATGCACGTTCCAGGATCAAGTGTATCCATCTCCGATCGCAACTTGACTGCTGTCGGTTGGGGCACACAGACGACCATGTGGAAGGACCTGTTCTCCAAGCACGTTTCGGACCAGGTTAAAGTGCAGTCGCCGTACATGGCATGGGGCGGGGAAGGCCAATCAGTGGAACGTGTCCGCTGGTGCCCATTCGAAGACATCCTCAGCATCGGCCACGACAAGGGCTTCTCATCCATCATCGTCCCCGGAGCGGGCGAGCCAAACTTCGACGCGCTTGAAGTGAATCCATACGAGAACGTCAAGCAGCGCCAGGAATCCGAAGTCCGGTCTCTGCTCAACAAACTTCAACCCGAGATGATCAATCTCGACCCCAGCTTCGTCGGCAAGCTGGACACTGCTTCGAACAAGCAGAAGCAGCTCGAGAAGGATCTGGATCGTAAGACTGGGGCGGCGGCGGAGCGGGAGCGGATCGAAGAGCTGAAGAATCGCGGGAGAGGGAAGAACAGCTCGTTGAGGAAGTACATGCGGAAGAAGGGGAATAAGAATGTGATTGATGAGCATAAGATGAGGGTCATGGAGATGCGGGAGGAGAAGCGGAAGAAGGCGAAGGAGGCGAAGCAGGGGAGGGACAAGGAGGATTTCGGGCCTGCGCTGGGACGGTTTGCTAGGGGCGCTGGATGAGGCGAGGGTGATCAACGACTGAAACTGCAAGTTGCCAGTGCGTAGTATTGGGTGGTCCAGAGACGATCCAGCTTTATGCGCCGTGAACGGTTGGAATTTACGGACTCTCGCCTTGCGTCGGCAGGAGTCTCCGATGTAGAGGGTCCCCAGAGGCTGGAGTGATCCGCTGAGCAGGACCATGGCCTGGGACAGCTTCGAAGGGAGATCTCGAGAGCAAAGAAAGAGACCATGAGGTACCATGACGTATCGCAGGGATAAGGCGAGGTTGGAGGTTGAATGGAGACCTTCGTTTGATGAGTCGAAGATCAAGCTGTTCTATAGTCCCATGGCGAATGCAAGCGCGAACCCTTATCAAGTTTCATGTGAATCTTCGCCTCGTGACCAAACGATGAGGATGGTTTCTCAATACGTAATCTTCATTGGACGGTAGAACTTCATACGTACGCGTATGAGAGAAGGCAAGAGGCAGTAGTACGATGGGCAATAGAGTCCCGTCTTGTTCCCGCGCTTCCCCCTCTGCCGCTTAGTCTCTTCTCTTCTGTACCTGCATTGTTCACCGCAGCAGCCGCGCCGTGCAACCCTTCGCTCAACCGATGGATGATAGCCTTCAACCCCTAATCTCATCCTCCTTCGCCTCCGCCAGCTGCCTCGGACTCACACCACCACCCACACTCCCGGCAGCTTGATTCCGCTCGCGTCCCCCTCAATCCCGATACCCCTTGCTCTGCTCTCAGCGTGCACGCTTGCTCTCGCTTAGCCGTCGGTGCAATTCTACGCTGTTCTGAGAGGACGCAGTGAACGCGCGGTTGATTTCGTAGCTGCTAGTCCAGAATTCTCGTTTTGTCGTTGCTAGATACAGGCCTGCGTTTCTAAGGATGCCAGTGGTCGTCTTATTGCGTGGTGGCGTTGAACGCGCGTGTGAATGTAAATCGGCTGTAATGTACGATGCTTGACTGAATCGCCATCTAAGCTGTATGGGTTAGACTGGTTATCTAGTGGTCAAAAAGTGAATGGCTGTAACAATTCCTTCTGCGAGCGGCGCGCACATGAAAGACTGCGAGGAGGCGTGATGATCGTGGTCTACCGTCTTTCGCCCATGTGCAGTTAATTACTGCCCACGGGCAAGTCGATGCTGCAAGTCTCGAATCTCTGCTCGAAAATCATAGAATTGCGGCCTTCTTTCGATGCGAAACTCCGCCCAGGGCGGCTTTAGGAGAGTCCTGCTGTCCGGTAGAGCGAGTTCTCGGTGGTGATATACTTTAGGGAGATCTCAGGGGAAGGGAAACCTTAGTCTGCCGCGAGGGGAACGAGTGTAAGAGGTGGAGGGTCCAATGGGGAGCGCGTTGCTTGCAGGGAGGAAGGCAGGCAAGCTGTTCTATAGCCGCTGTAGTGAGTGATACTGCGATTCTGTGCCTATCTGCCCCAAGTCGCGTCTCGTCGTGATCAGAGAGTGAGAGCAGACAGTGAGAGCTCGTTCTCAAGGTACATCCCCGTGGTTCGGAGGAAGCCCAACACGCCTGATCTACGAACGCCGTGGTGAATGCAATTGCGTGTTCACGATGATCTCGCCCAGATCCTCGTCTCGTCGTGATCAGACGGGGAAAGGCATCTCTGAAGACAAGATGAACCTCCGTAGACCAGTAGAGAGCATCGCGAGGGGGATCTGGTTGATCTGTCCTTGGCGAAGCACATGAAAGTGCGGAGTCGGCGGCCGGCAGATCCCGCAGCCTCTTTCACATGTCAATCGTTCCCAACAACATCTTCATGTGATCATGCTTTACCACTGAGACACGTCGCGTCGCCCCGACCTGTAACAACAGCACCTGAGATATCGATACTGGTACCCACCAGCAGTATCTTAGCCCTCGCGGGTGGCACTCAGAGCAAGCATCACACACAAGAAGACTCGAGCTCGCCGCAGGCTCACGCCCGCACACAGCCAGCCAGCACAGTGAGTGAGGTCCTTCGTCAACACCTGACCTCGACCTCAACCCCAACGCTGACAGCGAAGCAGAGTCCAGAACCAGACCACGTTGTCGGCCAGTGCCAGTGCCAGCATTCACTCATTGTCCGCCTGACGAAGAGCGGCCATCGCGTGATACCCTCTCTCGAACGTCCCTCGACCGGACATGCACAGAAGCGACCACGACAATTTCTTATCCTTCAAGAGCAAGCATACGCGGTAGCGTATACCATACCTTAACACAAGCATTCCAAGGACAGCAGAGCAAGGGGACATCTCCAGTCAAGTCGTGAGCGAAGCAATGGCGTCCTACGTAGCTGAGAGCCGGCCAGGGCCATTCGGCTGTAAGGCCTTCTCCCCCTGCCATATGAAGGTATCGCAGAACTTCCACTGACAGCTCCATATAGACGTTGGTCCATGGAACAATGAGGACACCTTCATGAGCATGGGCGACACTGTCAGCCAGCCGAGCGTGCTGAATCCTGGGGAGACGGACCAGATCAATGGCTTCTTCAGCAACCCGGACGCGGCGAGCGTGAACATGCAGAACTATGGCCTTAGGTGGCCCATCGAGACGAAGGAGGACAGCAATTTCGACAATACTGCCTCCTCCGGTCGCAATCACCAGGCTGCGTCCGCCCCAGCATTGAATCTTGATGGCGCGGACGACAGCACCTACAGCAGTCACTCGAATCAGCAGGATCATAACAGTCACGTATCGAATACGGCAACGGCAACGGCGACGGCAACAACTGGCAACGGTGTGAATTCGGGTTCAGAGGAGGAGCGCGCGGCCTCAGGGTTATATCAGCTTTCGGCGCACGGACGCCAAGACGAGTCACATGGGCCAAGCTCGAACGTGATTCAAAACCTCCCGCCAGCTGCTTCTTGGGGCGCAATCACCCTCTCTCCTCCACACTTCAACCACTACACCTCCGCGCAGCGTGCATTCAGCGGCATGCACGACCACAACAGCCAGTGGCCGCCGCCAGGTCAGCCCTCGTCGCGAGTTCTGAATGGCGAGGCAATTCACGGTCAGTCCTACTCAGGCCAGCCAGTGAACCCAGGGTGGTGGAGCCAGCAGTACAGTATGACGGGGCAGAACATGGGTATGGGACGTGTGAACGGCTCTAACCCTCAGTACTTCCCGAATGCGCAGAACATGGGAGGGTCTCAGTTCGCTCGTGCTAACGGTCAAGGCAACGGTGCTTCACACCTCAACTTCGGCAGCGATACCACCTTCGGTGCCTCGCAGTACCCCGCCCCAGCCGGCTTCAACAGCTCGCAGCAGGTCAAGGCCTCCAACCTCAATCAAGTGCCGTTCCTCGCGCAGGTGGCCAACAACACCCAGATGCACAGGGCATTCCCCGACAACCGCGGACACATTAACAACCTGGAAGAGGCCTACCGCAACAACCCGTACATCAATCCGCCAGCGAGACCATCATCAACGGGAATGGGGATGGGCGGCCTACCCACCTTCGGCAACGGTTACGGTTCCTCCTCCCGTCAGCCAGCGCCTCCGACCACGGAAGACGACGATGACGACTATGTCGACGATGATGACGAACTCGGTCTTCAGTGCGCTGTGGAGAAAGCGAAGAACAGATCTCTCGGTCTCGACGACCCGAAGCCAGATCCCAAGAAGTACAAGCGTCGTATTGGGGACGACATCCCCAACGACCAGGCCCGTCACGGAAGTGTTAAGCGCAAGGGATCAAACTTCGAAAAGGCCGAAGTTCTCATTACCCCCACGAAAGGTATGAGCGGTAGCAAGCGCCGCCGTTCCAGCAACGTTGCTCCAGCCAAGTACGATGACGACAACGAGCCTTCGGACGACGACGATCTCTCGACCAGCCAGAAGCGCACCGCTTACCGCGAATCTCTCAACCGCACCAGCCTCACCCAGGAGGATAAGCGCCGCAACCACATCCACTCCGAGAAGATGCGCCGTGATCTGATCAAAGTCCAGTACGAAGAGCTCGACCAGATGGTGCCTGACCTTAAGAAGGGCCGCTCTGGGATGAGCCGTGCGGACGTTCTTCATACGGTCGCAGACTTCATCATCGCGCTCCTTGCAGGCAATGACAAGATGGAGGAGATCGTGGCGGCGTTGGAGGCCGTTCAGCGTGCTGCAGAGGGTGCCGACGAGGATGCTGAAGAGGATGATGACGAGGTTGATGATGAGGATGGTGGTGAGGATGATGGTGAGGACGATGATGAGGATGAGGGCGGCAATGAGGGCGGCGGCGACGATGATGAGGACGACGGAGGTGGAGACGACGATGATGGGGACGACGGTGCCGACGACGGTGCTGACAGCGGTGGGCGCCCCGGTGGTAAGTCTGATTGAATGTGACACATGCTGAGACATTCGCTGACATTTTCACGCTTTTACCTGCAGGCTAGAAGCCATCGGTGCGTTTCGCTCACCCTGGCGGACTCCGTCGCTCGAACCGCTCCTAGGTCTCGCCGGCCCACACCAAGACTTCATTAACAGAGCATGTGTCGATACTTCCCTTCTCTCTTGATACCCCGGGCATGCATTCAACGGCGTTTTTGGGACATTGAGCTAGTGTGGGATGACTGATGGTAAGTCTCATCCACGTCCTGCCTTCCACAAGCATCTGCTGACCGACACCTTTAGCATTGAATTGATGGAGCTTGTGTGTGTGCATATGGATGACAAGATTCTGGGCATGGAGGATAAGGTTTTCTGAACGGAAATACCGACTCTAGGCTATGTTGCAGGATGAAAACCTTGTCTACGACGGCGACGACTGATGGATTGTGTTTTACGGACTGGACTTACTACATGCATGCTTGCCGGCTGCGACTATCTTGCTGCGAAAGCGGCTCACTGCTTATTCTGCGGCCGGCAGCTGCTGCTTACTACTGCTCGTGGCTCACACGTATGGCTCTCGACACAGGATGGCTTCTGGTCTGTCTGGTGGGATTCTTTGGGCGATAACGGTTGGATGGCTTTGGCTGTCCTTCTGGAAGCTCGGGAGGAAGAGATTGAATGACGTGTGTTCTAACTAAGAAAATAGCGGTATCACGAAGAGACTGTGTTACCCAACTGCTTTCCAAGTGAATGTGCCTTCGCAGCTGTAGGTCTTAATGGCGGTGGTCAGTGCGCAAAGCGGATGTGAACTTGTCTCCGAACTCTTCTCTTCGTCACTCAACAACGCAACATCTCGTCGAAAGTAGCAGCAGCAACAGCGCTGCAGGCCTGATCACAGAGAGGATGCACGACTGACTCCGAAGACGCAAGGAGGCATCGGCCTCGCCTCTTGACATCCTTCCAGAAGCACCGTTCCGGCTGTACGTCTCGTCACTCCTGGGCTCGCGCACCATGGTTCGCATCAGCTGCTGCTTCCCGTGACAGGTTGGCTACACAATCATCTCACTCACCACCAGCCGCGTGTCCACCATGGATCGTTCGCGTGTCCTGTCCGCAATCTTGCTGTGAGACAGCACTGCATGCAGCTTCCCGGTTTCGGGAGACAGACAGAGAGAGGGCTGGACGACACTGGACCTCCTACCTCCTATGCCGCTAACCTATTGTCCCCATGGTCTCGGTGCCACTGCCAACATGGCGATGCGTTCGCAGCGTGTTTGCGTTGTTCAGGTGGCCTCCCGAGACTCGCCCGTGACACCAGACAATGCGGCGGGAAGCGGCTTCTCACCTTGCAACCGGGGCGAACAAACGTCATGTCCGGTCTCGCCGTCTGACGAGTTGTTTGTCTCTTCTACCTGTGAGCCCTCAGCGAACTGTCCCATGTCCTTCCCATTTGGCCACGCTGGCCGAACGAGGGCAGTACATATGAGGAACCAAGCGTACGATGTGCATGTTTCCTCAGCCAGCAGCTTGGGCAAGACGACAACCACCTCGGTCCGCTCAATGCTCGCTGCACCAGTCGACGGCCGCTCACATCACGTTGCGTCCCGACAGAGCCTGCTGTGTGGTGGCACCTCACGTTATTATTGCGTTCGTCGGGTCATAGGAATAGCAACCAGCCTACATCGCAGAGGCAGTGATTCTGCAGGTGCGGCTGCAACTATTGGCCGCCGGCAACACCGATGTTCACAGCATCAATAGAATATGCTTGGAACAAGTCAGAGGGTGGTACAGGCCTCCACACGGTTGCACGCTGCTGTTGCTATAGCGAAGCAACCTCTCGATCAGCAAACGCGCCACCGGTGTTCGTGCGTGTGGTTGCTCATGCAATTGTCTGGTATTTTTGCTACCTGCATTTCTCTCGACGGCCTCCTTGCATGCTTACCGCTGGAATGTCTCAGAACCACCTGATGTTCCGAAATAGGCCGTTTCCGGCATGCTTGGTGCCGCACCACACCAACAAAGAACAAAGAGAAACTTCGCTCAGCCTGTGACCCAGTAATGCGTCGGCTCCGCAACAATCGCAACATCGCTGCTTGACCGTGCTCGTCATTGGACAAAGGACTCCATGCCACAGGCAGGCGAAGATAATAGGAACAAAGGTCCTTTCGTACGATGATGGCAACGCTTGATTCGTCGTGCCATGCTATTGAGCATGCTTTTCTTTCACTATTGAAGGGAACCACTGCCGAACAAGAGGCTTGCAAAGGCCTGCTCGATTGTTCTTCGAATGTTTGCCTCCTACCAACCTGCCGCACCTCACGAACTCGTCGGCTGGCAACAACCCCACGACAGCTTCCAGGCGTCTCGTCCGCCTTCTGATGCTACAGGACACATCGTCTTCACTAGACAACTTTGGAAGCGAAACATGTTTGACGAGAGTCAGACCGAGCCAGTCGTCTCGAACAAGTCTCGCACCGACGTGTCTCAACCAAGTCAAGCAGCCGCCGTTCCTACACCAAGTAGAAGAAGCTCGTCGACGGTCTCCCTGCGCCCTCGTAACCACTCTCCGAGTCCTTTACCCGGCTCTACCGCTCCATTGACGCCGGAAGAAAGCCCGCCTTTCAAGTCAACAAGGAAGCGGAGCGCGGGTTTTGTTGAGCAAGAGGACAAAGCGCTGTCGAGTGCTGAAGTCTCGCCTTCGCATAGCAGGGTGAACAGTGGTGAGCAGCCTACACACGTCTGCATCTGCCAACCAGAGCCGAAGGTTCCTCGACCTCGTAACGGTACGTATCGTCATCGTTCAAATCCTCGTAAACTATGCTGACTTGAAGCAGCTTTCATCCTCTACCGTCAGCACTACCAAGCCAACGTTGTCGCTCAGAACCCAGGTCTCGCCAACCCGGAGATCTCCAAGATCATTGGCGAGAGGTGGCAGGGCTTGCCGCCAGACGAGAAAGGCAAGTGGAAAGCTCTCGCAGAAGAGGAGAAGCTCCGGCATCAACAGCAGTATCCGACCTACCGTTACCAGCCCAAGCGCAACGGTCGTCGGAACAGCCTCTCAGGCGATCAGTCGTTCGCTGGTGCGAAGCCGAAGTGTCAGAAGTGCGGTGGCAGAACAATTCTAACACCGTCGACGCCCTTCTCGATTGGTACTTCTGTTCCTCCGACACCAGGCTCATCGACCATCACACCGGTGACCAGGACTCTGCCAGTACTTCGGGATCTCAGTCTGCAATCTCCTGGTGTTCAGCGACTCAAGCAACAACATCCCAATATGTCTCCTTACCACAACGCTCACCCGGATGAGAGAGACGACGTCGGTTCATTGAGTCCGGGCAACAAGCGCCGTCGATACAACGGCGATCATCCTGTCGCGGTGACTCGTGCGATGCCTCCGCGCTATGGAGTCGTGCCACACGGTGTCCCAGTCGGTCCAGGTACCCCCTTCCCATTCGGCCAAGTCCCACAGCCACCGCACGCCTACCCTCCTCCATCGGGCCACGTTCGCCGCGAGAGTCTTCCTGGACTGCGCGGAGTGGTCAGCCCACCAGGTCCTATGGGCCCACCTCCACGACCTGGAATGGGCTATCAACAGCACAGAATGTCTCAAGGGCATGCGGCCCATGATCGATCTTTGATCCTGCCGCCCATCCAAACGGCAGGGACCGGTGATGAGCCGCCAACTACTGGAAGCATGATCAGATCGGCTGAATCCCAAATCATGGAGTTCGGCTTCCGCAACAAGCTCAAGGTCTTGAGCCAGGTCGCGCCACCAGCCAGAACAGAGTCTCGTCGTGGACCGTTCATTGCAGTCGAAGGCGACAGCGCCAAGTCGGCTGCTGCTCTCGCCGAGTGGCTCAGGAAAGAGCTGAGCCGAGACGACGACCTTCGCCTGTCCATGCTTGAGAGTCCTGATATCAGCATTCACGGCAACAAGAAGCAGATGATGGCGCAGTGTCATCGCTTAGCTGCCGAATGGCTGGGCAAGAGCGACGATATTGTTGATTCGCTTACTATGCACCAGGAGGCTGTCGTTGACGCTGCTATGACTGATCCGAACCATGATGATGCACGCGGCGCAAGCAGCAGGAAAGCCAGCGAGTCCGGCATCCAGCATGACGCTACCGCGAAGAGCGACACTTCCTCGAACGATGCGAACCAGTCGCAGAAGATGGACATCGACAAGCGCTCATCCACCATCTCGAGCACAAGCACAGTAGGCTTCCAAGGCCCGAAGCCCGTCTCCATCATCGCCAACTACTCTCTGCACGCCAGCAACCGCTTCGCTTGCGCCATCCCGATCGGCGGAACGGACCCGTACCACCCGGACGACCACTGGAAGTGGGCTGCGACGCACTGGCGTGGTATCATCGGTCCAGACCTTACGATCTACGTCCGTGACGGCACAGTGGGCGAGAGCGGGAAGCCGTCGATGGAGATTGAGGCAAGTGATGAGAAGACTGGTGTGGCGTTGTTCGTGGTGAGGCGGAACCAGAATGAGGAGCAGATGGGTGAGGGTGAAGCGAAGGACATGGCTATGCAATTGGAGCCGTCTGCGCTTCGCAGGGTGGGCTTTGAGGTCAGTGAGTGGGTGAAAGCTTTTGGGAGTAGGAAGTGATGATGCATGATCAGGTAAATGACCGGTGGCAGCATTGGAGCGTTACGATATAGAAGTGATGAGCTATGTAGATGCGCCTTTGGCAAGAAGGCCATTGGTGCTCAGGACTATACAGCTATGGTACAAGAAGTGGCTTTCTGTCACAGCAGCGTTAGGATGTGCCGCATCAAGTCTTGATTTTCACGCCCCGTGGGATCTGTCAAACCATTTCGAGCCTGGTCGTCCAGTAGAGCTAGATCACCGACTGCACTGGTGATCGTTTGCTCTGGCGCCTGCCGAGAGCTTGTTGAGTCTAGATGTGTCGACGGGTTGCTTGCTCCCGATTGCGCATACGGATCTGAATCATTGCCCCGGCCGTTCTGAGAAGGAGCTTGCATGGAGCCAGTGGTGTTCGGAGAGCCGCAATCGACGAATGCCAAAGTCCTCCGCACGCTGGGCTTAAGTTTGCTTGACTTTGCCTCGTTGCCACGGTTAGCGCTATCCTTGCGCTTGCGCTTCTTGACAGGAACCTGGTCGTCTGTGGCTGCTGGTTGACTCTTCGCGAGACTTGAGTAGCCCTCCCGACACCAAAGCTGCTGCGATTCATCCAGAGCTGCCATCTGACCACGACCATTGCGCTCGTCCTCCGTCACAGGAATGATGCGAGCTCCCTGTATGATCTCCCGGATCCCAACGTCGTCCTCGAGATGACCGGCATCTCGATGCTCTGATCTCGTCATACGCTTGGACCGCTCCAGCATCTTCTCCTCGATCGTTCCGCTCAGCACTAAGGTCTCCACATGCACCGGCCGCGTTTGGCCAATCCTGTGAGCTCGCTTGATGGCTTGGGCTTCGATATTGGGCCGGCAGCTCGGGTTGACGAAGTAGATGCGAGAAGCTGATGGTAGGTTCAGGCCGAAGGCGGCGTTGCGAACGTCCATGAGCAGGACACGGTCTTCTGCTTCTTGATCGAATCGAACCACATACTCCGACTTCAAATGGGCGGCGAGCCCTTTTGCGTAGATCTCGTGACGGATGTGGAGCAGCTCCAGCATTTGAGCGATGTAGTAGGCCGCGTTATCTCCATCGTAAAAGATAAGTATCTTCTCCTGCTTGCAGTACTTCAGAACCTGCGTTGCTAAGTAGCTGAGCTTTGCGGAAGTAGTGCCAACGATACGGCTCCGCAAAAACGGCGAGTCAAAAGGGAGCGCCGCTGAAGGTTTCACAATTTCTGCGTCTTCCATCGTTGCCAGTGGCAAAGCAGGAGACCTTGACTCGCCATTCTCGACGACCGGAGTATGCATCGTGGCCGGCGATTTGGCTACCGCCGGCGCACTGCGTCTTCTCTCACGGGGCTTGACAATCTTGAACGTCCTTGGCGCCTTCTTGGGCGAGACCTTCCCACCCACCGAGCTTCGGCGTCTGAGGGTTGGCTCTCCATCGATCGACGACGTTGGGATGCCACCTTTCGTGAGCACCGGCTTCTCATCCTTTTGGCCCCGGCCGCCTTCTTCCTTGACAATGCCATGCTTGGCTGCAGCGAGCGCTTTGATACCAGTACCAGATAAGCCTTCGCCAGGGTCGTCTTGGCCAACTCGCTCGTTAACGTACTTCTGCGCTTCAAGGAGCTGCGAGATGCCAGTCAAAAGCGGCTTTTGTGTACCGTCGAAGCTCCAGTGCTCCGCACTTTCCTCCGGCCAGTCATCTACGAAGAGACCAAGCTCGTGTGAGCGGCTGAGAGCCTTCCAACCTTCCGACATAAGCACGGTGTCCGCGAAATTCATGGTCTTGAAGAGCAACTCGCGGTCAGCTTGGGTACACCCAGTATTCTCCTTGCGCAGGTACGCCCGGCTACTCTTCATAGATGCTAGCACATCTGCCTCGCTGAATCCAGACCAGAAGAAAGCACTCTGTCGCAGGTTGCCAATCAGTTGAGATCTTGCCTTCTGACTGTTCTTGTGGAAGAGATAATCTTGATCGGTTCGTTCCGAGGTGACAGCATTCGCCGTCAAGACCAGAGTGAACATGTTTGCAGTGAGCTTGTCATAGAACGAGGGCTCCAGGCGAACGACCTCATGGCTCAGCGGTGGAAGTTGATGATCCTTCTCCACATCTTCCGGCTGTGTTTTCACGACCATAGCATTCAATGTCCGCCTCAAACATGTCGAGAAGCCAGAGAACGTCCGCTTACGCATATCTTCATGACGGTATATGTAGTCTTCCCACTGCAGGCCCTTTTCAGTGTTGTCAGAAGCCGCCCAGGGCTTGATCTTGAGAAAACTGCTGGCCAGTGCACCAAGACTTCGTATCGCACCATCCGTATCATCCTTCTTGCTGAAGTGTCGCCGTTGCTGCATAACAGCGTCTCGAGAGTCTTTGGTATTCGGCGTACGCCACAAGTTCTCAGCAGAAGACATATCGACTTCAACACCAAGGAGATCTTTCGCGGGTGTCCCGCTCACAACCCAACGAGCATCCGCTGCGATCAGCTTGTTCGCTACAGTCACCGCAGCGTTATTCGTGTTCGAGAAGAAGTGGCCCTCGTCGATGATCAGTCGCTTGAAGTGTAAATGCTTGAGTGGTGAGTCGTAGAGCTGATCTGTGCGGAGACAATGACAGTCTCGAACACGAGTTGCGCCAATGTAGGGACAGCGGCATAGGAGCTGTGTCGTACCCAATCGGCGTCCCTGAGCATCTGAGCCGTCACGGATCTCTGCTTCAAACCGGCCGCGAGTGAAGAGAACGATGTCGTGGCTCGCAATCTCCTCCGGCTGAGGCAGAGTCTTCTTCGTGCTGTCCATCACCAACATACGCAGTAGATTCTCATTCACATGCTTCTGGATCTCGGACTGCCATTGCCTACATAGGTTTCGTGGCACGACAATGACAGTGGTTGCAGCGAGTAACATCTTCTTCGGAGGCGGCTCGATGGTCTTTCGATTCCACCGTACTGGCTCTAGGGGGATTTCGTAGGTTGGAGGCGTTTTCTCCATGATCGCACGCCAAATGTCGAGATCATCACTGTCGCGACGTCCAATCCGAGCGAATCGGGCTTTCCAAGGCATCGACTTCCTGTGGACATTCGAGACAGCCATGTTCGCTAGGCTGGCAGTGGATTCTCGGACTTGCGGTAGGCTGTATTGGGCTGGGACTTTCGGAGGGTGGTCCTTTGTCGCCAAAATCAGAGACAAGCAGATCACGGTTTTGCCCAAGCCCATGGTCTCAGCCAGAATACCTCCTTGACATGACTCGTAGAACCGTGGCTGTCTTCTGAAATCAAGCTCGCGGGCACCGTAGTAGTATTCCGAGCCATCTGGAGCCTTTCGAAGCTCAAGACGCGGATCAAGTTCCAGGCCGGACACGGACTCTCGTTGAAGCATAAGGGCAGCGCTGCGACGTTGATAGGCGTACAACTGTGTCGTAAGACCATACACCCTCGAGCTAAGAAGACGTTTCATCGCAAGCTGTGCGTATTTGTCCGTGACTGTGTCTTCTAATGGCGAGGGAGACGGCACTTGATTGAACATCCAGAAAAGCGACCCTTCATCGCTTGAAGCCCACGTATCGAAACGGCGTGCTTTGGCTGGGTCGTACCTTCCTTTCCATGTCTCCGGGCTCACATCGATCTCGGCGACCAAGGCTTCAAGAGCAAGTGAGAGCCTCTTGACTTGCCGGTCGATGTATTTGAGGCCGACGTCGAAGGGCAAGATATACACCCTAATGATGACATGGCGTGCATCAATCAAGCCTCGACTCAAGAAGAGACGGATCCAACCAGAATATACGAGCTTGTGGATGTGAAAAGCTAGTTGCGTGTCGAATGAATGCTGTTGAGGTAGCTGTGTGATGATTTGCCATGTGCCGTCGAAGTCCTGTTCGTTTTGCAATCCGTTCGGGTCTTCAAAGCAAAGACAGCCTAACGGGAGGTAGTTCTCGAGGTCTGAAAAGAACAACGCAGCTTCCTTCGATAATGCTGGGTCGCCGCGGCTCCTTGGGCTGGTCTGATGATCTGGAGACGGCAGCAAGGTCGCTGAAGAAGCAGATAACGCGGTGTCCGCTGACGATGAGTGCGACGAATGACTGAAACCAGAGTCGGTCGGTTGATCCGCGGTAGAGTATCCCATCTCGGCCTTGTCAGAAGACATAGCATCAATGACAGTCGCCGTCGCTAGATGCAGCCTGGAGTGGCGAAGATGCCCAAACCAAAGACATCAGGTTATGCATTGGATGGTACAACGCAACCTCATCTCATTGTCAGAATGTGTGTCACGTAGCTAATATGGTAGTTGCTTGGAAAAATGTAATGTAATGCGACAGGAGACGTAGGTGCAATTGCCTTGCAGTCCATCTGTAGCCCGACAGAACAGGACTAGGGCCAGACCCTGAATCATCTTTTCACGTGACTAAAGCACGCTTCGTCTCTACACTATTGATCCACATCTATCTCCATGGTCGTCACAATCACCATGCTCAACTATATATACATTCAGCGTAAACCTACTCACACACTCAACTCCCATCCCCCGCCGACCCCTTCCGAAACACCACCCTCCGCGTCCCACCCACCTTCCCCATTTCCGCGAACTGCTTCTGACTCTTCTCTGCCGAAGCCGTCTGACTCACCCGCTCAATCATGCCCTCGACCCATCGTGCCTTCTGCTCCGGCAGCTCGCCCTTCGTCTTGTTCGTAGACGCTGGGCCGGCCATTCCCAGACTGCCAGCTGGTGAGTTCTCAACGAGAGGCGTGTTCAAATTTTCCTTGGCGGAGTGGGCTGTTGATGGTCGAGAGCTAGACTTCGTCGACTTGGGAGTGGAACGTTGTGTCGTTGTGAGATGCGACACGAGCGGGCTGGTGGTTGCGGACTCATCCGACTCGCCTGTCGGCAGATGCAACTGGTCTTCGTTCTCACCGTAACTTGTCACCGACCTCTCAGCAGCCGGCAGCGCAGTCAAAGGCGTCGCAGGTGTTCCGCGCTGGGCATTGATCTTGGCCAGCGAAGCAGCAGGTCCACTAAACGTGCGCTTCCCGAATCCATTTGGCAGCCCGGCCGTCTGCAATTGCAGTCCGCCCTCCGAAACAGTTCGACTTCCGTGGTGCTCAGCGTACTGGCGCAAGTAGTCCGCTAGATCAGCCCATCCGCCACCGACACGAACCATGACTCGCTCGCCTTCACCTACGAGCCGAACAAAGAGTTTGATGGGCTCGGGGCGTCCAGCTTGCATCAGATGGTATAGCTTCACCTCTTTATTCGCAGCAGCAGATTTCTTAGGGGAAGGGTCAGCAGGCGCGAGAGTCATGTTCCGTTCAGCCGCCTTCGAAGACTTGCCTGCCGGTCGCTGCTGAGGCAAAGGAGTCACAGCACCAGGTCTCGTCCGGAACTTGATGTTTGAGGCGTGCACTCTATCCAGCACCTCGCTCACATGGCGGTCGAAGTTATCTTCACCCGGTTTGAGAGGCGTATCGCGGAGCTTGGGCGGTGTCTCGCGTTGCTTCGAGCTCTCAGTCGAGCGTCGGGGGTCTCTGCTGCTGGAGCTCTGTTTCCGTTTGTGCTTCGCCATGGCCGAGTTAAGGTCCCAAAGGTCAGCAGGGGAACGGAGCTCCTGCGACCGCGTCGGCTCAGGACTTTGGCTCAGCGAGGACGAGCGCATTGGGACCGATGGCGGACTTGGGAAGTACATGTCGTCTCTATAATGCAACGGGCTCGTGGGCGTGAAGGGCTCCATACCTGATCGGACTCGCTCATCGCTTGCAGGTGTAACATCCAGCGGCGTTTGGGATTGCGACATCGGTGATGCTATATCAACTTGCTTCAAGCTTGACCTTGGATACGAGTCGATGGACTTCATTGAAGCACGACGGATGAAACCCACGTCGCCCCGTCGAGCGGTCTCAGGTAAGCCGGTCTCTTCCGGAGAGTTAGCAGACGGTATCTGTAGCTTCAGTAACCTCGGGCTGACTGGCGGTGTGCTCATTGATCTTTGAGTGCCCAGACTGAGGCGACCATTCGCACCAGGCGATGCAGTTGATGATCCAGAGCGGCCGAAGTATGCAGCGGCGTTCGTCCCGTTCCGCAACAGCTGTGCATCCTCAATTTCGCCATTCTCAAACTCATCCTCTGCCACAGCATTCTCGTCAGCCTCCATCACCATGCTGACAGGCCGCGGCAGACTGGTATCCGGGAAACCGTAGTCTTCTAGTTTTATATTCTCTCGACTACCGCCTGTGCGCAGGAGAGAGCGATCGGCAGCCGGTCTCTCGAAGTAAGACTCATGGTCGTCACCCCGGGCGCTCCGTGAGCGTGTAGAGAACGGCGAGCCAACTTCACTGAATCGTGTGCTCCGCTCGTTCGCACCACTGATCCCAGACGTCAGAGCTTGATGAGGCGACAGCGGCATGCTTGAAACGAAGAGATCTTCGAACAAATCAGTTGGGAGAGCCTCGTTCGAGAAGGCAGTCTCTGACTCCTCCTTCTCATTCAGAACCATGCCCACTGACATCGGGTTCTCAGCCTCTACTACCGGAGAGATCTCGCCAGAAAGCGGCCAGTTCTCCGGCAGATCAAAACCTTGCTCCTCTTCAGTAGGTGAATGGAAAGGCGAATTTAGGCCAGTTGGGAGATATGTGTCTGGACCCTGCCTTCCGGGGCCCATAGCTGGTAGCTGCGGGTATTGCTGGTCCCTGATCGGCAGGGCAGTGATGTTCTGCTTGGAAGACCGTCTTGAATAACTAGACATTGTCCGCGAAGGGCCCATGCGATCGTCTGCCGGATGCGACACTGATCTGGGTGTCCTGGGTCTGCTGGCGGGCCTACTCTGCGTTGAAGGGCTCAAAGGTCCGTCTGCGGGTTGCGAGGCTGATCTAGGCGTCCTGGGTCTGCTGCTGGGCCTGCTGCTGGGCCTGCTGTTTGCCGACGAGCTGCGCTGCGGCACCTCCGGCGGCACGCTCTGCGACTCCACAAACTCCATCACACGCGAATCGACCTTTCTCGCCCGCGACTCGCTGCGTCGAGGTGAAGCGATGCGCTCGGGAACGTCCTTGGTATGAGGCACGCTAAACAGGTCTGCATAGCCCATGTTCGAGCGCGAGCTCTTCTTCGCCGTGTGCTTGCTTCCCCGCGACCCGATGCTTGTGCTCCTGGCGCGGTCTTCGGTCTTCTCCTCATCCTTCTCCCGCTTGAACAGCCGTGTGAACGCGTTACTAGCGTGCTCGAACGGCCGAACAATCGGAGCAGGCTTGCTCTTATTCAGCCTCTCGGACTTCTCGATGTCGCCATTGAGGAATGCGGCTCGTTTCTTTACCTGGCTGATGGCTTCACCGTCGCCGGAGGATGGAGTAGCGACCGACCCAGGTGAGATGTTGCGAGACGTGGTCTTTGGAAGATCCAGAAGAGGTTCGACGGGTGGTCCACCGTTAACGAACTCCTCTTTGTAGCCTTCGATGTCGATAGGAACGTGCCGTGAGCGATGTCTGCGGATGGAGGAGCTTGTGCTGTGCGTGGTAGTGATCGTGGAAGAGCGCTGAGAATCTTCCGGAAGTCCCTCGGCGGATGTCTGGGTGTGCGTTGTCGAAAAAGGCGTGGTTGTCGTATGTATCCCATTCTGAGGATCTGAAGAAGTTGTATGGGTCGTCGTGTTGGTCGTGCCAAGCGCAGAGCCTACCGTAGTAGAAGAGACGGTTGTTGGTCCCACAGTCACTGATCTCGACGGCTGGACCGCATGATCTCCGCCTGCACTGCGCGGAATATCCTGCGCCCCATCTGCGTCTTCAACGCTACCTTGCGCGAGGTCCAGCTGGCCCAAGCGAACCGTCGAAGTATTCCATTCGCCTTCCATCACCTTTCTTTCTGCTTGAACGACCCATTGCCCGTACTGCTCCTCCAGCGCTTCAAAATTCTCGATCCACGCTTCCGGAACGCACTCTTCTCTGCCCTCCAACATGTCCAGGAAGTGGTCCAGTCTGCCGCCTAAGCTGGAGACCTGCTTTTGAACCACATCTTTCATCTCGGTCATGGTATCTCTCGAGAACGTCGCTTGAGCTCTCTGCAATGCATCAGCTGCAGCTGGATGGTTGGATACTGCCAGCGCTGCCCAGCCATGATCCAAGTCCAATCGGGCCTGAGCAAGGTCCCGAAGATGTCCTGGTGCGCTGCGTAGTATGCTCAAACGAACACTCCAAGTGTTGAGTAACCGATGCAGGCGGCTGAGGTACGGCAGAGACTGGAGTATCGTAGCTGTCACCAGCGCCGTGAAGTCATCCAAGCGCTTGAGATTGGTATCCGCTCCAATGGCGCCGATACTATCGTCGACATCGACCTCACCATACCCAGCCTGGTGGTGTGCAGAGAGCACGAAACTCTTGAGCCCTTCAACATCAACCTCTTCCAAAGCTTCGGTGATCTCATCCAGTCGTTTCTGATATGTCTGTGCCGTTTGTGCTGGAAGACTACCCCAGAACTCCAGTCCGTCCTCATTGCCGCCCTGAGTCATGGATGGCTGAGAAGCAAGACTACCAATGCTCATTACACTGATCCTCTGTTTCTTCCTCGCTGGCTCCGGCTCGTCGAACGTGCCCGGCCATTCCCAAGCTTCCAATTCGCGCGTCCATGACCGGAGGTCCAGACAGCTTTGCGCAGCTTGTATTCCTAGCCTCCTCTGCGCCAGGGAAGCTGACTTGAGGCTTTTACTAAGGTGATCGTTCGCTTGCCCTTCGTCTGAAGAGGCGAAAGCTCGTAGGGTTGTTGTTGGCGATAGATCCCGTAGCAGAGGGTCATAATCTCGCGCGCTATGCTGTCGTCGGACCGGCGACCGGGTAGGAGATCGGTTCTGGGAGTATCGTCTTGTCGAAGAGGATAGACGAGGTGGATCGATCGTCGGGTCGGGGAGAGCCATCTTGGTGGTGGTCTGCTGCTACAACAGCAACTCTAACGCCTTCCACTCCAAACGCTTGTCAAAAAGGTAGTCCCTCATAGCAAGCGCCGCAATACCAAGAAGAAGAAGAGGTGGAAAAGATGAGTTGGAAGTGGGATGTTCTGCGCAACCCAATTGCGCTTTCCGAAGGAGCACGAGCCTTTAGATCGACGTCTTGCAGATGTTCGACGACTTCGGTGCATTAGCACGTGCATACCAGATCTTTTGCATTGGCCTCTTCTGGTAGATGATACACTGCGATCAGATAAGACGTTCACGCGTTGTTTCAGAGCACATGAGCCTGCTTGCACACGTGAATGTCTACGAGCTCGACACGTGCTCATAGAGGCATTGAGCTCAATTGGGAAGGTGCACGGTTCGATTGGTATTTCAAGTACAATCTAGAACCTCACCATATCCATCTCTCCATCCTCGGTATGGATTACGACCAAACGTTCTGGGGCGTGGAATCCGAATGGAAAGGTATGGTTCAACCCGTCAAGAAGGCTCAGCGACACCCTCGCTGGCTTCGCTACTTCGTGCCGTTCGCAGCAGGAGCAGAACCACCAACACTCGCACCACTGCTCCTCCAAGCGCTCAGAATCAGATCAACGATATGATCAACACCCTTCCCATTCTTGACCTGGGCGAAGATCGTCGGTCCACCCTCCCTACAACAGCATCAACACGTTAGCGATTGACCTCACAGATCTTACCAGCTGCCTCTACGGCAGCTTTAAGAAAACCACCCACCGTATCTTCCTAGCATCCCTCTCCATAACCCCCAGATCCGCTCCAATCAACTCGGCCAAATCCGTCTTATTCACCACCAACAAATCACTCTGCGTAATCCCCGGTCCTCCCTTCCGCGGCACCTTATCCCCGCCCGCAACATCAATCACATACACGATGAAATCCGCCAGCTCCCTGCTATAGTTCGCCGCCAGATTATCCCCACCGCTCTCAATCAACAGCATCTGCGTGTCGAACTCGCGGTGCAGGTCCGTGAGCGCGGCGAGATTGGTCGAGATGTCTTCGCGCACGGCGGCGTGCGGGCAGCCGCCGGTTTCGATGGCGCGGATGCGTGGGGCGGGGAGGGCGTTGTGGCGGGTGAGGAACTCGCAGTCTTCGCGGGTGAAGATGTCGTTGGTCACGGCCGCGATGTTGTAGGTATCGCGGAGGGCGAGGCAGAGGGCGAGCATGAGGGCCGTTTTGCCGGAGCCGACGGGGCTGTTTGTACAGACGCACTTGGTGAGTCCTAGGCTCTTCCACGAGTGCGTTTCGTTGTGTCGTACCCACCGATGCCAATCGTAAAAGCTCGCTCGTTCCAGTCTCGACCCTCGATGATGGGCATTTCGCGGCCCAGATAAGAGCCTGGACCGTCCAGGATTTCGTGAGTATGGCCATGTTCACCACCAGCATGGGGGTGGCTGCCGCCTCCGTGGTCGTGAGAATGTGCCATGCTGCGGTTGTAAAGAAAGAAAAGAGTGAAGACGAGATGGTAAGGTAGAGATAAGGACCAAGTGGGGTGGAGGGGCTCTACTTTAGCCGTCTTTCTGTGCCAAAACAATTCAACGATCTCGAGGAACGCTGCCATGTAGCAAGAATCAAGTGTCCCTTAGCTGTTATGCTGTGATTGTTATGCGAACAAAGTACCGGAGTGTTTCGTGCGTCGGATGGTGGATGAAGGGAGTGATCCCGAGGCAGCGTTGCTCAATCCACAACAGCCATCGCTACTTTCACAACATCTCAGAAGGGTGCTTGAAATCCGAACGGGCCTGAGGCGACCCGGTGTAAGCGACTGAGAGTCTGTAAAAGGTCGTTGTAGTACGTTGTAACAAGACCTGTCTTGATCGTTCACATAGCTTCAATATAGACCCACGTCGTAAGCCTCTGCCTAACCCCAATACAAGTACCATGATCCCAAAACACCATCCGTATATCCAGAACCATGCAGAGCAGGAAGATCATTCGCTACACAAGCACGAGAAAAACCGTCAGTCGTGGTTGTTCGGTGTGTGATGATCACGCGCTATTGGCTGTTATTCCATGATACGCAGCCATCGCTTGACCAGCACTTCCAAAAAGCAGAAGACGCAGCAGAAGGGAAGAGGGAGGGAAGACTCACTATAGCGACAACGTCAGATCCCCTCGAATGCTCGCCTTGAGCTCAATCTCAATCTCCAGATTCGCTTCGAGGGACAATTTCAACCCGTCCTGATTCTTCAACTCGCTCTGCTCACACCGTCAGTGGACCCTGCCATCCCACCCCAATGCCTCTGGTAGTGATATAGGACTCACCCCCTTCTCCGGCTCCGGCGTCATATAATACGGCTGATCCGGATTACTCCCCCTCACTGGAATCTCCCCCCTCATCGCCCGCGCTTGCGTCACCGGCCCATCCATACTCGTCGAGTCGGGCCCTATGCGCTCGAACGGCTGCATCGCGCTCGTTTCCCCGTTCGCGTCGGCCTCCTCCAGCGCCTCGAGCGAGTTGGTCTGCATGAACTTGCCATCGCGCTGCGAGTCGCGGATGCGTTTGCGGCGGTCTCGACGGGAGGAGGAGCGCGAGCGATTGGTTTCTTGCCCGGATTCGCGGCGGTGTTTGGCGAGGGCCTGGTCGGATTTTTGTTGCTGTTCGACGGTGCGTTGTTTGATGGGTTCGCCGTCGTCGTTTGTGGTTGGGGGGAGGGGGGCGGGTTGCTCGATTACTTCGCGGCCGCTCATGGTGGTGGTTGGGGGAGGTAGTGGTAGGAGATGAGATGGAGGGGAAAGATGTCACCGTGTATGAGCAGCAACGTCCAAACGCTCAACACTCAGCAGTAACGACTAGGCAAGAAAACCGTCCGGCAACACAAGCCGACGACCTTGCACACGCAACCCAGCCCAGCCATCATGCTGCCCCTCGAAGGCGACAATCGTGAAGCCGACCTACCCCTGCTCGGATCATGCAGAGAAACCTGTTTGGTCCAGCTCACCCCTGCACTCGCGCTCACCAGCCACGCGTATGAAGTCATAGCCCGCTGCACGCACTTCGCCCTCCTGTTTCGGACGAGGAGCGCTGCCCGATCGAGTTCGCTCGCCTGCGAGCGTGACTGAAAGTGTCGCGCCGTGGGGACGATTCCACCTTTGTTGCAAGGAGAGAAGTTGGCATGTCAAAGCGGTTTGACTTTGGTCGCGTGAGGAAGAACCGGACTTCGGTTGAATGTTCTACGGCAGTTGGTTGCTTGAGATGAGAGTTCGCGCGAGAGAAAACGTGCTTTGGGGAGTGAGCCATGGTAACGAGAAGTACGCGTAGCGTGGCAGGGGAGCCATCATCTGTCGATTAGATGAGGCTGGGAGGGCGGTCACGAATGCGGTCATGTGCAGGAGAAGATTGAGAGTGGGAAGCGGTGGAGTAGGAAGCAAGTGTGAACAGCATTGCGAATTCCAATCCTAATCTCCAACTCCAACGACACACCATCGCACATAGAGTAGTTACATAGACACGCATATCCAAACTCCAACCAGACGTCCCTCCAGCTTAGTTGAGCAGACCAAGCGTAAGGTCACCATGAATCTTCGCCTTAAGCTGGATCTCAATATCCAGATTCAGCTCCAATCGTAGCCTCAGCTGCTCACCACCACCGCCATCCTCTTGACCGCCTTCCTGCTTGCCTCCAGTAAGCCCGCCCAGTGCATTGCCGACCGTGTCTCCAGCCTGCCCAACTGCCTGCCCAGCAGTATTCTGCACCATGTCGCCGGCGCCATTGACAAGCTCGCCGCCTGGAAGGTCCTCGGTGATGCCTTCGAGTGGGCTGCCCTTGCCTTGGCCCTTCTCCTGGGTCTGCGTTTGCGTCTGGCCTTGCTGCTTCTTTTGTCGCTGGCGCTGACGGCGGCCTCCAGAAGCGCTCACATCGCTGCGGGCGATAGATTCGGTGTCGCTCTCCTGCCCTCCGCGCCTACCGCGGCCACGGCTTTGGCGGCGGCGAGATTGGTTGCGTTGCTGCTCCTGCTGCGGCTGGGCTTCCTCCTCAACGTCGGCTTCTGCTCCAGCCTCTGCGCCAGCTTGAGCGTCAGCTTCACCCTCGCCTTCGGCGTCTGGAGTAGCTTCGGGAGTAGGTTGCTGCTGGGGCTCAGGTTTCTTGGAGCCCAGCTTCTTCGGTGTCTTCTTCTGCGTCTGCTTCGATTGCACAGAGCCAGAGCCAGCGGCGTTGGCGCCCAAGCCCATGGAGCCTTCCGCGTTCGCGGAGGCCTGCTGTTCGTTTTCCTCGGTTTGCGCAGACATTGTGATGGTATGCGCTTGACTTTTGCGGTGTAGATAGATGGGATGAAAAGATAGAGAGGTTCAGATGAGAAGGAGAAAAGAGAGCGGTGCAAACCTGTTTCGCGACCCCCCGTAAAGGCGCGTTCGTCCTGGAGGGACCTGGTTGCGCTGACGCAACGTCCTGCTCCACCAGCTCCAGCCACCTGTGCAGGGATGTGTGAGTGAAGCAAGGTACACCCTTGCCAGTGTCTGTGATCATCGAAGGATCCTCGGCACTTCAACCGAGCAGTGTGGCGCATGAGCACGAAGACGCTGATCGCGTTCACAAAGACACGAAGTTGGCAGAAGTGGTGTCATGCTGCGCAAGCGGTGTTGAAAGGATGTCCCCCGAAGATGAAGCGGAGATGGCGAGAGCAGCCCGGCGGCGGTGGCCGACGCAAGAGAGCAGGAACGACCTCTCGTGTCCCAACCACCTCACCACTGCTTCGTTTGGACCTTGTAGGCCTACGCTCGTAGAGAGCATGGCACCGTCGATTTATTGAAGGACATAAGGCGATGAATTTGGGATGATTGAACCTGGAGAATCGCAGTCCTCGATGATGCCGACTTCGGCTTCGAAAGGCAAATCGAAGGGTGCAGACATGTAGAACCAACAATAAATGTTCATCAATAGAGCCAAACCTTCATCAAAGCATCAACAACCCATCGTCCACACCTTCCATCCACCATCTCACCTCAACCACCCACAATGTCACAACCCCAAGAAACTCAAGACGCCGCAGCCCGCAACCGCATAACAACCCACATGAACGCTGACCACCACGACTCCGTCCGTCCCTCCCCCTCTCCCTCCCATCCCAACCCTCACTAACACGCCGTCAGATAATCCGCTACCTTCAACACTACGCCCACCTCCCCCTCTGGACCGCCTCAAACTCCAAAATGACCGACGTAGACCTCTCCTCCATGACCTTCACCGCCGGTGGCAAAATCCACCGTATCCCTTTCACTCCACCCCTGAAATCCTACCGCGAGACGCGGGAAAGGGTCGTGGAGATGGATCAGGAGTGTCTCGCCGCGCTTGGAAGGTCGGATGTTACGGTTACGGAGTTCGTGCCGCCGAGGGGGATGGACTTAGTCGTGTTTGTGGTGGTGGCGGCAACGCTCGTGGCTTATGGTCAGCGGTGGTGGTTTGAGCAGGGAGGGGTAGTGGAAAAGGTGTTAGGGGCGGGGTTCGCGAAGTTTAGTTGGACGATTCAGCCGTGGCTGATCTGTGGGATGGTGGTTATCCATGGGTCGGAGCTGGCGTACTTTGTGCCAAACTATCTGGCGAAGCATTCGGTGAATCCGAGGACGGCGGTGTGGTGGCAGTGGGCGGGGACGACGTTTGTGGAAGGCGTGTTTTCGTTCTGGCGGTTTCAGGAGCTCGTAGAGCGGAAGCGGCAGGAGAAGATGAAGCAGAAACATTAAAGCGTGAGGGTCGGTAGCGCGACGTGTATCATTATCAGTGTTCCTCTCTATCTAGGGCTGTGGCCGAGAGGCTGATGTGCCCGCAGACTCGACAGCTCACGGTGGTGGTGATGAAGTTGAAGACGAAGCAGCATCCTGCCTCACCCTCACAGCACTCTCATCCACCTCCCCATCAGTAGCGCTAAACCCATACCCAACCTTCTTCCGCCTACCCTTGCGATCTCCATACTGCTCGTCGAACTTCCTGATCGCTGTGAGCGACTTCATGTCCTCACTAATTGAAGCAGAAATCTCCGAGAGAGCCTTTTCGAAATGCTTCGAAGTCAGCGTACGCTTCTCAGCGAATTGAAACTCCGTATCGTCCTTGCGGATGTCGGCGAGCTCGTTTTCTTCACGGACGCACGCCAGTGCTGCCGCGACGGAGAGGTTCTTGAGATCGGAGCCGCTGTAGTATGGCGTCTGTTCAGCAAGTTTCGCGAGCGAGACCGAGGAGTCGAGAGCTTCATTTCGTAGGTGGATGCCGAGGATTGACTCTCGATCTTTCGCCACCGGCAAATCAACCAGCAGTCGTCGCGGAAGCCGTCGCAGCACAGCATCATCCAAGTCAAACGGCCTGTTGGTCGCAACCATCATGAAGCAGCCGTGGTCATCCATGCCGTCCCATTCGCGCAGGAATTGATTGATGATCTCGCGGTGGGTGTTCCTATTACCCGCATTACTTCGGCTGCCGAAGATGGCGTCTGCTTCATCGATGAAGACCACACAAGGACTCAGCTTCTTCGCAAGGCTAAAGACTGCTCGCACCATCTTCTCGCCCTCACCGACATACTTCTCGTAGATTTGGGCACCGCTGACTTCGAGCACCGTTGCCTTCGACTCCTTGGCCACCGCTTTCGCAAGTAGTGTCTTGCCGGTGCCGGGTGGGCCGTACAGCAGCAGTCCTGGCAAACGGTCGTTGGCGAGGACACCATACTTGAAAGCATCTGGTCGTAGCAAGGAGAGTGACGTTGCAGTCTTCAGCGCATCAATCGTCTCAGGCACTGCGTGCACATCGCCAAAGCCAGTCTTGATCTTCTCCGCATCGACAACACCGTTCAAAAGGCGGTTCTCATGCTGGTTCAACGACTTCTTGATCCGATCGATCCGCGCCTGGCCGCGTTCGCCGTCGAGCTTGCCTTGAGACTTCTCGCCACCGCTGCTGTCTGTCTTGATCTTGTCCGCTCGCATCTTCTCCTTGTTGAGGGACCAGCAATGCTGCACATGATCGGTCCGTGTTGTGATGAATGCAGCCAAAGCAACATGAACGGGCTGCACCCCTTCCGCCTTGACATAGGAATGCTGCAACCCCACGGCTGCCAGAGCGAGCCGTTGCACCTGGTCCAGAGTAAGGACGCGCTCGGTCAAGAAGTGCATACCAGGTAAGTTCAGCTGCTTGCGAGCAGCAGCAGAACACATATCGACATCGTATCCCGGCCTCATGCGCCGCAGCATCGACTGGATGTGGCGAAGGTTGATGTCTAAAATCCGAGCCCGCGTGGGATTGTCGAGGTCTTTCTCTGGTAGTCTTGGTCGCCTGCCTACCAGTTGGCCACCACTCTCTGCATCTAGCCACTCGAGTCCCGGGGGTACTGTCATGGTGCGGAAAGGAAAGTCCTCGTGGCGGTCTCCAGCGAAAGTGAAAGGTCCAGGCACATCTTGTGCCGTCGTTCCGACAATCATAATGCGTTCGCCGCTACGCCTTCGCTTCCTCACGACTTTGCTTAGGCGTGTGATGATGTTTTCGCCCAGCTTGGAATCGCAGATGTCACGTAGATCGGGCACATGGATGATGGTTTTCCTCAAGGAGTCTTTGGCAACTGAAGCAGTGCCGGCAGATCCACCTGATGGCTGTTGTGTAAGCTGGAACGGGATTTGAGTAGGGTCATCGCGCTTTAAGACAGGGTCGAGATGGGCAAGCAGGAGGCTGGTATTGTGCCGTTGCCATCTGTCCGCCTCTCTCAGTGATTTAAGAGCTTTCTGCCACGAAGTCGATTCAGATTTCGGGGCTGCGCGGTTGTGCGTTGTAGATTCATCGCTGCTGCACTTTGCGGATGCCGCCCGTTTTTCTGCTGTCGCGTTGAGCAAGCTGTCGAAAAGCGCTGTCAAACGTGCATCATCTCTGTTCGCCTCAGAGCCGTTGGTGGCTGAGGCGCTCTTAGACTGTCGTGGATCACCAGCTGCCTGCTGACCGAATTGAGATCCACCAATGCCGATGCCAACTATGCGGCCTCCCAAAACCTTTCCTAGACCACCAGACTGAAGGGCTTTCGCAAGGTCGCCCATTGAGCCGAAGCCGCCGCCTGCACCACTGTGGTGGTCATCCTCCTCTGCCTCCTCCTCTTCGTCCATCTCGTTCGCCTCGTCTGGGCCGGGCGGCGTGCGGAAGGCATTCAATCTTTGGGCGCCCCCACCAGCTTCAAATCCATCGAAGACTTCGTACCCCAGGTTTGAGAACGACCCCGGCGCATCGTCCCCTTGCCCAACATACTCATCCGACAGCTCCGCCAGATCGTTGGCGTCCAGCCTAACCAAATCGGCACCCACTACGCGAGCAAGCTCATGCACGAATTCCTCCATCTGCCCGTGACTGTTGGGATCCGGGCATTGCAACGACAAATCCACCCTGTCTGTGGCAAACATCGAGGAAGGCTGATGCTCGCTTGGAAGTGAGAGCGCTGCTCGCACAGTCATTTCGGCCTCCAGAAATGGGTATCTCATCGGATCAGAGTCCCAATCTCTGACCGAAATCATTCTGCGAAGGAGCGGATCGGGATGATTCTTTGAAGGCGGTATGAACGGCTGTTCTCCATGCTCTTGCGAGCTAGCATGGCTGCCCGCGGTTCCTTCAGTGGAGTATTTCTGATCGAAGAAGTGCTGGCCCAGTTCACTAGTCCCTCCTTCAGAAGCGTCCTCTGTTGTTGGTGGTACTCCAGCCTTGTTCTTCCGAGACTCCAACCTCTTCTGGAGTTTCTCAACACTCTTCTCAGTATACAGCGGCTCGTAGTAGTCAAGTGTGAAGAGCGTATGTCCCGTCTCAGTGTCAACGCACCGAATAATCTTATACTCCTCCCAAAAGCTCTCCTTATCCTCTCTCCTCTCCTCTATCAGTCTGACATTATGTTTCAAAAACCACTCCGGTATAGGCGGTGGCTTAGGAACATCGTTCATCCGCCGTTGTCTCAACGTTCGTCTGGTGCTATTGCCCGGCCTGGGAAAGGCGCCATTCTTGATCTCTCCATGCTCGCCACCCTCCAGCTCTGTCCCTTCATCATGTCTGCGAGACTCCGCCTGGGTATTATGCCAGCCATTAACCGGTGTGTGATGATTAGAATTGTTTGGGCTTCGAGGGTCGTTGTTGCGCTTCCGGCTGGTGATGTGGAAAGAGCGGTACTGTCGGTCTACACGCTGCCTTGGGACGGAGGAAGACCTGACCTGACTTGACCCAGCCAGGCGAGCGCTTTGGCGAGTTAATGGACGCATTCGATTGAGGTATAGCAAAAGTGCTGTCTCGAGTTCAAGCTTTCCACAAACATTTGAAGTCATGCCCCGAGTTCGCCGCGGGAGAGATGGTCATGTGATTAATCATCCAACGAGGAAGGAATAGCTCAGAGCGAAGTGTAAGGCAAGCATAGCTGTATGTATGGCAGTATATATTCAGATGGCCGCTCTGGAACAGCACGACGTAAGTTTGATCGAAGAGCATGGAGCAATGTAGGAAATGCAGCTGTTAAAAGGCCAAATCTCAGGGGCGTGCGGTACCCAACTCTCATTCCCAAAAACACGCTATATACAAACCGAGCTATGCAAGTCATAAAACATCATCAAACCCCCCTCAACCATACATCGGCCGTCCAGCATAAGCCGGCGGCGGCGGAGGCGGCGTGTCCCAACCCCCTGGCCCTGATCTTGCTCCACTCATTACGGGCTGCGAACTCCCACCACTGCCACCATACCACCCATGCCCAGGGTTCTGCGCCATCTGCGGGTAAGGCTGCGGGCCTCGAGCCTGCCAGCCTGCCCAGCCGCCGGGTGGTGGGCGAGGCGGTTGTTGTTTGCGCATCTTGCGACGCTTGTAGCAGCTGCGGAGGCAGCCGAGGATAGAGAGGAGGAGGAGGCCGCCGACGGCGGAGGCGACGCCTATTACGACGGCCTTGTGGTCCTCAATCCACGATTTTACCTTTGAAAAGGGACCCCGTTAGCAGACGCCTTCGACAGGTATAAATGCCACGCTCAGAATGACTTACCTCTCCACCAAACGAAGTCCCCTTACACTGCCCATTCTGACAATGCCCGCCACCACCACACTCCGTCCCATCCAAGAAATTCTGCTGCAGACCATAGCACGTCCCATACCCAAACTCCGGGCTCGCGCAGCTGATCTGACACCCCTGGCTATCACAGGCATGCGTGTCGTTGTCTTGCGTATAGCTGCCCATGACCGTCTTACACTGCATGTCGCGACTCGTGCACTGTCCGGACGCGCACTGCAGCCCGTCACCACAGTCCTGACCATCTGGTGCCGTGTCATCAGCTGGGCAATCGCCCGAGTCGCCGGGACAGACTTCTTGCGGATCGCAGTCGCCGCCGCTGGCGCGGCAGACAGTGCCTTGGGATTTGAACTGGCATTGGTCGCAGCAGTCCTCGTTGGCGTCGTCGCAGACGGCGCCTTCCTTGAATGTACAAGTTTCGGGTTCGCAGCAGGAGTTGTCGCCGCAGCCCTCGGCACCACCGCAATCGCAGTCTTCACCGGGCTCGACGATACCGTTGCCACATTGTTGACCAGTGTAGGTTTGAATATTCCTATTGTCAGAGAGGCAGTCCGTGTTGACCGACTTGCGGCCGATAGCGCTGCAGATGTTGCCAATTGAGCAAGGGCTGAAGTCGGTGATGCCTTGAGATGTGGACGGGTTCATGATGTACTGCTCGCCGGCATCGCAAGTATTTTGGCTCAGAGGGCAGCACTGTTGCGAGTTGACGAAGTCCGCATCCGCGCAAGTTTGGGATGTGCAGTCGTGTACGGCGCCATATGTGTGGCCGGTCTCGTGGGCGATGATCTGCCACTCATTGGCGCCCTGGGTGCGGATGACAACGTTTGCTCCCGTAACGGTCTCAGACCCGCCGCCACCAGTCTGGCCATTCCCTGTCTGGCTATTGTTCGCGTTGTATGCAGTGTTGATACAAGCTTGTCCAAGCCATGCAAGGCCAACTGCAGAGCCAGTATTGCAGGTACTGAGCAAAGTCCAGTGACTGTTATCATCCTGCTGCGTGCCTCGCCACTCCGAGAAGTAGTTCAGTCGATCTTGAATATTCGCGCCGGAAGTACAAGGCTGGTTCCACATAGCAGTATTAGGTGGTGTGCCAGGACATTCCTCCGGTTGAATGGTGATGTTCTGCAGACCGAGCGAGATCTTGAATGAGTCCTCCCATACCGCCGAAGCAGTGTTCATCTGATTAATGACGTTCTCCCTCAGCGTCTGCGATGAGTTGAACGAGCCGGTATACGTGCAATCCGTCGCCACCCCGACCAACGCGACCTTGTTCGTCGTTGGACATCCCGTGCTGTCGCCGATGGTGCTCCGAAGGTTGACGCCACCACTGTTGCCACCAGTCGTGCTATCGATCTGACGCTTGCCGAAGAGGTGCGAGAAGTCCATCACCCCGTACGTCTTCTTCGGCGCCAGGCCCAACATGCCCCGATACACAGGATGCTCCGGATCCGTATTGAAAGTCAACCCATCCGCCTGACACGACGGCACCTCATTCACAGCCCGCCTCCTCAAATCATCATGCGGCAACCGCTCGCTCGGCAGGATATCAGAGTCCCTCCAAATCAACATATACTCCTCCCCATCATCCAGCTCATCCGCATACGGATCCTGCCAATGCTTCGTCCGCGCATAATTCGCCGAACTCTGAATATGATGGTGATCGCGATCCACCGCGAACGCCCCTTCGAAGAACGGCCTCTTCCCATCGTCCCTAACCAGCACCCGTGCCCATCCGACTCTTATCCACTCGTTCTGTCCAACGTTCGGCCGAGATATCCATGACGACCCCTTGAACACTTTATGCCCTAGCCTGTCCACATACTCCTTATGCGCCACCTGCCCGTCCGGTGCTAGATACGACACCGATGCATCGCCCGCGAGGATGTCGTGGTTCGGCTCGAGCTTGAACTTGACGTACAGGTCGTCGCGGATGTTGAAGGTGAGATCAAACTTGGACAGCGCCGTGACCCGGTGATTATGCGTGTGGATCGTCGCATTCTGTACTGTCGAGAGCGCTCCTATGGGATTCCGTATCCGCGAACTCGCTTCTGCTATGGGTGAGATTGCAGCAACGACGAGCGAGAGGAGTTGAAAGGGTAGCTGCATAGCCGCCTACAGAAGGCCGGCGAGGATGTAGGACTGCGTGGCGGGATGTCGGGGTCATGCAATGTTTGCGCTTTTGTAAATCGGATCTGTTGCCGGTATGTGTATAAGCAAAGCGAATGACTCCAAAAAGGGTTGCAGTATTAGAACGAGGGACTATGTATCATCGAAGAGTGTACGCAGTGCTCCATGTCAGCGCTGGGCGCATCGAGGCGCAAGTTGCCCAGCCAAGTCGCTCGTTGCCGCGATCCAGATCAGCTCCACCAACCATTCTTCAGCGGCGAAGCATTTGATGGAGATTAACGTTGACTGCGCGTGGCAACCGATGGAATCAACCATATCTATATCTAGCAGATTCGGACTTTCTTATATCGACTTCGCAACGATCGATGTCGACTTCCACGTTTACCTTGCGTAGATTTACCGACAACAAGAATGGCCACCTGACCTTGAGCCAAGCGCAAGCGCTTCTAGATTGCGTGGACGGCACAATAAGCAGAGAGCTCGCCACAGTCCAAGCAAATCGCAACGCAAACGTCGCACACGAGCTATCACCGCTCCATGGACATATGGACGCGGACGCGGACGCGGACGCGGACACTACTCAATCAACGACCTTCCCAGTACCTTTTCAAAAGTGTGAGGAACACAAATCTTGACATATTTCCAATTCGTGTCATACTACCATACCTTACTCCTAGATCCAATCAAACATCGCCATGGTATTCCGCCCTACTCCTTCTCCGCCGCCGAGTTCTTGCTCTCCTTGACCGTCTCAATAATCTTATCCACCACCGACGGGTCCGACAGCGTCGACGTGTCGCCCAGCTGGTCCTCCTCGCCCGCCAGAATCTTGCGCAGAATCCGTCGCATAATCTTGCCGGACCGCGTCTTGGGCAGGTCTGGGATGGCGAACACGGCCTTGGGTGCCGCGAAGGGGCCGATGGATTTGCGGACTTGCATGATCATGTCTTTGCGGAGCTTGTCGTTGATTTCGTTGCCTTCTTTGATCGAGACGAAAGCGTTGACGGCTTGGCCGGTCAGCTCGTCGTTGATGCCTACGACGGCCGCCTCGCCGACAGCGGGGTGCTCGATCAGCGCCGCTTCGATTTCTGCAGTCGACAGGCGATGTCCAGACACGTTCACGACGTCGTCCACGCGCCCACGGATCCAGTAGTAGCCCTCGTGATCCCGAGCAGCGCCGTCGCCGGTAAAGTAGTAGCCCTTATAGACGTTGAGGTACGTGTCCATGTATCTCTTGTGCGCACCCCAGACCGTGCGCGCCATGGACGGCCAGGCCTGCTTGAAGGCCAGCACGCCTTCGACGTCGTTGCCGCTGATCTCTTCGCCGGAGACGGGGTCGATGATGGCGGGTTCGATGCCGAAGAAGGGGAGGGTGGCGCTGCCAGGTTTGGTGGGCGTGAGGCCGCCCATGGGCGAGATGACGTGGGAGCCGGTTTCGGTTTGCCAGTATGTCTGCAAGCTATGTCAGTCTCTGCTTTTCGGAAGGTGCTTCAAGACGAGGTACTCACGTCTACAATATGTGCCTTCGTCTTGCCAACAATCTCATGGTACCACTTCCACACCTCAGCGGCGATGGGCTCACCAACAGAGCCAAGCACACGAAGGTTCTTCATCTCCTTCTTGACGTGGTGGTCGCCGGCTCTCTTCAACAGACGCAGAGCAGTGGGAGCAACATAGAACTGCGTCACATCGTGCTTTTCGCACACCTCCCAGTATCGGCTGAAGTCGGGGTAGGCGGGTGTGCCCTCGAACACGACAGTCGCAATACCGAGGAGCAGGGGCGCGTACACGACGTATGTGTGGCCAGTGATCCAACCCACATCACCACCGCAGAAGAAGCGGTCGGAGTCGTGGATGTCGAAAACGTACTTGCCAGTCGCGGCTGCACCCAACAGGTAGCCAGCGGTTGTATGCATGACACCCTTGGGCTTACCAGTCGAGCCAGAGGTGTAGAGCAAGAAGAGGGGATCCTCGGAGTTCATGCTGACAGGCGCAAAGTAGGCTGGCCACTTCTCCATCTCCTCGTGCCACCACAGATCTCGTCCTTCCGTCCATGGGATCTCGGCACCGGTACGCTTGTAGACAAGGCAGTTCGTGACGTCCGGGCACTGCTTAAGCGCCTCGTCCACGATCTTCTTGGTGCCAATGAGCTTGCCACCTCGCTTGCCCTCGTCTGTTGTAATCACGACCTTGGACTCGGCGTCGATGATGCGGTCCCGCAGAGAATCTGAGCTGAAACCAGCAAACACCACAGAGTGGACAGCGCCGATACGTGTGCAGGCCAAGAAGGCAATGAGAGCCTCGGGAATCATGGGCATGTAAAGCGCAACGGTGTCGCCCTTCCTGACGCCCATCTGCTGGAGAGTCCATGAGAGCTTCGACACTTCTCGGAGGAGCTCCTGGTAAGTAATTGTCCGGCCCTCGCCCTGCTCATCCGCCTCGTAGATAATCGCTGGCTTGTCTGGGGTTTTGGCCGCGTGTCGATCAATGCAGTTGTAGGAGGCATTGAGCCTGCCCTCTAAGAACCATGCGGTGTCGCCGCCAGCGAGCGAACCAGTTCGCACGGTGGAAAAGTCTTTCTCCCAGGTCAGAAGCTCGCGAGCCAAGTTGCCCCAGAACTTGTCTGGTTCTGAAATCGACTCCTTGTACATCTGCTTGTAGTGGTCGAGGTCCTTGAGATGCGGCTCCTTCGGGTGGTTTCTGCCGGCAGTGTTAATACCAATGGAAAGCTCAACTGAGACATGGCGGCACTCACGGTCTGTAGTGCTCTGGCACATTGTACGTTTCTGCGTGATGTGACTCTGGGATGCCCTCTTTGGGCTGCTCCATCTTTCCGTCTTTCTCCACGGTCTCAGCCATCCTGCCTGATTTCGCGCTTCTAGCAGTTGGGGTTTAGTAGAGTCGTTATTGTCTTTGTAGCTTCAAAAAGCTGTACGAATCGAGTCTTGCAGTATCTACAGTAAACAGCGACCCGCAGAACGAAGAAATGTAGACAGATCGTCGGCGCAGTGGAGCTCCCACAGCTCTTATTCAATTCGGTTCCTGGCGCGTGCTAAGGTCGTGCAGGAAACGCCCGAGGTGGGTTGAGCAATCGGTTAAAGGGGACCGGAGTTCTGGAAGATCACACACGCTCTGGATGTGCTTCTTCTTCTTGTGGCTTGAGGATAGATTTGGAAGAAGTTGCAGGAGGGAAGAAGATTCAAGAATGCACTTACCGTGGACCCGAGCTGCTTTGTAGCTACGGCTGCCTTTTGATGCGCTGCCATTGCTTCTCCAAAGGGAAATCGTCATACTTTGGCAAGGCGATGTACGGACTGAGGGGCAGGTGAGGGGAGGTCAGACGGAGTGGTCTCGGCGAGCGATTCCGCTTTTAGTGATGGCTGCCAGCGTTGGTGCCCGTTCGTCCGTCCGGCAGCAGCTCCAGCGCGGTCGTCTTCAAAACATCGACTGCCATTGGTGTCGCATGTGCACCATGCCGTCAGCCCAGGTAGTGCCTCGTGCTGCCGAGACTTTCCGCGGGTAGTGTTGTGCGAAGGCAGAGGCTGGGCATATACATTCATCTGTTGTGTCCGTTGGTGATCGAAGATCACGCGAGCGCGTCTGGAAGCGGCTGCTAAGCGGGTCAGGCCAGGGCGAAGAGCTACCGGCAGTTTATCCAAGCGGCGCAGCCTCATTAGCTGCATGTCAATATCAAGAAATGTTAATGGCTGCCGTCCATTGGGTGCGAGTCCAAGGGTGACGACGGGACTGTTGATGTTACTGTTGTTGAAGTAGAATGCTCGAAGATGGGATGACTGAGGAGATAGAGATAGAGTTCGCGGTTGCTCCCGTCCCGTGCTCCAATGGCCAAGTCCGAGTGCCTTGTTTGTGCGACTGCGACTACCCGTCGAGCTCGTGGTTTAAGACATATACCAAGAGTCGGGAGACGTGAATGACCGTACGAGCCATTGTGCAGGTGCATAGGCCGTCGCGAAGAGATGGAGTGAATACGACGAACAATCCCGAAGTGCCGCCGCGCTGGCCTTCACATTCCACAGCTGCACCCCGACACCCAGCAATTCTGGTTACTACAATGCGGCACGAGCGATGACACCGATGCTCAGAAGCTGGCACTATCCGCGCATACCCTGGCATAGCAAGAGGCGTGCGCTGCATCCAGGATGAACCACCACCAAGCGCTGCGATTGACACCATCCAACTCGCCCTTCTTCAAAGCATCTACACCGAGGTCGCCCACCAAGTTACGCTCGGAAGAATCGGGTCTCCGGCTGAAGAAGGTCATTGGGACGACCACAGCTTCGGCCAATGGCTTCGACTTTGAGCCGTCCACCAGGCAGTTTGCCTACACAGCTGGTGCTACGGCGGTAGTCTGTACAGTCGAGGAGGACTTGACGGTCAAGCAACGGTTCTTCAGAGCGCGACCCACGAGCGGGGCAGGCTCGAGGGAGGTCAACGGCCATGGCCCCATATCACCAACACCGACAGAGGCACGAAATCGGGTGCTTGGCGGCATTCGAGACGGCATGAATGGCTCGCCATTGGGCGCATCAGCAAGAGACTGGTCGGATTCGCCAGGCGGCAAGAGTGCAACTGCCAAAGACCGGGTGAAAGCGGCGACTTCTGTTGCACTGAGTCCGAACGGCAAATGGGTGGCAATGGGCGAGACAGGCTACAAGCCTAGAATCTTGATCTTTGCCAACAAGAGCGAGTCGAGCGAATCGCCCGTGTGCGCACTTTCTGAGCATACGTTTGGGGTGCATGCGCTCGCCTTCAGCCCAAACTCGAGATATCTTGCTTCTCTTGGCACGGTCAACGACGGATTTCTCTACATCTGGACCATTGACGACCGCACGGGAGCCGCATCTTTGCATTCAAGCAACAAATGCACCGTTTTCATCAATCGTATGATCTGGGTTGGCCAGACCTTGGTCACTGTTGGACTGAGATTCGTAAAGTGCTGGAGGCCGGCTGACGATGTTACGACTGACCGTCCTGACTCCGACTCGACCAGCAATACTGGCACGCCCAGATCGAAAGCAACCGATTTCGGGAACAGCATTCTCGGTTCGAGGCATAGAGTTCTTCCTGGAAAGAACAGCCTTCTAGGCGACATGATCGACGCGAATTTCGTGACGGCGTTGGCTCTGACTGATGACAAGGCCATCGTGTGCGCCGATTCTGGGGAGATATGCACGCTCAGTGACTGTCATAACGCGCAGACGCTTACTGCTACAGCTCAGGTTGACTTCCGCATTACCGCAGCTTCGATCAATGATTCTGGCTATCTTTGTGTGGCCGGACCAGCAGGGAAGAGGAAAGACTTCAGCTTGGAAGATCTAGGATCACCCTCGAAGGCCAAAGCGGATCGAAGGCAAACCATTTCACCATTCAAGCTCAGCTATTCTAGCGCGCTTGCGACCACAGCCTTTGCTCCCCTTGGCGATGTCATCGTTGAGCTGGACTCTAGGCGTAACATTCGTCTCTCGAGACCAGACGACCAGCAAGATGGCAACGAAAGTACCTCTCACCAGCTCGCGGCGCACAATGAGACTGTACTGGCTGTGCGAAACTTTGGCTCTGATGTCATGCCAAGTGCAGCTTTTCTCACGGCATCCGTGAATGGCTCAATACGCCTATGGGCCCAAGACGGCGAGCACGTTGCAGAGCTATCCGTACCGGTTGAGACGTCTTCTGCCATGTACGATGTAACGAACGAGCTCAAGTCGATTACCGCGCTGTCTAACGGTAGACACATTGCCGCTGGCGACAAGTACGGCACGCTCAGCCTTCTGGAGGTCTCTTCTCGAACGGTGACATGTCAAGTTCGATCGCATACAGCAGATGTCGTGGACATCGCCAGTTTCGAGCGTGTTGGAAAGCAGCTTATTGCTTCAGCGAGTAGAGATCGGACCATCCAGCTATTTGAATACTGCGAGGGTCGTCTGGATCTCCTACAAACCCTTGAAGAGCATGCGGCTGCAGTCTCCGGTCTTCTTGCCACTCAGGAAGGCAATCTTCTACTGTCCTGCTCCACAGATCGATCAGTGGTTGTCCGTGAGGCTGTCAGTCGAGTCAACGATCCCGATTCTGTCGCTTACACTATCCTGCGCACCATCAGCTTGAAGTCCTCGCCTACGTCCATGTGCCTCAAGCCGGACAGCGATGAGATCCTGGTGTCCACGGTCGACCGTACCATTAGCGCCTTCAATTGCCAAAGTGGGCGAGCTGGCTTCAGCTTCAAATGCTCAGATGGCGATGGAGGAGAGGCGGCGGTTATGTCGAAGGTCACGTATGCACCTTCGCTCAATGGCAACCCGATCATTGTGGGCGTGTCCAGTAGTGATAAGTCTGTGCGACTGTACTCGGAGTACGGCTCCCTTCTGGCACGGGACTGGGGCCACACCGAAGGCATCACGGACGTGTGCCTGCTTATGGGTAAAGAAGGCGACGGAGCAACAGAGCAGTCGACCCAGGCACAGCTTATCACCGTGGCGGCCGACTCGACAGTCTTTATTTGGGACACTTGTTCACCTGCCCCCAAGCGTAGCCCCGAGCATTCGGAAACGAACGGCACGACGGAGACACCATCCCCCAACAAGCTCTCCACCCCCATCGGACCACCTCTTCGCAAGGTCTTATCCTTCAGCGAGCTCTCCGGCTTCAAACGCGGACGATCCGTCGACGATGGCATCCAAGCCTCACCATCCGTCGAACGTCCAGCACAGCCTCCACCCTCCCCACCGCGGCTCAAGAAGAAAACCTCCCGCATAACAATGGCCCAGCCACCGAAACTAGAACCACCCTTCAACAAATCCTCCTTTGGCGGGCACAAACGGCGTAGTAGCCTACGGAAGCGCTCGCCATCCCCACCAAGCCCACGCGGCACAGTCAGAAAAGAAGTCACCCGCAAACCATCCCTCGGCATGTCCCTACGCTCCAAAAGCAGCGAAAACGTCCTCACCACCGCCTCAGCCGGCACCTCCACCGGCTTCGGCAGCCTCAACGCCTCCACCGAGTCCGTCTGCCGCACCCTCCGCGCTTACAGGAAGAAACTCGCCACTTCCTCGTCTTCCTCCACAGACAACATTACCCCCGAAACCCTCCGCGAGCTCGAGAAAGAACTCAAGCTCACCGCCCGCGTCGTCGGCGAGAAATCGCACGGTAAAAGTGGGGTCGATGAGGCGATGATGGCGAGGTTGCTGGATCAGGCGAGTGATCGGATTGTGAGTCGGTTGGATGAGAGGATTAAGGAGAAGGTGGAGAGTGAGGTGAGGAGAAGCAGTGAGGCGTCGCCTTTGGGTGGGAGTTTCGGGCACGTGCAGCATGAGTCTATTGCTGAGGAGGAGGCGGTGGAGGCGGTGGAGGCGGTTGCTGGGGCGTTGGAGAAGGTCGAGTTGAGGGAGGGGTAGGGTGGGGGAGGGAGGCGTTTGGGGAGTTGAACGGGTTGCATGGGCTTAGGTTGGAGGTTTTGGTCTTGAGAGATACCCTTGTTTCAGTGAATGTTGGCGTTTTGAGAGGGACGTAGAAGGTAGTGACTATTTGTCAAGCCTGGCAGCCAGGGCTAGAGTACACGGTGTAGTTTCTCAACATCTATCGTACAATGGCTCTATGCAACACCATGCTCGCCGCCACGCCATCGCAGCTCTTGGTAAAGAGGAGACTGTACAATGCTGCGCGCCACTCCAAAATGCTCAAATCATGCACCCACCGAAACGAACCACTCCATCACCTCTTGCGTATTCGATCAACCATTCCTTACCACCCCAACCTTCGGCGGTCGTATCACCCTCCCATTCAACGTGAACCCTTTCTGCTGCGTGTGGAAAACAACCCCATCCGTCTTCCCCGGCTGCGGCGCCTGGAACACCGCCTCATGCCTATTCGGATCGAACTTCTCCTCCTCCACACTCGGGTCCACCCTCTCCAGCCCATGCTTCTTGAGCGTCTGCATCAGGATCGTCTCGGTCATCTTCAAGCCCGAGTGCAGGTTCAGCAGGTCCTGGTTCTCGGCGGTGAGTTTGTCGGCGGGCACGTTGGAGAGCGCACGGTCGAGGTTGTCGATGCTTTCGAGTAGGTCTTTGGAGAAGCGCTGCAGGGCGAAGTCTTTGGCCGCTTGGACTTCGCGCCGAGTTTGCTCTTGGAGGTTGCGGTAGTCGGCTACTTGGCGGCGGTATTTGTCCTGGTGGGCGCGTTAGTATATCATTAAAGCAAGTGAGATTGGTGGATGTGGTGCATACAGTCACGTCGAGAACCTCCTTCTTCTTCGCCTCCAGCTCCTTTTGCACGGGATCCTCCGTTGTGGCCTTGTCTTGCGTTGCCTCCTCCGCCTTCATCTGCTCTTTGCCTGCTCCATCTGATGACTTTTCACCCTGCTTGCCTTCCGCCGCCTCCTGCGCTGAAGCATACTGTCTCCGCTGCTGTATTCGTTGCGATATGGGTGGCGCGAATGACCGGATGGCGGAGGATGAGGTAGAGAAGGGGGTTTGCGGTTGTTGGAGTCTAAGGCATTGTCGCTGCTGTCGCGCGATGGTTTGTAAGGATCGCGATAGTCGTTGTTGGATCATGGCGGCAATCTAAGTGTTTTGGAGGGGTGCGTGGGTATTGTAGATGGATGGCAAGAAGTTCTATAAAATTCATGAGATGGACGAGTCGAGCTCGGACGTCACCATCGCTAAAGTTTCGCCGCATCGCGGGTTTTCCCGAGCATATGAGTTGGTCGCGTGGCAAGATGCTCTTTTCATAGTATCCATTTCTATACCTTACATACGCCGCGGGAAGAGTCGTGATCCATCATAACGCTCAGAACGCCCGCTCAATGCCATTGCACTCGCTTCAACCCGTGGAAACTTCCCTAGTCCTCCACCTCCTCCCGCCAACGAGCAGCCTGGTCGTCTAACCATGTGTTCGACTTGTTCCGGTTGCCTTCGATGTGTGAAGCGAGGCGAGAGTCCTTGTTCAGCCTCTCAACCTCGTTGTGTAGACTGTCCGTCTCTCCAGCATCCTCAAGGTCCCTGTAGCCGATTGCTGCTCGTGGCCTGCGATTAGTCGGACTGCTCTGCGAGCTAGTGCTATCAGTCGGTAGCCTGACTTGAGATGGAAGCCATCTTGATCCTGAGGACGGTGCTAGCACGATGACGACCTTCTCGACCGATTAGCCAATACACTCCACTTTGCATATCTTCATCGATAGCCATACCTTCCACACAAACACCATCAACGGCACCACCAACAGCATAATCGCCACCTTCCTCTCCTCCCCTCTCCAGGGATCCGCGCAACTCCTTCCCCTCTCCTCATACCTCACCACACACGCATTAGCGTCATGCCCAGCATCCACAAACGGCCACGCCATATCCTTGACACTCGCATACCCACAGCACTGAAATGCATCCTGTATCCGTCTCACACACGCCGCGTCCTTCTTACGAAACAACTTCTCCCACGTCTCCCTCAACGCGCAATCCAAAGACCCTGGAGGCGAGATATGCGTGCCCGCTAACGTAGCGAGCACGCTCTCGTAGACAAGGAAGAAGGCGATGACGATCTGGAAGATGCGGGAGGTTTGCAGCTGGCCTTTGGCAGCGAGGCCTTCGTTGATGGCGAGGACGATTTCGAGCGCGATGCCGGCGAGGGGTGGGAGGGCGATTGCGAGGGCGGAGATGACGTCGGGGATGGGGAGGGAGTAGGTGTGGGAGCTGCGGAGGGCGTAGGCGGCGAGGATGGTTGGGATGAGGAGGTACTGGGTGGGTTTAGCTTGGTTGTTGTGATCGTGGCGGGTTGAGCAGACGTACGACAACGCTGATAGCAGTCACGATCTGTTTCCGCGTGAAAGCCATATCGAGTCCTCGATCTTTGTCGTGCTTCACATGCTCATGCTCTTCTGTATTCAGTGTAGGTAGAGAAGCAAAGAAAGAAGCACTCCTACTCCCTCCTGCTAGGATCGTCCTACACCATCACCAATCCTTAGTATCGTACACGCCTCCGATCAGTTATAGTAGCGGGGTACACGCCAACCCCAGCCCGTTCATGCAGTGCATATCATGCAAGCAGGGTTTCAAGGTTTCGCGCAACGCGTATGAGGAAGGCGAATCTACGATATGCACGGGGAGCTGCTGTAGCTCTGGCCGAAGCGCGCACGTTGATCGAACTATGACATGTCGATCTCTAGCGTGATGGCTGCAGGAGGGGTGGATTATCGAGTGGCATCCTTGTTCGACGTGCAGTTTGGATGATGCTGTGGAGATTGGGGGCTCGGAGGCATACCGAGTACATGCAGTACTTCGGCGGTTGTGAACGTCGATCAGATGCATCCGAGGAGGTGGTGTTGATGGTGCCATACTACGTGCTACGAGAGGCTGGGCGACGATAGCGATGGATGTTCGGAAGTGCTCAATAGCTTGGCTGCATGAGTGGCTTTCGAGGGGTCCGTTGCATGTGAAAGTCGAAACATGTTTGTTGAAGAATAGTCGAATCTTGAATCTATAAAATGCGAAAATGCTCGCTCAGAACGCTCAAACAATCCCAGCAATAACCTTGTCACACCACCACGTCGCTGAGCAGAGCCCGCACACCACCACCCTCTTTGCTCATAGCTCGCCCGTGCCTCTTGAATATTGCGCTGTAGCTCTCTCTAAAATCCCCCAGGCTCTTTAGCAACTCCTGCCGCTCCTCCTCCTCATCCCCCAACGCAACAGTAACCTCCAGCGAGCCATTCCCTCGTTTCACATAGTACTGTCCATCAACCGCATACCACTTGTCATTAAGCTGCTCTTGGATCCATCTCCGAGAGCAGCCCAGGGTCTCTGGCCACGGACAGGGGGTCTCAGGTACGCCGTGCGGAATATCGATGAGATCAAAGTCGTTAGGATCTGTCAGAGCCGTTGCGATGCGTTCCGCAAACCTGTCGAAGCGATGCATTGCTGCGGGGAGGTGGCTGTTCCCGCTCACGTTCTGCAATGCTTGTATGCAAGTGAGGCTCTGCTGCGCAGTGTGGAAGATTGCCGCCAGGATGGACTGCGCTTGAGGCAGTCTCATTTGGCCTGGATATCTGATCGCAAGCTCCAGTGGCTTCGACATGCTTTGCAGCAGAGCACTGAGCGACTCTGAAACGCCTCTCACACTGTTCACATCCTCGAACTTCGTGCTGTACAGCAAATCCCCAGCCACACGACCACAGGCCTGCAGTATCGGGCGGGCAACGATCCAAGAGAAAGCGGTTGAGAGCGCCTGTTCAACGTAGGCTGGAAACACCGCCGTGAGAAGGACATGTCGGAGGCTGGGTGCTCTGTAATCACCACGCTCGATTGTGCCCACCAGAGCCGTCGCGATCTGATCAACCAGGTAGACCTGCTGGGTGTCGACAGCGGCGCGTTCACTCACGGTCTGCACAAAGACTGCCAGCTGCTTGCTCTTGTTGGTCTCCGCGAGCCTCGGAACATACGCTCGAAGTTTGCCAACAACATATGTTGGGTCTGTTGCCGGCAAGGGGAAGGCGGCGGAGTCTGTGAAGAAGTGGTCGATTTTCTGGATCTCGTCGGTGTACTGCTGCATCGCCGAAACGATGTGCTGCACGAAATCAACGTACGCACCTTGGACCTGTGCGTTCGCGACGTCATCCTGGTGAGAGAGTTGAAGGTCCTGATAGTTCGACTTCATTGCTTGCATGAGATGTTTCAGCAGATCGGCATAGGTCCTCCGCAGGCCTTGCACACTGCTCCGCGTTTCGTACAGTGCCTTCTCGAAGTTCTCGCGCATGTTGCTGAGGACGCTGGATATGAGGCTGACACGACGGAGTCGCAGGTCGTGTAGAGAAATGGTGTACTGTCCGGATGCATCTCGAATGAACGGCAAGTTTCGCAGCAGCGGCTCGTCAGAACAGCACTGCAACAGTGTACTCGTCAGCCGGTTCTGGTACTTCAGCATGGCCTCTCTCTCGACCAGAGATGCCAGCCAGGAGCGCAGGATGCCTGTTTCCATAATGTCTACGGTCCCTGCTTCGACAATGCGAGAGAAGAAGTATGGTGTCAACTTGCGCCTCTGCTCCGTGTCACGCAGCTGGGTCCAAGCCTCGGAACTGTAGTCACTGATGTAGTTGTCTATCGTCCTTTGGCCTGATGACACCATCGCCTGAGCAGCACTTGTCCACATATCGATGATCTTGGTGGACAGCGTATCGTCTCCACTCTCGTCTGCTCCGAAGACGTTGGAGACGAGATGGGCAAGCGGCGCATGGATGACTGTTACCAGGGTTGAATCGGCTGGTTCAGATATTTGCTGCCCTGAAGCGAGTTCCATCAACGCGTCGGAGTCCCCGTAGTCCTGGCTCTCCTCGCTGGAGTTCTGGCTGTCGTCTTTGGCAGCAAACCTCTTGTCGACATCTAGTGCAGATTTCACAACCTCAAGAGCCTCATCGAGCATGCTGTACAGCCGCCTTCCAGAGGGCTCGAACAGGTCAAAGACTTGCCAAAAGTTTGATCTCTCAAGCAAGTATCGAGCGCTTGCAGCACTGCTAGCGGCTTGCATTGCCCGCTTCATGGCCGCCAGTGCGTCGATCAAGGTTGCAGCGATCTGTTGCTGATTGCGTGCAATGGTGTTTTCAATCACGGCTTGAGGCACTAGTGTCTTACTGTTGGCGTTTGCTGCAGCAACATCTTGCTCAACCTCCACTTTCGCAAGTCTGTATTGGCTGATTGTGATGCTCAGCATCTCCTTGTACCAGCATGCGAAGGGCTCAAGTCTTGTGACCTCTTCGGCAGTCGATATCTGGAATGCGGTCAGGTTCGACCAAGCGCGGACGTTGAGACGGCAAGCTTCTCTGTGCGAAGTAGTGTGGTCAACGAGACCGTCGATGAGGTCCAGTCGTAGGCGGTACGCTGGTGGCGTCGCAAAGTATAGGGTGCATAGAAGGTTGTGATGGTTCCGAAGAGCATCCAGCTCGTCTTGTCGCACTTCAGCGTCCTTTCGATACGCCCGACCGTGGTTAGGGATGAATCGCCATGCAATGCCTCCAATCTTCTTCTCACTGTACACCTCATATTTCTGCATGCCGCGGAGTCCAGAAGCAAGAAGCTTCAAGAAGACGCTGAAAGATCGATCTTCCAGATGAACTTCGAGGGAAGGCGAACGATCGAGCTCATCTAGGAACTTTGGCGAACCACGACTCTCTTCCTTGTACAACTGCGCAAGACCGCGTCGTGCGAAGAAGTCGAACATCGTTCCCAGGACAGGCTCGCATCTCCACCAGCACCATCTTGTCGCGAGCCGATAGCAACGAATCAACGTCGCGCGAACATGCTCGTTGATCGTGGAGCCACTGACAGTGCTTGTTGCTGGATATAGCTCGAGCACACGAGCCATAAGATGTTTGGGGAGAGCCCAGTCCTCAAGAGCTCCATGCATACGGCTGCCCGGGTACGCAATACCATCAGCGCCAATTTCCAGCGCTGGCAAGAGGGTGAAGATGTTGTACCAGACCGTGTCGAGCTGCGAGACGGTTTGAAGGGTGGCCACATCCACATTCAAGGCTTGGTAGACGACGCTCCAAAATGTTGGAACGGCAGCTGTCACATTCCGGAGGACATGGTAGAGGATGACCACGCCGGACACTGCTGCATCGCTGTCTCGTAGGCCGGCATCGCGTTTCGCTGCATGTCGATTGTCTTCCAGGAACAATCTCAGCTCTGCCAGACCGTGCTGAACCAATTGCTGCCCTAGTTGGTGTGAGGCTCGAGCCAGAATTGCATTGCTTCTGTCCACGAGAGGCGATTGCACCAACGGATCCTTGCCCAATATGGTTGTCTGCTTCGCCAATACCACCGCGTATTGATAGCACTGACTTGCAACTTCCTTTGTTGTAGCATGTCCAGGTGGCGACTCGAAGTCTAACTCCAGCAAGTCTTCGACGAAGCTTTGCAAGCGCTGTATACACGCTCGACGGTCTATACTGTCGAGAAAGGCGACGCATCTCGCCACAAATCTCACTGTTGAGCGGAGGAGGTAGTCGACGTTGGCGAGCACCACTGAAGCGTCATTGCCCTCTACAGGCAACTGCGGAGGATTTCTCAGGCTCTCCACTGCTTCCGCGATGCTCCTCTGCACAAACGTAAGCCCCGTGCTGACCTCTTCGGTCCACGCGCCCCACTCGAGCACCTCGCCATCCACGTGAACCCGTATGCGGCCAGCGAAGACATCTAAATCACGCTCACCGAAGGTCAGACTTGCCTCGAAGTCACCAGAGCCGATGAAAGAGCTTTGATGGAAGTAAGTGCCAGGTAAGAGCGGCAGCACATCGAAGTCTGTGGCATATCGTGTTCCGAATGGTCCAAGGCCCTGGAGAACGGTGGGGTTATCCACAGCGGTGCTGACGGTATTGCTAGAATCGTCGACGTTGATGACTGCTGGAAGAGGCTCGCTTGGCTGGCGGTACTCTCGAGCCTCTGCATCGACGCGGAGTGCAACTTGCTTTCTAGGTCGGTGCGGTATTGAAACTTGAACGGTAGGCTGGCCGGAGGTGTCCTCGCTGTGCTTGCTGCTGGGCGATCGAGCACCGCCAGCTGGACGCTCGTGTAGGAAGCGTGTCATAGGAAGATCTTTGGCCGTGGACTGCCGCTGCGTGCGAGCTCTCGCGCTCTCGGTCAAGGTCCGCATCCTGCGCTCAAACGCGGCCATGCGATGCTGCTGATCGAAGTCACTCTCTAGCATCTCCAGCTGCGCATCGCTGTAGTGAGGGGCCTGTGGTGCGTTATGACGGGCCGTCGTTGTACGATCTTTCGCCTGGGGAACTCTGTCTTGAGGTGCTGGCTGGGCTTGTGGATGGCCGGCTTGAGCAGTGCTTTCTTGGATCGTGACAGTTGGCGTTACTCTCGTCTGTTGCGTTCTCGGCCTTCGGATTGTGCTGACTGGTCTACGCTTCGTGTGACGGTCAGGCTCTGCCTTACTGGGCGGTTCCGTCAGATGCGACTGAGAGTTGTTCGCCAGCTCTGCCAGTGGCGCCCGGAATGTTGCAGGGTACAGAGCATCCTCGCCGCTCTCGACATCGACTCTCTCGTCATCATGTAATGATACAGACGCCCGGCCTTGAGATCGAGGGACAATGGTACCTTCACGCCAGGCTCGAAGCGTAGCTGTGGCATCTTCAGTGTCCTCCCTTGTAGCGAGACGAATGCGCTTATGTGTTGGAGAGTGGCGGCCATTATCTCGTCGTTGTCGAGCTGTACGCATAGCAAGCCTCAGAAACGACGGCAGCTGCTTGCCGGACATGTAGTCATCAATCTGGGCATCGACAATGGCCAGCCTGTGATGCTGGACTGGCGCCTTGGAACGCTTGGGACCAGTGCCACGTTTGCGTCTCGTTCGACCAGCACCTACTCCTGTCGCTGCTCTAAGACCTTTGCGTTCTTCCGAGAAGTCATCGGCAAATCGCTGTTCTCTATGAAAGTTCTCGGTAATTCGTGGTTGTCGCTTTCGTCGGGTGGTATCAGAGTGCTTTCGAGAAGTCGATGCGAACATCGGATCAACCCAGTCCACTTCCATCCGTTCATCGTCAACGGTCCCAGCTTGCATGGTTGTAGACGTCTGCTCTCGCTTAAAATCAAGCCTACTTTGTCTCATGCGCGGCTGGATCGGCGAGTCCCTCTGACTGCTCGTGTCGTCGCCATCGTCATCGGAAATGGCGATGATGCCATGCCTCGCTGGGGTGCCAAAACGTTGCCTCGTTTGAGCAACACCCTTCCGAGGTATTGACTTCGGTGGTGAGGTTGACTGCTCTGATTGATGCCTTACTGACGAGCCGCCCTTGTGCCCTTGTTGCGCGGCAAGGTCAATCTTCAGCCACGATGCCGGCAGTACACCTTTGATGCGCTTCCTCTCCCGCCTTAGCTTGAGCTCGTCAACTTCGCTGTCGGTGCCCGCATCTGAGGACTCGCTTGAGCTGTCAACAAGCACTGGCCTGCGCTGCTGCCTAGACGTAGACGTACGATCGGCTCTCGACGGGTCTACTGGTTCGCTGATGGTTCGTTCGACCGTGTCGGAAGAGACCTGAGGTGTGGGTAGTGGTGCCGGTGTCATGCCACGAGGAATGCGAAAGCCTGCTGTTATTGGCAAAACCTTGGGTTCATGATCTGCTCGGCCTGATGTCGGCGGTGGCGATGGCGGCACAGAGAATAAATCGTAGTCTTCGTCGTCTTCCCTCCCCACGCGCTTCCGAGATGCTGGAATGCCGATGTGTAATAACTTACGACGCTTATTGCTGCGCTGCGTTACGTCTTCCCTTCGAAGCAAAGTTTGTACGTCTGGCAGCTCTTCTTCGCCATCCGAGGAAAAATTCATCGGTCGTTCAACAGGTGAGGACTGCGGTTCAGCCGCTGACTCCAAGCTGAGTCGTACGGGTGACGAGCTATTCGCGGCGCTGATGTCTTGACTGTCGCTGTCCGCACCATTCCCAGCAGTGTTCTGGGTCTCCTCTCTGGCCGGGGTGTTCTCGACGTAGCGAATAGGACGCATGCCGCGCTCTCGCCATTGCCTCTGGTACTGGGCAAGCTCAAACATGTACGGATGGAGCTGCTTTTCATTCCTTGCGCGAAAGCTTCTGCGTCCTAGTGCTGAGCTTGGCATGCGCTCAGGGCGAGAAATGGGATCATGAAGTTCCAATACTTCGCGCTGATTTGTACCCGTGGAGTCTGCCATGCCGGTCGCGGCGTCCTGGAGACAAAATGCTGGAGGTGGCGAAACATCGCGTTCGCTCAAAGGCGAGGACGGGGCAGAGCTCAACGGCGACACTACATCCGGAGCAGGTGCTGGAACGAAGGGTCGACGCAGAAGCTGGCTTGGATTTGGAAGCTCATCAGACTCAGCCGATTGAGAGCTTTTCGGCTGTTCGATATCCTGGTCTTGGGTTCGATCAGAATGCTGTGAGCTGTTGCAAGCAGCAGTTTCAACGTCCGTGTCCAGCCTTTTTGGCGGCTTCTCGCCGTCTGCGTCGAGAGAAGGTCTGAGCACTTCCGCTTTCCTGCCGTATTTTGCCGCCACCTGCGGACGAAGCCACTCTGCTTCCTCTTCGTCCGGAGCATGGCTTCCGTGGAGAGCAATGGGCTGGTTCTGTCCAGGTTGAGTCGTCGTTGATCGTCCAGTATCGGCCTCCAGCCTGGGTTTCTTCCTGACATGCTCCGTTTCCTGCGACTCTGCTTCCAAGCTGAGGTCTTCATCATCGGAGTCTTGCACCTCTCCGCGGTCCTGCCAGCGCTTCATGTCCTCCCCGCTGCATCATAGTCCTTGTTCAACTTGAAAGCTGTGTGCTGCTGTGCAATATCATGTTTTGGCGATGTTTAAGTGATCGTCTGAAGTCCAGCTTCACGCGACTGAAAGACGCGTTGGTGGGGCTCTAAGCCCGAAGTTTATCCGCCGGTTTGGCCGTACGTCACCTCCAGAGGCTCAGAGAGCGGTAGTGTTCCAGGTTGCTGATCAGGCAGGTTGGCATATCGGAACAACCTCTAAGCTACAAATCGAACACCTCTTACTTCAGCGTACTTGGTGAACACTGACACAACAACCGCCATGGCGCAGGACCCACGAGCGCTGCTACAAAAGGTTCGCTCCAGGCGCATCCACTCCAACCGATCATGAAGAACATCTAACACACCACAGGCAGATAAAGCTGCCCAAGGCGCAGGGGGCGGTTTCTCTCTATTCGGTGGACGAACGGAGAAGTACGAGAATGCAGTCGAGCTCTACACACAAGCAGCCAATGCCTTCCGCATGCAAAAGTCCGGGAAGGAAGCTGGCCAGGCATTCGAGCGCGCCGCATCAATACAGACGAACAACCTGAAGGAGCCTGATGATGCTGCGAACACGCTTACAGAGGCTTACAAGAGCTACCGGAAAGATGAGCCAGAGGATGCGGCGCGGGTCCTGGAGCAGGCGATATCACATTACACAATGAAGGGCAACTTCCGGCGAGCGGCGACGCATAAGCAGAATCTGGCGGAGCTGTATGAGGTGGAGCTGGGAGATCAGAAGAGAGCAATGGAGGCGTATGAGACAGCTGCGGGATGGTTTGAGAACGATAATGCTGAGGCGTATGTACGCTCAGCCAGACCAAGTCTTGACCAGTATGCTGACAGTCCACTCATTGCAGCCTGGCCAACAAGCTCTACCTCAAAACCGCCGACCTCTCCGCACTCGAGGGAGATTACTACAAAGCCATCTCCAACTACGAGCGAGTGTCGAAGAGCTCAATAAACAACAACCTCATGAAGTGGTCGGTCAAAGAATATCTCCTGAAGGCCGGCATGTGCCACCTCGCAACCGCAGACGTCGTCGCCACGAATCGAGCAATGGAGAGCTACCGCGACCTCGACCCTGCATTCGGGCAGACAAGGGAACACCAACTGCTGGTGGATCTTGCAGAGGCAGTGGAGGAGGGCGACCAGGAGAAGTTTGCCGATAAGCTTTTCCAGTTTGACCAGATGTCGAAGCTAGACAAGTGGAAGACGACGATTCTCCTGCGGGTGAAAGAGGGCATCGAGGAGAAGGGTGAGGACTTCTCGTGAGCGGTTGTCAGTGGCGTGCTGCGTTGTGCGCAACTTGCATCGTCGTTGGAACCAGTGGCTTGTATGGCGCTCCAGTTGGTAGAATATCCATCCAAACGACCAGTGACGATTCCTGAGATCCCGGAAGTCCGGCTCAGCGTCTCACTGAGGCGAATTCTGTTACTATCGAAGCAGTCATTGCTTGGACGCCATCTAGGAATCGAGAGTCGGCGGAAAGAAATGATCCTTTAACTGCCTTCACGTTTGGCACTTTCCGCCTTCTCGATCACCTCTCGCGGGCTTTCCTTCAATTCATCCTGACTTCGCGCAGGTATCTGCACAGTACTCTCCCTCTGAGAGGACGTGCTCTCCTTTTGATGAGTGGTGGGAGACCCAAAGATGGCTTCGCGAATGCCCCATGCAAAGCCTTTGGTAGGCGTAGGCTTCAACTGCTCGCCAGCCTCCTTGAAGTCACTGGCAATCGCTTGGCTCAATGCTTTGTCGTTGACATCGTGATGTTGTTGGCGAAAGTCTCCTTGTCGCTCGGCCTGCTGCTTCTCGAGCTCAGGACGTAACGTCGAATATGCTGAGGCGTTGTTAGTTTATGTGTATACGTATCACCCGCATGGAACCTACAAATAAGGATACCACAGGTAGCGGCCAGTGCTACGCCTGCAGCTCCAAAACCTCTACTCATAGCTACTGGCTCTAACGATGAAGCAAGGGCGGATGATATGGAGTGAAGTATGAATGATGCATCGACATACAATGTGCGGCGACTCTCGGGGGATCCGTGCGCTCCGCTGCCGCGGTTGTCTCACAGGAGCCATTGAACATCTCACGATCTCTGTCTAACCCCAAGGCATGCACTGATATTTCTATCATTGTTGGCCATGATGCGACGCTGTTTGATTCGACGGCGAGCCAGCACGCTATCGTTCCGAACCACCATCGGAGGTTGCAATGCTACGTCGATCTACGCTAGGCATTTATCTACTTCGAACGAACAATTGCAAGAAGTCAAGCGAGACGAGCGAGGCCACATAGATGTCGAGCAGCTTCTGTCCAAGCCCACCTGGTCGGTATCCAGCCTGCTCCCACCAAAAGACGCCCCGTCACAGTCTCCAGCCATATCTTCCAAACAGTTACACCACTTGCTCCGGCTTTCCGCTCTCCCTCCACCAAAGGACGCTCAGGAGGAAAGGGAGATGCTCGAGACTCTCGGTTCGCAACTGCATTTCGTAAAGCAAATACAGAATGTGGATACGACTGGCGTTGAGCCCTTCAGAAGCCTGACCGACGAGACGGCGGCCGGGGAGCAGGAATCAGAGCTCGGAAGGGAAGCGTTGAAGGATGCCTTGGCCATGGAAGAGGTCAGAGGGAAGCACCATAGGCGGATCAAAAGAAAGAGGGAACCTCCGGCTCAGAAAGGCGAGCAATGGGATGTTCTGGACACTGCTAATAAGAAGGTGGGCCGGTACTTTGTGGTCGAGGGCGGTAAAGATAGCTGATTGCGCGGATTGTTCCATTGGAGCATGATTTGAGTACGGTCCACGAGCACCATATGCGAGATCACCACTGCGGCGACCGCGTTGACGGAATCGATTCCCGAGGCCGCCGGGCTGTTGATGCAGTTGCAGGATCGCTGGCGATCAATCTCGGAACATTCAACGATGCCACTGGCGAGTGGTCGGGACGATACTGCCACCTGGGAGCAACGCGATAAAGGAGGTGCTGCGGCGTTGCGTTCCTGTCGCGACACGTGGTCCATCGTGCTTAGCTTTACGAAGATGCTTGCCCTGTTCTACCGCGGTAAACGCTTCCCGCTACCAGGCACGACAACGTCGAGTTGTGACATTGCGGTGTTCTGGTTGTGACTGGTGAGGACTTACGCATGATCTCTCCCGTCATTTGAAGCGAAAGTTAGAAGCAGCATATGCCGGGAAAGCAGATGAACTGGGACCACTGCCGTCCATACAGCTGTCCGTTGCGATTCTTCTATCATCGGGTCGCACCCGGGCTCTCGGAGCATTGTGGCAAGATGAGTGGCTCTCTTTCCAGAATATGCAGTACAAGACAGGGTCCAAGCATCGTACAAACTAATGCTGTGCGACCCGAGGGTGTACACCCTGCAACCAGCGCCCACATTGAGCCGGGTAGACTTTGAGATCGCTTCAAGACTTCCAAATCTACATATCTAGACGTAAGTGATGATGCTTTCGCTTGTCTGGCAGACGATAGACTCTATGGTCAAGTTATCTTCACAAGTTTCATATGCACCCACGATCACCTCGTGCCCTTTCTGGTCGTACCAGACGCACACTCCCTGGTGCGAGATTCTCGTTCGCTTTTCCTCTCGTGCTGTGTGACTCGACTTGAAACGGATTGGTGGACTGCTTCTGGGATCGATAACCACAATATCACCCTCTTTCAATGAATCCCCATCTTCGACGTCGACTTCCATTCAGCCATCAGCTTCACTTTTGCTGCTTCGAGTCGACGCCATGGGGCTGTCAGGCCATGCATCGGGGACAGCTGTAGTTGGCGTGACAATTGGCATGACGGTGCTGGCTGGACTAGCAGTCTTTGCACGGTTATTTGCTAGGATATTCATCGTACACAATGCCGGCGTCGACGACGGATTCATCACAGCAGCGCTGCTGTTCTCGATCGCTACAACGGTTACTATGTGCTTGCAAGGTATGTCAACACTTCATCTGCACCTTTGATACTTGCAGGTAGCTGAAATATTAAACAGTGAAATGGGGCATGGGCCAACACATCAATACTCTCACCCTCTACGAAGCCATCCAGTCCCAGAAACCTTTCTACATCTCCGTCTGGGTCTACAACCTCTCGATGTCCTGCACCAAGTTCTCCATTCTGCTGCAGTACCTCCGCATCTTCCCGCAGGTGGTCTTCCGGAGATCTTGCTATGTAATGATGGGTGTGGTTGCGGTATACGCCTGCTGGACGTTCTTCAGTGCGGTGTTTGCTTGCTGGCCCATCTCGTACTTTTGGACACAGGTCAAGGATCCGACGGGTGGACAGTGCCTGAATCGGTTCGCTGTGTGGTGAGATACCTCGACAGACGATGGTGTCATTCGAAGTCGCTGATGTTGGCAGGTTCGCGAACGCCGGTATGAACATCGCCACAGACATTGCAGTCGGCCTCCTGCCGATGCGAGTCTTGCGAGAGCTTGATCTACCGAAAGGACACAAAATTGCGCTCATGATCGTCTTCGGTCTTGGTGGATTGTACGTCCAGTGCCGAACCTCTACGAATAGAACCAAGACTGACAAACATCCAGCACATGCGTGGTCTCCATCCTCCGCCTTGAGTCCCTCTATGTCATCTCTAAAGCCAAAGACGTCACCTGGGAGAATCCACTTGCAGCCATTTGGAGCAGCGTCGAATGCAATACCGGCATACTGTGCTCTTGTCTCCCAACATTACGATCCTGCGTTTCCCGCCTCTTTCCGAAGCTGCTTGGCACGTTCCGCTCCAACAACAGTGATCAGAAAGACGAGCCGTCGTCTGACCGGTCGGGAAGCGACAAACCGTCTGAACCTGCCCCTCCCCACCCGCTTGCGCACGGCAGCGGCGGCAGAGGAGGGAGAAGCAAGCTGTCCTTCGACGCGCTCGGCCGCGGTTTGACAGGAAGGGGTGATCCTCTGCAAAGCAGCTATGCGTACAGCGGGAACGATAGTAGTTCGGAGGAGCATGAGATGGATATTGTGCCGTTACCGGCTGGTGATGAGAGGCAGATCCAGGTCACCACGGTCGTCGCGCAGGATATTGAGAGGATCACTGATGATGAGGGAGTTCGGACAGGAAGGGGCCCACGAACTGTGAGGGCGTTCAGTCAGGGTAGTCATGGATGATGAAGTGAGGTGGTACGAATTGGCTGGCAGCGAGCGATATCAAAAAGGCGGCTTTGTATTTATCTTTACAATTCAAACACGGCATGGAACAGGACTACTCTGCCGGTACTGATTGCAAATAACTTACTGCTGGCTAATGTCCGAGCGTTCGATTGACCTGGTGTCATTGTATGCGGTATGGGATTGTATGGTGTTCAGCCTCTGTTGAAGCCATCGCTTCACTTCACTCCACGGCGGACTGCAGACCAGCTCCACGAATAGGATGGCAAAAGATGACCGACCGAAGGACCAAACAATCAGAGACTCTTTTTTCATCTTGAAATCTTGTTAGGGACGTCGACAAGCAAAGAGGTGAGGATATTTGAGGGACCTTCGAGTTTCAACGTAGTCTTTAATAGGTACACTCGCCGTAGGTATTATGATACATCTAAGCATACCCGAGCTACCGACCAGCCTTCTGAATAAAGGTCTTCTCCAGCTTTCCCACTTCCGCCTTGAAGTTCTCCATCTCCTGCCAGCAGTCCAGCGGTCTTCGGTCGTTCGTCCGCAGACACATCACCAGGCTCTCCTTCGCCTTCTCCACCTCCGGACTGACCTTCTCCAATTTCTTCCGTGACTCAAGCTTCTGCTTCAAGTCCATGATCTCCTTCTGCACGCTGTCGTGCGTCCTGTCTGATTCGGGCTTCGCGTCTGCTGCTGGGCCTGTGGGGGACTTGTAGTCCTGGTAAAAGGGCGACGAGAGGTGCGCGGCTAAGCTGTTTGGATCTCGCTGGTTCTCTGCAGGCTTGTCGCCTTCTTTCGGGGGGTTTGTGGTAAGGGAGGCTGTAAGTTCGGAAAGTTGTTTGGTTTGGGAGTTGCGAATGCGCTTGAGTTCGCGGTTGACCCGCGACTGGACTTTGAGCTCGGCGTCTTTCGCTCTTGTTGAGTCGGTCTGAAGAACAAGAAGGTCAGTGTATTGTTCGTCCTCTGCGCAACAGATATCTTCTACCTCTGGGCTGCTCTGTAGCGAATCGACCACGCTTTGGCTGAACCTCACGGGCGCATCGCTGGTCGCACGTTAGCTTTCACGTGTCAATGCTCATACTGGAGGTTCTCGTACGCATTGAATACGTGCTGCTCCGGTTTGGAGCTTCCACTTCCCATCGTCCCACCAATGCCGGGTCTCTATCGCGGTTCAACACGGAGGTGAAGTTTTGGGCTGGGCTAGCTCTAGCTTTATCCCCGAAGTATTGCCGGCGATCCCAACTACACCTTGCACGACTTCACGCGTTCTATCTCAATGAAACCAACAACATCAGGCAGAGCGAAAATGATGTACGATGCCGCAGACCTCATTGACGGCATGGCTCAGCAAGCCAGCTGCACTACAGCCACCAGCGCCGGCGAAGCTGCCGCCACAGCGTGTAACGAAAGATGACCTTGGAGAACACGACGGCAGTGCGCCGGACACTGTCAGAAACTCCTTGAACGCATCAGAATATGCGCAGGCGGATGCAGCCAGCAACACCACGGCGAGAGCTAGACGGCCACTGCCACCAAATGTTGAACTACGCGCCTGCGCGAAGGAGGATATCCCTCACTTCAAGCGCCTGAACAGCCTTCTACTCCCTATCCCATACCATGAGAAATTCTATCGCGAGATCATCGAGGATCCTCTAACGAGCAACATCACTCTGGTCGCGGTCTGGCACGACGATCCTGCGAATGCCGGAAAGCAGAAAGGCAGGCTCGTGGGAGCGATCCGATGCCGTATCCTGGCTCATCCGCCGTCAGACGGTCCAACGTCTCCAGCACGAAAGGCAGGGCCCATGCTTTACCTGAGTACTCTTGTTCTTCTGTCGCCTTACAGAAGTCACGGCATCGCCACCGAAATGCTTAATATCCTGACCAAGCGTGCTATCCAAGTACATGGCGTTACCAGCGTTGGAGCGCATGTCTGGAAAGCGAATACTGATGGACTTGAGTGGTACCGCAAGCGTGGATTTCGAGTGGTCGGAAAGGAGGATGGATACTATCGACGTCTCAAGCCTACCACTGCTATCGTGATGCAGAGGGATGTCGGAGTTATGGATTTCATGGAAGGCTGATGAACGGTTTGTGAGGCAGCGTTGCAATACCTCCCCGCAAAGGCGGAGTCCGGTTTGCTATTCATTGCACCGACTCACCCACGTTGCGCTCGCTGGAAGCCGTACACTCTAAAAAGCTCTGCCCAGCCTTCTCACAGAAGCATTAACGGTCTGAGCTGGGGAAGGATGAAAATGGCCCATCACAGCAATCTCTGTCCAGACTTCGGCCAGTGCTCAATATGTCTCGACCGCGAACAGAAGAGAAGAGCTTCACGGTATTTTGAGTACATTTATTTGCAACGCTCAATATGATGACGAGATGGTATCATGCAAGAATCATCGTCATTGTTAGTCAGTCCACCTCCTCAATAGCTCGTGCTCGGCGTATAATATCCAGGGCTTATCTCACGCATGGGCTCAACCCTCTGTCTGCGCTTGCGGATGATCATGTACGCAATACCAGCACCAATGGCCGCCAATGCCACGACGCCTCCCACCACTCCACCAGCGATCGCGCCTACGTTGGAGGACCCGCCATCATCCGACTTGCCGCCGTTCGAATCGCCCTCTTTGGTGTCGCTGGCGCTTGGAGTACCAGTGTTTCCAGCCGCCCCGGTCTGCTGTACGCCGTTCCTGTCCGTAGCCGAGGAACCACCCTGCGGGACCGAGAATTGCACCGTAGGAGTAGTACTAGGGCCTGGACTAGAACTAGAGCCATCGGCTATTAACGAACTTTGAACATCTGCAGAGCTTTGGTCATCTGGCGAACTCGAACTCGAACTCGATTGCTCCGGTGAACTCGAAGTTGGGCCCGCACCTGAACTTCCTGGGTCCGATGAGGCAGCCTGGCTCGCTGGGGCGCCCACGGAGCTCCCTGGGTCACTGCTGGCCTGCTCCGATGTGGCCTGTTCATAGATGAATCGAGTATACGTGTCCGTCCAGCAACCGTAGCTGAGGTAGGTCGAACCTTCCGCTTCCTGTGCCAGGAATGCTGTGTAGCAAATTGGATTTGCGGAGGGGCTTGTGCGTATGTCAGTAACGATGAATCTGCCCTCACATCAAGCAGAAGCAGGGCTGACTCACCAGTAAAATGGTCTGATCTGCGGCGTATGGTATGCTGCCATCATTGGGATATGCGGACGACGAGGCTTGATAGTTCTGGATGAACTTTGACAGCGAGAGGAGAGGGTACCAGGAGGTTATTCATGCTGGTATGCCTGTTGCCAAGGGCACAAAGATTGGCTTGAATATATGGAGCTGGTATCAGAAGGGACATATGGCTAAGCTGTAAAACCTCCGCGTACTTCGTAGATCTTCGTCTTATCATCCTGATCCTCAGTCGTTCTGCTTCCCAGCCCTACGCAAACGCGATGTGCTCCTAACTTGCTGATTGGAATATGCTTGACAGTCGCTTGGTGTCAATTGCTGTTGGCGACCGCTTTGATGTGCTTTTTGGACTTCTCGTGGTTGTTGAGCTCGGATTGAGAAGCGGCATTGTGATCACAAGTCTCGCAGCGGAAGCGTCCAGAGTCCTTGGCCCTCTTTCTGACGCCTGCGGCGATCTCCTTCACGCGGCCTGGATTAGCGGCGGACCAAGCCTGGTGCTGGTCCAAACCCTTCTTCAAAAATGCGGTCTCATCTTGAGCCCGCTTCCTCTTGCGGTGGCGTTGGGACTTCTCTCGACGTCGCTGATTGCGAGAGGCAGCGGCCAGGACGAGTTCAGCTTCGCTGAGTTGGATGTCGACAGCGACCCTTTCCTCGATAGAGAGATGGCTGCAAAGAGGATCCCAGGCGACTGTTGCTCGGTCCCAGAGATAGAAGTCATCAATGTATAGCTTGTCGATGATGGTTTCTTGACAGGCGTTGGAATGAAGGGCCAGCTCAGCGTAAAGGACAGGAAGAACAAGAATGCGTGCTCTTTGGCGGAAGATATGTTCTGCTGGCGGAAGGTCGATCCAGCACAGCCACGGCAGGTGAAGGAGGTCCAGAGTAAGAGCAAGTTGGCCACGACTCGGAAGTTGCGTCCGTCGACCATGCTCCTCCTCTCACTTCTTGATAATCGTAACAATATCCCATGAATTGAGAGCTTCTGTTGCACTCACCCGCACGTCGAGACTATGTCACGAGGGAATAGCTCTCTCCGCCCAATTACACCAAATGGAATGGAACTCGTGCCTCTGTCATGGACGGAGGGCGAGGCTGTTGGCTCCACGCTCATCGACTGGAGGGTTCGAATGCTGATCAATGATCGCCTTTCTATGATTCAACACTACGTGCCAGGCGGTATCGAAACGGCTGTATCAGCTATGATGCAGGAGAAGTTCGAGACGTTCAAGTGCTCGTTTGGCAGCATCGGCATGGACGTACCCAAGCTGTTCTTACCCATCCCCGACCTGCCGCCTGGAATGGACTTTCCGCACGCCATGGTACAGGACTCGAAGATGGTGGTCACCCGAGAAGAGCTCCAAGCCGTTTTCGACGACCAAGTGGGCAAGATGTGCGAGCTCATTGACAAGCAGCTGAAAACTGTGAAAGACAATCATCCCATGGAATCGGTCTCATATCTCATTCTCTCTGGAGGCCTCGGCAGTTCTCCATACGTCCAGAGCCGGATCAGAGCAAGGTACGAAGGGATGGGTGCAGCATCACCGGGTGCCAAAGGGATCAGAGTCCTCCTAGCAAACGAGCCACAGCTGACAGTGGTGCATGGGCTTGTCATGTCACGCATCCAGAGCACTCGAGGCGGACCTGAGATGTACTCAACGAGGATGTGTCCGGTCAGCTTTGGCGTCATTTGCCGAGAGGTGTATAATCCCAAGAAACACATGGGTGAAGATGTCAGTGAGGATCCGTACGACAAGCAGAAGTGGGCTGAAAAGCAGATCAACTGGATTATTAAACAAGGACAGGTCGTGCGCGCAAACACCGGTGCCAGCCAGAGCTACCGACTGAAGCTGGACATGGGTAAGGAGAGGGAGCCGTGGCGGGCCAGGATCGTGATGAGCACTCTTCCGCCGGATCGACTACCCAGCAGCCTGAAGCGCGATGGTGCCAGAGAGGTTGCTGGTATTGAGACTATACTCAACCCGAAGGATATGAAACGAAAGAACAGACATTGGTATAACTTTGGAAGAGAGTTCAACCGGGCTGAGTTTGAGCTGCGGGTGTTGGTAGGCACGGGATTGCGCTTTGAAATATGGCAAGTCATCCTTTCCTCTCGATGTCTCAAGGTAGTGACTAACCCATTCGATTACTGTCTGTAGGGCCAAGGATGGCATGCGAAGTCGAGAGCACGATGAAATTGAGGTCGATTGGCAAGCTGTTGAGGACCGGCTTTCGCAGAGGAACACCAACGATAGAGGGTTGGGGATCTATCGACGATAAGGTGCGAAGCTCTGACATGTGACGGTTTGCCACTCTTCGAAGATTGCCATATTTCGAGGAATCCTGACAGGCCCGTCGCCGAGATGACAAGGTGTGCGTCAGGAGGGAGTTCGCTGGGCTGATTGAGAAGGCTCCGAGCCCCGGAGACCGCCTCATGCAGTCCTGCCTTGGCGTCAACACTGCTTGGTGGAGACAAAACTCGTGATGGCGAGCAGAGGTTTGAGATTTAGGCGTGCGGCCGCGATGCGAGGCGCTTGAGCTCGACGAGGCACAAAATACCCGCCGAATACAATGTGCTGAAGCCTTGTGAATGGTATGTCGAGCATTGATTCTAGCGTGCCTGTGTTGTACATACCCACATACATCTCGACGTTTTGGCATTAATGCCAGTCCATTACCACGCAAAGCTCACTTCGGCAAGCTTAGCCCTGACAGCTGCTCACAAATTTTCATGAATTCGTCCTGCTTCCTCTCATCGGTCGCACCTTTGTGAGGCGTCCGTACTCCCTGAGGGTTGAAGTAGACACCTGTCTGATCGCCCGTGATGTCACTCTGCCCGATCGCAAAGTCTACCATTGCTTTCGCAGGCGTCGAAGTCTTACCCGGGGCTCCAGCGCCACCCATCTTAGTGGCAATCCAACCAGGATCCAAAGAACAGCTCTGAACGTCTGTCCAACGGCGAGACACAGCTTTGGCGAGCATGATGTCGTGGAGCTTGCTGTCGCTGTACGCTTGCATTGATTGGAATTGCTTGTGCTGGTAGCCAACGTCCTTTAGACTGTCATCGCCACCAGAGTGCAGCTGTGATGAGAGGTAGAGTAGGCGCTTCGGCTTGTCCATCAGACAGGTCAGGATGTATGGGGCAAGCGAGTTAACCGCAAAGGTTGATTGCAGGCCGTCTGCTGTCTTTCGATCCGCATTCGATGGTCCTAATCCCGCGTTGTGGACAATAGAATCAAATGGCCCGACTTTGTTCGCTTCTGTTGCTGTGTCTTTTGCACCAGCGACTGTTGACAGGTCTCCAATAACGACCCCTTCTGCCTTTGGTACTGCGTCTTTCGCTTGCTTCGCTCTCTCCTGGTTTCGGGCATGGAGAAAGACTTTATGCCCTTGGTCGGCCAGCAGTTTCGCTCCGGCCTGCCCGATCCCGTCACTCGAGCCAGTAATGAGGATTTTAGCCATTTTGTTCATGAAAGAAGTGAGATTAGCCCTCACTATGTCAAGAAAAGGTGATGAAGTACGTGCTTAAAATTTGAGTTTTGAATATGCAAATGTAAGGATGACCTCACGTGCAGGTGAAGATTGATGTGACCCAAATAGGAAGGAGCGGCCATAATACACACCCGATGATGACTTATGGCACGCGTACCCCTCGCGTCAGAGCGACGCCAACTTTACCTGAGAACTTCCGACCGCGCAGCGGCAGCACCACTTTGCCTACTCACACACCAACACCATGTCGGGAAGTGTGACACCGGCAAGGCGTCCGCGCGAGGAAGATGACAGCGATATTGAAGACTTCGAACCTTCCGTCGACGGCGAAGGCTCGGCACGGTCAACTGGGAGGAAGCGAGCTCGTGTCGGCGATGATTATGGCGAGGAAGATGCGAATGATGACTCAGAGGTATGTACAGCGTGCACTCGGTGGACACACACGATACTTAAACACTTCACAGTCCGAGCGTGGCAGCCTTCTGCCCGACAGCTTCCGCCGCTCACCCAAGACCACCGGCCGGGGTGTGGACCTGCTCAACACTCGCAGTACGGCACAGAAGCATCAACCCGGCTCGATCGTACGCGTCACGCTCACGAACTTCGTCACGTACACCAAGGCAGAGTTCCATCCGGGACCCAATCTGAACATGATCATCGGTCCGAACGGGACAGGCAAGAGCACGCTCGTGTGTGCAATCTGTCTGGGGCTTGGCTGGGGCACTGTCCATCTGGGCCGCGCGAAAGATCTAGGAGAGTTTGTGAAGCACGGTGCTAAGAGAGCGGAGATCGAGATCGAGCTTGCGAAAGACCCGGCTCGCCATGAGGACAACCCGGTAATCACCACGAGGATCACCAAGGATGGCAACAAGGCAGAATTTGCGATTGATCAGAAGAAATCGAACAAGAAGGGCGTGCAACAGCTCGCTCGGAGCTTCTCGATTCAGGTCGACAATCTGTGTCAGTTCCTGCCTCAAGATCGTGTGGTGGAGTTCGCAGGTCTCTCTCCCGAGGCTTTGCTGGTCCATACTCAACGGGCCGCCGCACCAGAACACATGAGCGAGTGGCATGACAGCCTCAAGGATATGAGAAAGGAGCAGAGGTCGCAGCAGCAGGAGCAGCAAAAGTTGCTTGAATCTCTGAAGCAGGATGAGGGCCGTCAACGACTCCAGGAAGCCGATGTGATCCGTATGCGCGAGCGATCCGAGCTACAGCAGCGTCAAGCGACTCTGGAAAAGCTACGACCATTCCCGAAATATGCTGCTGCGGTGGCGCGTCACTTGGAAGCCAAGAATCGCAAGAAGGAGGCTGAGAGAGAGCTCCGACGGCTGGAGGCCAGACTCCAACCCAATCTCCATGCTGTCCAGGCCAAGGAGGCTTATCATGAACGGGTTGGGAAAGTCGTCAGCCTGCGGCAGCGCCTGGCTCAGCGGCAAGAAGGCACCGTTTCGGATAACAGAAAGAAGATCGTCGAGATATCTGAGAAGATCGACGATTGCACCAACGAGATCCAGACGGAGAAGCAGAACAACAAAGCTGTGCACGAGAAAGCGAATCGCCTCAAGCGAGAGATCAGTGCTCTTCAGAGACACATGGAGAACCCGCCTGAGCCCTTCGATCCCGCAGAGATGAATGAGCGCAACAGGGAGCTTACCAGGCGTATCCGCGAGATCACGGACGGCGGCCGTGAAATCCAAGAGGAGATCAGGAACTTGAATGGCCAGGCCCGACAACGACAAACGATTGTGGAACAATGCCAAAAAGACCGGGAGAGCCTGCAGTCTCAGGCCGGCCAACAAGCCAACAAGCTTCGACAGGTCTCTCGTGATGCCGCGGTGGCGTGGGATTGGATTCAAACCCATCGAGACCAGTTCAAGGGCGAGGTCTACGGTCCCCCTATCATCGAGTGTACTATGAAGGACTCCCGGAACGCCAGTGCGGTGGAGTCTGTGGTCCAAGATGGCGAAAAGCTCGCCTTCACAGTCACCACTCAGGAAGATTTCGACATGCTGAATCGTCAACTTTACACCACCATGAAACTGAGCAAGATCAACATCAGAGCGTCGATACACGCCTTATCGACATTCGACCCACCACTGCGCTCGGATGATTTGCGGCAGTACGGACTCGAGTGCTGGGTCGTCGACCTTATTGAAGGTCCTGATGCTGTGTTGGCTATGCTGTGCGACAACAGCAGATTGCACCAAACCGCTTTCACTGCCCGCGACATCACTGACGCTCAGTACGAAGCATTGAAGCGAACCTCCCTGAGTTCCTGGGTCACCGCGTCAAACACATATCAGATCGCCCGCCGCCGCGAATACGGTGAACAAGCGACCAGTACGCGTGTCAATCCTCTCAAGCCGGCAAGATACTTCACCGATGCTCCAGTAGATCGCCAACACGAGGACGAACTCAATGCGCGCGAACGTGAGGCAAAGGGCGAGATTGGTGAGATCAGGCAAAAACATGAAGAGCTTAAGACAGAGGGCACGGGATATAAAGAGAGACTAAATCAGCTCAGGGAGGAGCAGAAGCGGATTACAGAGGAGAAGGAGGTCAAACAGAGGCAGCATTCGGAGTTCAACGGTCTGCCAGCCAAGGAGCAGCGTGCTCAGGAGCAGCTAAGGAATGCTCAACAACAGATCGATGGCAGCCTTGAGCGGAGGCGACGTATTGTGGAGCGAGGCGACAACTTGACCGTGAGCAAGGGTCAGCTCGTTCTCGACTACGCCAACTCCGTCGAGGCGTTACGTGGCCTACACGTCCAGCTGTACGAGGCTGAGATATTGCAGCTCGAAGCAAAGTCCGACCTTGATCAGCTTCAAGCTCAGCATGCTGAAGAACAACGTCTGCTTCAAGAGAGGACAGATGAGGTCGCGCAGCTGACGGAGGTGTCGAGGACGCTGTTGGAAGCTGGCAGACGACTTCAAGTCGACTGCAGGGGCATAGGCGAAGATCTTAATGATGCAGGGCATGAAGTGTTGAACGAGGTTGTGACAGAGGGCAAATGGACGGAAGACCAGCTCGAGACGGAGATCGAATCTGTCACCACCAGGATCCAGCTGACCTCCGGCAACGGCAATCAAAACACCATCCGAGAGTTTGAAGAGCGCGCCAGCAGGATCGAGACGAAGTGTGCGAAGCTGCGCGATATTGAGGCTCACCTGCGCGATCTCTTCAACAGAATCGAGGAGTTGCGAGGAAAGTGGGAGCCAAAGTTGGACGAGCTTGTCGCCCAGATCTCGGAAGCGTTCGCTGAGAACTTCACGCGCATTCAGTCCGCGGGTGAGGTAGCTGTCCACAAGGACGACGACTTCGAGCAGTGGGCCATCCAGATCAAGGTCAAGTTTAGGTATGACCTCCCCTCTTCTCGCTGTAAATGCATGATCACTGACTTTGCCAAACAGAGAGAACGAGCAACTCTCCGTTCTGGATTCTCACCGCCAGTCCGGTGGCGAGCGTGCCGTCAGCACGATCTTCTACCTCATGGCTCTACAGTCTCTCGCTCGTGCGCCCTTCCGCGTCGTCGACGAGATCAACCAGGGTATGGACCCGCGCAACGAGCGTCTTGTTCACTCCCGCATGGTTGAGATTGCCTGCGCAGAGCACACGAGCCAGTACTTCCTGATCACGCCCAAGCTGCTGAACGGCTTGACCTATCATCCGAACATGAAGGTGCATTGCATTGCAAGCGGAGAGTACATGCCGAGTGATCATCGCGAGTTGGACTTTGCTGCACTTGCTCAGAAGGCGTTGGCCGTTCGGAGGGGTGGGAATGTCGAGGTTGCTGGGTGATGTTGCCGTTGTGATTTGTTTGACGTTGACATGAGCGCTACAGAGGAATCAGACCTTTCCTGGGACTTCCACTGGGTGTTCAGCAACGGCTGGAGCCCCATAGCTACATACTTTGACCAAAACCTACTCCAAGTCCGTTACGAATATGCAACCCTCGCAGCTTCTTCAATTGAAGCGCAACTGCCGTGAAGAAGTCTACCTACCTCATGAATGTCCGGTTCAGCAGCACGCAGTCGTCCACCACGGAGGCCAGACGCCGAACGCCATACTGTATATTGTGTAGGATCGGCTTGTAATCTCGACCTCTAGGCAACCACATTCAACTGAAGAATGGGAGCACTCTGAGACTGTACCGAGATAACAAAGACAGCCCCCAAATCCTGAATCCAACCAAATGTCGCCTGGCCGTCGAGCGGCAGTTCAATCATGACCATTTCCAGGTTGTCCGCCGAACTTTGATTTCTTGTTTGGTTCGGCGATGGCTTCCCTGATTCCTGATGACAACGCCGAAAGAGTGACGTGCTCGGAAAGATACCTCAGCTGCAGTAGTCTTCATCGGACCGATGGACCGGCCGCCGATTGGAGAAGCCTCGTGGCTACCCTCCAGGATTTTGAATGGCGTTCGTGGTCAAGTTTGGAACCGAACAGACCTGGCAGGGATGGTATTTGGAAAACAATTTAACATTTCTGATTGGGCTCTCGAGACAAGGTGATGGATGCCGATGTTTGAGATGGTGCTGATCTTGTAGGGGAAAGTTTCGCTGACTTTGACATGAAGTGATGGACGGCAATTGTGTTCTGGCACATGTGTCGGCGATGCTATTGATGAGAGTGAGAAAACGATTTTCGTGTGTCTGTTTCAGCACCGCCCATCCGTCGGTCTGGTCGGTCTGATCGGTCTCTTTTGGAACACCCTAGAGCCTCTTTTACCCGAAGGATGACAGGCCGGCTCCTGACAAGATCTCCACGAGTCTATAGACGAGATCGGCGCCGCATCTGGTGGAACGGACGCTGAGAGGCCAGAGCACATGCAACTCCTGGTTGGATTGCGCCTTAGTCTCTCACGTGGCTTTCGACCGTGCGAGCAGCAACACGCACACTCCCTTTTCGACAAAGATCGTTCGGACAAGGAGCCGGACTGTCGCTGCCCTGGGCAGGACGCCGGGGAACACCTTCCGCGCATGCGGCAGTAGTGATCGACTGGTCCGTCTCCTTTGACACGTGGACGACATCCAGAGCGCACATCACGGCATTTCCCATGGATTCCATACCCAATGGACATCGCCTGTGTTGAAGCGTATGCGGCGCAGCGCACCAGCTCGATTTTTACTCTTGCCGCCTCTGGCGATACCCCCTGGGAGCCATGCCTGCCCGGCCTGCCCGGTACTTCTGGTAAGCCTCAAACATGTCTACATGACTTTGCTCTGCCCCTCGGATACCGGCAGTTCGTGGCGCTTGACCAACCGCTCCCTCTAGCAAGCTAGCGCCACAGTCCACCTTGAAACGAACCCCATCTCGGGAGTTGAGATCCATATTGCCTGCAAATGAACCTCATCTCAAGCCCTCACGGGTTGGTAAAATCAGGAAGGCGGGGAGGTAAGTGGAGTGCACCCAACGTCACTGCAGCGGCCACCAACCTTCCTGAAGGTCGTCAACTTCCAAGACCTGTCACTACTGGCAACAAGATTCAGGGCCGTGAAGGCATACTCTCGCACTACTGCTGCGCCATTGGGGAGCAGCGTAGTCCAGAGTCTTGATTCGTCCGCGACTTGTGGGGAAACATCATCCTTTGCATGATGCTCAAGAGGCACGCAGACTCCACTCACATCTTGATTAGGCTTCTGAGTAGCAAGGATCGGCTACCAAACAGGCGAGAGAAGGCATCCAAACTCCGGATGCACTACGTAGCACGTGGAGGCGGCTTTCTCCAGCAATACCTACTTCGCGGTCGGCGCGGCATTGGACCAAACATCACAGATGCACCTTTCTCGCCTTTCTCGCCCCAGAATCGACATCTGAGTGAAAAGTCATGTCAGCAAAGGATCAAGATTATTAGACGGCCAGTCCTGAGTTATTCTGAGATTTACCGGGTCTGAGGGACGCCGTGTTTGGCTCGGTTAAAAGAGTGTGATACTTCGATCTCTACGCCACATCCTTATCGTGGAGCCAGGCGAGCCAGGGCGAGGTCCTCCGCATACGGCGCATCCGTTGACCAGACCAAGCATTGCAGGGTCAGAAGCTAGAGCTGAACCGCGATCAAGGCCAGCAAGATCACCTAAGCCGAGGACTTCCTGATCCACCAGCTGGCAGCCACAACGGTGAGAGCCAATCTTGACATCTTGTGACTCGACCAGACTTGTCGATGTCGAAAAGGGCTCCCACGGCAGTCTTTGCCACTGCAATCTCAATAGCAGACTCACCTATTGTGCGGATCATTGCCAACCGCAGAGGTACACCTGCTCTTGCGTCGTCGGAGCTTCCGTCGCAGAACATATCCCATTGGGGATGCTTGAACTATTAATCATGCATTTGCTGGTCTCGAGCCTTCTCAGATCTTTTTCCTCATCCTCTTTGGCTTCATTTTAGACGTTTATCCACAAGCTTTGCACGGATTCACGTGGCGTTCGTTGATCACGCATGTTGACGAACTGGCGAAGCGTGTCCAGGACCGTCAACCTTGTCGCTATACTGATTGCTGCTGTTAGCGTTTACCACTGTATTGGGAATCTTGGGATCATTAGTCCGAGGACTGCTTTGGATCATTTCGAGTGCCTTAGTCAACACAAGCGTGTTTCTCCAGATTCATAACCGACTCTGTTCCTCAACAACCAGTTGGTGTGGCCCGAAATGATCCCTAACCGACGTCAAGGTCACTGGTGAATGGAAGCATTGCCGCCACTCGTTTAGATCGCATTGCCATGCTGCGCCGCACTCCCACAGAATCTGGATCTTCCACGCATGGACCACTGAAATCGGGCGAACAGGCATTGCTACTTGATTGTTTGCTTGACTCTCGTTATGTCTTTCGACACCTTTGATGGCCCTCCACCTATCGACCCATCCACCGCTACCACAGGCACATCAAGGGATGGAGTTTCGGGTCTTAGCGCGCAGTTCGATTCGACAGAACCCGGCGCTGTGCATATCGCGCCAGAAGCTCCACCAACTTCCGTTCCTTCGGGTCTCAGAACCAAGCGACCAACAAGACCTTCACGACACAAGGTCTCCAAAGTAACGAAGCCTCCCCAGCGGTCCCTCTCGTCGCCTCATCTGCGGGGCTTGACCATGTCTGACTCCGATGCCGACAAAAAACGCAACAAGCTCGGCTACCAAAGGATCTCCATAGCCTGCGGTAAGTATTGGAGAGCATTCATGACTGCGATCGCGTCGACCATTCCACCCCTCCTGCATTCACTAACGTCAAACAGCTCACTGTCGACGACGCAAAATTCGATGCTTAGTTGCTGATGCAGATCCGCATGGGCGATGTCAGAACTGCATTCGATTGAAGAAAGAGTGCGTCTTCTACCCGGTCGATCAACAGGGCACAATCGACAGTACGCCTCAGTCTGCTGGTGAGGGTGGTGCCGGATCTGGACCGTCCTCTGCAGTATCATCGTCGACTCCGCCAGAGGCCATATCTGGCACCACTTTCAATGGCTCCCACGAGAGGGAAGGCTTTCCCGTCCTCCCTTCTAACGCCCCAAGCAGTTATACTGGCTTTCCAATGGGGCTGAGCTCCGGCACACTCAGTCCAGGCAATAACGCGCATTCAAGCCATCGCAACGAACACGCGTTCAATCACTACCCTGCACAGTTCGCGCAACCCAGACCTGTCCAACGGCATCACCCCGATAGCCAGTCACCGTGGATGGGCGCGAGTGGATTCCAGTACCCAATGTCCATGCCACATCCGTCAGCAAACCAATTCTCCGAACCCAACTACTACCGTCAAGGTCTCGGCGCGTCTCCTGGAGACTACGCCCCGTTCCCCTACAATGCCACCACAGCGTCCGCGAATACTCAGAATCCATACGCGTTCAGCCAGCAACGAACGAACCAATTCTGGTCGCATTCCCAGCAGCAACAACAGCAACAAGCGCGATCGCTGTCTTACAGCCACGCAGAGGGCTTTGGGCAGAACGCGGACCCTTACCTCGGCCTGCATTTTGATGAGGTGCAACAGCCTTCGCAGTCACTACTGAGACACGCTCCGCCTGCACTTGAGATGCAGAATGCATCCATGATACCTCACGCGCAGGGCCCGCACTCTGCGCCCATTGCACAGCATCCGCATGGCTTTATGGATCAACACGCGTTTTCTTTGCAGGACAGTCCGTTCCAGTCGAACAGCGGGCTCACGTCGACGAACCCAGACTTTGGGGGAACGTTCTATCGAACAAGTCCCCAGCTGGGCACGTTGCAGGAGAATCGATCGATCTCCCCAGGCGGTACGCCCATTTTCGCACACCATTCGAGTCAGCCAGGATGAGGCTGTTGTTTGGTATGACAGCATAACACAAACACATACAAGATTACAGGCATGTTGCACATGGCTAGGGATCGGGTCTTCGGCAGTCATCTGCTCCGGGGGGGTTGACATGCTTGGCTCGGAGAGCCCTGGGGTAGCTGTGGCAGCGAGCTTCCGCGAAATGCTTGCTAAGGAGGACGAAGACCTAGTTTCTGAGCCGCAGCTAAAGCATACAACAACGGAGCGGGGGCTGGCTTCAAAGGAACCGCAAGACCACAGAGGAGCGGCCATCGACCGTGTCGGAAGCGACTGTACGACACTGGGTTGGAGATTCAGCTCCGATTTTCCGGTCACTGGGCATGGAGTAGACGCGTCGCAAGCGCCTGTGCGACTGCAAGATGCAAGGGTGCAGAAATGGAGGCTAGAACACCCGAATGGCAAGCCAATGGCACGCACAAGAGATTGCAGGGCGCGGTTGCGTTCCACGTGGAGCGCATATGGCATGCAAGGGATGGGGACAGGATAGCCGCCGTGGTGGCCCTTGCGGATGCTGTGTATCGATGGTACCACAGAAGCTGGTCTCCAGTGGTTTTGACTGTGGCTGCAGATGCGCATCCGAATGTGTTGAGGAGGTTGTGAGGTCTGAGGAAGCGGGCACAGGAGGACAGGCGTTGGACACGCACAGGCCTCGCTCGCTGAACTATGTGCTGGTTAGGACCTCTGCAAAAAAGGGGAATCGAATGATTGGGGTCAATCTGCATAAGAGAAGGATGGGCATAAATCCACGCAGCATACAGGACGTCAGTGAAAGCGGACTCTGGCAGAGCACAGGATGCCATCGTGCGCTGCACTGTGCCGGGAGCACAGCATTGATGAGCCATGCAGCAGCATGCAGCTTTTGAAGCCGCGTTGGACACGGAAGCTGTCGATCGATGGGATGTCGTCGACCAGATGCAGACCCGAAGTCGTACCGGGCGATGGCACTAGTGGCCTTCTTCAAACATTTAGAGTAGATTTACACATCATCTTGGAATCGAAAGCTCAATGTGCTTCATTACACTTTCATGAAGTGAAGGCTGGCACTTCGTTCGACGCAGTACGGCATTTGGGAGCATCACATCATGCTCGCGTGCAAGTGAACCGTCATAACAACTCAAACCATTCATGGAGACTTTCATGATCGAAGACCACCTCACATAACAGCGCACTCCGACTCATCCTTCTTCTGATTCCGCGTGAGCTTCCCATTCGCAGGCTGCTTCGAGCTCCTGCCCCCGTTCCTCCTCAGCTCCTCCAACCTCTCCCTCGCCTTGGGGAAATTATGCGCTGCCTCAAAGTTAGTCTCCACTTCCCAGAACCACACCACACTTATGATAAGTGATGAATCACTTACAAGCCGCCCGTCCATACCACTTCTTCGCCTCGTCCAAACTCGGCGGACATCCAATCCCCTGCTCAGTAAAGTATCCCATAGCGAACATGGCCTTGGCAAGCGGTGGTTCACTAGACGCCGCTTTGCGCGCCCACAGATACGCTTCCATGTCCGAGTGCTCCAGGATCCCCTCCGCCCCGGTCAGATACCACCCTGACAGCGCGAGTTCCGCTTGATGCTCCCCCTGCGCCGCAGCTTTCGAGTACCAGGATATCGAAGCGCGGTTATCGATCGCGAGACCCAGTTGTCCATACTCGTACGCCTGTCCGAGGCGAAATTGAGAGAACTTATGCCCGAGCGCTGACGCTTTCTGGAAGAGCTCAAGCGCGTATCCGTCGTCCGGCACGACTTTATTCCGCACGTCAGGGCTGGTGTTGGTGGACTCGTACAGCAAGCCCAGCTCGTGCATGGCGTGCGGGTTCTGCCCGCCGCTCTGCAGCGAGCGGTTGAGCCAGCTGACGGCTTCGCCCACGTTGCGCGGTTGGCCGAGGAGACCTTTGAGCGCGATGACGCCGACTTTGAACATGCCGGACGGGTCGCCGAGGGCGGCGGCGCGGCGGTACCATTGGACTGCTTTGGCGTAGTCTTTGCTCGTGCCGCCGCCGTCTTCGGGGCCCATTTCGCAGCACATGGCGGTGCGGTAGGCGGCTTCGCCGTGGCCGGCTTTGGCGGCTGCTTGGTAGAGTTTGAATGCTTCGCGAGGATCGACTTCCAGTCCGAGATCGCCGGAGCCGTGGCAGTCGGCGAGGTAGAATTGTGCTTCGGGGTAGCCGGCGCTGACGAGCTTCTTGACCATCTTGTGGGCGTCCATGATATATCGCTCACGGTTCTTCGCGGTCGTTCTGGCATCCGCACGGCCGCCTTCTGAGGCCAACACAGTAGCTGCTTCTACCAACTTCTTCGCCAGGATCAAAGCCTGCTTTTGATTGTGCGGGTTCGCGGAGACGTAGGCTCTTAGTCGGTCGAGCTCAGCGTGTGTGATAGGCTGCGAAGACGTCTCGATAGAGGCCTGACGCTGGTGCTGTGCAGGCTGGCCGTTGTTGTAGTTCCGCACAGAGGGTGGCTTTCCATTTGCAGCCGACCCTGGACCACCCTCCATCAACCCCGGACGCACTGGCGCTGGATGGTGAGGCAGCGAATCCGGGTTGCTGTTATGTCGTTGACCGTGCTGTTCGGGATGACTCCTCTGCTGCGCTAATGGAGCGCCCATTGGCGGACCCGCCGCACCTCTACCCGGCGGACCTTGTACCGCTTGTCGGGGTGGCGCACTCCCCGCTCGCTCTGACATTGGGTCGAATGGCGCTGCTGGGCCAGACACGCTTCGATCGCCAGGTGGTCTCTGTTGAGGTGGATATTGGCCTGGGGGATGTCGCGCGTTGGTTGGAAGACGCTGCATATTTGGCGGAGGGCCCTGGCGATGTGGCATTGGCCTGGCATCGTCCATTGACTTTCTTGGGACATTCTCTCTAGCATATGGAGGCTGGGGCCGCTGTGCATAATGCTGAGGTGGATGTCCATTAGGAGGATGCGGCTGTTGATACCTCTCGTCGTAGCGTTGTTGGTAGCCGTGGTCGCCAGCTACCTCATACACATGACCATTAGGGATCCCGCTGTACTTTTGCGGCGGGCTCTGCGTTTCTGGCAGCGATCTTGAACGAGCGTCTTGTTGTTGATCGTAGAAGCGCTCATGCTGAGTAGGCATTGGGTACTCGCCTGGTCTTTGCAGATGGTTCGGTGGAGGCGTAGGACTTGGTAGCTCTGCGATATCAGTCTGAGCATGAGTGTCAATTGGACGCCTAGTGATTTGACTTCGCTTATGTAGCAACGATGTTCCTCCGTGTGCCGCACTGTCGAAGTCAGGCATTTCTGATTCGATCTGATCGGCCCGGCTCATGGGGGCCGCAGTGACTGGAGGCGGCACACGGTGGTCGTTGTACATACCCCGCTGGCTGTCATAGGTTGGCGTCTGCGCATACCCAGGTTGGTTCTGTTGCATCGACATACCGTAAGGGTCCTGCGGCGTCGCCTGTGAATACGCTGAAGTCGGGCTCATCAAGGGTTGGCCAGGACCTGCGCGAGCGCCATGGGCACTGGCTGACCGCGGCGGTACCACAGCAGGGCTAAGTGGTCCGTGGTCAAGGAATGCCGGCTGCTGCTGCTGAACATGCCGAGTATCGATGGGCTGCATCGGTGGGCGCGGTTGGTGCTGACGAGGATGTCCCGCGTTGATGTTTGCTTGCTCGTACATCCTGCTCGCGTCACCTTGGTATGACCTGTCATGGCCGTTCATTTGCGGTTGACGTGAGCGTTCTGTCGGTTGCATGTTGGGTTGCGGGTGCCGCTGGACCTGCACCTGCTGCTGGCGATAAGCACTTTGCTCGACAGGAATAGGTGCCATATTGGAGTCTTGTCGATGTAATTGCGGGCGCTGATGAGTCGGTGGGGAGGCATGTGCAGCTTTTGGCAGGTTCTGGGTAGTATCAAACGACACCGGCTTGTGATCTAACGCAGGCCGTTCTAGCCCACGCTGCTGAATTTCTGTGGGTTCGGATCTATTGCTCTGGCTGTCGTCACGAGCAATAGCAGGCCGTTCATCGTACTGTACATCAGTAGACGCACGGCCAGCCTCTTCGGTACTACCATTCGCGGTCCCTGGCCTAGACTTGCTGTGAAGGGTCGGAAAGACAGGAAAAGCATTGTCCCACGCCACAGTCTGCGGCGAGAGCGCTTCTTGGTGCATCCTGGCCTTCTCCTTGGCCTTCCACTGCTCCATAGTCATCTTTGCTGCTTCCGGCGGCTGTTCAGGCTGAGGAGCGGTTTGAGGCCGGCCATTCACAACAGGTGGTGGTCGAGGACGCTGCTCCCGGGTCGGCTTACTCTGCTGGTCATACGTCTGCTGTTGTTGCTGTGGCTCTGGTGCATACATGCGACCTTGACTTTGCTTCGGCCGAATCGCCTTCTGCTGCTGCTGCTGCTGTGGCGGCTCCGGCGCATACATCCTGCCCTGACTTGGCTTTGGCCGAATGGCGGCCTGCTGCCGGGGTGGCGATTGCTTCGGCGGTCGTTGCCCAGCATGCTGTTCGTAACCATGTTGTCTACCCTGCTCAGGCCTTTGCCTATACCTCGGATCATAGTGACGTTCCTGCTGCGGCTGTGGTGCGGGAGCGTACCCATTCGGTGGGTGTCCGCCCACCTGGTAGTGGTCGTAGTACTCCGGCGACTGCGGCGGCGGTCCTTGCCTCATGTCCTGCATGTATGGCCCTTGCGATTGATCATATCCAGCATCGTAGGCTTGACCGTAGTATTGCTGACCATTCCGATCATACTGGTCTTGGTAATGCCCTCCGTAGCCGTTCTGGACAGGTGCTTGCTGCTGAGCATAGTATTGCCGCCGTGGAGCCTCGTATGCTCCGTTCGTGTTATACGCCATGCTTCGCAGAACGGTCCTTTCTAGCTCTTGTCTTTGCCAACCTCACATCGCCAAACGATCACTTCTGCTTTTCTTGATCCAGCAACGGGGGGTTGACGCGGGGTACTGTAGGTCAAGGCCGTCGTTGGTCTCACGCGAGCAACAGGCAGTGTATAATAAGCAACACTTCGCCCTCTCCAACGTGATCCAACATCGACGACGCCCGACGACACGAAACAAGGCGGCTCGGACGTGGTCCGCGAAACGTACGACGACGAGGATTCCTGCTTCGAAGTTGCTTGCTGCGGCGCACGCTGTCTCGAGTCGTCGGGAAATGGAGGGTGTTTCAGATTGAGCGAGCGCGGATAGACCGATAACCGGGCATCGCGTATCTGGACCGCGTCACGAAGGAGACGTGACAGTCGTATGTTCTGCTGGCCAGCGGTATTGGCGTCGTCGAGTGTCTCAGGAGGTAGAGCGTGACCGTCGAACGCGGGCTCTAACGAGGCGTATTCGTGGTTGCGCTCCAATCACATGTCAGAGGTCGATCGTTCCTGCAGAAGAAGGGTCTAAAGATTAAGCCACAGTGGCGCCGTTGTCCAATGGACGGCAGTGAGGTTGACACCGGCATCTTGGAGGAGAACGGTAGCATGTTGGTCTACCCAGGTACCACTACATCGATACATCGCGGGACCAGCAACGACCACCTTCTGGCATACCAACAACGAAAAGCAACAGAACGGAAGGATTCTGACGACCTACTACTATGTACCTGATACCAATCGACGCAGCTCTACTTCTCCACTACAGGTACCTACGGCCACGGAGCTGCTATATAGTCTCGGATGTCGAAGCCTTGGAGACCTGGAGCTTCGTCAACGAGCGTTGCCCTTTGATATGCGTTGTATGTTGAAGCACGAAGTCTTGCGGGCTAAGATGGCTGTTTCAGCAGCGTGTAGCTGGACCAGCAGCAAGACTCGTTTGATCTTTATGTTCAAGCAGTGTTCATGGAGGTACAGTAAGTCAGAAATCTGTCACAAGCTTGACCATGTCCCATCTTTCGATTACGTCGCCACATTGATGGCTGTCCACCTTGATGTCGATGGCATTTCCTTCGACCTCCTTCTTATAGACCATCGATGTCTGGAATTTCGACAAGAGCATCCTCTTTCTCACCAACCCAAGAACAGCACCAAGATGCTACCCCCCTCCACCCCAGACCACCTCAAGTCCCTCGCACCACGAGCCACCCAACCCCCCAAATGCAGCTCCCCACCCACCACCACCTCCTACAACACCCCCCTCCACATCCTCGCCCTCTTCCTCATCCTCCTCTGCGGCACCACCGCCTGCCTCCTCCCCACCCTCACGCGCCCCCACCCCCGCCTCTCCATCTCCCGCCACGCCCTCTTCATAAGCCGGCACTTCGGCACCGGCGTCCTGATCGCGCTGGCGTTCTGCCACCTGCTCCCCACGGCCTTCGAGAATCTCTGGAACGAGTGCTTGCCCCATGTGTGGAGGGAGGGATATGCGGCGATGCCTGGTTGCATTGCGATGGTAGGGGCGTTGGCGGTGGCGGGGGTGGAGATGGGGTTTGAGTTGCGGGGGGTGAGGTGTGCGTGTGCTGTGGAAGGGGTGGGAGGTGGTGATGACGAGAGCGGTCGGCAGATGAAGCAGACGACGCAGGTCTGCGCGACGGGCAATGAACGCGCCGCCGACCTCATCTGCCCTTGCGAGACCTCCGACGACCGCGGATCGCAGAGCGACAGCGTCGAAGCTCAGTCGGATACTCTGACAGCGCAGCAAGCGGACCAGCGCCGGATCCTGCAGTGCCTGCTGCTCGAAGCCGGGATCCTGTTCCACAGCGTCTTCATCGGGCTCTCCATCTCCCTGTCCACCGGGACGACGTTCATAGCTCTCATGGTGGCCATAGCGATCCATCAGATCTTCGAGGGGCGGGGGCTGGGCGCACGCATCGCTGGAATCGAGAGGTTTAGTGTGAGGAGTGTGAAGCCGTGGGGGATGGCGTTTGCTGTGAGTATCCCGTTCCAGGACGTGGCCCGACGGCTGATAAAAGTCGCAGTACGGTCTGACGTGTCCCCTCGGACAAGCGATCGGGTTAGGTCTTCGAAAGACCTACGATCCGGAGGGCACGACTGCGCTGTTGGTCGTCGGGGTGGCGAATGCTATCTCGGTGAGTGCGTCCAACGAACACCCACAAAGCATGCTGACTCCATCTCAGGCGGGGATGATACTGTACGCCGGGCTCGTGCAGCTGCTGGGAGAAGATCTCCTGAGCGAGAAGAGTTACGCCACCTTGAGCACGCGATCCCGTCTGGAAGCCGTTGCGGCGTTGGTGTTTGGGTGCGGGATCATGGCAGCGATGGCGACTTGGGCGTGAGGACCTATCGTAGTCAGTAGCCGTCGAGTCTTGGCCAGCCACAGAGGCATGAGTGTGCTCGACAAGAAAAGAAGATAGACATAGACAACATAGATAATACACAACCCTCCTTTCCTCACCTAATATACACGCCTACTTCCTCTCCCCGGGAGCAATCATCAACTCCGGCCGAACAATCTCATCAAACTTCTCCTCACTCAACGCCTCCAACTCCATCGCACTCTCCTTCAGCGTCAGCCCCTTCTTATGCGCATTCTTCGCCACTTTACTCGCCATATCATACCCAATCACCGGATTCAAACACGTCACCAACATCAAACTCTCATGCAGCAGCGCGTTAATCCTCTTCTCATCCGCCTCCATGCCTTCCACCAAGTGCTCGCGGAACGAGTGCATGCCGTCCGTCAGCAGGCGCGCGCTGTGCAGGAGGTTGCGGATCATGACGGGTTTGAAGACGTTGAGTTCGAAGTTCCCTTGGCTTCCCGCGAAGGTGACGGCGGCTTGGTTGCCGAAGACCTGGCAGCAGAGCATGGTCAGGCTCTCGCATTGGGTCGGGTTGACTTTGCCGGGCATGATGGAGCTGCCGGGCTCGTTCTCGGGGAGTTTGAGCTCGCCGAGTCCGCAGCGCGGGCCGGATCCGAGGAAGCGGATGTCCTGTGCGATTTTGAAGAGGGAGGTGGCGAGGGTGTTGAGCTGGCCGTGCGCTTCGACGATGGCGTCGTGGGCGGCGAGGGCTTCGAATTTGTTCGGCGCCGTGATGAAGTCGTGGCCGGTCATCTTGGTGACTTCCGAGGCGATGTCTTCGGCGAAGCCTTTGAACGTGTTGAGGCCGGTGCCGACGGCTGTGCCGCCTTGGGCGAGCATACGGAGGTGAGGGAGGGCGGATTCGAGGCGTTTGAGGCCGAAGTCGAGCTGGGTGACATAGCCTGAGAACTCCTGGCCGAGCGTGAGAGGTGTGGCATCCTGGAGATGTGTGCGGCCGATCTTTATGATCTTGTCGAACTCCTCTGCTTTAGCATTCAGAGCATGCCTCAGCGCCTTGAGACTGGGAATGAGCTCCTCTTCAAACTCAAGCACAGCAGCAATATGCATGACCGTCGGAAAAGTGTCGTTCGAGCTCGCAGACATGTTGACATGGTCATTCGGGTGTACCGGCTTCTTGCTGCCCATCGTCCCGCCCAAGATCTCAATCGCACGATTCGAGATAACCTCATTCGCATTCATATTCGACTGCGTGCCCGAACCCGTTTGCCATACCACCAGCGGGAAGTGGTCTGCCAGCTTCAGCGATGCAACCTCGGACGCAGCCTGCTGTATCGCCTTGCCCAGCTTCGGATCTGTATGCCCCTATAAGCCTTCATCCCCATCTCATCCACATTCTACTCCCGTGCCTACTCACCTAATCCAAACTTCATATTCACCGTCGCCGCCGCGCCCTTCAGGATCCCAAACGCCCGCACAATAGGCGGCGGCATGCGGTCCTGCGGCTGGTTGATCTTGAAATTGCCCAGCGACCGCTGCGTCTGCGCGCCCCAGTACTTGTCGCTCTCGACCTGTACCTCGCCGAAAGCGTCCGTTTCTGCTCTTGTGGACGCGGCCATCTTGGCGGACTGTGTGAAGGCTCTTGAGATTGGGAGGGAGAGGGTCGATCGGGTCGTTCTGGACAGTTGTCGGGGTGAGGTAGGTTGTCGGGAGGGCGTATTGCTGGCGACAGCAGTGGATGTGCGGTTCGATGCAGTTCTAAAGCTTCTCCGTGCTGCGGGGAGTGTTGATGGAGCTCGTAGGATGGTTGGAAGCTCCGAGGAGAGGCTCTGTCGAGGGAGCGCGGTACGCAGCATTGCGGTAGGTAGTGCGCCACTCAAGGACTATACAGTGAGGGAGATGAGTATCAATGGCGGCTAGATGGAGGTGATGCTACAGGTTGTTCTCAGGGTACCCCGTCGTCGACTTTTCGTCAATGGATCTCGGATCGCAGACCGGCCTCGGCTTCGAACGCCGAAGCTTCATGGTTGTTTTTGTAGAGCGGCGACGACGTCAATTCGTGAGAAGTCGTGTCGCAGTGACTACTATACCACAATCACACGAATGAAGGAAGAATGTTGTCAGAGTGTTTTGATAATCTCATCAATTCATACTATGGTCTGGTCTGGGATATCACTCGAGCTATGCTGTCAGACCCATGACCCTATGCTAATCCATCGAGAAAGGTATCATGAACGCAATCTCATCCGAGTAGGTAGGAACCTAGCGCGAGTCTGCCGTGAAGCAAAGGAGCAGCTCGGCTGTGAAGTTGTGTAGGTGGTGAGTCTACTTCTGCTGGTCTGTGAAAAGCTTGTCAGTATTCGCCACACGTATTTTCTTTTGATGAAACGTACTCATGCCGAGGGTGTCCTTGACGGTCTCAGCGGCATTGCCGGCCATTTCGGATGCCTGCTGCGCGATGCCCTTGCCCTGGTCGCCCGAGCCGGTGCCGGTGCCGGAGACGGTGTCGGTGGCCTTCTGGCCCATGGACTTCTCGCCCTCTGAAGGTGGTGTTAGCATGTGGAGATTACGAAGGTGTGAAGATGAGTTTTCTTACCAGGCTGGACGGAGCCTCCAACGCTGTCGGCGGCACCCTTCATCTTGTCCTGGCCCTGCTCGAGGGTGGACTTCTCGCTGTCGGGCTTCAGGTTGGAAGCGGCCTTGTCGGTGGTGGATTGGCGGCTGGTGGGGGTGTTAGTGGGTTGCCATAACTTTCCTGCTCGTGAGACACATACAGAGCGTCAGACATGATTACTGATGTACGATTTGGTGTTGGTTTGGTGTATTTGTATTGTTGGTTTCTTGAAGTTGTGTTGAGTCGCAGAGTGAGGATTTTAGGAAGAGCAAACACTTCTTATAAACACCCCCACTTCACATGCATGCGCGGTACGTCACTGCCTATTCACAAGCTTATTACCTAGTGAAGTGAGCTAGTACCCCTCTAGGCCTTCCTCACAGCAGTTCGTCCACACGTGGAGTCACCTGCTGACATGTGAGACCCAATCACAGCACTCTACAGCTACAGCAATGACCGGGATAGTGGAGGTTGGACGTCGTTCTGGACGCTTGTCCTTAGGACTGAGCTCATCATGACGATGGTGGCAGTGAGCTACGCCACAAAGTAACGACGGTGCATTCTGCCTCGGGTGCAACTTCATGAAAGGAGTGTTTTGATCTGGTCTTTTGCGTGTTGTTGTTGGATGATGGAGCGAGTAAAGTGGGAGAGGACACGTGTGGCGGCGATCGGATCGAGCCACATCGGGTGGCGGCTGTCGTCTGTGCGGTATGCATCGAGATTCAACCAGATGGTCATGTGATGGAGATGCTTCTTCTTGATGCTCCAACCAACGCCATTGCTGCTATGTTCGCATCAATGCACAGTTTTGCACGCCTAGATACACCAAGAACCCCATCTGCTCAGACCTGGAATGCCCTTACACCCTCATGCGTATCGTCCGGTTCAGTCCCTCAAAGAAGGTCGACAGCAAGTCACCAAACGACCCTCCTCCTCTGGTCAATTCCGGCGTGCCTGCACATAATTAGCTCGTGTCCGTATTTAGGTAGTGAGGAAAGGGAGAATGAGATACCCTTCATCTTCCGATCCGCCACCAGCGCAATCAACGCCGCCCCCACCCCGCTCCCATCCTTCGCAATCCCAATCCGTATCCTCTTCTCCCCCTGCGGCCCAATCTGTGGCACCTCCCTCAGCGCCTCGCGGATGTACTCTTCGAAATTGGGGTAGAACTCGACTAAACTGCCATCAACACCGACATCCACAATCCCGTCCGGCGCGCTGGTTTCCAGGCTGTTCGTCGTGATGACGACAGCGGCGATGGCGACGGCGGACAGGCGAGCAGCGCGCTTGCCGATGGCGGCGGCGATGAGACGGACGGCTTCGGCGTCTTCGGCGCTAGGGGCGGAGACGCCGTAGTCGTGGTCGAGGGTTTGGCGGGTCGTTTTGAGGCCGGAGGCGGTGTCGCCGGAGGTGATGGAGAGGAAGGACGTGTCGAGACCCCATTGCTTGTATAGGGACGAGTCGGGGGCAATGGTGGTGGTGCTCGCGATGTCGTTGCGGCTGGAGTCGTCGTCTGAGAAGAGCGGTACGGTGGGATCGTTGACCAGGTCGATGAGGGCGCGCCGGAGGATTTCGCCTAAGAACATCCCGCTGACGCGCTTCTCGAACATCTGGATGCCGGGGTTGACGGAATCACGATCGAGGCCTTGGTCGTAGGATGTGTCGGGCAGCACGCTCATGTGGTTGTCGAAGCTGCCCCATTCGGTGTTGACGATCATCTGGCCGGTGCTGTCGTCGATGTCGCCGGCTTCACTAGCCTGAGCCTTGAGCTTGGTGATCTTGTCCAGCTTCTCGACGTAAGCGCCGTTCGTGCCTGTGCCGAAGATCGCACCAAGAAGTGTACCCTCCTTGCCAGGGCTGGTGTACGACCGAGCCATGAGTGTGCCGACAGTATCATTCACCAGCGCAGCCACCCTAACCGGTAGACCAAGAGCATCAATCTCCTTTTGCAGCAGCGCACAAACGTCCTTCCCAATCGTATCCCCAATATCAAACCCCTTCGTCCACCGAATCAGCGTCCCCTTGTTAATCCCATACTGCTGCACAGGAAACGAGAAGGTAAACCCAAGACTAAACACCTGCTCATCCCTCGCCGCGCCGAACCCAATATAGCTCGCCCTCCTCTCCGCATGACTCTGATAATGATCCTCATGATGCACCTTCAAAAACAACTCAATCTGCTTCGCCAGAAACGAGAACAACTCATGACTCGTCTTCGCCACCATCAGCTCCTTCGGAATCGCGACTTTGCTCTGCGTCAAGCTGAACGTGCTATTCCCATGCAACTGAATACTGCAGACCCTAAAATTCGTCCCTCCCAAATCCACAGCCATGTACAGCCCTTTCTCCGTCCCATTAGGCACCGCAGTCACGTACGTCGGGATCTGGCTCATCGTTGCGCCTTTCTTGCCTAGCCCTTCGTCCATTTGCTGGATAAAGGCTTGCACGCCGCGGTTCACATCTTCCTTGCTGTACTCGAATTCCGCGGCGACCCGCTCGGCTGCGGAGGCGAGAGCCATGCTGCGCGGGGATTTGCTGAACCAGGAGGAGCTGGTGTGTTGGGAGGGGACGCGGCAGTAGAGGTCTTGGATGAAGGGGTTGTAGGTCGGTGAAGGGCAGGAGGGCGGTGGGAGAGGCGGGCGCGAGAAGAAGAGGTTTTGGAGATGTGGGAGGAGGAGTTGGACGAGGAAGAGGGCGAGGACGAGGAGCAGGCCCGGGAGAGCAGCGGTGGGGGAAGGGAGGGTTTGGCGTCGAAGCCACTCGCGTGCCCTCTGCTTCCGGCCGCCTCGGAGGTCTTGGAGGAAAGGGAGCTCTTCGTCTGGTCTTTTGAGGCCTTCGCTGTGCTGGGTAAGGTTTGGTAGAGACTTGGAACGATTGCGGTATGCCAGCTTGGAGGAGAGATGGAAGGGGAGCTGTAGCAATAGCAGCTGAAGAGCGCTGGTTGAGCTTGGGCGAGATCGAAAGATGGTGTTGGTGATCCAATCCAGCCATCTGGGAAGTGCGGGGTTGGGTTGTGGAGTGCCTCGTGCAAGCTCGTGGCCCGGATCGAATGTCTGGATCTGATCATTTTTTCGTTCGATGCAACACAAGATCAAGGAGGCGTTTCTGATAGTAGGAGATGGCTCTGATAGACGCGTGGGACATTCTCAATAATCATGAGCGTCACTTTCGTTCTTGCTCAGCCCAATCGCCTCGTCCGATCATGCAATGCTATCATACAGCTTCGGCTTCAGTCCATCTCATCTCATCATTTCCTCCCAACCCAGCAACGCCAACGCTATGCAACAAAGTCCCCGTCCAGCGGTTCAAGCAGTTCAAACATCCCTCCAACTCCCCTGCACAGGCTTCCTCCCAATCCCACCATAAGGCCCGCCCTGCTGCTGCACCGGACTTACCACGCCAGGCGCAGAAGTATGATAGCTCGGCGCCACACTCGGCGCATGAGGCTGCTCCGTATACACCGACGACGCCGGCCGCGTGTGATACGTAGGCGGGTACATCGAGCCCGGCCCTGTCGTCGAAGTAGTAGGCGACGTCACGAACTGCTGATGCGCATTGTAGTCGTGATAAGGCCCCGCCTGCATCGCGCCCAGATCGCCAGCAGTATCCTGCAGTGCGCTTTGCCCGTAACACCGCCCTCCGCTATCCCGCTGCTTGTTCAGCAGCGACTCCTGCTGCGCGGAATACTGGTCCATCTTCTCCATCTCCACGTCCTCCTCGTTGTGCACGTGTCTGCTATGCGCCTGGTCCCAGCTCGGCATCGCAGGCAGCGCGTCTTCGTTGTACTTCCCGTCCTTCGTCGGCGCATCGAACGTCGCTGTCTGCGGGCCTCGATACCCGTACCCGGCTCCTCCGTACATCATCGGCTGCGCGGGGCTCTGGTATTGTCCGTACGGTTGCGAGGGCGGGGCTTGTTGATATCCATCGTTCTTTCGTCTGGGGGAGGGACAGCATCTGTTGCAGCAAGAGCAGATACCGCAGCAGCATTCCATGCCGCAGCAGAGGCAGCGCGCGCAGCACCAGATGACTGAGATGACGATGAGGCTGCCGATGATTATGCCGACGATGACTGGCCATTTGCAGTAGGCCTCGCTCATGCAGGAGTCCCAGCTACGGACAGAGGGGCAAGAGATTAGCGAATGTCTCAGCTGTCAATGTTTGGGTTTGATACCTGGAGAAGGTGTTGGCTGTGTTCGATATGTCATCGCCTATATCGCGCGGTCGCAGCAGTGAGGGCGACATGGTGTTGTAGTCCCGTTTCTAGCGATTGTGTTCTTCTCGACGTAGACTGCCGCACAGGTATATCGCAAACCGCGGTGGCTGGTCGTACGTTGGTGAGGAATGCGCTTCTGCCTCGCCCAACTGCTGTCCCCGTATGTCGAAACCGGTATGTAGCGAATGTGCTCTCTCACGCGACTCTGATCACAGTATCGAAAGAAGGGAGGTCGTGAAAGAGTGCGAAGACCTGCTTCGTCTCCTCAAAAGTGTCGATCATCTATTCTGAAACGCGGACGCCTTCTTAGTTGCGTGTTTGCGGGGCTTGGTTGTTCTTGGTCGTTGTCGGTGGCGCAGTGCAGCCGACCACTCCACAGACTTCGCACGATGATTACGAGGACGGTGGGACTGAGAGGAATATTATTGCGTTGATGACATGATCACAGAATTGCTTTCTACCTGCGTGGGCATACGTGTGTACATACCGCACCCGGCGACCCGCGGTGTGCTTTCCCTAGCCTGTCTTACGCCAGCAACACCTCCCCATCCTGTGCACGCATGCATTGCGTTGCCATATCCTACCCACCACGAGGACGCCTTCACAACCCCTCCTCCATCCCAACATTCCGCCACCAAGGCGTCTTCCCCGTCTTCTCATCCATACTATTCACCATCGTCTCCGCGTCCCCCACCTGCCTCCGCGCACTCACCTCCCTCTTCCGCAAATCCCCCATGCCCCCCTTCAACCGCATCCCCTTGCTCGCAAGCGTGAGGCTGGCGCTCCTGTCCAGGCCCCCAAACTTGCTCGACCCGACTTGTTGCTGTCTCCCGACGGGCGCCAATCCTTGAGATGAACGCGGGTCGGCTGCTGCTGTGATCGCTGCTGGTGTGTTCTGAAGCCATTCATCTCGATTGACTGGTCGTTGTCATTGGAGCGGCTCCGAGGAGGAGGAGAGGCGGTTAAGGTGGAGGTAGACGTCTGTGCCGTACCTAGTTACCACCAATGTCAGCACATGTTGTCCACATATCGGCTATGAGGATCGGTCAACTCACCCCTCCATACTGATCATCTTCAAGTCCCCACCGAAATATCTCGCATACAACCTCGATATCGGAAGTCCATACCCGAACCCAGCCATCGGCGCCTTGAAATCACTCTTATTGAAATCAGGATCCAGATTCGGCGTCTGGTCGACGGTGGTGTACATGTACGTCCAGACCAGAGGTATGCTGCTCCGCGGGATCCCGCCTCCCTCATCGCTCACTTTTATTGTGATATCTTCCCTCCCTTCACTCACAATCACGTCCGTGGTCGGGAACTCCTCTTTATCCTGCCCGTGCGTCTCAACCACAGCTCGTAAGCTGTTCTTGAGCGTCTCGAACAGCATGTGCGAGAGATGGCCGGGCACGTACATGAACTCCAGGTTTGGGTCGCAGACTAGTCGTACTTTGGGCGCATCAAAGAGGCCGTAGTGGTCTTCACACACGAATCGTGCGTTCTCGATCGCTTCTTGCGCCAGATCTCGCACATTCGTTTTGGTGCAGATGATGCCGACGTAGTTTGGGTCTGATTGTGTCCGTTGGTCCGTCAGAGCAACATGCTGTCCGATCAACATCCGGATGCCTATTCGTGACATGTAGAATCTATCCAGGAACGCTTGTATGCTGTTGTCGATCTGCATGCGTTGTCGTTTGCGCTTGTACTCGAGAATACCTTGCGCAATCGTCGTCACTACACCGTCGTGCCGCCGCTTGATCTTATCCAGCGTATTTGAGAATTTAGTGTTGTAGTCATTGAGCTCCGGAGGCCAGTCTCCATTGCCGTCTTCGGTTGCTGCATAGTATCTTCGCGCTTTTGCTGCTGCTGCTTTCTCGTTGTCTTTGTCTTGGTGGCCGCCAGACTTGTACTGCCCGGGCTTGACACTGGGGTTCGAGTGGGTTTCCGACAGCACGCGAGATCTTCGTCCATTGTCCTTTGCAGGTTTCATAAGTCGTTCTCTAACCTCGCTCGACAGGCTGGGCTTCTGGAGCTCGGTGATCTCCTGAATATTCACATGAGTCACTCGTCCCATCTGATCTGAGTCTGTACCGAACGCACCTCGAACGACTGTGCATACCAGTCCCGCACCCGCTGTATACTAGGCATCTCGTTCAAGCCATCTGGAAGCTCCCCAAGCTCTTGTACCCTGTGAGCCAGCCGTATGGGCAGCTCTTCTGACAAGAACTGCGACGCTCGGAATAGTGTGCCAGTGGATGGATTCGAGCCGAACTGCACCATCTGCCGCAGGCTCACGCCAGTCGCTGGGAAGGCACTGAAGTGTTTTATGGTGGAGGCGAGCTCCGGTCCTACATAACGAGGTTTACCATTAGCATCGATTCATGTGATTGTGTGTGACTGTTTCGTCCGGTCATGGCTTACCCAGCTTCCACGACATCTTGCAGCTTCAGCAGGCCCTTGGGCCTTTGGATGGGTTGGAGAACAAAACGAGTGGTCTGTCGCAGAGTAAGAAGAAAGGCTTGTGTGTGTGTGTGACACTCCAAACAGTCTCACACGACCCCAATTGATGTGCTGCTCGCTGGAGCTTCTTCCCCAGGTCCGAGAATGACTGTCCCGCATTGGGCCGAGGCTGGCGAGGAAAGGCAGTTAGGACACGGTCGGGTGAATTCGGCTGAGGTCGGAAGTCGAAGAACAATTACTCCACTGACTAGATGCCGCAGATGGGACGAGTCTTGCCAAAGCCAGATGAGACGGACAGTGACAACACCACCTGTGCATGGTCCGCCAGTCTGAACAACATGAACGTCAGTAGATCGTTGTGTTTGACCAAAGTTGTTTGGCATGTGACAGTGTCGAGAGGCTTGGCAGAGTGAAGTGCAAATAACCACGCCCTTCCCAGAGACGTCGGATGTTCGCAACACCTCTTCCTTGATCGCTCCTTGAACATGCGTCCTTCTAAACAGCACCGCGAGGTCACTGACATCCTCAGCGAAGCTGCCGGAGATGCCTAAGTTGGAGACGCTCTTTTCTCCCCGGTGGGCCGGAGAGATTGTTTTAGCGGCCTCATGGCATGCTCGATGCTACTTACGACCACACGCCGGAGGACTGTACCACCTGGGCATGCACTGAATTGCTTGGTGGCGAGCCGTGAAGGCGATTGATCGCGACACGTTGAAATGGGAACATCAGCTCGAAGCCATAATGGACAGCGGCTGCACCAGCAAAGCAAAACGACGCGAGCGACGGGCCAAATGCTCCTCGAACTGAAACGCGAGGACGATGAGACGTCCAAGTCTTGCCACCGTGGGGACACCGATCTTGGAGACCCCAGAGCTAAGTGCCCTAAATCAACACCTATCACTGGCAATGACCACACCCAGCTAAGCAGCGTCAACCCTGCCGCCGCGGTGCTGAGCAGTGAGCTCACGGGTCCGGGCATCATCAATATACAAGCTCTTACGATCCAGCTACAAAGTCCAGTTAAAAAGCCGACATGCCGCTGGAGCTTACTGCTGCCGGTCCCCGCTCAGACTCACGGCTCACACAGGATCCCAGCGCTCTCCGCGACACGGCTGACGGCACCATCGAGGACCGGATCCTCAGTGCGAGAGTGCGCAACATTACGTCGAGGACGCGGTTCGGAAAGGCCACCCCGCAGAGGCCGCAGGACAGTACTGGTGGCACGTCTGGGCAAAGGGTGATGGCATAGACGTCCCCACGCCTGTCTCTGAAGAGTCGACTCCTCCCTATCAAGAGCCAACACCACCGGCACGTGTACATGAAGAGTGGCCGACCCTGTCAGGCCCGCAGCCATCTTACTCACGCGATGCTCGCTCGATGATGCCTTCTGCGCGTATTATGTCGCCTTTCCTTTTCATTTAGTGGGCTCGACAGTATCAAAACTCGACTCACGGTGTTCGCTTGACCGCAGTGTTTGCAACCCTTCCGAATTATGCGTTTCTTCTCCATATCAATTCCCCATATCGAATACCTGCTAAACCGGTTCGGCGAGCGGACCTGACAGGAAGCACGATGTTTGTTCTACGTATGATGTGGCACATTGCGGTTTGTGTTTGCCCATGGATCTTACGGCACGGGCAGCTGGCTCGTTGATGCTTAGAGTCAGGATCGGTCATACCTAGTGCAAGTTGCTTGCCACACCATTTTTCAAGTATGTATACCTACGTCCTACCCTCACCCAAGCCTTCAAACAACAACCACTCACACTCACACTACTCTGCTCGGAGTTACTATTCCCGACATCATCACCAGACTCCCACACAGCAGATTCGATTACTTATACACATATTCAAATAGTGATCGCCAATACGAACGTATACGATCCACGTACCTCCACGGAATCGCTAATAAGCTGAAGCACACCGCTGAATTCTTTCGACTCACAGTACCGATGTGCATCCGTGTCCGTGTTGCCTGCCCTGTATGTGAGCACGAGAAGGATGTGTCTTGGGAGAGGAGGGGCTCGCTATGTGATAGCGCTAAGCTTCGCAAGCCTATACGGCGCTGTGCTGACAAGAAGTGTGATTGGGAGGTGGATCCAGCCATTTGCAGCGAAGTCTGCGCCCAAAATGCAGCCAAAGCTAAGTCGGCTGCTGCGGCTTCGAGTGCACGTCAAGAAAGCGCTCCGACTGCCAGCCTGAAGAAGTCCGGCTCCACCCCGGAACGACCGCCTGCTCGTCCTTGGAACATCAAGACACTGGTAACCTTCCGAGACCCAGAGATACCTAAAGAGTCTCTCCCAGACTACCTCAAAGCGGCAGAGCAGGATAAGTGCATTCCCATAGTGGTCCAGAACTATTACGAATATCTCGACAAGATCACCGTTCCTACTGAGACCGCCCTCAAGAGTCTTCAGGCACATCTCGAAAGCCAAGGCTTTAACCTCAAGGTCAATGCATCGAAGGGAAAGGGTGCGAAAGGTAAGGCCAAGGAAAACAGTCCTGCCACGGTTGAAGAGCCGGCCGAAAGAAGAGAGCCGGAAAGCGAGCTCCTCTGTCACCAATCAGGTCTGGACGAAGTACCAGAGGATTGGTTCGACGAGCCGGCGGAATTGCAGCAGAGTGAGAAGCAGCAAACCCTACCCCCTGATCACCAAAAGCCACGCGTGACACCAAGTCCGAAAGTCGAGACGGACAAGACGAGCGTTCCACAGAAGGAGAGCAGCCCACGATTGAGATTAGACAACCTCGATCTGGCTGATGGGAAACGTCCCCCTGTTGGACCAAAGGCCAAAACCGAGATGAGGTGTGCCTCGTGCGGCAACATAGGTCATCAACTTTCTAATTGCTGGAATGCGCATCCGGAGCTCAGACCCAAGAAAGGCAGCCACAAACCAAAGGATAAGCGGCCAAACAAAAAGAGAAAAGGTCAAGAAGATGTACGACTGAGAAGACAGGGGGAAGAAGAGGAAGAACGGCGGAGAAATATGTATGAGAGGCAGGCGGGTAAACACATAAGAAATCTCTGGATTGCTTATTGGGGCGAACGTCTCCCGGCACCGACTTGGTCTGTAGATCCAATCAGATGCAGCTATTGCGGGAGCGACGAACACAAGAGGGAGGCTTGCAGTGTCAAAGCAGCTCAGAACCGGCTTACCGAGGAGAAAAACACTCGATCGATTCTCGTGGATTCTTGGGAAGAGCTTGTTCCGCATAGCGTCTTTGACGGTCAGCCGTTCCGTGATCCGAACATATGGCAAGAGGATCCACACGAGTACGTCGCGGACGCGGAGAAGAATGGCTGCATGAGAACAGAGGCCTGGCACTACTACTGGCACTTCTGGGTACAAGTACGGCCGCCTCCCAAGACAAAGCTCACCTGCACTGAACTGTCTGACGATGTGCCACCATTTTATCGGGCGCCAATGCCTTCTGCAGAGAGTCTGGAATCGTGGCTCCGCTATACTCGAGAGAAAGGATACCCCGACAAAGCTGCCAAAGATCACTATATCGACCCTCTCAACTTCCCATTACCAGGGTTGCCTTCCCAGCCCGGCTCTGCCCCTCCGTTGAGCGAGCTAGCCCGAGCGACATATGGAGCCATAGGAAAGGGTCTAGGTCCCTCTCCGTTAAGGTTTTCTGAGACCGCCAGTCAAACTCTTTCGACGGAGAATGACAGTGGATCTGAGGCGTCTGATTACGATGATAATTGGGAAATCCTACCTGCAATCGTAGAAGACGGTCTCCGTCGACCCGACTTGCGATATTCTCTATACAGCTACACGCGATATGTTGAGGCCCAAGGTTTCAGTAGAGAGCTTGGGCGCGAACTGTGGATCACCGCAGCCGTGCCCAACATCAAGGCGAGGATACAAGCTATACTTGCCGGACTTGATCGGACGGATCACGACAACTATGCACGGCTGGATGTTCTGGAGGACAGAAATCCATCGACGACATGACGAAAGCTTGTAGGTTGGGCGGTACTCAGTACCTGATTCCCTTCTCTTGCCATCTTGGAACTGTTGCCTTTCTCTTCTTTCTGCAGCTAGCTTCATATGACTTTCTATTTGCCTTCATTCGACGTGATACTTGCTGAACTGGACCTCAAGACTCCGGGCGAGCTTGTCTTGGTGAGTGTGCATGCCCAGCAGGAAATGCTTTCAACGAGTTGACCGACACACGCGAGTCGGACGGCTTGTAATGCCTGGGAGATTCTGTTGTTTTCCTTGCACTTTGTTGCCGCAACCCTATGAGCACTTCAGTCTTGTTTCAAGTATTTGTGTATCACTTTGTTCAACATCAAAATCATTCCCTACATATCGGCGAAAGAAGGGAAAGCTTCCACAGTGATGGCAAGGCCGACGAGGTTGTAGTCGCACGGCCAGGTTTGCTCCGTTGCAGAGTCACCGATGATTCGCACGATGCAGCTTGTTTGCCTTGCCAGGAGCATTCGAGACATAACTCGAACTAGCTGCATCGGAAGGCTATGCTGAACGAACTTCGCCGTCAGGATCATTGCAGCAATGTGCTAGCGAGTCCGAAATCATTGCCCAAAATGTGGCAGCGACGTAGAATTGCCCATAAACAGCGAGGGCACTCTGTGCGATATGGCCCGCGAGCAGCAGAATAACGTACCATGCACATCACGGGGTTGTACATGGGCTACCTTCACTGTTATTTGCAACAGCTGCTCAAAAGATGCACTTGAGTCATACTTCAAGGTTTCGCCTGCTCGCTCTTCAAGAAACCTGAGGCCAAAGAAGACTCCTGCGCCGACTCGCCAACCCAGCCAGCAGCCTACTGCGGAGTCTACGGAGGTCGAACTCTGGAATGCTGGCCAACTTGGATCGGAAACTCAGTGCAAGGATCCGAGCGTCAACACCGTTGAGGAGTTTCCCAGCCGCTCTCTAAAGGTTGCTGGGTGTGGTCACTGTGGTAGACCAGATCATCCTCAGGAGACTTGTAGGCTTGGACCGGCCTTCGAGAAATTGGTAACGGCGGAAGACACGCAAACAGCTCTTTCGATGTCAACTGCAACGGTGTTCCCATACCGCATTTCGGACGGCAGGCTGTTTCGCGGCCCCGACGTAACACGAGAAGAGCCAGACGACTATGTTCGTGCTCCGAGTAAGTATGGTTGCACCAGACCTGCGGCCTGGCACTACTACTGGCACTTCTGGACGTAGCCACAGCCTGCCGAACATGACGCATGAGTACCGACACACGGCGATCAGCATCGGTCGTCGAGTGGTCGGGGACGGTTTCGCGTATTGATATGCGGAAGAGCTCGCCGAAATCGAGTAGCCGGGAGTCGACACGGACGATGCGCTGGAGATATCGGCCAGGAGAGGCGGCGAGGTCGGAGCGAACCGGTGTGGAGTCTCGCTGGATCTCATCAAACGTCTCAGTAGCCGTACGGTCGATTCGTTTCGTCCGCTGAGCAAGAAGTGGCACAGCTTCTTCGAGCTTAGCAGCTACGACAATGGAAAGGGGCAGGAGAGAGGCAGAGAGGAGAGGACCAACAGCGTGGTCGTCGAGCAGCAGACGGTGCAAGAGGAGCGAAGGATGGCTCCGGCTTGACGAGACAACGGTATCACGGGCTAGGATCGTACAACAGCGCGTTCGGGGGCACCGCAAGCGGCGAGAGGTGGCGAGCAGGAGACCCTAGCTGGGGAGCCGGGTCGAACAGAACGAGGCAACGAAGAGGAGGCGGAGGAGAAGACGAGGAAGGCGGTGCGGAAGGTGTTGCAGTTTGCGGGATTCTCGTTCCGGTCGAAGGAGCAGGGGAAAGCATTACGATGGATTCTGTAGGGAGGGTCGAGTACGGCTCTGGCCGCGGTGCTCCCAACAGGTGGTGGAAAGAGTATACTCTTCATGGCGCTCGCGTGCATTGAGAGCCTGGGGGTGGACGATCGTGGTGGTGCCGTACCATGCGTTGGTCAACAACTTCGTCAACAACTTGGTCACGACCGCACGGCGGGCCGGCATCGACTGCGTAGAATGGCGACCCGGCGAGGTGAACCCGGCGGCATTGGTATACGTTAGTGCAGACTGGGTCCGGCTGACCGGGTTTCTGGGACACGCACAACTACTGCAGGAGACGGATTTGCTGCGTCGTGTCTTGATGGACGAGGGTTCTTTGGCGTTCACGGCGAGCGACTGAAGGCCGACTAAAAAGATATTGGACAATCTATACGTTTGTTAACGTCGTTCCACACGTGCATTGACTGGTTCTATACACGGAGTGGTCTAGGATTGGGCGAGCGGAAAGCTTGGCGTACCCCTTCGCCGCAATTATCCGACCGTTTTGCTCCAGCTCTTCACATTCCTCCTGCCTGCTCTCCCAAGTGAAATAGGTGCTCCAAACACGAAATACCTACCAAAACCGGCTTTAAGCAATGAATCAGTACTTTCTTATATTCGTTACGATATTTATTGTGGACTTTCTCATCTTGGAAGTAGACCAATATATTACAGGCGAGTATAGACTCAGTACCTTAGCTTTACTGAGTCTGGGAGTATCCAATATAACGCTCATGTTTTTATTTGTAGTGAAAAAAGACAGAAACTCGGAAGGGCAAGCATGCGACGATAGTAGGAGACAGCAGCAAGGAGACGGAGATGAGAGAGCGATGCTGAAAAGTGATCAAACAGAAGCTGGAAAAGGGATACTCAAAGTCGCTGCCATCGATGAGCAACCTCACCTGGTGCCACTCCAGGCTGGAAGACAGCGATCAGGAGGCGGAGGTGGAAGAGCGGCGCCGGAATATGCGGTAGGAAAAGCTTGGAAAGGATCACCTCGAAACGCTCACGTCGATGGGTAACCTCGGATCATCATACCACAGTCACGGGAACAGCGGGAAGGCGGCGGATTTTGAAGAGCGATGCTATAAGATAAGGAAGGAAAAGCGGGGAGAGGACCATCCTGAACGCGCTCTTCTCAATGTGTAACCTCGCGATCATCCTGTACTCCATGGATCGGCGTGCTTCTGCTTGCTTCTGCTTCACAGCGTTTGGAGAAGAGCGTTCAAGCTTCAATTTCCACGCTTCGCAAACAGCATTCAACGACTGGCGCACGCATCTGTACCTTGCGACGGTTAACGCGAATTGCATACTCTAAGCGCGGACCACCGGGCTGAGAGGGCGGTCTCCTGATCGTCTCCTTCTCGTGCGTCCACGTACCCCCATACTCGTGCCGGCACCTTTGTGGGTGTTCCAGTAGCATTTAGTCGTCTCTAAGAACTTCGCTGGGGTCATTCGCTCACGTGTGGGCCGATTGTTGCACCTTATGGCGGAGGGGATCTGCGTGGCGTGTCAGCAGTGTGAGCGCCGGAAAATGGTGTAGCGCGGCATCCGAAAGATTACCACTGAGACTGGCCGCTTGCGCTTTGGAAAGACATCGTCACGTACGGTGCAAGGCTGTCATTGGCAAAGCTAGAGGAAGCGCAGCATCCGATGGAAGTCCAGCAGCCAATCGAAGCGCTCGCGCTCCATCAAGGATGGAAGTACCTGGCGTGCGAACACTGGTGCATAGCGGAGACAACATGACGGAGCACATCAAACGGAGCCACAAGTGGACAAAGCGAAGAGGACCTCAATGGCGAGCAGCGGTCGTCGAAACCATCTTGGACGGGCCTTGTAGACGATTTTCCGAAATGCTTGGCCTCGATGTTCGAGCGAGGCAAAAACAGGTGCTCAAGGGGTGCTATTCAATGACTGCTCGAGGGAGCCAAGAGGCTTGATCGGGAGGAGCAGAAGAGTGCAGCACTAACTGGCAACGAGCAGGCTCCGAACAACAACACCCCACGGAAGCGAAAGGGCCGGTGGGCCAGAAAGTTCGCCGGTCGAGAGCTGCCCGCCGTCGCCGCCGTCTGTCCAACGCCCGACAACGATGAGGGGAGTCTATCGATGGTCTGGCAGTCGGTCCACTGTGCCTTAGAAGCTATCCGCAATATGCTCTGTGCTCACGGTGTCCCACGATTCTGCGGCGCCACGTCCACATCGAGGAATACTCGGCCTCAGCTCAAGGTCCCCATGCCTTCTACTGAGAGTGTGCATTCATATCTTAGCTATTGCCGAGAGAAGGTTTATCCCGAAGGATGCGGCGCGAGCTTACTATATTGACCCAAATCAATCGCCACCACCGCCATTGACGAGCTCGTCTGGGCCATCACTTGGGGGCAAGACGAGTAGAGTCGGTTCCTCGCCGTTGAGGTCTGTGGAAGGCGCCAATCCAGATCCTGCGCCGCTCCCTCAGTTTCGTCATCTGAGCGAATACAAACCGCCGGCGGGCTGGTGATAAGCAAAATGGCTGAGCGGCAACGGTTGCTGCCCAAGGTACCATAACTTCTTCTATGCTTGTCAACTCTCTCCTGATCTGGATTCTCATTGCTCTTCGTTCCATACTGCCCTGTGTCGCTTCACCAAAAGTTAATGATTCCTGCATTATAGGAACAGGCGTCTTGATCCAACATTGTGTTAAGTCGCCATTCATGAAACCAACCACGGATAAGCCGACTGATGTTTGCTCACCCGCTTGCAGGTATAAAGATGATCTTTCCATTGCTCTTCAGTATTCCATCAAAAAGCACCGAGCGAACCGACAATTACTCTCTACTTCCACAAACCATCGTCAGCATCATACCGCACTTCCGAACAAGCTACTCTACGCCTACGGCATATTCAAATCATCACCGTCTCTGCACCTCCCACTAGCAGCGATGTGCAGGCGATACTTCGTACAACGCTCATGCGGGGCCTGGAGAGTGATCCCACTCAATACGATGGGATACCGGTGTGAGAAACTGTGGAACAGCTCTGAAAGATGGATATCATGTCCCGACTCGGACTGCGAATGGACACTGCGCGACGAAAGGTGGCGGTGTTGGGCGTGTCTTCAAGCTGAGAACGACATCCAAACAGCATCCGCTGCCAAATCGGCCGACATACAGCAAGAGCAACACTCAGCTTCTGCGGCGCAACCTTCCGAAGAGATCGTCCTGTCTCCTGATGAGTTGACAGCTTTCGAAGGTCTACGGGAGCCCGACCCACGGATCGAGCCATTGACGACGTACACTCGATATGCAGTGTCTCGGGGGCACATCGCCCACACTGCCAGAAACTACTACAACCGAATCTGGCGTGCGAAGTATCCGAGTCTCGTCAGCCCACCACTCGAAGGGGCGAACTGTCCCCTGTATAGTAACGCAAGCCGCTTCTGATGCAGGCTGCGATGCTTAATGGTCTTGGATGACAAGCATCCATGGCAGGAGGAGCTGATGGCCAGGCTTGTCACGGCACTGACGTATCATGCACTGCACTACATTCATTACTGTCAGCATGAGTAGCAATCAAATGATGAGTCAAAGAATGTTTGCCAGTTCAGTGTTCGGATATGAGGTGTAACACTGCTTCTCTGTTCTGGACTGAGGTAAGTTTCCTAACCAACGGCACCTCACGTTGCTCACTCCAGCTTACAATTTCGGGAGCGTCCTCACTCTGCAGCTTACTTACCTGTGGTGAGCCCACTCTCTATCGGCTTCTCAGCGCCGGTGCTCATACCATGTGCAAACGATACTACGACGTGTGCCGATGCGGAAGGCGCTGGAACCTTGGCTTCAGGTCCAAAGGCTTCTTCTGCGTCCTAGCAGGGTACGCCAACTCGACGGCCCCATACAACAACATGAAGCCATGTCCCGATGCGACGAGTGAATGGGACCTCCGGGCGAGCGTCTCGAGCTGCTCGCAATGTGATGGAAATTTTGATCCGGAAACGTACAGAGTAGCGGGGCCGTCACCGCCTACGCCTCCGCCGCCTCCCTCGCCCCCTCCAAAGCATTGTCCTGAGCCGGTCGATGGGCTGAGGCAGCCGAATCCAAAGGAGGAGCCTGTGGGTGCGTATGTGAGATATGCAGTAGCGCAAGGGTTTGGTGCGGACTTTGCTCGAGAGCTGTGGTGTAGAGTATGGCGCGCAAAGTATCCCGAGCTCGTCTACCTGCCGATGGATGAGGGTGATTTGCACGAGGCGAAATCACAGCGAGATTACCGATGAGGGATCTTTTAGCGGCCCTTCATGGAGTGCGTCGGGTGAAGAAGGGTTCTGTAGGCCTGCCCGGTATGATAGTCACTGGTGGGTTCTCGGAGTATTCCCATGTACAGGTGCTGGCATAGCGCAATGTATGGATTCTTCCCGTCCCTGCGATTCTCTCCCAGGATTAGCTAGTTCTATGGGCAGTGCGGAAGGAAGCAATAACCCAGACACAGTCATGGAGGCGCTCTTGCATCATCTGAATGTAGAGAAGCAAGCCATTGATGACCAAGCCCGACGTTTGCCTCGCTGGGAGCGCAGTATTGAATGACCATTTCTATGAGGTGAGTGCCACTCCACTTCATATCCGTCGAAAACTTCCTTACTAACCTCACTTATTTTCTCGCACCGCGCTCGCTAGCTTGGCCTTATACTGACACCCAAGACACCCACCAGCATCTGTTGAACTCAACCCGGTTGACCAGCGACCATGTGCGTACGCCGCTATGATGTCTGCCCCTCCGGTGTTCAAAACATCCGGCCCATTATATATCCTCTAGACTTCTGCGAGAAAGCAATGCACCGAACGCTGTTCCCTGGAACAGACCCAGAAGCACCCACTGGACCGTGTCCAGATGAAGAGTGCGAATTGGTCCTTTCCCGCTCCGACTGGAAATGCTTCACCTGCCTCGTCACCGACGAGCTTGCCAAAATGCAGGAAGCTCTTCTTCCGTTCCCGCCACTCCAACGCAGGAAAAGTCCGACGGCCGAACACATGGAGACTCGTGGTGAGCTGCGGATGCCGGACGTTCCTTTTGAGACCGTAGGGGACTATGTGAGGTATTGTATAGGCGAGCGCCAGGAGGAGAGGTTTGCTCGAGAGTTGTATAGCTTTGCGTGGCGGGATTTGTGTCCTGAGCTTACGCATCCGCCGATGGATGAGTGGGATCTGCCCAGTAGGACGCATCAGCCGCCTGTCTGGAAGCAAGAGTGACAGCGGAAGTCCTCTCAATGGCCTTGCGTGGTTGTGAACGGTCGAAGGAAGGTGGGTTGAGGACATTGCGCTTGGCCGAGTGGTGGGTGTTCCGGAGACGTGGGAATGTTGTCGATAGCGAGATGTGCTTGGAGGCTCCAGATGTATCGGTCGGTGGATAGGGACGAACTCATGCATCGATTCAAGCATCCTCATACCCAGAGCCCTCATTGATCCAAACAATATCATCCTCAAATCACACTGACCTCCAACGATCTCCATCCTCAAAGCTCTCAATCCGCTACTTCGGAGTCTGATCACCATGGAGAGTTGCACTGTTTTTACTTCGTCCTCGGATAGTCCTTTCGAGCGCCACACATTCCTTCCCGTAACCCGCCCACTCCTCTCCATACTGATCATAGTCAATCTCCACCCTCACCCGCCCGTCCACTCTCAACTCACTAAGCGCATCCAGCACCTGTCCCAAATACCGCGGCATTTTTTCATCATCCGCTGAAGTCAGACAAATCTTCAGCTCCTTCAGCCTCCGTCCCCCACTCAGAGCATTCTGAACAAAGTTCCGTAACCGCTCAACCACCAGCTGCCCGTTCCACTTCCCCGGGTGGAGAAAAGCGCACAGGGTCATCCGGCGCGCGAAGTACCACAGCCTCATCGTCTCCGGGCGTCCACTGATCAGGTCGTGCGGGTCCATGGGCGGTTCAGGGTTGTCTTTGTTACATGTACGTACCTGACCCATGATGCAAACCGTAGGGTCCAGATGAGAATAAAGCAGTTCCATTGCTTCTTCGTGGAAAAGTTTGCATGTGCGAAGGATCCCTAGGTAGTTGTCCGGGTTGTGTCTGTGGATGCTGAAAGGCCGCTGATTGTAAGCCTCGCTGTAGACGTCCCAGATGGTGAAAAGCTCTCTGGACAGGTAAGGGTGGAAGAGGTGCTTGAAGATCTCGAGGCGGAGCTCAGAGGATAGCCCTAGGAGGCTGGCTTCTGGTCGAGGTGAAATCGCTAAGTCGTTGGTGGCCATTTCGGTAGTCGTTGGCACGATCGCCATTTCTCCTGGTCGTGGACTGTATTACTATATAATTTGAAGGCTCGGATGTCCTGCTGAGGAGTGGTTTTATATCGGAAAACGTGTGTGGATGGCGAGGATAAAGTCGAGGCAAGGTCGATGGAAGATCAGATGTCTGTTGTCGGAGTTCAAGCCGCAGGCACGGACCACCTTTCACGAGCGAGCTTCAAGTGCAGCACGAGGGAAGGCGAGGGCAACGCAAGAAGAGCACATCTGAGGAAATGAGCGAACGTGCAACGATCACCACAGAGCCAGTTATCAAAGGCGAGCGAAGCGGCGTCTCTCGCCCATAAAGTCTTGATACCGAGTACTGTAACAGCGTTGCCAACCTCCTCGATAGACTCTTGTAGCCACTGGAAACTTTTCCGCAAGCTCTTCATTTTGCCAGCTTGGTAGTGGCTGACCGTGTGCCATCAAACGCCGTCGCTATGCTTCCCAATGTCGAAGCAGCCATCGCAGCGCCATGCATCATGAGCCTTAAGTAATGTTCGTCTCGAGCCCACGTTCCGCTTGCTCCTCAGCCTCGATAACCACCGTACGGCGTTGCAGCTCCGCCGTAGGATGAAAACGCCCCCATGTTGCCACCATACGCGGATTGTCCGCCCACACCTCCACCGTAAGCGGACATGCCACCGCCGTACGCAGTCTGGTTTCCGTAGGCTGTACCGCCCCCGTTCATCACCCCGTCCATCGGACTCCCACCACCCATCCCATTCGGAACCCCAGCATCCCCCTCATCGCTCAGCCCCTTGATCACATTTGCCAGCTTCTCCTGCAACGTCCTGATCCCGTTATGCATCACCGAATCTGGCGGCATCACACCCGTGCCTTCGAGGTTGATGTAGAACGAATCGGGCTCGGCCTCATACTCGAACCGCTGACCTTCTTGGGGCGGCTCTTCCCAGTCTGCGTTCGCTGTGAGGGGCCATTCTTCTTTCGCATTTGCTTCGTACCAGAGCTGGGTGTGGCGGAGCTTGTTGTGCGGGTCGTACTCGAAGCCGATGGCTGCTGTGGGCGCCCATTTGGAGTGCTCTTTCGCGATGCCTTTCTTCGCGATGCAGCGGACTCTGAGCTCCTGGCCTTTGCGTAGCTGGCAGATTAGCGGTCCTTTCTGTCCTTCGTCCATGATGATCGGTTGTCCGCGCGTGGGTAATTCCTGCTCTCCATCCATGCCTGCGTTGTGACCTGCCGGCCAGGGCTCGACCGGTCTTCCATCTCTCGTCTCTAATGTGAGGTCGCGCGCGAAGATCTTCATGTTCTCGTCGGAGTTCCTGTTCACAGCGTTCAGCCGTAAGAAGCATGCGCAGTTGTCGCAGAAGTCATCACAGGTGCAGTCCCGTCCGTAGAGCAGCTTGTCGATGTCGCGCGCGCTGAGGGGTATGAGGCCTAATCTGTGTGCGAGAAATTCATCAGCGAGGACGGAGGTGTTGGCGTGGATTTCGACAAGGTCGACGGCGAGGGTGGGGATTTCGGCGAGCATCGTTCGGCGGAGGGAGTTTGCGAGGGCGAGGGAGGTATTGGAGAGGACGAAGTCGATAGTGGTGCGGTTTGACTGGGTTCAGAAAGTCAGTGCCGCCCACTGAAGAGCGTGTGGACTCTTGCTCACTCGTCGGATGGTCACTCGTGGTCCTGCATCTTCATCGTTCATGCCGTTGCCATACGGCTCGTAGTCCATCTTTGCGGTCCTGTGTCTCTGCTCTCTAAGACGGAAGGACAGTGTTAGTGTGAAGTTATGTGAAAGGCGTAGCAGGTCCCCGAAACGAAACAGCAGAGTGTGGGCTGGCTGGTAAAATAAATTTGCGTTGGTGGTCAATCTTTAAATCGCTGCAGTAGGTGAAGTCGAAGATGGAATGCGCCGGTAGAACTTCGGCAAGAGGCTGATCACACGGACCACTTTCACATGAAATGTATCAAGACTGGATAGCTGGAAGTGAAGGAGATGTGAAGAAGATCTTCGTGATGACAGCGAATCGGTATCATTGCTGGTACTATAGGCCAGTGCCGCCAGCTGAAGGTCGTCATGTATTGGTACATTGAAAAACGTCCTACTCATTCACCATCAAAACGCCATGGGTCGTTTGCCAGTCCCTGCCGATGCACTCCCATGCTACCCTCAATCCCTCGAACGCCGCTCCGATGTCATATCCCTCAACCTCAATCGCTCCTCAACATGCTCTCCACAAGCTCCCCCAGCGGCCCAAACCATTCCCCCTTCTTCGCGCCCTTCTCGTCCGCCAACCCAAACTCCTCCACAAACAGCACGTAATGCTTGAATCCGGTGTTCAGGTGCGCTTCCAGCCCCAGCCCGCGCACAACGCTGTAGTGGTGGCAGTAGATGTGCGCGTAGATTCTGTACAGCCGCTTGAACAGTACTTTGACCGTCTTCTCGAAGCCTTCAGGGAATGGCACGCCGGGCTGCGTTGGGAATACTGCGGGGTTGCTGAGGTGGGATGAAGTCCAATTGAGGAGGTGGCTGATGTAGGTGGGTGCGGGAAGACGAGTGGGCTTGGGGAAGGCTGGAGGGTCGTGCCAGAGGTACTCGAACTCGTCTGTTGCTTTCATCTCCGGGCAAGATTGTGGAGAGCAGAACTCGGTGATGGCGCCGTAGAGGAGGTTGATCTGGTTGTAGAAGTCGACGACTGCATCACCCTCGTCAGTGAGCGCTCCTTGAAGCTTTAAGGACAAATTTAGGTATCACCGTTCACAGCCAACCACTCATCCCTGTCTTCACCCTCCGGCAACTGCACCACCTTCCTCAAACTCCCACTTCCCAGCGTCGCCTCAGCAAACTGCTTCAACTGCCATGAGTTTGTCCCCTTCGCTCGCTTCTGCGGCTGGAACGCTGCGTTCCGCGTGCGCGCATTGTTGTTGCTGTACGTCAGGAGGTCAGCCTGTTTCGCGATATCCTTGATCCCATGCCCCAAGCCCCTGTAGCCGCGCTGGACTTCATGCGTGCGGTTCTCAACACGGACTGGCGCGGGGATGTTGCTGAAAGAGTGAGACTCGGTGAGGGCGTTGTGGAGATGCCGTTGTAATGGTGATTTGTAGGTTTCCTGCGGGCTGGCGGGGGGTTGGAAGTGGATGTAGGATTCGGACTCCGCGAGGATGTTGGAGTGGAGGGCCGGGAGGGGCTTGGGGGACTGGGAGTAGGGCTGTGGAGGAGAGTAGTGCACGAACATTGTGTTGATGAAGGAGCTCATGGCGTCCTGTGGTGCTGCTCTGCAGCTCGTTTGGAGGTGGTGTTTGTCTGCATTCCAGGTGGTTAGCGGGGTGACGCTGATGTGCGTGGTCCGCACATACCTCTGCAGTGTCTATGAGTCCTCGACGAGGTCTAAAGAGTGACGAGATGCTGTTGAAGACGAATTGACGCGCTCTTCAATTGAGAGGTACACGTCCATGTTCACGATAAGATGCTCGTCATTGCCAAGATTGATTGCGGGCTTGTTGACGGGGAAACACTTTCTCTTTCGTCCACGTATCCGCCTACTGCCTCGTAATACTCCTCCTGCACCACCTATCTTATCGCCGCAACCGATCATCAGCGTGAGCATTTACCAGAACCAGCAGCAGTCCGGCCGGCGCCATCGGCTGACTGCGGGTTGAGTTCTCACCGAAGGCAGTGAGATGGACCCAGTTGCCAGATTGCTCGTTCAGCTCGCTCCACTTCAGGCACCGTCAGGAAGCAGTGATAAGTAGTAGCCTTTCTTCCTTCTCGTCGCTCGCAAACTTCATCAGCTTCCAGCTTGCAAGCACCGTTCAACATGTTCTACACCGAAAGACTCATGCTACGCGCCTTCGAGCCGGAAGCGGACACCAATCTCTTCACCCAGTGGTTGAACGATGTCGAGATCTTGAGCGCAATCTCCCTCCACCCACCAGTCCCCAGCTCAAAAGCGAGCGTGAAGAAGTTCATCGAGCAGGTCTCGCAGAAGGAAAGCGCGTCGGGCCTGCCATTCTTCGTCGTCTGCGAGAAGCCGCCTCCTGAGAACGGTCCAGTGTCCTTGGCCAAGCACGATGACTACTTTTCAAAGGACGGCACAGCACGGTACCCGACGATCGGAGTGTTCGTGCTGAGTAGTCAGGACAACATGCACTTTGCGACAAGGACTGCGCGGTTTGGCATTGCGCTTGACAAGGAGCATCACGGTACGTGAAGGCCACTGCGCAGCCATTTGCATGCTCAATAGACTGACTTGCGAGCAGACCGTGGATACGGTACAGAGCTCTTGCAATGGGCACAGGCATACTGCTTCAAGACTCTCGGTTGCCACAGACTGGAGCTCAACGTCGCCGCCTTCAACAAACGCGCTTTTCATGTTTACGAGAAGGTCGGCTTTGTGAAGGAAGGAGTGAGGCGTAAACGATGGTGGATTGATGGCCAGTGGGTTGATGACATCGAAATGGCTATGCTCGAGGAAGAGTGGTTTGCCAAGCATCAGGAGTGAAGTAAAGTCACGTGCGGGCTCTCAACGACACTTCATCCGAGCCAAGGCTTCAATAAAGGTGAAGTCGGCTTTCTTTATTGACAAGTTCCTCAATACAATGCATTGTAACTATTGGTCTCGCGCTTATTGACTTGTGATGGACACGACGCTTCGAGTATTTCTTACTGTTTTTCTTCGAGTCCTGCGAGTCTTCTATTTGCACAACACACCCCTACAACTCAAGTCTTCCCATACCAGACTTCATCTTCAAAGAACCTTACACAACCATCTCAACCGACAACAACCACCAAAACATCAGGATGTTCGGTCAAGACAACAAGATAGAGCAGGGGCACTCAGGCCCATCTCAGCAGCTGACTCATGCCACGATGCGATCCTCTCAAGCCGACTTCCCACCAACATACGAGGCGGAGGTCAACCACAACTTACGGATGTTCGATCAGCTCGAAGGCCAGATCGGTGCCAACAACTACCGTCATCAGCCTGCCAACGGCAGCATCCCGCCCATGAGCCGCAAGAAGAAGGTCATCGTCGCAGTCGCCGCTCTCATCCTTCTGGTCGCTTTGGCTGGCCTGACCGCTCTCCTCGCGACTAGCCTGAGACGTCACGACAACGCCGACGAAACCAACAGCATGATCGCCGGCAGCGCTCAGACTCCTAGAGCGGAGACCCAAGTTGCGGCGCCGGCAGTCACAACAATCGTCATCACGGTCACGCAAGAAATCCCGGCTTCAACACCATCGACAGCATCGCTACCACCGACCACCCTTTTGACGTCGACAAAACCAATACCGACACCATCGACGCCCACCACCTCCACCAAGCCATCAACTACCACATCGGGCTCTTCGATCACGTCGACATCGTCCACATCATCTACATCAACAACATCCACAAGCACAACTCCGACACCATCGCCACCGCCACCCGAGACTCTGACTCCTCAGTCCTCACCACCAAGTTCATCTTCGACATCTGAGATTACGACGTCTACCGCTGGGTGGATGGGATTCTGCAGCGTGCCGGGCATGTTTTGCACGACGAAGCGAGGCGTTAAGATACTGGGGTTAGGTGGGCTTTGAGGCATTTCATTTGTAAGGCAGCGTTTCCTGGTTTGACGGCGGGGTATTGCAAGGGTTGAAAATGAGTTATGAGCAAGAGGGCGTTTGTGCATTTGATTTGGGCAGGCTGCAGCTAATGGTAACAGGGGAGCTGGGCAGTAAGTAAACATCCATGTACTTTTTCACGAACATCACCTCGTGTTATTTCTTATCCAGGTGCTCACGAGTTATTCTACCTTCAAGTCATCTGATGTCTTCACAAGCGGCTCATGTTCGCCTGCTCTGGTCTCGTGATCTGTGGCTCACATATCCTTGAAGCAACATTGTTCAATGCCTCGTTAACCCTTCAGTTGCCGTCGGACTCATGCTTGCGGTTATAGTAAGTAGCACAATCACAACCATGACCGCGCTAACAGCAATAACAGCACTACAACAACGAACTATTTCAGCGATAGAGACTTTACCTCTGACAGGGCCTTCATCCCTTCCCGACGACCGCCGCAACCGCCACGACCTCATACGCCAACCAGAATATCAGACGTCCCGAGCTACTATGGATTATCGAACAGTCGCAGCAGTCGAGACCTCGATATGCAAGCTCTGGCCGACATCGACGCCGAACCTTTGCATACGCCGGCCAAGCAAGCGGCGAAGAGGAGACGTCAGCGAATCTGGGCCAGATTGGCGCTCGTCCTCGCGGTGCTCTCTTTAATCGCGATCATGACCGGCGTGGTCGTTTCGCAGAGCGGCAAAAGCCCAAAACATGGTGCAACGGGAGCAGCGAACGAGTATCCACCTTTCAGCGTACCGAGCACGATCTCAAGGACCCTGCCACACCAGACCACGGCCACATTGTCACCTGCGAGACCGGAACCGTACGCAGAGGCAAGCTCTAGGACTGCTACATCAGCCTCCGGTGACTCGACCACGACGGCGACGCTTTTCCAGACGCAGTTGACGACGGCCGGGACGTCGACCACACTGATTACGGTTATACCGACGGCCACTATCATCACCGTTTCTCTGGATTCAGCGACTCCGACGGCTTCACTGTGGACCTCACAGACACCTTTGGCGTACAAGACAACTCGCTCGAGGAAGCACACTCATGCTCCGACCCTGTTAAGAGCCTAAGGTGGTAAGACCCCAGACGCTTTAGAGCAGCGAGTGTAGACGGGCGATCGACTGCTGGACATAGATGCGGCTAAAGGGGAGTTTGCAGCAGTGAATGATTCCTCGTTGCCAGGGAGGACGTCATGCACCAGCGTTCTACAATTCACGGGCAGTTGATCTCATGAGAAGTATGAGTTCACGGGAATTACACGGTGTGTTTGCGATTGTTTCTTCTTGTCCTGATGACTTTTCCTACAATGATACATTCTATGCCATACGTTTCTCTATTCAATCTTTGCACTTCTCATATACTGTCGTTACTGATTGCGCTGCACAGCCATGTCGGCTACTCCCAAGGTCTCTCCGCTTGCTGACGACCCCTTCACGGATGACCACAAGTACCCGTTTTCGTTACCTCCCAGTCCAAATCCGCTGGTCTCGCATCCACCAGACAAGGCAGACCCCTTGAGCTCGGACTGGCCAGACTTGCTGAGATCTTTGACGCCTTCGACGCCTGGGACGACGGGAGCATGTGAAGGGAACAGCTCGCCACTGAGCTCCCAGACAACATGGAGCGACATCGAGCTCCAGGAGAGATCGTCTTCGCATCAAGCGGACAGTGATGAGGGATTGATATTGCCACAAGCGAAGGCCAGACAGGCGTGGTGAGTTTTCGACCCGATGGTCCTTGTTTCCTCATAGCCGGCTGATCGATGCTGCGTCAGGTACTCCAACAGGCGCAACAGACTCGTGCTGCTGACAGTCGTCCTTGCGTTGTGTGGTGTTGGTCTGGGCGTCGGAGTACCTACACTCTATGCGCAGAAACACAAAGATCGTTCGTCGCTTCTCCCAGCCACGACGATTCAGTCTATTAGCCTAGCGACACGGACGTCGTCGACGGAGACCACGACTATGCTCAGCTCAGTGCAACCCTCGCCTGCCGCTATATCTGCATCGAACGCTCTACCGGACAGAGATACCATGCTCGTTCTCTGGAGCACAGCAACGATCTCAACCTTGGTCTTGAGCGCGGAGACGACATCCGCTGTCTCTGTTACGACGATGGTGAGGACACAAAGCCTCACTGTCACGCCAACGCCATCATCATCTTCGTCAGATTTGGTTTCATTAGCTGTACAGTGGCTCTCGCAAGAGATACCACAGCCAAGCGTACAACACTTCTCATTTACGACTCACATGCTCGCACCTGGTCAGCTCCTATTGCCGACTACGCTTGCGGCGATATCGCGAACACACCTAGACGGTGTTTGGATAACTACGCAGGAAGTGAGGACGGTGAAGGATGTCGGATCGATCCTGCCAGGAACGAGCACGACGATGTCGACGAGTAACTTAGGCGACAGGTGGACGACGTTGACATCGCAGCGGTACAATTCCACTGTCGTGAGGCCGACACTGAGTGTGCCTTCTCTCAAGGCTTGTATAGATGGGGGCATGTCTGGAACATGTAGCAAGCTGGCGTGACAGACGGCCGCTTTGAAGCTTTGCACTTCGAGAGTTCGCGGAGCTCGGTAAGTACGCAGCTGTAAGCATCTGTACACTCCATAACAACCACCTCTACATCTGACTCTTCAACCACTCAATCCCCTCACACAACTTCCCCACATACTCCTGCCCCTCCTTCACCACCGGGATAATCCAGAAATAATGCGGAAACCCTTTCCAGTAATCATGCTTCACCGGTACCCCGGCATCCTTCAACGCCATCTCCATGATCGTCGCATCGTCTCTCAACGGGTCAAACTCGCAACTCGTCATATACACCGGCGGGAACTCCTGATGTTTGTCCGTGGCTAGGATCGTAAAAGTCCCCGGGTCCTTGGGGTCGGCGCCGACGTGATGGTAGAAGACCTCCTAAAGAACGCAAGGGTAAAAGGGTCAGCGAAAGTCTCGATTCCGTGGAAAGGTTCAAAAGGTCTCAGAGCGCCACTTGCAGTGTGGTCGTGTCTTGGAGATCCCTTTGAACCATCAGTGCTTACCATGCTCTCTTTGTCGATGATGGGGGTCCCTTGGGCGTTTTCGGTGTAAGAATTGTAGTGCGAGGCGTATTTGGAGGGCACGTTGTCCCAGTGGGTGGTGCAGGGGACCATGGCGGCGATGCCGCGGAGGCTGGTTTTCAGGCCTGGTTCGCGGATGACGGCGTTGGCGACTTGGAGGGCGAGGGCGCCGCCGGCGGAGCCACCGATTGTATAAACTTTGCTGGCGTTGCCTTTGAACGAGGAAGCGTTGGCGACAGCCTGGAGAGGGTGGTGATTAGCTGTTGCTTCGACACTTGGCGAAGTCGGACACTCACCCATTTGTACACTTTCAAGCTATCCTCCAACTGCGTAGGCCACTTGTACTCAGGCGCTAAACGGTAATCCACATTCACGACCGCGCTCTTCGTCTGCAGCGCAACAACCAAACAGAGATAGTGGTCCATATTCAAATCTCCAGTCATGTAGCCACCACCATGCGTCCACACAGCGATCGGGAACGGCCCGTTGCCTTCCTGAGGCGTGTATGTGCGGTACTTGATCCCGTCGACGTCGCCTTCAACGACATCCACGCCTTCAGGCATCGGCGGCATTATAGGCATGAGCGCCTGGACGAGCTGGTCGGACATGCCCCTGATCTCCTCTGGGCTGCCTTTGAGGGCCGCGCGGCCGCCGCTGGCGGCTTCCCAGTCGAGCCAGGATTGAGCGTAGGGCATCTTGAATGAGAGGAAAGATCGAGTGGCTTAGAGACGTGGAGAAGCAATGCTCGTGGCAGCGAGGTGCGCGACTGAAGTGTCGGAATGTAGAAAAGGGAGAGAGAAAATACTTGTACCTCTCCACGCGTTGGCTCATACCACGGCTCAGGTGAGGTGCGGGCATAGGTACCTCTACCTAAAGGTAGGCAGAGCTCAAACTCAGTGTCCCGCTAAGACGCCCGAGCTATGCACCGGCTCGGCTGACATCTCGTGAGCGTGGGACATGAATCTGTGGAATCCACTCGCAGTCGTTCGCTCGCTTCTTTGTTCTGTGGGGAGTGTACAGCAGTGAGATGCAGAGGACCAATTTCCCGATTCCATTTTCTTATTTCTGTCGGTCTCGTAAGTTTCGCCAGACCATTTCGAAATACGGCGCACCGCGTATGTATCTTCACTCGTTCTTTTACTTCGCCTGATGAACGCGTGAGGTGGAGGATTTCGCCCCGAGGTCCAAGAAAGCTCGTCAGCCCACAATGCGCACCGCGGGGTGACCTTGGAGCTGACTTTGTGGGTTTTGAACAGTAAGGTGGAGTGCTCTGCGAGGCCGGCGAGAAGGAAGGCTGAAGCACCAAGGTCGTTGGTCGCCTTACCTACCTCATACCTATCCTGGAAAATTGGGGTCGGAGGAACTTGTGAGAAGGTGCGAGGGCTGCAAAACAAGCGTCTCGAGTTGCTCGCGACGCGGCCGTCAACAGCTGCGCATCGTATCCCTACGTCAGCAGTGCCATACACACCGCTCACTGCCCAATACTCAGACCCTACCACACACCAGGTATCATCGCAAACCGCTTCTTCTTGTACTTCGGCCCCAGCTCCTTCCGATACCGATTCTCCTTCTTCTTCGCCCACAGCGCCATCTGCCCTACCGCGGCCGCGACAAAGATCCCCGTGCTCCACGACTTGTTGATCATCATGATTCCCAGCCATGCAATCGACTCGAACAGGTAGTTGGGACAGGTGACCCAGTTGAAGCCCAGACCTTTCGGGACACCTCGCTCTGTGCCGCCTGAGGACCGTAAAGACCGAAGGACGAGGTGCGCGTTCAAGTTGCCTAGCTCACCGATCACGAAGAGCGCCAGACCGGTGTATGTAAGAGCTGGGCTGCTTTCGGTAGCAGTCATTGAGTTGGGAGCGTAAGTAAAGTAGGCGATGAGCAGGCCGGATAGCAACCAGTAGTGTGCCGAGTTCTTGAAGATGTTGAAGGCTGGCATTGTCGCGTTGCTGAAGCGGTGGACGAACATGGTCTCGAGCTCGCGCTTGAGGAAATGGAGGGTTATGGTGAGGCATGAGAGGGTTTGGAGGGTCGAGGGCTCGGCTGGTGCGTTCTTGTAGATGTAGGGTCGGAGGAAGTAGAAGAGCGGGTGGATGAGGAGTGGGCCGGCGTATTCGATTATAAAGACGGTTCGCCAGGCGATTTGCGGGCCTGTATGGTTGTCAGATGCATTCTTCGTCCGTTCTCACTGCGTGTTCATACCGAGATCCTTCACCTGTATCGTAGCTCCATCTCTTAAGCCCGTGCTGTCTATCGACACACTCTTGTCGTTCGGGACGGGCTTGCCATCTTCTGCCTTTGTGATACGCAGCCGATGTATCGAAAAGTTCGACTGTTTCGCTATCCGTTGGTAGAGGTCGGTCGTGCTTCCTTGCAGGTAGATGCTGCATTCACTGGGCAGACCCCGAATCTTCTTGCCTGTGCAGTCGATTAGCACTGCTCCATTCGCAAGACTACTACACTCGTGATGTACCTCTAGGCTGTACCTTCAGGCTGACTGGCTTGGACGCCATTGTTGGACGAGCTGGTTGCTAAGATTTTGAGGTTCAAAGCGGTGACATTTGCAATGCTCCTGGTCCGACCCGAGACGTAGCACCCAGCTGAATCCTTCCAAGGCCAATGGGAGTGGTGTACCAGTACTTGTCGTCGAGCTGAACGTGGCTTGTCGATATCATACCAAGGCTGGTGCTCGGCCCGCACGGTTCCTTCCTCATTCAGCTGCAAGGTACTGCAAGGAGACGACCAACCACATCTCCTGGATTACCTTTTATTCCAGCTCATTGCCTTCTTTTCTACGTGACTATCAGCCTTGCATTGACACCAGCTCGAGGTTCGCCACCAGGCATCGGCGACAGCGACCTCAGCCCATTGCCTGACCGATCTCCTCATACCTCAACCCGCATCGCTAGCGCCGTCTCACATGCACGCGGTAAGCAACGTCGAGAGAAGTTTGCTATTTCTTCTCACATCTAATGCCCTGCCATCACTCTATTTGCTCGTCCTGTTGCTGGTGCACGAGGTAGCTGCAAGCCTCGCCAGCCGCACTGCTCCACTATCATGGTGAAGCAGCGGTGACATCTACTTCTCAAAAAGATACTTCGTCACCAGGAAGTGGAAGTCGTTGCTTGAGCCGTCTCATTGAGATCGCATACTCCTTCTACTACTTCTCCAAAGCTTTAACTTCCTTGGTTCACTGGGCAATAGCCACTCATTCAAGGCTTTTGATTCTACCGTGGTTCCACCACAACCTGGTACGTATGTGTCCTGTTACAATGGCAAGAGATCAGAACTTTCTTTTCGCGCTTCGATGGTCGGTCTTTCCACGCATTCAGTCGGAGTCTTCCACGAGACTTGAAGCTGGAAGCAGCGACTGAACAGCCCCCTCGAAACCTCTGGAAACGAGGCATCAGTGCAAACCGACTCCGCCTTTGAAGCAGTGGAGCCTTGGACACGGCTCTTACAATGGGATGCAATACGAGTACCGTACAACCCAACGATGCGACACCGTCGACGAGGCGAACCCGGTTGCACATATTTCGGCAGCATCAAGAAGATATAAACGCCACTGCAGCTCCATCAGACAGAACCAACACTTCGCAACTACAACATGAAGAGCAACCCCCTTTGACCAAACTGAGGTCTGTGGAGGCTTGATGTTCGATTCTGGAGTTCTTAGGCGAGCACCGTCCATCGAACAAAGAGACCTCAGCCCACTCCTGCTCTCGTGCCGCCATAAACAATGGCTCGCCAGCGCGAAGCAACCGATGCAGCATCTTTTTTTGCTTTTTGTACATGCATACAACCTAGGCGGCATTGCTGACACCAATTGCAATCAGGGCAACAATGGCCAAGACTTGGTCGGACAGCGGCAATATGCCTGACAGCATCCCTCTCACGAATGGTACGTCTACGTCAGCAGATCTATCCACACTGGACGATCTACGGGAACGTGTCGGAAACTCTGTGTCGAATCTATGGTCGTTGCTCGATGCCATCAGGGCGCCTTTGCCAACACAGACCGGAGATGGCTCAGATTTACCCAAACCGCAGCGAGACTCGGCTCTCTACGATCTCAAGACCATACTCCGTGATATCAGCACTCTTGGGTTTGACCGCGTCGAAGATCTGGCGGAAGTAGTGAAGCACTCGTCTCTTGATCAGCCAATCGACGACAAGACCTACCTCATGGAACGTCTCATCCAGGCCGCTGCATGTCTCCCTGATGACCTAGTCAGCAAGAACATCACCAACACTTTCATCACCACTCTATGGAACGACCTTCAGCACCCTCCCCAGATGCTGCTGAGCGACGAGTTTATCTACCGTCAGCCGGATGGCAGCAAGAACAACTACATGTGCCCCCAGATCGGTGCAGCCGGCATGCCGTACGCGAGGACTGTCCCTCCCAAGTCGCTTAGAGGTGGAGCAATGCCAGACCCTGCGGTGCTCTTTGATACTGTCCTAGCCAGGAAGTCACCGGAAGGCACAGAGCATCCAAACAAGATTTCAAGCATGCTCTTCTACCTAGCCTCCATCATCATCCACGATGTCTTCAAGACCAACAGACACGACTACAACGTCTCCGACACATCTTCGTATTTGGATCTCGCTCCTCTCTACGGCAGTACTTGGGACGATCAGAAGCGCATGAGGACGTTCAAGAACGGCAAGATCAAGCCGGACTGTTTCTCAGAAACTCGTCTGCTGTCCTTTCCGCCTGGTGTCGGAGCCTTACTCATCATGTTCAATCGCTACCACAATTATGTCGTGGAGCAGCTTGCCTTGATCAACGAGGACGGCCGCTTCTCGGAGAACCCGAGGAAGCCCAATGTCGAGAGGTATGGCGAGAGCATCAATCGACGGGACGACGATCTATTCCAGACAGGGCGTCTCATCACTTGCGGCCTGTACGTGAATATCATCTTGATTGACTACGTCCGCACCATCCTCAACCTAAACCGGACCGACGATAACTGGGCACTCAACCCCCGGGTGGATATTTCAGATGGTCCTCCCACCGGCACCGGCAACCAAGTCTCCTGCGAGTTTAACCTGGTGTATCGATGGCACTCAGCAGTCTCTGAGCGCGACGACAAATGGACACATGCTCTCTTCCACCAGATGTTCCCGAAGCTGAAGCCTTCCGAGATCGCCACGAAAGACGGCCTGAGACAGCTCTTCACCAAGCTCGCAGAGGATGAGAAGAAATTGACGGATGCGCAACCAGAAGAGCGGCCGTTCCCAGCTCTTGATTCAGAACGACTCTCGCGCATCAAGGATGGGCCGTTCAAGGGCAATTACAGCGACAACGACTTGGCGAAGATCATCACTGCGGGCATCGACGACTGTGCCAACGCTATGGGCCCACAGCAGGTTCCGGCTGTCATGAAAGCTATTGAGATCTTGGGCATCATGCAAGCCAGGACTTGGAGGGTCGCTACGCTCAACGAATTCCGCGAGCACTTTGCACTTGAGCGTCACAAGACCTTCGAGTCGATCACGACAAACAAGGAGGTTGCGGAAGCACTCAAGCATCTCTACGACACACCAGATGAGGTCGAGCTGTACCCTGGGCTTATTGTCGAGGATGCCAAAACGCCTATGCTGCCTGGTTCGGGTCTGTGTCCTTCATACACCATCAGTCGTGGTGTGCTCTCCGATGCGGTAGCTCTCGTCAGAGGCGACCGCTTCTATACTTCGTCGTACACGCCAGCCGCGCTCACGAGCTGGGGCTTCCAGGAAGCTTCGTCAGATCTCAGCATCGACAACGGCTGCGTCTTCTACAAGCTCTTCCTGCGAGCATTGCCGAACAACTTCGACCCGGCATCACTGTACGTGCACTATCCACTCACCATCCCTGACGGCCCAGACGGCATGAAAGATGTGCTCCAAAGGCTAGGCAAAGCGCACAAGTACAACTTTGACAAACCAGCCCCTGTCAAGCAGCCTGCAGTCGTTTTCACCCACGCCGCCGCCAAAGCAATCCTCAACGACCAAGACTCCTTTCACGTCACATGGGGCAAAGCAATGGAGTTCCTCATGGGTCCGGCAGCAAAGAACTTCATGCTCGCCGGCGACGGCCCAGCAAATGCCGCTTCAAGACAGCTGATGAAGGGAGTACTATACAACGGCGAGCCCAGCAGTGGCATCCCCTTTGGCAACGAGAAGTGGCTCGCGGCCGTCCGAGACTTCTACGCCGAAACCACGACCAACCTCCTCAAACAGAAGAGCTACAAGCTCGCCGGCGTGAGCCAAGTCGACCTCATCCGCGACGTGGGCAATCTCGCCCACGTCCACTTCGCAGCAGAAATGTTCTCCGTCCCGCTCAAGACCGCGGACTTCCCTCGCGGCATTTTCACCGAGTCCCAACTCTACCTTATATGCGCCGCCATCTTCATCTGCATCTTCTTCGACATCGACCCGCCGAAGTCCTTCCCGCTGCGGCAGAAGGCGTATGAGGCTACGCAGATGCTGGGGAATGTGATGCAAGTCCAAGTCGCAGCGATCAAGAATACGGGCGCGGTGGCGGAGACGCTTATTGAAGCCATTAAGCCTACGTCCAGGCCGTTGAAGGATTACGGCGTACACATGATTGCGCAGCTCTGCAAGAAGGATTCAAGCGTCGCCGACATCGTCTGGGGCAACATCATGGGTACGCTGGGTGGGATGGTAGCGCCGCAGGGCCAGCTATTCGGACAGATGATGGATTTCTATCTCGGCGAAGGAAAGGAGCATATGCCAGAGGTCGCCAGGCTCGCGAAGCAAGACACCCCAGCCGCCGACGAGAAACTGACAAAGTACGCGCTCGAAGGCATCCGCCTCGCCGCCGAGACAGGCGTGATGCGCGAAGCGCAAAAGTCCATCACCATTGTCGACAACAACAACATCCCCGGCTACCCGCAGGAATTCCACTTCCAGCCCGGCGACCGCATCATGGTGAACCTCAAAGCCGCCTCCCGCGACCCGCGAGTCTTCCCCAACCCAGACAAACTCGACCTCACCCGCCCGATCGAAGCTTACATCCAACTCGGCGACGGACCGCATCAATGCCTCGGGCAGCCGATGACGCGGGTGGCGCTGACGACGATGCTGAAGACGGTCGCGAAGCTGGACGGGTTGCGTGCGGCGACGATGATGGTGGGGCGGGATCCGTTCGCGGAGAGTCGGGTGAAGAAGGTGGTGAAGGAGTTTGTGCCGGGGGATTTGGATGTGATTCCCGAGGAGTGGCATTATCATGCTTTCTTGACGGAGAAGTGGGATATGTATTTTCCGTTTCCCACTAGTGAGTCTTGTTGTTACCACAGGATTGGGACGCGGATGCTGACTTGCTGGTACAGGTATGAAGGTGAATTGGGATGGCGGTGTTTGAGGCGTGTATCGGAAGTCACATTTGAGGGTTGCGCGGCTGCGTTTCGTCTTTCACTTGACTGTGATGCCGACGGGAGCGTCCAGAGAGTACAATGGCCCTGCCGCGCGTGAAGATGCATCCTTCCAATCAATGTTAGTCCATAGATTTGTTGAAAAAGCAAAAACGAGGCACGTCATGAGTTATGCAGCATATGTCCCCCATTTTGCCTCGTTGTCGATTCGAGCAGCGGTCGTGCTCTCCAGAGGCGAATGTCATGCCCACTTGCTCACCTCGCAGTTTTCCCCAGAACTGACCACATCAGCCTCGCCTCCTTCAGAATTCGCCATTGCACGTGGTTCCAGATATATATTTTTGGAGGATGTTGAGACAGACCGAAAGAGAGAAGTAGCATCAGCAGAGTGAAGAGATGATATACACAATATTTCGCCCAAACCAAGAAATGCCCCAAGCTATGTCACAGGTTGGCGTTGGCGAGCCATCGGGACGTTATCCTGACAGCCGGCGCCCCATCGGCCGCCGCAGCTGTCCGCTAAGGTGAAGAAGTCTATCGTGTTCGGTGTGAAGTAGTACTACAGATCGAGGTGTCGGAGGAGGTAGGTGGGTCGAGAGGTGGGAAGTCGTCGTAGAGGGTGATCGGGTTTACTTAGTCTCCTCCCGGAGGAAGCTGTGGCCTTGTTAGCATGGAAATTCTGGTAGTTGTGATGGGAACGGGAGCCACGAACGTGATCAGGTCATTCCGGTCCTTGCCCTTCTTCAGACCACCAAATGCCATCTTCGTGCCAGGAATGTACTTCTTTGGATTCTCGAGGTATTCGAACTGCCGCATGTGTCAGCCTGCTGTCTCACTTCTCTTGCTCGTCCCTTTGTACATACAAGCGTATCCTGGTTCCACTCAATGCCCTTCTGCTTGTTCGCATCAGAGTACGAGAAGCCCTCAACCTGGCCAGTGTGGCGACCGAAGAGACCGTGGAGGTTGGGGCCGATCTTGTTGCCCTCGCCCTCCTTCAGATTATGGCATTGCTGGCATCGTGTCTTGAAGAGCTTCGCGCCCTTCTTGCTGTCACCTGCATTGAAAGTTAGCACCTCCATGGCATTGTCTGTCTGAACGCGCTGCGGCGTGCCGGAAGTGGCGCAATCGTCGCCCGCATCTCTCCTCATCCTCTGCTATTGATCAGAGGCATAGGATGAGGCGAGGAGGGTGCGAATGGATATGCGCCACTCCCGGTGGCCCAGCAGGGGAGGGGAGGGAGGCATGCCTTCCTTGAAAGATTCCGCGCCTTTGGCCATTATGTGGGATTGATGAGGGTCTCGTGGATGCAGATGGCTGTCGAGGTGATCGGTGTTGGTGTGTCTGTCGATGTGATGTGGTGGTGTCGGTATGGATTGATAGAAGTCGAAGAAGCAGAAAAGTTGAAGGAGCTCGACGAAGTCGCCGCAAGCAGATTGGCCCAATCAAATCGCAGCCGAAATAAGCAATCTGTTCGGGAGAAATAGGAAGGCGCCACACGACAACCAGATCTTGCCAACGCTCCGGCCTTGTTGTTCGAGATCGTTTAGATTTGTGCTATTCCCGTTCTTTTCTTGCCTTTTCAGATGATTCAACACTGCCAGGACATCGTGTGGCGAGTGGAAGAAGCCCAGCAGCAAACAGAGGTCCGTCACGCTACCGTATTCGTGACGTCGTCCGAAGCTCTCAGCCGGCGTCTTGACGCAGTAGCGGCCAGCTTGTATAGCCGGACGTGCCGTTACATGCTTGAGTCCTCGTGGCATTTACGGAGGTCGTAACAAGCAAGACTGATGATGGGCAGTGATTGCTCGCCGCGGTAGCATTGCCCACGACGATGTTCGACGCGCGATATGAAGACACATGGCTGGTCGTAGGCGCATCACGAGGCATCGGGCACGAGTTTGTCCAGCAGCTTCTGGATCGAGGCAACAGGGTGTATGCGACTGTACGAAAGGATGCCGCGTCATTCTGGCCAGAACACCAGAAGCAGGGCCTGTGCCGCGTTTGGACGTGTGATATAACGTCGCAGTCGAGTATAGAAGTACGCTTGCACACTCCATGAACCGTGGAATTTTGGGAGCCTGACCTCGTGCATCAAAGAACTTCGTGGACGAGCTGTCATCTCTGTCGGACGATGCGATCAGTGGCGTGATCATCAACGCCGGCGTGCTCAAATACCCAAGCAGAGCCACGGAGATGTCGTTTGACGACTTTACATATCATCTGAACACCAATGCAGTCGGGCCCATCATCTGCGCGCAGGCCTTGCTGAAAGCCGGGGTTCGGCTAGATAAGATCACCTTCATCTCAAGCGATTCAGGATCTGCGCAGAACTTCCTCGAGATGGAGGATGGCTTCGCAGCGTATGCGGCTTCGAAGGCAGCTCTCAACCAAGCGCTCAGGCACATGGCAGCTGAAGTGAAACGGAGGCGCCGGCCGACCGTCATCCTGGCTTTGCATCCTGGTGAGGTGAAGACGGACATGGCTAATATCGATGTTGATTGGGAGGTGGAAGGTCAAATGACACCTCAAGAGAGCGTTGAGGCGTGTCTGAGGGTCATTGACAGCAAAGGGAGTGAGGACAATGGGACTTTCTGGACTTGGGAGAATAGGCCGTACCCGTGGTGAGCTGTTCTCCACGAACATGCTGCAACTTCCTACCTCGGTGGACGTCGTGCAACGTTGGCACATGCAGAAGATGCCGCCCTGGCCGAAGAGGCGCATGTCCTCGGCCGTCTTGGATTGCTACAGATGGGGTGACACTGGATCAGGGTATACAGCAAGGTGGAAGGTGGCGTTGGAATAGAGAAGAAATGCTTGGCAGTCACTGCACCTTCTAACGACTTAGGAATATTACCTACCATATCGCAGCTGAGTTGCGGCGCAGACCAAGTACATGCAATGGTGTTTTCCAACACTCGACAGTCCAAAGTCACTTACCACTCCCATCCCAGCAACGAGACTGCATCAACCCGCTCGAATCCGACAGCAGAGCTTCTCGTGTCACTGGACAGTGCACTCATCCATCCACAGTGTGTCTGCCAACCTGTCGGAATGGCCAGCGCCTCCTGTATGACTACCCGTTGAACATTACACAGCAGTAGCATAGGGCTGAAATGTCTGGCTGCCCAAGATCCACATCCAGTTCGCGATCCTCGATGCCGTGCACGATCACTCGCGGCCCAGCTGTCAACTACCTGTCGTGGAGTCGTGGTCGTGTGCTCAAAGCACAAAGGTACTTCTGTATAGGCGGGCCTTGCCGGGGTTTATGCACGAAATCACAGCGATTGCGTTCTCTGGCTGGGCAGCTACTGCAAGCCTACTGCATCCGGGTGGGCACGTCTCGAATACGTCCTTCGCGATGGGAATTCGCCAACGTAAAATTCTGTAGTGCTCCACGGAAAGTACGGCTTGTTTGGAAGACGATTGTTTCGATGGCCTTCCAAGTGGGTACATTGCTGTTTCGTCGAAAGAGGCGAGGAAGGCCACGTATCCGTCATCACAAACGTCGGTGAATATTCTGGCGCCTCCAAGGTTGTGTATTCTGGGTCCTCAATAGTAAGCACACCCATAGACTTTTCGTGTTCGTGAAATCGAGGCACAGCCGCCTTCAAGCAATAGTCGGATAGTCAGATGCTGTAGGAACTGCGCCCTCTCCAGGTTGGTGAGAATTAGCACGGTAGAAGCGTTGATTCGTTGATTGCCACGTCGTTATGATTGGGGTGCCTGACCGCCTCCCACGGTGGCTCCCCTTGTTGAGTCCCAATCAAGGAAGGCGGTTATGCAATACATGCAGTGTTGCTGCAGGCCTCCGAGCTAGTAGATCCTCTGTACGACTCCCCATGGCATCTTCTCAAGCTCTTGCACTCGGTTGTCGGATTGTGGTTATGCAGCAAGAGAAGTGAAGTGGGCCGTCTGCGTGTCTCCAACTCCCGCGGACCGTGCCTTTTGTCCCCTCAACCCCTCCTTCCTTTCAAGATCACCATCATGTGCTGTTTCCTTCGAGTGTGTTGATCGGCGCGGTGGTGTTAATGGAGGAGTCTGGTTGGAATGGCCTCCTACTATCGCGATACCTACGACTCGTCACGGTCTCGACAGACACGCAGTAATAACGATGAAGGGTATTTGAAGCCCACAGCGCCGAGGGTGGGGACTAGCGACTCAAGGCGAAGAGTCGGTGAGACCGCCTCAGAAGGCCAGAACAGGAGGGACCACTACAGTCAACGCTCGCCCAATCGATCCAACAGATACTCCTACGATGGCTACGACACGCGGTACGACTACCCACCACCTCTTCCTCTAGACACTGGTCTACCGACCCGAGAACGATCCCGCATTCGAAAGCGGCGGTCATGGCCCCCACGACCCACATGTGAGGATGAAGTAACATCACTCAAGAAAGAGGCTGGTTCACGAAGGCTGCTGGCGGAGCTTAGGAAAGATGAGATCCCGTCGCGAGGAACAATCGACCAGGAACCAATGGTGGAGGATGTCCCCGAGTTTCTCAACAGAGATGAACGGCGATTTGTTGTGCGTGAAGGGGGAGGAGCTACAGGTCAGCCAACGCCTCCTACCAGCGAGGATGAAAAGGCTCGTCGTAGGGCAAGGCGGCGGCCGTCCAAGCTCGAAATGAATTTCAAGAACCTCAACAACAGCGTGCCGGAGATTCTCAACAAGCGGACATCCTCGCCGTATGCCTTCTCCAAGCAACCGCACACGCCCAAGGAGGAGGTACTGGGTACCAGGTTCCTGTCACCCGACGACATCACCAGTCCACCGCCAACAGAGTCTAACAGACGCCGACGGATGACCGGGAGCAAATCGCAGCCGGCGTCACCGAGGCGAGACTCGGCCAGGTATAGCATGAACTCGAGGCCTGAGACTGACTACTTTTCGTTGGCCTCTGAAAGTGCCATCGACGAAGACGACTTCTACGAAGCGAAGCTGAGACCTAGAGAAAAGCCGGCAACATATCCTCCTTCTCGTGACGTCCCTAACAGCAGTCCCCAAACGTCTGTGGTCGATTTTGCACCCGCGGCACCACCACCAAGTTCTATTCCCATCAGGAGGCGTAATTTGGATGCGCGCCGGAATACAGACACGGAGACCACTCTTCCCACGCTGCAACGAGTGAATGGTGACAAAGCACGACGCCCAACGCCGCTTGCAGCAACCGCAGCTCTTGGTGGTCTTGGAGTGGCCGCGGCTTCCAGCCTCTCTGCAGATGAACAGTCCAGGCCGAGATCTCGGGACTCTAGCTACGGCCATCCTCGCGGCCCATCACCTGCAGGTAGCGCTGTGAGTGCAACAGAAGCACAAGCAATGCAGAGATCTCGAATGAGCGCAGAGTTTTCGAGAGACGACGACTATCACGAACCACTCACAAGGACATCCTCCGTCTCGAGCTCAAGGCCTCAATCTCCTTCACCCCGTACACCAGGCGATCCGCCTCGGATACCAAAGTCTGACCTGGACTGGAGCACTTTGCTTGCCGCTAATGCGTCTCGGCGAGCGAAAGCTCCTTCGTGCCTGTCTATGGAAGTGCAGCAAGAAGCCCTCCCACGCCAGCGAGGGCACATGAGACAGAGCTCAGCGACGACCCGTGTGGACAGTCTTCCGTACCCCGTCGATGATGGGCCCATGAGTCCATCGGTATGGATGCCATCAGAGAGAAGCCACCAATACTTCCCAGAGTCCCGGCCAGGCACGCAAATGCCGATGATGCAGGAGCCCAAGAGTTTTCTTCGATCAGCTGAACCAGCGCCCAGCAGCAGTTCTTATTCATCAGCCAGCACGACCCGAGCACCAACACGGCCGTCGTTCCCTACCCGTCACTCAACCGCTGAACTTCCGCAGACGCAGACGACAAAGAAATCGCAGCCTGATAGGCCACGTGCCAACGAAAGTAGGCGGACCTCACAGCTTGTCTCCTCACAAACGCAGAAGGATATCCAGGCTCTCCTGAAGAAGCCCTTGCCATCATGTGCACGACTAAAACCAGTCAGAAGCTACTCGGACTGGTACACATTGGTTGGTGCGCCTAGCTTAGACTTCTGCCCTGATTGCGTCGCGGATGTCTTCGATCGGACGTTGTATCGGAACAGCTTCCGCCGCTCCCCGCCCAGGAATCTTGACACGCCGGTTCAATGCGCTCTTGGAGGCATGCCGTGGATCCGACTTGCGTGGCTGTTCACTTTACAGCAACAGCGAACGGATCTTCGTCTGCTCGAAGACCTGGCAGAAGTCGAAGAGACCAGCACACCGTGTCCCGGCGACAAGCTCGGATCGCGGACATGGTACGGTCTCAGAGACGCAGACGGCTACTTTGTCAAAGACTTCCGGATCTGCTACAGCGACGTCCGGAAGATCGAGTCGCTACTCCCAACCTTGAGCGGCATGTTCGTGCGGCTGCCCCAGCGAAACGCGGACGAGCAACACCTCTGCGCGATCCGGCCTGAAGGCAACCGCTTTTCCATCTACATCGACGCCCTCATCTCCACGCACGAGAAAGCGCTCGCGGCCCGCTCAACTCCCAACCCGGGCCCCTTCATCAGCCTCGTCCGGTGGCGCGCTCAGCTGCAGGAATGCACGAAAGACATGCTGATCAAGAAAGGGCTGTGGCACTACATGCCCGGCCTGGAAGAATTCACCATCTGCGAAGGTCCGTCCTCCTCGTCTCACTCCTTCCCTCCCTCCTTCCCCTTCCCCACTAACATGGCACGAACAGACTGCTTTGCCACCATCGTCGAGCCCGAAATCGAGCGCTCCTCCGACCTCGCCACCCGCTTCCACCGCACCATCCAGCCCGTCTACGGCGAAGGCATCGGCGTCAGCTGCCAGCTCTACTCGCCGCGCATGCGGAAAGTCTTCAAACGCGCCGTGCAGGAAAAGGACCTGAAATATTTGACCCGCAAAGCGAGGGAGCGAAGGGAGGCGGAGTTGAGGTTGCAGGAGCGGTATCGGGTTTTGGTGGAGAAGGCGAAGAGGGTTAGTTGGGGTAGTGTGGAGGAGGGACGGTTGGAGAGGGAGAGGACGCGGATTATGGAGGAGTGGAGGGATGAGTGGGAGTGAATGGTATTCGAACGAATGAAGGGAATGAATGAACGAGCATGCATTTACGAGGGGACATGGCGCTGAAAGGGGGTGCTGGAATGGGTATACCCCCAAAAGGACCTAAAAAGGAGGCCGTTTGTTGAATGCATCTCGGATTTGAAAATGCTACCCCTACTAATCGTTGTGCTCATTTCCAGTGGAAGCGCCAGCCAGTTGTGTCCGTCTCGTTTATGCTTCGCGGTGCCAGTGAATTATGAACGTCGGACTCCCGGTCCCATTGCATCGCCCGCCTTTTCCTCAAACACCTGGCCATAGTATTCAAGAACAGCAACCCTCACATCCCTTTTCACCGCCCCAAATCCACCACCGCCTCCCCCGCCACCTTCGGCCCCACACACGCCGCCAACTCCGCCATAATCCCCATGATACTCCCCGAATCCGTCACCCGCCCCTCCGCCCAACTCACAATATCGCGCATGCGATGCACCGTCCCCCCTCCCAGCGTGACTTTCATATCGTCCAGATCCACCTGCTCCTCTACCTCCTCCGCCGCCAGCGCACCGGGTACGTGGAGCTCTAGGAGCGATTTGCCGGAGTTCATGGCTTCCGTCGGCGTCGGGTGCGCGACGCGGTATTCGTGGTCCACGAGTTCGCGCTCCGTGTCTTCGGAGCCGGGCGCGGCGTCGAGAAGCGCGGCGATGCGGCGTTCGCGGGACATGCTGACCCATTTCCTCTTGCCCATGAGGTCTCGCATGGACGAGTCCATGACGTCCCACTCGCCGGTGTCGTAGTCGAGGACGTTCTGCGGGCGGTAGTCGCCTTTGTAGGCCATTTTCTTGCAGCTGTGGATGAAGTAGCCCATGTAGTACATTTCGTAGCCGCCTTCGAGCGCGAGAGCGGTCTCGCGGAGGGCGGAGAGTTTGCCGAAGGACCAGGCTTCGAAGTCGGAGTGGTAGATGAAGTAGACACCGCTTACGGCGCCGGGGAGAAGGTCGAGGACGGAGAGGGCGATGAGACGGCCGTCGAGGCGGTAGAGTTGGTGGAAGGAGCCGGTTTTCTTGTCCAGGGCGGCGGGGTCCGGGTGGTTGTGGAGGGGTGTGGAGCAGAGGAAGCGGCGGAAGCCGGTGCGGGAGATTTCGTGGGGTTGTTCCTTGTGGACGTGGGACTGGTAGTTGGAGAAGAGGGTGAATTTCTCTTCGGTGTAGGTGTCGGGTTCGAGGGTGACGGTGAAGGTGTGGGCGGGTTTGATGTCGGGTTTGAGGTTGGGCTGCTCGGCCTCGTGGAGGGTGGTGAGGAGGTCAAAGTTGTTGTTCTGGCGTTTCTTCTCTCTGTAGGACGTTAGTCGCCGTCGTGATATGGTGATTGATGACGAGACAGACTCTTTCGTCCTTGGATACTTCTTGCTCGCCTCCTTGATATATTCCTCACCTAGCACATATCGGTTCCATCGATGCAGTGCCTGCCGCTGGTCTCGTTGTGCTTGAAACTCCCTCGCTGGCAGTCTTGTTAGTCAGCAGCAATCGTTCATCCTCAGGAGAATAGTGGTCGACATACCTTATAGTGTAATGTGGGCAGCAGCTACGGCTCACGTCGGGAACGTAGAGGAGGGCGCCTGACCTTCTCCACCCTCTGTCCATGAGATCTTGGTAGTGGATCGAGCATAACGACTTGGTGCGGGCATAGTAGGATGCGCCTTCATCTCATCAGAACAGGAACAAACGGACGAAACCTGGATCGTTGCGTAGAAGGGGAGTGCGAGGCTCTGTTGGAGTGCAAATGGATGTCTGGTGGATGCTCTGCTCGACAGATCGAGAGGACTGTTCAAGAGTGGAATAGTGGAAAGTAAGAAAGATGCTGTAGGGACGCACGAGAATCGGGAGTTCTACTTAGTTCTTCGCCCTTGCAATAGCCGCAATCACCGCCTGATGATGCACGGTCAGCTGCGCCGTCCCATCACGAGGATGTGCTTCGGAGAACGCACTCTGATACCCTAGAGATCAAAAAATACTTAGCCCACGTCCATCTCGCTCATATGAGTCCACCACAGCAATGTCATGTGGAGGTGTAGGAAAGCAGGAGTGAAGTCGTGGCGGCTCTGCAGCGAAGCACGCGAGCACGTTCCTGAATGCGGGAATCGGAGTGGTCTCTTACCTATGGGGGTAATGTAGCTAGGGATGGCGCAGGGCGAGGCCATCGTCTGCATGATGAGCACACGCCGGAGCTAGGAGGGAGCTGGTGAGCAGACCCGAGCTCGACGTCGCCGCCGCGGGCGTGGAGGGGCGAGGTGGGATTGATTGCCAGAAGTGCGCCGCCCTGGTGAGATGAGTACTGGTTATGAGGCTACGGATAAGAAAGATGTGTCAAGAGGAAGGCGAGGGAGAGGCAAGGCGCGGAAGCACCCCACGGGAAGTGACGTTGGAGTCGAAGGAAGCGTTGCGAATTGGAAGTTCAAGTTGGACATGTGAAGGAAGACAGATCAAGACCAAACAACCCACGCCCCGCGAGTATCTGCCATGGTCGCACAAGCGGCATGCACGTCACGTAGCCTCATGTAATATTGGCGTCTGCATATGCCCACCTTTAGCTCCAGTCCGTGGGTGCGAAGAAAATCCGGTCCTCAGCGGCATGTGGGAGAAAAAAAGGGATCGGCACGTGCTCGCTGGGCAAGTGAACTACAGGGACAACCACACTATAAGGCTCCAGACCTCGCCCTTGCAATGCTACACTACCACCACCATGTTGACCGCTCCTCCTTCTTCCTCGAGACTCACGTCCCCAGGGACTGAATGCAATTCCCTCTTGCATTCCACTCTGCCTTGAACTAGACGTCGTGTCTCGGCAAACGATTTGTCTTCTGGGTCGTTAGGAAGCTAGAGGCATAGGCGGTGTATCTCGTGTGATCACCTCAGACGACTGCATCGTCGACGTCCACATTGACGCAGTGGGAGTGTCTGGTCGCGGACTCGGACTTTCACGCTTTTCGGCGACCATCGACAAGTGGCAGCCACCATGGCCCAAGAAACGGCGCCTGAGCGGTCAATGGAAGCCAGAGTAGGCAGAGACAAGCAGCGGTGAGAACACTACCCTCCTGAACTTTCCATAACACCCACAGCTAACGAGATCAACCAGCTACGGCCCCTCCGGCGAACGCCTCGTCTCCGGCGTCGTCCCCCTAACCCCCGACCGCACCCTGGTCCTGCTCATCCAATCCTCCGCCCGCAAAGGCTGGGTGCTCCCCAAAGGCGGCTGGGAGACCGACGAGAACACCGCGCAAGACGCCGCGTGCCGGGAGGCCTGGGAGGAAGCGGGCATCGAATGCGCCATCGAGCGCGACCTGGGCACGATCGAGGAGCAGCGGAGCTCGGCGCAGATTATGAAGAATCCTGCTGCGCCGAGGGCGGCGTATAGGTTTTTTGAGGTCAGGGTGGTGGAGGAGAAGGAGAGTTGGCCGGAGAGTCATAAGAGGGATAGGAGGTGGATGAGCTATAAGCAGGCGAGGGAGTGTTTGAAGGAGAGGCCGGAGCTGTTGGAGGCGCTGGAGAGGAGTAATGTGAAGCGGTAGTACGGGGCGTAAGAGGAGAAGACGCGACGGCAGAAGTTTGAGATTGAAGCGGAGGCTTTCGTGATGGGTGGCCTTTTGAGCGAAGACTTGTTTTCGGTCCGCCATGTTATTGAGCTACTAATGAGCCTGTTGCTTGCAGCGAAGTCTGCCTCATCGAAATCTCCAGCTGCCGGCGTGTCTCACTCGATTGTCTGCATGCACCGCCTCCAAGCTGGAAGACCATGGCTGGCATGGAGCAAGCACCAGCTCACTGGCCATCATAATGCTTCACTGGTAAGTAGCATTTCAAGCTCATCACTGCAAGTGCACAACGTCTTTCACAACACAACGAACATGTGAAGACCCGGGACACGTGACCCTTCTTGCGTCACTGTTCTTGCCTCACATGCTCCTTCCTCATGGTTCCTTTGCCGCACAGACCAGTCTACGTCAGCTCATAAACCTCCTTCACGTCCAAACCTCTCCTTTCTCAACACATCGCAGTTCGTGTCTCAAACAGAACACCCCTCTTCTTGATTCAATACTCTCTTTACTGCACCACAACCCACACAAGCAGTCAACATGGCGAAGGACAAGAAGAAGTACCATTACGACCCAGCCCTCATCGCTCGCGTGCAAAACATCGAGCTCCCCCCCAAGCAAGTACCACCCCCATCTGTCACTCTTCACCCCACACTAACACGGCACGCAGGATCAAGTGCTGTCGTTGCGAGTACGTGAAGGGCCCAGCGTGCTACGCAGCGACGCGCCTCCTCGACCTCAAGGTGGCCATCTCAAAGGACAAGCGCAACGCCGGCCCAAGGGTCAAAATGATCCCCTGCATGATGTGCACCGGCCACGACGCCCCGCTCGAGCTGGAGTGCACGGGGTGCGACACTACGTACGACATCTACAAGTTTGCTGCCGCGCAGCGTAAGGGGGCGAAGCGTGATGATGCGGTGAGTGAAGAGCGTGGCTGTGAGTGGTGAGCTGGCAATGCTGATTTCGTGCTGCAGAAGTGCTACAAGTGCCAGGAGGAGATCGATAATACGCCGACGCTCGATGAGTACGGAAGCGATAACTCGTTTGAGGGCGATGATGATGTGGACTACGAGTCGGATGAGGACGGCAGCACCTCTGGCGTAAGCCGTTCTTCTCTTTTAGGTCAACTAAGCTCTCACTGACGATATCGACCTCAGGGAACATCCCAAGCCGGCACACCCTCCAACGCCTCCGTCATCAACTCCGCCCGCGGCGGCGGCGGCGTCTCCCTCTCCGGTCTGAAGGGTAAGCTCGACCCTCAAACCCGCTTCAGTGTTCAAAAGAAGCCTACTAACGCCCCCCTCAGCCGCCCTCCCATCTATCGCATCCACCAGCATCGCCCGCCGCGCCCCAACCTCCACCATTACAAACACCACAAGCAACAACGCCAACTTTGCAAAGGTCAAGTCGGGACGCCGACAGGCGAAGTACGAGGGCGCGGAGCGGGTGCGTGCGCATGATAGGAAGGAGGCTGAGAAGAAGGAGGATTTGGATGAGGTCATGGCAAAGGACTCGGAGAGTGATTCTGAGTAGGACAGGAACGGGCGATGAGGCCAAAGAGCCGCGAGAGTAGGGGGTTGGTGGATGAGTGGTTGTTGAGTGGTAGGTGTTTTCTGCGTGCAATGGACCAGGAGCAAAGGCTTCTCTCCTCGGGGGTAGAGAAAAGAGCTATGGGAGCCCAAGGAGGCGATCATTCGTTCACATGAGTGATTCGAGATAGGTTCCGTGAAATGACTTCTGAAACTTCAATCGTTCCTTTGTTGTGTGCCCTGGCTTTCTCATGCCAACCACGTCTCGCCCGCTGCAGCATCTAAGCTCTAATTGACATGTCGTTTACTGCACTGCCGACGGCTAAGTAGACAAATCAAGGCTGAGCAGTGTTGTAATCGCAACGACGTTAGAGCAGATTGACAAAATGCTTTGGTGATTCTAAGATCGATCGATGATAAGGTATCAACCGTAGAAGAAGGTAGCTGCTCTTCACCGTCGACACATTGTCCCCTCCCATGAGGCATGCGTCGCCGCGCAGCCCGTCATACGTACATATGTACACTCCATCCATCCATGCAGCCATGCATATCATCTCCATTCCATGCCGACATGCGGTACATCCAGTATATGCAACAACCATCCTCCATCACCCACCCACCCATCGAGCGCCGATCGCTTCCCAAATCCCGTCCGTAGTAGCTCCAACAAATCAATCATCCATGCACATATATTTCCCCTCCAAATGCTACCCCTCATCCTCCTCCCCAACTTCCAGCCCAGCCAAACTCGTCAGTCCCGCCCAGAGTTCCTGCCACGCCGTCTTCACGCCTCCCTTACCTCCTCCCTCCCCACCGCCCTTCTTACCGCCCTTTCCGCCAGACGCAGTCGCGCCGTAGCCGTCGTCAAACTCGTAGCTCTCGCTATCCTCTTCCGCTTCCGAGGCGGTGGTGATGGCGCACTCCTCGCCACCTCTATCTCCGGCTCCAGCTCCAGGGCCAGGACCAGGAAGGGGAGAGTGATCGGCCTGGTACTCGGAGGCGAAGAGCCAGCTTGACGTCGATCTCGCGGACGCTGATGAGGCTGGGGATTGGGGACGGGAGGTTTGCGTAGCTTGGTCGGCGTATATGAATGGGGGTGCGGGCGGAGGGGCGGTGGGTGCGGTTTCGATGACTAGGAGGTTGGAGGCGATGGAGAGAGTGGGTTCCGAGGGTTGCGGGGGCTCATCTGAGGGTTCGTCAACGTCGTCGGTGGAGTCTTCGTCTGTGTTGGCGGAGGAGCGCGTGATGGTGATGCTGTGAAGCCTCCCATCACTGTGCTTTGCGGTCGAGAGCTGCCAGTTCATCTCCCCCTCCCCGACCTCTTCCTCGTCTTCATCACTGCCTTCCACATCCACCTCATCAGCAAAAACATCATACACCCTCCTCCGCCCCCGCATCCTCCTCCTCACAACCTCCCAATCCCCCTCCCACCGCCTGATCATCTCGGCCACCCGCTCCCTCTTAACATCCTGAATCTCCTCCCGCAACTCCGGCGCATACCCCTCTAACCTCCTCGCCCCGTCCTCGGAAGCCTGCACTTCCGCCTCAATCACCTTAAGCTGCATCTTCAACCATAGCAGCTCCGTCTGATCGAACCTGAGATCCTGCTTGAGCGCCGCGTTCTCCGTCTTGAGCGTCTCGTTGTTCGAGATCAAGGATTCTGCTTCCTCTTCTAGAGTGTCCAGGCGCGTTTCGACTTCCGAGACGTGCGTGGTGTAGCGGGTGTGGAGCTCCTCGAGGTCGGCGTGGCGGGTGCGCAGGTTGGATTCGAGTTTGCGCATGCTGGTGAGGACGCGCTGGGCTTCGAGGATGAGGAAGTCGTGTTCGGCTTGGCGGTTTTCGGGGGTGAAGATGTCGTCGGAGGTGTGCTGTTGCGCTTTGGCGTTGGCGAGTGGGGTTTCGTTGTCGTCCTTCGCTTCTTCTTCTTCGTCCTCTTCGTCCTCTTCGTCCTCCTCCATGAACAGACCCGAGTCCTCTAATTCGACGGGCGGCCGCGTCTGCGAGTGTACCGAGTCCAGCAGCCCTTCCATCTCTTGCACTTTCCGACCCACAATCGCGACAGTTTCGCGCTCGTTCTCCGACTCGCCGCGCATGAGTTGCGATTGCAGTCTACCAAGTCGCACTAACAATTGCTGCGTTTCGGGCGAAGGCGCACTAGAAGCATTGTTCGGCGTAGGTGACCGTCCATCGTCGGTGAAGTAGTCGCTGAACGGCGAGTCCTGGAGCTTCGAGTCCGGACGCTTCATAGACGGCGTGACGGGGCCGCGAGAGCTGGAGGTTGCCATGCTGCGCAAGGAACTCACGGACTGCGAGCTCGAATGTCGATGTAGCGGATGCGCGCGTCGCGCAGGAGTCGGACTGGACAGCGTCGACGATCGTAGGGTAGGGATTGTCGCACTGCTCTGCGCGCGTCGGTGTTTCGCTCTCGTCGCTGTCTCGAGGACGGGTGATGCGCTGGTGTAGCTCCGTTGCGACAATGGGGCTTGGTCGCGGGTGCGCTCTCGCTGGTTGAAGCGGCTCGAGGGGCCTGGGAAGTGCCAAGAAGTGTGGAAGAGGGAAGAGGTCCTCGAATGGCGAGAAGCAGAAGCTCCAGGCGGCGTTTCGGCGGGCATGCTGGGTTGTGCCTGCCTCTCCTCCAACCGATGACCTCGAGGTGCAGATGCGACCGAGTGGGCTGGCGCAGCTGCGGTTAAGGTTGGCGCTAGGGCCCGCCACCTTGGTCGCGCTTCCTCGATGCGGGTGGCCGGGGCTCCGAGGCCGCTGATGGAATTTGGTGTGGGATATGAGTGACATCTGCATATTAACGGTGTTTGTATTCAAGACGAACGAAATATGGTATAGATGCGCTGATGTTGCAATCGGTCAGCTCCTTCGTGTTCATCTATACCAAGCGACCTGTTCCCTAACAGAGCCGGTCCAGTATGGCCAACGTGAGTCTTTCACCGCTGTACTGCTATGACCCATCTAACAACCACGTGCACCAGCTCTCAGTCAAGCCGTCCCTGGACGAGATCAAGGACCTCCTCAGCCAGACGAAAGACCTCCCCAACGCACCCAACCTCGTGCCGCTGGTAGCGTCCATCTCCTCCGAGTTCCTCACGCCGACCGCCATCTACCTCAAGATTGCCGCCAGCGCCGACTCGAAGCTGTCCTTCCTCTTCGAATCAGCCCCCACGACCGAGACGATCAGCAGATACAGCTTCATCGGCGCCTCCCCAAGAAAAACACTCCTCTCAGGCCCCAAACATGGCTTCGAAGGAGACCCTCTGCCGCGTCTCGACGCTGAGCTCTCCCAATACCGGGTCGCACAGCTGCCCTCCTTGCGCCTCCCACCAGTCACCGGCGGGGCATTTGGATACGTGGGCTACGACTGCATCAAATACTTCGAGCCCAAGACCCGCCGGCCCCTAAAAGACATCGTCGGCGTGCCAGAGAGCCTCTTCATGCTCTGCGACACCGTCGTGGCCGTCGACCACTTCTTCCAGCAAGTCATGGTCATCACCTACCTGCACGTGCCCCCAGCCTCCTCCCCTCCTTCCGCCCTCTCGGACGCCTACACCGCCGGCAAAGCCACCCTCTCTTCCCTCCTCTCCACCATCAAATCCAAAGACATCCCCCTTCCCCCTCAACCCCCCATCACCCTCAACAACACCTACACCTCTAACATCGGCCGCCCGGGCTACGAGTCCCACGTCACCCGCCTCCGCGCCCACATTACCGAAGGCGACATCATCCAAGCGGTCCCCTCCCAGCGCATCGCCCGCCCCACCTCCCTTCACCCTTTCAACATCTACCGCCACCTCCGCACCGTCAACCCCTCCCCCTACCTCTTCTACCTCGACTGCGACGACTTCCAAATCATCGGCGCCAGCCCCGAAGTCCTCGTCAAAAGCGAAGCAGGCAGAATAATCACCCACCCCATCGCCGGCACGATAAAACGCCACCCCCTCCCCTCCGAAGACGAAGCGCTCGCCCAGACCCTCCGCGACAGCGTGAAAGATAGAGCCGAACACGTCATGCTCGTCGACCTCGCCCGCAACGACGTCAACCGCGTCTGTGACCCCACCTCCACCCGCGTCGACAAACTCATGGTCGTGCAGAAATTCTCGCACGTCCAACACCTCGTCTCCGAAGTCTCCGGCGTCCTCCGCCCGGAAAAAACCCGCTTCGACGCCTTCCGCTCCATCTTCCCCGCCGGCACCGTCTCCGGCGCCCCAAAAGTCCGCGCCATGGAACTCATCTCCGAGCTCGAAGGCGAGACCCGCGGCGTCTACGCCGGCGCGGTGGGATACTTCGGCTACCCGTCCCTCAACACCTCAACAGGCTCAGTCGCAGAAGGCGCAATGGACACGTGCATCGCACTGCGCACCATGATGACGAAGGACGGCACGGCTTTCCTGCAGGCCGGCGGCGGGATTGTGTTTGATAGCGATGAAGGGGAGGAGTATGAGGAGACGTTGAATAAGTTGCGCGCGAATATGACGTGTATTGAGCAGGCGGAGCGGTTGCATTGGGAGGAGCAGCGGGGTGATGGGGAGGAGGGGTTGGAGGAGGGGGGGAAGAGGGAGAGGGATGCGGTGGTGGACGGGGAGGGGGTGGGAGGGAAGGTTGAGATGGCTGCTGGGTAGAGATTGTAATCTCTCTGGGATTGTAGTCGAGGGATGGCGTTGGATAGATGGTTCACCATTATCTTGAATACATGAGCTCTTCCATCTTTCGTCCTCGAAGGCAAGTCAGGAGTATCATACATGGTGGAGTCTGATTCGATGTAGAAGAGGAGACGCTAAGAGGTGTTGCATGTGACCTCGCAGTTGACCTTGCAGTACTGCCCCCAAAGATCTGTATAGCTCAAGTCATTGGACGGACGTGATGCGCAGTTAGAGTGTGTTGCATATGACCTTTGCATAATGACCTTGCAGCACCCCAATGCTGGCGAACGAACGGCGAGGAGGGAACTTTTCAGGTCGTCGCCGTTGCTTGATAAGACGCAAACTGGTCGCATGTGACACAGAGCCCGAAATATACATGGTTCACAGTCACCTACTACCACACCGCCCCAACCAACCCCCTCACAACCCTCCACGCCACCCACGTCCCCACCCCCAGCACCACCACCCCAACAACAACCGTATTCCGATTCCTGCTCTCCACACTCCTCTGCCCCTCCCGCTTCTCCTCCCAGCCCTCCCCCATCTCCGTAATCGTACTGTACTCGGGCACATACTTGAACTCAAACGTCGTCTCCTCGCCCTTCAAACCATACTTGCTCTCCACGACAATACTGTAGAAGACCCTTTTCAGCATGGCGATCTTCTTCGCGTCCCAGCTGGGGACCGAGCGGTACGTGTAGCAGAATGTGCAGAAGAACAGGCACTGTCCGGCCATCAGTGCCCAGTAGTAGAGACTCGGGCGTGCGAGGCCGAGGGCGTCGCACAGGTCGTTGCCGTTCAGCCAGCGCGCGGAGGCGATAAGGAAGTCCGCCGAGGCGTAGCCGGGGGGTTGGTCCTCGAGGGATTTTATTATGTTGTTCGCTAGAATCCGCGAGGTCGGGGTCGGGTGGACTTCGTAGAGTAGCAGGGCTTCGGTGACGCGTTTGGCTTGGGAGGGGGTGGCGAAAGGGTTGGTGGGGCAGCCGATGAGGTGGGCGATGTAGCGCCAGAGGGCGATGTAGTCGGTGATTTCTTGCTGGCGGAGGTAGATGCCTTGCCGCGGGAGGGAGAGCCAGATGAGGGTGGCGGAGAAGGTGGAGATGGTGGCCATGGAGTCGAGGTCGTTGATCGGGACGCCCCAGGATTCGAGGTCGTAGTAGGAGGGGTTGGTGGCGTGGAGGGTCATGATGCGTTTGCGGACGGCGGCGTGCAGCAATCGGACTCGGATCGTTGAGGCGAAGCCGTCGCCGCCGGGTTGGAGGCTCTCCAGTGATTTTGTGCATTGTAAGATGTGCTGTGTCGTTTCGAACAGTCTGCCTCGCGCCACTTTGGTGGAGAAGCCTCCTGTTCTTGCGAGGGTCTCTACTACTCTTGCGGCGCCCATGCCGCCGAGAAGACTTTGATATGCCAGTCCTGTAAGACATGCGCCGCCGTATCGGTAGAAGACATCCTGCCCTCTTCTGATCTGCTCCCAATCCACCCAAGGCGGGACTGTATTCACCTCTGTCCAGAACCGTTGTAATAGCTCATCCTTCTCTCTATGTTGCTGTAGTATCGCATACAGATCTCTAGGTGGCGCTCTTGCTGGCTCCGTTCCAGGCGCATTCCCGTCCACTCCGCCATCCTTCTCGCCGTCTTTCTCAGGAGCCGCAGAGAACTTGCTGTTATTGCGCGGTAGATCTTTCCTGGGCGGTGGCGACAGCTCGTTCAGTCGTTCGTAGACTTGTTCGCCGAGGGTGTCGTAGGAGTGTTTGAGGGGTTCGCACTGTTCGGGTGTCAGGTGTTCGTCTGAGAGTTCGAATGTGTAGCCCCAGCATCTGATTGTCGTTAGCTTGGTTGTGACTTCCTTGCTTTTGGCTTTCACGTGAAAGTACTTGCTTTCGAGTGTTGGGTGTTGTGCGGTAGAAGGGGTTGGGCCAGGCCATGGATTGGGAGGGAGGGGTGTGCTAGTACGCCGATGACAAGACTTCCAACAACGAGGTGTAGTACAGAATGGAATGGTGTACAGGAAGGACAGTACAGGTCAGAAAGTACTTAGGCGCGGTTGTTCTAGCTCGGTCAGGTGGACTTGATAGACGTCATTGATGAATGAACTTGTCGAAGACGGTAAGCTGCAGAGCATGTGAAAGACGACCGAGGATGGCATTGCAACCATAAGGACAGCCATTTGCAAGCAGAAGACGTCGTCCGCATCCGTTGCAGCGGGCCACGGTGGTAGAGAAGGACAGACAGTGCTGGGTGGTTTGGACCCTTGGAAGGAGGAGGAGGGGAAGGAGACGTCGGAGATGGCCGCTCATATTGCTTGCTTCTCGCCTCCAACCTCACCTCTATCGCCAATCGATGCCCACCACTGGAGGGAGTTGTCCAGGCCAGCAGCGAGTCGTACGAGCCAAATTGCGTGAAGGCAATTGATTGATTGCCACCTCTTGCCGTCTACTCTGACGTCCCCACCCTTCTTCGTCAATCGGCGAGCTCCAGAGCACGATAAGGACGTCGATCTGTTCTAAGTACCACCTTTTCTGCTTTTTCGTCACATCTTCTTCGAAACAAACGTCTTGTCGTCCTGTTCAACCATCCGGCGAATGATTCAAGACTTGTACCAACGCCAGACAAGGCTCGCCATGGACTGAGACTGCCCTGTTTCCATTTCAACTCAACTACCAATCCAACCAACATGGCACCCGGCCTCGTCTCCCCCGACTCCAACCCCGACCCAGCAGTCGACAAGCCCACCCAACGCTCCCTCGAATCACTCACTTCCACCTACGACGACACCCTCCGCTTCTACCTCAACGGCACCAAAGTCACCCTCGACACCGCCGACCCGGAACTCACCCTCCTCGAATACCTCCGCGGCATCGGCCTCACAGGCACCAAACTCGGCTGCGCCGAAGGCGGCTGCGGCGCCTGCACCGTCGTCGTGTCGCAGTACAACCTCACCACCAAGCAAATCTACCACGCCTCCGTCAACGCCTGCCTCGCCCCGCTGGTGAGTGTCGACGGCAAACATGTCATTACCGTCGAGGGGATCGGGAACGTGAAGAAGCCGCATCCCGCGCAGGAGAGGATTGCAAAGGGGAATGGGAGTCAGTGTGGGTTCTGCACGCCGGGGATTGTGATGAGCTTGTATGCGCTGTTGAGGAATACCGAGAAGCCGTCAGAGCTGGAGGTGGAGGAGGCGTTTGATGGGAACTTGTGTCGGTGTACGGGATATAGGCCAATTCTGGATGCGGCGCAGTCGTTTGGGGCGAAGAGTGGGTGCGGGATGGCCAAGGCGAATGGGGGGAGCGGGTGTTGTATGGAGAAGGGGGAAAAGGGGTGTTGTCAGAATGATGGTATGGATGGGGGAAACGACTCAGTCATCAAGTTCGACCCGCCTGATTTCATCGAGTACAATCCACAGACTGAGCTCATCTTCCCGCCGGCGCTTAAGAAGCACGAATTCAGGCCTCTGGCGTTTGGCAACAAGCGGAAACGATGGTTCAGGCCGGTCACACTCCAACAGTTACTGGAAATCAAAAGCGCATATCCCTCGGCAAAGATTATCGGCGGCAGCACAGAGACGGCGATCGAGGTCAAGTTCAAGGCGATGCAATACACCGCTTCGGTGTTCGTTGGCGATATTGCAGAGCTAAGGCAGTACAAATTTGCGGAGGATCATCTCGAGATCGGCGGCAATGTAGTCCTCACAGACCTTGAAGGCCTGGCGGAGAAGGCAGTAGAGCACTACGGCAAGCAGCGAGGTCAGCCATTCACCGCAATGCTGAAGCAGATTCGATACTTTGCTGGACGACAGATAAGGAACGTAGGAACACCTGCCGGCAATCTGGCGACGGCATCTCCCATCTCTGACCTCAACCCCGTCTTCATGGCGACGAACGCGACACTGGTGGCCAAGTCGCTGGATCAGGAGCTTGAGATACCCATGAGCGAGTTCTTCAAAGGCTATCGAGTGACTGCCCTACCACCAGATGGAATCATCGCGAGCATACGCATTCCTGTCTTCAACGAGAAAGCCGAGTACATCCGCGCATACAAGCAGGCGAAACGGAAAGACGACGACATCGCCATCGTCAACGCTGCTCTCCGAGTCAAGCTAGACGGCGAGAACAACGTCGAGAACTGCAGCTTAGTCTACGGCGGCATGGCACCCATCACCATCTCCGCCAAAACCGCCGTGCAATACCTCACCGGCAAGAAATTCACCGACCCCAAGACGCTCGAAGGCGTCATGAACGCTCTCGAAGACGACTTCGACCTCCGCTTCGGCGTCCCGGGCGGCATGGCCACGTATCGCAAATCCCTCGCTCTGGGCTTCTTCTACCGCTTTTACCACGAGATCCTGCAGGAGCTCAACCCGCCGGACTCGACGGAGGTGGATGAAGACTGCATTGCGGAGATTGAGCGGGAGATATCGAAGGGCTCGACGGATCGCCATTCGTCTGTTGCGTATGAGAAGAAGGTCATTGGCAAGGAGCAACCGCACGTTGCGGCGCTGAAGCAGTGTACGGGCGAAGCGCAGTATACGGACGATATCCCGCCGCAGAAGAATGAGTTGTATGGGTGTTTGGTGCTGTCTACCAAAGCGCATGCGAAGATCTTGTCGGTGGATTCTTCGCCGGCGCTGGATTTGCCAGGGGTGGTGGACTACGTCGACAACAAGGACCTCCCGAATGCTGATGCGAATTGGTGGGGCGCGCCGAAGTGCGATGAGGTGTTCTTTGCGGTGGATGAGGTTTTTACCGCTGGTCAGCCCATTGGGATGGTGTTGGCGACGGATGCGAAGAAAGCTGAAGCTGGCGCGAGGGCGGTGAAGGTTGAGTATGAGGAGCTACCTGCCATCTTCACGATTGAGGAGGCGATTGAGCAGGACAGCTACTTTGACCACTACCACTACATCAACGACGGGGATGTGGAGAAGGCGTTCAAGGAGTGCGATCACGTCTTTACTGGTGTGGCGAGAATGGGTGGGCAGGAGCATTTCTACCTCGAGACGCAGGCTTGCGTCGTGGTGCCCAAGCCGGAGGATGGCGAGATGGAAGTCTTCTCCTCCACCCAAAATCCCTCCGAGACGCAGGCGTACGTTGCGCAAGTCACAGGCGTGGCCGCAAACAAAATTGTCACGAGAGTAAAAAGACTAGGCGGCGGTTTCGGCGGCAAAGAAACACGCTCCGTCCAACTCGCCGGCATCTGCGCCACCGCGGCCAACAAGACCAAACGCCCGGTCCGCTGCATGCTCAATCGCGACGAAGACATCCTCACCTCCGGGCAACGGCACCCCTTCCTCGCGCGCTGGAAAGTCGGTGTGAACAAGGACGGCAAGCTCCAGGCTCTCGACGCCGACGTCTTCAATAACGGCGGCTGGTCGCAGGACCTCAGCGCCGCTGTCGTGGACCGCGCCCTCTCGCACTGCGATGGCTGCTACCGCATCCCCAACGTCTTCGTCCGGGGCAGGATATGTAAGACGAATACAGTCTCCAACACCGCTTTCCGCGGTTTCGGCGGACCGCAGGGCATGTTCATCGCCGAAACGTACATGGAAGAAGTCGCCGACCATCTGGGAATGTCTGTCGACAAACTCCGCGAAATCAACTTCTACGCCCCCAACGAACCCACGCACTTCCGACAGGAACTCAAAGACTGGTACGTGCCCCTCATGTACCGCCAACTCCTCGCCGAGTCCTCCTACACCCAGCGCAAAGAGGAGATCGCAACCTTCAACGCCGCATCCAAGTGGAAGAAGCGCGGCCTCGCCCTCATCCCGACCAAATTCGGCATCTCCTTCACCGCCCTCTTCCTCAACCAAGCCGGCGCCTTAGTCCACATCTACCACGACGGCTCCGTCCTGGTAGCCCACGGCGGCACAGAGATGGGCCAAGGCCTGCACACGAAAATGACCATGATCGCCGCTGAAGCCCTCGGTGTCCCACAAGAATCCGTCTTCATCTCGGAGACCGCCACCAACACCGTCGCCAACACCTCCTCCACCGCCGCCTCCGCTTCATCCGACTTGAACGGCTACGCCATCTGGAACGCCTGTGCGCAGCTGAACGAGCGGCTGGCGCCTTTTCGCGAAAAGCTGGGCGAAAAAGCGACGATGAAGGAGCTCGCGCACGCCGCGTACTTTGATCGCGTAAATTTGTCGGCGAATGGGTTTTACAAGACGCCGGATATCGGGTATGTGTGGGGTCCGAATACGGGACAGATGTTCTTCTACTTTACGCAGGGCGTCGCTGCAGCAGAAGTGGAAATCGACTGTTTGACGGGGGACTGGACGTGTAGGCGTGCGGATATCAAAATGGACGTCGGGCGCTCGATTAACCCTGCTATCGGTAAGTTTTTGGCCTTCTTCTTCTTCTTCTTCTTCTTCTTCTTCTTTTTCTTTAACGCAGTGAGTATTCCCCACCGTTACTAATTGCGTGGATGGAACAGACTACGGACAAATCCTCGGCGCCTTCACCCAAGGCCTCGGCCTCTTCACCATGGAAGAATCCCTCTGGCACCGCGCCTCCGGACAAATCTTCACCCGCGGCCCGGGCGCGTACAAAATCCCCGGCTTCCGCGACATTCCCCAGTCCACCAATATCTCCCTGCTGAAGGACGTGAACTGGGAGAACCTCCGCACGATCCAACGCTCCCGCGGCGTCGGGGAGCCGCCGCTCTTCCTCGGGTCAGCGGTGTTTTTTGCGATACGAGATGCTCTGAAAGCGGCTAGGAAACAGGAGGGGGAGGAGGGGGTTTTGAGCTTGAGGAGTCCGGCGACGGTGGAGAGGATACGGTTGGCGTGTGCGGATCCGATTGTGAGAAGGGCGAGGGTGGAGGCGAAGGAGGGGGAGAGGAGTTTTTTTGTTAGTATCTAGATGGTTTCATGACTGCGTGACGAGTATGGTATGGCTGGGGTGGTTTGGGACTGCGGACTTGACTTTACAGATACAGGTTGGGTACCAAACGAAGAGCATCTCTCTAATGCACACAGTTGAACGCTGATGACCCCAGAAGATGAAGAAGAAGAAGAGTAATCGATCGATCGATCTCATCGTTTCATTCACCGCGCTCATCACCATTGCCACACAGCATGTAAACCGCCCCAATCATCCCGAGCTGTCCGTGGCTCAATCCCACCTTCTTAGCGTAGGTAGCAAGTCCTCCTATACGCCTCGCGGCAAATCGATATAACCCCGTGCCCGTAAAAATCCACCACCCACCTTTTTGTGGCGATGCTCGTCGCCGTGCGCCTTGCCTGCCAATTCAGCCAGCCATATCGCAAACGCCCGCCCCATCCCATCATGGCGACTTCAAAAAACGCTCGCTGGTTCGTATCAACATCGCACATCGCTCATCGCTTGAAAAACTCCTTAAACTTCGTGCTCGTGCCTCCCGCCGCGCTGCCGGAGGGTTCGACGTGCTTGCTGCGCTCGAACAACTCCTACTCCACTCGTCAGTACAGTACACCCTTCCCCACAGAACAAACCCAGCACGGAGAGGAAACCGGAATGTAAAACTCACATCCTCATCCCTTACCAACCTAACATCCAACACCAACTCCCTCACCCCCTCCCCCGCCCTCCCCGTACCCCCTAACCCGCGATAAGGCATCCCCTGCGCCTTTTGCAACCCCACAATCACCTCGCCCATAATCTCAAATTTCTTCCAATTCACCCGCCTCTCCTTGCCCTCACCAAGGAAAGTCTCGTTCCCTTGCTCCGCGCCCATCAAGTCCCGTAAAGGGAGCGGGAGATACGGGATCCGCTCGCTCGAGCTATTCTCCCACGCCAGGCGGTAGGCGAAGAAGGAGCGGGTGGGGGCCATGAGGATTTCCAGCTTGAGCCAGTCTTTGCCCACGTGCTGGGGGATGAGTTCGCGCGTGGCGCCGAGACGGTGCACGGCGGTGGATTTGACGCCCGCGATGATGGCGCCGAGGGCGTTGTAGTTGTTCATCTCGCGCAGCTTCCGCGCGACGCGCATGAATTTCTCCAGCATCAGGGCGCGGTGCTTCGGCTTGTCGCGCAGGAGCATGTAGTTGGCGACCCACGAGGCGAGGTGGTTGAAGTGGTCGATCATTCTATTGACGTGGACGAGGTTCTTGCAGGTGGCCTTTTGCTCGTCGCTGAGGGAGACTTGGCGCACGAGGTCGCGCGGGCGGATGGAGGAGAACATCAGCCAGTCCATGCGGGTGAGCTCGCGGGCGATCAGGTCGTCGGGGTATTCCATGAGGAGACGCCATTGGGTTTTCGACAGGGGGAGGCGGGGGACGGGTTGGAGGAGCTCGGCTTGGCGTTGGGCGGCTTCGGCGCTAATCATCACTTGGGAGGAGAGGGTGGAGGAGGACATGGAGCGGGGGGCGTCGGTGTCGGGGGTGTGAGTTACGCTGGGGTCGTCGAGGAGCGTGCTGCCGCTGAGTGTGAACTCGCTGCCAAAGGAGAATCGGGGGTCGTCGAGGAGTTTGCTTGCTGTCGAGGGCAGTGAAGAGACCGTCCGATCCGACATCTTACTGTCTCGGTCCTTGTCGCAGTAACCCCAATGCGTGTCGTCGTCTTCTTGCACGCCGTCCAGCTCGGCATTGATCTCCTTTGCTGCAACGCCGAAGATTCGTTCTTGCGAGAGCTTGCTCACGAATGTCCGCATGCGCTTCTTCGTCTTGGGAAAGGCAAAGTCGCCAGGATACGTCCCAACCCATTGTTCCAAGATCGAAACATACCGTAGCTGGCTCACAGTCTTGATCAGGAGAGCGTTGCCGTTTCGCTCCAGAGCATCAAAACGCTCCACAATGGCTTCGAGAAGCCGTCCGGGCGCAGCGAACTTGCGATAGAGGGCCAAGAATATAGCAGTGAACTTGCTATCGACCTTCGAGGTAGGCTGGGCCAGCAATCGATCAACGAGTTCGTCAAAGGTAGCGCCGTTTTCACTGAGCGCCGAAACCGGCTGAACCGTTCCCAAAGCATGCTGTCGAGCGCCTTCGCTAGCAGAAGCAGTAGACTCAAAAGACGCCTCGCTCGTCGACTCCTCAAACAAGAAAGACTGCGGCATCTCCTGCTGGGGTTCCTCATGCGGCACGCCTAGCCTATCTTTCGAGTGATACCCCGGCCCACTGGAGTCATGGCGCGAATGCCGTGAGTCCTTCGAGATACTCCCCGTGTACTCCGACGTCGCGCGCGTATGGCTGGGCGGCCGTGGCGACACCGGACGAACAGCACTGGACTGCGCTCTCCGCCGGGTGTCGGTCGAGCTCCGCGCTTCATCCTTCGGAGGCGCGGACAGAATCGCGCGCAGGATCATCGACAACCCTCGCTTGTGCGTTTCGGGAGTGCTAGCAGAAGTCTGAAGAGTATCGACGACTTTCAGCGACCGTCTTGCTCGGTTCTCGACATCTGCTGGATCCACTTCCGCCTCCTCAGGTGAGGCATCGCATTTGCAGGAGACGAGCACAGAAGGTATCCCGGTCTTGTTGATAGCCCGCAGCATTTCTGGCACATACTCCAGACTGCCCTGGTCTTTGACGTCGTAGAGAGTCAACGCGCCATCGATGCGCGGCATCATCTTGTCCTCGATCGTCTCGGGCCAGCTAACAGTGTTGTCGTCCTCGTCGATGTCCACATCGTCTATAGACAGCTCCAGTAACCGCACAATATACTCTTCCCCCTTGATCGACAGTTTCCGCTCCGCCGCCTGCGAACCAGGCAGATCGTCAAGGTCCAGCGCCTTCTGCATAAAAGTCGACTTGCCCACCCCTTCCGCCCCGAGAATCGCAATATTGATATCCGGCACCGGCTCAGAAATCTACACCACCAAAGCTTTAGCAATCCCCTTCTCTCACCCTCTCGCAACCACGAGCCACCCTACCTCAGGATTCTGAAACGGCTGGAACCGCTTCACCGCCCCCACCACTCCAGCAACCTCATCCTCATCCCTCGCATCTTCCGCCCCGGCCCCTGCTTCCCCCCGCCGTGCATCCGACACCCCCTTACCGCCCCCACCCCCATTCCGTCCCCCCGACTCAATCGTCGGCGCCGAGTTCGTCCGCCCCTTCATCCCCGGCCTCTCCCCCTCCCTCACAACCCCCAACCCCCCGCTCCCCTCCACCTGCCTACTCCCCCTCCTCGTGCCCTCATACTGACTACTCTTCGCCTTCTCCCGCCGCTCGCTTCCGCTGCTCTTGCTGCTGCTGTTGTGCTGGGCGTCATTGCTCGAGGACGACGGGCCGGACTTGGAACTGCGTCGCGAGGAGCTCGGCGGAGGCATTGGAGTCCTGTGGTCCTTGCCAGCTCAGCACAGCTTCAGCTTAGCACCCCCACGTGTTCGCGTTTATGCTGCTTGCTTCTTGTTCCTTTCCTACGCTGCTGCGGTGCGACGGCGGGTGCTTGCGACCGTCTTCTCCATGCTCGTGTACGGGCTCGAGGGATAGTCGGAGAGGGGGAAGCTCAATTGCTGCTCGTCATGTTCGCGCGGTTCTGGTGCATAGCGTAGGGTAGCCTGCGTTTGCTTTTTTGTGGCTTATCACATGCAATTTCCCTTTCGCAGCGATTGGGGAACCGGATGTGTTCGTGGAAGAAAGGACCAGGAACGAGTGTGAAGGGTTCAGGTATGTACAATGTGCCACAGTCGAACGACCAGCTCAGCTCAGCTCGAGCGCGATCGAGGCGAAACAACAAAAACGAGTCAGGTGTGCTGCGCGTTGCATGTGCGTCTCGCTGCCGTCTGGGATCGTTGGGTGCCGCGGTGTCAAAACGATTCAGTGCCGGCAGCAGCCCAAACTCAATGCGGTCGGAGGCGACGGGGAGGAGGTCCGTAAAACCAGGACAACAGGACCAACCTGGTTGCCGAGTCTGGGCGGGGTGGTAAGTACCGGTGAAGTGTCGCGTGATCGATATTGAGGCCTCGTTGCATAGACAGAAGACGTATAATCATCAAGCCCAACGGTACTCTTGTAATTGACTCGCTTAAGCATATGTACTTCCAGTCACGCCACCCTCCCAGTCACCAACACCTACCCCTACAATCTATCTCTCACAACCACCTACGCATCAATCAAATTCCCCTCCCCATTCTGCTGCTGCCCATTCTGCCCCTCCTCCTCTTCTCCGTCATTATCCCTCGTCCCTTTCTTCCCCTGCCTCGAGTAATACTGATCCAACACCTTCTTCGGAATCCGGTTCAGCAGCTCCTTGGGGTAAATCCTGAGCAACTCCCACGCCTGGTCCAACCCATCGAAGATACTCCTCTTCTCGTACGCGCCCTGGTTGATGTACGTCTTCTCGAACCGCTCCATAAAGTCCAGGGACAGCTTGTCTTCGTTCGACAGCGCTTCCTCGCCAACGACGGCTTTCATGGCCGCGGCGTCGCGGCCGATGGCGTATTTGGCGTAGAGCTGGTTGGAGACGTCGGAGTGGTCGCCGCGGGTGTGGCCTTCGCCGATGGCGGACTTCATGAGACGGGAGAGCGAGGGTAGGACGTTGATCGGGGGGTAGATGCCTTTGTTGTAGAGGGCGCGGTCGACGAAGATTTGGCCTTCGGTGATGTAGCCTGTCAGGTCGGGGATGGGGTGGGTGATGTCTAGATAATATCGTTAGCACAGCAACTTATGAATACTAAAAAGTGACTGGAGGCTCACCCTCGTTCGGCATAGTCAAGATGGGGATCTGCGTGATACTGCCGTTGCGGCCCTCCACACGTCCGGCTCGCTCGTAGATGGTCGACAAGTCAGTGTACATGTAACCCGGGTATCCTCTTCGTCCTGGCACTTCTTCTCGAGCAGCCGAGACTTCACGAAGGGCGTCGCAGTAGGATGACAGGTCGGTGAGAATGACCAGGACGTGCTTCTCGAGCTGGTAGGCGTAGTACTCTGCGGTCGTGAGGGCCAGACGGGGCGTGATGATACGTTCGATGCTGGTATGGTTGTCAGTATGCACTCCGCTTCACAGCTCAGGCTATTGCTCACGTCGGGTCGTTGGCCAAGTTGGTGAACAGCGTCACCCTCTCCATACTTCCGTTCTCCTCAAACTCCCTCGTGAAGAACCGGCTGGTCTCCAAGTTCACACCCATAGCACCGAAAACAATGCTGAAGTTGTCCTCGTGGTTATCATGCGTGCCTTTGTTCATGCTCTTCGCCTGTTGCTGCTGCACCAAACCAGCCTGTCGACAAATCTGCGCGGCGATCTCGTTGTGTGGCAGACCGGCAGAGCTGAAGATGGGGATCTTCTGCCCACGAGCGACAGAGTTCATGGTGTCGATGGCGCTGATACCGGTCGAGATCATCTCTTCGGGGTAGACACGGTTGTAGGGGTTGATGGGCGAGCCGTTGATGTCTAGGTAGTCTTCTGCGAGCACCTTGGGTCCCTTGTCAATGGCGCGACCGGAGCCGTCAAAGATACGGCCCAGCATGTCTTCGCTGACACCGAGCTTGAGGTTGTGGCCGGTGAATTCGACTTTGGTCTGTACGCATGGTGGTTAGGCAAGCGAATAAGAGGATAGAAGTTGTAGGAGCATACCCTCTTGACATCAATGCCAGAAGTGCCCTCGAACACCTGCACCACAGCTCGGTTGCCTGTTCATACCATCAGTACACCCTTTTTGCAGATATACGCAACCTCGTCCAACAAACCTCTCGCCTCCAGCACCTGCCCACTCCTCTCCGTGCCATCGGGAAGTGTCAAGGACACAATCTCGTTGAATCGTGGGAATTTGACCTGTACACTCCTTAGCCGCCTGACCGTGTTCTTCCGCCTGTCTTCCTTACATTCTCCAAGATGACCAGCGGCCCATTGACACCACCGATGGTGTTGTACCGCACTCGCGGCTTGATGCTGATCTTCCTTGGGTCGTTCTCGCCTGCCATGCTGCTGATCTTGCCGCCTGCTTTTCGAACGGCGGGATGAAGGTATTACGAGGTCTTCAGCAGGCGTTTGGGAGGGTAGAAGGGGTGCGTGTGCGGATGTATTGGCGGCGATGCTCGAGTGGGAGGTGGATGTGCTTCTTCTGAAGCCGAAGCTCTGGTTGAAGCTGCCCTGCCCAGAATCCCGAAGCTAGCTCATCCCGCCACGTGCATATAGCAGGCATACAATCATTTCGAAGAGGTACTTATTACATACAACGACTACAAACAGGCTCATCATTCATCATCAGTGCTTGAAGGGCTGCGCGCATGTAGTACGTAGCACTTCAATGGCACGAGGTAGAGCGCAGGAGCCGGCACTATCCACAGACTACGAGAAGCAGGACAGAAGACTGCAAGGCAGGAAGACATGACATTTGGCTGGCTATGTAAGTATTATCTTGCTCTGTAGCAGGAGGCTCGGTGGCGGTGCCTGACTGTACCAGAACACCGGACGAGGACAACACGACGAGTACCTGTCAGACCAGCATAGTCAGCAGTGCTCTTCTTCGCTCAAGGCATGCATGTTTGAGATCGTGAACGTGCTGGGAGTCAGACATCCAAGGAAGATTGCGCGCTCATCGACCCTCTGTTAGGTTCTTAGGCGAGGGCTAGCGTGGAAACTGCGAATGTAGGAAAAGTTTTCATCATCCAGCTGGGGAGGCTTGTGTGCAGGCAAACAGTCGTACCGCGAAGGGCAGAGCTTGCGCAGGAAGCCGAAGGGTAAGAGAGATGAACGTACATGTAAGATGTCGACGGGTAGAAGGATTGTTCGGGCGTGTTAGCAGTGTAGCTGGTGGATGGAGATGAAGATGTTGTAAGCAGGCCTAGAGGCACAACCACTTTTCGGACGCTTGAATCAGACCTGAAGGATCAAATCAGTGACCTTTCTCTCGAAGTTGCGATGCCATGATGATGAAAGGATATGCGTCAGACAAGAAGTACTGGCAAGTATTACACCACCGTGCGAAGGGCGGCGAGGTGAATGGTCTCATGGTCGATCGAGTGGGAAGAAGAAGTTTTCAAGGGTGTCATCTTGCGCGAGGTGGGGTGATTGAGGTGTAGAATGGTGTCACTTACCATGAGTGTGTGCGGCGATAGAGGATGTGTTTGTGGTTGAATGTCGAGGTGGTGAAGAGAGAATTTATGATGAGAGGAAGCTCCAGATAATAATCCCTCGGCCCAGTCCCGGCGCTAAGGCCCAAAGAGGACGTCGCTTTTGGCCCTGCTGCGAAGCGAGACTCAACGTCGTGCGCCTTTGCGACTGCTGCTTTCTGTTCTTCGATCTCGAGTCCATCAAGCCTTGATACACCTCTCTCGATCGTCTGAAGCCTCGCAAAGCTGGTGGAAGAGCGGCAAGAAGGGCAGAGACTCCAGCAGGCCATATATCCTGACCGGTGAAGTGCCGAGCCTAAGGTCGTGGGCGACCGCCGCGAAACAGCGAGATCACCGAACGACCAAACACTCCAACACCCGCCGACGACACTTCACCACCGTCGCCAATCGCCATAGAAGGACTGGTGTCGGTCGCTATCGTATTGCGCGATTCCACCCATACCACTCCGTCCAGCAGCAGCGACCTCACCCTGCTCCATCCAGCCCCGCGACTTCACGGCCTCGCTCGCTCTTACACGCCGTCTCGTGATTCCAGATTACTCTAGCCCGATCCGCAGCGCCGTGCGACCACCACTCCATCGAGATCTCGTGCGGCGAGCAACCGCATCCGCTTCCACCGTCTCTCCACAACAACAGCCCTAGAACACCGTCTCACGGCCAAGCGCGAAAGGTCCCCATTGAGAGCGCCGATGCTGTAGTAGCAGACGTCGCCCTATGAAGTGGACTGCCTCTTCTTCACCATCTGCGCGACCGTCATTCGGCCGGTGGCCCGGGCTCCTCGCGAGCACCACCACCCAGGTCCGCAGAGCTACCGCACGCTTGGACACTACGGATATAGGAAAGAGAAGCCAGTGAGGCCCGTAGCAAGATGATGGCGGCCTACCAACCACAGCCAGGAGCTATGCATCCCGGCATGGCGCCGCACCAGCATCCCGGCATGACACCTGGCCAGCCCATGACGCCGGCGCAAATGCAGCAGATGGGCCATCCAGGAGGATCGGGCCCGGGGCAACCGCATGTTTCGCAAGCTGGCGGTATGATGGGCATGCAGCAGGGCGCCAACGGTATGGGTGTACCGGGTGGCATGGGCGGGCAGATGGCTATGCTCAACCAAATGGGCGGACAGAGCATGGCGGGTGGGATGCCGAATGCGCAAGCATTCAGCCAGATGACCCCGATGCAACAGCAGCACCTGATGCAGCAACAACAACACATCAGTGAGTCGTCCACACGTTATACAGTCGCTCTAGTTTGCATGCTAACTTTCGTGACTCAGTGAACAATCCTCAAGCCATAATGCAACAGCAACAGCAGATGGCCATGCGGAGACAGATGGCGCAGCAGCAGATGATGCAACAGCAGCAGCAGCAAGGTGGAATGCACGGTATGAGCCAGCAGCAGCTCCAGCAGATGCAGCAGAACAACCAGTCGATGCAAGCGCAGGGCGTGCAACTTCCTCCGCATCTGGCGCAGGCTCAGATGGCTGCAAACGCGGCACGCCAGCAACAACAGCAGCAGCAGCAGCAACAACAAGCTCAGCAAGCCCAGAACCAGCATATGCAGCAGCTCGCGATGCAGCAGGCAAGCTCGCAGCAAAGCAACCACGGTGGGCAGCCTACTGCACCAAGTCAGCCGTCTGGTCAACCGCAACAACCGCCACAAATGCGTCCCCAGTCTCGTATGGCCAATCCGAATGACCCCAGCCAAGTGCAAGGGCAGCAGACTCCACAGCCCGGTGGCCCAGGCCAGCAACAGCAGCAGAGCGCGCAGGGTCAACACCAGAATCCGCAACAAGGCACCCCTCAGCAGGGTCAGCAACAGATGACTCCTCAACAGCAGCAGCAGCAGCAGCAGGCTTTCTTGATGAGGCAACGCCAAATACAACACCAACAGCAGCAGCAGCAGGCACAAGCGCATGCGCAAGCCCAAGCGCAGCAGCAACAACGTATGGCGCAGTCGCAACATACGCAACCTGCCGGCCTGTCCATCCTGCGTTTGGTACATTTGTGTGACGAGCTCAGCCAATTCGATGACGTAGCGGGCAAGGACATCTCACAATGGCATCAGATCATTGACAAGCATTTCGCCCCCGAGGGCCGGCTCGTCCACCGATTCGACCCCAAATCTGGCACTGGGAAGACCTTTGAGGTTCCTCGACCTACAATTGCGAGGTACTTCCAGACGTATTTCGAGTCTGGCGCGGACTCCGTGCGCATCCACGCAGACCATCCTCGCGAGACCAACATGAACAATCGGTTACACGTGGCGTATCAGAGTTCCACCTTCGCTGTGGGATACCCTACCGGAGCACGGCTAGAGATGCGTGGCAGCATGAACTTCCTCTTCGCCGCCGGTACCGACGCGATAGAGTGCATGGAGATCAAGACGACGAAGTTCGAAGAGGTCATCCCACGGTCCAAGATTGAAGACCTTCTCAGCTCTTGGAGTCCGACAATGGACACCACCTCCAAGTCACCCAAGATGACGAAGAAGCCGCCCAAGTCACAACAAAAGGCTCCTTCCGGGCTCGACGGGCTGACCATCGAGCACTTCCCCAAGACCCCCAAAGGTCCCATGGGCGCGCCGAAACACGTACAGCAGTTCTTAGAGGTGAGCGCAACCCTTCAGCCACCCACGCACAATAGCACGGCTGACGGCTTCTGAACACTATAGATAGGCGAGACAATGAACATTATGAACGACCTTGTCGGCTTCGCAGGGGACTCCAACCTCCGCCCTTCGCAAGCGCTCGAACAACTCGTCCGCACCTACGAGCAGACAAATCTCCAACCTCATCAACAACAACCACAGCACGACGGGAACCCGCAGATCAACCTCCCGCCCAACGGCATGACACCCGGCAGTCGCACGCCGAGCATGGCGAACATGTCCATGCCTGGTGGCCAACAGCCGAATCACTTCTCCTCGCCCGCCCTCTCCAACATGTCCGGCCCTGTGATGAACGGCTCCCCGCACATCCCCCACAACCCCAACCTCACCGCCCCTCACAACATGCCGCCGAATTCGCACACCCCATCCCCGCATCAGAGCAACATGGCCGCGCCCCCGATGCTCCCGCAGCACTCGCAGCAAGGCACGAGCAGCTCCGCGGCGAGCGCGAACACGAGCCCGAACGTCGGCAACAAGCGCCGCAGGAGCACGGTGAAGATGGAAGGGGACGAAGGCAGTGGTGAGGGCGGAGGGGCGCATGGCGCGGGGAGGGTGAAGCCGAGTCCGCGGCTGGGGAAGAAGAACAAACCTGGTGGTGGGTGATGGTGTTGTTGAGGGAATGGGTGGGATTGTGTTTTGAAGCGCGGCGTTCTTTTGATGGGAGGGGCGGTATCAGCGCGGTCTGTGCCTTTTGACTATGCTGGCACGAGCGCGGAGCGTATAGGGTAATGATGTCGCGAGGACGGGGGCGCTTGGATAGGATAGTGCGCGCTGCGGTTATAGTAGTAGGTAGTGATGATAGGAGGAGGCTTGACTATATGGTATAGGCACTGTACGATACTTTGACCTCGTCCGACATCATCGTTTTTCTATGGCGCTTGTTGCATCCGACCTTTGACTTGGGGTGGAGCGGAGACTTCCAGGTTCCTTGCAATGTGCACTCGCCTCAACTCACGACCACCTCACCTGCTACTCCTTCATGCCTCCGCTAGATACCATGGACTCACCCAGACTCATGCCTACGGCCCTCAAACGCCGCCGCCGTAGTGCTTGGCAGTCTAGATGGTCTCGTCCGCCGATGGATGATATTCCAGTGGTACGGTCAGGCCCATTTAGCCGCCTTTCCGGCTGGCGACTTTGATACAAAAGGGCGCCGCGTCCCACGATCCGGCTTCGTACGACGGTCGGATCTTTCGTTTCTTCGGTATCGTTCCTTCGGTCTGCGAGGCGCGGTCTGCGAGACTCGGTCTGCGATTTAATCTGAGGAGATACTGGATATTCTAGAACGCGGTTAATGTATAAGAAGCCATCAACTCGCTGCTAAGCCCGGACTCCAAACACACCCGCAACGACCACACAGCACTACCGCCACCATTCCAGCCCTCCCGCTCAAACCCAACACCACCGGGCCACAGCAAGCCCACTCGCTCCCGCCCACCATGGACCCTAGCACAGAATCACTCATGCACATGCCCAACGCCTTCCGCTACTGGAGCGAAATCCCACTCTACATGAAGATCCTCGCCGTCAACGCCCTGCCCATCGCCTACGTGACCGCGGAGCTCGTGGACGGATACAACAACTGGCACGCCCTCGGCCAGGGGGGCTTGCCGCATAATTTCCTGGGGTACCTGATTAACCTTGTGATTACGGTGGTGTTTGCGAAGCGGGACACGAAGGGCACAGAGTGCTATCGGAAACCGGAGCGGTATGCGATGGGGTGGGGGGAGGCGGGGAAGGAGGAGCGGGAGAGGGTGACGAAGGGGTGGGGGTTGGGTAAGGTGGGACGGAGGGGTGGGGAGGCGGGGGAGGCGAAGTGGTATGTTGCGCCGCAGCGGGAGCATTATGCGCGGAGGGGGGTGGATCCGCAGCTTAAGACGGTAGGTCGTTCTTTCCTGAGTGGGATGATGTGCAGGGCTAATGAGAGGCTAGGCATACTTCGACGGCTTCACCCAATTAGCAGACAAACACACCGATTCCCTAGCCTGGAGCACCTCCGTCCTCGAACGGCACGGCCAAGCTCTCTTCTTGAAGGAAAGCTATTCCATCCCGACGCTGATCGCGAAGTGCAAGCGCGAGGTAGCGCATATCCACGAGAGCGATCTTTCAGCGCACGTCCTCCTGTCCTTCGCAGACGCGAAGCGAGTCATCGAGGAAGGCTGGGGCGAGCGGCATCGCTTGACGGGGACGAGGTTTCTGCCGCTGGGGTATACGATGTTGTATGCTCCGAGGGATAAGGGGGAGGTGGAGGTGCTGTTGGGGATTTTGGAGGCGGGGATGCGGTATGCTGAGAGTAACGGGAAGGCATCATAGACGTTTCGAAGGCGGGAGAGCGTGGCGTTTGGGGGATGATGATGATAACCTAGTGAAGTGAGAGAAATGTTGCAAACCGACCTTTGGCTCACGGTGCTCACAGGGATGTCATGGCTGCGTTCGAACGTGGTGCGCTTACCTTGTCGAGTTTTCTCTATGGCAACTCTACCAGCTCAGCCCCTTTCCAAACTCAGAAGAACTTGGATTTCATTCGACCTTGACTGAAGCCAGTCGTCAACCGCCTTCCTTCACTTTCGCACCCACCACACCGATCGAAACGCTTGCCATGAATCCCCCAACATGAACGACGACGATCTCGTCCTCCTCGCCACCGCCTGCAACATACTCTCCTGGATCGCCGTCTGTATCCGATCACTCCGCTTTGACAACTACACCCACGAGGATAGAGAAGTCTATGCAGGCTGACTTTGGCAGCGCAATGCCCCCTCGGCATATTGTCACCCAGCTGTCCTGTCCTGTATGGCTGCTATTTGCCTCCCAACGCGAGACTCTTGGACCGATGGCATCATGGTGCGGTTCGCACTCGCGGACCCGATCGCAGGCTTGGTACGATTGTGCTTCCTTGGAGAGATTCATCGACTGGTGTCATCGCTTCGCGGGTAAAGACGGCAGCGGGCATCTCAAAGAGCTCGAGGAAGATGGGGTGGGGCTTGCTGGCTTCGGCATCTTCGCGAATGTGTTCATGCTGTGGTCTTGGTGTCTTATCTGGTTCAAGCTGCGGCACGAGCAAGTCTCGGTGGATGTTGAAGGATTGAGGGAGGGAAAGGACAAAGTGGTTTTGGTATTAGCAGGGGCAGAGCGACGTCCTGACCGCACAGAGGCCTGTCTTTAGATGCTTCAAAGTTGTCATGGGATAGATGCTTCCTGTCGCGATACGGCCAGAGTGTCGGCTGTAGATGAGAGAACGCTCTTTGATCGTTAGCGAAGATGAGAGAGGCTATTATTGTTCTTAGACTAAGGTACAGTATGTTAGGATTCGGCTAGAGATAGTGAACCTGCAGCGAGCGGTGAAGGAGTGGATTGCTGGTTCAATTGAACTATCAATGTGCATGTGATTGTCCAAGCGAAGTCGTCCAAGTGAATGTTCGGCCACAGCTAAGACGGTGACACCCGTTAGTGCCACATCGAGTTTGTGGGATGTGGAGGATGGAGGCCGACGCGAGCCTCGATTGTATGCTTGGTATGCATGGTATGTCAGGATTCAGGATTTGCATATCGCGAGTCGTGACTCTCCGGCTTCGCGCTCAAGATCCGTCTCGCGGCGTGCCCGACAACATACGCTGCGTCGCCAAGCCGTCTGGTCTTATCTTCAGACAGTAGACTAACACCGCGGGCGGTCCTGCCTCTGCGTAGAAGTCATGCTTGGCCACACCCTCTATCAGTGTCTTGATTGTTGTATAAACAAGAGGTAGGGCCATCGCATGTTTCCTTCTCCTCCCAAGTTTCTCCAGAGCAAAATGGCAGCACCTGCGATTGTAGCACAATCAGCCCACGATGAGCGTCCGATGCTGGGAGCGGAGGAGGGTATGCAGCAGACTCCCGATCCTTCGTCGCAACAGCAGGATGCAGTAGAATCGTCCACACAAGACCTTTCCATCCCCATGTCGACGGCCATCTCGCCAAACGATGATCCGGCCGTGCCATCCCTTCTCGCATCGATAGCAGCCTTGGGCGACAGGTACACCACGAGCCATGACAACGCCTCTCGACTCGAACTGCTCGCTCACGGCCGCTCGCTGGTGCGCGCCCTGGAGACCCCGAGAGAGACGATGATCAAACACTGCTGGGCCCAACCCTCCGCGTTCATGTGCCTCACCCTTGGCGTCGATACCGCTCTCTTCCACCATCTGAGCCGAGACCCTGCGCGTCCCAAGACTGTTGCAGAGCTTGCGGAAGCTACAGGAGTAGAAGCCGTTCTTCTCGCAAGGACGATGCGGCACTTGGCCTCCATGGGCTACATCAGCGAGACGGCCGCCGACGAATACCTACCCACGAACTTCTCGTTATCATTGACCATTCCGATCATCGGCGATGGCTACCCAGTTACCGCGGACTGTAACGTCAGTTTGCTCCGCTTCCCGGCGTACGCTCGGAAGATAGGTTATCGGGAGCCGAACGAGGCCGTTGGCGCGTACCAGTACGCCATGCCGACCGAAGAGAGCTTCTTCGCGTACCAAGCCAGTCACCCGCCTTTGCTGCAACAGTTCAACCGCCACATGGGTGGGTACCGGCAAGGCCGGCCGAGCTGGATGGATTCTGGATTCTTTCCCGTGCAAGACCGTTTGGTCAAGGGCGCACAGACTGGAAAGGATGATGTGCTGCTCGTCGACGTGGGCGGAAGCCTGGGGCACGACATCGACGAGTTTGCGAGGAAGTATCCGGACAGCCCTGGTCGCCTAGTACTGGAAGATCTGCCAGCGGTTGTCGAGCAGATTAAACCTGGTCAGATCGATGCGAGGGTTGAGCCTGTGAGTTGCGACTTCTTCGCTGAGAACCCTGTCAAAGGTAGGTCAACACACTGCGCATTGACTTGTGGAGCCTCCTGTGGAAGTGAAGTATCTGAGCACTGATGGTCCGCAGGCGCTCGTGCATACTACATGCATTCCGTGCTTCATGACTGGCCTGATGCCCAATCCCTCGCCATTCTTTCGCGCATCAAAGAGGCTATGCGGCCGGGGTATAGCAAGCTGTTGATCAACGAGAATTGCATTCCAGACGTTGGCGCACACTGGGAGTCTACCGCTCTGTGAGTCCCTCCACACTTTCCCAACATTGTTGCGCGAGACGCTCGCTGACCGATTCTCCTCACGTGCGATAGTGACATGCAGATGCTGTCCCTGGTTTCGGCGAGAGAGAGGACGGAGACGCAATGGCGACAGCTGATCGAGGAGAAGGCGGGCTTGAGCGTGGTGAAGGTATGGAGTGTCGGGAATGGCGTGGAGAGTTTGATCGAATGCGAGCTGCCGTGATAGAGATAAGATCCATAGAAAAGGAAACTCCAACCACTAAATCCTTTGCGCAACCTTGACGCCAGGAATCCACGGTTCACTTGACACCCAATCAGTTCTCTGTCGTGGTTTCCCACTGCATCACGCCACCCTCTGCCTTCGATTCGGTCTCGCAGTCGTCTTCTGGAGTTGCAAGCGGTGTCAAAAGCTGTCTCACGGGTGTCTGCATCGGATGGTTCGAGTTCGCTGGGTCGGCAGGTGACTGCATCGATGCCGGCGGTACGGCCTCGACTGGTAGGGCGGTCGGTTGAATGATGGTCTGCTTGGCCTCGCCGCGTAGAAGACGCATGATGTGGACGTAGTGGATCACCTCCGGACAACTTCCGGACATCCTGTGGAATTGAAACTGGATGAGATCACGTTCTGAAAGCTGCTGTACTTGAGACGGCTCCATATCTCTCGCACGTAGAGCGGAGAGCAAGCCCGCGATGTTGGCGGTGCGGAGGTCGCGCTTCCGTGTAGCGTACAGTACGATCACCATTGTCGCTTCCCAAACACCACCGAAGCAGCGGGCCATGTCAATCACCGGCGCTAGGGAAGCCCTGTCGTATACCCTGCTGTCGTCTGGAAAGTAGCGTCTTCTCAACTCAAGGCATCGCCGGAATAGCCTACGATCCAGGCGGCTGTCCCACCAGGTTCCGAACAACTTCCACAAGCCTGCGCAATGAAGCTCGTCAAGGGTCACTGCTCGCCACAAGCCCCCGACGTTCTGAAGCTTGCCGTGGATCAAGTATTCGTGGTCTGAGTATCCGGCATCAGCCCAGGCCTGTGGGATGTCGTGGAATTCGACGTTGTTGTCCTTGATCATTTTCGTAGCGTTGTGTATGCTGTTGGACTGGGGCAGCAGACTCGTATCCATCACATAGATGAGGATCTCAGTCTCCTGCTTGGGAAATGGCTCTGAGGTTCCGTATTGTCTGCGAACGGCGTGTAGCAAGACCCATAGTATAGAGATGGACCATGAGCTGAACTCTGATGGCTCGTGGTACTTCCAGCGTATGTGATAGTAGATCATCTGCGCACGATCTTCGATTGTCATAGAGTCTGGATGGTCGTGGTATTTAAGATGCCTCCCGTGGTGGATGAATGGGTCGATAGTGTCCTCGGTATTGACTCCACGAGACCGATTAGAAGCAGCGCGAAAAAGGAATGGCGGGAGCGGCGGTGGTGGTGACATGGTTCTGCGTGGCCGTGCAAGTAGTGGACGAGAGAGAGAGACGGTCGGGAACAGCAAGCGGACCGTGCAAGAGTTCGTGCTCCGATTGTCGTTCTCCAACAATTTCTCAGTTCGATGCGTGAGGTGTGCGTGGCAGCACCATCGCTCTTGCCCAATATGCCAGACATGAGCCTGGTCCGCCTTGGCACTGATCCTCGTGATATGCGCATCCACATCTTACCATGCCACATGCGTATCGGCACTTACCACAGCATCTCGACGAAGGCTCCCGACAGGCCAAGACAGCAGGATAACGTCTGTAGCAGCAACGCGACTCTCGGGCTCAGCGCAAAGACAGTGACTGCCAAACGGGGTATCGCACTCAGACGGTAGACGACAGCATGAGACGCTCATTTCTCCAGCATCTCGTAAACAGCCCTCACTTCCGGCACCTTCTCCTCAAACTCAACCCTCGCCTCTTCCCACGCCCGCTGCTGCGCCACACGTCCACTGGCCCTCTCCATGAAAGGCGGAAAGCTCCCCTCCACGTGATAGTCCATCACGATTTTGCCGTGGCTGTCCGGACCTGCTGAGACACCATTGACAAGCGCATTCGCGCAGTACTGCGGATCTCGTGCTGCGAAGTCCGTGATGAGCCTGGGGATGAGTTGGGCACGATTGGGTCCTGTGAGACCTGTCCATGCTGTTCCGGGATCAGCGCTGTTGATGGTTACCTGCCGCAGGCCGTTCGTGCGTGCGGTTCGAGATGCCAGTTCCCGCGCAAAGTAGAGCAGTAGACCCTTCGACCGCCCGTACTGATGGGCTTGCTGCATGCCGTCTTTGTTGTTGCTGAGATGCTTGGTGTATGGACCCTTCTTAGGTACAGACATAGTCGCAGAGGCTGGGTAGATCCCAAAGGTAGTGACGAAGGTCAGCACTGGTGGATTGGGGTTGGCGGCTGACGACTTCAGCACGGGAAGCAGGAACAGTGCGGCCAGCGCAGTGGAGAGGAAGTTGACTTGAATGGCTATAATTCGTCGCGTGAGCTTGGTCTCTGGTAGTAGCGAATGCATATGTTATCAGACTTACACGTTTCCCACCCTTCCGGCGACTCGCGGCGGTTGAACGATAGCATTCCCATGGTCATCAGCGCATGATCGAGAGCCTTCAGCTCACGTGCTTTCTCGCCCAGCTCCTTGCACCCGGCGAAAGTCATGAAGTCGATCCGCCAGACCAGAATCGTTGGCTTTAGCTTTCCAGCTGTGGCGAGTTCGCCCTCAATCTCGTCCTTCAAGCCCGTACAGTCCTGGACGTCGACGAGGACAAGCGTTTCGATCTCGCGCGAGGCGAACGCCTTCGCCGCTCGTGAGCCAAATGCTCCGCGCGCTCCTGTCACAAGTGCTGTTCTGCCTTTGTACGACTTGGTTGTCACCGACGGTCTGCTGGTACGCTGAATCCAGAGCGTTCTCCAAGGAAAGAGTTCGGCCAGCAGCAACGGCACTGCGAATGAGAGTATGGCGACCGCGACCGCGCTCACGGCCAAAGTCCAGAGACTGAACGCCATGGCTGAGGGACGAGGATGTCGTGGAGCGCCGAAAGGTCCGATCCAGCACAATACACAGGCTGCTAGAGTCTGCGATATCTCGTCGCCAGTGACTGCAATTATTTCTTCAGGCTACCGACTGTCCTGGACCTGGCCGCTGGCTGACCTTGCGCTGAGAGAGTTTGACCTCACTCCCTCAGTGAAGTGTCTATCCAGCAACGGCGTGTCGAGCTGTCCGTTTGCCTGAGGCGGTAGCGGTGTTAGCCTCTCGGGCTATGTGGAAGAAGCAGAAGTTGTCAAGTGCACCAGAGGTATATACCATAAATGAACATGTGCTCAAGTCTTATTATTACATTCTCCCTTCTCGATCGACCGAGCGTGCACCCCTCGTTGAGTGGCGTATTGTCGGGCAAGGCGGGAGCAAAATTGTCCGTGCGAGACGCATCCTGCCTCGCTGGCTAACGACGCCGAGTTGTTTTGATTAGAGGTTTCATTGACTCTACCTCCCAACAAAGACTAAGTACCTTAGTTCTACCTTACTCCTGTAGTTATGCCGAAATGCCTCAGTCTCACACACACCCGCCCAACGGCGACATCTCGGCCCACACACAGCCTGCCTTACGGAGGTATCAATGTACTGAAAGATACGAAGAAAGCAGCGTCGACACAAAGGCAGTTGGGACAAGTACAGGGTAATGCTTTCGAAGCGCCTCGTCCGCGCCGTTCGCTGGTGGCGCTCATACTACAGACAACGGACCTCATTATCTATACAATCCCCTTTCCCCCACTCATCCCTCCCCTCACAATCTCCTCGTCTCAGGCCCTCAAAAAACCCTACCCCTTCCTCCTCTTCCCCCTCCCCCCATCCTCCTCCCCGGCGTCCAAAACCTCACTCCCGCCCCTCCCTTCCTCTTCACCGCTGCTACCCCTCCACTCGCCAACCTTGCCCTCCACATCTGCACACATCTCCCGCGCCACCTTCACCATCCCGTCCTCGCCCGGGTTAAACATCACGGCGTTCGCGAAAACACGGAGGATCTCCTTTTCCAGCTGCGCGGCGTTGACGATGGCTTTCGGGGGCATTAAATCGGCAGAACGGTCGAGGTCGACGGTCGGCGCGGCGGTGTCTGCGGTGGAAGTAGAGGGGGAGTCAGAGGAAGCGGACGCAGCGTTCACGGCCTTGGCGCCAGCGGTGAGCATACCCCGGACGGACTTAAAACTCTGGGGGTTCTTAATGATCTCGCTATACCCCGGGGCGTCCTTGTCGCGCACCTGGTTGGCAAAGTAAGAGGCGTGTTTGTGGCGTTCGATGTCCTGCATAATCGCGGCGGAGATCTTGTTGAGGTTGCGGGTAGCGGTGATGGTAGTCGGTCGGGGTGGAGGGGTGGCCCAGTCTTCCACCGACGGGCCGCGGTCGGGTGAGCGTTGGCGGGCACGTTTGGAGGGCGGTTGGTGGTGCTGGGATTGGAGCGTGCCGCGACGTTTGCGGGTCATGGGGCCGCTGCCGGGGACGGGAGGGTATTCGTGCGAGGATTCGGGGAGGTCGACGATGCCGGCGGGCGTGGAGGGTTCGATCTTAACGTCGCCTCTGCTTGTGGGTCGGTCGTCGGAAGGTGGGAGGGCGCCGGCTGCTGTGCTGACGGATTGGCTGCGGGTGCCTCGTGTCAGGTCATCGGCGGTGGACGAGACGACGGAATGCGGACTACGGTCCCGTTTCGTTCGTGCACGCGTTCTGGTTGACTTGGGTACAGGCTCTGGTTCGGGCGACTGCTCTGCTTCAGCGGCTCGTTGCTCGCGCTTGGACGTTGTCTGACGGCCAGGAAGCTTCGCTCGTTCCAGCACGGGACTGAAAGGCTCGATCTCAGTGACAGGAGACGGCATGGGTGTGCCTAGATCCAGAGTCGGCAGGGGCCGCTTGAAGCTTTTATTCAACTTCGGTCTTGGCTGCGGCGTCGCCAGAGCAGCAACAATGTCCGAAACGAGCCGAGGATCCTGCGCTGGAGGTCTCTGGACGGTGGTTGGCGCACTCGGGGGGTACTGATGGTGTTGAGATTGTCGTGGTGGATAGCCGGGCTGAGGCGCATAATTAGACGGATAGGCGTAGCCTTGTTGGCTGCCGTCGACGGGGAACGGTGGGAGTTGGTAGCCGCCAGCATGAGGTGGCTGCATCGGATACTGCCCCTGAGGTGGTGGATACGAAGTCCTTCTGTCTTGATACTGCGGCGCTTGATAGTAACCTTGTTGATGCGGAGGATGCGCCTGGTGTGGTGGTGGGTATCCATACGTGGCGCTTGGTGACTGGGCATTGGACAGTCGATGAGGAGGTGGGTGCGGATACTGTTGATGGCCTGACACGGGCGGCCCATGCATGTTTGGCGAAGCAGAGTGCGGGCCTGGACTGGGTGGCGGCAACTTCATCCCTGGCGGAGGCGGCAGTATTGGTCTGGGCGACGATGAAGGCCGTGACAATGCATTCTGAACCTGAGGACTGGCCATAGAATTTGATACAGGATGTCCGTGGTGAGTTCCGTATGGAGATTGGTGACCGGTTGTGGGCGAATGGTGGTAGCCATTGTTGTTGGGAACTTGCGTCGACAGGGGTCCAGGCACTTTGGGTGGAATGCCAAAGCGTGGCGACTGCGGTGCCATCTCAGACAGCGGCGGCAGCACCGTCCCGGAGGAGGTCCTTCGATGGGTGGTGCCGTTCGGTGGTTCGGGTCCATGGTTCATCACATCGCCAATCTTGTTCCCTTTGTACGGTTTGGTTGTCGCTGAGTCGGCAGAATTGCCAGGTGGTACCGGACTTGCTGCTGCTGAGTGAGATCCATCAACCTTGTGGCCTGCAGGTTGAGTGTGCGTGGAAGCAGAAGGCCGTGGACTTTGCGTACGAGACGCGGTCCGCTGCCTCAAGCCCTCATCCCACTTCCCTTCTTCAATCTCACCAATGTCTCGCTGAAGAGCATGATACTTCCGCTCCTGCTCCCTGATGCCCTTCACAGCATGGTCTCTGTACCGCGCATACAATCGCGTCACCAGCTGCGGGATCAGGTGCGCATGCTGGCTGGCCTCATGCACCGTGGGCAGGCTCGGACTGGGGGCCTTCCTCTTCCTCTGCGCCGGATCCAGACTGCCATTCCGTAGGAGATCGTCCCTGTCCGCCTGCCGCTCCGCATCCCTCTTCACCTCCTCCTTCAACAGCCACAAGTACAGTTCGCGCAGCGCATCCGGGCTCAACCTCCCACTGTCGTAGGAAGGGTCACCTTGCACGAAGCTGACCTTTTTGAGTTGCTCCGAAATGCGATTGAATACAGCATGGGAGTTAACACCTTCGGCGCGCAGGGCCTGGAAAAGGAGGAGCGACTCGAGGGGGGTGTAGGCGGTGGGAAAGCTCATGAAGGTGAAGTCGCGCGGGCGGCCGACGGGCGCGCGATGGGTGACTGGAGCCAGGGTGGTGGTGGTGCGAACCTCATCGTTGGTGGGTGGGTTGGTGTCGAATTAAGCCGACATATTCGTGAGGTCTCCAGTAATCGATTCCGGTATGGTATTATGATTACTCCGATGGTCCGGCGTGGTGGTTGATGGCAGTTGGTGCAGCAGCTTCACATCAAAAGTCGGTTCGTAAAGGCCAAATATTGCGACGGGAAGGCGGAGGTGCAGCGAGTCAGCTCCGACAACCCGCCGCCCCCCAAGCTTAGCGTGCCTTCAGAACACCCTTTGACATGTGAATATCGACAGCTCCCATTCACTCCTTGATCTGTCTGATTTGTACGGTTGGTAAGACTGGGTAAGACGCTCTTGCAGCTGAGGCAGTATGGCAGCTCATGACGAAGCAGCAGTAGCAGCAGCAGCGCCTTGCTTGCTTCCTTCTTCACGACCAGACGCTTGGGCCAGCCGATCGTCTTCCTCCTGCGTGCTTGACGAGACCCTGAACGACGCGGGTAATTAAAGCACCCTTTGATGCCATATCTTGCCTTCTGTTAGCCCTTGGGCGCCCATCAAGCCTCCTTTCCACCTCGCCGACACCTTCCTTAGGCTGCTCTGCTAAGGGCAAGGTTGCACGGGGCCAGAAGCGTACACAATGGCAGAGAACACAAACCCCCCGCCGTCGTCGTACGTGCCCCCTCCACCCAGTGGCAGCAATGGCACGTCCAAGCACTCACGCGTCACAAGTACCGTGGCTCAAAGCTTCGCCGATGACCTCGACTCCATGTTCGGCCTGGGAATGGGCGGTTCCAGTGTGCGGACTACCGAAGGGGCTGCCCCGGCTGCGGAGGGGAGTGGCAATGGAGAGGGGTTGAATACATTGAGCGAGACGGTAGAGGCGAAGTACTGCTCCCACCACCTTCCCTGACAAGACCAGTATTGATTCGATCAACCACAGAAAGGAGAAAGTTACCTCCGGCCAAACCGAGCTCGAGAAGCTCGAAGCACGACTCCGCGAAACCGAGCAAAGGCTAGCCAAGGTCTCCCGCCAGAACTCGCCTTCACGACCCGCTAATGGCGGTGCGGCCAGCGATGGGTCGGACAAGCAAGCACATCCCTTTGCACGGCGACCGACATATCCGGACGACCGACCACCTACAGGAGCTAGCAGCAGGCCGACAGCAGAGCGGGAAAACACGACAGAGATGATGAAGGGCATGCCTGGGGGGATGCCGCAGACGCCGTCGGGGCGGGACGACTATGTGATGGTGGATAAGGGCAACAGGTAGGAGGGTGATGGATGCACAAGGTATGGGCACAAATACGAGGGACAGCAAGGGCCGTCACGTATGCTGTCTTTTCGAGTACGGCCATGGCCGGCAGAAGAGCTGGAGCTTGATGTGGGTGGAATGGAGCACAACGCTGTTGGCGGGTGGCTTTCGCAACATGTACTCTAACATGGCAGGCAGACAGCTTAGGAGCAAAAGCGCTTATCACATTCGACTCGAATGCTTGGAATATCTTCTCCAAACGACCCGCACGCCCTACAGGTCTCATCTTGTTCCGTCTTCTCTGATGTGCTCTGGATATACTGGGAATAAAAGTGCCGAGCAAGAGGCGTTTGGAGACCCCGGATTGGCCCCGCTCGCTGACTACATCGACAGTTTTGTTCCACTTGCACTCCAGGTTGAGTTTGGATGAATACATTTGTTTCTTATTATCGGCAGTTGCCATTTTCAACTATTGTATTAAGCCTTCCGACTACCGGGCTCCACCTTCTGCTAAGAAGTAAACATTGACGGTTGTCGAAGCTTGACTAGACCCCCGACTCTTCCCCATTGCATCAGGACCATATCAACAAAGGAACAGCCACGCCAACGCTTCATTAAGCAAATCGCCCGTCTTTTCCAAAGGATACATCAACAACCCATGGAGCTCCTCCAATCCATTCTCTCCACATGGCCTCTCCTCGCCACCCTCCTCCCTCTCACCCTCCTCTACCTCCTCCTAACCACCCTCCTTACCTATTTCCGTCCCAGCCTGCGCTCCCTCCCCGGCCCCTTCCTCGCCCGCATCTCCTCCCTCCCCCGCCTCTGGACCTGCTACACCGGCTCCCAACACCTGCACCACCTGCACCTCCACGACAAATACGGCCCTTTCGTCCGCGTCGGCCCAAATCACGTCTCCTTCTCCAACCCCTCCCTCATCCCCGTGGTCTACAGCATTTCTTCCAAATTCGTCAAGTCGGATTTCTATACCCTGTTCGATATCAAGACCCCTGCGGGCGCGATGCCGACGATTTTTAGCGTGAGGGATGAAGCGGTGCATAAAGGGTTCAAGCGGCCGGTGGCGGGGGCGTATGCGATGTCTGCGCTTAGGGAGTTGGAGGGGGGAGTGGATGAGTGTACGGAGATTTTTATGGGGAAGATGGAGGAGCGGGTTGGTGGGGAGGTGGATTTGGGGGTTTGGGTGCATGTACGTTTTCTTCTCCTTTATTATCACAACGTACCCTATCCGTCTTTCGTCCCACATGACTGATGATGGTGGTTGGGCAGTGGTATGCCTGGGACACCATAACCACGCTCACCTTCTCCAACCGCCTCGACTTCATGGCCCGCGAACAGGATATCCAGGGCATTATCTCCGCCATCAACGCCCGGCTCAAATACAACAGCATCATCGGCCAAGCCCCCTGGCTGCATAAATACATCTTCGGCAACCGTTTCGCCGCCTACCTCGCCACCTTCATCCCTTCCCTCGCTATATTGAACAGCTCGAAATACATCGTTGATTTCACCGCCGCCCAACTCCGGCACCACCAATCCCTCGACAGCAAACCCCCCAGCTCCCCCTCCGAGGGTCCAGGACATCGGCCGAAAGCAGGATATCCAGACATGCTCTCCCGCTTCCGCCGCTCCCCAGCCCTGTCCTCCTCCGAGCTCCTCTCCCACGCAACGGGCAACATCTTCGCCGGCAGCGACACAACCGCCGCCTCGTTGCGGAGTATCTTCTACCACCTCTGCCTTTCCCCCTCCGCCCTTTCCACCCTCCAAAACGAAATCTCCACCGCTTCCGCCAAAGGCAACCTCTCGGATCCGGTAACCTTCGCCGAAGCACAAGCTTTACCGTACCTGCAGGCGGTAATAAAGGAGGCGCTGCGCATGCACCCCGCCGTCGGCCTCCTCCTCGAACGCCTCGCCCCTTCCCCCGAGGGACTAACACTACCCAACGGGATCCACCTCCCCGCCGGCACGGTGGTAGGCATGAACCCCTGGGTTTCCGCGCGTGATCCCCTCGTCTATCCCTCCCCTTACACCTTCAAACCGGAGCGCTGGCTCGAGGCCTCAGAGGAGGAATTGAAGTTGATGGAGCGCAATTTCCTAGCGTTCGGAGGAGGGAGCCGGACGTGTTTGGGCAAGAACATCTCGTTGTTGGAGATGGGGAAGCTGGTTCCGCAGGTGTTGAGGCGGTTTGAGTTTGAGTTGGCTGAGCCGGGGAAGGAGTGGGTGATGGAGGATTATTGGTTCGTGCAGCAGAGAGAGCTGGTTTGTAGGGTCAAGAGACGGGAGGGGGGAATGAAGGAAGGGTGATCAGGTAGTTAGGGAAAAGTGTTGCCACGCGGGGGTCTGATTTCTAGGGTTCTAGGTTCTATGGAAGATGTATGCGCCACCGTAGCATGCATGCGTTGAGATCGTATAATCATCCTCCCGCGTCCTCATCCTGCACCACCAACAGCAGGTCCGCCAACCTCAGGTCCACTCCTCTTCACCCCTGCTCAATCAACGAAACGGATCACAACTCGTCGTTCGCCCCATCCATCCCCGCCGCAAGCTCCTCCGCATACTCCTGACTCTCATTGCTTTTAATCCTCGACAACTGCTCTTGCACATACTTGTTAATCGGATCATCCGGGTCCTCGTGCTCCCTGCCCCCCTCCTCACCGTCATCTTTATAAATCGTCCACGTCCGGCTGGGTGGGCCATGGCTCTGCATCCCGTCCTCCTCGCCATCTGCGTCCGCGTCCGCGTCGCCGTTGGTTCCGCTAAAATCGCTCTGGTTGCCGATGGAGCGGCGGCGCGTGGCGCTGCGCGCGAGGGAGGTGGGGCGGCGCCCGCCGAGGGACATGCGGCGTTGGCGGGAGAAGACGTCGTCGAAGTAATGGGCCGCGGCGGAGGCCGGGGTGCGGGGGGTTTGGGGGAGGCGGCAGTTGACGCTGTGACAACATTAGTATACAACAGGAGAGGAATGAGAGGGTGGAGAGAGGCTTACCCAGTATCATGGATCATCTTGGCCATGAGACCAGTCCAGCCGCACTGATGGCTCGCGCCGAGACCGCGTCCAGTGTCGCCGTCGAAGAACTCGTAGAAGAACATGTAGTCCTTCCAGTGCGGGTCGGTGTCCAGCATCTTGTTGCCGTCGTTCATCGCGCGCTTGCCCTGGTCGTTCATAGCCATCAGATGCTGGAGACGATGCTGGATCTCTTCCGCGACGTGGCCGAGGTGCATGTAGTCGCCGGAGCCAGTGGGACACTCGACCTTGAAGGTGTTGCCGTAGAACATGTAGAAGCGCAGCAGTGACTCGACCAGCAGGAAGTTGACAGCCAGCCAGACAGGGCCACGCCAATTGCTGTTGCCGCCGAAGAGGCCGCTGTCGGAGTCGCCTGGGATGTAGCTGACGGAGTAGTTCTGGCCGTTGACGTCCATCGATACCGGATTGTCCTTGTGGTGTTTCGATAGTGAACGGATACCGCAGGGAGAGAAGAACTCCTTCTCATCGAGCATGTACTTCAAGATCGATCGGAGGCGATCCTTGTTGACGAACGACAGCAGCAGTCTGTCGTCCTTGCCGCGGTTCTTCATGCTGGCGACGTTGCGTTCGATGATGTCCGACTTGTTCTTGATGACCCAATCGATGTGCTTCTTGAACTTGGGGAAGCGGTTGATGACCTCCGGCTCGAGAGTGAGAGTGGCGTACATCGGGATGAGACCGACGAGAGAACGGACGGGCATCTGATGAGCCCACGGCCCGCCCCAGCTGATCGCGTCGTAGTAGAAGCCGTCCTGCTCGTTCCACAGAGACTTCGCTTCAGTGCCTTTGCGGTACTGCATGGCGTCGGAGATGAGGATGAAATGCTCGAAGAATTTGGACGCAATGTCCTCGTAGATGCGGCGGTGCTTGGCCAGCTCCAGCGCGATATTCAGCATGCTCAGGCAGTAGAAGCCCATCCAGCCAGTGGCGTCAGCTTGCTCGAGGGTGCCTCCAGTCGGCAATGGATCAGATCGGTTGAACAAGCCAATGTTGTCGAGGCCCAAGAAGCCACCCTCGAAGACGTTCTTGCCTTCGTGGTCCTTGCGGTTGCACCACCAAGTGAAGTTCATCAACAGCTTCTGGAAGACGCGCTCCAGGAAGTCGAGATCCTCGCGGCCGTACATCTTGCGCTCAATCTTGAACGTGCGGAAAGTGGACCATGCGTGCACAGGCGGGTTGACGTCGCCAAAGTTCCACTCATACGCTGGTAGCTGGCCGTTCGGATGCATGTACCATTCGCGAGTGAAGAGGTCGAGCTGCTTTTTTGCGAAATCAGGATCGATGAGGGCAATGGGTATGCAATGGAAGGCAGAGTCCCATGCCGCGAAGAATGGATACTCCCAGGAGTCAGGCATCGAGAGGATATCGTCCAGGTGCATGTGCTTCCACTGAGAGTTCCGCACCGACTTGCGTGCGGGCGGGGGAGCTGGCATGCTGGGGTCGCCGTTCGCCCACTGGTCCCAGATGAAGTGGTAGTATTGTTTGCACCACATCATGCCGGAGAATGCCTGACGCTGGATGTTGCGGAGATCATCCGCCATGGGCATGGGGTTGATCTTCCAGTAGAACTCGTCGGCTTCCGCCAAACGCTGGTCCATCACATCATCAAACTCCTCCTCGTCGAGGTAGCCCTCGCTCCGCTTGGTGGAGATGCGGAATCGAACGACCGCACACTCGCCTGGTGCCACGCCCTTGCCTTGGTTGAAGGCATACCAGGCACAACTCTTCGTGCCGGTCTTCTGCGGGTTGACAGCCTTCTTGTCACCCTTGACAACGCGCTTGTGGAAAGCATCCTTGACGTACGGCGTCTTGTTTGATTTCGCGCTGTAGAGGTCCATGTAGTTGGTGTCGTTGTCAGTGAAGAGGAACTCCGGCTCGATGTCCTCTTGACGACCCATGGTGTTGGGTGAGGGTGAGCATTGGAAGTAACGCTCGCCAATGTCACGATGCTCGATCTTCGACGTCAGGGGGTCCAGCTGCTGGATCTCGGGCTTGTAGTCGTCGTGACCCCATGCCCAAGTATTGCGGAACCAGACATGCGGCAGGATGTGGAGCTTCGCCGCCTCGGGACCTCTGTTGTAACAGGTCACCCGGAACAGCAGCTCGTCCGGGTTGTCCTTCTCCTTGGCCGTCTCGATGAAGCAGTCCCAGTACTTGTTGTCCTTGAAGATGCCGGTGTCGATCAAGTTGTACTCCCGCTCTTTCCGTGACCTCTTCTGGTTCTCCTTGAGGATCTCCTCGTACGGGAAGGCTTGCTGGGGCAGCTTGTAGAGGTACTTCATGTACGAGTGGGTGGGCGTGTTGTCGAGGTGAAAGTGGCACTCCTTGATGCTCTCGCCGTGCACACCCTGTGGATTCGACAGGCCGAACAGACGTTCTTTCAAATGTCCATCCTTCTCGTTCCAAAAGGCAAAAGCAATGTTCATCTTGCCGTGGGTGTCCGAGACACCAGCAATGCCGTCCTCGCCCCATCGGAAGGCTCGACTCCGTGCCATGTCGTAGGTGAAGTGACTCCATGCATCGCCGTTCTCACTGCAAAACAGTGTCAGATCATGCAGTCCTGGGAGGGAGATGAACACTCACGAGTAGTCCTCCCGCACCGTGGCCCATTGTCGCTCTGCCACATACGAACCCCACTTCTTCCAGTACTTGGTCCTGTCCTTGTCCTCCTTCAGACGCCTCTCCTCCGCACTCAGGACTTGCTGTTTGTCGACGAACACCATCTTGGGCAAGTCTCAGGTTTGGTAAGGACTGGTGGGTGGTTCTGGCTGTTGGTGAGACGGGACAGAGCCGTATCGGTGAAGGGCGAGCGGAAGATGTGAATGAGGACGGAATCAAAGTGAGGTGACTGATGTGAGACGGTGGATATGGCAGCACTGTCTGTCTCCAGCGTGGGCTGTGGTGGTAGGAAGCAGTGTATGTACAAGTGCAATGCCAATGCAAGATAAGGTATGGTACAGGAAGCGAAGACGAAGAAGTGATGGTGGTGCTGCTAAGGGAACCTGAAGACAAGACGGCGGTCAAGAAGGAAGTGAGGTCCAACAGCACCGCCCATTGTCAACTGCAGTCGCGCCGGGTCGCTGCTGGAGGTGAATCCGAGTATCAGAGCAAGAGCTGCCCACCGCCACCGCCGCGTTCTCGTGAGGCTCTTCCTGCCCGTACCTGAAAATCGGCGGACCAATTTTTTCCATCGGCGGGCGGGCGTCATTGGCTGCTGGGAAGGCGTGAGCCGGATCTACTGCAGGCCTCGCCTTATCGCTCCCAACGACTCGTCTCGTCTGCAGTAGCCGCGGTCTTGCTGCGTCGCGACCGCGTCTGAACAACGGAGCGGGCTGATGTTGTGTTGAAAGTGCCGTGAAGACGTGCGGTTGGGTCGAGATGTGGCCGCCACGTGGCGGTGGAAATTTGCAAGAAGCCGACTTTGAAGTAGAGGCACCCGTGGATGTGAATCCATACTTCTGTGTGTACATGATGTAGGTAGGTTGCACATGTATCGCGTTGCACATATATTGTTCTTCTTAACCCGAGCAGATAAAAGCACTACTCACGAAAGCGTCTGGTTCCATATGCTCTCCACCGTCACCCCGTCAATCCATGCACCACCCGTATCGTCCGATTTGACCTTAAACCCCACCACCCTACTTTCCCCCTTTGCCAACCAAAAGCCATTACTGTCAAACGTCACCACCGCCCCAGCGGGGTAGTCGAGCCATACCCACGCCGCCACCCCTCTCGTCGCGGTCACATTGAACGATTGGGTGGAATTGGAGAAGGATAACTCCAGCCCTGGATCCCGGAGTTGAGCATTTTTGAGAGGGGAGGCTGCGAACCAATTCTCGTGTGTAAACGTCTGCTTGACGTCGGAGTTCGGGAGCGTGCCGGAGGCGGTGAGCGTCATGCGGAGCACGGCGTCGTTGGGTTCGAAGTCGGAGAGCGTGGACGAGAGGTTCACGTCTAGTACCTCCGTGCTGTTTATCGCTCCGACAGTGAAGGGGACGGAGGCAGGCGTGGCTGTGTCTAGGGGGTGGCCGGCCCAGTCGTACCAGCTGAACTCCGCGGTCCCGGAGACGGGGGTCCAGAGGTCGGAGGTTATGCTTGCTGTGAGCTGGGAGGTGCTGGAATTATACTGCCGGGACGGAAAGGTGTGTGTGGTTAGTCTGTGTCTCCAAAGGAGGGCGCACGGTGGGTTGTGTGCTTTGGACTTACATATGGAGCGATGATGACGCGGGAGTAGATGTCCTGCGCAATGTAGTGCAGGATTTTCCAGCGGCCGGAGTACTCGATTCCGGCCCAGGTGGGGGCGACCCAGATGTCTTTTGTTACACACAATCAAAATCAGCGGGGGTTTAGGGTGGTGGAAAGGGCACGGGGGTGATTACCTTCGAGTTGCCAGTACAGACTTCCGAGCTGACGTTCTGGCCACCCGCTGCCGCGACGGTAGAACTCGATCTCGCTTTTATAGAGATCCGCCTGGAAGATTTGCGTGGCGTGGCACCAGGCGCTGAAGTTGGCGATTGGGTCTTTCTTGTCTGGAACAGGGTACCAAAGCTGCACTGCTTCGGTCATCTGCGCCTGTCCTGCAGACGCATTCCGGTAGTTTGACGTGTTAAGGCCGCCGGGCGGGTTGTGGTGGTCTCGTAGGAAGACGACCGAGCTGTTGAAGGAGAGCTGGTCTTCGGAGACTTGAGAGCGCCAGCTTTGGAGGGAGGGCATGCTGTGGTAGCCGAATTCATTGGAGAAGCGTCCGACAGGATATGCGCTATTGTTGCCAAGAACCGCGGGATCGTAATTGTAAAAATCGGTATCAGAGTAGTAATGCCCCGGCTTCACATCATAGAAGCGTTGGGTGATGGGGTGCGGACTGCTGACGTTGAGGTTTGTGTAGCCGTTGCTGGTGGAGCTGGGGGTGTAGGAGATGCTCTTGCTGTTGCGGAAGACGACGGGGGCGAGGGTGTCGATGAAGAGTTTCTCGTACTGTGCTTTGTATTTTGGAAGCTGTTCGGGTGCGGAGTCGTTGAGGAGGATGAGTTCGAGGGATTCGAGTTCGTTGCCGCCGGCCCAGAGAGCGAGGGAGGGGTGGTGATTGCAGCGGCGGACTTGGTATTCTGCTTCTTCTCGCACGTTGTTGAGGAAGGCTGGGTTGACCGGGTAGAGTGCATCGCCGAACTCGAACTCGGACCAGAGTAAGATACCCTTTTCGTCTGCAATATCGAACATGAAGTCAGGACTGTATGCACCGCTCGCCCAGACTCGAAGCATGTTCTGGTTCCCATCGATCACAGACTCGAACAGCTGGTTGATACGGTGAGGAGTGACCCTAGGCCAAAATGCATCTGGTGGGATGAAGTTGGACCCTTTGGCGTAGAATTCGTGGCCGTTGACCTCGAAGTGCCAGTTATTGCCTGGCGCGATGCCGAGCGCTCGTTGTTCGTCTGAGATGGGCGTCTGATTCAGCACGATGGTGCGGAACCCGACCCTCTTCGTGACACATGTCAAATACTTCCCGGCTGGTGAATACACATCGACGGTCATCCAGTACAGTGTTTGCGGCCCAAGCTGAGATGGCCACCAGAGATCTACCTCGCTGTCATCGACAGAGACCATACCAGTGACTGTAGATCCAGTGGTGTTCACGCTCTCAAGCTGGCCTGAACAGATCGTCTTTTCTTCTGCATCCTTCAGAACATAGTGCAGCCTGGCACCTTCAGGGAGGTCTCCAAAGTAGTCCAAGCTCGCGTTCACAACCCAAGGCTGACTTTGATCGGGCGGTATGCCATTGGTCTGGCCGCGTCGGTAGATGTCGATGTCAGTGTTCCTGATATGAATGTCATCCTCGTCAAGCTGCACGACATAAGCAGGTTGCCACGGTCCGGCTGGAGCGAATGCGGGCCCCCAATCCCAGCCAAAGTCGCTCTGTTCCTTTCGAATGAACCATCGATTGAAGAATTCATAGACCAGCTCGACTCCAAATGGCCACGTCTCCTGCCCAGGCTCGTTCGCGATCTGGTTCGCTATTTTCGGCGCTGAACCAAAGTCGAGAGTGATGATCCTGTGAGACTCGCTGCAGGAGCTGAGGATGTCCGACACATCGTAGTGCCACTGCCGGAACTGGTTGTTTGTGCTTGCCACGTACTCTCCGCAGAACTTGATCGTGGCAAACGTATCCAGGCCGTCGAAGCGGAGCCAGGTGCTGCTTGCATCGTCTGAGAGGCCCGAGATTGGCGCTGAGGTGTAAGTCCAGTTGGAGTAGGCCACCCATCTCAGCTCGAAGTCGTTGAGGTTATAGTACGGATCTCCAATCACGTCCTGGGCGTAGAGATCAAGGTGTGCCTGTGAAGGTAAGTGGCCAGGAACAGAGATGCTCCCGTTGCTGTTAGATACAGTCCAGTCATTGCCCACTAAGCTGATAACTTTTTCTGCTGAGACGGAATGACATAGAACAGTCCATACTGCCCATACTGACCAAAACATCTTGCTGGTTGGATTAAGGACTGAAAAGGACAAGCAAATGGCTGAAAGCTTGACGTCGACTTACCGTATATAGTCCTACAAGCTCGGAAGGACGAGTGCCGTACTTCCTATTTGGTCCCACAACGTGATGTCAGTCAGGCACGGCGAGGTTGCAGCGTACCTGAATAGGTTGCAGTTGAAGCGGGGATCTTGCAGAGCCTGTGGGGTCGTTGTGCAATTGATCGGGGAGTGGAGGAAAGGTTGTTGCTTAATGAGGCTCTTATTCCGTCAAAAGCATGCCGCTGCTGCTTGACTTTGCTGTTGAAGCACGGCGGAGTCTATGGGCTGGTACTGAATGATATCGGTGCGTCGACAGCCATCCGGGGGAAAGGCGGTCGTCCATGACTGGAGACAAGTCTGGCAACTTCCTGTAGTTGACATGTCGTTCGGGAGTTCGCCAGCCTTCCTGTCGCCGGCAATGCATCGGATCAAGAGACGGAGACTGGCTCTGCCCTTGGCGTGCTGCATTCTCGCGATGAAGCCGGATCTGCCTCTCAAGTCGATCACGGAGAAATCCATCGTCAATGCCAGACTGAGGTTCCGCTGTGTAACATAGCTCCCATGCTATCCATTCTAAGGGTGTATGATCCAGATACGCAGCAAGGGCAGTGTAAGATAGCCGCTGCAGTATGATGCAGAGGCGAAAATGATAGTAGCAGAGTGAATGTGAATGAGGAAGTGAATGCAATATAGAGTCCGTGCACCTCGAGACTACACCTCGACGCGGAGGTGAAACAATATCGCGTTACCATAACCACCCTCGCTCTGTACAGTCTACTTCTTCCATCATATTCGGGATATTCTTTAATTCGCCTGCGTTCTGCGCGCAAGACAGCGAAAGCTCAATTCGAGTACTACTAGCAAGGCATCCGCGGGAAGGCATTGGCAAGAGTGTTACATTGAAACACGAGACCACTGGATTCCTAAAGGAACGCATGCAATATTGAGACGTCCACACGATGCCGTGGAAGCCACTCCCGGCAGTGGCATTCGCAATATGTGTCTACCCCTTTCAAGCGACCCATTCCCACGACCTCCCCCTTCAGATCGGCGACAATATCTACATCATCGAGCAAGGAGGATACGACAATGAGTGGTATCGAGGATATTTGGTCGCGCCCCCTTCCCTACTGGCTGGCCTCACTAGCGACAGTGGACAGCAGCTCGAACACCGGGTCTTCTCTGGCATCTTCCCACGGAATTGCGTCGAGATCAGGGAGCTGCTGGGCGAGAACAAGTCCAGTGCAGATGCGAGAGCTGCTGCGGCAGAGGCGTTGGAAGGCAAAGCGGACGATGAAGCGCCGCTGGAGAGGAGAAAGAGCCAGGCCCAGTATGCGCGGCGGTTGAGTCGCGCGCTGAGCCGGAAGAGGAGTACGACAGACATGCAGAAGAAGGTGCGGCAGGTGTATATTGATGCCTCGGAGCCTATGCCACGCGATCCCAATGCGCCGAAGCCGTTGGCTCCTGTGCCTATGCTCAGAGTAGGGGATGAGATGGGTTCGGCTGTAGAGGAGCCATTGGTGGACGAGATTGCTTCTTGTCTACGGGAATGGCATGATGCTCGACTTCATGAGATGCTGCTAGCGAGAGGGTACAGCCAGCTCGTCCGGGTGCAAGAACTCGTCAAGCGGGTGGATACCAGCAGGAAGCAGCTTATGCACGATGTCATGACAATGAGGGAGCTTACTACACTGCGGGAAGACACTGTGTGGGACCTTGTGGCTGGCAATAAGATGTTGAACGACGAAATCATCGTTCGAAGTCCAACGGAGAAAGGGCGGATATTGACTGCAGACGACTCTGTGATCGAGATGACAAGACTACAGGCCAACATGAGCATACTGGACCGACCTCCTAAGCCGCCGGCTGATCTGCACATGCAATACCATGTACTGATTGACGTCCACAATCTCGTGGGCGACTTCGACACGCCGGCGCAGCTGCAGATCTACCTTTGTGTCAAGGAGTTTGGCGAGAAGCCAAAACCGGTCAGCGAGAACTACGCCATCTCATTGCCACTCCCCGATACTCCTTCCAAAAATCCTGAGGACTTGACAAAGGTCGTCTTTGCGAATCTGAGCGCTACTGACATCGGCATTGGCTCGGATTCGACACAGATGTACGCCGTCTTCAAGCTCATACAGGATGAGCCAGTGCGCAACGCTTTGGCGAACGAGCCTCTGCTTGGACACCAGGCCAAGTCATCCGTCTCGTCGGGGTCTGGCGAGCCTCTTCAGCCACCCCAGAAGTTTGCAAGCTTAAAAGGCAGGCGCAGCGTTTTCGGAAGCCAGAAAAAGAGCGACAGCATGCTTCGGTCAACGTCTGACAACTCACGTCGACCGGCCACGGGACAGTCGCAGCGCTCTAATTCTGACGTTCGTTCGACCAACTCGACTATCGACCCGCCTTCTTCACACGACACAAAGGTTGTGAAGCGGACAGTTGGCGTGGGCGCTGTAGAGGTCGGCCGGCTTGCGCAGCAACAGAGCGAGCTGGATACAAAAGTGGCCATGTGGGCTCCAGCATCATCGGCAGCGAACGATAAGAGCGACGAGAGTCACGATTGGAGCGAGATCATCCGTGAGCTGCAGAGAAGCGTTAATGGAGGCTACTCTCGTGTCGGCATATTAAAGCGCTTTGACGTCTTTGCTACAGCTTTTGCGTCAACCGACATCGACACGCTTATCCGCAACAATCCTACCCTCCTACATGACGTGCATATGGCTGAGAAACTTGGCTTCTCTGGCGTGCCGACTCACAAGCGATCTGACATCTATCTCACGTTGTCAGAACCTACCATCGGGCGGAACGCAGCCTTACAGCACTCGAAATTCGGCAATGTGCCGCTTGCCCAGCGATGCCAGAGTAACATGGCGAACCTCCAGCTCACCCTTGAAGTCCGCAAAGGGAATGGTGAGCGCATCGATGACTGCATCTTCACTGCTTCCAACCACCAGGGCCATACTGCTTGGCGCACTACTGCTGTCGAGCGAGGCGAAGCCTGGAATCAAACCATCAAGCTCGCTATACCTACCGAAGATGTTCCAGGCAGTCACATTGTTATGAGCATTGCGGACTCGCCGAACTTCCCGTTTGCGCTCTCCTGGATCCCACTGTGGGAGCACGATGCTTTCGTTCGAGATGGAGACCACCAGGTAGCGCTTTACGTCTACGACGAGTACTCGTCCAGCATCATCGGCGGCAAGGGCGCTTACCTTGCGCTGCCCCCTTGGCACGACAAGAAGAACGAGCCTGGGTATGGCACATCCGCTACCGTCTCCATCCGCACCTACCTCTGCAGCACGGAATACTCACAAGACCCGAACTTGCTCGGCTTGCTGAACTGGCGCAATTTCCACGGCGCAAAGCTCGTCGAGCTCCTCGAGCGCTTCTCCTTTGTGCCTGAGATCGAAGTCGTGAAGCTGCTCGGGGAAATCTTTGACGCGCACTTCGAGATCTTGCATGAGTATGCCAATAGCGAAGCCTACGAGGACGTCGTCTTCCACAACTTTGTCGTGATTTTTGGCATTGCTCGTGACAGGCGGTTCAGTTTGACGAATGTGATCGAGCATCATGCTCGCACGAGGCACGATTGGCCGTACGCGAGTCGATGTCTGGTCAGAGCGTACCTCCGCCTGGTGTCGAATCCGATGGACTCAGAGGCGTCTCGGAAGCTGCGTGAGACACTGAAGGTTGGAGACCAGATGCTACGACTGATTGTGGAGACGCAAAAGGAACGACCGGAAAATGCGGGCGCGGAGATGAATGGCGACTATGATCAACGGCATCCAGACTTTCAGCAAGATCTACAGAACCTGTTCGTGGCGCTGATGGCGCTGATGCGCAACCCGATGCCGGTCCTTCTGGGCACTCAGACGCTGGTGGTACAGCACTTCCACACCTGGCTCCCGGAACTTGCAGCCTTTATGCCATACGAAGACATCCTGGAAGTAGCCACCAACCTCCTCGACGCTTGCGCGCACGCAAAGGGCAAGATGATCCTCTTCCGCCTCATCCTGATCATCAACTACAGCCATCTGGACATCTTCAAAGCTCCAGAGATCCGTACCACCTTGGTCGCGAACACTTTCCGCTGGTTGGCGCCGTACTGGGGCGACTGCGTAAATGTGACAGACCAGTGGCGAGATCAAGTACGGCTCTGCTGTTCCGTTGTTGCGGCGCAGATGGAGGAGCTGGGTGAGGATACGTGCCAATACGTCCCCAAGCTTGTGGCTTCTTACAGCGCGCTGGAGAAGTCCCAACGCAAGGCGAAGAAGTCTTTCAGTATGCTTTTCCCGACTAGCTTCCCTTTTCCTTCGAAAGCGACGGCGAAGGAGGTGGGCGTGGATGAAGCGATGCTGGAGATCTCGGCTTTACTTGCCGCGGCGCTGACGACACAGCAACGGTTGTACTTTGATGCGAATCAGGTCGATATCCCTGGTGTGCTGTTGCAGGCACTTAAGGTCGAGCAGAGCGTGTTGAAGGGACAAGCATTTCCACGCAGTTGGTTGAGCTTGCATGTCAGTCATCACCGCTTCTCCATCAATGCCTTGGAGCGAATCTTCGAGGTGCTGGTGGAATTCTTACCGGACTCGAACGCACCGGATATGGAAGATGCTATTGAGTTTGACACTGAAATCTGGCGCGCTTTCTTCGAGACGCTGTTTGCGGCCGTTAGCAGCTCGGCGCTGGCTATGGAGACGTTTCCGGAGCAGAAGCGGAGGGCGATTTGGAAGATTGCTGGGGATGTGCGGGAGATAGGCGCTGATCTGATTCGGCGCAGCTGGGATGCTATTGGATGGGAGGCCGATGATGAGAGTAAGAAGTTGCACGGCTTCGAGCGCATCGGCGGCTACCAGGTGCAGTTCGTGCCTGAGCTCATTGCTCCGATCGTCGAGTTGTGCTTAAGCGTCCACGGCAGTCTGCGGAACGTGGCGGTCGAGGTGTTACGCACCATGATCATCAGTAACTGGGAGATCGACCAGGACCTTGCTGTTATCCAGTCGGCGATGATCGAATGTCTGGATAATTTGTGCCGGAGCCAGAAGGTCTCAGAGTCCATGCTGCAGACGACGTTTATCGACGAGATGATCACGCAGTTCCAGCCGTTGCAGAATACGGTGGAAGATAGCTTGTACCTCGCTGTCATGGAGATGTTTGGCCGGATCGAGGAGTTGCTGAGTATGCTGGCGAGTGTGCATCGCGGAGGTGCGATCAACGAGGCTACGCGGATTGTGGATACTTTGCGCTTGATGGAGTTTCTTAAGGATGTGCAGTCCGAGGAGGCGTACATCCGATACGTGCATCAATTGGCGTCGGTGCAAGCCGCTGCTGGCAATCATACTGAAGCTGGACTCGCGCTGCACATGCATGCTGAACGGCTGGAATGGGATCCCACGACACAACTGGAGGAGGTGGCAGAGCCCAAGCTGCCGGCTCAATCGGCCTTCGAACGCAAAGAAGCGCTGTACTTCGAGATGTGCGAGTACTTTGAAAAAGGCAAGTGCTGGCACCGCGCTCTGGCGGCTTATCGCGAACTCGGCCATCAGTACGAGCACAACACTTTCGACTATTCGAAGCTGGCGAGGTCACAGCGGGCTATAGCTACCATCCATGAGAAGATCGCAAAGGGCGACCGCATCAGTCCGCGCTTCTTCCGGGTGGTGTACAGAGGTCTGGGCTTTTCACCGAACTTGCGGGACAAGGAGTTCATTTTCGAAGGCCAGCCTGAGGATCGTCAAGCCAATTTCGAAGAGCGTCTGCAGCAGTTGCACCCGATCGCGCACATTACTCGTGCTGAAAAGGAGACCGATGTCGAAGGCCAGCATTTGCTGGTGTACCCCGTCAGTGCGAATAAGGATTTGCGGCATATGCTCTACCAGCGCACCAAGGTGTCGCAGTCAGCTAGGGAGTACATTTTGCTCTCGAATCCTTCGCGGTTCGCTACCACGTCTCGGCAATTGCAGCAGGATGTCCCGGTCACGGAGCAAGCGGTCGAAAAGGAGATTTACACCACGGCGGAGCCTTTCCCGACTCTGCTCAGTCGAAGCGAGATTGTTGCAACTGAGGCGGTAATGCTTTCGCCGGTTGAGGCTGCTGTTGAACGTACTACGAGGAAAACGCAGGAGATCTTGTCGTTGGAGAAGAGGGTCTCGAGCGGGGAGGATGAGAGTGCTATGAACAGGTTGTCGGACGAGCTGTTGCTGTCTGTCGACCCGCAGTCGGACAGCAGTGTTTCGCGGTATCGCAGCCTTCTGCCGAGAGCACAGCAAGGCGATGCTGCCTCCGGTGACGACGAGTACGCTATGCTGGAGCAGGAAGAGGAGCCTTTGGGTCCCATGCAAAACGCTCTCAGGGTAGCTTTACTCGACCACACCCTCGCCATCCGCCGCTGTCTAAGCCTGTACACCAGCTCCGCATACGTCGCCACCAAAGCCGAGCTCGTGCCCCGTTTCGAAGCGACCTACGAAGTCGAAATCACCACCCTCTTCCCCAACGGCGACGGCCTCATGGACGAAGCGAGCCGCCGCTCCTCCCTCGAAGAACGCCGCGCGAGAGCTTCCACTCGCACCGCCGACCAAGCGGCTCCAGGCGCGCAGCAAGACCAAGCTCCCGCCGATGGCTCCCAGGATCCTCCGCGCACGCACTCCCGCCGCCGCTCCCTGCCTTTCCTCCGACGCATGGCGTCCGGGAATACACGACAACCGAACGGCGAACCGGAAGAAGGCGGTGGAAGGGCGACTTCGCGCCAATCGAGCCGTAGTCGGACGAGGGGCGAGAGTCTGACAAGGAGGCTGAGCTTTTTCAGGAACGAGCAGCAGCAGCATGAGGCGGGGTTGAAGCCAGGGTCTTCGGCGGGGGGGAGTACGTTGCATGCTAATGGGACGGCTGGGGCGGAAGGAGGGGGGAGTTTGAAGAAGCGGTTGAGTTTTTTGAAGGCGACGGGGGGGAGTGGGTTAGGAGGTGGTGGTGGTGGGGAGGTCTATTGATGGCTCTTGACATGGGGAGATTTTTTTGACCTCTCGGGAAAGCGATGGTGTTGGTTTTGGTTCACATGGTTGTTTGATACCCACTTGTTGCGACTGGGACATTGGATATTTGTAGAACAGATATAAGATAATGTAAAATTGGATACGGATATGTGTGCGTTGGTGTAGCCTTTGGTGAACTCTTGCGAACTGTACGCACTGCTATCTCCAGTCGTGTGACATGTGATCGGGGAGGCCTGAGCGTCTGCCTCGGACTTCCATGAGCCATCCTCCGAAGCATGTGAAAGTAGGTGGTCCATCATGCGAACAACGACCTGCAGCGACTTTTCTCAGGGTCAGTCTTCCTTCTGATTCATGGCATCTTTTCCTCACCGATAGTATCGCGAGCGAGATATCGCAGTCCTCGAATGCGCGAAGCGATGATGTCGGCGTCTCTCTCTCTTCGATCGTTGAAACGACTACTTCAAGACCTCACGACACTGTATGGCAAGCACCGGACCGGCATCTCGCGGACGGCGTACCTTTCCATACTCACGGTACTGATCTACCGCATCCGCAATGCTGTCAAAGAGCAAAAGGCCGCAGTGGCGGAAGCACAAGAGGCCCGTCGGCAAGGTCGCGCGGCAGGGAAGCAGACCGGGGATGGAGCAGATCCGACGACGAAGAGGAGGAAGGTCGAGCTTGACAGGGAGTTCTTCCGCAATCTGGGAAGGCTGTTGAGGATATGCATACCGGGGTGGAGGAGCTATGAGGCTCGACTGCTGGTGCAGCACTCGTGCTTCTTGATCGCAAGGACGATGATCAGCTTGTACATTGCGAGACTCGACGGAAGACTCGTGCGAGACATCGTTCGCGGCCGGGCGAAGAGCTTCCTCAAGTCCCTGGTGTGGTGGATGCTGGTCGCTGTCCCCGCCACGTTCACCAACTCCATGTTGACCTGGCATCAAACTGCCCTCGCGCTGGCATACAGGAGCCGCTTGACGAACCATATTCACAACAAGTACTTGGGCAACATGACCTTCTATACGCTTTCTGCTCTCGACGACCGGATCAAGAACGCCGATCAGCTGATTGTTGTGGACGTCTCGAAGTTCTCCAACTCTCTTGCACAGCTTTACTCAAGCCTTACCAAACCAATTCTCGACATTGCAATCAACAGTTGGTCGATCACGCGAAGCGTTGGGACGGATTCGTTCCTTGGAGTCAGCATTGCGGTCCATCTCAGCTCGCTTCTCTTGCGCGCTGTCACGCCACCATTTGGCAAATACGTTGCGGAAGAAGCGAAGCTGGAGGGCGAGTTCAGATTCCAGCACTCCCGCCTAATAGACTATAGCGAGGAGATTGCACTTTACTTTGGTCATGAAGCGGAGAAGGACGCCGTGGACAGGAGCTATTTCACGCTCATCAAGCACGTCAACCGCATACTGAAACGCAAGCTGTGGCATGGTATCATGGAAGACTATGTCATCAAATATACCTGGACCGCGCTTGGCTATGTCTTGTGCGCTGTGCCGGTCTTTTACAAGCGAGCTGATCTTGGTCCAAGCGAGCAGTTTGGGGATGTTTCAGAGAACTTGATGACTACTCGGAGGTTATTGATCAACTGCAGTGAGGCTTTCGGGAAGCTCATGACTAGCTACAAGGATATCTCGCAGCTTGCAGGCTATACCAGCCGGGTCAGCACGCTTCTGGATGTCATTGCAGACACCGAGAGAGGCCACTTCGAGAAGGCCTTGGTTTCTTCGGCTTCCATTGAAGAGAACGCTGCGGTGCTAGCGGGACGCGGCGAGCTCGAGGAAGGCGATGACATCAAGTTCGAAGGCGTACCGATCGTAAGTCCGAACGGAGACGTGCTTGTCAAGGCTCTGTCGTTTCACATCCGCAACGGCGATCACCTGCTCATTGTGGGACCGAACGGGTGCGGAAAGAGCTCATTGTTCCGCATATTGGGAGGCCTGTGGCCAGTATATGGAGGTCTAGTTCGAAAGCCGCCCAGCGAGGACATCTTCTACATCCCCCAAAGACCGTACCTCAGCAAGGGAACGCTGAGACAACAGATCCTGTACCCCGACACATTACTCGACATGCGAGCACGCCATGTCACTGATAATGACCTTGCGGATATTCTACGTCGGCTCGGTCTACAGCATCTTCTGCGAGCCCAGCACTCGAAGCATGCAGACTCGACATTCGAATACGTCGAGAACGCAGGCCATCTAAAGCCATCGGCAGCGCTGGATACTGAAGCGGAATGGACATCACTCCTCAGCATGGGCGATCAGCAACGCATCGCAGCCGCCCGGCTTTTCTACCACAAGCCCAAGTACGCTATCCTCGACGAATGCACGAGCAGCTTAACACCAGAGATCGAACGAACCATCTACACCGAAGCCAAGCGTCTTGACATCACACTCATGACTGTTTCGCATCGGCGCAGTTTGTGGCGGTATCATGGATGGATTCTGCAGTTCGACGGACAAGGGTCGTATGTCTTTACGAAACTTGATGCCGAGAAGAGGCTTGCGCTGGAGGATGAGCGGGAGGAGATTGAGATGCAGTTGAGGGCTATGCCTGAGATTGAGAAGAGGATCGCTGATTTGGAAGCTGGTGGTGCGGGTGTGGTGGAGAGTGAGGCGGCTGCGAGCTAGCCACACGGCGCATGTTTTCCAGCAGCGCTGGTACTGTACAGTACCACTGTTTGTCTGTCGCCAGCGCAGCGACCATCGCTCTGTTGTGGGATGTGAGGGAGAAGAAACGTGCGTGAGTGACAGCGTTCGCGATTAGGCGCATCAAATCAGTCGGCCAGTCAAGGTTGAAGCTGCCCAACGATGCGTTGGCTTACCTAGGCTTGAATCCTGGACACCACAGAAACGACAAAAGAAGGCTAAAGCGTGAATCGATATATAATGGTACAGATACCCAAGATCGCACAGCTCACACCACACAGCCTGTGATTGTTTTCTTTCCTGTTGCCGCCTAAGGCATCTTCAACGCCTCACGCCTCTTCGACCGCATCTCATCGCGACGGATGACTATCAGAAAAGGACCCCCTGCTTCACTAATGGCCTTTGCGACCGCGTTCGCACAACGATCGTCCTAAGACAGTTACCGCTATGCTACGTATGGGTAATACTCCTCAAACCGAGCGCCAAAATGCCATCGAAGCTGGAATAAAGGATCCCGTCAATCAATTCTAACCGTTCGTTTGCTACCTTGGAACCCAGAGAGCGGCTCATACCTTGTGACTGGATGCGATATCAGGTTATCACCTCTGGGCAAGCTGTTCCCGACGCCGACGCCGTCCTTCTGTCCTCTCGGAACATAAGAAGATCTGGTTCTCTGTCAGACGGCCATGCTTCCGAAGCTCCTTCCACTGGGCGTCGTCGATGATTCGCTTGTTCCACAGGTGCGCCAGCAACGAGCTGTGTGGTCTTCTGTCTGTGACCACCCTGCCGGCTCTCTTGTGCGTGCTCTTCATATGGTGCAGCAATGCATTCCAGGCGATGTCTCCCGCTGGATTGGATGACGCCCAGGTACAATCGAATGGACAGTGTACTGTTGTTGGGAGGTGACCGTGGAGATGGCTTCTGCAATGCTGGTCCCAACCATCAAGGTCGTCGGTTTGTTGCGAGCAGCCCAGGAAAGTTAACATACAGTCGAGCCCTTTGCATCGAACACCCTCCGGGACTCGGAGCGCTCCGTCGATGTCTACCTCCAATGCATGGTCCAGATCTGTGGACGACACTTCGCTGGTATGCACTAAGGAAGCGGTTTTCGCAGTCGGGCCTGAGATGAGCGATGGCGGACGGCTCGTGAACGTTGGATAGGACAGTGAGGAGTCGCCGAGCGATCTAGCTTGGACCGAGACAGACATTGTCGCCATCCAAAACGTCTGGGAATCTGCTTCGGGAGCTGACCAAGATGCTGTTGGCAAAGAGTGTTGTGCGGTCCGCGTTCTTTGATCGAAGTCCCAGGACTAATGACTGTCCTAATGCCCTCCTTCAACAACCTAGTGGAGATCGAGCTCCAGCAGTTCATGCAGGCTGGCTCGCGCCACTTCTGCGTATGCGCTGGCAGTTGCACGAGCTTCGGCTTCGGTCGGATCATCCGGGTCTTCTTGCACAAGTGTGTGCGTGAGTGAGGATGACATCGAAGAATGCATCAGCAACGGCTGACCAAAGGAAGACAATGCTTCTCCTTTCATAAAGATTGCACTCCTGGACGACGAAAGTTGTACGTTGAGTATTCAATATCGATAGACAAGGGGAAGTGACGGCAGAGAACTGTGTACAACAACCAGCTCATCTCAAGTGGTTCTGCTACTCACACAGTGGCTTAATCTGTCCAGGTCCTGTTAGAATCCTGCACAGATTCTACGCCCAACCTTTTCAGAACGGAACGTGTGCAGGGGCTGAACGAACGTACAGTGCATGCATTGCGTTGCTTTTTCTCAGCGGCTGCCACCGGACTACTGGAGCTGAAGGCCAACACCTCGACCTTCGCACGCCATGAACATAGTACGGCTCACAGATGGACGCGAGCACCAAAACGCTCGGTCTCGAACAGCAACACAGTCGACGGCCCACTCTTCCAGACGGCCTGCTGCACCTCTTGCTCGCCCTCGTATGGCTGACTCCTGTCCGGTCGGCTTGTGTCTCAAACTTCAAGCAGCACAGCACTTCGAATAAAGAGATTCTTCGGCACACCGAGGAAGGCCGTCAACCGTTGTAGCTATCGCCGTGACAAACTAGCAGTCTGCTGCATCACAAGCTATCATTGGTCAGCCCGTGGTCCGGTGAAGGAGCTGCATAACGGTCCGTTGAGGCTGCATACCTACTCTGGATGACTGATTTTCGCTTGGGGGAAGTCTAGCCATATCGGCTGCGCAAGCGCTTGTATCCAGACCTGGTTGTTCTTCAAGACAGTCGTGGACAGGAGAGCAAAAAGACGTTGGCGATTGTCGTCATTTTTTCTTTTGTAGCAGATCAGGTTGCTCAGTCTTTGGTGTTAAGCGGCAGGTCAAGCACCAAACAACCTATCCCTAAGCTTCCGACGAGTCTTTTCTACTCGACTGCCTAACACCGAGTCTGCGGTTAGCTGGTGCTCTTCTTGCTGTCCCATGAGACTATGCCGTCTTGTTTGCTCCTCTCCCCCAAAGAATCGCTTATGACCAGACTCTTGACCATACTCATACGTTGTGGGCTTTGCAGACCACCGTTTCTGCTTGTAGACAGCCTGCTGGCTCCAATTCTCATGCTCAGCTTGTCGCAATGTCGTCAAACAAATGGGTGTGCGGCGAATGATCGAAGTCCGAACCGTCTCTTTCCCCTTTGGTGGCGTAAACTTCAACCAGCCTCCGGTGGCGCACGGTGGGGCAAATTGCATGTGTTGCCTGCCCTGTATGCAAGTCCACTGCATCTGTCCTAGACTCGTCCACATATCTTGTCCGACCATAAATAATGCCATCGAATGCTGAACCTTGGTCCGGTGAAAAGCGCCTACGAAACGGGATGTCGACGAGAAGCAAAACCAAACGAATCGCCGCCGAGAACCGACAAGGTGTCGACGCACCATCAGAAGCAGCCAGCAGCCGACAGCAATCATCACCTCCTGTAAGAAGCTCCCATCTTGATCCAAAAGCCACCGAACTGGACGAAGACGTTGACGAAGACGACCTTTGTCCCATCTGCCGGCTACTGCTTTACAATCCAGTGACTACTCAATGCAACCACACCCTTTGCAGCTCATGTATGGCACAATGGGCGGATGTTTCGATATCGATGCCGCACATGGCAATCGTCAGCGTCGATGAGGAACCACAGAACTTTGATGCTGCTACGGGATTAGAGGCGAAATGTCCAATGTGTCGGACATTGACTACGGCAGCTGCAGATGAAGACCGCGGAGAGCGGTTGAGGGCCGCCTACCCTACTACGTACGCGGAACGGGAAGCAGAGGAGTCCGCTGAGATCGAGAGTGGGGAGAGCATTCAGACCATTACGGTCTACATCGGCAACAGGCACGAAATTGTCTCTCGCACGGAGGAGACACACAACACGCACCAGTGGACTTTCTTCATTCGACCTAGCCGGACGGACATCATCGAGGAGGTCCACATCCATCTCCACCCGACTTTTCGACAGAGCCACATCGTCCGCACTCGACCCCCGTACGCAGTCCAACGCCTAGGCTGGGGCGTCTTCCCAATACTTGCGGATGTCATCTTGAAAGCCGGGTACAGCTGGGTGTCATCCGATGCGGAAGATTCACCGGATGGAGCGCCCAAGGGTATGCTCAGGTTGGAGTGGATGTTGGACTTCTCGAGCTTCAACGCAACGGGTGCAATGGGGAGGTGTAGATTGAAGGTGAAGAGTGATCGCGACTGGAACGATGGGGAGGCCGCGAGGGATCGGAGAGAATGGGAGAGAGTTGTCAGGCAGTACGAGCGAGATGGGCGATATGAGCCTGACTTGGTTGATTGATGATTGTGTAAGGGTGCTAAACGTTGTTAATGGTTGATCCGTAGCCCTTGCTCGAGGCGACGTCCAGCAGGTTTTGCGCTATGGTGAGGTCCATCAGCGCGAAACCAACACACTTGAAGACCGTCAGTCTTGCATTTGGGTCCAATGCGACTGTTGCTCGTTCAGCAAACAGCTCGCCGGCTTCAATCAGGTTGTCTTTGCCCATCTTGGCTCTGATCAGTTCGCCTGCTTCGTCGAGACACGCTTCTCGTGAGTCTACCCAAACTTTTCCAGCGAGTCGAATCGTGTCCGTATCGACTTCTTGCATTTCGGGCTTGTACGACCCGATCAGTGACAGGAATTTTGGCTTGCTACCATCGGCACCCAACTGTTTCGAACTGAACAGTGGCTCTCGCGACGGCGTGCAGCAGGAGACAATGTCCGCTGCGGACAAGCATGCTTCAAGCTCTGATACATAGTCCTCCGCATCCATCACCAGGCTGGCAAATTCAACGTTCGGGTAAGCCTTCTCAAGCTGATCCAGAGTTTTCTCCTTGAGCAACTCAAGCCTATCCTTCGTTCGATTGACCACAGTAACTTTCTTGACACCCTCGACAAGGAGAAGCACAAGCCTCACATGCCACTCAGCCTGCTTGCCCGCTCCAAACACCACCATCTCCCGCCTCCCAGCACTCTCAACGGTCGCCGCCCACCTCGTAAGCATAGTCATGGTAGCAAGCGCAGTGCGAAAAGCAGTTATCTCCGCCGCGTTCAGCACGCCCAGAAGCTCGCCAACAGCAGAATAGACTGTGATGGCGCCTTGGATGGATCCTTTGGCGGGTTGAGTGACGACTTTGACTGTTGTGGTGGAAGAGTCTGAGACGGGCATTACGAGGGTTGTGTCGCCTTTAGCGGTCTGGATTACTGTGCGGAGAGGCTGGTGGATGGATTTGTCGTTGGACTGGGAGTTTTGCTGCGCTGTATAGGCGGCCATTGCAGTTGAGAGGGCGTTGAGTAGTTGGCGAGCATCTTGTTCAGACAGTTCGCGGAGGATACTGGATATCTCGTCTCCCGTGAGCAATTGCATTTTGAGGTTGTTGATGATGGTGTTTGTGTTCAAAACGTGGGTATAGATGAAGTCGGGAAATGCTACGAAGTTGGCAAAAGCTTGATGGCTCTAAAGCACGTTGGTGGAGCAAAGACAAGTCACGAGAACTTGATGTATACAGTGCTCGATACTCAACACAACCAGCGTACTGCGGTATGCGCTTTGCCCTTCCAAGTCTTCTTATCCTCCCAATCCTCCTCGTTGTCCTCGGCAGTATGCACGTCCGTCTCAAGATCCATCATGTCCAACGACACAATCTTGGACCTCTTCCACAACTTCCATGCTACATACATCACAATCATGACGGGAATCTCCAAATAATAGCTCACAAAGCTAACCGCGTCAAAAGAAGGACTGAAGCAGCTCCAGCCTTGCACCAGCACCAGCACGCTGTTCAAGGTCAAAGAAAACCACGGTCCATACGGGTACGTCCAGTTTTTGAACGGCAGAAGATGCGTCTTGCCCTGAAGCTTGAGAGCGGCCCGGAACCTGAGCGAGGCGATGCAGATAGCGATCCAAGACAGCTGGTTGGAGACACCGACAATGGACTGCAGCCAGCTCCAGAGGTCTCCGGCCCCGATGAAGCTTCCGCCAAAGCACAGGAGACTGATGGAGCTGGTCGAGAGGACGGCGATCCATGGCACTTTGTTGCGGTTCAGTCGGCCGAGAAAACGAGGTGCGTATCCTTCGATAGCCAGTGTGTACATCAGCCTTGTGCCGGCGAATAGTGCATGGTTTCCTGCACTCAACACGCTGGTCAAGATAACGGCGTTGATGAAGCTGCCGGCGGCTTTGGCTCCGGCCATTTGGAAGATGATTGTGAATGGCGAGGTTGCAGTGGTCCCGTCGTAGAGACCGGGACGATTGTAAGGCACGTTGAAGCCGATCAGAATAACGGAAATGATGTAGAAGAGTAGGATCCGCCAGAAAACATTCTTGACCACCCGCGGGAGATTCTTGGTTGGGTTCTTCGTCTCACCAGCGGTGATGGCGATTGATTCTGTTCCGCCGTCTGTAGCTATCGTCAGCGTCGCCCATCCAAACTGACCTCTGGGAAGACGTACATGCAAAGGAGGCAGTCACAAAGACCGAAGCAAAGCCACCAATGCCTCCGACAAATGGCGCATCGCCAATCTTCCAATTCTTGTCACCGATATATCGGCCTGAATTATTGCCTCCAGCGTTGACCACTACTCCCAATATGATGAAGATCTAACTTGTCAGCTTTGGCTCCTCGTGCGAGCTGAGAAGATGCATACTTACACAGATGGTTATGACTTTCAGCAGGCTGAGCCAATACTCTAGCTGGTCATCTTCAGCATTATGCATTCACTACAGATGCGACTTCAAACTCACCTCTCCGTAGACCCGGACACTAATGAGGTTCGCGCATACGAGTACGAAGAGGAAGATCAGCCCCAGTGCCCAGCCAGGGAAGTTCGTGTTCCAATACTCGAAGACCAATTGCAGAGCTGTGAGATCTGAGGCTGTCGACACGGCGTCGTTGAACCTGCAAATCAGAGAGGACTGAGGTTAGCCAACGACTTCAAGACAAGCTCATTGATGCTTGCCAATAATTCCACGTCAAAGCGAAACCGAAGGCATCGTCGACGAATCTCCCTGCAAAAGTACAGAAAGACTGTGGAACCATCAGCCTATATCAATAGTTGCCCGGTTCACATCACAAACTCCAGCAATGGGCATAAATGCTGCCATCTCGCCCAACGCCAGCATTGTGTTGAAGACAATCGCTCCTACAATGGCATACGAAATGACCATTGAAGCGGGCCCGCCGGTGGAAAGCGATTTGCCAGTCCCTGTATACCGTCTATCAGTACATGGAGTCCTGACCGATACAACGCAGCACCTACCCAAGAACAGTCCTGTGCCAATCGTCCCACCTGTATAATTGTGTTAAATTCTCAGGCCAGCTCAAGTAGACCACTTTGCACCTACCTATAGCAATCATCTGCACCTGTCTCGCAGATAGCTTGCGTGCGAGCCTATCCGCAGCGACATGTTGATCAAGAGGCTCTCCATCGTGTGGAAGGCCGGCTGCGAGGGCATTGGCTTCTTTGCGCTGTTTCTCATCTGATGTCTGCCATTGAGACTTGGGCTCGGTGGTCGCCATCGGGATCGCTTTGTGACAACAACGAGCCGTGACAGTTGAGGTCCAGCATTGCCGGTGAATGTGCTCTTGTTTCGCGATGGTTCGTAAGGTGACATCGCTCAGAAATGCCTGCAACATGGCGTGCTCGCGGTTGTTAGGCATGATGTTTTACGTAATAGGCTAGCAAAGCTGCGACTGCACTTCGTGATGTGAGACGACCTTTCTTCCACTTCCCATCAAACCATCGACTTCACTAGTCTGCTCCGTCTCGACGTGTGCACCCTTATGGCTCCCTGTTGTGGCGAAATCTGCTACATGGAGCTCTTGTTCGGACGACCGCCTTCATCCTTTCCATGCCTCCGACGACAGGCCGACCGCAGTGGGACCGGCAGGACTTGAAATGCTCCACGGACAATGATCAAATCTCCAGTGGTATACATCCATCAGCGGCCTCCATTTGGTAGAGCAGATCAAGTTGTCGTTACCCAACCCTGGGCCAAGGCGTGCTTCCGAGCGATCAAGCTTATCTTGCAGGGCTCGGCATGGTCTACATGGAGCGAAATCCGTGATGAGAATCCAAACGACCACTTAAGACATCCAGAGCTTCAACGCATCTCTCGGTGAAACCAGGTGTCGGTTTAGACCTCCTGCAGATGCTCTGGCCTCGGTCCGAGAACCTGTGGCAAAGGATGTCGTACTTCAAGTTCATACCAAAACAAATGGGACCTCCTGGCTTAAAAACGACACAACAGTCGCACAGTAAAGGCGATGCCGAGGACCAAATACAATTGGAAATTTGGGATGTGTTGCTCGTGGACAGGCCCACCGCCTCGAACCACGCGCTGCTCTGGAATACTTGGCCCACTTCTCGATGGGCCAGCGCAGCCCCTATAACCGTAGGCGTCCTCGATAATTTGGCTTGCCCCACGAGTCGACTGTGTATGCTCTAAATCGCACAAGATCTGCTTGGGGTGAGTGATGTAGGTAAAAAAGTGTCGTAGGTATTGCGCTTGTCTTTCTCGCTTCTCTTTACCACCTCCGTGTCAAGGAACTAGCATGGCCCAAAAGACACCGGAACATGTCATCGTGGGAAACGAACGATGAGCCAGACCTGTCGATCGTCCGAGTAAGAAGTCACTTTCTCGGCCGCCGTGTGATCAGCCGTTGACTATCGATGAACGGCTTTCACCACGGACACAGGACCGCTGTGCGTCACCTGGACTCGACGCAGACTTGCATTGAATGCTTCATTGCAGGTTTGCGCCATTCCATGTGTGCGTATATAGTCACAAGCTGCTAACGAAAGGGGACACATTCGAGTCAAGCGATCCAAACGCAAGCAAACATCTTCAGAAATGATACGTATCTGTGTCCAGGGTGTCGCACCTTCGACCATCCTACAACTTTCAACCTACGACCCATTCACGCTCCTTCCAATACGTTTCACAGCCTCAGACAGCACTCCAGCACCACTTACTTTCTCCATTGGTTGACAACATGTCACAAAGAAGGGAAGAAGCTCGCCGAAGGGACGCGGAGAGAAACATGCGCGCCTGTCGACATTGCCAGTAAGTGAAGCGGTCGTTTTCTGCGACATGTGAAATGTTGACACTTTTAGGCGTCAGGACAGGGACGATTGCAAGCTCGACGACCCGTATTGCATCAGTTCGCAGGCCAGGAGGCCGGTGGCTCCTCGACCAGCGATGCCACCGCAGCCATCGTATCAGCAGCCAGCACGTCCGCCACCATCTGTGTACTCCCAGCAGTCGACGTACCCGCAACAGTCCTCGTACCAGTCCGCCTATTCAGGACCCTCGGGGTATACACAGCCATCGTATGCTGGCTCGTCGGGATACGCTCCGCCAACGTATCCACAGCCGCAACCGCAATCGCCATATCAGCAACGGCAGTACCCACAACCGCAATCGCCATATCAACAACGGCAACGTAAACACCAGGGTCCCCAGGAGCCAGGCGCCGATCGAGTTGGTCAGGACAGAGCCGTTCAACAGGCTCTACGCGAGCAAAGTGACAAAGTGAATCAGGCGAGAGAGGAATACAGAGCCAGGCTCCGGTCGTCCGGGAGGCCAAACCCAGGCGCAAGCGAAGATCGAAGCGCGAGGGCCAGAGCCACTCAAGCGCAAAGGGAAACAGCCGTTCAAACCCAAAAGGACAAAGACGTTCAACGGGCTGTATACGAACAGACCGAGAAAATAAGACGAGCGAGAGAGGAGCACAAAGCCAGGCTCCTGGGGTCCGAGGCACCGGACACAAGGCCTGCGCCTCGCAGGCAAAGGAAGACTGCCGATGCGGGCGATGACGATGGCCCGGTAGCGCCGCAAAGGCGGCAATCTCCATCAGAAAGGCGACAGGCAAACGCCGAGAGTCAGGCCAGACGTAGGGCGAGGGCACAACGACCAACGTTCTCAGCTGAGGATTTGGCAGAGCTTGGACGGCCGGTGAGTGAGGACGACTTTCGCCCAAAGCGCCGTCCCCTTCCTTCTTAAGAGCTGGAAGTTCTTATGAGGTGAGGGTCAGCAGTTCAGCGTACCTGGTCTTAAATGATGTCGGAGTTCTTGGGCATTCCGGCCGCGTATATAGGCTTGCTACATAGTTCTTGTAGCCTGGTTGGCTTCCATAGATGCTATAAGACCTCTAGCAGTGCAAACGTGAAACCTAAACGTGATCCTGGTATCTGCTGCCGTCAATCAATATCTGAAATGACCTCCACGCCTTTGTACATTTCTTGAGAGCCCACTAGAACCACTCCTTGACGTACCCGATCTTGCCCACAGAACTTTGACCGCTGCGCGTACGCTCAACTCTTGGAGTACCAGCGATAGGGCATGGATGCATTCAATGTAGGTTGGTCTGACACTGTCACTGTGAGTTGCCCCATTCCTTGCTCATATGAGAGTCTTTCGCAGCAAACTTACTCTCGGGGCGTATATCAATGCGTATTCCTCTCGGTCAAGACCCAGACCATTGAATCACACCAAGCTTCTGCACAAAATACCATTGCACTCCCATCCTGCTATCGCCCAGTTTGACCTACGCCAACGGCCTCGATCCTCTGGAGACACCCATTCTGCGTCCCAGGCCTCGACATCATCTTCACCCGGAGCCACGACGCTAAGATGAACGATTCCTCCTATGTCTGCCGAGGCTGCCAGTAGGTCTGGGATACTCGTCGGTCTGACCCACGCTGACGATTGCAGAAATCGCGGCCGCTACGTGCGCGATCCGAACCATAAAGGTTGTCGCGGGAAATGGGAAAGGCCAACATTCCTACCTGCGAATGCAAATGCGCAACCGGAGTTAGCTCAGCAGCCAACATATCCTCAGCAGCCGACGTCTGCCCAGCAACCATTCTATCCCCAGCAGCAAGTTTACCCCCAGCAGCAATTTTACTCCCAACAGCCTTCGTACACTCAACAGCCTTCGTACACTCAACATCCGGCGTATGGCCAACAGCCAGGATTCGCTCAGCAGCCATCGTATTCACAACAACCGGGCTTAGCCACCTACGGGTCTAGTTACAGCGAAGACCAAATTGCGAATCATGAGAGAATGATGAGAGAGCTAGACGAGCAAGAGGCAAAGAAAAGGCGAAGAAGTGCCGATCCGTGCCAGGTGAAAGCTCGCGAGAAGGATGATAGCGCAAACGTGACCCCGAGGCCTACAAAGCTTTCCTGAAGAAGATGAGGGATAGTAAGATGAGATCAAGGCGCCGAGCCGCCGGCCTTGTTGAAGATGAGCAAGAAGAAGACAAGCTCGGCGAGTTTACCAATTACGACTAACTGTCCGATGCGGTGTTCCGCATCTCCGAAGCAGGATTTGGAAAGCCAGGTCAGACCACAATGCAGTGACAATGTGGTAACTTGATCGACAATCACCCAGGCTGGAAGTTGCTGCCAACGGTTACTGGCAGAAGCAAGTCTTCGATAGGTCCACGACTCCTCGGGTACGGAGAGGATGTGCCCAGACGACTGTAATCCGACACAGCATTGACGTGTATTGGCGGAAGCGATGGGAGGTAGCGGAGGAGGCAGTAGTTGGCACAGCATTTGCAGATAGTCCGGTAGGTAGACCAGTAAGCCTGGTAGGCTCGACAATCTCCAGATGTCCCATCGACGCTGCGTTGACTTGTCTCAGGCCCGTTGTGATGACCGCCTCGTCTGCCGGCAATGAATACCTCGTCCTCGGGAAGGGCCACTCTGTCGATATAAGTACTGTTTGCTTCGTCATGCACCGACCGATATGAATAAGGCGTGCGTCGGATATGGGTCCACAAAATAAATGTGCACTCAAAGGGTAGATCGGAATCACAGACACCTCGCGGACCAGTTCGTCGCAACAAAGCCCATTTGATCACGGATTTCCAACATATGAATCTCCATACAGTCCAAGAAATTTTGTAGACGCTCTGCCGCTCAATTTGGACCATATACGGAACCATTTGACGGCATTAAGTATCCAAAATGTCGCAGCAGCCCGACAGACCATCGCCGCGCCCCGAGCGCGCACAAGACCCTATGGGCCAAATGGGCAGTGCAAAAGCGCCAGGACTAGCCAACCCGCCAGACGTCGACAACGCTCCACCAGCACTTCCATTGCCCGACCCAAAGCGACAACGAGACCGGCCGTTGGCCTTCAACCCCGACCAGCATGCCAACAGCGCGCTGAAGGAGCTTGACAGGAAGATGCTCAAGGGTGATAGCTGTGTGGCAGAACCGGCATCTGAACTAAGAGTAGGACTGTGGTGAGAGCATCCACCCATCGCCAGCAAGAATTCACGATCGCTTCCAGTGCCAACCCCAAGGGCAGCACAAGATTGGCCGTTGGTCTCCAATGAGTTCAATCCAGATCAGCGAGCCAGCAGCGGACTGCAAGAGATGAACAGACGGATGTTGAAAGACAGTGGCGGAGGTTCCGGAAAGTCTTGATAGTGGTGGACGCTTAGGCATGCTACGCTAACATCTCCTCACATAGACCATGACTGGCAGATCCGGCGTATGACTCGTTTCCCCCCTCTGTGCTTGGACAGTGGTCGAACGTGAAGTCGTAGATTTTATGGCTGCTGCTCGTAGCGTCTAGGTTTTCGAAGGACGAATGTCGTTGTCGTATGGGACTCTCAGCGGCCTGGGTCTGCGATTGGCGCTGCGCTCGTCGTGATCGATCGGTATTGTGACTTGTTTGCTCTCGTAGACAAAGCCGACGTGAGCATGCTGAGGACCCGTGTGACCATGCTCCAGCTCCAGTGAGGATACATGAAGTAGACTGTGGCCAGTCCTTACCGGCATCGATACGAACAGTGTATCTGAATCAGACCGACGACACCAAAGCAACGACAATAACACCATCCGCATGCCGCCGAGCAACCCATGCGGTCCCTGCAAGTAAGCACCCACATCACCAATCTTGCTGAGTCGCAGAAGCGCCTTACTGACCGCTACTAGGGAGACCTTCGGCAAAGACATCCAGCAATGCTCGTACGAATATCCAAACTGCACGAATTACGCTGGGCTGCCGCATGATGATCATGAATACGGTAAACAGTCGGAGTCTGCGTATGGCCCACAATGCAGCACACCTCGTTCGCCGCAAACCGCGAGCGTATGGACAGGGTACGCACCTGGGCACAGATCTTCGCCGCGGCCAGAGTCGAGCGCATCGGTGGCTCCGCGAGGACGGCAAGCAGCCGCAGGAACTCAAGGGCAGCAACGGCAAGGCTACGGGCAAGCCCCACCCGCCAGCAACAGACCAATCATCCTTCCACCCCCGACACCAACATTTCCACCACCACCGCCGCCGAAGCCACCGTTAGACCCTGAAATGGAACCGGCGGTCCGGTCCAAAGACCCATCGACCAATCCCGCTGAGCCAGCTGATCAGAACGCAAGCAGTAGACTGCGAGATTTGAACAGTCGGATGCTCAGAAACGACGGCAAAGGATTCAAGAAGTCCTGATGCTGGTAGCGAATGAGCGTTGACTGGAGGGCTGGCTGTGTGACGATTGGTTGGTGAATTGTACTCCTGCGTTGGACCAGCGCACATTTTGTAGCCTTTGTGCCGTCTATGAGATTCTAAGACAGTATTCACCAGCGGCGAAATGCCAGCAGGCGGCCAGACTTGTGTTGCCGGGGATGCGCTGGTAAGACAGATCCATCGTGAATACGTTCGATGACGCACATGACCAGCAAGGAATGGTGTATTGATCGAGAGTATATAACAAAGCTCGTAGCTTGCGAGTCTTGCAACATCTCTCTCCACCACCCACATCTTCTGCATCTCAATCTCGGCCAGGCTTCGCTGTATCATCCGCAAGCGAACACCATGAGTCCAAATGCCGGCAAGCTCGCGGCAATGATGAAGTCCGAAGATCGACCTGGCATTCGTTGGTGAGATACAACTCTTGAACCCCCAAAGATGATGTCGACGCAGTGCTGACCTGAAACTAGCATGGGAGCCAAGTCAGCTGATGCGCAGCCACGCTTTTCAGACAATCGTACATTCGGCGGTCGTATTACGAAGGCTCCACCCAAGTCGGCGTCGGGACCCGTGACACTAAGGACCAGTGGAAATGCAGATGCGGGCTCGAGTGGCGGAGAAGCGAGCAAGAACGACCATCTCCACGACGATATCATGGATGATAACAATATGTATGCTAGTTTCAAGTACGACCCAATGAACCCAGACGCCATCCCTGAGCGTGTCGAGCCATGCAAGAGGACCGTTGCCGAGGCGAGGGCGTACCGTAGGGCGATCTGGAGGCTGAAACTAGAGCGGACAGCCGACAAAGCGAGGTGGCCGGCGTCCAGGCGAGAAGCGAACCTACGAGCGACTCATCTGCGATCTCGACAAGGAGGTGCTCGGAGGGCGCAGTCGAAGTCAGCACGAATGTGGCTGCTGGGTGAAGCAGCGACTGGTCCATCGGTCCAGCGTCTTTCTAAGCGGTCGCGTCACCCAAAAGTTGTGTTAGACAATATCCTCGCGACATTGGACTCTCTTCATCTGGCCAACAAGAACCCGCAGGGGACAGGAAACCAACCGCCCGGCCATGTGGGTGAGGCCCACGAAATGGAAATGTGAAGGGGACAGGTAGATGTCGAAGGACGATGCGGAAACGAGGTCGATTCATGGGATGATGCTGAAGGCTCAGCAATGAAACGGCAATGGCCGCGATCCAGTTTGTACTTATAATGTAGCTGTTCGCATGGTATGCATGTCGTCCCTTCATCTCCCTGCACGTGAATCTCTTGACCATGCTGAACGTCGTCCACCTCCCTCAGGGAGGCTGCATCGTTGGATGACGGCGCGTCGCGAGCCGCAATCCATTGGCCAGGCGGTGTCCTTCGTCGCCTCAGACTCATCGTTCTTCCTCGTGGGCCACCATTCACATGACCGGAACCTCCTTCAAAGCTTTTCACCAATCTCTTTGCATCTCAGCGATCCCACATCACCGCTCCGCCGCCTCCCCAGCTCCATTCCTCGCCCTGCTTTCGACATAAAACCCTGGATCCGGCCTCCGCAAATCCTTCATCTCCGTCTTGCTCAATGGCTTGTCGACCTCCTTCACATCCACCAACTCCTTCACTGCGAAGATCTGGCCTGCGACGTCCGGCGTGACTGGGTGGTAGACGGTAGCCATTCGCTTGCGCAAGCCGAGTGCGCGGAGGACACCGCTGGTCTTGGCGGGCAGTCCGATGGAGGAGCGCAAGAGTGTGATGCGGAAGTAGTTGGTGGACATTGTCGGTTATCGTGGGTATTGTGAGAGTCTGAGGCGTGGTGTGGTATGTTGCTAATGAGATGGTGTAGAGAAGGAGGTGAGGTCGACTTTAAGTCGGGATTATTGCCGAGATATCTCCGGCGCATACCGGACTACACCTGCACCTAGAGATCACCCCAAGCTTCCAACGACCACGACATGCCCACAGACGATGTAACATGCCGATACCCTCGTCTTGACGTTCTTGGCCATGGCTGACCCCCTTCCTCCGGCCCTGGAGGAGACCACCTCCAAACTGAGCGAGCTCCTCAAGCACCCGGACGATCTGGACAAGTTAATCACCCTTCGTGGTGACTTCACGCGCAAGAAGACGGCGATCGACAGTCAGCTGAAGCACAGTCTGTCCGAACAGCTCTCCATAACCCAAAATGGCATGACAAGCATTTCGGACGGGCAGAAGCTCGTCAACGCTATCCGAGAAGAAATGCTGAAGATCGACCGGCTATGCGCTGAGGCGCAGGGGATGATTGCAGAGTTCCCTGAGATCAATAAGATGAGCGTAATGCAACGGAACTTTGCTGCAGTCGAGAATATGAGGTCTGCCGTGGAGAACTTCGCTGAGAAGCTGGCTGAGTTGGAGGATTTGCTGAGGGAGGACGACGAGGACTTGGACAACCAGCCAAATCTACTGGCTATTCACGAAGGATTGACGAGCTTGCGGGATGTACGGGACCAGGCCATGGATCAGGTTACGTCAAGCAAGACGGAAGGGGAGAGTGGGATGGAATTGATCGAGAATCTGCCGCTGGGGGGCCAGGAGACATTGAGCGATCTTTTCACGAAGCTGGATGATATCGTTGGGTGGTTTGACGAGCATGTCGGCCAGGCGTGTATCAATATCATCCCGCACATTCAATCTGGTAACAATGGGATTGTCGTACGGCTGGCGCTGGTTATTGAGGAAGAGGAGAAGAAGGACCGACAGGTCAAGGCCTTGCAAGATGCCCAACGCGAGTTTCAGGACGTCGCTCTCCGCTTCAAATCGATCAACGTCGGCCAACGCGAACTTCGCGGGTACAAGAAGAAGTTCTTCCTGGCGGTGGAAGCATCAGCACAGGCGCAATTCGAGACCGTTGCACAAGCATTCGCAGAGGACCCAGACAAACTGGAGAAGAGCTGCCGCTGGTTCTTCAACGACCTCAACACCGTCAAGCTGGGACTCACTGATCTTGTCCCGAAGAAGTGGAAGATCTTCAACACCTACACCAAGATCTACCACAAGCTCATGCACGACTTCTTGGTCGCACGCCTCGACGACAAAGACATCACCCCGGTGCATGTGCTCGCCATCTTAAACTGGGTCTCGAAATACTACTCGAAGCTCTCACGCTTAGGCATCTCCAATCCAGAAACCATGCTCACACCACACGTCATCGACGAGCGCGAAGCCGACCTCGTCCGCGAGTACCGCAACCTCATCACCAAAGCCGTCGAAGAATGGATGGATCGCATTGCACGCAACGACCGCAAAGCCTTCACCGAACGCCTCGAGAACAGCCTCGACCAGGACGCAGACGGCCACCTCCACACTAAGAGTCTCGGCGACATGTGGACCATGCTGCGCGAACAGCTCGCCGTCGCCGAAGCCAGCGGCCGTCAAGACGTCGTCGAGGGCGTTGTCGACGCCATGTATCGCGCCCTCAAAGCGCGACAGCAAATGTGGGAGCACCTCGTCGACGCCGAAGTCAAGAAGATCGAAGCCCTCGCCTCTGACTCCTCACAACTCGAAGGCGTAAGCAGCCTACAAGAGTGGCTCGCGGCCATCGCCAACGACCAAATCACCAACATCGACGACAACCCGGAAATGGGCACGACCTCCTTCCTCACCCGCTTCAAGCGCGACTACGAACCCCTCGTCACCCCCGCCTATACCAGCACCAGCGGCATCGAACACGACAGCCTCACAAACGGCTACGTTGACCTCTCAACCCACTGCATGCACCTCTTCGCCAGCATCCTCTTCATGACCGACTTCCGCAACGTCACGACCGACTTCTTCACGCAGGCCTGGTGGAGCGGCAAACCCATGTCCCAGATCACCGTCACGTTCGAAGACTACCTTTCCGGCGACAACAACTACACCGAGGTCCTGCACCCTTCACTGCGGGACATTCTGGTCGAAGAACTGGCCGACGCGCTGCTCGTGCGGTATCTCGAGGGCGTGCGCAATAAGTCCGTCAAGTTCCGCCGCGCAGACCCGTTTACGGACAAGATCAAGGAGGATCTCCAAACGGTGTTTGGCTTCTTTTCGCAATTCCCTGGCTGCTTCGATCTCGTCAAGGAGAAGTGGCGAGTGGTGCAGCATTTCGTTGAACTTCTTGAGACGGATAAGAGTGGTGTGGTGGGCGCTTTCGAGAGGTTCAAGGCGAATTACTGGGACGTGCAGATTGGGTGGGTGGAGGCTGTGCTGAGGTCGAGGGATGATTTTGAGAGGAGCATGGTTGGGAATGTGAAGAGCGCTGCGGCGGGTATGGATGTTGAGAGAGGGTTGGAGACGGTTATGGGGAAGGTCAGATAGTTGGAGGGTTGCTTTTTATGTGTTTTAGCGAGGCGCTGGGGGTGTTTGATCTAGTCGTTTCAAACTATCAATGCCGTCTTTAGCATCTTCAGATCCCTGCTGTTGTTCTCCAACACCCCGGACCTGCCTACACGAGTGAGGTGGGGAAAGTGCATGCGTACCTCGGTGACGGCTGCGAGCTGCAACTGATGAGCTACATGTACCTTTCCAACAATGGCTCCTCTTTCCAATACAACATCGTTAGACATGCCCACCACCCTCAATGCCGCCCAAGAAACCCGGCCCCCCTAACACCTTCGGCACCGGCCCCGTCCGCCTCCGCCAAATCGCCCTCGTAGCCCGCGACCTCGCGAAAGCCCGCCGTCTCCTCACATACGTTCTTGGAACCGAAGTCATCTACGAGGATCCCGAGGTCGCGCAATGGGGCCTCGCGAACATTCTTGTGCCCGTCGGCGGTGAGATTATAGAGGTGGTCAGCCCGACTCGAGATGGCACGACTGCTGGACGACTGTTGGAGAAGAAGGGCGTGGATGAGGCGGGGTATATGATTATAATGCAGAATGAAGACGCGAAGAAGCGGAGGGAGTTTATTGAAGAGAAAGAGATGGCAAAGGTGATCTTCTCGCATGAGGTGAAGGGGAAGAGTGGAGAGGAAGAAGGGTGGTGTGTGCAGTATCATCCCAAGGGAATCAGAGGAGGTGTGATCCCGGAGCTGGACTCGCATGCGCCGACGAAGAGTAACCCGGAGCCGCTGAGGACGCGGTTCTCGCCCTGGCATCCTTGCGGTCCGGATGTGGAGCGGTATACGGCGAAGATGAAGGAGTACAGGCATTTGTCGTTGATCGGCGCGGTGTGTCGGCTCGCACCGGGCGATTGGGGCGCGGAGCTGGCGTCGACGCAGTGGGAGCAGACGTTTGGGATTCCGAGGAGTCGGGATCTGTGTCAGTTTACGAATGCGAGGGTGGGTTTTGTGCATGGGGAGGAGGGGGAGTTGGAGGGGATGGTTAGTGTGTCGGTTGGGGTTGTTGGGGAGAGGCGGAGGAAGGCGATCTTTGATCGGGCGAGGGAGATGGGGGCGTTGAAGGAAGAGAGGGAGCGGAGGTATGTTGATATGGTTGGGGTGAGGTGGAACTTCTCGTTGACAGGGGAGGATGAGTGGGAGGGATCTAGGTTGTGAGAGGGTCGATGTACAGTGTGTGTGATTGTCAATCACTCCAAACAGACGCTCGAGATATCGAAAGTCGTCAGTGACTGTCCATCCGATCTCTGTGCATTCATTCGGAGTCGCCTTGTTTAACGGCTGTAGTCCGGCTTACTCGAGCAATGACTGGAACCTATTGTCATGCTAAAGATGCCATAACGTACCTTGGTTGTTCCTCTAGGTGAAGGTGTGTTTGAACGCATATGGAGACGCTTCATTCTTCCAAACTGTGTGGAAATGTGTGGAAGAAGAGATCATTCCAAGTTGTTGCATGTGATCGATGACATCGGCTCTTGGCAGTCGTTCGTTGCCGGCGGCGGCGGCTCCGCTTTGCAGCTCGGCCTTTCACATGAAAGTGGCCCTTCTTCATCATCCGACAGCTCATTGGTCGCGGGCAACGACGGTTCCTGATCATATGATGATGGCCTCACTGCCACCAGCCCACGGCGCTGCTATGGCCGGACCATACCTCTCTCCGCCCCGCCCCTCCTCCTCTTTCCTCTCCAGACTGCTCTTCGTCGACTGCGGCTGATTCGGGCTGAGCACCATACCTGTCATGCGTGACACTTCCTACCATCTCTTGTAGACCGAGCATAACCGTCTGGCTGGCTGGATGGCATTCATCACTGTCCTTCCATACCATATACCTGTTAAGCACTGCAAGCAATTGCCATGATAGGTGAGTGATGAACACCACCATTGTCGAACATCACCCACTAACGACCAATGCAGACCACGCACTCGGCCGGCCAGATCCAGCATGGCGCAAGTACCAGATCCTTGCCGTCGTCCTCGCATGGTCCGCCATCATCGCAGTCAAGCCTCACGGACCCATCAAGAGACTGTCTAAACTGTTCGGCCGCCGCCTCACGGCATGGCAGATGATCGTTCTCGCATATCTGTCGGAGTATTTGAGGAGGAACTTTGCGCGCATCATAGGGCTGCATAGCCCAGAGCCGTTGGCGAATAAGTACAACAGGGACTACTTTCGGGCAACATGGGTTACCACAGCGTTGGACGCGGGATTCTGGACGGCGATGCGGCTGAAGCCAAAATGGCTCCGGGATACGGCAAGCATGGCTTTCACAGTATACTACTTGTTCGCGGCCGAGGCAGCGGACGACAAGGTGCGGAGAGTGCGAGGCGTCATTGGCGTTGAACATATGCGGGTCAGTTGGAACAAAGGCACGACCTTCTGGCTGGACCTGTTCGGACGGATGAAACGGCCACATCATCTGCGGATACGATATTCACCACGCCGGATCCGCATACCACGACCTGAGGGTAGCCCGTACAAAGACCCAATTCATGCTTGGCTGTATTTCGATGGCCCGATCGATGACCTGCTGAACCATGACAAGATTGTCCTTGACATCCCAGGCGGGGGCTTCGTAGCCATGAGCCCTCGCAACCACGACGACAAATTGATTGCGTGGGCAGCGAAGACTGGCTTACCCGTGATTGCATTGGACTACAAGAAGGCTCCCGAACATCCTTATCCATACGCTCTGAATGAGTGCTTTGACGCCTACTACCAGATTCATGCCACAGGTGGCACATGCGTCGGCCTCTCAAGAAACACAAAACCCAAGATTGTGCTCTCTGGTGACTCAGCTGGCGGAAACCTGGCGACGGGTCTGGTGCTCATGCTCGTGCAAGCCCGCAATGAGCCGCTGATGCAACCAGCTGGTCGACAAATCCGAATGAAGCTCCCACTACCGGAAGCTTTGGTGCTGGTTTACCCGGCATTAGACGTCAACATCACCTCTTGGCTGACTGACGAGCAAGCGGCACTCATAGAAGAGCCGGCGAGAAGACAGACCAACCATGGATTGGTCAGGCGGCAGACAGAGGACTACCACAGGCTGGCCGATACGCCTTTGCCAAGTGAGGATGAAGATGAAGCTGCGGGTTTGAAAATGACAAGCTCGAAACGAGACAAGAAGATCGCAGCGGGCAAGACATCCAGAGACTCACCGAAGATCGATTCAGCAAGAGACAGCACGGAACAAGCCCATGACGCTGGGCCGAACAAGACCAATGGCCATGCTGTTGCTCCTTCCAAAGGGAAGGCAGCTGCACTGCTCAAACCCCGCCCTCTGCGTACCAACGTTAAAACCACTAGCATGATCTCCTTCGTGGATGATCGCATACTTACGCCCGAGCTGCTACGTGGCATGATCTTTCTTTACATTGGCGAACAGGCCAGGCCGGACTTTGCGACCGACTTTCTTCTCTCACCACTTCGAGCACCGGAGCACTACTTACGCGAGTTCCCAAAAGTCTACATGCTTACTGGGGAGAAGGATCCACTGTGTGATGATACTGCCATCTTTGCAGGGCGCTTGCGGGCGGCACATGAACACCAATTCCAGACTCGTAAGGAGATGGGCATTGTCGCCGAGCGCGAGGAGTTCGACGATTCCGAGCATCTTCACGTTGAGTTCATTCCTGGTGTGTCCCACGGCTTCCTACAGTTCGCTTCCGTCTATGCACCAGCTTGGGGCTACATCGAGATGTGCTCGAGATGGATGAAGCAAGCCTTCGCGGACACAGCGAAGCGGGAGCACCACGCTCATTCCATGGCCCGCAGAGAGCAATCGGACAGCTACTTCAACTCGACCTTCCGCTCCTCCGGCAAACGCAAAGTCGACCACTCAAACCCGAACGTCGAAAGCAGCGACAACGAAGACGCTCCCCTCGAAATGTCCGCTCTCAGCCAAATCCACCCTCCTAGCAACGACCTCGGACCGCGACGCACCAGCTCCGGCAACCTCAGCGATCGCGGCGAACGATCTGGTAGCGGAAGTGGCAGCGGGAAGCGGAGGAGAAGCCGCGGCGGAATACGAAAGCCTTTTGATGGGAGAGTGTCGCCTGTGGAGACGCGGAAGACGCTGAACCTGCATAATCTAAGGTTGACCACGCCGGAGAGTTTGTTGGAGCGGCGGATGGATGGGGTGGCGACGGGGTTGATGGGGGATGAAAGTAGGCCTGTCACTCCGCTGTAGTGGCGTTCCAAGAAATTGTGGATAAGGATGTCGAATGAACCTTTGTGCTATCTGTCCAGCGTCGTGCTCTAGGGCGAAGCTGTGAGAGCTCCTTGAGTTGCGGCTAACAAGAACATAGCCGCTCAAACTTCAGCCCTCACCGAACCGTCAGAGACTGTACCCTACTTGACTACAGGTGCCGTTGAGGCTGAGATACAATGCAACACACAGCTATCTCGGTCGTGGACATGCTTACCAATGCACAGTAGTCAACCGTCACATGAATCGGACTTTCGGGCTCGACGCAGCGCATTCTCTTCCGCAATGAAGCTTCCGCCCTTCGAACATACAAAGACCATCTCACGGTGCCGGCGAGGTAACACCCACCAGAAAACCAAAGTCCGCCATGGCAGCCTTTCCACCCCATACCGGCTACAGTTTCACCGCAACCCGCCACCAACAAGTCCCTTACTATCTCCAGCCTTCTAAGTAAAGCCTTCCGACCCCCTTCGTCGTCTGCATCACAGGCGCCAGCCGCGGTATTGACGCCGAAACCGCCAAATCCTTTACCGCCGCTGGCACCACCGGTCTCATCATAACAGCACGCACCGAAGCTGCCCTCGAGAACACGAAGGAAGCCCGGTGCGCGATTGCCACGTCCCCTCGACTCAAGGTGACTGCCTTCGCCGGAGATGCAGCGTCCGCGGCGTCAGCGCGTGGTCTCGCCCAACTGATCGAACAGGGACACGGACGCCTGGACCTTCTAATCAACAACGCCGATCTCATTGCCACGCACCCTTCAGCTTTCGGCAAACTCGAGCATATACGGGATGACCAGTTCTCGCTCCCGCTCCAAGTCAACACTATGGGCAGGATGTTGACGACGAGATACCTCCTCCCCCTCCTCCTCAAGTCTCCCGACGGTGGTAAGGCGATCATCAACATCACCTCCCTTTCCTCCCACCTTACTCTCGGCACACCGATCCCGTTCAATGTCTCCGAGCTCGCGACGAATCGCCTCACGGAAGCTGTGGCGGAGCAGTACGCCAACCAGGGCGTTTTGGCGTACGCGGTGCATCCTGGTACTGTAAAGGACTCGGCCTTCCCTGAAGGGTTTCCGGGGGGGTTCAAGGCTGGGTGTCGTGATGAGTCGGATCTTTGTAGGATGTTTTGTGTGTGGTTGGTGCGGGAGAGGAGGGAGTGGTTGAGTGGGAGGTATATGGCTGCGAGCTGGACGTTGGGGATTTGGAGGGGAGGAGGAAGGAGGTCGTGGGGAGGAATTTGTTGAAGATGAGGATGGCTGTTTGAGTCGAGTGGATATGTATATTGAGACGCCTTACCTGCACTCTTATACGCTCACGGCCACACATTATACCTCACACGACTGAGGGCAATCCCCGGCATCAAGCGTCATTTCGATTGTTTTCTCCGCATCTCCAAGACGCCTATACATATTGATCATGCGGGATCGGCGGTGAAGACAAGAGATGATGTTCGAAAGAAAGATGAAATGAACAGGAGCCAAGAGAGAAATGTGCTGGAAGACGTGGAGGCTACCAGGACAGCCTACCGGTCCCGGTCTAGCCTAGCGCTGGCAGCGCACACATGCTGGAGCTCCTGATGATACTTGGGCCGCCAAGGGCGTATCTGAAGACAGCGAGCTTTTCGGAGGCAGAACTAGATAAGACTACGACCCAAACACGCCCGGCCGCCTCTCCACCACCTCAGCAATCACCCGCTGCAAATCCCCCGGCATCGCCTCAGCATAACTCTCTCCGAACGACTCCCCCCACCTCTCCTGCTGCCACCCCTCCCCGAACCTGAACAACGCATCGCTCAACCCCTCATTTTCCCCATCCACAGCCGTAGTACTATTCAACGTATACTCCACAAACATCCGCCATCTCGGAACATAGTATGACCGAATCAAGCCACCCCACTGCTTCGAAGCATAGTCGCTTATCTCGCCATCGGGACCCCAGAGTGTGATCTGATCGCGGGCGTTGTACTCGTAGAAGTCTGCTTTATCAGCTGTTGGGGAGGTATTGCGGGTGGTGTTGGTCGATGGTGAGGCCCATGCGCGGGCAGAGGCGATCCAGGGTGCGAGGTTGAAGTGAGGCGAGTCGCTTGCTGAGAGGACTGTGTCGAGGTCAAGGAGTAGATCTGTCATTTGGCTGCCGGTCTGTAGAGCGGTATCGTGGGAGTACGAGTCCAGGGAGCGATTGGCGGCTGCGACGAAGGCTTTGTAGAGCGGGTAAAAGGCGTTGGCTAGGACTTGTCGCGTGATGTCTGTCAGATCAAAGGTATAAGCCGAGTTGTCCCAAAGCTCCGGCTGGTCCGACGAAGCACTGTAGAAGTCACTCCAGGCATCGACCAATATCTGCGGGTCGTACATGATCGTCGTCGGATGGTGACCCGTAACATTCAGCAGGCCAGTGGTGTTCGGCGACAGCTCGAAGATCGACTTAGTGACAGCATCTGCGATCGGTATGTCGGTGTTGTTGTACACAGTCTGCCTCAACGTGTCCCATGCAGCGTATACGCCTTGTGGCAGCGGTTTGGTATGGTAACGAGACTCTGCCCACGCTCGAAAGTACACTTCCGAGTCTAGTGGCGTCTGTGACCACGCCTGGTCGAGCAAGATGTCATAGATGATCTGGTTGCCTTCTTGGCCTTCCATTGTGAGGCCCATGCCTATCATAGTACTCGTGCGGTTACTAAGGGCTTCGATAGGGTTGATGGTAACGTTTTCGACCTGGCCATATAGACCCATATTCCCACCGTAATCATGCAGCTCGCACCAGATCCAAGGCTTGCCGTAATAGGAGTTGGTCCGCTGCCATTGGGGTTCGGACTCCGAGAAGAGGTCCAGAATGATCATGTCAGAGTCGTCAACGCCACCAAGATATGCCTCCACTCTCTCATCAGTCCAGAAGTCCTCTGCACTGTGATTATGGTCAGAGATTTCATTGAGAACAGATGACGGATGCATACCTGTAGAACAGCCACCCCTGCAGCATCCATACAGCATCCGGATCAGCGCCTTTGAGTGCCTGAATCGTGTTTTTCGTTACATTACGCAAATAGTCCAAGTCTCCAGAATATGGATCATTCTCATTATACTGGTCCAGCGTGTAGATGTGGCTGACACTGCCGTACGCCTCCGTCTGCTTCTGGATGAAGCTTTTCTGCATCTTCGCAAACAGCGGGTCGAAAGGCTCCAAAAACGTGACATTGGTATATCGAGGCTGGAAGTCATTCCACTGACTCCCGTTGACAAAAGCAGCGTCCGAGTAGATGTTGCCGATCTGCATCGGCACGAAGCCAGTGAAAGATGGGAGAACAGGCGTCATGCCCAGCTCTACCATTCTCGCAACGATCTTCTTTTGGAGCGCAAACTGACTGTTGATCCAATCCATCGGTAGCTCCCCACCCCACGAACCTTGTATATTGCCAAAGCGATTCCAGGCTTGGAATGCAGGTCCGGACAGGAAAGACGCGATATTCTCGTGCGTAAAGCCGTACTCAAGCAGAACGTCCACGAGGATCTTCTCATACCCCACCCATGCGAGTGGGAGATTGATGCCGTGCAGAGCCATCCAGTCTAGCTGAAGCTCCCAATCTTCCCACGTCCAGAATGCAGCCGTGTAGGAGAACGTGACTGTGTTGAAGTGGTAACGCCATGGCACGACACTTGAACCCTTGTATGTTGAATTCATTCGTGGTAGCTCTTGCGGAGCGAGGTACAGCTGAGATCCGATGAACCAGTATATGTCCACGTTGAGATAAGTGTTCAGGTAGTATCGTAGGCCATATGCCAGGGCTATGGGCGTGTTGGCGGAAATCTGGATTGTGCCGTTACCGCCGTTGCAGACTTCGTACTCATCGTTTGGCCGGTCCGTGATGTTGAAGGCTGCGGTAGAGGTCGAGGAGCTCGTGATAGCAAATTTGAAGCTGTTTTCGTGTTGTGGAAGTCTTCTTCGAACCAATGCTTCGATGCCTGCAGTCGACTGAGCTGAACACAAAGAAGTGCTAGCTGCAAGGGCAAACAGCGCTCGCAACAACTTCATCTTGCTGGATGTACGAAGTTGACTGGTATCTGCTTCTTCCTTGATTCCACTTACCGTCTAACGACGCAACATTATCTGGGAAGACTTTGCAAGCGGGTCTTCGGCCAATGCTACGTCAAGCAGATAGCGTAGCACTTCAGCGTTGCTGATCGCCATGCTCGGCCAACCTCGAAGAGGCGGAGAAGAACGTGGGCAACTGACGACGTGGTTGGGATTTCGGCCGAGCCTATTATAGTAGACAGCAACGACTGTTGGTGCTAGACACAGTCTGACAATCGTCTGGGCCGACGATGTCCCCAGCAGGACGTTACTGCTGGCTTGTTGTGGGCGTTTCTCGTGGCGTATCCACGCTGCCGCTGCATGAACTCGTGGAGCGTGCATGAAGATGCCGATGACAGTTTACAGCGAGCCACAGCGAGCCACAGCTCACGAGACTGCTTGTTTCGATGGGCTGGTCGATGGACATCGTCTGTCGGGAGGAACTGCGCCGCCTAAAACAGATAAAGTGGTTTAGAGACGAGATGGAGGAAGACAGTTTGCCCCCCGAGCTCAGCTCCGTTGTACCAATGCGCGACTTGGCGGATCGTTTCTGCTACTCAGTCTCAAAGATGATCATCTGCGGTATTCTTGTCAATGAGTTAGCAAAAGCGACAGCAAGCGATACCATGCCCAGTCAATCAACATAAGCGCCAGGGCACGCGCGCGGCAAACACACAGACAAGGAGATTCATGTCATCACCAAATTCATTTCAAACGCAAAGGAGAGCTTCCGTCTCGTCCCTCCCGCAACCGCTCTGGTCATCCACGACCTCGTGCTACCCGGGCGCCGGTCACACGTTCGCAAGCATGGCCTTGCCTCGCATAACCCTCCCCCCGTCCAATGCCATTCGAATAAAAAGCCTGGTCGGGTCATGGCAACGTGTGCGTGACCTGTAGACCGCAGATGTAGCATGGCGTCAACCGCCGCCGCAGCGACTCCATGCCTCCTCCGTCTCAACAACGCTCCTCGTCCCAACCACAGCAGCCTACAATCCCGACTTCGATCCCCGACAACAGACTTGGACTTGATCCGGACGATGTTCAAACGCTACGGCGACTGCAGCAGGCTGCTCATGCGCAGGCCCGTAGTCCGGCTGGCTCGCAGGCCAGTAGTCAGGGTCGATTGTTGCTCGATCCTGGGAGTCTGCAGTTGCTGTCACGACACTTCGACCTGGTCATGCAGGCGATTGCGCAGCGGTTGGATCAGGTATGCCATTATTCAACGGAGGTAGCTCTCGCAAACACTGGCTGACATGCTCCCAGCTCAACCAGCAAACCGAGATCGCAACCCAAGCGCAGACCGACCGAGCAGGCAACGCACTGAGAGTAGCAGACGCCGAAATCGCACGTTTCCGGTTGATGATGCAGCAGATCGATCAGCTGGAGATGGAGTTTGAGAAGATCCAGAGGATCCGTGATATCGTGCGAACTTGGAGGGCAAGAGTAGAAGATATGGAAAGGAGATTGGGATAAGATAGCAGGGTGTCGTGGAATGCTTGGGTTCTGGCGATGGCGTTGGAAAAGATCTGGGAAGCCTCACGGCAATGGATATAGATACCCTTCTGTTGTACCTTCAGTAATGCTGTTTAAAATGAAGTCTCATCAACCTCATTAGGTCACAGGAGCCACTGTTGATGACGTTCATTATTCCAACTTCACCATGAGCGAGCAGTTGAAGTAAAGTCAACTTGGTCGAAAGTACTAGTCATAACATTCATATATCCACATGCTAATGCTCATATAGTACACTTTTCATGCTGATTGAAGCCGTACGCACCGTCGTCTCATCCTCACAGGTCGCTCTTAGCCACAAATGGCTCCAACCTCTCCTTCAAATCCTCAACGCTCATCTCCTCACCCTGCCAGTACTGCGCCTCACCACCAAGCTTCTTCGGCGGCACAAGCACATCACCCATGACCTGGATGACACCATCCTCGGCAACGACGTCCTGCACAGACACCGTGGCGAACGCATTCACCTTGATGCTGATGAAGCCGCCGTACCTCGCAATATCCACAGCCAAGCTACGATCCTTGAGCAGTGTCGGGAGGTCGACATGGAAGTAACCGTTCTTGCCGCTCGGCTCGATGTTGGACGAGTCGGCCTTGTAGTAGGCGTCGGAGTAGAGGGTGTTCTCCGGCACAACGTGGTACTCGAGCAGGGCCTTCAGGTACTTCAGACCGTACTGCGAGAACAAGAAGGCGTTGACCTTAGGTCCCAGCTTCTTGAACGCGAAGTTGCTTGGGGCGAAAAAGGTGCCGCCGGCGTGGTCTGTGGTGTTCAGTTTCTCCAGCAGGCCGGTCTTGATGAGACCGAGCTCGAGGGTGCTAAAGTCTTCGGGCACGAAGTCGATGGTGCGGATGGCGCCTGGTGGTGGGAAGAGGGGAGTATCGATGCCGTGGATGACGCCGTTGGTGCCGAAGATGTTGATCGCGACGATGCGGGAGTAGAAATTGATGGTCAGTCCGCGAAGGCTGATGCGTGGGGTGAGGCGCTGAGGAAGCGGCTCAGAGCCAAGGTGGTCGGACTTCAGGAGGGTAGGGAAGGTGTGGGTGGAGAGGACCTTGACTGCTGGGGCGAAGTCTGGGACAACCTGGAAGTGATGTGTTAGCTCTCGATCTGTGGGACATCTCAGAATTACGTACGTGGTAAGACAAGAAAGCCTTGATCATCTCCTTCGACGGCTTCTCGCCATGCATCGGGATCTTGTCGAACGCCTTGTCGGTGGGAGCGAAGACAGTGTAGTTGGAAATTGTGCTGTTCAAAGCCTCCACGAGGTCGTCGAACTCGCTGATGGCCTTAGCCAGCTTTGTGGTGTACTTGCTCTCCGAGATCAACTGGTAGACGGTCATATTCGGCTTGCCGTGGTGAGGCGGATGGTGTGGGCGATGGTGGCCCTCATCGAAGGTTTCACGGGCGTCTTCCAGAGCGGAGTCGACCCACGACTGGACGCCAGATGCTGCATCGTAGACCTTGCTCTGAGCGGTCTCAGAAGCATCGTTCGCCTGATCGAAGGCCGCATCGAGAGCGTTGCTCGATGTCTCAGTTATAGAAGCCCATGCATCTTGAGTCTTGTCCTTTGCACCCTGGAAGTACTTCTCGAACATGCTGCTCGCCTCAGATACAACATGGTCCTTCTCCGCCACCACTTCGTCGACCCAGTCGCGGTGGTGGTTCTCGATCGAAACATCCTCGAAGACCTCCTCTTGAGGCAGCACCAGTGCCGAAGTTGCGGCCGCAAGCGGCAGGAGGTGTAGGAACTTCATCTTTGCTGTGTTGGAAGAATTGGAGGTGAGGGGAAGAGTGAGAGCACGAAGGATGCACAGTTGCCTACATGTACTTGTAGGTGATCATCGATGACGATGAGTGTGGGCACAAACGGCCTCGGGCGTTCAACTGCCCCGTCTCGCGATTTTTGCGAGGCGTACGCAGGCAGAGAGCGCCTGGACCCATTGAATGCCGCTGCGCATGGTGGAGATTTCCAGCTGTGAATGTAGTTGAGAGGATGATTGCTCGTCACTCCACGGTGAAGGGCAGCTTCGATGGCGTGATGGACGACCTGTGGAACGAGCGCGACGAAGGACCGCTCGAGGTGCACGAACCAAGAAGCTATTCACTTCGGACATCCAGCTTCGTATTCGCGGCACGTGGGTGCAGGGATCAGCGTGCTACATACTATTGCACCGCATGAAGCAACTGGCAGAGGTGTGTGCAGAAAGAGGCGTTTCGTACGTAATGAAACTTAGAACGGTAGATGTAGTGTGATGCTTTACAAATGGAAATTCGTCTGAACGTGCCACGGCAAGTACGTGTTCCAATGCAACTGCAGCTGGACGTCCTCTGAGAGGTGCAGTCTCCAGTAAACCACACTCTCCGCAAGGTCTCGAGGGCGGTCTCCTCCACCTGCCTTTCGAGACTGTAACGGATAAGTCCTCGCGCACGAAATCCATGCATTGTCGTTCACACATGAGTTTGGCTCAGCATGCACCACTTGTTAGTCGATCTTCCGCAATCGCCTTTTCTCAGCCGCTTGGTCTGCAAGATAGAAATCCGACCTAAGATGGTGGTGAGTCCATACAGCATCCGACGCTTTCAAGCACTCCTGGCAAAGCTCAGAATCATCGCACAGCAAACATCGATGTGGCGGTTTGTCCTCAACATTCCTCCCGCAGCCGTAGCATGGGAAACTTGTCGACAGCGGCGAGTAGCCCGGGGACATCCAAGGGTGCAGTCTGCACTGCTCAATAGTGACCCTCTGAGTAACGTCCACCGTCATCATACGGTCGATGAGATCGAGTGCAGCATCTCCAACAGCGTCCCAGTAAGGCGAAGGGTAATCGAAACGACCCAGCTTGATCTGCTCAACCAATGCGTAAGGGTTCTCCGGCGACAATAGCTCATCGCTAAAAGGTGGAAAGCCGCAAAGACAGATGTGTAAGACGATGCCGGCGGACCAGATATCAACAGCCAAGCCGTACCATCGAGCCGCCGAGTAATCCAGAATCTCAAGAGCGACGTAGTTTATCGCGGCAAAGACACCGCTAGTCCATGTCTCGTTGCGATCAAGCTGCGTGGCGAAGCCAAAGTCTGTCAGCTTGATCGCGAGGTTACGGTCCACCATCATGATGTTCTGTAGTTTGATGTCGCCGTGGGCGAAGCAGTACGTTGTTCCACGACTTCAAGTTTGGCAATGGTCGGCTTTGATAGAGCAACCAAGTCATTCTGCAGGGCCAACCCGGAATAAGTCTTGCATCGCTCAACCGCTGCGAAACTCTCGTCGACATCTTTTCTCTCAAAAGGCCATATCATGGCAGTGCATTTCTTCTCGTGAGTCAGTTTTGCAGCGAGCCTCTCCAAAGTCTCCTTGAATCCATGAAGCGGACCATTTGGAACGTTCAGGGCCTCGACTGAGGATAGTTCTGGGGCTGCATCGTCGTCCGTTTCGGCATCGTGCACCTGGTCTTGAAGCATGTGCAGCAGAGACACGGCATTGCGGATCTCGTCACGGAGACGCGTGCGTTCGGCAGTGGCAGATTTGACGACTTTCAAGTACGAAGTCACCTTGCCTGCGAGGTCGAGGACTGCACAATGTTTGCCGCTAGTCCTATCGCTTCCGCCATGGAGCGTTGTTACGAGCCACAGGGCTGTCCATCAATGGCTGTGGTCCACAGAATGGGTGTCTCTCATTGTCCACGCAACATCTGAAAATGTGCGAGTCGTTGTTATGGGAAGCTGATTGTGAAACACGAAGGGGGCGTTGAAGTCAAGATTTAACCGAAGATTAGCCAGGGCAGTGAAGAGACGACTCCCGTCTGCTTCTCACTTTACCCTTTTGCAACTGTACGAATGATGACTCGGAGGAATACGTGTTGGTACTCCCGACTCATCACATCGACGTCTACATGTCCAAGGTCTTCTCCATCTTCGAGCGTGTATCCAGTGGAATGAAAAGCAGCAATTGCTCGCAAGCGTCCGCCATCGTGGCTCAAAGGAACAACACTATTGGCGTATTCACCAAGCGATATGGTGCAGCGTTACAGAAACGATACACATATCAAATGAAGGGCAATGAAGCTTAACATCATGTCGACCTTGCCCGCCCACTTTCCAGATTGAACGGCAACCGCAAGACGGTGAGCTGTGCTTTCCCTATCTCTGTTCCGTCGAACAAATCTCGATCTCGCGGGTCTCCTTGTCACACTTTACTTCAGACACTCTCGAGCAGTTGGTACCAGTCGTTCAAGATCATCTGCCGCGTGGAGAGTGTCGGTTGATTAAACAACAGAGACAACATGCCTCAGCAGGAATTCGTACCTAAATCTTACGCTTTGAAAGAGTCCAGCTCGCCAGACGATGCATCCATTCATCTGCAGAGCAAGGGAGCAGATGTTCCTTTCGACTTCGCCTTCGAGGTTGTACGGCCGGGACTGTTCAGGACCACCTTCACCTCATCATCTCATCCTCTACCATCATTCCCAAGCGCTGCGAGACCTGAACGGCAAATCGCCGCCATCAAAGTCGTGGACGGACCCAACGACTCCTCGAAGACCTTCCAGAATGGCGACATCGAGGCCACGGTCGACTGGAGCGGTCCTCCCCTCGTATCCATTGGTTTCAAAGGTCACGAACCTCTGCACACTGACCTCCCTTTCCGCTCCTACGTAGTCGATGGTCCTGGCATCGCACATTACACTCGCTACCACCGCAACAACCTGCACGTCGGGCTAGGAGAGAAGGCAGCACCGATGGACCTTTCCAACCGCCACTTCACGTTGTCGGCCACAGACTGCTTTGGATACGATGTGCACAGGACTGATCCAATGTACAAGCATATCCCACTGCTGATCCGAGCAACGCCGCACGGAGTAGTTGCAACGTTCTCGACGAGCCATGCGAGGGGCTACTACTCCATCGGCAGTGAGATGGATGGCATGTGGGGACTATTCAAGGTCTACCGTCAGGATTATGGCGGCTTGGAGCTGTACACCATGATTGGCCACACTCTTCAGGACGTCGTTACGCTCTACGCTGATCTGGTGGGCTACCCACTGCTGGTTCCCCGCTGGGCCTTCGGGTACCTGGCCGGCGGGATGAAGTACTCCATGCTCGACTCACCACGCGCAAGCGACGCACTCATGCAGTTCGCGGCAAAGCTGGAGGAGCACGACATACCTTGTTCAGGCTTCCAGATGTCGTCCGGCTACACCGTCGCAGAAACCGAGCCCAAGACCCGGAACGTCTTCACCTGGAATCGTCATCGTTTCCCAGACCCAAAAGGCTTCTGTGACGCTTTCCACAAACGCGGCATCCGGTTGATCGCCAACATCAAGCCGTACATCCTAGCTTCTCACCCAGAGTACGAGAATCTGGTCAAAGCAGGTGCACTATTCGTCGACCCCAAGACGAAGGAGTCCGCTGTCGCTCGCCTCTGGTCTGCTGGAGGAGGCGAGTCAGGCGAAGGCGGGCACGTCGACTTCTCCTCCAAAGCTGGCTACGACTTCTGGTACAGCGGCGTCAAGGAGCTGCGCAAGACCGGCATGGACTGCATGTGGAACGACAACAACGAGTACGTCATCCCAGACGACAACTGGATGCTCGACCTTTCCCACGACTCTGTCAAAAAAGCCTTGACAGACTCCAAATCCGACCGAAAAGACATCGGCCTCTGGGGCCGAGCAATGCACTGCGAACTCATGGCCAAAGCCTCCCACGACGCCCTTCTCGAAGCGTTTCCCAACGAACGTCCCTTTGTCCTCACCCGCAGCGCAACAGCAGGCACGATGCGCTACGCCGCCTCCTCCTGGTCCGGCGACAACGTGACGAGCTGGGACAGCATGCGCGGCGCCAACGCCTTATCTCTCACAGCAGGTATGTGCCTTCTCCAAAGCTACGGCCACGACATCGGCGGCTTCGAGGGACCACAGCCATCCCCTGAGCTGCTGCTCCGTTGGGTACAGCTGGGGATCCACAGCCCGCGCTTCGCGATCAACTGCTTCAAAACTGGCTCTGATAATAAGGTGGGCGATGTGATCGAGCCGTGGATGTACCCGCACATTTTGCCTGAGATCCGCAAAGCCATTCTCCGCCGGTACGAAATCATCCCGTACCTCTACAGCCTGATGCTGCAAAGCCACCTCACCGCCGTCCCGCCTCAGCGCTGGGTCGGATGGGGCTACGAGAACGACGCAGAAGTCGGGACGAACAAGACGCTCAAGGACGGCGAGACGCAGTACTGGCTCGGCGATACACTCCTCGTAGCCGGCGTCTACGAACCCGGCGTCGAGAGCGCCAAAGTCTACCTGCCTAAGCAGTCGAACTCAGACCCTGGCTTCATCAACCTCAATAGCCCGCACCAGACCTTCTCCGCAGGGCAGTGGGTCACGATCCCCAGCCCCTGGCGCAGCAGCATACCCCTCCTCGCCCGCATCGGCGGCCTCATACCCGTCGGTCGGGACCACCAAGTCTGCAGTCCAGGCGATACAATCAACGAAGCCGATCTCCCGCAAGACAGCTACCGCGGCGTGGAGATCTTTCCGCCGCCGGAAGAACATCTCGCCTCGGACGGAAGCACGACGTACGTCAATACCTGGCTCGAAGACGATGGAGTCTCGCCTGCTCCGGCGAAGACGGCGAAGTTCATCTTTGCGTACACGGCGACGGCGACGGAGGTGGCGGTGAGTTTTGGGAAGGACTTGTCTGCGGGGTTTACGCCGCCGTGGTTGGACAAGGGGTTGACTGTGATTTTGCCTGTTGGAGACAGGAGGCGGGTGGTGTCGAGTGACTTGGGTGTGGCGGTGGAGGCGAGGAGGCAGGACGAGTTGGGAAGGACGAGGTGGCATGGCGCGGCTGTGAAGACTGAGGAAGGCGGGCCTAGTAAGCTTTGAAGGTAGTATGAATGGTGGAAAGACCTATTTGTAGATCTGGTAGACTCTCAGCCGTGGTAGACCTAGTATTTACACCAGCTCCCATCGTGCAAGGCGTGCGACACCTTCGCCGGCATTCCTGACGACACAGAGTCTGCTCTCCTTACCATGCACACCTCGGTCTACGACTTTGCTAAGCAGCAAACTCCCAATGCCCGTCCCCTGTCCTTCCGCAAGATTGAAGTTCCCCGTTGTCACGAAGCCGATCAAATCCTTCTCGCTCGGACAAGCCGGATAAGGGTCTTCGCCAGCCTGCGCAGGGGCTTTCAACAGTTCCTGAGCCAGACGACGCTGGATCTCATGAGCTGGAGCATCTTTCGAAAGTCTGGGTGGCGGGGCATGCTTGCGTGTCTGCTTTGACTGCTTGACGATCGCTGGCTGTAAAGCGAGCCACGCCTTTCGCAAATCCGGGTCTGAGGTGATAGATGGGAGGCGGTAGATCCTGGCGCAAGCTTGTGGAACCCCTCGAGTAAGTAGAGTCAGGCGGACTGCAGCTAGCTTGCCTTCCAACGTGCTGTGCGGCGGGCTTAAGATGGCCGAGGACCTCAAAACGTCCTGAGCTTGAGCAGCGGTCAACTGACTGATCATAGCAGGCTTGGGCACTGCTGAAGGTGGCTCAGGGGCTGTTGGCTTGGGCACCTTATCCTTGGTGTTGGGTTTGGTTACATCCGTAGATGCATCGGCACCAGCTGTTTCCGCAGCCTTAGCAGCCTCACCAGGTCCGTCCGCCGTGGCGTCGTTCGCAAGGCCCTGTGATGGAGCAAGCAGCACCTCCCAATCACAATCCCACCCCCTCCCCACCTCACCCTTCCCCCCTTTCCCATCAAAATTACTCTCCACCTTCTCCCAAGAGATCCTCTTCCCCTTCGGCCGCTTGCTCCACTCCTGCCACCTCCTCGTCCTCTCCGAAACCTCCCAAGCCCACCCCGCTTCCGTACCAGGAAAATCAGCAGGGAACCAAGGCCTACCAGCTTCGAAAGCGAGCTGCTGTTGTTCCCGCAAGCCACCGAAGCGAGGTTGACCGCCGGTGGAGAGCGGGTAGTACAGCAAGGAGCACCAGATGGGCTGGATGGTCTTCCAGGGAGCGAGGAGGGTCCAGCCACCGTCGGTTGAGGGGTGAAGCAACACGGGGATCTTGGGATCGGTGGCGATGGGTGCGGGAAAGGAGCCAGGCGGAGCAAGTGCTTTTCGTCGATTGATGGCTTTCTGACTCGGTAGCTTAGCGCCGCGAGCACGAGCTTGGCTGTCAAAGACACCGGGTGGCTTTGGGTGAGCGTCAAGGGGCCACGAAGCGAGAAGCTCGATGAGCTTGTTCTGGTCATCTTGCGTCTGCGGGCCAGATACAGTTCGAGGAGGATGGCGGAGGCGAGGATCAAGCACGTCGAAAGCTAGCAATGCACCCGGAGGTAGCGAGGATGAAGTAGTCAATCCAGCCAAATTCGTAAGTAGCTTGCCTGCTTGTACTTGAGTCTGCTCGATTTCGGAATGGTCGTTATTCGGATATGGAGATAAGGCGCCCACCAGTGCCTCAGTGGCACCAGGTCCAGTAACCTCGATGCTGCCGACGTCGAACCTCAAGTCATCAACAGTGATATACGGCTTCGCGACCTTCGAAAGCCGAACGGCCTCCTCCCAAACTTGGAAGAAAGCAGACGGATGTACCCTGATGAATAGCATCCTCTTCGACTTGCCGTCGTGAACATCGCTATCACTGGTGGTCACTTCCGGTCCGCACCAGATAATCGTCGCAGGGGCAATGATTCGATGCGGCGCCTCCCTCTCAAACAGCCGTGACTCCAGTACCCGGGTTCCGCGACGCCATTTCTCGCCCTTTGCGCCCCAGACACTGTCCTCATCATCCCCCTTACTCGACACTCCGACCCCAAGCGTCCGCAGCAACCCTTCCAGGTTCCGCTGCTCACCAGTCAACCCAATAGTGGCCAAGTAGCTCACATCCCACGCCACAGCCCCTCGATCACGGCCCGCGCGATGAGTAGGCCGGTAGCTCTTCTGCGTCGGCGTCAAAGGAACAGCAAACCGCCACAGAGGAGCAGACGGTGGAGTCATGTGAGCCCGCTTGGCGTGGAAGGGGTGTGTGGGCAGCCATGACTTGTGCTTCTGCCGTTTGCGGAACTTGGCCTTCGGCGGAGGTGGTTGGGCTAATGTGGGAGCCTTCTTTACTCGGGCTTTCCTGGGCTGGTCGGCCTTCGCTTGCTTCGTCATACCCTCCGCAGTAATAGACGCGGCAGCACCGCCCTGGACTACTCCATCCGTCTTCCCTGATACCTCCTTGTCCTTCTCAGCCTTCTTCTTCGTCCCCAGAGCCCGCAGCTTCTTCACCGTCTCCAGCCGTAGCCGCATATGCCTCGTGACCTTTGTCTTCTTCTTCGCAACCCCTCCCGGCCCAGGCGTATTGTCCTCCAGCATCTCCCTCACCGCCCTCGGCCGCAGCCGCTTGGGCACTCTCTTCGCATCATGCGCAGCCGTCCTCCGTCTTAGATCTCGGGGCACCTGCTGGAAAGCTCTTCGGTTCAATGCCTTCTTCGACCGCTGCATGCCTTGCTCCAGTGCTCGGATCTCGTATTGTCGCGCCTGTACGAACTTATCCACGTCGAGGGCGCCATTGCTGAAGGCTGCAGAGGTCGTCTGCGTGCTGAGAGTCCGGGCATCGCGCTGTTTCTGGCGGAAGTGCTGTGGTTGGTTGGGCTTCTGCCTCTTGTTCGGTGTAGGCTTGTTTTGAGTATTCGGGGGAGGAGCCTTGCGTTTCTTCGACTGCTGCGCTGAGGCGGGTTGTTGTGCCATCATGGAGACATGCTGGCTCCTGTACTGGCTGAAGACTTGATAGTTAAGAAGTTCGCGATGTGACGTGACTTGAAGATCCCCACAGCTTCCTATTTGGGTGAAAGTCCAAGCGCCTTCTTCCCCGCCTTGAGCTGTGCAAGAGCAAGCATCACGACACTCGATCGGCGGCGGCAGACAGCTGCAGAGCTCGGGTGCGGGTGGAAGAGGGCAAGGTAAGGTAAGGTCCAGTCCCCTGTCGCTGTCGTAGTTCATCCTCCCGCTATCGTCACTCCATCTTTCTCTCTCTTTCCCTCAATATCTCGACACCCCATCCTCCCTACCACAAGCCCTATCAGGAAGCACAGCAACAACAATGGCGCCCCTCCAACCCCAACCCGCCCACTTGGGTCTCATCCTCCCCATCGCCACCTCCTCCGCCACCGTCGGCCTCGCCCTCTACCAATTCCCCGTCTTCTACGCCTTCCTCTCCTCCTCCCCGCCCCTCAGCGGCAAACCCCTCTCCAACTACTGGGGCCCCAACCTCAAAACCGGCGTGCCGCTGATCATGAGCTTGAACCTCGCGAGCATCGCGACGGGGCTGTTGAGTGCGAGGTGGTTGCGCACGCATCAGACGCTGGAGACTACTGATGTTGGGAAGTGGTGAGTTTGTGCATTCTCTACATGTAGTTGAGGTGTGGGAGATGGTGCTGATAGTGGGTGATGCAGGTATGCCTACGGCGCCATTTTCGCCGGCGCGCATTTCGTCTTCTGGCCGCTCGTCGCGGGCCCGATTAGACGAATGATTGCGGAGGGGGAGTCGAGCTCGGTCAAGACGGAGGCGGAGACGGACGAGCACAACAGGAAGGAGATGAGCACTTGGTTCTTGTGGCATGCGATTCGCACGCTGGTGGTCGATCTGCCGGCGCTGTGGTGCTTCGCTGAGGGGGCATCGTTGAGCTTTTGGGTGGCCAACGTGTAGATGTGCGGGCGAAGAGGACGTTGATGGAGTGAGCCCACGGATAAGTCTGGACATATGAAGTGAGAAATGACGGACATATGCGGCTGATGAGTTCAGAATGGGCGGAGTGTACGTTAGGTAGGAGAGATGTAGCGGCTGGCGCGTAACAATTCTCTGCTTATTGCTATGCTACCGCGCCATGAATGTTCGCTTGAAATATGCACAACTCATGAGTCCAAAGTGCAGCCCCAAGGGAACACCAGTCCATCAAAATGATATCCGCCCACCAAATCAATGCAGCCTACCCATATGCCCCGTCTATAGTCATAACCTCGTAAACCCATTACAAACCTCATCTCATCTCTCATCCCTCCTGTCCTCCCCCTCAACCTCCACAGCCTCCTCATCCCCCTCCCTTGTCTCCACCCCTTGAATCCAGACCGCATTCGGCGGACTCCTCGGAATCCACCACAACTGCACCGTCGCCGCCACCGTCACGCCGGCCAAACTAAACCACGCCGCCGCACTGCCGCCCTTGGAATAAATAATCCCCTCCAAAGGCGGCGCCGCCGTGCGCGCAGCGCTCAATAGGCTCATACACGCCCCGTTGACGGTTCCGAGCACGAGCGGGGAGGGCGTGGCGTTCTTGATGAGGATGAGGGCGCAGGGCGGGATGATGATGTTGAGGTGGTTCTGGATGATCATGATGGCGTAGATGCCCGCGCTTCTCGCGGGGCCGAAGGGCAGGAGGGTCAAAAGCGGCATGAGCGGGTACGTGAGCGGGTACAAGATCACCATCACGACGTAGCTCTTCCACACGCCAAACTTGGCGACGAAGACGGGAAATACGAGCCCTTGGACAACAACGGAGATGAAGCCGTTCATGGCCATGAAGGAGCCGACGGCGTGGATGTCGTAGCCCAGGCCGCCTTTCCAGTCGATCACGCCGCCGGCGAGAGAGGTGCTGGGCGCGTCGAGGAGGTAGATGGGCAGCATGTTGAAGTAGCCCATGCTGTGGTAGCTGCACAGGACGAGGGAGGCGATGAGCATGACGACGGTGTAGTTGAAGGTGGAGCGGAGCGGGGGTGTGGCGGTATCGGCGGGGTGGTTGAGTTCGGAGAGGGACGGGCGGGTGGGCTGGATCTGGATGGATTGCATGGTGCCAAAGCTGGAGCGGCGCAGGTCGAAGTGCGGGTCGGTGCCGCTGGAGACGCCGTCTTCCATGAAGAGGGCCGGGGAGGGCTTACCAGAGCTGTCGGACTCGGAGGTCTCGACTTCGCGTTCGGAGACGCGATGGGGTGAGTCTTTGTAGCTGTCGCCGAGGAGAGGGGTGTTTTCGCCGCTCTGCCTCGCCTTCTTGAGCGCTTTCTTTCGGGCGTTCTCTGCGGCGTGTGGGTTCGTCTCTTTGAGGAAGAAGATTCCTTGGATGACCGCAATGACGATCACCACCACGCAGACCAAGTTGGGCAGGAGGAAAGGGTATTCGCCGAATATGCCGTCAGGTGAGAAGACGTCTGGCCAGTACTCAGCCGGCTTTGCAAGGTACCCGCCCATTGCAGAGCCAATGATGCCTCCTGCGAACCACACGAACGGATGTATGGCGTATGCCGTTGCTACAGCATCAATGTCAGCATGTCCATACCTCCCATATCCTGGAGATTTCGCATCTCAACTCACGCTCATGCTCCGGCCTCTTAACCATCTCCGCCAGCATCGTCTGCATAACCGCCACATTCCCATTCAACATGCCCCCAATCAGCCTCGCAACGAACGCAACCAAATAGCTCTTCGCCAGCCCAAACATGACGCAGCTCAAAGCCACCCCGCAAAGCCCAAACAGCACGACCGGTTTCCTCCCCATCTTGTCTGACGCGTATCCCCACATCACCGCCGTCAGGACCTCGCCGAAAGCGTACGCGGAGACGAGGAGGCCGGCGTAGAAGGAGGCGTTGGTGCCGTCGCCGTCGAAGAGCCAGGGGACCATGACGTAGGCGTAGGAGATGACGGAGTTGAAGGCGATGGGTTCGCTGAACTTGCAGATGGCTGGGCGTATATACCTCGTCAGTGTGTACTCTCCTCATAGCTCGAAGTATGGGCTGTAGCTCACCCAGTGTGATCATCTGTCCAGTCGGGAACTTGTCGTCCTCGCTCTTCTGCTTCTTCCTCCTACTCGCTCCGTCCCCATCTCTTACATCGTTCTGCGCCATGCTGTATGCTTTTTCCAATGCAACTCGGAACAGCGCTTTCAAGCCAGCGTTCTTCAACCCACAGCCGTAGACACACAAGCAAGAGCACAACACCACAACAGCAGCAGTAGTTCACAGTACAGCAGATGGAAAGAAGCGATACCACACACCCAACAAAAGAAAACCACACCAACCTCAGATAGATTAACCTTACCTAGATCCAAACCGCATGCGCGGACCTGCCTCTTCCGAAGACCGAACGAGTATCGCATATCTCGCATCTGGCCCAGCTCAAAGGCGAAAAAAGAACAGATCGGTAGCACCCATCTGCATCTTCCCGCTGAAAGAAGCCGCAGGGTAAAAAGTGGTGTTGAGGACCCGTCTTGGGATTGCGGGGCACCGGTCCGGCCTGCCTAATCACCGTTCTTCTTCTGCTTCGAGGGACCGCGGTTGCTGGCACACAGGTGGGCTGCTAATCTGATGGGTGGAGCTTGAATCTCTCGAACATTTGAAATGACCCGGCGCGCCGGGCTCGCTGGCCGCCACACCGTGCTTCCGCGTAGGATATTCGGACTCTTCACAAAAGCTGCATAATAAGCCGCAGTTCTACCGCGAGAGGACCGACAAAGTGGATGAAGTCCGGCTCCGGCTCGCAAGGCCCTGCGGTGTGTTGCCAGGTCGTCCCCGTGTAACCGTATGACCGTTTGGAGAAACGGCAGGCTGCCTCGATTCTGCACGATAGATGAAGGCCAGACGCATCCTCGAGACGTGCGGCGAAACCAGAAGAGTCGAGGTGCAGTGCTTATTCCGACGACATCCCTACCACATATCCAATCTTGTGACACCGTGACACCCTCAAAGGAGTCGCGAGGCCAGAGAGGGTTCCAACATCTTGAACTTGTAATAAGGCGGAAGAGGCGAGGCGAAACTGCAAGCGAGGACGAAGCACCAAGAAAGGCCGTTTATATACTTGTCTACATGCACAGCTATTCTCGTTCCAAGCGATCCTTGGACAGATCGATGTTCCTACAGTAACTTTTTCAACCCACCCTTCTCCAGATGCACCGGATGCAGATCCGTACAAACACAGATTGGCAATAGTCGCTCGGCTTCCAATTGAAGGCCGGCTTATCCCATGATTGCACCTTTCAGGCCTTGCATGTCTCCTTCCTTTGCCGCGATTTCGAAGTACGAGTAGATGATTCTGTATCGGGCTGTTAGTTACCTTCCTTCTTGAGCGGTATGAGAATACTCACGTCACGGCCATCAGAATGCTAGTTCCACTGCCCAAAGCACCAACAAGGTCGCTGACGATCGACAACGCGCCAATGCACGCACCACCAAAAGCCGCAGCAGTCGGGATGACACGCTTCAACTCGCGATACATGCTCTCGTCTCGGTGTCCGGCCATCACAAGTCCCTGATCCTTCAGCTGCTTCGCGACGTCCCTTGGCGATGATCCTGAAACCTCAATCCACGTCTTGCTGAAAGCGGCACAAGCAACGAGCATGTAGGCGGTGAAGACGGCGGTGTGCAACGGGTCGAGTAGCGCATCCTTGATGTTGAGCGGCGGGCTCATGTAGTATACCAGACCACTGACTGGCAAAACCTGGCTGGAGCCTTCGCGAGCTTCCCACACACCGATGAGCTTGACGAGGAGGTTGTCTGGGAGCCTGTTGAAGAGCATTTGGCTGACGAGGAAGACGTTCGAGGAGAGGGCGGACTGCAGCATGATGGGCATGTTGGAGGTGTAGAAGAGGCGGACGGGGTAGGAGCCGCGCATGCCGCGTTGGCGGGAGGACTTGACTGGGATCTCGACGCGGAAGCCTAAGAATTCTCCATCAGCACTGAGCTTTGCACTTCAGAGAGGTAGTCTTACCTTGCAGATAGATCACGACACCAAAGACAATGATGGTCGAGATCAGGTTCATGACGTTCGGCAGATTCTGACGGTAGAAGGCCTCCTTGAGAGCGAGCGTCTTGTTTGGCCAGGTGACCAACAGATGCACAAGCGCGATAATGGCGCCCTCGAACTCAGGTCCACGGCCAGTGTTGACAGTGGTAGGCGAGAATGCGCGCCAGACGATGGACTCGCAGATGTTGGTCGCGATGAAGAGCGAGATACCGCTGCCCAATCCATAGCCCTTCTGTAGCAGCTCATCAAGCAAGATGACAACCAGCGCCGCAGTGAGTAGCTGCACGACAAGCAGGACGCAGATACCAGCGCCAAGGTCGCTTGGCAGACCGTAAAGACCAGTCAGGACGAAGACGCAGGCCTGGCCGAAGGAGATGATGATGGCGAGGAGCTTCTGCGCAGTCTGGTAGAGCTCACGGTCGGACTTGAGGTCGAGGTTGACGTCGATGAGGTGGGTGCCAGCGAGGAGCTGGAAGACCATGCCGGAGGAGATGATGGGCGTGATACCCAGCTCCATGAGCGTGCCTCGATTACTGGCCATCATCATGCGCAGCCAGTATAGAGGGTCAGATGTATCTGCGTTATCCCATCAATGTCTGTCCCAACGACTCTTGTGTATGTTTCTAGACTGACCAGACGACACAATGCCGTACAATGGCATCTGGCTCATCACCAAGAAGATGACGAGCGTGACGGACGTCCATACTAATCTCTCGTTGAACGCGGTCTTCGTCTCCGGGACTGAGACCTCGGGTATGAAAGGGAGGAAGGGCTTGACCAGGTCGAGGAATCGGACTGTTGCGTGGGTGTTAGTATGTAGACGTCTGCTGGTTGCAGGGGGTTCGTACGGCCGCTCATCTTGGTGGTTGTTGATCAGGAGCTGCTTTGCGCTCCTGGAAGACAGATGTGGACAGAATCAAGGACGTAGAAGGGCTGCCACGGGCAAGGAGAGGTTGGAAGGTGAAGGAGTGTATTGAAAGTAGGAGGTGAGGTCGCAATGGGCACAGACAGGGAGGTCGTCCTCGCAGCTCGAAATTCTGCTGGCCAGCTGGCACCTCCGACTTCGAGACGGTCTTGGCGCTTTTGCGGAGAAGGCCCGACCACCTCCGACCTCACTTCCACTTCACTCTACGGTTACTTCATCACTCTTCACTCTACATCAAGGACGGTAATTATGGTCATAGTGTGTATTTATCCGAGCTCGTACTTGCATAAGTCTACTAGCGACGCCAGGCAATTGTAAGAGCTAGAGGACAGTTGGCTGGCTGGCCGGAACAAAACTCCAAAATGGACGCTTCCAAGCGATGGCAATGCGTATGTCTGCTATCTGTTTGCTGGTAGGCTTGGGGAGTCGAGCTCTCATCTTCGAACGCAGCACCTTTATCATCGGCGCAACTTCTCCGTCAGTCGTCTGCCTACGTGCTGTTTTCCTGTGTCATCAAGCCACCAACAGAGCTTACCACTTCATGAGTCCAGACCTTCGAACGCTTCGATGCCAACGCTGGCCGAGGTTGGGTCGATGATTTCCGGAGCGCGACGCCTCAGCCCATAGTGCTCCAACGGGACGACTGGAAGGCCTTCAGTGGAATCCGGAAGCTGAATCTCATTCTTGACGTGGTCACCGTTGCCGGTCGAACGCCACACTTGGTTGATGCTGGAGTCTATCTTCTTGGCGGACGAGCCTTTGGCGTGGCGAAAGGCGTGATCGTAGACTGCGTCGCAGAGTCGGGAGATACGCCATTCGTCCCACATGCGCACTGGCAGAACATTAGCACATGCAGCTTCCCCGAACCAGAGAGTGGGAAGCGATTCAACATACGTTTCTTGCAGATCTCCTCATCTGGTTTAGAGTAGATGCTTTCGATGCCGACCGGAGTCAGCTCGTTGTGGAAGAAGTCGTCCGCCACACCGAAAGCGATCGGGCGCATGCACTGCCTGAAGTAGTCGATACGCTGCTTCCTCGTGGTCTGCTTCCATGCCTCGAGCCCTGCTGTGGAGTCAGCCAACCATCTCAGGTTTGTTGATGGTCCCAAACATACCTCCGGGAGTGCGATTGATCGCCCGAGCGACAACTACCATACCGACACCAAGCGCGATCTTGTATCTCTTCCTCTCATAGGTGGTGAGCTTGGCTTTCGTCCACTCCACACAGGCTCCTTTGCTATTGGCGACAGCCTGAGGAATGTCGATGTTGTCGATCGACCCGACGAAGTAGATCTCAAGCTTGACCTTACTAAGCTGGTCCTTGACGCCAACGACGCGGGGTGTGTCCTCACCAAAGGCAGCGTCTTTTGCATATGGAATCTCAGAACTCCGGTGACGGAGTTGGAGTTGCTCATATCTCACCACCCCATGTCTTCCTGGCTGGCGGCGCTACTGCAAAATGGACTGACGGCAGGAACTTGAAGGGGGCTGCGCTGTTGCGGGGCGCTCATGTTTGCGTCCACCATGCTGGTCTCCATGGTCTCTGCAAGAGGTTGAAGTTTGCAGTCAGAAGTTTGGTTCAGGAGCATGCAGGTGAGCTTAGCGCGCCGTCTTCACGTGAGAACCACCGATGGGGCTTTGGACTAGCTTCTTATGGAAGTTACTTGACCAATAGTCATGGGGCGCGCCGACCCATTGTCGCACGAGCTTCTCCAGCCTGAAAAGTCATCGGCATCACGTCTCACACATCTCACGCACTCGTCGGCTCACAACCTCGCCAGGGGAACCTAAACCAACAACATCAACAAACACCTCTCAACCACCCACAAGATGCCAGCCTCATCGCTGCCCCACGATTCCTCCACCCACCTGGAGGAGATGTTTAACATCGAGACCGCAGTGATCGCTGCGTGGACCGCGTTCAAGCTCGAAAAGCTCGGCAAGACGGCAGAGGCCAACAGTATGTTCTCCGCAGATACTCTTCTCCCCTTGGACTGATACTAACAAGAGCGCAGAGGGCCTCTCGTTCGCGAAGTACTACGGCAACATCGCGGAGAGCGACCTGTCGTGGGAGTATGAGTACGATTGCGTTGCAGGCGTCGACCCAGTCAACGTTGACGGTCTTCGCGAGTATCTTGAGAAGATACCTGAGATTGTGGAGGGTGGAAAGGACCGTGTGGAGGATCCAGAGGTCGCTGCGTGAGTTTTCCCTTCATGCTGACGGTTGTGGAGGTGTCTCCTGCTGACTAAATCACCCATTTAGCGAGATGAAGAAGGAGTTGAACGCTTGGCTCGCCGAGTCTTTGCCGTTGACCAACAAGATGGGACGCTCCGACGACTCTGCGCAGAAGGAAGCATCCAAGGAGTAAGTATAGCCTCTTTTTCTCTTCTCTGGCGATGCGGCAGGCGGCAGAGCGAGGAAGGATGGGGAGGATAGAGATCCTTGGCTCTCGGCTTGCAGGCTTCTCCACGAAGCGGTCAGGGAGCTGGAGGCAGAGCATGAGGTGCATAGCCATAAAAAATTGGAGCGCGGTGGAGAGCAAACAGCGCTGCTGAGAATACAAATACACACTAAAGCGAAGTCACCTCACTTCAGGTACTTCCCATCATCCTCCCGAATCGCCATCTCCTCATTCGCCTCGATGATGATATCCGTGTGGTATCGATTCTTGTCCATAAACTCAGCATTCTTGGCATCAAACTCATCGTACGACTTCAGCGCCTCCTCCATACTCCGACAGATGCCCTTCTGTACCCGCCGTGACGCCACTCGTTCCCGCGTCAACTCAGGCCGGACGTGGATATACCACTTCTCGTCCACAAACTCCTCAATCTGCTTCCACGGCTCCCGATCCGCAAGCAACCACAACCCCTCAAAAACAACGGCTTCGCTATCCGCTTCAATCAACTGAGCATCCGGGACCGGATCCCCCTTCTCCTCGTCAAAAGCAGGCACACGCAGCTCATGCCCCGGCCCACGCGCTCGCAGCGTCTTGAACATCTCCACCACCGCATCGCCGTCGAAGGACTCAAGCGTGCCGCGTTTCTGGACCTCTTGTGGAGAAGAGAAGGCGGACTTGGGTTTCATGAAGCCTTCGATGGAGATGACGCCGCATTTGACGTGCTGTTGGGTGACTTTGTCTGCGACGGCGGAGGCGAGGGTGGATTTGCCGCTGCCCGGGCCGCCGGCGAGGGCTACGCTGTTGGGACATTCGGGTTAGCTTGCACGCTTCCCAGGGTCCGCTGATGCTGTATGGTGTTATAGCGCAGTGAGGGTGTACGTACTGCCACACCGTTAGCAGAGAAGCTCGTTTCCCACACACACACTCGCCGCCCAATCGACTTACCAGGCAGCGCTTAATCGGCTTCTGAGAACCGTTCTGACGAGGAATCCTCCCGTAATGCTGCACGAGCCGGTTGGCAAGCTGCTGAGCAGCATAGTCTTGATACATGTTTGGACTTGTGAAAAGGGTAGAAGGAAGGTAAAGTAAGAGCAGTCTGGGAGTTTGCGAGAACTTGAGATGTATCAAACCTTTTTGAACTACTACCGTGTTTCGTGTCATTTGCAGGCCGGACTGCTCGTCAACTTCACGACGTTGAGCATCATTTGATGGAGTGCCGATGAAGAATCGTCGTTGATGACCTCGAAGGAAGTCATACGTGGGGCGGATATGGTTAGCTTGGCATTAGCAGACAAGAGTGGTCAGGAAGAATGTTGTCAAGCCCGAATTACGTCCGCAAGGTCTTCAATTTGCTAGAAGTACAGTCTGGTTCAACGCCTGAAGCCTTATCATCTCATATCATTCTTGCCCTCCATCCTGTAACGAAGTGATGCACGTCCATAGAATGATTGCAGCCCCACGTTTTAGCATGACGACCGTTTACTCCCCCTTCACATTCACACCCTCACCGCCCTCTGGGTACTCCTCAATCTTCCTCTCGAACCTCGCCTCAATCGCCTTGAGCACCTGCTCGTCCCTCTCAGTCGACACGAACGAGACCGAGACACCCTTGGTACCGAAGCGACCGGCACGACCCACGCGATGGAGGTAGGTGTCGGCGGCCTGGGCGAGAGAGTCTTTGTCGCTGGCGCCTGGGTTCTGCGGGGAGTCGGGCATATCGTAATTGATGGCGACGTTGATGCGCTCGATGTCGATACCACGGCCGAAGACGTCCGTGCTGACGCAGACACGGTGGACGAAGTTCTTGAAGTCGGTGTAGCGCTTGATGCTGTGCAGTCATTAGCATTACATTGAGTCGTTAATCGTGAAATGCAAACTTACCGTTCCTCCTGGCTGACACCAGAGTGGACAGCGACACTTGGGAAGTGGCACTCGCGAAGCAGACGGTCGAGCTCGGTCGCGCGCACGGTGCTCTTGACGAAGACGATGACCTGGTTGTAGTTGAGCTGGTCCAGGATGTCGTTAAGACGACGATTCTTCTCAGCCTCTCCGAGCTTTACGTAGTACTGCTGCAGACCGTGGAGAGTGAGCTTGGTCTCGTCGTCGACGTAGATCTCAAGCGGGTTCTGCATGAACTTCTTGCAGACGGGGCGGGTGGCGGGCGAGAGGGTGGCCGAAAACATCATAACCTGCTTCTGGGTTGGCGTGGCGCGGAAGATCTCCTGCACGTCACGGCGCATGTCTGTACGAACCATTAGCATGTGGAAGCAATCGCTGAGTCAGCTCCAAGTATACCGATCTGATCCAGCATCTTGTCACACTCATCCAGAACGAATCGCTGCACACTGCCCAGCCTGAGCTTCTTCTCGCGGACTAGGGCGTTCAAACGTCCAGGAGTGGCGACGATGACGTGCGGGTGGGTTTCCTTGTTTGCGAGCAACTTCTCGTTCTCCTTGATGTCGGTACCGCCGTAGAAGACAGACGTCTTGACCTCCGGCATGTATTTGCTGAACCGCTGGTACTCGTTGCGAATCTGGAAGGCGAGCTCACGGGTGTGGCACATGACGAGGACAGAACATTCTCCGGCGACTGGCTCGATCTGCTGAAGCGTGCTAAGAACGAAGACGGCCGTCTTTCCGAGACCGGACTTGGCCTGACAGAGTACGTCGGTGCCGAGGATGGCTTGCGGGATGCAGACTTGCTGGACTGTGGGTTCGAGAATGTTAGAGTTCGTCCCAAAGCGTGTAGAGGTGTGCAAGCAAGTCGAAGCGAAGCGATGCGATATGCGAGAAGCGTCCGTCAGTTCAGTTGCCGCGTCCTCCTAGCATCATCAACCCAAGTCAATTGTCCACCCAGGCAATGCGCTCAAGCATAAAGCTACAAATACAGCCTTTCAGTCATGCCTACAGAAGGCCAGTGATTCTTCCAGCACAAGGCCGTCAGCGTCTCCAAGCCAGGGCGCTCGCGCAAGTCACTTCTGCCGTATGAAGGGTTGGTACCTCGTCATGCATCAAGTGTGCAGATCTCTCGCTCTTTCGCTTCCGCGATGACCACCGTTGGGCGTCATGAGCGTGCGCCCGTAGCTTTGACCAGAGCGCGTAGGACAGGCCGACTTTCGAGTATTGCTTCGCTCGCCCATAGATGACTTTGATGACCGCTTTCTTTCTTCGCGCATGATACTTATATTGCTCGCTTTGTGACGCTTGACGGACGCTCCTCGCTTTCGCATATCGCAGTTCGAAGGGTTCTTCGGTGGGTGTACGCAGTGTGATGTGGAGATGACAACTAACCCTCAGATGGATGTTCGAACCCGCAGTCTGTGATCGCCTTCAGGAGCTCCGGCTTGAGCAGGAAATCCCGGAAGGAGGTCGAGTGAATGCCGACGTAGGAGCCCTTGCCCTTCTCAGCGCCCGCTCCGGTCACGGTGAGGTCACCTTTCTTCGCGTCGCCGTTGGTCGCGCCCGCTGCTCCATTCGCGTCGGCGCCATCGGTGGGCTGGATCTCATCGTCGGAGTAGTCGATCAACTCTTCTTCGGCCGACATGGTGACGGTGGTCGCGAGGCTGTGGGTAGGTGAAGTGAGCGACTAGCCGCGGTGTATTTCGTGTTCTCGATATGGACCAGCGGTGAGATTGTGTCACCAGGTGTTTGTGATGTTGTGAAAATGGTTCTGGCGAGGGAGACGTGGGTGTGGTGTGCAGAGGTTGGAAGCTGAAGTTTGCGAGCGAGCGTTGTTGCTTGTGATGCGTGCACGGGCCAAAACGGCCGAAGCCGTGCTCATTGCCGACCAATCAGCGTTCCCTCACATCTTCGCAGAGCACATGCGCTTGACAGTCACCCAGTCTTCTCTGAGATCCAAACGGTCCTGAAAAGGTCACATCACTATCATCGGTACATGTGAGCGGTCCTGGTCTGCGAGAATATCCATTTCACACAGCTCACTCTGACCTAGTTGGCCCCTTCTACTGTCGGCGGCTTTATTAAGTAACAGACAGTGGAAGTGGGCCACCTGGAGATATCTGGAAGTCTTCTGCGAGACGAGGTTGTGGTCAAAAAGGCCACATCACTCTCGTCAGCGGGCAGTCATTGTCTGTGAGAAGGTCTCTTCCACGGCGTATTCTGACCTGGTGGCCGATTTCACTGTCTGCCGCTTGCACACATCGTACGACTTGATGAACCTTGGTGATGACGAGGTGACAGTACGAAGGAAAATTGAGCAATGGGTAAAGACAAGTCCAAGGCCGGCGTGCCCAACAAGCATATCCACGCAAGAATCTCCTACCTGCAACAGGCGGCGACATATCTCACGACCCAGGAGCAGCAGACTTCGACTACAAGCGGACGAGTATTACCGAGTGCAAAGTCTGAAGGAAGTAGCAATGAACGCTCAACAGACAGTCTTGCCAGTCTAGCCCAGCCGGCGCCAGCACCAGGTCTACCCAAGTACCTCTCAAACCACCTGATGCAAGTCGCTCGCAAAACGCAGATACGGCTACATACGAACGTGAAGCACAGCATTTGCAAGCAATGTGGCACCATCCTGATCGATGGCGAAACTGCCACAAAATCCATGGAGAACCATTCAAAGCAAGGCAGGAAGCCGCACGCAGATGTCTTGGTCCTCGAGTGTGGGTCGTGCAGTGCGCAGCGGAGGTTTCCAGTGGGAGCTCAAAGGCAGAAAAAGAAGTCTGAACGCCCTCAGAGGGAAGAAAAGAATAATGCTGCGATGAGTGCTACGGAGATCGTGGCAAAGGAGGCTGGTTGACACGAGATGATCAATTCTTTGACGTTTGGCCTAACTCGTCGAACCAAAAGCCCTTCCCAATCTCGTCGTCATTCTCGATCACAAAGCTGGAGCAGCCGGTGTATCTCGCCTTCCCGCTGATCTTCACCTTGACAGCATTGATGCCGCCTCCCACATCCTCTGTGTCAATAACTTCACCGACAAACGCTCCCTCTCCACCGTGAGCGATCGAAAGCGGGCTATGGTATGTTCGCGGCTCGTTCATCCCGACCTTCCCAGCTCCAAAAGCCAGTGCCACTCTTGCCTGCACTCCGGAGCCAGTGGGACTTCTATCGACCTGTTGGTTCGCGAAAAAGCAGAGTCCTAGGTCTGCGTTCGGCGGCAGGCCAGCTTCTGCAGAGGGTCTGTTGCAGGGGCTTGTCACGATGGTGCCGTACAGCTCTTGTTTGGCTGGATAATCCGGATGCAGCAGCCTCGTCAGGCGTGGGAACGCATCCTCATACCGGTTGAAGTCTTCTTTGAACAGCCGCGTGGCGTTGCTAAGGGCAGCAAGCGTGGACGGAGTGATGCTCTCCAGCACGTCCGTCACGAAACCCAGTTCTTTGGCCGACACAACGATATAGAAAGCACCTCCGTAAGCGGCATCATACCAGACCTTCGAGCGATCTCCCAGCTCTGGCCATCGCAGAGACGGTTCGCTGATGTCAGTACACATGCTCGAGTGCGCCTCCCAACTTGGTACGGAGTCGTACGAGGTCATCCGACTCATGTCAGTCTTCCAAGTATCCTCGCTGGTGAGCGTCACCGGCACTTTAGCAGCAACCAGCCCGCAGGGAACATGGAGGTCGACTGCCATTTCCCCCGTTTTCGGGTCATAGATCAAGTCCTTCCCCTGGTCCAGGACGAACAACTTCTTGTCGCTGCTACCAGCTTGATCAACAATCAAGCGAGCCAGAGCGAGCGTAGCATGTCCACACATGGTGCTATAGCCGTCGTTGGTAAGGAACAAAACTCCCACGTGAGCTTTGCCACTTTCTGTCAACTCGGTCCGCCGGCACAGAACTGCTCCGTACATCTCACGGTGGCCTCTGGGCTCGCATATCAGGGCTCTACGGATGTGGTCGTGGTGGGCAATGGCTTCCTCGCGTTGTTGGAGGAGCTTGCCGCTTCGAGAGTCAGAAAGAGATCGTGGTTGTCAAATAGTTGATACATCGTACGGAAGTTCTGGATAGCCTGAATATACAATCCTTGTGGGCTCACCACTCGTATGCATTTCCACTGTCTTGATCTCTGTGCCGCAGCATTGGCTCATGAATGAGGGAACTTCAACGGAGTGCAGTTCGTCTGGTACGCCATCTTTACGTGAGGAGCTCGGAAAGCGTCTGTTGCGGCTCATCTCTGCGCTTCCGCGTACTATTTCAGATGAGTTTGCTTCTTACCGTGCCAAAGGAGGACTGAATTGAAGCGATGAATTCAATCAAGTGAAGTTGAAGGGCGGACGATGGGGAGAGAATTGAGTTTCGGCTGCACGTTTATCCGTGCCGATCGCGCTAGCGCCCACCGTCAACTTCGAATATGGCTTCAGGTTGACGACCTCGAACTTCAGAATTGCTCATCGACAACAGCACAACCGACAAGATGTACGAACACAACATTCGCTTATGGAAGTATGGAAGTGCTAACATGCGACCAGGCTGATCCCCAAGGAAGACCGCAAGAAGATCCACGAGTACCTCTTCCGCGAGGGCGTGCTCGTCGCGAAGAAGGACTTCAACCTGCCCAAGCATGGCGAGATTGACACCAAGAACCTCTACGTGAGTGCGCGCAGATATCATACCAGTTTCAACATCCTAACAGCTTTATTCCAGGTCGTCAAAGCCTGCCAATCTCTCACCTCCCGCGGCTACCTCAAGACCCAGTTCTCGTGGCAGTGGTACTACTACACCCTGACCCCCGAAGGCCTCGACTACCTCCGCGACTGGCTCCACCTTCCCGCCGAGATCGTCCCGCAAACCCACGTCAAGCAGCAGCGCTCGCACGCACCACCGCGTGGCATGATGGGAGGAGACGACCGCGGTGAGCGCCGTGGTGGAGGACGCGGCGGCCCACGTGGAGACCGTGAGGGTGGCTACCGTCGCCGTGAAGAAGGTGACAAGGAGAGCGGAATGGGCGCGGACCGTCCGTTCAGGCCTGGCTTCAACCGTGAGGGTGGTGGTGATCGTGGTGGAATCGGTCGTGGCCGGGGCGCCGCACCTCCGTCCTAGGATGGCGCTGGTGACGACGGCTGGGGCGAATCGTGACTGCTACGTCCGCATCAAGCTGAGAAAGGAGGGGAGAACGAGATGATGACAGATTCCATTCGTCTGCTGCGCTGAGACTTGGCTACATGCCAATGTGTAAGTAAGACAAACCAAGTCTGGAATGAAACTGCTTTCCAAAATCGTGACGTCTCACAATCGTCCAAATTCTCCACATGAATAGATGCCGGTACAAGCTCGTACATGTCATCACTGATATCTACCTCTGCCCCCTCAGCCGATCATACCTTAGCACCGCTCCCATCAACACATTCGCCCCATCGCCACACTGATCCGGACTTGAGTACTCCGCGGGATTATGACTCACTCCATCCCTACAAGGCACAAAAATCATGCTGGTCGGGCAATGCTTATTCGTGTACACGGAGTCGTGTCCCGCACCACTCGTCATCAGCTTGCCCCAAGCACCAATGCCCTTTCCATTCACTTCTCCCCCTCCGCACAAGTCCGAACCAGCCTGCTGAACGCACGAGATGCAATCGTCGTGGAAGTGTGTGGCTGGGCTGACGAAGTCTGTCACCCACTCGACGCTGCATTGACGGTCAGATGGGTGGCAGAGATCATTAACACCGTAAGCATTCTCGCCTGCCGCTATAGCTTCGAAAGCTTGTCGGCAGTCTTTCTCAACCGCCTCGACGGTCTCGTCGAGTGGTGCGCGGATGTCGAGCGAGAATTTCACGAAGCCAGGCACAGTATTCGTGGAGCCAGGCTTCAGGCCCAAAATTCCGGTCGAAGCAAGAGCTTTGTGCCGCGTAGCGATCTTATGCGAAGCCAGAATCATCTTGGCCGAAGTAAGCAAAGCATCAGCACGATGCTGGAACGAAGTGGCCCCAGTATGCGAGTCCCGGCCTCGAACGGTGACCGTAAACCACTTGTACGCTTGCACGCCTTGCACGACACCAACGCGTCTGTTCTCAGCTTCTAGGATCGGGCCTTGTTCGATATGCAGTTCAAAGTGCGCAGCCATGGGCGTTGACTTGTAGCTCGCTGGTACCTTGCCCAAGTAGCCGATTCGTTCGAGCTCGCTTTTCATCGTTGCGGTGTCGTTGGATGGAATGACGGATTTGAGATTATGTGCTTTCTCGAGCGGTACGCTGCCGGCCCAAACACCGGATGAGACCATGGACATTGGAAAGCGGGCACCTTCCTCGTTTGTCCAGTTGACTACGCCCACTGGGTAGTTGGTCTCGATCCAGTTGTCGTTCAATGTCCGCAGCATTTCGACCGCGGCAGTGACTCCTAGGATGCCATCGTATCGGCCGCCTGTGGGTTGGGTATCGAGATGGCTGCCGGCGTAAGTTGGTGGCTCGTCGTTGGAGAGCCCGGGTCTGATGGCGAACTGGTTTCCCATCTGGTCTGTGTGCACTTTACATCCTAACGAAGTCGTAGTCTCGGCGAACCAGTCGCGAGCTTGCTTGTCGGTATCCGAGAGGGAAAGGCGAGACATGCCTGTCTCTGTGGGACCGCTGTTTGAGCAGGTCAGACTTGCTCGAGAACAGCATTGATTGTGGACAAGCCTACTCGCCCCATGGCTCGCCTTTGCCCCATTCACAGGTCGTGTGTATGTCGTTCATCAATCGATCTTGATTGATCTTGATGCTGGCCAACTGCTCATGGCTCATCTCTGAGACGGTCAACGCTGGCCGAGGCGTGGAAGAGAAGCATCTTTGCGGAATCCATTGAGTGCTCAATGAACCCAGCACTCTTGCCTCCCACGGTGTGGTGATCTTCGACCTAAAGGACCGATGTAGCGCTCGTAGCAACATCACGAAAAATAGCGTTGTGTTCACATCTAAATGGATGGATGGATGGATGGAGACGAAGTGCCTTGAGAGTTCGCCGAAAGTCGCCACGGCACTCGCCGACCAGAAAGATCTCACATCTCGGCCGTGATGACTCGCCACTGCTCTTCATCTTCAAAAGCATGACCAATTCGTAATAAAAGGTCCACGGGGCCATTGCAAAGGCGGAAGACCGTGAAAATCGAAACTCTGACAAGATGGACAACCCAGCGATGACCGTGCCCGCAAGCGCACGACTCCGATCAAGCCCATCATCAACAAGCAAGACTGGAAGCAATGGAACAGCCCCCAAACCCTCGAATCCTCAGATGGAAGCCCGGCAACCTGAAGAAAAAGTCCAAACTGTCACGAAGTACGAAAAAGGCTGGCGCCGCATCGTCCGCAACTTCTCCCCTTCCTGGTTCTCAATCACCATGGGCACAGGTGTTGTCTCGATGATCCTGCACACCATCCCCTGGACGGCATCATGACTCTACTACCTCAGCATCATCTTCTTCGTGCTGAACGTCTGCCTCTTCGCCGCAGCCTTCTCCATCTCCATCCTTCGCTACACCATCTGGCCCGAGATCTGGGGCGTCATGATCCTGGACCCAAACAACAGCCTCTTCCTCGGCACCGTTCCCATGGGCTTCGCAACAATCATCAACATGTGGATAGCCGTCTGCGTGCCCGCCTGGGGAGCATGGTCCGCCTACTTCGCCTGGGCGCTCTGGATGCTCGATTCCATCGCCGCAATCTCAGTAACCGTCAGCCTAGGCGTCCTCCTCATGTCCGAAAGCCACCAGCGCTCCCTCGACACCATCACAGCCGCCCAACTCCTCCCCATCGCCGCCACAATCGTGAGCAGCAGCACCGGCTCGCAAGTCGCAGAAGTCCTTCCAGACCCGCAACACGCCCTCGGCACTATCATCGCCTCGTACGTGATGTGGGGTCTCAGCGTCCCCATGGCCTTTGCAGTCATGGTCATCTACTTCCAACGCCTCGCCCTGCACAAGCTCCCAGCGCGCGAAGTCATCGTCTCCGCCTTCCTACCTCTCGGGCCCCTGGGTCTAGGCGGCTACACGATCCTGAACCTCGGACGTCAAGCTCGCCAAACATTCCCCGTCACCAACACCCTCGACCCCATGGCCGGGCTCTTCGCATACCACCTCGGCTTCTTCGTAGCTCTGATAATGTGGTCCTGGGGCCTGCTCTGGTTCGCCTTCGCGCTGGCGGCGATTCATCAGGCGTCGCCTGGTCTCCCGTTTAATAACGGATGGTGGGGTTTTACCTTCCCGCTGGGCGTATACAGTATTAGTACCGTTAATATTGGTCTTGAGCTGCCGTCGCGCTTCTTTCGTGTCCTGGGGACGGTGTTCGGGACGGCGGTGATTTTGCTGTGGATTGTTATTGCTGCGAGGACGGCGAAGGGGGCGTGGCAGGGTACCTTGTTCGTGGCGCCTTGTTTGGCGAATTTGGAGCCGAAGTATAAGGTGCCTCCGGAGAGCAGTGAAGAGGATGAGAAGAGCGAGCTGGCTGCTGTAGAGAGTACGGGTAGTGAGGAGACGCATCGTGGGACGCCGCCAGATATCGACATGGAGCCGGAGCGTGTTCCCACGAACCGTTGAAAAAACCATATCAGGTCCAGCAGGTATTTTAGAAGTTTTGATCCGTCTACGAAGACGTTACGAGATTTTGACATCCAGAGTCCAACAACACCGCGCCATGCCAAAACCTCAATTCGCATTTCCAACTCGATTCCCAACCTTCACCAAACGCCGCGATTCCAACATCAAGCCATACCAACGTCATGACCAAACACCATAACACCACCATCCATCTGCCGAGCTCATCTCACCTAACCATCGCCCTGCCCTTCTTCGCCAAAAACGGACTCGGACAATCCACAGCCATCGGATCCCACTTCGCCGGACTCGGCGGCAAATCCGGCCTGTTCCCCATCACACCCCCATCTGCCATCTCATCATCATCAAAAGCGTCAAAGTCGTGCGGAAGCAAGTTGGGTGTCGAGCGCGCTTGCTGCAGTTCCACCAGCGTGCGCCCCTTGGTCGGCGAGAGCTGCATGTTGTTCTTGTGCGCCGCTTTGACGAGGTTGCCTTGCTTGGTCATGAGACCGCTGGGTGCTGCGGGTGGGGGCGGGGCTTTGCGGGAGGGTGTGAGTGCTTTGGGGTCTTTGGGCGCAGTGCGCTTTGGTGAGGCGCTGACGACCGGGACGGCGGAGTTGGTTCGGGTATGGGAGGAAGGGGGGCGGTTTTCTTTGTCGGGGCTCTTGGGACGGCCGCCGAAGGGGTTGTGACGCGGGGCGGCGGCGCGCTGTTGCATGTTGACTGGCATAGTCTGCTGTCGCGTCAGGCTAGGACGGGACATAGGCTTGAGCTGGGGTCGGGCGCCGAAGGCTTTGAAGGGGTCGCCGCCAGCTGCATGGTTGGATAGGCCAGACGATGGGCGGCTTGGGGAGTCATCGATCGGTGGGAGGAGGTCGGGATCGTCGTCGAGGCCGTCGGAGTCATAGTCGTCCGCGAACGATCCTTGTCCTTTCGCGCCTGATTGAGCCTCACCCTGAACGTGTGGACGCAGGTTGCCTTCCTTGAAGATGTTGCGACGCAGTGCTGCACCACCAGACAGACGATCCTGACCGTTCTTTCGAGGCGACAGACTCAACCCCTTGATGCTCATCGGCGCAGCTTGAGGCTGAGGCATGGGCGACGCTCCGGCCATGTGCACATCCATCGGCGATTCGGTGTTGATGCCTTTTTGGTTGCAGTTGGCGTATGTTTGAGCGCGGCCGAATGTCGCCCGTGGTACCCTCTTTGGCGGCTGCTTCGTGCGTGCTGCAAGTGGCGAAGTCTCATCGATTTGCTCATCCTGAATCGACAAGCTCGTAAGATCTGTGTCTAGAGCAGAATCTTCAAGACCCTCAACGATCGATGACATGTCCGTCTCATTCGTGTTCGTGGCAGTCGTTGCAAAGCTGGCGGCCTTGCCCGGCGGAGGCGTACTGGACCTCACGTGCGTGCTGTCGCCATTTTGCTGGAGCCCGTGGCTTGCTGGGAGGGATGCCAGGTGAAGGCTCAACTTGTCTTCTGCCCGCTTCTCGACAGTGGCATCGAACTGCTTCAGCAACTCTGCCTTCTTCGCCTCGACTTGCTCGTGCACGCGCTGATCGATGGCCAGAGTCGCGCGCGTGTGCCACTCCATCTCCAGATGCTTCTCGCGATCCCTCAGCTTCCGTACCTCTGCCTGCAACTCCTGGATCTGCTTGTGCGCCTGTGCCAACTGTTGTCGCGCATCGTGATCCTTTTCGAATTTCAATCGCGTCCGGGCAAGCTTGATGTTCGCGATGTTCAGCAACTGCGCTGTGTCCGGCCGCGACAGTGGGTTCGTCTTGAGACACCATGAAATCACGTCGCCCAGCTCGCGGCTGTACTGTGGAGGAAGCGGCTTTGTCCTGCCACTGCGAATCTTGAGGATGAGATCGACGTGGTTCTTCGCATCGAATGGGACGCATCGCGTGGCGAGCTCGTAGATGATGCACCCCAAGCTCCAGATGTCGGAGTGGTGGCTGTAACGCTCTGCTTGGCAAATCTCGGGCGACATGTAAAAGGGTGTGCCGACGTATGTGGAAGCGAAGTCGTGGGAGGCGATGATCTTGGAAAGGCCAAAGTCGCCCAGCTTGACTGAGTTGTTCTCACCGAGAAATACTATCGATGGTCAGCAACTTCAAGCACAGCTCCCAAACTGGTAGTCTGGCTTACCATTCTCGGGCTTCAGATCACGATGCAAGATCATGCGATAACCCTCCTTCGTCTGATATGCCGCCGTCTTGCCTTCTTCACCAACCATCGGCGGGTCCTCTCCATAGTGACAGCGGTACAGTGCGCTGACCAGCTGCGCGAATATCGCCCACACAAACTCCTCATCCGCATACTGATTCCTCGTCTTCAAGTTCTTGACGTAGCCTCCCAAATCCCCATTCCCGCAATACTCCATATACAGATGCAGGTCATGGCTGGTCTTGAGGTGTTCGCGGTGGTAGTATTGAACGATGTTGGTATGTCGTAGGGATTCCAGGATCTTGAGCTCGGCGTGCAGTTGGTTGCGCTCTTTGTCGGACATGCGCGAGTAGGATATCTCCTTGCGACATAAGATCTGCCCGTTCGCCCTCGCGCGTACTTTGCGTATGATGCCGAAGGATCCTTGTCCTGTATAGAAGACATATGTCTTAACGATCCGTCCTTGTCATTGCCCCAAACCATTGAAGACAGAAACGCTGCAATGAAGTAAACATGTGACTTACCAATCTTCTCCAGTACCTCATACTTCTCATCCTCCTTCTCCGCCATGCTTGCGGTGCTGAAGATGAGCGATAGTAGTTGTGACTTTCTGCTATCTCATCAAAGACTGTTCGAGTGTTGTAGCAGTCTGCTGTTTGGGGTCGTCTCTTCGACGAGGCGCTGTTAGTGCTGTCGCCGTGACAATGTCATTCCTAAGAGCGTAAACGAAAGAGTGAGTGCAAGTGTAGGGTATACCCAAGTAACGAGGTACTCCAAGTGAGAGTGTGGGTAGTAAGATGCTGCAGATGCAAGGTACCATGCGGTAATTGAAGCTGCAGCTCTTCGTTCTTACTGGCATCAACAGTTGTTGCCCGGTGGCCTTGCCCAGCAACCCGCACTCGCCGCTGCACGTGCAAAGTCTAATATCCAGCCTTCGGACCCTCCCGTAGTGGCAATTCAGACGTCATCCCTCAAATATCTATCTTCCAAGATGAATGAACATCGACAATCGGCTTCTCTAAAATCGCACCAGCGACGGGCGTCTCCGGGGTGAGCAGCGGTCCGTTTTCAGAGACGCATACAGGATTGATCTGGTCTACGCTGGTCGTGGATTGAAGTTGGAGACAGGCACTCACTGAATTGGAATCGACGTCATGGCCGCCAGCGTCCTGGGCAAGCACCAGATCGAGAAGGCTCTCCATGACGAGCAGCGCATGATCTCGTCTGGCCGACTCAAAGAAGAGAACCCATTAGACACATCTCTGGAGTTCCGACGATTCTGTGAAGCCTGTCGAAGAGGCGACCTCAAAGTCTGTCAGGAACAGATCAGCAAGAACATCAACATCAACGCTAGGGACGAATTCGATTATACGCCCCTCATTCTGGTACGTCTCTTCTAAGAATCGTAATGGTGTAGAGCTGATTTGCTGAAGCCACCGTAGGCAAGTCTTTGCGGACACTATGAGGTCGTCCAAATGCTTCTCGAGCAAGGCGCGCTCTGTGAACGAGATACGTTCCAGGGCGAGCGATGCCTTTACAATGCACTGAATGATCGAATACGGAATCTGCTGCTGAGCTACGACTACAGCAAGTCTACGGATCCTTTGCAGCCTTTGGCTGGCCATATAACGAGTCTACTGTCGCGGGCTACGCCCAAGACCAGCGATATTGCTGTGCACGCGGGGGATGCGACTTTCAACCTGCACAAGTTCGTGCTCAGTGCACGATCGCCGTACTTCGCGAAGAAGCTGGCTGCAGCGCCTGAAACTCCCAGTTGGAGGTTGTCGCAAGCAGTGCCAGCAGAGTCTTTCGAGGCCTGCATACGCTACATCTACATGGGCGAGGCTCATGTTGCCAGCATGGAGAGCGAGGAGGAACAGGAGCAGGTCATTGCCGGGATTGACAAGCTCAGTCGGCAATTGGAGGTTCCGCAGCTGTTTGAAGGCATCTTGCATGCGGGAGACAGGAGGCAGGCGAGGCAACGGCGGACCGAAGAAGTAGAGCGCGGGCGAAATCAGCTGGCGGCCTGGTTCCAGAGTAATGTGATACAGCATCGATTGGAGGTGGACACGGCGAAGGCAGACGACGTGAAGTGGGACAGAGACAATGGCATCTTTGCGGATGTGCTACTGCGAGCGGATGAGCCAGTGGAAGATGATGAGATGATGGACGAAGCACAGCCACGGATACGGCAGACGGAGGGTCCTCTTAATGGCATACCCATCGGCCACTTCCAGGCGTCGCGCTCACCCTCACGACAACGAAAACCTCAACGATCGGTTCTCTTCCCAGCTCACCGCGCCATGCTCCTTCGATCTGAAGTCTTCGCCACCATGTTCGCATCTCCTTTCCGAGAAGGCCAGGAGTTGCAACACCTGCAAATCGTACCCGTCGACTGCTCACCAGAAGTCCTCTCCATCATCTTGACCTTCCTCTACACCGAGAAAGCAGACTTTGGCCTGGGCATTGCATTAGAAGTCCTCCACGCCGCAGACATGCTCTTCATCGACCGCCTTAAACAGCGCGCCGCCCTCTTCATTTCCACCCTCGGCAACGGCTCTGCTTCCATCGTCGAATCCGAGAACCCGCGGGGCGAAACAGACATCGAAGACCTGATCAATGTCTACGACGTCGTCCGGGCAGGCTGGGACACCCGCGTCCATCGCCTCGAAGAGTTCGGCGCGCGGTACATCGCTTACCGCCTCGAACGCTTCATCGATGAAGCAGAGTTCAAAGAACTCGTGCAAGAATCCGCTTCCCGCATTCAAGGCCGTCAGGAAACAGACACCGTCGAGCTGGTCGACGATATCCGCTACTACCTCTCCGAGCGCTTCCGTCTCCGCTTCGAAGACGCTGGGCTGGACGAGATGATGGACGAGGACGTCGAAGGCGTTGCCGCGCTCCCGGAGCAGCCGGTAGACGACAAGCCGGCGTTACCGGAGGATGAAGGCGTGGACGTGCATTCAGGTCTCACGCCGCCTCATGAGGACGGCTTCGCGCCGGACCTGGACTTCTTGGAGTCGCATCAGGGTGTGGTGAGGACGTTGGATGGCGACGTGGCGGGCGATGAGTTTGCGCAGGATGCGATGAATTATCAGATTTTGCTTGGGAAGCTGGATACGTTGATGGAGAATTTGGGTTTGGATGGGTAGGATGATGGGTGGGAGTATGTAGAGAATAGAATTGTGTCTTTACTTTCATCTGCGTATCTCTGGCGAGCTTGCGTCTCGTCCTCGAGCGCTCACTCATCTCCATGTCCTCTGGAAGATGTGCATGTATTCCACACGCGATGAGAGTACCGGAGAGTATTATGATATGTATTACACATTCAAAGTTCAAGGTGCGAACGATGGCGCGTAGGCGCTGAGGCGCTTTCGCTCGATCAGAAGCTGTAGGTATTTGAAGTCGGAATACGTAGCAAGAGATATGGTCGGCGGTACTGGCTTCTCCATGACACGACCACATGCTATGAAGCCTCCTGCTCGACAATGCCATGCTTGCTGTCTCAGATAACCAACCTGACCAACCATGGCTCCATGACACAATGGCCCGCTATGAAACCTCCTGGTCGTAGATGCCGTTCTTGCTATCTCGGAGAACCAAGTTGTCCACCCATAGTTCGGGTGGCCCTAAGTCGAAGCCAAAGGTGAAGACGGGAGGTAGACCGAGACAGGTGATTGCAATGCTTAGTAGCTGCGCACAATACATGTAAGGTGGACCGGTGAAGAGGTAGTTCATAGTATACATCGTGATTTCTCGATTGATGCGGAAGTCCAGGCACGCTATTGCGATCCAGACAGCGATCCAGAGGCCGAAGAGAATGCCGAGGAGGCACAGGAAGTAGTTGTCGTGAGGCATATGCATTTTGCTTGGTTGTGGCTTTGGAAGTTGCCTTGTTCATGGTCTAGATAGTGGAATCGAATTTTCTAGATAGCAGCATTGAAAAGGAGAGCGCGAGCAGAAATTCTACTTATACACTGAAATGCCCCAGCGGTGGAGATATCGAACTTACCGGACGTTGAGGGGACTTTCATAGGTAAGCTTACCAAAATGCTGGTCTCCACAACTTGACAGCCCGCTGAAGAGTGGTGGGTCTTTTCGGGAGCAGTAGGGCCTGGGAGATATGTGTCCGGTGGGGTGCTTCCTTTGTCACTTGCTTGCAGACACTTGAAATATACATGTACTTGGCAGTGTTGGAAAGTGTCGCTGCTGTTCCTACCTTTCTGCCGACAGTGCAAGCCTTGGTGAGCTGTGGCAACATGCTATGAAGCCAAATTTGACAGTGCAGGAGAGCGTTGTGCATAGACTGTGAACATCCGGAGTCAGTGGTCCATAGTGAAGGTGTTCAGATTGGAAGTGAAGTCTTTCGTTCTTCAACGCGACATCGCGTGGCGCGCACGGACTGCCGCTCCCGCAAAACATAAAAGGCTTAAGTCGACCAGGATCTCCAACTGCGTTGGTGTAGTGTGAAGTCGCGAAAGTGAGGATCTTGTGCTACCTTATTGTTGAAAGTGCGATTGTCGAGCGTTGTTGCGTTTCCTCTTGGTGCTCCGTTCCAGCGGCGTCTTTCCTGAACACGACACTATTTGAAAAGCCAACAGCATCACTGTCAACCCTTCATAAACACAGCTCAAGCAGAGATCAGGACTACCACCCGCGACATGGCAGCAGCAACAAACCCCCCCTGGTCCCGTGGCATGCGTGGTATGCAAGTACATGCCGTCCCCGAAAGCGACCGCGCCTTCGACTCTCAGGGTCGCAAACTGCCCTGGGGCTACTCACTCGACCCATCTGCTGCTACGAACGGTCCGCTGCACGGAGAACCCGCCGAGAAGGGACCGTTCGGCCGCTCGCTCAGACGCAGCAGAAGCACCTTGAGCAGAAGTCGCAGCAAGACTGCAGACCCCACACGACTGGATGACAAGCTGAAGGCGGATCAGCAGCAGGCGGAGGATGCGGTGTTTGGAAGTTTGAGGAGGCGGGATAGGGAGGTGTTGGGTGAGGTGGATGGGAATACAGTTGCTGGAGCGCAGCAGGGAATGGTGTCTGGGACACAGGGCGGCAAGGGAGAGATTGAGGCTACGGAGGTCATGCTTTATGGGTTTGGCGAGGAGCTACAGTGGGCGGCGCTGGATCATTACGAGAGGGTCAGCGGTGGGACCGTGCTGGAGGACTACGATCGCCAGGCGCCTGGGCAGCGATATGATGTCGCGCGATCTCTGAGCAGAGCCACGGGTCAAAGAAGCTTGTCACGTGCAGCGCTGAGGAAGAAGAACACGTTTGCTGGAGGATTGCACTGGATCAAAATAACCTTCGACTCGCGAGGTGCCGCAGAACTGGCATGCGCTCGGAGTCCGCACATTATCAGAGGCCACCTCGTCTACGCCGAACCATACCTCGGACGCGGCCCAGGCAGAGACGAACCGATCTACGCTTCCCAAGCAGGAGCCCAGATCACCGACCCCGTCCTCCCACCCAGCTTCTCGACGAACACTCTCAACATAGGAGGTAGCCCGAACAGCTCCGCAACAGCAAGCTCCGCCACCGCCACCGCACCCCGCAACCAGAGCCTTCCGCACTCCCAGTCGACACCGACCCTCGCCAACACCTCCCCCTCCTCAACCACGACCCTCCAGCCGCAACCCAACCAATCGCTAGCTGCACAACCATCCCAAGCAACCATCCGACGCCGCCGCATCTCCGGCGTAACACCCGCTCAAATCCTACCCGTCGACGCAGCGCTGATGCCGAAACCGCCGAAGAAGTCCTGGAGCAGTTTGCTCGGCGCCGGAGAAGTGATCGGCTCCACCGTCCCTAAGAGGGAGGATGGGAGTTTCGACTACGCTGGCGCGGGCGTGTATTGGCGGGTTTGGTGGTGGGTGGATCGGGTGCTGGGGACGGATTGGTTGGGGTTGAAGGGAGAGTGACAGAGGATCCAATAGTGATGCCGCTTGTGGGTGAATTGGTCGAAGTCTCTAACAAGGAGATTGAATCTGCAATGATGCTGCTGCTGCTGCCGGTAGACTAAGCATTCGAGGTTTCAGAGGAGGCAATAGGGACTGTGCAGCGTCCAGCGTTTGCAGCGTTAGCGTTTGAATGCTACCTGATACAGGGCTTCATGTATGCGATAACCGAGTCGAGCTCGGCCATCCATTCTTCTTTCTCCTTCGCAGTCCTTGCATTGAATCTTCCAAGCGCAAATCTGAACACTGATGGGTCCAACTTGGAGACGCTGATGAAATCTTCCCGTAACATGACAGCTCGATCGAGATTGCTATATCGCACTGTCGCACCAGCCTCAACAAGTGCTTTGCAACCACTGAACCACGGCATCTTCGAGGTTCCCGGGGACCGCGGGCTAACAACACAGTAATCGAGCGGCGTATCGTTCAGCCAGTCCCGCGCCTCGAGCTCATCTCCAGCATGCGGGAGGATCAGAGCAAGTGTCTCCGAGTCACGAGAGTGGACTGCACGATGTAGAACTGTCCAACCCCATTCGCCTCGAGCGTGTACGTCAACATCTGGTGTTGATAATAGTACGCGCACCACTGATGCTCGTCCTTCCTTTGCGGCCAGATGCAGGGCGGTGTTGCCCTGGCTGCGTTGATCTTGTGCCCCCGATCCAAGAGAAGCTTCACGATCTCGTGGTGACCTCTCATGGAAACTTCGCGCCGCGATACACGATTCGACTGCTCCAGGTCGATTGTAGGAGCGGAGAGTAGCGCGCGCACAATATCGGGGTAGTTCTTTTCGACGGCCAGATAAAGCGGAGAGGTATTCGAGAACTCGTGGTTGACATCAGCGCCGGCGTTGATAAGCACTTTTACGCATTCAGTGTGTCCGGAGTTGACAGCGTAGATTATCGCCGTCCAGGCGTCTTTAGTTTCCTGCTCGAGTCGGATACCCGGGGCCATTACAAGCGCCGGCATGACTTCAGCAGCACCGACATACGCCGCCAAACAGAGCGGGAAGATGGGGTGTCCGTTCGGAAACGGCGAATCCTTGTTACTCTGCGTCGCACAGGCGTTGACGTCGCTCCCGGCTTCAATTAGCATTTGTACACCTTCGGCACGGCCAGCATTCACGAAGTAACGAAATGCAGTCCAGACGTCATCGTCAGCATAGTCTACGTCGGCGCCATCTCGAAGTTGAACGATGACGCTGTCTGTATCAACATCTTTTGCTGCTTTGCTCAGCCTATAGTTCAATTTGCGCCGCTCGATCCATCCCGGCGATGGTTTCGTCGTCTCGAGGTTATTGCGTTCTGTGTTTAGATTAAGCGCCGGTCGAATTTGAGAGAGGTTAGTAACTTACTTTGATTCTGATTGACGGCGAGCGGTGCGAAATGTACTCTTCTACCATCTCCCACATCGCAAGACGCGTCCGAGTTCGATGCGCCATGCTCTCGAGCTCCGCTGGAGCCTGTGCTAGATTGTGTGGCCATCAGTGCCCTTATCCCGTCGTACCGTGTCGTCTCCAGGTCATGGCCGGATGGAAACCATGCAGAACACAGTTCTTGCCATGCCTCTACCGAGAGGAATGGAGGGTGAGGCTGTCGAGCGGGAAGTCTGGTACCGGCACGTATGTCAAACCACAACGTGGCAAGCCAGCAAGCTGGTGTCGCCGGGTGCGGGTCCAACAGTCGTACAAGCGTCAGCAGAATACATAATAGTTGACTAAGTTTGATAATGCTCATAATGCTCTTAGCAGACTTGTCTCTCGTAGAGGCTCACACTGAGTTGCACTGACATTTTCAGCTCCACTCCATGAGACGATGCCAGGTCAGTCTTGAATTGCGACCTACACAAGCACGATTCGTTCAAAAGGCCAGTCTTCGTCCCGGACTTCATCATTAATGGTGATACTCGAAGCAGCAGTCACAGCTTCGCCGTCCATCTTTCCGTGCACGTAGGCCGATCCAATCATGAAGTACTGCCTTGGTCGGATTGGGAGGAGTCGCAGGACGAATGGTACAGAGCAGCCAGCAACAATGTAGATGAGATCGCCCTCTTGGGCAGTTGGAGGAAGGAGACAGATCTCGCCGCCCGGACCGACCGAGAGCTTCGTGTCTGGAAGATGGGACGCCATTCGCATGACCCCGCTCGCGCACTCGTCCCTATCTTCCTCAGTGGGTTCGTGTCCAGCAGCGGCCTGGTCAATGAGGTCCCAGAAGGCTTCGTAGTTCTCTGCTGGAGCTTGCAATTTGACGCTCGCAAGGTTGGCTAACGGACCGATGCGGACTCGACGATTCCCTTCTGAGCCGAATGCAATGTCGAGAAGTAGAGCTCGCCGAAAAGAATCGTTGAATTCCTCTTCGGGCCTCGTAGAGCGGCATCGGAGCTGCTCCAGCATCCACTTCTGGACCTCAGCTAGATTGCATAATGCATCGCCTCTCCCCCGAGCGCAGGTGAACTGCTTCAGTGGACCAATTGTGAAGAGCCTAAGGCCACGAACAGTCAGATATCGTCCGTCCCTTCTAATGAGGGGTTGAGCATCGCCGCACGCATCGTAGAAGCCATCCAAATGAACGAGTGACAATACATCGTCATACAGATTCTTGACCTGTCCGATGCTGCTCCAGTCGATCGCCCAGGACGACATGTTGGCGTTCGAGATAGCAGTACCGCTTCCTCGTCCTATGTGATCCATTGATACATCGTGCTTGATCAAGCGGATTGTGATGTCTCGATATATGTCTTCAAGAGGTCTTTCGTAATCGGGGACGATGTCGGGTATACGCATCAGTGCCAGGAGACCATAAACCCGATCCTTCGGATTTGTTGCGTGCATGTACCTGTTGGCACCCAAAATATCGAGGCTACAACTCTTGCCTTCTTTGTACTCACGCAGTGCTATCACATGCTGCCGGAAGATCGCTCCATCTTCTAGGGCTTGCACCGCTCCAGGTGTCTGATCGGAAGGATAGAGCATCGAGATGAATGAGCCGACCTGGCGCAGCATCCGGACAGCTTTCAGGAAAACGGCATAAGGCATATGGTACTGTCCGAACAGGACGACTCCCTGCTCGCGAGCCGCCGCCAGTACAATTTCCTGCAAAATCCAGATCCTTCGCCAGAAGCTCCGGCGGAGGACTCTGGCAATTGACTTCCACCGTTCGTCGTCGAGATTTCTAAGGAACATACCGTCCTCTGAATCCAGATCCGCTAAGTTTACATTGGGGTCTTTCAGGAATCTCAGCTTCTTTGCAACTCTCCAGAATGTCGTCGTATGCTCGTCCTGTCCACCCGTCCAAAGATACACCGGCTGAGCCTTCGAGTAGATGTTGCCCATGAGTCGTACCTGCTGGCTTCGTTCGGAGGTATCAGTTTGGTTAATGCAGAGAGCGTCGAGCCAAACGAGTTGACTGGTGTTGGCTTGTCTGATGTGGCGGAGAGCAGCGTGTGCATTTTGGCCAACCCAGACAAGGTGGCCATTGAGGGCAATTGGTTCAGTCTTGCGAGTGTCCCCCCATTCGTACGAGACTGCAGCAAGCTGTACGTCTTCCAGAGACACTGTGCGAAGGGTACATTCCAAGAAGGCGTCCAAGGCCTGGGCTCGTCCCATTTCCAGAACACGTATCTCCTGCCTTCGAGCGTCTAATGGCTGATATACGGTCTGGCGCCAGCTGCTTTCAATGCAAAGACTTTCAATGCAAAGATCATCGTCGGATGCTTCGTGAAATACACGATGTCGTTTGTTGGAGTGTGCTTCCTGGTCGCTCGGTGCACGGCGACGTTTGATGGATGCTGTCTTTCTGCTTAGGAGTACCTGAGATGGCGTCTCTGAGTCCCCAGGTCCAGAAGTTACATGAAGGCTTGCCATTCAAGACAATCAGCGGTGCACGCATCTGTGAGTAGGAGAAGCAGCCATGTCACTTCGTGGTCGGATCTATGATATTTAAGGAAGCTGTGCTACGGTGCCACAGACCTGCCCTTCCAGACAAGGGCATGGCGCGTGTGCAGCGTTTCGGATTGGATTATTCGTTCGTTGGCCCTAGAGGTATGTTGTCCCACTAGCCAACGGCCTCGCATGCCTAAGCATAACGGGATGAGAAAGGAGATGGCAATTGAGAGTTACCTTCAGTTGTTTAGAACAGCATCCGACCAGTGTGTCCTTGCTCCGCGAACTACACGGTCCCTCACCGAGCTCATACCAAAGCCACCATATCATTGTGCCTCTGTACCTCTCACTCATGGCGGGGCGTCTATGGGCATACTATGTTGGCATTTATGGGCCCTAAGCGCTGCGCCCATAGCCGCCGGGGTGCCATCGGGTCGTGCGGCGCATGCTGTCAGAGCACCCGAAAGGCGACAGGGTACGACCGCGGTCATGCAACATGTTTCAGGTGAAGAGTTATTGATGTAGGTGCGCTTCCGTGAGCAAAGCGAGGTCGGAAAGGGAGCGGAGGGGTGTGAGCGTGCCACGACTTCTGCCGCAGGGCGAGACCTCACGTGATCTTCAGATCCCATCTCACCCACTCCAGACTTCACCTTCGATATCCGCCTCCCATATCGACGCCGTCCTTCACACCGCCAACATGGCTACGACGCTGATATCACAGTCGCTACCAGCGATGCGTCACGCTCACGAGAGTGCCAGCTCGGACCGCACCGTCACAATCCTCCTGACGACCTTCGCTGGCCTGGGACTTCCTCGCACCCTTTCACTTCCGGTCAGCGCATCAACAAGCGTTCAAGATGTCCTGCAGAGCATTCACAACCGGCTACCAAACGTCAACCACACGCTTATCATCACAACCACCGACAACAAACAGCTGCTCTCTTCGAGCACTGAGCCCGTCTCTACGCTGCTCTCGTCCCGAAGCGATGCGTTTCTTCCGCTCCGCCTCAGCGCGCGACTATGCGGTGGCAAAGGCGGTTTCGGCTCCCAGCTGCGCGCTGCAGGTGGCCGCATGAGCAGCCGCAAGAAGCGCGACCAGAATCAAAATACCAACGGCTCGAACCGCAATTTGGATGGCCGGCGATTGCGTGTCGTTGACGAAGTCAGGAACGTCAGCAAGTTTATGGCGGGACAGAAGGGAGAGGCCGAAAGGGCGGAGGCTGAGAAGAAAAGTGCACGCGAGGCGTACTACGACAAGATGACCAAGCAGCTCGAGTTGGTGGGAAGTGGGAAATTTGGTGGCGATAAGGGAAAACTCGATGAGGAGTATGTTGAGAGCAAGAAGCAAGCGGAGGAACAGACGCAGTTGGCGGTAAGAAATTATTACGCAAAGCAGAATAATGAGGAGGCAGAGAGGAAGGAGAAGTCGGCAAGTAAGACCTCTAAGGAAGACAATGCCTCCGACAGTGGCGTGGAGGTCGAAAGTGCCAGTGCTGGACCTAGCGAGAAAGCTGTCGCTCAGCGGGTGGAGGCAGCAGCCGCTGTCTCGCTTTGGGGATGGGATGAGGATGAAGACGACTCTGAAGACGAGGCGGAGGCGTATACTGCACCTATGCCGGAGACTGCTTTCATCGGCAAAGGAAAGGCTCCCGTGATGGTTTGAATGACTGTATGCATTTTCGAGCGGGGCGTTCATCGTAGCTTGCATCAAAGTTCTATAGCGAGAAAGTTTCCATCAAGACACCGAACTTGATCCACTGCTCACCGAAATTGTATGCTTCGTGTGCGGCACTGGCTTCAGCGTCGACGTCGGCGGAGCGCTCGAGCTACTCATCATACTGCTCGTCGTCGGACACGCTGTCCCTCCACCCGTCCCAGTCCCAACAACCGCCGTCCCACTCGCCAAAGGCAGAACACCAGACTGTCCCACAATCTGATCACTCGGCAACAACCACGTCACCACAGTGGCATTTGGAATTGTACCTTCCCACTCAAAATCACCTTCCGTAAACGACAGCACCACGTCTTGATCACTGCCAAGGTTGTTCATGAACACCACCGCCCAGCCCATGTCCGGGTTCTTCACAGCGATGAGATCGAACCAGTTCGGATCGTACGTCGTTCCTTCCATGCCTTCTAGGACTTTGTAGTTCACGGCTCCTCGTCGAATGAAGCGGGAGAATTGGCCAATCATGTAGTAGTCATTCGTCTTTGTGTACGTCGTTGAAGAATTGACAACAATCGAGCCTAAGCAGCCAGCGCAACCACCGTAAGGCGAATGCGGCCCGAAGTCTGGGTTCGTCGCCATCACCCACATCGTTCCTCCGCTGGCTCCATACCGGACGGGTGGGATGAAGTTCTGCGCAACAGCCCAGTTGACACTCCCGGCTTCAGGCAGGTAGTTGGAGCACTCTGTCATGAACTGCAGCTTATCCGGGTAAGCGTAGTGAAAGTCCCGCATCACAGAGTAATTCGCCACTGGGCCCTGGTAGCAATGCCACGCCGCCATGTCAGTATACTCCGGCGCTCCTTGTACGACTCGCATAGGATACATTGGCTGGTCGGTATTGTGGTCGTAGGCCATGACTTTGACGCCGCGGTTGTGCATTTCCTCTCCCAGCCCTTGGGCAAGGATAGCAGCTTCGTCTGCAGCGTCGAGGAACATGCACGGGTAGCCACCCTGGGAATTTAGCGGCTCGTTCATGAGTGTAAGGCCGTTGACGCTGACACCGTGGTCGAGAAAAGCGTCGACGTATTTGGAGAAATACTGGATGATCTGCGGGATGTACTGCATGTTGAAGGAGTTGTTCATGAGGTTGCTGTAGCTGCCTTCGTTCAGATTTGGAGCGATGAAGAGGCCATTGTGTTTCATCCAACCAGGGTATGACCACGGAGAGCCGAAGAGGAAGACGTCTCCTTTGTAACTGCCCATGCGGGCGATCATCTCAGCCATCGCAGAGCCATGAGGACCGATGTCGAAGTTGGAGAGGTCGAGGTCAGGTTGGCCTTGGTTGAAGGACGGGCCGTTGTCGTCGTAGGTGTATTGGTTCCCGTCCAGGTCGCTGGAGCCGATGGTATGTCGCATGAAGCCCATATTGTTGCCACCCTGGCCGTAAAGGTCTTGCATGACTCGGTCTAGCACATCGTCTTCGAGCGTTTGGAACACAGACACAGTGGACCCAGTCCAAGCATGTCCGAAGCCCAGCATCTCCTGCTGTGCGCCTCCGGTCGATGAGTCGATGACTACTCTCCTACGAGTGTCGCAAGTCGGAGAAGTCTGGTTGTGCAAGACGAGCCTTGGTGGTCGTCCTGGTGCTAGCTGCCGTGTTGTATTCGGTGCTGTTGGAATCTTCGCATCTGTGATGAAGGCCTGAGGTCGCATGACAGGATGAGCACCATCACCAATGCCGCCTCGTGGTCCATTCCCGCCTGAAACTCCGAGACCTTCGATAGACTGTGCAGCAGACGAAGCAGCCAGGAGCAAGGTGATAAGTGTAGTGGCTACAGCCATATTGCTTGCGCTATTCTTTCTGCAATGAAAAGGCCAAGGCTGGGTAGGAAATGCTTGGGGATGAGAAGCTTAGAGTGAAAGACAGCATGTACCTATTCTCGAAGCAGCCCTTCCGGAGAACCAGAGCGCGGCAATACTCATACCATCCGAGAGAGCCTCCCCGCCTCCAACGTCGCACCGACTGATGAGGTATCATTGAGATGCGGAGATACTCCAAAGTCATGTCGACGGAAGGCAGCTTACGCTCGTCATCGTGCAGAAGTCAGCAGTGCCGACAGCCGTGTGAGACGTCCAAGGTCTGGACGAAGCGCATAGCATCTTGGACCGCGCGCTTTCCGAACAAACTGCGTCTTTCAGTCTGGCCATCTCTCACGATGCGATTCAGGACGTAGTGCAGCCAGTGTGAGTAAGATCTATGTGGTACGGCAGGCGCCGTAGGATTTTAGCGGCAGCCAACGATGTCATCACCGGGTTTTCGCCGCCAACGCCGAGAGGACGACGAGTGTAGTCCGTAGTGAGTCTGTTCGATACAGCGCGACGACGTTGATATAAAGAGATAGAACGTGTCTGTAAGATTTGGACTGGATCAAAACAGATCAGACATTCAGATCACCCTGCGGACTTTCAATAGCTGCTGCTACCGTCTTCAACATATTCGAATTCAGAACAGTCCTCCCGAACACAACAATCACAATGGAGCTCTCATCAACTTTCCAAAGCCATGAGTGGACCATCAAGTACGCTCTCCAAGGAACACCAAGGGCAGGCACAGTCGTCTTCGTCCACGGCACACCATGGTCTTCGGACGTCTTCATACCAATAGCCAAAGCTCTGCTAGCCAAAGGTCAGTATCAAGTCCTGCTGTACGATCTCGCAGGCTATGGCCATTCTCAGACACTCTCTGAAGAGTCTCAACAAAGCGGCCTCTTCGCCGGAGACACATCAGTCAAGGCTCAGGGCGCTGTGCTAGCCCACCTGCTGCAGCATTTGAAGTTAGACGGCCAAGACGGAAGGCCAGCACCTGCTGTGATAGCACACGACATCGCCGGAACCATTGCGTTACGGACACATCTGATTCATAATTGCGAGTTCAGCAGCCTGCTGATGATGGACACAAACACAGTCCTGCCATGGGGCGACGGATTCTACAAGCTGGTTCGGTCGAAGCCAGATACATTTCTGGAGCTGCCGCAGGGCATATTCGGTGCTATGGTGAGGGCTGCCATTCAAAGCGCTTGCCACAACCCCAAAGTTTTGTCATCAGGATGGGAGGACGCACTTGCCCGCTCATGGGTTGCGGACGCTGGCGAGGCATCTTCCAAGGGGCAGAACATGCAGCGAAGCTTTGTGCGGCAAATAGCGCAGGCGAACGACGCTGATGTTGCGGAGATGCTGGACGCCGACATGTACTCGCAGGTGCGGTGTGATGTGAAGATTGTCTGGGGGGAGGAGGACAAGTGGATTCCACGAGAGAAGATGGACAGTTTGGCGAAGATGCTTGGTGACCGTTTGAAGGATTTTGTTGTAGTTCCTGAAGCTGGGCATTTGGTGATGTTGGATCAGCCTGAGAGAGTAGCAGTAGAGATCTTCGATTGGCTTAGATCGGAAGTATGAAAATGCAGAAATACTGAAGAATTTGATGATCTGGTGCGGTGAAACCAATGAGTCTCAAATTCTCACCGTACTTGCTGTGACAGCCAACATTCATTCTTAGAGAGCTGCCACACTTCTGTGAAATGGGAAGGCTTGAATGGTAGTCGTTGACATGGCGAACTGAAGGTGGTCGTGATACTCATTCACTCTCTCTTTGAGTCGGCCTTCCAAGCCGCCTTTGGTGTAACAAACTGCCAGACACTTCAAATCCGAAGGACTGCCTGAGTTTGATGGAACGTCTGCGAGACTCACATGCTCTTCGGGTGGCTTTTTGGAAGCATCCAGAGCGCCCGTTCTCAACTCCACCGTAGGACGAGACTGTTCCCACGTGACAACATCTGGCGTATCCTCGACACCAGACGCCTTCTCGAAGTTGAGCGGCCAACGTTCCTTGTCCAAGACGTTGGGCTCTCGAAGATCGTCAGCGTATTTCGTCGGAGCCAGGCAGGCCCAGCCATGGACCAACGGGATGCCTTGAGTGTGATTCCCATGGTCGCCTCTACTGCGCGAATCAAATGAAAGGTGTTCACATTCAAGCTCGACGTAGACAAAGTAACGATGATTTCAAAAGGGCTGACAGATGGCACACAGCGACATGTTCGTCTGGTCAAAACTGACCGCTTCTCCGCTAGGCTCATACAGACAAGATAGCCTGGCCGCCAGAAACGCGGAAGCGTGCTGATTGATGGAGTCTAAGATGTCGTTCCATGAGCGGTCGGATAGCTCGTTCCTCAGAGACACACGACGTAATGATAAATACGTCAACCCTGCGACGTGGTTTCGCAACCATTGCATGAGATCAGTCGCAGGCACAACTGCGTTCGAAAGCTCGAATCGCCTCAAGGTCGGCAAGGTGGCAGCACAGAAGCTTCGAAGCACTCGCCACGTCCAGCTTCGCGGTCTTTCTAGGAGATGATGCAGTGTGCCATCTGAAGCGGCGAGAGGTGCGGTCTCGTAGCACCAAATGTAGCGCTCCTGCAATGCCGGCATCAATGTGAGGAACCTGCTGAGCCATTGTTCTGGTACAGTCTGTCCGCGTCGGCAAAATGAGTCCAGCCCGAGCCTCAGTACTTTTAAAGTGGCGAAAGCCCTTCTCAGCGCGTTGCCTAAAGGCATCTCCTCATGTATTTCGGGCAACAGTGGAAGATTAACGCACATCAACAGAGGGTTGCCGTAATTCGTGCAGTAGTGGACAGCCGAGAGACTCTCCAATCTCAGTGAAGCCGAGGCTATGGAGTAGAGCATGTCTATGAAGAGTCTCGTGAGCATGACCGCGCCGGAAGGAGAGGCTGCAGGCTGTAGTCCAGGTAGATTCCCGATCTCGATGTGACGCAGCCTTGTCAGCGCGACCATAGCATTGGCCATGTGCGTGGCATTTGCGTTCTCTGGCCAGTCGATAGATGTTCCGGAGCCAGGCGGGAACGGGTTCAGTGCCCTGGACTTCAGGTACTTTAAGCCAGTCTTGCCAACGAACTTTGGATCGATGCATATCGTTTTGACGCGGTGCCCGAGCTGAGGATGCCTGGCGAGTTGTTCGAGTGCCCGAATTTTACTCACGTCGGTGATGTCCCATTGGCGAGCATTGAGGCTTCTTGTGAAGGCATCAGATGTGTGGTCATAGAGGTCTCGACATGTCAAGCGGAAGGGTCCCAGGTCTTTGGGACAGCGTACTCCGCAAAGAGATTTGGGAATTCCGGAGGCAGGTCTAGAAGGCCTATGATGGTTACACGTCGTCGTGTCGGTAGTCATGTAGGAGAGTAAGATGGTCAAGGAGGTGAGGTCGAAGCGATGCTCGTAAATTCGCACGGACCATGTCAACACACCCAAGCCGCTTCCAACAGTTTCTGCCCTGGAAGGATTCGCGTCGCATCCTCCGTAAGACCTCCAATATCCCCCCCCAAGCTCACCTTGCATACTGTGTTCTCTTGTCATTACCCTATCCGTACTTGCGCCCCAGAACCATCGTAATTAATCATCGGACAAACTCATGTCGTGCTGCCATTGGTTATCCCCGCTAACAGCGGCGCCGGCATCACGTTGAGACTCCGTCTCGCGGGCTGATTCAGGGACCGTCTTGGCCCTTACTAACAGGCAGAGGATACAGCACGTAGCGAGGTAGGCTTCGTACGCCTCGTACGCCTACAAGTGCATCGCACCCAGAATGCTGATGAATGGTTCTCCGATGGCTTCCCAGGCATGGGTCCGTACGCATGTCCAGGGCTGGTGTGAGAGGCTATATAAGGTAAGGAAGGCAGGACTGATCTCATCTTAAACAACAACATCCTCGAGCACCTTCTCGTTATTAAAAAGCCTATTAGCACTCTAGACTTCTCATATCCTTGACTCTTGAGAGACACCGCTACACCTCCCGTACCCACGCTCGACATCAGCTGGCATCATGAGTTTACAATACATGCGTGATGTTTTCACGAACAAAGTGTCACCCCCGAAAGACACTCGACCGTCGTTCAAGGGCCGCAATGTCATAGTTACTGGTGCTAACGTTGGGCTCGGGTACGAGACGGCCCTCAAGTTTGTCCAGCTAGGGGCGGACAAAGTCGTCCTGGCGTGCCGCTCCCTGTCCAAAGGCGAGGAGGCCAAACGCCGCATCGACGCCCAGACGAAGAAGCCACAGTCGACTGTCGTCTGGCAGCTCGACATGGGCAACTACGACTCCATCAAAGATTTCGCAGCTCGAGCGAACAGCGAGCTTGATCACCTGGACATTGCCTGCCTCAATGCCGGGGTCATGAGCATTCCGTTCAAGCAGTCGGACTACGGATATGAGCAGACCTTGCAGGTCAACGTCCTGTCGACAACATACCTGGCGTTGCTGCTCATCCCACAACTCCGAGCCAGCAAGACCGAGAAGTACAACCCCGTCCTCGAGATCGTCGGCTCGTCCAACGCCTACATCGTCAGCAAGCTAGTTTCCGAGACCGCGCCATTCGCGGCGTACAACAAGCCCGAGAACTACAGCCCCGCTCCCATGTACAACACCAGCAAACTCTTCGTCGGCTACGTTGAGCAAGAATTGACAGCGCTGGTGGCCAACAAAGAGACTGGAAGACCTGACGTGTTCCTCTCGGTCGTGTGTCCGGGAGCATGCAAGTCCGAACTAGGTCGCAATGCCGATGCATGGTACTTCAAGGCTATGCTATATGTCCTCGAAAAATTGGTGCAGCGCACCGCGGAGGAGGGAGCGAGGACGTATATCAGTGGTACTAAACCCATGGGCAAATCCCTACCATGTCTGAGACACTCACTAACCCTTTTGCTCTTCTGTTTGTAGGTGTTGATCAGGCCGAGAAGATCCATGGAGGGTTTTGGAAGAACGATGAAATCAGGCCGTAAGTACCCGTCCGTCTAGACGACTGTCTGCAGGTACTAACCCGGGGATCAGACCAGCGCCTCTCATGCAAGGTGAGAAGGGCAAGAAGCTGCAGCAAATTGTATGGAAGGAGGTGACAGATGCTCTGGCGAGAGACGTGCCGGAGGTGAGGCAATTGGCTGCATTGTGATTAAAAGTTGAGTCGAGTGACTGCGCTTCCGTGCTCAAAGTCTGGTCCGAAAGCTCTCCTCGGGTGTTGTGCAGCGTACAGCGATGTTCCTTTGTGGTCCATAGTCTAATGCATCAACTCGTTCGATCATCATCAACACAGCTACACGTGCAGTTGTTGCTGTCACGTGCAAAATGGACCAGCTTTTAGCCGGCGATCGAAAGTGGGCTGAGTCCAAGCAACGCCATGTCAACCCAAAATCGACGACCGCTTCCTTCGTCCATCACCAAGCCACACGGATGCTAAGACACCGTGAAAGCCGAGCAAGCTGAAGTCGACTCTCAGTCACAAGGATGTAGCGGAACGACAGCTCGCAGTGACTCCCCCGATCGCTGCGCGTCCAGAGAAAGGCTTGTTGTATGCCACAGATGCCAATGTCAGGTCCACTGTCCACGTGTCGTGCGGTCCTACCATTCCCCAGCGGAACAAGGGCGATACTATTGTCAGGCGGTGCATCGCCTCCAACGAGATACCGAAGACCGCCGACTCATGTGCACTGAACCCATAAAAATGCTGTCCATCGCCCTACCAGTTACTCACATAGTGCAGCCTACCTTGTGTTCCACATGGCGTTCTGTAAGCACATTTTAACATTAGAGGTCTTATTCTCGGCCGCCGTCTGTGGAGTACCAGCTTCGCGATACTGCAAACCGCAGCCTGGTGACCCCCACTGGCCTTCGAACTCAGACTGGCAGGCACTCAATGCTTCAGTGTCCGGCCGACTCTTTGCTCCTACTCCATCCGGGTCCGTGTGCCATCCAGAATGGCCAGAATATGATAACACTACTTGCACAGCTCTTGGGTCGACCTGGTCCAGCACGAACCTTCATGCTCTGGACCCAGTGTCAATTGACTACAATGACGAGACCTGCTTGCCGGCAACGGACGCACCCTGCACGGCTTCTGGATACCCAAGCTATGTTATCGATGCAGGAAGCGTCGAAGATGTTCAGCTAGGCGTATCTTTCGCGGAGAAGAGTGGAGTGCGTCTGGTGGTGAAAGCAACTGGCCATGACTTTGTCGGTCGCTCTTCTGGTCCAGCGTCGCTCTCAATCTCTACGCACAACATGCGCGGTATTGACCTGGTCAAGACGCTGAACAGCACGTCGCCTACAGAGCCTTCCGCCCTCGTCAACATCCATGCAGGAGAGCGCTTCATGGACATTCACAATTTTGCCGTCAAGAACAAGCTCACCATCCTGGGTGGAGCCGACCCTCATGTTGGCATCGGTGGCTGGACGTTGGGCGGCGGTCATGATCCGCTGACGGCGAAATATGGCATGGGAGCCGACCAAGTCGTCGAGATGGATGTCGTTACCGCAGATGGAGCTCTTCGAACAATCAATGAACATTGCGAGCCGGAGCTGTTCTGGGTGATGCGAGGTGTAAGTCCATCACAGAGAAGTGTGTAGCTCCAGACTGACAATATCGTAGTCGGGAGGTAGCACGTTTGCCGTCCTGATCTCTGTGACGGTCAAAGCGTATCCCTCCATCTCGACCGGCCTGTACACGTTTTCATACAACACTACATCTGACTCTGATACCTTCTGGGCAATGACAGCGTACTTCCACTCTCAATTGCCGAGACTGTCGAAGGCTGGCTTGTTTTCATATTACTTCGTCTACCCGCTCATGCCAGGGGTCAAGAATGAGTCCACACAAGGGATGGTTGCAGGAGAGTTCCTGGATCCAGGTCTCACAGCAACAGAGATGCAGAAGATTGTTGCTCCAATGGAAGCAGAGCTGAACGCCGCTGACTGGGGCGACCCGGTGTACAAGGGTGGCCTTGCGGACGAACACCCCGACTTCTCTGCATTCTGGGCGAAAAACAACGCCCCTCAAGACGCCGGTATCAGTGGGAAGCTGGGAAGTCGTCTCCTTGACAAGAAGGCGCTCACTTCTGACATGGCGAAGCTGAAGGCCTCATTGCGCACGTCTACGCCTGTACCTTGGAGCATTCTCGGTCATCTCGTCGCTGGTGCCGGTACGCATAGTCCGCCGGATGGCATACCGGGTAGCAGCAATGCTGTCGGTCCCGGCTGGCGCAAGGCGTACGCTCATGTTGGTAAGTGATCCACCATCCCGACTCGTGCTTTGGCGCTTACAAAACTCTGCAGTGCTGCCCAGGACATGGACACCGTTGAACGACACGCAGAAGATAACAGCATCAGATGACCTTCGTAATGCTCGAGTGGAAGCCCTTCGCCAGCTTGCTCCCGACACTGGCGCATATGTCAACGAAGTCGACCCGACTGAACCCGAGTGGCAAGACACGCTGTACGGCGACCAATACTCCCGGCTGCTCGAGGCGAAGTCGAAGTGGGATCCGACGGGTGTGTTCTGGTGCCAGCACTGTGTAAGTAGTGAGCTGTGGGATGCTGATGATCCATATGGGCTCGAAAACAGGGTCTGACGGAGTTTGGCCAGGTTGTGTCGGGTAATAGCTACGTAGTCACCAACACAATCATGTTTCTATGATTGACGAGCAAAGATGGCAAGATAAGTAGACATTAAAATGTGTTGTTAGTCGACATGTCTTGGCGTCGTTAGAGCGGCCTCCGCGTTCACGCGTTCTACATCCTTGAATTTGGAAAGGTCCAAACACTGAGGTGCTACACCACGCCGCCTGCGCTGTAGTCTCACCAATCCAATGATGAAGATTCCGAAGAGACACCTGGCTCTTCCTGTTACCGAACCATGAGCGCCCCGTCTCTCAAACCCGGACAGCAGATCGAACTTAACGACGGGCGGATCGCAACTGTACGCTTTGTGGGAAACACTTCCTTCCAGACTGGCGAGTGGGTTGGCGTAGAGCTTGGAGAGGCGACCGGGAAGAACGATGGCTCCGTCAAGGGGGAGCGGTACTTTCAGTGCCAGCAGGGTTATGGCATGTTCTTGAGACCTGCGGGGGTGAGGAGGGTTGTTGAGGATGTGAAGCCCAAGACTGCTGCGAGAGGTACAGCAACGGCGGGGAGGGGAAGGCCGAGCGGTGTGCAGCCAGGGTCCGGTGTGAATGGCACGAAAAGGCAGAGCATGATCGGTGGAGGGGGCAGTCCTACGCCTGGCGCGAGGGGTGGGATGAGTGGGATACGGAGTCCGGTCAAGAGCCCAACAAAGCAGCTGGGGAGCAACGGGGTGTCTAGCACTTCCACGTCAAGGACTAGCACACCGCCTGTGGGCAGAGGAGCGGCTGCTACAGGGGCAGCGAAGCCACGACCAAGTCTAGGACCTTCGAGTACCACAGCAGGACGGCGGACGTCTACCGTGCCTTCTGCACCCGCGAGCTCAGCACCACGATCTAGACAGTCTCTTGCTGCTCCCGCTGCGGGTGCAAGAGGACCTAGCTCTCGGCCAGCAGCAGCAGGAAAGGCACCCGCCAGTCGGGCCCCAGCTCCACCAGCAGACAGTCAAGGACGGCTCAGCTCTACGACTGAGGAGGAGACGAACGACGATGAGAGCGAGAGGCCGGAGCTACTGTCGCCAAAAGAAAGTGAAACCTCTTCACAAGCGAGTCTACCTGGCAGGAATGGAGTGCACGACGACGCAGACGATACGATAACGCAAAACTTTGCTCCACCGCCCATACCTCCTGATCCCGAGCCTTCACCCACCAGCACACGTCCCAGGCGGCCCTCATCTCCCACTGGGGCTTCGATTCATTCGCAGAAAACGATTCGGAGCACCGCCGCCTCGAAGCGTGAGATTGAGGAGCTGGAAGCGAAAGTCAGACTACTCGAACGAAAGCGACTGGAGGATCGAGACGTAAAGAAGAATCTCGAGAAGGCACAGCAAGAGCGGGATCAGTACAAGGGTATCATTGAGAAGTTACAAACGAAGTACAAGCCTCAACAGCAGGAGATCGCGGACCTCAAGCAAGCTCTGAGTGAGTTGGAGAAGAAGGGCAGCGATGTTGACGCAATTCGAGAAGAGTACGACACGGCTCTTGATATGGCGGCGGTCGATCGTGAGATGGCGGAAGAGGCCGCCGAGAATCTGAAGGCTGATGTCGATGCCCTTCGTGCTCAGAACGAGGAGATGCAACTTGAGCTGGAGATTCTGCGGGAAGAGAATGGCGAGCTCACCAAGGAGATGGGTCCCGAGGAACGGGAGAGCGCTGGTGTTGTGCAGCTACAGGCGAGCAATGATCGGTTACGGAATGCGCTTTTGGCGTTGAGAGACAGGTCGCTGGATGAGAAAGAAGAGTTGCAAGAACAGATGAAAAGTCTGGAAGACCAGGTCAAGGATCTCGACAAGATGCGCGAAGATCACGAAGAGGTTCGGGAAAAGCTGTTGCGGAGCGAGGCCAACACGGACGATCTTCGCCAGCAGCTTGAGGCTGCTTTGGAGGCCGAGGAGATGATCGAACAGTTGACCGAACGCAACAACCGGCTTGACACGGTCAACGCTGAATTGCGAGATGCTATCGAGGACCTGGAAGATCTCAAAGAGGTCAATGACGAGCTTGAGACAAACCATGTGGAGACCGAGAAGCAAATGCAGGATGAGATCGAGTTCAAAGACTCACTCCTCCAAGACCGTGAGCGCATGGCGCAGACGCTGCAGGATGCTCTGGACGACCGCAATCAAATCATTAACCAATTCCGCTCGTTTGTCAGCGGCCTGCAGACCGAGATGGCGGACATGAAGGCCAGCAAGGAAATATCGGAGACCGAAGCCAAGCAGCTTGAAGGAAAGAGCAGGGCCATGCTGGACTTGAACTTGAAGCTGCAGAACAGTGCTGCGAAGACGCAAGTGAAGACCATCGATCTAGAACTTCGGAAGCTGGACGCACAAGAAGCGAGCGAGCATTTGGCCATTGTGCAACTGTTCTTGCCCGAAGCTTTCCATACGGAGCGCGACAGTGTGCTGGCTTTGTTGAGATTCAAGCGTATTGGCTTCAAGGCCAATCTCGTGCACGGCTTTGTCAAAGAACGTATCGCATCGTTCGGATCTCGAGGGAGTGACGAAGACGTTTTCCCGGCGTGCGACGTTCTCGATAAGCTGACCTGGATCGCGGCAATGGCTGGTCGCTTCGTCAACTCCATCTGCAGCTGCTCGGTGGAGGAATTCACAAGGTATGACTCCGCGCTTTACGAGCTGGAGCCGGTCGAACGGGCTTTGAATAGCTACATTGACGGTCTGCGGAGAGAAGACCTGCGAGAACGGGATATGGCACAGGAGCTTCAGCGAAGCATCGCTGTCATGTCTCACTTGGCTAGCCTGCACGTCAAGGACGACCTTGCAAGCCATGCGGACCATCTGCTCATGCGGACGCAATGCTTGCAAAGTCAGCTCGAAAGTGCAGCGACGGCTCTGCAGCTGAGTAGAGGCATGATCGAGACATACATACCGAAGGTCTCCGAAGAAGATGATGAGGATGATGAAGGCAGTGCATCTGACTTGGCTATCATTCTGACTCGTGCCGACTCACTCGTCAACCACGTGCGAAGCGCGAAGGTCATGGCCGGGAAGGCTTATCGTGCGTTGGAAGATTTGCAAGAGAGATCCCTCACGCTGGAAGTCAGCCACTCCAACGCGTTTGAGAACACGGAGAGCGTCACGACGGAAGTGACTTCTTACACCCGCCAGGCTGGAGACGCGCTACAATCACTCTTCGGTGAGGAAGGCCGCAACGAGCTGTTCACTCCAACAGAGGTTGCCAGTGCGCTCTCCCGAGCAGCTACTTCAACTTTCGCACTTCAAGCACCTGAAGCTGGGCCTTTCTCATCCCTCGCCAATCGACTCCGAGATCTCACTAATGTCGTAACGGAGCTCGTCTCGCTGCCAACTGACCTTGACAACACTGTTGAGTTCGAGCGCGCACCTGCACCATGGGTTGCTCGAGCCAACGAACTGAAGCAGACGAAGATCACATCCATCGACACCGAAGCAGAACTCGCTCGCACAGTGGAGACACTTCACGGGAAGGAGGTGGTGATTCGGGAGAAGGAGACCGAGCTTGAAGAGCAAAGCGTGCGGATTGAGATGCTTGAGGCGAGGATGAAGGATGCTTCCAAGCGGTCGGCGAAGATTGCTGAGCTAGAGCGGAATCTGCGTGATGCTAAAGATGCGGAGCGCAGAGCCAAGCAAGATCTTGACAAGACGAAGGAAGAGAAGGATAAGGAGATCGAGAGGATCAGAGAAGAAACCGTCCGAACCACAGACGATCGCCGGAAACGAGGCTCTGCGCAAGACCTGGACTCAGATGCAATGGGCACGACAGCACGTCTGACGATGAGGCGGCAAGAGCACAAGATCGTCAGCCTCGAAGGCGCCGTCCGCTTTCTCAAGTCCGAGAACCACCGCCTCCGCCTTCCGTCGGCCGACTCACCACTCGCCGCCCAAAGCACGCTCGACTGGCTCCACCAGCCCTTCTCACGCCCTAAGACTGAAACTCGCAAGCGGAAAGAAGGGCTGCAGAAGGACAGCAAAGACGTGCTGCAGCAAATGCTCGCACTCGCCGCCCGGCCGCAGGCAGTTGATCTTACGAAGATGCCAGATAACAAACTGGCATGGCGGCCAGCGAAGGAGACCAGTAGATGGAGGGTGGAGAAGCGGAAAGAGGAGTGGGAAGGCTGGAAAGGGTGGCAGAGGGAGGTCGTTGCGGGCGTGGTAGAGAGAGGGCAGGGATGATGTAGAGTTGCGTATGATACCCATAGGTTGCTACAGTACTGCTTCGCGGTCTTTCCTCGAGCTTGCATATGCTGCACTGCTCTCGTTGTTCATTTCTAGCAGGACGTGGTCACTGGCATAGACATTGGGTACACGTACAGCCAAGCCTCTGACTAAGTTCTTGAATTCATGTGAAGAAACGCTTAGACACGGAACCTCAACCTTGTCTGTGTTATTACACTGACACTTTATTCCGCCGTCTCTGCAGACACAATGCCGGCCATACCGATACATCCTCCATCAGGACAGCCCTCAGCTGGCGCCGCTGAATCAGCGCTCCCTCAGCTGCTCCAGACGCCATCAGGCTACGCGGTTGTCGAGATTCAAGGCACGATCAACGCGTCTGGAATCGCGTCCCGGAACGAGAACGACGCAAAAGCGATCGGCAAGATTGTGTTTCCAAACTACCAACCTGGCATGGCAGCCGACGACACATCCTGGCACAAACGCGTCTACCTCTACGTCGGCAAGCATCAGCGTCTGACGGGCGAGGTCAAGAAACTCGCGAAACCGCTTGCATTGCTACGAAAAAGGGCTGAGATCGGAGATTCCGGCGAAGAACTGGTAATCGCCGAAGTGGTTTACTACAAGCTGCTGTTTGCGCACCGACCTGAGCCTGTGGGGAGCGAATAACAAGTAGTGGCTGGGTTGCGCATGAATGACTGCGTCACAGGGCTCGTACGGATTTTGGAAGTACGGCCGCTTTCGCTTGCGACAGCCCTACAGCGAAGCTTGTGCCGCTACAAGACATACAGTATTCTACGCATTCGACTTACTTGAGCTGACGGGGCTGAGGAGAGGTCGAACGTGACGTCGGGGACACCTTCCCGTCCGGCTTTGAACTACGACAAGCTTTACATGCAGATCTTGGCCGGTCTGATTCAAGCCCTCAAGAGGAGACGTTCCTATGGTGGCCCACACAACTCTGGTCTCGCGGCTTGCATGCCGTTCTTAGCCCTATGCGCCGGCGACAGATTCCCGTATGTGGACAGAGTTATCACTTCCTAGGGGCCGAACAATCGAGCTGAGCAAATGCTCTTCGCACGCACTCGTGTCCGGCCCTCGTTCATGGCTTCTGTCCCCAGTCTTCATCAGCGAGACCTTGCTCTAGTCCTACCGCACTATCACAGCTTATGGGGTCTTGAAGGGACAGTCGGAGGTTCGCTTTCGTATTAGAAGCTGCCAAAGGACCACTCTTGCATTCTTCTGCTCCGTTCAGCTTTCTTTTCGACATCGAAGTCTAAGTTCACGTCGATCGAGCAGATGACAAGGACATTGATCATGGGTGTACTGGAACCAGGAGACGTGACCAAACCTTGGACGCTCGTCGCTTCTGTCGTCGCCGTTGTGAGTCTGTCACGGGTATCTCCACCTCTTCACGAGCTAACAACAGACAGTCGGTAGCATACTTTGTGGGTAGCATTGTCTACCGCCTTTACTTCCACCCACTTCATCACATCCCTGGTCCGTGGATCAACGCCGTCTCTCGGGTTCCGTACATACGACATCTGCTTGCCGGCACCACAGTTGTCAACGTAAGCGAATTACATGCCAAATATGGCGAAGTCGTCAGAATCTCGCCGAACGAGATCTCGTTCACCTCCGGTGATACAGCCTGGCAGGACATCTACGGCTTCCGGACAGGGAAGCATAAAGGCCACTTGAGTATGTTGAAGGATCCAGCGTGGTACGCTCAGCCGCCCGGCTCCGCCCACATCATCTGCTCAAGCAATGAGGACCACTCGCGCTTTCGAAAGGTCCTCAGTCATTCGTTCAGCGACAAAGCTTTGGCGAACCAAGAGACCCTGCTTCAAGGTAAGCATGATACATCCTGATCATTCTCGTGCACCGAAAAAGCTTGCTATGACTGTATCTTGCTGGCAGTACCGGCAATTTCGAGCTCACGTCTTGCAGGTTATGTCGATCTTCTGATCAACCAGCTCAAAGACGTAACGTCCAAGGACAAATCGCCACAAGATCTCACTCAATGGTACAATTGGACGACGTTCGACGTCATGGTACCAAACCCATGGGCAAAACCCTACCATGTCTGAGACATTCGCTAATCCTTTTGCCATTCTGTTTGCAGGCCGATCTCCTGTTCGGCGAACCATTCGGGTCTTTGCAGGAGCTCGCGACCTCCAAGTACATCCACATGCTGTTTGATTCCTTCACGGCTTTCAAGTATTGGTACATCATGTACTATTGGCCATGGACGAAACGTCTCCGCAACTGGATTCTTGATCAACGTGTAATCCAGAACCGTTTGACCTACTACAAGTTCGTCGCGAGTCAGACCCAGAAGAGGGCCCAAAGGGAGACTCAGCGGCCTGATTTGATGACCACCATCCTGCAGCATAACGGCGAGAAAGGAGCAGTGATCAGTGCAACCGAGATGAACAACAACAACAGCGTGATGCTGACCGCTGGCTCGGAGACCACAGCGACTCTGCTGAGCGGAGTGACTTACCTTCTCCTGAAGAACCCCGAGGTACTGGCCAAACTGATGAAGGACGTGCGAGGAAGATGGAAAAAATACGACGATATCACACTTGAGAGCGTCAACAACACGCCTTACCTCATTGCAGTTCTCCAAGAAGGACTCCGCTACTTCCCGCCCGTACCTGCTGGATTTGAGCGGCGTGTCGGGAAAGGCGGAGAGGTCGTCAGTGGTTACTTCATTCCTGAGAACACGGCGTTGTCCGTTTCATCGTACCCGACGGGACACTCTGAGCGGAACTTCAAGGTGAGCTCCACGAACAAGAGGTTTCGCCCAGGTTTGAGCCATTGCTGACCATGCTGTCTTTGTAGGACCCTGAAGCTTTTGTGCCAGAGCGATGGATGGGCGACCCACGCTATGCCGATGACAAGAAATCAAGCATCAATCCGTTCTCATTCGGACCAAGAAACTGTCTTGGGAAGGTGAGCTTGCTGAACAAGCCATGGAGACGAATGAATGCTGATCCTCTGCAACAGAACCTCGCCTACGCTGAAATGCGCTTGATTCTGGCCAAGATGATCTGGAGTTTTGATCTCGAACTCGACCCGAAGAGCGATGACTGGATGAAGAGGTGCAAGGTCAACACCTTGTGGGAGAAACCGGAGCTGGCTGTTCGTGTGAAGGAAGTGGTGCGTGAGTGACTATGAGCGATCAATCAGACCATTGGGTGTTTTGAGCAGCGAGTCTCACACTAGTATTAGAAGTCCCGGTACAGGCAATCAGGCATTACCTTCGTTGAGGTGACGTACGGCGTATCAGCTCGTTCTATACATGCGGTGTGCCGACGTTTTGGTCCTCTATTTAAATGACGCCAGTGCATCGAAGGGGTGTAAGCCACAAAATTTCCCTGAGTCGTTCAGGTTGCGGTGAAACCCTTACTTGCTCTCTGGGAGAGGGTTCCATATCGATGCAAACAAATTTCGTGCTTTTGTAATCAAGTCAGATAAGTAACCTGTCCATCACACTCCTGCAAGCACCAGCCTTGTCTCCTTGACCAGCTCTTCGTTACAGTAGTCTTGACCACCTCTACTTCATCACAACAGCGACATGGTCGTCCATGTACGCATTAATATTGCCCAAGAAGCAAGCCGCAATAATACTAACGGTCCCAGCAGCAATGCTTGCAAGGTAGACCCACTGGTATGCGTCGGCATAAGCAAGTTGGCCAGCGAGCACGACCATCTCCCACGCAGTGTCGTTTTTGCCGATACCAGGAATGACCCTCAGCTCATCGATGAGACTGGCGCCGGTCAAAGCGATGGCCTCTCCGATGAGCGCTTCGTCTGTGATGCCAATCTCGTACATCGCTCCGCCCTGTAGAGAGTTCGTTAGCATTCCTCGGACACTCGATACATAGGACGGCCCAATTTGCTAAGCAGACTTACGATGTAGGCGATGGCCTTGGGTACAAACTTCGAAACAAAAACGTTGTAATAAGCGCAGTAGCCAATGGACCCTCCAATGACCCGAATCGCCAGCGTAAGCGCCGATACAGTTGCGATGAGATCGTCCGGACAGATGATTGTTGTAATCACAGAAGCGGGCACAACGATGCCGCCGATTCCGAATCCGCTGAGGACGAGAAGGAACCAAAGAGTGTTCATATTGTATCGTGTAGCGCAGGCCAATGCAGCAGTCCCCGCCGTCATGATCACTGAGGAGAAGATCATGAGTTCCTTGTTTCGTCCTCGGAACACGCTCAGCAGCCAGAGTGTGACGCATGCACCCAGCATGATCGAAATGCCGGGCACGAAAGTTCGGAGGCCAACTTGGACTGGATCATGACCGTAGACGTTAAAGGCTTGTGTTGGCCAGAACATTAGGGCGCTGAAGAAGTTGGCTCCAGAAATGAAGGTGATCAATAGTGTGAGAAGCAAGATCCTTGGATTTTGCTTGATTCGGCCTGGGAACATTGGAGCTATTTGTGCATCAGCAGCTATCTCCTGATTGATGGTAACGATGGACTCACATTTGGCACCGTACATTTCCCAGAAGTAGAAGGCGACCAACAAAATGACACCGATGATCAAAGGCGCAAGGACGTGAGCGGACTTCCATGGGTACTGCGACGATTGTTAGTACTACCGCAGGAGCAAGCGTGGCATTGCATGTCTTTACCTGGTATCCTCCCCACTGCATCCCAGCCATGAAGCACACCATGCCGGATATGCTCAGAAGGCCACCAACATAGTCGATCTCGCGCAGGACCTCTCTCCTCGACTTGCCCATTGAGTTGACCCGGGGAGGTGGGTGGTAGAAGAACAAAGTCAGGAAGAAGCCAATGCCGTTCCAGACGCAGACGATGATGCCGACGTATCGCCAGTTGGAGTGATCTGAACCAAGTTAGCAGTAAGCGTGTTTGGGTAATGGCGAGGTACTCACAGGCAATCAGCTGAGCATAGAAGCTGCTCGGCACGAACGGTACGATCGTGAAGATGAGGACGGCGACGTACTGGCCGCGCTTCCTGGTCGGAGCTAGTTCAGACGTGACCGATAAGGCTGTGAGCTCAGCTACGCCAGCACCAGCTCCAACGATCGTCATGCCAGCTTTTTGCACGTTAGCCTGTTGGCGGAGAGGCAGGAGTGGGATTACGCACCGATGAATTGGCCCATGACTTGAGCCGTCGTGGCTACCACTGTGCCAATGACGAGCAACGAAGCTCCCATCATTGCAACCCATCTCCTTCCGAGCAGGTCGGCAAGTGAGCCGACGAATGGACAGACACCTGCTAGAGCGAGCAGGCCTCCAAGGACCTTTCCAGCGTCAGATCGTGTCTCCAAAAAGCAAACCCTGTGGATCACTTACAAACCACACCCATCGATCAGTACCGCCAATATCGCCGTAGATGTATGGAGGTATAGCACCTATCAGAGGTGAGTAAGACCTGACCCGACGGCATCAAAGAAGCCTCACCGAACAGGTACAACGGGATCTGAGACCCAACCCACATGAAGCCCATCGCCAGAAGAGACATCGCACGCGAGAAGGTCATCTAACGAGCACGACGTCAGAGCCATGGCCTGGTTGACCGTTCGATCAGACCTTCATACCGGCGGCTCATGCATGTGGTCCTCTCCATCTTCCCCGTCAATCCGCATGCCATTGAAGTAATCCGGGTGCTTCTCATCGCTGTGGTTGGAGTACTGCTCGACATGCTCTACTCCAGACTTCTCGTCGACTGCTGACTTCTCGTTGGTAGGGGCCGCAGCCATATCGTTGTTCGCCATGATCGCGAAATGGAGATACAAGTGGAGACGAAACTCCACGCCATGAGAGCTTCGTGCTCTTCATATCAATGCTTCGAGCAGCTCTCAGACGCCTCGGTCGATGGCCTCGGCCGCGAGCTGCTGTGTGTAGCTGTATAGCTGTGTGCAGGTCTGGGGTCTAACGTCTATCCCCACGGGGGATAGATGTGTCCTAGTCATTGCTTGGGGTTCGAAGGGTCCAGACTAGTGCTCAAGATTCTCGAGCTGTCGTTCGGAAGGCCCAGATGCCGTGTTGTAGTATATCGCTGGTCGAGTATGTGCACAGTTGGAGTTATGTGCATTGTGCAAGCAGTATCATCCGGCAACTTCCAAGCGGAGTTCAGTGGCGTGCCTTGGATGGGGGCGTGGTGCATGCTATCCCGGTTGGAGATACGGAGTCCTGGGTTGTGCATCAAGAGCTGTGCTTTAGTATTTGTTGAGCACGAGTCATGGCACAGTCTCTTACCGAGGTAGTGCAGGGTGAAGTCTGTTCGGCAACGTGGTATGCATCCTTGCTCCCCCTCACTTGTCCCCGCCTCCACGTTGGAGCATCCCATTGAGGCAGGAGCGCAACATCTGTGAGCGTTCTTCGTTGAACTTTTTGTTACTCCACGTGTAATTGTATAACTCAAACCCAACCCCATCAGCTACCATGGACGAGGCGGCCGTCAAAAGAAAGCGGAAACGCTCAGCTATTGCATGTATTGCTTGCCATGATCGCAAAGTCCGATGCAATGCTGCCTCCCAAGGCTTACCCTGCAGCAACTGCGTCGAGGATGGGGTTTCTTGCGACATCTACAGGAGGGAGACTCATATGTGAGGCATTACAGCCCTTCGATCTTGCACCCTGCAACTGACCACAAGCAAGACCTAAGCGAAGGCGATCATCTGTGGTCGAAGGACAGCCTTTGAGCCCGTCATCATCATCAGCCACTCATAGCACCGTAGCGGCGCTGAGGACCCCAACAAACGATTCAGCACCCGAGATCATCCCAAACGACGTCCGGTTCACCACAGTCACGGATGGCAAGCCCCAACGTCCTGACGTCGAACGCAGCTCCCGTTCACCTTCCCCATTTCAGACAGATGTCGTGACCACGTCCAAGCACAACATCCGACCCTTCTTCACTGGCGAGTCCCAAGGCCTGGAGTTCCTCTTCGACGTCTGCAGTCCCGATCGACCTCTCAAGGGCCACCATTACACCACTCCGGCTGCTACATATCGTGCCAAACGGACGGTTCGAAAACACGCGAGGCCAGCGCCGCCACTACCACCTTTGGTCATACAGCGCGAGCTGACTCGTTCTTTTTTCCTCTGGGTCTGGCCGCTTCTACCGGTGGTGGACGCTAAGGAGTTCTTGACGGCGTTCCAATCCGACAGCCAGTCGATAAGCCCGCTGCTGCTGTGGAGTGTGTTCTTCGCTGGAGCGAGCTTCATTGACGCGGAAGTGCTGAAGGCGCAGCACATGCCACACCGCAAGATCTTGAAGGAGCAGTATTATGCATATGCCAAGGACATATTCGACAAGCAGGAGGAACCTGAGAAGACCGTCTTGATCCAATCCGCTCTGCTGCTCGCTTCATCCTGGTATATCGAGCTCGAGGACCGGGACGGGATGCATCACTGGATCGGCATCGCCCTTGGATTAGCCTTCAGCATTGGCCTCCATAGAACCAACAATTTCGGCACCATCTCCCCGTGCCCGTTTTCACGCTCGTTGCGGCGGCTGTGGAACTGCCTGTGGTGGTGCATACTTTATCGGGAGATCTGGAGCGCTGCGGGCTTCGGCCGGCCACTGCGATTGAATTCGGAAGACTGCGATGCGCCATTCCCAAGCCCGGAGGAAGTGTATGGTGACGAGCTCCACGAGCTGCCAGAAGAGCTGCAGTCATACCTCCCTGGCGACCTAAGCAACCTCTCTCAGCTCTGGCTCAACTTCCTCGAACTGAGTCTCCTGCTCGAACGGGTCCTTAAACGCCATTACCGGCCCCGCAGCGTCCTTTCATCGCCCGCGCAGCTCGAGGAGCAGGAATCAACCATGCTAGCCTGTCGCGACCGCATGCTGACATTTACCAACTCCGCCTGCCCAGTGCTCGCCGTCCACGCCGCCCATCTGAGAACTTACGTAAGCTACGCCCTCATCGCCCTCTACCGGCCCTACCTCTCCAAGCAGCTCGAGAAGTCCCGCCGCTTCACCAGCACCTTCTACGCCGACATAGCAGCCAAAGCCAAAGCAGCAGCGGCTGTCACAACAACCGCTCTCAACGAGCTCATCACCCATGACGCAATCGTGATGGGCTCAAGTATGCTCATCACCTCCATGATGGCGGCGATGCAGATCTATGTCTACGACATCCGGCAGTCGACCGGTGCGGCGCGGAGCTATGCCTACCACCAGCTGGAGCTTTATATGCTGGTGCTGACCCATCTGGGGAAGACGTACTGGACGGCTGATTTCCAGCACAACCTCTTCAACGAGGCTTTGAAGGCGTTGAGTGGGGCGCCGAGCACGATTAGAGATGGGGCGGAAGGAATGCAAGAGCATCATGCGAGGTATGACACTGCTGAGGCAGAGGGAGCGAACGCGGAGATGGATGCGCCGAGCGGGATGATGGGCCACCATGGGACGTTTGACGAGTTCCTGTTGTCGTTCAACCCGTTCATGGGCGTCGCGATACCGCCGAATGATCTGAGGTGAGTTGCGTTCGCCCTGCATTCGTGAGCTGACCGTGTACTGACCAGTGTTGCAGTGGCGTGGATCTCGACTTCAACTCGCCTGGCAGTTTGATGCTGGACGGAATGCATCAAGGCATGACTTGACACTAAGTGCTCTCACACTATATCCGAGAAGATGAACATCAAAAGTTTTCGCGCATGAGTCGTGATCTTGATTTTACGAGTCTAGTCCATGGGCGCATGCTTGAACAAGAACGAGACGCTCTCGCCATTGTGCGTTCTTCTGCACGCCTCAGCCAGCTGTATTATTATGTCAGCATGAACCTTCTCGCATCGCCAGCACCATCTCTCTTACCGTAGGACTGATGTCAATCGTCTCGATCCTGTCGCACAGCTTCTTCTTCTCATCGTGCGGCACCGTATTGGTCACCACAAGCTTCTTCAACCGACTCCCATTCAGCTTCGCGCAAGCATCACCGCTTAATATCCCGTGCGTCACAATCGCAATGCACTCCTTGGCGCCGTGGTCCATAACCACGTCGGCTGCTTTGACGAGCGTCCCACAAGTGTCGGCCATGTCGTCGACGATGATTGCGATGCGATCACGGACGTCTCCGACAAGCACCATGCGACTGACTTCGTTCGGTCTCGCGCGCTCTTTGTGAATGAGCGCAAATCCCAGATCCAGGCCGTCCGCGATCGATGTTGCTCTATGCCACCGTCAGCTCCCCGTCAAGTCCACCAAACCCATCTCGAAGGACCTTAATACCTCTTCGCTCCTCCCGCATCCGGGCTCACAATCACACAATCCCTCACACTCAAATTCTCCCTGATCCACCTCAAAGTACTCGGCTCCGCGTAAAGATTATCCACCGGCACGTTGAAGAACCCCTGTATCTGGCTCGCATGCAGATCCATAGTGATCACATGGTTGCACCCGGCAGTCTGCAGCATGTTGGCCATGAGCTTGGCCGTAATAGGTGCTCTACTCTTGTCCTTTTTGTCCTGTCGAGCGTACGGGAAGTTGGGCAGGACGGCGGTGATGCGGCGGGCGGAGGCGGTGCGGCAGGCGTTGATGAGGATGAGGAGCTCCATGATGTGGTCGTTGATGTTGCCGGGTTCGGTGGATTGGATTATGAAGACTGTGTTGCACATGTCAGGCAGGTGTTCGTGATGCAAGATTGTCCTGAATATGTACCATCTTCGTCTCGTACTGACTCGCCGATCGAGATGCTGCTTTCGTTGTTCGAGTATTGCAGAACCATGATTTTCGCCAGCTCTATACCCAGTCTGCGAGCGGTCAGTCCTCTGCTGTGGTCTTACTGCGCGCATTGGGCTTGTGGTGTCCATACCTGTCGGAGACCAGCTTAGCCAGGGTGCCATGACTGTTGCCAGTCAGTAGCTTGATGGAGTTGGTCGCCATGGTCGCGCGACCGCTCTGAGAGTGTGTCGAGAGGCGGGAAAGAAGAGTTGGTTGTCATGGTTCACAATAGCACAATCACAAGATTTCAGCGAAGTCTTCAACTGGGAACGTGACTCCCGGCTTCGGGACTTTCGAGGGCTAAACCGCATCTGGCAGCAACGGCAAGGTCGAAAGTGAATGCGTATGAACAACACTTGGATTGAGCAGTAGAGAAAAACAGAGTGGTCAAGATCTAGTAGTTTTGGTGACTGGACTAGGTGTAGCAGTGTCCACCCTCCGTTTTCGCCCTTTCTCCTGACCATGCATCCTGATGTAGCAGGGCTCGTATTGATCTGAGCCGTATACCACGAGCACGAGATCAATCTCTCCCACTTGGTCGCTCCCTCTACTTGCGCATGCTGGACGCACGCCTCTTCCTCATCTCCTGCTGCTTGGCCTTCTCCTCCGCGACGCGCTTGTGCATGATCTGAGCGTACTCGTTCTGCAGGATAGGTCAGTAGAGGTCTCGTGAGGACTTCGCTGTAGAACACGTACCGCTGCATCCTTGCTAGCCTCCGCGCGACGACGCTTGAGTGCGATCCGGTGGCGCTTGTGCTGGAGACGCTGAGGGGTGACGAGACGCTGGATCTTCGGTGCCTTGGTGTACGGCTTCTTGCCCTCTGCCTTTGGCTGGACTTCACGACGGATAACGTAGCGACGGACCTATTCAACAGCATTTATGTAAGCATGTGTTGTCGGCGCTCAGACTCAGCCAGCTGCCGTTGAGGACTTATGCTGGCTGGCGAAGAGGAGTAGAGCCTCGTAGGGGAGAGCACTCACATCGTCTTCCTTGCTGAGACCGAAGAAGCGGCGGATCTTGGTGGCACGCTTGGGGCCGAGGCGCTTAGGGTGGACCTGAGAAGTGTGGTGTTAGTATAAGACCTCTCCTTTGCGGTTTTGCAGCCATCTCACGGTATCCGTAAGGCCAGGAACCTCCTCGTCGCCCTGCTTTACGATCGCAAGCGCCAGCACACTCAAGTCCATGCCGACAATGCACCCACGCACACTCTTCCTCTTGCGCTCACCAGTGCGGCGCGGGCGGTAGCAGCTGTGGCCGTCGGCGAGCAGCAGCCTGACACGCGTGGGATGCATAACACCCTGCTTCATGGGGAAGCCCTGCTTGTCGTTGCCGCCGGTGATGCGGAAGATGTAGCCCTTCCACTCGTCGCCCAAGCTGTCGCCCGGCACCTCTTGTCCCATGCGGCGCTCCATGAACACGCGCAGCTTGCGCTCGTCTTCGACCTCGATCAACTTCTGCGACCCATTGGCCGGGTAGGAGATGTTGAGCTTCATCTTGACGGCGGGTTGTCAAGATGTCGCTGTGGTGTGGTGTGTCGTGCAGACGTGGAGGTGTTGTTGAAGCGGTCCAGAATTTTGGAGGTGCCAGCAGCTCGAATTCGAGGTCTTGGCTTCTTGGCGTGTGTGAGCGCGGCTAAACGTCGGCTAAATCATGTGCTTGCAGAGGCAGCAGAATTGCTGAACAGTGAGACCTGTGGAGGTCGGAGTAGCATTGGAACATTGACATAGCTAAATATATTGACACGGCGCCTCGAAACTGCGCAGGGCATCCAGCGAGTACCAGTACAACACATTGTCTCCCTTTACCCTCACACAACCACCTCCCTCATCCTGCGAGCAACCAGCTCCTTTCTATCCGACAGATTCTTATGCAACGCTCCAGTGTCTCCTGCCCATCTAGCCAGTCCCAGCGCACCCTCAATCCACTCCATGCACGCCTCATTCGCACCTGCCGAGAGCAAGTCGATGGCTCGGTTGAAGGACGTCGTAGCCAGCCACTGCAGCTCGGTCTCCGGGAAGGCGTGTCCTCTTCGGTCTCGCTGCCGCTTTGCCATCCGCGCCGCCTGGGCCAGCAGCTTCAATGCAAGACTCCCGTCACCGTCGTTCAGATCAAGCGAGAAAGACAAGCGGAGCCACCTCGCCGCTTTCACAATCTCTTTCCCCTTTTGCCATGTTTCGTTAATGATCCGATCGAGAAGCTCCATCATCCTTGAATTGGCCTCTTCGCTGAGGTTGGCGGACTTTTGGTGGATGATGAGTACGATGTCGGCCAGGGCGTCCCAGTCATCGACTCGCTCAAAGTCCAAGCAAGACTGGAAGGCCGCAGCCACATCATCCCACTGCTGAAGGTTGAGGATGCACTCCAGGTCGAACTTCTGGAGCTGGAATGATCTGCTGGCATTGTCCGCGTCGCTGTGATTCGCAAGCTTGTTGTGTGTTGCCTTGAACGCTGATATTTCTTGCCGTGCTTGCAGGAAGCTCTGCAAACCATACTCTGAGCCTTCTTCGTTCGACCGCCCAAGTGCAATGAGCGCAGCGGCTGCCAGGAAGTGGCAGATTAATTCCCGTCTGGAGAGGTCGTCGTTGTGCATCCGGCCGCCGTCCTGAGGAAGTACTTCAACGAACCTGCAGCAAGCCTGGAGAAGCCGCACCAGAAGCTCGGGATGTATTTGTCCGCAGAGCTTGAGTGAGATGTTGTACGCATTCTTGCTCCACCACTGCAGTTCAGTGCGCCATTGCTCTCCACTCCCTTGTTTCAGAGCCGCTAAGTTCTGGGCTGCAGTTTCGAACACCCGAACAATCTCCTGCGCCACATCTTCTTGGTTGCGTGATGGTGCGTCAAGCTCACCAAGCAGTAGTCTGGCAATGCACCGCAATAGAGATGGCAGATGGACGCCAGGAGGCTGCTTGTCGAGTATCGCTTGTAATGCCGCAATGGCGATATGACGCATCTGCGATTGCTGTGCCTCGAGCGCACATGCATACAGAAATGTGGCATCCCGGTCTGCACCTCTCAGTATCACCTGAAGGCTCTCGGTGGCGAAGTTGTAATCGTCCGTGCGAATGGCCAGCTTGAAGGCAAGGTACCTTGTGACGCTCTCGTTCTGCGAACCTGGAGGCATCTCGTAGTAGGCCGAACGAGCCCCCTCGAAGTCACTCTTGGCGATAGCCATCGTCATCGCTCGTCTGCTCACATGTCAGCGGAATCGTGCCTACTCGGGTGGAAGACTCGTTTACCTTCCGATCCTCGCTTTGTTGATCTTGCCAGCGCCTTCGAACAACGGATGGCGCAGTAACTCACACTATTGTTCTGCAATCTCAGGCGAAGCAAGACCCATCTTCTTCCAGATCAGAGTCTGTGTCGCATGTGTAGCTTTGGGCGAAAACGCCAGCCCAGAGGAATTTGCGGTCACCGTGAATACTCTGCGCAACCTCTCCACGGCATCTTCGACTGGCAAAGTGTTTTCTCCGGTGACAACTAGCACAAGCGTAACGCAAGCCTTCTCCGTCCACTCTTTGCTGGAATCCTCGGTCTCACCAGTGAGATCGGGAACGAGCCGCGCAGTAATGAGCTGCTCCAAGGCATCAGAAGCAACAGCCGGACTGATCTTGCGGACTCGATGGATTGCTTGCACAATCCTACGGCGCATTAGTTAAACCTCGGAGTTGATGGAGCAAATACTTGCATCTTAAAGGTCCGCCTGGTGAGAACCGTTGTTCGTAGCATTCTTGAAAGCACAACAGTGACCGCAGCTTGATCGAGAGGCTGCCCTGCAAGTAGCACTTTCAGATGTAGCAATTGGACAGCCATGCGGTTGCCGAGGGCGTGCTCGCTGTCAAGGTCCTGCACCACTTGCTTCGCAAGAAGAGTACTGTCATTGGCCGCTACAGAAAGCAAGGCGTCGACTGCCCCATGTCAGCTCCGATTGTCCATGTGTGAGTGGCACATACCTACCAAGTGGAGATGCAATGGCCAGGCGGAGGTCGCCAGCGTTCATGCTGAGCTGCTCCAAATCACAGTTGTCAAGAGCAGACTGTGCCCGCCTGAGCCAGGTGACAGCGGCTCCTGTCGAACCTCGCTTGGACAGCGACTTGCCGGCGTCGAGACAGAGTTGTGCCGTTAGCTCTGCAAGAGCAGAGGACGAAGCCGCAGATACTGATAGTTTGCCGAAGAAATGATCGGCTAAATCGAGGCGGTCCGTCTTGCAAGCATGCGACATCCGTAGAAGGTTGTATTCTGACACCATCATGGCCATCTTCGCTTCGCGATCGTCTACGTCCTCTTGCGCGTCCTGCATGCGCACGAGCGGGGAGTCTTCCTCTGCAGTGGTGACATGTTCCGCACATCGCTCTAGAAGCTTTAAGGCCAACTGCAATTCGTTCTTTTCGAGGCAGAATCGGCACGCTTTCAGACCAATCTTGAAATTCCGTAGCTGTTGGTCCACGTCCTTTGAGCGCCGGGCAACGGCATGGTGAGCCGTGTCCAGTAGGAGGAAAGCAAAGGTCCGTAAGAGAGGTAACAGCGCATCTGCAGTTTTGGGATTCGCCTCTGCTGGAGCAGGCTGCTGCTCTTCCTCGCGAAGCAAGTTTGTCGCTGTATTCCAGAGATCGCATCCCAGAGTGTCAAAGTCGGATATCTTGGTGGACGTCGCGCCGTTGATGGGGACGGGAAAGGATCGCTTCACATGCCTCTCTACCTCTTGTCTGAGCTCCGGTACGAACTCTTCCCGGCCTTGCAAGATATGGACCACCTTGCGCGCCGACACTACGCGCATATCAACATGAGCTGGAGTACACGGCGAACAGTGTCTGGCACAAACCTAGTACCGATTCCGCTCGCTGCTCAGATCCATCCTTCTTGACAGCTCTCAGCGGCGCCATGACTGCGCATGGTCTCTTTAGTCGCGTAGACGCACCCGTCACCGTTATGTCGTTGAGAAGGCTGGCCAGAGGACGAAGGGTTTGGACTCGTGAATGGGGATCAGATGAGGTGTAGTCAAGATGAGGTGAAGAGCGAAGGAAGTGAGGTCAGAATAAGCGTAAATCGACGACACCCCTTCTTCCACCTGTCCAAGAGATACTGCATTCCCAACACGACGTAGTGGCCGTCTACTTTGGACACTTGCGCTCGTACTAAGACCCCACAGAGAGCATCTCCTTCTACCTACTGCTTCACGAGAGGGGGGGTTACTTGGATACGCGGAGCATATTGCCATGACCGGCCAGGAAAGCAGGCTGGCAGCGTTCTTATCCGCTCAGCCCTCCCACGCCCTGCATGCTTCGCGAAGAGAGACTAGAGATCCTCTTGCTATCATCGGGCGTACAGAAGTGAAGTTGAAGAGCTTAAGCGCTGATCTGCGTGGCCGCTTTGATTGGCCAACAGCGACTTCTGGCAAATGCATTGCGCACATGCCACATGCGTTTGCTGTCCACGATTGCTGAAATCACATTCACGACGGGTCTGGTTAGATCCATTGCGAGACCTCACACGTCCATTCGCAAAACCTCATGTAGCCCGCGCAACCCACGCGAAAATATCTCGCCTTCATTATAGCCATCCGAGCAGACGGCGAGAAAGACTCACCGGCTATACATTTTGATCGATCAAGGACATCTGGAGCGGCTTGATACATTGCCTCTCGTATAGCGGCGTCGCGCAGCCATGATGGCCGTCCCCACGGCCGACCAGGATCTGCGCATTCGAAATGTCACTCTTCACAGCCGAGAGCGCAAGGAACACGGCACCTTGCACCTATACCGCCACCACCTTCAGTTTAGATATGACCCGAATAACGGCCACGCGGCACGCGGCACTTTTTCCACTGGCAAGAGGCCGTCAGCGCAAGATGGCAAGCTGTCCACCGAGAGCTCAGGGTTGACAGAGAGTTCATCCACTTCAGCTTCAGGCGTCGTAGGCCCGCAAGGCGCAAGCAATGTTGCTGGTGGAAGACCGAGCATGTCGCATGAGGTCAACGAAAGCACAGCAAAGCCACGTGAAGCGCATCCTAAGCACCGCACCAAGGAGATCTGGCTGCCTTATCCCATGATCAACCACTGCACGCTTCGACCGAGCCATCTCCAAAGCCAGGTAATGAAGCCAAAAGACGATTCTGGATTTGTGCCTGTGGAAGACGACGACAGCAACCTCTTCCCACCAGTCTTTGGAACTTCTTCTTACGAACGGCCGTCAACCGATTCAGCACGTTTGGCGCCTTTCTCCTCTCCTCAGCGGCCAGTGACGCCACTCACACAAGAAAGGGAGTCGTCTGTGAGGTTTGACAGTGGGCGTCAACCAGCCATCCGCATCCGAAGGAAGGATCTGCAGATGTTGGCGCTGCACTTTCACCCCTCAGAATCTGGCAAGTCTGCGGACGAGACGGCGAGAAAGGTGTTCTTTGTGCTGCGCAGCCGTTGCTGTGTCGAGCGGGTAGAGAGTCTGCACGCATTCCACTTCCACGCACCAGAGCCCGAGATCAAACTGGGCATGCGAGGCTACGATGCGCGGAAGGAGTATGCGCGGATGGGCATTGGAGAGAAGGCTGCTGACGGCCCAGGCACAGCATGGAGAATAAGCGACATCAACCGCGACTACTCCTACAGTGCCACATACCCAAGCGTTCTATGTGTGCCCAAAACTGTGAGCGACAATTTGCTCAAGTACGGAGGTGCATATCGTTCGCGATCACGGATACCTTGCTTGGCCTATCTGCACTCCAATGGCGGCAGCATCACAAGGTCCTCGCAGCCGCTGGTGGGCGTGCAGAACAGGCGTAATCCGCAAGACGAGCGCCTTGTATCGGCCATCTTCTCGAGCCACACACCACCCCTGCAGTCACCAGAGGACTCGCCACCGCAGGCTCCGTCTCTCTCGTCACCCTCCACAACCACTCTCGATTCCGTGACCGCGGACTCATCGCCAGAGGAGAGACCTGTCCCATCCATCTCGCTTAGCCGCAGCGATCCGGCTCTGAACGAGAAGCTCAGCGAAGAGCAAGCCGCTCCACTGCGCAAGAAGATCTACGGCAGCACACGAAGGAATTTGATCGTTGATGCTCGACCAAAGATTAATGCGCTTGCGAACAGAGCGACTGGCGGCGGCATTGAAGATGTGACAAACTATGCCAGCAACGGCGGCATGCCGGTTGAGAAGGTCTTTCTCAACATTGCAAACATCCATGTGATGAGAACTTCTTTAGAGAAGGTCATTGAGAGCTTTGCCAACTCTGACTATCTCAACCTCAAACCGGACCAGGAACTGCTTCGAAAGTCTGGCTGGCTCGGCCATATTGCGAACATGATGGACGGGGCGGAGATGGTGGCGAGGGTGGTAGGACTGGGTGGAAGTCATGTGCTGGTTCATTGCTCCGACGGATGGGACAGGACTGCACAGATCTCTGCACTGGCTCAGATCATGCTGGACCCCTACTACCGCACACTGGAAGGCTTCATGACCCTCATCCAGAAGGACTTCCTGTCTTTTGGCCACAAGTTCCGAGACCGCAACGGCATCGAAGGTAGCGACAAGTGGTTCGAGATCGAGAACGAGCGCATCGCACCCTCTCGAACAAGAGACAGCAGCGCGGACCCCAACAGCCTGAACGCAATCGGCGCCAAAGCCCTCAGCGGCGCGAAGAACTGGTTCGAGAAAGGCCGCGGCAGCCTCTTCCGCCAACCCAACACCAGCCAAGACAGTCTCGCCGACCCAGCCTCCTCCCGACCCTCCTCTCCACCTCCGAACCCGCTCCTGCACTCTCCACCACCCGCCACCACGAAAGAAGACAAAGACCACCGCGCCAACGAGAAAGAAATCTCCCCCATCTTCCACCAATTCCTCGACGCCACCTACCAACTCCTCCACCACCACCCCACCGCCTTTGAGTTCCGCGACCAGCTGCTCAAGCGCCTCTTCTACCACACCTACGCCTGCCAGTACGGCGAATTCCTCTTCAACTCGGAGAAAGAACGTTCCCAATACGCTGGCAAAGTACCCTCAGTATGGCCGCATCTCATGTCCCGACGCAAAGACTTCATCAACCCGGACTACGCGCCCAAAGACGACGACGCACTCCTCTTCCCCACCCGCCGCGGCAGCGACAAAGAAATCCAAGTCCGCTGGTGGCACTCCCTCTTCCTCCGCAGCGACGAGGAGATGAACGTCCCCCGCGCCCTGGCACCCGCGGACCCCCCCGCTATGACCGCCAACTTCGGCTCCAGCGTCTCCTTCGACGACCAAGCGCTCGATCCCGAGAAGTCTGACGGCGCGAACAGCGCTTCGAACGGCAGTCTACGGGAATCCAAGTCCGCGCCTAACCTCGAGAAAGTCGCAGACGACAGCACAACGGACAGCTTCGCCGCTCTCAACATCGACGGCCAAGCCGATGTCAAAGCCGCTGCTGCTACGGGACAGATCGCCCCGCGGAGCCAGGATGCGGATGCAGGGCGTGAGGATAAGCAGCAGCAACCGGCGTATATTGAGCGGTCCCCCGTACTGCCTACGATAGAATCGATGGAGTATGAAGGGGATCCTCTTGGTGTGTCGGCGAGTAATGCACAGGGTGGAGGGAGTGAGAGGTTGGATTTCGCGGCGTTTGCTCGGGGGAGTGCTTTTAGGGATCGCTGAGGGGTGTATGGGAGAGAGGAGGGAGGAGGGTGGTGTGAGGGATGCGGAGGATACCCTTCTGTTTGTTGCTTGGCATTGTGCCTTGGTCGGGATCAAAGGAATGGAATAGAATGACGAATGATGATACCTTACGCTCGTGCTCTGCCGCTTCATTTTCAATCCACAAGGGCAGCATCACCAACACGCATTGACCACCGTAGATACAAACCACTTACTCACGCAGACTAACCTCGCACGTGACCAAAAGACAGAGGACACACCGATTCAAGAGTGAAGTTCAACATTCATCATCAAATGCTGCACTTCATTCACATATCCATATCACTCATGCAATTACCTCAGGTATTAATCATCCTCCATCTCTCATCCCTTCCCTTCCTTCCCCCCCATCCATCCATCCATCCGCATCCACCGCAAACAAGAGACCCGCTCCCTCGATACGACTGCAATCGAGGAGGAATAGTGGTATCATTCGCAAAGCTTTCTTTTCGATCAAAGAAAAAAAAGCAACAAGAAAACGCATCAGCATCGTATCCGTTCCGTTCCATTCCAACCCAACCCACGTGAGGAGTCGGCTGCCGACTTCGAGCGAGGGGTGGTGTGGGTGGAGGCGCTTATATGGCCAACAGAGCGAACGCCGCGGCGCCGAGGAAGGCGGGGGCTGCTGTTGCGAGCGCTGCGCCACCGGTGGAGGAGCCTGGGGGCTTGTTAGCGTGTGAAAGTTTGTGGGAATGGGAAAGATGGACTTACTCGACCCGCCCTGGGAGCCGCTGTTGTTGTTATCGTTATCGTTGTTGTTGTTGTTATTGTTGTTGTTGTTGTTCCCCCCGTTGCCGTTTCCGTTGCCGTTGCCCGCAACACCAGTCGCGCCGCCGCCCCGGCCCGTAGTCGTGGTGTCGGTGGTAGCAGTCGTCCGAGTGACGGTGTCGACGCTGCCCGACATTGACATTGACATTGAGCTGCTAGCGCTAGCACCAGCGCCGACGATTGTGGTGGTGCCGGTAGTCTGGCCTTGCGCGTTGGTCAAGGCGGAAGTCGTCACGCCGGTGAGGTTGCCGGCGAAGATGGTGGTCGAGCCGGTCGTGGTCGTAATCGTGCTGCCGCCGGAGGTGATGACTTCTGTCAGAGGACGCGTGGTGAGTGGCGTGCCCATGCCTCCACCAACCGCAGTTGATGAGGCGTTTCCGCCAGATCCGCCGGTCGCGATGGCGCTGCCAGAGGGTCCAGTGGCGGATGCGGTGGAGAGGACAGAGAGAGCGGAGCCGGAGAGCGTGGAGCTGGGGTTTTGGAGGGCGGCTGCTTTCACGTTAGCTCCCACTCTCAGACATCGCCATCATTGTTTTAAATGGACTCACTCCTGCAGTACTGCGTGCCGAAGGAGATAACCTCAGCCGCGTCGTCCGACGAGCAAGCCTCGTTGGCGCAATCGCGAATGCCGTAGCCGAACGCCTCGTTCGTGCAGTAGCACGTCACGTTGCCCAAGTTGCAGCCGAAGCGCGTCGACGCGATCCCGATCATGTTGGTGACGCAGGTTTGCTATGAAGCTATTAGCACGATGTTCTTCACATCATCAATGGTGGCGCTTGTCGCGACGCGTGGGAGGCACGTGAAGCAACAATGGCATTGTCGCGCCGCGGGGCATGTTGGAGGTAGACTTACACCGCATGGTGGCAGGTCGCTGAGGCTCTGGGCAGCAGCCAGCGCGGCGCCGGCGACGAGGAGGGTGAAGGTCTTCATGTTTGTTTGCGGTGGTTGGTTAGGAGTAGGTGGGAGGTGTTGACGATGTGAAGCGCCAAGGGTGAAGTATGCTGAAGGTGATGCTGCTGACGAGGGCTCAACGCAGGAACTTCAGGTCGCGTGGCTTAACGGGCGTGTGAGTGTAGGATGTCTTGATCACCGTGAGGGAGGAAGAAAAGAGTGAGACGCGGAGGGGTTGGGACGACCAGGGTTTATTTGCTTCCAAGCCCAACGGGAAGGTGCATGGAATTGCAGGACGCAGGCGCAGGACGACGTCACCTGCGGTTGGAGAGTCTCGAGAGTCTCGACCGCCGCCGCAATCTTGCTTCCAACTCTCTCCGCCATCCGGTCCTAGCTCGCCCTGCTGGCGGCGTTCCTGGTTTGTGCCTGCAGTGAATCGCCAGGCTAGCGGCAGACTGGCTAGACGGCCACGCTTAGCAGGGGGTCCCAAGTTGCCGCAGTGATCTCGTCCTTGGCGGATGGCTGGTGTCAGCGGTGAGGTCACGCTTGATTTGCTCTCCGCACATGGTTTCACATGGCTGGAGATTGCGCGGGACGTACAACGTGCGAACATGTCGAGTATCGTTCGAAGTGCAAGGGAAATATCACACACTCAACACATTTGCTACCATATGCCTGCTACACCCGCCTTCATCTCACTGCCCCTGCCGACTCGCCGCAGCCATTGCTTGATTGCATCCCGTTGGTACCTGAAAGTCAAGCGCCGGCAGCGAAGAGACCGAGGCTCCACTAGCCACCTCACTCGCCACGCCGCAGATTGAGGGGACAACGCACCTGCATGCACCCATGTTCCGCGCTGGACATGGGTCACACCATGCCGTCCAATGGCTTGGGCCGCGAGAGACACATTGGAAACGCGTGGCTGCTGTCGTCTCGATCCTGCGCCGTCTGTCGTCGGTGAGAGCGAGGTAGAGAGGCTCGTATCTTGCATCTTTGCCGTAGAGGGTTTCATTTAGACGTTCCAGCAGCCCGGCGACGACGACGATGATCGCGGTGGCTTGTTCAAAGCGATAAGCTCGGCGCTTCTCCCTCGATCGCCCCAGCGATTCTGCGGGACTAATAATCGCTAACCAAAAACAAGCAAAGCAAACCTTCTTGCCGAGCAGCTCCGCAGGTTCCATCATCTCACATCAGACATCGAACCGTGCCTCTCGTTGCGGCGAGCCAACCTAACCTGTATCGCCAAACGCAATCTTGCTCTCGCCATGTAAACCCATTCCAACTCCATATCGAACACGATGGCCTCCAACAGCTTTTGCAAGATCGCGACCTGTGGTGTTGGAGTTGCAGTTGGCCAGCATTGGAGATTCAAAGGCCTACACGATCATTAGCCACGTAGGACCCCAAGATGCAGGCTGAGCTTCACTCACCTTCGCCATCTCCAACGGCGAAAACGACACCGGCCGCCCGATCCTCCACCATCCCCAATACGTCGGCGCGACAAAAGCAATACAGACAATCTCGACGAGCGCGGCGGCGAGAAAGTACAGGTAGTCCGTCTGAAATACCGCTTGCTTCCCGGCCACAGCTCCAACGACCGTGGTATCGAACGCCCATCCCTCATCCATCCTCGCCTCCAAGTAGGCCGCGAACGTAGCGTTCTGAGACGCCGCCGCAGACGCGCCGGACCAGACCATGAAACTGTTCAAGCTCCTCCGGACACTCGGTCCCGGATCGCGGTACGAGGCACAGGTCGTCGGTCTATCGATGTAGAATTGATCCATCGCGGCGCCCGCGTAGGTCGTAATCAGATTGTCGGTCACGCCGTCGTGGTATACAGCCCTGTAGTTGTTCCACTCGTCGTCAGCCCTGGCGACCACCTGCGCCAGCGTGGACCGGTACCCTCCGCTGTTCGAGTCGATCTCGTCGTACACCACCGTGTTGTTCGCAAGTGCAATGATCTTGGGTTTACCCGGGTCATATAGATGCGCGAGATCGCCATAAACGTCTACCGTGTATTCCCCCACGGCAGACACGAGGGTGCAGGCGGTGTAGCGCAGCGTGCCCTTGCGGTCTTCGGTGGTCGAATAGCCAGTGACGACGTTCACAGTTTCCGTTTGATCCACCCCGAGACCGACGGAGACGAAGAACTGTTCCTGCGCAAGCGGAGAAGCGGCTATGTTGGCGTGGCTCTTCTGGAAACTCGGGGCTTTCGTGTAATCGACCGGCAACTCATGGCTCGTACAAGCAAGAGGCGCCAGCGCTGGTGCGAGTATTTTGGCTGTGCAGTGTCCAGCGCAGCCACGGATCCGGTCTTTCAGAGGGGCATAGTTGTCCGCCGGCCACTTGACCAAGAGGCTCCTGGTGTCGTCAAGGTTCCCTATCGCATAGATGTCGTTCGAAGCCGTGCCATTGCAAGTTGGCATCGTCCGATTGAAGGCAAAGTTCCAATGAAACGGTGACCCGAATTGTTCACCCGTCATCCAGGCCCCACCGGCCCCTCGAGGCAGCTCTGGCGCCATGGAAACGTTCAGTGTCACGAGTTCGCCGGTGATGGGAGCCTCTATGGCAGTACTGGATCGCTGCAGCAGCGGACCCTGTCTCAATTAGTCGAAGGGTCCTCGATGGTATGCCAAAGACAAAGTTGCCACCCATATCGATCACAACTATCGTCGAAAAGATGCACGCAAGGGCCAAGAGCCCAGTCCGTCTTCCAGCAGTCAGCGCGCCGCGCAACGTGGTGCCCGATTGCCAGTCGTAATGTAATCCGGCCAGGGTAGAGCCACCTTTCCGCAGCGCCCGATGCCACCTATTGAACATGATGAAGAACTGTAAGCAAGCGTCCAGAAGGCTGGCAAGTGGCATGGTAAACGTACCAAGCGATGGCGACGCCCTGTATGCAAGCAAACCGCATTGACAAGTTAGCCACCGCGGTGAAACCAGCCAGGTATGTGCTAGGAGGTGCTGTCCAAGTCGAGACTGCTGCTCCACCTGAGACGGTCAAAACGCCTAGAGCTGCAACTATGCTTCCAGCTCCAACCATCATCGCTGTAAACAGAATCAGCGGAGCTGCTGAACGGGCACAAGAGTAGATTGTACCCACCAAATATGCCAGTCAACGGACCGATGCGGAAAAAGGAGGGAAGCCATGGTGGTCTCCTGTCATCGGCCGGCGGGCCATTGCTACCTGGCGAGGGTCGAATCGCTTCGTGTTGATGCTTGCCGTCCCATAACTGTGATATCTCCTTGCCGGGGAACCTTGACTCCGTGACGGGAGACCGCACTTCGTCGTTGGTAAGTGCAAATTCTCGTTTGACCCTGAACGCGTTGTCCGGCGAAGTGGGCGAGCCAAACAGAGTGTCGTCGTCCGTGTCGCATCTCTGTATGCCCGGAGAAGCAAGGCCTTTGGCAACATCGGGCTCGCCAAACCGGTCGACTGCGAGCCCGCCTCGCTGTGTATCTGCTTCGATCACGATAGCCGGGTGGGCGTTTTGTCTTCACGAAGATCAAGGAAAAGCAGTGCCGCAGCTGATATGTGTACCGAAAATCTCTCGAGGTCAGAAAGCATTATTACTCTCGCAGGAAGTGCGCTCGAACCAAGACCAAACAACAACACAGTGCCTACCTATATCTATCCATGCCACTGCATCCCGCCTGCATACGCCGAGCTTGGCCATGGCGGTAGCATGATGGCTTGTCAATCGTCGGTGGACATGTCTCAATCCTTGGTCTGGAGCCGAGCTACAGGTATGCTACACTGGCAAGGCTGGCCCAACTATCAGTTCCTAGGTGGTGTAAAAGAGGGCGCTGGAGCTGCGAGTGGATACCACACGTAGCTGCTGCGACGTAAGCGAAAGAGCTTACCAAATGCGCTTGGTATACCACAGAGCATCGAACGGGCACGACTTTTGCTGTGATTGAGGGTGCTGGCTGCTCTCCAGACGTCACCTTTGCCTTCGCCCTGCCACCGCGACGATCACATGGCAAGTATTCACCCCGAGGCCATCTCGACGTGCTGCCTGCCCGCACAGCAACCCGCCGCTAGGCTGGAGTGCAATATTGTAAAACCATCCCAGTACTGAAGCCAAAGACAGAGTTCAGTGCCGCTGCTTGGTCAGCGCGATGCACTGCGTGGTCAGCGTGCAGTAGTGCGAGAACGCTTCCTGTGCCGAAGGATTGCAGCCGTCTTCTTCTCGCGCCGTCGGGTGATTTGCAGATGTTGCCGGTGTTTGTGGAGAGGAAGATGAATCGAGAGTAGGAACATTGAAGGAATGAAGTCGCACGAGGCTACGTGGGCTGCCGCGAGGGCACCTGCCACAACTGCTTCATACATTCAGACGAATCCGACATCACCTCGATCCTTGGTAGGCTCGTAGCTGAGACCTCGGGAACTGCAAATGCAACAGAACAGTACAAGTTACAGGGTATCTAAAGTAGATTATTACAGTCCCATCCCTCCCATCATCCCCACCCCCTCGCAACAACTCCAGCACCACCCTCCCTCTCCCCTTTCGGCACACACCCGTAATGCACCACAGTCCCATCCGGCCACACCCTGACCGCACTCGCCCCAAACCTCCTCGAGCAAACCTTACAATGCCCATCCTCCGCGATCCTCACCCTCCTATTCCGCCCAGCCACCCTGCCCATCCCCATCTCCTTGTCACTGCCCAACAATAGCTGCCTCTCCGTGTTGACCTTGCGCACTTCTTCAAGACTCCGCTGCATCTTCTCCTGCCGTAGGAGGGCGGTGGAGTGGCGGATGCGGCCGCGGAAATAGTCTTGCAGTTCTGCGACGGGGAGGTCGGCGGGCATGAGGTCCAGCGTGCTGCTGGCTGGTAAACGGGCACCGTGGCGGGAGAGGAGGTCGAGGGCTTGAGGCCAGCGGGTCGACTGGTCGGGAGGAGGACGAAGGTAGAGGCCGAGGAGGACAGCATAGGTATTAGGCCTGTCGGCGGACACTTCAGTTCTCGAACGCTGGAGTTGTTGCGGCGGCGAGGTGGTGTAGATGTCGTTGCAGTATTGTTCGGCCTTGTCGTAGTCGTGGAGTTGGTAAACATAGATGGCGAGGGCTTGTTTGTGGTTGCCCATGGCTCGGAGGACAAGGGCACGTGTTTCGAAGAAGACCGGGTCGTCTGCAGGGACTTGGCGGAAGGTCTTTGCTTTGTTGTACTGCTTACTTTGCCGCAGGAAGGCTTCAAGCTTCTCCTTCATCACCACTTTGCCAGCTTCATCAACGTCTTCGTGCTTCATCTCTTGTAAATATAAGTCGACCAGGTCTTGATGGTGCTCGGGAGTCTGATCATTCCATTCGCGGATGATGTGCTCTAGGTACTGCATCTGCAGCTTCGGATCAATTTCGGAAAGGAATTGGAGGACCCTATCCTTCGGTAGATCCTTCGTCTTCCCCGTGTCTGCCAGAAACACCTCCATCCCCAGCTTTGGTTGCTCACGGACGGGCCACGCAGCGAACTCGAGCGTAATGTCCACCAGCTCGGGAGGAAGCTGCTTTAGATACTCCACAGTGCGCTCCGGACCTTGCATGCCTTCAGGTATCTCACCTTCAGCCTCGCCTTTGCCGAACTTGGAAAGCATCTCGAGGGCCTGACGGTGCAGCTTCTTGCCATGCAGAAAGTCGATGAGGTCATTGTAGCGGTCGTTCTCGTACAGCGAAGCTTGCACCACGTCCGGATCGCAGAAGTTGTCGAGGCGGAACAGTGGACCAGCCAGCGAAGGCGAGGCGAGCATGTAAGCTCGGAAGAGTGTTGTGTCGAGCAGCTCAGCACATTTCAAGAGCTCCGGTTGCCAATCAACAGCCGCTTTGTCATCTGTCTCGAAGACGTCCTCCGAAAGAAGGTTCGCAAAGTCGGGCTTGCCAGTTTCACTGTCCAGCTCGGGCGGATCCTGCTTCAGCGTTCCGTCCCAGCTGATGTATCTCTGCATTCGAGTTCGCGCTTGTACTAAGAAAGAGCATAGGGAGCGAACAGCTACCTTGAGGTCCTCTCCTTCCAGTGGCTTGTCCCGTGCAAGCGAGTTTGATGTGGGAGCCTTGCGTGGTGTTGGAGTGCCGGTGTCAGTGCGAGAGACGGATTTGATGGATGCAGTGTCGGAGTCATCTCTTGTGTGGCCTGTGAAGCGTCCAAATAGAGACTTGGAGGGTGTAGACGGGGTTTCCTTAGCCGTACTTGTGTTCTCTGGCTTCGCTTCGGTATCTTCAACAGCCTTTTCTGTGTCGTCATCCGCATCGGCCTCAGAACCTTGAGGTGACAAGTGGCCAGCAATGCTCTCGGGGTACAGCTTGATCACTCTTTCTGGTGGAGCTTCGGCGTCAGTAAACAGATCCAACGCCGGCCTATACTTCCGCTCTTCGAACAACATCATTCCTTTCAAGATCATCATCTCCCTGATCTTGCCAGCTTTGTCGTCGATTAGAGTATCTTCAAGCAAATTGAGCAGGCTGATGGCTTCGTCAAATTTCTGCTTCGCGACCAACTCCTGTATCTGGGTATCATATGGCAATGCATTCATACGCCATATGACACGCTCAGATGCAACCAGGAAGCCCTTGCCTGCGTGAGCTAAGCTGATGTTTGGCTGAGGTACGTGCAGGATAGAGGCGTTGGGTACCGCCAGGTTCTGAAGCAGAGATAGGCTGTCCGGGTTCCGTATCTGCAGCGAACCTTTCTCTGGCGGTTGTAGGGCGAGCAAATATGGATAGCTGTATCCTATTGCTTCTGGTGCAAGCGCCCAAGGCACCTGCCGCTTCTCGAGCGGATTCCCATCAGTGTCAGCGAACAATGAGTTGACATCCTTGGCGAGCATCAGTTGGCCGTCCGAGAGACCTGTGGCCATCGGCTTCGGTACCCAACTGCCCATTCCCATGTAGCCCATCCCACTGCTGGTGACTGCACCAAAACGTTGCGCGGCGGGCTCAGCGGCGTTGTTATCCGTCGCTCGCTTGTTGACAGGAACAATCTCCTGCGTTTCGATGTCGACTATGACAAACCCAGGATCCATTCCGACAATCAGCTTAGACCCAGTAGCCCATGTTAAGCTCTTTACCGTGGCCTCCAAGTTCAGCTCCACGGCGTCAGGTAGCTGCTCCATATCCTGCCACGTCCAGCACAACATCTTCCGCTTCACTCCAACTGCTAGCCTTGACACTAGACTTGGGACCTCCGTGTCCGGATCTTTGAACACATTGCTCGTGACCGTGAAGCATGCCGCTCCCTTCGTCTGCTCCAGCCGTTCGACCGGCTTGTAGGTCTGCAGCTCGTGCAAGCTGATATATCCATCGCTCAAGCTGACAAGCAGGTTTGCCTCCTTGACTATCGCTATCTGCTGTATGGGTTTCTTGCTGAACTTCTCCTGCTCCGAGAGTAGTTCCACGGCCTTGGTCTTGGTCGGCGATGCTGGCTCTGTGGTGCCATTTTTGCTGACCTCGTCGGTCTGCGACCCTTCGTTGACTCGGTATATGCGTAGCGCGCCCGTATTGAGGCCAACGAGCAGGCGGTCGCCGTATGCGAGCAGCGATTCGATCTTCGACTTGTCCCGCGGCTTGAGCTCGTGGATGGCTTGCGCTTTGAAGGCGGAGAGCATGCCGCCGGTAAGGTTGTGGCTACCGTAGGATCATGCTGCTGTATCTCCAAATCCCTCCCATGCGACCATTCATCGCTGTCGTTCCGCGTTGGTGTTGCAGTTCGAGACGTGGCAGCTCTGTCGTTGTTCCACCTGAAGTGAAGTCCGCCCGGTCTTGGCAGTCGCAAACGACATATCGATCAAGCACTGCATCTTCACTTGTCAACCTACTCATGGGATGACACAAGTTCTCTCGCCGTCTACCCTCTCAACACCAAACAGAACCGCTCATGGAACAGCTCGGCCTCCATGATGCCGGCCAGCGACCGTCGTCGGGCATGCAGCAGCAGATGCCGCCAGCGCCTGCGCCGGTCCCACAACTACCACCTCAGATGTTCACCACCGCTGCGCAACTACTCGACCTCACAGACAAGAAGCTCATGGTATCGCTAAGAGATGGCAGAAAGCTCATTGGCGTGCTGCGAAGTTGGGACCAGTTCGGTGAGGATAGACAAAAACCATTGATACACGAACAGCATGACTAAACGCTATGAACAAAGGCAACCTTGTGCTCCAAGACACTGTGGAAAGGCTTTTCGTTCAGAACCTCTACGCCGACATTGAGCGCGGTCTCTTCCTGGTGCGTGGCGAGAACGTCCTACTGCTGGGCGAGATCGATCTGGACAAGGACGACTATGTTCCAGAGCCCTACGAACCGGCATCAGTTGAGAGAGTGTTTGCGTTAAAGAAGGCAGAGGATCAGGAAAGGAGTAAGACGGAGAAGAAGAGGCATAAAAAGCTGGCAGCCTATGGATTTGAAGGGGAGCATGCTGGAGAAGCCATATTATGAGTCGCAAGATGAAATGCTTGGAGCGAGGCGTCATGGTGAGGACTGGCATTTCCAGCAGTTACGTACGTCTTGAACATGCAGACGTTGCTTGCAGTCCGGCGTGGTCGACATCTGGCCATTACTTAGGTTCAGAAGCATGGCCTCCACAAACGGATTGCTCGCTTGGGTTGAATACGTTCCGGCCGAGGCCTGGGCGTGATGATATCCGTACGGTGCGCTTCCTACGGCCGACGCGAAACATCATGGCGAGATCATATGACGAGGCAGCTGCAGCTTGGGCACATTCCTTGCTCGGATGGAGAACTGAGTACATGGCGCGGCAAGTGCAATCTTCTACTTCTGCAACTGCACAACTCAATACATCCTGCCTCCAATAACTGTCTGAACCCACGTTTGCAGTACTCATTCACCAATTCCTCGCTCGCAAGCGTTCGTCTCTTCTGTACCACCACGTGAAGCCCGTGCGACCAACCAATAGCGTCAGCGACGCTCAAACACTCACTTCCAGACCGCGCTAAAACGCTAGCGCGAAAACTAGCGCACCTCCGTGTGAACATTCACTTGCTGAGACTTATATTCACTCACCACACCACCACATTCACCTCTATTACAACCATCGCCTTGGACATCATTCTCGTTCCATTCTTGCATTCACTGCGTGGAGTTTACGTTCACTTGCGCCCGTGCGCAAGTAGCGACAGCTGAAAGCCCATAAAGTGGTGAGTGCTCCCTTCATGTTCGCTGACTTCACTTCACTTTGGAACAGCACTGGTGCCTGCAATCTCCCATTTGCATGTGAAAATTACGTGACGCAATCCTCGGCATCCGTACTTGTCAATCAGCACGGCTTTCTGTCCAACACCTCAACAGCTGCTGCTCTCAGACTTGTCAACACCATTGCCGCCATTGCCACCACTGCTGTGCCTTGCTGGAATTGTTGTTGCGTTGGAGAAGACACCCTGCTGACTTGAGCGAAGCAAGTTTTCCCTGCCCCTCTCGACCACCACAACGGTCTTGAGCATGGCGTCGGCCGCTACGCTGGCGCCTGAATCGCGCCCTGCCCTCGAGATGGAGGAAGATGTAAGTCACGTCCACAGGGAAGTTATGCATCCACTCACACCTTGCCAGGACGAACAGGTGGAAGAATACGAGTTCTCGAGTGACGAGGAGAGCGAGGAGGAAGACAACGTTCATGACACCGATCACTACAAGTTTTCCGACGGTGTCATCCCCATTGATAGCGACGACGAAGAAGAAGAGGATGTTGCTTCCATCACTCTGCGGCACAAAGCCCGCCCGTGGCGTGACCCTGGCTTCACCGATGCGGTCCGGGAGAAATGGGAGAGATCTTACTTGATGTTGCCGAACTACCCAATGGGTGGCGATTGGCAAAGGACGGAGATCTATCAAAGGCAGAAGGACCTTGAGATGGCAAAGTATCGCTAAGATGTGTCCCTCTACTATACTCCGACCCACGCTAACAGCACTGATAGGTACCTGAAGGACTATCCTCCGGAGCGGTGGACCTTACCGCGTCCCGAAGCCAACGCAGCAGTCGCCAACCTTGAAGAGCGCCGGAAATGGCGTCAGCTCGGGATGCGCATCTTCGGAGCCCAAGCAGACCACCAGCTCTACCAGGGAGCGCCTATGTACCACCCGGGCTTCGCGCCGCACCCACAACACCCAATGCATCCACAGATGTATCCCCAAATGCCATACGGCCCACTCCCACCACAGCATCAGCACATTCTCCCTACACAAGCCAACTTCGCGGTGCGTCCACCAGGCCAGATTGGATATCCACATCAGCAACCGAACATGTACCACCCTCAGATGAACATGCAACCGCAGATGTTGGGACCACAGTACGCCAACGGCGGTAGTAAAAGCAGAGGGTAAGTTGCAACTCCGTTCAAAGCTAGCTCTGTTGCTGACATCATTGGTAGCAACAGCAATCAGCGGCAGAGGCAAACTTCCACGGTGCCACCAACTCAGAGCAACATCCGCATACCTCCGTACAAGGCTCGCGACAGACCTTCGGACCAAAAGCCCACCAGCAAGCCGGGCAAGCGTCAAGGTCGCCGGCCTGCGCAAGCTCAAGAGTTTCCGTGGAACCGCCAGCTTGACTTCCAGGCCGAGCGGATCAAGGCAACGTGGGACGTGTCACAGTACGATCAGTCGATCAGGTATGAGATAGACAGGGTGCATGAACGCAACAAGCTGAAGGTCGACAACCACGACAAAAAGGACAAAGATCCTCCAGGAACACCCGGTAAGTAACTGCTATGTTATCTCTAACTCAAGCTAACAGACGCAGGTGGCATGGAACAGTCCAGACAGCAGAGCAACACACCTGGAAGCGGCTCAGATCCCGACAGGCCTCCATCCAGGACGGGACCCAAGCCAGGCAACAAAGGTGCCAATTTCACTCGTCAAGACTGCTACGGCTTCAAAGGACTGGATGATCGCCAGAGGGCGATGGCGCTGCTCCAGACCGCAAACCCAATCCCCGAGGATGTCATGGACGCTTACGAGAAAGGACAGGTATCCCTGGAACAGACCGCCGACATCATGATCTGCTGGAACCCGAACAAGACCGGCTTCTCGCAGGAGCTGGAGAAAGCCTACTTCCGCATCAAGGATCACCTCGCCACCGTGGACCAACTCGAGCGGACACCGATCCTCACAGATACCGCAGTAGAATTCATCATCGACTTTTGCCCCGATATGCTCTGGCGCGAGCTTCTCCTTCGAATCGTGACGGAGACTTCGTACGGCAACATGGGTATCCGCAACCGTATTTGCTGGAACGGCGACCACTTCGACAAGGCTACCATCACCAAGCGCATCGGCTCTGCCCTAGGCATCAAGCAGCAGCAAGCCGCTACCCGCCAGCCTAGGAGGCCAGCGGCTCGTTCTTCGAGCCCAGCACAGGAGAAGGTCAAGGGGTACGCGGAGGGTGAAGATGACTGGTACAATAACAATGTCCTTGACTACAATGCTTACATGGCGTTCTTCAAGTTGCGCGTCACCGCCCGGGGTACGATTGACCTGAAGCGTCCGGCGGCTTCCGGAAGAGGTGCTGGAGAAGACGAGGAGATGGGCGAAGGGGAAGGTGGACCGAAGAAGAAGCGTGCAAGGACAGGAGAGAGTATGACGAGCCCAGAGACGATCTCGAGCAATCAGAATACGCCTGGGGCTGAGGCAGGAGAGGAGGACGAGGGTGAAGGTGAAGAGGAGGAGAACGATAAAGATGCGGTCAGCATGCAGAGCGATACCCTTCTCGATGAGATTGAGGATTGAGCTGCGATTACTTGGTGGTGATGATGATGATCAAAGGAGTGTTGCGATGCTGGGAGCGTTTCAGAAGGAGTTTCATTGGCATGGACCGTAAGAAGGAAGGCATACTGGATGAAAATGGTGCTCTGGCGAGCGTGTTTGAATGCTCATCGGCTTGGGTTCTTTACTCGGCAAAGACCGCTTTGTGGCGCTCATCAGGCTGATGCTGCTGCTGAACGACTGGTGTCGTATCGCAAGCCGAAGGTCAAATCTTTTGGCCTTCACATGTTGGCTCACTGCCACATTAGCAAGGTTTGCGTAACAACAACCGTAAATAGTGCAATCGAAAAGAGATGTTCCTTCTCAGCCTGCGCTTACCTGCGCGAAGTGCAACGACCCTACCAAGACCTCAACAGACCTGGGCAAGTGCTCTCCGGCCTTGCCCATGGCGGATGTGCTGCGCTTGCTACGGATCCTCTTCCACTCTTCGTGGGCTCTTCATGAACTCATCTTCCTACCCCCCGGTCCATCGTTTGGGACTCTTGCATCTTCGAGCATCACTTGTCGCCGCGCATCATTCCAGACCAGCATCGATATCACCCAAGCATGGCGGCGGAACGGGAAGCGACACCAGACCTTGCCGATTCCGACGAGGAGCAGGAAGCGGAAGAAGCGCTGACTCCACCACGAGTCGAAGAAGCTGCGGACGTTGAAGTGGTCGAAGGCGATACAGCATCTGAGACGGTCGGGCAAGAAACTACGCCGCCATCGCCTCGCCTAGCACCCGTTTCACTCCCGTCATCCGCAGACATCAGAGAGTCTTTGCAAGACGATGTCGCCCCGATGCCACCCGCGAGCCCACGACCCAGCGCCGGAACGCCATCGGATCGTCGTGTCAGTCCTTTATCGCTACAGCAAGCCTCGACTCTCACACCCGGCTAGCGTCCTGGTCAAGAGCAGAATGCGGATCCCCCTGTTGACGAACTGAGCAATAAGCTGAAGTTGTCCTCTTCTTCTGGATCTGTAGCACAAGGCGGATTCCGTGCACCAGGTGATCCAGCTTCAGCGACTCCTCAACGAGCTCGCCTCATTCCTGCCATCAACTTGAGGACAGAAACTGCTCGTGCGGGCGAAGTGGATCGTGTTGGCGAGCTTGGGATTCCTCTGCCGAGAGCTAGTCGTGAAGGTACAACGATGCCTGATGACTTTGGCAGTCCGCTGCAACGAACATCGCGCACCGACACCCCTTTGAGTGAGTCGGAAAACGTGGACACGAACGACACATCTCCCCCGAGCACTCCGAAGCCGCGACCACTGGATGAAGATGATGAAGACGACGAGAATGAAGATCCCGACCAGATGTACTCCGTACCCAACCTCGTCCCAGTTAACGAACCTTCTGAAAGGCCAGAAGCTCGGCTCATGCGCCGGCTGATGCCTCAATTAAGGCCATTTAATCCAAAGCATGGCATAACGACGTACAGCCTCATCCCGGACGACCGCCAGACAGAGATCGATGGCGTCGCTCGGCCGCTCTGGGGCATACTCGGCAACATGGGTGACCGCCTCGCTGAAGGCTCCACAAACGGCAACTACCTGCTGGAGCGCAGAGAACTCATCCAACACTGGCAGCGCATGCAACGCCAGGGCTTCCAAGAGTATGAATTCTTCCAGTACGCCGTCTACGTCCTCAAGCAGATTGAAGCCGACAAGCGCGGGACCATCGACAGAATGCTCGACGTCGCATGTGCGAACTCCAATACCTCAGCCTAGATGACTGATACTTGGGGTGGACCTGTGCGGGACAAGAAGGGCAAGATTGTGGAGCGAGTGGCGAGGGATGCAATCAATCGCCATCCGAGCGACGTCGGAAGCTTGACGCCCCGCTACAAAGGGATGTCGCCTCCGAAGAGGGGCCCCAGCGGGAGTTCGCAGAGGGAGGGTTTGTACAAGAAGGTACTGAAGAAGGAACACAAGAAGTTCACGTCGCCGCAGACCAGCGAGGATGATCATGGAGAAGCACGGTATCAGGTTGATGGACCAGCAACTCCTTGTCCGCCGAAGAAGAAGAGGCTGGTGATTCACGGGCCCAGAAAGCCGAAGACGGATGAAGATGTTGAGATGGCGGACGATCTTGGCCTGTCAGCGGCTGAGATCAAAGAGCAGAAGCGGATGTACCTCGACATCCAAGGCCAGAAGCGGGCATTCGCCGACGTCAAAAGGGGCCGCAGCAGCTTGCCCAAACCTCAAGGTCGAAGGCTAAGCACAGGTCAAAACACCAACTACCACATCATCGGCTGGGAACTCGCGGAAGCAGGTCGCACCCTGATGTACAACGTCTTATACGACAATGCGGCCAAATCGCATTGGTTCAAAGCTCTCAACATGCAAGGCGAAGTCTGGACGGAGAAGATGGAGGAGTTTTGGTTCGACGGCGACACGGCGATTCTCGAGAGACTGCGCTTCGAACAGGCGTGGGCTGCCGACCCTCCAGGACAGATGACCATGCGTGACCTGGAGCGAGCACGCAGAGAGGGAGCGCCGGAGCCTTCATCGTTTGGGAAGTATATCATGCAGGCGCGGCTTGTTGACCACCGTGATATCGTGTTCGAAATCTACAATGCGGGAGAGCCTCTGGGAGAGGGGATCGATCCGTGGGAGTTTGCTCAGACTCTTCCGAACGATTGGGATGACGCTATCAATGACTACTGGAAGACGTACGAGGTCAAGAAGGATTGGTATAAGAGGATGAGGCAGGTGGAGAAGTTGAAGCTGGTTCGTCCGAATGGTCGTTGTTCGTGATTGGACTGCTGGACATACTCTCGTTGATGGGCTTGTATTACTTTCTCTGACACTCGAAACACGTTGCACGACTTGCGAATTAAGAGCGGCAAGTCATTTCGTCACTGCTGAGGCCAGTACCTCCCAACGAACTCCACCCCCTCCCTCACCCAGTCCGTCTCCAACCCGATCCCTTCCGCACCATCGAACCCATGATCACCCTCCACATACGTCACATGCAGCTCCACCCCCTTCACCTGCTCCCTCACAGCCTTCTCGAACCTATAACTCCCTTCCGCCGGAATAATCGTATCCCCCTTCCCATGCAACACCCACACTGGCGGCAGCCGCTCCACCCCCTCAAGCGCTTCGATCGGATACAACTTCCTATCCTCCCCGAGCCAACTCCCATACATACCCTGCTGCAGCGACGAAAGAACCAGCTGTGTCCGCTCCGGCGGCACAGCGGACGTGATCGTCTTGCCCTTCTCCATGGTCTTGAGGTACTCCTGTAACACGGCCCGGTCGAGTTGCGGAGCAGGAGGCGAGAAGATCTGCTTCTCGTAGTCTTCAGTATACCAGCGGTCCCGCATGTCGATCATGGGGTATTGTGCGATCACCGCCGCGACTTTCGGGGCGGAGGTGGGGAGGAGAGCGGATTGGAGGGCTAGCCAGCCGCCAGCTGATTCTCCGGTGACGAGGATGTTGGTTGTGTCGACTGAGACGCCTTCTGGGAGGTAGGAGGCCAGGGCTTGGGGTTGGAAGAGCCAGGTGTAGAAGTCCCGGACGTCGTCGAGGATTTCGAGGCCGGTGATTTCGGGCATCAGGCGGTAGTCGGGGGTGATGATGATGGCGTCGCGGGAAGCGGCGAGGTCGATGATCCAGGTTGGGAACCTGCGGTGATGTGTTAACATATCCATGCATTCTGGGTTTGGATGTGCGAAGTAATTACCAGTCAGGATACATCCTGTGTCCAGCTATAAGACAACCTCCATGCCACCGTACCAGCAGCGGATGCTTGCCTGGCTTGATGTTCTTTGGTACCAGAACAGATGCGGGGATCTGAACACCATTGACTTCCTTGTAATTGATGTCTACGACATCGAAGGCCGCGAACTTGGGCGCTACAGCGACGTCGGCTGGGAGGGGCGTTGCTGGAATCATTGTTTGATGTTTTCTCGTTTCGTCAAGGAGAAGTTGCTCATATGTGAGAAGGGCAAGGGTAACGATATATGCTTGACTGCTCGAAGCCTTGCTGAAAAAGCTTAGCAATCTGCGAGAGTAGCTTACGACCGGATCTGCTATCTCCGGGCTGTGTCTGGGGCTGGCAAGGTCGAATGGTATACTAGGCAAGGCAGAAGGTGAAGACACGCAATGAGTGGCCTTTGCGGTTCAGTAACCAAGAAGCTTTCATCTACTAATCCAAGTGTCTCGTAAGCCATCAAATCCAACAGGAATCTCCAATCCAATCATCACCCATTCATCAACCACCCTCCTCACGCCCCAACCAAACCAACCCTCCCCCCAGTAGGCCTCTTCACACCCACAAACCCCCGCCGATCCCTGCCTGTCCTGCCCCTAGAAAGCCAATTGTACTTCAGCGCCCGTGTCAACCGCTCCACAACCCCTTGCCCCGTGTCCCCCGTCTGACAACTCGCAAGCACATACAGACACTGCAGCATCCGCGCCACCGTGTCGGTAATCTGCGTCGGGTCCGCAGACGGGAGAGGAGATTGCGGCGGTTGTTGCGGCGTGCTGCTGAATGACCCAGGCCCACCGCCGGCGGTAAGGGGGGATGTAATGTGCGGCATGCTGGTGCCGAAGGAGCCGGCGGAGGTGTTGGAAGTGGCCCTGCTTCGGCTCGCTGCGCTCATTGCGCCGCCGGAGGAGCTGCTGGCGGCGTCGAGGAGGGTGGAGCCTTGGGAGTTGAAACTGCTCATGTGGGGGCTGAGACTGCCTGCTGTACCGGGGCGTTCGGCGCCTGTGATGGCGGGGTCGGAGCGGGCGTGTTGCCGGCCAGCGGCGCTGGGGTCGGGGGAGGTGGAGGCGTTGATGCTGTCCAGAGATAACCGGCTGAAGATCGCCATCAAGCTATCGTGTCGGGGTAGAATGACTGCGTCTCGGAAGGCAATGAGCGTGATGCGCTTAACATCCAGCTCTTCGCCTAAGCTGGGCATGCGCATCGTACCGCCGGAAGAACTTGGTCGTTCGTCAGATTTGAGAGTTTCAGGCATAGCGCCCCAGAACTCCTGGGCTTCTGTGACGCTCATGATGATACCACGACCGCGGAACTCCAGGTCCATTGGGAGGAAGACTGCCTGCAGGAACGGTAGGATGGAGCCATAAACTCCGATCCACATCTCGACAAGCTTCGTCACCAAGCGATCATCTGCGACACCTCGCAAGGTCTGTGCCAAGCTGCCAAAGCCCGTTTCCAACAGTTCTCGTAGATCTTCGACGACCACGACGGGTGACTTTCGCTGGACACAGCGCCTGATATGGACGCCCACTAATGTGTTGAAGTCTTCGATAGGCGTCCTGACCTCTTCGCCAGAGAATAAGTTTAGCAATCGAGCTTTTATCAGCGGCCATGCATCGTCAGGCCCAATGCCGTGTATGCCCATGGAAACGCCAATGTTAGAGAACTGCTGAGCCGATATAGGCGGCAAAGTGTCATTAGGAAACGCGAAGCCGCCAACAGGGTTCACAGATGGCGTGCCAACCATCTCGGACACGTAGCTGGCTGGTCCAAATTGATCGCTCACACCACTGGCTGAAGTATTCGAAGTTACTGGCGCAAGATCCAGCTTCGCTGCTGCTTTCTCTGCCTTCCTTTCTCGTAGTACTTTGGCGCCATGCCGTAGGTCAAAGCCAGACATGGATTTCGCGAAGGAGCTGGTGCCCGGCGAGTCAGGCGTAAAAGAGTATAAAGGCTGCGGCTTGTCGGGATTCGTTGCTTGCGAATTCGAATGCGCCGATGATAAAGGTAGTGGAGGCGGCTCATCTTTTAACTTGTTCTTCTGCCGTGACAAGAAGTGATGTCGTTTCTCCTTTTCGTTTCCAGCGGGCACCAGCGTCGAAGTTGAAGCATTAGCAGAAGAATAGATCGAGTTCCCGCTCGATCCTGGATCTGCGAGACTTGTCGTAGATTGGTTCGCAAAGCCACTTCTGAGTAACGGGTTGAGACTGCCCTTTCCAGGAGACGGTATGCTAGGCTGAACTTTGCTCTCCTTCTCCTTTGACAGCCCGATACTCTTCGGCTTTGAGAACAGCTTCATCTTCGAGCTCTTCGCCTTTGGCTCCCGCTCCGACGGGAGGGGCGGAGGCGGCATTGCCTGCGACGCTGGTATACCAGGCGATGGCAGAGGACTACGACCATTGGGAAAAGCAGCATTGGCCGCGCTCGTAGCCGCCAACTTATTTCCACCAAGCGTGCCATTCGAGTACGGGAGTCCACCAGCCGACGCGACTTGTGGGCTCTGTGTATCACTGGGCTGCCTTCGTACGATGGCGGGCTGCGCGGTATTGATAGGCGACAGTCCTGGATGGGATCGCTTGCGCTCATTAAGTCCAGGAGGTGGCGAAATGTGATGCATCGCTGCTTGCGCCGCTATCTGCGAAGCCGTCAGGCCAGCGCTGTTCGCAGTACTATGCGGTAAAGATGGCTCGAAGAAGCCTTGGCTGTGCTGCCGCGCACGGTGGCCGATTGACTGTTGCGGCATGGCTGGCGAAGTGGCTCGGAGACCGCCGTCCACGGAGGTCCTAATCTGTTGGCGGTATCCGGTCTGCAGCGCGGAAGTCGCATTGTGCGAAGGCGCTGGCCCGCTCGCTGTTGATGGCCTGGCCGTCCCTTGCTGTGGATATCGCGGCGGGGGTGGAAGTTGGCTGGACTCGTTGGAAGTAGTGGAAAGACTGGATTCGCTGCGCACTGAGGACTGTGACAGCGATGACTGAGACCGGTTGGACCTGTGACCCGAGGGTGAGTGTGGTCTCGGCGGCGGCCGGAGCGGTGGAAGGTTGCTTTGATCCATCGTTGTGATACTTCGGAGTGATACTGAGTGGTCAGGTGGGCGCAGCTACCCGGATATTACCGTGGCTGTGTCGCGTAGACAACGCGCCATCCGCACATATACTATGCAGCAGCAGACAGGTCGTATAGAGATATGAAGGCAAAGGAGAGTGGTTGTAATGATGAAGAGGGTTTCGGGTCTGGGTCGTCAAAGCCGCGCGACAACCCCCGTCCACGTAGGGCTGAGACATCGCGCCAAGGAAACCGAAAGTTTGGTTCATGGATATGCAGACAGCCGCTAGTCGCCGTTCTTCCAGCCGACTTCTCGTCCAATGCTTCCGCATCTACCTCACTACTACCGTACCTTTTCACTGGCACTGCGTGGAAAACTCTAGCGATGCCGCGTCAGTCAGCAAGCTATGCGATACGGTCCTGGCGCCGTCTGGAACTATGAGGTGGCTCACGGCGGGAGGTTGGGGGAAGCGGCCGAGCGCACGCCTCTCGAGGTGTCCAGCAGTCGATGCATTTCCACGTCTGAACACCGGAAACAAGGCTCATTGATCTGAGCGACTGCTCTCGCGCTGTCTCGAATGCTTCCGGGCCTCATTTTTCCCATCAATGCTGCGGACCGTCGGTTGAGGCTTACTGTCCCGACCCAGGACGAGTCATGTCTCCCAGCGAGACGAGACAGGGCCATTGCAAGCACTATTGAGACGATGCACGACCGGTCCTCCCCGGCAGACGAATGAACGCCTGCTTTCCATCAGGCCATCAGGAGACCGGACTTCTCCCGGCCACACAAGCTTCGTGGCTGCTGCAAAAGCATCCACTGAAGCCTGAACCAGACTGAACAAGCGAGCTGAGTCCTCGGCCGACTTCGGAAGGATCTTATCTTTTTTTTATCAGATGCAAATTCTGACTGGGCAATATGGGTCCCCTGCTGGAGGACCCACCACTACTGTGTCGGGGCATATAAGCTCTCATTGCGGTGCAATGGAATCCCTCTAGCTTTGAATCTCGTTGAATTCTTGTCAAGTCCTTCCATTGGTCTACTGCGTCTATCATGGATGGCTTCAGCAGATTCCGACCCGCGTTCACTCGATCAACCACAGCCGATACAACAACGTCAATCGAGTTGGTGCAGAATAACGACACGAAGACAGCTACTGTCCTGGAGACTCCTGCAACGTACGATGACCAAGACAAGCCTCAAGTCATCGATCAAGGCCTGCAACGAGGTGTGCAGAATGTCGAGCTGGTAACGCAGACCTGGTCTCGAGCATCCCTGATTGCTGTCTTCGTTAAGTAAGTCCTCTTTCCTTGTACCGCTCGAGGATGCAAGCGATATACTGACATCTTTGTTCCCAAAGTATCTGGCTTCTCTACTTCGTCAACTACTTCTCCTCCTCCATCCTGTACAATTTGGTCCCTTTCGTCACTAGCTCGTACAGCTCGCACTCCCTGCTCAACGTCATCTACATCGTCTCGAACGCAATGACGGCTGCAATGTACATTCCTCTGGCGAAGACGCTGGACGTCTGGGGACGAGCAGAAGGCTTCGCCATAATGGTGGCTGCTGCCACCATAGGCCTGATCCTGATGGCTACCTGCAACGGCCTCTCGATGTTCTGTGCCGCCTACGTACGCTCATGCTGCTCGCAACACGATCTCGATGCTTGCTAACGATGAGAGGGTAGGTTTTCTGGAACATCGGTACAGGCGGTATGACCTATTGCGTCGACGTGGTCACCGCCGACATCTCGACCTTGCGAAATCGAGGTATTGCATACGCATTCACATCTTCGCCGTACATTATTACAGCGTTTGCCGGCGCCAAAGCGTCGGAACAGTTCTACAACGATATCAGCTGGCGTTGGGCGTTCGGCTGATTTGCGATCGTCTTCCCTGTCGTTGCTGCGCCGCTTTTCTTCATACTGAAGTTGAATCTGCGAAAGGCTCAGAAGCAGGTCGCTGACACCAGCATACGGAGTGGCCGTTCGTTTGTGGAGAATGTGTGGCATTACTGCCTGCAGTTTGACTGTGAGTTGCATCTCACCGATCTCAGGTCAGCACCTAATCCCCGACAGTGCTCGGTGTCCTCCTCCTCTCGGCCGGATTGACGGTGTTCCTCCTTCCATTCACCATCGCCACCACCGCGCCCAATGGATGGGCAACAGACTACATAATCGCCATGCTCGTCGTCGGCTTCGTCTTACTGCTCGGCTTCGGCATCTTCGAGTGGCTCGTGGCGCCAGTCCCAATGATCAACTTCACCTTCCTCTCAGACCGGACGGTGGTCGGCGCTTGTCTGTTGGATGCAACGTATCAGGTCGCTTACTACTGCTGGGCCAACTACTTCAGTTCCTTCCTGCAAGTCGTCAACAACCTCTCCATCTCCGAAGCCGGCTACGTTGGTAATGCTTCAGACGTACGTCAACCGTCGATACATCATATTACTCCCGGGAGAAGAAAACTCCCGCTAACAACACCATAGGTCGTCTCCAACCTCCTCCTCTTCCTAGTCGGCTACTCCATCCGCCGCACGAACCACTTCAAATGGCTCCTCTACCTCGCCGTCCCCCTCTACATCCTCGCCCAAGGCCTGATGATCTACTTCCGCCGGCCCGACCAATCCGTCGGCTACCTCGTCTTCACGCAAGTCCTCATCTCCGTCGGCGGCAGCATCTTCGTCATCGTGTTCCAAGTCGCCGACCTCGCCGCCGTCGACCACCAACACGTCGCTGCCGCGCTTTCCCTGCTGTACGTCGTAGGCACGGTTGGGGATGCGCTGGGCGCAACGATCTCGGGCGGGATCTGGACGAATACTTTTCGTGGGGCGCTGGTGAGGAAACTTCCGCCTTCGGCGAGGGGGGATTTGCAGGCGATTTATGAGGGGTTGGATAAGCAGCTTTCGTATGCGGTGGGGACGAAGGTGCGGCTGGCGATCCAGGAGGCGTATGGGTATGCGCAGACGAGGATGCTGGCGGCGGGGACGGAATTTATGGGGTTGGGGATTGTTTGGACGTTGATGATGAGGGATATTAATGTGGGTGAAGTGGCGCAGGTGAGGGGGACGGTGTTTTGACCTGAACCGACAGAGTCGTGCAACGCGCACTACTTTCAGCATGAACAAGACGGCACAGGTCAAAGAAGTGGGAGCAAATGGGTTGCCAGCTACGTACAGCCTCTGACTCCCTGTTTTTAACTTGTCTCCACCGTCCACACCAGACGAATAACCAACCACCTCATCCTCCATCATCATCTCGACATCAGCTCCCCAGATTGCTTCTCGAAGAAGCCGAACCAACCCAACTCCAGAGGAGAGGGATACAACACACGCTCTATGTACAAAAGAGCACAAAAACCAAACACAAGCAACAATCCTCTTCATTCTTAAGGAGTTCAGCCAGACCCTGTCAGAGAGGGAAAGGCGAACATCGACTTGATAACGCTCGTTACCAGAATCTCAGCTCAAGACAATCGCTCCGCGCTCTCGCACCCGACACAGAAAGTTAGGTCAGGGGATAACCGCAAGGAGCAAATTCGTCGAGCGAATTAAATGAGCAGACCATACCCAAGCCACGCTTTTCTCCTAGGATGAAGCACGACTCGTGCCATACGCCTCGTATATGGCACCAAATGTCCGGCTCGATGATCCCATTTCCTCGCTGCAGGGGCAGTGCTTCGCTGCCAATGTCCCCTTTTCGACCGAGCGTGGGGCGGATTGAAGGCGTGGGGAGTGGAAGTGTCTGCATCTCGTCTACGCACGCAGGAAGCGTCCAGGGCAAAGCCGCACGTGACGATCAAGCGGGGGCAGACGAGTACCAGACACGACGACACAACTCACGCGCTTCGCTCAACGCGCGACGCCAGGTGGGAAAGGGGTGGAGAGGCGGCGGTTTCTGCTCCTGCGGGAGGAAGGCGGGACAGAGGAGCGGGATGGAGGGGGTCGGGGGAGTGCCGTGACGATACCGGGAAATTTCATCGCTGAGAGCTCCGTCTTTTCGCTCTTTCTTCGCTTCGTCGGATACCGCGGTGAAGGGGCGGTGGAGGTGGGTGCATGTTCGTCCAGAGTTAGAAGTCCAGGTATCATGAACCCGTACCGCGCGTTCGCAGCGCATTCCAACGGGGAAAGAGGTCCAGGGGAGCCACAAAGGGTTTCCGTTCGCTCAGCAAGCAGGAAGCAGAGCACAACGCTAGAACGCGCACAAAAGAAACAACAGTTTTGCGCAAATGCCAGCTCGGGAGGAGCTGCGTGATGCGTCTACCGGATCCGCGCGCAAAATGGTGCGCAGCAGGATGCTCAGTAGAAGGACGCTGACATCGTCCGGTCTGAGCATGTTTAAAGTCTCGATTCGCAGTCGCCGAACGCAACCGCTCGAATAATCCGACGGGATGACGCAGAGCGCACCGGTGGCCAAGCCGGCGTGGAAAGGTCAAGGTGTCGGACTGAGAACCGGCACTCATGACAGTGCCGTCTCAACGGGCGGGGTCGGCGAATGGATTGGGTTTATTGGTGGTGGGCTGTAGGTAATTCGGATTCGTGAATGGGTTGTCCGGGTGGGCCGTCTGTGGGGAGGAGACGGCGTAGTCGCCGTGGCTGGAGGCACGGACGTGGGTGGGGCGGCGGATGGCGGCGTCGACGTGTTGGCCGGGCACGTTGCCCAGCTTCTCGTTTGGCGAGCGGAAGCCGGTGTTGAGGATGGGCGAGGTGGCGGTTTGGACTTCGAAGGTTGGCAGTGGGAGCGGCGTGAGGGTGTACGACTGGCCGTTGAACTTGTTTGCCGTATTGTCGCCAGGATTGGCGGTGGCTTGCTCGTAGGTCGGCACACGTTGCAGATCGTTCATCTCGTACTTGTCGAAAGATCGAATGCTGCGATCAGTCGTGTCGTGGTTTTCACCCCAGCCAAAGTTCGCATGCGGAGAGCGGCCGGTGTAGACACCTTCATCGCCACCCTTGAAGAAGACGAAGAGCGCTCTGAAGATACCGATCAAAGCGATGATGACCCATATCAACAGTACGCAAGTTGATATAATCGCTTCTTGTCGGATGGCGCTCTCCAAAGCGTGGATGACGTGGTACATGGCGCCGGTGATAGCATCGGCTGCACCGCTGTCAGGTCCCGCTGCCAAAATATCCGCCTCCGAACCGGACACCTTGTCGATCGTTCCAAGCGAGAAGGTGTTGTTCGGATGAAGCGGGAAGTCGACGTGAGCATGCTCACTTATCCAGGTCAAACCGCTCTCAATACCGGTAATCTTCAACAGCACCAAGCAGTTCAGAACTTCAAGCACGGGATCGTACAGTATCGTGCCGCCAAACGTGGTGTTGAGGACGTCCATGACGCCGTCAACAAAGACATTCAGCGTGTCGTTGACTGCCGTGGTCGTGGTGTTCACCCAACCAAAGACATCATGGTTGATACTGTCGCTCGTATCCGTGATGATGCTGTTGGTACCGGTGGCCCACTGCTCGCTCGCGTTGTTGAGGTGGTTAACGACTTTGTCCGCAAAGCCAATGACTTGGTTCTCAAGCTTGGGTACCTCTTTCTCGATCGTCCGAAGCAAGATATATTGACATAAACAGGCCAAAAGGCCGGCCAATGCTAAGGATAGAATGAAGAGAGCAGGCACCGTGGTCGCGTACGCGATGCTCCAGCGTACAAGAGTCTGTCGTCGGCGCGACTTGAAGTTGTCTGCGAGCTTGAGTCCGGCGGTGGAGGTGTAAGGCCGTGAAGCAATATAGACGGCGTCCATAGGGTCAAAGGCATCGCTCTTGATCAAGCGAGCCCGTTCTTGCTCCATCTTGAACCGCCGGATTTCTCGCCAAGCCATGGGTACGATGCAGAGGATAGCCAACACCACCAGTGTCACTAGAAAGATCTTCTTGGCAAGAAGCTCTATCTTGACCAGGTCGTCGAAGAAGTCGCTGATGCCGTTGTCGTCCGAGCAGAAAGTGAGTTTCTCTTTCTGCGGGACTGGGAAGAGAGCTCGGTCCATGGTGTACTTGGGCAAGCTCTTGTTCAGCAGCTGCTTCACTTCTTCGAATGGCCACCTGATGGCGTTCTTGGTGAAGTTGTTGACTTCGGCGAACGTTGGGATGTTCTTGTCGAGCTGGCGCAGCTCCTTGTCGTAGTCAGGTGGAAGCTGCAGCCTATCAAGCTTCTTGATCTCATTGGTAAGGTCCAGCTTTGGCGGGTCTGAATCATCACCAGTGAGAAAGTCGCCAATGTTGTCGAGATCCGAGATGAAGCCGTTCATGGCTTTTTGAAAGTCCAAAGCGGCATCACCCAGGTCATCGCCAACATCCTTCACCGTCGAGTTAAGAAAGCTGCCAACATCTTCGGCAATAGCGATCGCTGCATGCAAACTGCCGCCGACCGCAAACGTAATCAAGCAGATGTACGTCTGAGTCAGTAAGTTGATGATGAAGACAACAATTTCTTCGACTCCAGTGATAGTCATAATGAGCATCTCCATCAGTCCGTTGATGGCTTTCTCGATGCCTTGCGCCGAGAGCTCGTTGACGCCCTGCGACATGTAGTATGGCATGGAAGCCATCGCCGAGCCCACATCTTCGACGGAAGAGCAAGCGCCGAGCGCTTTCTCGCGCGCTTGTCCGAGGTTGTCGTCCAGGCTCGCGATTGCGAGTAGAGTCCGAATTAGTACGAGTAAAAGTAGTACAGTCCACCGGTTGATCCAGACCTGCGAGAGTCTAGCTCGAAGACCGAGGTACGGTGTCAGGTATGGTTCTTGTTGTGGCGGAGGTCGTGGTGCGTCCTGCGCGGCGTAGTAGTCACGCATCTCATGGTCGCCAGCGGAAGGGAAAGGAGGTTCGGGAGCATGGTTTTGCTGTTGGTTCTCTGGGGAGGCCATGGTGGCGGCGCGCGGTGTGAAAGTCGTGATATGCCTGATATCGATGTTCAGTAAGTGTGTCTATATCGTAATGGTCGCCAGCCAGGGCGATCTCGTGACGTAGCGCGCTCGAAGGAAAGAAGCTCTTTGTTATGAAAGGGAAGAAGTGTGGTCGGTCACAGCACGTGTCGGAAGGTGTCGTGAGTCTTGTGGGCCAGCATTATGATTATTTTGGTGAATGCATCATTCGAGTGTGCAATGGGGTATCAATAAGACACAATGAGACTCGTCACGTCGTGCATGCTGCGGAGGATGAAGTGAAGTCGGCGCGGGTGGGCGCGGTTGAACAATGAAAAGCTCGACAATAGCAGGCCGGCATTATGAAGACCAAGCAAAGACCACGTACCATGTTAATCGTGGTATGGCCGGTCATGCGACCACGGAAGATGATGGTCTGAAACAGAGGCATATCGTTCGAGAAGGCGTTTCGTAGCCGCGCAGCCAACCACATGGCTCGGCTGATCTGAGAGAGGTCGAAGGTGAGGCGTCCGAGCGCGCTGTACGCGCCGCATTCTTGCATTGCAGTCGCTGCAGGCCACTGACCGGCCGACTGCTAAAAATGCATGGGCGCCGTCGCGGGAGGTCGAAGACGGAGACGGCGGATGCTCTTCGTACTCAGCGACCAGTCTGGCGTGGTAGAGTGATCGTCGCACGCTGAGTTGGTCGCCAAGCGCTGGGAGACGGCCGCCGTCTCCATCTCCGCCGTGCCAGCGCGCCCGGATGGCGGTCGTAGGGTTCCGCTTGGTCTGGCGTGGTCGATGGGGTGGATGGACGCCCTCCGCGCCCTCGCCAGGGCGAGAGAGGGAGGGACGCCCATCTTCAAGAGACGAGACGGAAGCAGGTTTTAAAGGGCAGATTCATGTGGCTGACACGGCCCCACTTCTCGCGTGGAGGCGCCACATCCATCTCTGTATTCCAACGTCATCCCTTCTCTGAGCGACTTCATCTCACAACCATAAACATACTTCTCTGTCGTCGTCGCTGTCCCCTATCGCAAACAACGTCCATTCGCTGCCGCCTACCTCATTCCTGCCGACGACACCACGACACCTCCCAGTCTGCTCACCCCAGCAACGCACGACAACAACACGGTAGAACACACGCGGACGACCAGAAAATCTTCAGACGAGAGCACCATGTCGACTTATTGCTGCGGGCCAGACCTCCAGTATGAGCTACGCACGATCCGCTGGACACGGCCAACGGCCTTGCTACCAACGCGCAATCCAAAGCACAATATCCGCCCAGCGCGCCTAGTGGCGGCGAAAGCAGTGCATGAGCGGTAGGCTGGCTGTTCCCTTTCTTCCCTAACCCATTGAGACACCATCTACAAGAGGAAGCTAGCCATCCTCCACATTCCGCTTCCCCGTCAGTCTTTCTCTTGGTGATGTTGGTCTCAAATCAATCTCACTAAAACCATCATCATTCTCTTCACAAGCACCACCCTCGATACTGATCGAACACGAACGTCGCCGCTGTCGGCACCTCCTCTCTCGACCAGTAGCTCAGCACATCTTGCCGGCGGTAGATATTCGGTCGCTATCCTTCTGATTCACTCGTCCACTACTTAAGCCTATCTCTCTCTCTTCCAAGACAACCACTCCTTCACAAACCTCTCGACTTTCCGGGCGCAATCTGCCCCTTCACATACTTCTCAGCACTACCGGCCCACTCTGCTATACCACCTTCTATCCAGCGACACTGGCAAGACCATGAAATTAAGAGCGTGGACATATCCTAAGTCGGTCTTTCAATAACAACTACCTTGCTGGCCACAGCCAGAAGACTACCACCGCCGGCAATCGTCGGACCTGGTCCTATCACCTCCACCCGTCCATCAGACCACAGCTCCAGCGACATTTCGGAAGAGCCATCGGCCCAGGCTTCACGTGGTATGTATACCGCCGTTGCCGGCCCGCAGATATGCCGCGGCGGAGCGCCTGCTTTCACCTCAAGCACACCAATATTGACAGGACTTTTCACAGCTACCACGACATCTACCTGCCTCCTCCGTACCACGACCATCTCGACCTACACCACCCGTACTCCAGTTCTACAGCTCCAGGCTCCCTTAGGCGACAAGAACAGACGACAACATCCCGCGACGACAGCCTACCGCCACTAGCGGGGTAGGCGCCTGAGCGGACAATAGCAAACGGCCTCAACCGGAAACCTAAGGCTAAACCCCATTGAGCAGTGTAAGAGATGCCAGTACAATCTATTTTGGATGCTGCTCCGGGCGCAATTACTCCGCCATGAGTCGACAAGGCTGATTTGCGTAGTATCAAGAACTGAAGGATCAACACTTAGGCGAAGGAGGCGTCTGGTCCAGCCGGTGTTACAAGAGGATCTACTCCCACGACACTCACATATAAACCAGAAGCCGCGGGGAAGTAGCGCCCCCGTTGTGCTTCGACTACGACACAACACAAGGTCAGCACCCTCTTCTGTTTTTGTCCTTTGTTCCAACGCTGTGCGCTGGCGATACTCCGTGCGTCGCCGGTCGCACATGATTGCACGTTCGCTACGTTGCCGCAATAAAGGTATGGTCCGGCATCGCAAAGCATGTGTACATTCACACGCCCTGAGCTCAACATGGCAAGTATGCGCAAACCTCCCAGACGACATTGACAGTGCGTTACAGATTCCACCCTTCCACCAATCAGCACCAGTCAGCAACAACCAACGGCAGTCAGCATCATGCAGGCGAGAGCACCGCCCATGATCCACCCATCCCGCCAATGGGTCAACCCCAACATCAAAGCCAACCAGGAAAAGCAAGCTCTCAACCGATCTCGTCGCCGCATCTGCAAGAATAGTCCATTCTGGTCCTTCAACTTCGACCTCGCCCAGCACCATCGTGACTGGGCCGCCGGCAAGGACCGTGAAGCCCGCCACAAAGCCACCGCAGCCCTGCTCCAGCTCGAATCCAGCATCGCTGCCCAAGACGGCGACCCCTTCCCTATCCCACCTCCGCCAATCCGCCGCCCCCTCGACGGCAAAAGCTTCACCACGGCGCACAGCAACGTTCTCTCACTCCCCACAGTCTTCTGCCCGCAGTTCAAGCTCGGCAAGCAAGAAGAAGCCCCCTGGCCCACCAAATCGGAGATGAAGTACGAAGGCGACGACCGCATCTCCACTGATCGCTTGCACGGCAGGTTCCCCGGCGCGCCAAGAGTTCCAGGAAACGAGACGGTGAACTGGCAGCACAAGGCGATTATTATACAGTGGCCTTTTGACGACTTCTTGTTCCCGCTGCCCGGGGAGGTGGAGATTTGGATGCGCGGGCATGTGGTGGGGGAGTTGGAGTTTAGCGAGAAAGAGGCGGAGGTGGTGCTGGGGGGTGAGATTATGGGGTTGTTGGATCCGCAGGATCAGTTTCTGGAGTGAAGGCTCCGAGAGCATGGCGACTATACTACACTGCGGGACGACATTTCGAGACGACACACGACACCAATCCACGACACCGACCTTGGACATCTAAGACACCTTCGCATCTCCGCCACAGCTCGACGAAGATCTCCACATCTTCATCTACCTCCACCTCGGCCTCTACCTGCACAACCTCAATTTCACCCTCCGCCTCCTGCTGCGACTCCACGCAGCAGATCCGAAGTCCTCCATCGCCTCCCGCCCTTCCTGACAGCTGTGGGCGATTCAACAACGCTCACGATGCATCCAGAGAAGGTGATGGGGACCCTCTACAAGTAGTGCGCTCGACGGCATCACTATCTCGAAGGCGCGGAGCCTTGGCAGCGCAAAATGCAGATGCTGGCGCTACTTCATGGCATGACCGGTAAGTTGCAGTTCGAGAGTTTCCTTACACTGCCCGACGTGGGGGCGTCTCCGATGGGCGCTCATTTCTTGTTCGAAGCCGGACCTTCAACGCCATCTCCTCCTCCGACCCCAACTGTGATGGCCAGGAAGACTCGCAAGTATTACCACGACACCACACAACCACGACCTCAGTCCACCACAACACGATTCCACGGCTGCGACGAAGGCGATCATCATCATCACATCCACACCATGCAACACCTTCACCATTTCCCAGCACCTCACAGCACCATCTCATCTCTTTCCCACATGAACGGCAAGCGATACGACTGCTCAGTGCCCAGCCAGATTCAACAACGGTACAGGGACGGAGAGGCGTTGAGTTTCCTTTCTCTTGTGATTTGATGTCATTTATATCACGACGGGCAGCACGACACGCTCGGCAGGCCCCCTCGGGGGATTAAATCTTGGTTACGGCGTTGCGATTATGGACAGAAAAGTTTTGGACACACTATCTCTTATACTTGAATTTCGTTGGTTGGGCAGACATTCTTGCATTCCATACCTATTATGCGTTATACATTATCCCATTTCCCTACATGTCTCAGTACAAATCTACTCAGACAAAACGCAAACCTCCCCTAACAACTAACCCGTCCCTTAAATCATACTTGTTGTACATGCAATAGAGTACACTTTAGTCTTACAACCCCACCGCCTTCCCAAACCTCGCCTCCATCTCCTTAGCCCTCGCCCTCTCCTGCAGCCGCGCAGCCACCTCCGCCTGCTTCCTCTCATCGTGCGCCTGTTTCCTCTCCAATTCCACAGACTGTTTCTGCAGATTCGTCAGGATCATCTTATCCAACGTGCCAGCACTCATCGGTCGCGCCGCAGGCGCCTGCTCCTCTTTCCCAATGGCAGATGACGTCCCGACCTCTGAACTCTTGCCGGTCTTGGCCGCCTGCTCACGACGGAACTTCGCTTCTAGCCAGTCGACGGAGCGGCGCTGGTATTGTGGCTCTGCGCTGTAGGTCCGGGCGGTGGCGGGGTCGATCATGGGATAGCGGTTCGAGTTCATTTTGTGCGGGGTGGGGGGCAGAGGCTTCGACTGTTTTCGGGGTTTGGATGGGCCGGGGGTGGTGGAACTGGTCGCTTGCTGTGGCTCGTGTTTGAGCTGGGTTTGTCTGCGGGGGATGTTCTTGGCCTTGGGAGGAGCGGCGGCCAGTGGTGGTGGGTTGTTGAGAAGTTCGGCGGTGTTGAGGTCGTCGAAGATGCCGGACTCGACGCGGGCGTAGTGTCTGCGGTGGTCGGGCAGGATGGGCTCGAAGTCTGGCGTTGGTGGGCGAACGTTGGCAGCTGGTTGCTTGCCTTGAGCCTTTTCGGACATCACGGCGGCGATGGTGGGTGCGACTTTGTAGGCTGTGTATTGTGTCTTCTCGCCCGTGGTTGTTGGGAGCGAAAAGGGTCGCTGGCCTGGATAAAGAGCTTGCGGGTATTGGGCTGGGAGCAAGACGGCTGGATGCGGCGTCTCTGTGACCGGGACAGCATTTCCGGACTTGAGCTTGTTGAAAGTGCTCTCACGGTTCTTCTCGACGTGCGTCGGCTCATCGACATCGAAGACGGCATCCTCGCTGAACACTGGCTCATTTGCGATGGTGAACTCTCCGACGGAGGTGATGAACTGCAGGCTAGGTGGCGCTGCGGACACTTTCTTCGGCTCGACCTGGATCGTATCTGGTTCAACAGAAGCGTGCTTCGGGCCGGAAGAAGGAGGCTTGTGACCGTCAAGGCGATTCTTGAAGTCATGGTATGAGGTCCTCTCGCCGTCAGCAGTGTTGAAGGCACTAGAGTGGCGCCAGACGTGGGTAGGACGCAGATGCTTGTCGTCTACCAACGAAGTCCTGCTCGAAGGCGGGCTGTCTTCGTCAGATGGAGGGCTGGAGCGGAAGCTGGCTGCGTCTTCTTTGTCAGCCACAGAAATGGACATTGGAGTGATCGGTCGAACGCTATTGACGGCTGGATGTGAGAAGCGCACGCTCTCGTGAGATACAGCAGGCGACCCTTCGCCTGCCCAGTTGTGGATGCCGTAGGTAGTCCTCTTGCCGTTAATCGAAGGACGAGTCACGGCAATGTCAGGGACTGTGGTGCTGCTGTTGTCAGTCATGTTTGTCGAAAGGTTGGGACGAGAGCGCACAAATGACTGAGCAGGGTCGGCCTGTGAGTTCTTTGGCTCGTCAGGCATGTAAAAGCCGGCTTTGGATGTCTTCGTGGCTTTCGGGGCGGCTGCCTTCCTGTGGAAGAGGCGTCTCCAGAAGCCGGGTCTGGCTGTGCGCTCTTCTGGGGTGTCAACAGCTTGAGCATCGTAGCTGCGGAAATACTCGAAGGAGCCAGGATCGTTCCTGACGCCAAGTGTCGGTGGCGGAAAGCAGTTGTTCGTCATAGTCGAGGTAGTAGTCACGGCGATGGGAGCGTTGTAATTACTTGCCGTTGTTGCGTGGAGTGTGTTGGTTCGTTGAAGTGTGCTATCAAAGCCCAGCTTGTAACCGCTTGTGAGTATGAAGACGGGGTGGTACAACTGCAAGTAAAGTTGTGCGCTGGGGGGTCGAGGGAAGGCTTTGAGACATGTCGAGAATCTATACTTCGAGATGTCTTTGTGCGTCTTACATGAGAGATGAGCACTGCAACAAAGAAATGTCTTGCTGGACAAAGGAGCATGGACATTAGGACGAGGAAGAATGACCATTGTATCTTGGGTCGAGGGAAAGTAGACAAGGAGAAGAGGTGGCCAATCTGATTACCTTTGTTCGGTTGCAAGAGTGGCGAGTACGGTAGCTTTCGTCGTCGTCGAAGGTGGGAGCATAACTGTAACTCGTCCTTGCAGGCATCACCTGCCGCTGATGAGGTCCGTAAATGCGTTCAAGCGTTGTGGCCTGGTTAGGTAAAAGAGGCTCGTATATGATGTTGCCAGGAACTGGGCCAGGAGGTGGCGGCGCTTCGCCGCTCAGGATTTTTCAACTGGGTATGATTTCGAAGAGTCGTACAAGCGTCTGTCGTCTCTGATGTGCTCGTGCTTGTAATGGGTGGTAGAGGCGTGATGATGGGTGCCGGTGGTAAGGTCGTCGAGAGGAGAATGTCGTTGGCGAAGTTGTTCCTGCAAAATCCAATCCAGAACCTCATTGGCAGTGAGCTGGCCGCTAGTCACGGGCGCTAACGGGCGTTTGCATTTGGTGTTGGACAACCGTTTTGGTGAAAGAACCGTCTTTAGATTTACATCGTGTCTATACCCTATCTACACCGTGTTAACACATGCGTCCATAGGAGACCGTGTATTACACTCGCACTGGCTACCTGGGAGTCATACAAGCAAAGCAAAGCTGCTAAGTACAGCCCTGGGAGGCTTAAAGACTGGATGCAGTGGGCAAAGGAGAACCTGCAAGGCTGTGGCTCCCGAGAACTGTCCCACTGTAAGGCTGGACCTTGGATGAAGATTAGACACTCAGAAGTCCACCCAGGGTTATCGCTTGTTGTCTGGCGTCCTGCAGGCCAGAGCCGTCTTGCTCTACCCAAGTATTGAGCCACCTGGTGACACCACAGATTGGATTTGGGTCTTCTGGCCGACAAGCAGCAAGGCTACGAGGCTGCCCATGGACAAGGCCGTAGTGTGGATACTCACGACGAGGCTCGACCAAACTTGGTCCTGGATCTGGCCAAGCCACAGGTAGTACAGTGGCTTGAAGTTAGGTAAGTCGCTGGATGTCGCCTCTTGGCGATGAAGCCTCCTGCATGGTGCTGTTGTGCATCCTGTGTGCTTCGAGAGCGTCGATGCGCGGGAGATGTGGTCTGCGAGGCTCTGTCGAGATTTTGACGACATCTTTGGTGTTGTGGTGTTGTGGTGTTGTGGTGTTGTGGTACACCCGTCAAGCCTATTCAACCCTGAAATGCGAAATCTCACTGGCATGTTTGGCCTGCTGGCCAGCTAGTCGATATCTTCATCACTGACAGAAGTACTGTAAGGCTGGATCGGGACATGTCTTGAAAGGCTTAGATGCTGACGTGGTACAGTACCCGGGCTTCCCAGACGACATGCCTGTCAATATAGTGGCTGCATGACTGCTCGTCTTTACCCCAGCCCGACTGCTTCAACCGGGTTGGATAGATGCATCTTTGGCTCGAGGGGCAGCAGCATTCTCTTTGACTTGGTCCACCACGAGAACGAGCTCCGCTGTGTGCTTGAATGCACAAAGTCTGGACCGAAGACATAGACGTTCCGTGGGGTTCAATGTGGCCAAGGAGCCGCATCACTGAGTATATAAGCAGGTCACTCTCGTGCTCCAGTCGAAATCAGGCACGATTGATCGAGCTGCGAAGCCCTCCAGCGCTTTCCGACTCATTCGCTTCCTTACCCTTTCGCTACGCTTAGCCTGACGCTTCACAATATGACTACCCGTCTCATGCTCACGGCAGCGGCCATTGGCATGGCGTCAGCGCTGCCTTACCTCGCCGTCCGCGACGCCTGCTCTCCTCAGCCAGCCGGTGCTGGTCCGATCACCTCGCCGGACACGGCCGAAGCTTTCTCGAACAACAGTATCTACGTCAACACCGCTGTCAGCGCTCCCACCCCTCAGGGCTACAGCCTGGCATTTGCCCGCCTGTCAGGGTCTACTTCTCAAGATGGCTACATGGGCTCGTAAGTGTTTCATAGCGTTGAACGTCACAGCAGCTGACATTACCCAGCTACAACCTGCAAACCTACGACACCATCCAGTGTCAAGAGTACTGCGACAGCGTCCTCGGTTGCAACGCCTTCAACATCTTCTATGAGCGCGACCCATCCGTGGACCCAGGCGCCGGCTGCGACAACCCGCCATCCACAGTCAATATCAAATGCATCCTCTGGAACTCTGCAGTCACCGCCAGCACTGCCGTTAACCAAGGCGGCTACAGGAACAACTTCCACATCGTCATCGCGGCGTCGAACGGCTACGTCAAAGACGCTCCTCCGCCACCTCTACCCAGCTTCACCGGCCCAGTCGAGCTAGGTGGTTCCATCAGCGCACCGCTCAACAGTGCTGGAAAGGACACTTATACTGGGTTTGAGTATCATGCTGGTGCTTTTGATCCTTCGAAGTGTGCCTCCGGATGTCTGGCTCATACGCAGTATGACCATGATCATCCGAATGCTGATGGGACATACCAGGCGTGCAACTTCGTAAGTCAGATCTCGCTCAAGTCAGTGGTGGAAGACTAACTCTGAGTCTCAGTTCAACGCCTACGTGCAGAGTGTGAACAACGTTCCTCAGGGCACTTATTGCACGTTCTACACACAGGTATGTTGCTTCCGATAACTCCACTCTATGACTTTAGCCTTGCGGCACAAGCATGCTGACTGGAGATCGATAGCCATGGGACCGATCCTACGCAACCAACTACGCCTACTATGCTGGTCAGTGGGCACAGCAGGGCAACTACAACTCCATCAGCCAGTCGTACGGCTACAGCTTGACCACGCAAGATCCGGGTGTGGTCAGCTAGATTTTCTGCGCGAAAACGCTTTGATGGCAGGGAAGGGAAGTTATACGGCTGGTCATTTCGGTTTGAGGGGGACACGACAGAGTCCGAGGGATCGTGATGCATGACTATTTCCACATCACTTCGTCGAAAGCATGCTACTTGACTTTGAGCTGCCTGAGCCATTCTCCAGTCGTCCTTATCATCACATGTCCCTAAAGTCTCGATGCAGATTTCGAGGGTCATAACGGAGAGCATGTCAATAGTCTGGTGGATGTCGAAAGGAGTAAAGCCGTAGAGCGCTGCGATTGGCTGGAAATCTCGGACAATAACGGGCGGCTGCATTGGGTGTTGGACACAGTGCTGAGGGAAGAAGCGTGTTGAACGGAAAAACCGTGTGGAGAGGCAACACCGTGTCATCACCCTATCTACACCGTAGTATCACCCCTCTTATCACCGCACCTACAGCGCACCATCACTCCACCACCACGCTACTATCGCCCTACCATCTCCCTACATCACCGCATTTACGCCATTCCCACAACATGTACAAAATAGAACATTGAAATTGATTAATCGTCAATTCAAGACTCAAAGAGGTGTTGAGAAGATAAGCCATGTTTCGTGATTCCTCTACTCTACAGACGAGAAATCTACAAGCAACCCACGGTCTGTACATGAGTCGAGCGTAGTCTCACTTCCATCCTTCACCAGTATACCTCAAGCAACTCCGTCGTGCCTTTCCACTGCACCCACTCCGCTACCTCAAACATTCTCAAAGAAGAACGTCGGTTGCCCAGGTACTGCGCTCGAAGCTACAGGAGCCATCTCCTTCCTCTCTGCCCCCATCTCCACACCCTCACTGCCAGCAACAACCTTCCCAATCTTGCTGTCTCCCTCTCCTTCCTCCACCCCAACGACCTCCACAACCTTACACTTCACCACCGTCTGCTTCAACCCCGGCACCATCTGTCCCAAAACGTCAACCTCATCAAACAACAAACTCCGCTCAAACACCTCCTCCGGCTTGACCCCAGACTCCAGACTCTTCTTCAACTGCTGCACAAAAGGCATCCCGCGCTTCGCCTCCGCCTTGGGCATCGCTTTGCTCACGGCGCCGACGTCGAGTTTCATGTTCTTGAAGTTCTCGCGCACAGTGTCGATGATGGCGTCTTGCCAGCTCGGGTATTTCGTCGCGCAGAAGACGGAGAGTTTCTTGTCCTTCTTCGGGTCGTAGCTCATGCTCTTGCCCTTGGCCATGCGCTTGAGCTGTGCGCCTTCGGCGGACGTGATGGCGGAGCTGGTGGCGCGGACGTACTCGCGCGCTGCGGCGAGCTTGGGGTCTTGTTCGGGGACGGAGGGGAAGTGGGCGTTTTGGACGGTGGTGTCTTTCTTGAGGACTTCGAGCCAGATGTGCTCGGACCAGTGGGGGGCCACGACTGTGACCATCAGGGCTTGCAGCTCGACGTAGCGGCGTACGAGGTCTTGGTGCATGCCGACGCCTGCGGCTTTGGTGGCTTCGCGGTAGAAGTCTCGGGCGGAGATGAAGTCGTAGAGGCCGGACTTCAGGGCGGCTTTGTAGTTGCTCAGCTCGTATTGCTCTCGGGTTTCGCGGACGAGGCCGTTGAGCTCGTTATCGAAAATGCGGTCCCAGAAGGTCAACTCGCCGGTGCGTTGGATGGAGTCAACAGTCTTGTGGCGTTCGGCATCGCGGACTGCGTTGTAGGACTCGCCAGCCTTGAGTGGGCGGGCGTCCTGCACGACAGACTCGCACCAGCTGCGCAGCTCGTACATGCGGAGGATGTTGGAGTTCGCCACCGTCTCTTCGAAGTTAGCGTCTTCAATACCATCACCAGCATCCGCAAGCGCAATACGCGTAGCATCGGCACCAAACTTCCGTACAGCGTCTGCGAGAGTAAGGAAGTTGCCGGTGCTCTTGCTCATCTTCTCGCCGTTGAGCATGAGATGGCCATTAATTCTGACAGCTTTGGGCCAGTACTCAGGCGGGAAGAGCGCAATGTGGACGTAGAGGAAGAAGGTGAGATGGTTCTGGATGAGGTCCTTGCCGGAGCATCGCAGGTCCAGAGGGTACCAGTATTCGAACTCGCGGCGCATCATCTGGAAGGAGGATTCAGGGATGTTAGAGTTGGCGGGAGGCGTCTGACTGCGGCAGAACAGGTAATCCCAGACTTCATCAGTCATCTGATCTGGAGTGACACCGGCGGGACCTTTGGTTTTGCCGAAGATGTCGGAGTGGAGGAGATGGGCGATAGTGTAGTAAGACATGTAAATGGTGGAGTCCGACAAGCTCTCGACAAGCTGGCTTTGATCCCAGGGCAGCTTAGTGCCCAACCCGTATGATCGCGCGCAAGCCCATTGTGCGAGCCAGAACAGCACTTGCTCGAACGCGTTCTTGACCTCAGTCGAGAAGGTATTCAGCCCTTCGCCATTCTCATTTCGTACATGCTCCAGCACTGCAGGTTGCCACTTCTCGTCACCACTCTTCTCGGGTGTGCCGTAATTCATGAACCATTGGTCGAGATGACCAGCAACGCACTCATCGCCACTCCGGCTTATCACCAGACCATCCGGCTCAGCATAGTTGAACGCATCGCCAGCATCCAGCAACTGCTGTTTCACGAGTGGCTTCGCCTCTTCCACACTCTTGCCCTTGAAATCACCATGAATCATCGTGCCCTTGTAGTAGCCCTCCTTGTATGCTAGATCCTTCGCCTCAGCCAACTGTTTGGCATCTTTCGGTGAGTTAATCTTCATTTTCTCCACAAGGTGCTTCGCTGTCAGATTGCCGTACGAGGGTGTCTCGATGATGGGAAGAATGTCCAGCTCGGCCCATTCCCGCTTGATCTTGTAGTACTCGGCCTTCTTCGTCAGATCCAGCATTGTCGCGTAGTCGTCTGGTGAATCTGAAGGCACAGAAGTGACAACGCCGGTGCCTTTCGTCGCTTTCACCGACTCCATGGGTAGGATGCGAATGCCCTTCGTGTGTACTGAAAGTGGTGCGTGCACCAAGGTACCAATGACATCAGAGCCTTGCAGTTCCGCGACCTTCGGGAAGACACCCCAGGTCGGGAAGATGGATTGGAAGGCCATGTTCCGCGCGGCACGATCGGAGATGAAGTAGTACTCCTTCCCCTTCACGACTTCATAGATGCCGTACGTCAAGCTAGGCCCGACAAAGCAGCTGTTCTGTCCGTACATGGTCTCTGGCCGTAGCGTAGCAGGGACGAAGTGGACATTGCCATCCTCTGGAATCTTGCCATCCATCTTCTTCTTTGCCTCTTCAGGCCACTCCATCACGCGCAGCTTCATTGCCGTGTACTCCTGCACGCCGATGCCCTCTCCCGTCTGCCGGTCATGGTCCATACAAGCTTGTCCATCTTTGGGCGAGTAGACAGTGTATCTCTTGCCGAACCTGATCTTGCCCATCTCTTTGAGGCGATTCATCTGCCACCGCACAAAAGCATCGTAGTAAGGATTCGCATCTGTGGTGACCATGCTCCTCCTCCAATCGACACGGCATCCCAGGTCGTTCAAGTCTCGCTTCCAGAGCGGAGGGAAGTATTCGAGCCAGTACTGAGGATCAGAGAAGCGGTGGATCTCTTCGATGGGGATACCAATGGCCAGCATGATCTGGAATTGGTATTTGAGGTTGACGTTGACTTTCGCGGCCGCTTTCGACTTCTTCGCCGTGAACTTTGTCACATCCTCCTTGGTTGTTTCCTGCGTAGGTGCCGGAGGTGCGCCGTTGGCCTGCTGTGTAGGTGGTTTGGCGTCCTCTGCGACCACCTCATCCACGGGACACTTTTCGAACTCCTGCCCGAACATCTCAATCTCCCGAACCAGCTTGTCCGCGCAAGCTTTGATGGGCATACCCGTGCAGTGGTAGCCCTGCGGGTATAGCGCGCGCTGCCCCTTCATCCTCGCCCAGCCGATCGCGAACTCCAGCTTACTCGCGGTGAAAGAGTGACCAGCATGAGGCGTGCCATTGACATATGGATACGCCATGGTGACCATGTACTTGGGATGCTTCTTACGTATCTCTGCTGCCGGCATCGACTGGAAGGGGATCTCTTGCAGAGACGGCGCATCTTGCTCGAAGATTTTCGATTCGGTCCATTGTTGCTGGTACTTCTTCTCCGACGCTATGAGGGTATCGCGCTTGTCGGTGTTCTCGATCTTTAGCGTGCCTACGCTTTGCGCCGCCGGGTCGAGGGCCTTCTGTGTTGCTGCCACCGCCGCCATCGTTGCGTAGGAAGTGCGATATGAGTGGAGAGTCTGCTGCAAGCCACGCAGCGGCGGCGTTGTTCGGCGGAGGAGAAGCAGCGTGGTGACTCACGGGGTCATGGAGCGAGTGCTGGTCGAGTCTTCGTGTGTCTTTGTGCTCTGTCACAAGGCGTCTACAAAGTTCTGTCAAGTTGCTGGAAATTTACTCATACCGTCGGCAAAAACACCTTACGCGTATATTTCAGTATGGGTGTGCCCCGATGTTCACTATCCACTGTATAGCTGCACGATCACCTCACCTCTCCATCTCGACTCGACAAGCACCAACCATGGCCACCACTCTCTTCAACTCTCTCTTCCGTCGCGCTCCACAAGTTCCACCTCCCGTCAAATTTCCGTACACCTTCAAAAGCAATCCCTACAAAGCCAAGCGACCATGGCCTCCGGACTTCAGCCAGCTCTCCAGCAAGCACCAGTTCCGTCTCGAGCGCCGCTACCGTCGAAGAACGAAGCTGAAATGGGCGAGGCCGGGATGGAAGAAGGCGGTGACGTTGGTACAGTGGGGCAGTATTGTGGCGGTGGGCATCTACGGGGTGTTGTTTCTGGAAGTGACTGAAGGGCGAGAACGAGGGGTTGGCGAAGGGCAGGGGGAGAGAACCAGGGGCAGGACTGTGTTTGATGGAGTGCGAAAGTGGTATTGGGCACAGATGGATGAGTTTCGGGGAACAAGGGAGGTTAATGGGAGTCAAGGGCGGCAGAGTGGATGAGGGGCGGCTGATTAGACACGGCATGCGGTTGACGATGTCTATTAGACCCGAACGGCATATCAAGAATCTCAAGGACGTCAAACTAGGCACGGGAGGGAAGTTCATGTCTTGTGGCCTTGGCATCTGCAAGCCTGCAAGACTGGAAGCTGTGCACCCGCAGAGCTTTTCCCACCGGCTGCAAGGCACCTCTTCTGCCCAGTGCGGCGATCCCTTCGGAGGCGCAGTTATACATTGCCCGCTGTCGCATAGCGCACGATCTAGGGCACGGAAAGGGGCTCCTGCATCCCGATGCGCGTGGCTACAGCAAGACACTCTTAGCAACCGCCACACTCAGGCACTGGCTATGCGGATTGGCTCGATGTCAGGAACCAGCACCCAGCTCCAAGCGTCGGCATGCTCGCTTCAAACTAGAGTGGCTGTCTTCTACCCGCTCACCTGGCTCAGGGGTTGATTCAAACGCTGTCTGGCGAGTAGCAGCGTCTTCTGGAACCAGCGATGGCGAAACCTCATCTCGTGGAAAGCAGCCGAGACTCATGCCGATGTGCCCACTTGCGAGACTGGCCAACAGCGGACCATGCAAGATGTGGTGAAACTGCATCAGATGGCTCTTGGCTTTTCAGTCACAAATGGCTTACGGCCTCTCGCAGGACGAGTCTAGCAAACGAGCTTCCCACAAGCATGGTCTCGTCTTTCATGCTGACACACCGGCATGTCTTTCCATGAACGAACTCGTCCCAACGGTGTACATCTGGCCACACCGCTGGAAGACACCATTGAGACATGTCTTGGTACAGCAGACACGAGCCATTGATTGTCTAAGTCTAGTATGCTTGCCATCTGGCGGTATGCATGTCTGGTTCTCAGCATTGGAGATCGTTCACCGCGGAGGTCCAAGCCGTTGTATAAGAGTACCGCTACCTGCCATCAATCCCTCTCTTTCAAAATTCCAGCGCCCAACACCAGGTCGTTTCAACCGGGCAACAAATTGTCGACTTCACGAAGACTACGCCTCAGCTGCGAGCTCTACAACCTAATCCATATCAACAAGCAACCATCAGTGAGTATGAAGTCTCCCATCGTCCACCATCGCGCTAAGTTTCAGCAGCAATGCCACGCCTACCCCATCCGGCTTGCTGGGTCATAACTCTTGCGGTCATGGGCGTCCTTCTAGCTTGGTGCTCCTGGACCGAACCAATCGACCGGTACACCTCCGAAGTCTTGCGATTCTCCCTAGTTCGGCTGCAGGCACGTTTCGAGAACGCCCTTGCCCAGTACTCGCTACGCCTCCAAGGACTGGCGAAGCTCCTCGTCGAAAAGCACGGCAACGAATGTCCTGTTCTCAACAAGCTGTTCGCGCAATGCAGCAAGATGCTCGCCTCTTATGAGCATCGTGTCCCAGAATTCATGGCCATGATCGACGAGACGCAGCTTCCTGTTTCAAGACGGCAGTGGGTTTCGTCTTGTGACTTGATGCACGAAGGCACGGAGTTCTTGCTCGCCAGATTGGAGAAAGCTTGTCAGCCTGTCGCAGCTGCTACACTGAATTGCCAGTGGTCCTTGGAGAAGACTGCGTTAGTTCCAACTTGACACTGCGGCGATGACACCCAAGGCGACCCACCGCGATTACCAGCAAACCACACGTTCGAGCCCTAACTATCTTGCATCGAACGCTGTTTGCCTTCCAGCCGCACCAATCTGGCCTTTGGCCCGGCACTTCACGCCTGCGTTCTCAGACCACGCCCTGCATTCACCAATACGTGGAAATCGATACATCAGGTTACACCGTCAATGCGTTTTCTTGGAAGGATTTTGACGACTCCGAGATCTTCTACAACCGTGGTGCTGAATCGAGGGACCATACTTCACTTTTATCGGTTTGTCGTACATCTACGTTTTGAGGTATTGCATTTGGTGGGCTGGTTTCAGTAACGAATGTATCTAACGCTGTTTCTTGGGCGTACCTTTATGTGGCTCACTAATCTCCCAGCAATCATTCATCTTTCTATCAGCACTAATCCCTTGAGAAGTCAACTTGAGCCTCATTCAACCCCTTCTCGGACAGACAAGCTCAGTGGACCACGCTGCACGAGCGGGAAGCTGCACCAGCCCGCGAGCCTGCAGCCTCCCTCAGACAGATCCGATCTGTGAAATATGACAATGACACGCACCACGCCATGCCGCATTCGTGGTCCGGGAGGGTATTTCCAGGCAGCTGGTTTCCCAACGAGACGCTGTTCGACGCTTGTCTACCAACGCTGTTCTTCCCCGTCGGGTCATGATGGGTCAGTACTAAGACAGCCCGAAGATCTGGTCACTTCAATAGCGCAATACGCATAGGTGTAGGCCCTCTCGCAACATGTCCCCAGCGCGGGTATTGGCCTCCCGAGATTGCTATATGAACACTGTCTGTTTGAGCTCGCAGAGCGGTGTCAAGACGCACCCTTTTGGCATCTCCTCCGCTGATCTTGCAGGTGCGTGCCTGCGTTTATAAGTTTCTCTCCTTTTCTCTCCTTTCCCTCTCTCCTTTTTCCTCCAGATCAGAACCACCATACCTGCACCACGTGGTCTCGTTGCCTTCTTTCAACTCCATCACGGGCCCACCACAACACACTTCAGCCCAGACCATCATCAATCAAAGCCTCGCCGTCTTGTCAAGCCGCAGTGAGTATGTCCAACCATGAAAGACAAGCCAGAAAGCTAACCGTTCACAGAAAATGCAGATCTTCAACCGCCTGCAGATGATACTCCTCCTCATCTCGTCCCTGCTCTTCCTGGGACATACCACCAAGACCTCGCCCGGCTCGACCATACGAGACACCACCATCAAGTTCAAGCAGAGTCTGCTTCAAGAGCAGAAGCAGATACTCTTCGACATTGTCAAGACCCACGACTTACTTCTCAGGGACGCCGCCATTACCAGCTCTGTCTGCCCTGGTCTTAGAAACACGATTGAGCGTTGTATCGTCAGCGTTACAGATTTCGAGACCCAGATTGTAGAGATCGGGAAACGCATCGACGACGTGCAGACCGCTCAGCCTGTTCCCAACTTCGACCGCACCTTCATCTCGGTGCTTAAGGATACCCAAACCACTATTGTGAACCTTGGCCACCGTTGCACGCAGCCTCTTGAAGATGGTCTGCGTGGTTGCGTCGACCTGCTCGAAAACCTGTCAGTGAGGTGTCGGAATCAGCAACTCACTTTGCACGCACCAAACGGCACTGCAGCTACCAACTTTCTGACACGGGCTGGGTAACATCATCACGACGACGGGCCGACCTCGTGGCTGCAGACGACGGTTCGGGCTCGAGGGTACAAGTTATTTGGTACTCGGTTTGAGCAGCATTGTTTCGATGGCAAGGCAGACTGTGTGAGAGGAGAAAGCAAGGCGGAACGTTCTTCTGGAAATTGTTCTTGGTTTCGATGTAGCAGTTGTTGCAAGAGGCTCAGAGGTTGGCTGTCCGACGAAGTTTGGGATGATGTTGCTCTTTACTGGAAGATGTACTTAACTTGGGGTCAGTAATAGATGAAAGTGCTTTCATTCACGGTGCTGTACCGATGATCGCAATTCATACTCAGCTCTCCAATTAAGGCCGGTGATGCTCTGCTCTGGCGTCTGCTACAAAGCCACACCCATATCACTTTCAGAAGATTGGCCACTGACTCTGTCCTGCTCCGCCGGATAATTCATTCCAGCAAGTCGGAGACTCCGAGCTATGATCAGGCTACCGCCTGAACAACTGGCATAGGTTTCAGGTCTTGCCATGGCTTCCTCGTCGTGTGCCAACCAGAATAGCCTACCCTGTCCGGTTGAACGTGCTCATTATCGCTAGATCACGCCGCCATGTCGTCGTCCCTGAGCTTCTGGGCCGCTACAACTTGACCAGCCTCCCCAACCTCAGCAGATGCGTCCACGGCTTCTTCTCCTTTCGCCATCACAAGCTTCCCGCACGTGTGATCCCAAGTCGCCCAGAGATGACTGCCCTTCCGACCATACCTATGCACCTCCATCGTCGCAAAGGTATCCCAACCAGAGGCGCACCATAGTGCCTCTTCTTGCAGCTGCTCTTCTAGTCCGGCGAGGTCGGCTTTACCGAACTTGTCTCGACCCAGAGGAATATGCACGTGCAGATGGATCTGCTTGTTGTTGATGGCCCCTTCCTTGCACAGCAGTCGACTGAGCTGGAGAGCGCCACCAAAAACCACTGCGATGTACGGTGCAAAGATAATAACGCTCGGGACGGTCTCGTTCGGCGGGTAGTGGTTGAGGTTGACTCGTTGAATACGGCCTTTGATAGCGCCGAGAAACCCCGTTGCGAAATGGTAGCCCGAAATGGACTCGACGTTGAGCACCACCACCGTGGGAGAGGTTTTGGAGATGATGCTATCAACTTCGTCCTTCACTTGACGGCTGACAAGACGCAGATTGGGGTCGACAACGAATGCTTTGACTTTCAAACAATGCAGAGGCCCTGTCAGGCTGTTAGTCCGAATGGCGATGTTCCTCGTAGTCCGCACATACTGAATTTGACGTCGCACTTTGCTTCTGCGAGAACCACTTCGCGAAGCTCGCGGGGCAAGTCAAGGAAGCGGAACGGCTTGTGTGCGGTCTTGGGATCGTCCATGGTAGACGTCGTGCTCACGGTGTCGGCGTCTTCCAGGGTATGCGCTCTCGCGGCCTCAGATTTGGAGGTGAAGTTCAGAACATCAACCTTGCTGGCGCCACGTGGAGTCATCATGCTTCTCTGCGCTGCAGCGTTCACTTAGCCGATGAACGTTTGCGTGGAAGATGTAAAGCACCTACTGTGATTCTGTAACCTCCTGTCAGCGGGCTTTGGTAAGGCGCTGGTTTGGTGTGGGGAAGTCAGTTTTGAGGTGAAAGGGACAGGTCTATGTGCGGGAACACACAGGCAGACGCCCTAATGCGGACTAGCTCATTATTCACCTACCTCATTCAGTCATCTCACATGTTCCGCGATCTTCTCAACTTGGTCCTACATCTGATTTTGTGCGTCTGCCACTGAAGTGACATTTGAGTCTCTGATGGCTTCCGGACAACGCCGCATGGTAAGTGGCCGAATCTGCCAGTCGGGGGACTTCCTGCACACCACGAAATGACGGCCAACCTACTGAGCGGCGAGTGTGGCTTCCAGTCAGCGGCGAAGAAGGAAGTCGCTGAGGAACGCAAAGAGCCTGAACATTGGTTGAACGGGTAGGGAAAGTAGTCAGACCGACGGTGTTTGTGACGGCGTAGTTTTAGGCACGCTCCCGCTTCTGCAAGGCACCGTGGCTGCTGAAAGTCGAAGTACTCTAGCCCTCCATCCCTCCAGCCTTCAGTGCAGGTACGGTAACCGTCGCCAATGGCGTCCAGACTGTGCTTCAGGTCCAGACCAGCAAGAATCACCACATAGAAGGCAGCATAGCTGAAATGCTGACCTTTCCACCACCAAAAACTACTGAGAAGCCGTGCTCGTCCTGCCAGCAACAATGCGTTCCATCGCCGGGCGGAGTGAAGCTCAAGCTGGTAGCGGTGTTCTTCGCGAGATTTCCCATTGTCTCCTGCAGCCAGAGCAAAGCGTGCGGCGCGAAGAGGCGTTTGAAGATTCAAAATTGTCCCCAAGGAAGATCTGCTGGTCCCGAAATGGTCTGATTTGGAAACCTGTATCCCGCGCTCCAGGGCCAGCATCAGGCGGAAGTAGCTGGGAGAGTGGACGTACTATTCCCACGGAAGATGCCACTCGGCCTCTTGCGCATACGCATCCCAGCTTTGCCTAGATAGCCAGCAACAGGTATGCAGGCCAGAATTAGACGGATGCTGAAGCTCCGGAAATACGCTGTCCTCTACGTCCTCCCAGCGCATGTTGTAGTCCCGCGGCTATGCGCAAGCTCTCTTCAACACGCATTGCGCACCGCAAGCAAACCTTCTTGAACATCTCTTGCCTTCCCTCCCTCTCACCTCCCCGCCCAAATCCCCTGCGCCAACCCACTCCTCCCCTCATTAACCGGCCTCTTCGCCACCCGTCCCTGACTCCTCACTCCCTCCACCACCTTCTCCAACCCCGTCTCAACCACCACCCCACCCACGATCATCTCCCCCAATACCGCGTGCAACGTCTCAAAGTTGAAGATCAAGTCCAACTCGCACACGTTCTCGAACAACCGGTCCAGCGCTTCCACAAACACCTGGATCAAGTCCAAGAGGGCGAGAGGAGATTCGGTGGATGTGGAGATCATGATGAAGTAGAGCGTAGCGTAATGGCGGTAGGTGACGAGGGAGGGTGCGTCATTGTGCGCAGCACTAGAGGAGGTGTTGGCGGGTGCGAGAAGGGGCGGGAGCGGGAGGAAGTTGCAGCTGCTGGACGGGCGGGCGGAGACGAGGGTGAAGATCTCGGAGATGAGGCGTTGTTGGACTGCTGTGTCCTGCGCGCCATTGGGTTAGTAGGAGCTGGAATGGAGGGTGGAGGAAGGACCTACGAGCTGGGTGTAGAATTTGGTCAGCCGGGGCTGCCCATTGTTGTTGAAGACCAAGACGGCGTTGATCATCGCGGCGGCATGTTCGAGTGTAGATAGAGGTGACAGGTGAGGTCGCGGTCGAGATGCATGTGACAGCGTTGCCGGAGATCATGCAGCCAGCCGTTAGCTCCCTTCTATAAAGAACCAATCAGGCATTACCTCCTTTCTTCCCGGAGTCGACTTCGTCTAATTTAAAAATGCATTCATTCCTTACGATCATCGGATGTGCATGACGGAATATGTTTGAAGATGATACTTCGTTCCATTCTCAGACAGCTTTTGGCTCGACTTGAAGGTACTTAAGCGCAGCTCGCACCTTCATTCCAATACCCTTCAATCGATGACACGGCTCGTTGGAGAAGATGAATCTAACGAATTTCTCTCCGTGAACTTCTCCCCAACCATTCATCGGAGTAACATATATCCCTTCTTCCATCAAAGCACTTGATGCTCCTCTTCCATCTTCGACTCGAAGAACGAAAGACCAACCCCCAGCTGGAATGCCCACTGGGAGACCTTTCAGCTCCTCCATCAAGAGATCCCGTCTGGCTTGGAGCTCCCTGCTGAACTCAAGGCAATCCTTCTCAGAGTCTTCTAGGGCCGCTTGTGCAGCTTTCTGAGCGATCCCAACTGGAACAACTACGTTTGCCATTCCGACGAGCTGAATATCAGACATCACCCACTTTGGTCCAACGACCCAACCCACGCGCCATCCGATCAGACGGAGCTCCTTCGATGCGCTTCCGACGGTAATGGTCCGTTGGTCCATCCCTGGAATCGAAGCAGGATGCACGACTGGCCGATTGTCGAACAAGAGTCGTTCGAACGCAGCATCGTAGAGGAGTAAGATATCGTGGGAGATGCAGACATCTGCCACAGCTCGCCAATCCTCTTCATCCAAATACACCCCAGATGGCAGCGCAGGTGAGCTTAACAGCAAGGCTGTGGTCCGTATGCCATACTTGTCCTGCGAGGACTCGATGAACTGCTGCAGCTTCTTGCGTGGAAACCTCCAGAAGTCGCCGGCACGGAACTCCAATGGGAAGAGAATTGGAATCGCTCCGGCCAGTTTCACTCGATTGATGAGTCCAACATACGTCGGATCCGTCAGGAGAACACCTTCTCCAGGCTCGACAATAGCAAACAGCGTGTTGAGAACTCCCGAGAGTCCACCAGCTGTGATCACGCAGTTCTCCTCGCCGGAGTACTGCGCAACGTCTCCCGTCATGCGAGACACATGAGCTGCCGCAGCGTTACGAAGGCCAAGCTGGCCAATAAATGGTAGATAGCTGTTGTCTTCTTTGCTTGATATAGCCTTGGTGGTAGCTTCGAGGGCGACGGGGCTGGGAGGAACGTCGGTGTCCAGGTTTTCCATCCTGAGCGGTTTAAAGTGCCGCTCTCCAATGTTTGATGAAGCCGTGACCGACGAAGCTTCCTTCTCAGCTGCCAGTGCGCCCATGCGATCAACACCGATCCCAGCCAGCGATTGCACTCTGGTGGTGCGTCGTCCAGCCATCTCGTGCCTTTTTCGAATTAATAGTAAAGCGAAGGAGAAGAAGAAGCCCTACCCCTCACCGTAGCCTTTGCTTCAGCGTCTACAATTGCATTGTAAAAATGATATGTATTTCAACAAAGACATCGAAAGAGATGTCGACTCACTCGCTCCAGTTACATACAAACGAGTCATGAAGGGCGCGCACTAATGTCTGTCAGTCTGTCCCGCGACATCGACACTCCGCTCGATCCCGGTCGTTTTTCGCCGGCTCGATGAGGCCCTTCTTGACGCGATCGTCGGTTTGAGAGTCGAAGGAGTCGACTAGGATCCCTCGGAGGGTTCTTGCCGCTGTCCAAAGCTGGCAATCTCGTACACGTTAGTCGATCACATATGAGTTGATTGGTAAGCGACCGTCTACCTGTAAATCTGCACGGCTGACAAATTCTTAAAAGGTCAAGATGCCTGCTCCGGGATCTCACACTATCACTGTACGATACTTCAAACACAGAGATGTCCACCCATCCCGCCGTCGTAACAGTCACCCCCGGCGGCCCTCTCCAAATCCAGCACATCCCCACCCCTCCCATCGCCAGCAACCAAGTAAAACTCATCAACCAATATACCGCCTCCACGCCCCTCGATCTCCACCAAGCAGACGCACACCTCCTAGTCAACCCTCCCCAAATCCTCGGCGACAGCGTGGCCGGCACAGTCCTCGAAGTCGGCCCTGACGTCAAAAGACTCCGCCCTGGCGACCAGGTCTTCGGTTTCGTCTGGCGATTCCAAGCCGAAAAGGCGCACCAGCTCTACGTCGTCACGGAGGAGAAGCTGCTCGCGAAGCTACCGCCGGGCCGGAGTCTGCAAGAAGTGGTCGTGGTCCCGGATAACTTCGTCACGGCATGGCACGCTTTGTCCAAAGATCTCGGCTTCGATCTCCCATGGCCTAAGCCGGAAGGGTATGTGTCTCCTGGAAAGGATAGCTGGATCGTGGTTTGGGGCGGGAGCTCGAGTGTGGGGATGTATGCGATTCAGATCCTCAGGTATTATGGGTACGGGAATGTGGTTACGACGGCGTCGAAGGCGCATCATGAGCGGTTGGTGCGGTATGGGGCGAGTGTTTGTCTTGACTATCGGGATGAGGGGACTGTCGAGCGGATTAGAGACAGGCTGAAGAGTGGACCAAGTCAGAGGGATTTCGTCTTGGACTGTATCGGAAGTCTGGAAGGAAGCGTAAGGCCACTCGCACGGGTTGCTACTACAAAGGGAGCCAAAGTCGCTATCCTGCTTCCCGTCATCATAAAGGATGCCGCTCCAGGAATCAGACCGGAATACGAGATGGACGTCCAGGCTTGCGCGGCATGGGCCCAGGGCGTGGAGGTCTCCGGCGTCAGGACGCATACTTACATGACTGATGAGTTTTTGGCGGAGAGACTGCAGCCGGAGATGATGCCTTGGGCAATCGCAGAGAAGACTGTGGAGCCCAATGATCAGATTATCGTTGAAGGCGGTACTCTGCTGGAGCGCGCTGAGAGAGCACTTCAATTGCTGCGTGAGAAGAAGGTCAGTGGCGGGCGACTGGTGTGGAGGGTTGCGGAGGAGGAGGAAGTGAAGACTGCGATGGAGCAGTTTTGCAGTTGAGAAAACCAGCCTACATCTCATCCGTGCAAAGGCACTTTCGATGATCAGGAACGGAGTACACACAGCTCTACACTCACTAAACCTCGCTATGCAAACCCCGTTAACTCCTGATATCTCTCAAAGAGCAGCGCCATGCGGGTATCGTGCACACTCATGTCCTCATATGCAGTCCTCTACCATATACAGATGCAGGAAATGCTGGCGCGCTGATGAACGAACAAACAACCTTTTGCACCTCCCATATACACCACCTGAGCCCATCTTTTGGTACGCCTTGAAACGCCTTGCCGAAAACAGGGGAGCCATTACCTTGTAGTCGTTTGATGCGATCATCGCTTGCGGTTGAGCTTGCTCGGCTTAGGTTGCTGTACAGTGATCTCCTCGCTAGCAGAAGAGTCGGACTCGTCGTCTGATTCTGCGGCGCTCGGCACATCGTTCTCGTCCTCGCTGGCTTCGTCGGAAGTTTCCTCCGCTTCGATGTCAAACATTCCTTCCTCTGCATCGTCATCTTCAGATACTCCATCCTCGCCTTCTTGCGCGACACCATTCGGTAGATCGTCGTCGCTCTCGCTTTCATCGCTTGACTCTGCAATGTCGCTCCGAGGGTTGGCGATTAGTCCTTTGAACTTTGGTATAGGTGGTTCCAACGTGCTCCCGCCAGGCTGACCACCCTCCGCGGCATCTTCACTATCCGAAAAATCGTCACCCTGACCTTCCACGTACACGACGCCCTCCTCATCGTCGTCCTCACCCACACTCGCGGCCCGAGATGCTGCCCTCATCCTTTGCCTCAACTCCAGCTGTGCCTGCAGCATATCCAGCTTGCCCTTAAGACGCAGTAAGGGCTGCAGTCCGTTCGCTCGTTCGCGGAGAACTTGTTCCAGACTCTTCAGCTTCCTCATGACTTGCGGCTGGCTGGCCAAGTATGCGCCGTGCGCCACCAGTGACCACTGCACCCAGGTGATGAGGTTGCCGGTTCGACCAGGCCGCTTGTGTATGCGTTCGGCGAGGCGTTGTAAGAGTGTGGTGACATGTTGTGATTGCAAGCGTTCGATGGTAGCTCGGATGTCGTTGAGATTGCTGGTCTGGAAGCATCGTTCGAGTAGTTCTCGGTCGTTCGTTTTGAGGGCTTGCGTCAGGACAGTACGCAGAGTCGTGCCGGACGGCGCTCCAAGTGTGCGATCCCCGGACGTGGTTGCGAGAGCTTGTCGGTCCATCAGAGGGTCGGGGAACGATGCCTGCACGTCAATGGGGTCCGGATGCCGCGCTTGCAGCAGTTCACCGAAAGATGGCTCTTCCGCCTCGCCATTGATGTCCTCCGCTTCATCATCCATATCGACATCCTCTGCTCCACCAACAGCCTCGTCCGCTGCATCGTCGTCTTCCTCCCGCTCCGAACCATGACCATTCACCATCTGCTTGCCCTCTGCCATGCCATTCGCCCCGCCGCCTGCCACGGCCGCAGGTCCATCTTCATCAACAGACTCATCACTGCTGCTGTCCTCCACACTCGAGATATCGATCGCGTTCTGCTGCGAAGCACCTACCTGGTCTTTGTCCGGCACATTGGGTGCCACCGCCGCACGCGACTCGTCCACTCGGTTTGTAGCTGACTTCGAGACTCCATTGGTGAGCTTCGCCTCCAGTCGCTTCCCCTGCTTGGCGTCGTCGTCGACCAGGAAGTCGAGGCCATGCCGAGCAGGCACGTGAGAAGTTTTTGTAGTCTTGATCCGCTTGGACGCTGGGAGCGGAGAGGCTGCTCTGGCGTCCGGTTGCCGCCGTCGGGACCGCTTGGCGGTACTCATGGCGACGAAGATGCCATGTGGTGTACGCTGAGGGAAAGGTGTAGGGTGGTAGGAAGATGCGGTCTGCTCGCTAGATGTCGTCAGGTCTACAGAAGTTCGACTGGAAAAATTAATGCGGCCACTAGTCCCGATGGGGACTAGCGGCCGCCTTTTCTTCATCAAAGTCAAAACCCGCTCGATCCACGTTGCAACACCCAACTCCCGCCAACAGCAAACAACCCATCGCATCGGCGTCGCAAACACGGTCATCATCTCCAAACCATCGGTAAGTCATCCAGCGCATCGTCACGTGCACCAAAGGCGGACAGGCAGGCGGACTTGCAGCGGATCCGTGGACATTACACCCGCGTAGGCCGTTGCGCCATCGCAAAGCCTAAGGGGCAGATCGCCTCCAATCAAACGCCTCCTTCACCTGTCGCCTCTCCTGAGGCCGCGCACCGACAGAGGATAAGAGGCGCGCGGGTGCCACTCGCTCAAAACATCTCACCTCCTCATCCGCGAGTCGACCACCTACCCCGCCTCCATCACGTTCCGCCCCTCCGCCTTCTTCCGCGCCGACGTCTGTCTAGGTCGTCACACCTTGAATCGCAACTTACCGAACTTCTGCTCGAAACAGACTCGCGCTAGAGTTCGCTTGGGCACCACGTCTTCTGCCCGCTGCGATCTAGCCTCGGCGTGACACTGAGGAAACAACCCGCACGGGCCTTCTGCACTTCGAGACAACACCAGGCGCGTCTCCGATCCCGATACCGTGGACGGACTGCCGACGCGACAATCTCTACTGCGGTTGCCACTTTGCCATCAGCAGCTCTGCGAATTCGCCATCTCATCAGCGGCGACCCCACCCAGAAGGCTGCAGTGACCGCACTTCTGAAGGCTCTGACTGGTCACGTGTAGCCCGGCCTAACGCGGAATTGTTCTAGCGCGGTCCCGGGCTTCATAAACCTCCACGCCTTCAAAAAACTTGCGACCTCTTTTGATTGCCGAGCCACACGCGATCTCAGCTTCACTGGATACCTCGCAGCGCTGGCGCACAGAGCTTCACAACAACGTTCACTCTCTACGTTGACGACCGTTTACGACTAATTCATCCACTGTTATTGCGCGCATTTACTTCTTTTAATGAGGAGCGTTCAGCGCGCATCAAAACCGATTCAACTGACATCCGGTTGATCTGCACCCAAAAGTTCCGTGCCGAAACAAGAACCGCCATCGTCACGTGCTTGTTTCATCGATAGATTCACTTCTTTCTACGCCACATCACGACCATGTCTTCCGACTTGTCAGCACACCTACCACCTGCCGACGACATGGACTCATCCGTCGCGCAACAACCCTACGAAGCAGCAGCAGTCAACGGGTACGTATCGTCACTTCTTGCTTCGTCACATGCCGTACCTTCATCACATGCCTTTCACTTACATCGTGTTCTTTCACGCATCGTACAAACTGAAGCTGACTCTTTCCTCAGTGAACAGCAACCAGACATCGACCCGGCGACTGCGGACCCCGCCGACAGCGCCATCGACGCTCCCACAGACGCGCCCGTTGGGCCAACGGATGCTGCGATGGACGCGAAAGTCACAGCACTACGACCCGCAGATCTGAATCCTTCTGGCCCATCACCTGTGGACGACGTAAGTAGCGGTATTCAACCTGTCGCCGACTTTCTTCCTTCAAAGGACTCTACGCATCTTTCACATCCCACGCCACCACCTGATGAGCCTCTGACCACAGGCGCTGCGGATGTGGAGATGGCGGGAATGGCTGGCGACGCGCAGTCGCCCGTGGCCGACACGCGCTCGATGAGTGCGCAGCCGGAGCAGGGTCTGGTGCGGCCGCGTGAGGATGAAGGTGAAGATGAGCGTGCTGCGAAGCGGAGTAAGCTGGACGATGACGTCGTGATGGAGTCGACTTCTGGCATGGCTGCACCGCCGACCACCGAACCTGTCGACGCGGTCACTGCTTCGGTCATGAAGACCGTCGATGAGCCTGGTATGGATGCCACACGAGCATCAACGAGGGAGCCTTCTCCGCAAACCGTCCCAATACTTCAGCCGACAGGCGAGCCACAAGCGACAGAACCACCAGCTATCGCCAGCGATCCGACAGCGCCGCCTGACACCGCACCTCCAAGCGAAGACGTCAAAGTCGAGGCCACTCAACCCACGACGCAGCAGCCAGCATCAGACGTGCTCGACGCTCCAAGCGAGACGGTGGACAGCGGCAACGCCATGGTAGCTGACACTCAGCCTGATGTGAAGCCGCCTGATCAGGTGACTGCGAGCGACAGTCAAGCTCCACCACCATCAGCAACTCAGCCAGCGCCGGACAGCGCTGGCAAGCCCACGTACAGCACTGAGGCTATGACTCCAGCCCAGAGAAGCTTCCTCCTCGAGAAGGTGAAGAACTTGAAGAAGACGAAGAACTCGGGTCCGTTCGCAAAGCCTGTCGATCCTGTGGCGCTCAACATCCCAAATTATCTGACCATCATCGAGAAACCCATGGACCTCAGCACTCTGGAAACGAATCTCAAGAAGGGCGAGTACAACTCAGTCCAGGCCTTTGCCGACGATTTCGACATGATCATCAGCAACACTCGTCGTTTCAATGGCGATGCGCACGCGGTCACGCAGATTGGCTTCAACCTTGAAGCGTACTTCCGGAAGGCGATGGAGACTGTGCCCAGCGCGCAGATGGCTGCACCATCCAAACCGGAGAAGAAGCGGTCGGTGTCAATTCCGCGCGAGCCGCCACCACGGCGCGAATCGCGTCAGGTCGCTCCGCCTGCCGCTCCTGCTCCACCGGCTGGTCAAGGAGCAGACACGTACGCCTTGCAGGCCGATGGCACTCCTCAAATCCGTCGCCAGTCCAGCAATCGTCCAGCCCGGGCCATCAAGCCTCCTGCGAACCGCGAGATCCCGTACGCCAAGCCGAAGAGGAAGGCGCATCAGCTCGAGCTCCGCTTCTGCGACTGGATCCTCCATGAGATCTCAAGCTCCAAGTATGGCAACCTCAATCATCCATTCCAGGCGCCCGTCGACCCAGTCGCTCTCAACATTCCGCACTATCGTCAAGTCATCAAGCATCCGATGGACCTTGGGACCATGATGCAGAAGCTGAAGAACGGTGAATACAGCACTGCAGCAGAAGTCAAGAAGGACTTCGAGCTGATCATCTCAAACTGCACGTCCTTCAACCCTCCGGGCAATCCCATTCGCGACATGGCGATCGGGCTCCGCCGCGAGTTTGAGACATTGTGGGCGCAGAAGGAGAAATGGGAGCGTAAGAACCAGCCCATCTCCAATCGTGCCTCTTCGGCTTCAGCAGATGATGAGAGTGTTGTTGATGATGACGAAGAAGACGAGGAGGATGATAAGAAGACCGCCACCATCAAGGCTCTTCAGAAGCAGCTCGCTGACATGCAAAATGCGCTTTCAGGATTAGGATCCGCGGATGGCGGCAAGGCCTCGAAGAAGAAAGCGAAGGCCTCTAAGAGCGGTTCAAAGAAGGTCGGCAGCATGTCCGCGGCGCCGAAAGCGAAGTCTGCAGCTAAGCCTGCCGCCAAGTCGAAGAAGACCCGCACCGTGACGTATGAGGACAAGCAGGAGATTTCGGAGGCTGTCCCTAAGATGGACGAGTCGCAGGTGTCGGAGCTGACCAGGATCATCACCACCAACTCCGCCAAGCACCGTGAGATGGGCGACGAGATGGAGCTGGAGATCGACGACCTGCCCAACGACGTCCAGATCATGCTCCTCGATTTCGTCCGCCGGATCTTCGGCAATCCTAAGAAGAAGGCTCGTGAGATGTCGCCGGACGATGCTGCTGCGCTGGACGACGACGACTTCGAGCCCGCTCGTCGTGGCAGTGGTGCGGCCGGCAAGCGCAAGAAGCACAAGCCGATGGGCAAGGTGGAGCAGCAGAATGCGATTGACAAGTTGCGCGGCAAGCTGGCGCAGTTCAACGGGGCTACTAGTGGTAGCGAGAGCCCGACGAACTCGAGCTTTGCCGTTGCGAAGGAGGAGGTTGAGAGCAGTGGTGACGAGGAGAGCGAAGAGTCCGAGGAGGAGTAGGTGTGTTGTTCATGGAGGTTGCCGTGGCGGAGGCCTCTTGGCTCTTCCTCACGCGGTGGGCTTCTCTTTCTACCAATATGCACGATGCCATCAATCCAGGGCCGGCGGAGGAGGAAAGGCGATCGGATATCAGGTGCAGCGATTCTTTCTCAGGCGTGGAGGACGAGCCTGCGGCGGTACTTTGAGCGAGCGCGTTGACGGAGGCGCAGGGGGAGGGAGCGATGCTCTGCAACAGCGATCAGCGGCGCGAAATTAAGACTGCTTCGAGTGAGGTGGTCTTGTAGGATTAGGTCGAGGTAGATAGTTTGAAGCATGGCAGTCGTTCTGACATGCGAATGAGAGACCACCTGTAGCATTATGCTTGCTCTTTCTTCCAGGTTGTATTGCGAATGGCGCTGTAAAGCTTCCTGTTGTGCGAGTGCGTGTGCAGAGAGGGATGACTGGGCGCTGTCTGGGGCTCGTGGCGAAGGTCATGGTATGCATGCTGTGAGGAACTGGTCGTGAAGCAAACAAAAACATGAGCATGCGAAGCTTCACGGCAGCGTTGACGATGATGCCAGGTCTGCTGAGGTTTCATGAGGGAGAAATCCACGCGATGGGATGGTGTGGGCGGCAAAAAAGTTAGCTGGCGGTGGCAGCATGACCATTCCCTGGCCTGCCATTCGCGCACATTCCTTACGTGGCGAGGAACAGTTACACGTCTGACCAGCCTTTGAACTTGGTGGAAGATCATCAATCGTAAAGGTATACATACAAAAAACGCTCAAGCATTACCACTTAATCACCTTCTCCGCCTCCGCCTCCCCCGGCGGGAAAAACTCATTAATCAACCCCAAATAATACCCCTTCAACTCCTCCACCTTGGGCACATCATCACTCTTACTATACAAATCATACGGATTAAACGCCCGCACCGCCTCCAACATCCGCTCATCCTTCTCATCCATCATCCACCGATACCCGCCCGCGGAATGCCAGGGGTAGAACGAATGATACCTTATCATCGCCAACGCCTCGTCGGGCAGCGTGCTCTGCTCCCGGCAGATGTGGTAGAGGTACTCGTCGTGGCCCCAGCTGAGCATCACGTTGTCCATCCCGCAGCCCGGCGTGTAGATGCCGTGCTCGGTGCTGTAGATGGGGTCGTTGGTGTCGGGGTTTTGGGTGAAGGTGCCCGGGTAGATGATGCTCTCGTCGAAGCGACAGCCGACGGGGAACGTGTCGCCGACGACGTCCCACTGGCCTTCGGCGGCGTAGAAGAAGAGGAGTTTGCCTAGGTCGTGGATGAGGCCCGTGAGTTGGAACCAGCGCGGTTTGCCGTCGCGACGGATCGCTTCGGCGGATTGGAGCAGGTGTTCGATTTGCGAGAGTGAGGTGTCTGGGTCGGACTCGTCGATGAGCGTGTTGAGTTTCTCCATGGCTTGCCAGATGGTCATTTCGGCGCGAGTTTTCGATTTGAACTCGTTGCGGGCTTTGAGGTTGTAGGCGACGGTTTGCTTGGTGTGTTGCTCGCGGTAGAAGTTCTTGACGCGGTCGCAGGCGTCTTCGTATTGCCGGAATTGCGTCTTGTCTTTTGAGGAGTCGAATTGGGATTGCTCGTACAGGTCGACTTCGGCTTGGCTGGCCGTGCCGTTCTTGACTCTCATTGTGGCTTTGAGAACGTTGACTTCGTCAACGGCGTCGGAGGTGGCTTCGAGGGCGAGGCCATCTTTGTGGGAGTTGAAGTTCTCGTTGATGTTTGGGGTTTCGTAAACTGCTGATGGTGCCATGGCGGATAGAATGGGAGGTTGGAAAATGGAGAGGATACTTCGGAGAACAGGTACAGCGAAACAGAGATGGACGGCAAGGAGGAGAAGATGATACTGGGAGAAAGTCTGCCCTTTTGCTACCTCTCCGCCCTTGATCTAACAGTCTCACCTTCGCGATCCACTTGCTGGCAACTGGCAGGCTATGGAAGACCCAACAGCGCAGTCCGGAGGTGAACTCCCCACCATCCGCAGAGTACTTCTCGAGCGTACCCCCCTCGGAGCCCCCATGATATAATGGCTTGCAGTAGGGTGAGCTGGTGGACGAGGTGAAGAAAGCCAACTTCAAGGCGTGCAACAGACTATTGGCCTGAAACCGGACCATCCTTGCTCCACCACCGTCTTGTGATCCACTTTATGGAGCCGGCGCTCCGTCATGGACCGCTCGTCCGCTCAACAATTTCCTGATGAGGTTGCGCCGCTGCCGACATGTTCTTCCGCGGTGTCATCGGGCGGACTTACTTGCTCCATTGGTGGTAGAGTGAAGACTGGTGGCTTTCGAGGTCGTATTCGGTTGTACCTTTCTCCTAGATCACGATCATCTCTCCGGCACTCCGAGGAACCCTTCGCCGTTTTGCTTCCGTTCGTCTCACGGAGAATCTCCTTCAGTTGGCGCTCGCAGGTGGGATGTGGCCGGCTCGTCGGTTATTGAAGAACCCCACGTAGGTCGCCGACAGGCCGATCACGGCTGCAAGAGCACCAGATCTCAATCGCAAGGTGCAAATCGTCAATGAACCCGCAACTTGCGAATTGGATGCTTGCGAGGACACCAGAGTACATCAAACACCCAGAAGGAACCATGGCTGACTCCTTCACCCTCAATACCGGCGTGAAAATCCCGAGCGTGGGACTAGGGACCTGGCAGAGCGAGCCTGGCCGTGAGTGCTTTCCAATGGCTTGAACCCTTTGAGAAGAAGCTAATGATGTGGAACCAGAGGTAAAGGACGCAGTCGCACACGCCCTCAAGTCCGGATACAAGCACATCGACGCTGCCTTCGCCTATGGCAATGAGGCAGAGGTTGGCGAGGCGTTGAAAGAGGCCTTTGCGGCCGGCGTGAAGAGGGAGGATATCTTCGTGACCTCAAAATGCTGGCTCACATACCTCCGGAAGCCGGAGGCGTGTCTGGACGAGAGTCTGCAGAAATTGGGTCTGGATTATGTGGACCTATATCTGATGCATTGGCCGGTACCCATGAGTATGTGAAGAGCAGCGGCAGGCTATACCAAGGTCGAAGAACTGACTCTCAGTAGACCCGAACGGAAACCACCCTATGATCCCGAAGCATCCAGACGGCTCGCGAGATCTCGATACTGAATGGTCGCATATAGACGCGTGGAAAGCCATCGAAAAGTTGCCGGCGACTGGCAAGGCCAAGGCAATCGGCGTGTCGAACTACAGCAAGAAGTTTCTTGAAGAGCTGCTCCCGCACTGCTCGATCGTGCCTGCGGCGAACCAGATTGAGAACCGTAAGTCGAGATGTCCGGCGAGTATGGATTGAGTGTGAATGACGCCTCCTAGACCCATACCTGCCTCAGCAGGAGATTGTGGACTTTTGCACTTCGAAGGGCATCCTCATTGAGGCGTACAGCCCGCTGGGAAGCACGGGAAGCCCAATGTTCAACGAAGAAGGCGTGCAAGAGGTCGCGAAGAAGCACAACGTCGGCCCCGGCACCGTTTTGATCAGCTACCAAGGTATGTCTCCAGGTGCGGTCCACTGCAGTCGTTTCGCTAACGCCATGCAGTCTCGAAAGGCCATGTCGTACTCCCAAAATCGGTGACTCCGTCGCGAATTGAGGAAAACATGAAGGTACTCAAGCTCAGTTCTGATGAGATGGAGTCCTTGGAAAAGATCCACAAGACCAAAGGCGTGACCCGGTTCGTCTATCCGCCGTTTGGTGTACGTTGAGACCCCAGCCCTGCTCGTAGTACCTGTACTGATCATCATCAGGTCAAGCTCGGTTTCCCAGACAAGGACTAGATGGCGAAATACTCTCGGAAGTTGGAGATGGGCTGCGAATCTGCGTGGTGATATGCCATGCGCACGGCCTGGTCAGCGTTGGCGTGGCCAAAGTAGTACGGTCGGTGTTGCAGCGTGATCATAGAGTCATAGAATAGAGCATTTCACTCCTTCATCGACCGTTTGGTGCATTCTGCTTCGATACGGTCTTCGCTTGATTCTGCAGCACCGTCTTGAGTCCCTCACTCCGGCGCCCCAGGAGCACAACGTCTTCGGTGGCAATAATGCGCCTGTCGGCGTGCTTCGCGAATGCTTCCACATCTTGTGCCGCCGTCTGGATCTGTTGCCATACCAGCTCACTTAGCCCTCCGATAAAGTGTGGTGAGGCGTTGGAGTCTGTCGCTAGCCCGGCAGAATCAACCATCTGACCGATCGAGTACCACAAGCTCGCCTTGAGCTTCTCCTCCTTGGTATTGTCGTCCCCCTGAAGGCCGGGCATATTGCTGTCGTGTTGATGTTCAGAGAAGTCGAACGCGTGAGTTGGAGGAACGCGTCAAGGTTTAGGCGCTTGGACCACATCTCTTCTCGACTTCGTTTCCTCTCGACATCAGTTCTTGTTCTCCATTCGAACACCAGACCACGACGCTCCCTCTGCCGCAAATACATGAGCATGACGAACTCCAATAGCCTGCAGCAGCTGTGTACAGCTTCGCAAGAACAGGCAAAGATGGCCAGGCACGACCGGAATGCGGAGGAGCATGAAGAATGCATGCTGGACTCCTCGCTTCCTGCGCCTCTTGTCGACTTCCCAGCACACTCCGATCATGCGCAATGTGAGCTCCTGGCCTCCTGGTATGGATAAGAAGACGGTAGGTGGCTGAACGGCTCCCTTGCTGAGTATATCCTCATCTCATGTGTCCACTTTCCTATTCCCTTGAATTTCACGGCATCACCATCGCCATGATTCCAAGAAAACCTCTTAGCAGCGCCTCTGCACTGTACAGTCTATTCCTCCTTGTACCTTCAGCAACATGTCACATGGAGATGAGCTATCCCTATCCTATACGGAGCAAGTTCAACCCACAGAACTCTTACACCGATATCGACTACGACATGACTTCGCCATTGGACTCCGATGGCTCCAACTTCCCATGCAAAGGCTACCAGAATGATGCGTCGATACAGTCTACTGCGAGATACGCAGCTGGTTCCACATACGAGATGACACTAGCAGGAAGTGCAACCCATATGGGCGGGAGCTGTCAGATATCGCTATCCTATGATCAAGGAGCGACCTTTCATGTGATCAAAAGCATGATCGGTGGCTGCGCACTGACGAGCTCCTACAACTTCACCATCCCATCGTACGCATCAGCCGGCTCAGCGCTCCTTGCTTGGACCTGGCAGAACTTTGAGGGCAACCGGGAGTTCTACATGAACTGTGCAGAAGTGGACATTTCATCAACAGCTACCAAGCGACGACGCAGAAGACAGGCAACCAGTGCTTTCGACCAACTACCCTACATCTGGAAGGCCAACCTCGAAGGCCTCAATGACTGCGTAACGACAGAAGGCGAGAATCCCATCTATCCGAATCCTGGCCCAGATGTCATCTACGGAGGAACAGCAAGCAGCTCAGATCCACCGACACCGGGCGACTGTGATGAACCAACCCCGTACGGGCAGACATACTTGGCTCTGAGAGATACAGGGCCCGAGATGTCATCTGCGCCCAGCAACGTCTCTGCGTACGGCACAGATACAGCCCCAGGAGGGTCGCCTCCAAGCAACATGTCGGCATACGGTGTTTCCCAACTCGGCTCCAACGTCAAAGCCGTCCAGAGCCAGGCCGAAGACCCGTCGCAATCATACACAACGACTACTCTCACTATTGACTGTCCAGACACGGGGACTGTCACGCTATACCCAAGCACTACAACATTCACGACCACTCATTCACTATCGTACTATACGACTGCACCCTCCTCAGCCTGTACCGGAACATCCGCCTCTTGTCCATGTGCAAATGGCTACAAGTGTTCTGAGCTGAGCCCATGTACTTGGGCCTGCAACGCCTACGCCACTCCAACTACAATGATCCATTCATCAAGCTCGAGACACGCCTCCACAAGGCCCACACCAGTCAGCTCGAGACAGTACACCACAAGATCGACCACGAGGACATGGACCAGTCGTAGCACCTACACTCGATCATGGAACCATCATTCAACAGTCGTCGTCACAAGAACTGGCACAGTAGCTCCAATCCAGTCCACCCCCGCATCGCAACCACGTCCTCCATCAAATCACCCACCTTTCGCGAAGGGCGACTTGAGCCGCTACCTCCCGTGCGTACCAGGAACCTTCATCTGCACCGACATCAACACATGGCAGACCTGCACCCAGGACAGTGACTCCTCATGGAGCTACAATTCCCCTCGAGATGTTTCAGACGGCATGGAGTGCTTGCCATACCTCTCGCCTTACTCCGGCTCAACGAGGCAGTACGGCCAGCAAGGGATGACGCCTCGTGGATACTACCGCGACGATCGGGTGGTGAGGGCGAGGCCGGACGGCGACTGCAATGACCCTGGGGCGTTAATGTGTACTGATGGAGGGGCGATGTTCGACATTTGCGATCAGGGAGGCTGGGTACGGATGGGTTCTGTTGCTGCTGGGACAGCCTGTGAGAGAGGGCAGATTGTTGCATCTTGATCATATGCGGGAAACTTGGATGCGGTGCTTTCCCAATTGTATGTACACATACTTGCTCAATATAACGCTAAAATTCGAAATCCAAGTCGCTCGAACTGCTTCACGGCTCGTTCATGCTATCTATCACGACCTTCAGCACCAACTTCCCATCCGCATCTTTCGTCCTACCAGCCATCTGGAACGCTTCTGGCGCAGCTGTAAGCCCGGTGTACCGATGCGTCACAAGCTTTGTAAGGTCGATTCCGGCTTTAGCCGCTTGCTGGACGATCTCGATGCTCTCTGGATACGTGTTCGCATATCTGAACACGCCGACAATGTCGACTTCTCGGAGTGCGGCTGCGGCGAGTGGGAGGGTCTGGACTGGATGGCCCATGCCGACTAGCATTAGGCGGCCGCCTGACCTTACTGACTGTCAAACCGTCAGTATCAAGTCCAAGAGAAAGGGAAGAGAAACGCACATATATCCCAGCTTGCACACAGGACGGCACGCCAGTACACTCAAACGTCACATCAAACTCCCCGACCCCATCGACCTTCCCAATCTCTCCCGCCGTCTCCTTTGCAATAGCCAGACTCTCGTCGACATCCTTCCCCCTCCGCATCGGCACCGTAAAACTGCTGTGCGCAAACCCGTTCTTCACAGCAAACTCCAACCTCCCAGCATCAATATCCGCGATCACAACCTTCCCTGACCCTCTAATCGTCGCTACAGCCGCACACAACAACCCCACAGCTCCAGCGCCAAAAACCAGCACGTTCGCTCCCTTGGGCATCAAGCTCCGCCGAAACGCATGTACCGCCACACCCAACGGCTCTAATAGCGCACCAACATCCAGACTCATCTCATCCGGAAGGCGATAACACCACTTCGCCGGATGGTTGATGCGCTCCTGCAACGTGCCCTGGAAATGCGGAAACGACTTCCCCGAAGAGCGGAATTTCATCTCCTTGCAGATGTTATATCTGCCCTCCCTACAACGTTCGCATTTCTCGCAAGGCAGACCCACTTCCAGGGCGACTTTGTCTCCTGGTTGGAAAGTCGAGACGGAAGAGCCGGTAGCGACGACGATACCGGCGGATTCGTGGCCGAGGGAGAGCGGTTCGCGGACCAGGATGTCGCCGTTGCGGAAGTGGGTGTAGTAGTGGAGGTCGGAGCCACAGAGGCCGGTGGAGGCGATGCGGATTTGGAGTTCTTCTGGGGATCGAGGTGGGAGGGTACGGGATTCCTTGCGGTCGATTAACCATGAGTAGATACGAAATATGAGCAATACTTACTACTCGAAGATCTTTGACAGCGTGCAGAACTGAGGCTTTGATCTCTTGGTCAGACATATCTCTAGAAGTTCATTGAGCAGGGAAAGGTTCCCAAATGTATAGGTTCTGTCCGTTGATAAGAAGGCTAAGAGGCCACAAAGCGAACACAGTATGTATGATATTTCTGTATCAAACGATTCAAGAGAATATTGAAGCAGTAGAGCAGTGTTTCGTGATGTGCCTCCACCCGACATCGGCTATTGAAGACGGCGTTTGAAGGTGAGCTGTGAAGTCAGTCCGGCCGTTTTTTGAGGAGCGATCATGACGGACGGACAAGAAGAATACCATACCATCTATTGAGAAGGACATCGTCGGAAGAGGTAGAAGATGTCGACCATACAGCAGTTGTTCTCGCTCGAAGGCAAGACAGCCTTGGTGACGGGAGGCACTCGAGGCATAGGTCAATCGATGGCATTGGCCTTTGCCGAAGCGGGAGCAGATGTGTTGCTGGTGCAAGTAATAAATGCTATCCTGACCTACCGTCTTCTCACAGCGGTGCTAACACTGCCACAGCGAGACGAGTCGAACCAGACCACAAAAGAAGCAATTGAGTCGCTCGGCCGAAAGGCTCAGATCTATACGGCAGACCTAGCATCTCAGGAATCAATCAAGCAGCTCGTGCCCAAAGTGCTCGCAGACGGCCATCAAATCGACATCCTCCTGAATTGCGGCGGCATCCAGCGTCGCCACCCAGCTCACGAGTTCCCAGACGAAGACTGGAGTGAGGTCCTGCAAGTCAACCTGACCACGGTCTTCACGCTCTGCCGGGACGTCGGAGCGCACATGCTCAAGCGAGACAAAGACCGGTACGGCAAACGAGGCAGCATCATCAACGTTGCGTCACTGCAGTCGTTCCAAGGCGGTCTCAACATCCCGGCGTATGCGTCCAGCAAGGGAGGAGTGGCCCAACTGACTAAATCTTTGAGCAACCAGTGGGCGAGCGAGGGCATCAATGTCAACGCCATTGCTCCTGGGTACATCAGGACGGATATGAACAAGGCTCTGATCAATGACCCCAACCGAGCCAAGAGTATTCTGGAGCGGATACCGGCGGGGAGATGGGGCTCGCCGGACGATTTCAAGGGGAGTGTGGTGTATTTAGCCAGCCGGGCTAGTATGTATGTTAGTGGTGAGGTGTTGACTGTTGATGGAGGATGGATGGGAAGGTGATTAATGGATAGCGATGGCGTCCTTCCTTGCCATGGCATGAGAGGATTGGCTGGAGGGCCAATCCGTCAAAGATACTCCAAATGCTCAAGCTCTCCATATCATCACAACATTGTGGGCCGCCGCTGCATGTCGGTGGCGTTGTTGTGGCTGCTGTCGACCAGGAGAGACGGCTTTTCTCGGCCCGACGAGATGCCAAGCCGTCGGGTCATCCCCTCGATCTGGTTCTCCCGCTCCATTGCCTCCGACCCACCACACCTCTCCACCTCTGCAGGATGCTGCTGAACCTTCTTGCTCTTCGCCAATACCAGCAACAATCGGCCACTGCAGTCTTCTTCCAAAAGGTAAGCATATATACACTGGATAGAGCGGTGGCAGCAGCTAGGTATAAATTCATCGTCCTCTCCAGTTCATAGCTTCCGCCCTCTCACCGCTCACATCCCAATCTCCTCCGTCCGCTCCGACACCGAGTCGGTGTGAAATTTCCATTATGCAGCACTTCTATTCCTCTAACCTTGTTCCCTCTACATTATCCAGTTCATCTACTCCTCCAGAAACAGCGGCCATGGCCCAGCCTCTCCGCAAACTCCGCGTCGCCGTCTCTGGCCTTGGCCGCATGGGCGCCCGTCATGCTCAGCACTTCCTAGGCAAAACTCCACGAGCCTCCCTCATCGCCGCCTGCGACCCCAGCCCCAAATGTCGCGCTTGGGCTGAGACCCATCTGGCACCCTTCGGCGTCAATGTCTACAGTTCTTTCGAGGAGATGTTGGCCAAGGAGGACATTGACGCCGTTGTCATCGCCACCATCACCACCATCCACGCGGAGCAGGCAATCCGAGCTATCGAATTGGACAAGCACGTGCTGTGTGAGAAGCCACTTTCCACCAGTGTTGAAATCAGCCAAAGCGTCTTGGAAGCCGCAAGACGCAAACCTCATCTCAAAGTGCTGTGCGGCTTCTCACGACGCTTCGATGCGTCCTACCGGGACGTAGCTGCACGTGTCGGCAAGGGAGACATCGGCGTCCCGAGCATCATCCGCTCTCAGACCTGCGACAAGCTCGACCCCTCAGGCTTCTTCGTCGACTACGCCCAGTATTCCGGCGGGATCTTTGTTGACTGCAACGTCCACGACATTGACCTCACACTCTGGTACTTTGGCGCGGACAGCATGGTGAAGTCCGTCGCTGCCTTCGGGATCACAGCCGTCCAGCCCGGCCTACGCAAATGGGGCGACGTGGACAATGGCGTCGGCATCGTCGAGTTCTGGAATGGCAAGATTGCGTACTTCTACGGCAGCCGGATGATGGCGGCAGGGCAGCACGACATGACTGAGATCATAGGTACGGAGGGGAAGATGGTGGTGAACGGCAACCCGCAGCAGAATCTGGTCGAGATGCACGAGAGTATTGGAGTGAGAAGAGAAATCCCGGGCGACTACTTCGGCCGGTTCGGGGAGGCGTTCGTGACCGAGGCGAATGAGTTTACCGAGTGCTGTCTGGAAAACAAGCCGTTGCCGTTTGGACTGGAGGGAGCGGTCAAGGCGGTGCAGATTGGAAGTGCGCTGCAGGAGAGTTTGCGAAGTGGGAAGAAGATCGAGTTTGACGAGAGTGGGAGGAGGATTGGTGGTGAAGAGAAGGTCCCGAGGGCTAAGCTCTAGATCGCTACGGTGCCTATCTGGTATGGCGTTCTTTAAGCCGCAGGCCATGGGGGGTTGTCCTACTCATGGCTCCACGTCTGGGAGGCTGGACCGGTGTGTTTTCAGCCGCAGTCTTGGCGCTTTTGGTACTTCTATGAACGCTCTGAGCGCTTCCTCCAGCAGCAGTGCACCATACCATTTCTATGCTTATCAATCACCTCGCTGTGAAGACTCGCTTGATGACTTGTTGACCACTGCACGCGGAGTTCAGGTCTCGAGATCTTCCGTCGAGGTCTCTCGCTATGGCCGACATTGCACATATCCTCCGCTTGCCTCCTGAGCTTCTGGTGCAAACTTCTGCATACCTGACGACCATCGAGCTGGGAGCTTTTCGCAGCACCTGCAAACATGTCGAAGCAACCCTGTTCGACAGCTTCGCGCGAGAGTTCTTCACAAGGCGCTATTTCATGATCGAAGAAGTCTCCCTCGATGCATTCGTCGGCATTGCCAACCACAAAAGGCTCGCTCCATGCCTTACGGGTAAGCAAATCATGACTCCCAATGACGACCGCCACTGGCTTTTGACAATATGTACTGACACATATGACAGACGTCATCATCGTCCTCGAAAAATTCTGCACGAACCAGAACTTCGAGGCCATGTATGTGCACAGAACTTACACCGGCGAATACGAGCACGACATCTTAGTCTTGACCGGCGGTGCGCGTGACATGCTCGTCGACGCCTTCTCGAAACTCCCCAATTTGCGGCTCATCGGATTCCATGACGCAGAGGGACCACCACGCTCACGGGAGCCCGACCAGAGCTGGAAAAGCTACGGCTGGTCATGGGGTCTTGCAGGGAATGAGAATGTCAGCCAGCCTACGTATGATCGACAGGCTGGGAGGTTCATGGAGGACACTGATCCGGGGATTGTTCTCCCGCTCGTTTTTTATGCCTTGGGTGTCGCTGCAGCACGTCCACGGCACGTTGAGGTGTTCACGAGACAGGTCGATGTACCGGATCGATCGTTCAGCGTTTTATCGTCTTGGCTACAGCCGAAAGCTCTTCCGGTCCTGTCGGGGTTGAAGACGCTGCTGCTGAGTACTCAGAGAGACTATGATGAGCCCTCATACCCGTCTCGGTTCCCTCCCGACGATGATCGCAGTACCTCGTGCGGCGTACTCAAGTACTTCCTGCGGCATACAACAGCGCTGGAACATCTCCGGCTGAACTTCTACTGGGAGCGGCATCAAGCCAGACAAGATGACTTCTTGTCATGGCTCAGCATGCCGCACGATCCGTCTAATGTCATGAGCTCGCCAGGTTTGCAGCGCCTCTCCCGATTGGACCTGGGCATGTTCAACGTCGACCCCAGACTCCTCCTCAAAATCATCGGCAAGTCCCAGCAGCTGACCTTGCTCTCGATCTGGAAGGCTACACTGCTGCGTGAGAACCAAGATGGCGAGATCAACGCTTGGGAGACTTTCCTCCGCGAGTTGCCACAGGTCATTCATCAGCCGCTCGCCTTCGAACATCTAACGATCCTCTGGCCGATCGAGCGCTGGAAAGATGCACCTCCCAAGGAAGGAAGGGCTCGAAGGAATACGTGGATGGCTTTCGCAAAGGAAGTGGCAATCGATGCGCAGGGTCGGAAGCAGTTCAAGGGAGAAAGTCATCGCGCCGAGTTCAGCAAAGGGGAAGATGGCGATATAAAGACGTGGTTACAAGACCTTTCTTCGCGGCTATGGCTCCCGCCGAAAATGAGGGAGGGGTACGAGTCGCCGCGTCCTGAGTGGGCGGTGAGGCAGGACGACGAGATGCTTCGGATGTTCACGACGCAGCTGCCTGGTGAGGATTAATAAATGCCTTTACTCAGCTTAAGATCCATGGGCTTCTTGCGAGCCGCATCCGCATCTACGCTTCGCTCGAAGACTAGTTGAACAGAAGACTGTCCGGGTGTCACCCGGGCGAGCTGGGGCGTCTGGGAGGCGGCAGGTGAGGGCGGCTGGGGTTGGACATCCTCTCGGGCGTCTTGCTAAGTGGGTATTATTCCGTTGGTCTTGTTCTTGTGTAGAGTGAGTGCTCGGCTCCTCGAGTGCTTTGTTGAGGTGAGGATCAAAGCCATCAAAGTCTCACCTCGGGTCCTGGCCAACACCAATATGCCGCAACATCGCCCACGCGGCAGCAACTTGGCAGCATCATGTCAGTTCGGCTGGTGATGGCGTCTCTCCCGCCGTCTCTTCTCTTACTCCAGACCCCGAGACCAGCCGGCTGATAGCCTTCAACAATTCACTCTTTTGCTTCTGTCCCACTTCACCTTTGTCGCCCCAACAACCGAATTCAAGACATCCTCCCGTTCACGCGTCCCACGCGTCTCAAGTATCGTGTCATGCCACGCACCGTAAACATCCCACCTCCCCACCACCTCCTCTCCTCTCCACCTCCGCCCCTCCTCCCTCTTCATCCAACCACAACAACAGCCACACCAGCTGAATCGGCAGCCAGCCAAACCGTCCAGCATGCCGCCCCCCCAAACCCACCCCCTCATTCTGCAAAGCCTGCGGCATCTACCACCCCAACCCGACCCTCCTATCCCAACCCCAACCACAACCACCCGCGATGCAAGCAACCCGCCAACCATCCCAGATCCACTGGTCCGCGTTCCCGAACACCGCGCCCTCGTCGACGAATGAGCTATGGCCACCGCCTCACACCACCACCACAGTAACGATGAGTAGCGGCAGCGACAGTTCATCCGGCGACGAGACGCAGACGCGTAACTATTCCGGGGCATCGTCGACGGAGTGGGCGACCACGGCTTCTGCTCAGAGCTGGAGGGACTCTGCCTTCACTTCGCCATCCCAGGACAACACTCTAGTCGAGCCGGCGTCTGGAGTCATGACGGTGGGAAAGAAGCACGAGTCGCAGACCACGCGCTCTCTCCGCCGGTTTGTGGAGCAGGAGATTGGACTCGGCGCCATCCGCGTCGCCGGAGGAGAAGAAGAAGAAGAAGAAGAAGAGGAGAACGAGGAGATGCAGATGCCGGTGCTGGATTATGCGAAGTGGGAGGGCGATGCACTGGTTAGGGGCAAGAGGTTGAGGCCGAGGGGTGTGTATCGGAGCGTGAGTGATATTCAGTCGAAGAAGGCGGAGGTGTTGGTCGTTCGCAGAAGCGAATCGCTGCGCGAGAAGCTGCGGAGGCTTTTGTGTGCTGGTGGGTTGAAGGAGTGGAAGATCGGGGTGGAGAAGTTGGGACGTGGTGTAAGGAGGATGCGCGAGGGTGTGGTGAAGCGGCTCTGAGGGAGAGGGGTGGATAGAGTCTTATAAGGACAACGTAAGAGGAGGGAAAGGGAGGCTTGGACGACATTGTTGATACGAACGGCTTGAATGAGATCAAAGACTTGCAGGGGAACTTACCTTTGGGTCAGGGAAGATGCGAGGCCTGAGTTAATGGGAGGACACCATGCTGCTTGGACAACTGTGGTGTACTCCATCTTACTGTCGCTTCCCAAACATTTACTCCGATTGCCGATGCTCATGTTTCTCGCAGGGAGCTCTACATTCTGCATCATTGCCGCGAGAGCACAGCTGCGCGGCTCAGTCGATAAACACGGTAGCTTAGCAAAGCGTTTGCAGTATCGGACAGGTCATGATGCACACTTTTACCATCGTGGCCGCCGTCCTCACGCAGTCGTGGTAACGGAATCGACCAGCCCACGAATGGAAACAGCTGCATCACCGCTTACGCCTCTCCATTCCATCGCGCTGCTTCGCGGAACAGGCAACAGCACTCGTGACGCTCCACGCGACAGCCCAGAATCTCTTTTTGCAGCCCACCAACACGTGTCAGAGTGGTGTCCTGATGAAAATTCAACTGACAGTCGTGACCAGAAACAGAATGCCGTGGTTTGCCGCCGAAGTCGAGAAGTTGGCTGGCTGGTGGCGAGGAGATCGCCGCCGTCCGAGCCACGTCCGATGATGAGGCATGATGAGTCTGCTTCTTACTTCTTGTTTCTCCGTCTGGTGATTGTTGTTCCTTGAATAGCGGCTCTCGCGAGGTGTTGCAACGACAGCTGAAGCTTACCTTACTCGAGATAGGGCGCGCTGATGATGAGTGATGAGTCTTGCGGAGCTGAAAAGGACTGAAAGTGGCTTGTGTCGGCAGCAGACCAACCGCTTGCGCTATTATGCTAATCCATGGAGCGCGAGCATGGTGACCGCGGACAGGGTGGTGGAAGCGATGAACTTTCTCTTAAAGTATCGAGTTTGAGCACTGCTGAATGGCTGCAAGCGGTGATGGAGATGCTTTGCTGGCGGCTCTTGCGAGCTCCGGACAAGTGCAAGCGAGATGGATGAACTTTGTTGGTCGCAGAACAGTGTGTGGCAGTACTTGTTACGGTATAAAGCAGATATGGTCCTGCGGTCGTGTATAGAGGTATTCTCATGGTCGATGTTGAGAGGGCCGGATCCGCGATGTCTTCACCGAACAAGGAGAAGATCGGAAGAGTGGGTGGTGGCAACATTTCCCGATCATCGCTCTTGCCACCTGGCCCAAGCGCCAAGGCCTGCGATGACTCCAACCGTGCTGCTGCTGCCAGCCTCGAGGGAGAGCAAGCAGCAGCTGGCCCCTCTTCGTGCTCTCAGCAGCCAGCAACATGACCAACTCCACGACCACAAACATACCGGACGCGGAGAGGAACGCACAGTGACGGAAGACTTGCGCGACATTCCAACACAAGCGACACGGGACTGCCTCGAGTGCGACGAAGAACTTCAGCGAGTGGCGCCTGGCGCCTACAGCAGAGCAGGGCCTTCTTTGTCACCTCGGCGGCTCATCGCAGCCTCGCCACACCCGCCTTGACTCACCCTTTGCCTCACCAACTACTCATATCCCGGCGTCTGCCTTCTTCCTAGTACCCTCGATTCCACTGCGGCTGCAAGGACGGGACAAGGCGACCGAGACCGACTGAAAGCGACTACACCCGTCCTCCACTTCAGCACCAACAACCACCTTACCTTCTGACACACCTTTTCACCTCATCACACTCGACTCATAGTCTCTCAGACGACTGCCTGAACTCTCCACTCAACAACACAGCTGGTATACGACGAAGCGCATGCAGATACTTTAACTAGGATTCCTGCTTTTGATTCGACTATACTAACCAGCCAACATGAACACCTTTACGAGATACGCCGAGCCACCAACCAGCCGCAACGTTGCTACCAAGTCCATCGAACCCGCCACTGTAGGTCCCAAGTGCTAGGGAATACAGTCCGTGCAACACTCACCAGCTTCTCGAGCGCATTCACCACTCGAGCGGGCTGGATTGCATGCTATACTGCGGAGGAAGAGGCAACAACTACTTGGAACAACTGCGCGTGCTTGGATTGGAGGTTTGAGAAAAAGACATCGAACACGACGACGAAAAAAGCCACCTTGAGAAACGATACACACACCTTTACGAACACACAAACCCGATTCGACAAAACTGAAGCGCTCACACAATCACATGAGTTCGATTCAGACACTCCTTTAGCACGTCCTTCCGCATCGGGAGGCGTATACGATCACGAGCACACTCCGAACGGACAACATCTCTTGGATCTCCTGTTTCACTTCACAGACGCAGCACGAGAATGCAAGTCGACTACCAGACTCTTGATGGTCTTTACCAATCGGCAAGCGGGTATGGATGCGGGACGTACGAACCATCCATCACCTCGTCTGCGTCTTCATCACAAGCCTCTGTCTTCTCCGATGAGGCATCCGTACAGAGCTCGATAGCCAGCTCGATCTCGGATGACTTCCGGTGCAACCAAGAAGATGCGAGAGACCGAGCATATGCTCAGACACAATTGCAGCAGAAAGCTGCACTCGACAGCTACAATGCGCAACCCCCACCATCCCAACAACAACAATGCAGGATCGTCAACTTCCTCCAGAACGTGCAGGGCGCATTTCCGCCCCCGCCATCATATGCAGACGTCACATCTGTGCCAGCGCAGCAACGACAGCATCCGCGGCGATGCTCGCTGTCCCGGAACCAGAAGCCACCTACGCTCCAGCGACAATGCGAGCGGAAGGTGAACTTTGTCGAAAACCTCGTCGGTAAGCCATATCACTCCTATTCAATCTAACGCACAACACAAGCTAAGGATCTCGGCTGCATGAAGACTCTGCAACGCAAATGGTTGAAGTCATCTGGCCACTCTCTGTACCACCTTGCAGTCGCGAGGGCAACAGCGAGAAAGGCGTCTTGCCACTGCGGACGTACATTGAGGAGACCCTACGACGGTCAAAGACGAGCTACTCCACACTGCAAGTGGCGCTCTACTACCTTGTCCTCATCAAACCCTTCGTACCCAAGCGTGACTTCACGCAAGAGCAGCGAATGGATTGCCCGGCCAGCCGTGCACTCATGTGCGGTCGGCGAATGTTCCTGGCCGCGCTCATACTGGCTTCCAAATACCTGCAAGACCGGAACTACTCTGCCAAAGCCTGGAGTAAGATGTCAGGCCTGAAAGTTTGCGAGATCAACTCCAACGAGCGGACATTCCTGAGCAAGGTGAACTGGAAGCTGCACATACCGGAGCCCATCTTCAAGCGGTGGACGGAGATTGTGCTGGACTTTACGCCTCACATGCAGCCGCCACCGTCTCCAGGAGGCTTCAACATATTGCCACCCAGTTGGAAGGCGATCATTCCGCTGCTGACACCTGAGCTGGACAGAGTGCCTGCGAGTACGGGGTGGAAGCACAAGCGGTCGATACAGTGCATGGGCAACTACGGGCTGCCAACACCTGTCACCCCTACGAAGCCAACCATCAACTTTTCACAACAGCTGGAGTCGATGTCGCAGGAGGGCACACCAACACCTACCACAATCATTCCTCGGTTCTTGGAACCCAACCCCAACATGGAGCCGCCAGCTGTGCCGCGCATGGGTCCATTACCAACGCCACAGATGACACCGACGTCGATCGCCTCAAGCACTCCTGCAGCGAGTACTTGCGGCGCCCCTCGTCGACCGTCCATCTGCGCCGCAATGGCCATGGCCCAGAAAGCCGGCTTTAACCGCTGTGCCACCGAGGTCTTCCCGCCACCATCATCCCGGCGACCTTCCATCGCCAGCTCCGCCTCTACCTTCTCCTCTCCTGAGTCCATGATCTCCGACCGCTCCCGCTCTTCCCGCGCCTCCTCCATCTCATCCGTCTCGACCACTTCCTCCCTCCCGCCCAACAACCGCGCCTGCCTCGCGCGCCAAGCGACGTGCCGCAATGCTGGCTTACCTCTCCGACCTTTCCCAGTCGACGAAACCGACGAGAAAGAAAACACCGCCCTGCCCTACCGCGAACCTCAGCTCGTCAGCAACGACGGCGAAGCGGAGCCGATGGTCTGTAACAGCCCCGAACCAGCCGATTTCTCCATCAGCGAGAAAGTCCTGACGAGGCCGGATAAGCACTCCAAACATGCGCCCTCGCAGCAACTCGCCGCCGCAACTTCTTCCTCCGCGGAAAAGCGCAAGCGCGCGCGCAACTCCCACGGCGGACGACGCAGCGATTTGCAGGAGGAAGTCCGGCAGATGCTCGAAGAAGCCGAAGAGGACGCTGCGCTTGAACGCGAGTCTGAGCAGATGGAGACGGACGAGTGCGTCAAAGAGTCTCCTGCTGTGGGCTATGCACGGGGTATGTTGACGAGACGGGATTCGAATAGCAGTTTTGGCGGTAGGGCACAGCAGCAGAAAGAGGTCCAGCCGCCGCCGGCTTTGAGTAGGAGTGGGAGTGGGCGGCAGAGGGTTGTGGTGGAGAGGCGGGGTGGTGAGAAGAGGGGGTGTTGTTCGTTGGAGCGGGAGCGGCAGCGGGGTTTGAGTCCCGGGGCGTTGTTTGGGGAGGTCGCTTAGGCCGAGTACTACCATCGTCGAGACGATGATGTGGAGATGCTGGTGATGAGGTGGGTGTGGAGATGCAGCTGGAGATGGTGCTGATAGCTGTGAATGAAGTAGGTAGTTGTATCGACGAGCGGGAGCGTCTTGACAGCGGTGTCTATATGGCGTGGCGTTGCTTTGCTGCATTTTCAATGGCATAATCATACCACAACTATCCCGCTCCTAAGCCATTCCCATTGACCGTTGCGTCTGTTGTATACCTGGCTCCCTTCGGACGATGGTCGCTCTTGCCGCTCAGATCACGTGATTTACGAGAATACGAACTCTAATTGGCTCATCATTGCTGCGCCCGAAGCTTAAAGTCTCGTTCTCGACTTTCTCCTGATGACGGCCAAGTCTGTCGCGACTTGGCGGGCTTGGAATTGTCGCGTTCCTCCCAAGCAACCGGGCTGTGGCGATGGCGATGACACTTCTTCTAACTACATTGTGCAGAGACTGGGAGAAGGGATTGGAGTTGGTGCACGCTCGTTGACGATATCTATACACACTGCTATACGGCAGAAGAGATAGGATAAGAGAGGAAAAGGAAGGCATTGGTTGCTTGGCTGGGAGGCAAGAGCGCGGAGGACAACAACGTTCGTTCACGGAGAGGACGTCGAGCGGCGTGAAGGAGTGAAGCAGACACCACCATCACTACCACCAACATGAAGCTACGAACCACCGCCCGCGCCCTCTGCAGCGCGCTGCTAGCCGCGCATTCCGCCTCCGCCCTCGAGCTCGACCTCGACGACAAACAGTCCATCAAAGACGCCGCCCGCACCGCCGCCGACGGCATGATGGCCTTCTACCCGGGCAACCTGACCGGCGGCATCCCGGGCCTCTTCGGCGACCCCTACTACTGGTGGGAAGCCGGCGCAGCGTTCGGCGCGCTCATCGACTACTGGTACTACACGGGCGACAGCACGTACAACGACGTGACGACCGAGGCGATGCTGTTCCAGGTCGGGGAGGACGACAACTACATGCCGCAGAACCAGAGCAAGTCGCTGGGGAATGACGATCAGGCTTTTTGGGGGATTGCGGCCATGTCGGCGGCGGAGGTGGCGTTCCCGAACCCGCCCAAGGATAAACCGCAGTGGTTGGCCCTCGCGCAGGCGGTGTTCAACTCGCAGGCCGCGAGATGGAATACGGATGCGTGCGGGGGCGGGTTGAAGTGGCAGATCTTCTCCTTCAACACCGGGTATACGTATCGGAACTCCATCTCGAACGGGTGTTTCTTCAACTTGGCTGCGAGGCTGGGCGCGTACACGCATAACGAGACGTATCTGAAGTGGGCGGATAGGACGTGGGAGTGGGCGACGAATCCGGATATTGGGTTGATTGGCGAGGGGTATCAGGTCTATGATGGCACTAATGATGTGAAGAATTGTACTGGTCTGAACCCCGTGCAGTGGACGTATAATACGGGCGTGTTTTTGCTGGGGGCGGCGACGATGTGGAATCAGGTATGCCATCCCTCCCACCATTCCCACACTTTGGTGTACTGCGCGGCTATGCTAACCATGTCGTGTGAATGAACAGACCACCGGCCCGGAACAAGACCTCTGGGAAACGCGCACGCAAGCCCTCCTCGACGCCGCGGTGAAATTCTTCTTCACCGACGGCTCCACCATCATGACGGAAGCGGCCTGCGAACCCCGCGGCAACTGCAACGTCGACCAGCGCAGCTTCAAAGCCTACCTCAGTCGCTGGATGGCCGCCACCACCAAAGCGGCCCCCTGGACCCACGACCAGATCATGCCCTTGTTGCAATCCTCGGCGCAAGCGGCCGCGACATCGTGTTCGGGCGGGGACACCGGGACGACGTGCGGGATGCGCTGGACCACTGGCTCCTGGGATGGCGACACGGGCGTCGGCGAGCAAATGTCCGCGCTGGAGGTCATGCAGAGTAATCTCATCGACGACGTGGATGGGCCTGTGAGCCAGGGGCAGGGAGGAATTTCGAAGGGGGATCCGAGCGCGGGGACGGGAGGCGATGATCCGGGCCCGAGCTATGAGCCGGTGGGGACGGGGGATAAGGCGGGCGCGGGGATTTTGACTGCGCTGGTTGTGGTGGGGATTTTGGGAGGGGCTTGGTGGCTTGTTAGGTGAGAGGCGTAGGAGGAGGGAGTTGGCGTTTGTTGGGTGTACGACAGCGAGTCTGTTTTTGGGTCTGCCTTTGGACTTCATTTGGGCTGCTTTGGAACGCGCCTTGCCACCATGACATGAGTACATTGCCTTGCTTATCTGCTAAACCACCACCTTCTCAGTAGATCCCCCATCCCTTCTCCTTCTCCTCCCCACCCCTCTCTTACCCTTCCCTCTCCCACTCGCAGCAGTGGTGAGAGGTATCGTGGAACTTCATTGTCACGGTCTCACGCCCCCTTCTTCCGACGGGTCCATGGCGTGCAAGAACCCCTCTTTACCTGTTCCAAGAGCAATTGATTTTTGTGTGATGGGCGTGCCAAATTGACTTCGCGCTTTTAAAGCTCTTTGGGTGACGAGGTCTCATTGTGCGCCTACATTCCTTGCTCAGAGGTGTTGCTGGGCTGTGGATGGTGGTGGAGATGGTGCGAGGGCGATGTGAGAGCGAGATCAGAGGTGCAGAGAAGAGATGACGGGTTGGAGCGTCGACGAGGAGCGACTTGAGCTTAGACGAGGCGGTGTAAAAGGCTCAACATTGGTAGAGGAAGAGGCAGGAAGGGACTGGGTTGGGAAGGGAGAGTTGGATGTTTGATGTTTGCATTGCTTCGCTATCTCTCTGCAATCCTCCATGCTGATCGTGAAATGGACTGTGGCGATGATGCTCCGCTGCTTTATATGTCTCTCTTGCACTTCGCCGTTGTGCATGCGCCTCCAGCGATCAGGCTGGTGTTCAGTGCCTGCCCAAAAAGGTTGGGGGGTAGAATGTGGGAAGCGCCAACGGTGCAGTGCCTCCTGGTCATTCCATATGTCCATACCAATGCTTTGAGTGAAGATCTGCTCGCTAGTAGTGATGCTGCTGGTGACGTCCAGGCTGCAAAGTCGCGCGAGCCAAACACAATGATGATGTCCTGCTGTCGGGAATCCATGCTGTGGAATGATGCTCGCCGATCATGGTGGCGGCATCATGCTGTCCGTGTCGTAGTAGAGTTGTTCTTTCTGGAAATGATGCTGCTGTGCTGCCGTGAAGCCTGCCATAGGTGTGTCCAGACAAGCCCTGATCGGAAAACAGTCGTGTGCGTAATTATCGGCGCAAAGTCCCAAGCTCTTGACAACGTGCGTGATGTCGTCGATCGAGTGATCTCTTCCATCTTCTGCTGTCATGTTCGATGTACCTCAGCACGCCCTCAGTCAATGACAAACACCCTCGCCCGCTCCGCCGCCATCGCACGGTCTGTCTCTCTCATCGTCTTGATAATCTGTAAGAAGATCGCTTTCGCAACAGGTGGCGGTACCGCGTTGCCGATCTGCTTCTTGATACTAGTCGCGCCTTGCACCTTTGGATAGAATCGGTGCTCAGGCGGGAAGCCTTGTAGCGCGGCAAGCTCCTGCAGCGTGAAGGTGCGATCGCCTTTAGGGTGTAGGTTGGAATCGCCCCCATCCGTCGTGATGCATTTCCTGAGAGGCTGCTTGTCGCTGTAGGGCATGCCGGGCTTGGGATGGGAGTACTGCATGTGTGGCTCGATTGCGCGGTCGCGAAGCGGTCGGAGACGGTCTCGAATGGTGACACGGGGCTGAAGACGAAGAGAGTTGCCGTGGGTAGGTGCCGGGAATGGTGGAAGCGTCTCGCCGGGGCATGCGGCGATGATGATCAAACGCTTGCGAGGCTGGCAGTTTCCGTATTCATCGCAGTGGATAATTCCGGAGCGGACGCCGTAGTCCATTGCCGTGAGTTGGTGTAGAAGGGCGCGGAAGTGGTAGCCTCCATTGTGCGTGACGATGCCAGAGGTCTGCTCGAATCTATGAAGGTCAGCAGGTGTCTTGAGTAAGTGGAATGAAGATACTCACGTCACAATCCTAGGCCTGCACTTCTTGAGGATGTCGATGACAGAGTAGGCGGTGGCAATGTTGGCTTCATCATTTTTACCCTCGGTCGTGTGCGCAGGACTGTGCGGCTGGCAGGGGAAGGAGATGTGAAGAACATCAACACGGAAGCTCTGGTCGTCCATCTCGGTCAAGAAGGTGAAGGTGTCCGCGTGTAGGATATCAACATCACGCCAGTTCCTCCGAAGAGTGCGACATGCGTCCTTCCAGTGGTCGAGGAAGAACTTGAGCACGAATCCACTGTCAGATGCGCCTCTCGCAGTGCCGCCGCCGCCGGTACAAAGATCGCCGTAGGCATACTGAAGGAGATCGCTAACGTGAGAGCCGATCCAGTTATATCGAAGTACGTAGTGAGGAATGCCGGTTCCGGTAGTGCACTCATCTTGATTGAGCTTGGTGATGCTTTCGATGACGACCTTGTTCGATACGTCGCTAACGACGGTCTTCTTCCAGCGGCAGACGAGAGGCCCAAGCTTAAAGAAGCTATTGTCCGGCCATTGTTCGGCCTGTTCCAGCATATTGAGTCTCAGGTTCGGGAATGGCTGGTTGGTGAAGATGATGTCGCGAATAGCTACGATATCGTTCAGGTTGCGGACGACTAGGCAGTCACCTATGCCGGGATCCAGAGCGCTTTGTGTCTTGAGGATGGCGCACACTTCGTTGCACTTCTTAGGAAGCGAGCCTTGCATCCACCGCGTGCGGCGCAGAAGGATGCCCTTCACGTGATTGCGGGTGAAGCCCTTGACACACAAGAAGTCGCCGTCAGACAGCTCGATACACATGTCGATTTCAACACAGCCGAGAGGAGTCATCACAGCCTGAGCTCCGAGTGGCGTCGTGGTCGCTCGCGAAAAGAGGTCTGCAACCTCTCTTGGTGTGAGCTCTCGTAACTCATCGACATCATCTTCTGCTTCCTCGTCCAAGTCTATTGGCGGAGTGTAACCAACAGGAGCTTGTCCGTCTTCGTCGTCCTCGATGCTGAGCATCGGAAAGTCTGCCGCAAGATCTTCTTGTGTGTCGACATCGGTTTGACGCGCAGCTCCTGCAGATGCACCGACACGATCATACTCTGTAAGATCGATAACTTCAGCGTTTGGCTGCAGACGGTACCCCGTGAAGGGACCGTGGCGTGTCATTGTTGATGTTGCTCAGTGGAGAGAATTTGGTGTTGGCATTTGCGAAGGATAGTTGGCGGGTGGAGTTGGAAGTAGAGGTTGCAGCAGCGTTCCAGCTGGCCCAAATGTGAAGTTCTTGAGGTGACAGCTGTTCCTTCGTCAGTGAAAACTAATCTTCAGCGGCTGGATCCCACATACCACTCCGGTATTGTATTTGTTCAGGCCATCACCACAGACCAGTCCAGCTGTGAGTGTCAAGAAAGTCTAATGGTCAAGTCCTACAAGCAAGCTGGGCACAAAGCTGTCGTGGTCAAAGAAGTTGAGAGAGGTGTCTTGAAGCAAAATAGCAACTGTAAGAAGCTCTCCTGTCCGTGACGTCAGAGCAATCTCAACTCAGCGATGCTGAAACGCAGCTCGCGGGTAGATGCATGTGACGAGTGGTTTGCGGCCGGATACAGAAGACGTAGCTTGTTGTCTGCTTGCTGTAGTGTCTGTCGAAAGAGAGCAGACGCATCGGATCTCATCCTTTGTTGAGAAGGGTGAAGAACGAAGAACTGTATGGGAGCAATCACGGGCTCTTGAACCAACGAGCGAGAGTTCGAGCACCTAACTTTGCGGACTGTAGGAGCTCAGCTGACCAAGACTAGAGAGTCAAGGCAGGAATGTCACTTGATGCGGGAGAAACATGTGAATGTAGGGGATTGCACGCACGTGCGTGGCTTGAACACATGAACCCGAGCATAGCACTTGTCGTATGCTTAGAGGAACATGCCATACCAGCTCTTCCGGCATTCTCGAGGGTGCAATATCCTATTCATGGGATCTCACGGTTCGATGTAGACTCCTTCTTGAATGGGGAGGAGGACAGGTGTTTCGCAAGTCTTCCAGCTGGCGCCGGCTCGCCATGAGTGGTATGTAGACTATGAGGTATCATGCAATCTCAAAAAGCACGAGCACGCGTAGTCTGACGAAATTCAAGGCGTGTCTTGGAGGAGTGCAAGTCTCGCGACGAACAAAGTCAAAGTGAAGTGAGGTCGGAAGAGAGTGCCGGCTTCTTCCGGCCCGAGCAGCTTCCGTCACTTCTCCGGTAGAAGGAAAAACTTCTTCACATGCCCACTATCAGAGGGAGAACGATGTCGCAAATTCACAGAAACACCGCGCTCGACAGCACAAAGGCTAATCATGCTACACTTTCTCGCTTTGAGGCGCAAGTGAGATACATCTGCGATACCAGACCGCAGCCGCCATAGCCCGCGAACCTGTGAGTACCCGCGATTTCTTGCCATACATACACCATCTTGTGATGAACAAACCAAAGATTGATCGACAAAAGACCCAACCGTGGTTATACATTTGACTCCTTGTCTGAAAAGCTCGTCAGCTCTTCTCGAAACGATGATATCCGCATAGGAACGATGAGCTGATTTCTCACGAGCAGATCACCTCAACTAACACCTTCAAGTCGCCAACATGTGCGGCATATTGGCCGTCATCCTGGCCTCTCCGGCAGCGGACGCCGCACCAGAGATCCACCAGGCGCTATACTATCTCCAACACCGCGGCCAAGATGCTTGCGGGATTGCCACTTGTTCAGGAGGTGGCAAAATCTCTCAGTGCAAGGGCAACGGACTGGCGTCGAAGGTCTTCCACGATGGCCGCAGAGTCGCGGATCTACCTGGCTACATGGGCCTTGGGCATCTCAGATATCCCACCGCCGGAAGCAGCGCCAACGCGGAAGCCCAGCCATTCTACGTCAATTCACCATACGGAATCTGCTTCACCCACAACGGTAACCTGATCAACGCGCCAGCCCTCAAGAAGTATCTCGATCAAGAAGCACATCGACACATCAACACCGAGTCCGACAGCGAGCTGATGTTGAACATCTTTGCTGATGAGCTCAACGAGACTGGTAAAGCACGTGTGAATGCCTCAGACTGCTTCACCGCTCTTGAAAGGATGTACAAGCGATGCGAAGGTGGCTGGGCATGCACTGCTATGCTTGCTGGCTTTGGATTGATCGGTTTCAGGGACAGCTACGGCATCCGGCCGATGGTGCTCGGCGAGCGTCCGTCTGCTGAAGTCCCTGGAAGCATGGACTACATGATGGCCTCAGAGTCGGTCGCGCTCAGTCAAAACGGCTACGGCAACATTCGAGACATCCTTCCGGGCCAAGCAGTCATCATTGAGCGCGGCCGCGAGCCTGTCTTCCACCAAGTCGCACCCCAACAGGCGTATGCACCGGACATCTTCGAGTATGTGTACTTTGCTCGCCCTGAAAGTATCATCGACGGCATCTCTGTCTACCGATCCCGACAATTAATGGGCTATCGCCTGGCCGAGACGATCCAGAACCAACTCGGCCCAGAACAGCTCAAAGAGATTGACGCCGTCATCCCGATTCCAGAAACATCCCTCGTGTCTGCATACGCAGTTTCGAAGCACCTCAAGAAGCCATACTGCCAGGGCTTTGTCAAGAATCGCTACATTTTCCGCACTTTCATCATGCCCTCTCAGCAAGCGCGGCAGCGTGGAGTGCGCGCAAAGCTAAACGCCATTCCGGTGGAGTTCCGGAACAAGAACGTGCTTTTGGTCGACGACAGCATCGTGCGCGGGACCACTAGTCGTGAGATCGTAAGCATGGCGAAAGAGGCTGGAGCTAGAAAGGTCTATTTCAGCAGCTGTGCACCTCCGATCAAGAACGCCCACATCTACGGCATCGATCTGGCTAGCCCCAGCGAGCTGGTAGCCCACGAGCGCGACAGCAACAAGATTGCCGAGCACATCGGGGCGGATGCCGTCGTGTATCAGAGTCTTGCCGACCTAGAATCTGCTTGCGCCCAGGACAGTCCTCGCGACCCGGCGAAACAGCAGTTCGAAGTCGGTGTGTTCTGCGGAAAGTACGTCACGCCAGTGCCTGACGAGTACTTCGACCATCTCGAGCGCATCAGAGGCGAGACGAAGAAGCAGAAGGTCTTCGACAATGCTCTCGAAGCTGTGAGACAAGGCACCGCCGGCCCACAGCAGGTCCAGATGGCAGCCAACGGCGTGAACGTGACCAACACCGGTGAAATTGTTGCTAGGGGCAACGGTTCAGACGATGGCGCTCAGCAACCGAATGGACAGATGGACGAAAGGCAAAGCGGCATGAACGGAAGTGCTGATGGTGCCAATGGGCGGGAGGAAATGCACCGGGAAAGCCAGGACGTCGCCTTGTACAACCTCAACGATCAGTAGAAAGGCTCACTCTTGGGATGGGTGGCGGATCTTGCTTTGTGGTGCACTTCTAGCGGGTTTGGCGCATGGGACTGGAAGAGGTAGAGGCTAAAGCTCGCTGCTGTGGAATACGTCATGGGTTGGCAGGCCAAGAGGCCGCAACGCGCCCCTAAATATATCAGTAGAGTAGCGCTGTAACTCTCTAGCAAGGATACCGTCTCCAACGAACAATGACGAAGGCTCGTTCACTTCTCCCAGATATATGTAATGCTTTTGGCAGATCACGTGATATGACGCCTGAGGCACCTCTGCAGAAAATCTAATGTCCCAAACCCGCGTGCTTGAGATTCATCATCCCCCATCAAACACCAACATGCAGCCGGATAGATGACCAGTCATACACCTGCTAAACCTTGAGCACTGCCAGCAACCAGCATGGCGAACGGCACGACCGCTTCTTCCGGGCTGTCCTTCCCACGAGAGACCTTTGCCAAACTCACTCCAGGCCCATATCTGCATGCGCATCTCAAGCAGCCAAGCTCAATCCGCCCCAATGGACGCCAACTCGACGAACACAGAATACCAACAGTCAATGCTGGCTCTCTGACCCACAGCAACGGCAGCGCAGTCGTTCGGTGTGGCGATACTGCCATTGTCTGCGGTGTCCGCGCTGAGATCCTGCTGGCATCCGACCTTCCTCACCCGCCACCCGACGATCTAGATGACGATGACCTCGTCGAGCACCTTGGAATACTGGTGCCGAACGTCGAACTGAGTACTGGGTGCTCACCGGCGCATCTGCCCGGAAATCCGCCTGGTCCTCTTGCACAGTCACTCACTTATCGCATCCTGGCCCTTCTCCATAGCTCCGACATCATAGACCCCAACGACTTGAGGATCAAACACCTTGAGGCGAACACGGATGAAGACCTACCCGACGAAGGACCGCGACAGGTGACGAAGGCGTACTGGGTACTCTACATTGACATTCTGGCCATTGCGCTGGATGGTAACGCAATCGACACGGCGTGGACTGCGACTATGGCGGCTTTTCAAAACACAATTCTACCAAAGGCGCACTGGGATCAGGATCGTGAGATGATCGTGTGCTCTCCACGTCTGGCAGAAGCGACTGGATTGCGGCTCCGGGACATGCCTGTTGCTTCCACTTCTGCCATCTTCACGACCGCTTCTCCTCTCAAGAGTGGAGACCAGGCGGAGAGCTGGGTCTTGGCCGACCCGGACGGCTTTGAAGAGGACGTGTGTGCCGAAACCCTGACGGTCGTGCTAGTTTCGAGGCGTGATGGGACTAAGAGTTTGTTGAGGGTTGAGAAGAGTGGCGGGGCGGTAGTAACCACAGATCTGCTGGCGAGGTGTGTACGTCTGGGTGAGAAAAGATGCAGGCAGATACTATCAATACTGGGTGACGAGTGAGGCTCATTCTGCTTTGGCATAAGGATCTTGCACAGGCCGTAGCAATGTCTCCCACCACTTCCACACAGATGGATGGTCCGCAGCCTTCACCGGTGCACTCGAACGAGGCGGGCACCATCTTACTCTGAAGTGAAGCAGAAGACGGGAATATCTCGATCACAGTCTAACTGAGTTGGGAAGTTGCTTTCAGAGTAGCGTGACTGGGGCTTGGGGCTGATTTTAAGATCTGCGGGACAGCGGTATTGTTCTGGCCCCATTTACCTGCTTACCATATCTGCTTCAAGGGCAAGGCCGTGGGTCGGGAAGACAACGACAACAACTCACCGGTGTCTCATGCTACTGACAGGAGAGTCAGCGATTGAGGCGTTCTTACGGCCACTTTAAACCGCTGGAAGTGGCTTGTATTGTTCAGCCAATCGAGAAGCACAATGGAAGCATCAACAGCATCCTGTTCCCTTTCATTTCGCTGTCAGAATGTCGTTGCCTTGACCGCATCCTGCACAAGGCAACGTATCTTGACAGAACGACCAGCCCGCACACTGAGCGCATTTAGAAATACCCGTTATTCCCGCATGTTCAGAGACATCAGGCACTGCGCAATGTTGGTCTCCCTCGCAGCGAGTTTTCCTGTTCTTGATATGATCGGCAAGCACCCGTTGCAAGAACCTGATCCGAAGCCGCAGTCAACCATATTCACGTGCAGAGGGTTTCAAAGCAGCGATCGTGGTTCTCCGACTCTAAGAAACTGGCAGCCAATGAGCATGCCTGCTCGTGGTCGCTTTCACGCCATCAGCCCTACCCGTCGCTCAATTTGTGCTTCGATCTAACCTGGTAGAGGAGCTCTTCTAATATTCACCGCCAACTTGACTCTCCCGCAACTCCCATCGCTCGCCGACCCTACATGCGTCGCCTGTGGCCCGTTCTGGTGCCTCGACATACCGGCCCCGAGGAGTCTGTACGTTGCAGCCGCCGGCTATGCTGAATGTCCGCCGCAGATCCCGTGCGTGGCGTGTTGGTAGCACTCGTTTAGCAGCCCAGTGGCTGTTCTCTAGCAAACCAGAGAGTAGCGCCATCTGTACCTTTCGGCCGCGGCAAGGAGCATATCTCTGATGTCGCAGACGAATGTCTGGATCATGGCTGAGACTTTAGAAGACGCCGGTGCGCCCGACGGTGCCTTGGTGGGAGAAGACGTCGAACTGATTTCGCGGAGCGCCAATCCTTCTACCATCGTTTCTACGATTCTTGATTGTTTGCAAGATCTTACGAATATGAGTGATCGAGCGTCAAGCAGTGGCTCTTCGAGCAAGCGGCCAAGGGGGAGGCGAGCAGGTACGGCACCCTTGGAAGACTCCCCCACATGCCTGAGATGTCCGCTAATTCTTAGCCCTTCCGTATACAGCACCCAAAGTTCCCTGTGACGAGTGCATTGTTCGTGCCAGCGAGAAGAAGGACGGTTCATCCGGCGGCATCGAGCTCTGCGAGAAGTGCATATCCTCCCTGAAACGACCACGGCGGAAGCAGCAGGAACAGGCAAATGTGCGGAAGGTCCGCCGTCAAAGCAATGCTATAATAGACACAGCGCTGTACGTTCTGATGAATCAGTACAGCTCGTCACTGTCAAGCTGACGAGGGATGATTCCGCAGAGGCGTCCGAACCGACCCCATCGACATGCCATGGAGTGACGATAGGCATGAGCAGCACGCACTGCAGTTCTTCGTCCAACATTCGGCGCCTCAGCTCGCTGGCTACTTCGATTCGCCGTTCTGGCAACGCATGGTTCTCCAAGCCGGCCGCCACGAACCTGCTGTTCGTCATGCGATCGCGGCAATTGGGGCGCTCCACGAGAAGCTGTTGACAGGCTCAATCAACCCTCAGCAGACTTCAGATCGACATGCCATCTCAGCACTAGAATACTGCAACAAGTCGATCAAGCTCCTCGTTAATCCAGACCGAGGGTCGAAGCCCAATCTGCGCCTTCTCTTGACATCGGCCGTTTTGTTCTGCTGCTTCGAGGCACTGCAGGGTACGATAGCGGTGTACTGAATCTCACCTGATCCAAGACTTCCGCTGACTTTTCTTGTTCTGTCTTTAGGCCACTGCGAGCAGGCCATCATACACGCGACGCAAGGATACAGCCTATTGCAACAGTACGCCATGGTATGTACGCCCACGAACCTTCTCTTGCCCCGTCAATAGGGTGAGAGAGTAGCAGGGCCTGCGTTCGTGTCCACTCTCTGTATCAAACATCGGCTAACCATGGCGCTGCAGGATCCTGAGAATAACAGATGGGACATTGGTTCGTTTGCCGTTGAACTCGATCAATTGACAGTGCTCATGCGCAATCTGCAGAGAATGAGCAAAGGTCTCATGGGGAAGGACTACAATATGATTCCGGACCCGGAAGCTATCAATGCGAAACGGCCAACATCGTTCAACAGCATGCAGGAGGCCCGTTCTGGCCTGGAGTTGGTCTTGAACCAGCTTACGGCGTTCTTCCTCGACATGGAACTTGACGATAACTTCTATGATCTGGCCGTTGCGAATGCGGAGAAGCATCTACTGTTCGGTCCATGGCTGGCAGCTTGGGAGAAGGCATTTTCGGAATATCTAGCGAGGGAGCACGACAAGCTGAGCCCGGCTGATCGCAAAGCGGCTATGATACTCAAAGCTCATGAAACCGTGGCCGAGATTCTGTCTGATGTTGATCTATCTCTTGGAGAGCTAGGTTGGGATGCTTTCACCAACAAGTTTGCAGCAATTGTAAACCTAGCAGAGGCAGTGCTCGAGGACAGCAAGCAAGCTGATAAATCAGTGATAGAAGCTAGATGGAAGACAAATGGTAAGTCCTACTTGGTGGGAGCCTTCATGAGCTTACCCAGGCGCACTGCGGGTTCTTCGAGTCCTTTCGAATGGCATCGAGTATTCGAAACAGCTGCTGACCCGGCTTCTCTTGACGATAGGTGTATTCATTTCCGCACCCTCAGCCACCCTTTCTTTTTCTCTCGGCATAGTCGATCCTTTGTACGAAGTCTGCGCCAGGTGCCGCGACCCCTCCCTTCGACGACGAGCCCTCGAACTACTGGCAAGACATCCAAGGCAAGAGTGTGTATGGAGTTCATGGTCGGCCTGGAAGGTGGGCAAGTTCCTGATGCGTATGGAAGAAGAAGGGCTTGAGGCTCAACCAAAAACGTCTGCCGATATTCCAAGTGAAAGCCGGATCTCAGAAGCATGGATCGACTTCTCGGACAAGTCGACGGAGGATTCTGGCAAGGGCAGAGTCGCTTACAAAAAGGCAATACCACGAGCGAGCGCCCGGTACGCACTCAATCCCGGATTGTTCGAAGACTGGCAGACGCATGATCCAGGCTTCAGTGGACCTTCTGGGCAGAGGTCAACACGGTCCAGCAGCAGCACTTCTGGTATAGATCCGTCAATGTCTCCTGGTAACATGGTTACTGCTGCTGGAGCCGGACCTTCTAGGATGTCATATCAAGCTCCATCGGATGTCGTTCGAAGGGACTCGGATGACCCTCTCATACGAGAAACACCACCTCAAGACTAGAAGCGCCATGGCGCCGATGACCAGACCCATCGCCGCCATAGTCATACCTTGTGCTCAACATTTTGCCACCGTCGTTCGTTTCTCGCCAGCTACTGATTCACCTGCCGTCGCCTGTTGCTTTCACGCTGTGATGGCGGTTGCAAATCAGAAGAGCACTCATGGGCGTGAGACGTACTTGCCAACTGGACAAGCCTTGTAACCACGACTTCCAGCGTGCGCAACGCGGTAACCGCCCCTTGCGTGCGACGACTCGCCTCTGTAGTATTCTTTACTGTCGGCCAAAGCACGTCGCTCCTCATTCACCGGCGACCCCATGTGATGGCGGAGCAGACAAACATCAGGAGATGACGTGACAAGATGTCGATACAGTGATTGACCATCAACTCGGAAGGCCCAACTTCAGACTCGAGAGCTTTCTTCTGGCCCGGTTGCCGATCACCTTTGGACATCATGGATTCAGCTGGAGAGATGCAATGGACAGCAAACGAGTGTTACGGATGCAGGTACTTCACCCTCGCAAAGCTTCTCTGGACTCCACGCTCACGCAACGCAGCACGAACTCCCAAAACTTAGACGATCACACTTTTGCAACGGCAGACCTCGCCTGCGAGAACTGTTTGAACCAAGGTCGACCGACGTTTGGTGTCTCCCACGGTCCCCTCAACCCACCAGCGCCCGTGTCACCGGCACTGGCTTCCAGTCGGCATGACAGCACGCCTTCTAGTTGTGAGCATCCTTCACTCAACGCTGGCTACACCCTGCTTGGACTCCTAACAGGACCCAACACAATCCCACCAGGAGCACGAACAGGCGTCAGCTTGGGTCCTGTTGCAGATATTAAGAGGGCTGCAAGAAACGGCGACGTCAGGGCGCAGCAAGCAGTCGAGCAGTGGCGGAGGCTCGAGGAAGCTGGCACAGTGAATACCGGACAAGGGTCACAGGAACAGAACGTTGTATTTCAAGATACTTCGCCCCCGGACGAACCGATCGAGATACCGGAGCGAAAAGTCGGAGAACGGCGTCACATCAACAGCGGCGTGTTTGTGTGGAATGGCTGGAGTTGGGATGTTGAACGGCCGCCGCCTACGGCCAGTAACGTGCGCTCACGGCAGGCGTCAGCTCAAGGTGGAGATCGACAGGTTGGAGAGCAGCTCCAATTCAACGGCGTGATGTATACTTGGACCGGTTCGCGTTGGGATGCCGCAGGATAGCATGGGTTGAGAAACTGAGGTTGATGGAGAAACATTCTTATGGAGAGCAAAAGAATCACCCCACGAGAAATCGATGTCGCGGCAAGGTGAGTACAAAGGCTGTTTATCTGCTGCTCTGGTCGTGGATCATAATCAAAGGTTGACCATCATAGGTTATAGTCGGTATGCAGCAAATTGTACGACCTTGCATTTGGTGTACCAAGCGGACTCTTGACTCGTTGGAAGTGATGGCCATAGTGTCCAGTCGCTGATGAGCAACGTACCACGAAAGGCGAGATTGACACAGTCTTTTGTTAGGACTGTGATAGGGAATATGGCTCGCAAACTATGCGTGAGTAGTGAATGATGTAGCACCGCAAGCATTCACCAAAGCCTGCTACAAAGACCCTTTATCTTTAAGTCAAGCATTCACCACTGACTCCGAAATATCTACATAAGCAGCCTCAACCTCGCTTCTCATTCATCAACCTTTCCAATACACAACACCGAGAATCCTCACCGCCAACAACAATCCACGTCCACCGAACTTCTTCCAAGCAGTCCCAATAACTTTATCCAGTCAACCGAGTGCTATGACAGCTCTGCCAACAAAGATCTTGCGAGTTCAGCGATCCATGCCTGTCGACTTCGGACAATGTCCTACCAAGGTCAGCGATGCACTGGATGCATGTATGATACTTTAACCCCACATGTATCAATGTTGTTCTGCACTGACTTGATCTAGCACTGGCTCAACGGACCGACAGCAGCATAAGCTGGGCTCTAAATTCTGCGCCTTGTTTTACAACCGAGACAATTCGATCCTCGAAGGGCAAGAAGGACTCAACTTGCAAAATGCGGCGACGAGCGATCATGCGAGCACCACCAACATGGAGTACAACGATGAGCTAGATGCGGATGGTGAAACTGACGATGAGTATGAGCGATCTGCAGATGGCGGCTATGTCAAGAAACATCAGCCCCGGCCTGGTAGGCTGGAAGACGGCCAAGAAAGCGTGGCCAGCGACTATGATAGCGAGCGGGACGCCGACGGCGAGACGGACGATGAGGACGCACGACCTAACAGCCGAGCTGAGACCAGCTCAGGAATGCTATCCACTCAATCTGAGCATTTCAACGCGGATCAAGAGAGTGACCGGCTAGCGTGGGCATCTTACGGTCGAGATAGTAAGGTGCTTCGTGAAGCAGCGGCAAATGGGATACCAGGAGCCATCGAACGCCACGAGGAGATCAAGAAGAAGAGAAGAGAAGATCAAGCAGACAAATGGGCAAATACACAGCAGAGGGCTGAGACTGGAGACCAAATGGCCAAGGACGCTATAGAGAGTAGGAAACGGGCACAAAAGGTGCGGGATGCAAGGCGTGACAAGGAGCGGAAAAATGCAAGAAGTAGGGAACGGAATCAAAAACGCAAGAAGTAGGAAACTTCAGATTGTTCCGGTGGACGCAACGGCCACTCCAATTCCTTCTTTTGAACTCCGAACCACAGCTCCCGGAGGCATGCGAGCAGAGCCACTCATTGCACAGACACGATTCTCACGAGTGGAGACACAGTCTTCGCTGCCTATGCACACTGGAGCCTAGGTATGGCAGTCCCGGGAGTTTCCAGGGCACTCAGTCCACGGTAATTGACCTTCGAGTCGCTTAAACAACCGTGATTGGAGGAGTGACTCGCAACGTGGACCGTTCGACCATCGGAACGACGAGTAGTCGAGTACACGTTGTGTCGTCGGTTGTGTACCGCTCATAGGGTACTCTCATGTCTACTTCCATAGTGTTTAATGGAACTTTTTGTTTCAATGATTTTCATGAATTTGAATTTGGCTGGTGCAGGTGTGCTTGATCTGTGGCATCAGACTGCATAGCAGAATGCTGTATGTATCCATTGAACATGATACCGAACCGATTCAGACTGTCCTCATGTGACAGTTCGAAAACTTTTCTCAACATTGCTCTCAGACTTATCTTCCAGAATCGCTCTGAAGGTAAGCAGCGACTAATCAAACATATTTAGCAAGGATAATGTCGCACGCTGGCGAGGAGTCGGACAACAGCGAGAGGGTGAGTCAAAGAGCTTCGAGAGAAAGTGGCGAGTGGAGATCCAGCGGCCGTCGAGAAACACGAGAAAGAAAAGAAGGCCAACAAGGAATCCATGGCACAGCAGAGAGCAGACTTACGTCAAGGTGCTGACTATGGAGACCAAGAGGCCAAGGACGCTCTCAAGTTTAGAAGATTGAAGGATAAAGAGTACGATGCAAAGCGTCTCCAATCGCGAAAGGACGCCAGAGCCGCAGCCCGCGAAGGCGCAGGAAATATGCCGGCTGAGAGGCGGAGATCCAAGGCCCCAGAAGCTTCGGTATAGACGCAAAGGAGTCTGTTTCCTAACGCGTTTGGCGGGGATGGGTTGTCTACCAGGTGGATGTCTTACTTGCCGATGCGTAGTACTTGTGGTAGCAACATGTAGCCGACGATTTCCTGTGCATGAATACTGAGCGATGTTCTTGCATCTGTGAAGCATATCACATGATTGGCCTGTGCAGATCTTCAGAGAACAGTATGGAATGTAGAATCATGTTCGCTGGAGAGCTGGGAGGAAGCAGGTAGAAGTCCACTGTCAGGCAGTTTAAGGTGTTCAGGAGATCTGCCAGTGTTGTCTTCGGCGGTGCAATGCCACCGTGGTGTAGATCATAAGGTCAGAACAGTAAGGAATGTGAGCCAGCGAGGAGTCAGTCAATACTGTGAAGAAACCTTCGCTCGGTATATTGGGACTGCTTTGCAGCAATCTCCTTCTATCTCCGCAAGTACTTCTTCCACAGCTCCAAGACCAGCCACGACCAGCACTGAGAACCATCAACATCAATCGAATCTACCGTCAGGACATCTCGACTCCGGTCTACCAATTCCGCCTAACATTGACTATCAACAACGACACCGACTCCTCCGGAAGACATCGAGGAGTCTGCTGTACAAGCCGACCTAATAACCATGTCCGGTCAAAACTGGCCATGCTATGGATGCATGTAAGTTGCCCGAGTTGACTGGAATTGTCTGCCAACTAAAGCGGTTTAGTGTGCAATCAAAGGACCAACAAGAGCATGACCTGTGCTCGTCATCTTGTGCTAAGTTCTACGGCCAGGACAATCTATATATCGATAGTCGAGGGTCCAATTTGGAGGATGTACAGACCAGAGACGATGCCACCATCGCTGATGGTCCAGGGACAACGACCGTGGCCAGTGAGGAGACCAGTGGTAAGCGGGCTTCCTATGACAGAGAGCGTCGTCCAGAAGCGGCCCATGGTGATCCAGTGGCTGTCCTCGGGGACCGCGAGAAGCAAAAGATGGGCATGAAAGTCAAAGGAGGACAATCTCCAGAGGGTCGGCACGCGAAGCGAACGCGCGCGAAGCGAACGGAGTAGTGGAAGACCCAATATGCAAAAGAGAAGCAGAAGAGAGAGGAGACTGCCAGAGAGAAGTGGCGTGAAACCCACCCGGGCCAAGAACCGCCAGAAAATCTTCACGCCTTAGGGCCCATCGAAGACCTCAAGCTCTAAGCCGTGGCTGGAGACAGGGAGGCTGAGGCGAAGCTAGCAAACATGCATGAAAAGGGCAAGACGGCACGTGCCGCAAACGTGCCAAATTTTCTGAGTGATCTTGCAGCGGCTGGATCCAGCGAAGATCTTTCTTCCAGGCTTGCAATGCCCGGCGCCACATGTGTAGGGTCTTTGCAGTCTAAGGGCCTCGATGCACCAATCTCGAAACCTGTTCCAGCAAGCTACGGTGACGAGTTGAAGACCTGCAAGCCGGGAAGCCGCCTGGGCGAGACGCGCGAAATTAGTGGTATCGTGCACTGGTGGGACGGGTTTCGTTGGGTTCATCGCTACGAAAGCTCAACATTCGATTTATGACTGTGAGGTATTGCAGGTATACGAATGGGGTCCATAGATCCAAAGTGTTGCACGGCCAGGAGGATGTCGTCCGTAGCGGGTAGAAGGGGTCATTGTGCGGTCATCTGTCGGTAGACAGAGATAGCTAGCAGTATTGTGTTCTTCATGTCGCCGAGTCTGTCCTCAGAGACGGGTCAGATCGCGAGTAGTTCTGAAACCTTGAAAGTATTGAAAACGCCGACGTTGTTGATGGAGTGTTCGAAGGGGAGTCAAGATCCAAAGTGAAGTCAAGCCTCTGATGCACGCGAGTCATGCACGGAAAATGGCATCCCGCCCACCAGTAAATCTTCTCGACAACACCAACTCTTCAACGACAACAACAAAGGTGATCTCATGGCAAAAGCCACAGCTGTGGTCAACCAGTCTATCGCGACTTCTCTGTCGCGCTACGATGAACATCGGGGGCATGAGATGAAAACAGCAGATCATGAATCGCGATTGCATTTCATCCACACACTGGATGCTGGAGCGATACACGTACTCACATGTGGCACTCGAACCACGGAGTAGCAAGCATGGATCTTTGGGTACGACAAACGAGACCAACGATGTTGACAAGCACTATATCCAATTCCAGGTACCAGGTCTCCCCTGATCTGCTTCCAGTGAGCTCAGATGATTCCCACAGAAGGCAGGGCACTATACGAGCCAACACCTTCCTGTCCTGTTCAGTACCCCCCGGAACGAGTGTGTTGATATACACATGAAAACTTGTATACCTCTCCGCCACATCTCTCAAAGATGGGGATCCAAACATATCGCATCGCTGCCCCCATTCTGATGATCCCCTGGATGTCCATCTTGGTCAGGCTACTTCAACTCGACAAACGCGACAACCGCATCAACCAAGGAGCTGCGGCATATTCATTCTACTTTATGACCACCGCTCCACTCTACCTCTACTGCGTGGAAATCCTTGGCATGGGAATTGCTTGTCTCGGCCTCCCTCGCAGCTACACCTTTGGTATTCAGAGTGAGCCGATCGTGACCCGGTGTGATGCTGGCCCATGGATCGGACAGTCCGACAGAGAAGCGTGCTACACCTGCAAATCTTACCTTAGATTCATCGACTAGTAAGTCAAATCAGTAGTTCGCTACTTTTTCCAGCTAGATCCAAGCACCGTCCGGCTATTCGAAGCGGGCGACTCTATTGCACTACTTACTGACCCTTCTCACCGCTCTAGGTGCCACCGTTTCGCCAGTAAAGATGGCAAATTCCATTTCGACGAGCTCGAGAGCGACTGGGTTGAGCATGGCGGTGTCTGTGCATTCCTGTTTGTGGTCATGCTTGGAGGGTGTGCATACATTCGATGGAACCTTGGTCGTTTGGACAAAGCGGAGAGCGCTGAGCGAGTACTTGAAAACCCTGGTATACATGTTCTTTAGTGCGAGCAGAAGATGAGCAATGGGGACTCAACGGCGCTGGGAAACCAAGAGCCCCTGGAGACAAGACGGATGAGCGCTTGAGAGGAAATGAGGCCAGATAGCATAAAGTCCGTTGGTAGCCATCAGTGTAATCTTCTCAATGTCGTCGAGTGTTCACGATAGGCTGTACCAAAGTTCGTGCAACGCAGGACGTCGATGGAGTATTCGGAGGAGGTGTGGTCTGGAGCGAAGTCAAGCCTCGAGATCCGCGCGAGTCATGCAACAGAAAAAGGCATCTCGAAAGCTCGAAAAGTCCAGTCACAGCTTCTTCATGCAACCAGTGTAAACCTTCTCGACGACACCAACTCCCCTCAAAAGCATCACGGCCACGACAATCTGAGCCCGAGAGCGGACACTAACTAGGAGAAGCCGCCCATCATGGGCTCCATCAATTTCCCGGCAGAGGAAGAGCGCATGCTAAACCACTGGGACGACACAAATGCCTTCCACCAGCAACTCGAGTTGTCAAAAGACGACCCTCCCTATGTGTTCTATGACGGGCCGCCTTTCGCTACAGGGACGCCCCATTATGGCCATCTCCTCGCCTCCACCATCAAAGACATCATCCCGCGGTACTGGAGCATGAATGGTCGGTATGTGGAGAGGCGCTTTGGCTGGGACACTCACGGCGTGCCGATTGAGCAGATTGTGGACAAGGAGCTGCAGGAGGAGCTGGGCGTGCGAGGGAGAGCGGCGGTGGAAAAGGTCGGCATCAAAGAGTACAACAGACGGTGTCGCGAGAAGGTGCTTACTTACGCTGGGGAATGGCGGAAAGTCATTGGGCGGTTAGGCCGCTGGATCGACTTCGACCGCGATTACAAGACCATGGATCCCAGCTTCATGGAGACCTGCTGGTGGGTGTTTGCACAATTGCATAAGAAGGGCATGGTCTATCACGGCGCGAGAGTGCTACCCTACAGCACGGCCTTGAACACTCCTCTGAGCAAGAGTGAAGCTACGGAGGAGTACAAGGATGTACAGGATCCCGCAGTCACAGTCTCATTCCCGGTGCTGCCTCCTGATCAGCAGCCAGAAGCTGTCAGGCAGAAGGTCGAGGAGGTCTTGAAGACAGTCGGCGGTAACCTGGATTTCGTCGCATGGACCACGACACCCTGGACATTACCCAGCAACATCGCCCTTTGCGCGCATCCCGATTACGAGTATCTCATCGTGCATGACGTGGAGAGCGACAGGCGGTACCTCATGGTCGAGGCCGGACTGCGGGTTCTCTACAAGGACCCCAAGAAGGCCAAGTACAAGATCCTCAGCAAATTAAAAGGCAAAGACATTGCTGGCTGGAAGTACAAGCCCATTTTCAACTACTTCGTCGAATCGTTCAAAGACGTTGGCTACAGGGTGCTGCTAGACACCTACGTCAAGGACGACGAGGGCGTCGGCATCGTACACCAAGCACCAGCATTCGGTGAGGACGATTATAACATCAGCTGGCGAGAAGGCATCATTGACTATGACCGATCACCACCCAACCCACTCAACGCCGGCGGCGAGTTCACCTCAGAAGTGCCGGACTTCGAAGGCCAACATGTCAAGGCTGCCGACAAGAACATCATCAAGTTCTTGGAAGGTCAAGGACGAATGGTGAGGAAGTCTCAGATCACGCACAGATATCCACACTGCCCACGGTCGAAGACACCGCTCATCCAACGAGCTGTGCCGTCATGGTTCATCAAGGTGGAGAGCATTGTGCCTGAGATGCTCAAGAACCTGGAGAAGACGCATTGGGTTCCTCGACAGGTCGGCATGGGTCGCTTCTATCAGTGGATCTCAGCAGCGAAAGACTGGAACGTGAGCCGGAACCGATATTGGGGCACTCCTCTTCCACTGTGGGTGTCAGATGACATGAAGGAGGTCGTCTGCGTGTCTTCAGTGGCCGAGCTGAAGCAGCTATCTGGTTATGAAGGCGAGATCAAAGACCTCCACCCGGACAGCGTCGACCAGATCACCATACCATCGAAGCAAGGCAAAGGTACGCTCCACCGGGTGCCTGAAGTCTTCGACTGCTGGTTCGAGAGCGGTAGCATGCCGTACGCCTCATCCCACTACCCATTCTCATACCCCGACTACGATTCGTCACAACCTGATTCCGGCATGTCGCGGACAGAAGGACCCGGGAAAGCGCTCTTCTCAAAGTTCCCAGGCGACTTCATTGCCGAAGGATTGGATCAGACACGAGGCTGGTTCTACACCTTGAGCGTACTGGGCACGCACCTCTTCAACACGTTCCCATACCAGAATTGTGTGGTCAACGGCATCGTCCTTGCAGAAGACGGCAAGAAGATGTCAAAGTCTCTCCGCAACTTCCCAGATCCCATGCTGGTAATCGACCGGTACGGCTCCGACGCACTTCGCTTGTACCTCATCGACTCACCAGTGGTCCGCGGTGAGCCACTCCGCTTCTCCGAGATGGGCGTGAAGCAAATCGTGTCTGGCGTGCTATTACCGCTCTGGAACTCGTATAACTTCTTCGCGCAACAAGCGGCGCTGCTGAAGAAGAACACTGGCTCAGATTTCGTCTTCGATCCCGAGATGCAGAAGTCGAACGAGAACGTGATGGACCGCTGGATCCTGGCTGCTACACAGAGCTTGCTGCAGTACGTCAATCAAGAGATGGAGGGCTACAGGCTCTACACTGTGGTGCCAAGGCTGCTGAAGATGGTCGACGACACAACAAACTGGTACATTCGCTTCAATCGCAACCGATTAAAAGGCCAGACTGCCTCAGCAAAGCCTGCTACCAATGGCGTGCAGATGAATGGCGCCAAGCCAGAAGCGGACGGTGACTCGGAAGAGGCTGTCGACACCCTTCACGCCCTGAACACGCTCTACGAAGTCCTCTACACCCTTGTCCGAGCCCTTGCCCCATTCATCCCTTTCCTCTCGGACAACATCTTCCAGCGCTTAGCACCTCACCTGCCCGAGTCCATCACAAAAGGCAAGGATGTACGCAGCGTCCACTTCCTCCGCTTTCCCACCGTACGGCAAGAACTGTTCGACCCTGTCGTTGAGCGACGAGTGAGCCGCATGCAGAAAGTCATCGAGCTGGGTCGTCTAGCGCGAGAACGGCGAACACTCAGCTTGAAGACGCCGCTCAAGACGCTCATTGTGCTGCACCAAGACCAGCAGTTCCTAGAAGACGTCAAGACTCTTGAACGCTACGTCACAGAAGAGCTCAACATCCGCGACCTCGTCCTCACCACCGAAGAGAGCAAGTACGGCGTCGAGTACAGCGTGCAAGCGGATGTGAAGAACTTAGGCATGAAGTTCAAGAAGGACGCTGCCAGTATCAAGAAAGCGTTGCCGAAGCTTTCATCAGCAGACATCCATGCTTTCCTGGACACCGGCGCCATCACAGTGGAAGGTCACCAACTGAGCGCCGAAGACCTCCGGGTCCAGCGCGGGCTGAAGCAGAGTCCAGAGACCGCCGACCTCGAAGTTGCTGTTGAAGGGGAAGTGATGATCCTACTCGACGCCTTTGCGTACCCTGAGCTCGCGCAGGAAGGCCTCGCAAGAGAAGTACTCAACCGTGTTCAGCGCCTTCGCAAACGCGCTGATCTGGTACCGACGGACGACATCAAGCTCGCCTACTCCGTCCTCTCACCTGCTACTGTCGACGGCGCCGATGGGGCCGGAAAGGGCGAGAAAGGTGCTGTGAGTGAGGCTTCGCGATTAGAGGCTGAGAGGCTGGTGGAGGAGATGTTTGTGCAGCAGGCGGGGACTATTACCAAGGCTGCGAGTTTGGGGGTTGTCAAGATTGAGGATGGCGGGGCTAAAGAGGAGGCTGTGGCGGAGGAAGAGGCGGAGGTTAAGGATGTACGGTTGTTGTTGAGGTTGTTGAAGGTTTAGATGGAGGGTGTTTGATGATTTGATGAGGGACGATTGACTGACTGCGCTGAGCGTATGACGCGGTTTAACGACGAGCTTGACTGTCGGTACAGTATTGATCGTTGCTCTAGATGGTATGGAATTGCTGTACAAGATGTACACCGATATCTCCCATTCCTCTCTCGTGCTCCACGAAGCCTACAAATGCTCCAGATCTCCGAATATTGAAGTTCGTGGCACCCATGTTCGAGCGAGCCTCTTTTCTCTCAATCTGCGTTTGCATCTACGCCGTTGGCGTGCTACTGTTACCTCGCAATGCGCTCATATTGGCTGTGGCAAATCCATGCTCAGCCCTTCTTTCCGGCAGCTCTCTACTCACGTTGTCAGTCATTGACGCCGCGGAACGACGTGGGAAAGTGCATACCAGATAGCAGTCTTTCAGCGCCATGAACTCCTTCGCACACATATCCTTTGAGACATTCTGGTAGTTGGAGGCAATGCACTTGCCGTATACAGCTCCCTTGTCGAAGGTCAGCGCATTTGTCTTAGGTAGATGGGACGTGTCCACCTTACTTCAGCCGTACACTTCGCGGTGGCCTCTGCGAACTTCTCGATCGGTCGTGTGCGTCCTGGCATTGTTGCGCATGTGCTTGTCCCGATCGAGAGCATCATTGAAGTCGAAGTGAATGTCGTCGGCTACACGTATCTCCGCTCTGGCCGACCTAGGCTGCTTTGAGAGATTTACAAGCCGATCTCCAACATCAACAACGCGACTTCCTGGTGTCGTACGCGCTTTCAACATCACCTTTCGCGCCAATTCACCCTAACGTCGAGACGACTTTGTATTGCTTGCAAACAGATCATACAGGGCATGCGATAGCAGTGCGACCTACCACTCCCCCCATGCCGCGCAACACCAGATGACCAGGCCGTACTCGAAGCGCGTGCGGCGGAAACTTCGCGTTACCACTTTCATATGAATGACCGCGACGATTATGATGAGCTGCCTTACCTAGACGACCCTGGTAAGTCTCATCCTATTCTCTAGAGTACGCGCGACTAACACCTGCCTGTAGATGTTGAACTACTGTACGAGATATGCAAGCGCGCATCCGGATCGCACGAACCTCCCTTCAAGGCGCTCTTCGCAGCCTACGATGAGATCTTCGCCGAACGAGGACTAGAAGGCCAGCGTGATGGAGCGATCTTCAGGTACCTTATGCGCGTTGGCGAGAGCACGAGAGGAGCCAATCGGGAAAGGAGAAGGATTGATCTCGTGCAACAGCTGAAAGGCGTTTTGGAGGCATTGGGTATTACTGTCTTGGGCGAGGAGGACAATGGCCGAGAAGATGCAACTACAGCGACGGAAGACGTCAGACGGGATTCGGCGCGACTGGATGAGCGGCGCAAGCGCAGGGTTTCTTTCGACGAGGCGCGGTATGAGGAGACCTGGTTGAGTGAGCATACGCAGTCGGTACATCCGTCTCCGACGCCGCCACCACGAGGGACTCTTTTGAAGCTGCCGCCACGGAGAGGAAGGATCGGCACGACTGAGCGCAGAGCACGCTCGACAAGTGCTCGCCGTCCTGTTAGCAGACAGCCAGAGGTTTACTCGAACACGCAGCAACACGTCTCGCCCTCAGCCGAAGGCCGTTACAACTACAACCCAGCGGACCTCTATCCATCCCGACAGGAACTCGACATGAATGCTGAGGCTTTCTTATCAACCTGTGCGATTCGCTCCGCTCGATCAGCATTGCACCACTGGTACGGCGCAGCTATTCAGATAAGGCAAGCTAACGACTACGCTTTCGGGATAGCAATCGACCACGATCGTCGCGCGCTGCTTCAACAATCCTATGATGCTTGGCGCGCAGCTTATAAAGAGAAGCGCGAGCTGGCGCATCAAGAACGACATTGGAAGAAGACTGAAGAGAGAGCGAGGCGCGGACGCGACCTCTTCCTCATTCGCAAAGTCTTCACGCACTGGGCTACGTCGACTTCGCATGAGAAGCTTTGCGTTGAGGTCGCACGTCGCCAGATTCTGCGATCTTCCTACTTCAACCGTTGGCGCGCCATTGCCGCTGAGAATCAGGCGAAGGCACGGAGCATTCTCTGCAAGAAGTATCTTGCCATCTGGCGAGAGAAGGTCGAGGCGAGGCTGCTGGCTAAAGAGCAGGCAGTTTCCTGGTACGAGGAGACTTTGCTCAGGAAGTGCAAGAAGCGGTGGTTCTGGCAGTTCTGCGGAAGACGTGTGGAGGGTTGGCATGAGCAGAGGGTACAGAAGCGGACCTTCGATCGACTTGACGCCAAGTGCCAAGAACGACAGGACCGTGAGCAGCGAGCAGAAGATGTGTACTGCTCTCGATTGCTTCGAAGAAGCCTGAGCCTCCTCGCTGGGAAGCTTCACGCTCGACAGACCCAGAATACCACGGCGCAAAAACACTGCGAGCGGTCTTTGGCCTCACGGACATTGCACGGTGTTGGCATCCAGGCGAAACTGGACCCCATCGCACGCACGGTCTCAGCAAAAGTGGACTTGAACACTGCTCGCAAAGCCCTGCGCGTCTGGCGTCTTCACCTAAGTCTCTCGCAGCAGGCCGCAGAAGTCGATCATCAGAGGCTCCTGCAAACTGCCTGGACCAATTGGAACGATGCACTGCGGTGTCGAGCTTTGGCGCAGAAGATCAACGAACGGGTCTTGGTTGAGAACCTGTACCGATGGGTTTTGCAGGAGCGATTGCGGTTGTTTCAGCGCACAATCGATGGTCGAATACTTGGGCGAGCCATGACATGGTGGCGGGCGAAGGTTGAAGATGAACGGGACCAACTTGCGAATGCTGAAATCGTCTTCGCCGAGCGGCAACGTAGACGTCGGCTGGCTTTTGGAATGGTCCGGTTGAATATAACCATGCGAGCTCGAGAGGACGCTGAGCGGGCTGCCGTGGAGTTCTCCATGAGTCGTGCCCTGCCGAAGGCACTCGAAGCTTGGAAGGATCAGACTGATCATGCGCGGCGGCTGGCGAAATGGGCTGCTGATGCTCGATTCTATTGTCTTACCGCCGGGACACTGAAGAACTGGAGAGAGAAGACGACAGAACATGTTGCTGATCGCAGGCGAGCAGCATACGTTCAGGTGCGCGCGAGGATCAAGATAAGGCTCGCGAGGGAGTGCTTGATCAAGATGCGAGCTTCAGTCGTTGCAGTAAGGTCGATGGAGGCCGAAGCTGAGAGAAAGGCGCAGGTGCGGTCAGCGGATATTGGCGTCGCTGCGTTCGAGCACTTGCGTCAGCGAAGCGCGAGATACCGTGAGCTGGATGTTCAGGCCACGGAGATCAACTCGCGGAAGCTGCTGTCGTCCGCTCTCGAAGCAATGCGGCTCAAGCACACCGACTATGAGCGGATGGCAGAGCAGGCACAGAGCTTCAAGCGCGAGACTGAATTGGCGGTCCTCGCCGATGCCCTCCGACGAGTGCAGTGGGCGAACTTCACAGCTGCACGCAAGGTGGAAAGCGCTGAAGCCTTATGGCTCCGCAACCGCGATCAGCATATCAAGCAGATGCTTCGCCACTGGGCAACGCAAACAGCGGCTCGGCGGTCGACAGTCCTTCGCGGCAGAGATGCTCGAGTCGAGGAAGCAGAGCCGGAGAGCCCTAGTCTTCGACCAGCGAGTCGTGCTGCCTCACGTTCGAGAGCTCCTGATCGAGTACTGCTATCCTCACCACCTTCGCAGGATCAGCTGCAGTCAACGCCAGGGTACATGCGCACACCGTCTCGTCCGCGCCGAGCTGGCCGCTTCCGTCCGCTGCCTACGCCTGCAACTTTCACCCCATTGGCTTTCGATACGGCTTACCTCGCCACCGTGCCTGCGCCGCTGCCGAACGCTGAAGAGAGTGGAGAAGGACTGACGTTCGACCGAACTGCCACGGAAGGTCTCACCCCCCAGATCACACCTTTCTCCAGGAAGCTGAGGGCTGGTGGGATTGGCGGAGCTGGGCCGTTGTCAGCATTGAGGAGGTCGGATCTGGGGCGCTCGGTGCAGGGTGGGACGAATAAGAGTGTCAGGTTCGCGGGTGCTGGGAGGTTTAGGGGGAGTGATGACGGACATTTGAAGAGTAGCTGATGCATATCACGAAGACTTCCCAACAGTCATCCATACATGTTGCAGTCTGTCCCTTCGCTCTCCATGAACGTAACTGCCACAAGACCTAACGCATAGCCCACATAAGGCTTACCCACTACTTCGATCGTTGCAGATGGTCCTTCGGACAGCACGGGCTGAGTCTTTTAATGATGGTGATATATTACACTCGAGACTAAAGATGCTACATTCGGCCACAGATCGCAGAATAATAGGGCATCCCGTCCGCTCTGCCGTACTCAAGCTGCGAATCGGATGATTAGTACTACGGTGGGTGACCACGTGGGAATACCGTCTGCTGAATGTTTTTGCATTTTTTTGCCTCCAAAGCCTGCACCAACAGGCAGAGAGTGTGGACACCCGCTAGTGCCCGCGACAACATGCCAATGAGGGGGAGCTTTAGGGACCGTGAGACTCATCTTGCAACTTCGCTCAATCCACCTGAACTACCTAGGCATTGATGATTGAGTATGACATGTACGCCGTCAAGCAACACGAGGACGAGAAGTGACCTTTGAATGGTCTTCCAGAAGCCTGTGACTCGAGGTCGCGCCAAACAAAGTCTGTGTGCCCGGTTGAAATATGACAGGGCTGCACTTTTGACAGTCTCACAGCCCTTCTCTGTCTCCCAGCTGGTCGGACGTCCACCAAAATCCCCAGCATCGAAGAGCCTACCGACTCTAAAGGAGATGCAAACCAGCCCCTGCTCCGCTGCACGGGGGTGCCACGGTGCCCAGGATGTAAGTAATGGATGCGAGGACGAGAGTGGTCGATTTCCAGCCTCGTCGCCGATGGTGGGGCGGAAACTGAGTACAATCGTACATGCATGCAGAGGATGCGTGCAGATAGACGAGGCCAGCAACATGAAGGTGTGATGGGGTAAGGCAGCTTGGGCGGCCAGGTCAGGAGACTCGTCTACCGTACTTACCCTGTCGTCGACTGCATCGCAGCCTGATGGCGGGTCTTCAAATAAGTGCACATGCCTCGCGCAGCGTCTTGTTTTGGGATTCTCTGCCAGTCGCAGGCGCTCCTGATCTCGTGGCAAGCTAGAAGCGTTGCTCTGGGCTTCTGAACGATGAGTGAGGTCGAACTGAGCGCGTTGAGTGCCTCGCACACGCAGCCTGTCGAATCGCCTCGACCAGATGGAGGAGTCGACATCGAGGACCATGATGCCAGCGGGACCGCCGAGGAGACGTCGTCGGTCGCTTCACATTCCATACAGGTAAACTCCCACTCTCGCTCTCCCACGCAAATCCATGCTGCGCCAGCACAGCCACAGTCGCCAGCAAGTGCAAGCTCAAGTGGTGGCGATGCAGCGACGTTAGCGACCAATGGCAACGCAGATCGCCGCTCGTCGCAGGCCAGCACTTTTGCAACCTCCATTGCCTCCTTTCGCAGCTGGGTGTCTTCTGCAAGCTCCGCTCTAAGCGTGGACCAACTTTCCTCTTGCTTTGGCATCAGTATCGATGTCCAGGAGGACGGTGGCAAGAGAACCTGGCTTATAAAGGTGACCAGGCTGGGACGCTGGATCATCCCGTTCCACCTGATACTGGCTGCCGCTGGCATTTTCGACGTCGTCAGCACGATCTACGCCTGGACAACATCCCGCGGTGCCGACAGAATGCAACAGAGGACTTTGCAGAGTGTCTTGAAGACCGGCTCCCGTCTGGAAGGCATGGAGCACAAATTCCAAAAGTGGTTCGAGGAGGCTACCGCTCTATCATCCGGTCAGAGAGAACAACTGCGAGAGGAGCAGCGTCTGTGGGACGCCTTGGTCAAGATGTTTGAGAACTGTGGGACTCAATCCGGGCTGGCCAATGCAACTGATGCCTGCGCTGAGGGCCGACGATATTTCCAAGAGAATCCTCTCCCACAGGTGAACAAATCTCCTCTTGCAAAACGAAATCTGGCCAAGATTGATGTGATTATTCGACGCGATCATCTGCATCTAAGCTCAGGGGAGTCGGGGTCGAGTGCATGGGCCGGCCAGCATCTGCTACATACTCTTGCTATTGCGTCCGTGCTATGTCTTTCTACACTGGCGGCGTTCTTTTTGTACTTTGCTCTGTGGCGATGGGGTCCCGCCCTGCGCAGAAAGGTGCAAAACTTCTCGAAAAAGAGATGGTTTGGGCATGGCAAATCACTGGAGGTCGTAGTTGACGACGGCGACGAGAAGTATGTTACCACGACAGCCTACTCGAGTGGAGGGGATCATCGGCAACCGCAAGGATCGATAACGTTTAGGGGCCCAAGAATTCCCAATGTCTACACCCTGGCGGTGAAAGGAGCATGGACAGAGCTGGCAAAACTGCCAGCCTCGCAAATGCAAGTCGATAGTGTTGACACCGCCAACGAATACGGCTCGCTTCTAACAGCGGCGGTACGGTCTGGGGACTTACAAACCGTCAACTACATCTTGTCTCGCGGCGCCATGGTGGACGTGCTCGGTGGCAGATATCACAATTCACTACAAACAGCTGCTCATTCTGGAAGCAATGCAATCGTCGAACGATTGCTGCAAGCAGGCGCAACCGACGCCTCGACTGGTGGCTTCTATGGGAGCAGCATCCACGCGGCGGCTGAAAAGGGTGATTGCTACATGCTGAAAACACTACTCACGTCCGGAAAGATTGCCAATGGTATCAATGAGCTGGGAGGAACCTTCGGAACTCCGCTCATTGCGGCCGCGGCCAGGGGTGATTGCGATTCTGTCTCAGTTCTTCTTGACTATGCAGCCGATGTCTCCAAAACCCAACGCTGACGGGACCACTGCGTTACATTTAGCAGCAGCTAACGGACATCTTGAAATCGTTTCAATGCTTCACCACCATGGCTGTGCTCTCAATGCACTATCGACGGTTTATGGCACTCCGCTTCACGCTGCATGCAGTACATCGCGTCCCAAGGTGGCCGAATTTCTTCTGAGGTCTGGAGCAAATCCTTCAGTCGAAGACCAACGACGGCGGACACCATTACACGCGGCCGTGAGCGCTTCCGAGGGAATGCATGCTATCATCGACACCATCCTTGACACGAAGCCACATGTCGCTGACAAGCGAGATTCCGACGGGCAGACAGCGTTGCATCTCGCAAGTATTGCTGGTGATGCCGACGCCGTCAAGGCGTTGTTGCGGTACGGGGCTAAATGGTCCATCGGCGACAAGTTCAATGCACAACCACTCTTCCGCGCTGCAGGCTGCGGCTTCCCGGAGGTGGTCCACGTGCTTTTGAAAATCGGGCGGGCAGATCCCAATGCCGCCGACTGCTTTGGGAGGACCGCACTGCATGGACCGGCGCAGACGTCCGACGTGCGAGTCCACAAATACCTAATAGACTACGGTGCTGATGTCAATGTGACTGGCAACGATCGGAAGACTCCACTACATGAAGCATGCAACATGGGCAGAATAGAAAACGCCAAGCTCCTTCTCGAACGAGACGAGATCCTGGTGAACGAGCTTGACAACGACCAATTCGCTCCTCTGTACAAAGCCCTCTGCAGCTCCGACGCTCACCCCGACTACTTGGGCAAATGCGTCGATCCAGGTATTGTGGACCTCCTTCTGGAGAGGCAAGATATTGATGTCAACGTCTCTTCTGGCATCGCAGTCCAGGAGGCGGCAAGGAAAGGCATGGTGCATGTGGTTAGGAGGATGATTGACCGACATGGGGCTAATTTACAGATGCAAGGAGGCAAGTATGGCGGCGTGCTCCAAGCGGCCGCCATCAGCGGAAACCTGGCACTGCTAAATATGCTGCTCGACCCTCGCCATCGTGCAGACGTCAACCAGACGGGTGGGGAATTCGGCTGTCCTCTTTCCGCAGCCGCAGCATATGGCCATGTCGAGATTGTGCAAAGACTGCTCGAGGCAGGCGCTGATGCATGCAACAATGGCGTCGGTCGGTATGGGTCTCCGTTGCAGTCGATGTGTCGACAGCTGGAGAACCCGGGCAGTTTCACCTGGACTTCAAAGTCCACGCCGATCTTTGGGCTCATCAAGGAATACGGTGGCGACGAAGCGTTGCAGCCTGTGGAAAAGCCGTACAGTGTAGGGTGGCGATGGCTCATCACTCCAACCGGCTGGACCTGGGTACCTCCCGGAGAGATGTGAGTCTGCGGAAAAGGGAGGGAGGTTCGATCCAATTGTGGGCAAGGAATAGACAGCATCCTGGATGTACCTGTGGAAGTCATGGCAGACCAGTCTGAAGCGATTACTGGAGCGGATACCGATCGCGTCTACGAATGGTGTGAATATCGAATTCAGCACCTCCGGAGGAAGGTCGCAAAGCATTACTGGTCGTGGCGTTGTATTGTATGTTCGGGTCAAGACGAGGGGTCAAGACGAGGGGTCAATGCGGGACCATGTGAGGCAGTAGACTGGCGACTAGATGCGCTGTCCTTCAATACTATCTATATTGGATTGTCATGTAGGGAGCAGCCCGAGAACCCTAAAGGCAGGCGTCGAAGGATTGATCTTCGACCGCACGAATGTGAACGCCCGCTAGAACTAGCGCCCGCAAGTGTCGGCTGGTCGTCCGTTGGCTCGACATCCTTGTAGAGCTCCTTGGTGTATCAACCACGTTGCCTTTCCGATTATACAGCATTTAGTCGACCTGTAGTGCTGTCCAGCCCCTTTCATAGCAGGTTTGCTTGCACTTGAACCAGTTTGTACATCTACTCCGACCAACCATGCACCTCCGCCAACTAGCAATACTAATCCTCGGTCTCTGCACCCAACTCTCAACGCCCTACATGCTCTACAAAGGCCTAGGCGTAGCCGCCAACACGCACTCCCCCATCGTCGGTGTACTGTCCGGTTCAATGGAGCCAGGGTTCCATCGAGGTGATCTTCTCTTTCTCTGGAACAGAGGAGACACGCGGGTCGGGGATATTGTGGTGTATACTGTCCAAGGCAAGAATGTTTCGATTGTCCATAGAGTTATTGCCAAATTTGGAGGAGGGTGAGCATACGATCGTACTAGCAGTTCCGTCAACATATACTGACTGACGGACAATGCAGAGCCGAGCCGTTGTCGGTTTTGACGAAACGAGACAACAACCAAGGAGACGACAGGCCCTTGTATGCGCCGGGGCAACAGTACGTAGACCGCGAGAAGGATGTTGTCGGTAGAGTTGTAGGAACGGTGCCGTACGTCGGGTACTTGTCTCTTGTCATGGAGGATTATCCGTGGGCGAAGGTGGTCTTGGGTGGTCTGATCGCGCTGAGTGTGATGGCTTAGACACTGTGAGGTGAGCATCTGCAGGAATATCTGCCAGCCATCACTTTGTTCAACACGTATTCCCAAGGACGAAACCGCTCTGCAGGTATCTTGAGCGAGGTAAGGATCAGATGTAGGTGCAACGAGGGGGAGGGATCGAACTGCGTACGATTCACTCAGCTGTCAAGCTACAGGTACGCTTAGCCTCGAAGTAGCGAACAATACAGCATGCAGCTTCTTTCCTCACCATGCACGACCGTCTTATCAAGCCTAATACCTCCTCCCACCTCCACCATAACCACCCCTTGACCCTTGATAACCCCCCCCGTATTCTCCGCCACCTCCTCGTCCACGACCATCGTACCCTCCACCGCCGTTCCTATCATAGCCCTGGTGATACCCCCCCTGATACCCTTGCTGCTGACCTCGGTTCTGCATCGGCGGAGGCATCCCCTGTGGAAGCGGCGGCATCCCAGGCGGTAAAGGCGGCATCCCAGCCGGCATGCCCTGCGGCGGCGGCGGGAACCCATGTGCAGCGGCCTGCTGAGCGAGATGCGGCGGCAAACCAGCGAAGGCGTTCGCAGCTTGGTTGGAAAACTGGTTGTTAGCACCATAGCCATTGCTGCTCGGTCCAGAGCCGTAGCCACCATTCGCGCCGTAGCCGTGGTTGCCACTGTATCCGCCGTTATATCCGCCGTTGTCGCGCGCTGAGAAGTTCATGCGACGCCCATCGCTGCGGTCGCCATTCTGGCTCAACTGCACACCACCATGACTGCGCCCGCTACGATTAGCGCGCTCACGAGTCATTTGGACGTCGTTGTAGTCGAGTACTGGCTCGCTGAACTTGACGCCTGGCATGAGCATGCTCTTGTGGATGCCGCTGATGGGCGGCATGTGGTAGTTGACGGTCACGCTGCCGTCGACGTCGAGGTTGGTATAGACGTCTTGGCTGCTGCCTTCGAGAGGGAATACGAGCTCGGACTCTGGGATGTAGGACTCGGCCTTGCTGACTTTGCCCATAAGAGCTTCGGAGACCTCAGGTCGGAGCTTGAACTTCGGTGCGCCGGCGCGCTTGCCGTAGAAGTTTTGTGCGACGTCGGCGTAGAGTGGGTGGTTGGTGGAGAAGATGAGGGCTTCTTCGCCAAAAGCGTTGCGTCGGTTCTCATCGTCGGACAGGAGAGGATACTTCGTGGCCATTGCGTCGAGCAGGCGCTTCTCATCGATGAATGGGAGGAGGGCAACACCTTGCCATGCGAACTTCTTGCCGTTGAGGTCGACTTCGAACTCCTCAGGGTAGAACTCCTTGATCGGGCTGTCATCCTCGGTCATGAGCGGGTGGAAAGGCTCTGGGATGGTGTGGTTGGAGGCAGCAGGCATAACACCCATGAGCTGCTCGTAAGGCCGGAAAGGCTGCCCTTTGGAGAACTCAACCTTCATCTTGTCAAGATCCTGGAAGTCTGCAGCAAAAGGCGCATAGTGGTACGGGTAATACCACGTCCACGATGGACACCCTTGGAAATAGTAGAGTAGCACCCAAGCTAGACCTTCGACGTAAGAGCGCGCGACCTTATGGCGGAACTCGTAGTCGTCCGGTGAGACGTGAAACTTCTGCTCGTAGTACCGGCCTTGATAGCCTTCTTCCCACAGCTTGACCGTGTCTTCTGGCATCGCCTCTTCTTTCTTCGAGTTGCCTCCCAGAGCGCCGGAAGTGCCGTTGCCCATGGGATTCGCGATCTCCTTGTTTGGTGTGTTGCGTCCCGGCGTTGAGGGATCAGACAGTGCACCATCATCGGCGGCGCCATCGATCATGTCTCGTGTCCTTTTTCCAAGGACAGGAGCAGGCCCACCATTCTCACCGTTGGCGGTGCCGTTAGCGAACAGTGCATCCACACCAGCCTTCTGCTCATCGGCCGGCTTCTTGCTGCCCATAAGCTTCTCCTTGAGCGCTGCGGCAGCAGACTTATTGTCGGCATTCGCCTTGTCCAGATTGGCCTTCCCACCAACAATATCTGCATGCGTCAGGCCGGCGGTGTATCGTGGGTCGCTCTTCGTCTGCGCAGCACCCGGAACAAAGGTCGGCAGCGCATTGATGTCCGGCGCCGCCTCACCTCGAATGATACCACCTCTCGTACCTCTGCGAACAACGCTCTCATCAAAGCCGGTGGGAGTGTCATCGCTGCCTTTTACAAAGCGCCTACGCTTCCCACTCTCTCTCCGCTCGTCCTGCTCGGCGCGGCGCTTAGCCGAAGCCTCCTTCCGCAACTCTCCTTCACGCCTGCGCTTGAAGATGGCATCTTCCTGCTTCGCCAGGCCATCGAGGATGATCTGCGCACGAGCAAGGTCCACATGGCCGTCTTTCGTCACGTAGCCTCCCATGACCGGTATGTTGTCGCGCCAGATCGCTATCAGCGTGTCGATTCCGTCTTCTCTGATGTCGAGAGAAGGCAGATGTGGCAGGAAGTCGTTGCCGACGAAGAAACACATGAAGACCCAATCGTCAAGGGCTCGCTCAAGCTGGAAGGGGAATGGCTGATTGGGCACGGACATCTCAACAGCCAGATACTCCCGTAAAATGCCGACGTGCAGCCAGATGAACGGCTTCAGTGGCTTCTCCACGCCTTCCTCTTCCTGCTTTTTCTCTGTACCACGACATTCAGCCGCCATGTGGCCAGGCTGGTTGCACTTTCGGCAATGCCCTGGCTTCGTCTCGTTGGCGAACACGTCTTCACGTAGAACACGGAAGTGCGGTTCGTGAGTACCGATGCCCAACATGATGAGATCAGCGTCGAGTCCATAGATGACATGTCTATGCAAGTTAGCGAAGGTTGATAAAGCACTCGTACTCGAAAGTAGAGAAACAGAGTAGAATGGCGAGAAGTGCTTACCTGGTGTTTGGGTCATGCCCTGGAGAGCTACGCTGAGAACGAACAAAGTTCATAATCTTGTGCTCACCTTCTCCTGGGACTGTGGCATCAGAAATGATGACCTTGAGCTTCTCCCAAGCAGGGTCTGTCGAAGCCTTGTAGCTGACCCAGTACCTCAGACTAGCAGCGAGTAGATCCATGAAAGGCGTGCCTGGTGTAATGGAATTGGAGTCCCAGGTCTTCTTTGGCCCTTCAGTCTCTTCGCCGTCGCCGTTGTCCGTGATGCGGCCGTTGGCCTTCTGCAACGCGTGGAACTCTGCAGTAGCTTTGTCCTTCTCAGCGGCCTCTTGCGCGCTTCTGAACCGTCTACTGCGCTGCTGGTTCATCTTCGCTCTGGGCGCGACACCATCGACAGCGATCATGAGAAGCTTACGTGGCCTCACCATGTTGACTACTCGGTCGGTGTACTCGAAGACCGCAATCATCATCTCCTCCTCGTTGGCTGGTGGCGGCCGATCCTCCGGGTGTGAACAGGGGTGAACAATGCCGTTCATGTCGAGATAGAGGTTGTCGAACTCCTCGCCGTTCGGGTTTGGCTTGCGAGTATCGACCGGCACCTTCGTTTTGGTGCCATCATCGTTGTCAAATTCCTCGGGTCGCTCCTCGACGACTGGCGATATGATTTTTGGGTACTTTTTACTCAACCACCGAAACAACGCTGGAACCCCCATGGCGGTGGTGTGCTATTATCAAAGAGTTGCTGGCGCGGAGAAGGTGGACCGCGAGTGTCTTTTCGCAACGTCCGCTGCTGCGCAGTGAAGTCGCGTGTGCGACTGGACCTCGAAGCCTGCGTTTTGCGCCGGATGGTCGGCTCAATGGTGATAGTACTTAACGTATGATACTCGAGTCGCCACGGAGCGTAGATGGAGCCGAGCAGGTGAGGTTGACGGGGCTGCTGGCGAGTGTTGCTGGTGTGAAGAAGACGGAGAAGGAGTTCGAGATCTCAGTCTTGTGAAGGTCGAGTGGCCTAATGCGGTTAGCGCTCGCGGTCCTATCCGCTCTCAGGGTCTTTGCCCGAGGACAACATTTTGTTGCTCTAAGTCGGAGAACACATATTCTAGGACCAACGTGCAGAACGACTGGTGCCGACAGGCTCTTCGGACTGAGAGATGATGAGGTGACATCATATTCTTGCCTCCAAGGGGCAGCCTTCATCGAACACACCTACGACACCGACAAGATGCTCAAAACACCACCCCTACAAACGGCGACAGCGACCATTGACACGCTTTGTGGCCGCCTCCAGTCTGCCACTCTCCTAGAGGACCGACGAGCAGCCATACTCGGTCTCCGCAGCTTCGCAAAGCAATACCCAGCATCCGTGGCTTCAGGATCCCTCCGCGAGCTCATCTCGACCCTTCGACGCGATGGCTTGGGGGAGAAGGGCGGCAGCAAGGATGACAATGGCAGACGAAGCGATGAGGGCACCGGCGACGTTGACACCATTCGCCTGGTGCTCGAAACGCTGCTCATGCTCTTCAACCCGGACGCGACGAGCCCAGAGGCTGGGGATGAGATAGCCTTCTACATGGCGGACGAGTTCTCAATGGTAGGTCTACTTCCCACAAGCCCTCCTTAGACGAGCGAGGATGATACAAGGATTGATAGAGCTAAGCTAATGCCAGCGCCAAGACAACATTACCCTACTCCTGAACCTGCTCGACCCTACCAGTCCCTATGCCGACTACTACTCCCGCCTCTACAGCGTACAGCTTCTGTCAGCCATATGCGTGTCCAGACCTGACAGACTGCAAGAATGTATCTTGTCCGCGCCCCTCGGCGTGTCGAGACTAGTGGGTGTGTTGGACGATGCAAGAGATGCCGTACGCAACGCGGGTCTACTATTACTCGTCGATTTGACAAGCGGCGCCAACGAGGACCTGCGGAAGATTGTCGCCTTCGAGGACGTGTTTGGCAAAGTGTTTGCGCTCATACAGTTGGAGGGTGGACTTGCTGAAGCTGGAATCACTGCACAGGACTGTCTGAGCTTGTTGGCAAACCTGGTCAAGGGATCAGCGAGCAACCAGACCATGTTCCGAGAGTCTGGCTGTGTTGCTCAGCTTGCGCAGTTGCTCCAACAAGCTTTCCCACCCTCTCAGCACGAAGCCGCGTTCATCGCGCAGAACCGGCAAAAGTCTGCATTTGGCCTGCTTCAATTGTTCAGGCTGTTTCTGATTGCTGGAGAGTCGAGCACACCGCAGAACCAGGCTTCTTTCTTCCGGGCTGGCACGGCTCAGACACTCATTGATCTCGGATTTGAACCGCACTTGCCAGTCCCAATCAGAACGGCAGCGCTGAAGGCTGCTGCAGAGCTCATCGCCAGCAATGCACCTCTGCAGGAAGCCTTCGCAGCTCTTACGGTCATCGCGCCTGCCGATACAGCACCGTCGTCGATGTCCTCATCACAGCATCTGAACGGATCACGATCAGCTGGCCCTTCAAACAAGGGCAGCGCTCGGCCCAGCGCAGAGAAGGCCAGAACTTATATCATCGAAGCCTTGCTCGACACGACACTGGACCAACCTCAGGCGGACTACATCCTTCGAAGCGCCACCTGCGATCTCATTCAAGCTTACCTTATCCAGCATGACCGGATACGTGCGCACTTTCTCCAACGTGCGATCTCAGGCCATGCCGAGCAAGAAGATGCCGCAAACGTCTTGACCACTCTGTCACAGCCTGGAGGAGACGCAACCGGTATATCGTTCGCATCATGGATTGTGCAGGACCTTATAGCCGACAATGTCGAGGCCAAGGCTATGCTTGCCGCCGTGAAGGAGGGCACTGAGAGCGAAGGCGAGGATGTCCTGTCTTTCATTCAAGCACTTGGCTCCGAGCTGGAAGCGGCATTGCAGCAAGCTGTCGACGTCAGAACGATTGCCGCGTACGCAAGTCTGCTGGTGGTCTTCCTGTGGGAGTTTGCAGCCGGTGTCGATGATGTGCTTGGCGAAGGCTCAAGTCTAATGCAGGCTCTCGCTACCACGACCAAGACTGGTACTGCTGACTCGCTTGTCCTGGGACTTAGCGCAACATTGCTAGCCACTGTGTATGAATTTAGTACGAAGGATAGTCCTATCCCAAGACGAACGCTGGCGCCACTGCTCACCCAGAAGCTTGGCCGAACGAAGTACTTGGAAGCGCTCGTCGACTTACGCAAGCAGCCAGCGGTGCGAGATTTTGACCTCATGGAAGCAGGAGACCCGGACACCATGCTATGCCAGTCATTCGTCGAGCTCTTCTCAGTTGAGTATTCGCGCCTGAGGAAGGCTATCGACAAAGATCCTGGCATTGAAGTGCTGCCTTCGTCTGCTGTGGCAGCTGGCGTTGACCGAGATGTCCTTGACGATCTGCGACAACAGCTTCAGACCTCCCGAGACGCTCTGACACAAGCGCAAGAGCAGTTAGTCGAGCTAGGGCAGAAGCACGAGCAGGAGCAGATGTCTGTTGCGAAGGAGCTGCAGACAGCGACCGCGGAAGTGGATCGCTTACGACGCATCAACCAGGCCATGCAGCAAGGGCACGAGTCTGAGCTGGAGAAACTTGCCCAGCAGCATGATCAGCAACGGCAAGGATTAAGCGCTGAACATCAGCGAGCGTTGGCCTCCGTACAGCAAGAGACGCAGCGGCAAGTACAGGCCTCTGTGAGGCAGACCGAGGACGGATTCAAGGCGAGAATCCAAGAGTTCGAGCGACGAGTAGCAGAAATGGGCAATGCCCACCGCACAGAACAGAGCGGTCACGCCAATACTCGACAGCAGCTCGAGTCGCTCACAGCTGCCCACACTGAGCTTACGTCTCGCGAGAAGAATGCCAGCGCGCAACTCGCGGATATTAGTCAGAAGCATGCTCGCTTGGAGAAGGAGCATGCGGGCTTGCAGGCTTCGGTCACCGAGGCTGCAGGCCAGCTCGACCGCATGAGGCAAGAAACTGAACAGCGCACGTCCGAACTCGACCGCCTGACTAGTCAGGTCAAAGAACTGCAGGAAGAGCTCAAGGGCAAGGAAGAGGAACTCGCAACCGAGCGCGCAGGCTTCGCCGAACTGGAGAAGGAACTTGAGGCTGCTAAGAGCGCCGCCGCTTCTGTAGACACTGCAAAGACTGATGACGGCCAGACTGAAAAGCTCGAGAGTCTGGAGAAGCAAGTTGCTGAGGCGAAAGAAGGCGAGAAGGCGGCTAAAGAGGAGTTAGAGAGTATGTTGCTCGTGATGGGGGATATTGAGACGAAGAGGGATGAGTATCGGGTGAAATTGAAGGAGATGGGTGGGGAGGTGACTGATGACGAGGAGGATGAGGATGAGGAGGAAGGTGATGACGAAGAGGACGAGGAGGATGAGGAGGACGGAGATGTAGACTAGGTTTTGTAATGGTCTTTGTTCACCAGCATATTGAGCCGGCGGGCGTTGATGGCCATGCTGTCTTCTCCAGTTGTATCAACTTTTCAGAACAGGTCTGCAGCCGCTGCGATTGCACAAGTCTACTCGGGGACCTCGAAGAGCGTACCTATTCTTGCTTTCTTGTCTCGTTGCTCTCGCCTTCCAAGCCCTCCTTCGGGCTGATAGACGAAGTCGATGAGCGCGGAAAGGCAGTTTGTGACCTTGCAGGAGACATGAGCTAGCGCCCTCGTTGTTACAGCCAATAATGAGCGTCCCACTGCTTTTGCACACCAGACCCTGCAACAACCAGAAGCGAGCCGACGCGTGCGCTCGCGTGGCATTTCAACCTCACTGCTTCCTTCCCTGATCACTTCGCCTCACAACACCACATCAACAACAATATGTGGTCTCGGGCACTCCGCCCCATCCGTACAAGCGTGCACCGCACAGTGCTCTTTTCGCGGCGCTACAATGGCCAGCCAGGACCGCACACGACCTACTTCCAGCCACCACCGCAAAAGCCGCCCAGGAGAATATTCAGAGCCGTGTTCTTTGGCACGACATGTTTTGTCGCTGGCGCCATCGGTTCCGCCTGGGCTTTGGATCCCGAGGAGCTGGAAGCGATGGGTCTAGTGACGGAAGGGGGTGCAATGGAGGACGATCTTGTCATGGCGATGCAAGCTGGCGCGAGAGATCTGGCGGCGAAGAATGTTCCCATCCATGATCTTGCGAGGGCCCAGGCGGTGCTGGAATCCGGATCCGGCTATTCCATCACTCCGTATGCCGTGGGTCACCATTGCCAGCTGCCTTCGAACATGCCGTGCGAGGATGTGATGAGCAGCGGCGTCTATCACTTGTTCCAAGATCCCAAACGCGACTGGTGCAACTGGAGTATTCTCGATGGCCACGCTGGGCCGAAAACCGCACATATGCTTCAGGACAACTTGCCGATCGTCGTTGGGATGGAGCTGTGGAACGCGAAGTGCATGGACCGGCCTTATGTTCCGGAAGATTTTACGATCATTCGCGCTTTTAAGAAAGCGTTTCAGAACCTCGATGAGTCCATCTTGCGGGACGCTGCGCAGTGTCTTCACTCCGGGGAGAAGGATCTGGCGCATTCGATTGCCCTCACTGCGGCTGCGATGTCTGGATCGTGTGCGCTGCTGGCGCTGTTTGATCCGCAGAGGTCGGTGTTGCGGGTGGCCAACGTTGGTGACTCAAGGGCTGTACTAGGACGGTGGGACGACAAGGAAGGCAAGTATGTGGCGCAGGCGATGTCCGAAGATCAGACTGGCTTCAACGAAGACGAAGTGGAGCGGATACGGAGAGAGCATCCCGACGAGGATGTGGTGGATCCAAAGACTGGGCGTGTGCATGGTATTGCTGTCTCGCGAGCTTTCGGCGATGCGAGATGGAAGTGGTCGAGTGACTTGGCTAGGACTGTGTACGAGAAGTTCTGGGGACCAACACCACGACCGAATGGCATGATCAAGACGCCACCGTACCTTACCGCTGAGCCGGAGATTATGGAAACGCAGGTGCAAAGCGGAGACCACCCCGATTTCCTCATCATGGCGTCCGACGGCTTCTGGGACAACATGTCGTCCGAAGACGCCGTGGTCTGCGTGCAACAGTGGCTGGACAAGTATAACCCGACTAGGTTCATCGACCTCAAAGGACAAGGCGGGGAACAACATGGTGATCTCGAAGACAAACTCCAAGCACGCTCCATGCAGGATTACAAACCGGACTTCACCAACGACCCGAGCGAACCTGATGAAACGTGGTGGGATGAAGGCGAGCGAGCGATGAAGTGGCGGGTCAGTCCGAAGCACTTTATTGTAGAAGACGAGCTGCATTGCGGAATCCATCTTGTGAAGAACGCGCTTGGTGGGAAGAGGAGAAACCTCTTTCGAGGACTCATGAGCATCCAGCCGCCGAACTCGAGGAAGGTGAGGGATGACATTTCGGTGCAGGTCGTCTTCTTCGGGCAGGATATCAAAGATGGGATGGGGTTGTACTAATAGACGCAGCGTTTGGCGGGCTTGAAAGCGGATATGCATAGCGTGGTGCGGTGGAGCTGACATACTTATACCCGGATATTGTATTAAAAGCACAGATTGATACTCACTCGCCGTTCTATCTGAACGCTTCATACATCTGCACTCAAGGAGCTGTATATGCACATCGACTTATGGCAGTGCAGTGGGCTGAGCCCGACGACGAGGCATTGGTGCCACACTGCCACCACTAGGCTGGCAAGCCTGGCAAGCCTGGACAATAGCTAACCCTGCAGTCACGATGCGACGAGAAGCGGTAAGTGTTTGCTACTTTCTCTTTCCACGCTTTGCTTCTACTTCATCACGTTCAAGTTCAAGTTCAATCTCAATCTCATCGCTACCTTCAAAACATCACCATCACCATGGCAGAAGCCGCAGGCCTAGCATTCGGCGGCGTAGGACTTGTCGCGCTCCTTGACACAGCAATGAGCACGTTCGACAAGATTGACGCCGCCAAATCGTACGGCAAAGACTACCAAAAGCTAGCTCTAAAGGCCTACTTCCTCCGCCTCCGGCTGTCAAGGTGGGCCGAAGCTCTTCAACTCGTAGACAAGGCTGCCGATGAGCCCTGTTATTATAACCCAGCTGGCGTCCCGCTTGACGATCAATCCAAACAAGTTGGAGCACCGGCAACCGGAGGGCCGCTCAATGAGACTGAGTACGACAATGTGCGACAGCTGTTGGGCCAGATCGGCAGCGATATTGAGCGGACGAAACGTTATGCGGAGCGCTATGACCAGATAAAAACCGGTGGACAAGTCACGACGCAGGACCAGAGGGAGCTCGACATGATCGACAAGCTGATTAGCAAGGTGAACAGTTTGGCTCTTAAGCGGCAAAAGGGGACTTCGATTAGCCGAAAAGCTCTTTGGGCCGTTCGTGATGGAGGGAAGTTCAGGAATCTGCTTGAGCAGATTGACGAAAGCCTTACGGACTTGGAGAAGATCTTCCCGGATGCAACGAAGGCGAAGCAACGCCAGGTGCGAGATGAGCTGGTGAAGACCGACGCAGAGGAGCTCGTACGACCGTCAGGAATCGAGGAACCGGCGGATGATGGGCAAGCGACCATGGCGGTGTTGGCAGAAGCCACCACTGGTGTCGATGCTCTGCTGCAAGAAGCGATTAAGAAGGCCGTTCCGGGCGACGACTTGAAGAACCGCTTCGAGTCTGAAGTCGTCATGATCGAAAACGTGAGGCTCAGCCAAGGTCTGGAAGTCATGTCCGGGTACGTTGGACCGACAAATGTTGGTCGTACAAGCGTGTTCAGCGGCAGTATGAAAGGCTCTGGCAATGCTCGCATCTTCCAGGGGGAGTACTATGGTTCCAAGCGTGTGTTTGACGATTAGAAGCGCTACTGTATCGCCCGTTGATAGCCTCACGCCGCTGGGTTTCGTAGTGTTGTGACAGGTTTAGCACTCGAGAGTCGGATGGAGACGTTACGGATACACAGAAGACTCCAGTAGCAAACGCACGATCACAACCTGCCTTTTAGCAACAACAGGCTGCAAAAACAATGATACCATTTGCTGCAGGCTACCTTCCTTCCATCCCACCGAGTGCGTAGCCCTTTACGCCGCCCGAGATCAGCCGAAGTAAATGTAGATATATCACCACATCACTCCAAAATTGCCTTGAATTGAACACACTCTCTTCCCACTCACGTGGCTAGTTGGTTGCACGTGGGAAGAAATCATTTCTTGGACTTTGACGTTGTCCACTGCGAGCTACAAGCACTTCTCAAGTACAGTCTGAAGTCGGTTCTTCATTATCATACTAATACATCACATCATATCAATCATTCACTCCCATGTCCTTCCTCGAGACAAGTTCGTTCATGCTCTTTTGCTCTGAGGGCTGCGATTCCTACTCCATGACACCTCTCTTCTCCTCTTTCTTCATATCATTACCTCCAGCCGGCTTCTGGACGCCCTTGAACGTGCTGTTGAACCAGCCGCCAACGACGCCGCCGCCTCCGCCCTGCATCTCGGTCACGCTCGCACGACGTTCGCCATAGTCCTCGCTCCCTCTCTTCTGGTTCGTCAGGTTGCCGAACATGCCGCCCTTTCCGGAAGCGGCGGACGACTACCACAAAACGCTCGTCAGCATGCTGGACACATGACCGGATGGACGAACACTGCTCAACGTACCCTTCTTCTCCCAGACGAGGTTGGGAAGCTCCCTCCAGCACTGCCGCCAGATGGCGTCTTGTCAAGCGGTGAGCCGCCGTTGCTGCTGGTCGAAGCTCTTCTCACGGCATTGCTCACTGATCCAGTCTCGTGGAACTTCTTGCCGGTTGGGCTGGCTGGGGCGTGGACTTCTTTGCCGCGCTGGAACATGCCGCGTCTGTCTTGCCATGGGTCGCTGGGTGCGGACATGTTGGACGTTTGTATGAGGTCGTTTTAGAGGCTCAGAGGAGGGGGGATGGAATGATATCGCGTGCTTGAGAGCTGGTAGTGATGTGGGCTGATAATGATGGAGCGGTAGGAGGCGGAGTTGGATCACGTAGATGGCTTACCAACACTGCTCCATGCGGACTAGAGCAAGCGGTCCGATAGGAGTAGCTCGCTGTCACATGCTTGTTTGTTATCACGATCCTGGGGGAGCTCTGGGGTGACGATCGCGGGGTAGCTGATGTCTCGAACTGTGTGATGAGATGATGCTGCGTCAGGGATGCGGTATTTGGAGACGAGGTGCTATTGAAGGCGAGGAGTGGGATGTAGCACGTTTGCGTGGTTGGAGGTTTATGGTAGTGGACTTGTTGAAGAGCCTGCTCTACCACTATGACTGGCCACCAGCACACAAGAGGTCAACCGTAGATAGGCCTTCAATGTCCAGTGGACGCCGTGGGATTTTGGGGGCAATCATGAGCAGCCTGTAGAAGTATTGACTGTAGCTAAAGTTTTGCCTCGACGTTCATGGTTCTGGAAGTGGCTATGTTCTCGTCTTGAGCTTGACTCTCTAGCTGATGTGCGAGGTGTTGTGCCCTGCTACTCCTTTGTCCGACAGATGCGGCAGGCCCTGTCGTGCACCTGGGCTAGTGTAGACATCGTCGGAAAGGTCCAGAACGGCGGTCGCCGTATACAGCCTGACATTTACAGTCAGATTGCTCGTCAAAGAGATTATGGTTGCGACGATAGCAACCTGAGGAGGGACGTGCTCTGGTCGGATGGACAGCCGGGCAGCCGATGCGGTGAAAAAGAGGAGAGCCTGGGGTGAGGTGACGTCTGGGGTTCGTGGAGATGGTCAACGCGTTGGCAATACCATCCTCGACCATCCTCGCTGTATAGACCTTGTTAAATCCTCTGTACGTGTCAACGAAATAGCCGACCTTGTTACTTGTAAATCTGCAGGATTCCCTGCTACGCCGGACCAGGGCAGATGCAAGCGCCACGCCTCTGATCCCACGCATCTCTCTGGACGGATATACGCTTCAGAGACTTCATTCCCGGGTCCAGACAGACAGATCGCTCCACAGATATCTTGCAGCAGGATCCGGCGACTACTTAAGCGATGCAGGTGCCACAAGAACACCGCAGTCCTGGCGCCATCGCTCTTCCCGCCTTGAGCACTCCGGAGAGCTACGCTTCGCCTCCTGTCCAGCATAGCTCCAACGGTGCCAGCAAAGGCTACATCGACGATGGCAGGTCTGATACTACTGTCAAGACCGAAGATGGCACCCGGAAAACGAAGCAGAAGCGTAATAAGCCCACGCTTTCCTGCCTCGAGTGCGTAGAACGCAAGACGAAATGCGATCGAGGCAGGCCATGTCTTGCTTGCGTCAAACGACAATCAAACTGCGAGTACACCGCAGTCGCCAACCTGATTGCCTCAGCGGACAGCAAGAATGGACCCAGCAAGGCCCGATATGTCACCAAGCCGCCTAACAAGATCCGCAAGATCAGCAATGCCTCTTCGCAACAGCCCTCGCCTATGACCACCGACAATGGCTGGACACACATAGATCAGCGGGCTCATCGACATTCCAATGCTTCATCCGGATCGTCGCCGTACCTGCTCTCCAACGTTCCGTACGCGAAGTCATCGCCGTCAAACGTCTTCGGCGTGGGCTCGCAGCATCCCTTCTCCAACTACTGGACCTGTGCTGGCGGTTTGCCGGAAGTGCTCAGTGTCATGCCCTCTAAGGAACAGGCCGACATCCTCATTGCGAAGTACTTTGAAGTCGTGGATGGTGTCTACCCTTTCATCCACAGGAGGACCTTCTATGCCGACTACGAGCGCTTTTGGGCCCTGTCACCCGAGAAGAAAGGCGAGACTGATGCTTCATTCTCCGCACTGCTCTACTCCATGTACGCGCTCGGTACCCAGTTCATACAGTTCCCTTCGTACGAGGAGCGGTCGCAGACGGCAGAGTTTTACTGCTCAGCGGCGAATCAAGCACTGCGGGTGTACTCGTACCTCAACCGGACATCAATGAGAGCCATCCAGGCCATGCTGCTGATGTCTTACTTCTTGATGAACGACAACCATGCATCGGACGCATACGCATGGGCTGGCATCCACCTCCGACAAGCATACGCCATGCGCCTCCATCGAGATCCAGACATTGTCGTGCCGGAAGCTTCAGTGATCGAGAAACAACAGCGGCGGAAACTTTGGCAAGCCGTCTTCTTCCACGACACCTTCCTGACTGTCCTACTCAAATTACCGCCGACTGCCACCCACAGCGACGTACCAGTGGAGTCCCTCCGAGAGGAGAACGAGCTCAGCACCGACGGCCTGGACATGTGCCTCCTGGGCTCCCACTCACGAGTCGAGAACCTCATGAGCATATCCGTCATCGCCCCTCAACCGGCAGAACCCTACATCCAACCCGCACCCCACCACATAATCGACCCAAACACCATGAAGTCCGACGTCGTCTTTCTCCGCTGCATGTGGCACCTCGGCAACCTGGTGCAAGAGAACCTCTCGTCCCCGTGCTCGCTCTCACTGCCCCTCGCCAACAGCCCCCGGCATAAAGACTCCCTCATCGCAGCCTTCAAGCGCCTCTACAAGTCCTTCCCACCTACCCTCACTCAGCTCGACCACACCACCCTTCAACAGCAAGCTAGAACCAACCCGCGCGCCGTCCGGCAAAATCTCTTCTTGACATCCAACTACTTTCACTGCGTCATGCTCCTCCACGCCTCCGAAAACGACAGCGCGGGCGTCGAATGCAACGTCAAGCCCGCGCTCGAAGCCGCGCACGAGGCGATATGGGCTTTCATCAAACTCTGGGGGTTCTTCGAGGCAGAGGCGGGGGTATGGTGGGTCTTTCAGCACAGAGCGTTTGAGGAGAGTTTGCTGATGGCGCATCTGCTTGCGAATGTGCCGGCGGTGGGGGAGGGTGAGGAGGGTGGTGGAGCGGGGAATGTGATTTTTGGCAAGGCCAAGGAGGATATTGCGAGGATGTTGGAGTTGATGGAGCGGTATGGGGGCAATTTGGAGATGCATCGGGAGAGGAAGGAGGTGTTGTCTGCGGCTTTTGAGAGGATTGTGGTGTGAACGTGGGAACACCAAGGAAATCAAGTTTGCTTAAAGTCGTGAAGACGTTTCTGTTCCTTGCCACATGCTATGGGACGCGATCGCGACACCAAGCTTAATCAACAGTAGCCCCTAGCGCCGTCTGTCATTCCTGTGGCTCAATCAGGCCATGCGCTTTGCCTTGGTCACCGCTCACTCTCTTCAGTGGAAAGTATGAGGGCGAGAAACGCAGTCGTCGCCGGCGTAGCAGTGAAGGCCCCTCGTGTTCCCTTTCTTGTTCACTACGACGCACGTCAGACCGCAGCGCTTGCACGGTGAAACCTGGCAGCCGATGCAGTTCTTGTTCGCATTGTCCATCAACTCGAACGCCATGTCCCTCACACCTTCCTTTCCGGGTTCTTCGAGCCACAAGCGAAACTCTTGCAGCTTGTACAAAGCAAGAAACTGTGTCGAGAGGATGTGATGGTAGGCCTTATCCATGGGACCACCCAGCTCCTTGTGCAGCGCAAACTTCTTGATCGTGCGGAAGACCTGGACCTTATCGAGGAGGTCGCAAGCCTCTTCGTATCGCGCGCATGAGGAGTCCAGAGAGTTCAGAGCTTTTTCTTCTAACTTGGAGAGTAGGTACTTGTTGGCCGTGGTGTCGACTGCGTGGTGAAAGTCAATTCCCTCGCTGGGCAGGATTGCGAGATCTTGGTCGTATGGAAAGCCGTAGATGTGACGCAGCATCGCCATGACAGCCCTTGGTTCGTCTCCTTGAAGCTCAATCGTGGCCTGCTCGCTCTCGACAAAGTTGCGGTTGGTGAGCAGTGTCCGGAAGTAGTCTGATGCTTGAGTGAGCACCACTTTGTGGCACTTGACCTCTTGAGCACCGAACTTGATGGTGATGTCTGAGAACTCTGGCTTGTCGAAGATACTATTCGCACGACGTTGTTAGTCGCTGTGAAGAAGCAGTTGGATGCGTGGACCACTTACGCTTTGACGTCGAAGCCGTCCGCCATCTTGCTGTAGACTTGCTGTCCGCACAGTGTCCCTGGTGCTTCCTATGCCGTATCCAATTTTGAAGTTGAGAATGGAGGTTGGAGGTTGTGTGAAATTGAGCAAACTTTGGGGAGGTGTCAAAACTTTGAGGAAGCATGTGAAAGCGGCTCGTGCGCGAAACAAGATTGCAGTGACGTGACCTCATGGCGAGCAACATAATTAAGTGTCGGGCACGTGAAGTGACACAGCATGCAAGATGAATGACAGGATAGAGTATTGAAAACTGCCGACACCATTCAAAGAAGCTACTTACTTGTAGCTTACATAGATAACCCGTCGTTGCCTCACTATGTCCGATCCGCATGTCAAGCCTAACCGCAAGCTCGATAACATCGCAAAGTCATTTTCGAGCTTCGAAGCCCTCTTCAAAGCACTGTCAAGCTCGCCTAGCCCCGAAGAAGCATTGCCCAAACTAAGATCTTCGTAAACTTCATCTGCTTGCCGCAATGGATCGTAAGTCTTCCGCAGGCATAGTTGCCGGCGAGGCCGTACGAGCACTGGTGATCCAAGGCAGGATCGTCCACAGCCACTTTGAGGCATGTGTGACAGATCTGGAGTTCCACAGTGCTTGGGTTCGCGACGGCCGCCAAGACGAATTTCAGAGCCGGGTTGTTGTCTTGCTCGAGCCATGCGCGGAATGTCTTTAATGTCATCAATGCGGCAAGGTGCTTCCGGACAAGTTCGTGGCTCTTCTCCGTAAATGCTGCGTGGTAGTCCTTGTGTGCTGCGAGCAACTTCACCAGCTCGAAGACATCATTTGGCCCGTAGCCACCATTGGTGATCGGGATCCCAGTTTGAACCTTAGACAAAGCATTCTCCATGGCGGCGAAGGCTTTGGCCGTAAGCTTCTCCATCTGGTACTCGTGTGCGGCGGCGTAAACGCTGAGATGGTACTCTGGCGTAGACTTGATCTTGTCTTTCCCAATGATATCCTCGTACTCGAAGCTGTAGATGTACCGTAGGACCGCTTCGACTGCCTGCGGACCATGTCCCTTGAGTACGACGACGCCTGATTGTGATAGAAAGTTTAGCAGGTGTTTGAGACGGGCAACAGGGTCATTGAGCGGCGCTGACTCACCTTCACGGGCCTCCTTGAATCTGCCAGTCGGACTGAGCAGCTTCTTGAAGTAGTCGGATGCGGTGAAGAGCACGAATCTGTGGCATTTGAACTCGCGGGTGCCGCATTTGATGATGGTGTCCGCGATTTCGTGCTGGTCGAAGAAGCTACGTCAAGTCAGCACGGGGTGGTCTCATTGCTCAGAGAGAAAGGCACTCTTACTTTCGAGCATCGATCGTGGGAGCCATGGTCGTGGTTGCACAGACGGCTTCTGAAATAAGATTGCAGATAGTGGTTGGTAATGTCAGTAGTGCAAGTGTGTACTAGTTGCAAGAGCAGTCTTTTGTATTCCCCAAAGCGTGTCATATGTCAGATGCCACCTGAGGTCAGTGAGTTCTGGCTGTGATCTCGTGACTGAGAGGTGCAATGAAGTGAAATTGAGTGAGGCAGGAGCTACTTCAGCCGTTCAGCAGACTTTCAGGTGTCTTGTTGCTTAGAGGGAATGAGAACATGATACTCACGATGGCCTCACCACTTCTCATTGAAGCTACCCAGAGACAGCTCTTCGAACCGTCACATTGTGTTCCTCCTTCGCTATCCTTTGACAGCTGTACAGTAGCATGAAGCAGATTTGGAGCCTGGAGTCCAATCGCCTTCATGCTACCGCCCGGCCAGCCTGTCCCACTAACTGCACCATGATGTGGTACACCGACGGTCAGGTTTCCCGTCAATAAACGCCCCCCAACTTGCCACACTTGTATCTCAACTCCAGGCTCATACAGTCCGTGTTGGGCTCCTTCCCATAGCTGCAGTAGTGAGAGTAAGAAGACCGTTCGTCTTCAGCAAGCCAGATCTCCTCGCATCGTCTACATGCAAGTGCTTCATGATGTGTCTCCGTGTCGAACTGTTGCAGGGCCTGCGTCAACAATGCAATGGCAGGGCTGTCCTCCTCCGCCAGCCACTCGCGGAACTCTTTCATCGGCATCAGCGTCGGGAGGTGCTGCTTAACGAATTCGGAGGTCTTCTGCATGACCGCATCGAAGTCTTTGCGGCCCTTTTACTGCAGAAGTCGCTTGTAGAAGTGAAGCAGCGCGGCCTTTGCTTCCTTGTCTGCCGCGGGCGTATCGATGGTCGTGATGTGTTGATCCAGCTTGGCAAGCGCCTTCTCAGCCAGTCGCGGCAGGCCGTACTTATTGGCAGCGGCGTGGACATCGAGGTGGAACTTTGCTGTCGATTCCGCGCTATGCGTGTCGGGGATAGAGCCGTAGTCGAACGTGTAGATGTACCGTAGGATAGCCGCAACAGCTCGCGGCGAGTCCTCCTTCAGTTCGATCACGTCTTGAGTGCTCTCTTTGAAGCCTAAGTCGAGAAGGCTGGCGAAGTAGCCGGAAGCGAAGGAGAGGATGACCTTGTGGCATTTGAATTCGAGGTCGCCGGATTTGATTACGATGTCGGAGAACTTGTCCTGGTCGAAGAGGCTAGAAAGGTTAGGGCGATGACTCTCGCAGGGAGACGAGGAATACGTACTGTTCTGCGTCGAGCGTGATCGGTATTGCGACAGTTGCTTCGGTTGATGAGCAGGTTGGAAGTGGTTCGTGAGTGATAGTGGGACTGAGCAAGACTAGAAGGAGAAGTTGTGCTGCTGGACAAGGCACAAGTGAGCACAAGACATGTGAAGTGCAGAGGAAAGAGTTAAAAGATAAAGTGAAGTCGTGGTTCGTCCCAGGACCCATGCCTCAAAGGTTCGAGTGGCGAGAGACTTTTACTCACCACTTCCATATCCAAGCCCGCCGATGCAGTCCCATATCGTACATACTCATACACATCCCTCATCCCCTTGCATCACCGCTTGATGTCCGGATTCGCAACATCCTCCCTCTTTGGCTCCGCCGACGGTGTCGAAGCTCCAGACGACATCGACGCCGCCCTCCCTCCCTCCGCCGCCGCCGCCCGCATAACCTCCCTCTTCTCATCCTCCAACTCAACCCTCTCCTTCTCAATCACCTTCTCCACCTGCTCCACTGCCCGCTCAATCTCCATCTCCATCTCAGGCAATTTAAACCTTTCCGCAATCAACTTTCCATTCCAGCGCTGCAGCACCATCACATCTTCTTTCCCGCCGTGCGTCTGCGCCTCCACTACTCGCGCCACTTGCTCGATTTGCGTGGATGTCGGTTTGGGGGCGCCGCGGGATGCGTCGCGGTGCGGGTGCAGCAGGCCGGCGGCGTAGAGGGAGTCGAGTTCCGGGGAGTCGGTGATGGTGACGAGGTCTTTCGAGATGAGGTGGGAGAGGAGTTTGCCGCCGTAGAGGGCGCGGTAGTGGGAGTAGGCGCGGAAGACGAGGTAGAAGAAGGGGATGTTGGGTATTCTATTACAACCATTATAATTAGCAAATCAGCACAGTAGTATCTCCATCCAGTACCCAGGTAATTCGGATGTAACTCACATAGGCACCAGCGCAAACGGCGCCGTCACCGGCATCCCCAGCACACTCCACCACAACCGCTTCCGATGCAACGCCTGCCTCTCCCCCGCCAATCCCCCCAACACCTCTTTCGCCCTCTCCACCTGCCCCTTCCCACCGTCCCCAAAAAACCTTCCAGGAAACAAACACTCCCACTTCCCCTCCCCCTCCCTCTCAGCCTCCTCTAACCGCTTCTTCGTCCCGGGCGGGAAAGACTTTAATCCCCACTCTTCATACGGTATCCGCTTGAGGAAGCGATTTCCTTGGACGGTGAGTTGTTTCTGCCAGCCTTTCTCCGCGCGCTCCCATTTCGCCCAGGTCTCGGAGGCTTTGGCGATGATGCGCTCGCTTATGGGGGGTTTGGCGGTGGAGGTGGAAGGGAGGGGAGGAGCGCGTTCGCAGTAGATGAGGGTGCGGCGGGTGGAGATGGGGAGGAGGAAGAGGCGCATGGTGGGTAGGTATGTCGGTGGGGGATGGAATGGGGGTTATTGGTCCATAGCGAGTGTGGATATGGTGGATGGTATGTGGTGGGAGCAATGCGACGCGAAGGATGGAAGTTGGTATACACTTTTCAATGCACGGACTCTCAAGCCGTGACGTCGAGTGCCAGGATTTCCTGGAGCCGCAAAAGCTTGTTGACCAATGGAAGTGGCATGTGAAAGTGCTTGTCCAACTTCGAGTCCTCACCAGCAATGCATGAGGTAAAGTTCAGAAGTCGTTCATTGATAGATACAGCGATATGCGAATACTCAAGCCCACGCTCAGAAGCCCTCCCACCATCTCTCCGATCCGAAAAGACTGAGCCACCCATGTACATCCCCCTGTACAATCCAAAACGCCGCGCTCATCCCAAGCAAGCAAAGCAACTGCCTCCCATCATATCTTCTCGTCATCCCTCAACAACCCCCTCCATCCCACCCCCAGGCCCTCCATCCACCCGCCTCAAAAACTCCCTCACTCTCCCTACCTCCCTGACCCCGAGTCCACCCCTCTCGCTTTCCACAGCAAGGACCAGAGCAGGTAAACTCTCTTCGACTCGATCTTCTTCAACACCGGTGCACAGGCTGACGACCTTGCGGTATAAGCCCTGCATAGCACTTGATCTAGCCTTCAGCTCGTCGGATTGTTGTTGTAACGAATTGGCGTGAGATGTGTAGGCGTTGAGATGCGATTGGAGGGTTCGAGATGACGGCAGCGTCGACGTGAGAATGTCGCGTTGGGAGGAAGTCGGGGTGGCGTTCGGAGTCTCGAAGGACGAGGGTAGCAGGGCGTCCTGGGTATCGTCACCGAGCCACACGGGCTCAAATCCTGTTGGAGGCGGTGGACTGCGCTGCATCTGACGACTGCGCTTCTCAGCAATACAGCGTTTCAAGTTGGCGACCTTGGCTTGGCGTTCGCTGCGCAGGTTGACTCGATCTTTGAGCGCTTGCACATGCTCGAGCTCTTGCTTCTGCAGCGTGCTAAGCTCCTGGATCTGCGAGTTGAGAACGTCGATCTGTTCAGTACGTGCGCGGAGAATATCCTTGTGCGTTGTGAGTGACGCAGTGAGCATGTTGGTGATGGCTGGAACTTGTCAGCATTACTTCAGAACTGAAGCGAAGGAGGAGAGAGGAACTCACAGCTGATGACATCCTGACTCAAGTCCTCCGTCTGACTGACATTCGAAACCATAGACACATCCCCATCCGCATTGCTCTCCTGCGTCTGCTGCGTATACGGCGCAAGCGTGCTGTTCTGTGTGCCCCGCTGGCTTGCAAACCCACCATTGTCATGCACCTGCTCGCCGACACCAAAATCCTTCGCGCTCACCCCCTTGTAATTGGGCAGCGCAGGATCAGCGTTGATCTCGAGCAACTGCTTGATGATGCTCTGATTCCCAATACGCGCCACAAGATTCAGCGCAGTATTGCCGGCCTTGTCCCGTGCGTTGACGATGTGCGACAAGAACCTGACCAAGCTGACGGCGCCTCTGCTAGAGTTCACCATGCCTGATGAGGTCGCATGCACATCCTGGCTCAAAGCCATCGCATCACCCTTCGCTTGCATGTTCGCGACAGCACTCGCAGCCACCTGTGCCGCCGATCCAGATGCGAAGCCAGGGTGGGTTCCTATCCTCACCAAGAACTCCAGCAACGCTTCGAGGTAGTATTTGCTGCTCGGCGCGCGACCCTTAATCCCGGACGAGACAGCAATGTGGTGCAGTATTGTTCGGCCTTGAAGATCCCGCACCTCGATCAACGGTCCAAGTACCTCCAGCAGCTCGGGAAAGCACGAATGCTCCCAGCAATTGTTGACGAGCACGGCACTGATCAGCGGCGATTGACCTGCAGCGTTCCCACGGTAGATGTTGGCTCCTTTTTGGATTAGCAGCTTCAGCAGAGACACCTTTGCTAGAGTAGCAGCCCAATGTAGCGCGTTGTTGGCACTTGCATCTAGCGGGATGTTGAAGTCTTCTCCAGATAGTTGAGAGAGTGCGGGATGATTGGTGTAGTCTGTCCGACCTGCTTCCGCAAAGAGATCAAGGACTAACGCCATTTTGTCTTGCTGGGCCTCCGACGATGCGTTCGGCAGTGGCTGTAATGCTACCGGCTCGCCATTGCCGCTTGCGAGTTCTTGCGGCATCGACGCGTCGAAGTAAAAGCTTTCATTCGGCTCGGTGGGTGATGAGGAGCGCATAGAAGCATCGTATGACATTCCGTGGCCGACACCGTCTCTGCTATCCGGTCTCATGCGCTTCCGTGGTGGCTCTCCATTGGGTCCATTAGGCTGTGTGCTGAAGCCTGAATCGTGCTTGACATCTACGTTGAAGCTGCCGTCAGAGATCATGCTCTGCTGGCTTCCACCTGGGTAAGCGTCCTGCTGGGACGGCCGTCTCAAACCGCTTGGCCTTGGTCCGGGTGAGTTCAATCTCGCCGCCTTATTCATCGCCGCCAGAGCTACCGAAGTCGTGGGCGAAATGTTCTGGAAAAAGGTTCCGTTCGTGACCGGGCCGCCGTTCGATCGTTGACTTTCCACAGACGGGTTGTAGAATCTCTTCCGGTTCGCAGCCATCGCCTGCTCTTTGGTCGGCGTATCCTGCTGGCCCTGACCTCCAGATCCATCGGATGAAACATCGTAGTCCAGCAAAGGCCTCAGAATGTCCTCCACACCATACTGCCGGCAAAACTCACGGCCGCGCCTGTAAGAGATCCAGGTGCCTTGATACTTGCCGTAACCACCTTGCACCTTCTCATGCTCGCCCGTCAAAATCTCCTTCTCCAGCACTTTCGTGCGCTTGCCCTTGTCCACCCCTGCTACCTTCAATATCTGCGTTGCGTTGAGCCAGCCGTCCGAGCGTCGGCGCATACATGCGATGCCATTGACCTCCATTTCGTACACCGAGACGCCCGAGTAGACCGCCTGCATTACATCGCCTACATTAGCACATGTCCATCGCATACTCATCTCGCGCGCTGCACATACCGTATAAATCTGCGTGTTCTCCTGCTCATACACCCTATTCACCGGCGCATACGGCCGTCCTCCACTCCCACCTCCATTCCCACCTCCGAAACTCCTCGAATAGCTCGCTCCCACTTGACTGACCGGCCCATTACTCGCCCCGAAACTCCCCTGCTGACTTTGGGTCGGAAAACTGTGCGAATAGCTCGGCGCATTGTGCTCAAAACTCATGTTGTAGCTGTTGCCGTATGAAGACGGCGGAGGTTGTTGCAGAGGATTATGCTGGTATGGCGGCGACGAGGCCTGTCGCGGTGGGGGCCCCATGTGAGAGTGGGAGTGCGGTGTGGGTGGGTGTTGATGCGGGGTGGGTGGTAGGGGTGCGATGGAGGCCATCGGCCGGGTTTTTGCTGTACGGAACAGTGCTATCGGAGGTTGTGCGCGTTGTCGATGTGATTAGTACATGGTGCGGTGATGGAGAATGCGAAAGTGGAACGGTCTTGAGGTGTGGTCGAAGAGCGACGCGCTTCGCGTAAATGAGGCTTGGCGGGGCCTTTGCCGGCGGGATCTCCCAGCCACCACCTTCGATGAAGTCAATGAACGTGGAAAGCGTCAGGAGGTGCACTTGTTATGCTGCGATGGCGACACATCCTCTCGCAGCCAGGCTCCCGGACGTTATATAATGCCGCGCCTTCACATGGCGTCACGATCAACGAAGCGCTCATCCAGCCAAAACCAACGCCGACGCCGAAGAAAGCCAGTGAGCTAGCCAACCGACGACCCTCCGGCCTACGCACGAAGATACTAGAAGAAGTCCAACGAGGACTCTGTTCTCGCCACCTTCTCCGCGCCATTCTTCGCGAATGCACCTACCTGCCCGACAAATGGGCGCGACAATGGACAGCTCAACGTGCTATTTCGCGCTTCCGAAGCTACGAGTTCAAGGCATGGGAGCATCGGAAGGATGAGAGCTACGGCGAAAGGCTGATGAAGAAGGAGAAGGAGGCACGGTCATCTCTTGCGCTTCTACGGCGCGCGAACGAGGGCGAGCGGAAGTGCTTGCTCAGGGTGCTGTTTATGGCTTATGGACGGGTGGGGAAGCGGAGGCATGAGTTGATCGAGCCATTGTTGAGGCAAAATACTCCGTTTATAAGCATTGAAACCGAAGCCGAGGATGGAGAGCAATTGGACCGCCAGGACGAACTGACGGCTGAATGGCAAGGCAATGGGCTTGGTGAACCACCGCACGAACAGCAAGACGAACGACAACACGACATTGCCGACAAGGGCAAGCAATCCCGCACGCTCGATCTCACGCCCCAATTCACCGCGCTCGTCATGTCACAGATGAAGAACGCACCCCCGAAACTCGTACGTCCGAACCCACGTCACATCCAGCCGGTCATCCCAGAGCGCAACACCTGGCTCCGTCCGATGCCACAGAAGCGCATCAAGAACATGAAGCAGAAACACTACGCCTACCTGCTCGACCGCATCCAGCCGCCGTTGCCATCGGAACAGTGGTTGCGTCTGCGAGGTCTTGCTCTCGGGTCGATTCATGCTGAGCCTGTTCCTGCTCGGCGAGGCAATGCACGTGCATCACCGGGGTTGGATGAAGGTAACAGCGCGCTCGAAATGGTGGTCCAGCGACCAAAGGTGCCGCTCACTGTGTTTGGTAGCAAGGACGGGCATGCTCTTATGCAACGTTTCTTGCGGAGAGTGTACACGGAAGTGTTCAGTCAGTGTCCGATGATGGAGCTGAAGGAGGGGAGTTCAGACGAGTGGGAGATCACTTGGGGTGGCGAGAAGACATTGGCGCAGTATCAAGCACGGCTTCATGGCAAAGGTCACACGACAGATGCTTGACAGTGCTGAAATGGGAAAAAGAATGAATTTGTCGAGTCGGAGAAGGAGTGGTCGAGAATGAAGTCTGGCTCGGATTGCGCCATCGCGCCAGCCCACTTGGCTCCTGTCGATCTCTGACCTGACAGCGCCAACGCGCCTCGTTCCTGCGCACTGTGGGGCTCCACTCGGCCCTCTCAACCACCAACAATCCAATTCATCTCGCTCTTGTCATCTTACACTCCTCCACCTCCTACACACCCAAACAACACTACACAGCACTGTTTGACCTAGACAGCTTTTCCATCTAGTCAACACAGCAAACACTCCACCACCTACAGCTACCATGGCTTCGTTACCCGATCCGGAGCAACCCACTATCACCGCGGCCTCGAGAGAAGGTAGAACTCACCACACCTAACACATAACCATTGTACTGACGAGTTTTGTAGACGTCCCCGAAATCTACGCCATGATCAAAGAACTCGCCACCTACGAAAACGCCCTCGACAAAGTCGAAGCCACCGAAGTCTCCCTCCGCCGCACCCTCTCCTTCGAAGGCTCCCACGGCCACACCAACCCGGGCTACGCCAAAGCCCTACTCCTCCGCCTCCCCGTCAAGCCCCCCAACTCCGCCGACACCCCCGAAGCGGTCGCGGGATTCGCCCTCTACTTCACCAACTTCAGCACCTGGCGTAGCAAGCCGGGCATCTACCTCGAAGACTTGTTCGTGCGGAGCCAGTACCGCAAGCGGGGGTACGGGCGCATGCTGATCCAGGCGCTGGCGAGGGAGGTGTTGATGATGGACGGTGGACGGCTGGAGTGGAGTTGTCTGCGGAGCAATACGCCGAGTTTGGAGTTCTATCGCAGTCTGGGCGCGAAGGAGATGGAGGATTGGGTGCAGTTGCGCGTGGATGGGAGTCGGTTGGAGAAGTTGGCGTTGGGGAAGACGGAGGCGATACAGACTGGGAGGAGGGATGAGAGGACGGGACAGGTGTTGCAGTTTAACAGGACGGGCGAGGGTAATGACGATATGCCGCGGATCCTGGGGTCGTAGGAATGTCATACCTGTGGAGGGGAGAAGAGAACGGAAGAAAAAGCACTGTTATCTGATGGCCAGGGACATACAGCAGGGTTAGATGGCTGAGGATAGCAGCTGTGAGTATCGTATGCAACAGAACCTGGCAGCGTCCGATCTTGTGGGCAACACAACCCTGCTCCTCTTCCCATTCCATGCACATTTCACGCTCACTGCGCAACAAACCCCCCATCCACCGGCAGCGCCACCTACCACCCCTCATCAGCACCAGAACCTCACCCCAACAAAAAGGACAAAAGTGCGAAAATCCACTCACCCCGTTAACCCACCTCGCATCCTCACTCGCCAAAAACACACACGCCCGCGCCAGATCCTCCGGCTCCCCCAAGCGCTCCCCAAACGGATGTCGCTTCCTTAACTCCTCCGTCAACCCGGCGTCCTTCCAGATCCCCTCCGTCATCGCGCTAGCAGTGTATCCGGGGCAGATGCAGTTGACGTGTATCCGCTTCGGTCCGCACGCCAGCGCCGCTGCGCGCGTCAGGTTCACCACTGCGCCCTTTGAAGCGCAGTAGGCGGGGGAGTAAGCGGCGGCGACGAGGCCGAGCACGGAGGCTGTGTTGATTATCCAGCCCTGATCTCCCGAGGCGTGGGGTGGTTGGGAGAGCATGGCAGCGGAGGCGTATTTGCACCCGTGAAAGACGCCGGTGCTGTTTACCGCGTTGGTCTGCTCCCAGGCCGGAAGGGTGGTTTCCCAGATCGGTTTGGGGTCGTCGCCTTCGAGTGCGATGCCGGCGTTGTTGACCATGATGTCTAGTCGTCCGCCCCATTCCACGGCCTTCGCCACCAGAGCCTCCACCTGCTCAGCGGACGTGGTATCGCAGGCTACAAAGATCGCGCTGCCGCCGGAGGAGGTAATCGTGTCGTGTGTAGTGCCGGCTTGCTCGGCAGAGGAGGAGGTGTAGCGCGATTGCTCGCGCAGGTCGGCACAGACTACGCGGGCACCTTCCGAAGCGTAGGCGAGGGCGATGGCACGGCCGAGACCGCTGGAGGCGCCGGTTATGCAGGCGATTTTGTCTTGGAGGCGGCCTGGCATTGTGTTATATGTTGGTTGGTCTGGGTTGGGTAGAAGGGTTGGGAGGAGGTGTGCTGGAAGGCGAATGCTGCTGCCGTGAAACGGACAATGTCTTGCGGAGGTGAGAGAAGGGCACCAGGTTGTTTCAATCCAGCGCAAGGGAAGGCAGATGGTATGAGAAGATGTAGGACAAGATGGAAGCTGATAGCAGATTGATCCAATGAAGACCTACGCAGCGAAACCTCACCTTCTTATATTCACGAGCTCACGGTCTGCATAAGGATGCCGAAGACCGTACAACAACATCATTCGAGCAGCCCGAGGTTGACACCGTAAGGTACGAGCGGTGTTGCTTTTTGGTCGCAAGATGGAGCGGGGGCCGTGGGAGTGGAGAGCTCTGCCTCCTTCGAGCGAGCTTGGCTGCAGCTGTTTTGGCGCTTGTCGACATCGACTCTGATATCTCGTGTTATGAGGATGGACGCTTGCCGTCAAGTACAATTTCCAGCTTACGAATCGCAGTGGTCTTGGTTATGAGGATCGAGGCCTTGCCGTCAAGTATACACGCTTGCCGTCACGAACAAGAGAGCTTATCAAACTTTTCCCTTCAAGCTCGACTCGATGCGCGTGAAACAATATTATCGAGTTGGAGATGGGGTTTGACGAATGTGCTGTATTATCAATCGGCTGCCAAAAGTCGATTGATGGTCAGTCAGAACGCGATCGATGTCGACGAACGATGATCATCTCGAGGTCGACGATCAGCCTGTTCCCACTCATGCAACCAAATCTTCCTCTCGAACGCTCCCCAGGGGCTTCCAAGCGCTCCCAGCTGCACCCTATTTCCCAGCCCGGTACTGATCGTACACCGCAAACATCCTCGCCCCCTGCTTCGCCGTAAACGAGTCCAAGCACTCATCATAGCTATAATCCATGAAATTCGAAATGCTGTCCGCGCCCGGCTGGCCAGGGCAGCTGTCCTTGGTGGCGGGACAGCCTTGTGTGGCGGAGGACTGGGCGGGCGTGTCGGAGATGTAGTCGCCGCTGCCGGTGCAGGAGTTGCCTTGGAAGACGTGGAAGAGGCCGAGCCACTAGGATATAAAATTAGTCAAAGGGGCGAGGGAGGATGGGAGGGAAGGGGGGCATACGTGGCCCGTCTCGTGGACAGTAGTGTAGCCTAGATCGTAGTCTGGATACTCGCCCACTCCAGTCATCGATCCAGCGAGATTGACACAGCCATCCAGTATTTTGTCTTGAGCACTCGGGTCTTGCTCTGGGAAGTAGCAGAAGCCCAGCAGGCCGCCACCGAGATCGGACAGGAAGTAGAGGTTCAGGGTGTCGTAGCTTCCTTGCCGCAGCTCCGTCTTCATCTCCAGCTCTGCTGCTGTGCTCTGGCCGGCGGAGGCCCAGTCGTCGTTGACGGTGAAGGAAGTGTCGAGGAGATTGAAGCTGAAGCCGGATGGGGCGTAGGCGGAGTTCATGGTTGCGATCTGAACATTTCCATTAGTACCCAGAGCAACTGCGGCTGTAGTGTGGCTGGTAATACCTGCTTGTCCACATCCGCCTGCGTGTATGCTCCCTGCTTCTGCCGAGTGGTGACAATATGTGCATAGGTGTCCACGCTCCTTGAGCTCTGCTTGAGCAGGGAGAACTGAACACCCGTCTGGTTGAGGGGAGTAACCAGATATGAGGGAGGCGCCGGGCTTCCGCAGCGGGTGACTTCTTGAGCGGAGGCATAGACTGCAGCAGCAGCAGCCAGTACGAAAGAAGAGAACTTCATAGTGAATGTTGGTAATGAGCGACTGGTCCAAAAGAGTGGTGGACTGTACTAGATGTGATTGGAAATGCTGGACAATTGAAGAGCTTGGAGGGAGGAATTGAGAGATTGACGAAGGTACTTCTTATACCTGCCTCTGATTGCGTTATCACACGGAGCTCTGTCGATGTCCGCAGCTAGTGACGAGGCATAACTTGCCGTACATTTAGCCAAGTGCCTTCGTCGGCTTGGAGAGTTCAGACAAGCATGAACTGCCAGCCCATTGCGATAGCGTCGCTGCGTCCCGTGGTATGCTCTAGACAGGAACAAGAAGGTGGCGGTACTTGGCTTGTCGCAAAGAGGCATATATCCACAGCATTTGAAGTCCAGCGGTGGCCTGCCGCTCGAGATTACCTTCCATCTAGTCCATTCGGTGAAGGCCGAGTGCAGATAGGGCCGCGGCAGGGGCTTGAAGACAAGCATTGGGTGCTTTTGCTTGGATTTAGAGGCGAGAGGCTCACAGTGAAGACACTTTGATGCTAGGGAGAATAGGCGTGGGGTTGTTTCTGAAGGCCAAGGCGACGACCCTTCACCGAGAGTCGGGATTGGTTGTGTGGTTGAACGGATGATTTCGAGACTGCGCCGAAGGCAGAATGCGTCTTGGGCTTCCAGTTGCTTTCGGCTCTCCTTGACGGTGCATGGCCGAGGCAAGATGGAGAGCTCCACGGTGCCAGACTTGAAGATGTTGCGATAGCACAGAAAGCGTGAGATCTTTCCTTTCAAACAGTCAAAGTGAAGGATGCCGCCCTGAAGTCAATCTTCTCTCCCGATCGCCGGGACAAGTCTAACCAGCTCATCGGCCACGCTTGCTGCACCACCTCAACCACGGTTTTGGGTGGCTCTTCTTTCACGAGATGCAATGTCCCGAATCGTCTCTCCTCCGTGTCCTTATCCGCCGTAGCGATGCAACCATGGGCCCTCGTCACGCCGGCCTCGCGTGGCATCGGCATGGAGCTTGCGAGGCGATTGCTGCAGACGACCAATGTGCCGGTCGTTGCTACCGCGAGGAAGGATCTTGATCAGACGAGGGAGAATGTGCTGAAAGGGTTGGACGGCGTGCGAGAAGATAGGCTGGGTGTAGTTAAGGTCGACGTGCTGGGTAGGTCTGCTCTCGACGATACATCTGGCCAGGGCAGGGGCTAATGGTTGCAGACGAGCAGTCGATCTCGGACGCGGCAGAGCAGGTCTCTAAGTGGTATCCGAGAAAAGAGGCATATCTCCACCTCTCCCTCTGCGTGCCCGGCATCCTCTTCCCAGAAAAAGCACCTTCCCAGATCAACTACGACGATGCCCTGCGCACCTTTCAGACCAACACGCTGGGACCGATGATGCTGATCAAGCACTTCTCTTCCCTCCTTCCTCGCAAATCCGCAACGCTGTCAGGAGAGAAAGGCCTGCCAGCACAAGCGGTATGGATGAACATGAGCGCCCGCGTAGGCTCAATCAGCGACAACGGACTTGGAGGGTGGTACTCCTATCGAGCATCAAAAGCTGCCGTCAACCAAGTCACAAAGACATTCGACAACTACTTGCGAATGAGCTCGGGAGAGAAGGCGATGAGTATATCCATGCACCCGGGCACCGTCAAGACGGGCTTGAGTAAAGAGTTCTGGGGCAACGTCAAGGAAGAGAAGTTGTTCAGCACGGAATATGCTGCTGATAAGCTGATGGAGGTCATCAATAGTCGGGGTATAGATGATAGAGGGAAGTTCTGGGATTGGAAGGGCGAGGAAGTGCCGCCTTGATGGCATGCTGTTACATGTGCGAAGAGAAGCTATTACTGTGTGTGCAAGATGCGATGCACTACTTCTTGTTCAACTCCTCCGCCCTCTTCTTCAGCTCCTCCTTGCTCGCCGGCTCGCCCAGGTTGTCCGCCATCACCGGGCCAGGGTTCGCCTTGTGGTCCTGCATCGAGGCGACGTTCTTGTCGTGGAGGGGATGGTCGGAGGCGTTGGAGTCCCTGGACTCCTTTGCGACCTTGTCTGTGAGGTCTACCGGATGGTCAGTCATCTTGGACTCTGTAATGTAGAAGAGAAATACGGGTATAGGGTACATACTCGAGTCGGCCTCGTCTTCTTTTGGTAGGACGGGCATGTTGTTCGAAACCGACGTGGCTTTGAACCGCTTAAGTGTCTTTTGTCTTTGACCGTGGTCGGTTAAAGTCTTCCAAGGTCCGATGGATTGAAGGAAGGATAGAGAACTCGCAGGCATCCAAATAACGCAACCTCCCACCCACCATCGATCTGGCCCGCAAGGTGGGGAGTCGCGTGGCCGATGACGTGCAGCACAAGGAAAGAGCTCTACACAAGCCAACAACACCTTTGGTTCGCGAGACTTCGTCATCTTTCATCTCCGGGTTTGTAGCTACCATGTCGCCTACGTCTCCTCTGCGTACAGACTGCAGATACATCAGCCTCCAGCGCATCGTCCATCAAACGATTCATCCTTCCTAATGCGGTATACGTTGCGCTATTCGTTAGCACCGCCTGTGGCCCCGTCTCTACAGGGCGGAGCTTGGTTTCAGCACTATTGATCCTTGCGGATACCGGCACGATACGTATGGCCGTCAACAAGTAAGTCGTGTATATAATGTAATGAACATCCTCTCCAATCTTCTGTATACATCACTGCCAGCAATCCGTAACCTCTTCGATTCTTCCATCAAACCTGCCAGTACGGATAACACGACTGAAACATGTCACCTCCCGGACAATCTTCCAGCAACGGACTGGCGAGCAACAACCCCTTCGCCCAGCAGTCGAATGGTCATCCTGAACAACAACTCGCCAAGGAACAGCAGCAATCCCTTGACAGCGAGAAGCAAGTTCTCAGCAGCGAAGGCTGCACCGGACCCGGCAATGCCCCTATGGTCGTCCCTGAAGTTCAATCGCTCAATTCTCCCATCCCGGTGGACGAGCCAGAACGAGAAGCCGGCAAAGAAGTGACGAGCAGCTGGCAGATCCTTTCAAAGGAGGAGAGCTCACCAATCTCAATGGCCTATCACGAGTCGCGACCACAGCAGTCTTCAGGTTTCGTCAACGATGTCAAAGGCCCGCCACCCTCATATGAAAGCCTGAACGGCCAGAGCAGAAGTGGAAGCGATGGCCTCGCCACTCCCAGCCCTCTTGAGCCCGACGATGCGACTTCGAAGCTTCCGCCCAAGCAAGAAGACCGAACCACTGTTGGTCAACTCCTCTCATGGATACCGCCGGCACCACGGATACCGCCATCCCAGATGCCACCTCTAGTCCAGCCAATTGTGATACCACAACTGGACGTCCCACCCCAAGGCGAGAGCGTCCCCTTCACGCGCTGCTACAGCGAAGCCCTCGCCTCCCACGACGTCTCAATGCGCAACTTCCTCTCCTTCCTCGACGGTCTCGCACTCGCACAGGCACCCAACTCCGCTCTTCAAGGCCTCAAACTCTTCGGCGTCGGCGTCAACTCCATCCCCCTCCCCATCATCCCGCTCGCCGGACGGGGCATCTCCGCCCTCGCCACCTCCGGCTCCGGCCACTCAAGCAGCCGCGCGCGCCTCTACCTCGAGCGCGCAAAGAAAGAGTTCTTCGCTCCCCGCGGCCTCAACATGACGATAGTCAAAGACGGCGATCTCAGCGCCCGTCTGCAAATCCCCACCCACGTATCCCGTCTTGCTCCTTTGACCAAGAACTCGTTGACGGAAACTTGCTGTCAACGAAGAACGAACGGACTAGCGCCGTACGTCGCACCCTTGCGCTTCAACGTCCCCGAACCGGATAAGCAGCTCCAAGGCGTGCATAAGATGGCGCGTAAACATCTCGAGAGCAAATTCAAAGCGCAGGCGAAACACATCTCTCGACTGCGAGAGCGGCAATGGGAGGACATCAGCTCCCTTGGTCCGGAGATGCGGGGGTGGGAGGAGCAGTATGCGTTCAAAATGGGGCAGTTGAGGAGGGTACAGGATGATCTTCTCGAGGACCAGGGGAAGTTTACTGGGGACAAACCGAGGGGGGAGCTGAGGGAGAGGATTCAAGCGTTGGAAGAGTTGCAGAGGCAGGTGCAGTTGATGGAGAGTCAGCGGTATACGGCCGTGATGAATGCGGTGGGGAGTCGAGGGAAGGGGGTGGAGGCGGAGATGGAGGAGGTGGGGTTGAGTCGGAAGTTGAAGTGGATTGTTATTGAGAGCCTTTAGCTATTAACTCTTGAGGCAGTATGAAATGACATTATATCAAGTGCACTCTTAGCCAACGAGCAAAGCGGAGCCAAGAAACAAATGTGAAGTCAAGTGTCCTTCAGAAGCCCATACATCTCGAGCTAAATCTGCTTGTCGCACGTGATAATGCAGATCAATCACGTGCACGGCTCCAACTTCCACCGTACTTCGATCCACCTCTAAACGAATGTCCGTCAACTCCAACCGCAACTACTCCCCCCTCTCATCTCCTCCTCAACCCCTCTCACATCCAACACATCGTTTACTTCTGCAAGACGAGGTCAGCCAAAACCGCACTAAAAATCCACCAAGGTTGCCACCAAGGTCCTTTCGACGTACGCAGTCGCACTTCCCGTCATCGCATCCATGTCCGCAAGCGCAAGGACCCATGTTGATGGTGGTGATTGGATGGTGTTGGGGGTTGGTGTGAAAGGTTGCTTGTCTGTATCTCTTGTTCTCTGGAGTTCGTTGCTGGCTGGAGAGAGGAGAACAGGAAGGAGGAAAACGAGCCGGCTTAAGTAGACGAGCCTGCCCACCACACCCTCCCACTCAGCGTCGGCTCACGCGCTCTGTGCGATGCGCTGGTCAATCCCACTGCTGCTGTGTAACATTAGGCGCGAGCCCGCGGTGCCCGCGAATGGTAGCTCGAGGTGCATGCTTGGCCCGATGGTATTGGCGGGACGTGGAGGTGCAGAGGTGCTTTTGACGCAGCGAGGGAGCTCTGCGGACCGGGCTAGAAGGCTTTGGGTGGAGCTATGGATGCGTGGGCTCGGCTGACATTGGTTCTTGAGGAGGCATCCCACTTGCTTCGGAGCGTCGTCCTGGGTCTAGGGCGGCGATGGGATGCGTGTACTGCTTTGCTTTTGCTTCGAGTGGGCCCGGTGGTGCTCGAGCATGTGGGATAGATTGAGGTAAGTGTACAGCTCTGAGCAAACCTGCAGGAGACGTCCTTTCTAGCTGTCGATTGAAGCAGTTCGAACAGACCATCGGGCAAGCTCGTGGACACCTTGCTGGTATGCGAGACTGCTAGGTGGTTGCGAACTCAGGAGTTACGTCCGTTGCTGTCTATGAAGGTACTGCATAATGGCAGCCATTGATGCGCTGGAGCTAAGCTCGTGGAGGAAGGGCATGTGGAGCGAGTCCCACGCCGTTGAACGAGCTGTTCGGCCCGTGCGATCGAATAGCTGATAGTGAGGGCGGCGAGCCCGAATCCATAGTGTGGGATGTAGCCGACGTGGTGGTGCTGCTCCTGCCTCCTACCACGTTCGGAGGTGTGTCTGCATCGAACGTAGAGTGGATGAGACTGATTCGGCGTTGTCATCAGTATAGTGTAAGAGAGCTCGAGCAAGACCTGGTTGTGACGGAGGTGGTGTTAAATTGCCACGAAAACCTCAAATCATCTTTCGTATTCCTCGCAGCTTCCTCCGCCAGCTGTCACCATACCCAAGCTCCACCACTCCCTGACCCATCGGCCATGCCGCGCTCCCCATCGGATAGTCCAGCTTCCCAGGAATCTGTGTCATGATCATGCGTGGCCATCGATCGGTACAAACGCTTTTGACGTTGCACAGACTCCTCAAGCCTTCTTCACCCGCAAACCTGCCGTATCCAGAGCCCTTCGTGCCACCGAACGGAAGCTGCACAGCATAGAAGACAGCGAAGTCGTTGACGGCGACCATGCCGCTCTTCACCTCTCGGGCCACTCGCTGCAGTTGAGCTATGGCAGCGGACGAAGACACTGGGCCAAAGACGCTGCACCCAAGTCCGAACATTGAGCTGTTGGTGATGGTGATGGCTTCGTCGACACTCACTGCTCGCATCAGAACGCAGATGGGCGCGAAGAGCTCTTCCTGTGCGATACGCATGTTGGGAGTGACATCGGCCAACATCGTCGGCTCGAAGTAATGTCCCTTAGGATACTTGTGATGATGGTACCGATGGCCACCAGCAAGTAATGTGGCACCTTGGGCAACAGCCTCGCTGATCAGTTGTTCCAGGCGGTCAAAGGATGCCGCCGAAATCATGCCGCCCATATCGACCGTGCCGTCTTCGTCATCTAGATCACTTCCAGGGCGCAGGTTTTGGATGCGCTCCAGGAGGTAGTCCTTCAGTCGGTTATATGCCTGCGGCATTGCGACGATACGCTCAAGACCAATGCAGTTCTGTCCAGCCGATTGAAAGACGCCTCTCATCAAAATGCTAGCAATTCTGTTCATCTCGTTCGGATGCTCCAGCTTGCCTTTCGGGTGGTCCAAGACGATTGCTGCATCTTTACCTCCGAGCTCAACGCACAGCGGTGTCAGAGCTTTCGCGGCGCTCTTTGCGACTTCGTGAGCGACGGGTCGGCTTCCGATGAACGTCAGATGGCCCAGTCCTGGATGGCTGGCGAAGTAAGATGCAGTCTGCGGCCAGCAGGAAATAGCATGGACAAGGTCGGGGTCATGACCACATGCTGAGAGTGCTGAGCGGACAATATTGGCGAAGTAGGTGGACGACCATGCAGTCTGTTCGCTGCCCTTGACTACTATGGCGTTTCCGGAGAACAAGGCGCTGATGATAGGTCCGACCAGGTTGTGGAAGGGGTAGCTGCGCAATTTGGTCAGCTCAAGCGCACACAGAGCAGGCCCAGAACATAATAGACGGACTTCCAGCTCACGCATGCACCCACGACTCCCAAAGGCTCATACCGCACTTCATTCTTCTTGTAGAACATCAGAAAGTTAGTTGGGCGGCGCCCTGGCTGCAAGGCTTTCTCGCCATGGTCGATGGTCCATTTCAACTTTTCCGCCGTCACCAGGATCTCGCCGAAGAGCGCATCAACCCGCGTCTTGCCACTGTCCAGACAGGCTGCTCGAGCAATAGGCTCTTGGTTCTCCAGAAGGAAGTTGAGCAGAGTCCTTAAGGCACGGCGGCGCTGTGCAAAAGTCGTCTTGGCCCATTCAACCTGGGCTTTCGCGGCCTTGTCAATGATCCGATCAATGCCATCCGGAGTGGTTGGATTGACGAGCCCCAGAAGCTGCCCCGTTGCTGGCGCGTAGCATTGAATGGCCGTAGACCCAGATATCTTGATCGACGGTTCGTCCAGAGTCTTTCCCTGCCATCCTGGCTTGCATTGTTCAGGGGCTGGGACATCGATGTCGATGGCTGCCTCCCCCAAGCGCTGTCGATGGCGGCGCAGCAGCCATACCAGAGCGATGAAGCATATCGCAGTGATCGCGACTTTCAAGTGCAACGGCGTGTCCTGATCGAGCTCCATAGCTTCGACTTGTCGCGTCTGGTTCGTGAGGCAAGTTTGAGTGGGCTCGGAAGGTCTGCTCCGACCTCGGTTTGAAATGTTTTGACGAGGTTGCTCTTGCTTCTGTACCTATCTGCCATCAACATCTACATTTCCACATTAATCTTCAAGATCCTCCTAAATCGCTGTATACAGCAGCGATAACTATCATAATGGGCATCTCAGTGGGCGACAAATTTCCGGAAGGCGTCAAGTTTGAGTAAGTGACCAAACAAGAGCAGAATACGCCAGATTACGAAGCCACCAAACTAATTGAAAGCAGATGGGCGCCCATTGACACCGGAGACCCAACCTCCTGCTCTATGCCACAAGATTACGATGCGTCCAAGGAATGGAAAGGCAAGAGAGTAGTTCTTGTCTCCGTGCCAGGAGCATTTACGCCCGGCTGTCAAGCCCGCCACCTTCCACCCTACGTCTCGAACATCGATAAGATTCTCCAGAAGAATGTAGACTTGGTAGCTGTCATTGCTTCCAACGATGGCTGGGTGATGAGTGCTTGGGGGAAAGTGAATGGTGTAAATGTAAATTGCGGCTCAGTCGTCAAGCATGAAGCCGCAGATTGGAGCTGACGGTATTCCACCAGAACTCCGAGAAGATCTTGTTCTTGTCAGACACCAAGACCCAGTATGCAAAGCAGATCGGCTGGATGGCAGGAATGGGTGAGCGCAACGGTAGATGGGCCATGATTATTGAAAAGGATGGTACCATTAGCTATGCCGAGCAGGAGAAGGATCCTCGACAGGTTACGGTGAGTAAATGTCATGAGGGCCGCCTTGACATGGCTAACATTTTCTCAGGTATCTGGTGCCGATGCGATCCTTGCGAAGCTGTAGGACAACGTACGGTCAGTTGGACTGTTCAATAAAGATGATAAAACCGCCATGCAACTTGCTCAACTTCGACATGCGCAATGTCTACTTCGCCGGAAGGTCCAGCAACATTTGCACTGTACTTGCAGATTGAGTGTGTTTTCCCAGCACGGGCGATAACCCTCCCATCTCTTTCGCGCCGCCGTTATTTAAGGCTTCGACAAGTCTAACGCACCAACAGGCGCCTTGTCGAGGCTTGCGGCAAAGCAGCGGCATTTCGAACGCCATGTAGCCGCTTGGTGCCCCTAAAAGTTATTTCATGTCATCGAGCTCCCCGCAAGTAGTACATCAACCGCTGCCACTTCTTTCGCTGTCTGCTACCTGGTGACCGCCCAGCATCACCAAGTCTCCCCGGATTCGACGGTAAAAACAACCTTGACAGCCTTGCCGGAACTAACGGAACATGAACACTAGGAAGAGTCATGAGATACGAACATGCAGCCAACACCCGAATGCTTGCTTGTTTCATCCTTTTCATGCAGCAATGCCTAGATCCTCGGGGGCTGAGAATGGTTTACGGCGTTGGCGTCAAAATTTCATTGGCCGTCCTGTGCATCCTTCAGGCGATACGCTCCTCGGTGCAGCAAGGCTGTGCTTTTAATAAGAAAGGCACAGCACCCTGCAACCGCTCGCCAGCCTTGTGGTGGGCTGTCCATAAGTATTGCTCGGTGTCGCTGTTCGGCGTCCAAGGAAGGATTCGAAGTGTTCTCACACACTAACCTGACATTCTCTACGAGACCATCCTTTACTACCGCAACCGCAAATCGATCACTCTATCGGAGATGGCTGCAGAGTTGCAAGCAGAAGCTCCAGCACCACCCTACGCACATCAAGATCAGCACACGTTCAAGTCTGAACCGTAAGTACGCTTTAGAACTGCAGTATCGCACACATCAGGACCAATGTTTTCGCAGTGGATACGCACCTCAAGCGTAGCCCAACTATGTACAAGAGCAACCGATGATAGTGCCCTTGAGCCGTCTCCGAGATGAGCCAGAATGGATCAACTGCCCGTTCTGCCACCACATAGCGAAGACGAAGGTCGAGAAAGAGGATTCTGGGACGACAGCGTGAGTCCAATGCTTCCCAGAGGAAGCCTGGCAACCTACATTGTGAGAACGATTTAGCTGACAACACTTCTCCACAGCCTCGTCGGCGGCCTCCTGTGCCTCGTCTGCATCTGCCTCGCATGTCTGCCGTGCATGCTCGGCTGGGCGAACAACATCGATCACAAGTGTGGCGCTTGCGGCAAGCCGCTCACGCACAAGCATCACGACGGCGAGACGCAGGTGGTGGAAGCGGCGAGGGCTGCGGAGGCTGGGCAGATGGGGCAGGAGGGACAGGCGCCGGTGCAGTATCAGCAGCCGCAGGTTCCGCAGGCGGTTGTGCATACGGAGAGGGATAAGATGGAGGGTGCTTGAGGATCGTGGAAATGTTGATGTTAGTGCTCATGTCCAATGTCTTCCTCTTCTTCACAGCTTCGCTCTGACCGTCGCGACTAGGGTCGCCGTGCACTCAACACTGCAACAGTATGCAACGAATGCCTCGCCATCGATGGTTCGTTCGGCTCAAGTAAGATATGCTGAGCTACACAAGACTCAGCTTGCCGAGCTCATACTCTACACAGTACGACGAAACAAAGCGCCCTCCGATTGCGCAGTTGACACAGTGTCTTATAGGCGCGTCAACGACCATCTTCATGCAGCTCCCGCAGACTCTGATAGAATGCTGTGTCTTGTGGGACTTTGTTTGCTTCCCAGTATTGATCGAAGCCACCACAATGTCAAGACCTGGATTCCCCTCCTCCTCCAACCACGCGCGGAAAGCGTACAGCTTCATCAAGCTCGCAGTGTGTTTCGCCAGCAACTCGTCGGCCATGTTCGTGAAGGCGTCACCATGGTGCTTGTTCTCCACGAGTAGTTCCAGGAGCCTGAACACCAGTCGTGCATCGGGGTCTGTAACAGTAGGCAAGTCGAGCGCAACAGCGACCGTCTTCTGCACTGCAGCAAGTGCTTTCGCTTGCAGTTCAGGCAACATGTACTTCTGCGCCGCTGCGTAGACCGCAATGTCGCCTTCCACGTCGTCGCTGACCCCGTACTCGAAGCCATAAATGTGACGCAGCACGACGTTTACAGCGTAATACGAGTCTTCTTTGAATTCGATAGTACTCTGCTGGGCTTCGGCGAAAGCACTGTCAGGCTTGAGAAGTGCCTTGAAGTAGTCGGAGCCGCTGTTGTACAGCACCATCTTGTGGCATTTGAATTCTCGCCCGTCCGTCTTGATGATGATGTCCGAGAACGTGTCGTTATCGAAGAAGCTGCAGAGGTCAGTATCCATTAGAATAGAGAGGAAGCTTATGGTGTCCATACCCTCGTGCATCCATCGTCAGCGACATCTCTTTCAAGGCCCACCTCGCGGACCGCTTCACCGATGTGTTAGATGCTGATAAGGAGGTTGGAGGTGAACTCAGAAATTTCCGGCTACAGTGCGATAGCAGCCATAGGAAATGAGGTGAGGTCATTGGTACCACACAGCATGTGAGATCACATGCTGAAAGGTCAACCAGAATGCAAGAGATCAAATTGGAAGAAATACTGATGAGCTGCTCATGACTGGGAGAACAAAGGATGTGAGGAGGTCAAATGGAGAAGCTCTTCGACAGCATCAAGATCAAGGACATGAGCAGTTGAACAGGTACCAACCACGTGACGCTCATCTTCAACTTGAAACTCCTTTGGGCTCACCACTGGCTAATGCAGGTTGAGGATACCATTGAGTCTCTTGCCAGCAGCTCCACGGCTCGATCTTGCGGTTATACCGACCCTACCGCCGGGCTGCTGCCCGACCAGAAGCTTGAATTCGTCATTAGTCTTTACCTGCCTCCTTCCCTCCATCTTGACGCATGCTATCTTCGCTCCAGCGTCCTCCGTAAATCATGCCTTCTCAATTTTGCACTGCTTGCTCTGCTCTCCAGCCAAGTAGGCAGTCGCCCACACATACCCAGCAGCGCAATCGAGCTTCTGGAAGACCCGCACCTCTCGCCGACTCAACGCGTGGTATCCAGGATGCTCAGATTCCCACCGATGTAGCCGAGATCAACAGAGTGATAGCGGTTTGGGGAGTCTACGTGTGCGTTCCCAACTCGGCAGAGGTGGCTTAGATTGTGCGTGCTATCCAGGGACGTCCACGAGCAACATTTGCAGACCCTGAGCTTGTGTCTTCCATTCACACAGTCGGCTATGGAGTCTAGCACTTGGTCCAGAGCTTGATTGTCGTCCTCTTCGAGCCATGCGCGGAACTCCTTCTGCTTCATCATCGAGGCCATGTGACGCTGGATCAACACTTTGCTTGTCGCCTGAAACGGTTTCTCTTCGCGCTCGTGAAGCAGCTTGATGACCTCAAAGACATGGGCTGTGGCTACATCATCGCGCTTCTTCAGTTCCTCAAGAGCAGTGTTGACTGCCGCCAGAGCCTTCGATGCGAGTCTGGGAAAGAGGTATTTGTGCGCGGCGTCGTAGACGTGAAGGTGGAAAATCGCCGGGCAACTGTACTCGTCGCCGTCTTCTACCTTTTTGGTCTGTACCTTAGGTCGATAATCGAAGTCGTAGATGTAGCGCAGCATCGCCCCGACCGCCTCAGGGTGGTCATCCTTGAGCTCGATGACTGAAAGCGTGCGTTCGATGAAGTTGCCATCCGGATCAAGGAGCTTTTCGAAGTAGGCGGATGCTTTGCAGAGGATGATTTTGTGGCATTTGAACTCGAGATGGCCGGATTTGATGGTGATGTCGGAAAACTTTTCGCGGTTGCAGTAGCTGGAAAGCGTAAGCGGTGTTACTTAAGGCGGTGCCTAGTAGTGCTCACTCTTAGTACTCAGTGAGCGCCATAGCGGTCGTGCTCGATCGCGGTGCGCGGATGATGGAAGAAGAGCTGAACGGCAGTAGTAGCAAGTCTTACAAGATGGGGATGAAGTGACTTTAAAGAAACCAGCTGAGCACGTGACGAATCTGTGAAACCAACCTTTGCCACGAAGTGAAACCCGCGCCAATCGTCTATACCTTCACCCTATCTACAACACCTGATCCTTAACATACAAATCCACATACTCATGCACCGGCATCCCATACAACGTCTGCGGGTCATTCCCCAAATCCACCAGCTTCTTTGTATGCTCCGCCGAGAAATGCGGCTCGATATGCCTCTTGTACTTGGCCAGGATCTCCGGCTTGGCCTCTTCTCTTCTCAAGCGGTGTCCGAGCGGCGCCTCCACGACCTCTTCGTCCAGCACCGTGCCGTCCTTTAGTCGGACCGTGAGCGCGTTCGAGATCGTCCGCTTCTCCGGGTCGTGGTAGTCGGCGGTGAACTGCGGGTCTTCGACGCACTTGATCTTTTGGCGCAGGGACTCTACAAGCGGGGAGTTGGCGGCTTCGGAGTCGTCGTTGTAGTCTGTTGCTTCCAGGCGGTCGTAGTTGAACATCACGGAGCACATGTATTGTACGCAATGGTCACGGTCGGCGTAGTTCTCCATGGGCTTGAACTGCTTGTCGATGATGCGGATGCAGGCTTCATGCGTGCGGTTAGTGACCTCCTCGATATCCTCAGCGGTCTTGCCCATGGCTTTCAGCTTCTTGTTCAAGCGCTGTGCAGCTTCGATCGCGGTTTGAGAGTGGAACTCGGCGGGGTAGGAGACCTTGAAGAGCACGTTCTCCATCACGTAGGAGCCGTAGGGACGCTGGAAGCGGAAGTTCTTGTTGCCAAAGTTGACGTCGTAGAAGCCCCAGACGGGGGTGGTGAGGACGGTGGGGACACCCTTCTCGCCGCGCTGGACCTTGAGGACGAGGTTGATGGCGCGCTCGCAGGCGTCTCCGGCTGCCCAGGACTTCCTGGACATAGCGTTGGGGGAATGACGGTACGTTCGGAGGGACTGGCCGTCGACCCAGGCTTGCGAGATGGCGTCGCGGGTTTGAGTTTCGTCGAGGCCGAACATCTTTGCTACCACTGCGGTTGACGCAACCTTGACCAGTACGACGTGGTCCAGACCGACCTTGTTGAAGCTGTTCTCCAGAGCCATGCAACCCTGGATCTCATGTGCCATGACCATGGCCTCAAGAACGTCCTTGACCGTGAAAATCTTGCCGCCGTTGATCTTCTGCGAACCAGACTGGTTGGTCCTGTTGATGTAGTCGGCAGCGGACAAGATGGCACCCAGGTTGTCTGATGGGTGTCCCCACTCAGCTGCCAGCCAACAGTCGTTGAAGTCCAGCCATCTGATCATAGCTCCAATGTTGAAAGCTCCCAACACTGGGTCGAGGACGTAGGGTGTCCCTGGCACGCGGGTGCCATTGGGGACTTGTGTGCCAGGAACAACCGGTCCGAGGAGTTGTTTGCATAGAGGGAACTCGAGGGCTTTCAGACCGCAGCCGAGAGTATCTAGGAAGACGAAGCGGGCAGTGTCAAGCTATCATCTATTAGCAGGTGTTCCATAGCCCATGTCTTGAGATCTTTCATACCGCAAGCTCGGAATCAACCTTGTAGTTGTGCACATACTGCGCAGTGTCCTTGATCTCGTAGTCGTAGTCCTGCTTCACCGCCTGGTCGGGCAGGTTGGATTTGGGAGCCATTGAAGCTGAGAAGGCCCGTATACTCTGCGACTGTCTGGCGGGCTGCTGCGAGAAGGACTTTTGGGCGAGGATGGAGGTGGAGCGGAGCGGAGTGGCTGTTCGCTGGACACTGCGTGCTGCTGTCCGGAGGGCGCTGCGGGCGGCGAGGGAGGACATGGTGGAGGAAGAGGGTAGATGCTCCTGTCGCTCTCGAGGTCTGCGGCAGCTCCAATGTTTTCTAGAGCTTCAGCTTCTTCTGCAGTGGTTGGTAGCTCCTACTTCGGAGCCAGCAGAACACCAGCCCGTGAATATCCGCACTGGAAGCCATTGACCTCGGCTCTCACTACCAAGGCACACCACGTCCGGACGACATGCTCCGAACCCCAACAACATCAATGCGTCTCTTGGTGTGCTTGGCCATACCGCCTCCTTCACCATACCGACCTTCAAGGACTTCCGGAAGCGCCTGAGTATACGTAGCAATGTAAACGATAGCGAGCAACAGGCGTCCGCGCCTAAGCAGTATGATCCGCCACCAGGACGACCACCTCATCCACTGCCAGCGGTGGTACACAATGGACGACGATACAGTCAAGACCAACTGCAATACCTCATCAATGAGGTGAAAGACCATCACATCACCCGTGGATCGTTACTGAAGCTCGTCGAGCACGAGACCGAATCATCTGTACCGGCGAGAGCAGTGGGAGCCAGCATCTTGCCGACTCCGTTCCCCAAAGCCCGGTATGATGAGGCCATCGAGCTGCAGCAGGCGTATTGCGAGCTCTATATGCGAGTCGCATCAGACCCGGACTGGCTGTACAAGGTGCTGGAGCCACTGAAGAACCATGACCGCTTCTTTGATGTCCTGTGGGAGGTCTACGAGAAGGTCCGTGAAGCGGGTGCTGTACAGAATGTCGTCTGCTGTGTCTTCAGAAACGACTACATGATTCATCAACCACCAGATCAGTCCGAAGCAGAACTGAAGCAAGTCGAGATGAACACCTTCTCGTGTGCTGGTGCCGCCCACGCCGAGAGGATTGCGAATGTGCACAAGCATCTTGCTCGCGTGCGTGATTGCGAGACAGGCCCTTCATCCAGCAGCAGCACGGCTCTCCCAAGCAACGGCAACGTCTCCTCCATCGTCGACATGCTCCAGACCGCCCACACCATCTACACATCCAGAAACCCCACTCCCCACCAGAAATGCATCCTCATCACCGTCCAGCCCTTCAACTTCAACGTCGCCGACGAACGTCCCATCGAGCTCGCCCTCTGGGACGCCAACATCCCCTGCTACCGCGTCGAATGGCGGACCCTCGTGTCCCACACCACTCTCACCTCCGACCATACTCTCCTGTTCAAACCACCTTTCGGCTCCGCCGAACGCGAAGTCAGCGTCCTCTACTACCGCGGCGGCTACGTGATCGAAGAATACAAGCCCTCCGGCCGCGAGCTCCGGATCCGCCTCGAAATCTCCCGCGCCATCAAATGTCCCGACATCCTGACCCATCTCGCGGGTTTCAAGACCGTGCAAGCAGCTCTCACGGAATCCGGCGCCCTTGAACGCTTCCTCCCAGACCAACCCGAGAACGTTCAGCGTATCCGCCGCACCTTCATGCACATGCAAGCCCTAGACACCACACCCCGCGGCCGCCACTTCCGCGCCACAGCGACCTACGAACCGTGCTCCCTCAACCAGCCCGCTGTACATATGCCTTCACAGCCCAGTGACCCCGGCGGCGGGGGCTGGGTCCTCAAACCCAACCGCGACGGCGGCGGACACAACGTCTACCGCGCCGCCATCCTGCCGTTCCTGCGCTCGCAGCCGGAGGAGGGTTGGGGGAAGTATACCATGATGCAGATGATTGAGCCGCCGGCGACGGAGGGGACGTTGATGGCGAGCGAGGGGTTGTATCATGGGGCTGTGATTTCGGAGTTGGGGGTCTTGGGGACGTGTGTTTGGGAGAGGAAGGAAGGTGGAGGGGTGGGGGTGGTGATGAATGAGGTTGGTGGATGGACGTTCAAGACGAAGCCGGTGGGCGTGGATGAGATGAGTGTGGTCAAGGGTTTTGGGTGTTTCGACTGTCCGATGCTTGCTGACTGACTAGAGCTTGCACGTAACCATTACTGATGTGAATGGGATCAAACAAACCGGCTCGCGCCATCTGTTACCGCATATACTCGCTAGAACTCCACGCAGCCTAAATCTCATCTACCTACCTCATCCTTACGATCGCTCACTCCACCGGTATCCCATCATACTCCCCATACCCGAGCGCCAGGTTCATATTCTGCAGACACTGCGTCGCCGCCCCCTTGAGCAAATTATCAATCGTCACGTTAATCACCGCCCGCTTCCCGCTCGAGTGCACCGCGAAGCCTCCAATCTCCACCCCGTGCTTGCCCGCGATCAATTTCACCTGCGGACTCTCGCCGGAGACTCTGATGAGTTTTTCCGTGTCGTAGCGGTCTTGGTACAGCTGTCGCACGTCCCGCGAAGCCATTTGTTGGGCCAGCGGGAGGGAGATGGTGTGGTGGATGCCTGCGAACCAGACGGCGACGTGCGGGACAAAGGCTACGGCCGTGCCGAGCTGGGAGGAGATTTCGCGCTCGTGGATGTGGTCGGTGAGGGAGTAGGCGATCAGGTTGTCGGTCAGATTGTTGACGTCGTTTTTGGGGGAGGGTTTGGTGCCCGCGCCCGAGTAGCCGGACACGCCGAAGACGGTTGGCTGGGCGGGTTGCGCGGCGAGGTGGGGGATGAGGGGTGCGATACCGAGTTGAGCGGCGGTGGCGTAGCAGCCCGGGTTCGAGATGCGGGTTGCGGAGGCGATCTTGTTGCGCTGGACGAGCTCGGGGAGGCCGTAGGTCCAGCCTGAGTCGAAGCGGTAGTCCGCGGAGAGGTCGATGACAACGGCTTCCTTGTGACCGCTCTCGTCGATGGCGTCGACGTAGGGCTTGCAGACGCCGTTCGGTAGGGCCATGACCCAGCAGTCGATTTCCTTCTTCTCTGCCATCCGTCGGATATCGTCTGGTGTAAGGTTTTCGTAGATGATCTCGCGCTTCTCGTAGCCTTTCAGCTTCTTGCCGGCGAGCTCGCGAGAAGAGACGTGTCGCAGGTCCATGTTGGGGTGACGGTTGAGCATGTCAATAAGTGCTTGTCCAGTGTAGCCACGGGCTCCAATGACAGCAACTCGAGACGGGTAGTCCTTTTCGCTGTTCTTGATGCCGAGCGGTGGGTTTGGGTTGGTCGTAGCGTAGCCTCGCCGTTGAGCGGTAGATTTCACTGCTGTTCGTTGCGGTCTCGCGCTCGTTGAGAACGCTCTGGCCTGCTGCTGTGCTTGCTGGCCTTGCTCTCCTCTCATGCCAGCCAGCTGCGCCGCTCTCGACCTTATCCGCTCTGCAGCCGCTGCTGCACGATGGAGTTGCGACTCGAGGTTGATGTCGCCAAACATCTGCCTGCCGTGCTGAACGAACTCGCTCATCAATTGCCTGACCTCTTCTGGGCTTTCGATGCCGTACCAGAACAGCACCTCGCCTTTTCGCGCTATGCTCCCATCAGCCTTCTCTGAGAACCAGGTCAAGTTTTCATCGTCCTGCTTCACGGTCCATGCAAGCTTCGGGAAGTCCCGCTTCAGATTCTGGAAGACGTTGTCTGCAATGTTGGAAAGCCATGCTGATCGGGTCATGGTCAGGGTGGCAAGGTGGGCAAGTTGGTTGTTGTCGGAGGGAGGCAAGACGATAGCAAGGGCTTCCATGCTCTCATCGTAGTACGCCTTGAATTCCCGGTTCTTGAGGCTTTCAAGGTAGCGGTCGACGACGGAGGTCGAGTCGAGACCTTCTCGATCGCGAACAAGAGTCTGCTTCAGCTGGTCCATGCTTTCGAATTCGGAGAGAGTGGATGCCTGTAAGAGCTTTGTGCCACGCCGTATCAACGTGCCAGCGCCAGAATGTGTGAACAGCTCGCGCTCCAGGCTCTCCGGGTGGATAATTGCTACGCTGGAGCTGCGTGGTAGATCGTCCAGCAGAGTCTTGATATCCCGTATCTTACTCCTCGTTCCGTGAATGACCCATGGCTTCTTCATGTATTCGTCGTACTCCTCGTCAAGGTTAATCGCCTCGATAAGCTTGCCGGTCTCCTTGTCGTGGATGCCGCCCTTTTCAGACAGATAGACAATCTTCAAAGGCACCAGCTCTCTTGCCAGCTCAGCTGCAGCCTTATCGGCGTTAACATTGAGCACCTGACCTTCCTCGCTCTCGGCCATGCAGGTCAAAACTGGGATGTAGCCGTCGGCGATAGCTGCCTTGAGAGTGTCCCCGTGGACTTGATTGACCTTCCCTGCGTCAGTATACATCTTCACGAGCGTACCAATGTGCACGACCTACCTCTCCAACGAACTGGTACATGTCCTTGTCCTTGTAGTCTGCCATCAACACCCCCGAAGTGATAGGACGTGCTCGCACACCCCAGCTCTCCAGCGCCTCCACCAGCTTCAAGTTCTCTTCCAAGAACAGCTTCCGTGCTATGCCCAACGTCTTGCCATCCGTAATGCGGATGCCTTCATTGTACTGCGGCTCTACACCAGCTTGCTCGAGGAGTTTGTTTAGCTGTGGACCTGCTCCATGAATGATCACCGGGAACAGACCCATCTGGTTGAGGTTCCGCAGAGAGGCGCATAGTACGTCCAGGTAGTCCGTGAGGATTGCTCCTCCCACCTTGATCACGGCGAATTGCTGGGACGAGACCGAAGTGAACTGCGCCAGATACTGCTGGACCTCTCGCTTCGAGCCGATGTTGTTGAGGACGTTGATGACGGCCGACCGGGCGGAGCCATCGTCATATAGGCGCGGAGTGGCATAGCTCCTCTGCTGTTGTTCCGGTGGTCCAATGGGTTGTCGTTGAGTGTTGCGCTGCGCTGCTACCGCTGTAGACTGTGTTTTTGTAGCGATTCGAGCTCGCCGACCGACCTGGCGGGTGACGACGCGAGTGAGAGACTGCATTGTCGAGGAGGTGTAAGGGACATGCGGCAACTCTGAGGGAGAAGGGAAAGGTCTGAGGTTTCTTCAAAAAGTGCCTCGCATGACTACTGCCGCCCCATTTGCTGCCGCGTTATCGCTAACTTCCCCGCCAAGGCCGAACCTTCTCTGGGCGATAGGGAACTCTCTGACTTCTTACATGTACTTCTCCGTTCAATGAGCCATTATTCGACGTCTCGTCTGTCCCTCATGGCCGAGTGATGGGAGCGTGTGTCTGACTTCACATGCAACCTCGAGACCACGTGACCATGGCTGCTGATGAGCCGCCTGAAGTCCTTGTACCTCCCAAAGGCCACGACAGGAGGTCGAGTGTAGTGGCCCAACTTTGATCTAGACAAACATGCCGTGTTATAAAGCTCTAGCGAGAGATTGAAGCTAAGAAGAACTCGGTAAGTCGAAGTTGATACTTCAACTTCGAGACGGCGCCTAAAGACGACGTGTCAGTCTCTGCCCGCGGTTGACATTTCTTGTGCGACCGCCGCGCTTGCCTCTTCAACAGAGCCAGGGAGACAATCCCGACGACTCCAACAACACTCCTCATCTTAGCCTTCAATGTCGAGTGTCTGCCATTGTTAGATCTCGCTGAGACACCGAGACACTGGCCGTTATTCATTCACTACTAGTAGGAGTACATCAAGTATCGACTGCAAGGAGTCACGACACAGGCACCCTCAACCATGGCTTCTCCGGAGGTGACCGACGATGAGGTCTGTCCACCAGAAGTCGAGCCCATCAGACTGCGATCTTACCAGCAGGAGATGCTCGAGCGGGGCCTGGAACGCAATGTCATCGTGGCCATGGACACTGGCAGTGGCAAGACACATGTGGCCATTTCCCGCATTCAAGCTGAGCTGGAACGGACGACATCCGACAAATTGGTCTGGTTCACCACACCGAGCGTGGCCCTCAGTATGCAGCAGTTCGAGGTCATCAGCGCGCATCTCCCGGCATACCTGGTCAAGATCCTGACTGGGCAAGTTGGTGTGGACGCCTGGACTGATCAATCCATTTGGGATGCCGTCTTGACGAATGTGCGGGTCGTCGTCGGGACGCCTAAGGTTCTGGAAGATGCTCTGACCCATGGCTTCGTCACCATCTCGAGACTCTCGTTGCTCGCGTTCGACGAAGCCCACAGATGCCTTGGCGACAGTCCAATGAACACAATCATGCGAGACTTTTACTATCCCACCAAGGCCAGAGGGGGTGCAGTCCCTCACATTCTCGGTTTATCTGCCTCTCCCATCATGTCTGCGAAGAGTAGCACTCTTGAAGACATTGAGAGGAATTTGGACGCCGTCGCTATTACGCCCAAAATCCATCGTTCGGAGCTGGAGATGCATGTTCATCCTCCTTCGCTAACAACCGTCATGTACTCTGAAGGACTCAACAATCCACCACGGATACTCGAGGCCCTTCAGCGAGTGGTGAATTGCTACGACCTCTCTCAAGACCTTCGCATTCTGGAGCTGCTCAGCATCGGCGATGAGAAGTCGCACAGGGCATCTCAGGCACAGATCAACAAGCCTGGCACGTATTGCTCCAAACAGCTGAAGACACTGTATACTCGAGCGAAAGCGATCCTGGAACAGCTCGGCGGATCCGCAGCAGAATGGTATACCACCCAATGTATCGAGCGATTCAGGGCACGGAACGAATCGCAGTCTCTCATCTTGCCCGATGTCAGTGAGAAAGAGTGGGCCCATCTCACCCGCATCCTTGACGGCGTCTTTCTCTCGAACGATGGCTCAGGGCGCGATACACCAATACCTCCAATGATGAGCGACAAAGTCCATTCGCTTGTGAGAATACTCCAGCAGGAGCCGCCCTCAACACTACGGGCAATCGTCTTCGTCGAGCAGCGGGCGGTGGTAGCTGCCCTGGCCGACCTTCTCCAAAAGGAAGCTGAGCTTCAGCTGTCATTTGGGACATATGTGGGCGCATCGCAGTATGCGAGAAAATCGTCTATAGCCGACCTGGTAGATCTGAGGCAACAGGAACAGGACCTCATCGACTTTCGCGAGGGCAGGAAGAACGTCATGATCGCCACCAATGTTTTGGAGGAAGGCATCGACGTCAGTGCATGCAACCTTGTAGTCTGCTTTGATGAGCCGAAGAATCTGGTGTCGTACGTGCAGCGGCGAGGACGTGCTCGGCAGAGAGGTATGCAATCATTCCTGGGCAGCGATGGTTCTCAACATCGCACAAATCCTTTTGACGAACCGTTTTTGATCTCGGAGACAACTTAACAGTTGCTGATCTACCTGTTTAGAGTCCAAATACGTCGTCTTCCTGTCCCACAATTCTCCAGCCGCCGATCAATCGTCGTGGCAGCGTCTTGAGGCCGAGATGAAGGAAGCATACATGCGAGAACGAGAAGTGGAACCTGTTATCCCCGAGTCGGATGAGGAACTCTCCAGCCGTTCGTACACCGTCCCAAGCACAGGCGCAAGGCTCACTCTACAGAACGCCAAAGCTCATCTCTATCACTTCTGCGCCGTCGCATCGAACCACGCCGGGCCCTATGTGGACGTCAGACCAGAATTCGAGGCGCGAAGTAACGGCGGATCGCGGCCATGGACAGCCCAGGTGACGCTGCCGGCCTTTGTCAGCCCCAGCGTTCGCACGGCTGTAAGCTCCACGGCGTATTCAAGCGAGACCACTGCGATCAAAGATGCAGCCTTTGAGGCGTCCGTCGCCCTCCACAAGGCAGAGCTGGTGAACGACAATCTTCTGCCCTTTGCCAACGAATATGTGCCGGAAGTTGGCCAAGACCACATGGATCAGGCTTCTTTGATGAAGATAGCGCCGCGCGAGTCTGCTTGGAGACGTCTCGCTGGGACGTCCGAAGATCAAGTAGAGTGGTATAAGCATGCGCTCAGCGTTGGTGTCGGCGAGAGCACGATCGAAGTGCTTGTTTACCTTCCGTGTGCCTTTGGCTCTCAGTCGTTGGTCTTCGATCTCTTCTGGAACCGCGAGATCACATTCACAGCCAGGCTAGAGAGCGTAGCCAACTCGATTCCAGAGAACAGTAACGACCAACTCGACGATTTCCGTCGCTTCACGCACACGGTGTTGAGATCGATGCATGGCACCCGCATGCCCGACCGGAAAGAGCGCAACTTCGCCTACATTGTCTCTCCAACCAACGGGATGAGAGACGCAAATCAGGACTTACAAGGGCATGATTCAGCTTCGGCCCTCGAGAGATCGCCTCCCCCTTCAGATCGGCTTCGTACCATTCGTACACCGTATCTTGAAAATGGTACAATGCTCTGGACTGGCGATGAACCTATTACGAATGAAGATGGAGAGAAGGAGGTTCAAGTCACCGCATTCCCACGTCGCAAGAACTTTCTGAGACCGATGGACCCTACTGGTAACGAAGGCGCTGCGCATACTGCTGTGCAGAGTTTGCTAATCAGGGATTGTACGCTGGATCGACTGCCGACTGAGTGAGTCTTGCCTCCTTTTCGTCCCGGAGACCGCTTCGCAGCGTCATACTTTGTCGCACCCGTCCAAGACGGTCACTGACCGCTTCCAGGTATACCATACTTGCGGCATTCGTCCCTTCCATCATGCACCGAGTCGATTTAGCCCTGACTGCACAACGAATGCAGGATGAGGTGCTTCCGGAGGTCTGCTTCGATAACGTAGATCTGCTGGTTCAGGCTACGTGTGCACCCTCGGCCAACGAAGTGTTCGACTACAACCGGCTTGAGTTTCTTGGGGATACCATGTAAGTAATGTCGCGATGGGAGCACCGTCACGGTTCCTTTCGTATTTAGAACCCTTGCTAATCGCCTATCACAGCCTCAAGTTCTACACTGTCCGCCAGGTGTCCGGGGAGCATCTCAATTGGCCAGAGAGATATTTGACACTCGAAGAGCACCGGCTCGTCAGCAACGCCACCCTGTGCAAAGCAGCCGAACGCCTGGGACTTGATCGGTTTATCAACACGAAAGGCTTGGCGAGCGCCAGATGGCGGCCAGACTACCTGGACACTCCCAAAGACAGAACAGAGGTGCAGCGTGAAGTATCCAGCAAAATTCTGGCAGACGTGGTTGAAGCTTTGATCGGAGCCGGCTACGTCGATGGAGGCGAGCAGAAGGCCTTTTCTTGCTTACGAACTCTCCTGCCGGAGGGACACTGGTACCCGCACGCAGATCCGATCAGTGCAATGCTCGAGAAGGTTCTCACGATGGATGTGCCTAGTGTGCGTCCTCTGGAGGAACTTATCGGCCACAGCTTCAAACGTCCGGCTCTCCTTCTCGAAGCCATCACGCACGCTTCGTTCCCCCACAACACTGGCCTGTCCTACGAACGCCTAGAGTTTCTCGGAGATGCTGTGTTGGACATGCTCATTGCCCCAAAGCTCTTCGAACACCCGCGGAAGCTGCCCGAGTGGACCATGTCTCGTTACCACGATGCTATAGCCAACGGGAAGTTCCTCAGCTACTGCTGCCTTGCCTTCTCGACGGAGGAGAAGAGCTACGACGCTGCCTTGCCGACCACCGCCACCGGCCGCGGTGTCGGACTTCAGGAGACAGTGCGGACCATCCACCTCTACGACTTCCTGCGATGCGGAGCACAAGTGTCTCAGGTCAAGCGGCAGGCTGAGGGAGCCTTTAGGCAAGCCCGTGAAACGATCGACAACGCTTTGCACAATGGAGAAGAGTATCCATGGCCCGAGATTATGGCTCTCGAGGCCCCAAAGTTCTTCTCAGACATGATCGAATCCGTCCTCGGAGCCATCTACCTCGACTCCGAAGGCGATCTCGCCGCCTGCGAGCGCTTCCTTCAGAAACTCGGGGTGGCCGCAATATTGAAGAGGATGCTTGATGACCACGTCGAAGCAGTGTATCCGAAAGAACAGCTCGGCATTCTTGTTAGTGGGAAGGAGGTCAAGTACAAGACTACTGCGAGCAAGATGGAAGATGGGAAGAAGGCTTTCTCGTGTGCTGTGCTGGTTGATGACAAACCCACGGCGACTGCAGAAGGCTGTGGGAATAAAGAAGAAGCGGAGGCGAGGGCTGCGAGGGCGGCTGTGAGGGTGTTGGAAGAAGGGAGGAAGGCTTGCTTTAAGAAAAGGAAGCTTGATTCGGTGACGGGGGCGGAAGAAGATCTTGTTGATTTGACGGCCCACTAGTCGTGGGAACATGTGGTGTGAGAGTAGCATTGCGGTCGTTAGGTTGGCAGTGAGCATCTCAGTTGAACGATTCTACCATACCAAACTCCTGGTCTGCTAGCTTGCCCGCCAGATCTGACGCTGGCAAGCAATCCCAAACCTCTATGTCTAAGTCTCGTCTGGTCAGAGCCTGCCGTCCCAACCCAGTCAAAGACTCATGTCATCAACAAGCCTTATCTCCAGCCCCAACCGTCTCCTCATCCGCATCACTCGGCAACATCACCGCATGATCCAGCGCATACGGCAGACCTCTGTGCCTCCCCCTCAGCATCATGGCACAAATGACCAGCTTGCTGAAGATACTAAAGTCACCACACAAACTCGTATAAGTGGCATTGGTACCAAGACTCAACCCAACATTACCATACGCACTCGTGACTTCGAACAAGATGGAGAAGACGGTGAAGGCCACGTTGCTGGTGTCCTTGATGGGATCGGCCTCGGCGATGCAGATGCAGAAGGTTCCGAGGAAGATGTACCATAGGTCGAATGAGAGCTGGTTGCGGATGTGGTGGGTGAGGTATTTCGCTGGCTTCTCGGTGTCTCCCGGCGTCTCGTCAGCTACGTAGACGCCGAGGGCGCGCTCTTCGTAGGTGTTGCTCGCGCGGACGGACATGGCGATCGGGAAGATGGCGATGTACATCATTACCAGCAGGCTGAATTGGACCGCTGGGTTGACTTTGGCGAGGTTGAAGGTGGAGGTGCCGGTGTGGCGGGAGCTGGCCGCTTGGAAGAGGGCTGCTAGGATGCGAGGGCCCAGTGGCAGTGTCGTGAGCTCTTCGCTGTGGAGGTCTAGCGAGACGATCAGGAGAGTGTCGATGAAGTTTAGGACGAACAGGATGCCGAAGAGGATCCAGGTGACGTTTCCGGGGAAGAGGAGAGTGTAGCAACGCCGCGGATGGTCGAGCAGGTACTGCAACGGCTGCCGCATGGAGCTGCGCTCTCGGGTGCATCGACGCATTGTCCAGATGATGCACCGGAGAAATATCGGGTAGCAGGTATTTCCAGCAAAAGCCAGGAAGGTCATGACCAGCATGGGCCAGGTGGCGTCGCGGAAGGAGATCATCGAGTCGGGCGTGAGAGTGAAGCCCAAGTTGTCCACCATTGTCTGAGCTGAGTAGAAGGCCCTGCGGCGGGTTAGATAGGAACCGAGACGAGTGATGAAGAAGGAGACATACCACCAGACCTGCCCTTGTCCTTGTGACTCAAGATAATCCCGGTACTTTATCGGAGCACGAGCGATCCAGGGCGCCAGAGCCAGGACACCAAAGAGGTGTAAGCCGAAGAAATAGCCTGTCATAAGGTGTCAGAAGCGTGCTGGACGCAGTAGCAATACCATGGCTTGGAACTCACAGACAACGATCTTGAGCAGCAACTTCAGACTGCGATACTCAACGCCACCAAGCAGCTCCTTGTCCTTCCTGGTCAGGTTCTGAAACATGGAGTTCCGGCCAACACTTGCGTGACGAGAAAGTTGGGGCAAGGCGTCGAATGCAGCAGGTAATCGATGCATGGAAGAGGACCGCTGGGTTATCCTGTCCGCATTTTCAAGAGCAAAGGAGGTGGTGCGAGCAGCTCGCTCTGGCGGTGTCCTTGATCTGGTGGGCATTGAATGGCTCTTGCTCAATGGTACGGTGACCAGTTCTAGGCTATCGGTGGATGGCCCGTCGTCTTGGGATTGACCGCTCACCCCTGCTCTCTCATCAAGCGACTTGCTGTCAACATGTACGGATGCTTTGCCGAATCGGGATGTGGGCAAGTGCTTGCTATCGACTACATCTTGCGCCCAAACGATCGAAGGTTGCTCTGTTGTGCTGGCTTGGAAGCCGGGCTTTGTGTTGGTCTCATCAGGCGTGTCCGTTGTCGTTTGACTTTCCGGCAAACTTGACTCTTGAGACTCCTCATGAACACCGTCATTGAGTACGGCTTTGCCACTTTGTGGTGCTTGCTGAGGGCGATTGGCGAACGTCACCGACGACCGAGATGAGCCTGAGAATGATGAGCAAGATATCGTGGGAGTAGGCGAAAGACTTGTCGTACCAACTATCTTCAGGCGCTTCTCAAAGTACCACAGGCGAACAACGACGACCAAGATGTTGATGAACCCTAGATTGGTGATGATGGGGAAGAAGTAAATAACCAATTGCTGATAGGTCTCGAGAGCCTTGACATCGATACTAATTTCCCTAGTCAATCCATGTCTATCGGATGGGAGCATTCCAACGATCACATACGTGTTCAGCCCAGACTCAGTGTTCCCACTGACTCCAAAGAAAAAGGCGTCGATCGGTCGGAGATTGCCATATGGGTAGATGATGATGAAAGCAAACAGCGAGCAGAGGATGATGTATGCGTCTATACAGGCGGGTTAGGCGGGCGAAGACGGTTTGGCGCGTGGCACATTGCCTGCGCGGAGGTGGTACACTTAACCTGTGATTGTTGTTAACATAGAATCTTTACTGCTTCGTTGATTGTCGAAAACGTACAATGAAGATTGACGAAGTTCAGTCTTCGCGCAAGTATTCCGGCCATTCTGTACAATACTGGACCTTCCGAACAGGCTCGAGTGAACTGAACTGAATGTCGAAATGTGGATGAGAAAAGGTGAAGTGGCAGTGTCGCGGCAATGGGAAATATCAATGCCAGAAAATCGCGCAATTAGCGTGGACGCCAACGAGTCGGTGATACGAAGCAAGGTAATTCAACCACGTTTCTTTTTACCGCTTCCACGTGCTTCTCCTCATCAAATGAGCCGTCCATGACGTTGAGACCAATGTGTCGATTGGATGGTAGACTTGGATCTGTGACAACGTGATGCCGAGTATTGGTTGTTGCATACCCTGATTTGACTACCAACTGAAAATGAAGCCATTCGCGACTTACGGCAATAGTGTCCATGCGTCCCTCCACGAACAAACTTGGGGAGGTCCTGCGAAGGCTCGTGCTGACAGAAGAAATATGCGTCCGCAACGACAGTGGTCCCGATGCCAGGTTCGCAAGTTCGCACTGTTCCAGAAGGCCTCAGAGCTTCAGTCGCCGTACGGCCAGCCGGCGCAAAGCCAATCGCACGAATGTTCTCATCGCCGTCGATGCGGAGGTCTCAATGGAAATTGAAGATGTACTTCTGGATGTTGATCGTTGTTGATCCGTCAAATTTGCATCTGCCTGCGCTGCGATGAAGCTGAAGCTGAGGCAGGCTCTCGTTTTCAACACTCCGACCAGCAGCACCATGAATCTGTTTCAAGATGAAAGAAGGGAGCACCAGCAGTTCCGGCGTTGCCCGCCATGAAACGAAAGCCCACCTACCTGCAGTATGTAACACTGGATGATCTCAGCACTCGAATATTCGACTTGAGTACGCACAAGTCCGAAGTTCATGCGCATCCTTAGCACCCAAAGCACTGCGGCGCAGTAGGAATATTCCTGACGAGATACCCGTCCCACGTCGGAGGCGTCTTGGCTCGCTGGTACTCCGAGCCGGTCGAGATCATGAGATGCTCCGTCGCGCTCGCATACTTGATCAGCGTGTCCTCGCTGAACGCCGAGCCCATGAAAGCCAGCCCAAACGGCATCCCACTCAGCGGATGCACGGACGCGGGAATGGTGATAACGGGGTAGCCAGCCTGTGCAGCGATCTGGTAGCTTTGAGCGACATCCGGAGGGACGAGCAGAGCATCCAAACCGTGTCCATCGTGGTGGAGAGCAGCATCAATGCCTTCCTCTCTTGTGGTACGATGGCAAAATTCGAGAGCTTGCCAGTACGTCTCGTTCTGCACACCCCCAGTGGCGAGAGAAGCAAGGAAACCATCCTGGCCAGATCCAAACGCAGGATGAACGTCAGGCCAGCCGCCTTCGGTGCCGATGTTCTCATTGTTATAGCGGACGAGATCTTGCAATGGTTTCATCTCAGTGTTCGAGACTTGCGAGAGGTAAGTCGCAATGTTGTTGTAGAAGTCGACTTTGACGTAGGAGTATTCCGACTCATTGGGGTAGCCGCGAGTGCTGCCATAATCCCAGTTCCAGTAGTCCGGGCTCACGATCTCTCTCCTATGCGGCAATTCTGTACCATCCACGATCTTAGCACCTGCCTTCTCCACCATGCCTACGATTTCAACAAGCACATTCAACTGGTGTGGGTCGGCCTCCTCCCAAAATGACTTCCATGGCAGGCCGAACTTCGCGCCCTTCAGCGCGGTGGAGTTGGAGAGGTATTGCACATAGCCACCCTTTGGTGTCTTGCCGATCTGAGCTGCAGTGTAGTTATCCGGTGGGTCCTCACCATAGATGACATCGAGCGCATAGACGGCATCTCTGACAGTCTTGCCAAAGGTTCCAACAGTATCCTGGTGTTCGGACTCCGGGATGACTCCTGCTCGTGAAGTCAGACCAACAGTAGGCTTGATTCCCACGATGGCGTTCCTCTCGGCTGGGTTGATCACACTTCCGTCAGTTTCAGTGCCTAAGAGAACGGAACAACATTGTTGGCCACAGCAATGGCACTTCCAGAGCTGCTCCCGCCCGGGTTGACGGTGAAGTTGTAGGCGTTCCTCGCTTGCCCGCCTCGTCCAGAGTACCCTTCTGAATAGTTGTTTGTCCGCATGTCCGCCCATTCGCTAAGGGTAGCTTTGCCCATGAGAACTGCACCAGCCTCTCGCAGCATCATGACTACGTGTGCATCGCGGGGCACGATGGAGCCTTGAAGTGCCCAACTGCCAGCTGTTGTCTGCATCTTGTCTTTGGACGCAATGTTGTCTTTGATGAGGAAGGGAATGCCATGGAGTCTAGATCGGACTTGGCCTTTGCATCGTTCGTCGTCCAGACTGGCGGCAATGGACAAGACGTCTGGGTTCAACTCGAGCACCGAACTGCTGCAGATCAGTAGTGCAAGCAATTTCATCTTAGATATAATCTACTTGATGTACTGTCCTGTCTGCAAAGACCGTTGCATGTAGCATGTCACCAGCTGCACGCTCGTCAAGTCCCCATTGCTCATCCATTCTTGCAGCTGGTCGATGCTGGCATCCTCAATCTCCAGGCCATGACACGGCGGCATGGCGAAGAGGCGTGCAGGCGATGCATCTTGCCGTGGATAGTAGAATGGAAAAGGGTCGTTCAAGATCTGGCAGTCAGCCAGTGCAGCTTTGTTGGAGAGGTCGTCGTCGTTGTTCGCGGAGCTCGCTCCAATGGCGGAGAGGAAGAGGAAGAGGGCGCCAAGGGCGGAGATGCGGCGGGAAGCTTGATGGAACAAACCACATCTTGAGTCAAGAGATGCGGGCTCTGATCTCTACAACTCATACAGGATCATGACCATGCCGATGCGACGCGAAAGCGTCGATGTGACAGCTCTGCGTATCCCATGAGCGGCAGGTTATCGACAAGGATTCCGAGCATCAGCTCCAAGCCTCGAGACCTGTTGGCTCTCTTGGACACACGCCTCATCTTCCCTATGACCTCAAAGTATCCGCTGCTGGGCTATCATCATTCTCACCATCACCATGGACGCAACTCCTCGACCTCCTCCACAGTGGGCCATTGCAACAATACCCGAATCAGTGGTGATGGCGTGGAGGTCCCGCGGAAGGAGTGCGTAATCAATATGGACTGTGTCCTCGACCAACGCAACCGTCGACTTCGCCATAACTTTCTGTACCTGAAGTTGGCATGAGTTCTGCTCCAGATGGCGAAGAAGAAGTCTAATCCCACCTCACCATCTACTGTCGCGAGTCTACACGTGCGTTGCAGGCGATTGAGTTTTGCACGTGGCGCGAAGGCTCATCCAGATGGTGAGCCGGCCAAACTCTGCTGCTCTCTGCCACTGATCCTCCACATTTAATGGCCAAAACGACATCTGGATTGATGAAGAAGCTTTCAGGCCGCTTCTTCCATGAGCCTCCGAACCATATTTGTTTGCTGTACGTCATGCGTCTGGAAGTGCAAAGCTGATCGTGGCAGGCGTGGCGAAGTGATAAGCCTGTCAACCCCTACGCGGATGTCTTGACCGTCTGCAGTCTTCCCTGTTCCCTGCTGCACATCACCTGCAAGGCAAACGTCCACCATGAATACCGACGCCCCGAAACACGACCACCGCTTGATCCGAAAGAGTATCAACTTCTTGCCCAAAAGCGCGCGAGGCCATGCGGTAGCCTTCATCGGCGAGTTCGCCGGCACCTTCTTTGTGGGCGCTTTCAATAACAAAAGCTTTTGCGAGGATCGTACACTGATGCAGTAACAGTTTCTGTTCTTCGCCTTTTCCGGAGCACAAACAGGCAACGTCGCAGCCAACCCAAATGCCGGAGACACAGTCATGACAAAGGCTACCACCTTCCAACCGGCGCAGCTGCTCTACATTTCCTTGGCATTCGGCTTCTCTCTGGCCGTGAACGCGTGGGTATACTTTCGCATCAGCGGAGGCCTGTTCAACCCTGCGGTATGCTCGTCGGACTTGGATTACTTACGGAGAAGACGCTGATAGGCGAACAAGGTCACCTTCGGCATGGTCCTCATCGGGGCAATAACAATCGTCCGAGGCATCTTGCTGGCCATCGCTCAGGTCCTGGGTGCTATCGTCGCCGCATACGTCGTCCAAGCGCTGTTCACCGGAAAACTCAACGTCAGCACGACGCTCTCACGTACAACGACCGTGGCGCAAGGGGTGATAATCGAGATGTTGCTTACCGCTCAGCTCGTGTTTACCATCTTCATGTTGGCGGCGGAGAAGCATGTTGGCAACTTCATCGCGCCAGTCGGGATTGGCCTCTCGCTCTTCATCGCAGAACTGACAGGTAAGTGACCGTCCAATGCATTCTCAGGCCTGGGCGAGTTTCGATGCCAACGTCCGTCGCAGGCGTCTTCTGGACCGGAGCTTCTCTGAACCCTGCACGCTCTCTCGCACCTGAAGTCGCTCTGGCCGATTTCAACTCGGAGCAGTGGGTGTACTGGGTTGGTCCTTTAGCGGGATCGGTTCTTGCGGTATTACTCCTCAAGCTGATCAAGGCCCTGGAATATGAGACAGCAAATCCTGATAAACCATCCTCATCGCGAGGAGAGCAGGTGTAGGTGCAGCGAGTCGGTCGGACAGAGGATCGAAGCAGACAGCATCGCCCCTTGACCTATGCAACAGCTTGCAATTAATGCTTCGGACTACAATACCCGAGCCAGTCAACAAAGCTGCAAACCTGTCAGAGGAAGTAGGAGTCGTCAGGGTCATCGTAAGGATCGAAGTCATCGAGATCGTCAAAATCTTCGTCGTTGTCGTCGTCATCTTCCTGATCATCAAAAGTGTCCTGATCCCAATCGCGCTCGATACTGTCACTGCCGCCATCTCCATCCCTTTTCCGGACTTCTCCAACTTCCACACCCTCCCGCTGTGCCCACGTTGCACCTGTCTCGTTGGCCTGCCCAGTCGCAACAATGCCTACTACTTCACCGTCTTGACTCTCCACTACAGCCTGTGCAGGCCCGCCAGTGTCTTCGACAAGGCGACTAGGGTCTTGTTCCTGCAAGAGATCGCTTTCGCTGCTAAAAAGGTCTTTCGGGCGTCCTTCTTCGCTGGGCATGTACCGTTAAACGCTCTCGATATCCCCTGCTGGGTCCTTCCTCCATAGCAGTCCCGTTCCCGTAGACTGACTCTCATTTCCGTCCTCCCGCCCGGATGGTCGGTATCTGGGTTTGTTGCGGATCCATCGAACAGAGACGGGCTTCGCAGCGCAGCGTGTGATAGCTGGCATCGCCAAAGGCCGGCGTGCGAGGGTTTTGCTTCTGAGGAGCAGGCCTGACATTCACTTGCTTGAACTTCAAAACTCAGACTAAGGATTTGGCATGTGAAGACGCTAGGCTGGGTGAAGAAGCATACCTCCTAGCTTGACGTCGAAGCTCTTTTCGTCATGGACGCACGTACCACGCCTACACATGTACCTTGCAGATCTATGACTTGGATGCGAAGAATAAAAGAACATGCACATGTCGTAGAAGCTACATGTATGTAGTCTCTCCGCCAACCTCCCTCTCTCGGACGCTCGAACCTCGTCCATCCCTTCAACATCCACCGTCAATCCAACCCACCATTTAATCAATCCTCCATGAACGCCGCAACCATAGCAACAGCTTCCTCGCAATCCTCGTCGTCGAACGCCTTGAGCACATGCGAGAACATGAAGTTGCCAGAATGACGATAGTGCTTCTCGATCCACTCAAGCTGCTTCTCGGAGAAGTGGTGGTCCGCCAGGTGAGACATTGGGTCCTCTTCCAAGTCCTTGAGAAACTGATTCTCTTCTTTTTCTTCTTCTTCCTCCTCATCATCCTCGTCATCATTCGCCCTCAGGGCTCTTGCGATCGTGCGGCCTTCTTCGCGGTCCTCTTCTTTGTAGATGCTGAGGCCTTGTGTTTGGAGGAACTTGAATTCGCCATCGAACTTCTGCTTGAGCCAGTCTTTCTCGGCCTTGGTGTACGGCTCGGTGCTTTGGTGGCTGGTCGACATCGTGTTTGCTCTGTCTTCGCTGGTCTCGAAGTTTGATGATTCTGTCTTGCGGTCTGTTGATTTGAAGGGTCGCACAACGTGCTTTTGATGTTGTTACAATGGAACAAGCGGTGAAGGAAGCACGAGCTCTTCCGTCCCTAGACTCAGTTTGGATTCACTTGTGGAACGGTGCGAGCAGGAGGAGCCAAGTCTTGCAATGTGTTGTGTAACCCACCGGCGCCACCGTGGGCGACTGGGGCGATTTAGGTACCTGTGTTGGACGTGTGCATGCGAAGGCCCAGGAAAAAGAATATGGGTATTCTAGAGATCAACGAGTCAACTCGAGCTTGAATAATGGTACATGGGGGTATATCCTGGTTCCGTAGTGATACCTCCCAAACCGTACGCCTGCCTCTAACGATGTATGGGCGTTACCTGTGCTTGTCCTGCTTTCCAACGCCATGCTATGCTATGCCAAAGCATTAATTCCTTCGTCCAAGTCACCTCTTCCATTGGGAGTCTCTGAGCTCCCGCCATCGGCTCATCAGCGGAGCCATCTCCTCGTCGCAACTGCGTGTCGGGTCTTTCTGACATCCTCGGAAGTTCGCAATGAAGTCGCCTTGTTGGTATTGACCTGCAAATTGTAAGCTGTGATTCAGACACGTTGAGACAGGGCCTTTTCAACTCACCATCAGTGTACGTATTCCGCATGTCGGGTTCCGGTATGTAGCTGTTGAAGATCCGCTGTGGAACCAACGCCAGCTTGGCCAGAATCGTGCCATGCCACTGCACGATATGCTCGAGAGCATGCTCCTCGGCCTTTTGAAAGTTGTAACTCCGGTAGAGCGGATCAAACCAAGCATCCAGGAAGAATTTCGCCCACTCCCCGTTCCGCACCAGAAAGCTGCCCACCGAGAGCCCCTCCTGATCCTGCGTCAGGATGAAGTCCACCCTCTCACCCCTTATGTGCGAGAATGTCTTGATAACACTATCCGGCGGCACGACGGGCTTGTCCACGATCATCAGACTCTCCAGCGTCTGCGGGTCCAAAAGCTTGTTGCGCAGTGGCTCACCCGGGCTCATGATGAGTGCTTCGCTGGAGAGATGCCACAGCCACGCCGCCTCCGGCCACAGTGTCAACGCATGTCTCATGCTCGGCAGCTTGCTCCAGGTCAAAGGGACACTGGGCATCAGGTCGTAGTCGGTGGTGTTGGGGAAGAACGTCGCATATCCATGCCGTGCCGCGTAATCCTTCCTGTTCTCCTGTATCTTGTCCACCATGCTCTGACTGAGGTTCGGATCAAGAGGTGTCACGATGACTACCTCTGGTGTGCCCAGCGGTATCCGTGGTCCCTTGGGGGAGCCGCCGCCCAGCAGCCATATCACGAAGAAGAGGAGGGTGAAGCCGCCGACGATGTATGTTGCCACATTCTTGATGTTCCGTCGCTGATGCAGCGGTATTGAGCGCTGCGGTGTGTATGCGGTCGGCGTTGACGACTTTCGTGGGTATGGGAATTGTGTTCCTGGCATTGTGCCTGCTCTGATGCTACTCTTCCCGGACTTTCAGCCAGCCTCACATGTGCTACGCCCTTTTATTTGCCGCGCCTTCAATGGAACACAGCCGAAGGCGTTGTAAGTTATCCTTCGGGTGAAGTGCCTGGGTGCCCATGTTGCCAGATTCACGCTCTCTAGATCTCGATGCAGGGTCTTCGGCAGACAGACGGCTCGGCCCAGACCTAGTGCGGCTCTAATGTGACCATCTCCTGTTCGACAAAATGAATATCAGACAGTTTAGTTTACGCTGCAACTGTCGAGAAAAACGAACAGAAAGGTTAAGTCAGATACGACCTCTTTGTCGAAATAAGTCACATCGTTCTTGAGATCTCGTACTATCTATGATACTGTACTGCCACAAAAGCTCAAAGTAGTACCTCCGTTGACGGCGTTGCTTCTCATCTAGAAGAACGATTCCCCAGACAGGACAAGTGTGGGTCGACCAGGGACAACTTTGAAGCCGTGTGTTTTCTACGATTGCCTTCACTTCTATTTATGCAATCATTAGAGAAGGAACGTCAACATCTGCGCCCCTCGGAATCACCCCCTTGCGCGTAGAACAGGGCCTGGATGTCTTTCACAGCAACATACCGAATGCTGCAATCACGACCGGCACTGCGGCTGGGGCTGCTCCCATGCGGTTTGCTGAGTCTGGCGTCTATTGTCAGCTGGGCTATCTTTGGCAAACGCTGGGTGTGCTCACTGGGCGGCATGTCCTGCATTGTATGGGTCGGAGATGCTGATGAGCTTGGGGTGGCTGAGCTGAGGGGCGCCGATGATGATGCAGAGGAGCGGTCGGCAACAGCCTGCTGGAGGAGTCTACAATAGTCGTCATAATCCTCCACTGCCGGCGAGAACTCGTTGTACACATCTGAGCTCGAGCACACGGTACCGGCACATGTTCCAGCTTCACCGTTCTCTTCCGAGACCTCGGACTCGGGTTTGTCGGTAAACACGGAGGGGGCGCAGATGCACAGGGAGTCCATAGCATCGCCAGAGGTCGACTGCACGCCACAGGCTTCCATCCGAGGTCCAAAGAAGCTCTCTTCGAGGCAGTCGCGCGAGCAGAGAGGGAACGTAAGTAGGAGTTCGTTGACGGAACTCACCGATTGCGCGGCCGCCGTCGAAGATGCGGCAAGGATGAAAAGAGGGGTTCGGTAGAGTTTCATGTTGTCTTGGTGTCTGCTTCGGCGGATGGTGTCGTGGATGTCGTACTCGCAACGGCGGTGGGCATTCATTGCCTCTTATAACATCTATACTCATAGCCCCTGCGGCACTACCAAGACTTGCGACGACTGATGGTGACCTCTCAGCAACCATCCAACCACTTGTGTTTGACACATCGCAGCTGGCGTGCCAAGGGCACGCGCATCCGATAGGAGCGTGGTCGCTGTTGCGGTTCGTCTAGCATCCCACATGACTGGCTCCGACCGGGGTTCCACGTGGTAGAGTCGACGAGCCCAGGACGCCACCTGCAGTGCAAACAAGCGAGTGGAAGAGAAGGCGGATGACTCCTTGCTTGGCGTCCGAAATTGGCAGCCCTGTAAGCGAAGAATTCCGCTCGCGGTCAGCCAAGAGAGCGCGACTGACTTGAACCAAGGCGTGCTCTGCTTAGCGATAGGCCAACGTGCGCATCCGGTGTCTGTCTCGTCCAAACGTATTGCTTATTGGCCGCAGCGACGCTCAGGTTACGCAAGCCCACAGCCTCCTCGAGGAGGTATGCAAGCCCACAGCCCCCTCGAGGAGCAATCGCAGGCCATGGTGAGGCCAACCTGGAGAGGGCGGAAAAGCTTGGCCAGAGAGAGCAGACGATGGTAAGGTACAATGGAGCCAGCTCATAAGTGGAGCGTAGAATCGCGCAGCCATTCCTCCCTATGTCACTTCATGATCGGAAGACGCTTTCTACCCACGTTGAACTTCCAGCATGTCCGTCTCACAGCCTGATATATACACTGGCGTCTGGACGAACTGGTCAAAGGGTAACAAAGTCCTCGGTGCGACCATCACCCTTTCCTCGACCTATTCAATCTTCTTGACGGCCCTTCTCGCTGTCTTCATTCCCGCTGTTGGGATCCAGAGCTGGAAGGTCTTCTGCTACTGCGCTCACGAGGTACGAGTGTCAAAAGACTCGCGGGACACACTCCACCACCAACTGCAAGTGGTCTTGCGAAACTCGTCTACGCCCGATGGAACGGCATTTACCTTTTTGAAACAAGCTTGGTACTGGGGAAAGCAATCCACATCTTCTGCCGTACGCTGTCTGGGTTGGGCCGTACTCGCAATAGCGTGGTCTCTGGTCTTTGCGGCTCTCGGCATTGTTCTGCCCATTGCGGTGGTCAACCTGTCCGATGACCTGCGTCAAATCTCCAGCAACACCTGCGGCTACTACATGCCACCTAACGATGGCAGCTCCATCAACGACTACAACGCGAAGACACTCAACGACAGTATAACTGCCGCTCAGTATGTGTCAGACTGTTATGTTGAGATGCCCGACAGGCATCTGTGCGATGGCTTCGCCGTGCCAAAACTGCATCGCTTTGCTGGAACCGAAACGTCTTGCCCCTTTGCAACTAACGTATGTCTGCCGGGAGTCCAAGGCTATCAAATCGACTCTGGGTACCTTGATTCCCTGCACGAACTAGGCATCAACTTCCCACCGAAAGACCGTCTGAAGTACCGTAAGGTGACAACATGTGCCATGCTCAACGACGGAGGTTCGTACACTCAGCGCAGCGATCTGGGGACAGGCTACTTCTATGGCATGATGAGCTCAGGCTCCAATTGGACGTTCTATCAATACGACGCTTTGTCCCGAGTGGAATCTTTGGGATGGCGGCTAGAGTATGTTCTTCCAAAACTCTCTTCCTTTGGTGCAATAGGATTGCGACTGACTTAGAAATGCTAGCACGTTCGTCAACTCCCGAACGGAATATACATCCTGGAACCCTATCGACGAGCTGCGGTCTGACAATGCAGATTTGAGCATCTTCTTCCTCGCGCCCCAGGGTATGACATTTGTTGACCCGGTCAACGACCCTTGGTTCTCGGCACATAAAGTCCGGGAAGTACCTGGGTTCGACGACATCTATGAAGCCGATAATCTGGGAAGAGCCATGGCGTGTAACGACCAGCACCAGATCTGCAACCCGCAAACCCGGGCTTGCACCAGCCTCACTCATTCTCTTGCACTTCGAATGGAGCGCGAATCGCCACATCTGCAGCTCTCAGACGCGCAACGGCTTATCGCGAGTAGATTTGTCTACGCCTCCAACACAGGCTGGATCAGCTACTCCGTGGACGGTCGAGGGTCGTCCGCACTGCAAGCATCTCGAACCAATTCGAATTACCGGCAAGCCGCGCTTCCAGCGAACCAGTGGCAGAGAGAAGTGGACGTCTGGTTTGACGTATCGCTGGCACGATTGCAGAAGAATGTCAGAGACTTCGTCACAGGCCCTGCCATTGGCGGCCAAACCACCGCTCCCCAGCTGGTCTTGCCGGAGGAGATGACTGCAATGTGCGACGCGCAAACAGTCCGCAATGCCACCGGCACCACAAACTTCAGCGCCTTGGGCGTTCTCCTCATCTTCTCCATCGGCGGCGTCATTGTTGTACTAGGATACACCCTAGACACCGTCATCGGCTTCGTCCAGTTCCATGTCGGCAAGGGACTCCATCGTCGGATAGCTTGGACCATTAATGACGAATTGCATCTCCACCGCTTGGTGCTTCAGAAAGCTGGCGTGTCGGAGTGGCACAACAGAGATGGTGCGGTGCCCTGGACAGCTGAGGAGAGAACTTTCGTCATCAAACCCAGCTCGGATCTGAAGGGCCAGCCGGACGTGGGTAGCTTGGTTATGACAGACGACTAGAGGTAATCTCGAAGTGGTGTAACTGAACGCGATCCAATGCTGCGTATCCTTTTTTTTTACTGGCCTCTGCCCTGTTTAAAGTAGTCAGTCACGACAGATCATACACATACCTTAGGTTTGGGCTTCGGACTGCGAAGGAGCCAAGAGAAGCGAGCCTGTTGGCACACCCTGCGTTGGATGAAATCTTTTGGCCTTACTATTTATTTACACTCAACTGTTGTTGAACCGCTAGAGAGAATAAACATTGTAGTAGAGACTTGAAAGGGAAAGAAGAGAGACATAGAGCGATATAGCAACACTCATAACAACATGTACCTTACGGAGGTACCTTTAGTTAGTTGCGAGTCATGCGACTTCGAAGGAAAAGGTTCGTCCCTTCGCGCTAGTTCCGGGCTAGACAAATCCAGCGTTGAGCATGTGAATGGCAACTCGCCCTGCTTTCAACGCATCCTCTCCTCGCTCGAAAAACTCCCAAACCGTTGATGCTGGCGTCTCTGCGCGCAGCACGCAAGGCGGTCTCACCATCGCCACGACTACACCTCCGGAAATGTTCGAGGTCCGTGTCGGCCGTAGCGCTCGCATGCCGCGCAACATGGCCGAAGAGCAGGGGTTTCAGCAGCTTCACTTACCAGCGGGATGAGGCGTTGGCTGCCAACGATGGGGTTGGATACACTGCGGATCTACCGCCAGGTCTGACGAAGCGCGCTGATACGCCGAAGCTGCCAGTCGTCTGCCCGGGATGCGGCGCCCCAAGCCAAACAGTCGACCCTGATGTCGCTGGTTTCTACGGCTCCAAGCGAGCGCTGAAGGAAACAGCGAAGAGCGCAAAGGAGCAGGAAGAGGATGAGGTCTTCAGCGCTGCGCTCCAAAATGGGCTGCTGTCCGAGGCCGTATCTAAGGAGCCCGCGCCAGACCACGTGCCGCCGCCGCCAGCGGTCCCCATTTGTGACCGTTGCCATGACCTTCTCTACCAGTCGAAGGGCAACAGCATCATACACCCGTCGATGCAATCCATCCAGCAGATCATCGAGGAGTCGCCGCACAAACAGAATCACATCTACCATGTGCTCGACGCCGCCGACTTCCCGCTTTCGCTCATCCCCAATCTGGTCAGCGCGCTCCAGCTTCCCCGGCTCCGAACGCAGAACCGTCGATCGAAGAGCATGCACTATGTTCGCGGTCGAGTGGCGGAGGTAAGCTTCATCATCACCCGCAGCGATCTGCTCGCGCCGAAGAAAGAGCAGGTGGACAGTTTGGTCCCTTATCTGCGGGAGGTGCTGAGGGATGCCTTGGGCAGGAGCGGCAGGAATTTGAGATTAGGCAACGTAAGGTGTGTCTCTGCGCATCGAGGGTGGTGGACGCGCACAGTGAAAGAGGAGATCTGGAACAGTGGAGGTGCTGGGTGGGTGGTTGGGAAGGTCAATGTTGGGAAGAGTGCGCTATTCGAGGTCGTCTTTCCAAAAGGCAGGAAGGACGACAGTGTCAACGTGAGGGCTATCAGGGAGGAAGAGAAGAGAGCACTTGGTGGCGCGATGCCATCACTACAACCTGACGACGGACCAGACGATGTTCCTGCGAATGTACTCGACACGAATACACCTGGCTTTGCGAACCTGCCAGGCGAGCTGCATGAGCCCGATTCATCAGCGTCGGCCACCCAAGAGCCGAACAGCTTCCAGGAAACCGAACTCGATATTCGCGAGCGGGAGCACGAGGAAGACGAGAGCGAAGGTCTTCTTGACGACACCTCACTCCTGCCTCCAGCCCAGCCAGAGACGGCCTATCCCAGGATGCCACTGGTCTCGTCCCTTCCTGGTACGACTGCATCGCCAATCCGGATTCCGTTCGGTGGCGGCAAAGGCGAGCTCATCGACTTGCCCGGCATCCACCGTAGTTCTTTGGACGTCCACGTGCAACCTGAACATCGCGTTGATCTCGTTATGAAGTCGCGAGTTGTCCCCCAGCAACACACCATCAAGCCTGGGCAGTCACTACTTCTCGGCGGCCTCATCCGCATAACACCACAGCTCGAGAGAGACGAGAACGTCGTAATGCTGGCCTACCCCTTCACTCCGCTCAAACCGCACGTCACGAGCTCAGACAAAGCTGTCGCGATCCAGACCGGCTCCCATCCGGACACCGGCGAATCCTACAGTGGCACCGTCGCAACCATCGCGACAACCAACGCGCAAGCAAAGATGAAAGAAGCAGGTACCTTCCAGCTTAGATGGGACGTTACGAAGCGTCGTGCCGGACCTCTCACGGACCCGGCAGCAGGCAAGCAGAAGGCCGCCAACTTACCTTTTATCGTTTACGGCGCGGACATTCTTATTGAGGGCGTCGGATGGGTGGAGCTCACCTGCCAAGTCCGTGCGAGAAGGACGGCGTTTGTAAATGAACCTGTCAAAGATGCGTTCGGCGAAGGGACAGCGCGGCGAGAATTCGACGCTGGGCCGCCAGAGGTGGAGGTCTGGAGTCCAAACGGTGGGTTTGTTGGAATCAGGAGACCGATGAATGCGTGGTTGCTTGGAGGGCCGAAGAAGACGCCCAAGCATGCGAGACGGGGGAGGCCGAGGCAGACGATCAGTATGCAGCGGAGGAAGGAGGGAGGTGCTAGAAATCAAAATGGAGACTTTTGAAAGTTCCTTTTTACCATACCATCTTGTATCGTGAGATAGCACTCGCTCATTGCCTGGCCTGGCTACTCAGCATGTCCTGCGGCGAGTGTTCAGATCGTCGTCAGCCAGCTGGATGACTAGTGTACCCGCTTCAACTGCTGAACGTGAGCATACTTGATGCCTCCACCACAACAACCTCCAGTCTTATTACCCAAGACGTTGTCATCCAAGCAATGGCGGAAAGTAGGAACACTGGGAAGCAATGCTGCACTTTTCACTTACTGTACGAGTGATTGATCGAACGTGCGGCATACTCAGGTGCTGCAGCGATTTTTCACGCGAGCATGGTCAAGCATGAACACAATCAGCTGCATCCTGTCACGACGCTGCAGGCTCAAACGTCGCGACACGGGCTCCGAGAATATCTGGAACGTAGAGGCCAGACTCGAGTGGAAAGACATCGATCAAAGAAGGCGGCTTTCAGAGCGCATGTCTTCAACGATCATCAATGGTCGACTGTCGCCATATCTCGACAGGTCTCGGGGAATGCAGTGCGCACCCGAAGTTCGCATCCGTCCCAGGGCTCCGTCAAAGGTTCGCCCATGTACCACGACGGAAGTGTCAAAAGGCCACGCCACGGTTGCAAGGCTTCCCGTCAGGTTACACGATCGATCGGCGTCGAGATGGTGCTCCAATGCGGGTGTGTTTGTTCGTGTTATCAGTGGCTTAATCTCGACCTTAGAGGCTTCCAGAGGCGGTGGGAGGCTGGTCTGAACATCTCCACCGCGACCTATACTCGTGCACGGCAGGGGCTGCGGAACTGCCAGTCCGTCCCGTCTTCCAGGGCAGGGGCGGAAACACCAATGAGCGACGCGGTGAGCCGAGTTTCTTCTCGACTTTCATTGCAGACGAGGATTGCAGTCTCGGAGTGTGCCGTGTCCAGCGGGCTGTCAGTCGGCGTGCCGATGATTGCAGGGGCGCCGCCCGATCGCCGTGCCCTGGTCGCTTCCCAACCCTTGGGATGAAGGAGCCGGGGTTGTTTACTCCCGGTCACCAACAAGCTGATGGGGAGTCCTCGTGGAATCCCTCAGCTTGCCACGTATGAGAAAGCAGGCGGCGCAGCTGTAAACACGCGGGCTGAGAGGGACAGTAATGGCCGTACAGATATCTATATCGCAAGGATGTTGTTATCATCCAGAGTGGACTCTACCCCAGGTCCAGGACAGCCGGATCGGCACTGATGCTCTCAGATCGACACTGAAGCCGTGCGGGCGACAGCGGTTAGCGAACGTCGATCGATAGCGCTGAACGAGTCAAACCCGATCGAGCAGTTGCACAGGAGCGATACCGACTTGGGACGGGTATGCTTCTTGGACAGCCGGGATTCTGCCCTGCTCTGAGTTTGGTGGGAATTCAAATGACGATACTCCTGAGAAGTGTACCTCTGTACCTCGACGAGCTTGATGAGCTGTCCTGAAACAGCGCAGGACGAGGAGCGCTCGAGCATTCGGGGCTCAGCTAGCCACAGGTCGCTGATCCTCTCGTAGCTTCGACGGCAGCAACGCATGTTTCTGCATCGTGGTCTGAGAGGGGTACTTCCTCCGGACTGGACTGACAATGAGTTTGCCTCCCGTGGTTTGACGTGGATGAACCATGCTCATCGTCCTCCTCTTCCAGCATTGAGCAGGAAGCCACACGGGAGGATTTAAATTGGGTGTCGTGAATGGCGTCGCCGCGTGGGCTGACTCCACCAGGTTGGTCAAGGAACACTGGCCACTCGACCCGTGAAAACGGTTGCCCCAAGCAGACACGTGCGTGCGCCAATGCACGCCTCGTCTGCTTTGGAAGAACCCTCCCGGCGACGAGCGCGGCCAAGAAGGAGTAAAAGGCATCTGGTGGACTCAGCACGCCACCCCGGACGAGACTGATACGTTTCGAGGTGACACGCACGCCTGCGAAGCTCTTCTGCAGACCGATGCAGCCTCGTCGCTGATCCTCCAAGCGATGGATCTCCGCACCTGTAGCGCAACCGTTATCCCGGTAGAAGCAGCTGCAGGCCAAGCATATGCCATCCCCCAATCACAGCAACTACCGGCACGAAATGATAGCTCGCGAACACGACCCAGAAGTCTCCGCTTCTTGGTTGTCTTGATCCTTGAGCATTTAACGATCTGCTTCTGTCATAGTTGTCTTCTTCCTCACAGTCAGACAACTCGTTCCACAGTCGCAACCGTTGCCAAACTGTCGCCTCCAGACCGTTCGAAACCTGGAGCCGGCCTGTGCTGCTCATTGAACGCTTCGATAGAGTTGGCACTATCGCTAACAAACGCAAGAAATAACCCGGAACTCAATCTGTTTGCGCACAGACGACGACAACGACGGTACAACTACCTTCGAACGCCCGCGCCTCGGAGAAGCAACCGGCAGCAGTCCTCAACACTCGTTTCTCCTTCGTTGGCCTCTCGATATTGCTGTTGCGGTCGTCGTCCTTTTCGCCATACCAGTTGGAACTTCTCACCGACATAGCCCACCATGGTCTACTCACTGACCTATCGACGACCGTCGCATGTCTCGAGCTCTGGCGATTCCCTTAGCGGCGAGGAGAAGCAGAAGTCTGTCAATGAGTCCCTCTCATCAGGGAGCTCGGGCATGAGCCATGGCATACCTGAAGCACTCTCCTTCGATCGCATCATGTCTGGTGGCACCTGTCCGGTAAGCAGCATTGCTCCTGATCAAGTTCGAGCGTACACTGATCAATTCCAAGCCCTGCACTATCCGGGACTTCATGAACTACCTTCGGTACATCGAGTATGCTCCGGAGAACCTCCAGTTCTTCCTTTGGCTTCGCGACTACTCCTCACGCTTCTCACAACTGTCGCCGAGTGAGGCCGTTCTGTCCCCAGAATGGACCCAGGCACAAGCAGAGGCGGAAGCTGCCATGCAGGCATCGTCGAACAAGCCAGTGAAGAGAGTCAACCCAGAAGTCGCAGAGGTGTTTAGAGGTACCGACTTCGCGGTGGACGGAAAGCCGAAAGCCATCGACAACAGCGATCCATTCGCGACACCGGGTAAGACGCCGTCTCTCGAAGACAAGCGAGAAGAGATGTCCGAGTACGGATCATCTTCTGGGGACCGGACCGTGCAGAGCAACAGCACCCATCGATCAACCGCAGATCAAGCATTCGAGGATGCCGGCATGAAGGTCAAGCCTTGTAAGTATCATCTGCTCCAGTGCATATCTAACTTACCAATCGTCGGCCAGTCTCTCCACAACCATACCGCGATGAGGTCGCCCGCATCATCAGCATCTACATCGCCGAAGGGAGCCCTCGCCAACTCAACCTTTCCGGCCGCGAGCGAACAGCAGTCCTGCACGCCTTACAGCAAACTACCCACCCGTCAGCCTTCCGCATCCTCGCAAAGACCGTCGAATACTCGCTCCGCCACCAAGCACACCCCAACTTCGTCCGCTGGACCATTTGCAACGGCAACCGCCCTCGTGTGGTCTTTGCACGTGGTCTCGGCATCGCTGGCATTCTCGGCGGACTCATCGCCGACCTCATCATCACTCTCAGCTCCGCCAGCCGACCATGGCGTGTCATCCCATTCATCGGCTGGTTCATCGGCATCGCCACCCTCATTGCCGCGTGGAAGGGCATGTGCGTCGTTCTTCACGGCATGCACCACCGCCACGTGCGACCATGGGAGCTCTTCACCGATGAGACGGATGAAGTCCTGGACGAGAAGGCCGGGTCGCAGGAGAGTCTACTTAGCACGTCAACCAACTCATTCGAAGACGAGCCGTGGATTGCGCGATACAAGAAACGCAACGTCATCCGCAAGATCTTCGACCGGGAAGTCTGGATCCAGGAGCCGGCGTTGAGGCAGATCCAGGACACGATCTTCTTACAGGCGATTCTTGGGGCCTTCGTGCTGTCGTGCATCTGCGTCGGGGTCTTCTGCGCTGTGCCTCGAGGAGGCTTCTTCTAAAAGCTGTCTCGGGTTTGTCGCACAACGTCCATTGGCGGACAGGATTCTCTTTGTCTTGTTGGAATAATGGACCTGGTTTGGATAGGATGGAATACCCGATATAGCGTATGTTTAGCGATAGGAAATGGTCTGCTTCGGTGTCAATGGGAATGGTTCTCCTTAAAACTGACACTTCTGCACCTCCTCTGACGTCCGCATGTATTGAGTATTCTACTATTGATTGATCCAGCTTGCATGCTTCAGTCGTCGATATAAATATAGCTTCTTGTCCCGCCGATCAATGCAGGAACAGCCCACTGGCGCGGTGATGGAGACTCCGTCGTAAAGCGCAGAATGGACATGCTTCCACCCGTCGTGAAATCGTGGTTGCCAACACCGCAGAGCAGGCTTCGTAACATGAAACAGAGCAGTGTCGATCCTCACAGACCGGGTGGACAAGGATTTGCGTGATATCATTCATTGTTCGTGAGACTCGAGCGTAATAGCTCTTCCTCTCCTGCTCAACGTTTCTCCATTGCACACTCACAATGACTGCCAACGGCACCATCACCCCAGCTCCCGACGAGAACGAAGCTCTGTTCTCCCCCTCGCTCATCTCGCCCAATGTCACCAGTGCGCTGCCGGATGGCTACTCCATGCGCCCTCTGCAGCGGAACGACTTCTCGAACAGCTTCCTTGATGTGCTTCGGGTGTTGACGCAGGTGGGCGAGGTCACGAGAGATGAATTCGAGTCGCGGTTCGATCAGATGAAGGCGAGCACCGGCGGCTACCATATCTTGGTCATCTTGGACGGGGAGGGCAAGATTGTTGGGACAGGGGCCCTGATTGTGGAGCGGAAGTTGTGAGTGTACAGAGACATCATCTGTCGGGTGCACTGCTAACGCGTGGACTACAGCATCCACCACCTTGGCCTTGTCGGACACATCGAGGACATTGCGGTCGCAAAGGATCAGCAGGGCAAGAAGCTGGGGCTGCGGATAATACAGGCATTGGACTACGTGGCGGAGAATGTTGGGTGCTACAAGACCATCCTGGACTGCTCAGAGGCGAACGAGGGCTTCTATGTGAAGTGTGGTTTCAAACGAGCTGGACTCGAGATGGCGCACTATTACGGGCAGGTGTAGGTTGGGCAGGACATGAGTGGAAGGGTCAAGCAGGGGCGCATACATGCAGCAGAGCTCGCCATGGCTATGATGAAGACCAGTGTCGACCTGAGGAGAAGCAGCGTGGAGTCAATGTTGCGCGTTACCTGTCGACGAGGGTGTAGGAGCTGCGTTGAAACGGCAGTGCTAGGATAGTTGGCCAAATAGATAGACAAATACCCTTACGACATATGGAGCCAAGTGCTCTCCAACATCGCTCCAGAAAGGCCACAAGCACAGTGGTTAATTGCAATCCGCGATACCACCTCGCCAAGCTTGAAATCGATCGTCCACCATCTTGACTCGAGAACACCTCACCTTCTTCAAACTTCGAATGATGCTATGTGAGGCATTATCGTAGCTGAAGACGTCAAGTGTGATTCGCATATGGCAGACGAAAGCTCACATGCGGATGAATTGCCTTCAACAGGCGCCAAATTCACGCCTCGAGATCGAACGAGTGAACCGGCAACACCATCACTACCTGACGATCTCTGGGTGACTGTACTGGACAGTCCATGTACTTTCGGCCCAGATGTCTTCTCAGAGGTGATGCTCAACCTCATCAAGAACCCGAACATCACAGCCAGCCATCTCTTTCGAGCGGATATACTTTATGACGGCGACAACGGCCGGCGAACGGGAGGCGAAGCGTTATTGAAACAGCTCAAAGCAGAATACCAACCCATTGATGTTGAGCTACCCGGCTTCCAACGGACTAGGACAATCGTCCGCCAACTCATTCCAAGGAATCCTCAACTGGACGCTCCGTTGACTCAAACATGCCATTTCTTCAACCAACAAGGAGAGCGGGATGAGCGGAATCTGGTGGTGTACGTCCCGCATGTCCAGCGAGCAGAAGACGTGCCCTTCTACCATCCTGCCGTCTCCCAGCTCGCATTCGAGCACATCTGGCGGAGACGTCCTCCTGAAGCTTCACCATCAGAGGAAGGTGAGAGCTTGATCTCGATCTCCTACTGGCTGTGCCCTTCGACGTCTCTCACTACGAAGCTATCGAGAACAGCTCTCCGACTGCTCCAAACCGTACACAAGCACGGCCAAGGCCATCTTACGGGCTACGAGAAGCGAGTCCACCATGACCAGGTTGTGCCTCAGAAGCGATACCAGGATACTTACGCCAGACTGAAGACGAAGTACGGCAAGCAGCTCGCCGAGCAGTGGGTTGAGGTTACGGATCCTGGAAAGCATGTCTTTGAAGACATTGGGATTGCTGCGTTTCTCATCGAGCTGTGGCGAGACACTTACCCATTCGACGGCAAGAATGATGTTGATGGTCAGGATGCTGGAACGGACCCAAAGCCCCGATTCCCAGGCTTCGTGGATATCGGATGCGGCAACGGCGTACTGGTGCACATCCTTCTCAGTGAAGGCTACGAGGGCTGGGGCTTCGATGCTCGCGAGAGGAAGACCTGGAGCATCTTTCCCGAGCATGTACAACGACGGCTCAAACGTAGGATCATGGTTCCAGATACTTTTTATCCAGAAGCCAGGAGCGAGAAAGCCACGTTATTGCATAACGGCATCTTCGAGCCGGGCACATTCATCATCTCCAATCATGCAGACGAGCTCACGGCATGGACACCTTTGCTGGCGTATTTGAACCGATCGTCCTTCATAGCCATCCCATGCTGCAGTCACGACCTATCTGGGGCGCGATTTCGAGCGCCTGCTTCTACAAAGGCCGGAAAAGAGAATGCAGCCAGGCTGCCGCAACAATCCAAGCCCAATGGCGAGGTTTCAGATACCGGAGAGCAGGGAACTAAGCAAGCAGCAGAGACCGGCTCACTCAAGCGTACGGAGGCTCAGAAGAAGATGCCCTCCGCCTACTCGACGCTTTGCTCCTACGTCTCAAGCATGTCCGAAGATCTCGGCTTCGACCCTGAGAGAGAGGTCCTGCGGATACCGAGTACTCGCAATCAATGCATTATTGGCCGAAAACATCATCAAGGCCATTTGGAGGAGGACATGGAGACACGCGGGCAGAAGGTCGTGGATGTTGTTGAGCACGAGCTCAAGAGATCAGTAGATACTGTGGGAGCAGAGTGGATCGAACGTGCTGAGAAGCTGGCGAGGAAACCTGCGAGTGGACATTGAAGTAGGTCATGGTTAGGCTACGAACGCTCAGATGATGCATGCTATGCCGTCGTCTCTGATCAGGGTATTATGCAAATCGTAGCATCGTGTAGGTCGTATGTCGTATCGTCTCATGCTCGTGACGTAGGAGGTAGCAATCGAGCGATAATGTGGCATTTCAGCCTCCACGGCTCGTGTGTTGTGTTGTCCCATGGTTGTAAGGTAGCAATCAAGCAATGTCTGAGCCATTCCATCTCTCCTCATTTCTCGTGCCTGCAGTGAGCACACCACCTGCACCCGGACTTCTAATCTGAGTTTGAGCTGTTCCCTCTACCACCGCGAGGCTGCTGTCGGTCGGAAGTGTCGTTCTGCCTAAGACTGTTGTCAGTAGTGATGAAACGGGTATGCTCATAAGCTGGGCTTTGGCATGAGAACTGTCTTACATGCTTGATGACGGCGGAGGCGGAGAGTATCCGGTTGGCGGGTATGCTCTTAGCGGCTGTGACGGCTGAACGAACTGTTGCCTGGCTGTCCGAGAGTCAGCGGCCGATTATGCAGTCAAATGTATATGCTAGCTCACCTCGACACTGCTGCTCTTCCGAATCTTCGCTGCCGCGTCCACGGCTGGCTCGCGAATCCTCGTTCCAGAAATCGAAACTGTCATTCGACGGCGAGTAGTCACGACCGGCTGGCCCACTGTGCGGCGGCGGGGAGGAATCGGAGTTAGTCTCTGCGTTCCCGTCATAAGGCGCCGTGCGTCTCGCAGCGGAGCGCGGATCGTAGGGTTTGTTCATCAGGCCTCCTTGTCGGTCGTAGTCTCTGCCCGCCCCGGCTTCAGCTGCAGTCGGTGCTCGTTGAGCATACGGATTCTGAGCGTAGCCTTTGGGCGGTGGCGCTGCTGGAGATGTTGGTGCTAATTGCTGGCCGTAGACGTGGGAGTATGGAACGTAAGGACCGGGCTTCATCGCGCTTTGCCATGGTTGAGATGGTTGGGGTGGTTGTGTAGGTAGTTGCGTGTTCAAGGGTGGAGGTGCAGAGTGTTTGCTCGGGTTGCCTCCCGGGACATGTGCCGTGGTTGGAGGTGGTCCTGTCCCAGCCCCTTGAGCTCCAGCAGGCGGCGCGAAGTCATTGGGTGGGTAGGGGTTTGGCCGTGGACCGCTGCCGCCAGTAGAAGGCCGCTCGCAATCATCATATCGATCTCTTCGAGGTGGCGATTGCCGCCTGTCGGCTCTATACCTTCGCTCGCGCGGCCTCCTGTCGTAGCCGTCGTTGTAGCCGTACCGATCGTCGTCAACACTACGGGGTCGTCGGTGCGTTCTCTCTCTGTAAGACCTTCGCCGGCCATCCTCACTGTGGTAGTAGTCATCCTCCTCGCTGTCAGCGCCGCCATCATATGAGCTTCTGCTGCGTCGATGTCGGCGGCGATGACCGTCAGAGCGGCCTCGACCCTCACGGCGACGTCCATCGTCCCTGTCTCTCCTGCTGTCTGATGTGTGGCGTCTGTCGCTGTCCCTGGGCCCGGAAGATTTGGTATTGGTATTGTCGTTGCCCTGTGCGCCCTTCTCTCTGAAATAGCCTCCAGGAATCTTCTCAAACCAGCTGTCGGGTATCTTGTCGGCGCCGTACATGACGCTGCGGAGTATTAGCTTCTCCATGGTCTGTGTGATGCGAGAGTATACGATCAGCTCGGTAGTGAAAAGAAGGGTTGTCGGCAGGTAGATGAGCTTACCATTTTAAACTGATCAAAATAAGTATATCATGTGAGGTGTGATGCAATCATTGTCAGCACAACTGCGCCTGCGTGCATATGATCTTCACGCCACCCGTGCTGCTGCTCTGTGAATGGGTGTTCTGTATGCTAAATCTTGACGCACATTCTGGACAGAGCCTCTCCCACTGCAGGATCTTGTTCTTATCAGCCCGTGTTGTGTGGAAGTGTACGAATATGAGATCACTGACTGAACATCTTTCCGATGGTTGGTCGTTGTTTTTGTTCACGGCCTAGGTCAGGCCTGTCTCGCACCCCTGCTGGTCTCGTGCTTGGGCGCTGACGACTCCGAGTGAGGACTGCGGCGCTAGTCTGGCACACTCCTTCGCTGATGCTCGGCCGAAGCTGATGCGACGGTCGTTCCTCGTGAGATCAAGGTCGACCGTGTTGTGCGAGGATGGCATGGCCAGTGGCTGTTGGAAGTTTACGATGAGCGACGGCGGTGTTCCGGGCACCGCCAGTAGGAGAACGGAGAGGCCTTCACGATGATGTAGCGGACGTCATGAGGCATTACAGGTACAGAAGAACAAGGAAAAAATGTTGCTGGATATTTCAAGATATCGTTGCGTCGCGCGAGTGGTGGAAGTGTGGTGGCGAAGCGTGGCAGCGTTGGCTTTGCGGCAGGGACGACGTCGTGGTCGACCTCGAGAAAGAGCGAGGAAAGCGACATTGAAAGTCAGGTACATGTACAAGGTGATCCTGTGGACAGCACAACTCGAAAGACAGAAGCAACAACCAACAACAATGGTGAGAAGTACCAGTACTCCTACAGGCTTTCATACAAGGCCCACCTCCTTTACCGCTTTGATGTGGCCTTATTAGCACATTCGAGGTGAGCCTCCAACTTCATAATTCTCTCCGGCCGCGCTGGGCAATAAGTCTGTACATAATTGCTAGACGTAGAGAAGCTCCGTGAGTGCGGGTGAAATATCTCAAGACGGCTCAAACGTGCAAGACCCGCGAGTTGTGGCCCGACGTATGCCGCCTTCGTGTGAAGAACCGCTTTCCTGCTGAGAGCTTCCGGCGTAGAGCAGAGGAGTTTCTACAGGTCTCCAGGCTCAAACTCCTCGCCGACTTCGTCGTCGGGTGGCGGAATTCTTATATTGCACTCGACAGCTGCCACTCCATTGTCCGCACGAACAGCGGCCAGTGACCTGTCATCGAGCATCGCGCGGTAGTAAGTGCTGTGCTGATGAGTCTCGGCGTGAACGCATTCAATTCCAGACTCAAGGTCGGTGTCTTCGCCTACGGTGTGTTTGTGCTGGTCAAGAGTCCACCCAGGTCGGAGAAAGACGTGGTAACTGTCGGGGCTCGTTCTTCAGGTGGGCGGTCGAGGAGGCGAATTGGCGCTTCATATGAGCCCATTGTCCCAATCGACTTTTTGAACGCAATCCGCCAGGTAGTGAGGGTGCTGCTTGGGCTTGTGGTAGAGATGATGAGTAGATATAGAATGGCGATTGTTGTGGCTGCAATCAAGCTGTGCTTCCACCGCATCTTGCTGTGGCTTGGTGGCCTCCAGTTTGAAGCCTTGGAAGGATGTATGAAAGCATCAACACGATGCTAACGGACAGCCAGCCTTGATACCACCAGTTCGGAGGGGTTGACGGGTTAAGGTGGAAAGGAAGGAAGAAGGCTAAAGGAAGGATCCAATGAAACGTGCTCTTATCAACGGCGGAGGCGAACGAGGTTGCTAGTCTATCCTTCCATTGGGGCTGCAGTGCTGCGCGTGCAGCAGAGGGGTTGAAGAAGCAAATGTGGACTTCTGACTTGACCAACTGACCTAGCAGGAATCAGGGTCAAACCACCCCATATCTTTATGATGCTCGGCCGCTGCAATGATGTGGGATCAGCGAGTCAGCCTGGACGAACCTACAGTCGGCGTCTAAAAACCATAGGAGCGAGGGAAATCTGTAACACGGTCTAAACCACGGTCGCGCAGGATGAATGGCTAAGAATAACGGAGATGTTGGATATGTGCCACGCAACAACCGCATGGCAGGAAAAGGTAGGCGCATCAGCTTTGGTTTGGCATTGTCATACACAACACCCTCGTTCAAAGCACTCCTCTTGCTACACCATCATGCGAGTTACGCCGTTGCTGTTTTACATAGCGGGCTTCGCAGCATGTTCTCCCTTGGTCCCGAGACCAGCACCATCCACCAAGGGGTACCTCGCGCCGCTCTACGGCATTGATGATGTCGATAAGATGCGAGACGAGTACATCGTCGTATTCCAGCCGGGACACAACATCGAGCAGCATTTCGAGGCAATAGGCAAGAGTCTTACCAGGTCGGCCCGCTTCAGAAGATATGGGTACGGGTACGGAGCCATCCTGGATGATGACACAAGAGACAGCCTTGTCCGCCGCGACCCAGGTGTCCGTGTGGTCGACGTTAATAGACCGATCTACTTTGTCGAGCCCGTGAACTCTACCGCCATCGAAGATGAACATTCGAGTTCCGGCTTGCCGCATGAGAAGCGCATGCACGCAGAGGTCCACCGCCCGAGCGCTCCTCACGGGCTCAAGATGCTCACAACGGGCTCTAAACGATTCTACACCTCTGTGAAAGACGACCAGACCTACGACTACCTTCACAGCGCCGGCGAAGGCGTGCAGGTGTGTCTCAAGCGCATGATCATGCCCATATAGCTACTAATGGCAGAACAAGGTCTACGTCGTGGACTCAGGCATTCGCATCAGCCACTCCTTATTCGAAGGACGTGCTCGCAACTTTGGAGACTTATCGCCTGAAGAAAATGAGTAAGTGGCTACGGGGGTCTATGATGCTGAAAGATCTAAGTTACAACCGAGAGATCTCTATCCTTCATATGTGCAAACAAGGCCGTATCGCAAGTATAACCGAGAGAGGAACCGAAACCCGCTTCCACCTTCTACTCATTTCCTCCTGACGACAAACCACCTTATGTCGACGAAAGGATGGATGACACAACGGGTCATGAGACACAGTAAGTCTCCCTCTCTCGATCTCTATGGACGATCCTGACATGACCTTTTGTATAGCGCGGCTGGTACTATCGGTGTGAGGAAGTATGGCGTAGCGCCCTCCGCGAGCTTGATTAGTGTGAAGGTGCTCGGAAAGGGCAGCAACGCTGGTATGCTCGCGGACGCGATCGTCGACATCACTGCAGAGCATAATGCAAACAAGGCAAAGACGGATGGTGCCTTCTGGGACTTTCGAGGTTCTGTAATCTGCATGGCGGTGTCATGGTAAGTGGCAATTGCAAGGCGATCCTTCAAAGCCCTGCCACTGAATGCATCTTCCCCGACGCCACTCCACTTCGCTCGACGCTGTGCACGCTTGCTGATTGTAATACAATTCCGTTCTTTAGGAAAGGGAGCGAACTCTTGGCCTGTCCTCTACGCCATCAATGCTGCCAACGAAGCCGGAATCAGCGTATACGTCAGCGCTGGGTAAGTACTAATAAGTGGCTGGACCGCGGAGACGCAACCGCTCCCCTTCTCTCACCCTAAGCCCTGGGCAATCTGCTTAAGGCAAGCTTGAGACGCTTACTGACTCCTTCGCGTTTCTGATCTTTAGGAACAACAACATTGACGCTTCGAACACCTATCCCTGTGCCGTCCCAGTGGCAAGGTGCGTCGTAGCTGTCGACAACACCTACAACAAATACGAAGACTCAAACTACGGCTCTAACGTGAACTACATTGCGCCTGGAGTGGACACTTGTAGGTGTCTGAACATCGGTGGCATATCCTCGAGAACAAGTCCGAGGCTGACACATATTGAAACCTTAGTGTCTCCCGGCAACGACAGCGATACTTCGCCACGGGAGAATGCAGGCACTTCACAGGCATGCGCGCACGCCGCAGGTGCCGCAGCTATCTTTTAATCAGTAGGTCGAGAATATACCTGATAACCTGAGCCTAGTAGGCAAGAGGTTTGCCAACATGGCCTCTGACTCCATCACAATGGGTAGGCCTTGTCTCCAGCTACGACCTGTCCGAAAACTTCGTCTACTAGAACTCCATATCTGGTGTGGTGTATGGTTTCCCGGGGGGTACGACTGGTAAGGTCGCCGGCAGATGATGATGGTGCACTCGAGAAGCTGGACTGATGTCTGAACAGACTACTTCGTCACTACCGGCATCCACTCGCCCAAGAAATGCCCTCACGAACCTTTCAGGTGGGCCGGGGACTAGCCACGGGAGAACCACATCTACATCCCCGACGATGCGACGCCGATCGATGCAGAGGCGACAAGCGCCCCACCTCCTGTACCATCGACCGACTACGCCACAACCTTAGGAGGGCTTTTCACCGTGATGGCGACTAGCAGCTGTAAGTGAACCACCTATCATCAGCCTAGTGAAGAAGCTGTTCATGCTGAACCCGAATTGTGCCTGAGGTCACAGCTCTCACCACGGAATCCAGGGAGGATACGACGTGGGCTCCACCTCTCGCAGCCCCTACCTCATCAGCAGCGCCGTCGATGATGATAGAGCCATCGGTAACGGTAGAGCCAACGACAACGGACGAGCCAACGTCACCATCAACACCAACGCCAACCTACGACCCAGACTCTGACGCGTGCAAAGCGTGCGGTAGTAATCTCGGAGCGAGCAGCTGTAGTGCTGATGACGGTCAATGCTTGGTGGATCAATGCAACGATGACTCTGACTGTCAGGCTTGCGGTATTGACTGCAGCATCTACGGAGATTAGCTTACTTCTTGCACCTAGCTCTAATGTTCGGAAAGGACGCTGCAAGACGTAAATTTGTATGAAATCATCGTGGAGCATCTGGCTTGCCTCAATTGTCCGAGACGTGCATCTTGTGAAGGAAGTTCCACGGGAGCTACCGTACTCTATCTCCGTTCAGTGCAACCCTTCTTTTCAACTTTCTCAACGCTTCGATCCAGCATTCTTGACCTCAAGCTCCACCCGCAAACTCATGATTTCCAGATCCTTCTCAGCGTTCTCGCGCTCCAAGTCAGCCAGCTTGATTCTCAACTCAGGCCACGAAGTCACTTTGATGCTGTCTTCATCTTGACGCATTCCACCAGCGCGTGCTGAATCCTCCTCCAACTTGGCAACCCTTGCCGTCAGAGGTCCCAAACCTGCAGCGACCACTTCTCTGATGCGGACTGAGAGCACTTTACGTATCGGCGCCGGAGAGGGGGGACGGCTCTGGTGGCGGACAGGTCTCCCGAACAGCTAGCTGGTGAAGCGGGTATGGGCATGACAATTCTCCGCTCGCCGAATGAGCCGCGCGCGCCAAATGGTGCCAGGTTGGACGTGGTCGATCTGGCGATGGACTGCTCGGGGCTGCCGGCGAACTTGACGAGCTCTTCAGTCGGCGAGTGCGCACTGGAGGAGCCTGGCTGCACAGTTGATTTGTGTGGGAGACGTCTTCGGAGGCGTTGCTTCTTGCGTGCCTGTCCCTTCACAGGCGGTGAAGCCTCGCTGGATGACGAGATCACAACCACGCCCTTTGGTGCCGAACGTCTTCGTCGACGAGCACGGCCAGCCTGATCAAACTCCGCTTCCGAGTCCTCAGATGCAGCTCGTGTGCGCTTTCTCGTTGGCCGAGTTGCGTTCGCGTTCAACCTTGACGCAATCCGATTCTTCGCTCTACGAAGCCTCTCGTCGAGATCGGAAGGTGGTTTTCTACCCCAGCGAGCAGCTGAGAGCATTGCACCAAAGACTGTTCGACTGTCCGCCACGCTTCGCCAACAATCCTCTTGCAAGACGCCATTTGGATCTACCTCGCTTGCTCGCTGTTCGTAGTAGGGCCGCTGATTGATTTCGAGTTTTTTGGTCTGCGCTTTGAATGCGGACTGCAGTTCTTTCAGCTCCGCTGGACTGCAACGAAAGATCTGCTGAAGATCTGCATTCTTCAAGCTACCAGGCATGGATGCTGAGATTGTTGGTCACTGATGCGAAGTGCTTTGCGGGAGGTTGTGTTGGGAAACGGGGATGCTTTAAGTGGGCATCTCGATGAGGGCAGAGTCCGAGCAGGCCAGGGTCATCCGGACGTCGTACATGATGTCTCCAGTGAACGCAGCACAGTCATGTTGCACCGCTGCCAACAAACAAGTGGCATTTGAATTGTTCAAAATCAGCCGCTGTCAGCAAGTCTCAATGCCTTGCTCACCAATGCTGCCGCCCTTCCGGCCTCCCCACCCTCCTTCTTTGCTTCAACAACGCCGTGTCTAAATGTTTCTGCCATTCCAAGCTCGACGAAAACTTCTGCTCGCTCCTCCGGATCCTCGTAAACTTCGCTCTCGGCATCCCTCGACGATCCGAAGAGGTTCAGATAGCCGAACGGGTTGCTCTTGCTGGGTAGTACGTGCGCGTCCATGTGCGAGAGAGGGAAGAGGCTTGCAGCTTCTTGAGCAGCTACGTTATACTCGTGGTCAAGCGATGGCTTCTTGAGTCCAGCCACGAGTAGATGTGATAGTGTCGTCAGCTGGTGGACAAAAAGTTTGCTGCTTCCTAGATTTGATGCTGACTTGGAATTTGACCATGTGCCGTTCACAGTCGTGGAGACGGTAGTGTTGGAGTTATCGTGCCATGAAAGCAGGTTCTGGAAGCCGCGCAACGTCTTTACCCATCCTCCAGCGCTTGACACGACTGCTGAAGGAGCTGAAGCCAACAGCCAGTCCAGGACGTCCAGAGAAGAAGCGCAAATGTCCTTGGAGAGATGCGCCATCCCGGCTCGAGCGTATAGTAGCAATGAGTCGAAAGAGCCGATCTCATCAACTGGCAGGACACGCAAGAGCTTGAGAAGCTGCTGGCGTACTTGCGAGTTGCCGTCCAGAATCAAGGATTGGGCCTTTGCGACGATTACTCCAGGCGGTTGGGGGAGCTTCTTCCCCTGCTGTGCGCTGCATACCGTTGTCAGATAAGCCAAAGCATCCCGGCGCTGCGTTTCGTTCCTGCTGCCGAGGAGAGAGATGTTGTGTTGGAATAGAGCGTCCGAATCTCTCCCAGCCTCGCTCAGGCTTTGCTGCTTGAAGACGACTGATTTCGCGGCGAAGCTGATATCGGTGGCGTTGGTGTTCTTGGGCCTGGTCTTGCCGACCTTGAGCTTGGGCTTTTGGAAGTCCTTCTTCTTTTCCTTCTTCTTCTTCACGGATGCCCCCATCTTGAGTCGTCTTCTGTGCTGCACGTGGGCCTAAGTTTGCGTCTGAATTCCGGTCTGAATTTCATGCGAAGATGGAGAAGGCTCACAAGGTTTCGGAAGATGCCGATGCAGCGGGCCGCCTCACGTGGAACGACAGGGATGTTGCGCAGGAGCTGTTGACTTTCGAGATGCGGCTTCTGGAGCTATATGGCACTCTGAGCGCTGCCGTTATACCACCGCGATCATGCAGCAAACCTCGCCCTCCCAGGAGACACAGAACCTCCTCGCGCGCTTGTCCCAGCGACCCGGCGTCCAGAGCACCCTCATCCTCTCCCGCGACACGGGAGCCATCGTCCGCTCGTCTGGCTTGGTCACGGCAGAGGATATCAGCGAAGAGGGCGCAGCTGCTGTGCCTACAAACGGGACATACGTGAATGGTACGAGTGACGAGGTCAAAACGAAAGGCACTAGAAATGCCGAGGAGGTTGCACGGCTGGTGTACGATTTCGTCAAGAGCGCTGGCAACATGATTGAGGAGCTCAATGGCGAGAACGACGAGTCAAAGCTGCTGCGAGTGAGGACGAAGAAGAACGAGCTGGTTGTCGTGCCTGGTGAGTTGCACATATGTTACTCGCAACGGCACAGGAGCTGATATCTGGTAGATGCCAAGTTCTTGCTAGTTGTCATTCACAGCACACCACCAGCGTGAGCGTCTGGAAAGACGGGACACGCAACATCGGCTAAGACCAAGGTGGGGGATGTCCTTCAAGAGACATGAGCAGTCGCGCTCCTTCGCGGGTGCATCTAAGTACGTCCGATTGTGTACGTGCGCAAATCTAAGCACCTCCTGACGGCTACAGATGAAACACGCAGCCTGCACTTTTCACCAGTGCTTCTCCGAGATGTCGACAAGATCGACGTCCACATCGTCCTTGAACCATCGGTCTGCCTCTTCAATCTCGACATCGTTGCCGCTCATCTGCCTTTTCCGCATGCGACCATCCTCGGCGAATGTCCAATCCTCCAAACCATACTGCAGGGGCCGAAGACGAATCAGCGGCTTTCCCAGACGTCAGACACGGTGATTTCGGGAGTGCACTCACGCAACGCTTCCACTTCATGTTGTCGTGCCGATCCTGGTATTCATACTGTCAAGAGGCCGGCCAGGTCAGCATCTGGTACACCTGAAGAAACGGAACACCAAAGACTCACCCAGAACTGCACAGCAATCTTGTTGTCTGAAAACGCAAACAACTCTTTGCGCAACTTGTAATTGTGTTCCTTCTGCCACTTCCAGGTCAAGAAAGATACAATCTCGTCCGTACCACTGAAGAACCACTGGCGGTTGCGCCAGATTGAGTCTGGAGTGTATGCTTTGGCGATGGCTTTGGGATCTCTGAGAGACTGTTAGCCTGAGACGTACTCAAGAGAAGGTGGTCTGAGGCACTGGGTGTTCCAAAGCTCTTGGGCTTTCTTGACCTTGGTTTGAGCGGTCTCCTCGGTGAAGGGCGGTGCGAGTGACATTTCTAGTGCTACGGGATTTGGTATCTGACTTTGATGTTGTGCAATGTTCTATGCCTTCTTTATGTTGTTTCTAGTCCCGATCCAGCTCCTGATAAGGTAGTTGGTCCCACGTCAAGCGTTGTAATCAGTCCCATCTACTCCACCGAGCAGCCTCTGTCTTCCTGACAACACCCAAAAGCAAAACAGGACACGACAATGGGTAAGAAGCCTTGTAGACGATCACCAGAATGGCGGACGTCCCCGTTCGACGTCATGGCTTCGCTTCTATCCTCCATGCACATGTACATGTAGCTGTGCGCATGCTGCTGACTCGATCTCGCACCGTCTGACTGACTAAGAGTGGGGGCTGTATGCGTATGGTCTGGACGTCTACAGTACATCGTCTCGCGTTGTCGACTCTGTTCTGATCGAGAAGCGACACTCTGCCTGTGTCCAATACAGGCTGATTAATCAGTTGCAGGATGGCCGACGACAACAGCGACACGAGCCCAGCGACATCAGAGCAGACGAACTCAACAGCACCAAGACCGGCCCCTACGAACGGCCAGGCGCATCACAAGCAGAAGCGCGCACGATCACAACTGAGCTGTACGCCGTGTAGACAGGGCAAGCTCAAATGCAACCGAGTCCACGAGCCGGCATGCGACCAGTGTATCAAGCGCAATCGAGAGTCGGCGTGCGTCTACCTCCCACCACCCGTGAAGCACAAGCCGGCGCAGAATGTCAAAGGACGGATCCGCCAGCTTGAGAGCCTGGTCGTGGATCTGATGCAGAACCAGCGGGCGCAGGGCCAGTCAACAGCAACTACCGGGCCAAAGAAGCCATCAGCCAGCAAAGAAAGCAGGGAGACAGCAGAGGAGAATCGGCCTCGCCCATTTTCACAGCCGACACCGCCTTCAGACAACGACACAAGCCCACAAGACTCCGAGCAGAGCCAAGAGACGCATCCTACTCCAGAAGATGTCGACTCGGCAACTGCACCGTTCGGCCAGATGAAGATCAGCAAGGACGAGATCAGCTACGTGGGAGAATCGCATTGGGGAGCCATATTGAACAGCATATCTGATTTGAAACGGGATATCGGTGACGGCGACGAGGAGGATGGTGTTCACGCCTCTCCCGAGCAGACGATCAACAGCTGGAGCGCTGTCCCAATGGGCGGAGTGCAACCACACTCGACCACAGGACTCGGATTCATGCTGGGTGGAGAGCGCCCGTCGGTCAGCAAGCAGGAGCTCATAAAAGCAGTACCGGAGAAGAGGGTTGCGGATCGCTTATTAAGTCTGTGGTTCAACTCGCCAGATCCGTTTAAGCCAATAATACATGCGCCGACCTTTCAGGACGAGTACAGGCGGTTCTGGAAGAGTCCCAACGAGACTCCGGTCATGTGGCTTGGACTTTTGCATGCCATTCTGAGTCTGGCAACCTCGTTCGGTCTGCGTGAGAGCGACCCAAGGAGTCCTGATGCTCGAGCAGTGCTCGCAAATGTCAACAAATACCACTCCATGTCGGCTTCTGCTGCCTTGCTTGCAGACTTCACCAAGCCAAAGCCGTACACGCTTGAGTGCTTGATCTTGTACTCGGCCGGCCTGCGCAGCAACAACGCGTTCGTCAATGTTTGGCTGATGATAGGACTGGTCGTTCGTCTGGCTTTGCGAATGGGCTACCACCGCGACCCCAGCCATTACCGAGCTATCAGTGTCTTCCAAGGCGAGATGAGGAGAAGAGTCTGGAGTGTAATTGGCATGATTGACGTGCTGATATCCTTCCAGCTCGGACTGCCCAGCATGTTCCGATCGATCACTTCGGACACACAACCACCTCGTAACCTTCTAGATCGTGACTTCGGCACCAACACGGCCGTTCTGCCCCAGAGCAGAGGAGTCGAAGAATTGACACCATCCTCATATACCCGTGCGAAGCTGCGCATCACGCGTGTCTTTGCTGACGCTGCAGAGATAAGCCACCAGACTGTACCTCCTTCATACGAAGAAATCATGCGACTTGACCGCGCATTAGAGGAAGCAAAGGCTGCGATACCTCCTCTTCTCCAGATGCCAGATATCAGCGAGCTGGTCACAGATCCAGCGGAGCAGCTGATGTGCCGATTCAACCTCGATTTATTATATATGAAAACGAAGATCGTTTTACACCGACGATATATGCTGACGCCAATGGATCAACTGACGCAAGCAGAGCAACAGCTCGGTATCGGCACAAGTAGAAAAGCTTGCATCGAATGCGCTCTCCGCGTCCTCGGCCATCATCACACGATTTACAGTGCCAGCCAGACTGGAGGACAACTGGAGAGCGTGAAATGGTACATGGGGTCCATCTCAACCCACGACTTCCTGCTCGCGGCCATGGTTTTGTGCCTTGAATTAAGCGAACAAATTCACAACCGGTCCTTCAGCTACTCGCCTCTTGGGATGCAGTGTCCGAGAAGGCGAGCTATGATGGATGCGCTCGAGAAGAGCCATCGCATCTGGAGCGACGCTTCCGGCAGGAAGAAGAAGCATATGCAGTTGACCACGGCGGATGGGATGGAGAAAGGCGAGCATCTTTTCGACGAGACCGAGAAAGCCAGTCGGGCCATGGCAGTCATGCTGGAGAAGGTCAAACGACAGATGGCTGAGACTCCGCAACCGTCGTCGACAGAACCATCCACATCGACTTCTCAGATGGAAGTGCTGGATGTTCCGTCGGTGCCTGGATATGTGTACACCGATACCCAGCAACTGCAGGAGACGGGCTTCAATGGTCTGGTGTCCCAGCATGCATGGGGCAATCTGAACGATGTCCCGTTACCAGATGGTTTGGATACAAGCAGCGGCCAGCCTCTGAATTGGACGCCCGCAGATACAGGTTCGAGCGGCGTGGCCGACCCGTACTCCTTCATTCGATCGACCAACGACACCGCAGACCAGTCCTTCAACGCGGCAGACTACTCGATGATTGGCGACATGCTCGACGGGCCCATGAACCTCGACTGGGAGATGTGGGACAACGAGATTATCAAAGGTCCGCAGCAAGGCATGGACGAGTGGACGGATTTGGATGTCACAGGTGGTATTCCTGGTTACAACAATCGTGCTATGGGCAGCGAGGCGGCCATGGTATCTGGCAATGTGTACATGCCTGGAGGAACGGGCACGCTTGGTGGCAGCAGTGGTGCGATGGGACTCAATCTGGATATGATGAATGATGTTGACTTTAGCATGGCGCAAGGGAATGAGTACCCTCTGACGGTCGCGAATGGCTATAATGCGGGATGAGGAGCAGCCAGTACTGCAATGAACATGGTTTGACGCCCCGGAGCCTCAATGTCCTTCTTCTTCCGCGCTGCTATCTCGTCGTTCTAAAGTGCCAGCCATACTTGCACAATGATTCGACCTCTGAGCCAAGCTCCATCACTTACCTTTGCGGCGCCGCACAATGAAAGTGATGGACAGCATGGACTAAACGATAATTGCGGAGGAGGATGATATCACTATGCTTACCCTGCCTCTATTTTGCTCAATTAGGCTTGAGTGACAACAGCAAGTCTCCGGGCTCAACTATCTCACCGACCTCCTTGGTCACGGAGGAGACGATGTAGGCAGCTTCATGACCGGGTGCTTGGATGGCGATCTCCATCTTCATGGCTTCGAGTACGACGACCGTGGCCGCGCGCTCGACCTCATCACCTGCCGCTACGTTGATCTTCCAGATCCTGGCATTGACAGTCGCTCGGACTGGGATGAGTGTGTGGTCTTCACGAAGATGTGGTTGTTAGCACGAGACGCATGTGGCTCTGCTCTTGTCTGGATCAACTCACCGAGCGCTGCTTGTTCAGCATTGGCTTCTTTCTGCTCAGCCTTCTTACTTGCGGCGAGTGTCTGCTCGGCGTGCCACTTCTCGAGCAGTTCATTCTCCCTGCGGTTTAGTCAGCTGTGCGTTCAAGAGGCAAACGGCTTGTTTGGCGGTAGGCATACTTTGCGAGCTCTGCTGCGGCACCAGCTTTCTGAAGCCGCTGGATCTCCTCGACCTCGTCCTTGGTCTGCTCCACCAGAGCGTCATAGTCAGCCATGCTTAAGACAATGGGCTCAGACCTGATCTTATAAGTACCCTGCTGGTACTCTTTGTTGATAGCATCGAACTCCTCGCGAGGGACAGCCTCAAGTTCGATTTGGTCAAATGGCTTAAACAACCATGGCCGCTCGGCAGTGTATCCTGGTTTCGACCCGAAGGTATCAAACGGTGCGCCGAGCAACGTCAGGCCCCACAGCATATAGCCACCTGGTCTGGATGGCATATTTGTTAGTTGCTGCCCCAAAGGTATGGCCAAGAGGCGGGTGCAAGTGGCTTACGATTCAACAGGATAGACAGCGATTGTATTGCCGCCTGTACCAAGAGCGCCAGCAGGAGTAGTGGCCCTCGAAGGGTTGGTCTTCGGGACAGTGAGCCTCTTGCGCGGGTCAATGGAAATCATGACCGGTAGGCCCATGTATCCAGAAGCGGCGAGGACTAGAAAAGGGTTCCTCTCAACGGCAGCAAGGACATCATCGCGAGACTCGAGGCCGTTGTTCCTCCGGATGAAGTCGATGTTGTCGGGAAGGTACGTGGCATAAGGCCGGAGAGTCTCCATGTACCGCTGGGTGGCGATTTTGTTCTCCTCAGGATCAAAGACCATGGGTAGGTAATACTTTGTGCCGTGAAAGGTAAGGCTGTCGGACAGTGCCGCCTCCATCTCAACCAGAACGGATGTCGCATTGGTCTGGCTGGCGACAGCAGGATCGTAGTTGATGAGCACGGTCATGGTATGTGGGCGAGTGATTGCGCTGACACCAGGTGGCGGCTGTTCAGATATCTGTTGCACGATCTGCTGGATCCTGAGGCGCACACGGAGGTCGAACTCCTGTGCTCCAAATTCGCAGAGCAGGCCACGGTCACCCGCCTGTCGTATGAGAAAGCGAGGTAGCCGGGGTTCACCCTGCGTTGACTGAGCTTTGCGTTCGAAAAGCGTAGATGATCCGACATGCGGCTGATCGATGAGTGGTGCGACAGGGACTGTCATGGTAGGTTCGGAAGATTCCGCGAGGATGGTCTGCCGGATCGTGTCGTAAAGCATGTTGTACTGCTTCTCGAGATCCACAGCTTGACTCCAATTACATTGAGCGAAGCGAATCTCGTCACCAGCCTTGAGTTGGCCAAGCCTCCATAGCTCGCAGGACAAGATGGTCTGGAGGCAGATGAAACCGCTCTGAAGAGGAGAGTCGGCGGTGAAGATGACAGCCGAGTTCCCAGTGAAGCTGAGACCACCAATAGGGTAGCCAAAACCCAAGACGTTGCTGGGATGACTACCGCCCTCACCGCCGGACTCTCTCGCCCACTCGGGTGGAGGGCCATCAAGACGGATGCCTGTGCGGCCGGAGCTGATACCAACTTTCCATGTCGCATCGAAGAAGTCTTTGCGGCCTTCGGGGGTGAGGAATTCCTCCGTATCAAAGGGCCCGGCGAGGGTGTAAATTATCGGTCGCTGCAAGTCAGGGGTTGCAACAAGACTCTCTGGAAGTTGGTAGGTGGCGACAGTGGGTGCTATCTGCGAGCTCGCCTCGTCTATTGCAAGAACGTCGCCGGCACGCAGTGTCCGCCCCTGGTACCCACCCCATTTCAAGGCCGGCGTCGTGCTTTTTGATCCAAGGTAGCTGCCGGCATTAGGCAGCCCCCCGAGAATGGCCAGATATGCTCGACATCCGCTGTCCTTGAGAGTACCAATCGCCACTTCTGCCAATCTCGGCACGGAAAGTCTTGTCCACATAGCGGCATCGACACCGTTGATCTTGAAGTCCATCGAAGCACCACAAAGTGCGATGACAGCAGGCTGGTGGAAAAACATCGTGGGCCCGGAGTAGGTGATCTCGAACCCGGCGGTACCTTCGGCGTTACCAACAAGCATGTTCGCCACTGGGTCATAATTAGTACATAGCTGTCTGTTCTGGATTCTAAGATATACCTCTGAGAGAAAAGGAGTCCATAGGCCCGGAGACTGGGACACCGCTCCGAGCTTTTGTGCGTCCCGGGAAGTCCTGAATCGTCGTATACATGCCGCCGTCTGTGAACTCAACGAGGAAAGGTTCGAAGGTGAGCTTGTCGAGCATGTTTGTCAACGTGGCGCCAGAAGACATTTCTGCCAAAAAGTCTTCGCGTGAGCGGCTTGGAGCAATGCTGAATAAGTTACGATTGGCTTACCCGTAGATTTGAGGATCCTGTCAAGCAGCCCTATATTCGTTGGTGGTCCGTTGAGTACGGTGCCAGTAAGCGCTGACTGCATGGAAGTGATGGCCTGGTGCCGAGTGTCTTCGTACGTTATGATCTTGGCCAGCAAAGGATCTGGCAGTCGGTCAGCAGTTATAAGCTTCCATTAGTCTGGTCTCTCACCGAAATACGGAGTGACCACGCTCCCACGCTCCAACCAGGTGTCCACTCGAGTTCTTGCGTTTTTCGGGAAGGAGACCTCCATGAAGAGACCTGGCGCAGGCATATAGTCGGCAGCGGGATTCTCAGCGTAGACTCGGACCTCGATGGCATGACCTTTAGGTCCTTCCGGAGTTTGCTGTTGCATCTCTTCCGCCGAGAGTCCGGGCTTGCCTTCGACTTCAGCTTGTGCTTGCAAGAGCATGAGCCTGACGAGGTCCGTGTTGTAGTATGCTTCAGTCACGCCGTGCTCGACCTGTTCGGCGCGGAGTGAATGCTCGACTCACGACGCAGTGCATTTTGTTTACTTACCTGTAAGCGGGTGTTCATCTCCAAAAAGAAGAACTCTCCAGTGGTGTCGTCGACCAAGTATTCGATAGTCCCGGCGGATTTATAGCTGCTGGAGGCTGCCAGAGCAGTTGATGCGAGCCGAAGCTTCTCACGGAGTTCAGGACGTCTCTCGACGTAGGATGATGGTGCTTCCTCTACCACTTTCTGATGGCGGCGTTGAATAGAGCATTCTCGCTCGCCAAACCAGAGCACGTGGCCCTGTCCATTGCCGAAGATCTGGCCTTCGATGTGCCTGCTCGGCCGGTCAGTCAAGAGCATCAGAAGAGCGGCCTCGAGGGCTAGCATTTACCGGGCATTGCCAACGTATCGCTCCAGAAAAAGCCCGTCATCCTTGAAGAGGGTCTTGCCTCTGCTGCGTACAGAAGTGACAGCCTCCGCAAGCTTCTCTGGGCCATGACAGACAACAAGTCCCATACCACCTCCTCCCGCGGTGGCTTTCACCATCACCTGCACGTGGGGGTCGGTACCATGTTCGCTGCATGCTGGATCGGGGATGCTCACCGGATAGCCTATTCTCTGCGCCTCGCTCGCCGCCTCCTGTTGAGACGTGATTATGCCCGTGCCAGGGACAAGCGGTACGCCAGCTACTCGGGCGAGCTCTCTTGCCCTGTGTTTGAGACCAAATTCCATGATGCTCTTTGGAGAAGGTCCAGCGAATACGATTCCATGATCGCTTAGCATCTTTGCGAACTCGGCATTTTCGCTGAGGAAACCTGCGAGATCATGTGCTCAGCATAGCCGGGAGAATTTAAGCGATAGATCGCACCGTAGCCAGGAAGCACAGCACCGATGCCGTGAGCTTTGCAGATGCATACAATCTTCTCGCTGATGCACCAAGCCATGTTAGCCCGCACGTGATGAGTTGATCGACGTGCATGTAAGACGCTCGTCCGTACCTGTGGAGGTATCCCTTGATACCACTCTCGTTCAACGCAACAGCCTCATCGGCCAGGCGGACATGCATGGACGTTGCTGGGCATTGTGGTCAATCGAGGGTGATCGTTCGAACAGCTGAAGCGCCATCTCACCATCTTCGTCTGCGTAGATAGCGGTCGAATGGAATCCCAGCTGTCGCTTGGTCAGATTCCGAGCGTTTGCACATTAGCTTGAAGGAGGTGACGAACTGTTTTGCAGCCTTTAATGAGACGAACGGCGATCTCGCCGCGATTGGCTATAAGGACCTTCATCGTTTCCAGACTCACATAGCCTCTGTCTTACGCATATAAGGATCTTGGAACAGAGAGAAGGAACGAAGTAACGAAGGAGGAAGCGATGCGGCCGGGACAAGGCTCGTTGGTGGATCTTGGTGGCACACTCATGGCAGTGGTCTGTCTCTGCGTTGACAAAAGAATGACTCGAGGCGTCTGTCGGTATCACTTATCTGGACTGAATGATGGATCCAATGTCCATCCAACGCCGGAACTGCATCTCCAGCAATGCAGAAGAAGTTGGGCTTTGGGAGATATGAAGCGTGCAGACTGCCGAGACTGTCCTCGCTGCTGAGATGGAGTATCTCCCGTTTTCGGAGCGAGAAGAACTTCCTATTCAGGCGTCGGGCGGGATGAGTCTTGGCCTCCCATCCTCTCGTGGACGCGTTGAGGTCTTGTTATCGACCGCTGCGGAGTAGATGGCCGGCTCCCGCGAGATGATCAATGAATCAGAACGCGACTCGCAGCATAGCAAAGACCTCGGTCTTCCGTTGTGCCGCAATGGCAAGCAAGACGATAGGACGAGCCCGAAGTCGACAACAAACCTCCCCTCATCTCTACCATAGCTCAGTCCTGACTCCATCGCTGGAAGGGTACCACCGTTGAGAAGAAGCAGGAAGAACTCAGGTCAAATGTCGATCGCGATGCAGAAAGTCACGGTGAATTGTGATATGGGCGAGGGGATGGGGCACTGGAAGATGGGAGACGACGAGGCCCTCATGCCCATGACCGATCTTGCGAACATCGCCTGCGGCTTCCACGCCGGAGATCCATCCATGATGCTGAAGACTGTTCGGCTGGCCAAAAAGTACAACAAACTTGTGGGAGCACACCCCGGCCTGCCCGACAAGGAAGGCTTCGGTCGTCGTTACATGGACATTGCTCCCGAGGATATGTACTGCCAGACCTTGTATCAGGTCGGCTCGCTGAAGGCCATGCTCGACTCAGAGGGCATGACACTCCACCATATCAAGCCCCATGGGAGGCTATATCGCATGATCAAGGATAATCCCGACAAGGGAGACGCTTGCATGCGCGCAATCAAGACGTTCGGAGTGCCCTTCATTGGTCTCCCCGGGACTGCGCATGAGGAACTGTGCAAGAAGCACTGTATTGAATTCATTCCCGAGTTCTTCCCAGATCTCTGGTACGATGAGGAGGGTCAGACAGTGCCCATATTGTAAGCCTGGAGACGCTTTCACGTAAGTATCAAGTTGGTTCTGATGATTTACAGATCCGCAGGCAGGGTGCCTCTTCCCGACATTAAGGGCAAAGTTGGCAAGGTGATATCGACGGAGATGGTGACTGCCATCACCGGTAAAGAAGCCAAAGTGCCATTCGACGGGCGTCCCTTCACCTGTTGCATCCACAGTGATTTGCCTGGCGCTGTTGAAGCCATGACCGATGTCCGTGGCGCGGTTGACAATGCGGCTGCAAATGCTTGAAATACTCAGGTAGATAGCGAAAGGGAAGCATGCTGTTTACCATGAGCCCGTTCAAGACGAAAAACTGAATGTACATCTGCTAGTACCATGAGCTGCCTGAGCTACATTTCGCGGCGACTGCCCGGCCATCCTTGCATGCCGTCGGACACGATGGTGGTAGGTATACAAGTCTCTCGACCTCTGTCGTTTGTCTATACCAAATCCCTAGAGCTTGTGCTTCACAGCAGCCGCTGACACTCGCCGTGACAGGACAGTCCTCACCGCGCGTTGGAACTTGTCCCCCAACTCGGCCAACTCCTCGTTTGCAATGATCAAAGGCGGCGCAAACATTACAGCGTCGACTGCCCCCGAGCACAGATAGACAGTCGCACCATTCTTGAACGTTTCTTCAGCTACTTGAGCTGCCAGTGGTCCGCCGAACTTGGTTTTGGAGTTCCCAAAGTCGATAGAGCGGAAGAGCCCAAGGCCGCGCATGCTCGCCCCGAGAGCCTTGAGTTCGGCTGGGAGGGCTTTCACGACCATCTTCTCGAGCAGCAATCCTTGACGTCTGGCATTCTGGACCAGATCGTCCCGTTGGATGATCTTCTGGACGGCGAGAGCGCTGGCGCATCCTAACGAATGGTCTTGGAAAGTGTGGCCGCTGACATACTTCTGTCCACCCTTACTGTTCTGCTCAAACACGGACGCCACCTTGGTTGAGATCAGAATGGCTGAGAGCGGGAGATAGCCACCTCCCAAACCCTTCCCGATCGTCTGCACATCCGGGGGGAATCCCCCAAGACACTGCCAGGCGTGGTAGCTTCCCACCCGAGCCATCCCGCACATGACTTCATCAAACACGAGTAAGACGCCATGCTTCTCGCACAGCTGTTTCAAGCGTGGCAAGTATGTTTTCGTGGCTGGCACTGTGCCCAGAGTGGCTCCGACGACGGGCTCGACTACAACAGCTGCAATCGTGGTCGCTCCGAGCTCTTGGATCTTGGACTCGTATTCCGCAATCAGATCGTCTTCGAAATGCTGCTCGGACCGTCCGTTGGCATCTTGATCATAGAAGCAGCGAGAGACGTGATGAAAAGCTCGGCTCAGGATCGCTTCGAAAGGCTGCCTGCGCGGTGGGTTGAACCCAATAGCCATCGCACCCATGGTATTGCCATGATATGAGTGGTGTCTGCCGATGAACTTGGTGCGTTCTGGCTGTCCGTTGTAGATGTGGTACTGCCGGACGAGCTTCAGAGCCGACTCAACAGCTTCGGACCCGGAACAGAGGAAGTTGACTCGCGAGAAGTCGGAGCCTTTGCTCTGTTCGAGAAGGAACGTCGCCAGTTCTTCGACAGGGTCCGAAGTGAAGAAGGAGCTGTGAGCGAAGCTCAGCCCTCGTGCTTGAGCAACGATAGCATCGACGACTTCTTGATTGTTGTGGCCGATGCTGGACACGGCCGCGCCGCTGCTGCCATCGAGAATCTTCTCCCCATCTTTGGTGAAGAGGTGCACTCCTTGACCGCCTACGGCCACAGGGTACGCCTTATCAAGAGAACGGTAGAAGACGGCAGAAGAAGGCATGCTGTGAGGTGTCTTGAGCAGGACCATTCCCGGATCCAAGTGCAGACACGACAAGACCAAACCGAAGGAATTCTGGTACCCGCGGTCTCTAAGTCGATCACCATTGGAGAAAGGTCTTTCTTATCTATCGCTGTATCTCTGCGCCTGGCATTCTCGGCTCGTCCAGTCGCTTGTCATGAGGATCTTGCGATTGGCAAGCTCATACATGCATGGGATGCTGACTCGTGCTCTGGGACCAGCAATGTGGAGCGGCGAGTACAACTTCCCAATGCGGTCACGTAGCCGCAGCCCTCATCTTGACTCCTTCCACCAGCGTCGAACTGGGTCTACTCGCTCCTGCCCTTGCGTGACTCTCCCACATCTTACAGAATCCCGCTCGACTCCAAGGAATAACTGCGATCCAAGCTATGGTCTTATCTCGCGTGATGGCATCTCTCCATGGTATCTCTGCCGCTGTCTTGGATACAGAGGCTCGGGTTCTATTGTCCTGCGCACGACTCGTACGAATCCAATCCCAGGTAGTTAATAGTGTCGCTGCGCGTCTCTCCTCTCCTCTCCCCCATTTCTGCTACCTCCACGCTACAACTTCCATCAACTCGTTCGTTCTCAAGCACAGTACACAAGGCAACAAGGGTACATTTCGACACAATTGCAGTCCGCCAGCATGGCGTTTGCGGGACTCAGTAAGCTCGTCGACAAGGCACGTGTCCATCCCGAAGAAGGCGGCCGTGTCACAGACAGATGGACCAATCCCGACATTCTTCCCGTTCTCCCTGAGAATCGAACGTTCAACATCAAGTCGTACTTCGGCTTCTGGTCCGTCCTCAGTTCGTCCTTCCGTCAATCGTCTGGGTCTGTGCTAATCTTGCTATCCAGGGTCGCTGCCGGCATTGCAGCGGTATACTGGACCATGGGCTCCACTGCCATTGCGAATGGTCTGAGCGCGGCGCAGGCAATCGGCGCCATGATCGTAGGCGCTGCCATTTCCTGCGGCATCACCTGGGGATGCAGCGAGTTCGGCATAAAGTACGCTCTGGGCTTTCCAATGCTGAGTCGTGCGGTCTTTGGCATGTATGGCAGCTACTTTGCTGTCATTCTCAAGTGCTTCAGCAACTTCATCTAGTACGTTCAGCCATCATTCGTCACCATTCAATGCTCAAGCTGACTTCCTCGTGGCAGCGGTATCCAGAGCTACTGGGGTGGCCTCGCTATGAGTGTCATTCTGTCGTCCCGTCCTTTCACAGACTCCCGAACAGCTTTCCCGAGAGGTGAGCATTCGATGTTCCCGTAAGACATTTGTTCATTACACTCTGACGGAGATCGCAGCGCCCACATCACAACCAAAGACTTCATCGGCACGATGATCTACTTCGTAATCTTCACGGCGCTCATGTTCGTCAAGCCATACAAGCTCCAGCCATTCTTCATCACCAGCTTCATTGGAGTCTCCTTGACGATTCTGGGCATGTTCATCTGGGCCATGGCTGTCAACGGAGGTGTTGGAGACGTCGTGGCTCCTACGGCTGCGCTTTCGACGGGGTAGGTTGAAGGAAGTCGACAGATTTATCGTCTCAGTTATCTTGCTGACGTACTTGATAAGAGAAACGGTCTTCCAGTTCGTGAGAGCCGTCTGCTCGCTCGCAACGACATATACTGGCGTCAGCATCCGGCACTCAGACTGGACCCGCTACAGCGCCAGACCTAGAGACGCACATCTTGCCATCTGGATTGCCTGCCCTCTCGTGGTCATCATTTCTTCAACCTTTGGAATACTGGTTACTAGCGCTGTTAGAGGAATCTATGGCGAGATTATATGGCAGCCCATTACCCTGCTGGCTTACATCCAAGATCGTGACTACAGTGCCACGACCCGAGCTGGTACCTTCTTCGCCGGCGTCGGCTGGTTCTTGTCCCAGATGGGAGTACGTATCCCTCTCAAAACGTACCTCGCGATGCTCTACTGACCGGAGACACTAGGTAAACGTGTCATCGAACGCAGTCGCTACTGGCATGGACCTCGCATCCATCATCCCTGAATTCATCAATGTCCGCCGGGGAAGCTTGATCCTGGTCGCCATTGCCCTCGCTACTTGTCCGTGGAATCTCGTCAACAATCCAGGAACCTTCATTACCGTCATCAGCTCGTTGGGCATCTTCATCTCGCCTCTCATTGGTATCTATATCGCTGACTACACCCTTGTCCGCTATCAGAAGTACAAGGTATCCGACCTTTACCGTGGAGACAGAAGCTCTATCTACTGGTACCAGTTCGGCTTTCACTGGAGGTCCTTTCTGACCTGGATCTGCCTCATATGGATGAGTTTGCGTTCGTCTCTTCCTCCCTTTAACTTTCTCTGCTAAATTACCGGCTAACATTGTTCCAGCTGGGTTCGCCGCCGCGATTGATGGCTTCGAGATCAATGTAGCCTGGGAGCGCATATTCGGTGTTTCATTTCTCATCGGTGAGTGTGTTGTCCCCGTTATCGATGCAGCATCCTAAGACTTACATCGGACTTATGAATAGGTCTCGTAGGTGGCTTCGTCATCTATTTGCTTATCTGTACGTTGTCTCCCGTGCCTGGCGCGGACATCTATGAGCCTTGGTCTGTCGTTGTTGGCGAGGCCGATCATGACGGCAGCCCGAGAAACAGTCTTGAGAAGATTACTTTTGAGGAGACTTCTAAGAGCGTATAGCATATGACCATGGAGCTGCGGGTGCCCTCTATTGGAGTGACTTTACACAGAGACCGAGGATGGGTTGCAGGCAGTCCGAATGTTGGTTGCTGTGATAGGTCCTCTCAACTTGTATCGAGATCCCACTTTGCTTTTGACGCGGAGAAGCTCAATCTCCGCAGCCACCTCCGTCCCTTATCGGCACTTGCATACTTCGCCCTACGGTGCCTTGATAAGTCTTGCAGTGGTTCTCGAGCGCTTCTGCCGTGCCTTATCTCGCAGGTGGACGTGCAGTCCATTGTTCAAGATTGCTGCCTCAAGATGGCTTCCTCTCCCGCAGTTTCGCGCTCGATGAGAAGGAGGACAATCGTCGACCTACCCCAGCATCTGCGAGATGAGCGACGAACTCGGAGAGCAGAGCCCATTGTTACAGTCAGGCGATGGAGTGACTCCAAAAAGGTCTGCTAGTCGCGACGAGGATGCGACCAGTCTGCTGGATTGGTATCTATCGAAGAACGAACAGAGGTTGGACGAGACGAACGTTGGAGAGAGGCTGCCGTACAGCGACTACTCCTCCATTGACTTTTTACATGATCTTGTACGTATAGTACCTCTGCAGAGATATGCTTCGTCTAACATGAAAGCAGGTGAAGGACTCTGCTCGCCTGCGCTTCCTCCGTCGCCGCCCGGGTCTGCGATTCAAACTAATCAGCCTTCTCGACCAAGCATCAGGCTGGATTGCAGCTGCGATCATTGGCACGCTCACAGCCTGTGTGGCTTTTTTGGTGGACGTGGCCCAGGCATCTGTCTCTGACTGGAAGTTCGGCTACTGCTCCAGCAATCCCCTGCTGAGCAGGCAATCTTGCTGTGCAGGCAAGACGCCGCTGCTGAAGATCAACGACCTGACATCCGAGCTCGACAATCTGTGCGAAAGCTACGTTTTGTGGTCGGAAGCATACACACCTGCATTTGCCATCTATGTCTCCTTTGCCTTGCTATTTGGTCTTTTGGCCTCCGGTGTCACGCTGCTCACCAAACGCTCTCTCCCCACAGCAGCACAAGCGCCTCACAGCGAGGCGTTCTCAGATGACACCCCAAGGCCCACACCAACAGGCAAAGTCATGTACATGGCTGCAGGATCTGGCATCCCCGAGATCAAGACTATTCTCAGTGGGTTCGTCATCCCAGGTTTCCTGAACCTCAAAGTCCTTGTGGTGAAAGCTATCGGTGCGGTCTTCGCGGTCAGCACTGGGATGTGCCTGGGCAAAGAAGGCCCTTTTGTCCACATCAGTACCTGCGTAGGGTACATCGTGGCAGGCATTTTCCCAAAATATCGGCACAACGGCAGGAAGATGCGCGAAATGCTCTCTGCAGCATGTGCATCAGGACTGAGTGTGGCTTTCGGCGCGCCCATTGGAGGTGTGCTGTTTAGCTATGAGGAGATCAGTACGCATTTCCCGCGAAAGGTATTGCTGAGGGCATTTCTCTGCTCTTTGTGTGCTGCCGTGGTGCTGAAGGCGCTCAATCCAACGGGAACTGGGAAGCTGGTCCTCTTCGAGACGAAATACGGGACCCCGTACGAACCGCAGCACTACCTGGTCTTTATCGTTCTCGGCCTAGCTGGCGGTGTTTTCGGCGGTCTCTTTTGCAAGCTCAACTTGCTCTGGTCCAGATGGTTTCGCGGCTTCCCGTTCGTAAAAAGGTACCCGGTTCTCGAGACCTGCTTGATCGTTCTTGCAACAACGCTACTGCAGTTTCCCAATCCCCTGATACGAGAGACAGGCGACGAAGTGGTCAAGAATCTGTTCGTCGACTGCAACGATGGCGCTGCCAGAACTGCTTGGATCTGCAAGATGGAGGCAAAGGAGGGCAATGCTTACGTCGGCTGGCTGGTGTATGGGGTGCTGACGAAACTGGTGCTTACTATCGTCACCTTCGGCGTCAAGGTTCCATCTGGTGTCATCATACCTGCTCTCGACGGCGGTGCCCTCTTCGGTCGTCTGCTTGGGCAGTGGGTCACAAGCATCTCGCCGGGTATATTCGCGCTTGTTGGTGCAGGAGCATTTCTGGCGGGGGTGTCGCGCATGACAATTTCACTTGCCGTCATCATGTTCGAGCTAACAGGCGAGGTGGAATACATAACACCCTGCATGGTCGCCATCCTCATTGCAAAGTGGACTGCTGATGCGATCAGTGCAGAAGGGGTGTACGACGTCGCACAGACGGTTCTTGGACACCCTTTCATGGACCTGGAGAGCAGCATGCAAATCGTGCAATTGCAAGACGGATGTGTGGATGACCTGATCCCGCCGCAGCAAACAATGGATGAGATCACGGTGGTCGTGCCAGCAAGCGGAGTATCACGGCAAGTGCTGGAGAAAAAGCGCAGACAGCTCCAAGACCGCGGACTGATGGATGCTGGCCTTGTGCTGGTCGATGAGAAAAATATGCTTCAAGGCTACCTGGCACAAGGTGAGCTCGACTTCGGACTTGGCACTCTTGGGCAGTTGTACCCAGAAGATGCTGAAGTACGGCTGTTTGATGGAGCCTCAGAGACAGATCTGGATTTGTCCGTGCTGGTGGACCGGACACCGTTGACAATACTCAGTGGTGCGCCGCTTGAGTATGCTTTGGAGATGTTTGCGAAACTGGGCCTGAGGTATTTGATTATCAATGAGGAGGGATCGGGCAAGGTGCTGGGAGTGGTGATCAGGAAGAGGCTGGTGGCATATCTGGACCAGATCAAACATGAGTGACAGTTGAGCCCATGCTACGCTGCGTACATGTATCTAAGCAGCGAGGGTCATCTCATTCTCTCGCAGATAAAATCCGCTCGGCGCGCCCGGTGACGAGTGAAGTGGGCTTTTTAGCCGCAATCTCGTTCTGGAGAAGACTGCCAGGTATGCATAGTTGGACGCTTTCACTGTCCCTTCCTTGCCTTTCTCCTCATAATCTCCACTAAAAGGACGAGCTGCCAGTTTCGGAAGCGGAGCTGTTCCCTCCGTCTTTTCATTTATACAACATGCTCGCACTTCGCCTTGACCGCTCCAACATCCGGTCGTCTAATAGCGGGGCAAGACCCTCGGAGTGTCCAAGAAGCTAAGAGAGAAGGACTTTCTGCACTGCTTGATCTTCCGGCTATTGCATCAATCGGTCCGAGAAGCGACAATCCTCGAAGTCAACGGTGTTACACTATGGGCCTCTTCAAGCTTCTGCCACTGCTATTCATATCTTTTTCCGCCGCAACGATACTGCAGAATGGCCAGATCCGTCCGAACGACTATCGGAACACCACCGTAACCGCCAGAGATCTTTCATCGGAACCTGCCTGGGTTTCATATCCACCGGATGCACCAGAGCTCTCATACAAAGGCCGCTGGGATCATCAATACATCTCTTGGTGGTCAGCTCCAGGCCTCAAGTTTGGTTTCGAGGCGGACAGTGTCGCTATCAGCTTTGGAAACTACACCTCCGATGGCGTTCTCATCGCGTACAGGGTCGATGGTCAGGACTGGCTGCTGACGAACGTCACCGCAAACTCAACGCACATGCTTGTCGGCCCTCGAACGGAAGGCAACAACCTCACGCACCCATCGATACATACATTCGAGATGAGGGTAACGAACTGGGCATATGGTGTACAGATCAAATGTGTGCACGTCTCCGGGCCAGCAGCACGACTGATCCACGTCCCGAACTTCCCACGAACCATGGAGCTGATTGGAGACTCACTCTCCGCAGGCCAGTACGCAACCTTGGAAGGGATCTCGAGCTACTCGTGGGGCTTGATGTATGGCTTAGGCAACGTTGAGTTCAGCATCACCGCATATCCGGGCATATGTTTGCATGACAAACGCTGCTACGGCAATCTGCACGGCCAGACATTTCAGTGGCTCAAAACACCAGACACCAGCGGCCGCGCGCTCGAGATTTATGGTGACGGTCCTGATATCCCGGATTGGGACTTTGAGTCACATCCTCCAGCTGACATCACTGTGATCAACATCGGGACGAACGACAACAACACAGCAAACAACGTCACCCACAAAGACTTCCACGACAGCTACATCCGCTTGATCGACGAAGTCCATGTTCGCTGGCCGGCCTCGCAGATTATCGTTCTTTCGCTCTGGGAAGGCTTCGGCGAGACAGACAATATGTGGATTCAAGGCGGTGGTTTTGTAGACATTATTCAAGATGTCGTGCGATCATACAACAACGGCTCGCTGAACGAGAGGGGCGGAGAAGGCTTCGTGCACTACTTCAACACCACAGGTATCCTTCAGCATAACGATATTGGCCCCCTTTATCATCCGACGGATGTGGGTCACATCAAGCTCGCCAGTCATTTGATGCAATACATCAAGTTGACATTTGGCTGGGTATTGGACCAGACAGGTCCTGAAGTACAACATGACACACTTTACTGGTGAGTTCGCTCTGTTGCAATTGCTCTCGCCGTTCCAATACACTAGATGTTTGACTCAAAACTGTAGGAACGATCAAACGAGCTATTAGGGTTGGTGCGCAACGATCGTGGGTGCATGTGGAGAGTGTAAGGTACTTTCCAATTGCACTGACACTCAGTCTGTACGACGCCCGTGATGCTTTTGAGGACTCGACATATTAGGGTCATCGGCTTCTCCTGAACTTCAGCAAATTTGTGCTTCAATGGACATTGCAAGTTATTCCGCGAGCAGAAAGCGTCACAAATTCACAATGGACAAATCAAACATGAGTGACACACTCGGCAGGCTATTATAATCATAGAATTCAAAGCATGTATCCTCAATTGGCAAGTCAACTCCCACCGCGCAATGTATTTGCTCAGTCGAACGCAATGACCACTTTCGTATTATCGTGCCGTTCGAATCGTCTGTATGCGGATGGTGCGTCCTCGATACTGATGATGTCGCTCACAAGGAAACCCGGCCGAGCTCTTCCAGAATTGACCAGCTGAACAAGTTCTGGGGCAAGGTCGATCGGATTCGAAGGCCCAGCTTCCCACCTGAACTCGCCGAAAAAGAAATCGCTCATCGAGAAATTGACTTCTGGGTCAAATGTAGCCGCTCGGGGTGCAGTAGCCGTGTTGTTGGAGGGTTGCTTGTACACTCCTACCGTCCCCATCCCGCCACCAGTCGAAGTGACACGAAGCATGTTGTGTATAATGACGTCTGGTTGCACGGTGAGGTTTCGGTTGACCTGTTCGTAGCCGACGGCGTCGACGCTCCGGGTAACGCCGTTCGGTTCAAGGGCCATGATTTGCTGGACCGGGTCGCTTTGGCGAAAATTGATAGGCACGGCGCCGATGGATTCAGCGAGACTCAGGCACTCCGACACATAGTCCACGCTATAGACAGTAGATGCTCCTCGGATGATTGCGGAGTAAGCCGTCATGAGGCCTACAGGCCCGGCTCCAAACACGGCAACGGTGTCGCCAGCGCTGAAGCCAGAAAAGTCTAGAGCTGCCCAGCCAGTTGCGAAGATGTCGGAGAGCATGACATAGTCGTTCATCAGTGCCTGCATGTCGTTGTCTGTGCTGTTGTTTGCATGGCTCGATGGTATGGGTATCAGTCCCTCATCAGCGAACGGGATGCGGATGTATTCGGCCTGCGTGCCCCCAAGATCCCCGCCGTTGCCGTAGCCGCCGTACATTGTTATCGTGAGCCCAGTGTGCAGATGTCCCTCTGCCGTGTTGAATGGAACAATAACAGCATCGCCCACAGAGAGAGAGGAGACGCCGTCCCCGGTCTGCTCGATGTAGCCCACACCTTCATGGCCAAGCCCAAATGGAGCTGGTGCTCCAGCCTGCGTTCCACGGTAAATGTGCAAGTCTGAACCGCAGATGGCAGCCCTGCTCATACGGACAATGGCATCGCTGGCGTTGATGATGGTCGGCTTCGGTACGTCCAGTACGGCCACTTCGAAGGCGTTTCCCTGCCAGACAACAGCGCGCATGGTCTCGTTCATCGCGGCGGTGAGATTCTTCAAGGCCATGGTGGTAGTGAAGGTAGGGATTGATGACAGCGAGGATATGGTCGCTCATGGTTCTCCCGACGCACCTTCAGCATTTTATATGCCATCTGCCAAGGGGACCGTCGTCTGCCGAGTGCAGTCGCCGGGCGCCATACTGCGTGGTGGGCGTAATGCTGTAGTACATCGTGCGCGTCGCAATGCTGGGCATAGACGCGTGCGAGCGCTGCTGAGATGGATCTGTGGATCTCTACGGTGAAGAGAATGTCGAGGTCCGATATGCTTTAATACTCCCTCGTCTCCACCTCCGCAGCCGCGTCCGCGCCCGCGTCCGCGTCCGCCCGGGCCGGAGAGAGCCCGGCTGTCCCTCTTCCTTCCTTCCCGACACCAACATTTCTCACGCCTCCAAGCTCGAAGACCTGGCGGAAGGCATGCAAGGTGGCCCGGTATTTCGAATCAGCTTGTGTGCATAGACTTTCCCAACTGTCAGGCTTCTCCATCAGCTTCTAAGACGAAAGTGATAAGTAGCAGGAAGGCATGGTCTGGTATGGTGAATCCACGATCGAGAGGAGGTATGTAATGAGTGAGCCTTCCGTCGGACATCGTTAAAATAGATCGCTTGCAGGATGCGTGACTTGTCTGCGACAGCACAAGAAGTGCGATGAATCCCACCCGAGCTGCGCGCGCTGCAGCAGACTCTCCATCGCCTGCGAATACAAGCCCCAAATCCGCTGGTTTCATGGTGCCCAGCTGCCTCGAGCGCCTCGTCAACGGCGCGGAGCCCGACAACAGCATGGTTGTCTCGCACATTTAACGTCTCCATCCCCATTGGCACCGTCTCGAGCGCAGGCCATGCCGCTTCCGCGGACTCAGGAAGAATGCACCCCGCCCGCCGCAAGTCACGACGTCTCACACACCGGGATCTCGAACATCTCCGGCGACACCAAGGTATCGGATAGCCACCAGGGAGGTGAGCACGGGAGCTCCGATTGTGTTGATTCCATGGCTACACCAGGGTTTCATGATGGAACCATTTGCCGCGCCAATGCTAGAAGCCCTTCCAAAAGCACAGGCGACCGGACCATTTCTACTCAGATGATGCTATGTGGGCCCATCCGAGCCAATCTAGGCTACGTGTTCTTTGACAGAAAAGACAAGTACCACGCCTACCTCTACTGTGCGTCAGCTCCTCCTCCGATACTCTATTGCACGTGCTGATCGCATAGGCAGTCGTACGGTCGGTGGCCTTGATTATCCCAGCATGCGGGACAGGTCTCCGGAATGGCTACCAACAAGTTGCGCAGCTGGCATTGTCCTCGCCTGTCCTTTTGGATACCCTCATATCAGTCTCGTCCGTCTACATGCACCTGCATGGCCTTGTGCCTCAGTCTGTTGCTCTGCGTCGGCAGTGCAAGGCTCTGGCGTCCCTACGCAACAGTGTTGACAGCTTGACTATGCAGGCAGAAATCAGCCCTCATGATCTCTCGCGGCTTCGGAGAGACCTGCTGGCGACAATACTGCTACAGATTACCGTCGAGATCGCGAATGGGACAAGCGTCATACAAACACATGTTGGGTACGCCTTCCAGCTCTTCCAGAGTCTCAAATACGACAAGCAAAAGCCTACATCATCAGTAGGTGTAGCGCTGGTACAACGAATGGCTTTCATCGATGTTCTGAGCTCCGTGTTCTGGAGCCGGCGGCCTCTGCTGTCTCTAGAATTCTGGCTCTCTGGCGAGGAGGAGGATTACCTGGTGGATGAGAAAACTCCAAGCTTCCAAGAGACTACCGGCTGTTCTCTGTCGATCATGTCAAGCATGGCCACGATCTCCCACATGGCGGCCGACCTTGACAACGGCATGAATGAAGATGGCGTGGTTTCTTCCGCTCTTCAACTGGAGAGCACTTTGACCAGCTCGTCGCAAAAGCTATCTGATACCCCTCTACCCACGACACCGCACCCCAACGACTTTCAGTACCTCAACACCGTGTGCGAGTGTCACCTGTTGAGTGCTTTGATACTACTGCAACGACGTCTGCTCAGAGACTCGCGGGCCGCCGTCCGTGTTCAGTTCTACCTCGCGAGACTGATCGATCTCATCGAATGTCTTCCTCTCGGATGCGGGCCAGATAGCCAGCTCTCGCTCCCCCTTTATGTGGCGGCCCATGTTGCCATCACCCACCAGCAGCGTGATCGTCTGCGAAGCAAGAGCTCGAGCTTGTGCGGCATCTATCCACTCAAAACACGCGAAGCTTTAACAGCAGCGTTTGATAAGATGTGGACTGTCTCCGATTCCTCAACGGCCACTGGAGGCTCCGGTGGTTTGAACGATTCGGACCCCATGAAAGAAAATGCTCTGTTTATTTGTTAAACCCAAAGATCTAGAAGCCGTGGGCACGTCCAATCTTTGTCGCTTTCAGCTATCTTCTCGGACAAAAGTGTGATCTGTTTGACGACACTCGCGCAATGTTTATACGGAGCTCTTAGTCGAGGTCACAGGGACTGCAGACCCGCAGGGTCGATTTCCCAACGCGATGTTGTCACAGCCACAGAACCGACATGCATTTACAATGATGGGTGAACTACAGTTCTCACTGGCAAAAGCGGTCTGTGGGAAACAACTTCAACCTTACTAGGAGAAGGATACACCAGCCTCTCTGGATACATATTCGATGCGCGAGGACGGGTGGCACTCAAGCACCCGCCCCACGTTGCTCCCAACGGACTATCTTGCGAAGAATGGAACCACTGGCTGATATGCTGTTGCTTTGATCCGTCATGTAGCGTAGCTAGCAGGCTGAAGCTGATATAGACTTCCTTCAAACCCACGTAGAGGAAGCCGTAGTGGCGGACGCAGAATTAGTGACATGCGACATGTGAAGCATCAAACAATTTCTCCGAGCTTCATAAGAAAACAACGACGTTATTGAAAGTTCGCTCCACTGTACGTGTCCTCAGTGCCTTCGAGAAGCGCCAGGTATCCTTGTGCGGCAGGCCATTGAATCCGACTGTGATCGAGAGTCTTCCGCAATTGGTTGAGGCGTGAGAGATGTTCAGCCTTGCCGGTCTCTCGGAAATACCATGCATAAGTGGCTGCGCTCGAATACAGACTCTGGAGGACAAAAGACGGAACAAAAATGACGCCATAAGTATCCATGCAATCTTGAATCTCGTCTCCAAAGCGGCCAACATCCACGATAATCTCCTTGAAGGCATCGATGGCATATTGCTGTAATTCCAGCCGTGCGCCTTTGTTGCTACCCACCGCTTCCACATGATCAGCCTCAACGCAAGCGTGCAGGTCGCAAAGTAGGAGGAGCGCCGAATAGCAAAAGCCCCGAGCTGTGAACAGCCGGTAGGGCTTGTCTACCTCCAGACTCTCGCTGAGGATTATGGACAGTAAAGCACGCACAGCGTGTATGATCTGCTTTGCTTCCTGAAAATGGAACTCCACATCGCTGATGGTTGCGTGGTCGTTGGCGTGTTGACACGCTTTGCCCATCAAGTGTGCGGCCTGGCACGAGCGGGCGAAAGGTGAGACGAGAGTGTTTGCCTCTATACTCATGACCAGCAGAGGATTCACGGACAGCTCACCCTCGTCCCAGTCGTTGTCCCGCCCTGGTAGCAGTTCGCTGGCCGCAATGGTCTCCGCGACCAAAGGGCGGAAGCGGAAGCCGACATGAATGTACCGGTCAAGCATCAAAACCGCCCACCAAAGTCTGCGCTGCTCCTCGCTTTCAGTCCATGTTGAAGCTTTCGCAACCAGCTGAGTCGCGACTTTCCTGTCGTGCAGTCCTAGTGCATAGGCGATGCGGCAGCAGTGGGACGTTGACAGATATGCCGCAGCAAGCCTCCCTTGACCAAGTTCAAACATTGCGAGCAGGATACTCGCGGCGAGAAACGGAATGGTGATGAAGCCATGCATCTCGCAGGTACATAGTGCCGCCTTGATTGACCCATACAGCGTCTCGGGATCCAAACGCTTCTCGCCACCAGAAACGAGGCGCATAGCGAACAGTAAGCTCGAGGTGTCTGCTCGAGCAAGAGCGTTCTGGTCATTCACTAACCTCCGAAGCCTCATGCGCGACACGATGGGGAACCATTCATGCACAGTGCCAAAGTAGTGCTCCTGAATACCCGAGGCGTCTTCGACGGACAATGGTGGTTGGGAGCCTGCAACATCCGACCATTGCATTCCCTCTATAGGCGGGACCTGAGTGCCTCGCGTGGCCACGGAGTCGAGAAAAAAGCCAGTCAAAGGTTGCGGGTTCGTTGGCCGAACGTGGGCGATGTGGATTGGGCGACTGGGCCAGCCGTTGGCATGTGGCGGCAGGGAGAAGTCGATGAGCGTTGATTTTCGCGACCCAGCCTGCACAACACTGACGTCGCTCTCGTCGTTAGGCGAGGTGGAGTGGCTTGGCTGACCGTTGTCGTGCGGTGAAGGAGGTGGATAGGAGCATCTCCGCCCAACGCGACGGCAGAGCGAGCAGGTTGGCAGGTCCTTAGTGCATTTGCGCTTGAGTCGGCGGCACGAGACGCAGGATTGAATGGCGGGCATAGACCGAACGAATTAGTGGTATCGGTTGATTGATATCGGAAGAGTCGAAATGAAAGCCGGAAGTGCGGGTTATATGTCGCAAGCGGGCGGACGCGGGCGTAGGCGCGACGGTAGTCACGGGTGGGATTTGGGCCTGGGGTTAGGATTTCAAAGTCGCTCAAATTTTGATTAGGGTTAGGGTTAGGGTTAGGGTTAGGGG